TGTAGCGTAATGATCTAGAGATTTGTTATTTAAAAGAGGGTAAAAAAAGGTTAAATAAGGAATAGACTATTTAGATATCTAGACTCTTTATATATTATAAATATATATATATACTTTATAAAAAAGACCTTTATATAAAACTGCTATAAATATATTATAATAACCTTATTACAAGTTATTTTAGCTAATTTAGGATTAAAAAATTATTAAAATAATACTATTATAAGATAAGAATATTTAATAATATTAAAAAATATATCTAAACTTATAAAGTCTATTAGATAATAAAGATATCTTGATATAGACTATATAAGGAACTATAACTATTATCTTTATTAAAAAGATCTTTTATAAAAGTTTTAATAGATTTTATTACTAGTTTTTCTTTATTGATTTAGAATTAAAAAATTGTTAATACTATTTTAGTTATTATTAATAAGTTCTCGAAATAGTATATATTTATTTCTATTTTGACTATTATAAATATTATAGAGCTTGTAATATTATTTTATAATATAATTAAACTTTCTTATAGCCCTTTTAATAAAATCATTTCTAATAGAAATAGGGGACCCTTAAAAAAACACCCCTAGTGGATGTTACCACACCCCTTTGGATAATAAAACACCCCCCTGCCTGATTTTGATGCCTGAGAAAACACGCCCCTAGTACCACGCACCGAAGTTAATTGCCACGCCTCAAAATCTACGCTGTGTTTGATTTGGTCACGTGACCAAATATATTGACCTTTGAGGTACTTATTTTTACTATGCAAATCTCAAGTGAGGAGAAGTCACTACAAAGTACTACTATTTGGTTTGAATGGTCACGTGACAATATCACATAGTTCTCATACAATAAACATGGCAAAAATCAATGTCACGTGATTGATGGTAATGGTAATAAGGGGCATGAGGTTGGCATTAAGGCCCCAAAATGGCTAAGTTATTTGTGCCTGTAATATCAGGTGTCCAACTTCCTAATTGGGTTAGAGGGGTGTTTTATTATCCAAAGGGGTGTGGTAACATCCATGGGGGTGTTTTTTTAAGGGTTCCCTAGAAATATTATATTTATAAGTTAATTTTTTATAAAACTTTACTATCTAACTAAAATATATAATCACTTTTTAATAACTTTTTATTTTTAAACTAATAGACAAATAAAGTAAATAAATTAAATTATTAAAACATATTTATAATACTTTATTAAGACTAAGAATAAAAGATAGCTAGCCTTATTAAAAAATAGTATAATTCATTTATAATAATAGTTAAAACTCCACAATTAGAGTATCTCTATTCTAAATCTTTCTTAGATATAATCTAAATTTCTAGATTTATAAATAAAGCGCTTATATTAAAAAGGAGATACTAAATATAACTAAAAAGATCTAGAAACTATATATTCTATAAGAAGAGCTATAAAAATAATAACAATTTACTATTAATTTATAAAAATCTTATTATAACAAGAAATATATACTAAAAACTTTTAAAAGAAATAAATTTATAATACTTTTAATAAAAAACCTATATTTAAAAAACAAAAAACTAATACCTAAGTTTATTAAATTATTTTATATCCTCAAATATATCAGAAAACAAGCTTATTAGTTAGCTCTTTCTAAATAATATATATTACTCTATAACGTTTTTCTAATTTAATTTCTAGAATAATAGAATCTTTAAAAAGGGACTAAATTAACTATACCTATATTTAAACTTAAAGATAAATATAAATAGAAAGTTAAGAAAATTAAAGATTATTATAACTTTAATAAAGAGCTTTATTACTTATTAAATTAGTAAAAATAACTTATTAAATATAATTAATAGATATTAAAAAATTTAATAAATATCTTAAATTTAATTATCTTCTATAAAAATAAACTATAAAAAAAATAATTTATTTAAATAAATCTTATTTCTAATTTAAATTAACTTTATTTTAAAGACTCTTATTTTATAAATCAACTTTATTTTAATATTAATTTAGTCTTACTTTATAAATAGAATATTTATATATAAAAAAGAGAAGTATAGTAAAACTATAAAAACAAATTCTTATCTTTCTAATAATCTTTATTCTCTTTAATCTTATAATATTAATTTAATAATTTATTAATCTTAATATTTAGATAAAATTAAAATCTTAATATTTAGATAAGATTAAAATAATAGTAAATATTAAGATATACTATAAAGTTATCTCTTTTCTAGATAAACTTTAATCAACAATAATAAAATTATTTAAAGATAGACTTAATCTTAAATCTAAGATAAATCTATTTAACTAATCCACTCATAATATAATCAAAATTTAAAAAATCTTAAATAACAACTAAAATAATAAAAATCCTTACTTTATTTTATAACTATAATTTATTATTAATTCGACTCTTATAAATAATAAAATTAAATCATCTTTCTTTTTTCTTCTTTCCTTACTATACTTTTAAAATTAACAATAAGATAATTATTAACCACTTTTTAAGCCTTAGATAAACTAGAAGGATAGTAAATATAAAGATATATTATTTTCCCTCAAGGGATTACCTCTTTATGATTCATAGAATTATAAGATAATCCATAATATAACTTATTATTTAGAAGTGATTAAAACCCTTTATAGATTAACAATCTAGAAAGATATATTATCTTAAACCTCTTAAATAAAAATATTAAAAGTAATCTTTTATATTAGTATCTCTAGATCAAAAGTAGTTCTAGATATAATAATATTATTAAGCCTTAATTATCTAGTTATATCTTAATAATATTTATAAAAAAGAAGATAAAGAGATCTTTTAAATTTAGATTTTGTTATATTCTATAATTGGAATCTAATATTATTAAAAAGAAATCTAGATAAATATTTATTATACTAGAACTAAATAATAGCTTTACTATTATAAATAAAAAATAGTTTAAAAATAGATATCTAAATAATAATCTAGTAGTTATGTTTATAAAGATTAGACTAAAATAATATTAATTTGTTAATAAATAATCTTTAATCTAAAAAAAGATAATTTATTATATTAAAAATATTATCTTTTCTTTTAGATAGGATTTTTTTATAATAAATATTATAATATTATATATATATATTAAATTAAAATTTTAAATAAAATTATATTTAATTTTAATAAGAATAAGATTCTTAGATTTTATATTAAATTTTTTAATTAAATAATATATATATATTATATACTAGTTATATTAAATAATTATAAAATAAATATAAGATTAAAAAGAAGATTTATCTTTTAAGATTTAGTTATAATTAGTTTAATATTAAAATATAAATAATATAAAAGTAAAATAGATAGAAAGATAATTAAAAATAAAAAAATAATAATTAAATAAAAAAAGATTTTATTTATTTTTATATTATATAATTTTAAAAAAATAAATCTTATAAAAGATTCATTTTTATTAAAAAATATTATAATAATAAGAAGAAAAGATTTAAAAAATTTTAATAATAATAAAAGAGTTTTAAAATAAAATTTTAATAAATTATAAATAAAGATTTTTATATATAAAAAAAAAAGATGATTATAATAAGGTTTTTCTTTATACTTTTTTATAATAATAGATATCTAATATCCTAAATAATTAAAATTAATATCTTAAATATTTGAAACTTATAATTCTAAAGATTATCAGAAAAGATTAAAACATTATATAAATTGATAATAAGTTAACGTAGATTTTTTATAGCTTATTAAAATCTAATAGCTCTCTTGATAGATTAGATATTTAAGAAAAAAAAGCTAGGTTCCTCTCTGATTCTGATCAAGAATTAGTTTTATATTTAATAAAACAATACTATTGAATCCCTTTCTATTTACTATTGATTCATAACTGTATCGATGTTTATCCTTATCCTTTCTTTTACTAAGTTGATAGGCATTATACCTGACAATATATAACCCTTATATTTCCTTGATATTTATATATTTATATTAAATATATTATAATTTCTTAATATTTATATTTTCTTAAATTATAAAAAGATAATATTAAATATATTTTAATATCCTATTTCTAATAATATTTCTTAGAGATTGATACAAAACACCCCCTTGTCTGATTTTAATACCTGAGGGAGCGTATACTTATTACCACACACCAAAGTTAATTACTATGTATAAATATTTATATTGTGTTCACTAGGGTCACGTGACCAAATATCACAATCTAAGGTACTTATATTGATTATGCTAATCCCTAATTGATATAAGTCACTTCAAGATACCGTCATTTTACATTATTGGTTATGTGATTAGTCACATAACATTTGGTGTAGTCTTTGTAGGGTAATTGTGGTAAAAAAGCAATGTCATGTGAGCTTTGGGCTTGGTCATAAGGGGCCTTATATTGGCATTAAGGACCCAAGACGGCTAAGCTGTTCGTGCCTGGAGTTTCAGATATCAAACTTCCTAATCGGGTTAGAGGGGTGTTTTTTTAGTAAAGGGGGGTGTTTTTGTATCAATCCCCTATTTCTTTTATAATCTTTAATATATTAGATAATTAATAAACCTTAATCTTAATATATAATAATCTTTGATTTATTTTTTCAAGTTTTTTATAATATCGCAGCACCAAAATTCGCCAGATGCTGCAGCACTTGTCAAGGCCTAGTCTACATATTAGGTTGATAGGCCACACATCTGACGACGTACACCTCTTGCACAGTGCTTCACTGCCTCTGATGGTTCTTTACATGGCGAGCTCCTAATTGTAGTCCAACACAGAGGACTTGTAAAGACCAGACACACAGACTGGACTCTGAAGCGTTAGGTCAACATATAAGAATATTAGTATTTACGCTATGGCTAACTAGTCGACCGATCCTGACACACATGAAGCAACCCAATCATAATTTACCACGTCCAGCCAAACATGTGATAGCTTAGCTGCGATATCATCACGGCAAGTCTCAAATCCAGACAATGATCACACCCTCCCAGTGAGCATTTGAGCCGCTGTAAATCATGCCAGGCGAGACACATAACTCTTAGTATTTTCGTACACCAAGAAGGTCACCCATGTACTCGGTAACACACGGAAGAGGTTTGGTCCAAGGCCTTTGTAGAAACCTGCCAGACCCTCGCGAGTCCATATTTGGGAGAATACATCTAAAGCCCCACGATAAACCACACGGGCATCATAAGTCTGTAGCCGGGATCTGATCACTTGGTAAGGGTACGTGACACTGCCCGCAAAAACCTTGGACAGACTGGAAATGGCTAATAAGTCGATATTGCCTAGGTCTTGGGCACCAGACGGGCCTTGTCCAAGCAAGCCGGTGTCCTTGGATCGAGACCTGAATAACTTCAACTGCTCGTACGCCATGAACTGGAGGGCCCCATGACTGACACCAAATAGGGCGGGCACTAGGCCTCGGTAAAAGCCGGGAATGCCCTCTGCGTTATAGATTTGCTTTGCCCCAGACACGAAAGAAGGATATGCGCCGGGAGCGCGGGAGCCTGTTGACAACATGCGAGTCTTGATGACCCAAATGGGGTTGGTAAGAACCGAAGTGAGAGCTCCTATATTTCATCTTTGGTCAGTGACAGACCCAGGATGAGTGGCTGCAGTGATACATGCCCGCACTACCGGATGCTAGAAAATAGTCTGACGATGTAAGGATCTGTCCTCTCTTGTCGCGGTAGGATCCAATTGCCTCCTTCAATCTACTATAGCATAAAAAGTAGAGCGCCCAGCTGGTGGAATTTCCGATCACATTGGGGGTGAGACCGCGATAGAAGGCGCCAAGGCCCCCCTCGCGAGAAAAGATGCCTCGGATGATTCGAACTGAACTCCCAAGCCGAGCGGATGAAGATCGGTCGACTGCATAGAGGTGTTAGCCCGTGACCACCACACTGGGAAGAATGGGACCCGCCTTGTAGCCGTGTTTTCACCATGTCGAGAGGGTGCAGTGAGAGAGTCGACGCGACTCCTGCTGTGAATCCCGCTAGGGTCTCCACAAAGGATGACGAGAAGCCATGACTAGTCATGAACCCCGCGAAGAAAACAAAATCAGGGAGATGGAGGTCAAGTGGTGGAGGTGACAGAAAAGCCTTGAGAGAGGGAAAGAGGAAAGCGGAGCGGAGGTAGAAGCCGATCATCCCGGGACCGCCCCCGAGGAGAGTCGCGCAGTCGCGCAGTAGTCAAGGTCAAATCAGTTTCTTTCTTTCTTTCTTTCTCTATGTGCGGACAACATTCCAGTCCGATGGTTAGAAAGATACAGGCAAATTTAAGCAGAAGACAATGATATTCTGTCCAGGAATAGAAACCATAAAAAGAAGACCTAAAAATACAGAGAAACATCGCAGAGCCTCTCTAGCTCATATTGGGACACTCAAATCCAGCAGTGATGATTCCATTAGACATGCTCAAATCCATAGTCCATTTCAACATATCAAGTCAAATATTCAAGTCGTTTATGCGAGGGGCGAGAACAGTCTGGGGACATCGAGTTAGCTAGTAGTGACAGATCATGCAGTGGTCGTGATACCTGAACAGGGTGGGCTTGGGGTCACTGTAAGTGTAGCCTGTTGAACAATGGAATCAGTGGTGGGAACTCGAGCGTTGGGACAAACGTGTCGCATACCCAGGTAAACGATCAGAGGCAAGTATCCGCTAGATAATGGTCAGCTCCGTGAGATGAGGCGAAGGTGTCCGGTATTGGGGTCGGAGCTTACTAGTGAATCGCAACTCGGGAGACATCAATGACCTTGGAGACGCGCTCCTAAAGAAGAAGGAAGTCAACGATCTGATCATCAGGAGAAGTCTGTGGGGAGTGACTGGATACCTTGGTCTCTTCGGAGAATTGGACCATTGTGATAGGATATGAAAGGAGGAAGGAAGCAGAAGCAGAAGCAGAAGATTGAACCACAGATAGGTGATTCAAGAAAGCGGAAGGTAAAAGTTGGAGATGTTGAGTGGTTGATAGTGTGGTTGACAAGACGATGGGGGTTGAAGGAGAGGTCGCGGACAAAAGTTTTCGGCAGGTCACTGATTCCTTCCCCGGAGCTTCTTCACTTCCTCACCACCTCACCACCTCACCACCACCCTCCTCTCCTCTTTGAACCTCTCAGATCGTCTTGTATTTGTCGCGGGATTAATAAAACAACACGCGCTTCTATTTCATCTCAAGACTTCTTAACAAATACCCGATCGACCCACCGGCGCCATGTCAGGCGCACGGCATTGGTATGGATAGCCCCCCCTGCCTGTGACACAATGATATTAACTACGCCCAGGGAGCAAGACAAGGAGGCCACTGTCTACGTCGGAAACCTCGATGAACGAGTTTCAGACAGTCTGGTGTGGGAACTGATGTTGCAAGTTGGGCGCATCGTCAATGTCCACTTGCCCAAAGACCGAGTTACACAATTGCACCAGGGATATGGGTTTGTGGAATTCATCAGCGAAGAAGACGCCGATTATGCGTCGAAGATCATGAATGGAATTCGCCTGCACGGCAAACCCATTCGTGTGAACAAGGCGTCGGCCGATAAGCAGAAGACGGTGGAAATCGGCGCAGAACTTTTCGTCGGTAATCTGGATCCGATGGTCACCGAACAGATTCTATATGATACGTTCAGCCGATTCGGTAATCTGCTTAATCTACCCAAAGTGAGATGTCTCTTGTCCCCGGCCAGAAGAATCGGCATTAACAACCATGTTTCCTTAGATTGCTCGCGACGACAACAATCTCTCCAAAGGCTATGGCTTCGTTTCTTTCGCCGATTTCGAGTCTTCAGATTCAGCCATTTCCAACATGAACGGACAGTACCTTATGAATAAGCAGGTTTCTGTGCAGTATGCATACAAGAAAGATGGCAAAGGCGAGAGACACGGTGATGAGGCAGAGCGAATGCTGGCATCACAGGCCCGAAAGCACAACGTTGCCCCCACGACCCAGCAGCTTCCACCTCAAGTGCCTCGGCCAGGCCCGGGCGTGGGTATTGCAGCACCTCCGCCTGTCATGGCCAATGGCGATGGCTCTCGGTCTATGGGACACATGCCACCGCAGACACCAGACTTTGGCATGCCCATGCCCTATCAAAACCTCCCTCCTCACCGACCTGTTCCACCTCCCGCACCCTCGCTCAACACCCCGCCCCCTGGACTTCCAGCACGCCCGCCACCGTCGCAAGGTGGGTATGGTGGCCCGCAGTCTTTCATACCTCCTGGGTATGGGCCTCCTGGATTTGGCCCCCCCCGGAGGTACTCCTCAGTTACCGCCAGGCTTTCAGCCAGGGTACGGCGGCAGTCGATGATTCCATATGCGAGACTTCGAGCACATCTAATTTAGACCTTTGATCTTACAAAACGGGCATGAACCCTTTCAGTACGACTTGATGATTCAATAGCCATATTGCCTGGACCATTACTTATCTCTTGATTTTCTTTTTTCTTTTTTGAGACCTCTTTCAGCTGCAAATAATTGGTTTCCATTAGGCGTGTCTTCTAAATTCGTCACGATAATGATCCCAGAGCGCTATAGACATCAAATTGCGTTCCAGCGTTGTTGCAACAGCAGCAATAGAAGTACATTTCATGTCGGCAAAGGATCTAGCAGGTACAGATCGAGAAGTAATTGGAACCCTTTTAACAGACATGAGTGTTGGTTAATTCCCGATGTGGGTGCATCTTGTGATGATCGGGATGTCAAGAAATGGGTGTGTTAATTTCAAGCGTTCCCATGGAATGACAGAAGCAAGTTATGAACTTGTGAGAGAAAAGACCTCCATTGATGGATTAAGAACGAGACATGTTAAACGAGAGAATGATGGAATTAATGAGTCATGAGAACGAGACGAATTTCGGGTCCCTTGGCCGGCCATCGGGCCCAATATTATTCTTTGCGAATCGTTGTTCCGTGTAGATGCGACGTGCTTCATCAAAGTTGACCCTGCGACCTTTCATGATCTTTCGTATCTCCCTCTTGGCGTTTTGATCAAGGCCAGCTCTCGTGTCGCCGTCGGCGACGTTTGCCGTAATGTCAAATTGAGATGAGCTCATTCCGGCCTCTAGATCGGCTGTAAAGCTTGACGGGAGGCGATGATAGAGGTAATCCGGTACTTGGACCAAGTGCATCCATCGCGACCTTGTGAGGTAAAGTGCTGATGATTTGTCAGAATTTACACACGCTGCCGAGACGTCTGGGGAAAGCGGACTGACCTGTGCCTCCGATAATGACCGTGAATAGGAGGAAATAAGTGAGAAAATAGGTCATGATGATGAGTATGAAAGTTGGTATGGAGGAGGGTGGGTTGTACGAGATTATGTTGCAAGGGACACTCTTCTCGAGCTCAGGTAATAGGCCGGTCAGGTAGGCTTGTTGCCAGCCAATACTGACGAAGGCATGGAAGAAAACAAAAGAAAGTGTTTAGGGAGGGCGAGAGATGAACGTCAGCATTCATCCGTCGGCAGCCTAGAGGTGTCGCCGGAAACTGCGTCATGGCCTGAAAAAGCAGGCTCCAGGGGAAACAGCCGGCAGTAAGGCAGTAAGGCAACAAGGCAATCAGGTCAGGAAATAAGGCAGAAAGGCCCTAAGGCAGAAAGGCAGCAAAAATGCCCCGGCGTACATGCAGTTCAGGTGTCCAGGCAGCAAGACTAGTCCTAAAATGGCCGCCTTAGCGAGACCCCCAAGTCGAAGTCTTGGCATTCGAGACACGCACAATTTGATCGACGTGAAAGACAGTATAGCGATTTCGATCTTTTCAACCTCCAACACCCTCATCACAATGGCCACAAACATCTCCAACGATCTGGTCTGGCAGATCACCCGTATGTTCGACCCCTCAAAATTTCCGCATGGGGATTTTTGCTTGACTTGGGAAGCCGAACTCTAGCTCATTGCGAATTTCTTCGGAACAGGCAACCAGAACTCTTTCCTGGTCAACCGCAACTCCGGCGGTGGCTCTCAGTTCTCTCGCGACCCTCTTAACGTGCTTAACAAGCACTCCTACAAGGTATGGGATCATGACACCCGAATCGCAAACGCTGCGTGGAAACGAAGAAGGGTGATGATTAACGGTCTATTCGGTACTATATAGTACGCCGGCTATGCCAACAACAAGGTATGCCATTGGCTCCCTTCCATTTGAGATGTATTTGTGACTCACCCACTCCAGGCCATCGGTGTCCAGGGAACCGAGAACGGTGTTGCCGTGACCACCAAGAACCCCAAGACTGTCCAGCAGCCCGCTAAGACCTTCGTCACTGTGAACTACGGTCCCAGCGCCTCCAACCGCAAGTAAGGCGACTCTGCACCGTCCCCCATGCCCGGCCCCAGCTGACCGTCCTTCCTCAGGATCTACAAGGGTGTTGCCGAGAAGACCGCCAAGCACGGCTACCGCGCTGATATCCGCGAGGAGGCCGTTGCCCGAGTCAGCGCTGTCCGCCGCTCCCAGCTCCCCAAGAAGGATGCCCCCGCTCAGAAGCTCCGTGGCTCCAAGGCCCGCAAGGCTGCCGAGGCCTCCGAGTAAGTTAGTTCCTGAAATGGAACTAATTCGTGGACCATGAAGGATTTGGATTGGAGGGGAGACTTGATAGGCGTTTCAATGCCGTGCTGGACGTGGGAAATTGTCCATGTAATCTAGCAATCTTGCTCCGGGGCAACAAAATAAGATAAAATACATGTCCCGTCCGACTATCCGAAGCAAGAATACATTCCAACCCCATCCGAACGGAGGAATCCAGAACCAGGCCGGAAAAGGAATCTCCCTGTAGAGCGTAGTCAACTGATCCGCAGGCCTGGATATCTTCATATTCATATCCATGGATCCAGTCACAACCGACCTGTCGGCCCGAGCCCCAATCTAGGAGACGGGCATTTTCGCCCGCCTTTTTCCGAGGTATAACCCGAGGAAAGCAGAGCAGGTGGTGGAACAAGGACGAGAATTGCCGGAGAGTGTCTGGAGAAATACCGCGGGAACCTCCGCTCCAGTGTGTTTCTCCAGAGGCTCTCCCCAAAGTACCTTCAATTGCCGGAAGGAGAGGTACCTTTTTCGGTGAACGCTTCAGGTACCTCAACGTTTTGCGGTTGAGAGGACAGTGAATTGTCCAAACAGAGAAATAGGTCGAATAAAACTAGAAGAGATGAACGATAATTAACTATATTCTTTTTTTTAATATATAATCAGAATTAAAAGAGAGAGAAAAACAGAGAGAAAGGAATAAATCAAGCAGAGAGGAAGTAGAACATCATAGAGCTCTTATAGTTCACATGTCATAGGCCGATGTACTCCGGGGTTGCCCCTCTGCCCCTCTTATAACCCCCCCCGGTCCCCTCCTCCTTCTCCTCATCTTCTTCTTCCCACATATCTGTCATCATGGTTAAAGCTGGTATTGTTGATCTTATTTCTCTATTGACATTCATTGCTGATTTTGTCTCTAGTTGTTCTCGGAGCCTCTGGTGGCATTGGCCAGGTTGGTCCTATATCATCTGATATCGAAGCTCTCCAACTAATATATCGGAAAATAGCCCCTTTCCCTTCTGTTGAAGGCTTCTCCTCTCATTGATGAGCTTGCTCTCTATGATGTCGTCAACACCCCCGGTGTTGCGGCCGATCTCTCTCACATCTCCTCGGTTGCTGTACGTAACCTCGGAAACTCCTTTCCAGAAGGGCCTCTGGCTGACCAAATCAGAAAATCACTGGCTACCTCCCCAAGGACGATGGCTTGAAGCTTGCTCTGACCGGTGCTGACATTGTGGTCATCCCCGCCGGTATTCCCCGTGAGTAATGCGCATTGGAATTGAATAGATGTACGTTTGCTGACGGCGGGGTCCTATTTTAGGCAAGCCTGGCATGACCCGTGACGACCTGTTCAAGATCAACGCTGGAATTGTCAAGACCCTCGTTGAGGGAATTGCCTCATTTGCCCCCAAGGCTTTCACACTCGTTATCTCCAACCCCGTGAACTCGACCGTCCCCATCGCGGCCGAGGTCCTCAAGAAGGCCGGTGTCTTCGACCCCAAGCGCTTGTTCGGTGTGACCACCCTGGACGTTGTCCGTGCCGAGACCTTCACCCAGGAGTACTCCGGCAAGAAGAACGCCTCCGAGGCCACCATTCCCGTCATCGGTGGCCACTCTGGCGAGACTATTGTTCCATTGTTCAGCAAGGCTTCCCCCAACCTCCAGATTCCCGCTGAGAAGTACGAGGCTCTCGTCAACCGTATGTCACTCATCAACTTGACCAAAGAACATCCACTGACAGTTCACAGGCGTCCAGTTCGGCGGTGATGAGGTTGTCAAGGCCAAGGACGGTGCTGGTTCCGCCACCCTTTCCATGGCCTTTGCCGGTTTCCGGTATGCTCTCCTGAACTCAAATCCAAACTTACAGAGAACTGACTAGGACTAGTTTTGCCGAGGCTGTTATCAAGGCCTCTCAAGGCGCCAAGGGTATTGTTGAGCCTACTTTTGTCTACCTGCCCGGTGTTCCCGGCGGTGACGCTATTGCTAAGGCCACCGGTGTTGACTTCTTCTCCACCCCCATTGAGCTTGGCGTAAGTCATCCAATTCTAAATTGCAAGCTAGAGAAGTTAACTGACATACTTGATACAGCCCAACGGTGCCGAGAAGGCTATCAACATCCTCGATGGTGTGACCGAGCGTGAGCAGAAACTCCTCGATGCTTGCATCACTGGACTCCAGGGCAACATTCAGAAGGGTGTCGAGTTCGCCCAGAACCCCCCAAAGTAAGTTTACCTCCTGTCCATGGACCACTGCATGTCATGCTTGTGTTTGTGTAATTTGGGCACGCCTTTGGTGTCGCGCTCCTCTTCTCATTGATGCCCCTCGCCTCCATCTTTGGCTGTGACGATACCGGAAACTAGCAGAGCCTTGCTAACCAATGTTGTCCCGGAAAGATAGGCCCCAGCTGTGAGACCCATGAGATTATGAACAACGCGCAGACACAATAGTGTATGGTTTTCGATCCGATGTGTAGGTTTGAGTTAGGCATTAGCAAACCCGCAATGGACAGAAATACATGATTCCCCGTTTCGTATCTATGGTCATATCTCGTGCAGTAGGGGATGCGGGCTGGTTGTAGCCACTTGGCTCTCACTCTGAGGCGAAACACCCTCAGCCATGCCGACAATGGGCCAAGGACCAGCCCAGGCCCAGCCATTATACTGTTCAAGGCCGAGGCTGGAGGGTTTTAATTTGGAATGTTGCACCTGGTAAGTCTGACGTCTCGGCCTGCACGGTGGTGTGAATGCCCAGATTCGCCAATGCGCCCCGAATGATACCACAGGGGAACCAAAGGTACTGGTTCAGTTAGTCAATGTTCTCCAGCATGTTGGGCAAAGTATCCCTACCGCCTGTGCCATAGATATAGCTTCACTCCGCACTGCCATGCTCATTCTCCCAAACGGTCGGAATGCGCTATCGGTCAAAACGTAGACCCCCTAGTCATTGGATTGCATCAGTGTCACGGTCATCTTCACGCCAGACCAAGCGCCTTTGCGCCTTTGCCATGGCAGTTGGGTTGACGTACCCGATGGTTCGTTTTCAAATTATCGATTTGTTTCTTAAATAGAACCGTCCACAAGTCCTTGCAGAGGAACTTGATCACATCCAGATTATCAGTAAAGCGAGGTCGGTCTCGGGCGAATCTGCACGGAGAATCCATTAGCATACCGCGTCATGTTGTGAGAGAGCCGAATGCCCAAACAGAGTGGACTTACCGCTCCGCGAGACCCTGTCCCACACGATAGCCCAGGGACTCTAGCCGAAAGAATGTTGCCTCTCTGACCTCTTCATCCTCCGGGTCCTTGCCCTCGGTCGCGAGTTCCTTGGCCATGCGCTCCGCCATGGGAACCAATTCTATGAGGAGGAAATCAAAACACGAGGAGCTGAAAACGCGGGCATTGGGATCCGCAGAATTGAGCGGGGAGGTCGAATCAAAAGACATAACGGACAAAGTTCGAGTGCTCAAGCTCCAAAGCAAAAGGTTGCGCCAAAAGGGTGATAGTAACAGGAAGGAAAGACGGGGTGAAGTTGGGGTCTGCGCTCGGCCCGAATCCACACTTATTTTGTACGCAACACTCCAACTAGTCTACGGAGTACTCCATAGACCATAGACACTGACAACAACCCTAACTACTTCAAGTGTACTATAAAAAGAACTACAGTGTAAAACAAGCCCCTGGATACTGTCATTGAATTTCGTCTAATTCAGTTGAGTCACACAATCCTCCCTGAATACAAAGTGATATCGTAAATCCCGATCACGCCAGAAACTCCGGAAGAAAAAGATGCACGAGAGAGCCTGGGCTCGAAACTTGGAAGCGTGATTCTAGGATGACGGTGGATGAGATCCGTTCAAAGGACTACTGGCAGGTGGGACGTAATAGTCTTGCCGCGGAAAGGATCGAGAAGGCAAGCTGGGGGCTAGTCGTTTGGCAGCCGGAGCAGGGGAGTTGTCCTCTTCGTCGCCGCTTTCAGTCAGATCGATGACCTGGGACACAGGCCGCTTCTTGCTAGACTGGCGAATAACAGAGGATGGGGTTGAAGCTTCTCGGGACTTCGACTGAGCCGGTGTCCGCTCCAAGGCAATGCTGGGGAGTCCGAATTCTTGATTCCCAGGCTCCTTTTTAACAGAGGGAAGTCCTGGCTCAGTGATCTCGATGAGATCGTCGTCGTCGTCGTCATCCGAAGTCGGGGTCATTCCACCCGCGTTCGTTGCATCGGAGTCTGTGGGGGTGGACCATACACCATCCGGCTCAACCGTGACTTGATCCACACGAGAGGAAGTAGAGTGGAGAATGTCATCGACATATCTATGAAATAGGTCAGCAAATGTGCCACATATTCTCACAGGGAAGGGGACGAACTGGTCAACCTGCAAAGACTCGAAGCTGGTCGATTTAGAACACACGGGACACGTCCACGTCGGAGCCTGCTTCTGCAGTTCAAGGAACGAAGATGCATCGAAGCACTGATTATGAGTGCATATAATGGAGCGACAGGGCACCTGAATCCGGAGAGTTGATAGAGGACATTTCAGTGACATGACGCTTGAAGTAGCGATGATATCGGTGTCGCTTGCTCGATTTTGCACTAGCAAACCAATGTTAGACTTGTGCTAGAGAACAGGGAAATGCCGGTGCTAATTACTTTCGCGTAGAACTTGTTCTTTCGAGATCAACTTTCTTGTCTTCAGCTCCGACACGAGTTTCTCAATCGGATGTTGCTGCACGAGGTTGGCAAGAGCAAAGAATTTCTAGAGTAAAAGTCAGCGATCCAGTCCCACAAAGAGTCTACTAGATAGACAACCGTGAACTTATCAACCTTTTGTGTCAGAGCATAAGTCATGACTATATTGTTAGGATAGTGTGCCTTTTTGCGAATGAGGCTGGTGACATCTGCGGGCTGTGTGGTACCAGGCCGATTCTTCAACCCTCTCAAGTTGGCTTTGACCTCATCCAGATTCACCTTGAGCTCTACTTGGTGCGGAAAGGCAATGTCAGACTTGGTGAACTGAGTCAAACCCGAGTCACCGGCACAATAAACCATCACTCGGGTGTCTAGGTCGGTCTGTAGTCTTTCGGCCGCTGAATATGACAGCATCACCTTCAACTCGACGCTATCTCTGGTGTTTTCGCGGACTGGGATATATCAGACACATGGACTCAAAGGATAAAATGACCTGGCAAGGGGCTGCCTGAACGTACTCTTGCATTCTACAACCGGAGTCAGAGACTCTATCACGGTGAAGAATGGACTGTCTTTGAAGATCAGAGGCCCGGGGGATTTGGGGGCCGGAGCTTTCATGACTGGGGCGCTTGGACCGGTGGTATATGTAAACGGTGACATTGAGATTCCGGGACCTGTCGAGCGAGCCTGTGCAGGAGACTGAGATACGGGCGGTGCTTGATACTGCGGCTCTGAGTGCCCTAAGGACGACGCAGAGTGGGGCCAGATGATTGAGCGTATGTACGCCACGAGCGCTTCATAACTGACTGTATCTGACTCTGCCAAATTTTGGAGTCCTATGGTTTGAAAGGTTAGCGCACACACACACACACACACACACACACACACACATATATAGTGGCCCATTGGATTGTGAGGACGTGGGCAAATAATAGGAAGAAGTGAGGAACCACTGATTTGCCAGTCAGAGAGGGGTTCACTCACGATGAATAATGCGAAACTGCAGAGTTGCCTTCAGTCCCGATACCTGCAGTCCTTCATGTCTCAGCAGAAGCTTCAGTTGTGGGTTTGTCAGAGTCTTGATGTAGGTTGTCATCGTCGGCACATCTGTGTCTGCTGGCCCATATGCCGACATGATTTCAGATGAAAGTCCGGGAGTGAGTCCACTTCCTCGAAAGACAGTCCAGTTTAACCAGGCCAATTAAGGAGCCTGCATGAATACATTGGCCGCGAGGTGAGAGAGTCGTCAACTGTCGCGAGGGACCTTCGATCGGAGTGGAAGTGTCTCCGGATGACATAAGATCCCTATCGCGGGAAAAAAAGTTGTTATCGCTTTTTTTTCTTCGGCCTCTTCTTTTGATCAAGTCGACAGTTTTTTCTGGTTTCTTTTCTTGTTCTGTTTCTTTCTCGTCTCCAGCTCTTCTACCATCTTCCTTTCGCCATGGCTAAGAGTATCCGTGCTAGCGTTTCCAAGCGCAACCGCGCCACCCTGCGCAAAAACTTCTTCGGTCCCATCGTTGACGCCCGAACTGAGAGACTCCACGCCAAGCTCCAGGAGCTTGCCGATAAGCCCCGGCCTGAGGCCCCGGAGAAGTCCAAGAAGGAGCAAGCCGAGGATGAGGCCGGTATGTTGTGTTTTCTCCCATCATTCAGAGAACCCCAGCTTACCTATGATAGACCAAGCAGCCAAGGCTCAGCTCGGTGGCGATGAAGGTATGTTTTTACGGCTACCCTCCTTCTGTTCCACTGGTATTGCAGAAATCTAATTCTATCACAGCCATGGATGTTGACACCAAGGCCCCTAAGAGCACCAAGAAGACCGGTCGTGTGCAAAAGCGCAACCAGAAGCCCCGCAACTCGATTGTCTTCAAAAAGCGTCAATCGTCTGGCAAGCGCGGATCCAAGAAATAAAGGGTCTATCCCCATGAATTGAGAACCAGAAAACCGGCGTTTTGGGAGTCCACTTACGATTACATTGCCACGTACATATATGTGCTTCATAGTGATATACTGATATACCGAGAAATGAAATGGATTCAGAAGCATGTCGACTGTTGAGCCAATTGGAGGTCTGGGCAGGGGGGATCCTGTAGTGTTACAAAGGTATACAGAACAAAGTATACAGAAAGATCGAACTATAGTCGAGAAGTGTGCAATGCAAATATGCCAATGTACAACGTTATCGAGGCCAAGATCTACAGGGCGGTGTGCATAAATCGCGTCGATCGTAAACATCGGGTTCCGCCCCTGTAGGCATTCAATGCTCTTGCGATCTGCATCCTTATGCTTGGATTTGATTTGGTGTGGATTTGATGGAATTCTGTCTATACCGATAAAATGGGCTTCCGCGCCACGGTGATCGCCAATCTGCTGATCCCCGTGGGCATATTGATCTTCTGCTCGGGCTTCTTCCCCTATAAACCACTCATTCCAGGACTGGCGACCCTGGAGACTGAAGATGCAGCCCCTGCAATCTTCGACAAGGTTATTTTCATGGTAGTTGACGCGTTGCGGAGGTATGGCATCGAAAAAGCCCCAATATCATGCACCAGCTAATGAGGCACCAGCGACTTTGTGTATTCAAATGACTCGGGATTTCAATTCACGCAGAGGTGAGTGCAGATTCCTGAACGTCGTGGGTGCAAGCAAGCAATTGACACTGGGGTAGCCTGATTCGTTCTGGCGCTGCATTGCCGTTTACTGCATATGCAAGCTCTCCAACCGTCACCATGCCTCGGTTGAAAGCCATCACTACTGGCTCTGTTCCATCTTTCTTGGACGTAATCTTGAACATTGCAGAATCAGACACTTCTTCCACGCTGGCATACCAAGACACATGGTTGGCCCAGTTGAAAGCGGCGGGAGGGCGACTGGTGATGTACGGCGATGATACCTGGCTGAAGCTGTTCCCCGGGATGTTTGACCGAGCAGATGGGACAACCAGCTTCTTCGTGTCGGTTGGTACCCGAGATGACTTGATCAACATTACCAGCATTGAAACTGATCCTCTTTCAGGACTTTACAGAAGTAGATAATAACGTGACTCGGCACGTTTCCGACGAGCTTTCCCAAGACGATTGGTCTGCCTTTATCATGCACTATCTGGGGCTCGATCACATTGGACACAAAGCTGGCCCGAAAAGGTACATGAAACATTCCGCTCCGCTCCGACTTGTCTCTAACAATCCAGTCCCTTTATGGTACCAAAGCAGCATGAGATGGATAATGTGGTGAATGAGGTTTATACCGCCATACAAGAAGAACCACACCTTCAGTCCACACTTTTCGTCCTATGTGGAGACCACGGTATGAATGAAGCTGGCAACCATGGCGGGTCCTCTGCCGGCGAGACATCTCCCGCTTTGCTTTTCATGTCGCCTAAATTTGAACGATTGGGCGGCAAGGAGAGCCCTGTGGAACCGTCGGGAGAAATGAAGTACTATCAAACCGTTGAGCAGGCAGATATTGCCCCAACTTTGGCCGGGCTTCTCGGTGTTCCGATTCCTTTGAATAGTTTGGGTGTATTCATTCCAGATTTCTTGGAAATGTGGGATCAGAGTATGTGTGCCTTTTCTGGATTGATACACTCGAGTTGACTTGAAAACAGGTTCCCACAAGATTCGCATCCAGTATCAAAATGCGAAACAGTTATTGAAAACGGTTACGACAACCTTCCCAGGCGTTTCTTTCAATCCTGACCACATAGGACCATGTGAGAATGAGGCTACGTCGGGGATTGAAGGTGCTCAATGTGCATGGGCTCGAACTCAACAGATCCTCGCTGGCGCGGAAGATGATGACTTTCACAAAACAGCCAGTTCAGCCTTGTCACAGTTCTCGAAGACTGCACAAGATGTAATGAGCCGCACTGCGAGTAATTATGATGTATCCAGACTTGGCTTAGGACTTTCAGTCACCCTCATTGCGAGTCTGTTCGTCTTCCCGGCCACGATGCGGGGAATTACGCGACAAAAGCTACCAGGGTCATTTTTGACGATCATGATCTTGACATATGCGCTCATGATGTTCGCAAGCAGCTATGTGGAAGAAGAGCAACAATTCTGGTATTGGATCTGTTCCGGATGGATATTTTATCTCCACCTCAAATCCAACACTGCCAAAGAACGCACGCGCTCGGGAGCATGGGCGTGGTTTGGACCATCTAGCGTTTTGCTGCTTGCCATCTGCCAACGACTTTTACGCCGATGGAACCAAACAGGGCAGAAGTTTGCAGCGGAGCCTGATATTGCTCATACATTCTTTGGGCGTCATCCAGAAGTCTTCTGGATGCTCCTGACACTGACATACATCGATGCCGGCCTCGGTCTTGTCCGCAAAGTGCGGCTTCAAGGGGTCCCATGGCTAGGTGCCATGGCTGCTTTGCTTCCTGCTACATTGGCATTCACTTTCAAGGTGCATTTTGCGGCATCGGAATCACCAGAGCTCTTGGAAGGGACATTTATTTCCCAGATCGTGGAGAGATGGCCCTACAGTTTATCCCTAGTGCTGCACGCCAGGCTTGTATTCTATGGACTTGCTATTATTGCCCTGGCAGCACTCCTCGGCGGGAGGCGCTCCAACTCTGCCAACGGTAGGCTATCTTCCCACGCATGCCGATTCTCACCTGGGAGAACGTGGCTAATCAAACTTTCCCCAGTAGTACACGGCAGTATTCATGGCGTCTTGCACATCTTCCTCATGACACAGTCCCGTGTCACGAATGTGCCCATGTTCCTTCTTTTCCGAGTGACTGCCAGTATTCTTTCTGCCCTGGACCTCACGGGAATGGAGGTCACCATCACCACTCTGATCTTCCAATACATGACCTTCTTCGCCTTCGGTGGCTCGAACGCCATCTCTTCCGTGGATCTTGCCAGCGCATATAATGGTGTTGGCAGCTACAATGTGGGGCTGGTGGGCTTTTTTGACCTTTGTGAGCAACTGGGCCGGTCCTATCTGGTGGGCTTCAGAGAACCACCTTCTGCGATCCAAGGACACTGCCTACAACGCCTCCGCACTGCTCACCTTCCATGTGGCCATATCCACGGCTTCTGTGATGGCGGCGTGCACTGCACTCCGCACCCATCTGTTCATCTGGACCGTCTTTTCACCCAAATATCTCTACAGTATGGCGTGGGCGACTGCCAATCACGTTGCTGTCAATCTATTAGCCGAGATAATTTTTGCTTGGTCTCAATAATGTGATGATCCATACAGTCTACCAAAATTTGAACTTCATCCAAATACACAGTTGCATTTGATCAAAACACGCGAGTCACAGGGGGTATAGAACCAATTATAATAAACCGCTAAACAAATCATCAATGGCGTTTTTCTTCTTTTTCGTCTTCTTGGCACTCTTCAAAGCGCTGCGGTCCTTGGTCGACTTTTCTTCCGGTCCAGCCTTGTTAGGCGGAGGTAGGGCTGAAGGCGGGACTGAAGGTAGTGACACGTCCTCGACACGTCGAATCCGTTCCCCAAGATCCTCTTGAATGACTGCCGAGGCAGGATTCCTGGCTTTACTTGTTGTCGAGCGCTTCTTCATCTCCTGGCTGATTCCCGTGATTTTGGACAAGCGCGCCAAGGCCGCCAGAAGTACCACCCCCAGAGTAGAAAACTGGTTATCAGCAACCACAGTAGAGAAAGCTCTAATGCAAAAGTCAGCATATTCCCCCCATATAAACAGAAAGAGACATACACGTAGCACCGCGGAATAATGTGAGCTGCCAGGTGTTGCTTCTGGGCCTCCATCGCGCTGGGCTCAGCCTGTGCCAGGTCCGCGGTGGCACGCTTCAGCATAGAAAGCCATTTCCACCATTTCGTTCGATGGTGTTGATTCTTGTTGCGGTGAAATATGAGATGAAGCAATGAATGCACCGCTAATAATTCTTCCATGACTCAAGTTGCGAAATTGTAGAAGTACAAGTGCAGTTGAAGTTGGGAGAAGTTTGCGAAAAGAAAAGCGGGTCCGATGGGCTCGGCACTTTCGTTTACTTCAACCTTCACCCTTCAACCTTCACCCTCACCTTCACTTCCTTCTCGTATATCCTCACGTATTTCCCTCGCTTGCTCCCTTGTACTACATCTGCGATTCTATACTGATTTACGCCTACTGGCATCAGTCGCATCTCCACGTTTTCTCGTATTTTCTGTTCTGAACTAGCTAAACCCTCCATGGCGAGCTGGCCACGCAAGTCCGAGGAAGAGTCGAGGACACAAAGGTCCTAGTCACATATGTCTGCTTCTCAATCTGTCTCTCTGTCGTCTTTTTTTTGTCGTGTTTTGTTGTTTTCCATCGTTTTTTTCATCTTTTCTTGGGCCTTTTCTTGTGACTGTTGTTCATAGATGAGTTTGCTGAAAACCCCTGATGGTAACTCCCTGCTGATGACGAAAGTATTGGCCATTGTTGAAATAGACCATTCCAGACGCAATCAAGACGAAACCTGAGATATTGAGGCTCGCCTAGTAAATCGAGAGTTGACTATCGCCGATCCCTCCAGTTGAAGCGTCGGTTAGCGTCAGTTGGTGCGGGAGAAGTTGCACCTCCAGAAGCTTGACGTGCCAAAAGTCGGTTTTGACGACGATTCGGCGGGGCTGGTGGTCGACCGACCTGAGGTCCCCGAGTACCCTGCGATCCTCGATTAGCCGGGCCCCCTCGAGCAGCCTGGGTTCCTCGAGCAGCACTTGTTTCACGACCAGATTGGGCATTCCCACCCCTGGCCCGTCCTTCCCGACCGGCTTCCGATGGAGCGTTGTTCCCAGCCCGCAAAGTAGACAACTGTGGAGGCCGGGTGCGATAGATCCGAGGAGAGTCTCCAGGGCGAGGGGTTACCGGCGAGGCAGGATTGATCGTCCGAGACACATGCGGGGAATTCGTAATGCCCCGGCGGTTAGTACGAGGGGTTGCCAGATTTCCCCTCTGATCGGAGTTCCGAGATGCACCGCTCACGTTGCGGCGATGGGGTGTGTAAAGCCCTACCATCGAGTCAGTGTCAACATATCCAAATTCCAGGTGCCGCAAGGATGCCATACCTTGCTGGTTGGTGGCCACAACGGAACGCCGGAGCTTGCTGGGGTCATTGGGTCCAGGGAAAGGAGCCTCCCTTCCGATGCTGGGACCGCTGACATAGAACAACTGCGTCGGGTCAGTGTGAAACAGAAAAACAATCAGAGGTGTCAACACTTACGCGAGGACGTTGTTCGGGGGGGCCGGATCATCACCGTGCTGTTACGGAATTTGGCGACCAATGCATCCTTGCCTTGCATGGCTGTCGACAAACGTCAGTCATAAATTGTGTCAGTTGGAGCGAGGAAAACGAACCGGCATAAGACAAATGCACCCGCTTGTCGGAACCGGCAACACCCGGCCTGTGAGATGGAGTCAATATATGCGTCCAAAGTTCGAACAAGATGAGGATCCTTACCAATTTGTGCCCTGAAAGTTGTCGACCAGCTGGATCGAAAAGTAAGTACACCTTGCCAAGCACAAAAAACCACACCCATCCAAGACTCACAGTGACGATATCCATGGGCTATTTGAGTGGTCAGCATATGAATCAAGAACAAAGCCAGGAAATAACGTACATCAGGAAAGTTCACGAAAGCATATCCGACGCTGCAAAAAGAATTGGTGAGTAACGTGCGAGAATTATCTGGCGCCATCGTATTCTTACTTGCAATCGTGCATAAAATCTAGGACTGGTTAGTCTGACTGTTCGACAGGGAGAATCGAATCTACTTACCCATCCGCAGATAGAGGAAATCGAACTTCCCGAAAGACCATTGATCGATATGTCGCTTGAGTTCCTCCTAAAATCGAATGGATCAGCAATGTCCAACAAAGCAAGGGGACAAAAGACCGCACCGCTGAAACCCGATTCGGGATGTGCCGAATCATCAAAGTAGTCCGCAAGTCTTCTCCCTGGCGAATCCTGTTGAGATCAATATCATGATCAATGGCACCATTCTCCATGAGCAAAGGAGAAACTGGAGACGTCGGAACAATCTCCATCTTCATGTCTGGCGACGAGTTGTATGGAGTGGTTGGCGGAGGAGGAGTGCTGGAATGGTATTTGCCTCGTTGAGAAGGAGGAGAACCCGGAGCAGAAACGTTGAATCGAACGAACTGGACTCGCATCAGCATTGTACAGCTTCACAGGGGGGAAGAAACGAAGAATACTCACGCCGATCAGCAGATTGTCCAGACCGCTGTGTGCGTTTTCTGCATGTTGAATATCGTGATACTCAACGCGGTATTCATGTACGCTTGCGTTGTCCTCGCTGACGACCTCGAAATGTCGGAGGCTCCCAAACGTCACGAGAACTTCGTGCACGAAAATATCGCTCTGGGGAGTCATGTCCAGCTCACGTTGGTCCATGAATGCGAGGACCTCAAGCCGTCCATCTTCCTGACTCAACCTGTTTGTGAAGGGCCCGGTGAGGCCAAGGGCAACGACTTCTTGAATGGTCGTGTATCTCATGTGCCACTGGGGACGTTCGGTGCTAAGAGCCCTGAAGGCCGCTTCGGAATCCCGGACATCACCAAACAAAACGGCAAATCGTCCGTTTCGATGGATCTGTCGAATGCAGACACCTCGAATTGATGGATAAGTCATGACCTACGTTGTGTTAGCTTCTTTCGATGGTTCAATTGTGCGATACGACTCACTGGGAACATTGAGACCACATCCCCGTTCCGGGTGTCGAGCGGAATGTGCTCCACGATGAATGCACGGCGTGCCATGTCATTTGGGTGACGCCGCGGGAAACATGGGTTCGAGCCTCGAAGACCAAGAGGCTGGGACCATACAGCCGAAGAACTCGGTTGGCTGTGCAGTTCCATTGCACCGCCGTGGGCGTGAGATTGGCTGGAAACACCTTGACGGTAGTCGAATGAAGAGGCCATTGAAGCGAGGGAACCCTGAGCTGGATCGTATGGGAAATTAGCCACCTCCCGGGAGGGAGAGTAGGGATCCTGCAGACGACTATGGTTGCCAATCAGGTTGTTGTTCACGGCCCTTGGGAACTGGCTTGCTGCAATGATGTTTCGTGCACTGGCGGCGGCGGACTGCAACCCCAGAGATGAGAATGGAGTCAACCGCTGGTGACCGGTTTCATCGGAAGGTGTGTTCTGTGTCCAGGCACCAGGCTGACTATGCCAGTGCTGGGACATGTCTCGCAGAGGAGGCAGAGGAGGCAAAACGGCAGGACTATCCTCAGAGATCGTGCCGAGAGGATTGGCCTGACCCGCCAGGTTCAATTGAGCCATGGCTTGAAAAGGCTGGGAAGTACGCGAGATTGGCCGGGTAGAGGCTGAAGAAGATTGATCGGAAGTTGGGGTGGGTTGGGCAATGCCTTGGACAGGCTTGGTGTCAGTGTCTGAGGCAGACTGCATAGCACCCGGAACAGCGGGCAAATTCCAGCCGGCGAACGGGTCACTACAGAAGGATGTCAGCATGTTCAATGTGTTTTTTAGGTTCAAATTGGCCTTACAGCTGGACACGACGACGACGAGACTCAACTCCAGCCAGAGGAGGTGGGCCTTCGTTACGAGCGCCTCCCACAGCCAGAGGACTGAAGGCAAGCAGTTGCTTGGAGGGCGAGCCACGATTTGATTCACCCATGATTGGAAGAAGAGGAAGAGACGTTGGTAGATGCCGGATGAGTGAAGACCTAAGCAATGTCAAACGATCGGCGAAAGAAGAAGAGGAGGGAAAAGGAAGGGTGCGAAAGGAAGGGAACAGTGAAATCACCCGGACCGTCTCCCCTCAGCCAACCGGCGAAAAAAAGCGTTGCAGCGGAGTGTCCATGGATCTTGATCCAGATTGAAGCCTACATACCTGATTCTAATTCAAATACAGACGATCGACCTATTGATCGACGCGTCTGTATCTGGTGGATTCGAATTTCAATAGCTAGATGCAATGGTGTTGTTGTGTCGAGGATAGGGGAGTGTGAGGATAGGAGAAGAGAAAGAGAAAGAAGAGCTCGAAATGAGCATTTATACAGTCAAGTCACAGACCCTTTCCCCCAAAGACCAGCTCAAGATATCTCTCCCCATCGCCCTTCTACCCTCACATTTTCTTCTCACTTTGCTTCTACGCCGGCAAGTTCTCCAATTGTTGCAATCGCCGCGACTGTACACACCATTTACGAATGATTTTGACCACTGACTCTAGATCATTATATCTTTCCAGGAATGTTTTAAAGTACACAGTGATCACCGGTTTTAAAGACGCTGTTCACTAGGGTATCTTATGCGACTGGCGTGTTGAATTCGGAATATACAGGCTGGCTGGTATTTATCACAACCTTGAACCATATATTATGCCTCCAGTATAATAGCCTACCTATCAACACACAAGCCTTGGAACACTAGATACCTAGGTAAATCTCAAATACTAACCAAACTTCTACTAGCACTAATGGCGATTATCGCTGGATACTGGTCCTAATTTAGAATACATAGGATCACAGCCAACCTCCAGGGCTTGGAGCCGTTACACCTTTCAATCTTCAACTTCAAAAGCTAAGAATAATGCTACATAAAGCCATATATTCCACACATACACACATATATATATATATATATATTACACAACCTAGCACATTAACTAAATATAGCTGTAGAATCAGAAAACCAGTGGTTCGTTTACCAGAGGTCGTGAAGTTAGGGCTATAGTTGTGATGCCAAGACCGTTCTGACCGCCTTGGATGACGTCCTGGTGTTCCGATTTACACGTCTCCAGAGTTCAGACCCCTCTGCGCGCCAAACGACTTTCTTGCTGATATTTGCACTTGGCTATGAAGTCGAGTGCTTATGCCTCCCATGGCTCCGCTCAATGAGCCGCATGTTCTCAACCAAGTGAGATCCATTGTTGAACCCCCACGTGGTGTATACTGATTCAGGCCAACCCAGATTATTATCTCGCCCTCAGATACCGACTACCTGGACCAGCTCATACCCTCAATACGAGATTACAGTGTCGGAAACCGCACCCCTCAGCTCCTCCAGTCTCTGTCGCGATTTGCGGGGGATAAAGAATCCGAGATAGAGGGCATCTGCAATACAAATCACCAGGAGTTCGTTTCGTCGGTCAACTCCTTGCTTCGTATTCGGGAGGGCACCGTGAGTCTGACCGCAGAAATCTTGGACCTCAATCAATCCATTCAAACCAGCACCGAACGCCTAGCCGAGCAGAAGAAGGCGCTGGTGGAATCGCGCGGCCATCGACAGAACATAGATGAGACCTCGCGCGCCATCCAGGATTGCTTGGAGGTATTGCGATTGGCCAACCAGGTACATGATCTGCTCGCAAAGAAAAACCACTATGCAGCGTTGCGCGCGTTGGAAGAGCTACAAAATGTCCACCTGAAGGGGGTAACCCAGTACAAGATCGCAGTCATGATCCAACGGTCGGTCCCGGCCACCCAGCGAGCAATTGCGGAAGCTGTGATGTCTGATCTGAACACCTGGCTGTATCGAATTCGAGAAATGTCTCAATACCTCGGGGAGATCGCGCTTTTCCATACAGATCAGCGCAAGACCAGACAAAAGCAAAGAGCGGAAAACGTGCCGTATCTTGAGCATTTCAGTCTAAATTCCGCAATCGAATTGGTATCCGATGAAGACGAAGAGTACGACCTGCTTCATAACGAGGATCTCCAAGTCGATTTTACCCCACTGTTTGAGTGCTTGCATATCCACCAGTCACTGGGACACATGGACAAGTTCAGAATCGAGTATGCGACCACTCGAAGAAGACAGAAAGAGCTATTGCTTCCTTCCTCAATCACCTTGATTGATGAAGATGGCTCTAGCCTTCACAATCTTCTGGAAGAGATGGCTGGTTTTGCCATTGTCGAGCGTGCCACAATGAAGCGCGCTCCCGATCTCAGATCGTCTGTTGATGTAAGACACCTTGGTTTTTTGATTGCCTCATCTTTATCATACCAACCGGCCAGCATCTTGAACCCCTTACCCCACGATAGTATTTATCAGTAATCTAACCAATTGTTCCGCACAGATTGATGAGTTATGGGACTCGATGTGTCAGGGAGCCGTGGTATTGATATCCAAGGCACTTCCCGAAGTCGACAACGCCGAAAGCATTCTCAACATCAAGAATCTGATTGCGCTCTTCATGCAGACTATGAATGTTGGTAAATCCAAATCCATCTCGACGAGTTCAAACAGCTAAACATACGTTCCGCAGACATGGAGCTTCCCGGTGCGAGTCTTTGATGACTTCTTGTTGAAACTATTCGAAAAGTATGCGGAGCTTCTCAAGAAGCGGTTCAGTGACGATTTCCAAGAGGTGAGACAAATCGACCTTGATGGTCTCTCCGTAGGATGCTGACTCTACTAGATTGTATCGACGGATGATTACATGCCAATGCCCATACAGACCCAAGAGGAGCATGACAAGGTGCTCAATGTGAGCTGGTATAACCCCGAGAAGCCTCGGGAGGAACAAGTGTAAGTTTTACCGGGCAGTCAACATGCTATTCATCGTACAAACCTCATTGACGATTCACCAGTTTCCCATGCATTTTACCATTCTCTCGAATGTATCCGCTATGCTGCATTGATATTCGGAATTTCTTGAATCAATTCTACTTTTTCGCTACCGATGGTTTTGCAAACACGAATGTGATTGATGAGACCCTGAAAAATGTAAGTTTTCGTTGAACGGGTCCAGCCATCCTAGTCATATTTGCTAACGACCCAGGACTTGGACGACCTTCTTTCACAAAAGGTCTGTGACACATTAGTGGAGCGTCTTTCCTCGCAATATTTGGGACAAATTGTTCAGATTCTCATCAATTTGGAGCATTTCGAGCTGGCTTGTCGTGAGCTAGAGCTTTTACTGGCAGCTGCTCGTTCACAGAACTCCACCGGTACTTCAATTGCTCTGAAAGCCACCGAAAAATTCAGAAGCAATAAGAAGGCGGCTGAGAAACGCATCTTCGAGGTTGTCAATTCCAAGATTGATGATCTCATTGAAACAGCAGAGTACGAGTGGATGTCTCCCACGCCTCCTACAGAGCCCAGCAACTACATGCAAACTTTGACGCGGTTCTTGTCCAATATCATGAACTCCACATTACTGGGACTTCCGACGGAAATCAAGGAGCTCATCTACTTCGATGCCCTTAGTCATGCTGCTAACATGATTTTGGTAAGTTTTTGACATATAATCACACCATTCATGTATCCATTTGGAGTCATGCTCACTGTACCCTCAGGCGCAACCGCTGTCCCCGGATGTGAAGAAAATCAACACCAACGGAGTATCTGCTCTGGCGAAGGATGTTGAATATCTTGCAGAGTTCGTGGACAGCTTGAATGTACCTATCCTGCGCGAGAATCTCGACGAGTTGCAGCAAACGGTGCAGTTGATGCAGGCTGACAGTGCAGACGAGTTTTACGACATTTCTACGAGGAACAAGAAATACGGACGTGTGGATGCTATGCAAGGGCCGGTCCTACTTGAAAAGTGCGTGTTTCATCTGTTCTTCCTCTTCCCATTCGCATACTGACTGACTGTTTTATCAGGCTTACCCGCACTGTTCAAGCTCCAACCAAGACCGACAAATTTGCGCAACTCTCTTCGCGCTTCAAGAAGACCGGATAACTCTTCAAATACACCGACAGGGTGTATTTCTTCAAGCATCTACTGTTGGATGACACCGAAGCCATAGGCTCGAATGCTACAATAATTCCATACCCTAAACTTTTGCAGCCTCTCTTTTACCGTTATGTTTCTTGTTCGTGTAGTAAAACATGGATTCTAGAGGGATCACACCCGGAGCATAACTTTGTCAAGTAACCCAAGTAAACCCAGATCATTGGTATCAACGGTTGTCCTTTACGCGAGGACGTAGAAAAAATGAATAACAAAGATAGAATCATAAACACTAAAGACCGGAATTCGCCTGTGAACGCACATGAAATATTAAGATGGAGCCAGTTGCCCATGGCATGTTCACTATATGGCCTGTTAGCCTGTGCGCCGGAGACAAGGTGCCTTGGGGGTCATACCTGCTGGGGAGGAAGGTGTGGGTAGGCATACATCCCCTCGAACATCTGAGACTGGGGCTGACCGTACGCCGCAGTCGGGTCTGATTGGACCGCACCGGGATACATGGCAGGCTGCGGGCGATATTCCTGCTCTTGAGGCATGCCATGTTGACCCAGAGCGCCGTAGTCTGCAGGGCCCATGTGCTGGTGTGGCTGCACGCCGTGGGGCGCAGTTTGCATGGGGGCAGTGGAGGGACCTGGCGCGGTAGCACCGGCCTGGCTGGACCGTTTGGCGTGCGAAGTCGCCTCTTCACGGGGAACAATGTCAATCAGGAAATCGAACATATCGGACTTGGAAAGAGCGGCGGCAATGTCTGAGCGCTGTAGCGTGCGACGCTTGTTGTCTTCGGCGTGGATCCAGGCGCGCATAGTGAGCTCAGTGATGAAAATATCGCAACCCTTTGCGAACAAGATAGGCGCCTCGGCGGAAATCATCTTGACCTCTGGGTCGGCCTTCATCACCTTCTTGATGCGAGCCAATGGCAGCTGGTGGATCTTGTAGTCGTGGTTATCGGATTCGAGGTGGTTGATGACATGTTGCCAGTAGGTCGTTAGGATATCACGGGCAGTCCCCTGGAGACCTTGGTTCACCTATCGGTGGGGGTGAGCTTTTGGTGCAAGAAGGACTCGATCGCGAACTTACGTTGGCCCAGGTACCCGTGTATAGCTCGGCGACTGGCGCGTAGCCTTGCGCAGAGAGCTGTCCGACGTCAGTCAACATCCAAGGTATTTTGCGCGATCGCTAGATGGTAGAATCTTCGCGTGGACTCTAGACGTACCGCTGCACTAGCACCTGCATGGATAGTTCATGTCAGTCTTACTCCAGATTAATCGCGTAGCACAGGCATCTCCAAGCTCTCTGGGGGGTCAGAACCCCCCAGACAGCTCTCGCGCATTCAACAATTTGGGATTCAATTTACCGTAATGACCGCCATTCCTGATGTCATATACCGGCTGCGGCTGTTGCTGCCTGCCTTGCTGTCCAACACTTTGAGGAGCGGGCTCCATGTTCGCGATGTCTGATATATCTGGTACGGGAGAGTCACGCGATCGGGATGAATACTCGGTAGTGGGTACTCGAGATTCAGAGGATTGGTCAACTGCCAATAATCACAAATAATGCGTCGACGTTAGGAGCTCAGTGTAGGTCGCGTTGGGTCGCCAAGGGTGTTCAGCTATCTGACGTTTCCGGGTTCTCCCCGCGCTTCTTACCAGGTATTGATATGTTTTCTTTTACGGTAATTTTGCCTTTGGGGACGGCAATCCGGAGATTTTTAGTGCAATTGTGCTTGTACAGAATGAAATACCCTGTATATTCAGCTGGCGAGCTGTTCCTGAGCCCCTTTTCTCTTTGATATCAAGGAGAGTGTACTCCGTATACTCCGTATACTTGGTATCAATACAAGATACGGTATTGAATACAATGTCACATGACCCCAAGCAACACTAAGCAGAAATTTCTGTTTGTCTCCGAAGCAAACACAGCTGAGCTAAAAAAAAAAAATATAAATTCCCTCCATGCACCTGCAACCTTCTTCTTCCAACATGGCTGACTCCACATTTGTCGAGGCCAGTCCTCAGGATCTGACTGATGATCAGATTCAACAACTGCTCCTTGAAGCAGAGACCAGACTGCGAGGTCCTAATGCAGTGGCTCCAGTCGACGACCTTGCATCCATCCGGATTCCCAAACTCTCAACGGGCTCTTCATTAGAGGCATACGTCCAACAGGGAGACGATGCAGCTACCGTCAATGCCACCAAGATTGCCGATCCCACACAGAAGAAGTTGGCCAACTCTCTTCACGCCGTTGGGAAGAAGGAAAACAAAGTAAGTCATGCCGTCTATTATCTTCCCTTCCCTCCCTGCTATGAGGAAAACATTCCCAACGCAAAGCGCTTGATACGGCGTCAGCAGTCCGTTCTGGGCTGTGCTGTACTAGTGAGAGCCATTTATAATCATAGTTACTCTGAGCATCTTCTTCACAATCTTCTATTCTCGGTGTGCACTGTGTGATCAATTACTGACGTACGACACCCGTTAGGAAAAACCCAATGCCGGACCTGCATGGTTCAACCTCCCCAAGACTGAAATGACCGCAGAGCTCAAGAGAGATCTTCAGCTCATCCGCATGCGTTCTGTGCTTGATCCTCATCGACACTACAAGAAGGACAACGGCAAGGCCAACCCCCCTGAGTACTCTCAGGTGGGAACCATCATTCAAGGCCCCACTGAATTCTTCAGCAACCGTATCACCAAGAAGGACCGCAAGAAGAACTTTGTCGAAGAGACACTGGCTCTGGAGCGTGGTACCAAACGTTTCGAGAAGAAATACCGGGACATTCAGACTGCCAAAACCAGTGGAAAGAAGTCTTTCTACAAGGACCTGCAGGCCAAGAGACGTCGCAACAACAAGTGAATATTTCGTATTTACTTCTAATTTGCGATTCCTTCCGGGTGCAACCTACACACGCACACCTGGACCGAGGTCACCGTCCCATCGTCTCAACCCGGGCTCAGGCTTGAGCAAAGATATCCAACAGGGTTTGGGCAACCAAATTCTGGTACTGTCAGCTCCACGACTTGCAGCAATGTGTAAAATCCTCTTACCTGCATGTCAAGAGCAGCCGCTCGGCCGGCCTCGAGAACCTCTTCGTGTCCCGCTTTGCCCTCTTCGAGGACGGCATTCAACTCGTCTGCCGACTTACCCTGCAACACCGCCTCATCTCCCCTCGGCACCGGAGCCAACACAGCCTTGTTGGTGACCAAACTGAAGGCAAGCACGCGAAGACCACAGTGTCTGGCCGTCACAATCTCCGGTACCGTGGACATGCCCACCACATCGGCTCCGAGCATTTGAAGCATCCGGCTTTCGGCTCTTGTCTCGTAACTGTGCCTTGTTACAACTCATCCGAGTTCAATGTTCAGATCGGGAGACTCACGTCGGGCCTCCCACATAGGCATACACACCCTCGTGCAACCTTCTCTTACTTTCTGGTGATGAGATCTTCTTCCATGTTTGATGCACATGTCGACGAAGCTCTAGGTCATACGCATCCGACAGGGGTGGGAATCGTACACCGAAATCATCCTCGTTAGGTCCTCTCAGTGGATGAGTTCCCGCCAGACCAGCTAGGAAGAGATGCTGGGAATGAGTGTTAGTTAACCATTCAACTCCAAAGGGTGGGATTCTCTTGCATCATTCAGTAGGACAAGATCTCCTACTTCATATCCAGAATTGAGACCTCCGGCCGCATTGGTCACTACTTCACGTTAATACTCCCTCTTGTAGCACGCACATGTAGCACTTACAGACGACCGTATCCACGCCCAGTTGCTTGAACACTCGAATAGGGAATGCTACCTGATCAATCGAGTGCCCTTCGTAGTAACTACGCCCACGTCAGTTGGAGCAATGCAAGATCATCCCATGTACTCACTGAGCACGACCAACCATCAAGACAGCAGGAATCTTCTGGCCGAGGTGACCAAAAACCAACTTTCCAGCATGTCCAGCGACTGTAGACTGTTAGAGTATGCTGGGTGACTTCCACTATTGAAAGAGGGACGACCAACCCGTTGAGCGAGGGAAGTGAGGGATCGCCGTGTAATCATATTCAGTCCGTGACTCGGGATGAATAGTATCAGCGAGTCCTCCCAGTCCGGAGCCGCATACAATCGCGACTTGAGGCTTTTGAAGGCCTGCTGGCAAGCTGGAGCGGAGGTAAGCGACCGCCTCGTTGGCGCGCTCAAACGCGGACAGGTTTGACATATTTTATTGAAGATGTCAAAATCGAAAGAACAGGCAGAGAGCTGTAGCAGACAACTTTTCTCAAGTGCGGAGTCATTTGGTTTCATTGGCTGGCTTGGCGGGGTTGATCCAATATATGCACTTCTTTCGGACGCCAACGACCTTGTACACCTTCGATGTTCCTCCAGGGCATTGTGATCCAGTTTGAGATGCTTCAATGAGCGACCAGTCCAACTAGGACACAACGTACATAGTATACCTGAAGATGTAGTTGAGAGGAAACATCAACCTTACCAGCGGACTTGGATGTATAAATATGTAGTGGCTGCAAGAAGACTTTATACGACTTCTGAACATTCGGGAGTACCTCACATTCCAAATTTCCTACACTGCCTGTTTTTACTACAAGTTCCTCTCCTATTTGAGCCAATCCAAAAGAAAACCAGGACAGTTCAGCCAGTTCAGCCAAGCAGGACTCTATCGCCAGGTCCTCACCGCCTTGGCATCGGCTCCCCGAAAAAAACCCATTCGGCCAACAACACCAGGCCCTTGTCCAAATCACAACCAACAATGTTCTCATACACATCGCGCTCCCTATTTGGAGTGAGCAAGCACCTCAAGGTATGCTACTATAATTGACATGAGATCCTCGCCTTAAACTCACCCGCAAAGGTGCCTGTGCCATTCCGCGCTCTATCAACTCCAAGCCAGCCGACTCCGGATCAAACCAAGACACCCAGTCAAGAACCCACACAGACCTCGACACCAGCTGCTCCCACCCCTTCTGCGGCTCCTACTCCCCGGGCCGCGGCCCCGAAATCAGCTCCCGAGGCGTAAGATACCGCTAATTACCCGGGTCCTGGAGCGTGTGGCTGATTGAATGAACACAGACCGATTGAAGCCGAACAACCCTCTGAACCAGAAGTCAAAGAATGGTAAGTGATGAGAATGTGGTGCGCGACCCCGAATTCAAGACCACCGCTCACAACCCCAGGGCTGAACGGTTAGGGGCATTCGGAGAGAACAACCGTCTCCCCCGAAGTGTGCAAGCGATTTACCTCCGACCTTTGCGGAGGAAGGCAGAATACGGTCTACCAGTTTGCAACCTCCAATTGCGATCCTACAGCGTCCGTAACGTGGAATTCTTTGCGGACTTCGCCATTCGCGCCGCCTACTACCTCAACCTCCCCGTGTCCGGACCCGTGCCTCTCCCTCGTATCACCGAGCGTTGGACTGTCCCCCGAAGCAACTTCGTGAATAAGAAGAGCCAGGAGAACTTCGAGCGAATCACCCTCCGCCGACTCATTCAGATTAAGGATGGAAACCCCCAATCCGTGCAAGTCTGGCTTGCCTTCCTCCGCAAGCACGCATTCTATGGTGTTGGTATGAAGGCAAATGTTTGGGAGCACGATAGTCTCGGTACGGTTACCCTATGGTATTGGATGAAATTAATGCTTGAGATGCTAACATCCTCCTACAGATGTTGGCCAGAAGATGGATAAGTCTGCCTCCGAGGTGAATGACATCCTTCGCTCTGACCTTGAGAACTTTGTCGGCAGAGGATCTCGGTCCCTCCCCGAGACCGCAGAGCCTACCGCAGAGCGGTCATAGTGGCCTGCTGGATTTGTATACCCGTGAACATCTGGACGTTGGTGTCTTTGCTGCATGCGCTGCCCTCATTATATCAAAAAGCCTTTCGGCCTTATGTATTTTACTGTTTCACTATCATTTCAGCCCATTTGGGAGTTTGCATATTCTCATGTCCCAAGGGTTTTCCGCGGCCCGGTGTTTTTCCCAATTGCAAATAGTTGCTATTTCACAACTTGCCAAACTCAGACATAGAGCCAGCAGCGCAACTCATCCGTACACATATACCGATCAATATCTCCGCATGTTAAGGATATTCAAGTTCGCCCCGAGCTGTCGTGCCCAGGTGCCTCATATTGATCACGTGATATAAACCACAGCCACACGTGATGGAAATCAAATGTGGCAGCACGATGTAAATACAACTGACCATTTCCTCAGCTTCCGCATTGAGGCCCTATTCGAGATGCATCCCAGTGTGTTTCATCCTCGGCATGCCTTAATACGGTCATTAGGCGCCAATTGCCTGCATCGTCGAGCCACCGCTTTCCCGGCGCTCTCAAGGAGATGGAATAGCTCAAATCACCAACCAGCACAGGAGCCCATCATCTTTTCTGGGATCCAGCCTACTGGTGTGCCACACCTGGGAAACTACCTCGGTGCCCTGCAGCCCTGGGTAAAGCTGCAAGAAGAGGCCAAAGAAGGCACCAAACTTTTGTTTTCTATCGTTGATCTCCATGCCTTGACGGTGCCGCAAGAAGCTGCCCAATTGAGAAAATGGAGAAGGGAAGCCTTTGCAACCTTGCTTGCAGTGGGATTGGACCCCAAGCGTTGTACAATCTTCTATCAATCCAGCGTATGTTCTATCGGTTGATCATCTGAGACGAACGGTTGAACATTGACCGACAATCCAGGTACCGGCACATACTGAGTTGATGTGGATTCTCAGTACTGTGGCTTCTATGGGATATCTGTCACGAATGACTCAATGGAAGGTGAGTGGCCACCCACAGTCCATGGGCAGGATATGAAGCTCACCCATCCTAGAGCAAACTCCAGCTGCCCGACGATGCTACGTTGGATGATTCGACCGCACGAGCACAGTTACGTCTCGGCCTCTTCTCTTACCCAGTACTTCAAGCTGCCGATATTCTGATCCATCGGTTGGTTGCCCATCCCCAACTCATCGTTCTGGACTAATGAGCGTCAGGGCCACCCATGTTCCCGTTGGAGAGGACCAGCGGCAGCACCTAGAGTTCTCTCGATACACTGCCAACAGCTTCAACCACCTTTACGGTCCCATTTTCCCTATCCCCGAGGCATTGATTTGTAAGAACTGCCCGTCTTTCAGTTGTTATAGCTATGACTAACCACATCTAGCTCCGGCCAAGCGCGTCATGTCCCTCAAAGAACCGACAGCCAAGATGTCTAAATCACACGCGGACGAGAAATCCCGCATCATCCTCACCGACACTCCCGCTGAGATTCGCAAGAAGGTCAAGGTTGCCCTCACCGATTCGGAAGCGGGGGTCACCTACGACCCTGCACGCCGACCCGGCGTGTCTAATCTGATAGAGATCCTTGGCCACCTGGAGGGAATCTCGTGCGAGGAGATTGCCCGGGAATACCACAGCGCCAGTCTCCGGGCATTGAAAGAGCATGTGGCGGAGCGGCTTGTGTTCCACCTCTCGGAGATCCGAGAACGGTACAATGGTCTGATGGCCGACCAGACTGGCTACTTGGAGAGTGTGGCTGAGGAGGGGGCTGAGGCCGCCCGCGCCAACAGTCAAGTGACGATGCGGCAGATTCGGCAGGCGATGGGTTTGTAAGCCACTTGTACCTTTTATGTACTTTATGCCCAGGTGTATTTGTACTATTATGTAATGTACTATTATGTCACCTTTTATGTCCGAAGAATATGGCTGCCTCCGTACAGCAAATACCACAAATACTGCAAATACACCCTGAAAATACGTGTGTTACATCTGTGACCGATACGACATAGATACTATATACTATTCAAGCCTAATACTATGATAGTTCTCATCTTGAGATCAAATGAGGAGTATCCAGTCCACGCTAGACTGTCATGAACATGATAGTCGAAGAATATAAGCATATCAGAAGTGCCTAGTGGCTTGGCAAGCCCAAGTGGAGAGCGTCATCTTCCTACGTACGACGCATACGTATGCCAGCCACTACACACAACCACTTTGAACCCATTCAGAACCAATTGAGACCATGTTAGACTACTTGCAACCAACGTAAACCACTCGATCTCATTTCTGTATTGTAAATTTGGTAAATTTGGTAAATTCCCTGAAATGCGAACATCTCCGGGACATGACGGATGGCAGCGAAGTATTGAGCTCCACTACTCGTAGGTGCTGACGACAATATGCCCGCCTTACCCGTTTTCACTATTTCATTAGTTAGTTGGCAATAGAGCCTCTTGATTTTTTTCCCTCTCTCATCTGTCTCTCCTATCTCTCCTCTCTCCGCACCCTACATCTTCCTCCCTCTCTGCATCTTATAGCTACTGCCAATACCTCATTTATTCATAGCCAAACGAATCGAAAATCATCTCAAAAGAAATCGATCTCCTCCCGAACCGAACCCGGGATGATCGGCGCAATGAGGAATGCGTGGTTCCTATTGGCTGCGGTGCCTGTTTGGGGTATCACTCTTCACCAACGAGAGAACCCGGCGGTGGTGCAGATGGACATCCAGCGAAAAGACGTTGCCGATCCTGTCGCCAGAGACCAAGCCCGGAGAAAGCGGTCGACAATCAGCCAAACCCTGGATAACGAGGTAAGAGGTGGAAGTCATTGCTCCCATACCATGTGCTCATACATTCCTAGGAAACTCTGTATCTTGCGAACATCACCTTGGGCACTCCCGAGCAAAACTTCCGCCTCGTGATCGACACGGGAAGTAGTGATCTATGGACCAACACGCCCAATTCCACCTTCTGCGAGAACAAACAAAATGGGTGTAGTACCTCGGGAACTTACGACGCAACCTCTTCCTCCTCATACTCCTACGTGAACTCCGACTTCAACATCACCTACGCCGATGGGACCGGGGCTGCAGGTGACTACGTCACCGATACCCTCACCATTGGGGGTACATCCATTAAGGACTTCCAGTTTGGAATTGGGTTTACATCTGCATCTGCCGGTGAGTGACCTTGATGTATCGGATTGACTTGTTTGGAGGGCTAACACGACGTTCAGAGGGTGTGCTTGGGATAGGATATACCGCAAATGAAGTCCAGGTCGGCACCAATGGCGACTCGGCATATGCCAATCTGCCCAAGGCTATGGTCAACAAAGGATTGATTCAATCAAATGCTTACAGTCTTTGGCTCAACGACCTGGATGCCAACACTGGATCGATTCTCTTCGGCGGAGTCAACACCAAGAAATATCATGGCACCCTGCAAACTGTGCCAATTCAAAAGGTCCGCAACCAGTATGCGGAGTTTATCATCGCCCTCACGGAAATTGCCGTTAGCAACTCCTCCGGCACTCACTCCTACTCATCGAGTGCCATCCCCGCGGGAGTTCTCCTTGACTCGGGAAGCTCCCTGACTTACCTCCCAGACGCCATTGTCAACGATATTTACAATGATCTCGACGTCACCTACGAATCTCAAAGTGGCATTGGCTACGTTGAATGCAGCTTGGCATCCAAAGATGTCAACATCAGTTACACATTCTCATCACCCACCATCAACGTCGGCCTCAACGAATTGATCATCGATGTCGGCGATCTCTACTTCCGCAATGGCAAGAGAGCCTGCGTCTTTGGAATCGTGCCCGCAGGAAGCAGTACCTCCGTCCTGGGTGATACCTTCCTCCGCAGCGCCTACGTTGTCTATGATCTCGCCAACAATGAGATCTCCCTCGCCAACACCAATTTCAACTCCACTGAGAACGATGTCTCCGAAATTGGCACGGGCACTGACTCTGTGCCCGGCGCCACCGCTGTCTCCAACCCTGTGACGACAGCCCCCGTGGGCGGGACCGCTGCTCGCATCGGAGGCATCGGAGGATCCGGCGTTTATAGTTCCATCTCTGCGACTGGCAACATGGGTATGCCCAAGGCGACCGCCATGCCCCGGCACCTGGCTCTTGGCCTTGCTGGAGCCGGAGCCCTCTGGGCCCTGTGAGAGATGCTGTCATTTTTTGCAATGCACATTATTCTTGTTTATGTGTTAGCATTTTGCGTGTGGTGTTTTTTTGCTTTGGAGTCTGGGCAAGACTATACCTATATACCGAGAGTCATCATTTGATGGGGCTTTCTTTTGTTCTTCTTTGGTTTTCTATTAACGTGTTATGAAATAGACAGACAGCATTCAAGATATTTCGTGAAACAAATACCATGTCTTCAACTATACATATGATCTGTAGGCAGCGCTCTAGAATGTATGGGGACAAGCCGGAGAGTGTTAAACAGTGAACTTGAGTGGATTCAAAATATGATAAGTAAATCCATGAAAGATACGCCCCTAACAACAATTAAGTCCTGGCAATAATCATAACGGGATGGATTCAAACCAAGGCAATTAAGATGCGAGGAAAGTGATATGAGGCTTGTATAGCAATCTCGACGGGAGGCATCTCTTGGCGTTGGACTTGACCTCCCTCTGGACCTCCCAATCCCCCAGAATGCCCAGAATTCGTTTCTCCGCGATCTGGAAAGCGCATCGAGAGAATGTTTTGTTACCTTTACTCCTAAAGGAATGTCGCACAATTGATTCTGCTCGTAATGAGCTCCGCTGGCTACGCGAAGCCGTTCGCGATAGTCAATTGCTGCCATCGGCAGGATGGAGTCGACTCCGGACTATGTGTCGACTACGGTCCAAAGGGTACCCCCTGCAATATATCCTGGGGAATCAACCGTTCGGAGAATTGGAAATTCTCTGCCGTAAAGGCGTTTTAATCCCAAGGTCCGATCATCCCATCCGGTACTAGAATAAGAAGAGTACTAACATCTTCGAGACCGGAGACGGAATCTTATACATACAAATCAGCCCAATTGGTTCGAAAATTGAATAGAACCAACTCCGCAAGGCCATTGCGTATCCTCGACCTTTGCACAGGAACAGGTTGCATCTCACTTCTTCTGCACGCGCTACTCGCTCCGCATGTCCAGAGTTTATTGATCACAGGGGTGGACATCAGCCCTGTGGCATTGAGCTTGGCCCAGAAGAACCTGGAGCACAATCGACAATTGGGCCAATTGACGCCCCAGGCGGCAACAGACATTAATTTTCATCGCGCCGATGTCCTTGGCGATGGCAGCGAGTCAGTAGCGTCAATCAGATCACTACTACGGTCTCTCGGATCAGACTACCAACCGTCGGAACATTCTCAATGTGACCTACTCATCTCCAACCCGCCGTATATATCCCGAGCGGAGTTTCGCAACGGGACCACGGCCCGCAGTGTGCGGCTCTTTGAGCCGGAGCTCGCACTGGTACCTCCAGCCGTTTCTGAAGACTGCGCACCGGAGGATATCTTCTACCGCCGCATTCTCACATTGGCAGACGAGTTGCAGACCCGGCTCGTCGTGCTAGAGTGTGGAGATTTGGCACAAGCTCAACGAGTGATTGCTCTCCATGAGCGACTTGCTTCGAACCAAAATCAATTTAATGCAGAGATCTGGCCGAGTCGTGAACAGGATTTGGCCGAGTATGGGTTCCATGAAACAGATGGGTCACGATGTGTTATTATACAGAGGCTTTAATTATGGTCTTGCTTTCTACTTGTATAGCGATGTACGGAGGAATATCAGGTTGATGGTTTGAATCCTGGCTTCGGCCAGCCAGGAAGAAGGTCCAGATTCCAATAAAATACATAGAAGGGCATTCAAAAATTTAATCGAGTGCAGTCTGTCCGCCATGAAAAAAGTATTATGTACATTGAGACCATCCACACGGAGGCCAATTTTGAGTATTAAAACAGATAAGTGATGCACAAAATGTGCTCTTATGCACTGGTATTAGCTTGATGAAAAAAGGAACCATTTAGGGAGAAAAGAAATCTTCAACCAAGGCTTTAAAAAAATGGACGGTCGCCCGCCGTGTGTCGTCAAGAGGTAGCTGCGAACCATAAATACTCGCAGAAGCGAAGTCGTGAACGTAAAATGAACATAATGCTCAGAGGACCTTCTTCTTATCGGCGGAGTAGCTGCGGTCGTCCTCACCCTCAACATCCTTAAGAATACTCTCCATCTCCTTCGCCTGGCGCTTCCACTCCTTATCGCCCATCTTGGTCTCGCGACGGAAGAGTTCCTCGTTGGGCTTGCGGTAGCTACCACCCAGACGGTCCCAGAGAGTGGTGAATTGGCCGTAGTTGAAGTTGAAGTACAGGTGGTGCATAGTGTGGCAGGCGGCGCCGTTCACAATGGGACTGTTGGCGACATATTCACCATCGTGAATGAAGACGGTCCAGAGGTTGATGAAGCCAAAGAGGAAGACGTAGGCCATCTTCTGCAGCGGGAAGATGAAGGGGAAGACGTGGTAAGGCACACTCTGGGACCAGCCGTCAAGTGGGTGGAAAGCGTGCGAAGCGTAGGGACTGGGCATGATCCACTTGTGGTGAGGCTTGTGCAAGGTCTTGTAGACGCGGGGGTGGTGCAGACCACGGTGGATCCAGTAGATGAAGAAATCGGTGAAGCAGATGAAGAAGGGGAATTGGATGAGGCTGTAGAAGGGGAAAGGCTCTTCCGCGGTGGTGTCGTAGAGTTTTGCGAATCCGCGGACTTCCAAAACGAAGAAGGGCGCTGTGAGGAGGGCCATTGGGGGCATGGCTTCCATAGCCTGTCTGATCTCCATTCTAATCTGATTGCGCAGGAACTTCGGGTGTTGGTAGGTGGTCTTGTCCCAGATGAAGACGTAGGAAAGCGATGCGACGACAAAGTAGACCAAAAGGCCAAACAGCCTAGATCATGTCAGTTGAGAGGAATCGCGTCACGAAGAAATGAGCGCATACCAAGTGATCAGGAAGAAACTGGTGAATTGACGGTAGACATTGTTGCGCGGCCAGGCACTCAAGTAGGCATACTTGGAAGGCTCCAGATAGAGCATTTGGGTCGCCTGCTCATAGACGAACGGCTCTGGAGACCCGAAGAGGGCCATTGTGCTGTTGGCGGCATTGGCGAAGGCCGGAAGTGAAACCGAGGAGGAGAGTGACGCCGGTAGAACCGCTGAATACAGACGGTCACCAATGAAGGTGTCCCACAGCTCGAGAATGATATCCATTGTCACGAAGTTGGGGAAGAGAAGGGGGGGAGACTTGCAGAGGGTAGAAAAAGGAGAGCGGCGAATAACATTAAATTGCCCCGGTAGTCACACCAGCGCGGAACCACCACAGCCGTTGCCCTCTTAATAAGCCCAGGGGTTTGATAGCATGGTCTGATGCGCTCTATACAATTGGATTCTCTATGGTGTTTTCAGATTGGATTGCTTATATTGTAGTCCTTGATTGGCTATATACAGTATAATCAGGCAATTGCACGTTGTCTCTTCCCAAAGTCGACGATATTCAAAAAAGAAAAAGCAAAAGCAGAAAAGCAACGAAACAAGAAATGGACCCCTGGTTCGCCACATTGTGGGTGCCTTGGTGCCTGATCATTGAGGCTTTGTGGCGAGTGTATTAGATGCCTGAATATGAGCCTGATTAAACAGGCACCCACTTGCTCACACCGTAGTTACCGAAAAGTGCTGGAGTTGGTACCGACGCGGTACTGCACGGGGCGGCGGCAGTTCCACTCTGGACTACCCGTACTCAGAGGTACCTCCACTGCCCGCACTTTCGGCTGTAGATCCAAGTATTCCCTCGGTACCCTCCACCCATTGCGTAGTGAAGATTACCGTCATGTAAAATATCGATTGGGATAGATCCTGATGCATTTCTGCAAACGGGGGAATTGAGTCTTTGTTCTATGCTTTGTAGTTTGTAGCCAGTTCTTTGTTCGAAATTGTACTTAGGAGTCCCCTAAATACCAGTCGACGGCCTAGAGAGAAAGACAGACGGAGCGACAGAAGAGAATTGGAGAAGATCCGTAAAGTGTGCCAGGCGCTAACCGCCCATGACCCTCGCTTCTCGCGTCAACCACAGCCGCCGTCCTCAAACCTTCCCGCTCCGCTTTAAAGTGTCATCTGCCAGCCTCTTCACCCCTCTAACTCGCTACCTCCACCCTTTTCTTCCACTTCATCAACACCATCGCTGTGGCTAGCTGCGTGGTGTGACCCACCAAGCATTGAAGCCTCAGTGGTCAATTCAGATCATTGAGCTCTCGCGACGACTGCACTGCGAAAACAGCTCAGCTCCCTGACATCGCTCAAGCGGAAGACCCCCTCAGAACCCCCAGCGCCATGTACAACACTCATCGCGGGATGGTGCCCGCTCCGAACTCCCGTCTGACGGAGTTGCTGGATCAACTGCGCCAGGAGTTTGAGAGCCAGTCGCGCAACACCGGTGAATTCGAGCATCAGTGTATGTGATCCAACTTCTATCCCTATACCGGTGTGATTTCCTCCTCGGCGCGGGCCTCGGTCTGCGCTGGGAGAGAATCCCATCCGCCCCCTCCCCATTCCAATCACTTGATTTATGCGAGCTGGCTGCCTACCACCCGATGGCGGCCAGTTTTATGGGTTTCCGACATTCGCTGAAATGTTATCTAACTGACAGATCATGCAGTGACCGGACAGCTCCAGGAGATGGAGATGATCCGTCAGAAGGTCTATCAGCTGGAGCAGGCTCAGATCAAAATCAAGCAAGAGTTCGTCCCAACCTAATGGTCCGATATCCTACCCAGTCTCTGACCGTCGCATCTTGTCACATCCAGTTACGAGGCCGAAATCCGAATGCTGCGACATGAATTGGAATCGCGCGGCGTCCAGACCATTCCATCCCACATCGGCGGACCTGCCGCTGCCGCTGCTGCCGCCGCCGGTCATTCTGCTAGTGCTCAGGCTCCCCCGCCTGCACTGGGCCACGGTCCCAGTAATCTGTTCGGAGGTATTATGACCAATCCACCAGGTAGCGGCCCCGGTCTTGCCCCTCCCCTTCCCCAGGATCAGCAGCCTCCCCAGCATGCCCTTCAACAGCCTGCCTCGGTCGCCCAGCCCGGTGCGCCGCAACCTCCGCAGAGCTCATTTGGATACCAGGGCGGCGCTGCTGTGAACGGTATGTCGTTGTGGCTTTGACCATTGTGATCCAGTCGCTGACGCGTGTGGTTTTTTGATTCCCTTAGGCTATGGCCCCCCTCCTCCCCCCACCGCTTCTCCGGGCCCCGGCAAGGGCCGCGGCCGTATCCCCCCAGGCCCGGCGACCCCCCAGCAAACACAGCTCGCCTACCCTGACCCTCGTGCGTCGCCTCAGATTCCCCGTCCCACTCCTCCCAACCCTCCTCTCGGCGGTCGCACCGCAGAGCGCCCGGGAAACATGCTCGCCAACTGGAACCCCGATGACCTCCCTCCGTCGCAAAAGCGCGAGGGTCCCGATTGGTACGCCGTGTTCAATCCCGAGGTGCAGCGTGTCCTTGATGTGGATTTGGTGCACCACTTGAACCACGACAGCGTCGTTTGCTGCGTGCGTTTCAGCCGTGACGGAAAGTACTTGGCCACGGGCTGCAACCGCTCCGCTCAGATTTTCGACGTGAACTCTGGCGCCAATGTGGCCACCCTCCAAGACGAGAACGTTGACAAGGATGGCGATCTCTACATTCGCAGTGTTTGCTTCAGTCCCGACGGCAAGTACCTTGCGACCGGTGCTGAGGACAAGCAGATTCGAGTAAGTTTTAAGATGAAATGCACCACCGGCATTGAAGTGTCCAACAAATCGGACGAAAAAAGAAAGAAAGAAATAGAGGAAAAGAAAAGAAGAGCTGACTTAATGAAACTACTAGGTTTGGGATATCAACGCGCGCACCATCAAGCACATCTTCAGTGGACATGAGCAGGACATCTACTCTCTGGACTTTGCTGGTAATGGTCGCTTCATCGCCTCTGGCAGTGGAGACAAGACTGTTCGTCTGTGGGATATTCTCGATGGCAAGCTTGTCTACACCCTCAGCATCGAGGATGGTGTTACTACTGTAGCCATGTCCCCCGATGGCCGCTACGTGGCTGCCGGTTCTTTGGACAAGAGCGTCCGCGTGTGGGACACCACCACTGGTTACCTGGTGGAGCGTCTGGAGAACCCAGATGGCCACAAGGACAGTGTGTACTCGGTCGCCTTTGCCCCCAACGGCCGCGACCTGGTCAGTGGCAGTCTGGACAAGACGATCAAGCTCTGGGAGCTCACTGTTCCCCGGGGCATGCACCCTCACAGCGCCGTCAAGGGTGGCAAGTGCATCCGTACTTTCGAAGGCCACAAGGTTTGTCGATCTCCCGAGAAGTATATAGCGGTCACTAACATATGGACAGGACTTTGTTCTCAGTGTGTGCCTGACTCCCGACGGTGCTTGGGTGATGAGTGGTTCCAAGGACCGCGGTGTGCAGTTCTGGGATCCAGTGACTGGAAACGCCCAGATGATGCTTCAAGGCCACAAGAACTCTGGTAAGTCTATTGTCTCTCTACTCGCCTTCTCCCACTCTAACCATTACAGTCATCTCGGTTGCACCCAGCCCTACTGGCAACCTGTTCGCTACCGGCAGTGGCGACATGCGTGCCCGTATTTGGAGGTGAGTGATATTTCCCCAACCCATCCTGATTCTGATCATAAGCTGACTAGATTAGATACTCGCAATACCAGGGACGTTAGGTTTGATACCGAGTTGGCGCAATGTGTGTTTTGCTTTTTTTGTTCCAAATTTCTTGCTTACTGTCGTTGGGATTATGCTATATCTATCAATTCAACACTATGGTGTGCGTTCGAACAAAAGGGAAAAAAGCAAAATTCAAAGGGTCGAGTATAAAGTAGATGCGGTGGAATGTGTACGGAGTAGTTCGTAGGAGGGTCACACCTCTCGGGGCCATTCTGGAAGCTAACTTCTCCCACTCCCCTTGTCCGTCTGAATCACCACAGAGCCTCGATCAGGATTTGATCCAATCTCTGGAATCTGTACGGAGTACGGAGTACTCTGCACTCTTCGGTGGTATCTGGTCTTTTTCGGTGTCTTGGTATCGTGACGCAGTCGGTGCTTACGGAGTACTCCGTACGGTCTTCAAGGCTGAATCTCACCCTCTCTGGCAGAACGCCAACCAGATCTTGGCCGATGGCCAACCGATGCCTGCTCAATCAGGAAACAGTTTACTAGTTGCATCTAGTCGCATCCCTGCAGGAACCATTCTCATACTCGACGCAGGACGTGCAGGGTTGCCACTCGTGTCAGCGCCTCACGGCTGTCACTTCTCGGATCGTTCCCAGTATGGAGCTAAGCCCCTTTCTGGGTATGATCGCCCTGAGATAAGCCTAGTGTGTGGGCTTTTAGGGGGCAAAGAGACGATCCGGCCAGCTCAAAATAAGAAACACCCAAGGCAAAGCCCGTGCCCAGGGGGCCAACTTCCCAAAGGAACGGACGAATCACTCACAGTGGAGACGGGCAGACGAATCACCGACGTCTGAATCTCACCATTTAGCCCATTTTAGCCCATTTTACCCAGGTGGAGAAGAACCTGGTCACGAGGCCAGGCAATTCCCAGGGCCTTGGGCGGCTAACTGGGATATTCGATGGGCTGAGATCGGACACTATTGGCGACTATCGGGATGGCGCATGGTACTGGTATATTACCAGACCATTGAGCAATCAGATTCTGACTCCGAGATCGACTGAATAATCTACATGTCGACTGCAGGTCGATCACGGTCCACTTTGAAATTCCGCGATTTGAAGGGCCGGCCCGTCCTCGAGGCAGAGAGAGACAGCGTCTCATTTCTTTTTTTGCCCTCTTCTCGTGGATTTGCTTTTTTATTTTTTTGGCACGATGGAAAAGAGGGTCTGACAGATGTCAGTTCTCGTCAGATCTCAAGGGGGGACAAGCAACGGGGAACACACGGCTGGAAGAGAGCAAAAAAACCAGACACGAGAGCGGACCTATCGCCAGTCGCGGCAGCGAGTATTGTGTGACTGACAATCCCATTTCACCTTTCACCGGACAGGAATACATTACCACTAGTTCCTTGTGAACTAGAATTCCTCGTGGTACAGGAGTTGATGCGTCCACTCATGCAGGACGCAATGCAACCTGTATGAACTCCAGTTCGTGATTTGATTTCTTCCCATCACTTGGCTCATTTCTCACAGTGGAGCATTCAGGGATATCCCCGGAGATCGTCGAATGGTAAGTACTTGTCTCGACAGGACGCCGTACGGACGCTGCATATGGCCTCGAACTTGTCCCCGAATGTTTCCCCTCCCCCTTTTTTTTCTTTTTCTATTTTTTGCTCGCTCGATTTTTTCTATTTGGTCAATATCAAACGTCATACAGATCAATCCTCTCTCGTCTAGCTGACTGTCGCCCCGCCTCTGCATTGGTATATCTAGATCGGGCGCCACGGTCGAGGCGGATGATCACCGCTAGTTGTCAATCATTTATATTCCTCTTCACGGCATGACCTGCATATATTTGCTATTTCTTCAGTATATATACCCAGATCTATAGATTGCGCTTTGGCCGGTCTGTTTGTCTATCCCTATCTATTGCTTCTTCTTGAACAGCCAAAACCCAAATATCTATATTTTGGGTATACATCATGGAGACCGCAGACCCCGTGTCCTACGAGTTCTCCGGCCATGCCGCTTATGCACACAGGCGCCTGGACTCGACACTCAACCAGAGCTTCCCCTTCTATCCGGCGCCGTACTCAGTGCCCTACCAGGCCTCGAGTCATCCGTACAGCTATGCCCATTCTGTAAGCCCCGGGCACGCGCACTCGAACCCATATCAATACTTCGTCCCCAACCAGCACATCCAGCCGCATCCACTACGACTCACCACGGAGCAGTCGACGCAGGCACTGCCAGAGATTCGCCCAGCAAAGAATGCCATCAGTCGGCCAGCAAAAACTCCTGACCCGGGGCCTGTACAGCCGAGTGGCAGTCGCACCTCACCGGACGGACCTGAGAAGAAAGGGACAACCGCTGATATTGTCTTCTCTACCAACGTGGACGTTCTGATGAAGGCCATCCAGGCTAAACATGCCGCATCGCCAACCCCACAGAAATCGCTACCAGAGCAACCCCTTTCAGCACAGCATCCTTTACCATCACAGCATCCCCTCACACCACAGCATGCTCTACCACCACATCATTCTATGACACCACAGTCTCTTCCATCACAGCATGCCTTGACGCCGCAGCAGCCTCTACCACCTCTACAACAACACCTGGCTCCGGCAGCAGTAGCACACTACGCAGTTCCCTATCCGTCCACACCCCCGCGGTACTTTGCCGCCACCGATGGCTCAGTATCTCGCTCATGCAAGAAGCGCAAATACGTATGCGAGCGAGATGATTGTGGCAAGACTTTTGCCCAGAAGACACACCTGGACATTCACAAACGGGCGCATTCCGGTGAAAAGCCATTCGTAAGTAGAGATGTGATTGGTTAGAATGCAGCACGAGATCAGCAAGCTGACATCTTGGATGCAGGTGTGCGATGTACCCTCATGCGGGCAACGTTTCTCGCAGCAAGGCAACCTCAAGGTCAGCACAGCCGCGTCATGCGACCTCCCCGCAAAGAAACTAACATGACTCAGACTCATAAACGACGACACACAGGCGAGAAGCCGTTCGAGTGCGAGCGCTGCCATAAGAAATTTGCCCAGCGTGGGAATGTCCGCGCCCACATGTTGACGCATGACGAGGGGCGGAAATTCAGTTGCCTCCTGGATGAATGTGGAAAGACATTTACCCAATTAGGCAACCTGAAGGTAAGGCAAGCCCTGTTTCATCTGTTTTTCTACATCCAGACTAATCTGTGCAGTCTCACCAAAACAAGTTCCACGCCTCCACACTCCGCAACCTCACACAGCGATTCTCGCAAATCGGTGAAGACGGACCGGCCAGTTCGACAGACCGTGCTTTGTGGGAGTACTTTGCGGATCTATACAAGAACAGTAATAAAGGCATTAAAGGACGAGGGAAAGACCGTCGTATCTCGACTAACAGGCCACGGGACTCCATGGAGCGTGTGTCTGTCGAGTCCGAGGAGAGTACGAAGATGCGAAGGGCAAGTTACGACTTCTCTGTTTCGGTCTACAACTCCAGTGACGGCGAAGAGAGTTATTACGCTCGACCACAACATGGTCATTGAGTTGGGTTTTATTTTTTTGGTTTTTGTATTTTGATATCCCCCTATGGTTGTATTTGCTTTCTCGACAGAACATTGAAGTTGGGAGTGTTGGGTCTTACAAGGAACGGGTTCGCATGATTCAAGTTGACATGTATAGCTCAGATTTGTGACATTTCGGAAATATGTTTCGATATTGATATTGATATGGTTTATATAATTATAATATCGCAATACATCTCTGCCCCTTGCATATGTGAGCAATCATCGAACACTTTGAAGTATGTCCTGTAGATCAGTGGATCATCAAATATTGCACAAATATGTATGAGTACGGAGTACTCCGTACTCGTTATAGGGTATATGGCAACTAGTGCAATTGGCGATCTCTTGAATATGTGGAAATTGACTTTTTCATAGTTCAGTTCAAAACGAGATAAGTGTACATATAAATGATGAGGTAAAAAAAGACTCCGGCCATTAATCATGGAAACCAAGTGAGTAGATGCGAGAATACACATTGCCAAAGGCCTCTATTGCACATTGGCATCCGCGTCCGCGTCCGCAATGTCCAAATCACCGTCCCGGGCTTCAGCAGCAGGTGCCTCTGTTCCGAGAGGAGTGGCAGTGGCCAGTGCATCGGAGATGAAGGCCTCCTCAACAGCTAGCTTGCGACGGAATACACGGAGCCAGCGGCGGCCCCATTGACGGATGATAGCATCCTCGGGCAGATCACCTGAGCCATCACCGCGTTCCATTTGTTCGTCATTGCTTCCCGCGGCGATGGAAACAATCGAGTCCTCAATATACTTGAAGAGGGTTTGCATGTCCTCGCGTTCGCGGGACAGGGTCTCATCGATGACCGTAAGCTGGGGCTCGTAGAGACCGGGTTGGGTGCGGGCAGCAACGATCTGGCGCATGCGGTTGGTGACCTTACCGACGGTGGCGGAGATCATCTCAAAGACGTGAGGCTTGGAGAGAATGGTGCCCGCGGCGACGGATTCGACAAGGGCCCATTCGAGGACGGAGAGGGGGCTGAGAATGGTGTAGTTGAGCAGCTTGTCAATGATGTTGATAGCAATGCCGGGCTGATCGGCCCAGTAGTCCATGACGGAAGTGATAATCTGGGTACGGGCATGCTTGGAGTCGGCACCGATGGCCAGAAGACGGTCCTTGCTGCGCTCGATGCAGGAAAGAACGTGTGAGAGGGATTTGGAGCCAACGTAGCAGAGCGAGGTGACGAATGCATCTGTAGAAGGAATCTTGGGGTCCTCGACACCTTGGCTCTTGGCTTGGTCCTCGATGGCTGAGATAACCGGCTGGATCTCTTCATCGGTAGCCTTCTTCCGAATCAGTTGCATGAGTTCCTGGCCCTCTTTAGCGTAGGGAGCCACTGAAGCAACATTAGCGAATGGGTTCAATCAGAGTGTGAGACATGAAAACTTACTGTCAGACGCATACTTGAACTCCGGGGTATCCTTTTCTTTGCCCGGAGTGATCAACTTAGGGTACGGTTCCGGGAGAGTACCCTTGATACGCTGAGCGAAACTCAAACGGATCTCCTTATCCAAAGCACCGTTAATAAACGAGAGCTTAGGGTGGATAGCGGCGAGATCCAGATCCTCAGCCCTGTAGGAAGGGTTAGCAGAGACACACAAAAGGACATGCAAACATCAACATACCATTCGCTCCACTTCCAGGTGAAGCCAAAGTTGCTCAGATGATGAGCGAACCAGTCCAGGAATCGGTTACTGAGTTCCAAATCCATAGTCTCGAGGTTGTTATACAAGAAGCGAATGGCACGACCGAGACTGGGTGCAATTGCCGCTGGGGCGATTTTACAGCACTCGGTGAGAACAGAGTGGTAGTAAACAAGCTTGTGCTCTGCCGCGGGCAGCTGGAAAAGCTGCGAGAACACGGCATCGACCGCCACATCCTCCGGCTTCCAGGGCTGAATTTCACCAGCCAGATCGCGCATGCGGTCGAATGGCGTAGCGCGCTTCACGAATGTGTAAGGGGTGAAATAGCAGTCGATATCAATCAAGAACTTGGCCGTGGCCACACGGTTGAAGTCAAGCAGGTTGATAGTATCAACCAAGGCGTCTCGGATGAGGGACGAGGAGATGTCATCAGTGGAAGGAACGGTATCGACCTCTTGGTCGGCGTAGACCGAGAGATACACCTCCGGGAAGAGAGCACGTGGACCGTTCGGAACGGGGTTAGGCACCGTCACCTCAGGGAAAGCGACCTTGGCTACCGAGTCGAATGACTTCGGCTCATCCGTCTCGGAGTCCCGAAGATCCTTCCAGGGACGAGGAAGGCACTTGAGCTCCCAGCCATTGCTAGCCTCTTTTTGAAGCTGGTTCTGCATCAAGCTGATGACGCTCTGTCCAGCTGCGGACTGGTTCTCCTCTGGGCTGAAGGTATTTACCAAATCGACGAGGGCATGTGGTGTGGTCGCAATGATGTCGGTCTTCTCGAGGAGGCCGTTCGCCTGCGCCTCAAATCCGGAGGCAGGAGACAGCATCACATAGGGAAGGGTGAATTGGATAATCTTCACGAGCTCGAGGCCAAGAAGCTGCAGGCTGTTAGACAGGGTCAAAAGCATCCGGTCTGTAATTTCAACTTACATCCTCGGACGAGGCCGTCTGCAGGTCAACTGCACGGGCAAACAGCTCCTCCAAAAGTGGGAAAATACCCTCGCCCTCATAAAGTGGCTGAAGAATTCCCAAGAAACGAATCAAGAGCTTCACTTCCCGCCATGCGCCAGTGTCAATGTATCGCTGCAAAGCGCCAGCTGCCTTGACAATAATTTCCGTTCCAAGCTCAGGCTTCAAGCTGTGTGCGACGAGAACAGTACCGGCGATAAAGGGGATCTTCATGGGTTGTTCGTGAACTCTGCGAAGCTCATTAGCCGGGTGATCCAAACCAGAGAGCGTCCGGCACATACAGATCAAGGGAGATGTTGACAAAGTCGCGGCGGATTTCTTCATCCTCAAAGTTGTCCGCCACTGACTTCGCGATGCCCTGGATATCATCTTCAACCCTGCGAGCAGCCTGTCAAGTTTCCCCCAGCGTTAGCGTGAATCAGCCGGTGCGCAGGAAGGAGAGACCTACCGATTCGGCGATTGTCAACAGCTGCCGACGAATGACAGCGAACAATGGCTCCTCATATCGGCGTCTTTGAGGGCGGCGATCGAAATCATCGTCATCTGGACCGCAATCTTAGCATGGATTGTAGGGGAAGCTCGGCGCGTCTCTCACCTCTGTAGCGGCGCTTGCGCCCACCGCGGTCACCTCGGTCACCGCGGCCCTGGTTTCGACGCTCGTATTCAGCCATGATCGATCTGACTTTGCAGATGCAGGAAAAGAGAGATGCAGGGTGCAAAGGGTGGTAGCTTGGAGCTTGAGGTAAATGTAAATGTAAATGCCCGGGAAGTGGATTTTCCGGCCCGGGGACCTATCAAACTCCAATCGTCCGCAGTACGCAATGCAACACTTACTCCATTCACTTCAGTCACTTAGTATCTATGCAAATATGACCTACTCAACTATACACACTGGCTCAAAATGCATATTGTACATGACCCGTAGAGTTCTCTCGGCTTGCCATACACAAATGGAGCTGATCATTGTCCATTGGTCTCAATCCCGGTACATTTACTTTACAGCTCTACACTGGAGACCCATCATGAGAACTGAAATGACATATAGCTCAAGGCCGGTCAGGAGGGACCGAACCAGCCGAGCCCGATGAATCTGATACAAGGATATTGTGGACTAAACAGATCAAAGCATCAAGGGAAGAACGAACGGGGTTTCTAGCGCTGCAAGTCGAGAAGAGATTGGCCGAGATTTGACCCGGGGTCCTCCCTGGAATAAAAAAAAAAAAAACAAAAAAAAAAAAAACAAAAGTGTATCCAAAGAAATCATCAAGATCTCTGATGCATTTGTGGGAGAAGCTCTCCCCAGGGAAGATCGGCTTGCTGCCGCGGGGGTCTTTTCCCGATGAAAACCTATGCAGTCTCCGGACCCCCAAGGCAGACGTGCACAGAAAGGGTATCACTTTTTCCTCCCGAGAGTTGTCTCAGACACCTCCAAATAAAAACTCCAGGCCATGACCACCATGGGAACCCAGCCTATGACCAAGTTTCCGCTTCCCCCAACTATTAAAGGGTGTGCACTTTCTCCCCTTACCAAGTCAGGCTCTTTCATGTCTGGGGATGAGATGGGGATTGCTCAATGCAGAACCTCAAGACATGGCAGAACTGGCTAGATCCTCTTCAGTGCAGCGGCACAACATATCCATCGCGGGCACACGGGGGCCCATCTCAATCGAGGTGCGCAATCATCTCCTCCTTGGCCAGGGGTTTGAAGGTATCGAGACCGAGGCCGCGGGCTTCAAGGGCGGGACGGGCGTGCGGGGGGATCAACTGGGTGTTCATTTGCGGGGCGATCGAGAGTTCTAAAGAGGGAATTAGTCAGGGGACGGGGTCCAGGGATCCGTAGTCGGGGGTCAATTTACCGTGTCGTGAGAAGTCGAAGAGGGCGGGCAGATCCTTGGAGGGGTTGTTGTGGTGACGGGAATCCGGTAGCCGGGTGTTGGGGTCCCGGAGCTCATCGAAGAAGGGGTGACACATGGCCTCTACGGCAGACAACCGTTGTGTCGGGGTGTATTCCAGCAGGGCAGAGATGAGATCAATGGCCTCTGGGGGTGCCTTTCGGAAAACCTTGGGTCTGGTTAGCATTTGGTCTTTTGGGAGAACAGGATTCGGCAAAGCCTTAAAGCCAGAGAGCCAAAGGACATACCTTATTGAAGGGATGAGGTTTGATTTGAGGGAACTTGTGCTCCATATAATTGGGGTTCATGGTGCGGATCTGTTCCCGAGTTGGAGTGCCCAAGACCTTGATGATTTCTACGAGTTGGTCAATGCCCGACTCGCCTGGGAAGAGGGGCTGTCCCAGCATCAATTCAGCCATCACACAACCAGTCGACCAAACATCTAATGAAATCACTCGTCAGCATATATCCATCAAGTTAAAAAAAGGAATAATTTCTTTGGAGATCATTACCAATTTTTGTTGTGTAGTTGGTTGCGCCAAAGATCAACTCGGGGGCTCGGTAGTAGCGCGAGCAGATGTATGAAACGTTGGGCTCGTTTTCGATGAGAATCTTGGCCGAGCCGAAATCACAGAGTTTCAGAATTCCCGTGGAGGGGTCGAGCAACAGATTTTGGGGCTTGATATCACGATGACAGATTCCCTGGGAATGAATGTAGGCCAGCGACCGGAACAGTTGATAGATGTACAGCTTCACCTCGAGCATGGGCATCGTGGTCTTAAGTTTGTTGAAGTAACGGGATGCACGGTACACGGTCTCTGGCACATACTCGAGAACGAGATTGAGGTATACTTCATCTTTCTGTCGATCGAAGAGGTCAGTCGGAGATCGTGGGCAGGACGAAACGGGAAGGAGAGACATACCCGGTCACCGTTGGAGTAGTAGAAGGCCTTCAGTTCGACAATGTTCGGGTGTCGCACAATCCGCATGATCTGCAGTTCACGGTTCTGATGATGTGATTAGTCGTGGGCGTTGGGGAGGATGTCGACCCGACGGGGGACGGAGGGGAGGGGTGAGCGTCCCTACCTTGAACCGCTTGTCCTGCAGCACTCTCTTGATGGCGGCGTCTTCCCCGCTGGGAGACATCTTGGTCTGAAAGACCACACCGAAGGAGCCATTGCCGACAATCTTACATTGGGTGTAGGAGATCTCCTTGGCCTCGCCGGTCAGTCCATCTTGGACTTTCTCACGGATGACCTCTGTGGGGGAGAGAGTTAATTGCATTGCCATCGGCAGCGACCTCTAGAGCACTCACCACCCATGCGCAAACTCGGAAACAGCCCGGGCCGACTCTGTGACATCACGAAGTAGTTGTAGGATGGGAGGATGAAGTTGGGAGAGCCGTTTTGGGCGTAAAACCGGGGTGGAGTAGGGAGGGGCGGAAGGACCGATGGGAAAGAAGAAAAAGGCTCGGGCCAAGAATGTAATAAAAAGTAGGAGAAAGGAAGAATGAGAAGTGGGCAAATCAGTAGGAGAATGCTCAACCAATAAAGTCGACGCTGGTGAGGAATAAGACGGGTTAGACTGGGAAGGTTAGGTAAAATTGGGGTGACGTCTGTTTTTCCCCCCCTCTTTGTTCCTTTTTCTCTGTCTGTTCTTGTCTCTGGAACGTCGTTTTTGGTTTCTTATTCACGAGAAAACTAAAACAGGGGAAGAAAAGGAAACAAAAAGAGCAAAAAAGGCGAGAAATTAAAAAAACAAGAACGGTCAAGTGATAAAGCCAATGTCTGGCAATTCGGGTAGGGGGAGGGGAAAAGAGAGGGGCGGGAGCTCTTCCCTTAAGCTTACGGTAATTCTGGCTGTTTCTATAGATGCTCGATCTCTTTGATATTATCTTTCTGTATTTATATATGTATTTATATATAAATATATAAATATATAATTATATTATGTATATTATGTATAATTAGATTCCAGGATATTTCCGTTTTTCGTTTTCTGATTTTTACTGGGGGTACAGAGAGTGCGGATGATATCATCGTAATACCAATACCGTACGGGAAGGTGGAAAAGAAGGAGAAGCGGAGTCTCCGGGGTATCAAGCTATCGGTTTAAGTTATATCCCAGTTCGCTCTCTCCGTGATATCCAGAGCAAAGAAGAGAGATATAGATCGCATCATTGCCCACGAAGCCAGGAGCCAAGTTCCGAGCAGGTCGGGTGACCGTGGTTTGGTCTGGAACCGCTTTTATTGGCCGTCGCCGCGATTGTCACGAGACGTCCAGCTGACTCGAAAAAAAAAAAGAAGCTTGGGCCACCCGTACTCCGTATTACGCTTTGGGTTAGTCTCTTTGGGTATTCAAACGCTATTTGCGTTATGGTCCGTACGGTCCGTACGGTCCGTACAGTCAAATACAGTTCGATACAGTTGAATACAACCGGTACGGTCACTCCCACTGGTCACATGAGCCAATCACTAGTGCTGAAGACTACTCCGTCCGGGACCTACATCAACGGAGGACTCCCTCCAAAATAGAGGTCCAGACTACGCTCGTATAGAAAAGATCTCCTACGGGGACCTAGACCCCATTACTTGAAAGGGGCATTCCCGTCCAAAATATATCCATTTGTTGGCATGGGTTCCCTTGGCATGTGAGTCGAAGCTATCTCAGCCGAGCTTCCATCATTTGAATTCCAGCCGCCCATACCAGGGCGATTGGAACTCACCCAATCCCAATTCCAATCGGGGGCCAACCGTGCCGCCGGAACGTGCAATCGCAGTCAACGGGAAAAGGAACCCGTCAGAATCCCCAAACGGATGGGAATCGTGAAAAAAAAAAGAAATGGAAAAAAAAAAGAAACCGCGCGAGGAATGTTGGTTCCTGGCTCAGGTACTGCGGGCCGGCCGTTCCCTCTGAACTTGGCCCCTGCACTGTAGGGATGCACCTGGCTCAAAAGGTCGACGTTGAGGGAGCTACTGGACTGGCGTGACTGCAGCAAAGATGCAGAGGGCCGTGCCAGTCTTGATATTACCATACGCTGTACCGAGTACCGTAACGGATACATCACACTGGAAGTATGTGCACGTAGACCAAGTACATTGGGGATATTGTATATAATCGACTTACTCCGTACTCTCTATACAATGACTACTTCTAGGGAGAAAGTACAAGCTCACCATGCAGATATGGTGAGCTACGTCACCCGGTCAGACCAGGTGACCTCTGTGGCATCGGAATCGCCACAATTCAAGCTGTCATGCGACAGAAGCTCACACGGGAGCAGGGGGAGCCAAAAAAGAGTGGGAACTAAAATAATCCAAAGTAGCAAGTAATAATTATAATAAGAAGAAAAAAAGCAAAATCAAGGACAAACTAAAATGACGCCCCCTCAGGGGTCTGACGCCGTCTGAGATCGATTCCATCGCGAAATGCCGACCTCTCGGGATTCCGAAGACATTGCTCGGGGGCGTCGGCAAGCTTCGATGAGAGGAATGTCCACGGGGAGAGGAGGCCATGGGGCGACACCGCCAGAAACGGGCAGGTCACACATCGTGGGACAGGACTGAAGCCCGTCCCTGGCCGGCTGACATTTTAAACACACTGCGCCGGAATGTCCCAATCGCGCCGCGTCGGCATGTACGGAGCGTAAAGCATGGAAACGGCATTCCGACTGTCAGACACGTGGAGAAGGAAGGGAACAGCGAGAGCGCGCGACCAGGCAACTTGCAGTCCTCCGTACCCTGACGTCGGAATCGGAACACTGGGGGTTGACTCCGTATGGACTCGTACACTGTGTACCGGGTTCCGGGCCATGCGAATCATCTGAAATGATTGGTTCGAGAGCCAAGAGGTTCCGAGTGAATGAGCCCATCGTCCCATCCCTTCACCACCGTCTCCTCCTGAGGTGTGATGATGTCGATGACGATGACCGATGGACAAGATCGAATGAGACCGATCTTATACCAAAGCGTAGATGGCGCCTAAGGAGAACGCCAAGATCGGACGGAGCGTAAGCGAACAAGCGCAAACCAGGAGCAAAATTACACTGGCCCACCCTCATTTCCGGAAAAAGCTCTCAACAGGGAACGGGCAAATGAGACACTTGGGCCTCCACTCAAACTGTAAAACCCAGTGTGCCAGTGCCAGTGAACGGGGACATACATATCCTAGTCCCTTTAGGCTGGGTTGGGCCTGGAGGACGAAGGTTATTAGCCAGATGATGTCACGAGTGGGTATAAGAGCCGACTCTCAGCCACACTTCAGGCTGCTGGTCAAAGGGCCATCAGGTAGCCATTGGGTTGTGTCAGTGGCTGAGTGAGGCATATAATGCGGAGAGAAATAGCGCACTCTCGGACCAGGGAGCATGTACGGAGACGAGTAGAGTCAGGTGCGTGTCCAAGATCTGATCTCAATTGGTAGTGCTGTTAATGTCCTATAGGTATTGTACGGAGTACCTGTAGGTATTATGGTTACATGACTAATCTACTTCAATCCAATTTAGGGGTGTATACAAGTAGTTACACCATCACCTTGGAATGAGAACTCATTCTGACTGATATCTGTGAGAAAAGTATCTGGAGAGTGTCAGACCTGGGGAAGTGGAGACCAGAAGAAAAGAAAACAAGAAAATCCTGGTTATATTACTAGAATATTATATTACTCCATATTCCTCTTAGTGCTCTGTACGAAGTACGGAGTACGCCCTACTATATCCCAGACTCCGGAGTATAGGCCCCATCCAGCCTCGGATCAACGATACACCTGGTCCATACAACCCGAAGGTCTTGGTGTCAAGAAAAAAACATGTTTTACATTGGCCCGTCTATGATGCGAAAACATAACCCGAGAGCTCCCTGCAGGCACAGCCATGCATCTCACTCGCAATCCCCATAGACCCCCAAAATTGGGCCAAATCAACCGGAAACAGGATATAAAGACACACGACAGGCCAAACAACTCAAAAGATGCCGCATCGGGTAGGAGGTAATCAAGGAAACGGAGTGTGAATCTATACAAATAATGGGATCTCCATGGCGCCAAACAACCACCCCGCACCAGCATCCCAAACGGAAGAGGAGAGACCGGAACATGGGCATTCCAGACAAGGGAGAGGGGGAAGAACTACTAAAACAAGGGAGGTGAAAGAGGTATTATCTCGCGACCGGGGCGAGGGGGCTTAGAAGGGAGGAGGGATCATGGCGGCAGGGTCCATCTTCTCCTGCTGCTCCATCAGGTCTTCACCAGCGAGCTCCAGGGAGACCGCAAGACCGAGCTTGGCGGTTTGCTTAGCCTGGTCAATCTCACCGGCGAAGGAGAGGGAGATGGGCATGGCAATGCGCTTCTCAAGGAGACAGCTGACCTTACCGGTGCTGTCGACCTGGGCACGGAAGGAAGAGGCGCGGAAGTCGTACTTGGCACCGATGGCAGTGGTACCGTCACGGGCGGGGCCACCCATCATGAGAGCGGCGGGGGAGGGAGAGAGTTGGAGGTTCATGTCAACACCGGCCTCGACGCGCTCGGAAAGCTTGCGCCAGTAAGTGGCGTTGAAGGTGCCCTGGGCCTGGAGCTGAGCAGTACCAATCCAGTCGTCACCCTTGTACTTGGCGGAGTAAGAGAGAGCAGTCTCGGGGCGGGCAGTGATGCCCTGGCGCTGCCAGATGGCCTCGAAACCAAGGGCCAGAGCGGGAGTGATGGACTGCAGGTAGCTGCCGACGAAGATACCGGTGAGACCACCCTCCAAGCAAGAGGGGTTGAAGGCCTTGAGGGAGGCAGAGAAATCGGAACCGGTGTAGTCGTTATCGATCTGAATCAATCCCTGGGCGCCGCCGGCCATGATCTGAGCATTGGTCTTGGTGACGAGGGCCTGGTTCCAGCGGTAGTTACCGACAGCGGCGAGCGCACCGTCGCTTCCGTAGTTACCTTGCATGAAGACCTATCAAAGAGAACGTATTAGAGATGCCAATTGAAGGGGAGATCGAGAGGGAGGAGGGCCGGTCTTACCTTGGGGCTTCCGTACATGGCGGAGAAAGCGTATGGGGGCAGGTTACCGGTCGAGCCCATGGAGAAGGCGTGGGAGACACGGAACAGAGGAGACATGCCGAAGACCTTGGTCAGGTCGGCACGCAGGCCGGAGAACATGAAGTTGGTCAACAGGACATCCTTTTGCACTTCCCTGGCGAGGTTATCGACAGTGCCAGGGTTGGGCAGACCAAGCATCGCCCTTCGGTCGGAGAACGAGTTGTATGCATCGCTGAGAGCCGCGGCGGCGGGGTTGTCGGTGACAAAGGAGAGAGATGATAAGTAGTCGGACATTTTGGGTGGAATCTGATAATCGTCGACAATTCAATTAGGTGTCGTCACGCGTGCCTCGAGAGGTATGGAGGATGATGGGATTAAATGGAGTTGAGACCAGCCCAGATATCTGCGACGAACCAACGTCTCAGATGATGATGGGGGAAAGAGGAAAAAAACTAGGAAAGGGCTGGATGCGATCAGGAGTTCGGAGTGTAGGGGAAGCAATTCAAGACTTTCCGAGCTGTGAAAAATGCTAGTCACCTGCCTCGGCGTCTTTGGTTGTTGTCGCTCGCCGGGTTCTTAGGTAATCCGCTTTCCTCCGATATAATTTAGTTAGTGAGGGAGTCTTCAAGGTCAACCATTCATTAAACTCATAGTTAAAATGCATATTATGTAAATGTACTATATTATTTACACACAACCTCTGTATTTTGAGATTTCTATAGAGATATCACTACAGCAGTAGCAGTTCTAGCCAACAATAGCAGCGTGGTTGATATTGCTGCCTCAAAAGCAAGGCGGCGAACGTGGTACCCACCCGATATCTGGTATCACCTTTCCTATACCGCTTGTTCCCATCTGGCTACTCCGTCTTCCCAAAGCTCCTGGGTGAGAAGAAAGTCATTGAGCCACTGGCGAGTTTTGAAAAGTGATATCTTCGTGATCTTGTCTCACCATGGACACCCTACTGTAAGATTCCCCCGCCATATGCATACCCCTCCAAGAATCTGGGAAGGCCAGTGCTGCTGCCCTATGACATACATCTGGGAAGCGGTGGTACTGGCGTCGGCCACCAGTTTGAGATGAACTTTTTGAATCAAGCCTCCATCTTGCTTTGAGAAATCTTCAATTCAACCTCCGTATTTGAGTCAAACTGACATCATATAGCACCGCGGAGATCGTGGCTAACTCACCACAATTTCGCCGCAAATCGTCAATCTTTGTTGATGCAATTCACGACTTGCCCGAAAAGGCAGATCTTGCCCCAGCCCAGCTCTACAGCACCGAGTCCGGTCGACTGTTCCACTCGGGCCGTATTGTGATCATCACTGTCGGCTTGCCCGCCAGAGGCAAAACGTAAGCTGGCTACGTACTCGTTAGATTGAGGTTATCCGGCCGGAAGCTAACCTTTCAAAGACACATATCAGTTGCCTTGGCAAGATATCTGCGCTGGTAAGCTTGATCATGTCAAGTGGTACCGTCTCGCAGCCATGCTCACATCAATAGGCTTGGTGTCAAGACTAGGATCTTCCACCTGGGAGATTATCGACGTGCGACCATTCCTTTCGGCGAGGATATGCCAGATGATTATTTCTATGTCAACGGTGAGTGCAGTATCACCGCGAACCATGTGTTTAGTGCTAATGTGTGTCTATCTCAGCGACCGCCAGCTCCGTCTTGCTGCGACAGAAGATCGTGAGAAAATGTCGAGAGGATATCTATCACTTCTTAAACCATGAAAACGGCCAGATTGCAATTTATGATGCTGTCAATCCTCTAGCCTCGGGACGGCGTTCACTTGCCAAAGAGTTCGCGAAGCATGATATTGAGGTATACATGAACATTTCTCTCCCTTCAGACTGAACTAATTAATTGAAAAGACCCTCTTTATTGAGTCACGATGTGACGACGAACGCATCATTGAAGAGAATGTCCGCAGAGTCAAGATCTCCTCTCCTGACGTGAGTACATCGCATCCTCAGGCTTTGGATCAAATATTCTGACATGTCTAAGTATGTCTCGTGGAAATCGCAAGATGCCGTGAAGCATTACCTGAGTCGTATCTCGGCTCGTATTCCCCAGTTCCAGTCTATGGAGGAGAAGGATCTGAACTACATCAAGGTATGTACTGCTAGTCCCTGTCTCGTAATGTATGCTCACTACATCCAGATGATCAACGCCGGCGAGAGATTGATTGTCAACAATCGAAGCTTTGGATACCTTTCTAACCGTATTGTCTTCTACCTGCTAAACCTCCACATCAAGTCACGACGAACTTACTTTGTTCGAGCTGGTGTCTCATTGGATGCTGATTCGTACAAAGCCGATGCTTCTCTTTCTGAACAAGGCGAAGACTATGCTAAGAAAATGACCGCACGGCTATTAGCTCACCGAGAAGAAGAGAAGCAAACCATGATCGAACGAGGAGAGACGGGCTTTGAATCGAGACCTCTGAAAGTTTGGACATCGACCCGGCGCAGGACCATCGAAACAGCGAAATACCTCCATGAAAATGGGTACAAGGTCCGGCAAAGATCCCAACTGAGCCAATTGCACCCCGGCGTTTGCGAGCAAATGTCCGAGAAGAAAATCCGAGCAGAGTTCGGAGATGAGGTCTCCAAACACGAACTTGATCCCTACCACCACCGTTACCCTCGCGCAGAGGTTAGCATTGAATTATGACCATTTTAGCGGGCCTTCAAGCTGACTAGCCTCTACAGTCTTACCACGACTTGGCTGTTCGCCTGGAGCCCATCATTCTCGAGCTCGAGAGGGAACAGACCGATTTGCTCATCATTGCACATGAGAGTGTTCTGAGGGTCTTGTATGGCTACCTCATGGCCTGCAATGCTGCGGACATTCCGTTCCTTGAATTCCCCCGTGATGAGATCATCGAGGTAAGTGATTTAAATCTGGAATATGATGTAAATTACTGACACTGTCTCAGATCATCCCCGAGAGCTACCAGAATGTGGCCCAGCATATCAAGATTCCCGACCTCCCAGAAGAGATCATTCCTGACTCTCCCGAGGATCTGAAGATACCTGTACCCCCAAGTGGATTGGTGTCCCCGATGCAGGGGCTTGGTAGCCCAGAGGGCCAGGGCACCCCGCAGAGTGGCTACCGAACACCGAGTGGTATCCGGACCCCGCGCGAGCCCGAGAGAATCTCACAGCAGCATGTTGAAGACGTGGTTTAGATAACATCCCCAATGCCTTGTTGATTGGCGATATACCACCCCCCTTGAGTATGTTGTTGACTTTTGAATTCTTCCAGGCAAGCAGGCTTTTATTCATCATTTCGTCAAACGTGATTGCAGAAATGCAACCACTTCAGATTTAGCCTTCTTTTGATCTTTTTAACCGCCGTGCAGAGTAGACACAAATACGATGGTATCTCCTGCTTGAAGCTCGTATGCATCTTCGCCTTCTAATTCCCAGTCGGCATCATTGATGAGGACAAGGACGCCTGGTCGTCTGTCACACTGTCAGTTTTGCTTGATATGTAGAGTTCCTATCCACCTACACGCTGTCTTCCATGATAAACATATCTTTCCGCTCATCCTGCATGAGATTGTCGACGAGGTATCCAAGCAGGAATGAGATATTCGGAGAGCTGCCATTTTCCAACTGAGCAGGCAGAACTACCTTGTGCTTGCGTTCATTACCGAAAAGTAGTTCCAGACCACCACTGATTTCAATTGTCAGTCGCCGCTTGTCAAACAGAGGGAAGGACTCGTACGTAAACTCAACGGTGATGGGGATGGGGTAACCCCCCGGTGCAGATGACTCGGCCATAGTGAATTACGTGCAGTCAAGTCAGCTCAAATCACCGCAGACAGTGAAAGGACTTGGAAAGGACTGGTTGAACAAATGGACGTGGAGGGGCTAAGGCGGAGACAATGCTTATCGATAAGCCCCAATCTTTCCGCAATTCTTTGCGCCTCAGCTTCTTTTCGACACACGATACCAGTACACAGCCTGAATCTACTCCAATGGTGGGCGTCACGACAGACTACATCAGTGCAGGAGGCAATCGCCATCCCGGTGCCGCGGATTGGGATGTGCAGACCGGCGTGCTCGCCTTTGGCGCGGACAACAATGTCGCCCTCTGGGACCCTCTTGTAAGCTCGGCCAGATGACGCATGGCAGTTATTGAAGTCTAGAGCTAATAACTTCAAGGACAAGTCTGACCGCGGTATCTACTCCTTGCTTGTTGGCCACACCGACAAAGTGAGCGCAGTGCGGTTTTATACCTGCCCCTCCTCGGGATCGAAATTCATCATAACCGGCTCGGTCGACCGCACGCTGCGCGTATGGCAAAGCCAGAGCCCTGAAATGCACAAGTATGCTCTGGTAGCAACCTTGGAGGGCCATACTGGATCTGTGAATGCGATTGCAGTCAACAATGGAACTGATATCATCGCATCTGGAGCGGCTGATGGGACGGTGCGAGTTTGGAGAATCAGCACACATGACCAAGTGAAGGGCGAATTACTCGACACAATTAACATGACACCCCGCTTTTTCCCATTATCTTTGTCACTACAGGGTCTCGGGGACGATGCGGATAAGCCTTTGGTCTTGGCTGTTGCAGGTACAATGACCAAAGTGCACATCTACGTCTCGGAAAACTCCAGCAAGCCGGAGTTCAAGCGCCGTGCTGTGCTTGCAGGACATGAGGCTTGGGTGAAGTCCCTCTCGTTCACCCAGGACAAGCAGAGCAAGGAAGGCGATATCCTGCTGGCATCTGCTAGTCAAGATAAATACATCCGTCTTTGGCGTCTGCACCGTGGTGAGGCAAATGCTCCAGCTCCTATTGATGACACAGATCCATTGCTTGGAGGAATGGAACCCACGCTTTCCAACAAGGCCCATGAATTTGAGGCGAAGGGATCAAAGTATTCAATTACATTTGAAGCTTTGCTCTTTGGGCACGAAGATTGGATTTACACCACTGCTTGGAACCCAGACCCCAAGCGCCAACAGCTTCTCTCGTCCTCTGCAGATAACACCATTACAATTTGGGAACAGGACCAAGCGTCGGGCGTTTGGATGTCCGCAGAGAGAATGGGAGAAATTAGTGTCCAAAAGGGTTCCACTACCGCAACTGGTAGTGCTGGTGGTTTCTGGATTGGTCTTTGGTCACCAGATGGCAAGCAGGTTGTCAGTCTTGGTCGCACAGGCAGCTGGAGAGTCTGGAAACAGGACTCTGATTCGGACCTTTGGGTGCAAAAATTCGGCATCACGGGCCACGTTCGCTCATCCAATGGAATTCAATGGGAGCCTACCGGCGGCTATCTACTATCGACAAGTGCTGATCAGACAACGAGACTCCACGCCAAATGGGTGCGGGATCAGGTGAGCTCGTGGCACGAGTTCTCTCGCCCCCAAATTCATGGCTATGATCTGAATTGTATCGACACACTTGGTCCTTCACAGTTCGTCTCCGGCGCAGAGGAGAAACTTCTGCGTGTTTTCAATGAGCCCCAGCCCATTGCCGAGCTGCTCGAAAGACTCACTGGCTTCAAACAATCGGGCCAGGATCTTCCCGACACTGCAGAGATTCCGGTACTGGGCCTCTCTAACAAAGCCCTTGGAGATGAAGCACCGGTCGAGGAGGACGAGGGAAAAGCACCAGCAGAGGCACCAGCCCCTTCATTCTCTTCAACCACCAACCATCCGCCCCTTGAGGACCAACTGTCCCGTCACACACTCTGGCCAGAGCATGAGAAGCTTTACGGCCACGGATACGAGATTTCCGCAGTGGCAGTTAGCCATGATCGCAAAGTCATCGCTACCGCTTGCAAGGCTAGTTCTATCGACCATGCAGTCATTCGCCTGTACGATACTTCAGATTGGCATGAGATCAAGCCGTCTCTCACAGCGCACTCATTGACCATTACTGATCTCTCTTTCTCGGCTGACGATCGCTATCTTCTCAGCGTTGGACGTGATCGTCAGTGGGCAATCTTCCAGCGCAGCGACTCGGATGCCACTACGTTTACAAACCTCGTTTCGACCCCCAAAGGCCACTCCCGAATGATTCTAGGTGCCGACTGGGCTCCAGTCACAACGGATCACGTCTTTGCCACTGCGGGACGTGACAAGTCCGTCAAGATCTGGCAAAGGTCTGAAGACAACTTTGCCTGTAAAACCTCTATCCCCCTGACCTCTGCGGTCTCTGCAATTGCTTTCTTACCCATCACATACAAGGGATCCTTCATTATCGCAGTGGGCGAAGATAGTGGTGTCATTTCTATCCACCAAATTGCCGCCGAAACCTTTGAAGTAGCTCATGTCGTCACAGTTGACAGGGAAGTTTCGCCTTCTAAGACGATTACCCAACTGTCATGGCGTCCAGTGCTACCCGAAGCAGAGAGCAAGGATCAGTTTGAATTGGCGGTGGCGAGTGAAGACACTTCCACGCGCATATATGCTATTTCTAGCATGCTCGCATGATGTATATACAAAGCCAAGATCGTGCAAGCCCCCCTTTATGAGTCATGATGGTTGAAAAGTCCCCAATTGTTGAATAGATCGCTAGACCCAGATGTCGAACCGTAACCCCGTTTATGCCTGTGGTTGAACCCAATGATTGTTGAATGGCATGATGTTAAAAAAAACCTTGCAGTGCGTAGGGAAAAAAATGAGAGTAAAAAAAAAGAAGATCCCAGGAGTGAAGTCAAAGGAAGTCACTGATCATTTATCGGCGTGCTTCTCCAATCCATAACCACCAATGCCCTCAAGCGACTGGTAGGTCTTACCCTGGTTTCCACGCCCATTCCGAGGGCCTCTAGTTGCCATGTCCTCCTTCAGCCACTTGAGGACCAGCTCACCAAGTCGGCTGTTCTCAGAGGTCCATTCAGGGACCTGCTCGTGGAAAGACTCAACAGTTCCCAGCGCCTTGACCTTACCCAAATGCATATGGACCAGATGGGTCGGCCATTGGGCGAGATTGTCGAGGATATGAGTAGCATAGACGATGGTGCAAGCTCTCGTCTCCGTCTCGCGCTTCAAGAAAGCAAGGAAATTGCTTCGAGACAGCAAATCCAAGTCGACCGTGATCTCATCCAACAGCAGAACCTGCCAAGGTCGCAGAAGACCCATGGCCAGCTGGACACGACGACGCTCGCCGTCTGAGACGGCATGCATGCGCCAGCGCAAATCAATATCCAAGATATCGACTAGCTCGTCTCGACGCTCGGGATAGGCGTTGCCGCCCACCGAAGCGAGAAGAGTTGGAACATCAATATCAGTGCGAACAATGCTGTTCAACACCCACTCTACACCCAAGTAGGTGACGCCATCTAGGCTGTCTTTGAAGGGGTCTTTGCCACCAACCGCAATGGTATCATTGGGTGCCAGGCGTTTGCCTGACAGTAGACGAAGGAGGGTGGTCTTGCCCGCTCCGTTTGCTGTTCTGATTAGCCCCAAGTCTCCATTCAAGCCTGGCAAAACTCACCACCAATGAGAAGAGTTCGACTACCAGCCGGAAGGCTCATGCCCACATCCTGTAGACCGTCGGAGCCATCTTGGAACTTGTAAGAGAGGTTTTGGACCTCAATGTTTGGTAGAGGGCTGGGCGACATGATAGGAAATTTCACGCACACAGCCAGATGAATCGCGATGAATAGGAAAAAGAAGAGAAAGGAGTGAGTCAGGATGGCCAAGTTTAGCGTTGGAACATGGCGACATACGCCGTGGCGGGGATGAGGTAACCCGATAACGATAACAACTTTTTTCTTCCCTTTCGCAACGTCGTGGCCATTGCGGGATGCTCTCGGCGACACGCACATTCTTCTCCTTACCTGCCCTACCTGCTCTACGATCTGCTCGAATGGATCCCCTCATAACTGTTCTCGGGGCCACAGGCACCGGCAAGTCCAAGGTAAGGAAGCCCCCCGCATCTTGATCGAGCCCAATATCTGATAGCTATAGACAGCTTGCCGTGGACTTGGCCTCTCGATTTAATGGTGAAATTATCAATGGCGATGCGATGCAGATGTATCGCGGGCTCCCCATCATCACAAACCAGATCCCAATCGACGAACGAAACGGAGTCCCCCACCATCTCCTCAGCTGCATTGACCTGGACGCAGAAGCGTGGCGCATAGGCCTGTTCAAGCGCGAAGCCCTCCGAATCATAGACGATATTCGGTCACGCGGCAAGATTCCTATCCTGGTCGGAGGTACACACTATTATACGCAAGCAGTGTTGTTTCGAGACCAGCTCGTGGGCGAAGGGGTGGACGACGAAGGCGAGCGCGAGCAGCTCACCGAGTTTAGCTCCACGTCAAAACAATGGCCGATCCTTGATGAGCCGGCTGATGTTCTGTTGGAGAAACTGCGTGAGGTTGATCCTGTCATGGCTGCTCGTTGGCACCCAAATGATGGACGCAAGATCCGTCGCTCGTTGGAGATTTTTTTCCAGACCGGGCGACCGGCCTCGGAAATATACAATGAACAGAAGGCGCAAAAGAAGGAGGCCCTGACACAGGATGAAGGACTCCTGCGTTTCCCAAATACACTGGTGTTTTGGGTCCACTCCGATAAAGAAATCCTCAATGCGCGCCTGGATGCCCGCGTTGATGACATGATTGAGCAGGGCTTGATGACCGAGGCGCAGAAAATGTCAGATTACTTACAGGAGCAAGCTGCCCAAGGCGTGGAAGTTGATACGACGCGGGGTGTGTGGGTGTCCATTGGATTCAAAGAGCTGGCGAAGTATTTCGAGGCTGTTCGCCAAGGGGAGCTGAGCGAAAAAGAGCTCGAAGATATGAAGCGGAATTCCCTTGAACTTATAAGAACGGCTACGCGACAGTACGGATCTTCTCAGGTTAAGTGGATTCGCAACAAACTGTGGCGGGCACTTACGGAAGCCGGCGAAACTCGCCGTCTATACCTTCTGGACAGTTCAAAGGTCCAGGACTGGAGCGAGTGCATCACGGAGCCGTCCGAGAAGATTGTGCAATTGATGCTCCAGAATGAAGCCACCCCTGATCCTAAATCGCTTTCTCAATTGGCGGCAGATGAATTTGGCGCAAAAGAAGCCCAGGTTCGTCCACCGAAGGATGGTATTGATATATGCTATACCTGCGAGACCTGTAATAAGACCTTGGCGGGCGAGGATCAGTGGAATATCCACCTGAACAGCCATATGCACAAACGGGGTCTCAAGTCTGCAAGCAAGCGAAAACTTCGTGACGAGTACTTCCGACAAAAGGAATTGGAAGCACTGGAGGGCGCTGAAAACACCAAAAAAGCTAAACAGGCTTCTGAGGATGCCTCATGATTCTGCAGCATTGCATATTTGAGCGAATATCAAGTCAATTATTACATAGATGCCCTACCTGAGCAAAACTATATGATTCCCATGAATACAAGTACAAACAATCAGGGTTCTGTTGGACCTGTTGGACCTGTTGGACCTGTGTGCGCTCGCCAGGCCTTGAACGCAGGCGACAGAATATCGCCATGGCCCTGCTCCTCGATCTGATAAACTTCAATCACCGGGGATTTGTCCTTTCTGCGAATTCTCCATGTCCCTTCGCGGTTTATTGTCTGCTTGAGCCCTGGAAAATGTTAGTGCTAGATACCCAAAAGTGACAAGAGAAGACCGAGACTTACATTCTAAGAAAGCGCCAGTGAAGTTGATACAGACATTGCCATCCCAGGACCGCCGCCCTACACTGAGAACCTTCCCAGGAATACTGGCTGTGTCCAACTCCTCTAGGCTGTGGCAGATACCATCCTGATCGCGGAACCCAACGATGATCTTGGGTACACCGAGCAGGAATGACTGAGCCCAGAATTTGAGCAATTTCCGCTCATACTTGAGCATATCTTTGTCGTTTCGGATTTGAGCCGATGTCTTCAGTTCGACCCAGTTGATGGGTGCATCTTTCTTTGACGGCTTGCTATCCCAGACTGTGAAACGAGATCAATATGGACTCGGCTATGTCATGGCGGTTAGAAAACCTACTTGCATCCACCTCTCCTCCAAGAACCATTCGTGTACTGCCAATTCCGGTTCGAACAACGGAGCAATATTGCGCTGCATTGTTGACTATATCGTCCTCGCGGCCTTCGATCTCTTCGCGGGTAGACTCATCCCATGTCTTTCGCAAAACTGCCAAGTTTTCAAACTTGTAGCCTATGATTCTTCAGTTAGTAGGTGGCCGTGTACTTGGTAGGCGGCTCTTCATACCCCAGTACATCATGAGCTCTTGGGGCGCCATCCCAGGCGGCGATCCTCGTTTGCGCTGGATCTCTTTCTGCTGATTTTTGTACTCGTTGTTTTCTTCAATAAATCTGCCATGGGTTAGTTGAGGAGGAGATCTTGTCACCGTATTACATACATTGTGCCCTATGCAAAGTTAGACAATTCGGAAATTTCAAAGCGGATCTCATACCTGGAAGCAAGTTGCGTTCATCTCAAAACTGCGAGTGAATGTTAGACGCCATGCCTCATGTGTGTCAATGGAAGAAGTATACAGACCCATTCATATTGTCATAGGGAGCCGTTAAAATCTAAAATCTGTCAGTTGGAGATACGGACATCATCTCAGTCAATATAGCTTACCTTGGTCATCATTCCTCTCCATGTCACAATGTCTACCTCACACTTCTTCTCCGTTTCTTGCTCATGGGCCACTAGAGTATCTAGGAGGGCATCCAGGTGCTCATCGGCAACATCATCAAGCTTCTGGAAAGTACTGTAGCCTTTGTTCAGATCCGCAGGCAGATTGGGCGTGTAATAGTAGGCCATGGAAGAATCTCCCAATAAGAAACGACGTTGATCGTCATATGAGAAGCAGGCAATCTCCTGGTTTGAAGTTAGATACATTGTATGTAACATAGCAGTGCATGTCTTACCCTTGGTCTTCGGATCGAGGTATTGGCACCAGCAAAGCGCTGCACCGGTTGTATGTTGAACGTGGCCATGTTGCAGTCTATTGCGCGAACATGCGCGAAAAGGCGTTTGACCAGCCTGGAGTTGCGAAAATGGTGCGTGTCACTTGGTCAATAAGAGATACAGCAGTACAATGAAGAAGTTGTAGCTGAAAAGATGTTTAGATGTTTCAAAGAGAGAAGTAGTCGACGAAGGGCATCAAAAAGGGCCCAAGTCCCAAGTAGGGCGGATGACGGAGACGGCCTTAGGGACATCCGTCCCCACCAAACTTCACCTCTCCCCCGCGACCGTTTTTTTGCCCTCAACACTCCAGACTCAGGAGAATTGCACAATGTCTTCTCGTATCGATAAGGTCATTGCCCGCCAGCGGGAAAAGTGAGATTCTAATCCCCGAGGGCCTAGCAGTGGGCGTGTACTGACGGGTCTGACTGGCTGTTAGGATCGCTGATGGCGCCTATTATGAAGCTCACCAGCAGCTACGTGTCATTGCTGTCCGCTACATCAAACAATCAAACTACGATGCTGCCGCCGAGATCTTGGCCGGTGGCGCCAAGGAGCTCTTGAAAGCTGGCTCGCAACAAGGTGCCTCTGCCAGTGGTGGCGACTTGGCGATCATGCTGGTGATCGAGGTCTATAATAAGGCAGAATGGGAGATCAAGGGAGGAAGTGACGATGCAGAGGGTCGATCCCGCAAGAGTGAGTGTGGATGGGTTTACGGGTTCACTGCGACTTTGGAACCAGACCTTCCCATGTTGAAGAGCATTCGCTAACACGTTGAACCTCCCGCAGAGCGCTTGATCGAATTGCTACGTGAATTCCCTTCCGACGAACCTACACGAAAGAGATACATTCAAGAGATCATGGCATGGAGCGGTAAATTTGGACCATTGGAGAGGGGAGACCCAGAGCTGCACCATGCTGCCGGCTCGGTATATGCCGAAGGTAAGGTGACTTGCAGAGCGCCGAAAAGGAACCCGATCCTAATCTAGTGCAGATAACGAGCCGTACGAGGCCGAGAAACATCTCATCCTAGGAACCTCCGAATCGGCCGAGACGCTGGCGAAGCTCGAGTACGAATGGTACACTGGCGACGAGCCTCACACCGCAGCTATCTATGCCTCTCGTGCAGTCTTCCCATACCTCCTCACGGGCAACCTCCGCAGTGCAAACAAAGCCCTGCTCATCTTTACCACCAAGCTCTCGGCTGCTAACCCCCAGCTGGGTGTGCAGGACGTCAGCAGCTCCAGCTCAGACGCCCGCGTATTCCCCGCGCTTCCACTCGTCAACTTTATCAGCTTGCTTCTGCTGACCATCCAGCGGGGCGCTCCGGATCTCTTCCGCAACCTCACTGCCCACTACGCAGCACAGATTAAAGAACTTGGTATATGGGATGATGCCCTGGCGCAGATCGGTGAGCAGTACTTTGCGATCAAGATCCCTAGACAAGGAAACCCATTGATGGATATGATGAGCGGTATGTTGTTCGGTGGTGGTAATGCGGGCAAGCAACAAAGCCGGGCGAAGAAGGTCGAGGCCCCACCGGCAAGCATGGAGCTTGATTAAGTGGTTTTATTGCGAACATCCAATATCCAGCGCATAGCGTTTAATTCGAGAAGGTGTCTTTCTCGGGCTCAAACATCCAATTATCATCATCCAACGAAGCCACTTTCTTGCGTAAACTTTCGTGTACCATGTCAAGGATCTCTGTTTGGAGGTCAGTACCTATTGGCTGTAAATATAGGGACGTCGTCAAGCTGCAAACGCACCATCAGGCTCGTCATCTGACATTCGGTTTCGGTGTCGAATCATCATCTCCATAAGTGCCTGCTCAAATTCTACCCCATCGTCAGCACCTCACAGCCTGCAAGTCTCGGCGTAACGTACTCTCTTTCTCCCGACCAGTCAGCTCTGCCGGATTGAAGTTTTCTTCCATCTCGACCAGCTCCTCGCCATCCTCGCCAATCAGAATAGGCGGCAAGGTGGGCACCTCAAGTTTATAGGCGCCGTTCTTATCTCTAACCACAATATCCTTATTCTCAGCCCTAGGGGGCCGGGGTTGGGGACCTGAGTCTGAAGATGTCGGCTTGAGTCGGTTCGAGGGGCGGTTGGAGACGCCGTTGGGGTTCGAAGGGATGACCCCGTTAGGCGGTCCTGCAGAGGCCGGTCGGCGGCTGAGGTTCCCATGGAAGAGGTTGCGGCGGACGGAGGTTGTGTTCATCATTGTTGGTGTGGGTTTGTAAACACAGCGAGCGCGCTATCTTGATGAACACAATTGCGACACTAGTTTGGGAGTGGTGAACTGGGGGTTCCAAGCGAGTTCAGGAGTATAGGATTGGAGTCAAGGAGGGTATGAGAGGAACCGAGTCATTGGACAGCGAGTAATTGGAATGGTAAAGATAGTAAGAATAGTTGTTGGGTGGAAGGACGGTTGCGGAATGAAGTCGATTAAGACAAGCTGTCTGAGTCACGTATAGTTTGCGTCAACACCCACTTGGAACGAAGTCAAGATATCAATATAGAGGTATATAGACATGTATTCTAGTAAGTTTCGCTAACCAGATCTATAGAATTAATTGATCTTATATAGATTATATAGACACACGAAGTATACAAAAGAACGAAAGTCTCCAGGTAGAAATAGACGCACGGGCCACTCGATAAGCTTATCGTCCACGCGCATCTTTCGCATCTTTCGCGTCTTCCCTTCTTCCCCAAGTCTTCATCATGGTTCAAGCCGAGTCCTCCTCAACTGCTTCTCGTAATGCTGCAAAGGCAAGCACTGCAGGTGCCCCTGCCAACTATGAGCTTCCTTGGTGAGTTTGACCCGGAATTGTCAGAAAACGAGAGCTAACCCTCCCCCAGGGTCGAGAAATACCGCCCCATCTTCCTCGATGACATTGTGGGAAACACCGAAACCGTGGAACGCCTCAAAATTATCGCCAAAGATGGCAATATGCCCCATGTGATTATCTCCGGTATGCCCGGTATTGGAAAGACCACTTCCGTACTGTGTCTGGCTCGCCAGATGTTGGGAGATTCATACAAGGAGGCCGTGCTGGAGCTGAATGCTAGTGACGAAAGAGGTGAGCTTGATGAGGGTTTAAAAAATGATTCATACTGACCAGCCTAGGTATTGATGTGGTGCGGAATCGCATCAAGGGCTTTGCCCAAAAGAAAGTCACTTTGCCCCAAGGCCGTCATAAGCTGGTGATTCTCGATGAAGCCGACAGGTATTTTACTATCAACCCGTTTTTGACGTCTATGGGGGATATCATGCTAATTGATATAGTATGACCGGCGGTGCCCAACAAGCTCTTCGACGTACCATGGAGATTTACTCGTCCACCACCCGATTCGCTTTTGCCTGTAACCAGTCGAACAAAATTATTGAGCCTCTGCAATCTCGTTGTGCAATTCTCCGCTATGCTCGTTTAACAGATGCTCAGGTTGTGAAGCGGCTGATGCAGATTTGCGAGGCTGAGAAGGTCCAGCACTCCGAGGATGGAATTGCAGCTCTGGTTTTCAGTGCCGAGGGTGATATGCGTCAGGCCATCAACAATTTGCAGAGTACCTTTTCCGGCTTCGGATTTGTCAGTGGAGATAACGTGTTCCGAGTCGTCGACAGCCCTCACCCGGTCAAGGTCCAGGCTATGATCAAGGCTTGCTGGGAGGGCAAGGTGGACTCCGCGATGGAAGGGTTGAACGAGCTATGGTATGTGGGACTGCGCTGAACCAACGATGACAGACTAACCGATTTCGTCAACAGGACGCTGGGATACTCTTCTCACGATATTATCAGTACCATGTTCCGAGTCACCAAAACCATCCCCACCTTGTCCGAGCACTCCAAGCTCGAGTTCATTCGAGAGATTGGTTTTACACACATGCGCATTCTGGACGGTGTTCAGTCACTTCTTCAGCTAAGCGGCTGTGTGGCGAAGCTATGCCGGATCAACATGAAGCCCGAGCTCTTTGAGCCCAAGGCTTGAAGTGATATGCTAGCCTATAATTTTGCATTCTCCCCCGGCGTTTGGTGTCATTCCAGTGACTCAAGAGGCCAAAAAGGTTCTACATAATGAGTTACGTCTCCGATATACAGTTCAATCAATTACATTCGACCAAGTGACACTGTCAACATGGCATAGCCAAAACTTTCAGACTCGAGCAACTTTCATCCGAGAGCCTCAGCCATGGGATGCACGTAAACTCCCGGAGTTGTCTGATAGGTTCCACTTGTATCTCAGGAGGAACTGACATGGGCTTTCCAGAGGTTCTCAATAGCTGTTGCAGCTCCTAGCACCTTTTCCTCGTGTAGTTTCTTTCCGATGATTTGCAGATTCACCGGATAGCCTTCCACTTGATCTACATCGTAAAGATTCCAATTCCATTCATCGACGGCGTTTCGGGGAGTGTACTCTGGTGCAACGTCTGTAGCTCTCACTCTGTCCACGGGGAAGGTTACCGCAGGATAGTCAAGCAGGTTCCAAATCTTTGTATACCCAACCCACTTCATCTTCCGATGGGGTACGGTTGTGTGCGGCAAAGTAGGACTCAACAAGACATCCACAGGCCTACCAGACCGAGAGCGTGTTGCGTTCCATTGGTCCAGGTATGCTTTTTGCACTGCAATCTTGCGCTTATTCAGTTGCCAATACTCGTACACCGAGATGGCCTTGCCACGATTGACCAGTGCCTCGACATGGGGAATCATCGGCTCGCCGCCAGCCTCGATGTCGCGTCTGATATCCTCACATCCGTCGACGGAGTAAAACAAATCCATGATCTCAATGCAAGACGCATGTGCCGAGGTGTCCCAAATGACGACCTCGTGGCCATTTGCTTCCAAGGCAGCGGATACCTCTTTTAGTGCGCGTGCAATGGGAGGATGCACTCTCACCACGCCGTCATCGAGGATTAGACCGATGACCAGCGGCCTATCTTGAACCTCTGCAAAGGCGTCATTGTTCCACGGGAGAGGAGTGCATCTCGGGTCATATTCCCACGGCCGGCCGCTCGCTAACATCCGGCTAATATAACAGATCGAGGAGAGATCTCTGGCCATGGGCCCGATAGCCGAAGGAACATGTTCCTGGCCTTCTGTGGAGACCGGAACGCCTTGGTACGGGAGTCGAGCGCTCTATCTTGAGTGAGTAGCCTGTTCTGTTTTAAAGCAACGGTCATACTTACACTGGGTTTAAACCCATATACGCCCACGGTACTCGACGGAATTCTTATACTTCCTCCGATGTCGGTTCCAAACCCAAGTATGGAGCCATGCAAGGCCAGCAAGGCCCCTTCGCCTCCGGTTGATCCTCCAGGAGAAAATGCTGGGTTTCGAGGATTCGTTGTGAGTCCCCAGAGAGGGTTCTCCGTCTCGGCCCACTAGTGGAATGTCAGTCACTCCCATATTGCATGAGGCCAAGAGTACAAACCATGATACTTTGAGGTAAGTTAGTCTTGGCGATGATGACAGCTCCCATTCCCTTCAACATTTGCACGAGGGCTGCATCTTCCGAGGCCGGAGCGAACGATCTGCCTACATAGCCTAATGTTGTATCGACACCTTTGACATTGAACTGGTCCTTCAGCGTGATGGGTATCCCGTGCATGGGACCCTTGAGCCTTCCGGTCTCTTTGAACTCGACATCTAATTGCCGCGCTTGTTCTAGTGCATCTTCAAAGAGGATTTCGGTCAGACAGTTTGTCTAAGGCCATTAGCGAAGGTCATGACACCAGCGTCAAACAATTACCAGCTGATGTGCCACCACCGACCTAGACAGTCAGTCAGCGATTGGTCTCTTCACCACGAGGTCGACGGGATCTACCGTTTGATATACGCCCGAGTTACTTCTTCTGCCTTTAATTCTCCGATCTCAATCTGCTTCAGTAGTGCCTGAATATTGTCGACATCGGTGATCTCTTGGACCTTGGGATCTGAATTGATCTGACTTCGCTCTGTGGCCTGGAGTTGGGGAGGACGATCTAGGAGATTGTCCGTTACATATGGAGCGATGAGCTGGTCTCTGACGAGCCATTTCTGAGACACAACATCTTCCCAGTGAGGTGCCATTGCTAAAAATAAAAGAAAAAGGAGAAAGAAGCTATAGACGGTCTACTGCACCGAGATGGCACTATATAACTAGTTCCACTCTAGTCGGACCGAAGACCGGTTACTCCGTATCTGCTTATCTTCTCCAACCCCAATTGGAGTCAGATCGATAACATACGGAGTACTCCGTACGGAGTCGAGTGCACGGAGAATAGTTCAGCGGAGTGTTGGAGAAGAGAGAAGATCACCGTTGGACGCATTGGGAGAGCGGGGAATTCGCCATGTGGGTCCCTTCAACTTCTGCGCCATCGGCACTTTGCGACCAACGCCAACGTCAACGTCAACGTCAACGATCGCTCCATGGAGTTGCGGTACAATGGATTCCAGCTCAAGTACCGGATCGGCCGGTGCCTCCACTGGTGCTATCCGTACTAAAAAGGCCGCCATCGCCAAAAGGGCCTGCGATCAATGCAAGTTTCGCAAGATCAAGGTAAACCCCCAGCCCCCTTGCACGTCGAATCATATTGATCCCCCTCCAAGTGTAGCTTGTCACAACCATGCAAGGCATGCACGTCAATGGGCTTTGAATGTACATTCTTTCAACCCCAGAAGAAGCGTGGTCCCACTGGGCAGTAAGTGACATCGCCACCCGTAAATGATAGATGCGGACTGACCGGAGCTCAGTCGCGTGTCGCAAATTCGACAGCAGCAGACGCTGCCATCTCCGCAAGAAGAGGCAGCCTCGAAATCTGGGTTTCAATATACTCCGACTTCCTCCGTGGAGTCCGGAGGTTCTTTGCCCGGAGCACCATGGACCCCCACTCATGGCCCGGCCACCATGCCCCTAGAGGGCGCCGGCGGATTGGCACCCTCAGCTCCACCCACTGCAATGGGCACCGCTTGGGGGCAGCAACCCCATCAATGGATTCTCACAGTAGCGGCCCCGTGGGCTGGAATGAACGCAATGACGTGGAATACTGGCTTCCCGATAATCTGAATTCGCAAATTCCCGTCTTCGAATATCCTGGAAGCAACGTCTATCTCAAACCATCTCTCCCATCTATCATCCAGCCTGTGCCAGATGCAGCCATTGGATTACCACAGGAGGCTCAGCCAATGCAATATTCGCCCTCTCCCAATGTGAGCTCCATGCACTCGGACAATCAAGACTCCGAAGCCTCCTGGCCGTCGACCATCAACGAAGCCAATATGATCCCCTGGATCGATGTGTACTTTGATCGCTTACATCCAACCATCCCCGTTCTGAGTCGATCATCTTTGTACACGTCGATGCTGACCCAAGAGCACCGCAAGAATCCCCAGTTCGGTGCGATGCTGCTTTCTCTGTGCGCATTTTCACTAACTCAGCCAATCGAGATCGATGAGCGGCCGACCACCTCTTCGCGGGCCCTTCAAGCCCGCGCCATGATGAACGAGGCCACGAAGATGCGGAGCTGTTCCGACTTTGGCGAGAACCCCACTATTGAAGCCGTTTTAACCAGTTTCTTCCTCTTCGGATGTTTGTTTGGGAGTAATCAGCATAATGCAGCCTGGCTTCGAATGCGGGAAGCCCTAGATCTCGCTGCCACTCTCGGCCTCAATGACCCGGAGTCATATCACGATTTGCCGGGAGAGGAGAAGGGCCAGCGGTTGCGCACATATCTCGTTCTTTCCATCACAGAGAGGTTTGTTCTCCCCCTATCTCTTTTTTGTTTATTTCGATTTTGCTATAGAATCACCGCTCACCAGAACTCAGAGCCTACGCCTTGCAACGGCGCCACCCAATCACATTCTGGGGTAAGCCCGGGTTTACTATGCGATCAGTACATGATTTCATTCATAGCGCCACGCACAGCGTCGTATCGGGGATCATTGTACATAATGAAAAAGATGCTGAAGGTATGATGGGACTCGCGCGAATGATGGAGCTCTTCGACGCCATCGATGAAGATGTCATCGACTGCTGGAACCGTCGATGCGACAGCAGTAATGGGTACTGCCAGCGACTCACGGAGGCCAAGGCACTCTCTATTCATCAGAATCTCAGTCGAATCAACCAAGCCGAACGATATCGCGGCTACGACTGGTTTGAGCGCGCTAAAGGCGGCCGGGGCGAAAGCAGTAATGTTATTCTGCCCATGGGGTTGCGAGAAACGCAAGCTGCGGATGTCTTCATCACGCAGAAATGGTTGCAAAATCGGGTCTGGCTTCTGTCATCCACACACAATCTGCTATCTGCTCATTCCGAACGGCCAGAATTGACGTTTGGCTATGCTGTGAGCATTGCCGAGTCGACACTGCAGCTTTGCCAGTCATTACGACTGAGCTCTATGGAAGCACATGGAATTGGCCTGGTATGTCATCCTAGTCCAGATCTCTCCAGTCCCAGCACTAATAAATTCACAGACCGAAAAACTGTACGATATCGCCATCTGCGCAACAAACATTCTCTGCAACACTAGCCCACCCCTTGGCGGCACTCTGAACATGCCCGTCAACTACAACGAAACAATTCCCCCCGGCACAACCTCCACACCCCACAGTCTTGCCGAAGACTTTTTGTTACTGATGACGAGTTTCCGAGGCGGGAATCACCCTTACTTGGAAAAGTATCAGGCTCATCTTCGCTCGCTGCAAATCATGGAAACTCCTAAACCGGAGTGGACGCAGCGATGAGAGAATCGTTCTCTTCCTAAGATCCCTTCATGATCTTCCGACAACGGAATGGTCTCTTGTATGATTTACTCCCCTTTTAATTGTTATATAGACTAGGACTATGGCGTCTGTTTTCCCACCGTCTCCCGTCGGGCATACTTAGAGGCAGAGCCTTGGATTTCACACAAGCCCCGAGGGCTTCAACTACGACTCATTTGATTTTTGACACGTCCTGTAACTGTAGAGATAAGCAGCCTACGTTGCGAAAGACACAGATTGGGCCGTATCCCTGGATATGTTCATTGTATTGGAAGCACCTACTATGTACAGATATTATTTACAGTGTCCAACCAAAGATAGTGTTCATCCCAACTCATGCACCCTTTGACGCTCGGGACTTCTGAAAGGATGTCTCATAGGACCTCCATTTCCACATAGGGATCTTAGCAGCATACATCTCATCAATCTCGGCAAATGAACGACCTCTCGTTTCCGGCATGAGGAAATAAAAGAAGACGATGATGGCCGCCATACAGCCGGCAAAGATGAGATATGTCTTTGCGCCGAGATTGGCTGCATCTGCAGAAGTGAGCTGTGGAACCACCAGGGTAGTGATCACTGCCGTCGACTGCGCGCACGCCACGGTGTAGGACATGGTGTGATGGCGGAGCTTCGGGGTTGCCATCTCCGATGGCATGAGGTTCGACAGCGAGAAGAATGACGATGCCCAAAAGAAGTTAAATACAAATGATAGTGCTGCAATGGCCATAGTTGCTTGCTTGTTCCTGTCAAAAGCCAGGCTACCAGCCACCACATCGACGGCAAAGAGTATGCCCATGCCGACGAACGCTGTTGGTCGTCGGCCGGCGCGATCTATGACGAAAGGCGCGGCGATGGTGCCGGCTAATGTGCAGCAGGATGCAATGATAGTCAGAGTGAATGCGTTCGCCACGTCAATCTCTGTCAGGAAGACGGTGGCGTATGTTGTTGAGAGGATGACACCTGATATTTGGTTAAGAGAGAAGAATGAACCAGCTGTGATGGTGCGCTTAAGATGCTTGCGTTGGAAGATATGCCAGAATTTGGTATGGGCGTGGAGTTCACGCTCGCTTTCCTCACTGCGCTTCATCAGGCGCAGTTCGTCGTCGACTTCTTCGTCGCTGAACCCGCGCAGTTTGCGCAGGCTGCGACGGGCTCGCTCCATCTCTTCCTTCCCAACGAGCCACTGAGGGCTCTCGGGGAGAGGAAGGGTCAGGAAGAACAGGATCACAGGGAGAGCGCACTGTACTGCGAGTGGGATTTGGTATGACAAGATCCCCGAGATCTTTTCGGACCTGAAGACCACCACTGTGCCCACCACTCCGGCAGTGAGGTTCAAGATGTTGGTGGAGCTGACAGATCTGCCTCGAATAGATGCGGGTACAACCTAGTTTCAGATCAGTCAAAAGGATTCCACTGGATGGAATGTGTATATCTTTTTTACCTCGGCGATATACAAGGGGGCAGTGGCATTGACGATCCCCAATGCAACAGCATTGATTGAACGACCACCGATGAAAGCCCCTAGATTGGGTGCAAAGACTTGCAGCAGGCCACCCCCGACAGATACAATGTATGCCACAATCAGCGGCCATTTGCGACCCCAATGGAAGTTCATCGGCGAAGCCAGCAGACCTCCAAAGATGGAGCCCACCAACGGCAGAGAGAAGACGAGATTCTGATTTCGAGCCGTAAGGACATATTTCCCAGATGGATTGGGTCCTTGGAATTTCTCAACCTGTTCTCATATCAGCAAATGCCATATACACCCTCCCATCCCCCTTTTGACGCAGAATTGCCACTTACAAACGCCGGCAACGCCGCCACGGGGGATATGATCTTGTCGTCGAAGCCAAACAAGAAGGAGGCAGCGCCAAACACGATGCAAGTGAAGATCAACTGGGCATTGACGGCCTTGCCATGCGAGCGCGAATCCGAAAAGTCCACATGTTGCACCTCCGCCGAGTCCGACTCTTTGCGCTCGAAGGTCATGACGTTGCGGAGAGACGAAAGCCAATGCAAGAACAAAGTGAGCCCTGCACTGAAACGAACGCTGTCCATTACGCCATTTTATGCCAGGAGGGAAGTTTCCCCAGATATTCCAAAGTTTGAGACCGGATTTAATTGACTGATCGAGTTTCTCCGAGATTTCCCATTCCATCGACAGCACAGCCCGCAGTGATGCATGAATATCGATGGCACATGTTCTACAAGAAGAGCCAAGGATTGCTCCTCGTGAAACGGAGTCAATCAGGATCCTCTCTGCTTGCTCCACTACCCCAGATGGTATATTGCTGCCTCACATAGACCAATCTATTTGATACGTGGGCTATCTTGGAGAATCATCGCATCATGGCACCAAATCCGGAATTGGAAATTCCAATCCTCAAACCGCTGCAAAAATCCGTGACTCCGCGCCCGAGCCAGGAAAATCTGAAGATCGACGAAAAGAATCTACCACCCAACCCATCGCAGTGGCGTCCATCTTTCCACCTCACGGCGCCCGGGTGGCTGAACGATCCCTGCGGTCTGGGCTACGACCCAGTAACAGGGCTGTATCATCTCTGCTTCCAATGGAACCCCCACGGAAATGACTGGGGCAATATCTCATGGGGCCATGCCACATCCCCAGACTTGGTATCGTGGACACCTTCTCAAGAACCTATCTTGGCTCCTTCGGCCGAGTATGACTGCCGTGGCGTCTTCACTGGATGCCTGCGAGCAACCGATGTCTCCGGTGCCCCGGGCGCACTCACAATTCTCTATACGTCTGTTAGACATCTCCCCATCCACCACACGCTGCCATACACACTGGGAAGCGAATCGCTCAGTCTAGCTGTCTCCCAAAACGGAGGCAAGAGCTGGGAGCGTCAGGCGTGTAACCCTATACTAACAGGCCCTCCTTCTCACCTCAATGTGACAGGCTGGAGAGATCCTTGCCTCACGACTTGGGTTGAGGGGCCTGTACCCGATCAGTCAACTCTGTACGGATTCATCTCAGGCGGCATCGCTAAGCAAACACCGACTGTCTTTGTGTACAAGGTTGACTCTACAGACCTCCGCAAGTGGGAATTCCTCGGTCCATTGGTGGATGTAGGTCTCAACCTACGGCCCTCTCGCTGGTCGGGAGATCTCGGCGTGAATTGGGAAGTAGCCAACCTCATGACTCTAAGCAATGATTCTTCATCTCGAGACTTTGTCATTATGGGAGCCGAAGGTTGTTTACCCCTGGATTACGTGGCCCAAGGCTCAGACGAAGAAGCCCGTCGGAGACGAGAGGCGCGAGGACAGCTCTGGGTCTCGGTCAAGTCAAACCGAGATGCCGGCTCTGGCGCTCTGTCTTCTTATGCATTCTCTGGTATCTTCGATCATGGCTGTTTCTATGCCGCCAACGCTTTCTATGATACAAAAACTGCGCAGCAAATCGTTTATGGTTGGATCACAGAAGAAGATCTGTCAGACTCTCTGCGCCATCGACAGGGCTTCAGTGGGTTGATCTCACTGCCTCGCGTGGTGGGACTGATGACATTGAATAATGTGATCAAGGCGCGCAGCTCACCTTTAAGCGCCATCACCTCAATCGAAGCTGTCCCTAGTGCTGATTTGTTCACCATTCACACCATGAGAATCAGCCCGGATAGTCGACTTGAACTTCTGCGAAAGAGCGCACAAAGGAGTCGCCGAGGTCGCGAGATCTTATCTGCACCAAACTGCGAGAGCAAGGCTGGTGCTGCTATGAGTTCACGGTGGGAGATCAATGCCGAATTCTCAGTCAGTCAATCCTGTTCTCGGGTGGGTGTCAGAATTCCACACACTATCGGTAAGTGGCCTCTAGACGTTTTGCTCAATATAGTATGCACATGCTGATAGTAACTAGATGGACAAGAATGTACGACTCTGTCGTGGCATCCACAAAGCGAGACATTCACAATCCACCGACCAAACATCGAAAATACTGAAGTCAACCACGGCCATGAAACGGCTCCGCATACGCTGTTCACCACCTCGGAAGGCCGCGAAGAGGTCGAAGAGAATTTGAAGATACACGCCTTCTTCGACTCAAGCGTGTTGGAAGTTTTCGTCAATGAGAGGACTGTCATCTCCACGCGCATTTACCTCCCATCTGACACTTGCTTTGAGCCGATGTTCTTTGCAGACCCCCCAAGCCCGGATGCTGAGCCTGCAGTGCTTCTACAGGCGGACATCTGGGATGGCCTGGGAGTATGAGCCTAGCGTCATGCATAGCTAATTCAGGCATGTCAGCCTGCTAGGTAGAGATCTTGATGACTGCACACGAAAGGGTTAAAGAGATAGAGTATTATATGTATGCGTATGCGCACTGCAGCACGCAGCACTATGTATCCTTCGAATAATAAAACAAGATAGAAACAGACCCGGCGAGGCATCAAATGAAGTAAGAATTCTCGCCTTAGCCATGGTCATTACATCGTCGCTTGCAAAGCAGGCGCAATCAAAGTCTCACAAATACAAACGTCAGCTGGACCATACACCTCAGGTATATATGCATGGGTATCAAAATCATGAATAGAAGCTGGAAGCGAGGCGCTCAGCGGGACCGCTTCCAGAATTTCCAGTTGGGGAGATCAATGCGGCCATCACGCTGATGAATACGCCAGTAGTAGACTGGTACGCCGGTGATGATGAAAGCAACAACGATGAGCGTCTGCAGGGGCTCTGAAATGACAGCCCGACTAAGAAGGAACAGGCTGACACAGCAGAAGATTATAGGGGTGGTGATCCAGGTGCGATAAGGGCGTTCGAGCTGGGGTTCGCGGATGCGCAGGACGATCAAGCCGAGCACAGTGAGGAAGTAGAAGGTGTACCCGGCGACGCCGTAGAAAGTGACCAAAGTACCGAACTCACCCACGGCGATATAGATGACCGTCAAGGCACCGTTGAAGGCCATGGCATAGATAGGCGTGAGACCAAGTCTGGATTCATCGCCGAAGACACGGGAGAGAGATTTGCGGGCCCAGGACTGTCGGCGCAGCCGGCTGCCAGGGGTGGACCCGGTGAGGCGGAGAGACCGAGACGCCCGAAGACAGCAGGTAGATAACCCTCTTTGCCAGCGGCATACACCAAGCGGCCACTGGTGAAAGTTGTTGCGTTCAGGGCGCCAAAACAGCTGGCTCCCACGACAAGGGCGAGGACCAGGGCTCCAACGGCGCCGAAGACTTTGCTGCCAAATTGGACGGCGACGGTGTTGCTTGCTTCGATGGTGGAATGGGGAAGCACCAAGAAGTAGGAGACGTTGGCAAGCAGGTAGGACAGGATGACCAGGGGCATGGCAGTGTGGATTACCCGAGGCAGGTCGCGATTTGGGTTCTTAAATTCACCGGTCACGTAGTTGGTCTAAAAATCATGAGTAGATGCGCGAGTCAGAAGACCTGGAATGTCAACTTACATTGTCCCAGCCGTCAAACGCCCAGAGGCCTGCATACAAGGCCACTGCGAAATCAGAGATCTCCGTGTTGGTACCCTCGAACCAGCCATGGGTCTTCCACTCTTCACTGGCATCACCTCCAGACGAAAGACCCGTCACGGCCACAATGATGCCAATAACGGTCACGCCGAGCAAAGCGATAAATTTGAAGAACATGAATAGATCGCCAATGCGGGTGGCAAACTTGGTGGATATGCAATTGAGCAAGGTCACCGTTAAAAGTCCTCCAAATGCAACGCCCTTGTTGATCCATGGGCTGACATCACCAACGTCAGCGCCGACAAATGCCCGCACGATGTATTCACCAAAGATGATCGAGATAATTGCCGCAGACCCAGGTTTCAGAACCAGCACGGCACACCAAGTGAACAGAAAGCCCGGTAGCTCTCCGAAAATCTTCGACAAATAAATCTGCGATCCGCCATTCAGAGGTATAGCTCCTCCCAGCTCTGCATAGCTTGCAGCTCCCGTCCAGGCCAGCAGACCCGCCACAGCCCAAACAATGAGGGAGGCGCCAGGCGACCCTGCGTTCGCATTCACTTGACTAGGCGAAGAGAAGATTCCAGATCCAATGATTAACCCGACAATCAGCGACAGGCCATTGAGGTAAGTCAACGTTTTGTTCCGCTCCAATGATCCATCTGCTGGTCTGTCGGCGGAGGGGGTACCGAGAGGCGCATAGCCACCTTGGGTTTGCGATAGCGGGAAAAGAGTGCGTCCAAAGTCAAAAGCAGAGGAAATCGAGTAGGATCGTGGACCCCTCGTGCCTGATTCTAGCTCTGCGTCGGCATGCGACGCGGCGAGGGGGTCTTCATCTTCGAGGGAGAGCTTGCGGGAGGAGGAGATGCCGTCGGGGGAAGAGGAGCGAGAGGAACCAGCAGAGCCAGGCGATGACGAGGCGAGAGAAGCGAGTTCTAGTGAGTCTCGTGGTTGGCCATGTCTGCCTGGGTTGGACATGTTGGCGATTGTGCCGTTTTATAGAGAGTGACGAAGTGGTCAGTGGCCAGGAGTCTCCATTGCCCGACAAGCAAAAAACAAAGACAAAATATCGCAAACCCTCAAGATATCCTGAAAGGTCGAAAGAATCGCAGAAAGTTGAAAAGAGAAAGTCGCCAAGGGGGCGTCGATCGGAGTCTTGGCTTTGACCCTTCGCATCCCCGCGGTCTTTGTCTTTTCTCCCCAACGCCATGCACCGCTTACCATGTAGGAACAGCCTCAGAGCTGTCGCTCAACTCCGCTACTCTTCTACAGCTTCCACACCTGCAACACCATCTACACCTACCTCAAAGTCCTCAAAGTCCCGCTGGCTCGGTTTCCTCTTCGTCGGCGCATCCGCTGCCGCTGCAGGCATCTACGTCCGCCAAAGCAATGACTCCACAGCCCTCAACCAAGAAACATTTACCAAATATAGTCTGGTATCCCGCGAGCCCGTGTCAACCACAAGCAGTCTGTTCACCTTGCGCCCGCGCCGATTCAGCGAATTCAATTACGATGTCTACGAAGAAGCTTGGTCGACGGGCGTCTGGAGCGTGATGTTCAAGCAGCCCCAGTTACAGATTGGACGCGATTATACCCCATTACCGACCACCGCCGCAACGGGATTGACCGTCGAAGACGAGAACGAGGGTTGCTTGCGCTTCTTCATTCGGAAGGACCCTTTCGGCGAGGTTTCGCGCTATCTGCACACGATTGAGGTCGGCGCCGACGTTGAGCTGCGAGGACCGAAGATTGAGTGCGCCATACCGAAGGAGACAGAGGAGATCTTGTTCATCGCGGGTGGCACAGGGATTGCGCCGGCTCTGCAAGCCGGGTATTCTCTGCTGAGTCGAGGCGGGAATGGCAGGATTCACATTTTGTGGGCGAACAGACTGAAAGATGACTGTGCTGGTGGACAGAATGATTCGTTGAATCCACCACCGAAGCAGGGTTGGTTGTCTGGCTGGTTTGGAGGCAAAAGCGAGGCCCCCAAGATCGTGCCTGTGAGGGATGAAGATCGGTCTCTCATTGTGCGAGAGCTGGAGGCACTCAAGTCCCAGTATCCTGGGCAGGTCACCGTGGATTACTATCTGGACGAGGAAAACACGTTCATTGGGAAAGAGGCCGTTCGCGCCTCGATCGACTCGTCCAGTGATCGCAAGAGCAAGCTAATCTTGGTCTCGGGCCCCGAGGGGTTCATCAGCTATATGGCCGGGCCAAAGCTGTGGGCTCAGGGTCAGGAGCTTCAGGGCCCTCTGAATGGAATCATCCGAGAGCTGGACCTCAAAGATTGGGGGGGTTTGGAAGCTCTAGAATGTAACATATGTCTTTTTTGCTTTTCTGCATATAGCATGTATAACCAAACTCACAGGGGAGTCCAGCGTGTTTCTACCTCATGGAAAATTGACACTTCATGAAAACAAGTCTATAATTGGAAGAGTGTCGCTTTTATGTTGAATATACAATCGCAACGATTCTGATCTTTTCGTCCTTCGTTATCCGTCGTTCCTGGCAGAACCAGGTTGAATTCGCTCATACAATACTTGCAACATTTACAGACCTGTAGCAAAGTCCTCGAGGTACTTCACTAGCTTCTGCACATTCTCCAGAGGAACAGCATTGTAGTTGCTGGCACGCATACCACCGACACTGCGGTGACCCTTGAGGCCCTGGAGGAGACGCTTCTCAGCGCCAGCGATGAACTCCTTCTCCTTGGCGTCATCTCCGCCATTGACACGGAAGCAGATGTTCATACGACTGCGAACGCTGGCATCAGGCACGACCTGGTACACTTGCGGGTACTTGTCCAGAGCACCGTAAATGAGTTGCGCCTTTTGGTTGGCAACGGCCTCCTGGCCGCCGACATTCTGAGCGCCGAATTCAGCCACCAGATCAGCCATGACCTGACCGGCAACCCAAAGGTTGAAGATGGGGAGAGTGTTGTAAAGGGAGTTGTTCTTGGCGGTGGTAGCAAAGTCGAACACAACGGGGCCTGGGAGACCACCGATGTTCAATCGCTGAAGGAGAGCCGGGGGAGGAGTGGCGGTTTGGGGAGGAAGCAGGTCCTTACGGACAATGGCGATAGCAATACCCGCGACACCAATGTTCTTCTGTGCGCCGCCCTGTACATCTGTTAGCCTGACCTTGTGTTATTCACGTTGAAATTACGCACGAAAAGGACAGCATATTTGCTGACATCAACCTTGCGGCTGATGAAGTTGGAGCTCAGATCAGCAACGACGAGGCGCTCATCCTCGGCGTCCTGGCCCTGAGGCTCCAATGACTTGGGCAATTGTTGGAACTCGACACCATCAACGGTCTCGTTGTCACAGTAGTAGACAAATGCAGAGCCCTTGCCACCTTCCTTCTTGGTAGGGGTCAAGGACCAGGAGTCCTCAGCAGGGATCTTGCCGAACTTTCCACCGTTGGCTTTGCGGGCATCAAGCGCAACGTTCACATGCTTGGATCCGACCAGTTTGCTCGCTTCTTGGGAAGCCTTGAGCGACCAAGATCCAGTGACGAGGTAATCCAACTTCAGTTCCTCGTCCACCTCCTTCTGCAGTCTCTGGAACACCAACTCGTCAATCTGCGCCTGTTCCGCACCGGGCTGGGCCTGCTTCACGTCGGCCTCTGCGCGGCGACGACGGCGCTCGATCCAGACGGGAACGAGGTTCTGGACGACGGAGCTGAACCCACCGCTGCCACCACCCTGCATGAACAGGATCTCATAGTTGTCCGGGATATCGTAGAGAGCGATGAGGTTTGCCTTGGCGTCCTCGAGGATCTTGGTGGCGGCGGAGGAACGGTGGGAGATCTCGCCGAGACCGAGACCGCAGTCGTTGAAGTTGACGAATGCTTTTGCGCCCGCCTCGACAACGGAGGTGGGGAGGGGTGCAGGGCCCGCTCCAAAGTAGGAGACTTCTTGTCTGGAAGGCATTGTGTGTATGTGGTCGATAGGAAGAGGAGGGAAGGGAAAAAGATGTGGACCGAGTGGACCTTGCGGGAAGAGTATAAACCTCTCGACGTCAATGTCAATTAAGAGGATCAATAAATCCTTTAAGTGATGGTTTCTGACTAGAGATTGTCTTAACACTCGTTCAGTAATATCCTTACTTGATCCAAAGATGTTTAGTCTAGCAACGTTTTATACAATGTAGACCCCGGCGGGGTATGAGTCAATGAGTCACTGCGATCAGTCGCCGCTTGAAGTATTCGGTGAATCTTTCAAGAACGGGGTAGATATGGGATTAATTGGATCTTGAAGTCTTTGTTGCAATTGACATCTATCAACAGGGCAGTCTCATAGACCGAGACAGTACTGTTCGAGTCTACTTAGGATGGTGGGGTTGAGGCTGATAAGTATAGACTGTAGGGTATACTCCAGTGCAAATTGCCACATGAAATTTGAGCAGAGCCCGAGCTCTCGAGTCTCCCTATGTGTCTCTGATGTTGTTTCTATCCCATTGACAGGTCATTGACAGGTCATGGAAAGTACTTGCAAAGAGTAGACCGAAAATGTTCTCGAAAAAAAGATCCGACATCGGCGGAATTGATCCGAGTCACGTGCCCGATGACGCGACTTGATTTGCACTGTTTGCCTCTCCCCATGCCGACGAGCCAATCAGAGGGCAGCTGAGTAAACCTGTCCCTGATTAGCAGGCCGCTTATTTGCCGAACGCCGACATATAATTCTTCGGTGACTCGACTCTTCTTTCGACATCACGGTGGACATGACTGTATGTGGAGGTACCCTTGAATTCAATGGCATGGTATTGACAATGTGTTCCAGTCCCGATTGATGCCCTCGGCCACCCTTGGCCGGCGCTTGCTGCGCGGCCCTGTCCCCAGCACTCTGCGACGCCTCGCCTTCACCTCGACCAGGGGCCCTGTTCCCGCGGCTCTGCAGCGTCGCACGTTCACCTCCTCGAAGCTCAGATACCAGCAGGCCAACTCGCCCGCCTTCCACTCTCAATTGGAAGATCCGGCTGCCGCTGCCATCTTCTCGTCCATGCAGTCCGCCAAAGCGGTTCCCCAGACTTTGACCGAAAAGATTGTCCAGAAATACTCCGTCGGACTCCCCGAAGGAAAGTACGTCCAATCTGGCGACTATGTGACCATCGCACCCCACCGCTGCATGACCCACGACAACTCATGGCCCGTGGCCTTGAAGTTCATGTCTATCGGAGCGTCCAAGATCCACGACCCCAGCCAGGTTATCATGACCCTCGACCACGATGTGCAGAACAAGACCGAGAAGAACCTCCAGAAGTACCAGCAGATTGAGGATTTCGCCAAGCTCCACGGAGTGGAATTCTACGGCGCCGGACGAGGAATCGGACACCAGTTGATGGTGGAGGAAGGCCATGCTTGGCCTGGAACACTCTGTGTGGCAAGTGACAGTCACTCCAACCACTACGGTGGTATTGGAGCATTGGTATGTTGCTTGGGCATTATCATTTTACTTCATACTAACATCAACAGGGCACTCCCATTGTTCGTACCGATGCTTCTTCTGTTTGGTATGTCTCAATGCAATGCTCGACCAACTACTTTGTGCTAATTCTACCAGGGCTACCAAGAAGACATGGTGGGCGATTCCCCCTGTCGCCAAGGTCACCTTGAACGGTGTCCTGCCTGCCGGTGTCACCGGAAAGGACCTTATCGTCGCCTTGTGTGGAATTTTCGGAAAGGACGACGTCTTGAACCACGCAATTGAGTTCACCGGCTCCGAGGAGACCATGCGCAGTCTGCCTATCGATTACCGCCTGACTATTGCCAACATGACCACCGAATGGGGTGCCCTCTCTGGCCTGTTCCCCATGGATGACGTGCTGAAGTCTTGGATGACTGCCAAGGCCACTCTCGGAGCCATGGGATTAGCTGGTGGTGACGGCTCATACAAGACCCTGGCAAGCCAAAACTTCACCCACGCTGCCATTGATGAGCTCTTCGCCAACCCCCTGAAGGCCGACAAGGGAGCCAAGTACGCCAAGGAGCTGTTCATCGATCTGGCCTCGCTTACTCCCTACGTCTCTGGCCCCAACTCGGTTAAGGTGGCTACTCCGCTGAGCGAGCTGGAGGCTGCTGACATCAAGGTCAACAAGGCCTACCTGGTTTCTTGCACCAACTCCCGCGCCTCTGACATCTGTGCCGCCGCTCAAGTTTTCCGTGAAGCTACCGAGAAGAACGGAGGCCAGGTCGCCAAGATTGCCGAGGGCGTCGAGTTCTACATCGCCGCCGCGTCTATTCCCGAGCAGCGTGCTGCCGAGGAAGCTGGTGACTGGCAGGTCCTGCTTGATGCCGGTGCCACCACTCTCCCTGCCGGGTGTGGTCCCTGCATTGGTCTCGGCACCGGTCTGCTTGAGCCTGGTGAGGTTGGCATCAGTGCCTCTAACCGAAACTTCAAGGGCCGCATGGGATCCAAGGACGCCCTTGCTTACCTTGGCAGTCCCGAGGTCGTGGCTGCCAGTGCTCTGAGCGGAAAGCTCAGCGGCCCTGGCTGGTACAAGGCCCCCGAAGGCTGGGATGGTGTTAAGTTTGGCGAAGGCGACGGCATCCGCGAGGAAGATCGTATGCTCACAACCGAGGAGGCCCTTGAGAAGCTTCTTGGCCAGATGGACGACCTCGTGGCCGATGGCGAGAAGCGCTTCACCCCCGCCGAGTCTGCCGAGTCTACCGAGGTCGGAGAAACTGCCTCTGAAGACTCCCTCACTGAGCTTTACCCTGGCTTCCCCGAGAGCGTCTCCGGCGAGATCGTCTTCTGTGATGCCGACAATGTCAACACTGACGGAATTTACCCCGGCAAATACACATACCAAGACAACGTCTCGGAAGAGACAATGGCTCAAGTCGTCATGGAGAACTACGACGGTGAATTTGCCAAGATCGCCAAGCAAGGCGACATCCTCGTCTCTGGCTTCAACTTTGGCTGCGGTAGCTCCCGTGAGCAGGCTGCCACTGCCATTCTCGCCAAGAAGATTCCCCTTGTTGTCTCCGGCAGCTTCGGTAACATCTTCTCCCGCAACAGTATTAACAATGCCCTGATGGGTCTCGAGGTCCCTCGCCTCATCAGCCGTCTGCGCGAGACCTTCAACGCTGGCGACAAGGCCCTGACCATCCGTACCGGATGGACTCTGACTTGGGATGTCCGCCGCAGCCGCATTGAGGTCCAGGAGGGTCCTAATGGCCCCAAGTGGACCCACAAGGTCGGTGAGCTCCCTCCCAATGTGCAGGAGATCATTGCCAAGGGAGGTCTCGAGAAGTGGGTTAAGAACGCCATCGGTGCCTAAGTGGCCAGTGGTGCCAGTGATCCCGCCCTGGGCAAAAGTTGGCGTTTGACGTGATACCCGAGCTTTTGTTTATGTTCAGCTTTTAAAACCCGTGATATGGGACTCGGATGATGTGTATAAAAAGAAGACTATTTAGACATTTTAATTGATAGACTCGTCGATCAAGTTCACTATTCATCAGTTCCAATGTCGTAGTTGAAAGAGACGCATAGCCTCAGGTCTATCCTTATCTCAGCCTTATCATCACGTGTGGGAATACTTTACCTGATCAACATTATCATCTCTTGCCTTTTGCCAACCTGGAGCTTGGTCTAGTCTGTGCGCATGCGAGCTTTTCGAGTGTTGTGTCGGGTCCAGCCGTCAGCGAGGGTTGTATGGCCAGCTAATCGACCGCGGCCATCGGCACCAAATGCCCATGTTCGACGTCATGGTCTTTTCCCCGAATCAGCGCGGAGAACCCCCGGTCTGATTCGAGGTTTCACATCGACACGCCCGGCACGATTTATGTTAGATGGCGATTCTACAATATATGCGCTATCTACAGCGCCCGGGCGTGCTGCAATCGCCGTCGTGCGCGTCTCCGGACCAGCCTGTGTCCCAGTATGGCATCCAACCCGCTTACATTTGTTCAGCATACTAAGCCTGCTAGATATACCAAAGTCTTTGCCCCAATACATCCCTCCCCAGACCTCGATATGCGGCCCTCCGCACTCTTTATGATCCGACGAAACCCCCAACCCCCAACACAGTTCTCGACGCCGGCGCCCTTGTCCTCTACTTCCCTTCTCCCCGCACCGTGACGGGCGAGGATATCCTAGAATTGCATATCCACGGCGGATTAGCGATCACCAAAGCTGTTCTTTCCGCAATCGCGTCAACCAACACACCCGAGCTCTCAGTTCGCTATGCTGAATCAGGCGAGTTCACTCGTCGAGCATTCATGAACGATCGCCTCAGTCTTCCACAAATCGAAGCACTAGGTGACACCCTGTCAGCGGACACGGAGCAGCAGCGGCGTCTCGCTGTGCGCGGATCTAGCGATGCGCTGGTCCGCAGATATGAGAATTGGCGCCAGGGCTTACTCTATGCGCGTGGGGAGCTGGAGGCGTTGATTGACTTTTCCGAGGATCAGCATTTTGACGAGTCTACCGAGGAGCTGGTTTCCTCTGTCGTGGGCCAAGTCCGAGCTTTGAAAACGCAGATTGGATTCCACATTGGGAATGCGTCTCGAGGAGAGCTTCTCCGGAACGGAATCCGGGTTGCTTTGCTTGGGGCGCCCAATGCGGGGAAGAGCTCCTTGCTCAACCGTGTGGTTGGTAAAGAAGCTGCCATTGTCAGCACTGAACAGGGAACTACGAGAGATATCGTTGACGTGGGAGTGGATATCGGGGGTTGGTTTTGTAAGCTTGGGGACATGGCAGGGATCCGCGCTGACGCAGGTGGGGAGGTCGTCATTGGCGCTGTTGAGCAAGAGGGAATACGAAGAGCCAGGGCCAGGGCCCTGGAATCCGACGTTGTGATCGTCGTTGTCTCGTTGGAGGACACCGCATCTGGTGCTCAGCTCTTTATGGAACCGGAGGTCGTCGACGCAGTAAATGACTGTGTTGAAGCAGGCAAGTGTCTTGTGGTGGCAATCAATAAGTGTGATAAGCTACACACTGCCCTTGATGGTGATGTCCCTCTACCATTGTCCGACCTCATCCGGGATATCTTCCCCTCTGTCCCCGCAAATCGTGTCTTCGCCATCTCTTGTGAGCAGGCTCAGAAGGCAGAACCGAGTCTCGCCTCTACGGATCCAGGAAATCTACAAGCGTTTCTCCGCGGTCTTATCGCGACTTTTGAGCAAATTGCTTCGCCGCTCAGCATGGACGGCGAAGGGAGTGAGCAGTATGATATCTCATATTGGGAAGACTCTCTTGGTGTTACACATCGTCAAAGTTCTAATTTACAATATTGTCTCGACCATCTGGATGACTTCTTGTCCCAAGCTGCACCTTCAGCTAGCCCTGTTTCCGAGGATCGATTTGACCCTTATGGTGCAACCGAAGTTGACATTGTCTTGGCTGCGGAGCATCTGCGCTTTGCGGCAGATATGCTGGCCAAAATCACTGGCAAGGGTGAAAGTGGCGATGTCGAAGATGTTTTGGGTGTCGTTTTCGAGAAGTAAGTCTCAATTCTCGGTTTGATTCGTTTGATTTGGGCCTAACAACAGCGAAAGATTTTGTGTCGGCAAATAGAATGCGATCACAATCGCACCATGTCGCCCCTTGAAGAAACGCTCGACTGCACGCTGTCGACGAGGCTGCTTCAGGTACGGGCCAGCTGCTTCCGCTTAGGTTGCAGCCAACCCCGAGCGCGTCGCCACATACTCCGCGTGTGACTCAGCCGCAGGGCGGGTCTAGATCTGATCGGTGTGCAGACTCTCAAGGCCTGCGTGATTGGCAGGGGCATTGTATCCTCCTCGACCCATTGTGAAAGATGATGTGAATGGTGCAGGAAGAAGTATGATCGGCTGAGTAGACCGGCGCTGTGATGATGAATTATAGAGCCACTGTATGAATAGACAGAACAATGTATACTAGATCTACCACCGAATAGCAAAGCGATCCTCTTATAATAAATCGGTTCATAACTGTCTGCCTTGAACGGATCCAATCTCGTCCAGGCACCCAAAATAGTGACAACTCCGAACCACCAAACAAAGCGACCTAAACCGGGTCCTTTGTGAGAATCACGTTGCCAACCTTGGAAAGACCAAGAATCTCGTCAGACATCACTTCATCATCTGAGTCAGTTCTCTGTCCCTGCATTGACAGTTGGAGATGGACTGAATGTTTCAGCTCTACCGATACTAGATTTCGGACTGTCATGAAGCTATTGCGAATACTATGTGACGATGTATAAATAGCAGCTGTACTTCAGCTCGGGCTTCCAGATCTAGCGAGAACCGAGTTTGAGGTTGAAACATAGTTTGTCATCCATGTGGTTCCATGGTTCGTCGATCACTGGCCCTTGGTACACTTTGAGCTTAATTGTGTTTCGTCATTGGCTGACACTCCAGGGCTGCATACATAAGAGCCATCTTCATTTCTGATATGTCTAATGTTATTGGCTTACTACAACTTTGAGACTGAGGTCAGATCTAAGAATAGCGTGGCTGCATGGAACTCTCCTAGAAGGGTTGGACATCCCTGTACTTCCGTCCCTGCAGCTCAACATTGCCTGAAATGTAAAATAAAAATATTTATATACCTGCCAGGGTGTCTTACAACATCACAATGCCCTGGTTGTAATCAAAATTAAGCACTTTTTTGAGCAGCTTGACAGGAAAAGATTGAAAGAACCTTGGAAGCAAAGCAGAAGGAAAGGTACATCTGAAGGCGCTTCCCTGCCGAGAGTATAAACCGGGGTCGACGGATAACCACCGATGTGTTGCGCAGGGCTTTGAAATAAGTTTCATCTTTCCCGTCCCTCCCCGGGGCCATGTGTTTTCTTTGTGGCTTGTTTTAGCTTCTTTGGAGGTTGATTTACTTTCCGTGGTTCCTTGTCATTCTTTACTCTTTGTGGGGAGAAGAGAATGTTATCCAAGGAGGTTGTATTTCTAAATATACCTCACTATATGAAAAGGATATACATACTCAGCTGGCTATCTTTTCGGTCAAAGGTCTCGCTCTCAACTTCTAAGATTATATTACTATAATATCGAGAAAACAATGACATGCTGGAGTTGGAGTGGTCCTGAGCGTAGGATCTGCTGTATATGATATGCTTTTCAAGATTTATATGAGAACAATCAGTCAGTAAGCTGCCTCGGGGGTGTGGAAGATACACTCATAGCTATGCTCGAAATAATTCCGAAATAATCATCGCAACACGGCTTAGCCACGAATTTAGGGCTTGAAATAATCCAAAAATGATGACACAATGGGTTCACAAATGATAGTCATGGATTAAGCTCTATTTTGGCAGGCTACATCTTGAGTGCTGCAGATATCATGTCTATCCCCAATGTTGTATCATAGTTCTCAAGCTGGACTTGAAAGAGCACCCTCTGCAGGTGGAAGAAATGTTTTCTTTAGGACCCTTCAGAGGTGGAATAATGCAGGAGCGCAAGCAAGCAGCTTTCGGCTTGTATCCATGGATGGTACAAGGAGCATAGCCCCCTAAGCGTGTGCTATCAATAGTGAAAAACCATACAAATGCTAATAGGAATGAAATTGTATTGCTTGGATCCTGGATGCTCACTAAAAAACCACCTTTCTCCCCAATGAATAACCCGAATTTGATATCTTCACTGCCACGTTCTGTCCAACCTCATTAAAACCCCCCGCACACCATATGTTGAATGTAAATCTCCCCCTCAGAGCCATCTCATGTGAACACCCATGTGGGATCCAGGATGTTTAATATCCCAAGGAATCGCAACCGGGACAGTCGTAGTATTCGATGTAAAAGTCCCGAAGGTTTCCCAGACACTCGCCATCACCCAGGAGGTAAGAGCAGGGACCATTGCGCTCAACATGGTAGAAAAGAGCAGAGATCTGAGTGAACTGAGCGTGGCACTGGAAGCAGAAGAATGGGTAAGGATCGGTGAGGCGATTGCCATAGAAGCCGTATTCAGGGCATTCAAAGGCGAGGGTGCGGATCCGGTCTTCCTTCACGCATCGGCTGGTTTCGAGGTGCCCAAGGAGAGCTGAGAAGCCGATCCATTCAGAGGGACAGAACCAGCACTCGTAGCGTCGGAGCCAGAGCTCGACCTCGCCTGTTGGCTGCATGATAGAGTGTTGGTTGGTCATAGTGGGCGACGAATGGAGGTAGTAGTTGATCAAGTCGAATGGCGACGAGGGAAGAAGCGAGAGAAGCGAACGTTGCTAGAAATACTTTGCACGAGCGTGGTGAGAGACGCCAGTACTTTTCGTAGATGCGTGAAGACAACAAACGACAAACAGTCTGGCACAGCGCCGAGGGCGATTCAGATCGCATTTACCGTGAACCTACACTATCAGGCCATGCGACTACACACTTCATTACGTGTGCCAGAAATACACATCTACTGGGTACTCTAGTCAGGAATCAGGATCGAGTGAGCAAATACTACAATCCATACACTTCAATATACAACATTAAGCTATGGAATGTGCTCGTGGGTAGCAGCCCAGGATCGACACCTCGGGGTCTGCCCTGCTACTCACCTGCCCGCTAACACGCACGAGTCTAGTATTTGATCATGACCACGATGACTCGCTTCACCAATACAGGCACTTAACACTTAACACTACTACTCAGGATATTTCATAAGAACTCCAACTCTTGATATTCTGTCAATCTACACAAGGGAAACACTTGCACTGACTTGGTATGCAATTGCAGTACATATATCAATTCCAAGAGCATCGGTCTTCAACTCACTATATCTACGCAAACATGAGAAGCAGCTCAGGCAACCCGAGCCCAAAGGATCTAAGCAACACAGAAGAACGACCAAAAAAAAACCATGCAGAAGATCGGGCTCAAAATGCAATTCAGCAACCCTCCAGTCATGACGGCATTTCCACAGTGACGGAGAGGGTAAAGAGGTTATGTACAAGGAGACGGAACAGGGTATGCGAAAGAGGAGCACATACATGGCATCATGACACCATGCGTGGCTCGTCAAGGTAAAGGAGGTGTAAGGAAATGGGGTGCAAGGAATGGAATGGGTATTATACAATCGTCTTGTAGAGGGGGATCAAACATTAGATTAGGAAAAAGGGAGGAAATTCGGCCATTAATCCGAATTATGCCCATTTTGTTCAGAGACAACGATTGAAGGGGGTGTGTGGGGGGGTTTGGTCATCCGGGGGAGGACTGGGAAGTTGGTCGTCGACCGAATGGGACGGCGAGGACGGTTCCTGGACGGTGGGGAGTCCGCCATCTGCGCTGTCTTTGCTGCCACTCGTGGGGTTCCGTCGTCTCATGCGACGATTGCGACGTTCTTCGTCGGCACTTTCGCGTCTTCTTCGTTGTCTCTCGCCGCCGGCATCGGAGTTGCTGCGCAATCCGAGGAGCATGCTGGCCGCACGATCTGCAACGTCTTCACCCTCGGAGACTTGGGCCTCTGGTTTCTCTTCTTCGGCAGCCGGCGGGGGGCTGAGAAGACCGTGCTCATCTTCCTCGGGCTTTTCTTCTTCCTCGTCCTCGGGTGGCTTGGAGCCCGAGGCGACGCGGACGTTGTGGCGCTCCTTCAAACGGGCACGACGACGACGGTCGCGTTGGTCCTTTGCCTGGGGTGCCGCGGCTCGCAGCTTCTCGAGCAGAGAGTCCATGGCGCCGCTGGAGGCGGGTGAGGAGGTGGTTTCGGGGGTAGGGGTGTTGTTGGCAAGGTTGACGTTGACACGCTTGCGGGCCAGGGAGGCTTCGGTGCGTTTACGCGACTCTTCGAGGGTGGTGTTCTTCTCTCGAGATTTCTTCCATTCAACGAGGAAGGAACTGAGCTTGGCAAAGAAGTCTCGGCGGGCATTCTCGTCAGCATTGTCCTCACCGTAGAAGACCATGATGTCATCGTAGGCCTTGATCATTTCATCAAGGTAAAGCTGCAGCTGCTCGGCCTTCCTTCTAGCGTCCTTCATGGACCGCTGAACGATCTGGCTGACGCGATCCTGTGGGTGGAATCTCTTGGGGTCACTGAGGTTTCCGGCATCCAAGCTTGCCTGGACATTTTTGATGTTGCTAATATACTTGGTTGCGTCGGAGCGAAGCTGGTCGACGTTCACCTTTTGCAGGCCGATGACACCGCTGATCTCATCGAGGAAGCCTTCCCACTCGGGGTACTGGTTTCGAACGATACGCTCAACAAGGTCGGCAAATGTAGTTTCGTTCTTGTCGTCCTTGACCATGCCCAGACGGGCCAGAGAACTGAGCTTGAAACCCTGAGCCTGCTTATTGGCATCGTTCATGAAGTTACCAATGTCAAGGATGAGACCCAGCACATTCATGAGAGACACTGAGTCCCGTAGTGACTCGCTGACCCTTGCTACCTCCTGAAGTTTGGAAGAAATGTGTTCGTACTCTGGTTCGTAGGAGCGTGTCAGGGCGAGAGCTCTGTTTCTTGCTTTCCAGTAGTGGTTGAGCTCAAAGGCAGTGTAAAGATAGATCTGATCCTCGCGCGTGATCTCGGTGGGATCTTGTTCACGATCAGAACTCGTGGCACCGGGGCCGGTCCAATCCATGCTATACGGCGCCATCAATTTAGCAACGTTCTCGGGTATATTGCACATCTCTTCTCTTTGCAGGAAATCCATGACCACCATATTGTCAAGGATCTCCTTGTCGCAGTGAATGATCATGCGAGTAACCTCCTCGGCGGGGAATTGAGAGAATTTAGATAAGGCGATTTGGAAATTCTTAGAGAGGTCGTTCGAAATGATCTGCTTCTTGGCCGAACGCTGCTTGGCGGCAGTGCTGGCTCCAAAGATCTTAGTTTCTTTGGCCATGAACAGTCGTTCGACTTCGTCCAGCACACCCTTCTTGGCAAGATCGGTGTACTTCTCTTCCTTCTGTTCTGCTGTCGGAGCGTGACCAGCCCAAACTGTTACTTGGGGAGTATCAACCTTGTCCCAATGAAGGGCCTTAAGCTTCTTCTTAGGTCGGATGGAAGGCATGCCAAGTGTGGTAGGCGCAATTTCTCCAACCATATAGGCTGGTCGCCAACCCGAGCCCATGGCTGCATTGGGCGGAGGAGGAGGTGGCGGCACCATTCCTTTGCCTCCGGGAGGAGGAGGGGGGAGGGGGGCGCCCATTCCTACGCCACCAGGAGGGGGAGGAGGAGGGGGCATACCAACCTTTCCACCGGGGGGAGGAGGGGGAGGCGGTAGTCCAGGAATGCCCTTGGCGCCTCCTGGCGGGGGCGGAGGGGGAAGAGCCACTCCTCCAGGAGGCGGAGGAGGAGGTAGACCAACTTTTCCACCTGGGGGCGGAGGCGGAGGCAGTCCAACAGCTCCACCTGGAGGAGGGGGTGGAGGAAGTGCGGCCACACCACCAGGGGGCGGAGGTGGAGGAATGGCCATACCACCGAGAGGCGGAGGCGGAGGAAGGGCAGCACCCCCAGGCGGAGGGGGTGGCGGCGGCGGAATGGCCTTGGCGGCATCCTGATCTTCAGCAGCGGGAACAGCGTTAGGATCCTCGGCGTCGAACTTGGGAACCTTAGAAGCAATCTCGCCCAGTAGACCGCTAGCCTGGGCGGGATCCAAACGGGGACGGTGCATTTCCACAATGCGAGGCTTCTCATACATTGGCCCGCCATTGCTATCCACGGGTGTATGCTCCTCGTCTTCGGAAGTTTGGTCCATCCCAGGGACATAACTGCGCTTCCGATGCACAGTACCCAATGAGCCGGCGAGCAGATTCCTGTGGACAAAGTCACGCTCGTCATCCTCGCCGTCGCCATCCATCTCCTCACGCAATTCACGCAGACGATCTGAGGGTCCGTGCTGACCCCACACTTTGCCCTCGAGCTTGAACTGTGTCTTCGTACGCTCCAATTGTCGTTCCAAGCGCTCCATGAGACGTTCACGGTCCATGATACCGGGCATGTGGGAGGGGTCAGCTTCCACGGTCTCAGGGTTAGCAGCCTTGCGGGCATTGGAAGCAGCGATATCTTGAGCATCCCGAAGCATGAGGTAAAGCTCTCGGGTTTCCAATTCATTGCGCTGCAATTCCTGAGCGCGCAATCTTTGCACCTCGACGACCTCCGCCTTGAAAGACTCGTTCTGCCGCTGCTGCAGGTCTATAATGCCAGCCTGTTCTTCAATCTGCTTCTGCAATTTCAAAACTAGACCCTCGGCACCAAGCTCAATCTGCGAGCGCATCTCATCACGCTCGGCGATAGCTGCCTCGGCAATTTGGCGGGCTTCCAAAGACTCGTCGTAGACCCGTCTCGCCTCGGCATCGGTGTGCAGTCGATCCAAAAGGCTCTGTACGGTGAAAGTCAACCCTTGGCGAAGATCAAGATCTGGCAATCGCCGATCCATAGCCACGTAGCTCAGCATAGCGTCCACAAGTTGGAACATGCGCAGTCCTTCCTCGCCAGAGTTCTCCCGGATGAGCAGCATATGCTGCATAGCCGACAGGAAGTAGTCATGAGAGCGACTGCCATTGATCTTAGAGGAAATCGCATCGACGATTTGCAGAGGATCACTCATGTCCTTAACCTCACCCTCGATGCTGTCCTTCATGCTGCTGCCCTCGCGCTGCAGCAGGTCCTCGTAGTCAATGGCTTCATTCTCACGGAACCGCTCGATCTGCTTATCGATGACCTCGTATTGGAAGCCCTCCATCTTCGTCAACAGCCGCTTGATTCCACATGACGTGAATTGGGCGCGGATGTGGCATCGCAGCTGCAGATCCGTCTCCGCGCCATCCACCAGCATGTTGATCAAGATCATGGTCGAGACGGCGTATTCCATAAGCAGATTCTCCATGCCAATACCGCCGCTGCGGTACTCCTCGCTGGCACCGACCAGACTGCCCATCTTTCCACGGCCATCGATCGTGACTTCGACAATTCGCATCCAAGCATCGAATCGACCAGTTTCGCTGTGGTCATTCTTGACCTTGTCCATAGATTGCAGCACCTTCTGGTGGCCTTGTCCCTCTCCCCAGTGGCATAGGAAAGTGAGAACCTCGCTGACGAGTTTACGGGTGTTGAGTCGTGGGGACGAGAGTGAGCTGACGAGTGCCACAAGCACATTCTGATGCTCTAGAGCGTCGTCGGCACCATATTTGTTGTTCATGAGACCTTTCAAACATTTGGCGATGTCATACTCGCGGTCCAGATCCTTATCGCCGGTTGGGGGAGCTGGAACGGGACCAGAGACCTTCCTGCGGTTGATCTTCAGAAGGACATTGGTCAAAGCGACTTGTCCCTGGGCTTCAACAAAGGCTTTTACCCAGCTGGATAGAGATTAGTTCTATGCATTTACAGTAAACAAGGGCAAATTCCCTACCTGATGGGCTGTGTTCGCAAACTGACGCTCAGACTGGCAAGCTGTTTGGATGTGATAGTATCGTCCATAACCTTCTTCACATACCACTCTGGGCTACCCTCCTCATCAGCACGCTCAAGTAAACCAGACATTCCATCATGGCCATGCGTTTGGCGCGCATTCTGTCGTCTCTTTTGTTCTCCTTGTAATTCTGTCAGGCGATCCTGGTGTACCAAGGTCCATTTCTTCGACGCGGGATATGAAAGCATCTGCCGTTTAGCCTGTTCAGGAAGGTTCTGCCATCCTCGCTTCTGCATCAATTCAAGGAACAGCTGGTCCACGACGCGATCGTCTCTCGGGCGAGTGAGATAATTATCCTGCGGTCGAGGGACAGCAGCAGGGATAGGCGCTGAAATCTGATGTGTCGATCCTGCAGTTGACAAGCGGCCGGAGCTGGAGCTTGGGAGGATAGTGCCGCGGTCCCCAGAATGCGATGTGGTGAGGGTACGAGAAGAACCATCAGAGGAAAAGTAATTCGATCCACGGGTGTTGGAGGAAACGGAGGAGTATATGCTTGTTTGGTCGAGGGAAGTGCGAGAGTTGGAGGACGAGTCGATAGACGAGGGGTTGTGATTGGGCCCACTCGCAGCGGAGCTACCTGGTCGTCCCCATTGCTGATACCTGGCACCCTGATTCCCCGAGTTGCTACTAGTCATAGTCGTGTTTCCATGCGGGGGTGGACGAGGGCCCGAGGGATGTGAGCCCGAGCCATTCGGCGCGGATGTAGATGCCCACGTGGGATATTGGTGGAAATCATTCCCAGCCTTGCCTAAATGATTTGGGGAGTGTTCGTGACGAGATGAATCCGGGCGAGGCATGTTGTCAATTGGAATCGGGGTTCTGTCGGCGGAGAGGCTGTCGAAGGGGATGGAAGTGATCACACCCGCCGTGGGCGCCAGACTGCCGGGGTCCATATCGTGGGTCAAGTCGACCGATTGTACAGATGATCGTTTCGAGTAGCGAGATGATCGGGAGCCCGGTGCGCTGCCCGGGGGAGCCAGGCTATCGTAGGACCCTCCATAGTTATCGTATCGATCCTCCACCGACTTGTCCTTGTGTAGCTTGCGTCCGAAGAATGACTTCCCCGAGGACGGTTGCCTTGCTTTGTCGGCTTGTGCGGGCATTTTGGGCGTGATAAGAGCGCAGCATAGGGGCCGCTCACAACTCGGACGAAGCGCTGTCTATCGCATAGATCGGAAGACCAAGTATGGAAGGGAGGGAGGGGTGACCGGATTGTCGTTAAGCCACGGTCTGAGTTGCGCGAGGGGGTTCCCTTTTTCACTCACCCCGCGAGCATTTAAAAAAAAAAGGGAGAAAGATTAAAATCAACTGACAGCCAGGATCAAAGCCCGAGCGTTCTAGTAATCTATTGATTATTGACTGTTAGGGGGCTGCCCGGAGAAACTCCCCGACCGTTCACGTGAGGTCACGTGTCGTGATATCAGGCAGCTCTCACAGCCAACTCGGAGATTAATTCGATCGCAGAGAAGATCGACAGTGCGCAGTGACTGCAGGAGAGATCTTTGGACCCCTTGTGCCTGAAATAGTCTGGTCGTTTCGATCTGGTGGACCTCGGATACCAACGCCGCAACCTCGAGTCCCGAGTCCCGAGTCCCTGAACCAGAAACAATGGGCTCCTCAAGTGTATTCGCAAAGGTGCGCTTTGTTTTCCTATTCTTGTCGCGCATATCCAGCTCGTGGGTTTTGTGCCTCTGCCTCTCCCCCTTTCTCTACAATTGTCACGGTGGCAGCGCGAACTAACTTCCCCTAGACCATTCTCATTCCCGCTGCAATCGCATTAACAATCTACATCCTCGCATCATGCGTCATCATCCCCTTCTTCCGCCGCTACCACCAGCGCTACTCCCAATACCTCCCATTGCACAGCATATCCGCACACACGCTCTCGCTACGCGACCGCGTCGCCGATACCGTGATGAACTTCTTCCTTCGGTCGACGTGGCGACGCAACGCGGACGTGGCAGACAATGACAACATCAGCATTGACGAGCAAGAAGGCGAAGCATTGGTAGGGATGGACATGAACGCTGTCCGGGGCGTCTTGGGGCGGAGACCGGATGTGGGGACGGAGCGGCTGGGGAGGGATTTAGAGGAGGGTTTCATGGATGATAGCGACAGTGAAGGGCATGCTTAAGCATGTTCACTCGTATCCCGTACTCCATACATTTGAGGCGCTTGGCGTTGATATAGGACTTTTCATAGGGTTTGGCCGAACAATGTACAGATATGCGCCACGGAGTTATAGATCTGGTAATTAAGCTTCCACATAACATACAAAACAAATACAACGTAGATTGTATAGTTGCATGCCTTTGTATTGCGTACCAATCGGCAGCAAGACTGATTCTCAAACAGGTTTTAGCGCGAGAGGACAAGGACCAGGACTCCACCCAAGGCTGGACTCTGGCGAGATCGACAAGCCCGCTGATCATCCGTCGCAAATTTGAGGGAGGGGTAAAAAACGAAACTGATCTGACTACAACTTGGGGTGAAACCATATACTACTGTTGGAAAGAGCATGAAGGTTGAAAAAGTGATATGTACTATATTCATTGGTATCGTGATAGATGCTACCTTTTTCAGCATCGCCCAAAGGGGCTTAGGAACAGTTCAAAGAAACAAGCTGGAATGATCAATCCCCCTTTTACTTGCGCTGACCGTAGGCCTTGGTGGCGTACTCACCCTTGTGGACGATCAGGTCCTCAGGGCGGTAGTCGAAGCGACCGGAGAAGTAGCTGTCCAGAATGTTCTTGGTGCCGTTGGCGTAACGGATCTGGGCATCAATAGAGGTACCGGACATGTGGGGGACCATGCCGTTGCCGCCACCCCAGGGGTGCTCGGCGTAGCGGAGAGGGTGGTCCTTGGGGGCGGGCTGGGGGAACCAGACATCACCACCGTATCCGCGGAGGTGGCCGGACTTGAGGGCCTCGGCGACATCCTCCTTAACAACAATAGCACCACGGGCGGTGTTGACCAACCAAGCACCGGGCTTCATCTTGGAAATGAGCTCCTTGTTGAAGAGACCACGGGTCTTCTCGTGGAGGGGGCAGTTAATGGTGACAACGTCACACTGGGCGAGCATCTCCTCGAGGTTCTCAACGCGACGGCAGCCGATCTCCTTCTCGGTCTCGGGGGAGAGGGGCTGGTAGTCGAAGTAGAGGAGCTCCTTGCAGTCGAAGGGCTTGAGGCGGCGGAGGACACGCTCACCGATACGGCCGACAGCGACGGTACCGACAACCTTGTTCTCGAGGTCGAACTCGTTCTTCGCGACGGCGGCAACGTCCCAGTCACCGTTCTTGATCTGCTCGTGGGCGGGGACAAAGTTGCGGACGAGGAGGAGGATGGTCATGACGACGTGCTCAGCGACGGAGACGACGTTGGAGCCAGTGACCTCAGCAACGGTGATACCACCGTTGGTGACGTTGGCGACGTTGAGGTCAACGTGGTCGGAACCGATACCGGCAGTGACAGCGAGCTTGAGGTTCTTGGCCTTGGCCAGACGCTCAGCGGTCAGGTAACCGGGGTGGAAGGGGGTGGTGATGATAACTTCGGCATCGACAAGCTCCTTGTCGAAGGTGGAGTTCTCACCCTCCTTGTCAGAGGTGGTCACCAGGGTGTGACCCTGATCCTCGAGCCACTTGCGGATACCAAGCTCGTTCTCGGTGGTACCGAGCAGCTGAGGCTGCTGCTTGGAGTGCTCACCACCCTATATCAGATCGGGTTAGTCCATGCTCCATCATCTGTCAGGGACCACGGGAAGGATCACTTACATCGTACAGAACGAGAAGAACTTTACCCTGAAGGTTGGCAGTCGCGGTTAGCCTACGAACACCGGAGAAAGAGCCAGCCATCGGTGAAGCCCGGGTGAAGGGGCTGGTCGCGAATGGCTTGGAGAGGAGGGGCCGTCCCAATTGACGGGAAAGGGAACGAGTAAATACCATTGTGAAGAATGTGTGTTTTTAAAGAGAAGTGTGAAGTGTGAAAGCTAGAGGGCAGGGTTAGTCGGTTGTTATATAGGTTGGCAGGCATTTGAAGTCAATGAAGTCAATGTCCTAAAACGGTGTTGGAGAAACCGGACAAGACAAGCAACGCGGGGAGAGTGGAGAACGTTGCATGATCCGGATATGCGAGGGGGGAAGTATAGAGGATCGACTTACTGTTGAAGTGAGAGATGGAAGAGAGGATGAGATGAGGATGAAAAAGAAGAATTAAACCGGTTGACGAGGGTTGTTATATAGACGTAACAGAGCCCCTCCTATTGTCCGCCCCTCCGACACGCCGTCAAACAGGAGAGCTACGGCTCGTGTACCCACTCGGAAGCCAATCCTCCCTCTCCGCACGAACGAGGGGAAGTTCTAGTTTCACAATATTTCGAATTTCTAATTTAGTGGCCGAGATATCGGTACCTTGGAGCCTCGTAGCCTTGTCCAGCCCTGTCTAACCGCACGGTGGCTTGAATAGTTGATGGTACATCGTGTCCATGCATGTTACTATGGGAGAAGAGGTACTACCTTGGTGTATACGAACGTGCGGGGAGCTACAAAGATACTGGATATGATTTTTCTGTATACAAGTACATGCAGATAAATTTGAACTACTCTGTCGATCTAATATCTTTATCCAGGCTTGGTTCTTATTAGCTCTAGGCGTTCTCTTGCATCTCTCGATAGTATAGTGAATGCAGTGAGTCGAGTGAGAGTGGCTCATTTGGGCTTCCCCGCACGAGGGGTAGCTCCCCGCGGAAGTGGATGACATAATGAGGGGTTCACAAGATTCCCATTCGAGCCTCCAAACACAATCATATAGGAAACAACCACCCCCAATGGTGCATCGTCTCCAAGCTCCACTAGAGCTCAATGGATCACCTATCGCTCCAAATAAAGCACCCCCGAGGGTCCCGGCGTCACGCACCGACGGAACCCCTGCCGAGCTAACTCCGTCCTTCTGCCGAAATTCGGCCTCTGGCTTCTCCAACTCCGGAAACATGGACCCGCAGCCACTGCCTCCTCGCGAGGGTTGGAGATCTGTCCGCACGGGTCCACCACCGTGGTACAATCGACTTGTTTGGTCGGACACGCAGGTCAGATTGGCAACCTTGCCCGGAGCGCATAACCGGATCTAGAATCCCCTCACAGGACACATCGGTGGCGGGTTCCCTGATAACCCACTATAGCCCACGGGAAACCCGACTCATCCTGGAATCTTCTTCGGGATCAATTGCATGTTTTGGTCAGTGGTCATGTTGAGGACCGTCGCGGGGCCTGCAGTGTGTCACCGACGACACCCACCTTCGACTTCGTGAACTCTGTTATTTTTCACCATACATGAAATGAACAATTAAAAACACAATCTCCGCTCATCGCGTTCAAGTGTGAGTGCTTCCCGTTTGGCTAACATTACAGTCGGCAATTACAAGTATAGCTGCGACCGACCGCAACCCAAGACCAAGTTACTCGCGACCGTGCTCCGTTCGTCGATCGCAACCTCCCTGCCCAGGCCAGCCACACGAATAGGCCAGGGTAATTTTACATACAATCGGTTTCTTCGTGTTTGATGCGCTGGCAGGTGCGCGTCGCATGATCAGTGCGGGGTCTCTGCCGTCAGCCATTCTGAATCGTCGAGCCCCGCGTGGGTCGCAAAATGCTTGTTTGCTCAGGGATCGCCACTGGACTAATCGTGGATTGAACAATTGACAATTGTTTGTGAGAGAATCTCAACTAAAACCAGAAGAAACGCAACCAAAAAAGACTTGGGTTTCAAAGGAAAGAAAGGTTCACCGCGAGCGCGCAACTATGTCCAGGAGTCGAAACGGAGGCGAAACTGAAAGAAACCTCGTGCGCAATGTGTCAGTTCTGAAATTCAAGAACACAGCTACCCTCCAAGGCCAATTGATTAAGGATGGTATTTCTTCAATATTGACAGACGCCAACAGTTACATGGGATGTCCTCTACGGAGACAACCATATAGGGCAACCCCCTCCCTTCTCCCCGATACCGGCGGTAAACATCTACACCCGATGATCACACATGCGATTTGCGATGCAGTAGAGTCGGCTCAAAAATGATCTGGATAAGACACAAACAAGAGGATTGAGATTAGCTGAATATTCCCAAAGTTAAATGATAGATAATATTAAATGAATTGCAAATTTTGGAACTATGAGTGTCGCGATATTCCAAGGTCCTCAAGTGCCCAGGTGGTAACCTTGTTCATTGGAATTAGCTGAGCTGAGCTCCAACGTTGATTCTGTCCCAGCCCTGGAGATGGTCTTATCGAAGGTGTCTACTCATCCATGGATTACCCATCTATAACCTTCGAAGCAAGTCTGACACCTGGGCAGGAGTAGGTATGGAGCTATGTCCAAGTATCAGTGGACTATATTCTAGATAAATTGATCTTTTGGGGGTAACCCTGGAAACCCTTGGAGCCAATCAAGGAAATCAAAACAGATCTAAGATGAGCACATCCATGGGTCAATAGGTAGTGGTTGGTCCATTGATTGTTGCTAAGCCTCATTCGTATACATTCAGCAAATATATACACCCCGTGAATCCCACAGGGGGTTTGGGATTAGTTTGGTATATGGGTAGAGTCCTGGACCGACTTAAGTGTCAATTGCAGAAACTGCATTGAATTTACTCATATCGAATATTTGGTTAATTCTCATTCAACACAAATATATTTAAAAATAACAAAAGAGCTGGGCCGTGAAGCGTCGATAAATCAGAGGGCGGAGATTGATAATTATTAATCATCGAACCCCCGGGGCCGAGCTCTCGGACTCTGCGGAGATAACCTGGCAATCTTTCGCTTTTTCGGATTTCTGGTGTTTCTCTTCCCTGACCAACTCGCACATTTGTCAACCATCCCAATGTCGCTCAATTTCGCGCGATCGCTGGCGCGCAATTGTAGCGGACGAACCGGTCGACAACTCGGGCCCGTCCGCCTCTGGTCCAGCACAACAACCTGCCGCAGTAGGCTGCGCGCGCGGTTGGAAATCCCGCCTCCATTCCCAGTGACCAAAAGTTGCCCGGAGCCAAGTTGCAGTTGTCCTGCCACACCCACCCTGCCGGAGGGTCTACCGATCGATCATGAGCAGGCATTGAACGGGACAATGGCCGCCTATGCGCAACAGCTGTTGATCTGCACCGGACAGCCAGATTGGACGAGTCGAATTGAGAACGACGGCGAGAACAAAGGTTGGGGAAATCTTGTGAGAGGACTGAAGGAGCTGTTAGGTCGTGGGGGCCCATACCTCGATGTATGTGAACAATATTCCATTCGACGTTGTGCCTACCGATGCTAATCAATACACCTATCCAGCCCTTTAACAATGTCCTCGTCACTGCCTCCTCGATAGCGCCCGCCGTGAGCTCTTCCACCTCGGCTTCGGCATTCCTGTTCCCCAGCTTCAAATATATACCTTCGATCCCTGCTCAAACTAACGCATCCGACCAACTCGATTTGACGACTTTTGTACGCGCATACCTTCTCCCCACACGCCTCCACGACATGCATTCTTCTCTCCCCGCAAAAAAACAAGCAGACATGACTCGAGCACCAGACCTAGCGAGTCAATTCCCCGACGCAGTGGACATTGAACACTCCCCCACAATTCTTATTTGCGGGCACGGCGGCCGCGATATGCGCTGCGGTGTCATGGCACCCGCTTTAGAGAGCGAATTCCAGCGCGTACTCCAAGAGCGTGGTTTTACCTCGGCGGATAGTGAGGGAACTACAGTGGATGCGCCCACTCATGCCCACATTGGTCTTATCAGTCATGTGGGAGGACACAAGTACGCCGGCAATGTTATCGTCTACATTCCTCCCAAGATGACCATTGGCACCTCCTCAGAACCTCACCCGCTGGCGGGTAAAGGAATTTGGTATGGTCGTATTGAGCCCAAGCATGTTGAGGGTCTTGTGGAAGAGACCATCCTCGGTGGAAAGGTGGTAACGGATCATTTCCGAGGCGGTATTGACCGAAACGGGGACATATTACGGATGTGACGGTCGCAAGTCTCATAGTGATGAAAATGTACAATAGAAATTTGCATATCCCCAATTAACTGGACATACACATTGGAAGTCAAAGGACGAGAAGAAGTAGACTCGCAGGGTAAACCCACTAGTCCCGATCGGGGATAGTCCTATCAAGCTCCGAGCTCCGGGGAAATTTGAAGATGCGCGACTCATCCGACAAACGAACTTGGTCGCAAACATGGCCCATGATCACTGAATCCCGAACTGCAGATGATTTACCTATAAATTGAAATTAGCAATGCAATCTCTGCTTCGACACCGAGTGTCCAGCGCACTGGCGCACGGTCGACTCTACACGCGGTCAACTCGTCTCCCTCCAACATACACCCTCACCCGCCTCGCAAGCTCACAAGCCCGTCGACTAGACCTACCGGCCCTCGATCAAAAATGGCAAGCCAAGTGGCAAGCGGGCGAGCGCCCGGTTTCCGACGACACAAAACCCAAGTCCTACATCTTGTCCATGTTCCCATACCCGTCTGGAACGCTGCACATGGGTCATTTGCGCGTTTATACAATCTCGGATGTGATTTCACGATTTTGGAAAATGCGAGGACATGAGGTGATTCATCCCATGGGGTGGGATGCTTTTGGGCTGCCGGCGGAGAACGCGGCGATCGAGAGGGGCATTGACCCTGCAGTGTGGACGCAGGCGAACATCCAGAAAATGAAGTCGCAGCTAAAATGTATCTCAGCGGAATTTGATTGGGACCGGGTATGTTGGCATACCCTTGAGACGAAGAGCTTGGCTGACACATTTAGGAATTGGCTACATGTGATCCGAATTTCTATGAACATACTCAGCGCATATTTTTGATGATGTACGAGAAGAATATGGCATACCAGGCAGAGGCACTGGTCAATTATGATCCGGTGGATAAAACGGTGCTGGCGAATGAGCAGGTTGATGCGAACGGGTTTTCGTGGAGATCGGGTGCAAAGGTGGAGAAGCTGAACTTGAAGCAGTGGTTCTTCAGGATTACTGAATTCAAAGAAGCGCTGCTGAAGGATCTCGACTCTCTTTCCGAGGGCTGGCCCGAACGTGTTTTGACAATGCAGCGAAACTGGCTCGGCAAGTCTTATGGCGCCAAGGTCACCTTCCCAGTCACTGTCAACAGTGCCGGGGGTGAACAGATTAATGTCGATGTGTTCACCACTCGACCGGATACGCTGTATGGCGTGGAATACCTTGCGCTGTCTTTGAACCACCCTATCGTACTCAAGGCCGCCGAGACCAACGAAGCCCTGCGCAACTTCTTGAGTGAGGCATCGTCGTTTGCGCCAGATTCCAAGGCAGGGTACCGGCTGCCCGATGTTGAGGTGTCACATCCAATGCGCACCGTTGATACAGAAACCTCACACCTGCAAAGAAACCTCCCTGTCTTTGTGGCGCCATATGTTCTGAGCGACTATGGCTCTGGAGCAGTCATGGGTGTTCCAGGCCATGACACCAGAGATATGATGTTTTTCAAGGAAAATGTGAACACCGAATCCATTCCACTCGTCATCGAAGCCGAGGCGAGTGGCATTGATTCAAAGAACAGTGTGGTCCCACAATCAGACACCAAGGCTTTCACTCAAGAGGGTTACTTGACCTCACGCTGTGGGAAGTACCAAGGCATGCACTCCAAGGAGGCCGCAAAGCTTATCGTCAATGACTTGCAAAAGGTTGGACAGGCCGAATTTGTTGAAAGCTGGCGTCTGCGAGACTGGCTGATCAGTCGTCAACGGTATTGGGGCGCGCCGATTCCCATCATCCACTGTGGGGACTGTGGTCCCGTACCGGTGCCAGCTGAAGACCTTCCGGTTAAACTGCCCAAAATCGAGGGGGAGTGGCTCAAGGGCAAAAAGGGTAACCCACTTGAGACATCAGAGGAATGGCTGCACACGAAGTGTCCCAGCTGCGGAGGGCCTGCTAAGCGGGATACAGATACGATGGACACGTTTGTGGACTCCTCTTGGTATTTCTTGCGGTTCTTGGACTCTGCCAACAAGACCGCCCCATTCTCTCCTAATACAGTGCAACCCGTGGATTTCTACATTGGCGGCATTGAGCATGCAATTTTGCATCTCCTTTATGCTCGTTTCATCTACAAGTTCCTTGCTGGCTCAGAACTATTCCCAGCTGAAGGCTCAGCTGGCGCAGAGCCTTTCAAAGTTCTCCTCAGTCAAGGCATGGTGCACGGAAGGACTTTCACTGAACCTTCAACAGGCCGCTTCCTTCTTCCAGAGGAGGTCGACCTCACCTCCCCGGATAAGCCTTTGATCAAGGGAACAAAAGTGACACCCAACATCTCTTTCGAGAAGATGTCAAAGAGCAAGTACAATGGTGTGGATCCCACAATAACCACATCCAAGTACGGTGCCGACGCCACCCGCGCACACATTCTATTCTCTGCACCGGTCAGTGAAGTCTTGGACTGGGACGAGGCCAAAATCGTCGGTGTCGAGCGCTGGTTCGGTCGACTCTGGAAGGTCGTCCAAGACACACAGCAATCTCTGGCAGATGCTTCATACCCCATCCCGGAGACAGGAGCCTCTCACAACCACACAATCCCCCTCCCATCATCACTCCAGGATCTGAGTGACGCCGATGCCGACGCAGTCCTAGCCACTCACAGAACCATCGCATCAGTCACCTCATGCATCGAAAGCAACCCATATGCTCTGAACACAGTTGTGTCGGACCTGATCAAGTTGACCAACGCTCTTGCCTCAGCACCTGCTTCATCCCCTGCCATTGCATACCTCTCTCTCTCATCCTTACTCCGTCTGCTCGCTCCCATCGCCCCGGCTCTAGCCTCTGAATCCTGGGAGATCTTGCACACCACAGGCGCCAAAGCATCATCTATCCTCACATCCCCCTGGCCTACCACTTTGCTCACACCCGAGCAAGTTGACATCCTCTCCTCTCGAGGAGGTCAAACCGTTGCTGTTCAGATCAATGGTAAGCTGCGCTGTGCGGTCACTATTCCGACCATGGAGACAGTGTCTCCACAGAGCAACAAGGCCCTTTCGCAGGAAGAACAAGACTGGATTATCAGTCGGGTCTTGGAGACTGCCGAGGGTAAGACATGGCTTTGTGAGAAGAACGACTGGGAGAAGAGACGACGGGTGATCGTTGTCAAGGGAGGAAAGCTCGTCAATGTTGTTTTCTAATCTCGCCATATTGGCGAGAATGTAATTTATAAGATCAAACTGTATATTATTTAAGGCTGCATCGGAGCGCTCCTCTCTCACTCTCTTGCATCTACACCAAGACCTGGGAACAAAGCAACAGCGAGTCACATCAGAAGCTGAGCAATACCATATTCGACTCCACCGAGGCGAAAGCAAAGTAATGCAGAATTTGGGTATCATATAAGACTGCGAGAGTGACAGGATCAACCACCCATCTCATTCTCTTCTCTATCTCGTCCTGTCGGCTGCGGCTCCAGCGGGAAACTCAAATGTTTCCAATCCTCAATCTCCTCGATAATACATTTTAACCGGTCCCGAATACTCTCTACCGCATACGTGCCCAGAATGAGCCGCAAAGGCGGATATGAGCAATGACCAAGCTGCCAAACCAGATGCGCCGCTTTCACAGCACTAGCAGGCTGCTTGTCACCCAGCCACATCAGCATTCTTCGAGCATGCGCCGCAGGCGACGTAGTAGTATTATACGGCTCACTGGGCGGCTTCACCAAGAAGTGACCGTAGAGCGGCAACGGCGAAGACAGATTATGCTCTGGGTTCGACGCCATAGCAGAAGGCGAAACCAAGTCTGCAACGTCATCGCGACGCATATGGCCAGGTTCCACAAGTGTACCCTTGATATTGAAGCTATCGACCTCATACAGCATACTCTCCATCAGGCCCTCGACCGCGTATTTAGAAGCGCAGTAAGGGCCGAGACCCGGCACGCCAAGAGCACCGGAAGTAGAGCTGAAGATCAGATAGCGGCCAGCGCGTCGTTGGCGGAAGTGCGGCAGCGAAAGCTGGATCATGTTCAGGGTACCAGTGAAGTTTGTTTCGAACTGGTTACGGATATCGTATTCGTCCTGGTCTTCGCAGGCACCGATGACGCCGTAGCCCGAGCAATTGGCGATCACGTCGATATGGCCGAACCGTGCAATTGTGGCGTCGATGACCTGTTTGACGGTTTCGCGGGCCCGCACGTCACAGAGGAGACCGAGGCAGTTCTCGTGCTCGGATTCCAGCTCGCGCATTGCTTCGGGGCTGTTTTCGTATGTGCGCCCTACGGCGGCTACTAGGTCATTATGGGATAGAGCGGTTTTCACGAGGGAGCGGCCCATGTGGCCGGTTGCGCCGAAGATCTGGGGTTTGTCAGTGCGGTGCTGTGGCTTTGGTGGGGATGCGACGTACCAGCCATACGAGGGGTTTGGGGGGGATTGTGAGGGCCTGGAGGGTCGGTAGTTGAGGGAAGATGCAGTCTCGGTTCTGCAGGAGAGGAGGGCCCTCCTTTTGGGGATGTCTGGTCCATTGCTGTTGAAGGGAAGTTGAAGTTCTCCGCACGCTCCCCACATTTAGTGGGCGGTGACGATCGGTACATTCTTCGGTGCTTAGGTTGGTCTGCTCCTTGTTTATAGCCAAATAGCCCATTTCTGCGTCGAAAATAGATCTGAATCAGATGCTGAATACGTCTCATAATTGTCCATTATCTATATACTTAGCGACCAACTTCCCGTCGCAGCCGTCCTGCAGCTGTCGTGGGTCCTGGTTCCGGCCAGCTGCCCACCGCATCGTCAACCTCCTCCAGGAATGTAGTACTGTTGTGAATGGATGTTCCACTGAGGACGACCCGAATGCCTGGAGAGCTAGCATTGACCTGCGCCACCATCTTCGCCTCCTCGTAGGTAACACCGCCGACCATGAAGATAATGATGTCCTGCGGCTTATCACGCGTGTGACCGCTGCCCTCCAAGAAGGGATATTGGAGTTCTTTCAAGCGACCCTTGATGAGATTCTGAAGGGTCACTTCTAACCGAGGGGAGTGTTGGGTATAAACATTTTCGACGCCTTTGAGACCCTTGAAACGGTCTCGTGCACCAGAGAAAAAGGATGTTGATTCGAAGAGGTCGGAGAACCCACCCGCGACAGGAGGGGCTTGGAGAGAGTGATGGTATGCAAGGAGCTTGGAGATGAGGTTGACGCGGTTGGAGGGGACCTCGCCTGCTGTCACGAGGAGGTCGAGGAGGATGGGTAGGGCATTATTGGGATGTTTCTCATAACGAAGGGCGTAGAGGGCTACCAAGCGCAGCTTGTTGTCTGCAGGTACATTTGGTAGTCCGATAATTCGTTGGAGGGACTAGAGTGAAGTTAGTACGGGGAACGGATGAGAGGTCTAGGCCGATTCATACCTTGAGGTCATTGGTGTGGTTGTCATTACACGCGAGACTTTGTTCCAATTCACTCACGTCGAGCAGGTTGTCTTCGCCGACCCGTCGACTCAACTCGCCCACCAGAGTGACATGCTTGCTCACGTTGCCGGCGAGTTTCCGGAACTCCGGATAATCCTCCACAAAGCGTTTCATATCGGTGATAGATTCGATATTGGCCGTGCTCTGCGTTTTTGTTTGATACTGCTCCACATATTCTTTGATATTTTGACCCAGGTCGCCGAAGTTCTGATACATGTTCTTCTTGAAGAACGGATCTTGATCCTGGGCCAAGACGATCTCCTTCAGCTCCGGCCGGATCTCAGGGACATCCTGCAGATCGACGCGACCATTGTTGATGCCAAGCATTTCATGCACCATGGCCTGATATGTCCATTGGGTGAGCAGTGGGGTGATGGGATCGTCGCGGCGGTCGAGCACGAGGAGGATAGGCGGGGTATCCGTCCGGCGGAAATTAAACAGCTGCTCCTCTTGTGTGATGTGGTATCGGACCTCCGTAGCTAGTTTCCGAGCTAACAGACTGTTCTTCTCGTATCGGATCAGCGGGTTCTTCTTCAACGCGAGAAGCAGCGCCAGCGTGCCTTCTGTCGCTCTCTGTAGCGAGTCCGGGTTCCACAGATCGGGCGAGTGGCTCCAGATGCGCTGTAAGGGGAAACCCATGCCCAACGAACAGAGATCGGGGTTTGTGACGAGGAAGTCGGCGAACTGCTCCTGTACCGACTGTACCACTTCATGGCTATCCGCTTCTGCCAGCCTCTCCAGGGCGGATTTGCGGATGATGTTGCTTAAATAGATGTAATATTCGCCGTATTTAGGTTCGCGCAGCTCGTCGATCAGGAACTGTATGGAGGTCGGGGAGGGGCGCACGAAGCATATGCATCGCAAGTGGCGCATCTTCTCGCGCGCGGCATTGTCCAGGCGATCGATCAGGTAGACCTCGTGATTGAGGAGGGCAGACTGCGTGATGGCGGTTGAGACAATGGGGACCTGTGATCGCATTAGCTTGAATCGGGTGGCGGTCAGCTGGGAATCTCTCCCACCGTCTCACTATCCAACAGGAGGATCTTCATCTTGGAGGCGGTCGACTCGCCCACGGTGACCATCTTGGAGATATACCCCGAGGCAGCCGTGACGACGTCCATAATGGGCGGTGGGCAGTGCCGTCAAGAAACGAACAGAGAAGAAGCTTAGTGAGGTCAACGCCAACCGAGTCTGAAGCTTCCAGTCGAGCTAGTCAAGGAGTGTCTTGGAAAGTGAAGAGTGGAGAGCGGGAAGTTGTTGGGGTGTCCGCGTTCCACACATGACCCAGGCCTTTTTTTGGCTTCTCTACTTTTCTTGTCTTTTGATCTTGTTGATTCTCTCTTGTGTGTTTTTTTTTGTCTGTGTTTGCTTTTTTGTTCTTCGTCTGGTCAACCATGTTGCCTTACGTAGATCAGAGTTGGTATCCCTTTCTTTTGAGTACCTCGGCCTTCACTAACGCGTCCCCGCAGTATTCGAGCTGCCAGCTCGGCTCACTGGCGCATCAATCGACGAGCGTACGATTCTCCATTTACCCACGGCGTGAACAGGTTCTGACCCTCTACAGTCAAGCTGATCGGCTCCTTCCTTCTCTCCTACCCTCTGGCTGCGCTGCTGAAACGCATCCCTGACGCCCAGCCCTGGAAAAAGAATGTGTTCATCATCGGAGTATCCTTGTTCTACCTGGTTGGACTGTTCGACCTTTGGGATGGTCTGCGCACCTTATTATATAGTGCCGCCGGTACTTATGCGATCGCATACTTTGTGGATGGATCACTGATGCCCTGGTTCGGCTTCATGTTCCTGATGGGCCACATGTCGGTGAACCACATCTTCCGTCAGATGGCCAACGATGGTGCGACGGTAGACATCACCGGAGCTCAGATGGTGATGGTCATGAAACTCACCTCTTTCTGTTGGAATGTGCACGATGGTCGTCTGGCTCAGGACAAGCTGTCGGACCCGCAGAAGTACTCTGCGATCACACAATTCCCGGCCATTATCGACTACTTGGGCTATGTGATGTTCTTCCCTTCGCTTTTCGCGGGGCCCTCATTTGAATACGTCGATTACCGTCGCTGGATCGACACTACGTTGTTTGATGTGCCGCCAGGCACTGATCCGTCCAAGGTCCCAGCGACTCGGAAGAAGCGCAAGATTCCTCGCAGTGGAACGCCTGCTGCCAAGAAGGCAGCTGTTGGACTTCTTTGGATCTTGGCATTCATTCAGCTGGGCTCATACTTCACCACCGACTTCTTGCTGTCCGACTCGTTCCTGCATTACTCCTTCCTGCGCCGCGTGTTTACCGTGCACATGGTGGGATTCACCGCTCGCACCAAGTACTATGGTGTCTGGGCTCTGACGGAAGGTGCTTGCATCTTGTCGGGTATGGGATACAATAGCTTCGATCCCAAGTCGGGCAAGGTCTTCTGGAACCGATTGGAGAATGTCGACCCCTGGGGATTGGAGACCGCGCAGAACTCCCATGCATACTTGGGAAGCTGGAACAAGAACACTAACCACTGGCTGCGAAACTACGTGTACCTCCGCGTCACACCCAAGGGCAAGAAGCCCGGCTTCCGCGCTAGCATGGCCACCTTTGCTACCAGCGCCCTCTGGCACGGCTTCTACCCGGGATACTATATGACATTTGTCCTGGGTTCTTTCATCCAAACCGTTGCAAAGAGTATGTTGAACGCATGCAGTCATGTCCACAACGTGGGCCATTGTAATTTCAAACACTAACCTCTGCCAGACTTCCGCCGCTACGTTCGCCCCTTCTTCCTCACCCCGGATGGAACCAAGCCCATGGCGAACAAACGCTACTACGACATCCTCAGCTGGCTCGCAACTCAATTGACACTCTCATACGCTGTGATGCCATTCGTTCTTCTGAGATTCAACGAGTCCATCACCGTCTGGAGTCGGGTCCGTTACTACGGCATTATCAACTGCGCCGTCTCGCTCATCGCTTTCGCCTCCTTCTCTCCGCTCAAGGGCTACCTTGTCTCCCGATTGAAGCGCCGCAACCGACCCCACGTCGGCCGCACTGCCAGCACCGAGTCCGTTCGGGCCCCTGTTCTTGGTCTGCCCAACGACCCCGAGCGGGACTTCGATGAGGCCGTTGCGGAGATCAAGGCGGAGATTGAAAATCGGGGACGCCGGGGCAGTACGGTGACTATGCCCACCGGCGATGATTTGAAGGCTGCCGTGGAGCAAAAGATCGGACGGAAGTTGTAGGTTCAAGACAAGTTCGAATAGGTGCAATTGGGGCAATCCCGGAATAGAGTCGTCGGAGCAGGAGTTGGAAGGTTTTGCGTGTTGCGAATCAATTTGGGCGATTGGTCTCTATATTTTATAATGAAGATTGAATAGAACACGTCTTGCACATTGTGGACGTGTTGCACAGCTGCTCGTCCTCTCCAGACTGAATAGGATCAGCCCTCGCATCGGAGGATATTGAACTGCTTTGTCACTCAACTGCGGAGTAGACTTGGCAAGGGTTTCACCATTTGCAGTTTCATTGTCGATTCTCGGAGACTCGGCCCTTTTTCTGACGATCGGAATGGTTGCTGATGGTGAAATAGCAGAGACCGGCACATTGCTAATATGGCAACATGATGGCGTGTCCTACCGTGCTCCCCGCATATAACTCCGCATATCTCCCAGGAACGAGATGCAAAATATCGGATCATACAAGCTTATTTTTGAAGCTTAAACAAATAATATCATGGGAAGCATCGCAGCAGTCAATCCGTTCCAGGACGTTCCGGCGGGACGAACAGGTACATCAATTGGCACCCAATGATAAGCCCTAACTAAGAAACAATCTTCAGGTCCCCTCGAAACCCTCGTGGGTCAATTCCGAGCAGACACTGATCCCAACAGAACTGATCTCCTCGTTGGCGTCTATAAAACTGACCAGGGGAAACCTTACGTCCTGCCCAGCGTGAAAGAGGTATAGTCACTCCAACACTCTACTCGAGCCATAGCACTGACTCGGTGATTGCTACCATCCAGGCAAAGAGGAGAATCTTCGAGGATCCAGACTGGCATCATGAGTATCGCGCGTTCGCCCAAGGCTCCCCGGTCTATAGGAAATTGAGTGAAGAGTTGCTCTTTGGACCGGATCATCGCCTGCTCCGAGAGAAAAGGTAACACATAGCTTCCCTCTATCTGAAAATAAAAACATCAATGGCTAATCCTCAATCCCAGAATTGTATCAACGCAGACCCTCGGCGCAAGTGGTGGATGTCATGTTGGAGCAGTCCTGTTGGCTCAACACTACGGGCCATGGAAGCAGACTGGAAACCCCGAGATCTTCCTTCCCACCGAGACCTGGTTGAACCATCCTCATTTGTTCGAAGCTGCTGGAATTAAGACTACGCTGCTGCCTTATTTCAACAGCAAGACGAATAAGTTTGATTTTGCAAAGTTCACAGATGCCGTCAAGGCCCTGCCAGCTCAGTCTGTCGTTCTGCTGCAGTCTAATGCGCAGAACCCAACTGGAAGTGACCCTTCACCAGATCAGTGGCGGGAGCTGGCTACTATTTTCTCTGAACGCGGTCACTTGGCGTTCTTCGATGCGGCTTACCCTGGATTTGCCTCGGGAGACATTGACACGGATCTTGAAAGTGTTCGTCTATTTGCCGAGAGAGAGATCCCATTGATCTTTGTCTCGACCTACGGAAAGTCTTTCGGTCTCTACAGTGAGCGCGTTGGAATTCTCTCTGTGCTTGCTCCAAGCGAGCAAGTCGGAAAGAATATCGAGGCTCATTTGAGACTCCTGGCACGAGCAGAGTCCGGTGCACCCCCTGATTTTGGTTCCACTATAGTTGAGACTGTTCTCTCGGATGAGACCCTGAGGGCCCAATGGCGAGAGGAACTGCGTCATATGGCTAATCGATTGAAAAGTCGTCGAATCGCGCTCAGAGAAGCATTGGAGAAATTGGAAACACCTGGAAACTGGGCACATATCACCGAACAGAACGGAATGTTCTCGTGAGTTCATCAGCCTGCTTGAATGCTTCTCATACTGATTGATCTTTTAGATACGTTGGACTGTCTGTAGAGCAGGTAACTCTGCTCCGAGAGAAGTACCATGTTTACCTCCAAGATTCCGGGAGAATATCTATTGCGTAAGTTTCAAGAGAATCTTGAGTAAAACCGAAACTGACAGTCTATATCTTTGCAGTGGACTTAATGACTTCAATACTGAGTACACAGCCAGCAGTATCAGCGCCGTCGTCAAAGCGACTGCATCTCACTGAGAATCAAGGCGAATCGATAATGGGATTACCCAGAGATTATGATTTATTGATACATCGATTGATAAAGGAAAACTCTGTAAATGCACATGTTAGTCTGATATCTGCCGAGTGTCATACATCGAGCCTAGGAAGTAACCTCGTGTTATTGTTTATCAACGTCACGTCGCTGTTTCGGCGGGTATGCTACACTCAAAATTGAATTACCTAGGTACAGCCTTTGGCTCACCAATTTTATCTTCTATCCTTTTCAGGTCTATTCTCGATGATCTTGAATGAAGTCTTGAAATTAGTGCTGTAGAAAAAAAACTAAAACCAATCGGAATCCAGTGAACAGAGTGACTAGATGGTCATCCGCTGGAGAGCTGGTTAGCCCTTGCCCCCGACGGCACAGCAACTAGGCACATTTAGCGATGATCAATGTGAAAAACTCCCATTTGACGCAATTGATTGACGTCTATTTCATCCCAGAATCAGATCATACAATCTTAACCTCAGCCCGACGCGTCAAAGGCACATCAACATGAAGCACAAGCTTCTTATTCTGAGCATCATAGTCGGCATTATGGAGACCCTTGGGCTTGCTCTTCACTCCGAGAAGAGTGATAGCCTCAATGGTGACACCGGCATCGTACTCAAACGATCCAGTCATGCTGAGCTTGCCGTGGGCGTACTTGAAGTCAATCTCCGACACGGTATCTTGCACAACTGACTCGCCGTCGTCAAGGTAAAGCGAGCCCTCAGCGCGACCATCAAGACCAGGCGCAATCACAATGTTGAAGCCCTTGGTACGGAGCGCGGTGGTGGTGTTGGCGCTCTCGATACGTTGGGGGTAGACGATGCCACCCTTGTAGTGGACCGTGATATCGGTATAGTCGACCTCGGCCGAGACGTACTCGCCGTGTCCGCGGACGGGCTTACCGGTGCCCCATTCGTAGAAGATGTCGTCTGGCAGGTAGTAGTTCAGGCTTGTGCTGTTCTCCTCGGTGACAGGGCTGACGAGGATACCATCGCCGTAGAAGAACTGAAGATCGATGGGGTAGGTGTTGGGGTCACTCGGGTAGTTGAAGAACAGAGGATTGAGAGCCGGGGTACCGGTCTGGTTTTGTTTATAGATGGCGGTGTAGATGTAGTCGACTGAAGAACTATTAGTTCCGACTTTCATCTTGGATGTCATATTGCAGGTGTCACTTACGGAGCTGGTATCTGATAGAAATTCCCTTGCGCGCAGCTTCAGCGACTGTCGGCCAGCGGTAGAACTCTTGAGGAGTCGAGGAGATCTCAGCGTGGTTGCGGAAGAATGTGTAGAAAGAACCGAGAGCCGCCCATCTATCGATCCGCATTAGTTGTAGTCGCGTACTAAAAGAGAGTGTGTTTCACCTAGCACAGAGGTTCTCTGTCGTATTGCCACCAAAGCCGCACACATCGGGACCGACGACGGGGATTTGGTACAACGACGCAAACTGCAAGATTTGACTGATGGAGAGTCGGTACCAAAGCCAGCCGGAGATATTGTCTGTCACATATTTAGCATGAGATTCGCTCCAACATCAGATGCGAGACTTCAGATTAAATCTTACCTCCAAGCCAGTGGGACACATCCTTGCCGGAACCGGCAAAGGTGCTTCGTGTGATCACCAAAGCGCGATCATCCGGGCGTCTGGCACGCATGGCGTTGTGAGAGTGCGAAGACATCATAGCACCGTAAAGGTTGTGGGTATCATATTGAACGTAGCCACCACTTTGCACCAGGTCAGTATCGGCAGTGCTGTCAGCCAGCGTGGGCCCAGCGCCATTTTGAATCATGAAAGGTGGTCTGATGAACTCGCGATTGGGCAGGCCCTTGCATTCATTGGGTCCGCAGCCAGAGCCAGTCTTCTTACCACTTTGCCAGCCAGCATTCGAGGAAGAACTGGAGGATCTGGCGGAGCGCCAGTGACCAGCGCCCAGGTTGCGACGGGAAAGCGACCGAGGCTTACGGCTTTGAATATCAGCAGTCGCACGCTTCTCGTTTGAGTTACCGGAAGCGAAGTTGGGCTGGAGACTGTCTGGGAAGCCGGGGATGGGAGCATCAGGGCCATCTCGGACCGCTGGTGCTTTGGGAGGATCGCCATCCACTTCCGCGAACTTCTCCGGAGTGGTGTTGTTGCCTGGGTACGGACGGTTGAAGAAATTGGCGGGTTCGTTCATGTCGATCCACAGCGCGTCAATATCCGGACCATTGGTGCCGTCGAAGAAGTTCAAAAATTGTTCGCTCCAGTACTCCTGCGAGTCGGGGTGGAACCAGTCAGGGAAGTAACTTGGACCAGCCCAAACTACACCCTGGTATTCGGAGCCATTCTTCTCCTTCATGAAGGTGCCATACTTGAGACCTGCATCGAGCGCCGGGTTAGATTCTTTGTAGAAGACAGCGGGATCCACCATGACGATGTAATGCTGATCTCTCGCGTGAATGGTATCCACCAAGTCTTTGTACAGATTAGCCGGGAATCTTTCCGGGTCAATGGTGAAGATGCGGCGACGGTCCATGTAATCAATATCAGTCCAAATGGTTTCCAGAGGAATGTTGTTCGTAGAGTAGTTAGCCGTGACAGCGGCAACCTCGTACACATCTTGGTAGCCATATTTGCACTGGTGGTATCCGAGTCCCCAGTAGGGTGTCATCAACGGCAGCTGAGCAATTTCCGCGTATTGCATGGCAACATCGCGGGGAGATGGGCCGGCAATGAAGTAGAAGTCCAGAACACCGCCGATAATGTTGTACTCGAGGTACTGGCCACCCTTGTTGTCGATGAAGATGTCCATGCCGTTGGAGTTGAGCAGGAAGACTCCGTGGGTGGCATCCTTTCGGTGGTCGAAATAGATCGGGTGGGCGCCGTACAGATTCTCACCCTGAGGCGTTCCGTAGGCATCGCGGGTATAGATCGTGCGAGTGTAGTTGGTCGTGTTCAGCATGAACGCGTCGCTGTGCTCGCCGAGTCCGTAAAGATGCGGGTTCTGTGGAAGATGTGTCTTGAGATAGACATATTGGCTCTCAAACACCAGCTTGTTACCCGTGGTGTCAAAAAGCACCTCTTCGGTATCGGTGCGAGAGACGGTGAAAGAGAAGGGGTCGGCCTTGAAGTTGAACTTGAGCTTGGAGTTCTTAGGCGAGCACCATTCCCCGAAGCCAGGGCGCGGGAAGACACTGTCAGGCACCTGGTAGACGGTGTTGTTGGTGTCTGAAATCTTGACATGAAGCCGATCGCTGGTCTGATATTCCACTTCCAGCTTCAGGTCTGGGAGATCAGTGCCGAAGACATTGCACGCAGACCCTGCGAGAGACAGATCTGCGTAGAAACCAGAGCGAGTCTCCCAATGCTTGGTCGCTTTGTATCCGGGACATTTGGACAAGTCCTTCTCATAGAGATCATTGCCAGGGTCATCAAGATCGGCGATTCCCGCCTGACTCTGCGCCCAGGCACCGGCACTCAGGGCCACGGCCGAAGTGAGCAGGTTCTTGAGATACATGCTGAGTCCTTGAATCGAGGGAAGTGTGCCTCCTGCATGCCGGTCTTATATAGATCTCTCGGATCGGGTTTTCCCCTTTGCCAAGATGGACCGTGTTGTCGATGTGGGGACTGCATTTCCCCAGGCCGTGATCCCCGCAGAACCTTGGGTAGGGGATGTCACCCTGCCTGTCCGACTTTTGCGACTTCATCGCTTCTTCCTCGCCACAGAGTCATTGTCTCGAGTCGAGCCGCCTTGGCCAGGCATTCCCAGTATCCACCCGATGAAAACAAAGGTAGCAACCCCGCGCAGGGGGCACTTTGCCGACCCATCATGTTTGCCGAGTATTCCGACAAAAGCCCGAAAAACCTGACGCAGGTCTTAAGCCGAAGCCAGCGAGGGTCTTGGCGTCCGCTTTACGTCCGCATAGTCTCCGCTTGTTTGTCAATTGCCCGTCAAAAGTCCGTTGCGGGGTGGAAAAGCGTTTCCCCCAATGTTTGCTGGAAATGCCAAGAATGGCGGTTCAGCCCGCCACGCTCAACACTTCGAGCACTTGGGACTGTTGAAAGAAAATCATATCTGACCCTTGATCTTGTACTCAAGATTGAGGCATTCCCCTTTTTCTCTCAAAATGTTTGTCCGAAGTCAGACTTGCATGAAGCATGCAGTAGAGTATGTCGCTCTCATCGCCCAATCGACCATAGGGTTCATGCAAGCTACTCATCGCGAGATGTGAGCTGCGAACAAAGTGCAGAGATCCGAATCTATTCTTAATTCAAGCTCAATCATTGCCCCTTGCTGCAGACCTGCAGACCATGAGCATCTTCTCACCGCAATTTACTTGTAGCCTCTAGATTGCACAAACGTTGTACTGGGATGGCCGAGGTTAGGATGCAATCTGTGGTATGTATGCTCTATCCTTCCAATAATTTTGTTCATTATGCCCCATGGAAGCGCCAGGGCCTGGAAGTAGCAGATCGAAAGATTGTACTCTCGCAGCGTTCAATGGTACTCCGTAGCATCATCCAGCTAAGCCAAAGACAATCAGTTGTCGGAAGTGAACCCATGATAATCCGCTCGATTCGAGTCCAACTCACGTGGAATTCAAGACACTTGAACCAGGTATTAACCCTTTGATGAAGAGATAGGGATCTTGTTCTTCGAAGATATTCCAACTTACAAGTTTAACAACTAACACACATCTGTCTTAGATGAGGCTAAGGATGGGAACTGAATCGCAGAAGCATGCAAGCCGACTTTAGCACTATAGCTATAAATAGCTCAGATAATATCTGAGATCTCCATTCACTATACGGAGTATCGAGTACCGAGTACAGGCCAAATTTGTCGCATCATTACTGGCCCTGATGCAGGGCGTAATGCCTTTGAGGCATGGATATGTGGCTTGTCATGGGCAGGATTGAATCGCTTATCCATGTCACAGACGTCGAATATTTTTCTGCACTTCTAACTCTGAGATCCAAATGCATTGCAATGGGATGCTGATAGCTTTATTGCTTCGAAGTAGAATTTATAGCTTAGCCGCTGCGCGGAACGACGCAATCCCGAGAAATAAACCTGCAAGATAGCTCTATGATGCAAGCAGATTGGAAAGATGCAGTCACTTCTATATGGCAATGTCTTTTGTTCAAAGAAGCAGGAAAAGGGGAGGTCGTGAAGAAATAGGAAGCGGAGTATCACCCACCGGGCTCAGTTTTCGGCGCAATATAAGACTCAATAAATTTCCAAGGCCATTGGAACTCTACTCGGGTTTGTATATGTACTTAAAAAGCGAACTTTGAAATTAGAAGGTTATCGGTGCTCATCGGCGGTGGGTCTTGTTAGCTAAGACCAGGTAATCTCAGGTAGTAACCATAGCTCGGAAGATAGTCAAGCCTTTTCTGAGGGGATAGAACCCAAATATTATGCCACATACGTATGAGGCAAACAAGCCACATGGCCTAGATTCATGTCTAGTAATTAACACCTGAGAGCAGTGTGCAAGGCAGCGATGAGCCTTGGAAGGCGCAGTTATACTTAGCGCCGCTAACACATCTCTCGCATCTCTAGTAGCACAAAAGTCCCATACCCTTGACCATACCATCACCGAGAGCCTATCAAAAGCCATTACAAACCAACAGACAACCAACAGCCCCTCTTTTCATAAATTCCCATGTCAGTACAGCCCCGGTGCTTTCTATTTCAGTGCCTCGAGTCAAGCTACTGCACGGAGTAGTTGTTCGTTCAGATATGCATTCAGGCATCTTCATTCACCCTTTTGAATGCGATCAGGGTTCCTGATAAGCTGCGCCACACTGTGGTTGAGGAGGTTTTTTCAGGATCCCTGTAATTTTTTTCTCGTGCCTTGGTATATAGTCCCAGGGGTCAGTCTTGGAATGGGATCATCATAAATACAGACTTTGGATTCAGTCGAAAAGTGAAAGGACTTTTTCCCAACTACCTCAGGCGTCTTTTCGCGAACACTTGAAATAGAGCCACAATGCCATCCCGACACTCCTATATCCCATTTTCATCCTCACTTCCACTATCCGAGATCATTGAGCTCCAGCCAGAGGAAGAGCCATGGTGTGCTGGCTATGCTCCCTCGCAGGGTCGTCGCTGTCATGCTCGCACAAATGCGTACGGCCGCAACTCGGCCATGAAACTACTTGAGAAGGGCACCGAGAGACTCCGTGCTGGTCGCAGTCTCGACAATCTGCTAGAAGATTTAGCCCCACACGTCCTCTGTACCCGGTTCCATCAGAACCAAGCCTCGACACTCTCATCTCGTTGGAAAAGAAAAGTCCGAGCCTACCTTGATTCGCAGATCCCATCTGTGCCATCTACGCCATCTACAAGAACGGCGAGACTCCCATCTATACCGTCTACGGCATCTACTAGGACGACAAGACTCACATCTACGCCATCTGTGCCGTCCACCAGAACAACAAGGCTCTCATCTAGAAACAGCCCCAGCGAGACCCCCGAAAGGGAGATTGACGAAAGGACAGCTCTTCTACGGAAACTGAGTGAAACCTTGGAAGAGCTCAGACGATTGGATGCTGCTGAGGTTGACGAAGAGCACAGCACAGGCTCTCGTGCCCTTCGCGAGACCGAGAGCTCAAGTAGGACCACTAGTCCAGGAATCACGGAAAGCACACTCAGGAGACCCGCCTCACAAGAGAGTCATGTTGGCAGGGCAGTGCAAAGAGGCTCCACAGAATCCATCGTGGTCCAGATGGCAACTGCAGTGCCTCGAGTAATCCAGGCCCAAATTGGCTCCACCAGTGTCACTCCCGTTCCCAGGCAAACATCAGCGAGCCCAACAGTGGCTTCCGTCTCCAGCAGCACACTGTCGCGTGTCAATCGCCGTAAGGTGGAAGGGAATTGTGGAATATGTTTGTGCAACATGCATACTCCACAGCAGAATGTGAACACTGCCGACGCCGAAGTGATAGGGAATGATAACAATGATGACGGTGACGATGATGAAGAAGATGATGACCGAGGAGATGAATTGACCTGGTGCAAGGCACGGTGTGGAGTCAACTTCCACAAAGGATGTATCGACCAATGGCTAGCGCGAGCTCGCACATGTCCAGCGTGTAGGAGCAATTGGGAAGATTTGGAATCAGTAGAGCAGGCATGATGCTCGTCATTTTACGAAGACACATAGAAGATATCCTATTTGTGAATAATATATGATTGCCCATTGGGAACCCCTCTTCCAAGTCTACAATGTTTGACAATATCTGTCAACTAGCTAAATTGACTCATTTCACTACGCAGATCTATAGAGGCCAGGATCATTTTCAATATTTCTGATAGAATAATTCCCAACCTATTCGGTATTAAGCCTTCCAAGGTTTGAGTTACACCTTAAGATCTGCTCTTTATGTGTCCCAAGGTCTTTTTCAAGAATCTTTTCAAGAGTCTTTTTAACTGTCTTTTCTTTTACTGCTATTTGCACACCATTTTCTCAAGTCCCTTAGAAGACTTGTACATCGAGGTCTTCTCTTCCCAGATGCTGAAGTCAATGATTCTACGGACGGTGTGATTATCCCGGGCATGGTCGACACTCACCGACACGCATCTATGTCGCTGACTCGAGGCGTGGGAGCTGATCAGTCTCTGTTGCATTTCCTCTCGAACACATATTTGAGATGGCTACCAGCAACGAGTGTCGATGACATGGAGCTCTCCTCCCTGGTGGGCGGTCTTGAAGCGTTGAACAGCGGTGTGACTACCATCATTGACACTTGCGAGTCTTTCCACTCCGGTGAACATGCGGAAGCCGAGTTGTTGGGACTGAAGAAGTCAGGAGTCCGTGCCTTCTTTTGCTTTGCCATGAGCGATGACGCGTATGGTACCGCCGCCGTTGGCAAAGAGGGCTGGGAAGCCCGCGTGGCACACATCCAAAAGATGCGCTCCACAAATGATCCCGATGACCTGGTGCAAGTTGGAATGGCCCTCAGTCAGCCCGGCAGCACTCCTTTTGATTTGACCAAGCTGGAGATCGCTTTTGCAGAAAAGCATGGTCTCTTGTGCTGCTCTCATTCATGCGGCCTTGAGAACTCTATCATCACGAAGGATATTGAAGAACGCGCCAGTCATGGATTGATGAAGCCAGGCCATGTTTACATCCACTGCACCAACCTCACTAAGCGTGAAATTGAGCTTATTGCTGAGTCCAAGGGCAAAATCTCTGTCGCGACCGAGACAGATATGCAGATGGGTATGGGAATTCCCCCAATCAGAGCCTGCATCGAGAACGGCATCAATCCTTCTCTAAGCATCGATACATCAGCTGCTGTCGCCCCGGATCTGCTTGGGCAAATGCGACTTGCCCTTCAGATGCAACGGTGCTTAGACAATGACGCCGTTCACAAGACTCGCCAAGTCCCCCTTGACCTCGAATACGGTGTCCGGGATGCCCTCATCTGGGGAACGAGAAACGGCGCCGAAACCGTTGGCATGATTGACCGTATCGGCACCCTCACTCCTGGAAAACAGGCTGACATCGTTGTCATCACTTCGAAGAACGCAATCAGTGCCTCTGCGTACCCCCTGGGAACAGCTGTTCTTCATTCCAGTCCCGCCGATGTCGACACTGTCATGGTCAGAGCTGCTACCTCTACCGCCACCACTGCAGCACCAACATGTACAGCGTCTCTCACCACAACTCTCTGCGACTACCCGAGTACGGACTTTGCCGTCGCCATTGAAAGCAGGGCATCCTGCTGGGACTACTGTAACGACCACCAGCCATGCAACTTCGTCATTTTCAATCCCGGCAACCCTTACCTGGGCATCGGCACTTGCTGGCTGTACCCCGGCGAGACTTTCGACAAGAGTGAAGCTAGCTCAGACTGCTCCAATCCCTACCTTGAAGTCTACGACAAGCCCACGTGTTCTGGCGGAGCGACAACCACCACTACTTCCGGCGCCTGTACCGCCACCGCGACTCCCTCTGCCGTTGCCTCGGTCTGCGGGTATCCGGCACCTGAAGACTGCTTTTACGACTGCTATGCTAGCTCAGGTGCGCCAAACTGCTTGAGTATCTGCGCAAAGGCAGAAGCCTGTAGCTATGTCGTCTTTAAGCCGGGTCAGGACAGCTACTCGCCATATGCCCCCGGCACCTGCTGGGTCTACCCGAACGGCACATATGACGATCAGTCTACGACCACTTGCAGTGGTAAACCTGAGCAGTATGTGTATGAGAATCTGTGTCCCAAGCCCTCGAGTTCATCATCGTCCTCGTCCTCGTCTTCGTCTACTACCACGGGTTCGGCCATTGCTGCTGCTGCCGCCATGGTCACTTCTACCACCAGCAAGAATTCTGCGCCCACTGGCATCTCCCTTAATCGTCCAATGTCGTTCGGCATGGCTGCATTGGTGTGGCAGGCTTTGTAATAAAACACATTTGTATATACTGCTTGTTCTTCCCACTGAACAAAATATTGAAAGCGATATATGATACGTTTAAAGATTTTATGAGCCTACTTCCCTCTAGTTATTTCTTGCAATTGCGTAAGGCCCGTTGAGTTGTACTGGTGTTCCCTTGCATTGCCAATTGGTTGATTAGCCTGCTTGGCCTTGCTTATTCCACCTTTAGGCCAAAACAGATAACAAAGCTATTGCCATAGCATCGGCACCGGATCGCAAGGTGGGCTGAATCTGAGGTGCAAAATACGGCGAGTGATTCACAGGTACATCACTCGGCGCTATGTTTTCAGGGCTTCCACCAAAGTTCCAATAAGTGTCAGGTATCGTGTAAGGCCCTTGAAGCGCCGAAACGTCCTCTGTGGCGACTGTTGTCTCCATTTCAACGAGGTTTGAACCAAAATGTTGGGTAAGAACTGGACGAAGCCGACCGGCAATTGATGAAGAGTTGGTAGTCAGCGGAGCTCGCTCAGATACAGTTATCTTGGGAGCCACGGGGGCGTTCATGTTTTCGCATTCAGCCTCGATTGACCTGATGATGAAAGGAATGATTCTCTCTCGAACTTGTGGCTCTATGGTCTTGACGTCAAATAGTAAATCCGCGTCGTAGACAAAATCAGCCCCTGGAATTCCAGCATGAAATGCCCAGCACGCCACTTTGGCCACCTCATCAGAACCAAGCTCAGCCTTCAGGAGCTCCGGGATCTGAGAGATGAGTCGCGCTGCCATCACAATCGGATCCTCGCAATCAATCCTATCCAAATCATTGCCCCGGACTGGCTTATAGCCGAGAAGCTATACTCTGGCCCACTTCTCATTAGACCAACAGTGGCAGGCGTTTGAATGTTCATTTGTACCAGTTGTCCGCAGTTTTCGCGCAAAGGTAACCAATGGCGTCTATCATGAAGAGACCATAAGCGTATGGGAAGAGAAAACGCATTACGATTCGGAACACGACATAGTGAGGATTTACCCCAAATGGGGATCAGGAATGGGTATTGAAGATGGCCAGGCTTTTTGGGTTGAATTCCATCGCTGGCTTTGCGATGGAAGTATTCATCCTTAATTTGTTCAATGCCAAGATGAAGACAAATGCAAGAGGCTACTTTTTCAACAGCGAGAATATTCCATACGCCGGCACCGATGTGATGCAGACAATCGCACTCTATGATTTTCCCGGTTGTGATTTGAAATCGGCTGAGAAGCTGCGTTGGGCCATGAAGAATGTCGCCGATGCAATATCCAAATCCTTCCGCGACGCCGCATTCTCTTCCAAAGATAAAGCGAATTCTAGTGTCATCGGCAAGGCGATGACGAGCATGACATATGTTGAAATCCGCTGGCAATGGATCGTTCTTCCGGTTTTAGTCTGGTTGTTGGCGCTCACCACCTTGGTGGGAACAACGTGGAAGACTAACAAATCCAAATCACTCACCTGGAAAAATAACCTTCTCCCACTCCTGTTCCTATATGAAAATGACCTCCACGAAAAGGCAGAGGATTTTGAGTCGCTCTCAGGTCGTCAGAGGGCGAAAATGTGTGACACAGATGGCGGAATGCGGCTCAGCAAGTGATGTCACACCTGGGGTCCGCGTTTGTCATGCCAGCCTATGACTACGAGTAGGTTGAGGAGGAAAGGCGAACATGATAGATCAATTCACCTTTATCGGACAGAGAGCGCGAGCGAAGCTATTTTGGTTTAGGGCTCAGGCGTCCCGACCCCTCAACTGGGGTCTAATGCTCGTAAAGCATTCCGTGTTTCAATTCATGCTCCACGCTGGCGCGAACAAAGGCTGCAGATCCCAACACACTATTGTATAGGAGTGGTTGGTTGGTATAATACTGAAATAACATTTGGTCAGCTTCTTTCATCTCGAAATTGTCCAGGATTCACCAAGCAGATTTGCCCGTTCTCGTTCGTACCTCGTAGCTAGCAGTAGAGTTCAAGCTGCACACACTCACTGTTCCGTTGTAGCCTAGGGTACTATCTTGGTTCTCCACAACGAATCTGTCCACAAGCGTGCGATAAGCCCGGGTGGCAACGCTTGTATAATTTGCCCGGGGATGAGCAATGGAGTCCCGAGAAGGGAGCTTCTGAGGGCTATTGTCTTGCAGAAGGCCAAGTCGGACACCCTTATAGAGGGAATAAGTGAACATGGCAGACCCACTAGATTCAATGTAGTTGCCTGTTCGTCCCGGGGAGGACATTACTTGCCACCAGCAGCCAGATGCAGGATCCACGGCTTGGACTACAGCGTTGGCAAGGTCAACGAATCGTGCACGCCATGTCGACACCTGGGAGTCCATAAGCTGGAGCTCTAAAAGGTCAACCAATCCCATCATGAACCAGCCTAGGGCACGATCCCAGACGATTGGACTAGCACCAGTCGTGGAATTGGCCCAAGAGGCGGTCTTGGATGCGTCATATCCATGAAAGAGGAGCCCCGTCGTATTGTCGTGACAATGCTCCCACATGAGTTCAACCTGATGGAAGAGGTCATTGTTGACCTCGGTCATGTTGGCAATATCCATGTTGGCGGTATACAAGGGGTAGAATGACAAAAGTGAGAACATCCCATCCAAGTAGCTCCAATTTGGATAGACATAATACCACAGTCCGCCTGTTTTCAGTGTTAGCAAAGAACGGAAACCTCGCGAAGTCGACGGGTAGGTGATGAAAACGAAAAGACAGGGCCATGAATACTGAAAATTTTTGATTACCGAATATATTGCGCGGCTGGAGGTCAATTGAGGTACGCAGAGAAGCAAGTGTTTTCTTGTATGTGTTGGTCCCAGTTTCGTCGTATCTAAGATCCCGATTTCGGTTTGATTAGGAAAACCATGCGGGCCGAGGGGGTGGTTTCATCAGGGACGTACAGGTACAACAGTCCTCTACCGACGGAGAGGCGATCGAGTGGAAGCGTGGCATCTTTGGTTGCGTTATCAACAACGTCAACAACACTGTTAGCGCTTGCGGTCACGTAGGTTTTCCAGTTTTGCCCCATGTAACGACCCGAAGGCGATTCTATTAGTTCCATCAAGGCAGTTTGGAAAATCCCAACCTGCAAAATGGACAATGCATCGTTTTGATTTTCGAGAAGGGCTTGTCCACGCGCGATAATACTGTCGGCCATTCGAGCCGAGTAGGGCCTTGCATTGGTGTCGGCGGATGAAGACGCTGCATTGTTGGGTTGACTGAAGAGCAGTACACATAACAGTGGAAGAAACGAAAATAATGAGCTTCGCAGTGCCATCTTCTTTCACTTCACTCTTGCGCAGAATAGCAGGTCTGACCAAAGGTATACCCAGATTGCACCCCCTTAGCGCGGGAAAAACACCAGCCCTGGAGGCTGACGCGAGTGGAGGCCTCAGCTGGAGCTGTTATGATGGGCCAATCACAGTCTGCAGACCCGTGTCGTACTGAGGTTGCAGATCGGGGCATGATCTTCCCGAGGTCATTGAAATGCACTTAGATCGATCGGCTCTGCGAGAGGGGGTTTAGTCCACACATAGTGATGTACTCCGTATATATCCTCGATCTTCTCTCGCTGGTATACCCACCTCAGTCGCGTGAGAGTCAAGTGAGGGTACAATTTGGCGTACACGGGGTGTGAATAACGCTTTCTCGAGCATGAGAACAACACTTCCTCGCAAGTACGGCAGGCGACACCCACCCGACTACTGGCTGCGTTCAAGCCACACGCCGGTGTGTTAGGAGTCGGGTGGGTGACCACCAGCGAATCCTCACTGTTGTATGTTTTTGTTTTTGTTGCTCATTGCTTTACTAATTTTCATTGGGCATGTTGGGATGGATTGGCTTCTAAGGTTGTAAAGGTGCGTGGCGCCCGATGGCTCAAGGGAGAAGGAGGATGCGTGAAAATGCCTAATAGCCTTTTTGGCACTGCTCTTCACCAACCTTGGAGGTTTCGTGACCCGCGTGACAATTGGTCATTCAAACCATCCAAGGGTGATGGGAAGCTGGTTGTGTTGATGGAATAATAACTCTAGTATCTTGCCTAGGTCCACGGGTGGCTTTTCCTCTGTCTGACCCCAACAAATGAAATTGAACTGACCCTGTGGGCATTGTATTGTTGAAGTATCTATGATCTCAGCTGTTGATGTGGCTATACCAATTTGATGCCACTGTGAATAACAGAAACAAGCAAACTTACTCAATTCATACTATCTTCGTCATATGTCCTGGATGCTAATCAGCATTCCCACCCGTCATCTATGTCTAGTCGTGATCATCCTCGTCCTTAGTATATCCAGATAGATGTTATAACATACGTCCACGCGCAATCTAGTCCAGTCGAAGGGATCCGTGACCTTCGGCTTTGTCCAGAGCGTCGGTAACGCGGGAACCCTCACCCTCAAAGAGCAAGCTATCATAAGTCGCCGCACCCACAATGCAGCCGATGATAGGGGCAAAGAGCGGGACGACGAAATAGTAGTTGGCTGCGGTGAAGACCTCTCGGCCATAGAGAATGGCAGAGAACAAGCGAGGACCGAAGTCTCGAGCGGGGTTAATAGCCTAGTATTGTTAGCATAATTCTGACCTAAATGTCGCGGTGGACCTACGTAGCCGGTCTGCCAACCCAATGCCGCGCCAATCATGAGAAGCAGCAAAAGGAGGCGAACTGCGGGGCAGGGAATCGATGCTTATTCTTGGGGTCCGAAATGCTGAGAGCACCAAACATGAGCACCGCGGCGCCCAGCCCCTCGGAGAATACACCTTCCCAGTTGGACTTGAAGAAAGCAGCCGGGTAGGTCGAGAAGATACCCGCGGAGTGGTGACCGGTGGGGCTCAGAATCGATCCACCGGGGATCGTGTATTCCGGATCCCAGTCCTTGATGGCTGAACGGTAGTTAATGTACACGATTGCGGCACCGACAAAGCCACCCAGGAACTGTGCCGCCAGCTTGCCGGGAATTTGTCTCCACTGGCCCGCCGATGGACGCACCAGGGCGAGAGCGAGGGTCGCGGCCGGGTTAATGGACGGACTGGGGTCAGCTAAGTAGCCGGAGAGGGCGACAGCAGAAGCCCAGGCCAAGTTGATTGACAGCCAAGTGCCGTAGTACCAGTTGGACAGCAGACACTGGGCGACGACTCCATCGCCAATGACGATCAGCAGGGCGGTTCCAAGGAACTCGGCCACATAGGGCTTGAGTTCCCGACGTGAGATCATGGTTAGGACAAGGACTCCAAGAGAGGCTCTTTGCGAGGCGCAGTAGGGGGCAGGAAGAGATCGGAACCCCTCTCGCAGGGTTTGTTGATGAACCTGCACGTTGACGTCATCTCGGACTCACCTGATACGGGATGCCGATCCCGAGATTTCCCCGAGTGCCAACTGGTGAGTCTTGCCTCACATCATAGATCTCCTACGTAAATGAAGAATGATTCATGGGAGAAAATCATTCCACCAAAATTAGTCTTGTACGAGCCGGATCTATAGCAGAATACCCTCGGGACTGTATCCATGGATGAGATTATGTGCGGAACCAAACAAACACGTTCCAAGAAAATACAATGTGCGCTCCAATGAAGTATCTACGGATTAGCTAGTAAAGATTAACATGTGGTACACTTTCAGGTTGTCCATAACGATCTTGATATTGCATAGGCGGCTGCCGAGTGACAAGTGATGAATCTCAGACCAACCTCTTTAGCACATACACCCTCGTTGCCCCGGTGATAGTGATGTTGATATGCCCAAGCCAGGTAGAGCTTCCCATACGGCGCAAGCTGTCCAGAGCTTAGGTAAATGTATTCGAGGGCTTTGATACCCTGGTTATCTTGGAATTAACAAGTTCTCATTTTTTCAGCGAGAAGCATCGCATTCTGGATAGTAAGATAGATGAATTTGGTCCTGGCAATGACGATGAGGGGCCATTCTCCAAACACGCTACTACAGCAACGACCAGGATTCAAATCTCGGCCATCAATCACTCTCCAAGCGAAGAGAGAACCCCACAGACACCCCTGCTGCCGCTAAGCGCTCAGCAAGAAACTGCGCGCATTCACTTTTCAACCCAACCACCCATCTACACATATCTTACTTTGGTGGAATATTTCCCAATTTCATGTTCTCCACGATATACAAGATAACCGTTTTATTAGGCTAATAAAGCTACGACTTCACGTTACTACGCTCATTCCGGAATCTTTGGCGTTTCATCTAGCGCCGATCCTTAACGCCCCAACCTGGCTGTCTGCTATCTTATGGAGCGCTATCACACTGCATGATCACCCACCTAAAAGTTTCGACTCCAGCTGCATCAAAATTACCACCGAGACTTCTTGAATGAGCAGAATTTTGCCTTTCCGATGACTTGATTGCTTGACATTTTTATTGTCCTACACAGTCGTGGGCCTCAAAACATGCGTTTACAATCTCTCTTCTTCAAGGCTCTGCTTGGTATCCCTCTTGCCACCGCAGCTGTCCTCTCAAAACATGAGAACTCATTTGAGCTTGTCGACGGCCCATTTTTCACATTCCACTACAAGACCGACAGGCCATCAGAGAAAAATTGGATCGGAATCTACAGCGTTTACGGAGAGGGCCCTGGCAAGGAAGACGCGCTATATTGGGATTGGATGCGAGAGTCAGAAGAGACCAAGCGTGTTGACGATCTCCATCTAAATTGGGGCGCCTACAAGGCGTACTTCCTCGTTGGCGAGGACTATCAAGTACTCGCTGGTCCAATCGATATCTTTCTCTCCGGCGACGGTCCGATCTCCTTCAATGTCGACAAATTTACGACCAAAAATGGTCGCGAGGGTGAACAGTTTGAGGCCCGAGTGAGCGGTCTTCTGCACCATGCGCCGGACCCCAACACCAAGTACAGCAAGGACAGCTCTGATGCTGACTGGATCAGCGTGTCCGAGGATGGTGTCCTTTCTGGAACACCTAGCGAGAGCGGTAACTTCGTTGTGACTGTCAGAGCTACTGCTTCGGACAAATCTACAGCCACTGTCGATATCACAGTTCCGGTGGTTCCCTCAGCCAGCCCCCTTGTCACTGAGATCAAGGTCATGTCCTTGAACCTCTGGTATGGCGGTACCAAAGTCAGCGACTACAACCGCAAACAAATTTCCGCCATCGCCAACTCAAACGCAGACATCGTCGGTCTCCAAGAGAGTACCCACGGCCACGCAACTCAGATTGCAGATGCCCTTGGTTGGCACTCATGGCAAGGCACAGATTCCAGTATCATCAGCCGCTATCCCATAGCCGAGAAGTACGGTGCCGTTACCAATGTCAGCGGCGCCGTGCGGATTGCTCTCGACGGTGACGACAACCAAGTCATCATCCACAACTGCCATCCCTACGCCTACCCCTACGGACCGTACGTTCCATGTCTTGATTTCAAAGATGCCAACGCCATCATGGACACTGAGGAACAAGCCAGTCGCGTCCTCCAAATTAACGCCATCATCGATACCATGAAGGACGCCCTTGATGATGCCGAAAACATCCCTGTGCTTCTCACAGGCGATTTCAACGCGCCCTCTCACCTCGATTGGACTAAAGCGACGCGATTCTCACACTGTGGCATTGGGCCGTTTGAGTGGCCTACCTCCAAGGTTCCCATCGATGCCGGCCTCATTGACGCCTATCGCGAGCTCAACCCAGACCCTGCCGTTGACCCTGCCAACACTTGGTCTCCTATTTATCTCACCAACGAAGATTACAACAACCGCAGAGAGCCCATGGATCGCATTGATTTCGTGTACTATAAAGGAAACCTGACTACTGAAAAGTCGGAGGTTTACATGGTTGGCGACCCTAAGCCTGAGCCGGATCACTACTATAACGAATGGCCCACTGATCACAAGGCGGTCCTTGTTACATTTAAGATAGGGTCTTAGTGACCTAGTATATACAAAATTAACGTTCTGCATGTACATTACTCTTCTAATGCACAGCCGGAAGAACTCTGCGCAGTAGGGTTCGAGCAGACATGCCTTGTATCCAGATACGGCAGATCGACCTTTCCGTTCGAATAGTCTGCAGGTAATGGACTACGCTGCAACTCAAGACGTAGTGTCGCTGGTGGTTGAGCTTCTCCCCCGAGAGTAGGGTGGAATCAGATAGTACAGCACTCCGTGGGCGAGACCAGCACAAATAGGCGCCACCCATTGTACCCAGTGATAAGATGCAAAGTGGGAGCCAACCATTGCTCCAAAGCATCGAGCAGGGTTACCAGCTTTAAATGATTAGAGTCACTAACACATCGGCCAGGAATGTGATTTGAAAACTCACAGAATCCGGTATATCCCTCGCGACTAAAGCCGCTCACAAAAGTGCACGTTGCCAAAGTTAGACCGACAAAGATAGGGCCCAAGGCGGGACCGAACACATCGCGCTGTCGAGGATCCAATCCGACGCCGAATGCGGTAAATATCAGAGCGAAGCAAGTGGTGAATTCTATCGCGAATGCGTTTCCAGACGAGACTATGGTAGAATCCATGTGACAACCGGGTACGATAAACTGTAAAGACGTGTCAGTACCAATTTCTGGGCCTCTGGATAAATAATTTGGAGACGGACGGATCGTGTATCAAAGCTTGCTCTCAGTAACAAACCTGCCAATGTGCCCCCGAGTATCTGAAACGCGACATATAGGATGCATCTTGGTAACGTGGCCAAGCGTGCGAAAAATGTAGCGATAGTGATAGTAGGATTAAGATGAGCACCAGATACAGGACCAGTGGCGAAGATCAGCAATGGCAGGACTAGGACTGCCGTCAATCCACCGAGGAGACTAGGTACCAGTGCACCAGTCGCGAAGGCACTTTTCCCAGTCAGCACAAGCACTGGAAGTCGCAGGAAAATTGGACCAAATTACTTCACTGCCTTTCCTAACCCCACACCAATGAAGCAGGTCAGGTACACCAGCAAGAAAGTGCCTAATGAAGTAAGAATGCAAGTCGCTCAGATGCTCGTATAGATAGGCGCACGGACCCACTGCTTCGATAGTCGCGGCCTTCCAGAGCTCCGGCTGGAAGAAATGCCGGAGAGACAGGGCATCTCGCCACGGAATCCAAGGAGCTGCATCAGGGAACTTCTGTAATAATTCAATCTGTGTGCAATTGTTCTGATCCAGGGAGAACTCTTGATTGGCACCAATGCGACCAGCGAATGGGACTATGTTGGTTGGCGCGGGTAAGACCTTGCGGCGATCGCTGTCACTTTTCCAAAATTTGGCATGAGGGAGCATGGTGATGCATTGACAGGGTAAGGAGCACTGGGAGAGAAGAGAGGGAAAAAATATACAGAGTAGACAGCTTCAGAATTGACAAGAAGGAAATGGTCTAGACAATCAGAGCGATACCATTAACCCAATCCGGGTTAGTTCTGACCAAGCATTTTGTCAGTTTGCACTGTTTGCATTTGGCTCTTTTCTCTCATCCGAAGTGCTCAATCCCATTGGCTCGCAGACTCGGATATCATCGAAAGGGCCATGCCGATATCGTGTGTGGTCTAGTCGTCATCGCGCTAATTGACTTTGCTCTGTTTGCTTGTATTGGGCTGCCATGTTTTTGCTGACAACAGACAATTTGATATGAAACAAAAATTGCCAAGTACAAAAACAAACTAAGGTTGAAGGGGAGAGCACTTGGCATCAAGGGCATGGTATGCAAGGGACTGACGGGGCATCGATGGCCTCCACCCGGTCAATGCTCCAGGGCTCAATGTGGCCTGATTTTGGCCTGATTTTGGCCTAGCTTTGAGTGGGTTATCCATCTCTGTACAGACGGGGAGTGGTAGTAGTCTGGGTCGAACAGCTTTTCTCTCTCTCACTTTGCTTAGCTCTCCTGATAGATCTTTTATCATTTCGGTCTAACCATGGAAGTCCCTGTTGTATAATTCAGAAGAACCATGGGTTTAAGCTTGGAACCTTGGACTTCGGGAAGATCAACAATTATATATAAATCCACAGATCTATGCACGGATTTGTTCATTTCATTTTGGCAGCGGTAACTATTTGCATATTACATATTGTCACGGGTTTGGATAAACACGCCTGGAAAAGTGATATATATGCACCGCGGGATCAACGTAAATGCCCAGATGTGTCCACAATTGCTCTTGTATCATGTCACTACCCAGGTGGGGCTGCTTGCATTCCAAAGCTGTGGCCTTCTTCTTTAGTCTGATGAGTCACAGTCGAAGTCAACGGAATGTTGCCGAGTAGTATAATCAATTGAAAATTAGATCTTTAAAGTGATGGTTGACTTCCCAGGTGAGTTGAGAAGGGCTCATCAGGTACCCACCTGCCCAATTGGGTAGGTGTAGAGAGGGCTTATGCGCGTGCCTTCCACAGGTCCACGTAGGCAAAAAAAATCAGGTACAACCGGACCCACGATTTAAGTTCTCACATGGATTCATAACCTTTCGCTTTCCAGGATTTTATAGGTGGACCGCGGGAAGGACCTCGAGGCCAGTGGACCGATTTAGACATCCCAAGATTACTCCGTATCTACTCCGTATCGGAAAGTCGGTCTTCAAGAGACACAGCTTTGTTATAACACAATAAATCAGGTACAGCCAACCTGTTCCTCCCCTCCTTCTTCTGGTCTGCGCGCTTTATATTCGGCCACCGCCGCCCTCGCTTCCGCGATCCGCTCTTGTCGCCGTCTTAGCCTGTCTACAGCAAGCTGTTGACTATATTCCCATAACATTCAATATGCTTATCAATGGCAGGTTCTGCCTCAATTGTGAGCTATATATCTGTTAGACCACGTTATCCATTTATACACCTAGGTCACGATCTTACACGATATCCACCTTCGTTTACATACTCACATCCTCTACATGGACGAGGCTCTTCATATTCGACTTTTTCATAGTGGCGGGTGGTATGCTTGAGCAGGATATTACACCCATGGCATAAACATGTGCTAGTGGGTGCAGCCGGCACGTTTAGATGGAGGATAATTCCCATCGGAATTGGTGTCGCTGTGGGGGAAGTCATAGTTGGGTGGTGGTGAGGTGGATAAGGGGTATTTTCTTCTGTGTACGGAGTAAACGTGAAGAGGGAGGTTGTACTTATCACGCACATAAGCCTATGCGGAAGGTAAATATTTTTTCCGGCCAGTATACAGGTCATATAAAGGTACAACTGACCTGTCCAAGACAAAATGTTTGCCCGGACCTCGGGAAAAGTCATCCATGAGTACGGAGTACATATGTTTTGACAGATAGATTGATAGGTAATAGCAGCCTGTGTGCTCGGAATAGTCCCCCGAATACAGAAAAATCGGTCATAGACGGGCTGTAATATACCAGCCAAGAAGAATGCTTTATTGACAGAATACCGAGGTTTGTGTCCACAATATGAAGAATACCGGCGACCAGTTACTATCCACGGTCTCGATCCACACGTATAACCTTGAAATGGAACGCCGGGGAATGGTCATGAAAAAAAAGAACAACCGCCGAGAGCGAATGCATCATCACACATGCAAGGAGAAACCAGTCGTAAACAGACCTATGCCGTCTTCCCGGTAAAGGAAACCAGGGCATGGTAAGATTCGGTCAAAGGCCACAGCGCTTGATAGAAGCCAAAGGCTCCAACAACCAGTAGCGTATAATAGGCAACTGTCCACCCAACACCAAGAGGTCCCTCCTCGGTGTTGTCGTCTTCTTTGTCACGTCTGAAGGAAGGCCCCACAGCGTCACCGGCCTCAACGCGGCCCCAGAAGCGCGGCAGTCCACACCAGTTGCAGAAACTATGCACCACGACCACGGCAAGCAAGGAGCCGGTGCGCAAAAACACAAAGGTCGCATACCATCCGAAGATGGTGGTGTACCCAAACTGAACGAGCGAGCGCACCAGTGCAGCCAGAGCTGGCGTATCCGGATGCGTGAGTCTGAACTCGTAGAAGTGATGGACATGCGCAATGCCAAAGTACAGCGGGGCAATAAACACAATCCGACCCGGTGTTTCATGCGCCAGCAAGTAGAGGGGCACGATCGCCGACCGGAACATGACTTCTTCAGTGAATGGTCCCTGGGAAAATCAGCATGCGGGAATGATCCACAGCAAGTAGAATACATACAGCGACAAAATTCCTCCACCCGATCCAGCCACCGAGACTCTCGGAGAGCTTGGAGCGACGGAACCAGAATCGCCATTCGCCTTCCACAATCCCGCGCTCAAAGAGTGGACCGACGAAGAGGATGGCTGTGAGTAGTAGAGATCGGAAAATCTCCATGACGCCGATGGGCCACCAGCCGAGAAGTCGTACCGCCGCACCGGCGGAGGACCCACCCTCCTGAACGATGAGCCAGAAGACTACAAGAGACGAGGCGATGCAGGAACCTGTCACGGCGCGGATGCGCGCCCTGATGACGGATGGGGCATCGCGGCTGAGGCTTGGCGATGGGCGGGTGGTCGGAGAAAGATAGAATGGGACCACGTAGAGCAGCGTGAGGAGAACCTGGACAAGTTAGGATGAAAACAATCAAGTCAAAACAAACATGGACCCTTTTAGGTTTTTTTTGGAGGACCATGCATGTCTAGGACAAGTCTCTACATACGGAAAGAAATATGACAGTCCGATCTGACAGCGCGGGTTCATCTGAACAGGTCAGCGGGAGTCAATAAATCAAGGTTTGCCCCCTTACCCTGCTTCGAATAAAGGCTCTTGAGACGCGCCATTAGTCCGACGGGAGCCATTGTATCGGCGGGTGGTTGGGAATATTTATGGAGGCAGGAACCAGGAACGCCTTCAGTCTTTGACGTTCCAGATGTTCTTTGTTGCCGTTGGGGCTGTACGGAAACATTGAACAAAGTAGATGGTGATTGGTGGAATGGTGTATAATACCGTATGGTACTGTCAAGTTGCACCGTGGTTGAGATGACAGATATCTAACTTAAATGGGGAATCTTCTACTTCTTTGTTTTTTTCTTCCTTCTCGACTCTTAATATTGTTCTTCTCTTGAATGTCTATTCTTCAATCTGACAGGTAAGTGTGTGTCTCCATCCAGACTGGAACTTCTAGGCCGAACTGGCAAACCGGTGGACCGAGCGTCCGATGTGAGCTCTCTCCCCCTTAATAGCCTATCCTCATTTTAAAATGTGAGTCAATGCGAGGAGATTAAGACATCGTGAGCTTAATTCTCCGACTCCCACGAGTCCTGCAAGAAGCAAACATTGTTATATTGATTGGCAATGAAGACCTTTATTGTATGGGATCACGCCAGGGTCGGGCAGGGCGCTAGAAGAGAAGTACCTGACTTTACCGTTGTCGGACTAGTTCAAGGACAACGCACACAGTCTCCACTGCACAACCTGGATAATGGGAGTTCCCAGGCCGATCTCTTCGATCAAGCATCCGCAGTGAGGGTTAGGCTGGTGTCAGAAGAATTCATGGGTGGGAAGATACCTCGGTAGTTAACGGGGACCGGCAGAATCATATAGTACCCCAGAAACATGAAGAACTTGAACAGAGTCCGGAGTAGAGTCAATTGTCCAGTCAGAGATGATCAGGTTCCTCCAATCTGGACCAATCGTTCACAGCCACAGTCGCAAACTCGAGACCCATGCAGGCTGCATCACCCCCTTTGCGAGTCTGGATGGGGCGGTGATAGGCGCTTCCGGCTGCTCCTCACCGCTGGGCAACAAAATTCCTCCACCCCCTTCTGTCTCACGTTTCTTCCCTCGTTGCTTCCTGTCGTGTGCTTTTTGAAACGCTTTAATGATTGTTTTTCCCTGATTGTCGCTTTTGTCGCTTTTTGTCACTCTTTTCCCATGGCATTGCACGTTTGAAACGTACTAATCCCCCCAGTCTGACGCTTTAGCTCGTCCACATTCTTTTCAATCATTCTCGGCCTATAGATTCTATTCGAATCGATATCCCCAGAATACCACATTCTTTCAATCGACATCTGCGACCCTCGTTCAGGAAAAGAAAAACAATCGTTCCCTTGTTTACCGCCCGTAGGTTCCGCCAACTGCCAACCTACGCGTGTTCAGCCTTTATTATCTTTTATCGCCTTCACTTTTTTTTATCGGATCAATGCTATAGTGTGTGATGTCAGCCTCTCGTTCAACCTCGCCGCCGCGCGCGCGGAGGGCATTGCAAGAGCGAAGTTCCGCCCACACAAATGAAAGATCGCCAACCCGGACCTTACGCATGGTATCGGCAGACCAGGAAGAGGTGGATATGTACACTGCGACGCCATTCCCGACCAAACCCGAACAGATTCTACTGCCGCTTCCCGGCAAAGGCCAACAGCAGTACATCTCAGACACTGGTTTCAGCTACTCAGATCACATTGGACCGTCATCGTCAACATATTCGTCGCCCACGTTCAGCCAAGGTACTCCCACCAGCCCGAGGGACTTTTCGATCGGAGAGGGATGGGACAGGTCGTCCACCGTGGACGCCGGCAACTCGCCGCCGGCGATGTGGGACGAAGACCCAAGTTCAAGCAAGTCGTCGCTGCCGGATCTGCCATCGGGAAAAGCGCCACAGTATGGATTTGAGGGCTCGGAGCCGGAATTCTCAGACGACGACATGGCTGTGCTGCCCACTGCTACGCCAACCATCAAAGCAGTCCTCTCCGAAGCTTCCATGTCGCCCAAGTCCTCCGACGAGTCAATTGCCGCTTACTCCAGCCCGAACATCGAACAGATCGGAGCTCCGTCTAGTCCCAACTTCGTGATGCTGGATAACTCGAGTATGCACTTCCCTCGCCCACCGACTGCATCCTCTGAGACAGAGCCGCGAACGAATTCGATTTCCTCGTTCAACTCAGGGGGCACTGTTGTGAGACACTCTGGCGCTACTCCCTGGTTCCAGACAACGTTCCAGACAGTCTCATCCGAGCGATTGAGCTACCGTACCCCGTCTTTCCGATCTAGCCCACCTGTTCAGTCTGTGGCCTCCTTCAGGTCATCATCGCGTGCTCCCTCTGGGACTCGTTCGCGCTCCGGGACAGCTTCCTCGCGCAGCCTCCGTTCCGCGTCTGACCTGCAGGCTGCCATTGACAGCGGTGTGCCAATCCAGTACCCCCGTATTCGTGCGCCCTCAGCAAGCTCCCGCGCCGATACCTCTTCATCGGGAGAGCGCGACTTCTCACCCGGCCCAGCTTCTGGTCGCTGCAACCCTCACCTAGCATCCGGCCGCTGGAACCCTCACTTGTCAACCGTTTCATCCAACTGGTCCTCTGATGAGCTGGCCAACCTGTCCGCCCAAGCTGATTCACAGGAAGGCTCAGAGGGTTCCATGGCAGAGGTGACGCCCCCGCCAGCCGCCGCTCTCAAGAAGGAAGACACCCGATCCTCAGTCTGGCTCGTCGACAGCTCCAATGACAGCGACGATGAGCGTCTCGATAGTCTCACCAAGCTGCCATCCCGTCCAAACTTTGCCCAAAGCCTTTCATCCGGTTCCAAGCGCAGCAACAGCACCCGCAGTACTCGCCCAGGCACAGGAACCAGCACAATCTTGAACATCCTTCCCACCTGGGCCAAGGTGTACTACCTGCACGAACCAATGGCGTTTAACCCTGCCTTGACGATAATTGATGGCAGCCGACCGCCATCTGCCCGGGCACCTTCGACAAAAACACCTTCGACCCGAGCACCTTCAGTCCGCGCACCATCGGTCCGCACACCGTCAAGCCGTGATGGTACCTCCAACTCGAGCGTCTTCAGTCTCGTTCCAGGGCCCCTGAACATCTTCCGCCCTCGTACGCCTGAACGGGTTGAGCCTGCCCAACGTCCAGTGTCACCCCCGCGTGAACAACCTCGTCTCGAGAACGACCCACGCGATCCTCGCGCTCACTGGGTGCCCTCCCCGGAGTCCTCTGACGGCGGATTCAGTGGCACCAACCACCGTCTCCACCACAGCTGGTCTCCACACTTGCTTCCCGACCGACGCGTCCTCCAACACGCCAAGTCAGGGTGGCGGGCGCCTTCGCTGGACTCACGCAGCGAGCCGATGTTCGGCCGTCGCAATGTCCAAGTGTACTCGTTCTGCATTGGCTTCATCTTCCCGCTCGCGTGGTGCGTCGCAGCATTCCTGCCTCTTCCACCCGCCCCGAAGATGTCGCCCGAGATGGCAGAGGGTGGCTCTGAGTCTGATGTTGAGGCTGCGCTCGAGATGCAGTGCATGAACCTCCAACAGCGTCGACATGAAAATGCTCGCTGGTGGAGGAACCTCAACCGATGGATGATCTCACTTGGTGTGGTCATCATCGTCATCATTGTTACGCTTGCTGTTATTGGTACTACGACAGGGTTCTAGGTTTTTGTTTTTTTGCGGTTGCAGCTTCTGCTGCCTTGACGATCTTTCACACGCTTTCACGACTCCGATTTTCTTATTTTTCCTATTTCTCACTTTCTCACTTTCTTTTTTCCGGGCTTGACCCTTCACCAGTCGACTGGTATTTCATCCTCGCTTCATCCGCCGATGCTGCGAGCAATTCCCTTGCTGCGCTTGATCTTTGATTCCCCCCTTGCTCTTCTCCCCTTCATTGTGCTGTCGCATAATTCCTTTCCTCTCCGCCCCTCAAATCTTCTCTTCTTCGTTTCACTGCACATCTTCAACGACACGACACGATTCAACGCACATAATATCCCTTTCTGTTTTACATTTTTCGCACCTCGATTCTTGCGTGGGATAGTGTTTGTTTTTTGCATGGCGACTTGACTTTTTTGCATTGTTGGCTGTCCGTGTAATGGATATACGCCCCGGCCGTCACTTGGTTGCATCTATGTTTTTCGGCTCCGTATCGGTTCTTTCGAATTTGGTTCGGGCTTTTATCTCATCTCTTAAGTACACTCCTGTGTAATATCATACTTTGATCTCAAATTATCTGACTTGACTATGTCTGGGCTTTTTAGCGCTTACCAGGCATAGGATGTTCGTTTATTAATATGATTATTGTTTTCCATCCATTACTTCTCCATTACATTTGCCTTTCACGTCTCGCACATTGACCGAGCGATGTGCACAATGCAATACACGGCGAAGTGTGGGTCTAACCACCCTCGGCGAATATCAAACGCTGCGCCATTGACACCCAATCCGAGAGTCGAGCGACTAGCAAGGCGTCTCATCGTCTCATCGTCTCATCCACCATCTTTTTGGCCGTGTCATTGGTGTTGGAGCACTGCGAGACCCTCAGCGTTCTCAAAATCTATGATCGGTCAATTCACATCCCGCACTCTTCAGGTCTCATTTGGGACTGGTTGAACAATGATCCTAGGTTACATTAATCGGTACATTAATCTCAACAGTTGGTACGTGGTTTCGACTCTGCGCTAGTGCCTGCCGAGCCCCCAATCTATCAGTTGCTCGCGCCTGGATGGTCTCTTTCCCCCGTTGAGGTAGATATAACCGAATAGAAAACAACTGCCACTCAAAATTCGTCCTTGGGGCTAGAATTGCTTGCCCACAATCCTCTCCGTTGAGGGAGATGTCGACTCGCACAATCTCCTCAGCGCCCCATGTGCGCCCCCATACTTCAACATGACAAGGGCAATCAAACACCTCCTGCGGACGAGGTCGTACGATCATCGCATTGGGCTGGGCTTTCCAAACAGGCCGGGTTTGCACCCCATTCACATCTTCAGGATCCAACTCATTATAGAAAACGGTGGTGAATGGCCCTTGAGCCCTTGTCGCCTGCAACGACAAGCGACATAACCACTTGGTAGAATTTGTCCCAAACCACCCCGGAACAACCAGCCTCACTGGCCCACCACGCTCTTTACTCAGTGGCTGGCCATTCATCTCATAAGCCACTAACACTTCTGGAGAGAGTGCTTTCTCCATAGGCAGATCCTTTCGATACCTGTCCGCAGCCACTCCGGCAAAAACCCCCGAGTCTAGTCCGTCAGACCAAACGTACGAGGCTTGCGGGTGTGGTCGTGCATTCGCGAGAAGGTCGCGCAGGGGAACACCGGTCCACTCGACATTCCCGATTCTCCACACATTTTTGGTGGGTGCTACAAGTGGACTCCCATAGCACTCATGGAAGGATGTGACCGATACAGACGCCATTTGGCATAACTGGTCCAAATTAACGCCAAAGGGGCGCTCGACGAGACCGTCAATGATGAGCCTCCACTGACTTGTATCCACAACCGCCGCTCCCATGTGGATTGTTTGGAATAGATGTGCCTCGTCTGTGACATCCTCCTCAAGCTCATGAGGTTTGGGTGGATGTCGAATGAAGAAACCTTGTGGTTGAACCGCGACTAGAGCTCCGCGCTCTGAATTCGGAATGTATGTTTGATCGAGGAAGTCGATGGGATGGCGTTTGTCGGCCATTATATGGAAGACATTGAGCACAGGTGAAAACAAAGCCGGAAAGAAAACTTGAAATGTCCCAACTCACCCCGCACGATCCGTTCATGCGCAACAGTGTGAAGTTGCCTTTCATCGCTGGATCCGCTATTTCCGCAGCAGCCGCGCGCCTTCTGGGAACATCCGCAATTGAGACCAGAGCTCGATCTAAACACAAACCTGCAACAAAACGCACCCGGTAGCACCTCTTGCCTGGATAAACCAAAAAAAATAGCATAATGGACAGTCTTTCTACACGAGGCCAAAGCTTCGTGGCACAAAAGCCGACTTTCTTCGACGTCCTGAGTGACCTCTGGGATCCCAAATCCAATCCCAATGGAATTCTTAATATCGGACTGGCGGAAAACGTGAAGATCTCTCCTCTCAGAGATACTGATACTATTGCTGATTCAATTTCAGACTTTGATGCACACCGAAATGAAGGAATTTATCAACGCCAATGTAAATTCTGAGATCCTGGTGCTCCCTCGAAGTATGACACTAACTCCATAGGCACACATCACCACTCATGCACTTACCTATGGAGACGGCTTCAGCGGCTCGCAAAGACTGAAAGAGGCTATTTGTCACTTCCTCAACAATCAATTTTCTCCAGCTGCACCACTCGATTCCACCCACATAACGATCACGTCTGGTGTCAGCAATGCAATTGAATGTTGTGCCTGGGCTTTGGCCGATGCTGGTGATTATGTGCTCGTCGGGCGACCGTATTTCAACGCATTCAAGTCCACTCTTGGAACGCGACCTGGGTAAGGGATATTCCACGGTTTCGGTCGGCTCAAGGCTAAATCTTGCCTAGAGTTAAGCTCCTTGAGGTCTCTTTTGGAACAATGGATCCATTCAGCCTAGAGGCTGTTCAGAGATATGAGGAGGCATACGCCGCAGCAAAGAGCCAAGCTCGCAACGTCAGAGCGCTTATATTGTGTTCACCACATAATCCACTTGGTTTGTTTCCGTCTATGGATCCTGTCAATATGCCGTCGGCTAATTCCAGGATTTACCACAGGCCGGTGCTATCCCAGACATGTCCTCCAAGAGTACATGAAGTTTTGCCACAGACATGGACTGCATCTTATTTCCGACGAGATCTATGCCTTGACGGTTTGGGAAAACCCGCGTCTCAAAGAAGCACCTGGCTTTCAGTCTATACTTTCAATGACCAATGAGTCGTTGATGGATCCGAGTATGGTACACGCTGTATGGGGCTTAAGTAAAGTGCGTTGATCCTTTCGCGTTTGCTTGACGAATATCTGACGTTCTGCTAGGACTTCGGCGCAACCGGTTTGCGGATCGGCTGCTTGATCAGTCAGGCAAACATGCCTCTCTTAGATGCGGCTGATGGTATCTCGTAAGTCTGAATATTGCTACCTTTAAATGAATCGCGTACTGATTATCACACCAGTTTGTACAATATGCCTTCAAGTCTTGCAGATCAAGTTGCCGCATCACTTTTGAAAGATGATGAGTTCGTGGGAAATTATACAATGACCAACAGGAGACGCTTGGCAGACAGCTACTTGTTTGCAACCGACTTTTTGAAAACCCATGGCATTCCTTACCTGGAGTCCAATGCGGCACTGTTTATTTGGATCAACCTTGGATCTGTATTTCAAGATGGCTTGGGTACAGATGAAGAGATCTTGTTGAAGCTTCGAAAAGAAAAGGTATACATTGCCAGAGGAACAATCTATGCATCGGAAGAAGCTGGGTGGTTTCGAATGGTATTTGCGCACCCAAAAGATGTGCTAGAGGAAGGACTAAACAGAATGCTTCGAGCGATCAAGCCTTAGATGCAAAATCTTACAAGACGTAAGACTGATATAGCAAAGCTTAGAAGTCGATCAATTGCCGTGTTGCTTCCAAGGTTATGTCATTGCTGATCAACACCCAACGCGGGGTTGCAGCAGCTAGAGTCGCTTCCAATACTTCATACTCTGTATAACGGTTGCTTCCAAATTTATTATTACCCATATTCTAGCGACGTATGTGTCGATCTAGTATCCTGCGAGGGACCATTACCTACAAAATGTGCGCAATTAGATTGAGAAACCACTGAAATTCTTTCTTCAAAACGATAAGGATACAGTGGCGATGATTTCTTCGATTCCCATCAATTTTCCAGCAGCATCCCCATTGATCCTTCGGCTCGCTATCCCACTTCCATCGCACAACCTTGGAATTCCCGAAGATCTGGGAAGCCGATTTTAACCAGCTTTCACTATTGCCGAAGCCTTTTTGCTGGCTTCACTTTCCTCGTAACTTGGCGGTGCAATGATCATGTCAAAAGGGGTTTCCCGGCTGTTCGCAAAAATGCCAAAAATTGACAGAGCGCTGATCCGAAACGAACGGTAACCCCGTTCACCGAGCATGTAAAGCTTTTTCAAGTCTGCTTTCTGCGACTCGGAGAACTGAGAGCCGCGAGCCTTCGCACAGCATCCACATTCTAGGGTACAATGCCCTTTACCAAGACTGCGAGATGCATCGATCTTGCGATTCAAGCAGCAGCCACATTTTCGAGCACAACATCCCTGCTGACCTGCACAGTCCTTGACCAGTTCACTGTGCATATACCATTGGGGATTCGATCTCCATAGCTCGAATGCTCGTTCTTGGCCGCTCGGCTCGAGGTTTGATCGATAGAACCACCATTCCCGAGCTAAGATTTGATATTCAGTACTCAGAAATTCAAGCCGCTTTGTTGTAGCTGAATCGCAGCCCAGCTCTTCTCTGATGGCAATCTCCTCTTGGACAACTTCTCGAAGTTCTTGCTCGGTGTTGAGAAGGTCATCCGAGTAATCGGCAAGATCTGGACAGTCGCAAAAAGATTTGCAGACTGCGTAGATCGAAATCTCTGAAGAGCATTGATCCCCCCGCCCCTCTCCAGGTCTAGTTCAGTTTTTAATTTATCACCCGGCATCATATGTTGATTGTTGAGCTGTTCTTTAGGTGTTTTGGTATTCGAAGGTGCTGGCATCTCACCGTTGGGCGAGGAGCGTGCGGCGGTAGATGAGACGGGCGACATAGTTGCAGGTGCAGAACTTTCAGCAAAAGTAGGCAGGAATGAACTCTTCTACTTATAGGGGCGCGATGAGTTAACCGAAAATAGTCCCAAGGTTTGCAACCGACACTCAATAAGGTGTATCTTCCCGCTCATCTCCTTATTGGTTCAATTCAGGCAAACCTTGAGGGCATCCAGGGTTCCATGAGAATTATTCCACAGTAGAGAGAATGCTGAATGGGTCTACCTCTCACGTTTCACTATTTGAACCAACTTATCAACATGCTACCTCCTTCCAAGGTTCACTTTCCGTGAGTGCATGGGGAATCTAATTCAACAGATGTCAGCAACAATTAGCACTAGAGCACTGGAGTCCTGGAGGTGATCTCTGATTAGTAATGTGCTCGAATGGGACCTTCCACAGAATGATCTGTGCCTTCCGTATCACCACTGTCAGGTGTTCCAACCGCAGAAATGTTACCAATAAATTTAGGCCATGAAGGATTTTAGAAAGCTGTAGTTGTCATCGATTCTAATTCTCAACGTTAAGGTCTTGCCCCATCTCGGGCCGGGCCATTCGCGGCCAAGGAGGCCCACCCTTCTCAATGAAATCGGAGGCTGAATGGGACTAGTCTCTTCATGTTGGAGGTCAGGTGGTCTGGGCGGTCAGGTGACCCTGTTGCGACAGGGTAGACCGGTAGATAGATCGCGGAGCTCTCTCTCTCTCTCCTCTCTTCTCTTTTTCCTCGTCCGTCTCTTTTCTAGCGAATCGATCTACAGATATCCGCTACGCTTTATCCTCGTAGATCTGCTCGCTATCACTTCATAACCCCTTTTACATGCACCCGAAGGAGTGCGATGGCTGAGAGATATACAAATAGCTCTATGAAATGGAAGTCGGTCGTGATTGCCTGTGTATGTTTTTGTTCCAGGGGTTGTGTGTGATGTCAAATTGGGGTAAGCCCCGGCCTCGCTAACGACAGACTAGCCCCTTTTCCATTTGGGCAGCAAATTCATCTTTCCAGTGAACCGATATTTTCCAAGGTTACGGAGTAGACTTCAACACTTGATATGTCAACATAGCTTGTTTTGGTTCATCCCGTTTGATGCTCGGCTGGGCATTGGATCATTCACCTTCAAATGGAATATGGTCAGCCACATTGGCGGAGATTGAAACTATTTACGCTATCCAAAGCACGGAGGGGGCCGTGATTAGTGCACTTTTTTGATTGAAACAAAAAAAGAAAAACAAAAGACGGGAACATCCATCGATGTTCTGGCCAATGATAGGAACGTGCAGACTCAACAGGCCATCGCGCGCCGCCCTTCGCTTAAAGATCAGACGAGGTGTCCACAGGTCTCACGCGACGACTGGCCGGAGCGAACATATGAGATGAGCATACTACTCCAAATGGACTTAAGCACTACCCCGTAGTCCACCGTGCCCGGTCAATTCCCCTTATTAAAAATCTCAAATAACACCCTATATTAATACATGGCCATCGGGTCTCGGTAGATCAAGTTTTTCTTGGCCCCCAGCCTCTGGGGAAGTTAAAAGGTCAAATCATGCGCTCGGGGGTTGAACATTTCTAATCACACGTTGGCTCTGCCCCGGATTGCGAAATTCCTAAATTTGAAGCATGCGTTTTTCATGTATTATTGGGGGTTTGTTGACCATCAGTAGTGTCGCCCTGGCCACCACAATCGAATCAGATAATTTCGATGTCGCCAGTGCATTGCAAGATCTGAATGTGAAGGTTACCGAGATTCCGGCGTTGAAATCATTCCCCGAGGATCAATCGGAATGGCGAAAGGATGGCTGTTCCGTCGCTGTAAGTTATTTGCGTCTTCCTTTGCTTGGTCGAGATAATTCCGACCGTTGATTCACCTTCGGCTGACCACGCCTTTAATAGTGCTCCAGCTTGAAGTCTCTCTTTGGTTCACAAGTCTCAACACAAAGCAGTACTGGATACAGCAACTTCACCGATTCCTTCTGGTCTGTCCAACAAGAAGAGGTTCAGCCGTATTGCATCTTCCGGCCTACTGTGAACACTGAGGTCAGCGTCGCTGTCTTGCTGTCTCGATTTACTGGCTGTAAGTTTGCTGCCAGAAGTGGTGGCCATGCTGCCTTTGCAGGCGCTTCGAGCCGGCCGGGTGGTATTAGCATCTGGTTCAAAGACATGAATGAGATCACCTTGAATGAGGATCAATCAGTTGTTTCCATCGGACCCGGAAACAACTGGCTTGCTGTCTACTCCGCCCTTGAGCCGTATGGTCTGGCTGCTGTCGGCGGTCGCGCTGCTAGCATTGGGGTCGGTGGTTTTGTCCTCGGTGGTGGAATTTCCTACCATTCCAACCTGTACGGATGGTCTTGCGACAATGTTGAGAGTTTTGAGGTGGGACTTCCGCGATTATAGATGTTCTGATCATACCCAACTAACAAAAAAATATCAGGTCGTTACTGCCAGCGGTTCAATTCTCACTGTCAGCGAGAATTCATCTCCGGACTTGTATTGGGCTTTGCGAGGTGGTGGCAACAACTTCGGTCTTGTCACCAAATACAACCTCTATACAATTCCCGCACCTCAGATGTACGGCGGCACAAGAACCTACTTAGAGACCGAGTTCCCAAATGTTGTGAATGCGTGGACGAACGTGGTAAATAATGCCAGCGTGGATGGTCATGCTCAGGGTTGGGTTGCATTCACAAAGTATCAAGGAACGAATATCGCCTCTGCCGAGTTGGCTTACACCAAAAATGACTCCAATCCCGAGATCTTCAAGCAATACCGAAGTATTCCCGCAATCTCCGACACTTCAAGCTCAAAGTCACTCGTGGAGTATGTGAAGTACGTTGAGACCGAGAACCCATTCGGCCTTCGGGAGGTGTATTGGCCAATTACTGTCCAACTGAACGAGAATTTCGCAAAGTGGGTGGTCGGAACTTTCTACTCGATGGTTCCTCGGGTAGCGAATGTTACCGGCGTGCAGCCAGTCATCGTGTACCAAGGAATCACCGAGCCAATGCTAAAGAACATGGCCAACAACGGTGGTAATGCACTTGGCCTCGATGCCTCCAATGGGCCACTTCATCTCATGCACATTTCTTGCTGGTGGAGTAACGAATCCGATGACCAGACGATTTATGCATTCATCAACAGCTTTTGGAAGAAGGTCATTGCACATGCCAAGGATGTTGGCGTCTACAACGAGTATATCTATATGAACTACGCGAGTATGTTCCAGGATCCTATTTCGGGATATGGCTCTTCCAATAAGGCCACACTTAGGAAAATTGCCAAGAGATATGATCCTAAGCAGGTCTACCAAAACCTCCAGCCTGGATACTTCAAGCTCCATGGCCCTCCCGCGGTTGGATCGTTTGATTCTTGAAGAATTCGATATTTGACATGTGCGACAATAGGTGATGTGCATGTCGTGCTGTATAGCTTCAAAGTGTTTATATACAATACCTAGAGGATAGATGGAATTTTGAAGAATGTTGCTGTTAGCCGCCGAATTCTCCACCCCGGCGCTAGGGGAAGTCAGACTTCAAGCCCCCCCCCGGCGTGTGGGCATCCTTCCCCAAATGTCTGCGACCTTTCACGCTCAAGGCCTCTCGGCACCATCCCAATATTTTGCTCTCTGAATCGATTTCAATCGGTATTTGAGACCATGACAAATGATCAGTTATAAAGAAAACAACCTTTTTTTTTTTTTTTTTTCGCCAAAATTTTCATCAGGTCTTCGCTCAGGGAGTTCTCACATCAATCGATATTTTGGTTCCGACAAGTTACCGCGGACCGAAAGTACTGACTATGCCGAGGCCACCGAGGAGACCGAGAAGACCGCACTTGCTGAGTTTGATGAGTGTGATGCAGATGCCGAGGGCACCGCGCTGATGGCTCCACAAAAATTGGCGACAGTGAAATTGATAAGTTTCTTCCTACTCTGAAGCATGTGGAATTCACACCGTTTTGAGCAAAATGATATCTGAATATTCGATAGCGATGTTCACGACTTCTGTTCCACTGGGCTATATACTGCGCTTCCCCCAGGGACAATACTGGGATCTGTAGCCCTCGGGATCAACAAAAGGGCGCCAGGATGCTCACTGGCCTTTTGTACTCGTTTCTTTTCCAGCCACATCAAAATACCCGCGAATCCAGCAACAGCACATGCAAGACCAACAAAAAGTCCAGTTGTCCAACTCGGACGATTGAACCGATTGAATCCCCACATGCAGACAGCCAAGCATATCTGAAAGAGGGTATTCAGCATATTACCCCATACCACAACATCCATTTTCCACAACGAGGTAGGTGTAAGGTAGTGTGAGGCTTGATCAGAATCCTTGCTACTGCGAGGAAGCAACGACGAGGCCTGCGATTTCAAAAACCAGTTTTGGTGTATCTCAGCTAATCGGTCGAGAGCATTTCGTTGACTCGTTTCCGACCGACCTAATCGCCAACAACACCATTGGTAGAGATCGCGCATACGCCACGGGGCAAGTCCAAATCCAGTCACACAGAACAGTGCATTCAGGATCTGTGAATCGATCTCAATCCAGATGCGACGTGGGGATTCAAGGCTGTCGCAAGTTGGGTGACACATTGCGGGTGCTGCATTGCACATTAGGAGGAAGAGCATTCCACCCCACGCGACAATGTTCAACCCATATATTGTGATGCAGAACCCCAATGGCGTACGCATCCACTGAAAGAATTTGCGACATTTATTTTGCCAGGTATCTTTGCAGATGGTGTTTTCAGTACGTTGAGATGAGGCTTTCTATATCATATATCAGAGAAATTTGAGGGAAGTTCGGTGAGATATAAACCAACCGGATGGCCAAATAAGGAAGACTCGTTACTGCTTCTACCTTCCATTGCTTTGGAGTAAGAAGGTAAGCTTGCACGAAGTGGGTGAATACAGTTCACCTGCAGAGTGGGCTTTCTCCCAATTTAAGGGCATAGGAGAACTGGTCTGCACTAGGGTCTTATCTGATCCACCTGGGCATACATTTGCCACATTTTGTGAGGAAAATCTTTTCACGTCGCTCATGTTGACTGAGAACTGGCATTGTGAATGAATACGAAAATAGCATTGACGCCGTGTGTTGGCAGCCAATCAAATAACCAGGCAGCAGGGATCCACTCGTATCCGTACTAACTTCCCATTTAGGATTTCAGCAAAGTTTTAACTAAACTCGATACATCCATGGATCAGTCTACGCCAATCTTGGATAGCCCTGGAGGTAGATCCCTGGATGCAGGAAATTCATGGATTGATCTGCTATGACATCAATTCTGAATTTGCAGTCTTCTAAATCTACTGGCACTATGTGTATGAATAAATGCGTGTTTCAAGATGACGACCAAGGAACTTCCAAAGTATTTTGAATAGATACCTCACAGTGGTGGATAATTGGAGGAAAAAAAACACTGTATTCAATACGAATGGCTATCTATTCAAAGGACGCTAAGTGGTGTAAGATGAAAATTGATACGCCAGTATGCATGTCAGGGGGCTCTAGAAACATAAACTGAGGAAAAGGAGAATGCATCGAAGGATTGAAGCACTTTGTCTCGAAGTTCGACACCCATATCCAACCTGGCAGACTCAAAGTATCCGCACTTCAGCTGCGCTCTGGCAATAGCTTTGCGTGAATTCGAGCGAAAAGCTGCCTCGATGCTCTTGGTGATTCCCTGGAATGGGTAAGCTACCAGTCCAATCCCCGCTTGAAGATTAGATTCACGTTAGCTAGCTGCACTCTTTGAGTTTCTGGGACTAACAAACCTGAGGGGACTTTAGTAGCAAGCCCAATGGTGCCCTTAGCAAATCCTTTCACGGCACCCAAAGCACCCTCTTCTTTCGCTCCGTTCACTGGTTGAGTAAAGATACCGGTGAACCCATCAGCCATGCCATCGACAAAATTTCTGCCACCAAATATGGCCCCGGATTTCCAGTCTTGGATTGCGTCGTATTCTTTTGGCGTTTCTCCGTATAATCGTGGGACTTGGCGGAATCCCTCGGCCGCGGCATGTGGAATGTCGACCACTACCCCCTTGAAATATGAACCGGTGAACTTACTGAAGCCTTTTATGGTGGCACCTAACATGCTCCCTGCAACGAGGAAGCCATTTTGGTCACGAGGGCTCAAAGCATGCGTGGGACCAGAGCGACTTTCGAGCAACTCTTGGCCGGCGAGTTGCATTGACGATGAAGATGACTCGCCATCGGCGGCATTCCTGGTATATGGGGTGTTGTTCATGGCCTCGGCAGGGGGCCTCGGTGAGCGACTGCGCTTGTAATGTTTATAAGGATCATAAATCATATCTGCAGTCGAGTGCAACATGCTTGACCCAGTGGTTGTGGCAGCGGATATAATTCCACTAATTGGATCCCAGCGACAATTTTCAACCACAATTGGGTTCGGATGGTGTCTACAACAATGTCAGCATGATGACGGGCACCAGGGAGCCCTGATATACTGACAGATCAAGATGTTTTTCATCAATCTTCTGATGCTCTATCAAGAACTGAGCGGCTGCTCTTGACAAGCTCAGGGGCCGTTTGCTCTTTTTATATTTCCAAGTTGCGACCTGTGTGGGGATCAATGCACATCGCATTTTGTCCATGGGAAGATTGCGGTGGAATGATTCCACGGCATTCTCTACTCCCGTTTCGGTGCGCATTTTAAGAGAGATTTTGTGTGCTGCTTCTCTTGCCTGCGGTGTAAGACAAAATTCAATCGCGGCGGAGAGTTGCTGAAAATTCAGAGACGCATATGGAATTGGTTTGGGTCCAGCTCCAGCTCTAAAGATCATGTTTCCCCAGAAGGGCTGACTAGAACAGAAACAAAACTGTGTTAGTATCGGTTTCAGAGCTCACTTCGTCCAACTTGGCAGCAAGAAACTCACTCTCCGAAGAAAGGCACAATCGCAGTGGGTTTACCATTCTTGAGACCGCAGGCAGTGGTTCCAGCGCCGCCATGGTGTACAACTGCCGCAACATGTTGAAAGAGCCATTCGTGTGGACAATCGTCAATGTAATAGATATTGGGGTTCGGGCTTCCAACTAGCCCACTCCAGCCCTTCGAAATAATTGCACGTACACCGGATCGTACAACTGCAATAACGACAGTATCTATCAGCTTTCGGGGATTCTCAACAACAATGCTCCCAAATCCGATGTAGACGGGCGGTGGCCCAGCTTGCAAGAACGCTGTCAATTCGGAAGGCGGGCTGTATGTAAGTGAATCTCGGAAGAAAAAGCCACAGACGTCTGGGATAGATAAGCTTTCACTCTGCAGGAAGCAACCGTGACGGAAACGTACCAATATATGCTGGCCAATCTTTTGGTTTTGGCACGAGTGCAGGGGACCAACAATAGGTGTGGGGCACCTTTAACGCTTCTGGTAGGCTTGGGCCTACTGTAGCTGGTATAGGCTCCAAGTCGATTGAAGTTCGCCATTTATTGATGACATCCCCTAAACTGGATGATCATATATATTAGTCTGCGTGTTCATCACATTTGAGAGAATGGACTTACCCTTGCCACGTCAACCACTCGACAACCCCGTAGGAGACCCAGTTTGCAGTTCGTGGGTCCATAGATGAAGGGTTGAGATTGGCAAGAGGATGTGGAAACGCCTTGGTGCTGCTCCAAGGCATCGTGAACATCAGATGAACGGGAATACCCAATGCCTGTGCACAATGCACATGCGCGAAACTTGGGGGATTCGCAATTATAGCGTCAGCAACAAATGGTTCGTGGGTCAGAGGATCATCCTGTATACAAGATCTCCAGCAGCCATCGAGCATTGTTGCGACCATGGCTTGCTTTCTTTGCACCTCCCCATCGCGCAATGTCTTCATTTGTGGAATCAACCCAGGGTTCTTGACCATGTATGCCATCAGCTCGGCCGGATCGCCGCCTATGGGGTAGAACTCCAAGCCCGATTCGCGTACAAAATTGGCAAAGACATCATGTGTGGCAATGCGGACTCGGTGACCGTGCTTTTGTAGTGCATTCCCCAGTGCAATGAATGGCTGTACGTCCCCTCGACTTCCCACAATCTGAATAACAATATTCAAATTCAGATTAAATGGGGTAGAATGCTTCAAATCATCGATATATTTGGGCGGTGGGTTGTGGAGGTCTTCTTGCTGCAGGTCGATGATCTTGGCGAGCGTTCTCGCGATCTTGGAGTCGAGATTGATGTCTATACGACCATTTGCTGAAAGAGAAGTCTGGAATCAGTGCTTTGTATGCGTCAAATGGTTCCATTGGAGATACCTTGTACATTACCGGATTCTTCGATGAGTCCATTGTCGGACACCAGCGAGTATGGTGGGGGAGCTGCCGATTCCGTGTCCTCCTTTCCAGCTCTTGAGTCTGTTGTGGAACCCATTTTGACCCTCAAGGAAGAGATTGATAGAATAATTCAAGGGAGGAAATTGAAAATCATAACATGGATGGTCTTTCCTATAAGTGGCAAACAAAAGTATGGAAGGTCGCGACTTAGCTCTCGTACCCGTATACCTAGCCGAATTGAGGCTAGCGTCATTCTAAAAAAGAAACAAGATTGGGGCCGTGCATACGCGGTTAACCCCCTTTCGGATATCGATCCAAACTTTCCACGCTCTCGTCCCCGAAAAGTGGCTTGGGGGAAACGAAGTGAAAAATGAAAAATGAAAAGTGCAAATAAAATGACAAATGACAATGGATCTCAGGGGAAAGATATCAGCGACAAAAACCTATCACCATTTTTATTTCTCCATCGAATATTTTCGATTTGTGTAATAGCCAGCCTTGTGGTTTTGTCACCGTAGGCACCGCTCACAAGATCCTCGCAAGTCTCCATCTTTCGGCCTCAGTCGAGTTTTAGAGTATACCATACTGTCTTGTTGATTCTGGCACCACGTGCCCTCACTACCAGCGCCAATGTTTGAAAATCCTTCGTCTCCCTCGAATTCCTCGTTGCCGATCCCCAAAGACCATGGAGAACTTAACAAACGCAGGCTTCTCTTGATCTATATACACGGTTTCATGGGATCCGAAGCAAGCTTTTTGAGGTTTCCAGCCCACGTTCACCAAGCTCTCATGATCTTGTTGGGGACAACCCACATCATATACACCCGAATCTACCCCCAATACAAATGTCGCGGCGAGATGAAAGATGCAATTGAGCAGTTCAGCACCTGGTGAGTTTGACTTCAACATCACCAAAAATACCACTAAGAGACCTTTCTTCAAGGCTGTCGCCACATGAAGCAGATGATCTCGATGTAATTCTGCTCGGACATTCTATTGGCGGCGCTCTTGCTGCTGGGGTGATGCTTCTGCCAGGTTTGGCTAATACCTGCCACCACTCGAAGAAACATCGCATTTTGGGATTGGTCAACTTCGATGTACCATTCCTTGGCCTTCATCCGCGCGTCATTTTCTCCGGCATCCGGAGTTTGTTTCGGAGAACTGAGGACGTGAATGGTGCTGTTCCAGACAAGAGTGGAGGACTAGAGGAAATGGATCCCTCGCTATTTCCTATCGTCACGAACCCTAATTTCGACCCTTGTTTTGGAAATGACGTACGACTACCAAAGCACCGTCGTCTCCAGAGAGCATTGCGCTTTCTTCAAAAAAACATCTACCATCTTCCGAGCTCAATTTTCCACAGTTTGATGTCGTTTTACAAGTTTCCGGGATATCTCAACAGATGGCCGCATCTTCGTCGTCAATACAAAGAGATGATGAGTTTGGAAGGGGCAGAAAATGGGGTTGATCGAGTTCGATTCGTGAACTATTACACAGAAAGCAATGGCCGCAGAATCGGGTCGCAAAGCCCAAGGTCCCACAGGCCATTTGACTCCGGGGATGGACATAAAAACAACGTCGACTGTTTCTATAACGCGAAATCATCATCTTCGATCACCATTTTGACTGACCCTTCCGAGCATCCAATGGGACATGCAGTGACTACTGGGTCAACAGACTCAAGAGGGAACCCCGAACGTGAAGTCAAGATGGACCAGAGAAAATCTCGATCATTCGTTCTAAAGCCGTCACATCACTGGAAAGACGGCGAAAATTCACTTTGGAAGCCCATACCGATGAATGGCATGGATGAGGTAAAAGCACATCAATCCATGTTTCTTCCAGGCACCAATGAGTACGAAAAGCTGGTTGGTGATACCGTGGGTATCATTGAAAACTGGGTGCAGGATGACATGAGGGCGAGGGTGCTAGGAATGGAAGAGACGGCATCTTCATCCAGGCAAACCTTGAATGGTCAATAACATTTGAAGTGGTTGATTTAATAGAACAAGATTTCGTTTTCCCAAACAATGTCCTCATCTTTCGAGCATCGTTCATTTCGGGATATGCTATACGACAGTTGAATTTTGGAGCCTTCCGATATCTCCTTCACATCTATGCCCTGGACACGAGCGACAGCTGGTATAATATCTCCCTGCTCCACTCCATTCGACTCTATTTGGATCACTCTATGGAGCGCCAACATTGCCGCAGAGACCCAGGGTGTATCAGCTTTGCAGGAATCCAACAGGGAAACGATCTCATCCCTGACCAAGTAGTCTCGGCACTTCACCCCACACCAAAAAAGAGCAGCTGCAATGGTTTCTTTGATATAGCAGAATGTAGCCGGCTGTTCATTCGAATCATCGCGTAGCATACTCTTGCACACCAGGACGACGTGTTGGAAAGACTTCAGATATTCATCAAATAGGCTCTCGGTTGGCTCCGGACTACTGTCCACAGACATCCTGAGATACATGATCAAAGTATATAGGTCGAACAAGGCAAGCAAATCCCGATGCATTGGTGAGGTTACTCCGGCACTCAGGAGGTCGCCCCGCCAAAGTCGCATCTTACTCATGATCATGAGCGTGCTATGGGGCATTGCCGAGCCCGCGGATTTGATCATGAAGCCTGCTTCTGGGTGATTTTCCACCATTTGCCCACGAAGTACCATCATGTAAGAGCGATGTCTTTCCAGCTCGTCAGCCTTCGCAGCATATACCCTGATTTTATCTTCATCAGATTCAAGGGGATTGAAAGGCTCATCATTGTTGAACTCTTTTGGATCCGCAGAAATAGAAAACGCGATATGAAGTCGAGAGAAGGAGTATTTGAGGGCTTTCCAATTAGAGCTTCCCCCATAATCGATAGCTTCCCATTCTTTGAATAGGTTATAGCCAGACAACAAATGGCAACGAGCGGCAACTATGTCGCCTTGTATAAGAGCCAGTAACATCAAGAGAATGCAGGTGACAAGAACCGTCTCTATATGTACCCGACTCGATTTATGGCGAGTGAGATGTTCACGAAGACAAGCTATCGACTTGTGCGCATGCCCGAGAGGCAGAAGATTTTCTCGATTCTCACCATATTCCATTCCACCCGTTTCAAATTGACATTGCCACGCACTCATTGCTATCACGGCATGCCGAATCGCAGGCTGTCCCTCGCACATCTGAAGCACCAAATAGCTCCAAAACTCATCTTCGAAGTATCCAGAAAACTGAACTGCGGTGCGTTTGCGAAAATGATTCAAGTACCAGCGGTCATTCCAGGATAATTCTGCCGGACTGGAGTCGATAGTATAAATGAAACTCAAAGGCTGGCGTTGCGACTTATAGTGATGCCGGGTTAACGCAGTTTGGGCTGGACTGTCCGTTTGCTGCAGATCACGCCAAGTCCTGGTCCTTTTGTCAAGAACCTGCGCATATCCATCGCATAATCGCCCTGTGTTAATGCAGTTCTGACACGCCGGTTGGGCCTCGTCGCACTTTTTGTGTCGGGCTCTATGAACGGTGAGTTAATGGATCAGGGGCCTCCTTGTAAGCCTGCGTACTTGCACGTGATGCAGCCTGTTCGAACGTTTGAATGCTTTGACCTTGTGTTTCTTTCCTTGATGACTGGGCCCCAGCGAGGATACATGTTAGGCGGGAGTGGCTTCTTGAAAAGCGAGGACGCGACAGACGGCCACGTCTGAATCAGCCCCCACTCTTGGCGGTGTAAATCCAATAGCAATCTGCTGCGTGGCCTACAGCGTAAATACAAGTAGTGTAGGAGGTGGTAATTTATACGGAGTAATAAAAAATAATCTTATACTTCTCTTCTTTTTCGTTTTGATATTCACATATGAGGCCATGTAATGCGATGCGTCCTGTACGCTTCTGGGCTGCTTTCTGGAGATTCTTTTCAGACTACTTACCTTGGAATAGTGATAAATTCCAACTTTCTTTCTCGAGGACATAGTCATTGCCTGTGATGACTTCAACGGAAGATACTGTGTTCCTGATAACAGGCTCATCTATGGCAGAGTTGCACAAAGCAGTGGATCATAGCTGTCGAAGCAAAAAGACCGACCGGGGAAAAGAAAAGAGAGAGAGAGAGAGAGAGAGAGAGTGTGTGTGTGTGAGAGACCTATCTAGCCAAAAGGGGTCATCTTCCCTCCCAACAGGGGAGCCTGTCCCTTCAAGCAGCCACGGGCTATGGGCTCCAACCATACTACAGGCCACATTCAGCTGAACATTTGTAGAACCTCCTCCCGATGCTTCTCAAGATACTCCGTGAACCTCGTCAGGCGAATCGGGTATTTTTCCAGATCCTTGAAGTTGACCTGATACCCAACTTCATTCGCCCATACTTGGCTATGAATCACAGGCTTCCTCGGCCCAAGCTCTTCAACCTCTTTCTCATCATAGAATTGAAGGGAAATATCCTTTCCAGAAACACGGCTCAGCTCCCGCACAATTTCGGCCGGCGTAAGAGATTCCACACCCAAGTCAATCTCATGCATGTCGTATGCCGACGGTTCAATAATCGCAGCAGCCGCAAACTTCCCGACGTCATCGCGATCGAGAATCGTCATTGCAGTGCTAGGCTTATATGCCGTCAGAAAAGTCCGTCGTTGAACCAAATCAGGAAACATGTATGACGCGGTAGGATGGTGGTAATTGTGCATCAAGAATGCGGGTCGAAGAATGGTCCAGTATTCTATCCCAGAGCCTCGCACCATTGACTCGATCTGAGCTTTGTTCTCCCAGTACCAGGCCAGTGGGTATCCAGGTCCCCAGTTCGGAAACTCTTCATGTCTGCCAGTCATTGTTACACTTGAATAGACAATGGTGGTGACTGTCCCGGAAGCAATAGCGGCATCGATGATGTTCTTTGCGTGAACTACCTCCCGTTTAGTGTCGGAAACGGTGGGCAATACATTGAGAAAGACTGCAGTAGCACCTCCCAGCGCAGCCTTCAATGATAACAAATCTTCAAAATCCCCGTGGAACAGATGAGCCCCTAGGCGCTGGAGATCAATTGCGGACTTGGATGACGAATCCCGAACGATGGCATGGACTTTGACTCCTGATTTCAAGAGTTCACGCGCCGTAGCACCGCCTTGGTGGCCAGTAGCTCCTGCGACAAAGGCAACGGTTTGAGACATGATTTCGGTGTTCAAGAGTGTCAGAGATGTGTTGAACAGAGGCGAGAATATTGTATTTTTTAGCAGCCCCCACTGGCGGTAAATGAAAGTCTTTGAAGATGCATGGTTTGTGAAGAATGCAGCGACCTCTTAAATAGCTTTTTGGTCCATCAAATGACATGGATAATCTCCTGAAAATGGAATTCAGCTCGAGGTTATGGGGCCTTTTGTCCGCGCCTCCGGGCGATAAGGAAGAAGGGAGATCCACGATACTCTCCGGGCTTCTTGTTTGGCGGTGTTTGTCCTGTTTTCCAGGCTCGTCCCAGGCGTAGATAGACCTAGACAATGAGAGTCTCTCTCTCTCTCTCTTGTTTTCTCCTCTCTCTTCTACTATATCAACAATAATTGTTTCAGTGATCACGGCTTAGCCAAGACTTTTGGCCCCACCGAAGGGATTTTGGCGAATCATATTTATCTTTTTTTTTTCAGTTACGTTTCAGTACACTTTTTATCATCAGTACTCCATACTCCGTAAAGATTTCACATGTCTGCGGTGCTTCTCTCGTCGATACTTCTTGGCCCACTTATCCCGCGGATGTGCCGAGGCTAGTCTAAATGCGGTAACCAGCTCGACGGGACTTTCACTTAGTCCGGCTTCCGAGATCTGGGCTTACAAACCAGGGACGAATCCCGAGGTCCAGATGCCCCCAGGTCAAACTGGTGGTGACCGTGAGCGACTCCGATGAGATGCTCCTTTTGGTAATCTTCCGCTCGAATACTGAGCTCGGATTAGCTGCATCTATAACATGGCCATGAAACAAAATGGTCTATCGCGGGAAGCCCAGCAGAGCGTGTCTGGAATGCCGAGTTAAAAGAAGAAAGGTATCGAATCTTTACTCTTGCACAAATATTGAAGCTTAACTAATAAGACTTGAGGGGCCAGTGTGACCTTTCTCAACCAACATGCCGTCAGTGCGCTAGGGCCGGTTCGAGATGTGATGGATACCGAGACCAGCACTCCCTCGAGTACCAGGATCAAACAGCGGAGACTCTGGGTAGAAATAGACCCTTTTCTGATGATGGATTGCCCATTCAATCCATTTGCAATACCCGGGCCCTAAGCTGCAACCTATCTCACGAGACTATGAATCGTCAGCCTCAAGAGCCGCTTTCTCATGACCCCTGGATGAAGGTCAAGGTTTCACCAGAACAACACGGTCTGCATTTCTTTTTCCATCATTACCTTGTGAATGTGGCTGGGCAAGCCTCTAGTCATCCTGACTGTCTCGCCACATTATACGCGCGAGCAAGAGAGCCAGGATACCTGGCCAATCTAGCCAGTGCCGTGGGATCAGCTAGTCTAGCCCACCAGCAAAATGCGTCTACTTTGATTCGAGCTGCGAGCCAGTCGTACTCTAATGCTATTCGCGATATCCGCGTTGCTCTAGCGGACCATGCTGAAGCAGCATCTGACCAGATGCTAGTCGCCGTGATGCTCCTAGCCCTGTATGAAGTGAGTCTTTTTACATATTAGAAATCATAACCTTGATACTAACGACCCCCAACCAGACAGTCACTTTGAATTTCGACAATGATCTGAACTCATGGGACAGGCATGTGAATGGCGCTTTGGCATTGGTACAGCTTCGAGGAGTTAGCCAGTTACGAAATAGGATAGGCCGGTCTATATTTCTCAACCTGCGCACTGAAATTGTGAGTCACTCTTGGAACGCCTATGTAATCAGCATCTCTAATTGGGTACTAGCTCATCAACTCTTTGCAACATCGGGTCCAAGTACCATTGAGATTAGTGCATTGGATGGTCGAGGCGCGTCATTACGAAACAGCGCAAGAACCACCCGCTGCTAGACTGGCCATAATCATAGTGCAAGCCTGTCGTGTTTTGGCGTTAGTCAAAGAGGACATGATGAACCAGGCAAAACTACCTCAACTCATTTCTAACTTGTTGTCGGTTGATGATGACTTTGTGGGTTGGTCTGAGAGTCTTCCAGCAGAATATGGATGTGAGACAGTGACAAGTCCAGACCACTCTATTCTCGCGTACCTCGGACGATACGACATATACTCCAGCGCTGATATCGCGCACTCTTGGAATTTGCAGCGCTGTGCGCGCATTGTTATCCGCCAAGCTCTCGTGGAGGCTATAACAATGCACTTGCAAGCACCATCTCCCGTTACATCCTCGGCTTCCTTACCAGCATCACACAGAGACGTACTCCGAATGTTCGATACGGAAATATATGAAAACGCAAGTCATATATGTTACAGCGTGCCGTATGTTCTCCGCTCTTACGGCAAGCCAATCAAACCAGGGACCCTGAGGGCCGCTTATACCGTGCATCTGTTGTGGCCACTTTATATTGCAGGCACAGCGTATACTGCGACCGATGCTCTGCGCGAATGGGTCATTGCGAGGATGGAAATGATTGAAGAAGCCACTGGTATCCAAAGAGCAAGGCTCATGGCCACTCACGTACAACAGCGGGTTTCACCCTCCTATGTAGCATAGGACTTAAATTTTCTGGTGTAACGGGCTGGGGCGAAGATGTCTATAGTGCTTTATTACATCCTTTCACAGTGCTTGCGTGCCAGGAATGGCTCTGAGCGCTCCGTTGCTTTAAACCAACATCATCGACGCAATCCATGGATGATGGATCGGAATGGTTTATATCAACACTGTCCACTGATTGGAAGGCCAGCTGTGGGCCATAGTGTAGTGGCTTATTCCAAGCTTTGTGGTTCTCAGGTGGAGCTCACAATCAGAAAATTTGGCTGAGGGCCGGTTAGCGGTCGCGCTACTACAATTAGAGATCGAAATCATAACCTTGGAAAGACATGCCCTGGACATGCAAACCGGCATTCTATCCATATCCTGGATGTAAATAAATTGCCGTGTGCTGATTTGGCAATGTTTTTCCCAAGGCTCAGGCACCCTGCTGCGATAAATATTGTGGAATACATAAGAGACAGTCTTTTGACTTCCAAGGTTGTTGTGAACTTGCTCAATGCCGTGATGGCTTCAATGGGATTTTTGTAGTTCCTCTAATAAATACATAAACGTCATCAAAATTGTAGTTGTAGGCTCTAGGTCTGTCGGTTGCCACGTCCGATGGCTGAATGTCCGTCAGCGATCGGCACCGACGATCAGGATCGGATCGACGTCAGCACAAGCTAAGGCCCAATAATAGTGAGACACTCTCGTCCTTGGTTTTATCTAAAAGGGAGTCGGGATTACTCCGTACGCCATTGTGATGATTATTTCAGTTGCAGAACCAAGGGAGGAATGTTATACATGGCATAATTGGTTCATACTTTGTATTGAAATTCAGACATTGATGTATGTGAAATCGTGGTGAGTCTTGGTCAATCAAAAAATTCCGAGCTGGCAGAGAGATCAGTTCGAGCCGTATAGATCGCAAGTTCGGTGGAGTCGAGAAATCTCAAGATCGTCACTTTTTTTCACCTTCAACCCACCTTCAACCCACTGTCAATCCACTGTCAACCCACCTCTCAGTCCAATCGTTTCAACCATTCAATCTGTTTGAGATCGCAATGCTTTTACATTTCAGGCGTGATGTCAATCTGGCGCCGGCTTACAATGGTGCTCCACCGAATGCAGATTCTTCGAGCACGAGCCTCATGCGACCTTGTTAAGATGGACCCTAAGCCCCGAAGAAAAATCTTTCTACCTCTCATCAGCCATAATGACAGTCTCCGAAGACTCTGCTCAACCGAAGAGCGTCCCACGCTGGCGTCTGGTGTTTGATCAAGGCTGTGTATCTGCCGACATCGCAAACGACCACTACAATGGCTCAGGCACAGAAGAAGACCCCTTCCAAGTCTCATGGTCGGAAACGGACGAGCGCAATCCCATGAACTTCTCCGAAGTGAGCAAGTGGCTGATCACAATTCTGGTGGGCGTGGCCACCATGGCCGTCGCCCTAGTCTCATCTGCGTACTCCGGTGGTATCAACGAAGTCATCCTCGATTTCCGCATCAGCGAAGAGGTTGCAATTCTGGGAATTTCGCTATTCGTCGTGGGCTTTGCTGTCGGTCCACTTGTCTGGGCCCCACTCAGCGAGCTTTATGGTCGTCGCTATATCATGATCGCTAGCGCGGTAGGCCTCACGGCCTTCACGGCCGGCGCGGCCGGTGCTCAGAATATTTGGTCACTCATCATCCTCCGCTTCTTCGCTGGCACCCTAGGCTCTGCGCCTTTCGCTGTATCTGGTGGAATCATTGCCGACACCTTTCCCAGCGTCAGTCGCGGATTAGCTAGTGGGCTTTATTGCGCTGCCCCCTTCTTGGGTCCCACTCTCGGCCCTATCATCGGTGGATTCCTTTCTGAATCTGCGGGTTGGCGATGGGTGGAGGGTCTCCTAGCCGCGTTTGCAGGGGTGTTGGCAATTATCATGATCTTCGCGTTACCGGAAACCTACGCACCAGTTTTATTGCGCAAGCGCGCTGAGCGTTTGTCTAAACTGTCAGGTCACCTCTACCGGAGTAAGGTCGATATCGAGCAAGGCAAAAAGTCACCGGCCGAAGTCTTGAAGGTTGCTCTCTCCAGACCGTGGGTGCTTCTATTCCGCGAGCCTATCGTGCTTCTGCTTTCGCTCTACCTCGCTATTATTTACGGAATGTAAGCATCATCCTCATCAACATGCCAATATCGTGGCATATGTCTAACCAAAGCAGTCTTTACCTCATGTTCGCAGCATTCCCTATCGTTTTACAAGTGGAACGCGGCTGGAGTGAAGGTCTCGGCGGCCTTGCCTTCCTAGGAATATTGGTTGGCATCATGTTCTCAGTGGTGGCCACATTCCCCTTCTACTTCCGATACAAGAAGAAGGTCCTCTCAACACCAGGTCGCATTTCCCCAGAGGAACGTCTCCCAGACTCATTTTACGGCGCCATCGCACTCCCAATCGGCCTTTTCTGGTTCGCGTGGACAAACTCTCCACACGTGCACTGGATGGCACCTATTGCAGCCGGTGTTCCTTTCGGTTACGGCATGGTGATGGTGTTCCTTCCCGTGTTGAACTATCTGATTGACGCATACACTATTTACGCTGCATCTGTGCTAGCTGCGAACGCTGCGCTGCGGTCGGTCTTCGGTGCAGCTTTCCCGCTCTTCACTACACCCATGTATAAAAACCTAGGCATCCACTGGGCATCGAGTATCCCTGCTTTCCTAGCGCTCGCTTGCGTGCCGATGCCCTTCCTCTTTTACAAATATGGTGCAGGCCTCCGGGCTCGATGCCATTGTGCCGCACAATCCGACGCATTCATGGAGAAGCTCTTCGGGAAGCCCGTCCAGCCCCAAAAGGCTGAGGGGGAAGAGGCGGCTGGTGACTCGGCATAATAGCTTGATTTTCCAGGGCTGAAGCACCCGTGGACGGTGTTGTCAAATTAATTTGCAGAGAAACCCTAATTTCTAATTTTACTTCTATGGTACATCGATCTATTTTTGAGATAGCTTCAGGCGCGTTCCAAGTTCTTTCTTTTCCCATACTTTATCCATGGATGTCACCTCCGACCGGATGGATCCCAAGGTAGTTATTTCATCTTGAATCAAGAGCCCGGGAGAATCTTCTGTGGATTTGGGTTTATTTGACCAACCTCCAGGGCTGAGAGTGCTTGGAAATCGCTATGCTTTCGGGTGGCTTGTGTCCCGCTTTCACCAAAACCCCAAAAGCCTAGGAAGCTTCCAAGGTTTGTATGTGAAATTATTCTTTTGCATCCATAGATGTATCTTTGAAACACCATCATTACACTCCGTGGCTATAGATTATGTGAAATGTTTGATATTTGCGAAATTCATTATGGATCATCTGGGTATTCAGCGAAATGTTCATAATTCGTTCTTATCTCATGTAGTCTTCGTCATCGTTCAAGTCAATCCTGTGATCTTTATTCAGTCGGGGAGCCTGGGGCGATTTGCTTCTTTGACTTTTAAACAGTCAACTTTGGCTCGACCACCTCCAATGCGGTGGGAAGATCCTCTTCATGGCTTGTATGTTTGTAGCCAGCGGTGGGGAATAGTTTGTGCCAATACCGCCAGATCAGGACAGTGGCAATGGTGGTCGGAATGGCAAAAACCCAGTACAGCCAGAATTTACTGGACAACCCCCATCCGTTGTTGTCGCCCGCTTGAAAAAACGACATGCTGAAAATCGACGATATAAACGTCGGCGGCAGGAAGATCAACGTGACAAAAGCGATAGTCTTCATTGCGGAACTGTCGATCTGTGCAGCCCGGCCGATCTCAACAGATGTTCCCGCGTTGTGCTGAGCGACGGTATTGAAGGCAAGTTGAATTTCATTCTGCAGTCGCTTTTCATTCGAGGTTGAGCGGTGTCGGAGATTCGCAATGAAGCCTCGATAGAACTCTAGCTGGGCGCGAAGATCTTGGTCAAATGCGGGATCGTTGTGTTGGGGCTTAGACCCCGTATATTTGAGGTAGTGCATTTGCACAGATTCAATTGTTTGCACTGCAACGTCGAGAGACTCACAGACGTGAATCGCATGGCGGGCGATGTCGTGTAGTCTTCGGTAATCTGGATTTGGAACCGTTCCTGGTTTCGGTACCACCTTTTCAATATCCCTTACTTGGTCGCGAATTAGCCAGACGGCAGCTTCTTGAAGATTCGCCACAGTGTCCAAAAGAATTGGATAAGGCCAATATGGATCACCCAGGAGTGCGGGGTTGAAACCACGCAGCGATGCTGGGACTGTTTCAAGGATGGAAGGGTTGGGATCAAACAACAGAATGAATGTTTGTTTGGTAGCTTCTACCCAGCGTGTGAAAACGTTGAGTTTGGTCCAATAATAATGCATGTTTTTGGGAAGTAGTTTGAATTCAAAGTACACCCACGTATCTATTCTGGTTAGCTGTGACTTGCGTGATGGGGTCCCTAACTCACTAACGCCCGTCACTTGTCCCGCATCTCGGGTTGTTTCACATCCAAAGTAGCCGTTGGATTTCTTGTAGTGTGTTGACCACCATGTATCACGCATCTGGAAGAATTGACTCAAAGCGTGCCGACATCTTTGACAAGTCCGGATCTTGTTTGCCGACGCGATTCTGATAACCCTCGCGTCAGCATGCATGTTAGAAGAGCTGCAGGGCAGGGCTGCCTCACATGACTGAAACTGGTGTATCTCTTGATATGGGAGTCGTGCCCCCAGGTTGTAGGTTTGTGAACTCCTCGGGGTGGACACGGTTTGGCTCCCACACGTCACCTATCTGGTCAGCATTTTCGACTGCGACGATGTGAAATACCCACCTTGACGCCACTGCAGCACCTCTAGACTGGGACAATCGCCGCAAAAGGATTGACTCATCGTTTTTACTTGTGAGTGTTTATATATCGCTTTGACTATGGATGTGAAAAGTAGACAGCATTGATTTAATTAAAACGAGACTCGAGCAAGTGCGCCTTGTACAGCCCCGCAGGCTTAGCGGGCGCTTGAGCTTCATACGGCTAGTCATGCAGATGGTATTTTACCAGGGCGATCTTTGATTCTGATCCTTGGCGAATGCCCGAAGGCTACCTTTTGCCATGGACATTGAAGAAAAAAGAGGATATCAAGATCGCAGCGTAGAAAATCTATTTTCTGTGAGTGCAACTATCAAAATGTGGGTTCGAGGAAGTGTATGGGCAATCGCATGAGCAAAGCTTGCGCTCGACAATACGACGGTGATGGCCTGGAATTTCAAAACCGCCCAATACAAATAACAAACACCAAACGACTTTGAGTGACTGCGAGTGGACAAGAGCTGGTTGGTAGGTTGGGTTTCAGGGCAATAAGAGACCCATTTTATAATACCGTAATCGGTATGGCTAGTGCCAAATCGACGGTAATTTGATTATTTGAGGCTGAAGGAACACAACTTCAGTTGATTACTGCGTATTGGTTGCAGAAATTGAACCCACCGAAAGGTTGAACTTGATCCTCATGAATACTAGTACTGATTTGAAACCGACTGAGCCCAGAAGAGAAACGAAAGGGAAAGGGAAGGGAATTTGCCCGAGTCTGCCCACGCCCATGACGGGCCGTCCCTTGACCCACAGACTCTCCCAGGGCCCAAAGTCGCCCGAAATTTAAGCCTTGTCACTCCACCTGTTTGCTCAGAATGGCGGTCTCAAATCTAACGGCGACCTCCAGTGGCCTCCCAAGCCTAGCTCTTCCAGGCCGACTATAGATCTAATCTTTCACCTTGGAATCTATGCCGCTGTCGTGAACTTATTCTCTGAATCTGGACGAGCCAGGTGTAATTTTGGATTGAGCATTAATATCGCAAAAATAGGGTTGACACATCATATAGCAAGCTCGAGCTGCGCCGTACAACCCATAATAATCCCCACAGACGATGCTTCCTGTTTACCCGTGAAGCCAGTTCATTCAGTATTCGAGATCGAAGTTTTGAAGGTAGACGGGAATTTCAAGTAATTATTGTCTGCATCTAGAGGGGCAAGGGTATTTGAAGATGTACTTAGATATGCCATGATCGTGACTTCGTGCTGACAGTGGCTCATTTGTACGAGCTAAGCTCGTGGACACGCGGATAAGCAACCGAGTCCATCTCCTGCGCCGGAGAAAAATCTTGTCTCCGCGAGCTCATGCCTGCTAAAAATGGCCCTGGTTGATTGAATTGTGCTGCTTTTGTTTGCCGACGTTGCAAACACCAGAATACAATGCCGGCAGCCAAGACTCCCAACACAGGGCCGAGAACGGCACCAGCGATCCACGCCTTGCTTGATTGAACTGGTTTTTCCAATGCCTCCTCTTGAAACGGCGTTGCAGATGCGACTGCCGCAGTAGAGCTAGACATGGCTGTAGCGGTTGCAAAAGAGTTTGATGGAGAAATAGAGGTTGTTATCGATTCTGTAGCTAATGTCAGTTGATGTAAAGTGAGATTCAGATCCAACCAGTACCTGAGCTAGTAGTAGTCGCGGGTAGTTGTCGGAAAACTGTGAATGCTACCCAATAGCCTGCACAGAAGATATTGCTCGCCGAGGGTGTGCCGTATGGGACCGTTTCAAATATTGTCATAGTACGGCATTGATTGCTATAGTCGGACAAAAATGGCCGAGTATTAGTCTTGTACCTGAACTCGGTAGAATGATCAAAGCTTGAAACTCACCAGGTAGCAGTTTGGCCATTATCATATGTGATACTGTTATTTTGACAGGCTGTAGCGTAGGCACAAGATCCTGTTTTTGGACATCCACGAGCGTAGTTTCCGGAAGTAGTCCATGTTTCGGGATCTGTCAATGCTTGTGCTGGTAATCACTGTATCAGCCTGTGGTTCAGGAGATATCAATGTAAACTTTGATACTAAACTCACTTGTATGGGGTCCCATATACCACCCAATGAAGCCAGACTCCTTTTCCAGCGACGTGTCTATTGCGGTTCTCTGAGCGATGACTCCATAGTGTCTCAAATGTAGGCTTAGAAATAGTAGCCAAGGTACGATAGATGTCGAGAGAATGCGAACCATTGAGATTGATGAGCGAGTTTAAATGGTAGCCTTGGAACTAGGAATATCAATATAAAAAGGGGGAGTGCTCGATTGTATTATTTCTGGTGCCCAGATGGTTCACAAGCGCAACTGACTCGCCATATTGCAGGGGTTCAACGCAAACCGAATGGCATAGGCCAATATTCCCACTAGATATGTCGGCGTTCTCTAGATAATGAAGCAATTTTAAGCCGCCAATCAACATGTGCTGCCGGCACAGTGGGCGCCAATCAAAGATGGCGTCCAAGGCCCTAAAATTTATCGGGTCGACGCTAATGAAGCTATCCGAGGCGGACTGTGATCCGATACATGGCGAATAGCGGGTGGAGGTTAGAGGCGTGCGTCGATTCGCCAGGCAAAGAAAACGGCTCAGCCGCCCGCAAACTCCACAGGCGTCTCCTTAGCGCTTTGCTCCTGCTTTCAGGAAGATCTCCGGCGATCGAGGTGATAGCGATTTCTTATTTTTACTTCTTTCATCTCTTCACTGCAAATTCCCCCTTCTGCCTCTTGACCTTTGTTCCATTCTTTTTGTCCCATTCCGCGTCTTTGAGCGAATATATCGGTAATCCAACGTCCTTGTCTGGATGATGTTTTCTCCTTCCAACCTCACATCCTCCCGGTCGGCACGCATTTTTGCCCTGGCCATTCCACTTGTTATTTTCTATTCTTTCTTCGTGTGGAACCCATTACGTTTAATTGTGCCTAGTCCCGGTGGGCACCCTGCGCCGACCAAAATTGAAGAAGAGATCCCAGGCCCAAGCTCACAACCCTCTGCAAAGCCGCACCATGCCCCCATAGTGGGCCCCAACACCTCAATCTACAACATCCCTGATAAAGTTTGGCATTCAGCCAAGACTGTAGATGTGTCTGATAAGCAGCTGGGATGGATTAACAGTTGGACACATACGAATCCTTCATTCCGTGCAGAATTGTTGACGGATCGCTCTGGAGAGCAATTTGTCCACGCGCATTTCCAACACAGACCAGACATCATTGCAGTCTATGATGATTTACCCATCCCAATCTTGCGTGCTGATCTTCTTCGCTATCTAATTGTCCTTGCCGAGGGCGGGTATTGGAGTGATCTGGATGTCACCGCCGACAGACCATCCATCGACTGGGTTCCGTCTGAATATAAAAAGGAGGGTCTCAATATCGACATGATAGTGGGTTTGGAATTTGACTTTTCATACCGTGGACCTGGAACCGAAGTTGCGTCCCAGTTTTGTAACTGGGTCTTTGCTGCCCAGCCGTCCTCGCGGAACTTAGGGGTCATTGTCGATAAGGTTGTCAACACACTGAAGGAAATCGCCGCGAAAAACGGCGTTCCCGTCTCACGAATTACCCTTGAGATGCTTTCGGATGTTGTCAACGTCACTGGTCCAAAGATAATGACCATTGCAATCTTGGAGAGTCTTGGCCAGCTTTTGGGACGAACAGTCGACGACCGCGACTTTTCGGGCATCAAGCATCCAAAGCTTGTGGGAGATGTTTTAATTATGCCTGGTGTCTCGTTTGCTGCTGCACAGAATGGCTTTCCAACCGACCAAGGCAACGCTCTGGTTACACATCATTATGAAGGCTCTTGGAAGCAAGCAGACGCTGAGGCAAAGGAGAGAAAGAAACAAGCAGAGCAGATGTCTCAAAGTACATCCTAATTAATAGTTTATGTATCTCTAAATGCAATAATTATCTTGTTACTGTGATGGTCACCCTAGGGCCCCTGGGCCTGATGTTGACTTATTGGACGCATTCCGGTCAAGGGGTTCTTCGAGCCTAGCTAAAATGACAAACATCCGTGGACACAACCCAAACCACCTGGGCAATACCCGCCAACTTACTAGCACTGACTTCTGTCGGAGCCCGTCGGTGCGCAGTTTTTCAGGCTCCCTGCAGGTAGACAGCGTAGATTAAGAGAGCTCTCTCTCCCCTATCTTGCTCTCCTCGTCTCACAATAATCCGCATTACTATACATATCTGTGCTCTTCTTGATAATCTCATCAACACATGTTGATGCTTTGAGCCCATTCTGTACATACAACGCGGCAAGAATTTCTATTTGGACATGCACAAGTGACAAAGCTGCGCCGTTTTGTTTGACAACAGCCCACTCTTCTATCTGTGCCTTGTGAGATATGCTCTAGAATATAGTCCGATTATCTCAAGCAAAGAGCTTGTTTCTTGTAGAGTAGTTGCCACACGTCCTCATCAACTCTGCGTAATTTGGACATGGCGTCCATCTCTTCTTAAGATGCATTTCTTCTCTTTTCGTGCTCTTTGCAAGCCCCGGCAATCAATGAATCTCTGTACTTGAATTTGGCCGACCAATGAGTTCAGATACATGTTCAAGTCCACTGAATCTTTATTTTGCCGCTTTCCGAGCGACATTGATGGTATCGATCTCAGTTTCAAGGGGGTATGTGGTGAATTGTTACTATTGTGCCATATTTGGGTCTGGATATCTTACTCAGAGTCATCAATTGCGCAGACCTGTGAGATACTTGAAAGCTGCTTAGTCAAGCATGAAGATACCGAGGCTAATAATGACGGGATGAAACAGACAGGGAAGTCTGCAAGGCTTTCATCATTGGTTCTTTGGAGACTATTTAGTGGTAAGGACCGGTCAGATTCGACAACAGAAAATTCAATTGATTCAAATGTGGAGACGGCCTCCATACACTGACAGTACTTTACATGATGGTTGGACGACATTGACCAGAAGCAACCGCCCCTCTTCCGGTATTCGGGGGCCATTAGGATCGAGGAGAATAGTTCTTCTCGATATAGTCAGCAAATGCGGCCTGCTCAGCGACATCGGCCTCTTCAGCAAGTCTGACCTGTTCAGCAAATCTGGCTTGCTCGACGAGTCTCGCCTGTTCAGCAAGTCTGCCCTCCTCGGGGAATTCAAGCCAGCGCTGCTTTTGTTCGAAGGAAGCCGACAGGAGCTCATCCACTGCTCTGCTATCATAGCCGACGGGCTTGTAGATAGACAAAAACCACCGCAGGCCGGCGAGAGAGCAAGCGGTGTTGCAAAGTATGCTGAGGGTGGTGGATCGCTTGGCAGCATGCAGAAACAGAACCACAAACTCCACCCATTGCAGCACTGCCTCAGCGGTATCCATACCAGGGGGCTGTCGGAATTCAACCGTCTGGCGGCCGGTATCAAGCATGTTGGTCAGATTCCAGGCGAAGTATCGAGATCCTTGGAAGTTCATGAGTTCGACAAGGTGAGGGACAGAAACGCAGTCGTTCACGAGAAAGACACAATCGAGCATGGACCTTCCTTCAAGCGGCAAACTGTGGTAGCGGCTGCTTTGGAGGAGCTCGTTTCCAACTCTGTGCCGGGGAAGCAAGCTGTCAATGACCTTTTCGAAATACATTGCGTTGCGGGAAAGCTCCTTCAGTGTCTCCAACTTCCACGGTTCGCCAATTCGGGAGATGTGAATGTGCACTCCACAGGATGGGTTGACCTTGATCTCGCACACAGTCTTCAGCACGCGGAAAATCTCGTGGAGGTCGTCGCGCCAAGCGTTGGTCTCATCATAAGTGAGGACCGGGGAAACTAGTTCGAGGGGGACTATTGTCTGTTAGATCGACTATCCAACCAAAGCGAACACAGTATAGGCGGTCTTACGAGTATTCCATTCATAACTGACGACCGAGTTATCAGTTTTCAGAGACCAGAATTCAGGCCGGCGGCATGGTTTGTCCACCTTGTTCCGCAATTGGGCGGTCGGGCGGAGGTGAGGGTTGCATTCTGAGATGATTTGAGCGACAACCGCCCTCACCTTGCCCAATGGGTCAAAGGCGAAGTTGATTGGCTTCAGAATGAACTCAATCTCGATGCCAACCCGATACCGGGAGTACATCTTGAGGTGGTGGGATGGCGGGCCTGGGGATGTTAGAAATCTGAGAAGCGCCGACGAAGAAAGTCAACAAACCACCAAGAGAGAGGTCAATGGTAACTGAGACAAAAGAGACGGTGATGTGACGGTCGAGTGAGTGATATTCGAGGGTCTCTGATGGTAGTAATCTCGAAGCTCGCAGGTGAAAGGCGAAACAAGATGTGAGCGTGGAGAATCGACAACGACAACTACGAGACGAGAGACGCAGGCGAGCAAAACAGCACAACCAACACGTATTTAGCTCCCTATTACAGTCTACTTTTGTGTATAGCCGTCTATAGAAACGCCCTGGAACAATGGATACGATTTCTCAATCTTCTCGTATTCTAACTAGGCCGTTTTTCCTTTGCGTGCAGAATGCAGCGTGAATGCAGCGTGAACAAAGATAAACCAGCCATGGAGCGCTGCATTGGACAGATATTGAGGAAGAACAGTTCTTCTTCAAAGCAGGAATGGACATGCATCATGAGAATAGCTGTACCATTGTAGCACCAAGCTTCAATCGGGCCTTCGGGTATTCGGTTACCAAGTAGACGATGGTGTCGAGGGTCGCGCGACAAAAGTCATAATAAGCCTGTCACGTCGCTTTGTCGGTGGTGACACGGGATTGAAACTCATTCGACACAATTGTCGGCCAAAGGATCCTGAGAAAATCAGGATTGAATGAGATGACGGTGAGAGAGTTCTCATAGGGTACTGATGCCAAGATGCATGGTAAATGGTGTATCAGACCATGAGGAGTGAGGAATTGCGCGAATAGTAGACTCCAAAGCCGGGGGAATCACGGGACTACGGGTATGCTGCTATTGCCTGAAGCGCCATGTTGGTCAATTCTTGCATGTCGATATCATCATTATTGTGCGATTCATGGAGATACTTAGTGTTCTGTCATCGATTGAACAAGCTAGCCCCTATACCATGTCTACTGTTGAAGCTAGACTGTTGTTGTCTTGCGGTAGCATAAAATTACTGGATCAAGCTTAGCGCCCCTGCCATAGACTGACTGCCTTCGCATACACATTTCTGTGCTCCGTTCTTCGATTTCCTCCCATCTACCTTTCTCATCATCACCCAAAATGCGCATCCCCCGCACCCTCCGCAACTTGCCAGCATACTTCCGCTACCTGGACATGGGTGCGGCCGGCATCCTCCAATTGCCCGCATACGAGCTGGTATGTTCAACCAATCCAACGCCTTTTTTCCTATGATCAGAACTAATCATTAGAATGGCTATGCAGGACAATGATGGGTATATCATTCTGTACCCGGGTGAGGCCTTCTGCCGCGTTGCTGGCTGCCCTGGGCGCCGGGTGAGTGTCGAGATTGGAACTATAAACGCCAATGCATTCTGACTCGACGATCCACAGCATCGCTATACCTCAAGCCGAGCCCTCCGCGCCCATCTCAGCCGCCACCGCCTTCACCTTCGACCCGGTACCCGTGGAAGAATGGCCCCAGAGACCGAGCTGCGCATGATAGCTTGGTACCGGGAGGTCGTTGTGGCTGGCGTCCCTGCCGCCCCTGCCGCCGCCACAACCGCTACATGAGAAGGATAATGGCATACCAACTGAGATTGGCTCTACCAGCGAGCGAGTGAATAAACGAATTGAGCAAGCGACCCCAAAAGTTCCAGCGTTGTGCGTAGATCGTAGGTTGTAGATTCCTCATTGTTCTTGGTTTCTTTATTGAGCAGCAGTTTTCACGCCATTGCTTGACTGTAACCAGCCTTTCTGTCTTCATTTGGGATGAAACAAGAGTTAAGCTGCATATCTGAGCGAATGGCCGACTTATACTCCGTACTCCATAACCGAGATCTTATACTTCGCACTCGTATTCGTATTCGGGAATTATATAGATCGAGTGCGAATACGATTGCGAAGTATAAGATCTCGGTTACGGCCCCGGGGACTACGGAGTATAAGACAGCCATTCGCCCCATCAATCCCAAACTTGATGCCTCAAACTCCCAAAGCGTGGAAAATGGTCTCGACACTGGCCACCGGTTATTATATGCCTTTTCAGAGGGCCATTTCTCAAATCAGAGCTCTCGGGGATAAGACAGGATGCCTGAAGGATTTCCTTGAAGACAATCACATTTCGGGGATACCAAAAAAAGGCCCCTCAGAGACAATCGCAAATGATATGGAAATAGGGTGACCCCGAGGTTAACACTTTCCAACCCAAAGGGGGACATATCAACTCCGAAGACATCGACCGTTGCTGGGCACAGTTAACCCACCTCGATGGTACTACAATATCGCCAGTGCTCCCGAGCGCCTTGTCATCTAGGCACCTCTGTCACCCCGATATCACGAATAATGAAGATCGGCTTGACAACCGTCTCGTTCTCTTCCATGAATTGGTCCCTGTTTCAGGACGACTATTTGTGACTCCAAGGCTGCCACGGCACCCATTGGTGCGGCCTACCATACTTGCGCATATCTGGCTTTCCGCTGCAACTCGACGGCTCGGAATAGACCCTATCTGCAGCAGCTGATGAATGGCCATTTTATTCGCTCATGCTCCGGGCTAAAATGGGTTCAAACCTGACTTTTCTGCTAAGGCAGATGGCAGATGAATATTCCCTGAGATACACAATAAAAACCCAGGCATGGTGCTGGATCTTCCTTTGGTTTGGCTCAAACACTATGACAGCACCTTTGAAAATGTAGGGAATCCCCATCCAATCGAACCTCGGGTTGGACGCGGAGGTCATGATATGCGAAAGCACCCAATTCAAATCATGGATATTAGGATGAGATAACCGTCATAATCAAAGGAGAGTGTATCAAAATGTCGATATCGGGTCTTTGGTAAGTAACGTTTTATCTAGGCCGTTGAGTCAATGGTTTACCCTCGGCTGATTGATTGGCACACTCTTACAGATTTCTTGAACGTGGATGGATGTTCTGACCGACGCCGTCAGAAATCAATGACTACTCCGTGGGTCTTGTTTTGTTGAGGTCTTCCATATAATTATTGCCAAAAAAAGGCAACTTGTGCCCAGGTGTTTATTGTAGATAGGTGATATGTGACCAAATACAGGATCGATACTTGTCAACGAGTCATTAATCATGCGCTCGTGATTGGGAGCGGCAAAGGGAGTAAGAAGCGTTACTTCCTCTCCGCGGCAGCTGGGCGATATATCTCATCGGGCACGCCGACGCTTTTGTCCTCTGTCTAAGCTAAATGAGGCTCATATTATCCTTCTCTTCATTTTACGAGATGATATAAGCAGTATCAAAAGTCTGACGAGGGTCTGACTGCATGCGTACGATTTCCAATGTTCAGCTTTGTGCCAAGAGTTATTTGTAGTTATACGAGGTGGTCATCAGCCACTGCTTCCAAGGCTCATCAGACAAAAGCGGTCAGTATAGCTAGCTGAAAGAACCATAGATCCATGGATTGAAAAATGTAAAACGCATGTGAACATAAGCAGCCATTTTCATTTTGGTCTTGAATGCTAGTGTTGCTATCTTGGACTTGGGTGCCAAATTGATCTCTGAGAAATAACGACGCCTGTGGCTGGACGCCAAAAAATGCCCTATGCTGGCTTTTTGCACTGATTAAAAGGAACAAGCCACACTCGCTCTTCAATTTTATTACTTGGTTCGATCTAGATCATCAGCCCTGGTGGTGTTCCGGGAGGGCCTAGTTGCAGAGATTCAGCTGGAAGTGACATCGCAATGACATAGGTATATGGTACCGTATCGCTCAATTTCTTTCCATAAATATTGAGATCCAAGCAATTAATTGTTCCATATCTTATTTTCTCAAGTTCCACAGTACCGTATAGTTTGCCCAGAATGCCATCTCGATTCGCCCAGGTCATTCCTCGACAGGTTGGTGAATACCTGGAGCAAGCACCACAATACACAGGATCTCCTTGGGAGCTTTTTATCTACGACATCAAGCTTTTCTTTCGCAACATCTTATATATGCCATGCATGTTTTTCCCCTTGGCACCTTGGCCGTCTGGACCTCTTGACGAACAATATCCTTCACTCGCCAACATATGTGATATCTCGCTCCACGTCATTCTTTTCGTCGCTCAACTCGGGTTTTTGATTTCATTGCCCTTCTTGCTTTATTTCCCTGTCTCCATTTTTGCATCGTACATAATGGGTGTACTTCTGTTGAACTTCACAATATGTCGACTTTTGAACCGAGGTATCCCCAAAGATGGATTGAAATCGACCGAGGATGAATACACGCAACAGTGGCAGAGCCATGATGATGAGCGTTGGATATTTCTGAACGGGATATGTGTTGGGTGAGATTAGCCAACGATTGCCCAAGTGGTTTGTTTGTGCTGACGAGTGGACGCAGAAAAAACTGGTTACAAAACAATGTTGATCGGCTTTCACGAACTTTCCACCGTCCGATTGTCGGCGTCCACAACAAAACGTACGTGTCTCAAAGTCTGCAACACTGCGTGTTTGCTAACCCTTTCCAGCTCTGGTGTCGTGTTTGATATAATTCAGTGTCTCATTCAGCGATCCTTCCTTTTCGCGACGCCGGATGTCCGAGAATGCTACGTCCTGGTAAAAAAGGCTCTTTACCAACCAGGTGTCAAAAGGGTAGTTCTGATTCTCCACTCCCAAGGTGGCATCGAGGGAGGCATGATTGTGGATTGGCTGCTCAACGAGGTACCCCAAGACCTTCTGCAGTATCTCGAGATCTACACGTTTGGAATTATTGCGAACCACTTCAACAATCCATACCGTGACGTTTTCGTGCACACCAAACAGTCTCGCATGATGCAGAACGGTGAACCCACCAGGAGAAGACACAACAGAGCCATTTCTCACATCGAGCACTACGCCAATAGCAATGACTTTGCGTGCAGGTTCGGAGTTCTTCACTTTACCAAGCAACTACCCACGCATCCTCTCCAAAACAGGTTCTTGGGGAAAGTGTTCATCAACCCAAGACCTGGGCATCAGCTTAATCAACATTATCTCGATTCAATGTTTCCCCTTGATCCCACCAATCGCTTTGCACGCGATCCTCAACCTGGGGACTTCATGGACCTCAAAGTGTTCATTGAGGGAGAAAGTCCTCAGGGGAAGCCTCTGCAACACGACGAAAATTATATGGTGTCGGCGATATCGAAGACCAAGGGGGCCTTGCGGATCTCCACAGGAGAGACAGGTGACGAGACCGCAATATCCAATTTGAGTCCGGTACTTCCGTCGACGGATGGTGAACGGTGGAAAGGCAACTCCGACATATCTAGCCCGCCGCCATTGTGCCAGCTGAAAACTCAGGACGTAAGTAGATTGTGGCAATATCGAAACGGCGGTCGTCCAGTGTAATTCTTCAGGGCTGTGTTTCAGTTTGTGTTGGATGCGATGCTGCATCCATGGATGTTTATTATGAAGTCAAATGTTGAGATATTATACCGTTTGGGCCCAGAAAAACGTTGTAGCAGGGCACAGCGGCTATGACTTGGCCGCTCACATTCAGGGACAGACCAATCTTTACTATTACATTGCGAAAAGAAGAGTGTTGAAATCCAAAACCAGTCATATCAATTGAAAAGGGAAAGAAATTGCGGAGGCTAGAATACAGAATCTATTGGGGTCGCCGAAACAAGATGAAAACGCCCGCCAAAGTATATGGCTTCTTATGTCGGCCCAATGCGATTATACACTAAAGTCGAGAAGGGGAGGGCTCCACATCTTGGGGGAATCGAAATAAACAAAGGAAACCGCTCTCCAACTCAACTTTAAACAAGGGCGTAGATCAGTACGTCCATCTCTATGCCAGAACCTTTTCTCTCCATCTAAACCATGCGAAGTGTTGCAATGTCAACGAGACGCTTATTTGGAGATCTCAGTGCCGTTGGTGGCACCGAGAGCCTTCTTGATGTCACCGTAGATGGCGAACTGACCGGCGGTGATACCACCGACCATGACCAGACGGGTAGGGAGACCAGCGAAGGCACCACGGAAACCAAGCTCACCAGCGATCTTGACGAGACGGCCGACGGTACCCTCACCAGGGGCAGCCTTGGTCTTGTTGATCTTGGAAAGCATGGTGTCAGCGGGCTGGGAGACGATGGCAGCAGCGAAACCGGCAAGGAGACCAGCTCCGAGGTTGACAGTGGTCTGGGCACCGTCGGACATCTTGGACTTGTCGAACTGAGCGAAGATCAACTCAGAGAACTTCTCGAAAGCGACGAACTTGGTGACGGTGTAGGGGACCCTGTGGAGGTATGTTAGTCCAAAGTTCATTTATGCATGTCATGATGCCAAAATGCTTATTTTGTCCGAGGAAAACTTACTGCTTGAGGAGGATAGGTCCGAAACCACCGTAGAAGGCACCAACACCCTCGTTCTTGAGGATCTTACCGAAACCGCCGATGAGACCGTTGGCGAAGCCAGGGGTGGAGACGAGACGGATACGGGTAGCCTCAAGAGGGCAGAGGGCGATGGAAGCGAAGAACTCAGCAGCAGCGGCAGAGACGGAGTAGATGGCAGCGCGGTTCTCGCGGGCCTTCTCGATACCGACAGTCTGGACGGCCTTGGCCTTGAAGAACTCATAACCTCCGAACTTAAAGGCACCCTGGGCGAAGTAACCAGCGAAGGTAGGACCGGCACCGGTCAAGAGAGCACCAGCACCCTCGTTCTTAACGACCTGGCGGAAGGCGCTGAACATACCCTTGTTGTAGGTGGCGGGGTCCAGCTGGATCTTGGTCTTGACGCTGTGTAATGGTCAGTTCGCCGGTCCAAACAAAGGGACCCGGGTAACGGGTCAGACTTACACATCGACGGGAGTGAAAGCACCGTGGGTGACGGAGCAGCAGACGGCACCGGCAAAGGCGAAACGGGCGATGAGGTCGGCGCCCTGGGGGCCCTTCTGGGTGGGAGCGGGAGCAGACATTGCGACGCGGAGGTTTAGAGTGGAGTGGGAAGAGGAGTGATCGGAGATTGAAGAGGTAAAAATTTGAGAAGGGGACACCACAAGGGGGCTGGTCATGCCAAGGAATTCATCCCTACCGGCTCGTCATGTGAAGTCACGTGTCTTGCTCAGGGCCGATGCTCATACGTCTGTCCGTTTCCACTAGGGAAGTCCACGGGTAGCATATCTCCACCCGGTTGGCGACATAATTTTTGTTCACTGCTCTGTTCACCCTGGGGGAGACTAAGAACCCGCCAAAGCTCTCCATCACGGTGAGACCCATCTTAGCCACTAACCACCTTCACCTCCCAATCTCTTCCCAGAGTGTTCTGACCCAGACAGCCCCGACAAGAGGTCAATGCTTTGATATCGGGCTGTTTCGGGATTGAACTCAATGACGGAACCGAACCTTGGAAGCACCGAAATCTTTACACCGAGTTTGGGTCGTCGAATTCCAGAACCATGCCTGATTCGGAAGTAAACTACATACTATACATTCCACGCAATTTAAGTCAAAAAGGAAATATATCTTCCACCACTGATAAAGTAGTGGTATTTCTGCTCCTTCCAAGGTCGTTCTTGATTAGGAGCTGTCACAATTATCCACGTATTCGTGAGCAAATTCAAACAGTACACTCTGTCCAGAAGTATACCCGCGGGAGTATAATTCCACAACTCCCGAGATCCCCTTTTACAACATCGGCTCTGGAATACCCTCAATTTCAAGCTGTTATGGAAAAAGACAATTCTTTCAATCCTTCACAACTCGCGATTAGACTTCTGTGAGCCGCACGACCCGCTCTATTCCGGTAACCCGGTGACGTCGGAGCGTCGCGGGTCGGGTCTCGGATGAGCGGCAACAACAAACAAACTCAATGTGATGCATTGGTTGCTATACAGTTCACACAGGTGTATCACACAGCAAACACCATTCTTGTGACAGATTTGAATGAATTCCACCTGACTGGAATTGGGAACAGCTAGGCAGTGTTGAAACCACCATTCTTTGCGTGCGAAAAGGGACACGATGCCATAGTCCTGCTTTTGATGACTTCAATGTCGGACATCATTTCTGTCTGTCCCTTCTCCTTCTGAGGGCTCGGTCCGATGGTCATCAGGTCATAGCCTTGTGGGTGATAACGATCTCCCCGCGCGCCAGGCACCTTCCCGCCCAAGGCTCGGACAAGCAGAGCCCCAGGTCCCCATCTGGACCAGAAGTTGGGCTCCATGTACCATGGCTGAAGCGTTTTCCTTCTGAAACTATAAAGCCCTGTTTCGGCATTGGGGAGCTCACTCACAAGCTTCAGGGCGCCTGCTCGTGGGAGCGAGAAATGCCTCAGGAATATTTTCCGCGCTTCCCGGATTGAAATAAGCAAGGTTGAGTAGATCAGACCCGGGGATTCCAGACTAGGATGGTTAGTTACGACACGAACCATGTCTGGCTGAGAACAACAGATATCTCGCACTCTCAGGGAAGCAAGTGCGATTGCCATACTTACCACAGACTTGTCCTCATAACATTATCCAAGCTGGCTCCCAGCATTTGTCGAACGGCGATGCGAACGAAAGCGGGAAGCGATGATAGCGCTGAATCAACATATACTCGGACGTATTGGTCATTTGTCGCCGTGGGCTTGGCGACTTCCTGCTCATATCGCAAAGTCCACTCTTGCAGCTCATTTGCAAAATGCAAGCCGTTGGTCCAACCCTCCTTACTCGAAGCAAGTTTGTCGAAGGGTATCCCCATGTCTTCTCCTAGGTTCTTGTGGAAGACACCTAGCGCACACAATTCAACCTCGGTAAGGGCTCGCCATTCTTCTCTGTTGATCACATCGACAATCTCGAAGAGCCCATCACCAAGCGTGTGAAGAAGATCGTCATCGGTAATTTTGTCTGCTTTACGATACCGAGCGTGGCTGAATATAATATTTGTCAGATATTCGCACGATCTCTCAGTTGTCATCTTCAAGGAGAATGACTTCAACCCTAACGTGGAAACTCACAGGTAGTTCATTCTCGCCACAGCGCGTTGATATCGATCAGAATCTCTGGCCTTGGATTGCGCTTCCCTTAACAGAATTTCCGTATCCACCGCACGCTTTCCAGAGTTCCGCTTGTTGTTTTGACCAGTTACTGCGAACAACTTCGACATGGTCGGAATAGCCCCGGCCTGATCGTTGATGACCACGAATCAGTTCAATTTCCTACTCTTATCCACCACAAATCAATGGAAGATGCCATACCTTCAACAAAGCGATTTTTCGAGCTTTTCCGAATGCGTATGGAAACTCGAACTCCTGCAACTGAGAAATAATTCCATGTGCTTCGTCTGTTGTCATGGTCGACAACTCTCTCCGGCCGTGCAGGAAAGGGACCTCGATAGAGGCCATGCGCTCGTAACGGCGGAATTTTACCACAACCATGTAACCCACGATAACTGCAACCGCAATACATTTGTAACTGCCCATGGTTGTCTGCATTAAGCTGAATGGATCCGACATCTTGGAATATGGCACAGGCAATGTTGTTATTTCAACCAACGACCTGGAAAAAAAGTTGGGAATTCGGTCGATGGTGATCTTTGATCAATTTGATGGTGCGGTGAAGGGAAATACCTCTGTATTCAGAAGGGGACGTATCCAATCTAATATATCGCAGTAGACTATTCATGACCCAACAAAATTTGTCAGGTTTGAACTTGACAAAAAAATGACGAGGTGAGCCATATTGTTGGGCCTCGGCGCTGGCAAGCCTGTAGCTCCAGTGTGGATTTCTGAAGTTGATAATGTAATCAGAATTCGAACACTGGAAGTCCTAAAGGCTGCTTTTGAACATGATGTTCATGTGAAGCGGGCGGCTGGTTGATAATTCAGTCATTTTCTTTTATTATGGGAAGACTTAATTTGATGTTACATCTTGACTGCGGCATGAAAAGCTATATCAACATCTGATCGACGAAAACCGGGAGCCCGCCCTAGTATAGCCATACAAGACCGTAGTCCTAATAATAAATCATGTTAGAAAAACCTTCGTGCAAAAACCGACGATTTCGCTTACTTTCTGTAAAGTACTCCAGGTCGAATGTAAGGTTTTGAGAAAACCTCGGAGATGTTCCAGGTCCGCTATCTAAACGGTGTCAGCGGAACTCAACCTAGGGACTTTATCGCTCAATCAAATCAATGTTGGAACTTACCACTCGGAACATATCTCATAGTGGGACAGACTGTAGACTCGTCGAGTTGCACGCCTCTTGCTTTCAGATATCCTTCAACATCCCGGCAATCGAACCAATCACCACCAAATCCACAGAGCTCAAGTTGGGCTTGCTGGGTCTGGGAGATATCATTTTGGGGATCCCCTTCCTTCGACATGGGTAGGATACCCAGTATTCGTCGCGGGACCCTCGAATTTGGGGGATACATAGGATTACCGGCATCATCAATATCAGCATAGTGCGTTCCGGCGCCACCTATGGTATAGAATGGCAGGCTGCTGATTTCCAGCGAATGACCACGGTTAGATGTCACTAGCTCTTTGAAATAGGGGTACATTTTCGCCCTTTCGCGGAAACATGGAACAAGTCTGAACAGTCGAAAGACCTCATGCGGGTCTGAGTGTGGATCGTCGAAAATCTGAAAAGCGTATTCTAGACTGAATCGTTTCAGTCTGCGTGCGAAAGACGTCTCCAAGAAGGAGTATGTATAATTCAATTGAGCCCCAACAGATCTGTCGACTGTTTCTGACATTGGGTTCTTTCGTTCGGTATTCGAACAACTTTCCCTGGAGTTGCTTCCGGCAGGTAACATCATCCCCTCTGTATCCCCAGAAAGATTTGGAGATTTTCTCATTGCCGAAAACTTGCTCAAGGCTAAGTCAGGGATATCCTGGTAGCCACTGGCAGCAAAATTGGATGCCCGATCATTTTGTGGGACGGCACTAGAGCAGTAATTTGTCAACTGCTTTGAGCTTGCTATCCGGGTAACGCTGTTTGAAATGTCGACCTGGTTCCCACCCGGTATAATTTTCAAACGGTCTAATATGCGCTCGCATCCACCAAGGAGCTCTGGATGTGTGCCGTGTAATGTGGCTTGTAACCTATCTCGATGCTCTCGGAGTAGTTGACCAATTTCTGTAAGCTTGTGCTCCAGCTCACAAACGCGTTGTTGGGAGCTCTGAATACAAGCATCTTTTTTCAACCTATAGGTTCTCTGAGCACGTCGAATTTGGATTCGCCGATCCTAAGCGGGGCGTCAGATGCTAAATTTCCTACCATTTTGTAGATCAAACAAAAGTGACAAGAAATATGAACAATGGAGACGCACCTCGGATAGTTTAGCGGCGGTCGCATCGAGTCTAGGCCGCCCTTCACTCTTATGTTGCCGCCGCTGCCTGGACGGGGCCGCTGCGGTCGACTGGGCTTGTGGCATATTGTCCCGCTTGTGGTCAAACGCAGCTTGATTTTCACAGTGCCCAAGGTTATTTTGCTCGTGATTGAGGCAGGATGTCGAAATTCTGGATGTTGGAACAATTTTTGCCAGACTGCTGGAGTAAAACCTAGATTACATTATCAACCAGCGGATAATGTAATCGTCCCAACTCATGCCGAGGCATAATAGTTGGTTGTCTGCTCAAAATGTTGAGTCACAAATTTTAGATTGTTGAGATTGAGAATTGTGGTGGAATCGATAAAGACTTTTCTGTGCTCCATAGTTAACTCGAGTCCTAGTTTTTGCGCAGCGGATTCGATATTTTCAGCCGAAGGACTTTGCGTGGGTGGCGCACCATCCCCACGTTATTTTGACTGTATCATTCCAACGCCAATGTTCAGACTAGGTTTTGCTTTGCCATGCTGTATATTTGCAACTTGCATGGCACTGATGAAGGGAACCGAGTTTTCTGTTTTTACTGACTTGGTCACTTTAGAAGCCGCCAATGGTCATGTAAAAAAGGCCGATTTTCTCTACATGGAGGCTCAGGGAAATCCATGAAGCACAGAGAAAAGAATGACATGGTCACAGGAGAACTCCAGTGAGAGTCAATCCACATTTACAAACGCCGACTTGAGGATTCTGGTGTCACTTCGGGAGTCATACACTTCCCTCAGTTTGATTGGCACGGCTTAGGTATCACACCAGAGGCTCATAAAGACCACCAGCCTCACTCCATTGGGTTTGGATTTTGTTCCAGGTTATCAATTCTCGGTGGTTTCACACATTTTATAATGCCTGAGTGAAGTCAGACACTGCTTCAAAGTGGAACTTGGGTGCTGGAAATGTATAGTATAACCCACACTCATCCAGCTCAACCTGTTTCGGCATAATCCGTTTGTCAGTCATAAATTGGCGCTAACCAGGCTTTGCAATCTGTATTTCCCATGGAACAATGGGTATAACCATGGAGGTATCACGATCAGTGCTTCCGAAGTTGGGGCTTTGAATCAACTTCCCAATACATCTCAGGTAGCACAACACTGAAAAAATATCCCAATCAGATCTCGCAGAATAGTTCTATTCAGTACTTTTTCTCCATTCAAAGTTGAGTACGTCAATTGAGTCTCACGAACTCACACGGATGTCCTTCCAACATGTTCGAACACCCCTGAGTGTGTGTCAATTTCGCCCGCTTTGTGATAGCCATGCGTTCTGGTATAAAATCCCGATTACCCTATCACTTGATTGATAAGTGTCACGAAGGCGATCCTGCAAGCAGAGATAGTTTTACAGCGAGCAACATCCAAAAAAGCCGCGCTCTATGAGCCAGGCTCAAGATGACCGACGACCAAATGAGATCGCTGCATATGTGTGTGGGTTCAGCTTAGCACTCACCGCTGTAATTGCACGGGCAACATCTCGAATCCGCGCAAAGGTCAAATTCGGCGCGGATGACTGGATGATATTTCTTGCAACTGTATGCTTCGGTGATGTTCCTGAGCCCCATATGTTCTGATGGAAGGATAGGTCTCCTTGATTGCATATGTTGTGCTTATAGCACTGGCGATTCGTAACGGAGAGGGTCGACATGTGATATTCCTCAAAAGTTTGAAGTCATTCATGCAGGTAAACATCATTCTCCTCCCGAGGTGACTTGGCTCTTGAATCCACTTGTTGACATGTTGGGCCGGCGAGAACAGGAATATGTCGGATCCGTGATTTGCTATTCGACTACCCTGATGCTCACGAAAATTTCAATCCTGATATTTTATCGCCGAATCTTCCAGCTACAGTGGTTGCTTGTGGTATCGTATATCATCGGCATCATGGTCATCATATACACCTTGGCCGTCATTCTTGTGGTGTCGCTTCAGTGCATCCCACTTTCTTCCACATGGACAGGAAAGCCGGCGAGGTGCATCAACAAGGGCTTGCCGTTCATTATCCTAGGGTAAGTAAGAGAAAAGGTGAAAAGAGGTGAAGGCTTGATCGACCGCCATGCTCATCCAGATGGTTTTATAGGGTTGTCAATGTGATGACAGATGTTGCTATACTAGCATTGCCAGTACAACCAGTTATTGGATTGAACATGAGGACCAAACGTAAAGTGCAGGTGCTGGGTGTCTTCTTTTCTGGAGCAGTGTACGTATGCCCCGCGAGAAACTGTATCTCATACACACGGTCACTGACACCGACAGTGTTTGCGTTTTTGGAATTGTTCGATGTGTGGTGATTTTCCATATTAAGCCTGGAGATCCAAGCTGTAAGAGCCATCATATCCGTAATTTTATGAAATACTCAAACCATCTCAGGGAATGTGGCTTATTCGGGAATATGGTCATTTGTCGAGGTCTCAGTTGGAATTGTGGCCGCATGTTTGCCGACCTTAGCCTCATTATTCAAGAGATGATGCGAGCGATGGGGTCCTCGAGTGGTTTGAGTGACGTGACGGAATTCTGGAAATGGCCAGTCGTCGCTGTCATCATTGGAGCTAGAGTCTTCAGAAACTTCCGTTTCTTCCGCGTTTCCTGGGTTTGCCGAGGTGGAGCAGGACATTAAGTGAGATTCAGCTCGAATTCGTAGTGCATTTAGGTCAATTGGACCTGCATATCCAGGGAAGTCGTCTGTGTCGATGATCTCCTGGGGATCGACCTCCTCGTCTTCGGAAAGAGGATCTCCAGTGGGTTTGAAGTCAGGGTCTTCCTAATCTGAATCGGGGAAGACATAGCTTTCGCTTTGATTCGCGAGTTCCAGGAATGTGTCGACGAGATGAGGCCAGAGATTTTCATCAACCCACAGTGAGTAAGAAGCTGGTTTGATAGCTCGGGTGTGTCGAAGGCGGAGAGGCCAGCGTTGTGCCCCCTGTCTTCGGGGGGCGCCTAGCCTCATTGAGATCCCCTCGTTATACATCACGGCTGAATTGCAACAGGCCTAGCTACCCAGGTTTAGAGAATGCTATTTGGCAAATGGGAAGAAGAGGAAGTTAGTTGGCGCAAACCGCGTAAACAATAGCCATTCTGCCACTTCGGACCGCCCAGTACAACTATCGCGTCGATCGACACTTCTTATCAGTCTCAACATTGTCTGCAGCATGTTGACTGCTCATATTTTTCTATCACTTCGAATAATACACTTTGTCAGGAAATGAGAATGGAGCTCATTTCACGCGACACTTGCTGACCGCTTGTCCTTTACTAAACTCCTGGCCGGCCACCGTTTCTCCACCGTAGCTATCACAACCGTCAAGATGAGCTCGACTGCAAAGAACATCGCAGCGATCTGATATCCAATCTTGAAGTGTGGCTGCTGGCCGGTGTTATATGCCAAAAGCGGCACCCACGCGTTGAATGTGAAAGCGACCGCCTCCATCACTCCAATGACCACAACCCGATGCTCAGCGGAGAACCCACACGTTTCACTTACCCACGAGGTGAAGATGATGCCCGCACCTAGGCCTCGCCAAAACCCGCCCACCGCCCAAACCCGCCCGCGAAAACCCAGCCCATGGGCCGGGTTGGGTCTTAGTCAGCAAACCCGGGGGCGGGTTGTCATCCGGGAAACCCAACCCAAGACCCAAATGGGTACCCGCGATTACCCAAAAAAGCAAAAAAAGCTGACTGATCATTTTACACTAAGTTATGCAGTAATTTTCGATTATCTAATTGTTTCGATGGCGTAACTACTAGCTTCTAGCTGAGAATATTTGGAAAGGAACATGAAGGGCTTGTAAAAATCAAATTGGCTAATTATTAAAGACTAGTATACCTCGTAACCTCGCAGTCTGCTGGAGGGCATTGTTACCCGACCAGAAGATCTCTTCTGGCTTCTATCACTCAATTGCATGATTGGAGGCGGAAGTAAATCTGCTTCGTCGTAATCAACCACGTCTTCCTCCATACTCTCTTCTTCTTGTTCAGGTTCGTGAATATGTCTGTGTATAGAGCTCCGGCCGGTCTCTACCACCGTACACTCCACTTGGTATGTCCCCTCTGGCTCAGAGTTACCCTCGAGATTCTCGCTCTCTTCAATCTCCTCATTGTCGCTGATCGGCTCTGCATCCTCTTCGATTGCCTTCAACGCTTCATCCTCTTCAAGTGCCTCTTGGCTCTCGCTCTCCAACGGTTTCTCCAGACGAATCAATTGCTGTCCCTCTAGTGTGAGCTTTTCTGAGCACATGTACATCATCAAGTCTTGAATAGTCCCTTCGTGAAGAGACCCTCGGCGATAATGACAAATGTCTCGTGCGCTATTGAAGAGCCTTTCTACACCCGCGCCGGTGGCAGGGACTGAAAGCAAGTCTCGTGCGAGCCGAGACAGCACTGGGAATTCGCGCTCGTGTTCTTTCCAATAAAGTCGCGGCGACACAGGGACATTGGCTATTCGAGGTCAGTCAGTTGTTCTAGTGTGTTGTACTGATTGCTCGTGCCTTCGCGAAGATACTGGTCCACTTCGTCATACTCTACTCCTTCATGGAAAATCGCTGCACCAGGTGGCTCGAGTAGCCGATCAAGCTCTGTGCTATGCGAATTGGAAGATCGCTGGACCGTACGGAATAGCAACTCGGGGTTCTGCTGCTGATACTGTGTGAAAGATGCTCTCAAATATTCACAGTACCTTTTTGACGTATCTTCATGGCAAGTTGAGTACTCTCGATCATCAAAAGCACTCAGTTTATACTGAGGGGCAAGTAATGTTCCAGTGCCATAGAGAAAACCGTGGTCGCGGTAGGTTTTTTCGTAGTACTCTTTCAGCTTCTGCCTCGCCACAAGCAACGCGCCATACATGTCTTTCTTCCAGGGTGTTGTCTTTCTCTTCAATCTTCGATTCGACCGTTCGATATGCTCCAGTAGTTTCCTATACACAAGGAACACACTATGGATTGTGACGTCTCTGGTCTTCATCAGAGCCATGGTGAACTGAAAAAACGGTTTGGTCAAATGAACGAGGTAGTCAATTTGCCTCCATTCAACGTCGGTAACCTTGAGCTGCGAGTATTCATGATCGCAGCAGTATTTGTCGATTACATTTCTCAGCCGGCGTGCTCGGCGAAGCATCAAAAAAGTTGAATTCCAGCGTGTCTGAACGTCATGTAACGGAAAAAGCCGAGTACCACCTGATTGGAGGCATAAAAAAGCATCACGCCGTTGTGGGCTTGCGTTGACAAAGATCGCAAAGGATCGAATCTAATGCTGTCAGTGCTCTGAGTATATTGAAAAAGTGAATATCTTGGCTCACCTTTGTCAGTGTATGAGCCACGTCTCCATAGTTGATCGAATCCTTCAACCCGTGGGCTTGGGTGTCGGACCAAAAGGCTCTGACTTCTTTATTCTTAGGTGCTGCCCTGATATGTCCCAGTAGCTGTTTCAGGCAAAGCTGGATCACATGAGCCATGCAGGGAACCCGGACTATTGATTCCCTGGAGCTAATAGCTCCGATAGAGAGCAGTCTCTCTTGCAAGGCGCGTATCATGGTGTCGTTGTTGGTAGCGTTGTCTGTAGTAACGCTAAAAATACGATCGAGAAGTTTTCGTTCCTCCAGTAACCGGTGCAAAACATCACTAAGGTTGTTGCCTGTATGAGGACCGTGCAACGGCTCAAAGCCGAGGAGCATTTCCCTATAGTTCCAATCTTTGTCGATGAAATAAACCGTGATTGCCATGAATGCCTGCTGAAATGGACTGGTCCAACAATCTAAAGCGAGGGAAACCTTGGCATCTTCAGGCAGATCTTGTAACTGTAACTCTTGCTGGCAATTGACTGCATCCCGGAGCCGCCTCCGCAGGGTCTTCGCTGACGGAAGTTCCAATTCTCCGGGACCAGAATATAAAAGGCTGAGTAGCCTCTGAAACACCGGGTTCTCCACCGTCTGGAAAGGCAAACGAAGACACGTAATTGTCTTCAATATCTGCTCCTCGATTTGAAATGTTGTCACTCTGTGGACACTGGGTGAGTCTCTCGTGAAATGGTTCTGCAAAGAATCCGAAATCAATGACTGATTAAATCCCTTTTTCTTCCCTTTACGACAAGTATTAGACTTTTTGTGTCTACTCATGGCGCTTGTCCCATTCCCTTTATACTGTGGATGATCAAGCACAGTGAGACAAGCCTGGCAGATGACTCGAGGACGCCCAGAATCAATATCAGCCACCTGGTCAAAGTGTTTCCACACATCAGCGTGACGCGATCCGGTGGACCATTTGATCTGGGATTGGCCTTCTCCGTTCAGCTTTTGGCCGTATTCTGTTTCCTTCCACCATTCAAGAAACTCTGTCTCTAGATGCGACTCGTACGCAATCCATTTCTTTCTGTGCTGAGGTCCCACACGTCGGAGTGTCGCTGGAGGTCTTCGAGTAGTTATGTCGTACGTTTTGCGGGGTCCTGTCAAAGGCTGCGGTCCATCTTAGTATACAAGTAGGTAGCGCCGCAACACTCAGAGGCTAGTGGAAAGGACCATTTTCTTACGGGGGATTGAATGTCAGAATCCAAGAAGCCGTCAGATGACGGCTCAATGGAGAGCAGTGGACTGAAAGGCCGATGTATTGATCGCGATGATGAGGAAGAAGACGCCATACTGAAGTAAAAGGCCACTGGTATTGGAAGAAGGGGGGATTTTTTTCATCTTGAGTACTTGATTGTGGATTTTGTTCCAGTCGCGTCGTGCGTTTGGATCTATCTATTCCTGAGTCGCGTAAAACCCGCGGGTACCCAAAACCCAACCCAACCCAACCCGCCCGGAGATGAATACGACTTTGGGAGGACACTGAGAAGGTCCAAAACACTGATTTTAAATGATCGAACTAAGGATAATATTTTTGAGCTCACTCGAAAGATTCTCAATTGATGAATTTACATAAAATCATCAATGTGGCCTGTAATCCCTTCAGATGTGTAAAGCAGGGCGATGGGGGCAGTGATCTACATTTAGAGAATATATATTTCCAGGTCGATGGCGTTCATAGTTTCAGTGTAATATCCACTCAAAAGCGTTACAGAAATAAATGACCAAAATTACACCAGATGACTAATCAAGTTTATCCACGATTTATGCATGTTTTTGGGTATTTTGGGCAACCCGCGGGTACCCGCCAAGAGCCCATGGGCGGGTTCATCAAGGCCAAAACCCGCGGTGGGTTGCCCATGGGCGGGTAAGGAAATTGAAAACCCAACCCAAACCCGCGTTTGGCGAGGTCTACCCGCACCTGTCTCGATATACGTCAACAGCCACCCCGCCATCATTGCTGCTGTGTTGTGAGCCGGCCAGATGGATAGAATGATGGTTCCGATCAGCGCGGGCACACAGGCAAACACAATGACCGGCCAGCGCATCTTCAGAAAGTCACTGGTCCAGGCATACAGGAGGGTAAAGATGATTTGCAGGCCATATCCCGCAGATGGAATGACGTTGACCTGCTCGACTGTGTATCTGCCAGTTGACTTTAACCACACGTTGAAATAGGAGTATATGCGCAGCCCGCAGACGTGAGCAATAAAAACCGTGGAGAATAACCACACAGGCCATGTGCGGAAGACATCCACAAAAGTCCGCCAAGTGAGTTTGGCAGCTGGAGCTCGACCGACAGCCTCCATTCTTTGCTCGGCATATTTGGCATCTTCTTTACTCAGCCATCTTGCCCTCGAGTCGCTGGGTCCATCCGGAATCGCCCAAAACCCATACAAAGCAATAGGTATACCGAGAATTCCATCAAATATAAACAGCCATTGCCAAGCGGCCAGGCCTGCACGCCCATCCATCCCGGAGTACAAGGCTGCTTGGAGATACCCCGAAAACATGTTTGCTGCGCTTGAAGATGCCTGGAAAATAGCACTTCGTTTCGCCAGTTCTTGTGGCGTGTACCAGTTCCCGAGAAGGGTGATGATGCCTGGGTATGCGGAAGCCTCGAAAAGACCAATGAAAAATCGTAACGCGAAGATGGTTTTCGCGCTCTTCGCACTTGCCAGAGCCATCACGAAGATACTCCATGATATCTCGAGTGCCGGTAACCAGATGGATGGGCGGATCTTGGTGAGTATCAGCTGGGATGGAATCTGCCCGATGATATAACCGATGTTCCAGTATGTGGTGAGATAGTTGAGGTCATTCCCCTTCAGGTCGAGGGCCTCTTTCATGCCTGAGACGTAGGCATTGGAAGTCTGTGGACATTAGCTGACATTCTGAATCTTTTGGACTGCACCTACATTTGACTGATCCAAAGATTTGATAAAATATGCCGTGCATGCGTAGCTCAATAGCCACCAGTCCACTTTTTGGACTAGTTTGCGCTCACGGGGCGACTTGTCCCACGTATCCCATACTGCAGCCTTGAGACGAGCCCGCTTGGTCTGCTGTATCGGCTGTAGCTGTGGCTCGTCTTCGCCTTGTTTGACCTCCTGGCTTTTCGCCTCGGGTTTGGTGCTAAGCTGGTCGCCGAGGGTGGAAGACATCGTCGGCGCAGTAAACAGCAGATCTGAGAACAATCTCACACTTCCCGGGATTGAACATCATTAATGGGATACTATCTATACTGATGCCGTTATTCTCAATTGTTTGTGTTTAGCACATCATTACCCACCGGCGCGAGCCCGATTATTCTTACCGAATTGGGACGGGATTGCGCGTTATCTTAGCGGATGGCGCGAGACAATCTGTAGGTTTTCTCAACTTCACCTGGACGCTTTTCGAAAAAAGCCCTCCGACTCTTTCTAGAAAGACAATTATCGAAATTCGAAAACGAAATGAAACCCATCAGGTGATGTTTCCGAATTAGTGCTTTTCGTAGTTCACCGACTTCTTCCCTTTTAGATCTTGCTACGCCCGAGTCAGCTTTCTCCATATTTGTACACATCAGTTAAGATCAAAGCTTCAACTCGAGTGTCTGAAATCAATTGCTATGCATGTTGAACGGGTTGCTGTCATTGGCGCTGGGCCATGTGGTCTAGGAGTTGCGAAGTACGTGGCCTCGTGAAAGATGAAAGGTCATCAATTGTTGACAAACAGCCACCAGATATCTTCTTGCTGAACAAAAATTCAAAGAAATCACAATCTTTGAGCAGCGCAACCAGCCTGGTGGTGTCTGGAACTACACAGGTGAGGAAGGCCTTGAGAACGCAGCCGCAGAGCCTCGTCCCAAGCCTAGCCAACAGCCTCAGAAGGATGTCAACGGCACTTTCCCTTCACCTGTGTACGACGCCCTGGAGACAAATATTCCAAATTCAATGATGCAGTTCATCGACATGCCGTTCCCCCGGGGACTTCATTGTTTCCACCCCACGAGGTTGTGAAAGAGTATCTCCACAAGTATGCGGAGGAGTTGCTGCCGTTGATACGGTTCCAATCTCTGATTCTGGACGTTCAGTTGAAGACGCAGCACCCGCATGCCGAATGGATCGTGACGTGGCGTGATTTGAGGACCACCGAGACGCTTTCTGCACAGTTTGATGCGGTAATAGTAGCGAATGGCCATCACAATGATCCATACATCCCAGAAGTCGCCGGGTTGACGGAGTGGACACGCGCCTTCCCAGGATCAATCATCCATTCTGCGTCATATAGACGTCCCGAGTCATTCTCGAACAATGTAAGTGACTTTGTCCTGTCTCCACGACGGTCGCATGCTCATACCCCAACAGAAAGTGATCGTTGTAGGGCATTCAGCCTCAGGAATCGATATTGCAACTCAGATCGGTAGAGTCTCAAAGCACCCGTTGTTGATCTCCGAGCGGACCGAGACCATTCTCCCCCTGAAAAGGCCGCATTCGCCGAGAACGTGCCAGAGATAAGCTCTCTAGACCCCATCAACAGGGTCGTAAAGTTCATTGACGGTCGCGAGGAGCGAGATGTGGACAATGTCGTCTTCTGTACAGGTTATCACTTCTCTGTCCCATTCCTGTCGAGTCTCCACCCTTCGATTGTCACAGATGGCGTAAGACCCCACCAGCTGTACCGCCATGTCTTCTATAAAAAAGAACCCACTCTTGCCCTGATAGGCTTCCCCCAGCGAATCGTACCTTTCCCATTCAGCCAGGCACAAGGTGCATGGGTGGCGCGCTTTCTATCAGGGCGGGTATCTCTGCCGTCCGAAGTCGAGATGGACCAGTGGATCAGTCACTGGACAGAGATTCGCGGAGATGGTCGCAGCTTCAATACCCTTGCGTTTCCCATTGATGCAGATTATATCAACTCATTGCATGAGCTGAGCTCCACTGCGGTGCGCAAGGAGGGATTGGAAAATGAGGGTAGGGGACGAAGCTCACCTTACTGGGGTGAGAAGGAGAAGTGGACACGCGCCAGATTCCCGTTGATTAAGAAGGCATCACAGGCGCTTGGAGATCAGCGAAGCCGGGTCAAAAGTTTGGAGGAGCTTGGGTTCAATTTTGAAAAAGAAACTGCTCAAAATGTAGATGTCAGCAACGCGCGCCTGTAGGCAAACATTGGAATGTTTACGCAGAGATCAATTACAGAAGACGACAGCGCATCAGAATTTTGAACTCTCCTAGACATGATATTTAGGATCTAAAAAAACCAAACATCGAAACGCTGAGTCGATTTACCAAAGAGAGCCTCCTGGGGGCGGAACATAATACGTCGTATAAGTATGTTCGTGCGGTCTGAGTATCATCCCTATAGAACACCTTGAAAGTTCTATTCCGCAGAGCAATGTCCGTCTGATAGGAAAGGTATGCATCTGTCTCTTTGATTCACAGCATCTCGGTGCCAACACCACCCAAAGAGGTCATCCACTCCGTCTGCAGCGAGCCTCCACCCAAACCGTCATCCACAGCAGCCAACACGACGTTGTTCGGATGTCTGAGAGGATTTCCAAAAACTGAGGTATCTGTTAATGCGAAGGGCTGAGCAACCGGTTTGTTTATGTCAGCTTTGACTCTCAATGGCCAGATGAAAAAGCTCGCGTCGCCCATTGTGTGGGTCAAAAGTGACTCCAGTTCATCCTGTAGAGTTTGCAGCTCTGTTTCGCTGTCCATCCCAGGGTTTGCTAGGACAGAAGACCCCGATAGTACACTACGAGGTATCACAGGGCTTTTTTGATTGCCCACAAGATCTGTGAGACATCGCAATATTCGGGCCGCCTCGTGGGCAGAATGCCAAGAGGATGGAAATAGCTCGAGGAGAGTTGCAAGGAGTGGAACCTCGGGGATTTCGTTAAATATTGACGCTCCCTGTCGAATGCAGTAGAAAAAGACTGCAGCGAGGGACAGAAGACGACAGACAGTAATCCAATTCATCGGCAGATGCCGGTGCTCATGCAAAATCAGTGTGAGCTTGATATACTGCTGTGCCGCTGCTTGGAGCTTTGGCAGAGAATTCATATCCGTTGTACCGTTTTGCCTAGGACAAAAAAGCAGCAGAAGCAAGTTCTGATATCGCACATTCAACCACGTTATAGAGGTATGGAAGGGCACCTGATCCTGTTCCGACAAAGTAGAGCTAGACAGAAGGCATCCTTGCGTGTACCAGTCTTCAATCTCAAGCCGAAGCTTGTCGGATGGCGGTGAGGAATTGACATCGTGAATCGCATTCGCAATGCGTGTTTCCAGCTGTCGTAAAGATATCACATGCCGACTGACCTGCAGGGCTATTGCATATTGATGACCTTCTGCAGAGCCATACTCATGGATCATGATGCTGGGGAGCGGTATTCTCATCATGTCGTCGGGGAAAGAAATTGGCAGCCCATAAGATATGCTTATCATACGAGTGAAAACATAGACAGACCAGCCAAGTCGCCGACGTAGCTCTAGGTCCCTTGGGGTGACACTTGAGCTACTAGGTGGGTCACTCATCAATCCAACTGATATAGCGTGGTTTGTGAGAACGCCGGCGATGGCCCGAGGGTCCTGGTCACCTGGTTTAAATAGCAAATACAGACCAAGCAGAAGTAAGGTGCCTGCGGACTCCTCGTTCACCCGGCGAACGCACTCACACAGTACACTTTTGAGACATGGCTGGAAATATTGCTCGTCAAGATTGTGGGCTTCGCCCGCACGCTGTAATGTCGTAAAGCCGATGGCCATTACCATACACAACCGGTTTGGTATGGCGTCTTGCGATACGTGACCATCCTCAGCCTCTTGCTCGCAGATAGCTTCAAAATCCCGTAGAACATATTCATGATCCAGAAATGGATACGTTCGATGAACATGGCGAAAGTAGGCCTGCAAGCACTTGCGACTCGCTCCGATCGCAATAACCCCGGCCCGCTCCATATTGGAGATTTCAGGCCCCTCAACAACGCTTTCACCAGGCCCCGTATCCATATTCATCTCAGTTGGCGTTTGATGTATAGGGCTGCTCAACGCTAGTCTGCGTCCAGTTTCAACGGACTCGATCGGCAAGTCGCCCGCTGGGAGCGTTTCGTTCACGAGCTGACTTAACCAGTCAATTCGCGACCGCAGCTCTCGCTCTCGAGTCTTTGGACTCGCAGAGCGGTCCATCAATGAACACGGTACCCAAGCAGCGAGACAGTGCTCACATGGTCCTTCAGTGGTTCGAGTACAGCGTTTCTTGTGAAAGCGACAGCGGCGGCACGCTGGCAGAGTGGATCTTCGACCATTGACATTGGTGGGTCCCTGAGAAGTTGCACCGTCGGGCCTTGAATGATTGCGATGTACCCGGAAGCGATGCACTGCACCCTCCATGATTGTCGGATTGAAAAGGACGTCGGAGAGATATCGCGATAAGCGGCGCGCAGAGCACGCCATTCGTCCCGCAATTGGGAATCTTCATCGGTGCCGCACCGCGTTGTATCTTCAAAAGCGCCAATGTCTTTCAAAAATGCATTTACCAAAAGTCGACAGTTCCAGCCATGGTATCCGAAACCGAAGCCTTGGAGATATACCGTGACGCGGTGCATTTCGATGGGTTGAACATCGCCAACTGGTCCCGCGAGATCTTCGAATCCTGGCACCAGGGTGGCATCACCGGCGTCTCATGCACATGCGGTATTTGGGAGGGATTTCGAGGTGCAATCGCCAACGTGGTACAATGGAAAAAATGGTTCGAAGAGCACTCCGACCTCATTGTGCAAGCGCATTCCGTCCGCGACATTCGCCAAGCCAAGCGCGACGGAAAGACCGCGGTGTTATTATCGTGGCAAAACACAGCTGGCATTGAAGATCAACTGGATTACCTGCGCGTGTTCCGCGATTTAGGCGTGCGCAAAATGCAACTCACCTACAACACCCAGAACTACTCCGGGGCAGGATACACCGAGATCCGAGACTCAGGTCTGACTGGCTTTGGTCGTCAAGTTGTCGATGAGATGGGGAAATTGGGAATCGTCGTTGATTTATCGCATGTCGGTCCAGTCACAAGCGAGGATGTCATCAACTATGCGACTAAGCCCCCTTGCTTCAGCCATGTGTTGCCCGGGGGCTTGCTGGACCACCCACGCAACAAGTCAAATCACCTTCTGCAGCTCATTGGGAGCAAAGGTGGATTTGTTGGGATTAGCCAATTTGGGCCGCATATGGCCAAGGGAAACGACTCGACGATCGACGATTATGTTGCTGCGATGGACTTTGTGATTGGTCTCATTGGCGAGGACTTGGTGGGAGTTGGGTCAGATGCCAGTGAAGGCCATGCCAGACCAAGCGACTTCATGGCCTGGTGCAATCTGGACAAGGGCTACTCGCGTCAACTCACCCCGTGGGGTAGTCAGAAGGTGGTCAAACCACTGGGTCCCTTAAAGGAGCGTTCGGAATTGGCTTTGGCGATGGCTCGGGCAGGCTGGTCGGAGTCAAAGATGAGGAAGGTGTTGGGAGAGAACTGGTTGAACTATTTGGAACGTATATTTGGTGAATGAGACGCATTATCACTGCAAGCACGAGGCTTTCATTTTTTCATTCTTATTCTTTTGAAACATGTTTCGGATACTCTTCCTTGTTTTGCACTTTGAGGAATCTTATTCGCTCAAAAATATCATTATTAGGCCCCTCACTAAGGTGAAGCTCTACCAATATAAAATAAGAATTCGTCAACTGCTGACCTGGATAGCGATTTAAGGTGAAATTTCAGAGAAATTGGAATTGTCGTGGCTGAGATAATTCAAAGCTCTGGAGTGCCCCAGCCTCCTCCACCAGGGCTATTGATCTGCATTATCTCTCCAGCCTTGAGAGCGAGAGCAGCCTTTCCACCAATGGAAAGCCTTCCTAATGCGGTTTTGTCTTCATTCCACCTGAAAACAAAGTTCTTGCCCACGGAGCCTGGTTGACCTCCATGCATTCCATATGGAGAGTATACCCGGCGATCGCTAAGGATGCTGAATTTGAGGGGAATTCTTGCCTCAATCTCACGAACTGCGCCGTTTCCTCCTTTGAATACACCGTTGCCACCGGTTTTGTGGTTGATTGCATGTTTGCGGATGATCACAGGAGTTCTCTTTTCAACAACCTCCGCATCTGTGATCTTAGTGTTGGTTGAATGCGCCTGAATGGCATGCTCGCCGTCCCAGCTTGGTCCGGCACCACAGCCGCCTCCAACTGTTTCGCCGTAGTTCCACCCAGGCTCGATGATTCCAGTGAGATGATTCCTGCCTCCCATTCCCCATCCAAAGCTGTTAGCGCAGCCAGAAAATGCAGCGCAGCACTCGAATGCTCTGAGAATCGTATCGATAACCCGCTGGCTGGCAAGTGTGCTGCCGCAAATGGCCACCTCAGCACTCGGTTTCAGAATCGAACCCTTGGGTATGCGGATATTAATAGGAGCTAGACAGCCGTCATTGAGCGGCACATCTGCGTCCAACAGACAACGCAGAGTGTATATCACAGCCGAATGAGTGATCGAAATTGGGCAGTTGTAGTTTCCCCACGTCTGTGGGCCAGTCCCTGCGAAATCGAACACAGCGCCACCAGACTCGTCGACGGAGATAGTGACTTTGAGGACGGTGCCATCGTCAAAATGGTCAGTTGCTGTCAGCGGCATGGTCCTGGTCCGAGAAATATGTTTCAGGTATTCCCGCACGGCCGTTTCCGAATTCCTCTGAATGGCGCTCATATAATGATGCACTATGGGGAAGGTGAATTCCGAGCACATTTTTTGCAAAAGGATGATGCCACGTTGGTTGGCAGAAATTTGGGCCTTGATGTCTGAAATGTTATCGTCCAACCGCCGGGTTGGACTGCAGCCAGGTAGATCTCCCGCTGCTAGGAAGGCACCGCGCACATCTTCTTCAAGGAAAATGCCATTGTCGACGATCTTCATCGAGCGAACATTGAATCCTTCTTGCCACAGTTCTTTTGAGTCTGGCATCATGGATGTAATTCCCTGGCCGCCGATGTCCGTGTGGTGGCCGCGCGAAGCGACATAGAAGGCCACACTGGATTCACCATCCACGAATACCGGTGTGATGACTGTCAGGTCTGGAAGATGAGTTCCACCACATTCGGGGTGATTGCTCAAGAGGACATCCCCAGGTTTGAGCGTCGCTCCCCATAGACGGTGCTGGTATTGGATTGCATACTGCATGCTGCCGAGATGAATGGGGATGTGCGGCGCGTTCGCCACTAGCTTGCCCTCTCGTGAGAAAATAGCACAAGAAAAGTCGAGGCGCTCTTTGATACTGGTCGAGATAGATGTACGCTGTAAAGTGTGTCCCATCTGTTCGGCAATTGCCATGAACCGGTGGGAAAGAATGGAAAGCTGGATTGGGTCGATATTCGTTAATGAGTGGGAGGCACCGACCTTCGGCTTTCCAGTCTCTGAGATTTCGAGGACCACATGATCGATCAAAATGGTTGCATCAAAATTGCGCTCAACGAAGATTGTTTGAGTTGAATCGATCAACAAGGCAGGGCCTCGTACGCGGCAAGGACGCTGTGCTGACTCCAGTTCAAATATGGGTACATCCTGCCACTTGGTACCAGTATATACGGCCTGTGTTTTTGAAGAATGGATGTACTCTTTGCGAGACTTCACTTCCTCCAGTATTGAGTACGGAGAAGTCTTCTCGGTGGAGATACCGTTCCGTCCGACTCCACGAACCTTGATTGAGTCGATATTGATCTTTCGCTCAAGAACGAACGCAAACTCTCGAAGATGCGTGGCGATGAAGGAGGCACCGTAGTCTTCATTCACCGGCTTGGATATTTGGATGTTGGTGTCTGTACCTGCGTATCGTAAACTCAGGGACTCTTCAAACTCAACTGTCGCTGGATCTGCACCCTGCGAAAGCAGCGCCGACTTAACTTCGGACTTGAGTCGATCTATTTTCGATCTCACGTCGTCCAAAGCTCCAACGTCGAAGAAACCAACAGCCGGAAGAGTTCGTTCCACCTGGAGGTCTGCTTGCGAAATGCCGACAGCAGACAGCAATGAAGAATGTTTGTGGATGAGAATGCGTTTAATCCCCAGCTTCTCGGCAATAGAGCAAGCATGCTGGCCACCTGCCCCCCAAAGCTCACCAGCGTATGGCTACTCGGCGCAAAACCTCGGACCTCCGTTGCATTGCGCATGGGTCTGGTCATAGTCTCGTTTGCGACGTCGAGGAATCCAAACGCGACCTCCTCCGCAGTCAATTTCTGGCCCGTTTGCTCGTTGATCTGGTGAGTGATCTCTTCGAACCTTTGCTTGATGACATCGCTATCAAGAGTTTGATCTGCGTTTGGGCCAAAGATAGCCGGGAATGAGGATTGGACAAGTCTGCCCAGAAACAGATTTGCATCTGTCACGGTGAGTGGCCCTCCCTTTCGATAGCAGGCAGGTCCAGGGTGAGCACCGGCACTTTCGGGTCCGACAACAAACAACCCGTGACGAGCAAACAGTCTCGACCCTCCACCTGCTGCAACAGTCGCGATATTCAACATTGGGGTTGTGATCTTCCGACCTGCGACGGTGGTCTCGCTGAGGTAGTCATATTTTCCATCATATCGACAAACATCCGTGCTCGTCCCTCCCATGTCGAACCCCAAGACAGGGGTTCCCTCTGCCTCGTCAAAACAAGTCCGCGCGATACCAACGACGCCGCCAGCGGGGCCGCTGAGAAGGGCCTCATTACCGCGGAACCTGTCTGCCTGCCTCAGGCCTCCATCCGATCCCATAAATTCGACACGCTGAGGAAGCATCTTGAATCCACTCTGGAATGCCTGTATATACTCCCTCACGATTGGATATAGATACGCTTCCGAAGAAGCGGAGCTGCTGCGCTGAAGAAACTTGATAACAGGACTGACGTCGGAGGCTTTCACAATCGTGTCAAATCCCAGTTCTTTCGCAATCTCGGCGACTTGGTCCTCGTGAGCAGGATACAGATAGGAGTGCATGAAGGAGATGACCACAGAAGTATAACCAGAAGCGCGAAGGCCACTCAGCACTTCGCGAGCCTCCACCGGATCAACAGCTTTCAAGATCCTGACCAACTCTCCGCTTGGAGTTCGGGCCACCGCATTCTCCGAGATCGCCGCGGTCTTGTCCAATGGCACTGGGTTCAGGTCATAATCTTCGATAGTGATACGCTCATCAATCTCTACCGAGACACCCTGCAGCGCAGAGGGCTTTCGAACTTTCAAAGCAAACAATTCTGGTCGCGTTTGATCGTCGATCACGCACACATCCTTGAAGCCTTTGGTGGTGACGAACGCGAAATCTCGACCTTTGCCTTCCAGCAATGCATTTGTCGCAATGGTCGTCCCAATACGACATGATGCTATTCTAGATCCATCTAGCTTTTCGCCGACAGGAATCTGACGGCCCTCGATGATTTCCAAGGCTCGTCGAATGGCTTCTGTTGGGGCATCGCGGTAATTCTGCGGGTCTTCTGACAACAACTTGAACACCAGGTCCTCGCGCCCGGAAACTTGCACCAGGACGTCACAAAATGTGCCACCGCGATCTGAAGGAAGTGTTAATTCGGACCCTTTGAATGGGATGTTTGCAGGATTGCTCACCAATGGAGATGTTTATTTCTGGGACGGTCGCCATGATTATGTGTGTGGATTAACGTCGATTTGGCCTCGCAGGCAATGCTCGATGGCAGACAGACCTTGAAACCACCAATCTCAATCTATATATCTCCATCTTGTTGATATGGTCTGGTGAGAAAGACGCTCTGCAATCACGCCTTATCGAGTGTATTTTCGGTGATGAGCCCAGAAGTGGAGATTTATTTCGGAAGTTGGCCGACGTGTCTAATTTGGGTGGAACCGATTCCTCCGCGTCTGGCCCCTGAACCTTCACTGTTTGTGGGATGGGACTCGCCTGCTCGGGGAATGTGTATGTTCCAGGAAACACTACAACACTCTTTGGATGTGTTTTCGTGGAACTGATCTATGAACTAACCAGTATCCAGCCCCGTTTTGTTGGTGCTTGCCATCCCTACTGTCACCAATTGAGTCTACGCGTGGTGAACGACAAATTCTGGGAATCTTGTCGCCAGGAAATTCCGACTTGGAATCTTGTGTTTGTGCTATTGACGTGATTTGATAGAGTCGATTTTTTGTCCAAACACTCTTTTTTTTTTTTTCAAAATATGGACGGCACGGTGGGGGTCCATGGAAGTTCGAAACATATTCACTGCATGGTGCTATGAGAGATGTTGGTGAATCAATTCAATAACCTCCGCATTCTTTTCCAGATGCACACTGTGATTAGCGTTTGCGATGATTTTCAATTCCGCCCCGGGAATTCTGGAAGCAATATCCCTGGACTGGTCGGGCGGGCAGATCCAATCGTACTCGCCAACGAGAACCAACGTCTTTCCAGTGATCAGATGAAGCCGGTCCCTGTAGTCGAAGAATTTTTCTTCTTGGGAATAAAGATCATCTTGTCAAATTAGCTTCACCACAAATTACCTCGGGGCCAGAATTCCACTTACTATGGGATTTCGCATAGAACACGGTATCAAGGTTGTGCTTTAAGCCTTGATCGGGGTCAAAACGCTCGCTGTACAACGGAGCAGCGGCATACATAACCAGACGGAACTCGATGTCACTGTCAAAGCGACCAAAGATTTTATCTTTCAGGAAATTGATTGAAAGGCCCGGGGCTTTAGATGCCCGTTCTTCCAAAGTACGGATAGCGTTCTCCTCGTCTGGTTGGGTTGAGAGCGAACATTAGCTTCCTTCGATTCGGTAACCTACATTTTCCATATACTTACGATGGTGAGAAGGGGCAGTTCCTCGAAGTATCAGATGAGAGACTTTGGATGGATATGTGATCGCATACTGCTGGGCCAAAAATCCACCAAAGCTGCCCCCACATATAATGCATGGCTGAGAATCGTCGAGGAAATGGCGCCGCAGTCCCTCGATATCTTCAACAAGTTGGTGAAAGGTGAATGGCTCTGTTCGCGAACTTTGACCATGACCTCGAAAATCAAAAGAAAGCACGCGATGCGAAGACGAGAGGGGCGAATACGCCTTAAAGTCTGACTTGTGGTCTCCTGTCAATTTGGTGGATGTCTTAGCGGTCCAGGTATTTCTTCGAAGGTAGTTGACCTGAAAACTCACCAAATCCTCGCCCACCATGTAAGGTGACGATCAATGGTGCATTTTCAGGACCGACCAAGCGGTATGCTAATTGGGCGCCATTAATAGATACGTGTTCGACCATCTTGAAGAACCGTCGCTGGATTTGAGATGCGATGTAAAAAATTCCAGAAGTCGCCTATATGGAAGAAACTCAAGCCGACTGTGATTCTAGGTCCATTTAGATCTCAACACATTGAAGTATCGCATTGCGCAAGTTTATCTTGGTGATGTCGGCCCCATGCCGAACGCCATTGCCGTAAATGGAAAGGATCGAAGCTCATCTCCGGAGGTAAACGGCCCACGCAACTCCCAAGGCGGATGTCGTGATAAGCTTTCCCATTGCTTCGTATGCTGCAAATAAGCTTGATTGGAACCATGTTGACTTTATTTATACCTCATCAATACCTGCGCCCGTTTTATCGCCAATTTGCATTTTTCACAGCATGAGATTCTAAGTGCCTGTCTTCAAGACCGGGTGTTATTTCCCCCAAAATGGTTCTTTCAGCACAACATAACACGCAAGAGTCAGCGTCAAACGCTAAAGACTTGGATATCCCCGGTCAAAGGCTGGATCAAGATTGGGCAAATAGCCTGAAAGATCCCGTTCATACCAACACAAAACCAGTAACTCATACCGACAACGCTGAAGCGCAGCCCCGCCAAAGATGGTTTCACTGGCATGAGCCAGGCACATCAAAAGCCGACAAGAAATTGATTTTCAAGCTTGACTGGTTCCTCTTGAGCTACAGTTGCTTATGCTTTTTTATCAAACAATTGGACGGAAACAATGTGTCCAATGCCTACGTGTCCGGCATGCAGGAGGAGCTTGGATTTGGACCGGGAAATGAATTAAGTTGGATGAACACATACTTCAGCATTGGTGCCATCCTCGGTGGACCTATCTCCAATCTCGCCTTGACTATCATCCGACCGAGGTACTGGCTTCCCAGCTGTCTATTCGCTTGGTCACTTTGTGTGCTATTTCTTTTCAAATGCAATCATGCATCCGAATTCTACGGTCTAAGATTCTGCATCGGATTTTTGGAATCAGCGGCGTGGCCAGGAATCCAGTACGTTCTCGGTTGTTGGTACCGCAAATCCGAGCTCTCGCGTCGGAGTGGTCTGTTCGTCGTGTCGGGGGTTCTGGGACAGATGTTCTCGGGATACTTGCAGGCCGCCTTGTTCAAGGGAATGGATGGCAAAGGTGGACTATCGGCGTGGAGATGGCTGTTTATTTTCGATTTCATTCTCGCCATCCCGGTGACCATCTATGGCTACGTCTTCTCGCCAGATACTCCTCAAACTACCACTGCATTTTACCTCTCAGACTGGGAAAGAAAGCGAGCGTGTGAACGAATTGACGAAGAAGGCAGAACCCCGGTTGGAAAGCTCGACATGAGTGTTTTCAAGCGCATCTTCCTATCGTGGCAGTTGTACACATTCTCCATCGCGTATGCTATGTGGAGTCTCACGTGTGGGTCATACGTGATGCAATACTTCGGACTTTGGCTCAAGTCGATGAAAGACTATTCAGTGCCTCAGATCAACAATATCCCAACTTCCATGGGTGCCATCAATTTTTTCTTCATGATCGGTACAGGATATGCCGCCGACAAACTTGGCCGACGTGGACCTGTGTGCTTCGCAGTTGGTTGTCTCCTGACCTTCTGTTATGCTATATTGACTGCTTGGCCCCCTTCTCGAAGCCTGAAAATGGCCGCTTTCGTTCTATCGGGCTGCTATGGGTGCTATACACCTTTGCTTGCTGGGTGGGTGAATGGATCATGCGGTGGAGATCAGCAGTTGCGTGCATTCGTCTTGGCGTTCATGGTCAGTTTGGGATCAGCTGTTGTCATCCCATTCCAACAGCTGCAGTTCCCAAGCGGACAGGCACCGAGGTTTACTCAGACTCATGGCTGGGTGAGTGGGCTGTGCTTTGTGATCGCATTGGCTCTTTGGACAGGGTTTGGAATTGACATTGTTGAGAGACTTAAATGCGGGAGGGGCTTGAGGGGACGTCAGCCAAAGAGAGCTGATGAGGGGTGTGATGAATGTTAATTATAAATACCATTTTTTATCAATTTGTCTTTTAAGTTCCGAGGTCCACGGGTCAGGTATATACACTCCCGAGGCCTCGATCTATACAGCCACCTGGGCAGACTTCGGGAGCTTGCCCAGGTGCTTAGCCAATGTTTTCGTGTCTTAGATACTTGTCAGCCCGTAAGATGAACTGAGAAATAACCGTAGAATCACCGAGGCTACTCATACCTAATGATGTATGCATATGGATCACTGTGCATTCCATGGATTACCTAGGTAGTCGCAGGTTTCCAAGGTTGGATTCTCAAGACATCGGATACAGCGATACAGAGGTACCTGTTATTCTACCAACTAATTACAAGGTTTGGCTTATTGTACTCTTAAGCCGCGGATACTGTCCAGCGCGGAAATTAGCTAGGTCATCTTGGAAGTTATAGTAGACCTCGAGACTCTTCCAAAGTTGGGGTCATATTTGTATCACCTTGGAACTTCAGAATCCTTCCCGAGGTCTTCGCGTATCTATTCGCTATATATTTCAAACTATTCGGCAATGCTCACACCGCTATGGACACCAGATAATTCTGGCATTTGTATTTAACCGAAAGATCGAACCTAAAGAGCTAGTTCCGAGGTCGGCGTTGGAGCTCAAGCCCGAATGTTCATCCCGGCATTCCGAGCGATAGACCACGATCAAATTCCAAGGTTCCCCTTGGACTGCACAGTGAACTAGGTACAGACCACATGTGCTTGGTTAAAGTTCTGTGACATAGATTATAGTTTTGTTGTCCTCGACAGACTTCCTTACCCGATAGAGGAGGGTAGGTGAAGAAGTCAGCGCACATTGTTATGCAAAGTGGACTTTGTGGGCTTCCGATAGTCCTACATTTTCTTCGCCATCTATTCTCCCGAGGTCGGAGGTAGTCTTCATTGTGAACGGACTCCCGATGACTTCACATTGTACATGTATGCTGGCCTTGTTTGATGTCCAAGCGAAGCTAGGGAAGCTAGGAATCTCATAAACACAAGTAATGTAAAATGGTGGACAGAGGATCAAACACAGTGAGATCAAAAGGGTAGGAACCAAACAAAAAGGGTAGAAATGGGCTACCTAGACAGCAACCTTGAAATCTGGGGCATGACCCGGGATCCCGTCAATTTCGACCGGTTTTGGCATACGACTTCGGAATTTTGTACTCCGCGAGACACGGCAGTAGCTCGGACTAACATCAGGCTCTGTCCTATTCCGTATCACCGGCAACCCCCCACGTAGGCGTTTCATTAAGCCGGTTATATGCGGATTGCAGACTTCATGGAAAGAGGAAGGCCAATGTATGACATCGATGTCCTCCCCTTGGCAGTGAGGGGATATAATACTTCAGTCCGCTTCACCTTGCTTCCATAAGACTTACAAATCCCTCATCCCCCTCTTCCAGAGACTAAATGTCTTAGCGATATCACAGCGCAAGCCATGATTCAAGCATAAGTGGGTCTGGGATGGTTAAGCCCCGGGAAACACGGGAGTGAGAGTCGAAAGCCGAGGGGAAACGTACCATTTCGTCAATTTATCGGCAACAGTTCAATCCCAACTCTCCCGGGGAATTTCTTTGTGGGGAGATTTTGTTGTGTGCAACGGGTGGGTCGGGAGATATTGCCCAAATCCCGAGACTGCGGCATAGGTTGGGGAGACCGAGTGTAAGCCACATTTTCCTATGTCAGTCCTTCATACTCCGTACACCGGTGAGAACAAGTTAGAGCCCCCCGCAAGACGTCGCTCAATGAAAAGTGATGATTGGCTGGGAGACTAGTGCCAAAACCCAGTCACCACATGGTGACATCGTCGCGGGGTACCCAGCAGACTAGTACCAAAGTTTATGAAAGTATCCGGGGAAAGGCCGGTGTCGCTGACAACATTTGGTTGAAAAGCCGGCTTCCCATCGCCGATAAAGCCACCGAGCGGGTAACCCGCTAGCCAAGTGTAGTCGCCAAGACGGTGATCGGTGTGGGATGTCTCGTGGTGCCAAGGTCTAAATCCCCGGACTGCTCCCGAGCCAGCCGAGTATGGGTGATAATTAGCGAGCGCTCAGAGTAGTATGGATGCAGGGGAGAGTGAGGCTAGTGCACTTCACGTCATGCGTTTTGACTGCGCTATGACTGCCGGGGTTGCAGGGATGGTGGGATGAGGAGATTTCCCCAGAAAGAGGAAAGTGTGGGGTTCCCCACGGGAATGCCAAGACTTTTCGGTAGAACTCCGGCAATCTGCATCCATGGGACACTGTCCTCACGCTGCCCTCACCGGTAGAACCCCGGCAACTCTCTTTCGATGCCCGCTATACTTGCCTTGGGTCGGATGACGGTGGTCAGTTTTCGGCTTGGGGTTGGGATCTCCCGATTCCGAGCTGAGGATCCGCGGACTATAAAAGCCATCGGGGATCCCACGAGTTTCAAGGACAGTGCAAGCCTCCGAGAAAACAACTTAAGATGGCCCGCGTAACTCAATTGGTGGTTTCCGGCCTTTTGGCGGCCACACTGGCCAACGGTCAGAACTTTGCTGGAAGCGGTCGAAGTGAAGATGCTTTCAGTTATGTCCAACCCAAGAACACAACTATCCTGGGACCTTACGGTCACTCCCCTGCAGTTCTCCCATCTCGTATGTACCCCCAAGAACCTATTATTCTCTTTGCACTCTACTGACGCCACATCCAGCAAATGCTACTGCTTCAGGGGAGTGGGAAGAGGCTTACTCCAAGGCACAACAGTTTGTTGCCAAGCTGACCATCGACGAAAAAGCCGATATGGTCACCGGTCAGCCGGGTCCCTGTGTGGGAAACATTGTTGCTATCCCTCGACTTGGTTTCCCGGGTCTTTGCTTACAAGACGGCCCGCTCGCAATCCGAGTTGCGGACTATGCCAGTGTCTTCGCTGCCGGTGTCACTGTAGCATCCACTTGGGATAGGGATCTTCTATACCAACGCGGTTATGCTATGGGACAAGAGTTCAAGGCCAAGGGTGCTCATATTGCCCTCAGTCCCGTTGCTGGACCTCTTGGTCGCTCTGCCTATGCTGGTAGAAACTGGGAAGGCTTTGCTGCCGATCCTTATCTGACCGGTGTTGCCATGGAGAAAACCATTCGTGGCCACCAGGATGCTGGTGTGCAGGCTACTGCCAAGCACTTCATTGGAAATGAGCAGGAGACTCAACGAAACCCGACATACGACCCTAACGGGACTGTCACCGATGTCATTCAGGAAGCCCTTTCTGCCAACATTGATGACCGCACTATGCACGAGCTTTACCTTTGGCCTTTCGCCAACGCTGTTCGTGCTCACGCTGCTAGCTTCATGTGCGCATACCAGCGTTTGAACGGATCCTATGCCTGCGAGAACTCCAAGGCCCTCAACGGATTGTTGAAGGAGGAGCTCGGCTTCCAGGGATACGTGATGTCCGACTGGGGTGGCACCCACTCCGGTGTCGCCTCTATCGAGGGCGGCCTTGATATGAACATGCCTGGTGGCCTTGGTGCTTACGGCCAAAAGCCCGAAGCCGGTTCCTTCTACGGCAAGAACGTCACGTATGCTGTCAACAATGGAACCGTGGACGTGTCTCGCGTCGATGACATGATTGTCCGTATCATGACCCCGTACTACTGGCTCGGTCAGGACAAGGACTACCCTGAGGTGGACCCGTCATCTGCCGACCTGAACACTTTCTCTCCCCGCTCGACCTGGCTCCGCGAATTCAACCTTACTGGCGAGCGCAGCCGTGACGTGCGCGGAAACCACCATGAAATTATCCGCAAGCTCGCAGCTGAGGCTACAGTCCTTCTCAAGAACGAGAAGCAGGCTTTGCCTTTGAAAGCTCCCAAGAACATTGCTATCTTCGGTAATGACGCAGGCGAGAACACTATGGGTGCTGTCAATCAGGACACTTTCGAGTTCGGCAACCTTGCCTCAGGTGGTGGATCCGGTACCGGTCGCTTCACTTACCTCGTCTCTCCCCTCGAGGCTATCAAGACCCGCGCTAAGGAGGACAACGCTTTGGTTCAGTACTTCTTGAACAACACTCAAATTGCTACCAACAACGTCACCGATCTCTGGGTCCCCACCACTCCCGACGTTTGCCTTGTCTTCCTGAAGACCTGGGCCGAAGAGGGCGCTGATCGTGAGCACCTGACAGTCGACTACAACGGCAACGACGTGGTTGAGTCAGTTGCCAAGTCTTGCAACAACACTATTGTGGTCACCCACTCTTCTGGCATCAACATTCTCCCCTTCGCCAGCAACCCTAATGTCACCGCCATCCTCGCTGCCCACTACCCCGGCCAAGAAGCCGGTAACTCCATCGTCGACGTCCTCTACGGTGATGTCAACCCCGCTGGACACTTGCCCTACACCATCGCCAAGAATGCCAGCGACTACAACGCCCCTCCCACCACCGCAGTGTCCACCAACGGCACCGACGACTGGCAGTCTTGGTTCGACGAGAAGCTCGAGATCGACTACCGCTACTTCGATGCTCAGAACCTGTCCGTGCAATACGAATTCGGTTTCGGTCTTTCCTACACAACCTTCGAGGTCTCCGATATCGCCGCCGAGCTCGTCGCCGATTCCGTCTCATCCATCCCCGAGCAGAAGCCCATCGTCCCCGGTGGAAACCCCTCTCTCTGGGAGACTCTTTACAACGTGACTGCCTCTGTCACCAACTCCGGTGATGTCAAGGGAGCAACTGTTCCCCAGCTCTACGTTACCTTCCCCGATAGCACCCCCGAGGGAACCCCACCCAAGCAGCTCCGCGGTTTCGAGAAGGTCTCTCTTGCTCCTGGCGAGTCTCGCACTGTTGGATTCGAGCTTATGCGTCGCGATCTGAGCTACTGGGATATTGTCTCTCAGCAGTGGCTTATCCCTGAGGGCGAGTTTGTTCTTCGTGTTGGATTCAGCAGTCGCGATCTGAAGGAGGTTACCAAGATTACCCCTGTTTCTGCTTAGATCCATGGATGTCCATTGGATGTTGGATCAAGTTGCATTTTTTATGAGACACGCTAGTATTATATCCAATATATTTGATTTAATTTGTTTCAATTTTGCGACATGGTTATAGTTATATATTTGTTGGGTGGTCAGATGGACCCTTTGCTTAGGTATCTCTCTCTCTCTCTCTCTCTCTCTTTTTCTCTCTTTCTCTCTTTCTCTCTTCCTTCTTTGCACAGGTCGGTATTTTTGCTTCACAGCCACAATCAACTGTTTTAAAGCGATTCGTGCTTCTCCTCCATAGATCAGCCTGCTCTCAGATCTGCTATGGTTGCCAACTTCGAGAGCAAGACTATCAATCAGAGATCTAATGAATGTAATAAAATTAGTGAGAGTTAGCAGAATTGTTGAAGAGGTCTACGTGGGCTTACATGGTCATATGACTAGGAGACGGTCAGATTCCATTGGGATCGAAGCACAGGATCCCAACAGGAGTCGGCGGCGTTCCCGAGAACGGGCAGGAGAAGTTTTACTGCGGCTGAAGCGCCCCATTGTTTTCCACACCTCAGGCTCTCGGCGGATGGGAGAATGTTGTGGGAGATTGGGAGGAGGTTGTTCCATAGGAAAAGGATTTGGGAAGTGAAGGGGAGGGAACCAGACGGTGGGGGGGGGCTTGCCTGCCATCGCTCCCCAGCTAGCTCTGGGGTGGGCTCGTCGACGACCATCTGGACGGCCTCATCACAGTTACGGGTGGCAGTTCAGCGCCAGAAACGCGAATAAGAACAAAGTGTCCACATGCGGCCACTGTTGACGAACTCTTTGCTATAGAATACATTAGCCCAGTGCTCTATACACACGTCCTCACACAATGGTCTATGCTCACATTGCAAAGGCTTCACAGACCCGAATGGGTGCATAGCAAAATGCGCCCAGCGGCGATTGCCTCTTCTATTGGCGCCTGGGTTTGTTTTACCTGATCCGTCGAGGTAAGAGGAGTGGGGGGGGGGATTCCTAATCCTCTGCTTATAAACAGGAGTAGTTGTGTAGTTATTGGCTTCATCTCATATTTCGATTGGTAATGGAAGAGAGCTATCGTCAACATCGGTATCTCTTTTCAACTGTCTTTTGGGATGTCTTTTGGGATGTCCTTCCAACTAATCGTCGAGTAATCATGATTGGTCAAATAAAGATAGTCTTTGCTAAGCCGTGAACACATAATTAGGGATTGGGACAATCATGGTCTTGGCGTCCATAAATTTTGTTTTTGTAAATGTCTCTGTAGTCCAATTCTGCCCAAGTGCCGGTGCTAAAGTTGTGACTTTTCTCCTGATCTCACATTCAACCGTAGAGAGTTGGAAGAGGTACCAGACCCTTTCACCGTGAATTGAAAGTCTTGGGCTACAAACAATTATCAGAATAATTCGAGAAGGCAAAGGGACGTACTTACGCTTTGCCAGTTTCAACTTGGACATCTCACGGGGACCGGCTTCTCCTTCTTCGAGGCCGTTGCAGTTCTTGCCTTCTTCCACGCTTCTCCACTTCCAAAATGGGGTAAATCTATCTGGGACCTTTTCGAGTTGATTCTTGACATACTGCATTTGAGTCATTCAGTCAGTGGCGGTGTTTATACGAAGACAGGACAACATAACACTTACCTTGCCAAGAATAGGAAGAAACTTGAATCCATGGCCTCTGTTTAGACTTTATTAGGAGGTGTGCTTGACTTGGGTTTCCTGTACTCACGAGCCACCAGTACAGATGAACAAAGAATCAGAATATCCCGGGACATAATCAATCACAAACTATGATACGTTAGCATACTTTGCTAAAGTACCGTTTTTCTTGGGTACTAACCTCGTTATCGATACTGTCGGTGTACCAGCATAGCTGCGAGGAAGACATTAGTCATTTTTCGTTGAGGAAGGGAGATGGGACAGTCGACAAACCCTGCTGTCTGTGAATCCAATTTCAGCTAACTCCGGGAATAGCCCGCCTATCACTTGCTTCATGAGCTCTAGCCCATAGAGTGGCACAGTATGGATCGGTTCTTGGCTATATTTCGTTCGTGGGGTAGAAATTCGGCTATGACAAACAGAGTGGTCAGTGAATGTCTTGTCATATATCGATATCAAAAATCCTCGGTAACTCACGTATTCTTTTCTGTTGGATGATCTTGGAAGTTTGTGAACTTGAAGATAGAAAGTTAGCCCAGGTCTTATCAAAGGATGGCAGTGACTACCTTTCGGGCACGGAATCCAAATTTCAATCTTCCTTCCCGAGTGATGGGGAATCCACCACCCTCGTAACCTCTGTTCGGATGATCAGCTGATTTAATCAATCTCTCAGCAAGATGGGTCTTACCCTTCACCTTCACCTTGGATAAATCGCCACACCGGAATGTTATCTGGGTGGAACTTCTCTCGCAGGTCTTTGCGGTCCTCTGGGATATCGATGAACATGACTGTTCCCATTGTGGCTTCGACCGACCGACTTGCTTCAGGGAGAACACCTGCTGTCCATGGGCCGCCTTTGATCATGTATCAGAGCCTGGAGATGTTGCACAGGGGGATGGATCTCTCACAGGCAACTACAACCAGATCGGCGAAATGTGTCAGCCCATCGCGGGTCTTGATGCCCTTCACTTGCTTGGAAGTGCCAATTTCCTCGGTGATCAAACGGTCAAGCTCGCCATGAGGACGCCCAAGGACGAATTTGACACCGGCCTTTTGGCATAAGTGGCGTGCATATACGCAGGCCTATCGGGGCAAGTCAATTGCCGATTCTCCAAGGAATGGAGGAGACTCACTTTATCAGCTAAGGTGATTCCTGAGCCGGCATCCAAAAATCCATTCGTGGCGCCATTTTTGAATTGATCAAAAAGGTGGTACTTCTTCGCCCATTCAGTACCCCGTGCGCCAGCTCGCTTTTCATCGGCAGCATTATCCTATTATAATTAGAAATGTGATCGAGACTTGATGGTAGAGCCCGATCATACCTTGATAAACTGCAGATCACGGAAACTAGGCGCAGTGTCCTCCATCACCCGCAAATTCTCCACATAACGCGGTATCATGTCAGGTCCATCGGCGAGATGATACACACCACACAGTGTGAGAAGTTCATCTTCCGGTGTCAGCGGACGCGGAAGGTCAGATGGATGACTTTCTTTGATAGAGCGGTTCCATTCCAGCCAAATGTCTCTGGCTTCTAAAGCAAGATCTTGAGAACTATATCGGGGTCAACGCTGGAATCAAAACATAGGCTGGGGACATACTCACTGCTCTTGCGACCCGTACGTTGCTCGGAAGATTTTATTGATATCAGCGGATGCACCGTCACAGCCGTCGGCTGGATTGTAGTAGTTGGTGTCAAAGTTGCAACGGTCGAAGATAGTCACGTCTTTATAGCCACTGCGAGCAAGCCAGAGAGCGGTACTGAGCCCGAATACACCGCCACCCACGATGATGACGCGGGACTGAGGGGTAGTCATTTCGAAAACCTTGGAATTAGCTTAAGACTGTGAGATGTTCTCAAGAAAGCTCAAAATGTTCTGCCGTATGGAGTGAGGATTGAAGTTCAACGCTCTCTATTTGTGTGTCTCCATCATCCGCGGAATTGCCGCCCTGTCAGCTATCTCGGCACAAGCGGCATTTCCACCTCCGGATACACCAAGCGACACTCAGATTTCCAAGCCGTTTTCTTTCCTTTCAATCTCTTGTAGATTCAAAGATAGCAGACTTGCTACCAATTTGATTCATTTGGAAAATGGTACTTTGATAGGTATCGGGTTGTGCCGAATGTGCGTGGTCGTTTAGCGGCATTTCCGTTGACCCCTCGAAGTGTGACCCAAGGACCCTTTCGGACAAGGATTCGCCTCTACTGCACCCAGGTGATTTCTTTTACAAATGATACGAGCTTCGTTCTTTTGCAGATAACCGTCTATCTCGATTGGAATTCGATATCAGAGGTCACAGGTCCGCGGATTTACCGAAGTCCATACCCCCGCGTTTATAGATGGAGCTGTCTTTATTCCTGCAAGGGTATAAGATGCACCTTCCCCAACAAATTGAGCTCACATTCAGAGGATAACCTCCATCTTTCTCATCACTGCACCTCGCTCCGCTCTATACTATACCTGGCGTATAGAGTTTGATCCGAAATGGGCCTCAAAAGCATAATGGGCAAAACGATGCTCGCGCATTACACCAAGAGAATCAAAGATGCTCCGCGCGAAGTGATACTGAGCCCCGCCCTGCTTTTGTCTTGCGCGATGTATGCGACCGCGGCTATTCCCCTGAGTGAGTCCCCTCATCCGGATTGAGATCGGGTCAAGCCTTACTGACGCTCCAGTACAGCATGGGATCAAGGGACGGCTTCCACCTTGCCCTCACTGGAGGGCTTTCAGAAGCAATTCGGGATCAGCTCTACGGCCGGGGCACACTCTACTAGGAATTTCGTCTCCCTCGTGTACATCGGTGACGCGGTCGGTGCAGCTCTATCATTCTTCATAAACGATCGCATTGGAAGACTGTGGTCTTTTAGGTTATATACAACTGTTTGGATCATCGGGCAATTGGTCGCAACATTCAGTCCCAACTCCTCGGCACTATACGCGTCGCGAATCATCTCAGGTCTGGGAATCGGATCGTTGAGCGTCACCGGTACTGTCTCGATTGTTGAATTGGCGCCGCCAGAGATCCGCGGGCTGTTAGCAGCTTGGTATACTGTTTCCATGACTTTGGCTCTCATGGTGGCGACGTTTTGCGTTTACGGTGTGCAATTACATATCGGGGCGAGTCGACTGCAATATCAGGTAGTGATGTTTTCTCCGTGTGTTTTCATGCTACTTTGGATTATTGCTAGTTTCTTTCTCTGCGAATCGCCGCGCTGGTTAGTGTTGTCTGGTCGGAATGAAGAGGCTGCGAACGCGCTTGTTCGACTACGACGATTGCCGCTTGATCACGATCGGGTCCAACACGAATTTCGAAATATCGAAGAATCGATTCAGGCCGAAACCGCAGCTTATGATCCTGATGATCATTCACCTTCCAAGATTGTCAGTCTTGCCAAAGAAACATTCACGGTCCCGTCCAACCTTCGTCGGCTTCAACAAGCCTTAATTCTCTACGCCGTTCCGCAGTTCTCGGGCGGCAATTCCATCACGAATTATTTTATTCCGATATTGAAAATTGTGGGACTAGCTGGATCTTCATCCAGAAATCTGTTTCTCAATGGGATGTACGCCATGTCGAAGTTCTTCTTTGGCTTGATCGGATCATTCTTCTTGATCGATGTTGTCGGTCGCCGAAACACACTCTTCGTTGGAATTACTCTTCAGATGATATCCGACATCTACCTCGCCGCATATATCAAGGTTCAGAATGACGGAAGTCCGCCCGGAGCTGCGGGTGAGGCTGCTCTTGCGTCTATTTTTATCCACTCATTCGGGTATACTATTGGTAGGCATCCAAACCCGCAGCAAGACATGACCAGATGCTAACGAATATTCTAGGCCTCCTAACTTTGCCGTATGTCTTTGGTGGCGAGCTGTGGCCGAACCGAATCCGATCCTTTGGCGCCGCGATCACACAGACTTTCCATTGGCTGTTTCACTACTCGATGACATTTGCATTGCCCTCGCTCCTTTCCCGAACACATAATTGGGGTGCATTTGTGTTTTTTGCATCTTGGTGCGCAGCGGCTATCTTATATGTGTATCTTCTTGTGCCGGAAATTTCAGGACTTAGTGTCGAGGAGATCGAACGCGTCTTTAGCGGGCCGTGGCGGCTCTTCGGTCGGCGATCTGCATTCCGCGATGCTGGCTCTGTTATTGAAGGGCGCGAGGTGCACCATGAGTATGTTATCCGGATGGTTTTACCTGCGCTCAGTGGCTAATATTCTATACAGTGACGAGAATCCGAAAGGGTCCCTCCCTGCTGTGAAATCGAGTCAGCAGTCTCTCAAAGGCGAGTCGCACTCCTCCTAGTAGTCACATGTCTTGTGTAGGAATTGAAACGTGGTCATGAAAACATGTAACTATTTTTCTCTGTATTCATTAGTCAAAGGATCTCCAGGGTTGTCTCTATCTCTCCGCTAGCCCCCTTCCACCCTGGTAATTTGGAAGGATATGTGACGTGTCCCCGGGGCCATGAAAGCAAGTCCGAGATGAACCTTGTACTCCGTACTCCGTACTCCGTATGATTTACTCCATTTCCTGCGACCATTCAACACCCTAACTCTGAGGGAATGGTCATACCTGGGCAATGGCAGTATTTTTGCCATGTCCGGTTACTCCAGAACTGTGTTGTATTCTAATTGGCAGTAGACAAGCATAAGTCCGTAGCAAACGAAGAAGTGGGGTAGCGGCATTTCCGTCCAGCTCCGAGTCTAGCCCTGGAGCCACAAATTCCATCTAGCGTGATCAATGCCCGTTTGTTATCACCTGGGCATCTGCAGAGCTGCCAATGATTTTTCCGTCTTCTGGTGTTGATAGTGTCAGCGATTAGATCGTATTGTAAGTGATATCAGCTACATTAGATTAAAGTATATGAAAACAAATCTTTGTCTAAACACAAACGTAACAATCTAGACTTCAAAAGACCATGGGACACTTTGAGGTTCTTTGTTCCAGGGCATTACCCAAGTGGGGAGACTCCCTCTGTCTCTCGTATGTATGTACTTCACAAGATCCTTCCTCAAACCGAGTGCACCTCGCTCAATGAGATTATCCACTTTTCAAATGAACGGACACTCGCTTTTTGACTTCCCTCTTAGATATAATTCTGTTTCTCGGGGTTGACCTGATGCGGTCTCAACTCAAAACAAAAGCCGCTAATTGGCCAACCCTTGCGTAGCGCCTGCGCGTTATCTTTTCTCTCGGGGATCTCGAGTCATAATGATAGCCGCACTCTTGACATTTTGACATTCCTCGGTCGCTCCATAGTTGAGCCCCGCTTACACTCTTAGTCTCTTCGTTTCTGGCTATTTCACCCCTGGAGAGACACTGTTCAGTGATTCACACCTTACAACATGCATGATTCCGACTCCCCCGGACGGCTAACTCCAGCCCGGAGAGCAAGCCCACAAAAACAAAAACTTTCTCGCCCCAACGACGGTGGGATCCACAGAAGGAGCACTAACGCGTGTGAGTATCCACCGGCCAAACTCCGGGGTATAAGACTCAACGTTCGTTTCAGGTCGCTATTGCAAACGAAGAAAGATCAAATGCCATTACAACATTGAAAATATTCATGGGTAGGAAATTTTGCGTCAAAAAAAGTGGAAGATGGAAGTTGATCATCGAGCAGGAAGTGTAATGCTTGTTTCAAATCATCTAAAGGTGACATATCACACCCCATCCCCTACTCTTTGGAAAACAACTGACAAAATCCGCAGAATGTCATTTTGATGTTCCTCCAGACGGTGTCCTGAGAGGTGATGCGTATGTAGCTTTGAAGCCCTCAAATGTGCACTGCTGAGATATGTACAGTTATGTGGCAACTCTAGAGTCACGCATTCAGATCCTCGAAAGTCAGCTACGTGTCAGCCAATCTCATCAAGCGACTTCTCGAAATGGTATTTGTCTTACTCCTGAGACCACGTTTTTTGAGTCCCAGACACCCGAGACTGGGATACCTGCTTTGATACAGCAGGATGGACGTGAGTCCCACCGAGATCCCAGATCTTTGGCGACAGCATCGTCTCAACTTCCAAATCGCCAAACGCCAGAGATCTTTGAAAAGCGCATGCAGGTACCGGGATCAACTACTGATGTCACGATGCTTGAGATGGTGTATGGGCGAGAATATGTCGCGGAACCAGAAGTCGACTCTCTTCCTCCACTACCCTCGAGCAGCGGTGCAAAAAAGCTTGTTGACGCGGCGTACTTCTACACTCAAGCTCGATATTGCATAGTTGACTGGACTCAACTAGGCATTTGGCACCAGCAGAGAGAAGAGATAGCTCAGGTCTCTCCTCAAAGTCCCGTCGAATCACAAACCGGTAGATCACAATCCCCTCGGAGACAAAACGCAAATACTCACTTCCTCTCAGGCGCCTTTTTCATTTGGATTGTATATGCCATTGGAGCTAGATTGATTCCAGATTCGGAGAATTCTACTGAGGCATGGTCAGCACGACTATCCTGATGATCTTGGCTAACCATTTTAGGCTTATTTTGCTCGGGCGCGGATTTACCTACCTGCAGTAATGGCTTTGCAGGATATGGCAACTATACAGGCTCTCCTCTGCCTTGTTCAGTATTATTTTAGAGCGCAGACAGAGTCTCCTATTTGGTTTGTCAGTGCCATCACTCACGTGTGACTTTCTGACAATATGACTAGGCACCTAGTCGGCCTTGCTCTGCGTCTTTGTGTCAAGCTTAGATACCACCGTAAACTTGCAGATAGTCCCGAGGCCAAAGGACTGAGTCCATACACCATGGAGCTTCGAAAGCGGTTCTTTTGGTGTGCATATTGCTTTGATCGGTACGTTTTGATTCCGAAGACTCACATTCCGAAACAAATTTTCCGGAAAAGCAAAGCTCATTCTCAATTCAGATCCCTAGCCATTTGGTCCAAGCTTCCATTCGGTATCAGTGATTCAGACATAGATGCGGAGGTAAACTTCATCACTTGACCTTTTGAAGTTGCATTTAACCCTGTCTAGATCCCCATTGACATAGACGACACCTGTACCGATGAACACAAGATTTCACAAATGCAGCTCAACGCAAACACCATGCCGCAAGAACATGAAGACAGAAGCATCACAACGGTATGAGAAACATATCTTCGCATCCTTATGCAACCTCCTAACAATGCTCACAGATGACTGCTGCGTTGCACCATCTCCACGTATATCGCATCAGGTCAAAGATATTGTGAGAGGCTCAACATCCCTGGCCATACGAAGCTAATGATCCCAGAACAAGATACACAGGACCAAATGCGAAAACCCCGTCACTTGCCGAAGTGCAAGAAATTCTTTATGAGCTCGAGCAGTGGAAACAGCAAGCACCTGATGAAAAATACTCAAAGCGCTTTCCGCAGCAAAGTCCCGACCGGGTACAGGCCACATACACCCAAGCAGTTCTTCTCTTGATCCGGCCCATACTGATGGCCAAAGAGATTCATCCTGATCTCATAGGTCTTTGCGTCGAATTTGCCGTCGAGGCATGCTCGGTATGTAACAAACACCCCAACGGTCGCTAAGCAGTGTCTGAGAATCTGATAGAATGCGAAAACATTGAGCTTGAATCCACATACACCACCCGATCGCATTACAGTGTACCATTGCTTTTACTGTGGTGTGACCTTGCTACAGTGCCTGGCCATCTCACCAACAGCATTAACAGCACGACGCACTCACCAGGCAATAAGCGCTTGTCTTAGCGCATTGGCAGTATATACCCGAGTGCTGCCCGCAATTGCACCTTTTCTGCGGTTATTCGAGGATCTCTCAAATCTTTTGGTTTATGACGACAATAGATCCGATACTCCTCCCAGCCCGGAGGTGCGGAATGTCTTGAACAGGATCGTCTCCAGCGATCCATCGGAAGCATCCGGGTAGGTATTCTCCAGCCGCAATTCAGTCATCTTGCTAATTCCAGTAACTAGGATTCTGCACTCCTTGTCCGGTCGGAAATCACGAGAAGTCCCAATACCGGAGACACTGGCAGCAGAGACGATGCTGGCTCAACCAACGCAATATGATTCCATTCTTGGTGGTCAATCGTCCGTGGCATTCGGTGCGGATTTCTCACTTGAGATGCCTTTGGATATATCTCCGTTATATGCGCCTGATATTGAAGTGCCGGAACTATGGACAGCACCATGGCTTCCTCTTTCAACAACAGAGTATCTTTGAGATGATGTATGCGAAGATATAATATGCAGAAATAAAAAACAAAAACATACAACAGTGAGGATTCGCTGGTGGTCACCCACCCAACTACTAACTCACCGGCGTGTGGCTTAAGTACGGCTGAGCGGACGGGAAGCCCTGTTCTCCACACCCTGTGGTCGTATGTGCTTGTGCCAATTGTTGGCTGGTCTATATTGAACTAAAGCTTTGGAATTTATTGGAGATAGAGCGACCAATTCACTTGCTAGCACGGTGTGGACCGCTGGATCGTTGTTGATATGAATCCAATGAAAATTCCAATTGTCAGGAATATGAGCGTTATCTTCAATTCTCTGGGTGATTGATTTTTTCTATATGTCCATGGGTGGGAATAGATGGCTTTCAAGACCTGCCCGAGGTGTAGCCAACGCCCCGCGATTGGAAAGATATTCATCCAGCACAGTAGGGCAGTTGTCTCGGAGTTCACTGATCGTAGAAGCGTTCCCCAAGATCTAGCTATCAAGTTGTAGGCCCGTATCCAATCTTCCGTTTTAATATTGCCGACCGCCCATCGGACATCATCTTTTTATAACTGATCCAAACCTCCATGTGTGCGCCCGTCGAGTCCGGGAGCAGGACTTTCACGTCCGCTATTCGGGAGGCCTCCTCCACGTAAGGCTTATATGAATTACCAGTGTTGGTTTCCGTGATCTGGGTACCAGCGTCAAAGTTTGAATGGACCGCGTTGGATCCTCCGTCTTCGATATGGACAACTTCTTCCATCACACTTGCTAAGAGTGGCCCATTCCAAACACCCTCTCTGTGTGATGCTGATCGCAGAGCCAGGATTGCTTGGCGTCGGATCTGAGGAATGCGGCACTTCATCGCTGTGTAATAGACGGGAGGTATGTGGCCCAACTCAATTGTGAACCCACTATTACCAGAACCCGAACATTGAGTTTCTATCGTGGTATCTTCGCGTTCATCCGGAAGTGACCAAATCTCTGATAGCTCTGACACTCCTGTGATTATCGCGGCGAAATTATCCGTGAATGCATCAAAAGCCATCTCGCTTTCCGAGAGACTCACAGCCGCCATGACGGATGCCATTTCGTGATATATTCGCAAAAGTGTCCAACCGGCAAGCTCGCGACAGACTTTGCTAGTTTTCCAGGAGGCACGTGTCGTCTCATAAGCTTGACGCCATAGAGTGAGGTCTTTCTGGATATGGGTTTGTGCTGCAAACGCTGCTGCGTGATCTATTGGTCCTCCCGACTCACTGGCATTCTGATAGTCTTCTTTCAGACATTTCACTTTGTGCAAGAGATGGTCGAGTGTTTGTCGCGCTTCAATTATGGATGGGAAATATGACGGGGGCGTCTTCGGTTCCTGGTCATGTGTCATGATACACATGTGAGACGGAAATATACCAAACATCGCGGACTGGATGGTAAGACGGGCAAAGGAATCAACCAAAGCCTTGTGTGCGAAGTCAGGCGCTGTGTTGGCGGAATTTGGTGGAATTATCGATTGTGGACTTTGTGTCGGCACGGGCGTAGAAAGTCCCGAAAGTAGCTGGATGCCATAGCGGAGGTGAGAGTTCCCTGAAGTATATTGACCTCGTAGATATTCCAGAGTCACGAATATCATACATGTGATTAAAGTCACACGGAGGTTGGATGTGTTATTAGTTGTTGGGCTAGACCTTAGATGATGGATGGCCTTATTGTACTGTTTAAGCATAAACTCCTCGGCGCTGTTTCCACGTGGGGATGCAAGGGCCCTCGGGCCATGGCCAGAGTCACTTCTATGTGCAGCTGACAGGGCGACAACAGCGTGCCGCACCGCGGGCTCCTGTGCACTTGCCTGAAGCACTAGAGTCTCCCAAAAGTCGGATGTGAAGATGCCGGCAAACTCCTTGGTTGTCTTCTCTACGAACCAGTCGAAAGACATCTGCTCGTCAGGATTTAGGTTGACGGCAGGGACGGGTGCGCGGTGGATCGACAAGGGTTGGCTTGCTGGGATTTGAGGGTGGTGGTCGCCGCCACCCCAAATGCCGTAACCATTGCACACACGCCCTGTGGAGACGCAGCGACGGCAAGCGGGGCGACTTTCATCGCACTTGACATGGCGAGCTCTGGGACACAGATTACACGTTAGACCAAGGCTTGCGACATCAGACTAGGGATACTTACTTGCAAGTTTTGCAGCCAGATTTGACTTTCCTTTTTACATGCCCTTGTGGCTGGCCAGTTGAGGACCCTTGCATGTTTCATGCCTTGAGACAAGCCTCGGGATATCAAAATAGGGGGATCAACGGGAAGAGGAATTTCGGAAGCTGCAAAGCTCGAAGACTCTTGGCTCTGATTGGCGGACGACGTCGGAGTGGAGCGGGATGGAGGAGCTCGGAAAGCCGGCACTCTCATTGGTCAATGTTGATCGCCAAGACCAAGGCTAGTCTGATAGATCTTCAGCAGAGCATCGAACCGCCTGAGGGATTGAAGCCTGAATGGCTGATCCACTGCTGCAGTGTTCGTGGATCTTCTGCTGGCTTCTTGGATACATCAATTCTCCCCACACCCCGTATAAAGACAAATCCTACTCAGCAAAAATTGATTCCCCTTTGTTTACTCCGCACACCCATACATAACTGCATATTCACAATGTCTGCTCCTCAACGTACTATTGGCCGTGATGGCCCCAAAGTCAGTGCCATGGGTCTCGGTCTCATGAGCATCGGTAGCGCGTATGGTCAAGCTGGCCCCCTCGAAGAGACGGTAGCATTCCTGGACCACGCCCACGCCACTGGTCAGCGATTCTGGGACACCGCCGATGCCTATCAGGATAGTGAAGACATCATCGGAGAATGGTTCAAGCGCTCCGGAAAGCGGGATGACATCTTCATCGCGACCAAGTTCGGCTTCGTTCCCGATGAGGGCAAGATCACTGTCCGGTCTGATCCAGAGCACGCTCGGGCTGCTTGTGACACCAGCTTGAAGAGACTCGGTATCGATACTATTGACCTGTACTACTGCCACCGTCTTGATGGCATCACCCCCATCGAAAAGACCATCGAGGCCCTGGTCGATCTCAAGAAGTGAGTGTATGCCACATAGATGATGAGCTCAGTGGCTAACGTATCCCCGCATCCAGTCAGGGAAAGATCCGCTATATCGGTCTGTCCGAGTGCTCAGCTTCCACCATCCGTCGCGCACACGCAATTCATCCTATTAGCGCATTCCAGATTGAATACAGTCCTTTCGCATTGGACATCGAGGGAGAGTCGGAGATCCTCAGCACGTGCCGTGAGCTTGGTATCTCCGTGATCGCGTACAGCCCCATTGGTCGTGGAATCCTGTCTGGACAGATCAAGTCCGTCGATGACCTCCCCGAGAATGATTTCCGCCGCATGTTGCCCAAGTACTCCCAGGAGAATTTCCCCAAGATCTTGGAATTGGTCAAGGGCCTGCAGGATATTGCCAAGGCCCACGACGCGACATCTGCGCAGGTGTCTCTCGCGTGGCTACAGGCTCAGGGCCCTGATATCATCCCTATTCCTGGCACCAAGTCCACTTCCCGCATGGATGAGAACGCGGGTGGCGCTCTGCTCCAGCTGACCGAGAAGGAAGTCAAGGACATTCGCGAGCTTATCAAGCGCACCGAAGTCTCAGGTGCTCGTTACCCCGACGCATTGTGCCGGTGAGTTATATTTCGAAACATACGCATCATGCCAGAGACCTCATACTGACTCATCAACTAGTTTCAACGGTCGTGATTCTAACGAAACCCCCCCTCTCTAAAGCGATTCGACAGTCATTATGTACATAGTTGATGAGCGCTATATAGATCGAAACATGACGTCCCACTGATCTACGGACTCAATTTTTTGTATCGCCCTGATGGGAGTCCACTTACGTAGGGGAATCCACAATTTCCCATACCAAAACAACAGCGATCGCCGTTGCGCGTGCCAGGAACCGCATACCGATATGATTTCTCTACTCAAAACCCCCTACCAATACATTCTCAAGCAGATCATCATGCAATAAAGTGGTTTGTCTTACGAACGCTCTGACGAACTACTGCATAAATAGTTTCAGACATCAATCCCCTGCGGGTTTCCCCTCCGTAAGGGGCGAACGATCCCGCAGATGAGGAATTCGGCAACCCGAACATCTTTCTTTTAAAGTCGAGCTATACTTTCACCGATGAACTATAGACTCAGATCATTTTGACTTAATCGAGCGGTAATGCACCATGGCCACGGAGACTCGACCAGCGATCTGGAACAGCATCGCCTATCAGTGAAATCCGACGCACCTGTCGCCCCTCCGCCCGATATAGAAACACAGCACATCACTGTTCAGGGGAGCCATGAGACTGGGTATACCAGTGATGACTCTCTTGAAAATGAGAAATACTCTTTGCCACCTGTAGATGGCGGCAAAGATGCTTGGCTGTGTCTTTTGGGCGCATTCATCCTGGAAATGGTTGTCTGGGGTATGTATACCTCGTCCTGATCTTCTTGTGCTATACTGACTTTCTCAAGGCTTCGCTTTCTCCTTTGGTGTTCTCCAAGACTATTACAGCACTAACGCACCATTCTCTCATGACCACTCTAGCAGGTCTATAGTAGGATCATGCTGCATGGTATGTGCCAGACAATCCCCATTGCAGACTCAAAACTAACAATACAAAGGGTATTTTGTACCTCGCATCACCCATCAGTCTCTTCGTTCTTCAGAAATGGCCACGCATCACTCGCATTAACAGCGTCCTCGGTCTTGCGATCGCTGTGACTGGCGTCCTCACATCTTCCTTTGCCACAAAGATGTGGCAGCTCACAATCACCCAGGGTGTCATTTACCCGATCGGAGGTGCCATGCTCTACTATCCAGTCCTGCTATTTGTCGACGAGTGGTTTGAGCGAAGGAAGGGGCTTGCATTCGGAGTTGCCTGGGTAAGTTTCTCACATCTGCACGATATCAAACATAAATCTAACGAGTCAAATGCAGGCCGGAAGCGGTGTTGCCGGCGTCGTATTCCCACTTCTTCTCCGCTGGGCTTTGTCGCGATTTTCTTTCAAGATCACCATGTGGGCCTGGTCCATCGGCATGGTCGTCTTGGTCTGTCCCATTTTGGCATTTGTGAAGCCACGGATTCCTGTCAACACCGACACCCCCAAGGCACAGTCTCTCAGCTTCAGCTTCCTTCGGACGCGATCGTGGATTATTTTCCAAATCGGAAGTCTCATCCAGAGCATCGGGTACTTCGCACCTTCACTCTACATGCCGACCTATGCTCGAGTCATCGCACACCAAAGCGCCATGGGCGAGACAACCCCAGTGACAGCCCTGAACGCTGGCTCAGTACTGGGCTTTATCATGGTTGGCTATTTGGTTGATCGCTGGCATGCTGCGACCGTCGTCCTCGCCATGACGGTAAGCACTGTCATCTTGGTGTTCGCATTATGGGGCTTGTCCGTGACATTGGCTCCAATCTGTGTGTTCTCTGCTCTCTACGGAGTCGTTGCCGGCAGTGCCGCCGCGACTTGGCCCGGTATGGCGAAGATCATCAAGAAGGAGGATCCCTCCGCGCCGGTCGGAATGGTCCTCGGAACTCTGACGGCTGGCCGAGGCATTGGCTCTATTGCATGCGGCCCGATCAGCGAGGCTTTGATCAAAACAGACTGGGCCTGGACTGGTCACACTGCTAGTCTAGGATATGGAACCAAGTTTGGTGGCCTAATTGTCTTCACCGGAGTCACGGCCTGTTTTGGCATCATCGGTTTCGCAGCGCGGAAACTTCGACTGATTCAATAATTATTATACATCATCAATTATGTTTGCATTCAAAGTTTTGTACATGCATTTTGTTTCGGTTTTCACCTTTGCATCCATGGATTTTTTTTGATGCACCAAGGTTTGTGCTCTTCGCGCGCTGCCTGGAAAAGTATCACATGGCGTCTATATAGATTTCTTTTTTAAAAAAAGCACAAAGTACATTATTCACATTAATTCAAAGGCCAAAAGCTGTTCAACGGCGGGGATAAACATTGAGAATCATGTTTTGTAACCTATTATATATCTCTGGAGAGGTATCCGTTCAAGAACCTTGAAACTTTGGAAGTCCCGAGATCTTGCCCCTGGAACGTTGAAAATTGTAGAAGAACCTCCCAAGGTTAGAACTGGCACAGGCGGGCGGATCTCCCGAGGTTGAGATATATTTCCAAGGTTCAGTCCACGGGTATCGATCCGTTCCAAGGTTTGTTGCGCATGGGCATCAGCTCTAAACCTTGGAAGTTGCCTGGGACATCCATCACAATCCATGGATGTACCCCGGGGCCTAGGTCAACGTCATTCTTCAGGCTGTGGTGATCAGTAGCTAGCTTCCGTCACACATACCATGCTGTATGCAGGTCATAACAAACTTGGAATTCTGGAATGTAGCCAGCAATGGATGACATCTATGACATTAGTTCTGCAATGGTTGACTGGAGCACCAACTGAAGCCACCTAACTACTCCATTGGCTTTCCAATCTCAGATCGAGTTACAAATTTGTCAAAAGTTGAATAATAGTTTGATATGGGAAGTTTCCACCCATAGTGATATCCACAGATGTTGGTACTGCATTAGATTCCCAGTTGTAGTTGATTACAAGAGTGACTCTGTATCGCCCGTGACAGAACTGATTCCTGTGGGCGGCTTAGTTGAGCAAGACTCTAGCTTGCAGGGGGGCTTTTTGATCACAGTTCAAAAGTCCCAGTATTGTATCCCGCGTTCGATAACAATGAAGCTATTCAAACCAACCTCGATGGTTTGAGGCGTTGCTCTATGAGTTGGCGTCATACCTAGACTCAGACCTACCCACCGTGCAAATTATCATTTGTAGTTATTTAAAGATATAGTAGACCAGCTAAGAGAATTTGCACAGAATGTATGAACACACGCGAGGAAGTTATACCCACGAAGTGAGCAAAATTGAAAATCGTCTAACCCAAATGCCCATTTTTGACCCTATGCTTGTGTGTATCAATTTTCAATCAACATGTGAGAAGTATCGGGGACAACTGAGGGACAATAGAAGAGGCAGAGAGGAGGCGAGAAAGGTAGAGCGTCAAGAGAAACCGTTGATTTTGAATGGAACATTGATCAGTATGGTTTGGTAAGCATAAAAATGATTCAAGTATCTAGTTTTCTTTTTATCAGTCCAAATCCAAGCACTAGCCATCGCATGGCATTAATATTCCAAATGACCCTTCGCTATACGTTTTTTTTTTGGTGGGTCACGGGACGGGGTTTCTACACACAATCGGCCAACTGGCAACTGCAACTCTACTCACTTGCGCGTCACAAGGTGGACACTTGGCAATTTGATCAAATGACAAATACGGAGTAAATGCAACATACGGAGTACCTGGGCGATCGACATGGTACGGATCTCTCTCATCCAACCAGCCCCTTAAAACCAACCGGTCGCGATCAAGTGCTACACAAATCACGATGCAAGTCTCAAAACATCACGGCAGAGGATTCAGGGGCAAACGAAGAAGACACTAAGAAGCATTCTAGTTTCAAACATGCAGCACAAGACTCACTAGCATCAAGCACCTCGGTGGCACTACCCCGCTTGCTCGCGTCGTCGCGGCTCTGCTCATCCCTGCCCTATTCTGTGGAACTGCCTATTTTTAACATGGCCATGGAGTACTCCATTCGGGGTACAGAGCAAACAATTGATACGAGCCCGGCATAACCAGATGACTGCTGGACTCGAGGGAGCGCCCACAGATGTCTGCCTTCGGATCTAGACCGGACACAGCCGTCAAGGTAATTTCGGTCTCCAACACGAGAAAACTGAAATCAAGGCCGAGGCTTTTCCTCTAAGCGACACCTCGGAGCCTTCGGAGGCACCAGGTGTGACCCCACACGAATCTCAAGGGAAAATCAAGGAACGCAGAGGAGGCCATCAGAGGTCGAAGGGTGTCTCCAAACTCCACCCCGGGAATCCACATTCCGAAACCGAGAGCGAAACGTCTTCAACTGTCAAATCGATCAACGGACGGGGATGTCGCCGGAGGTCCGCACCGGAGACCTAAGCCTTTTCAGGTAGTGGTAGATGACTTGCTCCAAGCACGATGGGGCAGAAAACTCCACGATGGTTGGTGGAGTCGGTACGAGTACACGAGCAGGGGGAGGATCGATGAGGATCGGATGCAGTGGAAGAGGGTCGGAAAGCGAAAGACGGTGTGCATCTTCGAATCATCGCGAATCAACGTGAAGAGAAAGCAGCTCCTGGACTGCGAAAAATCTCCGCAAAGTCTTGGCAAATGCGAACTGTCAGTCAAGATTTGGGCGAGAAAAGGAGAAAGCCCCGAACGATGTGGAGAAGCCAATGATGATCAGCAGGGATGGCAGGTCAAGAGCACACACGAATTAAACTATCGTCGATCGTTCGGGAATTGCCTCCCAAAGAAGGTTAGACTGTGCTTGTCTAGCCTGCCTGTGGGTAGATCGCCATGGGTCTAGTGGCGGCCGCGGCATGACAGCCGCCCCACGACGGCAAGTCTTCAACGGCTTTTGCGAGATTCGAGACAATGGACAATGCGGGTCCAGGGGAATACACAACCGCACAGCTTGGCATAAAAGGTGCTGGTATCGCATCTGTGGAAGGCCAACTCACTCCCAGTCACTCTTTTTTAACATGATTCTTTCGTACATCTTTGGCCTGCTGGTTGCCACTTCCGGCCTGGCCAAGGCCGTCAACATCACCGGCTATGAATATGTCATCGTCGGTTCCGGTGCTGGTGGTGGTCCCCTCGCTGCTCGTCTCGCGTTGGCTGGCCACAAGACTTTGCTTCTGGAGGCTGGTGACGACCAGGGTGAAAACTTCAACTACACCATCCCCGCCTACTCTGCCAGAGCTTCTGAAGATGAGAAGCTCTCTTGGAACTTCTTCGTCCACCACTACGAGGACGAGGAGCGCCAGGCCCGGGACTGGAAGGTCAGCTACGACACCCCGGATGGTGATATCTACACTGGTCTGAACCCTCCCGAGGGTTCGACCATGAAGGGAGTTCTCTACCCTCGTACTGGTACCCTCGGTGGTTGCACTGCCCACAATGCCCTGATTGCCGTCTACCCCCACCAGTCTGACTTTGAATACATTGAGAAAATCACTGGTGATAACTCTTGGACCCCTGCCAACATGCGCAAGCACTTCGAAAAGCTTGAGAACAACGGTTACTCTCTCCCCGCACAGGAGGGCCACGGCTACGACGGCTGGCTGTCGATTGAAGAAGCCCCTCTCAGCATTGTCCTGAAGGATACCCAGCTGCTGAGCATGCTCACTGGCGGTGCCTTTGCCCTCGGAAACTTCACCAACACCATCATGAACATTGGCACTCTGCTGCTCGGTGACGCCAACGCCGACTCCAAGAGCCGTGACACCGACCCCGGCTACTACCAAATCCCTATTTCCACCGATGACGCCCACCGCAACGGTCCTCGTGAATTCATTATCGAGGTCCGCGATGCTAAGAACGCTGATGGCTCCAAGAAGTACCCCCTCGATGTCCGCATGAACACCCACGTTACCAAGGTCGTCTTTGACGAGTCTGAGGACCCTCCCCGCGCCACCGGTGTTGAGTTCCTCGACGGTGAGCACCTGTACAAGGCTAGCCCTATGTCCCGCTCCGCTCTTCCCGGAAAGCCCGGTTCCGCTACTGCTTCTCGCGAAGTTATCGTTGCCGGTGGTGTGTACAACTCTCCTCAGATCCTCAAGCTCAGTGGTGTCGGACCCGCCGATGAGCTCAAGAAGTTCGGTATCAATGTCATCAGCGATCTCCCCGGTGTCGGAACCAACCTGCAGGACCACTACGAGATCTCCGTCCAGGGTAAGATCGAGGAAGACTTCTCTTGCTTGGACAAGTGCACCTTCAGCATCCGCGACCAGGAAGACCCCTGCATCAACGACTGGGAGTCTCCCATCCTCGGCGACCGCGGTATCTACTCCTCCCCCGGTCTCGCCGCCACCATGCTCTACAAGAGTTCCACTGCCGGCGACGACTTCGACATCTTCGAGTTTGGTGGTCCCGTCAACTTCCGCGGCTACTTCCCCGACTACAGCATCAACGCCACCGACGAGCACAACTGGTTCACCTGGGCCATTCTCAAGGCTCACCCCCGCAACAACGCCGGTACCGTCATGCTCCAATCCGCCGATCCCCTCGAGATGCCCAAGATCACCTACAACTACTTCGACAGCGGTGTCGGCGACTACGACGCCGATCTCACTGCCATGTACGAGGCCATCGAGCTTGCCCGTGATGCCTTCAACCGCCAGCTCGTCAACATCACCGAGGTTCTCCCCGGTCCCGACGTCCAGTCCGAGGAAGACATCAAGCAGTACGTTAAGGATGGCGCTTGGGGCCACCACGCCTCTTGCACCTGCCCCATCGGTGGTGACAATGACCCCATGGCTGTCTTGGACTCCAAGTTCCGTGTCCGTGGTGTCTCTGGTCTCCGTGTTGTCGATGCTTCCGTGTACCCCAAGGTCCCCGGTACTTTCACCGCGGTCTCTACCTACATGGTTGCCGAGAAGGCTGCTGAAGATATTCTTAACGAGCTCAAGTCTAGCTCTTAATCTCTTCACATGCCTAATGTAATTATAGACGTGTGATTCGGAGCGTTGTTGGTCTTGATGGATAGACCACTCGGTGTTGTTGTGGCGCCACTCTTTATACCACTCTTTATACTATGTATATTTAATCAATCGTTTAACAATCATGAGATCTGGCATACAAATCTGCTGGATCAGTTGATATTTTCTACAATCTTCGAACCACCAAGGCCTGCTTTGTTGAGTGCTGCGTAGGTATTAGTCCCATCTTATTATTGTGACAAAGGAGCTATTCGATGTGACCTCTGGATATCTTTTGAGTCACCTGAGTCATAAGGTTTGTACCAAAGTGAGCTCTCCAATCCTTAGAAAACTTCACTTTGACATTGTCAGCAAACCATGGTTTCATGTCAAACTAACCTGATCATGCAAGTACTATTGATCTGAAGTTTGCGAGGCACACTGTTTAGATCGGGCTCCATCTAGATCATTATGTCATGATAGTGCCTCACAAGCTTTTGGAAGCAAACCTGATGTATCTATGGGGCCATCCTTTCCAAAATACCAGTGAGAGAGGTCTAATGGTAAAACAAGATATGCCAGGACTCAGCGTGGTACTGTCTAGAAATGAATCTGAAAAGTCACTTCTAGTTGGCCTGTCTGGCACGCGTCACTCTCCCCCATGCTCCTTTTTCCATATAAATTCCCATGTCTGCCCATCTCTCACCTAGCTTATCTTTACGTCTTCCACAACTTCCACCTCTTGGCAACTCCGCAACAGACTCAAACCACTTGGTATAGTAAACTGTGATAGGGCATCCAAATGAGAATGCAGAATATCAAGGCTAACTGGAGACGTGTTTACTGCAGTGGCTATCACAACGTCAACTACAAATCTCCTCCAAACCCCAGGAGAGCGGCAACCTTGTCCTCACCTCGAGGGAAGCTAGCTCAGCGAAGGAACCATTCATGCCTGTTGATGAATGGCTGGTGTGTGAATCCAGCCTCCTGGTGGACAAGATAAACGGCCCTTTCGAACGAGCGCCGGCGACCGGCCTCGGCGATCTGAATAATTGCCCGCAGGGATGAAGCTCCGCTACATTCTGCGGGTGGATACCTATGGCATCTACAGACTGCGAGAGGTGGCTATTGCCTCTCACGATCTTGTCCACTCGGTCCGAGAATACAACATCGTATACCAGACCGAGGAACGGCTGGTGGATGTCCTCCGTACCACCAAACTCGGAAAGCGGATCACGCTTTCCCAGTTTTGGGATCTGGTGCGGACCAAGAGCTGCCAGCGCTGCCAGCAACCGGGCAGGTGGCTGGCGGTAAAGTTTTGGATGCGCCTGTGCCGTGGGTGCGTATCTGTCTTGTACCCAAGCATCTCACCAAACCAGCGCATTTTGCCTGGCGTGATCCCCCTGGACGTCAACCAGCATTCCTTCGAGGGAATGTTTTTCAGCTGCTGAAGAAAGCATTTTTGTAAGACAATGTGCCTATATCCTCTGTTATGCCCCATCCACTGACCCATACCAAGCAGATGGGAAAGATTTTGTCGGCGCGGGCGTTTGCCTGGTTTGCAGGGTCCCGGCTGGTTTAGATAGATCTAGACCTCTCGTGCTCTTTCTCTCTCTTCTTCTTTCCTCAGGTCTCATAATATTACTGTTTTCACGTCAGATTCTATCTCGAGCTCTAAGAAGTTAATAGAAAGAATATGTCAATCGCGGGTCACGCTATTCCTTAACAGAGAGGCTCTAGTATTCTATTGCAGAAAGGACTAAGAAAAGTCACATCCACGCAATCAGCTTGCACTCGAGCTGATATGATCGAACCAGCGGAAACGTGAGGCCCTGTAGTTAGGCTGCAGGGGATATGTACCATGTCTACACGCACGAGCTTTGTGTTTCATTCCGTCATTTCAGCCTCCAGAATACCCCACAGCTGGAATCAGAGCACCAATGTCTCAACACCGAAAACTGAGTGGCCAATTAGGCTATCTTCCCACCAGAAGAAAACGCGGATCGCCATTAGACAATACTGGAAGTCAGGAAGACCCCAAAAATATTTTCAAGCTTTCAAGTCTGCAGGCATCTAACGACAAGAACATAAGAAGATATTCAGAAGGTGAATCGCCAGATGATATACGCATTCACTTTGCGAGGAAAATCGACGTGTTTCCAGCCAGGGAATATGTCAACAAGCGAGTCAATTCCTGGACGGATGGCTCCCTGCGTATGATGGATACTACCACTGGCTGTCTTTGCTTTTTCTCTTACCACAGGACGGTGGTGTTTCGTGAAGGGGAGTTTGTTACCAACACGTGGAGATCCCTCTTTTATACCATCTCAGTTAGCTTATCAACAAGAGCCGTTTCCTTGTACCAACTAGCTTCTCAATAAGATATCAGTCGTGTATTTTCGAACATTTTTTGGAGAAGCGAAGATGACATCATTATGCTAGATTTAACCGCCTACCGCTTCTGCGTTAGTCAAAAAAAAGGATTTTGTTTGTCTTCGCCCCGAGCCATTTAGAGGTATCGGGAATTGAATATGGTTTAAATCAAGTTTGTCTCGCGGTTTCAACTGCTGGGATTGACTACTGGAAAGTAAAAAACCCAGGTTGTTTCACAAGGACGCCTTCCACTGAACGTTGACTTGCGGTTGAAACTGTCGCCGCTCTCATGAACTGAGATGATCCCCTTTCTACACTTTTTAAAGCATCATCTACGGAGTACTCTAGCTTAAGTTTTGTTGCTGAAAGCAAGTGTAGAATTAAACATGATTCTCGTATTGTGTTTGAACAATTAAAACTATTCGATCAAGAGCCTAATCAAGCAATTAGCGACAATTCCCAAAGTCGAAGCGAACAATTGAAGTGCAAGGTAATTCAGCGACTCAGAGACCAATTCGAAAACAATGTAGATTGACTCAATCTCTACAAAATGATTGCAGAAAGGGAAGTGGTCAATCATCATAGAGGCTGTTCCCCCTGGATAGTGGGGCGGGGCAAAGGGATATGATTGGAGAGAACAGGGATATCCGTACCTGACCAGTCGGAACAACGCTGTATGGGAACTATAAACCCGGAAACATTCTCCAGCTCATGGAATTCGTGTTCCTGAGATATTTCTGTGGATTCGCCCTGGGGGTGGCTGCGTGGTTAGTGGATATCGTGAGTTCCGTAAAGAGCCTCAGTGTCGATGCCGAATGGGAACCGGCATGGAGTACCGGGGAAAAGAAGGATCAGATCCGACCTGGACTTAAATTTATGGCCTTCAGTTTCGTCTCGAGAGCTTTCTTAAATACATTCTCTTGAGCAGACTAGGGCCGCTACCCTATCCCTTTTTTCACACCCGATCAGATTTTTATATGGAGAATGAAGTCATAGATGGAACCGTGCGACAGCTCCACCGCGCCTTAACTGTGCAATGACGATGGCCACGGATTGATATTACGAAACACTTTCCAGACTCCCTGCAGGAGATCATGCCGAGCTACCGAGATTGGCTGTTGCTTTTAAACGAGTTGACTTATCGTTCCTGTACTTCCTAGTGTAGCTGATATCCAGCCCGCTGGTGCATGGTTGGGTCTTCTTGGCACCCGAAATATTCCTAGATTTCAGCGCGTGAATCCAACACGTATACCGTAGACCGCCAGTCGGACACCTATAGCTTAAGCAAAGCCTTCTTCCACCACTTTTCCTCCTCTTCCACGGCGTTGATCCGATTCTCCGCCCGTCTAAATCCGTGACCTTCTCCCTTGAAGACCACCAACTTAGACTCGCGACCGGCTTTCTTCATCTGCTCGACCATCTCCTCCGCCTGGTTCAATGGAACGACACGATCTTCGTCTCCCTGAAGGAACAAGAGCGGAGCGGTGATCTTGTCCGCCTTGTAGCAGGGGCTACGTTCCAAGAAAATGCGGTTCTTGTCCTCTTCGCCGGCGCCCGGCTCGAACAACAGTGCAAACGCATACTGGCTCTCGAACTTGTGAGTATCCTCGCAGAGAGTTCGAACATTGCCGATTCCATAAAGTGAGGCGCCGCCGGAGAAGATATCGGGATAATCACAGAGAGCTTGGAGGACAATGTAGCCGCCTGCACTACCACCGCGGATTCCGACGCCGTTCTTGTCTACTTTGCCGGACGAAGTGAGGTATGAGACGCAGCTTGCTGCATCAGCCGTGTCGAGGAGGCCTGGTATAGTCAATTAGTATATTTCCGAAGCATGAGGGATTGCAGTGTAGTTCGCTTACCCCATTGCCCATTCAGGGAATCCCGGTATGCCCGGCCGTATCCCGAGCTGCCTCCGTAGTTGACCCACACCACGGCATATCCGCGCGAAGTCCAATATTGGTCAGTGACGTTGAGACCGGACCCCGTCATGGAAGTGGGGCCGCCGTGAACACAAACAATCACGGGAGGCAAGGTGCCGGCTGGTGCTTGGAATTCGGAGTTCTGAGGTGGATAGAAAATTGCATGGGCCTCGCCTTCGAGGTTTGTGCCGTGAACTCTTGGGAAAGAAATGTGCTTTGGGTGGGAGATCATAGAAGCAGGCATCACGAAATCGGAGGCAGCTTTGATCGCATTCAGTTGCACATTCTCGGCTGTGTCGAGTGTGAACAGGGTGCTGAAAGTAGTCTCGCTGGAGCCAAGTAGAGCGACCTTGGAGTCTGATAGGGGCGTATCCGCGATGATGATCGTGTCTGTCACTGGGATATTGATATCTCTCCAAGTTTCATTTGTCAAATCGATGATAATGAAGGTCCAGCGGGTATTCTTGTTGTAAGAGGCCAACATGCTGGTTTCAGTGAGAGCGACATATGTGCAGCTACAACCATGCGTCATTAGCAAGAGCGATATCGTCTTCTTCGCATCAAACATACTTTCCAAGTCGCCAATCTGGCTGAGAGAATTCCACGTCCTCCAAGCCACGAAGTTCTAACCTCCGGGTTTCCAGTATCTCAACCTTGGTCCGATACAACTGCCAAACACCAGTACGGTCACTTGTGAAATACAAAGTGTTATCGACGCCCCATCGAGGCTGCGACACACTTTCCTTCTCGGGCACACCGGCCACGAGCTGAACATCAGTGACCCGACCATTGTTCCACTTGGCAACATACACCCGGGCTCCAGTCCATGGCATATCGGGATGAGACCACTGATTCCAGCAAACCCGGGTGCCATCAGGAGAAAACTGGGCGGCGGCGTAGAAGTCATCACCGGAGGCCACGTTAACAATTTCCTTGCTTTGCAAGTTGACAGCGACCAGGCGATTATGAACCTGAGACGGTTGGGGCTTAGTGTGATCTTCTTCGATCGCTAGTAGCCACGATGGTGGAGCGTTGTCTCCAGCTCCGAGGGCCGATGTGCACACGTAGCGGAGAGTTGGATCAGTGTTGGTAACGCGCTCAATGTCACCGCTAGAGGGGTCAAGTCTATGGAGATCTTGAGTTTCATTATCGGTGAAAATGATACATCCATTGGACGCGATCATTGACGCGCCTCCATATTCATGGACCTTGTTAGAGGCGTTATACCTGGCGATGGGGGGTCAGCATTGGCAGTAACGCAGACTGCGGGTGTTTACTTCGCTGGAAGGATATCGCGTCCTTCTTTACCAGAGTACTCGACAATGCATCCTCTTCCCTGCTCCTTGGGGCGGGCTTCAATGACATAAATCTTGCCATTGGAGGTCTGCGGGGATCGTCAGATCATGCCCAGGCGGGAGCTCGCGGCGTCGATCATTGAACTTACTGCGATGGACTCGAACTGGACGCCATCGGCACCCAAGAGGGTCGAGCTGATTGGGCTTTGCCATTGACCGAAAGGAGCTGTGGTTCCCATTTTTGTGAAAGTTGAGGTTTGTTGAAGTGGGGAAAATTCTACCCCGCGGAAGTCCTCTACGGCTCAGCCTCGTTGGATCTCAGTGAGATTCCTTTTCTTTTTCTTATTTGCCTCTATTTTTAGTTTTCTCTATGATGACATTCCCCGAGACTACTATTGATAAGCGGGTCATCTTGATTTTCATGATAAATATCCAGTTTGGTTTAAACACAGCATAACTACCAGCGGTATATTCTTCAAGTCTACACACCCAGCTCATAGAGCATCTAAACATTGAAGTGAACTGGCTCAAATGTACTTTTAACCCATTTCCCCTGCTCTGCAGCAAAATACACCTGAGATCCCGGCGACGAAGGTCTTAACCAAAGACCCTTCTCTAGATCAAAGTATGCCTTTCCACATGATTCACAGCATATGCTAGGCTTCTTACTCTGATCAACCTCACTGGAATGATCATGCTCACATGGAGGTCGGCGTCCATATTGACGGAAAGTGGCCTTTAATCGTTCCGACGGGCGATCCGGGCCTAATGGGCCCAGTGGTCGAAGGTACATCTCGAGCATATCAACAGGACCCATTTTACTCGCATTCTCACCTCCAACCGGGGCTGGTGATTGCACTGGATCTGATGGAGGCACGTTATTGAGATCACTCATGGTCTGAGTCAACACGGTGGTTTGTTTTGACATCGCCCTTAATTGAGTCTCGAAGCAGGCTCTCTGCTCTCTGATTTCGTCAATGATCATACTGATAGTTTAGTAGATTAGCCAGGGTTTCTTGCACTTGAAAGTCGTCATGAGCACACCTGTTGAGGAGGACCTGGTATGTTCCGTCGAGCCACGCTCGGGTCTGCAACATGCCCTCGACAATCGTAGTCATGTCTTCTCGCTGGAGGAGAAAGATACCTTTTTGGCTCATCGCGCGACGACGGTTCTCGGCCTCCTTCTCCTCATGCGTTCGGTGATACCCGGGCTTACTTTGAAGCTCTTTTTTATATTGATAGTCCCAGTAGTCGAAATCTTGAAATAGTAACTCAATTTCCTGGCTCATTTGCAGGTCAACTGTTGAGAAGTAGATGTCCAGCCGTCTTTTTGCCTGAACTAGTGAGTTATGTGCCGTCTCCGCTCGTTTGTAAAACCTTTGGCTCTCATCCTTCGACTTGACCAAAGTGTTTGTACGATAGATAACCGTAATTAAGACGGCATAGGCAAGTGTCAAGACTCCAATGACGTTGGCAGCTACCGACAGAGGGCTGTCTGAGCAGTCAAGGACTGCTTGGTCACTTGGACTTTCAGGCATTCTAACAGTCAAGAGGCGAGCTGAGGTTGTGATGAGGATATCGTGAATTTGGAAATATTTATACGGCAAGTGCTTTTGAGTGGTGAAAGTGAGCTGATTATCATTTCTGCTTTCAGCCGCGGGGGCCAGCCCCCTGTCGGGCTGTGTCGAGGGGGCCAACGCAAACCGCAGGAACGATACAGAATGAGTGGGTCGTGTGCAAAAGCGCAAAGTACCAATCGCTCCAGAAAGTACTCCGTACCATGAGTAGAATTGTGTCTGACATAGAAACTTCGTTCCTATTGGTGAAGTTGTAGGTCGTGAAGCCCTTTATGTCTATATCCTCAGAATAGATACAAACGGCACAGCGATCATTTCTCCTCCACCCATTGAAACAACGGATCCATTCGCAGACTCTCCATGACTTTCGGCTCGAGTCCAATCCGGAGTTCCCACGGCGCGTTCGCATACCGAGCCGGCAAATCCCAAGCAATACGACTGAGCCTCCCATCAGGGATATCAAAGTCCGAGATCTTGCCCAGCACGGGACCAAAGTCCATATCGTAGAAAGCAAAATTCCGTAGACTACTCTGTAGGTAGTCGCATTGAGCGAGAAAGGTTGGCTGCCATTCCGGTTTATTGACGACGGCCGCGATCTCAGTGCGGATATACTCGTCATCGAGGGCTATCCGATCCCGTCGAATAGCAACAGCCAATTGAGCGACGGATGCAACGTCTGTAGCTTTGAGTCCATCTATCCTCTGCTGCATTTGGTCGGCGGCTGAGTTGGGTGAACGGTTGACATAAGCGCTCTGGCATAGAGGACTCTCAGTACAGAGTGCGGAGTACGCATTGCCCATGTAAGCATCCGGAAGAGCGGGTCGCATAATGGCCCGAGTATCAGAGACGGTTCCCATGGTAGACTTGCGGTTCGCATCGGTCGGGGTGGGTGAAACCGATTCACGCGCTCTGATAACACACAGCCACATGAGGGCGGCGAAGACGTCATTACGAGACAAGTTGACTGAATGGTTTGCAGAGGAAGCACACATTTCTCGGAGCTTTGCAAGCTTAGCATCGCTTATGACAAGCCTTCGAGTTACTGGGACCTCGGGGATGAGCGGGACTGAACCTTGGGCAACTTTCGATGAAACATGCGTTTGGATGCAGGCTGCAGGCTTCTGAGCCAATCCGGCTTGGAGAATCTGCTTCCTACCGGCTTCCTGCTCGGCAGGGGTGGTCAGGGGAACCGTCGGCTTTTCGGTATGGACATTCTGACAATGTAAGGACAGTGCTTTCAGCACATTCGTCAACCCTTTGCCATCCATGACCGTGTGATGCATAGTGGCGCAAAGGATAAGCCCGTCTTCCAGAATATTTGCCTGAAGCCGGAACGCAGGGCTAAGCTCGTTGGATGCATGATCAAGAGGAATAGGAATAAACACGTCGTCATATGATATCTTTGTTTCTGGAGCTCTGGAAGTATTGCCGGGGAGATAGCTGTTGTGATGATGTTTGACTTTGAACATGGGATACTGATCTAGAACAGCCGGGATCGCAGGATGGAGCTGTCGTACACCACCGGGCTGTGGAATACGAGCGACATTTCCTGTCAGAAAGGGCAGGGAGAAAAGCAAGCTGTTGAGTCCCGATTCAATGACGGACAATGCTTGAGCATAATCTTCTGGTTTGAATGTCAAGAAGAAAGTCAGGTGCATAGGTGGAAGATGGTGGTCCAGGGGTGAGAGGTTGTAGGGCTGGAAATGGGGATATTGAGGCCGCATTGTGTATAGTCTTCTCGTGGTGCTCGGTCACTTAGTCGCGATACCTGCATCTAGAGATTGAATTATGGGAAGTGGGAGTTTGTAAACGGCATATATAACCTTCCAAAGTTGGAACACAGCTATGCGAGGGGGCTAATGCGCCTTGATATCCTTTGTGTGAGTTCGGTACGAGATGGCTCCTTGAAGTTTCCTTCGCATAACCGCAGTCAAAGGCCCCCTCGCTTAACACAGTTACACGCATTGGAAACATGGACGAACCAATCCTGAGCATCGGGTCCTTGTTCCTCCCGTGTCCTAGTCGAAAGACGGACAAGCGTCTCCACATTCGTGTCGATCTGGGGGCCAAGACGTGTCGTTTCAATGGATAAATGACAGTAACGTATGGATCTTGAAAAAAAGGTTTGCTGGTGCGTAATCTCGGTCAGTGTTGGATTTTGGACTTGGAGAGGCTGAGTAGGGAACTTTACATAGAAGCCATCGCTCATCAGATTTGAACAGTGTGTGCTCTCACCCCAACCCAAAGAACTTATAGTTACAAATATAAGGAACGGCATAAGATGGGAGTAGCAGACGTTCAATGTGGTATTGCAGATAAGTAGGCGATAGATTGGCTGGAAAGGTGATGGACAACACGCTAAAAGAAAAGACTCCTAGGACTCATGAGGAACAGTGGAATTTGGGTGGCCCAATGTGATGCAAACCCAAACAAATAGTAATCAGCATAACAAACAAATGAGGGTATATGGCACATAAAGATCGTATACTAGGAATGTCAATTGCAAAGAGACGCAAGATGATCCACGTCAAGCCCACCGCCACCCGGAATCATGGGATTTCTGTCGCTTTATAACAGACGACAGTAGACTATCCCTCTTACCGAACGGATTGCGCTCGTTTTTCTTTTTCTGCTTCTTCAGTAGCTGTACAGCGGCATCGGCATCGATGCCTTCACCGGTATCCGTTATTTTCAATGCCCACTTCGCATCTTCGGTAGCGAAACCCAGGTCATTGACAATCATATCAATAGCTCGATCAACTGGATCAAGAACCTGGGGACGAGGAGGTGGGATGCGAACAGGCAAAGAAGCCGGTAGAGGGATGTGCGGAGGCGGCGTTCGCGAACACGCAAAGCTGGGCTCCGTAGATGACTCGACAGGCGTTTGTGGCTCTGGAATCTCAACGGATTCCGAAGAATGGCCAAGCACCAATGTTGGAACAGGGGGTACTGGCTCATCCGTCCCATCCAAGTTCCGGAGGATGGCGCTGTATTTGGACATCGGTCGCTCAGTGGAGAATGAAAATCTACCTTCTGGTTCTTCGAGGCCACGGGCACGGCGATTGCGGAGTTCTTTCGCAAAGGCGGTTTGTCGTTCTCGACTCTGGCGCGCAGGACTCAAGTAGTGAGAAGTTGGGGGCTTCGCGGGACTGGAGTCGCGTTCCTGGATTTCGTAGGCGCGAGAGATCGCCTCCTTAAGAAATGATGACCGACTAGTTTCTGTCTCGAGCGTTTCCCATTTTGTCAGCCCTATTGACTGGGCTACGGAGAACTTGGCAAATGTGGTGTCCGACTGGCAGACAGAGCTGAGTGCCAGTACCGCGCCAAGACCTAGCGTCAAGATGTAAGAGGTCCATTCCTCTGTTTAAATTAGCAGTGAATGAAGCCAGGCTTGTCGCGCAACATACCAAGAACGACTTCTTCGCGCACTTTGTCGTTATCTGGGACATCCATGTTATCGAAAATTCCGACCTTGCGGGCTTCTATACATTTGCCGTGCATGGGCTGCAGCAAAACACCCATGCACGTCCAGATCTCGGTCATGTCGTACATTTGTCTTTGCGAGAGACCGGAGAGATTTCCACGACCGAAACCCGTAGGTGGCTCAAAGAGCACATTGTTAATGCCGAATGGTTGGGTCATGGTGGAAGACGAGGTAGAGTACTTCTTTGCCTCGCATCCCCCTCTAAGCCAATCCATCTGGCCTGCGAGATCATTTTCACGACTTTTCCCACTGCCAAAGATACGGCAAAAAGTCCAAATACGCCAGAATGCATCGTCGACTTCTTCGGCGCGCTGGTCATCGACACCTGCCAGACCGCGGACCGTCTCGTGGCGAAGAAAAGGGGAACAGCGCGCAAGAACAAGGGCCTTGAGTTTCGCCAGCGTATAGATATCTTGCGCGTATCTCTGCAGATATAATGTGGGCGTGTATTCAGGCACCTGCGAATCCGGATCGATAAGTGGCTGCCACTCCATTTCCCACGGGGGACTCATCTCCCGCAGTTCCCATGCCGGCGGAGACATTTTGAACAGAGCATTCTTAATGAGTGGCAATTCACGACATTTGAACGCGCGATAAGTCTTTCGGTTGACGAGCGCGAAATTAAACAGGTCATCGAGCGAGTCAATCTTCTCCATAGTCGACAGGATCAAATCCAGCGGCATATCCGGTGGTAGGCCGGGCGCGCCCGCATGACTGGGAATTTCCGATCGCGATATCACCGGCGATGGACAATGTGGTTCTGCAGGCAATTCATGAATTTGATCTGTCATCTTCAGGCTGCTAGCCTGCGCAGTGGAGACCAGCGCCCAGCTCTGGCGCATCTTGTTCCGCACCTCGGCTTTGTGCGCGTCGGATTGACCCGCAGGCTTCGGGCCGCCGGGGCTACCGGACAGAAAGTGTTCCACGACACGCTCGAGCAGTGCGGCGGTTGCCAGGTCCTCCGTTTGCAGACGGGGTAATTGGAGTTGGTCTGAAACCTGCGTGTTTGTCATGTGGGGTTGCGATTCCGACCGGGCGCTAATGCGGCCTTGGCTTTGTTTACGAAATGGCGCCAGAAAAGATTTCTTCTTCTTGTCTTTCTTGTCGTCATTGGCGCTGCTTCGGCTGGGGCTAGAATGGGATCTTTCTTCCCTTGTCTCTGTTGCCCTGGGCGTTCTTTCCAAGTCTGAGTGATCTCTACGATTTGATCCCTTGGTTGGACTGGGTCTTGACTTTGAGCGACCGCTCGGTTCTTTCGGCTTCTTGGGCGTGAGATGGATATCGGGCCGGCCCTGCGGCGGGAGAGGCGCCTGGCGGGTCGAGATCCAGTCTCCCTTGCCGCGACTGACCTGGGCTGGTCCCTCCAAAGGGCTCTTGTGCGACTGATCTTTACTTAGGCCCGCAAGCGTTCCCTCGAGGTCTTTCGTTGCCTGTGACAATGTTGGGGTGAGGCCAGGGCCTGGGCTATGGACTTGCAGCTCGTTCTCCCCCTGCGGACCCCTGCGATAATGTGACGGGATCTCATTATATTCGGAGCCAAACCACACATGTCCAGTTTGGCGGTGCGTTCTCACCTTGTGGACATTTGTTGACTTCCATTCCTTACGGCCGACCGGGGATGTAGGGTGCAGCGGCGAAACCACGAGGTCTCTCTGGGATGTTGGCACATGGGGCCGGAGAGGCGGCGACCCTGATGAGCGAGAGGAGTCACTCCAGCGATGACTCGCCAAGTCATCACTTTGCGCTGGCTCGAGGGGTAGGGGTTTGTTCTTCAGGTCGGTCATGGACACCTGCTTAGCGGGTCCTTCATGCGAGGACATGTGCAGGGTATACGGCGGAACGGTGGAGGAGCGTCGGGAGAGAGCGATATCATCAAAGACACCCGCGACCACCGGCGAATGGATCGAATATGCATCGGGAGATTTGTGCGGGTATCTACCATCGTCGCCCCAGAATTCCGTTCCCAGAGTGGTGATGGAAGTGCGACGGCTATAGCACGAAGAACCACCGTCATACCCATCCGATCCCAACGATTGAGATATCGACTGCTGATGCTCAGGATCCACATCGGCGGAGTAGCGATACAGGATCAGCACACGTTCCTCCAGCTCGCGCTCGAAGAGCGATGGGCCCAACTGCTCCATATTTCGATCTGCGCCGACCGGGGAGACAACGGAGAAGTGCGATGAAAGCTCTGGAAAGAAACGGGCTAGACGGGATGCTGATCTTAGAGAATTTCGGGTTGACAATGAGGAAATTTCAGAATCGCTGAAGTCGAGCGCATCCAGGTCAATGATACTTGATTCCGGGGAGGCACAGCAACTGTCCCCGATCTCCCCGAGTGGCACCTCCTCTTCTTTGTGGTCTTGTTCTTGTGATTGGCAGTGGCTTTCTTTAGATTCCTTAGTGCCGGGTGGCATGCAGGGTTCTAGAGATGGAACCGATTGCCCGTCAAGTTCTGCGATCTGCCCTGACATGATGAGTTCTTGGGGATCGTTCTCGACGATCGGACTTGAGGCGCTCCCGCGCACTGTCATCAGCTCATGGCGTGCTTTAGACAATCGCCGCTTTAGGCTCATTTGTAGATCCAGCGGCGCGCATTGTAGCTTTGGATTTCTGCGTGGTCGCAGGGGTTGTAGTAGTGGGTGAGAACCCATGTTGTTACTTTTTCAAGTGTGTCTATTCTAGGGGGGGTTGTCTAGGATATTTCTTGACCTTTGTTAGCGCAATAGAGCTATTGAGACTCGATACCGAAGCTCATTTTGGTAGGAACTTACCTCAAAATTTTCGCCAAGCGTCGGGGAGACGAACTGCAGTTCTTTGTTGTCAAATTAGTGCGGGTGTGGCTGGCGACAAAAGACAAAGAACATCGAGGATTTGAAGGATCCCAGGAGAAATTCAATGGGAAAAAACAGTGTCAGCAAGTTCTATATCTCTTAGGCCCCCAAAAATCAGCAAGGCGCAAGGTGTCACAACATGCTTCGATCAGCGTTGTGAGTGGCCCTCATGCATTGTACTCCGGAAGCCGAAGCCGAACAGCAATGATAAAAAAATATTTACTCCGTACGGAGTACAGAGATGCTGAACATCTAAGACATTATCAAGTCCCAACTCTCTCATTCAAAGTAGTACTCCGTACTCGCTTTACGAGTCCTATTCTTGTCCTCGTGTTGATCGTCGTCAAGGGGCAATGATTGACGGACGCCAACATCGAACCAATCAGAGCTACACCAAGAACTGCAGCCACAAAGATTAGAGAGACGCGGCCGCTGGCTAGTCCGTTTGTTGTTCTGAATAGCCCCAGATAGCCCCCATAGAGTTCACTCCGCCCCCAATCCCGTCAACCCTAACGTTCTTTTGCGCATGCGCGGTCGGAAGTGGAGACCAAGACCAACTCGCATTGATCGTCGCTCAAAAGTTCTGCAGCGGGACATTGCTTAACGTCGCCACATGTCAGCGTCATTCCGATGGGGTCCACGATCGCACCCCGCTAGCCAAGGTAGATAACCTTTTTGTACGGAGTAGAGATCGGAAAGTGTCGAAGCGCTGGCGCCAAAACAAGCGACCTCGAAGGTCATTGCTCTCAACAAGAATATCGCGTCGCATCATTCCTGTGCGCTGGTGAGAACGGACTTCTCCCGTCGCCCCATTCTGGCATGGTTGTTGCGAACTAGACATTCTTGCCTCCGCTCTTCCGCCCCCAATGCCAAGTTGCCGAACCGACTTGAAGTTGGGGGCGTCAAATAACGATGACGCAGATTCAAATGCCTCCCGAGACCCCGCTTCTTTTGAGTGGATCATGAATAAATTGAGGACCCATCGCTGTCAAGCTGTCAAGCTGTCAAGCTATTGAGCTACCGAGCTGTATGCTGTGCTGCAAGATGCCAGTTGCCGGCCGGTGCGCACTTGTCAGGTGAGCGCCCTTCGAGGCACAACAAAGGCCGATAAGGAGCTGGACAAAACATAAACAGTCTATGTTGCTGGGAGGTCGAGAAGCGCAAAAAGTGCAGGCTTGTGGGGGTCGCGAAAGGGCAGAATTTGGGGGCGGAAGGGGTGGAGCGCGAAGTCCACTTTTTGAAGACATCCGTGGGCAACATCAACAACGTCAACAACGTCAACATCACCCAAACCTGCTCCAAGGCCCATCCAGGATTATGCGGTAATCATTTTGCTTGAATCTCGGTTCTTGTTCCGGGTTATGAGAACCCCCAGAGGCCAGGCTGTGCTCGTATCCGATTTCCACCTCCGGTGAAGACTGCAGCTCCAATGCTCAGACTGAACTGTGCTGGCATGAGACGATGTGGTCAGCTCTGCTCGTACGGAGTACAAATTACATGCTACTCACAACTCTCTTGACACCAAACTGCATAGCTTGCAGTACCGAGGCTCTCTCTCTCTCTTCTTGGCACAGTTTCTACCCCGTACTCACCATGCAGGTCGACTCATTTCCCTAGAACAGTTAGACATACGGAGTACTTCGACGGGTTTCTCCGCTACTGGCGATGTAACATCGTCAGAGCTGACCGATCAAACAATCACTCCTGCATGATCGGCAGAAGTGCGGGTCACAGCCTCCAAACTGCAGCTTGGCCCCGACATTCCAGCCAATAGCAAGTGACCTGCGTTCGATGCTACCCTTGTACCGAATTGTCATTTGTCATTTGTTGATTAACCACAACGAAACAACCGCCCGTGGCACCATTAGCCTATGTACACAGCTTCAGCTGCTTTCCCTTTTGGGTAAATCGTCTGAACCGTCCAAGTTTCACTAACATGAGTCCAATTAATGCCCAGCGCTCGTCGGCATGTTTTGCTCCTCTGCACATTACTTGCTTTTTCCCTTCGGACTCCGGACGCCAGATCTTTGTATAAAGCACCTCGTTTCGCTGGTTGATTCTCCATCATAACAAGCAACCACCATCTCTCACAATGTTCGGAAACCTCTCCGCCGCAGCGCTCCTGGCTCTCAGCCTCACAGCTTCAGCCACCCAGATCTTCAGCAACTCTGGAACAACCTCTGGCTGGAGCTCGACCAATCAAGAACACAGCGGCACTGTACAGGAAGTGACTAACGTCGTCTACAAGGGCCCCACAGCCCTGAAGATGACCCAAGTCTACGACTCCAGCTACACGGGACGCTACCACTCAGAAGTAGTCAAGAACAACGTCTACAAGCGCGGCGACACCGGCTTCTACGGCTTTGCCTTCCGTCTCCAGGAGAACTGGCAATTCTCCCCAGCCCAGTCGTACAACATCGCCCAATTCATCGCCGACTTCAGCGACACCGGATGCGATGATTACATGCCTTCTAGTATGGTCTGGCTGGTTGGCAACCAGCTCTACACCCGCGTCAAGCAAGGCAGCATCTGTGCACAGAAGATTGAAACGTTCCCGAGCCTTGCGACTGTCTCTGCTGGACAGTGGCATAAGATTGTCATCCAGGCGACTTGGAAGTCGGATGGCACGGGCGAATATAAGCTCTGGCTGGATGGCAACAAGCTGTTGGATAAGCGGAACATCGCCACGACCATTGATGATAGCCGGGCTTTCCAGTTCCGTGTTGGTCTCTATGCTAATGGCTGGCATGATGATAAGCAGATGAAGGGGACCCAGGGTACAAGACAAATTTGGTACGATCAGATCGCTGCGGGCACTACCTTTGCGGATGCGGATCCCGATCAGTGGTCGTGAGTGATCAGTAGTATATTCCGAGGTTTGAGGATTCCACATCGGTTCAATATCCTTAAACTGTTATCGGTCCAGTGTCATCTAAGCTATCGCTACCATTGAATGTTTCTATAAATCAACCATCGAGGGTGAATCACTAATATATGTGCCCGGAACTTCTATTTGTCCACGGGTGTTTCGCTGTTCTAATGCAGAAGAAGAAATCATGTATCGTCAAGTAGAGCAGCCTTTCAGCCACAGTCCTTTCGGTCACCACACTCAAAATATGGCCCCGAAGTCAGCAGGGGTATTATAAATAAACATTTCCCCGAAATACCATTCGTGCTCTTCCAAAATTCGCCTACCACGCTGGCCTGCGTTGCCTGTCTGATTGTTGATCCCCTCAATCACTTTCACAACGTCAGGTGTGACCGTCTCAAAACTTGGTTGATCAATCCAATACTCCGGAGAAGGATGAGTGTAATCAAAACCAGGCGAAATGAACGGGATTGCCGGTATAATATCTTTATGATGTGTAGCACGATAAACGCTGACCGGCTCGTGTTGCTGGGTAATGAACTCGGCCATTTTCAAGTTTCCGGTTTTGGGAGCTCCGAATGTCCACTAGTTGATGTTTTGTCAGTATTTGCATCTATCGTGCTCGAGCTTGAAGGTTACTTACCACATCCAAAGTAAATCCATCAACGCGAAGCGCGGTTCCGGCCAGCGTCGCAACAGCCGCACCAAGACTATAGCCCGTCACGACCACGCTGTAGCTCGGGTTCTCCTTGATGAGACGTCGGAGCTCAGCAGTAACCTGGTCCTTCGCGCTCAACCAATAGTTCCAAAATCCAGTGTGAGCTTTGCAGCCCTCGCAGATCTCGGACACATCGGTGAAAACAGGAATGCGCAAGTCCTGATATAAGTCGGCGGTTGTGACTGTTCCACGGAAGGTAACGAGGATCAACTTTCGGGTGTAATCTAGTGCAATATACCCTGTCGCAATTGCTGTGCCGTGGTATATGCTAGTGATCTCGGTATCATCCGCCTGGACCAGCTCACATGGTCCTTTGTCGCAGCTGAGTTGGCGTCCAGTAGTGTTGAGATTCACGTCGCACATGGCTACGGCGGCGACTTGCGCAAAGAATCTGAAATCATCGAGAAGCTCCGATGAGATCTCTATGATGCGAATTAGCGGCATGAGCTTGGAAATCGTGATAACGTGCCGGCTTTAACTAACCTCGGCGCGAGAGCTGGATGGGGGAAGCTAGGACGCTCGTGGTGAAAAATGATAGCCAGGCGCAAAGCCCAAGAATAGAAGGTAGCATGGCTTGTAATGCGAGGGAAGAGCCCTGTGATCAAAACACCTTGGAACGTTTTGAGAGAGGGAACTCATCCCTCAAGGGCAAGGTGTGCCCTCTTATAAGTCAAAATCATCGGCCACGGTCCTGGCTGAGGGGTGTAGATCATTGCATTAGACTTAGATATCCATTGTCGTAGCTGCGGGCCCATCACATCGTGGTATTCCACTCTTATCCTCTATTGCACAAGAAAACATAGTACACCAGCTCGAAATCGAGTGCTCACATTCCCAATTAAAATCACCCGTACGTCGTTGAAAAGAGAGCGCCGTGTCAATACCCCCAAAGGCATCCCTTCTCAATACATCCCTGCAATAATTACTCCGTACTCTATACGGAGTGTGACTCGGAGCATAGGCGGCTCAAAAACTCTGGTTTTCAGTAGCCGGCCCCGAGCTATACCTGAAACGTTCATGTGCTTTTCTGTCTCACTTGCTCTTGCCGAATATTGGATGGCTTGAAATGCGTAAATGCAAGTCAAAGGAGCTTTTGAAAAAAATTAACCAATATCCCTCGCGTTGATGGAGCTTGGGCCAATAATACTCGGAAGCTAGGGGTGCTAAAGATGCAACTCCTTCTTAGTGCATGCAATATGAGGTCAACCCCCGCATTCACTCGAAGTCAGAGCCGAAGCAGGTTTGTGGGATCTCTGTGATATTGTGCGGAATTTATACAATTTTGTTTTGTACCGGAGCCGCTTTTTTCATATCAAGATTTGAATTTTTTTCGTTCATCTATCGTTAACTCCACGGGTATGTGTGGTGGTGGGTCTAAGCCGTTTCACTAGCTCGGCCGCCTATTTGATTGAGGCGTACGGAGTATCCTCGGCATTGCCTTGACTGAAAAATGATTTGTCTTCCACATGGCAATTCAGCTCTGGGTCCGCATTGTTTCATCGCAGCTCCTAAATTCATACTGAAAAGGGGGGCAGCATGCTATTTGTGTAATTGACTCTGGAGTCAATCCACTCTACGGAGTACGGCTCAAGTCCACGGGCATTCCGGATATTTAGTGATCTCGGGAGCATCTTGTGTCGATCATTGGTGATCAGTAGATCCAATAGTGGCATCGATGGTCAATTACCTATCAGATCGTAGCGAATATTTTACTATCACGCCTCAATGCTACCTACCAAGGGTGAATCCATCGAAGGCATTCTCAGTTACGGAGTACGGAGTATCTCTGAATTTCACCCAGACAATAGGCTAAGATAGATCCCCCACAGGACACCAAAAAGGTTTCCGACCAGCATCCGTCTGTTAGCGGGCACCACGGCGAAATTGAGAATCGATACCAAAGGCCAGAATTTCAACCCAGCAAACATGATTGACCAAAAGTCCTGCGTCAGTGTCAGCATTTGAAACCGAGCCCTCGATCCCCCAGCATTTCCTCAGATTCTAACCAAAGTTATCAAGGCGCAATACATACCTCCTGAATTTCCGCAAGGATAGCGTCGTATCCCATCCCGCGCAACATGCCCATAGTAGTGATGAAAAGAACCGTGTTCCAAGCACCACCAATAGTCTGATCAATCACGATCTTTGCGACCGTGTTTGTGGCATTCAAACTAGGCTCCGAGGTGCTTTGTCCGCCTTTTCCTTTCTCTCCCTTTGACTCCCGACCAGGGAACCAGGCTTCCAGCCCTCCAAGCCACAGATAACCCAAAGGAGAGATCACGATGGCGCACGTGGCGAACTGAGTTAGAGACTCAACGTCAAGTTCAAAGGGGATCTGGTTCCGCAAATCAGACCTCTTTGTTTCATTAAGCGTTTCTCATCGACACGTGGCTGCTAGTGCGCCACAATGCGATCTGCCGTGTTTGCAACCCAAAATTCCGATCTCTGAACGATAGAAAGACTTACATCGGCTCGATATGATTTGATACCCTGGGCCAAAACGTTGGAACCAGCACTGATCAGCGCCGCCTGTAAGGTAGCCTTTGCAATGGGTGGGACGGCCATATTGTCTATTTCTTCTTGTGTGGTCCGAATGCCCAAACTCAAGCCTCGATGGTGATGGAATGGGCTGAAAACGCGACACGATGTCCTCAGGGTCCTGGGTGAAACAGCGACCGAGCCTGACACGTCAACAACCCCGCGATCCCGTGACTGTTTTCCGCCTGGGCAACTGCATTGTAGATCAGAAAAAATATCTCTCGCTACGCGGAATCGGTGTATGCAGGCTTACGGAGTATAGCGGCCCGGGTCGTTTATTCGCGATCAGGCAGGTGTAAATGATGCCTGATTACTAATTAAAGTCCCGGGCCCCGGGGCCGCTTTAAGCCTGCGTAAATCAGTGCAGAGTCCATCGAGATACCACTCAAGACAGTTCCGCCAAAATTCTACTAAAGAGAATGCCTATCGTAGCTCAACATGTTATTTTTTCTCCCAGATGCGACCGAATAACAACCTCGGGACTCCCCAGGTCGTCACGCCTGATCAGGTACCTTTCAACTCGGCGCCACCTGCAATTTTACAACAATGGGTTACGGATTATTGCAGAGCCAGTTCCAAGGTTAGGACGACTTCATTACAATGAGCCTCACGTCTTTGTGAGAGAGTACCGGTTTTCCAAGGCTCTTTGCATGAGATGCTTGCCCTATTTATATATCCAGCTCTTTTTTCTTCATCAATCTTTGAAAATGGATGAAAGGAATATACAATGCAACTAGACTTGTGAAATATCCAAGGCTGCGGTAATTTATATAAATGAAAATAATCCTTGCCAGGTGCTAGGAAGTTCTGGGTTACAGATAAACGGCATCTTTTCTGACTATACGAGGCCAATCTAGTACAAGCTGCACGACAGCCTCAAGTTATTTTACAATGCCAGTCTTCGCTCCAGGTCCACATGAGACCCACACATGGACTCTTCCAGTCTGGGATGTTATCTTCGATCGATTGACAAGTGGAAAGGTTACCAGTCCTCATCTCAATATGGGCAGCGGCAAGCCGCTTTCACATCGTACGGCTAAGCAACAGATCGACTGGGCTACCAAGCTTGATTTGAGTTCTCTTAACCAAAAGACCATTGACAAAATTTTGAATAGATTCTTCGGTTTCTCCGCAGGGACGCAGTATCTTGAGGAGAGCAAGATTCATGTCCTACACCAATTGGGCGAGAAACATGCGCCTCTTCATAAGAAAGTCGAAGGTTGGTTGAGCAAACGAGAAACCAGGGACGAATTCCACTCCAGGATCGAATTTTACTCCAGTTATCGAGATGCCATGGATAACCTGGAGAAAGTGATGATCTGGCCAAGAGCAATAGACAGTCTCCCTTTCAAGACAAACATCACGTACGACGTCGCAGTGAAATGTTCAGGATGTTTCCAATTTCTCTGCAAGAAAAAGCTTGCCTCGATTGAAGGCTATGACCTTTCCGGTCGGAATTGGCTGGAGGCAGCTTTTGTCGGTGAGAACACTGAGTTACTTACGTACCTTGCCACCAATATGGACCCAAGAGATATGATCAAGCCAAGAGATATCAAAATCAATGACCAAGCCGAAACTCACATTCTTATTGCTTTCCTGAGGTACAACGCCTATGAGGCATTTGAGATCGCACTTGATAGAATGACCGATGACTGGACTGTTAAATCTGACAAACTGAAAGAGATATTTGACCCGGCCACAATGAGCGAGCTGTGCGCCATCGCTCCACCATCCGTTGCAAAGGCCCTTTATTCCAAGGGGATCAATATTGGCAATGTCGAATGTGAAGACCACCCAGTCGGCGCGCAGCTTGAGAGTTCCTGGCATATGGCAGCAGCGTTTAATCCCGAAGCGCTTGCCATGGTCAAATGGCTCGACAAATTTTCCACTCTCACCCCCAATGTTCGGAACAATTACAACCAGACCCCTCTGATGTACGCCGCGAACTTCGAGCAGCCAGGAGCCATTGCATGGCTCTGCGAAAACAGCGACCTCACACTTTCCCGATTTGAAGACGGACCACCAGGGTATGCTTTACTCTGCGCCGCCGAAAGCTGTTTTGAAAACAGTGTGGAGATCTTCTCAATCATCCTCGACAAAATGCCAAAGCAGATCATGAGCATCGAGTACGGCAAGACATGCGGTACACAAATCGCCGCTGGCCTTGTCCGACACCGAGAAAATCTAAGTACTGGGCAGGTCAAGGCACCCGGCCTGCGGGAAGTAGAGCGCCAGCAGGTGTACAAAATGCAAGCACTCGTACGCCGACTCCCCAGCAACTGGCCGGGAAGCACATGGCATCTTGCATTGGAGGCTTATGCGAACGATAATGGCGTGGGTGTGCTGAAGCATAGTATGGGAACCGAGACGCGACGCACGCGTAGTAATTCTACAAGGAGGAGGCGCGCTATGAGGGTCACGAGAGAGGCTCTGGGTATTGAAGATGAGGATGATCATTATAACTCAGCTGCCAGTGGTAACAGCAGTCTTTCCTACTCGACTACATCGACATTGTACCCTCGCCACCATTCCAAAAATAGATATGCGTCGCGGTCTCGAAGTCGTGGAAGGCAAGGTATTCTGAGTAAAAGTCGGGACGCAGGTAACAGGATTTCCAAGATGTTGCGCTGGAGGTAGAATTGTGGATGGGGTTTGGTGCGGATATTGGAAGGTTGATTGGGCTATATGTTGAGTTAAGGGACCGGGGGATCTCGAGTGTCAATGGTGGACTCTTCAGACTTGTTGTTGGTTCTCTGTTGCTTTTCTTAGTTTCAAAAATCATGTTTTCAGCAGTGCCTGCCGCTTAAATTTTGCTCCTTCGGGTTGTTTAGTCTGTTATCGCTGTATTCGAATGATTAAGTGTCTTGAATTATTTATATCAACGTAAAAAAATATAAAAATATTCTGTTGGTCCGACGATCACTTGAGCTAAGTACTGGGTCCTCCGAATCTCCATCGATATCCATGAATCACAAGTGCTTTGAGACACTTGGTGAGTTTGAGAGTCTGTCCAGCTTGGCGCGACAACGCTCACCAGTCGAGAACACCAGGAGAAGTGCCACTCTGTGCTCCGCCGCTCACGCAGTCTAGCTCTTTACAAACTAGGTAACATCCAGTTAGCCATATGGAAAAAGCAAAAAAGCTGTAGAGACTTACGCTTTTCGGCCTGTTGGAAAAGATTGCTTCCTTTTGGCTTTTGCATAGCTGGAATGACCTGGGCACCCTGTAATCTCTCCAACTTTCTGTGATCTTGCACCCGACGCAAAATTTGATGAGTGTCTGCGACATTCAATTAGACTGATATCTCTCTGAGTTGGAAGGATGACATACTCTGCCCGATGAACTCGATGGGTATGCTGGAAATCGTGTCAGCCTAAGCCGCCCATATGATATTAGCGCAGACAACATACCTTTGTGCCTTGCAAACTTGTCGATACTGCTGTTCGATTTGGCGAATGAGACTATTTGATACATTCTCAAACGTTTTGGATATGGTCTCAGCTGCGATCTCGCTCACAGGAGATCGAGAGAAGATGTCATATCGAATTTGCGTCTTCGTCTCCGTGGCCGGCAGGAAGGACAAAGCAAACCATAGTTCAGTATCGACAAAGTGATAGAAGAAGGTGGCTGGGAATAAGGAGCTATCATCGACGGGGTTACTTCCCATGATCCGTCTAATCACTTTCATAATAGGAGAAGGACCAAAGATCCGGGGTGCCTGGCTCTCCAACTCTCGGGTAAAGAAATCAAGATACGAGGGTTTTGCTTGAGAACGGGTCAGATATACAGCTCCACATTGATTGGCAACGAAACTCACTAGCCATTTTCCAATTAAAGTCACCGGGCACTGTCCGACCAGCAACCCAAGACAAGCTTTTGCGTGGAGCAGATTTGCGAGCGAAATTATTCAAAGATGATAATTGCTCCTCGCTTAGTTCTGTTCGGTCCTCTGCTTTTAGGTTCACAAGCACCATGCCATGATCAGTGGTATGTGTGTGAACTTCAAAAAGACTGTTCTGCGACTTGTCGAACCCAGGCACATCGTCAAATTGGGGTGCTTTGACCAACCGGCCAGTGGTGTCGTAGCTCCACCCATGATATCGACAGCCCAAGACAGTCGACGCACCAGTCTCTTTTCTGGTAATCGTATAAGCACGATGGCGACAGACATTATGGAAAGCACGGATCTTGTCGTCTTTTCCGCGGATCAAGAAAACTGGAAACCCGGCAAGGTCGAAGGATTGATATGCGCCAGGTTTGTTGAACTGGGCAGTGTGTGCGAGGTATATCCACGTCTTAGTCTTGTTAGTGCGATCCAGTATATTCATAGTTTTTCTATTACTTGACTGAAAAGCCCACGACGCTCAAGCTCAAAAACGTCCCGACTTGACCACCATCCCTCTGGGAGTTCCGGCTCCTTTGACACAGCCAGATCCGAATCAATGGTTGGATTTGAGGTAGACTGCGGCAGCTTATCGGACTGGCCCGGTTGGACAAATCGCGGCCATGCTCGGTGAATTAAAAAGGCGAGTGTCACCAAGGCCACCAGAACCGAGCTAGGCGAGAAGAAAAGATATGTCTGAGTAGACTCCATAGACACAAGATTGTTTCAGCCAAACTGATTGACTTGTTGGGGTGTTGTGTGTGGTTGACGAGTGAAGTTGATATACTTCTGATGAAGAGGTCCAAGTGCCGCGCCCCCACATAACACGCTTCGCCCTTGAAGTACATCGTGCAGCGCCCCTCTCCACCAAATTTCCCAATTAGGTTGCAATTTCCTGGAGCTATCTTTCTAGCAAACTGTTGACTTAGAGCCAATAGGCTCATGTATGTTTCTATGCAACATCAAATACGAAGGGAAACAAACAAATCAATTGTCGTTGCCACCCTCCTCGTTACCTTTGGTCTCGTCACTACGCCCAATGTTCATGACATACCGAATATTGTGGAGACACTCGATTGGGTTGAGATAGGTACCGGCCCGGGTGGCACTACGTGATTAGACATATTCTTCCAGGGACTATGTTCTCTATTGCAGATATAGAGATAGTTACTATCAAAATACTACCATAACGAGTTGTGCCTCTTTGAATCCAAATGTAATTTCCAAAATGAAAGTAACTGAGATAAAAAAGAATTCAGACCAATCAACTTCAAGCAGATATTCATGAGCCACTGAAGACAGATGTCAGTACATTTGATGTATGTGTTGGGACTGGATTGATCTTTCACCTAGACACAACGACAACGGCATTAAACTCCGACCAGGGAGACCAGGGAAAGCGGAATCTGATGACGAGCGCTGCCCACAGTCAGAGAGTTGAAGACAAACAATTGTTTCGACAAATACCAAAATGTCCTTCCAGCTCAATCTTCGTACAACGGAGGCACCGAGCTCAAACCCTCACCAGATAACGGAGCCCACGCCGCTTTGTACGACTCATACCACCGCACAAAAGAATTGCGGGTGAACAACTCTTCCGGGGGTCCATATCCATCTTGAAAATCAGTCCAGATCTGATCGCAATACATGATGATTGCCTCGAAGTGCGCAGTGGACAAATCCTTCTTGTCCTTTCGTGCGACGATCGCACTCCCAATTCCAGTCTGCCACTGGGGTGGCACAGTGCCATCCTTGGGGCTGATGTGAAGGAACTTGATGAACGGGTTGTCGAGGTAGTTCATACTTCCGCCGTCAGGGGTGCCGAGCCGGTGGATGACAATAGGGAAGTCAAGCAAAGCTGGGATGGGCGGGACATCAGCGGTGAAGATAGGGTGGCTCGACAGAATGGTAGTTGGCGAAGTCCGGGGGCCGGCTGTGCCTACACAAAGCACTGTCACCGCCTTGATTGTGGTATCGGGAGCTGGTGTCTGCTCCGATCCTTGGGCTTCAGACACTGAAGCTGGAAGCTTGGGTTGGAGGGTGGACTTGGGGTCATCAGGATTGGATGGAGGGTCTTTATCAGTTCCCGACTCTGAGTCCGAATCTGTATCGATGTTGTCCCACTTTGAGTAGTCAATGGGAGGCATCTTGGCGGCTTGTGAGGCAGCTTCAACTTGATGAAAGAGAGATGATGATGAAACAAGGATGAAAGAAAGACCAGTCTCAGAAGAGAGAGAGAGAGAGAGAGATGAGATGAAGTGAGATGAAGTGAGATGAAGTGAGATGAAGTGAGAGGGGCGAGAGGAAGGAAGGGAGATACCAAGCCCATCAATTTCCTGGCGAAAGAAAATAAATCTGACAAGGAAGTTGTTAGAGTGATCAGATTACCAGATACTGTTTAAAGGGTATGCACAGCTTTTGTACGGTCCCCACATCTGCTCTCAAAGAATGAAACACAAATATCGCATGAAACAGTATACAGAACAACGACTGCGAGAGAGAGAAACCGAATATAGAGAGGAATGAATCCTCCCTGAAAGGGTGTTTCAAAAGTTCAACCTTGGAAATAGGTTCAAAGACTAATTGTCTCAGGTAGAGCCAAGCAATGTTGCATTCCTCACTTAGAACTAACCGCCAAGCAGCCAGCTGTGTATCATTTGTCACCAGGGCACAAAATGCGTGGTCATCCTTGTAATCCACTAAGCTGCCATCTCGACCATAGCTGGTGTGATACCATCCTCCTTCTGGCTTTCTTTGGTCTTAACCTGCCTATCGGACTCGTGTTGTTCACAAACCATATCAAACACCCGTTGCTGGTAGTCTAGATTTTTCACATCGTCAGCGAGGTATTCACTTTCAAAGAAAAGGATTTTCGACTTACAAGACACGCCATTCTCCTTCTCCGGGTTCAAGATTCCCTCATGGTAGACACCCTTGGCGAGATTGTCTTGAGCCTTCTCACACAACTCAAAGTCTTCCATGGCCACTTGACGGACGAACTTGAAGTACTCTTCAAATTTGTCGCCAACTTCGAGGTGGTAGTAGTCGAACTCCATTCGAGTGACGTGCGGATCGGCTGTTGGACACACTCTGAACATGGACATCCCTCCGCCGTACACATTTAGAGTACAGTTAGGGAAGAAGTAGAGGAAGAGGCCATCATCCGGCTTCTTTGGGTCAGCGATGTGCTGCGAGAAGTTGTGCTTGTTGCGCACGGTATAGAATGTTGGCGGATAGTAGATTGAGAATGATGGATGGGTGTATTGGCAGTGCAAGCACTCCTGGTAGCCATCAACCCTGGTAGGAGGTTAGATTTTGAGGATCTCGATCAAGGAATACTCTTACATAGTCTTCCAGTTGAAGCGACCTTCGTAGCTAATGCTTCGGCGATAGGGAAGCTTGGAAAAGTCCACCTTTCCTAGCAAGTCCTCGAGTTCTGGGAAGAACTCATGGAAGCCGGGTGCTTCGTTGGAGATTGTGGAAAACAATAATCCAGTGGGAGTAAGGTGGCTACGCACCTCCTTGCCCTACTTAACATCAGCTCACGTCTTTCTTGCTCGATGACAGCATCACATACCGTTTTGGAGCAAATGACCTTCAGTTCATCGGAGGCAGGATTCAACGTCTCGCCCGAGGTACGAACAGCATACACGGGCTGCTGTGCTACTTCGTAGGGAACCTGCTCACCCACGACCTGGAATCTGGTGACGGGGCCGAGCAAGTACCAGGACTGTCATATTTCAGTCTCTTCGGGGTAACCACAGACTGCTCAATGCCTACCTTGAAGAAGACCGCCCGACGTTCCATTTGGTAAAGTGGCTCACTGCAGTACCACGAGGCAGGCAAAGTACGAGGGAGCTCAGACATTATCAAGATAAACCTTGGAAGGCGTTGGTTGATATCAAATCCTAGATAAAACAACTCACAATTGCTGTATTAACAACCTTGGAAAGAGATGTTCTCTCCCTTATATCTTTACCCAATGTCCATGTAAACTCATTGCAGATTCATTAAACATCTATCAGTAGTGCTTTGTTGCTGTCAAACCTTGAGGTAGAAGATGCGGTATATCGTTTCCCAAAAGGGTTATCCAGTCCCGTTGTTGATGTCACGGCAGACTCGGCATGCACCAGCTGACTGGAAGGTCTGAGTTGGTCTGGCCTTTTGCAGGGTCCAACTATATGCGACACATTACTCGCCCCGTTGGGAGATGCGAATGCAAAGCTCTTTTGCCAAGATATCAACGAGCTCACGGTAAAAACTTTGATTATTGTTCATTTTGAGAATTCTGGGCTTCTCAGGTCCGCCAAAACGAGGGCTTCTTTCGGTCGCAGTTGGGTATACTATGCGCTGCCTGGTACTCCGTACATGACCCAACACATATCGAGGTGGACACCGGCTGTCATGTTCATCTGATACGCCACGGGATCCATCTGATGCTGGTGGAGAATATATTTCCGAAAATCCCGAATATGAGGATCGTCCGTAAAAGCTTCAGACATCGAAATCAAGCAAAAAAGAAAGGAAACAGAATGACTATTTGATCAAAATGGAGAGTATGTAGTTCCACTAGATTGTCGATGTTTGCGAATTTGGCTGCCTGGACCAGCGGATGAGTGGCGACTGGAAACAGGCGAGGGCCAGAGAATGACAGTGGCATGATCATTTCCATCCAACCAAGGCAAGTTTGACATTTGAGAAAGAAAAGAACAAGCAGAAACCAAAGCAAAAGCAAAGCAAGCAGTGAAGAAGCCAAAGAAGCCAAAGAAGTAGAAATCCATATCGGCTTATCTTATCGCGCATCATTACGTCGCCAACTTCAACTTGGCCCAGCTTCTCTTCTCTTCATCTTTCACCATGGGCTCAGTCAAATACACCCCTCCTCCTACACCCTCTCCTCCAGCATCTTGTTACGCCATGAGTGATGATGATGAAGATGAGTACAACACCATCGCCCAGGTTGCCTCGAAAAGAGGGGTCAAGCTACTCTTCTCCAAAAGCAAGGTCAGATCAGATGTCGCGTCACGGAATATCCCAAGCTCACAGAACGCAGGTCTACGTCCACCCAACCGCCTCATCCAAAGACAATATCCCCGGCTTCATCGCCCTGATTGAACAAAAATCGACCGCGTCACAGGCATCCACATCCAACCCGAACAAGCCCAATACCCCCTCCTACTTACTCGCATGGGTTCCAGAGTCCTCACTCGGAGATGCCTATGATACATATGTCAAAGTCGACCTTGCCGACGATGACTCTCCGCCGCGCCAAAAATACCTCGTTCCGCCACTTCCGACCACTACCACCTATAAAGATCCCATCGGGCTGTATTCGTTCGCAGTACCACTCTCAGAGATCTACTCACTATTAGTAAGGCCGCCGAGCTTGGGATGGTGGTTCGGTAGCTTGGTGATCAATACGCGTGCGGGCGATGGCTTCCCCGCACTGTTCTTCCACGACGACGAATGCGAATCCACAATCTTGCAAAAGAAGAAGAGAGTTAGGGAAAGTTTTGACCCGTTCAGCAATGAGGGAAGTTTATTCTGGGGTGGCGATGAAATTCTGCGGTGGCTGCGCAGATATGTGGAGGTCGAGCGATCATCGGTGGATCGCAACGTCTATCTTATCGACCCATCGGCGGAAGATCAGTTATCTTTCGGTCGGCCAGTGAGTCAAGGAGATCGGTCGTTGTCAGCTAAGGCGCAGCCCCAACCAGCCGCTACTTCTGCTCAGGCTGGAACGCCTGATGCCAGTATGGATCCCTTCATGAAGACCCTCAAGGAAACCAGGTGGAAAGTGCTGGAACAGCTCAGCAAGATCACCACCTTCACCCGCCGGACGGCAAACGATATCGCCGAAAACCCTCGTATACCACCTCAAATGCGCCGTTTAATGAAGAATCCCGAAATTCAGACCCTGCAAGATGAGTTCGATAGCGCCCGTGTGTATCTGGCTCGCTGGGCGATGAGCGTGGCCGAGCAGAGTGACAAAGAGCGCAATGCACGTATATGGACCGCGCAGGACATACTGGAGAAGGAGAACAGCTCGGTCGGCGAGTTTGAGATCTTGGAGCTGGAGACCGGGAACCTAGGTCTCCAGGAGCGTCGCCGAGTTCTTCAGCTTCCGGAATGGGAAGGTTTCTTCGATCCAGTATCGGGGAGGCTTCAAGTAACGAGCGAAGAAGTCAAAGAGCGCATCTTCCATGGAGGTCTGGATCCCAATGACGGCGTCCGAAAGGAAGCTTGGCTATTCCTAATGGGTGTATACCCGTGGGACAGCAGTCGAGAAGATCGACAGGCAATGATGAACTCCAAGCGGGATGAGTACATCCGACTCAAAGCCGGATGGTGGGAGCGGATGGTAGAGGGTAACTCGACCATTGAGCAATTCGATCACTGGAAGGAGCAGAAGAACCGGATAGGTATGACAAATGGGAACTTCTTGTATGCCAATCGCTAACAGTTCCACAGAGAAGGATGTTCACCGCACGGATCGCACCATCCCATTGTTTGCGGGCGAAGATATCCCTCATCCTGACCCGGATTCTCCCTTTGCGGAAACTGGCACCAATGTTCACCTGGAACAGATGAAAGACATGCTTTTGACGTATAATGAGTTCAATCCAGATCTTGGCTACGTTCAGGGTATGAGTGATCTGCTTGCGCCGATCTACGCCGTCATGCAGGACGATGCTGTCGCCTTCTGGGCGTTCGTTGGGTTTATGGACCGCATGGTATGATAGTGTCACATTTTTTTTTTCTGACAAGACTAACCTTTCTGATCCAGGAACATAATTTCCTGCGCGACCAATCTGGAATGCGTGGGCAGCTGCTGGCTTTAGATAACCTCGTCCAGCTCATGGACCCACAGCTTTACTTGCATCTCCAGTCCGCCGATAGCACCAATTTCTTCTTTTTCTTCCGGATGCTATTGGTTTGGTACAAGCGCGAGTTTGACTGGAGTGACGTCTTGCGTCTATGGGAGACGCTTTGGACCGACTACTACTCCAGTAGTTTCCATTTGTTCATTGCTCTGGCTATCCTCGAGAAGCACAGAGATGTCATCATGGACCACCTGAAACACTTCGACGAGGTGCTGAAATACAGTATGTCCACATCCATAAACATATATTTACTCCCGCTGACCTGACTCCCAGTCAACGAGCTATCTAACACCATGGAACTCGTGCCAATTCTCACTCGCGCCGAATCACTATTCAAGAGATTTGAACGATCAGTCCAGGCCATTGACAAAAAGGACAACTTTCCTGCTGCCCCAACTGCTCACCAGCGTCGCCCAGGCGCCTCTGGCTCAGATCCCTCAAACAAGGGCAAGTCACCTCGGCAGTCTGCCGCTGGTTCAAGCACCGGGGTTAGTGGGTCATCTTCCCTTCAAAATGCCGTGAACGCCGACAAGCCCAAGGTGATCTCTCCTGAGCTCCGGGAACTGCTTCGCAAGGACATCCCATGGAGTCGACAACAGAATTCATAATTTGTTTTCTTTTCGTTCTGGTAACCTACCTCAGCCCATCTTGCCTCAAACCCCTTATGTCGCGACTTCCTACTCGGTCTGCCTATGATTTACGATTGATTCATGTATATTTTGACGTTTTTCTTTTCTTTTCTTTTCTTTTCTTCTTCTTTCTTTTTGGCTTAGGTCGGTAGTAGAGCCGTATTTGGTATTGGTGTTTGCTACGATATCTTCAATTGAACAATGAACTCTGAACAAGCTTATCTTTCTCGCTTGCGCTGGAAAAATGGCCACTTGGAACCAGTACATCCCCCGGGGCCTACGGCTTTGAGTTGTAACCTTGGAAGCATTTCAAGGTTTCGATAGGCTTACTAGACAGGAAGGATAAGTTCTCGATATACAAATTTAGGTATTCACTATACACATCTAACTACATGCCTGACGGCGACAACATCCACCACTATTTGACACAACCCCTCAGTAAACTATACATCTTCGTCATAAATGTCCGTCGAACTACTTTCTGGTGTGAACCAGCTTTCCCTGAACCCAGACGTTCTTCACATTGCGATCATCGCCACTCCACATCCACTTCTGGATCTGTTCCTGCCAGGTCTCATCGCCAAACAGATCCACATTGCCAACGGTGCCAGTCGCAACAGCACGAGAAACAAGGGCATTGGTAGAGGAGGCATCAAGAGGACTAGTAGTGCTGTTCTTGACAGCACCAAGCTCAATCAACTGCGCATCCCAGATCATACCCTTATCAAAGCCGCCAAGATCAGCGGCCATGTCAACGACTGCGGCGCCTCCGCGCGTAGCAAGGTACAAAGCCTCATCGACAGTCAGCTTCTCGCTTCCGTCGGATGTCTTGTTACCAGTTTCGTCCTGGTACTCGGAGCTGTATTGCACGAGGCGAGAGATGAGACTGGCCTGGCGGGCTGCCTCCAGGATACTGGGGCTGTAGCCGCCGCTAACATCAGTGCCCAGACCGACTGTGACGCCTTGGTCGAGCATGAAGCGGACGGGAGCGAGACCGGAGCCGAGGGCAGAGTTGGAGGCTGGGCAGTGAGCGACTTTTGATCCTCGGGTGCGGATGAGTGTTAGCTCTTCTTTGGTGAGGTGGACGCCGTGAGCCAGAATGGTTCTGTTTGTGAGGAGATTGGACTTGTCGTAGACGTCAGCGTAGCTGGTCGAGTCGGGGAATAGCTTCTGGACGAGCTCGACTTCCGAAGTTGACTCCGAGATGTGCGTTTGGATGTGCAGAGGTGGGGAGTAGGAGGCTGCGAGCTTGCCGAGGCCATCGAGGGACTCCTTTGAACAACTGGGGGCGAATCTGGGGGTGATGATTGGGTTGATCAATGTGCCCTTGGGGTCAAGAGTGTGGATGTAGTCGATGGTTGACTTTGTGGCATTGAAACCCTGCTCGGCTGACTGGTCGACGTAGTACGATGGGCATTGGTCTTTGTTATCCATGCAGACACGGCCGATGAAGGCGCGCTGACCGTGGGAGTGACAGAGGGCAGCAAGTGCATTTGTTGCTGGGACATGGATGGTTGCAAAGTACGAAGCGCATGTTGTGCCGTGGGCCAGAGTGCGTGCTACGACTTGGTCGTAAACACGAAGGCCTTCTGGTGGCGTCTTCTTCGGATCAGTCTGCTGGTTCTTGGGGTCCGACTTGGCGCCGAAGCTGGCTTCCACAGGGAAAGTGTACTCGTTCAGCCAGTCGAGCAGACCGGATGATCCAAAGAGTCCAATATTAGGGAACTGTGGGGCGTGGATGTGGGTGTCTGTATGCATTAGTTTTGGCCCCTTTTCAATTTATTTCGGTGAGAAGTGAGACATACCAATGAAACCAGGGAAGAAGAATTCATTACGTTCATCATTGGACTTCACAATTTTGACCTTGGTTGCCTTGGCGTTTGCATTGCTGGCATCGGCATCGGCCCAGCCGTGGCTTGAGAGGAACGATTTGAAGCTGGCGTCGTCGTGAACACTCCAGTCATATCCTTTGATACGGCCATCAGTTCCAACCCAGAGAGCACCTTGGGTACGGGCCAACTCGGGCTTTGTCGAGCTCGAGTTCAGTCGGGGCAATTGAACGAATGTGCCACGATACACGGTGTAAGGGTAGGTCGCGGCCAGGGCACAGGCATTGAACAATGTCAATGCCACCCATATGGCGGACACACTTATAGACAACCTGGAGGAATTTAGAAACATGACTTGACTTGATGCAGTTTGATGCTTACTCTCATTACAACCTGGCGAGGGCGATGGTTCATATATCATCGACTTCGGAATTGAAGCAACCCGAATAGGCATGCATAAGAAGTGTAAGATTACACATTTGATATGGTCACATTGAACTGTGTACACAGTCCAAGCTATAGTTCTGAAGGTTATACTTGCTGCATTGGACGACGATCCTCATCTTAACCATGCAGGGCAAAAGGTGAGAAGAAGAAGTCTAGACACGGTGTTCGGCTGCTTCCGGTCAGATTACGCGTATTTACCAGATGTCAGCACTAACTGCGTGGGCCACGTGCGGGTGAGTGCGGGTGTATGGTCATCTTGTGTATGGTATGGTAAGAGGGGGGCCTGACAAGTGAAACCCTAGTTCGATCGCAGGATCTATACACTTCCCAATGTGGGAGGAGAGAGCGAGTTGGTCTTCCACTTTGCGCCACCTCATTCATAGCCCCATTCTTCTTCATTTTGTCACTGGCCCCTTCCCTTTCTCTAAACCCGCAGTACCCTTCATCTGTCCTGAGACAGCCTCCGACGGCAGCAGCCGTCGGTTGCAAACCCACCTGTCTCTCCACCACGATGGACAACCCCACACCCGACCGGCAACCCGAAAGGACATTCCAAGGTTCGAGACAGAGGCATTGGGATAACAAAAAACAAAACAAAAACATACAACAGTGAGGATTCGCTGGTGGTCACCCACCCAACTACTAACTCACCGGCGTGTGGCTTAAGTACGGCTGAGCGGACGGGAAGCCCTGTTCTCCACACCCTGTGGTCGTATGTGACAGATGAAGTCTTGCGAAGATTCATATCGGAGGCGCTTATGAGCATTCATTTACTCCTAATTCCAGGACATCACCCGGTCATTGACCTCGTGCATTTTGAGGAGGGGCATAAGGATGCACCCTAGGTGCACGGGCTGATTCAGCTGATGCATGAAATAAGAGAGATCGCTTGATAGAGGATGGAGCCTACAGCAACTACCTCTCTAAATCAGAAGACCGCGATGGCGGTCTAATGTCGCAGAGAGAGGACCGTGGCTGGATGGTAGGCGCAGTCAGCAGCAAACAAAGATCAGTCTGAGATACCACGAAGTAAACGAGGTTCAAAATGTTGAAAAATGAGTACAAACTATACGTGCCTATTTCGAAGGCCCCCAGGGGCCTGTACACCTAGGTCTTCTCTTCCCGGGCTACCGTAGATACCCACTTCCAGGGGGTCTTCGGGCCGGAACGATACCCGAAATGCTGGAATTGACCCTGGCCGCCATGCAACCGCAAATCTGTGTCGTTTACGTTGCTAGGCTACCCTCAGGGCGCGTGACCTTAGATACGCGAAGCTTGGTCATGTGCCCCCGCCTTGTTAATATGCAAGTACCCCGGCTTTCCAAAGTTCTCCCCTCCCCCTCCTTCACTATTACCTGTCCGTTGTTTTTCAGACACTCGAACACATTGCATACGTACAGACTGATTATTCCAAAAGCCTCTGGATTCACCACCCATCAGATCCTTCCTAGTTTCACATATCTTCTTTTTTTTATGCGCAAATCTTAGTTTCACCACCGGTATCTCTTCTAAGCACATATTCTGCTCTTTTCTCACATTCTCGGTTAATGCCGCTTAATTGGTTCCGATTTCTCTTCGATCTTTAGGTTGCGACCTTGCAAATTGAACTTCTTCCAAGATGGTGGAAACATCTGCACTTGATTCCGAAGCCACTCAACCTGCTGTCAAGTCTAAGGCCGCGAGATTCAATGCCCATATGCTGAAAAGACTACAAGCTGCAGTCACGAAAGACCCAGAGGTCAATTTGGCCGAGAAATTTCCCGCAGACTATTCAACGCGTCTCATGGAAATGAAAGCACTCATGGAAAGCTCTCCAGGTATTACATCTTGGTCCTCCGCTCTTTAGCGCAGCTAATATCATTGTTGCCAGAGAACACCAAACCTAGCCCTCGAGGCCGTACAGAACCCGATGAAGACATCCGACAAACCCTTTGCGCATCAGACCCGGTTGAGACTATATTTCCCCTTTCGGATGCAGTTACAAAATTAGTCCAGTCGGTGTCACAAACTGCGGCGAACTTGCCAGTCGGACTCTCTCAACGGCTGTCTCAGGTTCTAGAGAATAGTGAGATTCTGTGGAAATCACCCTTCCCTCGCCAAAAAGGGGTGTTCAAATGCTCCGCAGACATAGTTGTCAAAGCGGTGCGCAATTTGGAGCGATACACCCAATATACCACGTTACAATATCTTGAGCTTCATAGGCCAAATATCCTAGCACCAAAACCACATGGTTTAGTGTGTATGAGTGGGGTTTCTCTGATTTTCATGAGTCATATACCATCCATACCTCTCGGGAAAGTGTGGCATATGCTCGATCATTATCAAAAGTCCTTCCTCAGCAACCAACTCAGCATGATAATAACCGATCTACGAACTCTTCCTTTTACAGAAGGGTCTCCTTTTGGGGGGACGGCAGGTGAGGGCTGTACAGATATCAGAAGACATGTTCGAACAAGCAAGAGGCCTATCACCACCTTCGAAGACTTTGAAACATTTTTATATTCAAGTCCGCATGCGGGCGGCGATGTGTTCGTCAAGTTTCTCCGTCAATTATCACCGTCATCTTCCGAACTTCCGGTCTCTCGCATTATTTTCACACACGGAGACATAAGTCCGGACAATGTTATGGTTGAATTAATCGACAACAACTACAAAATTTCTGGGATCATTGACTGGGAGTATAGCGGTTTTTACCCTGATTATTATGAGTCTGTCCGATGCACAAACTCTATCACCCCGTATGAGAATGATGACTGGTTTTTGTACCTGCCAGAGTGTGTCTCGCCAAGTATCTACGCTCAATGGTGGCTTCTCGATCGAGTTCGAGAATCGAGAGTCGTTTAAGGAGGCACGCCAGGGTCAACCAAATTGCCTTCTGCACAACGACACTATCAGACAACTGCAACCCTTTTCTCACTCAAATAAATGTTTTGTGCTCCATGCGAAGCTCACAAGCATTGCGTGCAGATCGGACACCGCAGCAAACTCACACCTCAGAGTCTCAGCCTCCTTAAAACAGGAAACAAGGACGGAATTTATGGACCAGTGGGGCCTCCACCCAAGCTCCGACAAATATCGGGGCTGAGCGTCCGTCGTCCTCTGGGGCGACTGCTTGAACTTGTGGAGCTTCGAGCTCAAATCTGACGGTCTGAACATATTGTAACCAAAGTCTGCTCGTAGCTGATTTCGCACAGTGGCGGTCACATCGCTGTTTCGGGCAATCAGGGCGTACTTTCTCTGCGAACAGGCGACCCACGTTGAGACCACCCAGCGACGCCTCGTAAGAGGAAGTTGATAAATGGTTCGAGCAAACGGCTATTGAAATCGGAGAGGCGGCACGGACAGATGAGCAAAGGGCGACGGCCCGGCGTCTTATGTGCACCTGGAAAGATTGCTTCGTCCGCTCGGTTAAAGAACTCCGCGCCACCGATCTGATCGCGCACTTGATAGATTTACTTCCAGAAGCAAACCCCGCCAAGGCAAAGGTTCCCCTTCATACGGTGGGAGTACCGGGGGCGGAGCGGGCACATTCGGAGCAACTGCTTTCTTCCTCTGCGATGAATTCGTTTTCGACTTAGCGGTCTTCTTCCCCATTCAATTCCCAACAGTCGCGATACTTAAAAAAGTAAAACAAAAACATACAACAGTGAGGATTCGCTGGTGGTCACCCACCCAACTACTAACTCACCGGCGTGTGGCTTAAGTACGGCTGAGCGGACGGGAAGCCCTGTTCTCCACACCCTGTGGTCGTATGTGTTCAATGTAGCTTCGCACGAATCTATGAAAGACAAATTCAACAATGAAATCCCATGTGCTGCCTGATACGAAGTGAGCACCTGAAGCAGGGTGAGTTGCTTAATTAGAACCAGAAAGGTTTTTGGCATCTAGACAAGGTACACGAAGCGACTACCTAATTTATTGTAAATTGAATGAATGATCTATTTATTTCCAATTTGCTGAGCTATCCCAGTAACATGCAATTTCCGTGGTTCTTCTAGGAAGAAACTACTCCTTCAACCAGGGATCAGAGAGTATTTCCTGTGCAGTTCCACGTTCCTCTGGCCGCCATCGCAGCATTCTTGAGACAAAATTCAAAAACATCTGCTTCTCGTCCCCTTCGAGAACCGTAAGCCTTTTTCGAATCCTTGCTCTTTTGAAACGAGACCAGAGAATTTAAATTGACCTGCTCAAAAATTAGTAAAACGATTTTGAGCACTGCGTTTTTGTAATCGAAATACCATCATGTTTAAAATATCGCGAACTGCGAATTTCTCGCTTAAGGAGATCCTCTGGTGGAGAGCTGATCATGGAGATAATAGATGCTAGATACTTCTCCTCGCTGTAGGATGAATCTGTGGACGATGTTGAATAATCAAACGGTCCGGTCCCACAAAGCAATTCCCAGATCTAGCCAAGGTGTTAGAATATCTAGGACACGAAACCTCAAAGCTCATTGGATCTCACCAATGCGCCTAGATTCCATATATCAACGCTATAGCCCCAATTGGCTCCAATGATAACCTCTGGAGCTCGAAACCCATTTGGTTGAATGGGATAATTATGAGGAGCCTTGTCCCCAAAAACTGAAAGCCCAAAATCCATGATGACTGGCCTACCTAGGCTACTTACCTAAAAGCCAAAGTTGTTACGAGAAAGGTATATTGTTCAATCCTTGAAAACTTTCTAAGGCAGCGGACTCTCTCTTTCATCTCGAATGACTAAGTCAAGTAAAGAGTGATCACTAAGAGCTATCAGGATGTTGTCGGACTTAAGATCTGCTTTTTCTTAGCTTCTCAATCAGAGAATGATTTTCTGGACACAAGATCGACCTGTATGAATAACATGACACTGAATGTGGAGATAATGAAGGCCCATTATGACCATCTGAATGATAGCCCTTAGAACATCGGGTGGAAGAACGCTCCCTTGAAAGCGCTCTTTTAGCATCCACAGGGGCTCATAAAGTAGATCAAACACCATGCAGATATGGTTGCCATGCGGCCCTGACAGCTCGAATGAATCGAGCAAAGTGCGAACAAAATACCGGCCTTCGTCGGTTGAACTTGTTCAGTTTATACTCTGTGTAATTCATAATTCCTTTTGCGCATTTTCTTTAGACTTGTAGTTATTTGCATTGACCTTTATCGCGACATAACGTGGAGGAAGGCATCGCCACCTTAAAAGTCAAAGAATGCACATTTCATGGTGTTCTAGGACATACTGGTAAAGATCCTTAGCCAGCCATACTGTCGAGCTGGTACCCCACCCAAGCTTGAGAATCACTTGATATCTGTTGGCAAGAATCGCATGGAGTTGAATTGGATAGAAATGCCTGTGGTTATAATGGGGTGCGCGTTCTTCTTCAACACATTGGGAAGCTCGGATAAAACTAGCAGGGTTCGAATGGAATTTCAAAGGACTTGATCGCAAGAAACCAAGTGGAGAGAGTTTTACTAGTCTTGGCATGAACTTCATTGTGTGTTCGAAACTTTGAGTTGGATATAACGTCTTACGAAGAGGTATAGCACCCAAGGGGTGAAGCTATTTTGATTTTGGATCCGTGACGATGCCTGATAATGCCTAGTTTTCGACCGCTTTCCACACCGCTTCATAATTACCACGTATTTTAACACGCCTTTGGCCGTGGCGATAGTGAAGCTACCGAAGCCTGCTACAATGCTTGGATTGTACGGACTCAGGCGATGAGGCCATACTTTGAACCACAAATCTATTTCTGCCTACGGGATGATGATGGCCCACTCGTAGTCAGAGCGGGTGGGCTCCATGATGAAAATCACTCCAGTATCGTAATTATTGCCAGATATTGAAGAAAGTTACCATTCCCGCTGTTATCCGGTGTGATACGACTAATCTACTGTCGGCTTCAAGCTAATTGATATTCCCATGACCCGTATGTGTCTACTCCGTAGTACGGAGTACTACCGACGATATTGCCGACTGAAGAGATGTGGCGGGGTGGAGCATGTTGGATCACTGCCCAGGTGGGTGCGTTGGGCCAAGGATAACACGTTTGGGAGGAAAAGAGGATATGGACCCCATGCAGCTGATCTCTCTCCCCCCTCCTGCCCTTTTCTTTTTCCTCTCCCCATACTAGGATCACCGTGACTCAGGGCTCGATTCTTCTTTTCGCGACTTGCCAGCAGCTTATACACCGCAACATACGAGTTCACAACTCGACACACATTCAACCGAAGGGTCAATTTACATCATCGGACATTAATTTCCAAATGATTCCTGATGGTGATGATGCCAATCACGCGACGAGATCTCTGATCTCCACAGATCGACGCTAATGCGGGACTACTCTCACTTAGGCAAGGCACAGTCATTTCTATGATGTGCCCAGGAAAGCTCAGCTTGTTGTCCTCCGAAGGGGCTAAGTGTTACTCCATACGGAGTAATTTGAACGGAGTACTCCGCCCCCAGTGACACGGGAAGTGATTCAAAAGAGAGAAGAAAATGATGATTTGAACGTTTGGGTCGTTATAAAGTCGGAGTGCTTCAGGGTTTTTGACCTTTTGTGTACGTATATCTATCTCCAGACTTCTCAGGTGGGTTTTACTATCAGGTAGATATCCAAACTTGACTGGAGACGAATTTACTCTTCGCTTAAGGAACTTTTTTTAGCTCCCAAACATTGTTGAGATCTCACCGACCTTTCTCATTTTGGTGTTTTGAGTTTTTCACGTATGCAAGATGCATCTCAACTATCGATTTAACAGTGGGGCTGTATCTCAGCTGAAGGTCCGCACAAAACCTGCACTATGGTACTCCATACTTCGGTTTCTTCCAATCTAAAGAACAACCTTGGAAGCATCTTTCCTTCCCCCCTCTCATCAATTTGTTCGACAAAATGGCTTGTCCGCCGTCCTTCGAGCCATATGTGCTGACGGAGCTTGATCACACTCTTCCGCCTGTTCATGTGTCTGGCTTCCTCACGTTTCGTCTCAAGGAACCAATTGATGCAATACCTGTTCTTGAGGCAGCTGTTGCACGGCTCGTCCACCTTTTACCGTTTTTAGGTGGGAATGTGGCTTCATCAACTAGGATACCGGGCAAGAAAAATGTCCTAGAAGTTCAACCCCCATCAGAATCCTTCTGGTCTCAACATCCCATGCTCGTCATCAAGAGGCACGATCTTTCAATAGACCCTGGATTCTCGTCATCTGTGGTCTCCTCTGATGATATTTCCAACGAAACCTTTCTCCCAATTGGGTACGAATTCACTGGAGTCGATCCTGTCTGGCGGTTCCAGGCAAATGTGATGCTTGACGGGGTCATTGTATCCTTCTCTCTCAATCATCAAGCGCTTGATGGTGTTGGAGCAATGTGCGTCATCGATGCCTTTGCAAAGTGCTGTCAGAACCCAAACAGCGATGCTGCCTCGCTACCAACAAGCCCTGAAAAACAAAGCAAATTCCGGAAAGCCATATCTGGTCTTGCCAATGCCTCTCAATTGACCGGCGCACTAGATCACAGCAGTCCGACCGAAGTTGCAAGTCACTCGGTCGATATCGACGAACTCAATCAAAATGCCCACAACCCCGTTTCTAGGAAGCTTGTCCTCAATGCGGAAAAAAATAAAACAGCTTCGGAAATCATGTGCTGAGCAAGCTCAGCCCAGTGACCAAGGAGCACCTGTGTCTGGGAATACAATTGTTACTGCTATCTTGTGGATATGCTTGATCAGAGCTCAATTCGGACCAGATGCTGCAGGCGCCCCGCCACCAGACCTGTCTTCTGCCGCAATGGTGTCTAATCTTCGCTCTAAGATCCGCCCAAACCTGCCTATGACGTATTTGGGAAATACGGTAGGGCATGCTTGGTCAAGTTTTTCAGTCGAGCAAGTCCTATCTTCGATCTCTCATCTCAACTATGACTCCCGCGCAGCGGCCTACATGGATCCTCAATATATGAAAGTTGTTGCAGCTGCTGCAAATAGGCTTCAAGATGCAGTTCGAAGCATTTCAGAGCGTTCCGTTCGAGATCTCGTATCCGAGAAGAACGCGGCTGACGACTGGGCAGCTCAGCCTACCATCGCTGATCTCCATGTGAGCTCATTGCGTCAGTTCAACTTATATGCACTTGACTTCGGATCTTTACTGGGGAGAACGAGCGATTTTGATATGCCAGAAAGTCGATTTGCTGGGTTGGCCTGGATCCTGCCATCGCGTGGCAACCCTCAGTTCGCCCCATGGGAGGTGAGGTTGACACTACAGCCGGCGGCTATGGAGAGAATTCAAAAGGATCCATTACTGAGGTGGCTCTCATCGGATGGGATGTCAAAGCTATAATCTGGTATAGACCTTTGTCTTGCTACGTACCTTCATTGTTGAAAATTTTATGGCATACATGCACCTGTGATTTTCCATTACACCAGCCCTGAATATCAGAGCTGCCGAAGTGCTCGAGGTCCGTTACTTGACAGAGCTCAGCACTGTAAGATGATTTTGTATCTTGATATTGGCCGCGTTAGCGAGACACCAAAATTTTCGGCTTGATTTCATTCGTCCCTCCAGAATCTAGGTGACTTTGAAGTACCTTTGGAATGTCTTCCAAGGATGGTTCCTAATCAGCGGTGGAAGATCTGTAGCACTGTGTCTGATATTGATGACTTTGGGCTTACTTCCATCAGAGTCCGCTGGCTGCTCCATACTTATGTCAAAACCGAGAGTTCCCTCTAGTTGATTTATTAAGGGTCGGACCGCACTCGCCGGTGGGTCTTGTATTGTATGGTAATCTTACACACTCAAAGCCCTGAGGACTGGCTAAAATCCGTGTTATGAAATGTAAATTACATTACGACTGAAAGGTTCCCTGTCAACCATGGATTTACGAGATCTACGGGGAACTTAAATTATTGACCAATCAGTGAGCGCCAAAGAGGCCAAGGTGGGTCAGGTGGCTTTGACAGATCAACGAAAGAACTCTGGAAGGTAATTGCAACGCATACTGCGCAAGAATCAACCATGTCAGCTAGCGACGCCTCATCCACCACGCCAAGAAATGTCTGTCAGCGTAATACCTCTGCCTAAAAGATCGCTAGAGAACCTTGTCATTCGGCGGCCCCTGAGACTCACTCAGGAGTTTGAAATGCGCCTTGGGTTTCTTTTGCGACTTCGTACCCCAGATCACCCTTTCTCCAACCAGTCTCAGCAGCACACAACGTAGTGATTGCATCACAACCAACCTTCATTTCTCAAAATGAACCAGCTCCGCGAGACCTTACTCGGTCCCTCGCCTCACGGCCCTGACGATATACAAGGAGCCGACGGCATCGCCCATGATCGTGAAGATGTGCGAATGTCAATCGCTAGAGGCCAACTCGACGAGCTCCGGAAATCCGTCCTTTTCAATCGGACCTGGATCATAAACAGTCGGTACTGTGAACTCGGAGACGGTGTGGATTCCCTCGTGGGCTACCTTCATCATATCTGGTATGCCTACTACCAGCTCAGTCGACACACACCGCACGAAGCCGCCGAGCACGACTCTCTTGTCCTCGATATCCTCCGCATTCAGGGTCGAGGCCCGCTGACCAGACCCGTTGCTGGCAATTACGGGATCGACATTGCACGAACCGTTGAAGGCGCGGTGTGGAATGATATGCCATTCTTAGTGACTGACATGACTGAGGTTTGGATGAGCGACTTCGCAACCATGTCTGGAGCGCATCGTCTCAACTTCTCGTCCTTTTTAGCTAAGCTAGCTTCCACTCGCATCAGCAAAGATAGGATGTGTCAGGTCGCGATCATACTCTTCCGTTATACGTTTGAGTATCCCCAAGAAGTCTATGCCTTCAATGATCCGGACATTGAGGGCGCAGAAAGAACCCTCAGAGGTCTTCAACTTCAGCAGCTTCTTCCATCTGTCTTCGTGTGGATCAAAGAGGCAGGGAACAACCTGCTTCTACTCTCGGAAGTCTCGTGGGATGATTGTCCCAGCACTATTGGCCACGGAGGCTCATTGTTTGTGGAGTCCGAGTTTGGAAAGCAGGCTGGAAATGGAATGAGCCCATGGAGGTGGATGTTTTGGTTGAAGCGACTTCATGAGTTCCAAGATCAAGCCATCAAAGTTGGCGAGAAAGGCGTGGAGGATTTGTGCAAAGATTCTATCAGTCACATGCTTTCCGATGCAAAAACCCGGAATTCGGAGGTTTTGAGGGCTTATGAATCTGGGAGTGAGTTTCTTCGTCAGGAAGTTCATCTATCGGCTCTTCAAAAGATCTTGGATGGCGAGGGAGTATGAACAGGCTATATTCATCGGGGAGGATGAAGACGAGGATATTGAAAGTTGACCATGTCTTGGTTCATCGTCAAGCCATTGCGTCTACTTCGGAAAAGGCAGTAATCAAAGAACCATCAAACTCCGTAATCAGTTGCCATCGCCTATGTCCGGCACTCCCTAAACCGAGATCTTTCAAAGTCCGGTATCGCCCATCGCTCCATCCACTCGCATTTTAGAATATCCTGCGCAGTTGGCCTCTTCTCCAGCTCAAAAGACAGCATCGACTGTAACATATCCAAAACCGCAGCTTTCTCTTCTCCGTCAAAACATGGAAATCCAGCCTGCTCACGTGGGATTTGAATATGCTTTTCAAACCGGTCTTCCCAGGACCTCACCTGCCGGTCTTGATTTGGTTTTCCACTTTCGTCAAAATATCCATGGCGTGCCGCCCACTTCTCCCACCACCGCAGTGGTAATTTCCCTAGAACATCAACCTGCTCAGCTGTGATATCGTCTGGCGTTGCAAGTATGTCCTCAAAATAAGAGGCGCTGGCCGAGGATTATCCATATAGAACATGCGAGCGTCCAAATGTCGGCTGGAAAGGAAAGACCACGTTCTGGCTCAAATTTTGCTTCGGGGGGCATAAAGGACAGAGGGGCGTGTGACTTATATCTGGACTGTGTAGAAGGCCTCCACGCCTCTCCAAAATCACCGAGAAAGACTTTGGACTCTGCGGGAGAGAAATCCTCCGAAGATTTACCAAGCCAGGTAGGAGGGACGACGCTAGAGGGAACACTAGACTCCAAGGGGCTGGCCATCAGAACGAACAACTGGTTCTGGCGCGGGCGAACCGTAATTTTCGTACAGCTCGTCAATCGAAAACTTGTCGAAATCAGATGGGAGGCATAGAAGCATGTTGCTAATATGGAGGTCTGATTTAGTTGTTGTGTAAGCACAGTGTTGTAAAGGTATAAATAATGGCGACTAACCTCCGTGAACAACTCCTTTACTATGGATGTATTCCACAGCGAGCAAAACCTGCACAATAAGCGAGCGAGCTGTAGCAGTCTGAAACATGCGTTTGTATGACCCTTCCCTCGCACCCGAGAGACTGCACATTGCGAGGGCTGTCACATAGCAAGGATGGATGCCATTCGGGCCAAGGAGAACGAAATTATCTTTGATAGAGGGTATCATTGCATTCCCTGGATGCTCTGGGTGCACAAATGAAGAAGAATGATTGAGGTAATTAAGGATGTCAACCTCTCGATCGTTTGAATCAGCCGTTCCAACTTTCACTGCGACGTATGAATTCGACTGGTAGTCCCGGCAGAGCCAGGTGGTTGAATAGGCTCCATAGCCTAGCTTGTGAGCCACTCTGTATCGGGATTGGAGAACATCACCTATCAGAATAGGATGATATCCACCAGGCTGGTACTTTTCAAGTCTCTCGACTTCTTCTATCGGGACATATTTGAAAGGGAGTGGGCCAGAGTCAGCACTTGACGAGAAGTTCTTTGGAGTGACGATTGACTTGCGCGCAATTCCCTGACAGAAAACTTCCAAGGACAAGAATAGAAGAGCAACGAGGACGAGCTTCGGTGAATGAACTGTTGACGAGCCCAAAGTGAAATTTGCGACTTCATCACAAAGGCCACCTGGGCATTACCGTATGATTTGTGTTCAGTGAATTATTCCGCAATGAAAGTCCAATTTGTTGTGTCCGCCACAAAATCATATTGAAAAAAGACAAACCAACTGAAGCTTGACGTATTTGGTGCTTGGGAGGTGATAAGATGACGTCCAAAGCGCCCGGGACCCGTGTTGTTTGGGTCAGTCGCGGCAGCAACCGCGCGTACCAAGCGGGTGATGATTGGGTATTATCCTTGCACTCAGCCGTGCCGTGTCCCTGTGTATACAAACATCCATGGATGGGACTTGGTATTCGCAGCAACCTTGGAAGAGTATAACTTTGACCTAGGCGCTACCAAAAGAGCCTACAATCGATACTGATCGAAGAATACAGGACGAGAAGTTAATAAGTATATGTAAATATCATTCTAAACTAATAATCAGACCAGCAGGGTATTGTAGATAGATCTAACACCAGACCCCGAAACCAAACAGAAATTCGCCACGCTGATGCAAAAAGATAAGAACCCCGAAATGTAAAGCGGCGTCAAACATGTACAGCCGATGCCCAAGAATGTAAATGTAAAGTGTAAAGCAAAGCAATATAGAATGCAGACGCAAGACGCAAAGAGCAAAACGCAAAATCCAGAATGTGCAATGCACCCGCTTATAAGTGGAAAGTATAAAGTGGAAGGGAAAAGGAACAGAAGGATGAAGAATCGCAATTAGGAACGACGGTTCCCAAGACCTCTCAGCACGACCCGTCGACTAGTACCGATGGAGCCGATGTCACCGATACTGCGGACCTTAGGAAGGGAGTGGGTGCTTCGGTCGACATCAGATCGGTCATCGATGTCGATGAAGGGGGGAGAACCCAGGGTGAAGTGTGGTGGGTGATGGGAGCTTGAGCGGCGAGTTTTGTTGAGGACATCCTCGACCCAGGCTTCGCCCTCGGGACTCATAGACTCGAAGCGAGCTCGAGGTCTGGGTCCTGCGAGACCGAGAGGGGTAGAGCGGACCTCGTTGGCGGTGTTGGGAGAGTGGGAGTCCCCAACGGAGTAGCTGGAAGACATGGAGAGACGTCGGCCGGTAGAAGTGGGGAGAGGGGGGGACAGGTGGTGGTGGTGAGGTAAAGGAGTTGATGTGACCGGTTGTAACAGCGCGTGTGCCCATGATGTCTGAGGCAGTTGAGCCGCGACGCTTTTTGTGAACGGTGAGGGAGGAGGGTGGGCGGGCACTGAGGGAGGATGGAGGGCGAGAAGGTGTGGCGCGACCCGAGGTGAGATATGAGGTTGCCGGGGTGAGAAGGGCGCCCGGGGAGGTATATGAGGGGGAAAGACGAGTTTTGATGCCTTGGACTTCGACGCGAGGTGTTTCGGATACCTTGCGACGGCCATGGTGGATGACGTATTCACGGAGGTATTCACCCAGGTCAGCCCATCCACCGCCGACACGAACCATCACGCGTTGTCCTTCTTCTCCGACGGTGCGGACAAAAAGCTTCGTGGGGGCGGACTGACCACCGTTGTGAAGGTGGTAGAGCTTGACACAGCTGTCCTCTGCCTTGTAGGCATGTGATAGCCTTCTGCGGCCGGCTGGCATCAGCGTCAAGGAAGGCGCGGGTGTGGTGCTGCGAGTCGGTGGGCCGCAAGGAGATTCCGATCTGTGCCGCACCCTTCGGTCCATGGATGACGAAGATGAGGATGTATCCGCTTCGTGGTGGGAGTCGACTAGGTGAATGTGACCAGGCAAGGAGTTGAGGATAGAGCTGATCTTCTCGTCAAGATGATCTCTCGGCTGCCTGTGATGCCGGGCAGGGGAAGAGGCTCGAGACTCGAAATTCGTCAACTCCGAAGAATGCTCATCCACATAAGACAACTCTTGTCGCTTCATGCCCAGGCTTTCAAGGCTTGGGTGAGCAGTGAGTTGCTTGCGCAACCGCATGGACTTCGGTTCCGCTTGATGCTCCAAGGCCCGTCGTGCAGTGTTCTGGGCGAAGGCATTCCTGTGCTGCTCGGCATTTCTTGCCGTCTCATTCTGAACATTCAATCCAGACGAGGATTTTCCTCGGGAAAGTGTGTGTCGACGACCCGAAGGACGTGGCACTGACGAGATAGGCCTAGAGACACTCTGGGCGGGAGATGAAGCCTGGGACTATTTTCATCGATTAGCATTGCATTTTAAAAACAACTTGAGGTAGGGTTCTCATACTCTTGGAGGCTTGGGGAAGTCGGAAGATGTGATAGGCCGGCTGTTAGAATGCTTCACAGCAGGTCCCGACTCCCCAGACAGACCTAACTCCAGTCTTTCATTGATAAATCGCTCCAGAGGTAGGCTGACCGCACGAGTCTGTGGAAATATTACCATAGAATCAGGCTTTCGATCCTCGAAACGGCGCAGTCGGTCTTCTCTCAAAGGTTGAATGCCATGCGGTGGAGGGCGTATGGGCTTGGAGCGGGATGAGTTGTCTGCTTGAGTCTCATTTGAAGACGCAGTGCGTGGCTCCGGTACATCCGGGCTGGAGATGAGAGACGAGTGATCCGAGAGCAGTGAGCCGACTGACCCGGTGGATGTGCGACGACGATGGGAGATTTTGCGAGGCGTTGAGCTGCCCTTTTCAAGACCGGCTTTGACACAACGAGTCTCGGCAAGTTTGATAGGGCTCTGAAGCGGCTTGCGAAGAGTTTTTGGCACGTTTTCAAATTTCTCCTCAGCTCGAGACACGGACTTGATAGGGGTGTGGGTTGATCCGGACTTGGGGGAAGCCAGTGGGATTTGGGATCCGCGGAATGCTGGCCTGATTTTTGGGAGGCGACTATCGGATGTCTTTGGTGTAGTGAGTGGAGAAATATTGGCCGGTGCAGGGGTTTCAGCTCCAATGTCAACACCAGAGTCTTTCGTCATCTTTGGGTCTTCGCCATGGCTAGTGGGCTCTGGGGTGATTTCAACCGGCTGAGATCGGGGAGCCACTTGAGATGGGGTTTGTGCCTCTGGTATAACATTCGATGGGATTTGTTGAGGCAGCTGACTTTCACCCGTCGCCTGAGAAGCTGGCACATCATTTGCAACAGTGCTGTAAGACAGAGTCACTTCTTCATTGAGAACTGAGTGGTCCACGGACGAATTCACACTTGCACCCGAGTTCTCGGATAATGGTTGTGGTCTCGTAGGGGTGTTTGTGATTGGAGAATTAGATCCATCAAGCTGCTCAAAGCCCAGTGGGGGGATATTCTCTTTGTTGTCCAAATCAGATTGAACCGTGCAAGAGGCAAGGTTGGAAGGTTTCCCATTCATGGAAGAAACGTCCGGTGGGAAATCAGACTGAGTTGGCGTTTCTGAGTCCTCTGCCACAAGCACAGGGATGAGGTCATCCCTTTTTGCTGTAGCAGGGAGTTCTGGTGATGATATGGAGACTGTAAGGTGCGGATGTGCATCCGCATCCCGAGAGACTAATGGTTCATTGTGGGCCAGGTTCACTTGCTCCGGTTCAGTAGATGAATGATCCGGAGCTTGGACTGTTTCTTGAACGCTGAGATCTGTTTCAGGTATTTTGACTTCTGGGGGGGCGGGCGCGGGCGCCAGGGTCTGATCGTCAAGAGGGTTCTCCAATGAGGTCTGTGGTTGGACTGAATGGTCGACGGGCGTTTCAGCCTGAGACTCGAGCTTAGACCGCAACCACTCATTGTGGACCTTATACTTTTCAGCCTCGACCACCCAAGCAGCGAAATCAGACTCAATTGACTCGAGATCATCAATCCATTGCTCAGGTAATGAGTCCGGGCGACCTTCCAACGCGTCTAAAACGCGATCCATGCGCCTTCCCACCACAACCACAGCTGACTCCAATTTGACATGGTCGGCGGCGAGAGACTCATCGGAGTATCGCTGCAAGTCTGGTTGTGTGTTGCGGAGTGCGTCAAGGGCAGCGTCGATCGCAGAGCGCGTAATAGACAGCTCCCGAAGCAAGCCAGGGATCTGGCGCAGAACCAGCAGCCGAACATCCCAGGTCAAAAGCAACGCGTTCAGACGCGATAGATGAGGAAGGGCGCGTAGGATTGTCGCCGTGATGACCGCGGTGAAGTCACTCAATTGCACATAACTCAGCGGAGGAGGCACGGACACGGAGCTTGTAGCGGAGGAAGGGCGGGACCTGGATGGAATGTGGGCGTTCAAAACGTGTTCCTTCAATTCTTCCACGCGAAGATCTTCCATTCCATCGCGGATCTCCTCTATCCGCTTCTCGCTCCACTCCACGACGCTTGATGTCAAGCTACCATAGTAGGTGCCGTCCGACCCAGGAGGGAACAATGATCCGGAACGAGAGGGACTGCTACCAGAGCTAGACCCAGGAGGAGGGATGAAGCCCTTTCCGACCTTCGCGTCGTTTGCGTTAGGCCAGGCCCATGACTGAACCTCTTTGTGCCAGAGGTCTAGGTTTTGGGCAGCTACCGCCGCGCGGATCCCAAGCGCGCGTTCCGCGGGCGAGACCTGGGAGATGCTTTGTGAGAGGATATCATGGGCGGCTTTCTCGTCTGAGACTGCGTCGGTGGATGTGAGGGCTTGGAGGGTGGATTCGGGGGAGAGGTTGCTGAGGAGAGGGTCGAGCTGCTGGTAGACCGCCCCGGGTCTGTCGGAGGCAGCGGAGTTTTGGCGAGAGTGGACGGGGGAGAGGCGAATGGACGGACGATGAGGATTTATTCGAGCAGACATTCCGAAGGATTCAGCAGAGGCGACTAGCTCGATGGCATGTAAGTGATGGAGGTCGGAACGAGGGCGGGAAAGAGGACTGTCGAGTCCGCATGCTGAGACGCGCGTGAAAACAAAGTGCAGAACTTGGCGCGAAGTTCGAAAACGTGAGTGTTTATGTGTTTATCTGCGAGCTGCGAGAGGGAAAAAAACACTTGCAGCGGAAGTGGTTTCTATTTGGAAGATGTGGTGAGGTCCGGAGGGACGAGGCAAGGACTCGAGTGGAGCAAAAGAGGGGACACAGAAAGGCCGGCTTTCTGATCACAAATTATTCCAGGAAATCAATAGTCGACAAAGTCCTGAGAAGTCAATAACCGGAAGTTTTTCTGAAGCTGGAAATATTTGGAGTGGAGATCGGATCAGGGGGCGGTTAACTGTGGAGCGGTGCACTGATCCGCGAACGCGTTACTAAGTATACTCCTGGAGGACTATGGGCAGATATGGGCAGATATGGCTGGATACACAATGGAAATGTGAGAAAAAACCAGAAATCAATAAAGCAGAAAAAAAAACAGGGTTCTCTGAGGTCAGATCTAACAACAAACCCCCAATGTGACCGAGATATGCACTCTACCAACTAGTGCAGATCCTCAACTGCAAGGAGAAAAAGAAATATCACCCCGATTATTGCTGATTTACGATCTATAGACAAGGAAACAAACTACCCATTGGGGTTATGGCCCAGTTCCTCCGGTGACCATCATGATGCGCTCATCATGGCGTGGTCGGAGAATAGAGCCACAGGACGTGAACGAGCTGCGATGTTCTGCAGGTGGATATGACCCATTGACAACCATGCAGACCTTTCGCTACCGCCCAGAGCTCTTGGAGGGGGTGACCGAGGATCTCACTGGGGAATTGAAGCAGTACGAGGACTGGTTCATGGTCGATGGCGCCAAATTGAAGCTGATCACCGACCACTTTGTGGAGGAATTAGAAAAAGGGCTCTCCCTCGAAGGTGGATGTATTGTCAGTACCACTCCAGTCCGGTGCGACTTGTAGATGTCAAAGCTAACGGGCATAAACCTCTCAGCCTATGGATATCACATGGGTTATGAAATTCCCAACCGGGCGCGAGAAAGGGCGCATTCTCACCGTTGATATGGGAGGAACCAACCTGCGCGTCTGTGACGTGTGTCTTTCCACAGAACGAAGGGAGTTTGAACAGATTCAACGCAAGTATAAGCTCCCGGACTCGATCAAGACAGACACCAAAGAAGAGCTTTGGGGGTTCATCGCGGATCGACTGGCGTCGTTCCTCAAAGACCACCACAACGGAGAAACACCGGAGAAACCAATACCGATGTCGTTTACCTTCTCGTTCCCCGTCGACCAGAGGTCTGTCCGGAGTGGGATTTTGCAGCGCTGGACAAAAAACTTCAACGTGCCCGGGGTGGAAGGGAATGACGTCGTCCCCCAGCTTGAGGCTGCACTGGAAAGAAAGGTCAGTCACGGAGTATACACCGACTGTTGTACAGCCAGCAGCTGACAGGTCTAGAATGTTCCTGTAAAAGTAGTAGCTTTGCTCAACGACACAGTAGGGACACTTGTTGCCTCCCACTACCGAGACCCCCAAGTGAAGATAGGCAGCATCTTCAGCACCGGATGCAATGCCGCATACATGGAGGACTGCAGCAACATCCCTAAACTCCGAGATGCAGGGCTGCCCGAAGATGCCACCGTGATCATCAACACCGAGTACGGGGCGTTCGATAACGAGCGCAAGGTGCTACCCCTGACGCCGTTCGACCATCAAATCGACAGACAGTCCTCCCGACCCGGAACTCAAATCTACGAGAAGATGGTGGCAGGGTTATACATAGGCGAGATGCTGCGACTGATCATGTTGACCCTGCATGAAAAAGGCGTACTTTTCAAAGGCCAAGATGTGACACGTCTCCGAGTGGAGAATGCACTGGAGGCCTCGTTCCTGTCCATTGCTGAGCTGGATATATCTGAAGGCCTCTCGGATATGAAAGATGAGTTTCAGGAGAAACTCGGGTTGGAGACGACGCTGGACGAACTAAAAGCCTGCCGCTATCTTATCGGGCTGATCGCGACGCGTGCGGCGCGTCTCTATGCGTGTGGGATCGCGGCCATTTGCAAGAAGAAGAATATGCGCCAGTGCCATGTCGGTGTTGACGGGGCAGTCTTCAGTAAATATAGCATGTTTAAAGGTCGGACAGCTCAGGGGCTTCGGGAGATTTTCGATTGGCAGCCTGGTGAGGTGGACTTGATTGCTCTCAACGCGGCTGAAGATGGATCAGGCGTAGGGGCAGCTTTGGTTGCGAGTTTGAGTATTAATGCAGAGGAATTGGGACCTTGTTAGTGATAGCAGAAGGGGAGAGAAGAAAGAATGACAGGGGTGAAAGGAGTTGAAGAAATAGAAAAAAGATCGAAAAGAGTCAGCGAGATAGCGATAAGAACCTCCCTCTGCCATCTACTCCAACCATGCGCTTCAGAACACAATTGAAAGACAGCAGGACCTTCTCTAGTACGTCAAATATACCCAAATGTTGGTTATATCTAACCTAGTCAGAGCTCACCGCGTCTCTCGCCACTCTGGGCAAGGTGTGCTGGATGCGCCTGGAGTACGAGGTGGTCCGCTTCACCATCATTCCCGACCAAGGCACCCAAGTATGGGCATCAATACCAGTCGTACGCACAAGAAAGCCTCAAAAATAAAACACAGCTCACAAATCCAAGGGAACAATCTTTGATGAAACAACCTACGAATTAGAATCTAATTCAGACGCCATCAACGTCGAAGTCAACATCAGCGTGCTGAACCGCGCATTACGCTCAGCATGGGGCTCAACACAAACCCAACTACGCCTGACAAAAAAGGACAGACTACCTCTGCTGGCACTAACGGTCCTCGCAAGCGAATGGACAGATGGCAATATGGCCCTCGCCACGGACAACGCACCCGGCGATACAACCGGTGATCGGGGGCCCCGCGAACGCCAAACATGGATCACGCAAGAAGTGCCCATCAAGATCCTACACGAGTCCGCAGTCGAAGGACTTCACGAACCTCACTGCCCAGATCCAGAGGTTCACATCATCCTCCCAAACCTGGGCCATTTGAAAAGTATATCTGATCGATTTACGAAATTGGCCTCCACGAGCGCGAAGGGAAATCAACCCGCGATCGTGGCTGCCGAGACATCTGAAGACAACGCCAAGTCTTTTCGGAGCTAATACGACGACGGGGTCGACGAATTCGTCGCCGAAATTGGAGTTGTCGGCTAATATGCATGGGTCGCTGAGATTGGCTATTGCTACAGACGAGTTACGAATTTCCAGCGTTTGGTCTGATTTGGTGAATCCGCCGCTGGATCCAGCGCAGATGACTCAGGAACAGATTGAACAGCTGCCGAGTGAGCGGAACCGGATGCGGCGGGCTGCAGATGGGGATGAGTCGGGGTGGGCGAAGGTGCGGATTGATGGGAAGGATTGGAGCCGGGTGCTCAGTATCGGAAGGCTGAGTCCAAGAGTGGTTGCTTGTGAGTTTGAAGAAGACATGTTGGTGATCCGGTGTTAACCTGATTGTTCGCACAGGCTTTGTCAATGACACGGCGCTCGTGCTATATGTTTATTTGCCGGGGAGTTGGAATGGAGAAGAGTCATGTCTAACGGTGAGTTTCCATTATCGAATCGATATATCTGACCATCAGGCCCTCTAATGATGCCTATAGTATTATATCAACTCATTTACCACATGATCGAGAAAACTTCAAGGCTGATGGCCAAATGATAATGCTCCAAAGTCCAAATGAATTATTAGGATCGATAATAAAACAAGGCATAGCAATGCCATGCAAGAAAGTACCTCCAGATCAAAATCTCCGAGGGAAGACGTGATATACAAAAGCCAGGAGGAAAAACCCTCTCCATGGATGAAGACGCGCCAACAACAAAGATCAAGCTATGTGCAAAAAGCAAGTCTTCTTCGATGAGCAAAAACGCGGGGGCGTGTCTGCCTGGGGACAAAACACATGCAAAATGCTGGGGCGATGACATCTCAAGGGTGTATTATGTAGGGGCAAGGGGGCATAGTTCGTCAAAACAATCATAAAACAACAAATAAAAGGCATACCAAAGAAAAACATAATAAGACAAAAGAAAGGGACATTATAGAACTTGACCGGAACCAAGTACTATCTCGGCAATTCATATACGAACTCCGATTATTGAGCCATCACGTCAACGTAACGACCCTTCTTCTTTCCGCGCACGGTGTTACCCTTGCGAGCCGTAGGCGCTCCGATCAAGTCATCGATGGAGCTGGCGTGGGTCAAGGAAGACGAAGGGCGCGGCGGTGGTCCGCTGGAGCTACCAGGTGGCGTGGGCATAGAACCGCCAGTGGAGACAGAACGGGGGAGAGGCGGCGCCGCCAACCCAGAGATACCTGGGCTCGACGAAAGAGGCGCTGCACTGGAAGAGGACGGGGGCCGGCTGCCAGAGGCAGACATTGGAGGCAGTGAAGGCACTGGTGGGACCCCCATGGGAGGCACGCTGCCTGAGCTCGCGGTGCGACTGGGAGGGGCAGAGCCTCGGGGAGGAGGTGGGGTGGCGCGGACTGGCGCGGCACTTCCGGGGTCTTTCTTGTTAACCCACTTCTTCAAGTCCTTGTCGTAGTAGAAGGAGCTCTCTTCGCCAAGCTTGGCTCGAATGGGACCACCACCAGTGTTGTTCTCTTCTTTCTTTCCTCCGCCGAACCAGCCACCGAACCAGCCCTTCTTGCCTGGCTGAGATCCCTTTTTGGCTAAAAGGAGAGAATTGTTAGCGAAAATAAGTAAAAATGCGAGATTAGTGCGACATACCATCTTCTTCGGCGGCCTTAGCAAATGCCTCCTTTGCTAGACGGTCATTCTCCGCCTTTTGGAGAGCCGCCGATCGGGCAGCAAGATCATCGTCATCATCGTCCATGATCGACTTCTTCTTGGGTTGCTCGTCAGAGATCGACGAGTCCTCGTCGTTCTGACTGGCATCGTTCATTCCTGTATCTGCACTCGCCGGCTCGTAGAAGGAACTACCGCCAACAGGTTCATAGGAGCTGGTGCCAACGGGTTCGTAAGAAGAGCTAGCGCCGATGGGATCATATGAAGAGTTCGCGGTGGGAGGTGCGTAAGGCGACTCTGAGGCTTGTCCGCCAGCTGGCATACCTGGAGGTCCTTGGTAATAAGGAGACTCGGTGGATGCAGCGGGCTGTCCTGGCGGCTGGTAAAAGAGACCATTGATCATAGGTTGAGGGGCAACAGGGCCCTCTGCTGGGGATAAAGCTTCTTCCACGGGAGCAAGAGGCACGTAGGAAGACGACGGCGGGGTGGGCTGGTAGCCCGCCCCAGCCCCAGAAGCATTCGGAGATCCGTAGATCGGACCTCCGTAGGACATCTGTCCATCCAGTGATGGCGATAATTCCTGTGAGCTACGACGTCCTGCTGGGGGAAGTATGGGTTGGACCGCTGGGAGTCCATGGAAGAGCGACCCTTGAACTGCTCAGGGGACCCGTTCGGCGCATACTGGCTGGATGGGTGGTACTTGGAGGAACCACCTGCTGGGATTGGGTGTGCCCCGGCACTGGGTCCAGGGTAAGAACCGTAGATGTCAGACACTGATGGTGAGCGGCTGATAGTTGGAGTTCCAGCCACATTTGCGAAGGGACCAACATCCCCTTGCTCACCCTTGCCAGATCCGGTAGACGCGGCATCACTGTCATCGCCCGCGACGAAACTATTGAAACGGGCCCACATAGAGCCTGAGACCTTCTCCATGCTCGGTCGCGAGATCCAGGAGCCACTGTCGGTAGTTGTTTGGCGCAGTCGTGCACTCATCTCCTCCACTTCCGCAAAAAGGTGCTGATGATAGTAAGGAGAAGGGCGTGTAGTTGCCTTCAATGCGGATGCAACTGCGTCACAATAGGCCTGTGCCTCTGTGTTGCGACCCCGGTCAACGAGACACCTGGCATTCAGGAGCTTGAATGACAGTAGGTGAGGCATGCCGGATGTTGTGGAGGTACCAAGGACGGATGTGGCATACTCGTATGCCTCAGTCAGCATGATCGCATCTTCGTCTAGCAAAGAGGAGGGCGAACGCTGAGGGTCAGCGCCAAGAAGTACGACGTTGGCCTGCGGATCATCGGGACCACCGAATACAGCAGAGCGAGAGAAGATGAAGCAAATGTGAGCAGCCTCGGTGCGTCCATAAGATGCAAGCAACCTTCCAAGGGCAAGCAGAGCTTGGTGGTCCTCGGAACTCCGGTTGCTCAGCACCAGGCCAAGGGTGTCTCTCCATTTGTCCAATCCATCGAGAGCATTCTTGGTAGCCCCCTGGCCATTGGACTTGCTAACCAATCGCAATCCTGCTCGGGCAGATGGAGGAACTAGCTCGTCAATACTTTCTTCAATGTTGCCGGCGAAAATCTCGTAAAGTGCGGCGAGCGAGTCAGAGTTTGCACTCTTGGATCTGACCTCCCGGCGAATGAATTCCTGTGAGACCTGTTTACCAATCGACTTGTCCATGGTGGATGCAATAAGCATCGCGTGTCCCCATAGGCGGCGGTCGACAGCACCCCAGACGGCCTTTTCCCGATCACCCGAGATCAGATGGAGACGAAGTTCTTCAATCCATTGGGTGTCAGGACTATCAGGCTGCGAGCCCATGTCTGCAGAGCTGAATCCATTCGAAGCAAAATTGCTGCCGTATGATCCATCTGCATCTGGAGCAGGTAGGTTGGGGAAGATGGCCTGACGGAGAGACTTTTGAACCTCAGACGAACCCTCGAGATTACCATCGTTTTCTACCAAAAGTTTGACAACCTTCCAGAGAAGGGTCTTCTCGTCGTGCCGCTTGTAGGTATCAGACTCAACTTGATCGAAGCTTGGCACACCAACGTTTTCGAAAGCCGCGATCCTGCTGGAAAGCCAGGCAACAAGGTCCTTCTTTTTGGACTTGGTCTTCAAGGGTCCAGGATGCTGGACCAGGGTGTCAACAGATGGGAGCCAATCATTCAACTGAGAAATCCTCGTTTCGCCTGGTGTGGGTTTAATCATCGGAGCAACTTGCCCAGCTGAGTATCGAGGAGTGTGCTTCGGGAAACAGGAGACGAGGGAACCTCCAAATCCAAATTTGAAGATGGGAGCACCCTTCCATCGCTCAAGGGGATCCTGCTCCTGGCCATCATTAGGTGCAATGAATTGCAAATGCTGGGTCACAGCACGATTGTGAGATGGCGCCTGAGCAGGAGCATACGGGTTAGCAACCTTGGTTGGTGAACCCGAAGCATGGACTGAAGCAGGTCGCTGGACTGTATCAATAGTTGGCCCAGATGAGCGAGGGCTATGCATGCCACGGCTAGGTGACTGCGTTTGAGACCTATAAATGGAGCCCATCTGAGCATCGCCAGGTGGAGGTGACAAAGCCGTAGTTGTCGCTGCGGGGGCAGGGGCGTAATTAGATGTTGGCGCAAGTCTCTGAGCAAACTCATTAATATACTCTTGCGGAGCATAGCGTCCCTGTGGCGGAGACCCCTGCACAAGAGAGCCAGCAGACTCTCTCCGAGCGAAGTCAATAGGGCCACCGGATTGCGGTGGGGCATAAGGGTTTGACATGGTATCAAATCCAGTCCCCTGCAAGCGCGGCGGAGAAAGGTTGATCGCCGGTTCAAGCGTTGGCGGTTTGTGTGACTGGTCAGGCTGGTAAGACACCTTCTCGTGGTACGCGAGGGGACTTGATGTACGCGGTTGGAATGGCAGGTTCTGACCGGGGACATTTAGCGGCTGTGACGCATATCTATTGCGACCTCCAGAGCTGGAAGGTGGCGCAGGGGAGTATCTCGACGAGGAAGGTGGTTTCGATGAGGCCTGTGACCCAGGCGGGTGAGGCGAGTATCTCGAGATAGCAGGTGGACCAGCCGGGGCACTTGATGCCAAGCTAGCGTACGGATCCAACTGTTCGGGTGGCTGAAGCGCGTTTGGAGCTGGGAGTCCAATTGGCTGGGCCACTGGTGGTGCAGCAGGAGGCGCCACCTGACCTGGTGGGCCCATAGCCGATGCCGTGGGTGGATATTGGTGCTGAGGGGGAAGCGACGATCCGACAGATGCGTATGGATTTTGAGGCGGCTGGGAAAATGGCGGCGGTGCAGTTGCTGTCGGAGCCACCGACGGATTAGGAGTATAACGACCGGAACTAGAAGGTCGGGATCTTGGTGGTGGCATCGGAAGCTCTTCGTAGAAATTTTTCGGTGCAGGAGGCGGAGCTGCTGCCACAGGGGGTGCTGATGGACGAGGGAAGCCAGTTGTTGGAGGTGGCATACCGGCCGCCCCTGGGAGGGGAGGAGGAGGCATGCTGCTAACTACCGGCGCAGCAGGCTTGTGGGTTACCAAAGGCTTTCGGGGTCGTGAGATATCGTCCGGGAGGTCGTAGGGAGACTTGTAGCCCTGTTTTGACTGTTCCGCAAAGCTCTCCCCCCTAGTCGCCACGGGATTGACGGGCTTTTGTGAAAAGTACGACGACATCGCACCAGTCGTTGGCGGCGCAGTTCCTGGAAGAGGGATTCCACCGAGAAGGTCTGACGTTGACGGTTGGTGGGGCGTGTATACGCTCGGCTCCTGTCTTGGTTGAGAGTACGGCTGGGGAGTTTGGAAAGGACTACTCAGGCCCAACGTTAAACCACTCGCAGGCTGTGCGGGGGTTTGCTGGATTGGTTCCTGCGCGGGGACTGGTTGTGTGGCCTCCGCTTCCAACAGGATATCATCGTCATCCAAAGCTGCTTCCCAGCGCGCGGCAAGATCGTCATCGGGCGAATCACCCAATTCAGCTTCCCAGCGTGCAGCGAGCTCTTCCTCCGTAGGTTCGGCCGTGGGAAGTGGCTCGTTCGGCGCCGCTGGTTCGGACGTCACGCCTTTAAGCAGGTCCTCAAATTGTGCCGCAGCAGAAACATCGCTCACAGGAGAGCTAATGTCAAACCCAGCAGACTCCAATACCTGTGACGTACTCTTCCGAGTAAGGTGGGAATTTGGTGCTTCTTCGGCTTTCTGCTGTGATATAGAACTGAAGAAGGCATCCCCTTCATTCTGCTCCTCCGTTTGCGCTCCAGTGGCAAAGAAGTCATCAGCCACATCTTCATCGTTGGCAAATATGCTGTCGATGGATGGTTTCGTGTCTGACGGTTGTTCGGGCGAAGCTGGCGCAGAGTTTTCCAGCAAAGGGACACCTTCTTCAAACCTAGACTCAGATTCTGGTGGCGCAAAGATGGGCTTTGTCTGGCTGTTCAGTTGGTTGAAAAATTCATCCCCCGACTCGACCTCACCACCTGTCTCGTGGGCCCAGCTGAGTCGGTCCCCGTTCGTCTTCGACTCCCCGGCAGCTGTATCTAAATCTGACCCGTGGGACGCATGGGGGTCCTGTGCGGCATGAGAAGGCTCCACGCTGTTGTCCACTGGAAGAGAGGCCTGTTCCGCAGGCACAGGAGCAACGCTGCTCTCTGGGTTGGATGAGGCTTCAACAGCCGCAAGGTCCTGAGCAGGTTCTGGCACACGCTCTCCGAGGGCAGCGGACTCATCAGGGCTCTGTGGGGCATTCACAGTGGATTCGGGCTCAATATCAATTGGCTGGGGTTCGCTCGCCGGGGCATCCTCGCTAGAAGGCAAAGCACCGCTCAGTTGCTGCTCAAATGAAGCCCAGGGGTCCTCGGGGTCGGCATTCGCTTCATCGGATTCAGGGAAGAAATCTTTCACCGGGCTAGTCTGGCCGTTACCGTTGTCTGGAACTGATGCTGGCACAGCTTCGGATTCATGAGTTTGGCCATCTGTGGGAGGTGTAGATTCTCTGATAAAGGTCAACTCCGGGGCGACAGGGTCCGGGAACTGGGTTTCATGAGATAAAGCGGTTTCCTTAGTGAATTGCGTGCCTTGGGCTGTCTCATGCGAAATGTGGGTTTGGGTTTGGTGCTCTTCGGGCTGGCTGGGCACGGGCTCCGTAGGATATGTCTCCGACGATACCGGTGCTGGATCGACTTGTGCAGACTCGATACGTGAGGTCATTTCGGCTTCCTGTTTGATCGTGCTATCCGGGGTTACATCACTTCTATTCAGTGTATCGATCTCCACGTGTTGCTCTTCTCCCACTGTAGGCGATGCGTTGTTCACAACACCGTCCATATTTGAATATTGAGCGGGAGTCGCATCCATCTCATCCGAGATATCCCAAGCAGAGAAGTCCTCACTCTGTGGGGAAATCACATCCGCTAAGGGCTTGTCTTGCGAGTCATCTGCCGCGATGAGATCCGATAGACCCCCCTCGGTTGTAGATGTGGTGTTTGCGGGGTCGCCGTTCTCGGGCCGTAACGCCGGGTTCCATGAGTCCGTGTCGGCTATATTCGTTTGGTGCGCCATGTCTGCGACTTCGTTGTTGGTTGCCAACGTGACTGGGGATGGGGGCGCAGTCCGGACGGATCAACCTGACACGTCTCCAATGACGCCTCAGGAGACCAACAATCGAAGGGGAAAGGCGGCGGTCGAATTTATTCACTCAGCAATCCATCAAACACTTTCGATATCAAACAATGCAGGAAACTCAAAAAAGTCAAACCTCAATGCCTTCGACGTCGAAAGCTTGAGATAAGTTGGAATGCGCCATGGGATGATGAGTGATGACTCAGCAAACAAGCAACAGCCTTACGTCAGCGGAGATGGTGGATCATGCGCTCATGTGATTGCGCGGCCGACGACTAGGCAGTCGTTGATCGTCCTCGAACAATCATCGCAGTGATTTTTTTGGGGATTTTTCTTGTTTGATGAGCGTCTTGATTGTCTTCGACTCGACACAATAGCGCGTGTCTAAATCCGCGCGCAGCATATCTTCTTTCAACGTCATCCCGCATTAGAGTCTCAATCAATGCCACGCAGTACGGAGTACATGACAACCTATACTTGAGATGAAGCTGTCTCCAACACAATACCCAAAAGCACCACCCTGCATCCAGTGAAAACGATCGTATACCTGAATCACGATTTCCTGGACAATGCCCTCCTCGCCCGAATACCAACACCCCCTAGAGCACGCCGATGCGCCGGACGATTTCTCGGACTCGGACGACGACTTGGATCTAGAAGAATTAGATCCCAGCACGACATCACCGCAACAATCTCGTACTTCCCGGGATTATACTGGTAGGAAGCGAAACTATGGTCCTGGGATAGCGCTACGTAATCTCCGTGTGGGAGCTGGGAGTCGTTGGCGACGCAGTGCGTCCGGACGAGGGGAGTTTGAAGATGACACCGATGCGCTTTTGGACAACCGAGAAGAGCAAGGTGCGCGGGACTCACATGCAAGCTCCCTGAATCTGGAAGAAGATGGTCTCCCATTATTAGATCGGCGATCCTCCACTCGCGACTTCAACAATGAGACCCCGACGAAAGCCAAATTCTTCCGGTTTCCATTCAAAATACCGAAGTTTCTCCAAGGGAGGTCAGTCCAGCTTGGATCGACAGAAACTGAAGCTGCAAACCAACCGCCTCGCGAAGTGCTGGTCGGACAATATCAGGCTGCCAAATACCCGGCCAATGTGGTCTCGAACGCGAAATACACGCCATGGAGCTTCCTACCGAGGACACTTTACAATGAGTTTTCTTTCTTTTTTAACATCTATTTCCTATTGGTGGCTATGTCCCAAATCATTCCAGTCCTTCGGATTGGCTACATGTCGTCCTACATCGCTCCCTTAGCCTTTGTTGTCTCGATATCACTGGGTAAAGAAGCACTCGATGATATTGGAAGAAGGCGAAGAGATGCTGAAGCTAATGCGGAGGAGTACTGTACCGTCACTGTGGGTCGGAACCAAGAGATGGAAGTTACAAAAAAGTCCAAGGACTTGAAAGTCGGTGACATACTCAAGGTCCGCAAGAACCAACGCTTGCCTGCCGATGTGGTCATTCTGAAGAGCATCTCCAATGACTCAGGCTCTCCACGTCACTCAATCACCCAAGACACCCCTCCCCAGGAGTCTACTGATCTACTTGAATCGGGTCAGGGCTCTTCGGAATCCAGGGTCAACACTCCTACACCTGCTCCCGAATCTGTGGACGATTCATCTGCTGGCGACACATTCATTCGCACCGATCAGCTAGATGGAGAAACCGACTGGAAGCTCCGTCTGCCCTCGGTGTTATCGCAATCAATCCCTCTGGCTGATTTTGGTCGACTCAAAATCACAGCAAGCGCGCCTGATAAACGAGTCAATGAATTCATTGGGACCATCGAGTTGGGAGCTCCCACCGGCTTCTACGACGCCCATGTTGACAAATCATCTCCGGCTCCGGACAATGGAGCTGCACCTTCAAGAAACCAACCTGCTCCATCTGCACCTCTGACAATCGACCACACTGCTTGGGCCAACACCGTTCTTGCGTCCAATACAGTCACATACGCCGCCATCATCTACACAGGTTCACAAACCCGTGCGGCTTTGTCAACATCTGCCTCGAGGTCCAAGGTTGGCCTATTGGAATACGAAATCAACAACCTCACCAAAATTCTTTGCATTCTCACACTCACACTGTCAATCATCCTTGTTGGGCTGGAAGGCTTCCAACCAACCAACGACAAAAAGTGGTATGTTGCCATCATGATCTACCTCATTCTGTTCTCCACAATCATCCCTATGAGTCTACGGGTCAATTTGGACATGGCCAAATCTGTGTATGGGCGATTTATTGAAAAGGACAAGGATATTCCGGGGACGGTCGTTCGGACTAGCACCATTCCGGAGGATCTGGGACGAATTGAATATCTCCTTTCGGACAAGACCGGAACATTGACCCAAAATGAGATGGAGCTAAAGAAGATCCACGTTGGCACTGTGTCATATGCCAACGAGGCAATGGACGAAGTCGCCTCCTTCATCCGTCAAGGCTTTGCGGGCAACGCCTTGACCACCCCTTCGACTGTTTTCGGTACCCAGGCTGGTCATGCTACGGCGCCTCGAACAAGGAGAGAGATTGGTTCTCGTGTGCGGGACATCATTCTTGCACTTGCTCTCTGTCACAATGTCACACCCACCACTGAAGAAGAAGATGGTCAAAAGGTGACGAGCTACCAAGCATCATCTCCGGATGAGATCGCTATTGTCCGCTATACCGAAGAGGTCGGGTTGAAGTTGGCGTACCGGGATAGACAAAGTATCGTTCTTGAATCGACCGACTCCAAGCAGGTGGTTGTTCGGGTGAAGATGCTCGACATCTTCCCTTTCACGTCTGATAGCAAGCGCATGGGTATCATTGTCCAGTTCCAACAAGACGAAGACATGCTGGAGTCTGGCAAGGAGGATAGCGAGATCTGGTTTTATCAGAAGGGTGCCGACACAGTCATGACAACCATCGTCGCAGCAAATGACTGGTTGGACGAAGAGACTGCAAACATGGCCCGAGAAGGGCTGCGAACTTTGGTTGTTGGACGCAAGCGCCTTTCAACACAGCAGTACCAAGATTTTGCCACAAACTACCGTCAAGCCTCCTTGTCTTTTCAAGGGCGTGATACGGGTATGGCAAAGGTCGTGAGCGAATATCTCGAACAAGACCTTGAGCTTTCTGGTGTGACGGGTGTGGAGGATCGACTGCAGCGTGATGTCAAATCTTCTCTTGAACTTCTTCGCAACGCGGGAGTCAAGATTTGGATGTTGACGGGTGACAAGGTAGAGACGGCGCGATGTGTCGCCATCTCAGCCAAATTGGTCTCACGGGGCCAGTACATTCACACCGTCACCAAAATCACTGACAAGTCCACTGCCCAAGAAGCTCTTGACTTCCTGCGCAACAAAACCGATTGCTGTCTTCTGATTGACGGCGAGTCCCTCAACCTGATGCTTGGCCAATTCCGAACCGCTTTCATTTCCGTCGCGGTTCTTCTGCCCGCGGTGATTGCATGTCGATGCTCCCCTACCCAAAAGGCCGAGATCGCAGACCTCATTCGCCAGCACACCAAAAAGCGCGTCTGCTGCATTGGTGACGGTGGTAACGATGTCTCAATGATTCAAGCCGCCGACGTCGGAATCGGTATCGTCGGCAAGGAAGGCCGACAAGCATCCCTCGCTGCCGATTTCAGTATCACCCAATTCCACCACCTCACCAAACTCCTTGTCTGGCACGGTCGCAACTCATACAAACGCTCCGCCAAACTCGCTCAATTCATTATGCACCGCGGTCTGATCATTAGTGTCTGTCAAACTATGTACAGCATCGCCAGCCACTTCGACCCCAAGGGTCTCTTCATCAACTGGCTCATGGTCGGCTACGCCACGGTGTACACCAACGCGCCCGTCTTCTCCCTCGCATTCGATCGAGACGTCGATGAGCGTCTCGCCAATCTCTACCCCGAGTTATACAAAGAGCTCAAAACCGGAAAGAGTCTGAGCTACCGCTCGTTCTTCGGCTGGGTGATGATTTCTGTCTACCAGGGTGCTGTCATTCAAGGTCTCTCGCAGATTCTGCTTGACACGATCACCGGACCGCAATTGATCAGTCTTTCATTCACGGCGCTCGTTCTCAACGAACTTGGCATGGTCGCCACTTCCATCACTACTTGGCACCCCGTCATGATCTTCTGCTTGCTTGGCACACTGCTTATCTATGCAGGCAGTGTTCCTTTCTTGGGCGAGTATTTCGATCTCAGTTATGTGATTACTCTTGATTGGGTATGGCGCGTTGCTGTCGTGTTGGCTGTCTCACTGGTTCCTGTCTGGGCTGGTAAGATGATCAAACAGTCTTGGCACCCACCGAGCTATCGCAAGGTTCGTGGATAGACCTCTGAGGTGTGGACGGCGGTTTCTGTGTTGCTATTTAGACCTCATCTTGTCTTTCTTTGCTTTGCTACCGATGATTCGATCATGTGTGGCCTGTATATCTACCTAGAATATGAACTGAACCGCTTCCCAGGTTGCGGCGTTTGCCCGGGTTGTTACCTACTAAGGTCATGTGGATTGGAAGGATAGTCAATTGACATAGAATGTATGTCCCGTGTCAGTTCCGGGATTTCTCGTTTATTCTCCGTGGATGTTTTATTTGTGGTGAAGTAATTTCCGCGATTTTTCATGGTCGTTTCCGCCTGGGCAATGTTGTTATGCTTTTTCGGGTTGGTTACCAAAACTTCCACGGTCTGTCTCGGCGCGAACCTTGAAACTCCGCAGACCTCGGGATCCGGCGATATATACATCTGGCCAAACTTGGAAACACATTTCTCTCCCGCACAACAACATATTAAAATGGAGAATCTTGGCCTCGAGAGTGTTTAATTAAAAAAATTAAAAAATCGGCTGTGAAGCCTCAAAGAAAAGGATATTCCCCACAATCTCCGTCTTCACCACCTTATAATCCTTCTTCAACGCCTCCCGAATTCCAACCTCTCCATCCCCCCGATTATCAAAAACACGACTCTTATTCAAAAAATGCATAATAATCCTCCCAAACCAATTAAACGTCCCCGTTCCCAGAATCGTCGTCCCATAAACCACCCCATCCTCCTCCAAATGATCCTTCAAATTCTCAAACAAAACCATCTTCCTTCCCAACGGCCCAGGCAAACAATGAATCAAATAAAAAGTCGAAATAGATCCATACTTCTCCTTCAGCGGCAACGGCTCCAGCACATCAGCCAGAAAAGTAGGCATATCCGGCCTGCCGAGGGCAGTTCTCGCATCCTCCAGACAGTTCGGGTTCAAATCAAGCACGCTGACGGAGGTAGTTGAGGGGATTTCCGTATTGGCTAGGTAATAACCCGTCCCAGGACCAATGTCTAGATGGCGTGCGCTGAGATGCTTTTTGAAGAATGGTAGCTGTTTGCTTTTTGTCGGACAGTGCCATGCGAATGTGTTCACTACGCCTAGTACCCAGATGTCGTAGATGGCTAACACGGCACGATTGTACATCCAGGCACCGTCGGCGCCGGGGGAAGTGGGGTTGAGCATTTTGGAGTTGGTTGGATTGTCACTTGAAGGAATTGGGTTGAATTGGGTGGATTTTATGGATTGGGGGAATTGGTTCTATATAAGGAGGTCTGGATGATTCTGGACATTTTTGTAGATTGGGGGCTATAACTCTTTTGCATTGGGGGCTATTTTTGCCTCGGGATTTACAAATTTTAGTGGTTTTTAAATGATTTTCTCTCGCTTCAACGGAAGAATCAGCACGGGCCAGGACTAATGTGAAGTTGGTTTACGGAGTAATCGTGGCATCGTCGTCTATTGTGCGCTAGTGGCGCCGTGCGGACTTTGGTGCTATTCCGAGGTTGGAGTGCCTCCGGACTTTGGTTCGAGACACATCTGTTGGGTAAGATAAGGCATTTGAAACTATTCCAAGTTTTATTTGAACTCTTGCTGTTTCGCCAATGAGTCCATGACGGCTCTTATATCCGATTCGATATCACTCGCTAACAAATTCTCCAGGTTGAAGTGGAATCATGCTGCACAATTATGCTCATGGACTATGGACTATCGATAAAGCATTTTTAATTAACAACAGCATATTCCTCCAATGCATCATGCAACCTTCCAAAAACACCTCCATGCCACCCCCGCAGCTGCTCCCATTCATCCGCCGGCATCGTACGGTTCGCCATGCGCAACCAACCCCCAACGATAAGATCCGCATAACTAGCCTTCTCGGTAATGAACGGACCATGATTTCCAAAAAGCTTAGCAAGATCCCCCAAAGCCTTCTCAAAAGACCCTAGCATCTGTTTCCGCTGCTCATCCCCAAGAGAGAACGCATCCCAAGAGGTAGCGCCCGCACGCCTCAAAAATTCCTTCTTCGCTTCCTCTTCCGTCTCAGGATCAAACGGCATCCCGCCGACCATGAGTAGAGTATGCATGGTGAATGCCGCATCGACATTCGCGTTGAACCGTGCATACTGTGGATACTCACTGGCATCAGTCTCAGACAGCGGGATGAGAATTTGAGCGCTTGGATCATAGGTATAATCCAGCAATTGGGGCGGGAAGAGATCACCACCGGAATCCGGGTATTGTTTGTTTAGATAGACGGCGATGTCGAATGAGTCGCCTATCTTGCGGGATGTGGTGGGGTCAATTAGGATGGGTAAGGTGTAGAAGTCGGTGCCGTCGGCGAATTTGCGGCATGCAGGGATCCCTAGCCCAGAGCGGACGTTTTTGATATCGGGTAATGTGACCCAGGTGGTTTCATGGGGGATTGCTTTGTAGTTCAATGCTAGTCGGGATTTCCAGGGATTGACGGCGCTGTTGCGCTTATTCTGGGGGGGCACCCATGGCCACGTCGTAGAAGGTCAGGTTGGGAGGCATTTTGGATGAGAAATGAGAGTTCTTTCTATGAATTAGGGGATTTCGCAGGGAAAGATGAGGGTATTTATGGGCGGAGGTGGTAAGCCCCAAGGTTGTATGCAGTAAGTGTGGCGATGGAAGCGCTACATCTATCCGTTTCGGGTCAGATCGACCTTGGCTCCCCCACTTTTTCCTTTTTTCCTTTTCTTTTTCCTTTTTGATTCAGAATGATTCATTTTAGCGCTTCTTCAGACCCAAGGTTGACTGGTTGACTTGGGCTTGTTTACTACGAGGCCCAAAATAGTATCGTCATAGCAACTTTTGCAGGATTTGTCTCTAGAAGCCTTCCAAGGTTAATGAAAAATTTCACCCTACGCCACACCTGTTCTCGTATCATACTATGACTTGTGTGCAGAATACTTCTTCAGCTATCGCTTATAGTCATCAATTGATTGATGTTGGGTATTCACGAGACAAATTCCTCCACAGCCCTATTCATTTATACGGCTCAGGCGAAAACACCTTCCTCAACCTCAACCTCGACAAATCCCTCGCCACCTGCGCACTCTGCTTAAGATTGCGCTTAACAATGACAGAAGTAGGCAGAGAGAACAACTCATCAATCTCCTCCAAGGACTTATTCTTCGTCTCAGGCATGAAGATAATCTGATAAATCCACCCCACAACAGCAATACCACCATAAAAGCCCAGCGTCAAACCAATCCGACGCATAGCCTCCATCATTCGCGTGAAGTTATACGTCACGATAAACGAGCACAAAAACAAATTCGCGTCCGCGGTCGTCATTCCATAGGATCGCAGATACGTCGGGAAGACCTCCGACGGAACAACCCACGTAAGACACGCGTACGAGCCAAAGAAACCCATGTATAGAATGATGCCTGTGAGATAGATACCCTGCGCGGTGGCGGGGTATTTCTCCACATCGATGGTATATCCAACGCCGACGAGAACGAGCCCAATGAAGAAGCCCGGGAGCATGGCATTAGCCCAGTACCGACGACCGAATCGCTCCATGTACAGCACAGCAGGGATAGCGCCGATAAGCAGCGAGCCTCCACCGACTAACGACATGAAGACGGCGTCCTTATCGTCGAACCCAATTGCCTGCATCAGCGTCGACATGTAGTACATAACGGCATTGACACCCGTGAACTGGCCGAGGAAGATCATGATATTGGCGTAGACCATAGCGCGACGGGCGCGGGGAACAGTGAAGAAATCCATCCAGGGGTATTTCTTCGTTGCAGCTTGCTCTTGGCTTTCGGCTGTGACTGCTTGTCGCATACCGAGGAATTCGTCTTTTGCTTCGTGGTCGTCGAAACCTCGGATTTTCTTCCAGACTGCGTAGGCTTCGATCTCGCGTCCCTTGTGCATGAGGAATCGGGGACTTTCTGGGAGGAAGAGCATGCCTATAAACAGGATGGTGGAGAAGACGAGAGATGAGCCTAGGATGTATCGCCAGTTACCGTCTACGCTGACGAACATTGCGGCGACGGCGTAGCCGAGGACTTCGCCGAGGGCGATGTTGAGTTGGTATAAGGAGACGAGATTCCCTCGGATTTTACGGGGGACTTTGGTGGATTAGTTAGGTCCGGTAGATTGGATGGTGAAAGATTACATACCACATTCGGCAACGTAGACAGGGACGGTACCTCCCTCTAAACCAACACCGGCACCGAGGATGAATCGGCCAGCAAAGATCATTCCAAAATTGATGGCGCCGGCCTCGAGGGCTGCACCGATGGTATACAAGATGCATGAAACAATGATGGCCATGCGACGGCCAAGGTATTCATTTGCCGGGGATAGAATGAGAGCACCAGCCACAGCACCCAGAGGCATGCCTGCATTAACAAGACTGTTATCGGCGGACGATAGGTGCAAGTCTTTTGGCAGAAACAAGTTTGCACCGCTGATGAGTGACTGGTCCAGACCGGACAACATGCCACCCATCGATGCGAATGCGACGAGGATGTATGTGAAGTTTTTGGGACTTGCCATGGAGAAGTCGAAGCGAGACTTGGGGATCTCATGGAGTTGGGATTCGAGTTGTTGCAACTCGGAATCCATAGCTGCCTCCGTCAATCCATTATGCAGCTTTGCATCGGCGACATCGTCGATTTCGTTGCCGGTGGCATCTTTCTCTTCATTGTGGGCGTGACGCGCCTCGACGTCTTTAGTTTCAGACATTGGATGTTCTATCCCTTGGAAGGGATAAGGCTGTTTGATGTAGACTGATGGGAATATGGGGATAAACTGTCACGTTAAACAAGAAACTTCTATGTGGGTGCGAGTGGAAACTCCAGCGGTGAGGAGTGAGGATGCAGGGCTATAAATAAGGATTTAGACAACCACCTTTAATGAATGTCACACACAGCATCGACGCGGGGTTCGGCCCACAACCCAATAAGGCACGCTAGATATGCAATGCGGAGTGTATGCACTCCATGCTTTGGGGTAAGAGAAGAATCGGGACCGAGTATCTGTGATCAAGAGAAGGGAGGGGAAGAACGAGAACGCGGGATCATCGGGGGCAAAAACGGGACAGCCGAAGGAGTGCAGGGATGAGAATGAGGAGACTCAAGACCGGAATGCAGCAGCCCTGTCGGCGAATGATATTGCAGCACAGCTGCTGTCGTCCGCTTCAGGGCGCAGGTTTGCGGCGGGCGAATTGGCTCTTGGGCCACAAATCATCCCACACAGCAGCCAGCGCGATGTACAATGTACATTCTAGATTTCGGCATGGTTTTCTAGAATGTTCCCGGGTTCCCGTTGTGGATTTGTCCCAAGGCTTAGCTGTGCTTGTGTTGCTTGGCCATGAGAATTGACTCGGACTCGCACAAGGCAAATTTCAAAATCCGAAGACTCTCAGCAAGCTTTCATCTTTGTCACATGGACTGTCGATCTCGGGCATAGTCCGGGTGGGATGAGCGCTAAGAATGCTAAGAGTCTGGGGTTCCCCGTGGAGAGGACGTCGGCGAGACTTCGGAGAAAAGCATGATCGTAGTACATGCTCCCATACATGATAATGAGAAACCGAGTGTTGTACCTTTGGCCAACTTCTTGACCCTTGAACTGAGGGTAACCACCGATTAGAAGCTCCCGCCAGCTTCAAGCTGTCCTTGGTGGTATATCGAATATCGGCTCGGGAACCGAACATGGCTACCTCGAGTAAACAATGCGGTTCTTTATTTCCCCGCAAGCCGAGATGCTCATTCGTCGTGTGATGTGCTTAGCTTTGGTGGCTTGCGCTTCGGCCGTGTGGTGACACCCAGCCGTTCAAGTTCTGATACCGAGTCATGTTCGGGTGCGGGTTGCCGTTCCTGGCTTGAAGACGGATCTTTACATAGTGGCAGTGGCATGATCTCCCCGGATCCGAGAGTGTTGTGAAATCCGGGGCGTACAGCATGCCACTAGACATTGCATGCAAGACACAGACAAGAAGCTGGTGATCCCACCTCGATCACCGAGTACAAGGACTATTACACGTCCGATCTCGCCATCATTCAAACTTCCATTGAAATGTATGTACACAGAAAGAAAGACTCCCAACGCCATGCGCTAGCTACAATGCAAGCTTTACCGTCGGGGCAATCCGACCGGCTTCCGAACACTTGGGTCAACATTGGGACTCGGCGATCTTCCACCCTGCAACCTCGCCCTGAGGCGATCTTGGGCTGAACCACCACCGGAACCCGCACGGTCAAGGTTCGGCCGACTTTGCGAAGACTGCGAGGATCCCGAGCGTTGACTTGGCAGAGGTCGTGCACCGCTAGGGTGCAGACTTCCGGATGATCCATGGGCAGGCGAGTAGGACTGTGATTGTGTGAGTGGTGGGGTGGGCGACGGCGACGAGCCCGACGGCGCGCTGTGGGCGGAATTAAGAGGCGGTGCCATGCCTCCGCGGCCGCGACGCAGACTGGCGGTTTGGGGGTTTTGTAGATTTTGCTGTGAGCCGGAATCTCCCCATAGATCACCTAGACCGCCACTCCGGCCTTGGGCGGGTGCTTGGCCAGAGGGATGTTGGGAGGTTGCGATTGTGCGTGACGGTGCTGGGGCTGGAGCTTTAGGGTCTTGGGGTAGCCATGGTGGGAACTGTCGGCCTTTTTCAGTGTAGTAGGCTCGGAGGGCGTTGGAGATGTGGGAGCAGTCTTCGTTGTCGGGGTCGTCGCCCTCGTCGCCTAGGGTGATGGCGCGGCGGAGATTGGTGAGGCGGTTGCCCAGGCCGGAGATAGCAGACGAGGAGGTGAGAGACGAGAAGTATGAGCTCATATTGTCGTCAAGAGATGCGCGGTCTGCAGAACGGGAGCTTGAATGCGGGGTGGGGTTCGGAGCTGGAGCTGGAGCTGTTGATCCCGTTGCAGGGAATTGGAAATTGATTGGCTGTCGCAACGAAGATTGTAAAATCGCAAGGTATTAGTTTGGCAGAAGAACCGGCTCCTGAAGTTGAAAGAGAAAGGGAAAATGAAACAAAACGGCCTTTGGCGCCGATTGCCACGTGATCACGTGTTTCGGTTTGAGTGCCTTTCCCTTTTGGTCCACTCTTCATCTCGACGCTGCTGTTCAATGGGCACTTGAGACATTTGAACATACGGGAGCATACAGCCATATTGCTCTGTCTCATGTCATGGTAACGGCACATGCACTGGCCGTCGACTTGGATCGCATATCCATGGATATAACGAAATATGAAGCTGTGAGGCAAGTGACTCAACTCCAATTCGTTCATACAAGGTGCAACACATTGATAAATAATAAACATTGAGAAAGACTAGTATCGTAAATGCAATAACAGGGTATGATGCCCGATCACTAGCACAGAATATAAAACAGAAACCCGAACGCCATGCAAGATCCGGTGAACTTTTTTTTGCCAAATCTCCCCTCATGCCATGACCTGTTCCTTGCCAGCGCCCTCGGTCTCGTACTCGATCTCGATGCGGGGACCCTTCTTGCGAGGCTTCGTAGGAGGAGCGGCATGCTTCCGCTTGGCACTGGGCTTGGGCTTCTTCTCATCCTCGCTAGCCTCCTCCTCGCTATCCTCATCGCTCTCATCCTCATCCTCGTCGTCATCACTGGAGTCAGCCGAGTCAACACCCAGCCAATCCTCCATATCCTCGAGGTCCTCTTCCTCGTCGAGATCGCTAACGTACTCGACCTCGCCAACACCCTCTTCCTCCTCATCCTCAATCTCTTCACCGTCATCCATGTCGACGTCACGCTCACCGTCACCAGCGCGCTCAAGTCCACGGAGCACCTTCTTCCAGATACCCTCCTCGACATTGAGTGGCCGGTCACCGTAAGCACCACTGCGCAGACGCTCAATAAGCTCGCGCTCAATGGCTCTCTCGACCTTAGCAGCAGACTCGGCCTTGCGCTCACGAGTGTCCTCGCGACGACGGATCTTGGGTGCCAGCTTGGGGACCAGCTTCTCACCGAGACGCTCGTCTTCCTTGGCGATGTTCTTCATGCGGATGTTGACTTGCGTCAGACGGGTGAGACGCTGCTTGCACTTGTGGGTCAGGAACTTGGGCCAGTAGATCAGGCGCTCGTCGACCTGCTCGAGGGCTTTGGCATAGTTGGAGGACAGGCGAACTCGCTCCCACCATTTGCTGGGCATGTGGGCTCGTTCGACGGTCTTCATGTAGAGGTACATGACACCGGTTTCGGGGTCGGTTCGGACAGTCGCATACCGCGAGTTGGCCAGGGGGCAGGACTGGCGGTTGCAAAGACCGCTGACGTTGTATTCATTGCGACAGAAGGTCTGGTCTTTTGTGGTTCTAAGGAAAGTGTTGTTAGTGAAAGGTTCATATTTTTTGGTCGAGGAAGACGAAAAAGAATGGAGGTGAAAGGCCTGGGGGTATCAGAGGTGGGGGCAAAACATACTTGAGCTTGTAAGAGCAGAACTGCTGGTTGATAACCTGCCAAACAATTTCGTCAGACATGATGGGCAGGAATTGACGGCTGTAAGTGACAAGGCCCCGGTATGCAGAGATATTGATGCCGAAGAAAAAAAAGTTGGCTTACCGCCTTTCGTATTGGGACTAGTCTTATCTGATTTTTTCTGCCTTGAAGCTCAGGCGTCAAGGTGTCCACTGGCGGGCCAATCAGAGAACGCTAAATTCGAAGGTGAAATCGCAATTGGAACATCATTTGGTTGACATTCAGTGCTTCTCCAATAGTTGCGCTTCTATTAGCCCTGGAGTTGATCGAAACTTGTGTATCTGGACAAACACTCACGTAGTATCAATCTGCACATATTCATGGACTTTACTTGGGAAATTCATATTTTTAGCACCAGAAAAACAAACAAACTTTCGCCGCGCATGTATATTTTTTGTCACCGAAGTTACCACACCCATGAATGAGACAAAACGTCAAATATGGGATTCACGGATCACTTCAAGTCTTCCCTGTATTATTCTACAGTTCTGAATTTTCGACGAAACCTTCGAACGGCCGCAAGAAACAGAGATTGCCCAGGTGGCCCATTTGCAGGCCCTGAAGCTACATATCGAAGTACCTCAAGCGAAAAATGAAATTCGACAATTTGATATTACTTTACATTTGAATTATACATTAAACCACCTATTTCGTCAAAGCCTCAAAGTCGGTCCGGATTGACAGGCATATGCCATCCACAAACGACCGCTCTTCGTCCAGGGGGACTCCCAAAGCCCCAGCCTGCCAACTCACCGTACACATCAAACTCCCCCCCTTCACACTGATAACATTGAACACAAGCGGCGCGCTGGTAACGTTACCAGGCTGCGAGAACACCATCTTTGCAACTCTGCATTCTTGCTTCTCGCCATCCTGGTTATCGAAAGCAAGCAAATTGCTCAGCTCGTACGAAGAATCCCGCTGCTGGCCAATTTTACTCAATGTCCACTTTCTGATTCCAGGAACATATCTCAACAAGCCAATTGCTTGGTCTTGAAGGGTCGCAGCGCAAGCCGAAATCGCCTTTGTCATCGAGCTAGCAGCTGTCCAAGACTCTTCCGACAGTACCGGCTCTGTTGCATCAGAGCAGCGAGGATGCATCTCATAATATCCAGACACGAACAGACCCCATGTGAGAGCGGGCGTACCGACAGAAGCCCTCATATCGACCGGCGTGCCTGAGACGAAGTTGGTGATATTGTCGTCTGGAACGGCCTTGCTCAAAGCTCGAATAATCATTTGATGCATAGTTCCAGTAAGCTTGGTGTCATGGCTCCTTGAGACTTGTAGGGCGTTTTGAACTAGTGGAGCTTCAATCTCGAGAAGGTTCACCCTGCTGGTTTCGGCAGCGGTCGGATCAAAGAACATAGGTGATCCAATCCAAGTACCTGCATCTACCGTGCTAGCGGAAGCCCGGAAACCTAGCAGTTTACCAAGAAACTTTGGTAGATATGCTCCAATCAATGGCCCAAGGAGAAAGCCCCATGAGATGGGAAGCCGCTCGGGGGTGTCGAAAGGCTCGGAGAGTGCCGCTTTGGGTGTCGTTACCATGAAGGACAACTCTTCGGCATCAGAAGGTTGTCGAAGTGCGTTCAAAAAAGTACGGTGGAAAAAAACTCCCACCATGCCATCGCCGAGGGCATGTGAAAATGACAACGCGATGAAACAGCGTGTTAATTTTGGGTCTTCCGATGCAAGCGGGAGCACAACGATTCGCCAAGGTGGTAGGCCAGCTGACCAAGGCCTGTCGAGAATTTGCGGTAGACATTGCTGAATACTGGAATTCTGTTCCTCACCACTAGGCGCTTGCTGAAGAATGGAAATATGGTTCTCGAGATTGACGCTCGAAGTTGCTTCGTAGAAAGATTGCTCGGTATCTCCATCTTTGATAACCACGCCGAGATAAGGATATTCTTGGAGGCAGCTTGTGAGAGGCGCGACGAATGAGCGAGATGAGTGGACATCTATCCCACCACTTGGAATCTCATAAATAGCTCCAATCACCAAAGCATGGTAGAAGCCGACGTCTTCCCGACTGATTGTTCGCCGCTCATTCGGGCCTGCCGGTTGTAGTTGGTTAGAAAGATTTACATCGCACGCAGGGAATGAAAATCCAGTATCCACTCACTTGCATATCTAGTGAATGTTGACATTGTGTCCCGAGGCGTGCCATGTTCACCTAGGGGAGATCATTGCCGTCCGGGTTAAGTTATGGATTATCTATTCTTCCGGTAGTAGGTTGTAGATCTACCAGGAGACTTTGGGGGCCAATTTGATGATGACGAGGTCTTGATTGCAAAAACGAGGTCTTGATTGCAAAAAGAAAAGAGAAGTACACAGGAGAAATTCGAAAGTTAGCGGAGCCGGATTGGAAACGAGGGTATTGGCAGGCATCGAACATGTGGCTCTTTTTGCCACAAGGACCATTCAAGCACAGTAAAGCATGTCGAGTAAACTAAGCATAGAATTACTACAGAGTAGTACCAATGTTTATGGATATCCACATCTATGCTAATCAGCTAACTTTCTTTCAGATCTGTCAAATGCAATGAGTGGGGCATTTTTTTCGATAGTATGTCCACCTCTCGTATCGAGCGAAAGAGTCCAGTGAGGCACGAATGTGTTCCGTCGTTCCGTGGATCGTAGCGCTGTGGGGACCCGCCAGCTCGAACGATTGGCCGAAGATCTAGTCATTCTCAGCCTCATGACGACGTTTGTTTGCTCCTTGCACAGCTGCACCTTTCATATCATTAGAGCACATTTTCCAGACCCTTGAACATATCAATAAGCCCTATGCATTGGTACGCATTAGCAATCGCGTCAGAAGGAACATCGGTTGGTATCTTCGTTACCAAGATATCGAGTGGCACGACAGCATTCGAGCTCAGACTTGGTCCCTTCCAAGGTTGTACTAATTTCTACTTTGGTACAGATTGCAGTAAGGGGGCGGGGTCCGGCATGCTGGGCCCTACCAGGATCTCAACACCCAAGAAATGAGCCTGGCCTTGGCGCATAAGACTGATATCGCTTTTTCTTTTCCTCGCCCTCGACTTGTACTCCGTACGGAGTACACACTCCCGTAGTCCGGTTCGTAATTTTATGTTCATCAATTAGTGAGAAAATCCCAAAGTTACTCGGTGCTTATGGTCAAGAGAAGAGAAAGAAAAAGAAAAGGAAGAAGACAAAAGATAGCTTTTTTGAGCTCAACATTGATCGAAATCATGTCTCTTGGACGGGCAAAATGTGATATAATGTCCAGCCACTTCCTTTCCCTACATTTATAGATGATCACCAGGTTGTAACCTGGTCCACAGGGCTTGGGTACCGTGCATATCATTATCTTCGGTACTCCGTACCTCAGGGGCTCTGGCCAGGATAAATACATTATGCTGACCAACTCTCCGCCTACTCTGGGCAGAGCACGGCAAACTCCGTACAGGCCTACAATCTTGTCAGAATCTTTTATCTTCCTGGATGTGGGAGTCATAACAGCGATTTTTCTTGCGTTTTTGCGACGGAGCAAGTGGGAACTTGCTTCTCTCTTTGATCCATGGCCAACGTATCGTGGATCTTGCTGCTCTTCATTTCGGCGTGCCAGGTGTTCCTCCCGACGACCTACGAAAAACCAAGCAGTACGCTTTTACGTTTATTCCAAATGAGCAGAAGGATTTCAGTGTCACCGGTACTCATATATCCTCCCCGGGCTTCGAAATCAAGTCAAAACCTTCCACGCCCTCATCCACGCCAACGGCTTCCTCTCCGACAACCTCTTCAACCAGTGCAAATTCTGAGGCCTCGTCTGCCGATAGCTCAAATACCCCACCTAGTACGAGCGGACTTTCCACCGGTGCGAAAGCAGGGATCGGTGTCGGCGTGAGCATCGGCGGCTTGGTCGTGCTGGCTGCGCTAGCCTTCTTGTTCTTGCGACGCCGTAACCGGGCATCGTCACAGGACATAGGCGCTACCGAAGCAGCAAGTGGTGGTTCCCAACAGGAGGCTAAACCTGCGACACATGAGCTTTTTGTAGACCCGGCTGAGCTGGCCGGGACGCCTGACAGGAGATAACGTAATGGTACAGAATTGGTGGTCTATTGGACACGCATTGAGAGGGTGGAGTTCTGGAGGAAGAATAATTTGACACCTTGAGAACTACTGCCCCTTGTTTCTCGTGATGGCGCGATGGATATAGATGACCTCGGGTCCTCCATAAAAGAACCCAGCTTCAGGTCGTGGTCGTCGGCATGATAATATTCCCCCCGAAATACACATCTTCTGGGAGCACTTAATGATAATTTCCATTCATAATATCTTGCTTATTGATATGAACCCAATCCAATTCCAAGGGTTTCTAGCGCATAGATTACCCAAACGCGATTTCAATCCATGGATAAATTATGATCAATATTCTTATGTTATCTTTTTTCCCCTAACCAAACCGACAGAACTTGTCTACCTGCGACCCTCATTTCTCCATTATGGCCAAGGTTGGTTGATCTCTTCCTTCATCTGTTCGGTGGTGATGGTGGTGATGGGAACAAGAGAGTAGGGGAAGCATATGATCCCCCACCTGTCATTTTATCGAAGAGAGGGAGGAGATATGTGCTGTAAATCAGTGTATTGTGGGACGAGGAAAGAAGAAGGAAAGAGAGAAAAGCTCTCTCTATCTTACATCTATATGCGGGGAGCCTGGCAAACCAGGCAAACGCCTGCACCGACACTTTGCTCTCCAACAGCTTCCTTCCCTTTTTTCCGCTCATTTTACACTTTCTTTATTTCTAGTATCTACCTGCCTTTGGCACCCGTGGATTTGTGGCATAATCAACCGCCTCAAGGTTGATGCCCTCCACCCTTCTCCTTCCTTTTCTTTTCTCTTTTCTTTTTTTTCCCTCAATAATTGACTAACGCTGTATTGAGTTTTTGTCTATCTAATTCATTTGAAATGCCACGGTTCAAAGAATTCGTCAAGTTTGCAAGTAGCAAGAGGCGATATCAGGGGAAGTATATCAAGAAAGGGCAGTTTCTCTGTTTGATGAAATTCACGGATTCACTGAAGAGCGAAGAAAAGAAGGAAGTTGGAGAAAGAGGTCGATTAGAGATGGGAAACAGCATCACCTGACTTCCAACAGTAACAAAGTAGTGCATGAAAAGGCAAGTCTGCCGTGCCGCCTGAGTATCTTGAGGCTTGACTCTAAATTTACCGCTAGCGTCAGACCCCTCTCTTTCAAACTACCCTCCGCTAGGTCACGATGCTTTTCAACAGTAAATGGTCCGCTCTTCTCCCGATCATTCGAGATATTTGCAGCATCTCGGGCATCCCAGGAGTGTCACTGGGCATAGTAGAGAATAACAAAACCGTATACACCGCTTCACTTGGTTACGCCGACATCGAGAGTAACATCCCTTGCGATAGCGACACAACGTTTGTGCTCGGGTCTCTTACCAAAGGCTTGACAGCTGCTTTGGTATCCTCCCTTCATGACGACGGTATCATATCATCGTGGGATGCTCCTCTGAAGACGTTGTTGCCAGAATTTCACCGTGAAGACATCTACGGCGACATCAAGCTCAGCGATTTGCTAACACACCGTACTGGTCTTGCCTCTCTTGACTCTCTCTGGCTCGCATCTAACAATGTTCCTTATCTGCCTCGATCGGAGGCCATTCGAATACTTAATTACGCCCCGCCCATCCAGCCATTTCGAACCCAGTTCATATACAATAACTTCGGCTACGAGGTCCTCGGCCAGGTTATCGAGAAGGTCTCTGGTGAATCATTTGCGGAAGTTCTGCGGCGCCGCCTTCTGACCCCGCTCGGCTTGTACCGAACGTACTACACAGGCGAGAGCCGCGAAAATGAAGCGAAGCCCTATGCTGCGCTGGAGAACGGGTCTTTTGTCCCTATCGCGACACCGCTACACGGAGAGAACGTATTAATGGGGCCAGCCGGGGGTGTTCGGAGCTCTGTCAATGATTTATTGACTCTCTAAAAAGCCTTAATGACTGCTGCTTTTCATGAGATCATCCACCCAGATTCTAGCTCATCTGATCAGCTCAACTCGACCATTCGAGGTATTTATCAGCTATGGAAAGGGCATCAATCCCTGCCCTTTTATTCCCTTAGGGAGCATTCGTACGGATTTGGTTGGGCCCGAGCACAGCTACCTGCCGTCATCTCCCAGGGAAGCGATACAAGCACACCCAATCCTATGGTTGGAACAGGTGCACCGTCACAGTTGGCCCTGTATCACGGGGGAGTTATCCCTGGGTTCAACACTTACAATGTCCTACTTATTGAAACTGGCAGTGCAGTTGTCGTTCTCACCAATTCTCAGTCTCTGAACGGCGGAGTGCGGTGGATTGGTGAGCTGCTTGTTGAAGCCCTTCTCAACAACTCCCATAATGCACTTGATTATACCCTTCTGGCAAAGCAATCAGTCGACATTGCGCTACAGCAGGCAAAATATATCAACGAGAGTCTGGCTGCGGGCCGAACTATTGAGACTCCCTCCAGACCACTAGAAGATTATGTCGGAAAATACTTCAACGAAGCTGGAAATTTCTTTATTAAAATCGGGTACAGCAAAGACAGAACCGGTCTTCAGATTGCGTATATGGGCCGAAAAGCGGATACATTCCACCTTCTTCCATACCAGGAGGACAGTTTTTATTGGACCTTGACGCATGATGAGTCTGCGAAGCTTGCCCGAGAGCCTATTTTCCCGATGGAGTACCACATTACCAAGTTTGGATCTGAGATGAATGGAACAGGGGTCTCTTGTCTTTGGTGGCAGCATCGGTCCGACCTGCCAGAACCTGGGGAGCTATTCACGAAGATGGGGAGGGGGTTTGAAGATGCACACGCAGAATTATGAAACTTTGGAATTTCAGTTTTATGTGTTGGTTAGGATGATTCAAAGTAAATGTGCGCCTATCTTGGGGTTTCTCACTACTCAACCCCCCCAAGCTTACTGAGTATTGCTCAACATCATTATGATGGTTTTGTGCCAGAAATTTTGACCGTTGAGGTTTCTACAGCTTGGAGATTGCAAATCCTGTCGCAACAAACGGTGAATCCATGATCTTAGTATGCAGAAAGTATGACCTGATTATCTTGATCATTTGTAGGTAAATTCTAGTAGCAAAACTTGAAGCAGACACTTCGAAGGTGATTGAGTTTGCGACAAACAACCAAGAACATACCACAGTGAAGATTCGCTGGTTGTTTACAAAATTGGTCACTAACTCACCAGCGGGTGGCATAAACACCCGTGGACGCCCTTTTCGCTAGTTAGTGGGCTTTACCTTGTCATTAGACGATTTGTTTGCCCTTCCGCAAAACCATCACCCTTGTCATGGATAATTTAGGGAATGACGTTAATGATATCTGGCAATGCGCAGCACAAGGAGGCTCGATCTTGTGCATGTCCGAGATTCCCTTGAGATCTTTATTTGTATACCAATCAAAGCGTCGGTCAGAGTTTCCTAAAACGGCAAGCGACCCACTTCTTGCCGTCCCGCGCCATCACGTGGAGATCTGGCGGCTATTCCGCCAGCTTCCGCCAGCCGACCACTTCCCACATCCTTGCGCCTCTCAGCTGTCATGGATGTGGCTATGAACGATACCCATGTGGAGCCCAATCAGCGTAAGAGGGCTGCAGTCGCGTGTGAATACTGCCGGAAACGGTATGTCGCTAAAGCGAGCACGAGAAGATCAGAAACTAAGCAAATCTTAGTAAACGTCGATGCGATGGCAAACGGCCGATTTGCTCGCTCTGCCTGCAGGCAAATCGAGCCGACTGTTGTTACAGTGGGCTGGAGTCATTTTTGCATCAAGCTGACACCCTGGCGGGGGAATACAACGAAAGAAATTCCCCTGGACTTCTTTCGGATCGCATAGAGCGCCACGATGAGGTAATTGGAGAGCACACAGCAGCGATTGATATCATGAGAAGTCAGATTGCGCAACTCATAGGCGATGCAGCTGTTTCCAGCCAAGGAGAGATTTTCAACACGCCATTGCCACAACATGACAATCTTACTCCGCAAAATCAGTCTGGTTTTCTATTGCGCGAATTCACGCTATCTGATGCTCATGATACATTGCCAATGAACATACCTGCGGGGCATCTATCTACCACAGAGAATCTACTGCAGACAGAGAAGGCAAAAGTGCTGCTTGGTAATTATCCGGTTGACTTATTTCTCCGAACAGAGCGTAAACGTGGGCAATCAGAGGATTTCAGGTTGGATGCGCGCCTCTCAACCAGACCACCGTTTGGTATCTCAGAGAACCCTATGATTGAAGAGCTAGTGCATGAATATTTCAAGGATCTCAACCCCACGACCCCGATCATCGACGCAGATTCATTTTGGGAACTGTTTGCTTCCCTTAAAAATCGACCCGGTGATCCAGGGGTCAAGGAGGCCTTGATTTTCGTCATGTGCGCTCTTGTCCAGGTGAACCGAACCTTGCCAAATGAGATCAAAAGCGGCGAATTACCTGGGAAGACCGGCTTTTTCTTTGGCCTCGAGATTCTCATGAGAGAATGGGCAACCTCATTCCATACAGATTTACACCTATGCCAAGCCCTTTTTCTAGCAGCTTCTTGGTATAACAGTCTTTGCCATCCTCTTCACGCATGGAGGATGATTCATATGGCATCGAATAATCTACAACACATATTTCTGGCGTAAAGACCCTGTCCCCGCCCGAGTCATATCTGCTCTGTTGCTTACTTTGACCTTCTTCAAGTGACCAATATGGAGAGAGCGGCCCTTGCCAAGGATGTGTTAGACTTATTTGGGCAATTTTCCTGGCAGAGTGGTACGTTCGCATTGTCGCAGTGGAAACCATATGCTTATTCTGCTTAGTGACATGCTTGCAGAGTACCAGCTTCCAAGGAGTGGTATCGAACTCATGGTGGAAAAGCTCTTCTACCCAAATGCTGCTTCATACTCCACTGACGCCTATCTCATATGGATCGCCAATCTATCAGCTCGTCGATTAATGAATCGCGTTCATTTTACTACCTACAAATTCAACGGCAATAGTTTGGACAGCAATTACACCGTTGAACAAATCTTTGACAAGTTTATAGAGAGTTCTGGCTCAGCGAATGCCCTTTTCACCACTTCAGCGGAGCTATACAGCCAACTCAAGCAGTGGTGGGATCTCCTCCCGCCATCCATCAAGCCTCGGATTGACGACGTAAACCCTACTACCCAGGAAGGGGTTCTTCTTTTACGATTTTGGGCATGTGGCGATATAATATATCGGCCATATCTCTACAAATTATGTTCGGTGCACGTAGATTCCACCATGGTTGACAGCCTGATCGAACCAGCTGTGAAGTGTATCTACCACTGTCGCAAGTTCCTTGAGGTCGCAGACTCAGTCACAAAAGTTCCATCCATTTTTACAATGATCAACATGCACTCGTAAGTCTTGAGACATGGCCCATATGAAATCATCTCGTCTCTCAGTGGGAAAAAGGGATCAATCCTAACGCTCAACATAGAACGCTGGCTGTGATAATCAACCTTACGATCGCATCATTATCTCCATTTTTAAGGGATTATGTAGCTGATATCGAGGTGCTTGAAAAGGTGGCCGTAGAAATTTTGGGTAGATGGGCGATCAAACATTCAAGCATTGAAGTGATGTGGAAAATTGCGGTCGCGTTGAGTGACAAACGTCAGCTTGTTGCCTAGATGAGCAATTTTGAAGGATCCCTGCTAGGGAAAGAAATGGAAACTTGTTTGCTATAATGAAAAAAAAACTTGCAATTGCTCTATTTAACATTCACTTCGACTTTTGCAACGATATCTCGAGAACTACTCCCGACGAATGCGAAATAGGTACCATTGTCTACTCGCCAAGCCCCTCTAGAACTGTCATCCCCTGTCTTTGTGACGTCAAACCACGCAACAGACTCGCGATCAATGGGAATTGAAACAGTAGTCTTCTCCTCAGGTGACAAATTCACCTTTGTGAATCCAGCGAGCGACAGTGGGGCTTTGGGCAAGTCACCCATCGAAGGAGACGGGCTGAGATAAACCTGCACAACCTCGCTGCCAGTTTTCTGGCCAATATTCATGACAGATGCGCGTACGATAGTATTTGATGATCCATCAGAGGAAATGTCGCCATTGACATCCACCTCAGATATCTGGAAGGAAGTATAAGAGAGCCCATACCCGAAAGGCCACAGTGGCTCAAGCTTCATCGCATCAAACCAGCGATAGCCAACGAGCACACCTTCACCATACTCTGCCTGGTCTGTAACAGGATCGCCGGGGAACCACTTATGCGAGCCATGGTCCTCAATAGCTCGAGGGAACGTCACAGGGAGCTTCCCAGAGGGGTTCACAATCCCCAAAAGCACATCGGCCAAGGCGTTCCCGTTTTCTTGCCCTTGATACCAAGCGTGGACAATCGCGCGAACTTTGGCAGCCCATGGCATTGCTATTGCACAAGCACTCTGCGTGACGACGATGGTATTGCGGTTGACGGCAGATATCCTCTCGACAAGCTCGTTTGTTCTGCGCGGAAGCTCGAGTTCGGCCCGGTCGCAACCTTCACGCTCTGTGTCATTGTTGTGACCGACAACGATGACGGCTACTTCTGACTCTTTGGCAGCTTCAATCGCGGACTCGATCATTTGATCCTCGTCATGGCGAATAAGCATTCCTACTTTTACACCAGCGATTCGGTGAAACAAGGTGTTATCATGAGGTCTTGTCGGAGGCGCCACTGCGACGTTGTCGATTCGGAAATCGTACGAGGTGTCTGCTTCAAGCCACTTGAAGTTGAGCTTGTCTGGGCTGCTGCAATTCATAAAGTTTGCACAAATCGTTGACCATTCTTGGTTGTCGATGAACTGTTCACCGTTGATGAAGAGGACTGCCCTCCCTGTGTTTGACAGGCTGAAATCATAAAGTCCACTGACAGTAGGTGTAAATCTTCCACGAGCACGGAAGCAGTATGGCTTGCCCTGAAGGCTGGACGGAATATCGCCATCGCTCATCAAGTAAACCATTGAGTTGTGCCAATATGTCGTAGCAACGATTTCACCCTCAAAATTGTCGCCGTGGTAAAAGTCCACTTCTAGTCCAGGGGCGGACCCATCGGGACGAGTGAGAATGTTTCCCAGCATGGGCAGGTGAAGGTGGGTCAAGATGCCTGGCTCGTATCGAATTTCAATGGCAGGGTTTGAAGACCGGATCCCCTCAGCGAGAGAATCATAGGGCGTCGTAATATAGTATGGATTGACAACTGCACTTCCTGTGCCTCCAGCAGTTGGTGTCTTTGCATTTGGACCAATCATAGCCAAAGAATTCAAAGAAGAGGGCTTCAGAGGGAGTGTGTTATCCTCGTTTTTCAGAAGCACGATTCCTGAGGATGCTGCCTTGCGTGCTGCTTCTCTGAAATCAGGTCTGTCTTGACTTCGCTCTTCCTTCTTCACATCAATGATCTCAGGTGCGATCTCCTGTCCATTGTATACCTCTTTCAAGTTGCCGGACAGGAGGCCCGCTCGCTCAAGAAGAGTCAATAAGCGGCAAACTGCCGGATCGATATCCCCCTTCTCAGAAACCTGCTTGTTGCGCACTGCGTCCACAAGAGCGCCACCATACCTCAAAGGAGGCCCCGGCATCTCCAAGTCAGTGGTAGCCTTGATGCTTCCTATGGTTGAGTTCAAACCACCCCAGTCGCTCATGACTAGTCCATCATAGCCCCATTCTTCGCGCAAGATTTCGCGCAAGAGATGCTGGCTTGTATCCGCATGTTCGCCATTGATTTTCGGGTAGGCTGCCATGACGGTCCAGGGGTCGGCTTTCAAGGTCATATGAAACGGCTTTAGGTAGATTTCGCGAAGGGTTCGCTCGTCAATCTTCTCATCCATGTTGAATCGACGCGTTTCCTGATCATTGGCGACGTAGTGTTTCATACAAGCGCCCACTCCCTGACTCTGAATCCCCTTGATATAATGTGTAGACATTACTCCGGTCAAGAAAGGATCCTCCCCGAAGTTCTCAAAGTTCCGTCCACCAAATGGAGAGCGACTCAGATTCATGGTAGGTGCCAGCAACACATGAGCTTTCTTTCCCAGAGCTTCGGCTCCAAGCACCCTGCCAATACACTGCACAATATCAGGGTCGAATGTTGCTCCCAGTGAGATGCCACAGGGGATGAAGGTAGTATGGGAACCGTCTGTCCATTTGGCGCCCCGGACTCCGGCTGGCCCATCGGTTGTCTTCAAGGAGCGAATACCCAGTCGTGGAATATCCAGTGTCTCCCACATATTCTTTCCAGCTAACAAAGCGCATTTCTCTTCAAGGGAGAGTTGTGTGACCAAGTTTCTGACACGGTCTGATGGCGAAGGCATTGTGAGGGTCGTTGGTGAAGGGTTCGAAGCTGACTCCAGATAACGAATCGCCGATAAAGTCGTACTCGAGGAAACTGGGTGTTTAAAATAATTCACATCTCGCTCGTATCATCTCGAGAATGATCAATCCGAAAGAGAAAAGGCGGGAAATCCACTACTCCACAACTCCACACCTTACCGCGACCATGGCTCGACGTTCAAATGGGCGGCAATACCGCTCGTCTCCCGCCGAGCGCCACCCCAACCTCCCACCATCCAGCACTTCTTCCACAAATCCTGAATGATAGGGGATTTCCGACCAATGATGCTTCCCCACACTTTCCCCGGGTCTTATCTTGAGTTATATGGGGTATGGAATAAGTAGAGAAGAGCATGCTCCAGATGTAAACATACTCTCGTTCCATTGCCCCCCTTACTCGCTCTGTGACAACAAATTTGAAGTCTTCTTGTCAGGGCAGAGCTTGAAATATTTCTCCAACATGCATTCTTCGTCGGGTACCACCGCTCCCACAGCCCCTCGTAAGGGCTGGTGGGAGACCCCTGGCCTCATCCGTCTCAATCTATCTATCATTTCGTTGACGTTTCTATGTAAGTTGCTGTCTTCATTCTAGGGTCCGTTTCCATACATCGCTAACTAACCGCTCTCTACAACAGCATCTGCCAATGGATACGACAGCTCCCTTCTCAATGGTCTCCAGTCATTGACAGTGTGGACAAACTTCATGGGGACCCCTACTGGCACATGGCTTGGGTTCATCAATACCTTGTACTGGATCGGTGCAGGTATTACGGCCACTGCGGCAGGGTGGTGCTCAAACCAGTTTGGACGCAAGCCAGTCATCTTGATGGGACTTTTCTTTCTTGCATGTGGAACTGTGGTCCAGGCTGCATCCCCAAATCGTGACTCATTTATGGTCGGCCGCTTGCTCACGGGCATGAGCATGGGATTCATGAATAACGCCGGGCCCTCCCTCATCGCCGAAGTCGCATATCCAACTCACCAGGGCATTGCTACAGCGCTATATATGACAAGCTACTATATTGGTAGTATTGTTGCGGCTTGGGTTACCTTCGGAACTCGGAACATGACTTCTGATTGGGCCTGGAGAGTCCCTACGCTGTTCCAACTTCTTATGCCTGGAATTGCCATTCCAGGTTTCCTCTGGATTTCTGAAAGTCCTCGGTGGCTTATCTCGGCCAACAAGATTGAAAAAGCACGAGCTACCCTTGCAAGATTGCATGCGGACGGTGATCCCAATGTGCCGTTGGTTGATGAGGAACTGGAATTGATTAGAACCTCTATCCAAGCTGAGGTTGAGGCAGAACAATCATCGGGATATTCTCAAATGTTACGTACCCGTGGAAACCGTCACCGTCTGCTGATTTCCGTCACGCTTGGGTTCTTCGACCAATGGGCAGGAAACGGTCTTCTTTCGTACTATCTGACGATTGTTCTCAATACAATTGGGATAACATCGACAACTTCCCAGCTTCTCATTTCTGCCTGTCTTCAGGTTTGGAACCTTCCGTTCTCTGTTTTGGGGGCAATTTCTGTGGATCGAATGGGTCGTCGGACTTTGTTTCTTCTGTCGGCTTTCATAATGTTGATCAGTTATGTGATTATGACAGCGCTCTATGGATCTTTTGTCACGACAGGCAACTCTGCAACTGGTATTGCGTTTATTCCTTTCGTGTTTCTTTATTTCGCTGGGTACGATATTGCTTTGTAAGTCTTCGAGTTCTATCCGCCGCCCAATTCATACACTGAAGCTAATCCATGATTTACAGAACACCTCTTCTTACCTCATACCCATGTGAAATTTGGCCCTTCGCTCTACGATCCCGCGGACTGACCGTTACCTGGATGTCTTGCATCATTGCCATCATTTTCAACATATTTGTGAATCCCATCGCTTTGGAGGCGATAGGGTGGAAATACTACCTTGTATATGTCGTTATCCTCATTGTTTATGGGCTCGTTGTGTTTTTCTTTTATCCTGAAACTCGCGGATACAGCCTCGAGCAAATGGCCAATGTGTTCGACAAGTACGATGCCATGGATGCGGCCTCCATTTTGTCTCAGGGCGATGAGAAAGAGGTTGCGAAGAAGTGATATTTCGGAAGCACCACAGCGTTATTTGAACCTTTCGCCCGTCCGTGATTGCATTTCCGTTGTAGCCTCTGTACCCCGTGTACATAAATAGTTATGTTACTGTCAGCGTCGGTGTTTGCCTGGTGTGCAAGGTCCCCGCAGGGTAGATCAGACTAGATGAGAGAGCTTTCCTCTTAATCTTCTTCTTCTCTCCTCATCTCGAATGCTACATAATTTAACAATTCATGATTCTCTCGCGCCTCGCTCGATAGTCACTTACCATTCTCATTCTTTGTGGCCAATGAATTTGTTTCCCCCCCTTGTCTACATCGTCTATAACTTCTGTGTTCTGGGTCTCGGGGTCTGTTTCAAAGACCACTTCTGTTCAATAATCACCTGGCATCTGACGACGGTTTCTTGGCTCGTGAATCTGGGATAAAACCCGCAATCTCGGGCGGCGCTTGCAGAACCCTCTTATCTTGTGACTCGCCATGGACGAGAATCTACATTGCTACGAATCCCGGAAAACGGCAATGAACAGAGTAGTGAAAGTGGAGAACTGATCATTTCTCAGTATGCGGGTTGGCAAACCAGAACCTTGGAACCTGGCGGCGGCACTGCCGCCGGATTGCCGCCCCAATATCTCGCGTAACCCGGACGTTGTCCGACGATCTGGACTCCACCCCAACAGGATGGGTTTCATGGAGCCTTCTTCACGACACAAATCATTCTAGATATTTCCTCTACCAGCAGGCTAGGAGAAAGCCGTTAAATGAGCTCTCTTTGCCACGCTCTAGTCTCTTCCTACATCACATTCTCGTTACCTTCTCTAATCATGCCTCTCACTCGAGTGGCTGCGTGTCATGTGGCGCCTCATTTTCTCTCAGCAAAGAACACTCTCAGCAAATCAATTCACCTCATTCACCAAGCGTCAAAGAACTCAGCAAATTTAGTGGTGTTCCCCGAGACCTTTATTTCGGCCTTTCCTGTGTGGAGTGCCCTGCGTCCACCAACCGAGAACCACGGTCTTTTCGAGCGTATGACAAAAGAGTCAATTTATGTGGATGGTGAGGAAGTTCAGCAGCTCAGGGACACTGCAAGGGACACCAACACCGTGATAAGTATTGGAATCTCTGAAAGATCGCGGTCAAGTACCGCATGCCTATACAATTCCAATCTCATCATCGGACCTACCGGTGATATCCTGGTACACCACCGCAAACTCATGCCAACGTTCTTCGAAAAGCTCGTCTGGAGTCCTGGCGATGGTCATGGCCTCCGTGTGGCCGAGACCCCCTTTGGAAAGATTGGAAACTTGATTTGTGGCGAGAATACGAACCCACTTGCAAGATATTCGCTGATGGGTCAAGGTGAACAAATTCATATTTCATCTTGGCCACCAGTGTGGCCAACTCGAGCTCAAGCTGGAGTAGAGCCTCAAGCCGGCCATGAAACTCCTGCAAACTACGACAATATTTGGGCTAATCGTGTTCGTGCTGCTGCTCACTGTTTCGAAGCCAAATGTTTTGGGGTCATGTGCAGTGGGTTTCTCACTCAAAATATGATTGAGGCCCTGGTAGATGGGGCTAGCTCTCCTGCGAGTGTCCGCCAGACACTGGAATCGACATCTCAAGGAGTGACTATGTTCTTGGACCCAGCCGGAGCCTCTCTTCCATCATTCGTCGTAGACGAGGCTGGTTCCCGAAAGCCCGTTGAGTTCCTCCAGAAAGAGGAGGATATCCTTTATACAGATATGGATCTTGACCGCTGCATCGAGGGAAAGCAATATCACGATGTGGTTGGTGGCTATCAGCGACTGGACGTCTTCAATTTGCAGGTCAATCGAGCCAGAAGAGATCCTGTCACGTTCGTCGATGATGCTTTTGTTAGGGAGTGATTAAGAGGATGTTGTCACACACGGCATACACTCGATATCCATGGACATTACCATCCTTGGATTCGTCAATACAAATCCAATTTACCCTCCCTATCTAGAACCTCCGAAATTATTCTTTATATTGTTTACACGCACCTTCATATGGCAATATCTAGATAGTCCGTTTATCTATAGCCAAAGAAACATTGGAAAGCCGACCCCGAGGTTCTGATCCAGATGGCCAGCAGACTTAAAACCTTGGAAGCTGCTGGTACTGCCATATATCTGGCTCAGCACCCGAATTACCTATCACTGTATTCGACCGATCTAGGCACGCCTTTCAGCTACCAATATCTATTTGCTTGAAACATTTGAACGTTTTGGCTTTCCGTTATAATGAGTGAGCATGATTGCCAGGCCCCACTTCTCATCCCCCCGGGGCCCCGGGGCCGTTCGTGGGGCCCACTAGACCCGCGGGGCGGCGGAATTGCCGCCGATCTGCTCCTTCCAGTTTCGCTTCCTGCCGACCCACACGACCTTCCAAGGTTCGTATTTCCTGATTCTCTCCCTGTCGCCCTCGGGATTTGCAGCTGTAAACGAGATAAAACAAGCCCAGTCCACCGAGCTCATCTACTTCACCCTTTGGATACCTCGGAGCACACAGCCTTGCGCTGGTATCTCTCACAGAATTCATTTTCATTCACCTCATTTCCAATCTTGTAATGGGAATCATCCGATATGCCGGGGTGGGTTTTGCCAACATCCTGTTGGTGGGAACTGTCTATGCTACAAGTGCATTTCAAGCTCAGCTACCTCGGCTTCTGAATGTTTCAACAAGTGCAGCATTTGCACCCTTTGGCTTTGCATGTCTCGGTCTCGCCATTGGTGTTGTCCTCTGTACTTCGCGACTGTATCGAAGCAAGGCATATCATGTTGCTGCGCAAGGCACTTTACTCTACGGTGCAGGGGTCATCTTGGCAGGATATTCACTCGGTCATCTTTGTCAAACTGCCATGCTCGTGGGTTTTTTCCTCGCAGGCATCGGCGTTGGAATCACATACCTCGCGGTGGTCATCCTTCTCGGCGCATTGTTCCCTCATCAAGCACTTGCAAGGAGCGCTATCGGGCCGTTGGGGTTTTCTTCGGGAGCAGCATTGTGTTTGTGGCTTGGCAATTATTTAGACTTCCAAAGTTTGGAGGCGTCGGTCCTTGGGTCATTTCTCATTGCGGGCGGAGTCTTTTGCTTGACCGTTGGAGTCCTCACCTTGACTCTTACAAATAGAATGGGCGCATCTCATTTTGAGGGTCCTCAGCCAAGAGAGCCTGTTCCAATGCAAGGCTTTTTCTCGGTGCTGCTGTTTTTCAACGCACTTCCGGGAATGACCCTTTTCTCAGGCCTATACCCAATTCTCCTCTCGCATGTTGACCAGGATCGGATGCGTTATCTGCGCTACGGCATGGTCGCCTTGGGGCTAGGTGGTGTTCTGTCTCCCACCTTGAATGCCATGCTAGGTTCGAGATGTACTTTTGTGCTTCTGCTAGTTCTACGTGGGCTACTGATTATTGCTACAACGCAATCTCATGCTGCATGTGTTCTAGGAGGGGCGTTCGTCGCGACCCTGTTCTCGCACGGCGCTGGATTCAGCATCATTCCCGGATTGGTCAAAGCAAAAAGCAAATCTCCGCAAGCGTTTGCTCGTAACTATGGGAGGATCCTTGTCTCATGGGGCGTTTCGGGAGTAGCTGGTTGTATACTAAACGCTCTGCTCCTCTCCGTTCCGGGAGGAGAAGTTTGGTTGGGCATTTTTATTGGGTCGGTGATGTTGTCCTTGGGGACTGCATACTTTTTCGTGGGCACTTTTTCGCTGTGAGATTGCCGAAGATTTTGTAAGGGGCTTCTATGAAGTTATGAAGTCCACGGGTATGAAGAATGCTTTTAGACATGTGGGTCTGTGTGTGGAGGGAAATGTGGCCGCGAAGATGGAGTGTTTATTTCTGTTGAATGAAGAGGATTTCCATCTCACTCATAGTTTTCAAATGTCTATCAAGCAAGCTCGTGGTGGTGACATGATGGGACCTCGGGCGGGCCAGTGTTAGGGGGCAGGTCCTGTCGACAGTACATAGGTCTAGATAATCTCCACACCCTGCGATCGTACATGCTTCTAATGTAATGAATCATATAGAACTCAAGATTTGGTGACATAGAGCTCTAGCTTTACGGACCATCGAGTTGCCGCCTTCGAAATGATAGAAGAACCAGATGCACTGTGGACGACGATGGTGTTGCGCACCACGATATCGTTAACTGCATGGTTTAAGGCAATGACTTCTACTCTGGCTTTTGCAGATACACCGGTGCTTCCAAGGTTGGTATGAGACTAACATATGTTATGCAAATTGGGCTTGGGCCTCTATCGGCACTGCGCCTCAATCTCAGAGTGGCTACTCGCATGCGTGGAATGTTTCCTGAGCTGCCACCCATTGAGTAGCCAGCGAATATGCCGTACAACGCCAAGGGTATGCTCCATTGAGAATGTGCTCAAGAGAACCCTTCGTGTGTCTGGTTCACAGCACTGATTTTGGTATGATCGATTCATTTTCAAGCGATGAAAAACAAAAAAATACAAAAAACATACAACAGTGAGGATTCGCTGGTGGTCACCCACCCAACTACTAACTCACCGGCGTGTGGCTTAAGTACGGCTGAGCGGACGGGAAGCCCTGTTTTCCACACCCTGTGGTCGTATGTACTGTGACTTTGAAATAGAATGAATTATTGAGAGCGAGAAAGATTGACAATAAAGAGCTGCTTTGACCTCGGGATGGATTCTTGCTGACTAAGTGATCATGTTTCCCGAAGTCACGAGGTCCCCCCAATTGAGCAGCGCTGATGTACGTTGTACGGTCACGTGTCGAGAACTCCCAAAACGTCAGCCTCTCAGCCCCCCCTTTTTCCTGATCTTTCTTGACGCGTCTTCTCGTCCCCCACAACATCCTCACAACCTCTCAAGTAAAGCAAGTATTGCTCTTTGCCATTCTCGTCTCCAACCCTGCCATTCCTGTGTTCTCATTGGACTCTCCGATTTCACTTGTTGACTTCGGATTGGGCACGTGTTCGGGACCAGGCCGCAAAGAGTATTACCTCTTTACAAGTACGGAGTATTGCTTCTTGCCATTCTCGTTGCCAATCCTGCCATTCCTGTGTTCTCATTGGACTCTCCGACTTCACTCGTGACTTCGGATTGGGCACGTATTCGGGACAGACCGCAAGAGCTTTACTCTCATATTTACACTTTCTCATCATCGTCATCTATCTATTCAAATTTTATGCGAGTCAAGGCTGCTCAACTTCATTTCAAAGCCTGGGTGGGAGGGCCACTCGATTTATCGAGGGAATCACTTTGATTTAGCAATCACTGCAACCACAACAATATTATCATGTCGAAAACCTCGCCAACCCTACCCTGGGCCAGTGTACAGCAAGCGAAGCCGTTGGAACGATCGAAGTCTTGGAAGCTAGTCAAACAAGTCGTTGTCTATGCGCCAGTTTTCAATGTTTTCTGTACTGCTAGTCTTCGTATCTTTCATGACGAATCTGCCTGCCAAGGATCCATCTTTCTTCATTTCGCCACAGCTTGTACTAACCGAAGCGGCAAATCACAGGCTCCTAGGCTGAACATTACCCCAGAACGCGTTGATCTTTTCGAATTATGCCAGACAGAAATATCCGATAAACTCCATTCCATGCTTTTGTCACTTGGCGACGATGTTTCGACAGTCTCACCAGTGAGCTTGAGCCTGAGACTCCATACTCCAGGCGTCATTCTCTGTCCATCCAGCATAAAATTTCCTAGCACGGCCAATTATGGACACAACGAGGTCAGTGCGGCTGAAATGATATGTCAGTCCAAATTTCTACGCCTTTACTTTCCTGGACGAGACTTTCAGAAAACCCAACTCGATCAGCTCAAAAATTTCTTGGGCGCCTTGCGAGATCGAAAGCTCCAGACAAAGGCATTTGACCATGCTCGACATGGCTTGGTTCAGAAAGACCAGCGTGCCTCGAGCCCGTCGCTCGATCCTCCCCCGTACAGTGGACACCCCGCGTCTGTACAAGCAGGGGGAGATCCGCCCACCCCTATATTCCGCGACGTCCGAGTCTCAGAGAGTGGTTGGAAAACGGCGCAGAGGTACGATTCTATTACTCCATCGCCCTCCCCATTAAGTCTCGGTGGCTTATCAATATACATAGGCCCGCTGTCAGTACCATCCGACGACGAAAGGCAAAAGAGACTTCTCCCCTCTTACTCTCAATCGCGGGGCTCTTCTACCGAACCCACTACGCCGAGCACTCTCTCCCCGTCACGGTCAATTCGTCCCACTTGCTTTGAGCACCCTCGCTCTCCTAGTCATATAGAGCCCGCTAAACTCACGCGTCTTTTACATGAGCTAGATGGTGTTCCCGATGACCTGATTCGCGAGCTGTTAATTCGGTCAGGACGCCAACATTTGCTTGCCAAACCAGAAAAGACACCAAGTGATCTGCCGTGCGAGCTAGAAAATACCAGCCCTACTCACGTGGCAATGATTGAGCACCGTCTTACCCAATACCTCGACAGGAAGATTGAGCAACGCTTTAATAATATCGTTGATGGTGTGGTGGACGAGTGTCGCGATCAAGTTTACGACGAATGCAAAACAAACGAGGCCGAATTCCGTGAACAAGTCGACGACGCTAACTCTGAGGTACGGAACACGGCCAATGATTGCATGGGCGAAGTGAAAGAAGAAGCACAAAAATATATGCGCGAATTGGAAGAAAAAGCGCACCAATACATGAACAGCATCGAGGATCAGGGTGTCGAAGTCAAGATGTGTTTGGAGGAATCAGTTTTCAACCTCAAAAGCCGGTTTGATACTTCTGCCCAGACCACTCTTGGTCGCAAGTCAGGTCTTAGCCATGAACTGGGTACTAATGCCAGGCGCCTGTCCATATAGATTAGGTACTATGCTTGTGATTCTTGAGATTGTCGTCCCGAGTCCTCGACTTAGCTTACTCTATTCGCTAATAAGGTAAGTGGCTAACGAATTCCCAAGCAAGGTTTTGCCCCAATTTTTGGAGCCCGTGATATGGCTGCCTTATTATCAGGCTCCCCGCAGGTTGATAGTCGTAGATCTCGAGATCTTCTCTCTTGTTTCTTCTCCTCGTCTCCCACAATACATACAGTATCCTACCATATCTTGTTGTTCCGTGACAGATCAATAAACTAGTGAAGTGAGAAGAGCGCAATGGCCGTCCGACAATGCACGGCGTCTCTGTACAACGTCTTCATTTGTTCAGGTCCCAGACTGCTTGTCAACATTACCTATGAGTGGCACATGAGGCATGGGTTCTCAACAGACCAGCCGTCTCCAATGGTATTATACAAATTCCATGTTTGTGTCATTTTAGTCGACGCAAGATCACGTGGGCATGAATTGAGAATAGCAGCAAAAAAACAAAAACATACAACAGTGAGGATTCGCTGGTGGTCACCCACCCAACTACTAACTCACCGGCGTGTGGCTTAAGTACGGCTGAGCGGACGGGAAGCCCTGTTCTCCACACCCTGTGGTCGTATGTGCTCCAGATAACCTTGTCACCAAATATGAGACCAGTAATTTGTCGCATGAACCGACTGAAAAAGAAGGCAGTACTCCCTCCGTGCAGTTTTTCATGAAATGGGGTAGGTGATAAGTACCCAGAAGCATGTCTTTCAACGCATAAGGGTCATATTGATCGAGCATAGGAGTTTATGGCAGTGTACCGTACTGTGAGACTGAGGAGAGGAGAAGAGAGAGAGAGAGAGAGAGAAGCTCTCGATGAACTACCGTCTACCCCAGATGTGGGGGGCTGCTTGTAGAGCCTGACAAACCAGGCTCCGACTGGCTCCAATCGGGCCCAAACCCAACCCGCTGTGTTCGATACAACTGGACAGGAATCTATTATGACTCTTACCACATTCACTTTGCATAAGGTAAGGCTGCTCACGACATTTGGCTGCGGGCAAGTTGCCTATTGAGGATTAATGGAAGTTTAATATATGATCTCCAGGATAGCCAAGCCTTTCCCCACATTCCATACCCCTCGTGACAAGTTGGAACACAGCTGCGAAGGATTCCTAACAAGTTACCCGGTCAGCCTGGAATGAGTCAAGAGAATGGGAAATTCCAATTTGGAGAGGACACTACGGTTTGTTGTTTCTCCCTTGCCGTGATTTGTAGTCACCATGGATTACACAATTGCATGCATTTCAAGTCCATGAGACCTTCTCCACTTATTTGTCTCTGCTCTCTTGAGTCTTTCTGAGACCTGCAGAAGGAACGCATGCCTCGCCGGCCGAGCGACACCGCCGAGTGGACCCAACTCCAGATGGATGCTTCCGGATCAGGAGAAGAACTTGGCAAACGCGACGGACGAACTAAATATTTCGCCGAGGTGTGGCATTATCTATCATTGGTCAATTTGAACGTAAATAGATTGTTAGGTTTGTAAGGGAAGCGGGGGTTGTAGCATCTGTCATGCAGGAGTACGGGTAGCCCAAGCATTGTATGCATCTTCTAAGGCTCTGGATGCTGGCTTCCACTCCGAGGTGTTTCCTTGCCCTAAAAACGCTCACAGCCTCGGTGCTCATGAAACGATATATCGCAATCCCATGTGAAGGATCGAAAGCTTCTGAGAGTTCCGCGATATAAATTGTGAACAATGTCCTGCATAATCCGGAAGAATGCAGAATATCTTTTCAAAGGCTGCCTCCGAACCCAGTGCAGTATTCAGAAGAAGAAATATCCGCCAGTCAAGAGATGTATTTCAGGCTTCACTTGGTGTTTTTAGCCTTCCTGGGACTGAATGTGTTTGCCGCTCCACTGCCAGAAGGAAACGATGCACACGTTAGCAAAAGGGGCGCCACGTTGAATGCCTTCCTGGGATTTCTGCTAGACAATCTACCTGTAACCAGCGAGACAATCACCAAGAGCACTGCTATCATTACAAATCTCAGCAAACTCCTCGGCACTTTGACTGGCGCACAAGACACATACAACGAAGCCGGAGGGGCCTGCAAAGAATGGACTGTGGTTTTTGCGCGTGGAACATCTGAGCCGGGAAATGTAAGTTTTCCAGACCATACAAATTAATCTGACTGAAGGCTTGCTAAACGCTCCTCGATTCCAGGTGGGAATTCTCGTTGGACCGCCCTTGTTTGATGCTCTATTGGACAAATTCGGCGAATCCAAACTCACAATCCAGGGAGTTAACAACTATGCCGCATCAGTTCAAGGATATTTGGCTGGCGGAGATGCAGCCGGGAGTACAGAAATGTCGGTCTAAGACTCTGAAGTACCTGAATAAACAACATGCTGACATCACCTTTCTAGGGCGCGGCAAATCGAGGCAGTGAAAACCAAATGCCCCAACACCAAACTTATTGCCTCTGGATATTCCCAAGGTTGCCAAATTGTCCACAATGCTGTTTCAAAACTTCAAGCTTCAACTGGAAAATGGATTAGCAGCGCGTTACTTTTTGGAGATCCCAGTAAGAGCAACATAGTGTCTTGGCATTGGTCTGACCTCTCACTGACGCTGAACAGAGAAAGGCCAAGCGCTTCCGAATGTCCCTGCATCCAAGGTCTACACCGCATGCCATGCTGGAGATGATATCTGTAAAAACGGAATCATCATTGGTCCTCCCCACCTGACCTACGCCACAGATGTGAAAGCTGCCGCCGACTTTGCCGCAAAGGCCGCATAAGCCGCTGTTTGAACATGTCCAAAATGACTTCCACGCAGTAAATAGCCAAAAACATATTTTTCGGAGACTCTGATCAAACATGTTTCGTTCCTTTTCCAAATTTCTAGCAAATGTATAAATTCCCTTCAATCTTCAAAACATTGAGATTCTTCTTCGCATACAAAGCCGAGCCCGGCCGTGACTTGTGGCCACCCAAGGTCAAATTCGAAAAAAGTAACCAGCAAACTTTCTGCAATGTCAAATTATTTGACACAAACCTTGGAATTTTACTGCCTGTCTATATCACCGCACGTTCAGTCAGGGGCCGTCCCTCAGGGATGCGCGAATAAGAAAGGGCACCCAAATCCAAAGTTTTGAATTCACCGTGGACAATCAATTCAGAGATTGCTCGTCCACAAGCGGGTGCTTGCTGGCTTCCATGTCCCGAGAACCCAGCACAGAAGAAGAAATTGGAAATGGTGTTGTGAGGACCAACGACAGCGTTGCAATCAAATGTGTTAAACTCATAGTGTCCCATCCATGAGTTGGTAACCCGAGCCGATTTGAACCGAGGCACACGGTGAGTGATGATAGGGAGGATTTTCTTCTCCCAGACGTCTTCCGCAAAGCTGAAGTCATCAACGTCAACCGCGTGATCGGGACCGATTGGTGGACAGCCGACAAGATAATCCTTCGCGGCATATGATCGGAAGTGTACACCGGTAGGATCTATGGTCAAAGGTAGGTCCTCGGGAAGCGGTTCGTCGACCTCGAAAATGTAGGTGTAACGACGGCGAGCTTCGATAGGTACCTGGATACCTGCCATCGAACCCACTTGAGCAGCGCGGGTACCGGCAGCATTGACCACATTGTTGGTGGAGATCGTCTCGCCGCTGCGCAAGGTGATTGAACTGATGCGATCGTGTTCGACAAGCATGGTGGACACCTCGTTTTCGATGTACTCGACGCCGCTCTCACGCGCAGTTTGACGCATCCATTGGATCATTCCGAGGGCATTGAAACAGCCTTCATCTTTGGTGTTTAAGCTTGCACCATCAAGGTCATCCACATTGAACCACTGGTATTTGCTTTTGACATCTGCAGCAGAAATGATGGCCGTTCCAGCACCGCAGTCGGACTGCAATTGCTGATCCTTTCTCAAGATCTCCGTGAAACCAGGAGAATCAGACAGATAAAGATAGCCAAAGTTTCGAATAGGGGGATTTGGAACGCAAGGATCCGGACCGAACTTGTCGCCAAACTTGTTCACGAAATCCGCAGCGTATTGTGCGATTCTCACGTTGATTTCGGTGGCGAACTGCTGTCTCATGCAGTTGTTACTCGCTTTCGAGGCAGAATATCTCAAAGAAGGATCGCGCTCGACCACCAAAACAGAGCCCTTGAAATCGGGGTCTTGGCTAAGGTGCCAGGCGATGGACGAGCCACTGGTGGCACCTCCGATGATGACAACATCATAGTGCTTCTGGGTTGGTGAGGTACTGAAGCTGGTAGGAGCCATATTTTTCAATCAGGGCGGTAGAATGTTGTAATTTTGGATTACTTCAAGCTGGACCAAAGTTGACTGAATCTTATTGAGACCTGGGTAGAGATCCATACTCTTTTATACATGGAGAACTATTGGGCTGTTTTTTTTATGTAAATAGATCGAAATCCAAGAATATCCTGGCTAAACTGCGACAAATTGCCGCATATTGCTTATCGATCAACTATGTGTAGGCAGAAGGAAAGGGAATATGGATACATCGCGATAGATTTCCAAATTCGACGCCGGCTGTTAGATCTTGGTTCGGAGTCGCTTGCCCGGTTGCCACACACTTTTGTAAAAGGCAGGCCAGGACGATTACGTGATCTTTACCCAACCCTATATGTATGTCTGCTTCGGCCAAAATAATATGAGACTAAGAACACGCGACCTCGATAAAGCCTTGAGTACTTTGATTTAAGGACTTAAAATCTCTTTCAAGACCAAATCGCGTTTCAGTGAATTTCAGGCAATATGAGCAGTATCTTCATGTAAGAACTCTTACTTCCCTCTTTGACTGCCTGGATCTAATACAATGCAGAACTGGAGTCACTGGCTTCATCGGTGGTGATGTTCTCTATGGTCTCACTCAAAAATTGACAAGCTCCAAGATTGTCGCGCTTGTGCGGAATCAAAGCCAAGCTGCTGCAGTTACCGGGAAGTTCCCCACCGTGACACCACTACTTGGGGATTTGGACTCGAGCGTGGAGATCAGGCAAGCGGCCTCCCAGGCCGATGTTGTCCTTCGTATGTATTCTTTTTAGCCTAGCATATCATCATCATTTTGTTGACCACCTTGTGATCACACAGATTTGGCAAGTTCAAGCCACGAAACCAGCGCCAAGGCCATCGCTGAAGGGCTTTCCATCAGCAGACAGGAAAGTCCAAGTAAGTTACCTGGCTTATGGATCAACTCGAGTTACTGACAAGGTAAAACTCTAGCTTGGATTCAGATTGCCGGCGCCAGTATGCTAGCCGGCTCGGAAATTCAGACCAAGACATTTGGCCAGCCTGGATCGAAGGTCTACAATGACCTGCAAGGAATCTCTGAGATCCATGGGATTCTTGATAAATCCCCAAATCGCGTTGTTGATCACCTCGTTCGTGGTCTGGCTTCTAGCAACCCGCGTGCTCGTTCAGCAATCGTATACGGGCCTCTCATTTATGGCAAGGGCAGAGGCCCCGTCAACCAACGCAGTATTCAAATTCCACACCTCGCCCAAGCATCTCTTCAAGCCGGTCGTGGTCTTCATGTGGGCCGTGGCCTCAATACCTGGAACACGATTCACGTCGCGGACCTGACGAACCTGTTCGTTCAGTTAGCTTGTGAGGCATCCAAGGCCAAGGATCCGCAGTTGTGGAACGAAAACGGTGTCTATTTCGCCGAGTCAGGAAAAATTGTGAGTTGTTCTGACGATATTCCACATCGTAGCACTAACGATTTGTGCTTTCTTTCAGACATTCGGAGACATCGCGAAGAAAATTTCCACATTCGCCTATTCCCAAGGCTTCATCAAGTCCCCTGAAGTGGCTCAGATTGATGCTGCAACTGCGGACAGACTCACACCTCACGGCTCGGTGATTTGGGGGACAAATGCCCGGTACCAAGCAATCCGGGCTCGGGAACTCCTTGGGTGGTTCCCGGAACAATACGGAATTGATGAAGAGATCCCACGGGTGGTTTTGTCTGAGGCGGCGTCGCAGCGCGCAAGACCGGCGGAGAAGTTGGCTTAGACTTGATCGGCGATGTTATAAACTCTTCCAGCAATTAGCCAGCATTGAATCATTCCAGCAGACCTCAACAAGCATGGTGTTGCATTTTCCTCGCAGTGCTGTGACATCCTTAAATACCAGTCGTTATTTTCGAAAGGTCACATTTTTCATAAGTTGCCAGGCGTAGTGAATCCGAAGTTCAGCATCTTTGGCAATGTTGTAAGTTTAAGTGGGCTTGGAAGAAAGAAAGTCACTTGAAACTTCTCCTCGCCTGTCTGGCAGTCGCAGAAATATGATCGAGGGGCGTAGGATAAGATCAAGAGTGAATTCGTCGACAGTTTGGCATGTGATGAGAAGGGCCTATAAACGTGACTGAAGCATCCTTCTCGCAATTTTGTGTTGGAGATTTCCGCCTCAGCATTTTCCATTCAGGTAATGGTGGAGAAAATTTGTTCCTGGCTGTATCAAAGTCGATTTGTCAGACCAAGTATTCACCCGGGCATCCGCAATTCGTGAGGTTGCCAGAAACACGAGAGCTGCGAGGTGGCTACACTATTGTGACCATACATCGCTTTAAATAAACTAACATGATCAATCACATGTGCAAATAAGGCGGTTGACAAATCTCGAAATATGTTGCGGTCAAGAAGTTGAACAAGTCTCCAAGAGAACTGATGTCGCAAGGCAAAAGCTGACACCCCCATTCTCAGGCCGACATTGAGAAAGTAAGAAATCAGGTGACCCGAGTGTGGGGTCCCGTGAGGTCAGCGTGGGCGGGTCCACGAGTCCACGGGTCCACGGGTGTTTGCCAAAATGACTAATCGCTTCCTTTTGCCCTTTTCAATGATCATCATTCCCCACTATTCCTTTTTGGCCACTCAAGGCCTTCCTTTACCATGACACCACGAAATCGTTCCCTGACAGGGTGTGGCACATGCCGGCTACGACGCCTGAAGTGTGACGAAGCTCGGCCAGGTTGCCAACTGTGTCGCATATTCGGGGTGCCGTGTCCTGGTTACCAAGGTCAATTGCAATGGACCCAGCAAAACGATGACGAACCTTTGGACCGTGTCTTCAGACGACCGTTATTCTCAGGTAAGTCATTCCTCTACAGAGCCCAAGCAATTCGCGAAATGTTTGCTCAGCTGTGCAGAGGTCGAACAAGAGACCATGTCCCAAAAGATCACAGACAGCCTTGAACGCCAGAGTGTGAATGCAGCTCTCGAAATGGTTGACTGTCAACCTCACCCCCCAGGCGCCGTCCAGCTGCAGAATTTCTCACAGGGACCATTTGGCGTTTTGAACCTTTCAACTGATAAGAGCCCGCTCATCGGGAGCATGGAATCGAACCCAAGTTCAGCCACAGCGGCAAGCCCCCGAAATGTGATGCCATCTCCAATCCTGGCGGTCTCTCAACTTGAAAATCCTTCTCCTGAACTTTCGACACCAGCACCATTCCCCCTAGTCTCAATCTTCAGGGAACCGATAATTCGCCGGATCGAACCTCAAATCTTGAAAGAACGTCCGCAGGCTATTCTTACAGCACCCCGGAAGAATTTATCTCGACAATCAGTTCTTTGTTTACAAGTCCTCCACTGATCGCTCCGCTTACCACGAGTATTCCCAAAAAACCTCACTTGATACCCCAGAGAGCGCCTCATCTTATCCGTTATTTCAGCCATCACGTTCGCTCTATGTCGTATCCTCTCAAGGGTCGAAAACTGTGCCCCTGGCAGACGATCCATCTTCCTAGAGCCGAGCAAGCTTATGCAGAGCTTTTAGTTCACGGTGTTGCCAGTCATACTGGGCTTGCTCTGTTTTACTCCCTCCTGGCTGCGAGCTGTTTCCAACTCTTCACGACAGAAGATCACAGCCTTGATTACGAAACGGAAGGCAATGAATACATGCAGCTCTCGAATTATCACCTGGAGAAGAGCATTAGGCAGGAAGTCAACTGCCTGGGGAAAATAAAATACAAGGAGCTTTTGTTAGCTCTGTTGTCAATGGTGATGCTTGAGGTAAGAGCTATTTGCAGACAGTTGCGCACTCCCTTTGATTGGCTAACTTTTTTATTCATTTTAACAGATCCGCTGTGGAAATTACACCAAGGCCCAGAACCTCCTGGTGGAATCCGAATGTCTGATTCGAAAACGAGGCTTACCGAAAGCCCATAAGTCCCTCAAAGTTCGCACCCTGCATCACATTTACGCTTTCACACGCATAATGGCCGAAAGCACCTGTGGGTGTGCTCTTATGGAAATATGTCCTACGCGACCCAGCATCAGACTGGCTTCAAACGAAGCAGCCCTCGGTTTGCCGCGGAGTTTCCGAGTGGCAGAAGAGAGCACGATTTCCGATTTGGATGCAACACTCGAAAAGTCGTCCCATGTCGGGATCGGTGACATTCATCTGGAGATACTGGGAGTCTGGAAAGAATCACTCTTCCCAGAGATTTACGGTCTGCCAGAGTCTTTGATCGGCCTGTTATCCCAGACTGTCAGACTCGCAAACGAGCAAGAGCTTCTTCATCGGGATACCACCGTTGATGTTGATCTTGTCTTGAACTTGAACAAGCGAACAAAGACACTTGAGCATCAGGTCCTTTCTTGGAAGCCTGACAGCAAACCTCCACGCTCTCGACTTGATCCAATAATGAGAAACTCGCCACACATGGAGACGATTGAAGAACGTTATTTGAGCTTGGCTGTACATCATGCCCTGATCCTCTTTTACTATCGACGCATGCACAACATGAATGCTTTGATTCTACAGGACACAGTGCGTAAGGTGCTTGGATTTATCAGACAAGCCGAGGAATCTTGTGGACCAAGTGACAATGTGCGAGTCATGTTGCTTTGGTCCGCATTTATCGCAGGGTGCGAAGCCCTTGAGTCGGAATTGCAAACTGGCCTAATGGACTGGATCTCCTCCACTGGAAGTCGTTTTTCGATCCCCGCCTTTACAGCTGCTGCCAATGTTGTTGAGAGGGTATGGAAAGCACGGAAAGATGGGATGGACTACACTATCAGTTGGTTCAATGTGATGGAAAATGATCGCTGCCCTATCCTTGCAGTTTGAAAAGTACTTTGATTTTGATCACAGGCGATTCCTCACTCAACATCTGACATCACAGCCGATGAAACTTGTTCCAAAGTGTCATTTGATGTCTACAATATCTATTGCATCACAATTTTGTCTTTGAATCACTCATGGCGAGGATCTCATCCGAGGGCACTTGAATGACTGCTCTTACCGTGTTTGCCGAATGCCGAGAATGTCGGGCCAAGTCGCCCAGGTGTCCATCCCCACTTTTGTTTGACGTGATGAGGGGTCGATTCGTTCTTGGTCTCCCAATCCACCCCTGTGGGCGTTTATTCACACAGCATGACTTCCCAATCAAAATGGGATATTTTGGATGTAGTCAAAGCGTGCGATAAGTATGCACCCCGCTTGAGTACACTGTTTTTGTTAGCTGACAATCTTGACGTGGCGGGAAGCTTGCCGCACGACTTCTCATCTCATCCGGCTGAGGCGGCAGGAAGCTACATATTCAGTTTGAACGGCTTTAATCATGCTCTGGGCTATATCCCACAGTCAATCGTTGAGACAGTTGTTTGGTCTGACTCGTGGTCAATAGACCACCAGCAGCGATCGGTAACCTTGTCCGCTCCCGGTACTGCAACAACCCATGAACGGTCCATGATTGTTGAAGAAATGCTCCAGAAAAACAGAGAGCTTGGTACTATCTCATTACTTCAAAACTGGCGAAACGAGACTTTCCCAGTATATGGCCCCGAAGGACACGTCCTGTTGCACATTGAGCGGTGTGCAAGTGCCTTGTTTGGAATTGTGACATATGGAGTACAGCTTATCTGCTATGTGAACCACGAAGAAGGACCTCGGCTTTGGATTGCGAAGAGATCGGGAAAAAAGCAAACCTACGCAGGCATGCTTGATACAACTGCAGCTGGCGGCTTAGGATCTGGAACGGTGCCGATCGACGCTCTGATTTCTGAAGCCGAAGAAGAGGCGTCGATACCGGCGGACACAGTGAGAGCGAAAGCTGAACCAATGGGTGAACTCACCTATTTTCACATCCGTGGGGACCAAGCGGGCGGAGAAAGCGGACTGTTCCAGCCAGAGGTAGAGTATACCTATACCATGGAATTGGATCAAGATTTCACCCCAAAGCCAAAGGATATCGAAGTAGAGTGCTTCGAATTGTTCACAGTTGGGGAAGCCTTGAGTGCTTTAAAGCAGGGACTTTTCAAGCCGAACAGTGCTATTGTCATCGTTGAATTCTTCATTCGACGTGGCATCTTGACCCGTGAAAATGAGCCTCACTATGATGAGATCATGTTACATCTGCATCGAAAGCTCGAATTTCCCATTTCCATACAGTCCCCTCTTTAAGGGTCTGGGTGTGATAGCCGAACACAAAATTGACACCATATTATTCTATGGACATGACCAAGTCGCCTGACTGAAGGAAGGAGGCCAGGAGCGGCTACCTATAAAATCCCTGAAGTATCAAGGATGGTGAAAGAGCAAAACCTCATTGTTCAGCGCCTGTACCACATCCTCGTTACCTGTGTTCTGCGCATCTTCTTTTGGAGAAGGAAAATTCCTTGAAGGAGAGCCTCTGCAGTCGGCGGACATCCAGGCACATAGATGTCCACTGGTATAATGCGATCCACTCCCCGTACCACGTTGTAGCTGTAGTGGTAATAACCTCCGCCGTTGGCACAGCTGCCCATGCTAATGACCCACTTAGGATCAGGCATTTGATCATATAATTGCCTCACTGCCGGAGCCATTTTGTTGACCACTGTACCAGCCACGATCATAACATCTGCCTGTCGTGGTGAGGCGCGGAAAATGATACCGAGCCGGTCTTGATCGTATCGCGGCATCGAAGTATGCATCATCTCGATTCCACAACAAGCCAATCCAAATGACAGTGGCCAAAGTGATCCTTGCCTTGCCCAATTGACAAGTTCGTCGGCCTTTGCTCTGGTGATAACAGATTGCGTCAGATTCGATGATATATATCTTGGCAGCCAGTGTCGATGAAGCGGTGGAAAACTCACAAAAGATGACCAGCATCTCCAGACTTCTCTTTTTTGAGCGCAGGTGGTGGGATTGGGGACTTGGGTTGTTCTGGAGCGGTGCGGAGGTATCGCTTTGTTGCTGTGGTTTGCGGCGAGAAACAGTGTGCCCATGGTTTCGTAGTCGACCGACGGATCGTTCTTTGTAGGGATGCACTCAAAGACATGGCAAACAGTACGCTCTTCAACAGAGAGTCTGGGACAAGAGGTAGAATCGTATTTCTCATTTTCCATCTTCACAAAAAAAACATGTCTTATATTGTCCACTGGCATCAACAGATGATATCCGTCGTCCAATCAGAAAGGAAGCCTTCACAACGAACCAATCATAGAGCTCTAAATTCGGCGACTAGGTGGGTCTCTCCCTCAACTTCGCCGACCGCAAGACGCCGAACTCACTTCATTCAAGCAGGTACCTCACATATATCCAATGCCACGGAGTGCTCCACCTGCCAAAGTCGCATGCGTTTCATGCCATGAGCGGCGGGTCAGATGCGATCGTGGTGAAGATGGCCCATGTTCTAATTGTCTTAACGCTCGGCGCGTTTGCGCGTTGATCGTTTCTCGCCGTGGACGGTAAGGTCGAACCTGCGATGCCGTATTGTTGATACTAATTGTGTTCAAGTAAACGAAAGCTACCGCTCATACCAAGTCAGCAAACTTCAAATGCCAATGTTTCAAATACTCCTCATGGCGAGTCCCTCGAAGGGGTGAGGATCCCAACCACACATGTAGCCTCCCCACGCAGGGAGGGCAGCAAAGACAAGATAAACGAACCATGTTTTCCAGCTCCTGACCGTGGGGGCAAAACGCCATATGTTGGAGATTCCTCCAACCTCAATTACTTGGTTCAGCAGTTCGGTAATCCTTTCGGAGGTACGACCGATACGCGCCCGCTTCAGGACCACCTCCAGGGTGCGATGTTGGCCCGCGTCGGAATATCGACAGCACAAGAAATTGAAAGAATTCACAAACTGGCCGTCACACGTCTGAAGGAAGATGGGGCATTTGATGTCCCGCCGCCTGAGACAAGTCAGGCTCTTCTCGATGTTTATTTCCTTTATTCACTTACTGCCCTTCCGATCATCGATAAGTCGAATTTCATTCTCCACATGGAGAAGGGCTCCTGCTCTCATCTGCTCCTGAATGCCGTATATCTCACTGCCACTGTATACTGCTCGGATTCCATTATCGCGGCCGCCGGGTTCCCCTCACGATATGCTGCAAGTCTCACATTCTATCGCAGAGCCAAGATGATATACGATGCTGGATATGAAACCGATACAATTGCAACGATGCAAGCCACTCTTCTCATGTGTCATTGGTGGAGTGGTCTGCTTGAGCCCAAAGATCCTTGGTACTGGCTGGGGATATCTGCGGGATTGGCACAGGCCTTGGGATTGCATCAAGCGTCTGTCCGAACTTCGCTCCAATGTGTGTTGACTATACTAACAGACCCATTAGCAAATCATACGTACGCCTCGATGGAAAAATTCGAAAATTGTGGCGAAGACTGTGGTGGATGATATATGTCAGTCAACATCCTCACCATTCAAATTCACAGTCTTCTCATCCCAGCAATAGACTATGGACATCAGCTTGTCCACGTTCCTCGATCGCCCTCCTCACATTCAAGGAAGACTTTGCAACGTACCTCCCCTGGATGAGTCGGACTTCGAGTGCCCCGAGAGCCCCGGCCAGTCAGGCTCACCTGGCGACAGCGTCCACCAGGTCAACACCTTCGTCATCAGCACTATGCAACTTGCTCGCATAGGTACCGCCTAGCCTCTCTCATCTGCTTCGTTTGCTAAGCTATTCTGTAGTGGATCGATTCTTCACGATTAAACTGGATGAACATACTGGCCATTCCCAAGACATATGCCTAGAGCAAATCTCGCTATGGTCAAACACGCAACCCCCGGAGTTTCAATCCTTGTCAACGAACAGCACTACATGGACTATCTTGACTCGGATACTTTACCAGTGAGTGCGTCATCACTTTGTTTGATCTGGAAGCTTACACCCTTTGATTCATAGAACATACAGACTTCTCTTGCATCGAAACAATCCACGTTTCTCCATCAGTACAGGACCGGGTACCCCGACGTTTGAGATATGCACGGACATATATCATATGCTGGAGATACTCATGGCTAAGGACTTGATATACGCGGTTGCAGGTAACATGTGAGACACCCATGATACCCCCAATCTGTCAAGATGAGGGCTAAAATTATCTCTAGTATCGCGTCTGTGCTGTCTGTGCTCTCAATTCAGATAGTGAACATCCACAAAATGGACACCGGTGTTCGAATGATCTCTGAGCATCGAGCCAGGTTCTGCATGACGATATTGGACAAATTACAGGATAGACTGCCGGTCGTTGCAGCCTTTTTGCCAATTTACGAGTCCCTTCTCAAGAGCCATTCTGCTGCTTCGAAGACTCAAGGTGGTGACTGTGTACCATCGCATTCTGCACAGGAGTCACCATTACAGAACGAACCAATCCGGCTTGAAAACGAAGGTAATACTAATATTTTAAACCACACGGGTGGGTTGTTTGATCAAGCCCCTCAAGATAGCGCAGGCGCGATGTTCCCATTTTCGTTCCCCTTTGGCGATTTATTTGAAGATGTTTTCCTCGGCTCATCTTCGCAGCCGACAGCCTTTTGACTATGCATGAAAAGTCTTGATTCAATGTTCTCCGATCGTTCCGTCATCTTTTTCTTGCGGAGTTATCGGCTCCAATTGAATATCATACGGAAATTAACTATGACATACCAAACTACCATTAGCATCCCAGCATGCCAAGGGACTTTGTGCTTGCTCAGGTGCTATGATGCTTTTAGGTAAGCGCTAAAATAAAATTTACTGTGCGCCACCAACCTCAAATTACGAAACAGGCTGGTATGGGATTGGTGATACGACTAGTGAAAATTTGCAAAACAGGACCCGCAATGTGAATACAGTTCCATACGCGGATCTAATCAAAAAGGTAATTTGATCTTACCGGGGACTAATCCAATTTGGGAGAGACCCTGAGACCCTGATTATCTGATCATCTGATAAACCTTAGCTAGACAAGATCTTCGTAGAGTTAACTGCTTTTGACATGTTCACTAGTCAATGTTCGGAAAATGCCCCAAAGCACAGGCCGAGTGGTTACATCCTCGGTGGGCGGGTATCCACACTTTATCGACGCAACGTGAGTCAATCAATCTACAAAAACACCCTGAGAACAGATTCTGTCTACCTTTCCATCTCGGTGACATTCGGTTAAGAACTCGACTAGACATTATCTTCCAAGTTAAGACACTACTTTTCGGAGCTCGACCGAAACTCTACAAACGTACAGTCAAAATCCACACCAACGGTCTTTCTACCCGAGACCGCCAGCTACTTCTGCGTCATGATTTTGTCTTGATTGACTCACATAGGCTACTGGCAACATTAGATACCACATCGGTATTAGCAAATAAATCGAATCAAGGCTGCAGCTCAAGACTGGGAAGTATTAACATGAGGCTACCCAAGTAAATAACTGAAGCATCGTACCCGGCCCCCAAATATGTGATTTTGTGAACTGTCCAGAACACCTCGGGCTCCGCTGTACAAGTCGCGGTGGCAATTGATTCCAGTCAAGCTAATGCTAATTAAGCTAAATTCCAATAACGTGGTTACCCAGGATGTCGCGTTGCCAATACCGAGGTCCCTTTCTGTCGGACCCCAAGGGCTATCCGTGGACTGAGTTGGAGATGATCAGCTGTGTCATTATTCTGCAGACTTATCACAAAATTGATCCCATTGGTCTATCAATCATGTTTAGTGTGCTTGAAACACTTTGCCGTGTTTTGCGATCGGTCTCCTCCGAGTTGCGTACACCCTGGCGGGCCCGGACTGTTGATCCCGAATGCTTTATGTTCTGCCCCACAATTCCAGAGACTAACAATTGTGGCGCTCAAGGAAGTACCAGCATAGAGTGCCAAGCATTGGCAGGATGCGCCAAGGATCGATGGAATTCGCCAGAAATTAGCATGTGGTAAGCGATAGAATTCACTTGTTCGATTTAGTCAGCGGAGCTATGTGCCCAGGTGAACTGGATCAGCACCCGTGGAAAACGCCCAGGTGTGAATTTTCGAATAATCGCAAGTTCCCAGATGAATGCATGGTTTGGTAATTATGGAAACTCCAGAAAATTACGAGAAGCATTTTCCAGACTACAGTAATACGTCCCAGACAGATACTGTGTACCAATCTGATATCATCGTCGGGTCTTGATACTCCGAATTTAAGCAATTGTATGTGTACAAGGTACCGGCCCAAGCCGAAATGGCCCGAGCTTGAGTTGAGACAAAAAGTGGATCTAATCTGATAAAGGCCTTAGCGTTTGCAGGCTATGTATTTTTGTGTATTTTGCACTTCCCATGTTTACTCCGTAATACATGTCGGAAATGCAAGATGATTCTTCAGGGTTCTGCGCGTGATGTGGAATCGAGCGAGCCGGTGCTTGAGGAAGTTTTCATTTGGTCTTTCTTGAAAAGGTCTCCCCTTGACACCACGGAGCAGTGACAAGCAGTCATGCAGACCCCTGACGAAAAGTCAGAGTCCAATCGAGGAATGTCGTTTGTAAGACCATGTCTATGTTTAAAAGTCATAGCCAAAGTTGATTAATTTCCTCCCTAGATAAAGCATATCTTTGATAAGATTCCCAAGAGGGAGGACTTCAAACGATTCTTCTCTTTCGCTCGCCTTTTGTTTTCGCTGAACTACACCAAGGTCGATATTGCATTGATCATTGTTGGCACCTTCTTTGCAATTGCCGCCGGTGTCCCAGAGCCCTTACTTGGTATTGTACTTGGTCAACTCATCAACGAACTCAACGAAGTTTCCTGCTCCGCAAGCGTCTACGATCCGTCCTCCGTCCGAACCAAAGTCCTTTACCTCATCTACATCACAATCTTCAATTTTGCGAGCATCTACATTTACGCGTCATGCTGGGCTCTCGTGAGCGAGAGAATCGCTCGTCGCTACCGGAAGGCTTACTTCCGCAGCGTCATTCGCCAGGAAGCTGCGTTCCATGACAAGCTGCCCTCCGGTCAGGTCATCTCCCGGTTGGTCAGTGATGTTGAGACGCTGCAGTCAGGTACCTCCGAGAAGGTCGGTATATACTTGGCCACCCTATCATACTTTGTGACAGCCTACGTTGTCGCTTTCATCAAGGTGCCCATAATTGCTGGAATCTTGATTGCAGCTATTCCCTGCTTCTTTGCTATGGCTCTTGTCGGAGGACATCTCGCTGCACGATACGGAGCACGCGTCACAAAACATGTGGACCTTGCAACTTCGATCGCATCGTCTAGTCTGTCGCACCTCAAGATAGTCCATGCCTTCAATGCTCAAAAGCGCCTTGAGGACCTTTTCTCGGGTCACCTCATACAGTCCAGGAAGGACGCCATCAAAAAGGCAGCCGTTCATGCTGCACAGATGGGAACTTTGTTTTTCATTGTCTATTCATCGAATGCCCTGGCATATTGGAAGGGTGCTCATCTGATAGCCGACTCCGTTGATGGGTTGAGCTCTGGGGTGTCCGTTGGTGCAGTATATACTGTGATCTTCATTCTGATCGATGGTACGTTACTTTCTTAAACATATCTTGCTTCGTGTTTTGGCATCTAATTTTTATGGCAGCAACCTTTATCTTCAGTCAAGTCTCACCCTATATGCATGTTTTCAGTGCCGCTACCAGTGCATCTGAGCGCCTGATGGAAGTCATTAATCGCGATTCTGCCATTGATGGCACATCTCGTACTGGAGAGGACAGTGCAAACCTGGGAGATGCGGAGACCATCTTCAAGGATATTGAGTTCTCTTATCCTGCTCGTTCTGAGATGCCAGTCTTGCAGGGATTGAGCCTGTCAATCCCACCGAAGCAACATACTGCCATAGTGGGCCCATCTGGAGGTGGAAAATCTACCATTGTCGCTCTTCTCGAGCGCTTTTACGATCCTTCGAGCGGAACCATTCATATCGGAGACCAGAACATTCAAAGTCTCAATGTTGCCAGCTTGCGCGGTCAGATGGGCTTTGTGCAGCAAGAATCTCAGTTGCTAGATCGTTCTATTGTAGAAAACATTGCCTATGGTCTGGTCGGTACCGCTGAGCTTGACCTAGCTGAAGCAATTTTGGATATGAGCCTGACTGAGGTCGTCACTAGCATTCAATCCGGAATTTCTGAGGATCAGGCCCTAGCAACTTGTGATTCACGAGTTACAGAAATCTTCAAACGTGCAAAGGTGGCTGCTGACAGGGCAAATGCACTCTCGTTTATTGAGTATTTGGCATTCGGTATAGCCAGCCCTGTGGGTACCTCCGGCAGTCAGCTTAGTGGTGGCCAGAGGCAGCGTATCGCGCTTGCTACAGCCCTCATTCGTGAACCCAAGATGCTCATTTTAGACGAAGCAACAGCAGCGCTTGATTCCATGAGTGAGCAGTTGATTCAGTCATCTTTGCAAAAGCTTGCTGGAACTGCCACCATCGTGTCTATCGCACACCGGCTGGCTGCTGTGCAGGATGCAGATCAAATCATCGTCATTCAAAATGGCCGTTTGGTCGAGTGTGGTTCTCCCCAGCACTTGCTGCAGAGTGGTGGAGCGTATTCAACAATGATCAATCAGCAAAAGCTTGACAACGCTGAGTTCGACAACATACGGGGATCTTTAAGCGATGACAACAGCTCTCTAGTATTGGAAAAGCACGATGCGATTTCCAAAGAGACAGCTGTAGACAAAGAGAAAAGTGTCTACCTCGCAGAGGAAAAGGGTGGCATTCACACCCAGACCGAAGATGATCCTGCGACCCCAGCAGAAGAGCCAAGGCATTCAAAACGTGTCACTGCCAAAATATGTTTCGCCTTTATTCGTCCCAACATTCTTCTCATTCTTCTCGGTCTTGCTATGTCAGTCATCATTGGAGCTAGCTACAGCTCAAATGCAATCCTCTTTGGAAATACTGTGGGCGGTTTGAGCCCATGCAAAGGCACGGCCAATATCCGATATAGTGGAAACTTGTTTGGCGGTATGTTCTTCATGGTCGGATTTGTGGAGCTTTTTGCAAATGTCATTGGCGGATGTGCCTATGGATGGGCGGCAGACCAGATATTATATCGTCTTCGCCTCGCTTCCCTGAGATCTCTTCTCAGTCAATCCATGACATGGCATAGTGCCGAAGGACGGACCCCAGGTCTCCTCATTGCTTATATCACTGGAGATGCCTCAGCTATAAGTGGTCTTACCGGTACTACCATTGGGCTCCTTCTTGCGACCGGTGTGAATCTCTTCGCCGGTATCATCATATCATTTGTTGTTGCATGGAAGATTTCGATTGTCCTTGTTCCTACTATTCCTATCTTGCTATTGGCTGGATTCATGAAGCTTCGTGTTCAGGGTCAATTCGCGGAACGACACAAGAAAGCCTTTTCTCGTGCCACAGAAATCACTGTTGAGGCTCTTGGCAATTTGCGTTTTGTTGCAGGATTCTCTTTGGAGAATCAACTATACCGAGAATTCCTCTCGGCTATCCAAAAGCCTTACAAGAACACCACGAAAGCCATTGCCTGGGGAAACTTCTGGCTGGCATGGGCCTTTAGTGTCAGCAACCTCATCAGCGCTCTTGCGTACTGGTGGGGCTCTAAACAAATCGCATCCGGGCTTTATTCTCAAACACAATTTTTCATCGTTCTGCCAGCACTGCTTTTCAGCACCCAGTCATGTGGTCAGATGCTTGCCTTAGCTCCAGATCTTTCCAAAGCGGGAAAGTCTGCTTCGCGTATCGTCGACCTGGTGAAGGAAAACTCTGCGGAGCAAGAACACGCTGGCGATCGGTACATTCAGACTATCCCCGTCGATGCGGTGCCAGGCAAGGACACAGAGGCCAACGTTTCCGCTGACACGACATCGCCATCAAGCTCTCTTGGTCCCGTGGGTGCGATGCTAAACCAAGTCTCTTTCTCGTACCCAAAATCTTCCCATATCACAGTGCTGAATGAGCTGAGCGTTGACTTCAGACCCGGTGGCTTTTACGCACTGGTTGGTCCCAGTGGCTCGGGCAAATCAACAATCTTCAGCATGCTGGAGCGGTTTTACAAACCCTCTTCTGGCTCCGTTGTGATCAATGGACAAGACATCAACCGAGTCCTGGCAACAAGCTTCAGAGATGACATTGCACTTGTTCCCCAAGAGAACGTTCTCTTTGAGGGAACCTTGGCTTTCAACATTGGACTGGGTGCTCGAGTCGGCCACATAGCAACTCAGACTGAGATTGAGGAAGCCTGCAAGCTTGCTCAGATCCACGATGTAATCATGAGACTTCCCGAGGGCTATGAGACATTCTGCACTCATGATGGTAAGCAGTTCTCTGGTGGGCAACGCCAGAGATTGTCAATTGCACGGGCCTTGGTCCGAAAGCCAGGTCTTCTCCTCCTTGATGAGTCAACGAGCGCCCTCGATGGTGAATCTGAACGTAAGATCCAAGACGCACTGGCTGCACTCTCGGGAAAGACCACCATCATCGCTATCGCACATCGGTTGAAAACGATTTATCGCGCCAATCAGATTTTCCTTATCCAGGACGGTTCTTGTGTTGACCGTGGAACCCACGCAGAGCTTGTTGAACGCAGTGAGATGTATCGGGAAAGTGTGCTGCATCAGTCACTTGCTACTTGATCCTTAATCGGTCGCAGTTCTAATGTTGCTAGGTTTTCTTGAAATTCAACCGCGCAAGGGATCCCTTGGTTTGTTTGTCACCGTTGCTTGGAATCTTGGAATGCTCTGAGAGTCCTCCAACGTCAATTGAAATAGAAATTCATACCAAAATGTTAAATTTTGCCCACTATTGCCCAGGTGCATAGACGCGATTTTTTTCAGGCCCCGCGCCACGTCTTACCGAATTAATCAAGCCTTCAAACTGCCGATTTACACCTGTAGATGAATGAAACCTTTGAGGGAAAAGAGATGGATAAGGCATCGAAACTTCAATTCGAACCATCCCGCCCATAATTCAAAAACGTATGGATATTCTAGTAAATCCATAATAGGAGCGAAATGTCTTTCAGTTTCGCTCTTTATAAACGCTGGAATTGGCCTGGAAAGCTTGAAAGATAATGGGATCGAATGGCCCATACTCCGAAGGTTATGGAAGGCTGTTACCCCTTACGGATGGAAAAGATATTTGAAATTGAATTAAAATTACATTGACAGAGATATACGGGGGGAGGGGCGGGCGTGGAAGTAAAAATATGAACCTTGCCGCCATTGTGAAATGAGCTCACAGCTTTGGTCCTGACCAGAATGGGTACCTGGACTTCCTGGGATTCATCACAACCGTGGACGAGTCGGTGTTCAGGATGCAGACCAGGCTTAAAACACAGTTCCGGGGACCTGCTTCTTGTCGACATTCACATTTCTCCAAATGGCAATACAGGGCAGGCCCAATGCTACAACCGCCGTGGTTGCAATGCAGCTGTACTTTTGGGTATCTCCCCAGGAAAGGTTGATGGCGGTTCGAATCTCTGATCCCATAGGATAGGTCATCTGAGTGAGGTATCCACCAAGATAGATATCCATCCAATCGGCCTTCGCCTCCGCGGGAAGGTTTGAGACCAACGTACTAGGAAAGACATTGGCGTAAATAGCAGAGGCAACGGTGTTTCCAGCAGCTCCACCCAGACTGGCAAAAAGTCCAAGAATTGAAAGCATCATGGGCACTCCATCATGATCCGCTGCAGCCATCACTGCCATGTCTTGTCCGATGACCAACATACCGCCAGCAAAAGCAATGAAGATTTGACACATGACAATGTATCCGATACCGTCACCCTCTCCACGGAAATGAACCATCAGGCCAGATCCGAGAATCATCAAGGGAAGAGCAAAGAAAAGGCAAGCATTTTTGAAATGCTTTGTCTGTCGAATATAGAGACCAAACAGCGGAGCACAGAAGCACGATCCGATGTTGTATATCTGGTTCATGTACCCAGCGTCTGAAACACTGAGATCATACACGACCATGACAAAGTTGAGGAAATAGAGATCCCAAGCAGCATAGCCAAGATTCAAAACAGCAGATAATACGCATGCACCGAGGACAGTTCGCTGTTTGAGTAGATCATACTGGATAAATTGCTTGCGGGCGAAGAATTTCTCCCATGCGACAAAGACGAAGAATAGGCAGAATCCAATCACCAGCATAGCGATGAAGGTAGCGGATCCATATTGAGCTCTTCCGTAGGTCGCCAGACTGAACGGAAGCAACAACAAGATAAACGTGGCCATCAAAAGAAGGGCGCCAATCACTGTGAAGATCAGGATATTAGTCCATATTTTAGTTTTTTCAAGAAAGAGCACTCACCATCAAATTCATGTGTGTAATGCACAACTGACTGAGTCCAAGTCCGATCCGATTTGACCTTTTGATAAAGTCCCTTTTTCTGGGCCTTTTTCTCGTAGAATTTGAATACAACAGCGAGAGGCAAGAGAGCACATGGGAAAATGATCGCAAATGCGCCATATGCCCAACGCCAAGTGGTCATGCTCAAGAAAGACTGGGCTGCCAGTGGACCGGTGAAAGCCGTACAAATGAAGGGTGTGCTAACAAAAGCGAACGCAAACGCTCGGTTCTTCAAGCCTGATGTATCGGCGATGAAAACATCGAGGATCAAGAAGATTGCGTTGTAACCAACCCAATACAGAACATAACCTGCCGCAAATCCATCTGGTCCATCGCATGCCGCTAATATGATGATGCCCAGCAGAAAAATGCAGGTGAAAATTGTGAGGGCTTCAGCTCGACCCCAGATATTCAGAATCTTGGCAATAGGCAATTTCACCACTCCACCGACAACAGTGGCGAGGATGGCGGCAGTTGAAATTTCAGGGGCGGTGTTGAAATTCGCGTATGCATTGACGATAACGTTTAGCCCGATCGAGGAATGGAAGGCCAACATAAAAAAGCAAAGCCAAATCCTGTGTAGTAGAGCTAGTCGTTAGTTTCACATATCTTTACAGCAGTACCAGGATGTTGAGTGTTGTGATTGATTTCATACCATGCGTAAATTGCCCACACGGTGTTCTTGCTCCATGCAAGAACCACAGCTTCGGCTTTCTTTACACCAGTCGCCTCGCCGGTGATAGCCTCGCCCGTCATTTCTTCGTTTTGTTTCTCGTTGGAGGATCTGAACTCGGCCGCCGAGGAGTCCTGGTCTAGCATCGTGCCAGCTTGACTCGAGGTGAATTGGGCACCCTGCTTGGAGGGGTTGGAGGCAGATTGGCCAAACATCAGACAGATTGGCTGAAACGCACAACTAGTTTAACGGAAAACCAGGCTGGTTAAAGAAGGAAATATTGTGGGAGATCGGAGGTGTTTTGGATGCGCAATAAATATCATGAAAACCTGCTTGTTGATCTAACCACATTAGTCTTTTTTAATTGATGCTCGTTAGCCCACCGATTCCGGCGTCGGCTACCACGATAAAAGTCCGACTGGTGAAAATCTAGGCTCAGTGGTTGTAATGATAATGCCTGCTAATTGGACAGTAATTCATAAAGAGACTATCTATTAGCCAAGTCCTGGCCAATCATGTCATATCCACGGAGGTTCTAAAAGAAACACTCCATCGCATGACTCGGTAGATTGATACTTGCGCGCCAAATTCGGCTCTTAATCCGTCAATGGAGCGAGCGGCAGATCCATAAAACGTAAGACAACAAAAAGCACGATATGTCCGGAACTTAGCAATTCAGGTCGGTTTGATCAGGGTCCTGCGATTTCGCGCATATCTAGCGGCCTTTGCGGGGGTCTCCGGGAGCCTGAAATTTTATATGATCTAAACATCCACAAAGGCCATAGTCATGATATGAAAATCCCAAATCCCGTAGAGAGAAGGTGGAATGTCGCCTAGCCGTCCGCCCATAGGCACAAGTAGCCACTAAGTGAAATCTCGGTCATGGCCCGCAGCACGAGAATCGAATGCCAGGGGCGTTCTTGTGGCTTTCGGCAAAAGTAACCATTCAAACCTTGATTCAGCGCGTAAGGCGCTGTGGCACTTGAACATCAGGGCACCAGGGCAGGCAGACTTTGTTACATAAGAATTGTGAGGCACCCGTCGTAGGAATTTCCCTTTTTGTCAGGGGCCAAAATAGTCGGCCTAATTCGTTTTGCCAAGAGCTCATGTCTCAAATGGAAAATAAGAAGTGGCTAGCAGATCCGCTACTGGGTGATACCACCCGTTTCAAGACCCTGCTCCCGGTTTCCGAGATTTGAAAAATACAAGCGGTATTCTGTCATGCTCGTAAGTTACCGACCATTGTGGGTCCTCATGTAGAAGGGTATCAATCAGAAAATAAGTATGAAAGGTGGTGCAAGAAGAGTAAGATCAACACTTTTTATTTGAAAGCTACATCAAGATCAGTGGAAAACGACATATCTCATTTCATCAGACGGGGAATTCGGCTCGATGCAGGATTCTCAGATCTTGAGTCATGGGGAGTCATGGGAGTGGTGCTTCGAGCTTTCAGCTCACTCCGGTGACGTCCATCTTCCTCCAACTGCAGTTCCATTTCAAGATGCAGAATCCAATTCTTCCAGCTCTGGAGAAATTCAGCACCTCGATGTTGGTTGCCTGGGCCAGGAAACAATCAAAAATGGTGTCAAGTCATTGATTGACGGATATGCCCGCTGGATCATGGCAGTGAGCGGCCAACGGGAGGTTTCATTTTGGATTGTGATTCACGAGACAAACGCATCTGCCAAACTTGCTCTCGTGGTGGCAAAAAGGGCCGATGAGAGTGACGATCTCGGCTGGGAGGCGCATGGAGCCACCGGCTCCGAAACGAATGAAGTACACTTCGCATTGAGTCTCGGAGGAGGAGGCCCGGAGACTATTCTACCAGATTCTGTAAGTTGGCAAGTGGGTTTTCTGCATAACAGTCCTATCGCTAACACTTCCTCTCGCTATCTACAGGTTCGAGTAGCGCTGTCCATCGAAATGCAAACATCGCCCGCGAGTCTCACCTATCGAGGAGTGTCACAACAGGCCGTCGACATATTACACAAGGTTGACTTGGAATCCTATCTGCGGTCTTTCGACGCTGCTTCATTTTGGAGGAAGGAACTACACGATTTTTTTGGTTGCGCAGAAAGACCATTCCCATCAATCTCCTGTGATCGCCTGGTGGTCCCTGCAGGGAGCAGCCAAACCTTGACGGAAACTCTTCTTATGGGCGTGTCTTGGAAGCAGTTGGAGACCGCTGCGCGGAATTACCATTTGAGATCTGTGCTCCCAGTGATCCATGCAGCGTTTGCTTGCATTCTGACAGAGTACATCGAGTCAGACAGGCTGATTGTATCAGATCGACCACTGATAACCTCACGGGGGAAGCCATCTCAAAGCCTGCTCCCTATTCTCATCTCCAAAGATGATACTGCCCAAGCTGTGTTTGCTCGGATCGACGAATTTGTGGCGAGATCAGAAAAGGTGCCAGGCGTGTCTCCGGACCTCGCTCGTGAGATTCTTCAAATTCACACAGAGGGCACAATATATAACGCAATTTTTACGCATCACGTTGAGGAAACTTCGTGTCAGGAATCAGCACCGCCTTTGGGGATGTCCTTACTCTGCTCCGATGCTCCTGTAGAGCTCGGGTTCCGGCGTTTGGACAAAGGTGAACTGAGCCTCACACTCACAGCCAGGGCGGAGTTGATAGATCAGGCTCATTTGAAGCTAGCTTTGCAGCAGATAGATGCTCTCGCTGCGATCATGATCTCCCGTCCTATGGAAGCCATTCGAGATCTCAATCAATCATTTCCGGCTGATCTGCTTTCGATACACACACATCTGGCCAGTGAGCAGCTCAAAAATGCCCCTCTCTTGTCTCCTGCACATTGGGTCGATCACTGGGCAGCCATAGACCGCACCTGGAAGGCTTTAGAGATCATAGAGGAGATCAGCGAGGATGAAACACGATCCCAGACATGGACATACAAGGAACTCTCTCAAACTTCCGATCAACTCAGCGCTTGGATCAAGGGTCGCGGTTGGCAACGCAGATCAATTGCAGTATGTCTCAGCCGCTCATTCATGGCATACGCTCTGGTCCTTGCAATCTGGAAAAGCGGGAATTGTTATGTTCCAGTCGCAGAAGATCTTCCAGAGGCTCGACAAATATTTTTGTTGGCAGACAGTGGTGCCATCGCGTTTTTCACAGATCAAAACGTTGCTGAAAATATTGTTCCTCCAGAGGACTGCTTAGTGATAAGCATTGATGACCCTAAGCTGCTTACGGACTCTGGTCCAGCTGAAGGCCCCGCTGCAGGGCATTCCAGCCCAGAAGATGACTGCTATCTCTTGTACACATCCGGATCTACTGGAACACCAAAGGGTGTTCTTGTCGGCCGTGGAAATTTATCTGCGTTCACTGAGGCCCAGTCAGAATATATTTGTCGGGATGTGCCCGATACCCCCAATCTCAAGGGAACGGGGAGCTATCTTGCGCACGCCAGTCGTGCTTTTGATGTACACATATGTGAGATGGTGCTTGGTTGGCGGCACGGACTTCGCCTCGTCACCGGGCCCCGAACAATGCTCCTCGACAACCTTTTCTTGGTTCTCAGCAAGCTCAGAATTACCCACGCTGGGTTTGTCCCTTCACTGCTCGAACATGCCGGCGTGAGCGCTGAGCTGCTGCCCGACTTGCGATATCTTGGAGTTGGGGGTGAGAAGATTTCGGAGACAATCATTGAACGCTTTGTCGGCAAGCCTTCTATAGCTTTAGTCAATGCATACGGCCCGACAGAGGTAACAATTGGTATGACAAGCCACACAGTGAAACCATGGTCCACTGTACGCAACATTGGCACTGCCGTCGGCAACATCACAATCCATGTCCTGGACACCGATTCATTGAGATACGTGAAGAGAGGTCAGGCTGGTGAGCTCTGCGTGACTGGTGATCTGGTAGCGAATGGGTACCATCGTAGGCCAGACGCAGGAGGTTTCATCGATTTCAACGGGAAACGAATGTACCGCACAGGAGACATAGTGCGTTTGATGGCCAATAATTGCGTTGAATATCTGGGTCGGCGAGATAGCCAGGCTAAGATTCGAGGCCAGAGACTTGAGTTGGAAGAAGTCTCAGTCGCGGTCCGCCGCTGCGCCAACTTCCCTATCAACGTTACTTCAATAGTGACACCCTCACCAATCACGAAGCGGCCTCAGCTCGTCTCCTTTATCAGTCCGTCGAGGACAAAGCCGGACAGTGCTCCCACAAAGCCTACTTTCCTCAAAGAGCAATATCAGGAGTGGGTGCCAGAGATCCTAGCCCGCTGTACTGCTGAGCTTCCCGCATACATGGTCCCCAGCATCCTGCTACCCATCAGCTTCATTCCTATTCAAATCTCCGGTAAAGCAGATACCCGGCGTTTGGTTGCTCTCTATGAAGGCATTCCCGTGGCGGATTTGCTTTTGAAAGCCGCATCAACCAGTGCTCAGGCTTCAGACCCAGACGAAGTTCCCTGCACCAAGCCTTTGACAACGGATGAGGGGCGTATTCGCGACATTATATGTGCTCAACTGCGCGTTGACGCCGACTCAATCACTAGGACAACAAACATCTTCCAACTGGGCATGGACAGTCTCGCTTCACTCGCGGTAGCGTCGAGTATGCGTAAGGCTGGCTATCTGTGTGCAGCTGCAGATGTTCTTTCCAACGCCACGGTCGCTCAGCTTGCATGCCTACCTCAAGACCACAGAGCTTCGACTCGAACCTCAAACGGAGCACTGGAGAGTCAGGTAGATGACGCGTCTCAGAGATTACTTCAAATTGACAAAGAGTTGCGTGGCTTGAAGATGGCTTTTGCTCCCTCGAGTATATCTGCAGTTTGGCCATGCCTTCCTCTTCAAGAAAGCATTGTGTCAAATTCGGTCGGAAATCCGAACCCGTTGTACGTGAATCATATCATGTGCCGCTTGGGGCCGCATATCTCACTTCCAGCTCTTCGGTTGGCATTTGAGGACTTGATGTACGACAATGAGATTCTGCGCACATGCTTCCACGTCAGAGAAGACAAGATCTTGCAGCTTGTTCTGAAGCCTCGAGTCACTGAGCTTCCTTGGAATCAGGTTCCCGTATCCAATGAATCTGATGCCTGTGCCCTTTTCAAGAGCCTCCAAGGAGGAATCGCATCCAGAATCGTCGATGGAATTGAGATCAAGCCCCCATTCCACCTTCTCGCCGCGGAAAGTGCTGATGGCGCGTCAGGTTGGCTGATGCTGTCTATTCATCATTCCATTTTTGACGGTGCTAGTATGGGTATTTTCCTTGGTCGTTTGCATCAACACTACACAGGGATTGAATCCATGCACCCAATCAATCTCACCCCGCTCTACCATCATCTCATGAAGAGTGATACCACTGAAGATGAGAAATTCTGGACTGAGCACCTCAAGGGGTGTGTTCCAACCGTCTTTCCTCACGATGTCAGAGACGATGACTACCTGATCGTTTGCAAGCAATTGCCCTTTTCACTATCTGCACTCTCAAGGTTTGCATCAGAGCATCGGACCACAGCATCGATGATCTTGGAAACCGCTTGGGCAATCATCCTAGCAAAGGAGCTGGGCCAAAATGACGTTCTGTATGGCAGAGTCGTGAGCGGCAGAGGAATACCCGTGGAGGAAATCGAGTCAATGCTCGTACCCCTTGTCACTACCATCCCCGGTCGGCTCAAACTAAGCTCTGGGAAGTCGAGCTTCTTGTCCAAGATTCAAATGCACACTCAGGCAATCATTGCATCTATGCCGTACCAGCACACTCCTCTTCGTGCGATACAAAGATACTCCAGCGCCTCTGGTCCACTTTTTGACTGCATGTTCTCATACCTTGCAATTGGCCCTCAATCTCCATCGGATAAAATGCTGTTGGAGATGAATAGCTCCATGCAGGTGGACTATCCCTTGGCGCTGGAAGTCAAAGCGGAGTCAGATCCCGACACGGTCACTCTTCGCTTGAGGATTGGCGATGCACCTTCTTCGGATCAGAAAGCCAATACGTTCGTTGAACAAATCTCCACTCTTGTTGAGGAGCTAGTTTCCAACGGAGATTTTGTTTTCGACGCTCCGATACTCTCTGAAAATGAAGAGCCAAAGCATCGAACATGGGATGAAAATGAGTGGACAGAAAATGAGACTATTCTGCGCCAAGCTGTGGCCGAAGTGTCTGGAATGGCAGAACATGAGGTCTCAAAGAATGTGTCTTTCTTCGCTTTGGGGATTGACTCGGTGATATCGCTGCATCTTAGTCGGCGTTTGCAGCAAAAGGGTCTCAAGGTCAGCTCCAGTGATATTTTGAGATACTCGTCTATTGGTGCTCTTCAAGAACGTCTCAAAGCATCTACTCCGATCGCCAAAGAACCTACTGTGATCAAGAGTAGCAGCAATCCCCAACCAAACATAAACCCCTTTGATGAGAACGATGCAATTGTGGAGACATACCCCTGCACGCCCCTGCAGACAGCTATGATTGGCCAGTGCCTCAGCTCCGAAGGCAAGGGATATGTTCACCACCACTCGGTCGCACTCGATGCTTCCATTGACCTCGACAGATTAGTCAACGCCTGGAGGGGTTTGACAGAGCGGGTTGATGTCCTTCGCACCACGTTCCACCGGCAAGATGGAAGCCGTGAGATCAGTGCTGCGGTCCATCGGACTCCCCTGGTGAATTGGACGCATGAAGCCGACATTGAGTCACTCCCGGTCGCAATTGAAAGAATCTCGGGACAGGTTGCCTACCCGGCAATCAAAGACTTTGAGAAGCCGCCTTGGCGCGTCACTTTCCTTACTGAAGGCAAAAATCGATTGATGGTTGTGACTATGCATCACTGTCTCTATGATGGATTCTCTCTGCCAATTCTGTTTGATGTCCTCGAACAGCAATATAACGGCGTGCAAGTAAACATCCATTCGTTCGCGTCCACGGCTCGCAAAATCGCGTCCACCCAGGTGTCATCGGTGAAGTTCTGGACCGATTCGGTTCTGGGATATCAATGTCCGCCAGTGGGGCAGCAATCTGCATCGAACTCTGTGTGTAAAGTTCAATGGGCGGAAAGCACGGTCAAAACACCGATGGTTGATTTGCAGCGCCAATGTGGCTTGCTCAATGTCACTCTGCAGACAGTGGCGCTCCTCGCTTTTGGGCGATCGCTGGCATTGCATCTTGGTCAGCGCGACGTGGTGTTTGGCCATGTAGTTTCTGGCAGGGCTTCTGGACTTGACGATGATGTGTCCGTCATAGGCCCTCTATTCAACACTGTGCCGTTCCGATTAAAGATCGAATCTGCTTCCCAGAGTGTGCGTTCGGCCTTGCAAGACATTCAGAATTTCTGTATCGATTCTCAGCCTCACCACCATGCGCCCTTGGCTCTTGTTCAGAAGGAATGGCGCTCATCTAGTGATGAAAATAGCCTTGCACTACTCAACGCCATATTCTCCTTCAACAAGTCGGAGCCTCCTACTGCTGGCTCAATTTTCCAACCATACAACCTAGCCGAGAACCCTGATGTCCCACAGTATCCACTCAATGTGGAATTTGAGCAGACACAGGACTGTCTGATTATCCGAGCAGCAAGTCTCAATGTTATGGGCATGGGCGAGGGTGGGCTTGACACATGGGTACTCGGTGTTGCGCAGGGGATCGAGAATATCATTTCATCAGGTGATGAACCAGTGCTCAGTTTCCCCCAAGGCCTCCAAGATCTACCGGAGGCAGTTGCACGGCATCAGGGTCAATTAGAGGAGCCCGTTGACGTCGTTGTCATGGATCAGGATGTGCAAACACTGAAAAATGTCCTTTCGGACATTACCGGTATCCCAATGGATCAGATTCAAAACACCAGCGGTGTCTTTGCGCTTGGCATGGACTCTATCCTAGCCTTGGATATGAGCGCTCGTTGTCGCCAGGCGGGATTGAAGGTCTCGGTGAGCGATATTCTTCAAGGGGGGACGATTCAAGGCATTGCTGCACTGGCAGCCAAAAATATGACAGCCATCTCCGCCTCGGCGAAGCCAATCAACTCTCATCTTTCGCTCGTCAACAAAGCGACCAGAGCCCAGGTCTTGAGCTCCCTGAGTTTGATCGAAGACGATGTTGAAAGTATCCTACCTGGCCTGAGTGGTCAACTGTTTTACCTTTCTGCTTGGCTGCGATCTAAGCGCAAACTCTGGGAGTTCTCGTTCGCTCTCAAAAGTAACATCAAGCTGGATCTTGATAGGCTTCAAGATGCTTGGGATCAGCTGCAAAAGAGGCATGAAATTCTCCGAACATGTTTCACAGCAATTTCACCAAGTGAAGTTTTCCAAGTTGTCCGAAAGCCAACCCATCTAGGCTCGATTGTCACATCAAATCTTGAACAATCAGCTGAAGACGTGAATCATTGCATCCAGGTCCTTCTTGGACAGATTGCGACTGATTCCTCCGATCTCTTCACCCCTCCCGTGCGACTTCATCTAGTCAGGAATTCTGAGGTTGACGTCATCATTTTGACACTCCATCATGCCTTATATGATGCTCGCTCGATTCCCATTCTTGTCAATGAACTGGAGGAACTGTATCATGGAAGACCAATGAAGGGCTTGGCCAGCTTCTCCTCATTCGTGGCCAGTACAACCCAGGCATCAAACGCCGAACAAAGTGGACCGTTCTGGGAAAAGGCACTCAAACTCAACCAGAAAACACTCATCGGAACAAGATGCGACAATCACAATGATGACCTCTCTGTTGAGTCTCTGCAGAGAAATTTTCAAAAAGGCTTGAACGAGATTCAATCCCGGTGTCACAGCATTGATGTTTCTGTGCCATCACTCATCCTCCTGTCGATAGGACGGGCCCTGGCGCGGATTGTGGGTATTTCACATCCCACATTCGGTCTGTTTCAATCTGGACGCTCGGGAGACTACCCTGGTATCCAAAACATTGCTGGTCCGACCGTCAACATGCTGCCAGTCGTCATTCCAAACGCTTTGAAGTCCTCAACGGTGGAGGGCTTGTTAAGTGTGCAGCAAGATTTAATCCAGCGCGTCTCCCACGACCAGAGCGATCTTGGGACCATTCACCGGATCATGAGAAATCTTGGGAAGGAGCTTCGCTTCAATCTCATTGTCAATATTGTTTGGACTCAGTCTCATTCCAATGGAGTCGAGGATGAAACTCACTCTATCTTCACTCCGGTCACGATCCATTCTCATCCACGAACTGAGTTTGCAGTGCCGATCAGCAAGACTTCTATTGATCAGCTCGATTGGAAGAGTCGCATTGACCCGGATGCCGTCTACCTGGAGGTCAGTCCTGATGAGAAACACACTGGGCTTCATTGGAAACTTGATTTCACGTCAACATCGATCAGCCAAGACGAGGCAGAAGCATTATTGAATGCACTGGAAGTAGAGCTCAACTCAATCACCGAGTCGATCTGATAAGGTGTTCAGCCCTGGGGGGATATTTATCATTAGCTACCGGTGCAGTGTTGTGAATGTACGCGTCGACCAGATCATAAACCTAGTCCCAAATTCTGCCCATCTATCAATTGAGGGATGTGTAGGCTCGAGCTCCGAGTTTCAAATGGTTTCTACGATTTTTGCCGATATCTTCAATCCTTAGCATTGAAATTCTCCGTTCACGGCCCGCAAGGTGGGCGAAGACTTTCTTTACTCGCCCAACCAACCTTGATTACTCGATAATCAGTTCGAGGGACAGTTAGAGGGAGAGTAAAAAAGACAGCAAAAAAGACAACAAATGGCCAACCCATGGATGGCCAGGTGATAGCTAGCTCTCTTCCGTTACCAACCTCGGACTCGAAATATGAGGAATAGTGTTACGACATAACCTGGAATTAGTATAGGCAACCTTAGAGTATTGTCTGTTTAGTATTGGTCAACCTTGATGTTAACCTTAGGATCCATGCATGGATAGAAGCCCTGGGGGGGACGGTAAACACCTCGCATATCAACCTCCAGGGCTTCTAACCTTGGAAGCCAATACATAACTACTATCAAGTTGGCAGACAGCACAAGAAGCATCAATTTTAGTCCAATGAACGACGGGATGATACTAAGGCTTCCCAAGGAGGGAAAGAGGAGAGAGCCCTAATTGGTTTAATAGACTCCGAAACCTACCTAACCTATTCGGTCGTATTTAGTTAAGGTACTCTATTTCTGTTCAAGATGATTCAATATCCTACATTTGACTGTTCATTGAATTATTTACCAAGACTAGGTATCCGGTTGTAAGGGTAGGCTGGTCCAACAATCCCACCACTCGCTTCTGAAAGTCTGCTCAAGCACCTGGGGCCAGATACTCTGAAGGATGGACACCACTCTACCAGAAAGAGGAATGTCGTCATCAGGAGGTGGTTCAGGCAAACCGTAATGATTTGCTTGTTGAATCTCCATTGCTCGTTGGATGCGTTGGATCTCTCGTGCTCTTTTCGCAATCCGCTCCACGACGGGCACTCCGGGGTTATCAACATTATAACCTGTAAGCAGATATGATCGCGCAAAGCATTTGAGCAAGTAACCCTCCTCTTGGTTCAAGCTCTTGTATCCGTATGGCAAAATGCGAACTTCTTTCAAACGCGGGCTCTTGTCTTTGATCATGCTCCAAATCTGGAGAGCCAGGGTCTCGTCCATGGCTGCATTGATGAACGTTTGTCGGAGATCAAGATCATCGTCTATTTCGGAACTGGTTCCCATTCTCGGTGCCCTTGGTCGAGCATCAAAATCCAAATCTAGAAATAGTCTTTGGAGATTGGGGAATGTACCCAGCGCTTTGTACATCTCACACTCTGTTTGGTTGCCCGCTGACCTCTTTATTTGAAGGCGTAACTCTTCCAGGTTCGGACAAAGATTCACCATTTCGAGTAGCTTGGAAGGATTGAGTCTGGGAAACAGGCAGACCTCGGGAGGAGCTAGAGCAAGTCCCTTCAATGATGATCCATGACGCTGGATGATTCTGTCCAAGGTTTCAACATCGCGAAGGCCTCTGATGTAAAGATATTCCAAGGGGTGAAATGCAAGTATCCCAGCTACTGAATCAGCGTTGTCAAGCTTGAGGATCACAGGATCTCGGGCCCTTTGATCGATATCAAGGAAAAGCCTCTTTAGATTTGGCAACAAATTGGCAACGTTGACAAGTTTCTCCGGTTCACGGACCCAACCAATGTCGAGTGAGCGAAGTTGAGAAAGATCTCCTGCAGCAGCTAATTTGGAAAGCGTAATTGCTTCAGGCCGGATGTTGGGAATTGTGATTGATTCCAACTGAGATACTGCCTTGGGTTTGACTTTGTCAACCAAGTTTTGCCATGTCCCTTTCAGCAGATCCACTCGATATTGATGAACGCCATCGGTGGGATTCAAACAAAGGTGCTTTAGCCCCGGGCTAATGAACAAGAAAGGTATCATCTCCCAAAGTTGCTGGTGTTCAACCGACTGCATGTAGTTAATGGAAATCCTCGTTGTCAGAGTGTGAAGGCCCGGCAGCTGAAGAGTGTCCATCCTGAATTCACTCAATCTGTTGACACTTTTAGACACCGATGCAGCATTTCGAAAGAACGGACTAGGTCCCACTTTTTGGTTGCTGAGAAGATTGAGTCTGCAATTGGGGTGGTAGCGCCAAAAGGCATCCGTCAACTCCGCTGAGAAGTCGTCTGCCGTGACCAAGTCGAATTGATCAAGACGGTTCAAGCTCGCGATAAGCGACACGACCGGTGCCCAGTTTGGAGTTTTTTCAATTCTTATTAGGCGATTTAGACGCAAGCCTCTGCCGTACGTTGAGTAGCAAGAGCTCATATCATGCTCCAAGAACCCTTTTCTCGCCGCCGGATGTGGGTCGGTTACCATGTTGAGTGCCCATGGCTCTAGCTTCCATGGCTGTGTTTGTCCGGTGTCAGGCTCTGGCGACAAACCAATACACACAATGGACAGTCTCCTGGCAAATCTCGTGAAATGACTCGCCCTGGGGGGTTCTGTCACTTTCGACAATGCAGCCTCCAGACCTTGGGATGCATCGCATATCAGCGTAATGTTCCGGTACAGGATAGGGACCGCCACCTGGTAGAAGAGACGGTTGACCTGACTGAAGGATGACAGGTCTTGGGGTGGGCAGTATTCAGGGGCCTCGAGCTACTCCTCGTGAGCATGAGAAATGGCGTGAACTGGGGAGGTATCATGAGAAACTTACATAGAGGCATATTTGCTGTAGCAATTCAATCGGAAGGCGATTCATTGTGACGAGAAACAGAGCGGAAACAGTATGTAATGTGAGACGTGAGGAAAGGAGAGCGAATACGAATACGAATACGAAGGCGAGCAAGATCTAAATCGACAACACCAGTGGGAACCCTGCAAACCAGGCAAACACCCCTGTTGACACATTACGAACTCTTCGACGTTGCGAAGGGAAGAGAGAAATCGCTTTGAGGTCGTCAGGACCAGCCAGTGACCTCTGAGTGCGTATGACTTCCAAGGTGAACCCGATCACATATGCACCATTTTACGAGACCTCAGGAAGCAAAGAAGCTCTCTACAAGAAAGCACAAGTTCGGAAAACTATGATTCATTGAAAAATGGTCTCTGGGGCATTAAATGCCCCCAAAACGAGCGCGCAAACAAGAAGCAATCACTGTCGTGAAGCGACAGCGCAAACGCGCACTGTTGAACAAAGCAGCGGAAATTGCAGGATTGCTGCTCACTAAAACCCATCTTTAACTCATGAAGCGGTACTCGCCCTTTACCGAGGTTCCAAATGATGGGATGCTACCTAGCTGTAGTGACAATTACCTTTATCAACGATATAAATGTAATCCTGAGCACATACTACGACCACAGGGTGTGGAAAACAGGGCTTCCCGTCCGCTCAGCCGTACTTAAGCCACACGCCGGTGAGTTAGTAGTTGGGTGGGTGACCACCAGCGAATTCTCACTGTTGTATGTTTTTTGGGGCTTTTTTTTGAACTCATGGTTCTTCCTAATCATCGTGTATAGACAGAGACCTTCCAAAGTCGGGATGAAATGAGGGGTACATCTGAGAGCCACTATCTCAAAACATTGTATATATTGAACCTTGAAACCTTGAAAAATCCCCAATCAGTCAAGAACATTCATCGTGGCTCAAAGCCTAGATCACATAACGGAACCCGGCAGCGATCTGGGCAGGGGTTGGGCCCTTTCCGCCAGTATCTAAGCCGCGATTCAGCTTGTCATTCTGCCGCCGTAGGTATATGCGCGTTGCAGTAGCCAAAATGATAGCTAACACGGACGAGGCAAGGTTGACCAAGAAGGCAGCTAGATACCGCGGGCTGGAGTAGTAGAGATATGAGGCCCACACTGAGAATCCGATATCAGCCAAGAGGCTATCAAGCAAGAGACTTGTATCTACATACCATTTGGAGTGTTGCAGACCGCGTTGATCAAAGCGATTGCGGAAGCTCGTTTGATCGAGGGCTGCGACAGGCTGCCAGTAATCCAAGATAAAAACGACCACAGCCGCTGAATAGAATGAACCCGGCATCAACATCATTGCAACATCTACATTCGAGTCAGCATGCTCTGCAGGTCGTAGAACAGAATTTGGACACAGATTTCGACTTACAACGAGCTGCTGTGTTCAGTGTGGACACGGCAATAATATTTGCTACCATGCAGATCGCCATCGGACATACGATGTGCCAGTAGCGCTCTTGCTTCTACTTCCTGGTTAGCATGTGTAGCTGATAGCATGGGGAGATACCATACCCTGTCAGAGTGAAATCCATTTAATATCATCGCAAACACGCAAAGAACATAAGGTGGCTGGAGAATTCTGAGTCAGCATCGCGAATGGGTGACATTTTCTTCAGGGAGTCTAACCGCGGTGAGTCCATAGGTCTTGTTCCGAGAATATCCAAGTGTAGCCACAACGGAGGGGAAGAAATTGGTGACGGCGCCCGCAATATAGATCTGTGGAACGTCAGTGAAGCGGACGGAGAACGACATACACAGACCACTAACACTATACAGAATGCCCATGAGGAGCCATGTCTTAGGATCCATAACGGCCAGCATGAAGCCTTTTCGAGCGCTAACCTCGTCCGCGTTGTCTTGCTGACCTTGGTCTTCCTCGAAGTTCCACAGGAGATATTCGTGCTCGAGTTTGCTGAAGCCACTGATTGACTTCAGCGAATTCGGGAGGATGAAGACAATTATCATTGCGAGACCGATGGTGGCAACCCCTTCGACCAAGAAGAGCTGTACATTGGCCCATCAATATGCCTGTTCGGATCGGAAGAGCACTCGTTGACTCACCCATCGCCAGCCCTCAAGGCCATGTACACCATTCAATTTCAAGATTGCGACCGCAAAAAGTCCACCAAAGGCATTGCCAAGTTGTGATCCAGAATACAAGATCGCGGTCCGAAGTGCAAACTGCTTTTTCGAGTAGAACAAGGACAAATAAAACAATGCACCTGGAAAAAAGACCGCCTCGACGAATCCCAAAAAGAAGCGAGAAGCCAGGAGACCGGAGGAATTGGTGACGGCGGCGGTACAAGCGGAGAGGACACCCCAAAGTGCCATCGAGAAACAAATGTAGACGCCCGGTAACTTGATTTTGCCGACCACGAGGTTCGAAGGGACTTGCATGAGAACTAAAGAATTGAAAGTTAGCCGCAGAACAATGCGCTCTCACTATTAAGACCCGGCAACATACTATATCCAACAAACAGAATGCTGATGCAGGTCTGATACTGCACATCAGTCATTTTGAGATCCTGCTCGATGTTGGCCAATTTTGCGGCGGCTATGTTCTGTCGGTCCAGATAATTCATGATGTACATCAACACCATGCAGGGCATGATTCTAGAATCCAGCTTCCACATTGCTCGACGCTTGACCTTGGAGTATTCGACTTCTGAAAGGGCGGCCAGCGAGGCTGGCATCACCGGTGAATGGCCATAATGCGACCGGGCTTTCTCACCGTCGAGATCTTCGATGTGATCCGAGTGTATGCTTCTTTTTTCTTCCATCGCAGTTGAAAGGTCTTCGACTTTCTTTTTTCCAGGATCCTGTCCGGTTATCCGATGTTTGGGTCCGGCTCGAGTTGAGAGGATGGCAATGATCGAGTTGAATATGCTTGCTTTTATGTAGCGATCCCTGACGCGGGTGAGACCACACACTTTGGATGATCTGATCCATCTGGATACTTTTTGCAGGGGTGAAAAGCGGGGGAGATATCGAAAGCGCATACACTTTCACGCATAAAGACCAAGCCAACCAATCCTTCACGGTAGATTGGGCCAAAGTGGAGTAAAGGGAGAGTACGGAGATGGCAATGCCGGGGTAAGGTCGGGGAAGCGTGGGGGTGGTCTGAGATGAAGTACTGGTGACCCCCACGGTGAGGTCATGAGATTCGGACTCTGTCCGGCAGTCAAGGGCTACGGCGTCCCCGGTCAGTCAATTTGCTCCAGTAACTTGGAACCGCCAATCTAAAGCTCAAATTTCAATGTATGTGAAGCAGATTGTTTGGCCAAACCCCGGCGTGAGGGCGAGACGTGGATATGGCATGGGCCCTTCGGGTATTATTACTTTCACTACGGATGTAAAAGAGCTCAGGGCCGTAAATTCTCTTTTTTGATCTATATACACAAAAGGCTAACAGGCGGATTTTGTCAAGGCTAGCCTCGGCCCTGGTTGCTTCAACTCTTCATCTATCTTGAAAAATACTTCCAATGTTCGGTTCACTCAAGCAACCTTCCAACCTTGGTGGGAGGTAGTAACCGGAGCTTGATGCAGCGCGGTATTTTATTCTGGTTCCAGTAGGCAATTCCATGGCGAAGCCAATTGGCATATGTGCCCGGTACAACATCCGATCCAGGGTTGTCCCGCCACAACGAGCCTAGAGTAACCTTGTTGACGCGTAGGATAAGGCCGTGAGCGAGTTTGAATCCGAAACTGCGGGTCAGACAGGCCTTCACAATATCGCAAGCCTTCTGCTGTTTGTCGGACTCTTGATCGCCTTCCTTTGGCATGGGAAGTGACAATAAATCGAATGCCTCCTGGCCGTCCCAGGCAGTTAAATCGTTGATGAGCTGCGACCCTTCCATGAACTCGATGGCATAGAAATGCTCCAAGCAGTAGGCAGGGCCGTTCCAGCTTTCCTCAACATCAACCAACCCCATTACTGCGGTCGCTACTTGGCCTTGGATGATATAGTCGGTCAAGAGGCGGCTGACTTCGTCGGGGCCGATGAAAGTTCCATCATCCTCGATGATAGTAAATTCGCCGCCCATGAGAGGAACTCCCTGAAGTAGTGGGCTGGCATGCATCCCATCCGTGCTGGTCTTGCCCCCATCTGCTGTCCAGAGAGCGAGGAGCAGCTCGTGGCAGCGGGCAAACAGCGCGTTGTTGGGCAGTGCCGCAAGGAAATAGTTGCACAGACTGTAATGATCCTGACCACTAGGCATGTATGATAAGACTTCATATCGGGACTGGGGGTTCGCGATGGTATCGTTCCATAGCGTATCCAAGTCTCCAATCTGCATCATACCCACGTCCGCGTATACACCCCCATAGCGTAGGAGTAAAGGCCAGCGGACAAGATCTGACGTGTGTTGTCGCGCATAAGGGCCAGTGAGGGACTCATCGGCGAAGGCTCGTGGGAAAAGCTTTCGGTCGGAAACGTCCAGGATTTCGGTAATGTTGTTTTTCGAACCTGATTGTCGGTCGACCATCCGTACAGTCCATCCTTGCTTCGTGAAACGACGGTGCCATGCGCGTACATTGCGCTGTGTATAAGGGTGCATGTTGGCATATCCAGAGTGCCAGAAAAACCATATATTCTTCACACCGGTTATCGGATGGGAATGTAATAGGTCCGCATCAATGTCGTCATCTGAGCGTAGATCGAGAAGCTCATTGGGGATAGCATGCATCCCGCTTGGAAGAAGATGTTCCATTGTGACAGTTGAGGTAAAATGAAAAATGGTTTATGTGGTGTGTATTTCAATTTTTCAATTCACACCGTTGTCTTTTATAGATCTCAGGATTTCGCTATAGCCAATCACAATGCTTTGGAAATGATCGGACGTGACAAAGAATGAGTCAACCTTGGGAACCATTTAGTGGACACTGGACGGGCCGATGCTGCGGATCCTCCCCGGCCTTTTATTTTCCTCTTTTTCCTCTTTTTCTTGTTCAAAGGCATGATTTCCCCATAACCTCCCAGTCTGGGCATAATAAAATTGAAATAAGCCTGCTTTGTTCATAAGCTCTGAACTGTAAGGCTTTGATATATTATGACAACTCCGATCCCAGTACATACGACCACAGGGTGTGGAAAATGCCAGGGGCAAAGCACAAAAAAAAAAAGATCTCTATTACGGTCCAGGAAACGACGATAATAGAACTGAGGAAGGAAAGGAGAGAGAGAGAGAGAGAGCTGTCAGGATCTATGTAATGGGGCTCCCGTCCCCCCAGTGCACGTGACAGATCACGTGACCTCACCGAAGCCTGCCCCGCCAAAGCATCCAGGTCCAGCACCAAAGCCCAGCCATCCTGACATTAAACAGTATTAGAATATATCTTTTTTTAAAATATATATATATATATATATATATTATTTACTACAAAAAATTAACATTAATTATACACATTGTCAGGCTAGCAAGGCTTCTGATATTAAAGGTCCAACTAACGATGAGATCAATGATAAAGAAGGAAAGACGAAGAAGTAAGAAGCTATAGAGCAGCAGGTAATAATAGCGAAGGGAAGCAAACAAGCAAACAAGCAAAGCAAACGTGGGGTACTGAAATGGTAGAAGACACTGAGTGTGGCAATGTCACGATTGTAAATATTCACAGAAACTTCGGCAGTTTTGTAGTGTCCGCACCCCATATTTGGTTTACCGTATAACTGTTCCGACATTTTCGTCCGAGTTTCTCTTGGCTAAGAGCATTTCATCTTTCCTGTCATTATTTTGCAATATTGTGAATTATGAAGGTAGCCTTAGAATCCGAGAGGCAACAGGTTTCCTGCGTTGTTAATATAAACAACCTTATGGTGTTGTGATGTTCCAGCCACAAGGTGAATTTTGCTTGGTATGAATGGTCACATGGCTATTCTCCGGCAATAGCCCGTTGTACAGAGAGGGCAATTGATTGTATTGCTAAATTGTCAAATGGAGTTCGGACCTAGAATTTTTTTTCATCCGGCTTGCATCCAGGAAAGCCTCATGAGCGTATTTTTCTGAATCAGATCCGCGTCGCTTTTGGGTCATCTTCGTATCAAGGCAAAAACGTCGCTCTCGCATGGTAGATCATCAATGAGTTTAGAAAAGGACCACGTCTATTGAGTCCAGGGAGGCCATTTATGAACTATACAGTTTAAATTATTGGCTAGCAAGAAATTCGGAACATTTAGACGGACGGATATTTACAACTCTATGTTATATGCCACTAGGAATAGTCCATCTCCAAATTGAACACCTATCTCAATCGTCGGAAAGATCCACGTGCACAAGTTGACCATGAATCCCTTTCAGAACAAGGTTGTTTTGATAAGTAGCGGCGATACTCAGGCTGTAATCAGGCGGCATCCAAAGACGTTTCTCTAGGCCTCGACGTACCCATGCGTGATCGAAGTAGAGAGTAGACCGGGAAAGCTCCGAGCTGGGGGCTTTGGCTAAAACCCCGGAAGAGAATTCAAATACCCCCATATTCGTCTTGATGGACTGTTCATTCTCCGAGAAGGTTAGATCTGAGACATCAAAATCCACATCAACTATCTGTTTGCAGTTTCCGGTCAAGATGTCCCACACTCTGATTCTTGGGATTCTGACCACGCCCCTGTCGGTTCCACGGAACGACAATGAAGTTTGACTTGCGTTCACGTAAGATCCAGTGACCAAAGTTTGACCATTAGGAGAAAGCGCTATACAGGTAAGCCACTCTTCGCTATGCTTAAATTGTGGTGACATTGGATTTTCCGGGAGCAATAGTTCTTGCTTGCGACTCTTGGTAGCAATGTCCCAGACTTGTACAGCCCGTGATGCAGTGGCAAATATGGTGCCGTCTTTGCTGAAAGCAATCCACCGTAAATCTGGTTGACCGAACAACTTCAAGTCTTCTCGAGGCTCACCCGTGGCAGTATCCCAAGCTTCCAAGCTCCGAGCGCTTGTGATTATAGCAAGTAATGTACCATCGGGAGAGAATGCAGTGCAGAAATGACTGGTGCGGTGATTTTTGCCATACCTATCATCAACATAGGGTAGGAGAAGCCTTCTGCACTGACCGGTTGAAGAGTCCCAGAGCCGTACTTCTTTGCCTGCTGTGGTAGCGATAATACCTCCATCTGGCGAGAAAACAATATTCCAGACAGCCTCTTCGTGGCATTGCCCTGTATGTGCTCTTTCATTTGTTGCCGGGTCATAGAGCTTCAAGGCACCGTTGGCGCAGCCCAAAGCGAGTATTTTGCCATTTGGTGAAAAGCACATTGTCGAAACTTCTTCATCGATGCCAGTCACACTTTGCTCCCTGGGGCTGGTTATATCCCAGATTCGTATCACACCAGAGCCCGTGACTAGACGAGAACCATCCTTCGAAAACGCCACGGGCCCGGGAGACTCGTTATGGATAAGCTTGTGGGTGCAAACACCATCCGCAAGGTTCAGTAGAAAGACAGTCTGATCATCGATTACAGCTGCAGTATTGCCATCCCCAGACAAGGCAGCTAATGTACCAGTGGCACCTTTGAATTTGACTTCCTTGTGATTTCCACTTGCAATATCCCAGAACATGAGGCCATCCCGGGACCGAGCGAGAAGTACAAGATGGCCATCATATGGTGAAAATGCAAGATTATTATCCCATTGCCACTTGCTGTCTTGCTCAAAACTCTTCTTGCAAGCCCCGTCAACAATATTCCAGATCTTCAATGGTCCAAACAATGACATAGAGGCTAGAGACTTGGAGTCCGGTGCGAAACAAACTGCTGAAGTTTTGTATTCTCCATCTTGAGCAAGGGTCCGCTTGTAGGTCCAATTGGAAGTGTTCCAAATTTGGACTTTATCGTCCAAAACGAGCGCCATATATTTACCATCTGGAGAAAGATCCATATTCATGCACGCGACGTGGGGGTGAAGACTCTCATATCTGCAGCTCCCAGTCGCAATATCCAAAATTCTCACCGATGCGCTTACAACTGCGATGAGAGCTTTACTATTGGTTAGCCATGCAGGGTAAAGCGGGTGATAGTTGGGGTAGAGGTCATAGTCCAGGAATGTCGCTTGCTCGATCCTAAATTCCTGGACGCAGACGCCGAGAGTCACGTCCCACACTCGCAGAATTTCCAATTCATTATTGAAATCGGTAAAATGTGAAGCAAATAATTTGCCATCAGGAGAGAAGATAATCCGCCGTGCAGGAGTATCAAGAGTCTGTAGGCAGGGGTCCCAGTCTCTTGTGACGCCAGTGACATTCCTGACGAAAGAAAGTTTTTTCTCGCGGAAGATCTTGCTAATATGGCAGCTGGTGGGACTGAAAATCAGTGCGCCACCATATATCTGCAACGGTGCCACCATCATGATTGACAGGTTTTTCATGATGAATCTTTCAGCATCTTGCAAGAAGGCGATAAGCTTTGGACACTTGTTTTGTGTGGTCTGTGTCTGTTAGCATATATATACAAGAAGCTTCAGCTGGCGATAACATACCATTGTTCTTTTCAAAAGCTCGCGGATAGATGTCAGAGCGCTTGGAAGCTTGCGAAGTAAGCTGAGACTCTCAAGCCAGTGGAGGAAGTGAGCCTCCAAGAAGTGAAGCACAGGCCCATCATCAGAAATAGGGGAACTGCTTTGCAGAAGGTGATAAACCCAGAACTCGCAGGAATACTGAAGAGCAGCCAAGGGATTTCCACTTGGCGGAGGGCCGAGGCAGTTTGACTCTGTACCTGGCTCCAGCTTGTACATGTTGCGCTTCAAACCCTCAGACATGGCAATGATAGCCTGTTTGGCTAGAAACTCATGAACCTGAGGGGAGCCACCGGGGTGGTTTTCTTCAAAGTAGCGAGTGAGATACTCCCCAGTTGAATGGTGCAGCATGTAAACAATATCATTATGAACAGTCAAAAAGGACCCACAGCGTGTGACAATGTAGGGTGAGTCGAGGTCTGGAGGTAGGCCAGCAGCGCCATGGATCTCATCAAATGACAAGGGTCTGGATGCAAAGCATGCGGCTTCCAGGACTCTCTTGCAGAATTCTCGGTCAGCTTCGCTCTTGAGCTCATCAATTTGCTTCATGATTCGATCATAAGTCTTATTGAGGCCCTTCGGGAATTTGCTGACATGTGCCACAGCTTCATGCTGTCCAATATCACCAGTAATCAACTCCTTGAACACGAGTGATACCCAAAGGAAGGTAGTTTGTTCATGTTTGCTGAGTTCAGCCGACATTCTGTCCAAAGTTGTCTGCTTATATCCCTCTTTCTCCCGCAGTTGAGACATCTTTTGTTCGACATAGACCTCCAATGCTTCTTTGTGGACTGTTACGTCTAGCTCAACCACTGCTCCTTCCTTGGCACGCTTGAGTTTGTTGTAAACGCCAATTTCCGGACGACTTGACAGAAGCCATTTGACCTTTGTGGGCCCATTGCCACTGGCCCTCACAGTGGCTTCGACAAGGTTCAGCAATTCTTTCTCGGAGGGTTTTCCTGGTGCACATTCATCAAGTGCGTCAAATGAAAGATACACGGGAGAGAGCTTCTCGTCGGCTAGCATTTCTTTCAATGTTTCAATGAGTTGCCAAAATGCGGAATCGCCTTTGAACATAGCTTCTCCAGATCTCTTGTGCTTTTCGACCAGGTAGGAAATCAAATGGGGCTGCTGAATCAGAAGAAGCCATACAAGGGACCTAAGGCCATGCAGGGCACTGTTCTTGGTCGTCTGTGATGCTTCGAAGAAGAAGTTGGAGATACCCGGCGCATATTTAGACTGATCGTAAAGCTTCTGAATGATACTAATCATCAGCATCGTTTTGCCAGTTCCAGCAGGCCCATTAACCCATAGGACTTGGCTTTGGGAACTATCACTCCAGTCGACGAAGGACTTGAATTCTTCGGTGTCGAAGATCCACTCGCATGCCTCTGGAATCAGATCATCTTTCTGGCCTTGGATAGTGACCAGTTGGATCTGGCCATCCTCAACGTATAGATGCTTCAAGCATTCGTCATAGTCCTTGCCCCGAGCCATCTTGCCTTGGCTAGCAATATATTCCCGCAGAGTCTCGTGGACACCAGTAAGAACTTCCAGCGTACCCTTGCCATTGCGAGCAATATCCTCCAGTTGGCCCTGGGCTCTGAGCTTGTTGTAGTGCTTGCAATCATCCTCAACAGCCTTTTCGGCTTCTTTCACACCATCCAGCTGGCCCTTCCAGTCATCGTAACTAACGATGTTGCGGATGAATGTCCAGCCTTGGCTTTGGTAGTATGAGCATGCGCTCTTCATCTGGTATAGAAGAAGGGCTTTGTACATCTCAACCACTGTGACTTCGAGACGTTCGAGGACTTTCTCGTAGGATCTATTAGAAATGACGATATTCTCCCTGCTCAACATATGCTCTGTCAATTCACAATACCATTGAATCCTGGAGATCACATAGCCCAGGCCACTCGCATTAGCCTGTGCCTCGAGAGAAGGGTTGAGCATAAACTAAACATTCTTAGAAAGAATTCAAGGCGCAAAGAGAATGGTTTGGTGGTGCTGGTACCTACCTGTAACCCAATGCAGACACCAGCCCATGGCAGAGCAGCCTGGGGGTTGGTCCCAACGGCCAGATCAATCACGCTCTTGAACTTCAGGACGAAGCCCGATGCGCCCCCCACGGCATTCGTAAGCTTTGACGTCTTGTAGATCTTCTTCTGACCTGATTCAAGAGTCTGCTTCATGAGCTTTTCTCTCTCCGCTTCGTTATTCATCCTCGCCACGTTCGCTCTCAGCTCAGATTCGGACGCATCTTCGCTGGGTTTATTGGCCCTTTGTACGGCCATCATATAGTCCTCCACGAGAGATTTTGTGGCTCCATCTGTTGCAAGTTCTTCATAGGCACGATTCCAAACTTTCCGGGAGATACTGATGTCTAAATCAACTTCCGACTTTGTCGCAACCCCCGGCTTTGGGGATTCCGCATTGTTCGAAGGTCCGCTCGAGGTCATGGAAATAGGGGATTTTTGAGGAGGCAGGCCGACGGCTGGCGCATTGTTGCTTGGTGCGGTCGTCTCGGTCATTTTAGGTGGCCTTTCATCGGGGTCCTTCTCATCAGGAGGCTGCGTGCAGCATGGAAAGATTTTCGATAACCCCATCGCGTGAAGATGGATGCTACCGCTGAGACCCGCCGACAGAGACGAATAGTGGTCTTTTCTTGTGTTTTCCGGGTTCCCTTCCTTGTCCAAGGTTGAGTTGGTGGGGATCAGAGGTAGGCTTGAAAGTAGGAGGTGATCTTTGCACTGCCCCGATTCTGAATGAAGTATCCCAGACGGGACATTGCACAATTCTGGGAGCTTGGAAACGCGGTGTTCGCGGCCAGAGCATCGCGCTCGGCCTATAATAACCAAGAAAAGGGCTCCACGTCTCAGCTCATGGGAAGAAATCCCTCGTAAACCCAAACAATTTATGTCATTGTGGATCGATCGGCCACGATAGTGTTGATTAGAACGGGAGACAGATTGGTATCAGAGGCCATCAATGGTGTAGTGGGACGAGCTTGCCGATCTTAAGTTGCTGAGAGGATCGCTTTTACTTTTCGTGGCACCCGTTCGCATAATATTGGTTGGCAATAAAGGATTGCGGGATGATAGCATGGAGCGTTGGGGTGAACGGGCCCACTGTGGGCAGAAAACCATGCTCGATTGGTGGAGACCTCAGCTGAAGGGGCTTCGTTCCTAATACTACTCGTACATACGAGTAGTGTGTCAAAAGTCCTTACCCACTCTCCACTTTTAAATCACCCCAACAACCCATTTGTAAAGGGGTTTGCAATTTTGTGATATATAAGGCGGACCTGGGCATGACATGAGTCCTGTCATGATGGTCTTTTGGCCTAGCGGGAAGGGTGCGCGCCCAGGCGTAACTTTTTACAGTTAGTAGTTGGGCGGGTGACCACCAGCGAATCCTCACTGTTGTATGTTTTTTTGGACTTTTTTGCTTCTTTCCTTTCCACCTCCCGGCAAAACTTCATTTTCATATCTCCCGAAATTTTGATTGAGAAAATCAATTACTAGAATCAGGTAGCCAAACCTGACTGTGATTTTACCGGTGCCATTGGGCCTGCGGGCGTATTGCATGCTTATCGATAAACAACATCGGGACCGTGCTCCGATCACCCAAAGCGAGTTTCAGTTGAATCGGTGACCCACTCCGATCTCAGGATTATATATTCAAGAGAAATTCTTTACGTTGGTGTGATATAACACCTCGGCAGCATTTCAACCACCTCTATTATGTTCATCAAGCACGTTATTCCCCGAGGCATTACCCCCTTTTTCCATCTTCCGCGCGTGGCTTGTGGGTTTCCTTCAAGAACCATGGCCACCACCAGCAAGAGAATGAAGAACGAATTTCTGTGCATTTTACCCGACAAGCCCAACGTTCTAGAATTGCGAAAGAAGGTCAAAGGGTACAAATGAGTCCACCTTTGACGAGACTCATAAGGCTAACCTTCGTATAAGTGGTCACTATGAAGGCATTCAGCCCTTGATTGCAGATGGTAAACTTGTGGATGGAGGTCAGCTCAAGAATACCTATGCAATATCCTCGGGAGCTAATCGACTTGAGAAACAACAGGCGCTATCTTCGAGCAGCACCCCGAAGAAGGAAAAGATGCAAAGTTCTTGGGGAGTGTGGTCGTGTACAGGGGCGAAAACATCGATGAAGTCCGAGAAATTATAAACAAAGACATCTACGCCACAAGTGGTGTGTGGGATCTTGAAAATGTCAAGATTTACCCTGTGAGTCCCCTCTTCAGCTCGACACTTACTTCCAGCTAATAGATCATAGTATGTTCCTGCGGTTAGACAGCCAATCTAAGAGGCATGAATTTGTCATTGTATCGCGAACTCTCGATTCGTATGCCATTCCTTGGCTTTGCATATCCTGAGTTGCGAAATGATAACTTATCTTATAATTGCACAACAAAGATGCAGCCTTCAAATTTTCGCATTGATGTTTCTGGCATTCGCAGGTGAGAAAACATCGAAGGGTGGCATTTAATCATCGCTCATCTGTTGGGAATGATTCAGTGTAGGTCTACGTAGACTCCAGGGGTGCCCTTCACAAAGCCCATTGATTATAGTTTTTTTTTTTAAGTGGCTTTCATCTCAAGTTCGGAATTGAACCGTGGAGTCAAAAAACTACGATCCTTTCATCTCTTTGAATTGGCCCGACCTTCGTTTGTCGAAGATGCCTCAGCCTTTCAGTCGAGAATTACATTGTACTCGACAAAGGGATTTCAAGTTTAAAAACAGCAACAATCTGTTAGACATTGCCTTTGTATTCGAGTTCCAAAGAACATTTTCGAGCAGTTAAATGCCAACAAATTTCACATGTTTTGACTTCGCAAACCACCTCTTCAACACTCACAGCTCCTCGTCGCGGTAGCATTGACTTTTAGCAACTTACAACCCAATCATCCTTTCCATCTTGCATACAAAAGTCCACCTTTCAGCCTTCCAAGATGTCTCCCGCGGGTCTCAGGCTCCGAACAGGCATGCCGGCAAGTCCCAAAAACCGCAAGATCATGTGGAAGCCCCTCAACCTTGAAGATGAAGATGATGCGCAGGTTATGGCTGATCGCCAAGCCGTTCTCAACCTGGTTCGAGAGATCTATGACCCCTATCTCAAGAGATGCCTCTTGAAAGGCTACGACTGGAAAATGATGTTTGTAGGCCGTTATGCCGAAACAGAGTTTCTTGGAAAAATGCGCGTTTGTTTCGATCAGCTGCCCGAAAGAGTCCGCCAAGCTGGAGACAGAATCCTGGTTGCTAAGATGATCCTTGACGTTCTTAAATTTCATCGCTTCTCGGATCCCAGTTGGCGGGTGCCTTTGGGTTACCCGGTTCCTTTAGCTAACCCGGCTCCTTTAGCTTCCTCGGGTCCTTTGGCTCTCCCGGTTGTGCAGTTCCCGGAGGTGTATTTCCCTGTTGCGGATTCCCCCAGCCCCACAGTTACCGTTAACTCGGCACCGGCGCCCGATACTGCGGGCCTAGACATACTTGCAGATGCGGCCTCGCGAGCGCCTCGATGGATTCCCAGACTTCCACCCCGCATAACCCGTAACTCGAATAGCCACCACTTGGGGTGTATGTGTGGACGTTGTGTTGTTTCTCTTGCTCCGATCAACAAATTTTGAACAATGGATTGTGGGTGAGAGCAATGTGTAAGACTGCAGGCCTGGACCAGATCCAGGATGGAAGAACTGACATCGAATTCTGGATGGATGCGTTTGACAAAGCATTTTTGTGAGTTTTGAGTGATAGTTTGACCCCTACTGACATAGCAAATTTCTCAACAACGTACAAATGTTATTCTGAATCTTCGGAAATGGGCAATTAACTAAATTTAAGTTCCAGCTTACTCTGATTGATATCTCGATTTCCATGAAGCTACGTAGTTCGAGTTGGATTCTAAACATGTGTCCGGTCTCTCATTGTAAAAAGGGAGAAACGAACCAATTTTAGCTTCGTATTTCGAGTGACTGTATGTTAAGAGCTCAGCACCCAGGCATGCTAATCTGGGCACTAGGTCGAAAGACAAACATGACGGAATATCGTGTTCCGCCATCCCTAGATCGCTCGCTATGCATACCAACACCAACTATTACATATCGCAGTAGTAGAACTTTAATTCATATATTTGAATCATTTTCATGTTGTTGTTGTTCTAGTCACACATGGCTTGTAGCTAGCGTACCCGAACAACTTTGCCACCAAACACAAAAGCCGCAATTTTCCCCAACGATGTCAAGTGCATACGTCATGCTTAAGATGGTCACTTCATCAGCGGTATCACCATGAGTGTCCGGGGCAGGATGGGTTATGACACATCAACGTTTTTGGTGGTGGATTTTGAAGAAAGGACTTCCCAGGTGCCCGTCAACGGGCTAACGTAATCAGCGTTGACCTGGAGACATGTGTGCACCTGGGTAGAGAGGGCAGGTCCCATCGACAGTACAAATAGGTCCACTCCCACAGACTGTGGAGACTATGTCATCCTACAATTGAGTTTGACCCACAGTCTGTGGGATCTGTCCCCACACAAATGTCTGCTCAGTTGAAATCCTTCGATCTGCACGCGAGCTTATAATATGGGCCGATCTGCAGCCAATTTTGACAGCTTGACAGCCACGGTAGTGATAAGCATCCTAGCATGCATTGGTGTGCATGATGTCTCACCACTTCCTAGTACTTCCTAGTCCAAGCTTTGTTAGAAGGATTTAATTCGAACAGGGGGCTTCATCGGTACATCGTGCAAGTCGTGCTGTAGCGACATCTCCACTGTTTGAAACGATGAACGTGTTTTTCTAACAGCCTACTGGTGTTAGTGTGGCTGTCATCCAACAAAGCTCCGTCGGGAATGCGGGTTCGGGCCTTCGGGTTATGTCCGGTGGCCCCACACGGGCTGGGGCCCCACTCTCCCGCCATCTGGCGTTGATGGAAATGTTTTTGTTAATCATGAGGTGTGAATGAAGTGTGCATATTGACCAACCAACCCTGTCACTTCCAGATCACCCAGGCCTGAATGGGACTTTTTGATGTTCGCAGCCCAATCAGGCAATCTACAGCACCATACCAAGAGAGTACGTGGACTGAGGGGCCTGGCCTGTCTGCGCAGATTAACTAGTACGAGCGGATGAAGACCAGCGTTCCGCTAGTTTCAGCCCCCAAATACCTCTTCAAACAGTCCAAAGATCTTCTACTTTGACTAGCTGCATCATGGGGGCCAGAAAATAAGTTGGTGTCGAGGCAGCCATCCGGATCTTTTCATAAAGTGATGCTTTCTCCCACCCTTTTCGCCAATTCTATCCATATCAATTCTGTGACACAATGGCCCCCGTCGACACTTCCTCGGTCGCCGATCTGCATGAGCAGTATGATTATATCATTGTTGGAGGCGGCACCTCAGGCTTAGTGGTAGCCAGTCGACTGTCTGAAGATCCGACCGTCAGTGTCCTGGTACTCGAAGCAGGGAGTAATCGTCTCGACGATCCACGAATTGCGGCACCCGGTCTGGCTTCAAGCACTTTCTCAGATCCCGACTTCGACTGGTGTTTCACTAGCCCTCCTCAAGTAACAAGCCCCACAATGTCGAGAAGCTGCAACACAAGCTTACCAACGATCACAGGAGCATCTGAATGGACGGTGTCTCGCCGAGCCTCGTGGCCGAACGCTCGGTGGTTCCTCTGCCATCAACTTGGGCATGGTGATCTACCCCAGTCAGACCGATCTCAACTCGTGGGAAGAGCTGGGGAATGAAGGGTGGAACTGGAACAATCTCTCTCACTATTTGAGAAAGTCGCAGACCTTCACACCTCCCTCCGATGAGATAAGGGAGCAACTTTCGCTCCAATATATTGACCCTGCTATTCAAGGCACCTCTGGCCCACTGCAGGTATCCTTTGGAGATGGACCTTTCCCTTCTTTCAATGCGGCTTGGCCTAAGGTATTTAAGAATCTGAACCACCGAATCACTGGAGATCCAATGTCTGGGTTGGCGAAGGGAGCGTTCTGCAATCCTGGCAGCATTCATCCCACCGAAAGAACGCGCAGTCATGCTGGCGTGACATACTATAATGCCGAGGTCGCCCAAAGAGGCAACTTGCGAGTCATCACCGACGCTCTTGTTGCGAAAATTGTTCTAGAAAGAGATGGTACGAACGATGCGACTGCAACCGGGGTTCAATTCGTCGGTCGCGATAGAACTCAAAGAACCATCGGCGCCAACCACGAAGTCATCCTAGCCGCGGGAGCGCTGAAAACACCCCACATTCTCGAACTATCTGGTGTCGGAGAAAGAGACCTGCTCCAAAGGCATGGGATTGAAGTCGTGGTGGAGAACGAGAATGTCGGCGAGAATCTTCAGGAGCACGGCTTTGTCCCATTCAGTTGGGAGGTAGCAGACGGCCAGTTCACAGCCGAAGCCCTTCGTGATCCCGAGATCGCTGGCGCGGCAATGGAAGCATGGCAGACATCCGGCGCAGGGCCTCTCGGACTGTGTGCCATGCACTCGGCATATGCGGGCCTCCCAGATTTGCAAGACGGCGAGCTCGCATCACTTGTCAAAGAGCACCTCAGCGATCAGAATCTATCGCCGGGCCTTTCTGCACAGTATGATCTCCTCCGCCGGCTCCTAGAAGATGAGAACGAACCTTCGGGCCAATACACACTTGCCCCATTACAGGCTTTGCCGGAGAAAGGACCGAGCATGAAGGGAATCTTCGGAATGACCGAGCCAGAAAATTTCATGAGCATTGTTTCGGTTCTCAATCGCCCCTTCTCCCGCGGTACCGTACATCTCGAGTCCACCGACCCCAAAGCAAACCCGATCTTCGATCCGCGCTTCTTCTCCCATCCGCTGGATATGGAGCTCCACGCTCGTCACGTTCGCTGGTTGGAAACACTCGCTTGGACGGAGCCGATGGCGTCCCTGCTCAAACCCGACGGTCGGCGTTTGCAAAATTCGTCGAAGGAGACAACCCTAGAGGAGGCGCGTGAACTTGTCCGTGACCGCTTCTTAACTCATTACCATGTCGCCGGCTCCACGGCCATGATGCCGCGCGAAAAGGGTGGCGTGGTTGATTCCAACCTGGTGGTGTATGGCACAGCGAATCTGCGTGTGGTGGATGCTGGCATCTTCCCTCTGATTCCCCGTGGAAATATACAGACAACGGTGTATGCGGTTGCGGAGAAGGCGGCGGATATTATTGCCGAGGCGAAAACCCTCAGGTATCAACAAGCAAATCACATTGGCAGTTATTTGTCTCGCATTTAGCCACCCGCGGGATTTTGATAGGAAGCTCGTCCCTTTCTCTTTCTTTTGCTCGCTGCGGGTCCTGCTGTTTTCTGTACTCATCTTCCAAAGTCAAATTATGGACCAAGACACAGCAGGGAAGTGGAGCTTCTTTTGTATCGCAAGTGCTCACCTTTTACCTTTCACTCTACATTTTACGTGAAATTTAAAATAAGATGAAATATTGAGCCACAATCATGGCAGTTGCAATCAGCTCGGACGGTGCTATAGGCTAAAGATTAATGCGTCAGTCGAGGTCGCAAAACAGCAAAGTCGCTTACCTGTCTGGGTCTACTTTTGAATAACGTGGTAACATTGGCATCTTTGCCATTTTATGTGCAGAACACCCCAGAAAGACCAATCGTTAATGCCTGCAATTGGCTACAGATGCAGACGGCATTTAACAACATAAAATATCTATGCTGTCCTCAGATGTCGCTGCTCTGGCTAAGCCTGGAGACTACCTGCCCAGGTGACCGAGTAATCCTCCACTCCTGTATATTCCATGTAGGATAAACCAGATGTAGGGATCACAAAACTAACCATCATGCAGCAAACTATAGATTTGGAGGTTTCGAAATGAGATCAGGCAACTAGCGGTAAGTGGTGGTACATGATGTCAGGATCTGCGGATTTATATATCATGTGAACCCTGGTGTTGTACGGTGTACCTGACTGCGGTGTGGAATTAGTACCTTAGTTTGCCCAGGTGGTAGTGCCTACATTCAACGGTCTAGTAATTATGGAACAGAGTCTTCTATTATAGATAGATTTCACTGCCTGTAGTCATTATCGGAAGACTATGGAACCACAGCAGAGTTAGCTTTTACAAGCATCTGTTTGGCATTTCGAGCACTAGCTCCTTTTGTGTCATGTCCATCCCCAAAGGGGCAAGATGCAGAGGGACGATATAGGAAAGGCAAAATGGCAGCTTGAGTACTGGAGCCTGCCTCGCGTCATAGCAACATGCTCAATTTATAAGCAGTCATATTTCAGCCTTTCCATATATTTGCGAATTGGATACCCGGTAACTCTATTACAGCTGCAGTGATCTTTATTCGAAAATATGTCGGAATTCATTAATCCCACCCCCGAGAAACTGGATTACTTCAAATCAAACCTCAACTACATCGTTGAAGATCAAAACTCAGCTCAAAACGCGAAGATTGAAAATTGCATTGGCTCCGTTAAAGTCCCCGTTGGCATTGCTGGTCCTTTAAAGATCAAAGGCTCTGATGGAACTGACGACATGTTCTATGCCCCATTGGCAACTTGCGAAGCTACTTTAGTAGCAAGCTGCGCACGAGGATGCAAGCTTTTCAATGCCGGTGGCGGTGTTGAGTTCAAAGTTCTTCGGTCAAATATGACGAGAGCACCCGTTTTCTGGTTCGCGAATTCAGAGCATGCAGCAGCCTTCTACGATCTGGTTCCCGGGCTACTTTCCGAATTTCAAAGCATCGCACACACTACTAGCAGGTATGCTCGTCTTGTTAGAATTGAACCTCAGATCTTTGGCAACACTGTTCACATACTTTTTGAATATTCCTGTGGAGATGCTGCTGGTCAGAACATGGTTACATTTGCTACACAGGAAGTGTGCGATCGCTTTGCGCGGTCCGAGACAGCTCTGTCCATGAAGCTTGAAAGGGTCACTGTTGAGGGCCAGCGAACTTCTGAAAAGAGTTTGTCATGGGCAAATATTTTGAATTCGCGTGGTGTCGCTGTCACTGCGTGGGGAATCGTCACCCCTGACGCTTGCCAAGATATACTGGGTACCTCCACCTGGGACTTATATCAAGGCATTCAAAACAGCAAAGATGCAGCCATAAGAAACGGCCAACTCGGTTACAATCTAAATCAAGCCAATGTCGTGGCAGCTATGTTCATTGCATGCGGGCAAGATGCTGCAAGTGTGTCAGAGTCCTCGTGGAGTCACTTGATTGCGGAGTTTGATCGGGAGACTGATAATCTTCGACTCTCTACATATCTTCCCAGTCTTCCTGTGGGAACTGTTGGCGGTGGATCAGGCCTTGATACTCAGAGAGAAGCACTAGGAATCTTGAAATGCACTGGCGCAGGGTCCAAAGGTCGATTGGCAGGTCTTATTGCATCATTCGCCCTTGCTCTCGACGTGAGCACAGGTGCAGCAGTTACGAATAACACTTTCGCGGCCAGTCATCGGAAATTTGGCAGGTCAGGGGATAGCACCAAAGCGAAGCTTTGATAAAGACACAGAGTTTCCAATCTCGTGATGTCCACGGATAGTGCGGATGTCGCGGCAATGAGGGACTTACCGTTGGGAGGTCAGATGACCCACTTTGGCTAGATAGCTCTCTCTCTCTCTGTCTCTCTCTCTCTCCCTCCCTCCCTCTCTCCCCCTTCTTTTCCCCGGTCGGTCTTTTTGCTTCGCAGCTAGAATGTACTGTTTTGAAGCGATTTGTGATTCTCCGTAGATCAGCCTGTTACCAGCGTGGTTGCATTGGGTGGAACGCTTAGAGATAACAGCAGCGTTCTTCCACGGTTTCACTCGCAAATTTGAGATGAGATCCGTGGTACGTAAATCACTCCCCGCCGATGAAGATAATACATCATCCATGGATGAGCCCTCCAAAAGATATCGATATTTTCCTGGCACAGTAGAGTGTCCTTGGTACGCCTCCAGCATCCATCATTTGGCAGGCTGTGGGGCAATTTGTGGGATTTATCTTTTGATTTCATCACAGATTGTTTTTTGAACGTTTCCTTAAGGATCAACTTGTTCGAACTCGCCGAGCTTGGCGATTTTATCGAGTTTACCGCACTCCCCGAAATCACTGAGTTCACCGAATCGGTCCTCGCGGGTAAGGTCACTGAAATGCGCTTGGACAATGTATGATTTTCAATTGGACGCGAAGAAGAGTTATCTTTCTGTTACTAGGCTAACGGAAACGCACGGGAGATCGGCCTAGATGTGGAGGATTTGACCGAAAATGGCGATGCTCAATCTATATTTACCTCTGGCTCTCCCCATGCTTTTCACTGTGTACCTTTCGTAAGCCAGATCTGAGCTCGTGCAAATTCACTCAGTAGATAGCTTAGATATTCCCTAACCTATTCTATCTTCTTTTTGAACGGATTACTGAGGCTGCTCGATGTAATTAATGTACTTCATCGCCTCGTGGTTCCATCTGGGTGGTAGGGCGACAAGTGTACGGAGTAGCCCTGGGGGCTTTTACCTTGTTGAGTGGACTTCCCCGGTGATGTAAATTGTATTCAAGACTTAAAATCTGTACTGCATTATTCACATTGATTTTTTGAATGCCTTCACTTTAATAGAAATGCTTTTGAAATTTTTCAGTTTTCATTTTCTGTCGTATTTTTGAATTGATGATTAGTCTGCATTTGTCTTCCCAACCATCGCCCATGAGTTGACGGATCGGGCCCGCGGCTATAAAAGCCAAGGTTGAGCCTTGCCTTCCAATCTTTCATCTCCCTTCCTCTTCGCCTCCTTCCACTCTAGTTGCTTCCCAAGGCTAGATCTTCTACTTTGCCCAACCTTGAAACTTGTCATCATGGATGACCCCAGTGAGTCCCCATACATCCTTGCCTAGCGTTCCAGCTTCATGATCTACGGCTCTGGCTTGCATATCTCAAAGGAACTATGCATGTGTCGCAGACTCTGATTTAAGCTCGCGCCTGGTTCTACGTTTCCCATTTTGCATCGGGCGCGGCACTCGCATCTGTCAAACCTCACCTGTGGACTGAAACTAGACTGCTAGACCATGAGCTGTATCTAACAGACTTACAGATACTGGTCCTCCGAGCGCAGGCTGCAAGATGTCACCTGAGCAAAACTAGCTTTCGCGCGAGCCGAGCATCCCATCATCCGGAGAGAGCAATCCTTCGCCCAAGAATTCGATCTCGAAGAACACTCAAAGCGATCGCCCAGCCTTTCACGACATTGTGCCTAGATACCCCGACAGGGCCGATTCTAAGACTATGGATGAATTCCTCGAAAAGCTGCGTATCTGGAAAGCCAATCACCTCGTACGATGCGACGAGAGATACTGGTTCCCATACTTTGAAGAAACATACTTCTGGCCTCTTGATACGCCAAGAAGCAGGACGCCCATTCAAGCGAGCTTGGCATCCATACTCAACACTGGCACGCGTTTGCCTACCGCTGGCATGACGATGAGCCGACATGGGGCAGATACTCACGTCCAAATCCTCCCATCCAGCCTTTGAAAGACGAAAGCATCTTGGAGCCGTGATATACCTACTACGACCAGCTGGTGTCCGAAAAGGAGGATTTGTTTGACCGTTGGATTACCGAGAGCATGCGAGACATGGGTCTTGATCCGGACAACTTGACCGACGATGAGGGTGCGTGATCGGTGCTTACTTTGGGGCTCACCAAATTCTTCGCCCTTCGCTTTTTGACTTCAGGATGGGATGAGACATTACCTGGCTGACCAGAGGCTCTGAGATCTTTTTCGTGCCCTCTTGAGTTTCCTATCTCGTACAATGCAATGAATTTTGAGCAATGATGCCTTCGATATAATATCAGCAACGCTGTAGAGCGACAACTGCAACACTCCAGCCATTCACTCAGCTGCTCCGTAAAGGCTGGTGTTCCATTCAGAAACAAAAATATCCAATTGTATCAATCAATCATGACGGTGTTTCGAAAGCACATGTCGTAATTATCATTTCGAGATGTAAGTCTTAACATCATAGCTACTCATTTTGACTGATGTGGACAAAGGGCTATCATGCCTGGCAGGATAAAATGGTTTGGATTGTTCAATAACAATTTATGAAAAAGAAAAAAAGAGAAAGAGAGAAGGACAAAATGTCAGGACCTTCGAGTTGACATCTATGCCTTAGGCCGGAAAGACACCCCACGCAGTCCCACTTCCCGCCCCACTCTCCACCCCACATGCTCATCCCCACAGAACTCAGGTACCGCGTACTCCGTTCCTCGTAGTTCAATAGTAACGCATATGTATAGCAACTTATGAGATGAGCTCATACTTCTCCCTTGGCAATCGAAGCTCTCATGTCAAGAGGCTACATGCTATCACTGATATTCTCTCGCTTATACATCCACCTTGCTTTACATCCATCAAGGGTAAGTCTCACTGATGTCAAGGGCCAAGAAGATGTAGCGGTGAGGCCTGAGGCACCCAAGGCTCATGTGCGACCAACAACAGACACTAGGCATGGTCTCGCCTGCATCTTGCTCCTATCAGGACTATGCCACCTACAAAAAGCGGGTAGAATTTATCTAGGATCCTTCTCATGTGATCAAAATCTACCTCGAATCAATGGACATCAACACGCCTCTAGATCTTGTACACTTGGCGCAGAGCCAGCTTTGGGTCGACAAGGTGAATGAAACCCATAGGACAGGCCGTCTTTGCCCCTGGGTGTCGACTTTCCATCCAGATAAGCTTCCCTGTGTGCTCGATGGCACCTTCCATCATGGCGCATTCAACGCTGGCGTGAAGATGGTATTCAGCGACAGCACGGCCTGGATGGTTCGCTTCCCTCGTTTTGGGAAGGTCTGTGAAGACTATCTGGACGAGAAGGTTGCTATGGAGGTGTCAGCCCTCAATCTCATCCGCGAAACGACTACAATCCCAGTTCCAATAGTCCGAGCTTGGGGTATGGCGGACAGCAACATCCTCGGTCTAGGTCCATTTATCATGATGGACTTCATAGAAGGTGTCAGCCTTAGCAGCATCATCGAGGACCCCAACGCCAATCCCCCAAGCAGAGTTATTAGAGAGGATATCAGCGATAGCGATATAGAAATGATATACAAGCAGATGGCAAACTTCCTGCTTCAACTTTTCAAACTCGATTTTGACCGAATCGGCAGCCTGCCATCGCCAGAGACTGGAAATTCGAACCCTAAACTACCCCGGCCTTTGACATTCAAGGCAGAAACTATACTTCAAGATGGTGGAGTTGATACATTCGGTATGAATTTTCACGCTCCACTCCCCTTTTTGCCCCTATTGCTCTCGTGGGGTGAGTGTCCCGACTAAGCAATTGACATCCAGGCGACCGATCAAAAGGGTTTACTACAACAACCGAATATTTCCAATATGTTGTTGGACAAGACTGGAAGCAGTTCGTTGATCAACCAAACTCGATTGTCGGATTTCACGATGCCCAAAACAAATATCTCTTATTCAAAGTGCTACAGAGTGTGATACCTCAATTCGTCAACCCAAATTATGACAGTTGCAAATTCAAATTTATCTGCGACGACCTTGGTTTGGCAAACCTGATTGTCCGTGGGACGGAAGATCTCACTGTGGTTGGAGTGGTGGACCTTGAGTGGTCATATACTGGACCCGCCCAGCTGATTGGCTCAGCGCCATGGTGGCTTCTCCAAGACAGACCCGTCAATAATGAGTGGGATTGTGACGGCGAAGAGCTTCCAAAACTTGCGTCTCGGTACTCTCGATACTTGGAAATTTACATCCGCATCTTGGAGGAAGAAGAGTCAAAGATGCAAGGGCACGAAGACAAGGAGCTCTCCAGTTTAGTCAAGTGGTCGAAGGCCACTGGAGCTATGTGGTTGCATATGATTCTCTCTTCTGGTTTTAATGATCATTTCAACTTCCCCTTCACGCAGCTGCGTGCACATATAGGAGCGGCTGAGTGGGCAAGGCGCGAGATGGAGTTTGACGTCCCTGATATTGTTGAGGAACTTGCGACGCGGAAGGTGAAAGAGATGAATATGTATGAAGAAGTCTTGGAAGAAATGGAAAAGAGCAAGGCACTTGTGGACAGTGGAGATATGACAAAGGAGGAGCTTATTGCTAATTACAAGCAAATTCAGGCAGGAAAGATAGGCTGTAAGGCTCAACATGGAGCATGAATTAACGTGACAGCTTCCAAGGGTTGAAATCGATGTTCCGCAAGGGACCTCGGGAGTTGATAGTTCATACCGCGCAGATTCAGAAGCTTGTAAATGGTAGAGCGCATGGGGGCTTGAATTTCATATATTACAGGATAGGAAAGAAGAAGATATGTGAATTTTCGCGGTCTTGATTGAGCCCAACAAGGGTTCAAAATATGGGCATTTGGCTTCCTACAATTATCTCACCCAGCAATTCATGGATAAGGTAAGTAGCTCTCGATCAACTGGCCAATTGGGAGTTTAGACGTGCGTGTCATTTGTATAAGCCTCTGTGGCACGGTAGAGGAAATTTCAAAGCATCTTAAATGGACAGATTCGGAAACATAATGTGTTCTAACTTCAGAGTTATTACATACGACCACAGGGTGTGGAGAACAGGGCTTCCCGTCCGCTCAGCCGTACTTAAGCCACACGCCGGTGAGTTAGTAGTTGGGTGGGTGACCACCAGCGAATCCTCTCTGTTGTATGTTTTTGTTTTTGTTTGGGTTTCGCCTTTTTCTTTTAGCAGGCATACAGTAAGAAAATCTGCCGACGTCTTCCTAAATAGAACGTCCGTTGGCCCTTGGTACCAAGCATGCTATTCTGTGCCTCCTATTTTTATCCACCTTTGTGTAACTCGCGACAACGTGTTCTCGCATTCGTCCAACTCGACCCAAGGTCCGTCTGGAGTCTCCACTTGGCCTGCCTCAGCAAACCCACCATCCGGAGTCGGTACTCTTTCCCGAAAACTGTTGATAAACAACCCAGTGGAAAACATCCGCCATCTATCCCATATAAGCATACCACATCGTCGATAACGCAGGATGTTATTCATTCCGCGCCAGTTGGGCCCACTTCGCAAAACCTGAGAGCGCAGGAATCTAAATAACCCTATATGTCCCGAGGAAGTTGCCCAGTAGGTCGGAAGCAAACACCATCGATTTGTCGCTGAATTTCGAGTAGGCACTGGTGGTGGACTCCAGATTGAATATTGAGTCTCAAGCAATCGGGGAAGTTCAAATGAAGAGAAGAATGGGATAGGCGTTTCTGCAGATAGTTCCCACGATAAAGTGGATCTATGCTCCGGTTGAAGCTTTTCTCCAGGAAATACTGAAGGGGGCAAGCTTTCAAATCCTCCAGCGCAACGGCAACAGTCCAGATGATCTCTTTCATGAAAGGATTGAAAGTATCTGAATTGGGATATAAGTCAAGGGCCTGGATCGATTCATTTGGCCAACTCCACTTGCTATGAATGGAGGAGTTTCCAGCGTTGTAAAAGGGTGAGAATCGGTTGTCCACGGATTTTCGAAGGTCTGAGTAACATCGAAGGTGCCAAAGGGCCCAACAAACACGGTATTCTTCTATACACGAAAAAGGCCGATTTGCCTGCTGCGCATGAAGAGGCGAGGCCTCTACGGCACATGAGAATTCTCGTTGCAGCTTTGCAAGGCAGACACAGGCTAGCCGCTGGATCTGGGCAGCAATGTGAAGAATGCGACAAGCGACCTGTGGACTGTGAAATCTTTGCGGTGAATCAAGCTCGTGAACCTCAGCAGCGAGTTGCTTAAATCCATCCAGAGTGGCGCAATGAATAGAGGGGCTGTGAAGGATAACGATGTTGGAGACCAGCGATTTGATTTCAGGCTGAGAAGCTATGGGGTGGGATGCTGAAATCGCCTGCATTATTGCAGGGGAGTTAGCTTGCAAGACTGCCCTGGCTGGTCGGGATACTGATGTTAAGCTTTCCACGCCCACAAAGTCAGCCGTGTCCTCGAGGATCTGACAGATGAGCTCGACCGGAAGCTGCAAAAAGGGATCCATGACATTGAGAATATTGATTGGTTTGTCTGGGAGGGCGGGGAGATGGGAGGAAGAGAGTAAAAAAGAAACATATCATCCCCGGGGCCGGGAAGTCCTTGAGCCGATTTTTCAGGCGGGGAGGGGCGGGGGCCGGAATCTAGCACGCCCCACTGTGGGTCGCAGCGCCGGGGACAAACATGAACTTTAGCCTGCAAGTCTGAAGACAACAAAGGCTTTCAAAATCCAAGCTGCATTTTCAACTCCCCTCTGAATCTGCTGCTAGGCCGAGAAAGCGACAGATTAACCACGCCCACGACAACGACTAGAACCGGGCTCAGCGTCTCCATTCGAACCGCCAGCAAGGTATACTACATCGAATCATCCAGTGTCCCCCGGGGGCCATTTGCACCGCTTGCCTCGGATCGTGGGATGTCCCCCGCCGACTTTACCATATTCAGTACTGACGAATACCTGTGCATTTCACTGAAAGGGGGTCAGCATTTGTGATGCTCCACTGGTGATATGCTCGATTTCAAACCCAAACCCGAGGCAGCTGGAACCTGTGCTTGTGTGATGGTCCATTCGGGTGATCTCTGAAACGGACTTGCAAGTGCCAATAGTCTCACTAAAGATAATCTTGAAGATTTCGATAAGGAGACTTGGGGCTGGATAGGTTGTTCGTCTCTTGAGGCGAAACAAAAGATCTTCTTTAGCAAAGTCGGCCTTCCCATGCCGGCGGTTGTTGACAATTTCGTCTGCGGTCCTCAGGTCTCTGGCACGAAAGGACCCACCGATGGAACAAAATTCGGTGATCTCGATCCGTGTCGTCTCAAGTCTTACTGCAGCATCTAGGGTTAGTATGGAATCACTGATGACTTCTACACTATCACAAATTCTTCGGCTGACGCACCAGGGACGGCAATAAATAGCACCGAAGGCTGTATATCTTAATGTGGTACTGACATTGTCAATGATCACCAAAGACCTGATCGGTTGATGTATCTTGAGGCATGAGGACCGTGACTGCCTTAACATGAATGTCACGAGCTTTGACACAGCAGTCTATACCCATCTCTACTCAAGTCACGCAGTCTGCTCATTGGGCAAATTTTGGTTTTATTTAACAAAGTCATGATGTTCGCCTAATCTCGATGTCTCGACTCTATATTCTGATCAAAACCAAGCTCGTCAACTCAATTCCGGGGCCTCTTGGGGGCATTCTCATTTAAAATTGGCATCAACTGGTGGCTTTTCGTGCTTCCTGTCCTCACTCTTCTCTTCCAGATCATCCGATGTTAGCTTATCCTTATTCAACGGCTCAGTCTGCTGGACTTCTCCGCTTTGGACCTGGCCATCTGTGGGCTCATCGTCTTCCGACCTCTCGCTCTCCTCATCCGGATCACCTTGAACCGTCTCACCCCCTTCCGATTACTGAGCATTCCGTTTCTTCCGCTCTGCCCGAAGCTGTTGCCATTCTTCCTGGCTCCGCCCTTGCTCTTCTACGCGTTTGCCAAAGACATAACACGGCGGATATCTCAAGTCTGAAAACAGCGGCAGTTCTCCTTTGTCGAGCTTCCTCATCTCTGTGTAGGATGCAGATGCGAATGCTTCAATACGCGGATCTTTCCGCATGATATATACACCCCCTCTGCGACTGGCGTAATGAATTGGCTGTTGCAAGCTCTCCTTTATCTGGAGTCGCACATTTTGATCGCAATCAGCGCGGAAGATATCGTAACAGATATACACATAGTCCGGCGAGCCGAGCATCTGAATTATATTCAGACTTATCTCAAATTCGGCATTTGGTTTCCCAACTTCTTCAAATGCGGCGCGGCTGACTCTCTCGGCAAGTTTCTCTGCCCACGGTATGACATCTGCAGAGCGTCGGGACTTGTCAGGTTTGTATTTAGTCTTAAGTACAATTCGCAGGGTGAGGTCGTTTTCCAATGCCATGCGAGTTCCGGGGTCGGGAATTTGAACCTTCTGGTCCGTCATGGTGGGGTTCGTGTGGGCGTGACAGATGAGAGACGAGAGGTTTGCACACTGCATACGGAGTACGCGGCTACTGATCTGCCCCCGCCTATGTGCGACAAGACTGTTTATCTGACAATCAGGTGACCTAATGTCGCAGGAGTTCTGGCTGGTTTGTCTTTCGATGGTCGGTCCAGTACTGGTTTGAATATTGACAGTTCACTTGAGTCGAAATTTTTTTTGAATGTCAAGACTGAAGTCCGTTGTGTGGTGTAGAAGGCAGATTGAAAGGCAAGTTAAAATCAGCTTGCCACTGCCGGGAAGAAATAAAGGGGGCCAGGAGTGCGGGGTCCTTTGCTAGTTGAATGACCAAAAGGAATGCGCCTAACTGGCGCTCAATCCTATTATGTACCCCTCTATTCCCTGCGAAGACTCTATATAGTAATCACGAAAACTTTACAAACGACCTCATAGCTGGGCGATAACTTAACTTAGTATTTCACCTTGAGAGGACTAGACTAGACATCTAATTTAAAACCTTGGAACCAGCAAATCATCCTCGTTCATATATTTTTACTCGAAAATTTTCGTGTTTCAAATAAAAATAGCTTGGCTTGATTTTGGCGCCAACGTTGTTTACACTACCACTGATTTACTCCGTATTCAGCGACCTCCAGGGCTGTTCTTCCGGTGTAAGCGGTTAGAGACAAACATACCGGGCGCAGTACATAGGGTCCTAAGAGTGTTTACCCACTGCCCCACTTCCATGGCCCTAACAACGAACCCATGTTTTCCCCCTCTTCTTTTTTTCTATCTTCCTACACTGACATGGTGCCAGAAATTAGCCCATTCAAAAGGCCAAAGGTAAACCTAGGAACCTTCCCCAGACGAACGTAGAGTTTTCATATATGCTGTTTTTCAGAGATATGAAGGATACTTGAATTGCCAAACTACAAGTTCGCGAGCTAAAACTGCCAAAACTAGCCACTGTGGCGCACATGATGTGTGGCGCGGTTTCCCCATCACAGTATCTGTTTTAATATGTGATTATCTATCTTATTTATACAAAATGTCAAATATATTGATAACAGTCTATTCTTCTCCTTTGAATTTGGATTACCTACCCAGAACCCCAGCAGGAGGAGTTCAACAGGGTTTGTAATTTAATCCACAAAGAAATGGAAACGGCCAGTAAAGCATGTGTACTTGCGACTATGTAGCAACCATGATGACGTTAGGTGTCTTCAGGTATCTGAAAAAGGAAAGGTTCAGAGATACACGACCATCTGGTGAACTACTAGTACTTCTTTGAGTCCGTCATGCTCCATACACGTTCCGACACCCAATTTACATCCATCGCTTGGTCCCATTATGGCTCAAGAACGAGCCGCTATACCCACCGGCGAGTGAAGATCGATGTATCGCAGCCAGGACGTTCTTTGCGGCTTCCTCGGGTGACATGGGCCTGTACCCAGGAGCGTATTGCTCAAACTTCGGTCCATATTTCTCGAGTTGGGCCATATCATCGCTGGTCACTGCTAAACTGTTAAATCTCAGTCTTTATTTGCTGCAGTTGTTTAACTCACAGGTAGTCCCTGGTTCTGTAGTATCGATTCGACCTGGGCAAATCGATGCAAAGAGAATTCCTTGGTGTGCATATGCAGCGGCGAATTTCGCTGTCAATGTTGCGAGGGCTGCTTTGCTCACAGCATAAGGAGCTGCAATAGGCAGTTGGATCTCGTTAATAAAGTCTAGCAGATGGTTGATTAGTCATTGTCCTATTGGTTAGAACATTTGGTCTGAGACTGACCGATATCTCCCATGCCACTGGAAATCGAGATGACCTTCTTGAGCTCTCCTTGCTTGACAAATGGCAGGAATGTGTTGATAACCCCGAAAGTACCAAAAACATTCACCTCGATACTCCTGTAGGTGTCATCAATGGCAGCTTGCATATCACTCTCACTGTGGATATTAGCTGCTAGACTCTCAAAGCTTAGAGGTGTCTTTGCCTACAAGTCTTCGAGTGATTTCAGCTCGGTCGTATGGCTCACATAACCAGCATTGTTGATGATTATATCGATACCCTTACCCTTGAGGAACTCTCCGGCGATTTCTGCGGCGCGACTTAGAGCAGACTGGTTGGTTATGTCTGCTTCGAGGATAAGTGCATTGAATCCATCGGATTTCATGCGCTGTTGCACCGCAACCTTGCTTCTGGCAAGGCCGATTACGGTGGTTCCTGGGGTTCTAGCTAGTGTTCTCATCAAAGCATACTGGAATGGCGGTGTTAAGTTAGTATCGTTTCATATTTTTCGGACGGTATGGGCTTACACCGAGACCTCGCCCCACACCAGTGATTAGATAGACGGGCATGATTAGCTATGAACTGGTTCCAATGTTGTTTTGAGGGATCGCGATTCTTCGGTGTTGAGACAATTTTTTGATTCTGCTGATCTGTGGCTTTCGATGCTCTTATACTAATCATATATTGCTAAATATCCTCGAAATTCCATTTGTCATCTAACATCACCACAGATATGATTCATAATCGATGATGATAAACTTGTTCAGGTGCCAAAGGTGGATGCAGTACAGACTTCAAGATTAGCACGGAACTCCGGGTGCCGACATCGAGGAGTGCATCTCTTGGCAGACCTCAACATGATGAATATGACCGCTCGTATATGGCTAAATGAAGAACATATGGCGAAGCAGATCTTCTGTCTGCGCAGAATCTTTCGGCATTTAGGTTTGATCACACAGAACTTGCGATGCGGAACTCGGGGTTCCGCTCCAACGTCACAATATCGCAATCTAGAGGAAACAACCTGCTTGGAAATCAGACAGCTTGTTACTATCACTGATTAGAAATAAATAGCCCCTAAAAGTTACTTTCTTACTAATTATAGACACTTTTACAACCAGCTTTAGAAAAAGAACTGCGTATAAATATAAAGCTATCAATCCTGAGTCTGGCCTTTGAAAGGCTCAACTTTTGTTTTTCTCAGAGCCATCAATCGTATTCTTTGAATAACGTCAGACCAACTCTACTAAAATGTTGCTACATGATCTCGCTATTCCAATAGACTCTGTTGTCGTTGTTATTGGAGCAAATGGATTCATCGGCTTGGAGACATGTGAAAAGCTTCTGCAAGCCGGTTATAAGGTCCGAGGCACTGTCAGAAGCGTCGAAAAGTATTCTACTTTTATGCATGACCTCTTTGATCTGAAGTGGCCTGGAAAGTTTGAACTTGTGCAGGTGGTAGATTTTGAGGAGGAAGGGGCTTTCGATGAAGCGTTCAAAGGTGAGCAACAGACCATACTTTTTTAATCTAAAAGTCTCAATCCGAATACTAATCCCAGTGAGTATAGGAGCTGCTGGGGTCATCTATACCTCGATGCCAATTGTTTTCCACCCTGACCCAGCCAAGGTCATCAATCAAAGCGTTAAATCGACTATCAATACCTTGGAGGCGGCAGCTAAAGCACGAGTCCAGCGCTATGTTCTGTGCTCCAGCTCTAAAGCCGTCGAGACTGCCAGATATGACGGTACACCCCGTCGTCTTACGGTCAATAATTACAACACAGAGTCTCTCCTGAAAGTTTGCTGCGGGCCCAGAGAAGAAACTCTTGAGTGGTCCTTGAATGTCTTCAGTGCCGGAAGAGCTCTTGCAGAGCTCAGCTTTTGGTCTTGGATTGGAGAAAAAAATCCTCCCTTCGTTGCCAATTGTGTGGTTCCAGATGGAGCCTTTGGTCGCGGGCTCAATGGCGCTACTTCAACAAACCAGATGCTAAAAGCGGCCTTGGCTGGTGATTGGAACTCTGTTCCAATGCCAATATGTGAGTGCCCAGCCATCCAAGTAACTTCAGTAGTGTCTTTCAGAATGCTGATAGTATGCCCTTGAAGCCTACCTATCCGATGTGCAAGATACTGCCCGCCTGCTTGTCGCTGCGACAATCAAGTCCTCGATCTCTAATGAACGTATATTTGCTTATTATAAGCATCTTACGTGGAATGACTTACGTACCAGGGTCCGTGCCGTTAGACCGGGACTTGTGAAGAGCGAGGACCACCCTTTGCAAGAAGGTTATCTCTCAAGTGTCCACGAGCCGATCTGCCGGGCAGAGGAGATCCTGAAGGATATCGGGCGAGCAGGATTCACTCACGAAGACTCCATGCTGCGAGACTTTCTGGATACTTGCTTTTAGTCAGGCATTGTACTACGCTCCTACTCAGTTATTAACAAGGTTAATGATTGTTCAAACTTGTGAACTACAAGAAATCCCGAGCTAGTATTGAACCAGGATCCACTATCATTAGTAGTTCAATGCGAATTAAGGAAGTAGTGACTTCAGCTATCTCAAATTAAAGTTGACATGCTTGATGAGCACAAATACCATGGGTTCGCGCCGATTGGATTAGAGAATCCACCGGGAGAAATACTTATATCCATTCATTTTGATACAAGTAAACTGTTATACATTTCTCTCTTTGCACAACACAGAGCGACTGAGTTAGATAGTGAAGAAGCACGCTTTCCACGACGAAGGAGAAGTTCAGAAACGATGATCCATTTGAGAAGGGTCTCTGGGGCATTAAATGCCCCCATATTGGGCGCGCAATCGAGAAGCAATCCTTGTCGCTTCGCGAAGCGCCAGCGTCAGCGAGGCCGCAAACGCGGACGTAAACGCGGACTGTCGCATGAATCAGAAGCAGCAGGGATTGCGCTCAATAGATAGGGCCATCGACAGCTTCCTTCAAGATCAGTGCGGATATCCCTGCAGTTCCCCATCGGTCAAGCTTGCCAAGTAGGTCAGAACAGTCGTAGGCAATTTCAAATTTATCCTGGTTTAAACGATTGGGAAATGTTTTCATTGTCCTTTGAACGCGATCTGCATTAAACTTTGACATGGCATGAACCTCGGGAAATCGCATCACTTCCTCGCGCCAGTGGGGGGACAATTGAAAGCGAGGCTGAAGAAACGAGGTGTGGCATATCAAAGCCATCCTTGCGTAGTAGAGGGCCCGGGGAACATGTACAGCAGGGGTGTCTCTCACCCCGATGCTTTCCCCTCGTTCTAGGAGCATACAAGCATGGAAAAGACAGCGTAGATAAGACAATGATGGGGACCATTGATCTAACTGCTTTTTAGCTTCTATGGCATCAATTTCCTCATACCGTCCGACCGCCTGGTCGAATATGATAGAATCAACACATAATATGAGGAACGAAAATTGCCATAAAATACCCAGCTGAAAAGTATCCCCCACGATACGGAAACTGTCAGGTGCCCTGGTGTCATACCACCGGACAAGAGCGTCGATGACCTTTGATTCAACTGACCCGGTCTCTATAAACGTGCGGGATTCAATGACGCAAGCATTCAGGTTAGCAAGAATGCTGTAGGAATAAAAGGCAGAGGTGTTTAACAGCGAGGTAATCCTGTTGCCCTGATCCTGTAGCTGTCCCTGCACCTGACCCTGCACCATCCATTCCATAATTTTCATGGGTTTCCTTTTCATTGACATGGCATGAATGTCTCTGAACAAATAATACCACTCTTGGCTGTCGGCGGCGTCAAAAAGATCATCACACGTGCATTGATCATAACATTTGGCGAAATGATGAAGTAACGGATCATGGTGATGTCGACTCGCCATATTGGCATCTTGAATATAGAGGGCCATTGAGAGCCTTCGATATTGCTCTCGGTAGCTCCATCTTTGCCAGGCCGCGAAACTTTCATCACTGGACGTATTTTTGAACAAAAAATCATCATCTCCAACTCCGAAAGCCCCAATCCTTCGAGCCCATGCAACCACGGTGCCATGGAAAATGTCGGTCATGATGTTGTCACCGGATTCAAAGGAGAGTGTGCCAAATATCTGGCAGAGGAAAGCGGCTTGGACCATTGGAAGGCGTTCGTCTTCATTCGCAGAATAGTGAGACTCCCAATCGGCCAGAATGGCCCTTTGTACGCGGTGAAAGATGTAATGTCCTTTTTGTCAGAATAGCTGTCATGTACGATAAACTTAGATGATATTGAGACGAGGAGACGAAGGAAAGAGGGCGAGCGAGGCTCCTAATCTAGGTCTATCAAACATCCTGCAGGGCCCTGCAAACAAGGCAAACAACGGCGCCGACACTTTTTCGTCGCCTTCATTCGTTCCAACGAATAGACTGCCGATGGCACACATGGACAGAACCAACAATGGGCTGTGGGAATTCGGTCGAAAGGATGGTTTATGGATCACCGGGAGTATGTGGTCAAAGCGTTTCATATAAAGGCGAAGACAGAGGTTAAAATACTCGACTGAAAAATCGATTTCTTCGTCTTCCTCCGAGGACAATATGCTGGATAAAATATCATGATACTGCTCATTGACAGTGAAGCGTCCTGTTGATTGTTGTGACGTTGCTCGATTGAGGATTAGGTTATTCCAGTCTCGCAGATTGGCTAAATCATAGTCTTGTTCATTGGACCAAATTCCGTGGTCCATCGACAGAGCTTGTTCGCTGTGTGTGGACTGTGCTCCAGGGTTAGGCTCGATCTGGACCCTATCAACTTCTGAGAGGACTGATTGATAATGTATTTCAGATTCACGTGGGCCCGGAAAATGCCTTAATTGTTGCTGCTGCGCAGTCGACCAAGCCTGCGTGTTATGTTTCCATTGTCGGAGTAATGGCTGCGCCCGTGGGTGTAAAGTGGCGTTCAAAGCAGAGTCCACCCTCCCTGAGTTGGTGTCTTCGGTAAGAAACCGTGTGTGGACGGCAGGTGAAGTATCCCTTATCTCTGGATTCGAAGCTGGACTATCAGAATGTGCAATGGAAATGACCGGATTCACATTGTCAACAAGGCGCTGAGCTGGGGTATATTCCGATTGGTCCAGAGTTGAAGAGTGCCCGGGGGACACTTACACAGCCTGGCCATCAGGGTGATTGTTACTGCGTCCATCTGGTAGACTGACAGAGTTCAGATTGCTATGCGGAACAATCAAAGACTCAGCAACATTTGGGTTACTATGGTTAGATACCGAAGCCCCATGACTTAACGAGGATGACCGGTCATCGCTATTCTGGCTTTGGGCATTGAGCGGGAGAGTTAATTGTGCATTGGCCTCCCTTACTCTATGCTTCCTCTCGTGTCTAATCATTGTGTCCCTAGAAAGAAGAGTTACAGGCCATAATCACTGCATTGGAGTTGGTTTATGTTGATGAGAAGAGAGGGAAACCAGATTCATCACAGTGAAAAGAGCAGACATACTTTCGGGGAAATGAGTTTCCACAAATGCTGCAAAGAAATGGACGCTCCTTGGTATGAGATCGGACGTGTCTCGATAGGTGGTCTTGTTTATAGAACGACTGGTTGCAAATATGGCACGTTCCTATAGGTTTGCGCGGGGTAATCATGGTGATTTCAGTCTCGAAAAATTATTGAAAATATCTCTCAGTGAGCAGAAATTACAAATGTCTTTTCTTATGACGGATGGCCTCACGGGCTGAAGGGACTTAGCGAGGATAGAAAAAGTCAAGGGGCGGAGGTCAGCATTCGGACTGGCTCCACTGGAGTCCCGTGGAGATGACTCAGCATAAACCACCCACGGATATGACCCGGTCCGTCCACGGGTGATGATCGATCCTTATCGATGCAGCCTTGTCCAAACTAACCCATAAAGCGGCGACTATCCGTCCCACCGCGGAGGTCAATTTGATTAGTGTAACAGCAGCTGAGCATCAGTAGTTCTAAGCTAGCTTCTTTTCCCTTGAAGCAAAAGAAGGTGATAATATATGGGAATGTATTTTCTAGTACATACGACCACAGGGTGTGGAAAACAGGGCTTCCCGTCCGCTCAGCCGTACTTAAGCCACACGCCGGTGAGTTAGTAGTTGGGTGGGTGACCACCAGCGAATCCTCACTGTTGTATGTTTTTGCTTTTTGTTCTTGCTTTTGGATTGTCGAAAAATTCACCTCTCTAGTTCCAAGGTAGAGATAGATACCCACTGGATCAGATGAACGATTATCCAGTCCATGAATACTGTGCTCCCGAAAGCGAATGGCTTCAGTTTATCAAGCGAAGAAAGCAAAACATTGCCACAAAGGACATCCATCAATATGATCATCCGGAGCCACTCAGCGGGCTTTCTTAGCCTTGGGAGGAAGGAAATTCCATGTCGCCATGTTCAGAAGATACGGCGAAGCAGAACGGTAACTTCCGTCTACTCCAAGCCTGAGCATCATATCATCTCTGATTTCCTTCTTCGTTTCTTCCGAAAAGACAAATCCGCGATCGCTGATACAGCACCAGCACTCTGGAGTGCAGTGGCCTGCACCCTTCTCAGCACCATAAAGATGCCTTTTCGCGCAGCATCCACATTGCCGGCTACAACATCCGCCTTGGTCCGAGCAGTCTTGAATCAAGCCTTCATTCATGAACCAGGTGGGATCACGCCTCACCTTGTCATAGAGATGTCTATCGGATTGGCGAAGCAGAGACACCGCTCGGTAGATGGCTCGCTCCTTTTCCGGATATTGTCGTTTTGCATGATCCAGCAATTCACTATTTTTTCGGAACTGAGACGTATCATTGTCAATAGCTGCCGCCTTTTGAGATGCCGCAGTCCAGAGATTTATTGTTTCCATGCGTTGTACATGCTCGCGCATTGCGTACTCGGCAATAATCACATCGACGACACGGACAGTTTCGATACAAGTGCGATCATTTGACAAGGACCCAGAGCTATAAGGGTATTGCTGAAGTATACGTGAACGCTTGAAAAAAAACCCATGGTTGTGTTTGGATATGGGTGGCTGAACTTGAGGAAGGGATTGATAGGCGGGAACAAAGAGTGTGAGGAGGGTGGTCAATGATATCATGTTTAGTCGGTGACCACCCGCCGCTCAAAACATGGAACCGTGGAGACTGGCACTTGAAAACTTTGACTCATGTAAATCCAAGGATATCTTGTTCTTCTGTTGGTTGTATCCTAGAAGCGCCTGTCACCGCCCTACTTCCAAGGTTGTATGTGGTTAACGGCGGCGGCGGAACAAAGTTACGTTTTCCAAGGTTGGACAAGTCCCAATCTTCAACCCACACTTTTCCAAAGTCGGTTGGCATACATGGGACCACGATATTTGAAAAGGGACGTGGTCTCTTTTTAGGTCGAAGGAGAGAAGTGTCCTCCCAAGGGCCATATAATATATAATAAAAGGACTGTAATGATGCAAGGTTATTTATAAGAACACGCGCGAGAGTAAACATGCGAGAATAAACACGCGAGAACAGACACAGACACAGAAGAACAGACACGCAAACAGACACAACACCCTGGCCAGATCATTCCTTTTTCAAAAAACCGCTCCGGTCAAAGGCCTGCCTGGCCTTTTGTGATCACCGGTTGAGGGAATCGCATTTGATCCCCCGGAATCATAATCTGTACATTTGTGTTTATGGCGTCTGTGCCTAACGTATAAGTTCTTTGTGCGAGTTGGGATTTGGTATTATGGCAGGGACTTCCGTCCCGCCAATCCATGAACGTGATGATCGGAAAGTCTGCTGCTATAGATCAAGTCTTGTTAGAATCGAACCATCATCCAGTACTATTCACAACTTAACTCACGTTTGGATTTCTTGTCCCAGGGCCATATTCCATGGCACCAAAGCCACTTCCGTTGCTCCCTTTCGAGCTTTTTGCGGAGTTTGTAGGTTGTGGCCTCAAGCGGCTTGGCATCCCGTCGGACTCGATCTCTTCACCTAGGGATCGATCGTTAGTATAGAAAATAGCATCGTGTATGTAAAATCAATGTAACATACTGTTGGTAGAGAACAAAAAATACTAGGAGGAGGGCAACAAAGCCGACGATGCCGCCGACGATCTTTTGAAGCAGAGCTGCCCTCCCTTGGAGATTTCCGCTTCTGAATTTATGTCGAGGAATCGAGTCGAGACCCAGCCTTGAGAAGAAGCAGTGACCGAACTTGCATCGGGGTGTAGTAGAGAAGCTCACACACAGAGTCGAGGCGGAGAATAAGAAGGTGGGTAAGCGGTCACCACAGAGGAGAGGCCAAGAAGGCAGACACACGGCCAACACAGAGAATTTCGAACAGACAGCAAAATAGAGAGGAGAGATAACTTTATTTGGAAGAATACCAGAAAGGTGGAGAAGAAGAGAAAATGTTGGCACGGAAAGCTTTCGTTTACATCTCTTGGAGATGGATGTCTGAAGACAGTAATCGTATTGCGTAGAGCCGTGGTAGCAAGAGCATGTCGAGCTGTGCGATGATGATGATTATGATGAGAGAGAGAGAGAGGAAGGGAGATAAGCGAGCTTATAGCAAAGAAGAGAGGGAGAGGCTCCATTTCCGAATGAGGAAGGAAGGTGAGGCAAACCCCTCTCGAACAGCATCCTTGGGTCTCCTCTTTAACTATGCTGTTGAGTGTCTTTCGAAGTGTCTTTTTAGATGTCTTTTTAGGTGTTATTTTACACTGAGGTCCCTAAGTGACAGACAGAGAGAAGAGAGAGCAGACGTGTGCGGTAAAGTAGTGCATTGTGGGACAAGGAGGGAAGAAGAAGGGCGAGATGAAAATTCTCTCTATCCACATCTATCACCTGCGGGCAGCCTGACAACCTAGGCAAACACCTGCGCCAACACTAAGGCACCTGTACACCCAGATCTCTCGTTCATAAGCCCGCATTGACGGAATTCTATTACACAAAACTCCACGTTACGTAGAGATTGTTGTGACCGTTGGAAGATGGGAAAAGACGACGTGCTTGCAACGGATTGCGGCGACAGCACGCGCGTGAGTCTCGCTTCTGGTGATGATTCTCATTCCGGGTTTCTAGATATAGGCATCCGATCACAGCGTTATTCGAAGGTTATGCTGCTTGTAGAGGAGGGTGGATAGCGTGTTGGCAAAGTTGATACCTAGTAGTAGTTCAAAGGCTGGGTGAGTGACCACCAGCATATCCTCACTGCTTTATGTTTTAAAACTTTTTTTTTTTTTTTTACATTACCATATTCATAGATTCTACCATATATGACGAGACGATTTTGCCCCTACTGAGCCACAAAAAACGAAAACAGCGTGTTATTGGGATTTCAATTGTTTTTTGATACAAGACCAAGATAAATCTGCCCGTGTTGACACGTATGATCAGTACTTCAGTTTTATGCCGTCTGTAAAATACTTAGAGTAGATTATATGTCCAAATTTTCTTCGTACTTGAATAGACCAAGATGGTGAAGTTCAAGCACATTTACCTGAGGTTATCCTTTCGAGATTACCTTTCAAAATCAAATCGCGTTCCAAGGTCCCAACAGGTATCTCACACAGCGAGTGAATCGACCATCACCAAGCTCTTCAACAACATCATACCTCAGAGTTCGACAAAATGACCCTTAAGTAATCGGCAACGGCTGGAGAGTATAGAAGTCGTTGCAGTTGGTCTTTTTATTGATGGCGATCCACGCGGCGGTAGCACCTGGCTTCACGGCCTGGACAACATTTGTGTTGCCAACGCCCTGGGCGTTTGTTGTCAATGTTCCGCCCCCCAGAGGTGCAGGGTCCACAGGATCCCGACTGTGGAAGCTGAATAACGCGGACATTGTAAGCGCTGTTGGGAGTTCCCTTGAAGAGAATTGGAACCGAGACGATCAGGTTTGCAGCTCGAGTGATCGTGGCAGTCCCAAAGCTCTCGGACAATACCGGTCCATCAGCACTGCCGTCACAGTTGCGGTTTGTCCTCGTGAGAGGCCCACTCTTGATTGAGATGGCTTCCGCAACGGAGGCTGCTGCCGCTAGAACGCCGAGGAGGAAGAGTGTTGCCTTCATGGTGTCCTTGATATCTGATTTCGTTTGAAAGATGACTGTTGATTGAATAGTGGATTCTTAGATGTGGGTGGATGGTAAATTTCAAAATCCAGTGGCAGAGGGAAAACGGATGTATTTATGCACTTTTGGATATGGGAATGAATAAACTACGACTGGTGTTTTCTTGGCCACCAGTCTCCTCTAGCATACAGCGACTTAGGTCTAGGCGTCATCTATGATGGAAAGAAGTTAACATTATCTTCATTTCTCTCCCTGAAGATAGAGGTGATGGAGATCTAGACCTTCGGCCCATGATCAAGACAGAAGGATCGACGGGGTGCGTCTTGTGTTGCCATTGCAAATGACGGCGATACAAAGTCAATGGATTAGCTCGAGATCCCATCTATGATGGAGATAGGACCGTTTTCCCTTCATCTCTCTTCTTGCAAAAATGGTAAAGCTCTTGGCATTGGGGCCCATGACCACATAACCTCGTGTTCTAGATGAGGCTTACGCACGGGATCTAGTTCTATTGTAAAAAATGTAGTATGAAAAAACATGGAAAGAAGCTCGTAATTAAGCTCCCGGCAACTCTAAATTTGTGCGCCGGATGCGGGCACGGACTCCAGTTCACGAGATAATGCGGGATGACATGGATCTAGATCTCCCCGTAAATGTCCCGATGTGGACTAGCGTGTCTTGTATCTGAGGATTTGCGAACCCAAAGGGAATACCTAATCCTGCTAACATGTATCCCAAAATCTCTAATTGGGCCTCGATCTGATGTACTTACACAGAAATCTCATACGGGTCGACATTGGACATACGCAGGGAAGAATTTGGTAACTTAGCTCCGTTAAGCTCGTACTACAAATAGTAAGCACAGAGTCTAAGAAATAACGCACTCCACTTCCACGAGGCCAAACCACAGTTGTGACTTGCAATCCGGATCTTTGGTCCATGAGCGCGTTTCACTGCATGGCCAGAGCCGTTGCCAAGATCTCACGAGCGGAGCGCCCGTTCATACCCCCCTCGACCTTCATAAATCCCAAGCTCCGCTTCAACAAGCCTCGAGCTTCCCGCCACTCGGCAAAACGTACCGGTTTGCTTGTGTTGCTTGACCAGCTGGTTCCACACCATCTGGCCTTGGCCCCCGCCACCGTGCGGGCCACCTCCGTATTGAGCTGCCGCCATCTCCTCGAATCCTATGATGACAAGGTAGCTTTGTGCACGACTCAAAGCCACACAGATCCGCTAGCGGTCTGTGAGGAATCCAGGATCGTACTGCCCACCGGGCCGAGTAGTTCAGAGAATGGCAACCGGGCTTTCGGAGCCTTGAGAAGAGTCGACGCTCCGAACGGAGACTTAAGAATGACCCAACTTGCGAAGCAGATCGCTCAACACCCTGCGCTCCTTATTGTAATAAGACAAGACAAGAATGCCTTTTGGGGCCAGGGACGGGACTCTCTCGCGTGGGGCGGTGATCAAGTTGTCTATGTGGCTTTTATAATGTGGGTTGAGCACCGGTGATCCACCTTTACGCCGCAGGACGGAGGATCGGTTCGCAGAGACAAAAAATGACGAGCCTGGTAAACATTGGTATCTGTAGCTCATGAAAGTAGAGAGAATTCGGGAGGTGGCTCGGTTTGCTTCAGACTCCGTGCGTCAGATATCGGGATTCTGGGGGCTGTGGTTGAGGAACACGACGAGAAGTCTATGAAAAGAATACTTCGACAACATGTACATACCAGTTTGATGAAGATGACCCTTGTTGAGGGATCAGATACAGCCAGTTGACTGGAAAAGGGGAGATTGGGTTGGTTGCGAAAATATCAAGACAAAAGAAGCATCTGTAGCAGACCGTGAGTGCGATAGAGAGATAGAAAGATGAGGAAGGAGAAGGAGAGGATGAAAGAAGGGGAGAGAGTGGGGGGTGGGATTTTATAGCGTGGATTGCTTTCTCACTTGCCTTTTATGAGTAGGTAGGGATTTGTAAAGAGAAGAAGCAAACGATATATCACCTCATTGATTATCATTTCCACTAATAAAGACCAAGTCTCCACAAGTGGCCTCTAAGCCCAACACTCTCTAGATCATGGTCGATCTTTAGGCTTAATCTCCATCAGATACCCATTCCCTTCACGCGTGGCTCGTTTTCTTGCTCTTCTAAGCTGCATTCCCTCTGGACATACGCGAACTCATTACGATTGGCTCGTTTCCTCACTTCCCTCCAAAGGAGATCGAGACTCCACATTTCACTCCTTCTCGATATACATAACTCTTGAGAGTGACTTCCTTTCTCACTTCCCTCCGGAGCGCAGCAATCATCCAAGCCCTATCTGATCTGGTTATATGCCAACCCATCATCGGCGGCTCTCCACAACCACCGATATACCACTCTCGACCGAATCGTACGATGTAGGGTATGTAATTCTTTACCGAAGGTTTCCCCGTTGTGCTTTGAGAATTGCTCACAAACATGCAGGTAATCCCGAAATCTCCGGAGAAGGGCCAGACCCGAAGCCTCTAACTGGACAAGATGCTTCGTCTGAACAAGCCCAAGGTATGCTACCCCCTCTTGATTTCTTTATGTCAAAATGTCTAACTAGGCAGATTTCGTGGACGAGATTACGGAATCCACAGAACCAGCATCACCAAATACATCAGGACTGCCGTGGGACGATCTCCCAAGTCCAATTTTTGCCCCGGGCAATGGCTCCATTCCAGATCTGCCCCCAGGAGATTGGGCGAGGATCGCCAAAGCCTGCCTCTTGCCCTGCTCGAAGAAACTGGTTGGCGACCCGAAGTAACTGCTATTCTTCCTTTCTTCACAACGCCAAAAACGGGAGCCAGTACTGGTAGAGGGTAGGCAGGGGGGACACTGCCACGGCAATCAGAACGGCAGAGACTTTGCCACATCCGTTGGTAAGAAGAAGGCTAATGTCGAGGCTCTTCTGTCTCAAACCATCGGCGATTTTGCAGATGTCAAATGCAGTCACTGCGCCCGGGGCTGCGGAAGGTTCAGTGGCTGTGTCCTTATCCGGACACCTGAGAATGAGGTTCTAGCATGCACGAACTGTCACTGGAATAACCACAGCGACCGCTGCAGCCTTTCCACCATCGGACGGGCACTGGAAAAGCCTTCACAAGATGCCGGGGCAGACCAAGAGGCTGGTATCGAAAAAGAAGACGACCAGGAAATGATTGATTTTTTCACCAGCTGGTTGCCGGTGCTAAAACACAAGCTGGCGAAGGCTCGAAGAGGGAGCCCCCAAAAGCGTCTGAAGGGACCTCAGTACGAGAAGAAGATCAAGTTGGCCGAATGTGTTCTGGCGCTTAAAGCTAAAGCTAAAGCTGCGAAGGACTCGAAGAACTATCCCGAGCAAGGTGGACACATTGATGGCGAATGAAGGCCGCGGGGAGGAAGATGCAAGTGGTGGTAAAGGGTTAGTTAGAAAGGTTTGGCACTTTGGAATGGGCACCAATATATCAAAATGATACCAAAAGAATTTCAGTCATGGGTGCTCCTGGAAAATTTCCAGTTCTTCATCAACGGTTCTTAACATTCTCCATGCATTTTCCACCCATTTTCCATGGGATATGACCAGTTGAGGACACCCATGCCATGGAAAAAGAATGGAAAAAGAATGGAAAATCCATGGAAAGTGCATCGCGATATTCAGGGGGAAAGGTTACAACTCACAGGGACATCTGTAGATGAGTGAAAGCACCCCAAATAGGAAGGTACCCAACCTTGGACAGCTGCCACGTAAATATTTCCCTGCTTCCTCTTCTTCTTTCTTCCTTTTTCCCTCCTCTCTCTCTCCATCGGCGCATTTCTATCTCTGTGTCCTACACTTTCAAAGCTCAAGTCTCCGCCGTGTCTTCTACCGATCTCAACCCCCTGCCGGGTCTTTCACAAGCCGGCAAGCCAGACACCCTCCTCTTTTGAGTCTCTGACCCTACGCATCATCGAGATCATGTCCGAAGCTGATCTTACCGGACCGGCTGAAGGCCATGAGCCATCTATCATGTAGGACACGCTGATTACCTGGTACAAGTGCTTACAGCGCTAACCTATACTTGTGGCAGTGTCGTTCCAGACTCGGGAACTACCAGAATCGGAGAAGATATGATACTCGAGCCTCCCCGTACCGGTCGAAACATAATTCCCCCGGGTCCATGGGTACAGACCTTGATGGATAGTGACAGCTTCGGTTCCGCCGGAAGACCCAATCGCCCCAGATCAGCACTGGTACGAGATCTTAGACTCTTGCCAAGCCTACGTGAGCCGTTTCTACGAGACAGTCGCGCGATGACAGCTTCAGCGTTATTTTATTTTTTGCAATCAAAGCCGGCAAACGTTGAGAGCGGCCTGATGACTGTCGTGGGTGCTGAAATGCCACTTGAAGAAGAGTGCATCCATTGCAAGATGCTAAAGGGCCCATGGGCGAGATGTGTTGTGGTACAGGGCCAACCTGGTAGGGGATTGGCATGCAACAACTGCCACCAACTGCGTCGGGGTTCACGGTGCGAGCACTATGTCGCCCCGCATCCCGATACTGCTGAAATACCCCAACCACAACGGCGTCAGACTCAAACTCGACAAGACGATGAAGCATCCTCAGACCGCCGCGCCTGGATTCTTGATTTTGAACACATGGGAGACCGCATCGAGGTGGTCAATAGACGCATCCTTGGCCTTTTGGATGCGCATGAAGACCGTGATGTGCAGGGCCATGATATTCGAGAGCTTCGCCGCATGGTTCAGCGTCTACAAGATGCATACCGCGATCTCGTACGCCGCCGAGCTGAGATGGATATGTGAATTGCTGGTGCACTGTGAGGAAGGGACTGAAATTTAGTTTCTCAATATCAGGCAGATTCACTTTACCCTCCTGGGGCAACCGAAGTGTTCCAATATCTTTCAAGTTTCTGAGCTTGAAATAATTTAGCCAAAGGAATTTCATTACAGCCTTCCAACGAAATCATTCATCATGTAAAGTAGAGCCCTGAAGATAAGTAGGGAAGCAGTTTACGTGAAAAATTACTACACACGGGGATGTATAGCGGCCAAGGGTCGGAATTTCCAAGCTTGCCTGGGATATTTGAGGATTTCGTATTCCATGCCATGTTTTACACCACTAGAACGTGACCTAAGAATAAAAGAGGAAAAAAGACACGAAAAAAGATAGAGAAAAAGACTGGGAAAATGGGAAAATGACTATCGAAGTCACAGGATAAACTTGAAATACATCTGTCTCATTTCTGTCCTGCTATTGTCGTTGATACCCTTCTGACAATACTTCACATAGGCTGTGCTGAGAGCCATCAATACGCCGCCGGCTTTAGAGGATCCACCGATGGTGCCGAATATGCCGAATGTGCCGAAGGTGGCTGGGTTGCCCTTTTGTGGTGCATCCGCTTCACGCGCGGGCACGCGAAGAGCCAAACTCTGACCCTTCCAAACACTGCGCCAGCTTTACAACAGGTCAGTATAAGACCCATAACGAACCATAGAGCGAATCACTTACAGGCGGTACTCACTGAGGGCAACTTCCCTCAGGACATCGCGCAAGCCGATCGTGAACACAATGGCCACAATGGCCCCAACACATTTCCAGAGGGCAGCACTGCCTTTGTCTTCTGCGAGGCGAAAAGCCTCTCCAATGAGGGATTCATCCCCTTTCTCTCCCTCCTCCCCCGAGCCGAGATGGGGTGGATTGGTTCAGCGGGATCTTCTTTCTTTAAAACAAAGAAGGATATGGTGGGCTTTTATTCCATCTGCGTAGCAATATATAAGACTTGCTGGTCAGTCATCACGACATCTCGCTCAGTGAGAGGGTTTGGAGGCCGCCTCATTAGAAGCTCGAAGTCCAAACGTAGAGCCACCATATACAGTGTTCCCTTGGACATAGAGATGTTGAGATATCTGGAGATGAGATGGAGCTGATTGTCTGGAGCCGTACTGATTACACATGTGGGTCCAAATTTCTATATCCACCCGGAAACATGGGGTTGTCGTTGTGTGGATGAGAACCACAAGACCTGGTCGAGTAGGAGCATTGGCGTGCCACCACTGCGCGTCTTGTAAAAGTCTGCTGTATGACTCTGAAACACCTACCTCCAATACCAGGGAGGGACTCGGAGTGATTCCAGGTCCTAACGATGCAGGCGGATAAAATGAACAGTCGGGCTCCTTGGTGGTCTGGTCGCCATAGACTCGAGCAGAGCGGAAACAACGGAAGCCGTGTGTCATTGGCTCGAGATGCATTGTCAGTAAGACTCTCAGAAGAATCTCGTCGAACCTGCTGCGCAACCCCTCGTGCTGTCTGTTTGGCATGATTCGGAATATTACAGTGCGGTTTGCCCTCCAAAGAGTGGCAGTCACTGCTTTGAGCAAGTTGGAATCATGCCAAAGCCGATCAAACGTCTCCCAGTCTAACTCCTCGACGAGAAGGTACGACATCTTTGGGTTCTGAGGGCGCGGTGGGCTGACATGAGTATCCTTGATATCTTCGATGGATTGCAAGAGTTCGGTCAAAGACGGACTCGTAAGGGTGACCATATCTCCCGCGTTGATTGAGGGTTGAGGTGAGGTGCCCGCTCAGGTAGAGGCAGAAGAAGTAAAAAGCTCTGACGTCTGTGAGGTAGAAGACATCACTGGCGCGTTGTCAGAGCGAGCATGATCAGTGCAAAAGAGAACATACCGGGCGTGCTTAGGCACCTGGCCTGGGTGTCTCCGGCAGGAACTCCAGGAACTCCAGGAACAGCAGGAACATTCCCTCCTTCGCGAGGTTGTCACCGGTTGATCAGGCGTGACTTCATGTTCTGAGGGATTTTTATATTGGTATTAAACCCCGCTTTTGTCCTTACAGTAGATTACCGGCTGTGGCTTGTGCTCGTAGTTGAAAAAGAAATAGATGCGAGAGTGGGGATCGAAGAAAAATCCCACTGGGGGATTGCTGGGATCAACATGTCATTGTTACGAGATAAGCACGACAAGCCTGGGTGCCGCGCTCATGCGTGACCAAGAAGACATCAATAGTTGCCTATAAAAAGGAGCAGTTATTTATTGGCTCATTCTGCGCGGCACTTATCGCTATTCCTTCTATAATCATCAGAATTGATCAATATTTACTCGACGATATTCCAAGGTTACTAATACTCTGTCTTTTTTCCTGTCTTTTTTGCCGTCTTTGTTCCTGTCCTTCCAACTAATCATCGGGTACTCCGTAGTTGTCGAGTGAAGGAAGTCTTGGCTAAGCCGTGAATAAAGAACTAAGGATTTGGAGAAACACGTTTCCGCAGGCCCGCAAAACCCCATCGACATTGTGCAGCCTGACCAAGTCCGACTTGACAAAGAAGGGAAAAGGCACTTCCAATACATCGGTCACATCGTGAATGCTGTTCACCCAGTCGTAGTGTGCCTTTTTTTCCCTTGCCCTTCCAATTCCCGAAATCCACTTGTTCAACCTTAATTAAGCCCTCCATGACTTTAGTAGTGGCAAGAGTCAATACACTACCCAGGGCTACGATACCAGAAATCGATAGGCTTTGGCACATAGATGGCAGGCAGTTAGGCGAATAAGTAATCGTCTATTTAAAGCCTAACTGAATGAAGAATAGACATCACTTTAGCTAAAAGAAACACAAAAGCAAACAAAGCAAAATCCGGCTCTGGTATAATGATATCACCCTCAACTCCCACTGACAATGAGTCAACATAAAAATAAAGACAAAAAAAGCAACATGCGGCTCTGGCATAATAATATCTCGCCCAACTCCCACTGACAATCAATCAACATAAGAGGAAGGAGAACGCAGCAAGGTGTTGATCTGGAAGAGCAAGGTCTCGCTCCGCTCCGACCGCTTGTCGATCATGGACTGCAGAGAACGGGAGGATCAACGGGCCCCCTTCCACCTGGTTCTGCGCAATATAGATCTCTTGTGCTGAGTATGCCTGCTGCATAGATCTTGGCTGTAAAGCCAGTGGAGGGTAGTTTGGTTTTTGGTCGCGAAGGCTGTCGGTGTACAGCCGCGTCAGTGGCACGGGCGCACCAATAGGAGCCAGTTGCCATTTTTCGATGACAATATTTGTTAGTCGGGTTGAGATGAGCAGCACGTTTCGTGCTCTTCCCTCCGACATGAGGAACCAGCCGACCGCATCTTCGCGCAGTTTCGGCAAAGACTCGGCGACACCCGTCTCTTCTCCACGACCACTGCTGGCCATCCTCCTGGAGTCGAGCCGTGGGGGAGGCGGGATCTTGGGACGAAACTATCGTCGGCTTGTTTGCCAATTCCCGAGCCTGAACTGTATGTGGTGGTCCTGGCCCAAATCGAGTCTGGGATAGGGAGGCCCATGTCATGGTGTAAATGGTCGATGTTTTTGACCAGTATATATGTGGCAATATCATGGCGCTCTAATGGAACGACTTTGATGAGACCTGTGGCTCCCTCCCATTGGAATCGGTATTGTATTGCCCCCAAACAAGTTTTGTGGTCGTTGTCGAGGTTGTCTCTCACCCTCGCCGAAACATTCAATAAGACGATGTGTTGGTTGCCATCCCCATTTGCCTGCAGCGAATGCAATAGGTTTCTGGCCTCTGCCTCTAGGTCGCTGAGGTCGGTGTAATGGCGCACAACGTGGGATGGGGAAGCCCAGACATCAGGGAGCCGGTATCCGTATTAGCCTGTTCAGCCATTTTTCGATGAGTGTCACGCCTAAACAAAGAAAGAAGAGATAGAGTTGGATCTTTCAACTAAATTAGGATACCAAAGGCGAGGAAGAAAGAGAGAGAGGTAGGGAGGTCGGATGTTAGGGAGTTTGGTGCCTCGGGAGTCAAACCCATCCAAAATACTGGACCTGGTAGTTTAAACGACATGTTCAATAAAACTACGAAAAAGAACCACTGGAAAGACCATTGGAAAGTCCACTTCGAAGACATTGCAAATTTTCTAATTCCTTACTTAAATTTACAAGATCATGATATTTTGTTGACAAAGCAAGTTAGATTACAGCATAGTAATTCGGGTCTTTGTGCTATCTTCCCACCAAAGACCAAGCACAAAGGAGGATATCATCAAGTTAAAATTAGATCAAAGCCAAACCCTAGAGTCAGCGCTGGCTATCAAGACCCGATCACTGCCCCTGTCGTTTCGTAGTACTCTTTGTTCCTCACTCTTTGACCTCAAGGATTCCTTTGGCTCTCTTGGTCCATCGGCAGACCTGGCTCGAAATAACTCTTTCAATGCACTCTTATTCTAGATCAACTTCTAGCAGCAAACAAAGAAAGATGCCCTGAATCTGACATCTATAGAACGGGGGATTTCCCTCTATTGCTAGACTTTTTGTATCATGCTTCATACTCTTTGCATATTTTGCTTCGCATATTGAACCCAGATACTTTGTCTTGAACATAATGCCCCTCACTCGCCTACAAAGATCACGAGAGGAAGCAGAGCTTTTGCCTGGTCTACCTGTAACAAAGCGTGTTAGAAGAGCTGCAACAGCCGGTTCCAGTGCTTCGTCGAAGGTAGGTACCACGACCCTTCTCTCATAGGGCTACAAGAAGCATCTCAGCCTGGGAGCTCACAGTGCTAAATTCCTTTTTTTTCCACCAGGGAAAGGGAAAGGGCAAAAGCGCCCCCTTGCCCCACGTTGCTTTTGCAAGGGCGCTCCTGAAACGTGGACCTAATTTCAAACCTCCTACGCCGCCTCAGCAAACCAAAGGAGAAAGAAAGATATGGGGAAGGCGTGCGGTAGCCATTACCAATAAAGAAGATGTGCCTGACGGTTGGAGCGTCAATGAGCCAGATCTGGAAGAAACGTAAGATGAAAATCTCGGTTTTTATGAGCCTTCTCATTCGGCCAACACTAACTTTTGAAAGTGATGTTGATGGGCAAATTGAGAGATGCAATGAACGCATTGCCGAAGGAATTCTGCCTGACTCTTTCAAAACCAGATTGGAACGGTATACAGCCATCAGGCAGCGCAAGATGTGAGAAGCCATTCAATTCCATACATACATGCCATGCTTTGTGTCATGATCCAATGCTAACGGCTCTTCTGTCTTCATATAGAGACATGATCAACTCCGAGCCTAAAGGCCTCAGTTGGGAAGTTGTTCAACGACTCGATGAATTGAAAAAGTTACACGAGCTCCTCGAAGAAGAAGACAAAGAGGAAAACATTTCCAACGTCAAAGCTATCATGGAAGCTTACCGTTCCAAGAGACTAAGCTTTACTGCTGGTTTGGTGACTTTTTGGTCTCATGGTAAACTGGTTTCCGGTCCGAAAAAGCTCAATATGGAGGAGTTTTATGCTCTTCACGCAAAGCATGGGGCGAAGGGATTCTGGGTAGAAGGAGTACGTTGGCGTTCCTAATGAAATAAAAGTTCCCAAAGCCATGGATACCATAAGAGTATCGGTATAATGCCATATCACTATACCTCAAACAAGGCCATCAGGATGCATGGATGGATGCACAGTACTGACCCCAATGTTTAGTTCCAAGGTCCCAAACCAATCCAGTTGAATTATTTCTTCTCCCTGAACGCGTTCATTCCAGGCTGGGCACAGCATCATGTATGTCCCCATTGAAAATGCCTCAGAGGTCCAAGTACTGACATGAGCGGGATGCTCTAATAAGATCACAATTTCAATTCGCAACCCAACGACCAAAGCAACAAATACAGATATGGAAACACTTCATTTGGAATTCCTCGAGGACACTGGTGCTACAACGATGGCTCTTTTTGAAAATGATGTCTTTGATCTTGAGCTGATGTCTGGCGCGCCTTTACCCGGCGCTGGCTCAACGCTTGCACAAACTGCCAACGGCCAGAAAAGGATTGAGTTGAAGGTCGTGGAAGCCAATATCTTCATGGGCAACCAGCCCTTGCTTCCTAACTGGGTTGAAGTTGCAGCTGCCGTGTCTCCCATGCCGACAGGATTTGCCCCTGCCCGGCTGAGTGGTGTATGGATACATCATATGTTGTTCGTCGTGTCAATGCCTGATAATACCCAAAGGAAGCATATCGGTAATGACATGTGGGAGATGTTCGGAAACCTTATTATCCCAGACTCATCGCTTGCCATTCCACCAGAGATACCGAGTCCAGTATCTCCTTGATCTGGTTCACTGGTCGGTGATCGAGACTCAACTCCCGGTCCCGAGGTCGGTACGTGCCACTCGCTTACTTCCTCTCAAAGGGGTGGATAATGGATAGCAATTCACTTAATCAAAGGAAAGCGAGGTGGGCCCTAGGAAGTCCATGTATTGGGTTCATGGGTGATGGTGATGCGCAAAGAAAGCTACATATACGCACGGAGTATATATCATTCTGTTGTGATTTTTCTGATGTTTCTGATTTTTCCGGCTGTGAGAGTTGATTCATGTTTGTCTGGTGTTTCTAGTAGAGGTGTGCTCTTGTTTTATAATGTTTTACAGTGAATATTTGGTTCCAAGGTTATCTTGATTTTCAGGCTTCGCCCTATCTTTGCCATTCGGCTCTAACCAGTTGCTATAGGAATAGTGGAACTGGCAAAATTAGTTTCTATGAGTATTGAGTTCACTAGGAAACAAGCACATACGACCACAGGGTGTGGAGAACAGGGCTTCCCGTCCGCTCAGCCGTACTTAAGCCACACGCCGGTGAGTTAGTAGTTGGGTGGGTGACCACCAGCGAATCCTCACTGTTGTATGTTTTTGTTTTTGTTTCCTTCTCTGATCAATTCTTTCAAACCGATAGTAATAGTGTTTTTCTTACATTTCAAGGTTCCTAAATAATCCCCAGGAATCAGAGAAGTGCCAAGTGGTTATTAGCACAACTCGGGAGGAAGACCGGGGTGAAGATTTAGCCACTTCGGACTTCTCTCCGGTCCGCCCTGAAAGGTGATCGGGTTCCCGACTGGCTCCCGACAATGTTTCCCGATCCAAACTCGTTAAGGTTACGGAGTGCGATGGCGCCATTCGGCTTCGGCATTTCTCTTAGCTTAGGCACTAAAATTGAGAAACACATGAACTACATCAATTGTGCCCGAACAGTGAAGTAATACAATTCTATGCTCGTATACAAGTTTTGGTGGTGCCCCATAGTACTCCATAATTGAGATTTATGATGTCCCCACCAATTTCGGGTTAAATGCCGAGCGAGTTCTTCAAATTTTCACATTGGTCTTTCTTGATCTTTAACGTTAAACCGACACAAGCTGGTCTTGGAAGTCTGCGAATGCTGTCCATTGAATAAAATGGCGACCGACTTAATACACAAAAAAGAGTTATGTCAGGCTCGGGAGATTGACCCCAATCGGCAGTTTTCACATCCGTTTAATTTTTCTCTGGTATGATCATGTCTCGAACTAATATAGAGATCAACTTTTAATATCACGAACAGGCCCGGAAGCTTCATGTCGTTGTAGCTGGTGTTTATTTTGTTTTCAACAGTTCGTTGGGATCTTCAATCGCATCTGGCGCCCATGATGAAATTTCCGAATATTTTAATATCCCAGGCGAAAGCATTCAAATGGTGCTTCCGACCTCTTTATACATGGCTGGTTTCGCCATAGGTACGCATTACTTGCCATCACCAGGTCGAATAATTACTCATTCGAATTACAGGCCCCATTCTGTTTGGCCCTTTGAGTGAGCACTTCGGAAGGAAATCAGTCCTTTCAATCACTTACTCCATATACCTCATCTTCACCATGGCATGTGCACTCGCACCCAATTTCCCAGCACTTCTCATCTTCCGATTTTTCTGTGGACTAGGAGGCTCTGCACCAAATGCCGTCTTGGGTGGTCTCTTTTCTGATATCTACGAGGACCCCCATCAGCGTGGACTCGCGATGTCCTGGTTCATGTTTGCTACTACATTCCCACCTCTCTTGGGTCCCATCATCTCCGGCTTCATCTCGACCATTACTTGGAGGTGGTCTTTCTGGGCTGGCCTTCTCATCGCTGCTCCCGGATTCCCGCTTCTCGTCACGATGCCTGAAACGTACGTGCCAGTATTGCGCGCGAAGCATGGCAAGTCGCATGGCGAAAAGGGCGCCACGGAGCCCAAAGATCTGGCTCAAACTCCGCCAGAAGGCTCTTTCTTCGCTCAAATGAGCGTCGTCCTCAGTCGCCCATTCCTGATGTTTATCCACGAGCCGATCGTGTTTTGCTGCTCGATGTACCTTGCCCTTGTCTACGCCATCTTGTACCTCTACTTCCAGGCTTATCCCATTGTCTTCCAAAGTGAGTTTCACAGCCAGTGCATCATTAAAAATATACTAACCTCCACAGATCTATACGGTCTATCCGCCGGTATTTCTGGACTAGGTTTCCTTCCAAGTGAGCCCCACATCCACCCTTTCAAAGACCCAGCTTCTGACAGTTTTCTAGTCCTCCCCGGCTCCGTCCTTGCATTCCTCGCCTTCTTCCTCTACAGCTCGCATCACAGCAAAGCTCTGAAAGCCGGATTGGCCTGGGCCCAATCAGAAGAGTACCGCCGCCTCCCCCTCGCCTGCATCGGAGCTCCGACCATTCCGATAGCTCTCTTTTGGCTGGGCTGGTCTTCCAAGCTGTCCATCCACCCAGTCATGCCCATGATGTCAGGTGTTTTCTTCGGTTTCGGCTATCTTTTGATTTTCATCGCGCTTATCAATTATCTCACCGACGCCTACAAACAATTTTCGGCTTCGGCTGCTGCCGCTGCTAGCACCTCGCGATCTATCTTCGCCGTGTTTTTGCCCATGGCTACAAATTCCATGTATGGTACTCTTGGTATCAACTGGGCAAGCTCCTTGCTAGGCTTTTTCTCGATAGGGATGGCCATCATTCCTTTTGTGTTTATCAAGAAGGGCGCCTGGATTCGCGCAAACAGCAGATTTGCGCAGATGGCGCAATAAAAAAGTTTTTGGCCTTATATACCCATGTCTTAGAATGCGATAATTAATGTTCTTAGAGATGGAAACTACATTTATATTTTGAAACGGAAAAACTCGATTGTGAATCCCACTGCTCATAATCCCTTCATCGTATTGGTTTTAGTAACTCGACCTTCCTACAGCTGGATGACAGAGAATTATATCTAAGCTACATGGAAGTTTACATTGATATTTACGTGAGTCCTTGATCTTCAAGTAGAGGTGACTTGTATTATGTGTATCATCAAGTGGTATCTTGGCATTGAATCATCGAAGTGTTATCGCCATGTGAGTCCTCCTCCGCACACTTAGTGCTTAGCGGCCTCTGCATTATAGTTAGTATCATTCCATGCAAGATTCAGAAAGCACAGAGACGTGGTGCAGCTTACCCTTGTTGGCATCGGCCTTGACATCGTGGGACTTCTCGTCCTTCTTGTCGATGACAGCATCCTTGGCGGCGGAAGCGCGGCTAGTGAGGCTGGCATCGTTGTCCTTGGCGACACCCTTGTTGGCTTCCTTGGAGGCAGTGGCTCCACCGCCCTGGACGGACTCAGAGACGTAGTTGGCGGCGTTCTGAGTGACAAGACAAGTTAGTCACTGGAAAGGATGCCTGGGCTTGAGATGTTGCATACCTTGACGGTCTCCATTGTGATGGTAGATAATGTATTTGGGATTTGGTTGTGGAAATGTGATAGTTATCTGAAGAGATAGATGGTTGATGAGGAAAAGAAAGGGGGTGGTGTAAAGAAGTCTTTTATAGACGACCGGCCAGTAAGTATGACATCATCGAGCAAACGATAAATGAACCAAAAGGCAAATTCAACACTGGGTTCAAGCAGGTGTCAATGACTGTTGAAATCCGGATCACATATTGTAGAAACACATATGCCAGTTCGATCTGAGTATTTGATGTTTCTCCACTTCATCCCGCATATTCCAGGTTTCGCCTGTCACTTCCAACCAATGGGAAGAATTACCTGTACCCACTATGACGGCAAAGCAGATCATCGTTTTTAGCATTTCCACAAGCTTGGAACCCTTCTGTCTCCCCCGGTCACATGGTGTCACTTGGATTCCAGGAACTCCACGCTGCTTGACTTTGTGATCAACCCTGATTCCGACGTCATAGCTTTCTTCACTCTTGCCTGCATTATGGAAACAAACCAATCAAACCACATTCTATTGCGAACCAGACCAATGAATGTGCCCTGAGCGTCATGTCTGTGTCATCACAGCCTTGGAAGTAGATTCATCAACCAGAAACAAAACCAGCTAGGAATCACTTGGGGGCTTAGATCGAGATTGGACCGGGATCCAAAACTACGCAGCGTCACGACATGACAAACCACACGATAATGAATCACGTATCAAAGAAACGGGAACGCACATCACCCAGCCCGAATCGGGCCCAGCACCTCGAACGAAATCGCACCGCGGCAAATAAATACCGCCAGAAGAAGAAGAAAGAGCACGAGGAGATCGACCATAGACTACACGATGAAACCGAGAAGAGGGAACTGCTGCTGTCGCAAGTTCACAGCCTCCAGAAGGAGGTCTGGGACCTGAAGAATATGATATTTCAACATGCTGGATGCGATCACAACCAACCCAACTTACCGTCGGCCAGCGCTGGTCGCGCTCATCCAAACAACCTGAGCTTCTCCAGCCAGCCGAGTCACTCGAGCTACCAAACAGATTCGTCTCCGACACAGTGAAATTGGAGCGAATTCAATTTTCCTCATAACCACCGCACTGCTTCTCCGTGATGTTCTTGTCGGAGGCATGCGATGCTCATTCATTACGGCTGTCTACTTGCAAGCCTGCCTCTCCTCGGCGGAGACAATCATGTTGAGAGCTGCCATCTTGTCATTTAGCCTGTTTCTGTTCATCCATGGATGCCAGCGTTTCCAAGCTTCCTTGTATTATATTATTATGGCGTCGGGGTTTGGTTTCTTTCTTTTGAGAAAATCGGTACCTCTATGTCCGTATTCTCGTTCAAGTCATCGTCAACTGTGGAGACACACTGAATATATCATCGATCATGGTTTTCGTAAAAAGCCTTTCCAATTGGTCAACATCATCGCCCAACTGACCTTCAAATATCCCGGGGGATCGCCAAAGATATCAGATCCAGCTAGAATCGATATATAGAGCTAAACTAGCAGCTGAGAGGTACTCCTAAGGTCCAATGTTGCACGTGCGTTTGCCAGTTGGTTATGTAGCCAAACTTGGCTCATCTTGCAACAGCCCGGCCGGGCTAGCTCAATCGGTAGAGCGTAAGACTCTTAATCTTAAGGCTGCGGGTTCGACCCCCGCGTTCGGCTCTTCCTAAAACACCAACATGGTCTTTGAGATTATCTTTTTTTTGGCTCGTGAAAATTCTGTTTTGATACTTGATCTGAGTGGCTGATTCGGAAGGGTGCCACAATATATGTGGTTTGATTGGCTACAGTCATGGGTTGGCCCCACACTGACGTCACATCCGGGTGCTAATCTTGGATGTACTACCACCAGGGCAGGTAGGTGCCCAACAAAATTCAAAAGTGACTATCTTTCCTCCGCTGGGAAGTGCAATTATGATACCCATGCTGCCTCTAATTGACAAAAAAGAAGGATGCGAAGAGCCTTGCAACGGTTGGACAACTTGAAAAACTGGCACGCGTCACCTAATATGTACAAATAAGCCCTGGAGTGAATCTTGGAAGCAAGCTTTGAAACCATCCACTGTATCGAAACCTTGAAGTAACATCAAAGGTGGGAAACAACCCATTTGACCCCCAAGGTTAATCATCGTAGATATCTCACTGCTGCCGTGACGATACTCTCCAGCTCTTGGCGGCTGTCACAAGTCCCATAAATGAATCGGTCAGGGCGAACAAGCACAAATCGATTGCCGTTCAAGATCCGCCGCAGATCCAGAGAGTCGTAATATCGAGGCTCTGGTCTTCCTCGACATAATTTCGATTGCGCGAACTCATCTCCCGACGCCAGATAGTATATCGAGGCAGTCTCATTCGTGGTTGCCATCACCCCGTCAGTTTCCTCAACAATGAAGGTCACCTCATCTAAGCGAATTTCCCCTTGTGAGACTTCCTCGATATTTGATACTGACTTCCAAGCCTCTTCGAGCCCACTCATTGTCGGAAGATAGACGAGTGTTTGAAACAAACCTACTTTGCCGCGTCCGAAGATCACATCATCCGAAAAGCAAATCTCACCTAAGTCGTTCGCATTCTTGCAGTATACCTGCGGGAGGCAGATTCCTCCCAGATGAGAGGGATCAAACGGCAGTCCAGGTGAAAATTCATACCGAGCCATTCCATCTTTCCGACGCCCAAGCCTGAGGTCCCGCCGCCAGCTCGGAATGAAGTGCATAAGATACAGATACCAGTCACGCAAAAAGATTTTGATATGGTTGCGCTCTGTCACAAATTCGCCATTCTTGATCGTCGTGGCGAGTGAGCTTTCTAGCTGTTGCTTGCGCTCGTTGTACCATCCAGCTAGTACGTCCTCGTGGTTCCCTGTGTTTGAGGATTCCCGTCGACAGAGGAAGGCGAGGCGCCAGGCCAATGATACAGCGTCGCGGAAGCCTGAGGCTATACCCTGGCCGCCAACTATATTGTTGTTAGTCTTAAAGTGACTCAGCCCCGGAATGCACATACATGGAGGAAAGACGTGTGCTGCGTCACCACAGAGAGCCACTCGGCCGTGCGACCACTTATTACAACTTCTGGCAGAGAAGCGGAAGGGTCGTGAGCGAAGGACTCGAATGCAGTCTTCTGGATATTGCACGGAAGAGGTCAGGCTATTTGAGTCAGAAGGCTTGAGTCACTGCTTCAGGACACACGTGCATCTTACCCATATCTACTCCCTTGATGGGTGATGTAAGGGAAGACTACCCGGCGAATGTTATCAGGCTCAGACATTTGCTCCCCGTCCTCACCGGCCTGTACCACGAATTCAAATCGCCAGAGTCGGTCCGAAGGAAGCCCAAACCGTCCACAAACAGCAGGCCGGTCTGGGTCGCAGATGAAGCTGAAGCTCTGTGGGAAGAACGCATCGTATACCTGCTCCGGGGTGTATCCTAGTTTCCATAAAGGAAAATCAGGATGCGATTTTTCGTTTGGTAAGCTGATTTCCCAATTCAATGCTACCCAGGTTTCATCGTAGAAAGACCTATGTTGAACATCAGCATCATCAGAAATATTTTCGACCAAGGACTTCTGCAGAGAGAACAACTGACTGGTGTGCTTGCTCCATCCTTATTCCGAGTGGTTCCAAAAAGTTCTTTCTTGTAAACCCGGTCTTTCCATCGGCACCAACAAGAAATCGAGATTTAATGGTATGTTCGTCGCCCTTCGCATCTCGATACTGACAATAAACAAATCCACCGTCCTCTCGGACGTCGCAGACGGTCGAATTTGGCTTGAACTGGCAGAACCTAGATGACACCATGGCTGATCTCAAGTGTTTCTCCAACACAGGTTGCTTGTGGCAGAGGAATCCGACGTGCCCAGTTCCACCTTCGGTCTGTCATATGTTAACGCAGTGTAAAAAGCTGCTGAGGCCTGTCGGTTATACTGACTGTTCCATAATCCATTTCCAAGAAAGCAGTTTTGTCAAGTCTTTTCTCCGTTCCGCCAATGAACTTGAACTTCTCCATACCTGCCAAGATGTCAGTTCGATCGCGGACATAAATCAGAGGGCATGCTCACATGTCCCGATATCTGAATAGATCTGGTCGTAAATTCCAACACCCTGAAGTATCCTGATACCCTCCTCATCTAATGCAATACCTCGGGGGTCAGTTGTGATATCGGGTTCTTTCTCGAGCACGATGTGTGGAGTTGACATCTGCCCCAAGTAGGTGGCCAGCATGGCTCCAGTCGGACCACACCCGCATATCACGACAGCTGTCTCCTCGAACTGATCAGACATCATTGGATTTGGGCGACAGAGTTATCGTGAACTTGAGCCAGTACTTCTAAATCGAAAATGGTTGTTTTGTATCACGACTGATCGACATTTCTAGTACTGTAAAAGAGGCATAGACACCGCTTGTTGATCATCTTAAGTCCCGCTTGTGGGACGACTCCAATTGCCCCCTTCTTCCAACCCTTGCATGGTTCATATCCTTATTTCCGGTGTATATCCGAGGATGGGGCCCCGCGTAACCTTCTGTGGGGTCTGCGGGACCTTTGTGGGGTCTGAGACTCTCGACATCCGATAAGTATTGCTTCGAACTAGATACCAAAACGATATTCAAGGCGAGATACATTCTTTTCTTTGAGTTGAAACCACATCGATCAATATGGTGAGAGCACCCGCAGTTCTGATTTGAATCCCGACTGACCCCTCGCCCAGACGACAGAACACAGTCACGGTGCGTCGGTCGCTGATATTGTCGCGATCGGACCTGAATCAGAGAGTGTTCAGGCATGGCGTGAGAGGTGTGGCATTGAGACGAATTCTCAAATTCGCTTGGTCAAGTTGGCCCATATGCGATACCAACATCCCGACCTACAGGAGATCACCGTGTTTCTCCAAGGTATGAACGAGTGAAGCTCCCTTGAACGAAACAATCGCTAATCTTTTGATAGACTTTGGCATGAAGGTGGCCAGTCAGACTGACGACGAAATCTGGTATCGAGGGTATGGCGTAGACCCATTTGTGTATTACGCCAAGAAAGGCCCGAAGAAGTTCCTGGGTGGTGCATTTGAAGTTGAATCCTACCAAGATCTGGAGAGGTAAATGACCGAATGAGAGAAATTTTCGGAATTGGCTGACATGTATCAAGGGCGTCGCAGTTACCGACTGCCGGTGACATCGAGAACGTCGAGAATGCCCCAGGAGGTGGCTATTTGTTGACATTGACGGACCCTGAAGGGTTTCCCATAAACTTGATATACGGGCAAACCCCCGCTTCTGCTGGCCCATACCCTGAGATTTTGGAGATCAATTACGAAGTTGAGAAACCACGCGTCCGACGATTCCAGCGCTTCCAGCCTGGACCCGCTGCAGTTCACAAGGTCCGTTACTTGCTCATCCCACTCTTCCATCTCATTCCCCCAACCATCAAGCGCGCTATACTAACCCCAAATTTAGCTCGGTCACTATGGAGTTTGTACGACAAACTTTGAATCTCTTGTCAAATTTTACACAACAAATTTCAACATCGTCCCGACAGACTTCCTCTACATCGAAGCGGAAGGCGAGAAAAAGAATGTCGCTCTATTTGCTCACATCGACAGAGGTACCGATCACGTCGACCATCACTCCTTCTTCATGAGCTCGAATCCGACAAGCCACGTTCACCACTGCTCATTCGAAGTCCACGACTTTGATACACAGGAGCTCGGTCACCATTGGCTGGCAAGCAAAGATTACAAGTCCGTGTGGGGAGTTGGTCGGCACATTCTTGGGTCGCAGATTTTTGATTACTGGTGGGATACCACTGGCAATATGATCGAGCATTATGCAGATGGAGATTTGGTTAATGATCAAACTCCTATCGGCTATGGCCCGGCAGGTCATGAATCGTTGGCTGTTTGGGGGCCCGAGGTTCCTTCTTGGTTTTTGCAGTGATTCGCGCGCGTTGAGATCTTTGATTGGAGCATTGAGAAGTGACATTGTTTCTAGCCGACAGATCTAGTGGATCCATGTTGCCTTTTTCTTCAAAACACTGATCTTTATGAATGGTCTCCGTAAGCACAATTCTAGAGGATAATTGCAACAGTCCGGAGCTTCTGCGTATAACATGGCGAGAGGAGTCCTTTCCAAGGAAGAAGCCGAATTATGTGCGGGCAACGTGATTCGGATGTAGCAATCTCGGGCTACATTGAATTGGTTCCGTGCACATTAAGAAGGCAAGGAATATTTTGGAAGTTCTAGTAAGGACCTCAGAAGTAGAAGGTACTGTTCTAGTTAAAGAATTTGCTACAACACTTTCATTTTGTCTACTGTTATCTCATAGTTTCCAAGTAATCTTGCAAATCATCCATAGTTCCAGGTTTACTAAACTACCTTGATATCGCTCAGAAGTAAATTGAACCCCAGGAGCTACAGAATCAGCGAGACTCATACCGGACCTTGTTAACAAGAGTTCCAATTTGGTCAATCTTCACCGAAATCTCATCACCATCCCTCAGAACCACTCTAGGCTGGCGGAAATACCCAATGCCAGCAGGGGTTCCAGTGAGGAAAAGGGTTCCCGCTTCCAAAGTCGTACCTTGCGAAAGATAGGAAATCTGCTTCCTGATGTTGAATATCATATCTTTAGTATGTCCATCCTGAACAGTGGCGCCATTGTGAATGGCCTTGATGGAAAGTGTTTGCGGGTCCTCGATGACGGATGGAGCCACGAGCACGGGTCCTAAGGCGACGACATGGTTAGAGGGTGTTTGAAATAGGTATAGAAGAGGAATGTCTTACCGATCGGGCAGCTTCCATCAAGTCCCTTCGAGAACGACCATTGTCCAGTGAGCATTTGCATAGTCCGCGCGGAAACGTCGTTCGAGGCAGTATATCCCAGAACATAGTCCAATGCATCCTCTTCGGAGATATCACGGCCACTTTTGCCAATCACCAGGCAAAGTTCGGCCTCGTAATCACTCGTGTCGTCTTGTGCACACCTGGGGATGTTGATCGACGCAGGATACGGGCCTGCGAGAGCGGTGCGAGGCTTGGTGAATAGAACTGGCGCTTTCGGAAGCTCCAGGTTGGCTTCTTTGGCATGATCCATGTAGTTCAGGCCCAGGCATCGGATGTAGCTGCATTGTTCCTGCGTCACTGGGGCGAGCAACTACACAGAATACAGTTAGCCAACCCTTCTCTTGCTTTTTCATGGTTTTTGGATTGAGACGTACTTGTTTCACATGCATGACTTCATCTGTAATGCGTCCATCAAAGATAGTTCCATCGATAACCTTTGCAGCGATTTCAACTCCTTCGACGCTGTCCTGTCCGACATCCCGGCTTGTGTCGACGAGTTGGCCCAGGTGGACTTGGCTGTCTTCGACGGCAATGAAGCGAATGAGATGTGTCCAGGAAGGCATTTTGAGGATTGATTGATTGATAGGGAAAATTGGCGCAGTATAATCAAACTCCTTGGGCGAATTTACATGTTTACAGAGTGGCGGGAACTGGTACTCGAAATTAGGGCATGTGGGGCTTAGGCGTGGAGAGGCGGGGACTATCAATGCGGGACGCTCTCGCTGGGATGAGCACCCTGCTCATGTCCCACATTCAACTTTGCAAAGACTATTCTTAAACTTTCCTTGAAATTGAAGGTAAATGTATGATCCACGGCTACGTCAAGGTGATCTTAGTGCCCAAGATGCCCTTACGTAGCATGGGGATGTGGGGCTCAGTACGGAGTACCTGCCAACACAGCGGACAATAAGAACAATTGTCCTCTCGGACTGGAAATAGTTCGGAAAGCTACCGGTAATTTTCTTGCCTTGGTAGTGAGATTTGCCTCTGGGGACGTGGAAGCAAGAAGTTAGAACGTGGACAATAAATTCATTTCTCATAACCGTAATTAAGACCAACCCTCCATGGGCAGTGGAACACCCTCCCACTCCGTTCCAGAGGCCGCCATCTGCGACTCTGGTTCTTCGTAGAATTCCTCGGCACCCCATCCCATGGATTCGAGCTCTCGCACAAAGAAATCTCTCTCCTCTTCCATCATCGAAGCCTTCTCATTTCCACCCATGACATCCTTGTACTGTCTCAAATGCCACCAATGCGTAAGACCGCGCAAAGCCTGTTCGAGCGGTAGAGCCTCTTCGACTTCGGCATCGACATCTGACCCAGCCAGCCAGTCGTCACGCAATTCCGGGCGGCAATAGAGGTAGATAGCGGTGATAACGCGCATGTTGCTCTGTCGCCATTTCCGGCCGCAGTAAGGCACTTGTGATTTGAAAAGTTTGAGTGTGTAGAAGCGAAGATGGGGGTCGGGGATCTTGAGTCCTTTGCGGAGAATGTTGCTCGACTTGTATTGGACGAGTAGAAGGCAGCGATGGGCTTTGTCGCGAGTGATCTTTTGCATCACATGCAGATAATTGATTGCGGAGAAGAAGTTGCGGAAGGAGAATGTTTTGATGGGCTCTTTGGGGAGCGGTGCGGTGGGATAGCCGAGTTCGTCGACTTCTGGACGTGATGAGCCGTGCATGATGTCCGCCAAATGTTCCTCTTCGGAAAGGCCGAGGGCACTGCCGTTTGCCGTTGGATCGGGTCGGTGGCGAGCAATTGGGGGCGGCATTGCTTCGTCTTCACTTTCTGTGTCGCCATCCGAGATATTGTCGGTGTCGAGAGGGCGATCGGTGTTGCTGTTGCAGAAATGGAAGAATCTATTTCTGTCAGCGGCAATGAACTAGATGAATCACACTGATGCACTCACGATAAGTCTTCACGATCATTCTTCTGGGCAACTGCCTGATCGACATCCTGGTGTGCGAACATCTTCAGGATCAACGGAAGGTAGTTAGAATCGAGCAGAAGCTGTGTCATGTACTCGAATTTAAGAATGTCTTCGATGTGTTAGCAAGGATATTTTTGGGTCAGAAGAACCACACTCACGAGATCGCTTGAACCACTTCAGAAGCAGCAGCAAAATTCCGGACACTGCTTTGCCAGTAATTTCACGGAGTCGAATGTTGTCGAGCTCGTCGATGCACGCATCGGACATCAGATTGTGTGAATTATTCATCCCATTACTGAGGCATTTGTCAGAAAAAAGGCTAGAACTGTGATGTATGCCAAACTCACCTCATGTTCTGGCTATTCTGGCTTCCAGCTTGGCTGACCACTGAGCTGACATTTGTGAGAATAATCTTCAAGAAGACGATTGTGATAGATTGAAGATGCGACAAAGTGTGTGTCTTTGAGAAGATTAGCCTGCTTCCAAGGAAGGTGATCATAGTGTTAACTCACGTAAAATTTATCAACCGCATCCAGTCGACGTTGAACATCGGGGTCATCGGTTTCCTTCTCCACGGGCTTGGGCTTGGGCTCGGCTTTTTGCTCATCGCCTGACAAATCGAGATGTTCGAAATCATCAGGCAAATCCTCAAAGTCATCGTCAGGGAAATGTGCCGCTTCTTCCGAGTTCCATCCACGGTCGTATCTCATGAAATGTTCACGCTCTTGCCAAAGCTGACGCATAGCGCGTGTCATCTTGACATGGGTGGAGAAAAGCTTTCCAGCTTCAACAATTGAAGCGGGCACGTCGCCACCCTCCCAGCGCTTGCCAACAAGAGTATCCTGGCGCTCGGTGGTGCCCTTGCCTCCGATGCGATTGCTGGAGTCATCCAAAGGCGGGTACATGAAAGGGAAATTTTGATTGGTCTGATAATTTTGTTTCTTGCCAACCTTGCCTCCTGGACCAACGGGTGATGGCGGGGGTGATGGTGCGGGAGTTGCAATGTGCACGGCTTGCTGGAGGATAGAGCCATTTCCACCAGAGACTGATGGACCAGCACCGCAGAAGATACCACTAGACGAGTTCATCTTTACAGCGTTGTGTGGCAGAGGCGGGAGGATCGAGTTATTCTCGAGTTCAAGAGGAACGATGACGGGCGGGGGGTTATAGGCAGGGTATTTGGAGGTAATTTCCTGGCGGAAGAGATGATAGTCCAGTGGTGAGGCGTGAAGGAAAGGAGTCCGGCGATTGGAATCATCCTTTTCAGCGGCAAGGGCAGGTTCAAGTACTTCCTTTGCGCGCTTCAAATCGTTGGTGCCGCCAAAGACAAGGAGCAAGGTTTTCCAAAGCAAAAGAAGGATTCTGGTAAGTGGGATATTGGCAGATTCGTCCCAACGGAGTCGGGCGATGATCTCCACAATGGTGACCAGTAGGCAGGGCTTGGAATTCGTCAGTGTATCACGGACTGGAGTGCACTCGGGATTTTGTGCCTCCTGTCTGCGGCCAACTTCCACCGCGAAGTACAGAATTGTGAGAACCAGGTTTGCTTCCCTTTCGGGTGCTGCAATATCACCGGGACTCAATCGTTCATATTCCGCGCCATTAGACTCAGTTCCCAAAGCCGAACGAGTCTTATCGAAAAGTCGACACATGTACTCGACTAGAGTAGCAAGGCCTGAACATTCCTGAATAAGCGAGACATTCTTTTCAATGTATTGAATCTGCATCGACTTCAAAAGAGGGGTTTCATCTGATGGCTGGTCTCCAGTCGAGGGGTAATCAGATGCCACTCTGCCGCCGGTCACACCCCACACACCGGTGACGATGTAACAGATGCTTTCAAGGGTTTCAAGCCTCGCTGCAGCCTCTGGGAGCTGCAGAACAGCAAGCAACTTTGAGACAAATTCACGACGCACCTCCTCCGACGCATCAAGCCACGAAACGTCGGGGGTTCCTGGGAGACGTTGGGAGCAAAAAGCAAACCATTTCGCATTGAAAGTAGACTTCGTCCCCATCAGCATCACGCGGTCAAAGTCGTTATACTGAAACCATTCTTCCAATTCATCTGGAAAAGACTGCGCATCGGCATATTCGAAAGCATACGCCGGTTGCTCGATCTTGGGCAATTCGCCCACCAGCTTCCGCAGCTGAGCTAAGCTAAGCGAATCCGTAGGCCGGTCGCTCTCTACGGGAGCTGGAGGGGGCGGCTGCATTGGTGGTGGGGGCGCAGAGCTCTCACGTCGTAGCTCTGGACGCTTCATGGGCTTTTCGGCTGTCTCAGGGGCGCCTGCGGTCTGGGCTTGTTCCTGACGAAGCCCCTCAGCGACCTCTTCCATCAGCTGGTCGTCGGAAACGGGCGAGATATCCGTCCCAGTCTGATCGATCTCATCGGCTTTGACTATGTACTGCTCTTCCATGTTTGGATCGTGCGTCTCCGCTGGGACCTCCATGTTGAAGTCCTAAGAATTGTGTTCCTGAATTCTGGCAGAAAGTGGATCACCAGGGTCGCAATGCTCCAGACATCAGGTAAATGAATACAAGAAAAGGAGTGTATGAGCCAAGAACAGATCAAACAAACAAACTGAAAATCAAATCAAAATTAGGTGAGCTCAACTGCCGCGGGGGATGCGATGCGGTTGGAATTGCGGTGTTGGCGGAGGTCACGTGCATGGTTTACAGGTACATCAATCAATCGATACGAGGATACGAGGTTTGGAACAGCATCAAATCAATTAAACCAAACATTAAAATGTACAGGTGTCTCGCGCTCTATTTTGGTATACGCGAAAAAGATAGATTTGACCGGCAAATGGCGATTACGCCGACTTCTTCTCCTTCTTACTACCGCGAAGCTTCAATCTCTGGGTCTCCCAACGTTGCCAGCCGGCCTCGGCCAAGTCTTCACTTACCACGAGGTCACGAACTCTCATCAGACGGGAGACGGTCAGCTCGAGTCCCCACTCAATCCACCCGGTGCGACGGAGCAAGCTGGTGATCAGGAACCAGCCACAGGCACACGTGAATCCAGCAGCACAGCCGGCGAGAACCTGTTTCGGGGTGTGGTAGTTGAGGTAGATTCGGCTAGCAGCGACGCCAGCAGCTCCCAGACACAAGGCGAACATAACCAAGAATCGCAAGAGGACGGCAACGTTGGGGTAGGAGCTGGCGGAAGCTTTGCTGTGACGGAACAGCAGGAAGAAGGTGAGGTAGACGGAGAAGAAGGTCATGAATTGGGCGTGGGAAGAAGGCATTCCATAGCCTTTACCGAACATCTCTGTTCCACGTGTCAGTTGGGTTCCAACGGTCCGACCGATGTGACACCTACCCTTCGGTCGCTCCTCCTTAATGACTCGCTTCAGGATAAAGTTCAGACCCTCACAGGCCATCTGGCCAACAAACATCAGGATCACCTCAACCTCTCTGGTTGACCAGATCAAGGTCGCATAGGAGACACATAGTGCCTGTGGAATCAAGGCCAACCAAGCTGAAGCAAAGGACAGCTGGTCGTCGGGGTTCTGTTGAGAGTATTAGTATAGTAAGTGCATCGAGATTGTATGACTCACGTAATGAACATGAGTCAAAGACAACGAGGCCAGCGGAGTGTCTCCCATGATGTACAGTTGCCGAGAGGTGAAAAGAAGAAATTCCAGGGTTTCAGGGTCAGAAGCCAAGATCCCAAAGCACGGGGCAACCAAGCCGGGCACGAGATGATAAGCAACGATAAGCCGGCGGGGGAGTCGGGCACAACATTTCATCCCAATTCTTCTCTTCCTCCCACTTCATCTTTTGCACGTTTTGCTGCTCTCGGTTGTTCTTCGAGTATATTCGAACCATGACGCACTTGTTCTCTCTATCTACCCCCGACCCTCTATTGCATCATCTTTTAGACCCTTCACGGCTCTCCCCCGACCATTGGCCTCGCGCAGAAACGCCTTGATCACTTGTGATCTGCACTTTCGGGTGTTTGAATTTCGTCCTACAGTCACCTCTTCTTGACTTGTAGTCATACCCAGCGATATCTTGGCTCCTCGGAAAGGCAATGAACGACCATTAAATACGATTGTGGGAGACCTCTCTTGTCTCTCAATCCTTTCAATATAGGAGTTCATCCGCAAACCCCACTTGCAACTTCGGAGAAATTATTGCGACACTTCTTCCGATTTGTTCCACGACATCCCTGCAGCTTGCATCCTGGACAAGTCCAACCCGCCATGACTGACATCGACCTCGAATTCGATGACCGCTCGGTCGAGCTGTCCTCTATTGTCGCCATCTTTCCGGAAACCCAGATTGATCCTACAACCCCGTTCAAGGCCGTTCTTGATTTACCTGTCGCCCCCTCTTCGCCAACCCCAGTCTGTTTCCAACAGCCTATTGATCCTACACCGGCCGCTACCCTTACCCCGCCCACCTCTGTAGATGAATCAAAGGGAGATTTGGACGAACCTGTTAAAGATGTCCATGTACTCTCGCATTTACCACCCTTAAAACTTGAGATTGAATTACCGGAGGGGTATCCCTCTGAAAAGCCACCGATTGTTCATCTTACTTCTGTTCCCATGTGGTTGCCAACTTCTGCCGTGGACCAATTGTTAGATGACTGCCGCCGGCTGTGGGAAGAATGTGACCATGATTTGGTGGTTTTCACATATATAGATCATCTCCAGCAACTCGCCGAAACAGTCTTCAATATTCAAGATTCATCGGGAGAAATTTGCCTCTCGCGGGAGCTCAAGATTGCCTTGCTTGACTATAACATCAAAGCGGAACGTGAGAAGTTCGAACAGGGCACCTTTGAATGTGGAGTGTGTCTTGAGCCCAAAAAGGGTACAGTCTGTTATCGACTGCTTCGCTGCTCCCATGTGTTCTGCGTCCAGTGTTTGCAGGATTTCTACAACACCTGCATATCCGAGGGTGACGTGGACAGTGTGAAGTGTGTGGCGCCAGACTGCGAACTCAACAAGAGACCTCCGGATGCCCAAGGTGGCAATGTACAAACTCCGCCCCGCAAGAAACGCGACCGAACACTAGGACCAAGCGAGCTGCTTCAGATTCCTCTAGCCCCAGATGTGGTTCAGAGGTACGCCTTCCTGAAGCGAAAGAAGAAGATTGAAGCCGATAAAACGACTGTCTACTGCCCGCGACAATGGTGCCAGGGAGCAGCACGATCCAAGAAACACCCCAAGCCGGAAGACCTGATGGTAGATGACCCGGATGTATCTGATGACGAAGATACATCCGATCCACCAGATCCATCCGAAGAGGATGGAGAACTCCCTCCAATGTCCGAACGCGTCGCAATCTGCGAGGACTGCAACTACGCATTCTGCTCTGTCTGCAAGAAAGGATGGCACGGTGAGCTACTCCGCTGTTACCCTCGCCGCCAGGGCGAGCCGACCGCCGAAGAAAAAGCCACCGAAGAGTATCTCCGTCTATACACTACCCCATGCCCAACCTGCAACGTGCCCTGTCAAAAGCAAATGGGCTGCAATCACATGCGCTGTTTCCAATGTGACACCCACTTCTGCTACCTATGCTCTGCCTGGCTCTCAGCGGACAATCCCTATAAGCATTTCAACGACCCATCAGGCCAATGCTTCAACCGCCTCTGGGATCTGGAAGGTGGAGATGGCCTCAATCCCGACGGTGCCGAAGCCTTGCACCGCATTCCAGAAGCACTTCTCAATTTCGACGACGAACCGCCTGCAGTCATGATCCCCGAAGATAGTGATGACGAACATCCAGCCTTCGAGTTCGACAATGACCAAGATATGCTCCATCTTCCTCCGCCTCCCGCTCCAATTCCACCCCCAGTCCACGCTCGTCGTCCTGATCATGCGGCTGCTCGTGCGGCTGCCGCCGAGCGCCGTGCCCAGGCCAGAGCCATGAACGAAGTTCGGCGCCGAGATGCAGACCAGGCGCACGAAGCACAGCATCAACAGCGACAGGATCCTCGACGTCCGGTGCGCCGTGTCCCTGTTCGAGCAGAAGGCTTGGAAGGCGAGGAGAGACAAGATTGGGGTAGATGGCCTGGTCTTGAGAGATTCGTCCAGCTGGCAGCTGACGATCGCGAGGATGAGTGGGATAGTGATGAGCTAGAGGATTTCTGATTCCCCTTTTATATGAAACACATAGCTGTTAACGACCTTATGCATACAACGAAATTTACGCTTTTGAGGCTCTAAGAGCATCGAGATACCTGCTAGATATTAATATGAACAATTCGCAAAAAGCACCTGGGCAACAGTAACAGTAGAAGATGTTCTTGTAGTTAATGGCACTGCGCTTCCCATCCGGACAGCTGTACGTTTAGTTCGTAATCGGTTGTCGCTAACGCGGTATCAAGTCAGGAAGTTTGTTTTGCCCGAGAATGATGCAATTCCGCTCCGCCCGGCCCGGAGAGCACGCTGACTGCAAGCTACCGCGCTACTTGGAATTATTGTATGCTTGAAGAATACTTCTCTATTTTAGCCTTGCATATTAAAGAAATAGAAAGCGGCTATTGGAATGGTACTCCGTACTTCTGATCCAATTAAACACCGCATTGCATATCTGTATGATCTACTCCGTATTCGGAACATCTCCATCTGAACCCTTTTTAGGCATCTAGAATGTCGTTACGGAATAACCAATTCATTGATTGCACAATTGCTTTTCAGGCGCCCATTTTGAATTAGGCAGCCAGGAAGAGCAGAGAATAAGTACCCAATTTCAATACACTACACTTTCCTACCAAATCTTTAGAGCCTCGTCAGCAGCGCTTAGGCAGAAGGGTAAAAACGACGTCATATCCCGAATACGAATGTACGCATACACGGCATAACATAAATTACATAAATTACATGCTTTACCCCCCCGTGGCGTTCCTTCCACGTTTTAATACGTGGCTCATCCCCTCATACACTGCCCACCTTCTCGATCCTCGACCCTTTTTATAACCATTGACTTCCCCTTAGGGTATACTCTCTCGTCTTGTGAGAGTCTTTATTCCCTCTGATCTTCCTGGCCCTTTTCGGGTGATTGCCCCTTTACCTAGGGTTCACTTTCGACATGAACGCCCTCAAGCTTCAGAAGTACGTCGCCTTGACATTCAGTCTCTCTCTGTCTCTCTCTAAATGTGCTGATCGCTGAAACCTTGTTCGCTATAGGCGCTTCCCAGAGCTGGACCAGGGCGCAATCTTTTCGCTCCAGGATGCATTCAACCGACTCGATGTCGAAGACCGAGGCTACCTGGACGAGTCCACCGCGATCAAAGCTGCTCAGCAATCCGAGCGCCAGCCCTACGATGTGGTGCGCGCGGCATTGAAGGACGTCGAGCTGGATAGCTCTCGACGCGTGGAACTCGAAGACTACGTTGATGTAATACCCCTCCCCCTCACTTGCGCCCCTCCCGATATTAATTCCCCCGGTAGCTTGTTTCAAAGCTTCGCACCGCGCCTAGTGGCCGCGCCCCGGATACCACCCCCGCCGCCGTGATCCAAGGAGCTGGTGCCGGTACTGGAGCTTCCCGCCACGTCTCCAAGGGCAGTGTTGGCGGACGTATCCATGTTCAGGGCTCCTCTTCCAACGTCACACACACGATCAACGAGGATGAGCGAACCGAGTTCACTCGTCACATCAATGCCGTCTTGGCTGGCGATGCGGATCTCGGAGATCTTTTGCCTTTCCCTACGGATACTTTCGAGATGTTCGACAAGTGCAAGGATGGTTTGGTTCTCGCTAAGCTGATTAACGACAGCGTGCCGGATACTATTGATGAGCGTGTGTTGAACAAGGCCGGAAGAAAGATTAAGCAGCTCAATGCTTTCCACATGACCGAGAACAACAACATTGTCATCAACTCTGCCAAGGGTATTGGATGCTCAGTTGTCAACATTGGAAGTGGAGATATCATTGAAGTGCGCGAGCATCTTATTCTGGGTCTGATCTGGCAAATTATTCGCCGTGGTCTTCTCGGCAAGATTGATATCAAGCTCCACCCCGAGCTGTACAGACTTCTGGACGAAGACGAGACACTCGAGCAGTTCCTGCGTTTGCCCCCAGAGCAGATTCTTCTCCGCTGGTTCAACTACCACCTCAAGAACGCGAAGTGGGATCGACGGTATGTTTGGTAGAAACGCAAGCCTAGAGTATTCACTAATTTTTATAGTGTGTCAAACTTCTCAACTGACGTCAAGGATGGCGAGAACTACACTGTTCTCCTCAACCAATTGGCACCTGATGTCTGTTCCCGCGGTCCTCTGCAGACCCAAGACTTGCTCGCACGCGCCGAGCAGGTTCTTACCAACGCAGATGCGCTTGATTGCCGCAAGTTCTTGACCCCCACCTCACTGGTTGCCGGAAACCCCAAGCTGAACCTTGCGTTTGTGGCAAACCTGTTCAACACCCACCCTGGTCTCGACCCTATCACCGAAGAGGAGAAGCTCGAGGTCGAGGACTTTGATGCCGAAGGTGAGCGTGAGGCCCGAGTCTTCACTCTGTGGTTGAACTCTCTGGATGTTCAGCCCGCGGTCAACTCGCTCTTCGACGATCTTCGCGACGGCTACATTCTGCTTCAAGCTTACGACAAGGTCATCCCCGGCAGTGTCAACTGGAAACACGCCAACAAGCCACCAGCCTCTGGTGGTGAACTGATGCGATTCAAGGCCGTTGAAAACACCAACTACTCGATCGAGCTCGGCAAATTCAATGGATTCTCGCTCGTCGGTGTTCAGGGCGCGGATATCACTGATGGCCAGCGCACTCTTACTCTGGGACTGGTGTGGCAACTCATGCGCCGCGACATCACGAACACTCTCTCTGCGCTCGCCCAACGACTCGGCAAGCGCGAGATCACCGACACTGAGATGATCAAGTGGGCCAACGACATGTCCAAGACTGGCGGAAGATCCTCCACGATACGCAGCTTCAAGGACAAGTCCATTGGATCCGGTATTCCCCTTTTGGATGTGCTTTGTGGTATGAAGAGCAGCTACGTGGACTACGATCTGGTTACTCCTGGCCGAACCGACGAGGAGGCATACGCCAACGCCAAGCTTTCCATCAGTATCGCCAGAAAGATGGGTGCCACCATCTGGTTGGTTCCAGAGGATATCTGCCAGGTCCGCTCCCGTTTGGTCACCACGTTCATCGGTACGTTGATTTCTTTGAATTGGGAGATTTGGCAATTGACACTGACACTTAATAGGTTCTCTTATGGCTACTCACGAGAAGATGTAAGGACTTTATTGACTCGCTATGCTCAATGTTTATGGTATTGCATATGTTATCTTGGCTTTTCAATTAAATGTAAATCTGCCGCTGACGGCGAATCAAAGAAAATACCACCAATGCATCGATTTTTTTTCTCTTTCTCTCTTCTTTTCCCCGTTTGATTCTAACATGCCTCAGTGCCGCGCTCATGCGCGGCCAAAACGACAAAAAGGCGATAATAGTCAAAGTTGATATCAAGTTGAAGACGATATAATTCTGCCAACTCCTATTCGAGTACATACGACCACAGGGTGTGGAAAACAGGGCTTCCCGTCCGCTCAGCCGTACTTAAGCCACACGCCGGTGAGTTAGTAGTTGGGTGGGTGACCACCAGCGAATCCTCACTGTTGTATGTTTTTGTTTTTGCTTTGAATTTCGCCCTGATTGACAAAAAACGGTGTCAATCTTGGTTGCGATTCCTTCATCGACTTCAATGGTATTTATAACTTGGCTGTCTTTTTCGCTGTCCTTCCAAGCAATCGTCGAGTAATCGAGTAAAGGAAGTCTTGGCTAAGCCATGCACACCCGTGGACCGAATTGGGGATTGGGTATCAGTATACCGGTCTACCCAACTTTCGCAATTCAGAAGAGACTTCCAAGGTTCATATTCACATTTCAATCATGACTAAATCCCGAAATCATAACTATCCGAAAAGATCCAATGCGCGTACGCAACGACAAGACAAGCAATGCAACGCAATGCAACCGCTCATCAAATGATCAAATACAAACTGCACAGCAAACTCGGCGCCGTAAAAATGCCAAGCCAAAAGAAGATATTCCCCAGCAAGCGACGTCCACGCATAAGACGCGTCCTACTCAGCGCAACAAGCGGGAGTTGCGACATCTGCAGAATAAGCAGATACCCCCTCAACCGACGGAAAATGCATAACATGATTAACTCGTGCACACATGCAGAAAGGAGGAAAGTGATCAGGCTGGCTGAGACACGGGATAGACGGTATGCACTGATGGAGCTGTGGTATACATGGCGGAAGAGGAAGTTGTGGACGGGTCGGTTCCAGTCTCGGGCGAATTGATCCCATGAGATTGAATTCCACCAGTCTGAGTAGAAGTTGCGGTCTGCGAACATGGTTATTTCGGCTAGGGCGTTGAGCTGGGTGAGGTTAGTGGATACTGTGTTGTGTCCGTGGTTCTGAATATGAGGTAAGGTATGGGATGGGGGGTTGTTTGGAGTACTTACCACACATTCCCAGATCACGTAGAAGGCTAGCAAGTATTCCATCATGAATGGGAACAGTAGGTCACTGAGAACCCAGGGGAATTCTTGGAGTCGCTGTTGTACAGTTAGGCCGTCTTCTTTCATCTGCATTGTGTGCACCACCACGGGATAAATCCATGATTGGGAGACTGCGATCATAACAACGATGATGCCGAATGTGGCTGCTGTCTTCTCGGCTACATAGAGCCAGTTGATGCTTTTTGTGCGCGCATACTCAAGCTCGTATACCAATGTAGGTAGTGAGATGAAGTCAGAAAAATTCCTGATTGTTAGATTGCGTGGGTAGTGGTTGTTTGTTTGGGAACAACGACCCTTGAGTCCCTCGGTTAATACCTCGATCTCTTGTTCGATCAACTCGCGGAAGGATGACACTTGGTTTGGTTCTAGTGGCACGCTCTTGTCGATGGTCTCAATCAGAGATAAGATTTGATCAGTCTCCTGGGACTCTGAGAATTTCTGAAGGTTGGAAGAACGCTGGCGAACGTCGCTTTTCTTGGAGTCTGTGATATCGGCATTCCAATCATGAGCTGAAGAGTTATGCCCTGGCTCTGGAGCCTTGGCCTGGTTTGGGTTTAGTTGGCCAAGTCTTTTTCTCAGCGTATTTCTCTTGTGATATAGCTCGGACACTGTCTCTATTAGCTTCAATCGTCATTTCCAACATAGAGAGGAACCTTGCTTACGGTAGCCATTGTATGCTGCGTAGCTATGCTGTTTCATCAACATGGTCAGGCAGTGCAACACGATGAAGACGGTATGTGTCCATGGCCAGTCACGATGGTACGACCACCATGTAACCGCTCCGAGGTAAAAAGTTTGCCAGATCTGTAAAGTTCTGAGGTCAGTCATGTGCAACCCCAGAGTATGGCCAGTCTCACATACATTTTGGATCACCCAACCAAGACCATCCCAACGCAGGTACCCCTTCAGTATGCCTCGTTGCAACAGAAGACAGAATACCGTTGACCAGCAAAGGGTCAGATCTGTCAACCCAAGAACCAAGACATCCTTATCCAGCATAAGGCGGACAATCTCATTCTTTCCCTGAATCCTACCGTAGATTCTCCAGTTGTTGGCTGCTACTTTGAGCAGCATCAAGGCAACCCCCAACCAGAATAACACAAAGAAGCCATGGAACTGAGTTGACTCTGATTCCAGGCTTTTGAAAGTATTTGCTTTGCGAGCGATCTCATGTTCTTGAAACCTGAAGCTTCGTTTCTGCTGGCTTAAGCTATGCCCCAGGGTCTCTTGGAGAAGCTTGGCATCTTCTGCGGTGAGGAGGTGGTGGTCGACCTGATCGAGGTCATTAAGCTTCACGGGCCGTGAAGAGGGCTGAACGGATGTCATTATTCATTGGTATGTGAAAGAGTGACATGATGTGGACGAAGAAGTAGGTGGGGAGGTTGTTTTATAGTCGAGGGATCTACGCGAGGCACGGGACATTCCGCATCGGGAGGATATATATTCGAGACTTATAGATGTAGCAACAAGAGCTTTTGGGAGAGTTGGAAACAAAATAATTCAAACTAATAGGCCGAGACAAAAAGCCGAAACAGACGAAAAGAAGAGCGAAATGTGAAACCAGCTAACAATTGAGTAAATAGCTGGGGTAGTGTTTTTCAGCTGGCTGCTCAGCCAGTTTCTCCGCTTTTCACCCCCTTCGCAATGGACACACCACAACCTCCCCAAGTCAGGGTTGACGAGCCTGTGCAATCGACTCCAGTACAGTCGACTGATGCTACTTCCAGCACTCAGACTGCTCAGCCAGCTCAGCCAGCTCAGCCAGCCCCGACCGATGGCAGTGTTAGTGTTGCGACAAATGATGTGGAGATGGGAGGCACCTTGAACGCGACACCTCAACCCGATGCGCCAACTTCAGACGTGCAAGAGATAGCTCCCGTCCCCGCAAAGAAGAGCTCCCCCATCAACTTCATCGAGTAAGCGATCTCCTTATGCTGTCACACCTCGATATGGCTGCATTACCACCCGTCGTCTCTGGGACCACCCAGCTCACACCCTCTCCCAGCGCCTTGACCACACCGTTTATTGAGATCATTGTGGGCCAAGGAAATAATGACAACCCACTCAAAGCCCACCAGGGACTACTCGTGCAATCACCCAAACTCGCCGAGCTGATCGATGGCCTGGCAGCATCGGACCCGGTGAGTACCCAGTACCCATTTACCTTACTAGACAGCGACAGTCACCAATCGCCCATTCACCAGCGTCGCATCCACCTCCCTGACGAAGACGTCGATGCTGTCGGTCACTTCGTGCAATTCCTCTACAGGGGCGACTATGCCATACCCGAGTCCCACACCCCGGACCTCTCAGACGCCGATAAAAGCGAGGAGAACATGCTTCGCCACGCGCGCATCTACACCCTAGCAGAGAAGCTCGGCCTCCCGGAACTGAAGAACCTCGCCCATGGCAAAATCCATAAAATCAAGGGTACACCAGGCGCGGAGCTGGCTTATGCTCGCTACGTGTACACACATACCAAGGACGATGACAATGCTATTCGGAGACCTGTGGCTTCGCACTGGGCTAATCAGAGTCACATTCTGCGCCATGAGGTTGGTGATGATTTCCAGAAATTGTGCATTGATGTACCGAGGTTCTCGTTTGATGTTTTGTCCATCATTCTGGATCGCAAGGAGAAGAACAGCGCCCATGATGATATTAGGGGGAAGTGCTCGCAAGCGCCTTAGGAGAGATGCTTAGTTCGCGTCGTTTGTACAATTACATACCCCATACACTCTGCTTTACAGTGGGGTTTCACAAGTATTTGAGCTCATGTACCTAGATCTCAGACTCAACTTTTGATACTGCCCGAATGATATTTGGAAACATAATGGAAAAGACAGCGAAAAGTACAGCTAATGTTCCATGGTCAGTGCATATAGATCGGCCAGGCTTCAAAGTGGATTCTAAAGTACGGAGATCCAATACTTATTAAACGGCACTGTAGCTTGGAGTGGGGCCTTGTTTATGTCTGAGTCATTGAACTGGACATCATGATTGCGGTAGTATTTCTCTATATGATATAGCTTCTATCTAGGAAGCCAAGCTCTCAATCTCAGCAATGAACTTGGGCGCCGTGGTCAGGTTTTCGTGACCGTTCTGCGTGATGTGGATGTTATCCTCAATACGCACGCCTCCAACCTTCCAGTATTTCTCCAGGACTTGAGAATCAATGTACTGGCTCGTGCTGGGGTCATTCAACACGGGGTTGATGATGAAGCGACAGAAGTAGATCTAGGAAAATCACAGAAATCAGCATCGCCCGTCAACAAATTCAAGTCAGTGTACTTACACCAGGTTCAACGGTGACCACAGAGCCAGCGGGCAGATTGCCGCGGACGCGCAGGTAGCGGAACATGCGATCCTTATCTTCGTAGTTGGGGTTACCACCGGTATCATGGGTATCCATTCCAAGGTAGTGACCGAGACCATGAGGGAAGAAGGCGACGCTAACTCTCTTTTCGAACAATTCTTCCGCAGAACCACGCAGGATACCAAGCTTCAGCAATCCCGCAATGGCAATGCGATGCGCCAGAGCGTGCACATCATCCCAGCGCACGCCAGCCTTCAGCTCGTCAATGCACTTAGTCTGCATCTCGAGAACAAGCTCGTAGATAGCGCGAGTCTCGTCCGAGAACTTTCCATTAAGGGGAATGACACGGGTAATGTCAGCGCAGTATGTCTGGTATTCGCCGCCAGCATCGATGAGAACACTATCCTTGCGCTGCTTGGTTTTGGGATCGATGAGATCAACATCGTTGCCTACGTAGTGGAGGGTTGCGCCGCCTTCGCCGCCAGCGACGATGGGGTGGTAGGATTGCTCGCGACATCCATTGGCGATACAGGCGCCAATGATAGCGGCTTCGATTTGGCGCTCGTTGGTGGCGGTTTTGGCGGATTCAATGGCCGCGAGGTGAGCCTTGGTAGAGATTTCGTTGGCTTTTCTCAAAAGGGCGATTTCGTGGGAAGTTTTGACCACGCGAGTGTTCTCAATGGCGGTGTTGAGGGTTGAGGTGTTGATTTCAGCAAAACCCTCGAAGCTCACGTCCTTGGAAACGCGCTCGGCAATTGAAAACGCGGCAGTTTTGCCGCTGTGGGTCGAGGCGATCGATGCAAGAGTCGAGTTGACATCCGTTGTGAACAGCACGCGATCCACATTGTAGGTCTTGGCGGCCTCTTCGGGGGACAGAGGAAGACCGGACCAGATCACAGACTCCTCGTCGATTGGGGGGGATGAACAAGGTAAGCTCGTCTTTGGCGGAGTTGTACACGACCGCGGCATCGGGCAGAAGGCATCCCGTCAGGTAAAAGAAGGGACGACGTTGTCTTCATCTAGTTAGCAATGCCGGATCCCCAGGCGCAAAAGGGCAAGAGCAAGAGCAGTACCTGAACAAAACAGCCTCATCGCTATCCTCGATCATCCGAGTCTTTTGAGCCTCCAAGTAGATCACTACGGCGGGGTGGTTGCTCTCATCGCCGTACTTTTCGGTGAGATGGTTAGCCTGGAGATATTTAGCGACGTTAGCAGCATGTTGCTTGGCAGGGTAATCCCTGAAAGGAATGTCTGTAGACATGTTGAAGTAGTTGGAGAAGGAAAAAAGAAAGGCAGGGTAGTATTTACTGAAAAGCCCTCGGTTGAATTGCGGGGCTCAAAATAAGGCGGTTACAGCCGGTGTCAAACACACTCATTACACCATTACACATATAACATACATGATTCGTTCAGAGCTCCGACGCTGAAACGTCTTCAAACTCCATCTTCCATTGATCCACTTCCGCGAACTTCTTCAATGCAGCCCGTAGCTCATCACTGGTGCACCGTGTGGGTTCGGTCTGGACTTCGGAATCAGACACGTCCGAATCAGGCGGGGATGACAATGGAGACGAGGATGGGGAAGATAGCGCAATTTCGTTCTCTTTGTCGTTGGCCGTCGCACTCGCACGCGAGCGTGAATATGTAGCTGGTTCCTTGGGTAATTTGCTGGTCTTCTGGGTCTTCTTCTGCTTGGGATTGCGGGCAGTGGCCAATGGCTTGGGCTTGTTTGTTCCTGCCCTTCGCCTGGTGGACTTTCGAGACTGTGATGGATAATTCAATTCATCCTCGTCCCCAGACGCGGCGTCATGGGGTTCATCGCTGTCGCTAAGATCATTGCCCACGCGATTCCGACGTCGACGGCGTGGGAGAAGCTTGTCCTGCAGGTTTGCAGTTGACATGTGGGTTGGAGCTTTTGACTTCTTCGTAGGAGCAGGTTGTGGCGTAGAGCTATCGGGTTGTGTTGAGCAGGCTGGACTACTCGCTGGAGGGAGCATCGTCTGACTTAGAATCTCGGGGTATCGTTGAGCTCGCGGCGTAGACTCGGCTTCTGCATTATCGACTGCTTCCTCTCCAGCCGCCTGATCTTCAATTTCGAGATCAACATCAGAGTCCTCTCTTTCTCTCTCTTCTTCCTCTTCCTCTTCCTCTTCACTTTCCGGCTCTCTGGCATCAGAGTCAATGTCATTGGACTCGACCACCGGTTCCGGCCCCTCATCTTCAGAAACTTGGTCTTCGCGCTCTAGAGGGGTCGCAGTCGGAGTATCTTTGACCACCTGAGCCGGTGTCCCAGTCGGGGTGTCCTCCACCATCTCCACGGACGACTGGGGCACTTGGATCTCCTGTGTCGTGCGCCTGCGTTTGCGCGATCCTCCCGATAAGAGCGGTGATCCCACGGGTGACGAGGACTTATCGCTTGGTTGGGGAAGAAGCGACTTGCCTCGGGCAAGATTAAGAGGTGTCGATTCATCATTAGGGCTCAGTCCACCCAGGAAGTCATCGTCGTCCAATTCAGAAGACCCGTCATCGTCGGCCTGAAGATGGTGCAGAATACTCTGCTGTCGCGGGCGCCGTCTGAAGTTGCTCAGAACCGAGTTGTCAAAGCCAGGCGTGCCAGGAATCCGGGAATTTTCGCCTTTGCGCCCCGCGAATGACAGTGTAGAGGAATAACCGCGCGATCTCGTAGGAGGCCGACTGCCGGTTCCAGGTCGACTTCCAGTGCCGGGTCGGTCTCCGATGGGCGATGACTCAATGGCGTTCTCATAGCTCTTGGATAAGGGGGTTTGTTCGCGTAGAGTCCTGTCCGGGACTGGGCGAGGCTCCGCGTTTTCGGGTGATTTGGGGAGTTCTGGTTGCGCAGATTCTGTCGCAGGTTTTGGGGCAGGTTTGCCAGCTGTGCGGCTTCGTTTTGGGGCAGGGCGAGGCATTGTGGCGAGTGCTGAGATCGTGTTGCGACGTACGACAAAAAAAAGATCGACGCGTTTGTTTGGGACGCGTGCACGTGGACCACATGTGACATCAACTATTTACTTCGAACTTCGCATCTTTCGACTCTTCCCTTCTTGCTATTTGAACTTTTCTTGAAGAAGATTGCTTTGAGGACATATTGTGTCAATCTAATTTGCTACTTCGCTCTTCGTTCGTCTTTAATCAATCCACAGTGCTGAAATGACCCAACTTCTGCCCGACTCGACACGGACTTGTGCCGTATCGAATCAAGAGATAGGATCTAATGTGTCTTTGATCTAAGACATGGCAAATTGAATAGACTATAATATACATGGAGAGGCCGAATCCAATCTATTATATTTGGTTTACCTTTTTTTTCTCTGAAATCTAATACCTCTGTCGATTATCCATTTCTTACCCTCCTGTTAACTAGCATGATCTGACAGGCCATGCTGAATCCCACCTGAACTGACCTGGCTGATGGACAGAAGCCCCACCAGAAGCAATGTCTGCATCTGAGAAGGAGGCGGGAGATCAGATTGACTACGCACACAGTGACGATACCCCAAGCAAGAAAAAGCGTTCAACCTCAGAAACCCTCGAGTATCCCCGAAGACGAGCAACAATAGCAGTAAGCGCGCTATCAAGCCCTTGATTCAGACATATTTGACGTTGAAACAGTGCCAGATATGCCGACTACGCAAGACTAGATGTAATGGAGCCCGACCCAAGTGTCAACTGTGTTCCGACCTCAATGCAGAATGCGTGTACAGAGAGCCTGGAATCAAACTAGACGCCGGTGACAGGCTGATACTCGACCAATTGACTCGAATCGAGAGCTTGCTACATTCGAACCTCCCAGCCCAACCGCATTCGGCTTCAGCCTTATCGACAACCTCTCCTGCCACCAGCAACGACACCAACATAGGCAGCGATGAAATCTTAACACGAACACCGAGCGGTTTACCAGTCCATGGCCGACTATCTGCCGTAGGCCTGGGATCCTGGGTAAACCCACCTGCCAGCATTAGCATCTCCACAATGCCCAAAATGCACACCACCCCAGCGCTCCATCTTCTCCAATGGCCCTTAATTCGAGACCTGGTCCCAAACGCCTACGGTCCTCAACACCTACTCCGACTCGAAATGGCCCGTGAACCATTACGGTTAACGCCTAATTCAGGCTTCGATCTGACCAATGCCTCGACATACGCACAGGCCTTTTTCACGCATGGAAACGTCTGGTATGCCTGCGTGAATCCTCACACGTGGAATCAATACTATCAATCCGCATTGGCGCAGGGTTTTCAAGAAGGCCCAATGAGCTGTTTTGTCCTTCTGGTGCTCGCCCTCGGGAGCGCTGCACACAGTGGCAGTATCTCGTTCGTGCCGACGGATCATGAATCCCCAGGACTTCCCTACTTTGCCGCTGCATGGAGCTTTCTGCCGTCTGTTATGATGCAGAATACCGTCGTCGCGACTCAGTGTATGGTGTTGGCATCCGCGTATCTGTTTTATGTGGTTCGACCTCTAGAAGCATGGACTTTGCTATCAAACGTGAGCTTGAAGCTGCAATTGTTGTTCGGCAGCCCGGATCGCATTCCTGCTCAATGGCGAGAATTGAGTGTTAGGGTCTATTGGAACGCTTTGCTGTTCGAAAGTGACCTTTTAGCGGAACTGGATCTCCCCCATTCTGGTATCGTCAACTTCGAGGAAATCGTAGATCTCCCAGGCGGATTTGAGGAAGAGGATGAGAACGACGGGGATGAGGGAGAGCGGGAGAGAAATGATCTAGCTGCTCGGCATGATAATCTTTGGTACTTCCTAGCTGAGATCGCGCTGCGAAGATTATTGAACCGCGTCAGCCATATCATCTACCAGAAAGACAGCACGCATACCCTGTCGACGTTAGGGCCGATCGTCTCGGAGCTTGATTTTCAGTTATCGCAGTGGTACGACAGTCTTCCTCGACCTATCCAGTTTCCATTGACACAATCGCCTCTTTCAAATCCTGTTCAGACGGTGCTGAGGCTTCGCTACAATGCATGTCGGACCATCATCTATCGCCCGTACATTCTGGCGGTCTTGGAGGATGAACAGGCTGGAGCGGATGCAGGGGTGAAAGAGTGTTGTCGACGATGTCTCGATGCTACAGTTCGTCAGTTGGAACATATCACTAGTCACCGCGAAGGCCATCTTCCATACCTTTGGCAAGGTGCCTTGTCGATGGTCTCACAAACACTACTGATCATGGGGGCTTCCATGTCTCCTACACTGTCAGCTTTACTTCCGCCCACGCCGAGGACAGATGCTATTATCGCGGGTGTGGTGTCGGAAGTTGAGAGATACGCGCGCTTAGCACCTAGCTTGAAGTTGTCTGCTGAGATCATTCGGGATGCGGAGCGACGAAGGCAAATTCGTCTCCGGTCAGCGGGGAGATGAAGTGCTTTCGATATGAATACCACTGTTACCTCCAGGGCTTGCGACCTTTGGATGGCTCTTTTTACACCCAAACATTCCAATGTTGGTGCTGGCATTGAAGAAAGACTTGTATTTAATATGCGTCTCTGCCAGGTCTGTATAGTGGGCATGATCGCCAAAAAAATTACAAGATCTAAGCTTGGAAGCAAGGAACAAACACAGTAAATACAGTCCCATTTCATGGCAATTATGTTCTTAAATCATCAAATATTTCACGGGAGCAAATGGTATCTCAAAGACAAGGGGGTGTAGGGTAGATCAATATGAACATCAGAAAATATCAAACGCAAACTCCAGGCCTCCAGTGGCCCAGGGGGGGTACTTATCGTATGGCTTCATATACTTCCTAAACCAACACCCACTCACTGCCACGCTTAATGAACTTGTCGAGCATCAAGCTCACATCAGCCAGTGCGAACCGGCAGATGTAGAAGCCAAAGAATTCAGCCGCGTGTCGTGTGCTGAGTTCGAGACCAACGTGGGTTTTGGATGAATGTTTGAGTCCAGGGTCCTCAACTTGGTGTGCGATTTGTTCTGTCGATTGGTTAGCGTACGTCTAAGTTATTGGTTGAAGGTAGACTTACCTAACACTTGGGCGGCATCAAAGAGTCGCGCCAACGCCCCCATATAATTTGCATTGGGTCCAGAGAACTCAAGCTCGGTGACGTTGCGCTGCACTTGTACGCCGCTCACAGCAGTCATTGGAACGGAATTGAGCGTCAGGTTGTCTTTGTTGCTTTCTCGGGCGCCCGGTGTTGGGGTGGTTGTACCGAGTCCAGACGTCTTTGCCCGAAGCCTCTTCCAAGTGAGATAGGATTTGTTTGGTGCGGCTTCTGCCTGAGCAGGCTCGTCGGGCGTTGAGGCCGGTTTGAATAGGGGCATTGAGGCCTGTACACCGACATCATTTCCTAATTTTTTGGACAAGAAGCTCTGGACTTGGTCAAGGACGCCTTCAAACGATTGCATCTCGACCAATACAGCATCAGCGTCGTATGAGTCGACCTTGGCCAACTTGAGCAACGCAGCAGTCAAGAGATCGCAGTTGGACACCTTGTCTTCCAGTGCTTTTAATTTGACGTTCTTCACACGCCAGACATCCCGTGGGATGAAGAGCTTCTCTGATAAATAGCCTCCGTGGGGGTTGGCAAGAGTTTGGTAGAGACACCTCATCAACCAGAACGGACGTAAAAGGAAAGACTCTGGACATGGCTCTAACGGAAGCGGTGCATTTGCGACCATCGAGTTTGGACGCCCAAGAGCAGACGGAGAGTGAATATTGCTGCTGAACAAATTCATTCCACCACTTGGCATTCCGTTCTGAGCGAAGTTGAAGTTGGCAAGGGTTGGGGTGGGCATGATAGGAATACTGCCGGGCAATGGGTTCCTTTGGGAATCGGGGAACCCACCGCTCCACGGTGTAGTGGGGGAGCCTGGTTCAGTATCTGGGATTTGGATTGGTACAGACGCGTTTCGTGACCGGAAAGCCTTGCTATGAGAATGCATCTTGTCCAGTCCATCTGGAGCCGAGGGCATTTTGCCCATGGGTCTAGGCAAAGGTGGAAGCTCGCTTTCTTCATCCTCGTGGGTGCGGGCGTGAGCAAGGTTGACATGTTCCAAGAGAGAACCCATCGACGGGTTGCGTTGGGTGGGATGTAAAGTACGAGTGACAGGGGCCAACGGGTCATCCTTCGGCACTGGCGGAGGGGCATTTGCGAGTGGGTCCAGGGCCGATGATGCATTGGAATTGGTCCTCGAAGAGCGCGTATTGGTTTCAATCTTCAGTTCGCGAGTTTGACTGGAAAGTCTGCGCGCCCGAACACCGGGCCCAGTAGACGAAGCTAGCGAGCCGATCGAACCGGCACGGTTCGATACCGAGGCGCGTTTTGAGGGGGTTGGGAAATCAGAAGACACCGGAAGAGGTGGCAAAGCCGCGGATGGAGGAGAACCAGGCGTGGTGTAGGGTTCAGGCCTCATGTCACCTAGTGGCAAGACATCATCCTCTGCAAGGGTAGAAAGGGCTGCAGGGCCCCCGATACTCGCAGCGTTTGAGGTCGCGGAGCTCTCCCAGGTCTTCCCGGAGACATTGCTGGAATCAGACTGACGGGGAAGAGCTGACTTGGACTGAAGGCCAAACTCGAAGTCATCCATGATGTAGCCCTTTGTCATTTCTTCCAGTAAACGCTCCTCCTCCTCGGCTTCATCGTCTAAGTAAGCCGAGCTACGGGCAATGGGTTCTTCGCCCGAGGGCGTTGGTTCCTGGATGCGGCGCAGTTCGCGGTCACGGTTCATTGCCTCGGCCTCCAATTCAGCCTCGCGCACCCTTTGCTTTGCCAACTCAATGTTTTTGCGAGCATTTGAAACAACGTCATCACTAACTTCACCATCATATTCCAATACTGGCTCCAGGCCTTCATCGTAGGCGGCCTCAACGGCTGCATCAAGAGCCGCATCAAACTCTGCCTCGGTATCATTGCTGAGACGACGGCTTGTCCGGCGGCGAAGATAAACGGAGGATGCTTTGGAATTCGCGGATGAGGGGGACGAAGCCCCAGATTCGTCAATGGTATCCAGCCACGAGGTGGATTCATGGGGTTCCTCATGATTCTTCACCGGCAACGCGAGAGACCGGGGTTGATCTTCCAAAGCAGATGGTTTCAAGGATTGGCGTCGCGGGGGAAGTGTTTCCAAGGAGAAGCCCTTGGATTCTTCCAGCGAGAGTTGATGGAGCCCAAAGCTGGAATGGGCCGAGCCCTGTTGACTTTCATCATGGGAGTCGTCATTTCCCAGATGGTACATTTCTCCATATGACTCTTGGCTAAGCGGTCTGTCTGGAAGGGCCTTGTCGTCGCTCTCTGGGAGGGGGAAGTCCATGCGATGGAGCTCTGTCACTCGTATCATATAAGTATCCCGAATTTCCTGGAGTTTGTGTTTCTCTTCGTCGCCACCATTGCTGCGCATCATAACAAGCTGCAACAAATTGCACGCGTCAGAATAAGCCTCCATGGCACCCTCGAAGTTGGCTGCATTGTCCAGCAGAACTGCCGTGTTCGCTTTTTGAAGTGCCTTGGACAACATCGCCTTTTGGCTTTGTCCATGCTGTCGGTTCTCTGGACCTCCATCCTCATTGAATGTAATGGACCCTCCACTAGTTCGAGCCATCGGATCCTGGGGGTCTATATCTGTCTGGGCATTGTGCGCCGTGGCTTGGAATAGGTTGTTTGATGCGGTGAATGAAAGGTCAAGTTGATGCGATCCCGAGTCGGTGTTGAATAAAGCAGAGTTCTCGAGCTCTGGAAGGTTGAACATTGGCAGTCCGTTCGGCGCTGGTCCTCGCTGCGGACTTTGGGTGCCCAATGGACGATGGTAGCCCGTGACCGACATTTTGGAACTCCCGCGGCGGTGGTGGCCATGGTACTCTGAGGGGCTCTTGCTGGATGCTGTGGACTGAGACCAGCGATTGAGGCTCCCTAGTCCCTCTTTGATGGGACTCGTGGGCCCCAGCGGCTCTGGGGGTATATTCACCACATTCTCCGCCAAGACACCCAAGCCAGTGGGGGTAATCGCCCCTGAGGGTTTTACCATTCGCGTTCTTGAACCAGGCCGTGAGGATCGGGAAGTGGATCGATTAGGGGGTGGCCCAGGAGGTTCCGATGAAAAGGGTCCGGAGGGGCGGCGCATATAGGAGCTGTGCTCATCGTCTGTGGCGGTCTGGTGAATCATGTTCGCGGGATAGCGGCTGGTCGACACTGAAGCCTGCGTGTCTCTAATCGATCTGGGTATATTTGTGTTGACAATGCGCGGGGAAATCACAATGGGATTAATGGGTATTGGCGACCACGTTCGGGATCTGCGGGTTCATTCTTCGGTCTGAGGTTGTAAATGTTCGTCTGTCTCATATAATTTCCCTTATTGGAAAGCGTCTCAACACATCTCGTAATCGTAATAGGCGTGGGGATCTATCGCAAGGCAATCACTCGGGACATTGTATGAAGCAATTGCTAGAGCGCATTAGAAGGTACGCGCACAGCCAGGGGGATAATGTGTGCTTTCCATACCACGGTCTCTTCCAGAATCCACCAATGTGTGCAAGATGTCGAAGTCCAGAAGATCGTCACTTCGTCAGGGGGTGGTCCGAGCCGGGCGGTGGGCGACGAGGGAAAAAAATAACAATTGCGGGGACGAAGAGAGACTCGGAGGAGATCGAAAGAATGTGAACGGGGAGAATCCTGGAAATGCTGGAGAAACTGGAAGCCCTTCAGGAGAAAAAGGGGTAAGTCCCTTGTATACACATAGGGATGAAAGGTAAAATTGGTAGGGCCGAGAGCAGTCACAGCCGATCTATAACAAACTCAATAGACAACAGTGGAGATGAATTAGTATGACTGTGGATAATATGACAATAAGTATGAGAATAATATAAGAATATAATAAAGCCCATACAATAACATAATAACATAATAAATGTAGGATTGAAGCATAGCACGCAGTATAGCCGATGAGAAGAGTGCCTGAGTCATGCAACGCTTAGTGACGGAAAAAAACACAACCTCCGGATACAACCTCATGTCTCCCTTAGGTTCTTTTGCGCGAGGCTTCAACTTCTCGGCTTTACGCTCTGCTTCAATCACTGTGCGTTTCACTCCTGCGCGCACCATGGCTACTACTATCAACCCTCCGCGGGATCCGAACACCCTTAGTAACTATAACAACTGGCGTTCAACCCACGTTACCGCCAATTTTGATATTCTCTTCGACCAGAAGAAATTGGTAGGAAATGTGGTTCATCAATTTAAGTCCATCACCAATGCGGAGTCTCGGGAGATCATCCTGGATACCAGCCATCTCAATATTGGCACCGTCAAGGTGGATGGCCAGCCATCCAAGTGGGAACTTCTGCCCCCTCTGGAACCCTTTGGTGTGCCATTGAAGATCACCCTCGAGAAAGGTGTCGAGTTGAATGGCACTATCGAGGTCGACGTATGCATTGCATTCCCCTCGTCATTCAACAAGCCCCACCATCTGACCAATTCTTGTAGATCGCCGTCAAGACCACTGAAAAATGCACAGCGCTGCAGTGGCTGACACCCGCCCAAACCTCCAACAAGAAACATCCGTACATGTGTAAGCATCTTAGAACTATGTCTGCCCTTAGCCGGGGTTGCTAACATCACTGCCAGTCTCGCAATGCCAGGCAATCCACGCCCGGTCTATCTTCCCTTGCCAGGATACCCCGGATGTCAAGAGCACCTTTGATTTCAACATCACCTCCCCGCTCCCGGTCATGACCAGTGGTTTGCCCATCCGTGAATCTGCAACCGAAAAGGGAGAGCACCAGCTGTACCGATTCCATCAATCGGTGCCAATTCCCAGCTACCTCTTCGCCATTGCTAGCGGGTAAGGCTCTTACGCTATCTCACCTCTGGAATTGATTGACTGATGTGTTTTATAGTGATGTTGCCGAGGCTCCAATTGGACCTCGAAGTGTTGTCGCGACTAGCCCCGACAAGCTGGCAGAGTGCCAATGGGAACTGGAGAAGGATACCGAAAACTTCATTACGACCATCGAGGTACCATATCTGTTACCAATTTACTTTCATTTGACGAATACTGACTGGTGCAGAAAATTGTCTACCCCTATGCGTGGGGAGAATACAATGTTTTGATCTTGCCCCCCAGTTTCCCTTATGGTGGCATGGAGAACCCTATTTTTACATTTGCAACCCCTAGTATCATCTCCAAGGTAAGCCACGGGGAACTGTCTCGACTTGAAAGGACAGGCAGCTGCGCTGATATGCACTTTTTCGTTCGATCATTGTAACTAACATCTCACCCAGGACCGTGAGAACATTGACGTAATCGCCCACGAGCTGGCTCACAGCTGGAGTGGAAACTTGGTCACCAACGCATCGTGGGAGCACTTCTGGTTGAATGAAGGTTGGACCGTCTACCTCGAAAGAAGAATCCTGGCTGCCATTCATGGCGAAGCTTACCGCCACTTCTCGGCTATCATTGGATGGAAATCCCTCACTGATGCCGTTGAGCACTTCGGAGACGACCACGAGTTCACCAAGCTCATTGTGGATCTCAAGGGCAAGGACCCCGACGATGCTTTCTCGAGCATTCCTTACGAGAAGGGCTTCAACTTCCTGTTCTACCTCGAGAACCTCGTTGGAAAGCCCAAGTTCGACAAGTTCATCCCTCACGTAAGTGACTACATGCCTTGAGACCGGTTCCTCTATCTGACATTCTCGCTAGTACTTCACAACATTCAAGTGCAAGTCCCTTGACTCATACGAGTTCAAGGCATTGATTCTGGACTTCTTCAAGTCAGATGCCGAGGCCTCCAAGCTCTTGAATGAGCTGGATTGGGACAAGTGGTTCTATGCACCAGGCTTGCCTCCCAAGCCTAGCTTTGACACCTCGCTTGTGGATGTCGTGTACAAGCTTTCCGAGAAGTGGCAGTCCCTTCCTGGCTCTTCTTTCAAGCCTGATATTAGTGACATCAAGGACCTTACGGCGAACCAGCTGGTCGTCTTCTTGGAGCAGATGCTCCTGCTGGAGAAGCCGCTCACCCCGGAAGTCTCCAAGCTCATGGGTGATGTTTATGGATTGACTAAGAGCGAGAATATCGAGGTCTCAAACCTTTACCTCCAGGTTGGTATGAAGGCCGGAGACGAGAGCGTCATTGAGCCCACGACCGAGTTGCTAGGCCGTATTGGCCGCATGAAGTTTGTGCGACCTCTGTAAGAATTGCCCCGTCCTGATCGCAGATCTTGACATGACACTAATGTTTCCCCCTAGGTTCCGCAACCTTCAAAAGGTCAACCGCCCTGTTGCCCTCGAGACATTCGAGAAGTACAAGGACTTCTACCACCCCATCTGCCGTGGTATGGTGGAGAAGGATCTCTTTGGCAAGAAGGACAACTAAACCCTGTCACCCTTCGCCGTTCAGCTCCACATAAAAGGAAGGCCGTTAGATGCCCGTAGAATCTCAATTGAATCATGATCTTGAATGAGAAGTTCAATATGCGAAATGAGCAGAGCAATTAAGTATTGTACAAATCTTTATAACCGATGGTATACATAGGATAAAGCAAAAACCCCCCCAAACACCACTCGCCCAGGCAATGATTTTTTACTTGCTTGCGACAATCTTCTTGTCGGTCTCAGAGTGTCTGAAGATACCGGCGTCTTCCTTGTCTCCAAGCGCAAACACAAGGTCCACCTCTTCCTTCTTAGCCAGCTCCGCCAGATTCCGACGCATGTAGACAACGACTTGAGCAACCTTAGCCCAGTCAATTTCCTCGCCATCCGGACCGGTCTCGCTTCCCTTCCACAAATTCCTCCAGACGGCAGCGCCCAGCACCGCATCGCCCTTGGCCAATCCCTCATCGTACGCGGCGATAATTCCACGCCACTGAATGAATAGATCCTTCAAGTATTTGTTGCGAATAGTCCGACTTCCCAAATCATGGTACACATCCATGCGGTGCTCTGCTTCATGCGAGAAGTGATCGATCAAGTGACGAGAGTACGTAGTGACGCTATCGCGGTACGGCAGGGCACGAAGACGAACAGTCAACAGGTACATGTGCAGCAAAGTAACCTGAGACCAAGTAGCGAACGTAGGCTTAAGACCGAGCTCTACAAAACACGAACATTAGTGAATCCACTCCATTGTACGACATAGTCAAGAAAAGGCGCTCGAATTGACTCACCTGTGTACCACCAGCTCTCACCGACGCCGAGATCTTCCCCGGCTTCCGTCTTTGGGACTTCGACTCCCTTTTGCGACGCTTGAGGGATCTTGTAGTCGGCTTGGCTGGAACAGGCCTCGAATAGCTTCTGGGTCATGCCATATGCGACGTAGGTCTCGGCGGCATTTCCGGGTCGTCGGAAGTTCCTGGTTATGTTGGAGACTTTTGAGGAATATGATCTGGCGAGGATCGAGTTCACTGGGGATTGCCGGGGTGTGGTGGTTGATGCCAGAGTTGAGATGCGATTGGCATTTTTGGATAGACACAGGTTGGAAGCGCGAACTTCACGCGTCCATAGTGTGGATAATCTTTTGAATGACATCTTTGAAGTCGTGGAATTCGTGAATTTGGTCTATCGTGATTGGCGTCCTGGATCTTTTCTTGACTTTATGTTTGCACTGTTTGTTTGCCACTCCCATGGGCCATGGATGCGAAGTATATAAAGTGTGGTCCAAGTCGAGGTCAGCTTGCTTACCGATTGACTACGTTATAACTATGTAGTTAATTAGTCATTCCTACAGTGACACTGCAAATTTTCTCTCACATCTCCAACTCATTCTTGATCGCCGATATGGGTGTTATCGTCGATTTTGTTTCTCCAAATGCCCCAGATCTGCCTAGTAAAGAGCAAGTGAGACTGCTTTGGAAGAAAACCCATTTGGGGCCCAAGCATTTAGTCCATGTCCACAATGGCAAAAATTTCTTCATCAAATATGAGGTCCCTCATTGCGAATGGAGAAATCAACAATTTTTGTTTCATCGGATTAGCCCAAGGGCTGCTATTCGTATTCCTCAAATTTATGCCGTGTTTGGTACCGTACCAGATAGACTATATCTGATTATGAAATATATCGAAATTGCACATATTGCATCTGGTACACAGAGAGCAAGAGCTATTTCGGATCTTGTTTCTGTCGAGGTCCCCCTGGATATAGCACCAGGTCCCGTCGGCGGAGGCCGTATCCAGATGAGAATCTTTTGGGATGACGAGATATCAGACGTTACGTACCCCTCTATCCAGGATCTAGAAGATCATCTCAATCGTGTTTATACCCCCAAGCTTTAAGACTAAATGGATTTCGGACTAATATAATCTTGGAATTTATCCTTTAGATTTTAAAGGCTACTAGAATAAAGCACCAAGAGCTAGAATATGTCGATTTTAGCCACGAGAGAATGATCTGCTGCTACACAGATCTTAAGAAAAAACATTTTCTAGTTGATACAAACGGTCAACTCTAGGTCTCCGCGTTTCGTCAAGTCAATTTTCTTCCTGAGACCTTCATGTACTTTGCTCTAAGCCACCAATTAGTGGGAGACCCACTCCCTCGTGAGTACTATGGTATGATTCCAATCATGCCTACTCGGAACCTCAGAGCACTTTTATTCGCAAGAAGATGGTGTCTGCATGGTACCAGTCGGTTATGTAGGTGTAACCCCCCATTTTTTATTGAGAGGACTTATCTCTAACAAGATTTTGCTGGTAGATCTCGGAGATTTGGATGTTTCAAATGTTGGCTAGATATAGTCACTCATGTGTGCGGGTCATGCCCTTCTTGCTTCCTAGGCTTTCATAGGTATTGAACCTTCATTGCTTTTAGCTTCACTTTCAAGCCTGACTGGGCCTTTATGCAATGATTTGGGAACCTTGAGAACTTTGCTGTCTTTTTTGCTGTCTTTTTTGCTGTTCTCTGTACGTGGTATCGAGCGTGGTTGTTCTCACCGAATTAATATGATATCATTGTATTTGACGCAGATGAGAAATTGATATCATTGGTTTTGTTGTCATGAATCCTGTTATTTGATGGGTATGGTAGCCCTGCATCCCGATTCTGAATACATAAGATCCCAGGAATCTTCATGCCCATGTCTCGATAGGATCGTTGCGAACGGCAACTGCGGTTCTATCATCGCCTGTGAAAGTATTGCAATCTCCATATTGTCCGAATCGTCTCCTGGCTATATTGCGGGTAAATCCGAGACAAGCTTGATCTTCGCCCGTGCCATGTGAATAGCCGACGAATGAACGCATTGTAAACCTCTCAATCGCCTAGCACCAACCGCTCAGTGCGATGTTCTACAACGGGCAGTACCTCGGAAAGTCGGTTTGCGTCCCTCATAAAGGCTGGGATATCGTCCCTAGTTGCTGCGAGTTTCTATTGCGATTGTCAGATCATCCCCAGGTAGCTTCTCAAGCAGACGTACCTCGCGAATCTTTTCATATTCACATTCCTTGGAAAGATATTCTCGAATTACTTCCTTGGTCTCGAAATCGACGTAAATACGTGTGTCTCGAAGACGAATGAGAACATGATCCAGTCGCATAAAGAACCTCGTCAATAGAAGAAGTCGCCCTGGCATCACTCGGATCTTGCAAGAAAGCATTGTAATTCCATTGTCGGCGAGCTCGTCCTCGTAGAGCACTACTTCGTCAAAGAATAAAATGGGGTCTGGGCGCTTAAGCAGTTCAATGGGAATGGGCTTCGTCGTTGGCTCGAATGGTCGCGCCTTGGGGTGGAGGGTACCCTGGTAGTCGGTGCTGTATGACCAGTCGAACGGCTTCACGATTTCTTTGATGCCTTCATGTGTCTTTTCTCTGGATTGAAGTTAGTACTCGTGGTTCAACGTCCAATTCACGTCGCAAGGGTATTTGAGTACCGGCTCTTCTGCCACTCTCTCGAGTATGCGACCTGCAACATAGATTGGCCGGTCTTGTCTACCTTGTCCAAAGCATCAAAAGCATTAAATTGGATACCCCAATCCCCTTTCTCGTACTCAATAGCCACGTAGTTATCGCCGAAGATCATTTCCGGCGGAGCGATACCGAGCTTCTGGGTCATTTCTTCAATCGGGTCGGACTTGAGGATGGGGAGTTTCTGGGTCGATATCCGGAAACCATTGACAGTGATAGTGTTAGGCTTCTTGGCCTCTGGGGCCACGGATGCGCAGGCCATATTGACAGCTGCACGGAGCAATGAAGATGTGGAGTGAAATAGCAAGCCATCTACAATCGGCACTGATAGCGATAACCCCGCGACTGAGGGGCGGTGTGGCGAAAAGCCGGCAAAATATGCATGTCTACAAGGTATACTGATTGTGAGGGCAACGTCACAAATATTAATATGTCAGCCTCAGATTTACTCTCTTGAGTTTGAGAAGATGGAACCAATGTTTGAAAGCCAGTGCAGTCAAAAGGCTCTCAGAATCCCCACATCATTTATATACAAAAAGTATTGAGAGCAAATGGTCTAAACCATAAGAAACTATGGAAGCGGAAGATGAGGCGGTGTGAGAGGGTCCTCAAAGCTGAGTCATCTGTTGTTGCCGGGGTGACGGGCTGGATTTCCCCCAAACATCCGAGCTTTGATTCTCTCTCTCCATCTTTGTGATCTTCTTCATCGAACTACTAACCCCGTGCGCAGTGATCATGACAGCAGTGTGCTAAGCACCACATCTTGTTTGGGCTCTATACTGTTTTTTCTTGCTTTCTTCGCCTTTCAACACAAACATCCCCGTCGCACAGTCTCATCATGGCGACATCCAAGACTCTCGAGGCTCGTTTTGAGCACCTTTCTATGAAAGATGAGAAAGAACATGGTCAAACTGAGAGGGTTTATGGCAAGCAGAAGGTACCCAATCTCACCCAGAGGTGGCAATTCAACTCGCTAACGTCGACTTCAGGCCTCTGCTCCCGTCAACCAGGCAAACAGTAACTCCAACCGCGCCCAATTACTGAAATTGGCTCTCCAAAACACCAATGAAAATAAAGCCAATGCTATGAATGTGCCTGCCTCGCCAGGAAGAGGCTCCCATGGCGCACTGGTCACCCGGGCCACCGATGAGAACGGCGACCAGCGCACGTCGTCTTCACTGTGTGACCAGCCATCTGTCCCCAAGGACTTGCACCTGGGAATGTTCGAGATTGGAAAGCCGCTCGGAAAGGGAAAGTTCGGTCGCGTGTACCTGGCAAAAGAACGCTCTTCTGGCTTTGTCTGCGCACTCAAGGTGCTGCACAAGTCTGAGTTGCAACAAGGTGGCGTTCAGAAGCAAGTCCGACGCGAAATCGAGATCCAAAGCAACCTGCGACACCCGAATGTCTTGAGGCTATTCGGTCACTTCCACGACAGCAAACGAATCTTCTTGATCCTCGAGTTTGCCGGTCGCGGTGAGCTGTACAAGCATCTTCGAAAGGAGCACCGGTTCCCTGAATGGAAGGCTGCGCAATATATTGCGCAAATGGCTGCTGCATTGAAATATCTGCACAAGAAGCACGTCATGCACCGTGATATCAAGCCTGAGAACATCCTCGTCGGCATTCATGGAGAGATCAAGATCAGTGACTTTGGCTGGAGTGTCCACGCCCCTAACAACCGGCGCCAGACCATGTGTGGAACTCTCGACTATCTGCCCCCAGAGATGATCAACCCCGGCTCTCAGTCCAACTACTATAACGAGAAGGTTGACTTGTGGAGTCTCGGTGTCTTGACCTATGAATTCTTGGTCGGCGAGGCGCCATTCGAGGATACACCTGCCATGACCCACCGCAGAATTGCCCGGGCAGACATGTCTGTGCCGTCCTTTGTGAGCCCGGAGGCCAAGGACCTTATCAAGAGAGTAAGTTTTCAATTTCGTCACACGCGTATAAAATATTCTTCTCTAACAATTCGACCAGCTTCTCGTTCTCGACCCGTCGAAGCGCATTCCTCTCGACGAGATTTCGCGCCACCCTTGGATTGTCAAGCATTGTGTCAAGGATGACAAAAGTGTGAAGCGGAGCATGGGCTCCTCCAAGGACGGCAAAGCATGAATAATGGCCGGTCCTTGCATTATACCATTCTTGGAGTTGTGATCTTTACTTTTGGGCATTTCTTTAGGCGGAGTCCATGGCGTTCATATTTCTGTTATAGCATTTTCAAGGCGTGTTGTGTCTGGTGGCTTCTACTTTTTGCTGGCTTTTAACTTGGCAATCAAACCAGGATGGCTTCTCGCGATATAGCGATATCTGGCTGTTGATTTTCATTTTCCAGCGCCGTCAATGAAATATGGTACATTCAAGCAAACAATTTTTTCTCTATGATACAAAAGGGTGGAGAATAGTACAACGCTGAGCATCATTGTGGTATCATCGATAAATTTCATCAAAGGGACGGGTGTCTCTGAAGCAGCTTTCCCAGACTTCGTCGACAACCCTGGTGGCATGGGCTTCGTCTTTGCAGGTCGGGCGCGCCCTCACAGAAAGAACGGCTCTGCGTCGAACGCATTCTTGGTGCTGCTGCGTTAACTTCCACTGTCCTCTCCGGAAGAACTCCCGCGCCCATCTACACTCGCCGCTGAGCGAACTGGCCCGGATCTAAACAGGGTTAGCAGATATCCTCGTCTAGGGAGACTGGTAGATCGCATACCTCGGCACAAGCCGCATGTCGTAGGTTATCCGTCCAGTTGACCTTGAACCTCAGGTGGTCGAATGCATGAACCATCTCGTGGGCCATTGTGTCTTCAAGATGTCCCTGATCTTTCATTTCGTTTGCGCAAATCAAAATGCCGTAGTCCGGGTCAAAACCACCGCCCTTGCGATCTGTACAGCGACGGCAGTAGATATTGTGGTTGTGAAGGTCGCCTCCTAATTGTTTAATGCTCTCGCTTAGGAATCGAATTGTAGGACCTGTGGAGGTAGAGATAGTCAGATTCGATGCCCAGTCTTAGTCTCAACCTCAGATCCATAGCTTACTGTACTGGAGAAGATAATCCCGCTGGTCTTCACAGCGCTTGCAGTCTGCGGCTTCATTGCGATCATCTCGCGCAACACGGAACTGCTCGATTCCTTCGTTGGACATCTTGCCTGTGAGAATGGAATAGATGTTCCGAAATTGGGTCCAGGTATCATCGCCGGGGATGAACCCTGTCGTATCTGGCTTTGCATCTGAGGGCACATTCGAAGGTGCATTCGCACCAGGCGCTTGAGAGTCGGTCATTGTTGATGGGCTTGCGAGTGGTGAATGGCGCGCGATAAAGCGAGATCCTCCGCATATGGCGGTGACGACTGGCAATATCCACTCCGGGAATCGGGCAAAAAGTGACTCCTCCGACACTGCGGGCAACACGTCAAGTTGGGATTCCTCCTTCGAAGTATTTTGTGGTTGGTTATGCCGATTGTTCGGTTAGAATAGACTCTGCATTCATCATGGCGGCCCCCTCAGGTCTCACAATTGTGATCAAATTAGGTGCGGGGATCTATATCTGTGACGCAGACCGATGTACTGACATACCATAGGAACGAGCTCCATTGTTGACGAGAAGACTCACGAGCCTATACTCTCGATCCTGACATTGATTGTGGAAACGGTTGCCAAGCTTCACAGAGATGGACACCGCGTTGTACTCGTCTCCTCCGGAGCTGTTGGAGTCGGGTTGCGCCGAATGGATGTGGACGAAAGGCCAACCTACCTGCCACGGATACAGGTATGCTTCTTATTGATACCCAGCTACATATGGGATCGATTTGCCATTTCAACATACTAATTGTGTCCTATTTGACAGGCTCTCGCTGCCGTGGGTCAGTGTCGACTGATGAGTCTTTGGGACAACCTCTTCTCTCATCTTCGCGTCCCAGTCGCCCAGATCCTCTTGACAAGAAACGATATTGCCGATGTGGGTTTATGACATCTACAGATGTAGCATGATTCGCTGCTGACCCCGCTCTAGAGAACCCAATATGTCAATGCCCAAAATACCTTTGGACAGCTGTTCGACATGGGTGTTATTCCTATTGTTAACGAGAATGATACCCTGGCCGTTTCTGTAAGTGACGCACGCAGCTCTAACAAACCAGGATTGATTGATCTAACATCGGGTTCACCTACAGGAAATTAAATTTGGCGACAATGATACCCTTTCTGCGATCACAGCGGCTATGGTCAAGGCCGACTATCTTTTCCTGATGACCGATGTCGACTGTCTGTACACTGCAAACCCCCGCACCAATCCCAACGCGAAGCCAATCGAGGTCGTGACCGATATCTCCTCCATCGAGGCCGATGTCTCGTCTTCAGGATCCTCCCTCGGCACCGGAGGCATGAGTACCAAAATCGTAGCTGCAAAGCTCGGAACCAGTGCAGGTGTGACTACCATCATCACCAAAAGCTCAAAACCAGGGAATGTCCACGATATTGTGAAATATCTACAATACATCGAGGGCCAGGCAAGTGGTTCTGCACTTGACGACGATGCCGATACTCCGACTGCACCTCTCCATACTCGCTTCCTTCGCTCCCAAACCCCCATCCAATCACGCACTTTCTGGCTTCTCCACGGACTCTATCCTCATGGCACCCTGTACATCGATCACGGAGCTTACAGTGCCCTTCTGAACAATGCCAACCTCCTGCCAGCTGGAGTTGTCGGAGTTGAAGGCCACTTTGGACAGCAAGAAGCCGTCCGACTCGTTGTTGTCGAGCGGCCTCCCCGAGACGCCTTGAATGGCGATTTTATCCACCACAGTGACGAACCGAGGGAGGTTGGGCGAGCGCTGGTGAACTACGGTAGTCTTGAAATTACGCATATCAAGGGCCACCGCAGCTCACAGATTGAAGCCCTACTTGGATATGCTGATAGCGACTGTGTGGCTATGCGAGAGAACATCTCTTTCCACCCGGAGGAGCACAGCCCCGGCCATACCGTGACGCCCTCATTAACGCCCGCCTTGGAAGCTTGGAAGAATCCTTGAATATAGCATCGAATGATTATACGCATGTCACGATCAACATGAAGAAAAGTGTCCTGCATTCAACTGCATTGGATAATTGAAGTTCGTTAGATTCCAGGTTGAATACACTGCTCAATCCTAGAAACCGAGCATTACGATTTAGTCGAAGCAAAATAACTGTTTAGAACTTTGGAACCCCAATCAAAAAAGACAACTCCAAAAGTGCAGACTAGATGAATGGTGCAAATGAAACAGGTATTAACTGCCAACAAGAAAATAAAAGGATGTGCTCAGGACCAAACAAAAATGATAAGGAATCAATCCTTCCAACGGTCCAGCCACTTTTGCATTCTCTTGTCCAGAGTGGGCGTAGGAGCAGGAGCAGCCTATAAAGCGATGATTAGCCATCTGTCCATAGCAATGGGTCTTCAATGCACCGATTCAACATACCGTGTTCTCAATGCTGTTTGCAGTCCAAGTAGCATACGCCATTTCGGTATACTGCACCGTCGCCGCCTCCAAATAAGCAGTCGCAATGGAGAATGGGAAAGGCGGGTATTGAGGCGTGGCGGATCTAGTCGCAATCGTACTGCCAGCCCTTTTAGGCATAGGCGCGTACCTGGTCAACCCTTTCTGTTCTCCATATGGGATCGTATGTTGGTCAACAGCGGGGGCAGCCGCTGCAGCACCAGCGCCGACAGCGGCGACTTGTCGCTTTCGCAGCTCGTGCTCAATTGCATCTCCGGGGGCCGCGGTTGGGAATTGTAGGACCTTCTCGGTCAGGGTGCTTGTGGGGCTCGAGATATTGAAGGCGGATGCGACTTCTTCGGCCTCGATGAGGTGATCTTCGTCTACTGGAGGCCAGGGGATCGCAAGCGCGGGTTTGGTCTGCATTGTTTTCAGAGCGTCGGTCACCTTTGCTGAGAATGAACCTGTCATGTTGGTCAAAGTGAAGTGGGAGGTGAATCCGGACCAGTAATCGTGAGGGCTTGATAACACAATTCTTAAGAAACTGTTCGCGGGTATCAGGTAAGTACATGGTCAGATCTGTTTGGAGAAAGTCTTACTATGCCTCATGATCACTTCCTCCTACATCTTGGTCGACTTTAAATGTCACCATATCGCCTGCCCTATAGACGCCATTTTTGATGACTTGGGTCAGAGAGTCCTATGCATGGTTAGCGGGTGTATCGAAAGAGAACGAGAAACATACGTATTTGTCTGTCGTCTCGTCACCGGCACAGAGATAAAAGTCATAGCTGGACGTGGCATCGTTGTCCAAGCCCCAGAACAGACTGACGGCACCTGCACCGTCGAAACTCAGACCGGTCGCCGGTGACACGATCTGACCATAGGCGGTCCACAGTAAAGAGGCCACTGGAAGCAATTGAATCCGCATGCTGAGATGGTTGAGCAAGAAGACAACGCGCCTGTTGGAAGTTCATTGAGACGGCCATCCCTTCATAACGAGACACATTCCGAACTCCTTGCCCTAGTTGCGTGGAACCAGGGGTGTTGGCAATAACTGCCTATAAAGGCATTCTCCCTGGGTTTGCATAGTAAATTAGCACGTATGCTCAGGTGCGAATGACATATCGTGGACACCATAAGGTGTATTTCAATGGGTTGAATGATTGTTAGCCCTAAGAGGCTATAGTTCCAGGAGGGCCCCGGGGTTTCAAGTGTGTTACGTAATTACCTCACTTCCAATGGAATATCGTCAAATCAGCAAAAAGTGAATGACTCCCTGAATCACATAAAACAGAATATGTATTTTAAGCATTACGGAGTAGTCAACCACTTACTCCGTGAGTCCGGAGTAGAGAAGAGTATAGAGCGACGCTATACAAAATGGGCCCACTGCGGCTACCACCGGGCGGGGCGGGATGGCGAAAATCTGCGCCGAGATTTGCCAACCTTGTGAGTCTGTTTTTTTTTTCTTTTGGGAGAGACGAACTTCCACCTCTCTACCTCACACTGCTGTACAATATGGCTTCCACTACTACCCCCGGTATCCCACCGGTCACTCTCGACACCATCACCCAACAGATCGGCAACACCCCACTTGTGCGATTGAACCGTTTGCCCCGCAGCCTCGGAATCGATGCTACCGTCTACGCTAAGTTGGAGTACTTCAATGCCGGTGGCAGTGTCAAGGATCGCATTGCCTTGCGCATGATTGAGGAGGCTGAGCGCTCTGGTCGCATCAAGCCTGGTGACACCCTCATTGAGCCCACCAGCGGCAACACGTAGGTTTCCTTTCGGATAGCGCAGTCAGCTGTGGGCTATAGAGAACAGGCACTGATAGTCGAAATGCAGTGGTATCGGTTTGGCGCTGGTTGGTGCTGTTAAGGGTACGTTGGCTCCACGGATCGCAAAGTTGAATTCTAGTTCCAAGCTAATACCTCGGTCCAGGCTACAAGACCATTATCACACTCCCCGAGAAGATGTCCGCCGAAAAGGTTGCTGTTCTCCGTGCCTTGAACGCCACTATCATCCGAACCCCCAATGAAGCCGCATACGACTCTCCCGAATCACACATCGGTGTCGCTAGACGTCTCCAGAAGGAACTCCCCAACGCCCACATCTTGGATCAGTACGAAAATGTCAACAACCCGTTGGCCCACGAGCTCGGCACCGCCGAGGAAGTCTGGACCCAGACCAATGGCAAGATCAGTGCTATTGTCGCCGGTGCTGGTACCGGTGGTACCATCACGGGTCTTGCCCGTGGTCTCCGCAAACACAACCCCGATATCAAGGTGATCGCCGCCGATCCCTTTGGATCGATCTTGGCTCTTCCTCCTTCCCTGAACGAGGCTCGTGCCAACGAGCCTTACAAGGTTGAGGGTATTGGATATGACTTCATTCCGGATGTCCTGGACCGCGAGGCCGTGAATGAATGGATTAAGACTGAAGACCGCGAGTCGTTCAAGTACTCCCGTCGTCTCATTGCTGAAGAGGGTTTGTTGGTTGGTGGCAGCAGTGGCAGTGCCATTGCCGCTCTGGTCAAGGCTAACGAGGCCAACAAATTCTCCAAGGACGATGTCGTCGTTGTGGTTCTCCCTGATAGCATTAGAAGTTATCTTTCCAAGGTATGTTCAAGTCCTGTTATATTTCTCGACAATAGTAAAATTGCGCGAGAGAGAGAAAGAAAAGAAGAAAGAAAAGAAGAAAGAAACTAACTACGTCAAGTTCGCCGACGATGACTGGCTTGCGGCCAACGATCTGCTCCCATCTCTCCCGGCCGTCGCATCAACCACTCAAACCAACGAGCCAGACTCCGACCCTCTGGCCAACGCCAAGGTCAGTGCCTTGCGCCTGAAGCCCATTACCACCGTGACAGCCAACTCCCCCTGCGAGACTGCCATCGAAGTCATGCGTGACCGTGGCTTCGACCAGCTCCCCGTCCTCGCCCCCTCCGGCCGCAAGCTCGTGGGTCTCGTCACACTGGGCAACGTTCTCAGCCGACTGACTCACGGCCGTGCCTCCGGCACCAGCCCCGTCTCCGACGTCATGTTCGACTTCTCCAAGATTTCCGAGGTCGTCACAGATCCCCGTGACCTCACCAAGATGGGCTCCAAGCTGCCCCGCAGCCGTGGTTTCATTGAGATCACCATGGACACCCCTCTCAGCGTTCTGAACCGCTTCTTCGAGTGGAACAGTGCTGCCGTTGTCACTGAAAAGGACGCCAGCGGCGCGATGAAGCCTCTGGCTGTCGTGACCAAGGTGGACTTGCTGTCTTGGATGCTGCACCAGGGCAAGGCCAACAAGGCTTAGGTCATTGGTTGCTTTTAGAAATGCATTCGCATGGAACTTTGGGTTGGGGGTTCAACATTCCTGGGCATTTTGTGATATAGGCGTTTCTGCGTTGGCATGGAGGCTCCTCGATGGAATTCAACACATTGAAGGTACCCCAGATCGTGCAGCGCAAACACCGGCGTTGAATATGATAGGTAATTAATAGAACCCTTCGGGGGAAATACAAATACATGATCCTCTTGATGTATTAGCTGCAAATGGACATCTGGAGCGGGTGGCGATGACGTCGACTCAAAAGATGTCGTAAACCACTTCCATCTGCCAACTACCAACATGACGGGCCTATTCACAAGTCGAAACTTCTCGCTGGAGGAAACACCAGATCTCAACAATCGAGTGGCGGTAGTAACTGTGAGTGAATACCCTTGTTCTATAGTCTACTTGCCTAACACCAATCCACAGGGTGGTTATGCAGGTATTGGCAAAGGCAAGCAAAGTCCCAGCCAGCCAACTTATCCCAGATCATTCTAATGCATGAAATGAAGAAATAACTTCCCAGCTCCTCCTACATGGAATAGAAAAGGTATTCATAGTCGCGAGAAGCCGAGACAAATACATCACAGCCTGCGATGAATGGAGAGACCAAGGCATCTCCCTTGGGGACGACGACAGACGAGTCGAATTCGTCCAATGCGACCTGGGAGATATCACAGAAGTCGCAGCAGCAGCAAAGCAGATCAAACAAGCCACAGACCTTCTCCACATCCTAATATGCAACGCAGGTTAGTGCTCCGCACACGATTCAATGAAAGTATCTTAACCCAACTTCCAAAGCAATTGGCGTTCCAAACGAATACAAGCGCTCTCCGCAAAATGTCGAGCGCGTCTTCGCAACAAACTGCCTCGGCCATCAAGTCCTGACAACCTTGCTTCTGCCCCTGCTGAAAAGAGGCGTGTTAACGCCTAGCAATAGCGACGTACGTATCGTGGTCGCTAGCTCGTCTCTCCACCATGTATGTCGACATCTGGATCTGGATCTGCTGTGCTCTGCATCACGTATCAAGTGGCCAGCGCTGTACGACGGGGTTTGGCGATATGGACGATCGAAGCTGGGGAATGTTCTCTTTGCGAAAGAATTGAGTCGTCGGCTTTTGAATGATCGGGACGTGGCGAGTAAGCATATCTATGTGAATTCGTTCTTTCCGGGGAATATTGTGACCGAGCAGTGGCTTGGATGGGGCGAGTATTTTGGGGGTGTTTTGGGATGGTTTATGAGAGTTCTTGGGGGTTTTGGTCAGACGCTGCAGGATGGTGCTGCGACGGCTTTATATCTTGCTGCGAGTGATGAGGTGCGGGAGAGAAATCATCGTGGGCACTACTTTGTTCCTATAGCGGCCGAGTATGAGCCCAGCTCGATTGCTGGGAATGGGAAACTTGCTCGAGATCTATGGGTGAGTCGATCCTTGTGTTTGTTGTGCATGCTCGAGCTGACGAGATAGGATTGGATTGATGCTCAAGCTACGGAGACACTGGGATTGGATTGGCAATATTAGAAGATCGTAGTTGAGATTTTGATCGTACGGATCCACCCCTTTTTTAGTTGTATATGTGTGCAAGAAGCTATTATATACGTTTTGAAAACCAGACAGCAAGTCCACCTTCACAGACACATACCAATCCATTCCTCCCAACGACGAACTCCAGACCCGAAGTCTTCTTCCTGATCACCCTTAACGGCACCACCGACAACCTCGACCTTAATTCCAGTCTCGAATTCCAAGAGCTTGAAAGTGAAACTCTCCTGTTCATCATTCGCCAGAATCTCCTCCTCATCTTCCAACCCCGTATCAGCCGCATCCAACAGACCCTTGTTCTTCGACTTGCGAATACGTTCAATCTCCGCCTCCAGCTTCTCCCTCACCGAGCCAGGCGGCAGAGCCGTAAAGAGATCCTGCTTGTTCGCAGCGACCAGAACGGGGATCTCGGTGGTCCGCTTGCTGGAGGAGCCGTTCTTGGCGCGCTTCTGAAGCACGAGGAGCACGTCATGCAGGTAGGTGGCTGTGTCGCGGAGGGTGGCTTCATCCACCAGTGCCGCGGTATCAACCATGAACAGCACGCCACGGAGTCTGGTCTTGATATCCTTTGACTGGGCCATGGTGCTCAGCTCGGCGAGACCCTGTGAGACGCGCAGCTTGCCATGGCCAGGGGTGTCGCGGACGCGGTAACGGATGGGGTTACGGATAGCCTCTTTCAGAGAGGGGTCGTTGACGGAGCGGTAGCGGTTTGAGCCGGTGGGGACAGTTGGGGGAGGGTGACGGTGGCCAAGGTAGATTGTTGGGAGGTGTGGGTGGCGTGTGACTTCTTCGATGCGGGGGAGGACTTTGCTTCGAGCTGGGGGGTGTTAGATATGGTGCATAGTAATTTGGAGGTTAAAGTGAGGCCTACCAAGGTTGTAAAGGCTGTCTTGCCAGCTCCGCTGGGACCCAGGAGCAGGAAGTTGCTTGAGGGTGGAGAAGCTACAGCTTGGAAGAAGATGATGTGGAGGAGGACAGGTACGCCGAATGTAAATGCGATGGCGATGGCGATTGCAACCAGGTTGCCATCGAATAACAGTGTGGCAATGCCAGTGACTGAGTGCCAATTTGCTTGGGAGGACATGGTTGAGGAAGGGAAGTTCACTTCGGAGATCTGATAACGTACGATAACTCCCCCAAATCCCGAAGACCCCGGCCCTCTACGAATCTTCTAGCCCTTTTTGTCTCTCTCCTTTTTTTTATATTAATATTCAAAATGACATGATCAGGAGACGTTTAATATTCACCTTGTTCCAATTGGATAATTTGTGTTCTGAAGCATCACAGCTGACTTCAGGGCTATCTTCAATAACAAAAACTTATACCTCGCCTTCGCCCCCTACAAAGTGTATCAGTAGGATTATTCTTTACCTCAACCTAGCTCCCTCTGTACTTCTTCCTCTCCGATGCCTTGAATGTGAGCCCGAAACTCCATCTTTGGCCCGGCTGGATCCCCTCCGTTCGCATTCACCCCGAGTGGCAGATGCCGATGGATCGGGTGTAAGAAGAATCCAAACTTCTACAAGTAAAGCACGGCTCCTTTCTGTTTCGGTCAGCCCGGGGTCTCGTACCAACTGATGTACAAAAAAAAAAAAGAATGGAACCCAGTCAAGAATGCCAGTGTGAACGATCCAGCATTCTATATTGTTCAATAACTTCGTGAATCGTGAGCTTGTCAAGAGATGGGCAGAGGCCGACCAGTCTTTTCACGATGTTAGGTGAATATGAACGTCCATATCCATAACCATGTTTGATATAGCCTGGGTCTTGACTGATGATCCAACTACAAGTAGTCATACCATACTCGGGCTTTGCCGCAATCGCCATTAGAGGGTAATCCATACCCCGTGGAAGCCACAGCGGACTCTAGCACTACCCTCAATTATGCCATTGTCGTCCTTCCCCCGGTTGATTCAAGCCATCCGATCAACCACAATCACTGGATCAAATATGTTCTTTTATTCAACCGGTTCGATGGAGCCCGTGAGAAGTGGATGGTCGACGATGACTCCTCTCATGCCCTAGTCTCTACAGTAGAACCGTCCGCACCGCCAATGGATAAACAAAGTGTCCTACGGTGGCTTCGGCTGAGAACGCAAGCTTTGCTAGTTTTTATCTGACACGGTCCGGGATGGTCGTGTTTAACGAACTTACCCATTTCTTCATGATGGATCAACATAACCTCGACGAAGGGACGATATCTGTGATGACGTTTGCAAGCGACGGGGAGGTCGAGCACGAAATACTGCCTAGAGTTCACTTCGTCAGTTACCTCTTGTCAGATAGTGAGTCCCTTGACTCTCTTCCTTCATCGCCAGTCGGTGGCCTGATGTGCGGAAATGACCAAAGAGATCGCAAGTGATGTTGCTGGTTAATTGGGAATGTGCTCCGGGGCTAAGTCGCTCCAGGTTTGATATCAATGCCCCGGTGCTGAGCATGCTGGAAGGCGCGAAAGGAGAGGCCCCCACAGTCTTTGATTCCTCTCGGTCCGCGGAGATAGTGGAATCCTACGCTCCTGGATATCTTGCTATGGAGGCGCAGGGATGTACTGCGGAATACGACCTTGCGCATTTGATGAAGGGGTTTGATGTATATCACTCGGTTAGTGGAAGATTTTGACCTGCACTGCCTCCCCCCGAAATAACAGTATGTACATAGAGCAAACTCCGAGGCCCCGCGGTTCCCAAGATCAGAGTGGAGACATATCTTTCCAGAATTGACGATATACAGTGGGTGCATAGTGGGATGGTCGATTTTTTCTTCTTCGCAGAAACAACTTTGGAACAGACAAGGTCACTCTTCCAAAGTGTACATGTAGATGATATTGCTGTGCTCATCCTTGGAATTAAATTATATCTATGCATCCGCGGAGATTTCGTAGATTCCAGGTTGTTTACTGCCAAGTTCCAATGTTTATGTTTCCAAGGTTGTTATAGTGTTCCCGGTACCATATCCCAAGACATGCTAGTTCTAACCTTGGAACCTTGACCTGAGGTTGCCGAAGTCAACTTCTACCTCACCTGGACAACCTTGGAATATAGAGAACACTAAAGCTTCACGACTCTTCTAGCTGATTGACTCTCTGCATTCAATGAACAATGAACTCCCGAGGTCGCATTGCCTCACCGACTTGCAGACGATCTTTATCCACTCGGCACTGATTGGCCCGCAACACTCTTCACCACCGCACTACAGTGACCGATAGCAAACCATAGCGACCGATCCGGTCAGATCAAGCTAAACCAAGCTCCCTCAGCATGCAGAAAAAAACTCTCCATGTCCCACTTGGTCCCATTGATGTGCATTCTCAAGCCCCAAGCCCTGGAGAGCGCTTACTCCGTACTTGCTCGGCCACTCCGTACTAACTATGCGACAATTTCCCAGAGCCAAGGCCGGGGGCTGTGCAAGCTGGAAATGGGCATTCCCCACAAAGGGTCACAGCATGCCCATGCCATGAAGCCAAGGACCAGTGGTACACGAGACAACGTTCAGTGACCCCCCTTCGACATGCATCTCGTCACAGGGTTTCAGAATTAACTGCGGATATCGATTTGGGCCTGGGATGCGACGATCGCTGCGTCAAAAGTATCAGATGCCGATGGCTGGATGCGCCAAGACCTCCCTGGCTCAGATGCTCCATGATGCTGTGGTTTAGGTATCGAAGACACGAGGTCTGATTGGTTCTCGCTGCTGCCAGCACATCCCACCGCGCTGGTTGTTTTTATTTGCCTTCTTTGGTGCGGGCTAGAGCTCTATAGTCTTTGCTGCCCCAGCCCTTTTTTTGCTTTTTTTCCCTTTCTTTTTTGACTTTCTCAGCTACGCTTGATTCAAAGCTTTTTTTCTTCTCTGCAGCGATTTTTTGTTTTTGGTTTTGGTGATCTCAAGGTCTGGTACCTTGCTTTCACCTCTCTGTCCGGTCTATACCCTTCCCCCTTGAAAATTATTGGAAGTTGCAATGGGCTCTATCAGGTCAAACCGTTCGCAAAATGCCGGCCTGCAACACCGCGGGAACGGCGAGCCGTCAAAAGCGGTTCAGGAAAAGCCCTCGCAGAATTCTATCTTGCCAACCAACTCGAACGCCTCTAAGAGACGACGCGCGCTCTTTCGCGTAGACACTGCTGGAGAGAGCGGCCGAGGTGGTGTTCATCCAGTACATCTCGTCAAAGTATGCTTCCGCAGCGTCTGTACCCTTTCCATGGTCGTCAACATTCTCTGGCCATTCGTGCCCGCCGCGATTGTCATGCACTTTGCCCGACCCGATCTTCACGTTTGGGTATTCGCTCTCAACTACATTGCCATGGTGCCCTCGGCAAATCTACTTGGATTTGCAGGCGGCGAGCTGGCGAAGAAATTACCGAAAATGTTCGGCATATTGGTTGAAACAACGCTGGGCTCCGTGGTGGAATTAGTTCTATTCATGGTCTTGCTGCACAATGATGACCCTGCAAATCACAGAAACTACATTCCTGTCATCCAGGCTGCTATTCTTGGTTCAATCATGGCGAATCTGCTCCTATGCCTGGGCATGTGTTTCTTTGTTGGAGGTCTCAGACGTGAGGAGCAGGCCTTCCACGAAGCCATCAGCGAAGTCGGTACTGGTCTGCTCTTGGTTGCTGGCTTTGGTCTGTTGATTCCAAGTGCGTTCTACTCGGCTCTGCGCAATAGTGTGAACGAAGAGTTCACCGCGAAGATGCTGGGTGATTATGCCCTGACAATCAGCCGCGCCACTGCAGTCATTTTGCTTGTGGCTTTCTTCACGTAAGTGATTACCCAAAGGTAGTCCGTTGTTATTCAAAATTCTAACTTTGACAGATACCTCGTCTTCAACCTCCACAGTCACAATTCGATCTTCGACGACATTCTCGAAATTGACGAGCACCACGATGAAGACCGACATGAGGAACTGGCGCGAGCCAAACTCACTATGACCGAATGCATCATCGTCATCTCGATCTCCTTGGCCTGCGTCTGTATGTCTGCGGTATTCCTGGTACAAGAGATCGAATTTATCGTGGAACGTGGCGTATCAGACAACTTCCTCGGTCTGATCCTCGTTCCTCTGGTCGAGAAGGCAGCTGAGCATCTCACGGCTGTTGACGAGGCTTGGGATAATCAGATCAACTTTGCGCTCTTCCACTGTCTGGCGCCCTCGATCCAGACAGCCCTTTTCATCGCACCGCTCACTGTCATCGTGGGTTGGGGAATGGATAAGGATATGAGTTTGAACTTTGAAATTTTCATGGTTGTGCTTCTCGTGCTCTCGATTCTCGTCGTTGGCAATTTCTTACGAGACGGCAAGTCTAATTATCTAGAAGGTGCGCTCTGCGTCTTGGTCTATTTCATCGTGGCGGTTTGTACTTGGTACTACCCCAGTGTGGAGATAACTTCGACGAACTCGTCCTGACAGAGCCGATATTACTTTTTTTGAATGGACATAGTGATTCTTTAATATATACACAAGATTGATTTACTTGAGATGACCAGGTAGATGATTAGGGGACTGGGCGCTAGAGTGATGCAAGTGAGGTGGGAATAAAACAAACAGACACACAATCATCTCAGGTCGGACTGAGGACGCAAAGCTTCATCCATCAGTATGCGCTCATCCACTCGGAGCTCAAAGTCCACCAGGAAACAAAAGCTGATCTCCAGCTTGGACAACTCGAGCTCGCTCACACCTCCCACTTTCGCAACCCGGCTATGAGCATAGCTAAGGTCCTCCAAAGCCTTGCTCGCAACCCACACGCCAGCCAAAACAAGTCGATGCATGTTCTTCGGGCTCACTCTGAGGACGTTCTCCACCAGAGTCATCTTAGAAATGTAGACGCTAGTCGCAAGATACACCGCCGTAGACATGGGGCAATATTTATGCAATCGAAGCAAATAATCCCGCAACGAGATAGGCGGGATCTTCTTCGAAAGGAACTTCTTCGCAAGAATCGCCATCTGAATCGCCTCGCCCGTCGCACGTGCAGGATCAACAGTTTCCCCTTCCCCCTTAACATGCAATCCCACAGACTCTATTTCCAGCGCTCCATCCTGGCCCTCGTCGACATCGAGGGGCGTGGAGCAGTGAGAATTCACCTCGTCTGTGCCAGCGGGATTCTCCGCAAAGAACGCCGCTAGACGCTCGACATTCGTGCATAGGAGGTGTAAAGCAGTCTCGGGTGAAATATCGAAGACAGCGGACGGTGGCGAATTAGCATCGAGGTCAGCGCCTAGTTTGAGCCTGGCATTTGGGCTGAGATCGGCTTCTGCATTGGACATGATGGTTTGTGCGACTGCCATGATCGTTTTCTCCTTTTTTTTTTTGGCTTTCACTGACCGCACGCGCGCGATCGGTATGACTTTGGGCACCTGGTCCTTGTGGGTGTCGCGTTTTGGTATCTCATTTTCCAATGGGGTTGGTCTTTGGGTTGCTCTCGATTAGGAGTTTCGGTCGGTCTCGGTGGGTTGGGGGGGATGTGGTGGGGGGTTGCGCGTTGGTAAATGTCCGCGACTGGAGGAAGCCTAACTCGTGACTTGTGGACTGCGCCCAAGATCAATTCCGCGGGGATTTTTCAAGTCGGACAGGTCAGAACAAGTTGTAATAACGCAGAACGGGTTTAGCTGGAATTCAGTCAGATTAGAGGAAATCAAGGAAATGATCAGGAACGAAAAGGCCTGGACTCTACAAAAAGAGGAGATAAGGATTCGCCACTTTTTATTATCTCAGGGGGATTCACCGAGGCACAACTGGTATGGAGTAAGTACTTGTGTTCTGTTTGTTTAGTAGAATGACTTTGTAGAATTCTTATTACATATGTCCATAGATGGTCTTTTATTTATATATGTTCTATGTGGATCATATGATGTACCTAAAAGGTAGAAGTCACTACTCCGTACTCTGCACAACAGTTTACTTGCTGCAGACAACACCGCCAACTAGTAACCCATTGACACGTGACTTGGCGATGGATTATATAAGTGTCATGTGACAGTTGGTATAAGGCACCAAGGCACTCATTTGTGGACCTAAGCGGAGTGCCAAGACCCAATGCTAAAAGTAGAAGTGTCACATGACCAGCTTCCAGTCTTGATTACCTAACTGATCAGGGCTTTCAAGTCACGTGTGCCAAATTCACCAACGCACAACCTCCAAAAGTTTCGTGATCGCTCGGTCTCTTCAGTCGACAACCACTCCACGCCCACCAACCGCCGTCATGGTATGTTCAAGATCCTGCCTCAAACACCATTCCAATCAGCACTGCGCCATCCTCCTCCATTTAATTCGCTTCTCAACCGCCATCTCTGGCCTGCGGACACACTCATTTCAAATCTCGAATTGCGATTCTAACATAATGTAGTCCGCTCCCTCCAAGGCCGAGAACCCCAACCGGGCGCTGCGTCTCAGCAAGCTGACCCTCAACATCTCCGTCGGAGAGTCTGGTGATAGGTAATTTACATTCTGTCGAATTTGAGTGCGATCTTTTTTTTTTGGCTAACCCTCATATCAGACTCACCCGTGCCGCCAAGGTGCTTGAGCAGCTTTCCGGTCAGACCCCCGTCTACTCCAAGGCCCGTTACACCGTCCGTACCTTCGGTATCCGTCGTAACGAAAAGATCTCCGTCCACGTCACCGTCCGTGGCGCCAAGGCTGAGGAGATCCTCGAGCGTGGCCTCAAGGTCAAGGAGTACGAGCTCCGCAAGCGCAACTTCTCCGAGACCGGTAACTTCGGATTCGGTATCTCCGAGCACATCGATCTCGGTATCAAGTACGACCCCGGTATCGGTATCTACGGAATGGACTTCTTCGTCTGCATGTAAGTGGAGACAAAACCCCTTTTTCCCGACAGAATTACTGGACTTGGAAAACTAACAACTTTATCAGGGACCGCCCCGGTGCCCGCGTTGCCCGCCGCCGTCGCGCTCAGTCCAAGATCGGTGTCAACCACCGCATCACCACCCAGGAGACCATGAAGTGGTTCAAGACCCGCTTCGACGGTATCATCCGCTAAGCGCTTTTAGCCTACAAGCTAAAGTGTCAAGAGTTGGGAGGGGCCTGTGAAGTACGAAATACTCGACAAGAACCAAAAAATTATCTTGCGTACTTCCCGGAGGAAACACAAAATTTGCGCATGGGCAACCCCGTCACCACCCTGCGGGTCCCTTGATTCACTGCGTTGCATGTCTTGATTTTGTACTCTGACAACCAGGATAGGCGTGGGAGAGATATGAATTCACATTATACCATTTAACTGCTGCTTTCCCTTTTCACAATGAGGCTTCACGAGTGGTGATGTTTTCCGCATAACCATTGTTGAAAAGGATGGCAGGCACTGGACTAGCGTCCGGTGTCTTGTCATGGCTCGCTTGAGAACGCTTCGGCTTCGTCAAAGAGTCGGTCCCTTTGCATCTCTCCCGAGATTGCATCGGGTACCTCTGGCCTATCTTGTCTTTCCTCCTTCCTATCCTCGTAGGGGCAACCTGTCGTAGACGTATGTTCGTAGATGTAGACCGTTTATCGGCACTAAACACCGCGATCGTGTTCGCAGAGAACATTGCCTCGCCAGGTGTACAGCACCAAACCCCGCTCGGCGGAACGGATTTGGCCAAGCCCAAGACCAAGCCCGACAGCAGAAATGGGCTCATTGGATCTCTCGGGAATATGCCAAAGTGCCCAGTATTCCCTTATCTACGGGCAGTGGGCGGACTCCGAAATTTATTGGAAGTACACCGCACGCATGATGGTTCCATACACATACAGGACCATTGATCTGGTTTGTCCTTCTATCAGAGGTCCCTACATTGGATGGGCATCAACAAGTCGCTACCTCCCTCCAAGACATGGACCTCGGGACTCTTCTATGGATTTATTCAGAGACTCTTGCCAACTTTGGAAGAATCTAACCTTGGAGGCCATGTGTACTCCAGGGCTGTCCGGGTGTGAAAGAAGATCGTGACTCTAGTATGAACTTTGCTCCATTGGATTCGTTATACACTTCATGTCTCTTATGCTCATAAAATCTTCCATATATCATATTGCAGCTCTTCACTTCTTCTGGTCCGCCAGCTCAATCATCTCATCCCTCGACTTATCATGTTCCTGATCACCCGATTCAATATCCATCACTTTAGTATCAGCAGCCTCGTCAACTCCAGCAATAACAGTTTCAAAGCGACGACCACGCTTCTCAGGACCAACAGCAGTAGTGACCATGATACCAACAGCGATGATCGCAGTTGCAACTCCCATAACGGGCCCGTATGCATTGACCCTGTGACCAGATGCACTGGTAACCGAGATGGACTCAGAGACAGCATTCACGATCTGCGCTGAAGGAGAGGAAATCATGTTCCCAAGCTGGTACGTGAGACCAGGGAATGAGGATCGGAAAGCAGGAGGCGAAAGCTCATTCAGATGGATGGGGATCACACCCCAGGCGCCCTGAACGAAGAATTGCATGAAAAAGCCAGTTGCGCTCAAGGCTCGCTCGCCTTGCGGCATGATCCACGCGGGGATGAGAACTCCAGATACGAAAGCAGCGACGATGATCGCCCTTCGGCGGCCGACAAATTGGGACAGGTATCCGATGATGGTGCCTCCAACACAGGCTCCTGTCTTCATTAGGATAGAGGCTCGTGAAGCACCGGTGTTGTCGAGCTCTTTTGAGGTGAGCATGAAGGTGGTGTATGAGTCTTGCGATGTGTGGGAATAGAAGTTGAACTGTTCGAAATGTATTAGATTGGCATTCAGATGGTTCATCATGTTCGTGGTGACATACCCAGGTCATGAGGATGATGCAGTAGATGCACATGCGCCACTCTTTCCCTAGCATAGCGATTGTCTCCCGCCAGAATTCTCCTGCGGTCATTGTTCGTTTTCCTGATTTCTTGGCCTCGATGAAAGCTTTGGATTCGGGGAAACAGATGCGGACTAGTCCGACTGCGATTGAGATACCGGCTGTGTTGGAGAAAATGTTAGGACCGTCCAGCATAGTAAAGGCAGTTGACAAGACCAGGGAACTCACCGGCAATCCAGAAGACAGTCTTCCAGGTTTCTGTGCCACCCCCGACGCCGAGATTGGCACATGCTGCAAACACGTAGCCCAGTGAATACCCTTGTTGAAGAATTCCAGACATGAGTCCTCTGGCGTTGACACTGCATCGAAACGGATTAGCAATGGCTTTTGGATCTAGCGGTGAAATACTTACGGACAATGTTCCAATGCCATGGCAATGGCATTTCCATACACACCACCCATGAAAAGACCAAAGAGACTGCGAACAGCCAAAAATTGCTGGAATGTCTTACTGTAGATTGTAGCAATCTGCAGGACTCCTAGAATGATCATGTTGAGCACCATGGGCCATTTTCGGCCATACTTGTCACCAGCGAGACCGAAGGCGGCAGCTCCAATACTTCTCAGCAGCAGAGTCAACGTGATAGCTGTAGTGATGTCGGTCTTGGATCTGTCGTAGTAATCTGCCAGCTTCACGGTCTGGATAGACAGGGCGTGGAAGTCAAAGGCATCGGCAGTCCAGGCAGTGAGTCCCACAAGGAAGAACAACCAGTCGCGAGCTGAAAGCTGAGCCAGCAAACTGATAGGGTTCTTGATTGGTTCTGGGGCTTGCCATTCTGTTCGGGACTCGCCATGTTCGTTGGTTACCTCGACACGCTGCTTCCAGATGAAGAGATCTCCAAAGGCCTGGCGTGCAGTGGCAAACATTCCATTGGGGATGGGGTCTGCCGGTTCGTTGGTAGATGCCATTGTGATGGTATCTCGGGGGACAACACCGATTGGCAAGAAGAATATTACAGTAATAGATACAAAAAAGGTAAACTGATCAAACAAAAGCACCAAATCAGACTTGAAGCGCCGACTGGAAAGATTCGAGAGACAACTGATCAAGAGTCCAGGATTGTTGATCCTGTTTCTCCAGGTTCCACGTCAAAACCCCAGATTTTATATGCGAAGATCGAGCCTCACCCCGCAAAATCAACCCGCATCATTCTCGTGGGGGATTCAATAAATGCCGCTGCACCCCAGGATGTTCCGATAATCCAACGCGGGGGTATACCTCTCCGCTGACCAGCCAAGCAGATGCCAAGGCGATGATAGCCCCGTGCCCTCCAATAGCAGAATGCCATACGACAGACATCCCGCCTCACACGCTTTAAGGCTGGCTTGGCGGTGGTACGGCCATGCCGAGAGCGATCCTTCCGGTCTTGGCCCCGCCGACAAAGACAAGCTCCAGCAAGCCGGATGGCGCTGGGCGCGTGGCTATTGATCCCTTGCGCCGAAACTCTTGAGTTTAAAATGGGCCGATGCCAGAGTTGGGGGCTCCGGTTCGGAGCCTAAGTGGTGTTTTTTTCGTGTGGCTCCCGAGGTCAGCGCGGCGAGACTTCCTCCATGGCTCTAGCGGACTGTTGGCAGTCGGCTAGAATGACCTTGGGACTTGGGAGGGTTACTCTGAATATGTGGTATTTTGGAAAGAGCACCTGGGCATGTCGTGCCACCTGGGCGTCTGCAGGGGTGTTTTCTTTTGCTTTCTTTGTCACTGGTCCTGGGGCCGCCTGTGACGCACGTCTTGGAAGCCATAAACTTTGAGAAATATGATGAAATTGATGTACCTTTTTTGGCTCACTAATTCCCGAGGTCCAAGGTTATTCCAAGGTACTCCGTACCCAGAAATGAACTGTCAGAAACAAAGAACACAGATAGTCCCTGGGCGTTTTCCAAAGTGGCGAAAAAGCAAAAAGTATAAACAACGTTGGAAACTGTTGGCCGTGCCCTAATTAGGTGGTGAGCTCTATATACACACCCATCGACCCCACTGAACACCAATTATGCGGAGCGAGACATGCCCTGAGATATATAAGCTACCCACCTAAGCAGCGAAGATTAATTGCATACTCCGATGAACAATAACATACGAAAGGCAAGACAACCTCCCCTTTACCATCCATGGATATACCTCATCCTGTTCACAACCTTGGAACGTTGGAAGTTAGCAAGTGAACAGTCCAAACCTACTCCAAGCTTCATGTCAATTGGCAAGTGGCCCCGGTGGATAGATCGGATGATGTCCGATGTGTCGAGGCGCCACTGGTTGGATGACAGGGTCCAGTGTGGATCCTGCTCAGGTCCAGTAAAGGGGCCAGTTTCCAATCTCCCTGAGTCTCCGCTTGGAGGCCACGAGGACCATGCAGCAAGATGCACGTTCCTTGAGACAGTGCGATGCAGCTTATCATAAACCGAAGGGCAATTTTTCAAAGAAATGTGTTAAGCCTCTCAAGTGATTTCGATACGACCTGCAGATACAAGGGCCAGCCAAGTCGAATATGCAAGCTGTAAATTCAGAGGTAGATAAGACTGCAGCTGGAGATGAGTAGACACAAGAGTGAGAGTGAGAAAAAGATGATATAATCAAGCTGAAGGTTCAGAGTTGCTGAATTAGTTCCTAGTAAACAATACTCCGTAGGGTCTCATCTGTATAGTTAACTATGGAGATAGCTTAGTACTCATGGCCCAATATCCGAATCACCTACCAACTGACCACGATACAAACAAGAGAACTGACAACCTTCTGCTATGAGTTATCAGAGCTTCTTCCATATAATAACTAAGCCTTTTCTCTATTTCCTCGATCAACATTTGACATTCAGCGAACTTGTCTTCTTCGGCCCCTGTGTCACGTGATGACCCATAAGCGACACCTCAGCAACGTCAACAGCCTCCTGAAGGTCACTTCCGCATCTTCCAGATCTACCCCCTCCTCCTCACTTCATACCTTTCTTTCTTCTCTCCGTGCTTTCTTCCTGGACATTTGCGACTTCCCTCTCTTTTTCAACATACCTCAATTCTTCAACTCTCTTCGCGTGGCGTTTAAATCAGCGAACTAGGTCGTACTGCGGCCAACGCAATTATGGCGCCTCTTCCCATCAAGTTTACAGAGCTGGTCAATGTACGTCCTCCTCACCCTGGCATGATCGCAATTGAGTATCTTGACGCTGACTGACGCTTTACTTTTTAGTTGACCTCTGTCGGTATTGCGGTATGTACAACGATGCCCGACGCCCGACGCCTTGCGCCTAGCTCCGATCCCGAGACGGATGCACCGGCCGCGCAAAACATCGCTTTACACTGTTTGAGAACGCTACTAACTCCTTTCTGTATAGCCGACTTCAATTGGCTTCACTTCATGTGTGAGTTGAACATGGTTGCCTTGCGACTACCCCCCCCAAAACAACAATGGCCAGACTGGGCTGACCTTCTTTCATCTAGACACTAGAATCCGATCACTACGTCTGTGTCCGCCAAAAGCTTGACGAAGACGACAAGCCCCAAGTTATCATTATCGACCTCAAGAACAACAATGAAGTTCTACGGCGCCCCATTAACGCCGACAGTGCCATCATGCACTGGAACAAGAACATTATTGCCCTGAAGGCGCAGGGTCGCACCGTCCAGATCTTCGATCTCGGAGCGAAGCAAAAGATCAAGTCGGCGGTTATGAACGAAGATATTGTCTACTGGAAGTGGTTCAGCGAAACATCTCTGGGTATGGTCACAGACTCAGCCGTTTACCACTGGGATGTGTATGATGCCACACAACAGAATCCAGTGAAGATGTTCGACCGACTTCCTAATCTTTCGGTAAGTGATATGCGCGTTGTGACAGTTGGAGTTTCAGAAATGTCCTAATTCGCGGATCTTGGATAGGGATGCCAAATTATCAACTACCGTGTCAACGCCGAGGCAAAGTGGATGGTTGTGGTTGGTATCAGCCAGCAGCAGGGCCGGGTCGTTGGATCTATGCAGCTCTTCTCGAAGGAGCGCGGAATCTCGCAATTTATCGAAGGTCACGCCGCCTCGTTCGCCAACATCAATGTCGAGGGCTCTCCTCTCCCCCACAGCCTGTTCACTTTCGCCGTGCGTACCCAGACCGGCGCCAAGCTCCAGATTGCCGAGATCGACCACCAAGAACCCAACCCCCGATTCCAGAAGAAGGCCGTGGAGGTCTACTTCCCACAGGAGGCGGTTAACGATTTCCCCGTCGCGATGCAGGTGTCTAGCAAGTACGACGTGGTCTACCTTGTCACGAAATACGGTTTCATCCACCTTTACGACCTCGAGACCGGAACTTGCATCTTCATGAACCGCATCTCCAGCGAGACTATCTTCACCACTGCTCCGGATGGCGAAGGTGCCGGTCTGGTCGGTGTGAACCGCAAGGGTCAGGTTTTGTCTGTCAGCGTGGACGAATCCAACATCGTTCAGTACCTGATGGAGAACCCCGCTATGTCTGGTCTTGCGGTGAAACTCGCCTCGAAGGCAGGCCTTCCTGGTGCGGACCACTTGTACCAGCAGCAATTCGACACTCTTATGGCTGCCCAGGACTACACCGAAGCTGCCAAGATCGCTGCTAACTCCCCCGCGGCTTCCTCCGTACTCTGGACACCATCAACCGCTTCAAGAACGCCCCCCAGACCGGTCAAATGTCTGTCATTCTGCAGTACTTTGGCATGCTACTGGACAAGGGCTCGCTCAACAGATACGAGAGTGTGGAGCTTGTTAGACCTGTCTTGCAACAGAACCGCAAGCATCTGCTCGAGAAGTGGATGTCGGAGAAGAAGCTCGAGGGCTCGGAGGAGCTCGGTGACATTATTCGTCCGTACGATATGTCCCTCGCTCTGACCGTCTACCTTCAGGCCAACGTCCCTAACAAGGTCGTTGCTGGATTCGCCGAGACTGGTCAATTCGACAAGATTCTTGCCTACTCGAAGCAAGTTGGATTCCAGCCAGACTACACCCAGCTTCTTCAGCACATCGTCAGGGTCAACCCGGAGAAGGGTGCTGAATTTGCTACTCAACTCGCCAACGAGGAGAGTGGTGCTTTGGTTGACCTCGATCGGGTTGTCGATGTTTTCTTGTCCCAGAACATGATCCAGCAGGCCACCTCATTCCTGCTTGATGCCCTGAAGGATAATAAGCCCGAACACGGTAATCTTCAGACTCGTCTCTTGGAGATGAACCTGATCAACGCCCCGCAGGTGGCAGATGCCATTCTTGGCAATGAGATCTTCACTCACTTCGACCGCCCTCGCATCGCTCAACTTTGCGAGAACGCTGGCCTTATCCAGCGTGCCCTCGAAAACTCAGAGGACCCCGCTTTCATCAAGCGTAACATTGTCCGCACCGACAAGCTGAGCCCCGAGTGGCTGATGGCTTTCTTCGGCCGTCTCTCCGTGGAGCAGACTCTGGACTGCTTGGACACCATGTTGGAGTCGAACATCCGCCAGAACCTGCAGTCCGTCGTTCAGACCGCCACCAAGTTCTCCGATCTTCTTGGCTCCAACCGTCTGATCGATCTCCTCGAGAAGTACCGTACCGCCGAGGGTCTCTACTACTACTTGGGAAGCATTGTCAACCTGAGCGAAGACCCCGAGGTGCACTTCAAGTACATCGAGGCTGCCACTGCCATGAACCAGGTGACCGAGGTCGAGCGTATTTGTCGCGAGAGCAACTACTACAACCCCGAGAAGGTTAAGAACTTCTTGAAGGAGGCCAAACTGACCGAGCAACTTCCTCTGATCATCGTCTGCGACCGTTTCAACTTCATCCACGACCTTGTTCTCTACCTCTACCAGAGCCAGCAGTTCAAGTCTATTGAGGTGTACGTCCAGCGTGTCAACCCTGCTCGTGCTCCCGCCGTTGTCGGTGGCTTGCTGGATGTTGACTGCGAGGAGAGCATTATCAAGAACTTGCTCTCCACCGTTGACCCATCTGTGATCCCCATCGATGAGCTTGTGTCGGAGGTCGAAAGCCGCAACCGTCTCAAGCTGTTGCTGCCTTTCCTTGAGGCCACTCTTGCGACTGGCAACCAGCAGCAGGCTGTTTACAATGCCCTTGCCAAGATCTACATTGACAGCAACAACGACCCTGAGAAGTTCCTCAAGGAGAATGACATGTATGACACACTCACCGTCGGAAAGTACTGCGAGAAGCGCGATCCCAACCTGGCCTACATCGCCTACCGCAAGGGTCAAAATGATCTGGAGCTCATCAGCATCACCAACGAGAACTCCATGTACCGTGCTCAGGCTCGCTACCTTGTCGAGCGTGCCGACCCCGAGATCTGGACCTTTGTCCTGAGCGAGAACAATGAGGGCCGCCGTTCCCTCGTTGATCAGGTCATTGCCACCGCAGTCCCCGAATCCACCGAGCCCGAGAAGGTGTCCGTGGCTGTCAAGTCCTTCCTTGAGGCTGATCTGCCCGGTGAGCTGATTGAGCTGCTCGAGAAGATCATCTTGGAGCCCTCGCCTTTCAGCGACAACACCAGCTTGCAGAACCTTCTGATGTTGACTGCCGCTAAGGCCGACAAGGCTCGCCTTATGGATTACATCCACCAGCTTAATGACTTCTCCGCTGACGAAATTGCCGAGATGTGTATCGGCGTTGGTCTTCACGAGGAAGCCTTTGAGGTCTACAAGAAGGTCAACAACCAGCTCGCTGCCGTGAACGTCCTCGTGGAGAACATTGTCAGCATTGACCGTGCTCAAGAGTTCGCTGAGCGTGTTGAGCTGTCCGAGGTCTGGAGCAAGGTTGCCAAGGCCCAACTTGATGGTCTGCGTGTGACCGACTCTATCGAGTCGTACATCCGTGCTGAGGATCCTTCCAACTACAACGAGGTGATTGAAACTGCCACTCACGCCGGCAAGGATGAGGATCTCGTCAAGTTCCTCCGCATGGCCCGCAAGACTCTGCGCGAGCCCTCCATCGATACCGGTCTTGCCTTCTGCTTCGCCCGTCTTGACCAGCTCGCCGAGCTCGAGGACTTCCTCCGCTCAACCAACGTCGCTGACATTGAGGCATCTGGTGACAAGGCCTACGCTGAAGGCTACCACCACGCCGCCAAGATCTTCTTCACCCAGATCTCCAACTGGGCCAAGTTGGCCACCACCTTGGTGCACCTGGAAGACTACCAGGCTGCCGTTGAGTGCGCCCGCAAGGCCAACAGCGTCAAGGTCTGGAAGCAGGTCAACGAGGCCTGCGTCAACAAGAAGGAATTCCGCCTTGCCCAAATCTGTGGTCTTAACCTCATTGTCCACGCCGAGGAGCTGCAGAGCCTTGTCCGCCAGTACGAGCGCAACGGCTACTTCGACGAGCTGATCGCCGTCTTGGAGGCTGGTCTCGGTCTCGAGCGCGCTCACATGGGTATGTTCACCGAGCTTGGTATTGCCCTCTCCAAGTACCACCCAGACCGTGTGATGGAGCACCTGAAGCTCTTCTGGTCTCGCATCAACATCCCCAAGATGATCCGCGCCTCCGAGGAAGCCAACCTCTGGCCCGAGCTGGTTTTCTTGTACTGCCACTACGACGAGTGGGACAACGCCGCCCTTGCCATGATGGAGCGTGCTGCCGATGCCTGGGAGCACCACTCTTTCAAGGACATCATTGTCAAGGTTGCCAACTTGGAGATCTACTACCGCTCCCTCAACTTCTACCTCCAGGAGCAGCCCCTCCTGCTCACCGACTTGCTCCAGGTTTTGACTCCTCGCATTGACGTCAACCGTGTTGTGCGCATCTTCCAGAGCTCTGATAACATCCCCTTGATCAAGCCCTTCCTGCTCAATGTTCAATCCCAGAACAAGCGTGCTGTCAACGATGCCATCAACGAGATTCTGATCGAGGAGGAGGACTACAAGCTGCTCAAGGACTCTGTGGACCAGAATGACAACTTCGACGCTGTGGAGCTCGCCCAGCGTCTCGAGAAGCACGATCTCATCTTCTTCCGCCAGATCGCTGCCAACATCTACCGCAACAACAAGCGCTGGGAGAAGTCCATCGCCCTCTCCAAGCAGGACAAGCTCTACAAGGATGCCATTGAGACTTCCGCCATCTCCACCAAGTCGGAGGTTGTGGAGGACCTTCTTCGCTACGTAAGTTTTCTATCTTCTTTGATTACCTGCACACCGTTTACTGACTCTTTTTTTCTAGTTTGTCGACATTGGCAGCCGTGAGTGCTACGTGGGCATGCTCTACGCCTGCTACGACTTGATCCGTCCGGACGTCATCATGGAAATTTCATGGCGCAAGGGTCTGCACGATTTCACCATGCCCTTCATGATCAACTTCCTCTGCGAGCAGACTCGGTCAATTGAGCTCCTCAAGAAGGACAACGAGGAACGCAAGAACCGCGAGAAGCAGACGCGCACCGAAGAAGACAACACCCCGATCCTGCAAGGCTCGCGGTTGATGCTGACCCAAGGCCCGCAGCCCGGCGGCGGTATCACCCCCAGGCCACTGGGTATCGTGGATTTTAGAGTGAATCGCGCGCTCTCTGATTACGTTTCCTACTTGCATATGTAACATACAGCGGAGGTGATGGTTTCCCGTTGCAAAAGACACGACTTCAAATGGAGGGATTGCTTGCACATTTGCACTTGCACCTGGTGACCCAAGGAGGAGAATTCATGATTAATTTTGTCTTACCTTTTATTCTCTTTTTTTTCTTGCGCATGTATTCGATAGGCTCTTGTTAATGCACACCGTATCTGGGTCGAGCTCAGTAATGGCCTGTTCCTTTTTTTTCTTTAAATTCCCGAGGTCCCCTTTCCAAGGTTGTTTGTTCCCTTTCACCTCATTTTTTTAATTATTAAATTTCCCACTCTTTCTATTCACCGGTGTACACGTACTTTTGTAATTTCCACCGATTCCCAAACTTCCACTCTCCGCACTCGGTGAAGAACACTCCGCCAAGATGCCAAGGGAAATCATCTGCAACCTGAGGATGTTCATTGCAGATCGGCCTTATCAACTTGCCCCATGAGGCATGAGGGCGACCGGGCATTGGACGGGTTTACGGGAAGGGGGGAGATACACGTTGCCACCTGACGTCGATCCCGGCTCGCGAAACATCTATGCCTAGCTGTCTTGTATGTTGGCATGGATGAAGTGGTCTGAATGATCTTCTGCGGTTGGTGCGAAATCCTCTGCCCATTGCCGAGCTCTGGAACTGGAACCAATTTTCCGGGCTCTAGACATGTACCCCACCGTTCACCGGGGAACACTGAATAATGGAATTGGATAACATCGAAGTACGGAGTAGATTATACGGAGTAGTAAAAAAGCAAAGTGGACTGTGATCTACTGGAATGGAATTGAGGGGCTTGGATGTGCGCTTCGGGCGGCGAACTAGTGAGCCGAACATTGTACTCCTCCGTGCTTCAAACGGGACACGGAGTATGGAGGAGGGAGTATACGGTGTACGATATGAAACCGACTCTTGATGACACTTGTGAGATCGTTCGGCGGGTATCAAGATCTTGGCGACAGTCAGACTGGAATGCCGCGCTCTTGGCAGCTTGGCCCACGGAAGATCTGTCATTATCTATGCATAGGAGTCCGTAGGGAGACGGAGGGAGTATTCCGTCTATCAAAAGGGAGGATGCCAAGGTGAGAACGGCAAGGGATGAAAATTAGGAATCAAATAGCGTCACGGATTGACGGCCAAGGATCGGAGAAGAGATGATCCCTTCCTCTAGAGAATGGGACGCATGACCCGGAAGGTGGCAGGTCTGGACCTCCGGTGAAGGGAACTGTGGACTCCAATGGGGATTCCAATGGGGGAATGGAGAAATGGACTAAATGGACTAAAATGGGGGGATTGGAATATTGCGAAAGAGAAGGGAAAAATCACCACAGATTGAGAAGAGTCGTTCAAGACTCGGACAAAGCTTCCCCGAGGTGAACGAATGAACAAAATGAACAGGTGGACTGGCGAACCTGTGAAGATGCAGTGGGCAGTGGGCAATGGGGATTATTGCAACGGCGATTGGTCCGATTCGGCTGCATGTGTCGAGAGTTCTCCGAATCTTCCCCGGACTCTTTCGTAGTTTCCCGCGAATATCCGCATCGACATGCCTCAAGGGTTGATGAGAGTTGTGTGTTCCCGAGGGCCCGAGGTAGACGTTCTCGTAGACGTTCTCCGGAATGACTTACCTAAACCACCCGTTGAAACGGAGTGAATTGGGAGAGAATTATCGTGAGACTCCGGAGAGCGTGGAAATTAGGAAATAGACTGGGAAATACCTGTAGGCGAGCCTGGGGAAAGCTATGATGTAGTGCAGAAGAGCCCCGCAGAAGAAAAGAAGAGACGATTTGAATTGACATCGCCTAACATTTTTCCATTTCCAAATGGTCCCGGTGTACCGGTGAGCCTCCCGATGTACTAGTTACCTCATCTTCATTGTCAACTTTGCCCTCCCCGGAATGTACTGGTGACTCCCGTTGCCTTTTTCCTTATCTATCTCCCCTTTCCCCAAGGTCGTTCTGCCATTTTTTGCTTTTCTCTTCTTCCTCCTCCCTCCTCTTTTCTTTCTTATACTCTCTCCAATTCCTCTCTTCTCCTTATATACCCCTCAATCCCCAGTCCAATTGTGCCGAAGTCGGCCTAAAGTTGGATCCGGAGAGAGCTCCCCCCCAGCTTATAGTGAGTCACCGCTTTACCTCATAGATCTGCCCCCCAACCCCACCCGCCTCTTATTAACCACGGTGCAGCCCTCAATTCCTATATTCTCTCTTCACACCTCCAAAATGGCCAACCGGGACTCTGCCATCGATGAGATTGAGATCATCGAGGATCACAATGAGCACCACCAGGATTCCGTCCACCGCCGTCTGCGCGCCAACTCCACTATCATGCACTTCCAAAAGATTCTAGTGGCCAACCGTGGTGAAATCCCCATTCGTATTTTCCGTACCGCACACGAATTGTCTCTCCAGACGGTGGCTGTCTTCTCACACGAGGACCGTCTGGGTATGCACCGTCAGAAGGCTGATGAGGCCTACATGATCGGCAAGCGGGGCCAATACACCCCGGTCGGCGCTTATCTCGCCGGTGATGAGATCATCAAGATTGCCGTGGAGCACGGCGTGCACCTCATCCACCCCGGTTACGGTTTCTTGTCGGAGAACGCTGAGTTCGCTCGCAACGTCGAGAAGGCCGGTATCGTCTTCGTCGGCCCCAAGCCCGAGACCATCGATGCCCTCGGTGACAAGGTCTCGGCCCGTCGTGCCGCCATTGCCTGCAACGTCCCCGTCGTGCCCGGTACCCCCGGTCCCGTCGAGAAGTTCGAGGAGGTCAAGTCCTTCACCGACGAGCACGGCTTCCCCATCATTATCAAGGCTGCCTTTGGTGGTGGTGGCCGTGGTATGCGTGTGGTCTGGAACCAGTCCGAGCTCAAGGACTCCTTTGAGCGTGCCACCTCCGAGGCCAAGACCGCCTTCGGCAACGGTACCGTCTTCGTCGAGCGCTTCCTTCACAAGCCCAAGCACATTGAGGTCCAGCTTCTGGGTGACAACCACGGAAACGTGGTCCACCTGTTCGAGCGTGACTGCTCCGTCCAGCGTCGTCACCAGAAGGTCGTGGAGATCGCGCCCGCCAAGGACCTCCCCGTCGAGGTCCGCGACAAGATGCTGGCTGATGCCGTGCGCATGGCCAAGTCGGTCGGTTACCGCAACGCCGGTACCGCCGAGTTCTTGTACTCCCCCGCCGATAACAAGGCCTACTTCATCGAAGTGAACCCCCGTATTCAGGTCGAGCACACCATCACCGAGGAGATCACCGGTATCGATATCGTCGCTGCCCAGATCCAAATTGCCGCTGGTGCTACCCTCGAGCAGCTGGGTCTTACCCAGGACCGCATCTCCACCCGCGGTTTCGCCATTCAGTGCCGTATCACCACAGAAGACCCCTCCAAGGGCTTCTCTCCCGACACCGGTAAGATCGAAGTCTACCGTTCCGCCGGTGGTAACGGAGTCCGTCTGGACGGTGGTAACGGTTTCGCCGGTGCCATCATCACTCCTCACTACGATTCTATGCTGGTCAAGTGTACTTGCCGTGGATCCACCTACGAGATCTCCCGCCGCAAGATGCTGCGCGCTCTGGTGGAGTTCCGTATCCGTGGTGTCAAGACCAACATTCCTTTCCTGGCTTCTCTGCTGAGCCACCCCACATTCATCGATGGCACTTGCTGGACTACTTTCATCGATGACACCCCTGAGCTGTTCTCCCTCGTCAGCAGCCAGAACCGTGCTCAGAAGCTGCTCACCTACCTGGGTGACGTTGCCGTCAACGGCAGCAGCATCAAGGGCCAGATCGGTGAGCCCAAGTTCAAGGGCGAGATCATCAAGCCTGTCCTCACGGATAGCGCTGGTAAGCCCATCGACATTTCTTCCCCCGCCACCAAGGGCTGGAAGCAGATCCTGGACAGTGAAGGTCCTGCCGCCTGGGCCCGCGCTGTGCGCGCCAACAAGGGCTGCTTGATCATGGACACCACCTGGCGTGATGCCCACCAGTCGCTCCTGGCTACCCGTGTGCGTACCATCGATATGTTGAACATCGCCGCCGAGACCAGCCACGCTCTGAGCAACGCTTACTCCCTCGAGTGCTGGGGTGGAGCCACCTTCGATGTCGCCATGCGCTTCCTCTACGAGGATCCCTGGGACCGACTCCGCAAGATGCGCAAGGCCGTTCCCAACATCCCCTTCCAGATGCTGCTGCGTGGTGCTAACGGTGTTGCCTACTCATCGCTTCCCGATAACGCCATCTACCACTTCTGTAAGCAGGCCAAGAAGTACGGTGTTGACATCTTCCGTGTCTTCGATGCCCTCAACGACCTCGACCAGCTCGAGGTTGGTATCAAGGCTGTCCACGAGGCTGGTGGTGTCGTCGAGGCCACCATGTGCTACAGTGGTGACATGTTGAACCCCAAGAAGAAGTACAGCTTGGAGTACTACATGGGCTTGGTTGACAAGATTGTCAAGATGGGCCCCCACGTCCTTGGTATCAAGGATATGGCCGGTGTCCTCAAGCCCCAGGCTGCCCGTCTCCTGGTTGGCGGTATCCGCGAGCGCTACCCCGACCTCCCCATCCACGTTCACACCCACGACTCGGCTGGTACCGGTGTCGCATCCATGATTGCCTGCGCTGAGGCCGGCGCTGATGCCGTCGACGCCGCCACCGACAGTCTGTCCGGTATGACTTCGCAGCCCAGCATTGGTGCTCTTCTCGCCTCTCTCCAGGGCACCCAGTACGACCCCGGTCTGGACCTCTCCCACGTCCGCGCTCTCGATGCCTACTGGGCTCAGCTCCGTCTGCTCTACTCTCCCTTCGAGGCTGGTCTGACCGGTCCCGACCCTGAGGTTTACGAGCACGAGATCCCCGGTGGTCAGCTGACCAACCTGATCTTCCAGGCCAGCCAGCTGGGTCTTGGACAGCAGTGGGCCGAGACCAAGAAGGCTTACGAGGTCGCCAACGAGTTGCTCGGCGACATCGTCAAGGTTACCCCCTCCTCCAAGGTGTGTGGTGACTTTGCCTCTTGGATCGTCAGCAACAAGCTGTCCGCCCAGGACGTCATCGACCGCGCCGACCAGCTCGACTTCCCCGGCTCCGTCCTCGAGTTCTTCGAAGGTCTCATGGGCCAACCGTACGGAGGCTTCCCCGAGCCCCTGCGCACCAAGGCCCTCCGCGGCCGCCGCAAGCTCGACAAGCGCCCCGGTCTGTACCTGGAGCCCATGGACCTCGCCAAGATCAAGAACGACATCCGCGAGAAGTTCGGCGCCGCCACCGAATGCGACGTCGCCAGTTACGCCATGTACCCCAAGGTCTTCGAAGACTACCGCAAGTTCGTGCAGAAGTTCGGTGATCTTTCCGTCCTGCCTACTCGCTACTTCCTTGCACGACCCGAGATCGGCGAGGAGTTCCACGTCGAGCTCGAGAAGGGTAAGGTTCTTATCCTGAAGTTGCTCGCTATCGGTCCCCTCTCCGAGCAGACCGGTCAGCGCGAGGTCTTCTACGAGGTCAACGGTGAAGTCCGCCAAGTCAGCGTCGACGACAACAAGGCTTCCGTCGAGAACATCGCGCGCCCCAAGGCCGATGCTGCCGATAGCAGCCAGGTCGGCGCTCCTATGAGTGGTGTCGTTGTTGAGATCCGTATCCACGATGGACATGATGTCAAGAAGGGTGATCCTATCGCGGTGCTGAGCGCCATGAAGATGGTATGTTTTTATCCTTACACTTACGACTATTCCTCCTTTCGAATCAGGTTTACTAACAGCGTTGTAGGAAATGGTGATCTCCGCCCCACACAGCGGTAAGGTGTCTGGCCTCCAGGTCCGGGAGGGTGACTCCGTCGATGGCCAGGATCTGATCTGCAAGATCAGCAAGGCGTAAAAGCATTGCTTGTTTCTTTTGTACTAAGACCGGGTCATCCATGATACGTGATGTGATGCGTGATGTTTCTTTTTTTTTATCAATGACTTTTCTAGCGTTCGATTTTGCTTTTCTACAGTTCGATTCTTGAATACAGGCTATTTGCTCTTAGAATCTGGAGCTTCAACTAAACATGGTTTTGTTCGTATTTACTATTCAGGTAGTATTGTATTTTGTAATCCTCCTGCTATCAAGTTCCTATTGGTCTTGAGACCTGGGGAAATCATCATAGTAGATCTGAACAAGCCAATAACTAGACTCATTCTCCAGGACTGCGAGAGTGAGGTTCCAAGGTTGGCAAAGGAGCCGCACGCATGTAGACTTGGAATTCAAATGGTTCATTCTTGATAACTCGCATCGCGTCGTGTAAACATGATTCAAACATAACATCGTAGAGACATGGGAACATGAGATAATAGCATGATAGCAGGATAGTAAAACATCAACAGAAAAACAGAAAAGCATAAGAAAGTCATCACATCATCAAGTTACAGCAAGAGCGACAACAAAAAGCCACTCATGTGCGGAGGGCAGCAAACCCTCTGAACCCCCAATGTCCACTTCAACAACTCAACATCTCCACCGTCCAAAGCTCCAAACAAACCCTCGATACCTTCCGACTTGCATCATAGCCAACGTTCCAAACAAGTCCCATAGTATCTCTCAATCGAAGAAACGCACGAATAAAGATAAAATTCGGGAATATGATCGCGAGCTCGGTGACTCGTCGCAAGGCATGCTTCACTATTTCACCGACCCTGGATACGGGGAATCTGTACCGGGTAGCCATGCGAGAGGATGTATATGGACCGACTTCGATCTTGTGTGGGGCTTGGGGTGGAGGTCGGGGTGGGATATCTCGGGGTGGGATATCTGGAAGTGGAGTGTCTCGAGGCTGGCTCACGACCAGGAAATCGAGGATTGAGGTTTGCATTTGCTCTTATTTTAGATAGAATGATCGGAAGGTTGGTAGGATTTCTGAGTTTCTTGGTGATCTGGAAGTATTGGACTTGTTTGTCCTTAAGATGGCCGGGCTTAGTATATAAGGTCATTGCATACCCTTGTACTTCGATGCAATACTGATACACTTGACGCCGACCAACTAATCCAAGAGCATAACTCGGGTCTTGAATTGATGGGGATATAGTTAGGTGGGCTATATTCGGCGAACGATTTGGGAAAGACATAGTTACGCGCCTAGGTAGTCGCCATGGGGGCTGGCGGCTAGATATGACCAGGTCCACGGGTGTGGCCCCGGGGCCATTTATAGAGACGCCGGGCGTTGGAATTATCAGCTAAGGAGTGGGAATAGAGACAGGGGTCATGAATTGAGCCTCTCCAGCCTATCGTTTTTGACATTGTGATTGGCTCCATGTTACTACAGGGTTCGTAACCGCTTTAACCTTGGGTATATCTTAAGTCGCTGGGGTATGATCCACGCTTGATTGTACTCTGCTTGTTATGTGAAACTATTTGCACGAATTCAAAGATTAGTCCATACACTAATGCATTCGAAGTGCTCGAATGCATTTGAGCGCTTTTGAAAACGTTCTAGTGATTCATATATGAACCATCGGGGCTTCCAAGGTTGGTGATGTCGGCAAAACCTCTCCTTGAATAGTGACCAATGGCGTCAGGAAGAAATCTCGGAACTTGGAATAATATGCACTCAGGTGTACCTGTATATTGTTCTCTTATCGTGGGAGCATGTTAAATTCGTGATCGAGGAGGCATATCGCGATGTCCGCTATTTTAGAACTCGCTCAAGCTGAGCAGTGAAACAGAAACAGTGGAAGAAAACACCCGGACTCTTTTGATATGCCGTAATTAGTCTACTGAATACAAGGATTTGATCGAACAGCTCCATGTCAAGATGTAATTGTGTTATCCAACAGTTCACTCGGCACCCAAAAGTAGGACCGAGCGGAGCCAGCCGATCCCCCGCAAAGGTCACATCTCCAAATTGCCGACTATCTCGTCAATATGATCCAATCGCTTCTTTCTCTCGCCTACCACTTATCTTCCGATGCGTATATTAGACCTGCCCACCTGGGCAGACTCGGGGTAATCAGCATAGTTTGTTTTATCCTGTCAAGTGAAAACAACGGGCTTCTCTCCCTATCTTAATCTCCCAACTCCAAAACTCCCTGTATAGAAGATGGAAACAACTCCTCGTCCACACCTCAAATCACTTGCCCACCGCGGCATAATCCAAGGTGTCACCCTTTCAATCCCTTCCCCTCACCCCCGAGACTTGTGTCACTATTTCGGAGGTGTTCGCTACGGACTCGCTCCCTCGGAGCGTTGGCGTCGCGCCACTCCTATCCCCGCATCCTTCCAATACGGTAGCAAAGATGCGCCAGGTCGCTGCGATGGCGGAGCAGGACTGTGTCCACAGCCGGGCTTTTTGAACCTATCGCCTGAGAATCCAGATGCGTGGAATGAGGATTGTTTCCAGTGTAATGTGTGGACACCTATTGGCGAGCCGCCAGCAGAAGGGTGGCCTGTCTTTGTTTTCATCCGTAAGTGATATACCTTGGACTTTCCAGCTGGCTTTAGAAAAGCGACCAGTGAATATGGACTTTGGAAGATGCTGATTCATCTCAAGACGGAGGATGGCTCCAATTCGGCACACCCAATTCCTTCAATGCCGCCGCATTGATCGGCGACACGGACTTCAAGGCTGTTATCGTGATGCCTGCATACCGAGTCAATCTGTTCGGCTTCTTATACTCCGCGGAGCTAGAGCAAGATGCTGCCACCGCTGGTGAGACAGTTGGAAACCACGGATTCTGGGATCAACGATTAGCCCTGGAATGGATCAAGGAGAACATCAACCTATTCGGAGGCAACCCAAACAACATAACCATCTCAGGATATTCCGCGGGCGCAAACTCCGTCTTCCACCAATTGGCCTACGACCTCCGCCAACCTGCCGAGAAATCCATCGTCCGCCAGGCCTGCATCTGGTCAAACAGCCCAGCCGTACAACCGAAGCGTCCAACCGAGACCCAAACCCAGTTCAACCAACTCCTAGCTGCACTGAATATCCCAACCTCACTCCCAGCAAAAGAGAAGATCTCCCGCCTCCGCTCCCTCCCCGCACAGAAGCTCCTCGACGCCGTCAAAACCATCGAAATCCATCAATTCAGACCAACGACCGACGGATCCTTCATCTCGCCATCTCTATTCCAATCCCTCGACAGCGGCGATTTCGCGCGTAGCATCCTATCTCGCAACGTGCGCATCATCATCGGCGAATGCGCCGACGAGCGCTTCCTATACAGCACCTGGTTCCCGCCAACGGCCAATACTCTTTCCGCGCTGCGCACCCGTCTCATTGCTGATTACCCAGAACATATCGTCGACGGTGTCATTGCACACTACTACCCATCCGGAAAGCTGCCGAGCAATTGTAAAGACTGGGTTGATGATGCGTGGGGGCGGATTTATGCTGATATGCAAGTGCATCAGATGCAGCGGGGGCTGGCGTATGCGCTTACGCATAATGAGGGGGGCGTTGATGCTTCTGGGCAATTATATCGATATCGTATTGAGTGGCGGGCGAAGTGTATGGATGACGCTATGCCGGTTGAGTGGGGGGTTACTCATTCTTCGGATTATCCTATTTGGTTCTTTGGGAATGGGAAGGTGTTGGAGGAGGGGGAGAAGGGGATTATCAAGGAGGCTTTCGTTGGTCCTTTGGCTCGGTTTGTTCAGAGAGCTGGGGACTTTGGATGGGGTGCTTCTGGGGCTAGGTTGGTTCGGACGTTGCAAGGGGATGGAAATGTAGCGGTTCGGGAGGATGGGGCTTGGGAGGAGGGTGTTAGGGTTTGGAAGCGGTTGAGAGATGTTGATATTGGGAAGAATGCGAGGTTGTAGAATTTAGATCTATACATTTTATCTTCGAATTGAACATTCTATTATACATGGATTTCGAGGTCGATCAAATTCAATTCGGCACTGTTCAATGTTCATCATTCGCCACCGACAGCTTTCCCCGCAGTCTACGACATCATCCCAAGCTGTCATCTCTAAACACGGGGTTCTTAATGGCTAGACCTAGACCTGGTGTGACTTTGCTCTGCATTAAATGTAACCTATGGCAATAGCTTTGATTTACCCTTAAAACCCAACTTCCCCCTCTTTTCGACTGTCAAATTCCATCAGTCTTGGAATCTCACGGTATGTATAGATATCTCAATCAGTTCATCTCATCCAAGGATGACAACCTGGAAATGACGTCGTCGACTCTAGGTTATCTCATCATTACCCTTGAAATCTCTCCTTCTCTCACACTTCTCTAATCAATTCACAAAGTCCACTACAAAGTACAAACTGCAAATATGTCCGACGACACTCGCCGCCACTGGCACGGATCCTCCGGCGACCGCCACGAACACCACAACGTCTGGATGAACGGCGGAGCCAAAGCACCCAGCCCTCGTGCCGCATGGGCGATGCCGGTTGGAACCGAGACAACAAGAAGAGTAGGTCATTCTCTTCCCAAACCTGTTTTGCCTTCGCCATCGACATCTGTGTTTTCATATAAACCCAACACTTGCAGCTACATCGCCCAGTACTATCTACATACATTTCCACTTGATTACATTAACTACCCTATTCAACACCGACCCTCGAATCCAAATCTGACAATATGAAGGACTCGACTACCTCGAACACCTCCAAGAACAGCGACGCCGCCTCCCCTCCCCTCCCAACTCTCAACGAGCGTCGTCGCTCGAGCTCCGGCGCTAATTCTGGAATCTTTGCAAATCTGCAAAGCCAGAAGCGAAATTCGATGGATGCAGAGCAATACGCTCGTCGCGCGAGTTGGAATGAGCAGGCTACCAAGGGTGGAATGTTTTCTCAGTGGTGGAATAATTATACTCGTGGTTCGGAGAGCAAGTAAGCCTTGATATGATCGGGTTGTGATATGCTGGCCTCGCGCGAAATTCGAGAAATGATGTATGGAGACTGGTGCAATGGTAGGGTGTTTATGATGCTTGCATGACATTTGTTTGGTATTGGTATGAGTTTTATGAAATCAACGAATTCTTTGCCATGTATTAAGGCTCAACGGCCTTAGTATAACTCAAGATGTGTATCCTATGGATGAGGTTCGATCTTATGCTTCAGCCCAAACAAGAGGTGACTTGAGAAGGAAAGCTGTATAGAAGTCATAAGGGTTACTTACAGACCCCCCCGAGTCCTATAAATTCCACTTCTCTTCCTCCCTCCCCCTCCTCTATCATCTATCCTCTCATCCACTCTCTTTTCTACCTTTTTTTTTGCTTTTTGCTTTTTTCTTTTTTTCAAACTCACTCTCTAATTTTCTCAAACCCATCAAAAGTCTCGAGGAATACGATTTGTGTTAAAAGCGTCTGGAGGAGCCGATGCAGACTACGAAGGGATCTTCGTCTCAGTCCACAGGATCTCCCCAAGCCACAGACGAAGAGGATCAATGCGAAAGCTCGACTTGTACCCGTGGCAAGGAAAATACGGTTGGAAATTGGGAGAACAATGATGATGTCCAAGACGCCGTTCTACACTTACTTTTCCCACAACAATCCTACGAAAACCGAGCGCGGAGTAATCAAGGTGCCAATTCATTATACACATATCTTATTCTCACCCCATAGTGGTTTCCCATCCTTTCTCGATCATCACGTCAACCCAATAACAGTTGTCTTCCCCAGCATCCAACCGTCTCCAGACCTCATTTACCAATTTGAGACAGACGTTAATTGGTTTCGGGGGTAGGACGTGTAGATAAGATGTCAAACGGCCAAGGATGAACTTCCGGGTCCGCGAAACTTCGATCGCTGCCATTGAAATACTGGGCATTGGGTTCGTATTGGACGTGCTGTCTTCGCCCTCGGTGTATTCATCGGTGGGTCCATTGGAAGGATTTCCCCGAGAATCGATATTTGAGGGTAGAGGCGGGAGACGTAGTTCCGAGCAGGATGCTACGAGTAGGAATGGTTGGAGGCAGCGGGTGCGAGATTCAAGCGGAATTGTTTTCAGGCGAGAGAGGGTCGTCACGGCGAATTCAGTAAGCCAGTTGTTGGCAACGTTTTCTGGGGATGGGGAAGGGTGTTCTTGGTTTTGGATTGGGCTTTTTCGGTTATGGTCTTGGTAAAGGTTATGAGTTGAAGGTAATGGTGATGGCGAGGCATTTTGGGCGTGAGTGGCGTGCGCAGCTGGACTTGGGTTCCCAAACGCAGCTGATAGGTTCATACTATCAAGATCGATTGGGAAGAAAGGATCTCGGCTTGTTGAGCATGCATTGGCAGGGTAGTTGGAGGTATTGGAGTCTGATGCAGGGAGGCGTCTCTGAAGAAGATCGGGAAAGACGCGATATAACTGCATGAGCCCGGTGCATCTGTAGGCCTCCGCCATTGTCAGGAGATGCCATACTGGTGTATCGTCATCACCGGGGCTGACGATCTCAGCCTCAGAGGGGTGGGCGAGTGCCAACAGGCGCTCTTCTAATTCCCGTGCCTTTTCAATTGCTATTTGAGCACGGGTGATATCATCTTGGGAAGTGAATCTTCTTGAGCGCATGCGCTTCCGCTCGCGGCGAATCAATTGACCGACCTGCTGCACCGTGAATTGGGTATCGCGTGCGATTCCGGTCCAGGGATGAGGTACTCGTTGCAGAACAAGAGATTCGCCCATGGAGGAAGCCGATTGAGAATTGTCCGACAGCAAGCCTTTTTCATTATCTGCAACAAAAGAGAGCAGCATTTCCCAGTATATTAAAGCTTCTTCGAAGAACCGATAGTTATTACTATCAGTCTTGGCGAACCCAAACCCTGGGCTGTTCGATGACGAAGCGATGGTATTGAGCTGCTTGCGAAGCAGGTTGAAAAAGGATATACCTAGATCGGTTGGATCGTGCCAGCTTGCTGTTTGACCCAGCATGAGCAACGCCAGTAATGATTTGTCGTCTATGACTGTGTCGCGGGTGATGATGTCCACCGCTTCATCACGCATCTTCCGACCCATCGGACCAAAATGAGGGAACTCATTGACCAGCGTTGCCGCAGCCATACTTTGCATTGTTCGGCACATTGCCAGTGAGGAGCCCCAGAGGCGAGATACCGTGGTTCTGAACGGGTTCATTTGGCTATCGTAGCTGGAAAAAAGTGCCGCTACTTCCTTGAAGTAGTACTCAATCAGTGTCCATGACGGATTATTCAGTGATCGTGACATGGTCATGAAGTTGCGCGGCGTGGAGCGGCGCGACGCGGGAGGGTAACTTCGAACGATAGTCGACGGAGAGAAGTCTCGGTGTGCATTCTCGCCCTGATCTTCGACCGGAGCGGGTCCAATCAGGGACAAAAGATGAGAGAGATCGGCTGATACATCTACCGAATGCCCAAAGTCATGGACGAATTCTCTCGAGGGTGAGAATGAGGAGGTCGCGGCCATCGGCGATGGCTCACACAAGTCTGTTAGTTCTGGCAGCGACGCGTGACCGGACAGATCCCATAGGTTGTCGCAGAGGGTACCGGGTACATCTAGAGCAGCTTCCACGGGACTTTGCTCGTGATGCGTTTGAAAGTTTGATTCATGAGGCAAGACATGGTCAATTGGGCTCGGCTGGATCGGAACAGTCGAGACAGACGCCGCGGGGCCTGGGATTCTCGCGTCCGACGCCGATACCGATGCCGATGCCGATGCGGCTGGACTGGATTGCTCATATCTAGTGACCCAGCGTAAAGATTGGGCATAACCCGGGCAATGGACACCTAAGCGAGTGCAACGGCTGCAATGGGGTTTTTCTTCGCCACATTTGACCTGTGCCCATTAGTATGACTGCAGTGGGTGTAAAACGTTCATACTTACACGTTTGCTCTTGCACCTCGCACAGCCATTACGTGATTTCTTAACTCGGCGCATTTTGGGAGCATGACACTCGCCGTCGGTCGTTAGGATAATCGCAAAAAATGCGGAGTAGAGGCTGAGAGAGTGCGGGGGCGAGATAAGAGGATCTTTTTGCCTCTTTGGGCGGTCTTCATTTTGGAGAAACAAAGGCGAGACCAATGATTTCAATATTAAACATCAGGATGCAGCATATGCACCTCATTATAGCATCCAAAAGTCAAATATCGTCTGAATAGCTTCCACTGAATAAGTTTGAGATCGAGCCCTGGAGCCCGGGGCCAGATGACTCAGCGGGTTCGGATTCGGGCTCCGAGTCAATCGCCGCCATCGGCTCAGTCTTCTTTCTACATGTTTATCTCTTCAATTTCGTTTTATGTTCGCTTGGACGAAAGCAGATATCTCGGGTTACCTAACTACTTCGGTAGCTGTAGTTGTACACACAGGCGCACGCCGATTAATCTTCAGCTGATGTCGTAATCTCTGTATCGTACGAAGAGAGATTGTATAACCTTCCTCTTGAAGGATTAGAAGAGCTTTTCGCTCACCAACCCTATCATGAAAGACTAGTGTCTCTAAACGTGAATGAAGGCCTTCGTCGGTGCTCATCACTTTGGTAGGCTATTTGCGGATTTCCCATGTTTGGAGACGTCGGTGAAGCGTACGACGCGAGATGGTTACTGAATATTCAGTTTGCAATTTGGTCACAATATCAGGAATTGATACATTATCTCTATAAAGAGATATGATCACCTCTTTATAAGGGTCGATATCAAGGGGTGAGGAAGGCATAGCACCGCAGAGGTGTTTTGGAGTGTAGGAAAGATGGGATGTTGATGCTCGTACGAGGCATGAAATTACACAAAGGCGGTGAGGCTTTAATATGGTGCAACATGATGTGGCGCGATGGCGGCTATGTACTGCCGTGAAAAGGGGCTGAAAGCTTGGCAGTAAAAATACGTAATAAACTAGCCTTGCGTACGGAGTAGCAGGCCTGACATCTCCGTAGTGATAGGGTAAGATACTTTGATGAGTATAATATCGGTTACCTAGGTAGAGAGATCGAGGAGTATATTTGAGGAATTGAGGAATTATGCTTGTATGGAGTAATAATAAGAAGTAGGTGCTTGGCGGTGAGCGCCGAGGCTTAAGCATAGTTCGTGGGGACGATGGCGGCTTGGTACTGCCGTAGATCGGGGGTCTCGGGCGCCGGCTTCATCAACGTCTACCACACAATGCTTCTCCGGAAAGTGAGTGACAGCCAAACAAAATACTTCGTTAATCTAACACCGGAATATAGTCGGTATACAGAAGGTTGCTCCAAGCAAGGAACCCAGTCATTGGCCGAGTGATCCCGGGCCTGATATTATCTTCGAGCCGAACACGGTTCGTTGGACCTCAATTGCAACAGGTACCGCAAAGAAAAGCTCGCGGGTTCCACTCAACAGCTGCAATGGCAAACAATTCTGCGATCAAGCAAGTTCTGACCCCGACTCTCATCAATGATGTGCACAAGTTGTGGTTCAGCCATCTGGGCGATGAGAGCTCCCTGATTATGCCCGAAGGGAGCGAAATGGGTAAATGGTTCTCTAAGGATGAAGAATTCGACCAAGCCTGTGTGTAAGTTAGGCTCATTTATTGTTCTGGTCTCAAATATTCTGATAAAGTCAAACAGAGCGCAATTCCGCCCAGCCTTGGAAACCATCATTAGCTCCGAAGCTTCCGCATCGGATATTCTCAATGCCATCACTCCATCCTCACCAATGGATTGGCTAAATATCATCCTGTTGCTTGATCAGATCCCTCGAAATTGCTACAGAGGCGACGAGTCAAAGGTGGTATTCGGGCGTTTTGACCCATTGGCCGAAGCGATTGCCCTTCAAGCGCTCGAGCAGGATATACCGACTCAGTCCCCTCACTTCAAGTATCGATTGGCTTATCGCACTTGGTTCTACATGCCTCTTATGCACTCGGAAAGCTTGGCTGTGCATGAGCAAGCGATTAAAGTGCACGAGGCTATAGCCAGGGATATGAACGAGCTGTTGGCTAGGGACCCGTCGACTCTAATAGAGGAAGAAGCCAGGTGTCATACTGTTCTGTCAAATAAGTCGGAGGCTCTGCAAAACTTTTTGACTCAGACGTCTGATTTCGAGAAGCGACACAAAGTCATCATTGAACAATTTGGGCGTTACCCCCACCGGAACCAGGCGCTGGGGAGAAAGTCAACCCCTGAGGAAATTGAGTATTTGGAGAATGGTGGTGATACATTCGGCTAGGATTTGAAAAGTCTTCTCCGTGTCTACTCCATACCTACCCACTATATATCTTTATGAACATGATGTACCAACAGCATGGAATACTGCTGGCTCATTCCTAGATATCAGCTCTTCGCTACTTTTCATCATCAAAAAATTGATAATGTAGAGTGCATGATCAGGGCAGAGGATCCATGAGTAAAGTGCATCTTTATCCCTGCATACCAAGTTGAATCTCTGGAATGTTACCGGAATTGGTAGGTGAGCACCTGCTTGCTCGCCTGACCCCTTTCCTCTTTCGACTCTCACATTCCTGGGTCTTGAGCAGTTTCTTCAATCTGGGGATAATATCGACATGGTCACTTCTATACTGAGCATGTTCCAGATGGTGTTCCAGGATTATGTAGCCTAATATTCATGCCGTAAATAGTAAGATGGAAATCCTAGTAGATTCAACTTGTGATCTACTTTTTCGAACCAAGAGGCTCCTTGAAATTGAAATTGTAACCCGAATCATGCCTCCATCGTCCGGTTTCAGACGATGTCAAGTAGTAGTCCTATTTTACCGCATGTGTATCATGCACATCAGTCAAGCATTACCCAAAACACGTTGCTCTGTTAGCTTCTTTCAACAATCATCAAATCGTTTGCCCGAATCGATTCTCTGAAGTTCATCTCTTTGATCGAGAACCTTGGAACTGTCTATAATAGAATTTGATTTACTTGCCTGAACACCACCGAGATAAACGTCGACTGGAGTCCCGCCATGCACCTATAGCTCTGATGAGCTGCCGCCAGCAAATATGATTATTTCACGTCAATCATCTTTTCGATCTTTCATTTTGTCACTTTTGACCCTATCAATAACATCGTCCAAGGCACTGCATCTATTTCAACATGCCTCTTCTCTCCCACGATCTCAATTTGTTCTATACTTTCCGACCTTTTTCATCCTCGAGGCCATCTTATCCATAGGCGCGTGGATCTTGCTCTTCAAGACCTCAGGCTTCAAGCTTGTTCTGGGGAATTTCTTGACGCTAGCTACTACGTGAGCACCCCCAAAGCACAATTTATTATTAAAGATCTAACTGCGATAGGGTCCTGTGCTGCGTTTTGAGCGCATCACAATTTGGTTTCTACATCGTGACTGGAAGTGAGGTTCACTGGGATGCTGCCACGACTGTGGGCAATGACCCAGAAGGCAGAAAGCTGATGATGAGTGGCCTGAGATCGTTTCTCGGGGCCGCTACTATTCTTATAGCCGTATCATGGCTTCTGAAACATTGGATCTACTGGGTGATCAATCGTTGGTTCGCTGGGTTATTCAGGTCTGAATCGAAGGATGCAGACAAGGAAGCTCTTCTTCCGATGACACAACAGAGATCGGAGTCATCACGGTCGGCTCAATTCTGGACTCTGTTGGCTCTCTTCTCTGTGGGTTTGCTGCATATTGCTAGACCCCAGGTTCCTTACAACCATCTTTCCGGGGCTATACCTTTCACCTTCCTCCAAGCAATAGGGTCAAAACATTCCGAGCCCCACCAAATTGGAGAACAGACCTTCCCACTCCCAGACTTGATTGGCGAAGAGTACTGGGAAGGCCAAAGGGGTCATTTCAAAGGTTGGGCCCCAGGCACGAAAAAGATTCAAGATGAAATTCCTACATGGGCATCTGGAGACCTGCCTCCAGGATTCGATAGATGGGCTCAAGACCTTCTTCATAATGAGAAGGGAGAAGATCATCGATCAGGAAATAATGCTTCCCAGAAGCATACTTATAGCCCAGCAGAGGATCCTCTGCGGATCACCAATCTTGACCGCGAACTCCTAGGACCTGTGGCTCGGGCGCTCAAAGACCACAAGGTTCCAATCACACACGTTGTGCTGGTGCTGATGGAAAGTGCTCGAAAGGATATCTTCCCCTTCAAGGCAGGTTCACACTTGCACGAGGAGATATTGTCCTCTTACCAAAGCCAAAGCCCTGAAATCCTCTCAGCAGCCAACCTCAAGTTATCCAACTTGACACCAAATGCGGAGAAGTTGACAGGCGAGCAGAGCGGGCTTCCAGTGAGCCCAAATTTGTCTGCCGGCTCCGGTGGTAGCTGGAACGACACAGCAGAGTCAGGCATGGGTGGAATCAACTTCCACGGTGTCTTGACCGGTAGCAGCCTGTCCTTTAAGAGCGCGATTATCAACTATTGTGGCGCGGGTCCACTGCCAGTGGACTTCATGGACGAGGCCAACGCTGAGAATTACCAGCCTTGCATTATGCAGATTCTTGAGTTGTTCAACACATTCAAGAAGAACTCCACTGCCAAGGGCACAGATGGTTCGGGTTCGGGTTCTGAAACCGAGCGTATCATCGATCGCAAATGGAGGTCAATGTTCTTGCAGTCCATCACAGGGCTATACGATGAACAAGATGTGTTGAATGAGAAGATGGGGTTCCAAGAGGCCATTTATCGTGAAGATATCGATAAGCGTGATGCCTTACATTATCACAAAGACATGGAAGAGATCAACTACTTCGGGTAAGTGAAACTAGGCACCTTGGAACTAGTTTTGGAGATTGAAAAAGGCTGACACCCCCTTAGCTACCCGGAACAGGAGATATACCCTTACCTGAAAGATGTGGTAAACTCAGCAATTGAAAAGAAAGAGAGGCTGTTTTTGTCGCACTTTACAAGCACCACTCATCATCCCTGGGGTACGCCCGCGAAGTATCCCCAGGAGCAGTATTTTGCAAACAAAGGCCTGGTTGCTAAGCATGAGGAAATGAACAAATACCTCAACTCCGTCCGATACGTGGACACGTGGCTCGGGGAGATGATGCAAGTACTTGATGACTCTGGTATTGCAAATGAGACACTCGTTGTACTTGTGGGAGATCAGTGAGTCCATGTCCCACCCCAGCCATCAATAAACAAAAACATGAAACTGACTTTTCATAGCGGCCAAGCATTCACAGAAGACAGCCCAGTGTCCGGAACCTACGAGAACGGACATATCAGTAACTTCCGCATCCCGCTGGTATTCCGACATCCACTATTGCCCAAGTTGCAGGTAACGGCAAATGCGACCTCGATGTCCGTTGTCCCAACCATTCTTGACCTTTTGGTGAATTCAGGGTCTTTGGATGAGATGGACTCGAGTGTAGCTCTGGACTTGATGAATGAGTATGAGGGCCAGTCTCTCATTCGCCCTTACCAGGCCACTCATAATGGCCGACAAGCGTGGAATTTTGGTATCATCAACCCTGGAGGCACCATGCTCAGTGTCGGGTCTGCGGCTGTTCCGTATAGGCTTATATTGCCGCTCAGTGAGGACTTTGAGTATGTGTTTTCTAACCTGGAGACAGACCCGAATGAGTTGAGTCCTGAGTTCGGCTGGTCTTTGGAGGAGTTAATTGAGCATGTGGAAAGCAAACATGGTGACGAGGCTGGGAAGTGGCTGATGGATGCGGAGAAAGTGGGGAGATGGTGGGTTGGCAATCAAAAACGATTGTGGAATTATCAATAGTCAATCAATTGATATCATGAACAAACCAAGAAATATGAAGAGTTGATCCATGGATGGTATTGAGCGAGAGTGAGAGAGAAGAATAGTAAGGGGCGATGGGCGGTTCGTATTGTTCGGCGATTCTTTGTCTCCGCCTAAGGCCCTCAGGCCAACACCCCACCTTTTATATCCGACATTTCGGACTTCGATTGGCACGCTCTGTTCCATCTACACCGTGTCTTGCAGCCTGTACATCTGAAGGCATTTTTTTCATCCAATATGGGCGACTATTCCGATAATACAGAGTGGGCAGACGTGACCCCAATCGAACTCGACGATGGTGCGAGCTCTGACGCCATGCCGCTGGCCACCATCGCCTATCCACCCGAGTACCTCGAGGCTACCGCGTATCTGCGCGCCGTGATGGCCGCCAATGAGATGTCCGAGAGGGCCTTGAAGCTCACACAAGATGTGATCTCAATGAACCCGGCTCATTACACAGTTTGGTAAGTGGCCGATTGCTCGGTGCGTCGCGGAATACAGTAATATCTAATACCGAACACAGGATATACCGAGCGAAACTCCTCTTCGCGCTGGACAAAGACCTCAATGAGGAACTGAGCTGGCTGAATGATGTATCATTGAAATATCTCAAGAACTACCAAATCTGGTATGTGCACCCTGTCCGCTCTGTGGCAATACAGCGACATCTCAACGAAACGAAAAGAAAAGAAAAGAAAAGAGCAAACTGAAATTAACCACCTCAATAGGCATCACCGCCAAGTTCTCTTGTCATCAAAAGCACATTTCCCAACCTTCCCGCCCAAGGAAGCAGATTTCCTAATGGAGATGTTCGCCCAAGACTCCAAGAACTACCACGTATGGACCTACCGCCACTGGCTAGTCCGCCACTTCAAACTCTGGGACCAACCCCGCGAGCTCGAAGACGTAGAAGCACTCCTCAAAGCCGACGTGCGCAACAACTCCGCCTGGAACCACCGGTACATGCTGCGCTTTGGACCGCGGGATCTATCGAGCCCAGACGCAGGGATGGTGAATGCGGGGGACATGGCCACGGCGCCGACCGAAAAGGGACGCTTACCTATGGTCGACGAGGATGTGGTTGATGGTGAGCTTAAGTTCGCGCAGGAGGCTATTTTGCGCGCGCCGGAGAATCGGAGTCCGTGGTGGTATGCGCGGGGTGTTTTGAGGGCTGCTGGGAGGGGGCTTGGGGAGTGGGAGAAGTTTGCTGCTGGGTTTGTTTCGGAGGGGGCCGTTAAGAGCTCGCATGCGGTTGAGTGGTTGGCGGATGTGTTTGCGGAGAACGGCGGCGAGGCGGAGGCGGTGCGGATGCTTACTTTGCTCAAGGAGGAGTATGATCCTATTCGGAAGAATTATTGGGATTATCGTATTGGGAAGTTGGGACAGGGTGCTGCCGATGTTGATTCGAAAGTGACTTCTGTGCCGGTGAAGGCGTAACTTTCTATGTTATGTGGATACTCTGATATGTTGTCAAATACTGGGCTGTGGAATTTAATATTGTGTTTGAATGGAATTCTTTTGAAGTAACGAGATCGCTGTGTACTTGGACACTATGTACAAAGAAAAGATGCAAATGCAGAAGACTCTATCAAGGTGAACAGATGAAGAAACCAAACCGGAACATGGTAGACGAAGCAAACAATGAAGGCTGCACATTAAACGTAAGATGAAACAAAAAAAAAAAAAGGTATCAAAAAAAAAAAGGAAGAGGTGTTCAATCATAATCAATAAATCATGCCCAGCCTTCATCCAACATCTTGCGCCACTCAGAAGCCATGTCGATAGTGACATAGCTTCCACCGCAGACGATGATGACGACCCTGCTGTTAGGGTTGAGATCAGGGACCAGCTGCTTGAGCTTAGAGTTGAGCTTGCCAGCGCCGACCTCCGCATCGATCTCAAGGTCAGTCTCATTATCCGTCGAGATCGACCGGTCATCCCCGTAGCCTTCGTCACGGTAGGAGACAGCAGTGTCATTGGAACCCCTCTTCCGCTTCTTGATGCTCTGAGCGCCGGCGGCTCCCGACGCAGAGACGGCAGAAGCAGCGTCGCCAATCGCCGCCTCGACACATACACCGCATGCAAGCTCGACGAGGAGTCTTTCATCGTTGGCGAGACGGAGGACGCCGCGGGCTGCGTCTGCATCTGAAAGCACGGCGCTGTGCACCTGGATACCAGGTGGTGGAGCAACAGCGTATTGGAATGTGGTTTCCGAGACGCGGATGGCTCCGAGGGAGGTGGCTTGTGATGTGATCTTGGGGAGGGAGACGAGGGATTTGTTGGCGATGGCTGCTGCCAGGGAATCGGTACCGGCCGTTTCGATGGCGAGGAGGTGGATAGGGTTAGGTGAGGTGGAGGAAGTGGCCTGCTTCTTCTGTCGGCGCTTTTCGATGCCCTGGACGAGGCCATTGAGGAGGCCACCGCCACCGACACTGCAGATGATGGAATCGAGGGGGAGGGCCCGGTTGCTGTAGGCCTTGATGTCTTCGGGGCTCATGGCGGGAGGGAGCTGGGTCTCGAGCTCGTCAATGATGGTGCCATTTCCTTCCCAGATAGGCTGGTTATCGAAGGGGTGAAGGGCAATCTTGACGACATCTTCGTCGTCGCCGTTGCTGGTCTTCATGATGGTTTCCCGCATGTACTCTCCGGCCTCGGAGAAGGTCTCACCGTGGCGGATGACGTCCGCAGCGCCCGCGGCCCGGATCTTGTCCAGCATCAAAGGCTTGGTGGCCATGGGGACTACTACGGTGCAAGGGTATCCCAGGGTCCGGGCTGCACAGACAGCTGCCAGGCCGGCATTACCTCCCGAAGAGGCGTAGAAGTGAACCCGGCGGCCCACGTTTTCAGGGTTGCGAAGGTGAGAGAGGATCTGATTGCCCATAGCACGGGACTTGAAGGAACCGCTGGGCTGGACGTTCTCCAGCTTCAGGAAGATCCTACATCCAGCGGCCCTCGAGAGAGTGGCAGACTCAACCAACGGTGTCTGGATCCATGGTGTCTTAAACTGCGGTACGTCGCAAGCGGAGATGTCGATGCTCCCCATTTTGGAATGTGTTGAACAAAAAGGAAGAGTATAGGAATGGACTGGTATCGGGGGAATCGTACAGGCCAGTATAAAGACGATTCTCAAAATAGTCAAAGTCGTTACACGACAGGAAGGGTATTAGAGACCAAAATAGAGCGATAAGAAGATGTTAAATCCAAATCAACACCTTCCGAACTCCGACTAATGAAACATGTTTTGATATAGGTGATATACATCCCAAGTAGGGCAAACCTTTCCCGACGGGAAAGGGGAAGTTTCCCGGTTTGATAGGAACTGACCCGCCTTCGACCACGGCTCTGGCCCACGCTTTCCCGATAACCTTGTAACCTTGAAAGCACATCTCCAATCAGAGTGGGCCATGACATACACTTTGCTCTCTCCGCTGGGGGGAAACAGACCTGTCTCAGGAGGACCCGGGCGAAAAAACAATAATAATACATAATACACCAGGCGCGTCAGAGAGCGGAGATGTTGCAAATCCTTATTCAGACGGACCTCTCGGGCAACGGTGATTGGTCCCTCGTGGATTCTTGTTATCAAATCGAAAGCTCAAAAACGGGCGCATTACTCTTCTGTGAGTAGAGGTGGGAACAGGATACCTCTCTTCACGCCCTCACCGTAATCTGCATCCGAACCGTATGCCGTGGCCGCGAATGCCCGCTTGGAGGGGTCCGAGGTGTTGACACGGAGCAGTTCCAGAAGGTCATGAGACTTGCCGGGCATGTACGGTTGCAATAATATGCCTGCGATCCGCAGCGATTCCGCCACGTTGTAAAGCACCCGTTGGGGTTCGGGACTACTCCACGGGGCCGTGGCATGGAAGTACTTGTTCGCCTAGAACAGTTAATATGGGGACGTCGTGCGGGGCCGATCACCTCTTACCTTCTCGATTATGCTCATGGTCTCCTGCAGAGCGGCACGGGGATTCAGGTTCGCCATTAGCTCCGCTACCTTGGTGGGCGTCTCTTGCAACATGGCCTGGTGTTCCAGATCCTCGGGGGTGGCCTCTGGAAGCTTATCGGACTGGGCATCCGTAATGTACGAGCGTAAATTGCCACGCGCACATCCAATCGTGCGTTGCGCAAGGTTTCCGATACCGTTTTGCAGTAACTTCTTGTAATCCCGAATGATGAATGAATTGTCGAAGTCCGCATCATCGGAGAGCCCACCCCGGTAGGCTAAAAAGAAGCGCATGCCATCAACTCCGAACCGTTCAATGGCGAAGAACGGGTTCACGACATTTCCGGTGGACTTGGACATCTTTTCGCGATTCATTGTCCAGTGTCCGTGCACCAGTACGTTCCGCGGCAGAGGGAGGTCGAGGGCCATAAGGAATGCCGGCCAATAGACACAATGGAATCTACACAATTGAGCGATGCACACAGGTCGGGAGAATCCGCAAACTTACCGAACAATATCTTTACCAACAATGTGCAAATCTGCAGGCCATGCGGATGTGTTTTCCTTTCCGGGCGGGAACGGATATCCAGCTTTGGTCAGGTAATTCACCAGCGCATCGAGCCACACGTAGATGGTTTGCGAATCATCGCCGGGAACCGGTATCCCCCAAGTAAGACGTTCCACAGGTCTAGAGATGGAGAGATCCTGCAGGCCCGTCGCAACGGAGTTGATTACAGAAGCTGTATACGTTGTAGGGGTGATGAAGGGATCTTCTCTCTGGTACAGCTCAAGCAAACGGTCCTTGAAAGCCGAAAGACGGAAATGGTAGTTGGTCTCTGAGGACCACTCAACCTCTTTTCCTGTCTCTGTCGAGACCTAAGGTGGGTGAGCACTGTGTTGGTCAAGTTGTCGGGGGGACTGACCATGAGTTTTCGACCTGTTGTCGGATCCAGCGAGCTGTGCACTTGTGCCTGCGGGTAAAATGTCTCATCGCTGACTGAGTACCATCCTTCATGCTTTGATGTGTAGATGTAGCCTCTATGTTGCAGCATTTCCTATCACCAGTCAGTGGTACACGATTATGGCGGGTCGCGGCCGCATACCCAGAAATATTGAACGGCTTCTCGGTGCGCCGGGTCGGTGGTTCTGATGAAGTGATCGTTATCGAGGTTCGCTGCTTTGGCTAATGCCTATACACCAAGAACTTGTTTAGCTATGCAAGCATGTCAAGGATCCGGACTCCATACCTCAAAGGTTCGGCAGTTCATGTCGCAAAATGCCTGTGTGTCCATGCCAGCTTTGGCAGCAGCTTGTTGGATCTAGTGGTCATGTCAGCGACCATACATGACCCGATCACAATCAACGCAGATCGTACCTTCATCCCATGCTCATCGGTTCCCGTCAACAATTGAGCATCTGTGTTTCCGAGCACGACTTGCCAACGCTTCATGATATCGGCGATGACCATGGTATATAAATGACCGACATGAGGGGCTGTGGTACAGTAAACATTAGCTTTGAATAGTCACAGCCATTAATCGGCGAAAGACGTACCGGCGTTGACGTAGAAAATGGGTGTCGTCACATAATAAGGCTTCTTAGACTTTTGCGGCGTTGTCGCAACTCCGCGCCGGGGAATCGACCATCCATGCGCGCGGGATGAGCACACCCAGGGACGCCTAGGGCTCAGAAGCTGGGTCGCTCTGGTTAAAGAGCGCAGTGACGTTCTTGTAGCCATTGCAAGTATGATGCAAGGTAAGCAAAAGAGTGTTGCATGTTATTCCGCGCGGCGATCTCGGGTGGTCCAAGCTTCTCCGCAAGTCTCGGCCGTTTTTCTGCACCTTCATTGTTCAATCTCCATCAGCGCCAGCTCCTCTGTGCCTTCAAAGACTCCTCCCTACTTGACTCTCCGTTCAATCCTGCAAAGACTGCAGCATCTATTCCATTTCAACATTCCATCCACAATGGCGCCAGCAAGCGATGATACTTTGACTAAAGTGTCAACCGAAGGTTAGTCCAAGGGAAATCTGAACAACATATCGTGAAATTGAGTAGCGCATTGACATATCTCTTTCTCTTTTAGCTGCCACTGAATTTGTCCATACCTTCTACCAGGCTTTGAGGGCAAACCGTGAATCCGTAGGCTCCTACTACGATGCCAACCCGCAAACCATCATCTTCAACGGAAACCAAGTAACCGACGGCGCGGCAGTACAAGACATCTTCGTCAACCAAATGCCCCCTGCGAACTTCGAAATCCAATCCTATGATTGTCAAATTATCAACAAAGCATACCCCACTACTTTGCCAGGCGGCGGGTTGAAGCCCCAGTCGGAGATGGGAGTCAAGGACATGTCGATCCTCATCCTTGTCAGTGGAGCTGTGCGCTACGGCGAGAATCGCGAGCAGCCTCAGCGCGGGTTCAGCGAGACCTTCGTACTGACCCCCAACCCATCCGCCGAGCGCTCCAGAGGCCGCAAGGACTTCTTGATCCAAAGCCAGAACTTCCGCCTGGTCGTTTGAGACCATGCGCAATAGCTCAACTATGAATATACGACACTCAGCTCTGACTAGGGGGCTGACATGACACTTCACGTCAGATGGAACTGGAGGATCCTCGGAACCTTCCACCAATACAGATTACGGACCAAAGATACGAACTAAGCGACATTGGGAACCGGTTGTATTGTTTCAAAAGTCAGGGAATCAAACGCCATGAACGGAGAAGAAAGTGATCGATATGTGACCTCGAACTCATTTGTTGTGGAGAGATTACGACGCCGGCGCCGTCTTGCGCGGTATGCGAAGGTTCGCTTTCACTCTTTCGAGTAGCTCCCCACGCGTCGCATTCTCGTTTGGTAGCAATCCTCGCTGGTTTCTTTGTTTAGTGAGACATTTCAAGCCGGATTGAACTTGACCATATGTCTATGCCAAGCCAGGAGTCCTAAAACATACCGCTCTGAGCCACCTTGTTATCTCATCCATTGTCCAATCTTCTGGGTCTAGCCGCTATCAGTTTCCGTTGTATCAATAAAGCACGTTGAACTCACTTCCAGTGGGATCGGCCTGGGCAGGAAGGACATCGCTGCCCCATATACTAAATGCTGCGACTGCGGTGACCATTCCTGCGAACCCTGTACAGAATAGTCAGAAGAAGACCGTGTAAATGAAATCCTGTTCTCGTACCAAGGAAAAGGTTCTAAACCACACTGTTAGTTATTACTTCAATCGTATCTCTTGTGCTCATACCTTAGAATTCAAAGCTCGATCTAAAGGGGTGGGCATCTTGAGCAATGATGTAATAGATTTGGTGTCTGAGGTTTGACCCGGAGAATGATTAGACTTGACCAAGGGTCAGATTGACAAAATAAAACAGAAATAAAGATAGGTAAAGCGAGATATGAGGAGTATATAAAGAGTATTCAAGAAGACAGATATGAAGTTGAAGATATGTGCACCGCCACTACCCGCCACTCCGCTGCTGCCTTGGAACTATACAACTCCGCGACTGCTTCATCGTCGCTCTTTCCGCTGTATACAGGTCTTCGGCTTCATATCATTAGGTAGTTTGTACAAAATGTCATTCCAGTCATTACAATCGTTCCCATTATTGCTACTGCACAACCTATCCATATACGATCGCTTTGTCTTGACCTAACATCGACTCTCTATCGACAGAATGGAGGCAGTGATCTTCCTGTCCTCAGTCACGTTCGTTATTGCCATTGGAAGTGCCATTGTTCAAGGGTCGGTTGATCCCAGCTTCAAGGTTGGAATGTGAAGCGGGTACTGACATATCGAGCAGTGTGACCTTTTGGAAGCGTTATCGAGTTCGCCTGCACGTCACCACCAAAGCAGTTTCAGGCCCTAACAGCATGGACTTGGAGGCATTGGCGCCCGATCATCCGATCATCCAGCAGCCGCCGCAACTAGTGCACCACTCGCGACTGGGAAGTCGAAACTCCAGATGGGCTTATCAGGACCGACGCTACCAGCGACCAGTATCGGAGTACCAGTATGGCTCGTATCGCATTGCCGAAGAACCGGAGACCGGAACAGTCGCTCATCACCTCCCCTACTCCGCCCCGGCAATTCCAGCCACTTTTGTGCCAGCTCCAGCCATTACCACCCCAGCCACAGTTGTGGGGCCTGAGGCCGCAACCCCACATGACTAAGCAGGGCTTTCACAGCTCCAAGCCCTAATGATCCGCACAATTCCACCCGGGCCAGCGACCAGCGTCGACAGTGAGCTTTCTCTTTTGCACCTTGCCTTCAAACACCAACCGTCACCATGCCTTCCGAAGTCTCCGATATCAAGCAGTTCATTGAGATCTGCCGCCGCAAGGACGCCTCCTGTACGTTGCGCCAAAATCGATACCGCCGACCGCCGACTGGGAGATATATGCTGACTGTTTACTTTTTAGCTGCCGGTATCAAGAAGAACCGCAAGACCCAGCAGACCAAGTTCAAGGTCCGCTGCTCCACCAACCTCTACACCCTTGTCCTCAAGGACTCCGACAAGGCCGACAAGCTCAAGCAGTCTCTCCCCCTGGTACGTTACGATCGCATCAACCCGCCGTCTGAGATGGAAGTGAGGAAATGAGGAAATACATTTCGCGGAACGGGAAAATCAGGTCGCGCACTGGATATTTGCTGACTTTATCTCTCTGTACAGCCCTCAAGGTCGTCGACGTCTCCAAGGGCACCAAGAAGTCCAACTAAATTCGGTGACAATGGAATGAATGGAGGATCGGAGTGCGGCGTGATTGGATGATGCATGCAAGACCAACTGTTGGAGGGATACATCGCCTTGGGCTTTGTCCCTCTGCGAGCCGACACGGGGATTACTCCGTGGCGTGGAACACGAACTTTGCGCCGGAGGGGTTATCTTTGCGTCTTTGAAGCCGGCTGCTTTTTTTCACCGGTCAGACGACTCGCTTTTTCTGGACGCACTCGAGGAACGCTTTTTGTCGGAGCTTCCAGTCCTTACAAACCAATGAAAAAACAGTTGAAATCCCATTCTTAAGTTCTCGCGCTCGATCGAGACCTCCCAATCCATTATTTGTATCATGGAATGACTTTCCGATGACTGATTTCGCTCCCGGTCATGTAGATTGACCAACTTGCTTGACTGTAGCCCCAGTACTCTGATCACAGGCTTCTTGTTTTTCAAGCCTCTCTCGTCACTTTCGCGCCAGCCCCGACATCAGATTTGGCCCTTGTGGAATATGACAGTGTTCAAGGATGATCGTATGCAACAAGTCCGCAGGGCGGTCTCGCAAGCATTTTTCCTTTGCTGGTAAAACATCAACAAAGGCTTTGGGTCAGCTCTCTGAGAGCTCAGTCAGCATTAACACCTGGTACTAGAATCCGCGTCTTCCTTTGTTAGAACCCAACAATCAGCTCTCAGCTCCCACAACCTCATTGTTGAAGACAAAGAACATACCACAAGACTTTGTCATCGCCTCAAAGCAAACCATGTCGCTCATGCAGTGAAATGCATATAAATAGCTTCGATCACTAGAGCTACCATTTACCAACAGCTCCACCTCGGTGACGTTGATCCCGCATTCACAAACATCCTTGTCCCATGTCGAACTCACTAACTAACAAAGCTCAGCCCACCAAACCCGAGGCGGACGCCATTGGGGGTTTGTCCAACAAAAAATCCTTCGTTTCTCCCTTGGGTAACCTGGAGGTATTGCCTACAGAGATCCTTTTCCAGATCCTAGACGAGCTTCTATGGTCCACTCCTAACATGACCCACGAGAGCTTCTGTTCCATAACGAGACTCATGCTGACCAACAAAGCTCTCGAGCAGGTGGTCCGAGCCTGGATGATGGGACGAAAGGTACGCGGCTATATCAATGACTGTCTGTACAACCAATGGTGTCTTCATCCCAGCTCCCCGGCCTCGGAGTCTATGATCTGGCAGCTCCTTGTGCATAAGGAGCCCTTTAGTATCAGTAATGATCTCATCACGGGTATCATTCGTGATGATTGTGTTGACTGTTATAATGTGATCCGTGAAATATTGCCTGACGATGATAAGTTTTCGAACAATCTTGTTGCTTGCATTAATGAACAGGGGTGGTCTTTTTGGGCTCTGGCTCTCCATGCCAGAGCTTACACGGTGTTGTCTGTTCATCAGGGGCCAGAGCCCTTAAAGCATCATGGTGAGGTGGACTGACCGTGACTAGTACTCGCTAAGGTTGATCAATTCCGAGGTTACTATATATGATAATCACTTGATTCTATCGAGGATCTTGTCGTCTCTTCCAAATTTGTTGTCCAACACCTGATTTTCCCAAGCCACTCCCCTGCCTATCACTGGAATAGGATAATGAAGTGAAACCCCAATTTTCTCAATATCAAATCTTTATCAGGTGATCGGTGTAGTAGTGATAATTCTCAGGGAATACTAACCGGTAGCCAAGGGATCGCATCCATGTACTGTAGATCATTACTCCTCAGGCCACGGCAGTGAGCTTTATTTATAGTTACATGCGACTTTGTGTACCAGACTTCCAAGGTTCCCTCCGAAGGAAAATCTTATGTTGGGCTGCCGCCGCTTTAACGGAGGTGCGCTCAAGGTCAGATCCAGGCCATCAGGTCAGGTAAATTCTGCACTATTTCAGAGTGAGAAACTCATCTTGGGGGATACAATTCTGTCCTCCAATGCATTGTTTATCCTTTCTTTTCTTTTCTTTTCTTCCAAGGTTTTTCTAATTCCAAAGTTCCCAAGGTCCTTTTCGGATTATGGCACATGATAAACCTCACCCTTTTATATAGTCAACTGTCTCAACTCATCCAAAGCGACCAAGAATGATAGCATGTGAATATGAAGCTCTATAAGAATTAGCTTCGATATATTGCAGCAAAGCATTGTACTGACCTTTAATTCCCAATGTGAATTTGTGCAGAGGCCCTGTTTTAACTCCACACGAGTCACTCTCACTCTCTCTCGGCAAAGGCTGGAATATCTCTTGTCGTTTCACAACAATATTCACTCCAACCTTGAGCTCACTTCCCACCCAAAACACCCGATCCGAGGCATTTGCTGCTAGAGATGCAGCACTCCTGACAGGCCTTCCTTTTGCCTGGGTTTCAAGTTCCGATTTTGCAATGCGAGTGAATCCCTCATGAAAGATCCGTGCCCTGCGGAAGCTGGAAGCAGACCTTTGAAACACAATATTCAAAGCTATGCAAAATTGGCCAAAATCCTCAAAGTCTTCCACAATCATTTCTCTTTCCACCTTCTGAGACGCATTTTGAGCTATAACCGTTGTACCAGATGTACAGTGGGGAGGCCGCCTAATAATTCGTTGCCCACGATCCGCTGGGCCATTCCCGGGATCATTGTATAATTGCGAATTTATATCAAGACAGAGATATTGGGCGCTCAGATCCTGTATCTTGCTATCGCTGGATGAAGTTCGATCATTTGGTTTCAAAATACGAAGACCGGAGGGTCGGAGGGTCATGTAGGGGCTAGATGTCCTGAACTGCGGTATGTCTAGCAGCAGGTTTAAGAAAATGTCATCTCGGGCAATGGTTGGCATCAATCTGAATTGAATTTCCCGAACACCGATCAAACGAAGATGTTGACAGGTCCCCAGAAGCGGAATCAAGGACTTGGTGCCGACAATGCCAAAGATCTGAAAAAGAATCTTCGAAGGTTAGCTTGGTCAGAAGCATGAAGCGTCACATCACACCCGGGGTTATTACTTCGTTCGGCAAAGAGGCAAGCCCCGTGTTCGATTTGATCATAGTAGACGAGAAGAAGAATAAATACAAGGATTGTGTATGGGAGACAAGAGAAATGGGAAAATAGACATACTCCACTCGCCCCAGGTACAAGCAATCTAAATGAGTAGTGATATCAGTTTACAGACTATGTTATCACTACATCAATCAATGACTTAATGTTCTTGCCCTTTTTTCCTCTTACGATATCCCACAGCCCAGACCACAGTTGGTGGCGGCTCTTGTCGCACAAGAAGGAAGTTTGGAATGTAACAACTCTGCAGACATCGATCAATTTTGATAGATGATTGGTTCTCCTGCGTTTTTCCAGACTGCCATCTTGCTGTGTCTGGGGCAAGGGTTGACCTGCAGTGTCGATCTTAGGTATAGGTGCAGAAAAGGTATCGATTTAGCATTGATCATCGACGAGGAGAGCCATATTGAACCAAAACCGCATTTCACAGCCACTCGCTTTATGATGACAGTCCGCTTTTTGGTGTAACTCATGATGATGAAAGTTTACCCCAGCTGGAAGCTATATGGTATAAAACATCAACCTTGGAAGAGGGATCACAAAGAAACTTCTCTACAAGTTCACGAACCGTAGCATTTCGACTTGAATTCGAGTTTGGGTAGCTGGAGAGAAAATAGAGAATGTGAAGGATAGTATACCGAGTAAAGGGTATCATTTGAGAAGGATAAACTTGATGCGGAGGACGTCCAAGTTTAGCCGGAGACCAAAAAGCGGCAAGTGGTGAGGCCCAAAATAAAAAGGAAAAGGTCTCATGTCCGTATATCTTGGCATGTTGCATCTTGACTTGGCACCAGTGAAAGGAAATTCGAGGAGCACTTCATACATGGAGCAAAGCATGCTTGCCGCCGGCCCGCTACCCCGGATTATTACAGGTACCATACTTGCAGAACTTGGCAATGGAATGGCTTCCTTTATGTGATACCATCAACCTAAGACCTCGGGATATGATGAAACTTGACAATTTAGACACTTCTACGGTGGTATGACTTTGCGACACGGAGTAATTCACCACATTTCTTTGAATAAATAATATTCATGGTCGGCCTGGTGTTCAGGCTCTTGTGTATAGTGAAAATGAGGCAGGTATAGCTGAAATGATCCATGTCTATAGTAGACCTTGGCCGCCACGCTTTCAAACATCAAGTGTGTCGGTTCAGGTCCGAATAAATGAAAGGACCTGGACCTGATGGAATTCCACCAACAATTACTTGCTGTGGTCACTTGGCTGCTGCTCGATATTGCAGTCTGATGATCGACGTGTCACGGCCAAGAGAAGTCTGTTTGAGGCTATTCCAGCTGTAGAACGGACCATCCAAAATAATCAATCCTAGCTAGCAACCTTGTGGCCTTGGAGGGTGGAGGATGATACAGAGGATGTTGCGAATATACGGAGTACTTGGACAGACAGGAACCAGTGTCAGCTGAGTGCTAGCTTAACCGAGTGGTTGATACCGAGGAGGTTCCAAGGTTACCCTCTCATATCTCAAGCACTGAATGGCTGGCCAATGTTCGATCCCTGGTCGCTTTTCTCCCTCTGTTTCCTTTCATAATATTGCAAGTATCGGTGCCAAGGTGCCCTGTGCGTTCATTGTCATGAAGAAGAGGATTTATTTTCGTAGGGAAGATAGATATAAAAGAGACCAACCCTACACGTTGACTTCAGAAATCCAGGTCTGGTCATCTCACACAATTATCAAAGCATTCAAAGAGCCACTTTTTGCATCATGGTATTCTCAAAGCTAGCAACCATCTCATCGTTCCTAGCCTTTGTCTCCTTTGTTGCAGGCCATGGCTACGTCTCCAGCATCGTAGCCAATGGACAAAAGTGAGTAGGCTTAGCCTGACACTGTTAATTATCAACTGGACACTTGCTGACCTCCTCAACAGCTACACCGGCTACATGGTTGACAAATACCCATATATGAGCGACCCTCCCAAGAGCGTAGGCTGGGCCACGACTGCCACAGACCTTGGCTTCGAAGACGGCACCGAATACCAGTCCCCGAATATCATATGTCACAGAAATGGCGTCAACGCCGCGTTGAGTGCCACCGTCACCGCAGGCTCCAGCATTGACCTCCAATGGACGCCATGGCCAGAGTCACACCACGGCCCCGTCATCACCTATCTTGCGCCGTGTAACGGCGATTGCAGCACAGTTGACAAGACGACCCTCAAATTCTTCAAGATCGAAGAGAGGGGCCTCGTCGACGGCTCAGTTGTACCCGGCAAATGGGCTGCGGATGAGCTTATTGCCGCGGGAAATCGGTGGACAGTGAAGATTCCTTCAACTATCGCGGCCGGTAATTATGTGATGCGTCATGAAATTATCGCTCTTCACTCATCTGGCCAGCTGAATGGGGCTCAGAAATATCCTCAGTGTATTAACTTGCAGGTCACTGGTGGTGGTAGTGCTGTGCCTGCTGGCACACTTGGCGAGGCGTTGTATAAGAATACCGATGCGGGCATCTTGTTCAATATCTATACTACGCTTTCCAGCTATCCCATCCCGGGACCGGCGTTATACTCCGCATGAGCTGAGTTGGAGAATCTGGTAGGAAGAGTGACGTGTTAGTGAAATATTCTGTCGTTACAAGTGTTATATTTGAACATGATTAGGACCAATGGAACAATGCTTCTATATCTATTGAAAATTTCCAACCTTAGAAATATCCACCAAAATACTCTAATGCGTCCGCTCGTAAGGTAACGCAATAAACCCCCTAACACCAGCCTTCTCAAGCGCCCCATCCACACCCCCAAGACTAAGATCCTTACGCCTCAGCTCAAACTCGCCAAAGAAATTAGGCTCATCCGAACACTTCTCAAACCCCGTCGACTCAAACAACGCCAAACTCTTCGCATTCCCCTGCCCAATCTTCACACTCAAACACTCAAACTCAAGACCCCCCGACAGCCCCGCCCCTTCAACCCCAGTCCTCAACTTCCTCACCGTCTCCACATCAACATCACCACCACCAACAAACTCATCCAGAATCGAACCCTGTCTCTCAACAATATACCTCATAAACATAAGCAACGCCGCGCGTCCAAACCCACGTCTCTGATTCACTTTCTCGGCAATCATAAGCTCAACCTCGCCGACGATCTGCGGCGGACTATCGCCATCATCACCATCATCAATCCGTAAGAAAAGATTGATATCGCCAACCATGTTGGAAGGCGAGTCACTTTCGACTAGGAGTTTCCGTTGGCTGGGAATGTCGCCTTCGTCGCCTGTTGAGATGGCCCGGCATACGATGAAGGTCAATTTATCGGCGTCTTGGCGCCAGCTGCGTTGCATGGAGTATTCTTCTTCTATGGTTAATGGCTCTGAAGCTGTTGCTTCTTGGATATCCTAATTGGGCTGGGGAGTTAATGCTGCGTTGTGGTTTTGTGGGTGAAGAGATAAAGGTTGGATGGGTTGCGCTGGTTCTTGTTTTACTTACCGGGTCTTTCATCCACTCGTGGTAGCGTGGTACGTGCCATGATGAGTATGGGACTAGGAGTGCCGCTGAGGAAGAGAGGGCTGTGCTCGTGTAGTAAGTTGAATTCCATTAGCTTGTTCTGTGCTGATTTGTTTGTGCTGCTGGATTTCGGGGTATTGCTTGCAACCGACACTTACCGATATTGGCATTTAAGAGCATTTTGACGGTCTGAGGGGAGTCCGAACAGGACACCCAAGACAGTTGACTCGTGGCGCTTTTTTATGTAGTTGATCTAGCTGTGGACGACAAGGGGAAGTGGGATGGATTCTTCCTTGTGGGTCTTGGCGGAGCCACTTGACTTGACTTGACTTTCTTATACAATTCCAGCATGTTATCATTAATGCTATTATAGTCTATTTTTGTTCTTCTTGTCCCTTGAACACTTCAAACCGAATTACTTCAGCCTCCAATGTTTCAGTGTCAACCAAAACCAACTGTCCTGTCTCCTTAAACTTCGGGATCGCCAATACTCGGACACGGGGAGCATCGGACCCATCGGCAGCGTCGGTCATTTCAGTATCACCGTCTAGGCGCAAAGGAACGTCACCTTCGATCATTGCTGTCTTAAACTCCGGCTGGTTACCAGCGAAGAAAATATGCGGACAAGTCTCGAGGATGTATGGATCATCGGATTGGTATGGATAAGACCCTGAAATTCCTTGTTAGTCGGTGTTCGTAAATTAGTTTCGGCGCGTCCAACGTACAGATGGTATCTGGTGCGGTGGGAACACCGCAGCGCCAGCGGAGCATCGCCTCCATCACTCGAATGCGGGCATCGGAACCCAGACCATCGGGACTGCTCTCGCTGTCTGTGATAGTGATGTATCGCAGGATGTCGTCAACATTCTGGCCGCTGCATCCCCATAATCTCCATCCCTCAACATCACCATCCCAAGGATTCGTCACGCTGTCGAACCAACCTGCCTCGGGCTTTTCGGTGGGTTTGGACGGAGGAGCTGAGTATGCTCTTGACTGGGGGAACATGGCGCGGTGAATTCCCTGCTGGGGCAGAGAGAAGTTTGCAGGGTCTTTCTCGCCCGGCATCAGGGTTACAGGGATGCTTGGTAAGATCTCCGCCAGGAAGTTATCAAGCTGTGTGATGGGCGACGCATTGTATGCAGAAGCATCATAACCGTACTTTTTGGGCTGAGCCTTGGCGGCCGTCACTGTTGCTATATCGGCAGTAATACTAGCGCCCAATGAGTTACCTGCGATGATCAAACGGGTGATCTTGGAGGGTGTGGTTGAAGAGCTGTTTTCGCCGTCGCTTGAAACACCCGTGTATCCAAGGAGATAGTCTGTCAATAGTTCCAAGGCAAGTGTGTCGCTTGAAGTTCCAGTGATACCGAGGCCACTGACGAATGCAATCTTGCCATGGTCCTTGCTGGTGACATCTGATCCGTTCTCGGGTGCGTTGCCTTCCCAGCGCTGTGGCTGAGGGGCCAAGTCCGGCAGTTTGATATCAATCACTTCGAAATCTCCATTTGCGTCCTCTGTCCCAAGTGCGGCGATAATGGCGCCCGTGGCCAGCTGGGTAGATCGCAAGAAATTACCAGTCAGTCGTAAGCGACCAGACTCATCTTCCATCATTATCTGGGTTGCGGAGGGGTTGGAGGGGTCGGTATAAGTGCGGCGAGGAAGGGGCGCTGACGTGAAGTTCTTGAGGGCAGGTTAGCGAAAGACACCGCGATATCATCATCACACGACACTGACCTCTTTGGTAAGATCCTCCAAAATGTTCGGCTTCATTGGTAGCTCCATGTAGACGGTGCCGGCCACCCAGCACAGCTCCCCCTGACGGACATCGAGGACTCGATCCACACGTCGGACCTTCTCGTTGGCAATCTGAAGACCACACAAGTGTCAGCGTCGGGGTTGTATAAGTTGGAGGTCGTTGTGAAGGATATCCTTACCACTAATCCCTCCCACGCATCTTGGGCCACTTGTTCTACACTGGGCTTCAGCTTCGCCAGCCGCAAATAGTACATATCTCCATATTGCTGCTGATAGTGTCGTGCTGAGCCAGCGGGTAGATGGTATGTCAGGCGAGGCTTGTAATGGGATGGTGTCCGATAGACTGGTTCCGGTTGCTGTTCCTCCTTGCTATTGAGCGATTAGCGAGAGCAAAAGTATTTTCAGGTGTAATCCTACCTCGGAGCACACAGAAAGCCATAATTCTGAGTATCTGGCGCCATCATGGTTGGCCCAAGTATTCCAGTAGGGTGGTGCGAAAGGGTTGAAGCTTGACGCGCGCACGCGTCCCGCCGGTTAGCGCGTTCAATTACATTCCCACTTTGGGACGACTTGGACTTGATCTTCACCCTGGGCTGTTTTTATTTTTATTTTTTTTACAAAATTACATGCAAGGAAAATCCCAAAAGGTCAATGATCAGTTGCAACTCAAAGAAGATACTCCGTAATTGATTTCACATAATCCTGAGACCTGCAGCGCCACAGATATTGACAGCTCCTAGACAAGAAGTAGAGACAGTATAGACACAAAGTAGAGACCGAGCACACTCTCAGACTTTGCTCCACGATCTACTCTGTATAGCTCAGAGCAATGTGAATGGTTTAAGTTGCTCTAGCATACATACTCCGTACAGGATAATGTCTGGCAATCGAAACCTTTCCCCTTCCACTTTAGTGCCTCTTGCCCAGGTGCCGCTTTTTGATGAGTCAGCTCTATTACATAAGCCAAACATCATGTGACTAGTTATCACATGAGCAATCCGACTCACAGATCATCCCGAGGTCATCTCATTTGACACCTTAATTTCCTATCTGAATCAAGATGAAAGCAAGCTTCCGAGGAGAAAGAGCCGTCAAAATAAGGTTCCAGAAAATATGCGGGGGTTGAAGGATCCTTCTTTTGCGGAAGCATCTGGGCCGAAGAAGTGCGAAACCCGTCTTGCTTCTCGTATCGGGTCGAGCCTGGCCTATTCAATTCCTGGAATATCCGTGGTTAAACACAAACTGTATCATTGTGAGGTTAACACAGAGTGGGCGTGGTGATCCAGCCCGTCTAGCTCAACTTGGACGGTTGACCTCTTCCAGTTAACCTTCATTTCATCTTGACGATACGTGCATGGTGATTGAATCGCTGAGGGCTGCTCGACCCACTGCCCACGCGGAGGATCATGTGGCCCGTGCGCTGATCAGTCCGGATCCCGGGCGTTCAAGCTACGTCAATCTCGTACCGTATTAAGCAGAGTATACGAATTATCCATGAATTTCACTTGGTGGATTTGCTGGAATTACGTAGGGTAAATCGACTTTCTCATGCTGATTCAGTAAAGAAGAAGTGAAACGGGAGCTAAGCCTTCCAAAAGGAAAGCATTTGGCGGTTCTCTAATGGGGTTGACTCTCGAATCTATATTTATGAAGAATACTGCAGAGACGTCAAGCAACATCATGGTCAATGCACCCACTCATTTCAACTTAAAGTTAAGGTTTTATGAGGCGAATAATCTATAGCTTCCTGGTTTCACAGAAAATGGGTAAGACCTCATCAGTCACAGGTTACAGCTTGTGGGTGGCCCACCGTACGAATCAGGCTTGCTATTTGACAAGGACCAATTCTTGAGAATGCAAATGATCGGATCTGCTGGAATCTAGATCCAGTCTACAGAACGGTTTGGATCTACTAAACTGCGTAAATAAACTACATATTCTCCTGAGGAAGACTCATGAATTCTACATCATTCCAAGGTTATATGAAACCAAAGTAAATCCTGACAACCATGACTCGATATTTTTCCATCCTACTCCTTTTCACCCTCTTCAGTCGCAACATCTTAGCGGCTGTCATCCCAAACTCTGACGATTTTGACCATGAAGCTTTGAGTGACACCCTGAGCAATGACCCTATCTTTAGCAGCGAAGACGGGTCCGAAAATGGCTTACTTTTTGATCTGAGGGCGGATGAGGATGGTAATGAATATTTGGATGCACGAGACGCTGATGCTGCATCTACTCTCGACATAAAGGCCTTTGCAGATGAGGAACAAGAACTGAGTGACGAAGAACTGGAGTCGGCAGATTCGATTGTGGGTCGAGCTCCTGCGGATTGCAACAATGTTATTCGCACGAGCATAGACAACTGCAAAAGAGGTGTGCAGAGTGGCATCGCAGCCTGCAAGAAGAGAATCCAGGACGACATTGCAACATGCAAGGTTAATGTGCGACGAGATATAGACCAGTGCAAGAAAAAGGCCAAGGACCCATTTAGCAAAGCTCGTTGTGAGGCAAGACGGCCTTCTCGCATGGCTCAGTGTGAACAACGAAGGAAGAAAATCCCCCTTTGTGAAAAAGCCCGTCCCAAGGTCATTATTTGCTGTGAAGGTCTTAGAACGCAGGTGCAGGGCCTGTGTGCTGCCAAGGTAGTACCCACCCAACTGGTTCGCCAGCGACTGCTATTCGGACAACAGCAATGCATGAGAGGTCTGATAATTTGACAAACGAACAAAAACCAACTCGGTTAGTCATGACATTCAGGAATTCAAAATCAATCCTCTTGACTATTCCCCAGATTCTTTGTCAATGACGCTAAGGAGAAGCCTATCAGATAATCTACCCACTTGATCCAGTTCAAAGCAGAGGACAGCGGGTCTTTTGGTGGATGACAACAGACTTCATTCTTGTTTTTGATCTTTCCCAGTTTCACTTTTCGATATACACGAAAAAGGATGAGGTTGATCTGTAACCTCGGTCGACTGCCGTTTTTGTTGTGCTGAGCAACGGGGGCCTCTTAATTGTTTGCGCTCATTTTTAGTTACTGGTGAAAAAGGCTCTCAAAGCATGTATCACCAAAAGTCTTGTTTATTGTTGTTTAATTACTCAAATTGAATGACTGAATCGAGCTTGACTTGTCAAAACATTTTTAATATCTTCTCTATGAGGGAGCAAGGTGGGCAACTTGTTTAATCGCACGATATGTTTACTGCAAGCTCAGGGTGTGAGCTACCTTCTGAGAAGAGGGAAGTCAATCATCAAGTTTCAAAACTTTTTACAGCCGATCAATCCAACCGAAAGCTCAAAAACTGCCAAAACTAGCCACAGTGGCATTAGATGTGGCGCGGTTTCCCTAGACGTGTGAGATGTGCAGATGCATAAAAACACACCTCGGTCCGGCCTTCCCCCTCACACTTTTTGGCCCCCCCCTCACACTTCGGCCCCCAATGCCTCGATAAATAAATTTGCTGGCCGATCGCTTGAAGCTTTCAAGCTTGCCAATTCACAAAGCCCACCATGGCTCTCCAAACACCACTATGCAAGCTGCTCAAGATCCAACATCCAATTCTCCTCGCCGGCATGGCTCGTGCCTCCAGCGCACCTCTAGCCGCAGCAGTCTCCAATGCCGGCGGCCTAGGCACAATAGGTGGTCTGGGCTACACCCCTGAGCAACTATCCGAGATGCTCACAGAGCTCAAATCTCTCCTCCGGGACCCGTCGCTGCCATTCGGCGTCGATCTTGCCCTCCCGCAGGTCGGGGGTGGGGCTCGTGCGACAAATCACGACTACACACACGGCCATCTCGACGAGCTGATCGAAGTGACTATCTCCCACGGCGCAAGCCTTTTCGTCTCGGCGGTGGGAATCCCTCCTGCGAAGACAATCAAGCGCCTCCACGAAGCCGGTATCTTGATTATGAACATGGTTGGAGCGCCGAAGCATGCTGAGAAGGCTTTCAAGGCTGGTGTTGATATTGTGTGTGCGCAAGGTGGTGAGGGCGGCGGCCACACTGGTGACGTGCCGTTTTCTGTACTCATTCCTGCCGTGGCGGATGTGGCGCGACGATACAAGAGCCCGTTGACTGGAGAGCCGGCGCTGGTCGTGGCCGCTGGAGGTGTTAATGATGGACGCAGTTTGGCTGCGTCGTTGATGTTGGGTGCCGCGGGTGTGTGGGTTGGAACGCGCTTCGTGGCATCGGAGGAGAGCGGTGCGAGTCGGTTGCACAAGGAGGCTGTGGTGGGAGCTCAGTATGGCGAGACGAAGAGGACGCTCGTTGTTACTGGGCGACCGCTGCGTATGCTGCCTAATGAGTACATCAAGGAGTGGGAAGGTCGACCGGCTGATATCACGGCGCTGACTACCAAGGGTGTTGTGCCGATGATGAATGATTTGGAGAATGATAAAGATGTCGATATGCCATTCCTCATGGGTGATGTTTCGGCGAGTGTCTCGGCGATCAAACCTGCTGGAGTCATTGTAAAAGAGATGGTAGACCAAGCAGTTGATGTGCTCAGGACCGGAAACTCATACGTTAAGCGTCCTGAAGGGGGAAGGTCTCTCTTATGAGCGAAGAACAAATTCAGCCCTGAATGATATTGATATTTAACGGGCGACAAGTAGTATATACAGGCATTCTGCCTATGCCTTCTAGGCTCTCACAGATATCCTCGGTCTGTCTCTATCATGTTCTCCAAATGCACAACTCGCTGTTCGAGATCTTGTGCTTTTTTTTCAGCGTCTTCCAAACGCTTTGCGGATTTGTCCGCTTTGCGGAATAGCCACCAAACAAGCCCGGGCCATTCAACACGGGGCTTTGATTCTGTCCATGACCGTAGAGCTTCCATTATCTTCATACAGTAATTGGTCAACACCAGCTTAGCTATTTCCAGAGCGATATTAGTGAACCACGTACCATAAGATGAATAGACCTGTCGGTCTTTTGCTTCGGCTGATCGATTTATGGCATTCCTCTTGTGATGTGTTGCCTATAGGTTGAAACTCATGTCAGTTCAGATTTCTAGCACTCCTAGTAGGTGGAATGAGCTTGAACATACCAAGAAGAATAGAAAGGAGACAGCAGAGTGGTACAGATCGTGATAGTGTTTTCATTGGTTCTGTCTGGGTCTTGTAAGTTTGTGGATATAGAGGAGGCTGTTGAATCCCTGTAGATCGATCCATTAGTATATGTCGATAGATGAGATAGTGAGTGAATATATAAGAGAGGAAGAGAGGAAGAGAGGAATAAAGTAGGAAGGAAGTGAGAGGGAAGTGAGAGGGAAGTGAGAGGGAAGTGAGAGAGGTGAGAGAGGACTTGAAGAGGTAGGAGTATATGACTTCCGATCTTGGAAGACAACACCGTCACGTTTGTAACCCGTTACCACAAGCGAGCCAACATCACGAATGACACCAACATCGTGCACCGCTACCTTCCTCGCGAGCTCGGCTCCCTGGTGATCTGGTACCTGTGGCTCGTGCGCCCCTTTGCGGATACCATGTACTCCGTCTACGCCCAGCTGGTCGGCTGTGCCAACCCCCCACACCGCGCCGCGTTCCTCTACCCGAACGACCACCACGATCACGGCTGGGGGGGGCGGGGCGCGAATGCGCAAGCTCCTCTGCGCGTAGAGCAAGGCCCACCTGGCGGGCCAGGAGCTCAACCTGCAGACATACCGGCACGTCGCCATTGCCATTAGCCGCCAATGTCTCTCTGCCCGATCACAGTTTGTTTCCAACCGGCATTTGAATCGCTCCCTGTGCGACCTCGACAACCCCACCGACATGGACCCCTCTGCCCTCGCGGCCCACACGGCCGACCTGCAGGCGGGGCACTCCTCCAGCGTCGCTGGCACGGTCTACGGGCGCCTGGCCACTGAGCAGCCAGGCTGCGTGGCTGCCCTTCGATAGCAGACATGTGTGAAAATATAGAGCATTGTGAGAAACAGAGAGAAAGAAGAGAGGAAGTGAGCTCTGTCTAGACTCTATGCTATCTACCTGTGAGAAGGTTTGACAACCCGGGCACCCAAGGGACTCCGACACCTCTTAATATGCAGTCTTAACGATTCTTTGCCGAACAGGGCCGTAGGCAGGAACACCCCACCTTCGCATATAGTCGTAATAAGTCAATCAAGCGACGGAGTTAACCTTGAGCCGCGTACAGCAGGCTCTAGTGCTGAAGTTGCCTTTTTGTAAGAAATGATTCGTGTGCCGCTGCTACTTTAGGGAACTGATGATGTTGTACCAAATGGCGGAAATCGAAGTTTGGGGGCCCAGTTGATAACCTGACAAGCAGGAGCATGCGACGAACGAACCTTTGAAGTTTGGGAGAAGTACGACAGGCCTCGAATGCTTGCTTGTGCTCTCTCTTTCTCTTATCTTCTTCTTCCTTCTCCAGTTTAGTGTTTCGTAGCTCAAAACTTCATTTGCATGCATCACATCGCCTATTGCTTAAAGAAGGTTTTTTAATCAATTCCTACACCCAATCCCCAACCTCCGCTATTAAATGAAATAGTATCGGCTCCCTGGCGTAACATACTGTTTGTGATATATTTCTCATTGAATACTAATACTATCTCTCACAACTGACTGCAGTCTACTGTCAGACCACAATCAAGAAACCGCAGAATGCGATGTAGATCAAGGATAAGAAATAGAAAGGTTTATTATGCAGCAAACAGTGGACACAGCAGTGTCATTTGCAGAGCAGAATAGCAAAAGTCGAAAGAGCAGGTTTAGCACTTAAGCCCCATGGGGTCGAGGACTGCAACCCTGGAATGACCCCCGACTTCCTTATCGGAAGACTTCTTGCAAGGTTCCAAGGTTATGAGATGCTAGTGTTTCCGTCTCCGTCTCCCTCTCTTTTCTTCTTCTAAAACCTCTCCACTGTCAACTTCGTCTCTTCCTCCCGAGATCATTCCCAGGTCCACTATCATCGAGAGATCTGCTCCCAGTCGCATGATCAACTTCACCATACTCCAGGCTCGTCAGGATTTTCTTTGTCGAGCATCTGGTTATCTTAGCTCAATTTTACTTTGCACAAAATGGCTCAGGATCACCGAGGTCTGCGCCTTCCCTCACTCCTAGCCTGGCTCATACCCTGCTTCCGAAAAAGGCGAGGCTACCAGCTCATCCCCCTCGCCCCAAACTTCCTCAGTGCGCTCCCTGTCGAGCTGATTTTAGCAATATCCGGTTTCATGCCACCTAATGATCTCATTTGTTTTGCACTGTGTGACCACCGCCTTTTTTCGCTACTGCACAAGACAACGGCTCCACGGTTGGGGAGAGATCTCACTCTTGAACTGCTGCAAAGGTTGGAACGCGATCTTCCAAACCATTTTGCGTGCCAGTGTTGCATTACTATCCACCCCTATTATAGGGTGACGGATCTGGATAACCAACCCATGTACTCAAGTATGTGTCTGCTTCGATGTGTTGTCAACTCGGCGTGGCACGAACCGAGATTCCGTCTGAGTATACACGGCTTCGCTGCCTACACGATGTATGAGTTTAGCTTCCTCCACCTCCAACTTGCAATGAAGCGATTCAACGGCGGTCTCCGATACGGTATTACCCCCGAGAAACTATCCTACATTGAAGTTCAGGAGAACTATGAGCCGAAATGTACTACTCTATTTTCGATTGAAACCAAAGTCTGCACCGACCCGCTGGGCTTATATCTCAGGATTCAAGATATTGTATTGTTCAAAGACCAAGCAGAAGACTTTTTCCGCTATCCGGACAGACACAATAGCAGAAAACCGCCGCATGTCTTCATGGTATGCACGCATTTCCGCTTCTCTCAGATGAAGGAACAGATGAACCCTTTACTTTCGGCATACAAGCAGACCCTGTCGCCCATTCGTCTGGAGCGGACCTGTGAGAAGTGCAATGCAGACTTTCTCCTCGAGCTACAGGAGTTTGACGGCTATTCTGCCTTCAGCGTGACACGCTGGATGAATTTAGGTTCTGGTTTAACCCCGGAGGATCCGCTGTGGAGGATACGATCGTTGCAAAACACTTACGACAGTCTCATAAGTCCATTCTCAATGGAATTGGATAAAATGGCGTGGAGTCCGCGAAGATCTTATGAGTCTTCCTCTGCGGATTGGACACAGGAAACTTTGCTGTCCCGTAACCTCTCCTGGCTTAAGGGGAAACGATACAAGCGATGTATGCACAGTGATGGAACTTCAACTTGGCTTTTTAGGCATCCGGAATTTTCATGGGCACAAAAATATAACAGGAAGATACGCTGATACAGACTCTATTGCTCTCGGGGTCGGTTTACGAGCTATTCGGGGTCCGAGCCGTCGCATGGGCTTTTTGAACACTGTCAGAATGCTCAATCATTTTGATTAATTGACTGACTGGATGTGGCTATTTTTGAGCTGACCCGCCTGATATGATTTGCTTTGTGATACCACAGTTGGGTACGGTGATAGTGCAATCTCATAGTTCGTTCTACGAAAGCTGTTTTGGATTCGCGATTTTCAATGTATTCTTTTACTGGAAAAAGCCCCTATCTATTTGATTCTGAGGTATCGTTCTATCCACCATCGCAAAATCTTGGAATAAGCGAAGAAAAAGTCCAGCCCTAAAGGATATTGATATTTAGTGGGCGACAAGGTACTATATTTACAAAAAGGCATTCTGCCTATGTCTTCAAGGCTCTCACAGTTATATCCGACCTGTCTGCGCGATCTGCTCCAATTGTTGGACTCGCTCCTCAAGATCCTCAATTCTCTGCTCGGAATCTGTGCGGGTCTTCCCAGGTTCTCTGGGCTTTCTTACAAGCCACCAAATCAATGCGACCCATCCGATATTAGAGGACCCTATCCGTTCCCAGATAGCTTCCATGAGCTTCATCCGGTAATTTGCTAGTACCGGTTTGGCCAGCTCCATGGCGATGTTTGTGCACCATGTGCCCAGAGAAAAATAGACCTTTCGGTCTCCAGTGTCGGCCGTTGGTCCGCATGTAGGTTTATGCTCCTGGGATGTGTTGCCTAATATATTTAATCCTCAGGTTAGTTCAAGTCCCAAGTACTCCTGATACGGGCCTTGAGATTGGACATACCAGGAGGAGAGAGGAGAGAGTAATGGGATTCGAGATCAGGGTATTCTTTGATCTCTGTCTCTTTGCAGTGGGTTTGTGTCTCTTGGCCACGCAAAAGGCCGTGTCCCGGAGGACGCTTGTGGTGTATTGCGCTCGACTCGGCCATGCCAATAATGGTCAAGGTTCTCTCTAGCTCAAATGTTGGGTTGGCTAGCTGAAGAATAAGTCAGTGCGATGCCCCCGATACGGGGCTTTGCCTGGTATAATCGGAGTTGGTAACAACCAGGCACAGAGAAAATCATCACATGGAAGTATGTCCAGGGGAGTTTACTTACTTGGAGGCAGAGGGTGAACAGAAGGAAGAGCAAGTAGAATGCCATTTCAGTGGTTGCGAGGTACCTAGCGGTAAGGCTTTGACTGGGATGGTTGCGAGTGTTTGGGATGTCTTTGAGCAGAGGGAAGTCTGCATCTTCGTCAGTTTCTCCTAATAGGAAGTGTAGGAAACTTGGAAGGCACCCATGTATGTCAGTACCTTCCCTCTTATCAAGGATGCCACAGAAATATAAACACCCCATTTTCAAGTACCCTCCAAACTATAATCATATACTTCAATGTGATTTTGAATACTGTATGAGCCTCTGCCACCGCGTACACGCAGTCTTGTGATAAGGAGGGCTGTGCAAAAGATGGCTGGAAAGACTGGAAAAAAGACACGAAAAAGGACAGTGAATTATAGTACAAGCTTTCAAGATTTCTATTGTCGATTACCTCAAGATAATACATTCTTTACCTTGAACAGAGAATGAGGCATTGGGGATAACGCCCTCGGGAAGGGACGAGGAAGATAGTGGCCCTTATCAACTGAATCCCCGCTCGACCTCCAACGTTTATCGAAACAAACGCCTGATCATCCAAGCATGAACCGAATCAAGAAGCTTGCGTGAGTCCTCTCGCATGTCCAACTGAATCCATGCTTTACTAACAACACCCAGCTGCAAGCGATGTCAATCTCGCAAAATAAAATGCAACAGAATCCAACCGTGTTCAAATTGCATCCAATCTAGGCATGATTGTGAGTATAGACAACATGACACTCGACGAAAGCCTGCGGTACAGGGTTATATCAACTCATTGGAGTCCCGAATCTCGTGGTTTGAGACATTCCTCCGCCACTTGAAGTCTGCCCCCAGCGAAGAAAGAGATACTATGCTTCGTGAATTCTCGATGGATGAGAACTCGCCTGTCGCGCTGAGTCAGTCACATATACCTCAAGACACGGGATCACTGAAGTCGGGTCCTTCTGGTATGTCATAGCATAATTCGCCACAGGGGAAGAAGGCTCATCGCAGACCAGGGGCTCTACAATACCATGGTCCAACTAGTATCTATGCAGGATCCCAGACCACCAGCCAGCAGGCATCCCAATCTCTATCGTTATCAACTCATGTCGATGACATGGAAAAGGTTCGCCTTGGCCGATCTCTGGGGATTGACTCAGCCCTCATCCAAACATGTCTACCTCTGTTCTTCCTTTACCAATATCCCCAACTGATGTTTGTTTATCGTGAAGCCTTGTTAGCAGACTACTTTGACAACGCATGCGGGGGGAGATATTGGTCGTATGCGCTGATTTACGCCATATGTGCTCTGGGTGCTCCTCACTCCTCGGACAAGGAAGTTCGCAAGAAGGCCCCGTTGATGGCAAAATGTGCCAAGGACATTATCATGACCTATGAATTGTCGAATCCAACTCCCGTCACAATACAGGCCCTCTTGTGTTTGGCATTTCATGAGATTGGGCAGAATAACACTCCTCAAGGGTGGTTGTTTGCGGGTGAGTTTTCTCAATACTTTTTCTCGACGAGGATGAAGAGCTAAAGTCAAGAAGGAATGGCATTCAGAATGGGTCAAGATATCGGGTTCCACCGTGACCCTACTAATTGGGTCTCACAGGATCAGTCAATCACGACCCTGCAGGATATTGAGATCCGGCGTAGGATCTATTGGGGATGTTATGTTGTAGACAAGTAAGAAGAAACTCTTTTCTCTGTTTGACCTATGGCTCACACTGATGCCACAGATTTATGAGTCTTTATCTCGGAAGACCTGTCTCGTTGAGTTCAAACGATGCTGCGGTACAGCCCAGTGAGCCTTTGCCGTAAGTTGACCTCTCCAGTTAAAGATCATGATTATCTGACACGACTTAGAGATTTCTCGGTCAACCATAAATGGTTCGGGCTGTGTGATTTGGCGATCACGCATTCCACCAATGCACAGTCCGAGGGTCCACAGTTGGTCAACACACTCAAATATACAGTCAAACTTGGGGATATCTTCCAAGATATCATGACCAAGGTTTTCAGTCATCGATCGAATATTGGCGATTTGAACTCATTCTACCGACTAAGTGAGATGAACATTCATCTCAACTGGTGGCTTCATGAGCTTCCTGAACCATTACAATGGAGCCAGTGGAGTGCACAAGAGAAACAGCTACAACACCACATCATCACCCTCCAGTAAGTCTATTGCAGGCCTGAATAACTGCGTACAGATATTGACCGAGTTAGTCTTTTCTATCACAGCATTTGTTTATCGCTCAACCGAACCTTCATAGATGACCCTTCAGACCGAGCAAAAGAGTCTTCCCGAGAAGCCTGTGAGACCTCGTGTGGTCTGATAATTGCGATGGTTCGTCAATTTAGAAACCAGCATGGAATGGTTAAATCACCGTTGATCATGGTGTACGCATTGGTCACAACAAGTATTGCTTTGACAAAGCTGTCATGTACGGAACACAATATTTTTAACGTGAACTGGAAGCTGACTGAGATCAGGGAATCCCTCACTTACACCTCAGCTTTCATTCCTACTCAAGGCGCTCGAAGAATGTTCAAGGGTCTACAGGATCGCCGGGGAAGCTCACTCTAATCTAAGACAGAGCCTGGTCATTGTACAAAACGGAGCGGTGCGGTCGAGTGGCCACTACATCTCAAGCTCAGATATTCTGCCTGAGCCTATGGCCACTACAGAAACTACAGAAAGTGCTGGAGAAAATGGGGTATCATATTCGGACTTTCAACGAGCACCAGCGACAATTTTTGATACCGGTAGTCGAGATGAGCAACCGAGCCTTTCCATCAGCGACTCCATGGGAGATCTGAATTGGGACGAGCTCACACTAGACATGTTCCAGATGGATGGGGATTTCCGAGGCTGGTTTTCATTAGGAAGCAGTGTGTAAATAATGTGAGTTCGATTTTTGCGTCTTGATGTTTCGTTCGAAGACAAATTTTCTGAGTGTAAAGCTATCAATCATCACATCCCCAATCCCTAATTCTCTATTCACGGCTTAGCCAAGACCTTCTTTACTGGGGCAATCATAACTACTCGATGACGGTACTGAATAAAGGAAGGAATCAATAACCTTGGAATAGGCAGTGAGTAGCTGGAAGGATAGTGAAAAGGACGGCTAGAAAGACAGCTAGAAAGACAGTTAGAAAGACAGTTAGAAAGACAGCTAGGTTATAATCTTGGGAATACTCCCCAAGTTAATGAAACTAATTTATTCACAAGGGATGCCCGAGTCTAGACCTCTCTGAATCGACTCCGCCAGATCCTTTACATCGCCAACGTTGTTGTAAAACCCGAACGAGACTCTTACTCCACAGCGATAGTGTGAGACATAGATTCCTTCCTTCTTGAAGTGTTGTTCCCACCTTGGATGCAAAAGAGTGAGAGTAAAGATGCGGTGCCCGTTCATTGGCAGATCTGCTGCCCAAAACCTTCACCCCCAGAGGAGCCACACGCTGAGCGAGCTCCCAGCCAAGCGATCGGAGGTGCGCTTCAATATTTTCTAGTCCAATCTCTTCACATAAGAGCTTGAGGGATGCCTTCAGAGACAAAGCACTCACTAGGGACAGATTGAGGTGACCATAGCGCTGAGTAGAGGAGTGATACTCCACATCTGGGTTGGCGAGCAATGTGGAAGGAAGTTTCGCAATTGCACCAGCCCCGACAATTGGAGGAGTGGGTTTCAGCTCAGGCAGCACGCTGGGATTGATATACAACGCGCCCAGACCACTGGGGCAACCCAACCCCTTATGACAACCAAAAGCAGCAGCGGAGACGTCCCATTCCGTGAGGTTGAGAGGAGCGACACCAACATGCTGCGTCAGGTCAACTAGGACATGCACACCCTTCTGGCGGAAAGTATTGCAGATATCCTGGACGTCATTCAGCTGCCCTGAATGGAACATGATCGAAGATAGACCGATAGCAATGGTTTTTTCATCGACGTATGAAGCAAATGTGTCTGCATTGGCGAAAGTGCTACCATTTGTTTCAACCATTCGGACTTCCAAACCCCGGCTAACCAACCCAAGCCATCCATAGACATGGTTAGGATGCTCACTGTCCAGGAGAACAACATTAGCTCCGGATTCGAATGAAATAGAGCGCTGGAACAGGTTGAGACCCTCTGTTGTGTCGCGGGTGAAGACAAGAGAGTCGATAGGGACGTGAAGGTAGGATGAGAGTAACTCTTGTGCCTCTCGTGCGGTAGCTTGCCAGCCTGGCTTTGAATGTGGGGCGCCGGTGGCCTGGTCTAGGAATTCTTCGATCGCATCTCGAACCCGTAGGTTCATGGGAGGCTGGAATGAGGCATTCAGATAGTGCACATCCTCTTTTGTGACCGTTGGGACCAAAGCGCGAAACTTGGAAATATCGTTGCTCTTGGGCGGACCGAAGTAGTTGTCTGTGAAGGCAAGCTTCTTCGAAGCGGGGAGGACGGAGTGACTGACTGCAGGAGCCATATTGAATAGAAGCGATAGATGATTGTTCGAAATCTTTGGTCTTGAACCTCGTTTCCAGAGTGACTCTGGTCTCTTATGTAGTCTTCCTGCCTTGAATGAAGTCCGGGGGAATCCAAGTATTCGGAGGTGATGCTCCGTTGTTGAGCAGCGTCATTTCACAGTTTGGTCGAATAGAACGATATGATCAAAATCGCAGTCAGTGCCAGTCACCATTTGAGGGAAAGATTATAGTTTTGATCCACTTGCATCTACCCCAAAAGCGGGCTAGCTCGTCGGGGTTCGTCCTCCGCAACGAGGGGTGACACTCCGGGGGCTTATCACGGTTATCTTGCATATCAGTCCACGGTGATATCAAAGAAATGTGGGGAGATACAGATAGAGATAGCTCGATGTATATAAATGACCATATCTTGAACTTGGAGTAGACCCGTGGACACCATCTTCAACTCTGGATTTTTTGGAAACTGGGAACATGTCGAAATCGGAGAAAGCACAGAAAGATGACCCCCAAGAGTCCGGCGAGGGCCAAATGGTGTCAATTGACCTCCCTTCAAATGATCTCCGCCGTGGATTCAAGGCCCGACAAGTGAACATGCTTGCTATTGCTGGTGCTTTGGGAACTGGATTAATTATTGGGACAGGCACAGCTCTTTCCAGAGGTGGACCGGGCAGCCTGCTCATTTCTTATACCCTTACTGGAGCTGTGATTTATTTTGTCATGACTGCTCTGGGCGAAATGGCTTCTCTCTTACCAATGAGTCGTGGATTCGACGGATATGCGTCTCGATTCGTGGATCCTGCCTTTGGGTAAGCTGCTTCTTCTCGATCTATAACAGTCTGTAACTGACCCTTGATAGATTTGCCACAGGGTGGAATTACTTCTTCAAATATGCGATTGTATTGGCGAATAACCTCACGGCCAGTGGTCTAGTCATGCAGTATTGGAGGCCGGATCTCAACGTTGCTATTTGGGTGACGGTGTTCGGCGTTCTTGTTATCATGATCAACGCATGTACTATCTTCAAACTTGGTCTAATTGTTGCTAACAGGTGATAGGTTCTCCATGTTGGTAGTTTCGGCGAAGCGGAGTTCTTTCTCTCGTCTATCAAGATCATCGCTTTGGTTATTGCAATGGTCACTTGTCTCGTTGTATCTCTCGGCGGCGGTCCTAACCACGAACGGGTCGGATTTCGATACTGGAGCGAGCCAGGTGCTTTTGCAGAATATCTGACAACCGGATCCACGGGAAAGTTTCTCGGCTTCTTCGCCTGTTTGGTGCAATCCTGTTTCGCATACACCGGAACTGAAGTCGTCGGTGTAGCATTTGCCGAAACACCTAACCCGCGGCGCAATGTTCCTAGAGCCATCCGACAGACACTTTGGCGTATCTCTGTCTTCTACATTCTGGGGGTCATACTACTTGGAATGGCGGTTCCTTACAACAGCGATTTACTAATTGGAGCCACACATGAGAGCACGAGTGCTTCTGCTTCGCCTTTTGTTATTGCAATCAAAATGGGAGGTATCAAAGTGCTTCCTGACATCATGAATGCTGCCATCCTAGTATTTGTCGTGAGTGCGGCAAACACAGGTCTGTTTTCTCAGTCATTGCCTCGAACGCAGCTAATTGGTTATAGACATTTACGTCGGGGCGCGTACGCTACATTCACTTGCATCCGCTGGACATGCCCCCGAAATCTTCAAGCACACGACATCTAAAGGTGTTCCTATCTATGGAATTGGGGCAACCGCCCTGTTCAGTTTGTTGGCCTACATGAACGCCACGACCTCTGCATCCACGGTATTCGGATATCTTGTGAACTTAGTCACTGTATTCGGGACTCTGAATTGGGTTAGTCTCCTGGTGTCCTATCTTTGCTTCTGTCGCGGACTACGAGCCCAAGGGGAAAGCCGTAAAGATCTACCATACCGAGGACCTCTCCAGCCATATGGTGCATGGTTTGCATTATTTACCACAACAATCATCATACTATTCAATGGTACCTATGTCTTCCGCAATCTTCACTGTCAGTCTATCACTAACAATCACTGACCTGTCAGGATACAATACGTTCATACCTCATTTCAAGATTGCGGACCTCATAACATGCTATATTGGAATTATCGTTTATGTGGGAAACATATTCTGCTGGAAGATATTCAAGCGAACGCGACGTGTTAAGGCTGGGGATATGGATTTGACTACAGGCCGGCGGGAGTTCCAAGAGGTAGAAGAGATGGAGTCCAATCAGAGAAAATGAATGTTCCAAGGTTGTTCTAAGAGGTGGATCTGCGGTTTCAAAGTAGTCAACCTCAGGTACTACGACCTCAAACTTATTCCAAGGTTTCTTTATACTGTCTGGAGAAACTTTCCGAAGTCTCGGATTTGATCCGATATAGTAACCTTGGAAACAGTCCTGGAGCATCCTTCCCTCAACCTCCAGGGCTGAATATCCAATGATATCAGCCACCTCCTAGGCTATGGTATTCAAACTCCCACTCAGAAAGATAGTAAGAAAGACAGCAAAAAAGACAGCAAAGATTGCAAGATTCCTATCTTATCGTATACAGGTCAGTCAGGCTAAAAACATCGAAAGTAGATTCTAAAGTACTAGAGGTCCAATACTCATGAGAATGGATACACTGTAGATACCGGTGTACCAAATCTTATATTAAATATTTTATGGGCTGTTCCTCTCTTTTTGTACGAACAGAGATTGACCAAGGGTTATTGACACTAGCCTTGGAAAACAAAAGAGCCAAGTATTCATTGCGCCGTCGAGTGTATATAGTGACACATATCGTCTGGTGGAAGACGTCGTGGGCATGTGTGGAGAAGAGTAATTGGCATGTGCGTTCATTGATACTATGGCATGTACTTGTACAAAAAATATGAAACCCAATAAGACTGGGACAAACAAAGATGAAAATGTTATCTCATGACAAGTCAACAGATTGGGCCTCATAGATTGAACAACATTGATATAGCTCCATATTTGCAAAGGGCGACATAAAGCTCTCACCTCGCCAAGGTGCAAAGTCCAAATATTCACCAGTGCTCAAATGCAGTCATCATCGACAGGTAAATTTGGAGGAATCTCCGAAAAAAAGTCAATTTAGTGACAGCCATTTAACACCGGATTGCCATTTGCCCGGGCTTCCAATAGGTTCGGAGGTGGGGTCGGCCCGAAGACAGGCTTCTCTGAGGGCTGATTGACACGGAGGAGGGGTGGCTCGGGGTCTTCCTCCTCGCTGATACCGTCCTCATCATCCTCATAGTCATCATCGTACTCACTTTCAGTACCTTCATCGTCACCCTCGAGGTGGTCATCGCCTTCAGCTAGAGCCAGTCCCTCGCCTCGGCCCTGGGCTTGCATGCGTCGGCACAGGGCTTCCAGGTGGTGGCACTTGCGACGCCATCTTTCCAAGTCTTCGTGATTCCGGGTGCGTTCCTCTGCCATTTCCAAAATGTTGCGATTAGTTTGTTCGTGCTTTCGGTTCAACGTGTGATTCTCCTTCTCCAGGCGCTTGGTTTTCTTTGACATTTCTTCCATTTCCTTGCGGAACGTAAGGAAAAGATCGTTACTGTTGTTCAAAGTGTCCTCAACCTGCGCAGTATTAGTGACCGGGCAAATCCATAGGGAATCCCACGAGCCGCAAGAGCCCAGGAGTGGCTGCATAAGTACCTGTTTGAACTTTTCCACGTAGATGTTGAGCTGACTGCGCAATTCGGCCTCGGTGTGGGTGAAAGTTGAAACTTGAGACGTCAAAGCCCGGCAGCGATTCCCCTCGACCTCCCCAGCACGGCGCTGGTCTTCGAGCCGGGAGGCAAGACTTTGTATGTCGGAATCCTTGCTTCGGAGAAGAGACCGGTACTGTGAGTCGCGCGAATCAAATTGGTCGCTCACGGTCTTTATCTTAGTACGAAGCCTACATCCGGGGAGTTAGTATATTGCATTCCCATAGACAAATTATCTCGGGGTCGTACGCTTCCTCCGTATCAACATCCACTTTCTCACTGCGCGGGTTGCCCTTGGCGGCCATAACGTCTTGGATGTCGTAGAGCAGAGAATCGAGGCGTTCGTTAACAATCACCCGGGCTTTCTTCTCGGTGTCCTCCAACTTTTTGTTCTCATCCTAGCACGGCGTTCAGCGGATATTCCTTCCGTATCATTTGGCGCATTCGGTTTACGCAGTTTGATTGACCCACCTTGACCTTCTTGTTCTCCTTGGTGAGCTCCCGACACAACTTTTCCAGCTTATCCTTCATAGTTACGGTCTTGCTGAGATCGGACTTGCCCTTGTCCTGATCTTTCTGCAATTGGTCGGCCCTCTTCTTGCTCTTGGTGTGTTCCCGGTCTAGCTTCTTCATATCGGTCAAAAGCTCGATGTACTTCTTGTGGACGGTTTCGAGGCGAGTCATCGGCGATTCGATGCCATTCAAAAGCTGGTTGAGATCCCGGGTTGCTTTCTTGACATCGCGCTCTGTAGATCAGCTCCAAGTTAGCGATCCCCATGTCCAAATTAACCGCATGGTCCGGTACCCAGCCAACGCAACACAATGACTCGAGACCGCAGATTCCAAAGGGAGTCACGCACCAATTTCCGCCTCTTGGTCCTTCTCGCCCGCAGCATCCTGCTCCAACTGAGAGATTTTGGCGGCCAGTAGTTTGGAAGTCTCATTCGGGTCGGCGGTCTTCTTCGCCTTGTTCTTCTTCGCCATGGCGGTTGACGACATTGCGGCGGTTCGGTCGATTGCGTGTTTCAAAAATTTGCGCACAAGTGAGCGGGATGAGGGTTGGTAGTCGGCGGATCAATCAGACGGGTGAGAGATCCCAGAGACACGGCTCGCAGGCGGAATCACTGGCTCTGGGACGTATGTGATCGTTTATCGCTTGGGGTCAGAGAAGGACTTCGGAGCAGAACTTCGACGAGGGGAGAATGTCTTAGTCATCGAGTTCCAGAAGAGGCAACGGTAGTCTTCTTCTCAACGCACTTTCACGATGTTGTTTTGAGGCGAGAGCAAAATAATTCGGAAGTGAAGAAGGTGAGATGGAGAGAAAGAGGTTCTTTAATGACGCCCAACCCCTCAATTTCCATCAAGGTTGGAGTGCGCTTCCCCAGCTATCAACTTCGACTATACTAGGGATGATGTAAGCGATCGGAATCTGGACATTTTCGACTCCGGGGCTCCGATCTTGCTCATTCTTACTTTCTTTCACATCTTCAACTATGTTACGCTCATCAATGCGTTTTAGCCGGGTGCCTAGCCTGCATCGGCCTCTTGGTCGTTCTCTCAAACCCACCGCTCTTTCGCGCAACACATTAAGATCCGCCTCAACGGTCACAAACTTGGACAACTTCCCCCAGGTTGGCGAGAAGCTCCATGGATTTACACTGCATGAAAAGAAGCATGTTCCCGAACTTCACTTGACAGCGGTCTGGATGAAACATGACAAGACCGATGCAGACTATATGCATGTCGCCCGAGATGATAAGAACAATGTTTTTGGAATTGGGTTCAAGACTAATCCGCCCGACGCTACGGGCGTGCCTCATATCCTAGAGCATACGACGTTATGTGGCAGCGAGAAGTGAGGATACTCGTCAGTTATTGCTGTGGTAGCGCTCGCTAACATTTGATCAACAGGTTTCCCATCCGCGACCCGTTCTTCAAGATGCTTCCACGCTCACTATCAAACTTTATGAATGCTTTCACGGCCTCCGACCACACGACATACCCTTTCGCCACTACCAATCAACAGGACTTCTCCAATTTGCTATCTGTCTATCTCGACGCCACACTGCACCCACTGCTTAAAGAGTCAGACTTCCGACAAGAAGGATGGCGTCTGGGACCCGAGGACCCACGCGCTGCGCAGCCGGTGGATGGTCAACCCGAGAAGCAGCTGTCTTTGGAGGACATTGTATTCAAGGGTGTTGTTTACAATGAAATGAAGGGCCAAATCTCGGACGCGAACTACCTTTACTACATCCGGTTCAAGGAGAGCATTTTCCCTTCTCTGAACAACTCAGGCGGTGACCCGGAATACATCACCGACCTCACCCACAAGCAGCTGACGGATTTCTCAAAACGCAACTATCACCCCAGCAATTCTAAAATTCTCACATATGGTGACATGCCTCTGGCCGACCATTTGCAGCAAATCGGCGCCGTATTGGATGGCTTCGAGAAGGGTCAAGCCGATACTGATATCAAGAAGCCTTTGGATCTTACAAAGGGACCGTTGAACGTAACTGTTCCTGGACCCGTTGATACCTTTGCTGGCGAGGATAAGCAACACAAGACTTCCACCTCCTGGTATATGGGCGACACTACTGATATCGTGGAAACTTTCTCTGTTGGAATCGTCTCCTCGCTGCTTCTTGACGGTTATGGCTCACCCATGTACCGCGCTCTTGTCGAGAGTGGACTCGGCTCTTCATTCACTCCCAACACCGGTCTCGACCCATCCGGCCGGACTCCGATTTTCTCGGTTGGCCTGAACGGTCTGACTGAAGCAAACGCTTCGACCATCAAGGATGTGATTCAGAATGCTCTTCGTGAATCCGTCTCTGCCGGATTCAGCGAGGAGAAGGTTCAAGGATTCCTTCACCAACTGGAACTCGCGCTCCGCCACAAGACCGCCAACTTTGGTATCGGCGTGATGGAGAAGACCATCTCCACTTGGCTCAATGGCTCAAACCCCATGAAAGAATTGGCTTGGAATGATGTCATCAATGAGTTCAAGGCCAGATACGCGCAGCCTCGTTACCTGGAATCTCTGGTCGAGAAGTACCTGATCAACGATCAGTGTATGACTTTCACCATGGTTGGCACTTCTACTTTCGGCAAGGAGCTCGACGATAAGGAGGTGGTGCGCAAGGACACAAAACTTGCGCAGCTTATTGAGCAGCACGGATCCGTGGAGAAGGCGGTTGCCAAGCTTGGAGAAGAGGAGCTTGAGCTTCTCAAGATCCAAGAAGATGCCCACAACGCCGATCTGAGCTGTCTTCCATCGTTGAGGGTAAAAGATATCTCCCGGCAGAAGGAGCGGAAGCCTGTCAGAGAGGCTAAGGTCGACGGCACTGATGTTGTCTGGCGTGAAGCTCCTACCAATGGCCTTACCTACTTCCAAGCCTTGAACGACTTTGTCGATCTGCCCAATGATCTCCGATTGCTCATGCCTTTGTTCAACGACTGTGTCATGCGCCTCGGAACCGCAAACCGATCGATGGAACAGTGGGAGGATCTTATCAAGCTCAAGACCGGTGGCATTTCAACCTCATCTTTCCTCGTGTCGTCGCCAACACATCTTGACCGCTTCAAGGAGGGCATGCAGTTCTCTGGATTCGCTGTTGATGAGAACATTCCCGAGATGCTGGAAATGCTCTCTGTTCTTGTCACAGAGACCGATTTCACGAGCCCTGCCGCCCCCGCAATGATTCAAGAGCTTCTGCGGATGACTACCAACGGAGCCTTGGATGCCATCGCGGGAACTGGTCACCGGTTTGCCGTGAACGCTGCGGCAGCTAGCCTCTCGCCCAGCTTCTGGGTCCAGGAGCAGCAGTCTGGTCTTGATCAGCTGCAGGCCACAGCTAACCTGCTTCGCGATGCTGAGTCCTCCCCGGAGCGCCTTCAGGAGCTCATTGAGAAGCTTCGGCTGATCCAGTCCTTTGCGATCACTTCGTCTAACATGCGCATCCGCATGGTCTGCGAGCCGGAGAGCGCTAGCCGCAACGAGTCCACTCTGCAAAAGTGGATCTCTGGTCTGCCTCAAGCCAAGTCTCCTGTTTCCAACTTGTCCACCGCTGGCTTCAAGTCGGCTGAGAAGGCCTTCTATGATATGCCATACAAGGTCTACTATTCCGGACAGGCCTCCCAGACTGTGCCATTCGTTGATCCATCCAGTGCGCCTCTGAGCGTCCTGTCCCAACTCCTCACTCACAACTACCTTCACCCCGAGATTCGGGAGAAGGGAGGCGCGTATGGTGCTGGAGCTAGCAATGGCCCCATCAAGGGCATGTTCACCTTCATGAGCTACCGGGACCCCAACCCTCTGAACTCCCTGAAGGTATTCAAGAACAGTGGTATCTTTGCTAGAGACCGCGCCTGGTCCGAGCGTGAGATCGAAGAAGCCAAGCTTGGCATCTTCCAAGGTCTCGACGCTCCTGTCAGCGTTGACGATGAAGGCGCTCGTTACTTCATGAGCGGTGTTACCCATGAAATGGACCAGCGCTGGAGAGAGCAAGTCTTGGATGTTACCGCCAAGGATGTGAATGCCGCCGCGGACAGATTCTTGGTGAACGCCTCTCGCAAGGCCACTTGCGTTCTCGGCGAGAAGAAGGACTGGGCTGAATCTGAATGGGAAGTCCGCAAGCTTTCCATGGATGCCAGTGCTTAAGCAGGGCGCCAACGCGCACTTGATCTCTCGCACACATCGTACCCCTCAGGGTTGTACCTGTCGAAGGTACTTGTATCACTATCATATTTCCCCATGTATTTCTACATGCATTTGCCCCTGTGGCATCGCACCCCTTGTACATATATCCGTGCATACATATCTGCATAGAACACCTTCCTCTTCCTCGTCCTTCCCATCTCCACCCCCCCTATCATTTCTAGTGACCCGCGCAGAAGATCTTCACGTGCCTCGTGCACAGAGCTTATCTATCACATCTACAATCAGCTACTCCCTTTGGTTGGCAGGTGTCGCATTCAACCCGAGTGCTTGCGCAAGAATAAAGGGAATGTGAGTCCTTGTGACACACTTCCCTTCTACATTTTTCGGAACCGCCCTGGACCTATAAGTCTACACAGGACGGACTAAAAATGCGAGAACATCCACCAAATAGACGTAGAAATGACAAGCAAATTGATACGAAGAAATGCCGAGTCCGCGGGGAAGCGGAGAAACGCTAGTCTCCCCTGATAAGCCGATCATTCCATCTCGACTTCCGTTCGAATATTCACCTTCCAAATGGGTTGATCTCATGTTCGCACAATGAACAAATCAGTGTCAACGGGCCCTAGACCTACCAAGGCCTGTGGTAAGTTTCAAGGTTAGAGAGCGTTGTTATCTGAAAGGAGCTAACAGCCTCAAAAGTCAATTGCCGGCGATTGAAGGTATATCATATATGCATGCTCTTCTGGTGATCAAAGCCGACCTCGGGAATTTCTATTGACTTACCACACATGGATAGATGAAATGTGAGGTATCTGGGCCACCTCCTTGTCGTCGGTGTCGACATACGCGGGCAACTTGTGTATTCAAGCCCCGGGCCAATGTGAGCAAATGCCTGGGCACCTTCCATACTCCAACGAAGCTCTAGATCTGACCATTTATATAGGCATCCCATTTACATGAATTGGCTGATCTACATGACCATACACCTAATTCCGTACCGATCATCCCGGGTCACCAATCAATCTTGGATCGCTTGGCCAGGATCGAAGCTTCACTGGGCATTGGGGAGATAGAAGATGATCATTCTGGCGAAATTGATGTTGAAGAGCCATCAGACCAGACTCCTGGAGTGTACCGTGCAATCGCACGTCTGCGATTGATTACTCGTCCAGCCCCAGATGAAGTGGTTTGGTCTCGACCAGTTGTCGAACAGCTGTGGAACTCGTATGTTTATTTCTTTCGGTGATTTTTGAATGATCTGGTGACTGACAAACTTACAGCTTCTTGAGCAATCTTCCACTTCTTCATTTTCTGACAGATCGCAGCGCATTTGCCTCTCCTACCCCTTTGTTGTTAGCCTCTGTGCTTTACATAGCTGCTTTACATCATCCATCCTCGGATCAGGCGTCTTTGATCACTGGATATTTTGCCGCTACTTGCTGCGCCATTTCTGAGCTGGTAACACCGGCTTTATATCATACTCCAGTACGAAGTGCCCCGGGATGGGGTAGAGAACAGCATGACTCCCGACAGTCCAAACGAGAGAACGCATTTCGCAATATTCTCGGGCTAATCATGGCGAGTTTGAGCTCCGAGGCTTATATCGATGCTACTGGGTCATGGATTGCAATGGCATACCGCATCTGGCTTGACCATTGTCCCGTCGATTTGACTAACACTACACAGGATTGGCGTGGTCTTTTTTCGGGGTTACAGGTGAGTATTGAATGATTGATGATTGTTATCCGATATTAAGCGCATTATCTCCCAGGTAATTGATATTGAACATGCTTCAATGCATATGTCGTACCCTCTGCTTCCCCGGCATGCCCCCGCACCAGGTATCCAAAGGCTGGATAGTCAGCAAGGAAATGCATTCCAGGGCCTCGCTGAAATGATGCATTTTGGCTTAAGTCATTTCGTCGGACGGGGACTGCCAACTATATGGTCATCAATCGGTGCAGATTGTACAGAAATAGCCTCCGAAGCGCGAAGTCCCTTCACCCCAAATGACCTGCAGATAATCAGGCACTGGGCTCGGAAATTAGATGACTGGTTGGTTCTCTACAATGGCACATCTCGTGAGTCAACACAGTACGATAGAGAGAAAACGGATTTTTCAAAGGCTGACATATCGCAGAACCCAGTCCATCGGATCGGCAGGGAATACTTCTCTTGCTGCAATATCATCTCCATAAACTCTACGTCCTTTCAATATATCACCCTGCTCGCGGATTCGATCTAAGTCCTGCAAATATAAGTGCGACAGAAAGACACGAGTTGCTTGTCTCAGCAAGAGCGGTATTGCGATTAAGGCGAGATGATGCTAGTATATGGTCTAACTGGGACCTAGTTGTGAGTCGCCTCGAATGAAACATTGGAGAAACCCCCGTTCTAACCAACCAGATGATTACCTGGGCAGCAATATTACTCCTCCAAGGCGTTGAAGATGGAATGACCCACCAAGATGGTATGCTACGTTCAAACATCATCTACCAAAACAAAGTAATCTAACCATCTGCATTGTCAGACCTCTATCTTATCCAAGCCCATCTTCAAAGTCTGGAAAGACACAACCAGTCGGTACCTACCATCCATGCATTGTTGTTCCAGCGTCTCGAATCAAATATGCAAGCTATGCACACCCCTCCAGATACAAGCTCAGCGCTGGTATTCCCAGGACCTGGATCGGGTGATTCATGGACGATATTCGATCAGGAGATCATGTCCCTGGCTAACCCAGCATGGTTATTTGAGGGATCTACACAGTTTCAGCAGTCTCAGACCCCCTTTACGGCGCCGCAATTGCAGAATACTTTGCCGTCTGCTGGAGGTCCTATAATTCCTGTGTCTGCACCCGCTACAGAGTAAACTCGGGATCTGAAAACGCTTCCTATCCATCTTTTTTGATATTTTTTTTCGTGTCTTTTTTCGGGGTCTTTTAAAAGTTGCAGGTAATAATAAAGATACATTGTGTAGTAAGAAAATTGCAGCACACCCGAAATATCTCAATTCCAAGGTTATAAGTACAAGTCAGATGTAAAGTGCGGTCTGTATATCACACTTGCTGACCCTTTGACACTATGGATACTTGACTGTAGCATCTCAAAAGTACCACCGACTCGGTTCAAAGACACTTTTATTGATGCGGCCCTACACTCTTCTAACACTAAATCTCAGCTTAAACGTCTCCAACCCCCCATGATAATCCTTCATCATCTTATCCGCACCAGCCCACTTCTCCATCCACGTCTCCACTTCCCACCCAGTCCCCGTCTCATTACCCACCTGCTCCCAAAGCTTCTTCCACGTAGCTGTATCATGTCGATAGTGCTTCCCAGCAGCTTCCTCATCTTCCGGAGGCGGTGGATCAATCCGACCAACCTGACGCCCGATAATAAGAGACCCAGGCTGATCACGAAGCAACCCAACGAGCCGCTTTGCCACGGCCACTTGCTGATCCCAGTTAAAAAGGTGGAAAAAAGAGGCGGCGTTGACGATGTCTATCTGGTTGCTTAGATTCTTCACGAGATCTGAGTTGTCGTCGAAGATATCTGCTTCGATATAATGGGCTTTGAGGCTGTTGTGGTCGTTGAAAAGGTCGTAGCCTATATCGAAGAAATCCCGACGCAGATCTGAGGCGTATAGGTTCTCTGGTGGGACACCTTCGAAGACCTCATACTTGTTAACGGGCTTCACGGGCTTCAAATTGCCCAGATGAGTGTTGCTAGCTCACCAGTTGACGCAACTCTTGCCCGACGGCACACCCAACATCAAGTAGTTTTTGGCCGGATTTAAGCCTCTGCAGAATCTCAGGATAGGCCGGTGACTGTGGAATGCTCAAATCCAAGAATCGAAAGGCTCCGATACACGGGTACGGAAACTGATTTGGGTGAGTAGCCGCTCCAGAATCATACACAAGCTGAAAGGGAACTGCTTTGGGTCTTTGGTTTCAACGTACCACGAAAAATGCTCGGTCTCTCTGTATTGATTAGTAGCAATAGATTCAAGGCGAAGGATGCAACTCACCACTTTCTTTACATGGTCCACAACCTGGTCCGGTGGGATGTTGCTGTATCGTTCGAGCAGAGTCTTTGCTGGCTCGGGGGCCTCGGTCAAGTCAGGCTCATACCAAAGGAATTGATGAGGGTCGAAGCCACCATCTAGAATGGCTTTGAGATCGGACTCGGCTTTGGCCATGGTACTTTACTTGGTACTTGGTTTGGGGGAGAAGGAACCTTGGGAGACGTGTAGTTCGGTTAAGGCCCCACTAACGCGGGGGTGATTTGCTATGATGTTCGTCTTTAGCTGAAACCTTCGAACGTCCGACGAAGGAAACTTTGGGAATTGTTGATATTTAGCACAGTTCTAATGATTTGAAGACCATTTACAAAGTGTAACCTTGGAATGTCCTCCGCACCGGAGACTTCAGCCTGAACACCTTGATACAGAATCATCGTGTGTCTAAGGCCTCTCTTCAAGGCCCGAAGTCACATTTCAGATCTCCAAGGCTTTATTAATCAAATATCAGTCAGGATACTGATTCTACAGACTGACATCTCGCCCTTGATGATATTTGTAGAAAAATATGTTGTCTCATTCATCCCAATGCTCTTTGGGTCATATCGTGGGGTATAATGTACATCAAAGTCGCTCATTAGTATCGTACAAGAAAAACAATGGAATGCTAAAGCATCACTTGAATAAAAAATAAAAGGGTTGTCGCTCTTCGGCTTGCTCAATGACGAGGTCCAGTATCATCCAGTTCGTGAGGGGACATAGCTCGCGGTGAAGCTTTCGACAAGCCGGAATCCATAGCCAGCGACGAGGGTGACATGGAGAGAGCAGGGAAAGGTTCGGTTTGGTTGTTGGATAGTCGACGACTGGACGACTCGCTGAAGGTTCGTTTCGGGGTATGCGGGTGATCTTCGTCTTGTGACAGGATACTTGGATGTGATGATGCAGGCTAGAAGTAAGACAGATGTGGGTCAGCGCATGTTGAATTCAATTGCAAGTGCAAGTGCAAGCGCAAGCGCCATTGGAACTGGGATCCAAAATCCCTTGGGGTTATCTTGCTCATACCTTATCGCCCGTATCAAGGCCTCGACTGAAAGCCAGTTCTTGTGCTGCAAGTCGCCTCCTCGCTATCGTCGCTTCTTCCTCTTGTGCCGCGCGTTGCTCTTCCGATTTCAAATCGGCTAATGACGGGGTTTCCACGCTTTGAAGAACAGAATCATTGTAGCTTGGTGAACGTTTGGCAGAGCGTTTCTTCTTGCGTTTTGTCTTCTTGGACGAATCACCGCCCAGACTAGACGCAGACCCAGACTTAATTTCAGATCTAGGTCCTGACTGATCATCCGACTCCAACCCAGTCCCCCGACGCCCAAAAGCAAGTGCAAATTCATCATCCAAGGGCACGGCATCTTCCTCCTCGTCGCTGGGGAATAGATCACCGCGCGAGCTGAGGGAGTTCTCAGTCCCACGGGAGGATTGCGTCGCACTCCGGTTCCTACGATTCGGCGTAGGCGAAATCGGCATCTCATCATCCGTAGCTTCCATCAACGGTTCGTCTTCGTGCGCATAGCGTCGCGCACCGGGATGTTCTTGTAAATCAGCGGCAGACGGGCGGTACTTGACGCCTCTTGCGCCGAATCGCCAAGGAAAACGCTCTAAGAATCCCAGCAGCGACGAGCTTGGAATAACAGTCGGATCGACACGGTTGTCTGGAATGTGCACGGTGCTCCTGCGCCTTGTGTTGCGTGTCCCGTAGCTCATCCGCCGCGGGCGACGCGGCTGGTCGGCAGGACCGCGCGCCAGCCCGCTCCCAGCCAGCAGTCGGTCGAGTTCTCCTGTTCCCCAGCCTAGTAACCCATCGTCTTCTTCTTCGTTGTCCCAATCGTCGTAGAAATCGAAGTTCGCTTCTGCTTGGCCGCGGCGTCGTCGCCGGAGGTGGTCTTCCCGGCTCGGCAGGCAAGGGGCTGTGCATGCAGTGACACAATCTCCAATGGAGGTGAAGCAGGGAGAGATATAGTTGTGGGAGAAAGCGTATAGGCCTTCTTGGGCGGTTTCGTTGGCGGTCTCAAGGTTATGGGAGATCTGATTGATCCGCTGCCGGATGCGGGGGTCGCGCGCTCGTATCATGTCAACGGTGGGAAGGGGGAAGTTGGGAATGATCGCGAATGTCGACACCACCGGCTATCGCCCGCGACATGGAACAATCAACGGGAGTGTAGACGATGTCATCTCAGGTTTATGTCAGCCGGCACGTGAGATAGCTATCCGGGGTAAATTTCGTGAAGATCTCGAGATTCTGAAGCCGATTGAGTCGGAGAATTTGAATTGTTTCTTGTTTCTTGTTTCTTGTTTTGTTTTGCTTTGTTTTCTCTAGAAGATGGTCTACTATGTTCGGTTCTTGAAAACACCCCGCATTCAACAGCAAAAGGGAGTTGTCTCCATCACTGCTCTTATCTGCATCACCACCGATCTGGGCGACTCGTTTTTGGCCGAAGATGTCGATCTGGTGGTAATTGTCCGCGAAAAGGGCGGTAAAATTGCTCTTGAGAAGCAGACCAAATGGAACGCTTATAATCGCGAGCTGCCCATCACTCTCAGCCCTCTTCCGGCTAAATTGGCCGGCAAGACTCTGGAATTGGAGATCGATACACCAGAGCACCAAAGGTCCACCCCACTCGAGACCGGCCCAGTGCCATTGGTGATGGGCGCAATCAGCGCACCGTTCGGACCTCAATCCGCACCGGCTGCTAAGCTTGTTCAGCGGATCATTGTCGCTCCCGGTGTACAGCTACCCGTTTGGGAAGAGACTGGAAACAGCATTGCCCGACATATCTGGTAAGTCAACTCTCTGTACTTCGACCCCCAGCTCGAGATTCTAAACACGGCTGTTTCAGGGATGCAGGCCTCGCGACCGTTGTCTATCTGGGTGAGACTCTACGAGGGATGTCTAACAAACCCCCCGCAGAGTCAAAGATGCCCGCATTGGAATCTGTCCTCTCCCGCGGCGACCGATCCATCCAGGTAGTCGAGCTCGGTGCCGGGTGTGGAATCGTGGGCATTGGCTTGGCGCAGATGCTCCCCAACTGCTCGGTGTTACTCACGGACCTCCCCGAGGTTGAAGAAATCATAACGCGCAATATTAATTCAGCCCGCCAAGCCAGCGCGTCCAGCGTTAGGTATCAAAATCTGGACTGGGAACATCCCCCGGAGAACCTTTGCTCGCAGCCTATTGAGCTGATCCTCGTCTCGGATTGTACCTACAACGCTGACAGCTTGCCTGTGCTGGTCTCTTGTCTGGACCGATTGGTTCGGGCTTCCCCCGGGGGCCCTTATATTGGTGTCTCTTAAGAGACGGCACGAGAGCGAAACCGTGTTTTTCGAGTTGATGCGTTCAGCCGGATTCAGCTCGGTGCAGGACAGCATGGAGCTTCCATCCGAACATGAACAAGTGGATGAGATAGAGTTTCACTGTTATAGTCGAGAATATAAGAAGGATGTATGAAGGCTGTCGAGAAGGATACTACGTATTTGACAGCGTACAAGTATTTGCACTCGGTATACTCGGTATTTTCGGTGTTCGCGGTACGGAAGATTCTCATACAATTGCCCATACAGTCACCGGAGGGCCGTGCGCACTGCGTCATTTCCCACTTTTTGCGGGTCTGGCCCTTTTTTTTTTTTAAAGCTCCGTTTTGTACTGCGTACGAAGTTACCGTAATTTTGTATTGAAGTGTGCACAAGGTAAGTCTCAAGGTCAGTACGAAGTACGAAGTGTAAGCATATGCAGTTGCCCAAGTGAATCTCATATCAATCTCTCGCCAAGTGATCAGCCCTCGTACCTACAGCTACCATTGTACCTTGAAGTAACTGTACCTGGATCGAAGGGTAAAGACGCATAGCCCTGTATCGTCCAACTAATCAGAGGAAGTATAGAGTAGGACCATGACCATACACCGCAACTCATACGGAGTACCCTCGCAGAAACCGGGATTGGACTAACTGTACGGGACTAACTGCATAGAGGCCGGGATGCGCCCAAAAATAACCAAAATAACCAAAATAGTGCAAAGAAGCCAGAACACGAAAAAAAAATGGCGCATAGGCTGTCAAACTGGGAATGAGAGCGAGAGTTGTGGCCTAAACCCCCGAAAAAAAACTGCTGTACGTAAGCAGGGTCGCTTTTTTTCCCCACGGTCCGTCATCATCTTTTTTTCTCCATCCTCATTTTTGAGTAGCAACATTCAGGTGAGTCTTTTTATTTCTCCTTCGTCCTCTCGGTTTGCTGTGCCACTCTGCGCGGTTTGTTTCCCCCCAATGGATCTTGTGTGCCCTAGGCCCACCGCCTGAAAGGATTCTTTGACAAATTCCCTCGAGCCCTTGCGTTTCGTCCATCTTATATCTCTCATAGCGACCGAGCTACGAAGATCTACCGCTAACACTGTGACATTGCTCAGATTTGGTACCTTGGTTCCATTCTCCCCCTCAGCTCGACCTTGCCTTTGGAATCCCCAAAGGCACTTCGGTCACCACGGCTCCAGCAGCCTCTTTCTTGCTTCTCAGCCAAATTGTCTCCACTCGACGTCTCCGCGACACTCTTAACAACATTCCACCTCCTGGTCTTCGCTGAACTTTCGTCCGGTGCGCCTTTTTTCGTCCCTTTGACGTCCCCGGAGATTATTCCCTCGTCCTCTGAGCTGCCGCATAGGACTTCTTCGAAGGTTCTTCCTCTTCAGGGGGAAGGGTCTAGGAGGCTTGGTCCAGTCAACTACGGTTGTGACACTTTTCGTCCTCCCTAACGCGCAGTCGCCTGCCAGTTAAATACTTTTCTACTATTACTACTTTTTTTTTGTCTATTTCAACTTGTGCTGAGTCGCAGCGGCATGGTTATGGCACCCACTGCGTGTGTATCGACTGCCGAAGTCCGCACTGTCAAGAAGGACTTTGCGAGGAGCCTGGACCATCTCGGTCTGGTCAGCAGTCATGGCGAGGACACCTTGTCGCAATCTTCGTTGACTGCCAAGGAACTGGTGTTGGAGGTGTTGAAGAAGCGTGCAGCGGAGGTGGATGTGGACCACTGTGGCCCCGGGGAGGAGGATGCCTTCTATGTGGCAGACATGGGGGAGGTCTACCGCCAGCATATGCGCTGGAAAATGAACTTGGGCCGTATCAAGCCCTTTTATGGTAGGTCTTCCGCCGCTGGATCGGACTTCGAATCTTGCTAACCCAGAACCTCACAGCTGTTAAGTGCAACCCGGATCCCGAGGTTCTGCGCCTGATGGCCCAGCTTGGAAACGGTTTCGATTGTGCTTCCAAGGCTGAGATCGATCTCGCCCTTCAGACGGGCATCGATCCCAGCCGTATCATCTATGCGCAACCCTGCAAGACCAAGTCTTACTTGCGCTACGCTGCTGAGGTCGGAGTCAAGCAGATGACCTTTGACAATGCCGACGAACTGTACAAGATCAAGGCAACTTTCCCCGATGCGGAGCTCTACCTTCGCATCCTGACGGATGACTCGACCAGCCTATGCAGGCTGAGCATGAAGTTCGGTGCTTCCATGGATCTGGCCCGCCCGCTCCTCGAACTGGCTTACAAGCTGGATCTGAAGGTGGTTGGAGTCAGCTTCCACGTCGGTTCCGGCGCCGAGGATCCTCGAGCCTTCCTCAAAGCCGTCCAAGATGCCCGCATGGTCTTTGACCACGCAGAGGAGATCGGTCACGAACTCCACACCCTTGACGTCGGCGGTGGCTTCTGTCAGGATTCCTTCGAGAAGTTCGCTGGCATTCTCGGTGAAGCCGTGGATTCCTACTTCCCTCCGAATATCCGCGTCATTGCCGAGCCCGGTCGCTACTACGTGGCTACCGCTTATACCCTGGCTGCCAACGTCATTGCCCGTCGCGATATCCCCGACCCGGTGGATCCCTCCCGGGACGCATACATGCTGTACCTGAACGATGGCGTCTACGGCAATTTCTCGAACATCATCTTCGACCACCAGCACCCTATTGCCCAGGTGCTGACTTGCGCTTCCGAGGGCCCCCAGTCTGGTTCTCCGAACTCTGCGACTTCGGAGGAGATCACTTACTCCATCTGGGGCCCCACCTGTGACGGCATTGATGTCATCTCGGAGCGCATCAACCTGCCTGGCCTGCTGAACACTGGTGACTGGCTCTACTTTGAGGACATGGGCGCATACACCAAGTGCAGTGCTACTCGCTTCAATGGTTTCTCCGACAACCACGAGGTTATCTATATCTCGAGCGAAACGGGCGCCTCTGCTCTCCTCGACTACTAGTCGTTCTTTTCTTTCTTGCTTGAACATTTTTGGAATTCATACGCTTTGAGTCTTCGTTGGGATATAACTTCGGTTTGAGTTCTATGCGTCGGGTCTAATATTGTATCTATTTTGCGTTCTTGCTGCATATGCCACTGCTTATTTTTTGCCATCTAGATTCTCTTAGAATAGAGTCGCCCTGGCGTTGCATCTGCATTGGCCTGATTTTCCTTGTGCTCTTTTTGCGGTCATCTTATTTGTGCCGTTGAGCTCGACACCAAAAAGTCTAGACATTCATTTGATCATTTGTACATTTGCTCTATCGTCGCGGTCTTAAGGTATCTATCTTTATGAACAAAAATCACATCACACATCACACATCACGGCTGTACATAGGCTGGAGCACCCTACTCCAGAATCTAGACCAATCGCTCCACACTGAGCTCTCCCTCGCCCTCGCTCGTCTGAACCAGGCCACCTGCTTCGAGCTTCTTCTTCCACTTTGTGGACTCATACCGCGCAAGAATCAATGTAACGCGAGCCGCAACACCTGGATCCGCAGACTCAGCAACCACAGCGGAGGGTGTGCACGTCCAGCGTCCAAAAGCCCAATTCAAAATGTAATGCTGAGTCCCCGGCGTATGAATCTTCTCTCTCTTCTGCATATCATCCGATGTCTCAACCGGAAGATTCGAGTTCTCACACCTCACAATGCCCTTAATCCGATAAACCTCTTCTCTGGGCGCAGCAGAAAGGAACTTCTCAAGCGCAGCGACATCAGTCACCCCAGAATCAGACTTCAGCACAACAGACAAGACCTCAACCTCAGACTGATGATCATGCTTATGCTTATGGTCATGGTCATGGTCATGTCCCTTCTCAACCTCATCATCCTTAAACAAAGCCCCATCAATCCCAAGCAACACATCCACATCCACACGACCCTTATTCGACTTCACCCAAGGCGTCTCAACCTCCAAATCTCCAACACGATCAAGCGCAATATCAAACTTCTCAGGCAAATCCTCCCACTTATTAAACACGATCAAATCAGTGTACTTTGCCTGAATCTTCGCCGTATACGAGGTATCCTCATACCCTTCCCAGTTTTCAACATCGATAACACTGATTACGCCGTCGAGCACGAAGTGTCCTCCTTCCCGCGCCAGCCGATTCACTTCCATCGCGAGAGTTGCGGGGAATGCGCTGCCGCTTGTTTCGATGACGATGCGGTCGGGGCTCACTTCGGAGCGGAGCTGTTCGAGGGCATCGCTGAGTTGGCCGACGAGATTGCAGCAGATGCAGCCGTTTAGGAGTTCGCGGACGCCGCTGATGGATTGGGTGGAGGCGAGTTGGGAGTCGACGGCTACGTCGCCGAATTCGTTTTTGAGGAGGGCGAGTTTGTAGGTTTTTGGGAGTTGGGGGATGAGGTTTAGGAGGATGGTTGTTTTGCCGGAGCCGAGGAAGCCCGTCACGATGGTGATGGGGATTGGGGCCATGGTTGCTGGTATGGTTTCGGGGGTTGGTTGCGAGTTGCGGTCGCGCGATCTGCGGAGGGGTAGTAAGCCCTGGTTTTGGTGCCCTAGTTTCCTGTTTGGGGTCATGGTTGGGTTCTATTTAAGTCATACTCCGAACTTGGGGTCAACGCTGTGGACAGAGGTTTGTATAAACCTGTACGAGTCGAGTTTCCTTTTTTTTTAGGACTTCAGCCATCTCAATTTGTTGGAAAGAATCGAGCTCTTGGGAATGGTCATATCAGGTTAGTATCAGCCCGCAATATAGAAACCACGTCTTTATTTCAACATTGTTCACGGAGATTATAGCCAAGACCTTTTGATTCCAAGGTTTGTCGAAGCAATGTGAAATATTGCTATAGTTATAAAGTAGAAGATTTGGCTCCGTCGATTCTAATGCAAAGAAAATATCCATGGATATTTTCAAGATCTTAGCCTATCTATCCCAAGGGTTCAAAGGTCTACTCCGAGATCAGAACCTTGGAATCATTAAAATCTTAATTTTTAGATTCTTCGAATGATCTTGTTTCATTGCTTGATTCGCTCTATCTTTGATTTCAAAACCCTAAAAGTACTCAAATTCAGACACCTGGCCGCGCCCCAACGCGGCTCTCATACTTGTGAACGTCATACTCTCTGGTACTGATGGTGATAATATAATAGCTGATCAAGACCTCGGGATTAAAGATGTTAGTTCTTCGCTGGCTCGCTCTCGACTACGACAGTGTCTCTTTCCTCGTCACTGCCCTCCTGAGATGACAACTCGACATCTTTCCTCTGTTCCCTGTTTCCATGTATTAGTACCGTACTTCATCAAACCGTGTCGGATATTCTTACCTTCGCCATATGACTATTGAAGCCATGAAACCCGCCCATAGCAGGAGGAAAAAGACAAACGAAACGGGCCAGCCCTTTCGCCATCTCGGTGCACCGTCTGGTCCGGCTGTCGGATATGCTAGCAAAGGGACCCAAATATTGAAGGAATAACCAAAAGACATCATTGCTCCCTGAGTGGAGAGTCAGTAAAGCTTTTTATTGGAAAGGCTTGCACAAGAACTTACCATAATGAGGGCGCGCTCTTCGGCATCGTCTCGGCAGATGATGTTGATGGTAGAGTACAGAATCGGACTCAAGCATCCAGCTGCACCTAAAAAGTACCAGGCGACAAACCTTTTGTCCGGATTAGTTGAATTGTATGAAACATTCGCAAGACGAGACTCACTTCAGCGTGGTAGGGATGTTCCAAACAATCATGCATAGAGTTGAAAACAGACACAAAGCAGATGCGATGGTATAGATAATCCATTCGGGGTAGATAGCTGCCAAAGTGGTACCTAACCATGATGCCACAATGTTAATCGCGTAAGTCACTGTCGGCAGTTGGTTTATTTGAGTCACAGAGTATCCCTCTGCTTTCAGCCACAGGCTCATATAGCTGCTTGGGTAAGAGCAGATGATCATGCATCTAATTGCGTATTAGCATCAAAAATCAGTCAAACGAAGCGTTGTAAATACTCACGCGTAACAAGAAATGAATACCCAGATATGCCATCTCTTGAAGGTCCTCTTGAACACATCCAGAGTCATCTTTCCAGGCTGACGAATCTTCGCTCTCTTCGTTCTCTCCTTTGCCAACGCGATATCCGCTTCAGATAAATAGAATGGCTTTGGTGAACCAGGGATACCAGGGAAGATCAGGAACCCGATCAGTGCAACTGGAATAGTGAATATTCCATCAATGATAAACAGCCATCTCCATCCAGGCATGCCTCCAACACCGGACAAATTGGTGTATGCAGATGCTTGAAGATACCCACTGACCATCGTGCCGAGGGGATTGCAGATGAACCATGTACCGGCTCGCTTGAACAGCTCGGGTCCTGTATACCAAGATCCTTTAAATGGTCAGTACTGCATGGGGGTCATTCCGATGCAGACTCACCGAGAATAAAATGGGTTCCGGCGAAGACGGGGGCTTCCAGAGCACCGACTAACACGCGGAGAGCGTAGAGTTGGGTGACATTCGTCACTCGGGATTGGGCAAACGTGCAGATGCCCCAGAGGATTTCCAGGGTCGGGAGGAGCCAGCGAGCTCTGTGGATAATTAGCATGCGCAAAAGGGTTCCAACTATCTGGACTTACAGTTTCGGTCGTGACATCAACAGCAGCCCTGGAATTTGGAACACTACGTATGATGTGTAGTAGCAGACGTTGAAGTAGTTGAGCTCGTTGCCGTACAGACCAAAGTCTTCTTTTAGTCCACTAACGTACGCATTGCTGATGTTTGTCTGATCTATACATAATCAGATTTATGCTGAGACTGGTTCATGAGCGAGACATACCGAGGTATTTGACGAAGACTGCGGCTTTTAGATATGATCTATTTCATTGGCATTGTGCAGGTACTTACAGCATAGACACGCAAAGACCAAAATGGACAAGTCCAGCTTGAACAACAGTCTTCGAAGATCAGCATAAGCATGTAATTTGATTTTTATCCACTCACTTTCTCTCTTCGGAGGGATAGGAAGATGGATACCAGTTGAAAACCTCTTTAATGAGACCCAACAGGGACAATCTCCCAGCTTTGGACTTTTGATCAGACATGACCGACGAAGCCAAGCGATCCAAAATCAAATATTCGAGTTGATCCCAAATTCGACGGGAACTGAATTCCTGGCCATTGAAACTACTTATAAACAAATGTTGATCTATTAGAGCACTAGAGCACTCGAACTACATTGAAAGAAGAATATTAAGCAATTCCCCCACCCACTTTCACCATAATAGTGATCTAGATCGTCTTAAAAGAGACCAAAAGAGACCAGAATGTATGTGAACCCGAGACTAAATGTTCTGCCGTAGACGACATGCCGCTGACTGATTGCGTGCCCTACGACTTCAAAGCCGGAAATGAGCCGTTATCGCAGGCCTCTGGTGGTATGTTCATGGCGTGCTTTGCGTTACTCTTGCGGGGTTCTCGGAGTGTTTGTATCTATCCCTCGGATGGTTTTTCTTTGTATACTTCAGCTAGAAATATCCTCCATTTCCGGGCGACAGTCTTAGTAGCAACCACATCCAATAATCAATATGCCCGGCAAGTACATCGAGAAATACGATCAGGTCCCTGTGACCAAGGAGAAGCGTAAGCAAAGCATTTTTGAAATCATGCCTTGTATCTAGCTAATGTTGTCTAGTTGATTGGGCTGAGCTGATCACGCTCGATCTTAGCCAGTATGAGCAGCCCGGTGGCAAGGAGTCTCTAGTTAAACAGTTGGACCACGCAGTCAGAAACGTCGGTAAGTTCTACTCTCTGAATGGTCGCGATTGACAAGTTCAAAGCAAATGACATCCCGTGTCACTGTATACTTTGAAGATCCCCGCGCTAAACCTACTAGGTTTCTTCTATGTCAAGAACTTCAATATCAGCCAAGAAGAGATCGACAACCAGTTCGCCCTAGGACGCGAATTCTACGCTCTGCCACTGGAAGAGAAACTCAAGTTCCACAGCGCCAGTGATCTCGCAAGAGGAGAATACAACTCCTACCGCCCAGCCGGACACCGAATGTAAGTCACCACGGGAATGTCTGCGGTATCGTCACTAACATACCAGCTACCAGTCTGGGCAATGGCATCAAAGATAACGTCCAGGTATACAACCTGCCAAAGTTCGATGGCTACCACGAAAGACCCCAGCCCTCCGTTCTCGCCGATAACATTCAAGAGATCGAAGCCTTCAGCCGAGTGAGACGTAGCCAACCCCTGCTATTGAAGTCACCACTAACCATCCACAGAAATGCCACACCGAAGTAGTCGAAAAGCTACTTCGTCTCTTCGCAATTCTCCTCGAGCTCCCTGACGAGGACCAGCTCGTCCGTGACCACCAATACGACGTCAAGGGCGAAGACCACCTGCGCTATATGCACTATGCCGCGCGCAGCCCAGAAGAGAACCAAAAGGTCGGCGAGCTTTACAGCCCCGGCCACACGGACCTGGGAACTGTGACTCTACTCTTCCGTCAACCTGTCGCGGCTCTGCAGATCCTCAACTCGGAGGGGAACTGGAAGTGGGTGCAGCCCCAGGATGGAACCATTACGATCAACACCTGTGATGCGTTGACGGCGCTCACGGGTGGTTTGATCAAGTCGAGTATTCATCGTGTGCATGCGCCGCCTGCCGACCAGGCTCATATTGATCGATTGGGAGTGTTGTACTTTGCTCGGTGAGTTCTTGTTTTGTTTGTTTGTGATCGTGTTCGTTCTGACTTTCTTCGGTGTAGGCCTAATAACCACGTTGTGCTCGATCCTATTGCGAATAGTCCTGTTTTGCAACGGTTGGGACTCACTAGTAATGCTTTCACGGAGCTTGGGCAACATCTGACCACGGAGGAATGGGTTAAGGTTCGACAGACTCAGCAGCAACGGAAGAATAAGGAGGTTGATATTTCCAAGGATGGGAAGTATACTTATAAGCCGAAGGACCTTGAGATTCTCCCTGGTCTGCAAGCTGCTATCTATAACTAGTTGACAGTTATAGTCCTGTTCCAGGTTGAATCATGGAATCTCATGGCTATTATTTCAGTCCTTCATTAGACCCAATTAGTGCTGAGTAGGTGAAAAGAAGGGTCCGGGTTGGACCCGATCGATCGGAATGCGAGTGGAGTACGCTTTAGACTTCTTTGCCTTCTTTTTATACTTCTGCTCCAGGGCTGCTTACTTTCCACCTGTATTCTTGGCTTATATTTCTCATTCAGATTGCTACCATTCCAATAAGGCCTCGTGATAACCTTGAAACACTCTACACTGCACTCGACCCCAATCTCCGACACGAAGCCAAGAACAATCCCCCGACAGTGGAACCCCAACGACGTCATAGGGATCGACTGCCAATGACGGAGTAGTTGGCCGCGTTTGTCTCTCTGAAACAAGGCGAGGCAGAATACGACTGCCTACTCAATGTCGATCACCCCCAAAATAGCCCCTCAGCCCTACGTCAGGCTCAGCCCTACGCCCAGTTATCTCCCATGTCTTTCCCGGAGTCCAACAAGTTCTCCCACGCCAAACACCCCAAATACTTTAGAATGGACAACCCTCCCCAGATCCCCGCACAAGACCCCGAAGCACGCGAGCAGCGCAAACAGTCCGAATTGGCCGATTTCAACCACGAGCAAACGCAAAGACCCAGCTCCATGGCATCCGGCAGCTCGGTTGCGGACTTTGGAAATTCGGTTTCGTCCCTTGCGCAGGAGAGCGCAGGGGTCGTTAAGGAGACTGTTGTCGAGGGAGTTCCGAAGGCATTGCATGCTGTTCAGGAAGGAATCTCTGCGATTGCGGGCGGGGCGAAGGAGGTTGAGGAGACGGTATCTGACAGTGAGTTCTGAACGGGAGATGGGAAACAGAGGACCAAAAGACTGGAACTGACAATTATCAGATTTGAGTGCCGAGTCGCAGGCCGAATTCGAGCATATTGACAACATGTCCAACGAGCGAGTGTGTGATTTCCTACGTCAGAAACACATGAGCAACACGCATCCACGATCCACGAACTAGAACTCGATGCATGGGATATTGGCGTTATTCTTCTCCATTGACTGGAAGATCTTCATTCAGCTTCGTTTCTTTTCTTCTTCTCTGTTCCTTTTTCGTTTCTTCGGCATTACAAAATGTCGCTGATTTCTCTCCGGACGGGATCCTTTTGAGTATGTACCATTAAACAGAGACTACAGTGGCAAATTGATTCCCATCTCCACCTCTCAAATCTCAAAGCTCAAAGCTCAAAGCTCAAAGCTCAAAGCTCAAAGCTCAAAGCGCAGCCCGGAATCCCTTGTCGAGAGACCGATCCAAATCCAAGAAATCCGCTACCTGCCCAATATGATCGACACCCCAGAATCCCTCCTTCTCACCCTTGGAGTTGGTGCATTCGAACCAAGGCAGCCCAAATGCACCAGACGTGAATGACCGATCGGTATTCGCGCTCAGCAAAGCTTTGATCTCTGGTTTACCCATCTGCACCCGCGTTAGCTCTAGCCTGCGGTCGCATATGGTATTTCTACACCTGCACGCACTGGCTGCGTACAGACATGCAGACAAGCGTGTGTGGTAACTTGGTACTTACAGCAGCGATGACTTCCTGCGTCTCCTGCGCGCCTAGAACGCTCTCGACAAGGGGCGCGAAGCCCTCTGCGTCGCCGACGGTAGTGTTACCGTCGACCCAGAAAGAGTGGAAGATGGCGCCGATCACATCGGCGAGCTTCTCGGGGTTTCGCTGGGAGATGGCGCACAGGGCGCGTTGCACGGGGAGAGTGCGGATGGGGAAACCTTTGGGGAAACCCTCGATTATGGGGACGGAGAAGTACTTTGCCCAGCGCACCCGCTGTTGTCCCAGGTAGTTTTTCTTGTCTGGGGGGTGTTAGTTGGACTGGGTAACATGAGTTGGCTTGAGGTTTGCTTACTCTTGATGTTGATTGGGGGGGTTGTTGCCACATGCTTGCATCAAGCCTCCTAGGAAGATGGGAACATAGGTGACTTCACAGTTTGCGAAGGCTGGTGAGTTCTGTTGCAACTTGCGGTTAGTTTCGGTTCATGCATCGCGGGGGTAGACGGACCCGCAGAACGTGGAAGGCGATGTAGGCGAATGGGCTGACGATGTCAACGTAGAAGGTGATTTTTGGAGGTGCCATTATGAAGCTAACAGAAAAATATACTTGCAGTTGTAAGAAGGAGAGGTCTGTTTTAGCTAAAAGGAGCTAAAGGGGCTCCGCTAAGAGCAAGAAGCGCAGCCGAGGTACAAAGTTTCAAGGTTGCCACTGCTGATCCCGCGTCATCTCTGGGCTTCATCTTCAGATCGAATTATTGAGATCGGTTGTACCGAAACAACCTGATCATTTCGAGTTCTGGAAATAATCTCAAGCTGGACGTGGAATTAAAGCAGCTTTCAAGGTGAATGCCCTAATTTGTTACTAAAGGCGGCTGTGGCACAGACAGGCACCAACTCATGCGAAGTATGGAAACCATATAGAACTCTTTGAAATGGGTCAAATCGAACCAACCTTCGGAATCTCTTGGGTCATGGCATCTTAGCATCCATTTGCCTGGTGTGTTCACAATGAAGTAACCAAGTGCCACCGCCACCAAGTATATAAGACCTTAACTATGCCCCAAAGCCCCTGAGCTCTTCACAATCAAATCAAAATAATCTATCAAAACCACAAATATGACAGGCATCTCTGAAAACAACTTGCGCGCCCGATCCACCAGCATGTCCTCCAACCCGGATCTCCAATTCAGCAGCGATGCCGAGTCCGAACACGGCGTCAATCATATCGACCATTCAGTCGTCACCAAACGTGGTGCACCAGCCCGCCACTCGCGAAAGGAGCGCCATACCTGGAACAGAACTGATGAGCCATCGAGACGCGGAAAGACTGGCTCCAAGGGCCGATCTACTTCCCGACATTGAGACTTGAGATATGTCGGGTTGACCTAGTCATTTATGAAACGGGATTAGGGAACAAGGGTAGAATTCTTATAAAAATGACAGAACCAGAGAGAGAGAGAGAGATCGGAAATTCCCATGAACTTCTATAGGGCTCTAGGCAGCAAGTGTAGCTAAACACGAAGTCGAAGTAGAACCTGAAACCTTGAAATCCCATATTAACAGGTGTATCAATACGTACATATCATCGTAGATGCATCAGTTCTATCCCTGTTTAATGGTAGCGGTTCAGCATTATACTGGGGTTGTGGACCCAACAAGTCGGCGACCTGGCGACCTAGCTGCCTTTTCAAAGGCTCTCATGACCGCAAGACCCGCGACCGAGCCGGATGCAACGCGGTTATGACCTGGATGAAAATAAATAGTTAGCTCGACCGATAGCTAGCGCAGAAACAGCTGTATCTCCCAACATACCACCGTGTCGCACCCTCTCCCACCGAACGGTCTTGACTACCGCAGTGCCATCCTCTTGGCGAATTTCATTCTTCCAAATCTTGAGCTGGATGGGGTTTCCATCCTCGGCTTGCTGATGTACCAGGTTTCCTGGGGAAAGAGGGTTGTCTTCGCCAGTAGCGGCTTTCCAAACGGTGCGTCCCTCGTACCAAGGGATCTCAACGTCATCAAAAGCATGAACAATCGTCAGATCGAAGTCTTGGTCTGCATATTTCGCTTCATTGGCCATGGACCCAATTTCAGCAACGCCGGTAAGACGCGCGACTCTGCCTGCTGTATCCCAATGGTCCACGATGTGGCTCAGCAGCCACTTCTGGAAGCGGGGATATCCCATTAGTGGGGAGAGCATAGGAGGCGTTAAGCCTTTCAAGCTGTAGGATTGGATGACATTAGACAAGCTGCTGAATGGCGCCAGTAAGATAACTCCAGCGAAAGGCGCCGCATTCTTGATAGCTGGCTGCAGGGATTGTGGGTTAGAAGATCCAAAAGCAAAGCGCTCTGCTACAGCCGTTGTCACGGCAGTTCCGAGGCTTTGGCCCATGAGGACGATGCGAGAGGTTGGGATCTCCAGGGGGCCTGCTGTCAGGAAGTTCAGCAGGGACATGCCATCCGTGATGACGCCTTCTTCTGTGGGACTGCCCGTGCTGACACCGAAGCCACGATAGTCAATTGCGAAGACGTGGACGGGGTTATCCGGGGTTGACAGGCTAAGCACGGTGTGGTAATTATGCGGACGCTGAGCAGAGCCCAGGTGTGCTGCATTTCCATGGACTAGAGATCAGACGTGGGTTAGCTCACTGTAGCTTGAAAGTAGTCCTCGATCCACGTACAGCTTACGACAACTCGCGCATTGGGGTCATTTGCGAGGAGTTTGTATGCAGGTGTAGTGGTATAGTCGTCTGCAGGGCCCGATGGAGGATTTTCCATCAACTCCATCTCATGCTCAAGGCAGAGATGTAAGGGCATCAAGTGCCACCCGTAGATTGTCTCATTGTCCGGGGTCAGTAATTCAAAGGGTTGTATTTGTGTCTCTAGATCTTGATCAGTATGAATTTATAGGTACAAAGCCTGCACACGTACTCAGAAAGCCAAATTGTTCGACTTCGTTGACATCTTGCCAGAAAGCAGGGTTGATCTTGTTGGCATACAAGACGCTGTATCAGGTCAGCTTGATTCGTCGGTCCAGTACTCAACACCCATACAAACGCTGCACTTCTGGAAATGTCAATGAGCAAACAAAAAGCACATAGATCAGACCAGCGGCGGCCAAAGACCAGTAGGCCTTCTTAAATATGGGCAACATTGCGAGGAGGACGAGGACGTGACGGAGGTGAGCGGAGAAGATAAGCCTTTATCGCCTTTTCTTCTCTCCTCCGACACCATCCCATCTTCGACTCCCCGATCTTCCTCTCGATTCCAACTCGATCACTTTGACATTATATACGACAGTCATGGCTGAGAAGCGCAAGCTTCCACCGCGCGAGCGACGCGAACCCGCCAAAAGACGTGTCTCCGAGGCCACGCCGCAATCACACCGGAAGAAGGCGCCCACACCACGCGCTCCATCTCCAGTAGATGCGCCTTTGCCGACAAAGATCAAAGATGCAGACGTTTTACCTATTGTCCGCACGCGACAGCCTGAAAATCTCTCGGACAAAGAATATCAATCTATCGCTGAAAGGTTGGACGCGACCCGTGTTCAGTTAGAACCCGACTGACTTGATTTCTTTTTTCGCAGTGCCGTCCTCTTAACCTCTCTCGAACGGTCAAAGAAAAAATGGCTGAGCGATGGCATTCTCGTTCGCTATTACACTAAACCCAAGAAAACAAAGCGCGAACAGACCGAAAAGAAGAACCCATCGAAGGAGTCTATGCTCAAAATCGGCCCATGCGACGTCACCATCGGACCCCATCTATTTGACGCCATGATTTACGTTGTTAAGGACCCTAATGCGCCTCCATCATTGCAATACACCGCCCCTCAACGACCTCCCGGCGTTCAATGGGGCGTTCCCCATACCCCATACCGACCCTACGGCTCCCCGTCGACCGCGCAACGACCCGCTCAATATTCACCGGCCCCGGCCGGGCGACCTGGATACCCAGGCAGTCAGCCCTCGCCGCAACAAAACCGACCGAACCAAAGCAATACGCCGTCATCTCAAGGGGGACAGCGGCCAGCGCAGGGACAAAAGGGCCCGAACGGCCAGCCAGCCAAGCCCAGTCCAGACCCTGTGATTCAGATGCTGGCCACAAGAGCAGCTGCGGACCCTGATCTCAAGGCACTGATGCGTGTTGTAGCATCGAGCCAGGCTTCGCAGGAACAGCTCCGGGCTTTCCAGGCACACATCGACGAATTGAATGCGATCATCAAATCCCGAGAGCAGCAAGAACAGCGACAACAATCAGCGACAGGGACGCCCACTCCAGCGCCTCAATCACAGTCTACACCCCAACCCCCACAGAAGCAAGAAGGTTCGGAGAAGCCAACCCCTGCGGCGCAAACACCTTCAACCACCGACCCGGTGAAGGTTAAGGAAGAACCCACACCCAAGAGCGTGGCTCCGTCTCAACCAAAACCGTCCAGCACAGTGCCAGCAGCCGCGCCGCCTCAGCCTGCGACTCCCGGTCCTTCAACCGTCCCACCCGCTGGGCCAACACCGGCACCTCCCCAGCAAACTCCGGCCATACAGCCTACGCCACCAGCACCAGCTGGGACACCACAGTCTGCAACACGCCCAATACCCCCTCATCCTTCTTTCCAGCAACCCTCCTATGGAACCCAACCTCCCATTCAATCCCGGCCCCCATTCTACGGTGCACCTGGCCAGTTCCCCCGGCCCCCGCCAATGCCCGTTGCCCCACCGCGTGTAAACTACAAGTCTGTAGTGTTCGAATTTACATCCCCATTGACGCCATACGGAAGCAGCACCTCAGGCCACGCTGGCTCAGGAGACCGCTACCTCTTCCCCGAACACACGATCCTAGAATGGCTTCCCGCCGAGAACACAGTCATCGCCTCATTCCTAGTCGTTCGAAAAGTCGACCCAAACACACCCTTCCCCCTCGAAACCGCCACAGAAGCTGCAGCCAAAAGCAAAGCCAAAGGCAAGAGCGCATCCAAAGCCAAGGGCGACAAAAAAGTGAAAGATGAAAAGGGCCAGCAACCAGCGCAAACCTCTACCCCAACCCAGCCAGCCCCAACCGACACACCCCAAAAACAAGAGCCCACAGACCCCGCCACACCAGGTATGCCCGGTACACCCTCCGAGGCCAACTTGAAAGAATACTACCAGCCGGTAACATTCCGCATTCACGCCCCGAATGCTAAGATTCTCGAGCCGCTGGCCCGCGTAGTCAAGCCGGCGGACGAGGTTCGGAAATACATGAATGAAATCATGGACCGCGCTGAACGCTCTCCGGATGGATACCTGGCGATGCAGCTTCCTCATGAGCAGGCTCAGGAGTCTGTGGATGGTGAAGCGACGCCCGTTTCTTCTGGTGCAGGCACCAGAAGCCGTCTTTCGCGTGTTCAGCTGGCGGAGGAGTCGGAGGTGGAGAGTACTGGGTTTGAATTCGAGGAGGAAGACGAGGATGATTTGAAGGAGTTTTATGATGCTCCCAGTGGGTTGGCGCCGATGGCGTAATTTACCCCAATGTATACCATATTTACAAGTTTTGATGTCATTTTCTATAGAATAATCACAGCCTTGAATAACGATGACACTTGATAGATTCAAGCTTCCAAGGTTGGTTTATTGCACTGGCTTTATACCTACAGATTACCTAGGTCCATACCAGATCTAAAACTCAACCTAAACCTTGGAAGAAGCAAACTACATAGTGTAGTGGGGGGGGGCCTTTGGTCTCTCGCCTATTGTTACTGTCGTAGTACGGAGTACCTGCTTTTTTATATTGACGCTATTGTTAAACCATCAGCTGTTTTGCTATTGAGCAGGAATTTGATCCCTGAAAGGCGTAAGAGACGAGATTTACTATATTACAGTGACTTTGACATAACTATAGACTTTGATAGAAACTTGTATTGAAGATCACAATGGATTACCTAGGTACCCATGATGTTGGCAAGTTTCCATATACATAGCCTCAGAGCCACACAGTTCATGATATACAGTATAGAGAACCTTGGAATATAAAGAGCAATCAGACATTCAGCTCTAAAGCTAGATATCCGAGCCTGGCTCCAGGGCTGCCTTCATACTCTTTATGCTTGGATTTAGCATATCTAACATGAAGAAATTAGATCCAAGATTCAATCTAGCTGGGGGATAAACGAAGTACTTACCAAAGAACGAGTGGTGCTTCACTAATTGTGTATCACTTTTTCTTCGTCTCGGTCGTGTTGGATGCAGGCTCGTCTACCCACAACCCCTTTCTCACTGCACACCGGTGGCAGTACAATTTGGGGCCTTTGAAAGGTAGACAAGGCTTGATATCGTTGCACGGGCCATTGCATCTCACACTCTTGCCGTGAGTTCTGGAGCACATAATCAGTATATAACACCTACTAAAGAAGTCATGGAAGTTCAACATACTCGTATGAGATTTCGGATGAGTCCATGTTGATATGGGCAGATGAGATTGACGGTTTGTTCTTCAAATGTCTGTGATGCTTTGCTATAGTTTCGAAAGCAAGATACCAGGAAAGAATGGATGCTTTATAAGATAATCTCTGCTTCCTCTTCTCCCTCTCGGTCTCTGAAACCCCTCTTTGAAAGCTGAGCCCGGGTGAAGATGCTCATACATTAGGTGGTATAGGGAAGCACCTGCATAGAGAAACTAAACTGCTTCAGGTATATAGCCCCGAGAATACGACATCTTGCCCGGGTGTCGCTGACTATGTAGCTGTATGGAAATACGACAGCATTGTTCGATATAGATACGACATATCGAGTCTTGGCATTTCCATCACTTGAGAATCACCTCCAGGGCTCTATCTGTACACCATAATATCTTTAAGTTGAAAATAATGTTTCGTGATTGGTGTCAATTATGAGCCCGAAATCCAGAAATCTACGCCTTGCCCCAGTCCATGGGTGTACATAGACCCCTACTTCCCTTGTACGCACCTGGGCAACAGCTTCACTTTGCTTTTTCTTCTCAGCCCCGTCTGGAACTCACACATAAAAGCAAACATGATTGCACCCAACCTGAAAAAGCTACGTCATCTATCCTGCCGCCCCCTATTCCTCATGTCCACGGGGGCAGTGCCAACTTCTGCGGCACTGCCACCGCTATCATCACTCTCCCATATGTCGACAACCAAAAGGCCAGGTACGGCATTCAAAGTTCCGTTGTACGATGTCCGAGGCTATAAGCAGCTCCACGTTGTGCTTGAGCAATGTTGAGATTGCCCAGTGAAGTGAAGGGTAAACCTGGGGGTTCGGGTTTCCGCACTGATCGCGCCAACCGAGTTAGCCGCAGGTGCCACATTCCTCTGGGAACCATTTTCTATACATTTTGGGCTCTTTTTCGAATATTTTCTTGTCTTCCCTTCGCTAATTGGCTTCATTGTCCCTGTTACTGTCAAGGTCTCCAGGGCTGCTTTTTGCGTGTTACGTGATCTGAGATCAGGTGTACAGAGGTCGAGATCATGTGTCTGAGGCAGGAAATCCATAGATCTTGAAGATCAGAGTATCAACACTTGCATACTTCGACTCGGCCATTATATGTCTTCAAATATCAACTTTACCAACTTGCCCTGCACCTCATTGATATCCATCTGCAAGCCAGATACTTAAATTCAACGTCCGCTCCCTCCCAGAATCCCCGCCGCCTCCAAAATCCACCTCGCATTCTCATTCGAAGACTGATCCGCACCAGAAGTCTTGAAATTAACATTCCGCCTCCGTTCGGCCTCCCTCGCCTCGAACTCCCATTTCGCGCGCTGTATCTCCACAGCACTGGATCCGGAATCAGACCCAGCTAATGGATCAGGTACTACACCCCATACTTCCAAAGTGTAAAGATCAAGCACGGTTTTCGACGGCGCACTGTCTGGGGAAGTATCGGGCAAGAAGACGCCGTCGTGGCCCACTGGCGCGGTGTGGAACTCTGCTATCTCAAGGTTTCCGTCGATGAGAAGGCTACCTGCGCCGAGGGGTTTGGGTTTGTTGTGCTGTGTGCGCGAGGGCGCGGGTATTTGACAGCCGATTGCGATGCCGGTTGTTGTTGAGAAGTACGCTGGTGGGGTATTTGGTTTCTTTATTGATGAGGATGGGTTTCCTGGGAGGAGGAGGTGTTTGGGTGATAATTGGAATAGACATGGGAGGAGGTCTGAGGTGTTTGAAGAGGTGTGTGTGCTGTTTGTTTTCCATGCTTGGGGGAGGTAGGCGCCGAGAGTTATTAGTTCGTCGTTTGTTGAGTCCCTGCTGGATCCTTGGAGGATGAGGAGGGTTGCGGATTGCCAGGTTAGGACGTGGTGGGAAAAAGAGGTTAGAGAGGAGCCGTGGGCATTTTTTGAGAAGACGGGGTGGAGTTTGACGCCGCTGCGGAAGAGGTTTTGGCTAGATGATGATGAAGGGAGGAAGAGAGAGAGGTGAGATGTCAGGGTTGGGGTCAGTATGGTGGATTCGAAGCTTCCAGGGAGCATGATTGTAGCTGGTGGTGGGAGCGGCTCTTGTTCCTTTTCTGGCTCTTCTATCTCCGTCTCTGGCTCCGGCTCCGGCTCTGTCACTTGGCCTTTTTGGCGGTGCTGAGAAAGGTTCAGGTTCTTGCTGAAAAGCATGTGCTCAAACAGAGCAGTGAGAGGATCGAACAGGTAAGGCAAAGAAAGCGAAACCGTTCTTGCGAAAGTCTTGTATGAGATTCCATCATCGCTCTCCGGCGAAAAGGCAGCAATAATGCTGTCTGCTTCGCGCTGTATGTCCTCCATCCGCGCAGCATCCAAACCAGCCGTATAGACTTTCAATGATTCTAATGGCTTCAAAGGCGCAATAACCAGAAGCAGCATCAGTAACCGTCGGAAAGTATCAACAGAGATCCGGGTCTCGTAGACCGTCTTGTCGACTCGATGATCATGCTTGAAAACTTCGATCGCATCAAGCGACTCTAGCGCCGCAAGCGCAAGATCATCATCCTCATCTTCGTCGTAGTCATCGTTTGCCGGCTCATCTATTGAAAAGCCAGGTGCATGAGAAGTGCCGGGGCCGGCCCCAGCACCAGCTTCCGCAGCTGCAGCCTCAGCCTCAGTCTCAGTCTCGGTCTCGGTGGAAACGGGCATTTTCCTCCCCACGTCTGCCAGACTGCCAAAGAGCAGCTTGATGCGATCCTTATGTCCGCGTTTCAGCGCTTTACCATAGCGCTCGGTCAAAAGTACAACCACTTTAACCATAGCCTCGAAAGTCAAGACACTAGGCGCGAGTGTGTTCTGAAATGGAAACGCTCCTAGGTAGGAGACCATTCGAAAGATCACCGGGCCTGCATCTAAGGGCTGCTCCTGTGCAGAGGTGTGGATGCCATCTGGGATTCCGAGGAAATCCGAGAGTGTTTTCTCGTTCCAATATCGCAAACCTCCTTGTTCGGAAGCTCGGGAGAAGAAATTATCTTTGAAATGGGTAAGCTCGAGAGGCGTGAAGCATTTTGTGGCAAAGCGCTCTGCTAGCACGTAGCTTAATTCCTCTGTTGATCGTTAGATACTTGTACCAAGGACTGCCCCCGGTGTATGAGATGAAATGCCACGATTAGGGTCAAAGAATACAAACATGGTCATAGACGAGGTCATATTCTGTATCTAGGTGGCATATAATACTCACCTGGCGTTGCAGCATGTTCATTCGACTGAGCCGCGCCCATTGTTGTGAATGTGGGGGACTCCACAGTCTACTTGCAGGGAGGTTGGAAGCTGGGGATCGGGTGATGAAGAAGCAGTTCAGATGGAGAGAGGCTAGAGCTAAGCGGAAATACTCAGTCAAAGTATTAAAAGAGAGGAATTCGAAAAGAAAGGCCCAGAGCGAGTACGTAAGTGAGAGGTGACGACGTCAAAAGTGGCCTGAGGGTACACCCGCAATTAGTCTCCTTAATGCCACTTCCATCTTGGCTTCTACAAACATTCCACTGCCTTGTTGAAGTCGGATTCTTTCTTGAATATTATCTCGTCTTTTGTGCAACCTTTCAATTAGTTGCTACGACTGCGAGAGAAAAAAAGGGCAAACTCGTCATGACATCTGCACTGGCTGCTACAGAAAGTCCGAGGGGCTAGACTCCCGAGGTCTTTCAGAATGCCAAGATCTTTCTTTCTTCGGCACTTCACGCCATTGTTATATGTTCGAATTCGATTCGCTAGCTAGTTACAAGGCAAGAAAATTCGTGACCATTAAAGCATGACAATACCGACACCTCCCATCTTCGACTCATCCGGCAGGTTCTTCTCGCTAATACCACCCGCAATCGGTCCGGCTCGGTAGTTGTACAGGTAGAAGTGCAGCTGTCCATCACCAGCGCCGAACTTGAGCTGCTCGAGGAAGAGGGGGTTGTCGTGCGAGGTAAGCGCGTTGAAGACATCGAAGCGGGCCTAAACAGTTAGCGAGGGAACGTTAAAACAGTCACGCAAGATTAAAACATGTGTAACATACCTTCTTGGCACAGATCAAGGCATCGTTGATCAGAAGCTGCAGACGGTCCTTGAGAGCCTTCTTGTCATCGGTGAAGGCGGTCTCGGTGGCGTAGTAGTATAGATAGGCGGCGTGCACGGCTTCGTGCTTGGGGTGGTCGATCACTGTGGACGAGAGGTTGTAGAAGGAGACGAAGTCGGTGATTTTGTGGGTCTGCGCGTCCTCAACGACGTAAGACCACACGACCTGTTCCTTGCCAGGCTGCTCCTTGTAGACCAGCCAGTGCTCGATCTCTTCGCGGGTGAAGGCCTGGTTCAGATCATAGCGGCGCTGGTAGCGTTCCAGGAGATCATAGACGGCATCGATATCCTTGACTTCCATGGGACGCAGACCGGGGGTCAAGGTCTCGGCAGGGAGGTGGTTTTTGGTGATCATGCGGGCCTTGGTGGAACCGTGGGGGAGGGGAGAGAAGCCAACTTCGTAGAGCTTGAGCCAGTCCAGCGCGCGGTGGTAGTATCTGCAGGAGCTGACGGGGGGTGGGGAGGATGACACCACCGGTGTAGATGGCCTGGTAGATTCCCTTAAGGTAGCAGCGACGAGTGATTTCCTTGATCAGGACGGGAGTGAGGCGCTTTGAGCGCAGTTTCTTGTGAATGCAGAGGAAGTTGATTTCGGTGACCTTGATGCGCTCGCCGCGGACTCGGAGCTCGGTGGGAACACCTGCGATCGAAGCGACTAGCTTGCGCGACTTGGTGGCGCGCACACCGACGTGCCATTCCTTTCTCCATCCGGGGGACATAAGGGCCCTAATCTGGATTAGCGACTCTATCAATTAGAGCTCGGCGAGCGGATTCTTATCATACCAGTGCAGGAAAGATTCCGAGTAGCTGAAACGGAACATGGCATTGTCATCCTCCACGTAGTGATTGTTCAGCAGCTCGTACAGCTCCCGCAATTCCTCCTCGTTTGTCAGGTCCAGGGTGCACCATTCGAATCCCTCGATGAGTGTGTCAGGCGTCTTGGAAACCTTCTCGGGGTCGATGATCTTGATAGGTCCCTGGGTGATTTGCTTATTCGCGCCGTCGTTGAAGGCGGGGACGGGCTGTGTTTGCCAGAACTTGTAGGAAGCCATATCCTTCTGGTTCTTTCCTCCCAATGACAATCCAGTGAGCATTTGCGAGACATCCATGTTGGCCAGCAGGGCTGCAGCCTTATCCTTGTCCATGCTGGCGAGTTCTTGCTTTAGGGCGGGGTTTTGCTCCAACAGTAAAGTCGCGAGTTGAGGGGGAATCTTCTTGCCATCTGCGGTTGAAGGTCAGCGCGGCTTGGATTTCTATAGAGAGCGAACTCACTATCGCTTGAGCCGGAGGACTCCTCGCGCTTAGGCGTCTTGCCTTTATCAGACATTGTGTGCGGTTTAAAGGGTTGAAGAGGAATTGAAACTGGCCCCACGTCCGAAATGCCGCGGAAGCAAGTGGGGGGGAATTGGCCCTTATTAATACTTCATGCGACTGGCTCTCGCTCTAGACCTGCAGACTAGCAAATTTATAGATTTGGATATTATGGCGCTATCCTATGGACACGTTTCCTTTACAGACGAAGGGTTTGGTCAATAAATTCCTAGGAATGTCAGAATTACCAGCACATGACCATCGATTTAGTTCGAGATTCCATTCAACCACATCCAGGGCTTGTTAGCCAAAAGCTCATATACAAAAGTTGAGAATTAAAAGATGTGCCTGAATACACCGGGGCGCTAGTAGAAGGAAACAATACGTTCTATGCTCTCATTTCGACGGTAGAACTAAAGGGGGAATCGAAGAATTGTTGAAATCCACAAACACCTCTGCAATCCATGCTATTGAAAATGCACCTCTCAAGTGTTGATACAAGAATGAAAGACCTAGTCGTGCTCCGGGCATCCCATGGTCAAGAAATCATGAATCACCAGGCTTGGTCTCGATAACATCGAGGAACCCACCAACCAAATGGATACTACCAGTCACCAAGGTCATGACCGGCGCTTCATCTTTCTGGAGCGCATGGCGTTCCTGGCCCGCAATCTCGCGAGCGAAGTCAACAGCCTCTTCGATCGTACCAAACACGTGAGTTTGAGCGTGTGGGTCAATGGCATTCCACTCCTCGGCTAGCGATTTCTGGACGCGGAGAAGTTCAAGGTCATCGGCGTTGGTGTTCATACTGACCAGGTCAGGCCGGAAGCCCGCCTGTTTGTATGTAATGTTCGTGCAGAAGAGGGCGTGGGTGAACGGGGTATCGTTTGCCAGAGCCGTGGAGAGGGTCTGGTGGAGTGCCCGTGCAAGGGCAGTACTGTCTCGGGTTTGCTGATTGAAGATCAAAATGCGTGTCTTCTTGGCGGCAATATCCGTGGAGGATGAATCGGCCTGGATGCGCGAGGCAAACCATTGTCCAGCTAGCCGGATGCTCTCCAGCGTGTGTCCGCCATCGATGTACCAGGCTACGTTCTTTTCAAATCGAGCTTCGCATCGGCCACCGAGGCGGGTTTCCTCCAGGCCGGTCTTGAACTTCGCTGGAAGGGGTCCGTCCATAATATTCTCAGGGACATCCACACCAGCCTTCCGCAGGAACTCAGCTGCACTGGCAACCGCAACCGAGGCATTGGTGTACTGGAAATCACCCGCGAGGCCAAGAGTCACCTTGCTGCTATCGGAGCGCAGCTCGGGGTGGTTGGCCACAATGTCCAGCTGGGTGCCGGCCTCTTCAGCACGCTTCAGCAGGACTTCCTCCGCGGTCGGAGGTTGCGGCGCAGCAAACCCTCTTACATCGTGCTTGATAATTCCACCCTTGTGCCACGCGATCTGCTCAATCGTGGTTCCCAGCATAGCGGTGTGATCAATACCAAGACTCGTAATGGCAGTGACTTTTGGTTGCGGGATTACATTGGTACAGTCGTACTGACCACCAATGCCACATTCGATGACCGCAGCGTCCACACCCTCGCTGAGATAAGTGTGGAACGCCATGAGCGTCAGGTACCGGAAGTACTGAGGTTTTGTGCCCGGCGCGGTAGGGTCCTGGCCTCCAGCCTGAGCAGCGTGCTCGAGACGATCCCATACTTCGAAGAAATAGCGTGCGAATTGCTCCTCGGACAAAGGCGCATTGTCGATCTTTATGCGCTCGCGCGCGAATCTCAGATGAGGTGATGTATAGAGACCGATCTTGTGCAGCTTAGGTGCGGGCTGGTTGGGCTCTTCCTTGGTGTATTGGGAGAGAATCGTGGAGATGAATGCGGAGGTCGAACCCTTGCCTTTGGTACCGGCAACATGAACAGCATTTAACCGGTTGAGATCGGAGGGCTATAGACGTCACATTAGCTCCGCGTGCCCAGATAGAAGACTCTAGATGGGTAGCATGTACAAACCTTATACCCAATGCGCTGCAACCATTCAACTGTCTCCGGGAGCGAGCGCTCATTCATCTCCTGCCTCGACGTAGATCTCCGAAGCTCCTCCACAATCGCATAATTAGTCTGCAATGAGTTGAGAGCTGCAATTGCAGCCTGGTGTCATTCCGTTAGCAATTGAGCTTGTTCTCCCCGCCATTCACGGACCCGATCTCGGAGCATACCTCATATGTACGAGTCATAGTGGGCGGACGAGTTGAGACTCGGCGAGCGCCAAACTGCCAGCGAATAGAGGCCAAGATCCCTCTCATGAACGATTGAAGCCCGTGCCTGCAGATTCCAACGAGCAGGCGGGGTGTTTGCGAAAAACCCCGGCTCCAAAGTTTATGGTTGCTTGGTTGCTACTCTCCTCGGGAAACCGTCAGCCCGTTGATCGGGAAGATCACGTGCCCTTATCTATAGGTCTATGGCAGGTCAATCTAACTAACCTTGGAAGTATTTTGGGTATTCTGCCGGCCTGGGTATATGTTATTGTCTGAAATTTGGCCGGCAGAAATTAAAATCACAGAGTTCCAAGGCTATCTACTAATGTAGTCTCTTTATTCAGTGAAGGGCCAATTTTCACTGCTATAACTACAACCTGGAGTAGTTATGCGGAGTAGTACCCTGGGAATCTTCACTTCAGAAAAACAGCTAAACCAAAATCAAAGAGAAAAAGCTTGGAAGTTCAGACAACTAGGTAGAGTTATTGAAATATAGCAAACCTTGGAGAGATAATACTATGAACTGTAAGAGCTTTGATAAGACCTCGGGAGGCTTCCAGGGTTATAGACCGGGGAGGATATATAACAGAGATAGGTAGCCCTGGAGCGGTTGAAACTTTACTCATGGATATGCCGGGAGACCTACCTAGGTAGAAATACAACCCGGTGCCCAAGTGTAGCTTGTTGCCACTTAGTGGCCATAACCACAAAGATACTACGAAGAAAAGGAAAATCAAGCCGCCTTATCACAGCGCATAGGTGCAGGTGGTGTGACTATCAGAAAGTAAAAAGAAATGTTTATTGGGAAGCCGCCCAGTGGCAATTAGAACTGAATGGAAGATGAATCAATGAAAATAAGAGCCAGAGTGCTATCGGTAGTGGGGGTGAACAAGGTAATAAAACATAGAGGCCGTGAAGTGTACAAGGTGTAAGAAAGGCACCGGTATAAGAAAGAAATGATCCATGAACGCCGAGAGTCACCTATTTATTCAATCCTGGTCTTCCCTTCTTCCAAAAAGACGAGACGGGCATTGCTGATGCCGCGCTGGTGTCGACGGGCAGGAAGCCACTTGCCGATGAGTGGATCAGATCGGGCCTTGATGAGCGCATCTTGGTACCCCTCGGCACCAGCGACGGGCGTATTGAGCTTGGGCCAATTTACCTGGGAGCATGTTAGACAAAATTAGGCGGGGGGTTGCAGTGGGGAATGAACTTACATAGAGCATACCGTGTCCGTGCACGAAACGGAAGCAGTATACTGCCACCAACGTCCAGAAGATCATGAACAGGCGAAGGGGCCAGACAGTAGCGTCGGGCAGGCGTTTGGTGAGGAGGGCGACCAGAACCATGAATACGCTAGCAGCGAGGATGTAAGGAACTGACTGGATGACAAGTGGGCGCTGGTCAAGGAACAGTTGGATGTTGGCAAAAGTGGAGTCCGAAGGCAGGTAGGTGCCCTGGAACACGTCAAAGCCATCTTGTCGAGGCCCATCCATGAAGTTGTTGCGCACATATCGAGTGATAGAGTTGTTCAGATCTTGCAGCATACCCGCTCGGGTACGCTTGCCAGTGCGGGTGAAATCAGTCTTCAGAGCGCCAGTGCCGGAGTATGACTTGGAAACCACATCTGCGTTGTCGGCCCAAATATTGCGGAACAAGTTTTCAAATTCCCGGTCATCGTTCGCGGTCTCCCCGGTACGGAGAACGCCTGCGTCAATGAGCTGGCGCGTAATTGCCCAGCGACCAAGCATACTTTGCACCACGTTGGTGCGATCCAAACAATCCATGCAATTGGTACGAACAACACTTGTCTGTGTAGAGCGAGTATCCAACGGACCGTCTGGGGCACCAGGGCTCTCAACACCGCGGAAGTACCCACCCTGGACCAGGCCGTCATTCAAGCGGCCCATCAGCAGTTCCGCACGATGCCACTTGAGACCCTTTGTCTCATTATGGAAGTCAAAGTACACATAGTGCAATCGATCCATTTCTTTCTGCTTGGAACCAGGCTCCAGAACATGCAGCTTTTCAGGGGTCAAATCATCAGTTTCAGTACTCTCAGAGGAAGAAGAAACTAATGTGCGAACCAGCTGCTCGTATGCCCGTTTGACACGCTCCTCCCTGCCCTTTTGGTTCACGAGGTTGACCAAGTAGTTTTCTCCGTAGATCCCAATTTGCTCGGAGAAATGCTTGCGTGCGGCTTCGACCGCTGTCTCGACGCCCCGAACCTGGAGCTTTGGTGTGTATTTCAGATCATTAACTTCGGCCCAGAACACAGGTACACTGCCTCTGGTTTGCACGAAAGAGTAAACCTGCAGGTCTTGGCCGGCTTTACCGCTGGTCATCGACTGACCACCGCCAAATCCAGAAAGTCCACCTTTGGAATCGTTCAAAATCACAATTTGCTCAGTCTCATTGTAGTTCGACACATGACCCTGTTCATCAATTCCACGGGTGAAGTATCTGGTTCCCGCTCTGTGTCTGGCTCGCCGAGTGATAAGGGCGTAAGTGAATGATGTGGATTTCACCTTGGCAGGAGTGATGCGCAACATGCCGAACATCACTGGCAAAATGTAAGGATCAGCTCCAGGCTGGGGTCCATATCGAACACCACTTTTATCGTTTGCTCCCACGCTGAAATCAATGAGGTCCGATTGAATGAATCGGTTCCAGAAGAAACGGTCGTCTGCAGTCTTCCACATGGGGACATTGGGCGGGCTCTGGGATTGGCGCTGGAAGTTGTTCGTGATGTCCAGAGAGTAGGAGAAGTACATAGGGCCCCTTCGCAGCAGGTCCTTCACAAGATTGAGGTAGGCATCTTCATCGGTGTCGTGGAGTGGTCGTTCGCGCATAGGGAGGAACTCGGTTCCCGCAACCTTGTAGACCATGTGGCCGCGCAAGCGGCCCATGGGCTGCGCTTTGGTAATGACGATAATGTACTTGTCTAGGCTTGTTAGCGCAACCTCCTGAGTATCTGCATGGGATGGTATTTACCAAGCTTTAGTTTCAGAATTCCCAGGATACCAGCAATACTGGAGATGCGCTTGGCACCTGAGAGGGGTCCATCGTTCAAGCGCAAATCACCGGATGGTCGGTCCACTACCAATGTAGGTGCCTGGCGAGAGGAGGGCGAGGTAAATGCATAGTGAGAAGGGGAAGCATGTAAGTTAATATCCCGGAAGGGAAGAACGGGGGAGCCATGGTATGGCTACAGAAGCTCCACAGAATAAGAAGAATCAGGGAGAAACGAGCATCCAAAGAAGTCAAGAAGTCAAGAAGTCAAGCACAAACACATGAACCCGCGGGTTGTTCAGGGCAGGCGCGGGCCACTCTGGTCAATACAGCCACACCGCCCCGCTGCCCTTGTGGCTGGGCGTTCCGTCATCTATTCCTGTCTGCCTTCAGACGACTTCTCAAACACTTTGGATCTTCCGTCCATTTTACTGGTCTCGGTGGTTCTTTGATATCTGACTCATCTTATCTTTGTGCCTCCTTCCACCGTTATCCGCCACATCTTCCCCTGATCATGGCTTCCAGGCAAGCAGCAGGAGCCCGCCCGGGCGCAAGATTCGCTCAGTTTAAGCTCGTTCTTCTCGGTACGCTCTTCCATAGCCTGGGTCCTTTGTCTGCTGTGTCTTGTGGCTTTGCTAACATGTCGTTCATGCAGGAGAGTCTGCCGTTGGAAAGGTTTGAGATTCCGCTTGCGCTCTACTTTATCAGCCGCTGACTTGACCGCTACCTTCCAGAGTTCGTTAGTTCTCAGATTCGTTAAAGTGAGTCTTGGGTGATCTTGCTACGTCCCTCTCCGCGGCGAGCCGAGTATGAACAGCCTAGATATTGACAAGCTCGGTGCAGGACCAATTCGACGACTACCGCGAGTCGACAATCGGAGCCGCCTTCCTTACACAGACCATCTCTCTCGACGAATCCACCACGGTCAAATTCGAAATTTGGGATACCGCCGGTCAGGAGCGTTATAAGTCATTGGCCCCTATGTACTACCGAAATGCCAACTGCGCCGTGGTAGTCTATGACATCACCCAAGCGGTATGCTTCAGTCCTGCGATCTCCGGATGAGTCGATGAGGAATCTAGAAACTAACATGTGCTTTGTTCACAGTCATCTCTAGACAAGGCCAAATCATGGGTTAAGGAACTGCAGCGCCAGGCGAACGAGAACATTGTGATCGCGCTGGCCGGTAACAAGCTTGATCTTGTCACAGAGAGCCCTGATAAGCGGGCCATTCCAGAGGCAGATGCCGAAGCTTATGCGCGCGAAGCGGGCCTACTGTTTTTCGAGACCTCCGCCAAGTCCTCGACCAACGTAAAGGAACTTTTCACTGCCATCGCCAAGAAGCTGCCTCTGGAGCAAGCTGGCACCCGGAACCTGCGGACAACTCCTCGGCCCGGCGTTGACTTGCGCCCCGAGGCCCCTGGCACTCAAGGCGCCGGTGCTTGCAACTGTTAAACATGCAATTGCCGATAATCTGTGGGCCATCCGCACTTCACTCGCCATATGAGAAAGGTGAAGGCTACGCATTCTAGCATCACCCAGTGGTGATAACCCTCTGTGACTATCTTTGATTTCGCCAGTATTATTTAACCTGGCTCTGGTACCATTCCCCACCCGTTCTGGAGTTGAGAGATAGACTCTCGGTTCATGATCAATCTAGCTCTCTCGGACTTTCTCTGGTTCTTTCATTTTTGCCCAGCCTGTTCCATCGATGTTCGAGGCTCCCTGGTTGACAATATCCCAGTTTGCACAAAGGGTTGACCACGAGCGTATGTGGCCTCCGGCTTTAGAACAAGCTGCGGCAGGATTTGTCTGTGTTTGGCAGTGATTTTCCTCTTGTACTCCTTGGTCCTTTCCACCCGGCGTCTGCATTTGCTTTTTTTCCTCCTTCGTCCTATCGTTTGTTGGGCTAACTTTCCACTATCCTCGTTACCCTTTTCTTGTTTCTTCCACAATATTAGTATGTCATGCTCAAATAATACATTTTTCTCACCTGTATGTACAAACATTGCCCAAGTCGTACAGTAGCTTCGAAGGTCTATTCGCTCAGGTCTTACAATGATCACAGTCACAGCTCATTGTCACATAGCAAGAAGTGCATGTGTTAGTTTAGATGTTCCAAGGTTTGGAATTTGATCCCACGGGTCTTTAGATCCAGAATACCTCGGGAAGTATATAACACCCGCCAGGAGTGTTACTGACGTACCCCTCGACATCAACGCAAAAATCATTGGGAAAAAAAGGTATAATCTTAAAGCTCAAAGCATTTTCCAGGTGGAAAACCTTGGTTTGACTTGAAAGTATTCAATAGTAATAAGCTTCACTCGCATATTCCAAGGTGGTTAGTGGTGGTTGGGCCTATAGTTGGTGTTCACATGGTTCTTCACCAAATGGTTCGAGGTTCTGTTTATCAAGGCAAAAAAATGAACATATAAATGTCCAATTGGTAGACTACTAAGCCAATCATTTTAAATATTCCATCAATTTCAGATAAATAGCTTCACAATCGCCTCTGTATACACCGGTGTAGTTCTTCGGTACTAAGGTGGGAATGGTGCGCTGACCGCCCGCAGGATTATCGGGGCGGATCGCATCCGAGCATCCAGTTCCCGTTTTCCTACCCATCCATCTCTTTGATCACTTCAAGCCACTCTTTCTTTGGCGCTCGTGTGGTGATGTTGCGCTCCTCGATTGCTCCGGGTCGGCAATTGCTGTCGAACCCCATCCGCCAACGGATCCCCTCACAATGGCTCTCCAAAGCCGGTGCAAGCAGCCGGCTCGCAGGCCAGGTAGGATTGACCTATACACGTGCTTTCTAGTTGCTCTTACTTACATCGACAACGCGCAGCGCTTCTTCGCCGACTCTAAGCCCCCTACTACAGGTGGCCCTACCCCGGTCTCTCCATCTTCTGAGTCCAGTGTGCCTCCCGAGACCGTCTTGAAGGCTGCTGAACAAGGTATGACGAATGCCCCTTCACCAGTCATGACGAAAGCCTTTTGTGCCGACTCTAACGCTGTGGCATTGCAGAATCCAAGCTTCCTCCCTCACCCCCTCCTCGCAAGACCGGTCGTTTCCGCCGCTTCTTGATTTACCTGATTCTCACCTCAGGCTTTGCCTACGGTGGCAGTATCTTCTTGGCTATGAAGTCCGATAACTTCCACGACTTTTTCACCGAGTATATTCCCTACGGCGAGCAGAGCGTTCTCTACTTCGAAGAGCGCGACTTCCACCGTCGTTTCCCCAATGCCCTGAGACACCAGAACCGCATCCCCGCCGCACCGAGAGAGGAGGGCGCGCCTGTCACTATCCCCAGCAAGAGCGGTCTGTCTTGGAAGGTTGCCGGTGAAGAAAAGGACGACAGTGAGTCAGCCAACAAGGCCCATATCGATCATCGTGCGCATGATGCTTCATTGCAGCCCGCGGCTGCCAAGCCCGAGGACCGCACCGCTGCGGTCAGCAAGGCTAAGGAAGACAAGTCAGCCAAGACTGGTGAGAAGGAATCCAGCGCCAAGTCCGAGGAGAAGAAGCCGGTTTCATTGGAGGAGCCCAGACAGCCCGCGGTTGCTGCCAGCACTATTGAGTTGCTCCAGTTGCAGGACGGCGATGACTCTGTTGTTCAGGATCTTGTCAAGACCTTCAACGACATTGTCACTGTCATCAGCGCCGATGAGAACTCCAGCAAGTACTCCGCACCTGTTGCCAAGGCCAAGGGCGAGTTGGAGAAGATCGGTGAGAAGATTGCTGCTATTCGCAGTGATGTTCGCACCGCTGCCCAGGAGGAGATCAACAAGGTCCACGCCACCTTCGATGAGTCCGCACGCGAGCTGATCCGCCAGTTCGAGGAAGTGCGCAGCACTGACCTTGCCTCATTCCGCGAGGAGTTCGAGTCCGAGCGCGAGAAGCTCGCTCTCGCATACCAGCAGAAGGTCACCTCCGAGCTCCGCTACGCCCAAGAGCTCGCTGAGCAGCGTCTCCAGAACGAGCTCGTTGAGCAGGCCATCGAGCTGAACCGAAAGTACATCCACGAGGTCCAGGGTCTCGTTGAGCGTGAGCGCGAGGGTCGCTTGAGCAAGCTCACCGAGCTCACTACCGATATCAAGGAGCTTGAGAAGTTGACCGCTGGATGGAGTGATGTTATTGACACTAACCTCAAGACCCAGCAACTGCAGGTTGCCCTTGACGCCGTCCGCACCGTTGTCGAGCGTGCCGAGACTCCTCGTCCCTTCGTCCGCGAGCTTGTTGCCGTGAAGGAGCTTGCCGCCGGTGACTCCGTCGTCGAGGCTGCTATTGCCTCCATCAACCCCACCGCCTACCAGCGTGGTATCCCCTCCACCCCTCAGATCATCGAGCGTTTCCGCCGGGTTGCAAGCGAAGTCCGCAAGGCTAGCTTGCTCCCTGAAGATGCCGGTGTGGCCAGCCACGCCGCCAGCCTTGTCTTGAGCAAGGTCATGTTCAAGAAGGATGCTCTCTCCGAGGGCGATGACGTCGAGAGCGTTCTCGTCCGCACTGAGAGCCTCTTGCACCAGGGTGACGTTGATGCCGCTGCTCGTGAGATGAACACTCTCCAGGGATGGGCCAAGATTCTCAGCAAGGACTGGCTTGGTGATGTCCGTCGGGTTCTTGAAGTCAAGCAGGCTCTCGAGGTAAGTTTCCTACCCCTTTCTATCTGGCCCGGGTTAGTGCAAGTTTGCTGACAATTTTTCTTTCACAGGTCATCGAGGCGGAGGCCCGTCTCCAGTGCTTGCGTGTTGAGTAAGCGCATACTTTGAGCGAAACTGATTCCATTTTACCCTGTATATCCTCGTCTTCTACAGGAACTGTACCTCTAACTAGTTGTACTTGTGCTTTAGACCCAAATTCTAGATTTTCCTATGTGTACCTACTGAGGATGTAGACTGCCCATCTAGACCCTGCAACCCCTGTCACCCCCAAAAAGGATCTATGGTCGAATGCTTGACCCCTTCCAAGGTTCCAAGGTTTGGGTAACGGCACAGGTCCGATTTATAAGTTGTATGGATAATCACCTATGCGTAAATGTGACTCCCCCGGTCTGACCATGAACCTTGTAATGCTGTATAAGCCTCTGTTATCGCATAGTTACGTGAAGCCTTTGTCTAACCCTTGGAAGAATACTATGTAAAAACTTGTAGAAACGACGGTGAAAGATAGTATCTAGCAACCTTGGAAATAGTAGAACCTTGGAAGAGCAATATGAAAAATTGAATGTATATAGTATAGGCTTTCTCTTGTCAACAACCTTTACTCCATAGTCGAAATAAGTATCCTTTTGGGTATTAGGACCCCGGAAAGTGATGTGCAGTTATGAGCCATTGGTAATACATTTACACTATCACGGGGGTGGAAGAGCTGTGGGGCCTCTCATTCGTGCTTGCCACCGAGTATTTTGAAATTTAAGCAAGTCATTGGTCAAATTCTCCGAGCCTGGTAATACGACTGTCACAATTACCAGATCTATGAAATGCTGCATTTCCATTAGAAACAGTTTATTGACCAGGTCTGTTCAATCTTCGAATCTGAGCACATAAAAATAGTAGAATGTCCGGGAAAATTGCTATTGAGCTTTCAACAAGCAAGGACTACCAGAGTACATACATAAATCGAGTTGGATGGGCTAGTGGCAATGTACAGAGACCGCGATAACACGTAATGACATCAATCCGAAGCATGGAGCTTCCCTTCTGAGCTCAGCAATACATTACGAGAGTAGTCAACCATCGGATCAATCTCCGTCCTCGGTGCTTCTCGGACGCTCAGAGCAATCATTATCCAGCAGCCAAACGAGTCACCGGCTATTCCCCCACCGTCTGTGACTGCTGCTTCCTTTAAAGGCGACTCCAACTCTCCAACTCCCCGCACTTTTTTTGGATCAGACCCTCTCCGCCCTTCTTTCGCCCAATTGCCCCCTCTCCTCTCTGGAGAGTCTTGATTTATAATGGACCGCATCATTCGCCCTGTTGCCCGTCAATTGCTACGACCTCGTCCCAGATACCCTTTCAGAATTCCCACTGCTCACCACCAAAGACTCTACACCATGGGACACAACGCACCAAAGGTGAGATTCGCAAGTGGAATGTACGGGTTGCTTACAAACTGACTGTTTCCTCGCAGTTAAACGACCAGTCGCTCTTCATTGAGAAGTCGTACATCAACGGCGAATGGGTCGGCGCGAAGTCCGGGGAAACCTTCGAGGTGCACGGTAATTACCAGACCACACTCACGTCCGACATCTACAGAGATACTGATCTCCCCCAGACCCTGCCACCGGCAAACTAATCGGAACATGCCCCGAGCTCGACACAGCCGACGTGGAGAAGGCCATCCAAGCCGCCTCCGAAGCCTTCCCCAAATTCCGCACAACCCTCGGCCGCGAGCGCGCTCGCATGCTGCGCCGATGGTACCAATTGATGATCGACAACGCAGAGGACCTCGCGAAGCTCATTACATGGGAGAACGGAAAGCCTTTGGCCGACGCCAAGGGCGAGGTGAACTACGCCGCCAGCTTCTTCGAATGGTTCAGTGAGGAGGCACCCCGCACATACGGTGACACCATCCCGGCCTCCGTGCCCGGCAACCGCGTGATGACCGTCAAGCAGCCGGTTGGCGTCTGCGGTCTCATTACGCCATGGAACTTCCCTGCGGCGATGATTACGCGCAAGATCGGCCCCGCCCTGGCGGCGGGTTGCACGGTCGTCGCCAAGTCGCCCCAGGAGACACCCTTCACAGCCAACGCGCTTGCGGAGCTTGCGCACCGTGCAGGCATCCCCAAGGGTGTGGTTAACATTGTGACTTCTTCTAAGAACACCCCTGCGGTGGGTGAGCTTATCACCACCCACCCGGAGGTGCGTAAGGTGTCTTTCACCGGCTCGACTAACGTCGGCCGCATTCTCATGAAGCAGTCTGCTTCTACAATTAAGAAGGTTTCCTGGGAATTGGGCGGTAACGCTCCGTTCATTGTCTTTGATGATGTCGAGGATCTCGACGCTGCCGTTGCCGGCGCCATCGCCTCCAAGTTCCGTAGCTCCGGACAGACCTGCGTGTGCGCGAACCGTCTCTACGTCCAGAAGGGCATTTATGAGGAGTTCAGCAAGCGCTTTGTGCAGAAGGTTAAGGAGTTCAAGCTTGGTGGTGGTTTCGAGAACGGCATCACTCACGGTCCTGTCATCCACGAGCGTGCTGCTAACAAGGCTCACGAGCACGTGCAGGATGCTACATCCAAGGGTGCTCAGGTTATCGTTGGTGGCCAGAAGGCGACTGCTCTCGGTCCCAACTTCTACCACCCCACTGTGCTGACTGGCATGAGCAAGGATATGCTTCTTGCGTCAGAGGAGACCTTCGGCCCTGTTGCTGGTCTTTTCCCCTTCGAGACTGAGAAGGAGGTTGTGGACCTTGCTAACCGTGCGGAGGTTGGTCTTGCCGGTTACTTCTTCAGTGGTAATGTCCGTCGCATCTTCCGTGTTGCTGAGGCCCTGGAGGTTGGCATGGTTGGTGTCAACACTGGTTTGATCAGTGACGTTGCTTCTCCGTGAGTTTCTCTTGTCTTCCCCTCTATTCCCATCTCTATATACTAACGTCCTTTTAGCTTCGGTGGTGTCAAGCAGAGTGGCTTCGGCCGTGAGGGCAGCAAGTATGGTATTGACGAGTTCATGACAATCAAGAGTGTGACATTTGGCGGCATGGGTGAGCCCTTGCAGGAGTAAAAATAATACCATGAATATTCAACAATCTTATGATCTTTCTTTGCACAAAATGACATTTCTCAATTGAACTTCCTATTCAAGTAATCCAAATTCACACCTTATTATTCGGGCCACAAATGCACACCGATCACCTGACCAGCTCTAAAATCCAGGCAGAATACCCCACCGCCTTCTCCATCCCTTCTACGAAATATACTCAGTAGCCTCACATCTCCTTCAAATACAAGATAAATCCAGCGCATAGCGCTTCCAATCCAAAAAAAACCCACACAAAAGAGAAATGAAATAGCACAGCATGCGCCCATCACCCCACCTTCTCGCCGCGGTCTCTCGAACCAGACCCTCAACGCTGAAGAAGCCTTCCATCAGTCTAGACCATGTAAGTAACGAGCAAAGCCAAATGAAGAAAAAACCCCGAATTGACCAATCCTCCACCAGTTCATCCAAAGACAGCGGGTCCTGTCATTCTGGCGGGAAATCGTCCGAGCATTAATCAGTATGCCGAGAATCCCTAGTACAGAATGTTCAAGCGAGATGAACTGAATTGACTAATTTGGATCAGAGGTTCCTCCTTCGTCGACGAGGAGCGAGTTGCGGAACTATGCGCGTGCTGAATTCGAGCGTCATCGTGAATTGACGGATTTGGTAGGTGTTTGTATTTCTATCTGGTGAATTTGGCTAATTATTTCTTATAGCAACATATTCGATATTTGCTTTCGGTAAGTTCGTTTAGGAGTTTCGATGGGTTGGGTGCTAATTGGGTTTCTAGACGGGGAAGTCAGAGTTTCAAACTATGAAACGGTATATTGATGAACAGGTTGCTGGTTGATCTGTGGTGCCCAGGTGTTGAGTGTGAATTTGTACAGTACTTGTAAGTAGATTATCAATTGGATATATCAATTGGCTCCAGGGTTCCAAGGTTGTGTGAGCGGATCTCAGTGGATCTCACAGTGTATTTTCAACATTTCCATGGATGTCTGTTGGAAATCTGGTCTGGGGTAAGAAAAAGCACGATGATTGTTGTATCAGTGGCTGGGTACCTGTTTGCCGCGGCTTGAGATCCCGGCTGGGAAACAAGTTTGCGGGTACGGAGTACACGTATACTTGCAAGGTTAACGCTGGTTACCCCGGACATTATGATTTGTCGAATGATTTGCGATGTATGACGATAAGCGCATTGGTGACTCAAATACGAGGAATTTCGAGGGGTCACCTTAGCCCGTATCCCCGGAGGCTCACGGGTATCCATCTTGGAAGTATTTTATTAAGTTTCAATCTACGACATGGAATTGATTGAGGTGGAAACTTGGAATTTGCATGTCAATCAAGTACTCCGTATATTAATCAAATTGGACAAAACAACTTGAACTTCCAAAGTGGCGTCCAGGGTTGTAGTCAGTCACGCTGGCCATGGGTGGTTCTTGGAAAAGACCTCCGGCAACGGCTATGTCGATTGCCCCACTTAGCTCACGATGTCCAGTTCATACAACCAGATGTGATTCCAAGGTTGAGACTGTTTATGTATTACTGTACATAGAAAGAAACCCGTGGAGATACTGGACTAAAAACAAGAAAAGAGAGCCTTGGAATGATGTCAACACATCAACATAGGATCCTGTTCCCGCCTATTGCAGATGAAGGATTCTAGAATTCCCAAGTGCCAGTCACAAAAAACCAGCAGGATTTGCCACCGTCTTGCTCCACACACTTTAATTCCCCGTTGCGTTTGACTGGCTTTGTGCGAGGGCTCTGCGACCTTCAAAGGCAGCTCGTTGTGGGACCTGGAGCTCCCCTATATACGATGATTGGTCGGCAGAACCGGAAACGGCTGTCGAACAGGTTGCAGTGAAGCTTGCTAGCATCCTAGCGGTTGGATTTGGACACAATACGTCATCCATTTTGGTCTGGACTGCCCAGGTGCTTATATATCGGGGAGTCTGCGGATATGTCAGCCGGTCTGTACAGGTTTATAGCACATAAACCATTGGTACTTCAAGCACTGAGAAACCAACTTATCTATTATTCAAAGCTTCTGAACAAATATCAAAAGCCATCACTTCCTCAAACCATCAAGTCAGAATATACCACAGAAAACACAGACGACCCCCCAAAAGCACTGTGCCACAATGAAAACCGTATCCCCGCCACACGTTAGCCCCGAGCGGGCCAAGCACCTCGAGCGCAACCGCGTCGCCGCCAACAAATGTCGCGAACGCAAGAAGCGAGAGCACAAGCAAATCGAGCGTCGTCTCAGTGACGAAACCGAAAAGAAAGAAATCCTCCTCGCCCAACTGAACTCTCTACGAGAAGAAGTCTGGGGTCTGAAAAACATCATCTTCCAACATGCCGAGTGCGATGATCATCGAATCAATAACCAACTCGCGCAAATGACCCAGACTGTCCTCGCAGGGCCGGTACCCGAAATGGTCATGAGCGCCTCGCCAAAGTCGCCTACCTCGCCCACCTCGCCCACCCAAACCTGGTCGGATGAGTCGGTCGCAGATGATAATGTCAAGCTGATCGACCCGGGCGCATCTGATCCTATCGACTGGTCTTCACTGCCTCCTAAAGATATGATCTATGATCCTGTCTTGACGGAATCCATATTCGATAATTTCATTGATGCGGACAACCTATACACGTAGGAGGCGGCGAGGCTTCCAGGAGGGGGCTTTTGGAGGCGTTTTGGAGGGGTTTTTTTTTTTTTTTGCTTCTTTTGATTTATTTGAGCGGATACGACCTGTATATTAATGGCTTCTTTGAAGCTGAAAACTTGACTCAACACGAATTCACGAATTTTATGAAGATGTCCGTTTCCCATGTTCCCAGTGGCTGGAAGAATTCTCCCTATTCGCCCTGGTCCCTCAGAATCGGGACGGGGGAAATGTGGAGGGATTGAAACGGCGCGTGAAAGGACGATCATAAAGCACCGGCCCAAGTGGACGTGGTGGAGGCTTGCAGATGGCATTGTGTGGAACGTGCAAGACTGTCGGGCCAAGCCCTCGCCCTGAAGGCTGCCCGGGGAAGATCCACTGCAGCCTCTGATGTCACCGATTTACTCGCCACTAAACTACCTGACGCCGAGCTGTTTGTTTCCTCTATTTCTCTTTATTTCAGTTTCTAGGATTATATCCCTACCGTTTGCTACCGTTTACGAACGTTATCCCTGCCACTGATTCTTGTATTATAGCCTTATTGGTCAAGTCTACGATGATGCCCTCACTCCCTTCACCTCCACCCGGAGAAGAGCTGGCCAGATTTTCTCAGAAATCAATAATGGGAACAATATTTGAGACCACACAGCGGTTAGATTTGATGCGCTTGTAATACCCTGACTGTGCTAAGACCATGTCAGATATACTGAGTGGAAGCCCATAGGTCTCGGAGTCTCTGGACTTGTCTGGTATGCTTCTTTGTCTGAGACCCAAGCAGGGGCCCCAAGATGCTAACGGATCATGTCTCTCCAGCTCAGCTCGAGACCGGATTGGTCACCGCACCGTGGCTGTCAAGAAACTCGCCGATCCATTTGTCACCGATGCTGTCGCAAGGCACATGTATCGGGAGATTAAGCTACTGCGACAGCTACACCATGAGAATGTAAGCTTCAAATCACCTACTGTTATGGACATCTGTCTAACCTCTGTCTCCAATGCCAGATCATCAACCTTACCGACATCTTTATCTCTCCCTCCGAAGACATGTACGAGCTCTACCTTCCATACACGACCAGTGCTTAACAACCCCAGATACCTCGTCACCGAACTAATGACCACCGATCTAAACGCAATCCTGAAAGCGAAAAAGGTCGAAGAACAATTCGCGCAGTACTTCATGTACCAAATAATGGTGTGTGTCACTCATAACTATACCAAAACTCCAAACTAACAGCTCCCAGCGCGGCCTGAAATATCTCCATTCAGCAGGCGTTGTCCACCGGGACTTGAAACCAAGCAATATCCTAGTAAACGAGAACTGCGACTTGAAAATATGCGACTTTGGTCTCGCCCGAATCCAAGACCTCCACATGACAGGCTATGTATCAACGCGATACTACCGAGCTCCCGAAATAATGCTCACATGGCGAAAATATAACGAGAAAGTGGATATCTGGAGCGCGGGCTGTATTTTTGCTGAATTATTGCTTGGGGAACCTCTTTTCCCCGGGAAGAATCACATCAACCAATTCTGCGTCATCACTGATATTCTCGGCAATCCGCCGAGGGAAGTGATTGCAAATGTTTCTAGCGAAAATGTGAGTCCTCGGGTTCAATTTTGATGGTATCGGTGGTGCTAATAGTATCAGACTCTGAATTTTATCAAATCGCTCCCTAAGCGAGACTGCAAGCCTATGTCTCAGGTTATTCCCCAAGCGAGTGCCGAAGGTGTGTGATTGCAGCATTGCTCATAGATTGATCTTGATGGAACTTCCAACTAACGCAGCCAGCAACCACGTTAATCGAGCAAATGCTGCAGTTTAATCCTGATACGCGAATTTCCGCCTCTGCTGCTCTGCAATTACCCTATCTTGCGCCCTATCACGATCCCACCGATGAGCCAGTTGCGACTGAGACCTTCGATTGGGCGTTCCTTGAAGCGAATCTCCCAGCTGATATCTGGAAAACGATTATGTATGGAGAGGTGCTAGGATTCCATGAACAAATGAATTCAAGTGGTCAGACTGGACCGATGAAATCGATACACCAGGTTGATGGAATGGACCTGGGGTGAATGAATGATGAACACTGATGATCTTTGATGAATACCGAGTGATACTCGCTCATGTACTTTATATTTGATGTCTGACGAAGCGTTGATTTGGAGCAACAGTCTGGGAATACCACCTAACTAGGTGAGGCTAGTTGATTACGATATGAATTTCAGTGTTTTACTTATATACTCCAGGGCTTTGGGTTTGAGGGTTTGAGCTCTTAAAATTCCGAGCTGAGATAAAAGAGTGGTCATTATTATAATATAAACATTAAACTTGATACATGGCCAGACAACTGGCGCTATTATACCTTGCATATGTATCCAAGGCTGTTTCATATCCGTCAAATCAATATAAGGGTATCGTTTTCGTCCAAACGAGACAAGTTTTCTTCATGGCTCGCATGGGCTATACATCGAGCACGGAGAGCCTCATCCAAGGTCTGTCTAGACAGCAGACTCGGGGTTGGTCGCCGCGGTACCATTGCTAGCATCAGTCATCTCAGGAGCCGGCTGTTCGTGATGGTTCTTTGCGTTACGGCGCGAGTTGAAAAGGTCCAGAATTGCAAAGGTGTTGGTAACGGCAAAGGTTGCCCTGGAAAGGAACGTCAGACATATATTCTTGTAGTCTTCTTCCAGGTTTCTTACCATTGCACAGCACCGACAACAATCAGCGCCTGCAGAGCGTGGCAGCTGGCATAGCTGCATGCGCTCGGTGAGGGAATAAGAGCAGCCAAGGCAATCCAGCCGCTCAGCCAGAGACCTCCGGTGACTAGTTCCATGAAGGGGATGGCGAATTCATGGGAGAAGCGAGGGAAGGCTAGAGGTGCTAGGCCAAGGTAGGGGATTGCGATGGCGGTTGTCCAGCAGCCGTTGAAGAGCATGAAATAGATGACGTTTGAGTAGGACCATTCATCGTAGAGTGAGGCAATCTCTGTGGTTTGTTAGTAGAGGGCCGGTGATAAAGTATAGAGAGCAACGAACCGTAAGCAGTAAGACCGATGGTTGCTAACGACAGGATAGCCTGGAAGATTCGCAAAGGGTTCACCCAGGACAGCATTTTGAATGTAGATTAGATTATTGCTTTTGGTGAACAGGGAATGTGATTAGGGGGTTCCTTGTGACAAGCGCAAGAGGAATACTAGGGAAGTAGATCTACATAAGGGAATACGGAGTAGACATGGACTTATATAACTAGACCATGTGAAAGTCGGCCCACAAGGCTACTGGGATCACTCCACACGTCATGAGAATGTAAGAAAGCAGATCAAGACCCGACTTGACAAAGTCTGAAAAGTTTGCACATCTCCAAAGCCTGCAAGCTCCCAAAAAGGTCCCGAATTAGGGTTTGGTAGTTCCCCTTCCCCGCCTTGGGATCATCTGCTTCGTGTGCCTGACAGTTCTACTCTTCATGACAGTCTGCCTTCTGTCAATTTACAACATGAGCTCAATTGTACGAAATTGATAGTTGCTTCCGGGACGGCAGACTCATCCCGAGTAGCAAAATCAGATGGTGCCGAATGTCGATCTCACATGAAAGCCTCGGCCAAGCCCCAAATCCTTCAAAATCGGACGGCTCCTTTTTCGGAACCTTTGCCAGCGCCGCCAAGAACATGGTTTACCCTGATCGCTAGTGCCCTTCATGCTTGTTTGTCTTTACCTCGGCCCACGTCGATCGGATACGCCGCTGGCAGGCCTTATGTATGCCCAGTCCTCGTCTTTCGTTATTTTCAAACCCAGATTGTTGTGGTAGAATTGGAGATATCGCAATGCATATATGTACAAAAAAATAAACAAAATAATAATGGCACATGATATTTTACATCCCGCATCTCAGTTCCCGGACACCAGGGCCTTAACAGCATCCAAAACACCAACAGACTTCTCATCCGCCGGCTCAATCGACGAACGAGCGACATCAGGCCCATCGTGCGACTTGGTACCTGCCTCCTTGGCAGCTGCTTCAATAGCAGCGTGACGTTCCCTCCATTCGCGATCTTCCTTATCACGAACCTCCAGCTCGCGCAACCACGCGTCGCGCTTCTCTTGCTTCTTCCGGAGTTCCACTGCTTGATCGAATTCTCGGCGCTGTTGGCGTTCTGTCTTGAAATACATTCCTCCTGCGACCAGTGCGACGAGTGTGAAGGCTTGGGCGTAGATACGGGCGCGGAACATCCGGTTCATCTCAACGGAGTCGCCGGATTTCATGGATCGGTATGCCCGGTAGAGTGCGTAGCATGTTGCGGCGCATCCTGGGTATGTTAGTGAGGAGCGGGAGGAGTTGCGAAGGGTGGGTTTGGGGGTTCGTTGGGCGGAGGTAGCGTACCTAGTGGGACCAGCGGTTCTTCTTTGAGGCGTCGGGTGAATTTCTGGACACCGGTCTCTTCGGTGAATAGACTAGTTTGAGTGTGAGCGTTGGTCATTTGGCTTTCGTGTGTAGCATCGCTGGATAGCTGGATCGAGGACATACGGGTTGTCGTCAAAAGACGAGGGCACTGGGTCACGGCTCATGGCGATGTTTGGGGGGTGGGGGAGTTCAATTATGCGGGATGTAGAGGTTTCGCAGATTCGCAGATCTCAAATTGCGGATTTCCAATTGGAATTTGGTGGCTCTGGAGGGCTGGATAATTTGAGGTCGGATTAGACTAGCTGTGGTATGACGCCAAGTTTTCCGCCTTATGTAACTATCCCTCCAATGGGAGATCCTGCTACTCCATACTCCATACTTCTGTCTACATACTGCAAGTCGTAAGGGCCTCCCTTCCGGATGGACCTTCTACTGTTCATATGTAATAAGGCATATGGTTCAAGTTCAAGAAAGAGCTGAGCCCAAGCAAAATATGCGGAATCAAGTCTAAAGACCAAGAACATAGTATTCACAGATAATAGATAACAGAAAGCTTTTACTACCATATTGTCCTATTATCATGTTGCTATTGCTATTATAGTCTACCACCCTTGTTGCAATCTTGGGGATGTAGATACCTAGCTCTTTAGCTCTGATCTATACGGAGTAGTTATAACTTATCACGGTGATGCAATAGATGCAAAGCCACGGCGTACAAGAGGCCCAGAACCTCTAAACACCATGTGAAAACCCAGTTATTCAAAGATCAAAACTCAGCAAAGAGCTCCTTTAGCTCAAAATGTCTGTCTCATCTTCAGATGTTCACACTCAAATGCTCCAGCGAATCTTAGGGCTGGCGTGATTGATGACATAAGACCTCCGATCACCGGTCCCCGCAAAAAAAAAGAGTCACAGTTGCAGTTTACCCGCTTTCCAATTCCCTCTGGTCATTGGTGTTTCTCTTCCTCGAGCAGAGATACCGTTAAGCAATTATGTCTGAAGATACTTCCACACCTGGCGTGGTGACACCGGTGTCCCCCGTCACTCCCAAGATGAGCGGGCTCGCCTTGACCGAGTATACCGCCGCTCCGACGCCCCCCTCCGAACGCGCAAACCAAACACCCGGATTACCTCCCAACTGGGGAATTCCTGAAGCTTTCCTACTCCCCAATGGCTACCCGGACGTGAGTTAAATATACTAGCTCCGTATTGGGCTCTTCAATTGGTTCTTCAATTCCTAACAATTTGCCCCCGCCATTCTAGTACCTGCGATTGATCCTGACCTCACGGGTTTACGATGTTATTGAAGAGACCCCCCTAACCCATGCGGTCAACTTGAGTAACCGGCTGGAAAGCCGTGTCATGCTCAAGCGGGAGGACCTGCTTCCCGTGTTTAGTTTCAAGCTCCGTGGCGCATACAACAAGATGGCTCACTTGAACAACGAGCAACGGTGGAAGGGTGTGATTGCTTGCTCTGCAGGAAACCACGCTCAGGGCGTGGCTTTCTCGGCCCGCAAGCTTAGAATCCCTGCGACTATTGTTATGCCGTCCGGCACCCCGGCCATTAAACACCTGAACGTCGCCCGCCTGGGAGGAAGCGTCGTTCTCCACGGACAAGACTTCGATTCCGCCAAGGAAGAGGCCCACCGATTGGAGAAGCAGCACGGTCTCACCAATATCCCGCCATTCGATGACCCATATGTCATTGCTGGTCAAGGTACTATTGGTATGGAGCTTTTGCGCCAAGCGAACCTGGATAAGCTGGAAGCCGTATTCTGCGCTGTCGGCGGTGGTGGTCTCATTGCTGGAGTCGGTGTATACCTTAAGCGCATTGCTCCTCAAGTCAAGGTCATTGGAGTGGAGGCATACGATGCGAACGCCATGACCCAATCCTTGGACAGCGGTAACCGAGTCTTCCTCAAGGAAGTCGGTCTCTTCGCGGATGGTGCCGCAGTGAAGACTGTTGGTGAAGAAACATGGCGTCTTAGTCGCGATGTCATCGACGATGTCATCCAGGTCTCCACCGATGAGACTTGCGCGGCAATCAAGGATGCCTTTGAAGATACTCGTTCCATTGTCGAGCCTGCTGGTGCCCTTGCCCTTGCCGGTCTCAAGAAGTACATCGCCAAGAACCCCAGCCCTGATCCCAACCGCGAATTGATTGCCGTCACTTCTGGTGCCAACATGGACTTTGACCGTCTCCGATTCGTTGCCGAGCGCGCCGCTCTCGGCGAGAAGAAGGAGGCTCTTCTGTCCATCAACATCCCCGAGAAGCCTGGCGCCTTTGCCAAGCTTGTTGAGGTCGTGCTCCCCCACGCTGTCACTGCGTTTAACTACCGCTACGCTCGCGAAGATTCCGCAGATGTGCTGATGGGCATTTCCCTCTCCGCCTCCACTGGCCGCGAGGACCTGGCCAAGATCATGGAGGAGCTTCAAAAAGAAGGTATGGCCTGTCGGGACCTGAGTGACGATGAGCTCGCCAAGCGTCACCTGCGCTTCCTGGTTGGTGGTCGCTGTGATGTCGCTCATGAGCGCATCTTCATGTTCGAGTTCCCCGAGCGCCCCGGTGCTCTGGCTAAGTTCCTCACCACCCTTCGCCCCAACCAAAATATCTCCCTCTTCCACTACCGTAACTACGGCGGTGATGTTGGCAAGGTTCTGGCTGGAATCCAGTGCCCACCATCCGAGAAGGACGATTTGGAGCACTTCCTCCAGGACCTGGGCTATCCCTTCAGCGAGCACACCGATTCCCCCACTTACAAGACTTTCTTGCGCTCAGAGTAAATTGAGTTATGTTCTTTCTCGCAAACAAAAAGTGTGAATAACGAGGCGATGGATTGTTTATAACGTGTTATTGATTCAAGCGGCTTCAAGGTCTCTTTTCTTTTCTTTTCTCGGGCGTTTGAGTTTGATAGACCCTTTGCATATATTAGTAGTAGAAATACAGACCAACAATATTCCGGCTACTATTCCAAGGTTTTGCATCCAAAAACATAAATTTATACCGCGTAAATTCCACGATGTCCCGATGGTTATGCGTGTAGTCCCAACCCGACCAATCAACGCCCGGCGGACCGGCAATACAGAACATCCGGCCGACATTTGCGATCGCAACCTTCGGAGCCAAAACATCTACCCACGCACTCCGCACGATATCTCCGGCTCTACACACGCCGAGCTCCGAGGCAAAGCCTCCAATTGATCACCCTCTGCGGAACTATCCCAAATTTGAAGCCGAACCCATTCTCCGCCATGTTCTCCCTCCGCACCGTCTTCGGTGCCTCCGGTGCTCTTCGCCAGTACCTCCCCTCCGTGACCACTCGGGCCGTTTCATTACGACCATTCTCCCACATGATCCAGAATGGCCTCACAAGGTTCCGTGGGCAAGCACAGACCGGCAGTGCGGTCGCCTTGGCGAATGCTTCCGCTAGACAGGTTGAGCAGGTTCGGGGTATGAAGACCCGGTCTTCGGTCAAGAGACTGTGTGATGGGTGCAAGGTATGACTTTGGCCTGCTCTGGATTGCTGGGGCAGATTCTATTGGGGATCAAGATTAGTACTGACTGCATGCTATAGCCCGTTCACCGCAAAGGTCGTGTCTTTATCATCTGGTAAGTCATGATACTCTCGAGTCACCAATGACTTTCCTTAGGAGCTGGCAAAGTCTAACCATATGTTTTCTTCAATTACAGCTCAAAGAACCCTAAGCACAAGCAACGGCAAGGGAAATAGGGTACTCGCCCTTCTGCATTTATTCCGATAGCGTGCATCGCCCCATCCCGGACACCTTGGACCGAATACTTCGATACCCCAGAACCACGCTCTAGCGTATGGACACTCAGCAAGCTGCTTAGACGCATCACATTAGTTGCGCTGGCTGGGCTGTCCTGGCCTGTCCTGGGAGGGGTTGGCGGCACACTTTTTGCATTCTTTCAAATACTGAAGTGGTTGGATACCACGGCGCTTGTGTCTTTATTCTTGTATATTAGTATCGCAGTCAGGTTTATTGAGCCTCGATGTTTCAATTCAACTCTATGATCTCCATTGGAATCTATGCCACTTTTGGCCTTGTATGGGTGTTACTGTGTCCAATCCGTACTGCGCCTTTTTACACCTACCCAGCAGCCTTGCTTTAACCCAGAACAATCCCCAATACTGAGTCTGAAGGTATTATTCAAGCCTCTTAAGAAAAACAGCCAATTGTAATGTATCGACTCTGATGGGCCGATGGTCACGTGTCGCGTACCTGGCCCCGAACTTTTTTTTCGGAGACAAACATTCAGTCCGCGTTGATACCAATCCAGGCCTGAGTGGATCATAAACATGTGGTCTCCTTCTCTTGCACGACTCCAATCTCGTGCGGTCTCTGGTCTGACCAGATCAGCCCGTTTCCAACCCCAGAACCTACTGCGCCAGCGATGCGCCTCGACGGCTCTCCGATCCTCCGCGGCTGCGCCGGCTTATCAGTCAAAACTGGGACAATGGGATCAACGGCGCAATGCCTCTGCTGCGGCTTCTGCTGTGTATGTTATCGGAATGCAATTCTTGTTCTGGTTTCTAACAATCTCATAGTCTCGAGGCTGCTAAGGCTAACCCCGATGGCTTGTCCCAAGCCGCCATTATTGACAACTTGGACCCCGTTGAGGCCGCTCGTCTGGACAAGTGCCGCAACATTGGTATCGCGGTATGTTTTCTAATTGCTGTCCATTGTCTTTTGATTATGTCTAATGAATGCTCCTGTGCAGGCCCACATCGACAGCGGAAAGACCACATGTACCGAGCGAGTCCTTTTCTACACTGGTCGCATCAAGGCCATCCACGAAGTCCGCGGGCGTGACAGTGTCGGTGCCAAAATGGACTCCATGGATCTGGAGCGTGAGAAGGGTATCACCATTCAGTCCGCAGCTACCTTCTGCGACTGGGTGAAGAAGGACAAGGAGGGTGTTGATCAGAAGTACCACCTGAACTTGATTGATACCCCTGGTCACATTGATTTCACCATCGAGGTCGAGAGAGCGCTGCGCGTTCTTGACGGTGCTGTCATGATCTTGTGTGCCGTCTCTGGTGTTCAGTCCCAGACGATTACCGTCGATCGCCAAATGCGCCGCTACAACGTTCCCCGTATCTCATTTGTGAACAAGATGGATCGTATGGGTGCCAACCCCTTCAAGGCTGTTGATCAGATCAACACCAAGTTGAAGATTCCCGCGGCTGCTGTTCAGGTTCCTATTGGTGCTGAGGACGAGTTCGAAGGTGTCGTTGATCTGATTCGCATGAAGGCCCTGTACAACGTCGGTGCCAGTGGTGAGGACATCATGGTCAAGGATGAGATCCCTGAGAAGGTCAAGGCTCTTGCTGAGGAGCGCCGCAGCATGCTTATTGAGACTCTTGCCGATGTTGATGATGAGATCGCCGAGATGTTCTTGGACGAAATTGTTCCCAGCGAGGATCAAATCCGTGCGGCCATCCGTCGCTCCACCATTGGATTGAAGTTCACTCCTGTGTTCATGGGATCTGCTCTGGCCAACAAGTCTGTGCAGCCTATGTTGGACGGTGTCATCGACTTCCTGCCCAACCCCTCCGAAGTCGAGAACCTGGCTCTTGATCAGAAGCGCGACGAGGCTTCTGTCAAGCTTGTTCCTTACAACTCCCTTCCCTTCGTCGGTCTGGCCTTCAAGCTCGAAGAGAGCAACTTTGGTCAATTGACCTACATCCGTGTATACCAGGGTACCCTCCGCAAGGGCTCCAACGTCTTCAATGCTCGTAACAACAAGAAGGTCAAGGTCCCTCGTATTGTGCGTATGCACTCCAACGAGATGGAGGAAGTCAGCGAGATTGGCGCTGGTGAGATCTGTGCCGTGTTCGGTATTGAGTGTGCGTCCGGCGATACCTTCACCGACGGACAGCTCGGCTACAGCATGTCGTCCATGTTCGTTCCCGAGCCCGTCATTTCGCTCTCCATTAAGCCCAAGCAGAGCAAGGATGGTGCCAACTTCTCCAAGGCCATGGCCCGTTTCCAGAGAGAGGACCCTACCTTCCGCGTGACCTACGATAACGAGAGTGACCAGACCATTATCTCCGGTATGGGTGAACTGCACCTCGATATTTACGTTGAGCGTATGCGCCGTGAGTACCGCGTCGACTGCGAGACCGGTCAGCCCCAGGTCGCTTACCGTGAGACCATTGGTGAACGCGTTGAGTTCGACCACTTGCTCAAGAAGCAGTCTGGTGGACCTGGTGAGTATGCCCGTGTCATGGGATGGATGGAGCCCACCGGTGTCCTCGAGGAGAACAAGTTCGAACAGCAAGTTGTCGGTGGCAGTATCTCCGAGAAGTTCTTGTTCGCCTGTGAAAAGGGATTCAACCTGTCCTGTGAAAAGGGTCCTCTTATCGGCCACAAGGTTTTGGGAACTCGCATGGTCATCAACGATGGTGCTACCCACATGACTGATTCCTCTGAAATGTCCTTCAAGAACGCCACCCAGCAGGCGTTCCGCAAGGCTTTCGCTGAGAGCCAGCCCTCTGTCCTGGAGCCCCTCATGAAGACAGTCGTGACTGCCCCTACTGAGTTCCAGGGTGATGTCATCGGTCTGCTTAACAAGCGCGGTGCTACTATCAACGACACCGAGACCGGTGTTGACGAGTTCACTATCTACGCTGACTGCAGTCTGAACGGCATGTTCGGCTTCAGTACTAACCTGCGCGCTGCTACTCAGGGCAAGGGTGAATACACCATGGAGTTCAGCCACTACGAGAAGGCTCCTCCTCAGATGCAGTAAGTTTTAAACAGCCCCCTTCCATGTCTATATCAATGCTAATCGGCTTTCTCCATTGTAGAAAGGAACTCATCGCCAAGCACCTCAAGGCTCTGGCTGACCGCCACAAGAAATAAACGACAAATTCCCCCAACTATGTAATAACAACCCCTCCCGACACCTGAAGATTCCAACCAGGCGGCGCCTGGTCTTGGTCTTTGTTCAATATACGAAGCAGCAGATTCTTGGGTCGAATCCCTTTTATCAAGGAGATCCCCTCACTGCTTCCTTTCCCATTTCTCAACCCTCCTGTACTATTTATGCATGGCATCACATTTGTGCCTTTCTGGGACCTGTATTTCAAGATTAAGATACTACTTTCTACTCTCCTGTCTGAAAAATTAGACCGTTCCATACATTCTAGCCATCTTCTCAACTCATGTATAGCAATACCAATGCACAAAACTACAATGCTTATGGAATTACAGGAGACCATGATCAAAAGCACGCGTTTATTTCAAGGACCTAAGCATGCTGCAAATGCGACATTGACAAAATGAGAGACGAAACACGAAACATAACCTAAAAAACGTTACCTCGAACACCCCGAGGTCATGCACGATATATGACCAGATGGCGACTAACTGGAAGAAATTAGCCACCTCACTTCTGAGCATCGCGTTCTCGATCCAGACGGAAGTTTCTCGACTTCTTCATTCTCCTCAGGCCAGGACGGCGTGCACCGCTCTCAGTAAAATACTTCGAAGCACCGCCATCCGAAACAAACCGAGGGAGAGAACTGATGACATCTACAGCAGGCTTTGGGTCTGACGAGGATGCCCGATTCCTGTCCTGTACACTGTTAGCAGGATTAACCATACCTGGCTTCGTATCTGGGGCGAAGCGAATCTTCTTCTCTCCCTCGACCTTGAAAGTCCGCACATTTACCTCTGGAACCGGAGAAGGGCAAATGAGTTCCGAGAGAGACGGAAGAGCATCGCCCAGAGACTCGGTTGCGAAGGGATCTGGCTCAGAAACTGTGCCTTCTAGTCCCTTTGCATTCTCTCGAAGCTGGGTGTACACATCCGCATGATCGTCGGCGTGAATGGCAAAGCGATGGAATGTGTGGATGATGGGCATGTTCGTCATGCCAATTCCGCTGAATACAGTGGGGATAGAACTCTCATCTTCGGGGTTATCACCCAGCGTGTCCATGAGCTCTTCCAACTTATCCTCGCTGAGTTGATCTAGGAACGTGTGCCAGCGAGGATCCGCGCGCTCTGAGACAGGGAGCAGGGACTTGGTTCCAGACCCTGGCTTGGGAACAGCCTTCTGGTCCCAAAGTGGCTTGCCTGTTTTGTCGTGGATCTGATACAAGTACATCGCTCGACGGCCAACTTGAGCGGCGGTCTTGTCCGCTCGTACTAGGGCGGTTAGCTCATAGCCTAGATGATAGTCCCTTTCATAAAGGAGGTTGACAAGGAATGCACCGATTGCCTCGCTGGGAATCTCATCGGCGGTCCAGGTTCTGAGACAAGTACGGAGGTGTTGGATGGATCGAAGGTCCCAGGTGATGGCACGCTGTCTGTCACGAACCTCGCGGATCACTTCGATGGGTTTGTCTGCCATGAAGGAAATGAACAGTGTGTGTGATCCCCAATGGCTTGTGCTGGCTATCTTGTGTGCGAGAGCTGATGATATAGAGGTTCCTGGTTTGAAAAGGTCAGTGTAGGGCTGCTTGCTTGAAGACATATTGTTGGAATAGCTACCTTGGGTAGTTTGAGGCTTGGCTAGATATAACAGGAGGGAGCAAAGTTCGAGTCAGATGGTTGTCAGATGAGACTGTTGTGTTTGAAACTGGAGATGGCCGGGGTAAGGCGGGTTTATATACTCTCCATGGCTTCAAATGTTGGATCTCGCACGATGAGGAACTTCTAAGGTTCTTGGAACCAGAATTGCCTATTAATCCATGGATGCGAAAGCACAAAAGGGAAAGATCGACAAAAACACTGAAATCTTTGATCATATTCGTCTAAGGCATTGTTTCCTGGCATTGTGCAGGGTAGTCCAAACCTTGGAAGTAGGGCACAAAGAACAAAGGACCTGTTCTGCCGTGGCATTCATTCAAGTAATGGTTTTTTTTAAACCCATACCCATACCCACGCGCTATGTGGTCTTTGCAGTCAAACATGGCCAAGCAGAAGTTATAGTCCCGTTGTATATTAGAAATGGTAAAGCCGATGTATGTACAATTCACAGCCAACAAGTAAGAACAAGATGAGTGAAGAAACGCTCCATTAAATCATGTATGATGGGCCAAAAAAAAAAGAGACCAAAAAGGAGATTAAAAAGAGAACACTGGGCCGCGGAAAATGTATAGGGGAAGGGTATATGCGCGCCAACAGAGGCAATAGGGTTTTTTTGGGGAAGAAAAAGTAGAGGAAGAAGGGGAGAGACCTGGAGCGGCAGGATAGACAATGAAGGAGACCAAATGGCCTGCTTACAGCCACAAAACCCAGCGTACACCGGAAAAGAAACCTCGGAAAACACCACGCACAAGCTTGAAGGCCATGACAATCAGCCACACCCACCAAAGCATAGCGACGAGAGCCCATTCCAGAACCATGAAACCAGTTCGGCGAATCCATCTCAAGCGGCGGCGACGCTTGCGAACACCCTTGTCCAGAGCATCACTGAGCTGCTTGACAGCGAGAGTGCTCGTAGTGTTGAGCTGAACGCACATGTCCTCGGCATCATTTGCGGTAGCCCTCATACGAGGAGCAAGTGATTGGTTTACCAGTGTCTCCAGCTGCTTGATCTGAGATCGGAGAGGCGATGATGTAGTGCTGGAGAATTGATGCATGGATTGTTGGAATGAATATTGGGTCATTTCAAACCGATGGAGCAGATTTTGAGCAGCGAGATCAAACTCATTGATGCGCGTCACTTTGGGTATAGATGGACTTGATCCTAAAGAGTTCTGAAGCCAGTGTGGAGCTGGTTCACGAGTTGTGTGGGCTCTCCGTGTTATTTCACGGGCTTTGATGCCCGATGACAAAAGCAGAGCCCGTGTGCGCTCGATTTCGGATTTCGCAGGTATCCCGGTGTCAGTCAGGGTATGAAGACTGCGACCGGAAATACTCCAAGCGCGACTCGCGCCCGAGAGCCCGGAGCGTCTCCCCTCGGGTGAGATTCCAGGTGATGCCCGAGCTTTGGCGAGTCCAGTGACAGGAGGCCGTGTCAGGCTGAAGGGAACGGAAGGGTCTTTGATCTCGTGGCGCTTCTGGCGCACTGTTTGCAGAGAAGGACTGAAATCCAGTGTCTTACTGCGCGGGAAAGCAAACTTCTTGGAAGGCTCACGGGTATCATACTTTCGTGAAGGGGTCTGTTGTTCGCGAGACTGATTGAATTTGCCCTGGTCAGAAGTCAAATATCGCTCATCCTGTCGCAGAGGCGAGGTGAAACTCGGCAATGAGGAAACATAGTTCCGTGATGAGTTCTTCTCGGATTCCCTAGTTTTCTTGTCACTTCTAGGTTCCTCATCTGAATCACTATCATCGGAAGCAAAGGTAGTGGCAGATGAGGACTTGCGAGATTCGGGATCTGCGTCTTTTTTCAAAATGAGGTCTCCGACTTTAGACACCTCATTACCCACAATCTCTGCAATCCGACCAGGGCCCTTGAATATCCCCCGTAGCTTTGATTCGGCAAGATGAGCGCTCTTGCGGGATCGGTGTCCGTCTGTCCGGCTGCCTTCTGGCGTGGCCTGTTCATCTTGATGGGATGGGTAGACGGCATCAGGAAGAGGGCTTGGCTCAAGCCTAGGAGTGCCTTCATGCCAACCGGGAGAAAGCGGGGGTACATGATGTAGAGCCTCAGGGGCTGCGACATCATCTTCACGTTCTCGATATGCCTGTTTACTTTTGCTCCGCTCGTGGCGCGAGACGATCTTGTGGCGCAACCTTTTCTTCGTGGGCGAGGGTGACCGACTAGAGGGGGGCGACAAATTCACCGCTATACTGGGGAAGTAGCCGACATGGACCGGAGAATTGGGCGCTGTACTGTCCATTCCCTCCACCGACATTCGAGGATCGAATCGGCCATCCGTACTGCCTGCCGATGAAACCGAAGCCCTTCTGTGCTTGAAATTTTGCGCCGTGTTGAGTGCCAATGGCTCAGATGGCTGAGGTGTCCTTCCCCGATCAGGCTCGGCGTGCCGGATAGCAGGGGATTTGGCGCGAGATATCCGAGAGCTTGAAGATTGTGCATGGTCTACAAATCGCTGGACATGCTCGCGGAGGTGCTCGCGGGACATGCGGGGCCTTTCATCAAGAGAAGGCCGTGATTCCGAGCTTGAAGAGCTCGAAACACTGCCAGAGCGCATTTTGACTTTATCCCATCGGGACGGTTTCCTGGCGCTGGAGCCGCTCCGACTGCGCAGGCTGTGAGAATGACTTCGTAACCGATGTCTGTGTCGCCCACGGCCCACGCTTTTGAATTCATGCGCCATCGCAGGATGAGTGCTCGAAAGAGATGTTCGTGGTGAAGAGTTTACCTCGCCACGGTCTCCCACTTCTGTTGAAAGGCGTTGCTTATATGGGGTCGCAGAATCATCACGCGTGTTCAAGATGACCAATTCTGTAGGATCAGGGTATAGTTTGAAGCCATCTTTGTCAACCACTTTTGTCTTATTGGTACCCTCTTCGAGCCACGCAGCATCGGCCAAAAGCTCTGCGGGAGACATTGTCCAATCAATTCTGGGCCGACGCGCTTTCGTGCTGCTAGTTCGGCTGACACGTCGCAAGCTCGCCGGGGGTGAGGTAGCCATCGTGTTCATGTCTTCATGCTCTCCAATAAATGAATGGCGGAGACCTTGCTTGAGAGGTGGCAACTTCAAGCAATCGAATTGATCGTGTTCGGGTTGGCTGTATTTTTGCTCGACGGCATCAATCCAATGATGGACCCTTTCCGCGTCGTGCCACCCTTCGGCGTCTGCATCAATAGTACATTTCTCACGATACCTGACCTTCCGATTCCGAATCGTTTGAAGCGGGTTGTAGCCGCGATAACGATGCTGAGACCTTGAAGACTCTGTCGATCCATCCTTGACTGTCTCTCGAAGTGGGGGTAGTAGAGGAAGGAGCCGCATATATTCATGAAAGAGATCAAAATGATTGCGAGCTTTTTGAGCCCGGATCAAGGTACTCTCGGAGAAATCGTATGCTCTTTGGTCCTCAACCGCACCGGGAGGCAGCAAATCTACAACAGATGACTGTTCTATGGTCGGTAGCGTCCCCTGCGACATGCGGTCACCGGGAATTTGTGTAAAATTGCGATATGCCGAGTCACGTTGAAAATTCCCTGCTCGTGGAGGATGCGCATAGCTATCTGCTGGCGGAGCAGCAGGTTGAGAAACAGATATTGGCCTCCGGCCAGGACCTGGAGGGATGCCGGAAGCTGTTCTCCTTCGAGATTCGTTCAGATTCAACGCAAGGTTGACAATTTGGAGTGAGTCCCGATCAAGGCCCGGGGTTGGCTGCTCAGCGCTATCCTTGTGCACCTCGGGCTGCGAGGAATTTCTAGAGGGCTGCTTATCGGAGGGCGTAGATGCTTGTCGAGCATTGGTCGGGCTCGTCTTCTCTGCATCTACCGGCTCGGAAGCATTGTGTTTGTGTCGGCTCCACGGAAATCGAGAGCGTTTCTTGGGAACCACGATTTCCGGCTCTGGGACACGGCGCTTTTCCTGGGCTGGTTCCGATGGACGAGGGCGGTGCAGGCTCATTCTTGAGCCCCTCGAGCTGGGAAACGAGTCAAGCAAGAATCCACCAGAGCTTTGGGCCCTCCTCTGAGTTTGTGTCCTTCTGTCTCCGTCACGAGAACCGCTGCCCAATGTAGTACCCTCCAGTTCCCCGCTTGGTCGGCCATCGTTCGTTTGTGGCGTGGTTGGCTGACCTGTGTCTCCATCGGATCGGAGATATGGTGAGCTGTTTCCAAGTGACCGGTTTTGGGTTCCCTCATAAGACGTCGAGGATCGTGTCGGAGGTTCGTTCGGTTGTTGCGACATTGCCGCGGAAAGGGCAATAGTGCTAGATGGTCGCGCTCGACGGAAGGACGGACATTATTTGGCCAGAAACAAGCATGGATGCGATGCGCCGGGTAAGCAGGGGGTTTCGACCTTGGGACAGAAGATAATCAAATTGATTGCCTGATTCACTTTGCACGACGTAACATCCCCAGTGTAGATCGGGATGCGCGTCAGCCTGTCTTACGTAATCACTTTATTCATCCTGTCCTCATACAAAAGGGATCTTTTGTCCAGTAAAAGGATGCCATATGACCATTTCTTGGTTATTGCTTATGACAATATGACTAGCCCAAGCTAATCGAGGGCTGTTTCCTTTCTCCGACAGCGTGTTATTCGAACAATGACTCAAATTCTGGACTAGACACAACCCTTGGAAGCCTCCACAAGAACTGGCCAAAGCAAAAGAGGCATACTGCTGTATGCATCTCTCACTGAATACGAGTGCATGTCATGGCACAAGATTCGGGTTCAGCCCCTGGAGCAGCCGCGAAGCGAATTCGAAAACATAGAGGGCACTGCTCCAGTAAGAGCCGCACCAAAACCCGGGAGTAAGCGCGTAGCGCGAGGTCAGCAGGAATGAGGCCAAGCTCAGCCTCTCAGTCGAACTTCCACTGTGACAAACCGGCCAGATTGACGACTAGCATGTTTCTAACGCGATGACTTCAGTGTGCTTTGGCCACGACAACTCGGGCATCCAGGTAGGAATCAACCATGGCCCGATATATGTTGGCAAAGACTTCCCCTCTGAGCAACCGAAGTCATGCAGTCCGATGTCAACCGGCTGAAGATTGCCAATAGGCGGGATGTCGGTGCCAGTATATTTGCCCTCGTCTATGACTGGCTCCAAAGCAACGAGAAGTGGATGGTGATTCTGGACAATCTGGACGACGATGGGTTTCTCCATGAGCGCCGATCACCCAGTCTTGATGGCCAGAAAGCAGACCGAAGCAGCGCTGCGGAGCGCCCGCTTGTGTCATTCCTACCTCGGGGCTCAAAGGGAACAATGATTATCACCACTAGAAGCAGAGATTCCGCGTTGAGAATTGTCGATCACAACAAGTTGATCGAGGTCCTTCCGATGGACACGCCGAACGCCGTAGCGCTCCTGCGTACGAAGTTGCAACTACCAGCCGAAGGAATGGACCTCAAGAGGCTGGCTAAAGCGCTTGACCACATGCCACTAGCGATTGTGCAAGCAGCAGCATATATCAGACGCAGGTCACCTCGATACTCGGTCCCTCGTTTTCTCCATGAGTTCGAAGGGAGCGATGAAAAAGGCTCAAAGCTCCTGTGCTATGAAGCTGGTCATTCCCAGCGAGATAGAGACGCTACAAACCCCATCTTACTTAGTTGGCAGATGTCTTTTGATCATATCCAGAAGCTCAGAAGCTCAGCAGCAAGTCTACTATCCCTGATGAGCTTTTTTGACCGCAACGGAATTTCGGAAAATTTTCTTCGACTGCCATCACAAGTTGCTGCTTGGCCTCACGATCATGCAGATAAAGCCCTAGGTTCAGCCGAGCACGCTGAAGCAGAATACAATGCGGCTCTAGGATTCAGCGACGACGTTGCTCTCTTGAAAGACTTCTCTTTCATTTCTATCCACCAGAATACGCATGTGCTGATGATGCATCGACTTGGTCAATTAAACGACACGCCAATGGCTAGAGAACCGCGGGGAAGGTGAGAAATGGAGGGAAACCTTTTTCAGACTCTTGTCTGCCAAGCTCCAATTCGGAGGCCTCAAACACTGGACTGAATACCTCTCTCTCTCTCCCCGCACCTCAAATCAGCTTCAGCGCAAAGACCGCACTCGAGTACATGCCTGCAAGAGTGGGCGTCGCTACCCAACTGGGGTGCTATTTGCCTGAGAGGAAAAGGCTTCTTCACGGATGCAAACAGAATGGCAACCGCATCCCTCGATACGCGACAACTGTTGTTAGGCACAGCACACCCTGACACCCTTCAAAGTATGTGTACTCTTGCCTCCACGTATTGGGAAGCGAAACGATGGAAAGAAGCAGAGGAATTGCAGCTGCAACTACTAGAGATTCGCAAAAGAACTCTCGACGAAACGCATCCGGATGTAATAAGAAGCATGTCCACTCTCGCATTCGTATATTGGTTGAAAGACCGATGGCAAGAAGCGACCGCATTGCAAGTGCAAGTGGTAGAGCTTCGCCAAATGGTGCTTGGCGTGGATCACCCTACAACACTAAGTTCTATCCACATTCTCGCGTCTATGTATCGGGAGCAAGGTCAATTTCAACATTGTGAGCGACTGTTGAAGGACGTGCTGAGTACCCAAGAGAAAATTCTCGGGGTAGAGCACGAAAGTACATTCAATAGCATAACCAGCCTTGCGATCACGTATCGGGAGCTGGGCCAGTTGAATGACTTCGAGATTATACTTGCACAAGCCCTAGAGATAAAGACAAATGTCCTAGGCAGAGAGCACCCCGATACACTGAGCAGCATGGTTGACCTAGCAATGACATACCAGAGTCTAGGCCAACTTCAGCGCTCTGAAGAATTATTGACACGGGCACTCACGGTTCATCAGGAGGTTCTTGGGACCGAGCATCCTCGCACGATTAGAAACATGGCCACTCTTTTGTTCGTATATCGAGACCAGGGCCATTTTGAAGGGGCAGAGAATCTGGCAGTCCGAGTGCTTCAACGTCACAAAAGAGTGCATGGAGAGGAGCATCGTGATACATTGGAAGCTATGTTGGATCTCGCACTGATGTACCAGCATCGCGGCCGATGGAAAGAGGCTGCCATTCTACAGGCACAATCGCTCGAACTTGGCATCAAAATCCACGGGCCAGACAACCCAAAAACATTGAAAATCATGGCCGAGTCTGCGCTGCTCTGGAAAGAGCAGGGTGAGTCAATAAGGGCCTTTGACATCTTGAGCGAGTGTGTAGCAACGCAAACACGCGTCTTGGGATCAAATCATCCAGAAACCAAGGATAATTGTGATATTCTGACGCGATGGCAGTTGGAGAGCCTGGAAATTGATACAAATGAAGCAGATTCACATTCATAATCTTACATCCTGGTTGAATTATGTACACAACGATAGAAGAATTTTGAATGGCAATGAATAGACCACGATGATTCCAAAGCTCTATGCTCTCACACTGAAGCCTGTTGATATGTGGAAGGTACCTAAAATTGAAGACACCCTGCGCTGAGAGAAACATGACTGGAATCTCCCTGTTAGCACGGCAAGTGTAGCAAGGGTCTTGGTACGAAGCGAACAGTATTACAAGCGAGATACCCACATCCTGGAGGGTACAAGACTGATAGGTGAGAAGAAGGAGTCGTCATTCATCATAAGTTCCAAGCCAACTTGAACCGTGACACTGATCCCAAAAGTCATGCTCATGCTCGCATATACACGTAAGCTAATCTACCTGAATCAAGTCCTCATCCCCACCGATGGCAGCCCCTCGGGAATTTGATCGCTCATTCACAGGAGCATATGTGGGATGCGCCTTCTTCATATGCTGATTGAGATTCCAAGTGCGCGAGAAGCCTTTCGTGTGTCGACTACAAGCCTCCAAAGGACAGACGATATCGAATTTGCGATGAGCTCCCTTTCCACGACCCGGTCTGGACCTTCCACGCTCTTTGGTTGGGGGAGGCGGGTTGGTATCCGCGGCGGCTTCGGGCTCCGGGGATGATGAATCGGAAGGAGGAACAATTGCGGGTGTTTTCGCTTGCTTTGAGCGGTTTTTGTATTTTTTCGGTGTAGCTCGCGACTCAGGCTGAAGATTGGGACTTTGTTCGAGTGACGCCCGGGACGCGGGTTGTGGTGTTGCTGGTGCCGATTCATCGTCCAAGTCGCTCTCCGTGTAAGTGTATACCCACTGGCCATTGTTGTTGCGCTTCTTTTTCACGCGACCTTCAGCCATTGTGTGGAATTCCATATCCTCGCCGAAGAGATCAGCGCAGCGCTTCGAGGCACGCATCACGGCTGCCGATGGCAGGTCCATCATTGATGCTAGACCCAAAACCTCACTCCAGTCGCGCAATTGCATTCTGCCCGATTTGTTTTGCTGGTCCTCCTGGCTCTCGACAGACTCGGGGGATTGACTTCGTGCTGGAGATAAATCTGGTGGAACCTCTTCTTCCTGAGTTGGTTGATTTGGTCCTCTCATTGCTTGTGCGATCATTTCTTCGACGGACTGTTGATGTAGAAAGGAGCCGTCCTGCGTGGGTTTCCGACCACGGGATCGACTTCTACTCTCATCGGTTCTCTCCTGTGGACGTTCGTTGCTGTCGTCGCCATCGTCGTCGCCGTCATCCTCATCGGAATCCCAGTCGTAAAACTCCTCGTCGGATATCTCGTCGTCTGTTCTTTCATCGTGCTCGGATCCCTCCTCGAATTTTCGACCTTTCATAGCGCAATGAAGGCCGTATAGCAGCTTGTCTATTTGGGTAATGACATTGCGCGCTAGCGGACGGAGTTGCTTCGCTGATTTGCCGTCATCTGCTTGAATAGTTGGTCGCAGGACGATTGTGCTCAGCGGCCTTCCATACTCCTTTTTCTCAAGTTCCTCGGCCATCATGTCATCCTTGTCACCGATTCTCTTGTCCAAGTCACTTTTAACATCCTCGTAATCCCATTCTCGGGCTCGATATTTGTTTTTGGCAGCCCCGAGAATGAACGCCGTGATAGATTCTTCAAGGTCCGCGCTGGGTCGAGGGTCTGGTGCCATACGAATAGACCCATTTTGGTCCATGCGGTTGTGAAGTAATTCGCCCAGACGTGGAACTTGAGACGCAGGCATAGGCCATGCAGTCCAACGCTTGGGCAACTCGATTGTGCTCTCTTCATTGGTCTCTGGGTGCTTTTGGTGAGAGTCGCGCAATCGTCTGCGAACCATGTGCGCATTGTACAGGTGAGCCCCAAGATCTCTTGACCGTTCAGTTATCAAGGCGGTGCATGCGCCGATGTCATCAGCATTGTATCTTCGCCATGTGCTTGCGGCGCCCTGGAATAGGTTTGGCCGCTCTGTTCCCGGTGGTAGGTCCAAGCCCCGGTCAACCACGTAACGGATCGGCTCTGGCGCCGGCTTTGGTGAAGTCGCGCCGACTGCAGCAGGTGGACTAGACTGCATGATTTGAGAGCTCAGATTGCGTCTTGAGGTGCTTCGACCCCGACGCGGGCTGCTCCGAACGTTCTCATCATTGGAATCGTAATCAGACGTCAGTGGTCGGTCGTTTAGGAGTATGTCATGATCTTCTTCGACCTCGTCCGGGGCTTCATCCATGATATCGGACTCATGTATGGGACCTAATGGGACATATTTCGCAGAGTGACTCCTAGCTAGAGAAGGTCTTGATCGCTCTGGTTGCGAAGAGGGTTGCAGATCAACATCGCTGCTTGGCCCGCCAAACAATGATTTGGGTACCTGCGCAGAGTCGGGCGGGAGGAAATCAGAGCCCGGCACATGACTTTCGGAGAAGGAAGACATTTTCTAGTCACCCGTGGGTCATCTGTGATGTTGCGCACGAGGTGGTCGAGACCAGCGGAGCGCAAATGTTACATGGGGAGAAATAATCAAGGCCGGAGATTGGAGTTCAATTCAATGAAGCATCATACGCGTTCGAGACATCTGCAAGCGCTCTGTTCCAATTCAACTTCAAAAATCGAACTTACGGTGCCGGGGATGCTTTGTTGAATGTTGGACAGGTCAAAAAATGTCAATCAGTCACGTGCCCGATATACACGTTCCAAAATTGCGTTGCCAAGGCCCACGCTAGACCCAAAAAGGTAATACATTGAGGATATAGATCGTCCCTTCTGTCCACGGGTAGGTTGACTCCAGGGGTGTGTATTTCTCAATGTATCTGGTCCCTTCAATAAATGTTTATTCTTTATCATTTTCGTGCATCCTCGAGCTCCAATGTTTCTACTCCAAGAACCATTTGAGCAATAAATGGCAACCGAATAAAGGATCCATTAGAATGGTCGGCTTCCTGAGATAAATTCTTGATCACTTCCTTATCACTCCTTGATCAATTCACGTCATTATCACTTCATTTCACTTTAATTCGTGAGTACTTTACTTTATTTCTGGAAGCCAATCCACGGCTATCCGACAATAGGGCTATTCCAGTCATTCTTCGCATTGAATCGTCAATTCTATAATGAAAACAGAGTAGTAGGAGGTCCAATGCTTATACGAATCAACTGATCCCCATTATAAATCCCTCCCGAGGTCATTTGCTGTTCGACCCTTAGTCAAAGCTTCCTTTACTCGACCAATCATGATGACTCGACGATCAATTGGAAGGACAGCCTAAAAGACAGTGAAAAGACAGTGAAAAGACAGTGAAAAGACAGTGAAAAGACAGTGAAAAGACAGTGAAAAGACAGTGAAAAGACAGTGAAAAGACAGTGAAAAGACAGTGAAAAGACAGTGAAAAGACAGTGAAAAAGAGGGTCCGAAGTTGATGATAGCTCTCCTCCGCTACCAATCAAAATATGAGATTAAGTCAATACATAACTACTCCTTTTTATAAGCAACTTTTATCGTCCTATTTGGCCGCAAGTGAGCGCGGCACTGAGGCTTGTTACCGCGATACACGCGGTCCAGGGCTGGGTTGCCAAGACCCGCACACGCTAGACCCGTAATGGTAGTATACATCGGAGTGGCCTCACTACAAATTGGTAACAGGAAGCTTGAAAAGAGATAGAAGACATCTACTCGGATGCCATTGAAGTAAGAAATATCTGGGTAACCTCCACTCTCGCCATCATCACAATAGCCGCCTTCCTCTATCGAGGTACCCTCCTTTGTCCATAACGATCACTTCTTCCACATCGAAGCACCCGTCGCGTCACCCGTAGCTGTATTTATGTTAGCTGATATGCTCCCAGACATATGAAAGACTCGGGTGTTTCGACTGAGGCAACTCTCATAGTGGGATCGAATTAGAAGCTAGCAATCAACGCCTTTTTGATTTCGGCGGGGGTAAGCGGGTTGTCAACCGGCACGAAAGCAGAGGCGACGATGCTTCCACGAGCTTGGGCGGCAGAAGTCACGCTGATGGTGTTGCTAACCATGACTCGCAGAATGTTGCACTTAGGCAGGTTGGTAGTGAGCTAGGAATGGAAGGTTAGTATGCTTCTCATCAGTGCAGTGCATTCGCCAGGGCTTTGGAAGCTGATACATACACCCAGATTCTGCAGGTAATAGTCACGAGTGGTGTGAACCTTTCCCGCAGTGTCAGAAAAGCCCAGGAGCTTTTCGTCAGGGATCGACTCAATAAAGTCGGTAAAGATGATTCGTAGCTTGCTACTCATGATGGAAGATTTGATGAAAGGTTCAGTAGTTTGAAGATTTGCAGATAGACGAAGTTGCAAGAGAGAGAGAGAGAGCGATAGAGAGAAAGAGAGCAAGAGAGCAAGAGAGCAAGAGAGCAAGAGAGCAAGAGAGCAAGAGAGCAAGAGAGCAAGAGAGCAAGAGAGCAAGAGAGCAAGAGAGCAAGAGAGCAAGAGAGCAAGAGAGCAAGAGAGCAAGAGAGCAAGAGAGAGGGAAGTGAAGAGAAGGCAAGGCTGTCACCCCCAATGGTCTGAAGATTCTGCAGCAATTATCTACTACTATTTCAATTGACAATCTACGAAGTGATGGATTACATTGTTCAAGCTTTAGACATAAATGCAATACAGAAATTCGGTAGAGACCCTACAGTGGATATAGGAGGTGGATTGTGCTGATCAGATTAAACTTTAATACCAATGTGGGAATCTATGAGCTAAGCTACCATTGTCAATTAATGGACAGAAAGGTCTTGTAGAATTACCCCGAAAAAATGTAACTGCATCGGTTGGTCTAAGTCACATGTAACTCGCCCACCATCTTTCTTGGAGGCTCTGCAAATTAGCCTTGCCATCGCCGAGATCTGTAATCCAGGATTCAATAGCACTCAGGCCGAACACGTCGTCACAGTGTGTCACCGCAAGATCAAAGTCTTTCAAAGTCTGCGCCTGATCGAAAAGATCCACCCACGGCTTGGCCACTCGATTCATCTCTTCCATGAATAATTTGCGGAGGACGGTCGTCTCATACTCATCCAAGTCTTCAAAGTACATCTCAGACAGACTCCCATCAGCTTCAGGAGAATAGGTCGCTGGATCGGGCTTCGAGAATCGTGGGGAACTTTTGAGCCTCAAGAATTCAGGATAATCACAAACCCTCCATGAAGGCACCAAGGAAACGAATTCCCAATCAATGACACCAGTCATCTCCCCTCCGTCGCCAACGAGAATGTTGTTCCGTGAGAGATCGTCGTGGAAAATGACCGACGGCCGGGAATCATCCTGCATCTGCTGCATGCGAGGAAGCAGGGTACCGAGCTTTTCCATCCTCTTCAAAGTGTTTTCGCCGTCTATCTTGTCGCATTCCTCGAGTCGACTAAGCTCACCAACTGAAAGTCGCTTGACTACTGGTTCGAACTCATTTCGGATGATCGCCAGGCGAGCAGTGATCCAGTGCTGACTTGAGTCAAATGGACCTCGAGGAATTTGTTGCTGGAGATGAGGGCCCCAGAAGAATGGAATGGAAACAATCCGATCCACGCCACTCAAAGAACGCTTCGAAGGACCATCGCTGGGCCAGTCTGAAGCACCATCTGTGCTGTACTGCAATGAGTTGAGGGTGTTGTTATCTTTGATTGGAACTTGAGGGGATGGACGCCCTGGAGTGGGGATAGTATCGCAACTCCAAGAAGGCTCATATAAGCTTCCGATTCCCTCGAATTTGTGTTGAAACAGGGCGGCCTGGGCTTGTGCAAGTTGACGGACCATGCGCTCCTTCGCTTCCCACGGAAGATCTCTCCAAACTTCACGACAAGGCTTCCCTGGCATCTTTTCCATTAAGATCCACTCAAAACGAATGGGATTGTCCCGGGATGACTGATAGGCGAAGACTTCCGGGACTGGAAGGTTTGTGGTTTTGCGGACAAATCTCATAGTTGCGACTTCACTCTCGGTTTTGTACCACGGGTCCACGGGCAATGCGACTTTCATGACAAACTCCTTTCCATCAACGGTGGCAGTGTAGATTTTGTTAAATGCTCCTTGGCCAAGAAATTCAATCTTGACTGTGCTTGCTGGGTAGAGATACTGCACTGTCTGTTTGATGGCTTCCATGTCAGGCTCTCTGGTCCACTTGGGTACGAGACTTCCGCAAAAGCCGGCTGGTGACCACTCAAGCCCCTCTTGGCTGAAGTCCGAGTTTGTAGTATTGGTTGTCTCGTTGTGAAGCTTGTGGTCTTGCTTCTGGGTGGCTGCATCAGGCTCCACATTGCCAGGAGGGTTGGTGACAGGGGCCTCGTCACTGGTCTCGCTGAGCTGCAGAGGAGAAGACCCAGGGGAATCCTCATCAACAACAAGAGCAGTGGTTGGAATGTTGGCCTCTGTGTCGGTGGACTGGTGCGGAGTTTCAGTATCAGACTCCATGATAATTGAATCAGTAGGAGTGGAGGTTTCGCTGTCGATATCAGTGTGTTGCTTCGGAGTGGCTGGATCGTGATCCACATCGATGGGCTGGTAGATCTCAGCAATAGAGTGGCATTTCTCGTTTTGTGGGGGTTGAGTGATGGTAATGGGTGGCGAGGGAATGCTGTATGCATCACCCCCAGCCGGACAAGAGATAAGTTTCATAACGGTCATAGTGACAAGATCAGTGGAGAAGTTTGGAAGGAAAGGGGATGAAAGCAGAGATGGAGAGAGGGAGAGAGGAAGAGGAAGAAAAGGAAAGAAGAGAGAGGAAGTAGGGACCAAAGGCATCAAACCTTACTGCCCGCCATCGCCCAAATCCAGCTTATGTTAATTTTAAAGCTCACTGATTTACCTACAGCAGACAATGACTACTTTCTGTGATAAATGTGTATTCAATAAACTTGAGTCGATTCACAAATTACCATTTTGATTGAGAGATATGTAAAGTGCAAGTGTCTATCCAAAGATTGGCAAACTGATAGATATCAGAGAAGAAAGTCAGACAAAATGAACCCCGACATATCCACCCTCAGAAACCCTCATTTGGAATGAAAAGGGGCATAGAGTCTTCCCAAATAGAATTTGTCAAAGGCCGTTTGTTGGAACCGTCCGAGTCCATGATCATGATCTGACTGTAGGGCTGAAACGTGTTATCGTACAAGGGACATTCATACTGAAAGCCGTACATTCCTGTTGACCACATAATCTTGCCATCCTGTCGCCAAACAGCATGGGCATCATTAGCACCGCTGCTGGTGAGAACGCGCAGATCGGAGCCGTCAGCGTGGATGGTGCAGATCTCGTAGTTGGTTGGGTCCGTCTTGCGCGTGAACAAGATGAGGGTTCCATCTGGCGAGAATGCAGGGAAGTTATCCCAGCCTCTTGTTAGTTGAGTGATTTCTCTGGTCTCAAGGTCGATGAGACGCAGACCGGTTTGCGTCTTGTTACCGAACTTGGATGTCTCAGGGCCCCAGACTCGGTACACAACCTTCTTGCCATCGTGAGAAAAACTGGGGAAGCCGGTGTTCAACTGATCACCTCCGCTGAGGGTGTCATTACTCGTGGTAAGAATATCGGAGTAGCTGCCGTTTTCTGTCGCTCGCACAACCCAGCCTCCCCCATTTCCTCGCTCTTCAAACCAAGTGCCGACTCCAAAAACGAGCCATTCCCCATCTGGAGACCAGCTGGGGCTGTATGCACCGGCGAAGCTGTTTCGAACCTGCTCGGGGTGCACATAGTCTGTGAGACTAGGGTCGTAGACGAGGGAAATGTTCTTTCCTTCTCGGTTGAAGGTCACAATAGACGAGTTGCCAAGGAACTTGTCGGTGACTACAATCCTCCCCTTGGAAGAAATCTGCGGCAGAACATCCGTGAAACGGTAGTCCCATTCAGAGTCCCAGCTATAAAGCTTTTTAAAAAGCGGACGAATTGCCCAAGTGACCTTTTCGTACACAACATAATTTCCATCTGGAGACCATGAGGGAGAAGAAACATAAGTGCGGGAGTGGCCGCTATTGGTGAGATATGAACTGCGCTTGGTGAGATAGAAACCGCGGTTTGTACCACCCTTGAGAAAATACCCAATGGTATCATTTGTGACGTACTGAGGGATTATTTTAACACCCGGGCCGCAGACTTCGGTGCGACGGTCCTCACCGTCAAGTCCAATGGAGACAATGGTTGTATTCGCAGATGCCATCAGCTCAGGCCGACGTGAGATCCACGTTTCTTCACGAGTCATCTCGTAAAACACGATTCGTGTTCCATCTGGGGACCATTTTGGAGATCCCAGACAATAGCCCGGACGGTGGGCTACTCGGCGCAGATCTGACCCATCGGGACGAATCACGTATACACTCAGTTCCTGCGTGTGCTCCCATCCCGCGAGGCCAAGGTATGTGGGAGATCCGTGCCCATCCCAGGGGGTGTTGCGGTCTGATGAAAACGCAATCCATTCGCCGTCGGGCGACCAAGAAGGGCGAAAATGGCCAGCCATCATGGTGTCACTCGGGCGGTTGGTGATGGTATCGGTGATATTCCATTCGGCACCGGTATCAAGATCTTTGACCCAGATGTTGGCCTTGTAGCTGTTTGCCGTTGAGACGTATGCAGCTAAAGATCCATTGGGTGATAAAACGACACTGTCTTCCATTGCCGGGGACTCGAGGATAGGCTGGAGATCAGAGCCATCGGGGCGTACTCGATAAATATCGGAATTCCCGTCGCCGTTGCGTTCACCTGTGAATGTGATCCATTCGCCATCTGGAGAAAAAGTGGCATGATACTCATATATAGGCTCTTCCAGCAGCTCGTGTTCGTCTGAGCCGTCTGCATTGGCAATGTAGAGTTTTGAAGTCCCAGGACTGATGCGGTTCATCAGAAATATGCCTTTGTTGCCTGATGCGGTTTTATCTCCAGTTGAAAAGTCACTTGCTCCGGAGTCTGATGGCAAGACGTCACTCTTCTTGTATAAATGTGGAATATCCTGCTCATAAGCCGTGGGCGCAGCATCTCGCAGGCGAGGGCATGCTGCGAAGGTAGGGACAACAAAAAATCCCACGAGAGAGAAGATGATAACATGCATGTTGAGTAGAGATTATGGTAGACAAAAAAAGAGGCAACACGCCGCTGGTCTCATCCCAGAAGCCCGAGTTCTGCGTAGATTTAAAGTACAACGTGGTACTGTCTTCTGGGTTTTGAGATATTTTCTTCGACCCTAGTTGAATCTGATTTCCGTACCTGTATGCCTCGGGGGCTGGTACTTCAAGTCTCTCGTGGTTCCCTGCACATTTGAAGAAGCTTAACAATACCCAATTTTGCGTTGTACGGAGATCTAGCTGGGGGCCTTGTTCTAAGTTTCCAACAAGGCTTCGCGCCAAAACTTTGGAGTCATGGGTGACATATGTGACCTAATTTGACCAGAGAACCCCATCTCCAAATCCTCGAGCCAGGATTGCCTTGTAAGAAGTGCTCGGGAAGTATCGAAGAGGCGCTGCTCCGGAAAATCAAGTTGCCCAATAGCTCGCCGACTAATTGTGTAATTGTTGTTGACCCCAGACATTGAGTAAATATTCTTGATCTCCTACAAGGATCTTGGCTCCGTCTGGCTTTTGTTGTGCTTGTTTATAAATTGTGTGACATTCTCACAGGTGTACGGTTGACTTTTGCTTTAGCAATGCAACTCGAACTGCCCACCGGATATGTTCCGTCTATATGATTTAAATAGGATTCAGCTCTGGACTCTTTGTCTCAGGCCTGGAGGAGGTCTGGATGCTCTGAAGTGTTTCGATTGGTCATCCAATACCGGGGCAGCATGAGACGTAGACCTGCCTCGATGGTCGGAAATAAAATCCAACAGCACGTGCCTGCATTGCTGGTACCATGTTACCAGGACGAGCAACAGAGATTCTCCTCGGCTCGCTTTCAATCTGGTTTGCGGTGATTATTCAGATGATTCGATGATGATGCCAGAACTTTGATTGAAGGTTACCATAAAGGTTCTCCATCGCGCCTGGCCAATCTCTATCCGGTCATCACCACTCACGAACCTCAAAAATCCACCGTGTGTAACTACAACGATGTCCGGTCGATTGGTGCCCGCAAGTCGTTGGAAATGCTCTTTCAACTGACGCTGAATTCTTGCACCGCGCAATCTCAAACTCTCAGGATCAGCGGCATATAGGCCTTTCTTCTCTGGGAAGGTGTCATCCAGCTGCATAGTTTCCCAGGGGAGATCGTGGAATTCGGAGCGCAGGATCGCGATCTCCGAACCGGTGTCGCATGGTCGGGCAGAATGGGCTTGGACTTCGGGCTCAAGCACCAGCTGGGCACCGTTTGGGACCCCCGCGCCAGAGCCTGGTGCGTAAAAGCTCTGATCGGTGGAGTTCTGAAACCCCAAAAGAGCTGTGTTGAGTGTGCGTCGCAGCGGAGATGCCAACACAAGACCGACGTCGTCATGGTATGGAAAGTCTTGACATAAGCTCTGAGACTGTGCAACACCCCTGGCTGTCAATGGCGGATCGAGTATAGTTGTATCATGAGCTAAGTTGTGAGTTCCTTCCGCATGGCGAACGAGGTGTAAACGGAAAGACATTGTCGACGGGGATTGGCTCTTTGATTCGCGTCCGGCTGAGCAGAAGAGAATGACAAGTAGAACGCCCCAAAAAAGGGGCGAACGGCCACCTCTTGCGACCCGATCAGCAAATTGCATCTTTCGTGTGAAGCTTGCGTATACTGCCCTAAAGCTTATATCCGAGCTGGATCGGCGATCGCTGCTATTCTGGGAACCGAGGAGTGCGTCGATCAGAAAAACCGCACCAAAGAATGCAATCCCGATATGGAAATTTCCACCGAGGAAAACATTGTGTCCTGCTGTTCAATCAGTTACTGTGCCAGATTGCGAGGCTGTTTGAGGCGTTCGAAGTTTGAGGCTCTCGTGGTATCAGGATAATATTGCCATTCAAACGAAAGAGGAGATTTTGCAGGCGATACTGAATGCGCCCAAAAGACCCGAGCGCCCGGGAATAACACCAGAGACCTGCGTTGAAAAGCATCAAACGATATGAGGATTCAAGAGTGGGAAAAAAGTACAAGTGAAGAGCAGGTTGATGCCAAGGCGCATAAACGCGTTTCAAACACGTGTTTTCACGTCGCGCAATGTATTTCTCTCTCAAACCATTCAATTGTCGGCATCTCTCTTTTTCACAAACGCGTTCTCAAAATCAAGTCCCGCATCTTGACGAATGATGCCATACCCAGCAGATGAATCCAAGTTTTGATCGCCTTGCGCTTCCGAAAAGGCCTTGGCTCGCACCATGTTCTCCAATGCCACCTCCGCAACCTTCAGTCGCGTGCCCACATCCTCTGCAGCGGTGATTCCATGCTGGACATCTTTGATCCCGAGATTCAAACTGGACCAAGGAGACTCGCCTAAATAATGGTGTGAGTGGGGAGTTTCATTGGGAGGGGCTGGAGATCTTACCTTTCGCAGGGACATAGACACCCTGTGTCATGCGAGTAGAGGAGGAATGTGCCAGGCCTGGGAAGTTCAACGCGAGCAATTGCTCAAGCGTATCGCTGCCGAGATCACTCTTTTCAGCTAGCACCTGGGCTTCTCCGATGATTTCCATTGTTCCGGCAACAATGAAGTTGCTGAAACATTTCAGTCAGTACTGAGATCTTACAGAACATGGAGGTTTATCTCACCCTAGCGTCTTCAAAAGAGTCGCTTTCTCCGGCTGATCAGAGACGATCATTACATCCCGTGCGATGACACCTTTTCCGAACGGCGCAACTCTTGCGACAGCATCACTTGGCCCGCTCATAGCCATCAGAACCGAGCCACTCTGTGCCGCCGGCGTGGCTCCAAACACCGGTGCTGGACGCTATACATTAAAAGCTGAAGGATGAAAACTTGATCGGGACTTACCGGCAATGAGGGCCGCATTTCGCCCGGTTAGCCTGCTGCTGGTTTCTTTGGTCGTGTTAGGATGAACAGTGGTTGTATCCACGAAGATCTTCCCAGCGAGATCCAAAACACTCAACGCTTGATCTACAATGTCAACTAAAGCGGCATCGTCACTGGTCTTGTCTTGGTGTCAGCACAGGCTCATTGGTACGACACCACAGCTCGAGAATTCAATTGGTGATAATTCGAGATCACAATCAACAGAGCCATACTCACTGATATGAACACAATATCACATTCAGCGACAAGCTGGGCAATTGACTCGCATGAAACCGCCCCGAGCGCCACGAGAGGTTCGCCGCGCGATGCCGTTCGATTCCAAATGTTCAATGCTGGCTTTCCTTCCCGTTGGATATACTTCTGAACGTTCCCAGCCATCGCCAAGCCCATACTGCCAAGCCCTGGTCGCTGTTAGCCACTAATGAGGCATGGAGTGTGTGGTCGTCAATACCTATCCATCCTACCCGCTCACTAGGTTGTGACATTGTCTGTGTTCGCCTTGAGTCAACAAATCAAGTGTTTGATACTTCACGCGACAAAAGACTCTTTGAGCCAACACCTGCCAATATCCAAGCGTGGAGGCAATTTAAACCACTTGATGAAGCTCGGATGTGAGCCGAAGCTGAGTCACCGCGCGGGGCCCCAGGGCCGGAAGCGGGGCCCGGGGAAATTGTGCTCCGAGTTAGTTCTTGACAACGAAAGACTTGTTGGTTGGGGCAACATCAGTCGTATCTTATTATTGAAAAAAATTGGATTGGATTGGGGCGAAACCTACGGATAGAGTGTCCTGATCTGCTCCTGTATCTCAGCGGATGCACACAAGCAAAAGCTGAAGTTGTTGCAGCAGATGCTCATATCGATTGGAATGCACAATCCTGGCTCCTACTTTGGAGGCGTGGTCCCAGATGTCTGGTCTATCCATCGCTCGACTGACCGAGAGATGTCCCCACGAGTGTCAATTTAGGGCAATCTGCCGCTCCGATGATTGACCGTGTGTTCTCTGGAACTTCTTGGCTGGCTGTGCTGAACCGAAATGTTTCAAATGTTGCAAGGCTCCAGGACTATCAAAACGACTTAGTCATCGTTGAATTAGGGCGCTGCATATCTATTAGTAGCAAGTATGGATATGCGTTGTTGATGTTGATCATTAGGCTCACTGAGCTCGCCAGAACAATGCTACCCCTCGAAGCGTTTCAGCGGGACCATCATTCGCAGGCGGTACAAATGGCGATTGGATATAGTCTAACCCAGAGTTCCTATTTGAGTCTCTTTTCCTGGCAAATCCGAAGGAGAAGTAGTCGATGTGTACATCTCGAAGTGCAAGTTTTACTGGGCGGGCCGAGGCCTAGACCTTGTCGAGCTAGCCGAAGCTAGAGGAACAACCCTCCGAGGAGGATTAACTGGCGCGGCAGCGGATTTCGCCGATAGGTCGGACATCAAAGACCAACTTGACTTTGAAGCACTTTCGAAGCTGCTGAAAGAACGATTCCCGTTTAAGAAGAAGGAAGTTGATCAAACGGACACGATCAATAAAGTCATGGGGATGAAACAGAGAACAAAGTCATTCGAAGCCTACTGCGAGGAAGCACTAGCAAACCGATGTTGGGGGCTGATCTGGAATCGTTGCTAGCCCAATGATGGGTAAATCCGAGTCATAGGGGCACGACAGTCAACACGTTGTCGGTTGAGCCAAATGTCGCTTGCTTGTGGTCTCCAAGTCGAACAAGTTCAGCTTTCTATTGAGTTCAATCATTCACGATCTCAGAAGAGGTCGATCAAGGCTAAGAGACGCGGCGCCTCCTTCTCGTTATGGGAATTGAGCAATCGCCCCATACTCCGCACTTGAAGATTACCTAGTACGGAAGGACTGCCCGCAGGATTAGTGAATGAGACACTTGAATTTGCCTCATATTCCTTGATCTCGATCTTCTGTCGAAACCTCGTCGGCGCTTGGCCACTGTTGGCACTCACCTTAGCCAGCCATCAGCTACCAGTGTAGTCAAAATGCCCGTGGTTGGGTACTTTCGATGATGCATGTTGTCATGGGACGAGGAACAACACTACACAATGAATTGAGACATGTTTCTCAAGTCGCGGCAAAATAATCAGTCGAACGTCCTTTATTGTCTGTAAATGATCTCCTCGCCGGCTTATGGGCCTTGGGTGCCGAGATAAAGGAGCATAAAGGCGGCCTCGGGTCCGGGAAGCTTCCTAATCGGGTAACAAAGCAACATGAAGAAGCCAGTAAGGGTATGAGTATATTGTCAGAGGTGGGATGGCCTAGCGGTGCGGTAAAAACCTGCATCAGCTGGACTGACCTGCCTCGTGGCATTATTCACAAAATATATGTCCGTCGGGTTCACGACTCTCGACGGTGGAATATTTTTATCTCGGGCTCGACTTCCTCTTTGCTCTTTGTTCTTCTTTTTTCGCTTTTTCATATGTTTCTTCCGTATTTATACTCTGTACAGTACTTTTCACCTTGAAAATAAGGCCAAAATCCGGCACAATCCGCACGGGCCGGGAGCAACTCGAATCCTTGGATGTTAACTCCGGCATAACTCCGGTAATTGCCTGGATTCGCGTCCGAAGACTTCCAGGGTTGCACCATCGCTTGCTCCATGCCATTTCATCAAATGAAAAGCTTAGCATCACTTGGCACCAAATGAGCCCACGATCCACCCATGCCTTATCCCCGCCGACGCCACCAACCGGAGATACCACACCGGAGATACCACACCGGAGGTAAGATAGTGATGGATTCGATGAATTCTTGATGTATGGCCAAAGCTGGTCTACATAACCAAGGTGGAAGCAGTGTCAAGCTCGTACTCATCCAGACTCCAACCCTGCACCGTCCATCTTAACCCGTCGCGATGTCCATCCCGTCCCTTCCCATCACACTCAAACCCGATCTCAACGGTCGCGAGGCCATCGCCGATGCTGTTTACCGCGGTGTGCTCTCCTTTGACTTACAAGACGAGTCTCTATTCAAGTCTTCACTCACCATCGATGCCATACTTGAACTCAATGGCACCGTTATGAATGGCCTCGAGGCTATAACCGCTCAATGCTACGACCCTGTTTCCAAGCTAGACACGACTCACTTTGTCACCAACATGCGTATAAACATACTGGAGGAGGACTCGAAGGCTGAAGTAACATGCTCAGCTCTGGCTCAACACTACCGCGACGGAGAGGGCATGGAGCCGGGTACTGTCCCTATCCTTGTCGGCTCCCTCTACTGGCTGGACCTCATCAAGGATCATGAAGACGGACTGTGGAAAATTAAGCATTGGAAGCTCAAGTCTACATGAGGACAAGGCGATTGGGGGGTTTTTGGCAGATAGAATGGCGTCCAGCAATATGGTGACGGTAAAGGCGTACGGCAATGTGGTAAAATAGAGTCCATGAAGCTACTTGTGCTGGAAGACATCTTCTTGATGCTCAAGAAAGCCGGATTTGGTCATTCTTTGGGCTGGGCGACATTTAAGAATGCCTCAATGTCAAGTCTATGATGCAATCAATACTGAAGCGGCGTGAGACTGCGTTGGAACTCGTCAGATAACAGCATGTTGTGCTCAACAAGCAAAGTACGACTGTCTTGTTTCCAAAAAATAACTCATTTTGTTACTTTCAGATAGCAAATTCTTGGCATAAAGCATTGGATCCTATCACCTGGTCTGTTTACTCATGATGCATTGAAAGTCTGCATTATCCTGATTCATGCTACCACGATGAATTTGCTGATTTCATCATTGATAGTCTTCAAAACTACCCAGACCATATTGTGGCATGTACGTCCGAGAAACGCCAATCAAAATACTGATGCCGAGCCTCTCTAGCTGTTGCCGAAGTGGAGTCGTGTCAGGATGGGCAAGTGTGCCCGGGCCGTTGACCTATTGAATCATCGCTTTTTCAACATGGCAGCAGCCGGCGTGCCCTAACCAAACCGGCTACCCGGTGGGTGTGCTCCCACACTTGCGAAGCCCCGGGGTATACTGGCTGCCTTGTTCTTCCCCGCATCTAGAGCTCTTCGCCGTCTGGGGTCAAGTCTCCACACCTTCTGTCCAATGACGCACACGGATTGTGCCCGAGTTGTCATTCTACTACAGCGCAACTCTATATAATCTCATACTGGGAGAGAGAATGGATGATTTTCGTTTCACCCAAACCCAGCTCGGGGTTGTCGAACTATCTATTCCCTTTCTTTCTCAAACAAATCATTACCATGGACAAGCCATTGGGTACATCAACAGACCACATTGAGTCAGCCTCCACGGGTAAACAACTACCCAGAGAGGTGGAAGACATCAACTCCATCCCTCTAGGATGGTTTGTCTGGATGGTGGCTACTACTGCCTCCATTGCAGGTCTGCTGTTTGGGTACATTTTGCCTTTCGGTTTTCAAGCGAAATCACTAATACAAATCCAGATATGACACCGGTATCATCTCTGCGGTATTAGTCTACATCGGAAACGACTTGAATGGACGAGCGCCGTCCCACAGTGAGAAAGAGATGATTACATCTCTTTGCTCAGGTGGTGCTTTCTTTGGAGCCATATTCGCTGGTCTGACAGCCGACAAGGTATGCAACTTCCACTCTCCGTGGGACTCCCGAGACACACGCTCATCCAAAAATGATAGTTCGGCCGCAAAACTCCTATCTACATCGGCTGCTTCCTTTTCACCGTCGGCGCAGCCCCTGCAAGCCTCCGCCTATACAATTGCTCAAATGGCAGTAGGCCGCTTTGTCGTCGGTCTAGGTGTTGGCTCTGCCGCGATGATCGTGCCTCTTTACGTAGCGGAGCTGGCCCCAGCGCAGGCGCGAGGCCGACTGATTGGTTTAAACAACATCTGTATCACAGGTGGCCAAGTTCTTTCGTACGCTCTCGGTGCGGCATTTGCTTCTGTCGATCACGGCTGGCGGTATATGGTCGGCCTCGGTGGTATTCCGTCCATCATCCTTGCAATTTTGCTTCCGTTATGTCCCCCCTCACCACGACAATTGGTTTACCAAGGCCATTCCGATGAAGCAAGGGGTGTTCTGCGGAAGATATACGGACACGCTACAGAATCACAGATTGAATACATTCTGGGCACAATTCAGGACGCATGCGATGAAGCGCGTCAGATGAATGACAATGAAAGCAAATGGAGCAAAATCGTCCAACTTCATCGTGTTCCAGCCAACATGCGCGCATTGTTTAGCGCCTGTGGATTGATGGTTTTCTCTCAGATGTCAGGGTTCAATACCTTGATGTATTATTCATCAACACTGTTCGCCATGGTCGGATTTAGCAACCCTGTTGCCGTCGGATTAATCGTCGCAGCTCCCAATCTCGTCATGGCTTTTGTGAACGTCATGCTCGTCGATCGTCTCGGTCGTCGGCGACTGCTTCTCTACACCTCATGGGGAATGTGCGCTGGTTTGATTGCCGTTACAGTCGCATTCGCTTTCCTTCCAGTCGACACTGAGACCCTTGAAGTTATCGTTGGCGGGACTCCTCCCCAAGCCATAGTTATTCTCGTGTTCCTGTTGTGGTTTGTGATTTTCTACGGTGTTTCTGTCGGCAATACGGCATGGATGAGCGCGGATTTCTTCCCTCTTGAGGTGCGGTCTATGGGTACGATGTGGATGTCGTGCTCTACGTGGGCGAGTAATGTCATTGTGTCCAGCACGTTCTTGTCGATGATGAAGTCCTTGACGCCATCGGGTACTTTCGGGTTCTATGCTGCTCTCTGTGGTCTTGGGTGGATTTGGATATATTTCTTTTACCCGGAAGTATCTGGCTTGCAGCTTGAGGAGATCCGTGAGGTCTTTGAGAGGGGTTATGGAAAGGCAATGAGGAATTCCAAACCGTTGGCATCAAGGGGGCAGGAGGCTTAAGAGGTCTGGTCTAAAGGACCACGGAACTGTGTGTTTGATCTCGAATTCGCTTAGGGTCAACCTGGAATCCCCAATCCCTAATCCTCTGTTCACGGCTTCGCCAAGACTTCAATTTTTCGACCAATAATGATGATTTGACAATTAGTTGGAACCTTGGATGGACAGTTAGAAAGACAGTTAGAAAAAGGTCCCGAAGTTGATAGCTCTCTTCCGTTACCAATCGAAATATGGGATTAAGCGAATACATAACTACGCCTGTGTATACGCAACTATCGTCGTCTTTTTGGCCACGCGTAAGCGCGACACTGAGGCTTCTATCCCTAACTATTCATATCGTCATGAAATAGACTTTTGCACTGTATTTTCAGTTGGATACAACTACGTACTTTAAGGACTGTACCTAGCTCCATGATAGGATTCCACACCTCAAGTTTGTTGACTTCAGGTTTCCAAGAGATACCACGTATGTCTTGTGAGACCCTGCCAGGTGTATGGGTATTCACTGCCGCGATGGCTCTGGGTTTTTCTTTGCCTTCCAAGGTTCCCCTGGTGTACATTCCGTGTGAGTTGAAGCATTCCACACAGGACTTGCTCTCCTTGCCTTTCCGCATAGCCATAGCCACGCTCCTCCTCAATCCCAAACAGTCAATTATCGTGATACGTTGGTTGAGTGTATGATATTGCCAGTAAGCATCCCAACTAGTATTCTATGTTTTGCATGTAGCCAATCAAGAGTCTTGTGGTGCGTTTGTTGTGGACTCATTGTTTCCAATGGCTGGGAAAAGGCTCATCCGTAAGCCATGAAATTTAAATATGTGTCTAGAGAAGCGTTCAAAAGTTTGTCTAGTCCAATTAATCCTTTGCAGACCCATTTTATTGACGAGATGCCACCGCAGCCTTAGCATGGCTTTCAAAGAGTGGGTGCAGTCGAGCTCCTTCGCTGTCAGCAACTTCGGAGAAGGTCCTCTGGGCGTTGTAGGAGTGGTACGGGAAGGGCCTAAAGGAGCATCATGATTTTATCAGTATGTGTATGACAGATGGGGACTGTAGAGGAATGTCGCGATACTGGGTAGGGTTCGGTGACTTACCCGTACTCAGGAACAAATGTGATAGGCTCCAATGCAGTAGCAGTGACATCGATGATCTGTTTCCAGACGGATTCGAAGTACCTTCTTTCTTCCTTGAAAGTCTCATGCGTAGGATCCGGGCATTGCGAAGCTTGTGTAGTGCCCATTCTTGCGTGAATGTGGCCCACATGGGGAATGATAGTGTGGATTGCTGACTTGTCTTCTTCGTATATATCCAAGAGACGCTCGCAGACAACCACGAAATGGGAGAAATCAGCTGTGATTTTCAATTGAGGTACTCGTTTCAAGATCAATGCAGTGGGTTCGGGGTGGTAAAAGGCTGTGTTTCTGTGCGTCTCGTGGCACACCTTGCCGGCAAGTCCCAACTCGGCATCGACGTCGAGGGTGCCACTGTAAAATTCGACAGCTTCATCAACCGTCCATCGCTCACTGTTTTCATCAGCGATGTGATAGATAATTTCAAGTTGTGACATTGCCACTCACTTTCCAGAATGAGCATTGATCTTATATGGCTTTAGAGTTTGGGCGATCTCAAGCTTGCTTCGGTATGACTTTAGAATCTCTTGCGGAGTCGAACCGGTGGGCTTGGGGCCTGCGTATGAGGGCCATTGCGCGTGGATACTGAGATCATGTCAGTGACTGTCCCCTCGGAGTCGTCGCTAAACCTGGACGGCAAAACTCACAGAACACTGATTTCCAGTCCAGCCTCGTCGGCGAGGCGGCGAATGGAAGGAAGATCGCTCAAATCTGTGAAGTCCACCTCAACTCCAGCTGAAAAAGCGCACAAGGAAGTTAGTGAGAGTGTGTCAGGGTGGTTTCGCTTCGCGGAGAACTAACCATATCCCTGGGCCTTGAGAGTTGGGAACCATTTCGCCCAATTCTCGTAGTTGTTGCCGGGACTGATGCCCCAAACTGTGCGGAAGCGAAGAACAGATGCCATGGTGTATATTTTTACTTGACAAGGAGACGATCAGAAAGTTTTCGTTAACACACGACTGGAATGTTAGGTGAAAATATATTTGGAACCCCTCCGCGGGACACGTCTCTACTTTAAAATATAACCTCTTGCATTCACAGGAGCTCCAGTGGATTCATGTCACAGCCCACATCGGAAATGATGCAATTTAAGGGAATCGAAGTCTCCAAATCCTGCACGTCTCAATGTGTTGTTTTCAATTGCCGCCGGGGAGAATTGCCCAGTTGAAATTAGGTAATTTTTCCCGCTCGGATCCACCAACTTTAATCTCACCTCCACCACAGCGCTGGGGGACCTTTGTGGGGTTGAAGCTGTGCTTTCAACTTTCTTGACAGTGTCACAGGCACGGAGTACTTCATGGGTGACGTAGCTTCAGTCAGATCCAGCCCTTCAGGGCTCTCACTAGGCGCAGAGAACAAAAATAACGATCGGCAGTCTGATATGTGTGAATTATGCCACCTACCCGCCTGAACTCAATCTGATCTCCCGGCCCAGGTGAATAAACCGCAGCGACCTTTGTGCCGGTGAAGTGCCCACGGAGACCGGATCCCGGTTGTTGTCTTGTGTCTAGCTCTTCCCCAAAGTGGGAAGCCTTTCTCGGGCTTTAGCTCCCTCTTTTGCCCACATGTGGTGTTTATTGTAGTTGGTCATTCACTCAAATTTGTGCCGAGAACCTCTAGCTTTGAGTTATCTATCTTCTATCGCTTATTACTGAGCAGGAAGGAAGCTTGTTCCCTCATTGAAGGGTCCATGACAGTGCTTAGGAGCTCTCCCCACGGAATTTACCCCGCAATCCTACCCCGAAACCTGCTGGATGACAATAATCACCACGGAGATTGGACCTATACCCCATTCTGAATGAAGTTATTTACCCCGCGCCTTCGTGATCTACGCCAGACGACAGATCCGCGGGCAAAATCTCCAAGATTATGGTCGATCACTTCCCGTTTCGGTCACACACAGGCGAAGCTAACCGAAACGGTCAATTCTCGCCGAACTATGTCTTGGGCGCACATGGGCCATACCAGCACCTCAAGATCTATATCAGAAAGCCAAGGTCGTCACCATCTTGTCTAGAGAACATTTTTGTCTTCAAAATCATTACCCTTGGCACACACACACAATGTACGCAATCGCGTTAGCGCTCGTTGTGGTGGGGTACTTCATCGTGTACCCTGTCGCCTATTACTTCTATGACCCAAAGGGCCTGAGGAAATACCCTAATTTCTATCGACTGTCCGGAATCTCTGACCTGCCTTTGATCTGGGAAACATATGGCGGATTCCGCTCTCGCAGCCTTCTCGAAGCCCACAAAGAGCATCCCGTTCTGCGAATCGGTCCCAACTCGCTGTCATTCTCACACCCGAACGCAATAAAGGATATCTACGGCCACGGTAGCAACTGCACAAAGGATCTGTTTTACTCTGTGAACGTAGGTAGTCACTACCACCTTGCGGATGTCGTCGACAAGAAGGACCACGCCCGGAAGAGAAAGGTGCTATCGAGCGCTTACGCCGTCAAGAATCTCGAAGAGTGGGAGTTCAAGGTAGCAGAGGTCAGCTCAAAGCTCATCAAGGCTTTCGATAAGCGCTGCACCGATCCACTCCCACCGAATCAGAATCCAAAGAAGGAAGACCTCACTATCGACTATCGAAACTGGACCGTTTTGTGGACCGCAGCCGCGATCGCCAACATTGGACTGAGTGAAGACCTTGGTTTCCTCGATGAAGGATCCGACAAAATCAAATCCGAGTGCAAGGATGGTTCGATCAAGGATGTCTCTTTCCGTGACTGCCACACTGCTACACAGACGGCGTCATACCGGCTCATCTGGGCTTATGACTGGTACCCGACCCTTCGCCGAATCAGCAAGATCATTTCATCCAGCCATCGGCGCCTGTGGAAGTTGGATGAAGATTGGGGTGGTATCGTCTACAACCGCGCGACCACACGACTGAAGCGATACGAAAGCGGCGAAAAATTGGACGACTTCTTCACGGCTATCATGGCAGACAAGAATGGTAGTCCTCACAATCTGGAATTCGGCGAGATCGTTGCTGAGATTAGCATCATGATGAATGCTGGGCACGATACAACCGCCATTGCGCTTCGGAATACAATGTTCTTCCTCTTGAAGAACCCAAAATGTCTCGCAAAGCTCCGCGAAGAACTCGATGATGTCTTGGAGGAAGATGAGGTGGTCGCACCGTATGGAAAGGTCAAGCATCTGCCATATCTCCGAGCATGCATTGATGAAAGTCTTCGAATGATGCCTCCCATCGTCTTTGGTCTGCCTCGTCGGACGCCGGTCGAAGGAACGACCATTCTCGATAACTACGTGGCGGGAAACACATCAGTCAGCATTTCCTCCTACGTAATGCACCATCAGGAGTCTGTGTTCAAAGACAATGCCACTTACAAGCCAGAGAGATGGCTGGGAGAAGAAGGCAAAGCCCTTCAACCATACTTCATTCCATTCAGCACCGGCGCCCGAGGTTGCATTGGGCGTAATATCAGCTACCTTGAACAAACAGTTCTTGTAGCTTCATTGATTCACAGATTTGAGTTCGCTTTGCCACACCCTGATTGGAATCCCGTGGTTAAGGAAATGTCCAATTTCAACCCAGGTCCCATGCCATTGAAACTGTGGAGGCGGGCTCCAAATGTTGTTAGTTAGGTTGGATTCTAGGCCTCGAGCGAGGAATGAGTCTTGATTACGATGATGACACAATAACGATATATAGAAAGAACACATGATACCTTTCTTCACGACCTTGGAATTTGCTGGTGACTTGCGCAATATCCTTAATCTTTAATACGTTAAGCGCCTGGAGCGTACTCCATCAGTGTGCCTTGCTGTACGCTATAGCCGTACTTTCAATACTAAAAGCACAATATTGGAATCTGAGATACCCACATTGGGACTCCAGGTGTAAATAGAATAGAAAGTCTTTGTTTTCGCAATGTATGAATCAGGTTCCAAGGTTGTTGCGTGAATTCTCCATGCGGTTCCATAATTGTCCTAACCAATCGGGTACCTACACCATAGTCGTGAACCAGGTACTCGGTACAGATGATGACCTCGGGAGTGGTGGAATGTCGGAAAATACACAGTGTAGCATTTTCCGGCATTCCAGCATCCGCGCCGCTTATTCGTTTGCCCTACGCAGGATGAATTATATGGAACGTCCAATTTCTCCCCCACAGGCAATTCGTATGAAAAATCATGCTGAGTTCTTTGAACTAGAGATACAATTGCCTCAGGGGAAGACTTCAAGGTCTGGGCGAGATATGGTCAAAGGGAAATATCCATGGATAATGATCAATAAGCTTGAATAAATGCGATTGGTTGTCGGCAATGAGAAAGGACGGGTGTTGCAAAGAATGTAGATCGCGAAGATAGATAACGTTTCACTGCTGGTCTTCGCCAAGATCGGCAATTTCTTTAAAGTGACTCAGGCTAGAGCTCTCAAAGCTTTCTCAGGTAGTCCCAAAGCTTCGGTGGAGAGGGCAGGAGACCTTTTGGGAAGGGTAGCAGACAAATTTGGAAACGAAGTCTAATTACTTGGTGAAAAACCTTGGAAGCTTTATCCAGTCTATCAAACGATAGAATAAGATGATCATGTACATAGCCCTCCTTTGCTCATCACCATACAGTAATTGAGCAGCAAAATGCGATTTAAAATTTGCGAAATATACTCGCCTGGGTCCCTAAGCGAGTGCGAAACCTTGAATCAAAAGGGAACATATTTCGTTGCACCTCTTGCACCTCTAAATCTTTTCAATGATGTTTACGTAGAATGCACAAATCAATAGTATTGGCCATGGTGATGTACGGAGTAAATGAATTAGCCATTATTTCTCGCCTTTTCTATAGGCCAACACAACGAGGGGGTGGCTAGCTGATGTTTGTGGTACAAGAATAATTTTCATTCGCGCAGGTATCCAATGGTGCCACGCTGCAAGGAGAAGATTGTCTTGTACACAAAAATCGGACTTTTAGAGAGGGGGCTTGGGATGGCTAGAATCAGCCACGGGGCGAACGCGAAGACATCGATCCACGATGAAATGAAGAAATGCGTCATACATAGTGAAGTGGGAAGAGCGCGCTGGCGGTCTGACATCGCAGACAAGACGACGGGGGTGCTCAGTGCTCGGCGGGATCGGGGAGCTACGCAGGCCCCCAGGACTACCGGAATAGGAAAGAGATGCTGTTCTTGCGAGAGGTGTAGGATCCTTGAATTGCTAAGCTAGGGGATCGCGAGCATAAGATGCCAGAATTAGCCACAGCACCGCCCCTAGGAAGTGGCGCGGTCCCCCCACTACAATAGATATATTTTCAAAGATGTACTCTGTTAGGGAACACTCCGTACTCCGTACATAGCAAAGGGCATAGTCGTGCCAAGGGTCTAATACCACAGAGAGTGGAGCATCCCGAAGATCCCTGTAAACACGCTAATCTAACCTTTTTTAGGATAACAGTAGGGCTTTGCATATGATCTCGGTGGATACTGTATCACAAGCCCTCGAGATGGAATGCAGCGTCGAGACACAAAATGGCCTGTCCACATTCTTGGCGATTCATCGATCGATCGAAATCGAACGAAAGCTGTAAATGTCGAACGCCACAAAGCTGCCGAGGGATGGACGCAGTGGTGGAAATTGGTTGATATTTTACTTGCCCATCAACATGTTCCGAGCTTTCGATTGAAGGTGGGCCCCATTGTTGCCCAAATATTTATCATCGCTCCAGCAATGTGAATGAGACAGAAGCTGCATGACTCGGTGGTCCGAAGATGTTGAACGCTGGTGGAAGGTAAAAGTAAAGCTATTAAGTTTGTAGCGAGCAACAAGCGGATGATCAGATAATTATACTAACTCAAAGTTAGAGCGTTGTCTCAGAAACCCACATCATGAAGTTTATCTGTGCCAGGTAATTGGGATCTATTGTCCCTACTGCGAATCGCATTCCACTGGATGTATTTCCCGGCATTCCGTTGAAATGTACTCTCTCCATCTGTTAGTATGTACATGAGACCTCAGATAGTTCTTGATCCCACGCAATTTACATAATCAATTCTCCTAGTCTCAAAGTCTGCCCAAGCCCCTTCAAACTCAAAAATAAGGTAGTCTCCAGGACTGTTCGCGTTACCTGGAACACTCTCAAGAGACTTCTCCCAAGTTGGTGACAGGATGATCTATTTTCGCCCTCTTCTGGGCAACATAGCATCTCTAGTTGCTTTGATCCTGCTGTTCCTATGTTTGTTTGCCGGCAGTTCGCGACAAATGTTGCCAGATGCAAGCATACTGAGTGTTGGTGGCCACATCAAAGCTGGAAGATACAAAGCTAACCTATAACTTCTCAGGTCGATACATCGAAACTAAAACTGGAAAATGCACCGGACTTTTTCAGTATCTACGTAATGTCATATTGTTATGGCTATGAAAAAGAGTGTATCGTCAACGATGATCCAAAAACTACAACGCTTCAAAAGTCCATCGAATCGTGCTCGGACCTCAATCCACTCTCTGTTTTCGATCCGGGTAAAGCAATTCTTGACTCCATCGGAAACCCCGATGGTGTCTCCAACCCCCAATGGCCCAGCTATTTGACGGACGACTTTGCTGCGTTGGGCCCTACCAGCCAGGCTATGGCCCTATTGTTCATACTGGGCACATGCGTGGTTGCCTTGTCATTATTTCTTCGTCTTAGCACAATCCGCTACACCTGAAGACCAGGGCCTCCGACTCCCTTGGATGATAGCGACCCACCACCTGGCTACCCAGGCTCACCAGCGGACCTACCTCCCTCCAATTTGCAGATTCTGAGCCTGCTGGTAAGAGTTTGCCCACGATGACTGCTCTGATTGGAATCATTCTGACTAACTCATTATAGGGAAGCACCATCTTATTGACCATTGCTTCGATCATAGCGACCATGATATCGACTCAGTTCGTCGATTTGATCACCAAAAGCGGAGCTCCCGATTTTTCAGCTGGATCTGGAGGTAGTTTCCTGGGTATGGCATGGACAGCGGTGGCTATCCAAGCTTTGCTTACCACTGATGTGCTTGTGGCCTTGTACCGATGGAAGGCTCGTCATTGCCGATGCGATTACGAAGAGCTCCCAAATTCGCAAGACCCCGAGAGCAAAAGGCTTGTCTCTGGCACTAATTGAGAAGCCAGAGTGGCTATGGGTGAAAAGAGAGGATTCAAGTATACGGCCGTCTCCTGTTATATCAGTACACTTCAATGATGCTTATACCTATATGTAATTTCATTGTGTCTTGCTTGGTTTTGAGACGGACGTTGCTTTTCAAGGTTGTCAGCGCACACACAGAAAGTGAAGATATACATCGAAATCGAATAAGATTGCAAACCCCAAACGCCATATACCTTTTACCGATGGATAGAGGCGTAGCGAAGACATCATTAATATCTTGCTGACATAGTTCAAGTGCTGCCTTTCACATTGACAGATTTGGCGGTGGAATCGCTTACTTTTTATGATAGTTATCATTGGCATAAATTATAGCGTGTGGGTACATGATGCGCACAAATGCAATGCAAAATTTTATGGTGATATTGGAAATGACCGATGCTGCCTAATTATAAGGATATAATTATAAGAACATCAGGATCTGAGCCCAATGAGGTGGCTCCGTAGGTGTGGGAGGCTTATACACCATCTACCCTCGCGATTGATAACAAACTCCCATCGGCTTGTATAAAGTCAAGGAATCGAGTCTGAATGTGAGTCCATCAACCCAGCTTGGGATTTCCTTTTAGTTTCCTGGGTCTCTGTTAGCACTGGCGGGTGCTTGATTTGTCGGGCTCCCTGCAGGCTGCATGGTAGATAACGTAGATCGAGAGAGCCTCCCCCCCCTCCTCTCTTCCTCTCCTCGTCCCACAATACAATACTCCATGGTACATGCCTAATCTCCCTGATAGTCTCCAACCAAGCCTTGTCTCGCATGGTTCAAAACATTTCTCAGAGCCTGTGGCTACCTGACTTGGAAAGCTCCAGGGCAGTAAATAATCCCCTTCCTCTTGGCCCCCACTTAGCATATTACGTTATCTGACATTGATGATCTTAAAATTTCTCCATAAACAGCCATTCTACTGTATGAACGCGCTGATTCCAGATCATCTAGCCCGTCTGCTTATATCTGCATTGTTTTCATGCATTCTCTTTATGCAGGATTGGGCACTGAGGGGGTGTGACGAGATACTTGAGACTACGGAGTATTTAACCTTGAGATCTTACTGTCTGCTCGATTCGGCGGCTCCGATTGTCCCCCAGATCTTCTAACTCAATGAATGGTGGAATAATCATGTAAATTGATTAGGTACAGCATGATATCATTGCTAGATGATATCAACTTTTTGGAGGTTTAGCTCGGTCGCTCGCTATCTATCTTCTCTCTTCTCGCATCGAAAAAAAGAGCAGTCTCCTCAATCATGCATACTGCTTTGTAGGATATATATCTTCACAAGGTAACCTGATTTCTTGAACATGTAATAACTAGAGGTCATAGTAAAACCAGATCCGTGCTACAGCATCTGCATCATCACTGCAGCATCCAAGACGGCGGTGTGTGGTGAATTGTTACACAGCGCCTCTGCAGGCGACATGTAGACTCATTAGGTACATGATGCTCAAGAGAGGAAATGGTTGTCCTCTATGATGCCGAGCCAAGAAGAATCTGGATATAAAAGCGCAATATGACCCAGCTGTGGACGAGGCATCGGTTCAATCTCTCTCTGCGCGCACATCATTCCAAACCACCCCTTGAATCAAACAACACACTTTCAGAATGACTGTTACAAATATCACCTCGTAAGTGTTTATCGGGGTTGTTTTAATCACACGAAAAATGAAGTATTAAAACAAGAGATAGGCTTGCGGAATTCACCACTGCCATCGAAGCAACTGCCGGTGGAAAAGAGCCGGCAGTGATTTGCTTCACCTTGGAAAATTCTGGGAATCCCCAGAATGACTCCTGTGAGGCTATTTATCCATTGTTCGACGAGCTGTCGGGGCAAAAAACGTCCCTCAAGTTTTAAAAGGTCATCATAAGCCAGCATCCTGATGTTTCCCAAAAGGCTGGCGTTGACACAATGTTGCTGCCTGCTTACAAGGTCTACAAAGATGGCAAGGGCCCGGTCAAGGTCGCTCAAGGCCCGAACCCGAAGGATTTCTTTGATCTTCTCGCTGGAATCTGAGACTGGAGTAGCAAAGCAGGAAGGGGATGTTGCTGGAATGGATCAAGTCTGACTGTATCTAATTCTCAATGTCCAATGAAACATGAATGCAATCATCAGAGGGAACCAGAAGCATGCATTTGAGAGAGACTGGATCTCAGGCGGGGGAGGCAGAAGTCTGCAGTTATATGCAGTTAAGATTATGTATGAAGTGTGGAGTACTCCCAGGAAAGATCCATCTCAGCCTGTGTCAAGCTCGTGTCCTGACCATGTACCGAATCGGGATATTCTTATTAAGATAATTTGATACTTACCAATCAGTATGAAGTGCACTCTATACGCTCATTTCCGGTTCAAGACCCGACACTGACAACACCCATGAATCATCACCTTGATATCTGTATCTCACCAACTACACCTTCTCTCACCTCTTCAATCGGTCGTCACCAGGATAGCCCTATGCCGCCTCAGGAAGTAACCAGAAAGCCTCACCCTAATTGGCTGATCGGTACATGCGACCGATCAATATCTGCCACTATTCTCCACAATCTTCACTTTATGCATGTAGGCATCGTTGGCAGATTACGATCATCTTTTGTTGGGCTGGGCGGTCTGCGCCCACTTACTTGCCGTCTGGAGACCATGTGGGTGAGCGGATCGCTGGCGTCATGGTGTTCATGGGAATAGTTTGGTATCGCGTGTAATTTCTGCCTGAGATTGATGTATAGTAGATCCCATTGTTATCTGACAACTTTTGAACGTAGCCTATCACCTGCTCAGAACATGATATGTGAGTAAAAGGAGTCAAAAAATACACAAGAACTTCGGGTAATGATAGGCAAGTGAACCCTCACTTACATCATTGGTCACGAAGGAAGGGCTGATCTTGGTGCCCAGTCCTGCGGCGTGCACCAGACGATCACCGCCAGTCTCAAAGTCGATGGAAACAATACTAGAATTCATCCACCCGTCGTACTGGACAAGCGTTGGCTGCAGGCGACCATTATAAGTATCCTCGGTCAACATCTCATAGAAGACCAGACGCTTGCTGTCGGGTGAGAATCGTGGCGAGCCCTGGGTATAGTTCGTGCGAGAGGAGACAAGGCGAAAGTCAGATCCATTCGGACGACAAGCGTAAATAGCCAGCTCCTGTGTATGTTCCCAACCCGCTCCAGCGCTGTGGCCTCGCCATGGTGTGTTGCGGTCCGATGTGAAGACGACCCACAGACCATCCGGAGACCAGATTGGCTTGAATTATCCATTAGGATCTGCCTCGTTGGCTGCTCCAGCGATTCCGGGACTCAGGGTCAAGTTCTTCAGGGAGCCATCTTCTAGTACCATCAGCATGATCTGGCTGGTTTGGTTGTATCGGCTGGTGGTGAATGCCAGCATTTTGCCGTCAGGAGAAATCGAGCTCGAGTCATCCACACCAGTAGATAAAGCCATAGGCTCAACCTCATTCCCAATGGTATTGGTACCGTTGATGGCAATGCGATAGACATCTGATTGACCGTCTCCTCTTCGTTCTGACGTGAAGTAAACGTAGTCGGCATCGGGAGACCAGCTCGCTCGGAAGTCATACACAGAGTTGGATCCCAGTAGGAGGTCTTCGTTTGACCCGTCGGCTACCGCGATGTACAGCTCCGAGTAGTTGGGACTGATGCGATTGTGCAGGAAAGTACCCAGAGAGGCATTGGCATTTTGTGCTCTGCCGGCATGACCCTGAGTCAGTCGCTTCTGGTAAGATGTGCCAGTTGCAAGGATGGCACTTGCAAATGAAAGCAGTACCCATGCAGTAGAGAGTCTCATGAGTGCTGGTGGTCACAAATGAAATGACAACGTGATGTGCAGGTTGCAGGCCCAGATTTGGTTATCTGGGGAAAATTGAGATACCGAAGATCCGGACGTAAGGAGGGAAACCCTCATTTTCACTGCTCAGCTCGAAGAACGCGTTAGTATTGTTTCGTTCCCGAAGCCATATGAAAGGTGGGCTCAGTTGGCTGAAGGCCCCTCACCATGGCCAATGGCCTGACGATTGAATCAATGGCAGTTGCTGCGACTCCACTGACACCACTTTGTCAAAATTTGCCTGACCGGTATGATCTGTACTGTATGCAATCTGGTAGGCTCCGCAAGTATCGCTTTCGGCTAGGATTGAAAGTGAGCAGTGAAGGGAAAGTTTAGAAAGCTGCATGTGCAGCGGCGAGACCCGCAGCATACTAAGCCCTGGAGACCTCCACTTTTCGGACTTTGAAACTAGATTGGGTAAGTTCCTGTAGATCATTCGTCGCAATAGGTACCTTTTAACCTGCAACTTGCGACTGAAAGTGTAAATCATCTTCATCTCACTCGTCAATCCCTTGTCCGTGCGTTCTTTACAGTGTCTTCTCGTGGGTTTCCGAGCAGAATCTTGAGTCATGATGCCCGTTAAACATGGGTTCCCGATGTTTCGGCCATTCGGTGCATATCACCCCTTACGTACATCAACCCCCACAGTATGTGGTCCAAACAGAATTTTGCGCTTCAAATAATCTATCCTAAAATATGCCCCTCGATCAAATCAAACTGGAGTCCATCCAATCTTCCGGGCTGCATATCTCGGATATACTGGTTACAGACTACCGCCCGGCGTTCGACAGGCTCGTCATGCGGAGTGAAGAGCTCCCTCGGTCATCATCTCCTCACTTGGGAATGATCTGCAACCGCGTCAGTTCCATTCGAGGTGATATTCTGCCCCACACAGCGGTTTAACCACCTCCATTTCACCCGAACGTGAATTTTCTATGGTTAGCCCTCCCAGACTCTACCTGGCTCAAAATAGCCACATTATTCCAAGCTCAATTTTACATATGCCGTGGAGTGAAGCTCAAACTTTCCTGACCAAGGAACTTGCTTGTATCCCCGGTATGCAAGTCGGATGGCGAAAACAGAAGAATCCAACCCACTCACACATTTTGTTTCGCCCTTTAAAATGCAGATCTGCATATCGAAGTCGTGCATTGTAACTGCCATATAGTGCCATGTGGACAACGAATCAAATGATAAAACAAATGTCGATCACTTGTCTTGTGCCTGCATAAAAGGGGGTGATGAAAACACATTCGGCTTGGACGCTTCACGCGTTGATCTTGTCTCAACTTTCTATTTCGAAGCTACTATATCCTGCGTCCTTGATTCATTTTCATTCCTTAACAACATTTTCAATCTCTGGTCATACATTCATTTTCATACCTACCTCTTTATCTTCCAACGATACCAAGGCTTCGTCATCATGAAGGCCATTGTTTCTGCTGCAATTGAATTCCTTCTTTTGTCCAGCCGCGTCACGGCATCAAATGTCTGTAACAGAGATGCCCTCAACTCCACGAGCTATTTGTACCCAATTACCGAAGAAACTACTGTCTTTGAGGTTGCCCGCAAAACCAAACGTGGAGTCTGTGACATCGGTCGTCACAACCTAATGGCCGATGTGACTATACCTCCAGCCATCGGCGAGACCTTCGTTATTCCGGGCGAAAGCTGCACGCCTGACAACGATTCCTGCATAATCAAAGACGTCGGTCGAACCCGTGATTGCATCTACGGCGGACCCCGTCTGTACTATACCGTGAAGGGTGACACCTACGATAAAGTTGCCCTTCGTCTGAACATTACCACCGAGGCGCTTTCTGGAACCTCCACTGGGAACAATGAAACGCTACCTGTTGGTCAATTTCTCAAAGTCCCGCTGTGCTCGCCGAGTCAATGCACAATTCGGCCATATTCTTTTACTTCGGGTGTTTACAAGGATCTTGCCGACAAGTATGGTACCACCGTTGGTCAGATCATGATGCTGAGCCCGACGTACAATTACAGCAGCGTTGCTTTCACCGGTGATGGGACTTTCCCGCCTATCGATCTTGCTATCAATTGCACTGCGCTGTCAAACAATACGACTGCCTTGGACTAAGATGTCTCGAATTTTGTCCCACAGTGATAATCCAAGCAGAGTTGGAGAGGAAAAGAGAAGGCGTTGAAGTTGATTGAGAAATCACACTAGAAATGAAGACAAACTTGACAAGGTGTATAATAACACGCATTGCGATTAACACGAGTAAACTTGGATGGAGTGAATACCAAATCCCGCCTCCAGGGCTTTCTTTGGTCTGTCGTGAAATATAACCACACGCTTTCTCCAATGGTTCTTCTTGGAGAGCTTTAACAGCATATGCTGTCACTGTGCCGTGATTTCCGATCACCTTTTGTTCTGTTGGAAACAGATACATCACGGATGCCGCCCAACCACCATCTTCCTCCTGCATGCTCTTCAGTTTTTCCTTGTCTGTCGCGTTCTCTATTCCCAGGAAATTACAGCTGAGCAAGCGCATTCCCAGACAGAATGCATCACCATCGACTCCAATGCGTTCGAGAACGCGTGTTTTGAGTGGGGCTTCAAGTCTTTCCTTGAGACTCGGATCGTCTGAATAAGCCAAGAGTCGAGTTGTGTAGTAGAGAAACCACTCAGGACTCTGATAATATCGAGTTCCATAGATGTATGCTCTATTGAGTAGAATGTTCTGGATCCAGTCCATTGTCCGAGCAAGCTCGAAGCCTCTTCCGTATTTATAAAAAGCGACCAAAACATTCAATGCGATGATTGCATCTACTCTTGGCCTGGATTTGTCAGTGTATATCTGAGGCAAGTTAGCGAAACGAAGGACATTAACGCAATGTGAAGCAAAACGTACCTGTACAAGCCCCTCCTCGTTGACGTAATTAAGCATTTCATCGAGAATAGAGTGCGCAACTTCAGTTTCATAATCCAATACCACGAGACCGAGAGCTGTCGTATCCATATCATTCGGGTAGACCTGACTCGTGTATTTTGGCTTTCCGGAGAAGAAATTCCACAATCGAGGAGGGCGGTTGATGTCAACCAGACTCCTAGTTTACCAGTTAGCAACAAATAAGTAAAGAAGTTTGGGATTATTTACTCGTCTTTTGTTGTCTCGAGAATAAGAAGCTGGGCGTAATTCTCGTCGATGTCATCACCTCCAACTGTAGAGGAGTAATGCTTTCCAGCATGTTTCTTCAGAAAGGCAAGTCCACGTTGGATGGGATCACCGCTAAGATTTTTGAGTTTTTGCGCCAGGTTTTCAACTCCGACAACACCACGCATCCCAAGAGACTTGGCTGCGAGCACATTCTCCGGCTGGTCGTCAATGAAGATTGTTTGATGCGGCGAAGCACGCGTTGCGGCGAGCACATTCCGATAAAAGCTCAGACTTGGTTTCCGGACACCCAGCATCCAAGAGGCAAATATCCCGTCAAATGTGTTCCAAAAAGAGTCATCCCACCGAGAGCGGAGGGCTTGATACTCCTGTTCGGAAATGTTCGAGACAAGATACAGAGCTACCCCAGGAATTTGTTTGATTTCTTTGAAGAGAACAAGCATGTTTTCGTCATATGTCAAAGTCTCTCGGAGCTTTCTGACAAGGTCCTTTAAGTCTTCAACTTGAAATTCATAGAGTTCAGCAATCTGCGCAAAGCATTCATCTTCACTGATCTGTCCGATCTCTTTCTTCATCCAAGGTGATGACGAGAGAATCCTTCCTAGCTTGATACTAGATTTCCCTGCTTCCAGTGTATGATTTACAGGAGGATGGACAAAAATACCCCCCCAGATCCACAAGAATGGTTGTGTTGGTGCGTTTGACTCCAGTGCTCACGGTCATTGTGGGTACGTTGATGGCTATCCTGTGTGAGGCAGAGTCACTCGTGATTCAGAAGCCCAAACGTGGAAGCTTTTTCAGTCGAACACAGAAAGAACCTGGAATAAGCTCGGAGGTACAGAGAATGGTGTCCTGAGAAGGACTTTCGAGGGATTTCCGAGGTTATATAATCCCTAGGAGCCTACCTTGGAAAATGGCCGGAAGTTCGTAATTAGACATATCTCAAGAAACTTTATTGTACATGGCAGGTTCCAAGGTTCATCAAACCGCAACTCGCAATGGACCCCATGGATCTACCCCTTGTGGCAATGCGGTCAAAGTCAGAAGCAAACTTCATTAGGCGAATGATGGGTCCTGTAAACTATACAGTATCCATTTCCAGTGTGTTTCACAAGCAATCCTTGGCGTCACATCACTTGCCTAGTGCAAACCGACGTCTGGATGTGAAAGGATTTGCACTGAAGGATCAACCATTCCCTCTTTTCAAGTGCGACGAACAGTTGAAGAAAAGGACGTATGGGGGTGCCGAGTAGTAGCGATAAAGCTTTGAGGCCACGCTCAGACGCACTTCCTGGAGGATCGAAAAGAGCGGAGCGTACGGAGTACGGAGTATAGGTCCCACCAACACCTTTTTGATGACCCACCAACAGCTTTAGTGTTCCTAATTGGGAGTAAAAGTGGGACCAGGATCGAGGGTTAGGTTTTGTCATGCAGGTATAGGCAGCACCTGCACACTCAAAAAAGCGATCTGACAGTATGACGTGACCCTGATGACTTTGACAGCCGCCACCCTCGTCAATGCGGAGTCGAAGGAAAGGTTTGATGTCACATTGCCGGCGAAAGTGATTCATCGTGTAGATCGTACCGACAGTTTGGATCGGCTGAATGTTTTGGGCCTGCCTTGCATCATGAACCCCCAGTACTCAGCCAGCCTCCCCACATATTCCGCACCAACTTTGGGAGTTTTCCATCGTCTTCCATCGCTATGCTTCGATTCGTTTTCCCATTCGTCAGATCTATTGCCAGAGTGTCAGATCGAAGGCACAGATCGATCGTCCGATTCTCATTACTTCGTATGTACAATGGCTGAGGGGCCCCAAAAGAAATTATGATGCATATATCGCAAACTTAATGTACTCTAATACCAAGAACGTACACCGCAATCTGTATGATGCGCAGTCTGGAAGTATGACGTTCAGCAGAGTTTCACGGAGTACGGAATACTCCGTACTGATTCCTAAAAATTTCAAAGGATTGCTGAAAAACTGGTTGCAGTTTAACTATAACTATTTTCCTTTTTATCCCCATTCACAGATCGCTAAAGATTAAACTTGGCTTATCACTGAGCCCAGGAAAAAGACCGAAGATGACAAAGAATATTGAGACAACCATCAACTTCGTTCCTGCAAACCTCCCCGTGAAGGTAATGAGCGGGACTGCAGATTTCTATGGCTATGCAAGCAACAAACAACCCTTGACTGTTCATGATGCCCGTGGAAAAATGGATGACTTCAGTTTGTCCCAAAACGGATTCCAATACGTTAGCCATCCCAGTGCGTATATCCCGATATCAGACCCGACAAAGATTAAATCGCATTTGTACGCGGAAGTCGCCAATCTGTTGAAGAGCACGTAAGTTGAAAGCCCAGTTGGATCACAGCATGGCTCTGAAAATGCTTATACAAAAACAAAGCCTTTCTCCTCAACCAAGTTATGTAAAGGTAGCATCTAACACGATCCGCTCCTCCCTCACCGACCTGAACAGCGAATATACGGGCACGCCTGGACCTGCAAGAACAGCACATCTAGATCATACTCCTTCGGGAGCGAAGAAGTATCTCTACGAGAAGCTGCCGCAAGATGATGCCTCCCGGCTTTCTCAGACACGATGGGCAATCATAAACGTGTGGCGCCCACTTAAGACTATTCATCGAGATCCTCTCGGTGTTTGCGATGGGAGTACACTTGAGCCAGGGGATTTGTTGCCAATTCAGATGGATTATTCTAACAGCGTGCGAGCCAAAGCCCTTGGTGGGGAGAAAGGATTAAAGACGACGGTGGGATGGGAGATTACGATGGCGAAGTACAGTCCTGGTCAGAGGTGGTATTATCTGTCAGAAATGAAGACAGAAGAAGCGCTCTTGATGAGAATATACGACTCAAACATTGCAGGGGGCTGGATGAAGGGCGTGTGGCAGTGCATGCGTCTTTTGAGGACCGCGACGCGAAAGAAGACGAGGCCAGGGAGAGCACCGAATTCAGGTGTTTGGTCTTTTGGGAAGATCAGCCGTTGGTCGTTTAAAGGGGCTGTTTCAATGCTCAGAAGTTCTCAATACACTCCAAAATTACTCTGTACAATGGTGATTAGCTCAAACTTCATCTCTCTTGCGGGGAACAACCCTGCACTAGACTTGGTCAGATGACTCCCTTTGCTTAGACAGCTCTCTCTCTCTCTTTCTCCTCCCCCCTTTTTTTCCCCGGTCGGTCCTTTTGCTTCGCAGCCACAATCTACTGTTTTAAAGCGATTCGTGCTTCTCCTCCGCAGACCAGCCTGTTCTTACCAGAAGGGAAGAGAAGAAAGAGGGAGAGAGGACGGCTCTCAACTACGTCTAGTTAGTTATCAGCCTGCGGGAAGCCTGACAAACCAGGCAAACACCTGCGTCAACAAACCCCCAGATTAGGTCGCCGGGCCGAGATTTTCCGGCACAAAGTTAAATTCTCACCAGTGCTTCATATACTCCGTATACGGAGTACGGAGTAGATGGATGGGCGTTGTTGGGGTCCTTATGGGCCCCCATCGATGGGTTGTGGTCTAGGTTGGGCTTTGGGCTCGCAATTCGGACCCACTCACGTCGATTGAGGTCTACTGATTAGTCAGGTTGCTCGGTATTCATGGATAAGTAATGAATGGGGCTGAAGACTTAGAATTCGCATAACTAACCGGTCACCGGAAAAACCGCGTCAAGGGTAGCTAATTTCGCCTGGATGGGTGATATGGAGCAGATAACTCAGAGCTCACGCAGAGCCGTGACCAGTAATGTTGCTCGATGCAGTCGAAGTTAGCTTGGCGATCAGCACGACCCCTCTTTTCCCCATTTTCGTTAAGATGATCTATCTCCGGTTTGTGACCGGAATGAAATTTCCTATCTAGGTCACATTCCCCAGATAATATCATCACTGAGGGTGAAAGTCAGTCCTCATGGTGATCCATCAATAGTGTGTAGTGAATGCGGGTGTGCGTGCGATGAATTGTATATCTCACCAGCCGGTGAAGATAGGAGGATTTCGGACCCTCTATCAAACCAGATATCGCTCTATCTCACTGCCTTCCAGGGCTGTGTTGAGCACTCGGTAGCCCTCGCACAGTTTGATTGCTTAGTGTGTGTCGACAGTGGTACAAGTATACAGGCGCCACATGATCATCCCCTCGGCGGTACAAATATAACAGCTCAATCTCTATAAATCAATTCCAAGGTTGTCCGCCACCTTATCCTCTGATACCTTTTGACAACTTTCAGCATGGCGGCATCATCTAAAAATGATGATACTAAAGTCTCTCCATCACTTGGACTTGCCAACGTCACCAGTGAAATCGACGATGATGGTCAAGTTGATGGATTCGATGATGCGTACCTGCAAGCTTCGAAACCTACAAAGATTTACAGGGGTGTGCTATTCCAAATGATCTTATTTGGAGCGTAAGTTTTCATTTTTCATCTTTCAGAATTGTGCTCATGAAATGACTTCTGAATGTAGCCTCTCATTCGTTGGTCCAGCCATGTCCGACGCAATATCCAACCTCGGGGGTGGTGGTCTCTCGACTCCATACCTGGGAAACTTGGCAAACGCGCTCGATTATGCCTCCTCGTGCTTCATTGCTCTCTTTGGTGGCCCACTGATAAACAAGTTCGGTATCAGATGGTCGTGTATGATTGCTGCGGTGGTGATGCCTCTGACAGGGTCTGCTTACTACGTCAGCGCAAAGTACAGTGTAGACTGGTACTTGCTGTTTGCAAAGGTAAAAGGAGCTTGCTATATTCCCGATGTTGATTATAGGGCTAAAAATTGCATAGGTTGTCGGAGGGCTCACTGGTGCTTTCTTATATGTTGCTGAGACTACAGCGATGCTGTCATACCCACAGCAAGATGATAGGGGTTTCTATTTGGGTAAGGTTATTCCCGCGCTCAAGGAAAGGCAATGAATGCTAACTATCTGGGTTAGGCATATGGTCCGCCATGAGAAGCTCGGGCAGCGTCATGGGTGGTGCAATCAACTTTTCCACAAATTACTCCAAATCATCCGAGGGAGGAATTGCGTGGTCTACGTATCTCATATTTGTTGGCTTCGGTGAGTTCTCTTCACATCCATTTCGCTGATCTGGCTGCTGACCAGAAATCACAAAGAATGTACTGGTGTGATTTGGGCTTTTCTTCTGTCGCCAACCCAGCGTGTACGACGCCGCGATGGATCTAAAATTGCCATGTCCAGTCGCATTACCTGGAAGCAGGAGTTTGCTGCCCTCCTAAAACACCTGCAGCGTAAGAAGGTAAGTTTGCCTATATCGAGTTTCAATGTAGTCAACGACTAATTGTGAGTCTTAGACGTGGCTGCTTTTCTTGCCGGCTTTCTATTCTTTCTTCTATGGCGGAACGATGGGAACGTATCTCTCGCTGCACTTCTCAGTGCGAGCACGTGCCTTGTCATCTCTCATCATTCGTGAGTACATGCTGATCGCGACGAAAAAAGCTTCTAACCAGGATACTAGCATCGGTGACCATTCCGATCGTGATTGCCTACGGAAAGTTGTTGGACCTTTCGCGGTGGTCCCAAACTAAGAGAGCATGGATTGCCTTTGCACTCTGGGCAATTCCCCAGGCCGGCTGCTTTATCTGGATCGGTATCAAATACAGCCAGTTTGGATCCGCCACGTTGGGGCTGGATTATGAACTGTAAGATTTTGTTTCCCGCTCCATGAGGAATGCATACTAATTCAATTGACTCTACAGAGATCGCGGAACATGGGCTGTGGCTTACGTTCCTTATCTTATCATCTTTGTGACTGGATATTGGACTCAACTATCCTTGTATTGGATTATGGGAACTTTCTCTACTGACATTGGATCTTCCTCTCGAACTGGTGGCTTGTTCAGAGCGTTCGAAACAGCTGGCCAAGCTGTGTCTTACGCCATTAACTCAAGCTCTGGTGCTGACCCTATAGTACCCTTCTACGTGAACTTTGCCATCTTGATCATTACTGTTCCTTGCATGGTAGCTCTCATCCGAATGGTACCAGAGGCTCCATGTAGCACGGATATTGATGCAGGGAATGCTGTGGTGATTGAAGGGATACCAGCCAAGGACACTGGGACCACCAGTAATTAGCTAAGACGTTTGAAGAACTCATGCTTGAGGTCATATATAAGAATTTCTCATTTTATCAGCTTTCTAATTACCTGTCATATTTCAAATGTTGCTTTTCCTATTTTCCAACAATATCTTCATCTTCCTCGTTCCATCACATAACCTTTGAATTCTGCACCAAATTTAGTAAAAAGAAATACTATCCGGTCATTTTCAGAGCCATCAGATTTTGGCTTCACACCCTCAAGTCTGAAATAAACACTATCTAGTCGCCAAAACTTTCAACCGGAACCTGGATGTGCTGAGCCGGCATTCGACTTGGTCTGTGTTTAGCTATGCCTATCCATTTCTGTCAGTTTGTTTCACACAAATTCTGTTAGAGTGAATCTGTTTTCTTATCTCCATGTGGCAATTACGGCCAAATTCATGAGATAAGGCGATAGATCATTTACATCGAGCTAACTAAAGATAACCTCTGAATCATCCATAGGTGGAAAGAGCTCGCCCATTCGCCAAGAAAAAAATGACATTACTTTTAACTTGATTGGCCCAAAGCAAAAGTACTGCCTGGGGTCGACATGATAGGCAAAGGTCTATTCACTGACCTCCCTAACGACCGGGTAAGACTGCCGGAATTAGCGACCGGCGATATGTGGCCTGTTTGGGCAGCCGGTTCAGATAACGCGGAGAAGCAATTAGGCTCTTGATTGCCGGACCACTCATGAACTTTGTATAAGCGGGCACATTCTGCTCGAACTTTATTATCACCCCAGTCGCAAAATCAACGTGGCAAAAGTCCAGGTTCTAGCTCTCTTGGAATAACTCATCGCAATCATGGTTCTCCCAATCTGTGACCCGACAAAGTCCTTTTGGATCGAGGAGGCCAACTCCGACCTCCGAGACTTTCGGTCGAGTAACGAGTTACCAAAGGAGACAGATGTCATAATCATAGGAAGTGGATATGCAGGTGCAACAACAGCATATTGGCTTAACAAGGCAAGAAAGCTACATGCGCCTTAACCCTGAACAGCTTTCTAAGACTATTATTAGTATACGGACGAGAATGTACCCAAACCCCAGATACTGATGCTCGAGGCTCGAGATATATGCGGATCGGCGACAGGTCGCAATGGTAGGGATTCCATTCTCTTGGCTGCAATCTGGGCTGCATGGGAAACTGACAAAGGGTAACTTCAGGAGGGCAGCTCAGACCGCACGCATACTCGCGTTATACTCCATGGGCTGATAGATTCGGACCTGCCGGGGCAATGGAACTCATCAAACATGAAATGGCACACCTTCCGGCTTTCCAAGATCTTCTGAGCGAGGAGGAGATATCCGAGGAAGTGTGTTTCAAGCTTGGTGAGACATTTGATGCAGCGATGTCGGAGGAAGCTTGGGTACGACTTAAAGGCGCATACGAAGCAATGAAAAAGGACCACGGGGAAGAGAACGAGGTGGTCAGAGCTTGTAGGCTAATTGAGGACACCGAGGCTGCGGAAGAGTTCACCCAGATGAAAGCATGCCTGGGGGCAGTGGTGCATCCCGCAGGTCAGATGTAAGTTGTATTAACTTGATGCTGTCCTTGCTGCCGACGTTAAAAGTAGCAACTGACCATTCACAGATGGCCATACAAGTTTGTCCACGCCCTGCTCCGTTTAGTTCTCAAGTCAGGCAACTTGAACCTGCAAGCACATACGCCTGTCGAGACCGTCTCCGAGCGAGACGAGTCTGGTTGGATCACTGTCAAGACGGCAAGGGGAGATGTGCGAGCAAAGTCTGTGGTGCATGCGACCAATAGATGGGCTTCTCACCTCTTGCCGGAGTTCGGCAATCTCATCTTTGGAAGCAGAGCGACTCTGGCGTCTGTCAAAGCACCAGAAGGTTTCATTAAGCACACAGGAGCCCAACATTGGGACAGTCTCGTGAATGTCCGTGAAATTCCAATTCGAAGTCTGCATTGGTGATAAAATTTGAGTGGCTGACAATTTTAGAATTATCATCTCCAACTCCCACCACCTTATAACAGCATCATTGTTGGCGGAGCAAGGGCTCTTCTTGTCCACTCCCCTCAAGAGTGTTGCCCGAACGACGAAGAGGATAAACAATTCGACGGTGCTCCGGAGTTCTTCCAGTCCTGGCCCGACACGGACGTGGTAGGTTGGCCTGGCACTCAACCCGCAGAGTTAGCAAGGGATGTTGACGAAGGGGGTTGTTGGTCGGGTAGTAAGTCTCCCTGTAGCTCTCTGGCAGCTGGAAGCAAAGATTGACAAATGCGCAGTTGAATCAACAAGTATCGACTCGTTTCCGTTTGTCGGTCGCATTCCAAAGAGGGATGGACAATTTGTTGCGGCTGGGTTTTCGGGTCACGGTAGGTGTTGCACGAGATTCGCTTTGATGCCAAGCTGACAGTAGTCCAGGCATGCCCCGTATTCTTCTCTCAACTGCTCACATCACACCATTGATCCTGGACGATCTGGGTATCAAGTTCACTACCCCCTCGCTCGTTGCAGCATACCCGCCTCTACCCAAACCATTCGAGGCAACGGCCGACCGAATCAGTTCTCTCCAAACAGTGGATTCGGCTGCTATTTTTGACAAAAAGGCCAAAGATAGTCTTGAGAGCGCAGAGAAGCCATTTTGTAACAACATCGCGGGTCGCCCGAGGTCTTAGGTCTGGAGCAGCGTGAAGTCACTGGAGCCTGGTCTGAACAACCGGCCGTCCGTTTTCTAAGAGGGGTTAGGGTGTTGCCAGAAGTGGTACTAAAGTGCCTGAAAACCTTGGGAAAAGCCAGAGCACCACCCCAGGAAGATGGCCACACTCGATACCGGTTACGCGTATCGCACAGTCACCGAGAAGCAAGAAATCAGTCGCATGGATAAGGTAGAGAGTGTATTTATAAAAGAATCAATGGACAAGATGTTTGTAACTTTGACCAGGAAATGTTTTGAAGAGAGAAGAGAGAAGAAATAAGAGCAGAGAGGCAATTGGACGCGCGAGTTCTGGAACATTGCGCGAGGTGTTCCAAGTTGTTTGGGGCTTGGAAATATTACGCGCCTACGCAGCACTCTGTCTGCGGCAACTTCAAGCCTTATAAATCAGGCGCCAAGAGGAAGATCCACCGCGGGTAGTTCCCGAGGTCCCGAGGAATAGCGGGATCGGCAACTTTCCGACCTTCAATTTGGAACAGGGATGAAGTGAAAGAACTCTAAATAAGAGAAGGCAACATGAAGAATTCAAGAGGTCCAAGCTCGCAAAACTAGGCAAACCACACGGGATGGCTACTTACTCGCCAGGCTGCTGGCAAGCAATTGCTCAAACTAAACAGCAGGCTATCCTCAACTTGATCCCGGAGAAATGGAGGATCTCAACTCCTCTCCCAGCTCCTGCCGAGCTGCGAGACTGCACAGGTGGCTACATACAACAATATCTGACACCCCGGGAAGTTGAGATCACAGAGGCAGATGCCGTGTCTATCACCCAACAAACAACTACGGGTGCGTGGACCTCAGTCGAGGTCACCGAGGCATTCTGCCACAGAGCGGCTGTTGCCCATCAGATGGTACGAATTCAACTCCCGCCGCACGCAAATACCATGCCGGTCCTGATGTGAAAGCAGGTCAATTGTCTTCATGAGATATTCTTTGACGAGGCACTTGCTGCCGCCAAGGCATTGGATGCATACTTTGTAACGAACGGCAAGCCCTTGGGCCCTTTGCACGGCCTTCCAGTAAGTTTGAAAGACCAGTTTCATATCAAAGGAGTCGAAACAACTATGGGATACGTTGGGTGGATCGGGACCTTCGAAGGCAAGAAAGATGACCCCCGAGTAGGCACTTTCGAAAGTGAGTTGGTCATGGAACTCCGAGGTCTCGGGGCGGTGCTATTTTGCAAAACTAGTGTCCCCACTACATTGATGGCCGGAGAGACAGCCAACAACATCATTGGTTACACTTCGAACCCCAAAAACCGCCATCTTTCCAGCGGAGGAAGTTCCGGCGGCGAAGGCGCGTTGATTGCACTACGAGGGTTGCCCGCAGGTTTTGGTACGGATATTGGAGGCAGCATCCGGGTACCAGCTTCTTTTAATGGTATCTTTGGTCTGCGTCCATCAGGTGGAAGATTACCTTACGAAGGCGTCGCAAACTCTATGGACGGGCAAAACACCATTTTGTCCGTGGTTGGACCAATGGCAACCACTGCTCGCTCTTTCAAAATTGCTTTTCAAGTCGATTCTAGAGCAAGCAAGGTCCTTGGAATCATGACCCCCTGGTCCATGAGATACCATGGCGGAGCTCAGTTGAGAGTAACTTCCTGAGCATCGTCAACGAAAGTCCTCCTTCGCTCACTTTTGCCTTTTTACATCATGGTGGTGTGGTCCGGCCTGATCCTCCGGTGAGCAGAGCTGTTAGGTCAATTGAAGAGATGTTGAGACGACAGGGCCATCAAGTAAGTGGATATTGCTTGTTTGAGATTTGCGCAACGCCGTGTTGTATGAATGTTGACGTGACAAAGGTTGTAGACTGGTGTCCACCTTCGCACAATATCGCGCATGCTATAGCAGTGAGTTCGATCCCCCAGGTCCAAATTTGTCCAAGCAGCTGAACTTTGATAGAAAGAGGCATTTCAAATGGATGGTGGAGAGGACGTTCTCCACGATCTTGCTTTATCAGGCGAGCCACAACTACCACAATGTTTTGTGGCAAAGACCACCCACATGACTGCTGTTCAGATCTCCGATTTGAATATCAGAAAGCGTCGGTATCAAAAAGCCTACTTGGACTATTGGAATTCGACTTCGGAGTTGACCCGGAGTGGACGTCCTGTCGATGCGCTCATATGCGCCACAGCACCCCACGCAGCTGTGATTCCAGGATGCTTCCGGCATGTAGGATATACCAGTTTTGTCAACGTTCTAGATTGGACCAGTGCTGTATTCCCTGTCACTCATGCCGACAAAGACTCAGACCTGCTCACTCCAACCGCCTCAGCGGGCAATCTCAATGACCAGCACGAGAATATAACTCTCAATTCCGACTGTAAGTTTTTCATCCCGCTTAGCTATAGAAAGAAAGCCCACTAATCCTCAGATAATGCGTCAATTTATGATGGCGCGCCAGTTGGTCTTCAATTGATTGGTCGACGCTTAGAAGAAGAGAAAGTTCTCTGTCTTACGGAGTATGTTTCTAGATTATGGAACGAGCTACCCCAAGGATCTTAGGCCACTACCTACCTTTTTTGGCCCTCTCAATGTGTATTCATCATAAGTGCACCGTTGAATTGCTTGGGTGTATCGATAGACAAGATGCATACAATGACTAGATACAAGCATCAGTGCCGACTCTCTTTTGAACTCTCTTTTGAACTCTCTTTTGAACTGTCTTTTGAACTGTTTTTTGAAATATCTTTTAAGCTATCACTCCAATTATTTACTATTCACTCTATGGGTATTATGGACCTTAAAAATCAGTTTGTAACAGGCGAAAGTTATTGTCAAGTAGTTATGACCGCGATTGGTCGACCGAACCTTGGAAGAAAGCCTTGGCTAAGCCGTTAACCGAGAATTGGGGATTGGGGATAGTGATTTCAAAAATGCGCGACTTTTTCATTGAAGATAGCTACTAGCCAATTTTCCAATGGAGAGCTTGTAGTTATTAGTCCCATGATCACCGCTTAATATGACCGAGGAAACCACTTAGTACGAGAACCGGAATCCCGGATGATCATCCCCCATGTTCTGCAATTCCTCGTATTCAAGGGCCAACCGATGATCACGCGCCCCCTGCTCCCTACGCCTGTTTTCGTTCCAGAGCAGCAAAAACAGTACCACGGCGGCTATCAAGCACAGCCAAATCAATGACAAGCTCGTTGCATAGCCTGTCACATAGAAAGGTGACTCAGATGACAGGAATACGTTGCTAGCAACGAAACCGCCACAATTTCCGAATCCAATCTGCATTGCAGTCGCAATGGCTTTCTTGTAATGTCCACTGATGTTGTTACTCAGCCATCCGATGAGAATGGGCTGGGCAATGAAACCACCACCCGTGACGGCAAAGAGGGCAAAGTACTTTGCGCCGACGGGAACCGATCGTTGTGCAAGCAAGATGACATATCCCACGGTTGCGATACCACAGCCAGCTATGACAAATCCAAACCGGTGTCTCATCTTGTCGCTCATATAAGCGGTTCCAATGGTCATAATTGCTGCCACGATATAAATGGGGATGCTCATAACCTGTGCCATCAAGGAAGTCCAGCCCATATCTCGAAGAATTGAGGGAATGAAGAACGAAGCTGCATAGCCTGTGTTCAAAGCACCCAAGTACATGATTATCCTGTGCATCATTCGTCAGGAATCTTCAACTCTCGGGGCCAGCCGCAGTATGTTTGTCGGATGACTTACCCTAAGTAGATTTTCTTATCTCCCAGAATTCTCCAGACCGCGGCTTGATCCAATCGATTCATGGGGAATGAGTCGTTCTCGGATTGTAAACGCGCAATAAGAATTGTTCGTTCTCTTTCAGTGAGGAACTTTGCCTTCTCAGGCCAATCCACAATCAGCAATTTAGCGATCAACCCAACCACCACAGTGGCGATCCCTTCAAGGATGAAGATCCACCGCCATGACGAATATCCACGGACTCCCTCCATATATGACAGCCCATATGCTAGTAACTAATACCGGAAATCAGTGCGTGGCCATTTTACAAGAAATTCGGAACAGTCTCTTACTCCACTGATAGCCCCGGATATGATACTGGCACTGAAAAAAAGGTTCAATCGCCATTGGAGTTCAAAACGCTTATAATAAGTCGATATTAAATAAACACAGCCTATAAAGGGGTTAGTGACCGGGTTGATGAGTCCTTCTCGGGTTTGACTTGCCAGGTAAGAAGCCTGCCTCAAAGATGCCCAGTAGAAAGCGACATGCCATCAAGGCAGACCAACTCTGGACAAACCCTTGGCCGATAGTAACACAACCTAGAGTTTCAAGGTGATCAACTCGAGATTCTGTAGACCAAATTGGCACATTCCACCTACCCCATGCCACCATGATTCCACTTAGCCAAGTAGACGGAGCAAGCTTCTTCATGATCAAGTTACATGGTACCTCGCAAAGAATGTAGGGTATGAAGAAGATAAACAGAGCGTAGTTGTACTGCCCTCCTTTCATTTGCAAATCATTTTCGAGACCCTGTAAGCGCGCATTTCCGATATTGATGCGGTCCAAGAAGGCAAGCAGATAGAGCAGCATTAGAATCGGCACGACATGTAAATCGCACTTCCAGACTACCTTGCGCTCTTCTGTCGGGTTGAGATCAGAAGGGAGAGCCTCTGTCTCCACATCGTCCACATGGGCGTGGTCCTTGTCAGGTTTGCTTATGGACTTCATCCTGTCTGGTCCAATAAAGATCGATCCCAAGATAAGTGATACTTAAATGTATTTCGATCCGAGATTTTGGGCAGCAATGGACAAGGAAAAGAACTTTGACTGATGAGTTTCTGATTTCAAGGTTTTTCGTTCAAAGCAGATCCTGGGGTCTGTCGTACTTATAACGACTCTGTACGTCAATTTTGGACAACAAAAGCCACGATCTCAGATGCATTATTACCCCTCAAATGTGGACACATGATTCCGAATTCCTTGCCGACACTGGCTGCCGTGGAAGTACAGTGGCGATGAATTGGTGCTGATCGTTTGGCACTCCATCGCCCAGAAACCCTTCCCCGGATTCCATCCGTGGGTTCCCCGCATTGAATGAGCACCTGGGCAGGATCCTTGGCCTAGAATCGCAATAGGGGGATATTGCTCGTCGAGATCCAATCGGGAACTACCCGGCTCACACACAATAGCCACCTGCAGTGGGTGGTGGAGAAGTGAGGGGGACACAGGGAGCCACCCAAAGGCCGATGTGGGTGAGAAGCTGGACAAATAGAAATTATAACATTTTATACCAAGGTAGAACTCACAAATTGAAAAGCTCCGTCATTTTATAGATATACTGGCATTTCAAAACGGGGAAAGAACGGGGAGCTTTACCTTCCAAGAGTCATGTCCAATGATGTGTTTTCTTAGTGAATAGTTCCAAGTGATCGTTACCTTATATAATATTGAGGAAGGTAGCCTCGAAAATTAAGACCAAGTGGAAGCGAAAACTTTTGCAGGGAATCTCGTATATGCCTTGGGATACGCTTTTGAGCCGCCGAGTGCCGTTGTGGTGTCGTAGTTTCTATTAAACCTAAAAAAGCTCCCACATCAAATCGGCAAAAGTTGTTTTCCCATCTTAAAACAGATTTGGAAGAAGAAGTTCTTCGTCTAAATTCTGAAGGAATTGAGCAGGAAGCATAATATCGCCAAGATCTGTATCCCAATTACCAAAGAATGGACTTTGTAGTCCGTACTCCACACGGTCACCCTGCATCACACTCGATGGCACTTGATTTGCGCCTTCGATTTCAGGTTCAACTGGATTTCTTTCATCCGATGGAGATCTATTGGGATGAATTGCTGCTGTGGACATTTACTCACGCATTAGAAAAATTGAAGAGGGATGAGGAGGGGATTGTGGAGTATCTTACGTTCACAGAGTTTCTCCCTATGGCTTTTCCGAAGTTCATCAAGAGCGATACAGTAATCCCTGGCAGATGGGTGTACAGCAATCATTCTGTTCAAAGTTTCAAGACATTCGTCCCAGGTTTGTTCTCGTTGTTGCAAGGATATACCAGGGAAGTCCGCACCGCTTGACTCAGCAAGAACCAGCACAATTCCAGCACTTATGAGATCTAGGAAAATGATTAGCAATCTGGCGGAATTTTTTGAAAAATTCTAGAAATACACACAAAATACTCCATACCACCAAGCACCCGTTGAATCTTCGGTTGTGGCTTTTGAAAGCGATGAGATAAGATCACTGGCCGCTTGCACGCATTTGAGTGCCGCATTTTGTTGGTAAATTATTGACCAAGAGGTGGGTTGATCAGAATGCAAGTTGCCAGTTGAGCAGTAAGTGCTGAATGTAGGGCGATATGAAAGCAGTTTCAAGTGAAGAAATCTGAGAATAGAGTCATTCAGGTGCGCACATCTCGGGCGCTTAATATGCTTACCTTGCATGCAAAACATTTGATTGACGACGAAAGGTGCGATCCAAAGTGGATTTATGAGGAGAGTCCCATTTGAAGACAACGGGAAGTTGAGCTTCGAACTCTTCCAAGGATCGATCTATTTCCATCATGGCTTTGAAATCCCCTTCGACTGAGAGCGGGAATTGTCCATCTGGAGGTTCATCGCCACTGTGATAGATTTTCAACAGAACCCTCCACAAAATTCCAATCAATTTCATGTTCTGATGCAGGAACTGATTCTTTGATATGACTCCGTCTGGTTGTTGGGATCCGTCCTTGCCAAGGGCTAAATATTTGTCGTCGGTCGGTGAGGGCAATGGGACTCTTGAATAGTCCTTTGTCATGGGCGGACGACCTGTTGTCATGCTGATAATACTATGAGAAAGGTCAGTCCTCTGTGCGTCTAATATTAGACTTTTGGAAATCTTACATGTCCATTTGCACACATGCGCACCATGCTCGCCAACGCATTTCCCTTTCGAGGGCAGAGAGACCATTGAATTGACGACGGTTCTGCAGACCAAGACCAACTGCCATCCTATGTGCCATACCAATAACATTCCAGCATCGTTTGGGATAGGGTGTGCATTGCAAATATATCGAGACCATCAAAAGCGCTTGGACATGAGCCAAGCTACCACTGTCGAGGATATCGATGTTCATCAAACTCTTCATCCGTTCATAGAACATCATCGAAGAGTTGCGTTTTTCACGAGGCTCCATATCAGAAAACTCGCAAGCAATGGCAAACATTGCATTCAAAGCGCAATTGAACACAGTCGATGGGCAATTTTGACCACCAAGGCCCACATCTGGCAGATTTGGATCGTTATCGTTGGGCTTGTTAGTCCAGATACTTTCATAGGTAGCCATAAAGCTCTCTTTGTGCACCCAGGGGTAGAAGACATGATTATTAGTAAAATAAACATCGAGGAGCCAATCTGCGAGCCGCCTAGGTGGGAGTGAAAAGTCGTCCGAGAGCAACGTGGCTATATTTGGTGAAAGTGAGGTATTGGCGCACGGGAAGGACGAGGGTGGTGAGCCACTGGTGGAAACTGTTTGGTTATTGCTTGAGTGTGTAGTTCTCTGGCCTGGTGAGCTTTGGGCATATTGATGAACCAGTGAGACGAGAGACGATTGACCATAGTACTGATCATGGGGGGCTGTATCTGGTGTACCTGGTACCGCCGCCCCCATGGCAGCAAGAGACATAGGTAATGTGCTTCCACCAGAGGATGTCTGCTCTAGTGGTGGATTTGGATTTTGCCCTGTGTGTAGGGCTTCCGTGTGGCGAGGTGATTTGGATGCTTGCGCTCCACCTAAATCAGAGATGTGGGCGCGCAACGAGTCCAGATATCTAGAAATTTGACCACTTTCAGCACTGGAAAACAGTGACTCTGAGAGATACTCACGCCTTCTCAGTCTGGTATTTGGCCGTGTCTGCAATCACCAGATACTCGCATGGCTGGTTTGCGATTCCACGTTTTCGACATGCACCGCAAGTTGGTCTCTGTCCATCACAACGGACTTTGCGGTCTCGACAATGCTGACACGCTAGTGCGACACGCCTTCGTTTAGACGATGGGCCCGGCGTCGGGTCAAGCTGTGAATTGGCCTAAACGACCAATCATGCAATGAGTAAATGGGTGGATACAAAAAACGAGGCTAACTATAGCGAGCTCAAATCCGGACTCGTGGACACTTACAGGGCTGACAAATGAGTCTGACATCTCGGATCTCTCAACACATGCGTCGAATAAATCTGACAGCAGGAAATGAAGAGCGGGAAAGTCCCGGCATTTGTAAATGCATCAGATCGAGCAGCGGTTGCGCTCTCGGGAAATACCCGATATGGCGCTAGCCGGATTTGGCCCCATCACGTCATCGTGGCCTTTCTCCACGGCTCCACCTACTCACCGGTGCGCTCTTTGATTGGTCGACGACTGTCACGTCAACATCCTCCAAGCAATCTGAGACCCCATGCTGATGTGCTTTATTTACTCCGTACTACAGTGCGATCTAGTATTGTTCCAAATTCATTGCCAAAACGTCATACTTGCGAACAAACTCATATAATTTACAGTGTCTCCCAGTGAATGCACGGTTGGCCTATCATACAATGTGCGCATCAATAACAGCAGAAGTTCCCCCGCGAACGATCTCGATGGCTTCTTGGAGCGCTGGAACCAACTCCGCCAAGTCTTTCACCCTCGCCGCATGAATATTGCCATCACTTGCAGCTCTCGCGATTCCAGAATAATCGGGGCTTGGGTCGAACGAGATGTTTAACTCATGATTATCAACCTTTGATCCGTGCCCGTCGGGATGAACGAGCAACATCGATCGTCGGGGAGCATTCCATCCTATCAAGGGCCAGAAGTTAGCAATCATTCCTTTGAGAATGTCTGAATAGCAGACTCGGGCTGCGCAAAAGCCTCACCTTTGTTGTTGAGGACGATGGTAAGAACCGGAATCTGGTACCGATGCGAAATCCAATACACACTTGATGGAACGCTGAAGAGGAAGGTTCCATCACCAACAATTTGAATCACGAGTGGCTTGCTGTCAGGCTTTTTCGCGTCCAAAGCAAGTTTGATCCCGAGGGCACCGCCACCACTCCACCCAAGGCCACCTCCACCGCAGTTGATCCATTGACCTGGAAGAGTGGCACGGACTTGGTCGGCAATGAGGACTGAGTTTGTGACCGCCTCGATGGCAAACACCGTGTCACTGGGGGTAAGTTCTCTCAATTTCTTGCAAAGGAGTGAGGCGTTGAAGGTAGTCGCATCGGGAGAAGATGCACACCTCTCATCAAGAGTTTTGATTAGCGCCTGGTGGGATTCTTGCCGACGCGAATTTCTCTCTTGATGAGCCTGTGACTTTAAAGACAACTGAAGATCAACCGAAGAGTCAATGAAAGATGACAGCTGACTCAAGGCCGTTGTGGCATCAGCTGAGTATCTTCGAACGGCTGGAAGATAGAACAAGGGCATCAGCTTTTTCAGCGGATCGATGTCGATATGAATAACTGTTGCTGTATCACTCGGCTTGCACTGAGTCGGAATCCAAGGCACATCGCAGTCCACGATTAGGATAAAATCCGCAGTCTCAATGCTGGGATCCGAGCCATACCGCATGCCTAACCAACTGGGATGATCGGCCGGGAAGCACATGTCACAGCCTCCGGTGTCCAGCACACGCAGACCAGACACTTGATTTGCCAGCCCAATCAACGCATCCACAGACTTATGATTCCGGCCGCTGTAGCCCGTGATGACCAGTGGCTGTTCGGCTTGGATGAGCTGCTCTGCAATTGATCTCACGTGTGACTCAGGAAGCGCCGCTGCCTCACAGGGCCTCCAATGCTCAGGCTTGATGGGGTATGGCTGGGCTTCCTCTTCCATAACTTCACGAGCTCCCATCAAGTACGCCGGTCCCATTGGAGCGCTCGTGGCAACTTGCAAGGCACGGCCGACCATTTGCTTGATATTCTTTCCAGTCTTGATCTCTCCGACGTATCTGCAGTATTGAGCAACAATCTGCTTTTGATCGGGAACATCCTGCAGCCAATGTCTGTTGAACCCTGGGTCAGATCAACCAAGTCCCATCATGTATGAAAGGTGGCTCACATATATTCAGTGCGTGAACCACGTAGCTCACCCTCCATGGTGAAAGGTGATAAGCCCGCGAATATCAACACAGGTGCGCGGCCTGTCGAGGCATTATGGATTGCTGCTCCCAGACCAGAGGTGCCGACATCAACATGGATGATCACGCACTGAGGCTTGTTGGTGACTCGTGCATATCCATCCGCCATGGATAGAGCGACCATCTCATTGGGACAGGTGAAGATTCTGGGGAATTCGTTTGGGCGTTCTTTCAACCCTTTTGCCATAGCCTCCATGATGCTGGGGTGGTCCGAGCCCAGATTCACAAAACAATTGCGAACCCCCAGCTCCCACAGGGCCTCGAAGAAGGCATAAGATGCGGTATACCTGTTTCTTCTCAGCACGAGTCACATATCAGTAGAAATTTGAAATTTCAGGCTTACATTTGGAACTTGTGTCGTTTCGACTTTTGTTCTCACGGTGTGTCTTATTCCAACGTTTTTTGCACCTCATCATCGCGCGACCGTTCCATATTATATACAACTCAATTTGCGTCCACGGGTGTGTCCACGGATTCGTGGAAGCCCTCAAATCTTGGATTAAGTGATTCGGATAATTCCCGAGAGGCTTCAATGAATCATCCAGCGATCTGGAAGTTTGGAAATCTTGAAATGTTTCGGATGATCGGCTGCAAGTCTTCGGGAGATGCCCGGGAAAGTCCCGAGATCTCTCACTGGGACTTGGTCGAGATTCAAAAGTTGCTCAAGTTCCAAGGTTGTTATGATATATAATATTTCATTGCAGCTAATTCCATCCAACCACACGGGGACTTAATACCAATTCTGGAACTTCGGAGGTTACTTTCCTCTCTACTGTTTTGTCAAGACCGGTTGAGCCCACACTCTGAAGGCAGCAATATGCTACGACTTCTACCCAGAATCAAGCCCGGTCGGCAATCTATACCTGTAAGAACGACAAAATGGACGGGGAAAAGCATATCTCACCCTCACCAATCATATCCGAAAGGTTTGCCGAAGCGCTATTATTCGGTTGAATCATCGAGTTCCCCCTCGGAATCAACAGGTTGGTCAAGGGAAATTATAGCTGCTTGTGTTGCATCGGTCGTCACGGTCTCTGTGATATATAGCATCGGGCAATCGAACCATGAGAGCAAGGATAAGAAAAAGCCGCAATATGCTACGCTGGAGGAAATGAAAACGGTGAGTCGGACTTGCTAGCTGACGAGTCTTTTTGCTAACGACCCGTTACACAGGCCATTCGAGAAATCAACCAAGAGCTTGGAGAAGACTCTATCAGCACCGACGATGAAGACTTGAAGATGCATGGCTATTCCGAATGGTCTTCAGTCAATATTGATCGTCTCCCTGTGGCTGTTGCATTCCCTAAATCCACTGCAGAGGTAGCCACCATTGCGCGAGTTTGCCACAAATACAAAGTACCCATGAGTAAGTCAAATTGGACTTTGTCGGCTATTGAAAGATTCTAATTGTCACCCTCAGTCCCATATTCTGGTGGATCCAGTGTCGAAGGTCATTTTGCAGCAGCCTTCGGTGGAGTGAGTGTTGACTTCCTCAATATGAGTGAAGTTGTTGCTTTCCACCCGGAAGAGTAAGCGAGTCTTTTCCAAATCTAACGGCTTCACATATCGTGAAAGCGTGCGAAAAGCGTTCATTGCTAATGATTGCAGCATGGACATTGTTGTACAGCCATCTGTGTCCTGGATGGAGATGAACGAGAACATCAAATCGAGTGGACTGTTTTTCCCTATCGACCCTGGTCCACCGGTATGTCGAATTACCCTCCACGGATGGAAATTGAACTCTGGACTAATGTTTCTCACGCAGGCAAAAATTGGTGGAATGATTGCCACCAATTGCAGGTATATAATAGCCCTTGAAGAGTGGAAAGAGGCTCGCTCATGTTATAATTTCTAGTGGAACGAATGCCGTGCGGTATGGTACCATGAAGGATTGGGTTGTGAACCTGACTGTCGTTCTTCCGGATGGAAGGATAATCAAAACGAGGAAAAGACCACGGTATGTTATTCAGCCTTGTGGCTGCAATCTTGAGATTTTAATTTTTGGGATAGCAAATCTTCAGCCGGCTATAACCTGAACGGCTTATTCACTGGGTCGGAAGGCACACTGGGCTTCGTCACAGAAGCGACTCTGAAACTAGCCCATATCCCACAGGAGAGTGGCGTTGGGATGACGACATTCAAAACCATGAGAGATGCTGCAAATGCAGCTACACAGATTGTCCGCCAGGGAATCCCAGTCGGAGCTGTGGAGCTGTTGGATGATGTCCAAATGGATGTCATTAATAAGATGGGCGCGACGGGTAGGGTATGGAAAACATTGCCTACTTTGTTCCTCAAATTCAGTGGCACCAAGCTAGGAGTGCAAGATAACATTGAAGGCGTGCGAAAGATTGTCAATGAAAACAAGGGCAGTGAGCTGGAAGTGGAACAAGACAAAGCAAAGCAAGCAGTTCTGTGGTCTGCCAGAAAGGAAGCCTTGTGGAGTATGCTTTGCATGAGAGAGTCCGGACATGAGGTTTGGTCCACTGATGTTGCTGTTCCCCTGTCTCGGCTTCCGGATCTAGTTGGTATGTATTCCCCAGCGGCAAATTGACCACAGAGACTTATGTGATGAACAGAAATCTCGAAGCGCGATCTTGATAAGTTGGGTCTGTTTGGCAGCATGCTTGGTCACGTCGGTGATGGAAATTTCCATGAGACTATCTTGTTCAACGGTGCTGAAGAGCGTGAGCTGGTGTCCAAGTGTGTGCATGACATGGTGCATCGCGCAATTGAGATGGAAGGCACATGTACAGTGAGTTTGATACTTCTCCGATTTCGACTTGCTGTTTGTTTCCCATATGCTGATTACCACCAAGGGCGAGCACGGCATTGGTTTAGGCAAGAAAGAGTTTATGGAGAAGGAGGTAGGGGAAGGGAGTTTATCAGTCATGCGTGGAATCAAGTTATCCCTTGATCCGTTTTGGCTGATGAATCCTGGGAAGGTTTTCGACCCTTGAAACATCGGGAGGCCGCCATTTCCATTCGAAATCTAGCCCCATTTGCCACATGTTATTAATCCACGATGCAAACCGTTCCTGGCGCAGAAATGCAACAAGTACGGCAACAGTGGTAGGAAGATCACATAAGAAAAATCAAGACTGAAGGCTTCGCGGATTGCTATAACAGATAGGCTGGTTGTGATCATCGACTAATGTTAGAGGGTCGTAACTCTGGGAATCGTGCAATGTGGCAAGTATGTGAGCGATAGTTGTGTCTAGCACCGTCTGTCTGAAGATTGAAGTGGATTTTTTCTTCGAAAGTTGAAGCAAGTAGACAGGTACTGAGCTCAGACTTTTGTGGGCGGTCTCATAATTATACCCAAAGTTGTTCAGGCCGATAGCAAAATATGAATGACGTTCGGGGTATATATGGACGCCAAGGACTGTGATCTTGCTTTAGGGCGGCACCGGCAAAAAGCTTCCTCGACGGTTGACACAAACATTTGTAGACACCCTACATAGTCTTCGGGGTCGAGTCTTCTGTTCGGGGGATCACCAAGTATTCGAGTTGGCGTTGAATCAACGTAATTGGGATTTCCCTCAATATATACCCTCGGATTTGCTTTTTGTGGTCGCCCATGGTAGAGGTAGCCATATGTGCCAGCTTCAAGCTGGTGATGGGAATGAATCAAGGCATCATGGAAATGAAATCCGCTTGACCACACCCCTACCAAGGTGTATAGTCAGCCAGGGATATCGAAGGTGATGCCTAAAAGTCCCTGCTGATCCCCGGGATGCCTGATTGATTCGAATTAGACCGCTTCTAATACCGCCTTCGAAATGCCAGACTTACATCGCGGCAACGGGCGCGGATTGCATGCAAGCTAGCCTTGATCGGGTATAGCGTGATGACTAGTCTGATTCGCGGCTAGAGACAGGAGCTCCAGGAGCTCCAAGGGCTGCTCTCCGGCCTCCCGAGCCGCGCTCCCGCATCATTCGTCAAGGTCGCCAAAAGCGCCAGCCTATCACAATGCAACGCAACCTGGCTGCCAGGGTTTCCCGAAGCCTGCCACAGCTAAATCGACATGTATTCACCCAGTCATCTTCTCGTGCGATCCCAATTGCCAACGCCCGTCATGCTGGCTTGGCCCACCGCAATACCTGGAACATTGCGCCTCGGACAGCCGTGATGCAGGCCAGTACGCGCTATGCCCACACAGATGCTGGACCAGCCAAATCAGGCGGGGCCATTCTCGACGCGACCAGCTTCAAGGGTTCGGTCATCACGGAGAAGCATTGGAAGAACCAAGGCTCACCAGTCGGTACGGTCTTATCGTCGCGTCCTTATCACCTTGCTAACCAGCTCAGTGGATGCCTTGATTGAGCCGCGCGCAATCTTGCATTTTATGGGTTTCATCACGCAGGGCGTCCTACCGAACGGAAAGAAGACTGATTTGGCTTTGCTCGAGCCAGATGAATTCCCACTGTTCATGAACCCAACTTCTGAATGGGCACCTGCGCCATTCAACAAAGCCACAGTTCCCACAGTCCAAAAAGCGATGGAGCGGATCGCTGGTCCGGAGGACTTGAGTGGATTGACCCAGGTTGGACATAATATAAATTTTCTCAAAAGTCGTCTCTGGGGAGGCCTTGACCCTGTGCCCACAACCCAATGGCGCGACAAGGAGCTCAACAACCCCGAGCACTTCACAATCGCCCATGAATACCTAACTTCCGTGATTGCCGTTTTTGAGTATCTCAATATCCCTCAGATCCGGAAAAACATGCGCGACACCTTCAACAACGTATCCGCAGACCTAGGAGAAATGCAGGAGGCTTTGAATGCACGGCGCAAGGAGCAAGGAGTCTTCGCGCCTGAGCTCAATCTTCCTGCTCTTTGGGAACAATTTATCCGCGCACAGTACGAAGTCATGACCAGCACCGCCCATTCCTGGGTCCTCGCCCGCGCCGCTGAATTGCGAGCACCGATAGTGGATAAATTCGCATCGATCCCTACCGAAACCCCACATACTCCAGAAATGGTGACTCTCTCAGCTCGGTGGAACGACCTTCTCGCCGTCGTGTCCATGGCAGATTTCAAAATTTGGTTACCCATGGATGGGTACACAGGACACTATCCACCCTCTGAGATCGTTGCTGGACTACACAACCCCGATTTAGCGAATCAAGAGCAGAGTCAAGACTTTTCGAAGCTGCTCATTGATCGATTTGCACAACGTCTCGATGCCGCGAGGGTTCAAGGCCCAAGCGCAAAGAATCCTAACGTGCCCCGCCACGAGCGCCTGCTGATGAGCTCCGACTTACAAGATGAACTGCGTTTGAAGACCCGCGGCCAGAGTCCGTCACCGCAGCCACCTGTGCAGCCTTGGATTCAACAGCTTCTTCGAGGACATCAGCAAATCATGAGTATGGATCCACAAGAGAGAAAGGGTCTTGGTTTCGGTATCGCGATTTACCGCGCATCGAAAGAGATTTCCGATAATGATTGGGAGGAACTGCAGCGACGCGTGGAAGCCCACTTATCGGCGTGGGGTGAGGATGTACAGGGTTCTGACGAGCTGAAGCCACTTCTCAATCTGCATTGGTTTGACTGCAAAGAATTGGATTACGATAATCAAAGACCTACGCTCGCACTGAGGAGGTTCGAAAGCCCTCTTTCCCAAGAAACAAAAAAACCAACACTAACACTAATTCTAGCCACTACAAGGAAATTCGGTCCTCGGACGAGTGGACCCACAAGCTCGCACCATCTATGTTCCTTATCGTCGATGAATGGGCCGTTAGGTCATATCTCGATGAAAAATATATGGCTATGAGACGAGATCAGCCAGGTTATTTGAAGGGAGACTTCCAAGGTCATGTTCTAGCTGTCGATCCCGATTTCGATGAAAAGGCCACCCCAAGCCTAAATACAACCAGACCAGCCGATGAAGACCCCGAATCTGGAAGCATTGAATATTCCGGTCATATGCGAATCATGGGTAACCTAGTCTGGAGCGAGCTCTACCCCTTGCTAATGACGCAATCGGTGATACTTGAGAATCTTTGGCTGCAGTCACACGAACATCCTTTGCATATGTACACGGGGCTGACAACACCGACTCAGATCGAGTCATGGAAGAGAGGCTGATTCCGTGAGCCGTGTTATGAAGCATTTCAAGCACCCAAAGAGGCAACTCCCGCTCAAGCAGAACATTTCCGGGTAATGAGGAAGGAGGGCAGCTCTTAATTTAAATACTTGGCTCTGTTTATCATAACATTTTAATCGACCTTGCCCGTCTTCCCGCTGTCTGAAATGCACAGAGTTCTCCCCATGATCCTTTCCAGATGATGCAACTGGCCCCGGGGCACCGGAACATCTTGGCTCACCCGTGCGTTCTTTTGAATAGAAGGGTGCAGTCATGGCCCCGAGGGTGCTGCTGGGCTGCTTAGGTTTGTTCCACCGTTTGTTTTTTCTTCAAGCACGTGAAACCAAATGTGTTGAGCGATTATATCTGAAGGTGAGGGGGCATTACTATATACTGCCAGTCCCAGACATAGTTGGTCTGTAGACCCCGGGCGGCCTTTTTAGAAGGTCTGCTTGAAGAAGAGCCACATGATCATGTTTGAAACAGGCCAACGATATGTGATTGTGAAAATCTTCCATGGTTGGAACGGGTATTTCCAAAATTCGGCGCGTCTATCCCTAGCTGACATCTAGTATTATCCTCGGGGGAAAACAAAATCGCCATCTGGGCAATGGAGGCCGCACACAAATAGAACAGACGGAAAGAGCAGAGAACATGATAACTATCACTGGGCAATCAAGCAAAACCTTGGAAGCCGCATTGACCATGCCCAGGTGACATCATTGCCGCTCAAAACACTTCGAAGCTCAGCTTAAAAAATGGACAGTAAAACATATTATGATGAGAGCAACGGGTATGATTAGAAAGACGTTGGCAATCCAAATAAGAGGGCTTAGGCTTTCAAGTCTCGAGGTTGTCATAGGTGAACGGAGATCCAAAAGGTTGTACAACATGAATCTGTCAAGTAACCAAACGTAGGGAACGTGGAATAAAAGCAGCAAAAGGTTTTTGATGCCTGTAAGTATCGTATCATTCAACACGTACCAGGCATGAAATGCGTCGGAAATCATCAAAATGATGCCTAGCACGAAAGATCCACGGCGGTATTTCCAGCGTGGAACGCCCGCATAGAGCATTATATAGCTCAGAGTCGAGACGAAGTAAGAGATCCGGTGCGTGCCCTGCAAGAGGAAACCCCCCAAGACAACTAGACAAATTGAACAAAGCATCAACGCGCAAAACAATGGTATCGGGACAATGTACACATACAAGTTTCGCTTGCACTTGGGACAAAAATAATGACCGGGATGGGAAATTGTACGACAATAATGGTTTTCGAACCATTTCTTCCTTATAGGGCTATACCATCGCTCGACTTCGTAGACGCCAGCAAGGAGATCGAGTGCGTCGCGATGCAAATTCTTAAAAACTTCCTCTTCCATGCCCTGGCAAAGGAATATGGCCCTTGCAAGGCACTTCGCTTCCTTGGCTTGGTTTGGGGTCATAGGGTGATTGACTTGGAAGACGTTGAGCCAAAATGTCAGCTGCGGCGATGACAACCAAATTCTGTTTCTCCGGAATATTGCGGACAATGCCACGAGATGAACCGCAATTTGGTATCGAAAGTTTGCCGGCGCTAACCCGCTATCAAATTTGTGTAGTAGATGGCTGGCATGAACAAGCAGCCGGCGGTTGACGTTTATCTTTTGAATGCCATCCCCTCGCTCAGCTTGCATATTCACTAGGACAAATCCAGATAGAACCAGTATTTGTTGATTTTCTGCCATGACTGTGTGCATGATCCATTTATGGACACACCTATGGAGGGTGTAGCCTCTTGGCCCATTGGTGTGATCGTCTGTGATGGGACCGATTTCTGCAAACCCGTATTCGCAGAGAATCTTCATTGCGTCATGGAATTTAAGTTGATCCACAATCTCCAGTCCTTCTGGCTCAGCGCCTCGCCAAAGAACATCGTTGAGATTCCTCGCAAGATCATACCATAGATCCCGGCTATCAAGAGAAGCCCATATGGAGAGAAGCAACCCTGCAAACTTGTGGTGTTGTTGAATGTGATGACGTGAAATGCTCCAAGTCAGCTCTAAGCGCCTTTGACTTTTGAACGCGGCCGATGTATAGGTGCTTTCATGGCTACCCAGTGAACGATCTTTCAGGAGTGCCAGATATTGAGCGCAGCTCATGGATGTGTTTCGGAGGTATTGACCTGCGCTTGCCAAGGTGAATGGCAATCCGTCTAGCTCAATGACCAAATCATCCAAGTGAAGATCTAAACGTGTCAATATGCAATCTGGAAATATTATTTGTGTCGGATTTCAAGTCTTACCCATTGTTAGTTCTAGGAGCCGATCTCGTCGGCCTGGCTGGTGACACAGAATGTCGCGATTGTGCTGCATGCTTTCAATCTTAGAAACCATGATTTGGTCTCCGAGCCGAGACTCAGGCGACCTGGTAATAATGATGCTATGACCCTGTGCCGGATATGGACGCCATGAATCTATCGGGAATCCTGAGGTGGGCTCATAATTATCGTATACCATCAGCCAGCCATCATTACCCCGACTGCTTAACCACGACATTGCCCATTTCACTGTATTGCTGGCGGCAGCATCATCTCCTCGTATGGTTTCTTTCAAATCCACCATGTCTGGGTATTACTCCAGGATTCGTTGTGTCATTCTCTTGAAACCTGCCGCTAGGCTCACTTCATCTGTTGCATCGAACCAGAAGATTGCTGTGTAGGTTAGAACATGCAGCGTTATGTATTCCAGTGCGAGCTGAGTTTTTCCAATTCCTGCCATGCCATGCAGAACCACGGACTTTCTGGAGGTTTGGGCTTGAAGTTTGGTCTGGATCCGCGAAAGTTCGTGCTCTCTACTCACGAATAGATGTATATGCGGGAAATATTGCGTGTTAAATGGAATCAAAAACTTTTCTTGTAAACAAGTAAGCAAATATTGGATGTGCATGGAGGCTACTATACACTAACCACGAGCTGTATCAAAATGGGTCGGGCTGAAAGAATTTTCGGACACTGAAGGCATATTTGACAGCAACTCTTTGCTATATGCCGCTGCTGCCATAGCGGCGTATCCTTGCCATTGGTTGTTCTTATGTGAATCGGCATAATCACAAATTCCCCTGATGACCAAACAAGGGAAATGATTCATAAGCCCAGCAGCTTCCATTTCGAAGCAGAGGACCCCCAAATCCTTTGCCAGTTTGTCTCGGCTGCAAGCATCTTTCATCACTTGGTTGCCCGAAGCGATGACCCCATAGTGAACCCGAGGTCTTGTCGTAGGGCGTTTCTGGCGGTTGATAGCCTGAGATCCATCGCACCCCTGACAATCGGCCTCGGGATCTGGATGACAATAATCCGCATGGAACAGCGTGTCCCTTTCATGGCCAGGGTACTGAAATACCAAGCCGTGATCCTCCCCACTTATCCTAGACAAGGTATCCGGAAGGAGGGTATGGAATCTCGGGCGTGCCGTGAGATGATAACCTTCAAGGTTCGCAAGAGCTGTCAGGAGGGCCGGATGGGCATTGTTCAGCGATCCTGTGCGTTCGATTTTGCCCGACTGAAGTGTTTTGCCAAAGTCATATTGAACAACTCCAGGCGAGGTACCAGTGGGCCTTGAGACAACGATATCGCCTAGTCGAACGTCGAATGATGGGGATGGAACACCGCCTCCAATACCTACCAGGAGTCCGAATCTGATCCTCTGGTACGTCGATATCATGTTAGCCCCAACAACAGCCGCAGATACCGTGCCGTATATTCCTGCCGGGAGACATGCGACCACAACATTGTGGCCATTGATTTCTCCCAACACATATGAGTTATTATCATAGGACGGTTGGGATAGACTGGGATGAATGTTGTCTAGGAAGAGTCTTGCTGCAGCCATTTCCAGCGGCAGAGCGCATATCCATCCGATGCGGTAATCGCCATGACTTCGAGGTGTTGACATAGTAAATCTTTGACTGTCAGGGGAAAAGAAGAGTGATATGTTAGCAATTCTTCGATGAAAACCTCGGGAAGGCCCCGTGGGAAGATGAAATGGGAGAGAAGGGTGAGAACGAGTGATAGGTGATCACTGCGCCACACGTGGTTGGGGCGTTTCCCTCAGCTGAATATTTGTTTGCCATCAACCAATGACATATTGCTAAGTGACAGGTCAGTTTCAGCTGCCCAGGTGGCAGTCAAACTAGACGCTCATGCAGGGATGAGAGTGCAGATCTTTACTTAACTAGGAGAAGCGCCCAGGCGAAGTACATGTCCATCACTGCACCGCCTCTCCAGGGCTCTGGGCATAGGAGCGATGCTGTGACTGTGGCATGCAGCTTGTCACGCCTAGCTTTCCGTGCTTCTTCCAAACTTTTCCTACCTTTTTCTGATTCTCGATGCGTTGACCCAACAGTCACTATGTATTGTGAGTACGGAGTACGGACTATGGAAGTCCGATGTGATGCTTTGTGATAACTTTCTGTAAGGCAATGGGGGGATTCATACTCCGCACAGTAGTCTATTTTGCGAAAAGGCTAGGCCGAGTAAAGGGTATTTCGCCAGAATGGGCTTGCACTGGGGCATGTATCATTTTAATGTCAATGGGACCTACCTGCTCGCTTGCAACTGCGGCTGCAAATAATTACCTGAGCGGTCAGGTGGTCTTGTCTTGGCACCTCATACACCAACTATTGACTTCGAGTTCCAACATTAAGATCCTTTGACTTGTGCGGCCCAGTATAGGTCTAGAACATGAAGCGTCCTGTCTTGACACGTTTGGTTGCATCTGTGTTGTAGGCCAATTCACGGACAAGGTTCAACAACATGATATCACATCCATACGCCGCTTGGATCTCAAGAGCGGCGGGGATCTTCTCTTCAACCAAGCTGATTTTGCTCGTATATCCAACCTCGCCAACAGGGACTGCCAGCTCTGGACTTCCGTTGAGAACTGACAGCATGTTCCAGCTGAGATATCCTTCAGGTGCAGTAGCAAAGCCACCCGCTGAGTCCTTCGTGGTAGCGTCTCGGTACCAAGGGACCCCACCATTCCCGTTGAACGGGAAGACAACAATTGTCTCCGAGCAGGTCTCATCATTGGAAGCAAGGATATATTTTCTGTACCAAGCTTGGAACTCTGCTCGTTGTGCTTTCCCAAGCTTGGCTTTGGCGTCGCTTTCGGGCTCTGTGGAGTTGGTTCCAGGTGTGTCGACAGACATGTAGGGATAAATTCCAAACTTCTTGAAATAGTCTGTTTTAAAGTCGTTGGCAAAAGTATCGGCGTTCTGGACATATGTGTAAGTCTGTCATTGATAAGAGTCTGGTCAGCCGCTGCCTTTCATCGGCCACCTGAAATTGAAATCCGGGTTGAGACTCACATTCTCGAAGTAGTCTGCGATACTGGCGTTTCCATGACCAGATGTCTTGAGCCACAACTTATTGGTATCGACAATAGTTCGGTTCACGCCCAAGAACGCCTCTAACTTCTGAACATATTCTTCGCCGGGAGCAGTGTAGTTTTCTGCGATATTGACCCAGTACTCGCGTGGGTAAAGAATCTTCGTGGGGAACTTGGTGTAATTCTTCAACCCGGATCCGCGGTACATGGCTGAACCGAAGGTGTTGAAGGAGTCAACGTCACGAGCAAAGTGTCCAGCGGCATCGAATGGTCCAAAATGTGTGGCAGTGTTATTTGTGCTGTTAAGTGACGAGCGGATTCCGAAGACACCATTCAATGCGGACGGGAAACGCATCGCTGTACTGTTAGGTCAAGATTCCATGGACCGGAGAAATCAGACGAAACTTACAACCACCGGTATCTTCACCCACTGTGTTGTCCAACCAGTCATATGCAGCCATCGAAGATCCCGATCCTGCTGAAGAAGCGCCAGGGATTTGGTAAGTATCGGCTCGGACATTCTACCGTATGGTTAGTGCCGCTCATTCTCGAATGGGGTCTCTCATACAATTGGTAGTTCATAGTCAGTCCACTCAGAAGCCGTGAAAAGAGCACCAGCGAACAACGATAGCTTTGTCTTGCCGACGATGATGGCACCTTGGTCGATCAAACTCTGGATGACGCCGGAGGTTTGATTGGCTGGAGGGTATGTCTTTGCGTAGGCTCGACTGCCGTAAGTCGTGACGAGGCCATTGATTTCATATTCGTCCTTCACTGCCACGCGGTATCCAGCAAGAGGCTTTTCGGGGGTAGGCGTATAGAAAAGTCTGGATGGGACAGCCACTGAGATACCTCCCAGCTGGCTCCCACCTTTGGCCGCAAGAGGCTCATAAACGTCCGGGCTCTCGTCTGATGGCACTGAAGCAAGAGTGAAAGAGTTTGTGAAGTCATCATAGAGGCGCCAGGCACGGTGAAGGCCGTAGCGTGTTGCAAAGTATGGACCATCAGGGAGTGGCGTAGAAGAGAAAGGAGCAAATTCCACCAGTCGGGGTTTCAGGTTGTGGAAAAATTCCCGAGCATCATCTGCAAGAGCAACGCCCTCAGGACCTTGGAAGTAAAAGGCTATTTGCAAATTGTTAGTCACAGCATATCCATTAAGAATCACGCCAATTACCCGAAGAGAAGCTGTCCGAATAGACATCATCTTTTGATTTGAAGTCATTAATGGTTTGATTGAGCCATGCAGCCGAGATTGCTTTATCAGTCGAAGTCACAACTGTGATAGGACGCGGCTCTTTGCCATCAAAAATTTTGTCCACCTTTTTCTTGTGTCAGTGGCACTATGAAGAGATGAAAAGGAAATACACGAACCTCAACCTTATCCGGGACATAGTAAGCTATGTCTCCAACCTGAGCCACCGAGGAGGCAATGACGTGCACCGGCAAGGCTGCAGCAACGGCGAGGAGAAGGCTTGAGCCCAACATTATTCTGCAAATCACGAGCCACAGGGGAGAGTAAACTTGCTGTCCGAACAAAATAACCGGATTATCTTACAGTCGTACTCCGGGGCAGAAGAGTTCTTATGAAGTTCGGATCCCCCACTCCGTGCTGGGTTTCAGGCGAGTGATTCACTTATTAATGCCAATGCCTATCAGTGCCAAGCTTTTAAAGTTATCGGATTGACTACTTTCAGATAAACAACAGACAAATTGGAAACAGATCGTATGGGAATATGTTGGGCATTTCGGAGAATCAGCCACAGATATGGGAAGATACGAGACGATCATAGGAGTGACCCAATCAATCAAGATACGGCACTTATGTTATGGAAATTGGGCTATGGCGTATGCGGCGTTAGAACTTTGGTCCCTGCATCGTGCGCGAGTAGAAGAAGCTTATCTGCAGTTACGGGTACTTCCCGAGTGAATGTCGGGAAATTGCCGGGTTCGGGCTGTTCGGGTCGCTCGGCCAGTCAGATTATCTTCGGCTCTATGATGGCATCGGTCGATTAAAAGAACATACTTTTGACTCTTTCGGTCTGTTTTTATGCTTCGTGCTCGTGACTGAGACTTCAGTGTCCCCACATCGTAAGGTCCTCCTTCGGGCTCTTCAAGTTTGATATTATGTTTATGTAGCATGTGAAACCGTATACGATCCCCAATACCCCCAGGGCTAATTCTCTGTTCACAGCTTAGTCAATACTTCCTTTACTCGGCCAATCAGATGACTCGACAATTAGTTGGAACCTTGGAAGGGTAGTTACAAAGACAGTTAAAAAGAGGTCCCGAATAATGGTTATCATGTGGTTGCAATGTTTCATTTGTCTAATATTCTTAATCCATGTTCCAAAACACCCGTCAGGAATCCTGTCTGTATACCTAGGTATTAATGACACTTTGCCTGTTTTTTATGCTTTTTGACGAGGGAAAAAGATATTCAGACGTGGCACCATAACAGCAACAGTCATCATAATGAAAGGACTATACTGAACAGCGGCAGAAATTGCATATTGCAGGAAAGATTGCGAGAGCAAGATCTGGTCAAATTCTTTCTTGGGCGTTTCGACTTTCATCGAAGCATTGATCTTGGACTTGGGCGATTCGACGGTGAATTGTATCACATCGTGTTCATCACGTTCCCAGACCTTGAAATATCGATCACCGAGGTAACTTTAACAAAGTCAGTAGGGCGAATAGAACTTTGAAAGCAGCCTTTTAACTTACCTCCAGTGAGTAAGACCCATCGCCACATTCAGACATCCTTCTCTAAACAAATCCGAGATGACTTTCGATTTCCCTTGACTTTTGCGATCTAGCTGCGCTTCCGCTTCATGGAAGCCATCTGCTTCATTTTGAAGCAATTGGTATGCTCGGCTCATTGCCGTGTTGCAATCAATTTCACGGTTGAGCATCAAAACAGGAATTAGGTTTTCAATCTGATCGTCATTCTATAACGCAAGTTTTAGTTCACGGCTCCTCTTGAAACGGGTATAGATACGCACCACCTCTTTTCGGAAGGAGAGCATGTCGTTTGTTCTGTATCTCTCGTTAGAAACTGTATGTGAGAAAAACACAGGATAATATGTTGAAGGGCTAACATGTGAACGAAATAGGAAGTGTGTCTCCAAAGCTTCTGCATGGATTCCGATTGTACATCTGCTCTATCAATCTCCACTCCATATATGAATCTAGCAAGTCAGTCAATATATATGGACAGGTTTGGTGATAGTGGTGGACATACGGAAGTGTAGCAATCACACAATGGGCGGCAGCAGTAGCCTCGCGTCGTTCCCAGTATTGCTCGATAGTGGGGGTTCCATGGGCTGAGAAAATGCTGTCCACATTGTTGAGGCTGCCGACGTATCGTATCATCTCGTCACATAGCACTTCGCGAGTAGCTTTATCCAAGTCAGCGCCGTGCTTGAAACTGCAATCTGGATCTAGGGGCTTACATCTGGAAGAGACTTGACAAATATGCTCACCGATCTCGTTCCAGCATTCTAGACCGTTTTGAAGATCGATATCAAAACAGCTAAGATCTGGCGCAAGCCCTTCACCAAGGAGAGAAAATCTGAAATAGTGAAGGCTTGCTGCTCTATACTCGCTAGCGAGGATTTCATCATGCTTCAGAGTACCACAATCAAATACTGTTCAGTTCAAAGTTTCAATCGTTAGCTTTTTACCAGATTGTAACAGGAACAAGCGGGAAATTCATACTGTCGTCGTACACAAAATACTAAGAGTCAAGCTGGTCAGCCGTGAATTAAAAGATTTTTAAGAGACACAAACCCAAGCAAAATACTTCGCCGCTGTGCAGAGAACATCGAACGGGGCATCCGGGCACCAGACGGCAGCGAAGACGCCGAAATCAGCTGTTTTGAGCGCTTTCATAGTGCGCTTGTCGATCACCCACCTTGCAAACTGTCAGCAACTTTCTTTTCACAATGCATGGAGATCATGCAAATCATGTTCTAGCTCACTTTTCAATCCACGGGTCGAGAACCTCGTCCCGTGCTCTTTCGTGATACTCATGCAGTCGAGGTTTCCAGTCGGGAAATGTCTTGTAAATACTCGGAATCGTCACCTTCTGGCCCAGAATTGATTGCCGAAGACTGGCGTGGGCCGTCGCCCCGGTGAAAGTGGCCATTTTTGATGAAGTCAATCTCTGTGAACAGAAGAGCTAAAAGAGATTCAATAAAGGCGTTGTCCACATTTCGATGGGCATTCTCATTGATAAATAAAACCCGGATATCTTTTCCTGGTCTCGCTTGTTTTCTTCCGCTGTTTAAATTTGATTCTTCATTTTCATTCCGTTTTATGTAGCGGTGAGCTTGGTGGTGCTGCACGTGGAGAAAATATTCTCTGTCAACTAAAATATGGAGCACAGAGTACACCGTACGCCTGAAACTACTCCACCATCATCCATTGTCGTGCATGCAGCTCGGCAAGATCTACTCCACAGTGCAATTAGGGTTTAAATCTCAAAGCTAAACAATAAACAAGATCTCTATCACGCCTAGGACTCCTGGCCGTACTGTGGGCTCCAGAAACGCTCTTCAAAATGTAGGAGATGGCGTAGGGAAGAAATTGCAATTCATTTTTTGGGAAATAGGGCATCTGTATACTCCACGAGAACCCTTAAAAACTACAATGCCTAGGGAGTTTCATTTTTAGAGTTCACTGGGTTGACTGGGCGCTGAGGTTGAGCCAATACGATTATATCATAAACGTCAGGCTTGGGATCCGAAGTAGCGATAATGGCGGCCGCGAAGTCGAAGACCCCATACGAAGGAGGTTGATCGCGATCGGGAATTAGATCCAGATTGAAATATGTCACATCTCCATTCCTGGCGCAACAGTGGGATACCTACGCGTGACGTTAACATGCGATTGGCTCAAAAGAAACAATAATAGTCTCAAAGATCCACGCACTATCCTTTTCCAAGATTAAGTGAATCTTCTATGGCGATCAAGCCGGTCGATCGGAAGGACTCCGTGCCGAGGTTCCGATACGAAATTAAAGAATATAGGTTCAAAGGCTATATTTTTGTCACAACTAGTAGAAGGAAAGAACAAATGATGTGTATGGCCACACATGCCAACATACTAGGACCGAGGAAAGAAGAGAACAGAGAGGGAAAGGAATAGGGGAGAGTCAGGATCTCTGCGGATCCTCAGGCGCAATGCCCCACACATCCCCTCACGCCCCACATGACATAAAGGATGCTAGGCTGGTAAGGGCAGGTTGCTCGTTGATTTTAGGGTCCTGCCCTACGCTCGACATTAAGTGTTCTCAGCCACGCGCTAATGAGCTAGCAGTTGGGTGGCCACTAACGAATCTTCACTCTGGAATATTTCTGTTTTGATTCCATCTACTTGCAACCTCAATTGGGCATGCGCAGGGTAGACAGTGAAAACCCCCATGTTCTACTTTAGCGCTTGAAAGAGGAGCCACATCCAATACCTCGTTTTATGCTCCGTAGACATGCCTAGTCGATAAACTCAGAGGATGGCCTCGGGATCCGCTTTGATCTCTTAGTTCATTCGTTCGTAGAGAAGGTTTTGAGTTTTACACTGCTTCGGACGAAGAGAGTCGAGTAGTGTTCATCTCATGGATCAATTAACTCCAAACATCAGCACTCATACCGGTCCATGACGGCCCTGAAGGAAGAATCTCGCAAAAGTTCACCCGCAGTCAGCCGTTGTTCTGGGTGGTAGATGAATACTTTCGACATTATAGATTGCACATGTTGCCGCTCAACCAAGTCGATATCGGGACGGAAATATGCAAGTTTTGCGGCAAGATCATTCTCTGGGTCAGGAGTTTGAGACTGATCGTACCATGAATCAACTCCGCAGGGGTGTATGTAGTGACCTTTCCACTGCTCAGGTAATGGGCCTAAGCATTCAACCATACCACTCACAACTCCCCCTGGGAGATCAGTGGGAAAGGGGGGAAAGTCAGGTAGAGCATAGAAAAAATAGCCATATAGCTCCACATATCACAAGCGAAGCTGGCTCTTGCTTGTGAAGTCGATCTGGAGAGCAATAATGCATAGGTGGGTAGCCGCGTTGAGTGGTGTTATCATCGATCTTCTTTGCTAAACCAAAATCGCAGAGATAGAGTTTATCTGTGCGAAGGTTTTCGGGGACTTTGACTGGGCTCACAAGCTCGCCCTTCTCCCAGAGATCGACGAACGGTATTGTCTGCTTCATGGGCCGACCAAATAACTCATACCTGGCACTTCTGCTGGGACTTTCAATGGGAGCAAGTCCCCACATACAGTTCCTTGCATTGGGATCTAGAGTATTATTCTTAGAATGGAGAGAAAAGGAGAAAACACATGTTGACTCACCACGGTGCAAAATCCCGGCTTCATGTAAGCTTGCCACTGTTTCCAATAATTGTCGAGCAGCAGACATACGAGAGGCCATTGGAGTCTTTTTCAAGGTGAGAGTGCAAATGGATGGACCCTTCATGGGGAGCACCAAAACCCTGTGAGGACTTCCGTCATCTCGGAGTAAAGAGAAAGTCGTCTTATACAAGACTAGACGAGAAGTATGTTGTACAGTTTTGATGATCTCGTCCTGTATTTCAGTTTCGTTATCGGCCCATTTCCCTAGGGCCATGACTTTAAGGGCCACGTTCCTCTTCTCTTGCAGATCAAATGCCATCCAGACAGTAGAGCCACCACCAAATCCGAGCTTATGCTCAACCAGATACCTCTCAGTCAGCACCTCTCCAAGACTAATAGGATATAGGACATTCTGGGTTTCCTCTGTGGCGTACCTATGCCATGGCTCAACAACTTCTTCGAGATCAAGTTCCTCGTCTTCATTCTTGACGAAGTCACCAAAATCGGTTGCATCCCCAATCGAGGCTTCTGTGTTTGCGATCTTGGATAGGAGACTGTGAATGCCAGATCAGAAACGGGATGATGTGATCTAGTGGGACCAAAGCGGAGAGAGATCAAGCAGTATATTGTCATTCATCAGATGCTGTGGCTGTGTCTTCTAGATGGATGTGATGATCAAAGATGGATGAAGTCCAGATGGCGAATTATCTTGGCTAAACTCCTGTGGTCCTTCGACATGGAACTGACCAATAAAGATGCGATTGATTGGGAGAAGGATATCAAGATGTTTGCGATCTGGATTCGGCCGGATCTTTTTGTCCGAGTCCGTCCTGCGAGTGGGAACAAGACTTAGATCATTGTCATATACACGAGATCTGAGACCCATACTAGGTATTTCGATTTCATGTAATTCAATCCGTCAAGAAAATAAACCAATCATGGTCTTACATCTTCGCGTCTGTCAAAGGTTGGTACCAAAAAACCTATGTCATGGAGCAGGTTCCGCGCATGTCGGATATGTAGCTTGTTAAACCGACTGCGGCTTGAACCAACTGGTGACCTGTGACCGGCAGATATGGGTTCACGATGCATGAATAGGAACACAAAACTTGGAAAGTCCGTATTTCTGATTTCCCATTGATTGCTGCCTTGGAGCCTTATTATTTCAGCAGTGTCGGCAACATTTGAAATGTTCCGAGGTGGCTTCTTTTGTATATGCGCATTTCTCATAGTTCATAACGCTCAGCACCTTATATCTCTCTCATCCCTCAATTTTGAGCTAAGAACTCCTGACTACCATCTTCTATTGTACGCTCCACTATGCGCTTCTTTCCTAGATTCATCATATGCAGGCTGCATCGACCCGTGTACATACGAGTAGAGTACACCCATAGACCCCGCTTCACTTTGTACCTAAGCCATTAAGGTGATGATCACACTATAGAGCACCACATAACTATTGCAAAAGCATCTGCCGATCGGAAGACCTGTCACATTACGTAGCGTGTTCCAAGGTTGCATAACCCTGTTATTTACATGTGTGGGGTAGGTACCTTACGTGGCTGGCCATCGGAGCCTTTCTTTTTTTCTATCGGAAAGAAAAGTGCCCAGATGTCGTTACAGAATCGGAGTAGATGCCGGAAATTTTTGACTTTTTCTTTATCTGAAACGTGACGCTGCTCAAAACTTGGAATATCACAAATTCCCATATACTGTCCATCCAAAATCTAATTCGTAACACTCATTCGCAACTCGTGGCACAGGAAAAGGAAACTCACACGACGAATTCTAATCAACGAGACAACGCAACAGCTGTGGATATCTACAAAAAAGGGTTCAGTTCCAACATCTGCTGGATCTTTTTCATTTTCTTCCTGAGCGAGGAAATATACCCAACACCCATCCCATCACTCTCCTGGTCGTCCTTTTGACTCATCACCATCCGCGACAGCGCGGTCAGCTCCGAACTACTGAGGAGACCGTCATTGGAGCCGCTGGCAGGGTCAAGACGGAACTCCGCGGATGTTCCCAGCAAGCGTTCGATGTGAGACAGAAGATGCACGATCACCTGGACGAGAATCTTGATCTGCAGATTCCCGTACTGGACGGGGAATCCACCAAGCTGGAGGCCCGGTACGGATTGGAGGGATGAGATGGACTGGTGCGACATTTCCGACAGAGACTCGCAGACGCGCTGGAAGAGAAGGTGATAGATCTGGATAATCTGAATGTAGCAGGTTAGGATCAGGAGAGCGGTTGAGAGATCCGGCTTAGGATGGTCGGAGGGCGATGGGATCCTGAACTCTGGAGTGTGCAGCTGGCCAAAGGGCGAAGAGCTGATATGAAGCGGCTGCACAGCGTTGGTCAGATTCGCTGCCGCGCGAGAGCAGTACATGTCAGACCCCGATGATGACAGCGGGGTGGGATCGGAGTTGGGTGACTGAAACCCAGACCCCGGCTGGTCTACAGAGGTCTTGAAAGCGATGGTTTGGAGGACTCGCACGAACTCGGAGGTGCTTTGAAGGACCTCTCCGAGGGGGTTCGAATTGGCTGCCTCCTGGCCCTGCTTGGCACACACGATATTGACCAGGGTGACACTCCAAGGTGCGGTCTTGAGTCGGTCCAGTTGCTTGCTCAGCGACTGAATCAGAACAGACAGCCTCTGAACGGCATCCGCGCTGCTCATTGTCTTCCGTGGCTGCTTGGAAGGATCGGCAGCTCTCAGGGAGTCGGAATCCAGTCTTTGGCTGGATTCGTCCGTGAAATACTGGCTTTGACCACTCGATCTATGGCTGGTGTCGGCATATGCGCTCTCCACATCGCTGGGGCTGGGAATATGCGTGCCATTCAGCGAGGGAATCCCGAAGGAAGTCTGGCCATTCGACAGCCCGCCCCCCAGGAAATCATCGCTGACCCCCGAGAGACCCAAGAGAATTGCAGGATCCAGGCCAAAAAAAGGGGGACCATTCGCGTCGAAAGCTCCTGGGCCCTCCGACGGGCCATCATCTCTCCTGCTCCCGTGATGTTTCTCGGCGCCGAATAGATGGTTTGGATTTTGGGTGGGATCTATATCATATAGTACGTCGATCTCATCGTTAGCGGTACCGCTTTGGCCGCTTACAGGCTTTCGTGGGCGTCGTTCCCGTCCCTGGCTGGTTCCCGGGGTAGTCTTCCGTGCCGGCCGTCCGAGAGGGCGCAGATTGCTTGTAATACACATGGCACCGGCGCGCAGGCACCGCGTACAGGACTGGCCGGTCTGGTCCTCCCGAGGGCATCGTAATTTGTGTCCTCTGCATCTATCGCATGCGAATCTTTTGGCGGATTGCGCGTGAGTTTCTGGTAACAACATTGCCATTGTGCGGGGTGGTTAGGGGGATATAGACTGTCTAAAGAGTTATAGAGACAGATATGGAACCAGAATATGAGCGGCATTGAATCTCCGATGAGCGCCACGATTAATAGTGGACGTCAAGCACCCAAAGGATGTTCAGTTGAACTAGATTGCGGTTTGCAGGGCGGCCCCCAGATCGCGGCCCCTCGAAACAAAGCAGGGATTGTGATGGCGCTACGGCAGCAGCTAGTGCCCATGATGCCACCTCGTATTTTGCTCTTTGGCTGTTTTGCGATGCCATTTCATGCATTCAACCATATCAAATTACAATCAAACTTCCATTTATTCTTGATAATTTCAGTCCTACCTGGAGTTTTCTCCCTATTCTTTACCAGCATAGTTATTTACCTACTTCTTCTTCTTCTCTCTCTCTCTCTCTCTCTCTTCCCTAACAAGCTTTTTTTTTTTCTTTTCAAAATACCTCTGTATGACAATACTACATTTCCTACATTTCCTACATTTCCACTAGGTCAAATGCTAGTAGTCAACATTATATTCCGGGCGAGCAAACCACTTGAGCAGACAGGCGGGTAGACTAGACTCCTCGCAGAATCTCAGTAATTACGGAGTACGGAGTACCAATTCGATCAATACATCCATAGATTCAAATTCCACAAACATCTCTATTCACAAATCCTCTTAGAGGGCCTACTATGAAAAGATCTGGATAAAAAGCCTTACTTTTATGCAGTTTAATATTAATGATATAATCGTATAACCGTACAATAGGAAACAAGTATAGAAATGGTAAAGAAATGGTAATTTGTGAAACGGCTGTTAAGCGGTGCGAGCGGAATCGTAAAATTGCAGATGTTGCTGTTACAAAATACGAGGTGGCATCGCAGGAGCTGATCAATTCACGAAATTCACGAAATGGAGGGCGTGGCTGAAATATTAGATTGAGCCATTTTCAATTCATCTCACCAACTAACAATCCGATGGTATCCCGTGAAACGATTTCACGCCATCAAATGCGTCAACTAGACGGACACTAGGCGATATTGGGCGGTGAAAGGAGTGGGAAAAAAGGCGTACGCGTGTGTGTTCACCAAGGGGCCATTCAGTCTACTGCTTCGTTCCAGTTGCTGTCTTCAATAGCAGTAATAAAATAATACAGTGTCCTTTTCTCGCACTTCTTTAGACTTCCAAGTTGATCCTATATCAGATTGCCCAGCATCTCAACCTTTTGCCCAGGTGGCTTCATATGCAAAGGTATACTCTTGTGTGTCTATGAGAACATACCAGAATAGAAAATGCCGCGAAAGAGACCCAGGACTAGTCGGCCCCGGGGCGATTCGAGAGGTTAACGGACCCCGGGCCAATAGCCGGACTAATAGCCCCCCGATTAGCTTGGTTTGACTTTCGGAACTTTCCGAACCTTCCTTACTCCGTACATTTGATCGACTCGGCCATTTATGATGCGCATCGGATTGTCTCATTGTTTCCACTACATGACGCCTGGCGAGCTCACACACCACATGGGGCCAATGCAGTCAGCATGCAAAGACATCGCTCCTAACGAGAATGCCTTGCGTGCGAGTCATGAATCGGATCCGGGGATATGGCAAGATCCGAATCGGGGCCAACAAAGAACAACTAGAATGCTCCGAAACAGTCGGCCAGATTGCCTCTCCGTCACCGAAGGCATAGATTCAATTTCTTCGAACCAATTGTTTCTCTCTTCAGCCTCCGATATTTTCTATTATTCTGCATACGAAAATCATTTGAGCTCACAGACCTAACGGGGATCAAAATCGTGAGAGGTACCCGACAAGCAGCTGGATACGGTGGTGGGTGAGTGACCTTAGCTCCCTGCAGAAAAAGAGCAGTGCTAAGGTGTTAGTCTCCTTTTCTTGTCTTGAGATATAGTCTCACCGTGCTTTTGCAACTTTTCGCGACCATGACAGTGGAAACGAAGCCTGGCCTGCGAGAAGAAAATGGACTCCGAGTGGAAAATGGCAGTGAGGAAGCAATCGTGAAACCTCCGCCAATGAAAAGAGGGTTCAAGTTCTGGACCATTATCTTTACACTCTGTATAACGGGTCTGTTGGGAGCACTGGAGAACACGGTGGTTTCGACTTCAATGCCAACAATTGTGGAGGAGCTGGGCATCGGCGACAACTATATCTGGATCACGAATGCCTTCTTCCTCACCAGGTACCTTGATCCCCTACTGCCAGTCGTGGTGACCCGAGCCGGAAACTGACACTCCCTGGGAATTCTCTAGTGCAGCGGTTCAGCCCCTGTTTGGCCAGCTAGCCAATGTCTTCGGTCGCCGATGGCTAACGATGTTTATCGTCGCCATCTTCACCTTGGGAAGCGGCATCTGCGGTGGCGCAACGGGCGCGAATATGCTCATCGTCGGGCGTGCGGTTCAAGGTATTGGAAGCGGTGGCATTAACATGATCGTCGATGTGATCGTCTCGGATCTCGTTCCCTTGCGTGAGCGCGGAAATTTTATCGCCATCGTGCTCACCGTATACTCGATTGGCAGCTCGATGGGCCCCTTTGTAGGTGGAATCATTGTTCAACGGACCACTTGGAGATGGGTCTTCTACATTAACCTACCTGTTGGCGGGTTTGCGCTGGTCCTTCTGTTCCTGTTTCTACACACGAACTATCAGAGCAACACCACCTTTTCCCAGAAGATCAAGCGTATCGACTATATCGGCAATATCCTCATCATGGGAGCGACGGCAGCGGTCCTCTGCGCATTGACATACGGGGGTTCACGCTTTCCATGGGGCTCATGGCGGATCGTGGTGCCGTTGGTGCTGGGCCTGGTTGGGCTGGTTATATTTATGGTCTTTGAACAATCCAAGTTCTGTCCCGAGCCCGTGGTGCCACCGCGCCTATTCAAAAATCGAACCTCCCTCGTGGTCTTCATCAACACATACTTGTTCACGGTTCTTCTCTACTGGGTGCTGTTCTTCATCCCAGTTTACTTCCAAGCCATTTTGGGCTCTTCGCCAGCCCGAGCAGGCGTTCAAATGCTGCCCATTACCCTCGTTGCGATTCCCGGCGCCGTGATTGCGGTCATCATCCTCTCGAAGTTTGGAAAGTACAAAGCCCTTCACCTGGTCGGTTTTATCATCCTCACATTGGGTATGGGCCTGTTTGCCCACCTCGACCGCTACTCCTCCGATGGGGAGTGGATTGTTTTTCAAATCATTGCCGCGCTCGGATCTGGAATGATCCTGAACACCTTGCTCCCTGCCTTCCAGGCCCCACTGGCAGAGTCGGATCAGGCGGCTGCCACGGCAAGCTGGGCATTTATGCGGAGCTTCGGTAATATATGGGGCGTTGCTATCCCCGCTAGCATCTTCAACAATCAGTTTAACAAATACGCTTATCGGATTTCCGATGCTACTGTGCGGCAAACACTCTCCAACGGTCACGCCTACCAGCACGCGTCCAATACCTTCATAAACAACCTTAGTGACCCGGTGAAGAGCGAAGTGATCGGGGTATTTTCTGACTCCCTTAAGCTTGTCTGGTTGGTATCGATTGCTTTCTGCGGTCTTGCTTGTATACTGGTGTTTTTTGAAAAAGAGGTGCCTTTGCGACAGGAGCTTGAGACAGAGTATGGCATGACGGAGAACGACCTCACTCAGACAAAGAAGGGGGATACCCCCGATGCTGAAAAAGCAGGCTCAGACACCCCGCAAACTTGAGGTTGACAGGACGGGACTTGGTGGAACCATGCACCAGAAACTAAATGAAATCTAATAAGTCAAAATTTCAACTGATTTCCAAGAGGGAATCTTCTTCTAGCAATCCCCTAAAGATATATATATATATCTGTATATTGTTACTCTACCTCGGTATCAAAGTTTAACCCTCAAATTAGGCTTCCAATGGGCCGAGGATTCTTCTCTATAATAATCTTATAGACCAGAACATACGTTAAAAAATTAAGCAAAAACATACAACAGTGAGGATTCGCTGGTGGTCACCCACCCAACTACTAACTCACCGGCGTGTGGCTTAAGTACGGCTGAGCGGACGGGAAGCCCTGTTCTCCACACCCTGTGGTCTTATGTGCCTGGAATATGATTTCATTTACTCAAGTCGAGCCGTTGCAAGCGTGTCATTTCCTATGGAAAATGATTCCAATCCGAATTGATCAAGACGAACCCGGTTTGTATGGATTCGCAGCTCCTCATAGAACCCCTTCCCCATTACGGGGATGTCTGAAGGGCGACTGGCTCATTTTTTTTCCGCGGCTTGTTGTCAGAAGGCTGTGGATCGCTGCGCGCGACCTCCATATCCAATCTCTTCGCTGATGAATTCGGCCGCGATCATCTTACTCTATCTGTGGTTCAGAAGTTTTCTCGCGCGGTTCTCTTTGAAGTACGTGATATAATATATCCACGTCTTTGTGAAGTCACTAACGCAGTATAGAAAACTACCAACTGTCCTTCATCTCGATATGGTCACCAAGATACTACAGAGTATTCTGATACTCCTAGTGTTGTATCCAACGTCAAAATTCTTGAAGGTTTCCTCAACGCAGTCGTGATCATGTGGATTGCAAGGCAACGATCATGAACCTGGACATGGCGAGCACTCCCTCGTCGACTAAAAATTGTCTATTCTCTCACGATGTGAACATACCTGGAAACAACGAGAAAACGCAAAAAGAAGGAACCGACGCCTACTTTGTCGTGCGAAAATCAAGAGAAGATCACGATGTCGAGACCATCAATTTGCCGTGAATCACAAAAAGGCCTCGACGTATAGAGTACTGTGAGCTTGGAGAGCACCTGTCTCGTGGCGATTTGATGGTATCCACATAGTAAAATCGGTGATGAATCAACAAAACCCTCTTGAGCGTGGATTACCAGACCGTGGGATCGGCATTCTCTGCAATATGGGTAAAGAAGGTAGATGGGATCGACCATCGGGTCTCTTTCCTCGAGGCCGACGACAAGGAATTCACAGCGTTGAAGGAGAATGTGCGTATGCTGAGGGGGAAGGTTTGGCTGCTTGAAGGCCATGTACGCACACAAACGGACCTCATAAATGAGCTGAGTGGAGGAGGGAAGACCTCCCAAAGCATAATTGAAAAGCCCAGTGCCAGGATCCCGAAAGAGACCGCCACAGATTCCATGAAAGCCAGTGAGAGGGAGCACAGGGAAAGCTGGTTTTGAGACAAGATCTCCGGTCACATCAGAGGCGCGAGGCACCAAATACTTTTTTAAAAATATGAGTTTATCTCTATGCGATCTGAGCGTTAATACCATCTCTCTTCGCTGGGAGGCTCAGCCATGAAGTGACCCGATGATTGTACATCAGTAGGAACTCTTGAATCTGCTTTGAGTCCAGTACCGGCGCTAGCACATTGGCCACTCGGGTACTCTCATCGAGCTTTTTGATTGCTTTCATCAGCGACGCAATTTCCTTTCATAGGAATGACGAGTTGTGTTCGGGGAACCGGACTTCGACCTGTATCATAGTTGCGGCTCTTGGAAGGTCTAGCTTGGCGATGGTCCTCTCTATTTAAGAGACTGCTCAAAGACCACTCGAAAGATAGGATAAAAGTGTAGAAGTAAACAAGTCTAACTGAAAAGTTGTTAACATGCTGACTTTCGAATTCGCAATTTAAGGCTAACATGAATATGAATTCACCGGATATAAGACTGATCTTGGACATATGTCCCTTTAAATCATCATCAACACAAATCTCTGTGCAACGAACGGACATCTCAGAAAGGCCTCCTGGTCATGTCAGCCAAAAGATCCGGCGAAACAAATCAAGTATGCTTCTTGGCCGTGCTATCATCACATCATCTTCGAGCGTTCTTGTGGTCTCTTGAATTTCGTGACAAAATTCACGTATCGCTTATTCACGCTCAATTTGACGCTGCATGATCACGTCAGCCTCATGCTCGAGGGCTAAGAACCTGCCCGCTGCTGTCGGAAGAGAAGCCACAGGGTGACAGCGACAGTTGCGTTGGGCCTTCTACAATGCTGAATGCGAGTGACTAGGTACAAGCCTCAGTACCGCGCTCACGCGCGGCCAAAAGGACGATAGTAGTTGCTTGTAAAGAGGAGTAATTATGTATTGGTTCACTCTTATATTTCCTTCAATAAAAAACGGAAGAGAGCTGTCATATAGTTCGTGATATCCTTCCAGCTGTCCTTCCAGCTGTCTTTCCGATTGATTGTAGAGTAATCATAATTGTTCGAATAAAGGAGGTCTTGAATATGACGTGAATAGAGAATTAGAGATTGGGGATACTTTACGCCTTGATCTCCGGAGTAGTAGACGTGAGAATAGATTGGTGACGGAAAAAAGCTATCATAAAGCATTTATAAGAGGTCCACAAAAGTCTTGCCTAAGCCATGAAAAACGAAATACAGGTTGTATATTGTAGATACAACCTTGGAATAGCTAACTTGAGAAGAACGAGGTATACATGTAATTGGGATACAATCCCGATAAATAGCATTAAACTTCAATCACAAATTTTTGGGGGCCTATACATGAGACATATCCAAACCAAACGCCCGGAAAAGCACTATCTAACATGCAAGCTCTAGTTCTTGGCAGCCTTCTCGCCCTTCTCACCCTTCTCCAGCTTGCGGCGCTTGGACCGAAGCTTAGCAGACTCATCAGCAGTCTTCTTGTTCGAGTACATCATCTTCTCGAGCAGCTTGCGCTTCTTCCGGCTCATCATCATCTTCTGTCTGTCGAGCTCCTCATCCTCGCTGCGCTTCTTGGCAGCGATCTTCTTAGCCTTAGCGGCCTTCTTCTTGGATGCCTCGTCGGTGGCACCAGCAGTGAATGGCAGACCAGCAGCCTCGGCCTCAAGCTCCTTCTGGTGCTGGGTGCGAGCGGCCTCATCCTCGGACTCGGACTCGGAAGCGGCTCCTTCCTCGAAGCCACCGAAGTCTTCGACTTCTTCCTCGGACTCGCTCTCGTCGTCGTCGGTACCGGCAACGTCCATGCCTCCGTCAACGGACTCGGCATCGGACTCGGCGGCCTTCTCCTCGACGGCGGGCTCGTCCTCCATCTCCTCATCGCTGTCGGATGCATCGGCGGCGTTCTCAGCCTCGTCGGCTTCCTCCTGCTCGGCCAGGGTGGCGCGAGGGTCGTAGGCGCCGCGGGTAGCCTTAACCCAGGGGCTCAGGTGGGGAGGGAGAGTAGCACCGGGGGCGTAGAGGTCAGCACGGAGCAGCTTGCCCTCGTTGATACAATCCCAAACCCACTGGGGCTGGATGTATGTGCGGCCAGGAATGCGGGATCCAGGCTGGACCTGAGGGGCGTTCTTGTCATCGGGGATAGCGGGGAGAGATTCTTGAGGGAGCTGGGGGCGGTCGACGATTTGGTGAGTGATGCGGGGGTCGGTCTCGTCGTGGGTGAAAGCGCCGTCGCCGAGCACGGAGGCCCAGCCGACGCGCTTGCAGCCGAAGGAGCGCAGGATGAATTCCAATGGGGCCTTGGGGGCCTCACGGGAAATGTAGAAGACAAAGGGAGCGAAGAGAGCACCGGCCTCGTTGCCGCTCATGGAGGGCTGGGGGAGGGTGTCGGCTTCGGGAGCCTCGGTCTCGAAGCGGTCAATGGCGTCGGTGTTCTCTTCAGTTGTGTCCATGGCGCTGTCGTCTGTGCTCTGATCCAAACCGGCCTTCTTGATCACCTTGTCAACCTTGGCTTGCAGCTCCTTGGAAACTTCCTTGTTGGAATTGCCGTTGGCCTGGGTCTTGCCGGCCTCAATGGCCTTGGGCACATCACCGACGGTGCGGCCCTCGAGGGTGAAAGCGGCCAACTCGGCACCGTTCTCGTCGCTGCGGGTGTCGAACTTAGGGGGGTATCGCAATCCAATTCCGGAGTACAGGCGGAAGTTGACAAATCCGAGGAGGGTGGTGTAAAATTCAACAAAGGTGGCCATGATACGGTAGTCGACATCGCCGTTAACACGCTGGACGAAGCGGTAGGGAACCAGCCACATGATATCCTGTCCTTGGATCGTAGCCTGGTAGTAGATACCCTTAATGGAAAGGAATGACCTGCGCAAAGAGTTGGTCATGATCAGGTAGTGCTGGAACTCGTGGCAAAGGCGCTGGCAGAGCGCAATGGTCTTGGCGGGAACATGGTCGGTGGAGGGGAGGGTAGCGAAGAGGAAGAGAAGAGAAAGGGCGTCGTCGAGATCACGCAGGGCATCAATGAAAGTCGGGTAGCGCTCTTTGATAACGTGGTCCAAAGTGAGTCTCGGGGCGTTGTTCTTTTCTAAACGGGAGGCATCGCCGACTTCTCCACGGCCGAGGGAGCGAGCGATCTTCTTAGCAAGCGCCTTCTGGTCACGGAACTTGTTGAGCAAGGGCTCGTGCAGCAGATACTGGATATCCTTGGTGTAGTAGAAGGTGGTGTTGGGAGTAGCGGTCTTGGAAGCCTTCTTCTTGTTACGGGGCTCGCGAGGGTAGATACCTGATATCGAGGATCTTGTTAACTTTGCGACTCAATTGGAGGCGCTAGAGAAGGGTGAATTACCCTTGAAAATGCAAAGGCGACGGAAATCCGGTAGAGAGATTTGCAGTTTGCGCACGGCCTGGGTTCTGGTAATGTAGTTCTTGGCCGAGCCAGAGGTACCTGGAGATTTCAATGTTAGCAGGGGATTAAAAGAGCAGGTTCAGGCAGCATACCCTTCTTCTTAATTCTCGCCATGATGAAAAGTTGGTCAGAATATGCAATCGGCTGATAAGAAGAAAGAAAATTTCTCGATAACTTTTTTTTTCCTTTCCGCACTGGGGTGGTCCGTGCGGAAGGCGGAGAGCAGCCCAGGCTAAGGCACGGAGATGTCAACAGTTGAACCTCAATCCGCCATGGCGATAGACCGGCGGAAGTTGTTGGTTTTTGGCGCTGCCTTTGTGCTGCGTCTGCTCCTCACATGTCTCTTTCCATCTTTACCAGATCTCTTGACGGGGAGAGTCGAGGTTTCGACCCCCGTCAATAGCTTCAAACGCCGTACGTGTCTCCGACAATGGACTCCGCAGTGAACTAACCCATGTCTAGTCCAAGAAGGCTTGTTCTTATATACCAGAAATGTGTCGCCCTATGATGGAGGTGTCTTCCACCAGGTTCGTGAACCCCATTCCCCCACGTCTTGGTCCCTCGATTGACAATGGAATTTGGTGGTCTAGGCTCCACTCCTACTACCCTTGTTTGCTCTACTCCCAGACGCAAAGAGCTCGCCTTTGCCCACCGCCATCTTCTACTTCCTGATTGATCTCTTGAATGCCCACGCATTGCTGAGGATTTCTGAGTCGGGCCAATCTGTCAAATCGAGACTCCACACGGCTGTACGCCAGCATGTGCGCTGGGACGGAGTATCAATTGCGGCATGGTATGTGAACTCCCCATATCCCGCCATTGAGTCCGGTATACTTACTTGCGAAGGTTCTTGTTTAACCCATTCACACTTGCGACGTGTCTAGCGCGGTCAACGAGCGTGTTTACCACATCGGGGGTCCTCTTCGCCATCTCCAATGCCGTCGGGGGCAACAGCATCAACTCCATGCTGGCCCTGGGTTTCGCCTCCTACCTGTCTCTTTACCCGGCGCTACTGTTCATCCCCCTGGTATTGGTATGCTATGATCTTCGCGCTCAAGGGCCGAACCCGCCCAAGGTCGGCTTATATGCTGCTCAGCATGCCGGTCTTTTGTTCGCCAGTATCGCAGCTCTGATCGGTCTTTCTTGTTTGATCACCGGCAATTTCTGGGAGTTCATCTCGGCAACATACGGTTTCCACCTTTTGGTCCCGGACTTGACTCCGAACGTCGGTCTTTGGTGGTATTTCTTTATCGAGATGTTCGACTCTTTCCGCGAGTTCTTCCTCGGCGTGTTTTGGCTGCACTTGGCCAGTTACGTCGGTGGTCTTACGGCTCGCTTCCAGCGACAGCCGTTATTCGTCATTGTTTCGCTGTTGGGTGTCTTCGCCATCTTCAAGCCATACCCCAGCATCTCTGACGCTTCCTTGTTCTTCGCCGTGTTGCCATTGTATCGCCATCTGTTCCCACGTGAGTTTCCATCTCCATGTTTCTTCCGAGTTCAATTACTAACTGCGCACAGTGATGCGATACACTTTCTTCGCTGCCTCAGCAATCCTGTACTCGACTCTTCTCGGCCCCGCGTTCTACCACCTTTGGATCTACGCGGGATCTGGAAATGCCAACTTCTTTTACGCCATCACTCTGGTGTGGAGCTTGGGTATCTCCATCCTTCTAGCAGACGTAGTATTCGCCGCCCTCCGCGACGAATGGGAGCAGCAAAACCCCGAAAAACAAGGCGCCGAGGTGCGACAGGTGTAATTTATATCCAACTTCTGCATAACCTTCATAGCATTCCATCATTTCAATCCCTTTGACAAAATCAAGTAATCCGGATCCTTCACAGTCCCATTCCGCAATCTCCGTGGACCAGGCGAGTACTCATCAACTCCATACCCAAGCCTCTCGTAAAACCTCGTCGCAACCGCATTCGACTTAAATACCGTCAACATAGACTTCTCCAACCCGACAGCCCGACCAAACCCCCTCCATCCGCTCCATCAACATCTTCCCAATACCCCGCCCCCGGGCCCTCGGCGAAAGATGGATCTCGTAACAGTAAACAACCTCCTTGCCATCCTCGTAGGTCACCATAAACGATAAGAACCCACTCACCTCCCGACCCGACGGCTCGTCGGCAGATGTGCCCCGCACAATCAAATACTTCATATCGGGCAATTTCATCTCCTTGCGCTTCTTCGGACGCGACCACCCGGAGCTGGAGGCTGAGTACGCTTCGCCGGACGTCTGCTCCACTAGATCTAGACATGCTTCTAGGTCTGAGGTGGAGATCGTGGCTGCGGAGTAGATGTCTACGGCGGTGTCTTCGCTGTTGGACTTTTCATCACTTGGAGCGTACTGAGATTTGAACTCTTCAATTGATAGTGCGTTGGTTCTTTCGACCAGTGGGAGTGCTGGTTGTGTTAGTTAGGGTACACGTTCGTTGTTTGGCGATCGCCCAGGTGCAATTCGGGTGCGGGTACCTGAGACGCGTCGCGCCTTTTTCACTTTGGGCTTTGTCACTCGACTGCCCTTCACTGAATGCATTGTCGGAGAGGATTTCTCAAATGTTGTGTTGGATGTAGAGTGAAATATATGGTGAGCGAAAGAAATTGGCGGAAAGCCACGGGCGGAAGGTGCTTATTTGCGATTTTGTGAGTTGATTTGGAGGCGCCCTCGAAGTATATGTTCCTGCGGGAAATCTCACAAATAGACAATATTCCATCGAGTCTTTTAAGGTTCCAAAATTGACGATCTTGGAACTTTGAATTGTTTTTTTTGAAAAGGGTTGACGTTGAATATATTTCTATCGTGTTCTCTACTTCAAAATTAAGTGCTAGCTCGTTGAGTGGCAGCATGCTCCTCAGCGCGGCGCTCAGCTTCAGCGGCGCCCAGCTCCTCGAAGACATCAACACCCCAGCGGAAAGGATAGTTGTAACGGGTGTTCTTGTCCAGCTTGTTCAGAGCTGCAAATTCCTCATCGGGAAGAACAAAGTCTTTTTTTCGTTAGCTGAGAACTTCAAGTAGAAAACCGGTTGAAAAGCATACCTTGGAAGTTACTCTCGATTCGCGACGGCGTAACACTCTTAGGCAACACAGCAGAGCCTCGCTGAATGGCCCAGGAGATAAGGACTTGCGCAGGGTCCTTGTTGAGCTTCTTGGCAATATCTTCAACGACGGGGTCATTGACCACACTAGATCGGATTAGCAAATTGACAAATCACCTGGCTATTAACAGCGATTACTCACCGAGGCAAGTCATAAATATTGTTACCGAGGGGAGAGTACGCCACGGGAAGAATGTTCTGTTCTTTCAGGTAAGAGAAGAGCTCCGGCTGCAGCAGGTAAGGGTGTGCCTCGATCTGGTTCGCAGCGGGCGGGATCTTCGCAGTCTTCAACAGCTCCTTCGTCGCTGCGATAGTAAAGTTACTTATTCCGATACTTCGGATCTTGCCCGCCTCGACAAACTTCTCGAGAGCAGCCCAGGTGTCGGAGACCGGAACGTCGGCTAGTCGGAATCGCTTCGTCACCGGGTCCGTCGGCGTGAGAGTCTCATTAGTGTGCGCGAAAGCGACGGGCCAGTGGATCTGGTGCAATGTTAGGGAGGTATGTTGCAATCCGGTCAGAAAGGCTCACAAGGTACAGGTCCAAATAGTCGGTTTGGAGGTCGCTCAATGTCTTGTTGATAGCTTCCTCCACATTGTCTGGGTGGTGGTGTGTGTTCCACAGCTTGCTGGTGATCTGGAGTATGTTATGAGTTGCTGCTAGCATAGAAATTTCTGACTTGACATACAAAGATGTCTTTACGAGGCACGCCGGACTTCTTCCATCCGTTGCCTACTTCGTTCTCATTTTGATAACACGCAGCAGCATCAATGTGACGGTAGCCCTGACGAAGGGCGGTTTCGACAGCATTTTCAACTTCATGGGGCTTAGAGAGCTAGACGAAATAAAGTCAGCATTGTCATAAATTGTTTGAATCGAACATACCCAAGTGCCGAGACCGACAGCAGGGATCTGGTAGCCCGAGTTGAGCTTGAAAGTTCGCCCGAGAGACATGATGTATAGTATAGCGTTTAGAATGTATCGCTGAGTTGATTGCAGATAGATCTTCACCCAAGTCGCGACAGGAGGGGTTGCCAGCTATTTATGTCGCATTCCCCGCTCCAAGAACAGTCTTGCGACATCTTCAGTGTCGATCTCGCGCCATCGGCAGCTCGGAAAGATGTAAACTAAGTGGATAATCCAGAGTCACTCGTGATATTCTTTTGCAATTGCACAATTGCGGATATGAGCTATTCCGCTTATGTGCTAGCTTTGTTTCTGTACTTCGCTACATTGTCGTTTCTTAGCTCGCCCTACTATGACCACCTGGGCATCGAAGAGTCTCATCATATCTCATTTCAGTGGCACAGATGACGCAGTCAGTCGTAAGAACGTACCACGCATATGGCAAATCCCCGAAAAGCAGTGTGAAGTCAATAAGGCCGACATGGGCCTATCGCAGGTCAAAATGGGACATTGGGTAGGCTCAAACCCACCAACGAGCTTCAGTTCAAGCAGCTCCACGTCCAACCCAGACCAGTCGAATTGAGTTTCAAGCTCCAACCGAAAATGAGCTCGGGAGGTCCTTAACAGGTTTGTGTTTTCTTAATAATCTTTCCGGGTGGAACCGAACGCGGATCGCATACGTCAGGGTCCTCATATAACCTGCCACCCCACTATTTGAACAGACTGAACTCCTGTCAATTTGCACATTGTCAATCGATTGCTTATATCTCAAAATGTCTCCTTCAACTATGAAACAGTGGGTTGTGCAAGATAAGGAGCATGACCTCGACGGTCTTGTCTACAAGGATGCCGCCGTCCCGAAAGTCGGTGAGAATGAAGTCCTGGTGAAGCTCCAGGCTGCGTCGCTGAACTATCGCGACTTGATTATCCCCAAGGTAGGTGTGAGAATAAGACTCCGTGGCTTTGAGAACAGCCTTTCCGGACTATGATAGCTCATCCCTCTCCCTTTTTCAACAGGGCGCATACCCATTCGCTCTCAGTTTCCCCGTTGTCCCGGGCTCTGATGGCGCGGGTGAAGTTGTGGAAGTCGGATCCAAGGTGGCCGAGTTCAAGAAGGGTGACCAGGTCGCAACCCTCTTCAACCAGGGTCACCAGTATGGTGAGATCGACCCACATGCCGCAGCCACAGGTCTAGGTGGCGCAGTCGACGGTGTTCTCCGCGAATACGCGGTATTCAACGAGACCGGACTTGTCAAAGCTCCAGCCAATTTGACTGCCCAAGAAGCGAGTACCCTGTCATGTGCGGCGCTCACCAGCTGGAATGCGCTGTATGGTCTGAAGCCCTTGAAGCCCGGCCAGGTCGTTCTGGTGCAGGGAACTGGCGGTGTCAGTATCTTCGGCTTGCAGGTAAGACCAAATCCGATAATATCTAGCGGAGAATTGAAAATGCTGATGAGCGATGCAGTTCGCCAAGGCCGCGGGCGCAACAGTGATTGCGACAACCTCCTCGGCTGAAAAGGCCGAGAAGCTCAAGAAGCTTGGTGCCGATCATGTCATCAATTATAAGACAGAGCCCAACTGGGGCGAAGCAGCTCGCAAACTGACTCCTGACGAGGCAGGTGTGGATCACATTATCGAAGTGGGCGGTAGCGGAACCCTGCAGCAGAGCTTCAAGTGTGTGAAGCTAGAGGGTATCATCAGCGTCATTGGATTCCTCGGAGGCGTGGACGCTAAGACTCTGCCAACAGTCCTGGAGACCTTGACGCACATTTGCACCGTCCGGGGTGTTTATGTTGGCAGCAAGGCCCTGATGCGGGACATGGTTCGAGCTATTGAGGCCAATGATATCCATCCAGTTGTGGATGAGAAGGTGTTTAGCCTTGACCAGACGAAGGAGGCTTATGAGTACATGGTAAGTGGTTTCGCGCTTGACACGATGATCAAGTACTGACATGACGCAGTGGGCACAGAAGCACTTCGGCAAGTTGACTATCAAGATCAACTAGGTGAAGGCAATCTTGCTAGATTGTTGACAATTTAGTGCGTATCCTAGCCAATTCATGATTATGGAATGAGTCCCGAATCCTCAGTGGAGAGGTTCAGCGCGTAGATCATGGCTTTCTGTACACGTAGATCATCCGATGAATGTGGTCCCAGTGGGGTCCTACGAGCGAAATAGAGTGAGGGGATACCTCACTCCGATTGGGGTCGGTCTGCGAAGAGACGTGCATACGGAAGAAGTAGATTCAAATGTCAAAAATAAAGAAACAAAAAAGAGTAAAGGGGAAGTCGAACCGGAGACAAAAATATTCCACCGTCGAGAGTCGTGAACCCGACGGGCTTATATTTTGTGAATAATGCCGCGAGGCCGGTCAGTCCAGCTGATGAAGGTTTGTACTGCACCGCTAGGCCATCCCAATCCCACCTCTGACAATATACCTATACATTTACTGGCTTCTTGAAGTTGACAGCAAAGGTGAAGTTGGATCATGCAGGTGACAGCTTCCCCGCCACCTTCCTCAGCCACAACCCCAACCTCGCGGGGCTTAGTTCGCTCAATCTCTCCGATCATTTACGGTCCCCAGGTGGTGTACGCGTGTATTTTAACTGCTTGTCTCTGTTTAAGAACTCCTTGTCTCATCAAAAAGGATCAGAATCTACCCCTCAAATGCAGGTCGAAACCGACCGTTCCTCGTCTTTACCCATCCGGGACTCAATGCAGCCAGGGCGACTTGCGCGTCCAGATCAAATGGCTATGTTTGCCAGAATAACATCTTATCCACCCTTAGGGCAAGTGACTTGTCTTCGAAGATCTCAGTTGTCATTCAGTGAGCGTGCGGTGAGTCTTACCATTCGCCGTACCAAACCAACCCCCCTCCCTGCAAACAAATGATTGTTCCAAGTGTCCTTTCTAGAAAGCTAATTTTTAGACCAGCTGCAATTCACAGTCACCATAGACTCAAGTTCTGCGTTCCCCGCACAGCGCTGGGAAGCGCAGATCTGGCATAACATCACCGGCTCTGAGTGGACGGCACTACCACTCCAAGAATGCAATACAAATCATGCAGCGCTGCTGAATGGCAATCAGCATAATAATCAATATTATCGCCATGTATTCTCAGAAGAGATCGATCTCTCTGCAGACGGTGGGCATGCTAAATTCACTGTGCGCTTCCGCACAGGTCCCGATGCCGATTGGCAATGGGCTAATCAGAAGCACCCTGTAAGCGATGGTGAGATCGTCTATCATCCAAGTCACTCAGATTTGAGGGCCACCAGGCCTGGAGATATCTCTCAATCAAGGACCGAAGTGGGACTTGGGAAGTATATCGATAATCTGTCGAACGAGTTGGGAATTGTATCGAGGTCTAGCGAGGCGCCGGGGGCTCTTCTCTGGTCTGTCACTGGTGAGATACCTCCGGTCAGTGATGGATTATCAAGCTTGAAACACCTTGTCCTCGGTACTCCGTCATCAACGGCAAGAAACTTTTCTCTCGTACGGGTTTGGAGTCCATGGCTGGGTCCAAGACATGGGCGCGAGAAATTCCGACTCACCGAGGATGCTATATTGTGCTCCTTCCTGCGAACAGATGGCGCGCATTTGGTTCTGCTGGCAGTATCGGGAATCGACAATGTTCTGACCGTCTTTCAATCAGGACATGATGGTGAAGTTGTCGTCAATGCGAAAAGCGATAATCTGGAGCCTTCGAGATTCAATGTGCTCATAGCAGCTGCAGAAGACTTTGAAGTTGCCTTGTCCGCAGTGATATATGAAGCACGCAAAGTGATCCGGCCGTTTGCCGAACAAACCGATCCAGCACGCGAAGAGCCAGTGCCATTATCTCCCCCAGGGGACGATGTTGTGTTTGTGGAAAAGGATGAGACTGCACAGTGGTTATCGCAATGGTTCGACGGTCTTACATATTGTACCTGGAACGGGCTTGGACAAGATCTTACCGAAGAAAAGATCTTGCATGCTTTGAATTCATTGAAAGAAAATGGGATCAATATTGTGAACCTGATTATTGATGACGGGTGGCAGGCCAATCACAATGAAGGGGAATCTCAGTTCCGAAGAGGCTTGGAACATTTCGAGGCTCATTCCCAAGGGTTCCCCGGAGGATTGAAGCAGACTGTGGACCTCATTCGCCGAAGAAATCCCCAGGTTGAACACATTGCTGTCTGGCATGCCTTGTTAGGGTACTGGGGAGGAATTGCTCCAGATGGAGACTTGGCTCAAAGGTTCAAAGCCAAGCAGGTGAAGATCAAAGACCCGGCGCCTCATGGGCCCATTGCAGAGAATCTTCCGGACGGCAATATTCTCACGATTGACCCTGATGATATCCAACGCTTCTACGACGAATTCTATAACTTCCTCAGCTCGGCAGGTGTTGACTCGGTCAAGACTGATGCACAGTTCTTCATCGACTTGCTGGAAGACCCAGAAGATCGAAGAAGGTTCATGACCTCCTACCAAGATGCGTGGTCTATCGCTTCGCTCAAGCACTTCAGCACTCGATCTATTTCGTGTGGCTCAATGACACCACAGATAATGTTCCATTCCCAAATGCCAACCAACAAACCGACTCTACCTTTACGAAACTCCGATGACTTCTTTCCCGAAATACCAGCCTCACATCCATGGCACATATTTTGCAACGCACATAACTCACTCCTCACCCGATACCTTAATGTCTTGCCTGATTGGGATATGTTCCAAACCAGCCACCCATATGCATCGTTCCATGCCGCAGCGCGATGCATATCAGGTGGACCGATTTACATCACCGATGAGCCAGGAAAGCATGACCTATCTCTGCTTGATCAAATGACGGCACAAACCGTAACAGAAATCACTGTCATTCTCCGACCCAGTGTCATTGGGCGCACGATTGACATATATCACGATTACAACGAAGGACATGTTCTGCGGGTCGGAAGTTACACAGGCTGGGCCAAGACGGGCAGCGGCATATTGGGCCTTTTCAATATTCATTCTGACGTGGCATCGAGCATTGTGTCATTGATGGATTTCCCAGGTATTCACGAGGATTCAAACTCCCAGTATATCGTTCGCGCACACACTAGTGGCAAGGTATCAAGCCGCATGCAACCCTTGACTCAGGACTCTCTGGTGTCCATTGTACTCGAGCCGAAAGGGTGGGAGATTCTCACCGCATATCCTACTCGGTCGTTTGCGCTTCCGGGGAGGCACGGAGACAATACCTCTCGCGATGAATTGACTCATGTTGCTGTCCTAGGCTTATTGGGTAAGATGACTGGTGCAGCTGCGGTGATGACCTCCGACATATCTGTTGTGGAGAATGGTCGTCTACGGTTTAATATCAGCCTGAAGGCTCTTGGCACATTGGGTGTCTATATCTCGGATCTGAAGAACCGAAGCATTGCGCAAAACTTCATGGTGATGATTCTGGGGAAGCCGGTTCCCCAGAAGACGGTTTGGAAAGAGGGCGGAGAGGATTCTAATGTCCTGGCCATTGATGTACTGGCAGCGTGGAAGAAGATGAAATTGGACAGTGGGTGGAGCAATGAGGTATTTGTCCAAATTTTCATGATGTGATATTTGTTTCAAGTTGCAGCGGTATCCTGAGATAGAGACCAGAAACTATATTCAGTTGTTGAATGTCAATGGGATGTTGTGGTTACTGTACTCCGTAGAGAAAAGGTAGAAACTCCCGTTTGGGAAGCAGATCAACACAAAAAGATAAGACGCGGAACATCAATAGTCCGGCCTTTATCGAAAAGAATCTCGGAGCTCCGCTCGATCGTGGCCAAACTCGAGTTCAATTGTGAGCATTTTTCCTTTCTTTTTGCATTTTAAAACCGGTCCAATGAGGCCCCAAACGGCATCGCTCAGCCGGGCGCCATACCGAAACCTGTCGACATGTCGAATCCCAACCGGAGCGCGCGGGTTCGCCGCAACAGCACTTCCATTGCGCGGTAACAGCAATCGGCCCATACTGTCGAGTGCTAGCACATGCTTCCAGCAGCAGAGGTGGATCACACAAAAATATGTTCAGCGCATGAAAGATGGCGAGAAGGAATGGGCTGGGTTCGCGAAGCAGATCAAGGCAGGCAAGCGCTTGAACTTTGCGCAACATTTGGAGGAGCGAGGCTTGATTCACGATGTTGTTGGGTAAGTGCACTCACCTCTTTCAACTTGTGTCAGAGTCTCGTTGAACTGTTCGCTGACTTTGTGGTTTTTAGAGAACGCGAATTGTTGCATGAAATCATAACGGAAAAGCGGGCTGGTATATACGTTGGCATTGACCCGACTGCTCCCTCAATGCACGTTGGACATATGCTTCCATTCATGGTTCTCGCTTGGGGATATGTCTGGGGCTTGCCGGTCACATTTTTGGTGAGTTTTGTGGTGTAGGTCTATCACGACACCAGCTAACGTTCTCCAGCTTGGCGGTGCGACATCTCGAGTCGGTGACCCCAGCGGTCGTTTGAAGGGCCGCGACGCAGTTCACTCCTCTATCCGAAAAGCGAACATGGCCAGCATGCACATGCAATTGAAGAAGCTTGGTGTGAGCATTGAACAGTACGGCCGAAGACATGGACACACGAGACAGCCGATGTGGAAGCGGGCTTTAACCAACAATAATACTTGGTGGAACTCTATGCCATTCCTGGAGGTGCTGCGAGACCTTGGTGCTTACATGCGACTTGGTCCAATGCTTGGGAGAGATACGTGGGTTTTCCCAACTTTGACGAATGTTTCATGAGCTTACTTTTTCCCAGTGTCAAGACTCGATTGGAGGGTGACGGTATGTCGTTCGCCGAGTTCTCCTACCCATTGCTTCAAGCTTGGGACTGGTGGACTATGTTCCAGAAAGGAACTCAAATTCAAGTTGGTGGTGCCGACCAGTATGGAAACATCTTGTTCGGCATGGAGGCCGTGAAGTCTATCAGCAGGAATACTGCGGACGAACAAGTTCGTAACCCGTTGGAGTCAAAAGTTGACCACCCGATTGGATTTACCACACCACTTCTCACTGCGCCGAATGGAGAGAAGTTTGGAAAGTCTGCAGGAAATGCTATTTGGCTCGACAAGGACCTGACCTCTACCTTCGAGCTTTACCAATTCTTCGTGCGCACGCCCGATGATGTTGTTGAGCGTTACCTCAAGCTTTTCACTTTCATCCCCCTGCCTGAAATTGCTATCCTCATGGAAGAGCAGAACAAGGACCCTTCAAAGCGTGTTGCGCAGCACGCGCTTGCCTCTGAGTTTGTCGAGCTTGTTCACGGCAAGGAGGAAGCCGACGCAGTCGCCCTTCAACACCGTCAGCTCTTCCGTCCCCGGGCCTCTACATCCGCCCCAACTCCTCTCACTAAATCCTCCTCCCCTCCCGCCAGCCATGCGCAATCACCGACCGCCGGCTTCACTACTCCTCAATCCGGAAACCCGTACGCGGCCCAGACTAACTTTGCCAACATGGGTGATATGAAGGTCGTCCTCCCCGAGTCCCTTGTCTTCAACCAGCCCTTTAACAAGGTGCTCTGGTCAGCTGGCCTTGTTTCATCCAAGGGCGAGGGTCACCGCGTCATTGTGAACAACGGCGCAAAGGTCGGCAGTCGCCCTGGTGACAGCGGGCCGATGACGGACGCGCTCTCTTTCACACCCATTCGTATCTGGGCAGCAGAGAAGACACGAGAGTTCGTCCTCAATGACAACCTTTTGATCCTCAAGCTGGGCAAGTGGAAATTCAAGTCCGTCAACATTGTGAGCGACGAAGAATTCCGCAAGCAAGGGCTCACTGCTCCTGGTTGGGAAGAGATGGAGGCCGGAACGACCGAGTCAACCGAGTCAACCGAACCAGACTCGACCGAGCCCGAGTCCAAGAACTAAATGTGAATCTCCACTAGACCTGTAATTTTACAATAACATGTATAATATTTTTCCAACGTGCAAAGCCGTAAGAGTGGAGTAGAAAGCGGGTATGATCGATCGGACAGGTCGAAAAGTGCTTTACGCGTCGACGCGGTCCGCGTTATCTCCTATCACCCGTGTCCTCCCTTCCCAACTTCGCTCCTTACACACCATACACTCGGATATACCCCAATGCCCCGAGTAGACGCGTGAATTCGTCCCGTATATCAGCATAATGGCCAAGGCATCGGCCTCATCCCCGCCCGCGTCGTCGCCCGCATTGAAGCGCGCCACGCCCAGCACGCAGAACATGCGTAGCCAGAAGTCCATCCTGGGCTTCTTCCAGAAATTGTCACCAGCGACTCCTTCCTCGAACCGTACACGTGAACCGGCCTCATCCCCAGCTCAGCGAGCATCCGAGAACCGTGGTGGAAGCGCGGCTAAGCCTACACCGAAAGATCAGAAGCGAAGCTTCTCTAGCTTCGCTCAGGACCTGAGTCCGGTGCCGAGTAGTGATCTGCCAATTCCGGATGATGAGGAGGAAAATGGTGGAGCTGGAAAGGTGAGATTGAAACCATCTCCTCTCTTTTGTTTGCCCCACGCTGACTTCTCACTCTTTAGACCACCAAGCAAGAGCCGAATTCCACCATGTCTCCTTCACGACGAGTGAGCTCCCTGTGAGAATACAATTGGATATTATTTCTGACTGACTCATGGTTTACAGGGCAAGAAGAAAGTCAGCTACAAAGAATCTGACTCGGAGGGCGAAGACGACGACGAGGTCATATTCCGTCCTAATCGCAAAGATCGCGTCACAGGTCGCGCCACTAAGAGAAGAAGAACGGAACCTGAAAGTGAGGATGAATTCAAGGACGCCGAAGATGACGTGGCGCTCTCGGAAGACGGTAAGCTGGGAATGTACCTGCATATGTTGGAGCATAGCTGACGACCTATAGAAATGGACGACTTTGTTGTCGCAGACGATTCCGACGAAGAGGTCGCGGCCCCGAAGCGCAAGCGACCTAGCACGAAATCGGCACGCAAATCCTCGGCCCCATCATCGCCGCCGCCTGCGCCTCCCACTTACGATGATGACATAGACATGGACCTCCCAGAGGGCGGAGGCTCAGCTGGAACGGCGAAGAAATGGTCATTTGATCCCGAGAATAAGGAACCTCGAAAGGAGAGAGCAGTGGTTGCCTCTACCGCCACACCGAGCGCGAAGAAAGAAAAAGCCCACATCAAGGAGCCCGAGCAACGTTATTCATGGCTCGCTTCACTCAAGGATATTGATGGCAACCCCAAGGGCCATCCTGACTATGATCCTCGCACGCTCTACATTCCTCCTCTGGCATGGTCTCGCTTCTCGCCATTTGAGAAGCAGTACTGGGAAATCAAGCAGAAGTTCTGGGATACAGTTGTCTTTTTCAAGAAGGGCAAGTTCTACGAGCTTTACGAGAATGATGCCACCATTGGCCACCAGCTCTTCGACCTGAAGCTGACGGACCGAGTCAACATGCGCATGGTCGGTGTTCCCGAGATGAGTTTGGACCATTGGGCAAACCAATTCGTTGCCAAGGGCTACAAGATCGCCCGCGTCGATCAGTCCGAATCTGCTCTTGGCAAGGAAATGCGCGAGAGAGAGGGCAAGAAGCCTACGAAGGAAGACAAAATCATCAAGCGAGAACTTGCATGTGTTCTTACGGCTGGTACTCTGGTCGAGGGATCGATGCTCCAAGATGACATGTCCACCTACTGTGTTGCCATCAAGGAAGCTGTCGTGGACGACCTCCCTGCGTTTGGTATCTCGTTCGTGGACACAGCGACTGGCCAATTCTTTTTGTCTGAATTCAAAGATGATGTGGACATGACCAAGTTCGAGACCTTCGTAGCGCAGACCCGTCCACAGGAGCTTCTGTTGGAGAAGGCCTGCGTCTCTACCAAAGCCATGCGAATCTTGAAAAACAACACCAGCCCAACCACTATCTGGAACTTCATGAAACCAGTGAAGGAGTTCTGGGAAGCTGATGTCACCATTCGAGAACTCGAAGCCAGCGACTACTTCGTGTCCACGGATGACGACAACGTTACAGCCTGGCCCGAAGTTCTTCGCCAGGCTCGCGAGAAGGAGTTGGTGATGTGCGCGTTCGGTGCCATGGTTTCATACCTCCGACTGCTCAAGATCGAACGAGACTTAATCACCATCGGAAATTTCACATGGTATGATCCCATCAAGAAGGCCACTAGTCTTGTGCTGGATGGACAGACTTTGATCAACATGGAGATTTTCGCGAACTCTTTCGATGGTGGGATTGAAGGCACCCTTTTCCAGCTTCTCAACCGATGCATCACGCCTTTCGGAAAGCGTATGTTCAAGCAATGGGTGTGTCACCCACTGGTGGATTCCAAACGGATCAATGCTCGTCTGGATGCCGTCGATTCACTCAATGCTGATCCAAGTGTTCGGGATCAATTCTCCGCCCAACTCACAAAGATGCCCGATCTGGAACGTCTGATTTCACGCATCCACGCGGGAATCTGCAAGGCCCAGGATTTCGTTCGTGTGCTTGAAGGCTTCGAGCAGATTGACTACACGATGGGTCTCTTGAAAGAGAATGGAGCTGCTTCAAATGAGAGCATCATTGGGGAATTAACAAGCGCTATGCCTGATCTGTCCTCTCTCCTGGGATATTGGAAGACAGCGTTTGATCGACCCAAGGCTAGGGAAAACGGAATCCTCATTCCCGAAACTGGCGTCGAGGAAGACTTCGACAACTCTCAGGAAAAGATAGAGGAGCTCCACAAAGATCTCGATAATCTCCTCAAGAAAGCTCGGCGCGATCTGGGCTCTTCTGCGATTTGTTATCGAGACAACGGCAAGGAGATCTATCAGCTAGAGGTTCCGATCAAGGTGAAAAACATCCCTAGCGACTGGAACCAGATGTCCGCAACAAAGCAAGTCAAGCGCTACTACTTCCCAGAGTTGCGCAGTCTCATTCGCAAGCTCCAAGAGGCACAGGAGACTCACAATCAGATCGTCAAAGAAGTCGCTGCCAGATTCCACGCTCGTTTCGATGAAAACTACAACACTTGGTTGGCTGCCGTGCGCATCGTGTCACAGCTTGACTGCCTCATCAGTCTGGCTAAGGCTTCTGGGGCTATCGGCCATCCCAGCTGTCGCCCCGTCTTCGTGGAAGACGAGCGCAGTGTCCTTGAGTTTGAAGAGCTCCGTCATCCCTGTCTTCTGTCTTCGGTCGAAGATTTCATTCCAAACGACATTCAGCTCGGTGGCAAACATGCTAGCATTGATTTGTTGACTGGTGCTAATGCCGCTGGTAAATCCACTGTTCTCCGAATGGTATGCTTTTCTCCCTTTCTTTCATGTCAAGAAATTTACTAACGAGTCTAGACCTGTGTTGCCGTCATTATGGCTCAAATTGGATGTTACCTTCCCTGTCAGTCAGCTCGTTTGACTCCTGTCGATCGCATCATGTCACGTCTTGGTGCGAATGACAATATCTTCGCTGCTCAGTCAACCTTCTTTGTTGAGCTATCAGAGACGAAGAAGATTCTCTCCGAGGCCACACCCCGCTCTCTGGTGATTCTGGACGAACTCGGTCGTGGAACTAGCTCTTATGACGGTGTGGCCGTTGCGCAGGCAGTTCTGCATCACATCGCAACCCACATCGGTGCACTGGGCTTCTTTGCAACCCATTACCACTCCCTTGCTGCCGAGTTCGAGAACCACCCGGAGATTGCACCTAAGCGCATGGCCATCCACGTCGACGACGCCGAGCGCCGTGTCGCTTTCCTATACAAGCTCGAGCAGGGTGTCGCCGAAGGCAGTTTCGGTATGCACTGTGCGTCCATGTGTGGTATCCCCAGCAAAGTCATTGAATGCGCCGAGAACGCTGCCAAGCAATGGGAGCACACCAGTCGACTCAAAGAGAGCCTGGACCGTCAGAAGGGCGGTGGGTATGTTGGTCTTGGGTGGTGGAGTGATGTTGCCTGGGCTTTGCGGGAGCCTGTCACCCAAGAAGACTCGAACGCTGGCGATGTTACAGATCGCGGTCTCGATGTCTTGATGAAGGCTATTGAAGCACTTTGATCTCCCATCATTTGATCCCTGATATCTTATTTCCTTCTTAATGTGGTTGTATGATTATCTTTCTCGTCTTTGACGATTTACTGGCTGCTACTGTCAGCTTTCTTTTCTGTTTCTATATGCGAGAGCATCAACTCTGCATTTTTCTTTTAACAGGCTATGTGGATCTAGTCTACCATCTGTACGGCTTTGCAGCATTAAAATGAAGCGATTTTTTTAATTCTCAATTCCATCGATGGACTCTTGTTTTGAAATTTTTCTTTTCCAAGGACGTTTGTTAACTCTAGCAAGTAATTGATAAACAGGACTCGAACACTTCATCCAGGAACACATCTCAACCATAAAGCGCCATGAACTCAACATACTACCTATCCTTCATTTTCCGGCAACGTAACTCTCACACCAATCACTCAAGCATCTGGATCAGAGGTGGAATGGTAAAATGGATTCTGGCCATTCTCATCTCCCTCTTCCCCAGCCTGCTCAGGATCCAGATCATCAACGCTCTCGACGTCACTGTCGCTTTCATACTCGCTCTCATCCTCCGTGTCGTACGGCTCCTCCGATCCATTTCCTATCTCTTCTGGGTTCAATCCATCCAGTTCCGCAGAATCAATATCGGGCAGGTCAGATCCACCAACTTCGAGATCACCTTCAAGAGATAGCCCACCCAGAGCCTGCCCAACTGTTTCCTGCGAGGACTGAGCGGGCTCTTGTGGCATTTGTTCGTGAGTTACTCCATTCTCCTTTGGTGCAACGTCATCTTGGGCATTGTTCGCAGGTGCCAGCTTCTCAGGCTGCGCATGAGAATGATCGTTCATTGTTGCATCATCGTTCACAGGCGCAGCTGCAACCACCGCCGCGGGGAGTTTGCCATTCTTTTTTGCTCGGTTGGCCTCTGGGCTGTTCCGAGGGACTGGCTGGGGAATCTTGCTGCTTTCACCCTGGGAGTTATGTCCGACCCCCTTGGTCGGGCCATTGACGGTAGCGAATCTGACTACTTTCTTTTGTGCAGTCTGGGACTGGGCGTCTTGTGTGACAGATAAGCTGCTAGATGCTGATCTGTGTGGTTGGCTAACGGGAACCGACTCTGAATGTCTTTCCTGTGCGGGATCTTCCACTCGACGCCGCTTGAAGCCTCGTGTGGCCTCGGGCTCTCGGGGCTTTGCACCCGTGTTATGATGCTTTGGACCAAGGGGCGCTGTTGGTTGGGGTTGCTGGGCCTGCTTGCTGCCGTCCTTTCTGTTACTGACAGGCTTTCTAATTCTCTTGGGCTTGGGGGTGATGACCCACGGCGATACGGTCTGCTGGGCTGCTTCAACCGAGGGCCCATTGCTGTTATCAGTCCGTTGATAATAATTGTCGACCTCCCTCTCCAATGGCCGACCGTCTGCGTTGACCCTGCGACCCGCTTTCCTTTTGAGTTTTGGCGAGTACTTTGGCTTTTTGGAGTTCTTACTCCACCTTCTCCGGTATAATGGCTCCAGTCGATCGTCCTCGCCAGGGCCTCTGCCCATGGAGGAAGGGAAACCTGCCATTGGACTCTGATGGCTCTTGCCCGACTCCGTACCTTCGCACGTTTCGGTGGTCGGATTATCTGTCTTGTCTCTCTCTTGATCGATGAGAATGTTTTGGGCAGCTAAAGCTTTCTTCAAATTCGTACTGGTCATGTTTCTCGGGACCCCAAAACGAAAACATAATTCTCGAACAGCCTTGTAATACGCGGTCTGGAGTGCATTCAGAGATTTGAGGCCGAGAATCTCAAGCAGTAACTCAAAATCCACCTATAAACATTCACCAATTAGTAGAACTCAAGCACGGAGAGGAAGTATAATGACATCATGAGTGCACAGATTTGCAAGTAGCAGGGCTTTTATCAAGCTTCCCTGTATACCCAAGTAACTGGGGAAGTGGATGTTCTTCCAGGATGTTGCATCTGCTTCCACTTGCATAGTTGAATATCTGGGTCGATACAAAAGGGGGTGTGAGGGGGAAGGTTGAAGAATACCGAAGAGGGACAAAGAGGGATCTTATAGCAAGTGGCTACTCGTTGCACGAATGCGCAGTCCCAGGAAAGTAAATTTGCTCGTGCTCAGAAGTTGCTTTGAGGGGAATTGATTGTACGCTCGTCTTGGTAGCGTGGTAGCGTTTTGCCAGGCACGTCCACGCCATGCTAGAAGAGCCGCACCAGTATATTTCAAGCCCTTGCTTTGATATCTTGACATGGCTTTGTGTTGAAAAAGGTGGGTGTATATCAATCATTCCCAAGGCGCTGGATTTTAGGAAGACGTGATCACAAAGTTATTGTTGTCACTGTAAATTGTGGGTGATCTTGATAGCAGTCGGTCAGTTTAGTAGCAAAGCCTTTTGTGTCTCCAAGACAGAGAAGAGGATTTTGCACAGGCGTGGCCTAGTAGTCTGAGACCAGAAAGTCTATGCCCCATGAAGAGACCAATATCCAGACATCTGTTTTGGCAATCCTCCGGCCTTCTCTCAATGGGTGTTTTGATGCTGGTCTCGTGAACAGTGCAACCCTATATGAACATCAAGGCAATTCCGCCGCAGCCATTCTGTCAGGCAGTGCCATTTGTAAGATTTCCTCTTAGCTATCATGGTCTACGGTTTGAAAGGAAAGGTCGAGTACCTGCACGGTTGTGGTATTGAAAAGAATATTTGAAGTCGAATGGCGCGGACGCAGACTCATTGTGCAAATTCCCTTCAAAGTAAGAAATTCCCAGGAGCCAATGAGCTTAAAAAAAAGCACAGACAGCTTGTCCAAGCGGCTCATCCTTGAATGCGAGGCTAGTCATCCTCGCTGGCCTCAGCATCCACGACAGGCCCGCCTTCCATCTCACTTTCCGCGGCAGGCTCTTCGGCGGGTTCGGTTTTGTTATCCTTCTTGCGGCTGCGTGCAATCTTCTTCGCCTTGGTGGTCTTTGTGGGAGATTCAATGGAACCAAGTTCATCGCCGAGAGCCCGTTCAAGCTTTATCTTGGCCCGTCCCCACATGGCTCCAGCGGAGGCCCTCTTGATGCCGGCGAGGTTGGCCAGTTTGTCGAAGTCCATCTGAAGAATGACGCGTTAGTGATATTCTTGTATCAGAAGGCTAACCTTGTGAGCTCTGTAGTTTGCAAGAGATGCCTCTAGGGATAAAGAAAACCACTCGTTCACGAACCTTGACAGGGGTACAAACGGTGCCGAGCACGAGCAGCCTTATCTCGTTGGCAGTGAGACTGGAAATAATGTTCTCAGAGGAAGACATGTTGAAGATTTGATGCGAAATCTGGGAAGTTTTGTAGGTGATCAAATTGAAGAATCGAAGTGGATGAAAGTCGAAGAAATTATTTCGGGATGGATCGTTTTATAGGCTTTAGGAACGAAAGAAACAAGATATTTTCCAAACTCGTCAGGGACTGTCCAAGTGCCAACTGACGCTGGGACAACTCCCATCACTCTTTCGCTGCAGTCTCTATCATTTTTCTAATAGATGTGTGTCCGTCCAGTAGAGTATTCAAGGTTTCATGAGGTCAATTCATCCGAGTGACGACTATTGGTCAGCTATATTCCCGTCTACTTCCAAGGTTATATATTGGACATATCACATACTTTAAATATCTGTTATCTGAGATATCCAGCAAGTGACGACTCAGTAACGAAGAGACTCAGTAAAGAAGAATCAACGGAAATATGGAAGTGACGTTCAATTGACGAAATCTCAAGCCAAGAGGATTGGATGTCCCCCAATGCCTAAGCAATCCTGCATTTACGGCCTGTCGGTTGAACCCGAGGGTTTCAGGAATCTCTGAGAATATGATCGACCCGTAGACGCTTCAAGGTTGGAAGTGCATGATTGAAATTTATTTCCTCTTGAGGATGGGTAGCCATGTGTAAAATTGATTCGTATTAGCTAGGAAGAGTATGACCATCTGCCAGAATGAAAGCTCGAAAGATGTGCAAATCATATCTGTATCTCCAGAGTTCCTGAAAGGACATCCGCGGCTACTTCGGACTCAAAGAGTGCCCGAAGAGAACGATCAAGGATGAAGAAAAATCTTGTATAAGAGCCCAGGATTACGGCTGAAACAACAGGTTTCAAATATCTGGAAATTCTGACTTTTTTGTGGCTGTTGCTGGACAAGTTTGCTTGGACGTACATAGCAGTGAGAACGATCTGTACGATTTGAAGCTATAGAGCTACGATTGCAACTGTGATGTTGCGAATTTCGTTTGTGTCACTACATATTCCAAGGTTCTTTCATACATGTTCCTCCGGATGCTTCTTTGATTTTCTTGCTTCCTAAGGTTGGTTGTTTGCTACTCGTCACATGAGGCTGCCTGCTTCCTAGATGTTATTATTTATTGCATGTTGTTTCCATGGCCCTTTCAACCTTCTCTTTTTCTTGCCATCTTTAATGCTCTCCTATAATGGACCTCCTTTGCCCTGGAAGCATCCAGAAGCGTGCCTCACTTACAGTTTCCCAGAATTGGTAGAGCATTGTGCCTGACCCCAAAGCTGTTTAAATTCCTGAGGTCAGTATTCAGTGTTCACATACTACAGGGAAGCATGGTGTCAATATTTTGAAGCTACGTAAGGCACAATGATCCCACGGACTCAGTCTTGATTTAACTAAAGTATGTACTAAGTCCTCCCCCCCCCGCCCCCATATTTTTCATTTTTTTTTGTGTTTCTTTTTTCAACCCCTCAGCAAGCAGGAAGGGAATTTTTTTTTGGTGTTTGATCTTTGTGAGTGTATGTTTCGTGGGAAAAGTATGTGCAAAATTCATCCGCAAGGGCAATCCTTGAAAACTCGAAATTTACAAGTGCCAGATGTTGGGACCCATAAACACGTGAGGCAACGAATGTGTTTAAACCTCAGGGAGAGCTGGGGTGTCCTGGCGTTCAGTCTTGATGCTGGCTTCCAGGAGGGTGTTGGCTGCCTCCTCATCAGGCTCTCCAGCCAGAGGCTTGAACTCCTCCTCATCAAACTCCATCTCAGTGTCTTCATCCGTGGTGGTGGGGACGGGAGCAGGGGCGGCCTTCTTCGCAACTTTTGGCTTACGTCCAGCCTTGGAGGGCGTCTTGACCGGAGTTGGGTGGTCATCGCTAGCGCCTTCTAGATCGGATCATCAGTAAGTCTTTGTAGGCGTCAGTGAGGGCATCTGAGTCTTACCATCAACCAGCTTGGTCATCTTGCGCTTGGCAGCACGGAAGAGGGTGCGCGCGGAAGATGGCATGATGCCGGCCAGTGAAGCAAGCTCATCATAATCGACCTGCATGAATGAAGGATGAGGTCAGAAGACAAGTAAAGTTGTATGGAGAAAATCTTAAACTCACTTTGGAGGCGTCTGCCCAATAAGTGGAAAAGGCCAGAAGTCGGGTTTCGGTGGAGGAGAGTGTAGGAATAAGCTTCTCATTCTTCTCCTTTGTCGGCGTGACTTTGGTTGGAGTAGACTTTGGCTGAGGAGGAGAGCCATCAGCTTGGCCGGAGCCACCACCTGCTTTGGGAGGCATATTGAAGAAAGTATTGATAGGATGTTGTCGTGTGTGTGTGTAGAAATATGTTATTGGAGGCACAAACGAAAGAGATGTTGCGTAGTTGCAAAGGAAAGGAGAAAGGGAGATGTGAAGAGTCGTTTTATACCCAAGAAGTAGGGAGGAAATCCAAAGGCAAGAAAGAGGGTGGCAGTGAAGGCAAAAGTTCACTTTAACACCCCATGCCTTCGGTGATATGAGAGTTGAGCTTCTATATTTTCGATCCGGCGCGCCTGGTCACGCACATTGTAGTGTGTATGAGCTCCAGTGCAGAATATACTCGGCGCTCGAGTGACATAAAATCCTCGGCTCCAGAAAGCCGAGAATCTCCTACATACCAAAAGAGACATCATGCTAAGAAATCACTTGCAAACTGCACGTGTAAAATGAACGAGATTTGGGGGTACTACATCCAGAGGAATGATCATGCCCGTGGACTTACTAGGAATCAAATCTTCTTCATCTAGAGTTTGTTGAATCTCCCAACCAGACAAAGGCCTAACGTGTTGACAATCTAGTGCTCTTTATTCATCTTCAACAGAGTTGACATAGAATCGATGTACCTATCATACTGGTACTTGCTCAAACTGTTTCTGAGGCTCAAGTAGGTCTTCAAGGGGTTTTTCTAGCTCCCGAGGTCACAATCAAGACAGACTAGAAAGCGATGCCAGGTCTGATTTGAAGTATGAAGTGAAGCCCAAATACGAGTACGAGTACGAGTACGATGTCAAGTAAGACACATGACTGTCCACGGGTAGCATGCATGACTTGGGTAAATGAATCTTCCTTTACGCCCTGGTGCGATGCCTCAATGCCAGATGATGATGGTTGGTAGCATGAATTGCTTGCCGCGTCATTCTTCGTTCGGTCATTTCCATAGCAAGACGCTAGGTATAACCTAGGAAGAGACAGACACACCCCGTTTCTTCATTTCTTGCCAGTGTAGAGAGTTCTTCGTCTTTGGTGTCTTGTCGGGGACCTGGGATATGATAACAGCGACTGAAGAATACGATCAAAACCAACCTTGAAAAGGTGATTGGGCAAAAAGATAAAAAGATGATCCCAAACATGATACAAAGCAAGTTACCAAAGAAGACCCCAAAGAAAGGTTCAAAAAAGAGATCAAAATGGACACAAAAAAGATGCAATTAATAGTAGAACGTCCACAATCATATGAGGCCGCATGGATATACTAAAGCGAACGCGGCTTCGCCTTCTGGATATGTTGATAAATGTCATTCCACAATTCCGGGAAAAAGGCCGATGTTTGTCTTCCAGGTTTGCTGCTAGCATCGGTATAGAACTGGGTCGGCGTCTTGCCTTGCCACCAGCGATGCGGCATGGGGTTCAGGTTTTGAAAGGTGACAGGTCGTAGAACATCTTTGGTTGGAACCAGGTCTCCAATGCGCACAGTTGTCTGGCGAGGAATGGTGTTGAACCGCATGCTGGTGAGATACAAAACGGCTGTGGGTGGCAGCTCCTTGGCGTACTGCGCGGCGGCCTCGCGGGACTTCCGGGCAAATGCCGGCAATGCCAGATGGATGAAATTCACATACGGCGCCGCTGTATATGAGACAAACAGCATTGGAAGAGCGCCGGCGGCAATCACTGAAGCAGTGTTAGGAGATATTGAATGGACGACACCGGTGTTTCAACTTACCTCCTGGTACACTATACCACGGGTAATCAGCCACGGCGCATTCCGGCGCAACGATCAAGCAGGCAGCGCCGAAAAGAAGCACCGTCGAAATGCGAAGGGTTCCCAGAAAGATAGCTCGGCCCGTGCCGCCGTAGTAGACTAGGATCCGCTCCGGAGGTCCTGGAGTTTGGGTCAGCACAAGGACTCACTTTCGCATCTCGAAGAAATAATACCATTTCGCGTGCTTGTCTTCGGGGTGTGTAATGTTCTCTGAACCGCAGACTCGGGTGCAGCGGCTTTTTCTTTGGGAACAGCCGAGATATGCTTTTGCGACGGACGTGGCACTTGCGACTTAAACCGCACTCCCAAGCTGTGTCGGACACCAATCGGTAGCCTTGAAGGCAAGCATCGACGCAATTGCGTGTGCAGCACTACATTCTGATGCATCGTTGGTCAATATTGGACAACAGCCAATGGAGCTTCGTCTGGAAGAGCTTCGATAGGCAGAATGGTGGAGGCGGTAGGTGAATTCCAATCACGTGGTGAAACTTTGTGTAGAGCCTGAGGGCGGTGAGTTCGTCATAATCGTTTAACAGTGGAAGTGGTCCAAGCGCTTCCCCTAACTTGGTCCTCCATACTCCGTAGAGAATGTGCCATTCCGCCTCAACTTGTTCTCGACCACAGTGAATCTGTAGAAATCTCTTCACTGGGTCAAACCTGTGTATGCCGGAGAACAGATTGACAAAGTTCAACCAGGCACTGGCTGTCGATCCTAGTCAGAAGAAGCGCATTGCAGACCACTAGATAGTGGGTCTGGCTGCAGCTTGGCGGAGAGAAGAGAGCGGTGGCATAACATTGGGAATAATCAGGCAGAATAAAGGGCGGTCAATGGGGCGGTCCGAGGATGTCACCAGTGAGCATCATTAATTCCGGCAATAACATGCGGCGTGTCATGTGATGAGTGTACAAGACACGCTGTAACACCCGCTTTGAACGTTGTTGATGCTCGACTGGAGATATTTTGGGGCCGTATTCTGCACCATATCTCTTGCTCTTTTTCCATCCTTGGCTGCGTTTCAAATCTTGCAACTATGCTTCGAGCATATACCAGCGTTGCTCGAATTGTGTCATTATGCCTCGGCGTGTTTCTCGTCGTTAATGTGCAAGCCTATGAGGCATTATCGGATGAGACGCTCAAAAACCTCCCTCGTCCAAATAATGATTTCGATATCAAAAACGGCGCGTTGCTCTCCCCGATTCTCCAGACTCGTGTCCCTGGCACCCCAGGTTCAACCGCGGTGCTCAATCACTTCGCCGACTTCTTCCGCGAGACGTTACCGGCATGGAAAGTAGAGGTCCAGAATTCGACCGCCAAAACACCAACATCGAAAGGAAAAGAGATCTCGTTCAAGAATTTCATCGCGACACGCGACCCTCCCTGGGCCCAGGTTGGCGACGTTGGGCGACTGACACTGGTTGCCCATTATGATAGCAAGATAGAGCCCAAAGGGTTCATCGGAGGTATTGACAGCGCTGCGCCATGCGCCATGATCATGCATGCGATGCGAAGTATCGATGCTGCGCTGGAAAAGAAGTGGACCGCTCTTCAGCAGCAGGGACTATCTGAGTACATCTCAGAAGAACAGGGTATTCAAGTTATCTTTCTCGATGGTGAGGAGGCGTTCGACCAGTGGACAGCTACAGACTCTCTGTATGGTGCGCGTGCCTTGGCGACACACTGGAGCGATCAGTACTATCCCGCGATGTCGGAGTTCAGAACTCCACTCTCGTCAATCGCTCTTTTCGTCCTTTTGGACTTGCTGGGCGCGAAGGATCCTTCGATCATGTCTTACTATGAGACTACCCATTGGGCATATCAGAGCCTAGGTGAACTGGAAAAGCGTTTTAAGGCGCTCAAACAATCCAAAGCTGCCTCGACTGATTCGTGGTTCATTGACGCTGACAAAGATGCGCACAATCTTACTCCTTCTGGTGGAATTCAGGATGACCATCTTCCGTTCCTTGCCAAGGGTGTTGAAATCCTACATCTTATCGATTTTGCGCCTTTTAAGGGATTCCCTAAAGTCTGGCATACGATCGACGATGACGGTGAACATTTGGACTTGGACACCGTCGAAGATTGGAGTATGATTATCACCGCCTTTGCTGCCGAGTGGATGGAACTGGAGGGCTATTTCGACCATCCGGCTACTAGTGCGACACGCAGTGACGAGGAGTCTATTGCATCGGAGGCTATTCGCCTGAACAAGAAGACTGAGTTGTAAGCCGTTCTTCCATTGCCCACGTTGATCTCATTTTGCGCCTCACGTCTTCTGCCTCTTCCTCAATTCCATATACCCCAAGCATTTTATTCGAGCGAACATTTCATATTTCAGGCCAATTTGATTGTGTACATAATACATTTTATGATATTATTTACTGTGCTAATCAAGTCATGGACACAGTTCCTGAGTCTGTTTTACTTTTGGGTTGTCCCCAAACCACTCGTGGTTGTTCGATACCGGATTTACCCCCATGGATTTAAACAAAGTTCCCCAGCAAGTACCCACTCATCGTGATCAACCCCCAGGCTGGCTGCATGGCTGCCCGCAGAATAGCAGGCCCGGGGCAGACTCCTCTCAGACCCCAAGCCAAGCCGAATGCAGCCGACCCGGCAATGAATCGCCAGTCGATATCTCGCAACGTCGCCGTTGGCAGCCGCCATGCCTCTGCGAGTGTCGGTTTCGCGGCCGTTTCTCCCCTTTCGACCGATTGTCCGGGTTTCTTCATGAGATATGCCGTCAATGATGGTCCAATGCCAAATATGATGATCAATGCCAGCGATGGATCCCATCGTGACGGGTCTGTTAAGAAGGCAAAGAACCCAAGTACTTTGCCTGAGTTTGCCATCCCTGAAATCAGAAGCCCGAGGCCGAACTCCAGACCGGCAATGTAAGAGAACATGACCCGTGTTCTCTCCGACCGCTGAAGTCTTGGAACAATGATGCGATTTGTGATCGCGGCTAGCACAACTGTGCTGCTCATGAACACCGCCTCCGACGCAGATGGATACGCTGGCATATAGCATGGCATTGCATCACATGATGGGATATTGGAACCCCCGTCGACGAAATTCGCTGTCATCAAAGCCACCGTGAAGAATGTCGCTGTGGCAATGAAGGATCGAGGCGATAGACGTGAAATTCCACACAGCATATGTCCCGAAGTACATCCTTTACCGTTCTACACTTCCATATTAGTCACCGGGGCTGGCTTGTATATCTCTCCGACTCACCTTTGTTCCCCATCCTAGCAAAAATCCTACCCCCAGCGTCGCAACAGCAGAAGCCCATGAATCCGGTGGTGCCGCGTAGCTTGGGATCAACGATGGTGCAAACAAGTAGACCGGCACCAAGCCAGACAACAGGCCCGCGATGATGGGGAGATTATCACGATTGGGATTGAACGCGCACCCGGATAGCAGAGAGGAAATTCCGAAAACCGCACCGTTGTGATAGAGCAGGCCGGATGAACCCTGGTATAGCAATAGAGCACCTAGCGAGGTGTGAAATGGAGTGAACATCTGGACGATTCGTCGATCTCGGAATTAAGGTTTTTCGGTCACTGATGTCATTGGAAGCGACTTGCACGTATGAAGCACAAAAGATGTCAAGCGTATAGGAAAAGTTGAAGGCATTAGGATATCGGAAGTCATGGAAAGGAGTCGCAATAGGGTTTGCACATTCTTGCGGCTCGGGGACCATCGACGTCGCCGTTCTGTGGTCCCCGGGCTTCACTCCCGTGGATTTCCCGTCTCCATCTCGGCTTTCATATGAAGATGTTTGACGGCTTTGCCATGGTGTTACAGCTGGATGTTGTATGACAATTTGCATGCTGAGCAACCATTTGTGAGGTCTGCTTTTAACTATCTTGGAATTTGTTTTCTATGATGTTGGGTTTGGCTGTGGTATCAGACTGACTGGACTGACAAAGAGCTATTGAAAATGCAGAATCCAACCATCGAGCAGAGTCCTTTCACGACATCAACAGAAGATGAGAGACAGAAAAGGGAAACAGATCATGCGGGAAGAGCGACCTTCATGTTGCGCTTGTGAAGGCAAGGACGGTCGTACCTCCTACATAATGCTGTCAAATCCCATCTCGACTTCCACATCCTGTGCTCTCTTGTCCTCGTCGAGCCTTTGATACCTTTTCAACTCAGCATGGGGAACTCAAACAGTCTTCCAGGCCGCTCCTGCTTCTTGTCCGCTGTTGGAAACAACACTGATCTCGTTGACTTTCGGGGTGATATCCTGTACGAAATCCGCGGCTTGCCGTCATACAATCTTGCCTGTCCTGTCCTTCCATCGGTGATTACCTATCCCAAGACGACGCAACAGGTTGCTGAGATTGTACGTTGTGCTGCTGAGTCGAACTACAAGGTTCAAGCGTACAGTGGAGGCCACAGCTATGGAAACTATGGTATGTTAGTCTCCCAAGTTGAATGACAATTAACTAATCTCTCTGTGAATATAGGCCTCGGTGGAGTTGACGGCAACGTTGTCGTCGACCTGAAGAATTTCCAACACTTCGACATGGACCCGAACACTTACGTCGCTACTATCGGTGCCGGTACACACTTGGGGGATGTTCAGGACCGTCTGCTACACTCAGGGGGACGAGCGATGGCTCACGGCTCCTGTCTTCAAGTCGGCGTTGGTGGTCACTTCACCATCGGTGGTCTCGGCCTTATGTCTCGGCAATGGGGAACATCCTTGGATCACGTTGTGGAGGCGGAGGTAGTTCTGGCCAACTCCAGCGTCGTAACTGCATCGGATACCCAGAACCAAGATGTGTTTTGGGCTGTGAAAGGCGCGGCTGCAAGCTTTGGAATCGTCACTCAATTCAAAGTTCGCACTCATCCTCTTCCCAAAGCCGCTCTGCAGTACACGTACCTTTTCAGTCAGGGCGGCGTGCTTGATAGAGTCAAACTCTTCCTCGACTGGCAGTCTCTCATCGCGAAGCCAAATATCACTCGCAACTACTCCTCCCAGCTGACAATCTTCCAGGATGGTATTCTGATATTAAGCAGCTTCTTTGGCACTGAAGAGGAGTTCCGGGACTTCCAACAAGAGAACAATCTGCCGTTCCAGAGCATGGGAAACGTGGCATATATCACCAGCTGGCTGTCCTTGATAGCACACACGGCTGAAGACTACCTGATTCAGATCTTCGGTAGCTTGCTTACATCCTTCTATTCCAAATCAGTGTCCTTCACCGCTGACCAATTGTTCGACGAACACGCTCTGGTCGCCTTGTTCACATACCTCGACTCGGCACCCAAGGGCACCGAGGCATGGTGGATCATCTTCAACTTGGAGGCTGGAGCCACTAACGACGTTCCCATAGACGCGACCGCCTATGTTCACCGCGACGCGGTGATGTGGATGCAGTCCTATGCCGTCGTCGGATTTGAGCCCCCGAGCTACATCGCCAAGCGCTTCCTCAACCGTCTTCACGATGTTATTCTCGGTAATCGGCCTCCGGGCCCCCTGCGCTCTTATCCTGGGTATGTGGACCCGTTCATGAAAAATGGACAGATGGCGTACTGGGGAACGAACCTGCCGCGCCTTCAGGATATCAAGACTCGGATTGATCCGAAAGACATCTTCCACAATCCACAGAGTGTTGCTGTGAACCCGGCGAATAAATCGACTGTGCGCCGTGAGCGGTGGACTCTTTGAGAAGCCTAAACCTGGTTGTGATGTGGTATATATCTTTATCGGGCGAGGAGGGATGCCAGTCCGCGTTTTCAAATTGTTAACTTTGAAGTATGTTGATTAAATCGTATCTCATATAGGCACAACTCTTTCTAATGATATTGATTTTTTTTATTGTTTCTTTTCAGTATGATCTCTCATTGGGCCATGAGACAATTGTCATCTATGTTTGTGTCGAGATCCTGTCGACCTTAAGAATTCTGTATGTGCTCAGTTAAAGGCTCACGATCATCGAAGAGAACTGCCTCTCCAAACCTGGAATGCGGTCTCTTACAGTGGATAGCAGATCTTCCTTTTTCCATACTGGGCACCACAGAGCCAATGGACGATCTCAGCGACCCACTTGAGAACATGCATCATGTTGACTGTGCAGCCACGGCGCAGGGATATTATTGCCGATCCACCTGGACACAGCTGCGAGATCCAGTCCGTTACTTGACATCCAAGGAACTACACATTGCAATATGAACCTCATGTTGTATCTGGAAATTGTCAAACAATCCCATAATTCCAAGAAATCTAGCTCTAATGATCCCTGGTAACCTAGAAAAGTGAGCCAAGTCCTCCATACGCAGCCCCGCATGCACGACCTTCACTAGCTGCATCAAGCACATTCCAAATCTCAGATTATGCAGCACATGTACTCCGTACTCCGTGCAGTAGTCTTGTGCCGGTGCAGTGAAGATCCCCTCGGGGTGAAGGAATTCATGCGGAGTTCACACCAGCCATTTGTGACGCGGTGTGAGCAGTGAGACAAGTTCTGCAGGCCCAACTCCGCAATCCAGGGAGTATCCTCCATGCGCTCAGGTGGATTCCGACTATCAGGGTATCACAGTATATGAACTCCAAGCATCTTCCAATGTAACGGGTTCGGAGTGCGGAGTAGTCTCTACTGGAATCCCTGGATGTGATACCGCGGGAGACGGTATCCGGGGTCAAACCTTGCTCAGACCCCGTCCAACAAGTGAAGCCTGAAGGTGAGTACTCCGTACAGACTACGGAGCATAAACCTTGGAGAATATAAGCATTACCCCTGGAACCTTGCGAAGTGGGCTCTCGCGGATCCCGAGGTCGGGCTTGTACGGAGTATAAGCTCTCTTTTTTTCAGGGTTGGTCCACGGGAATAGTATGCAAGGGTCCCAGGGGCAAGCAGCTATTTTTTGTTTGCCCAGGTGGCTTTGGTTAGGGCAATAGAAGAGTTCCGTGGTAGAGAATACTCATAAGAAGTATATTGATCTTTCAAGATTGGTACCAGCGCTCATATTTGTTGTTTTTCCAAGGTTCGGATTATCAACGTTGACCCGTGGACATTATATACATATTAGACGATGTTTGATATTTTGTTTATAAATGCACTTTACGGAGTACTCCGCACTCGTCTAATTGAAAGAATATACTTGGTTTCCATGTCAAGATTGATACTTACTTTTCCTTCAACCAGCGGTGACCTTGAAAAGAAGGGCAATTTCCTCGGAAGTACACCGCTATCGTGACACCAACACAGTACGGAGTAAGCGCCACACGGATGGCTTTCGGACTCCGGGTCGGATGAGGTTGCTTATATTTGGAATGGACCTCGATTTCAGCCCTTCTGATTGGCGCGATAGCTCCTATGGGGTATGCTCGATATGACCTATGGACGCAGAGAGATTCGAGCGGAGACTCTCGTGCAGCCGTGTTTGGTGGACATCGTTCTAGATGTCCAGAGGTCATGAGGTCCAGATGTCGAAACTCCCAAGTGGAGAGAGAGGGAACAAAGCAGACGCGTCAGAGGAAAATATCGGCGATCAAGAGGACTCGGACTCGGACTCGGACTGCAAATGGCGGTCGCTCGTCCGTTGCCTAATACGGAGCCCGCATACGAGTGTGACTCGACGTGAGTCAAATCCACAGGGTGCATATTGTGATATCGCGCTCACATATGCCTAGTGATGCTCCAGAGCTGGAAGGATTTCTGACTCATGAGGCTCGCGTTCTTTCCCCGCTCAATGTCACCTTACGCTAATTTGTAACTGGATAATTATGTACTCGGGCTTTTATGCCTGGCCTTTTTTTTTTTTTTTCCTTCTTTCTTTCTTCTATCCCTCTCCTGAAGCATGACCTACGAGGTAATCATAGGCTATATAGCCGTGTCGCTGACAGCGTTGACTACCACCGCTGCCGTTCAAAGCATCATCCGACGCACAAAAGCCAACTACGAACCCATCGATCTCGCCAAGGATGTCTATCAAGATGAAGACGGCGAAGCGACCGAAGAATCCCTCCGCGCCTTCTCAGACAAGTGGCAAAGAGTCGCAATCGCATTCTTCACAACCACCGGACTCCTGGCAGCCCTCGCATTGGCCATCCTGAAAACGCTAAGAGATCCTCTAACGCCATTGGTCTGGCTGCAATTCGGCGTGTGGGTATGTATCTCCGAAGCCACCCCCATGTCAATAAACCTCTAATCCCAACCTTTTAGGTTTTCCTCGCTATTCAAGCCGTTGCATTCTTCACAGAACCCCGACCGACAATCAGATATGTGCTGGGCCACTTTGCGTTCTGGGCGAGTCTGCTCGCCTGCGCAGTCCCGGCAACGGAGCTGAGTCTGTTCATTATCAATGGATGGACTGGCCATGGGTTTTGGATCGGGGTGCAAATCACCGAGATCGGTAGTGCCTTGCTGCGCGCTCTGTTTGCCGTTCTGCTACCCCGTCGCCCGGAGGTCTATTTCGAGGGTAAGCCAGTGGATCGTGAACTTTCGGTCTCCCTGCTTGGCCGGTTTAGTTTCAGCTGGGCGAATGGATTATTGGCATTCGTGGCGAAGAACAAGTCGATGGAATTGGATGATATTCCCAAACTACCTGCTTCGAAGCGCGCCGGGTTCCTGCGGGATAACCTCGAGATTGCGCGGGAGAATCGCAAATTATGGAGAGCGATTATCGCGGCGCATCCGGGGCCGTTGCTCGCTCAGACAATTTTGAGTCTAGTCATTTGTTTCCTGAGCTTCGGGCCTCAGGTGGCCCTGTTTCAGATTCTGAAGACGTTGGAGCTCCGCGATACTCCCTTCTGGAACCCTGCCGCGGCGTACCTGTGGGTACTGGCGCTCGGAGGGTTGATGTTTGCGGCTTCCAGCGTGGAGGCCTGGTTGTTCTGGGTCGTTTATTCGAAACTAGGAGTCCCGATCTATGCCGAACTGTCTGCTGTGGTCTTTGCGAAGGCTATGCGTCGCAAAGATGTGAAGCACACTAAGAAATCAAAGGACGAGACTGATTCTACCAAGGCATCCGCTGAAGAAGAAGAGGATGACGAGGACGCTTTGAAGAAGAGCAGACAGAGCATTATCAACCACGCTGCTGTGGATGCTCGTCGTATCTCGGACTTTGCCGCCTTCAACTATGTTATCCCCCAGGCGGCGTTCAGAATCATCATCGGGGCTGGGTTCCTGGTCCAGATTCTCGGCTGGCAGAGTGCTTTCGCTGGTCTATCGGTTGCGCTCCTTGTGACACCACTCAACATCTACGCCGCCAAGAAATACTCCGGTGCACAGGATCGATTGATGAAATTCCGCGATCAAAAACTGGCTATTGTGACCGAAGTGCTGCAGGGAATTCGACAAATCAAGTTCTCGGCTTTGGAAGAACAGTGGCAGAAGCGCGTTGAAGCGACGCGGGAGACAGAGCTCGGTGCCTTGTGGGCCGCGTTCGTGGCTGATCTTGGCCTGCTTGGAATCTGGATTCTCGGCCCCGTCGGTCTGTCTGCTGTTTCCTTAGCTACCTATGCCATTCTCAATGGTGGGCTCTCGCCTTCGGTCGCTTTCACGGCTATGGCGGTCTTCACATCCCTTGAGGTGGCGCTTGCTGTTATCCCCGAGCTCATGTCGATGGGTCTGGAGGCGAAGGTGAGTGCGGATCGTATCGATGAGTTCATGGCTACGCCGGAGAAGATCGTCAACACCGTTGCCGCGGACTACATTGCCTTTGACGATGTGTCGGTTGCTTGGCCTGCGGATAAGGTGGAGGCGCAAGATGAAGAAGATCGTTTCGTCATTCGGGATCTGACGTTGAAGTTCCCCCCAAAGAGTCTCAGTGTCGTCTCTGGTCGAACCGGCTCTGGAAAAAGTCTACTTCTTGCGTCTATCCTCGGCGAATGCGATGTCCTTGGTGGTACACTGAAAGTACCCGTCCCGCCTCCCATCACCGAGCGCTTTGATCATCTAGCCACGAAAGCGAATTGGATCATTGACTCAGCCATCGCCTACGTTGCTCAAATCCCCTGGATTGAAAATGCAACAATCAAGGCCAACATTCTCTTCGGACTTCCGGATGACGAAGAGCGCTATAAGAAGGTGCTCTTCGCTTGTGCCCTGGAGAAGGATTTCGAAATGCTTCCCGACGGCGATCAGACAGACATTGGTGCGAACGGCGTTAATCTGAGTGGCGGTCAACGCTGGCGTGTTTCCTTTGCCCGTGCATTGTACTCTCGCGCCGGAATACTGGTCATGGATGACATCTTCAGTGCTCTCGATGCCCATACCGGTCGTCATGTCTTCGAGCATGCTCTTACAGGGGAGCTCGGCCAGGGCCGAACTCGTGTCTTGGTTACTCATCACGTTGCACTGTGTCTCCCTCGCACTGATTATTCTGTGCTGCTGGAGAATGGGCGTGTTAAGTATGCTGGAACGATTGATGATTTGAAACAATCTCATCACCTCGAGTATATTCTCCGTGAGGAACAAGCCGAAGATGGTGGCCATGGTGTGGAGGAATTTATCGACGAAGAGGAGTCTGGTCTTCAAAAGGTTCTCTCGAATACATCTCACCGAAGGCCGAGTACCGCTACGAAGAGCCATGCTGCTAATGGAAATGCCAATGGAAACGCGAACGGAAATGAGAATAGCCCGTCAAAATCTGCACCGAAGAAGTTTGTCGAGGACGAGAAGAGAGAGACGGGTTCCGTGCGACTTTCTGTCTATCTCGCCTTTTTGAACAAGGGTGGCTCGGTAGCATTTTGGCTACTCACCCTCTTTGTCTTCTTGTCAATGTCTGGTCTTATGATTGGCAGGGTAAGTCCATCAACGTGTCATGCTCAGGCATATAATTTGGCAGCTACTAACATCTCGCAGGCCTGGTGGGTCAACGTCTGGACCGGATCGACAGCTGAGACCAAGTCTCATCATGAGCAATACAGTACTTTATTGCAGCACACCATGCAACCGACCGCATCAATCCGACAAGACGACGAACTAGCGAAGTATCTCGGTATTTACGTTGCAATCTCTGTCCTTGCCTGCATTCTCGGGACTATCCGATACTATTTCGTTCTATCTGCGGCCGTCCGGGCTTCGAGAAATCTGTTTAATGGGTTGATCTACAGCATTCTGCGTGCACCACTCCGATGGCTAGATACGGTGCCGTTAGGCCGTATCCTTAACCGATTCACAGCCGACTTCCACTCAATTGATTCCCGAATTGGCTACGATATTGGGTTCTTTGTTTCCAAGCTCCTGGAGGTGGTTGCAGTGATGGTTGCAGGTGTGCTCGTGAACTGGCTGGTCATCTTATTCGCTTTGATCCTTCTAGTTGTATGCTTGAAGCTGGCCTTGTCGTATTTGGCCGGTGCCCGTCAGACAAAACGACTTGAGAGCACAGCAAAGAGCCCTGTGTTTGAACAGTTTGGTTCAAGTCTCGCAGGACTAATCACCATTCGCGCTTTCAGCAAACCTGATACCTATATCGATATCATGTACGGGAAGATCAACCGCCACGCGCAAGCATGGTGGACACTCTGGCTGTTCAACCGCTGGCTCGCCTTCCGTATGAGTGTTGTCGGCGCAATTTTCTCCACGGTCACCGCTGGCCTGGTCGTCTATGTTCCAGGTATCACCGCTTCGCTCGCAGGTTTCGCCCTGAGCTTTGCACTGCAATATAACACTGCCATCACCTTCGCTCTTCGCCAATACGCCAATATTGAATTAAATATGAACGCCACAGAGCGTGTCATCGAATACTCTAACATCGAGATCGAGAACCAAGGAGGCGCAGATGCCCCCGCCGCCTGGCCCACAGAAGGTCGTCTAGAAGTCCATGATCTGGTCGTGGGCTACGCACCGGAGCTTCCACCCGTTTTGAACGGTCTCAGCTTCACAGCCGAGAGCAATCAGCGCGTCGGCGTGGTCGGACGCACAGGCGCTGGCAAATCATCCCTAACCCTCGCTTTATTCCGATTCCTCGAAGCGCGCTCCGGTCAGATCTTCATCGACGGTCTCGATGTTTCCAAAATCAAGCTCCACGACCTCCGCAGTCGTCTTGCAATCATCCCACAAGATCCAGTGCTTTTCTCCGGTACTGTGCGGTCAAACCTTGACCCATTCGATGAATACAGTGACACAGATCTCTACGACGCACTTGCACGCGTGCATCTGATCTCGGAAGCCGACGACGATGAACTCACACTCACATCTCGAACCGCTACGCCCCGTCTACCCAGCGAAACAGGCACGTCGACACCCGCAACCACGAAAAAGAGCAACTCGAACGCCTTTACTTCTCTCTCCGCTACCATCTCCGAAGGTGGTCTCAATCTCTCTCAGGGCCAGCGACAGCTCCTTTGCCTTGCGCGAGCTATCGTTGCACGTCCCAAGATTATGGTCTTGGATGAAGCGACTTCGGCTGTGGATATGGAGACCGATGCGCTCATTCAGCAGTCCATTCGCGCCGAGTTCGGTCGCAATGCCACTACTTTGCTGGTTATTGCGCATCGCCTCAGTACAATTGCGGACTTCGATCGCATTCTCGTTATGGATGCTGGTCATGCAGCAGAGTTTGGGTCTCCGAGAGAGTTGATGGAGATTGAGGGGGGTGTTTTCAAGAACCTGGTTGAAAATAGTGGGGAGAAGGACGTGTTGGAGAAAATGATCTTCGCGTGAAAAGTTGATCCTATGAGATCTTGATTAATGGTTTATTATGTACAGATTCTCGAAATTGACAGGTACATACTCCGCATAGGAATTACAATGCAGTTTTACTTTTGTTTACTTGAGGACGTTTCACGGTTCCCATATGAGGCGATGAGTCGGTTCCGACAAGGCATGATACGAATGGGAATGAAGATTCGGAGAGATAAATGAGATATTCATTCGCTCAAGACGAGCAGATCTATGTACAGCTGTAAGAGCTAGGAGAAGAAACGAAGGACACAGAGCTCTAGTCCAACATCTCAACACCCAGCAACCAGTCGAAGACTGGGACACCTTCAAGTTAAAGGATCAGAGATGCCTTCATCGCGTCCGTGTTGTAAACAAGGTTGGTATGCCGAACGCATATATCACAAACCCTACCCCCGAGTCGTACAGCCCTTAAGCTCCCCGAAGAAAGAGAGCCGCACGTCTCAGAGGGCAGCGATCGTCTCATATAAAACACACTAGGCTTTCATCATTCTAGAAAAATGACAGTCAGTACATCAAGATCAAAAGCAGTGGTGATGGGAGCAGTATACTCACAAGTATAAAACTTGGAAGGATGAAGAAGAAAAGATGTAAAATCCGCGGCTTTTATTTCTGCAGCCGCTAGTCCGCTTTTAGAGCGGTGTGTATTCTGCCTGCTCTTTTGGCAATCAGTCCATCCAACTTGTCTGACTTGTCGTTTAGTATTGTTTTCGCATCATGTCAATTGCTGCTGTGCGGCTTCGCAATCTGCGACTTAGGTCCAGCTATGTGGAGATCTCAAACATCTTCCATGGTCGGGCTGTTGCGGCATGCAGCCCCGTGACGTCGCGGCGGTTCAGTGCGAGAGCTTGCTTGCGACAGGAACCTAAGCTTCCTGCATTTTTAGAGGCTTATAAGAAGGCTGGTATGTAATACTGCAGCGTGGGGTAGCACATGGAATACCTTGTGTCAACGCGGGCTCTGCTGATCACCATCCAGTCGCTTTCCCGCCTGCCACCCATGATTTCGCGTCGTTCTTCGTCAAGGCCGAGCCAAACGCCCAGGTTGTGCTACACGGCTACCTCGGAGCCCGCGTCGATCTATCGAAGAAACTGTCCTTCGTCCGACTCTCCGACCCAACCCTCCAGCACAGCGTACAAATCGTCGCACTCGCAAAGAACAATGGCTTCGAGACACTCAAGAGCCTGAACGCCAACAGCCCTGTCGCTGTACGTGGCACCGTACAGAAGAAGAAGGCCAAGGGATCAGAGCCAGTTAGTCTGGAGGACACGTGGGAACTAGCTCTGGAAGAAATCCACGTTCTCAACGAGTTTCCCAAGGATATTATCATGACACCGGAAACCGTCTTCCCACCCGAGCAGCGATACCTGCAGTTACGATCGGACGCTGAGCTTCGCGACGCTTTGAGATTCCGCGCGAAAGCACACAATCTCTGCAAAGAGGAGTTGGAGAAATTACAGCCTTCTTTCGTGGAGATTGAAACTCCATTGTTGTTCAAGTCCACGCCTGAGGGTGCGCGCGAGTTTATTGTTCCTACGCGCCGGGAGGGATTGGCTTATGCTTTGCCGCAGAGTCCGCAGCAGTATAAGCAGATTCTCATGGCTAGCGGACTGCCGCGCTACTATCAGTTTGCCAAGTGTTTCCGGGATGAGGATCTGAGAGCGGATCGGCAGCCGGAGTTTACACAGGTATTTATGCTGGACCTTGGGAGATGGCCCATGGCTAACCTAGTATAGCTTGATTTGGAAATGTCGTTTGCAACAGGCGACGATGTGATGCGCACCGTCGAGGGCGTTATCCGTCGACTTTGGTCAGAGTTGATGAAAGATCCTGCGCCAGAGGGACCGTTCCGGAAGGTTTCCTACCAGGAGGTCATGGCCAAATATGGCTCCGATAAGCCGGATACCAGGTACGGAATGGAAATCATTCGCCTTGATCATGCTCTTCCGGTCGATTTGGTCGGTAAGATCTCCGACTTGGAGAATCCTATCGTGGAGGCTTTCAAGGTCGAAGGGAACGACAATGATCCTGCCGAGACTCACAAGTTCATCACTGATTTCTTGGACTCGCCGGCCGGTGCCCCGTTCAACAACAACCCCGATGGTGGACCTGGTGTCTTTATCTACAATGGTAAACAGCCGCTTTGTGGACTACAGCCCTTCGGGTTCGAAGCCGCGGAGCAACTTGAGGAACTCCTCGATCCCGACCATGGTGACTTGATTATCCTCCAAGCTCGTCCCCGCGCCCCCTTCTCTGGGGGTTCGACGCCAATCGGCGATCTTCGCCGTGCCCTCTACGCGGCATCCGTCTCATCAGGATTTAAGCCTGCGGCGACAGGCTTCGACTTCCTCTGGGTCGTCGATTTCCCCCTCTTCTCCCCGTCCTCGGAGTCTGAGCCTGGCCAGGGCGGCGCAGCAGGCCTCTCCTCAACCCACCATCCTTTCACAGCACCCAAGAGCCCCGCCGATGTAGATCTGCTCCTCACAGACCCCACAAAAGTCGTCGCGGACCATTATGACCTTGTCGTGAACGGCGTCGAGTTGGGCGGTGGCAGTCGGCGTATCCACAATGCCGAAGTGCAGGAATTCATCTTCCGTGATATCCTGCAAATGCCAGCTGAACGATTGACGGACTTCTCACATCTACTTGCCGCCCTACGCTCAGGCTGTCCACCGCACGCCGGTCTGGCATTAGGCTTTGACAGACTCGTTGCCGTCATGCTGGGTAAGGAATCCGTGCGTGACGTGATCGCCTTCCCGAAGACCGGCAGGGGCGGCGACGATGCCATGGTCGGCTCTCCCAGCCCCATGACCGAGCAGGCACTGGAGACGTATCATCTAAAATTAAGGAAATAGGCGGATTTGTATATGCCTAACATCCCTGTACCATAACTCTGTACTATATCCGAGATTCCCTACATCATTCCCACCTCCGCTTTACAGCCGAAAGACAAACAAGAGAGAGAGAAAAAATGATATACACTACACTTCACACTACATTTGTAACCGGGTATTAGGGCTTCGGCAGGCAAGGCTGATTCTGACACACCACAAGCCAAGGGTCTTCCCCCTTGAAACCAGCCCCGAAGTATACCACAAGGCTAGAACTGCAGCTCTGCAGGAACATTGGACATGGCTCGTTAGTGTGGGGGAGTGGCTTACAGTAGCGCACACCCATTTTGGAGCCCAACGGTCAAATTGCCCCATTCGGCTCGAACCCATTTTTGAGAACGATCCATCGTGCACTTTCATTTATCTTAAACCTTGTATTCCATGTCCATGGGTTGTTTCATCTTCTGTTGGATCTATCTGATTGCAATATAGTGTTGTTGTATAGTGAATGGAGATACGTCAGATTTTGCATTTGTTACATCCTTGGAGTTTGGGGCCATAACGGCTATACCTCGGCTAACGTAGACCGGGCTTGTTTACTCCGTGCTGCTTTCAAATATTAGTTATCTGATCTCGAATGATCGACGACGTTAAGCCGTGCTCAATTCCATTTTTTTGGTTCAGGAACGATAGCGAAGATCAATTTTGGGTAGAGGCCTGCCGTCCGATCCCGGCCGTATTCTCTGGACTATACGCATCGGATCCGCATGAAACAGGGTCCTCCACCGTTTCACCGGGTCTGTAATTTAACCTATAGAGTCATCATCCGATTGAAAATTCGAGTATGAGAAATGCCGTGCCTCGGTTGACTCGAGAATGCAATACAATGGAGCATGGAAATGCCGAACCATCCAAGTATAAGAGCACGCATCCCCTTCAGTGTAGATCCAGCGAGCCATTCCATTGCAGTCTTCCATTCTTTCATTCCACACACTGTAGAGCCGGTCTCTCAGATTCATTCTTTGTCCTTATAGATCACCATGAAGTCCGCCGTTGTCCTCGCCCTCGCCGGCGCTGCCCTCTCGGCCCCCACCCGCACCGTCGAGAGCCGTGACTTCCCTGCTCTTGGAAGCGGAACTGGTGGCCTCGATGCTCTCAAGTCCATCTTCCCCGAGCTGGGTAACGGCGCTAGCGGCCTCCCCAGTCTTCCTCACTTCAGCGGCCTCCCCGCCCTGGGTGGATCTGGTGGCCTTCCTAGCCTCCCCACCGGCCTCCCCAGTCTCTCTGAGATCGGCGATGATCTCAAGGAGGGTGCTTCTCAGACTGAGAAGCGCCAGTTGTCTGGTCTCAGCTCTCTTGAGTCCCTCATTCCCAGCTCGAGCTCTGACAGCAGCAGCGGAAGCGGCCTCAGCTCCCTCCTGTCTGGTTTTGGTGGATCTGGAACTAGCGGTAGTGGCTTGAGTGCTCTCGAGTCTCTCATTCCCAGTGCTGGTTCCTCCGGCAGTGGCAGTGGCCTGAGCTCGCTCCTCTCTGGCTTGGGCGGATCCGGGACCACTGGTGGTGGCTTGAGTGCTCTTGAGTCCCTCATCCCCAGCGCCGGCTCCAGCGGCAGCGGCAGCGGTCTCAGCTCCCTGCTGAGCGGCTCATCCACCAGCGGCGGTGGTTTGAGTGCTCTTGAGTCTCTCATTCCCAGCTCTGGCTCTGGCCTGGGCTTCAAAGCCCGTCGTGATGCCACCGAAGTCGAGAAGCGCCAGCTTGGTAAGTCGATAACCCTCTCCTCTTCTCTTTCCCGTTCTGTGGTCGAAGGTACAAAGGCTAATTGACCATCTAAGGCGGCTCTACTGCCAACGGCGTCACCTCCAAGGGCGACTGCACCGAGCTGACTTTCATCTTCGCTCGTGGTACCGGCGAGATGGGCAACATGGGTTCCGTCGTCGGACCCGAGGTTGCAACTCAGCTGAAGTCTCTCACCAACAACAAGGTCACCGTCCAGGGTGTGACCTACGCCGCCAGCGCTGCTGTAAGTCATTCCCAGTCCAATCGATCGACCATCCACTAATTCAAACAACAGGGTAACGCCGAACTCGGTGCCAGCGGTGGTCCCGCCATGGCCAAGCTCGTCAAGCAGGCTCTCAGCCAGTGCCCCAAGACCAAGGTTGTTGTCGGAGGATACTCTCAGGGAGCCATGGTTGTGCACAACGCCGCCAAGAGCCTTTCTGCTGGTCAGATCTCTGGTGCTGTTCTCTTCGGTGACCCATTCAAGACCCAGTCTGTTGCCAACCTCTCCAACGACAAGCGCAAGGAGTTCTGTGCCACTGGTGACCCCGTTTGCGAGAACGGATTCAACGTCATGGCTCACCTTACCTATGGAAGTGACGCGAAGACTGCTGCGCAGTTCCTTGTTAGCGCTGCTGGCCTTTCCTAAGTTAGCTTCCTGGTGAATCGGACAGGAATTGATGTGTTGCGGATTGATTGTATGAGATGGTTGACCGTGATGAATTATGTCTTGTTATCTTTCTAGCACAGTTAGTATGAAATCATTGACATCTGAGATCTTTCGCTTCCTAAGAGTAGAATCGTAGCTCCCAAATGTAGGCCCAGGGCAGGACGTCGAGATGATGCAGGTCAAGTGGTCAGGGGTTTTGAAGATGGAAGAAAATTGTATCAATAGACTGTATAAGTCCCGTATTGGAATGTTGTTATACAAAGACAGAAAACGCCACTCCAAACCGCTGTATAAGACAAATGTTGAAACCCAAAATATAGGTAGAGAAGATCAAGGATTCTAATGCAAAAGATCAATGCGAAGAAAACGAAAGCCCGCCCAAACAGGTACACACTCGAGCAAACAGCAAGGTGCGTTGAACGAAAGCATCTCATGCGGTGGACAAGGTGCTTGAACGAGATGAGGATGTGCGAGAGGGCGAAGAGCCATTGGGCTTAGAGTTCTCACCCTCAAGTTCGTCCTCGTCATCGTAGTAGAGATATTCCTCCTCATCCTCATCCGGATGTCCGAAGATACTCCTCCAGACACCATCCCACAGACCCTTCTTGGTGACAAGGCCACCAACAAGAAGAATGGGCAACTGCCAAATACTTGCCCAGAACAGACCACGTGCGGTTCCATTCGCTCCTTGGTGCTGCCAGAAGCGGTAGGCTTCGCGGACAAGCCAGCCATTGGCGAAAGTGCTAGGAACCAGGAAACCAGCTCCGACGACATCGTACCACCAGAGACCAATAGAGATGGGGAACATCAGGAGAGAATAACGAAGGGAGACGCGAGCGTTGCGGGCAGGGTTCACCCAAGCCATCATCCGGTATCCAGCGGCTTTGTACTCATCGCGAATCAGATGGGAGAGGGCGTTGAAGTGGGGGAATTGCCAGGCGAACAAAATTCCACCAAGCAGCCATCCACCAATACTACCCTCGCTGAAAAGCATATCGCGCCAATTGTCATGTCCAATGGTGGCAGTCTGACCTGCTGCCGCGATCCATCCCATCAGGGGCGGGATACCACCCACGATCGCGCCGACCCAGGTGTTGACGACGTGGATCCGCTTCAGTGGCGTATAAACGAATGCATAAAGGAAGATGTTCGCGGCGGACAAGGCTGTCGTGGTGGGGTTTGTGCCGACGTAGAGGAGCGAAAGACCCGTCACTGCAGTTCCAATCGCGAAAAACAGAGCTCCCCGGCGCGAAACAAGTCCGCGAACCAGTGGACGGTTACGGGTTCGGGACATCAGCGCATCGTATTTCGGTTCGAACATCATGTTCAGCGTGTTGGCGCTGCAGCATGATAGGAATGTGCCCGCGGTCAGGTAGATGAAGGTCAATGTCGAGGTCGAAAGGGTGGGGAGTGGGGTCATGGCCGGGTCGAGGGTGAGCAAAGACGAGATCGGGTACATGCCGTATGCGGAGGTGGTGGTGAGGAGAATCAGGAAGGATAGTCGAGGTTTCGTCAGAGCAAGGTATGCTGCCAGCTTGCGGCGGAGGGAGGTGGTGGGGAGGGCGGAAGAGAAGTTCGACAATTGCGCAGATGCATCCAGTGGTAAGTTCTGTTCTGGTTTCCCGGTGGCATTGCTTTCCTCCTTCAAGCGTTTCCGTCTCCGATGCGGTAATTCGTCGGCGTTAGCTTCTGCGGCAGTTGTTGCAGGAGATGACGCGGGCGAGTCCGCTTGAGCTGCAGAAGGATCGGGGGAGTTTGGGATGTGAAATTGAAGTTCTTGCTCGCGTTTGCCGGGGCAAGCGAGGAAACAAAGCTGCCTTTCGCCCTTGACCTGCCATATAAACCATTGGCCGAGAAATATGATTTGTGAAATACCGAAGGAGACTCATCCGCGATGCCGGTCTGTCGTTTCGTGGATGACAAGAACCCTCGGATGGCCCCAGAGGGTAAAGCGGTAGCCTTGGTGAGACATGAGCATACAAGCGCCTCTCGAGGCCTCCGTAGTAGGGAAGGCCGCAGCAGGATCATGGCGTGTCTGTCGGAGAGAAGAAATGTGGACGAGAGAAGTTGAATTTCCCCGGTGCACGGGCCATATCCGCTCAATCATCATACCACCACATTTGGTCTACGCAGCTATTGATCCTATTGCAAATATTCTACAGTGGAAAGATGTATTTGAGAAACAGTGTTGCATTTGATGTAAAGGTCAACCTGATTATTCCATAGAAGTCTCATCATAGCCAGCAATGCCACTTGTTCCACCACCAGCGCAACTTACAAGATCTGCCATCCGCCATGTGCGATCCAAGGTGCCATGCCATCCAGTCAATGTGTGAGTGTGTGCAGTGTGTGTAGGGGTACCATGAGCCAGAGCCGAGTTCAAACCACGTTCGCCGATTGTTGAAAAGCCTGTTGAGAGTTCGTTGAAGAAGGAAGACAAGGAGCAATGTCAAATGTATGATTCACCACCAAAGCAAACAGTCTTGAGGTCTCCTCTGTATTGGCTCCAAGTAGCATCTTCGCGAGCCGTCCCCTGCAGAGACTCTCCTGCGGAGACCCTTTCACCAAGACTGTTTCTTTTCCTCCCTCCATGAATGCCAAAGTGTTGTCACTGCTGTGGACTGTTTGTTGAACCTGAGCCAATGTTGAGGAATGTTTGATGTGCCACCAAAGCAAGCAGTCTTGAGGTCTCCTCTATATTGGCTCCAAGTAGCATCTTCGCGAGCCGTCTCCTTCAGAGACTCTCCTGCGGAGACCCTTTCGCCAAGACTGCTTCTTTTCTTCCCTCCTCTTGAAATTCCAAGGACAGTCAGCAGGTTGTTGAGCAGCAGATTCAAAGCCAATCGGAACAAATGTGATTCACCACCAAAGCAAGCAGTCTTGAGGTCTCCTCTGTATTGGCTCCAAGTAGCATCTTCGCGAGCCGTCCCCTTCAGAGACTCTCCTGCGGAGACCCTTTCGCCAAGACTGCTTCTTTTCTTTCCTCCTGTTGAGTTCCCTGGCATGGTGGAATAATTGAACGTGGAATGGCTGAATGTGGAATGTGCAATGGCTGAACGTGGATGAATGGCTGGACCTGGAGGATTTGAGCAAAACAAATATGATACCAACAAGTATGAAACCAGAAACCACCAAAGCAAACAGTCTTGAGGGTCTCCTCTGTATTGGCTCCAAGTAGCATCTTCGCGAGCCGTCTCCTTCAGAGACTCTCCTGCGGAGACCCCTGTTGACCAAGACTGTTTCTTTTCAAGGTTTGCAAGCAGTGTGGATTGTGGGAAGTGGGATGGGATGGCTGGATCTGGATGGCTGGACCTGGAGAAGTGCGCAAAGCAAGAATGGTTTACCACCAAAGCAAACAGTCTTGAGGGTCTCCTCTATATTGGCTCCAAGTAGCATCTTCGCGAGCCGCCTCCTTCAGAGACTCTCCTGCGGAGACCCATGTTGACCAAGACTGTTTCTTTTCTTTCCTCCTCTTGAAGATCTTGCAAGCATTGTGGATTGTGGGATGTGGACGGCACAGATGGGGATGGTGAATGAGCAGATTGAGTGGAAGAAGGTTTGCCAGACTGCTGAAAGCAACCAGTGTCAGTGTAGATACAGAGGGCACAAAAACGAACAATTGAAAACTCACTGTGGTCGCCATCGGCGTCTCGTTGCTTTTCTCTCCAATGGAGATAGTGGATGCGAATGTGCATGCACATCGAGGTGGAAACAAATAAACAGTGAAAACAAATAAACAGGACAACTGACAGACTGAACATGGGGAAAGACATTGTAAAGGCGACATGAAGACAAAACGTGAACACGAGCAAAATAAACATGAGAGAAGAAAGCATAAAGGTAAAATGAAGACAAGAAAGCATGAACATGGAGAGATCGAGCACAGGAGGAAATGTATGACAATAAAGATGATGATGTGAGGACAGAGCTGAATTTGAACAGAGCGAAGATGAAGCTGACGATTTGGATCAAGCTGGGACTTGTGGAAAAGACATTGAAAATAGAAAGAGACAGTTGATAATGAGAGGATGAGAGGATTGAAGCGAATTTTGAAGCAGTTGAGAAGGCACCAGTGGAAATGATGTTGACCAAATAAAGTTGTCGAACTCCTCTTGTCGAAGATGGTTGTTGGTATGTGCGCTGAGGGCAGCTGAGCTGATGCGTGTGGATCATGAGTGGAAACGATGATGCTCCTGAGGGATTGTCAACATGTCAACATTGACCAAATTTCAACAATTCCTTAGAGGGAACTCACAGGTATGAAGACCAAGAGGAGGACCAGAGAGTGGTGGGCCAAGGAGGCATGAGCATGTCATTGAAGACATGAGGTCGAAGTGTTGTGAAGACACGAAGGCAACATGAAGGTAACATGAAGCCATGAGGTGGAAGTGTCATGGAGACAACATGAAGATGTGAAGGCAACATGAAGTGATAAGGTGGAAGCATCATGAAGATGTGAAGATGTTAAGACAACATGAAGTCATGAGGTGGATGTGTCATGAAGACAACATGAAGATGTTGAGACAACATGAAGTCATGAGGTGGATGTATCATGAAGGCAACATGAAGATGTTGAGACAACATGAAGTCATGAGGTGGATGTATCATGAAGGCAACATGAAGATGTTGAGAGAACATGAAGTCATGAGGTGGATGTATCATGAAGATAAGATAGAAGTACCATGAAGACAACATGAAGTCATGAGGCAGAGGTGTCATGCAAGACATGAGATGCCGAGGGTTGACTGAGTAAAGGTAAGCCAAGGAAGGTAAAGCAGAATAAGGTTGACAGATGTGGGGTGCAGGCATGTGGGGAAGCATGAGAGTGGGGGAAGAAACTTACCAAGTATGGAGGTGTCAACCGAGTGTCGAAGTAGAAGTGCGTTGTGCGTAAGTGGTGGTTGTGGGATGTCGAAGGACAATGCCCAAGGCCTTTGAAGAAGAAGGTGCCATGATGTGGTGGCCTTGCAAGGTCAATGCCCCATGGTCTCATGTGATCAAGATGAGAGGTAGGTGGCAAAGACCAAAGGTGCAGAAGGCCAAAGTGTGGCAGGGGCCAAGATGTGGAAGGTAAGAGAGGAAGAGAGTTGAGGAAGAGAAGAAGAGAGAGGAGGAAGAGAAGAAAGGAGCCTGTATATATAGCCCTGAACGGCACTAAGCCCGATTGGGAAATCGAAAAAGGAAGGAACGCGTTCTCTCTCCCTCCCAGTACCTGCGGGGGCACCGGTATAGCTCCCCAGAGCTCCCAGATCTTGTGACATTTGGGCCAGGTGATCCCTCAGCGCCGTGGAGGAGCATTGGGCCACACAGGAGCCCGTACTGATGTTTGACAGCCCGCATGTTTACAATCGAAATGAAGCGGTTACCTTCAAAATTAAGAGTTATCTACATAGCCAATTCATCAAGTAATCTATCCTGTGCCCAGCAGCAGCCAGATGAGCCCAGATCAGAAGTAATCGACCAGCCACACACACACACACACACACACACACACATTGGTCTGGAGCTGAGGTTCAAAATACCAGTGGCATACGGCCACACCACCATTTTTGGCTACAAAGACACAACGCTCAGGTCGTAGCGAATATGCATGTAGATTTTTAGGCCACGAGTTTGTCCCACGTCAGATATAGTGTGGATCTCCACCCCGGACGATCATCCACGGGAACTAGCCGGACTCGGCTAGCGTAGGCTTGGCCCCGCGCCCCCGGCCAGAGCCGCCCATGGCCCTTGGTAGCAGAGTATCGCAGATTGTCCAATCAAGCCATCCAGACCTTGTAAAATACCCAGTGTAGCGATAGCCAGTGCCACAGGCTCCTCGCGCCGGTCATCGTCCCGTATGGAGCCTCGGTGGCAGCCTCGTCGATCACGACCGCGGTAGTCCATGTCGGGTTAGCCACGGCAGGCTGGCAGACACTGTAGCATAGCCGTTAGATGAATCCAGTCAGTATTTATCGCTCGTGTAGGCTCTCAGAGCACTGCTCACCGTGTCTCCGGCGCGTTGGCTGTGTGTCGTAGGCTGTAGCCGCAAGACGCGGTTGGTCACCACGGCAGTCGCGGACTTCCGGCGATGGATGAGATCGTAGAGTCAGGAGCGAGCGATGCCATCAGCTGAGATGACTTGCTGTGATTAGATGATAGGCTCTCCGCTTGTGCCGCGAAGAGGCGTCAGCTCAGACACAGCGATGGGTTTGGCCGCGCCCCATCCTGTGAAGCCGCAGAGAACGGCCACAGCCATCCAGTCATCCTACTGCAGGGAGCCGGGGATCAATTGGTGGATTAGGATGATCAGAGCCACACTCTATGGCTGCTGTGAAGCACGCTACGATCGCTACGATGTGGCGCTACTGCATCGACTGGCACACGATCGACACCTCCGCCAGGCCGACAGCCTCATGAAACTGTGTAGACTCCGTCCGTGGACGCGACACAGCTAAGTATACAGCCTTCCAGAGTCATTCCGGTGTCTATCTGCGACCCACGTCCACCATACTGACAGCATCCCGCCGGCGCAACAGTTTCCGATCCAAGTTTCCGGTGTCCGTCCCTCTCCGCTACGACAGCGATCGCTGCGCGACGTACGACTCCCACGGGCCAAGACTACGAGTGCTCAACTACCGTGACCCCTCTACCCTACGGATACGCGTCTCAGGAGCTTGGAAGGCGTTGGTGGGGGGCTATCATACGCGTGGTGGATGCTCCTCTCCTGGGTGGCACATCTCATCCATGGATATTGGGACGGGATATCATCAGGCAAAGGAATCAGTAGAGGGAAGCCTCTCCTACGACTAGGGATGCGTCGATGCTTGCTGGATAGTTTCTACAGACTCGTGGTAGACAATCGATTCATGTGGGCACTTAAGTTTCGTTGTCGAACCAAATATATATCTTGAGATCCCTTACCACGTTGGTGGGACTTCAGCTCTACAGAGACGCTATACCAAAACCTGCGGGCAGGTTGGCCTTGTAGGTGGCATTTATCATACAATGCAAGGCTTAGCAGGTGCGACTCTTCGTCGGCACTGGGTAAACTGCCTAGAGGTACTTAGGCCCCGGGGCCGCTACGTGAATGAAGCAATCGTCAGGTAAAAAGGCTACATCACCCTCATCGCGTTGAAATGTTCTAAATCGGGGAATGTGAGCGTGATAGAAGTGAAAAGAAAAGCAAATCCACAGTGCATAGGCAAGTAACTAGCCGGTATCATTGGAGTCAACAGCCCTGGAGGTTGTGCCCAGTTGTTCATCTTATTAATATGTTTTCAAAAAAAAGAAAAGCCGAGCCTGGGGCTTGATCCCAGAGCCTTAAGGTGTCACAACAGTGTCGGGAGTTTTCCCAGCGCAGGCTGCGCGAATCCCAACACAATAGAAGCCTTATGCGCTACCATTGCGCCAGCCCGGCTTTGGTATCAGACCCACCGAGTGTACCATTTTTAGATACGGCATCTACTAGGGCACAAGGAATGTACTGGATCTCCGTGGACTCTTACACATCTGAGCATGTTTACGGGTCTTGTCATGTGTGCACGGGTCGATTCAGCTGTATGCAAGCAGCAAAAGAGATCCCCCGATAAGGCGTACGATAATAGAGGAAGCCAGGAAACTGAGCTTATTCAAAGACGAGGAAAAGGAAGCTTGATCACTAAAGTAGCGTGTTGCGCATACTATACCTCTCTTAAACAGGGCTTGTTGACCCGATAGAGCACCAAAGCTGACCTCGAGGGAAACCAGGCATTAATGGACAGGAGAACCGTAGGACCCCTCTAAACTAGATATATCCACGGCCCTCGGAAAAGATTGAGGCTTCCTGTATTATGACAAAGGAAATCAACACGGCAGATCAAAAGCCGACACGAAGAGCCGTGTACTCTATAGACCTCGGGAGCATATAGATCAAGACCCACGCTAAACCCAAAGCAGCTAGCGTAACCAGCGAACATTCGGGAAGTTTGTAAATGTGAAATGTGTATTGTTGTCCTCCTGCACAGCACACCACCGCAGAAATGGATACCCTTCAGAACTCCGTGATCACACCTCTCCAGCCATACCTGGCACCCATCGTGTCCGCGATCCCCGAACCAGTCCACGATGCCGTGATCTCGCTCATCGGCGCACCATGCCACAACGCGCTCCTCCTCGATCTCGACGTGACCAAAGACCCCGCCTGCACAACCTTGGCCATCTCTAAGGCCCTGGGCATTGCCATTGTTGGAGCCAGTGCTATTGTCAAAGTCCCTCAGATCTTGAAGCTCATCGGCTCTCGCTCCTCTGCCGGTGTCTCTTTCATCTCATACGCCCTTGAAACTGCTAGCTTGCTCATCACCCTCTCTTACGGTGTGCGCAACCAGTTCCCCTTCAGTACATATGGTGAAACGGCTCTTATTGCCGTTCAGGATATCGCGGTCGGAGTCTTGGTGTTGCATTTCGCCGGAAGGACTGCTGCCGCTGCAACTTTCGTCGCCGTTGTTGCGGCGAGCATTTACGCCCTGCTGTTCGACCAGACTCTCGTTGATGCGCAGACCATGGCGTACTTGCAGGCTGGCGCCGGTGCATTGGGCGTGGCTAGCAAGGCTCCTCAGATCTACACTATCTGGCGCGAGGGTGGTACTGGACAGCTGAGTGCTTTCGCGGTATGTGTTTACCTTGCAAGGGTTCTACCCCAAATTGATTCATGCGCTAATTGGTTTCTAGGTCTTCAACTATCTCGCCGGATCTCTGTCCCGCATCTTCACTACCCTCCAGGAAGTCGACGACAAGCTGATCCTCTACGGATTCATCGCCGGTTTCTCCCTCAACGTCATCCTCGCCACCCAGATGCTTTGGTACTGGAACGCCCCTGCTCCCGCGAAGAAGCAGGCTCCTCGCGCCAAGGCCGTGGAGAAGACACCGGTCGCGCAAGCCTCGGGCGCATCTCCCCGACCCGGCGCAAAGACTCCCACCACCCGCCGACGGGGTTAGATAGGGATCATCCTGAGCTTCACTTCTTCACTTCCGGGTTATATCTATTGTAATGCCATTCGTTCCAAAACGAAACACTCATTTCCACCTGTACATTGCGTAGTCACACAAACCATAGCCTACGGCATACGCCCAGTAGTCATATGGCGCAGGATCAGATCCAGCGGCACAAACGGCTGCACAGCATGAGGATGATGAGGCGCAATCTCGAACTCCAATCCCGCAGCCCCAGGCTTGCGATGAACACCAACAACATCCATTTCCTCTTCATCCTCCTCGCTCTCCTCCTCAGACCCCTCATCATCCTCCAACTGTCTCTTCAAACCCGTAACGACATTCTCAATCCCCTTCTCGCGCTCCTCAAGCGTGAAATTCCCTCCCCAGTTCCTCCGTCTCGCTTCCTGATTCGCTTCCAGCGGCGCCCACTCCCACAACTGAGCGAGCTGCGCGTCACTAAGCGTTCCAGACGCCGGCGTCTCTGTCCCTGCCGTGCGACCGCGCGCTACCCAGTCTTCGACGCGAGGATCGAGTTTTGTGCGGAGGAGTTGTTCGAGGGTGCTTGCTTGCGTGCGGCCTGGGTATTCGGGGCCTGGGTAGGCGACTAGTGTTGAGAGGAGTTCACGGTGGTCGGAGAGCTGTTCTGAGACGCTGAGGAGGTTGTTGGAGATGATGCTTGCTTGGGATTGAAGGGAGGACCTGGGTGTTTTTGTTAGTGGTGGTGATCGTCGGGGGGTGTGGGAGCTTGCGCTTACCATGGTGGGAGGGGATCGCTTGAATTGAGGCTTGAGATTAGAGAGCCCAGTGAGCGGGTCAGCTGGACTAATCGCTGGCGCGATTGCTCGAGGACTTTTATTTGGTCTTGGTTGAGGTTGGACATTATGTATGGGAGTTGGGGAAGTTTAGATTCTAAGATCGCGGAAGCTGTGAGATCCCCGCGCCGTTTTTACTTTACCGCAACTTCAATGCTGTTGTCTTCACGTACCCTTTTCAGCAGCTACGGCTCTACAAAACACTTTGTCTATTGAGTACTCCGTACTGCTAGATAAAACGCTCATTTTGATTTTGACAGCCAAGCTCATGGGCGCGTCCTCCCCTTTTGTCAGTATCCAGCATAAGCACAGCAGCCCGTGATCCAAAAATAACAAGATCCTCGTCCTTCAAACTTTATCAGGCCACTTAGCCCTTGGCGGGATGTGCTGAGACGCCTGCAGAATGGTCTGAGCAATCTCCAATTGGGCCGACTCTCGGCCGGACGGTCGGAGGGGGCACCCCAGCCAATCTCCTGCATTCATATGGGATTCTGTCTGGTGTAGGTTTGGCCTGTCTGCGTTATTGGCGTAGCTGGGCGGCCTGGGGTGCTATTTCGGGAGACGATTGCTGGCCAAGGAGTCGATCACTCACTGTACCGCTGAGGATAAGTAGACATGCTCGCCCAGGGCTGCTGATGCTTGGAACACACCGCTAGAGTCGAAATTCATCAGCGGTTTCCGGGATTACCTAGTCCAGGATCTGGTATTTGGTAGTTCAAAAGTCTACATTCAAATACCTGTGACTATATACTCCAAGGACATGCAGACATGACAAGATCTCAGGATATTTGGGCGCAGGAGCTTTGCTCCATCAGTCGAATCCAAAAATGCAACACGCAAACGCCAACAATGACATGAGCCGATAACGCTGACTTCATTTAGCTCAATCCAAGACGAGAGACAATCGACTACCCAACACAGTTCTTGTACATTTTCCCTGCATGGGAGACCACGATATTAACCCAGGCTTTTCATTCACATCATTGCCACTGCTGCGGTCTCTTCTGATCAGGGTCCAGAATCTGCGAATGAACAGGAGACTGACTCGGCAGCTGCTCGGTGACCTGATGCGAGAAGCCCGACTTAGTCTGTCCTTGGAAGTGTTCCTGGTACTGCTGCTGATATTGCTGATCTGAGGTGGAATGGCCATACGCAAGCTCTTGACCGCGGCCATCATTATCCATGAACCCCATGCCAAAGCCGTACCCATATCCACCAGCGGCATATTGCCGCTCGGCCCAAGCCTGCTGGGCGTTTGAAGAGTCGTTATTGTACATGTGATGACCAGTCTGGCCGGTGCGGCGCGCCTTCTTGCGACGGTGCCGAATGAAGAAGAAGCAGCATATTGTGAGCGAGCAGAGGATGAGCAGGAAGCCTACGATAGGGACCGCGATCACGACGCCCAGATTGAGGTTCGAGGAGCTTGAGCTTGGGGTTGTGAGGGAGAGACTAGAGGGGAGGAGAGATTGGGTGAAAATTCGAGTTGGTTCGATCTTGAATTTCTTGCCTGTGACTGTCCTGAAGTGACAGTTGTAACGGATGGATTCTAGGACTGTGGGGAAAGGTCAGTACGAGGCTCTTTTCGACCGTTGATGCTTTGCCAAGGGAATATGCAAGGCAAACGTACAATTTGCCATGTAGACCTGGGTGGTAGTATAGTTGTAACATAGCTCGCAGTCGTTGACGACATTGTCGGCGAACGAGGGGCTGTCACACCAGTCATCCAGATTGGAGATACTCGGCTCCTGGATGTCCTCTCCTACCGCCGTGCGAATGATATCGCATGTAACTGGGCACGGAGAGGAGGTATTGGAAATCGAGTCCGGGTATCCGAAGACACAAGTCGAGAACGCGTAGCGCAGGTTGTCTAGTCAAGTCTGTCAGCATTGCGCAAGGCTTCTACGACCTCCAGGGTGATACGACATACAGAGACCCCAGTTCACGTCCGATTCACCGGTGTTGGTGTCGTGGAAATCACTCTCCAGCTGGCAGGAAATGCAATTTTCGAATTTCTTCCCGGTGGCCGTTTGATTGTAGGCTTGATCCAGGCACGAAATCTCGTTCGATGTGGTGTTAGTCGTTGTTCCACAGACACCAGCACAGGGTGAGCCTGAAGTGGTTCGTAGTGCCCAAACCGCTGGACTCCATAGAGCCAGCAGACACAATGCTACCGCAGAGGCTCTTGCTGTGCCAAAGCACCCAATCATCGTGAACCGAGACAAATTTACCTCTGACCTTACAATGAGAGGGTTCAAAGGGGGAGACGGGCAAAAAGGCCAGAATAGAATCAAATCATGAGCGATGGCAAGGTGTAATTTAATTGAATGCGACTGCGGGAAAGCTTCTTTTTGTCACTGCGAACAGTCCTGTATGTGACGAAGTGGAGTGATCGAGTCACAGCTCAACGCCCACGGATGTACGGGGTACACTTGGAACGATGCTAATGCTAGGGTGAAGAAATAGGGAGAATGCATTTGTCAAATCAAGCAGGCTGTTTCCCGATGTTGAGAGTGGACGCTTAGAGAGCGTCGCTTACAGGTCAGGAAGCTAAAAGGTGCTGTATTTTGGGTTGGAGAACGAGTCAGTGGAGACTGGAAGGATTAACCGGGCGGTTTTGTGAAACTTGTTGGAGACGTGACGGGCGTGTGATGAAAGTGAGCGGTTGATTGGTGATGAAGTGTGATTGTGATAGCTTGTGCATATGCACGGATCCATCCCCCTCACCTCCAGGGCTGTCCCCGGCTATCTACATCGCACCGCAAAAGTTCCCATCAGGTCAGGTGATAGCCCCACAATTTTAGAAGTACTCGAGATGATGCCATCATGATATCACACCATCTCCTGTACAGTCTACACTCTTCAAACTGACTTATGGGCTTCAAGATAGAGTCCAAGACTGTATGTGAGTTTTGAAATTAATATCTTCACTGGACGCATAGCAGTATGGCAAAGATGTTGCTGAGTATACTTGGAAGATTGTGGGGCCATCACCTGACCTGACGGAAACTTTTGCGGTGCGATGTACTTTTAGAGGAGATAAGGGTACATTGTTTACTATAGCAGATGTAATACTAGTTAAGGTATCATAATTTGTTGCGCAAATAACCGACCGCTCCTATGTCCCAAGCTCAGCATTTTGTGATTGCTTCTCGTTTGCGCACTCCGTTTGGAGCACATATAGCCCCAGAGACCGTTCCTTTTAGGAATCATTGTTTCTGAACTTCTCAAGTTCTGCTTTTTCGTAATCTGCCGCTTCTACCGCTTCTAAGCCTTTTGCAGGACCACAATCAGACAGCTTCTGGCATCTTCTGACATTCTATGCCCCTTTGTAATAGGCATACATTTCCACGTACGCTCCCAACGTTATACCCTGGCATTCCCATTGGTCTGGCTCTATGTACATAGTTTGAAACACTAACAACTTGGAACACCAAGTAGTAGACTATTGATATTGTCTCTACCCGCCAATCAACCGAGGATGAAAACAAAGCCGCCCAAATGCATGATCAATCTTTAGTAAAGTAGAGAGTTCCAACCCATCAAAACCGCCAACCCAGTATACAGGTAGATAATTATTGTTTCAAAAGCATGTGCGCACATCAGCCGTAAAGCTCATCGTAGGAAGGGACCATTTCCTGTCGGACAGTGGACTCCGGGGTTTGAGGCCGCAGACGACTGTGTCTTCTGTCCGGGAAGACTGTTGATTTCGACTTAGGGTGACCAGGAAGGCTATAGCGAAGTGTCCCCGAGGGTATGAAGGGGGCAGACACGGAAGATCCGGCGGTATAGCTGGTTCGCGGCGAGTGTATGACACCGCCCGGGCGAGATGCCACGGGAGCTGTGGCATAGCTGTGAATACTGTCGGGACGCATGCGCGAAGTCACAGAAAGCGGCGGTGATTTCGCGGGAATGTCATAATCATCGGTGTGGTATCGTGGCTGTGATGTATCTGCTAATTCGTAGATCCGTGGACTGCATTCCGCTGGACCTAGGCCGTCGCGGTCCTCTTCATCTTCGTCGCAGCAAGAGCTTGAGCTGTCGTCATCGAAGACCGAGCTGGAGGCATTGTGACTGGGCTCGCGAAGAAGGTCGCTAATACCTAAGCCGTGTAATGATGGGCGTGCATTCTTGTCGTGATGTCGGATATTGTGATCGAAATGCCCGGTTGGAAATGATGGAGAAGCCTCCACTGGGCGCTCGGGTGGACTTCTGTTTCGCGACCGCCGGATAGATGAAGTTGGACTTGGCTCGTGGAATGAACCGACTGAGCTATATCGCGGGTCTGGGCCATATTGCGAGCTTGGCTCTCCTGGGGTGTTGGCGACGAAGCCGGAAGGTTGATCCCACTGATTCCAAGATCCGTGGGTGGGGTGGCTGATGGCAACGTCGCCCCAACGAGCGTGTAGGTCCGTGGACAGTCCGCTCTTCTTTTTAAACTTCTTCATTAAAGCCGCCATAGTATAGGAAATACTTCCTGTTCAAGTTCGGGCAGGCGGCACCTCGGAGACTTAGATGTAATGCACCAAGGAGAAGATAGATCACTGCCTTGAAAGGTGTTCATCCCAGACCTGCCAAAACCCTCCACAGAGAGCCTGAGGTAAGAAACAAAAGCAGGATTTCAAACCACAGATCCAGAGAAACAAAGAGAGTGGATTGGGGCAGATCCACTACCGAGTGTTGAAGTTATATGAGAAGTCCATTAAGCCGCACTAGTCAGTCGTTGACCGCATGTGCGAATACGTTGCGCCTGATCCAAAAAAGGAAGGATCTTGACGGATGCTTGACTAGAAGGTTGGAAGCCAACAAGCCCAACGAGCAACTAGAGTCCTGGTAAAAAGCCCGGGAGTCTGGGTTGCCCCCTCTGCTGGCTGCCTCGGGGCAAAGTGGGAATTGAGACGACATGGTTTCGAAAACAAAAGCGGCCCAGGATGAACGAGTCAAGCAAACGGCAGGTTTAGCAGCTCACTGACTGGACGATCCAGCCGGGCCAACGTGATTGAGAGGCTCCAAAAGCTGCAGTGTGCGCAAAGAAATGCAGGTAAGAGGGGTAGTGAATGTTGGTAACCCCTGCTGCCCCTGGTCACCTCCAGCTAGGCTGAGAAGGAAGGCGAAGCCGCGGCGCAGTCAAATTGAGCTGATCTTCTGGAAGCGGGTCACAGCCATCGGAGGTGTTGTGTGTTGACGCAACATAGTAGTTAGTTGTCTTGGCATGGCGCTTGTCGAGAGGTCTGCATGGCGACGACATTAATCCGATGATGCATTGCTCGATACGGCGTACATGAGCGTACTCAGCTCTGCACGATATGACTGGTGAGTTAATTTCCTGGGTTCAAGGGACGGAGAAAACAGGGGTATCGTTTGATCCATCATGCATAGATAGGGTCGAAGGTGAGGAAAGAGGAACAGGTGAGCGACAGGGATAGAAAGAGGGGTCGGATCTTGATGAGAAAGCAAAAGCACTGTCTCACTGTGCCTTTTAATCCCTGCAAGTGGATTTTTTTGACTGGAGTGGAGTGGAGGAGTCAATACCGATAAAACTACTCCGTACCACAGTGTGGAGACGGAGTTGCGGCATATATTGCGAGAACACAAAAGCACTCTCGAGATGGCCTTCGAGTCTTGGCTACGGTTGATCTTCCAGCCACTCTCGTGGGAGGCGTTTGGATAGATTGAAAATAGGCGCCGAGGGGATTGAAGAGGAAAGGATTGGGGTGATCTTTTAGTTTGGCGTAGCACGGACCAGGGGTTGAGTCAAGATCGGACCCGGTGGAGATCCGGCTTTCCCCTCTTGTTTATTGCTTAATTCGATATTCACGAGCATTTTGTTCCACATTCTGAACCAGCTGGGAGTGACTTGATTTAGGGAAATTCAGCCGAGGAAAGCAAACTTTCCACTATTATTTTGGGAAAAGAAAGCCGAAAAAAAAAAAAAAAAACCAACACAAAACCAACAAAACAACAAAACAAAACGTATTTGTACCCAAACGTGGCATCGTGACAGTCGTAAAAACAAGCCAACGCCACCATCACAGCATTAGCGGAAATTGGTGATCAGCCGCGACAGAACGGGTTTAGATTGTTTAGTCCCTTTGGAGTCGGCGGGCTGACCCGAGAGCATTGGCTCGGAGAAACTCCTTTCTCGTCTCTCCCGAGCATCTTGGTTCCCCAAAGGTCTAAGCGGCACTGGATAGTGCAAAGCCATTGGTGCCTGCTCCGTAACTGGAGGGTAGGTTGACAGCCTGGCATCGCCGTAGTGAACTGCACTTAACCGGGAGGAGGGGCCGGGATGCGAGTAAAGAGAGTGGGAGCAATTTGCATAACTATTCATGTCAAGGATCATTGATGTTGGCCGTATCGGTTGATATTGTGACGGATCGTATTTTGGTATTGTGGGGTATGGTGGAGGCTGTTCAAACGATGGTCGTGATAACTGCTGTTGGTATTGATGATTGTACTGGGCTTGACGACCATATTCCGGAGCGAAGGTGGAGAGTGGCCGGGGTGACGGAGGGATGCTTCTATTGTAACCCATTTCTTCTATCTTATAGGCCGGTGGGGGCTGAACGGGCGAATATTCCTCTTGTTGCGCATTTCGTCTCCGTGCCCGTTCCTTGCGCGAGAAGAGGTATGATAAGCTTCCAGCCACTGGTTGTGTTAGCCACGTTCCGCCTCCCGTGTGCCTTGGTTGAGATGAGGCTCTGTAAACTTACTTGCTAGGTCTCCAGCTACAGCTCCAAAGGTAATGACCGGCGTGCGAGGAAAGTTGTTGGAGCAGGTTCCAGCAGGGACACTTAGCATAGCCCAGTACCCGAGCTACGTATGAGCGACGACAACACTGGTCAGATGTTTAAAGCTGGGAAGCGTTGGCCAATAGGACAAACGACATGAATACTGGGTTGAGCTCAATCCAGGTGATGAATACCCGTCAAGAAAAATGGATTCGAGCTTCCAAGCTCTGAGCCGACCTCAGGATGAAATGAGTGTTCCTTACACGAAGTTGCGAGCTTGGGATAATGGGGATATATAAGACCCTGAAACGCAACATCAAAGCTTACTCGCATATTTCAAGGTTAACACACGGTCCACCGGTGGACGTCCAAAGAGGATTTTTGAGCGGCTCGCAGAGAGGACCAAGATAGCATCAATTAGCTATAGATAGATTGGGAAAGTCGACATACCTAATTAGCCAACATTAACCAGCATTAGCTCAGTTAGCCTGCATATTCGAACCAATCCGGTAGGCCAGACCACCAAAGAAAACGCCATAATTTCTAAATTAATACAGGTTAACAGTATTCAAAATCACTACTTGTGTTAATTCCGGCGTCACCGAAAATCCAACGACTCCCGAGGTCGATGACTGGTTCGATGTAAGCGCCGCCGAATGGACGAATGACGACCCCGGTTCACTCGAACCTTGGAAACCTACTATATCCCGAACACATCAGGAGTATACTGTACGAAGACATCATCGGTTGATCGAGGCGGTTCTATCAAGGACTAGCCCACTGATTCAGCCCAAGGCGATGAGCTGTCGAGTGTTTCCCGCCCGGCTTGACATGTTGGCTCCTGCCGGATACGGAGACGGGTAATTAGGGCTGGAGCGCCCGCATGAATCCTTGCACTCGCTGTCAAGTCGTTACCCACGCTTGATCAAAGTACAAACAAAACCGGGAATTGATTTTCTTCCACTTCAGATGTATCCTACTTTGCCGCAAATGTTGCCCGGTAGAGCCGCCTACTCTGCATACGCCCGGTAAACTGCGATGCCCTTCTCAGTGGTGAAGTCAAGCGCGACACCCTGCCCAACAAAGAAGACCCAGCCCTCACTCAGCTCAAGGGTCTTACCACCAGGGATGTTCATCTGTCCAGACCCTCTGGTGACGACCATCAAACTAGGTCCCAAGATAGCCTTGTGCGTCTCCTCCTCCCCAGCGCCAAGAGTGGTACAGAGCACCGCGAACTCGCTAATAGGTGGCGCATAGACATCTGTCTTTCCTTTCATGCCTTTGTCACTCTTTTTGCGCGGTAACAGCGCATCATTCGCATTATGTGGCACGAAACTCAACGCCTCCCCGAACAGCTCGACGCTGTCCCGATCTGCAGCCGGACAGAAACCGGTGTTAATGACGTTGTCCGACCGCGCCATACATTCAACGATGTCACCCTCCAGATAAGCGTGGATGCTGTCCGCTGGAACAAAAACGGAGTCACCAGGCCCAAGCGTCAGGTAGTTCATGAGTAGGGCGGCAACGAGATTACCGTTGTCGCCTTCACCATATTGCTTCGCCAGACGGGCGAGAAGAGCCGGGATGTACGAGTGAGCTCCAAAATGGGAGTCCGGAATCGCTTGTAGGTCTCTTGTCGTCTCCTCGACTTCCTTTGGTGTTGCATTCAGAAGATTCTTGCACACTTGGCGCAGAGCCTCGTCGTTGAACTCGCCTTTCTTGGGCAGGAACTTTGCCAAGTGGTTGAGTCTGAAAAGCGTTTCAATGTGACTGAGCGGTTTCCAGCCAGCGAAAAGCTCGAACTTGGACAGTGCAATTGCAATCTCCGGCTTGTGCATAGTGTCGCCATACTTTTTGGGGTCTTCTTTGTGAAGTTGCGCGGCAAGTTTGAGGTCTGGGTGGATCTGAAGAGGCAGAGCCTGACTGAAAGACAGGATCTGGAATTGATTTAGATTCGCGACCGTGAAATGTTTGGTAGTAACGGACCTTTGGCAGGAATGGAATCTCTGGGCCCCACCGATCGTGTACCGACTTGCCGACAAGCTGGGGGTTTTTCTTTAGGTACTCTCCAAGGTGCTCGCCTGTCGACAGTAAGTAGGATGGGTTTGATGGGTAGGTTCCCAGCCACATCTAGTTGGTGATCAGCATTTTTGACATGTAAAGCCCTGGAGGGCTACTCCGAAGAATGTGTGTCACCTCTGAGTAATGTTTGGAATCATCGATCGGTCCGTTGTTCGGAGACTTGGACCACAACTGAGCTACAACGGACTCTTTCCCTGTTTTGCCCCAGGAGTCATTCTTGTCACGAATAAAGGTTAGCATGTACTGGTAGAATTTCACGGCGGATAGTATTTTTACCTTAACTCCACATCGAAGTTGAACAACTGCATCCGCCATTGCGTTCAGCTACCTTGGGGGAATTGAATCGACTTTGTTTAATTCGTTATGAATCTTATGAATTGTACGGATAGAATTGTTGTATGAGAACTAGAAGCTTACAGCCCGACTAAGGGTCTTAAGTTCAAATTGTGGTATGTCGTCACTGTGATGAATCATTGAGGCGCGGAAGAAATTGGCCATCAAACCGGGCCCAATTCTCATCCGAACTTGAAGGGAAGATGAGCCCACCAATAAAGAAGTTTGCCCCCCTCTGGAAGTATGCAAATATTGCTGCTGGGATCTACTTGGTGGTGAAGATTATTCTAGCCAAGGGGCCGCACGTGCCGAATGCGCCGAATGTTCCCTATACAAACATCCGCACTGAAAGTATCCAATGAATGAATAGATAATTCGGGGGTACACTAGATGCTAAACCATAGAAATTGTGCTCATTCTGAGGGTCATTAAGGGGGTGACTCTATAGACCAAAAAACGCCACAGATGCCAACGCTGAAGAAGAAAGCCAACGAAAACAGATGAAAAGCTTGAACCTCCAGAAACAAGATAATAGAACAAACAAAAGTGTGTCAATCATAAAGGTCATCCTGATCGGGAACCATCGCCATAGTCAGAGGTTTTGAAGAAGCTCGCTTGCGGTCGGCCGAGGCAGAAGGTGATGTTTTACGGCGAGAAGGCAAAACACCTCCTCGCCGCGAGTGTTCCGAACCATCCACAATACTGGTGCGCATCTTCTGATGGTGATCATCGTAGCTGCGGACCCGAAAAGTCGGCCTGGAATCACGATTAAAACGGTTGTCATTGATCAACTCGGCATTTCGATCCCGGCTCGGTTGGTAGTTGCGATGAGAACTAGAAGAGTGACCGCGTGGAACCGGCGCTCTTACATTCTCTTGAATGTAGCGACCACTCGTAGGAATGTAATTGAATCGATTGCCGGGGGCTTTCGGGTTTCTCTCCACTTCAGACGGGTAGTGTTGCTGAACTGGTTTATATGCGAAGTCCGCGGGGCTATGGTTGAAGTTTGAGCTTGAACATCCAGAGCCACGGGCCGGTCGCAAGTTTTCGAGGGACAGCGAGCTACGGCGTGATGTGTCTGATGACGAGCTGCAAGCACTTTGGGCATCGTCATAGTCTCCTTCAATTGATGAGTGGGATGCATGGTGTCGGTGAGAGATGCCTGGCACGTAGCCCGGCCCGTAACGAGATTCATGTGTTACCGGACGATGAGGGTTGTCATACTGGCTCCATGATCCATCTGTTGGAACTGAGATTGAGGCATCCCCCCACCGGGCATGAAGAGGCTTTCGGGAATCCGACTTCCGGAAGATAGAAAAAGATCCGTTGATCATACCTGCCATTTGAATGGGTAGGGTGTGCGTGTTGTCGATTCGTGACTTTTTGAGATTGCCCTCCAGCAAGAACCGAGTGTGACATTCGAAGAAAGGAAACAGCTGGGAGCGACAGATATTAAAGTTGTTCTCGGAGCAAAAATATCTGATGAGAACAAGCAAAGAAACAATGACAACGACCAGCGAGTCCGCAGTTATTAAAATTGACAAACAAGACTTGTGTTGAGCTTCGCCACCAAAGATCATCCACAATCCGCAGCACAGCTCCAGATTGGATCGTCGTGATCACGACGAGCTAGGGTCTTGAGAATCAAGGAAAGGTCGGTGAATGGTTCGGAAAAAAAGCACTTACAGACCAGCTGAAGCACACAAAAAAAGCAAAAACAACAAAAACGAAACAAAACAAATTCTATGCCAAAGTCACCACGATGAAGTGGAAGAGAGATTCTAGCTTCATTGTGGAACGCTTCCCGGATATAAAGCTTGGTGTTGTGTTGATAGCCGCCGAGGCAATTTGTTTGGTGTTTCCAGTTATGCAGGGCGACATACATATTGTTTCAGAAAGGCCGTGTTTACGACTTTGTACTCCGTACTCCGTATAACGCCGATGGATTGAAAACTGTGGTGGATATCATAAGATGCATGAATATGCCTGGCTCTATCATGAAATTGAAGCCATTCAAATCAGCCGTGCTCAACTTGCATAGATACAGGCGTTGAGGCCATATTTTGACTTGCCGACCGCGCGGATCATCATTCTGGGCAATTCTGAAGCTATACAGATTTATCTTGAAGGCCGATTCGACTTCGATGTTGGCAGGCAGAATGGGTAGGAAGCTTCAGTGGTACATTGGCGACGTTGGATTCAATAGCATCGATACAGTGATACAACTACGCAGGGTCTACCTAAAAATAGGGATAAAGCGGGGATGAAAGTAATGTTGGAAGACTACAATAATAAGAAAGCAAAGAATGGAGAGATGATGACCATTGAGATCTCTATCTCAGGAAATACGTAGCGCTCTTGGTAACTAGGAAAAAACAATAGTACATTGATCACTATGGCGGATGTAATGGTAATTCAGGTATCATTGATTATCCAACATAGTTCTCAACCCTTGGCCACTTTCCGGAGTAACTACAACTTCGTACTCCGTACGGTGTACATGCCAGCTCAGCTCAGCCTACGGAGTAGAAATGTATCAGATTTGTTGCTGTAGACAACAGTAGCCAATAGGAGAAGTGCCTTGCCGCCGAGGGGTGACGCAGCGCGATGGGATCTGCAGTTGGCTTCCGCTTGACAGGGTTCATTGTTCCATAATTAGCTTGCATGATGACCACTTTGGGTGTTCTAAATAGAGACTAATTAACTTGCATTAGCTTTCTTTACTTCGAAGTTTGAAGTTCAGTATTTATTTGTGTTTGGTCAATTGGCAACTACTGAATATTATCTGCGCTCCTGAATTTACTCATGAGCCTTGTCTTGTTCCCAGTTTCGTCCGATATCTCACTAGATGTATACTATACCGTTGAAACGGAGTAATTGAGGAGAAATAAATTGCTCCCTGGGGCTTAAAATGCGAGTCAGTGTGTTGGTTCGAAGATCATCGATGGACCCTCGAGTACGGAGTATCGGAGCTAATTGTTGATAAATTTAGCAATTGTGACCCACGAACATGGATTATGGTGGGTTGATGGGCCCAAGAAGCACCGTAATTCTGCCTCGTTGTCCCAAACAAAGAGATGGCTATCACTGTAAGCGCCCACAACACAACAAAAGTACATTATCTCCATGAGGGTCTCACCGATGTTTTGTATGGCATTAATCAAAAGTTTATAGAATTTGATGTTCATCACATCGCATTTGTAGCAGAACTGGACACGACTCGACAGGTCGCCCATACAAAGGAACCTTGGGAGGGGCGGGGGTGGGACCGCGCCGGGTAAACGCCGGAAGCCCGGGCCGTCAGGGTCCAACGGGTCTTCGTGATACCCCAAACTTGGAATACGCGCAAAGACCCTTGTTGCGAGCTCTCCACCAACAGTCCAAGGCATGAATTTTTTGTTTGGAGTTAAGACTTCATTCCGAGCACACCGATATGTTGGGCTTCGAGAGCCCGTGCTTCTTGCATTGAGTGCGCGCATATGCGCTCGGTTCCGCTGTGCGCATGGTTAGGTTCGACGGTAGAGTTGGTATGACGTTAGGGTTGGAGAATTGCGTTTATTTTGAAACATCGAGGTGCGAACCCCTGGGATGAACCGAATGTAGGAGTCCATTCTAGTCTCTATACCAGCGCCCGGCGGCAAGTGATCGAGGCATGGCTGGGATTCGATTTGACGTGGATTTTAGAGGCGTTGTTTCACCATCGGACGTCTGAGGTATAGCGCCGGTCTGCTAGGCTGCTTTAGGGAAATGACGAATGTACTGCTCGATCACAAGACAACTGCGCAGATTGAAGTGTCAGTGGCCGACGCAATATTGTTGTTTTCTTTTATCTAGGAGGCCACACCCAGCTGGGAAATCCAGGGGATGAAGCCGGATCGTGACCTCAGCCCCAAGGTAATAAATAATGACTGCATATGTTGGAAAGAAGTGTCTCAAAGCGAGAAAAAGGAAAAAAGAACAAAAGAGCAAATGGGGAGTCGAACCGGAGACAAAAATATTCCACCGTCGAGAGTCGTGAACCCGACGGGCATATATTTTGTGAATAATGCCGCGAGGCAGGCCAGTCCAGCTGATGCGGGTTTGTACCGCACCGCTAGGCCATCCCACCTCTGACAATATACCTATACCCTGACTGGCCTTTTGACCTTGCTTGCTTGCCTAATTAGGAAGCTCTCTAGGCCCGAGGCCACTTCCATGCATGATTCGAGACAGGTCTTGGAGGTTTTGAGGGACAATGGAGATGTGTTCCTACAGTTGCTCGCCTAGCATGGCATTTGTCTTCCCCTGGCTGACTCTATACGGGGTTTCCATTTTCAAATTAGAAGCTAAGCAATCGTCCGCTTCTCCAAACGTGAGGTGCTCTTCTATCTCCTCGTGGATAAGATGAAGGGTTGAGGGCCTATGTAGTGGTCTTTGTAGCAGTGTTGATTGTATTCTGGATAGACGAGACAGTGAAATTGTGGATTATGGGTATGAATCATCATTTCTGTACTATCGAGGGTGGACCTATGTCTGAGAATACTAAGCATCTGAGACCCAGAGCTGGCCCTGAAGGCTTCAACTCAATATTGTAGTCAAATAGCAGGTATATGGGCTTCTCCGTTGTGTGCAATCCGGCTTTTGGGACACTTCGGTGCCGCTCTAATGTGTATGTACGCATCTCAGCATATCGCCCTGGAAGCAAAGGGTATGGGGATATATATACCTTGTTGTATTATAGCACATTGTAGCGTATCGCATCTCGTCGTATCACATCTCGTCTCGTCGTATTGCATCGTGTCGCATCGTAGTCCATCTTGTTTTGAAGAGGGGTACAGTGGTAAAGCATATCGTATTGTAGCAGGCTTTATACAGATAACTTGAACCGCTCTGAAATAGGTCATATCCTGTGTAGCCGTGTCGGAGGTGTAGCGTTTTGAATGCGTATTTCTGTTATGAAGTGGATATCAATCACTAAAACGGCCCCTTGGTCTTGATCAGCGTTCTGGCTTTTGACTTTCAAAACGTCATCCCGCACCTTCCCAGCAAAGCAACGCTATAAGAGAAGTCTCGATCTCCCATCTTCTCCATCGCTCACAATCTCAACTCCCCCGACGTGGAGGAGGAACCTTGTCGGTTTGCTTTCAAGCATTCCCTCTCTCAGGTATCATGAGAACACTCAAACACATTGCGGCGCAATAAGTCACAAGGCGAATTCAACGGTGTCTGTGAAAGAAAGCAAACTCATTTGCTCAACTCGCATTCGATAAACCAAGGCACGTTTGTCGTGCACGGTACTGGGCCTTGATAAGATGGATTAGCTGGCGGGCCAAGAAGAAGTGAAATCCAGTCACAACCCAAAGCTAAAACGTCCCCAACGTCCGCACTTACCACACGTCAACAATATCCTCAATCTGCGCGGCGCTGGTGAAGCTCTGACACAAGTGAGCGCGTGAATCATTGCAGTCCAAGACCTTTGTCAAAGATCTCACGGAGATGGGAACATAGTCACGGCTCAACAATCGACGGATGACCACCGAGCTCAGAACAACCCCATGCCAGTCCGCGTCTTTTCTGACAGACCAGGAAAGCGATCTATGTCAGTATTTTGCCGAGACCATGAACTGCGTGATTATTGGTCTGCGACAGAATCAAAGGCGATAGCGCATAATGGAGCCATATAACTGAATCTCTGAGCCTTCAGTGTGGGCTTCCATCTCACAGTCACGGTCATCCGGACTGAGAGCATTCACGTATACGCTCTGTGGGGCTTGAACGACAGCACTTTGGGACCAAGCAAAGACGAGCGGTGTTGTAAATACTGTCACTTTCTTCAGATATTCACGGGGACGCAATGTAATCAACGATGCGGGTATTCAGGTGCTGAAACTGCAGTCCTGTTGCTGTTATGGACATCGATTCAGAGCGATATTTTATCTTGGAGTCTCATCAATGAGAATGGCTCTCTCGCTTCCGGTCGGCCGTGATCACTGTTTCTGCAAAAAAGCCCCAGGGAGCACAGAACGGTGATCTATGTCCGGAGGAAAGGTTATGAGCGAATCCATCCGCATTTTCCGAGTTGTCCGCGCTCTTGACGTGGAGGCTTGTGCGGTAAACGCGGCAGCCGACTTCTTGCATCGAATAATCATGTCCGCGTGTGATGATGCTAAATTGCCTGTCAATTAGCGCGAGCTTGAGATGAGTAGGTGCGAGGAATCCTGCGGAGGTGGCCAGGCTCAGCAGCACCAGCGTTGGAGTGAAGAGCTGTGACCTGTACTTGCGCGTTTTCTGCTGTCCAGACACTTCTCTGAAGGCAAATCGAAGCTGAGAGGCGCGAGGAGTCTTATTTCAGTGTGGAGTCCCAGAAGCAAAGTTCGAAAAATGACTGCAGAAGAGTTAAGAAGATGCAGCAAAGGATATGGTGTGTCATGGATACGGGTACAACGTAAAAGGTGAGCATTTCTTGTCCGGGTTACTATACAGTTTACAAAAGTCTTTACCGCATATTAATTAACAGATGGACAGAAAGGCTTCCTGATAGTCCTCTAAAGCCGACAGGACTTTGGATCGCGAGCCATTCTTACAGAAGCCTCATCGCCCTACATAGCTACGATACTACAAGGCGATATCAATTTTTTGAAATTGATTAATGTAGCTAGGAGCTGGCTTTGTCGTAAATTCCAGGACCGCCTTTGCATTCAACCATTTGGGGCACCATCTCCTCCTTCAATGTGTTCCTAGGCCATCTTTTCGGCGGGCCTTTCCCTTCCCCTGTTGTGGGCCACCGGGGGATCCTTGCCAGGAGAGCAGATCGGGGCTCTCACTCTTCGGTTTCGGTGTCCGTCTCTGAGATGCACCGTCCGTTGTTCAAATCTCCATTTCAGAGTCGGTATCCTCGGCAAGAGCTGCCAAGATGGCCGCCTTGAGGCGATTGAACTTCATTCTGGCGGCCGGCTGATTGATGCCGAGGCCGCCGGCGATGGCCTTGAAGTCTGGCTGTTGTGTTTCAATATGTCAGTAAGGACCATGGATTAGGGCTGTTGTGACTAACCCGTCCCTCTGCCAGGTCTAGCGCCATGAACAGGTAGATGTAGTTCCCATCGACTGGGACATTTGCACCGCCAGAGAACGCCTTGGTGATGGCACCTTCTTCAATGGCGGCATGGATCTGGTCCTTAAGGGCTGTGTATCTTGCTGTTTCAGCCGCCGGGCTGGTACCGTTGATGCGAGCCATAGTTCGGAAGTCCGGCTATAGAAAGTGAAGTCAGTACCTAGGTCTAGGATCATGTTGGCGTGTACTCACCGTCAGTGGTGTCAGCTCAATGCACTGGAGTAGGTAGACGACGTTATCGTCGATCTTTGGCTCGGGCGAGGACGTCATTGCTGCGGCTCGTGTTTGTGAGAGCTTGGTGAACGACGAGTGAGGGCCGGGAGAGGAACTCGTAATGAAGAGATGAAGACACGGATAACAAGATATGAATGATAATCCAAGGCCAGACTGATGTCAAGCTGAGAGAGATGAAAGGGAGAAGTAAATGGTAGAGGTGAGAAGTGAGTCAAATCTCCGGCATGGGTGTGGTAGATGGAACTGAGTGTGTGCCCCCCAAAGCCTGGCACCAATTGAGCTCAGCAAGCTCCACAAACAGAGCGCAAATAACCTAGAAATTGTGAGATAAGTGACCAACTTCTCGGCGCCAAGACCAAGAGTGAGCGCTGCATAGACAACAACTTGTTATAGGAGACACAACATGTGAACGATTGATCTTTCATTCCACTAACAACTCATCCGGAAATGTATTGGCATGCTGGTCCCATTCCTTGTTCCTCGTCTGAATCCTCTCAATTTCCATCGAGGGCTGCATGGATTTCCTGTTTCAGGCGTGAGAATTTCTTCTCTACCGCAGTCTGAAGGATTTTCATTTCCAGGGCCACAATATCGAAGCGCGGTGGCTGTCAAAGACCGAAAGAGAGAAGGTTAGCGGGTATCATATCAAGGTGGTTTTATAAACCTACCCTGGCTGGCTCGGTTGGCAAACGACATTCAATGGCCGTTAGCAGGCGAACGTAGTGCTTGTTAACTGGAACATTCTGGCCACTGTGAGGGGCTCTTGTGATTGTCCCAGCCTTTTCAGCCTCAAATGCCATGGCTCCGAGCTTTTTAATTGCACGAGCCTCTGAGCGGTGCGTTGTTCCATTGTCATAGGCAATTTGGTGGAAGTCGGACTATGAGGTACTGAGTCAGTACATTGGGGTCGCTTCACGGCATAGCTCCAAACTTACCAGTATGTTGCTGAAGAAATAGATGCGACAGAGAAAGAGAACATTCTCATCAATTGCGCCAGGTACGCTTGCATTCAGAATCCTAGGCATGTTGTATGTTGATGAGTGTTTTGTGGGATGAATTTTGTGTGCGGACAGATGTGGATGTAAGGCTGAGATTTCAAACAAGAAGGATTTTGACTGAGAACGAGCACGAGACCTTCACACAAGAGGAAATAGGGCTAAGTATCAGCGTGGAAAGCAGCCAATTAGCGTGATCATCCTACCATCGGCTGACACGGAAATTTGCAGAAATTCAGATGGTTACAGTGACTACAGGCCTGATCTACTTGGAAAAGCAAGGAAATCTCGTGAAAACAGTAGATTGAGACCGCCATTACAAAAATGCCAACCGAAGCAAAGACAGAAGCATAAGAGAGAGAGCTATCTAGCTTGTGCTGTCATCTGAGCTCCCAAAAGCAGTGTCGACCGTTGTCACACTGTAGATTTGCTGTCGCAGGCGAGTAAACCGCATTCTTGCAGCATCTCTGCTGATGCCGTGTACGAGGCCCAAGGAGTCTATGTCCGGCTGGAAGTGCTTGATTAGTATGATTCTTCCATAGCCTCCCCTATGTACTGACCTCAATCCCAGACATTTCAATCAGCTGAAGCAGGAAAATGTGGCTCATGTCAATTTCCCCTTTGGGGCCGAGGCTTCTCCCAGCCTCAGCTTCTATGTGTACTGACTGTTGTAGTCTATGGTACAGGTTTTTGAGATGGTCAACTGTGCTGCCTATGACGGCAGCGCAAAACTGGAAGTCGGGCTAGAGCGGGAACGCGATCAGTTTGGTCTGTACATTCGTCAAAACGTACTAACCTCGATATCCGAGCTGTCTAGGATTTCAAGAAGAAGTCCATGGTTCACATCAAGTAAGGCCTGTGGGGCTGCTTGCTGGTGTCCAGCTCGAGGCATGGCTCGCTTGATGGACATAATCATGCCAGTCGATCAAGGGTGAATGGATTGATAAAAGCCGCACTGGAGAAGTGAGAAGAGAAATCAGATAGAGAAGGAGAGAGACAGAGAGCAACAACTGATATCATTGCATATTTTGGACGTAAAGGGCTCCGAACACCGGGGGAATGTCGTTCAAGCCAAAATTCTCACTTTGATGGATACTTTAATGTTCTGTAACATGACCCTAGCCATGGAACATAGATAAAGCGTTGCACTGTCTCACTGAGTGCGAATGAGCCGCCTTCATATGTTTATATTTCGAGATTCCATGAGATGGTCTTCAGGAGGGATATCAAACCTTGGGCATAAGGATTGAACTCATAGTGTAAGCCATGCTCCCAATTTTCTTGTCCGAGGGAATTGCTGTAGCGATCGCTACTCGATCCACCGTATCGACCCTCTTTCGTACTGTGTGGTCGCTGAGTCGAACGAAAGCCCGAGAGCCCTGCTGGCAGCGGTAGGTAATTTGCGAATCCGTTTCTGTCCCTATTTGATCAATGCATGCACTATTAGTGCTGAGACTTCTTGAGCCTCATCAAAAATTCATATTTCCAAGGTCGTCCTAGGCGTTGCGAGATGTGGGACCATCTGCGCTGGGAGAGGCTTAGCGCCCGTCGCTAGCGTATCACGTGGTGTACCTTATTTTGTCCACAGGCGTTCTGCCGAGCTTCCCACAATTTGGACCAATGCTGAGACTTCGAAGATATCATTCTTCCAAGCTTTTCGTTGGCCTCAGCCGACCACAGGGCGAAATTTGCGGGATGCCGGGTGACACGGTCTGAGAACGGCTTAGCGCCCGTCGCTAGCGGCATCACGTGGTGTACCTTATTTTGTCGACAAGTGGTCCGTCCATTTGGTCGCCTTTCGGTACACCGAGCTTCAATGGCACAAACAATCTCTGTGGGTCGGTTCACACACAGTTCATCAACGAATTTTGTCCCTTCACGCCTTGAAAAGCCCCAGTAAACCCCAGGTAAATCCTCGTTAGAACGATGAGGGGCGGAACGTGTCACCTCAAGGCTGTAAGGCTTTGTGGTAGCATTCGGTTGTATTCGCGCGTGATCAGTGATTTTTCAAGGCTTTCGGAACGATGCGGGACTGTAACTGTTGTTTTAGTTATCAGAACTGTGTTGTTTGTATGGTGAGACCAATGGCTTTTGTTCCTACCATGTGCAAGTCCCTTTGTCCAAAATGTGGCGCTGCATCCACCTCTGTACATCGGTAAGCAAAGGATTTTGGATGGTGGAATGCTCGAATCGAACCCAGGAACTGTTCGTTTTCTAGAACTGCTGTTGGTGGAAAGGACCTCATACCCACCAGGATCACCAGGAGCACTGCCTTCCCGATATACCAATGACAAGGAAATGAGGGACCTGAGTCGATGTGTCTTTCTTTTGATCCGAATTTGTGATCTGTGCAAGTCGCTCTTGTGGTGCTTTTCACTTGCGTGGCGGTTTGTGGGAGTTTTTGATGACGCACTGTGACCACATACACAAGCATCCAGGGATATAAGCGACGCATGGCGTGTTTTGGGCGCAAGGTTCACTTGGTCCTCTCAATCTTAACTGAGGATCTCGTATTGGAGGGAAGCATTGTTTGAAAGGAATGTTTGAAAGGAATAACAGTCGGCACACTCGCCGTCCCAGTTCATTCAAAGAAATGTGGATGATGGATCCTAATATCCCAATTCAAGAGGAACTGACACAATCCTCTTTTGTTGATAATGGAGCTGCAGGCTCATAGTGGGTCTGGTATTCCCAGAAGACTACACCGAGAATCAGCCCAAGAACATGCTTTGAAAGTACTTTCCGGGCAGTGTAACCTCTTGTTTGTGTAGGGAAAAATTACTCACAATCTTAGAATCAGAATCGCCTACTCATACACAGCTTAATCAACCTTCATACAAGCACAGTCTTAAGATCAATTTCTGCATTAATGAACCATTGTTATCATGTACTGGAACAAATCACGAGCCAGCGATAAATCGCCATACACGAGGAAGAGAGCACCCGATAACGGAGAAGTAACGGTCAACTGACAGTCAAATCCCCCAGTAGGACACGGTTACGCCTTCAGCAGTAGTAACGGAATACAGATGCTCAGCAGCGACGACAATGTACGAGGGATCGCTGTCCTCGTTGTCCTCGGCAACGGCGGTCACCTCGGCCTCCTTGCCTTTGTCGGCCTCTTTGCCTTTGTCGGCCTCCTCGGCTTTTTCCTCGGCTTTGATTCCCGCAGGAATGCTGCCTTGAGTCTTGGGCAGAAGACGTCTAACGCGCTTTCGGACAACAGAAACTTCGAGATCAAGCAAGGCTGCCAGGGAGTTGTAGTCAATCTAGCAATACAGAATATGTTAGAAAGCCACAGCAATCTGGAAGGTAGACTCACCTCGTCGCCAGGCATGGAAATGATATGATACAGCAATCTCATATCTTCGTCGGAGAGGCCAGAGGCGCTGGTTGCTGGGCCAGGCTCGGGTGCGTTGGACGGACCGGCGCTGGGTGCGGGGGCCTCTGCGGGCCGAGCTCTTTTGGCACGCTTGGCACGCTTGGCCTTGGGGCCGGTAGGCTTGTTACGAACCATATTTCTCCTGCAGGGATAGATTGTTAAACGAATTGAGGCAAATTGTGGGGAATTGGGGAATTCATACAATGAACGTTGTGGTAAAAATGCAGTAAAAGCAGTGGAATCGGTGGGAAGAGGAAGAACGAAGAGGAAAACGCTGGGAATCGAGAGGATCCAAGTTCTATGCTACTTCTGGGAGAATTGGGCCAGGGAACTGATCACGCTCCTGTCGCGGTCTAGGTGCGCACCCCCAAGCAAACTACTCAAATTGCTGAAGCCACTGGCTAATTCGGCTCGATTTTAGTACATGTTCTGTAATCAAACGATATCATTGGAACTGAAGGTTCTATATCAAAAGCTGTAGACCAATTGACATGTTGGATGAACGATACACCACGCAGCAAGCAATTCAACCGCTTTGATCCACTTTGATCTGTTTTCAGGTAATTGCAAGGACAAGGTTCGTTAGACCAAGTATGGCAACAGCAAGGCGCCGGCATATAAGACCCTTCTACCTTGAAAAAATGTATTTTGATCAATATAGAGACCAGTGGGTGTTCTCAAGCTGCTCAGGTGTAGGTTTTGCCTTTGTATGAGCTTGCTCTGTCGTCCTGGGCAGAAAGGCCTCAAGAGCATAATCGAATCTTTGGCAATTGATTGACTGGATCAGTCAATTTGTGTGCGAAGGATCGATTCGACTTCCTTGAATCCCAATGTGTTCATATCAATCCCTGCAGTGTTTGCTTAGGGCCTGTATGTTTGCTGTGCGATGTGTTGAAAGCGTTCATGTTTCTCTGTGCAATAAGACTGCTTCAATGTTTGGAGAAATGTTAGCATATCTGGCTGTTCAAAAGACCACACCACTTTCACCTGGTTTTCGATCCACGAACAGCTAGGTGCGGATAAAGCTAGTACGAATACGAGCCCGATCATCAAAACCACAACTGCAGAGCCTCATTCCACTGTTGCTGCAAAGCGATATCCAACACCACCCCAGCTGAGACCCCGAACCCGAACCCGAAGTATGAGATCAAACCCGAACCCGAGTCCTCCAACCTTCGAACCTTCGAACAACCCAGTTCCGCGTCTGCCGCTTGCGAACGCGGCACTTGCAGGAGCTACGGCGCGCAGCAGCTGGTCTGCGCCGAACCTTTCCCAAGGAGAAGCCTTTCGAATTGCAAGTCTTATTAGATGACATTGGTCCCGTTCTTTGTCAGGTTGTAGCGCGGTGTATCGCATCGTATCGCATCGTGTTGTAAACGAGAGGTATGGAGGTAGAGTAGATTGCATTGTAGCGCATTGTAGCGTAATACATCACATTGCCAGGTATCGTAGCGCATCGTATTCTAGACAAGGGTCATAGAAGTATGGTATATCGTATCATAGCGTATTGCGGCACATCATATCGTGAACGAGGGGTATAGGATCAGTGGTATCGAGTATAGCCCATTGGCTTGCCTTCTTAGTTTGTGCGCACGTTCGTTCGTTCGTTCGCTCGTTCGTTCGTTGCATGGTTATCGTCGCAGTAAAGGCCCTAGCAGAACAACAGTCAGTAACTGAGCATCGCTGTATGTATCATCCCATCCTCGCTATCATTAGATTGGATGATTTGGACTCAATGGTTCTGTCTGATTGCTGGTCCTTCTTGACCACCTGCTATGAAAAAACAGCGACAGCTTCCAGCATACCAGTCGGCGCAGTAGACGGTATTTGATCGTTTTCAGGCCAATTGTCGCCAATTCCTTGTTGCTAAAGGAACAATATCGTTCATCACAGAGGCGGTGCCCCTGGTGCTTTTCCATTGGTCTTCCACATGTTCGCAATCTCTGTAGACACTGCTCGACGAGTAAGCTTTGTGCCGACCATAATGCGTACGGTTCCGCATATAAATGGGGCCTCAATTGCTGCTAGATCAAGCGACTTTGGCAAGGACTTGCCTACGGTCGCTGTCTCTGAGCAACAAGAGTCTAGGCACCGCTTGCGCCTGCGACAGCCCGACCAATCGTTTGAAATCGAAACTCTAGCACCCGCTAGATGTAAGCACCAGTTGTAAGCAGCTAGAATATCCATTGATCAGTGGCCGTGTGGTCAGAAACGTATCGCGGATTGGGTCCCAGGTCCCAGTGGCAGTGGCCGGCTTCCACAAGCATTTTCTTTGGATAATCCTGACAATACTCAAGTGTTCTTGTTGCTCCCAGGCGTCTCTTGCCTTTCATGATCGAGGATTCGGTGGGGACTCGGTGCAGAGGAATAGAAAGGCTGTAATCTGTTAACCGACGTTTGACCGAATCCATCCCAATACGAACCCGAACCCGAATGCGAAGTATAGACCATCGTCCTAGACAATTTGGATAGTCCATAATGTTAGCTCATCTGAGTCATACCATCTCTCAGTGGCTTTAAAGGCCGTTGGATCATTGATTGTGCTGCGATCTCGGTCGTCTGGTGGTCAAGAAGATTCTGTCTGTGGGAGAATGGACACAGCCAGCGAGCAGGTAACGTGAAGACGTGTTTTGGGAAGAGCCTTGCAGCCGAACAGCGGCTGTTTCCTCTGGTGATTTTCATCGCAACTGAGTGCTCATCTGTTGGAAAATGGATGGATTGAAGGAGTAAGATCCCGCGTCAAGACGACAAACGGCTTTGTGCTACTAACGGGCGTTTGGATTGCTGGCCAATGCTACAAAAGCATCGTACGTCCCCAGGATCATTATTCTACAGAGGAAATTTAGGATTTTTCAGCCAATTGATTGATATTCATTGGGATTTGGCCTCAAAAAATCCCGTATCTGTCTGGCTTTGAGGAAATTCTGTCTGTCAAGATCGAAACCCGAAATTCACCATCGATCTTGGAAAAATGATTATGAGCGAGCCATTGTAACAACGAAGGCAACTTTGTTGGTCAGGTAGAGGCAACCTGTTACGACCGAGCAAGCTGCTGCCAACTAGTAGAAGTTGGGGCCATCGCCTATGTCGTTGTCATCGTCGTTACGCTGTCCCTCCGCGTTCTCGCAAGACTTGCGGTAAGCCTTCTCAGCGCGAGTGGCCATAAACACCAGATCCTTCTTGCACTCTTCTGTCAGCTTGCCATAGCGGAGCTTCATCCGAAGGTGATCGACGACACCCTGGTATGTAGTGCTCATCTATACAAGATCAGTATCTTCGTCAATTGGATCAATGCACCATAAACATACAGGTCCCTTGCAGGAGGCCTCGGGATTCAATTCTTCCGGCTTGTGGTCTGCCTCAGGGCTCTCGGGCTTTGCAGGGGGCGCAGGAGGAGCGCATTGCTCGGGATTGTCGTTCTTGTCACACATGATGATGAAGCGGATGGTTATTTTGAGATTGGATTTGCTGTTGCAAATATTTGTGGGTAGATGGAGAGGTTACGTTGCGCAAGAGTGGGCGGATCTATCTTATACTGTATTAACGCTTAGTCGTCGTAGTGACCTGGTGAGTCGTTCCCACGCCTTCTATACTTCTGGGGGCTCCAAGTCGACACAGGATTGTTCAGAATCCAGCGTAATTGCCTAGTAATTTGGTTTCCATTGTTGCGGGAGGTTCTGTATGTGTGTGAGACTATTAATTACAGCTGATATAGTGCTATGCTGCTCAAATAGTGCAGGAATGTTGGTAATTTGGTGACGAGACAACAGGTAGTGCTTTCACGCACTTCTTCGAGGTAATAACGTACTCTGTGGAACTGGACGATACATTAAATCTGGACTCATTTGAAAACAGACCTATTAAGATGCCCTATACCAATTATCTATTTAATCTGTTCATTGTTCAACAAATGGCGTCGAGTCCAAAAACCGTACTCATAACTCCGAAAATCAATGGTCAGAATAGCTCCCCTGCAACACCCAGCAAAATACCTAAGATTGACCGCAATTTGATTGTATTCTATGAGGCCAACTGCTCTTTATACAAATAAATGAGACCTTTTATCTTGATAACAGATGCAGAAAGGCACAAATGCATGGTGTAAAACGATGCGATGTATAGAATGGGTCCTCTTTGTTTTAGGCAGGGCTGTAGGGCTTCTCTCCCAGGTTCAGACTTCAAGTTTCAGACACAAACATCAACTCAATTCAATCCAAACTCTTTGACATCTTCTTCAACTCCTTTGACATCCATCCTTTATCAAATTCCTTCAAGGCTCAACCGCCAAAATGCATCTCGACCACAAACTACCGTGGAAAGACCTTTCGTCTCATTATGATCTTGTGAAACTGTTCACGCACTCCAATCCCCGTGCAGGCGACCTCATCGCTCGCAATCAACCTGCTCAATCCATTGCCTTGGGAGTTTTCACACGAATTCTCGCCAGCACAATCCGAGAATCCTCCGTCACCGAGAGAGCGAAGTATCCTACCGATTTCCAGGAGACCCAGTCAGCCGAGCAAGATGAACTGTTCTCGGATGATGTGCTTGATTTTCCAGAGGAGATTTTCAAACTTAGGGAGCACAAAATGGGTTCTGTTTACAACAATCCTCTTTCGGAAGATAACCAGCGCATGGGGTACTGGATTCGTCGAGCGGAGGCAAATGGCGAACCATCCGAGCAAGTCCTTCCGGCAGACGGTGAAGATCTGGCAGATGCAGTCAAAATGCTACTTACTGTAGCCTCATGGGCAAGTGGAGACGACGGGGACCATGCCAAGAATCTTGAACAACAGTCGATGACAGCTCTTCTTCGTCTGTCTGGACATCCCGACATTCCTCTCTCAAGCTTGGACTCGCTGTCATACAAGGGTGTTACCAAGGTGGCCGAGCTTGCTCTCCAAATCTATCTCATGATCAATGTTGTTGATACTATCATGACCCCACCTACGACTACAGATGGCACAGTGCTGTGGACCGAGAAGGATGTGACACTGTTCGACATTGATTCGTTTGGATCCTTTGCGCGCGGGGTGCTGAGCGATCACGAGTTCCAAGCTCAGAAAATTCCGCACAGAGTGTTTTGGCAATCGCTGGGTGTGAATGACCTTTGGGTCGATCGTCTTTACTTCCCGAGTGAACCGCATTATGGATCGGGGGGCAATTCTCAAGGTGCCATTCACGAAGGTACTACCGATCCCTTGTCACGTGGAGATGGCGCTTCAGATCTGGCAAGAGAGGCGGTGGAGGATTACATGGACATGTGCTTTGAGCTGATGTTTCGATACGATATGCTGCTGAGAGAGTGGTATGGAGGTGAAAGTGCGGATGAATGGTGGGAGGAGAAGATTCTTCGAGCTCTGAAGAACATGGGACGCATCTGGAATTGATCGATGCATTTGTTGGTACCCAGATGTGCGTTTGATGGTGGCCAACAGTGAGGAGCCATGCTGGTACCAAGATATGTGTTGGACGATGGCCAAGGGTGACAACCTTGGAAGTGATGCGGTGTTTCTAAGTGAGCAACAACTAAGGGCATTCGTCCCATTTGAGACGTCAGATTAAGCTCTGGGAAGTGCCAATGATCCTTTCGTCCGATCCCTGTTCTTTTTCTCGTATTCGTATTCGTGTTCGTATTCGGTCTCTCGTTTGTGCGCTGTTTCGTCTGATGTCTGATGTCTGATGTGGAAACAATGTAAAGACAAAGAGATCAACTCAGTTCAAAATTTCTAACGAGCCCGCGTAGAACATCATGACTAAATACACCATTTCATCAACTAACCAACCAATAACTCATATCAAATTCATTCTAAGGCCATGTACACTTGCAGTCCAAGCCGCGAGACACTTCACAAGTACAAGTCGCCACCCACACCTGCGAGTCAACTCAGAGCAGAGAGGTAGGTTCAAGCCCAGAGGCTCTATTCAACCCAAGACAGAGTTAATCTACTGAGGGGGAAGGGGGAATCCAGTGGGGACACCGCTGGGAGGGGGTCCGGTAGGAGTGGGGAGATCAGTGGGGAGGTTGTGAGGGAAGCCCTCGGGGGTGATTGCGGGGAGCTGGCGCTCACGCTTCTCGAAGGGGAGACCGGTGGGGAGGCCGGTAGGGATCGGGAAGGGCAGGTCGGTGGGCAAACCGGTGGGCAATGAGAATGGCAGGTCTGTAGGGAAGCCAAGATCCTCGTCGCGCTTCACGGGAAGACCGGTGGGTAGGTGGAATGGAAGATCAGTCGGGAGACCGGTTGGGAAAGAGAAGGGAAGATCGCCGATCTGGCGCTTCTCAAAGCCACTGGGGGCGGCGGGGAAGCCTGAGGGAGGAGGGCCGGTTGGAGTAGGCTTGCCTTGTCCACCGTGCTCCCCGAAATGGGGGAGAGGAAGGCCCGTGGGAATGGGGAACGGCAAGTCAGTGGGCAAGCCGGTAGGCAACGAGAAGGGGAGGTCGCTGGGAAGACTGAGGTCCTCCTCGCGCTTTCCGAATGGCAGACCGGTAGGCAGACCAGTGGGAATTGGGAAAGGCAAGTCACTTGGCAAGCCAGTGGGAAGGGAGAATGGTAGGTCGGTAGGGAGACTAAGGTCCTCCTCACGCTTTCCAAATGGCAGACCGGTAGGCAAGCCGGTGGGCAGGTGGAAAGGCAAATCAGTCGGCAAGCCGGTAGGAATCGAGAAGGGTAGGTCTCCTAGCTGACGCTTCTCGTGCTCGGCGTCCGCGAACTCCGAAGGCTTAGGAAGGTTAGGAGGAGCTCCGTGAGGCCCATTGAGGACAGGAAGTCCCGAGGGAGGAGGGCCAGGAGGACCGCTGGGGGTGGCGGTTGGCTCCGCGCGCTTCTCATTTCCACTAGGGGGAGTGATGGTGAAGGGCAGACTGTCGATGCCGCTGAAGACTGGGATAGGGAGGTCGAAGTCGCGCTGCTCGACGGCGCCGGTGGGCTTGGGCGCGTCGGTGGGAGGAGGTCCAGTTGGTGTTGGTGCGCCACTGGGGGGAGGGCCGGGAGGACCCTGAGGAAGGCCCTGGGGAAGGGCGAGGGCACAGCCCATCAAGCCCATAGCGGCGAAGCCAGTGTAGGCGTATCTCATTGTGGCTGGAAAGGGTTGGTTCGAATATGAGAGGTTTGATATAAAGTGATGTTGCTGTATGGGTTTATATACCAAACAGGTCTAACAATCCAGCGGACTCTCCTGGGATCAATGGCGTCTTTATAGCGTGGTGTAAATCATCCAAAGCTTGGATTGCGACCGATGCCGTGATCGACCCATGACTTCAACATCGTGTAGCGTATTGCGGTTCAGAAGGATCAATATCTCGACGGGGCCACGCTTGAAACGGCTGCGGGTCGTCGATCTTAACCAGGTGGATCTTAGGGCCAGGAACGGCGTCAGTTGCTGATCCAGGCACGAGGCGTCGGCAATTGGTGTGGGCTGAGGTATTTTCCCTGGAGCGTGCGAGCCAACACCAACGGTCAGGGAAGAAAAAGTGGTTCTTGGTTCATCGGGGCAAGTATCGACAGTTCGCTTGGGCTGTCGAACGGCCAAAAACAGTTACCCAAACGATAGCGCGCCGATCATCACGTTGGACGGTGAGATTATGGCGGCTGGTCTGGCCGCATCACCTCGGAATGGCGAACGGTACCTGCCCGATCGGGCTTATGCTCCTGGAACGGCGCTGGGGCCGAAATTGAGGTTGTTTTCTTTTTCTTGAAATGTTCATGGCGTGGGTGGCCTCAAAAAAGGGGCCAGAACACATCATCTTGACGTTCCTTTCCTTGGTCTTCATACAATCTTCGTCACAGGGGCTTTTTTCGGGTTTCAGTGTGTTTGCCACAAAGCCAACGGGGTTGATACTCGATCTGTGTCAGGGAAGATGGTACTCCCAGTCCTTCAACTTGGGGAAATGTGGATTCTCCGAGGTGGATTCGGGGCCATTGGGGGAAAAGAGTGACAGAACCGTCGGTTGAGGAAGTGAAGTCCAATAAGGCCCGGCTGATCGGCGGCTGTTCCTCAATTTGGTTCTAGCGCCCAAGAATGGTCCTGCAGATTCGTGCTTTTGGCACTCTGCAGACCTTCGAGAATGCTTCTTTCTTTCTTTGTTAAAACTCAATCACACCATCTGGAACTGTATAGCACTGTGCCTTGTACACAGCATGAACTATTCTGGGCCTTGTTTTCCTCGTGCGGGTTTGAAACGTCGCCATGTCAACTTCTGTGAGATTACTGAAGTTGATCTCATGTCTAATGGACTCCAAGGTTGTCTCCAGCCGGACATTATGACATCAGATTCGCTATCATCTATTCGGCGTGAGCGCCCGGGCAAGCCTTGAAATGAATAAGCGGAATTCCGAGCTCTGGGCCCGCCGGTTAAGCTTCGGCGGGAAACTAAACGTATTCCTGCGCCCTAAAATTGTGACTTATGATCAGTCCACGTTTCAAATGCAACACATGCAATTTCTAAACAGCACAATGTGCTCATGTCTGGTGTATATCGCCTGACGTTAATTGCTAATTGCATAACGCAATCAGGAAACCGAAAATGCCCATATCTAATACCTGTCCTATCCAAACGCCAAATTGAATTCACACCATATGGGTGAGAAACAAATGTACAAATGTTCAAGGCCAACAGTACTGTACAACAGCACGTGGGGGCCAGGTGAGATTGATGCAACTAGCGTAGAGATCTGCTCCGCGCCCAGGCCTTCTTATTGCCGTTTGCGCAAAGAGTCAGGCGAGTTCGGCACCGTCGGTGTCATGCTAAGCAAATGGCGGGAGGACGGGACTACCATATCACGCGCCGGATAAGGCTTAGTAGGGCGAGAAGAGTTGTAGGTCAGCCCAGAGGAGAATGAGGATCGACGGGACCGGGCGGGGCTACGGGGTCCGTGGTGTGAAAGGATCGAGTCTGACGGTGTTCGGTTGCCGACGCGGCGCGGGAGGGTGTATCTGAAGTCTTCATCGCTACTGGAGTCGATGTCGAAGATGGAGTTGTTGAACGTCACTGAAGACGTGCGTCGGTGGGGTCTCGGTCGAGCCAGCTCGAGGGAGTTTTCCAGGGAGACGGTGCTGCGCGCTTTTCGAAGCTCGTTGGACTGATCATGGCTGCGTCGCTTTTCCAATTCGTGGCTGTGGGATCCCCGGCGGCGGCGGTAACGGCCTCGCCCGCTGTCAGCTGAATCGATGGAGTGGCGGGTTTGGCTCGGCAGGCGGAGGTCAACTTGGCTTGGGCTGAAGGCCACCCGGGCCCGCATTTGTTGGACGGCGTTATCGAGGGCCAGCTCGATGGCGCAGTGATTGCGCATGCGGCTGAGTCGGGGCCAGGTTGCTCGCTCGCCACTCAAGCATGCTGACAGCATGAACTCTGTTGTTGGATTTTCCAATAGTCGTGGGAAATTGGAGGAATTCAGTTCAGGGTATATGTTGATGTCGCCGTGATACTTTTGATTCACGATCGAGGCGAACTTGGTCATCGAGGTTGGGAATACACCAAGCTCGGAAAGCACGTTCATTCGGTGCAAGACTTCGTCCTTAGCCAGGTGCGTCATGGTACTCATCCAACGAGGAACGAAGGATGAACCATCATCTACCTCGCTTTGTGGGCCCGTTTCCTTCGGCAGGAATGGTACCACGTGAGGATTGACCTGAGAGACGATGAAGTGGTTGACATTGAACATCTCTGACAACCGAGTCATTGGCAGATCTCCATCCACCGAGCCGTCGATGTACTGTTTGTGGAGATCGTTCCACGGGACAGCTTCTCCTGTCAACGGATCCTTTGCCATTAAAGTATATGGTCTGAACACGAAGGGCACAGAACATGAGACCGCCCTGGGTGATGTTAGAAACGATTCAGATGGATAGGTCCCTAGGGAATACTTACACAGCAGACCAAATCAGTACGTTCGGCGCAGATATGTAATTCAGCAATCGCGGGAGCTCATACATACCAGCACTGGAGACACAGATATTGAGAATTCTGCGAGTGCGGTTATAAGCTTCCTGGAAGGTCATATCCCCTAGCCAATTTCTTATGGTATTCGCCAAGTGCGAGATGTCCAGGAAAGACCCGAACTTCAAGAAACGCGTCATCTTCTGGAAAATGTTCTCCTCCTGGCCTTTCTCGTTGAACACAGCAAAGTCGCCGTGGACATAAGTATCCAAGAGCGCAGGCAGCTCCTCATCCGTGCGTGTGCAAAACACAGCACAAACGATACTCCCAGCGGAGGCCCCGGAAATGATTCTAGGGATCATCCGCGCCTCATATAGAGCTTTCAGAACGCCAATATGGGTCATTCCAAACGTCGCACCGCCGGAGAACAGCAACGCGGTCCTTCCAAAAGCCTGTCTCGCCGCCAGCAGCTGATCAAGAATATACTTCAATTCCAACCCATCGCAGCGATCATGAACACTCAGATCAACCAGCGTCGCAATCGTCTCCAGCGCCGCAGTGATGTACCGATCAATCAGGTCTTTTGTCCCAATATGCGAATGACGATACAACGACGCATTGCTCATCTGCGCCAGGTCCCGACTCAGCGCCGTCCTGACAAGAAACAACATCCGACTCGCGTCGCAACTTATGCGCGCCTCATCCAGTTGTCTCAAACGATCCTGCACCAGCGCCGGATCGTACTCGGTGCACTCGAACGTTCGTTTCCAGGCATTGTGATTCTCGAGTTCATCCAGTTCGCTGGCACAGCTGCGCCATTCTTCGTACGACACGGCCTGTAGTCCGATTTAGAAAACGGTTCGCTCCGGGTAGGTGGGGCCACTTACGTTCTTGATGCGCAGGTACAGGATTTGTTTGCGGTCTTCGACTTCGGCTTTTGCATGCCGTTGCTCTTTTGTTAGGCCATCGCGGTAGGTGTGGAGAGTGTCACCGGCCCAGGTCCAGGAGTCTTTGACGAGGGTGGAGACTGTTGGGATGGAGATTGCTTTGCGAAGTTGGGGTTTGCGGCAGGCTATGGAGTCGCCCAACACCGGCATAGCAGGCTTGTGCATCGATGCGAGCCATTCAGCCGTGTTTAACGGGGTCAGATTAAAATGATGTCAAAATTGTTTCGAGGATACAAATGAGTTGGCGCAGGAAATCCAAAGGAAAGGCGGTAAAGACGTCACGAGGGCTGAAATCTGCCCGATCCCATTCCAAGGTTCTTCCTTGTTTGGGCCGCCCTGGGTTTGCTTCTTTTATTTCTATCTTATTACTTTTTGACTGCACTTGTCCTTGACTATTTACTTCTTCATTGCTCTTTATCGACATTATGGCGCAAGTGTCAGCCTGCATATACCAAGTTCCCCATGATCTTACCCCCACGATCATCTGAACACCCCCAGACGATCTTAGTGGGGAACATTTGCCTCCCCGGCTGATGACTGCCTGATTACGCTGTGTGGTTGCATTTTGTTCTTCACTTCACTAGGGATAGCCAGTAAATTAATTACAATGTCTTCCAATCATTGCACGTTGCACATTGCATTCCCAATGTTACTATGAGCATGGAAATAAATATAGTCCCCAACATCCGAGCCCCTGTCCCCTGGTTCTTCACATGCGTGTAGCATGTGAGATCCCCGGGATTCAAATATGTAATGTCTCAATCAGATGGGGAAACCTGATTGGAGCGAAAAGACTCGGAGAGCCACGCCCTCAGCAAAACCCGCGCCCTCTCATTCCTACGCCAGAAGTGGTCCGCGCCATCAACCATCCGGAACTGGAACTGACTGCCTGGCATGTGCAACAGCTCGTCTGACCACCGCTCCAGTTTCGCAGCGGAGACAAAGCTATCCAGATTCCCGGCCAGCGCCAAAGTACAATGCGTACTCAGCTGGTCTGCTGGATCGGGACAGGGGATGGTTCGGGATGCCACTTTCAATGATAAGGTCGTGAAGATCGTGAGGAGTTGACTTATCGGTGGCAGGAGCGGGGATACCAAGAGATAGGATATCGAAGTTGTCAATGCGCGTAGGTCTGGGTCGGTCGGGCCGGTGGATTGTTCAACTGACGATGACGCTATGCGTGTTGCGATATTCCTTATCTCGGATATTGAAGCCTCCGGTGATTCAAACAGCGAGAGGATCACATCCAGGACTGGGACGTGCGAGGTGATCAGGGATCCGTATGAATAACCGCCCAGGATCAAATGGACATCCGGTTTTGGGGCTGTAGGTCCTGAATTGGGATATTCTAAGCCGCCATCTTGGTCGGTGCTTTCGCGAGGTTGTGCGGCTGAATGATCATTCGGAGCTAGTGCACGCTTGAGGCAGTGTAAGTACTGCAGCATAAATCCGTAGAACGATACATAGTCCCCTAGTTCGGGCTTGGAAGTCCAACTCGTTCGTCCTTCTGAGTCACCAGCTCCGCTGAAGCCTAATGTTAGCCTAGTGTTGCAATATTTCTGGGAGATCATACCGGAAGTTGAAAGTCCCCACGACAAAATTTGCATGATAGAGCTCGCTACTGACAAAGTCCACCACGGGGTCATCGTAGCAGCCTCCTAATGGTGCATACGGATGGGCGAAAATAGCTCCATGGATTTGTGAGGTTGGCGTTGATTGTATATTTTGGTAGACGGGTGGCAGAAATATCCGGCACTCTAGCTTGCGACCATCATAAACCGAAGGGATGACGAACGAGAAGCTTGGTGGGGGAAGATCCATAGCTGGATCTAGTTTGACCATCAATATTTGAGGACTTGACACTGTATACAGTCTCAATAGATGGGTGGAAGGATGCCCAAGTGGAAGATGTGCTATGTCAGAGGTTTGGACCCGCCCCAGCCAAACTTGGAAGCATTTCCAACGACTGACCAAAACAATCTTATTGAGCTTGGAATTACCAAAAATGTCTGGTGATTATTTTACAAGCGCTGGAATTTAATTTATCTGCTCAGGTCGATTTTATTACATTGGTGATTGAGAGTAAAATCTATGTTCTTGATTGGAGTTGAAATATTTTATCAACATGCATCATGATAGCCACGAGGGATCTGGCTCGTCATCTTCCGATCTAGACGCAGCATCAGAGTGATGGTTTGTATCTTGTAAAAGGTCTGCTGGAGGTTCTGGGTCATCATTTTCTAGTGGATCGGTATGGTCGTGGTCCTGCTTCGGACTTTGATCATCGATACCAGGAGAGTTCAGAGGTGGATCTTGTTCCTGCGCAGGCAAGCCAAAAGCGGGTAGAAGCAAACCCCTTGCTTCTCGCAGAGCTTCTAGCTCGGCCGAAATGCAACAGACCAGAAGCTTCCAGTCTTTGCTTTCTGCAAGCTCCAAATGAGATTCAACCCGGTGAGTTGTCTTATCCAAATCTTCCATGATGCTCTTAACGAGTCCATCGGTGTGATCCGCGGGCGCAGCTTCTGCCCCGGTCGTTGTCAGCTCCACGTAGTGTCGCATGTTGGCTCGTAAGCGTTTCTCGAAGCCGGTGACATCATGTACTGCTTGTTTCCATACGCCCCCGCCTTCCTCGAGCGCTTGAATCTCCGTATCCACTTCTTGTTGCCTGTCCTGCAAACTCACTTGTTCGGCTTTCCAATGCTCCTGTGCCATGTTAAGTGTGCGCCGTTTGGGGTTCAGCGAGTGGAATGTGGATTCACCGGGGCGACGCGATAGGGCTTGGATTGGCGGGTCACGGAGGTAATTTTGAATGTTGGTGTCGAGCAGGGACAGTGATTCAGTGTAGGAGGATAGCTTGGCATCGACTGAGTTTTTGATGTGTGAGATTTCGTTGACAAGGTGTCGGTGTTTAGCTTTCATTTCGTAAAGCCTGGTCTCCAAATCATGAATGTCAGTCTGGAGGTGCTGGGCCTCTTCCTCTAGTTGCTTCGAGCGTCGACTCTCGTCATCGCCGTGGATAGTAGTTATTGCTTCTTCGAGACCATTTCTCTTGGAAAGAAAATGCTCAATATCCTGCAGCCCATTCAGTCTTTCGTCGGTTTGCGACGCGATAATCTCTCGCTCCTCCTCTCGCAACTTCAGCAGGTTATAGATGGATTGGAAGATACCATCGCGGGCAGAGCGAAGACTAATCTTCTTGAATACAGGTTGCCTCGTAGGCACCGTCGAAGGAGAGCGTGCTTGAGCACCATTCGGTACAGGGGAGGGAGTGGACGCTTCGCTAGAAACTTGATCTGATTGAGACCCAGCCAGACCGGCGAGCAGACCGTCGCTTTGAGCGTCGATTAGGACTTGGAGATTTCGCCGAATATATTTCGTTTGACGCTCAACATGTAGCAGCGAATCATGATGATGATTAGAAGCCCCGACCGGCATGGGTGGGAGTGCTGGGGCACCCAAAGATCGAAGGAGTGTGGACATGGCGGACAAACGGGCGTGGATGGACTGGAAATCAGCTGCGGTTACAGATTGAGGAAGAAGAGTCTCAAAAGTCAAGAGTATTGATCCTGTACAAGATCTGAGCAGCCCTCCAATGCATCACCAGACCAATAAGAAATAACACTGCTTCAGATGATGAGCTGTCGGCGAAGCTGCAGCTGATATGTCATCCACGTGACCTGTACAGTCAGCACCCAGCTCGGCGTTGACGTTGGTCTCGCGCCTGCAAAGCTTCTGACAACTGCTTTCAGCTTCCATTTGTACGTGCACTTCATCCATTTCAACGCTTTCATTTAATCAAATTCTGTATTTCTTGTCACATTCACCTTTACTGGGGTACCGAATTTCCCCTTGACACCGTGTTCTGGGCCGGCGCTGACTCGTTGTTTCTAAGCTCCCCCGATTGACGTTGCTTCATCACAACAGCAACAACAACTTCCATTTCTCGAAATCCACACTTTGAACGGTCTCACGAGCCGTCTCTCTCATAAATATGGTCGGACTTGTATCGGCCGCCGGTCTTGTCGGCTTCCTCTCCGAGCCTGACCCAGAGCTTAAGGTCTTTGCTTTAAAGACATTAGATTCCCAGATTGATCATCTGTGGACGGAAGTCGTCAACTCCGTCCCCGAAATGTGAGTCGTTCCATTCAATAGCCTGAGTGCTATTTGCCCCATCGCCATTGTTGCGCTGTTGCCGAGCCCGACCGGCTCCTGGACCCCTGCTAACTCTCCATCCAGTGAGGCTCTTTACGAAGATGAATCATTCACGGAGCGTGGGCTAGCAGCGCTAGTGGCATCTAAGGTATACTATCATCTGCAGGAATACAACGAAAGCATGGTCCTTGCTCTGGGCGCAGGCAAGCTGTTCAAGCTGGAGAACGGTGGCGAATACGAGGAGACAATCATCGGTATGTTGAGAACTGTGCGCGTAATTGGATACTGGTTCAAAGCTGACCCTTGACCAAGCGAAATGCGTTGATACCTTCATCTCTCTTTCTGCTGCCCAAAGACCCACCGCCGGTGACCAATCCGCCAACCTGAACACCGCATTCCCGTCATCGGGCGACGGTGCCACAAGCACATCCGCAAGCCTCACTTCCCCTATCACACCCTTTTCTAAGTCCGCATTGCCCTCCAAATCATTGCTTTCCCGCGCAGAGGTTCCTGGAATCGATGCCGCACACCCGGGTGGCGATGACACCAGCGTGGTGCACGAGGAGAACTCTCTTGTGCTCAAGCGCGGTGTCCAGGGCCAACTGCAGTCGGTAATCGAGCGACTGTTCGAAGAATGTTTCCGACAGAAGCGATACCGCCAGGTTATTGGAATCGCCATTGAGGCCAAGAGCTTGGATGTGCTTCGTATGGCTATCCTTCGTGCTAGCAACGACGAGAAGGAGCAGGAGGGTGACTCTCGCCGCAGTGAGGAGCTTATGGAGTATGTCCTTGACATCTGCATGGGTGTCGTTCAAGAACGGGCTTTCCGCAGCGAGGTATGTTTCTCAATGAGTTTTGGACATTTATCCCAGTCAACTGACAATGCTTCATTTATAGATTCTCAAGCTCATCCTGGAGCTCCTTAACGAGATTCCCGCACCAGACTTCTTCTCTATTGCCAAATGTGTCGTCTACCTTAATGAGCACTCCATGGCCTCTAATATTCTTCGCCAATTGGTTGAGAAGGGTGATGATCGCTCCCTCGCCGTTGCATACCAGATTTCCTTCGACCTGTACGACAACAGTACACAGGAATTCTTACAGAAGGTTCGCCAGGAAATTGCCGAGCTTATCCCCGAGCACAAGTACGATATGAGGGACGACTACGACTCAGACGAGCCCGCGCTCACACATTCCGATGGAGTTACCACACACCGGTACAAAACAGTTCGGTCTTCTGACGACAAGTTCGAGATCATGATAGGCCCCATCGCCAGTTTCAGGAACATAGTGTCAATCCTCGATGGTATCAAGACGATTCAGTTGAACCTGGAATTCTTATACCGCAACAACAAGGCCGACATTGCGATCCTTAACAAGATCCGAGACAGCCTTGAGGCTCGCAATTCAATCTTCCACACTGCCGTTACTCTTTCCAACGCTTTTATGCACGCAGGAACCACCCACGACAAGTTCTTCCGTGATAACCTGGAATGGCTCGGCAAGGCCGTCAACTGGTCCAAGTTTACTGCGACTGCTGCATTGGGATGTATCCATCGTGGCAACCTGAGCCAGGGCGAGAAGCTCCTTCAACCCTACCTGCCTCGTGAGAACATTGCTGGAGTTGGAGGAGGTTCTGGCTCTGTTTACAGCCAGGGTGGTTCTCTTTATGCGTTTGGCCTCATCTATGCCAACCACGGAGGCATGGCTGTTGAGGTCATTCGCGACCACTTCAAGAAGGCCACTGATGAGGTTGTCCAGCACGGAGGTGCTCTCGGTCTCGGTGTTGCAGGTATGGCGACGGGCAATGAGGGCATGTACGAAGATCTCCGCAACGTCCTATACACCGACTCCGCGCTCAACGGCGAGGCTGTCGGTCTTGCAATGGGTCTGATCATGCTTGGTACGGGTAACATGAAGGCTTTGGAGGACATGATTCAGTACGCACACGACACACAGCACGAGAAGATTGTGCGAGGTCTCGCCATGGGTATGGCTCTGATCATGTACGGTCGCCAGGAAGCTGCAGACGAGTTGATTAACGGTCTTCTCGGCGACCCTGACCCTACACTTCGCTACGGTGGTATCATGACTATCGCCCTGGCTTACTGTGGCAGCGGAAGCAACAAGGCTGTTCGCAAGCTGCTGCACGTTGCTGTCAGTGATGTCAATGACGATGTTCGCCGTGTTGCTGTTCTCAGCTTGGGTTTCATCCTGTTCCGCAAGCACCAGAGCGTTCCTCGCATGGTCGAGCTACTTTCTGAGTCGTACAACCCCCACGTCCGATACGGTGCTGCCATGGCCCTTGGTATCTCTTGTGCCGGAACCGGTCTGGATGAAGCTATTGACCTTCTCGAGCCCATGCTCAAGGATTCTACCGACTTTGTCCGCCAGGGTGCTCTGATCTCCCTTGCCATGGTTCTCGTTCAGCAGAATGAGGCCATGAACCCCCGCGTCACCAGTCTTCGCAAGGCCATGATGAAGATGCTCGGTGACCGCCATGAGGATGCCATGGCCAAGTTCGGCTGTGCCATCGCCCTCGGTATCATCGACGCTGGTGGCCGCAACTGCACTATTAGCTTGCAGACCCAAACAGGCAACCTCAACATGCCTGGTATCGTCGGCGCCGCAGTCTTTGTGCAGTACTGGTACTGGTTCCCTCTTACACACTTCTTGTCCCTCAGTTTCACCCCGACGTCCGTCATTGGTGTCGACCAGAAGCTTCAGGTCCCTCACTTCAAGTTCCACAGCAACACCCGCCCCAGCCTCTTCGACTATCCCCCTGAACAACAAGTTAAGACCGAGGAAGCTCCGGAGAAGGTTAAGACAGCTGTGCTTTCCACCACCGCTCAGGCCAAGCGCCGTGCGCAGCGACGCGAGAAGCAAGCTCGCCGCGAGAGCATGGATCTTGACCAAGCTCCTACAACGCCCAAGGCAACTGAGCCTGACGCTATGGAGACAGACGATGCTCCCAAGGAGGATGGTGAAGAAGCCAAGGACGCCGAGAAGCTTGCCACCGAGGGCCAGAAGAAGAAGGTGGAGCGCGAGAAGGTCGGATATGAGCTTGACAACCTGTCAAGGGTGTTGCCTGCTCAACTGAAGTATCTCACATTCCCCGACCCACGTTATGAGCCGGTCAAGCGAGTAAGTCATCCAATCCTTCGTCCTACGTTGACCCATATGCTAACTCAAGTCCAGCCCACCGGTGGTGTTGTTGTCGTTCTTGACAAACAGCCCGAGGAATATCGCGATCTTGTCGAGATGAGGGCCAGCAAAGAAACCCGCCAACCGCCTCCTTCTGCGGAGACCCTCCAGGACCGCCTGCAAGCCGCTATTGGCAATTATACCAATGCGGTACGAGGAGCTCCACAAACACCCACGCGGGATTCAGCGATCGAGGGCGACCTGGCGCAAGGTCGCAGTGACAGCGAAGTTGCGATGTTGGCCGCGGACGATGACGGAGAGGATGTTGAGGACGCTCCTCTTCCAGATGACTTCACATATGAGTCGGATGAGGAGTAGCGAGGCATAGAAACTTGATGCTGGATGTATTACTAGACTAATCAGGCTTTCTACGTCGACCTGATCTATTGAGGGCTGCTAGGGCTTTCCTTTATTGTTCATTGATATGAGAGTTTCTTTCTTTTACATTAAAACCGGTCTCTTGTAAGCCCAGTGCGTGGTCACAGGGAAAATATCTGTCGCTTGGGCCCCGGAGTACTTGCACATGTTTCTTGCATGGTCCCTTTTCCCGTACACCGCGAGGGTCGTAGGCAAAATCCCCAGAGTGTTCTTACGGCCTCAGCAGGGCACCTCTCAAATGAGGATCACATGCCCCCCACAATCTGAGTCAGCAAGATCTGGATACCTCGGCATTCCGACGATGACGCAGTTTGGGCCAATAAAATGTCCAGCAACGGCGATGACCGAAAGGACCGAAAGGAAATCTGCGCGGACACCCGATGGTCGATCTCTGCACACTTACGTGGGAGCATGTGAACACTTTTTGATCCTACTCCGAGGCCCCCTGAGCAGCTTCATGTCCAAGAATGGAATATCGCCCGAAAGACATCCGCCTATAATTCCCCTTCAGCTTCCCCGGACTTCATTTTTTTCTTTTCTTTTCCTCCCCACTTGATACCCCGAGCCTCCCCCATAAACTCTTTTTTTCGTTCTCTTTCAGTAGATCCCACACCATGGCCAAGACCTTCACGAAAGACGACGTTGCGTCGCATAGCAAGGGCGAAACCCCATGGATCATCATTGACGAGGACGTCTACGATGTGTCCAAGTTCCAAGACGAGCACCCTGGTAGGTCTGATGTCACGCACATGCAATTCACATGCTAACACTCTCTCAGGTGGAAAGAAGAGTAGGTTTTATCCGCGAATATCCGCCACCGATACCGTATTGACCACCGCTTAGTCCTCCAACGAGTCGCCGGGAAAGACGCCTCCAAGCAATTCTGGAAATACCACAACGAGGGCATCCTGAAGAAATATAAGAGTCAGCTGCAGATCGGTTCTTTGGATACCAAGAAGGCCGCGGCACCACCACCGGAACCCACACCGGCTCCCGCGAAGGCCGAACCCGCACCTGCAGCGGCTCCCACAGACTACACGCCACCCGCTACCGGCTCACCGCAAGATCCCTACGGAGATCTCATTCCCTTCGCCGACCCATCGTGGTACCAAGGTGTAAGTGTGATACAAATTCATGCGCGCGCAACGCTAATACAATTCAGTATGCTTCACCGTACTTTAACGATTCGCACGCCGCGCTGCGCGACGAGGTGCGCACATGGGTTGAGTCTGAGATCGAGCCCTACGTGACCGAGTGGGACGAGGCAAAGGAAGTTCCAGCTCACATCTACAAGCAGATGGGCGAGCGCGGATACCTAGCCGGTCTTCTGGGTGTGCACTACCCAGTGAACCACACCTCCAACCGAGTCAAGTCAGTACCGCCCGAGCGATGGGACCTGTTCCACGAGATGCTGTTGACAGACGAGCTCTCGCGCCCCGGCAGCGGTGGACTGGTCTGGAACCTGGTTGGCGGGTACGGTATTGGGTGCCCGCCACTTGTGAAGTTCGGCAAGAAGGCTCTTGTCGATAGAATCCTACCCGGAATTCTGAACGGCGACAAGCGCATTTGTCTCGCCATCACGGAACCGGATGCGGGTAGTGATGTTGCGAACCTGGGCTGCGAGGCTAAGCTGACCGAGGACGGAAAACACTACATCGTCAACGGCGAGAAGAAGTGGATTACGAATGGTGTTTACGCGGATTACTTCACGACTGCTGTGCGGACTGGCAAAGATGGCATGAATGGACTCAGTGTGCTGCTCATCGAACGCGAAGCCGGTGGCGTGAGCACCCGTAAAATGGATTGCCAAGGTGTCTGGTCCTCTGGCACAACATATGTCACATTCGAGGACGTCAAGGTCCCCGTTGAGAACATCATCGGTAAAGAAAACCAGGGATTCAAGGTTATTATGACGAACTTTAACCACGAGCGCATCGGCATTGTCATTCAATGTGCGCGCTTCTCTCGCGTCTGCTACGAAGAATCCGTGAAGTACGCGCACAAGCGCAAAACTTTCGGCAAGCGCCTCATCGATCACCCAGTTATCAGAATGAAACTGGCGCATATGGCGAGACAGATCGAAGCCACGTACAACTGGCTCGAAAACATGATTTTCCAGTGTCAGTGCATGGAAGAGACTGAGGCAATGCTCAAGCTTGGCGGTGCGATCGCCGGTCTGAAGGCTCAATCTACCCAGTGCTTTGAATTCTGTGCTCGCGAGGCTAGTCAAATTTTTGGTGGATTGAGTTACAGTCGCGGCGGCCAGGGCGCTAAGATCGAGAGACTTTACCGTGATGTGCGCGCCTATGCCATTCCTGGTGGAAGTGAGGAAATCATGCTGGATCTGAGTATGCGACAGAGTCTTCGTGTGCATGGAATGTTTGGTATGAAGCTTTAGATTATTGGCGAAGATATCCATGGAAAGATTTCTCGGCATATTCTGTCGGTGGCGGCGCTTTGGGTTTTCTGTATCATATATTGACTTCTTTGTATATCCCATTTGCATCCGAATGGATCATATTCTTTCTCGAATGGACTCGGTACTTTGATTTGGTACTACTCACTTGGCTCATCCATGGATGTTTCTCATTTCTTTGTGCGACTCGAATGGTCAATTTCAGGTTGTTCTTTCGGGGTCGCTGTGTTTATTTTCTTTGTTGCAAAGGATCCAAACCTAGCAATGAGCCAACTTCTTTGTTCAAAGACTCATGTCTCTGGTATATGAATCTATTTCTAGCTGCGCTCGCCAAATACTTGAAGTTGAAATATAATTGACAAGCCACTTGCCTATCTGGGCACTGCAACTGAGCTTTCGATCAACTGTGCAATCCTTTCGATCCTTGTCCTGGATCATTCAGCAATCTCACAATGTTGTCGTTCTGGCAATTTGAAGAGAGCGACTTCACTGGCGCTGGAAGCAACGTGGACGCCACAATACAAGCGATCTCCAGTGATGACCACCTAGCCGCTGCCATTGTTCTTGCTAATCTGGTGGCTGAACGCATGAGAGAGCCAGGAACCACCTATGGCATTGAGAGAGGACGTGAACCTCCTGATCTGGGATCGTTGAGGGGGTTTGATAATCCAACTATGGATTCTCTGCGCAAAACAGCATGGTCCTTGGACCTCACCCAAATGCCCGAGGAGCTACTGCTGCTAGTTCTTCCTCTGCTTCTTCACGTTGATACAAAAAGCCCGACTCCAGAAGATATTCATTCTCTCCATGTGTTTGTATCTGCTTCCACAACGCAAAAATCTATCGTTGAGAAGTGGTTGCAAGAAGAACCGGCTAAAAGTACACTCGAGCGGGCTTTCAAGTCGAAAACTTATTCCGACTTCAAAGAAGCATACCAGTCAAAAGCTGCGATCGCAAGATACAATGCCAGTCGAACTGGTTTGCAGTACAAGCCCCCTGAGACCTACGCCTATCAGTTCGTTGAAGCATGCAACTGCACAGGCTGCCTCCAATTAGTCGTGAAGCTTGGTTTGATTGACTTCCGTCACTACGGACAGAACGGGAAAAACATGCTTCATGCTGCCATTGAGAGCGGACACAATGAGAGCATTTTGTTCGTTCTCGATGCTTTGCTGGATTTCAAATTTGATCCTAGACACTTGCCAACATCTATCAATGGGCTGTCGATTCCTCACCATGTAGCCCTACTTCACGACGATTTTCTGTTTGCAGAGGTGGCAGCGAGGCTTTACACAGCTGGCTATCCTTTGTCGGTGTGGAACGACGATGGGCTCAAGCTCGAATCGTGCAGCTTTGTCACAGCTGATACTGCCGAGTGGCTCTTGTCAATCGGCTTCAACATTACCAAGTTGCCCAGAAATACACTTCCGCCATATCTCCCTTCTTCAGAGCAATCAGACGAAGGCATATCAAACGCCAATGATTGGGATTCCCCTTTTGGAAACGACTGGAATCAAGATGCGGAATATGGGGATCCGATTATCCGTGAGGAACCATTCGAATACGATGAGTTCGATCGCAGCACGCTTCAACTTGACGGCGTCGGCGTCACTCCCCTTGAACTCCGTCCCACTTCCCGAACAATCTGGCACCGAGCAATCGAGAACCCCCAAGGCCCTGCATTAATGGACTGGCTACTAGATCACTCCTTCATCCAACCAGGATCTAAATCCGATTTCGATCGCGACACAGGCGAAACTGCCCTGGTTCTCGCAGCGAAAGGCAACGAACCCGCAAGCATCGACTGGTTGTGCCAGAACTGCGACCCGATAGCCCCCATGTCTGAAGGCCCCGTGGACAAGGATCACAATACCCTCGCATACGCAATGAAAACAGCAGCACACAGTGTGCAACCAAGCTGTGCAGCAATTCTGTATGCGATATCAAGCTATGCGCCCCGGGAACTGTACAGCGATCTCCTGCTCGTGAAGCATTTCTATTGGTTGGTCATCAAGGCATACAAGGATACACATCTCAAATTGGAGGCAACTATGAATGCTGGCTCTAGTAGGATGAAACATTTGCATCTTTTGAGGAACATCACTCGGAGTAAGATCAAAGTCTTGAACACGAGGCTTCAGGTCAATTGGAGGAGATGGGGGAAGTCTGAGCACTTCGAATGGCTGCTTCAATACTGTACGCTACATAGGTTTAACTTCATTATCAGTGATATGAAGTCGGGGGTCTCTTTTGACTTGAAGGCTTGGCATATGGATAACATAGAGTATGTTGAGGAGGGTGGGAGAGGGGATTATAACATACCCGGGTATGATGTCTATGGCCACAGAATTATGTGAGCTTTGATGCGTCAAATCCTGACCAATGCCGGGTAACTGCTTGAAGGTGTGGTTTGGATGGAAGGTCCATGTTCATGTTCATGTTCATATTGATTGTGATGTTTTCTGCCTGTTTTGCGCGTTCTATAGACTAAGTGGGGAGTACGGTGGCTTTGAATATCAAACCCTTGTAACATAAACACGGAAAGCAAATAATTTATAGATGAAAGCGCCTAGAAAGAGCATATCCTAGGCTCAGAATCAGGGATGAGTTGAAGCGGTAGGTAATATCCAGTTAACAAACAAACACGAACGCCGACCTCGGGAGATTGATATTGTCTAAGGCAACAAGGCCACGACACTTTAGAGGACACCACAACGACCACTCGCGCAAGGATCATGCCCATGCGTAACTTGACCTTCGCGCTCTGTAACTTCTTTCCTCTCATTGTATTTATTTTCCCAAGGAAAGGAAGTCATCTGTCCGCGCGCGATCTTTGGTATTGCCATTTGGACAAATTTCGACTTGCTTTTGAGTCCCTTGTAGGCGGTCGCGGAACTCGCTGATTGCCCGCAGAGCTCGTTTGCTGTGCACCCTCTTGACCTCTCACTCTCTATCCTCTGATCTCAATCTGTCGCTTTGGCCCGTTATCGCCGACGACTTGCCTTTCAGATTCCCCCGAGTCTGCCTGCCCCTTGGCATTTCTGTCTACGTGCGCGACCCGCAAGCTCTAGCGCGGTTTCATTGATCAAGGTACGCATTGCACCCGGGAGACTTGGCTTGATCTTTTCTCATGCTGATCCTGTTTGTGACTCTCAGACCCTTGAATAATTACATTGGACCCGGTGTCCTTCGAAAAATCCCCGACCAGACTCATTTACATTAATACCTCCGACACATTCCACAATGTCGAACTTCCTTAACCAGGACTTCGGGTCCGAAGATGAGGAGGATGACTTCAACCCCACCAACCATGATGACTCCGATGCCGAGGAACCCAGCTCCAAGGTGAGATTGCTCTTCTCACTCGAGCACTGGTCCAGATGAACTTACCAAGGTGCGAAACAGCCAACCAAGAGGGAGGCATCAGCTGAGGCTCCCAACGCGAAGTATGGAGGCAACGCGGAAGAAGAAGATGACACCAAAGACGTCGATGATGATGAGGACAACGACGACGATGAGGAGGAAGAGGATGAAGAAGACGAAGAAGAAGAGGACGCAGTGGTTCGTTACCCGTACCGATGAGCCTTGTGAGGGCTATGTCGACTGACCATCTCTTTTCACTTTAACAGGGTCCTCGGAAAAAGCAGAAGCGTGCCGCCAATCCTTTCATTGAGGACGAAGCTGGTGTCGATGAAGAAGAGGACGAGGGCGACGACGAGGAAGATGAGCTCGCCGAATATGGCATGGAAACACACCCAGACGACCTCGATGCATTGCCTCAAGGTACCGAGACTGACGACCGCCGTCACCGGCAGCTCGATCGCCAGCGTGAGATCGATGCAAGCATGGACGCAGAGAAGCAGGCCCAGATGTTGAAGGAACGATATGGACGAAACCGCGCTGCCGCTTCGGACTCGCTAGTCGTCCCTAAACGACTATTGCTTCCTAGTGTTGAAGATCCCAGCATCTGGGGTGGTCGTTGCAAGCCCGGCAAGGAGAAGGACGTCGTCTACTCGATTCAGCAGCGTATCGAACAGCGACCTGCAAACTCCCGTAACCCCATGCGCATTATCTCGGCTTTCGAACGCGGAAACATCATGCAGGGATGGTTCTACTGTGAAGCCCGCCGACAGGCGGATGTCATCGAGGGCTTGGACGCCATCAACTTTTACTATCCCTCCCAGAAGCTTACTTTGGTCCCAGTGAAGGAGATGCCAGACCTCCTCCGCGTCCAGAAATCGGAGGAACTTCTACCTGGTGGTTGGATTCGTATCAAACGCGGCAAATACCAAGGTGATTTGGCTCAAATTGAGGAGGTCGAGACCAATGGCCTGAACGTCACCGTTCGTTTGGTTCCTCGATTGGACTATGGAATGAACGAAGATACTCTTGGTGCTCCGGCTGATGCCAAACGCAAGCGTGGTGCTGTCAGCACTGTTCGCCCGCCCCAGCGTTTGTTTAGTGAGACGGAAGCCAAAAAGAAGCACGCTAAATACCTTTCGTCCACTTCTGGTCTTGGTGGCAAGTCATGGAACTATCTCAACGACAACTACGTGGACGGATTCCTCATCAAGGACATGCGTGTTCAGCATCTCAGCCCTAAGAATGTCAACCCCCGATTGGAGGAAGTTACCATGTTCGCGCGTGGAGGAGAAGATGGAACCGCCAACTTGGACCTGGCTTCACTGGCGGAAACTTTGAAGAACTCCACAGCCGAGGACTCTTACCAACCGGGTGATCCTGTGGAGGTCTACCGGGGTGAACAACAGGGCCTCATTGGTCGCACAGTGTCGACTCGAGGTGACATTGTCTCATTGCAAGTCACCGAGGGTGATTTGGCCGGTCAGACTATCGATGCTCCGGTCCGAACTCTCCGCAAACGCTTCCGTGAGGGTGATCACGTCAAGGTGATTGGTGGAAGTCGGTACCAGAATGAACTTGGTATGGTCGTTCAGGTCAAGGACGACACTGTCACCTTGCTCAGCGATATGAGTATGCAAGAAATCACCATCTTCAGTAAAGATCTCCGACTCTCGGCTGAGATGGCTGCGGACGGCCAACTTGGTATTTACGACGTGCACGACCTCGTCCAGCTCGATGCCGCAACTGTTGCTTGTGTGATCAAGGTAGACCGGGAGTCACTCCGTGTCATTGACCAGAATGGTTCCATTCGCAACATTCTTCCCACACAGATTGCCAACAAGATTGTCCCCCGCCGTGATGCTGTTGCTACCGACCGTAATGGCGCAGAGATTCGCGCTGCTGATACTGTCAAGGAAGTATACGGAGAGCAGCGCAGTGGAGTCATTCGTCATATCCACCGTTCATTCCTTTTCTTGCACAACAAGGCGCAAGCAGAGAATGCAGGCATCTCTGTGGTTCGCACGACGAACGTTGTCACTGTGTCAGCACGGGGTGGTCGTACTACTGGCCCCGATCTAACAAAGATGAACCCTGCTCTGGCGATGCAAACACCTGGCGGTGGTGCTGCTATGCCGCCACCTCGCCGTGGCCGTGATCAGCTAATTGGTAAGACTGTCACTATTCGCAAAGGCCGTTTCAAGGGTCTGGTCGGTATCGTTCGCGATGCAGACGACAACTCTGCTCAGGTTGAACTTTACACATCCAACAAGCCTGTTCACATCCCGCGAGATGTCCTGACACCTAAAGAGTATGTTTTATTTTCCGTCGCTCATATCCTGTGGTTTTACTAATCTGGAATAGTCCTGTATCTAAGCAGCCCCTCTCTATGGGCCGCGGAAGAGGCGGAGGCATGGGTAGTCGTACACCCTTCGGTTCAGGTGGCCCTGCGAGGGACAGCTGGTCTGGAGGTCGAACCCCGATGGCCGGTGGCGACTCATCTAGAACGCCAGCCTGGGGTGGTGCTAGCGCAGCGAGAAGTAAGTCGAAAATACTCAAACAGTCATTGAGAATGCTAACAATTCTCCAGCACCTGCTTGGGGTGGCGTCGGCGGCTCTCGTACTCCTGCTTGGAAGAATGACGGTTCCCGCACCTCAAACCCTTACGCAGATGGCAATCGCACTGCCTATGGTGGAATCGGCAACCGCACACCTGCCTGGAACTCCGGATCCAAGACCCCTTACGACTCCGGCTCTGGCTTCGATGCCTTCGCCTCCGGATCCCGCACACCTGCCTGGGGTGGCGCCTCAAATACAAACACCGGAAACCGCACTCCAGCATGGGGCGGTTTGTCTAACAGCCGCGATCAGCGCGACTTTGATGATGCCCCTACGCCCGGTGGTGGCTACTCTGCGCCTACTCCAGGCGCTTATGCGGCCCCGACCCCCGGTGCTCCTACACCCGGTGGCTGGCCCGAGAATGCTCCCACGCCTGGCGGAGCTTTCAGCGCACCAACTCCCGGTGGCCCCACTCCTTCCGCCTATGATGCGCCCACCCCGGCCATGGGTGGCTCGGCTGCTACGCCTGGTGCTTACGGTGGCAACGACGGTGGGCCACGCTACGATGATAGCCCAAGTCCATGATCTTGCATCGTTCTTTTTTCTACCAAGCCTCAAAAGCTGGTCCTCTCCAAACTTCATTTCAGATATCACATGGAATAGGACCGGTCTCACATATGTACTTTACCCGAATCAATTTTTACTTTTTGTGCAGTCACATACCGCTGTAATCGTAATGCCTTGCATCATCTATGCGATCCCTTCTAAAGTTGTACTGTAAAGTAGGCATTCAAATCGTTCAAGGCAATTTGTTTGAAGTTTTATGAAGCAAATAGTCGACATTGACAGGATGGATGAAGAAAAGATAGATTGCATGTATCAGACTCCAGCTGACTGGCCGAAGACAGTTAATACTTTGTCAATGATATCTGCTGCCCACAGGCACTTCTCATCCTGGAAGTGCGGCGCAATGACTTGAACAGCACACGGAGCTCCGTCTACCTCGTCCGGATCGTCTATGCTAGATTAGTACGTGTATTGATCTACCGCTGAGAAACTCACAATCTGGCTGCACATCATCCGATGTGGTCATAGGCTCTGGATCAAGTTCCTTTGATGCCTTGCCGAATGGAATGATACAAGCGGGATACTGTGACGGTCAGAAATTTGAACCCCAAGTGAGGACTGCAACAAACTCACATCCAGCACGTTCCACAACGCGGTATATGGAGGCCATCCGTAAGTGTCATGTCCCACAGCCGTATTCTGAGCTCCAGGGGCAAGGACAACGTCAAGCTTTTGCTCAACCCACGTCTGTCTCCAGCAGTCCAGAAGCTTCTGTCGGGTCTCATAGAGCGCTTGGATTGTCTCAAATGGTCCGAGACCCTGTTCAACGGGCAAAGGACCAGTGAACATGGGTGACGCAGCCTTAGCAACAGATGCTACCACTGGCTCGCCACTCGGAGCAATCAAATCCTCGTGAGGGCCATAGATGAAGTATTGAAAAGCGAGACGCGAAGCAGACGCCACATCAAGCTCATCGCTCAGTCGAACAATCTTATGTCCAGCCCGAGTCAATGCCCCAATAGCCCGATCTAAAGCCCTCTTGACAGGGGGATGAAGCGGGAATTGCTTGTCCTCTGCAAGCACACCGATCGTCAAGCATCCGTTTGCGCTCAAACCTCGAGGAACACTTTGCCACGGTGCAGCGACAGCACTAGAGTCATGCTCCCAGCTTTGACCGTCGCCAACCACGGTGCTCATAAAAAATTGCAAATCGGCAATACTATGCCCCAATGGACCAGCCGCCGGCACTAAGCCAGGAATGCCCTCTTTGGCACCAGAAACCTGGCCTCCAAAGGGAATTCGGTTCGTTGTAGGCTTGAAGCCATACACGCCACAGCAAAGCGCAGGAATGCGAATCGAGCCTGCGATGTCTGTTCCCACGCCAAGGATAGATCCACGAAATGCTGCGAGGGCTCCCTCGCCGCCGCTGGAACCACCTGCCGTGAGAGTTGTTTTGTGGGGGTTGAGAGTTCGACCGAAAATGTTATTCTCCGAATCGCCTGTCTGGCCGGATCTCAGCTTCGACCATCAAATGCGAGGGAAGATCATACCATCATTGTTTGCGGGATGTTAGTCTTGACGTATAGCACGGCTCCAAGATTCAGCAGAATCTTGACGAGTGCGGAGTTGGTCTTTGAGGGTTCATTTTTCAGAAGCTCGACATATCCGACTGTTGACTGAACACCTTCGACACAGAAACTGTCCTTCAGACTGATTGGTAGACCGTGCAGAGGTCCTACGGGCTTTCCCTCTCTCTTGAGGTATTCATCCAAATATTGGGCGCGCTCCAGGGCCTGGGGGAAGAATGTTTCCGTGAGGCAAGAGGTCTTTATGCATCAGTTCCCATTCTCAAATGTTTCAAGAATACACACCAGCTGCTGCGCAATCGCAGCTCTTTTACAAAAAGCTGTCGTAACATCCAATGAGCTAGTCTGTCCAGTCGCTAGCTTGACCAATAGCTGGCTCGCGGTATAGTTCTCAGTGATGTCTAACTCGAGATCAGATAGTAGGCCGCTGCGGCGAGGGACATCAGCCTCAATCAACCGAACATCCGCGAGAGCAAGTTGCTCTGTGTTGAGTCGCCATTGCTGGGGGATTTTCTCTCTGTTTTCCTGCTGCTTAGCTGCCACGAGATCTTGCCAGTTGGTAGACATATTGAGGGATTCAAGTCTGGCGGTGGAACCTTGTTTGATCCCAGGTGAGGTTGATCTCTTTATGTACACGTCAAACTCTAGACGACCTACGCATATCGGCAGATGCCAGGTGTCTCCTCACCCCACTTTCGATCTTTGTGTGTCGACCTGCCTGTTTGGGATAGCTCGTTGGGGCCGAGGTTGGGGCCGACATTGTGATTCGCGATGGCAGTTCAAGTGGCCTCTATTCCCGAATCATGGCCAACGGGGCAATCCACTTGCTCTCAGCGTCTAGTGCTTATTGTATTCCCCTTTACTTTTAGGATACAAAGACATGCTGAATATTTCCCGAGGTCTTTGGCCGGAATTCCCGCGGTTGAGTATCCCAAAGTCGGATCTATCTGCGATTTCTTTGAAAAGCCCCAAATGTTAGACTTCATACTGTGAAAATTTTCGAAACATGAACAAGGTTGCCTAGCTTGTAATAACTTGTTTGTAACAGGAATATTTGGTCTTGGATATATTCGGCAGTTGGGACTACTCTACTTAGCGGGGGCCAACCGATGGGCGCTTGAGATATTAACACCACTGCGCCCAGTCACCGTACTGAATTTAACTCGCCAGCACATCCTCCGGCTTAACACCAGGAAAGTTAGTCAAGTGATAAGCATCGATCCAGATCTTTTCGCCTTCGCAACACATCACTCCCAAGCAAACCAGCCCATTCAACCAATTATATGGACCCGGCCCGGCCTCGATACGCAAATGTGAAAAGAACTCAACATCGTCCTGGGTGACCGTTGGAGGAGGGATCATATCTGGGTTTTCTTCAACGGCCTTTGCATAGCTAGTGCCCGGACCAGGACGGTACAGGCCATGGGCGCGGATGTAAAGGTGGTGGTTGTCGGATGTACGCACGGTGTAACGGGCATCGAGGGTCATGGACTATTACCAGTTAGAAGATTGCTTCCACGATCCTATATAATGATCTCATATATATGCCAGGCACTGATGACTTACATGTGTTCCTTTCACAACAGTGGCCCAGTCTGCACCGCCCAGTGGTAAGATCTCTCCTTCAATTCCGGGGCCTTTGACACTACCACGCACGATATTGGCAATGCTGCGAATGGTGCCGCTGTTATGGGGTGCTCCAATGTTGATCTCTTCTTTGGCAATGTCACATTCCAGTCTATATATCCAGGACAGCGAGGGTTGGCGCATGGTGGGCCCATTGGGGAAAACCGTGTTCCCGGAGGAGGCAGTGAAAGACATGACGGAGTAGAAAACAAGGTGAATATTCTTGAAAGTAAATAGCTTCAGTGTCCGGTGGCATGCCTTTATCTGACTTTCGTCTCATCTCGAGACCTCGGAGTGCCCGCAGATCTCCAAATCCCGAATTGGAAGGCCGACGCACTCTCCCGTTATCGCTTGGATATATCCGTTCGATGAGCGTTCAGCCGACATAAGCATTTAGTCCAAATTATACCAATGGTTCATACTATTTGTATTAATCATGATCTTTCAAGCGAAGTGTCGACGGTTCTACAACCTTCCAAGGTTCAAATTCACGACCTCGGGTTCCAAGGTTACAAGAAGGCGTCATTGTATTTACTTCGATTTTCACGCCACGGTGTTGCTTCTCGACAATTCTTCGGTCCGGGATAGAGTCAAAGTGTCAAGATGCAGTCAGATTGAAGTATATAACCGACAAGATCCATCTGTAGTCCGAGATTTTACTTCCTATCCTCAAGTATCACCTTACACCAACCCTCATGATGTCTACTCCAGAGCCATTCCCAGCAGCATATTGCCCTCCAGTTGATGACATAAAAGAGGAATCCTCGTCAGAAGAGTTTTCATCAAAAGTCTTCCCACCAGGAGCTTTCCCAGCAGAAAATTGCCTACCAGCAGACCGTGAACCGATCAATGTAAATCTCCCGCCTGAGTATCCCTCGATTTCTATAATATACTATAATATACTAACTGTCCCAGTCTTCAACAGAATGTGTCCGTAATTCCATCCAAGACGATGACCTCAGCTGGGAAGAATTCACGGATAGCGACTGTCAATACGAGATCCAAGAGATAAAAGACCAACTGGAGGATCTAGGACAACAACGCCTCTCACAGACCAAAAGACTCCAAGCCATCGAAGCAAAGATAGAAGACCTCTTCACCGAAAAGGAAATCACAGCCCAGCTCTGGAACACTCTACGCGAGCCTATCTTACACTCATGGAGCGGCAAGCGTCCATCGTCAAAAGTGGATTGCCGTTTAGCCCTATATACCCACAGGGGCAATATCAGGGCTGATATCCGGGCCATTGATGCTATGAGGTTCATTGACGGCGAGGTGTTTCAAGGTTGGCAGGATGCGTTTGAGGATCGGTATGGGGTTCCGTGGAAAGAGTGCATGGAGACGAACTGTCTGCGTAATGTGTCTTGGGAGGGTGTTCAGGTGTTCAACATGCGGGCTTATGTCTCGCATAGGTTTCAAGGTCCTCGGGAGGAGATTATGAGGATCTGTGATAGTTGAATTGTGCGGTGGAGGCTGGATCATAAATTTCCTGTTCCTGCGGTTCCGTATGCTCGTTTGTGTCGTCTTTACTATGCGATGTAGGAGGCTGTGGGGACTTGGCTCTCTTCGCTTTGATATATAGCTGTTCGGTGTGTGGGATCTACAATCTAATACCCTAATAATCCAACTCAATGGCCGAAAGGAAGCTCGCAAGGTTGTCCTTCGAAGATACATAACTGAAGAATTTCTGGCCTGGAGATGTCAGATCAGGCTATAAAGACAGCGGATTGCAGACTGTAGTGCCATTATGCTCATGGGAATCAACTTGTTTATTGACGGGAACCAACGCTGAAGCTAATGTGACAATGGTATCATTTTAAATGTGTGTGAAATCGAAACAAAAAGCAAAGAAAAGAATTTAAGCCACCGCGTTCCAGAACTCCCAATCCATACAGCGGATGGATAATGCAGTAAGTTTGAGCATCTCTCTCAATCATCGTCGTCGTCATACTCGTAGTCACTCTCCTCGTAATAGTTCCCGTTGAGAGCATCATCGACACCATCTCCATTGTCGTCATCCTCTTCATCTTCCTCGTCGTCGAGGTCTTCGGGTTCGTTGGGAGGACCATCCTTGAGTGGAGCTGCCTGTGCTCTTTCTTGTGAGGCAGTAGGAGCAGTTGAGGGTGGCGTCGGAAGGGGCGCAGCAGATCGCATCTTAGATGGAGGACGAGATAGTCGATTTCGGCTTGGTGTGTTGCGTCGAGAGCGGAAGGATTGCTCTGGCTCAATGCTGGCACTGCGCCGGGAGGCAACACTGGCACTGCGGCTCATGCTGCGGCTCATGCTTTCCTGTTTGGTGTCGCCTCCTTCTCCGCCGTAGAGAGTGTCGAGGAGAGAGTAGTTGATCTTCTTACTGTAGCCACGGCGTTCGAGCATGCGACGTGTAGCCTCAGCCGGAGTAGTGGCACGGGAGCGGCGACCGTCTTCACCCTCTTCGCCTTCCAGGTAGGTAACATCTCCAAGGCGGCCGCGGCGGCGCTTGCGTTGTTTGCGAGGGGTGGGACCACCGTCGGCTTCTTCTTGAGCTCGCTTGAGAGCCTTGGCTTGCTGGGCCCGGAGATATTCCTTGTTCTCAGTGACCCAGACTGCTTCCTTGAATTCGACTTCGGCGGGTGACAGGAGACAAAACGCGACTTCGGGGTCATCTTCAAATTCCGCCTCATCAAGCTCGGGGCTGTCGGACACTGGGGGTCGCTTGGGCCCAGAGGAACCATTTTCGGCCATATTGGTGTTTAGAATAGATCGCATCTCTTCTTCCAGCGCCTCTTCAGACGCAAGCTGATCGGAAGATGGTTCCGGGGTGGGTTGGCGTTTCCCCTTGCCCTTGGATTTCGTTGTCTCGTTCTTCATTTCTTCGATGACATCGCTGACAGCTTTGGCGACGACTGAAGAGCGCCGGCCCTGGCCTGCAGTTAACGCTGGGTCAATGGGGAGGTTGGGAATAGCAAAGCCATCCGCATCCACGCGATGAGGCTGTACAGATTCGGTTTCACTTTCGGACAAAGAGTCATCGTCGTTCTCGGTAGCTGCCTTTCGGACGTGCTTTACACGGCCCTTCCGTGCATCTCGTGCGCGATTGAATGAAGGGGGGTCGTGGGTGTTCTCTAATTGAACGGAACGGAATTGATCCACGGTCAGTTCACCACTCTCTGTGGAACTGAACTCGTTTAAACGGGTGCTGATGGTGGTTTCTGTGACTTTGACAATGTACACCACTTCACGCACGGTTCGGCGGAAGTTGTTCATGCGCGCGGCCAGGATCAGCGCGGCACCGCAAAGACCGGCTGGGCGTCGACCCGTAGTCATCCAATCACGGTTCATGCGCTGCACGATGCGAACTGCTTCTCCGGCAACTGCCATGAGCGATGATCCGAACTCAAGTTGTTTGGCGAAACGGTAGATCAAACTTTCGGGATCGATCGGATTCATGAGGAAGACGTTGCCACCGAGGCGAAGCTCGTCGAGGAGAGCCTTGTAGCAGCGACCCAACTTGAAGACGTTGATCTGTAGAACATCGGCGAAATCAATCAACATGACGGTGTTGCCATTTGAACGGCGACAGGCGATGTACAAGCAGACGGCGGCCACGGTCTTGGTGCGGCGACCTTGAATGAAGTTGAGACCCACTGCGAGCTTGAAGACCTGACCAGCCGCCTTGGAGGCACTTTCGGGAATGAGTAAGTTTCGTGCGAGTTGCTGCATGTAGCGGTTTCCGTTTTGCTCGGTCATTTCCCGACTCTCCATGCCGCCTCCACGCTGGAAGCCCGGGCCATAACTGCGGACGTGAGTTTGGTCTTCTCCGACGAAGGATCCCTGCACCATCGCCGCGCCGGATGAGGATTCACCGAAGGTGACTTCTGAGACGATGTTGGATTCACTAATGACTGTACCACAGCCTGAACAGACCTTGGTTCCGCCATCCTCGACGATTTGCGGGGCTGGACAGCCCGGGTTGGGACAGTTCGAGGTTTTCGGATGCGTAGTTGGTCTGGGAGCCTGGGGACGGGAGATAGACTGTGGGCGTTTGATCGGAGTTGAGCTGGGAGGCTTGAGACTGGCCAGTCGTCCAACTGGGCGGCGGGGGGGGAGGCACTGGCCGCGCGCCGGATCTGGGGGCTGACATTGCGATCAAAGCGTGTAGTTGATCAAATCAGGGATCTGAGAGTTGACAGGGGAGCTCGGCTAGGGAACCGAGGTCCTCACAGTCTTGAATACACTTGGTTTGCGCTGTTGGTTTTTTTTTTTTTGTCGCGAGGTTCGTATCAATGTCACGGTCGGCGATAAGGACGAGAATGGGAAAATCCCAGAAAGGACAAGCGGGCGAGAGATGATGAGTCAGCAGAAATTTTGACTCGGGGCAGATGAATGAAGTCAAAATTTGATTGTGACTCGACTTGTTCTATTGACTAAAAAGTGAACTACTTGACTGAATACGTAGTCTAATACAGACAATACGATCTCAGGGATCTCTCAATGCAAGTCTATACATCTCAATACATCTCAATACCCCTGGAGACATCAGACTACACGACTTCGTCAGGCACGAGAAACGCGCTAACCCAAAGCGGAATAATGGGTGTCGCGCCTTCTCGATTGGGTGCTGACTCATCTAGTCACGGGACCGGCCTTCCCAAAGTGGAAATGCTGGACTGCGATGAACCATGAGCGATGCATCACATCTTCATCCATGTGGCGGTTGTCTTTTCAATCTCGCTGCTGAAGATATGACACGAGGTCATGCTTCATATTCCACTATACGCTAGTGACATACATAGGGGCCATGGCCGAGATGACTGGAATGCGGCATTTCTGCGTTTTTTGCGTGGTTCGCGCACAAATCTCGCATCTTCGCCATGCTGAAAGGCATCCACCCATTTCTGGGATTTTCCTTCCTTTTCTTTCTTAATGATTCATATTATGATATTTGAAATCTCTTCCTTTTTCCCTGCTGTTTTTTAGACATAAATTGCCGGTGGTTGCCTTTGCACTCGCCGTGTTCAAAACCAACCATCGTGTAACTAACCAATCTTGAGACTTTGAGATCTCCGGATTGTATCACGATCGACAAGCTTTATATCCAGAGATTCGTCGATCATGTCATCACCACAGAACCAGTCTCCCGATTTGGAGGCTGCTCAGGACTTTGACACGCGAAGGAGTCTCTTCTTCGTCAGCAATGTACACTGCGCATCGTGTGTTGCATATATCACCGAAGTGCTATCTGAAATATCCACGGTGCAAGATATCGACGTCACGATCTTGACCCAAGAAGTCCGTGCCAGCCACGCCTCCTCAGTACGCCCGACCGACCTCGTCGATGCTCTCATTCAAGCCGCATTCGAAGTGCACTATGTCACAACCTTTGACCAGCAAGGAAATCTCGTCTCGGAGATCGATACATCTGCGTGGAATCACAGAAGCTCTGCGTTGTTTCCGTCACCGCGGGCGTCGGTCTCCAGCTTCTCGTCTAATATCAAAGAGCGCCTTCAGGCCACCCGGCACAAGCGACACATCGCCAACTGCGATGCTTGCAAGAAAGAAGAACTCATCGACCAGCCGTGGGACTCTCCTCAGATAGGACTAGGGCCGGTGGCCGAGAAGCCCCATTCTAAAATTCAATCTCGCAAGAGCCACGAAAAGGAAGTTGGCGTTACAAAACTTGAGTCAACACCAGAGATTCCAGCTGGCGACTCTTTTGTTTCATTGCCAGAGCTGAAAGATGAATTCAGGGCCCAAATCAGCATCGGTGGAATGAGCTGTGCATCATGTGCCAACAGTATCACTGCTGAGCTCCAACAGCTTGACTTTGTGAAAGAAGTCAGCGTAAATCTACTTACAAACAGTGCAACGGTCACATACATCGGGATTCCACAAAATGCCGACAAAATTGTCGAGCAAATCGATGATATTGGCTTCGAAGCATCCCTTGATGAAGTGAGCCCCAGTGCTCCAGCCCCGCTTCCTGCCAGCTCGCCAGTGACATTTGTTACCGAGATTGCCATCACTGGCATGACTTGTGGTTCCTGTGTTGGGGGTGTGACTCGAGGACTCGAAGAACTTCCCTTCATCAAGAATGTGACTGTCAATCTGCTTTCCCATAGTGGGAGAGTAGAGTTTGAAGGTCACGACAACCTCGAAAACATCATCGAAAAGATCGATGATCTGGGATACGACGCCGTTGTTACCAGCATCTCACCAGTGACACACGCACCCAAGGCTTCCACCACACAAGCTAGAACAATCTCCATCCAGGTTGATGGCATGTTCTGTCACCATTGCCCCAACACTGTCACCAGGGCCGTAGAGGCAGTTCCAGGTGTCACTATCGTCGAGGCACTGAGCGAAAAGCATCCTGTCCTTAAAATCACATACACCCCTAGCCCACCATCAGTCACCATTCGCTCAATCATAGCAGCCATTCATTCGGCAAATGAGTTGTTCCAGGCCAGTGTTTACCATCCGCCCAGTATCGAAGACCGATCTCGCGCAATTCAACACCATGAACGACGTCGTTTGCTATCGCGCTTGATCTTCGTCTTTTTGAGTGCTATCCCTACTTTCATTGTCGGAATTGTGTTCATGTCTCTGGTATCCCCCGAGAACCCCGGTCGGGTCTACCTGGAGCAGCCGATGTGGTCTGGCAGCGTAACGCGCATTGAATGGGCGCTTTTCATCATGTCAACGCCAGTAATGTTTTATGGCACCGATGTGTTCCATACCAGGGCCTTCAAGGAAATTTATGCTTTATGGCGACCCGGCAGCCGCGTCCCAATCCTTCGAAGACTCTACCGCTTTGGTAGCATGAATCTTCTCATCTCCGCTGGTACGAATGTCGCATACATCTCATCTTTGGCAGTCTTGATTGTCGACGCGGTCGTCGGCACCAAATCAAGTGCCCACAGCACGACATATTTTGACTCTGTCGTTTTCTTGACGTTGTTCATCCTAGCTGGTCGATTCTTGGAAGCCTACAGCAAGGCCCGGACCGGCGATGCTGTCTCCTCTTTGGGAAAGCTTCGACCTTCTGATGCTCTGCTAGCCGATGATTCAACCGAAGATGGAGTCAGCCGTACAAGTGTTGATCTCCTGGAGGTTGGTGATGTCGTGAGCATTCCCCACGGCGCATCGCCTCCTGCCGACGGACTCATTGTCGATAATGCCTCGTACCAGTTTGACGAGAGCTCTTTGACCGGAGAGTCGCGGCCAGTCAAGAAGACCACTGATGACATTGTTTACACCGGCTCTGTCAACGTTGGTCAACCAGTGCGCATTCGAATCACAGAGCTTGGCGGCTCCTCGATGCTCGATCGGATTATTGCTGTGGTTCGTGAAGGACAAAGCAAACGTGCGCCTCTCGAAAGAGTGGCTGATCTTCTCACCTCGCATTTTGTGCCCATAATCACTCTGATCGCCGTATCGACCTTTGTGATCTGGCTGGCTCTGGGCAATTCGGGTGTACTTCCTGCGGACTATCTCGATGTTGCACATGGCGGGTGGACGTTCTGGGCTCTGGAATTTGCAGTCGCAGTCTTCGTCGTAGCTTGCCCATGCGGACTGGCTCTCGCTGCCCCTACTGCACTATTTGTTGGAGGAGGCTTGGCAGCCAAGCATGGCATCCTGGTCAAGGGTGGTGGCGAGGCATTCCAAGAAGCCAGTCGGTTGAGCGCGATCGTGTTCGACAAGACAGGAACCTTGACTGAGGGTGGAAGCCTGAAGGTCTCTGATCACGAAGTCCTCACCAATGATCTGGAGGTGGCCAAAATTGCATGGGCTCTCGCTCGGAAGATGGAGGAGACAAGCAACCATCCCATCGCTCAAGCCATCACCGAAGTCTGCAAATCCCAGGTCTCTGCCTCCGTCAAGACCTCTGATATTCAGGAGATCTCAGGACAAGGCATGAGAGGAACATTCACCATTTCCGGTCCCGAGGACGAGCAGTACGAGGCTGCAATCGGCAACGAGCGCTTGTTGAACAGCATCATCACACCCGAAACAGACACATATTTTGTTTCCAACCTCTTATCCAAATACCAATCGGCAGGAAAGTCAACTGCTATCCTGTCTCTCCGCAAGCTTCACAACACCTCCACCGAACAAGCCCCATTCACACCCGCCATTGTCTTCGCCACCTCTGACACACTCCGACCAGAAGCCATCGACGTCATCTCGCAACTCGAAAAGCGCAACGTGGAAGTCTACATGTGCACCGGCGACAACCAAAAAACAGCCCATGCCGTGGCAGACATGCTCGGGATCTCCCGCACAAGAGTCATGGCTAACGTGCTCCCCGCCGAGAAAGCGACGTTCGTCCGCCAGATCCAGGAACGCTCAGATAGCGATGTGAATGCTCAGAACAACTCTCGTCCTATCGTCGCTTTTGTTGGTGATGGAGTCAATGACTCCCCCGCATTAGCCGCGGCAGATGTGAGCATCGCCATGGCCTCTGGCTCGGACGTCGCCATCAACTCTGCCAGCTTTATTCTACTCAATTCGGATCTCGGTACGATTTTGCAGCTGGTGATGCTTAGTCGACGGGTCTTCAATCGGGTCCGTTTGAACTTTTGCTGGGCGGTTGTCTATAACCTTTGCCTTGTTCCTGTTGCTGCGGGTGTTTTCTATCCTATTGTTAGTGGACATCATGAAATGTCTGTTGGTGGTGAAATGGTCATGGTCAATAAGCATTGGAGACTTAGTCCGGTTTGGGCTGCGTTGGCGATGGCGCTGAGTAGCATCTCTGTGGTCATGAGCAGCTTGGCTCTACGGATTGATAAAGAGAGCATCAAGAAGTTTCTGAGGAGGAGAAACTGAATTATGTATTTTTAATCATTTGTTTCGATTAAGCGTTACGTTAATATCCAATATATCAATGATAAGACTTTTGTTCCAATTATCATCCAAAGGTAGTCTCCCAATGAACTTGTATCAACTTGATTGTCCCCAAATCTCAGCGATGCGCTTGCTGAGGTCTTTGGCAACTTTCTTTCGCCCGACGACTTCCGCCATCCTTGTCACTATCATCGAATCCCGTTCTTTAGGATCCAAGCTAGCGTACGCCTCCATCAAATGTCGAGGCGTTGGCCAAATCTGTTGAATTTCAAGTGCCTTTTCGCCCGTCACACCGCGTGTACACATGAGCATTTTCAAGAATACATCACGCAGAGTTAGGGTATCTGATTTAGATGTGAGGGCAGAAAAGATCACGAATGAAACACCGTAAGTAGTAGACGAGTCTCGAGAGCGAAATTTGTCAAGGATGGTGAGATACGAATCGTTGGCGAGGCGACGCCCGGGAATCAATCCAATTTTGGAGACTTGGCCCGCAGGACCGCTGGGAGTCGCATTGCTATTTCCATCTGGGTTTGAAGGAGGGTCTTCCACCCCGTACATCCTCCGTAACAGAAGAGTCATACGCGCCAGGTATCGAATCGACTCATCCAAGTGCTTCGTCTTTTTGATGAAGTATTCGTTGAGGACTTGCGTCGAGGCAATGGCCGAAGCAACCATCTCTTGATACTGCGCCGCGCTCCCGCTGGTAGAGTCGGCATGTGTGACAGCAAATTCTTCAATCAAGTAGATGACATTTTTGATTCCGGAACGGCGGAGACGGAACTTTTGTTCATGGAAGCGACCATCTTTAATGGATCCAACCAAGTCATCAAGGCGCTTTCGCTCCACGATCCAATCGAGCATCACCTCGTCACTTTCTTCGCCGTGACGAGCGAGGTATTCAGGATCGTTGCATTTAGCTACCCACATGGCGTCTCCAACTTCCAATGCGCGCACTTGAGGGGTGATGCCTTGTTTTATTAATTCGCCGGAAATGTAGTCGCGGTCCGTGGATGTGCGCACTTCGCGGGTGTCCAGAACGAGCTGGATTGTGAAGCTCTTCGGTGGGAGCATTATGGGTTCGATGTTGTCAATGTCTTCCTTGCTCAAGGTTTCTTCGGGCTCTTGTAAGGGCTCCTCTTCTTCCAGTAGGTTGCGATCACTTGTCGCGCTCTGTTGGGACTCGGTGGTTGGGCCTGATGTCGAGGCTTGCGAGGCCCCAGGCAATGTCCGCTGGAGACGTTTGGCCACTTCCCAGCCTTCTTCCGAGAGGAGATATTTCCTAGTTGGACGGCCGTGCTCGCAGACGAGATCTTTCTGAATGAGAGTCTTCATTGAATTCCACGCAGTGTAAAACTTCGTGGGATCTGGAGGCGCCGTGAACGAACTGTCACAGTATGGCTGGGCGATTTCGATCAATTGCGCCTTGGTAATGCCCTGCGACGAATTTTCACTTTGAGTTCCCAAGCCGAGAATTAACGCATATGGACCAGATCGCAATGTAGGCACATATGGCTTGGTTTTCCTGGGTTTCTTGGCCGGCTGTTCCTCGTCACCGCCAGATGTGCGTTTACCACCTATTTGAAAACTGGCTCAGTCATTATTTCGACTCAGAGTCTGAGGTACCAACCTTTTTCTGGTGGCGCCGGCATAGGTAGGCCATTCTCGTCACAGTGAGCCTTGAGCTTATCTGTTAACCGGTCACATAACTTTGGACCCAGTCCGTTTAATTGCTGAGCCTGTGAAGGATGTTGAAATTGCAATGGACATGCCTTCATGGAATCATATGCCTTCTTGTACCTGCACACGGTGAGTACGTCATTCAACAGCGGTAGCTCGGGTGTACTGACACGGTCACGCCTTTGCTGTTTCGCTCTCGAGCCTGGTCCAGCCATTCCTTAATCCACCCCAAAAGTAAGGGGTTAGCACACTCCTCGCTCATGGCGAGCCAATTGTATCACAAAATAGAAGTCTATTCGGAAATCAAGCTCATCGAGGCGAAGTTGCCCAGGACGCGAAGTGATGTTACCCTTTTGGGAACGCGTCTGACACGTGGTGATAAGAGCGATAAGACTTCTATGATGCTTTCCCAATTTCTCTCGGCATTGCCTTTCCAAGGTTGCTACAATAGATGTGCATCTTGAATTCATCTTGAATATCTTGCTGTCGTTTGTTCTATCCCACTGATCTACCCCACCTTGGATGTCCGAACTGTCAATCCATCAGGATGGGAGTTTTTGATCTACGCTACTATCGGGGAAGCCCCGAAATTCCGTAGACGACTCACCAGATCACTCACTCAGTTCCGAATTCGAAGTATATAGTGAGAAACCGACGTTTCTTTGTTTGGGTCAAATGTGTCTGGGGATTGCGAGATCATTATTGGAATGTGTTCTCCACTGGTTTGTTGATTGCCACCGCTGCCCTGATTTGGGCGGATGACGTCGACAATCTCAAACAAGCAAATACAAGTAACACCAGGCTCGCTATGTATATGCCGGCACATGGAGTGACCTTCAAAATTCAAATCATTGCTATCTTTCACACATCATGTCTATTGATCAAAGGGCAGTGCCCGCAATAGAGACCGACAGTAAGATCGACGACCAGCTCAGCACAGAACCAGAACTCCCAGACGGACCAACTGATAGCCATGTGCTGTCCCAAGTCGACCAGGATGAGAAAGGCCTTGCTCAAAAGGCTGGTGAAACGGCGGAAATCACTAATGTCGGATGGGGTGAACATGCAGATCATGTTGCCGAGCCTCTAGTGGCCGGGCTCTCCAATGAAGACTTGTGGATGCTGATCAGGCGTTTTGACAAGGTTAATTGACCTTCTTTTGATTTAACATAATCATCGAGGCTAATGAAATTGATTTACAGCAAGTTTACAGAATCAAGGCAGTGCCCGATGCTCCACTACAGAGATTGGATCTCACGAGAACAGACGACGATGAATTCTCACCAGACAAGTTGCGAGCAACGCTCGAGCGATTCTACGTCAGTGTGGTCGTAAGCTTGACTAGCTGCGTCAAACATATCGCTCGGCTACGATCCTGGAGAGAGCCCCGACGAACCAGTAAATTTGCCGCAGTATGCATCCAACAAGCATAAGCTCAGACATGCCTGCTGACTGCTTGCACCCACAGGTTTACCTTGTTTCATGGCTTCTTGATATGTTGGTTCCAACTATCCTGGCAACGCTACTTGCCCTGATAGTCTACCCTCCCTGCCGAAATCTCATGTTCCCTCCAGCGCCAATCGCTCTAGTCGACAAAGACACGGGCGGGGTTCAAAAGCCCAAGGCAGGCATTCTTGGCTCTCATGATAGTATCACTGGCGCGCCTGAAAAATACAAGGGCGAGGCAGCCGAGCAAGAGGCTAGCAATTTAGTCGCCAGCATTGCTAGTGTTGCGGTAGGCAGCGCAGCCGGCAAACATGACCAAGGTGTACCCGAGGGCGCACCACTCGAAGACGATGTCCCCGATGTGATGGATATGGTTGCTAATACCGCCGATGCACAAAGCGCCGCCCATGGCAAGGTTCCGTCAGACTCGCATGACAAAACCCGGCAGCCCATGAAAAAGAGTGTTATGGATGCTGCCAACTTTGCAATGCAAGTGGTGAATGATATCACAGACACATATGAAAAGATGGGGAAGTGAGTCAATCTATGCCCTAGCTGCATTGATGCCTATCTCTAACTTTCTTCCTCTAGTGCGCTCTCTGCAACGGCTCCGTTCCCACAGTTGAGCCCCCGTTTGCGCCTGGCTGCGGTGTTGGTTCCGGCCTGTCTTGCTTCGATGATGACATCCAGCTATGTCCTCATGAAAGTCAGCACGTTCATCTTTGGATTTGCATTCTTCGGCGATCCTGCTATCCGCCGTGGAATCCAGTATCTGAACCGACGGTTCCCCAAATGGCAAAAGGTCATCGAGTTGCAGAAGTATGTTGCGATACCGTTCAAGTCTGCTAATGTATGATGAACTAACCACCGCACTAGCTCACTACTCAAGGGCATCCCAACGAATGCACAATTAGCCGTCACCTTGCTCCGCATCGGCGAAGCCAATGCATCTCCATTGCCGCCGCCCCCAGATTCAAGTGACCAAAAGGCACCTTCACGACCGGCCTCTCTGCATAAAGAGGATTTAACCCTCGACGCTACCGACGAAGAAATTAATCAAGCGGCGCTCGTCAAACCCCACAATGATACACACATCCAGACCGAGACCCAGCCGCAGGAAAAAGCCCACAAAAAGACTGTGACATCCGGCATACTCAGCTTTTTCCGGGGCACGACAGCCAGCGGCGTGGAAAGTAAACGAGGCATTGACCGCCTGCGAGCAACGATTGGTTCTCGCCATGCGAAGAACCGCGTCGGAGTCCTCCGTCACAAGGGAAAGATGATCACGCCCATTGGACCCGTGGCATTCGACGCCCGGTACAGAGGCAAGCATGGTACGGTGATTATTGACTCGACTCAGGAGCCTCCTTTGCTCTACTTTACGACGGAGACGCCTCAGATTGAGGATGTTAAGGTAGTGAATCGGAAAGTGGAGTCGGTACTGTTTACCATGCCAGTGACTGAGATTCAGGAGATGAGGAAGCTGGGTGGAATGGGATGGAAGGGGAAGTTGGTGGTGGGATGGGCTCTTGGGAGTAAAGAGGTTGTCGATGGGTTACTGATTACGGGTCAGAAACCTGGGCAGAGATATCAGCTTACTGCTATGGGGACAAGGGATCAGTTGTTTAATCGGCTGGTCGCGATTGATGGACAGGTTTGGGAGACGTGTTAATATCCCACGAATGAGTGCTAAAACATTCCCAGGTTTGGAGGTGAATCCCCCGGTTCTGTCTGTGTTTGATTGGCGTACTTGCTTTCCTTTTGATCAGCGATTGAGAAGATATTAGCTTGAGTTTCTCGAGAAAATCCAAACACATGAACGTATGTTGCAGTTCAACAGTGTATAATTGCAAGAGAAATGCCTCACATCTCCTCAAGGCATACCTCAATCCCAACCTCCCATCCCATAGAAGAACCACCCACGCAATATCAAAATTAGTACATCCCATCCTACAGACCAAACCCCCGTTAGCATCATCTCCCACTTCAAACCCAGAAATCAAACTCACATCCTCCAGCTCCGCCTCCAAAATAACCTCCACCATCTTCCCAATAGCAACCTCCCTCTCTACCCCCGTAACACACCCAATCCCCACCAACTCCGCCAAAGCCTCCCCAACCCAATTCTGACAATTCCAATCCCGAAACTCATCCCCGTTCCGCACAGGCGTCGAGACACACGCTACGTGGATCCTCGATCTCGAAATAGATTCCGGTATCGAGCATACAGGGATGCGCGCAATGGGTTCCTCGGAAATGGGATTCTGGTCGTTCTTTTGGAATGCGAAGAATGGGTGTCCGCCTACCACGTGTAGCCACTCGTGCTCGTCGCCCCAGTCTGCGTAGAGGGCTGTGTGTCGGTATTTGGAGAAGTCTACTGGGACGCCTTGGTAGACGAGGATGGATAGGTTGTGTGGCATTTTGGGGTTGGATTTGGGGATTGGGCTTGGAGGGTGGTTGGGGGTAGTGGGGTTGTGGTTCGCGCTAGATTTGGATCCTGGTCTATATGGGAGGGTCGATATGGATTCTTATTCTTGGTCTTGGGAAGACTTCATTTCGGTCTAGTTTTTAGTCTGGGTTTAGCGAAGAGCTTTGAAGTATTCAATCTCGGAAGTCCGAGAGTATTTATTGGCAATGGACAGCTCGTGGACATAGAGGTACCTAGGGTTAGTCGATACTCTATGCTCAAAATACCCATGATATACTCAAGTCTCAGTCTCAATATCAATTTCATACTACCAAGACTCATCGCCAAGTGAAAAATACGTATATAGAAGTATAGGATTCGCACAAGTTCTCGAACAGAGAGAAACGAGAAACTCATCCCCAAAACCACGTTCTTCATACATCAGCGAAATCAATAAATCATTTCTCATCCTCCTCATCTGCCTTCTCAGCAGCCTCAACCTCTGGCAAATCAGACTCCTTAGGAACGACATCGCCCTTATCCCTCGCAGCAGCAGCAGCAGGACCACTCTTCTTAGCTGTATCAGCAGCCTCTTCTTCCTCGCCCTCGTCTTCGTCTTCAACAGGCTCGTCCTTATCGGCGCCGCTCTCGGCGACTTCGACGCCCTCGTCGTCATCGACTACGATGGGCGCGGTCTTTTGCTTTTTCGCGACCGGGGGACCTGGGATTCATTAGTTCGTTTTTTCATCGCGATGTGATTTGAATTAGATGTGGAATTTACCGCTGTCTTTCTCTTTCTCTTGAGGCTCTTCTTCGTCGTCGTCTTCGTCGGACTCCGATGCGCCTTCGGGTTCTTCCTCTTCTTCGCCTTCGTCGCTTCCTTCAGCTAACTCGGGCTCGGAATCTTCGTATCTGGTTTCGCGATCGGGTTAGTAATTCGCAATTGGAGCTTGGGGATTTGTGCAGTTATGCTAGAAGGAGATCTTTTCGCTGCGAGATTGGATATGTTGCGATGTTTCGTTTGGATGCGCGATTTATTGATTTGAACGGCTGTATGCAGCATTGAAGATGGAACTTACTCTTCTTCTTCCTCGCTTTCATCACTAGGCAGAGCCTGGAGCTCTTCATCTTGCTTTCTCTTGCGGGTAGACATAGCGAGTAATTGGGATTAAAAGTATAGGGAATAAGGGAACCCGATCAAGGGATGGGTTTGCGCTGGGATTGACCGAGTTTCCTAAGATAAAGTGGGAAACGAGAGATATAAGAGTGAGATTTAAATTTTTAAAAAAAAAGAGAAAAGGAAAAGGAAAAGGAAAAGCGGAAAATGAGTTCAGCTCAAGGGGGCATAAGCGGAGGTGACGGTGACGACATGGGAGTGACATGCCCAGGTGTTAGGGTTGAATTTACACTCCGGATGCAGGGTGCGTGTGCATTGCGTGGCCCCAAGTAACATTCCTATTGCGTCAAGAACTCAAAATCCGCCATGGGGTCGAGGAGGTTCTCATCCAGCCCAAATCCATATGTTCCGACCATTCCATAAATCAAATCTGGTGGTGGGAATCCTTGTGCCATGGCATTGGCTCCCCCGGGGACATCGCGGCCTTCGACCTCACGGAATTGCCAAGCGGATTCCCAAGAGTCGAATCGCTCGAGCATTTTGCCTAGACCTCGTGCGATGTGTCGCGTGAGGTGGCGCTCGCCTGCGGACACACAGTTCATTAGTTCGATGACTCGTTCTACGAGTCGGCGTACCTGACGCGCATTGATGCTGAGATACGCCGTGTTCCAGTTGATCGCGACCTTGAGCAAGAAAACGGCGGAGAAAGTAACCATTGTGTGAGTGAAGATGGGAACGCCGACGATCGCGTCGCGAATGTCGGGTTCTTCTAGGACCATGTTGAGACATGCCATTGCGGATGAAATCGCGATGTTGGCGGACTCTTTACGGTCCATGGAGAACACTGGGGTATTGGAGGGTGAGAGGGCACGGAGGGAAAGGGAGTTTAGTTGAAATTTGGCGAAATGGTAATGCAAGACTACGCCTTTGGACGGATACGTTCGCACATAGGCACTATCGGCTGCGATGGATTCCAAAAGATGTTAGGGTCGACAGTTTCATGGGTCGAGAGGGATCACTTACCGGATCGAGGCTGCCAGAGGAGTCGCCATTGGTCTACAGCGACATTATATGCGCGCAACTGTCCGAAATCTTCTTCCGCCAAGGCCTGCTCGGTATCGCTGCCGAACATGCGGTAGGCCTCGGTCAGGATCATGAACAGCGCGACTTGCGCCAAGAGCCGAATGTCGCCGGGGACCACCATTGGCAGCGCAAGAAATGTCTCGTGGTTACGGATCACCACGTCCTCGTGAATGACCGGCGGGCGACCGTACGCGATGCTGAAGTGATGGTCGCACACGTATAGTAAGTACCAGAGCTGAGCGCGCTCATACTGATCCGTATGACCGCGCGTCAAGCGCTGATAGCTCTGATGAAGACCCATCTCGGTCGCAATACGCACGGCATGGCCCGAGAGCTTCCAGCTCAGCTCAGAAAGCCAGAAAGCGCCCACGCAGAGACCACGGATGTCATCGAGAGTGTGGGCGCGCGTCAGGGCCATGCTCGACACCAGCGATACATACTCGCTGTAGCACCTGTTCAAGGTTTCGGTGCGGTTCGGGATATGGAGGGCCGCGACGGTAAGGACCGCTGCAGAGAGCAGCGTCGAAGCCCGTCGGACGGATGTTAAATCGCGGTGTACAAGAATTATACCTCCCCATAGTAGTTGGTTCATGGTACGACTGAAGTACGCGAACAGCTCGTCGGCTTCGTGGAGCGAGATCAGCCCTCGCGAGATGAAATCCTCTTCTAACAAGGTCTGCTTCGGGGCTTCGACATGGTTATTCCTCAGGTTCCGTAATTTGGTCACCTCGTATAGACTGCGCATGGGGGCCGGCACCAGCTCGGGGTCTTGGAGATCCTGCTCCGGCGACGGTTCCCGAGTGACATCCATCACGACACCGGGGCCCTCTGCATGGCTGGTTTGTGTCTGGGATCGATCGATCGAGGGACGATGGGTGTGATGCGATGCCGCGGGACTGGGTCCGTTGAAAGTGTCCCCGGGCGCGTAGGTTGAGAGCTCCGGCAACCCATTCTGGCGCAGCAGATGCGACACCGCTGCCTGCAGCTGGTGCATTGTCGCATTTGCCTGGGATTTCCAACTATCATGGTAATTCGATCAGCATCTGCGTTTGTGGTTTGAGGGGCGGGACTCCACCGGGTGCGGGGGAGGGCGCGTACATGCCATCGTCGTCGACGAACTTCTGCGAGAAGTCATTGACGACGCATTTGATACCGCTGCGAATACATTTTGTGCATGTAGTCTCGCCTGGTCGGAATTCGCAGCGAATCTTGTGGCGCTTACATTCGGCGCCTTTGCAGGTCAGCGGAAGTTCGGGGATGTGGGGAAGCGACTTACAGGCACGAGCTTTGGAGATCTTTGGCACCGAGCGTGTCTTCTCTCGGGGCGACTCCAGGCCAGCGTCATCGGAGGAGCGCTTCAGTGGAGTCGCGTCCATGTTGCAATCGGTGATGCTCCGGCATGCGGTTTAGGGGAAGGTTTCGGAGAAAAGAAGCCGAAGAGGTTCAATGCCATAACATTTAAAATAAGCTAAGGCGAAAAAGAGAGGGAAAAAAGAGAAAAAAAGAAAATAAAAGAAGTAAATTAAAATGTGTGACTCTCTGACCCCCCGCGGACTCGACTTTCCCGATTTCCAGGGAATCTCGGCCATCTTGCACATCGCTATTTACACGGAGAATACAGATGACCATAGTCCTTATGACACTAGCGAGATGACTGATAAAGGCTTTGTGCTCTTCAGACCTTCTCGGCGAAGTTTCTTAGCTCTTGCTCGGGTACCAGTCTCTTTCCCACGGCTGATGAGGACGGCCAACAACGTTGTCAGATAGATCCGGTTGTATGGTCGCCGTAATCGACCCGTTCTTCAAAGACCCTCCGGTATCAATTGGTGCATCAATGGTTCGAAAAGGGTTGATAAATGGTGTCAGACGAGCCGAAAGAGAGGATCGTAATTGTGCCGTTCATCGAAGACCCTCCGGTAACAATTGTTGCATCATTCGTTGGAGTTAATTTGATGAACGCAGTAGGACGTGCCGAAAGGGGAGATAATCTTGTCCGAACACCATAATAGCATGCTGACTCTTGACTCGACTGTGCAAGACGATTTCAAGGGTCTTTCGATTGATGACCGTAACCACAAGCTTCACCACCAGCAGTATTGCCGAAGCGCTCGTGAACGGTGTTTCAAGGACTTTCGTAAGCTCTTCCTGGTGAAGTACTGTTTCTTCACTTCCTTCGCCAGTTGCGTAATAGGGTCATTGGTTTTGGAATCAACGAGAGCTCAGATGAAGAATGAGACGAAGTGAATTGGAGGAAAGTCCATGGTGAGAAGGCAGGTGAAATCGGCAATCACCACCGGGCTGCATTAGACCTGCAACATCCCGAGGTTTGTTTGGCCCAGTTTCTCTCTTTTCCTTTTCTTTTTACTGTCTCTTGTCTTGTCTCTCTCTGACTCTCCTTTACTATACAACATGCTTTGCGGAAATGCATTACCCCAGAATTCCCCAGTGATCCACAGCCGGCCCAAGTCCGATGCGGAGGACCCAACACCATCTCGGACTTGATGCGAATGCGGAGAGAAAGGCGTCGACAGTATAACTTATTAAGAACATAACACCCAGCATCCATCAAAAATCCTCAATCGCAGCCATGCATATCCTCATCACCGGCGCCGCCGGTTTCATCGGCCAATTGCTCGCAAAAGAGCTCCTAAACGATCCCGCCTACCGCGTCACCTTAACGGACATTAACCAACCTCCGATCCCCGCAGGCGTCCGCTACCCAAACAATGCCACCACAACCAAAGCAGATCTCCTAAACAGCGCCAAAGATGTCGTCGACGCCTCACTGGACGCCGTCTATGCCTTCCACGGCATCATGTCCTCCGGCTCCGAAGCAAACTTCGACCTAGGCATGAGCGTCAACATCGACGCCACCCGAAACCTCCTCGACGCCCTCCGACATACCTGTCCCGGCGTTCGTCTCATCTACTCCTCCAGTCAGGCAGTTTACGGCCAGCCCTTGCCGGAAGTCGTAACAGATAGCGTGATCCCGACTCCAGAGTCGTCCTACGGCGCAGAGAAAATCGTCTGCGAAACTCTCGTCAATGACTATACCCGTCGCGGGTTTGTGACGGGTTTCACTCTGCGCTTCCCTACTATCTCCGTGCGCCCCGGTGCGCCTACTGCGGCCGCCTCATCGTTCCTGTCCGGGATGATCCGCGAGCCGCTGGATGGCAAGGAATGCGTGATTCCCATTGAAGATCGGGAGTTCAAGTCGTGGCTGTGCTCGCCCAAGACTCTGGTGGAGAATTTACTGATCACGCTTCGGCTTCCGGCGGATGCGGTTCCGTTGCATATTCGACAGATCAATGTGCCCGGGATTTGCGTTTCGGTTCAGGGTATGATGGATGCGCTTGAGGCTGTTGGGGGTAAGGAGAAGTTGGCGTTGCTTACGGAAAAGGAGGACAGCTCGATTGTTCCTATTTTGCGATCATGGCCGACGCAGTTCGATAACACGCAGGCTATATCTTTGGGCTTTAAGCGGGATGAGTCTTTCGAGCAGACTGTGAGGGATTATAAGCAGGGACTGGCTTTATAACCACAGTGTATATTACATTACATTATTCCAGATAGATTGGATTTAATCCAAGATTTCAAGATTGGACGGTTGTATGCAAGTCACTGGCGTTTCCAAGGCCCCCACTCTGAACGGGTAGTGTGTTTCCTCCAGGTGGTTGCCTATCTTAGCTGCCGCTTTGAAATGAGGCTCGAAGTCAGCCTCAAGCTCAGCAGCTTCGAGATTTGCGAAGCAAAATGGAATGCGCCATTGCAGTACTTTACTATCTTTCTCTACTCCTTCTCTTTGGGTATTTTGTGGTGTATCACTTTCCACAAATGTCTTCATCCCCATCTGACTCTACCGACCCCGATCCCAACGACCAGGTTGAGGAACTAGACCCCGAGAAGTTCTACCATCACCCAGTGTGGTCACAACGCTGGCACCACCCCGAAATCACCGAAGAAACCTCTTGGGAACGAGAGCAAGAGTCATGGTTCGAGAATGTGCCTAGTCGTTCTCGCCACCGATTTTTATTCGACTGCCCATCCAATCTTCCTTGGGGCTTCATCATCTATCGAACAGTCTATACGACTGAATCCGAAGAACTATGGCCAATCGCTTTAGAAAGAATCGCTCAACGACTGAAAAGGGGGATCAGTTCTCAAGTCCGGGTCAACAGCAATGAATCCTACCTTAAACAACTGATAGAAGAATCACACAAAGATGTGATTATTTCAGACCCTAATCGTTGGAATAACGCCAGCATTCAACAAGTCCGCAGCCATTTCATCGAATATCTGCGTAAGATCAAGGCAGAGGAGCTCGTCGGGCAATCTCGTTTTGCCTCTTGTCTTGTGATTGATGAGAAATCCTTAAAATCGATCATCGCGGATGGGGGTGAAAAATATGGGTTTCTTGGGGCTATTGATCCGCAGTATAACCCTGAAGAGGGATATGACTACGCTTCTTACCGCGGATATATGAGGGTGCAAGTCAAAGCCCTAGGGGATCTCTATATGCAATTGGATTGGAACTTCATGTGTGTGCTGTGTCCGGATTATCCTGATGGTTGGATTCCTGTTTACGATGGCGGCTATGGGACTGTGCAGGATGAAGATGGGAACGAATATCCCTATGCATGGAAAACCCCTGGGGGATCAGAGGGACGGGGGCGAGGGCGTTGGTGAGAAGTTTGGAAATATTATCATCATTACTCCGTATAGGAGCAATAATAATAATGCAAATAGAAGGCACTCGGATAGCAATATGGAGTAATGGGGAGACCATGGGCCTCCGGTGCAATAGATAGTGTCAGAGAATAGCTATTTCTCGCGCCTTGGGGGCTCCGAAATGACTTGCATGGATTGTATTTCCTACGGCCATTTGACTGGCTGGGCTTGGTGCGTCTTTCCACTTTGTGGGGAATAATCGCAGACCATGTTCATTAGCTGATCCACATTGTGCGATCGAAGTGACTAGGTAGACTATCGATCGAATGCGGACATCCAAGGTCCGTACGAAGTATAGGTTTTATATAAAGTAGTTCGATTGAACATTGAGCAGGTAATTCGGAAAATAAAGGTGTTTGAGTCAAGGATGGTCATTAGCCCCCGATTTTTATCTGGATATTCAGGGAAGACATAAAAAAAGAAGCTAAGGCCTGATAAGAGTGGCCCTTGGGACAGGTTGCGAGTTCAACTGCGCCCGCTTTTTAAGTGTCGCTGCCGCTGCTGCGGAAGGTCGCACATAGTTGGCAGTACTGATGTGTTAGGTCCAGGACGGCTTGAGGCAAGTTTGTCGCTTGAACAATACTGCGAACCTTCACAGCGCCTTCGTCTTCAATGAGCTTACGAACCATGAACAAAAGTTCAGGCGAGAACTAAGGAATGGTCAGTTGATGCGTAAAGAGAGATATCAGATTGCGTGAACATACCTCGGAGTACCAGCGATATTGCCAGGCGATCAGGCGAATCAAAGCGCCGAGCATGCCTCGGGTATCGTTTCGCTGCTCGTACAGCTTCAACACCCCACGCATAGCCTTGGGCGAGAAACGAGTCGCGAGACAGCTTTGGTATGCCTCGATACTCTCGTCGAAGTGGTGGAGTCGCTGAGCGAGCTCACCAAGGATCTCCCACTCGGTAGCGGACTTCTTGTACTCCATCGCTTGCTGACGGAACTGGGCCATCTCCGTTCTCCAGATGGTGTAGATGCGCAGGTCCTCATAGAGAACCATGAAGAGATTGTCAAGCCATCTCTCGCAAAGGCGCTTGTTTTGGAATTGGGTATATGAGCTGTGCGATGGATCGGGCTGTGTTGGATAAGCAGTTAGCATGTGAGCCCCAAGATTGGAAGACCGTGCTGGCCCGTGTAACCTACGTCTTCATTTCCAGATTTTACGACCTCGGAGGCCACCGTTTGTTCTGGGCGTTCGAGAGGGCTCTGGGTATGGTTGCCTGTTACATCTCCATTGGAGCTTGCTCCGGGCCCGTTCACTGACTCAGAGTCGTTCTCGGTGTCGGGGCTATCTCCATTCGTTTCTCTCTCTGCTGACTGAGAGGGCCTAGGCACATGCTGCCGCTCGACCCGGTATTCCTCTTCCATGACGAAGACCTCGCTGCGAGCCTTCAGGAGTTGGTCCCAACCAATGGCAGCCGCGATCTTCGTCAGCAGGTTGTACGCCTTCAAGAAAGTACCCTGGTAGTTGGCGGCATGGATTTTGCGGAGAGAAGGGTGAACATAGTCGTGCGGATCTCCCTGCTTGGGCTGGCCCTCATCAATCTCGTCCAGTATACTTTCAGCGAGGATGGGGAGCATGATTCGCGATGGTTGTGGCATGCGAGGGGTATCTTTATCCTGATAAGTGAACATGGGGCAAGAGTTGAGGGTGAGGAGTGCCAGATCCCACTTCTCCATGCCGACGTAGACCTCAGCGAGTCGAGCCCATGTGCTGAACTCACTGGGGGCGGCTGTCACGGCACGCTTGGCGCATTCAAGTGCCATCTCGCCCTCACCCTTGCTCTGACAAAAGCCTGCCTGGCAGTCTAAAAGAGCATAGTCCATGGGCACATCTTGTAACGCATCGTACATTAAGCGCACAGCCTGTACTTCTTCATCTGCCATCATTTGTACGCGCGCCAGGAGCGAGGAGACCTCGACGTCCCGGGAGCGGAGTTTCTCAAACAGATTGATTCCAGATGTGTAACGGCCGGTAGTGTGGATATATTTCAGGATTCCGGATGTCAGGTGGTTGCTGACGGTGTTGGGGACTTGTGTTTCGGGGTCGGAGCTGAGTTGGCGTCCTGGGACATCATTAGCCTATAGGGCCCAAAATGACACCATCGGATAATAGAGATCATACCTAGGAAGAACAGCTTTTCGGCGGCGTCCAAGAACTTATGCTCCATCTCCGTGTTAGTGACCGGGTTGAACCGTCGAACTCCGACAATCTTCTTGACGGCATCGCCGGTGCCATCGTCGGCATAGTGATAAGCCCTCAGAACAGAACAAAGGAAAGTCTCGAGCCAGAGAGCGTCAGTGGCAACACGCTTGTCGCCCCGCTCGTCAATGCAGTAACTCTCTAAACTTCCGGGGATCTTGACTTCGACGCGCATATCGAGGTGGGAGAACGCATTGTAGCAACTGGAGAGAGATCAGCACACGGCTTCAAGGATATCCCGATTGGCGCACTAACCAGTAGATTCCCGATACCACTTTATGCGTCTTGTCGAGGGGAGAGAATGTGAGGGTGTTGACGTAGGCAGCCAAGCTGGCGGATGATGAGGCGTCAATTCCGGTGACATGGTGGTAAACGCCGGTCTATGGTACAGGGAGTCGAGTCAGCCTTGCGCACAGCATCAATTGAGTCATTTTCATTGGAAGGGCGTACCTGGCGAGTCGAATTGGCCTTGGGTTGTTTAACCAAATAAACGAGATCCGGGGGGCCTAGTTCTCGCAAGCTCTGCAAAGATTCTGTGCGCGCATCGACAGCAACATAGATCTCATCCTCCTCATGGATCCTAGATAGTGCGCTCAATGTCAGTAACTCATTCTGCCATCCCCACAGCTGCAGCCCTGAGCGATCTCAAGCAATGATCATGCGTACGCAAGCCGAGGAACACGTAAACGGGACAGGAACATACTCAGGAACAGCGGGCGCAACCATGGCGCCTGCACAAGCGCGAAAGAATCAAAGATAGTATGGAAAAAGCGAATTCGCAAAAATCCAGTAAAGGTCAGGGGGGCGATGAGGGGGAAGGTGAGGATTGGTCTTAGAACCATCGGTACACAATGATTCAGGCACCAAGGCATAAACGGCGCTTAGACCCCGGAACATTGAAATTGGGTTAGTTCGACGCGTGATAACGTGTCCCGCGATAACCAATTTACCCTGTCCCTGTGAAATGCTGCTTGTTTAATTAGACCCTATATTCAAGGGACCTGGAGCTCACTCACAATGGCGAGCTGGGTCGCATTGAATGTTGAGCCCGATGATGCCATCGAAGAGGAGGTCGACGACACCAAGGAGCTACAAATCGAGGAGGCCTTGAAGCTCTATCACAGCGCCCTGAAGCTACATTCGCAAGGCCCAAGCTTTTATTCGCAAGCTGCCGAGGCATACGATACCCTACTCGATTCCGAGATCTTCAAATACCCAGAATCCCTCTCTGATTTCAAGAGGGGAGTGTTCGACGATGCGCAAACCGACGAGACACCCGGAGAAGCCTCCGCAGAGTCGCTTACCGAATACAATGTGAACGATTCTGCATCCAGTCTATTTCAAACGCTTTATCTATCCTATAAAAACCACGGCAAATTCGTTCTCGACTCCGTGCAAGACTCCATACGAACAGCTCCTCGAACCCCCGAAACTGAACAAGCAACACAAGAGAAGTTGACGGAAGCCTCCAGAAAGGCCTTGGTATCGTTTGGAGATGCGTTGGAAAGAGATGACTCGGATCTCAATCTCTGGAGACAAAGCGCAAGGCTGAGCAGTGCCCTGCACAGCTATCGTCTATCTCGGTATTGCTTGGAGAGTGTGCTAGCAGACGATGATAATCGACTGGAGCTCAGGCCTGAACAATTGGGTTTGGAGGAAATTTTCGCGGAGCAACGCCTGCGAACTACTCTTGAGTCACTGTTTGACAAATTGTCGGCTTCGCAGATTCCCGACAAGCGGCCAAAAAAGGCCCTTTTGAAGTACCTGAAACAGCACGAAGATCCCTATCCAAATCTGCCAACATTGCCATCCAATTTACATGAAGTAGATTCGTCCAAAGGGCCTCTTGCTATAAAGGCTACTCGCAGAGAAATCACACCCGCCGAACCGACATGGGAGTCAGTTGGAAAGGAACTTCTGCGGACTCTCGATGATGAAGAGAATTCAACCCTCGCCGATGTACCCACTCAATCGATTGTCATTGTTTTGCCGACCAGAAGCTCCCCGGAACCGGAAAGCCCTGATCACATCATGGAGAACACGGAAATGGCAATGGAAACCGAAGGACCAGGGGACAAGCAAGCTTCGGATGAGCACAATGACACGGTCCCGGTGCCAACGGCTGAGGATGACACAAAGCTAGAACAGGCCACATCTGAGCTCGGTGAAGAGCACGACCAGAGTGCTGAAAAACAGTTGATGGAATCACTCGAGCGCCAATCCACACAGCCTGGAGATCAACAGCCCGAGCACGATGAAGCCAACGCAGAAGATGCTGAACCGAGTTCCGCAATTGACGCGCGGAAAAGATCGTCCGCCTCGGCTGCGAATGACGAGCCAGAAGGGGGACGCATGAAAAGCAGACGAACGCGGGCTCGCGAATCGAATGCTGATTCTTTGGCTCCGCTTGAAGAGGTCACGTTCGACCAAGAAAGATACTATGCAGACCGCCTCGAGGTTTTCATCAATGCCGATGATTGGATGTTCACCACGGTTGATTCCTTGTTCTCCAAGGTTGGCGTTGAAGCACTCGGAAGTATCGAAAAACTCCGGGAAAAATGCCCAACAAGCATTGAGTCTGCCGACGTGATTGAAGAGCCCGAAACACGGTTGTTCCATGACTTGCGTGGTCTCATCAAAACCTGGGATGATCAGAAGTCTCGCCTGATGCAAAAAAAAGATGACACTTCACCCTTGAAAGATATCCGTGGCACAAGTAAATCTGGTCTAGCCGTTTTTCTGGAGCACTCCAGGAAAGGTACTCGGAAACCCATTCTCGAGGAGGAACTTCCTTCGGGGGAAGAGTTGCATGAGTTCTTCCATGCCATCAATTCCGACTGGCTGCATTCCCATGACACCGTATTAGAATGGCTCAAATGTCTTCTGATGCCCAATTTTGGTCAAGAGTCGTCAAATTGGTCCGCCGCGAAATCAACCTATACCGCCTTCTTATGGCCGGTGGACCTAAAGAAGACACTCTTGCAGTTGCTAGTTCGCGAAGACGAATACATTCACCGAGCCTGTTTTGAGCTGATCGCCAATCTTGAGCGTCGAGTCTTGGGCTCTGGAGATCAGACTCCTTTCGAATACCAGCCTCAAGACTTTTACGAACTAGAAATGATCCAAACTATTTACGAGCTTCATTTGGACATATTTTCTTCGGTCGAGGATCTCGGCAGTGAGGCCGTCGAAGAAACCAGAATTGCGCAGCGAGATCGTTTGGCCCGCTGGGGTATGCTGGCCAGGACATCTATTGATCATTTTGTGGAAAACGGTCCATCCGGTCAATGCCAACAAAACCTCACCCTTCGTCACCTCTGGACTTCCGCGTTCCACATAAATCTTGCTGGGGACGCGCAGCGAGAACACATATTGTTGTGTCTTCAAGATTTGAAACTGATTCTCCAGTCCCTCGGCAATCCGAATTTCAGCCTGGTCAACAACTCTATCATGTCAGAACTCTCTGCGGCCGTCATAGACCAAGAAGTCTTGAAGCTCAAGTGCATGGACTTCTTTGCCAAGGTCTTCAATTCTGATTCTGAGGACCCTGTCAGTCTCATCGAAGCCATCGAGCCTATCCTCGAGCCTTCGTCTGTAGAATATGCCGACAAGCCAGCAGAAAATGACATGAATCATCCGACTTCTCATTCAAACGAGATGGCTGCATTCCTTGACAGAGGCGATGCTACATTGCGATTGTTTCTTTGGCGCAGACTCCAGGAGGCGTACCAAGCGATTGACTACCCTCCCAAAGTTGTTTCCTGTCACTTGCGGAGCATCGAAGTCGTTATGACGGAGCTTGAGGCATCTAAGCACAATGAAGAAACAAATCAAAACCGCCAAGTCGCTCTGTTAGGATGGATCAAAACTCTCGATGGAATCATGGCTAAAGCGATACAATTGATCTTGGATGAATCAGACAAAGCATTTGAGTGCTTTGACATGGAACACCTTCAGTCGTCCATGTCTGCTGTGGCTCGTCTCACCCGGCTTCTACACAGTTTCATTCTATATGAAGACTCTGTGCGCGTGGGTCAAGTTTCCGGTCGTGAATTCCGCGGAGCATTGGCGAAATCGCTTGAAAACTTCAAGGATAGAATGCGAGAGCTTTATGTACGATGTTGGATCTTGCAGTACACCATGTTTTTGGAAGCGATTTTCCAGAACAAGGATTTGTTCAGTGATGCATTAGAAGACCGGATTCATTTCCTACGGTGCATCCACAACGCCTTGGGTGTGCGGTCTATGTGCAGGCATTCCCAGAAGAAGTTCCTCAAGCTCCTGAAAGCAGAGCTTTTCGGGCTTGAAACCAAGGGAGACTACGAATTTGACGTCAGTCAATTGCTCCTGGATCTTCACGGCATCAAATTCTCGCCGTTTGATGGGACCGTCGATCACGGGTGTTCCCCTGAGAAGCTCGATCGTCCCACGGCGATTATGATGATCGACTTTGTTCTTCAGCAAGCCAACAAGATGAACATGAAAGATCTTTCGAAGTCTGAATTGAAGACTACAATTGAGAAGATGCAGCAAGCCATTGGTCCCGCCAAGGCGAACTCTTCCGCGCCACAACTTACCTTCAACCGTCGTATCATCAACGCGTATCTCAAAACTGCCCTCAACCCTACCAATCTTCTCCGTGCCGTGCAGGGCATCACAGAGCTCTCGACAACAATTGTTCCTACCGAGAATGCCAAGATTGCTGCGAAGGGCTGGTTTTTCCTTCTCGGCCATGCCGCACTCACCAAGTTCCGATCACAAAAGCGCATCACTCCTGGATCAACGTCCGAACTCGAGGATGCCGTAACCTACTTCAGACAAGACCTAGACCACGGTACTGAAAGATGGGAATCATGGTATCGCCTGGCCCAGACCTACGACTCAAAGCTGGATGAGGAAATCACATGGGCCGCTGACAAGATCAACAATAACCAAGCTGACCTGGGCACGCTGCAACGGAACGCTATCCATTGCTATACAATGGCCATATCTACAGCTATCAGAACTGCTGACCCAACTGCCGAGACTAGGGACCTCATGTCAGATCTTTACTCTGACTTTGGTCAGCGTATATACGCGTCCTCTCGCGAACCACTTTCTATGGGAGCCTTTAGTGTGGCCGAGTTCCCTCGCCACTTCAGCAGCGAGGAGAGCCAACAGATGTACAAGGGAATGCCATTTAAAGAAATGTCGCCGTATTCGGCCTGGAACTTTGCAAGCAACCTGTTGAAGCGGGCCACCGGTGATAAATCCAAGCGTTGGATGTAAGTAACCAGGGAGGATTCTTGTGCAGCAAGTTCGAACACATGCTAACTATGAGTAGGACACATTATACACGCGGCAAATGTCTCTGGAAGATGTTCTGCAGTGATGACTCTTTGCGGACATCGTCTAAGAAGATCGAGATACAAGAGGTGCTGGGTGCCCTGCTCGATGCTGTCAATGCACTCCCGCAGCGGAGGGACTCTAGGTCCGATCCAATCTTCGAGCCTCACTTCAAGCTGTTCTCTGTTGTTCACAAGGCAGTCCTTCGAGGGCACATGACGGTCAGTACTATCCTGATACATTTCTCAGGAGTATTACTGACAGCTTTGGCAGCCTACCGAGGGAAGCAAAACCCTTCAGGCGGTTCCATGGGCCCGCAAAGTCGACGCCCCTGAGAATCTAGAAGGCTGGAACCCGTATATACTTGAAGTACTTAAGAAGTTCAAGAGCGCTGACAAGTCTAACTGGCATCATCGCATGAGTTCGAAGGTAGGCATCAAATCTTCAGTTTCAACGATGGTCCATCATGCTGACGTTGCTCCAGGCTGCACACATCCTTTACAACGAACAGAAAAACGCCACTTCTGCTCTTGCTGCCAAACAAGAGCTTTCTCAAATCTTCACCAAGACCCTTACCATTCAGGTTTGGCGACCAGAATTCGAGCGACCGGGTCGCCATTTCGTCTATACAACGCGTTACGTTTATTTCTTTGTCAGCTTGCTTGATCAACTCGATGACCGCACAAGCTTAGATCAATTGTTGCGTCGTGTCAGAAAGAAGCAAGGCGATTTCTTCCGCCACACCAAGCTTTGGGAGGACTGTTGCTTGACTTACGCCAAGGTTGGAATCAGCCCTTCCATTCATCAAAAAGACCCAGCTAACAAAAAAACTACAGTTGATTCGTCGCGCAGCCAAAATTAATGAAGGTCACGAAGAAGGCATCTTCAAGCCCATCGGCTGGGAAGAGTTCTCGACCAAGACCGCACGCCTTGAAAGCCTTCCCCAACTGGACTCAGAAAGCCAGCCCGTGCTGGAACTGCTCCGAGAGGCCCTGGAACTGAAGAAACTCAACAACAACTTTATGAAAATTACCATGTTCGAAGATCTGATCGCCGATCTCTATGCCCGAGTCTACGAAATCAACATCTCCCACCTCGTCGAGCAAGTCACCGACGAAAATAAAGAAAAGATGAGAGTCGACCACCTTCTCATGGGAGGAGATGGTCAACAAGACCCCTCAACCCCGGCAACAGCCGTACCCGCCTCTGATACGCCCGCTCCGCGAGGCCGAACTAAGGGCATTGCCCGGCGCGACATCCAGAAACGCGCCGACACGATCGTCAACACGAAGCTGGCTCCTCGTGTCCAAGCGAGCAAAACGGCCACAGCCGAGACAGAACAGGCTGCGGCTTCGCAAGGTGTCGGATCAACGACCTCGGGACCGAGTACTGCGCGGCGCGAGTCTCTCAAGCCCGTAGTTCCTAATGGGGATGCTACCGCTGATCAAAGAGAGGAGCGTGATGGTGACGATACCGAAAGTGATATTGAAGAGAGCAAACTCGAAGAGGGGACGTCGGCTCTTTTCCCACCTGTTACTGATGCAGAGGAGGGAGCGAGTGGTGACGAAGGCGTAGAGAATGGCAATGAGGGTGATGGTGAAGATGGTGCTGACAATGAAGGCGATGGAGAAGAGGAAGAGGGGGACGAAGACGAGATGCAAGATGAGGAAACCAGGTTGGAAGATGATGAGGACAAGGATGGCAGTGCTGATGAGTTTGGCAATGATACTGAAACTGAGCCTGTCAATGGCAACTCAGAGAGTCTCGAGCAGGATGCAATGGAAATTACGCCTGCCGATGCCTAATGGATTTTCTATGCATTTCGGGGTTTGGGTGGTTCTCTCTTTTGTTTTATCATTATCTGGAGTGCTTGGTTGGTGGGAGTTTTCTTTCAAAGAGGCAGGACAATGCATACTCCTCCATGGCGTTGAGAATGGTTGTTATGGTTTGCTTACAAGCTAGCATGTATAATATTTGCAGATGCCAAAAAAATCATTATTCAAAAATAATCCTGCAAGCCTTAATAAGCCTAACAATTCTGAAATAAAGGTAGAACAAGCCAAACGCCAGGGGATATCGTTCCGGACTAAATCAACAAATGAACTCAGGTATTAAAAAATTTGGTATCACAACCTTGGAAACAAGAAAAGAAGAATGCATCGTGATGGTCGTAATGGCGCAACGTAGAGAATTCCAGATGAGGAATTCTAAATGGCATCCTCTGGAGCGAGGTCCCATTTGCGGGTTCCTATTTTCCTTGTCTTCTTCATAGGCGACGCGTTCGGGGGCGGCGGAGCAAACATGGTGTCGGCGAGCTTCAATTGATCCATGCGCTGTAAAGCGTTCTCGATATCGCTTTCGCGACTGAGATTAGACCGCGCAGGCGCGGCGTTCTTGGTCCTTGGTTTTCTTGTAGGAGATTGGCTGAGCATCTCGCGCTCAAGAGCAACTAGTTTGCGGCGCAACTCATCGTTCTCTTGCTCAAGTTCCTCCACGCGCTCATTTGAGCCAGAGTCTTCGAAGACTGTATAGTAGATTAGTTTGGTATTCTTTAATCCTGGTGGTGTTCACAAGCTTACTCTGGAATCCACGGGACACGAGCTCGACCTTCTTGTCGATGTGCTCGTCATTGCGACCGATCTGGATATAGTTAGCTTTGTACCCAGCTATAAATTGATAATTACTCACCTGCTCGTCCCATGCGGTTTGCCACCGCTTCCTTTCTTCTTCCATTTTCTCATCCATCTCTGCCCAGCATTCTTCGCGCACATCTTGCTCAACCATGAGGCACCTGTCTTCGGCGGCTTGAAGTCTCAATTCAACCTCAGAACGGGCGATTTCTTCTTCCGCAAGCTTGACAGCAAGGGCGTGGCAATCGCGAGTCAGGCGATTGATCTCAGCGGCAGCTCTCTCAAGTTCTTCCGTTGATTCAACGTGGTGTGAAGAGCGGCCACTGACCGACCGGTGGCTGCTCGACGCTGTAGACATGATGGACCCGCACACCGAAGGTGCTCGAGCAACGGTCACCTCACGAGCCAAAGCAGAATAACGCAAGATTTGGGAGGTGGCATTGAAATCTCCCAGTGGATCGGCTGTCACGATCATGATGGCCTTCTGCGGATACTGTCCTCGCGACATCTGGGAAGATGACGGGAAAGAATTTGAGAACAAAAGTTCAGTCAATTTGCATTGGCGGTATGGAACAAGCGCAGTCTTCATAGGTCAGCAGCTGTTTGGGTATATAGATTAGGTTTCATACCTTCATTCCATCTTGAATATTGCTTTGCATTTGCAAACATTGTCCGAGATACATCAAACTCTCATTGATCTTACCAGCCTCGGCCAGGGTAGCACCAGCTGCCTTCGCAGTTCTGGCACGCTCGGATCCTGCAAGATCGACCACGGTGAGAGCATTCCCAACCCAGCTGTGTTCACCGGTGCGCTTCGAGTATGTCCGCTTCTTGACTTCAATAGAGAAGAATCCATGGCTTCGAGAGCTGACGCTATTCATTCCAGTGCCAGTAACCTTGCGCTCAGTGAGACCGACATCCAAAATGGCCAAGGCCTCTTCATAACTGCCGCAGGCAATTTTGCGCAGACCTGCAACCAATTTCCGGTCTGGGGAACCCTCGGTCGGCTTGAATAGCAACGGGCGTCGTCGGTCTTTCTGGTTGTTTCCACGGGACATAGTGTTTCCTTGACCAGTAACGATCGCGGGGGACAAAAGGTCAAAAATGCGGTCGTTGTATACCTCGTACATCGATACTAACACGACGTAATCAGACTTGGCATCCATTTCGACTGTCAAGTGGCTCATATCCGGGAGTCGAGGGAGGGCATCTGGCCTTTCACGAGGGTGCCGGCGGGGGAAGTTCAGTGCTGGAGTGGGTTCCTTAAAGACAAAAAGTCGAGATTTAGCGGGCTGGGACTCAAAGATATTGGAGTGGGTGTAGGGGAGGGGGTTAGCGAATCCCGAAGTACTCCATCCAGAATTTGCAGTCGATATCTGGTATATGCCAGCTCGATCTGCACCTTTGGGACTGGCAATACCAGTAATCGCGACCTTATGGGGAGTTCCAGGTTGGGATTTCGGTCTCGGGAGAGACGATATAGGTTTATGGTTTCGCAGTGTTGGCGATCCAAGAGGGGAATTGAGAGTAGGGGTTGTTCGTACCATTAGGGGAGTATTCGCACGGCCGGGACTCATGGGTGTCTGCGCTCTAGAAGAACGTCCGGTTGGCTCGCCATACACAGCTTCCAGGAATGTCTGCGCGGAAAACAATTGAGCTTCAGACGCATCTGCCGTGGCCAGTGAGGCCATCATGACGGGAGTGATGCTGCCGTCGTCGGTCTTGATTGTCGGTTCCAATGAGCGGAATATAACGTCGAGTGCCATCTGGGTCATTCCCCGCTGTGTCTTGGATCCTAAAATAGTATGGCTCTGAGACGCATGGTTAGTTTCAGCCTCGGGACTCGGCGATAGGCTGTTCAAACCTTTCCACTGCCCGATACTCCAAGAGTCGCAACCAAGCCATCTCGGTTTTCTTTGAGAACTCCCCGAATAATGGGTTCCATTCCGGTATCGTGGAAAACATCCAATTGGGATGCCGACTCCTCAAAAACCTTGGTAAAACCAAAGCGCTCCACGGCGCGCTTCCTCGTGTCATTTGGGGGTTGAAGCGTGATGTGTGTCGATCCCGGCGCAACAATTTCTGTTTCTTCCAACAGGGCCTCAGGAGGCTCCACGGTAAGGAAACGGCCGGATTCATCGGTTTTCTGGGTCATCGGCGGGCGCAAGCGCAGGAAAACCTGAAAAAGCGAGGTCTGGGGTTGTTTGGGCGGCATTTTGGGCGCTTGTCTCGCGGGTCGACAACACGATGACGGGCGTTGAGGCTGTAATGATCCAAAACAGTGCTACTGCGTTGTACCTGCAGAGCCCAGATCGATCGTCAACATTGCACTTTACCGCTTTGGGGTTGCCCTGACAACTCCATCACGTGTAGAGGCTCTGCGCGGCGCCTAACCCAAAGTGGTAATTCTACAATGACACTGCACAACATTTATTCTGCATACAATGAGTACTTCGAATAGTGGTCCTGCATCTATGGATTCTACTGTCATCGTTGTCTGTCACTGGATGGCCACGTCTAGGCTTTGATGCTGTGTGCGATACCGCTACCTACATATGTCTTCGTGGCTTTTGAGGAAAATATATAGCCACTTACTGGTCGCCGATGGAGGCGAAACTCTTTCCCCTTTCAATGCACGAAATCAGATTTTGCCCAAACTCACACAGGCTCAACTCTATAAAATCAACTTCCAAGTCTACAAACTCCGATTTGAAACCTCCAAGTTTCGACTGTCAGATTGCATGTCAACTCAAGGCTTCGACTTGCCAGAACGCTCGATCTTGCGAAGAATCCTGGCTGGGCTTCCTGCAACTACATGGCAGTCTGGGACATTCTGATCACAGTCAGAACTCGTGTCAGTCTTTGAGTTACCAAGCCATGCTGCGAGAATAGCCAAATTCAGTGGAGAGGATCTCGGTACCTTTGTAACCACGCTTCCTGCGCCAACGGTGCAACCATCACCAATCGTCACTCCAGGCAAGATGGTGACATTTCCTGCAATCCAGCAATCCTCGCCAACTGTAATAGGAAGGCCTAGCTCCGGTCCATTGGTCCCATCGCGAAGATCGGGGTCTAGTGGGTGGGTGCCACTGAAGAAACACACATTCGGGCCAATAAGAGTGCGCGCACCAATAGATACAAGACATGTATCGAGGAAGGTACAGTTGAAGTTGATAAAGACATTGCTTCCGACTTTAATATTTGTACCATAATCAATATTGATGGGTCGTTCAATCCATGGATATTCGTGAAGAATTGCATCTTCCTCTTCATCCGTCACACCTGGAGATGGCAGAGGCCGGGAATCGTTCGTGATACTTCGGATTATTGTCAGTAACTGGTATCAACCACAGAGCATTTATGATCCAGCAGAACACTGTCGTCTAGACAGGGTCTCATGACTGACTTTTTCCAGTAAGTAGCCAATTCACGCCGGGAGAGCTCCCCTGCGCGGTTGAGCTCACCAACAAGGCGCCCGCATCTCTTACGTGCAGCGACCAGCTGTGGAGAAAAGGCGTGGTAGAGCTCACCTCTTTCCATGCGAGCCAGATTCTCCTTCTCGTCGATATTGGTTAACATTGTGAAGTTGTCGTTTTTGAATGGTTGGAGAAAAAGGTTTGAAGTGAGAGCAAATATGAAGTTGTTGATTTTGTGTGGATATTGGTTCTACAGACCGTTGGGAGAGTCATCCTTACGATTTAATTAATTAGCATACTTCGTTCTCAAACGAGGGAATGCAGTGGAGACTGGTAAACGTGTTTAACCACTTTAAGAAAATAGTAGCCGCGGTGTGGACCAAAGGATCCAATCATATCCTCGCGCGAGAATCTGCACTTCATACTCCGTGATTCTCGCTGCATTAGCTTGACTTCCATGGCTGTTCTTGTTGTGCGAAGTGACGTGAATTTCAAACCATGTCTTTGGGCGACCCAAACCCATATAAACACTCATCCAGCTCGCCCAATCCAACCAGTCACTTACATATACATTTCCATCAGTTTGAAACCTCCCTCAAAGAGTAAATATGACGTCATCGCCTGAATGGGCCAAAATGGTTCGTGGTGAGTGGTATCACGCCGGCGATGAGATCTTGCAAGAGAATAGAGAGCGTTGCAAGAGGGCTTGTGATGAGTTCAATGCGGCAAAGTATGCCTCTCGACGCGAAAAAGTCAGGCTTTGGAGAGGGTAAGTAGCACCGCCGATCAACACGAGTCGGATTGGGAGGCTGACTGTTAGAAAATTAGCATTGTTGGCGACACCCGGCCATTGCCCGAGGAAATTGCGAGTGTAAAAGAGGACGAGGCTCTCTTTGAAGATACAGATCCATTTGTTGACGGCCCAATCTCAATCGATCACGGACTCAACTTCAAAGTGGGAAAAGGAAGCTTTCTCAATTTCAACCTTCTCGTTCTCGATACATGCCTTATTACAATAGGCGAGAATGTCCTGTTTGGGCCTAATGTTGGGCTATTTGGCGCCGTTCATCCCATGGACCCGGCGGAGCGCCGTGGGCTCAAGGGACCGGAAGCAGGGAAGGAAATACACATTGAGGATGATGTTTGGATTGGAGCTGGTGCCTCTGTCTTGGGTGGAGTGCGGGTGGGACGAGGCAGCACAGTTGGCGCCTGCTCCGTCGTCACCAAAGTAAGTGCCGATTCCTCGACTCAATTCACGCGAATGCTTTGCTTACTTTCTCGTTGTAGGACGTTCCTCCTTTCCATTTCGTGGCTGGGAACCCTGCTAGAATTATCAGAAAAATCCAATCTACAATGGACACGGACATTAATGATAATTCGACCAACACGGGAGAGGGTATCTGAATTGAATGATGTTATTCCCTGGGGGCATCGGTACTTTCAGAACCTTGGAATATTTTGCCTGCTAGGTCTCGTTTGATGCTGAGTACATATCACTGTTGGTCGATGGTCCTTCGATCTTTTGCTCAATACTTCTCCTTGCTCGGTATATCCCCAATCCCTAATTCTCTGTTCACGGCTTATCCAAGACTTTCTTTACTCGACCAATCATAACTACTCGATGATTAGTTGGAAGTACAGTTAAAAAAGACAGTCAAAAGGACAGTCAAAAAGACAGTAAAAAGGATAGCAAAAAAGACAGAATACCTAGGTATAAGCAGCCTTGGAATAACGTCTAGTAGATATTGATCAATTCTGATGTCCAGGTGTTTATAGAAAGGATAGTGATAAGTCAGCGCAAATTGAGCTAATAAACAACTGCTCCGTTTTATAGCCAACTTTTGATGTCTCTTTGGCCGCGCATGAGCGCGGCACTCAGGCTTATCATTATCATTTTTCACATTCGCTCCAACCTCGTTTAGAACACTCTGAACCATCATTCATTGAAAAGCTCGTTCCTTCGAACCTAGAGTAGGGATTGCCCAAGCTGTAAGGCCCGACGAGGAGCTTGAATAGGCGGATTAGCTCTAGAATGCCTGCTAGGCAAGTATATCAAAAGACTAAGATTGGCAGCCGCTCCAAGTCGCCCTGCCAAGATGGGTCAACATTTCTCCGCTCCTCGATTATTCAACCAATCATGCCACGTGGTGTCCCCCGCATACCTTTTCCAAATCAGGCACAACGCTGTCGTCTTTTAAGTTGCCCAATTGCAGCTTGAAGATGACAGAGGATACTTCAGATACCAATTCCAAGACAAAAAATGTGAAGCCATCACAAAGAACTCGGACTGGATGCTTAACATGCCGGCACCGCAAAAAGAAATGCGACGAGAGTCATCCCTCATGTGCAGGCTGTCGACGCAACACGCTCGACTGCCAATGGGAATCGAGTGTCTCACTGTCAAAACCAAGAAGTCGTCGCCGACAATCTCAACTCTCTCAACAGACACTACCTGAGCAAGCCCAGCGAATGGTCAGTGTCTTCTCTGTCCTCACACCGGACATCACATCCCGCTTGCTCGGTCACTTCATGGACGAAAGTCCAAGGTGGATGTCAACCAGACAGGGGCCAAAAAGAGCCGAATATCTCGAATATCTTCACCCTGCTATATCCGCAAGTCCTCTAGTATTAAATTGCATTCTCACGATAGCCTCGGCGGACTTGCTCAAGTATCGCCGCGGCGACTCGGAACTGCGGCACGTGGCTCTAGAGTACTACGGCAAAGCGATATCCAGCCTTCGAAACGAGATTACCAACGAGATGAGCGTGGCATCTTCAATCGACACACCTCTTACTGGTGCGAAGCTATAACATGCCTTTCTTCGATCTTAAGAGCTAACATGCACTGCATTTGTAGATTATAACTTGCTCGCTGTGCTCTTATTATGTCTACACGAGGTATCTAGAATTGGCTTCCTGGTGATATAAAATCCGTGACTAACCTTGCTAGACCCAGAATTTCACCGAAAGTGAGAGGATACTGCCACATTTAAACGCCGCTGTGCTTCTTTTGCAGAATCGCATCTGCCGCGGTAGTCTGCACTTGGACCTGCGTGGCTACCTATATGAAGTATTTTGCTATTTCTTCTCTCTGACTGCCTTCTCGCTTGGCCATAAATTATCTCTCATCCGGGCATACGCTATATTCGATTCCCCGTCCTTCATTGGAAACATCCACCACGGTCATATCATGGGATCTTGTCAGCGCCTATTTACCACGATATTCCGCTTCTCCACATTGACTCAAGCTCTGGCTTCAGATGACCTCCAATCGCAATCAGCAGCCAGGTTCGAACTCTTGCAGATGGACGAGGAACTACAAACTTGCCAGGTCGAACCTGCTGCCGAGCAAGCACCAGGTTTTGAACATGACGATAGTACCATTACGTATGAGCTTTACCGCTTGGCTTGTCGTATCCATGTCAAAGTTCTTATTTCCTCTGGTACACCCAATCAAGATGGGGCTGTGCAATCTCTAGTGGAAGCTTTTGTGGCCCACTTGCAAACCCTTCCGCCGAACTCGCCTTCACACAGCATTTTAAGCTGGCCACTTGTAATAGCAGGGGTCTCTGCAACTGAGAGCAGACACCAGCGTGCTATAGTCAATAAATTGGCGCACATTTACGAGGGCTTACAGGCTGAGATCTTTTCAAAAAGTGCGGCATTCCTGCGGGCAAAATGGAAGAAAGACAGAGATTCAAAGCTTGTTCACTCTGATATTCCCCCCAGTGCTCAGCTGAAAGTGTCTGGAGGACCTGGCATAACTGTCCTGTCATTCTCGCTTGACCGTAACTGGTCAACTATACGAAGGGGCGTGCTTAATGTGTCCTAATGGCTGTTACTGCCAACGTGGAGAACCATCTCATTGATCCGCTTTATAACTCAGCGCTATGATCCATTTTGACAAGGGTCATAGTGGGTGCAATGCCAACTCCACCGTTTGAATAATTCAGAACCTCTCTCATCAATTCGACAGAGAACATGGGTCGATTCAGAGGAAAACACCGAACAAATTCCTGAGAGGAAGGAGATCCATTCTAGCTCTTGTTTCATTTGCAGCGACCGACTACCCCTTCAAATGCTCGAAGGGTAACACTGGGCTGAACCGCTCTGATAGGAGCTGTCTGGAGGGTAGACAGCACCCAGCTCGTGACCTGAATGCCGGAAGGAAGCCTCCACTCAACCGCGGAAGTCGTCCAATTCATCAAAACCAGCCATCTCTCTTTCTTGGCAGCGTCAGTCCTCAAGTACGCGAAGACCTTCTCATTTTCAAAGTCCAAATCCTCAAAGTCACCATAGACAAAAACATCTTTATTCAGCTTTCGATGCTGCAATGCTCGTTGCCAGTACTGCCACACCGACAGTTCGCCTGCTTCATGCGATGGAAAACTCATCTGAGCTTCCACATTTATTTCCTTGTAGTCATCGTTCAACCTCATCCAAGGTTTCACGTCTGCAGCAGCAAATCCCGCATTCGGAGTAGCATCCCATTGCATCGGCGTGCGGGCATTATCTCTAGCCTTCTTCTGCAAAAGAACTCGTGCCTTCACAAGCTCCTCAGATCCGACAGGATGGAGCTCTTTTGACTTTTTCCAGAAGTTCACGGATTCAATGTCTTTATAGTCGGTATCCGGGTTCCAATCGATGGAAAAATTGCGCATGCCAATCTCCTGGCCTTGATAGAGGTAAAGAGTTCCCCCGAGTGTGGTTTCCAAAAGTGCCAGTATCTTGGCACCGCGTGCTCGGAATTCGTCCGTATCATTTGTATAACGTGACACCGACCGCGCCTGATCATGACATTCCAAGAATATGGCATTCCAGCCGTCCCACTTCTTCATTCGTCTCTGCCATCCTGATATGATGCCTTTCAACTCCGTCAACTTCCAGTCACGCAAAGTCCACTTTGATTCGCCTTTGGTTTTGATGTCTTCAATCTCCATATGATCGAAGTTGAAAGACATATTCAACTCTTGAGCGGTGGATCCTACCGTTCGGATGATTTCTTCTATGTCGGTAACATAAGGGGTCTCTCCAACAGTTATAGTCTCGTATTTGGCAAGGACGTTGTGGTATATTCCATGCATAAACTCATGAAAACGTGGCCCATTTGTGAAAAATCGCTCGCCGGGTTGGTACTTGGAGGTCGGATCGGTGATCGGGGCATCTGGGAAGGTCTGGTCCTTCGAAATGAGGTTGATGACATCCATGCGGAACCCGGCAACACCACGGCTTAGCCAGAATTCCATTACCTGTGACCAGCAAGAGTCAGTAGAGTTGATCATTGTAAGGGCTTCAATCAAGTGCAGCTCACATCGTAAATAGCAGCAACAACGCTTTCATTCTCCCAGTTGAGATCAACTTGCTCTGGCGTGTGTAAAGTAAGGTAGAACTCTTGAGTTGCTTCATGCCAAGTCCAGGCGCTAAGTGTACCGCCCAAGATCTGAGCCCAGTTATTCGGAGGCACAGGGTTCCCAGCCTGATCAAACCCCTTAGCTGGTCTCCAAATATACCAATCTCGTTTGGGTGAGTCTCTAGACTTCGCAGACTCGACAAACCAATCATGCTGATCGGAGGTATGATTGACCACAAGATCCATCATAAGTTTCATATCGTGATCGCTCAGCGTTTTGATCAGAAGATCCACGTCTCCCAAAGTGCCATACCGTGGATCGATGGATTTGTAGTCGGCAATGTCGTAGCCCATGTCGACTTGCGGCGACTTGTAAACTTCACGATGAAAAGTCAGTCATTGTAATGGAATTCGAACCATCGGTGAGATTTGGAAAGAAAATGAAGAGGGTTCAAACCCCAGACTCTGGAGCTGCCCCTTGAGTATGCTTACTTACTGGGGCTCGACCACAAGACATCGACACCCAGGCTTCTCAGATAAGGCACTTTCTCGATGATACCACTCACGTCTCCCCATCCGTCGGCCTTGTCTATGGCATTTCCGCTTTTAAAGCTTGCAGGGTACACCTGATAGACCACCGCCTCTTTCCACCACTTCTTAACTGTATAGTTTGACTCGAGAGTCGACATCTTTTGAAATTTGAAAACACAAAGGTTGACGGGTGTTTATGTGCTGGTCTCAGCTGGGTGTCTGCTTGGGGTGATGCGTGTCAAAAAAGAGTCCGAAGTGACAGACTTGAAAGAGTGCAGTCGCTAGAATCAAAAATGGATATGGCAACCACGCATTGCTTCGGTTCCTCATGCATCGAATAACAGGCATAGTCCCGCTTTCATGTCCACAATACGCCTTCTAAGACACAGTCAGACAGAGTGCACTCCACTTCGGCCAACATGATATAATAGATGTGCATCATGTGGGGACTCCCCCTCTGAGGGGTCAAGATCTGTACTATTCCCCTTTGAGCTGTTAACAGCCGCGCATCCGCATCTATCTCCGAGATGATGAGCAACAACTTCAAGATAGGATTGAACCCACTAAATCTCGGATGGGTGTTCCGACCTTTTGTGAGAAAGCAATGCTCGTGCTGTAGTTTTCCAAGTCAAATAGCCGCTCTTGTCGACCCCAAAATCTACTTTCGCTTGCATGTTTTCTTCGTAACAACGTCTCCCAATATTCCAAAGCCATCTCGCACGATTGTTTCTCTGGTCGGCCTGTTCGCATTACAAGTCAACCGATCTCTAGCCATTGTTGAGCTTTCCACGGTAGCCTGATAAATTAGGGAGCAATTATCATGCAAATGGAAGTGACAGACCCAGAATGCCACTTTGAAGGCATCGCGTACGTGGATGGCGAGGCATCGGGAAAGCTAGTGGCAAGTGATGTGCAACTGAGCTTCTGGGGTGGAGTGGATCCTCGGACGAGCGAGGTCATTGACCGTCACCATCCATTGAGTGGAAAACACCTCGAAGGCTCTATCCTTGCTATTCCAAGTGGACGTGGCTCGTGTACAGGCAGCGCGGTTATGTTGGAGCTTCTTCTAAACAACAAAGCACCCAGCGCACTTTTGCTCGAACGCAGAGAAGACATCCTGACACTTGGAGTCATCGTCGCACAAGAAGTCTTTGCCAAATCAATTCCTGTGGTGACTATTGGTCGGGAAAACTTTCACAATCTGCTCAGATTTAGCGGGTGCAACTTGCATGTCGCTGGTGGTCATGTTTCAATGAGAAGGCCCCTCTCTGAGAAAAGCAAGATCTCATCGCGCATTGGAATCGAGCCAGCTCTTTCCACGAGCAATATCGAGCTTACAGAGCTTGATCAAGCGATCCTCGATGGTCTTCACGGCAATGCTGCAAGCGTAGCAATGCGCATAGTTCTCCGGCTGGCAGTGATTCTTGAAGCTACAGAGCTGATGGATGTCACGCAGGTCCATGTCGATGGATGTGGATACACCGGGCCAGGATCGCTAGCTTTCGCAGAAGCTCTCCGGGATCGTGGTGGGAAGGTCCGAGTTCCGACTTCTTTGAACTCGATTTCAGTCGACAAAAATCTTGGCCGTGTGGAAGGATTTGATGAAGAGTTCAGTGAAGCAGCCAAAAGGTTAGCGGATGCCTACACTGACATGGGAGCGCAGCCAACGTTCACATGTGCCCCATATCAACTTAAAAGCGCCCCAAAATTTGGAGATCAAATAGCATGGGCGGAGTCAAACGCAGTTGTATACGCAAACAGTGTGCTTGGAGCGAGAACGATGAAATACCCAGACTTTCTCGACATCTCAGTTGCCCTAACTGGTCGAGCTCCGAAGGGAGGTCCGCACGTTCAACACAACAGATTGGCTTCACTTGTCGTGAATATCCCCAGATTCCAGGATGAAGAGATTGATGACTCTTTCTTTCCCTTGCTGGGATACCACGTTGGGACACTGGCGACGAGAGAGATTCCAGTTGTTACCGGAATGGAGTCACTGGCCCCCACGCTAGACGATTTGAAAGCTTTCGGGGCTGCATTTGCGACTGTCTCTAGTGCTCCAATGTTTCATATCGTCGGTGTGACACCCGAAGCACCAACTCTTGAGGTTGCAGTTAGGCAAGGGCCTGATCTGCATTCTATCGACATACAACTCGGTGATTTGCTCCCCTGCTGGGATTCCCTTAACAGTGCGTTGAAAGATCAACCTGTTGACTTGATCTCTTTGGGCAATCCGCACTTTTCATTGACAGAAATAGAAAAGCTTGCTGAGCTCTTCAAGGGACGGACCAAAGTTGATGGAGTTGCTGTGATGGTAACATGCGGAAGAGCAACCTATGCCAAAGCCTGTCAAGCCGGGCTGGTGGATGAATTGGATGCAGTAGGGGTTCAGTTTATCACTGACACATGCTGGTGTATGATGACTGAACCGACTATTCCTAAGTCTGCGAATGCTATCATGACGAACTCTGGGAAGTATGCCCACTATGGGCCAGGTCTTACCGGGAAGAGGTTTTATTTTGGGAGTGTGGCCAGGTGCGTTGAGGCTGCATGTGGAGGTGATTTTGCCAAAATCAGGCCAAGCTGGCTTGGACATCTCAAGGCAGTGAATCCAAACACATTATTGGGAAAAAGTTGATGGGCAATGTAGAGATTGGTGAGAGGAAATGGAGACAGAGAGAAAAACATACTCAAGTGAAAGGTTGTGGTTTTGTGCTCGTGCCCAAGGAGCCGTGTTGTACGGGCAACTGAGCGTTTCTTTCGTTTCCTTCGAACTGAGCTTCCTGGATCGTCTCATCGAGTAAGAGTAGTGGGTACTAAGGTGCTGGGTGTGTAGTTGCCATGATCAGACCATCTTTCAAAGACATAAGTGAAGTCACATTCATGACCCTATCGCGTTGATCCCTCGATCGGAACTCGCTGCTAACATGTGGGCATCAACGTACCTCCACCGCATGAACACGGCCCTAAGGCTCGTATATGGAAATTGGGTGGATGGCAAGTGATGATTGGTGGCTGTAGGGGCAGATTCTTGTAGATAGTAGATCATAATCAAGGCGTAACTCTATCCAAACTAAATCCGATTCGTGTATCGACCATGACTCTCGAAAAAGTCCACTTAAACCCCTTTGCTAAATGATCACCATTCGTCTATCGTGACCCAAGGGTTGACTTCGTATTTCTCTGCGCCTTGCCAAGCCGTTGCGGATACGAAGCCTCTTTGAGACCCACTCATTTAGGCACGCTTGTCCTAATCAGGTAACTCGTTTTCGCTTACTTGGGGCGCGTGCCAATTTGGGATTACATAGACTTCATCCACGGCAGCTCATGTATATATTTATACCCCGTAACCCAAGCAGAAATCAAAATGTATATATCAGTTTATGCTCCTGCTCTCAGGCAAGCCCTCAAAGCACTTCGCAGTTTTTCATATCTTCCAACCTTCCATCTAGATTTCTCGATCGGGTATTGATCTAAACCATGCTCGAACCAAGATCAGCATATAGTGAGAATAACCACAGATTAACATCTTCATACTGGTTCTAACAATGCATGGCAGAGGAGGGCAGCTTGTGGTTCTACGCCCCCAACAAAGGTGCCGCGATATCCTTTGCTATTCTCTTTGCTATCTCAGGTTTCATACACGGTTACCAAAGCTTGTAGGATTTTTCCTACCTCCTGATACCCTTGAATAGCAAGCTCATCACATCTTCAGCAAATACAAGTCGTGGAAAGTGACCGGTCTTCTCCCATGGTCAGCTTTGCTTTTCACTGCCGGTTTCATCCTGCGTACCATCGGAGCCTATGGACAATGGGACGACAAGGGCGTGTTCATTGCCAGCACGGTACTCCTCTTAGCCGGCCCGTAAGTGATCTATACCCACACGTGACATGCTATTGTTATTGACCGGATAATCTTTGTAGGCCAGTATATGAAGGTGCAAACTTCTTCATCCTCGGTCGAATTCTGTACTACATCCCATACCACTCTCCAATCCACCCCGGCCGAGTATTCACAACATTTGTCGCCCTGGGTGTTGTAATCGAGAGTATCACTGCAAATGGAGCCGTACGAGTCGCAGCCTCAGACTCTACCGTTGCATCGCAAAACATCGGCAAGTCCCTGCTCAAAGCAGCATTGATCATGCAAATCGCCTTGATGGTAGGGTTTGTGACTCTCGCTGGTCGATTCCATTTCAACTGTTCTCGAGGAGGCGTATTGAACTTCAAGATCAAACGTGCGCTGTATGTGTTGTATTGCAGTTGCACGCTTATCACAATCCGCACCATCTACCGGACTGTCGAATACTTCACTGCAGCTAGCCTCAACGCTTACGGTGATATTGACAAAATTAGCCCGGTACTGAAAGATGAATGGTTCTTCTGGGTCTTTGAGGTTCTGTTCATGTACACGAACACTACACTGCTCAACGTTTTCCACCCGATGCGCTCCCTCCCGCGCTCTAACAAGATATATTTGGCAAGTGACGGTGTAACCGAGGTTGAAGGGCCTGGTTATGAAGATCCTCGTCACTGGCTCCAAACATTTGTGGATCCGTTTGATATATATGGACTTATCGTTAACAGGGGCAAGAAGGAGAAATACTGGGAAACAAACACAACACAAGCCGACTTGACTCCCAAGCAAGTTGTTTGATTATCCACACCCCTTCGCAGGTTCTCTGTTGCCCTTATGTTTAGCTATGATTTGCTTTTAAGATTCTTTTTTCCTCATTGTGTTTTCATAAGAACGCATTTAATTTCACGATCTTGGCTTTCTTGGAACTTGTTCTCGAAAACATTTGAATTCGTTCGTGAAGCCTAAACTTTTGTTAAAAAAACAGTATATACAAAGTTGATCTCTAACTATCAATCAGAAATCATCCTCGTCTTTACCGAGCTCCTGTTGCATCTCCCAACTATACCGTGCAAACTTGCTAGCCTGACGAATCCTCTCACCATAGATGATGAACAGAGGCGGTACCACACAGAATGCAGTCGCCACAGCAGCCAGCACGGACATGGCAACATTATTCCCCAATCCATCAAACATTTGATCCGTGAAGAGTGGGAAAGTACCAGACAGCAATGCCCGCATGAAAGCGATCGCTGCAGAGGCACTGGCAGAGTAGCTCAGATAACTATCTGAGATGTATCCATATAGAACAGTGTCCAGTTCTGTCAGAGCATACCCGACCAAAACAAGGGAGAGTGCCGGAACAATCCATGGGGCATGGACATCAGGTGGAATAGTCCAAGCGAACCACCATAGACCGATTGCCAAGGTTGGACCGCCTAGCGCTAAGCCAACGAGTTTGTGTTCTGGTTTGATAGTGCGACCCTGTTTGCGGAGGTAGTTGAGGATGTATTCATCCAGCACACGGGTAAATGCACTCAAAAGAGTTCCCAAGGCAATGGCAATGAATATCAGTGAAGCGTCTGTTTCTTTGAAGCCCATAGACTCGAAGATCGGCTGGAGTGCTTGTGTGAATATGTAAATGAGTGACATGGACACGGCAATCATCATTGCAACGAGGAAGAGTATGGGCTCTCGGAAAAACAACTGCACAGGTCGGAGTAAAGACTCTCTCACAAAGGCGTGTAGACCGGGAATGTGATCGTGGTTGAGCGGTGGTGGAATTGAGTCCACGGTAGTCAAACTTGTGACCTTTTTCACTTCGTCGGCCAGCAACAGTGAAGGTCGAGATTCGCGAATGAAGAAAAGCGCAACTGTGATCGAGGCGATCATGATGGCGAAGACGTAGAAATTCCACCTCCTGGAAACCTGGTCAATACCCGAACTTGTCATTGTGCACGGCGACGGATGAGGTACTTACCAATCAAGAGCCGCAATGACAAAGCTGCTCAGAATGGGTCCTATAACGAGCCCAATATTTGATGCAATGGTCCAGTAGTACATGGCCCAGATTCGACCCCGAGAGTTGAACATGTCCTCAATGCTGCCACCAATGATGGTGTAAGGAATCGCAGAGAGAAGTCCGGCAACGATGCGCATAGCGATAATCACAGGCATCGGGCGCACGAGGCCAATGACCATGCAGCATATAGCGCTTAGGCCGCTGCTCCAGATGTACATATTCTTCCGCCCAAATGCCTCTGACCAGGGTGGGAATAATACGGATCCTGCCACCTGACCAAGAAGGAATCTGATTTGGGTTAGCCATGCTGCAAGCCATACGGAGTCAAGAATTTCCGCCTTACAAGGTCACGAAATAAAATGTAGACAGCGTCGAACTTATGTTGTATTCAGTCTCAGCCTTTTTGGCAGCAACCGACTGGGTAATTCGTGTTAGCTTAACAACAATTTATGTCATGATTCAATAGTCACTCACTCCAGCGGTGCTTGATGCCGTGCTGCAATTTTTGTCAGCAGGTAATTGTGAATTGGGTATAAAAATTCCAAACATACATGAAAAGATCCAGCAAGCATATCACGATAATGTCATATGTTTTTCGTGGCGTTGACCAATTGCGAGGATGTTTAGGATGATCACGTAGCCATCGGACATATTTTCCATCTGGGGTAAGCTCAAGAGAATGTTCCTGCAGCAAAACCAGAGCAGAGGACTTTGGCTCGTCCATCAAAGTCGACACAGTCGATTCCGGGGAGATGGAATGCATATTGAGCGAGTGAATCAATCATAAAATCAGTCAATGAAGAGCAAGTCCGTATAAAAGCCCGTATATACCGAACATGCCAGAGCCTGGACATCACACAAGGTGGGATCTGAAGTATTTGTAACCATCTCTGCAAATGTACCTGGGCCGAAATTCTCGTGGAAACCTTGCCCTGAGAATGGAGCCCCTTGCGATCTGCAACATGGCTTGGTTTGTGAGAGCTCGGCTCATACAAAACACGCGTCAGCTACCGAAAATTGTGTGAAGTACCTTGCGTGATCCACGGCTAGCATCTGTCGGTAAGTGATAGCCGAAGCTTAGCTCTGCAGTCAAGCCTTTGCCCTAAAATGAAGTCTGTTTTCTGTACGCCGCGGGTATTCGGAAGGGGATCTCGAGGTCTCCACCACGAGAGTCTGTCCAGTGACCTAATTTGCAGGGGTGGCAGTTTCCAGCATTCCTCCAAGCAATTTCTCCGCGGTCTTTTGAGCTAAAGGTCCCTTTCAAGAAACGATCTACGCATGATGTCAACGCGTCCTCTTGCCTGTGAGAACTACAAACGTAGTACAATGTATTACATATCCCCATATAGAGAAATAAGCTTTGATGGGTCCATGTAGATAAAGACGAGGCCCGGGGAGAAACAGCAGACCCACCCTGGTGGCGACTAGTATCCCGATCACAGGCATCAGATGGTTTCTTCTATTCATAGATCAAAACTTTGGAAGGAGCTAAGCGGTAGCAGCGAGACATGTACAAGGTGGAAGGGAGGCTTGACCACAAACCTTTCATTCTACCAGACACATGCTTTCACAGGTTGCAACTTTCATGAAATTATTGTAGTCGCAATTTTGAGAATGCTATCAATTGGAGGCAGCACAAATTCGTCATTGCATAAAATTGACATCACGATGTCTAGAACCTAGCTATTCGGATGATCTACGTCGATCGGTCATACTAGACCCATGATAAACCTCCAAGGGAGCACGCATCTCCACTACAGCTTGGAGATCAGCTGCTCATGATACATAAAGCTGGACACGTCGCCTTCGGTGGAGCACACAACTTCGTATGCATTCGCAACCTGTTCTTATGAGCGCATTTCTGTAACCAAACGGATTTTTCAGACCCTTAACGATAATGGTACGTTCAATCAGAGAAGCACGCCATTTTATAGAGATCTCATATTGTGGCATGCACGTTTTTCCTACAAATATTCAATCAGAATCGTCATCTCAATTCTCATTACTCCGCACGGAGTAATAAACTTGGAATTTCAGTCTGCTCGGGTGGAGTGTCGGTATTGGTAGTTCCCAAGACATCTGCTGTCCTGGTTGCATCACAGTGAAATGTCTTCCTTGGGTAAAATCAATTTACCCACTGGAAATAAATCGACACCAAAGGCCTTGTAAAAGCAAAATATTAAATTTCCGAAAAAGCCTTGGAGGTCGGTAAAGTGAAGATGAGGCATCAAGGCAGAAAGCTCGATCTGCGCCAAGCCGATCTCCGACAAGGCCACCTCTCCGCATCACCGCGGATCAAAACACAACAGAGGTAGCTTGAAGAAAGCACAACAGGTACTGCCCGAGTTGAGGAATCTACTGAGCTCTTTGTGTGGATGCTGACCCATCACTATCCAGGAACCTCCGACCCTGTCCTTCTTTGTCCCTATCTCAAACCACAAACCGCCCACCATGTTGTCCTCGCTATCCTCAAGTATCTCGAACATGCGGCAATCAATTGCCCAAGTGCTGAATTTCGCACTCGTCCTTTCCACCGCCTTCATGATGGTAGGTTCACGCCTGCCAACCGCCAGAGCACCGAGCTAATAAACACAAAGTGGAAGGGCCTCAGTGTATTCACGGCATCATCATCACCAATTGTGGTAGTCTTGTCCGGCTCTATGGAGCCTGCGTTCCAGCGCGGAGACCTTCTCTTTTTGTGGGCGCGCAGTCCTCGCGTGGACATCGGCGAGGTGGTCGTTTGTGAGTATTCGGCTCCCATATCTAAGCGCAATCCTAACTCTGCCAGACAATGTCCGCGGAAAGGACATTCCGATCGTTCACCGTGTCGTCCGAACGTTCCCTGAGGTCGAGGGTCGCCAAAGTGCGAAGAAGGTCAAAGAGATCACTGTGTATGGTTTCTCCGCTCTTGCGTCCGACTGCTGCTAACGAATCTCTAGCGATACAACACCCGAAACTCACATGCTCCTTACCAAGGTATGTCTCAAGCAGCGCTTCCAGTTTCCAGATGATCTCAATTACTAACTTGGTGTAGGGAGACAACAACTTGTCAGACGATACTGAGCTGTACGCCCGCGATCAGGACAACCTTGATCGCAAGGAAGATATTGTTGGAAGTGTGAGGGGATATATTCCCATGGTTGGATATGTGACCATCATGCTCAGTGAGCACCCTTGGCTCAAGACCGTGATGCTAGGAATCATGGGATTGATGGTGATACTCCAGCGCGAGTAAGCCATGTACGATATAAAAATTGAGATAGAATGTGATTAAACGCATTATTGCATTGCAAAGTCGAGAGGGTTACTAAAAATACAAGCGCTCCGTACCAAACAGGAAAAAAGCTTCCAGCGGGCCTTTTAAACTTCCGATATCCACTGACGTCTTCCCCCACTAGCTCCTACCTTGTTGCTTCTAGAGTCTCAGCCTGCGTTTGTCTTTTATTGTCCATAGCATTTCCACACTCCCCTCACATATTAACGTCCTCGACCCAAATCTATTTCTCCAGTATCTCTTTGGCATCCCCGCACCCCCACCAAAGACACCAACATGGGCAGCGTCAAGCGCATCTCCAAGGCAAGCACACGACCCCCAAACACCCGGATCCCAGCCTAACCACCTTCCAGGAGCTCGCAGAGCTCACCGAGTCCCCGCCCGAAGGAATCACAGTCGAACTAGCCGACGAGAGCGACGTGTACAACTGGAGAGTACACATGGACGGACCCGAAGGATCACCATACCACGTACGTCGCCACCGCCCCAAGCCCCGAGCCCATCTAACAACCCCCGCAGAAAGGAAAATTCCTCGTGAAGCTCTCTCTGCCAACCGAATACCCCTTTAAGCCCCCCACCGTCTCATTCGCGACGAAAATCTACCACCCCAACGTCACGAACGACGAGAAAGGAAGTATGTGTTTGGGCATGCTGCGGGCGGACGAGTGGAAACCCAGCTCGAAGATCGCGGCCGTTCTACAATTTGCTCGTCAGCTGCTTTCTGAGCCCATGCCTGATGATGCGATCGAGGGGAGGATCGCGGAACAATATAAGAATGATCGGCCGCGCTATGAGGAGATTGCGAGGGAGTGGACTCGCAAGCATGCTTGATTGGGTTCGAGGGGCGTCGCGTCTGCATGGTTTGGTGTATTGATACCCTCGGGATACTGATGGGGTCTTTAGGCATGGCTTATGAATGGAATGCTGTTACGTTCATTGTTCTTGTGTTGGTTCTGGGTGGATAGATGGTACTTTTGTTTTGAGAGTGGCTTTGTGGTGCTGCATGTTGTATAACGGGGCGTGAAGACCTCGTCGTGTCTGTAGTCAAGTCTCAGTCTTTGTTGTTTATTCTATGTCAAAGAAAGCGCATGTTTTCAACCAGATGTTTGCTTTTAGAATACAACAAAGAGAGTGCTTGAACACTCAATACTGCGGAGTACCGAAGTAGGTGAGATTTACTCACCCTGCAATTATTGACAGCGTACCGAGTGAAGACTCTTGCTTGGGGTGCTTCAGCGCTGTGATCTCAGGGCGAGTCAAAGAACTATCTTTCGCTCGTCTGTGTGTATCATTGTCTGCGTGTATCATTGTTCTCTTTGATCGCAATTAATGTCAGCTCATCTAGATCATCGACTGGCCATTCCTCCTCCACGTACAAGCTACCTGTAGAATTCACCAGGAGCAGTCATAACCTCTGAGTCAAACCTGTTCTTTTCTCGTTTCAGCCTGATAATGTTTAGTTATCCCACATGCCTGGCTAGATCTTTGTACGTGCACCTGATGACCTGGCATCAACCATCGTATGCCGGTAACAAGCGATTTGACCAGGCGACCCATGCTACTACTCCTCAATCTAGCTTCCATGGGTATGTAAAAGGACACAGGTCCTTTCCCCAAGGCGGATTTTGAGATACACTTCAATACGCCCAGTGAAAAAACTTTGGGGCATTGCCGCCGTTGGATACGTATTCAGGAAGAATAAAGCCACCAACCTCCAATCCTTGGAACATATCGTCCAATGGATTTAGTGAAGCCACGCCAAACCTCGTTCACGGGTCCTTGTTGTCAAATCGTGCCTAGGGGGTCATTCAACAGGGTTCTTCATAATCACCATCCACTTCCAAAGTTATATTCACGCACCCTGCTGGCTCGCGGCAGTGCGTGGTGACCTAACAATTAAGTCGGGAATGGGGGTTGCTTCGCCCTGATTTGCATGGTACTTGATAATTCCGTTCTTAATTCTTCTTATGTCAGATTGAATGAATTTGAAACAGAAATGGTGTACTCGGTTGGGTCAGACCAACTTCCCTCCGCTGCATTGTCCTTTGAAATCCATGCCTCACGGAAGCCCCAGGGCTCCGGGAATCCTTGCAACCAAAGAATCACTTGTTGGTGATACACTTGATCGTGGTACTAAAGCTCGCTTTTGCCGCCCCCTTCCCATCGCTAACTTCTTGAACCCAGCCCACCTCACCCACGGACTAAATCACTCTGGTTTTCGTCTTTCATTACCAACCTACTGCTTTCACATATCTTTGATCATTCGCACAAGTCACAGTCAGGAAGCAAGATGTCGACGAATGAAAATTTAACGAATGAATCGACGAACATGATAATGCGACTTCCCGGCGAGATCCGAAATAAGATATACACATATCTCCTAGTTTACAAAATGCCTTCTGGTTCAAAGAGAAGGAACCTGGCATTTGAAGGCAGCGGGAACATGACCCGTGGTCTATCGCCCAATATTTTGTTGACAGAAAAACGAGTCTTGCACGAGGCCAGACATTTTCTGTATAGTCGCAGCCATATTTGTCTATTTTGGGATCATAAAATGGACGAAAAAGAGAGAGAAAACAAGGAGGATGAGTTTCTTGTTGCCATTGATACCGAAAACGCCGCTCTGATCGAGCACGTCCACGTTGATATTTTCACATTCTGCAAGGTTGCTGAAGACGATGTGAAGATTATCACTTGGGTGCCAGAGAGGGTCTAGTTCTTCGCGAAGCTCAAAGAACTATGTACCAACCTGAGAACTCTGACACTATCCGCTCGAAGCATCAATCACATCAAGAAGAGCATACCCCATTACAGTGAAGAGAAGGTCTTTGACATCTGGAAAAAAGCATATGAACTGCTCGCTGTTGAGCTACAGATCTTCTCATCAGAAACTTCATCGGAACATCCAACAGAACCTTTGTCAAAGCTTGCAATATCTGTTCATTCCGACGATGAGCAAGTATGGGAACATAAACAGTTACTCAAGGGTTATGGTTGGAAAATACAGGCCAGCTATTCCGAGCGGGCCTTGCATGACAGATGGGACGTTGGCAGGCTTCTGAAACTGTCTTCATCATTGCTCGATATGTCGGAGGATGATCCTATCTTGGAACTCGAGTTGGACTTTGGGTTGTTCTTGTGAAATGTGCGTTGGAGTTTGAGTTAGATTTGGATGAGAAGATTTCCTGGACAGTGGCTATCATTTTAGATCTCTCTCTCGCTCTCTCTCCCTCTTTCTCTTTCATCTTTGTTCTTCTTCCTGTTCCTCTCTTTATACATCCAAGATATATCTCATTGTAGTCCTTTCCTTGTGAATTGGGTATTATACTTGTTAAATTTCCCATTTATACAGGAGTCTCAAGTGTAGAGGGAAAGCTGAGAGATGAAGGAAAGTATTCTGGGACTCCATCCTTCGCACACAAAATCTGGTTTTTCATTTTCTAACTCGCACATGCGTGGACTCATTGTGTATACGATTGTGTGTTTTTACCAGTGCACACGACACTGCATGCTTATCATAATCGAATGCTCGCACCCTTTCTTCTCCCCTTCCTATTTCTCTCTCTTTCCTCTTGCCTCTATCTTCTTGCCTCTTCTTACGCTTTCCCGGCGATCAAAGATCCGGCTAACAGTGAGAACATCACCTTCTTCCATTGGTACCACCATGTCTGACTTTCTCTGAGACTTTCTTCCACAAACTGGTCACACTCCCACCAGCGCCATGCCGACGGACTTCTTTAGTCTTCCTGGCGAGATCCGCAACAAGATCTACGAATATCTCCTCGTGCACGAAGGTGGCATTGTTCCGTGGCATAAGGGCTTTGGCCTTTCTCCCAACATTTTAGCCACGAGCAAAAGGACCCTACACGAGGCCAGGTCGATACTCTACGGTGGTAACTGCTTCACCATCTCCCCAGACCTTAACAAGACGGAAGAACTTTTCAATACTATTGGCCTGATCAACGTGCATCACCTTCGCTCAATCCGCATCGCATTCCCTCTTTTCAATAACAAAGAAATCTTCAAATTCGACAACGAGCCCGTTTGCATGAATCCAAGCCTTGCCACCATGAAGATCATCATCAAATCATGTGTCAACGTCGAAACTGTCACATTCAGTCTCGTTAGCATCGAACTTCTGGTATTCTCCCCTGTTGGAGATCATGGCGTGACGTTGGCCGAGGTTGACTCCCGTTTACGAGAAATCCCTGCTCTGAAAGATGTTATCGTTGAGGCTTGCCGCGGAAGTATTGCCATGGCCATAAGACAGGAGATAGAAGGTCTTGGGTGGCTCATGTGCGATATGGGAGATGATCCACTTCATCCCTGCCATCGTGGTTTTCCAGATGAGGGTTATGACTGGCTTGTTCTTGCTCATGGGTATGATATTTTTTTGGTAAAGGATAGTGATGAATGAAACATCGACAATGACAGTGACCTCGGGACTCTTTGAGAAGGGCAGCTAATTAGGTACGCCACGACAGGCACCTGGGCACCTAGACAGCTACTCAGAAATCAAACCTACTTCAAATTCCGTCACGAGCCAACTGGCGAGAATCCCCAGACCTCGAGTATATTGCAAGATCTTATTTTCCACATATATCTAGACAAAAATGTGTCGGAGCCCGTTTGCCCCGGCTGCTTAGCTTTTCAGACCTCCGCTGCTAGATAGTCGTAGATGGAGAGTTTCACTCTTTCACCCTTTCTCTCTTCTCCTCCTCCTCGTCTCCCACAATACACGTTCAAAATCCACTTCCGTCTATCGCGGGTCAACTCTCAAGGATCCCGTGTATTAACAAGATCATTGTAGTGTTATTGTTTTTGGTATCCATGGATGTACCGACATAATACATAAGGGCCAAGGTCCCGTGGATAGCCCTAAAGATATCCCTGGAACTAATTAGGCTCCCCAAAATTGTAGGAAAGCGCTCTCAATTTAGCTTTTCGGCCCTGGTGATGCATCCATGGACACAGCCATCGCAAACAAACCTTGGAATGACTCGCCTTTCATGAAGTCTGGTGAAACATTCGACTTTTCTTGAAACCTCTCCTTGTCATAGAAGCCTTCGCACACCCGCTCGATCATTCTCGAAGCCACAGTCCAAAAGATGCCAACAAACTTCTTCGACCTTCCGGGCGAAATTCGCATCGAGATCTACAAATATCTCCTCATGCGCAAAGAACCTATAATCCCCTGGAAAGGCGCGAAAAATGGCTTGCCATCCCAACTTCTATTCGTGAATCGCCAAATTCACCATGAGGCCGCACACGTACTCTACAGCCGCAACAGCTTCGACCTGACTAGGCACGAGATTGAAACGTTTTATTTTGGACTGATTCCATGGTTCCTGAAGAGAATTGGGTCGAAAAATAGATCTGCTGTGCAACACATACAGATGGACTTTCTCGGGGTGCACATTACTAGAGAAGAAGCCGCAGACCGGGTGGACAAGGTCGCTCTGCAAGACATCAGTATTCGAAACATGCGAATGATCCAGGCATTCTGTCCCAACCTTGAAACTATCACGATAACTATAAACGGCACGGTTTTCTGCGACGCGGATATCAGGGTTCCTGGGAAACATCGTCCTGTTTTCGTTCTATCCAGCCTGAATCGGCCTTATATGGTTCTTGTGGATCCTCAATTCCGGGAAATCTCAAAACGGATTGCTGTTGAGGTCTATGAAGAAGCCTTTCATAACCCTAGTTTCGAAGATTCTTATGATCCATTTTTCGTGAATCTCTATGGTCAACATTTGAAGGAGACAGCTACGAAAGAAATGAGAGAACAGATGCGGATGTATGGATGGATTTTTAATGAGGTGAGGACAGAGGACGAGAAGGGGATCTATAAAGGAGCTGTCGATGAATCTTATGAAGATGACCCGGAATATGATGAAGGTGAGGACAGGTTGGAAAGCTGGAGTGAGCTGAAAGATCTTATTGTAGAAGCAGAGAGGTTTGTAAACCCTCTGAAGAAATGGGACGATCGTTAAATGTTGAATAGCTATTTTGGAATTTTCATGCGTCTCGAAAGCTGTACCTGCTCTTTACTCGATTCTCCGCTTCAGCAGATACGGCCTGATGGCCGCCATAGCCCTAGATCGAGGTGTAAGAACAATGACATTGTCCTTTGTGGCCTCTGAATCAATCAGACTCTGTATCGACTTCGAGAACCCTCTTTGTGCCGGCTAAATCCAAGATGACCGTTTTTTTTTTCTCCATGAGGACGCTTTGATACACGCTATATTGCTTTCATGGTCTTTGACTGAGCCTTGTGCTACTCTGTCTGTGTCTTTCCGGGTTTGATCTCAGACCCCTTGTCGACCCTTTGTCGAGTGATATCGAAATAGCACCAAGAATTCAAGCAATCCCATTGTATAGAAACAGCAACCAAACTCGAAGTAATCCCTTTGTCCCAGAAACCATAAGAGCATCGCAAGATCCCACCATCATCAAACCATCACCCGAGTATCCTCACCCATCCCAACAGACAACAAACCCCCAACCCCAAACAAAATGCCAGTCTTTTTCCTCCGCCTCCCAGGCGAGATCCGCAACGAGATCTACAAGCACCTCCTCGTCCGCAAAGTCCCCATTGACCCCTGGAACGCCGCAGCCTACGAACTAGGACCCCAGATCCTAGCAACGAACTCCAAGATCTACCGCGAAGCAATCCAATACCTCTACAGTGACAACTGCTTCGATCTCACGCGCTACAAGTCTGATTTATGGGACTATCCTCTCGTACCGGGTTTCTTGAACAGTCTCACCCCGAGAAACCAATCTCTTATCCAGAATCTCCAGATCAATTTTCCCGACGTGAGCGCACCTTCCACGACCAACGCCGACGGAGTAGTAGAGGCTGGTGAAGTCAGTTTGGAAAAGGAGAGTCTGGAGAGCATGCAGATGATTCAGAAATGCTGTACTGATCTCCGAAGTATCACGGTACCGGTTGAAAGCTCTTGGTTCTGGGAGAGGTGGGCTACGGATTCAGATCAGCATCGTGAGAGTGTTGCGCTGCTTGATTCCCATTTCCGGGCTATTACTTCGCTGAAGCGGATTGTTGTTCAGGTTCATGTTGGGGAGAAGGTTGATGCTCAGTATCACTGGAGTGATGATCCGTATTGGCCATCTATGGAGAGGAGGGTTAAGTTGATGAGGAAGCAGATGCAGGGACTTGGATGGGTTTTGGAGGAGGTGGTGGATGCTGAGGATGAGGATTGGTATGCGAGTGAGGATGTTGAAGATAGTGAGGATGACGAATATGATTCTGATGAGGAGGATCTGGAGTATAGCGAAGGTGAGGATTGTTTGGAGAGCGAGAGTGGTCTTGCGGATCTTCTTGAGGAAGCGAAGGAGATTATTGGGGAGACGAGATTGGACGTTAGGCGTGTGACCAGCTGAGTTTTGATGGACAGTTGGTCATTTTTTTGGGTCTTTCATCTAGATTGCTGTACTTTTTGTTGGCGTTGGTGAGCCGAACTTCGGGGCATTTAGTGCCCCCAGAGACCCTTTCGACTAGGAATTATCGTTTTTGAACTTCTGCTTCCTCGTAGTCTGCTTGTTGTTTCGGCTTTTGTAGACCCTACATGAGGTTTGGTTTTCATCTTTCAACTCGGTAGCTCGACCTGGTTGGGAGACAAGAGAGTCAGACTTAGATCTCTGCAATGGGCCGAGTTGGGCCCCCGAGTTCTAGCCCAGAGCCCAACCATCAATGGGCTATGGGCCCTACTGCCAAAGCCCAAACCAGACCACATAGCCCATAATGGGGGCCCATAGCTTCAAATGGGCCAGTTGTTAATATTTAGACATCACCAAGCAAAGATTGACACTATGATCCTAGGAAGAGAAAGATAACTCAACGAAAAGATTTCATATTTCAGAGAATCGGTCATAGGACCTTATATGGACAGTTCATTACAGCGTGTCAAGATACAACGCTACATACAACCAGGACGCCTAACATCCCCAGGCGCCCCCAACGCTTTTTCGGCCGCATGAAGAGAGGATATGAGGGTAATCAAAAGGGGGTAAAAACGTTAAAAAAAAGAGGCATGGTCATAAGACATTTAAAGCTGACCAGCAGTGTTGAAGTCGGCAAGAGCCTCCTGAACACGAACGGACATGGTCTTCTCACCCTCACGAACCCAGTTGCGGGGGTCGAAGAACTTCTTGTTGGGCTTGTCGGCACCGTCGGGGTTACCGACCTGGGAGAGGAGGTAGTCCTTGTTCTTGAGGACGAAGTCACGGACACCGGTGAGGTAGGCGTACTGCATGTCAGTGTCGACGTTGACCTTGACGACACCGTAGGAGATGGCCTCCTTGAACTCGGCCTTGGAGGAGCCGGAGCCACCGTGGAAGACGAAGAAGACGGGCTTGTCGGTCTTGGCGCCGGTCTTCTCGGCGACGTACTTCTGGTGCTTGGAGAGGAGCTCGGGGTGGAGCTTGACGTTGCCGGGCTTGTAGACACCGTGGACGTTACCGAAGCCGGCGGCGATGGAGAAGTAGGGGGAGATGGCGCTGAGGGCGTTCTGGATGGCCAGGATGTCCTCGGGCTGGGTGTAGAGGGAGTTGTTGTCAACGTCCTCGTTGTTGACACCGTCCTCCTCACCACCGGTGATACCGATCTCCTATAGATGTTGTTAGTATTTAATTCTTGCATGGGGTTATTTTTGTAAGATTTGGTGATTGAACTTACCATCTCGAGCCACTGCTTCATGGGAGCAACACGCTTGAGGTAGGCGGCGGTGGTGTTGATGTTGTAGTCAACGGGCTCCTCGGAGAGATCGATCATGTGGGAGGAGAAGAGGGGCTCGTTGTGCAGCTTGAAGTAAGCCTCATCGGCATCGAGGAGACCGTCCAACCAAGGGAGGAGCTTCTTGGCGCAGTGGTCGGTGTGAAGGATGACGGGAATACCGTAGGCGGGGGCAACGCTACGGATGTAGTGGGCAGCGGCGATACCACCAGCGATGGAGGCAGTCTGGTCACCGTTGGCAACACCCTTACCAGCGAAGAAAGCAGCACCACCCTGGGAGAGCTGCAGAACGACGGGGCACTTCTGGTCACGAGCGGCCTCGAGGGAGGCGACAACGGTGGAAGAAGAGGTGACGTTCTAGGTCAGGGGGTTAGTATATGATCTGATGCTGTGTATAATGTGTATCCGGGTGTAGAGAGTAGACTCACGATGGCAGGGATAGCGAATTGCTTCTCCTGGGCGTACTTGAAGAGACGCAGGACATCATCGCCGACGATGACGCCGGACTTGCGGTTCAATTGCTCGAGGACACCCATTATGAAGATTTGGTTTAGAAAAGTAGAAATCTGGAGAGGAGAAGAGAAAGAGAAGAGGTCAGATCCAATGGTACAAGTAGTAAAACCAAGCTCTTTACCGGGAGGCCGAAAGCGGGATTTAAGTCTCAAAGGAGGGGCAACTCGGACAAGTTTGGAGGGGCACCGCAAGCAAAGCGCGTCATCGGTGAAAGAACGGGGGCAGTCGACTCACCGGTTATGTGGAGCTAATGTGGAACGTCAGTATGATTTCAAAGAGAAAAGAAGAGAAAAAGAGTTTCAGGATCTAATTGCTCTTTTATGTATGGCTCGGTGCGCTGTATCCCGGACTCCTCCGTATCCCGGCGACTTCACGGGTAGAGCTTAGAGCTACCAATTAGCTTATGATGCGATGGAATGATCGTAATATAGCTGAGGTATTTTCTGAGCACAGTACTACTTTAATGTATAGCCTAGTAGCTGATTAGACTTGTGCTATGTATGATTATAAGCATTATCTTCAGCTTCAGCTTCTTCAGCTTCATGGGCATCTAGCTTAAAGGGTACATATGGTGAACCCCCTACACCCGTGTTTAGCCCGTGGCGGGGAGCCGAGGAGTTCGAGACCTTTCGCCGCTATTCGAATCTCTTCACTCTCCTGGACCATGCTCATGGCTCTATGACTTTGCAATCCGGTCTGTACACCCACAATCAAGTCTACAGTGTAATCAGTCTCCATTCTAGCCAAACTCCCCCGGGAACCAGTTGTTAATGTACAGTAAAAGATCCACCGAGACAAGACAACTGGGCAAGTTCAGAAGATGACATCAGTGACATCATGCGGAAGTAAACTCTTCCCAACGAAAATGTCTTAGTCCGCCTATTACCTAACACTTCTCTACTGGACTACATACTATCGACACATACACACTCTACCTCTCTCTCTCTTTATACACATGTGAATTCATACTAATGCTCCCCTTTATACATGGCTGTCCAATTCCTATATACCAAGTCCAAGTACACGCACTCCCCCGGACTACTATACTATTCAGTCGAATCCGGCTTCTCCAACTCGTAGAACAAGAGATAAACCTCCCTCTGCATGCCCAGCACGTCCGAGGTCTTACATTCCTTGATCTTCTCATCCGAGATACGCCACCAGCGATCCGCCGGCTTACGACGGCGACGCAACCGCGAACTGACCCCCGTGCCCGCATCCCGCTCCTGCGAAGGGCGGGGTATACTGCGGGAAGCGCGCGGGGCAGAAGTACTAGAATTCCAACGGTCCTGATCCGTCGACGGGCTATCAGAGGGTGACGGCGTCTGCGTCTGCGTCTCCGTCTTCGAAGATCGGGACAGCGTACTCTGGAACGAGCGACGCGAGCCCGATGTAGTGGGTCGACCCGGGGTGAGCTGGGTCGAGCCCGAGAGCGAGATGGTAGAGGTAGCCGGGGATTGGCGGCCGAGAGAATCCTCGGGACTGCTGCGGGGGTGGATGCGAGGACTAGGTGCTGCAGAGGGGTTCTCGCTGGCGACGCGACTCTGGGCGTAGGAGCTGAAGGCACCCGGGGTGGAGAATGGGGGGTAGATGTGGTTGCGGCGGAAGGATTCGTAGTGTCCGCTATGGTGGCTTCCCTTGTGGCAGACGATTGCGAGAAGCTTGTACCATTTCTGGGTGAGGAGACCGCCGAGGGGCAGTCGTTCGGGGAAGGAGACCTTGGCTGCGTTCTTGCTGGAACTGCTGCGGTCGAAGATTGATCGGGAGAGGTGGATCGCGATGACTTTCGGGAAGGCTGTGATGCGCATGTAGCGAGCGATCCGGCGTTTCGGCACGCTCTCTGAAGGAGGGAGTGTAATGTTTTCAAGCTCGGCTTCTGGGTCTGTCTCTATAGCCTCGCGGAGACGGGAGATCTCCCGCTCCAGGCGATCGCGATCGCTCTGTGATCGGGCGCGCGCGAGCTCCTTACTCTTGACGTCCACGGCATGCTGCAAGCTGCACCGATCACAGCGGAAGTCCTCAATGTATTCTGTTTTCAAAAGACCGTCGAAGCACGAGCCCAGCGTCGTAGAGCTCTTCTGCGGCACCTGCAGTGTCAAATTGACAAATGCCGTCTGGTTGGGTTTGTACTGGTAATGGCAGAATTGACACTCGATCTGGGACTCCATCATGCCTTCGAACGGAAAACCGGACTCCTGGTCAATCTCCTTCAATTTCGTATCGATGATAGCAGGCAATCCATTCACCGAGCCATCATCGATCCGAACCTCCACCTCCGACGAGCTCTCCTGCGCACTGCCCTCCGAACCAGAAGCTGCCGCCGCGCTACCCAGTGCTCGGCGTCGCGCGCGCACACCAGCATGGTACTCGTCGCACAGCCGCTCAAGCACAATCTGTAAGAATTCCTGAGCATCCTGCTGATTGCGGCTGATGCGTGTGCGAAACGCGTATTCGAGAGCCTGGATGAAGTCGCGAGCAGAAATGGTCTTCTTGTAAATAGGGCGCTCGTTCAATCGATCCAGCATCTCCTTCAATGCCCGTGTCGTGATACCCTGCTGCAGCTCGCGCAGCTTGTCCGTTGCCCCGTCTGTAAGCTCTTCATCGCTGGCGACTGTGTGGTATGTTTCTGGTCCGTCTAGTTGTCGGCGATGCAACTCGTGAATCAGGTAGACGCGCAAATCGCCTAGTCCGGCTAGCGCCTGGAGCACGGAATTGATGAAGCAGTCATTGGCTAGGTTTGACAGGCCGACGATGCTTTTCTTCCGGTTGCTGTCGTTCGACTCGTCGCCGTCGATTGTGTAGTTCGGGCCGAAGACGTAGAACAAGGCTACGGCAGCAAGCGAAGCCCCCCGCCGCGTAGGCGGCGACGGTGGTCGGCTTTTCTTGCATTTAAGCTCGGTGTGGGAGGAAGGGAGGGTAGGCGGTCGGCGGGTCGGGTTCTCGTTTATCTCATTGCCCCATTCTATTCCGTGTGAAGATGCCGAGTGTGACGGAGGGTTGTTGAGTCGGAGGATTTTGTGGTTTGGGGGGTCTGATAGGCCGGATTGAAGTGAATTGAGCGGGTTTGGCCGGGGAAGCAGGGAGTGGAGCGAATATGTTCAATGCGGAGACGAGAGGGCCGGAGAAATCAGGTTGACCACACTGTCAAACGGGGCAAACTCCCGCTGATGATCGTCGGCGACTCGGGAGTCGATTTCGAGGCATTCTGAGATGAGACGCTCATTCCATCCAATAAAGTGGAAGCATTCCTCTTGGCCCAGGCACCGTTGCAGTGGGCGAATTGACCCCACGGACGGATTCTCCGGATGTCCGTCTTACTCCCCGCAGAGACGGTAACGCCTGGGGTACTGCGAGCCACGTTTGCGAGTTATCCGGGGGACATGTGGTCTCTGTCATAGCTGAGATCTGGCATTCTCGTTTCAGAGTTGGTGCTTTCAAGGTTGTAATAGGAGCACTGTTTACTCTCTGTGGAGCCCCTTGAACAACACATTTTTGTCCATACGATCTGGGGCTCAGACCCTTGCAATATAGACTTTCCACATCGGATTGCGACTAATTGGCATATCAAATACGAATTGAAGACTGAACCGTATCTATCCTGACTGGCTCGTTGTTGCACCAGTGGATACAAAGACCGACGCAGAACAATTACAGTTATTCTAGAAGGACCGTTGAAAGCATGAGACGTGTGCCAAGAACCAAAAATCTATTCATCATCGTGTCACTCTTGTGACTTTTGTAGTCCCTCTCGAGGTTATAAATCAATATGCAAAGCCCCGGATCTCCGCCGTGGATCATCTACCAATAAAAGATTTATGCCAGGGACGACTTGGGCAGAGTAGCGACCTTCTCATCGAAGAGCTGCTCAGCCTGCTTCCAGACGCGAGCGTTGGAGCGGTCGTTCAGAGTAAGGAGACTAGGCAGGAGAGCCTCGCTGAACATTTCCGAGCTCTCGCGGGGGAGCAAGGAGGGGAGGTGATCAATACTGATCACGCTCAGGGCGGGGCCGTCCTTCAGGCCAGTGACGGGGACGGTGGGCTTGTCGAATGTGGTGGTGATATCATACAGGGGAATGGGGTTGAAGGGGTTGGAGCTGTACTGGTCAGTCTTGCGCAAGTTACATCATGCTGTCTTGGGACTCACGTGTCGGCGCTGACATCGCAGATAACGGAAAGGTTGCGGTTGGGGCTGTTGTTGAGGGATTCGATGTTCACGAAGGCTGATGGAATTGTGTCAGTGTTTGTTATAGTGGAGATCACACACTTGTGAACGGTGGATGCGTCCAAGAGCGGACGTATGGCTTTGCGGGAGATAACTCACGGTTAATCTTGCTGGACAGGTAGATGCAGTTGACGAAGATGTCGGCCTCGGCGATCTCCTCGAAGGGGCCGCCTGTTGGGAATTAGCACGAGCTCTGTCGCTTTGACGTGAGATCAACTCACCCTTCTTGGTCTCTGCCATATCCCACTCGACAATGTTAGACGCGGGAATGCCAACATCCTTGGCCAGTTCCACGGCACCGCTGCCGCAGCGTCCAAGCTATCGCGTTGTTAATATATGTGTGTGAGTTTGGTGAATCGAGACGATAGACTCACAGCTCCAATAACAAGAATCTTAGGGGCCTTGCCGGCAACCTTGATACCAGCAGCGAGAGACTCCTTGACGGATTCAATCAAGGCACCCTTATTAGGGTAGGGAACCTCGCCGGGGAGGGTCTCGTTGGGGTGTGTCAATTGCCAAGCCCAGTTCTTAACGGCGAGAGCAGATCCTATTCCATGTCTTAGTCTTTGTTTGTTCGGCGATTGTCACGGATAATTACCTGCGTAGCCAGCGGACCATCCGAAGGCTGGAGAGAAACCCGTCAGTAATTGTAATCAACCCAGTCCACCAGAGTTCATACCGGCGACACGACGACCTGAGTCATCAGTCAGGAATTCAAGGTCGAGCAATGTGCCCTTTCCACGGGGCCAGCGGCTCAGAACGCTCTCCCAGCCACCCTGCTGCTTGAAGCAGTGGGCGAAAGTGACGTGAACGTGCTCCAGAGGGAAGTCATCCTCAGGAAGCTCCTTGAGACCGAGGATAACGGCATCCTTGGGTGCGTCCTTGACCCAGGAACCCTCGGCGACAAGAGGGGCTCCGATCTATAGCAATTGGTATCGGGCGACTTCGAGCGGAGGGCGTAGAACATACCTTGGCGAATTCCTCATCTAGAGCAAAGGTTAGTCCATTGGTTTCAGTGCAGGGAAATTGCTCGAATCATTCGTCACATACCCTCGAAAATGCGCTGGGTGGACCGCTCAACAGTCACATCGTATCCAGCATCGATCAATGCCTTGCAAGTAGTAGGAGTCACTGGATGCTGTTAACCAATTGCTACCCCACTATGGCGTGGAAGCTCTTACAAGCAGACCGCGCCTCAGCGGGCTTGGTCTCAGCGCGCAACCAAATCTTCTGTCCGGTCATTGTGAAGGTAGTAAATAATTGAATAGTAAAATCCAACAAAAATCAAAAGTATCTCCAAAATGACACAGACTTTCCCCTCCAAAGTAATGGCGGGGGTGGAGGTTATTCCGCTCCGGAATGAGTCAGTGTCCGACGTCGGCAAGGGGGAGAATTCGGGTGCTTCAACTACGACTATCTCCTATGACGTGCTGTGGCTCGTCTTTTTAATTATGGGTTCTTTTTCTTTTGGGATAAACTATTTTCTGCTGAGCAATGACTAGCTAGGATTGGTCCAAAAACAGCCTCACATTCAGTATTTGAGAACTTCCATATATGGTTTCACATTAAAACATGGGAGGCGCAGGAAAGCAGCCTGCAAAGGAGACTCAAGTGCCCTTGGTTTGACTGCGAGTGCGTCTACCAATGCCATCCGGAATGATCTTGTGCATAGCATCCTTGATCTTCTCCTTCTTAGGCCGGCTAGCCTTCTTCTGACCGTTTTCCGTAGCGGAACCCGCGGCACCATTCGCCTTATCCGCGGCTGGCTCGTCTGTTTTCTGCTTTTTGGCACCACGCTCCTCCGTTGGTACAGATTTAGGCTCTTCTGCATCCTGTGCTGGGGCGGGAGGGGATTCCAGGGTGGAATCCAGGTCGCGCTTCTCGCCAGCTACTGTTTCATTCTTCGGTCCCACCGAAACCTTGGAGTCGTTCGCATCTGGAAGATTCCCAATTGGCTCGCTCTCTTCTGGAGCCTCTGTTGCTGGCTTCGTTTCTGTGCTGGGGACGGATGTCGGTGCGTCGGCGGGTTTGGGAGCGTCGGCACTGGTCGGCTCCGTGGATGTCGCGGGTGCTTTCTCGATAGGCTCTGCGCCTACAAATGGCTGGCTATCCGTTTGAGTATAGTTTGGTCTGTTCATGAATGCATGCGAGTGTTCTTTGACTAGCTGCGCTGTGTCTATGATGATTCGTCAGTATCAAGTATAGGTCACAAAATCACCCAAGTGACAAAAGGTAGGCCAGCAATCAGACCAGAGTAATGACCTGGTCTGCGCTGGCCTGTAATGGCCAATTACTTCCATGATGCTGCATAGTGCATATGCAAACTTGGAAACGTACCTGAAGCTGCACTCTGTATAGAAGCTCCCTCGGTGATCATTGTGGGGCGATGATGTCAGATGTTCAGACGGTTTATAAAGTAGAAACTGGGAAAGGAGACTGAGAGACTGAGAGCAGAGTAAAACAAGCAAATTAATGCTATGCGACAGTGGTCCAAGAAGGAGGTGGTGTGGTTTTGAGGTGAGGTCGCGCGGTGACGTACTTGAACCCATTGCGACGCTAACGGCTGATTCGCTGCTTCAGCTCTCCACGGCTTTCTGTCGCACAACTTTGACCTCTCGGATTCAATTGCCACCCACTGTACCCCGCATGGCTTAGACCGTTCCACTTTTGTTTTATGCGACCTCGGCCTTGGAATCTTCTACGAAGGTACGAAGCCCCCTAGGTCGTTGGTGGATTCATAAGCTATATATACATCCGAGGAGCTCAAGTGCAGGTAATAAAGAGCCCTGGGGGTGTGAGCTGTAGAGCTCTGGTTAGCATGTGCTCTCGATCTCGATCTCATAACCTCGAAAACTGTTGTGAACTCACAGAACATTCTTTGCTTGGGACCTAACGCCAACCCTGAAGGTGAGGCCATGCCCACGGAGACTCACTTTCTACATATCTATACACAAAATCCACCCAGAGAACGCATCTTAAACCACTCAGATTGTCAAGTTCCTCCCATGCACGTATCAAGCCGTAACAGACAAACCTGGTCAGTGTGCTATTTGCTATTCATTGATAGAGTGATCCAGAACTTGTGTCCCTCTGCTATATAAACAGGCAGGGTCATACCTCTAGGATCTTACAGACCTACTCCCTCTTTCTCAACCAAGCTTCAGAACCCTTCCAAGGTTATAGAAACTAGTTCCTATGTGCCACTTTCCACGACTATTCGGATCTCTGTCCTCACATCGATCGGCTAGTGATTCAATCATGTCCAACAGTCCTCTTCACTCGCCTTTCATAGGCCCAGGAGCCCATCATCACAAAGACTGGGACAAAATTGAGCACCAAATCAAGAAGACGGTAGCATACCGGGGCCGGAACCAGGCCTGTTTTCTGCCTGATAGATAATCCTTCCATTTGGAAAATATCAAGCTGCCAATGATGAATAACCAACACTTTTGGCTATGGTGGATGTCCGTCGAACACATCCTACGTGCTTACAGTTGCACTTGCTCATTGATATCACCGTGCCTCGACCATACGTAGACGACCCCAACGCTCAAAGATGGTATGATCTATCTCGACAATTAGTGGGGGTCTTGATGAGTTCAATGGATGCCTGGTTTCTTACAGATGTAATGGGTGCGGGTGCCAAATGCACCTTTGCGGACGAATTTGCTGCTACGGTCAAGCAGCAACTGGGCGCTTGGGTGTCTTACACTACGTCCCGAAAGTCGTTACCTTAAGGATGGAGCGAAAGCGGCTGTTCCGATAAGGCCACTGAGTCTTGACCATGCGCTATGAAAGCCGAGGTTGGTGTGTTTGGATATTCCTAGACCCTCGACCGTGAATCATCCACATTGAATCTGTACTGACACTGTCAGACATCACATGCTCTAACGTGCAGCCAGCCTTGGAGGCTCTGGATCGGGGTCATAAACTTCAGCAGCAAACCTTGCGTCTCCCAAGGTCCTCTACAGACGCCGAATCGTCAAAGAAGGGTTAACTGAAGTTAGATACTGTGGAATTGATTGAACGATGCTCTTAACTATGAAGCCAAATTATGCAATTGAAGCCCATGCTAGCCGTTCTGTGTCTCTCGTAAATTTGCAAAATATACCTAAGAGCCCCTGTCGGTATCCCTTCTTTTTAGAAAATTTCACAGAGTGAATGTCGAGCCCCATGAAGGTTTCTTCTAACCTTACAGAGATAGTCCATAGGTACTCCACGGATGGATTAAAAGGGGCAGATGGAAATACAGCGAAACCTTGGAAGCTGTGGACACCTTTCACTATGCCAAGTTGGAGCAAAAACCTTGGAACAGCATAGCCAGGATAAATGGAGATAGCTGAAGCTTACATTATGTACTGAGTTCCCAGAATCAGATCCAATGAATTGCTCAATACTCAAATGTCCGAGACATCAGAGACTGTATCATGGATAAGGTAACTGTCAAAAGAGGCTGAGAGATAGGCACTGCAGCGATATTCAAGGTTACCCACAGATTGCATTGCTTTGTACATATTTGGCAATTCTTTTATGGCCAACAATATTGCACCGAAACCCTTCACGGCACTCGCAGTGGGCTTGGCTTGAGCCGCTCCACTTCCATTCCGCCACCCGCTTTTAGACGATGCGCTAAATCATCAAGGCGAGATTTTAGTCAATTTCATGGATGCAAGAGGAAATGTGGCTGAAAAGCCATTAGAAGGTGATAATGTAGAATATTGTTTGATGGTGTTGTTCATATTGATGTTTATGTACAGGGTTTGGGGTATCTAATGTGTCGTAAGTTGATCCGGACCACACTATGTGTGGAATTTGATGGGTTGATCCCATGCCAGGTGTCATGCCAAAAGATTGAGAAAGCAGAACGTCATGCTACCCCGAGGGCCTACCCAAGGAGGAAAGATCGCCACGGTACGGGCGGATTGCGTGACAGTGGGAAGGAATGTTCCTGTTGTATGGCCGACAAGTCTCATCACGTGAGAGAGCTTGAGACCCCCAAATGTGCAAGAATGAAAGTATGTTCTCAAGGGTTTGCCCGGCAGTGGGAGTGTCAGGTGGGTACTTTTCTGGTACCGCTGGGGTTGGTACACGAGAACGTATGCGTCATCATGTGAATCCTAGGTTTATATCTTGTTCAGTCACTGTGTATGACCTATCGGCCGCTGGTGCTGGAGCCTCTGCTGGTAGCAACTTTGAGATGCTAGACTCTAGTCGAGAGATCTGTCGGAATCTCTCCTGTTCAACGAGCACTCGAAGAGCCTCTGAGCCAATTTCAAAGAATGCATCACGTCTCACGTTGTTCCACGCTCGGAACTTGTTTGGTGAAATGTTCTCCACAAATTTGAGGAACGCAGATGCGTCAGGCGTTGTTGGATGGCAAATGGCCACAGATGCCAGTAGCAAGGACCGAGGAGACAACAAAGCAACCTTCTCTTGGAACTGATCATAAAGCGCTGCAGATGACTGTGCACTTTCTGGCTTTGATGCCATGAAGCTTCGATTCAAATGGGCTGCCGCAGCCAAGAGCATCGGTTTCGTTGAAGTGTCCGAGGAAGTCCTTTGGGAATGCATCTCAGACACACGTAGGTACTGTCTGATTGCCGAGTAAAAGCCGCCCCCGAACCGTATCTCTGCTTCAACGAAATCGACAAGGAGGTGGCTGAAAGTTTGACGGGCAATGCCATCAGTCATTCGGCCGTTTTGACCGCCAAGATCATGGTGCACGAGCATTTTCAGCCATTCCATCATAGTGCTGTGGAAGCCTTCCGTAACCATAAACTTAGCCAACGATGTTGTCACCGATCGCGATCGTAGAAGAGCCTGCCGGGCAGCGCCGTCCGATGCCCAGAACCACTCCACGACCCTGGATGCGGCCCGGGAAGCTTTCATCTGCTCTGGAGATTTGGAAAGTAAGAGTTGATACTTCAAACAATCATTGATGGTGTGTGAAGTGAGCGAGCCAGTGGCAGCCATTTGGTCCAGCACCGCCATGGGCTGCTCCACTACCCGCGAAGCCTTGTTCATGGGGATGATACGAAACAGCGGGTTGTCAAGGATGGTCTGAAGATGTTGATCTGTGGCCTGAGCCGAAGATTGGGTGTTGAGGAGGGGTCGCGCTTCGTTGCCTGATGCGGGAGATGCGGGATATGCACCATCTAACTGGCGACGAAATGAGGTGGTGAGGGCATTGAGCAACTGCTGCGACTCTCGTGGAGTACGCGGTAAGGGTTGATGAATCTTAGGCCAGGACTTAAACTGAAAAATGGAGGTACCCTTCATGATGTCGGTGTGTAAACAGAGTGTACAGAGAGCACAGAGTCGAGTACTGACGTGCTGAAGGCCAATAGCAGATGGGGTCAAGGCGGTGAGTCGATGAATGACGAGTAGAGCCCAATCGCACTTCAACATTCCTCTTCGCCAATGTACGAAATACAATTTGACTCTGCATCCTGAAGGAGGAAATTCGTAATTACTCAGATAGCTCATCCCATGTAAATCTCAATTGGTAGCCCCTTGAAGTAGATCCCTTTGTTATATACTGCGGAAGCACCAATAAGCGCCACTCGCTAAAAGCCAGAGCGGCGCCAAGACTTTGAGAGAAGCAACTCAGATCCCGTTAGCTTTTGATCCTTTCTTCAATCTTGCCATCCTCTGCGCATTCCCCCAATTAATCTCTTCGATTTCCCTCCTCTATTCCCTTTTCTAGTCTGGCCCTTGAGCCTGTGGTCTTGGTGCTGTTCCTCTTTGGCGAGGGTGCATCTTCATAACTCTCCTCCCTTCCGGTTGCGACTCCATCGTGACCTTCCCAATCCCGTCTCCATCTTCCACATCTTTCATTCATCAATATGTCCGAAATCCAGAACCGATCCTCAGCCTCCCGGGGCAGAGTATCCGCCCGTGGTGGCCGTGGCGGCTTCAGCTCCAGAGGTGGTCGTGGGGGAAGCAGCAGATCTGTAAATGACAACTCAGACCTCTCATCCTTCGAAGAAGGTGAAATTGGACAGATGAAGAAGAAGTACTCCGATACTTTGCCGACTCTTAAGGAAATGTTCCCCGACTGGAAGGACGAAGACCTGGTCTTTGCACTTGAAGACTCGAACGGTGAACTCTTGGAGGCAATTGAGCGCATTAGTGAAGGTTCGCATTCCGCTGCTTTGATCTCCCCGATTGACTTCCAAGCATTTTAAATGCTTCAGAGACTCTAGGAACTTGACTGACTTGGGTTCCTTTTTTTTGCAGGTAATGTGTCCCAGTGGGGTGAGGTCAAGAAGAAGACCACAGACCGGACCCGCCCTAAGCCCAAGGAGGCCCCCATCACTTCGACCGAACCGACTGCAGTTCCTGCTCGTGGAGCCCGTGGACGCGGTGGATTGGAGAGTCGCGGACGTGCCCGCGCAGACCGGGGTCGTGGTGGCCGCGGTGGCCGTGCAGGCGCCGCTACAAACGGAACTCGCACAGTGTCTGCTGGGGAGACTTCGGCCCCCATTGCTACGCCTGCTCCTGCAACCGAGTCAGCTGCACCCAAGGCGGAAGAAACCACCGCAGACCCCGCAATTGAAGGCGATTGGGAATCGGTGGAAAACCCCAAGAGCAGCGTGATCCCCGAGGGCACTAAGAAGGGGTGGGCTAGTCTTTTCGCCAAACCACCCCCTCCTCCTGTGCAGAAGAAGCCCCAGGCCCCTGCACCTGCTCCCGTTCCTGCTCCCGCTCCCGTCCCCGCCGAGAAGCCCGCTGCACCTGAACCCGTGGCGGAAGCACCTGTTTCTGCGCCCGAACCCGTTGTGCCCGCTGCTTCTCAAAAGACCCCCGTCGCAAAGCCCACTCAACCCGTGATCCCCGCCATCCCCACCACCAGTGTCAACCCTCCCAAGGGCGATTTGACCGAGACAAACCTCGAACAGATCCCTGATGTCTCCGCTCCCGCTCCCACCGCAACCGCTGCCAGCACCATTGGCAGTGGTATCGACCCCGTGGCTTCCGCTGCCGCGGGAACTCCCACCCGATTCCCCTCATCCGCCTACCCTCCCAGCGCTACCAAGCAAGGCCGCACCCCCGGTCTCCAACGTCGTGTTATGGAACAGCAGCAGGCTGTCGTTATGCCCGGCAACCACGCTGTGGACCGCGCTGCAGTCCAGTTCGGCAGCATGGGTCTGAATGGTGACGCTGTTGACATTGATGAGAACCGTGAGGATGCCGAGACCCGTGCTCAGCCCCCTCAACACTCTCCTGTCGCTCCTCGTGCCTCACTCCCCCCTGCCACTCAAGCTCCTCAATCTATTGAGACTGGTGCTGCTGGACGCCCCGCTCCTGGCCTGCCTCCCGTTCCCCAGGCCTCTGCTGCTGATTCCTTCACCGACTTTGCTCGTTACTCCGAGCCTCAGCAGAAGCCTTTCGACCCATTCACCCAGCAGGTCAGCCAGCCCCAACAGCAGATCCCCGAGCCTTTCGCCAACCAGGCTCCTGTTCAGCCCGCTGCTACCACCGGCAGCGAGTACTCTCCTTTCTACGCCGCCGACCAGCAGCGCTTCCCCTACTACGGATCCTACGGCTCCTACGGTCAGACCCAGGATGCCCCCACCGGTCCCCGCGCAGGAGCTGGATTTGGTGTGTCTGGTGCCGAGGCCCAGCCCCAAATTCCTACCACGCAGCCTCCCAGCCGCTACGGACCCATTGATGCCACCAACAGCGGTCACAACACCCCCAACCCAACCGCACCTGGCATCACTCAGCAGACCCCCACTGCTCAGCACATGCCTGGCCAGACTGCGCAGCACGGCTATGGCTACGGTTATCCTAACTACTACAACAACCCTCACTACGCTTCTTACATGAACCAGATGAACCCCCAGCAGTACAACAACGGCCGCAACCGCCCCATGTATGACGATGCTCGTCGCTACGAGGATCACTACATGCAGCAGCAACAGCAGCACAGCCAGCAATACGGCTACGGTAGCCAGTATGGCCCCTACGGCGGCAAGGCTGGCATGTACGGCCAGCCCCACGGTGCCTTCTCATACGACCAGCACTCGTCCTCTCCCGCCAACACTGGTAGCTTCAGCCAGGCCATGCCCACCCGCGACTCCGTCTACGGCCGCACCGGCTCCGCCCAGCAGTCTGACAGCCAGTCTACCACCGGTGCTAACTCCTTCGGCGCTGGCATGTCCGACGTCTTCGGTCGTTCCCAGGGCAGCTTCGGTCAGAACCCTCCCATTGCCGGACAGCCCCCTGTTGCTGCCGATGAGACCAAGGGATTCGAAGCCCCCAAGGCAGGTGGCCCTAGCCCCTCCCTTGCCCAAAACCGCCCAGGATCCGCTACCAACAGCGTCCCCGGACAGCCCCAGGCTCAGACTGGCCTCCCTCCTCTTCAAGGCCAGCAGGGCCAGCAGGCCTTCGGCAGCTACCCCCAGCTGAACCCCCAGTACGGTGGACTCGGTGGACTCGGTCACCAGGGTGCTACTAACCAGGCCTCCGGCTACGGTAACTACGGCGCCGGCGGCTTCGGCAACTACTACGGCAACTCTGGCCGCGGTGGCTGGGGTGGTAACTACGGCCACTAAAAAGGAAAGACGAAACGAAGGGGAGATATAATGACCCACCAAACACATATGGCGTTGCATTTGCGGGTGATTTGGAAAGGGGGGTTTGGGTTTTTGTCCACATTGCAAGAGAAATCAGAGCTTGTCTTGTCGAACACCAGGACAGACAGAACCCACAGTTTCTTCTTCATCTTTCTCTCCTCAACATTTGTGTAATCTCTACTCTCTTTCCGAGGCTTGAGGAGCTTGGCTGGTTTTCTTTACTTTGGGGGATTCTCTTTACGTTTGTTGTCATTATCTCTCTCCCTCCCTACCGTCCTACTTTTCTTTTCTCGTGCTATCGCTGCTCCTCGCTGATGCGGTCCCTGTATTAAATCACCAATTCCTCTCTAGGCCCGTCATACCTCTATTTGTCCTTATTTTCATTGTTTCAATCCCAGTCGGTGTCTATTTGGGTCCGGTGTGTCATTCGGACGGTTTTTGCTTTTTGCCTTCTTGTTTTTTCCATTCCTCTTTTTTTTTTTTCTGCCTCTTTTTCTTCCTACGTTACTATCTGTCTCTTTTCCACCCTGTGCAATATCGCTCGATGATTATGATGGATGGCTCATTGGGTCTGGTAGAGGTAGATCCAAAGCTCAGTTGCGTTCTGGGCCAAAAGTGTCATGAAATATATGTCCTGTACGATCCAGTATGGCACCTTGCTTGCCATTAGGCTCTGCTATATTAGTCCGGTATTTAGTAATGCGATGAATATCAGAGCAATGTGCTTAACACAATTTCTACTGCTGTACCTATCGAGGTTGGTCTGACCACCGGAGCAACTTATACGTAGTACATCCATGGATGGGCATGATATGGCTTTATTGATACTTTCCAAAGTTTAATCTTTCATGGTTATATGATGGATGTAAATGTCGACCTCCTGAGGTCGAAGCTTGAAAAAATCTTGAAGATACCATATCATTAGATGGAAAGGCAGAGCCACCAAGCACAAGCGTATAAGCAAGTGGGCAGCTTCAACCTGGACTGAAAACTATATACAATCGAAATGCAATAACACGTACAAAAGAACAGGTGTCCAGAAAGCCAACCTCTATGTGGTGTAAGTGAAAGTCCGAGACCAATTCAGATAGCAAAATTGTCCAAGACGCCGATTACTCAGTCAGACCGAGTCCCTCGCCGCCAACCTTGTGGTAGGGCGGCTGAGCACCCGCAGCCTTCTGAGCATCGAAGCGCCAAATACCACCAGTCTTATCAGTCTCGAAGGCGAGATCAGCAGTCTTAGCCAGCTTCTGAGTCTGCGCATCATCCCCGCTCTCATCAATTCGGTTGAAGAAGCGACGCTCCCACTCGCGACCCTCTTTCTTCTCGGCAGTGCGGAGCTCACGCTGCGCGTTTTCAATCCGGGACTTGTACCCGGATACCGCGTCCATGTCGCCCTTTTGGATGTTGGCGGCCACGTCACTCCAGGCACGTCGGCTCTCCCACAGATCCTGCTGCTCAAGAGGAGCCAAGGTGAGGGGGGTGACGGGGTTCTCCTTGGAGTTCCAGCTGTCGACGGCGTCCTTGGTGCGGGCGTCCTTGATGGTGAACTTGTCTGACCATTGGCCGTCGACTGTGTACAGGGGCTTCTTCTCGCCTTCACTTTCCTTGTACAGGCTGGCGGTGAAGGTGTTCTTCTTTCCGCTCAACCAGCCCTTGCCGGAGAAGTCGATCTTGGAAGTGTAGCCGCTGCTGCTGACGATCTTGGCGGACTTCTCGAGTTCAACAAAGGGTGAACCGTAGATCAGAGATTCGATGTGGAGGTTGGGGAGCGTGATTAGGTACTGCTCCTTGTCGGTGGATCCGGGTGGAGTGAGTGTGTATAGAGCATGACCAATTTGCTTCACGAGAATGGTGCTTGAGAAGGAGGCCTTCTGTGCGTTATATCCTTGGAGCTACAGCGGTATTAGTTATATGCCCAGTGCACATTAGAGAATGGGGTTCACTAACCTCAACGCCATTCTTCTCGTTGCTGATGGCGTAGGCGGTAGCCGGGGGGTGGTGGCTATTCTCTGTTCAGTGATCTGTACATCTTCACGTCCGCGGGAATCACATACCTGACTTGTTCACTGACGAGTTTGGTCTCGCCCACCTCCGCGTCACCCTCCCATTTTCCGATGAACAGCTCTCCCAGGAAAGGGTTGAGGGGCTTCTTCTCACTGCCAAGCTTTTCACTACGGCTGCAGTATTGCTGGTGGAGAGTACTCAGGAACCACTTGAGAACCAAGAGGGCACGCTTCGCGGGGTCGGCCTCCTTGGCTGGAGCGACGAAGACGGCAGGGTGCTCAGCCCAGTAGGCCGAGTATTCGGTGAGGGAGGTAGTCGACAAGATAAAAGGTGGAGCAGTCAAGGAGGATAGATCACCGTTGAAGGAGGCGATTGACTAAATAAATTTGTTAGCCTAGTAAATATTAGAATGGGACCACCAACCTTAAGGAAGCTTGTCCATGAGCCCTTGCTGTTGGCGGGGACCGAACTTTGAGGGGACATGATCACAAAAAGTAGCAGATAGCTGTAACTGGATACAGAAGCTTGGAATATTCGAAACCAGGACTAGAAGCAGAAGAGGTGGGGGTTGAAGTGGAACGAAAGCGGTCGTTGGCGGTCAGAAACGGATAACGTCATGGCCTCTCAGGGGGAAATGATCGGCTGAACAGCCACAATCGCCCTTTCGGGCAGCTTTCTAGACGTTCACTTCGTGTTGACTTGATGATCTGACTTCAGGGGCACTTTGTACTGCCAAAAGAACCTTGGACAGAAGAATACATGCCAGGAAGACCGCATATTATGAAAATCATGCATGATGTATATTATCTCGACATATACCCACGATACTACTTAACCCTACATTACCTTGATTCCCGAATATACCTAGGTAACTTCATACCTGAGCATTAAATTGAAAAGCCCTGTGTCAAAGTTCCAAGGCTTGTCAAAAATTGTGTCTATTCTCATTCACTCGGAGGACTCCATTCTTATCTGCCAGTACCTGAGCGCTTGCCACCCTCGGCCTAGTCCCCCACACGCGGATTCTTTTCCGTCCCTGGCCCTACCCGGCTGCACATCCGGGGTTCTCCCCGAATCAGAAGCCTTCAACCTGCGTAGGTTGGGCATGATGGACCCTGGAAGCAGATACGACTAGCAAATCACTTGATTCGGCCCTATCGAGCCCTCGGGGAAGTTGTGTCTTCGCCGATCTCCCATAAAGCATTCAGAAATCTGTGTGACTCACGTTTTCTTTCATCTGCAATGCATTTGTGCGACTGCTATATACTCCTACCTTCACGGTGATCGACTGATCTTGACTTATCTCTCAATTGGAGCTCTCTATCCTGTATCTCATATGAGCACCGGGTATGCCTTCGGAACAACGCCGAGCCTGAAAATCAATCGCAACAAATTTCAATGAAAAGCCCCAATTGATCTTCTTCAAGCTTTAAAACTACACAATCACAAAGGCATTGATTCATACAAACACCCCATCATGCCTGCCGCCTCAAAATCCTCCAGTGAGGAAGACCGACCCCAATCCTCGGCGGATGAGACCCAGCTCCGAAGACCACAATCGCACTATTCAGAACGCAGCGGACACGGCCTGGGCCTAGATCATGTCCGTAGCCATGTCTCTCATCACGACATGGCCGTCAATGAGGACTTTCACGAAGTCGACGCAGAGCAATACCTCCGATTCTCACCAGCCCGCAAGGTCATAATCGTCGCTGTATTATCCTTCTGCTCGTTCCTAGCACCTATTTCTTCGACATCAATCTTGGCTGGCGTACCTGAAGTCGCCAAGACATTCAATACCACTGGTAGTGTGGTCAACGCTAGTAATGCACTGTACATGGCATTCATGGGTATCGCCGCTCCCTTTTGGGGCCCCTTCAGCCAGGTTTGGGGAAGACGACCTGTAAGTAGCCCAGATTCCAGATTGATACCATGACGACAGGCTCACTCGTCAAAGGTCTTCCTTGTCAGTGCGTTTTTATTCTTTGTTTTCTCTATCGGCACGGCCCTGTCACCCAACTTGCCCGCGTACTATATCTTCCGCGTGTTGACTGCGTTCCAAGGAACGTCGTTCCTGGTGGTTGGTAGCTCTGCCTTGGGGGATGTGTATGAGCCGCGTGCGCGAGCAACGGCTTTGGGATGGTTCCTATCAGGGACTTTGATCGGTCCAGCATTCGGTCCCTTCCTTGGTGTAAGATACGACACCCTCCCCAGCTACCGCCGAGACTAACGTAAGCATAGGGCGTCATCGTAACATTTAAATCATGGAGAGTCATCTTCTGGCTACAAACCGCACTTGGCGGTTGTGGCACGCTACTCGTCTTCTTCTTTTTCCCAGAGACCTATCCACACCTCACCAAAAGCGATTTGACAGAGCAAACACTTTGGCAAAAGATCGTATTCCTCTGGCACCGTGTATCGCCACTGCGTGTGGCAATTATGCTAATCAGATACCCGAATCTACTCTGCACTGGCGTTGCTGCCGGTGCCCTGGTCTGGAATCAGTACTCTCTCCTGACGCCAATCCGATATGTCCTAAACCCTCGCTTTCACCTGACTAGCCCTATCCAATCGGGTCTATTCTATATTGCTCCGGGATGCGGATACCTGGTTGGGACGTTCATGGGCGGTAGATGGGCGGACCACACGGTTAAGAAATGGATTCGGGCGCGTGGTGGTGTCAGGGTTCCCGAAGACAGACTCAAGTCCTGCCTTCTATTTCTGGGTGGAGTCATCCCTGGCTGTATTCTTGTATACGGCTGGACAATTGAGAAGGCCGTTGGTGGAATTCCGGTTCCTGTACTGGCCATGTTCTTCCAGGGTGTTGCGCAGCTCTTTTTGTTTCCCCAGCCTTAATACCTACAGCCTGGATGTGATGCAGTCCAGTGGGCGAAGTGCCGAGGTTGTTGCTGGAAGCTACATGCTCCGATACTTCTTTGGTGCCCTGGGATCTGGACTCGTCCTCCCCGCGATTGAGGCTATGGGAGTTGGATGGTTTAGCACTATCAGTGCATTCTTTTTGATTCTATCCGGGGTCGGCGTTTGGCTGACCACTGTGTTTGGTGACCAGTGGCGTGACAAGGTCGAGAAAAAGGAGTTGCAAAAAGCCGAACAAAAGTCTAGTAACGTGCAACAAAGCGAAAAAGGCGAGACTTGAGGTTGATTCCTCATATCTATACGAAGGGGAGGTTTTCCATGAGGATATGATTGAAGAACAAAACAACCAAAGATTAAAATGGGGTGACTCCAAACATCCGTGGACGAATGCGTGAATGAATAATAATAAAGCAGTTAAAATAATCAGAATAATGACCCCACAAGAGAAAAAGCGCCTGCGATTGATTTTCCAACGTTCAGCACCATCTTTTCCGAATCCCGAGGTCAGCTTAGGGCCTATCAACAGGGACACTGCTTCCTCGCTGAACACTTTGCACGTCAGCTTCCAAGGCTGTCGCCGTGGCAATCTCTCTGTTACCACCAGACTGTATCCCTTTAGCGAGATCATTTGCATCCAACCCGCTCTCTGCTGAAACGCGATCCACCTTGCGTTGTTCAGTGAATTTTCGGCAATCTGCACGTCCCTTCTTCACGTCCACAAAGGCGATAGCGATCATAGCCCCAAAGCAGATAGCGAACAAGAAGGGAAAGCCCATCCAGCTATTGCGAGTGTTGTTGATGATTGCCTGAATGACATTCGGCCCGATGATCGAAGACTGTTCGGTTAGTACAAGAAGCCCAGCTGAGAGTGTTGATACTCACTGCGCGATTGGTGATGCCGAATAGTGCAAAGAACATATTGTCGTAACCCCGTGGCATGAGCTCACTAATCATTGTTTGGGCGTACTTGGTAGAGTAAGATTCCAAAGCACGGGGAGGAACGTGTGATGTTTGACTTACTGCATAGTATGGGGCTTGGAAAAGACCGAAGATGATATTGTAGAAGTAGAATTCCCACTGCATCGGAAGTTAGTAATGAATTTTCCAAGATCGCTCCTTGAGGCTTGAAACCAACCCGATTATGATATCCGATGCGATTGGTCCATAGACCTAGCATACCCCAGAAAGGAATGAGAACACTGAAGAAGTTCGTAAACAAGAACATAGTCTTTGTCTTGAACTTGAAATAGCGTTGAATATACCAGAATCCGAATGTAGACGTAATCGAGCAGGCAGCCTGGGTGATGCGGTGATGCCGAGGTACGTGATTTGCAAAAACGAGAAAGAAACGGAGTCATTTTGGATGATAGTCACGAGAGTACCTGTGAGAGTCAGGAAAATAAGATACGATCTATGAAGAAGATACATGGTTCATGTGAGGAGTAAACTTACCCGTTGTGTTCAGCCCATCAGCAAGAAGAAAATAGGCGAAAAAGTACAAAAATGTTTGTGGCAGAGACCTGATCTCTCGAATTGCCAACCAAATCTGCTTGAACCCAATGGTCATGTAGCTCGATCCTTTGGGTATCTTAGGACCTGGGCGTTTCTGTTGGAAGATGAACCACCAGATACCCAGCAAGACCCAGTCTACAGGGGAGGTGAGCCAAGTCTCACGCGTACTTGTGGAGGCTCAGAACTTACATGAATTGGTAAGACACAATGCCAAGTTGTTTGAGAAACTATTCTCTTTGAGTGGTAGCAACACACTCAAGTTGAGAACGAGCGTGAGTAAGTATCCGATGTTGCTGTGTGCCGTTGATATGTTGCTGCAAACATCAGCGAAGTGCATTAAAGGGCACAGAGATCAAGCGAACCCTCACCTGATATGATTCCTCTCCAAAGACTCAATGGCGTCATATTCTTCTTGAGTGATTTTTCCCTCTCGCAATTCTTCCTCTCGCGCCCTACGCACGTGTGGAGTGTAGCGCGCGAGACGGGGGAAGACCGCTGCATAGAAGACCAGGGTCGCGCCGTAAGCGATATATGCCACCACATACATTGCCATAGCCGCTGGCCACTGGCTCGGATGTCGGATGGACAACATCCCATACTGCAGCGCCCAGCAAACCACTGTCAAAGAGAGCAGCAACCAGCGCCCGAATGTGCCATAATCTGCGGCACTTCCCAGCCATACAAAGATCACAGTCATGAAGGTGAAGCAGAGACCGTTGGCGATGAGAACTACCGAGGATACAGATCGCGTGCCGCCTGCCCAGGGCACTACACATGCTGAGGAATCGGTACATGACTTTGGTGGGTTGGTGTCTGGCTGGTGTCCGGCACCATTCAGGGCCCACTGGAAGCTATACACGGAGTCAGCGCCCGCGCCTCTTCATGTATTCCAAGGTTAGTGGCTTACAGAGCTTGGCTATATGAGCCGGGGCCCACGCCGTTGTCCCCTGTCAGATCATTATTGTCAGCTTGTGGCGCATGTCTGGAACCGTCAATCAAGGGATAGTGTTATACCGTTGTAATAGAGATAATATGACCAGAGCTCCTTCCTGGTGGTTGTTGGCTGCTCATAGGCATCTTCGTCAACTCCAAAGAGTCGTTCATATTCTTCCAAACTAGGATGAATCTGTGGAGTGGCTGTCACATCCGTGGCTTTGCCAGGTTCAATATGTGCCATGTCGTGTATAGTGTGCAGAGGGAGGACTCGGGGTTGAGATCGAAGCTACCCCGCTATTCGCAGAAGCGACCAAAAGTGCGCTTACTGATTCAAGCACAGTTTTACGTTGCAACGAAGCACAAATTTGAAAAGAACCTCGGACGTTGCTTCCCCAGTTCTACAAGACGCATTAAAAAAGTGGACCCGCGGGGACATCTCAACTCCCGCTCTTTCAACGTCACTTCATCCCATCCCTGCCATGACTTCAATACAAAAACAAGTCGGCCAGGTATGTTTGAAATGAATGATCCTTTCTGAGTGAGGTATTAAACTGACTGCTGCAGCTCTTCGCGGTGGGGTTTCATGGCCTAACCCCAAGCCCCGAAATCAAAACTTTGATACACGACTACCACGTCGGAGGCATCGTGCTATTCTCACGTAACTTTGAGAATGCAGAACAACTCCAGGTGGGACTCGGAGAAAATGGCCAACATTCTTCACTAATGTTTACCACAGGCCTTGACACATGATCTACAATCTGAAGCCAAGTCAGCCGGTCACCAGCGACCGTTGCTAATTGGAATTGACCAGGAGAATGGGGTCGTGACTCGCATTTCTCCTCCGGTCGCTGCGCAGGTGCCAGGGCCCATGGCCCTCGGAGCTACCCACGACCCGGAATGCGCCTACAGTGCGGGGAAAGCCACAGGCGAAACTCTGAGCTTCTTCGGGATCAACATGAACTATGCGCCCGTGTGCGATATCAATTCCGAGCCTTTAAATCCAGTGGTTGGAGTGCGCAGCCCTGGTGATGACCCGGAGTTTGTGGGTCGGTTCGCGAGTGCCGCTGCGCGGGGTCTGCGGGAACAGAACATCGTTCCGAGCGTGAAGCATTTCCCAGGCCACGGGGACACGGCGGTTGACTCCCACTACGGTCTCCCTGTCATTCCGAAGACTAGGGATCAATTGGAGCGCTGTGAGCTGATTCCGTTTCGACGGGCTGTGGCCGAGGGCATTGAGACTGTCATGACTGCCCATATCTCGTTGCCTTGTATTGATCTCACGCGCCCCGCGACGCTGTCGCCGAAGGTATTGAATATCTTGCGCAAGGACATGGCGTACGACGGTATGGTGATCACGGATTGCTTAGAGATGGATGGCATTCGGTCCACATTTGGCACGGAAGAGGGCTCGGTGCTGGCGTTACAGGCTGGTAGCGATAGTCTCATGATCTGTCATACCTTTGAGGTGCAATTGGCTTCGATCAAGCGGGTCTGCGAAGCCATCAAGTCTGGTGAAATCAACCAAACGCGACTTGCAGATGCTTCTCGCCACGTTGCCGTTGTCAAGGACAAATTTTTGACCTGGGAATCGGCTCTTCGGCAGTCTCGCCTGGCTGATCTCTGCGCAATCAACAACAAGATTGCCGAGACAACGATGGATATTTACTCTAGATCGACAACCCTCGTTCGTGACAAGAACGATGTTCTTCCCTTGTCGAAGACTTCGATCATCATTTTCCTCTTCCCCGGCGATAAAACCCCCGCCGGTGGTGCCGTTGACGGCGAAGGGATGGGGAGACAGGGGTCTTTCCACTCCAAAAAATATCTCGATGTTCTCCGCCAACACAATAATTCCATCGCCGAGATCAGATATGGAACTGCTGGCCTGACTGCAGAACAATGGCAGGTCATAGAAGTTGCAGACGTTGTCATTTTCACGTCTCTCAATGCCCGAGAGTCTCCCTACCAGGAGTCTCTGGGTCTGGAGCTTGCCCAGCGTGTTCGATCATTAGTACATATCGCTGCATGTAACCCTTATGACTTCCTCGATGCGCCGAGTGTGAAAACGTACATCACGACATACGAACCAACCATCGAGGCTTTCTCAGTGGCTGCCGACATCATGTTCGGCGCACTCATCCCAACAGGCGCTCTTCCAGTGGGGCCTAGTGCTTTGACAAGAACATCCGCGACAGTGACACGATTTGACCCTTCCACAGATGTCAGTGGTATCCTGGACGTCTGGAAAGTGGCGTTGCCAGGCTACATTCTTCCTGACGAGAGCCTATCCCACCTGATCGTACGCCCCTCGGCCAACCATTTCGTCGCCCGCATTGGACCAGAAGTCGTGGGATTCTGCCTAGCCTATATCAATGAACATGGCGACCCAAACACAGCCCACATTGCTGTACTTGCAGTGTCACCCAGCTACCAACGACAGGGTGTCGGTGTTGCTCTGCTGGAAGAGACTCGTGCTCATTTGCGGTCAAAATTCGACCTGAATGGTGTAAAATTAGGCAGCTCATTCCCTCGCTTTTGGCCAGGAATACCTCAAGATCTTCCAGAAACAGTGCAGCATTTCTTCATCCATCGTGGCTTCCGACTTAGCCCTCGGACCGCCCGATCCGTCGATCTATACCAAGATATTCGCAACTTCAAATCACCAGAGAAATATACGACCCGGGCTGCGGAGCGAGGCTTCCGATTCGCACCACTAACAGCAGAGACTCGAGAAGCGTGCCTGGTGGGTCAGCGCCGTAACTTCTCCGATAAAGCAGTAAGTGCACATCCTCTCGCTGGTTACACGAACTCACCAATTTCCCAGGGCTGGGTAGAGGCGTACGAGGATCTACACCTGGACAAATACCCCGACAGCATCATGACAGCCTTCGACTCGCAGGGCACACAGGTCGGCTGGACTCTGATGCTAGGACCATCATCGCTGCTCAACCGGACGTGGGCATTCCCGCAACTGTGTGGCCCCAAGACCGGACTCATCGGCTGTGTCGGGATCGACGAGCCTTACCGCAAATCCGGCATCGGCTTGGCGTTGATCTGTCACGCCATAGAGAACATGAAGAAGCGAGGCATCGAAGGCGTCTTCGTGGATTGGGTCGCCTTGGACGGCTGGTATGAGCAGGTCGGCTTCCAGACCTGGCGGAGCTATCGGCCAGGGGAGCTCTGAAACCTGTATTCTGAGACTCGAGCTCGAGCTTCAACCTAGCTCCTAGCTCCTAGCTTCAAGCTCGAGCTCCATGGCTTTTAGTCACTTGACGATCCTACGGCACGATGTTTCCTTTTTTTTTTCTCTCGCACAGCCCCTCCCTGTTGGGTATCAATTCCTGATTTGGCTCCACTTAGATCTCCTTGTTTGAAATGACGCCTCCTTTTTTGAGATGAGAGGCGCATGGCTGTAGCACGTGGGCTGAGCCCCTGTCACGACATCCACAAACTATTCAAGTTGGGCAGCGACGCCAAGTTGCCATGCGAGGGAGGTCTACATTCTATGTATCAAATGAAGTTTACTCTGAACACGTTCGGTAAGGTTGTCATCAAAATCTGTAGCTTTGTCGTCCTGTTTCGTATGTCTGTAATGAAATCGCTCAAAAACGCCTATTCTAGATCTGACAAAATGCAACGGAGATCACGCACGCTGGAAAATGGAAAAGAAATCACGCTGGAAATCGAAAAAGACGCCGAGAACCCGAGGATAAGAAACCAGAACTAAATCAAACATATACATGAAGTGAAGAACCAAAGCACCCAAATGCAAAAAAAAAAGGCAAGCAAAGGATGTAGTAAAAAAACGCAAAAAGTCTAGAAGCTGAACAAACCAGTACGCTTCTTTCCGTATGGATAAACGACCAAGGCAGCAATAAAGAGACCAACAGTAATGCCAATAGCGACTTGAATCATACCGAAACCCAAACTAGCAACGGAAGTCTCGGAAAGCGCACTGGTGGAGGAACTAGTCCCATTTTTATCAAGGTTGTTTCGAACCTCATCGGCATATTTGATACCAGCGATCAAAGATCCACTAGAAGCAAGACCGGATGGAACGAGGACAAAGATACCGGGGAGAATCGCAGTGGCTGCATGACCGTGCCACACGCGACTGTACAAATTGCCCAGAACACCAATTGTAAATGCGCCGACGGTGTTTGCAACTTCGGATTGCGAGCCCAGCTTGGTTGTGCTGAAATAATTGGCTATGTAGCCGGATACGGCAATGAAGACCATAACGGGCATTTGTTTCCATTTGCCGTGGTTGACGATCGCGAGGAAAACGGCGTAGATTGCGACGAAGGGGAATTGGCGGAGGTAGGTTGAGCCGTAGACGTCTAGGCCTGAGCAGGATGTTTGAGATGTAGCGGTTTTGTCCATTAGGCCGTAAATGGTTGTTCCGACCGTGATGCCGTAGCCGAGGAAGAGGGAGTAGATGATTGCGTAGACCATGCGGATGGAGCCGGCGATCATTTGGTGGGATTGGAGTTCTAGACTGCTGCAGAGAACCATGAAACCAGGGAGAATCAGGGCGATGGATGATTGGGCCATTGCGGAGAAGCAGAAGAGTTCTTCGGTTTCGCCGCCGCGCACGACTTTGATGCTGCCGAGGGCGCGGGCGAGGAATGAGGTCAGTACTGCGGCTGTGACTTCGAAGACGTTGGAATAGAGAGTGGATTTGGGTGCGAGGACGTGTTGCATCAGTCCGACGATACAACCCAAGCAGAAGATGATAGGCATGTCAATTGGGCGCGCTTGGAAGGCAAATGGACCGACGGTCGAGCTGGCTAGCCCGTACATGAGAACGAGGATCCATTTGTTGAAACGAGGCTTGCGCTGCATGATCTCGTCGAGTTCATGTGTGGCTTCCTCCACACCGATTAGATCGTGAACGACGTTCTTGTAGACGTTGTGCGTGTCGGCCAGCCGACCGAGGTCGACACCCTGCACCATGCGAACAAGCTTGACCTCTGCGGTGCGGGTGGTCGGATCGTCAAAGGACATAATCATACAGCCAGGAAGATACAAGAACTGTCCGGAGACTTCGAGCACACGCGCCGTCATTTGCATATACTCCTCGAGACGGTGCGTCGGAGCTCCGTACCGCATGAGGGCGCGACATAGCTGCATGATATATCTCTGACGAGCGATAATCTCAGCGATATGGACGGTGACGCGGATCTCATCCTCCAGACGTGTCTTGCGCTTATTCTTCTTGCGCTTGCTCGGCAGACCGGCCGCGGCATCCACAGCACCAGGCAAGCTAGCACTGCTCAAATTCATAGACGCATTGACAAGCGACGAAGTAGACCGGTGGGAGGGCTTCTTGTACCATTTCAGCTTCTCCTTGCGTGGTGTCGCAGACCCGGACGTCGGGGCGGACGGCGTGATCAACGGAGACAAGGATCCTTTCCTGGGCGTGTTGACGCCAGAGGAAACCTGCGTCTCGCTATCCGAGTCATCGGTAATGACGCTTTCGGCGCGCGACGAGCTCCCTGTCTGCGTCGCCTGCAACTTCAGCAGCTGCGACAGGATGCCACTGCCTCCACTGAGACCGCTGGATCGTCGACGCTGCGCGAAACCTTTGAACAAGTTCTCCGGAGTCGTCTGCCCGGAACGCTGATACGCACTCTTGGGCTTGCGCTGGCGTAGCTGGTCCTGGACCATGGTCATATGGCGGACCAGACGGTGAGCCTCAGCGCTAGCGGGCGGCTCAATGAGGTCCTCGCCATTTTCGAGCGCGCGGGCACGGTCGGCGTCATGTTTCGCGCGGCGAGCTTGCAGTTCCTCCAGGGGAATGCCGCTGTCAAAATCGTCCGGAATGTACGATGCGCTCAGGGCCTCGCCCTCATCAGGCGGGCGACCGAGGCGCTCGGTCAAACGCTGGGTCTTTTGGTGCAGCAGGTGACCAGCTGCTCTGAAACGCTCCCTGGCGGAGGTTGTGCGGTCCATAGTCGGAGCGAAATCATGTTTTTCAGACTCTGGAAACTCTTCTGGTGAGCGCACACTGGAAAGACCGGAGCCTTGGCGGGAATGTGCGGCGGCCGGCGGGGTGATGGTTCCGGCGAGCGGGACATCGACGTCTGCGGGCGGCAACAATGGGCGCTCTGAAGGGTCTTCAGGCAATTCGTTTCGGCGGAGACTCAATGAGCGGAATCGAACACGATGGGAAGGTCGGATGCGACTCTCGGGCACGGGCACGGGCTCGGCCTCGGCTTGGAGGCCGGCTTCGAGCCCGACATCGTATTGGCGGGCGTCGGCAGTGGCTTCGCGCTCTAGGCTGTGTCGATCTGAGGTGACAATGATTGGTAGGGGATATTCAGCGTATTCTTCATTGGGACTCGGGTGCGGGTTGGTGATGCCCGACATGAAGAGGATCGGGGGTGAGCTTGTGGCTCCCGGAGGTTTTTAGCCGAGCTGCAAGCCGCAATTATGCAAGGCACACAACGAGTGACTGGGAGCTTGAATGAAGACAGAGAAAGAGAAGAAAAGAGAGGGAGAAAAAGAAAGAGAGGAGTATTATGGATAAATGACAGTAAGGCTAAAATGATTTAAGCGGATCAGAGAAAAAAAAAAGTAGTTGAGAGTTAAAATAGTCGGCAGAGTCTAGATCTATACAGCTCCATTGCACCTTGTACATTTCTTTTCCTTTATACACTGCCTTTCTGATCGTCTGAGCTTTAATTCTTTAATATTTTGAAAATAACTATTTTTTTCTAATTCTCCTCTTCCCTGTCATTGCAAATCTCATCCCTATCACGGATGTCACGGAGAATATCATTGGCATCGTACTTGCGCAGCCAGTGGGTCTACACGGTGGCGATCGCCTTGACAGCCTGTGGTTCGTCTGTGGATTTTCCCTTTGTTCCAAGAAAATCTCCCTCCGATTCTCCGTGGGCTCTGTTTATTGACTTTAGCGCTTTCATCATCGCACTGCACCTTATCATCATGCATGCACCATTCAACCTTGGAACACCCACTCATCCACCCCTTAGGCCGCACCGATCGGGCTGCTGAAATCTCCTCTTAGCGCAAGCCCCTGTATAGTGGAGTGTGGAACTCAACTCACAAAGATCCACAGTGTGATAAGAGCTGCCTGAGCTGCCTTGACAGGGGGAGCACATCAGTGGATAACAGTCGACTATCAGAAGCGAGAACGGACCAACGCCAGTTTTATAGATAGAAAAAGAAACGACCCACCGGGGGTTGATGCACATTACGAATCGCCGAGAGCTTACAGCCCACGCCACCCGGTGGAGCCGATACACCCTGGGCTAGAAGCCGCTATGACTAGCATGAGAGAATGGAGCTAAATGGCGCAAATCTGATAGGGGGTCCCGATGCGCCTGCATATTCTGGGAATGAACGGGATTTTCCAAGGTTTCTCTTTTTTTTCTTCTTTGGTTTAGCTTTATAGACGTTGGTCACATACACTTGTGCAGCTTATGTCCTGGTCGGTTTTTTACTCTGACCGCTCCTTTTCAGTAGGGACCGTCCAGCCATTCAAGATCCCACACCCGGCGTTGAGATAGCCGGCGTATCCCAGCCATGCAGCGTAGGGGACGAGGCACCAGAAGGCGGTCCGATCGGCCGTCCACCAATTGACCATGAGCGCACCCACGTTGCCGGCCAAGAGGACCAGATCGCCCAGGGCGGTCGCCGGGCGACCCAGTCCGAAAAAGAGGGGCATCCACAGGAAGTTCAAAGCCAGCTGCGTGGTGTAGAGTGTCTGGCCGGTGGCATTGGCATCGCGGACCGCCAGGGAGAGAGATTGCGACGCGGTGGTGGCGGCGTGGTGAGATGCGTAGCCCATCAAGCCATAGAGAACGGTCCACGCCGGCCCGAAGAGCCAACCCGGGGGACTGAGGGGCGGTTGCCGAAGCTGCTTGTAGGTTCCGCGAGTTTGATTCCCTGCAGAAGTCAGAAATGTCAATCTTCCGTGATCTGGCTATCGTCACTGGGATGACTTACGATTGGTCAGAAGAGCTATGGCGGTCCCTGCGGTGATTGGAGTCGCAACCGCCAGATAGGGGTTGCTGAGGATGCCATGGGGCAGCGCAAAAGACCAAGGCATTTTGAAACGTTGAATTTGATTTTTTCTATTTTGAAATTTGAAAGGGGGCAGAGAACGCGAAAGGTCCACGAAGCCGTGAAGATCGATCGATTGCTCCCCTACGTCATCATCCCTTTCCTTGGCGAATCAGCCACGTTTTGCTCGGCTGAAACAATTGCCGCCGAGTGTGTTTTGTTTTGTGTTTTGTTTTTTTCTTAGATACATCAGATGGATTCCATGTGTGATGAAAGCATTCTCTGCACATAAAGTTGATCTGGTCTGATATGCAAAGTGATATTCCCTGATAATCCAAAGTGGAACTGAACAGAACGGAAAGTTCCAGAGGAATTGACTTGACTTGACATGAGATCGACAGTCTGTCGGTGCTACTGCAATTTTAGACCGAATGCTTATCTACAGTCTACACTATCCCAGATGGATTCTGTACGGCGAGTATCAAGGGTCCCTGGTCTTGAATCGCCAAATTAGATCATGGAAAAAAAAAAAAAAATCGAAGTCCAGTTCTTTGTCTTTGTTGGACTATAAAAATGTGGGCAGAGCACGGCAATCGCGGGTGATCAAATTTAATAGTCAAGTCCAATTGAAGCAAATCCCCATAGTCCTGATCAAGATGCCCCTGCGACTATTGTGTCTCCATGGCTGGGGAACAAATCAAAAGGCAAGCCACCCAATGCAGAAAAGTTGGGAAGTACAAACTCATTTCCCACCAGATTCTACAGTCGCAATTGAGTATGGCCTGTCCGCGCCTCCAAGCGAACACGAACTCTAATCCAGCAGGTGGACTGATGCACGACCTTCAACGGGACAACACCGCAACCTTCACCTTCCTCGAAGGGGACATCGACTCGGATCCTGGCCCCGGCATCGCCGGGTACTTTGACGGCCCGTACTACAGCTACTACCGATTTCCACGCACCTTCGCCCTCCAGGACAACGATGACTCCGACATCCTGGAAGCGTACGAACAACTCATGGAAAAAGTTGCGCTGGAGGGGCCCTTCGATGGCGTTCTAGGCTTCTCCCATGGTGGGACCTTGGCCGCCGGCTTCATGATCCACCACGCAAAGATGTATCCCGGTGAACCCGCCCTGTTCAGATGTGCCATCTTCATCAATTCCCTGCCCCCCTTCCGCATGGACCCTGGTGAACGTCCGATCGTCGAGGAGGGGCTGGAGGGATACATATCGATTCCCAGTGTACATATCGCCGGTGCCCAAGACCCACTATTTGAATATTCACTGGCCTTGCATCGCATATGTACGGCGCATGCGACTTTCGCCGTACATGGGCAAGGTCATGATGTGCCCAGTGATCAGAAGAACGTCGTCATTATCGCCACTGCCATTCGCAAGTTGTTCAGTCAGATCTGGTGAAACCCAATCAGAAGGGGGAAGGCCTTCTGAGATTTCTGGATGTGCGACCCTCGCTAAAAGTTGTTCTTGAAAATTGCAAGGTTCATGTAAGAAGGTGCCCTGGTGGGGTGTTGCTGGGTGAGCAAATGTCGCACAATAGGTAGGATTGCCGTAGGGACTTTATACATTCCATCCGGGAGCGCAGGGAAAGTTGTTTCAAAGCGGGATATGTTAGGTTTTCCACCCGCTGAGGGTTGCACCCGGACACTAACCTCGCTGCGAGTGAGGTGAAACTTTATATATACCGAAGTAGACGGTTGCACTGATGCATGGAATGAACTTAGTACCTAGAAACGAGACCACCCGAGACCCTTCCAAGGCTCCCAAGGTGCAAGGAGAGGACTGTTTAAATTGCGATTGAATTGCGGGTTTCACGGCAATATACACAATTTGCAGTTGAATAGAGAGGGAAGAGAGAAAATCAAAAGACACAATGCCCAATCATGCCATGTCTGAGAAGAGGCTCTCGGAAGATGATTTAGCGAGCTTGGGAGCTAAATCTTGTATACCGATCGCTATCGTGGGGATAGGTTTTCGGGGCCCGGCAGAGGCCAAAAATGTCAACAGGCTGTTGGAGATGATCGTGAATGGGAGAGAAGCATGGTCTCCCATTCCCGCTAAAAGGTGGAATAACAAGGCGTTTTATCATCCAGATAACGCCCGACATGGATCTGTGAGTTGTGTTTCTTGCGGTGGAATGATGCAGGCTAATTCGCAAATTTCTTTTGTAGATCAACGTGGAGGGTGGTCATTTTCTCGAGGAAGATATTTCGGTGTTTGACGCACCGTTTTTCAACATGACAGGCGACGAAGCGGCGGTAAGGTCATAGTGCGAGTGCTGTGAATACATCTAATGATCGATTAGGCGATGGATCCACAGCAGAGGTTACTGCTGGAGGTGACATATGAAGGACTTGAGAATGGTGGGGTGTCTCCTGCTCTATCGGGAGTGTCTGAAACTGATAAATGTCAGCCGGTATCCCGTTAAACAAGATCGCAGGGACGAATACATCGTGTTTTGTGGGATCATTTTCTGCAGACTATACCGATCTTCTTCTCCGCGACCCCGATTGCGTACCAATGTACCAGTGTACCAACGCGGGACAGTCGCGCGCGATGACAGCAAATCGGCTGTCATATTTCTTCGACCTCAAAGGTCCCAGTGTCACAGTTGACACAGCCTGCTCAGGGAGTCTGGTCGCGTTGCATCTAGCATGTCAAAGCCTCCAAACCGGAGACGCCACGACCGCAATCGCAGCAGGCGTCAACTTGATCCTAAGCCATGAGTTTATGTCAACTATGAGCATGATGAGGTTAGCCTGAGTTTTCACTGAATCCAAACAAATCTGACAAAGTCACAGATTCCTCTCACCCGACGGACGATGCCATACCTTTGACGAAAAAGCAAATGGATATGCACGAGGAGAAGCGGTGGGTTGTCTCATTCTTAAACCCCTGACCAAGGCATTACACGACAGCAACACGATCCGAGCCGTGATACGAGGAACCGGATCGAATCAGGATGGTCGCACTGCGGGAATAGCCTTGCCGAGTCGGGTCGCACAAGAAAACTTGATTCGAAGTGTTTATGCTCGCACCGGGTTGGATCCTTCGCAAACTGACTTTGTGGAGGCACACGGCACTGGAACACAGGCTGGAGACCCCTTGGAAACAAAAGCTATTTCGGAGGTCTTTGGAGCTGGTCGTCCTGCTGATAATCCCGTCCGCATTGGTTCCATCAAGACTAATGTCGGTCACCTGGAAGGTGCGAGTGGTGTCGCGGGTGTCATCAAGGCGGTGCTGATGTTGGAGAATCGAATGTTCCTTCCCAACCGCAACTTCGAGAAGTTGAACCCTCATATACATTTAGATGAATGGAACCTCAAGGTACGAGTGTTACGCTTTGCATGGAAGAACTATACTGACTTGACAAGATACAATTGGTTGCTGAGCCTTGGGAGACAATAGGGCCCCGCAGGATCTCCGTCAATAGCTTTGGTTATGGAGGAAGCAATGCTCATGTGATCATCGAGGAAGCAAAAAGTCATCTCTCAGAAGTAGGCTGCGACACTATTTGCCATTTGTCAGAAGTTCGAATGAAGCAGCAGGATACGAACATTCCTGCCTCATCATCTGAGCCTCCCCGAGTGTACCTTCTGTCCGGGTTTGATGAGGCATCATGTGCCAGGCAAATGCAAAGCTTGCACACATATATACTTCAAACAAAGAACGAATCGACCAGTGAATTCCTTGACAATCTTGCCTTCACCGTCAATGAGCGACGCACCTTGTTCCCTTGGAAAGCTGCTGTCGTGGGAAGTACAATTGAAGACTTGGCAGCTTCGCTCTCTCGAAAAACAAAAGCCAGGAGTTCCATTCAAAGACCCAGAATTGGATATGTGTTTACAGGACAAGGTGCACAGTGGCCTGGAATGGGTCGAGATTTACTTCAAGCTTATCCTGTCTTTCAAGGTTCAATATCCGACATTGATACATATCTGAAAGAGATCGGATGTGCATTCCAAGTCAAAGGTTTGCAACCCATTCCAGTCAATAGTTTCAACCTAACACACCTTGTTACAGAAGAGATTATGACACCTCCCGAGCAGTCAAACATTAATCACCCGAGCTTGAGTCAGACCGCGTGCACGGCATTGCAGATTGCACTCGTTGATCTACTGAGATCATGGGGAGTATACCCGGACTCGGTTATGGGGCATTCCAGTGGAGAGATTGCTGCTGCTTATGCAGCAGGCTCCCTGAGCATGAAAGATGCAATGTCTGTGGCATACTACCGAGGGGTCGTGGCGAGCCAACTTCTAGACGGCTCAGCCAAGGGCGCCATGATGGCGGTAGGGCGGTCCGTCGAAGAAGCACAGGCTTACCTGGATCGATTCTCACCCACGGACTTGCTCGTCGTGGCTTGTATCAACAGTCCATCAAGTGTTACCGTGTCGGGAAACGAAGAATCAATTGATATGCTTGCTCAAATGCTCAAGGACCAATCTGTCTTTCATAGGCGCTTGGAAGTAGGCGTCGCGTATCACTCTCCTCACATGGAGCGTGTGGCAGAACAGTATAGCAGCTTCATTCATCATATCCAGGTGTTGAAGTTGACTGGATCAGAAGAACTCAACAGCGACAGCCCTACTCCTCGATTCTTCTCTTCGGTTTCTGGAACGCTGTTGTCGACTGACCACCTCGACTACAAATACTGGGTTTCCAACTTGACAGGGCGGGTGAATTTTGCTGACGCCCTGAAGGCATTGTGCTTTGAGACTCAAGGTCAGCGCGAGCGCCGTGTGGGCTTAAGCAGAATCAAAAAAGTCAAGACTGCTCAAAAGCCCTCGGTTGACTGTCTGATCGAAATCGGTCCACATTCGGCACTTGCTGGTCCTATTAGACAGATCATTCGAGCAGACACTAAGCTCAGCTCTGCCGACATATTATACGTGAATCTTCTGACTCGCAACGCCAATGCGGTAACCACTGCAATCAGTGCAGCAGCGACGATGGCAACACTGAATTATCCGGTGAACTTTGGGGCAGTCAACAGACCAAAGCAGCCGACGGCGCAGGATCAATTGGAGCTCCTTGTTGATCTTCCGCCGTATTCATGGGATCATACTAGGAGCTACTGGGCGGAACCACGGCTTAGCAAGATGTATCGCAACCGACCGACACCGCGATTAGATCTGATTGGTGCTCCAGACAACATGGCATGTCCCACTGAGCCTCGCTGGCGAAATCATCTCCGTACCTCGGAGCTGCCTTGGCTCTTAGATCACAAAATACAGGGTAGCATCGTCTTCCCAGCTGCTGGATATCTCGCTATGGCCATAGAGGCTGCAAAACAAATGACCAAAACTGACGAGGACTCGCCAACTTACCTTTTACAAGGGGTGGAGATCAAAACAGCCCTGGTAATTACTGAAAGATCTGCTTTTGAAATTATGATGTCCCTGCACACGCCTGAATACCATCGCAGTGATTTGTTCAACTTTCGCATTTATTCCATCTCACCAGATAACAGATGGACCGAGCACTGCAGTGGCTGGGTTGGAAGACAAAAGACCTATGGGACATCCAAAGACGGAGCTGAAGACGCTGATGACTATGTCATGGTTCCTCTCGGAACTGAGGTCCACGGAGTCTCGGTCATTGACATCAAAAGCTTCTATGAAAAGCTCCAAAGTTCTGGACTGGAGTATGGACCATGCTTCAAAAATCTGACAGAAGCACGCGTGACACAAGATGGGTCGTGCTTTGCAGAGATCACTGTGCCAGATACCAAACCTGTGATGCCTGCTACGTTCCAACATGACTCGATGATCCATCCTTGTTTACTGGACAGTATATTTCATACTATTCTCGCGGCTCTACCGGTAGGCAACGGTGTTGAAGAAGGGCCAGTCATACCGGTGTCGATCGAGGAAATGACCGTTTCTTCCCGCCTCAATTGCCTGCCCGGGGAGAAAATGAGTACGTGCACCCACGTGCGTCCAGCGTCAGGGAAGGATGTCAGAGCATGTGTTGTTGTGATGGAATGCAACGATAAAAGATTCGAGATGGAGCCAAGTATCTCCATTCGTGGTCTGCGGTGCGCTCGGTTGAGTCGTCTCGAACATTCATCATCATCAAACAGGGAGGCGGGTATGATATATCGCATTGATTGGAAGCCCGATTTTTCCTTCCTTGAAAGCAGAAATGGCTCGACCATATTAGCAAGCAGTCAACACCAAGAAGACCCAGGTCTTGCTGAGAAAGAGCATTGGGCCGCCGAGTTTATAAGAAATGCGTTGAAGGAGGTCAGCCCGAAAGAAGCGATGGCCTTCGATATTTCGCACCGTCGACTCTGGTGTTATTTCCAGGATGTTCTAGAACGATACGACAAGGACAACCTGCTTGGTTCAGGCGTGGAAGATATGGGGTACGCTCATATAGGCCATCTTCTACAAAAGGTTGGCTCAAATCTCGTGAATGTCATTCGAAACCAGGTGGACTATTCTACCGTCGTCGAAGACGAGAAATGGCTGCTTGAGTACTGGAACATGTTTGCGACTGATCCATCGTACCAAGCCGCAGCGAATTACATTGAGCTAATTGGTCACAAAAACCCTGATATATCCATCATCGAATTCGGGGTTGGTACAGGTCAGATCTCAGAGATATTCTTGAAACATCTTGTGACGTCTGATGGCACATCTCGCCTCTCGAAATATACATTTGCGTACGAGAGCGCTTCTGTAATCGAACAGGCGTCGAAGAAACTTGAGCCATGGACTGGTCGGGTGGAATGTAAGCTCCTGGACCTTCGTACCCAGTTGTCCCAGCAGGGAGTGGAACATGGCTCTTTTGATGTGATCATTCTGCCTCATGGGCTTTGCACCGCTCGCTGTGAACAAGATGCGCTTTCTGAAATATATGACCTGTTATCCCCATCGGGGTGTTTGATTGCAATCAACCCGTTCGACCCAAGAGAAAGTGTTGTAAAGAGTGTTCTTTTTGGAGCGTTGCATTGTCTTTCGGCAGACGAGTTCTGCTTGGGTCAAGGTGGATGGACAGAAGGTCAATGGTCCGAGATTTTGAGCGCTGCAAAGTTTACTGCTGTTGACATTTTCGCCGAGAAAGATTCTCACAAAAGCCATCAATTCATCGTCGCCAAAAAGAATCGACTTGAGTTGTCAGCTTTGAGCATCGCGATAATCGACGAAAACAAGTCCGACAAGACTGGAAACATACTACTGGATCACATTAAAAAGTTATCACCAAAAGTGAATTTGACAGATATCAGGAGTGTGGACCCAAGAGGACAGATCTGTCTAGTACTGGACATCGATAGATCATCAATTCTTGCCAGTTGCAACGAAACCACGCTTGAAAAAATCAAATCGGTGTTTATGCATAGCGCAGGGGTTCTTTGGGTCACACGAGGCGGCACAATCGAGCCTAAAAACCCAGATGCTGGGCTGGTATATGGATTCGCAAGAACAGCGCGTGCGGAATCAGGCGTTCAATCAATCATCACTCTCGATCTTGACGCTCAGAACTGCCTTCCAGACAAAGAAGCTGGAGAGATGATATTCAAGTTGTTGGTCTCGCGTGTCTTGCGGAGAATCGCCGACTCTGATACAGAATATGCGGAGAGGAACGGGGTGTTATGTATTCCGCGTGTTGTGGATCATTTGCTTGCAAATGACACCTTGGCAAGTATTGATGACACTGAATGTGTATCTACCCAGCGGTTTCAAGAATCTGATCACCCCGTACGACTTTCGCGGAAGAGCGATGCGCCCGGATTCGTCCCTGACCACAAACTTTCGAAGATTCCTTCTGATAATGTGGGAATTTCAGTTCGATCGTTTGCTTTGAGCCAAGGGGACATTTTGAAGGATCTTGAATATTGGGATCAGGATAAAACGCTCGGAATAGAGTGCAGTGGGGTCGTTTCAAAGGTTGGCAGTGGGGTACACAGTGTGGCAGTGGGTGACCGTGTTGCATGTCTTGGATCTGGGACTGCAAGGACCCTTTATCGCGATCGAGCCTCGGCGTTTCAGAAGATACGTGACGATATGACGTTTGATACTGCCTCATGCATACCTCTCGCATATACAACGGCGTTGCATGTCGTGAATTATGTGGCTGCCGTTGAAAGTGAAGAGAATGTGTTGATCCATAATGCTGGCAGTCCTTTCGGGCAAGCGATCGTGGATATTTGCTTGTTCAAACGTGCCCGTGTGTTCGCGTCAGTTCGAAACCTCCATGAGAAACATGCACTAGTCTCCGCATACGGACTACCAGTGGAGCAGGTCTTCGTACATGGCGAAATAGACATTGTAAAATCTTTGCTTCGTTTGACGGATGGCAAGAAAGCGAATGTTGTCTTGAGCTTTGATGGAGCAGAAGAGGATGACACAAGAAGCTGTACGGCGCCGTTCGGCCGAGTTGTTCAGCTCCAGACTGCTGTGTCAATAGGGCACGAATGGTCCTGTCTACAGAATGCGACCGTATCCGTTCTGAACATGTTTGAATTTTACAGAGACCGAAAGGACCTGGTGGCTAATCTGTGGTCTAAAGTGGGACAGCTATTTCTTGATCAGCAACTTCGTGGGCCTGCATCGATAAAGATGTATCCCCTTCTATCCGTGCATGAAGCTATCGAAGCTACTGCCACCCAGCAGCAGGTGGTGGTCTCTGCAGTTCCGAATGACATAGTGAAGGCAATTATTTCCCCTTCGAGAAAGATGTTCCTCAAGCTCATGAATGATAGGTTACTATACCGAAGGACCCACAGCCATTATTCCATGACCATGCTTCCTACATATTGGTTGGAGGACTCGGCGGCATCGGGCAACAATTAGCTTTGTGGATGGCACAGAACGGAGCGAAGAGCTTCATTTTCATAAATCGCAGCGGAGAAACAAAAGCCCAGTCCAAAGCCATCGTGAAAGATTTGATAGAAAGTGGCGTCCAAGTGACGATCCGAGCTTGTGACATATCCAATGCGCCCGAAGTGGGCCTTGTCTTTGACGATCTCTCCAAATGCGCCCCTCCCATACGAGGCGTCATACAGGCGGCCATGGTGCTCAAAGACACTCACATCGAGAAAATGCAGATGGAAGATTACCAAACTGTCATCGGTCCGAAACATCTTGGCACCTGGAATTTACATCGCGCTCTCCCTTCTGACCTTGACTTTTTTGTTATGCTCTCATCCATAAGCGGGGTAATTGGCAATGCCACGCAAGCTGCATATGCTTCCGCTTGCGCATTCCAGGATTCTTTCGCAGCTTACAGAAATAGCCTTGGACTGACAGCAATATCGCTAGATCTTGGCGTCATCACGGATGCCGGATATTTGGCAGAGAACAAAGAGTTGGCCAAAAAGATGAAACGGCAAGGATTCCACGGTACAGATACAAAGGCCTTACTATCTTTGATCCGGGTCGCACTAGCGAAGCCTCAGAAGAACATGTCGCAGATGATTACAGGCCTTGGTCAATGGAAGGAGGGAGAATCGCTCGGTAATTTTGACGAGGCAGTGTTTTCACATTTCCGACACAAATTTGGGAGCCCGAGTCAAGTGTCACGAAGTCCATTGGAAACGTTGAAAGTCAATCTTGGTGCTGCAAAAACAACTGAGCAGGCAGCAACGGTGGTATGCGAGATGATCAGTAATAAACTGGCCTCTCACCTTTCCATTCCGGTTGAGAACATCGATCCGTCAAATCGGGTGTCGGAATATGGAGTTGACTCCCACGTGGCCATCGAGCTACGCGACTGGATTTCAAGATCTATGGCATGCAACGTCCCCATTCTGGAAATCTTGGCCAAATCCCTCACCGACTTATCCTTCAAAGTCGCTAGTGAGATAAATCGGGACGATGACGAGTAAATCAGGGAGTTGTCCAGCAAGGGATCTGTAATGTTTTACTTGGTGCGGAGTATGGAGTATATTTGCATTTTTTGTTCTCCATGCAGCTAGATAAAAACAACAGCGTTGGAAATGGGATATGCGAGCTAACGTTTTGGAATGGATAGATCAGATAGTTTTGTTGACTAGGTCTGTTAAACTGTGGGTCCAAAAGCCAGAGGATTTTCTAAAAGCTAGTGAATGAGATTTCGTTGAATTTTGAAACAGTGTATTTCAAAGCAAGCCTAAATGAGTCAGAGATTGGTTTCATGAGGGAATTGAGGCTGCCGACTAAAAATATCGGAAAAAACTTCGGCCACATGGCGCCGCGTTCCACGGCGTCAACCTTAACCTTTCCAAGGTTGGCCCGGGCCCGCTTATGTCAGCGGATGTTCCGACCAGAGACCGAGCGCCGATTGGCTGCCAGATGTTATGCAAGACTCTTGGCGTATATCCTCGAACTACTCTATGTGGCAGTTGTGCGACTTGGATGCTGGCCTTGTTTGATAATGTTGTATTTGACCTTTCTAAACGGGGTGTACTGACTGATTTGAAGCTCGCTCCAGTCTATAAATAAAGTAAATACACACTGATAGTTGTATTGACTCATGTTTGTGCAATACGAGCTCCTGCAGGGCGATTCCGATGACTCAGCGGAATCGGAGCCTCAAAGTCGAAAGCCACGCCCGAAAGGCCGGGACAAAGCGGGTCCAGAACTGTTTGGCCGAATTGTTTTCCCACTTTTTCCCTAAGACGTAGTTCTAGAGCCGTTTCTATTTCCTTTCTGTGTGATGGTCCCGTAATCAGATGCCGCTATCACCAATCATATCATATTCGTGTCGGCCTCGGACTTTCGGCCAGCGCGACAATACCGCAGACCCACTGTGGATCATTGCATCCCTGAGAATCTGAAGTCTCATAGAAAAGAACATTGGTACCCGCAGATTGAGGCGATCTTGGTGATCAATCTTTCTTTCTCCCGTTGATTCCTCCTCATCTTCAAAATGGAGGGCTCGGAGAAGCTTCCAGTGGCCGGCGAGGCCCAATACGAAACGGAAAGTTTTATGACTGTCACCGGCGAAAAGACTCCAGGCGACGAAACACCCCGCGATGCCAGCTCTATCACCAAAGCTAATGACTGGAGCATGCTGTCCAAGCTCCAAGAGGATAATGACCGCAACCTGGCCGCCGGGTTTAAGAAGCAGGAGCTCGGTGTCACTTGGCAAGATCTATCCGTGCAGGTTATCAGTTCGGAGGCTGCTGTCAATGAGACCGTTCTCTCCCAATTTAACATTCCTACCAAGGTCAAAGAAAGTCGACAAAAGCCTCCTCTTCGGACGATCCTCAACAAGAGTCATGGCTGCGTGAAGCCTGGTGAGATGCTGCTGGTGCTGGGCCGCCCCGGTGCTGGCTGTACTACCCTGTTGAAGATGCTTGCGAACAGACGTGGAGGATACAAGTCGGTGGACGGTGATGTTCGATTTGGCTCGATGAAGCCTAAAGAGGCAGAAGCCTACCGGGGTCAAATCGTCATGAACACCGAGGAGGAGATCTTCTTCCCAACTTTGACGGTTGGCCAAACTATGGATTTCGCTACCCGCCTCAAAGTCCCCTTCCATCTACCTGACGGCATGAGCGCCGTTGAGTACCAACAAGCCTCCAAGAAGTTCCTACTCGAATCAGTGGGAATCTCACACACCGAGAACACCAAGGTCGGCAACGAGTACGTTCGTGGAGTGAGTGGCGGTGAACGCAAGCGTGTCTCCATCATCGAAACAATGGCCACCCGAGGATCCGTTTTCTGCTGGGATCAATCGACCAGAGGTCTCGACGCCTCTACTGCCCTGGAATGGACCAAAGCTATCCGGGCTATGACCGACACTCTCAACCTAGCCACCGTTGTCACCCTCTATCAAGCCGGTAACGGAATTTACGATCTTTTCGACAAGGTCCTTGTTCTCGACGAAGGCGAGCAAATCTATTACGGACCCAGAGAGGAGGCCAGACCATTCATGGAGCAAGCAGGTTTTCATTGTCTTGAGGGCTCCAACGTTGCAGACTATCTCACTGGTGTCACTGTTCCTACCGAGCGAAAAATCCGAGACGGTTTCGAGAGTCGATTCCCGCGCAACGCTGAAGCTCTCAGAAGCGAATACGAGAAGTCTCCGATTCATGCTCGAATGGCCACAGAATACTCCTACCCTGACTCCGAGCTCGCGCGTGAGCGTACCGAGGAGTTCAAACAGGGTGTCACTTACGAGACCAACAAGCACCTGCCAAAGAACAGCCCCTTCACTGTCGGGTTCGTCGATCAAGTCAAGATCTGCATTCACCGTCAATATCAGATCCTCTGGGGTGATAAAGCTACATTCTTCATCAAACAGGCGGCCACATTGGCTCAAGCCTTGATTGCTGGTTCTCTGTTTTACAGTGCGCCGGACAACTCTGGCGGTCTCTTTGTCAAATCCGGTGCCCTCTTCTTCTCCCTTCTTTACCAATGCTTGCTGGCCATGAGTGAAGTTACCGAATCCTTCTCTGGCAGACCAGTTCTCGTCAAACAGAAGGGATTCGCTTACTTCCATCCTGCCGCATTCTGTCTCGCCCAAATCGCTGCGGATATTCCGGTCTTGCTTGTCCAGATCTCCATCTTCGGTCTTATCGTCTACTTCATGGTCGGACTCACTATGTCCGCTTCGGCATTCTTCTCTTACTGGATCATCATCTTTACAACCACAATGGTAAGAAATTTCTCTCACGCTTCACAAGGCTAGTGGCTAACCGAACCACAGGCTATGACCGCGCTATTCCGTGCTATCGGTGCTGTCTTTTCGACTTTCGATGGTGCGTCTAAAGTGTCGGGTCTGATGATCATGTGCACTGTTTTGTACAGTGGTTATATGATTCCCAAGCCCGCCATGCACCCTTGGCTCGGCTGGATCTTCTGGATTGATCCGATCTCTTATGGATTCGAGGCCTTGCTTAGTATCGAGTTCCACGGCAAAGACGTCATCCCTTGCGTTGGCAATAACTTGATCCCCACAGGTCCTGGCTATGAGAACGTCGCGGCTCACCAATCATGCGCTGGTGTGAAGGGTGCCATCCAAGGCCAAAACTTCGTCACTGGTGACAACTACTTGTCCGCGCTCTCATACAGCCACTCCCACGTCTGGCGCAATCTTGGTATCAACTGGGCTTGGTGGGCGTTGTTCGTCTTCCTTACTATCATCGCTACTACCAGATGGAAGTCTCCCTCTGAAACCGGCAACACTCTGGTTATTCCCCGTGAATATCTACACAAGCACACTCAAAAGAGAACACACGATGAAGAAGGTCAGGCCACTGATAAGAAGGTCTCCGAGGGCAAGAGCGAGGAGCCTCAAAGCCTCGACAACCAGCTTGTTCGCAACACCTCTGTCTTCACGTGGAAGGATCTCTCATACACAGTCTCTACCCCCACCGGTGATCGATTGCTGCTCGACAATGTGCATGGATGGGTGAAGCCCGGTATGCTCGGTGCCCTGATGGGTTCATCTGGTGCCGGTAAAACCACTCTTCTCGATGTTCTCGCCCAACGCAAAACCGAAGGAAGCATCAATGGTTCTATCATGGTTGACGGTCGCCCACTGCCTGTCTCCTTCCAACGCTCCGCCGGTTATGTCGAACAACTCGACATTCACGAACGCATGGCGACTGTCCGCGAGTCTCTCGAATTCTCTGCTTTGCTTCGTCAACCTGCCACCACCCCCCGCGCCGAGAAGCTTGCTTACGTCGACGTCATCATTGACCTCCTGGAACTCCATGATCTGGCCGATACCATGATTGGAAGCGTCGGAGCCGGATTGAGTGTCGAACAGCGAAAGCGTGTCACTATCGGAGTCGAGCTCGTTTCCAAGCCCAGTATCCTGATTTTCCTCGATGAGCCTACCAGTGGTCTGGATGGCCAGAGTGCGTACAACACCGTTCGATTCTTGCGCCGACTTGCAGATGCAGGCCAGGCCGTCCTGGTCACTGTTCACCAGCCGTCCGCGCAACTGTTTGCCGAATTCGATCAGCTTCTTCTTCTGGCCAAGGGCGGAAAGACCGTCTACTTTGGACCCATTGGAGAGAACTCCAAGAGTATCAAGGGTTACTTCTCCCGCTACGGCGCGCCATGCCCTGCTGAAACTAACCCTGCCGAACACATGATTGATGTCGTGTCTGGCCAATTGAGCCAGGGCAGAGATTGGAATGAGGTTTGGTTGCAGTCACCCGAGCACACCTCTATGCGCAAGGAGCTTGACGAAATCATTGAAACTGCCGCCGCAAAGCCTGAAGCTACTTTCGACGATGGTCGTGAGTTTGCCTGCACTCTGTGGGAGCAGGTCGTGCTTGTTTTGAAGCGTACTTCTACCGCCCTGTACCGAAACTCGGATTACATTAACAACAAATTCGCCCTTCACATTTCATCTGGCCTATTCGTCGGTTTCAGTTTCTGGATGATTGGCGAGTCGGTCGCCGATCTTCAAAGTGTTCTCTTCTTCATTTTCAATGCTATCTTCGTTGCCCCCGGTGTGATTGCCCAGCTTCAGCCGACTTTCCTTGAGCGCCGAGACTTGTTCGAAGCTCGCGAGAAGAAGGCAAAGATGTATTCTTGGAAAGCATTCACGATTGCTTTGATTGTCTCCGAGTTCCCTTACCTTGTTGTCTGCGCTGCCCTCTTCTTCAACTGCTGGTACTGGACCGCCGGTATGGCTGTCGATTCAAGCAAGAGTGGCAGCATGTTCTTCGTCTTCTTCCTCTACGAGTTCCTCTACACTGGAATTGGTAAGTCGCCGACACTATATATCCTGTTCGAATCCCACTAACCAAAATTTCAGGTCAATTCGTCGCTGCGTATGCCCCCAACGCAAACATGGCCGCCATGATCAACCCTTTGATTCTGGGTGTAAGTATCGACCCCCAGCTTAGCAGAATCTCAACTAATAATTTCCTAGACAATGATCTCCTTCTGCGGTGTCTTGGTTCCCTACGCACAGATCGTCAGCTTCTGGCGCTACTGGATCTACTGGCTCAACCCCTTCAACTACCTCATGGGCAGCATGCTGGTATTCGGACTATTCGACCGCAACGTCCAATGCACAGACCAGGAATACGCCTTGTTCAGCCCGCCCAACGGATCTACTTGCATTGAATATCTCGGCGATTACATGCAGACCATCGGTACCCGCATGAACCTCGTCAACCCAGAGGCAACCTCCGACTGTCGTGTGTGTCAATACACTCGCGGATCGGACTACCTCGTCACTGTCAACCTCAAGGACTATTACTATGGTTGGAGAGACACTGGCATTGTCGCTCTCTTCGTCATCAGCTCTTATGGATTAGTCTTCGCTCTCATGAAGCTGAGGACCAAGGCCTCCAAGAAGGCTGAGTGATAGACTTTTACCTCATTTCGCCACTCACATATTTTTTTTTTCCTTTTGAGGTCATCGAAAAAAAGGTTACGGATGACCTCCAATGCGCCTCTTACAAGCTTTGCTTGTTTTGGGCGCCCCGTTTAGACTGTACACATACCATATGTCGAGGAGAGTATTTTGTCTATAGAGTTCAAAGTTCACCCTTGATTAGTAATTTAATCGCGAAGCAATCACTCATCTCACTCACCCGTTTACTTGTAAACTTCAAGGTTGTTGTATAACCTTGGAATTCTCTGAGGCCTTGGGGCTGCCCAAATGGCTTTTGAGCTGGCTGATTGTAGACTTTTTAGTGTAGGGTTTATCCATTTGTCCGAGCGCTTTTGGCAGAGATATATTATTGATGACCTCGGAGAGTCACTGGATCCCGGTTAAAAAAGCGTCACGGCATGTGTCTTCATAAAATATTTAATCAAATTGCTTGCCATAAGTGTCATTCACGGACAAAATCAATTAGATTGGGAATATGATGGTGAAGTACGGGGTAACATGAATCAAGGGGGTCTCAATGTGGCTTCTACCCACGTGAGCACCAAAAGTAATACTTATTCAAGAAGAAATCACGGGACATCATATGAGTATTCCAATGAGCTTCCGGATGTGCATAAGATTCCTGCGGGTGAGCCCATTTCACAGCCTCAAAACGGAAGGCAGTTAAATCATACGAGAGCAAGCCGAGGGTATGCCCGACCGAGGCGTAAACTTTAGGAGTAACACCGGCCAAGCATTGTTAGCCACACGGAGTAACTGCGAGACCAAGAGTGCCAAAGGTTGGCGTTTGGGGTGTGTATGCTGAGAATGAGGGGGATAGGGGAGATATGGGGGAGCCAGAAACCTTCCAAGGGGGCTGGCACGGAGACTTGAAATTCCAAAAATGCAAAGACAGGCTAAAAGTACCCGTTCTCAACATTTCTTGTCCGTACTAGGTATCCCGTAGATGCCGCGGAGACCCCAACACACCGACAGGGAAAGGTACAGGTCATCTCGGGATTCAGTTCCCCAGTGATATGCGCCGTGAAGAGGCCATCCAAGTTGATTTGCGCAAAAGCCCGAACGGACTTTGTCCGAGAGCCCAAAGCCAAAGGCAAAAGGCACGGGCTGCGAAGCTCAGCAACCCGAGAAGCCTGGTCTTGGCGACCGAATAAGCTGCCTCGAAAGGCTCTCGGGAGACACTGAACTCCACCACACTGGAACTTTACCTCTCTTTCAGCCTGTTTGCCTCCGTCGTGGGGGTGCTAATGGAGGCCTTCCAGCCTATCACGTCGCCCTCTGCAGGTCATGACACAATTCTCGTGTATCTCCGCATTTGCTTCCCCGCAAAATGATTGGCGCAGGGCCCACAGGCCCACACTCCCCCACGCTTCCCCAGAATTCACGGGGTAAATGCGATGTGCCACTCTTTGACAACATTCAACATAGAGGCCGAGTAACATGACCTGGTCCATGCTGATCCCGCGCGACATAAAATGCTGGCCGTGCCCGGGACTGGTTGCCCCTGGGTTCTCAAATCGGGTCGCCACTTTACACACTCAACATGACCGACAAGAATGTAATCAGCGATGCAGACTTGGGGGAGAAGGTTGACTTGAGTCATGAGGAGGTCGTTCACATGGCTGAGTTGACGGATGCGGAGAAAGTCATCGAAAAAAAGCTGCGGAAACGCATCGATGCGCTGATTATGCCATTGGCGATTCTCGTTTACTTGATGAATTATATTGATAGGTGCGCGTACTCACGCCGATTTCTGTTTGCCAATGCTAACTCGGTATCAGAAATAACTATGCCGCAGCAAAGCTGCAAGGTCTGGAGGAAGATCTCAATCTGGACGACACGAAATATCAGACCGGTCTCTCGGTTCTGTTCGTCGGTTACATCCTTATGCAAGTACCGTCGAACATGCTCCTGAATTATATGGGCCGACCGTCCTGGTATATTGGTTTCTTTGTGTGCGCTTGGGGTCTGGTGTCTGCAGTGACCAGCCAGGTCACCAGCTACGGAGGAATCGTCGCATGCAGATTTATTCTCGGTTTGGTCGAGGCACCCTTCTTCTGCGCCATCCTCTTTTACCTGTCCAAGTGGTACACCAAGCAAGAGTTGGCTCTTCGCATGAGTATCTTCTACTCTGGCTCTCTTCTCTCCGGTGCCTTTGGAAACCTCATTGCGGCGGGTATTCTCAACGGACTGAAGGGACACCGGGGTCTCACTGCGTGGCAGTGGCTCTACATCATTGAAGGCTCGATCACATGTGCCATCGGATTGGCTATCTGCTTTATCTTGCCTGATTTCCCAGAGACATGGAAGCTTCTATCGCCCGAGATGCGACACGTGGCTCAGCGACGTCTGGCAATTGAGGCCGGTGAGGCTGATGTCGATGAAGAGGGTGGAATGAGCCAAGTGAAGGGACTGAAGCTCGCCATGACCGATATCAAGACATACGCATTTGCCATCGCGTACATGTGTATTACCGGCGCAGCTGGCTTCCAGAATTTCTTCCCATCTCTGGTCAAGAACAGTCTCGACTACAACGAGACGATCTCCCTCGTTCTCGTGGCGCCTCCATACCTCTTCATGGTCGTGTATTCCCTGTGCCATTCTCTGATGTCCGACAGATTAGAGAAGAGATTCTGGTTCTTTGTTTACCCCATTCCTGTCACAATTGTCGGATTCATCATCTATATGACCACGAACTCCTTCGGACCGAGATACTTCTCCTTCTTCTTGATGGTCTTTGTGTTTGCCCAGAACGGAACTCTGTACTCTTGGCTCGCTAGCTCCATCCCCCGTCCACCCGCCAAGCGCGCTGTTGGTAAGTCTGAATGTCTGGTCTCCATGTGTTGTGTGTCTGGCTAACTAGTATAGCGTTCGCGTTCTTCAATTCTCTCGGGAACAGTGCTTCCATCTGGACGCCGTTCACTTACCTCGAAAAAGAGGCAAAGCACGGTTACCACACTGCAATGGCTGTCTGCATTGCGCTCCAGGTTATTGGCGGCTTGATGGCTGTTTTCCTCTACTTCAATTTGCGCATGCTTAACAAGCGCCAAGAGCGCTTGGAGAATGAGGAGGTACAGCTTAGCGAGAAGGATATCCGTAGATTGCAGGCGACTGCCGACGTTGAGGGCATCGATATCGCTGCCGCTAGACGCTTGCAGAAAGGCTTCCGCTTTACTCTGTAGTATCAATATGCGAAATTACGACATTATTCAAGTTCATCGAGTTCGAGCCGTACTCCCACGTAAAAAACAATAAATTGAGTTCATGTATGAGCTGCCACTCGCATACTAGCGCTCAACACAGCCAATCGGCAATCTACACTCGCCAAAAGCAAACGGTAAGCCCCCTTGTATTCCGATCTTTTTCCAAGGCAATCCAGCCCAATCATGAAATCCCGCATCAACCCATACATCATCTGACCCGACATGAGGTCATCCATGTTTCATTTAACTACAGCCACGGCCGTCGATCTATTCTCACTTTCCCACTCTTATAGCTATTCTCTCATACAATTACTCAGTACAATTATATCACATATCATCATCCTTCCAAATCACATCTTACGTGTCGTATCAGACAGCACACCTTTCATCACTGATCGACATTACCCACCCACCCCACCATGCAAGCACTCCCCCGACCTGTGCTTCGTGTAACCACCAACCTACCATTTCTCCGAGCTTTCTCTGTCGCTCCGACTATTATGGCTGCGGGTGATCTAGGCTCGACGAAGCCCAGAGGCTACATGGCGGAGTATGCGCAGGAATTATGATGACGTCATGGATATCTGACACTAGGCAGGAAAGACGCATTTACCAAACGTGAAGCCGCTCATGAAGGTATTTACATTAAGCAGCTTGAGTTGGACAAGTAAGCTCTCTGTCGACGTTATCCCTGTCAAATTCATTCTGACACACTGTAGGGTCCAGCGCCTTCGGGCGAAGTTGAAGGAGCAGCGCAAGCATATGGATGAGCTGGACAAGCATCTGTAGGTTTTTGACTCTTTGGGTATATTGCTAGAATCTATCACTGAGACTTTCTAGGGACGAGTTCACGAAATCTCAAGGCGGCGAACAAAACTAACCTCACCGATTCCCGAGGCCCCGGTCCCTACTCGTGGTGTCATACGATGCTACAACGCGGACATTCCGTATTTTCCATTATCGATATGATCACATTCAAAACAGTTTGGTCCATACTCCGAGCGCACTGCGCATGATTGTTTCCATATGTGCCAATTTCAATTTCGAATTAACATGAAACAATGAAAGAACATTTTCAACTTTTGGGACATCTTTTCCGAGGTTCCGGTCTTATCCTTGCTCTAGATTTTGGCATGCCATCTCCACCGATAGCTCAAACATGCCCATCGTGCCATGACAAAGAATCCAAGAGCAACGACTAACACGCTTCCGAGGTATGCCACCATGGCTTGTTTGCCGACTTTATCGAGCATCTCGCCACCAATAGGGATACAGATCAAAGTGCTGAACTAACGTTAGCAAGGAATGATATGTGTTTATGAACCGGGTGAAAACTCACGCAAAGCTGACTATTGAATAGGTGAGTCCGAACCTTCCGCCTACTTCACTGGCTTTGGAGATTTGGCCGATGCAGGCCGGCGCTAAGCTCAGGAATGACCCTGAAGCGAGTCCGAAGATGGTCGAGAACATGTATAGACCCGGCAGCGTGTTTCCGAATGGTAGCCAGATTACGAATACAGCAAGTATACCCAATGCGATCAGAGTTGCTTGGGTGTTGATCCTCCCGTAACGATCGGCCACGCCGCCGGCTACGAGTCGACCGATTGTGGAGGCTCTGTGGGAATATGTTAGCATTTTGCACTTAGAAGATGGAGTGGTTTCGACATACATGCTCAGGACTGCCAGAAGGATGACACTGTCGCTATTTGAAAACCCCTGCATCACGACGTATGTTGGATAAAGACCCAGGCCAGCAAAGACCTCAAGTTCGAGTCCTAGCGCAATGTCAACGTTTCTTCCCTCTTACTCGGTTTGATAGCCGACTTACCAAAGATACCCAGCGTCAACCAGGTGAATCTCGCATCCTTCAAAGAGCGCAAGTTGACAGTAGACTTGCTTCTACCCTTTGGAAGACGAGCCTTGACAAACGTGATTCCAATGGCGCACATTACCAGTACCACCAAAGCCAACAACCGGATAGTCCATCTATAGCCCAGTTGCGTAAAGCCCGATCTGAGCATGAATGGAAAGACGACACCGCCGAGACCTGCGCCCGCCATTGAAATTCCAATAGCGAGACCTGCTTTTCGATCAAACCATTGGGTCGGACAGGCCAAGGCGACGGTGCTCAAGAATGCCGTTCCTGTTCCGGCAAGCACACCAAGGGTCAGGACAAAATGCCAGTATAGATAGCTCTCGGCCATCAGAAGCAGGCCGGTGATATAACACGCCGTGCCGATCATCAGGAGATACGTAGGTCCATATCGATCGAACATTGGTCCGATCTGAACAGACACGCTCAACCCGAAGAATGTGAAAAGACCTGGAATCCATCCGACCGCACTGGGCGAGTAGTTCGACAATTGATGAGTAGTCAAATAGCTCTGGAGAATTCCGGTTGTGTTCATCACACCGAAAGTACTCATCAAAAGAAAGAACGACCCCATCACCACACTCCACGATCGCCACCCTCCATCTGGAAAGTGGTCATCTGTACTATGACCCGTGAGATGAGTCGTGAGTGTTGACAAATCCGCCGTGCCTTCGACAACCGAGAAAGCCGACCGCGGCGCCTCTTCGTCAAAGTTCGGATTACGACTCGGAAGGTCGGAAGCGCTGGTGGCGGCCGATTGCCATGGTTCTTGCGGTTCTTGCACAGAAGCGCTGGCCGACTTTTGCATTATCGAGGATGATGAAGATGGTCAATTCAAACCCGAGCTCAGAATAATCCTTTGATATATCTGGGGGTGACTCATGAGGGCTTGCATTAGGTTCAATTTCCATGGTGGTGGGGTGGAGTATAGATCGGGTTGGCCTCCCGAATATGTCAAGGGCGCGGGGGATCCTAGATCTGTGCAGAACTCCAGTATTTTAGGTAGCGAATGTCGACTGCGATGGATCTGGATGCCGTTTTGGGCTTCACATGTGGGCTGTCCCCGTGGCATTTGCGAGTAGTCAACCCTGTCGGTGGTTGTTGGTCGAATGATCTCCGTCGGAGCGCATCCCGAGTGTCGGGAGCCCGTATCGACAATTGGACTTTGCAACTGGGGTAGGATTTAAAGATCCTATTTTTCACTCTCAATCTCCCCAGACAGGATTCAGGCGTCTATACGCTTGTACGTAGAGATCAGGCCTACTTAGCGGTCTCAATTCGTAGATCGGTGGCATGACGCGCCTCGCCACCCGGCCGATGCACCTCCGCGAAAGATCCCGACTCCTCTTCGATCTCAAATTTGAGTGGCATGATTTGGGGATACACCAGCTGACGTAGAAATGACTGGTATAATTGTCCTTCTGTATATATAATCGATCTAGAAATCATAGAAAATCTGCAAATCAAGCACAAACACAAACACAATTATGTCTACCACACAATGCACCCGACTCCTCACAAGGAACATCCCCCAAGTGACCTCAAGGAGACGCCAATTACAAAATCCCCATGTCACCCTCGTTGGTTCCCTACCAACCAATCCCAACTCAAACCCCACCATTGACTCCGATCGTCTACCATACCGGCTCTACGAGCTCTCCCTCAAAAAGATCCGCAAAGAGGCACACGCTGCCGAACCAGACTTGCGCCATGTGATCGCTGGAATCTCAATGCAAAAGAACGTTTCCAGTGCCGTTCAGAGCGATCTTCTTCGTCAGGTTGATGTGCTTGAAAGTCGAAGACCGAGGGTTCCACTCCTTCCGGGCGCCGATGAGCCCTGGGAACATGAAGAGGTTGTCTCGGAACCGGGTTCGCCTTCGGTCTGGGATATGGAGTCTCTTGATCAGGCCCTGTATGAGATGGAACGAGCTAGCAAAAAAGGAGAAGTTGCCAGGACGGTCTGTTTTCAGTTAATAAGTGATATGTGAAAAGTGATTGTTTATGATACCAATGAATGTTATGATCTTATTTCGAATAAGGAGTACATTGTTCTTTCTTCCAAAATTCTGGGCTATATTGTTGATTGAAAATAATTGTAAAATGGGAACTCAGCTGTATTAGCGGATGTCGGAAAGCTGAAAGGTACATTGTCCTTGAGAAATACGAGAAATCACTATCTCGCCATTTTCCAGAAGTTGTTACTCCCACGGCGATTGGTCTTGGAGTGAAAATCATTTTGTGCCACTTCAATCTGACCGTCTTGAGCAGGAAGTTGACCGCCTTGAGTCACGTGAGCCACTTCCGCGGAGCTTGACTTAATCCGGATCCGTCTTCCCGCAGTGTGGACCAGACTTCTTCACTGGGCCCGGTTGGGCCCGGACCTTAAGCCCAAAGCCCAATCAATGGGCTGTGGGCCCTATTGCTCAAGCCCAACCCAGACAGCCCATGTCCAAAGACTAACTGCCTCCAGCATCCCCTGGGTACCTTCATTGATAGCAGGTGTAAGAGAATATCCTTTTTTGTATGAAGATTTATGTTTTCAGAGAAAGTGATCAACATTGTCAACAGTCTGTGAATAGTGACACAATCACCACGAAGGAGGTACACACAATACTCCGTGAAAATTGCTTGATGACTTTGATGAATAGCTCAAACTGGGGAATACCGACCGCGATGAGTTTTGGTTCAGCTGAATGAAAGCTGCTGGCTGAGATTCAAATCTGACCAACACTTGCCACTCGATATCGTGGCGCAATCACGCAGCTTCTCCCTCACTTCTTCCAAATATTCTCAGTTCACTATAACTTAAGCACATTTCAATACCTCTGAGCAATATTTCGCAGTCTTGACATTGTGAAGCTATGATTTTTGATCAATCGGGAGCTAAGAAAGGGTCAAACTCACATGAAATCTCAGCCTTGTGACCATGCTCTCCATCGAAATCAATCTACATCTGATCCTCTGATGGAAATGTCCGAGATCTCGCATCTTTCATGAATCCTTTCAGCCCCAGTAAGCAAAAATTGACTTCGTGTTGGAAGTGCCGCAGACTATCCGCTAATGAATTTTCCTCCAGCGCTCAATCAACATATCGCTACTCTGAGCAGCTCACGCCGGCTTTCCAAGCTAAATGAGCAGGTCGATATTTTTCACAACCTAGCTGTGTTCATTGAAGACGACGAATTCCCGAGGTCCATTCAAGCAACCACCTGGGCAACCGTGGAGTCACACTTGAATTTGAACTGACCTATTGCTCCCAGATACATCAATCCTCCACAAAATATATTGATGGTGATACTCCACCCATATGGAAATTGTCGACTATACAACATCTGCCCGACCTTAGCAGAAAGGAAAACCTACCATCTACCGAAAGAATCTATCTTCAACCTCTTGGCGAAGATTGCTACTGGCATCGCAGTCACAATGTCGTCCACGGCTCGCCCCCAACCATCTCCATATCTTGCCATTATCTCAATGAACCTCGGAAACTTGAGCAAAAAACATGGTATGGAATTCATGGTGTCGGTCCTTGAAAGGCCTAAAGAGGTCGAGTTCAATCCGTCAACACGAAATATGCATAACGAGAGTATCGGCTTCAGGCGCGAATGCTCGAAGGACTTTGTGCGACGAAACGACTATGCGAAATCGAGAGCTGGTCTGGAAAGAGAGGAGTTCGAGGTGGCTACCATCGTGATCGCAACCAAGCGACTGCACAGTGGCGGTACAAGGCCTCTGTCATCCAAAGTGCCGATGATCAAGTCCTGGCTCACCCTCCGTTGAGGCCCGATCGGAGTTCACTTTTTTGACTCATTTTTGACTCACCCAGAGTACTATTCGGCCCACTCTCGGGTGTTGGGTTTTGCAGAAAAGCATCCTATGAGACCATCTTTATGATGTATCAACTTCCCAAGGGTGCATACTTAAGGAGCGCAGAATGATCCGTCAAGCGACGTCAGAGAAAAATGGCCCGGAACTGATTATGTTCGCTCGAAGCCTTGCTGTGCTTGCTGTTCACCGCAAGGGGCGGGATATATCGATGTTTGTATCCATATCTTCCGGGAACCAGTCAAATCGAGTGACTTCACTATGCAATTCCTCAAGCAAGAGCGTTCAAACTCTTGATTGCGATTCTAATCGTGATTATTGACGACTGACACTGGATTCGCGTTGCGGGTGTCTTGCCGACATTACCTGGCACATGTGAAGTGGTACGTTACACCTGATTGATGGCGCGTGCACCTTCCCATTATTGAGACGTCGCTGTGATACTCTGCCCCAGGCTTGAGATTTCGCTCCTGGGGTCTAAGTATCAAGACCCATTATCGATCCTGCTTGGATCCCGAGCTCACAGAATGGGCATCCTATTCCTTCGGCCTTCCTCCCACTACCCCTGTCTACCCGAGCTTCAGTTATCCGATTCAGATTATGCGGTGCATCCCAGAAGACTCCCAGACAGATTCTTTAGAGCAAATATCGGCCAACGAATCTCATGCTTGGGGCATTCGGAGCGTCACATGGAATACGGAGGGAATGTTCACTCTCAAATCGCAAAGAGTTGAGATCGCAAACAGGTCGTTCCATCCAGTTCCATAACCTCGGGACAAACCTTGCCATTCAAAAAAGAGATGCTGCAAGCCAGCATCCATGATACGGATTGTGGCTTCTCGTCGTTCTATGTCGACACCTGGATTTCGCGTCGCATCCATTAATTGCCCAAAAAGTTGTCAATGGTTTTCTCACAAAGAGCACGCAAGAGGGCCTGATTGAAAATTCTTTGGACGACCACAGCCTCGTCATTTGGGGAGATAGAGAAAAGACCTCTGATGCGAGGAGGTGTATCAGAAGTCCCTCAAAATTGTGCCAGGTTGAGAAAATGACATGATCAACGAGCTGAAATGTTTGTTCAAAAACGTCCACTGCAGCTCTCAGGTGGCCTCTGTGTGATTGATACCAACGCCGTGTTCGATAACTTTTGCCTGAAAGGTCTCTTTCACCTCCACGCCGATTTAACATAAACCAGGGCCAAGACACACGCTCGCAAGATAGCCAAACGGCAGATGTGCTCAACAAGTATGGTCTACATGGCCGTTTTCAACAATAAGCTTCTACCAAAGTTCCGGTCCGCATGATCTTTGAGTCATTTTCTCTCTTCCAAAAATTGTCAACCACTGCTCCCCACATCTGGGCCTTGAGTGCTACTTCATGGTGACAGAAGAACCTCCGGCTGAAGGAGACGAGGCTCAGGAAGATGATATTGGCACAAATTCTTGCCGCTTGCACGCAACGGTCAACTGTCATGTCAATTCACTGCGCTTTCTGTAGAGCAGTGGCAAAAAGTCGCAGCGAGTACACGGCCTCAGATGTTGAATCTGGGAAAGTTTTACCCGGGGAAAGGAATGTTGATAGTACTCAAGCACAAAATCTGACTCTTTTACTCGAGTCATCGTCCATTGAGCTCCTTTCTGTTATCTATCGAGCACGACAGCCCCACGCTTCGATAGGGGAGGTTGCGCAAACTCGTCGACGAGAATTTCAATGCTGGCTGGCATCTATATGCTTGGGGGAACCAAGAAACGACTCCTGAGCGGCCATGAAGAGTTGTTCGAAATTATTCCCAGACAATTCTTGCATCTGTGGCGAGCCTCGTCATCTATTTCCGTCGCTTTGGCAGACGCAAAAGATGACTTGAAGAACGGCCTTGGTATATGTCACCACATAGCCGCAGCAGAGTCACTATCGGTACAAATCTTATATTGGAAGGGGAGTGCTCCAGTGGAGGCATCGCGACCGACACGGGCCATTTGACAGCCATTGTTCAAAGATCCTTGCAGCAACAGGATACCAGCACGGAATCGCTTTCTGCGGACTCTGTCCCGCCCCATTTCGGAACCAAGCTACGCAATGAAGACAATTTCGAAATGGACATACCTCTCGGCTTGGGGTGATTGGTGGTAAATCACGACTACCTATGGTAGACGCCTTCGCCAATACCTGGGTGGGTACATTATTCTGTACCCCGGGTCTTCTCGCGCACCAAATATAAAAAACCATCTGCATCCAAAAGTCATCATCGGAGAAACCAGAAGGGAACTTACTGTGTTCAAAATCTCTGACGAAAGGTCGTTCCAATGGGCACTGGGTGCACAGTTCCAAAAGTCCATTTCAGAAAGTGATGCTACTCGGGCTGGATAGCACTCTATATCACCAGCTGAACATGGAGCTTCGAATTTCGCCGCTTGGAGGAATGTTTCCTTCAAGTTTGGGTACATGTGGTACAGAATAGAACGCATGGCCGCTGACTGGGAACCGTCACACTCGCTCGTGCGATGAACTTCAAAAACTGGTCCGATTGCACCACCACCACTGGGACAAATTCAATCTACAAAATGAGTTTGTCAGAGCTCCGATGATATACCTTATTTGTGGATGGATATTGAGACAAACCAGTGGCAATTCTGGTGTCTGGGTGCGGAATGAAAAATCGAACTTTGGCTGAGTTCGAACTTCTAAAGCATATGAGGCGATCCAACGGAACAAGCACATTTTCTCGGTTTATGTTTATTCCAGCAGCAATGAGGCCATTTCGCTCTGCTCATTTTCAACCACCGATGCATCAAACAAATAGTTCAGGCGGTTGGCACCGATACCGTCCTTCGCGACGCAGTGATTGACGCCTTGCACTATTACGACAACGCGCGTCATGTTAAAGAGGTCATCGAAGGCCCACGTGATGAGGACACCTTATACGGTTGGAGACATTATCTATGAGCCCAAGAAATGTGCGGATGGGCTATATCGTTACAAGCGCCCCCTGAACAACTCGTGAAGTTTCCTCAAGGGAGAGAACGTTACGCGCACATGATCCAGATGAAGCGAGGCAAGAGACTGCAGACAGACTCGACCACGAATTGCTGTCAGGGTTGATGAAACTAGGAGTTAGACTGCCATCGGGGTCTAGGAGCGAAGTTCAAGCTCCCTGGGCGTTCTTGGTCGAATCCTCTTATTCCTCCAACGTCGCTTTGCCTATTCAGTTCAACATTGATTTGCTTTGTTACATGCTGCATCTTGATGCTAATCTCACTTCTGCGTCGACGATGGGGCGCCTTTCCCGGAGGGAGGGAGGGGGGGGTGGGTTTCCAATAGCTGGGGGAGCTACCGGATCACCAGGATCGATGTCAATCAAATCCAGTAATCGATGCCACGCAGACATCCTTGCTTGGCCTGCACCAATGTGCAATAAGACCAAACTCAGCGGCACCAGTCAGAGCAACAGGAAGATATTTTCATCATCCCGCAGGTTAAGTTGCTGGAAGCTTTATTCTCGGTCAATTCACCGTGAAATTTATCGAAACCCCCGCAGAGAAGCTGCGAAGTGAAGATTTCGAGAAATTATCATGAAGACACGGGTAGCGTGGACGACTGATGAAGAAATACCTCAATACTGGCTTCCTGCACAGAATCGACATTCGCGCAGGGAACCGCTAGTTTCTGGCCAGTTGCGCAGCCAACTACCAGTTCTGTGGCATCGCGGTCTCATTGAAACAGAAGGAGCCGCCGAATAATTATTGCGCTCTGGGGCTGTTTTTGAAAAAGACAACTACCACGAATTGACCAAAGGGTGCCATCTCGTGTGGCATGAGTCACTATTAGTCGTGCTCCACCCACATCGACTTGTTCTTCTGGCTTACAGTTGAGAATCCAAAGTTTCGGGAAATGACCATCGCAAAGACGCAGTAAAGTTGTCGATACTTTTACCCACCCCGTGATTGGTGGTACGAAGCCACCCGATACAAGAGTTCAATCGTGGATCAATTATGAAGTTGTCTCGTTTATCAAACCATGATTGGAGACTTCTCGCCCACCTCACCTCATAGCGGCTGAAGGGATGCCATACGCCCAACAGGGGGGTTGGTGGCCCGGCTGCAAGTCTGGCAGCGAGTGATCGACGCCGAGAACCTGACGATCCCGGCAAGCTATACCCGGGGCTCAAACCCGTCCTTCCTCTGCGATGCCGCGTACAACGACCAGGCGGTGATACATCGCCACTTCATCAATGGCTCCAACATGCCGGATGACCTGCTGGTCGCGAAAGATCTCCTGAAGGAAAGGAAGCTCCAGTTATACGTCGCACTGCGAGACGGACGTGACCTCTCCGTGCAGCCAATGGCACGCGATTGGATCAGGGAACCGCGGAGCATGGACTGGATGCACCTGGTGGAGGCTCCAGTGAGCGAATTTGGTGTTTGGAAGGGAAGTTTGTGACGGTCGAGTCATGGACTGGGCATTGGCTGAATGGTCCAAACTTGCTGAAACTGAAAAGCTCGCAACCATCCCAATCAGACCGAAAGTCTGCAGAGAAAAAGAAACACCTTTCTACATGGTGTCTTCAGCCACGAAGATGGAGAAGCCTTTCACTCGATTGACTATCACTGCAACTATGATGTCACGCGACGTGCTATAAATCATTGCATCTTTCCAATGCGGCATTTACCCATCTACCGAAAAATTCTTGACAGAATCGACAAGGAGAATTCATTTTTCAAGTCGCTCTTAGGACCTAGCCGATGGTCTGACTCCAAATGTTCAGCTCTTTCGGAAAATGCGCGGAAGATTTGAACACCGGTTAGTGGTGGTACTACACTTGTCGAAATGGAAAAGCCCTCCGGTAATTGCCGCGAAAATGCCAATTTTTACCGCGAGCTGAATTGAGAAGCTGAATTAGGCTCTACTCAAGACATCATGAATGAGCACCAGTCAGCCAGTGAGCATGGTCGACGGTTCTTCAATCGATACAACGGAAGAAACTTGAATGGGCGAAGTAATGCCAATGCGACGAAAGCCAAGACAATGGCGAGATATCTCAATCATAGTGTCAGGCTGGCCACATTGTCACATTAGAGCTGGTTCAGAAGCATCTACCGGAACACGATTTGAATGAGAATCTAGGACACAAAAGCGACAGAAAGTGCAGAGCCAGCACACGCCTTCTAGAGGACTCAGCAACGATGACTGGGAGAATCCTGTTGCCTGTGATACATGACCTGAGCCATCACAGGAGTGACATACCCCAAGGTCACTCAGCTATTACAAGAAAGATATTCACCATGCTATATGAAGGAATTCTCATTTGAATTGGGCGGTGAACTAAGTTCACATATAATCCAGTTAGAAGACCTTGACATGGAAGACACCATTCTACAATCACGACCACGCAAAATCAGCCCGCAAGTCAAGTACCGAAAGTGAAAAGAAGTACGCTTGCGCCCCGGCCTATGCCTGCGGCGTTCGACACAGTGCTTTAGCCCATCCAGACCTTTGTCTGCTTTAGATGACTCGAAGTGCGTCCAGTCTACAGGCCACAGCGACTTATGAATGAAGTGCGTCATCAAAATCATGAAGCAGCAACTACAATGGTAGAGTCCTTTTTCACTAAAGACCACATGAGAAGACACCCAAGGATCATCGCAGAAGAAGATCAGCTGCCAGCCAAACTGGCTAGAGATGGAAACGTCTGAACCCATCAGCGTGAACAACAGACGTCGAGCCAGAGAACTCATCCCCTTTGCAGGAAGAGATTGATTAACGAACAACAAACATCAACCAATGTTCAATCGTCAATCGCAGAGGGGGCCGCTGGAAAGGGACGTTTCTTGATCCCTCCCGATAAAGTGACGCTGTTCGTCTGCAATGGCATCTCTACGTTGGTGCAAACGTCCAATGAAAGAGATCCAACGCTACATTCTGAGACGTGGTTGTATGTTGAACGTTTGAGACAGTCTTTGTTAATATGCAGTCAGTGTCTCATCTGGCGAAGGATGTGAACAACTAGTATCATTTCCGAAGAATCAATTCCCAAATGGCGCTGAATGGAACATGTCCCTCTCAGCGCATTTAGTGGCGATGAGAACAGCGTGATGAAAGTAGGACGGCTGATCTCAGCTCACGGGGTCTGTTGAATCTCCGCAGATTGGGAAGAGATTGCTCTGGATCCACAGTTGTACCAGGCATCGGGAAGAAGTTGAGAATGAGAGGGAGCCGTAGCCAAAGAGGAGGAAGTCTTGAAATTCGACCTTTTGGCTCTGACCAATGTCCTCGGGTGTTACAGTACAAGACGGACAGCACCCGACGGAGAAGCAGCAAGATACCTTTATCATTCCGCTGGCCAAGTTAAACCTCGTCCAGTTTCCCAATACACCCAGTCCCACAGGGGAAAGATTCGTGGGAGGGTCTGTCGTCTGTCACGGGCTCGAGCGTGTCAGGTCACGTGTACATCCACTCTCTTTGGCCTAGCTGTTAGTCTTTTCGCAATGTCCTCTTCTGCCATCCTCTTGCCTCTGGGTGAAGGCCGTCTTACAGGGGCGACTCTGGTGGTGCCCGGGATCCTGACAAGGTGATCATTCGGATTCTGAAAGGGATGAAGGTATTTGAAAACAGCAAACTTTTCATCATAATTTATCGAAGTCTCGTTGTCCAGTTTAGTACGGAGTACTCCGTAGAAGTGAAGTAAAATGTTCCCCTGCAGGAAAACACTGCCTTCGGGTAGTTGTTCAAAAGGGTTGTGGGGAGTACGGACAAGCGCCATGGAAGCCAAGGTACCACTCTCTGGCGAATTGAAAAGGGCCGAAAAGTGTGCCTCGTACAATTGGGCTGTCAGTTAATAGTACGGAGTATTACCCCTGGCACCTGCATGAGACAAATCCGGATAACGAATAAGGAACAAGTCCCTCGTGTCGTAGGAATTGCTCAGTTCATTGCCGAGTACGGAGTACGCAGTACTCCTTAGATTAACGAATGTTGCACAATGCCCCAATTTTAACGTCTAACATAATGCATCCCATGCTGTCATGTTTCATAAAATAGGACGAGGAGTATACTTCGGAATGGTCTCGTACTCGGATTTTTGTTTGTGGCGGCACATCATTACCTCATCAGGTGAGACCAAGTTGCCGAGGTCCCCAAAGGGTCCAATGACAACTGCCCCATGCAGACCCGTTCCCAACGGTGGAGATCAGTCCACTCCGCAACGGCCAGTCGCCTATCATAGCCCTCTGCTGGGGGCAGCTAACGTGCGACTAGCAGAGCAAACGTCCCTCCGAGAAACCAAATGCCCCACCCTCGAGCTGGCAGATCTCGGACTCCCCCTCGGAAATCTCACTCGCCTAAATCCTGTCGTGCCGTTGGCCCAAGATGACCCTTCCTTTCTCCCCATAGCTCCCCCTGCCGCGCCATGGTCGGTGATACGCGACACTTCCTCGATTCAAGAGCCAGGAAGGCTCCGAACCGCCAGTCACGATCCTGCAAAGTCTGCCGGCTCCGCAAAGTCAAGGTCCGTCCCAGTGCTCAGATCGCCTTCGGCTCGCTCCCGCCAACCCTTTACCCATGCGTCCCACCGTGCGTGATGAAGCGAGCTAACGTCACCAGTGCGATCGTGTCAAGCCCTGCCACGCCTGCTGTGCTCACGGGTACCCGTCAAAATGCGTATATGAGAGTGTCCCGGATGACGAGGCGAAGCCGATAAGTCAGGCGGAGGAGATACGCAATCTGCGGTCGGAAATCCGAGAATTGCGCTCGAGGATCGATGATAAACATGACGGTACGCACTGCTGGACCCGCTTGATCGTGGCGAACGCAGGTGGGTATGCAATGGTGGCTGATACTTTATTTGTGCAGGGGATGGGGTCCAAGATCTCCAACGGCTCGATCGGCTAGAGAGCTTATTTGAGTCTATTCGCTCTGCGCCGATACAGACGGTTGACGACTTGGTTCGAGAAATTCGCACTGCACAAGTGGGACTCAAGAAAGACCTGGTGCCCGTGGGACCCTGGGAAGGAACAGAGGGTATGCTTTTGAATTGTCTCTCTTTTGTGAGGGGTACATCTGACGCTCTACAGCATACGAATCTTATCCTTCGCCCAACTCGGCTGTTCTGCCGACTCGGACTCGTCTCTTGCTGAATTCGCCCGTGCCAGACTTTAACACTTTGCCTGGTGAGGACGACGATGACAGTGACTTGGAGCGCATGTCGGTGGGCAGTGGGAGTGGCTCTGACTCTTCTGGCACAATATCAATTATGAATATGCAGCAGAGACCAGCTGTCGATGTGTTTGTAGAGAGATTCGTTGATGCATTCAGCCCCGAGGTCGACATCAAGTCGGGACGGGCAGGTGCATTGCGAGCTGCAGCTGGGATCCGCATGTTTTCACCACTTATCACTGATGCGTTCGAGGCGGTCTCGGTGGCGTTCTTTGGTCGTTCTGTTCAGAACAAGCAGATTGAGGCCTCGGGCTTCCGACTATACCCACGCGTGCTGCGTGGATTACAAGATGCTTTGGTGGATCCAGAAAAGTGCAATGCAGAGTCAACACTTGTTACCGTGATTCTATTGCTAGCGTTCGAGGTGGGTCTCTTTTTTTTAGCTTGGCAGCAAACAGTACTGACTCCAACAGAGCGTTGAACGCACAACACAAAGTGGTGTATCTGCCCACGTCAGAGGAGCTGTAAAGCTCATCGAACACCGTGGACCAGAAAACCATATGTACGGTGTCGAGCACTTACTGTTTACGGAACTCCGACCATACTGGGTAAGCTCGCAGCCTCTCCATTCTCTTCAAGTATAATCTCTAACTGCTTAGATCGGTGGAGCATTGGCCGCTCGACAACCCTCATTCCTGGCACGAGAAGAGTGGAAGACTATCCCATGGTCGGCAGGCACGACTAAAAAGGATTTCCTCCATCATCTGCTGGATCTTGCAGCAGATATCCCTGGCTACCTGGCTCTTTCTGATGCCTTTAAGGAAGCCCAAAAGACCTCCGTGATGGGCGCCCAGGAGGCAGCCGTCAAACAGTCCACTATGTGGAATGGCATTGGTGAGCTAACAGCCAAATTCTACCAATGGTACGAAGATTGGGTTGTCACCTACCCCGACGGGCCACCAGAAGAAGTCGAACAGACAGGCGATCAAGGATTCCCCATCTTCCAACGGCGAAACCTCCGCAACGGGGCTACATTCACCCCGTCTCGGTTCGCCTATCCGAACCTGCTCATGGCACAGACCATGTGCCTCTACTATTCCTTCCGGCTGATTCTTTCCTCGGTTGACAACCGACCTCATGATCGCGTCTCCCCTATGGAGCAGTACGATCTGGGATGCGGAATCTGTCGCTCCCTGGAATTCTATATCCTAACTGCCCCCGGTAACATGATCAACCGACTCGCGTTCCCCACTCGAGTCGCATGGGAAGCGTTCCCCGACGGAGGCCCCGAGCGCCGATTCATGGTCGAGGTGCTACATCTAGTTGAAAAGCGACATGCCCTGGGGCTCTGGGGCAGTGCGATGCCCGAGTTATCTACGCGAGAATCCTCACCACTAAATACGGGTAGTCCGTAAAGTGGACGGTCAGAATTGAACATGAAATTAGCGAGTTAGACCCAATCTCAATTTTTCGGTGATGATTTGGAAGAGCGAAATCTCAGCCCCACCTTCTTCAGCTCGGAACATCCCACTGAAACGGAATTAATTTTCATTATTTTGGCAATCTTGAGTGAGGCGTCTGCTGCCGAAATTGATGTATCCAAAAGCAATCTGTCATACGTCCCTCTATTGGCTGAGATGGAGAGATCGGCGATGGATCTTGACCAAAATGGACCAGGATCTTGCCGCGGTCCACTCTGCGCACCAATCACCGTACCGATCGATCGATCAACAATCGATAGTTCGGAGCTGATGGAGCGCCGATGGAGCTGATGAGGGAAAAGAAAAACAGGGGAGGTGCCTGAAAGGTTATAAGTTGGCATCCATGGTACCGACCGTTTTTCTTCCAACGGTCATCCCATACATCACAGCATGCCCTCGTTTACCCGTTTGGCTCTCTCTGCCCTCGCGGCCACTGCCGCCATCGCCTCCGGGATCAACGACTTCTCGTGTCAAAGCGACTCCAACCCAGTCGTCTTCCTGCACGGTCTGGGCGCCACCTACTATGAGGACTTGAACTTCATGCAGTACTGGCTGCAGAGCAAGGGCTACTGCACCTACGCCAAGACCTACGGTGCCTACGATGGCTTCCCCTTCGTCGGTGGTCTCAAGGCCATCAACGAAAGTGCCCCTGAGATCGCTTCCTACATTAAGGAAATTACCGAGAAGACCGGCAAGGCCAAGGTCGACCTCGTCGGCCACTCTGAGGGTGCCTTCCAAGCCCTCTACGTCCCCAAGTTCGAGGGCGTCTCTCACCTGGTCGACAAGATCGCGGCTATCGCTCCTCCCACTCACGCCACTGCCTTCGCTCACATCTATGACCTTGCCTACACCTTCGGCAACTCCTCGCGCACTGCTGTCAGCGAGGTCCTTCACCTTGTCGGTTGCGCTGCTTGCGACGACGTTGGTCCCGATGGTGCTGCCGTCAAGCGTCTGAATGACGGCACCCCTATTGCGCAGCCCGGTAACAAGATCACCATCATCGCCTCCAAGTACGATGAGCTCGTCACTCCCCCAAGACCTCCTTCATCGATGAGGATGCTGTCTCCAACACTTGGATTCAGGATACTTGCCCTCTTGACCCCGTCGGTCACATTGGCGAGGCGTATGACTTGAACGTGTGGCACTTGGTCCGCAACGTGTTGGATGACACTCCTGACCGGAAGTTCGTCTGCTTGCTTGGATCTCCTGGCAAATAAGCCAATTTTGCATATACATAGCATTGTACTCTGTTACTGTACATTAATATACCAGTACATAATACCTAATCAAAATTTGAAGGGGAACACCCTGTATCCCGTCACTTCCAGCATCCTCTGCAGTCTGTTGCTTCTCAGTAATTTCGGGGTCATCCACGTCCTGTAGAGATTGGGTCAGGTACAGTGAGAAAGCACCAACCAAATCCAAGCAGATCGGTCAACCTTGGAACCTTGGAAAACCCGCGACAGTGGGGTGGCCCACAGACCAATCGCGGGAAACCTCTTCACGAAACGTTCAAAAATGATAGCCTTCATCTACGAAGCTTAGGTCATAATTCAATCACACGCGGTATGTCATAACGCTCTCTCGTCTTTGCTTTCGTCCAGCCGAACCACGGGTCGGGTCAAGACATGCAAACACGACTCTCATCTTGAGCTCTCCCTTGACTCTTCTCCCAATTAGCTCGACCATCTCAATTTCTTTCTTTCCTTTCACTCTGATCCTCTTCACTTCTCCAAATCTTGCATCCTTGCATCCTTTCTTACTCCACTTTGACACGCGACGGCACATTACTTTTTCCGACTTATCGCTTATCGGGCGAACAAAAAAAAGTATGGAGGACTCCTTCAAGTCCGAATCCCACTCTACTCCGATCTCAGAGCAATGGGAATCATTGAAGACAATGCTTCCCGAGCCTGAATCAACCATGTCCGCCAACGATGACCTCGAGGCTGAGATCCTCAAGGCTCAAGCCCAGCTCACCCAGCTCAAGAAGCAACGCGAGCTTATTGACATCCAGCAGAAGGTCGCCGAGGAGCGCAGGGAGCTGCAATTGGCGCGGGATAGGCTGCTGGCTACCACTAACGGATTGACCGAAGCAGCCCTCGCCGCCTCTTCACCTGCGACAGATGCAAAGGCCCGTATCGAAGGACCACAGAAAAAGCAACGCGTCGCCCACGACCCGCCCACCGGCCCCTCGGGCCAAAACCCTCCCCGCCGTCCTTCGGACCCTCAAACCCCTTATCCTGCTCCGCCAAAGCCTGCACAGCAGCAGCAGCAGAAGGCCCAGCAGAAACAGCCTAAGAACCAAGGCAAACCTGTTCAACCAAAGCCTGCTCAGGCTAAGCAGCAGCCGAAAGCTCAGCCGAAAGCTGCCCCGGCGAACACGCCTGCTCCTAAGCCTTCGCCAAACGGTTCTAATTTGAACCCCAATGCCAAATTCAACGCGAATACCATCGCCGTCGCCCATTCCAGGCTTGATACCACTCCCAACCCAACCCCCCTCCCCCTCCCACTCTAACTCCGAATAACAATAACCAATCGAATGACAAGCCAGCCGGCCTTAGCCTGGAGCAGCTGCGCCAACTCGCCGCCGCAAGCCGCACCCCGTCCAAGGCTCCACAGGCACCAACAGGACCCGCAGCGTCAGGAAGTAACCAGACTCAGACTCCAGTGAAACCATTCAACCGGCCCACGCAACCCTCCTCGGAATCCAGAGCCGCAAACCCACCCCCAGTCCCCAACATAGTCGTATACAACGGCCGTACACTGGGCGAGTTTAAGAACTACACCGTCGGTATGGAAAGTCACTTCAAGAAACACCCAGAGTGGTACCGAAGTGAGGAGCACAAGTTATCGCGAGCCCTGAAGCACGTCTCCCTAAGCCTGGAGGAACGCTTCTTAAACTACATTCGCAACCAGCCCGCTAGCGCAAAGACCTGGGAGACTTTCTGCGCCTTTATGATCGAGCAGCTGCAAGGCGGTATTCGACCAGATATCGCTAAGGCCAGATACAATGATAGCTATCAGCGACCTTCGCAGTCTGTCACGGATTTCTCGAAGTGGATGATGCAGTGGCCGCCGCATTTCAATAGCAATGATTCCGAGCGCGATCGGATGCGTCATCTTTTTGAGCATCTTATGAATCGTGTTCGCAATGCCGCGGAAAAGAGTCATCTTGATTTCGACAACTATGCCGACTTCGTGGATTACTTGCAGTGGGTCGAGGACTCGCTTGATAGTCGGGTTGATGAGTTTGGGCGTCGGGCTAGGGATGGTCCTGCGTTCTCTCGCAAGCGGGCGAGGGATTGAGGGTGGTAGTGCAGCTTGTCTGTCTTTTTGCGATTGAAGCCTTTTTTCTCTCTTAGCATCTACGGGTTGGATCTTGGCATTGCCTTAGTGTGATGCATATCGTTTATCCATTCATCTCGACATCTTCAATGACTTTTACGCCTTATGCAACCGGCATTACAGAGCATAGAAGCATTTGAAGCAAATCAAACCAATTATTATTTCTCGTCTTGTCTCTCATTAAGCGTGTAAACATACCATCTCTTGCCTCATCTCTCATTTCTCATCTTCCATCTCTACCTTCAACTCTACCCCAACCTCCTTACAACATACTATGGATCCCAGCCGAAGACCTCATAACCGCCTCCTCAACCTGCTCCCTACTAGCCGCAACCGCCCGAATCGACTGCCCAATCCTCTCCCCAATATTCTCCTGATCCCCCCCACAGAGCCCTATACTCCTCCTCCTCAAAATACAACGCCTCATTCTGATGGAAGCCCGCGAGAATCGTCGCATCAGGCTCCCCGCGACAACACGCACATCCCAAACTCTCGTCCTCAACCGGCACCTCGATCGTCCCGTCTGCAAGTCCCCGCTTCAGGAGATCGTAGGTCGACCCATATATCTCGTAGATCGGATCGTCCATTGACTGGTGCGTCAGTCGGACTTGCAGAGGTGCGTGCTCGCTGTAGCATCTGTATCCGAGGGATAGCCAGAGGCGGCCTAGTGTGTTTAGATCGCCGGTTCCTGTGTAGTGCGGGTGTTAGACCCAGTAGCCGTATTTGGGGAGGAAGGTGGCGGTTAGGTTTGGGATTAGGTGGGTGATCTTTTCGATTGCTTCTGGGAGGGGGAGGGTGGTGAGGGATTGGATGTGGTCTTGGAGGGTTGTCATTTTCGATTGTAAATAGTGATATAGTAGATAGTTGTAGATAGTTACTATGAGATGGTTAGATGGGATATCTCAGGATGAGGTTAGGACTGTAGAGAGGGGCAGTGAATAGACGGTTCCAAGGTTACTTATTCTAGTTCTGCCCATGGGTGCCTAACTTAGGTGTTGAGGTGTCCGAGGCGCCTCACTAAGAGGGTATCCACTTTTCCTCGGCAAGTGGGTATTTATAAAGACCTTGCGGCGTACGTTTGTTTAGTACTTGTTTGTCTGTTCCAACTTTCTGCTCTTCTCGCCATGATTGACCCACAGTATAGATTCTTCTCAGAGGGCCAGGGCTATTTCGGCCCCAGGGAAGACCCTGTAACCGAAACTCACTGCAACGTCTGGGACTGGGATCAGCTGCGATTGATCAAAGTCAAAGGAACTGCTAAGCTTTTTCCACCCGAAGAAGACGTTGAGACCTCAATTCTTGCACAATTTGCCGATTACCTCTCTCCAGAGGTTCGCGCAATTACAGTCAATGATGATGGGCTTCTGACTGGAGTTTCGACAGACCCGGAGGAAGATGATACATTCTTCATCGGATATCTTCCTCTATCACTCTGTCAATTACTTGCAGACTGTCCGACTATCTACCTTCCTCAGCTTCGAGAGCTTGATCGCCTTGGACCGGGTGTCGATCTTATGCTCTATAATGATCAGAGGGTTGCATTCAAATTCAACCCATTGGGTATGCCTCGACGGCTACAAATGTCATGGAAGGAAATGAACCTTCTCAGCAAACTACCTCCACACCCAAATCTGATACGGTTTGACCGTATTGTTCTGGAGGATGTGGAGTCTCGAATAATTGGATTTACAACGAATTACATCCCAGGTGGAACTCTGGCTGATTCAAAAAGGCCATTCCGATTCGAATGGCTACAGCAGCTCACTCAGCTGGTGGATGATCTCAACCTCGAATACGGGATCATGCATCAGGACATTGCACCAAGGAACCTACTCATCGACGAGACAGACAATATCATTCTCTTCGATTTTGACTGGGCCGCCAATGGCAAGGAAGGTTTAATGGATAATCGAGACGATGTGTCCGGTGTCGTCTTCGCACTATACGAAATCATCACCAACGACACACATTTCAGCAGCATCCCGCACTGGGACAAGCATATCGACATGGTACAGAATATCGAATGGACTTGTCGCCGCGAACTAGACTCGGATGTATCAAAGTTCCGCGATTTTCTGAATGAATGGGTAGCGACAAGAATCGACAGAGCCATGGAGCGATATCTCAATGCACCCAAGCGGCTTACATGGCCGGATCTTCCAACACCTCCAGACTATAGTGTGCCCTTTGAGCTAGGTCGCACAAAGGACAGGGAAATTGTTTGGCAAACGGGCCAGCGTTCGAGGCGCATTGCGTTAGAGAAGGGGCAATATTGCTTTCGGTGGGAAAGGCCACCACAGAGCAGGTTGCTGAAGGAGGCTAAAGATGGATGTAATAAGTAGCCAATGAGTTTAAGTGGTCAAGGAAACCTTGGAAGTGATCAGGACTCAGCCCTGGAGATTCATGGTTCAGGCGACCCCTTGCTCTGTCGGCTCGAGCAGATATTTTGGCCTTTGAGTCAGATCTCCAACTCTTTTTGTCTACACCAGAGATCCACGGCTTGGGTCATTTGCTCAACAGGGCCACGTCCCTTGTACCACCAAGCTTCAGTCTCGGCGCCATAGTCCCTGAATTCACACTGTGGGCGATCCCTGTGCCTGCCTAATTCCCTTGAATGCCATTAATCCTCCAACCTATATTTCGTGTTGCACTACCTTAATGTTTATTCGTGCCAAGGTTGTACATCCGAATCTTCGTGCATATTGCTGTCAGCGCATTTTCACTTTCATCTAAACCTTGGAATGTGTACGGAGTACTGTGCCAAGATCAAAAGCCTTATTCAAAGTTGAACAATTGGAAATAGTGTGCTAATGGCAGTGTATATAATTACATTTCGCCTGTTTGGGGTTCGCCCACATATGGTCAAAGCCACATGACCCGAGCACAAGCCCCAAACAAAGTGTGGAATATGCAGGTCTATCACCGTGGCCCATCAGCAGTCGAGCATTTCTCATCAACTTATCTTTGCTTTTTTGACGAATCACGAAGACGAATCAAAAGCCGGCGATCTCGATGTAAGGGAGAAGAAAAAAAGAGGGAGACGGCTGAAGCCCCCACTTATCGATCGACCCAAGACCCATGGAACCGATGGTTTGTTGGCATCTCCCTTTTGCACCGTATCCCCCATGGAGAAGTTCAGATTCAAGGATCGCAAACCACAGGCGCGCTGGGCTTTGGGGCTAGTCGCGGTGCTGGCCTTCTTGACGTGGCCGGGGATCGATTTGGGCTTCGGTGGTGCCTTTGTTGATCCGTCGGAAATACCCGTCACCTGGGACCAAATCACCCCGTCACAATCGCTGCACTACCACAACTGCGGAGATGAGTTCCAATGCGCCCGGTTGGAAGTCCCAATGGACTATAATCGGACGGATGGGAAGGGTCGCTCGTTCGTCTTGGCTGCAGTCCGATTACCCGCTAAGGTCCCTGTCACAGATCCAAGGTACGGGGGTGCGGTGTTGATTAATCCCGGTATGTTCGGTGGAGAAAGGTCGACTGGTTCATACTAACGGGAATAGGTGGCCCTGGTGGTCCGGGGACTATGCAGGCCTTTGTATCGGGTCGCAATCTCCAGCTCATTGTTGATGCGGAGCGGGACCCACGGGATCCCGGGGGTGAAGCGGTCGATAAATATTTCGATATTATCGGTTTCGATCCTCGGGGCGTGGGATCCACCACGCCTCCGGTAATGTGTTTTCCGGATCCAGTCTCTCAGCGGAATTGGGAACTGCAGGTTTCAGTCGAAGGGATGCTGGGCAGCGGATCGGATTCACTGCTGCGAAACTGGCAGCGGACTGAAGCGCTGAACTCCGGTTGCTCGGTGTGGGATATGTCCAGCACAGACTCGGACGAGCAGATGATGTCTTTCCTTAATACTCCGCTCGTCGCACGCGACATGTTGACCATCATCGAGCGACACGGAGAATGGCGTGAGAAAGAGGCTCGCAAAGTTGCGAAAGTCCACGCGTGTCATGGCGCCGATGATGCCAGCACAATGCTTGAACGCACTCGATGGCGCCGTGGGGAAGAGCCGCTGTTATATTGGGGTCGCTCCTATGGCACACTGCTAGGCACGACTTTTGCATCCCTTTACCCGGACCGGGTCACGCGAGCCGTTCTCGACGGCGTGGTTGACATGATCAAATACTACCAGGGTATAGGACCAAACCCGATTAACGATGCAGATGCCATCTTCGAGCGCTTTGGTCAATACTGCAACCAAGCCGGTCCTGACAGCTGTCCATTCTATATAGATGGCGGCGCGGAGGCTATCAAAGAGGCGTACTGGGATCTTGAGCAGCAGATCCTCAACTTCTCTTTCCCAGTTATGGCGTCTGCAAATCGCGGACCCGAAGTGGTGACCTGGACAGACATCAAGGCAATCCAGCGTGTTGCCATCTACCAGCCCTTGCTTGCGTTTCCCATCTTAGCAGATCGGATGAGCGAGTTGGCAAAGGGAAATGCAGTCCCGACGGCCGATTTCAAACACGGCAGTCATTTTGGCGCATGTCCCTCTAACGAATGCAGTCGTGCGGGGCCGTGGTCTCCGGCGTGTGCGACCTCACAGGACAACATGCTTTACGCGATGTCTGGCATAATGTGCTCGGATGCGGAGTTTATGACCACTCTCAACCAGCAGCAATTCCAAGCGAATTGGGCTAGCCTCATATCCGATAGTGGAAGCTTGGGAGATTACTGGGCGCAGTTACATCTGAGCTGTGTTGGATGGAAAGCGAAGCCCAAATACCCATTCAAGGGTAAGTATCACCGTGAAAGATTTGATTTCTCGCTGACCGTCTCAGGGCCATGGGGTACTACCACTGCCCACCCGATGCTATTTGTATCAAACACTCTTGATCCAGTGACTCCTCTATACAGGTATCTGCCCCTACCCTTTAACATCATCACAAGCGCTCACAGTATTAGTGCCAAACACATGACCCAGCTCTTCCCCGGATCTGGGCTACTCCAGCAAGAATCAGAAGGGGTGAGATGTCCCCACAATCTTTGTTTATGTATGTGGCTAACATTTCCTGGCAGCACACTACACTGACCGCGCCATCGGTCTGTGTTGCGAAAGCCATCCGCCACTACTTTCAGACCGGTGATCTTCCCGATGTCGGTACCCTCTGTCAAGCTGATCTCAAACCATTGGTCGGTGCCCCCAATGAAGTCGAGGCCGTCAGTTCAAAATTGAGCCCGGCCGACCGTAAGCTATTTGGCGCATTGATGGCGGAGGTACGGCAAGGACCCGTTTTCCCCGTGTAGCCTTGGATCTCTCCATATTGGTATCAATCTTGACGACTTAATGTATTCACGACCCAGATGCTGTGCGGCCTACTGCGCAGTTGGTTTTTTTCGGCGATTTAATAGACTTCGGTATTTTCTAAACACAATGCATTTCACCTCCACTGCAGCAGATCAAAGAGCGGTCACAGTGCAAGTATGTCATAGGATATCCGGTTCGGATAACTTCCATCAACCTCGGCCAATCCCTTGTTCTTGATAATCAGCAACCCCGCATCCCTGGATCGGCTCTTATTTTCTGGAACCTATTTATGTATCCTCATTTTACATTCTAGTAATCCCTGCATAACACTTACAATGGCTCCCCCAACAGCGACCGAGACCGTCACCAACACTGTCACCATGCAGGCACCACAGTCCTCCCAGGCAGCGGGTGCCGAAAGGACAAACATCAAGATGCAACTACCCAGTGTGCCCGTTTTCGAAGATAAAGTAGAAGAACGAGAATACCTCAAAGGCCGCCTCGCAGCGGCTTTCAGAATCTTCGGCGATAAGGGTTACGATGAGGGTATGTTGTTACTTTACTTCACTTCACTGCCAGCAGAGCTTCCGACTAATCAAATAATCAACAGGTGTTGCTGGACACATTACCGTGCGCGATCCAGTGGATCCCTCGACATTCTGGGTGAATCCATTCGGCACCGCGTTCAAATTAATGAAAGCATCGGACTTGATCCAGGTCGATCATGCCGGAAAGGTCATTGCAGGTGGTCCGAACAGGATGCTCAACGCCGCGGCCTTCATGATCCACTCCGCTATTCATTCGGCACGACCGGATGTCAACTGCGCAGCACACAGCCACAGTCTGTACGGACGCGCATTCTGCTCGCTGGGCCGACCGCTCGATATCATCTCTCAGGACTCTTGTGCTTTCCACAATGTGAGTTCCCCCGATATATATTTGTATTTCTCCGCTGACGAACTCAGGACCTTGCACTCTATGATTCATTCAAGGGTGTCGTGCTGGCTGAGGAAGAAGGACATAATATCGCCAAGGCGCTGGGGAATAAGAAAGCGGCGCTTCTGCAGAATCATGGATTATTGACTGTCGGAGGAACGATTGAGGAGACGGTATTCTGGTTCGTGAGTCTGGAGAAGTGCTGCCATGCGCAACTCATGGCGGATGCCGCTGCTGCTGGGCGTGGTGGAGAGACCGTCAAGATTGACGAGGTGGATGCCGCCTTCACGTACAAGACGGTCGGCACTCCGAAGGCCGGTTGGTTTAGCGCGAAGCCTTTGTTTGATGTTATTCACGCGGAAACTAAGGGTGAATACTTGGAATGAGACCACTTGTGTCGGTCTGGCGTTCCGGATTCATGGATAATATCGAGGGGAATATTGGCGTGCATAGTGAGCTGCAGTTCGAAACAGCCTTATAAACCCTTTCTCCACATTTCGGAATATTTGTCCCCGCTTTATATTGCATCGATATTGCTGCCAAACATAACTTTGTCGTAGAGGCACTGGCGGCGTAAATGGATACTGCTAAGTTGGCAGATGGGAGAATTGCGGAGAATTAACTAATGAAAACCCATGAGATGAGATGAATGCACCAACGAGGGCCTCTCGACTCTCAAGCTCGGTCTGTTTCATCCTTCAGTCCGCCGTTAGGCTTGTTTTAAAGTGAAACATCTAGGGTTCGGGAGAAGCTCCGTATCTAGTCAATCCGCCCACTCAAGGCCTAGGGGTATACGCCCACTCAAGGCCTAGGGGTATACTTGGCAGCCAGAAAAGTTATTAGAAGACACTGTATTGTTCATCAATAATTCACTTCAATCGTTTTCTATAATTTACACTCCTCTGACTTAGGGAACCTCGAAGTTTACCTTTTGTTTACTCAATTAGCCATTGACAATGCGTTTCATTCTCCCGTTCCTTGCCGCCGTCGGCGTTGCTTCTGCCAGACTTCTCGAGACTGTTGAGAAGAGAGATGATACCTGGGGTGGAAGCGTCTCTCTCGGCCCCTCTAAGTCGACTATCGTCAACGCGGTCACTACTCTGGTCCCCGGAGCCGCTCCCCCCACCCAGGATGGAGTGCTGTTCCTTTGGCCTGGTGTAAGTGGTTGCACATCCCTCATATATTCCAGAACTAAAAAATGTAGATGTCCAATGGAACCGGCGACTTGATCCAAGCCACCCTCGAGAGCTGGCCCAGCAACTCCTGGTGCGGTGCCTCTTCCGGTCAGTGGTGTGTGCGTGCCAGTGTCTTCGGAAGCTTCGGCCAGCTTGATGGCGATGGCGCCGCTGTCAGTGGAACTGACCAGGTTCGCATCGAATACAACTTGGAGTCTGATGGTCAGACCTGGAAGCAGTATGTATCGCGAGAGAATGATTGAAGGTAGCGACTGACAAGCACAGGACTGTCTCCAACGGCCAGACTGGCAAGGTTCTCTCCACCTACTCCCATGCTTCCGGTCCTTACATGCGCGGGTGAGTTATCAAAGGAATTGTTACATGAAACTATACTGACTCGTGGTAGATACGGTACCGGTACTGAGTGCAACGACGGTTGCTCTGGAACTATTGCCGAGCAGAAGTACTTGAACACTGTTATCACTCTCGCTGAGGCTGATTCTACCTTTGGCTCTACTATTTCTAAGGCAGGTGGTGCCGCTTACAGCGGACTTACTTCCAGCCAGGGTGGTAAGGTCTGGACCATTTCCCAGATCACCGTCCCTGCCATGGACTAGATTAGTGCTGTCTGAACGGAGTGTATGATATGGGTGGGGAGCCATGTGCAGCCAATATGAGTTCATATCCTGGTTGTATATTATGAAGCAGCGTGAAGAGTGACCTCGGAAATCGAACGTCGTGTATAGTTCCATCTCAGAGACGTATATGTACAAAAAAAAAAGACATGCATCATTACCCTCGATAATCAAGAATGACATTCAACCGCACAGGACCAGGAGACGCAGCACCTCCAATGCCATCCTTATGCTTCTCCGACTCAGTATAAGCATCCACCACCTTTTTCGCATTCGGCGTAATCACAGAGCACCCCTTCCCATCAGCCTGACAAATCGACATCCCTTGCACATGCTGCTTGGCGATCTGAGCTTGAATAGCAGACACATCCCACCCAGACCAACCATTGTTTTCACCATCTCCAAATGAGAATTCACCCCACGTGCTGGAGTACCCGCCCCATTGGTCTTTCGGTAAATGGTCACCAGGCGCAGCACCCCATGCACCCTCGGAATCCTCGTCGAAAGCAACGAAGCGAGTTTCTCCGGGCGCCAGAGTAAACGTGACTGCAGAGTGACCGTACCATCCATCCAGTTTTCCGTCAGGTCCGACTTTGTTCCACACGACGACGGTCCAGGGCTTGTCATTCGAGCCCGTGAATCTTGTTACGTATTTGTAGTGGTGGGCTTCGAATTCGTTAACTGTGATGATGTTGCTGCCCCATGGCTTGCCTGTGTTGCCGTGGTAGTGAATCTCAGTGCCTTTTCCGGGTGTTCGTCCGCCGAACCCCTTGGTTGAGAATTTGCCTTTTGGTGGGGTTTCGGTCCAATCCACAGGTGATGGGCCCTGGGGCTTGGGGCCTGGGATAATCTGGTTCACGACTGGGATGTCGGGCAAGACCTGGCCTGGAAGGTCGAGTACGGCGTTGACTGCGCCGCCTTTATCCTTTGGTGGTGGTGGTGGTGGCGGCGGCGGCGGAGGCGGACCTGCCTTCGCCGGAACGGTTTTTTCTTCTGATGAAGGGTTTTGAGGAAGAGTACCTGCCAGAGCTATCTTCTTTTCAGAGAATGGTAACCCAGCCGGTGTATCTGGTACTGGGATAGGACTGGAATCCGGGTGGACAGTGACCCTCACAGTGTCTGTTGCGGTCTTGTGGATCGTCTTGGTGATGAAAGTTGTAGAAGTGGGCTCGGGTGCTTTTTGGTTCACGACAGGTAGCTCGGGCTGGGTGGGCCGCGTGTCGATGGATTCTGTATTCGGCGCGAATGGGTTCCACAATGGTTGCGGGTACTCATGTTGCGCGGGTGTCAGGCTGTGTGTTGGACTAGGTTTTGTTTCAACGATTGTGAGGTGACTGAATAGATTATTCGTCGGCGCGCAGTTTCCGTGAACGGTCGTTGTTGTTGTGACAGTAGTAGACTCTATCACAATGTCGTCTAGGAGTTTCTCCGCAACATCCTGGGCCTTGTCTCTGGTGTCCAACTTCGGGCCATGCTGGATCAAATGATGATGGCGATGGCGATGGGCATGATAGTGGTGTACACCAGCAAAGGCGTTTCCAATTAGGCCTGTCACCAGGAGTGATGTAGAGACACTCCAGCGCATTTCAGTTGTATCTGAAAGACGCGACCGGTGATCGTTCTGAGATAATTTCAATTCAATTGACGTGAGCTTGATGTGGTTAGTATAAGATTGTTCAAAAAAATAATTCAGGTAAGAATTCAATTCATTGCACCCATGTTGACGTTAATGTTGGTCAAGTCGTCCAACAAGCGAAAGGCGGGCGCGACTTTCTTAAATATGACCATTTGGACAACATGGTCTGGACTTGACTGGAATGCTCTCCCACGCTTGGCTTTCGAAGGGTTCGCGAGGAACAGTAGCAGCCCTGAATTCCCGGGCTCCTTCGCCAAGACTCCCGCCTGTGGCCCATCCCATGTTGCCTTGGACGTGCATCAGGCTTTCGATTGTACCGCAGCCATGGATAATGAATTGGGAACTTGGGGGTTTGTATGTTAGCTCATTCGCAAACTCAATCCATGAATCTATATTCGCGCAATGGAGATCTTTGAGTCGGGCGTAGCCCTTCGCGTAGCATTCCGCCCTGAATCATGTATGTCCCTTGACAGTGTCCGAATTTCATCGAGGCTTACTCTGCCAACAGAGTCACAATCAAGGACAGAGGTCGAGTGAAACTTTGCTAGGAATTTACGCCACATCGCGTCTATTTACGCCCTGAGATCGGACCCCGGGAGTAGGGAGTGGTGTGTGAGTTGGATCCAACGATGGTCCACAAGCCACTCAATATCACCAGCCACTTTGTGGCACGGCCACTTCTTGGCACAATCGCATCGGGGCCGAATTTGCCCGGACTATACCTAATTTCATACCGATATGCTTCGCACTAGAGCTATAGTCCTGGGAGCATCCATACTAGGTAATTTACCGCCAATATCGCAAAGGCTGGAATCTGAAGCCACACTTGTACCGGTATATGAATATTGAAACTAACCTGAGGGTCTGGGTTTTCTGATATATATTTTAGGGCGGCCCACCTGGGCAGGTCCTCGGATAATTTATATAAAGCTTCGGGTTCGTATGAGCGCCCCAGTGATTTTGTTACTGCCAATCCAGCGAGTTTCTAAATCCATGTTGACACTGGTGACACATTTTTATTTTGACCATTTGATTTGCACATGTATTGATCTGTGTCCAGGTGGATGATGGTTGAGGTGTAATTTCATTCGACGAAGAGGGGAGTAAATCATACTTTATAGGCAGGGATGATGCAGCAGAAGAGAACTAAATGCTAGCCCAGCCAGCATATCAACCGACTAGTATGATGCAACGGCAATCTTGAAAGGGCTCTTCTGTACTATAGCCCTAGAAACAAACGAAGGTCAGGCAGGGGAGGGAAAAGCGGTCTCTCTGTCGAGGTGTGCGAGTCATGTGCTTGCAAGGACAAAAGTCACCTACCTTGCAAGAGAAGTGAAGGTCACGCTGCTCGAGGCACATGACTCCCTGTGACCCACGTATCAACAGACTGTCATTATACCTACCGGATCTGGTATGAGTCGGCACCGCTGGGTTAACTCGGTGGTTAGGGGTGCCATCTTGGAATCGCCCGTGTGAGGTTTTCACCTGATTAATTTGTTATGAGAATTTCCGTACTACATTTGTTTCGAGAGGTCTTGTTCGATACCCACGATTGGCACCCCTTCTTTTTTGGTCACTCAGTTTGCGTCTCTCGGTCTCTCTTTTGATGTTTCTCTCTCTCTTCTCAACGTGGACTTCATGATATAGGGATATTGCGCTTTCTATACCTACCTCCATCTCTCGTCTGTCGTCTCTCATCACCGGCCTCTTCTTGTACGTTGCAAGACAATATATCATTGCGATAAAAGCCAAAAGTGCCCAAGACATTCCGGACCCATCAAAGTTTTCAACGAGTCTACTGGACCAAGCCAGGAGACCTCATATTTCATGAAGGTCAACCCTCAGAATAGTCTACGTTTTCAAATGCTACCTAGGAGTATTACCTAGCCGGATTTCCTTATATCCCGAGCTCGTGACTACTCGACAGAGACTAGGCTCTTGGTATCAAATGGGGGCTTTTTTCTAGCTTCTCTCCAAGAACCAACCCAAGGCTAAACTGAGGCAATAATGCTGAATTCGGCGTCGTTGTGATTGACTCGTGACCCGCAATGTAGATAGTGGATCGAGGGAAGAGGTATCATTGGTCCGCTCGCCTTAAAAGTGGTACGACCAATTACGGCATTCCTTCATGAGACCAATGAAGAGTTACCGGCGCTAGAACGGTCTTTGACAAAAAATGGGCCCACAGGGCGCGTGTACTTTACGGTAGGGCGCGTTGAATTCGATACAATAGGAACGATCACCATGTTTTGGTATGTCCTGGTAATTGGGCTAGTGTAAGACTATACTTTTGGGCCTTGGCCCCGCAGGAAGATGCAAATACGACTCGGCATGAGACATGCTTGAGATTACAAGAGGAAGCGGGGATAGACCAGCAGCTCATACGAGTGATTCAATGAAAGTACACTATATCTCACGTGCTCTCTCAAAAATCGGCGTGAGTAAGCTCAGTTAATGTATTAAGCTACGATTTCCAGTACCAGTGGGGGCAAAAAGTAGAGGAACAGAATGGGAATTGCAAACATTTGAGCTTAAAGCACGACGAATGATCAAAAAGTAAAAACGAGGGCCCAAATTTCACCCGGGCTCCTCTCATCACGCGATGACTTGTACCGGTACCCGCAAAGATAGACTTGAGGTGAGAATCTGGGCATCGGACTGTTTGTAAGATAAGGAAAACTCGAGGAGATAAACCCTGGATATCAAACATGAGTGGAAAGTCGGGACCAGGTGATGATTATTGGGTATTGTTATTGGTACCACGATGGACGCCGTGTGCTGGGTGCTGGTGGCTGGCTTATCGTAGTTTGCCAAGTGAGGGGCCGAAGGCTGCTCACACGAGGAGTAGGCAGGCTTCTCAATCCAGCGAACCGATTCCACACACATTTTGGACAAAGGCATCACCTTCCAATCCATGCCTCGACCATAGTCGGCAAATGATATCTTCCCAACCAGCAAATCTGGATACGATTCCCAAGGGACCGCGCCGTACAGCGTGACAGCGCTCAACCTAGTCGTAAGGGAACATAGTAAAGGGGGCTTTGTCGTTCCTTCCTGATCAAAGTTCAAATCAATGACTGTCGTGGTGTCTGGGTTGTGTTCCTCAGATAAGATGATGTGGCTGGAGTTCAAAGGCTCGGGCTGCGACGCGGAAATTGTGAGTCGGCCTATTTGACGGTTCCATATTCCGTGCTTGAGGTTCTTCTCTTTGGATGTGCAGTAGAGCTCTGAACCAAACCCTTCGCGGGGAGGCTCTTGGTGAAAAGATGGAAGGATTTTGATTCCTTTCATCTGCGTCGAAATGATCGGCTGGCTGTTTCGGCCCGATAATGGAGCAAAAAGCGATGCATGTAAGGTGTATGCTACCTCAGCAGTATCAGAAAGTGTATCTGTTAGCGCAGATTGACCAGAAAATTCCACATTGCCGCTCCCTAGGGTTGGGGGAATCCGTGTATGAGATTCATAGACAGCAAGACTTTGTGTGCGGTGCCTGCAAACCTGAGGATGGATTTTCTCGGGCACTTCCAACGAAAACGGACAACAGTACTTGTAGTGACTCTTCTGAGTTTTCAAGACTGCATGTTGCATTGGGTCAATCATTTGGCTGACTCTGAGGAATATTTGCTGGCATCTTGACCGTGAGGATATTGCTTGACCTATGCCGATGCTCGAGGTTCCTACAGACACTTTAGTAATGCAAATGATTAATTCTTCTGGGCCCTCCAGGGCTGTCCTACCTTGGAGGGTAACGGTAAGTTTTCCAAGAGGCACATCGCTGGTGGTTTCGATTGACACGAAGCCTTCAATGTGGTCGCTCGTGGTGTAGAATCTGTCTTCAGACCAAGTTGTCTGTAGTTTCAACTCGACCTTTGGAGGCCCTGGAGTAGTCACCCCAAAATGTAAAGCTGCAAGCATCGGTGTGAATGAATAAGGGGACATCACAGGGAAGAGGGATCTGGGGGATAATGAATCATCGTTGGTCACATCGTTGGTCAATATTTAACTTATCATTGATACAAAAAATACGAGCACTTCCAGCGCCTCATACAAAATATCAGGCGCCACACGTACCCTCGGACGCCCCCCAGGGCTATCAACGGGACCCACAAGGTGTGCTCCGCACCGCAGCGCTGGACAGGGATCTGCGGTGTATCGTACCGATAGAATTTAGCTGACATATACTAAAACGATCATCTGTTCAGGGACTGTGAATGGTTGATCGGGCGCATTGCGAAAATGCCAAGGGCAACAACACACAGAAGTCGACAAGGGCAAACAAGCGCATGTCTCCTGTCGAGCACATGTTTCAACTATCGACAAAATAAACAGATGGGCACATGGACATCACCTTGAAAAAGAAGATTTGTCACGCAGGCTTCCGCAGAGATCTCCCCGCATTCCAAATGGTGACGGAGCTATAGGGCTCTGGTTACATCTAGGGACTGAGATTTGAAACTCCCAAGGTGACAGGTGAACTGGCCAAAACGAAAACAACTTCCCATATTCAAGCTTGGATGTTCATCTAATTTAACCATGCAAGACCTTCGGTTAGCATCTTCCATTCCGAGCACAGGGAAGGGGCACGCCAACAAAATCTTGGATCTCAATTTTCGAGTTTCGAGCCCATGAGTCGACTCACTGGGTAAATCTTGACCTAGGGACTTACCTTAATTCAGACTTGCCAGGAAGGGTTGGTTTTGACAAAGAGTACGGCATAGAACTACACGACGTACAAAGCCGGCCGACAAGTAGATATCAAGTCACATGATATTATGCAAATTTAATGGCTGCTTCCTTCAAATAGGCTTTGAAATGTGCGTTTTCCCCTCTCCTTCATCTCTTTAAGACAATGAAGCCGAAGTGAACAGCGATGTTCTGGATGTTGATAGGGGTACACCGCCTTGGCAGTACCAAGCTTCATCTAAACCGCTTTGGGGTCCGATAACATCGATGTTCAAAACAACTGTTGTTTGCATATATCTCGCACCACTTGTCACCCGGTATGCCAATCGAATCCTAACTGGGACATTGAGCTTTGGGACTGCACGGATTGCCGGTCGTCTTCCCCTCTTCTGGGGTCGCGCACCACTGGCATTCTGGACGGAATCTCCGCTCAATGGGCTCCATTCGCGTTGAAACTCCGTTCTTGGACTCTTTGATGCTTACTGATTCATTGAAATAGAACTCTCGCTTTGATTTCCTATACCAATATCTTATAACTTCATAATGGCTGCCGAAGGCTCTTCCAATTCTGTACGTTGACAACCCGAGACTGCGTCCTCCTTACGAAACATAGCGAAACAAACAACGCGCCAAAGATCATGTCCCGCTGGATTCACACTGACAAAAACATAGCCTATCCCCATCGATGATCTCACCAAGATCACGACCGAGGTACGCGACCCCATACCCCATAAATCGAACCCCGCACTAATACAAACAGGCCTGCGAGGAAGCACTGAAGACCAGCAAGGGTTACGACCACGACAATGTCGGAACCTGGAACTCACAGATCATTGTAAGCGCCACTGTCTCACTTCCCACGGCGACAAGCCTCGCTAATGCCTCCAGAACACCGTCCTCAAGGCCCTGATCTCCGCCACCGCACCCTCCGAAGAGAACAAGCCTGCCCCCTTCCGATTCACCGTCAACAGCACAATCGTGCAGCAGGGCCTGATTGACGAGTCCGCCGCTGCCGACGGTGCGCTCAGCAATGCCGGTAAGCGCGGTATGCACTCCGCCTCTGGTGCTTTCTGGGACGTGAACCGTGACGGCATGTGGACCTACAAGTACACCGGTGCCGAGGAGCGGGGGCTCGATATCGTCGTCTGCGTCACATGGTTCGCTGTCGTTTAAATGGGTTAGCCAAGTTGAACAGAAAGATTGGTCAGGTCCAAAGGCTGGGTCTCATCCTTGGATTCATATTGCCATTTCTGCATTTTCTTTCGTGTAATGAACTTTTGGTGTTTGTTCCGTCGGCAGGTTTCGAATCTGTTGATTTTCTGGGGGATTCCATTCGAGTGCAACCCGAGCGTGGTGTTCTGTTCTGTTTCGGTTCTTAGACTTTGAGTCAAAAGACTTGGAGGAAATATACTGTCTTGTAGATTTGTACAAATGCTTTAACAAATTTCCTAGCCATGATATGAAAAAGGGGTACTACAGGTACGGTGAGTACGAAATTATGTGAATTTGCTAAGAGAATCTTAATGCATGCAAGATCCTATGCGAAGCAGAAATTGGTATCTGTAGACTCGCAGGGACGATCAATGATCAAAGCTTTCCAACCCGAGGAGCGCCACCCAGCCTGAGAAAACAAACGTGAAGAAGATATCCTGATATGCGCCATTCCATGTTACCCCGAAAACCAACGCCAAGCCGTAAACTCATAAAGTGAAATTTGAACTGACAAGCGCTTAGCGAGGCTCGGAGTAGTCGTTCAACGCAACACAGATGGCACCACGGTGGTGACCACTGTATTGACGAATGACAACCCCAGAGCTGAGCTCCCACAGACGCGCATAGTGGTCGCTAGATACAGTCACCAGGTACGCGGAATCGGCGGAAAAGGCGCAGTCCCACACCCAGCGCTGGTGAGTGGCGAGCGTAGTCTCCAAGAACAGCGTGTGGTTCACTGGATCCATGGGAGGGCCATCGGGAGATGAGGTAAATGTCTGCTGCGGTGTGTCCTGACGAGGCGGGTTATCGGTGATGCGCAAAAGATCACGATCCTGGGCAGGTGTCCCGAAGATGCGAAGCAGATCGCTCGATTTGGCGGGCGCTTCAGCAGGGGCGACTGGTTCCTCTGTTGGTGTCTCGACAGGTGGCTTCAATGCCTCCTGTTCTTTCCACTGCTTGAGAGCAACCTTGGCAGGACCATAGTCGGCATCGAGGTTCCAGACTTTAGCAGTGTGGTCTGCGGAGCATGTGGCAAGATGCTTGACGTCGGGGGATAGAAGGACACGAGTGAGGTAATTGGTGTGCGCCTGGAAAGTACAAACTGGGATGATACGTGTAGTTTCATCAGTCTGAACCATACGCCAGAGGTAAACATTGCCCTAGCTGAGTCAGTATAGATCAACACAAACTACAAGTGGATCGTCTTCTTACCTTCTTGTTTCCAGCGCAAAGAAGAGACCCATCACTGGCCACACTGACGCTGAGAACCGCAGTGTCTTCTTCTGGAATCAATTGGTGGGTGCAGACACTCTCTCCCAAGTCCCAAACGCGAACCATACCAGCGTGGTCACCACTGATAAGTTCACCCTGGTTCGGGTGGATCACCACATCGTTGACCGGAGCTTTATGGACGTAGTTGCGCTGCAGACTTCCAGTTCGAGTATCCCACACTTTCACAGTTCCATCTTCGGAACTAGTGACCATCCACTTTCCTTCACAGTGGAATGCGACACCGGTGATATTGTTGGTATGACCCTCAAATGTGATGACGGGATTGGGGTTGGTCGATTTAATATCAAAAAGCTTGACATTGTTGTGACCAGCAGCGGCCAGGAACCGCTTGTCCGGGGTAATGCAAAGACGATTGACCTGCGAGTCGGGGTGCTGAATGGTACGCGAGCAAATGCCGGAGAGCGCCTCCCAAAAGCTGCGGATCCGAATTTAGCACGACTTTGATTCCAAGCGAACAGATGTTACGGCCTTCGAAGGAACAGCTTCCAGTAGGGCTTTGACTTACCGAATCGTATGGTCATACCCCGCTGCAAGACCCAAAGATTAGCTCATGGCCGAGAAGAATGCGGGGAGACCAACTTACCTGTGCACAGGATGACACTCATGGCTGCGTCTGTTTCACTTTCCAGCGACTCGGAGTCAGTGATACTATGACCGAGGTCTTCTTGGGTCTCAAGAACACAGAACTTCCTGAAAAGCAAAGCAATGGAGCTTGGCCTTGGCCGACCAGGTGTGGATGGGGGTCCGTTTTCTGCCGACATCACGTGCTTGGAGCGGTGTAACTGTGATGCTGATGCGTGAGCTACGATAAGAAACGATAAGAAACGATAATAAAAGATAAGGGGGCGGTGTGGACAATGCTCGACAAGATATCAAAGGGGAGGCGGTCAACGTGAGTACTTTTTGTATGGCTCAATATGGGTCTATCTACGATTGAAAAGCTTTTGACTAGCTATCGTGGGAAATTTTGGAGTGTTTGACTCTCTAGTATCTTTTGCATGTACTATCTTGACCTTCTTGAGACTGATCGACCTGCTTATTATTATATTTTCTCCAAGACGGCGTGGAATGTTCGGCCAATGTGAAGAGCGGTGGCTCATCGTGACTATTATGATTGGTCTAAAGCTTATCAAAATACCCGGCAGAAAAAAAGATAGATTGGCAGAAAAAGAAAACAACGGCGACGAGCTCGATGAGCTCAACGAGCTCATGCTCCATGCACCTGTGTCATGGGTTGCACCAGTGGTACAAAGGCAATGTAGCTTTCTCTCTCTCACTCGCTTGTTCCCTTTCCCCTGCAGCCCTCTAGAACCCTAAGTTACTACACAGCAGGTCTTCCATCTTTTCTCTTCCACACTCTCCCCATTCTCCCACATTTCCCAATTGTATTCCACACAATCCTCTTAACTTCAATTGCAACCACCGCAATGGCCAATTCAGCTTCTGACGGTTTTCCTGACGATTTTGAGGACACCCTCATGCAAATGCTGGAGGACGACTCCGAGAACGCCTCCAACATGGGCGTCTCCGATGCCTTCCTTCAGGAATTTTCCGAAGGCCCTCTGATTGACTCAGGCTGCTTTACTCTCAACAAATCCCAGTCTGAAGGCATTGATGCCCCCTGTCGACCCAGCCAGCCCCAATGCTGCAGTCAACCAGCAGCTGGCCACTGTTGCCGAATCCGTTCTCCAGGACGCAACCACGCAGCTTCCAGTCAATGCTGTCGATCCAATTGGCGCTGACCCAATTAACTCACTCCCCATTGTGGCCCATGATCCGGACTGCCACATCATTGAGCCTCCCGCGGCATCAATTGAGAATGCCCCCATGGCTACGAACCCTGCTGTTTCCCCTGCGGGCCCTCAGTTCAATGCGACCAATGGTACGCAGCTCGTGAACACTCCTGCCGGATCTCCTGTGAACGTCCCTGTGGCCATGAATGGTACCACCGCTCCAGTGGGCCAGGTCAACGTCCCCTATGGATTGCAGTACATCAACGTCCCCACCGGATCGCCTGAGAACGCCCCCGCAGGCATGAACTACGCTGCTGCTCCAATCGGCCCCCAGTACACCATGCCCTATGGCGCGCAGCCCATGGGAACTCCTGATGGCTCGCCCCAGAACGTCCAAATGGTCATGAACTACGGCGCTCCCCCAATGGGCTACCATTATATCCTGCCCTATGGTGCTCAGCCCATCGGCACTATCGACGGATCGCCTCAGAACGTCCCCGCCGTCATGAACTTTGCCCCTACTGCAAACGGGGCCCAGTACTTTACGCCCTACGGTGCGCAGCCCATGAGTGCCCCTGGCGGATCGCCCCAGAGCCTTCCCATGGCCATCAACCACGGCACTGCACCGATGGGCTACCAGGCCAATGCGCCTCGCAACGTGCAGCAAATGGTGACCCCCACTTCATCGCCCCAGAAGACCTCCGCGGCCTTGACTCTGCCCCTTACTCCTGCTTCCAAGAAGAAGACAGGTACCACTGTCACCAAGGCCACGGGCCGAAGCCGAGCCAATGGCACTCGTGTTGCCGCCAGCGTTGTGGTAAGTCGGCCATTAGCATAGCAATCCGACCCCTTTTGAATTGACTAAGTACTAACCTTGCTTCACAGAGCAACCACGAAGTGTTGAATAATGTTCACCTCCCTCTGGCCATTGCGACCCCTCAGGATTATGCGAAGCACGTCTCCCCATTTTCTCCTGTCGAGCCATCCGGACCCGAGTCCAAGAAGAGATCGTTGCGCTCCACCCCTACCGCGGCTCAATCCAAGAAGCGTGTTCTGGAGTTGACAAATGAGCGAAGCTACATGCAGAAGGCTCTTCGTGGTGCCACTACCATTGACCCAGAGACTGGCAAAACCACCCTGGAAACTTCCCTGGAATCAAACGCCACCCTCCGTCGTGTCAACACCACTCAGTCCAACGTCAACAAGAAGCTCAAGAAGGATCTCGCAAGTGAGCGTGAGAAGTTCGTGGAGCTTGCCAAGCAATACAATGAGGTGCTGCTCAACCTCCGGTTCGCCGAGCAGGATAACATGGAGCTGAAGGCTCAACTTGACAAGATTCAATTGGACGCTATTTTGTAATTCACCCGCATTGTATTTCGGAGTTCAAGGTCCATTTCATTCCATCAGGGCATTAGCGAGCAGGAGTCAAGTCAATTTGGTCAGATATTCAGTGACGATAACGAGAAACCAGATAGTAGGTAATTTTAGCTTTCGAGGGATAGCATAGCGAATTGGCCCTCAATAATGAATCAAATTTCAATATGAACAAAACCAAAAGTAATTCCAAGGTTGTCAATCTGCCTCTTGAATTCTTGTTACTTTCAGTTATAAACAATGATTCCTTGCCCAAAGGAAGATCCAAAGAAGCCACACCGTTGAACATGGACAAAGGGGTGTGGATGTGCCTTTGTCGGAGTCGGCACTACGAGGGACAGAAAGTTGGATAGTACTTATGCCACAGGTACTTCGGAAGTCTCAGTGTTAGCTTACCATTACCAGCAAAGTGAACCGGATTCCAGGGTTGACGTGATAGCCAAACATGATACTATTAGTAACATCTCAATCTGGTGCTAGTAGTCAAGTGTTAAATGCACCACCAACCTGGGCATGCGCGACAAGAAAGGCTGCTCTCAACCAAACCGGCATGGATCGATTTAGCACAATTCCTTACCGGGCTGAACCATGCGTCGGCTCCAGGGTTGTTTGCTTGTTCAAAGACTCTGCAAAATCAGGTTCACTACTGTTCGTTCAGAGTGCACCACGGTCTTTGATACCACAAGTGCCGCATGAAAGCCCACCATTTCACCGACTCAGCTGCTGCACGCATAATATCCAACCTTTGATTTGGCTCACCCAACACCGCTATTCGAGCACCCGAGTTCGGGCCAGAGTGAACAAATCAACTGTTTGGCCGTATTCCCGAAACGGGTGAGTGCCACTCCACAATGATGTCGCTAGATGCCATTGAAGAATCGATCTGCCTGTCTCCAATGTGGATTCGGGGCGTGGTCTCCCCAACTTTGGCAAGTACCGCGACGTGGATCTCCCTTCGTCGGACCCCACAGTATTCGCTTTTTCGACAAACCTTCCTCTTACGAACAGTGACCTGTCGAATCGTCCGAGCAGCCTCTCAAACCTCCTATGCCAATTCCTGAAGGCCTCACTCGGTGTGATGCCGCAAAAACGGGTCCAGGCCCAGGGAATAGCGACTCCTTACATGTTGACGTCCGTCGACTGCATATAAGTACAATGTTTTACAGATGATGGAAAATCGGATATCTCGGAGCCCGAGCCAAAGGAAGTTGCCGGCTCGAATTCAGTGACACTGGACCAGACGAATCGCTAGCTCATGGGGATCCCCACAATGCTACAAACACAAGCATATACAGGGACAAGTACGTGCCCGACGAAGGCAGCGGTAACTGCGGAACCGAACTTGAGGCATTTCCTACGCGAGTTACCCCAGAAAATGCCTCAAACCCCGAATACTGATGCCGGGATTATTGACTGGAGATGTCAGCAGAAGGCAGATGCACTTCACACGAGCGGACCCACCCGGAAATTGACGTCATAGGCGTCTGGTATCAGATTCAACTCCGTTCTTGTCGCAGAACCTTGCTGCGAGGGGATCCTTGCTTTGTTCCTTTGGCTTTTGCTGATAACGATGTCTCGCAGGGACCCTATACCCCCCTGCAACTGCACTCCGCGTCTTATCGGCACAGTGCAACATTGTTGCGATTCACAATGGACATTGTTCTTCTACCCTACTCCGTACGGAATCCCGAGAACTTTGGGTCGGAATTTAAAAAAAAAGTGGTCACTGTAATGCCCGTTCCTACCCACGGGGCTAATCCACGGTGCGGTGGAACTTCGGGCACAAATGACAAGGAATCAAGGCAGAGGCCAACGACACTCCAACACGATTGGAAATCACAATGTGAAAACTGGGAACCAAACTCTAAGCGGCGTTAGGAGGTGGAATTAAGCTCCACAGTTCCATCATAAAGTGGACTCGGAAGTAAAGGTGGATACCGCTGGCGCCAAACAACGTGCACTTCTCCCGACCGGGTTCCCGAAAGAGCACCTTAACGGTGGTTCTCGGCATGCCGGATGACTCGCTCTCGGCTTTCCTCTGCACGGAGTATGCCGTTTCGGATTCTTGGAGATTTTTCTGGATTTTTTTATTAATTTTTCTTTTTGGATCCGAGTCGGCTGGAAGAAACTTGAATATATGGGGCCGATGTTTGCTTTTTTGAGTCTTTCTTTCTTTCTTCTTTGACAGATTTGACAGCTGCGCAAAACCGTGCTCAAAATGGCTGATGAGATTCGCGGGAATTCTGTTTACCAGGCCGAGCCTGAACCTGAGGTTTCTCAAACACCCTCGCCGGTAGAGAAGCCTCAAGCTCCGCAAGAGAAAAATCCCGGTCTTCTGGCTAAGTACGTGCATCCCCAGATTTTTTCAACTTCCCCATGGGCCGAACAAACTCACTAACAAGATCTCATTCAGGCTGGGACGAATGATCAATGGAGATGTCAGGGAAGAAATGCCTGCTTTTAAGGACATCCAGATTCACACCTGGGATGGTCCTGATGACCCGGAGAACCCTTTCAACTGGAGCACCAAGTACAAATGGCTGATCACCATCACCGTGTGTTTTATGTAAGTCCACCTGCACACCAGAACAACATGCAACATGCTAATCCTCCTTAGTTCCATCTTGACTGGTCTTCCAGCAGGAACCTACGGCTCTGGTAATGACTGGATGGAAAAGGAATTCAATGTCCAGAACTCTCCCTTCCCCAACCTCTACTGGGCCACCACCTCATGGAACATGGGCGCCGCCTTCTGGCCCCTGATCTTCGTCCCCCTCACCGAGTCCTCTGGTCGCATGCCTGGATACTTCGTCGCGTACATCATTCTCGTGATCTCGCTGTTTCCCTCCGCGTTCGCAAAGAACTTTGCAACCCTCGTCGTGACCCGTTTCTTCGGTGGCGGTGCCTCATCCGTCTCTATCAACATTGTCGGTGGCAGTATCTCCGATATCTGGTTCGGTGAACATGCTCGCAGTCTGCCCATGTCCATCTTCGGTTTCACCAGTGTCATCGGTATTGCTCTGGGTCCCTTCATCGGTTCTGCAATCGTGCAGATCCCCCGCGCCGAGCCATGGCGCTGGATCTTCTACGTCCAGATCATCTACAACGCAGCTCTGATCCCAGTCTTCTGGTTCATTCTCCGCGAGACTCGCCCGGATGTCATTCTCAAGACCCGCGCACGCAAGATCAGAAAGGAAACCGGTCGTCCCATCTTCGCGGCTGCGGAAATCGATGCCCCGAGCAAGCTCCGTTTGCTGCAGATCTCTTTCGCTCGTCCTACGAACATGCTGATGACCGAGCCTGTCGTCATCTTCTTTACTCTGTGGATCAGTTTCGCTTGGGGAATTCTGTACCTCTTCTTCTCCAGTGTCGTTCAAACCTACTCTACAAACTACAACTGGTCCACCCTGGCAACTGGTCTCGTCCAGCTGGCTATTACAGTGGGTGCCGTTATCGGAACCATGATCAATCCCCTGCAGGATATGCTCTACTTCCGGTCCTCGCGTCGCAACACCGAGAAGCCAGGAAAGCCGGTCCCCGAAGCACGTCTATACACTGCTATCCCCGGTAGTCTGCTCTTCGCAGCGAGTCTGTTCTGGTACGGGTGGTCCAGTAAGCCCGATGTGCACTGGATCGTCCCCACTATCGGTATCACCTGCGCCGGTCTGGGTATTTACTCCATCTACATGGCTGTCGTGAACTACCTGACGGACGCTTACGAGCGATACGCTGCGTCTGCGCTGTCTGCTGCTTCGCTTGGACGTAATGCCTTCGGTGCCTTCTTGCCGCTGGCTTCGCCTCAGCTTTTCAGTAACCTTGGCTTTGGATGGGCTGGTAGTTTGCTTGGTTTCATTGGTGTTGCGTTGTCAGTTGTGCCTGTTGTGCTTGTTCTCAAGGGTCCCCAGATTCGCGCTCGCAGTACTTTCATGAGCGAGGCTATGTGGGAGCCTGAGGAGAAGGTTGAGGTTGACCAGTCTGGCAAGGGCGATATGGGCCCTACTGCTGAGAACATCGCGTAAGAAGAGACTTGCTGTGACGTCTTGCATTGCATGGTTGGAGTATACCTGGTGCCTACCAATTGCACCAGGTGGTGCATTCATATATAGAGAAAAGTGTAATTTTATCTTAACACATCAATAGATTGTTTGTTTACTTTATGTCACTCTAGCTGGCTGTATCTCTTTTATCCATCCAATACACACAAGACAATAGAAGACAGTATAGGACGACAATTTTGGAAACCAATGACAAACCTATTCAAGTGCTGCTCGGTTCGGGATCCAGGGAAGAAAGGTTGTGGAGGGTATCGAGGCAAAAGGGCCAGGGTCGGAGTCAAACGGCCGTTCACATTGGATATCGCTTTTGGGCAATGCTTTCGTTTTCATATCTGCGGCTATAACAAAACGTACAAGCATCTTACTCGTCGCGCATCTTGCGGAAGAAGTCCATCACATTGGTGTAGACGACGAGAAGAATACCACCTCCGGGGCCGAGACGCAGGACCTTGGGAGTGAAGCCCTTGTACAGGGCAGAGAATCCCTCCTCCTTAATCACGGTGCCGAGAGCAGGCCAAGCCCAGTTGTACTTGGGGGTTTGGCCGGGAACCTTGGTGGTGTTCTGGATGCGAGACTTGACAACATCCATGGGGGTGTTGAGGATGGTACCGGTGATACCACCGATGGAACCAGCGATCAAGTCGTTGCGAGTCTGCTGGTTCTTGTTACCAGGCTCGGGTGTGGGGAGCTGTGCACGGATCTGGAAGATACAGCCGAAGTATCCGGCGTTCCAGAGAACGTGGCGCCACATGGTAGACTCCAGACCGTTGTACATGGCCAGAGGACCCTCAGCAGCCACGATCTTCTTCACAACATCAAACATGCCGTTGTACTTGTGGGCCTGGGCCTTGTCCTGCAGACGAATCTTGACCAACTCGAAGGGAACCACGACGAAAGCCTCAGTGGCACCAGCAGTGGCACCGGTGAGGGTGGCCAGACCCTGGGTCTGCTTCTCGGCGCCGAACAGGTTGCGGTAGAAAGCACCCCAGCTGTCGTTGGCAGCGAACTTGGTGGCACGCTTGGGAGCCTCCATCAGGATGGGAGCGGAGATACCACGGTATAGACGGGAAGCACTGCGATCGCGGATTAGATTGAGTCAAGGCCGGCTCCCTGGGCAGAGACATACCCCTCGTTCTTGACGATCTTGCGGAAGCAATCGAACATGCCATTGTAGTGGTCGACACCGGGGACGGCGGGTCCAGTCTGAAGCTGACTGCAAAGTTGATATGATTAGCTCGAGGTGGTCAATGCATCTTGCGACCGGGCAATTGCTTACATTCGAGTCTTAAGCACGTCCAATGGGTACCTGCAAGTCATATATTGTCAATTGAGTTCATTTCGCATACCGCACCAAGGTAATACCAAGAATGGTGCCTGCTATACAAGTGGTCATACGGCCAGGGAAGAGGGCGGAAGGTCGTACATGATCAGAATCTGCTCGTGCGGGGAAATCACGCATTAGTCACTGTCGCAACAACTCTCGCAACACTCCAACCTGACCCAGCGAATCAAGTTGGAATTGCGTTCTGGGAAAGGTGCATACCTCTGAGACACCAGCCACCGCGCCGGCGGCGAACTGGTAGATGAAGGGGAGGGGCTTCTGGGGAGTTTCCGACATGATGAATGACCTGGGAGACGTTAATATGGTGCAGTTCAACAGATTGAGGTTCAAAATAGGTACATACTCGACCGAAATGGGTTGAAGAGGAGAAAGACAGAGGGCGAGTGAGGTTCGGCGAGAATCGGTGATCAGGTCCGAGTGCGGGCTAAACGTAGCTCCCTGGCCGGGTGATTACTAATGGTGACCCCACGGGGTACCAGAGACATTCCGCGGAACTTCTTACTCTATGCGGTTGACACATCCCTCGCTTGGATCTTTTTGTCAATTCGTTTAATCATAACAACCAGAAACCACCGATTACGCTAATAAGCAACAGTTTGCCAACTCCTAACTCGACTCCATCTCCGCTGGTTGCTTCCTCCTTGGCAACGGTTGTTTCGGACGCGGTATCAGTCGCAGTGCAGCTGGAACCACAAGCAAACCCCTGTGGACAACACCCTCCGCCTACGGTGTCGGCACAATGGAACCAGCCTTTCGCGCATCGATTGCCAGTGGCTTGCCCGGTGGTCGTCGCAACGGGTGCGACCACAGTTACCCCGTCGGAGACAAATGTTGTTGAGGAACCTGTCGGACACGAAGTCGTATCGCAGTCTCGTCCCGTACGGCAGCACCCTCCTTGGTAGAATGCAGAGCAGGCATAGAAACCCGTTGGACAGACATCGTCTCCTCGCGTGACACTAGTTTCTGTGGAGAGACCGGTCGGTCGAGCCGGTGGTACAAAGTTGTCATTTGTGGTCGTCGAGCTGGGCTGGGGCGATGAACTGGTGGATGTCCCGCTAGTCTGCGGGATTGTAGAGTAGGTCATTGTAGATAGCATGATGGTTGAATGGACAGTCACTGTGATGACCGTGACATATGCACCTGTTCGAGCTTGTCAGGAAATTATATCCAGCCAGACGGACAATAAAACAGTCAACTCACACCCCCCTTCCACACAATGATATCCTGGGATACAGCATCCTCCCCCCTAGAGCTTGCGAGCAGGCCGTATAACCAGCGGCGCAAGACCCGATCATCCCAGAACATGTCTTCCCTTGGGCACAGCAGCCCACGTCGCCATAGCCCGTGTCGCTGACAATTTCACATGTCTCCCCGGACCCACAGCATCGATCTGATCGACCGATGGACGTGCATGCCCATGTGCCAATCGGGCATTTGAAGTGACGTGCCTGGAGGCCGTCTCCAAATCCCGATGCAGAGGATGGGTCAAAAGGAAATGATTGACCCACAAACCGCGACGGTGAGTATCCATCCTCGATATCTCTATCAATCAATGTTTGGTTGGAACTTTGGGACAATTGTGAGGCAACAGCGCCTGAAGCATCTGCAAAATCCCAGTAGTCGAGGAAGAACTTTTCACCTTCGTCGTCGCTCATTTTACGGACTCCACGGGCAGGTCCTTCCGCAAGTTTTGATGCGATCTGGGAATTGCGCCGGAATATGCCTTCGGCGGATGGTGGATCTCCATGATGGATTATCTGTAGATCATCGGATGCGCTTGCGCTTGTAGATGTGGCAGCTGCCAGTGTAGAAACAGAATAAAGCGACAGAAAGTTCCTGATGGTAGGTAGAAGATGCATCGTGTCCTGCCTTGAATCAAATGGGGTTCGTGTCTTGGCTTTGGGACCAGGTAAATGCAGATGTCCGAGTCCCGAGGTCGTTCCAAGGTGTTTCACCGATCAAGACTGTGAGTTGGTTGGTATTGAAATTCTCGCAGTGAATCTCGCCAACATATTCAAGAAAGGATGCTGGGTGGGATCGGTCCGCGGGTATATATTGGGCTGCGCGTTGAAAGAGGATGGCTGGGCGGGAATCTGCCCAGGAGTTCTCCGTATGAGACAGATCCCACTGTTATCCCGAGGTCCTCTGCTGAATCACCTGCAATGACTCCACTACATCTGACACATCTCCAAATTTGCTGATGTTTTTACTCCGTACCTGGTTGAATCAATGTTATCATGTTGTTCCAGCCACTTTGGTTTGTTAAGCTGGGCACTCCGACCGCCCAATTGCCAAGAATTTCATGCCAAACAATTCAAACATCAAGAACCCTTTTGAATTCTGATATGGTGTGCTCTCTCTCCGGAAGATTGTGGAAATATCAAAAATGTTTCTCGGGTCTCCAAAGCTCACCCGCCTGGCATTCTGGCGGAGTCAGCCCCACTACGGGAACTTGTCGGGTACCCAACTCGCGACTTCGGGAACCCACTTCGGCATTGGGACCCAACACCCGTGGATCAGTCTACTTTAATGCCATACGATGCCTGGCTCATGCTCATTAATCTCGTCAAAGGAACTGCCAGGATATACCCATTCTTTGTACCGCCTCACCACTTGGCTGAAGTGCGCGCTCTATGGGTCAGAGGGAGCCTTTACGGTTTTTCTTATTCTAACTAGAGGATATTTGCATAAGTACAGTCTAAGCCACTATCCAGACACCGTTGACAGGGACTGCCTTTGTCACACCGGACTCGTCTTCGCCTGCATAGCTCACAAGGCTTCCGCCTAACTGAATAGATGTGCCCCCTCCTTTTTCACTGTCTGGGATTCTCAAATCACAATTGAGACCAGAATTGAGGCAGTGATTACAAGGTCTTTCGCTGCCACATTTGACTTTCCTCGCCTTGCAGTGCGCACATGGGGACAATCTCCCTGCTTCCGAACGAGCGGCCACCCTTTGCAATTGAGAGCATATCTGAGCGTACAGTTCTTTGCCTGCCATGTCACATGCACTATCAAGCCAAAGAATCATTTTGAGCGTTCTCTTGAGTTGTTTCCAGTCGGTCAATTGGTATTGGCTTATTAGATCTGCCAAGACTGTTATATACCAGGCTTTGTCAGACTCCTCTGCTGTGATGCCGCCCATTACGAGGGCCCATAATAGCAGGCAACGGGTTGATTCACGGAAAGATGCCATTTCCAGAATTTTGCTGTCAGCAATCTCGAGCTTCAGAAGTTTCGCGAGCTTCGAGAATGGTGCTCCGACACCAGCGAGCGGAAATGTCACACCCACGCTGTAAATGACCGCGGCTATTCGAGTGATCTCAGAGAGAGCACTTTCCTGCTGCATGCCGGTTTGAGGCGCGATGCACATCAAGTTATACTGAGCAAGATTGCGTCTGTCACACATTACTTGGGCATCGAGCCGTAGTGTGTCTCCTCTGACGTAACTTTCGATGGATGCTGTGTATGCCGCCAACTCATATAAGGAACATGTTATATCGGAGTTCAGACCAGCCTCGTCCAAAATGTTCATTCGAGCCTCTGCAGCCGGACCTTCGATTGTGTACGTGGTGAGCGATTCGATGGATGCTCCAGAAAGCGGGTAGAAAGGTAGTGCAGGCTTTGTCAGTAGTAGAGTTGAGTTCACAAGTACACGGCTACATGATCAGCGAGTCAGTGTTCACACTTCGGGTCATCTTAACGAATATCTTACTAGAAAGCAGCCGCCGCGACACCCGGCATCTGGATGTTGAAAAGTCCGCCACGCAGCTCAATGATTCTACACAGACCATCCTGGTGCGCAACATTAGGCTCCCGAGCACTGTGGACCTTGAGCCACTGAAGTCCCTGCAGCGGGGCATGGAATGGAGATTCCCTAGACCAGGGTCTGTCAATCTCCACATCTGGCTTCTCAACTGCCATAAGAACTGCCAAAATTGTGGCATCAGATGTCGCACGGTTTAGATCTCGCAGCGAATCATTAATTGCACTGACCGTCTCTTTAAAGGAGAGTTGAAGCTGGGCTTCGTTATCTCTGAGTGAAGGAGACACCCCGCCATCTAGAAGACGATTGATGATTTGATGTGAAAGAGAAGCAGAGAGTAATGCGGAGAAAACGGCCTTGTCACTCATTGACAGTGGAAGCCAGTATTGTAGGTAAGGATTGAGAGAGTTTGTTGCGGGAAGCACGCGTGGTGTCATGACGGAGAATCCTATTGGGGGTGTGAGAAGGGTTCTCAGCTACACCTGACGCAAGTTCGTACTGTAAGAAAGAGCCTGTTGTACCACCTTGGTTTCGAGGGAAGTAGGATAAGTGCCCAAGATGAACGAGTCGACCTTTCTGGCCAGAGAGGCAACATGACCTGGACGGAGTAACACAGTATTAGTGGCGTTGTCCTATGCAGCTCTGGAAAACAGAGGTATTAGTATTCGCCAACCTCCTAATGTTGCCAGCTCAGGCTCTTTGTAGTCCTCTTCTGGGGGTACGCTATGTTGGGTTTCCCAGGGGCCGTCGATTAGTTCGAGTTCGATGGGTTCAGACCCGGACCATGGGTCTCCATGGTCTTGCTCTGAGATGGACGAGGTCGGTGACAACAACGAGCCGTTCCAGAGATGACTAAAGCCCCCATGTCAGAGTACGACAGAGAATATTCCACAAGACAATAGACAAGAGTTGCAAGGAGGGGTAATGATGAGATTGGCGATGGCTCAAACCATGCTGAACCTACCTGCGCATTTTCAGAGAGTGTCGTGGGCGTAGATTCTGGAAGGTGTGCCGGTGAGATCAGTAGGTTCGTTTGTATGGCGGCGGGAGCACGTCAAGGTGAGGTCGATCGCGAAGGTCCCGAATTCGGAGTAGCGCCGGTCGGGATCCGAAACCAAGTCAGCCCTAGCAGAAGTCAGCCGCGCCAATTAAATTTATATCCGACTGAAGCGCCGGTAGATTCAGTGTGTAACTTTGAAAGCTTTCTTAACTGTAATGCATCGGTGTACGTAGTCGCCAATCTTTTCTAGGAAAGGATGAGTATAAAAAAGCCGTACGAGATGTGGAGAAAGCTAGTCTCACATTATTTAACTAAGATCTATCCTGAGGACTCCTTGAAAATGGGCACAACGTTTCATTAAAGTCAAAACACGATCACTGGAAATCAAGGGCAGCACTGCAGGTACACCAACCCTATGAAACCCCAAAGCTACCTCATTTGGTCTGGTGATCTAGCTCCGCTTTGAACATATCAGGAAGAGCCCCAAAAACAGTCGGACCCTGAGGCTTCCAACCCAGAGATTGAAGACGAGTCGCTCGGCTACGGCAGTTACCACCCCACAGGACTGGAGCCCACGGGTGAAACTTGCTAGCCTCATCGACAGAAAGCTGATCAACCTCTGCCGTTTCGATCGCTCCAAGATCCTTGGCAATTTGCGAAATCTTCTGAGCGATATCCTTCCATGCGAATTCACCCGACTCAACAAAATAGTACCCTTCCAGCCCCCACTGAGCGGATCCACCCTCCGGCTTGAGGGCTTCCTCGATCAAGAGCACGCAGGCGTTTGCCAAGTCTCCGACATACACATCTGAGATTTTTGTTAGAATCAATATACTGACAGGATATGTTGGATCACGTACGGTCCCAGATATTCTTGCCCTCACCAACGGTGAAACCACGCCCTCTCTTCAGGATGGCCTCGCTCAAGAAAGGAATCTGCATACTCCGCTTCTTGATCGGACCTTGGCCTACCCCATAGATGAGCGGGGGGCAGATGATAGCGGTGGGTACACCGTGCTTTGCTCCACCGGTCAGAACAGCGTCGTCAACATCACGGTGGAAAGCAGTCTCCGGAAGCGAGGTAATCTGGGCAATATCCTTGACATCGTCGTATACTCGTGGCGCAGGGTTACCAGGGCCAGTGGACATATCGTTGAGGACGCCGGTACCGGAAATGTGAATCAGCTTACCACCTCCTGTCGCCAGTCCCGCAATGGCGGATCTCACAACGGGGACGTGGTCGGAGCTTGCAAGCTCTTTAGACTGTTAGTGTTATCCGTCACGTAGAGGGGGTCTCCTTACGCAGAACGACGTTTGCTTTAGCGCTTTCCTCCTTGATGAGTTTATCGTCATCAAGCGTTCCGACGACAGTAGAAATAGTCGGCCATTGGGACTTGAGCTTGGTTGCCTGCTCTTCATTCCGAACGAGGGCCACGAGCTGGTACTCAGGATGAGCGGCAAGGAGAACGCCAGTTGTGTGGCCGCCAATGTATCCTGTGGCACCAGTGATGAAAATTCTGGGACTCATTTTGGAATTTGGATTGGAATAGATTGAGTTGTTGGGTTCCGCTAAGAATCTGATAGGATTGGATGTTCAATGCTTGTTGAATTGCTGATCTGGATATCTAGATTGACTGGAATGTATGCCCATTTTATATTCCACATTCTTCCCAGAGTCAATAAGAACGAATCTTCCAAGGTTGATTTCTCAGCTGGAAATGAAGCGTTGAAGTCGGGTAATCAGATAAGCCTCACGCTCGCCGAGCTCGCCGAGCTCGCCGTGTCGGCTAAATAGTCCAGCTCTCAGTCAGACCCACATTTCTTATGAGCGTAGATTCATTGATCCATGGATGCTCTCAAATCAGCGTGAGGGATCTTGTGCTTCCTATATATGGCGACGTTCACATTCAATGGGATATATTTCTCTCCCTCTCTCTCTCTCTCTCTCTCTCCCTGACATGAACGCATGCCGATGAACCACCAAGTTACCCGCCTTCAATGTTTTAGCGCAATGCTATAAAGATCAACTTTGGGTGTTTCTAATCCCCCAAATCAAGAGACTTTAATGCGGGTGAGAACCTTGGAACCAAGTCACACTTCCTCTTTGGACTCGTCAGTTGTGGTTCCAGAAGGGGACTCCGATGGAATGCCCAGCAGTCGCCTCATGAAGGCATCTGCTTCAGCAGCGTAATGACTCTTCTTGCGGATCTGAGCGCCATACACATAGAAAAGGTATGGAATGGGGACACAGGCTAGCGCGAGGAAAGCAGGAACAGAAGCGGCCCAGTGAAGTCCCAGATTTTCATACATCTTGTCCGTGAATAAGGGGAAAACCGCTCCAAAGATTGAACGAATTGCAGAGTTCGCAGCTAGCACTGACGCGGCATAAATAGTGTACGAGTCCACCAGATAATTCAAGCAAGGCAAGAACAGCATGATACAGCCGTACCCAAACGGTATACCCGCGAGGATAGGGACAACCCAATGCACATTCGGCGAATTTGTCCACGCAAACCAGAACAGCCCAATTGGAAGGGCAATGCAGGCCAGAAAGCTGTCTGGGAGTCGAGCTTCTGGAGCAAGCCGTGTCTGAGCCTTGGTCGACAGGTTTCGGTATCGGGTATGTCCAAGATACATACTCGGAGCGGAGAGCAAGATTCCCACCATGATGCCCAGAAAGCTCAGGCCTCCGAGCCCTTCGCCCCAGCCACGAGTCTCCTGGAACACAATTGGATAAGCTGCGAAGAGCATGTACAATGTCCCATAAATGATTGACATGTAGATTGTGATAAGAAGAACGATGGGCTCGCGGAACAGAAGAGCCCATGGTCTCAAGAGAACTGCCGACAGTTTGAGGCTGACTTTGTTTAGATCCAGTGTACTGCGGTATGCTTTCCCTGTGGCAGAAGACAGATGGACTGCCCGCCGGCGCAACAGAACTGGGGGGTATGTCTCAGGTAGGAGGATCAGAGTGAGAATCCATTGAGCAGCTGACAGTAAACCCAAAAATCCTTGCACCCATCTCCAGCCTCCAGCTTCGGCTATGAATCCACCGACAATCGGTCCGATGGATGGTCCCAAGAAAGGTGCGATAACATAAACACCAAGAGCCAGGCCTCGGGTGAGAGGATCAAACAGGTCCGCAATAACTCCTCCAGCAATGACCAAGGGCGCCGAGCCCAGACTACCGGCCAGGAATCGAAGAATGAGAAGTGTCTCCATGTTGTGTGCGCCAGCTGTGCCAGCAAGAGTAGCCGTCAACAACGCCCCACTTATTATGAAAACATATCGTCGGCCATATCTCTCACTTAGCGGAGCCCATGCCAATGGCCCAATGGCAAACCCAATCACGTATAATGATACACCCAGGATGGAAACCTCTTTTGACACATGAAAGGCTGTTATGATTTCGACCAGTCCGCCAGAATAGGCCGACGATGCGAGCGCAATTGTGAATGCGCAGAGGGCAACGAGCAGATTGAGTGACCACTTTTTGACTGCCCGAAAGTTCATTGGATTTTCGGGATCATCGGGGAGCCAATTGATGAGATATGGATCTTCCGACGTGCCGGAACCACTATACTCATGGTTCACAAGTCGAAGGGGCAAATCACCTCGACCGAGAATTGTGCGTAAAAAGGAGGTATTGGAGTACGCTGGCTTATCCGCATTCTCAGCCATTTTTAACAGGAGAACCAGCTCAGCAGAGCTCTAGTTCCAGGGTCAAGGTCTAGATGGATGAGAGAGCAGTTTCCAAGGTTAGACATGAACCTCCAGGGATTCTGGCAAATCTCGCCCAACGAGAATATAATAGCAACCTTGGAGTATGGTGCGTTCGGGATACCTCCTTAAAACGGAATAAGGAAGAATGTCTCAGAAAAGGCAAATGAGCTGCGACTTGATCTCAATTAACCTTGGAGTGCATTGCGTTATATAACCTCATCGCGACCTGGGGAGGATATTGAGTTCTTCTAGTTGCTAGTATGCACCTTGCAAGACATTAGGTGAAAATCAGTTTTGAAAAAGCAAAAATTTAGTTCATCATCAAAACTATAAACTCTCCACTAAATTGCTTTTCCCTGCCCCACAGAGCTCCCTTCACAGATACTTGTTCCACGGCTGTGCAGGTGTATTCTCCGCATTGCACACCGCACATTGCAGACAGCCCAGAAACCTCAGGAATTTTGTGATCGGCGGTGTGGATCTTGAGATCTGCGGCTACAAGATAGACTGAGAGATCGACCGGTCCGCATGCAAGACTAACCTTCTCAACTTTTAAGGCTCTTCGTATTCTCCCAAAAAGCCAAAAAGTCAAAAAAAAAAAAAAAAAAAACAGTTGTCTTTGACGCAAGGCTCGAGGACTAGGCATATTTACTACTCATACATATGAACTCGCAAAAAAGCTCTACGTTTCATTGACCGTAAGGTACTTCGAGAGATCCGCCACAATGGCTTTCTGATGATAATCTGGGAGGACGTGCAGAGCTAGCCAGCATTTCCTTGTTTTTGAAGGAACTCCATCCAATACTCAAATCTCAATACCCACAGCTAAGTCCGGTGTGCTGAACGGAGTATCCGACCATACCTAGACACTGCGTTAAACCAGGTCGATCGTTCTTCTAATGACTTTCACCGCCTGCATCAACGCATCTTTGAATGCGTATCCTGGTACTTCGTGACTGCCTTCATGAACAACTGTTGACAGAGTGTCCGATTGAAAGATCTTTTTCAACTCCACTGCCTTTCCTGCACATGGGTCGCGCGAGCCCCACACTAGGGCAGTCGGGATCTCGATCACATCAGTCACCACATTAGCGTCGATCTCCGTGAACGCTCCACTTTGCAGATCCACGTAGTTCAATGGTGCCATGCGAGGCGAGAAGAAAACAGCGCACTTGACAGGAAGTGGCTTTTTTTCCTGAACAAGGTGCATCAGGAGTGTGCATGCAAGCATCATTCCTTGGCTAAAAGCCAAAACGGCATCATAAGGTCCATCTTCTTCAATCAAAGTTTCCAAATCATGCACCGCTTGGAGCGATGCAGAGACTGACTCAGGATCAAAGTAGGAAAAGCCTTGATCATTGGCGGGGACAATGTCCCGTATCTCTGATTTGTTGTCAGCGAACAAGCCAGCATGGCCACAGTGAACAACGCGTACCCGGTGCCAACTCATAGGGGAACATCCCTTCCACAAAATCATAGGTGTGTCCATCGCCAAGCTCGTAGCGCAGAGGGGCTGGAGATGTGAGTTAATATCACTCATCAGTGCAGTTCAGCGGGCGAAGGGAGGGTATCAAACCTGTTTGTATTTCAAGGACCTGGTTTGAAAAGCTTTCGTCAGAAACCGAGGGATTGGGTGTTGGTTAGAACTGTGCACTGTTTTTCATACCTTAGAATTGGTTCCAACTCCGTGTAAGCTACTACTGTCAGAAGATTTTTCAAATGCTGCGGCAATGCTTCACTGATAACGAGTCACATACCAAAGGAATCTCATAGTGTTGAGATAATATAGAACCTGAAAGGTAAGGTAGACTTTCCAGTGTTTCGAATAGTGTAATGGCTGGTTATGGGATACCGAAACACCTCAATCCTTTTAAACCTCATCAGGCAGTGTCATGGGATCTTTCTTCCTGCATGGTGACAATGGTCTGCGAAGCCACAAACCGCCGATCACCAGAAGCTTTAGGCACCATTACATGACTTACGAGAATATCGGCATCCCACATCCTGAGTCAGGTAGAAATGATTGTGATTGCTCAATGCAAGGTGGCACGCCCACTCCGAAGATGGTGATTTCCAAGTTTTCAAGACTATGCAGACTTCCTGCAATGTCAAAGTCCACTCATTCAAACTTAGTGTCTGCTGCAAGATACCCAGCACGCCGATATCGCATGCATGGCTCAAGTTCCCTAGGCACTCCCAACAAGATAGTTTCCTCCGATGACGCAGTGGCGAGTTGACCCGGAGAGTACGATAGCATCTGAATACTGACCGCTAGAACTTAGTTGTGATCTGTAAGCTGGCCCAGATGAAGAGTGATGTAGTGGTCCACCTTCGGTAGGCAAAGCATATTTGCCAGGCGTATAAATCAAGCGCGGTCGCTACATTATCGAGTAGCCCAAGACCCTCATCAACATATTGCGAAGCGAAGCCATATAAGTTCGCCCACATGTCTCATAACACTCACACAGATGAAACGTCAACCAACCAGCCTTTGGCTATTGTTGGCCTTGGTCTAAGATATCCCGGAGATGTGAGCTCCGCAGAGGGTTTCTGGGAAATGTTAATGGAGCGTCGTTGTGTCTCCACAAAGGTTCCTTCTGACAGATTGAATGTGGACGCTCATTATCATCCAGACAGCTCGCGCACCGACAGTCTTGGTTGCGACGGTGGTCACTTCATCTCCGGGGATCTGGGGGCCTTTGATGCTCCATTTTTCTCCATTACCTCCGACGAAGCAGACCAAATGGATCCTCAGCAGCGGCTTGTGCTAGAGACTGCGTACCAGGCTCTGGAAAACGCTGGGATATCCATGGAGATGGCGGCAGGTAGCCAGACCTGTGTGTTCACTGGTTGCTCTGCCAATGACTATGCCACATTTTATTCCAAGGACCCTCAGAATGGGGGCAAGTATACCGCATATGGGCAGTCCATGAACATGGTAGCCAACCGGGTCAGTTGGTTCTATAATCTCCAAGGACCTAGTGTCAATGTGGATACTGCTTGCTCCAGCAGTTTGGTGGCATTAGACATGGCTTGTCAGTCAATTTGGAGCGGTGTGTCGACAGCGGTAAGTTTCTGTCTTACACCATCCAAGCACGTAAGGATGTGGCTCTAATTCCGACCTAACAGGGCCTTGCGGTTGGAGTTAATCTCATCATTGCTCGGGAGTTTACGAACGCCTTGGACAACCTCGGCGTCGTCTCCTCCGACAGTCGATGCTTCACCTTTGACGAACGTGCAAACGGCTACGGGCGCGGAGAAGGAGTTGGCGCTGTTGTGATCAAGCCTGTCCAAGATGCTCTCCGTGACGGTGACACTATCCGAGCAGTCATCCGTGCCACTCAATCAAACCAGGATGGTTGGACTCCTGGAATCACAATGCCGAACCGCGAGGCTCAGCAAACAATCATCGAGAGCTGCTATCGTCGAGCGAACTTGGATCCGGCTGTCACCAGATATTTTGAAACTCATGGTACCGGCACCCCGACGGGAGACCCGATTGAGACGAGAGCGATTGGGAAGTTGTTTCGATCCCTTCGATCACCGGAGGAACCCCTTTACGTGTAAGTGCTCTCATTGGCCGACGAGACGTGGCTGGAACTTCGTGGCTGATGATACGTGGCTGGTGCACGACTATAGTGGATCGGTGAAAACAAACATCGGCCATTTGGAAAGCGGGAGTGGAATCGCTGCGTTGATCAAGGTGGTCTTGTCCTTGGAGAAAGGAGTCATTCCCCCGGTCAGCGAGAACTTCCAAACGGTCAACCCCGCGCTTGATCTCGACTTTTCAAATTTGAAGGTACATACCGGGACCCAGAACCTTTCTCTTCCAGGACACTGACCGTCGCTATACAGATCGTCGCGAAAGCGACCCCTTGGCCACCTGGCCTGCATCGAGCATCAGTCAACTCATTTGGATTCGGTGGCACGAACAGCCATGCCATTTTGGATGACGCAGTCCACTTCTTGGAACAGGAGGGACTGATACCAAACTCCAGTCTCCTCACTCCACCTTCCAGTAATTCGTCTGTCAGCGGGGACCTACCCACTCCCGAGAACGCGCTCGGTGAAAACCATGACATTCAATCATGGAAAGATGCAGATGACGATCCATCACGCCTTCGCATCTTGACTTGGTCATCCGCAGATGAGAATGGCATTTCGCGTTTTGCGGAGCCATGGACCCACTATCTCAGCAACCTATCATCAGTCCCTGAATCAGACGAGTATCTGGCCAACTTGGCTCATACCCTGAATGACCGACGTAGTCGTCTGCCATGGATGACATACGCCCTAGCAGATGAAAAGACTAAGCTGTCCAGTGTTGTGGAAACATGGAGCTCTCCGATCCGACGCGAGGACTCTCATACCGTTGCCTATGTTTTCTCTGGGGTAAGTCGTGCTGATGCCCATATCTCCTTCTCAACAGCAGGAATCTGATCTATTGAAATAGCAAGGTGCACAGTGGCCTGCTATGGGCCGTGAGCTGTTATCTCGGTATTCAGTTTACCGCACTAGCCTCGTCGAAGCTGGCCTCTATCTGCGGAGTCTAGGCTGTGACTGGGATCTATTGAGTGAGCACCCTAAACCAGTCCCACAAAAGGCAAATCTGACCGTCCATTTCTATAGCCGAGCTGCAGAAGGATGCTGCCAATTCATCAGTCAATGATCCCATGCTTGCGCAGCCACTCTGTACAGCAATCCAGGTTGCACTAGTGGACCTTCTCTCGACTTTCGGTCTGAAGGCATCCGCGGTTGTTGGCCATTCTTCCGGTGAAATTGCGGCCGCGTGAGTTTCAAATTCATCACCTGGCTCAGTATTTTCGCAACTAACCGAGTGAACAGATATTGTGCTGGTGCGATTTCCCGTGAATATGCTTGGCGCCTGGCATACTTCCGTGGTCTCTGGGCTGCGAAGGTTGCCACATCCTCATCAATGGACGGGACAATGATGGCAGTGGCTCTGTCATCAGAGCAGATACAACCCTTCTTTGACAGAATAAAAGACCAGGGTCAACCGCTCGGTGTTTCCATAGCTTGTGTCAATGGACCCAAGGCAATCACTGTATCTGGTGCGCGCGGCCAGATCAATCAGATCCATTCGTGGCTGAAAGAAGAAGAGATATTTGCCCGCGTATTGCCCATTCCAGTGGCTTATCATTCCTTCCAGATGGAAGAAATCGCGGTCGCTTACAAGGAAAGTGTGGGAAATGACCAGGGATCCTCAAGTCGGTCCAAGGACTCACCCCATATGGTCTCCTCGGTCACTGGCGAATGGGTCGATTACGATCAACTGAGCAAAGCAGAATACTGGGTGACAAACCTCTTGTCGACTGTGCAATTCCTCAATGCTTTCCGAAAACTTGCTCCGGACTCTTCTAGTCTGTCTACCAAAAAGCTGGACCGCTCTCACCGCAAGCATCTAACGGTTGACATGTTGATTGAGATTGGTCCCCATGCAGCTATGCGCGGCCCTTGCCGCGACATTCTTGGGGAGTTTGGTCGGAAGAACGAGGTGCAATATGTATCACTATTGACGCGGAACACCAACGGAGTTCGAACTGCATTGGACACTCTTGCGCGACTCCATTGTTTGGGATACCCGGTTGATCTCAGTGCGGTCAACTCGGTAACCTCGAGTGGGCCCAAAGAACAGCCCCGAGTCCTGACTGATCTTCCGCCGTATCAATTCAACCATACCAAATCCTACTGGCGGGAAGGCCCAATAAGTAAGGGATTCCGGTTCCGCCGCTTCGGGAGGCAGGAGATGCTTGGATGGCCTGATGACGACTGGAACCCACTACTCCCCAACTGGAACAACACTTTGCAACCTTCAAACCCCATTTGGGCAAGGGATCATCAGGTATTTGCATTTTGACTGATACTTGTTTTCATATATTGACGTTATGCAGATAAACAATGTCATAATCTTGCCTGGCGCAAGCATGCTGAGCATGGCCATCGAGGCAGTCAAGCAACTCACAGATCCCAACCTGAAAATCTCTGGGTTCAACTTCAAAAGGGTGAAGTTCATGTCGGCACTCGTGTTGCCAGCCGACACCCCAGGGATTCAAACCCGCCTCTCGATGCGCCCAGACCGTGATGATGGACCCGAGAATGGCGGTTGGTACGAGTATAGCTTGTTTTCCAACCGAGGTCAATGGAGCAAGCACAGCACAGGTTTCGTTCAAGTTGTGATTGAGAAAGGCAGCGATGCAGAAGTTTCCGTGGAGCACAAAGAAGCCCTCGCTCAGTTCCACCAAATGGAAAAGCGGTCTACTAATGTCCTTGATCGCACGACCTTCTACGAAAGTCTCAAGCTTTCCAACCTGCAATTTGGGCCATCATTCCAGTGCATACTGAAAGCGACGTCTGATCGAGCGAGCAGTCTCGTGACCGAGATTCAAACCTACAAGTTGGAAGGTGCTGAGACTTGGAGCGAGAGGTACACGATTCATCCGACAACGCTTGATGGACTCATGCAAGGAACCCAAGTGCTGCGCTCTGAAGGAGGCCAGAAAGAGATCACCCCTGCAATTCCCACTGGTATCGATCGCGCATGGATATCGAACACCGGCCTCAGCCGTCCAGCGACTTCATCCATCAAGGTTGGCACCGACCTTGAACACGAAGGCCGCCAGCAGTCCAAGTTCAATCTCACGGCAGTTGACCAGGATGCCCAGAATGTTCTCATCGCGATAGAGGGTGTTACCTTCACGATGATTGACTCCCAGCAAAATGCCCAAGATGCTGAGGGAGAGCGAAAAGAGTCAACTTGTCACCAGACTGACTGGAAGCCCGATCTTGGACTTCTGTCCAAGACTGAAACCCTTCAGTTGTTCCAGAAGAGTATTCCAGAGGGTTCCTCTCAGGGTTTGAAATACATGAACATCGACCTGGTGATCACAGGGTTTATCCTTCGCGCAGTGCACATGATCAACCAAAAGGGAGAGCTGAGCAATCTCTCACCGGGTGTACAGTCTCACATAAGATGGCTGAAGGGTCAGATGCAGATGGTGGTGGATGGAAAATCGCCATTCAGCTCCACTTACTGGCAAGCGCAAATCCGAGATGACACTGCTTTTAATGAGCTTTGCGATTCTGTTCACAGTGCTGATCTGCAGGGAAAGCACCTTGTCACCGTCGGAAGAAATCTCTTGAGTCACGCACAAGATGGATTCTCCCAATCACTCTCCGATGTTCTGAACGTTGAACTTCAGAAGGATTCCTACAAAGAAATGGTGAGATTATATCCGTTCAGGGTTTCCGTATCGAAGATCCTTCCGTTAACATGTTGATAGTGGGAGCAAGCTGCTGGAATTCAGCGATGGAAAGCGTACATTGACGCGTTGGGGCACAAACATCCGGACATGAATATACTTGAGATTGATGGAGGCATTGCTTCCACGTCTGATCTCATTGTGGACACTCTCACAACTCAGGGCACTGAAGGCCGTACCATTCCTCGCTTCCAAAACTTCCAAATTTGCAACAGCAGCGAGAAACGTTTGTCTGATGTTCAGCAGCGGATCGGTGGTTCCATTCCGAGAGTCTCTTTCAATGTCTGGGACATGGAGGGCGATGCTGGATCTTTTGTTTCAGCGTCGCCTAAATTTGATCTTATCATTGTGTGCTTGGTATGAACCGATGAAAATCTCTCCAGAGTGACATGTCATATGATGCTAACTCTACAGGCTTTCCACTCTGTCAAATCAATCGAAAGGTGTTTGAAGGAGATTCGCAGCATGCTGCAAGAGTAAGTTTTCTTTCACTACAATTGTGTTTAAGGAGTTGGTTGGCTAATCTTACACACTCAGTGACGGAGAGCTGGTTGTTATCGACATGACAAATCCCAACTCAACCCGCAGTACATTCGTTCACGGTCTTGACGAGAGATGGTGGATAAGTAAGTGCCCACTCCTCCGCCCCCTATCCCCTCAAACTAACCAACCTTTGGTAGATACTGAGCCATACCGGAAAGATGGGCACTCTGTTGATGAGTCTACCTGGGACGAAGTCCTTCGCCAATCGGGATTTTCGGGCTCAGAGCTCGTTTTCAGGGACCACGACCAAAGCACATCTCACGAAGTCAGCGTGATAGTGTCCCATGTTAGCCAAGAAACGACCAACGAGGCTTCCGACCAAAAGCCCCCCGTTGCCCTGCTTTGGAACCCAGACGGACCAAATCAGAGAACTGTTCGCGAGCAGTTAGACTCCCAGCTAGCATCTCTAGCAAGCAATGTGGATCACTGGACGATTGACCAGGACATCCCAAAACCCTTGCCAAATGATCTCATTTGCGTCGTTTTGTTGGAGTTGGATAACGTGGTCGTGGCTGACATGAACGCCTCGGTATTCCATATGCTTCAAAACCTAGTTCTCAACTGTCACAGGATCATATGGGTTACCTCCGATGCGAGCCGCAAATCTTCCCCCTTTTTCGGGGCTGTTGATGGACTGTTCCGCGTCCTGAATTCAGAAGATAGTCGAGGAGTTTTTACTACCCTGTCGCTTGACGGCATAGAGCTCAAGACAGATCTTATCACCCGTGTTGCTCAATCCCTGGTTACCGGCACAGGTCACGAAACAGAATACAAAGAGCGGTCTGGAGTTCTACACATCCCGCGCATTGTCGAAGCTCCCCATTTGTCCAGCTCTGTTACCCACCTTCAAGCATCCAGATCTCGCGTTCGCCAACCTTGGAACTCAGGGCCTGCCTTGAGACTACATGTTGGTCAAGGTGGAATGCTCGATGATCTTCACTTCATTGAAGACAAGTCTCGGGGCTCCGAATTGCCTCCCGACAAGATCGAGGTCAAAGTCAAAGCGGTCGGGGCTAATTTCCGCGACATTCTGGTCTTGCTTGGACGAATGGATTCGACAACCGTAGGCTTTGAATGCGCCGGTGTGGTGACAAGAGTCGGCGCAAACTGCACAGGGTTCCAGATAGGAGACCATGTTGCTGGCTGCGATTTCGACACCTACAGCAGCTACGTGCGTTTCCACAGTGCAGCTGCTGTGAAGCTTCCTACGGGTATGTCTTTTGCTGAAGCCGCAGCCATCCCAACAAACTTCGTCACTGCGTGGTATGCGTTCTCCATGGTCGCCAATGTGCAGCCTGGAGATACTGTATTGGTTCACTCTGGAGCGGGTGGAACAGGACAGGCGGCGATTCAGATTGCCCAATACTTGGGTGCCACCGTCATTGCCACTGTTGGAAACGCCCAGAAGAGAGCTTTCCTGAAGGAAAGATACGGAATTCCGGAATCTCACATCTTCTCCAGTCGAGATACTAAGTTTGCTGCTGGAATCCGCCGACTGACTAATGGTGCGGGCGTTGACGTCGTGCTCAACTCCCTCTCTGGCGATGGTCTTTTCGCATCATGGGAATGTATCGCCCCCTATGGCCACTTCGTCGAGATGGGGAAGCGAGATATTCTCGGACACAGTGGTCTGGATATGTATCACTTCGCTCGAAATGTTAGTTTCACTGCAATTGATCTTGCCATGGTGACAGCAGAAAGACCGCAGATCATTGGCAAGGCACTTCGCGCTGTGATGCCCCTTATGTCCGAGGGTATTCTTCATGTCTCCAGCCCCCACAAAGTCTATGGAATTGGTGAATTGGAGACAGGATTGAGAGCATTGCAAGGCGGACAAAGTTCCGGCAAGGTCGTGTTCGAGATGCGAGAGCACGATGTTATCAATGTATCTTATCCCTACCTGCCTCTCTTTTGATAATTTGCTAATGTCGTGATAAGGCTCTCATCCCACCACAGAATACTCAAAGTTTCGATCCGAACGCTACTTACATTCTTGCTGGAGGTCTCGGAGGCTTGGGTCGCAACATCGCCCGGTGGATGATATCGCGTGGCGCGAAGAATCTGTTGCTGTTGTCTCGATCTGGCGGTGCCCAAAGCGAGGATACGTTGTCTTTCATCAGTGAGTTGTCGAGCGACAATGTCAAGGTTCTAGCTCCCGCGTGCGATATTTCCGATCGCTCGATGTTGGAGGCTGTTCTTGGAGATGTCTCTTCCTGCATGCCTCCAATCAAGGGCTGCATCCAAGCCACAATGGTGCTCCAGGTACGGTGCTCTCGTTCTTGTTTGAGTAACAACTAACCAATATAATTTCAGGACTCAATGTTTGAGCAAATGGAGTATACTCAATGGAGTAAAGCCACCGCGGCTAAGATTTCCGGTACTTGGAATCTGCACCAACTTCTTCCCTCCGGCCTCGACTCCTTCATCATGATCTCGTCCATCTCGAGTATCATGGGTAACCGAGGGCAAGCAAATTATGCGGCCGCGAACAGCTTCATGGATGCACTCGCCCACTACCGAACAGCAAACGGCGAGCGCGGCACGTCTCTCAACATGGGCTTCTTCCTCTCTGCTGGCGCTGTTGCGCAGTCATCATCATTGAAAAACCACTTCGCGACGAATCTGCCTTTCGTTCCTGTTACTGAGGCAGAGCTTCACGCTCTGTTGTCGATCTATTGCAATACATCAGCTGGTCAGCCAAACCAAGAGGATTGCCAAGCGATTCTCGGATTGAAGACAAACCAAGAAGTCTACAACCGCAACCCAGACGCTGCGTACTGGCTCCAGAAGCCTGCTTTCAGACGGATTCTAGCGGCTGACCATGCGGGTGAATCTGAAGGAGATTCGGATGGTGCTGCTGGTGCAGGGAAGAGTATCTCGTCTGCGGACTCACTTGAGGCAATTGATGCGGCGATGATGGAATTGCTGGTTGCCAAGCTTTCCAAAGCTTTGAGCATTAACAAGGAAGAGTTTGTTGGCAAGAAGCCTATGCACAGCTACGGTATTGATTCTCTTGTTGCGGTGGAGCTCCGCAACTGGTTTTCGAAGGAGCTAAATGTCGACATCGCAATCTTTGATATGCTTGGAGGAGCCACGATTTCTGCGGTTGTTCGCCTGGCGGCTGAGAAGATATTTGCCAAACGCGCAGAGAGCGGTGTCAAGGCGTGAGATCTCAATGTTGTACTTATCTACATGCATTGCCCAAAGAACCTGAAATTGTTTCCGAAAACGCCAGGTCATATCATACTCAGTACATGGTGCTGTCGCGCGTAGTGTTTCTGTGACGTCACCTTTTCGGATGTCCCGACAACTAGGCGTAGTGGAGACAACCTTCCAAGGTCCATGGTCCATCAACCCGCTCTCCGATAGATCTTGCCGTAGCGCCTCGGGGGCTTTTGCTCCCTTCACTCCCTACAACGTGGAGGGCCTTCTGAAACCCGGTCGCATCAACTGCAAAGCCTTATGTTGTTAGCTCTGTGTCGAACGATCACAATGCTGAATGGTGTAATGAATTGCAGGTAAGGTTACTTGTACACGTCAACAAACCCTTGTCGCCATCACTGCACTGCAGCTCTCATGTACATAGAAGGCTTAATGCTTGAACGACTCACGAGACCTCGATGAACAACCTTCGGATGATTTACAAGGCCGGGTATAAATCAAGAATGACACAGGTGGTTTTTATTGTAACCAACGTTGATCAAACTTCTATTTTCAACCCAGAAGCAGAAACCAAGCCCATGAATAACGAAGAACAGCGATACGAGTCTCCGTGTTCTTTTGATTTTTTTTCTTTTACCCCGCTCCGTGCCAGTTTCTAGTATTTCTGATCTCTTACGGAACACCATATGGATCCTAAGCTTGCTTTGTCAGATACTCTTTTTCTCTTGATTTTATCCATTTTTCTCAAAACTTCAATTTCAAAAGCATGTCGCTTCCTGGAGACTTGCAACAAGCCTCAGTTATCGCTTCTTGTTCACACCCGTTACCTGGCAAGGTTATTAGCCAATACGGCAAACGAGTCATCAAAATCTCTGATGATCAAGTCGTTAAATATGGCCTAGATGTGACAAAAGAAGAGTTTGAAAATCAAAGGATAGCGTACGAACTTGTGGACAGTCGCATAGTTCGTATCCCGCGTGTGTATGATTTCTTTCTTGACGAGCGTGGCTGGGGCTATATTGTGATGGAGTTTATGAAAGGCAAGGTTATTGATCCTTTGGATGACGTGAGTTTGATACAGAGGATTGCAAAAGTGCTCAATCATTTTGCAACTTTGCGATATGATATCCCGGGGACCATTTATGGCGGTCCATGTCGTGGTCTTCTATTCCCTGAATTCGAAGAATTGGTCTTTAACAGCCTTGATCAGATGGAGGAGTGGTTCAATAGCCGACTGTTCGCGCATAACCCGACTTTGAATTTGCAAGGTTCCGAAGTCGTGCTCTGTCATCTCGACATTGCACCCCGAAACATCATATGGCTGGAAGACGGCTCTCTGTGCCTTATCGACTGGGCATCTGCGGGTTTCTATCCAAGGTTGTTCGAATTCAGCATGCAATGGATACTTGATGGAAAAGATGGTGACTTCAATTCCAATCTCCTGGAATTGGTGGAGCCTTTATCAGATCACGAAATGGCCCAGAAAGAGGCCTTCATATGTGCATGGGGTAACATCCAAAGACATCCCTTGTAAGTCTCGCGGGATATACCAGGTGCTCCTGGGTCAGTGCTGATCTGTTCTCAGCCGCAACAAAACGTCAGCCTCACCCCGAGGATTTTCCAGACGTTCTACCGAGCTTCCTCCCGTACCGGCTCCTCCTATGCCAGATTATCCTCCTGAATGGTACGAAAAGGCTGGACGTGAATATCCTCTACCACCTAGCCCCACATGTACCGACTCTTCAAGCTCGGTTCCAGAAGATAGGAATTAAGAACAGACCTGGGGAGTTACTAAAGTACCAAACGAGCCACCCAGCCAGTATGAGCATGGACGAAACAAGGTCTTGATGATGCTTGGCTTGGTGGATAACTCCATGAAAGGTAGTCATAACGTGTCAGTACTTGTCTCCAACCAATTTTGCAAACACAAATCTAGGATTCTCTAAATATTTTTCGGTATTCAAGAATGCCCGGAAGTGTGATACTGGTTCATTGATTCGTTGATTCATATCTCAGTCTAGGCTAAGATCATCACATATGCAAGCGTCTGTCAAACTAAGGAACAAAAATCAGCTGCTTGACTATTGAGACACTAAGCCGAAGAAGAGATTGCGGGGAGGGAGGGGGGGGCATGAGCGACGGCAGGGAGAGAGACCAGGCTAGCATTTGAACTCCACGTTCCTTCTTCTCTATCCCACCAATGTCTAAGCATTGGCTCTCAACAGTGGCTCAATCAGCCTCTGAAAATTCCCACTCCCAACAACTTGGGTGGTGCCAGATGAATCAGGTTGCAATTCGGAGAACTCATTCAGCATCAGCCCGTCAATAAGAGGCATCAATCCCGCGAATATGGATCTGGAGGAATCAAAGCATTTGTGCGGGGGACACGGAAGACGTCCATGTGTCGCATTGATCACGCACGAATTGCACCAAACTGGAGGACTGAATGCCATCATACCTCGCACAAGGGAATCGTAGTCCGAATCTCTGAAATGAGTCTCATCATTCGGCAAAGGCATTTTGCAGGATTCCATCTGCTTCGAGATAGATCCATACATCATGGCCTGGCAGGTCCAACAACAGCCCCGAGTGCCTCTCAGAAAGACGTCATGTACTTCGTGAACACGGGTAATTGCGTTTGAGATGGCCTCTTCTCTGCGTTTGTTGATTGTGCCTACATTGTGTTAGAATCCGACCATCCGCGATGATTCGACTTTTCTCACCCATGATCTCTCCCGGAATAGGAAGTCCCAAAGTATCGATCAAATCTCTACCTTTCGACATGGCTATCGAAGTTGATTGGAGGAACTCGATGGGGAGTTGGAAAAACCAAGCAACCCATATCCATAACATCAAATCCCGGGAAACGTCCATGGGTATTCTCTCTTGGAGATTTGCGACCCACATATCCCCCAAATGATGCAAAGCTTCTTTGCAATCGTAGTAGTTTGCTATTACGGTGACCTTGGCGAGCATCTCCAGGGTCAGCACGTTGGGGATGAGATAATTCTGCCCATGCATAGCTCGAAGTATGATCATGAACGCATGGATATCCCAGTTTGTCGCGGTGATTTCAACTGAGCCTTCTCTGAAGAAGCTGATGCTTTCTTTCCAGTTACCAGTCAGGATTCTCTGGAAGTATGGGGAGCAAAATGTCAAATGCTTGGCAGACACTTGAATGCGTATGCACTTTTGCGCCTCCGCCTTTGAAGCATTGTCGTCGGACATGGCCGCGTCGTCAGGGTAGGCTTCGGAATGAGTCTCTTCACTATCGGTGTCCGCACCGTGGGAGTCTTCGGCATCAAGTGCCTGCACATTTGGACCATTCTCATGGGACATGGTTGTTTCGGCGGGGTGGGCTTCGTCAAGAGTGTGTTCGCCGTCGGTGTGTTCGGCATAAAACTCTTCGGCGTCGGAATCCCCAACGTCGGACTCTTCATTTGTCAGAGACAACTCGGGACTGGACTGCATGGCGTCATGTTGCTGGTCATCAGTGTCCCAGATAATGGCTCCACTTCCAGACGGCTCCGCAATCGGACTGCTTGAGTTGTACAGCAATATGATCACATTCCCGTCGGGATCAATAACATGAGTCAATGAATCCATAATTGAAGGTAGGTGGTTGCAAAATTGAAGTATTCGCTTGAGATGTGTCAAGGATCATTGACAGTGTAGGAGCAGGACTTAGATGCAGCTGGAGCCTCCAAGGATGTAAAGTGAAAGAGAGATGAGAGAATGGAGAGAGTAAGTAAGAAGAGAGGGCAATGAGGGCAAAAAGTGAGAAGTGATATCAAGCAAGCAAGGTCACCTGATGAGAAGCAAACGATCAAACAACCCAGGAAGCATGGACATTAAGCTTAGCAAAAGGTTTCCTGATTACGCTTGTCATGTGAGCTAAGAGACTCAACATCATTTTGCGGTCAAATTATGATGACATTTGAGTCAGCCTTGGAATATGATGCCCGTCTTGAAGTCATCAGGGTTGTCAGTTGTTGACCTACATGGAAATCCACGGGTGCTCGGTTGGGTGCTTCTCTGTACGGGGTATAGTATGATATAGTATAGTATAGTATTGATTTGATTGAAATCCTTCCGTAAGGAGTATGGGGTCCGATTTCTCGGGGTTTGGGGCTCCCATGGGAACTTGACAGGCACACTACCTTGGAATTCACAACCTCGGGAACCCTTTGAGCTTCACCTATATTGCGACAAACCAAGAAGCAAGAAGCAGGCTAAGAGGGAGCAGAAGTTCAAAAACGATAGTCTCTGGTAGACGGGTTTCTGGGGCATTAAATACCCCAAAACTGGACGCGCAAACGAGAAGCAAGCGCGACCGCGCAAACGCACAACGGGCGTCGTTGCACGAAGAAGTGGCGATTGCTTGCTCAACAAATCCGTCTCTTATGTAGTCAAGCTTTGGAGCTATTTTTCCGAAAAGCTCAATGTCAATTTCGCATTCTTTGATGCTCGGGGGGAGCTGTCACCTCGGCTGTGGCTTGCCTAGTGGCCGAGAAAGTACGGAGTACTCCGTACGGAGTAGTTCTGCACGCATCGATCGAACTGAACAGGTCATTTTTTACCCAGAGTCTTGTGGCTGAGCGCTTTCATGACATCACTGTGGTGGGCATCAACAGGCAAGGCAACAAAATTATTTGTGGCGGTGCTATGTTTGCTTTTGGCGATGCGCTGTCGCGGCTGAAAGCTGAGCCTGTGGAGACGTCCCTGAAAGGCCAATCTACCCGCCCCTGATTGATCTTATCTCCTGGAAATCAACTGTCCCTAACATTCTCTAAGGTATGCCACTTCCACAATTGCCTCTGAATTGGTGTTGACAGTAATTTGACAAAGGCTGCCGAATCTCAATGAAACCTCACGATAGAACCGGCTTTACGATCGCGATCATATGCGCCCTGACTTTGGAAGGCGACGCCGTCGAGGTGATTTTCGACGACATATACGATGAACCGGGCCGAGGGTATGGAAAGCAACCTGGTGACACGAACGCATACGTTACAGGTAGAATTGGCCAACACAATGTTGTTCTGTGCTACATGCCATCCATGGGTCGGAGCTCGGCTGCAAGCGTAGCCTCCAACCTCCGATTCAGTTACACGGAAATCAAGATGGCTCTGGTTGTTGGCATCTGCGGAGGAGCGCCTTTTCCTTCTGGCAATTCGAAAATCTTTCTCGGTGACGTGATTATCAGCGACTCAGTGATTCAATATGACTTTGGGAGACAATACCCGGGCGGATTCCAACGCAAAACTGGCGTCAAAGAGATCCTCGGTCGTCCTAACCGAGAAATAAGGGGCCTCGCCAACATGATGGGGTCTCTTAGGACGCGTCAAAATATGGAAAATGATATCTCCAACTATCTGTCTGCGTTTAGACAGCCGAAGCTACGCTGGCACCACCCGACATCAGAAGATATACTCTTCGACTCTTCCTTCGCCCACAAGCATCGATTTGAAACTCCATCTTATGACTGCAGGTGCTTCAGCGAGGACCGACCAAATGAAATTTGCAAAGAAGCATCGGAGATGTCTTGTGACCAACTTGCCTGTGATCACCGTCACGTCATTCGCCGTAGGAAAAGCAGCGATGATTCCGGCGTATCCATCCATATCGGGACTGTTGCGTCAGCGGACACTGTGATGAAATCAGGCGAGGATCGTGATAGGCTTGTGCGCGAGGAGCGGGTTCTTGGGTTCGAAATGGAGGGTGCTGGAGTGTGGGATAATATTCCATGTGTCGTGATCAAAGGAGTCTGCGATTATGCGGATAGCCACAAGAGCAAAGACTGGCAGCATTATGCTGCAGCCACTGGAGCCTGTGCTGCTAAATCGTTTATCTCAAGGCTGCCTCCACCACCGAGAGAAGGTTCGTGAGTAGTTCATGACATTCGTCTATCGATCGAGCTACTGAGAATTTGTTTCTCCTCTTCCAGAACTAGCTGGTGATTCCAATATCCCTCCCGTCCGATTCTTCGTTGGCAGAGAAGTTGAACTTGATATGATATGCGAAAGACTGTTCAGTGACAATTCCTTTGACCACACAATTGTTGTACAGGGATTAGCTGGAATCGGGAAATCACAGCTCGTTGCCACATACGCCAGAAATTCCCTTCTCACCTCCACTTACTCGGCGGTCTTTTGGCTCGATGCATCGTCCCCACTGCATCTAGCTTCTAGTTTCTCTAAAGTCAGAGAGAGAATAGACAACAATGATCATAATGCAGGACCGGTGAAGCAAATTGAAGAAGGCCTTTTGTCAGTGAGGCAGCTCTATGAGCGTTTCAAAAATAAGGGCCAGTCCACAGAGGCTTGGAGAGCTTGTGCAAACAGTGGAGACGTCCAGGCTGTGAAGCGTTGGCTTGCCAAAAAGCGCAACAATAAATGGCTGATAGTCTTCGACAACTACCAGCCATCGACAAGTTCTAACGATGATGGAGAGGTCACATTGATCGAAAGATTCTTCCCCAAAGAAAAACAAGGACATGTGATTATCACATCGCGCTTCTCACCTCTCGTGGGACACACGATTATTCTGGGGAAAATCAAATGTCCCCATGAAGCCTTGGATATTTTTTGCAGAGCTTCCGTGCGAGAGGAGATTCGAAAAGGTACCATCTCATGATTGATTCACTATATGCTGATCTGAAAGCTAAACAGCGAGCGCAGATTCTAATGCCCCTAAATTGGTTGAAGCAATGGACGGATTACCCTTGGCTTTAGTTGCAGCTGGCACTTATATGTCGAACATTGCAATCGACTGTGGAGAATATCTCCAACGACACAAAGAAAGCTGGCAAGCTTTACAGCAGAGAACGCCTCAAGTGCCATACTACAATGGAAACGTGTCGTCCTGTTGGGCCCTCACATTTAAGGAGTTAACAGAGGATAAGGACGTGCTCTGTGCTTTGGTGTGCTGGGCCTTGCTGGATAGCCAAGATGTCTGGTTTGAACTCCTTGACCCCGACGGGCTCAGCTGGCCGAGAGACAATGTGACGGGTTTTGATACGGCAACGAGATTGCTTTTCCAGTACGGGATCATTGAGCTTGGTACTGATCCCGGCGATGAACACATTGGCTCTCGTGGATACAATATGCAGAGATCCTTCCACGCCTGGCTGCAGACTCGATATTGTGATCTGGTTCGTTACAAGTCGATGGGAGTTATAGCTGTTTCAGCTTTGACAATATCGTCTTGCAATCTGATCAAATCCGGGGAGTATCACAAGGGGCTGCTACGACTTCTACCGCATGCGAGTGTGTGTTCGGATCTGATTATCAGAGAGCGAGTGCACGCTAGTGTGGGAAGTATCATACACCTTGCGACTTTATTTGAGTATGCAGGCTATGGCAGGTCTCGGAATTTTAGCCGCTACCTTGCTATGATGCAAATGGACAGTCCAACAAAAGTTCATCTCAAAACCTCGGAAATGCTCTTGCAACATACTCTCCGCAAGATAGAGCAGGGCTTTGCGCTTGGTCCTGAATCAGATGAAGATGATAACATACCACATCGACACAATGCCTACCGCTCAAAGGTGGAAGCACTCAATAGCTTGCGGAGGGTTTATTTGTACATGTCTGAATTCTCAAAAGTTCGAGGCATAACGTCGCAGCTTTTTACGATACATAGCGACGCAGACAACGAGACAGAAGCTCGGTTGGAGCAAGAGGGCCTGAGAAATCAACACTCAGCCGAAAACATGGTTCGGATCTATCTTTGGACATCGTTCACGATGGGAGCTTTGGCACTTCTTTACGTGATCCGATGCATACTATTCCTGGAGGACGGCATCATCTTCGTTTGGACTTCGGTCTTAGGCTTATGTGGCTGGGCTTCCTGGACGGTCTTCATGACTACTCGGAGATATCGACGAAGGGCACTTGCTGCTTTAGTGCTTTCTATGGTGGTCATGTGCTATAAGTTTAGGAAATTTGGTCTGCTCGGGATTCTTGGGGCGGCGCTTCCATTTTTACCCATGTTGATTTCTACTATTCCTGTTTTGTGCTACGAGACCCTCCCACCCAGAAGGGGCTGATTGAGTTCATACAGAGATAACACCGGCATGCGAGAATCTGAAATCTGAAATGGGCGAAAGTCGACGAGGGGTGTGGTCCGAAGGCTACTTCCAGCAATGGCTTGTCTCTTCGCATTAACATGCATCTCCTCTCTCTGTGCCTTACCACATTGACTTTGAGAATGCTGGCATCCTCGGTTATTTTTCAAGCACTGCAACGAATCAGCTCCAGTCTAGATGGATGGCATCTACCTTGAGACAAGGTTGTCTTCCGTCGCAGCAAGTTTGAGGGGATTCGCTGGCGACCGTTGGTAGACGATTCACAGTGTGCCAAATAAATAGGATGGCCACCAGAGACAGGCAACTTTGAGTTTCGAGTCGTCATGTTTAATTCCCCATGCGGCGGTTCCCCAATCGGCTGGCGGATGGGAAGCTTAGATCATCAACTCAAACCCAACCTCATCTTCATTTCTCGCCACTATCGTCTCGACAGAAGCTGAGCGGGCCCGGTCTTTGATCTCGGTCTTTGAAATAAGGTGGGGCTTTCCAATCTCAAGCATCCGGATTTCGCTCCGCAATTGCATGTTTGCCCCGCAATTGCATGTTTGTCAGACTGTCGGTGTTTGTTTCAATCGTGTGTCATATCTGCCAGAGCATCTTACTGCCCGAGGCTATATAGTTCCCAGCGCGAGGATTCGTCCGGTTATTTAAATTGCATATCTGTCAATCTTTTCGACCTACATCAAGCGCCCAAACCCTCGCCATGCCTGCTGAAACCGTACGCGCCGTGCCAGCCGGCGATGATTACTACAACCTGGGCGAGTTTGGTCACAAGATCACGACATCTAGTGCCGATGCTCAGGTCTGGTTCAATCGAGGTTTGATCTGGGCATATTCTTTCAATCACATGGAAGGTGCCTATTGTTTCGAGCAGGCCATCGCACACGACCCCGCATGCGCGATGGCGTACTGGGGCCTTGCATACGCTGTCGGTCCCAACTACAATAAACCTTGGGAAAGTTTTGACCTGGGCGATCTCCATGCTTCAGTGAAGCGGGGCTATAATGCATCTCGGGAGGCAAAGAAATATGCCGCCAACGCCACCCCGCTCGAGCAAGCCCTCGTCGAGGCGATCCAATTTCGATTCTTGACTGATCAGCCCGCCAAAGATTACCCTGCGCTTAACAAAAATTATGCGGACGCTATGAAGGTTGCATACGACCAATTCGGACATGATCTGGATGTTGCTACTATATACGCTGATTCTTTGATGAACATGAGTCCATGGGCCCTATGGGATTTGTTTACAAGAAAGGCAAACCCCGAAGCCCCAACAATGGAAGTACAAAGGGTTTTGGAACGCGCATTATCGCAGGTTGATAATGGCGCTAACCGCAATCCAGGATTGCTTCACTTGTATATTCATTTCATTGAAATGTCGCCTAGTCCAGAACTTGGAATCAATGCTGCAGATCATTTGCGTGATCTGGTTCCTGATGCAGGTCATGTCCGCCATATGCCAACCCACTTGGACATTTTGATTGGCGATTGGCGGCGATCCATTGCATCAAACTACCAGTCGACATTGGCAGACGACAAGTATTTCCGCAAATCGGGTGCCAAGAACTTCTATACATTCTACCGTATGCATGACTACCACTCCCTTGTCTACGCTGCTATGTTCGCCGGCCAGTCGAAGGTCGCCCTCGATGCAGTCACCCGCATGGAATTGACAGTACCGGAAGACGTGCTCCGCATTCCATCTCCTCCAATGGCGGACTGGCTTGAACAATTCATGTCAATTCGCGTGCACGTTCTGGTACGCTTCGGTATGTGGGAGGAGTTGAAGCAGATGGAGCTTCCAGAAGATAAGACACTGTACGCGGCTACAACGGCTGCGATCCACTACGGCAGGGGAGTCGCATTCGCAGCAACCAGTGACGTGGCTTCTGCGAGGCAAGAGCAAAGTTCTTTCCTCGAGGCTTGGTCCAAGGTCCCTGAGACACGGCGGGCATATAATGGAACGATGGTCGACGTGTTCAAAGTCGCTGAGAAAATGCTTGAAGGCGAGATTGAATATCGCTGCGGCAACTTTGACCAAGCATTTGAGGCTCTACGTGTTGCCATTGATATTGAAGATAGATTGCCCTACAGTGAGCCCTGGTCTTGGATGCAACCAGTGCGTCATGCATACGCCGCACTGCTGATGGAGCAGGGCCACCTTGAAGAGGCTGCAAAGTCATATCGAGCCGATTTAGGTCTTGACAACTCTGTCATCCGCCCTAGGCGTCATCCCAACAATGTTTGGTCGCTCCAGGGTTATCATGAGTGTCTGATTCGATTGGGGAGACTGGATGAAGCTGCTGTGATTGAGCCCTCGGCAAAGTTAGCTCTTGCGGTCGCTGATATCCCGATCAAAGCATCTTGCTTCTGCCGGCTGGATACATCCGATGCGCCGCAGATTTTTGAAGATCGTTCTATTCGTGGCAAGTGCTGCTGAATATGAAGCTTTGCAACAAGTAATTTGACTATGATGTCTGTATCTATTGCCACAGTGCTTGTTTTGATGTGAACCTTTGATCCAGACAATTCATGTACATTCTAGAGTGCTCACGTATTCTGAAAAAGCATCCTTACTTGTATGAGCATTCAGATAGTTTTCTGCTGTATTGTTAAATTTGTGCATTGGTTTATCTTGACCAGCATAGAAACGAGGCATGTTTGATGTGGAAGATTACATCGTTAGGATTATCCTAATTCTAAGAACAAACGATATTTCGAGGTCTTGCATTTGATTTGCACCTCTCAACCAGTTGGTTTTGGGCGTTATGGAGGTCTCATAGACTACACCCTAGATCTTCATTTCTTTACCCCTGCCTGTTTTCTGTCTGGGCTGGCCAAACTAGACCAGGGTTTTTGGTTCGTTTATGTTCTTTCTCTTCTCATCATTCTACCATCCTTTTTATGGGGTTTGTTTAAGTGTGGGGCATACTACTCCGTACTTGGAACACGCCGGATGCCCGCTCGGTTGTCGCGGATCATGAGATCAGTCAACGCGGACTTTCAGCTCGGTCAACGCGGTTGTCTGACTCGGTTGTCTCGGACTAGCACTTCGGTATTTGCGAACTTCCGACTTCCGACAATACCGATTATCCACTTCAGTAAACACCCCTGCTTGAATTAGGTGATTGCAGCATTTCTTCAAAAGCCTTCAATGAATTTTCCAGTGCTCAAAGCTCCCTTTTTAGGAGAGCATCAAATCGCTGAAGATGGTTTCGGTGATTGAAACTCGCAGCAACCGCCCGTGTTCCCATTTTTGTGAAGGGATCGCCGGGTTTGTTTTCGGTTTCTTCGAAGCCCAGAGCGACACTGGAAGCCAGTTCAAAGGCTGAACTACACAGGCTAGGCCGCTTGGTCGGAGTGGCTTTAAAGTTCTTCAGGGAACGTCGTAGCTCGACCTATGTAATGTCCCCACTCACTCGCTCTACATCAAAATTTCAATCCCCGATGAAGAGGCCGAAAAATGCAACGGTACCAAAATTGACAGCACAGAGCCTGTCAAAAGAAAGCCCGGCAATGGGACTTCTTTGGCGCATAGAATAATCGACTTTGTTTAGTCGCTGAAGATTTCTCGGAGCACAGCTTGTGTTTCGTCAGTTGGAATCTATTCCAGATTTGATGTCGTGGGCTTCATAGCATTGCCTTTGACCTGTTCGACCTGGCACTGACATCGGTCTGACTCTAGAGGTCACCTGCTACATCTTGGAACCCTTTGCTTATCCCACTCTGATCAGTGGGAAATTGAAATGGGCACATTGAGTCCTGCATGTCTAAGTGACAAGTTCCAAACCGCATCACGCTCCACCAAATCCAAGTCGGTCGTTCTCTCGAGCAATGAGACTTCACCGAATCTCACGGAGCATCCAGTGGAGTCTTTCGATGCGTCAATACCCCCTGTGGATCCGACAAATAACCCTCCGGATGGAGGATACGGATGGGTCTGCGTCGTTGCCGCCGCGGTGATGAATGCGCATTCCTGGGGTTTCAACTCAGCCTATGGCGTCTTTCTTGCCTACTACCTCAGTCATCAAACATTTGACGGGGCCTCGAGATTGGAATATGCATTTGTGGGCTCTTTGAGCTTGACAGTAATGTTCCTTGTTTCTCCAATCGCGACAATCTCCACGCTCAGGTACGGGATCCGAAAAACGATGTTCGTCGGTGTCATGTTTGAGACCGCTAGTTTCATTTGCGCTAGCTTCGCTTCCAAACTCTGGCACCTCTTCATCACCCAGGGTTTGATGTTCGGTTTGGGGATGGGCTTGATCTACATTCCAGTAGCCTCTGTGGTTCCGCAGTGGTTCACTTCGAAACGATCGCTCGCTAGTGGCGTGTCTCTTTCCGGGGCCGGCCTGGGAGGTCTCGTTTACTCCTTGGTGGCTGAAGCGATGATTGCTAGCATCGGCCTGGGCTGGGCTTTTAGGGTTCTTGGACTTCTTGCATTCTGTGTCAATACCACTTGTGTTCTCTTGATCAAGGATCGGGGACAGAAAACTAAAGCCCGAAAGGTGACCATGCGAGTTGATCTATTCGAGAAAACAGACTTTGACCTCCTGGTTGGGTATTCCTTCTTCACGGTCTTAGGATACTTCATCTTGATCTACAGCCTTGCCAACTATGGGGTTGAAATTGGCCTCACATCCTCCCAAGCCTCACTTGTCAGCGGTATCTTCAACTTGGGTCAAGCAATTGGACGACCTCTCATTGGTTATTTCAGTGACACCGTTGGCCGCATCAAGATGGCTGGCATCGCAACTTTTGCTGCTGGGGTCATAGGATTGGCTGTCTGGGTCAATGCTAAGAGTTACGGCCTTTTGATGTTCTTCGCTGTTGCTGAAGGTCTCGTCGCAGGCAATTTCTGGCCTTTGATTGCACCATTGGTTGCTGAGGTACTTGGGTTGGGACAAGTATCACATGGCATGAACCTCATCTGGTTAAGCATCGTTGTACCTTCGACATTCTCCGAGCCAATTGCGTTGGGCATAACTAGTGCGACTGGGAAGTATCTCGGCGCTCAGTTGTTCGTGGGCTTTATGTATATTGCAGCCTCCGGGTTTCTCGCCTTGCTCTGGCTGCGATGCCGCAAGCAGGGAAAATAACCATTCTGACTTGTTGAAAATATGTCAAGGTTTAATGAACCCATCTACTCCGTATTACGACCTCTATTAGGACCAGTACTTAGCGTCCATATTCAAGGAGAATCCCCTAGTTGAGGCTGGAGACAGTATTTCCCTATCTCCAGGCCTAGTATGATAGGTTCACATATTCCATCTTGATCTCGTCAGGGTAATATTTGTCACTACCTTGAATAAGTTCGAGAAACAGTGACTAAATATTTTGTTACTAATTTGGGATTTATACTCCCCGCAATTACTTGTCAGTACGTAATATTCGAAATAACTTACAGCTGTCCAGCATATTAGATTACAGAACGCGTTTTGCATTGTACCAAATCACACCGCCTCCGACTTCGGCAGAGAGGGGCATTTTGACTCAGAAAAGGTTCGCCGCCCGCAATCTTGCGCATTGAAAACACCATTCCTGCTTGGGCTTTTTTGTTGCTTCATTACAATCATGGTCACTGACTCACAACGATACCGCTCTACCCGAGGTGGAGAGGAGGGCCTCAGCTTCAGCGATGTTGTCCTGAAGGGCCTCGCCGCAGATGGTGGTCTGTTCCTCCCGCACGCTGTGCCAAAGGCCGATTGGGTATGTAGAATTGACATTGAGCATAGCGTTGTGCTAATACATCAATAGCAAAGCTGGAAGGACCTTTCCTACACCGAGCTGGCCTTCGAGATCTTCCGCCTTTACATCCCCGAGTCCGAGATCCCCTCCGCCGATCTGAAGGAGATCATCAACCGCAGCTACTCCACCTTCCGCTCAGAGGACGTTGTGCCTTTGGTCCCCCTTGCCCTCGATGGCAACATCAACCTGCTTGAGATCTTCCACGGTCCCTCTTACTCTTTCAAGGATTGCGCTCTGCAATTCCTAGGAAACCTTTTCGAGTACCTGCTCGCCCAGAAGAATGTCGGCAAGGAAGGAAAGGATAGATACCACCTCACTGTCGTTGGTGCCACCAGTGGTGACACTGGATCTGCTGCTATCTACGGACTCCGCGGCAAGAAGGATGTTTCTGTCACTATCCTGCACCCCAAGGGTCGTGTCAGTGCCATCCAGGAGGCACAGATGACCACTTGCACCGAGCAGAACGTCCACAACTTGGCTGTTACCGGTACATTCGACGATTGCCAGGATATTGTTAAGAAGCTTTTCGGCGACGATGCCACTAACAAGGAGGTTAAGCTGGGCGCAGTGTACGTTTATTCTTGTGCTTTCCCGCCCGGATTGTGCTAACAGTCGCAAAGGAACTCCATCAATTGGTCTAGAATTTTGGCCCAGACTGTTTTCCACTTCTGGTCTTACTTCTCGCTCGCCAGACAGTCCGATTCCTTCACTGTTGGCCAGCCCATTCGCTCCGTCACCCCTACCGGCAACTTTGGAAACATTTTGTCTGCTTACTTCGCCACAAAGATGGGACTTCCCGTGGAAAAGCTTATTGGTATGTTGAAACTTGACAGTCCCTTCATGTATCCCGCTAACGCTGTGGTCTCTAGTTGCAACTAATGAGTAAGTGACTGCCTTACAGGAGATTTAACAACTCAATTGAGGAAACCTGCTAATCCCCACCAGAAATGACATTCTCCACCGCTTCTGGACCACAGGTCGCTACGAGAAGCACCCCGCCGAGGAGAAGAACGACAGCAACGCCAAGGCCGATGTCTGCAAGGAGACCCCCAGCCCCGCCATGGATATTCTGGTTTCCAGCAACTTCGAGCGACTCCTTTGGTTCCTGGCTAAGGAGGACGCAGAGGCCTCCGGAAAGGATGCCGATGCGGCCGCCAAGAAGGCCAGCGAAGATGTCGTGGCCTGGTACAACTCACTCAAGGCCACCGGCGGCTTCGGACCCGTTTCCGACGCCATCCTCGAGAACGGCCGCCGCACTTTCGAGAGTGACCGCGTGAGCAACGCGCAGACTCTCGAGACCATCAAGTCCGTCTACGAGAAGACCAAATACGTCCTCGACCCCCACACTGCCGTTGGTATCACCGTTTCCCAGCGCTCTGTCGCTCGCCCTGCCAACGCTGCTATCCCCCACATCTCTCTTTCCACTGCTCACCCCGCCAAGTTCGCGGATGTCGTCAAGGAGGCGCTCAAGGGTGAGCCTGGCTTCGATTTCGAGAGTCAGGTTCTGCCTGATGAGCTCAAGGCTCTTTCTACCAAGGAGACCCGCGTTGTCGATGTTGAGAACTCTTGGGAAGCCGTTCGGGAAATTGTCAAGAGACAGACCCTCGAGGACCTCGAGGCCCAGGCCCATGCCAGCTCTTGATATCTTGTACTAGCGAGATTTCCCTTGAATTTATGTAAAAACGCTCGATCTCAGAAGATTGGTTTCGAGCTTGTCATTTATGGATACTGTTATTTGCGCTTTATGATACTCAAACCAGCTACATAGGACTAGGTTATGAACTATACACGACAATAATCAAAAAAATATTGTGATTAGGAAGATGTGCTCGTATCATTCTCTTAGAATAAGAAACATATGCTAGTTGCACGCCACAGAGTGTGGCAGGGTATCGTCAATAAATGACAGGTCGGAATTAAGGATCCAAACAGGTTGCAATGGGGGCTCGTACAGGAAACACGCCGGAGGTATCAACTAAAATGACATGGAACAGAAAAACCAGAGGCCCCAATGCGATCGATCCGATGTCCAATGCAAAAAAATAACAACGTGAAAAAAGGGAAAAGGGAAAGTCGTGGGTTGTGTGAATCCAAGTTCACTGGCAGGTATCAATTCAAGGTTGACAAGCCAAAATGCAAAAGTGGTTGAAGATCCAGGGCAATCAGAACAAAAGACGAGGAGGTATCAGCCAATACTGAAAGCTTAGATCAAAGCCGGAGAGAGAGGCTTCTCAGTGGGCTCGTCGGCTTCTTCCGGGGCTGCAGGAAGAGGCTTATCGGTAGGTGAGGACGGCGACTTGGGCTCCTCCGCATGACCTTCGGTCTCCTCTGGCTCATCAGGCTTCTCAGGCGTATGTTCTGTCTCGTCGGCTTCCTTGTTACTGTCGCCGTCGCCGTGGTTATCGCCGTCTTCGCCATCGGCATTTTCCTGGGCCTCTGCGGCTGCGGCTGCGGCTGCTTCAGCCTCGGCCCTCTCCATCTCAGCATTGCGAGCCTGCTGCCTATCCCAAACTTCTTTGCGGATACGTTCATCCTTGGCAGTTCGGAGGCGCTCTGTCTCTTCAAATCCTCCACTCTTCTTCAACTTGCCCTCTTCAACAAATGCGCCAAGCTCCTTCTGGAACAGGTTGTTCCGTCGGGTCTCGAGCTCCTTCTTGCGTGCCTTCTCGGCTCGCTCGATGGCCTCGACACGGCTTTCGTGGTTTGGCTGCAATGCGCGCACTTCGCCAAGCACACCATCCTTCGCCTTCATAGGATCAAGGGTAGGGTCAATGCCAAGGCTACGGGAGGTGGCGCGAACAGCAGCAGGGCCGGCGGAACCGGTGCTATTAGACATAACCTGTTCCTTGGTAGCTTGCTCCACAAGAGCGAAGGTCTGGGTAGCTTTCTCAAGATCGTCTTGCAAATCAGCGGCCAGATCTTCCTGCATAGTGAGCTGGTCTCGCTCTTCGCAAACCAGCTGCAATTCCTTCTCCCAGATCTTGGTCCAGATAGGCTTCTCGCGGCCAAGGAAGTCCTGCATTTTCTTGATTTCCTTCATCACAGTGCTGATATCACGGCTGACACCCTCAAGTTGTCTGGGTAGGGGACGGACACCGCGAGTGACAACATCCTTCCGGAGATCCTCAACCAAATCTTGGAGATCGTCAACGCGGGCGACGAGTCGCTCTGACTCGCCTGCAAGTTCCTTTTTGCCGGTGTTGACACGAGCGCGGCCTGCATCGCCTTCGTATGAGGGTGTGGCTACATCGTCAGCGGCAGTCTTGACCTTGCTTGCCTTTGTGCGGACTGCGCTCATGGAGCCCTTGATGTCGGCGGTGAAGTTGGAGTATGTCTGTCGCAGAACAGCCAGGTCTCGGCGCAGGCTCTGGATTTCTGCGAGTTGGGCTCCGTCTCCGGCAATCAATGCCTTAGAGCCAGATCCAGACGCGGCACTGGTGGCAGGGGGAGCTGCCGCTAAACGAGCAATCTCCTTGGCAGCCTCTACCTGACGATCAGAGACCCGCTGGATAGCACTTCCTTGACCAGTAATAACATCTTTGAGGCCTTCAACGAGCTGGCGCACGCCACCAAGGCCATCATCGAAGTGCTTCTTGACTTCATCAAGGTTGTCGACATTCAGAACCAAAACGCATCGATCTTTGACATCTGAAAGATCCTCCAACTCGTGTCGGATGCCTGAGATCGGGTCTTGGATGTAAATCTCGGGTAAATCAACTCCGTTGTCGTGGGTGTTCCAGGCGAACTTTTCAATAAAAGCCAATTGGAGACGTCCGATGGTAAGGTCTGCGATACCGTCCGGCAGCACATACTTCTTGATTTTGCTCTTATATTGAAGGAACAGGGTGTGCTCCTTCCCTGGGGAGGGCTGCTCGGCGGGAAACTGGGAAACCGAGGGGGAGTTGCGATCTGAGCGGTGGGACCAAAGGAACTTGTCTTCGGGGTCCGTGGTGCGGCCTTCGCAGGTTCAAAGGCGTCTTCGAGCCCTAGTTTTTCTTGGGATGGGGTATTGATAGGGGGAGGAACAATAGCAGCCTCCTCCGGGTCGACTTTGTCGACGGGTGCCTCGGCTTCAAGGCTAACTGCAGGCGTCGGGGCGGGTGAGGCGGCCTTAACGGGTGGGGTGCGCTCTTCCTCCACAACGTTCGGGATATTTGTAGGTGGTTGAGCTTGAGTCGTCTTGCCGGCGTCTTGTACGCGATTAGTGGACTTCTGTCTCGAATGGTTATAAGAGCCGCGCAGACGGACTGCATTCAAGGATTCGCGAACGTCACGACCGCGATTCGGGATGGGGGAATTTTGGGTAGGTAGAACAGGAACACCATTGGTAGAAGTCCCCAGGTGCTTTTGGATTTGATAGGCAGAGAATCGACGAGAGGCACGCCGCTCAAGTTCTCCGCTCCTTTGCAAGGCCCCGAGCGCATCGTCTTCTTTAGGTGGCGGGGGAGGTGGAGGTGCTGGAAATCCAGCCGGTGTAGTGTATGTGGAGGGTGCAGTATTATTGGATGTGTTGGCTCGGGGTGTTGTGTCGTTATCTGTGGGGGTTTGAGACAATAGCTGTTGTGCCTCGCGGCGGGATGATTCTCGTTCGCTGTGGTTTGATGATCGAGGATCATTGGATGAAGGTGCCGAGGAGGTTCGTGCAGTCGGAGGTTGATCCTCCAAGGATCCATTGCTACCGAATCTCCGATTACTTGATCTCCGAGGGGACTGGGCGGTTGATGGCATAGTAGAAGCAGCAGCCTCGTCATATAATTGGCCGATTGCTTGCCCACTGGCAATGCTTCCGGCGCTGGCATTGCGTCCTGGCGCGGGCCGACCATCCTCACGCTGGTGTCGCGAGCGTAACCGGGCCTGCTTCTTCTTCAGCCCGTGAAGCAGGTTTATGATTATGTCGCGGATTCGAGGGAGGTATCGATCGAGGCTTGCAGCCGATGCATCCTGGCTGAGTGTGTCTTCGAGGATTGTGCGCAGCAGGTCCGGCACTGGGCCCAGGTCCGAGGTGTCGACTCCGATTGCACTGAAGGCCCGGCAGGCAAGGTTGAATTCATATCCCAGTCGTACATACACATCTGAGACGTCGTTCTCTGTGGCCTGTTTACGGGACCACTGGGTAAGTGTCTCCAGGAGCTGCTTGGTCGCGACCAAGAGATGTGTCACACTCTTTTCGATTTGAGAGATCTGCTTATCAGGCTGCGTGGGGGAGATCGCACAATTAGCTACGGGAGTGCAGATTGACTCGAATTTCGCACTTACGGGATTCTTGCTTGACTGTGTCCGGGACGAGGCAGACGAACTGCGACCAGACTGCTGGGAAGACATGGAAGTGTCGGTACTACCAGACACTGAGGGTCGGGGAGAGGTTTGTTGATCCGACTCTCCGTAGGGGTATTGCGTTCTCTGGGCTGAGGACTGCATATGATAGAAGCATGAAGAGAGTTGAGATTAAAAGGTAGGAGAAATAAGTCAGAAGGCGAGGAGAATGGGCATGTGTGGAAGATGATGCCCAGCCTCCGTCAAGCGCCTTACCGCGTCTCAGCCAGGATCGGCACTGCTGATCACTACAATACCATAGATTACCGTATCTTTGTGTAATATACCTGGGATGCACTGATCGATCTAATGTCACACACTGAATCTCTAAATCCCAGTATACACAAATGCCCCCTCGGTTCATTCATTACAAAAATACAAGGGCACACATTGGGCATTCTGCAGCATTTGGCACTGACAGGCTTGGGACTAGCCATTCGGCAAGACCCGCGCCTATCCACTCCAACGAGGGCAGTATATACTCCGTGCTACTTGCGGTATATGCACCGAACACTTTCCGTCTGCACATCCTATGGAGTTTCTCCTGCACTCTACTAGCCTGCAGGGCCTGGAGGGGGCTCGGCAGATGGTATTACCTGAACTTTTTAAGGTTAGCCTGTGGTGCACTTGGACATTGTCGGCTATATACACTCCAGCTCCAAGAATGCCTGGCCTGGCAGGCTAGGTAAACTCCGACGTTCTTCTTTGGCTTCCTGATTTTTTTTTATGCAGATGACTCCGGGAGCTTTGAAGCCCTGAAATTTGCAGGGTTCAAAGCCTTTTAACGCGATTCCAAGGTTCTCGTGGGTTTTTGCATCCATGGATATGCTTGGCATCGTGTGAGGTCGTCATGATTCAATAGTTCCTGGTTCCTAGCATAACCGTGGAAACAATATCTTACAATCTTTTCAATTCAATACACTACCTACCTTTGGGGCCCAATATGTATGTGTTTTCAGCCGCTTCATATTGTAACTTTGTAAGTTGAGGACGCATATATATCCTGCTCTTGCGAGAATGCCTGGCAAGATTTTTTGGAATCCGATCTTGGGATTCGTTGATCATATTATTCCAAGGTTGTACCCCAGGAAGGTCTGCGTGAGATCCGCGAATGAAGCCCTGAAGAAATCAAATCAGCATTTTTTTCAGTTTCAATTGAAGTTCAAACTGGGGGATTAGATGGAGGTATAATGGGCGTCAAGGTGCTCTCCACTAGCAGCCCAGACCCATTCAAGGTTAGACGAGAGTACTCCACAGTAGAGATTCTAATCTGATATGGATATACAAATTGAGTGACGCTCAATTCAAGAGAGTAAGAATTATATTTATAGAGGCGATTTGATGGATTTGCACATGACGTTAGAACCTATACGAGGCTCGATATGCAGGTCTGCTTGTTTTTATTGGCCATTGTGATGCACAGCACAATGCATTGGAAGTAGAGATCTTTATCATTGGATTGAGGTGTACCCTATATCCCACAATGAATTAAAGAATAGAGAAATCGAGCAGCCCCGGGGTTCTGTTTGGGGTACCGCATAAACCGAATGGAAGTACTCCGTAGACACAATGGAGGGGTTGGACTACCTCAGCCTGACCCGTACATTTTAGAATATAAACGACTGGGCCTTGCTCCAAGCACAGAAAATAAAATAGAATGCAGAGAATAGAATTGTTAAGCCCTAGACAATGGAAAATCCATGAGGTACATTGAACTTGAAGGAAAAGTAAAAGAAACAGAATAGAGTGTAACACCAAATACAGTACGATACGCGTGACTTCTCTCAACGTGCGACAACTCCCTCTTTTCCATTTCACTTCATCTCCATCTATCTTTCTTCTCCTCCGTCCATTCTGCTTATCATAACCCAAGTGCCATTGGCATATCCCGCCATCTCCGCTTATCCCACTCGCCCGTCCTATTTGTGCAGGCGGTGTGTGTTGTGGCTTCGTGCCTCACCCTCGCGGCTTTCCGCCGTACGAAGATCCACGACGCAAGCTCGCCCTGACTGACAAGGTCAAATGGCTTCCGCTCTGAACTCTGTGCAGGCCAACAACGCGTCTGGCAATGCCAGCGCGGGCGCGCAGAACCCCGGTAGATCCACCCTGAGATCCAACAGTACCAAGGGGCCCGACAGTCGACGACAGTCGGGCAGCCCCGTCGATGGAGGACAACGGTACGTCTAACCCTCGTCGTCATTGATAAATTCCCCTGTACCCCTCCGTCAGACAATCAATATCACTCTGCACTCCCCTCCTCTCCACCCAGCGATTGTGCTCATGCACAGGCCTTGGGGTTGGCGAGCTCCGGGGACCAAGTTGCATCAACTTGTGTACCGATAGGCGCCAATTGAGGACATCGGATCCGATGGCAGAAACGTCTCGCTTTGCCTCTTGTCGTTTCATTTCATTTCAAGATGATCGATCGCTAACGCAAGCATGTTTTACCGCAGGCGCACAAACTCCCACAAGGCCTGGACCCAAGGGACCAACCCCATCACCCAACGGTCTTCATACTCCTCATCGAACGGAAACTTGACCCACCAGAGGCAGACGGCTTCCCCGAGGCCAAACCAAAAGGAATCAAACACCTCCGATAACCATGCTCATGACCGCCTCGTATTTTTATTCGCTAGCTTCATTGTAAGCCTTGTCGCACTCCCCCCTGCCATCTCGATTGATTCTGAACTGCTATTTAGGGTCTGCAAACCACGATTACAACAAAGTCCGGAGATAAATACACTGGTATTTTCTCTTCTTCATCTCTTGAGCCAAATGAAGTCTCCTTCCTGCTCAAGATGGTACAGCGCGCCTCGCAAGAGGGTCAATTCCGCGCGAACGGTGTTAGTGATGTCGCAACCCCGTTCTTGGGCTCTGCGCCCGAACACATCATGTCCTTTGAGGTCAAGGATGTCATCGATATATCAGTTCCAAACGTAACCACCGCTGAAATCTCAGCCAAGGAACCGAATGGTAACGTCAAATGATCCAACAGAAGTTTAAGCGAAGATGCTAATCTCAACTTCAGGCGCCTCACAGGGCTTCCGGACTGATAGTGATATTTCCGGAAATCTGGGGATGCGCGAACGCACTCTGCAACGCTGGGAACCCGCTGAAACCGACGTTGACATGTCGCTTGAGACGAGCAACAATGCCACTGGGTGGGACCAATTCGAGGCCAACGAGCGTCTCTTCGGGGCCAAGACCAATTACGATGAGAACATCTACACCACTCGTCTCGATCGGGCCGATCCTGCCTTCAAGCAGAAGCAGGTGGAGGCTGCTCGGATCGCCCGTGAAATTGAGGGACAAGATGTGGACAACTCCCACATGCGCGAGGAGCGCGGTCTCGCAGCAGCAGCGGATGCCGGTGACCAGGATGAAGAAGATAAATACAGTGGTGTACGACGTGAGGACAAGGCCTTCCCTCCCCTGCTCTCAGGTCAACCCAACAAATATACACCCCCAGGACGCCGTCAACCTGGTGTGCCTGCCAGGCAGCCTGCTGCTTCGCCTGCCCCGGCCGTCCCTATTCCAATTCCCTCTCAGATCCCAGAAGCGGAAGTCGCACCATCAGACAAACACTCCGAGCCGACCGCTGCCCTGCAGCCCCCAGCAGATGCCGACCAAAAGAGTGCATCGAGCAAAGGTCTTTCACCTGCTATCTCCACCGCCTCTGCCACCTCTACCACTAAGCGGGCTGTACCTGAGAATGCAACTGCAAATGTTGAGGCGGAGGTGCTTGGCCATTTCCGCCAGTTTGCCAAGGACGAAAAGGCCAAGCTGCAGGAGCGTCGCCGCAACCAAGCGTCATATGATCGTACCAGCAAGCTGAACGAGCTGATGAAATTCTCTAAGAGCTTCAAACTCATGACTCCTGTCCCCAAGGACCTTGTTCCTATTCTGGCTAAAGATCGGATTAAGCAGGAGGCTATCATCTCACGAGCCCAACAACAGATTGATGACAAGAGTTTGCCGCAGGAGACCACCCCGCCCACTGAGCCCAAGCTTCCTGCTCGTGGTAATGGGCCAACCGGGGCCACGCCCCCATCTGCGCCTTCTGATCGCCAATATAACCGCCCTCGCCAGGGATATCCACCAACTGGCCCGCTTGCTGGTAACACCGGTGGACGATTCGCACAGCAAGGCATCCCGCCTACACGCCCTGGTGCCGGCATGTTGAGCCACCGCCTTGCAGATAACTTGCAGCAGCGCAAAGGCCCGGCCATGGTTCCGAACCAGAACCCGCTCCCGCTTCCCCTTCAAGATGCTCGTGGGCCTCCCACTGGTCCCGCGAGCGAACAGCAGAGAATCACGAGCCCTGTCAAGCCACAGGCTGCCTCCGCCGCAACCAAGTTCAATGTCAAAGCCATGGAGTTCAAGCCGAACCCAGCTGCGAGTACATTTACTCCCGGCGGAGCTCCCAGTGGAGCTCCCGCTGCTGCTCCGAGCGCTCGGTCCTTCTCCCGCAACCGCTCTGTCTCACGCGCGACGACACCAACAGCTTTCTTCGGTCCCAAAAAGCCCCAGCCTGTCTCGGAGCGGCCCTCGATTACCAACCAGTTCAACCCTATCAAACGCATGAAGAAGGAGAACGTCGATTCGACCGAGAAGCCTATTTTGTTCAATGGAGGTATTCCCCCGCCTTTCAGAACTTCCCCAACTTGGGAGGTTGCCGATGAAAACCAGGAGAAGACCTATGGCCAGATGTTCAAGCAACCTGTGGGCGCGCAATCGGTATCACCCCAGGCTCGCTCAACGTCAAACAGCAGCAATGCTACACACCATGGCAACATGCCCTTCCACTTCCAGCCAAATTTGCCGCCGGTCTCCGGCCCGAACAACGCCCCCCCACAACCTTCACCCTCAGGGCCCTCACGGACCCTCCCACGTTGATGATCACCATCGTATGCAGCTATCTGCGTCAAACTCCCAGGTCTTCCCTTCTCCACGGATGCAGCATGGATATCCATCTCCAATGGCCCCCCACGCCCAGCTATCATTCGGACAACCTGTGCCCCCGTTCTATAATGGCGGAGCCCAGCCCAATCATATGAGGCACTACCAGGGTGGCCCCCAGTTTGTGAACCCACAGAACGGAATGGGTGCTCCCATGATGGCACAGCAACATTCCAACGGACCCTATATGGCCGTTCCCCAAGGCATGACCCCGTACAACGCTCAGATGCCCATGTACTCCCCTTCTCCGGGCCACGCATATCCTCACGTGCCTGCCCCTCAGCCGCACAGCGGGTACCCAAGCCCTAGCCGTGGTGCGCCAATGATGATGCACCAGAACTCACAGTCTGGCCAACCTCCCATGTTCATGCCCGGACAACCTGGATACCCTCAACAGTCGGGACACAGTGAGTTCAGCTTCAGTCCCCATTCAAGCAACTCCAGTTTTTAACTCCCAACCCCCCCAGTGCCCCCCAACCGTGGAAACTTTCAACAGCAGCCCCAATTTTCTTCAAGCCCGCATCAGCCACACCATTTCCCTCCTAACCAGCATCGGACCCCAAGCAATGGATTCAACCAAATAGCCCAGTTGCCGCCCCAGATGCCTGCCAACACACCCAACTCTGGAGGATCCCACTCTGCCGAGGCAACAGACGAAGGAAAATGAACTACACGAATCACGAAGCCTGTGGGCGGTTCCCTTGGATGACATTTGCATCGTTCCCCCATCTTCGGCATTACCCAACTCAACTACCCTGGTTAAACTTACATGACCTCATTTGTTTCTTACCGTCGTTCACGCGGTCCATAACATTTGAACACTTCAGTGGTGTCCACATCGTCTCAAGACATATTCGGTACGTCGGGCTTGATTTCACTGCAATATCTGACTGTGCTAACGTTGAAAGTAGACATGGATAAAACCACCAGCTGTGTCTACCTACCTTCCAGGTTTCGGTCTGGTCGGTACACGGCGCCCCAAGTTACAGGCGATGAAGTGATTGAAATCAACCGCTTCATGAAGCCAATCGGCCTGCCGCCTGCCTCCACATTTAGTGCATACTGACTCTACAATATGGTTGAATTGAAGTTTGAGGAATTCCTCTTACCCTGAGATAGTCATTTTTTCGGATCCTCTCTTATTCTGTGCTTCTTTCCCCCCCTTACTCCCCACTTTCTTCTTGTTCCATGGTTCGAAGGTCGTGTCAACTGCAGATGGGGTTCCACATTGCCTTCAATCATATTGTGAGCAGAAGTGGGGTCTATGGCGGGTTGTGTCTCGGCGTGGAGATAACGATTGAGCGAATGGTGAAGTGACTGGGGTTGGTGAGTTAGGGAAGAAGCAAGGATTGAAATGAGCAAGCTTGACAATGGTGAGCTAGCTCCGGCGAATAGCAATGAACTGGGTTTATCATAGGAATTTTTCGTTTTCTATTAAATTGTAACATTCGTAGAGATGATCCTGGAACCTTGGAGCCAGCCATAGATACAAAACCACCACCACCAGTGCAACTGTTTGATGCCCTCTTCCCTCAGTAGATTTGATGCCAAATCCCCATCCCCGTTGCATTGTGACTGCTGGATAGAAGAATCGTCAGCTATGAACCACAAGGTGATAACGGTTGCATGTAATATAGAGAGATGGATCCTCAGAATTGTTTCAAAAGTGTCATCATTCCAGGGACAGCCACCCAGACAACCTCTCGTTCACCGCGGTGCTTTATTCCATGACGTCCACGTTGCCCTCCAATAGCAAAAAAACCCAGAGCAAACGCCAAGAGCACATCCAAACGACCCAAATCCGGAATTCCTAGACCATACCACAACGAACGTCTCTCCCTCGTTCCCAACTCCCAAGACCCATAACAACACCCCTTACCACCCTGCCCAGCAGATCAAAAGCGGAAATGAAATAAAGTTGAAACGAGCAGCCGGGAATCTCCCTAATTGAGTTCACAATGAAGACGCAATGTGGATGTCCGCGTTCAAGCAAGTAGTCAACCAAACCTACCGACAAGAACTCGTACAACCCCACAGCCATTCATTGATCAGATCTCAAGTCAAACGGGTCTTTCCCTGTTAGCAACCCGCATCAACATCTTTCAAATCCAGACCATCGACCCTCTTCGCCACAGCCATTGGTCGCCAGCCGTCCTCATGGAAACGAAGCAGACAAGGCAACCCCAGATAGCGGCGACACTGACCCGTTTCCTGGAAACCCACGCACGGAAAGAATGACGTCGAGCACACCGCCACCTAACCCCCTCAAGGTATTAGCAAGAGAGCGTACGCGAGCCATGTCCATGGCAAGAGACCAGGACGGACACCAGTATGAATGTACACGCGTCTCCCGAACCCATGCACGCACATGGGCACGCGTGAGCAGAGCCATGAATAAGACATGGTTTCTTGCAAGTTACTACCCGCTGGGAGATGTTGTGCTCTGCTGAAAAGGGTGGGAGGAGTGCCGAGACGGGGCATGGTTGCAGAGAGGTAGTCGAAGAAGAGAGCTCGATACGGCACAAGCACAGCATGAGTATGCTGGCCCAGGCGAGAAACGTTCTGGATAGAAATGACAGATCTGCGTGCCCAGTTGTAACTCCTGAAATTCGCCCGGAGTTCGATCACAGCATGGAGGGCTGGATTTCATGGAAGTACCATCGGGTTGAGATATATGTCATCTGTGGTGTTGCTTCCATGATTTGACCTTTTACCAGTATATGCATCATCGGAAATGGTGGATTGGACGCGTGTTAGAGAAGTGGTAACTTACCGCGTTGGAAACTGTCTCAAACAAGTTCGATGAACTGTACAGTGAGTATCTGTGCTTGACAACTGGATCGGAGAATGTGAGCACGAGGCACCTCGAAACTCAGTTGCGATAAGATCAAACGCATTGGGACGAGCGGCTCGAGTGGAAGAAAGGACAGAACGTGCCGATCGCATATTTATTTTCGGCTGTGGCCTCAGGCGCGTTCCTTATCGCGATAACGCGGGGCTGTGAAAGGAGACAGCTGGAGCTTCCAACTATTGTCCCTCCATACACTTTCTCTCTCATTGCGTTCGAGCCTTTTCTACGAAGCTGCTTTCATACCAAGATCACCCAGAGAAACCAGCGATCGACTATCCCAGCCTGCAATCCCGCAGATCTGCAACTGCCACATCGGCCACATCGGCCACGCCCACATGGACTTCCTCAAATCTGCCATCGGGTCAGCCATCGCAAAGGGTGGTGGCCTTCCATTCTCTCTCGGTGACCGAGTAGACATTGGCGACTCGGTCTGGGCTTTGCACAGTGGTACAAAACGGGTATGGTGGCTATAGATCTTTTCCGACGCCGGAGCACAGATGACTGATGGGCGCATTACCTAGGACGACGGCTCGACGTGCAGTGTCTTCGTATTTGATATTCATGCAAACAAATCACGCCTTCCTCTCGCGAAAAATGCAGTGCGCAAGTCCCGAACCTTGCGGCACCCCGGTGTAATCAAGGTCTTGGACACGATTGAGGTATGGTGGATCGCATATACTTCGGGAAGTATCCATTGGTTTGATACTTACGGCTTCCGCAGACCGAACATACTCTGTACATTGTCACGGAGCGGGTTGTACCTCTGAGCTGGCCGGTGAAGAGACGGAGCATAAATGAAGAGACTGCCAAATGGGGTCTACACACTGTCGCGGTATGTTGCTTCTGAGCAAAGTATTGTGACCCTGCTGACAGAAATGGGATCTTCCAGTCTACTCTGAAATTCATAAATGATGACGCCTCTTCAGTTCACGGTGCCGTGCGAGCATCCTCGGTGTTCACAAGTGAAAGTGGCGAATGGAAGCTCGGAGGGTTTGACGTCCTAAGCTCCATGAAAGAGGAAGATGCGATCATCTACGTGAGTGATATATGGAAATGCGTTGTTGGGCTGTATACCCACGGTGACCTTGAGCTGACTTTGAAAATAGACCTATGGCAGTATTGTGCCTGATGCTGCTCGTTATACCCCACCCGAGGTCGTGAAAGGCGGATGGGACACTATTAAGCGAAATCCTTTGGCGGCAGTTGATGCCTATGGCCTGGGAATACTAATATTTGAAGTGTTCAACGGCAGCTTTTCAGGCGGCGATCAAGTTGGGAAGACAACGAACATTCCTCCGACTATGCAACAGAGTTATAAGCGTCTTTGCACAGCAAACCCTAAGCTGAGACTCAGCCCAGGACATTTTGTTGAACAAGGAAAGAAGCATGGTGGCTTCTTCCAAACACCACTGATTCGATTGACCGAAGACATCGAAAGCCTAGGGCTCAAGGATGATGACGAGCGCGAAAAATTTATCAAGTATGGTGCCTTGACCTGATTGGTTTTTGTGATCACTAACATTGCATCAAAGTGAACTCGATAACCTCTCAGAAGACTTCCCAGAGGACTTTTTCAAGATGAAAGTTTTACCAGAGCTGCTCAAGTCCGTTGAATTTGGTGGCGGCGGTCCCAAGGTCCTTAGTGCAACTTTGAAGATTGGGGCAAAACTTTCAGCAGAGGAGTTCAATACTAAGCTGACTCCCACTATTGTGCGCCTATTCGGAAACCCTGACCGTGCTATACGGGTCTGTCTCCTGGACAACTTCCCCTGATGATAGATAGCCTTCCCCAGAAGGTTGTCAATGATAAGATCTTCCCTCAAATGGTAAGTGATCCTCCACCTCGGTTGATTCAATTGGCGCTAACGTAGCTCAGACTTCGGGTTTCACCGATATTGCACCTGTGGTGCGAGAACAGACAGTGAAGGCTGTTCTTACAATCATCAACAAACTCAACGATAGGGTTATTAATGGAGAGCTTCTGAAATTCCTGGCTCGCACCGCGAACGATGAGCAGCCGGGTATTCGAACCAACACAACAATTTGCCTCGGTCGAATTGCTAAGAACTTAGGGCAAAGTGTAAGTTTGGCTTCCCTGTTTGCTTTGGCCGCATGACTGACGCTTCGGAAAAGACCCGCTCCAAAGTGCTTATTGCGGCATTTACGCGGGCCATTAGAGATCCATTTAGTCACGCTCGAGTCGCAGGACTTCTAGCGCTCTCTGCCACGATTGATGTGTTCACGGAGGATGACTGCGCCAGCAAGATTTTGCCCGCTATCTGCCCTTCACTCTTGGACAAAGAAAAGTATGTACATGTTTGGTGTTTTCGGTGACATTAACCTAACAAATGAACAGATTAATTCGTGATCAAGCCAACAAGACATTCGATATTTACGTTCTGCGCATCCGAAAGTTTGCTGGAACTATGGCTGACACCGTGATACCACCCTCCGCACCGACAGAAACCCACAGGTCTGATCCCCGTGTTGGTACCCCGAGCGACAGTTCCTGGGCCGGGTGGGCCATCTCATCCTTTACCAACAAAATCTCGACTGCCCATGGGGAGATTGAACCCACAGAAAATACCACCAAGCCCGCAGAGCCAGATGCTAGACGCTCTACTTCAGCTCCTCGTCCCACACAGCCAAACCCGCCGGCTCAAATCCACAAGCCAGCTCTCCGCCCTGCAGCCCAGCCCTTGAATCGGTCTATGTCAGATCGCCCTGCCCCAGTGGCTCATAATGAGGAACCGGAGGAAGAGGGAGATGATGTATTCGATGCCTGGGGTGCCATGGACGACGATGAAGCGGATGTCGATCCTTTCACGGCTGCAGTCTCCTCCCCAAAGCCGTCGTCCCCCGCCCCCGCGACCAGCAAGGCCCCAGCGGCTCCATATGATGATGGCGGTGAGCCTGACTTCGCCGGCTGGTTAGCCGCGAAGTCCCAGACCAAGGCAAAGAACCCCCTTCCAAAGGGGTTGACAAAGGCGGCGTCGACAAATACCGTCACGACCCGGGCCACGGCCCCTGCCGCTAAGGCTCGGGCCGTGGTTGCCCCAAAGAAGATCGACACCAAGCCCAAGGAAGAGGAGGGTGACGATGACTGGGGTGATGCATGGGACTGAGTGAGTGATTAGTTGCTTTCTCACCTTCCTCCACCTTACTTATGCCTCATGACAGTTTCACTTGTCAAAACCCCTGTACATGAGTATAATAGCTTTCAATACCAAATGTTTGATTAATTAACATTTACTGTCTACTTACTTCACGTAATAAGTGTTTGAAGCTTGAATTTGTGTTTGTACTTTTTTCTGTGAAGATCTTCCTGTCCGGTGACGTTGGAATTAACTTCTAAGTTTGAGTTCAAAGAAGCTTCCTCAATGGGGTTTTCCCCTCGATCTTTTTGTGAAGGTTAAAATGTTGCTCGTCATCTCCTCCCGCTGACATGCTCCATTCTTGCCTGACTCTTGGACCTCCTGTATCTTGTGGTTGGTGACAGCCCCCTTATCAGCCTCTCATCCTCTCTCAGTCGCCGTGTGTTGGGCGTGTACCTTCTACAGGTGCGCCACCGCTGCTCATGCACTGGTCTGTTCGCCAAATAGTCATACGCTGGGTCTCGCCCAACGATCAAATATTTGTCTATTCGGGATACCGCGGAGTCCATCTGTCGAGCCATCGACCTCGCCCGCTCCCGCGTCCTCTTTTTCGCGCGTTGCCGCGCCCTCGATCTGGCCCGTTGTTGCGCCAGCGATTGGGCCTGTTGCTGTGGCCGCGACCACGCTCGTTGGTGTACTCTTGCGGCCGTTGGCTGCCCCCTCGGTACCGGCTCTCGGTGGAAGCTCGACGCTGTTAAATATTTAGCTTGAGATTCATCAACCACATCGATGACCACCGAACCGTTTCTTCTCGCTCACCTTCCAGAGCTGATCCTCCTCCGCGCTCCATCTTTCTGTCGCTAAAAACAATAGCCTCTGGCAGCTGATGGACTGCCCTCGACGATCGTGGCTCATCTTCATGGCCATCAACTGAACTGATAACCACGGCCGACGGCACTATGTCGCGGGTGCTTGGGCTGGATTTGTGAGACCGGTTGCTATCTCTTGAGCTCATTCTCTCGAGCTCATGCAGCATCTCCTCTTTGGCTGTTCCGTAGCAAAAGGTGTATGCTGCATCTCGGTCCAGATGCCTGCTCTCAAACATAGCGTCGTCTTCATCCCAGAGATTAGGAATAATCTCTCTGTGGTATCGCAACAGCCCTATTGTCCTTTCCTGCACCCAGCGGTCACAAATGAGTGATTGGGATGCCCCAGGAGGCCCGTTCGCTATACGCGAGCGAAGTTCCCTCAAAAACTTGGATGCGCCGCGATCGCTTTGGCCACGAGCTCCAAGGTTCTGTGCAATATTGTCATCCAATGACGATAATAAATGGCGAGAATTTTGATCTGGTTGAGAAAGTGCCTCCCTTGGTAGTACGTCAGAGGTAGATCCTCCACTGCCTACCCTAGTAGCGTCTCGGGCTAAAGGAGAGCAATTTCGCGAAGGAACGGGTGACGAGCCGCATTTTTCCGCATTTCCAAACAGGGATGCCATATTTTCACCCAGTTGCAGGTCACATGCGAGGCCTGGGGATGACGGCCCTGGGAACGGTGGCCGGCTTTCCCTGGATGAGCCATTTGAATGAGCGGCAGGAGATATCGAGTAACGGTCAGTCGAAGAATGACTAAGAGAGGGGACCTCACTGACCCGAGAGGTGTCCCGGGGCTGGTAAGATTGAAAGATCCGAGAAGCTCCAGAGAACTGCGCTGGCGAACGGAGCCCGTCATGACCATCCGAGAAAGTAGTCGCGTTTGTGACAAATTCATGGTCAAATATTGGCCCCGGCGACAATGACTTCGAAAATGGAGTGAGTGGTGGCATTACAGACGCGCTTTTAGTCGCCGATAGCCGCCACGACGCTGGTGTTTTTTGCAAGAATTCCGTTGATTCACGAACAGTTGGGGTTGGGGATCCACACGCCATGGTCACGTCTTCAGACGTTGCCCGGGTGGATTGGTAGCGCTTTCTTTTGTGCGCCTCTCTCGCGAGGTGCGTACGAGAAAACTGCAGTCTTTCTTCAGCTTCCGTGGACTGGATTATCGCAGTTGGTGCCAGGGAACCACGACGTGAGAAAAATGAGTCCCTAGCTGTTTGCTCTGACGATACCGACAATGCGTCGTCCAGAGCGGTAAACCAGGGTGAGAACCAAGAATTCCATTCTGTCGAATTTGGGGTGGCTTCCGCTACTGCCCTCGCGGAGAATGCTCGTGATGCTGAGCGGGCACGAGGGCTGTTGCTCATAGCTAGCAGACTGACAAGCCGAAGTTAGGGGCACAGAGCTGGATTCATGCTTAGGGGCTGCGGGGGGCAACAAGGGAGGGTGGACTTTATGGATGGGCACCCAGCCACTGTTGGCTTGGAACCGCTAGGTATCGGCTGCACCTACTGGGGGCGGCTGCGTTGACCGGGAAGTGATAGGTTGAGAAATTGACCAGTCTAAAATGGTAACCGACAGCTGTTCATTGTTTGATCTACACCATATAAATAGTTTCTTAAAATACAGAACAGCTGGAAATGCATGCTCTATATCTCAGAATTCCAGTGCCTATCCAGGCCCATCCTTCGTATGTTGACGTTGACTCCATGGTGACAAGCTTGATATCATATACGGATTACTACGTGTCGACGTTTCATAACAGCACGGAGCTCCAGACCACTAGCTCCACTCTTTTACAGCTTTTATCGTATATCCGCGTATTTTTTTCGGTTTGCTTTTTCTGTTTGAATTTTGATCCCACATGCACACCCATCCATCAATCTTGAAGTATTCTATTTACTTCTTCCCAATTACGAGTGGCATTCAACTCTTTGAATTGTGCTACTAGGATCAAGTGGTGGGACCGAGTTTCTCTAGTTTACCAATCTTAATGTTTTATTTTGTTGACAAGATGTTTATGGTTTCTGCAACGGGGTGTGGAGATTAGGGCTACCGTGCATTGGTGGGGCGACTAGGCGTTGGACGCATCAAGTCAAATTTTAAACATTCTCATTCCCCCTCTCTCTGGCTCGGAACAATTAATCTCAAAGCTATACGGAGTAAGATACGGTCTCTTAATAAGGTGCAATGATCAGAGGCCGACACGATGCTCAACGCAATTTGAAAAGCAACAGAAAGTGAAGCTCAGATATTGATCCCACTCAGAAGCTCAGAAGTTATTCAGAATCTCTGCAGCAACCCGCTCACCTGAGCTGATAGCTCCATCCATGTATCCGACCCAACGAAAAGCAGTTTCTGTACCAGCAAAATGGATCCTCCCAACTGGAGCCCGGAGAAATGGTCCATATTGCGTCAAAACACCAGGAGGCATAAAAGAAGCTGGGCCTCCTCTGGAAAATTGATCCGTGTCCCATCGGTGCACCAGAATATCGGTCGCTGTCTCTACACGAGGACCGAAAAGGTTAATAAAAGATTGTTTAGCCTCGAGCTTGATCTCGTCGTCGCTAGCACCGTCCAGCCTGCGCATCTCATCAGCTTCAATGAACCCCATCAGCGCACCAAAAGACGCATTCGGCGGTGAGTTGTCATAGGTCACCCGAATCGCGCCGGTGTCGCTTATACCAGCTCCATTGAGGCTCTCGCCACGCCACCAAGGCCTTGGAAAGATGACGATTGCCTTTCCAAGGGCGCCGACCGGCATTCGTTGATTCAGTTGGTCCCTTCCAGCGGGCAATGGAGGATCGAAGACGATTCGATTCACCAAAGGGGGCGACATGGTGACAACTACATGTTTTGCAGTTATATTTAGTGTGGGGGAGGTGACGACATATTGCCCATGATCAAGCTTCACCTTGCGAACAGGTGCGTTGAAGAAGATTTTATCTTTTCCGAGTCGTTCGGCCAATTTGATTGCAATCAAATGTGTGCCTCCAATCACTCGACTATCTTGAGCGCCTCCATCAACTGCAATGACGCGCCCAAAAGATCCAGGAGTTGTGGCATTTCCGGCCCCTGCAATTCCCCACAGTGCATATAGAAGAGAGATCTCTCTCAACTCGGCGGAAGCAATCGCTGGAACAGCCACATTGAGCAGCATACGAGTTTCAGCCGTAAAGACATGGGAGTTGACATATGTCTCGAGGGTTATGGAGTCCAGAGCGGTGGCATTTGGACTTTTCCATGGCTCCTCCAAGTCAATCGTGCTGGCCAGCGTGTTTATCCTGTTCGTGAATCCTGCAATTTCCAAAAGTGAGCCTATACCTACAGGGGGTATACCGCCCAGAGTATCTGTGTAGTGCCGCAGAGTCCCATTGCGAAAAAAGGACGATCGTCCGGCTGTGAAAGTCTTGTAGGTTTCCAGCCCAAGCTCTGCTATCAGAGCTAGTACGTGGTCTTGAGTTGGTCCTACATACTCGCCACCAAGCTCTTCAACGCCCTTTCCTGGGAAATTAGCGTTCAAAACACGCCCCCCAACTCGGCTGCGTGCCTCCAGTATGGCAAAAGTTTTGTTAGATGTGAGGAGACTTTTGGCTACAGTCAGACCAGCCAATCCAGCCCCGATGATAGCCACATCGACCTGTTGTACATTGCAGTATACGAGAAGCACTTGAATTATCAACAGAGCGATTGAGTATAGTCCCATCGTGAATGAAGGGTGGGTAGGGATAGTATCATAAGTATCATGATCTCGCAAAGATTTCCTAAGTCTATCAGTGATAATGAGAAGCGATACCTACGGAGTATATGAAATGCTCAGGTAGTCTCCTTCTCGGTGAGTTCTTCATGTGTAACTCCCGAAATCCCACCCAATATTTGCTTGTTCTGCAAGAATCTGGATTCTAGGTACATCGTCCCCCGCATAACTTTCTATGCTGACATGAATAAAGAGCTCTAGTTTGTCGTAGCGTTAGACTTTTTTTGTCTATTTGGGAGATCAACATTCCAAATATTCAACTTTAACGAGAGAATGAAAACATTTGTGATAGGATTATGAGACTTATAAGCACTAACTAAACGACTAGAGTTTTTTGATGCGGGGTGGTTTTAGCCCCTCCCTTGGCAGTTCGTCGTCTCACCCTGTCCAGAATCAAATATTTGACTTCTGGCACCTTGATCGCTTATCTTGATATATCAAAGGTAGTTTCCTTGAGGGAAAGGATCTATCATGGCGGGTGTCACTTTGGAGCAGAGCCTCCGGGATTACCAGTCGAGTACCAATACCAATTTGAGCGATGTGGTGGGAAGCAAGACTTTCACGAACGATCTCACCAAGTTCAAGAAGGCAGTATTGAGAGCAAATGCCGATTTTCATCATCACCAAGGTGAATCTATATGGCCCACTCTTGCGCGGATCTTGGCGCCGTTTCAGACATTGGGGACGGTAGCTACTTCGGCTCTCTCTCTCTCACTCCTTTCGCTCCGGCATCTTTGATTCTTGGTGCAACACTTCATCTGGTGAATGTGACACGACAGATGATCGAGGCATATAGCACCATCGGCAACATTCTCGAGCAAATTGCCGACATAATGGATCGCTTGAAGATTCACAATGAGGCGCAAGTCATGAGGGCAGAATTGAGAGATTACGTTCAACAAATGATGGGCGTCATTGTTGAGGTACTTGGCCTCGCAAGTAAATGCATCGGAGATCAGAAAGGAAAAGTACGGGCAAAAGAGTTCTTTCAGCGGGCTCTGCTGGGCAAAAAAGCTCCCGTTGAAGAGAAGATGATGGTGCTCAGAGGGCTTGCCGAAAAGGAAGTTCCTTTAGTTTTAGCCTTGGCCAATAGTGGCATTGAGGGAATCAAGACTTCCATGAGCCAGGAACGTCTACAGATTCGCATGGAGAAAATTCTCCAGCTAGAGCTGTGGACCGCAATGAAACAGCATCATGAGAATATCAAAGGTTCAACCAGAGATGGCATGAGCACAGACTGGATTATCGATGAGCCCAAGGTTCAGCGGTGGATGGAAGTCCAGCAGCCAAATACGAAGAGTGCTATGATATGGATCAAAGGGGAGCGTGGAACGGGCAAATCATATGCCGCTTCTCATCTTATTCGCGCACTCCTCAAAGAAAATCGGAGCATCACCACTTACTTCTATGTCCAAGGCCATGAGAAAAGACAAGATCTCGCTTCGTCAATCTTTACCTGCATTGCATTGCAGCTCGTGGAGAAGAGCAAAGGCTTCAGAGAGATAGCCAATGAAGCTTTCGTTGACCCAGGTGTTGATTGGAACCCAGAGACCATCTGGAAAAAGTTATTTGTGTCATTTTTGAGGAAGGATCGAAGATGGCGAACTTTCATTGTTATCGACGGCCTTGACGCGGCCGATCCCACGGAACAGGACCTTCTTTTGTCCAAATTGAAGTCACTTCAAGAGTCCACCTTCAAAGGGAGGTATCTATTCCATGTTGCCATATTCGCTAGGCCAAGTCTGTCGTTAAACCACGACATCTGGACCACAAAAAACAGTATCTTCCAGGTCCCCGAGGAAAAGATTCGAAGCAATGTGGCCAAGTTTATTGAAACCAAACTCTCAGCTCTGGCGAGGTTCAGCAGCTTGACAACGGAGGACCGAGACCTGAAAGTCAATCAACTATCAACTGAGATCAGGGCAGACTTTGCATTGGCTGGCTTGGTAGTCACCCAAGCCCAGGTCTATCGCAACTCTGAACGCGACCTGATGGGATTCTTGGATCGTCCGATTTCTCCAGACATTCGCCACCACGTCCGAGACATTTTATCCCAAGTGGATTCAGCAATCTATCACAAGCGAAACTGGATCTCTACCTTACAATGGATAGCTTGTGCATGTCGAATGCTAACAGTCAACGAGGTGCTTTTCCTGCGCCACGTCGATCTTAACAGCGATGCTCTCTCATTGCCTGAAAGACTATCATCAAAAGACCTTAAGAGTGAGAACCAAAGCATTTTGATCTTCACCTCTCAAGCTTCCAGTTCACAGTCCAACTTAAGCTTGGTTGAGCTCAAAAGTGGCATGTTTCGTGATTATCTGGTGCAGGAAGATAACGATGTGCTGAGAGATCCGAACGACCCTTATTCAATCCAGAAAAGCAAAGCACATGCAACAATCGCCGGAGTCTGTTTGCGCAGACTTACCTTAGAGCAAGAAAAAAGCAGCCGTTTTTCCAAAAAAGACATCATGCAATACGCAGCAGACCATGTCATCGACCATTTGCGCACTGTGAGAAATGGCGGAATCTTGGGGCCTGGTGAGAACATGCAGTTGGCAAACCAGATTCGAAAACTTCTCAACCACCCTGCTTTCATTCAACGATGGTATGACTCTGTCTCCAAGCAAAGACGGATGGACATCATCAAATTGCTACTCCACGATGACGAAATTCTGGAGCGAATCAATAATTGGTGTCCCAACTTATCACTTTCTGCGCATGATTTGTACGCGCCATTTGCCCAGCTGTGTAACAGAGCATGGATGCAGGGCTCAGATATGGATACACAGTTTTGTCTGTTATTTCTGCAAAACTACGACTCTTTGGTATGTCTCATTCATACCGAGGTTAACAAAGAATCGAATCTGGGGATATCTAACAAAGCCGTGACAGGAACTGCCCATCGAAAAGCGTGCAAATGATAAACCAATTGAAATCTCTGAGCTAAAAGGAGAACAGATCCTTCATCTAGCCGAGAAAGCTTCCGAGGAGAATAGTGAGATGGCACAAAGTTCTGACTGGCAGCTTCGCATTGGAGATACTTTGATGAAAGCAAACCATTTGAAAGACGCTCGAGTACAATACGAGCGAGTTGAGAAAGCTTCCAACAACTACATAGCGAAATATAGACTGGCATTGTTTTTTGCGGAAGAAGGCAATATTGAAAAGGCCGTCCAGAAAGCGGAGGAGGCTCTTTCATGTGCACCTGAAGCAAATGCAATGGACCAAAGCAACATCTATGCGAGTTTGCACGGCTGGCAGAGCGGGCGTGGTAAAACATCGGATGCACTCGACGCTGCGAGACAGGCCCATGAACTCGATCCGAAAAATCTCGAAAAATTGGAAATGTATTTTTTGGCTCTTGGGAGGGCGAAGAAATGGAAGTTGATTTTGACGCTTTGCGAGAAGTTCAACTCTTCGGAGTCCACATCGACTGACCTGACGCGCTTGTTGCTGGGCTGGGAAGAAGGGCACGACATCCTTACCCGAGCGGTTTCAGCCAACAAAGAGTACCGCGGTCTGGCTGAAGATATATTCAAATCATTGGTCGATGACGCGAAACAAGAAGGCGACAGTATGGGAGCAGTGTGGGAGGAGTATCAGCGTGGTCTCTTCTACTACCGCCTAGCGAAAAGCGAGAATGAGCATTTGCGGATTTGGGAACAGCTTCCCTCTCATGTCGACAGCCACACAACAGAGACAGAGATGTACGCTCAACAGCTTCAGTGTCGAGCTTTGTCGGGTGCCTACTACAGGCTTGCAGTGAATTCAAATTCCAAGCAGGACATCAAGCACTGGGTCTCCAAGCTCGAATCCTTGGCGGGAGTGCCTAGTGGAACATCTACCCCCGAAAGCAACATGGAGGACAGGGCACAGGCAGCCGTGGTTCTTGGTCGTTGGAGGCGTAAGAACGAAGGCGTGAAATCGAGGGAATTGAAATTACTTTTTCAATCACGAATCTGTCAAGGAATTCAAATCCTCGAGGACGACGATCCACTGAACGATTCGGACGGATATGCAATTCTCGCTCAATCCCTTCTCTGGTCAGGGAATACGAACGACGCACTGAGAGTTTTTGCTGCTGGCATGCTTCCCCTTGCGACAAGTTTGCAATGGACCAAGGAGCCAAAGAATGCACGGGATCGCAGCATCCGGGTAACGATCAAGGCGATGAAGCTGCCTTTCAAATGCCATGGCAAGCTGAGATGTGAGCCAGACAAATGGCTCGCGTTCTACGTCTGCAGAGACTGCCCTGACAAGTCATTTTGTGTGACTTGTCTGACTGGAGGCTCAACCCGAGCTTGTGACGAGTCTCACCATATGCTTGAGGTCTTTTTGAGGGGGCGGGAAATTGGCAAGCCCATGGCGAAGTTTGAAGGGAGTGTACTCGAGGTTGATAAGTGGTTGGGAAATTTGAAAAAGAGTTGGGATATCACGGATGAGACTAAGGCTGCTCGTTCACTTTCCGATCCTCCGATAATCTCGAGGAGAAGAAAGACAATGAGAATCACGGTTGGCTAAATTTGTCTAAACCTGAAGATAGGAATTCAACTCCGTACTTCGCGATTTGTAGCATGTAAAATAGTCCAGAAAATCAGTCTGCGAATAGTCCCTATCTGGATTGCTAGATCAATTATAAGATACAAGGAAATGTGGCGAGGGAGTGGAAGACATCATATGAAGGGAAAGGAATGGAGATAAAAGAAAAGAGGTCGACGCAAGACATCAGAGGACGGATATTGAGAGACGACACAAAATCTCTGAGCTCCCGACTGACAATGCTCAAAACTTGAAAGAAAAGGACAGGTTCAATTTTGACTTGTGTCTGACATACAGGCAGCACAAAGTGGCCTTGCAGTTTTGATTTCTTGTTAGGTTTTCTCTCCTGACAGAACCCAAATGAAGTTCATAGGAAACCTTGAAATATTTCGCCTTGAACCACGGTAGACCAAAAGACGGCTACTGCGCTAATTCCGAGGCATCTCCTTCCATCTTCAGGGAGACTTCTGGGCCTATGTTCGATTGAGATGCCGGAACTGACTTGGACCTGCCACGTGAGGTCCGTGACTTTTTGGCTGTGGGCTGCGACTCATCTGCCACGGGTGCCTTTTTCTTCTTGCGTTTTTTGGTGTTTTCGATTATTTGAATCTCCTTCGTTACTGCCTCAAAGAATTTGGTAGCTTGGGGAGACTTGTGCCGATTTCGAGGGACTTCTATAAATTCTCTTTTGAGCCGTCTCAGTGTCTTGGACTGTCCGCTAAGGATCTATCAGGTGTTTAGCACGGTGATCCCCTACTTAATTTCATGATACTCACCTTCCGACACTCCTGTGGTCCCTTTCGTTGTTTTTCGATACATTCAGAGCAATCAGTCGCACCCGGGTTGTAGACGCATCCTTCTTTCAACCTGCCGGTGTTCTCATTCAAAGACTTTTCCCAGCTTTGAAGACAGGCAAGGCATACATTGCCCCGCACGTCATCTTTATTGGCTGCTGGCTTTGCACGGCTGGTACGGGCTTCATCCTCCCCGCCCGGTACAGATTCGACTGTCGGGGTTGGTGTAGCTGGATTTCCCCCCTTTTGTTTGTCTTTTTGTGCTGGGTGGGCGAAGTTTTCATATGTGCATCACTTGAGCAAGTTCCGGTCTGAAGTATCACTGCTGGGTTCAAGCTTTCGAGGCGATCTTTGGCTGTAGAGCTAGGTTTTGTCGCAGAGCTTCGAGTGGAAACCCTACTGGGCGGCAATTCTGCATGCGGGGGCTTGTCGCTATTCATACGTATTGAAGGAGGCTTTCGAGTTTTTCGTATATCTGACAGCGCACTCAAAGGTGATTCTGTTCGCAAAGAATGGCTGCTTTCTGTAACCATGCACTGGGAGGGTGTAGGTGTCCAGCTGTTCGGATGGCCACCAAATGGTGATTCTGCGTGTGAACGCCGGTCGATATCTGCACTGAGTCGCAGGGTTCGAGAGCAGGAGCTCTGGCGACTGCTCACGATACTTTGCATGCGCTTGTTCAAGATATTGGTGTTGTCATAATTTGTCTGAATGGACTCCTGCCAGTTCCTGCAGCTTTCCCCCATGTCTTGAGTAGACTTCTGTAGAGAGACAAAGGTCTCATTCATGCGTTTCATCGACGCTTCCCAATTGCATTGCGACTCTTCAGCTATGCGAACAGCGTCTTTAACAGCGTGAATAGACTTCGTAGTGGCGCGATAGGATTCCTCGGCACAGCGGACATCCTCTCTTAGAGTGTCGATATCTTGACAGATACCCTCTGCTAACTGGAATACGAGCTTTGTGGTGTCGTCTGCCATTCTTGACTGGATGTAGGGGGTATTGAAGACAAGTGAAAGAGACAAATGCTCTGAGGTCTTTCTCGGTCCAGCCTCCGCGATGAAAATTTTCCCCTATACCTGTCACATTTTAGGATTGCGACCTTTCCGTTTGCGATCTCGAAATGTTTGTCTCGCTCTGGATAATTTGATTGACTCTGTTGCTTCCAAGGTTTCCGTCTCATTTCAATTCCGCCTAGCTCTGCGGTGTCGTGGCGAGTGACTCAACTTGTCGCCTGCAACTATAGTGGCTAATTTCAGAGTGTGGGTATATATCAACAAACGCCACACGACTTTTGAGCTCAGAAATACCTAATCGTGAGTTTCTTCTTCCACCGCCTGAAAATCAGTAGAAGCTAGTGGACGGAGTATGGATTTTTTGGGAATACTTCTAATTGCCAAATAACCTTGGAAATTTCCGAGAACATGGGTTGTTTGATTATGTGCTTTTTGGTCGACAGAAGGCTCCCCGGGGCCACCAGCTGCATTGTCATCTACAGCCAGATACACATGCATTTGTGGTACCCCTTACTTTCTCTTGCGAGAATACCCTGAGCTTTTCGAAATTTCTCGGAAGTCTTCATGCCCCCAGAAATTCTAAGCTTCCTGTATTCCCGGGGCGGGCCGCCCGTCTGCATAATATTATTATGTCATCTATGCTAGACTTGATTATGCAAACACCTCAGCTTCTGCTGCTCTTGAAGTCCCACAACTTTCGGCATGTCTTTAGAGAAGAAAAGACAAAGAGATCGCCGATCGCAACAGAATCTTCGTGACAAAAAGTCGAAGCACACAGCTCACCTTGAAGAGCAAGTAGCACATTGCAAGCAACACCATGGCGACCACGCAGTTCAGCGACTTCTTGAAGTGATTACCGGCCTTCGTGAGGAGAATGGGTCTCTTCGAAATCGCCAGAATATCTTGAAGTCATTGGTCACATCTTGGGACCTGGAAACGGACCCAGTGATGCCAGGTCGTGCAAGTCTGGACAAGTCATCGCTCCACACAGACTCAAATTCCCGGGAAGCTCCCCTCTCATTCCACGCGGCTTTTCAAGGACCAATATCATCAAACGGCAACTCTAATAATAAACGTGGGTCAACTTGCACCCCGGCGACCGGCGCTTCTGCCATGGAAACACAATCATCGTCAGATGCATCCTCAACAAAGAGCACACCACTTTGGTGCCAAATTCCACCTCATACCGATGACTTCTCTGGTCCTCCAAATCTTATATCATGCCCTTGGTTCTGCTATCCAGAGAAAGTGACCCCATGTCCAGATACTCCAGGCTCGCCTCTCGATATTCTTTACGGGACGAAAACCAATGCGCTAGCAGATATGATCCATACGGCCTTACAGCGGAGGCCCATTCGGGACCCGGAACGTCTCGCAATGGGCTGGCTAGCTTACCATCTTTCAAGGTGGTTTTTAAATCCCACGCCAGCGACCTACGAACGCCTTCCTGTGTTCATACGACCCGTTCAAGGCCAGATAGAAGCTCCACACCCGCTGGTTCTAGACTTTCTACCCTGGCCAAGATTGCGCGTGAATGTGATTCGCCAGTGGCATCTCTACTGTGACAATCGAGATGATTTGTTTGGCATGTTTGCCTGTTGCATGAAGATCCGTTGGCCTTGGGGTGAGGATATCCTTGAGAGGGATGATAATAACGAGCTGCAGATCAAAAAGAAGTTCTATGACACATTTACAAAGCCAGAAGGATGGGGGCTTACGCCGGAGTTTACCGCCAGGTACCCTAATCTGGTCGAGGGGATGGATATTCGTGAAGTCCTGTTTGAGCTGGTGTGATGGAATGAGATGAAATTTCACTTTTGATTAAATATATGTATTTTGTAAATTAATACAGTTGAGATCTTGCCTTCAAGTTCTTTGCAGCATCTATTAATGCACCAACCTTGCCCAGGTGGAATGCCTGCCATCATTCATGGATGGAGCAGTGATGTCCAGCCGATGTCTTCCTCGAAAAATTCACGATTTGGTGCCATCAAGGTTCACTGGCCACTTCTCTCGAATCACCTTTCCGTACTTAGTGAAGATTATAGGAAGTGGAACAAACGCCAGTGCCAAAAATCCAAGCAGAGAGTTTCCCCAACCGAGGCCCAGAGCATCGAACATTGCAGGCCCAGCTAGGGGAAGTAAAGCACCAACCAGTGAGCGTGTTGCAGTCAAGGTGGCGTTTGCAGATGCTGCGTATGCGGGATAGCAGTCGATAACGTATGTTTGAATAGGCATGTACACGCCCATCATACCTAATCCAAAGGGAAACATTCCGATGATGGGCACTATCCAGAAGACATGCTTATCGGCTGTCCAGCCGTACCAAAAGAAGCTGATTGGGAGAATGCATGAGAAGATCAACATCATCGGAAGTCGCATCTCGGGTTCAAACTTTCCGCCGTTTTGCTTGGTGAGTCTCATCACGAGGCGGTCGTTGGTCATAGCAATGCCAGCAAGTCCTGCCATGAAGCCAAATCCAATACCCAGATATGCGAGCCCTGATAGGCCCACAGAGAAGCCATACTGGCTTGTGAAAACCTCGGAGATGGTGGTGAAGAAAAGATACAGCAGACCGTAAACAAGAGCCTAAGATAATTGTCAGCGGGGAACATTCAGGGCGCGTCCTGATTTGCTACAAAATCAAAGGCATGGATAGTACTCACCATATAGAGAGAAAGAAGCAGCACGATCGGTGATTTGTAGAATAACAACAAGGGTCTCATAAGACCCTGCATAAGAACTTGTCTGGGAGAAGCTGGCTCCTTACCGGCTTCATAAGCACTTTTCAAATCGCTTCGTCCAGTCTCTTTAGCCAACTTCTCCGTCTTCCATCTGATGAGAACCGCCGCGTAGGTCTCTTGATTTAGGATCTCCACACCGAGAGACATTGCTCCACCCGCAATGAGTAGAAGCCAGAAAACCCACCGCCACCCAACTGCCTCGCCAAGGAAACCACCAGCAATGGGACCAACCACCGGTCCCACAAGCGGTCCCATGGCCCAGATTGAGGTTGCCATGCCTCGTTGCTCGGTTGGAAATAAATCTGCAATTACACCAGCTCCTAGAGTGAGGCAGCCCGATCCGCCGATTCCAGCAAACAGTCGACAGACAATGAGAGTTTCAATATTCTGGGCGAGAGCGCAGCCAATTTGCCATATCACGAAGAACCAGTTTGCAGCGCTGAGGACGACACGACGACCATATATTTCACTAAGAGGGGCGAGTAGAAGGGGACCGAACTGCGTACCAGATGTTAGTCTTGTGGATGCGGAGGCTCTGTTGTTATGAAATTGGATAACTCACTGTGTACCCAAGAAGATAGATGCTAACGCTAAAAGAAAGGATTGTCTCATTGGTCTCCTTGAACTCGGCTGCCATAAAAGAGATCGCCGGCGAGAACATGCTTGAAGCAAGAGGCGAGATCAGAGTCATTGCACTGATCAAGCTGAGCAAAGCCCACTTTTTGCCAGGAGAAAAATTTTGTGGATTCTTGGGATCATCTTGTCCCTCCCAGCCAACGATGCCATGATCTAGGTCTGTTTCTGGAAATAGCGCACGAGCTGGTGTTGAAGACGAGTCCTGGTTCTCAAGGTCGGTGGTCTGCTTTCCGGTATCGGTTTCTTCGTTTGACGATGAATGGCATGATGATTCTGTTTCTTTCTCGGGTAAAACCATGATAGAAGAACTAATGTTCAGAGTATGAAAAAAAAATCTCAATAATCCGTATGTGAGATGGGTTGTTATACGAGGAAGCAGTGAGCAACTCGAGTCGTGCTTCCAGGTGGTATGCGTAGAATGATAAGGGAACAAAATCAGGTCTTATGATCTGCTAGGACATACAAGTGGCTAAGTATACTCGGAACAGTAATCTTTATGCAAGCTGAGTCCAATCGGCGTTTTTTATGCGCACAATCCTGGTGGTTCGTTGGCTGGCTATACTCCGTAGAGCCGCCAACCTGAACGGCAATGATTCAGCTTTCCACTTATTACATTCGTTGACGAATCAGAATCCTGTTTCTATGCTTAGTCATGAGAGCTGAATCATTGGTGTGGGGAATAGGCTTTCGAGTTTATTCGCACATGGGAGAACGTGGATTTCATAGTTGTGTTCAATTCTTGTGCAAACGAGTTACATAACCGAGGGGCGACGCTTTAAACCCCAAACATCAACAATCGTAACCGTGGAATCAACGTAACGCACTCCTATCCACAAATAACGATTAGCTCATCTGCGATGCATGCGCGGTTAGTGGTCGGCTTGTACTTACCGAGAGCTAAGTGACACGTCTCGTTCCTTCCAAGGTTCCGCGGGTTCTTCATAATAAGCTTGGTCATGCTTTCGTTTGTCGTCTCTTCCCGTCTTCCTCGTCGCATATCGATCATATCACTGTCGCGCTCTCTGCGTTGCACGGAATGGTGCGAAATTTGCAAGCGCTCACACGTCACAGTCTTTGCTGTTCAGGCACCCAACATTAGGAGCTCAGGTCCATCAAGTCCTGAGCCTCCTGTTCAAGATCCTCGGACTCCGACCCCGAGTCAAAAATGTCATCAGGCTCATTGCCTCCCACATAATCGGGGTCACTTTCTTCTTCCTCATCGTCATCTTCATCATCGTCTTCATCTTCATCATCGTCTTCTTCGTCTCCCACTTCAGAGTTATTGTCCTCATTTCCAGAGTTCGCAGACGCTAATTCGGAATTCTCATCACCCTCAGACGACTCAATGTAATCCTGGATGTCATAGCACACTTCCAGGAAGTCGTCCGAGGTGAGATACTGGGCTGGGTACGGCATATTGTACACCTTCCGAACCAACCGAGCAATGATATCAGGCATCTCATGCTTCAGTTGTTCAACCAAAATGGAAAGCGGCAAAAAAGCCGGCATCTCCAACTTGTACAACTTGGTATGCCAGAAGCGATTGATGAGCTCCCGGATGAAACTTTCCGCATCGTCAAAAGTGTGCCTCTTGCAATGGGTAACCCGACTCAAAGCCCGAATCATCTCATTCATATCACAGCGATGATCATAATCATAAAAGCACAGCTTGACACGAGCCATGAACTCATCCGCATAAACGGATCTTCCATAACCGTTCTGGACGAAGTCAACAAGCTGGGCGTCCATGTTATCGCACAGCCATTTGAAGATACCCTTGGATGCCTCCTCCCAGTTGACGAACTCGGGGGTATTTTCATCAGGACGAAGAATATCCTTGTTGATCAAGGCTTCCAAGTTCCAGTGCTTGAGGACTCGAGAAACATCCTTGCACCACTCGTCAAAATAGAGGGGTGTTTTCAGTTGGACTCTCAAGAGCTTCATCCGATTGCTGTCATACTTGGGCATTCCGTCCGCCTGGGTTCTCGCGCGGAAAACAATGCCTGCGTCCAGCAGGAGTGCCATGTTGGGGTTGATTGGTTCAGACATTGCGGGGGTTCGGTGAATCGAGGTAGGTTCTATGCAACGACAGCCGGTTAGCTCTTCGATATGCACCAAATGCTTGATGCTGACCTACTTCACAGGAATTGAAAGCAAGAAAGTGGCTTGAGAGGGCCGTTCAGTGTCTTCTCCGTGGTGGACAAAGAGTGTGCTGGATCTGTTGAGTTGGAGAATGACCTTGGACCAGTTCGACTTCAACCACGACAATATTGTGTTGCAATGCTTTCATGTATCTTTTCAAACGAGGATAGGAAGGTTCACAGGCTTTCCAAACGATGGATGACTGTGGAAGAGACCGGTGGTTGCAAGCAGAGGATAATCAACCGGAGTGAGGTGAAGGCCAATGAGAATATTGTATCCCCGCAAAATGCACCCGCACTTTCTCCTCTCGTTAAAAGCCACGGGGTGTTGTCACCGGATCTTATCCCCGTGGCTATAAGCTGATGGATTTTCTCTAGATTTGAGCACGGCTCTATCGATAGGAACCTGGTTACTATGCTCACGATTTACCAGCAACAAGCAAACTTCATTCAACTCATCCTGGCAGTCTCTACTACCATGATGTCAACTACGGATTCAGAACTTGGCAGGCAACATCTACTCTTGGAGTACTGAAGCTCTCACCCAGTACCACGGGACGGTCTTTACCCAGACTTGCACCTCCCATCTAGGTGATTGTCTGCCACTGCTCCGCGGAACAATAGTCACTATATGATTTCAGTTTGGGTGATCGACAAACGAGATTTATGGTCGGTCCCATGTCGCAGATATAGTCTCGTCCCGTCCCATATCTGTGAAGGACCTCTACGGTGTCAAGATCCTAGCATGCAGGCCATTTTCCAGTTCATGTCGACAGCACACATATAACAGGAAAGGGAAATGACCAAAACAGCGACCCCAGACAAACGCCCATGGATCACTATCATCAGGGATGGAAAACAAAAAAGCCGGATTGGTATGGATCCAAATAGCACTCACGATATTGAAGACCGCTGCGCAGTGATAGCGGGCTTTGCAAGATGTGTCGATTTGAATTGGAGAATAGAACGACAGCAGAGCAAAATGCAAGGGGAATAGTGATGGTCAAATCCCTGATAACTAATTCTTTAAGGGTTCCAGACGCCTAGTAGGAGACATCTGTTTCCACAGACTCTCTTGTTTATCATTATTGCACGTGATCATCCAAGGAGAGGGGATGTTTTCAGGGATTTCAAGGCTATCTTTTGGGTATTGCTAGCTTTGTGAGTTCCTTGTTTCAATTTTGAATGAGCAGAGAAAGCTGGGGTTTGAAGCAAGTTGATCAAACGAGAACAAAGAGCGGCAAATGCGTCCTGGACATGAGCTAGGAAGAAAGCGAGTGTACAATTTTAGCTGCCAATTGCTTGCTACCGGGTTCCTTCCTTTCCTCGGCTGCTCCACCGACCGGACCTTTGAAGTGATGGTGTTCGGCGAATGGCAGCCCATGCATTGGAGTATGCTTCCAAAAAGCGCTCATGAGAACGGCTTTCGTCAGCACCACGAGCCGCGCCCTCGAATGCAGCCTTTTGCTGCATCACAGGTCGAGTGATACTTGCTGGTATCTGCAGGCAAAGTCAGTTATAAAGTCAGAGCAAAATCGTACCAGGATACTTACAGCGATGCACTCAAGCCGGCCGGTAGAGCAATATTGACACTTGAAGGCCCGCCCAGATCGGCCTTGAGAAAACACACAAGGGCGAACATCTTCGCCTGCTTGGATGTTGTGTTTCCACGAGCGGAAGCAGCGTAGACACACCTTTTGGTCTTGTTGCGTCTGCGCTCGGCCTTCGTCGCCGGATTCCATGTCACTGGATACGGCACACTCCCGCTGGAGGATAGAATCCATATCCTGGACTTCGGGGGTTGGAGTTGATCGGGATTCTGCTGTCCCCTCAACTTTGGCTGGCGGCTCAACTGGGGCCGCATGTTGATTGGGTAGGCTGGGCACGGGTATAGCTGAAAAGGGATTGGGGGCACCCTGGCCGTACTCGTGCTCCCATGATTGCGCCAGTTGCTGAGCGGCCTCAGAAAAATTCCGTAGAGCGTCTGAAAGACTAACTTGTGGTTGTCGTTGAGGTTGAGGCATCTTTAGCGGAAAGTGGTGAGCATAGGTTATGTTGTTGCAAGGGATCACCCCCCCTGAGAGTTTTCGAGTTTTCCGCACCTGCCGATGTCGGCTACGTCATTACGCGACATTCCGCGTGTGCCGAAGAATGTTGCCGAGTGGTCGTGTTATCCGCACCAGCCGCGTATGCCGCTTCGCGGGCCTAGCAGTACACTCCAGAACTATGAGTCAGGATTGAAGGATTGAGGTCGACCAATACCCATGTCGGAGGCTGGAGATCAAAAAATATTTTTGAAAATATTTTTTTTAGAAAAAAAAGCTCAGTATGGAGAAGTATTCCCAAATACTGTGCAATTCAATTCCTCAACACAGCCACAAACGAGAATGACAAGTTGGGAGCCAAGCTCCAATCCACAGACCTTTGCTGTGGTCTGACTCTGCTCTAACTCTGACTGCATATCTCACTGCCCAACCTTGGAAGGCTGATTAAAAAAGGACCAGCTTCAATGCTCAGGATCATATGATCTCCATTGGTCATTCAATCTTAAAATCGAAGGAAAATCCATATCGGGTTCATACCCAAGGTTGAAACTATTCCGATGCTTCCGATGCTTCCAGGGTTGCTAGAAGCGTGGTATAGTGATACAACCATAATTCAGATGAACACAAAAAGCTGCTGCACTGTAACATGATCGATGTCGAAGAGATTCAACTCCCACGTATATATCCTGTCTTATGAAATTTTCTAGACATGCATGCTCTCAGAACGTTCCCCGGAAAATGGGAATGACCCGCGGACCCGGATAGGGCTGACATTATCGCTCTTATCGTCTGCTCTCCGCCACTTTTTCCCTTCACCTTCTTCTTGTCCATCCTCTTGCCTTGAATCGGGAGACCCTTGACCATTGTGGTCACATATCTTGGAACTTGGACATAGTCTTGAACACTTGCGCCAAACACCGACCTTTGGCAGGAATCCTGCTGCCTTGCCCGCTCCTCGAACCCCAAACTCGCGTTATCTTATCACAGGATGGGGATTCAGGTCTGACAGGAACATCAATAGCCGCTGCTAGGCCACTAAGATCTGTCTGGCGCCCCTCGTTCTTCCCCCGACCGTCCGACCCCAACTGCCCCTCCTCAAAATGGACCAGGAGGAGGCTCCACCACCCCCTTACTCCGCTGTCGATCCATTGCTTACTCCCACCAACAACCGGAACAACAACACCTCCCCAACCTCAGCCCCGCCTGCAAACGGTGAATCTTCACAGGATGCCGGTAGCTCGCGGGTGCCCGTTCAGCCAGCGGTCTTGCCCACCCATTTTACCTCGGCCTCGGCGTACTTTGAGCAGCGGCCCCCGTCGGTCGTGGACGAAAGCCGCAGTCTTCTGCAACATCATATGACCGTCTACCCCCGAAGCCAAGCCAAGGATTTCCCACGAAGACCGCGCTGCTGGGCTTCGCGCTTCGACGAAACGACCCAGCAGGACTGGGATGCTTTCTTGCGGTACCTGTTCCCGCCGGAGTTGGGGCTGGCTGCCTCCTCGCAACACCTGCCACGCCAATTGCGCGCGGAAATTCGACGGGATCGCAAAGATCGCCCACAAGAGACGGATGAGCAGCGCAGGGCTCGGATTGCTGCCGTTGTTGGAGAATGGAACGAATGCTTCTTCCATTTCCGCGGCGCCCATATAGTATTCATCTACGTGGGCGAGCCCAATTCTACACCTTCATCTGCTCTCTGTCCCCGATGCTATCCGGCTGCAACGGGATCTATAGAGAGCTCGCCATCACGGCATCCCAACACACCGTCGCCAGTCTCTGCCCAGCATAGCCCTTCACCGGCCCCTTGGCCGACATCCCCGTCTCCGTATCACTACCCTCAGGGCTTTGCTCCTCCGTTACCGTACGGAACACCATATGGTGCTCCCACATATCCATCTCCTGTATCTCCCAACCAACCTCCTCAATACTACCCACATCCACAACCTCAACGGGCATGGCAATGGAACAATTGGGGACACGCGCCCCAGCAGCCGGCATATCAAAACAACGGCTCTTCCAACAAAGGTGGATGGATATCCCAGCTTGCATCGACGGCGCAAAAATATGGTGAGCGCTTCAGTGAACAAGCCCAGCAGTATGGGGACCAACTGAGCGCGCACGCACAGCACTACGGACGACAGGTTGAGGAACAGGCTCTAGCCCACGGCCGGTGGATTGAAGAGCAAGCAAGACTTCATGGCCGGAAAGCACCAATGGTCGCTCCATATAATACTAATTATTACGGCCGACCGGCTTGGGATAATTCACCTAGACCTCCGCCAACACCCAATGTCCAACAACCTATCACTCATACCCCAAGCCCGGTGGTCCCAAGTCCTGTGGCCCCAACACCTCCACAGACAAGAACGCCACCCGAAACGACAAATCAGGATAATGACAAGCCTAAAAACTTGGTAGAGGAGCCTCCTGCCGAGTTGGGCGTTGTTGAGCGTACTCGACGAGCATCAGTGAGCTCGATTTCATCGGAGTCTTCCTTCAGCTCGATTGATTCAATATCCACAACATCAGATCTAGATGTCTCGGACCTTGCCACGGTGCGAACACAGCTAGAACTTCTCGATGATCGTCATGACCGGACTCTGTACGATGCTGTCGTGGGGCTCCGTCAACAACTCACGGTCTTGCAGAAGACCCGTCGAGAAGGCAGATTTTTAGGAAAGGATAATTGGAAGGCCGGGTTCGGTCAAAGCCAGCAAAACACTCAACAAGCTGCAAGTAACGATTGGGGTCGTTGGGACTCTCCTGAGCAGCAAGAACGTCACTCTATGGACAGACGCGCCTTGAAAGATGAGATGCGATCTACGAAAAAGGCATTCCGGGACACTCTCCGGCGCGCTCGTGATGAGCAGCGGGAACGGCGGCGTGCAAATCGCCGCAAGGTCCGACAGGCCAGGGCAGGCGATGGGAACAAGACGAGAAAATCGCAAGATCAACCTCTTGAGCAACAACTCACGGCCTTACGGTTGGACAGTTCTCAGTCCAGTCAGTCTCTTGTGCCACAGCGAACCAATTCGATACAAATCAGCCCGGTTGCTCCCCAAGCTTCCACTGTCAGCTTTGAGCATGCTCCGAAGCCCCCGTCTATCACGGGGACGAACACCCAAGACCTCAATTCTTCTGGCAGCTCGGCGTCTACCAAGAAAACGAAATCGACTGATACCTCAAGTCGGTTGAAGGATATGCTTAAGTCTAAGAAGGCTAAGAAGCAAAAGGATGATGAGGCGGCCAACAAATAACCTTCTTCAAGGACTCGGTCGAGACAGTTCTTTGTCTTTTGCTCCATCAAGTTCTTTGTTTGACGTTTGAAAGATTTCATACAGTGCACTCTTTTCCATCCTTCATCGCTGTATACTTACCAAGTCTGGGCGAAATCACGACGACCCGTGGACGACCCCACGACTTACTCATGTTCATACTCCTGACCACCATGTCCAAGATTCTATATCAAGCGTAAATTAGACCTCAAAACCACAAGTTGCACAAAAATAACCTTTTTAATATCTCTATAGATACAAACTAGCCCAAATGCATCAACAAACTCAGGCAGAACCTAAGACTGCGACTCATTTCTCTCCACAAGCTCGCCAACACCAAGTCCCCTCCCAACCTTGACCCGAATCTGCTTCTCCATGTCCTTCTTTCCAAGCTCTCCAACCTCCTCTCCCTCATCAGCATCCTCATCTCCCTCCTCCTTATTATTCTCCCGGTCCTTCTTCTCAATCGCCTTCCAATCAAGCCACATATTCTGCAGGTTCAAGTGCATAGCATACGCATCCTCTCCATCAGCATAGTATCCACTCTCGACCTTCTCAACCTCAAAGCCCAGTGTATCACGGTACAGACGCAGAGCCGCAACATTAGACATACGCACGTGCAGGGAGACGAAGTGGGCGCGGTGAGATTCCGCCATCGCGCGCTCTGCAAATATCATTAGCTCCCATCCGTATCCGCATCCGTGTTTGAAAGCTGCAATTCAACTCGGTCCACGTCTGCATTGCTCATTTCAATTTCAATTCCACTTACGACTCATGCGCATCAATCGCTCCGCAATTCCAAGCCTCCGATGCGTCCTCATCACACTCAAACTGGTAATGTGTCCATGTTGCTTGCCGTCGGTGGGTTCTTCTTCCATTTTCGCAAGCACGTAGCCCACTACCTTGGGGTATTGGCCTGAGACATCGCCAGCAGCTCCGACGCCGGAGAGACCGTTACCGGAGCCGTGCTTGTAGCCGTTGCGGGGGCGCACGATTGCGACGAAGCTCAGTTGCGGCCAGGTCAGGGCGTGGTACAGGTAGTATTTTAGGAAGTAGTTTTCGGGCAGGTTGGTGATGTTGCATGTTTGGATTGAGGGGAGGAGGTCGATGTAGGAGGGGTAGCTGCTTAGGGGGACGATGTCGACCATTTTGGCGGTTTGGGCTGGGGATTGGAGAGGTGTGGTGAGGGGTGTTATGGAGTAGTTTGCGGTGCGGTGGAGTGGGGGGTCATGTGATGTTATCGAGGCCGCAGAGTGACGGCGTGGGAAGTTGGAAAGTTGCAAAATAAGAACTTTGGGCTCGACTATTTGAAAAGTCTAGATTATTTTGGCATTTGAATTGATTTGTACAACCTTGAAACTTGTAGATTGCTTTGTTAAGTACGCATTTTGATTTTGTTACTGAATACCCATCCTGCCCGGGCCTGCCTATGCTTAGATGTATGTAAATTAAATCAATTTGTACATAGGCAAAGGCTATTCAACATTGGGATCAAGAATATGGCATGGTCTGAATGAAGAAGGAAAGAAGATATAGCGCCGACGACCTTTCTGGTCATGCACCCAAGATATCCAAGAAAAAAAAATATACTCGTAGAAGTCGTGGAAATTAGAATGCAGAGATCAACATCTGCGCCCCCATCGCCACCATGACCAAGGTCGATAGGCCAGCAACGGAAGCACTGACAGGTGCAGCAGATGCCTGACCACAGCACTTCCGATTGTATGTGACGTTGTTCATATCGGCAGCAACCTCGAAGACGGAGCCGTTGAAGTTACCGTAATTGTAGTAGTCGACCAAAAGGAAGTTGGGGGGACGGTCCCAAGAGTCTAGTTGCGTTAGTAAAATTCATCATCGTGCATGATCGAAGCAAGACTTACCAGCACAGTCCTGGGCCATCGATCCCAGTGTTCCATTGGTGTTTGTCTCGTTCGAATTGGTGACCTCGAGACTGGCAGTGTTGGGGATCAACAAGCTCAAAGAGCCCAAGTTCAGCTGCAAGTTCAGGTTGTGGTTGGCCATGTACATGCGGTTCTTGGCGTCCTTCTTGGACAGACCAGGGGGTCGCTGTTGGGTACATGGGAAGTTCACATCTGTAGGCGAGAAGGGCGTTTCCCACATCTGCGAGAACTCGTCCATGAGCCAGGGGTGGGCGGTCTGGTTGGCCTGGTAATCCATGAAGAAGACCGCGCGCTTTTGGCGAAGAATCATCTCGGACAGGGTTGGCCAGTCGTTCAGAGCCATGGGCACCTTGGAGGGGGTGTAAATCAGATCCTTCAAACCCGAGTTGTAGATCGGGGTGGTAAAGTTCTCGGGAGAGACGTAGTCGAAGTTTCCGATCATGAAGGTCACCACATCATACGGGTTCTTTCGCATCCACTTGTTGACATCCGTCAGGTAGTCCTCGAGGGTGCCGACGTCAAGCAATTGACAAGTCGAGTGGCAGAGGTACATGGTGCCGTTCTCATAGTGAGTTTGGAATTGCACTTATAGATCCATAGGTCAGCGGAAATGTTCCAAGGGTCCAAAAATTGCCTGTATACTCACGCATGCGAACTCCGTCGTTCAATTGTTGCGTCACGTCCAGCACCTGGTTGGCAGCAACATTGTTCTTGCGCACGAACGGGCTGTTGTGGGCAGCGACCATAGTAATGTTGGAGTACTTCCTCGCGCAGAACTCGGGGTAGTTGTTGCAAGGCTGGGTGTTAACCACGGGTGAGGCGGTCGCGGTACCGGAGGTCGTCGCGGTCGCATTCATACTGCTATTGCCGAGGGTGGTCGTTCCTGCGCCTCCGACCAGCAAAGTCAAGGCATTGGATGTGGTGGTAATTACGGTCCCGTTCCCAGACGTGGTCATGGTACTATTTGAGTGTCCGGTGGTAGTGGAGGTGAGGACTTCGATCTCTCCATCGCTCAAGGTCCGAGTGGTGCTAACCTGCTCATAGGTACCTGAGGGCAGGGCCACGGGCGTGGTGACGCTCACAACCGTGGGTCCATCGGTGGTGGTCGAATCCCGAGTGCCCGTGGACTCACTGGTGGTAGTCTCCTGGGCGACAACTGTGGTCGCCAACAGGGCGAGGGCAAAAGTAGGCCACCTCATGGTATGTACGATGTACGATGTATGTGCGATTGACAGGAGGCGAAGATCTGATTTCTGGAGATCCAACCTTACTTACCTAAGCGGATCCAGCACTGGAGTTCGCCCCTCGTCGTACTCGTAAGGGGCCAACAGGTTGTGGAGTCGTGACGTTGTCGGCCAAGAGTGGACAACGATGGGCCAATAGTAGGGAATAATAGCAGAACGGAGTAGCTCAACTCCAGGATCAGTGCTAATCCAGTGCTAATCAGGCTGGCTAGGCAACCTGTTAACGAAGTACGGAGTACAACAAATTGACTTAAAATTCCCCCCGTACTAGTCGCTCCAGTTATAGTGCTGCCTGCAATGTTATTTTTAGTGTCTTAAAGGAACAGCCTAGTCTTTCATTCCATTGGCCATCTGATTTTACTCCTTTGCATGTCTCCTGTCGTGTCTCTGGTTCCAAGGCCTAGAGCCTTTCAAGGAGGAAGTCTAAAGTAAGACTCTGATCGTCACTACGCGCCACTAGTGTCCAGCCACTGACGATCGCACGGGAAAAGGTGAAAATACCTTTGAAGTTACAATCTGATCTTTCAGGCCCTGCTGTGACCAGATCTTGAATCTTTGGGTGTCGTTGCATATTGCATGGACCCAACGTCATCCCGTGGGAAACCCTAATTCCTTTCTTTTTTCACCTTCTTCTTCTCATATCACCTGGGTTTCTGTCCTATATACACCCCCTGTGCGCTTCTCAACATCATGGAGGGGACGGAGAAGCGGAAGCTTCCTTTCTTTCGCTCCACCAGCCCCAAGAACCGCCGCATCCAAAACACTGTCCATTGGCACCGCGGCTTGCGCTCATTCCTATACCTGGTCGCCTGGATCTTCCTGGTCCTGGTTGTCATTGGCAATGTTGCCAATAAACCAGTGCTGCGCAGCACCTACTTCCTCTACCTCGATCTCTCCAACATTATCCCCGTCTCCGTACCCAATGCCGTCCTGATCAACTCCATCGCCCAGACCATCGGTCTGCACGACTTCTACCAGGTGGGCATGTGGAATTACTGTGAGGGCTACAATGCAAATGGCATCACCCACTGCTCTAAGCCAGAGACTCTCTATGCCTTCAACCCCGTCGAGATCATCCTGAGCGAGCTGCTGTCCGGTGCTAGTAGTATGTTACACCACCTCCGCATCCCCGAGATAGACTAATGAGAATCCAGTCGCACTCCCCTCGGACATCGAAGAGCCCCTCAAATTAGCCCGCCTCGCCTCCCACTGGATGTTCGGCCTCCTCCTCTCCGCCGCCGTGCTCAACTTCGTCATGATCTTCGTCGCCCCCTTGGCCGTCTCCTCCCGGCACCCACGATACATCAAGAACTGGGAAGCACAACACTCGAGCCCGGACAGCTGGCCCGTGTCCGGTGCGCCACCCCACCGCCGCCGCACCTTCGTTTGGCTGCGCGCTCTCCCCATGCTCATCATCACATTCTTCACGGCGCTAGTGACGATCGTAGGCTCCGCGGTCGCGACAGTCATGTTCGTGATCTTCGCCAATGTCTTCGCAAACGCCGACCCAAGCATCAACATCAAAGCCCACGTCGGCACCCAGATGCTCGTCTTCATGTGGATTGCCTCCGCCTTTTCCTTGCTCGCTTTCATCCTCCAGATAGGCTCCTGCTGTGCGGCCTGCTGTCGCGGTCGCAAGGCCCGTAAGCAGCTCAAGTCTCAAGGTGTTGATTGGCGCGAGAAGGGCTCTCTATTCAATAGCGCGACTACTGCTAACAGCAAGCCGCAAGAGTCGGGCGCTGTGGATCAAAATGCCGTTTCTTCTGGTCGGGACTTGAGTCCCGTTAGCCCCGTTGAGGAGCGCCGTCTTAGCTCCAGCGGCCATGCATTCTCCAATGAGCATGAGCAACGCCTTGGGTCTAGTGGGAACGGCTACGCGGAGCACAACGGAACCACCTTCTCTTCTCAGCAGCAGTACCATTCAACTGAACCTCACGCAGTCTCGAAATGATTTATCTCCGCTTTTTCTGAGCGGAAAACAAAAATCATCTCGAGCTTTTTGGACATTGATATCCATCACCATCTTTTCCTTTCTATCTTGATTTTTGGGGAGAACTTATTTATCTCCATGTGTGCTATAGTGTCACCCTTCTTTTGGACATCCCAGATCTTCACCTGTGCCAGGACATTGCCACCCTTGGTATCAGTTTACGATGTTTTCTCAACATGTTGAGATATAGAAGGCATTTCTTATCCTGCATGACGATTCTTGATTTAATTTGGCGCGGATTTGATTTAAAGATGTATATAAACTGTCTATACATTTGGATCTTTGAGCATAATCACTCGGTGCTGAAGCATGCTTATATGTATACTGTCTTTTCAGGGCCTAGTTTGAAGCTAAGCGGGTCTGTCGGTACCAAGAATATCATTGGTTAAAGGCAGTTCTTGATACAAGCGTGAGGAAAGTCGAAGCTGCATTGTGGACTTCATCTTTCTGGTATTCCGAACTCGCAGGCTCTCTTGGATCTTCGTCTAATATACTTTCTTTGCAAATATGTATCCCAACACATCTCCAACTAAAACCCTTGGAACCAGGAACCCGAGCTTTCTAAGGTTGGGGACTGCCCGAGGTCCAACGATCTCCGAACCTTGGAAAACTAGGTAGTTATGGCTGAATCTAGATTGGAGCCTCTCGGGATTTCTACCCAGGTGGCGGATTGACCTCATTCGTATCTTACCAGAAGGTTAGATCAGATGATGGAAGTTTGCAACTTGATGAATTCATAAGAATAGTTGTATCGGAAACAATTAGAGTCACATTTCAAAGCTTGAGGTTCAGATTCTGAGATGAAAAAGTAGACAAACAACAAATCAACAAACTATGATAAACGCCCTACGCCACCCACAAGACGGGAGCGTCGAGGTTAATCAGAAGAAGCAAACGGATAGAACGGAACGGAACGGAACAGGGTATCGATATGGAAAAGGAAAAGCCAGAATAGCCGAAAGAGACACAGGACCCATAGGACATGGTAATAAAAAGCGATAGAGAAAATTCACCAATCATACTGGTACTGACATGAGTACATGCAGTAATGACAAGAAAGCAAAAGCGAAGAAGGAAGATGAATGGAAGCGAAGAGAAAAAGGGAAAAAAGGAAACCATGAGCCCGTGTCTTTCACTCCTGGTGCGCCGACAAGTCAGTACGCACACTAAGACGCCATGTATGCAAATTCAATAGATCAGATATGAAAATCCAAGAACAAGCCATCTACATCTCCATGCCATACTCATCCTCCTCCTTGAAGCTCATGGCAGCATGGCCAGCGCTGTTCCAGTATTGAGGCTGACCGGCGCCGTTGGCACTGCTGGCACCACTGTGGAACGAGGGGCTCAGGCTGGGAGGGGTCAGGCCGGACATGTCACCACCTTGAACGGCGTCGCCGGCGATGTTGGTGTGCTTAGGAACGCGAAGGCCACTGCCCGGTCCACGGGTGTAGCTGAAGGAGGTAGGGTCGTTCTTCTCAAGTGCGTCGAGAATCTCGCTACGCATGCGCTTCTCTTCCTCGGTTTGTTCGAATGGCCAGGTGCCACCGAGGCTAGCGATCAGTTCGGCTAGTTCTGCCTCCTGTTGATACTTGACGTGCAGGGCCCACATCAGATCGCGGGTCCAGCTGACAGCGCCATTGAGGATGTCGCCCTTGTTGGGACCCTTCTCCTTCTCTTCGATTGGAAGTCCCATGGTGATGTTGCCGGGTGTCGCGCGGCGGCCATTTCCTCCAGCGAGAAGTGATGTGGCGGCGCTTCCACCTGCGCCTGCCATGGAGAGAGTGCTGCTGTTGACAAGTTGCTTCCGGACCTTGTCGTCTTCGAGTCGGTGTTGCGGAACCAAGTGTGATAGATCTTGAATGCGCTCGTTGATGTTGTCGCGGCGGCGCCGCTCGACTAGGTTGTGCGAGGCACGGCGGCGGCGGCGCTTGGCTTCCTGGGATTCGAGGTCTCCGCCACCAGGGAGATGGCTGTCGACCTTGGCAGGCAGGGAAGCATGCTTGCCAGACTTGATGATCTCAGAGATGCCAGCGTGGTGAGATTGGTGAGGAGAAGAGATGGGAGAAGATTCGGCGTATGACTGAGCGCTGCCTGATGTCCCATCCCATTGATTGGACAGAGTCTTCTGGTGGCGAGCTTGGATTCCGGTACGAATTGGTTGAGATTGGAAGCTGCCGGATTCGGGGGTACCCAGGGTCAAAGAACCCAATGCAGGCGTCTTTGGGGTCATGGGGCTGCGACCATCAGATGAAGGACGATCCATTCCCTGTAAGCTCCGACGCTTGTTGCCGAGGTAGGTCTGGTCAAAGGAGCTGGCATTCTGGACGTGCGGGTTCTGTTGGTTCATCCGGTATTGATCGAAGTTGAAGCTGTTTTGGACGAAGGGGCTGGCCATCGGCGCGTTGTCGGGAGTGTTGGAGTACATCTGCGACATCTGACTCTGGTGGCTCATGGCGATGCCGCCGGCAGACTGGTCCTGCAGGTAATTCATGTTATCGCGCTGGTGGCCATTCTGACCACTGATCTCCAAATCCAGTAATTCATCCGTGTCGATGCCGGAGTTTCCGAAGTTGAAGCTGTTGGACATGTTTTGTTGTGAACCATACGGGTAAGGCATGAAGCCATTCTGCTGCTGCATGGTCAAGTCGGAAGGGTCCACGCCCTCGTTGGGGTGGTTGCCGAACTGGTTACCCATGGAGTAACCGGAGTGCGACATCATGAAAGGATTGAGATGGTCGTCGGATTCGTGTTTGATGAAGAGACTCGCTTCAGCCATAACCTGGGTGAGACGGTAAGGGTGGAAAACTGGGGTAATGCGGATCGGCGAGGGGTCAAGGGAGAAGTCGTAGTGCCGATCCTATGAACTCTCCGGGGTTGTTGATAAGGTTGAGTGGGGTTGAAATACCCGATGGTCGCGAGAGGTATCAGAGGAAAGAAATGGAAGTGAGGGTTGATCTGCGCATTACAATGTTAGTCAACTCGACCCCGCCCGTAGGCGATTTGAAGATGCCATGGACCTCCGTGCGCAAGGCAAACCAGGCAACTAAGAAACAGAGCCCCGGAGCCTAGGGAATGTGAGAGACTTACCCTGGTGAGCACTAGCCACAGTGAGGGAAAATAGATTGTGGGAAATGAAAAGAGTCTGGGGAAAATATTCCCTTGAAAGGCGGGATGAGTCGAAGGGTGGAGGGTGGAGGGTGGAGGATCTTCGGGGCACAAGTGTCCGAGAAGATCGCAACAACGGTGTTGATCAAGCCAATTGAAAGTGGCTCCAAAAGTTCTAAAAGAACTGTGTGAGCGATGGAAGATAAATCCAACCAGACTCCAATTTGCTTTGAAAAGAAAAGGGCCGCTGGTAGAGATAAAGGAGAAGAGAGATGTGAAAGAGCACAGAGCGCACAGAGAGAACTAGAGACGAGCAGGAAAGACCAAGCCCGAATCAGGCACTCAATCCCAATTCACAGAACACGGTTGACACAGTTCGCACGCAGATATGCAGTTGCAAAACAGCGTGGAGAAGAGCCGAGTGGGGGAAGAAGCGGTGGATGGGCGGTGAACGGTGGCGATCCGGAGATATTTTTGGTGTTCGAGAATACTTCCACGCTTCTTCTCTCTTCTCTTTACTGTGCTTGGTGTTTGTGTCTGGGATGTCTGGGATGTAACCAATTTGACTTGGTGCAAGCGCTTACCCTTCCCACAAAAAGAGAGAAAAGCAGGTGCAAATGTAGGGATATGTATAGACCGAGGCTGATGAAATGTTTGACTTACCAACATGAAATGTGTCCGAGTATATGATGTCTTGGGTATATGATACAGTGGATCAACAGTATCATATAGAAAGATATATAGATATATATGGATCTATTGATCGGTCTATGTCGAGGTTAGCATTTGAACAAGTGAACATCAGCAGCATGCAGGGACATATAAGCCACGTCAGAACAGAGCCCCATGGCAGCCTAGCGAAATGTGATGGCAATCATAGATCGCAGATGCAGGAACAACGGTGATGTATCCAAGGCTCGGTCCGATAGAACTAAGGTTGACAATTTGACACGTACCTGACTGTGTATGGAGGAGTAAATCGAAGCTTGATCTCACAGGGTAAAGTCTGATGGATACTGAGAGTCTTTACGAATCAAATCGAGAATATGCAGTGACAACTCAGCAAAGGGGAAAAGCACTTGCAGGTTTCCCAGACGAGGGGATAGAGACTTTATGAACTCAAGCGGCACTCTTCTGCATCTCTCATTTGATATATTACAACATCGGTCATGCAGCCTGTCGATCGGTGGGAATCGATGAGATTCACCTACGCCATCGGACTGAGGTTCTTATTTTTTTTAATGTTTTAATGTTTTAAATTTTTAATTATTTTCCCAAAGGTAAAAAGTAGGAAAGACACTAGGGGAGGATAAAAAAATACAAAAAAACAAAAAAACAAAAAAAAACAAATCAGATAAATAGATTTAATAGATTTTTTTAAATCTAGACATGAAGAGAGAAAAAAAAACAGGATAAATCGCAATAATATGATTAAGTTCACTACTGACTGAAGAGATACCTAGGTCATCGCCCCATTGCTATAGGTATCTACATCAGAAGCCAACCGAAACGGGAAGTGGGTGTGGGTGAAAGAGGGGGACGGTAAACCCCCGAGCCTTTATTTGGTTCTCATGTACTAAACATAGTAAAATACCAATAATAAATGCCATGGAGAGGTACAGTCCCAGACAAAATTGGACAAAGGGGGAAGGGTGATACAGCCGGATCGAGTTAAACGGTTATCCCATGATACTCCCATGATACAAGTTGGAATATTTGTCACCTGTTACTTACTGTCATGACTCATGTCTGGAAGAATGTATCAGATGAGGCCTTGGGGTTACAAGCATACCAATGTTCATCTTCCCATGAGGAAACCATAATCTATACAGAGTACATAGCCAAGATACTAGAATGAGACCATGTGGGAGGAAGCCGATGCAAGTATGCCAAAAGTCTTGATTTCAGAGAAGAAGACGCCGGAGTTGGTCGAGATCGACATGAGACAGCCAGAGCGAATCGCAAAAAGCGTCCGGGGAATATAACATGCTCGTAAGTATACCTTGGCAAACGACGTCGGCTTCCTCTGTTGATGTTCTGACAGGCTCGGGGGAAACGGCGATAATGAAAGGGGAATAGATAAATAAGTAGAAAGGAAAATACTAGGATCGTACGAAAATAACAGCAGAAACAACCCACAGACCGCATCCACCGTAAGCCCTACCAACTCTGCAAGAGGATCAGTGCGGACCCTCTTCATGTACGATGTCGTGCAGAGGACATTGAGGACGATCATATCGCCATGATCTACCGTCAAGGGAGCTTGGACCTTCCGGTCGCTCCGCTCCGACTGCAGTGGCTCGGAGGGTCTCTCTACGTAGGGGGCGAACCATTGATTTGGGTTATAGCGGCTAACAAAATAATATCGACATGTTCAGAATGTTGACCCGGCAGTGCAGGCCGGATTCGGACTTCTCGGCTCGGTCTGCTCTGTCCTTTGTCCGAAGCAAGAGTTGGCACGAGTTGGCACGAGTTGGTCAGAGTTGGAAAAAGTGTCCTCCAGAATGTGGCGGAGGGACATCATTGGAGGGGTTGGAATGTGTCTGAGACTATATGCGCCAATAGTGATTTAGAGCCATACACCTCATTTTAGCATGACTGTACTGAGCCACATCGCCAAAGTTTCCTCGAGCTCTTTCACGCGCATTTCCTTTTGATTTCTGCTCATTTTACAGAACTCTAGATCGACCGGATGGGGTGTGATCTCCGGGATGAGGGGAAATGGATCTGACGTCCCGTCCCGTCAAGGTTCGGCGATACACGCCGAGTATCCACGGTTGACGCAAGGGAGAGGCTTCACTACAACTAGTATCCAGTCGTATTGGAGTTCATACAATCCAGTAGAGGGTGTGTGAGACTTGTCTTTGGAAGATCAGTGCACGGGACCCTGATATGACGATATGATACTGCATGGTTAACGTTGCACTCCATTCCGGGAGGAACGGATAGGGCAACTCATGTGCGCCGGGCATTCTGGTTATCGGGAAGCTCAAGTCACTCAAGCAAATGTCATGAAATAAACGCACAATAAGACACAATAAGACACAAAATAAACTTGGAAGAAGAAAGGGCAAAAAAAAAAAAAGCAACCAAATGCAGAAGCCGAAGCCTAAACTGGAGAAACAATGAGGCTAATGACAATGTTACCTAAATCCCGTGCAGATGGGGCCCTGCTTCAGGCTATCGGACAATTCCCTTGGGTGGTACACGGGTAGCGACATCTATACCGAAGATTATAGTTATGCAACATCACGGGAGAATCGTCGCAACTGCTAATAAGTAATCATCTCACCTATAGCCGTGCTTAGCAGACTTATGATGACCCGGCAGTCATATCCGGTTTTCCTGTTGATAATACACGCTCTATAAACGGTCACGATCGCTACAGGGTGCGCACCGGCCACGGGGGATCGACAGTGGGGAGCAGCTAACGATACAATGCAGAGGGCACTATATGAGGTACATGATACTCCATCATTATGTCCCAATAGAGTATGGATTAGGATTTAGTCAAACACGAGATATTAGTCAATATGATGAGCCAGTGATGTTTCGATCAAAGTATGTCGAACCTTACGGAGTACGTTCAGCTTTAGTTAAGTCCATGTTTTACTGACAAATTCCAGCGGATGGAGCGCGAGTCTCCAAAAGAGGGGAAATATGCGGAAGTACATGCTGAATAACCCGATGTCTTAGCAAAGCCATGGACCTGAGCAGAGTGAAATAATGGGCTAAATAGACAAAAATAGACTGAACTGCGTAATCGAAGTAAAGGAGCAATATGTGAGGTTCTCTTATACCTACGGTATACTTAACGGCGCTATGCCGGATTAGGCACTAGCCCCCTTTCCCCAACCGCAATCCCGCCTGTCCGCAATCACCTCCAATATCCCAACGCCAGTTGTCACCCTTATCATCTGGTAAGTAGTTGATCAAGCTCGTCTCGTTTGCCTATTTTCCGATCGAGGATACCCCGGTCATAAATCAGCCCAAAGGCCCGGTCCGAAATATTCATAACAACATCATCTGACAGCTTCAGCAACGCCGATCGGGCTTGTCGCATCGGTAGCTTCGCGCCATCTCGTCATTGCCTTGATTATTATTCTCTTTCCCCCCTCCTTTACCAATACTACAGCGCTTCCTGGTCCAATCAGCGACTCTCGACTTCTTGCGCCGTGTTCGCTTCTTACCCCTTCTCGGATCGTGCCCGCAAGGTTGTACGCTTCCCACCTTTCCTCCGCTTGGTCGATTTGCCTCGCTGCACCCATCAACGTCGTACGCCGATTACGATCTTCCTGCGCCGCGCTAGAGACACCTAAGCCACCCCTCGGCTATCATCCCCGACTCCGCATAGCTGCAGATCCCGTTGCGCTGACGCCTACCAGCCAACAGGCAGCTCCTTTGGATTTGAATTTGGATTTGAATTTTGGCTTCTGATTCTCTAATTTCAGATCGGAGAGAGACCCGCTCTAAGGTTTTGACCATCAGACCGCTATAATCAGAAACTCTGGGTTTTAATCTTGACCGCATAGTCAGGTCGGAGAAGTTTCCTTGATAGTGGTTGTTCGACACGAGGCGTAGCGCGTCCCAGCTCATCGGAAGCTGAATCCGCCGTCGGGGCACTTGTCATCTGCTCCTCTGCTGGCTTGAATAGGGCTTCGTTTCCAGCCAATCCTCTATCGATCACCCATCACCGGCGCAGATCATCTGCACTCCATCTCGCATAGTCCCTGCAGACGTTTCTTTGGGACTTGACTTCCTTGCCCACGGGCCTTCTCTCTTCAGACGCAGTCGTGCACGCTCCTCTGCCGCTACTTTCAATTCGGATCGGGAATTTGACTAAGACCTAACTAACACTCGACCCCTCAAACATGGCGAATAACTCCTTCAGAGACTCCGTCAACTCGCTAGGGTGGTCGCGCAGAGATCCGGATCTCCCCGTACACACCGGATCGACATCCAATACCCCATTCTTGTCCCGGCTCCAGTCGTACAACCCCTTCGGTGACGGCGGCTATGTTCAACTACCCACTCACAACGAAGCCCCTGGAGCCCCCTTACCAGCATCCAATAGACGGGATGAAGAGGAGGGTTTCTTTGCTTGTAAGTTTTGTCCCCTTTGGCCTGGTGACCCCTTCGATCTTCAGATCGTCCCGCACACCGTTTTATTAGACCCAGGTGATGGAAATGCAGTTCCTGCGCCGGGAGGATTCATCGTCATGCTTGTTTATGGGGTTGCAAGCCAACAAGAGCAGAGGGAGAAACAAAAGTAAAAGTCCACTTCACTAATACACATTACGTTTAGTGAGTCGATGGGACCGCATGCTCATTTTCGGTGCCTGCAACCTGGGTGCCGCCGTCTGTTTCATGATCTGCTTCTTTTTGTTCCCAGTCTTGTCACTGAAGCCCCGAAAATTCGCCGTCTTGTAAGTTGCATCAGCCCTGGGCCGCATCACCCTGGCTACGCGTTCCCCATTCTTCCCATACCTTTTTCTCCCCATTCATTCAAATCCCGAGCTGGAAAATCCTTGGTCATAAGTCGAGTGTGGCTCAAGCCATGTGCGCGTTCGTACCTCGCATTGCAACGTGATTGGCTCTGGCCTACAACTTATATCTGCGCCTCATGCCAAGGACTACTGTCTGTCTGTGTTGAGATATTCTTTGCTAACAGGTTTCTGCTAGATGGTCTGTTGGCTCAGTCCTGTTCCTACTATCATGGGCTGTTCTCATGGGACCGTGGTCCTACGCTAAACATCTGATCTCGGGTTCCCGTCTACCATTCACAGCGGCCTATTTTGGATCGATCGCGCTCACGCTTTACTTTGCTATCGGTGTAAGTACATTTATTTATTTTGATTTATCTGTTTTCAACGACCCCGAACGGGTTGGTGGCTTCTGGCGTTCTGTATTTTCTTTTTCTTTTCTTTTTGGCGCGTTATGCTTTATCTTGTTCAACACCGACGATCCCTCTATGCTACTTCACTCCATTTCCTTGTTTGTTGCACCTTGCTCTACCCAGTACGGGAAGTATGGTTGCACTGCACCACCGGGAAAAGGGGAATCCTGCAGCCTTCACATCAATCGCGCAGTACAACCTGGGTCTACAGCTTGTCATGCCCGCCGTTGGCTATAGGCCATCTGAGCTGCCTCGACCCATCCTACCCCGTCCTCGGTCGGCATCTGTGTTCTTTGATATGGCTGTACTACGTCTCACCACAGCGCGGGACTTGGATGCGCCTTCCCTTGCTTTCTCTTGTCTTACTCTGCGCCGTGTCACAGAGCGCGGAGTCCAGAGCCATCGAGATCTATCCATGTCTCACTGTTCCTGACTACGCAGTCATTTTTCTTTTCCTGCATATCACAATGATACCCCCTACATTTTGCTTGTTCATCGCCCGAATAGGGAACCCGCGCACTTCAAGAATATCTCGCTGACCTCTTTTAGCTTCAAAACCTCTTCCTTACTCTGATTTCATCCATTTTCCAGCTCGCCGCTCTGGTCTGGTATCTTGTGAGCTACTTCCCCATGGGCAGCACCGGGTTGCAATACATGGGCCGCTTCGGTGCCTCGCGTGTCACCGCTTGGATGAGTGGTTGATTCGGGAAGTTTCTCGTGCCGTCGCTTCCTGCACTTTGCCTACACCTACCCCAAACTGAGACTCGGAGTCGCGGGTCGAACTCGATTTCGAATTTGGGTCTCCTTCACATTACACAGCATGGTCGGTTTGGGTGAATGGATTTGACATAACCTTTTCTTTGTATATGTTGCCAGAATGACAGAACATCTGGCTCCTCATCTTAGCTTTGCTTCTTTTACTCAAATACCTACATGTCTACGGATACTTGTGTCTGGGTAGTACAATATTGAATATTCATCCGTCAATGAACTCGGATCTTCTTGGCTACACGCGGTGACTCATGATCAGAGTGAATGAAGTGTATTCCGAAGTTCCGGTCCTGCTTGATCCTTACTTGTATCTCAAGGTACATGAGCAAGTTAACCTCAGTTGTATTTTTGGTAGGACGAGGAATAAGGAATCTAGCTCAACCTTGGAAAGAGGCCGAATATAATAGAAAAAACAGCAAGAGAGATATGAGAGCACCGTAGAAATGCGATAACTGTAGCCCTAGTGATATCATAGCAATATCCAACACCTACAAAGCATGCAAGAGCAACATGCCTTCGTCGGTCGAATAATGTACTTTGTATGTGTAGAAAGAGTATTAATGCTTCCCCCGACTCATAACCAACCCCACCACTCCATCGACAACCTTCACACCCTGCACTTCGGCCTCAAAGATTCCCGTGTCACCACCGGATCCAGTCTCAACCCACCGGCGCAGCAAATCATTACTCTCCTTCGGCTTGACGTCAGGCGCAGCCGTACCGACCGTGATATGCGGAATGGCATTGGCACACTGCCATTCAGAAGTGGCGTCGGAAATGTCTTCGCCGCTTGCTGGCAGGATACGCGCAACGAAGGTCATGATGCGGTTGTCCCAGACTAGACGCTCGAGACGGACGCGTGCAGAGCCGAGGGTTGGTGGGTAGCGCGAGGGTTCTGGAACCGGGTCGTTGGTCTGCACATCTATGTATCGGTTGGTCATGCGGTCCCAGATGTCTGGGTGATCCTGCTTTGATGCGCGATGGATGAGCGTGACGTGGAAGGCTGCTTGGAGGCGGCGTGAGTTGACAAGCTGGCGGTAAAGCTGCGCTGTTTGAGCGGGGGTGGAGGGAGGGAAGAGAGATTGGAGGACGGAGGAGATTTCTTTGGTGGGTAGAGAGATGTTGAAGTATTCGATCTTTTTGGCAAGGCTGCTGGGGGATTTCGCGGTGTTCTCCGGTTGGGGAACAACGACACCACCTCCTGGAGATTTGTTCTTGTTCTTTTGCTTCTGGGGTGCGCCGTAGCTGTAGCTGAGATCCTTCTCAACAGTATAGTCGTCCAGCGAGGCGGCTATGGCAGCATCGAGCTCTTCTGCCGATGGCATCGTGGGGACGATGCGTGGGTATGCGGCGTGCAGAGCTTTGACGACCGTTTCGAGGTTCTCGCGAGACGAGGCGCATACATCAAGGTCGAAGACATGGTCGAAGGCCATGTCTGGGGTGCGGCTGGTGTCAATCCCCTCGAAGCGGCCCAAGAATCCCTCCATGATTCCAATGATCTCACTGTGGTCGTTGGTTCCAGCTCGGATGGTTTGGTGGTTGTCGCCACGATCCAAGACACGCTTGCGGGTGACTTCTTTGATATGTGGAAGAAGCTGACCCTTCGGTTCGTGGACGTAGTGAAGAGCCACAAACTGCGCATCGGGGAGCACAGGGTTGATATCCTCCATGAGCTGCTTGCGTTCGCGCCGTTGGTGATTGTTGCGATCGGCAATGACGACTTCACGGTCTGCAAGCGAATGAATGACTTCATTTGCGAACCTTTTGGGTTTACCTTTCACTTTGGGGATGTTGTCGTTCTGAACATGTCCCCAGCCGAAGAGGCGGACTAGTGCCAAGGCAACCGTCGTCTTTCCACAGCCTAGGGTAGCAACTGGCACAAGAATGACATTCTGGGTAGTTTGCTGGCCTTCAAGTTGCCTTTGGGCTTCCAAAGCAACGATCTCGGAACCCTTCAGGCCACGTTCCCGGAGGAATGCTTCACGTAAAGCGATGATACCATGGTTATGTTGATACTCATCCATCATCTTGGGATTCTTGGCAAAGGTCCTTCGGGCGAATAGGAGGTACTCCTCTGTCACTTGCTGTTGCTTGCGAATCTTGGGTGTTTTGCCAGATATCACGGCCTTCGTGCACTCACGCCACTGGCGATACATCAGATAGGGCTCTTCAAACTTGTACTTGAAGAACCAGTGCCGGTAGGGCGAAATTTCACCGTCTCTCAACTGGCATCGAATGACAAATCCTTCAGTCTCACGGCCGTCCCAAGTTCCCGTTTCGGCGCAGTGTTCCAGGAAGCTCTGCACTCGGTAGATATCGTCAAAGACCTCGAACTTAGTCTTCCTGAATCCCCAATCCTCTGCAAACTGATTTACCTCGTCGCATGACATGGTGGCAAATTCAGGCTGGTTGTAGTTGAGACCGTGGAGGTAGATACCTGAGGCGGCTTCGTCGTAGGCCAGAACATGCTCTTCGAAGTTGTCATCACAAAGTTCTCCCACTGCGGTGACATTCATCGCACGCAGAGTACGGGCAAGCTCCTTAACAGATCGGTTCACAGACGAAACATGGCGTTCAGCCCATTGTTCACCGGCCTGGGCGTGGCTGAGTTTGACATCCTCACGATGACCCGTCGAGTGCTTGCTGCATACTAGGAGCGTGTCATCCTCTAACCCAGAGATGAAAATAATACATCCGTTCTCCTTTACGCTCAGTTCGTATGGTCCTCGTGTATTCTTCTCAATGTTAGGCCATTCAGTGTTCCTGGTCTCGCCGACATTGAAGAACTTGTCATATCCACGAGTGACAATTTCGGGGACATTATCTCGTCGTCGGGATGTAAAGAGACCACGAGCATATGTTGGTAGACCAGAGCGTTTGTAGTCCCAATCCATGAACTTCCACGAGTCCACGGTGACATTTTTGGTGTTAGAAACGGCGAAAGTGTTCTTTTTGCAAGTGAAGGGTTGTTTCTTCCCGCCCTTTTGTTTTGAGGCATCGTTCAGGGCATTCACAAGCTGCGCGATCTGATGAGGGTCCTGAGACGCCATGTTGTGTGGGTGTCAAAGATCCAGTCAGAAATAGAGGCGTGGGTGTGTAGATCCTAGCGATGCGATGCGATGCGGGGCAGCGCAAAAGAAGCATGTGTGAGGGGGGAGGTAGTGGTCAAATAGTACTTCGAGAAGTACAAAGTAAGGCAAATAGTTACCACTGTCGCCTTGGAATATTTATGGCAGCTCCCAGTCTGTCAATGCGCAAGGACAATACGAAGGAGCGAAGTTGTGTCACCGCGCGGGGAGCGAAAGAGGAAAGGCGGGCGCGTATTTTTTTTTTTCCTCTCCAACTATTTGAAGACCATCTCTCCACCCGTGGACATTTATGACTCTGACTTTGGAATTTGACGCTTGATTGAGAACTCTGAGTCATACGAATACCATGGCCCAACCAAACCCCTACCTTCTGGCCTGCGACAACCCCGCGGCGCTTCTGGATCTGCTGCGGTCCAACCCCTCCGTCGCATCTTCCCAAGACGAGTCCGGCTATTCGCTCCTCCATGCCGCGGCATCCTACGGCCATGAAGATCTCTTACGCGCCTTGGTGAAAGAGTTCAATGTGAGCGTCAACCTCCTCGACGAGGATGGTGAGACCTGTCTATTCGTGACCGAACAACCCGACATCGCACGCTGTCTGGTCGAGGAGCTGGGTGTGGATTATAACAAGAAGAATGCCGAGGACATGACTGCAGTTCAGAAGATGGAGGCCGACGATGAATTCCCACAGGTGGTTGCCTACCTTCGGGAACTTGTCGGCGGTGCTCCTGCTTCCAGCTCAGTCTCTCCCAGCGATGTTCTGAACGCCCCAGGGCCCATTCCCAATAGCGACATGAAGATCAACATGAGCACAATGACCGAAGAAGAGGCCACTGCCGGAGAAAGCGAACCGGATCCCGAGTTCAAGAGGCGCATCGAGGAGCTTGCTACCCGCGAGGATTATTACAGCGAGGAGGTACAAAATGAAGTCCGTGAGCTGGTCAAGGACGCTATGGCTGGAACCAACATTCAGGCCATGGAGCGGGAGATCCGGAGAAGGACAGAGTAAGCTAGAGGCTTCTTGTGCTTCATCTCCCAGTCGTTCTCCCAGCTTCCTGTGAGACCACCCTCGCGCTGAAATATGCCATGAGGGCTCTGTGTGCCTGTGAATCTCAGAAGGCACAGTTTCTCACTGAGTTCATCTGTGACGGGCCACGTCCCCAAGAGCAATGTCGGGTTTACAACCGTGGCGGCTCAGTGAGGCTCAGTGTTGACACTCCGCGGAGTAGTCACTGAGCTTCCCTTCCTCTAAAATCCTGTATCTAGAACGATCTCACGAATATACCCATGGAAAGCATAGAGAACAGTAGCGCTCTTATCGCGTTAGCGCTGTAGATCCATTTCTCGTAGCGCCAAGAGCTCATCCCGCCCAGCTTCAACGCCTGAGCAACGTCAGCGCTACAACTCCTCCGTACCCCGTACTATGTCTCAACTATCACCTCTCCCACCTCCATCCCCATTCTACTCTCCGAGTATGAACCCAGTCAACCTGGACACCCCGCCTCCGCCTCCCCCAAAACCAAGCAGTCAAACCAGTCGGATAGGCACCCCGCAAAACATGGCCGAGCCGAATCAGACACCGGGATCGCAAGTGCAGCAGCCCTATGTCCCCAATCCTCCCGCAATCGAAGAGGGGTGGCTTCCAGATATAGTGAAGGACAAGTCGTAAGTCTGAACAAGTCGCTGGCATTGAAAACTCCTAATGCGAACGAACAGCACGGTCGACCTCCAAACAATCCTAAAGGACCCAGCCTTGATCTCCGCCCTATCAAACCAACACCCTTCTCATACAGTCCGCCAGCAGCATATTGAATCACTCATACACTCAAATAAGGATATTGCTGCCCGAGTCCTCGATACGCAGGCCCATCTCACTGAACTCCGCGCCTCGACGGAAACGATGCTCATGACCCACCAATCCCTCGAGGTATCATGGCGCAAGAAGCAGGCAGAGATGGATGCCGCACTTGCGCCGTGGTCGCCCAAAGCTCTGTACCAGCGGTACAGTGCCGCGATCACAGAACAAGAAGCCGTGTGTCAAGCCGTCGAGGAGAGCTTCCTCGATGAAGATCACCATGGTCGCGCAACGGAGAAGGAAATCGCAGACTGGGTCCGACGTGTCAGAGGAGAGGCGTCAAAACTAGCTGCCCGCAAAGAAGCCAAAGCAAGATGGGACGAGGGCAGAGTCGGCGGCTGGCGATAAGCTATTGACACCATCCATCTTGGCTCTACGATGATACCCCAATGTCTCTGATTGATGATCTTTATTATTTACTATACATAAGTATCGACGCAGCTTGGTCCTATTTAACGCGCCCGAGTTTAAGCCTCGAGCCTAGCGCCCTCCGCGCTGCTGGGCTTTGCGTGTCCGTAGGGCGCATGCTGCATCCCCGGCGCGTTCTCTACATCCGCGGGTCCCGTGGCATTGCGCGCATCGAACGCCCAACCGTCCGTTCCGAGTGAGCTTGGGAAGCCTACACCACGAATGAAGGCGCGTCCGCGACTTCTCGCTCCCCATGCCCAACCAGCTCCGCGTCTGATCGGGAGGTGATACATGTTGAAGCCGATGTATGCGAAGAAGATTCCGATCGCAGACCCGAACAAGATGTCGAACCCGTGGTGGCGGTAATTGAACCACCGCGACGCGGCGATGAAGGTTGCTGTCGCGGTTGGGAAGAATGCTAGCAGCATTAGATAGGTCGGCGGTGCGGCGCCGCGAGTTCGCACGGATGATTGGTCGTTACTATAGCTCTGATCTTCGACTGGGAACTGAGGCAGATACGGGAATCCGACTGAGAATTTTGAACACAGCCAAAGAGTCAGGTAGAGTAGGCCGGCGAAGGAGACTGGGCGAGGTTAGCATAGGCTCAAAGCATGATCTATTAAGATAGGGAAACCTACAAGAAGAGTGTCCACTGGGAAAACTGGCGAAACCGTCAATCCGCAATGAATTCGAACGGTCCCGGCATATCTCCCATGAGACCAAAGTCGCTGCACCGCGGACTTGATCCCCCAGTCCACCCACCGTGAACTCCGCAATCCGCGAGAGATCCGGATTACAGCGTGCCAGTAGATCCGGGCGCGGTTTACCAACCAGCACCTTCAGCCCCTGCGTAGCGGTCCAGGCGCTCGCCACAGCCAGCGCCAGTCCCATCCAGCCGACGTTCCAATCCCAGAACTTGCGACGGATGTACTGCACGGGTGATCTTGATCCCACTCCGTGCATACTGGCGTTGGCCGGGACGATGATCCAGGAGATCAGGAAGATCAGAACGGCCGGGGCGAAGAGTCCGACGAGGATGAGCGTTGTGGTAGTTACTGTCTCATCGTGCTGGGGGAAGCTAATGGTTGGGTCTGTGAGACTGAAGGCGTGCTGGTTTGGCCCTTGTCTATAGAAACCATAGCCAATCAAGGCAATGCCGCTGGACTGAGTTAGGGTGGATTCTTGGGGTGATATGGGATCGCGTACATGATGAAGACCCAGTCGATTACGTAGGATAGCACCAAGAGCTTGGAGATGGCGAAACGCGCGACTGTCTCCTTAATTGGGAGCGGCATAGTTCGGAGCAATGCGGGGCATGCGAGATGGCGATCTAGAGGTGAGCTGGAGCTAATGATAAACGATTCGAGGGAGGCTCAGAGCTGAAAAGCAAGCGCCCATGCGAGTTAAGAATATGAGATCAAAGAAAGGGACTCGAAGGCAGAAGCACACAACCTTGGAAAGGAGGCGCAGTCAGAAAGTCTAATGGATCGACGTAATCCTTTGTGATCCTTGCCTTGACGTCGCTGTATTCCGTACTCAACTGCAAGTCTGTTCCGTAGACTGTCAGAGAATATAATTCAGGTCAAGACAATCATCGTTTTAACCAACATAATTAGACAATAAAGGACGAATAGCTGACCTCGAAGCTACTTGGAGTCATTACTTCATATAGAAGCCTTATCGACATGTGATATCGGAAGTGGGCCAAACTCCGCAAAATCTCTAGCTCTGCAACATCTCACATCCACTCTCCACAACGCTTAAGCTGCGCTCAAATGGCATCTTCTCCAGCTCCCAAAGCGCACATCGCGCACACTCTCCTCTCCCGCGCCCACTCCCCCGACAGTGCAACCCAACAATTCACCGAGCGCGTCAAACAAAAACCACTCTTCCTCCGCGCCACCTCTCCTTCAGCCTCAGACAATCGATCGCGCAGACGTCTTGAACGCCTCCGCAAGAAAGAGTACTTCATCCGGCATCAAAAACCGCGACCTCTTTCCGCGCGCGAGAAGCGGAATTCCGGCCTCTACGATCTCCCAAAGGAAGAATGTAAATACGCTATCTTCAATGGCCTACACGAGCTGTGGGTGGGGTATATGCAGGATGTCCTGGATTTAAAGTCGCCTACACATGCCGTGCATATTACGCCGACCTCTCATGGCAGCAAGCTTGCCAGTGCCGATTACCATGGGGCTGAGGTTGAGGTTGTACGGAGTCGATGCGCTGGACGGGTCGGGGTTAAAGGGATCGTGGTGCGGGATACCAAGTTTACATTTATTGTTGTTACTCCGCGGGACGAAATGAAAAGTAAGTGAATTCCGAGACGGGTGTGCGAAGCTCGTTGGATGGATTATGCTGATCTTGCGATTTCTTGATATAGCTATACCGAAGGAACACACAGTCTTCCGCTTTACGGTTCCTCTACCGAAACATCCAGGGAGCGCTGAGAAGCAGCAGGACGAGTCAAGTGGGCAGGATAAACCTTTGGTTTTCGAGCTGCATGGAAGCCAGTTTGAGAATAAGCCTGTGGACAGGGCTAATAAGAAGTTTAAGTGGAGGAATATTGATTATGTTTGAACTAGCATTTTTGCGGTTCATAAAGATGGATGAATACATCTCGATAGGATGGTAGACATATGCATATTTGGCGTCTCATACTTGCAGAGCGGAATAACTCTTTTTTCTTCTTCCAGTGCAGTCCCCGTCCTGCTTTGTGCAACGTGACACCTGGGAATAGTACGTCTTCCAGTTTTTCCTCCGGTCCAATCACTAGCTTCATTGTGAGAAGACATCTGATCAGAAAGTCCGACCAAAGTCGGTCATTCGTACATCTGTGAGCATCAGCTTGTGGGCTCCTCAGCAGGTAGTTGTTTTTGGGATGCGCGAGATATGTGATGGTCCTAAGGTTGCAATCACCGTGTCTGTTCGAGCCCTAGAGGCACACGAAATTCCAATCTTGGAAGTCCTCCAGGGCTGGGAGTTTTCCATATGGTGTGTAAGCAAGGATCTTGAATCAGAGCCCATGGATTCTATCCCCGACAGCCCTGCTCAGCCCTGCAGGTGAGACTAAAATCTCTTACAATGATCTATATATTTCAAGGTTTGTGGGACCCGTGGAATCAAAACCTTGAAAGCTACTGAAGAAATTTGCGCCATAAACCAGCTTCACGACCCAGTTATTGGAATATATAATCAGCCAGAGGTATACCGTCCAAGGACGAAGGTCAATGTTTTGTTCCAGAATTGTTCTAAACATAAATTTCGTTGACACTGCAAGGTTCTATGCTACGTACATCCGAAATGCATATGGACAGGATTGAGATGGGTTTGCGATAACAAAAAGTTCAAGGCTCAAAACATAGCCACAATGGCAGCAACAGCAGCTCCCATCGGCGCAGCCGTGGCCAGAGATTTCATGCGAGGTGCAGCGCCCGTCGAACTAGCCGCAGTCGAACTAGCCTCGGTCGAAGTGGCCCCGGCCGTCGAGGCACCAGTAGACGCAGCCCCGGTAGTCGCTCCCGTAGCCTCAGTAGTAGACCCCGAAGAAGTAGAAGTGACTTCATCAGCGCCAGCCGTAACATCGAGAGTTCGCCAGCTGACCAATTCCGGCGCAATACTAGTACTCGAGTTGGACATGGAAGTTGAAACGGTCAGGTCGCCCGAGGAGACGGTGAATGCGACGCTCCATGAACAAGACACGGACTCAGAGGAGTGAGTGAAAACACATTCTTCGATATCGGTGATGATGCCCGTTGCGCCCATGGTCACGATGCTATATTCACCTGACAGGCTGTATGTCGCCGGGCCCTGAATCATGGTGATCGGGTGGGGGAGAGCGCATTTTTCAGCGCCCTTCAGACACTCGATCTCGTAGGTGGTGGCTGTACTATCGCTGCCAACAACGCTTGCTGCGGTGCTGGTGTAGGCACCGGGATCGGCACCATATGAATTGACATTGGAATCCAGTCCGAAGTAGTTGACGGTGGTTGTGCTGGAGTCGGCTGCAGCCAGTGCAGCCAGCGCAAATGTGATGAGTTGGGTCGGACGCATTTTGATGTTTTATGTACAGCGTACTCCGTTTATATGCAGAAATTGATCGTAAATGCAGCGCAATGAATACCTTTACAAGTGCAAATCCCCAGCCCCACGACTCGGGAGGGAAAAATCGTGCCTAGCGCAATGGGGCCGAATTTCGATCTGGAGCGGAACGAACCGCCTTAAAGAACGAATTTTTCATTGCCTCGTTGGAACCGTAGTTCACCGCATAATGTAGTCCGTACAAGTATATCGAGCACACAATCATAGACCCTCGATATGACCCTGATTGCCGTGAAAACGGCGCTGGAGAAAAATCCCGAGCTATTTTTTTAGTTCGCACAAAAATAGTAGCAGCAATATGGTGAAATCTAAAGTGAGTCAGTACTTTGGACCACCTGGGCAACCCCTGCCCCTATTGCGTGAACAGAGCTCCAAAAGAAAAAGGGATCACGACGCAGCAGGATGGGATCACTAAATAACCTGCCACATTTACCGGTCATTTAAGCCTAGACTTGGACAGAAAACTCGTGGAGCACAAGAGTGCTACAAATAAAAGCAACGGGTACCTGATTTCAGGTACCGGCTACCCCGGCTCTCACAATGTGCAGGGAACAACCAAGGTACTGGGTACCACCCCTGTCGGTACAATTACCAACTGCTGGGGAGAGCTGTGCTGTGGATCAAAGCCCACGCAGACGAAACACTGGAGGGTGGATCGGTGGCCCGATCGACATGCCAGTGCACCAAATAGAGCCTAGAACGGCCCTGGAAAGATTTGTATTTTGAACGTTTCGTGTATTTTGTCCTCGTTCGAAGTACGGAATGCCGCGGGTGTGGACGTTGGGTCAGCACTTTATAGTCCAGCGCCACGGGGTATAAAAAGATACAACTTTACGGAGTTGACCGGATAAACGATGTATGAGACATAGGGGGGTTGTGGCTAGTTATGGATAGGAGTAGAATCCCATACGTAGATGGTCGGAGTGGGAAATATCACCATGTGTGGAAAGACACCATGCCCTACGGAGTCAAAGCGAAAGCGACACCAACCTCATGCTCACACGGTAGCTTGGCGACAGACTGCCTGTTTGCAATGTCTTGTTGCCTTCTCAAATTAGGAGCGATCAACGGATTATCCTTCGATCTGTACAATCGGCGCGTTTGCCGCTTCCTGGTTCTTGCACAGTGCCCTATGATATGACATCGGAGTGAAACATGCGGCTAGCAAGCGAGTGGACTCCATGTACTCCGTAACTTGTATGATTTTCCTGAGATCGAGTTGAGTAGTATTTCACTGTCATCAATTCCAATCAATTCTCATTTCAATGGTATATGTCGCATCTCGGTTTCCACAACACCTGTCAAAGACGTTGATAACCCTCTGGGGACTCGGGGCATTCCGTAATCTTAGAAAGTCAATCTTGATCAGGAAGCGAAAGCCCGGAAATACAGGCATTGACCATTGGCATCCAGTGCCTGATTCCAAATCAGGTTGTGTTCCACACTGCTCTGGGCCGTCACCTTACTGGCTGCCGATAGTCTCTTATTTTTCCAGGTTACTGCTTAATATTGTCTTGGCCAATCACAGAGGCAATCCCACACAGGGTAAATCACTCAATAATTGCGATTCAATTGCCATGTGGGAAATTACCTTTGGCTATTCGTCGGAACGGCCCTACAAGTTCTCCGCATACGAGGAGTCAGATACGGAGTACGGAGTACGCACAGTCCATCGAAGCCAGCCCAGTCAGAATCAGCACGGTGCAGCCCAGAACGTTTCGAAGCCGAGCTCCGGTCGATAGTCTGAGGGTGTTCGCCATCCTCGTTACGGGTGCCGACCATTATTGGCGGGAAATATCTGAGCAGTATCCACGTTCTCCCCCATGTGTTATGGGATCGTCTTGCATTCGAGATCATAGAGCCATTTAAGCCAAGTGACAGACATCTGAGCCAGGGAAAGGTGCGCACCGAGAGTGGGATCTCCGGCTATAATTCCCGACTAGGCAATTCGCTAGTTCCATAGCTTGAGGGGGTAACGGGATGACACGAATAGTGGGGTGGCGCCGCGAACGCCGAGCGTTGATGCTTGATCAGAGTCGATAGTATGTAAGTGTGCGCAGAGCACGGAGTCTGGAGTATAATACAGGAGTGATACAATTATCGAGAAAAAGCAGCAATATACATGAATTCAGGGGTAAAAAGTTCATGCAGCACACGGGCCAAGATCGAACACAAATCTCTTTATTTTTGTGGAGACGCGGACAGAGAGCTCCACCATTCACGGGTATCCAGACGGGATGGCTCTCGATCCTGTATGCGAGTGCTGGAGATCGGCATTCTAGGGATCCCAATTCGCGTCGCAATGGGAGAATTGGTGAACTTTGTACGGAGTAGTGGTTGGGAGCTGGGATATCTCCTCGCTGCCTGCATACGAAACACTTTTGCATGATGTGGTAGTGCAGGAATGGATTGTCAACAGTATTCCGTACTCCGTACAGAGGGGAATAGCATGGAAATGCCACACACTTACAATCAGAGTTTAAAGATGAAACAGAGCCGGGCATTTCGATCTATCAAACCGGCGAAAACGGCTGGGACGTATCAGTTTGGGCTATCACAAGAGATGATACAGAGCTTCCGAATACTCCGAGAATATTACTTGTTCATTGCCAGTAGCTCTGGATAGCGTCGTTTTGGGTACTTTTGTGCGAGTCCCCTAGAAGCATAGAAGCCCTGCAGGTAATCCAAAAGATGAAACAAGCACCAGCCTCGAAACAATCAGCAGAGCAGCAATCGAGAAATTCAGAAATCCCAGAAATCAGGAATTAGAAATTAACAATTACTGGCCTCTTACAATACCAAAATCCTCCGCTAAAAGGCTTTAATTAAAGTGGACTCCCCGACGAACCCCCTTTGGCCTTAGCCTCGGTGCTACGCATTTCTCTCCTATTTGCCCCTAACCCACTGGACCTCTCTTCTCTCAGTCTTTTTACCAGGTTGACTCGGAGGTAATTTACTCTGACTGTATGGCGGGTGTTGTTTTCTAAACTTCTACTCCCTCAGCCTCTCTCTCTCTCGATCTTCTCTCTCACACACACTCTCTCCGATATCTATATCCCCGACATTCCTTAATCTGGGCAAACCCTCCTTTCGAACTGCACTTTTTGAGTGCTTAAATACCGACATTCCAACCTCAGATTTGCCGACTCAACATATATACAACAATCACAATGGGTCACTCGATGCGGGATCACTCGTCCTTTGTACGGCCATCCACCCGGGATCGGCCTACGACACGCGGCGAAGGGGAAAATTCGCTGGTCGTTCCTAGCCGCACGTCGTCGCTGCATTCACGCATCACCCAACCTAGTCCTTCCACACTCACCGTCAAGCCCGCCCAGCGGACACCGAAAACACTCACTCATGCGTATATGGTATGCGGTGTTGGTCGCGAACCCTCCCAATGGGTCAAGGCCCCCGCCCCCGCCCAGGGTAAGATTGGCCACATGAAGGGAGCCGTGGGTCAGTTCTGGCTCCCCGAGATCCTGGGTAGCAGCCCTCGCCTCGAGCAGGACAACGAAATTGCACGAGCGCTGCACTCAGCTATGAGAGCTTGCTTCCCCCACGATGTAGAGATTTGCACAGGCAAGAGCCAGCCTCACTGTGCTCACCACGCGTTCGTGTTGCAGCAAGATTCCTCCCACACCCTGTACGGTATCGCGCTGCGCGTTTGGTCCCGTGCTGACGAGAAGCGCGCCGAGACGATTCGCGAGCTGCGCAAGAAAACGGAGCCGGACTTCTACGACAACCCCGATGAGACTTACTGGATTCCTTACTGTCTCAGCTTCCTCTCCCGCTACCCGCTCTACGACCTGCTGGGCGATTACCTGCGCGGTATGTGGATTCACTGGAACAAGGCTACCAACCTGTTCCACGCCGAGGAGGTCTCGCGTATCCTCAGCTTCCCCGCCCCGCGTCTGAATGACCTGGTCCGCATTGATATGAAGGACTATGCTCTCTGCTACCAATTCCCCTCTTCGCCAACCGGCTTCCAGAACTTCGCCATGTGGCCGTTGTTCACCTGTCTCTCGATCCCCAACATTGTTGGCGTCATCGAGGCTGCCGTATCGCCCACTCGCCGCATCATCTTCGTCAGTCACTATCCCGCCATGTTGACTGTCGCGGCCGAAACCATCCGCTACTGTGTTCGCGTCTACGAATGGAGTGGACTTTACGTGCCTGTCGTGCACGCCCGTCACGTCAAGGAGCTTGCTCAGGAGCCAGGTCCTTACATCCTGGGTGTTACTGCCGAGTGCCGTACCCTGTTCAACGCGCCCGCCGATGCTCTGGTTGTCGACCTGGACCGCAACTTTGTCCTTACCTCCAGCCCTCCCAATGTCCTGAACCAGGGCCAGCGCACCAAGTTCATCACCCGCATGACTCAATCTCTCAATGGCGATGTTTCACCTTCTGGTGTGCCTGCACACTTGCGTACCGCTTACGCTGGTGGCAAGCTCATCCCCGCCGGTCAGATCATCGTTATGAGAGGCGAGGTCGAGAGCGTCGAGGAGCCTCAATGGTGGAACCAGGATGCCGTTATGGGCGTCATGGATCACGTTTGTGAGAAGCTGGTACGTCTTTGATTGCTCAAGTTACTAACAATTTCATCGCTAATGGTTTCTTTTTCAATAGGGCCGCAACACCGGTATGAAGGCTATCTTCGGTGGCTCCGTGAAGAAGCCACTGATGACCAAGGTCTCCATGCGCCATCTCAATGAGATTGTCCGTGAGCGCAACCAGTACTCCCGTGACGCCATGGAGGCGTGGCAGGACTTCATCAACCTCAAGGGACGAATGGACACCGAACTCAGCAAGGTCAGCAAGCGCAACAACTTCCTTGTTGAGGAGCTCGAGACCTGGAAGCAGCAGTTCCTCAAGTTCCAGGCCTTTGCCGAGCAGCTTACCAAGGAGACTTCCGAGCTCAAGGTCAAGATCGAGAACCACAAGCGTGAGAGCCGTCGCCTCACTGGTCTTATCGACCAGCAGAAGGATGATATCACTCGTCTCACTTTCCGCCTGTCTGGCACTGAGAAGCAGCGTGATGACGCGCTCGAGGCTCTCGTTCTTCAGCAGGAGATTGCTGAGGAGCTCGAGCGTGAGCGCAAGCGCAACCAGAAGGAGATCTCCGCCCTCTCACACACTAACTCGACTCTGTCTCGCGAGCGTGAGGATGCTCAGCGTGTGGTTTTGCACCTGCGCAGCCTCATCAACGGCCAGAGCCACCACATGGAGCACATTGTTCGCTCCATTGGCAGCCGGTCGGAGATTACTGAAATCGTCGAGCAGGGCTACGAAGACGCTCCCGAGGAGCCCAAGGAGGAGGTGTCAGTCGTTGAGTCGAAGGAGTCCGTCAAGTCTGTCAAGTCTGTCAATGGTCAAAAATCTTTGGTAAATGACATGAGCCCCGAGCTGGAGCAGCATTTGCTGAACCTCGGCAAGGATCACAAGACCCTTGCTCGTTTGAGCATCACAGATGTCGCCGACCGCTACTTGCGGGACAAGACAGATGCCATCGCAGATATCATCCGCAGCATCAGCGACCAGTGTGCCGCCGCCGTCGAAGGCTTGCACCTCGCCCAGGATGCCGAAGACGAGGAAGAGACCGAGGCCACCAAGATCCACCAGAGCGACCGCCTGGCCTCCGAATATGAAGCCTCCACCCGCGCCGCTAGCGAAATCAGCGACGCCGACAACAACTCCCTCCACCCGGACAACCGCCACTCCAGCATCCCTCCTACCCCGGATCTGGTTCACAACCGCTCCAGCACCTCAATGTCCATGGTGAGCAGCTCGACTTTCCCCGAGCGGTCAAGTCAGCAGTATGGCCCCGGCGATGTCCCCACTCGGATCGTCGAGGATGATGACGAGCACGCCCACGACTCCGAGAACGTCGACGACCAGCAGACCGAGACTGGCACTCTGTCCAAGCAGGCTAGCGAGGATCTGATGCGGCCATCTGCCGCACGGGTCATCTAGTCTTTTTCATCATTCACTCTAGATGATGCAACGCTTGACTGAGACGAACTCGTTTGCTTTTTCTCTTCTCTGTTTTCATCCTATTCTGTGCATCATCATCATGCACATACGCTCTGGTTTTCTGGCGTAGTTTTTCTATTCGTCGTGTCGACTTTTGATACTCCCTATATCCACCCATCTATCTGCCTTCTTGTCCAATAATTATGGTCATTTTTGCCTTCCCGGGATTTTCCCTTTTTTTACACTTCTGCCCTACTTCCCCCCGAGGAATTCTTTGTCTATCTACATGTCGTGCCGTCTGGGATGGAACGGCTTCTTGATTTTTTTGTTTTGATGCTCATATCTCGATCTCACGAGAGAGCTCTCCACTGTGCACCACAATCCGCACCATCAGCGGAAATTTCCTTTTATCACCTGATACAATCCTTGATCTGGATTGATCCTTAGTCTACCAGGGCTCATTGAGCGCCCTGTCGTACTTGAAAATGAATTTCTGAATTTAAAACTCTGGTCTGCTCGCACGTATCATTGAAATCTCTTGACTGCCGCAGTTTATGACACTGAACCTATTTGAAATTCCGTATGCTATGTAATAATGACTTATACCCTTGCAGCTCATCAATGCAACTTGGTCTCATTGGAACCTCGTACTTATGCCAGCTTTCCAGGCACGAAGGGATGCCCAGCACTCAGTCCACCACAAACCGCCCAGGCCTGTCCATTGACATAGCTACTCTCATCACTACCAAGGAACAATGCAACACGCGCAACCTCATCGGCAACAGCACCCCGCTGCAACGGGTTCAGTTGTCCGACCTTGCGCTCCGTGCCACGCTCCCGTGCCCGATCAAATACACTCTGCGTCATACCTGTCTCAATGAGACCTGGGCAAATTGCATTAATTCGGATACCTGTTCCGGAAAGTTGGTATGAAACCGACTGAGCAATGGACACAACTGCAGCCTTGGAGGCCGAATAATCAGTTGAACCGGCATTGGAGCGGATTCCAGCTACAGAGGCTGTTCCGATAATTGAACCACTGGGGTATGGCTTGGATGCAGATGTGATTTTCATAGCTGGCGCCGCGTGCTTTGCGGCTAAGAAAACACTGTGGAGGTAGTTTAGCAGGGATGATCAATTTTTCTGGTGGGGGAAAGCTTACCCAAGGGCATTGACACGCATGGTCTCCAGGAACTCACTGCCGGCTACCTCGGTGAAGACTTTGGGTTGGCCGACGATGCCTGCATTGGCGAAAAAGATATCAAGTCGGCCGTACTGACTTATGGCCTCGTCGATGACGGCGGTCAACGCCTTTTCATCGGCTGCGTCGAATGAGCGTACGTGGACGTCCACGTTTGGGTAGAGAGACTTCATCTCTCGCTTGTGAGTTTCTAGATGGTTGTCGGCGAAATCACAGATGTAGACTGCTTTTGCGCCATTGTTGGCGAATTGGTGTGCGCTGGCACGTCCAATTCCGTTTGGAGAATTTGCTCCTGGGATTTAATCAGTTCAGGGTCTTTATAGATTTTGTTAAGCCCAAGTCTGGGTGAACTGACCGGTGATAATCACCACCTTGTCCTTTGCCCGACTACATGTGTTCAATGTTAGCTATGCATTGGTGTTTCAATTCAGACGAGGTAAAAGTCCGAGTGTATCATTTTGAAGGATAGATTTCAACACTACTTACGGTCCCGCGGAGTCCCCTGCAACATGGCGGATCTTGGGGATATCTTCAAAGGTGCCCTCTGAAGGAATACCTTCTACAAGCTGCTTGCTGAGAGCTTGGAGACGTTGCTTTGCTGCTGCCGACATGGTGTGTGGATTGGATATTTCACGAATGTAGTTTGTGTATTTAAAAAAGTACCAAAAACATAGATGTCATCTATCCTCCACTGCCGGGGGGACTGCAGCTTATAGCTTTCCCCACTCGGTTATGCGGAGAGCCGAGGCTGCGATGACTGCCAGGGCGGTGAGAGGACCAGATCACATGAGATCACATGACCGCTTATCGAGCAATGAACGTCATGTGCGCAAGGGTATCAAAGCTGGCTTTGTGTGTTTCAGACATCCCAATCTGCGTTCTTTGTTTTCTGATGATTTTGCTGGTCCTAAAATAGCCTTGACAAGGTTGGCATCCGTTGTTACCCCTGAAAGTCAGGGTCGATCTCCCTTCATTCCCACAGATCCACAGATAGCTACACAGGGATCGCCAAGGACCCAAGACTATCAGGAAACATAACCAGGACGGCCTCGCTAGCTAAAGAAAAAATTTCCTCGAATCCCTGGATACCGGCCTTGACAGCTATCAGAAGCATTCATGAAGTCATTAAACAACAAATCCCCCGTCCACGCCATTGCCCGGTTGTTGAGTCATGGCAGAGTCCGAAGTTCACTCCCCACGACGCTCGTCCTCACAAGCATCAAGCGCCTCAAGCCGGAGTCGAAATGCTAGGACAGTCCGCGCCAAAATGCAAAAACGTCATTCCGGCTCCTCAAACACTACCACGGACCTGACCTCGTTTCCTTCGCTTTCACCGCCAGACAAATCTCCTACCCTTGCACGTGGCTTGACGAATACATTGCTCTCGGGGGCAGATGGAGACGATGATAATGGAGGCAATTTCGGTCGAGGACGGAAGGCCACTTTGGCAAACTTGACCAGCAATCCGTCACACAAATCTGGACGTGCCGCTCTGTTCGCTGATTCAGTCCCAACACATGACATTCCAGGCGCCTTGCACCTTGCAGACGATGCGCATATTGAGAGGCTCATTTCTGGTACCGGAGCCACGAAAATGGTCCGACAATTTGCTCGTGATTTGGCTCAGCGAGATGCTGAAATATCGGCCCTGCGTCAACGCGCCGATGCAAGGGAACGAGAGCTAAAGCGGATGCTGCGGGAAGTCTCAGTGTCCAACCAGGATATCGAGCGCCGGTTGTATCAGCTGGAAAACTCTCCATGTGATCGCGCCTCCGATGCAGAAAGCACCCACAGTAGCGAACACGCCGGGCACACTTCTTCTGGGTTGAATGGACTCATGTCTCAGGCCATGGAGGACACTGTGGGCTCTCGGCCGTTCAGCGAAACCGAGCCCCAGGCGACAATTCGTCCCCAGCGGGCGAACACAGATACTATAGGGAGCGGAGGCATCGACAACCGGAAACGCCAAAGCTCTATTCGAGGCTGGCAGGAGTACCTCTTTGGCTCCACCAACACAAGCCGCAAAACTAGCCGTGCTAGCAGTATCATGAGTGATGTTGGAGAGACTGAAGAGGAAGAGGCTGAGCGACTTCGCATGCCTGTCAATCCTGCAATGCGCCGGAAGGCTCTTGATGAGCAGCTTTTCCAACCACCTGATGCTTCACCCCAGAAAGGACCAGCAAAGCGTATCGCGAGCACGTCCACCAATGGCGACAGTGCCAGTGTCCATTCTCGCAAATCATCACGGTCCCTTGGTTCTTGGACAGTCAAGTTGTTTGCAGGCAACTCCCAGGCTGGAAAAGATGGAAGCGATTCTGAGTCTGTTCACAGCAAGACCCAGCCTCAACGACCAGACGGAGACAAGAGTGCCTCGTCAACTCTCTCTGGAAACTCCAAGGGCGGCTTGTCAGCAGTGGCTGCATTGAAAAGAATCAACAGCAAGGCCAGTCTGCCTAACTCCACGGTACGCTCTGCCAGCGGATCCAGTGCTCAAGGCAGGATGGGCCCCCCTGCTACGCGACGCACTGCAGCCGGTAGTGTGTCACAAGGCGCAGCTTCGGAGACCACCGATCAAAGCTCCACAAACCTTGGACCTGTTGAGATGGATGCCATTCTCCCTATGGAGTCGAAGCCTCCGACGCTCACTCCCATTTATAACAACGCTTACCCAGGCGAATTTCTGACCGACAGGTTCGGCTTCATATATGATCAGCGCAGGAAAAAGCGTCAGAGAGAAGCCACCGCTGCCAAGAGCAGCAATCACCGATTGAGTATCACCGAAACTCTTGGTACTCTCCGGACCGATTCTTCGGACCCGGAGGATGACACCCAATCGTCAACGCCGGCCCCAGACACATTGCGTTCCCTCCCTGGCTCGCCGGATGACCCTGAAAGCGGAGCTCTTGCCATTAATCGCTGGCAAGATTATCTCAGGATCCCGACCCGTCCCACCGAGCTTTTATCCCACACTCCTTCCGCCGGCCCAATCGTCTCCCTGACTACCGCGGGTGAAAATCGCTCTCATAGCTCTTCGGTTTCAGTCGACAAAGACGGTGCGCTGGCCGTCGGGTCTAGCGCACAACCATCAGCTTCTACATCTTCAGTCACTGCCAACAGACCCGAATTTTCCGGTATATCCTCTGATCAGCCCAGAGACACAGCCCCTAGGTTCACTGCTGCAGAGATAGAGCCAGTGAAGCTGCTGCTGGAGCAGTTGACCGACCTCCACGACTCATTGCAGCGTGACCGAACCGTACGATGGAACGAGTTCTTGCGTAAAGTTCGTGCCGAACGCAGGAAGGAAGGCGAGGCGGCAGCGGCAGTATCCGATCGCTCTGTGGCTGCGTTCGCTACGCCTGAGACTTCTCTCGCCGATGGCGAAGTTGTAGGTATCGCTGGGCTGGGCAACAAGGGGAAGGTCGGGCGAGCCAAATGGCGGGAATTCAGACTGCTTGTTCTCGGTGGTGTCCCAGTTGCTCTTCGTGCCAAAATCTGGTCGGAGTGCAGCGGGGCTTCAGGGATGCGGATTCCTGGATATTATGATGACCTTGTTCATGGTGTTGGTGGTTCTGACCCCGACTCTTCTGTTGTTGCACAAATCGACATGGATATCAATCGAACTCTGACCGACAATGTCTTCTTCCGCAAGGGGCCTGGCGTCGACAAATTGAAGGAGGTGCTCCTTGCGTACTCGCGTCGCAACTCGGAGGTTGGCTACTGCCAAGGCATGAATTTGATTGCGGGCTCTTTGCTGCTGATCATGCCTACTGCAGAGGATGTGTTTTGGATCTTGACGTCCATGATTGAGATCATCCTGCCTCATCATTATTACGACCATGGCTTGCTGGCCTCACGTGCCGACCAGGTCGTCTTACGCCAGTACATCTCGGAGCTACTACCTAAGCTCTCTGCACATTTGGAGGATTTGGGAATCGAGCTGGAAGCGCTGACCTTCCAATGGTTCCTTTCTGTTTTCACAGATTGTCTCTCGGCAGAGGCGCTATATCGGGTATGGGACGTAGTTCTGTGTCTCAATGTGACTGGTGCAGCCAACGGTTCTGGGCCCAATGGTCTTGCTGCCAAGGAGAACGACAAGGCTACAAAGACCGGAGTCACTGAAGATGTCGCCTCTGGCAGTGGCGGAGGAAGCACATTCCTCTTTCAGGTTGCTCTTGCGCTGCTTAAGCTCAACGAGCAGCAATTGTTGACAACCTGCTCAACGCCAGCTGCCCTCTACACTTATATCAACCACCAAATGACCAACCATGCGATTAGCATCGATGGCCTCATTCAAGCAAGCGAAGCACTGCGCAACGTGGTACGCCGTGAAGATGTCGTTGCTCGCCGAGCTGTCGCCCTCCAGGAAATGCGAAATTTGAGCAGCGGTGCAAGCATCTAAGTCTGTTTGCTCTACCATCTATCCTCCATCCCAGCGATCGTCCATTCCTTTCATTTTCTTTTCTATCTCATGCAATGCCGATACGACCTGAGCATAAGACAAGGAGTTTTGGCTTTCTGTGCTCTTTTTCATTGCCTGGTGTTGTCTGTTTGTTTCTTTTGTTCTTGTACACACCAACATAGCCCGCAATTTTCCTGTTGCCCTCATACATCAGCCAGCCTTCGAGATACCCCTGGATTTTACGCTTGGGTGGCAGCACTGTTAGACTTGTTATTGAATTTAAAATATTTTCCTCGTTATGTTTTATCCTTATCATCTATGTTCCATGATCTTTGATCTATATGGACTGACCTTAGACACCACCAACGGAGAAACGGCTCCAGCTTCGAATTCGGGAGCCGTAGATGAGGAAGAGAATGGGAGACGCCATGATCAGTATGGACAGGCCGGCTAGCAAAGTAGCCGACCAGTTTATACCAAGGGTCCTGTACATGGGACCTTCGAACAATGGGAAGGTCGCCGAGACAACGCTCCGAACCATGACATGGATGGATATCGCTGACACAGTATTGAGCAAATACACATCGACAATATACACAATGCCGCAGATGAAGATGGTCTGTAGCGCAACACCAATGGCATAGCAAGCGATCACTTGCGCAATCCAATGCGTGTCTCCCGACCACCCAAACCACAGCAGAGCTGGCGGCAGCAAAACCGCACCGAAAACCATTGGTGGCAGTCTTTTTTCCGGCGCAATGCGAGCAGGTGTCGACTCCCCCTTTGGCTCTTTCTGTGCAGCCTCCCAACGCTTCTTGTACCAGGTCATGGTGAACGTCGAGAACAAGGCCAACGCCGTGATTACACCTAGACCAACAGCAAGAAACGGAAGGGTCGCTGTGGGCTTACTCCAGCCCCGAGCACGGAATGCACGCGGGAACAGCTGATATGAGAGGTACAGCGAACCGTACACCAGTGTCAGGTAAATAGTCATGACAATCAGAATCGGTTCTCGAACAAACATGCGAACTGGTTTCGTCGTATACTTCCTCAGCAGGATTTTCGGGTCCAACGAAGCCATCTCGGCCTGTGCACGGAGACTTTGGTTTCCAGTTTCTCGACGCAGTCGTGCTGCGCGGTTCATGAGGATGCGATTATGCGAGGACTCGCGCAGAGTCACAGTACAGGCTAGACCGACAGCGGCGCAGAGGATGAGAGTTACCCAGGCTGTCCAGCGCCAGCCATATGCGTCGACGATGTATGCGCCCACGACTGGCCCGATAATACTACCCAGGTTCATGACCGTGGCAGAAGTTCCCACCGCGACCCCACGGGTGATAGGGCCGAAGATATCGGCCAAGATGCCTGAGCCGACGGCTAATCCGCCGGCGCCGAACATGCCTGCGAGGAAACGACTCAGGAGAATGGTCGCCACGTTGGTTGCTAAGGCAAGTGGGATTTGGAAAATCGCGCAGCCTGCTAGGGCAACGGCCATTGGGGGTGCGTTACCGACCACCTCGGCCATGGGTGCGAACACGAGGGGGCCGACGGCGAAGCCTGCGACGAAAAGGGCTACGCCGAGACTCATTACTTCTTGCGAGACGTCATATTCTTGCGCTGTTAAGCTGGATGCGGCACCGAAGATGCTTGACGCGATGGATATAGAGAAGATCACGGCTAGCGGAGCTGCTGATCGGACTAGCTTCGTGGATCGACGCCAATTTTGAGGATTTTCAGGATCGTTGGGCCCATCCCATGTTACCAGGCTGAGGGCCAGGGAGGGCGGAGTGTCTGTGATCGGGGTTGAGGCGCCATTGGGAATTGAGGTGAGATTGACAGCTAGGCCGTCGGTTTTGTCCTTCTCTGACATAGCCTGTGTTTGTGGCTCCATGTTGAGGAAGTTTGTGCACTCGCCTCAATCTCCGATGTGAAGGAAAACCATTGATTCAGGCCAGAGATTCTCGTCTGACAGGGCTCGATCGGCAACTGGGATCTTCCTCTAGTGCGATATTTACACGTACTCCGCTGTCCACGCACACGGAGCATCTCCGGTCGAACATAACATCCCTGTCATTTGATACAGTGAATGGAGACGTAGATAAACGGCATTACCGAAAGTCGGGGGTCAGTCGGCGTTGGGTCAGATTGCAGGTATGCACAATCCCTTGAGGTCGGCGAGATGTCCGAGATTGCCTTGCTGGGCGAGCTATCCGTTCCGCATTTCGCAGGCGTTGAGACGATCCTCGATATATGCATGCCAGTCTCAGCCCTCTCTGAATGTGTCTTACGTGTACATCACTACATACATCACTTTCAAGGTTCCCCTGCAGATCTTCAGCTCTAAATACGTAAAGAACTTTGATATGCCTACGGGACTCGGAATCTCCAAGGTCATTCAACTTCAATTGTCAACATTAAAAGCATATAAAAGATGGCATGGGTCCTTGCAGCAATCTTGGAAGAGACCTTGTTTCCAAGACCTCGGGAGGCGATGACCATCTGCGCTCTATGACCTATTACAGGCGTCCCCCCTCGTTGATTCATTGAATTCCGTCAGAGTCTCCAAGTCGACTCTTCCCATGAACCGAATGATTTCCAGCTCGTGAAGCTTGAAGTCCATTGTCTGAGTGTCGGAGACACACCTGGAGATCTCGCTCTCGTCCTTGACGGGGCCTGTAATAAGGATAGGTCCCCGCGTCACCATCGTGGATGCCATATGGGGTCTGAAGCCCTCCCTCGAGTTCGAGGTCAACTTTCCACCAGCTTCGTTGGTATATGGCGTATACGGGATGCCATTTAAGTCCATGATACCTGTCCAAAGATCAGCTTTTGGTCTTGAGTTAATGCGATCTGTAGGCTTACGCTCGCAGTGCTTGATGTACATGCAAGTTCTGATCCATGTTCGCTCAAACTCGCGTCTTTTGACACTTGCCCGGACGTTGATGTCCAGCATCCAAGCAATCACTGCGCGAGTTAGTCCTGTGAATGTTAGCAGGGCACTGTGAAATGGGCCTTTTGACCTACCATCCATGCCGTATGCGGCCCTTGGAGGCAGGAATGGCGGTGGAACTTTCTCCATGCGAGTCACATACTCAGGAACTTCGTCCCTCTGGTTTTTGGCGAACGAAGACATGGCTAGTAAGTTGCGAGAAGACAGGATGCGCCGATGGATTGGGTCCTCGACCATCCTTTAAGGCTTTGGGGGAGGTGCAGGATGACCTCGGGGCTTTGCTTCTTTGTTCTTTGCCACCTCACTGATATTCGACCTTTCTTTGTCCTTTAGACTCTCTGGTTTGCTCGATATGAAAGAAGACGAGAGGGGTCGATTTTCTTTGTTCACGTATCAGGCGAAATCTTTGAATCTTAAAACTAACCCAGGTCTATATGAAGTCGACTCCCAAATAATCTCTGTATCCATCCCCAAGCTCTGTTTCTTTCCTCTTCTCAACCAACACCAAAGTCAAAATGAATTACGAGCGCATGTTATATGATATCCCCGAGATCTTCCAGACATCGGGGAATGAGAAGGGTATGCAATGCTAATACCTCCGACCACGCCGATACTGATTCAAGATATATCCAGAGTTTGATCTCCTCCTTGGTCTTCTGGGATGGGCGCGCAATGAGGCCTTTGGAAGGGTTGCAGATACATGTGCGCTCTGGGGTGCACTCGTTCATGCCAACAGCCATCTTCTCCTAATGCAAGGTGGGATTATTTGCAATGTATTCCGTCTATAATGAAACAACTAACAAAAGACTCCAGCCAGGCTAACAGAGCGCAATTGCGACCACGAAAGCTTTAATATTGCGTCGTCTCTAGACTTGGAGCTAGAAGAAGCGAGGCGGTTGATGGAAAATTTGCCCGGAGGTAGACACTTGCTGGTTATCAATGGCCCTGGAGAATTCATGCTTGCTGTGAAGCGAATCCGGTTCCTTCGCGAGTACAACTCGCCGCAGTAGGCCGAATCAAGGGCACTGCCAAAGTGGGGTGTGGATATGTGTATAGATATCTGACACTCCTGGAGATGGACTCGGAGAGACTGCTCTTAGGAAGAACCTTGGAATGGATCAGTTGCTACGGATCTACACCGTTGATAAAATGTGTTCGCTCCTGAGCACCTGGGCAGAGGATCCCAAACGTCCACGGGTCTACTAAGTGATAATTGAGATTGCTATTAAGAACCAAACACAGTACGTAGTGAGGATAGCTCGAAATAAGGGTTTGATAAGACATCATTATTTGCTGTGAAGCCCTCAAGTATGCGATTCAAGCTCGAGGCTATGCAAAAGGAAGCCAGCAGTGGTTCCAAGGTTGACTCGATGTAAGCAAAAATTGGAATGCATTAGTGATATAGTATACCTTCTCCCTTTTTACATTTTAGAAGCAGCCGATATGAACAAACTCGCATCCCTGAGATCCCAAAAGGTGATGTTCGAGCTCCGACGTCATTGATGCAGATCTGAATTTCGATCTCCACATGGTTCATCTGCAGGGCCATGTACTATACTTCGATTTCAGGTATACTCCTGCTTTTAGATCACCACATTCTGTAGTAAGTGGCATCATCTTGATCTTGCAGTACCAATTGCTCATCTCATTAGGCTTATGTGCAGCAAGACGCCTTCTTAGGATCATCCAAACATTACCCAATTGGGACGAGTGGGACAGAAGTGGGTTTATTGAATCTGGCACGAATGAAGACACTTTGGCGTGGAGGAACTCCAGAAATTGAGGATTGGTACGAGCTGGAGGTGGAGTTCTGCGGCATGTTTCTGCTTGGTCAAATCGATCGGTTGTACAAGTTGTATTGTTTAACTCCGATCCTCTTTCCTCTCTTTCCTTCCTTCTCACCCCTATACCACCTACTTCAACACCTCAATCATGGATCCCTACAATACCCCAGAGGCTGTCTTGCAGCTCAGCGTCATTAATCCAGAAATGGAACAGGTAAAGCGAATAGCTCCAAAGAAAAGCCAGTGTGCTAATGCACACCCAGGCCCTAAAAGACAGCCCAGCTCCTGATCTCTCATCAGACCCAGCACAAGTTCTACGTGAACTGGGACTCATGGGCGACCGTCTCGGAGCTGAGAGCAAGCCCGCAACACATGGCACACACGAGTCGGTGAAGACCATCACCTTGCGCGACGGCTACGAGAGCGAGCTTCGCATCATCAAGCCGCCCAACCATGACTCCAAGTCACCGCTCGTGGTCCTGATCTACGGCGGTGGATTCTTCACTGGCTGCAACCTCCAGCTTCTTCCCTGGGCCAAGGCAGCCTCGGCCCTGTACAACGCCACCGTGGTCCTGCCGAGTTATCGTCTGGCTCCAGAGCACAAATTCCCAACAGCTCACCACGATATCTGGGATACCCTCAAATGGCTCGCGGCCAATGCTTCTTTGCTGGGCGCTGATCTCTCAGAAGGATTCGTGATCGGCGGTTCCTCTGCTGGTGCCAGTCTTGCTGCCGTGACTGCCCACCGCGCGTTGCGAGAGAACCTCTCGCCCCCTCTGACGGGTGTGCTTGCTAATATCCCCCCGCTTTTGGATGAGCAAATTGTGCCGGATAAATATAAGCATCTTTATCTGTCGCGCGAGCAGAATGCCAATGGAGCAGTCTGTAATGCGAAGGACTTGAGGGTCTGGATGGGCTGGTGGGAGCCTGACTTCCACTCAGTTGACTACTCCCCCGTGAACTCGGATGTTCCATTGGCTGGTTTGCCGCCTCATTATATACAGGTTGATGGGATGGATAGCTTGCGCGACGATGGTTTGATCTATGAGAAATTGCTCCGCGATGAAGGTGTTGCCACTCATCTCATTGCCTACCCCGGCATGCCTCATGGTCATTGGGGCCTGTGGCCTAAACACACGTTGTCGGAAGTTGCCCATGTCGATACTATCTATGGCATTGGGTGGTTGCTTGGGAAGGAGGTCGCAAAGGAGGAAATCAAGAGCGTTTGGAATACAGAGGCTTAGCAAGGAAGACTAGAGAGTAATTGGTTCTCTTCACGAATGCAAAAATGTTTCCAAGTTCCAGTTAATGGCTTGATGCTAGGTATGATCTTTGTCTATCATCGAACTTCAGATATGCTTGTCGGGTATCCAGTGCTTATGGGCCGTTCGGGTTCAGGGCCGTCGCATGTTACCGAATCACTCCACGAATCTCCGGGTCATGCAGGAAAGTAACGGCTCAAAAGACTCAGAGTCAATCTCGGGTCATACAAAAGTATCACTTCCCCCCTAGTACCTCTGTCATGTGCGCAGAAAGCGGTATAAATTTCCCTACACTATCGGCGGCCAGAGTCCGGCAGGATTGGGGGGCGAGCATTCGGCCGTAACAAGGAGGCGCTGAGGGCACGACTTTTGCCGACCAGGCCCTTGAAAACCATGCAAAGCGTAGGACTCAAAGAGAAAAGAAAAAGGCTACTGATTTTCTGCTAATTCAGCTGGGGCCTTGCTCAACCCAGAATTGACTGTTGTCCAATACAGTGTTCAGGTCAAGCGAGTCCAATGTGGGACGGAGACCGAGGTCCATCACGTCTCGCGCAACGGCTTTAATCTGTCGATTGATCGATTGGGAAATCGCCCAGGTTTTAGCCAGCTTCTTGAAGACACCGATTGTCAATATCAACCGATCACGGCTAGGGTCTGGGATTGAACCAGCCTTGACGGAGCAAGAGGCTAGTTGGACAATGGAGCTCAGAGTGAGCGCGCAAATGAAGAACGGAGTGTGCTTTGTAACCTCCGCACGGAATCCGGCAAGTCGAGTTAGCTCTCGAGCTGCCTTGTATGCCTTCATAGCGTGCTCGTTGTGAGAAAAGGCAGGTACACTGATTGGCCCATGGTGACCGCAGATTACCTCCGCGGCAACAGCAGGCGACGACAAAAGGTCCGACCGCGGGAAGTTCAGGTAGATGGCCGCGCCGTTCAAAATCATGGTCGCTTGGAACATGATCTCATCCACCGACCCATCTGGACGAAGCAGTTCTTCCTTGGACTCCGGTAAATGGTGACCCCAACTACCAATTCGTGCATCGATCGCTTCCACCAGATCCTGCTGGCCATGGGTCATTTCTTGCATGGCCACCACGCGACCGAGGATACGAATGGATTCTATCCGGTAGCAGTAAGAAGAAAAGTCACGATCTTCATCCGCGAAAACCCGCTCATCGAATTGCGCGATAGTAGGGGATGGTGGTGGTGCCAGGCCCTCCTGATAGATGCGTTCTTCACACGGAAGCCCGACTTCGAGCGGAACCATGTTGGTGCGATAGTCACGTTGCACACCGAGGGCAGTCAGCATGCCCTCAATGATAAAGAGCTCCCACCAGGTACGCCGTATAGACTCGGCGCGGATCGGATCGCTGTTGCTAGCGATGACTGCAAAGGGTCCCTGGTGCATGCCAAGCTCAAAGGCCGTGTCCACAGCGGCAGCTAGGCAAACGCCAGCTTCGGCACGCTCATTATCTGAATGAAGCACAATTGCCAGGAGGAGCAGTGCCTGCACCTTTTCCACCGCCGGCATTTGGTCTTGAACCATCGTGACAACCGTCTGCCGGTACGTAGCACTCGAAGCAGCCGGGGTGAAGTGGGCGCCGATGAACTTCATCACTTGCTCTAGGTATGCGGGGAAGAAGCTGCGATTCAGGAGCTGGTGCGGAGGCAGTATTGGATGGGCATCATGGAAATAATTATAATAGATATCGAGTAGGTAGCCATCGCCACCGACGGCGACAGAGGAGGAGTCCGGAGTCAACGGTGCGCTCATCGGATGAATGGATGGTACCATTGGCGGGGACATTTCGTGTAGTCCAGGACTGGTCGATTCGGACGAGGGAAGCGGCACAGCCGGCGCGTACTTGAAGGCAGACTGCAAACCCCAATCCACGGGGTTTTCGAGCAAACCGACTTGGGGGGGCGACAAAGTTATCGGGGGAGTTGGCGCGGCGCTTTTTCGACGGGCCTTTGTAGCCTCTTCGTGACTTCGTATATTCGCATGGGGATTGCATCTGTTCACAGCGGCTACAGATAGGAGTGCGGCCATCACACTTGAGGTGCTTGTGACGGCACTGAAGACAGGCCAGTAGGGAGGGGCCTTTAGGTGGCCTCGAGGCCGGCAATTCATTCATGTCGAAGAAAAATGCATACAAAACGCAGAGGTACTGCAGGAATGGAGGGGAAGAAGAAGAGGGAGAGAGAGCGAAGTGGGAATGGGGATTTCGTAATGCAGATTACCGAGGACTCAATTGTTCGCATTGCAGTAGTGTCGAAATCCACCAGTTGTTAATCCAAGACCCATAGCCAGACTAAATTAAGTACAGGGAATACCCTTGTAGAAAGAGGAGTTTGCTCCAATTCGAGCGAAGCAAAATTACCCTTTCAAACGCTTAATTTACGCGCATTACGCGGCGGTACGGAGTACAGAGTGACATGTACGTTATCCGATAGCTCCAGGTGTCCACCTCGGAATCCCCAAGTCTCTCCTGCGCCATCACAACACACTCTTTGTTCCCTTTTCACATCCCGGTTCGACCTAATCCTGTTCTCGGCGTGCATCGCAGTAGCGCCGTTCCAACTATCCACGTGTCATCTCCAGACGCCGCCTCCTGCCATTCTGTCCTCCACCGTCATTCGTGACCCGGCACCCTTCCACATCTCACAATGATCTCCGACGACGATCTGTACCGTCTTGCTATCTTCCTTGGCTCCTGCGCCATGATGATGATTGTCCTATACCACTTCCTGGATGTCAATTCCAGCGACGAGTCCGCCGACTCAGTGAGCAACCCCAAGAGCTCAGCAACAACAACCTCCGCAGAGGTGTCCACTTCAGGGAACGGGAACTAAAGTTGGACTTGCGCGAGGAACGGAAGGGGATCCGGGGAACAAAGATACCATTGCCTACATTTGATCGTTTATTTCATACCAGCGAGTTCAGAACAAGTTCATTGCACACTTAACGTCAATGTCAACCACAGAAGCGATTGTTGCCAATCACATGGCCTTCGTTTGATTTGCTTCGTGCTTTCAGCTTTGTGTCCTATCTAATACGGAACCAGGCGATCCAAGAAGGTGCCTGTGAAAAGTAGAGCCTGTGCAACGGAATTTGTACTTGGCTGTCATATTGTAGATTTTGTAATTTGGGTTTGGCCAAACGCCATTTGCTATTCGTACATAAAACTTTGGATCGGGCCACGATAGGGCTCACTGGAACCAACGGTATCTCACCATTCTGAGTGGGAGCCTTGGGGCAGATTATTCAGGTGAGATGAAAGCGGTTTCAGCACAATAGACATTTGCCTGTCGAGGAGGTGATGAGAGGCGGCGGGAATCCTGATCTAGATCTGGTCCAATTTGCTGCTTCCAATGACGTCCTGCATCGAGGATAGCTTCAGCTTTCTCTATTTCAGATCTGATCCCATACACCTTGCTATAAGCTTGGAGTTGGGTCACATTGACGGGTAGGATCATAGTGGCCTTGGGAGCGCTGGGTGGGGTGGGGCTGGAAGGTTCTTCTAAGGTGAGTGCCACTAGAGCATCGATTCCATTAGACATCGGTTCAAGGAGAAAGAAACACATGAAGATGCTTCTTGCGGGAGTGAAGGCAATCAATGGTTCTCACCAGGTTCTGGTACCGTAGGTCCATCCCCAAGCTGCCAAGCCAACTTCATGATGTGCTCCTTTGTAACATGTGCATACATGCCCGCTGCCGCCATGGGTGTCGTGTGTTCACAGCCTTTCCACTGGCAGACAAGATGATGAGGCACGTGGGTCTTGACCACATGGGCTTTAATGCCTTCCAGGTTGTGCAGTTCCGCAGCACAGCTTTTCCACTGACACGCGTAAACAGGGTACTTCACCAAAGGCTTCGCTTCAGGAACCCTCACTTCCACGCCCGGAGCTGGATTCTTGGGCGGGCGACCTGGCTTGCGCCTTTCAGTCATCTTTTGCGGTGAAGGTGTGATCACCACTTTTGGTTGCGGGAGACGGCTTGTCTCTGGGGATTTGAATACCTGACTAGAAGCGGGTTGAGACTTCCCTGTGGACGTGGGTACATTGACGTCTGGTTTCGCGCCTGGAGTAACCTTCGGGGTACTTTGTTTGGGTTGAGAAGGCGATTTGGTCTCGCGAGTGGTGGTGGGTAGTTTGCGATGCGGTGAGATGGGTATGGACACAATCGGGGTGGATGACGAAGAAGTCTTAGGAAATTTAGACACAGAGGTGGGGACAATAATTGAAGGAGAAGGATAAGACGGAGTCTTCAAAGGCCCAGTGCCTTGGGCATTTAGCCTGTTTGAAGGGGGGCACGCGTCGATCGGTATTGTTGTGGGGGTCAGCCGCGTGCCCGCGGGCGGCGCGTCACGTGGCCCGTCATATGGCGGGATATTTGGCTGCGTGGGCGGACCACCACGCGGATGCGGAGCTGGGCCCTGCTGCTGGAGAGACCACCGAACAGAGGGTTGGGTCAGGCCTGGTACCTGGATCGAGGCCCGGGGGTTTCCTGGGACGGGGAGAGCCATTGAACCGGGATTGAGCTTGGGGGCATGATACACAGGAGGTGCAAGAGCCGCTGGGGCTGGCGCTGGTTCCTTTATGACCACTGCTGGATTTTTGGCATCCACCATATCCCAGCGGAATGTTCGCAAGTCTGATCTGCCATCTATTCTGACAAATCTTTTTTCAAGTTCTTCCAGATGGTCATTCAAGGGCTCTTCATTCGGATGTTGTCCTGCGGCAACGAGAAGACTCCTCACAATTAGAGCAGGATCATAGCGTATCTCATCGGGTTCTAAAATGTCTACCGTTGGCTGAACCAGGTCATCACGATTTTTGAGAATCTTTCCTGTACGAGGCTGTGAAGAATCCTCAGTAGGAGGATGCTGCCACGAACGAGCGACCGAATGCGGCATGGTTGGACGTGTTTTCGGGACATATGGTTGACGTTTGGGCTGATTCAGGCGTCTGACCTTCTTGGGTGGCTCGGTCGAGCCCCTGTCCTGATCAGTAGACACGATTGGATCCGAAAGCAATCGGGGTCGTGGCTGATAGATATCTGACTTTCGTCCTGGTCTAGGGCGTGCTTGTGCTGCAACGGATTTTGAGAGTGTGGTGCCAGAATAGGATACTGGAAGGTGAGCTGGATAGGAGAATCCTGGATTAAATGATCCATGAGTGGTAATTGCGCCCTGGTATGCCGGCGCAAGTTTTCCGTGGTCGTTACGATGTGCGATAAGCTGCTCCTGGGGCGTAGAAGCAATGACAGGAGCATTGAAACCACTGCTTTCTGGCGCAGGCGATGCAACTGGCTGCTCAACTGGCGAGGGAGTCGAGCTGTTGATTAGGATGGGCTCAGACCTTGTCATTCCCTCAGGCGCCACTGGCGGCTGCGCATTTCCATGAGTGATATGTTGGAACTGGGTTTTGGATGGTTGCTGTGCTCTTTGAGAGTCGAGTGGTCTTTCTGAGGCATGTTCAGGTGCAAGTGTTGGATGTTCTGCGTCAAAATTGGCACGAGCGACGGACGTCTCAATTCCTTCTCTGTGCCGCAAAGCATTGAGCTGGTGGGGTGGCCTAAGGGCAATCTGAGCTGGGTTGAGAGATTGGAGTTGTGATGGGCCTTGACCATGCTGCGCTGTTCCTTGTTGACTTCGAGCAATGGTTGATGGGTGGTTTGCTTGAAGCGAGGCAGAGTTAGGCGGTCGTAGAACACCTCGACCCGGAACCGAGGAGTGACCTTGAGGAGTGGTTTGAGGCCTTGTAATCGGTGAATGTGTGACTCGGGGAGGAGGCTGCGGGCTGTTTGTTGAGGCCAGAGAATTTTGAAACTCGCTGGGTGGGATTGGGGGCCAATTGTACTCTCGATTCGGGTTCATCATCATGATTTGATTCCGTCTACGAATTTCAGCAAATGGATCGCCATAATGTGGCTGTCCGCCATGGCCGGATTGCACATGGTGACCTGAGCGTGGCACAGATTGTTGATACTGGTTCCCCGATCCGGCTTGACCTCGCCGCGCCGCGGTGCCTGGTGTTTGCGCGAAAGAAGTCGGTCTCGTGGTTTGTTGGCCGCCTGAAACCCTCCTAGCAGCACCCGTTGTAGAGGCAGAAAGATTCGCATTGGAAGTGCCATGATTCCCTTGCTGCGGATTGCGTGCGGGTTGACCATGTGCACGTTGTTGGGTTGCGAATGAAGCGTGTTGGGTCTGCGCGTGTTGACTGAGGTACTGCTGGAGTGTATTCGGAGGATTAAAGCTCGGGGTTCTTTGAGGGAAGTGATTTGGCTGATGTTCAGATCTAGACGACGGTTGGGCAAAAGCCGAGGGTTGCTGTCTAACATTGGGATGTCTGGATTGACCTCCGTCACGTTCAGTCCGTAATTGCGAGTACGCCATGGAAGCGTTCGGGACTCGATTGACGCCATGGTTCGAGGATCTAGCCGGGGGCGCATTCTGTACTTGCGAGTGTATCGAATTCGAGTTCGCTACATCTTCCGCGCCTTGAAATGCCTGGTATGCCTGTTCGACTCCCTCGTCCTGGATAAGATCGTATGCGGCCTGGCCTCCGTGCGGGAGGAAGTTCTGCAGCCAGTCATACTCCTCGTACCCCTCGTTCTCGCCCATGCCTGGTTGATTTCGACTGAAAGATGCGACGACTATCTCATCTTTGCTGCCGACTCGACAAAATTAGCCTCGCATGCGTCCGAATCCACCGGATTCCGGCTGATCAATGAGATTGTTTCAGAGCCACAACTCCTCATGAAGTCCAACTCGCGACGCGGGCTCTTGTGTGGTGAGGCATACAACGCGTCGCGGTGGAGTTTGAGATTAGGAAGTTGATTCGCTACAGCCAATCGGGCACGTGATCCACCGAGCTGTTTAAATTCTGTCTTCGGCCCTCCGTCGGTCCATCCTTAGTTCCACTGCGGATTCTTCGACTCTCAGAGATTCACTTGTTATGGACTAAATGAAGTTCGGACCGTAATCATGAAGAGTCGAGACCTTGACATAGATGTCGAGACTAGATCATCTCCGTTTACGCCCAATTATCTCCTCGTCAATCCCGTTTACGGACCATATGATTGAAGAGGTATTTCAGAGGCGAAGAGAGAATTGCAGAACTACTGGGAAGCTGGTGGATTCTGTCTGACCTGCAGACTCACTCTGATGCCCTCGGGCAAGGACGCAGTGAGTTTGATGGTGAGGTACATCCTTCAAACTGAGGCTGTCAACTAGTTTCCAGATAGAAAGAAATCAAAGAAGCAAAAGGGAACGCCATACATCTCATTTCAAGAAGTTCCAGGCCTCAGCAAAGAAAGAGATGGTTCAAATATAAGTACAACTGACATGCTCGCTAAATGTTCAATTATGTGGGCTTTAATGGCCAACACACTTCCCCCACGCAGGCAAACCGCATCCCATTCCAATGAACAAATAAAGCAAGAAGATAACCACAACTACCATCATGATCATCAACTTGGTGTTCTTCCACCACATCCTCCTCCGTAGTCCACGGCTGCGCATTCGGAAATCGTGCGCGCTTCCGCCAAGTCGATCGGTCTTATCAACCAGTAGATCAATACGCTCCCCGCGCTCGAGAACGCGATCAATATTCTCGGTCATGATATCGCGAACACTGTCGATCTCGCGCCGCGCCGATGCGAGCGAGTCTGCTGGAGGGGCAGTGTTATATGTTTGGAGAAGAGAACGGAGCTCATTGTTGAAGGCTGCGCAACCGTAGGCGGGCAAAGAAGAAAATTCGGTACTTGAAGGTTGGTAGGTGGACAGGAACTTGCGCTTCATTTCAAGTAGGTAGGCGAAGGGGATGCGGCGGCCTTGCTCGGCGGATGCGACGACTATGAAGCTCAGGGGTGCGTGTGAGTTGGGCTCGTTGCTGTTGCCATCGTCGGAGTTTCCTGTTGGTGAGTCGGCGATGTAGTGGACGAAGAGACGTTCATGGGTAAAAGTGAGCTTCTGCGGCTTGTCGTGGTTGATCTTCGGGAGGATGATGGAGGCCAGAGATGAGGCAGAGGTTGATGAGGTGCCTGGGGAGGAGTGTTCGGCTAGAATGGTCGTCCGATGGGCGATACAAGAGCTAAAATACAGGTCAGTTGATCAAAAGCTTTGCAGGTGGCTCGTTCGGCCTTTGGGTTGAGACAGTGTCACTCACTAGAGCAGAGAGCTCGTCTTTGAAGATGAAGCCATGATATGATGTCACCGGGCGCACTTGAAAGATGAAGGATGGTATCGAAGGTTGATATTCAAGGTTCGGCGGGGGTGTAATCTTAGATCAGGTAGATGAATTTCTCAACAAGAGTAACAGAGAGCTCCACGTTGAAGCCTTTGGTAATGCGGAGTAGAGAAGCTCCCAAGGTCAGTGCCCAGGCGGGTTCGCGGAAAACTGAGTCAGCTAAGAAGACCTCAACGGTTCTGATTGGTGGACCTCCAACTATACAACTCTATGGATAATACATAGATGCAAAAAGGCCTGGGGTATGCTCTGTAAAATTGAGATGGGTATAGCTATTGTGTATTGATCGCCTTTGATTGTTATCCGTGAACCTTGAACTTTCTTTAACATCAATATGAAAGTAATATCCCGAACCAAAGCCAAGTTCTGTAGACATCCACTTGCACCGCTCAAATGAATTCAAACCCCCCACTGTCTTGATCGCTGCTGTCCATTTCCATATCTTCGGAGAATCCTGCATGGATTGGGGAGCTCTCATCCACCAAGGTGCAGTCTGATTGTATCTCAAGTTCTTCATCGGTAGTCAGGCCAAAATCCACGGATCCCTCATCGTCAAACTGTCCATATTGCTGCAACTGGGCCTCGTCGAGTTGCTCGGGACACACTGAAACCTGCGTGGAGTTGATCGACTCTACTGACATGAGATCCGACGCGTGACTGTTGGTGGCACGGTGGGATGCAGCCCGAATGGTGCTTGAATCGTCGTCTTCGTCCACCTCAATGAGTGAACTGCTGGATGCAACGCTTCCAGTATACATCTCAAGTCCGGGGCCTGAAAATTCCGCCGCATCCACGTTTGGGATCATTAGGTCGGAAAACACACCACCCGTTCCATCATCGTTGCCACCAGCCCATAGAGGGAGGTATTGGTACTCATTGTATGTCAGACAGCTGAGAACATCCGCAAGGACATGTGGACTGGCCGAAATATCCGGCACTTTCAACAGCTCCTCACTGTAGACTGTTAAAAAAGCCTCGGCTTGATCTCTGAAGTCACACTCGTTGAAAATATAGTCTTTAATGGGATCCTGTCGCTGGGGAAGTGCGGCAGAAAGACACGGGTAAGGGTGAGGAGCTGGGATCGGGTTCAAGATAGGCCCATAGAAGGGAGATAATCTTCTCTGAACATTTATCTGTGCTTGGCGAACAACGATCGTCATTTCCAAAAGTGGAACAGCTTCTTCCTCTTGCATTTCACGTAACCTAATTTTCTCAAGAGACAATAGGTTAAACGCCCGACATGCTTCAGATAATTCAGTATGGGACACATGTCGAATGATTGCGTCGGTTTCACCAGATAAAGCCAAAGATCGAGGAAAAATTTCTGCAATTGTGGTGTGAGAGTCCTTGCGAATCAATGATTCCGTGTACAGGTCCAGGCTTCCCAGTCGAGTCCAGAAATCCTGGCCAATCAGTCGCTGAAGGTAAAAATCCTTGCCGGGTACCTTGTCGATGTACCTGTAGTACAGGTCTAAGGATTTTCTTCCACTGGAATCGGCATGGAAAGAACGATTCGTATCTCTGACATCAGCCAGTAATCCGTAGATCTGATCACGAAGGTACTCCTTCAGTGTGTTGATAATTGGATCGATGATTCCAAGATCTTCAGAGTGAAGTGTAAGATGATGAATGAGTTTCTGGCACTCAGGAAGAATGTATATCCAGTCCATTCTGGTGCCAGCTAACCCTGCAAAACAGCGGATAACGGATTCTCCAAAGCTCTGGCTCGCATACTCGATACGTTGCAATTCGCCGTCATCCAGAACATCACGCGCCGGATTCCACGTCAACATCTCTATGCCTCTCGATGGTGTGAACTCAGCCATTCGGAGAAGATACAACAAGGCTGCATCTCCTACCAGCTCGGCAAAGGCTCCTCGGCAAAGTTCAACGGACTTCGTGCCACAGGCCACCCAGTAAACCACTTCGGGGTGGAGCTCGATGAACCGGATATTGTTAAGCTCGTAGAACCATGATATGATGTGATCACTTATGACCGGGACAGTCACCACGTCGAAGAATTTAGCAAGCCCGAAAAACGTCCACATTTTGCAGGGGGTGTCCAGGGTGGGATTCAGGCCCATCAAAACATGAAGAATATGTTTGATTCCCTCGCGGTGACGCTGAGGAGAGTATTCCATGGGGAATCTTTTGATCCGCGAATTCCTTGACTGTGGATTGATATTATCAGCCTCTTCCCTGGAGTTGTCCCATTTTTGTTCATGTTGATGTGCCGCATTCTGTGCAACAGGCACAGTGGATGTGGATGCTCCAACGGCTTCCATTTCATCAACCCCTCCCACGCACGAGTCGGGTAGCGACCAGATATCTTTCTTAGACGCCCACTCTCGAACACTCCTGGGGCATGACAGCTCCGCCAGCAGAATAAGTGCGTCGTCGTCCAGTAATGGAGGTGTCAGATCCAAAACATATTTGATACCAGCTGGAAGGCCATTGAGAAGACCCCGTTGGTTTATGATCCTGGTCTGGTAACTGGAGCTGAACATATGCTGGAAATATGTAGACCCTGTAGCCAGAAGCCTCTCGCTATGAATGCGGTGGGGCACTGTCCGAGTTGAGCATGGTTGTCTGGCTTGGATCACCTCCGGGGAAGGGTCAATGAAAACCAGCGTGTCTGCTTCATGCAGCAATAGTAGAAATGGGGGTTTGGGATGCCATGGAGATGAATGAGGCAGGCCCTCGAGGCGTTCTGAAGGGGCGTCGAGAGGGTGGGGTGGAGGGTTCAGGGCTGGGATAGACTCAAGATCTGAGTTGTCTGCGGAGTCACTTTCTGAAGGATATTTCATAAGCAGTGGCATCTCTCTTGACTGCCCATGAAGGGTAGGTGGAAGCTCCATTCTGGCTGTTAGACTGGGGTCCAGCACAAAGAGTCAAGGCGATATAGAGAGGTGACCTCGGAAGTCTTCAGGATATGAAGCCAGATAGTTTCAAGCTTAGAGATGATTGTTGAAATATGGATTGAATAGAACATCCATGAATCAACCACTTGGGGAGTGCTCTGATTTCGCAGTCAATGAGGTGGTGCGACATATATGTCGTGCGACGTTGATGGTTCCAAGGTTGAGAGGCACTGCAAAATCGCAAGCTTCCAAAGTTTTTTGCGTTTATGTTAATGCTCCCCTCTAACCTTGGACGCCCCTCGTCGAATTTGGAATGAGCCCAATAGTCGAGACAAATAAACGGGTGATATTTGCGTCACCCGTGGGCCGTGGACAGAGCACACATGTTCACTCATATCTTGTCTCTTGTGTTTTCCTGGGGTGTTTATTTGTGGTATCAATGAAACCAAATTCAAAATATTCAGAACACAAGTTGCCCTGATGGAAAAGGTGATATATACCCATTGTGATGGATGTGGATTACTCCCTTTTAGGCACTGGATCAACCGCGTGGCAATGTATCTAAAGCAGAAATGATATCTTCGTGATATGTATTTCAAGGAATATCAAAATGATAAAGCAACGCCTCACATACTCAAGATCTACGCCAAACTCAGCCCTGATTCCGGAAAGACTGATGTAGGAAGCAAGTGGCGCAATGCGCTCACCTCGATGTCATGGTGGCTCCCAGCGTTATATATACACAAAGCTCACCTACACATAGCGCAACCTTGGAATGAACTTCACTTATGCCCACGGGCAATTTCAACACCAACGAACTAGCTATCTCAAAGCCTTTCTCCAGTGAAAGTCGAGAATATTTCTAGAAAATTCAAGTTGCAATATGGCCACAATGGCAGCAACGGCCGCTGGGCGAAGTCCCAAGCCTATGAGGTCAGCCGCCTGAGCCCACCAGGATATCAGGATACCCGTGGACGATGTTGACTTTGAAATGTGTCGATACAGGTTTCGCAATCTTGCCGTGTTCAGTATCTTTGGTATGCTGAGTGGAAGCTGGTTGATGTTCCGCTTCTTGGCACAGAGGCGAGGAGCCATGCTCGCGAATAGCCATGAACTGGCGTCGTTCCGAAGTGGAGAGTCAAAGCGAACGGACCAAGGAAGCTATGAAGGGGAAGATGCCCGGACACTTCGCAACAAACGCTAGGATAATCAAGAAAGAAGGCAATCCGAATAGCGCGGCATATTACATTCGTGGGTGAAATGGTCGATGGATAGGGAGTTATCCATCTAGGCTGTGTGAATTGAGCGCGGTATTGCCCACCTGGGCAGGATGCACGCAAGCTAAGATAATATACACAAAAACGAGATCGTGACGCCATTAGAGAGCAGACATTAGGTAGTGATAAAGAAAAAGACCTCTCCAACCTTGGAATCCATTGACAAATATTTGTACACGGTATTTGAAAGCTTAGACAGATGGCGAGGCCCCTTCGCCGGGGCCATCACCCTTCACAGGACTGCCAGCCGAATTGAGACTCCGTTTCTTGGAGTTTTTGTCGCGCTTCTTCTTTTCACGCGGGCCACGGGGCTCATCAGATCGGCTCGGGCTGCGACTTGACTCGCTGCGACGCAGATCCTTGACCTCTTTGATCACCTCGCGGAAACCCTCTTCGATGTTGTTCATGCGCGCTAGGACCAATTTGCTGAGCATGTCTTGGGTTTGATTTGGGGCGTCGCGACGGAGACCGGCTGCGCCAAAGCCCATTTGAGTTTGGAAGCTCGATGGGATCGCGCCGGCGAAGCCACCTGCCACCGCCTTGTTATCGCCTAGGTCAGAGCCCAGGTCGAAGAGAAGGGAGGCTCGGGGCCGTTTCCCTGCGGGTCGATCGGAGAGGTAGATGCTCTCCACCTCAGGGACAGACATGTGGTTTAGACCGAGCTGGCTATTCCGAGAACGGGATATGCCTAGAACGTGACGCTTCATGGTGCCTTGGTCTACTGAGGTAGAGACGAGAGGTAGATTATCTCCATCAGATGAGTCAGTATCCGGTCGAGTGGGTGTAGCCCGACCTTCTGTTTCCTCGTTTGGAGAGCCTACGGGATTATACAGCATGGTCACACCGGAGGCATTTCGGTTGTGCCTGGGGCGACGAGTCGGGCTGTTGCGGCGTGATATGACTTTTGCAGTAGATGGACGGGAGCTGTAAAACTTCGGGGACCGCTTTTGTGAGCCTTCGGACCGGTCTGCTGTATCGCCTGCTGACCCTGGAGCGGAGTTCTTCTCATCTGCAGAGTCGCCGTCGTTACTCGTCAACTCGTCATCGCCCTCCATATCTGTATGATGCGACATTTGCCGTCTCTCCTCTGGCGAAATAGGAGGTCTTGCGCGCCGAGGCCGAACATCCGGGCTTACAACACGACTTGTTCGATCTTCGGGATTTGATGCGACTGAGCGTGTTGTTTCCGTGAAGTTTCGTGGGCGATTAGCCAATCTGGCCTTGAAAGGAAAGCTGGGCCGATTGAGGCGCATTCCGAGACGACCTCCGACTGCAGAATCATCGTCGTCAGGCCCATCAGCTGGCCCAGACCCAACTTCTTGCATCCAGTCCTTGATGACGTTATTTGTCTGGTCCTCATGTATGGTGTCGGGCCGTCCTCGAATGCGGTCATCGTATGGTCGCCGGAACACTTCTTCCAAAGCTTGATCTTTTTGGTAAGTTGCAACAGATGGCTCGCGCACCAGACGCGATGCCCTGGTGCTGAACCCACGCAAACGACTAGGCGGCCACTGTTTGGCCCGATTTAGAACTTTGTTTTGAGAGGTAGGTTCAATCAGATCCATCGGTTGCACGACGCGAGCACTGAGAATGACCTTCTCATAGAGACAGATGGAGAATAAGATGGGCAAATGGGTGATCTTTATGATAGTCCGGTTGAGACGAATGAAATCTCGGAAAGGCATCGTAAATCGGAATGGAGCCACGAGCCAGGCGATGACGTTAGTCGGTGCCACGTATGAGAACAAGGCATCGGACTTCACCATCGAGATGGTGTTAACGGCAAAGAGGAATTGATGTTCTTGATTGGCATTTTGGACGATTCGCATGAACGAGTTGGTCAACACTGTGATGAGAATAGTGACGACGACGAAGTGACAGATGAATAGGAAGACTGTGAGAATTGTCTTTCCCAGGAAATTGTACTCATCCCACATTGCCCACGCGGTTGGCGTAAAGCCCATCAACATTTGGAACAAGCCGTAAGCGATCTCCTTGGGAGATTTATTGTCACCAAAGTTGAGGAAAGCAATGAAAAATCCAGAACAGGAGATGACGATGAGAACAAAAACCGCGATTAAGTCAGAGGCCATGATTCGGAATGCAATCAATAGCTGGGAGAAATAACGGTAGTGATCCAAGATGGAGAACAACCTCGGAAACAGCAATGGAGCTGTAGCTGCAAGAACATCAAACTGCGATGGATTAGCATGGGGGTCAGAGCAATCGGGTTTCGGCAAATATGCTCACAGCTTTGTCGGCAATGAATTGACTTCGAGGGTAGGTCAAGAAAGTGCCATAGATCCTCAAACAATAGTATGCAAAGAGCAATAGCAGAATGCCCAGATCGAATAAATTCCAAAAGCTCATGAGATAGAGGCTGAATCCCTGCTCATTGAAACCAACCACTTCATCAAGCATGAACCCGGCGCTCCAGAACCAGAACACGACCTCCAGAGATGTAATCCTACGGCTGCGTTGGTTCAAGACAGCCAAGAACAGACCCAGAAGCACGGCATACGATAGAGTTGAGAGGAACTGTCGGTAACGGGGCACCCTTAATCGCGACAACTTGAACAATGATGCCTCACGCGGGTTATAAAGTGTCACCGAGCGCCGAAGAGTACCATTGCTATGTTCAGTCGGAATATTCTGGTTCCGATCCATGGAAGTTCCATAGTCAAGGTTTCCAGCTTGCGCCGTAGGCTCACGCCGATGGAGATTGTCCGCAGCAGAATGGAACACGACCGTGCCTGCCCAGATAGCTTCCAACTGCTGCACCACAACGGGGTGAGCAAGGAACCGTTTTGCCTGCGCGCGGATTGCAACTTCCAAGCATGAGACACGCGCAGTCACAACTCGCTTCCTTGGTCCCGCTGGCGGCGCCGTAGACGGGTCTTGGCCCTGCAGTGGGTGGAATTCGTAGGATAGGGCATCGAGTAATTCGCGAGTCGAGTATTCCCTGAGCAATTTGATGGCGAGCAATTCACTCACCATCGCACGCGTCTGATTTGCGCCACTGTTTCCCGGACTCGAATGCATTTCCTTCTCGAATTGTAGACAATTGGCCATCAGGGCGTAGAGAGTCGCGCGCGAGAAGTGCGCGGACATGATCTTCTGGAGAATGGGCTTGATCAGGAACTGGGAGACCTGCGGCGAGCGTAGCTGGTCCCATGTTAACGTAGTTTCGCAGCGGGAGGCAATCAATGGACGGATGGCATGGGTGATGTTGTAGACGGGAAGCGCGTCTGGGAGATGTTAGTTCCTGTCTGCCACTGTGTACTTTTGTTTGGAGAAAGTCCTACCCAGATGTGAGGGCGAGAACATAGGCAGGAGAGGGGTCGATTCCAGGGGACCATCTTCCTCTTCCTCCCAGTCCTCGTCCATATCTTCCTCGTCATTTCCGTGTAGCTCTGGCGCATCGTCGCTACTCTCGTCGGCTTGGACGCGTCGGTTCTGCGTGCGGAACCAGGGCGACGCAGAGAAGGGCGACTGCTCCGTCTGCCCGCGCTGTAGCTTTGGTCGAAGCAGTGAACCAAACATGGTGTGCTTTTTATGTTCTCATAACCGAGGTATGTGTCCGTGCGATCAGATCTTAGAGCATGGTGGAGTCGGGGAACAAAGGAACCTTGGAAAAAGGGAAGTGTGAAAAGCACGGAATAGATTAAAAGATAAGAGATTAAAGATCAGACGATGCCGAAATGGAGAGCACTATATGTTCCCAAAAAATGACCAAAGTCCGAAACAAGCCCCGGAGGCTGCTGGGGCGGGATTAATTTAGTCCAAGCAGCTCTACTGCCGAGATCTGAGCTCCACGTCATGGTCTGTGTGACCAGTTGCATACATTCTGCGCCTTGATTTAGTCCCTGAGTTGATAGCTGTGATTGGGTGGAAGAAGGTTGGAGGATCATGCAGTTCAAGTACGAAGTACAGTGCAGTGTCTGTTTACTGTGCAGATTACCACAGTTGAGTAGTAGAAAGGAACAAAACTTGGTACAGGTACTTTTTTTGCCACCGAGTACTCCGTACTTAACGTGGGGATTTGCTCGGTACGCACTAAAATCCTAAAATTAATTAGCAAATTCTCCGCTCCATAAAGAGTGACTAACAGTTGTATACTCCGTACTGAAGAGCAGTTCGTGACTCATATCTGCTCTATAGGTAAGGCTGATACTTTACGTACTATAACACAGTATACCATACTATACACACCATGCAGACTATAAATGCTTAAGATATTACCATCGGCGTATATCATACACACTATATACGATACCGTTATCGGCCTTGCGTCATATGCATGCCCGTGCATGTACACCGTTTGAGCCCTCGAGGGATGCAAATCGAGTCCAATGGCACAGACAAAAGTAGATTGGAGACTTTCAACACTCTGCGCAGATATCACAAATAATATCTACATACTACCTAAAGCTTCATAATCGATCTTCAAGCGCCAATGGCACCGAAAAATCTCTGCGGCGGTGAGGGGATGTACCGAAAACAGAAGTGGGTCATGCGAAATGCACGAAAATATTTTCTGCCAAACTTCACTTTTTCCTCCTCCTCCCTCCACCAGCTGGTTGCAGCACTACTCTACTTTTTGCTTTTATCTATACTCCCTCTTGCGTGCTTCTCTTTTTTACTCTTTCTTTTCTTATATCCCCCCAAAAAAGACCTCTTGTTGGCAGATGCTGAACTAGAGGACCCTGCTCGTCTGAAATCGTCCTCGAGAGGACCCTCTTCCCTCCCACGTCTTCCATTGCGATGTCCCAGCCTGCCAATTCCTTGGAGGATTCAATTTTGCCTACAAGCCCTACACTCGGTGGTTCTGTGGGTTTCCCAGAGACAATGCCCAACATGGATTCTGTCAGCGGTGTGATCAAGCCCGCCTCCATTCCCGTCCGAGGTGGTTCGGACCGGTTGTCGGCCCTTGAGCTCGCCGATGGCACCGTCTACCAGGGTTACAACTTTGGTGCGGAGAAGAGCGTGTCTGGTGAATTGGTCTTCCAGACCGGTATGGTCGGTTACCCCGAGTCCATCACCGACCCCTCATACCGCGGCCAGATCCTGGTCGTCACCTTCCCTCTCGTGGGTAACTACGGTGTGCCCGCTCACGATGAAATGTGTGAGCTCCTGAAGGACCTGCCCAAGCGCTTTGAGTCCAGTCAGATCCACATCTCGGCGCTGGTGGTGGCATCCTACGCCGGTGAGGATTACTCGCACTACTTGGCCAAGTCTTCTCTCGGCCAATGGCTCAAGTCCGAGGGCATTCCTGCCATGCACGGTGTTGACACCCGTGCCTTGACCAAGCGTCTGCGTCAGACCGGTAGCATGCTGGGTCGCATGCTGCTGCAAAAGTCCGGTGACACCGATGCCGTTGGTGCCGCTGGTGCCAACTGGAAGTCACACTTCGAGGAGACTCAATGGGTGGACCCCAACACCAAGAACCTTGTTGCTGAGGGTGAGTAAACAAATTGACAGGACAGAATTGATGCGATTGCCATTGGATCAGTTTCTGACAAAAATTTTCCAGTCTCCATCCGTGAGCCCCGCCTCTTCACACCCCCCGCGAACGTCGCCCTCAAGCACCCCTCCGGCCGTGGAGTGCGTGTGCTCTGCTTGGATGTTGGTATGAAGTACAACCAGCTGCGTTGTCTTCTGGCTCGCGGTGTTGAGGTCCTGGTCGTTCCCTGGGACTACGACTTCCCCACCCTCGCTGGAAAGGACTACGATGGTCTCTTCGTGTCCAACGGTCCTGGTGATCCCGCCACTCTGACCGTCACCACCAACAACCTCACCAAGATGTTCAAGGACGCCCGCGTCCCCGTCTTCGGTATCTGTCTCGGTCACCAGCTGATCGCTCGCTCCGTGGGCGCCCAGACCACCAAGATGAAGTTCGGTAACCGTGGTCACAACATTCCTTGCACAAGCATGATCTCCGGAAAGTGCCACATCACATCCCAGAACCACGGTTACGCCGTCGATGCTACTAGCCTGGAGAACGGATGGGAGGAGCTCTTCGTCAACGCCAACGATGGCAGTAACGAGGGTATCCGTCACACCAGCCGTCCCTTCTTCAGTGTCCAGTTCCACCCCGAGAGCACTCCCGGTCCCCGTGACACTGAGTACCTGTTTGATGTCTTCATCAACACCATCCAGTCCACCATCGCCTCCCCCGAGGCTCTCCAGAAGGCCGTCTCTTTCCCCGGTGGCACCAAGGCTGAAAACGTCATGGCTGCTCCCCGTGTCTCGGTCAAGAAGGTCCTGGTTCTTGGATCCGGTGGTCTCAGCATTGGTCAGGCTGGTGAGTTCGATTACTCCGGTAGTCAAGCCATCAAGGCTCTGAAGGAAGAGGGTATTTACACCATTCTCATCAACCCCAACATTGCCACCATTCAGACCTCCAAGGGTCTGGCTGACAAGGTCTACTTCCTTCCTGTCAACGCCGACTTCGTGCGCAAGGTCATCAAGCACGAGCGTCCCGATGCCATCTACGTTACCTTCGGTGGTCAGACCGCTCTCTCCGTTGGTATCCAGCTCAAGGATGAGTTCGAGGGTCTCGGCGTCAAGGTGCTCGGTACCCCCATTGACACCATCATCACGACCGAGGATCGTGAGCTGTTCGCTCGCAGCATGGACTCCATTGAGGAGAAGTGTGCCAAGTCTGCTTCCGCCTCCACTCTTGAGGAGTCCCTGCAGGTTGTCGAGGCCATTGGCTTCCCCGTCATTGTCCGTGCCGCCTACGCCCTTGGTGGTCTCGGCAGTGGTTTCGCCGACAACATGGACGAATTGAAGGAGCTTTGCACCAAGGCTCTTGCCGTCAGTCCCCAGGTCTTGATCGAGCGCAGTATGAAGGGTTGGAAGGAAGTCGAGTACGAGGTTGTCCGCGATGCCCAGGACAACTGTATCACTGTCTGCAACATGGAGAACTTCGATCCCCTCGGTATCCACACTGGTGACTCCATTGTCGTGGCTCCTTCCCAGACCCTCTCCGACGAGGACTACAACATGCTCCGTACCACCGCTGTGAACGTCATTCGTCACCTTGGTGTTGTCGGTGAATGTAACATCCAATATGCCCTGAACCCCTTCTCCAAGGAGTACTGCATTATTGAGGTCAACGCCCGTCTGTCCCGTTCCTCCGCTCTCGCCTCCAAGGCTACCGGATACCCTCTTGCCTTCATTGCCGCCAAGCTGGGTCTCGGTATTCCCCTGAACGAGATCAAGAACTCCGTGACCAAGTCCACTTGCGCCTGCTTCGAACCCTCGCTCGATTACTGCGTGGTCAAGATCCCCCGCTGGGATCTTAAGAAGTTCACCCGTGTCTCCACCCAGCTCGGTTCTTCCATGAAGTCTGTTGGTGAGGTTATGAGCATTGGTCGTACCTTCGAGGAAGCTATCCAGAAGGCTATTCGCTCCGTTGATTTCCACAACCTTGGTTTCAGCGCCACCAATGCCCTCATGTCTATCGACAACGAGTTGCAGACTCCCTCTGACCAGCGTCTGTTCGCCATCGCTAACGCCATGGCTGCTGGCTACACTGTTGATGAGATCTGGAAGCTCACCAACATTGACAAGTGGTTCTTGTCTCGCCTTAAGGGTCTTAACGACTTCGGCAAGAACATGTCTGCCTTCAACGCCACCAGTGTGCCTCTGCCTATGATCCGCCAGGCTAAGCAGCTTGGTTTCTGTGATCGCCAGCTCGCCAACTTCTTGGACTCTAACGAGCTTGCTGTTCGCCGCATGCGTGTTGAGGCCGGTATTACCCCCATTGTCAAGCAGATCGATACTGTCGCTGCTGAGTTCCCTGCCGTGACCAACTACCTCTACCTCACCTACAATGCCTCCGAGCACGACCTGACTTTCGATGATCACGGTATCATGGTTCTCGGTTCCGGTGTTTACCGTATTGGTTCTTCCGTCGAGTTCGATTGGTGTTCCGTGCGTACCATCCGTACGCTCCGCGAACAGGGCCACAAGACCATCATGGTCAACTACAACCCCGAGACTGTCAGTACCGATTACGACGAGGCTGACCGCCTGTACTTCGAGAACATCAACCTCGAGACCGTTCTCGACATCTACCAGCTGGAGACCTCCAGCGGTGTTATCATGTCCATGGGTGGTCAGACCCCCAACAACATCGCTCTGCCTTTGCACCGCCTGAACGTCAACATCCTGGGTACCTCCCCTGAGATGATTGACGGTGCTGAGAACCGTTACAAGTTCTCTCGCATGTTGGACCGCATCGAGGTTGACCAGCCCGCTTGGAAGGAGCTGACCAGCATTGACGAGGCCCGTGGCTTCTGTGACAAGGTCGGCTACCCCGTGCTGGTCCGTCCCTCTTACGTTCTCTCTGGTGCTGCCATGAACACTGTCTACTCCGAGCACGATCTCGCCAGCTACCTGAACCAGGCTGCCGATGTCTCTCGCGAGCACCCTGTCGTTATCACCAAGTACATTGAGAACGCCAAGGAAATCGAGATGGACGCTGTCGCCCGCAACGGTGTTATGGTTGGTCACTTCATCTCCGAGCACGTCGAGAACGCCGGTGTTCACTCCGGTGACGCTACTTTGATCCTGCCTCCCCAGGATCTGAGTGCTGAGACCGTTCGCCGCATCGAGGAGGCTACCCGCAAGATCGGTAACGCTCTGAACGTCACTGGTCCTTACAACATCCAGTTCATTGCCAAGGACAACGACATCAAGGTCATTGAGTGCAACGTTCGTGCTTCCCGTTCTTTCCCCTTCGTGTCCAAGGTCATGGGTGTGGACTTGATCGAGATGGCCACCAAGGCCATGATCGGCATTCCCTTCCAGGAGTACCCCCTGTCTCCGTCCCCAAGGACTACGTCGGTGTCAAGGTTCCCCAGTTCTCGTTCTCTCGTCTGTCCGGTGCTGATCCCGTTCTCGGTGTCGAGATGGCTTCCACTGGTGAGGTCGCTTCCTTCGGTCGTGACAAGTACGAGGCATACCTTAAGGGTCTGCTCTCCACTGGCTTCAAGCTTCCCCGTCGCAACATCTTGTTCTCCATTGGTGCCTACAAGGAGAAGCTCGAGATGCTGCCCTCCATTCAGAAGCTTTCCCAGCTTGGCTACAACCTGTTCGCCACCGCTGGTACTGCTGACTTCCTGAAGGAGAACGGTGTCAATGTCAAGTACCTTGAGCACCTCACCGACCACGAGGAGGAGGACATGAAGTCTGAGTACTCTCTGACTCAGCACTTGTCCAACAACCTGATTGATCTGTACATCAACTTGCCCTCCAACAACCGCTTCCGTCGCCCTGCGAACTACATGTCCAAGGGTTACCGCACTCGTCGTATGGCTGTTGACTACCAGACTCCTCTGGTCACCAATGTCAAGAACGCGAAGATCCTGATCGAGGCTATTGCCCGTCACTTCCCTCTGGAGATCATCACCTCTGACTTCCAGACCAGCCACCGCACTGTTGTCCTCCCCGGTCTGATCAACATCGCTGCCTTCGTTCCCAACCTTGCCAAGCTCGGTTCCCAGGACTTCCAGGCCGTGTCTCGTGCTTCCCTTGCCGGTGGCTTCAGCATGATCCGCGTCATGCCCGTTGGTGTTGACAGCTCTGTCACCCAGGCCAGCGACTTGAAGATTGTCCAGCAGAACGCTCAGGGCAAGGCCCTCTGTGACTTCAACATCTCTGTTGCCGCTACCGCTACCAACTCCGACCAGATCATGCAGATGACCGGCGAGGTTGGCTCCTTGTTCATTCCCTTCAACCACCTGTCGGGCAACATCAACAAGGTCGCCACCGTCACCAACCACTTCAGCGCCTGGCCTTCCAGCAAGCCTCTGATCACCGATGCCAAGAGCACTGATCTGGCTTCTATCCTGCTGTTGGCCAGCCTCCACAGCCGTAACATTCACGTCATGAGTGTTACCTCCAAGGAGGACATCAACCTCATTGCTCTGAGCAAGGAGAAGGGCCTGAAGGTTACCTGCGATGTTTCCATCTACTCTCTCTTCCTCACCCGGGATGACTACCCTGCCTGCAGCTCCCTGCCTACCGCTGAGGACCAGAAGGCTCTGTGGGATCACCTGAGCACCATCGATATCTTCTCCATTGGCAGCGTTCCCTACCAGCTCGCTGGTAAGGAGGCTACCCCCGAGACCGGTATCGCTGAGGCCATCCCTCTGCTCTTCACTGCCGTTGCTGAGGGTCGCTTGACTGTCGATGACGTCTCCACTCGTCTCTACGACAACCCCAAGAAGATCTTCGAGCTGCACGACCAGGCCGACAGCTCCCTTGAGGTCGAGGTTGACCGCCCTTACGTTTTCCAGAGCGGTGCCTGGTCTCCGTTCAACGGCAAGGTGATGCGTGGCTCCGTCCAGCGTGTCGTCTTCCAGGGCAAGACCTCTTGCCTCGACGGCGAGATCACCAAGGATGCCACCAAGGGTAACGACATGTCTGCCCACCGTATCATCCCCACCTCCCCTCTCCAGAAGCCCACCACCCCCATGGTTCGCCCCGAGAGCTCTCTCGACAGACACACCTCTGTCTCCGGTACCCCCGGTGGCCGCCGCGTCAGAACTCTTGACAACGCTATCCCCTCCATCGGCGAGCTGGGTCCTCCCCTCTACGCTGCCGCCTCCTCGCAGATCTCCCCCTCGCTGGCTGACACCCTCGCCCGCTCTACCTTCCGTGGAAAGCACGTTCTGTCCGTGAACCAGTTCACCCGCGCGGATCTGCACACGCTCTTCACTGTTGCTCAGGAGATGCGCCTTGGTGTTCAGCGCCACGGTGTCCTTGACCTCCTGAAGGGCCGTGTCTTGACCACCCTCTTCTACGAGCCCTCCACTCGCACCTCTGCCTCCTTCGACGCTGCCATGCAGCGCCTCGGTGGACGCACCATCCCCATCGCCACCGAGCACTCTTCTACCAAGAAGGGTGAGAGCCTCCAGGACACCATCCGCACCCTCGGCTGCTACGGTGATGCCGTTGTCCTCCGCCACCCCGAGGCCAGCAGCACTGAGATCGCTGCCAAGTTCTCCCAGGTTCCCGTCATCAACGGTGGAAACGGCTCCATTGAGCACCCCACCCAGGCCTTCCTGGACCTCTTCACCATCCGTGAGGAGCTTGGCACCGTCACCGGCTTGACCATCACCTTCACTGGTGACCTCAAGTTCGGCCGCCCCGTCCACTCCCTCATCAAGCTGCTGCAGTTCTACGATGTCCGCATCCAGCTCGTCGCCCCCAAGGCCCTCGCTCTCCCCGAGGACGTGCGCCAGCAGCTCGTCGCCTCCGGCCAGCTCGTCGTCGAGTCCGAGGAGCTCACTCCCGAGATCGTCGCCCGCTCCGACATCCTGTACTCCACCCGCGTCCAGAAGGAGCGCTTCGAGGACCTCTCCGAGTACGAGCGTCTCAAGAACAGCTTTGTCATTGACAACGCTCTCCTCAAGCACGCCAAGAGCCACATGGTCGTCATGCACCCTCTCCCTCGCAACGCCGAGATCTCTGAGGAAGTCGACTTCGACCAGCGGGCTGCTTACTTCCGCCAGGTATGTGCCAATCCCCTCTCCCTCATTGAATTACCCACTAACTTTTCTCCAGATGCGCTACGGCCTCTACTGCCGCATGGCTCTCCTCGCTCTCGTCCTGGCGCCCTAAATATAGACGCTTTTCCAACCTCTTACATACTTGGAAAAGGGATAAGGCGCTTTGGATTTGCTTGCATGGCCTGTTCTGTCTTTTTAAAAGTTATGCCCGTTCTGTTTCAATACTCCTGTAGGCAGTTCCGTGACCACCCACGTGAACTGTATAGATTAGACGAATCTCCGTTTCATGAATTTGACGACCCCGTTCTGTGTATGTCCATATGTGTATTATATGTGATTCCCGTGTTATGTGTCATGTGTCATGTGTGTCGTGTGTTGCGTGTCGTGTGCGTTTAGCGTGTGTGTTTGGCGTTTTCTTTGGTTTTGGTGTTTCTTCTCTTTTTGGGGTCTCTTTCTACATACAAATTCAATTCATTCTTCATCTTCATCTTTCTCTATTTACTTAGAAGTTTTCTGTATTGTATTTGCCCAGGTAAACTTCAAAATTGTGAAAATTGTTCGGGGATGCACAGATGGGTCTAGCACAGATTTAGAGTTTCAACCTTGAAATATTGTGCTTTTCTCTTTGTACTTGTAGATCGCAAAGAACATACCTAGTAATTTTTCTATCATATCATTGGAATGAGCAGGTCTGAGATGACATGCTTGAAATGTGCCGAGGTGCCTAGGTGTGCCTCATGGTGGATCAAATTTTGAGGACCCACTATAGTCCACTGCTGACTTTGCGCTCTTTGAGGCTCACAAAGCTTTATGAAGGAAGAAGGTCTTGTCCGCGAGCAAAGCAATGATAGAAAGAAACCTTGGAAGCAAGAACTATGCAGGAGCAAGCATGTGCACAAGAGATCAGGTGCAGGGAAGCAAACATCGCAGAGGTGTCCCAGATAGCTTCCTAATCGGGTAATCAAGCAAGATCAAGAAGCCAATAAGGGTATAGGTATATTGTCAAGTAGGTGGGCTAACCTAGCGGTGCAGCCTCAGGGCAGCCCGGACTGGCGCCCCACCTCTTGTCTCGTAGAAAAGAAAATATATGCCCATCTGGTATGACCAGATGGTGGAATATTTTTGTCAACGTCACCTGTTCGACTCCCCCTTTGCGCCTTCTATTTCGAACATTGCATGACATTGGGCTTTATTTATGTTAGATAAGGCGAGATCGATGCAAAAGAAGCAGCTATCGAGTCTCTACATAGTGGATACAGGATACAGACCAGCACGCGCGAATTGGATCCATTGATCCCATGAAGATCAGTCGCGGAGATATGGACACTCGTTGGTGTGTGATAGTGAGGGAGGGCCCGTAAAAGACGTATCAGACTCGGCGCAAACAGGCAGCAAACGATCCTGCCACGCTGGTCCAATCATGGAAGACGGAGCCGGGGAAGGATAAGCGATATTGGTGGCTGGTTGGATGAAGGCGGATAAGGTAGAGCACGCATCTCGGATTTCCCAGGGCCTGTGAGGGCGCCAGTAAAGATGATAAAGAGATGCAACGTGTAGCTTATGCATTAGGATGAGGTTGTTATGAGACCGGCAAACGACTTAGAATTTCGCAATTCTGTTTGGCGCACCGCGAGTCCTCGGGGGTCGTGTGACTCGCCGGGCAAGGGGCCCTCCGTTCTTTTGCTGCTTCTTGCGTCGATCTTCTTGCAATGTGCGCCAGATGACCTTGATTTCTTCTTCGGATCTGCCCTCGATGCGCCAACAACCTTTCTGGACGTGCCCAATCATGTTGCAGTGCCCACAGTATGGCCGTCCACGACGCGTATTGGTTGGCTGGGCCGGTGCTTCGTCCTCTTTAATGAACAATTTCACAAAGTCTCTGGCATCGGCAATCAGGGAGATCAAAGTCGTCCCGGAAGCTTCCTCCATCATGGTCTCTCTAAATTCCTCCCAGCCCTTCCCCAGTCCGTCCAGGAAAAGAGTGTTGACCATGACATTAGAAATTCTGCCAGGGCATAGGGTTTCCATTTCGTTCTGAGTGGTGACGAACATATGGCCGTAGTCATCGACAGATGCGAAGTTCTCGAGTCGAAGACGCGAGAGTGTCTTCAGCAGTTCCGGAAACTGTGGGCCAGGATCTGGTTGATAATTCGTTCGCAGGAACTCGTACATCGCATCGACACTGACATTCTCAGGCATTTGGACTAGGATCGCTCGATCCACCGTTATGCCCAGCAATGCGCTGAGGCTCTTGTCGAGTCGCTGCCAGTTCTTGTAGGCTTGTTCGACAGGAGGATCTCATGCGAGAAGAGGCTGTTCAGACCCCGTCACAATGTCCCACACTCCAAAATGTTGGAATGCGGAGTGGATAGCTTGGTGCCATTCTTCATAATTCTCGGATCCCCGGAGCTTGTCGATGTCGATGAAATGGGAAATTTCAAGTGCAACATTGTATGGGTCGGGCCGAGGTTGATAGACCAATTGATTTTCGATGGAAGACATTTTAGAAGGGTCGATGCAAGGTGCGCGTGTCCGAATCGGGATGAGAGGGGAGCAAACCGGCGTGTCGTACCCGCGCGTCTGGCGCTACGGCCCACCACTCCAGGGCTTCCAGCTCTTGTGGGTCAGCCAATCAGCATTCAGCACCGCTGTATACGAGAGCATTGGAATCCCATCTCAAGCTCATCACGACATGAAATTTGATTTTCAATTCCGCGGAGATATTACCATGTTGTTTACCCACTTGAAATCCAACAAAATGTCAGCATTACTATGTGGACGGTCGCAATAACTCTAAAAGTAGCCAAAAATCACCAAGAAAACCCCACGATCTCGTCATTCCGGTGGAGACAATGCTCATACTTCTGGTCCCTGTCTTCTGTCCCGTCTTTCCCCCCAAACCAGAAATCTCATTTGTCTCTCTGCATGTCCTTACTCGGCCGGGATATGATGTAACTCTTTCTAACTTTGTTTTCTCGCGTGCAGCAGTTGGCAGATGATGTGCTACAGACTGTTATATACCCACGCCGGGACCACTGTCATGGCTGACCGTCAGCTTTACAACCCTCCACATCGCGCCTATCTCACTAGATCCTTTAAGCAGGGCAAAAGGGACTATGGCTTCGATTTCCGAGAAAGACGTCCGCACTGGCGAGGTTGATACCAATGAGTCTACCGACTTCAAAGGTATCAACGAGAAGGCGTTACTTCGCAAGCTAGATTATCGCTTGCTACCACCACTCACAATATTATATCTTTTGTCCTTTCTAGATCGCAGTAATGTCGGAAATGCGCGTCTAGAAGGAATGACAGACGATGTTAATATGTGTACGTTCGAAACCCACTGTTCATGTAACGAAGCTAAACAGGCAACACATAGCGGGCGATCAATATCTGACCGGTTTGACTTTGTACTTCATCGGATATGTTCTTTTTGAAATTCCTTGCAACGTAAGTTGTACTGATCTTTCAAATCCCAGCCTGGACAGTCGCTAAATCCGCATAGATCGTGCTGAAGAAAACAACTCCGAGAATATGGCTCCCTACACTGACCCTTGTTTGGGGTGTAGTTGCGACACTGCTGGGCATTGTGCAGAACTATTCCGGATATCTATCCTCTCGTTTCTTTCTGGGTGTTGCAGAAAGTGGTCTGTTCCCCGGTGTGGTGTTCTATCTGTCAATGTGGTACAAAAGAAACGAGCAACATTACCGGGTTGCTCTATTCTTCAGTGCTGCCTCGTTGGCGGGTGCTTTTGGTGGAATTTTGGCCTGGGTATGTTTCAGCAGAATTGACTTTCATGACCACAGCTAACATATCTGAAGGCAATCTCACATATGGATGGCGTGGGCAGCTTAAGGGGATGGAGGTGGATTTTCATTCTTGTATGTTTTTGAATCACCAGCCGAGTTATCATTTCTTCGCATGCATACTAACATAACTTGTGATCATTATAGGAAGGACTCCTGACTGTTCTCGTCTCAATCATTGCCTACTTCTGGGTGTACAACTACCCAGCGACAGCGGAGTTCCTATCAAACGAAGAGCGAGACTTCATCCAGCTACGTCTCAAGAATGACAATGATGCTACGCGTGATGAAGAGTTCTCCTGGACCGCTGTGCAGGATGCTTTCAAGGACCCCAAAGTCTGGCTGTACGGTCTTGGATTCCACACCATGTCGCTGCCCCTTTATACCTTGTCTCTCTTCCTTCCTACGATTATCAAGGAGCTTGGATACTCTGCCGCGAAAGCCCAGCTTCTTTCTGTGCCGCCATATGCAGTGGCATTCTTCTTGACTATCGGTGTTGCTGTTGCGTCTGAGAAGACACGCAGTCGTGCGCCATTCATCATGGGATCGTCTGCTCTTGGATGTATTGGATATATTTTGCTCCTATCGCAGCATCGCCCTGGGGTTTCTTATGTCGGAACTATATTCGCCGCGGCGGGTATCTACCCAGCTGTCGCCATTGTGTTATCCTGGCCAGCCAACAATGTGTCGGGTCAGACAAAACGTTGCATTGCCAATGCCATGCAGATTTCCATTGGAAACCTTGGCGCAGTGCTTGGAACACAGCTTTACCGCACAGAAAGTGCCCCGAGATATTTCCTGGGTCATGGCTTTGCTCTTGGCTACTTGGTTGCCAACATTGCGGTTGTGGGAGTGCTGTGGCAAGTCTTGAAGCGTGAGAACGTTGAAAAGGAGCGTGTTAGAGATGCTCAGGGTCTGTCGCCGCTGATGGGAGACGTGGGTGATGCAGAGGGGGAGTTCCAAGGTGACAAGGATCCTCGCTGGGTGTTCCAGACTTGAAGAGATGGGCTTTTATAATGTTACCGAGCAATGTTGATGACCGAAAACAACATACGTCGAGAGCTTGAGCGCGTAAGACCTGCTCAGATACAATTAATGGATTGACACAAATCAATGGAATGCGGCTTTGATGACACGAATTGCAGCTCACTCTCTGCTTGAGTGGTGCTGGGGAATCTTAGTCGACACTATTTCGCAGTGTAACTCTGGTATCTGTTAAAATTTACCAGTGATTTGCGTCGCCGGCCCTCAGAACGTTTGCTATGACTTTCATGCCTCTTTAGTAGGCAGTCGACATGGTCGTCTATGGTCGTCTAACATTGGAGACCGGGTAGGAAAACCGGCAAGTAAGAGACTGTGCCTAGGCACAATGTCGAGGCCCACATTATCTTCAAGACCCCTGTAAATTCTCAGGGGAACCATTTGCTCCCCCGCAGATCACCGACGTAATGGCGCCCTCTAATGCGGGGGGCCGGCAGTTATTCGGAATATCCGAAGTATTCCCGGATGGCTACATATTGACCTCTGTCTATCGGACAATTGGATTAGTACAATTTTGCTCAATTGAAACCACTAGAATAAAATGTGGCACCAAACTTCCACTCAAGGATGGGCAGCCGGCTTGCTGGCTATGGCTTCGTGCTTCTCATGGCTGCCCGGTGTCGTCGCAAGTCCACCAGCGGCCCCAGAGCTCTCTTTTCTCTACACGGCATTCGTAGAATGTGAAGGAGATCTAATGGATACATCTATTGGACCACATGGGCAGAGAAAGGCTATCCCCATTGTCGGTGGAAACTTCACTGGACCCCATCTTTCAGGTATGGACTATTTTCCCTTTTTAAGTGCTGGACAACTCGAATTAACAATTGAGGTCATGTGTAGGCAAAATCGAAAATGTTGGGGCTGACTGGGGTCTCACTGATCCCCGAACCAACATTTTCTCAGCTGATACTCGATACAATCTTCGCACCGACGATGGAGCGGATATATTCATTCAGACTGCTGGACCCAAGGCCCCTGATGGCCATTTACATCTTCGTTTGATATTCGAAACAGGAAGTCCCAAATACTACTGGCTGAACAATGTTCTTGGTGAGTTCATATTCCGAGTAATCTCCAGAATGATCTGTTTCTGACATGATTTCTTGAAATAAAGCCATTGGCGTACTGACATCCGGGCTTCCATCTAACGGGAACCTGAAGGTACTGCGAATCGATGCCTGGAATGTGAGTTAACAACCAACCTGGTCAGATTCTTGCTTGACCTTTTTATCCGTGTGGATATTGACCTTTCATCATTCGCAGTTTGCTTCTGACTGGAGCTCGACGAATTTTGTCAACTCGACTTCGGTATGAGTATTCATAAAGTGCCAATTAGACGTGAATGAATTTTGCGACTGTGTGATGAAGGACTGAGGCCTTCGAGAGAGAGCCGGAACGAGGTTCTAAATCTGTAGTCCTCATGGCGCACCTATTAGGCTCAGGGTGGAGTTGAACCCAGCAGAGGGGTACTGAGCATCAACCTTAATGCAATCGATATATGCCATGTGAAGTTTTGCTCGAGATAGTCTACTGATTCACGATCTCATCGGCCATACAAAGTATTGAAAGCACCAGTATTGGCGAATTAAACTAAGTTTGTTTCCAATCATGCTTAATTAGAAATCCACCTGGGCATTCCCGAGGTCCAGGGCCGAAGTCAATCTCCAGGGCAAAAAGAACTACTGACAACGTTGGAAAGATGTCAAAAAAACCGCTCCCAAGTACTTCGTATAAAGGTATCGACGTACTCATAGCATACCATATATTGACCTTCATACGAAGGAGGCCACCTGACAGAGACCTCGTAATTTTGGAAGCTAATCTTGGAAGTAACCTTGGAAAGAGAACTTGATCACGTTCATAGATTGGTTATTTGCGCTACATGAATTTCGTCAAGAAACCGAAACCGAGGCAGGTCACAATCCATCCTATCTACATGACACCGCTTATCCATATCGCTCTTTTTCATCCATCAGGTCATGGGCTGTTGATGCGCTGGTGGCCCAGAATAAATTATATAGTACTCCGTACAGATTTGAGAATTCCATGGGTCTAAAATACAAGTTGTGAAAGGTAATTGTCGACACATTACTCGATGTTGTCGTCAGCGCTGGGCTTGGAAGCAGCGGGTGCGCCAGCGTCGAGGGCGATAAGCTCGGCGAGGATTTCCAGGATGTTTCCGGGAACTGTGCGCTCATAGATACCCATAAGGTCCTGTGATGGAATGTGTTAGGATGTGTCAAGTGTGATGAAGGAGACAGATGGGGTCTTACCTGGGGCTGAGGGTAAACCTTCAATGCCTTCCAGAAGGAGATCGCGGCTTCGTTCTCGGCACCCTCGGAAGCACAAAGGGACTCTCCCTTTGCGACCTGCTCCATGAAGTAGGCCTCCTTCTCCTCGAGGCCTGTGGGGAGTTCACCGTTCTTCTTCACTGACTCGAGCGCGTTCTTCAGCTCAGCGACTCGGGCGTGACCTTCGGCTTCTTGTTGTTGCTTGACGCTAATTTCGACCTTCTTGTTGTTCTTCTTCAGGGACTTGCGGAAGTTAGGGTCACTTTGACGCTTATGATCGAAGTAGACGGCGTAGGCTGATGACAGGTTAGCGACTGCACCCGAGTCGGACGGGCATGAAACGAGAGGTGCATACCGAGGACTCCGGTAAGAACCGTGCCGGCAATGATAGCAGTGTTGCGGAAGGCCATTTTGTAGTTATTAATGATGAGATGAATGTATGGTGATGAAGAGTTTAACAAAATTGTTTTTGGGGTCCGCAGATGTACCCGTGTCCACCGCCTTCACACGCGCATCGTCATCTTGTCTCTCCCCGGCACACCTCGCCCTCCACCTGTTTGGATCATTATACCAATTGCAACATGGAAGGTCGTGGTCTTACTTTGAGGAGCAAGTCTCGACGTCGGCGTCCTCAGATCAGTGCCCCCAAGCCAATCTCTGGTCCTCTCCCCCAAACACCAGATCGCCAGAGGAGCCCGTCCCCACTCGTGAGCGGGCGCCCCAGAGCGACGCAACGTCGGACTTGGTCAAACGGAGATACTCGACTCGATTTGCAGCGCCAGAGTTTGATGCTAGCGCTCCCCCTGTTCCCGCGCTTCCTACGCAAGTGCCTGGTGGAATCGGTGGGTTAGCACCGCCGTCCGTTCCGAGGCAGCCATCACCGGCAGATTCAAACTCACCAGCGCCGACGGTTGATCTTAATGTTTTGCGCGATCCCAGTCTCCCTGTTGATCGATGTAAATGTTCAATCCTCCCCGCGGTGGGGTAACTCCAGCTAACCCAAGACTCTCAATCACAGATGTCGCCAGTCTTCTCGCCAACGCATCGGAGGAGGAGATCCAAAAGTACCAGGAGAGTCTTCGCAAAGTGAAGAACCGCACATCCACCGACCTGCAGCAGAATGTGTACCAGAATCGTACCCAATTTATCAAAATCAGTAAAGAGGCCGAGAAGCTGAAGGACGAAATGCGGACCCTTCGTACACTCATGGCGGAACTTACTACTGCTCTCGGACAAACAAGTGTGGGAAATACACCTAACCCGATGTCCCCGATGGAAGATTCGTTCCCGAAGCGGAATGCCAATCGCAGCTCAGTCGCCAACCTTGAGAGTATGTGGAGCGTCCAGCTACAAACGTTGTGGAAGACTGTGGAAGGATCGCAAAAATGGCTGCCAGCGGTTCCAGGGCGGCACATTGTCTTGGAAACGGGTAATTGGGTCGAGCTGGACTCGGCCACCTGGAAGCCACGACGTGTCGTTCATATCGTGCTGTTGAATGACCATTTACTTGTGGCTTCGAAAAAGCGCATGCGTGTTGACCAAAACAACTCCAACCACCGTGGACCTGTCCCCACAAGGCTAGTTGCAGAGTCCTGCTGGCCTCTTAGCGACATTGACATGATTGACCTCGCGGCCAATCTGGGGACTGGAACTGCCCGCGAAGAGGCCATGGATCGGGGAATTGGGAGATCGCTCAGCATTCGCGTGGGAAACAAGCCTTTTACATACCGCCATGAGAGCACATCGGCCAAGCAAGAGCTCCTTGCAACGTTCCGCAAGACTGTTGAGGACCTCCGCCGAACTATGAGATCTGAATCCGAGGGGGCCGGCATGCCATTGGAGGGATACGGATATCTCGCTAACAGACACATGTCCCATCAGAAGAAAAAGCGAGAGTCCTTGGATATAAATGATACGCCACGGGACAAGTCCGATCTACGCATTGATGTGGATGGAAAACAACAGAATCTTCGATGGGTCGAGGGACAGGTTGATGAGCTCGATATGGACATTGCTCTGCAGCGATTTGAGGCTTCTGTGTACAGCATTGAGCGGCTACGCAAACTGGCAAAGGGCCTCAAGGGCAACAGTATCGCACAGGACGTCATCAATGTCAAGGTTGATGGGCGCGCAACCCGGCTGGCTGGTATTCTTTCAAGGGCACTGGTGGACAAGCAGTCATTCCCGACGGCCACCAAGACTCATATCACCTGGTTGGCCAGGTTGGGGTTCGAAGACCAGGCTCGCGAGACTTACCTGAAGGCGCGATCCGACGTGATCGCCCAGCGCATTCGGTTCGTTCACCTCCACAAATCTAGCTTTAACTCATTTTACTAACATTCCGCAGAGCCTGTATATTCGAAGGCGACCTGCCTCTCTACATCTTCCAGATCTCCTACGTCTACTTCAATCTCATCAAGAATACCGTCGGCACCTATCAGCAATGCTTCTCCAGCGCAATGAGCAGCTCCTGCATTCGCTGGGCGAAGCATCATCTCGACGGCTTCAATGCCCTCCTCAATCGACAACTCAGCAGCGTGCAACGTGGTACATCTGTCTGGCAGAAATGTCTGGATATTGTGCACGAGCATGCTGCTCTGCTGATGGAAGTGGGCGTGGACTTTACGGATTTGGTAGCCCGTGGGTTAGAAGAGGGTGCTGAAAGTTCCTTGGATGGGCCACGGACCGTTCAACCTGGCGAGCTGGCACCAACCCCATCCCCGGTGGATATGCTGTGACTCTAGATGAGTATTTAATGAGAACTAGCGACTGTGCTTTTGAAATTGGTTAGGTCTTCCAGATGGCTGCTCCTAAGGTTTTTACCTTGGAAATGCTCTTCATAGACTGAAGTGTAGAAGTTGTAGCTTTATCCCGATGCTCGGATATTCAAGGATTCTTTTACTACGTATTCGTTTCCTTTGTCACTTCCTACTTTCTAAGTATGAGTTTTCTCGTATCATTACTCGCCTTCTGAGAATTGATAGTTACTTCACTTATTTTAGCCTCAATTCTCACGCTTTCTCCGTACTCAACAGCGGATATGATTTTGCACCTCAATTTCAGGTGCTCCACATCGGCCACATCGGCATCGGCATTGCTCCGTATCGGCAAAATGCAAGGGGCTTCAAGCTTCCAACCCCTCTTCCAAGGTTCCCTTCCCAAATTATACCTTATATCCCAGTTCGCAGGTTCGACCAATTCCTTTACAAGTGACGCGACATGCCCATCCCCTCTCTACCCCTCTTCGCCGCGGCGGAGCAGCACGCCCGCAATCCGGAGAAGATCGCCGTCATCGATGCCACCAAGCAACAATCCTTCACATACGTTCAATTGCTAGCAGACGCCGCAGGGCTAAGGAAGCGCATACTCGAGGAACTCAGCTTGACATCCTCAGGTGATCTAGAAGACCGGCGCATTGCGTTCTTGGTGCCGAATGGGTACGACTACGTCGTCACGCAATGGGCAGTGTGGGCAGCTGGTGGCATCTGCGTTCCACTGTGTATGTTCAAACAGCAGTAACTACAATATACATAGCTGACTCCTCACAGGCACAAGTCATCCCGTGAAGGAATTGCTGTATACCATCGGCGACTCGGACCCCGCGCTGATCATCATCCACCCACACTTCGAGAAGATCGCGCCTGCGTTGCGTGACGCATGCCCCGCAAACATCCCATTCATGGGCCTCGACCCCCTGTCTCGCGATGATGCGCCGTCTCTGCCTTCGTTCTCCGCGCCCTTTGCCCTCACTCGCCCTGCCCTGATGATCTATACCTCTGGAACAACCTCGAATCCGAAAGGCTGCGTGACAACGCACGAAAACATTACATTCCAGGCAAGCTGTCTGGTCAAAGCCTGGGAGTACGGTCCCTCGGACCGACTAATCCATGTGCTACCGCTCCACCATGTACACGGCATCATCAACGGATTGACTGCCAGCTTTCTTAGCGGTACCACAGTCGAAATGCACCCCAAGTTCGACCCGAAGGTCATCTGGGAGCGGTGGTCGGACCGCGGCTCCTCAACCATGTTCATGGCTGTGCCTACCATCTACTCGCGATTAAATGATTACTTTGATACCCACATTCGCGGGACTGAAGGCGAAGACGCGGCGCGAGCTGGTGCGCGCGCTCTCCGACTCATCGTCAGCGGTTCCGCTGCTCTGCCCACACCGATTAAATCCAAATTTGCCGAGATCACCGGACAGGTTCTGCTGGAACGGTACGGGATGACTGAGATTGGCATGGCGCTTAGCTGTGGACTCGAAGTCCAGAAGAGGGTTGATGGTAGTGTAGGATGGCCGCTTCCGGGTGTAGAGGTCCGATTGACAGAGAAAGAAACTGGGCGGGTTGTGGATGGAGTGGATGAAGATGGAATGATCGAGATTAAGGGTGGGAACGTCTTCCGTGAATACTGGCGGAAACCTGAGGCGACGGCCTCGGAATTCACGTCTGACGGATGGTTCAAGACTGGGGATGTGGCTCGGCGCGACTCAACGGGGGCGTACTTTATTCAAGGCCGGGCGTCTGTGGATCTGATCAAATCTGGCGGGTACAAGATCTCGGCATTGGAAGTTGAGCGCAAAATGCTGGCCATTGAGGCCATTGACGAGGTTGCGGTTGTGGGATTAGCGGACCAGGAATGGGGCCAAAGAGTTGCTGCAGTCGTCAAATTCCGACACGGGGTGAGTTTGCATCCATGGATATTCCTACAGCAGACAGGGTTGTCGCGTTCTATACTGACCAGCTTACAGGCTACACCGCTCGATCTTCCCACTTTACGCGCCGAGTTAAAGAACGAGATGGCTCCTTATAAGATCCCCACGGTTTTGAAGATTGTTGATGGGATCGAGCGCAATGCCATGGGCAAGGTTAACAAGAAGGTCATTGTACAGAAGTACTGGCCCGAAGGCTGAGCCATACGATTGGAGATGAGAAATGACCGTAGAATTTGAGGTTCATTAGCGGATACCTGGTGCATAGAGCAATATACATGGATTGGACATATAGAAAACATCTATAGAACCTTGGAAGTGCCTGGGATGCTTTTCCAGGGTACCCGACTGCCCAGCTGCAGACCTGTGGATGGATCATTGCGGTCAGACACCTGGGCAGTTGATTTCCTCTCGGCGAGTAAAGCGCCTACACCTGGGCAGGCAATGGCTCATATTTTGTGCAGCCAAGGTCTGCTGCCCAGGAGCCCATTGGTGAGCCCAGAGAGAGTAGGTTTCAGGCTCCAGAGTATTGATCAGAACCCGGTGCCCAGGCGATTCCGGCAACCTTGGAACCCGTTAGCCCTAACCTGGGAACAAGTACGGAGTACTCCCTACAGAGTACTCCGTAATAACTACTTCGTACAGGACTGCTTTCGCTGCATGATTTGACCACTCTTACATTATGTGAAATAACGCTAGTCATACTCTAACGGTCGCTAGGACCGAAAGAGGCAGCTCAGGTGGAATCACTCTGATATGATGTGATCCAAAAGCGAGATGAATGCTGCCCCTGACTGTGTCGCGAATTTGCGACCTCCTTGGCCAGCTATTTCCAGCCATGCCCAGGGTTGCCGAGCCCAACACAGCCCAAGATGCAAGCGTGAATTGCAAGAAATAGACCGGATTTACTTGGCCTTCGGGACTTGGCGGTTGTTCCCGCGGGTTCATCCACTGAATGATTGGCTCTTGGCGCACCGTGGCAGATTTTAGCCGAACTGAATGAAATTTCTTTATTTATTTATTTTTTCTTTGAATCTTGGAAGGGGGTGACAGGGTGACAGGGTTGGGGAAGTATCAAGTTTCCCTTTCACTCTGGTATGTGCTAGATTGGAGGATGATGTAGTGGGAAGTCGGGAGTTATAGGTGAAACACGCGGGATTACGTCGAGGAATGCAAGGAAACCCTTCATAGAAGAGATGGGGTAGATAAAGGGCCAACAGCGCTAAGAGCACTAGCACTAAGAGGACTAATAAGACTAAAAGAACCAAATCCACTAATCCAAGACGACCCAAGACATCTCCAAGGCTAAACCAGAGAGCAGCCCACTATCGTGAGACCCCTATTTGTGCATTTCTTCGTTTCTCCACAAAATTGAGACACGATGATCTTGGTGTTTGCTGTTCCAATTTTCATATTTTAATTGATCCTTCCCAGTGGTTTGATTTGGTTCTCTTTGATTTCTTCTCTTCGAGTCTTAATCGATTTCAGACGGTCGTTTCGTTCCTTCCATTCGCGCTCAGCGCTGTCTCTCGCTTCATCTTTACGGCTTATACTTATACACCTTTCCTCTTTATACCCCATTGATATTTACTGTTCATCATGCTCGTATGTCCGTTTCAGATACATTGCCAGATTGTCTCTAACCATATTTCCAGACTTACGCTCGTCTGCTCACCTCAGTGTGTGCGCTTGTCAGCACAGCTGCAGCTCTGACCCCACTTGAGGTCAGCGGCAAGGACTTCGTGAACTCGGAGACTAAGGATCGTTTCCAGATCATCGGTGTGGAGTAAGGCACATCCCTTGTATATCCCTTCTCTATCAGACTCCGCTGACACTGTCATAGCTACCAGCCCGGTGGATCGTCTGGCTTCACATCCAAGAAGGATCCTCTGAGTGATGCCGATGTCTGTCTCCGTGATGCTGCCCTCATGCAGCGCCTGGGTGTAGGTTTCAATCTTAGATATACCCTTTCAGACAGCAACTTATCCCATTACAGATCAACACTATCCGTGTTTACAACTTGGAGCCTTCGCTCAACCACGACAAGTGTGCTTCCATCTTCAACGCTGCCGGTATCTACATGATCCTCGATGTCAGCAACCCTCTGGAGGGTGGCTATCTCGACCGCAGCGCCCCTTGGACCACCTACAGTGCCATCTACTACAAGCAGGTCTTTGGTGTCATTGAGGGCTTCAAGAACTACGACAACCTGCTCGGTTTCTTTGCTGGAAACGAGGTTATCAACGAGGAAGCTACTTACTCCGCCCCCAAGTACATTCGTGCCGTTGTCCGTGATATGAAGGACTACATCGCCAAGAACTCCAAGCGTGCCATTCCTGTCGGTTACTCCGCTGCTGACATCCGTAACATTCTCATGGACACCATCCACTACTTTGAGTGTGACCTCAAGAACTCCACCTCTTCCCGTGCTGACTTCTTCGGTCTCAACTCTTACTCCTGGTGCGGCGACTCCTCTTACAAGTCCAGCGGATATGATGTCTTGACTGAAGACTTCACCAATGCCACCATCCCCGTCTTCTTCTCCGAGTACGGCTGCAACGAGGTCCAGCCCCGTACCTTCACCGAGGTGCAGGCCATCTACGGCGTTGAGATGACCCAGGCCTTCTCCGGTGGTCTCGTCTACGAGTGGACCCAGGAGGACAACGACTACGGTCTCGTCAAGGTCAACGACTCTAACACCGTCACCACCCTCGTCGACTTCGACAACTTCCAGGACCAGGTCAACAAGCTCGACTTTGACCGCATCACCTCCAGCAACTCCACCCAGGCTAACGTCAAGGCCGAGACCTGTGATACCTCTCTCATCACCCGCAAGTCCTTCTACAACGCCTGGGATCTGCCCGAGGTTCCCTCCAAGGTCTCCGACTACATCAAGAACGGTCTGCCTAACGCCCCCACTGGAAAGCTGGTCTCCGTCTCTAGCACCACCATCCCCCAGAAGGTCTACGACCACTCCGGTAAGGAGATTACCGGTGTTAAGTTCGAGGTGAAGTCCTCCGTCAACACCCCCTCCGGCTCTTCTTCTTCCACCTCTTCCGGCTCCGGTGGCTCCGGTACCTCTTCCGATTCTTCCTCCAGCTCCGACGCCAGCTCCTCCGGTATTTCCACCAACGCCGCTGCCCCCAACGGCGTCCCTTCCATCGCCCTCGGTGGTCTTGGCGGTTTCTTCATGCTTCTTGCATCCCTTGTGTAAACGCCCCGCGGGCTTGTTATAATTATACATTTGGGAATTAGAGTGCTGGATCCCAGATTCCCTCGTGGCACATATTGGATTTCGGAGGTTTGTATCATGTTGGATCATCTCACCCTACTGCCTACGGCTTTCTCGTGATTCACTTGTTTATTTGCACATGATTCTTTTGGCCTTTTTTTTTGAACAATTCATGCCTTTTTGTTCTCTTCTTTTCATGCCGTCTTTGACATTCGCATACAGCAGTAAACCATCACATTGGGACGGAGTTACTAGACACAATGCATCGTGGCAAGAGAAATTTTTTTATTTCACTGATCTCGTCATAGCCATGGATCATACCAATCTCAATATTCAAGATCTTGCTCAGCCATCACAGCTTGGAAGAGCGCTCATCATAAATAGAAGCACCAATAGCCTTCCCCTTATCAACACCTTCAGCTCTGATCCTCAGAACCCGCTTGAGAATCTTGCCAGAAGTTCCCTTCGGAATCTCCTCAATAGGAATAACTCCACCCCTAAGCCTTTTCTGCGGTGTGAGTTTCCTAGCGACATGATCCAACAACTCCCGCACGACCTGTTTAATCATGAGAGATGTCTTCTCCAGAACGACAGATGTAGCTACATGTACCGGATTTTCCCTAGCGGGTGGGGATTTCCTATTTGGGCTGTCGCCGCTTTAATGAGGGTATTCAGGCTAGACTTCCGCACAACCCGGAAAACCCCCAACCCAACCCGGACCCAACCCAACTGTCATGCTCTGCAAGCTTTACATGTTTGTTTCGTTTGCTTGCTTTGCTATTTATGCTTGCTGGTCCATAGCTTCTTCTTCTTCTTCTTCTTCTTCTTCTTCTTCTTCTTCTTCCTTCTTCCTTCTTCCTTCTTCCTTCTTCCTTCCTTAGCTTTAGTATCTTCGTGTTCAAGGAATTACCATCTTCCATCATCCTCACACCAACTTGGGTTCTCTTGGGTCTAAAAATTGGCCATTATTCAATAGAAAATTTCATTGAACTATTTGGTATGAATGATATTAAGATTTCTATACTAAAAAAAAAAAAAAAATATGTTAGCATATAATTTTAGGTAGATCAGAGGGTTCCGAGATGGTCATTTTTGGTGGGAAAACAGGCGATGGGTAAGGACTTTTGGATGGGGCCTGTAGTATGCACATAATGGCAATACGTCCGTTGGGTAGGAGAGGGAGAGCAAGCTGAGATAATAAAAAAAAAAGTGTACAGAGGTTCCACTTCAAAAGATGTATGGCAATGGCAATTTTCAGTACCGTTAGGTAAGATTGCCAATATATTTCATCTTAGATCTATGCTAGGGGACCATAGGTCAGGGAACCAGATATTAATGTAGAGATTCCATGCTATCCTCGCCTCTCTTAAATTTTGTCTCCCAAAGTCTCATCTATCTCTGTCACCCTAGTCTCAGAACTAGACATTGGGGAACCTCACTTTGGGTTGAAACCCTCGACCCGAACCCCAATCTAGTGGGCTTCTATGAATATTAATTCAATTCAAAAGCTTTTCCTTATGAGATCAGCTACAGTATAAACAGCAATGAGAAAGAAACAGCTGTATACTTTCAATTCTAGATGGACTCTATGAGCTGTATAAGGGTGATTTGCTATGCTGAGCTAGGAAACATGAGCGAAACCTAGGCTAGTGTGAACAATTTATAGACATCCATGGTACAAGATAAAGTTGTTGCAGGTTATCTAAACCATAGAAAAAACTCTTGCCTCAGCTATGCCTGTGGTTGGAGTAGGGCAGCCGGAGAGATTATTAATGGGGTAATTTACTTGTGTGGTAGACGGAGTTTCTTTGCTACTGGGCTTTGATGGTAGATGGGGGGCGGGGGGTCCCAATACCCAGCCACAATGGATATTGGATTTTTCTTTATGGTTTCTGATTTTGAACCCAGATCAACCTAAGTGCGCCTATGCTGAGGCTACGTGAGACACCCAAGTAAGCCACCAGATCTGGTTGTTAGGTATTGAAGTGGGAAGAGCGCGCTGGTGGTCTGACATCGCAGACAAGACGACGGGGGTGCTCAGTGCTCGACGGGGAACCATGGGAGCTAAGCAGCCCCCCCAGGACTACCGGAATAGGAAACAGACACTGTTCTTCAGAGAGGTGTAAAATGTCTGGATTGCTAAACTATGGGATCGCGAGCAAAAGCTGCCAAAACCAGCCACAGTGCCGTACATGAGATGTGGCGCGGTTTCCCCATTGCAGTATTTGAGCCCTTTCAGCTTGGCATTATCATTCAACTTCCTCAGCATAGGAGTAGCCATCCTCTCGGTCCATCTTAATGAATCCGATGATAAACCACTCTTCATGGAGATAAATGGTTAGCTTGTCGACTTCAAAGTAAAAGAGAGAAATGGGCGATCGCACCGGCCAAGCTGACCTTCTGGTCTTCAGAAACATCCGACTTCTCAAAGATCGCCTTCGAGGCACTGATTATTTCTTCATCGAATTTGAAATACTCCAACATATCTAAGAGTTCTTTCAGGGTGATATGTCCTAATGAAAATCGTCTATTAGATTTAACAACCTTTGAGGCGTCGATCACGTCTGATTCACCTACCGTCAAGGTTTGTATCCTATATGATACATATTATCAGTACCCAAAAAACGGAACAGTCTCTTGTAACAAAATGACGTACCGCAAGGATGAAAAGGCTAAGAAACGCCTTGATATTGTTTGCAGAGTAATAAATATTCTGGCATTGTTCCACGAGTCAGCATTTGAATGAAGGCAGCCATGGAAGCACAGAAATTGAACTGATACTGACGTCTGGCGTGCCCGTTTTGATTAGCTCCTCAATTGCCGCATTCCTGATTCTGCCATTATTAATCTGTTCTGCAGTATACTTCTGCTCGATGGCTTTGGCAGTGTCCGCTTGCTTTGTTTTGATTTTCAAAGCCATTTGTGCAGAAGAAAAATAGTCTGAATGATTTGGGCTGATACTCTTTGTGAGAAAAGTTGAATGTGACAAGGATATGTAGAGACAAGCGAGTTCGTTCTGTTTTAAATACTATTTGACATTCTTCTCAGTCCGTAGAAAAGTTACACAGGGCTATTCTCATGCAAGCTAATAGGAACTCTGCCACGTATACGGAGTACCATGCAGCCGCTTTGCATCCCGGCTATCTGGTAAAGCCCACCGCTATTTTAGAATTGATATATCACTTTTCAATTTTAGATGAACTACATCTTTTCATATATCGATTTGTTACTTCGTATCCTTCTCTACATTGAAACTGCGTTGACGTATGCCTCAGCATATGTGCGATGTGCTATGACACATGATCTATCGCAACTCCGCATTATCACAGAGCAGGCAAAAGCCATATGGTATATGTATATTTAGAGACGGGTCCTAAACAAACCTTCATTTTACTCTGCAAAAGGTACTGGTGATGTCATAAAATGCCACTTCAGGTTTATCTAAACTTCAGTGGACTGGTTTATCATGCGTTCTGAAAAATGCTGCTTGAGCTGCAAAACCCTCAACATTGTAGATTGATATGCAGATCGATATTGGGTTACACAAGCTATGAATATTGTGTAACCTTGAATTTGGTAAATCAATCTGTCTGATTTCACCGCTAAAGATCAGCAATCCTAGCTATTCAAAATCTACTCCGTATAGAATGCCTACATCTCTAGCATAATCTAGAGTATCGGTCTCTGTATTTATAGCTCTCTGCAATATCATGTTTTGTTGCTGAAGTGGTTCGCTTATAGTCTTAGTGGGTTGATGCCCAATATTGACAGTGAATCTCCTCATAGGTAGATTTCGAAATCCTGACGTACCCTGAGACTGTGCATGTATTCCGACCAAGATAGCTCGTATTTTGACGTTTATTTTACGAATAAAATGTATGCGCAATGTGATGTGCCATTCTACCCTCGAACAACTGCCAGATTGAGACAGTCCACACAACACGCACGTGCCCGAACTATACATACTTGCTTTTGATTGGTAGCCAATATCGATAATGAAGTGGCGATCTTCAATATTCATTCCAAAGCTGAAGAATTATATCCCTCACTGGTAGTTGCTTCTTTTAGCACGGCAAGAAATGACGATCATATCAACTTCGTACCACCCTTGGCCAACAGTTTACGTAGCTCACTGCCAAATATTTGAAGCTATCTGGTTTAATCCTGAGTATCTGAGCATGTTGCAACTCTATTACGCAGAATCTCCCGGGACATGTGCAAACCTCCAGCTGAGCACCTGGTATACCCTGAGGCAATTGATAAAGTCTACATATATCAGCGCCGGCTTTCCTTGTATTTACACTGGAAGGAGGATCCATGGATAATGGGTTTTTTCAAATCGCCTTCTCTTCTTCACCTCCAAAGTTTGAGTACGATACTTCCAAGGCTGTTTGGTAGGCGGTTCTCAGCCAACGAACTCGCTGAAAATTTAACTACTTTGGGGCCTAGGAAATATAAGAGCTTCTATATTTTAATGCCAACATCATCTAGGCGCTCGTGTCACTCAGGCCTCCGAGCTTGTAATATAATGAGATATAATGACTCGAAATTAAATTGCACTGTCTTGCTCACTACAGACGAGAGGTGTTCGCGGGTCATTGATGGGTTTTTGGCGAGGTGCAAGGCGATCGGCGGAGCGACGTATACATGGGTGGCTAATTCCTTCTTCACGTTTTGAAGGAACTGGTTCACTGAGAATTTCTCCATGATAATTTTTTGGAGGCCCATTAGGGCAGGGAAATGCACGAGGCATACCAGACCTGCGGGATTGTTAGCATGTATGTCAGAAGCTGACGTTAAGCATGACGACTCACCGAATATATGATAAGTCGGTATCAGCGCGAGGAATCCTCCAATCGAGGTGTTCAACCTCGACATGCCTTTGGAGAATGATGTCGGTTGACGTCAAGTATACATGTAACAGATGGCATAGGAGGCCTTTCCCTTTTCGATTTAGTGCTTTCTCTCTCTCTCTCTCTCTCTCTCTCTCTCGTCTCCTGCAATACAATCACAATCTACCATAAATTTGCTGGTGCACTCAAGAAATGTGCAGTATCTAAAGAGCCTTCTTAGAATAGTGATTCTGTACCTAATCAACCAACAGATTTGTCAATACCCAAGAGCAGCTGAACAATGACAAAAGTCCACATGGGAATGCCTAGGTGATATCTATCAAGTCATTTCAAACCCGCTCACTGCCCGGAAAATCCCTCTCATTCGCAAAGCGACCGGAGCAGTTCTGAGTACACGTAAAACAACTTCCTCAGTTGAGAAAATCCAGTATATTCTTGAACAGAAAATCTCTCACAGCTTAGAGTTCCTATCAGGCTCATCCTCGACATCTTTGAGAGCCTCATCGGCGATCCTGAACGCAGCAACCGCAGCCGGCATACCAGCATACATCGAAGTGTGGAGCAGGATCTCTGAAATCTGAGCCTTGGTCACGCCGTTTCGAATGGCACCGACTAGATGCAACTTGAACTCATCAGGCCTGTTCAAGGTTGCTAGGAGGGCGATGTTGAGCATTGATCGCTGCGCTCGGGTTAACCCTGGTCGCGTCCAGACCATGCCCCATGCTGATTTGGTGACGACATCTTGGAGTGGTTGTGTGAAGGGGTTGGGTTTCTTCTGGAGTACTTTGTTCACGTAGTCATCGCCCAGTACTTCGCGGCGGACCTTCAGGCCGGCTTGGAAGAGGTCATCTCCCGAGGGATCAGAGTCGGACATGGCTGATATGGTGGCAATCGGGGGATCAATTGGGAATGAGAGCTCCAAAGATAAGCCCCGATTATGTTTTGTGTTCCAAGAGTTTAAAAAAGCTTAAGGTGTTGAAGGTGTTAAGTTGGCCCGGGTAATCTCGGGAAGATGCGAAGGTGTATAGCGTTCAAGGGGTGAAAAACTGTTTTATACCTGAAGTTGCACGAGAATGCATGATTTTCGACCGCTTTTTCGACCGCTTTATCCAATATTATTTATGAACTGGTCATTGGCAATGGTGAAGCTATTCAAATCAGTCAAGCCTTGGAAATACCAGACTCGTGCTCCGTACGGAACCAGGCATTGAGGCTATACTTTGAATATAATCAGGCAGCATCAGGCATCAACCCCATTTTATACCATTTGGACGCTATGACCACTCGTAAAGGGAGACCGAATCGGGACTTGGAACTACCGAAATGCCGAAGCGATTGAAGCTCAATGCAATCTCAAAATTTAGACTATATGCCGACTAGATGACGCGTAGGTAAGAACAAAAATCGAAGCCAAAAAAATACAACACAATGCAAAACAACCAATTCTATGCCCTCGCTTTGCCCTTGCCCTTGCCCGAGGGCGAAGACGGGGCAAGAGATGGGAATTCCTCCCATTCCTGCTCCTCTTCGCGACTCCTGCCCTCAGCCAAGCTCAATTGTATGGCAAACTCCAGGTCATCGATCTCTTGTTGATTACTGCCTCCGGCATTGCCAGGTTCAGGCGATGGATCCCGACGCTGCATCCCTTTCGCATACTTGATAGGGATGGAGGGTGCCGAGTGATATGAAGAAGTCTGCTCATCCAGCAGACTCAGGCGAATTGCCTCGGCAATTTCATCATCAACGGTCTCATCCGCAGACTCCTGGTAAGGAGACGAGGAAGATGAGATCTCACCTGGACCAAACGAGCTAGGCCCGACAGTGTCAAAAGAGGCGCTGGTGACCGAGCTTGAGATTGCTGCGCTGTCATTCACTTTCGCAGCATCGCCAGAGAATGACTCTTCGCTGATAAGTTGCGCGTATGCAAGGAGCTGTTCTTCGTCTATGTCTGAGCCCAGCAAATCAACTCCAAATCGCGCACTCAGGTGGGCCCGTTCTTTCTCATCTGCGATCTTCTGACGTTGCATCTCAACATGTTCATCTTGAATGAAATCTTCAATGGCACCGCGACCGCTGTTGTTGAAACGCTGGCCCTCTCCGCCTCCATTACCCGCGCGCATTGCGCGACGGAGGCGGCGCTTGCTAGACTTGTATTTATCAGCCCCAGAGGAACTGTAAGACCAGTAGCGCAAGTGCGTCCCGAGCGAGACCATGCCGCGGAGAATGGTTGGGTCTGTGTCGAGACAAATGGCGCCAGTGGCATAGTAGTTGTTACCAACTCCAAGCACCGAAGCCTCGGCCTGTATAAGTTGACGACGGGCACGTTGGGAGAATCGAGAGCTGATTGTACGTATGGGCTTCGTGGAGGATGCCAGAGGGTCCCAAGCTTGAACAAGACCATCATTGCCTCCGTGCACCAGGTATAACGAAGTGATACCTAGGCAAGACACCCGAGGCGATTCTGTGTTGATGATGCGCAACGGGGGTATGGATTTGACAACATCGGCCGACTTTGCTGCCGGTGCTCGAATGTCCCAGACAAAGACAGATCCAGTGCTAGTTCCCACAGCCAAGTATCGAGCACGTTGCCCTGGAACTTCCAAAACAGATCGTGGCTGATCCATATGTGGTAGCATGGGAGACGAGAATGCGGAAGAATAAGAGCTGCCAGACATGGCCAAAAGAGGGTCCTCTTGTGCCGTGAGTGTTGCAAATGTAGAAACATCCAGAGCACTGATACTGATTTCCACTGATTCGCGGTCGCCAAACACAAAGTCCGAAATTCGCCAAGCGAACTGAGACGAGTGCTCGTTCAACCGACCAGAGGCCCGGGAAGGCGGAACACTGCCGGGGTGCTTCGAGTCTGGAATGTCGATAGGGCCACCGAAGAGTGATGGTGGAGCTTCGGTCGTTTTCATGTATGTTTCGGATGGGGTGGAAGTGCTCGAACCAGACTTGGATGAGATGCGGGTGAAGCGTCGAATCGATGCGTTCTTGTCCTCACTAGAGCCACGAGCGATCACAATGATCGATTCGCCAGCCTCTCGGCCATCACCACCCGCGAAGTCTACTTTGAGATCACGTTCCATATCCCAACTCTCACAAACCTTCCGGAAGTGCTTGGGCCTGAATGAGAGGAACTTCTCAATCTCCTTGGTTTCAGCAGTGATTTGGTGTTCACTGAGACCCATGGAATTCGAGGACGAGCGTGGGCTGTAACTGCCATCAACCAATTCACGGTTGAAGGGATCAGAGCGGGCCACGCGTCGGCTGGCTTCAATCATCTCCCATTGTACACTTCTGCCAGTTGTCCAAGCGAGTTCGTCGAGTTGCTCGGCATTGAGCTTGGCCGTCAGTGGAACCTCCGGTGACCGGGGCAGGTCCGTCAAATAGAACAATTCACCAAGAGCATTTAGAGCAACAGCCCAAATGCGGCGGTCTGAACACCGCTTAGGTGAAATTTGATCGTCCACAGCAATACCGATAATGGGAACACCCGGGGACAGAACCCATCTGGCAGTGACCTGGCCCGGTGCGTATCTTCTATCATAAACCGGATGAGGTCCGAGAGAATATGCGGTCAGTACACCTGACGATGAACCAGACATCATTCCAATAAGCCCTTGAGTCATCTTCAGGATGTTGGAAGACTTGGCAATCCAGACCGAGCAAGTAGCCTGCGTAATCAGGTTCACAGCAGGAATCCCCAGCGGCGGATGTGAGCCCAGTTCCGACATCCCCAGGAAGCGACCACGCTGCTCCGATGTTGAAATGAAGTAGCTACGTCCTTGCGGACATCCCTCGCCGTAGATCATACCGTACGGTTGACTGACATCCATCAAATTAGGCATGCCAACCAAATCACCCGACCCAAGGCCGTACTGCGCTTCACCTGGAAACAGATCGGCGAAGTGGCGGAACATCTGGTGGTCAGAGATACCCCAGGTACCGACTTTGACGGTCGATGGGTCACTGGCAGACGCGATGCCCTGCTCGGCGGCACCGTGAATAAACAGAGGATCCTTATCAGGATTGAACGTTGCATGAATATGGCTGACTGGATACTGCAGCTGAGAAGTATACGTAGCCACTGCGCTTCCATGGCGAGCTCGCACTGAACGTACGTATCCCGCCCTAGTGGGGTCAAACTGCGCGGGCTTACCGCGAGACAGCGATCGCATCAAGCGTGTACGTAAAATGTACTCGCTGCGCCAGGACGCCAAAGCAGTCAATCTCGTGAAGAACCGCCTGTCCGACTGCAAGTCTGCCTCATTGACATTGGTGCGCCGACCGTCCTCGATGGTTTGAGGACCTGGGAAAAAGCGGGAGAAGGCAATTCTCCATGCATGGGGTGTTGTCACCAGCGCATGGAATCGACGCGATACCAATGTGATGGCTGACAGGGACTCGGGGGACAGATGCGACAGGATGTGGGTGAGGACCTCTATAAAGTATGGCGATTAGCGCAAGAATTGAGCCAAGTGGTTTAGAAATACTTACCATTGGGGAAAGTATCCAAGGCTGTCTGTGGCTGTTCTGAAAAAGTCACACGGGGTCCACTATGACCTGGCTTTCGGCTTGAAGGGCCATCATTCACATGCTGGTTCTCTGGAACGGAGGGTGGGGCTGAACGGTCGTCGTTCAGGGACGAGTGAAGATGGTCTTGATTCGGCATGCTCGAGACGTCTGGAGAGTCACTGGCCTCCTCTCGGAGGAAGCCAGAGACTTCAGCGTCATCGAGGTCATGTCCATGCTGGGTGGAGCAGAGATTGATTGGGGATGAGTCAACGGGGGGTGTATGTTGAGACACGGCAGTTGGCTCTGGTTGCATAAAAAGGTCTGAGGGGGTAGGTATAGCAATAGCGACTGAGCCAGCGAGATCTGGGTCAGTCGAAGTAGTAAATGGAAGACTGAAGGGGGAAGGTAAAGGGTGGTGTAGAAGAACAAAAAGAGAATGAATCGGAGAAGATACGATGGCAAAGCGGAGTGGCCATCCCGCACATTCCGATATGGCTCATCATGGCTCATCATCGTCCCGCTTTACTCCTTTTCTCCCCCTATGAAATCCGCCCGTGGCTCGTATTGTGGATGTTCATCAAATGCCGATCTATCTCAGCCTCCTATGACCGCAGCATCGCCCTCAAATTTCCTGGGTCTAATTATTTCAAAGTGGCCGCTATCGGAATCGCGTCCCGCACGTGACAGCGCGCGACAGGCTACCAAAGCGATTAGGCGTCACTTCGCAGCCGCGGAGTGTTTTTGATTCTGGCGTGACTGATCTGCTATGGACGACCTGTGATCGTCATTCTCCTAAATCTCTAATTCACCACTAGCTCTGAACCTCAAAACGCTAACGTCGCATACGATACACGCGATTGGTCTCCCAGCATGCCTAGAGCAAATGGTAAGACACTGGGGAAGATGATAGATTCGAAAAACTTGCTGAGACTGTACAGATTCGGAGACTATCAGGATTCTCATATCCACCGACAATCATGTTGGATACAATGAGCGTGATCCTATTCGCGGGGACGACAGCTGGAAGAGCTTCCATGAAATCATGTGCCTAGCCAAGGAACGTGATGTCGACATGGTGTTACTAGCAGGAGATCTGTTCCATGAGAATAAGCCTTCGCGGAAATCCATGTACCAAGTGATGAGGTCCATTCGAATGAATTGCTTCGGAGACAAACCATGCGAGCTGGAAATGCTCAGTGATGCAAGCGAGAACTTCCAGGGCGCATTCAACCATGTCAATTATGAGGACTTGGACATGAATGTCGCAATTCCGATCTTTTCAATCCATGGCAACCATGATGATCCTTCTGGTGAGGGTCATCTCGCTGCACTCGATTTACTTCAGGTATCGGGTCTTCTCAACTACTATGGCCGCACTCCAGAGTCAGACAACATCCAAATTAAACCTGTTCTGTTGCAAAAGGGTCGGACAAAGCTCGCGCTATATGGTATGAGCAACGTGCGTGACGAGCGACTGTACCGCACTTTCCGGGACGGGAAGGTCAAATTCTTCCAACCGTCTATCCAGAAGTCCGATTGGTTCAACTTAATGTCTGTACATCAGAACCACCATGCGCATACAGAAACCAGCTACTTGCCAGAAAACTTCTTGCCCGAGTTCCTGGACTTGGTCGTCTGGGGCCACGAACATGAATGTTTGATCGACCCCAAGCTCAACCCGGAAACAAAGTTCCACGTCATGCAACCAGGATCATCTGTTGCTACGTCTTTGGTCCCTGGAGAAGCTGTGGCGAAGCAGGTCTCAATCCTGAGTGTAACTGGCCGAGAGTTCAAAAACGAGCCTATCCGCCTGAAGACCGTTCGACCATTTGTCATGCGTGAGATCGTTCTCGCTGAAGAAAAAGGAGCGCAAAAGCTTGCCCGTAAGGACAACAATCGGACAGAAGTTACTCGGTTCCTCATGACTATTGTTGAGGAATTGATCGAAGAGGCCAATGCGGAATGGCTGGAGATGCAGGGCGAGCTCAATGAAAACCCCGACGACCCGCCTGAGGTGCCTCTACCGCTTGTGCGACTCCGCGTGGAAATTTCCACTCCAGAGGGAGGCGCCTTTGAGTGCGAAAACCCCCAACGATTCTCCAATCGGTTCGTTGGGAAGGTCGCTAACGTGAACGACGTGGTGCAATTCCACCGCAAGAAAAAGGGGGCAAGCACAAGGGCAGATGCTACATCGATCGATGAAGATGCCGCGGTTTCTCATCTGTCAGCTCTGGACACAGTGAAAGTGGAACAGCTCGTGCGAGAGTTCCTGTCATCGCAGTCCCTTAGCATCTTACCCCAGAACTCCTTTGGTGATGCTGTTGCACAATTTATTGACAAGGATGACAAACACGCGATGGAAATGTTCGTCAACGAATCTCTTGAGAATCAAGTCAAACATTTGTTGTCATTAGATCGAGACGACGATGAGATGGACGAAGATGGGGGAGAACAAAGCTCTTTGGTCAATGCCATGGAAAAGTACCGTGGTCAAATGGAGACTATGTTCTCCAAGGGTATCAAAAAGCGAAACCGAGGAAAAAAGCGCTTCAAGCCCAAGCCAGATGGCTGGGACTCCGAATTCGATGGAGCATGGGAAGACCAGCCTGGTGCGTTGATCCACTCTGACAATGAGGGCGGAGATAGAGCCGAGGAAGAAGCTGCGGAAGACGGAACGTCGCCAGCTGATGGTCGTGCCGCACCCGCTCCTCGAGGTCGAGGCAGGGGCAGGGGTAGGGGCCGTGGTGCCGCGACCAGTGCGCGTACTACCAAGGCCAAGGCTGCACCAGAAAAGAAGACTACAAAAGGTCGCAAGAAACAGGCCGTCTCAGATGAAGAATCGGACGACGTGATCATGCTGGAGGACGATGACAACGACGATGCCGGGGCCCATGTGATCTCAGATGATGATGACGATGACGATTCACAAGCATTGTTTGTCAAGCAGCCTCGTGCTTCTGCTGCTGCCAAATCACGCAAAGCTGCCCCCGCTGCAACTACAACGACTCAGCGCCGTGGACGAGCTGCCGCCTCGCCGGCTCCTTCGTCGGCCACTGTTGGGGGGACAGCTCCACGCCGAGCTGCTGCCCGAGGTGGTAAATCTCAATCGACCCTGAACTTCGCTGGCTCACAAGCCAGTGCTTCTCAAACATCGCGGCCTAGCCGCTCCAATCGGAACACAAGCATCATCAGCGATGGCGTTGATGACGATGATTCTGATGATGATGCCTTCGAGGAGATGCCGAGTACCAACTCGAGACGCCGCAGATGATCGATTTGTTCATGCATTCAAGGAGTTATCGGGAAGTTATCGGGCATTTCACACTAGCATTACTATCGTCAAGTCACCTCTTTATCTACTTGAACGACTATGGGATCTTAGCACACGTAATACTTCAGACTCCAGGCATACCGATGCCAGTAGGTTTTCAACTTCAGAATGCATCAGTCCATGTGGCTACTTCCACGGGTCTGGATGTTGTAGCTGCTATTGCGTTGGCCAAGGAGCTTAGCCCGGAGAAAACGGTGGTCACCGTTCGTGTTGACAAGGGGTCTAAAACAGATGAACGGCACCCTTCTGGTAGATGAGTGAGGTTGGGAGTTCTATGAGAGGGCTCGGGGCTCAGAAAATATTCTGCATAACAAACATAATAATTATGCCATACCTCAGCATGCAAACGTTTTGATGGATTCTCTAAATAGATGATCTTCACCCCGGACTAAATCGATAGACCAAGTCCAGAGACCCACGCTCGCGGATATCCGGCATCGAAAGGACGATCTTAGCCCCCGACTTCCCCAGGTCTATTGAAAGTAGCACGTACCAAAAGATCCAAATATTGATGTCACACCTTCTCGGCTTGTTATGTTCATCCCAACCCCGCATTCCTCGGCCGAACCCAACCTCGGCCGCGTGCGTGACAATCTTTGATGAGACTTAAGCTTCAAGTTCTCAGGAATTTGACTAGCAACGTTGAGATACAATACAACTGAAGTAAAATGGTTAATCAAAGCCGACCTATTCGAATTGCAGGTATTCCGCTCATATCCATTGCCGCAGTATGCATATTTTAACTAAGCGCCTTAGGTGCTTCGGGCTCTGCCTCAGACCGGCGTCAGGCCATTGCGGATTTTGCTCGTCACTATCCCACTGACCCTATCGATGTCATCATTGCGGATTTCATGAGCGAGTTCAACATGGCCACCTCCGCCGGGCGGCGCGTGGACCAGCAGACGGGCGGAACAGCTCCCGCTTATGAACTATCCTTCTTGGAGGCTCTGGAGCCGGCTCTCGATGATTTGGCCAAGTATGGAATTAAGCTTGCGGTGAACGCCGGCGTGACAGATACAGAGGGTCTTTATAAAGTGGTGACCCAAATGGTGCAAGCAAAGAAACTCAATTTGAAGGTGAGACCAATTCAGGATCTACAATGACTGTGTTGATTTGTTAACTTGCACGCACAGATTGCATGGGTTTCCGGAGACGAAGTCCTCTCGACCATTCAGAAAGGAGTGGCATCTGGTACGGAATTCCGCAATGTCTACTCAGGCGAGCGATTGGCAGATTGGTCTTTCGAGCCCATCTATGCTCAGTGCTACCTCGGCGGTCTTGGAATCGCGGCTGCATTTGCCGAAGGGGCTGATATTGTGCTTTGTGGCCGGGTATCGGACGCTTCGCCTGTGATTGGGGCTGCTTACTGGTATCATGGTTGGCAGCGCGATGAGCTTGACAAGCTGGCCAATGCGTTTGTGGCGGGTCATCTCATCGAGTGCAGTAATTATGTCTGCGGCGGCAACTTCACAGGCTTCAAGGAGCTGGAACACGCAGGTGATGGCTGGTCGAACATCGGCTATCCTATCGCTGAAATATCTGCTGATGGTGATGTGGTGATCACCAAGCAGGCGCATTCCACCAGTGGTGCAGTCACCGTTGATACTTGCACATCGCAACTGTTGTATGAGATTCAAGGACCCTGGTATTATAACTCAGACGTCACTGCGGTCCTCGACGGGATCCATTTCTCTCAGCAAGGTAACAACCGTGTGGCAGTCCACGGGGTTAAATCAAGCCCCCCTCCACCCACCACGAAGGTTGGAATCACCGCTCGGGGCGGGTTCCAGGCCGAGGCATGGTGGTTCTTGACCGGTCTCGACATCGAGGCCAAGGCGCGCATGATGGAAGCTCAAATTCGTCGGTCGCTAGCTCCCTTCTCCGACCGATACACATCTCTCAATTTCGATCTGTTGGGCTCATCGCTCTCCGACCCGCATGATCAAAATCGAGCCACTGTTCCACTGCGTATAGTCGTGCAGGCTCGACGAGAGGAGGACCTTGCACCCACGCGCTTCCTCAAGCCAATCACCGATAACATCATGCAGGGGTACCCCGGTGCCACCTGTCATTTGGATATCCGTCAAGGATTCCCGCGTGCGTTGTTCGAGTACTATGTCAGCTTGCTGCCGCAGTCTGCAGTGAAACACCGTATCCACTTGCCCTGGAAGCCCACGGCGACGCAGATAGTGGATATCCCACCGCCACCACAGACCAAGACGTACCCACCACGACAGCCCTCACAACCCTCCACTCACATCGATGGGTCTCTTGATCTGGCTCGCGACTTTGGTCCGACGACCCGCGGCCCACTAGGCTGGATCGTCCATGCTCGGTCTGGAGACAAGGGCGCTGATGCCAACTGCGGGTTCTGGGTACGCCATCGGGATGAATATCAGTGGCTTCGGGCACTGCTCTCTGTTGACACGGCGCAGGAGTTGCTGGGCGATACCGGGCGCAACAACCCGCAACTAGCCGTTGAACGCTTTGAACTACCCAGCTTGCATGGAGTGCATTTCCTCTTCCGTAATCTATTGGACCGTGGAGTGGGCGTTACCACCACGGTGGACTTCTTAGGGAAGAATGTGGCGGAATATCTGCGGGCGCGGCACGTCGATCTTCCGGTGCGGTTCTTGAACCGCGGAAAGCTGTAGCGTAGTGGACTTCCGCATCCCGCGTCAGCACGGCTTTTATACTGAATAGGAAGATGCTGTATCTACCCCGTACCTACTCCGTACCCTGTATATAGTTGAACGTACATACAGATACACCCAATATTTAGTTCAGGAATTACCCGATTGGGCAGTTCAGAAGAGTCATGTGACGTGTTCCCCTCATTCTGCAGACGAACCCCAAATCTCAGCAATCGCCGTAGCATTAACTCATTGGCCAATGCGATGGTTGGTTAATGCGCAGTGCTTATTCTCGGCCGATTATTCGAGAACTCGTGGTAAAACCGGATACCATTCCCATACCAGCCCCACCCAAGGTCTCGGGGGGATATTGGTCCGTATATAACATCACGGTGATCACATCCTTTGCCCCCTCTCTGCCCCCTTTAGCCCGAGATATGACACAAGCTTGCCCAGGCTAGGCAACCCTACCGCCGGCATTTTAACATTAGATTGAACTAGCTCAAACGGTAATCCGCATGCACGGGTGAAAATGGAGTCGTACTGATACTGCTTTGGGAATGATATCAAGCTGTCCTTCTCTGTGTGCCCTCGGTCTGGGGCCGAGTAGTGCCAAGAATGCTTGGCTTCTACACCGTATACCCAGTGACAGCTGTTCAGGTGAGATGACAGGGAACCCGAAAGAATCAGATTAAACAAGAATTCGTATAGATCGAATAAGACCGAGGGTGATGGAAGCATGAAGTCGGAGACTTCCCAAGGTTCTCGCATGCGGAACCGCATGTAAATACGGTAATGGTAATACCAGTCCACACGGAGCTCTCAAGTGGCGGGATCGCAAAGTACTCCGGAGGGGCCAGTCGCAGTCGGTAACGCTGAGTACCCCGCATCAAAAAGACTAAGCTATTTGTCACAGGGACATATATAAAATCTTTACCCTCCGAACTCCTTCTTCTTCACATCTTTGTTTGTGATACCCCAGTGCAACCATGTCTCTTTCTACTACCATCAAGACCCCTCATCTCTCCTACGAGCAGCCTCTTGGCTTGTACGCCTCCCTTGTCCTCCCCATGAGATCATAGCTAACCCCCTTAGGTTCATCAACAACGAGTTTGTTAAGGGTGTCGACGGCAAGACCTTCGAGACCGTCAACCCCACCGACGAGAAGGTCATTACCTCCGTCCACGAAGCCACCGAGAAGGATGTCGACATTGCCGTCAAGGCTGCCCGCGAGGCCTTCGAGGGCGCCTGGAAGCAGGTGATCCCCTCTGACCGTGGCCGTATGCTCACCAAGCTCGCCGACCTCTTCGAGCGTGACATGGACACCATTGCCGCCATTGAGGCCCTCGACAACGGAAAGGCCGTCACCATGGCCAAGGTCGACATCGCCAACGCTGCCGGCTGCCTGCGCTACTACGGTGGCTGGGCCGATAAGATCACTGGCCAGACCATTGACACCAACCCCGAGACTCTCTCCTACACCCGCCACGAGCCCGTCGGTGTTTGCGGTCAGATCATCCCCTGGAACTTCCCCATCCTCATGTGGGCCTGGAAGATCGGTCCTGCCGTTGCCGCCGGTAACACCGTCATCATCAAGACCGCCGAGCAGACCCCTCTCTCCGGTCTCTACGCCGCTAAGCTTATCGTCGAGGCTGGCTTCCCTCCCGGTGTCGTTAACGTCATCTCCGGTTTCGGTCGCACCGCCGGTGCCGCCATCTCCAGCCACATGGACATCGACAAGGTCGCCTTCACTGGTTCTACCCTCATTGGTCGCATGATCCTGCAGGCCGCTGCCAAGTCTAACCTGAAGAAGGTTACCCTTGAGCTCGGTGGCAAGTCCCCCAACATTGTCTTCGAGGACGCCGATATCGACAACGCTATCTCCTGGGCCAACTTCGGTCTCTTCTTCAACCACGGCCAGTGCTGCTGCGCCGGTTCTCGCCTGCTGGTTCAGGAGAGCATCCACGACAAGTTCGTCGCCCGTTTCAAGGAGCGTGCTGCCCAGAACAAGCTCGGCAACCCCTTCGAGGGCGACACCTTCCAGGGTCCCCAGGTTTCCCAGCTCCAGTTCGACCGTATCATGGAATACATTAACCACGGAAAGAAGGAGGGTGCCACCGTCGCTCTCGGTGGTGAGCGCCACGGTGACCAGGGTTACTTCATCCAGCCCACCGTCTTCACCGATGTCACTCCCGACATGAAGATCGCCCAGGAGGAGATCTTCGGTCCCGTCATCGCTGTCACCAAGTTCAAGGATGAGGCTGATGCCATCCGCATCGGTAACAGCACCAACTACGGTATGTTTATCAATCTACTCTTTCATAAAACCTATTTGTCTAACTTTCTTCAGGTCTCGCTGCCGGTATCCACACCAAGAACATCAACACTGCCATCCGTGTTTCCAACGCCATCAAGGCCGGTACCGTTTGGGTTAACAGCTACAACATGATCTCCTACCAGGCTCCCTTCGGTGGCTTCAAGGAGTCCGGTCTTGGCCGTGAGCTCGGCTCTTACGCCCTGGAGAACTACACCCAGGTCAAGACCGTTCACTACCGTCTTGGCGATGCTTTGTTCTAAGCAAATCGCCCAAGAAAAGAAAAAAATATAAAATAACCCAAACAATTCACTCAGGTTGGAAAGTCTAGGTCAATGACGTGATGACACATGGAAATTTGTCTTGTATATAATACAAATTCAAGGACACTGTTCTTTTGTACTTGATGCTCTCTTGTACTCTGTATCTGATAGCTACTTCTTCCTGCTGTACAGTAATATCAATAATCCGTACTCTACTACTGAAATTATCGTTCACTGATCTTGTAACCATTGTCGTACTACTTCGGGACTCGGGTCAAAGCATTGCGCTCGGCATATCTTTCCCCGAGCTCACCACAAAATCCAGTCCGGGGTCAGACTCGGTGGTTCGGGTTATCTGTCTTCTAAAGTGATTTGCATGGATTGCGGGGCCTGTAATTACAAAAAAATGCTTGATAACTGGATGAACCCGATCTGACAAGACGCAGGTATGCGGAATGTACTGAACTAAGAATATACAGGAGGCTCTCGACAGCCTATTAGTTCTTCTAAAAAATATTTTATGCGCCGACAGTACCCACTGTGCCGACAGTGACCCCGTTCGGTAGCTCGAGGCCGATGGGCAATCCGCACACGAACTTCTCGGCCCAAGCTGACCCGCGCTTTGCGGCGAGCTTTTCTTCAATGTCTCGGTACATGTCATATCTGAAAAGGCGTTAGCTTCATTCCGAACCCCAAGGTCTCGTTGTGACTTACGCGTTCATCTCTTCGATAGTGAGAACCTTCTTCGCATCTTCGACTTTGTAGGTGGGAGTATCTTTGTTCACAGAGAACCCTGATTTGTCAGTGTATGCTTCCTTGCATTCCGGCACGCGCCACTCACCGATTCGCTCGTTGATGTTATAAGCCGCCTTCGCTGCTGCTGCCTGCACTCGCGTCACGCGAGGCAGACGCACCTCCTCGTATACAGAGAGAGCCTGGGCAATATCGCCGTGGAAGTATTCCTTCCTAAACAGGATTCCAAGCGCGGCTGCGTCTTCAATAGCCATGCAGGCACCCTGGCTTTGATGCGGCATCATCGGGTGTCCTGCATCACCCAGTAAACAGGTGTTTCCACGCTGGAGATAAGGGTACGGGTCATGGACCCAGAGGCGCCATGGCTTGATCTCAGTTCCGATCTTGAGGTGCTCGAAGACTTGTCGGTCGAGCTGCGGGTATGGGTTGAGGAGTTCCTCGACGGGTCGCTCGTCGGCTGCCCATGCCTGTGTTGAGTAGTCGCCTTGTTCGCGGGGGAAGAAGCAGTAGTATGAGAGAAGCTTGCCGCCGTTGCAAGGGGACAGCACGATCTTGTCCCATTTGCCTTCTTGGCCTCCCCAGTATTCGAGTGCGCTGTTCTCGGAGTAGTTGACTAGGCCAAGTCTGACTGCGTCTTCGGTATTCACGTTTGTGTGTAGGCAGCTCTGGTCGGAAGGCCGCTTCGCTGGTGTAATGCCGAGGATTCCTCGGACTGCTGAGCCGATACCGTCGGCGCCAATAATGAGATCGTGTTGTGCGGTGTTTCCGTTCTCGAATGTGATTTTGCCGCTCTCGGTGTCAATATCACGGCACTGAAGTTGATGGATCGTCAGTACTGGCTTCTATCTTTTCGGCGAAGGGAGCGTGTTTACCTTATGGTTAACCTTAAGGATTGCTGGAGCACCCTCGCCCTCGCCCATTGCTGAGTCCTTCAGCATGGCATGCATATACTGCCGGTGGAACATGTTATAGACATATCCCCAGCGCTTTTCGTAATCTTCCAAATCGTATACACTGACAGGCTCGCCCGTCTTCCAGTCTCGGTTGATAAGCTTCTTCAACACCACTGGATCGCCTTTGGCGATATCCACCTTCCACTCGTGAAGCCATCGGGTTCCGTTGGCGGCACATGAGACCGAAGCACCGACTTCACCTGCGAAGTCAGACTTCTCGTAGATGGTCACATCATGTCCTGCGCGGCGGAGGGCGAGCGCAACGGACATGCCTCCAATACCGCCACCGACCACACCCACGTTGAGACATCTCCAGCCCGACATGTTGTATATAGATTTAGATCAAAGTTGAAGGGTTGAAGGAATGAGGTCTGCTCTGTGAATGCAAGTGTCTGAAGTCATACAGTGCCGACGCAGAATATCTATATACTTATAGACATTTCCTTATCTCACATTCCGACCTGATGTCAATGGCGGATGATGTACTCGGTCGGCGGGCCGCGCACTCTTCCGCTTATCTTCGAAAACTCGTATCCGCATGTGGGATCACTCTTGAAAGTGTCCACGGGTTAGATCGGACGACGAGAACCAATCACTCTAAAAGCTCGTGACCTGAGGTTCGATCAGTATGGCAAGCTCCCCATACACAACTTCCCAGTACACCTCGGAAGAATTTGTTGAGAGCTGCGGGGCAATTGTGTTCGACCTCTCCCAAAACAAAACCGTCTGTCTGGTGCACTATCAAAAAACCAACGAATGGCTTCTTGCGAAAGGACGTCGCAACTGTGGTGAGTCCCGATATGAGGCTGCACTGCGTGAATTCCACGAGGAAACCGGTTATCGGGCTCGGCTGTGCCCTGTCAAGATGTGGACTCGAGCCCCTCCCAAGGACGAAGAGGGTTGTGTCCAGGATATTCCTCGCTTGTATCCGGATTTGACGGAGCCCTTCATGGTCACGACGCGACAGTTGGGTGGAAGTGGTGTGAAGATAATCTGGTGGTACATTGCTGTATTGGAAGGCTTTGTTGGTGAGCCTGGGTCTCACGAAAAGGAATTCTCATCAAGATTCTTTCCCTTGGACGAGGCAGTGGAAATGCTGAGCTTTGAAAATGATCGGTCGGTTCTTCGAAAGGCGATCAGCATCATTGAGGGTTAGACCTGTGTTGCTATCAAGCTTGGTCTTGGTGCAACGACTCGGAATCCATGTTTTCTGCCCTCTCTTTGCGCTCTGGGGTGTATCATGTTTAAACAGTCGGTTCTTCGCATTATATCTATTGCTATGACGTATGGAGTGCATTTCTGAGGTTTTTGGTTGTTTTGGGGGCTTTTGATGCTTCAACTACGCCAGAAGCCTCTTCCAAGTTCTTCCCAATTTGTATGTTTACAATGTAGAATCAGCCGGCAAGCAAAAAGACTAGAGGTTTTCGAGAATTAGTACGAAAAAATAAATAAGTATACGGAGTACTCCGTACACATGCGTTAGACAGAACAAACATGATCTAAATTAAAGGGGCCGGCACTCAGCATAGAATTAGCCCAGGGCCATGAAGTCCGCTTAGTTATGCTTACTTCTCACCACTTAGCTCCTTTTGATCCACTCAGTAATATTCAGCCAAGCTTAGTTCTTACTCCACAGCCAATCCAAAAGGCCTATCTTCCAGTAGTCACTGCAGCTAAAAAGTGATTCTGTGGCCCAATCGCTTCTACGCCCCACCAACAACACTCTTAGCAACCTCTTCGGTACCAGCCACCACCACCTCCCTATTCTGATTTGACGTTAACATAACCTCATCTTAATCCTTCTCGGCCGCAAGCCGAACCAAGCCGCTTATGGGTATACCATGAGTTGGGGGCCCGTTTCAGCCATCGAGTGGCAGAGCGCGGCCGCGTCATCCCTGTCCCTGTCACCCACACGTGCAATTGTCAGATCGTAGCATATAACTATATGTCAGGCGCCGGCCTGCAGAAACCTTCTGTTAAAGCTTTGTCGGTCGTCAACCATGAAATTTACGTTCCTTGCCGCTCTGGCTCTGGCCTCGCAGGCCCTGGCCGTTCCCCATTCCGTACTCCAGAAGCGCTATCCATCGGGATCATTCTCTATTCTTGCCTATGGCATTGGATCTGGACCCCTGAGTGTATTCTACTCTGACGGTAGGGCTTCGTGTGATTCTTTCTGATCGAAAACGGTCATCTGACTGGATGGTAGGACTCGCATACGTCGGTGATGCTTCACAGTGGGATTCTGGATCGGTAACGACCGACGTTACATGTATGGATTGCTCCGTTGGTGTAATTTGTGCGTATCTTTGCTAATCTTTGCCCAGTCACCTTCAACAATACTCAGATTCTCGCCACGGCTACCAACAAGGATTATACTTTTGATAATGAGACTTTCCTCTATATTCGCCCTACGGCCAATGAGGTGCTCCCGGTGGGATTCACTGGTAACGATAATGATACGCCTGATGATGCGGTGGCAGGCTCGTTCCTTTTCTATGGCACCTATCTCATGTGGGAAGACGATGATGGCGTGCTCAGTGATTCGTTCCGGTTGAAAGAGACCGAGGTCAGCGATATCTACCAGCTTTATTGGGATACCTCGAATCTTTATCCATCTGGGTATCTGACGCCGGTTATAAAGTCATCAGTTTAGGTGAGATGTGAGAACTATCAATTCCCAAGCCTTCTTTGATGACTAGGCAACGTGTGCCTCGGTTCTTGAAAACATTGTCAAATGGAAAAGTTTCAATTATAGTACAGTGTCGTAGCTCGTTAAATGGTGGATGACTCGGTAAGAAATGGGAAACTATCCCATAGCGGTAGATCCATACCTTCCCAGTCAAATAAAGTCCCGTCAATCATGGGTGGTGTGACAGTACCTATCCCGTCATCCGACTGCAACCATGAATATGATGGGATACTTTGTGTCAATGGGGTAGTACTGTTCGGCTGTTCATCACCATCGTTTTGTGTCCGCGGAGTTGCTGGATTCCCATTGAGGCTGAAGATCCTGCTGACATACTGGCTCCGCCGCTGTCGGGCTTGAGCAGCGAGTCGCTGGCGCTGCTGGTTGATGGCGGACTCTAACATGATTGTTATATCAAGGTAATGCGCCGCTTGAGCAGACTGCGATGCCAGCATGCGCAGGATGGTCATAGCACCACGGAAAGCTTGGTCAATTTCCGAATCAATATCACGGTGTGCGAACATTGAAAACCCGAGAACAAGCGCGGCCGCAAATATGAAGGCCCTGTCTTATATGTTAGTACAGGTGTCTGAAGTAAAAATCCGAGGTAACAGACTTGAGAATACACATATTTCGAAGCATGAGTCCCGAATCGTAAACTTCTGTGCATGTTTGTACCATGTATACTGCCGAATCAATGCATGCAGCCGCCAGTCGCGAGTGGGCCGGATCCTCTTCCGGTGCCTCCCCGGGCTCGTTTGTTGAAAGGCTGTGGTGCAATCGGGCCAGCCGAACACTCAATGCTGATATGAGGAAAGGGCGAGTAACTAAGATCACCGCGAAATGATATGAACAGGCGACGTGCATATTGCCGAGTGTGTGGTTCCGAACAATACTTTCATTCTCGTGCTCTAAAGAAGAACTCCTAAGCGACTGGGGTAGAGATTCACTCCAGCTGTTCAGTTTGCCTAATAGAGCGTCTGCAGTCTCAGCCGATGCAGCTCTTTCTCCGTAGAGACGAACGACAATCTCGTCGAGTATTAGCGACAAATGGAATGAAGCTACCAGGCCGGATTCTGGTAGGTTTGTCTCTATCCATAGGGATTCCTCCCGATTCCCAGTCAAGAGAGGCGAAATCGCCGATGGTCTCCCAAGGATAGAGCTGACAAGTAAGTCAAGTACACAAAGACTCATCCATAATTTTGGCCTGTGCTCATTAGCTAGATCATGGCCCTGGCCAGAGAGAACATACCTTTGATCATTGTCATCCCGACTCGTCGATCCTGGGGAGTCCTCATGTAGACCCAGAGCCACGGCTGCACGCGATGCCACACCCAGGTACATGAAGGCTGCATTGCGGCGACATGCCCCGAGCATGTAGAACGACATCAGAACAAAAACGCGCACCACGTCCATACTAGGATCTTCCAGAAAGTTTGCGAAGGCTCTCTGCTGCCCTCGAGCAAAGTAAAATCTTTCTGTTTGAAGAGCTTCTGGGTCATTCGGGCGCGACTGGGCCCCAATAGCCACCATCAGATCAACTATAGCTGCTCTGGTCTTTTCCCGATCGGATTTGGGATCTTCTTGTTCTACTAGGGATGCAAATGTAATGTCTCTACATCCCAAGTTGAGGAAGCCACTTGTCTTGCGCCATGTTAGTTTGTAGAAGATGATGGGTCGGGTCGGGCACTTGTCTTACCGCCGCTTCATAATTTTGAAGAAACTGGCGCTTTTCTTCGGCATTACACCATTCTTGTGAGAAATTCAGAGGACCATGTTGTGCTTCTGTCTCCAGCATGTCCTCACTTCTTTGGGAGAATTGTGAGGGGCCAATATGCTGGGTCACAGTGTCCCGAAGCAGTTGTAGAAACGACAGTGAGGCGGCTTTGCCGACGTAGACTAATCTGCTTTAGTGCATTTTTAATATCAAAACCTATTTGGGCCACCTACCTCGGTCGCCTTGCAGGTTGCGGAGCATCCGCGGATGTGTTCGATGCGTGGCTTCAGGCGAATGCGATTCAGCCTCTGGCGTGACGACATCGAGATCAGGTGTCGCTGCATCATGGGTCTGAGGTCTCAAGGGGCTTTGCAAGCCTATCCTTGACTCGCCCCACGCCGAAGATGTCGGTCGGGAGGCTGTTGGGCGGCTGCGGGACCCTGGAAAGGATTTGAATGGAATACATGAGCCGCCACGTCCTTTGTGCAGGCAGTTGCTGCAGGGGAAGTAGCCGCTGCATCGCTTTTTCGATTTTCGACAGGCTGTACATGCTGTATTAGCCCGTAAGCGATTATCTGGATGTACCTTGGGGCGCGCCATGCTTGAAACGTGGAATCCGAAAGTCCGGGGGTCAACATCCCCGCAGATAACTAAGCTGCCGTTGATACCCGCTGAAAACAGGTGCGCGGCCCGACATTTTCGGATGCCGCACTTCTGCTTTCTGCCAAGGTGGATAAGCTCGATTTTCTCCGTGAAGCAGGATCCAGTTCCCCGCGCCCATTCTTCGATACGAGAAACATCCTCGGACTGTATTTTGGCCAGTTTGTTCCTCGGTCGATGATTGCACGAAAAGAATATAGCTGGGTTTCGCTTCAAATAATTCTTTCCAAGTTGGTACCCAACGCGGGACATCTCTCATCCGTCACTGTGAATAGTGGACTTATCGCAACTCGCACGATCTGCTCTTCATTTACCTTGCACGGAGTGCTTTGGAAAGCTTCTGTGGTTCCATATTGTCTTTTGTAAAAGCAGATTTTCCAAAATCCAGAACAAACCTGTTTGGACATATCGGCTACTCAAAAGACAAATGGTTCGTCCATACCTTTGTTATCTCGCACGTACTAATATGCCCTAAGGCTTTCGAAGTAAAACCGCTCGATCTCGTCATTGATTTCAGTGATGTACCTAAGAACCGTGTGGTAATGATTATTGGAGAGGGCCAGACAGTGTACTGGAAAGGAAGTTATGTTACTGTTTATGAGTTTGACGAGGAAGGAAAGGAACAGACAAGGAGACTTATTGGAATACCAGATGGTCAAGGGGTTACTCCATTGGGGGTAAAGCTTTACGTAACTAAGGGGAAAGTCAGAGAGGTCAAAGAGTGAGGCCTTTATGTTATAAATTTTGAGACGCGAATCGCGTTCTAGGTGTACAGCTTTTTCTGTATTTCGAAGCCTCGAACCAGACTAAGCGATAAATTAATGATGGCGCCCTTCTCTGTAACTATTATTGCAACACATTCAGTAGCCAGCTTCCTTCTTCTAACTCTCTAAGGCGAATACGGCTTTCTTAAATAGCCAATTGTAGCTTAGAACCGATTACCATGATAATAGCTTCATTTTCCACCCCTTTCAAAGTAGCTTGGGAGTTAAGAATGGTCAGGGTTGTGCCTCTTTCGAAGCCAACATGTAGAGTCTTCCCGACCCATTTCACAGTCGTACCGAACAAAGCCTTTGCAAGAGCTTGCACCTATGATTCACAGATGTCAAGGCTGAGTAGACAATCAACTAGTCCACTCCAAGGAGGGAATACTATTATCACTGATTCTTTCGAATAGCTCAAAGAAATTATAATGCGAATGTACGAGGCTACAACATAGGTAGCCAAGATGTTAAATAGGTCTGCTATAGTTTATCTTCTACCTAGACATTAGCTTTTTAAAATGCGTTAGCAGTTCAGGCTTCGGCCAATACAAAACATCCTGGTCTAGGGAATAGTACTTATGAACACACCAACTTGGAAGTCGCAATCAGAGAGACCTCGGGATGATCCAACCAAGATGAAGATCCTCAATCGACACGGTCATAGGTATTTTAGTTGCAGATACTATCCACTTCCGTGTCCGGTGGTAACAAGACAAACTTGACCGAAGTCGACAATCTTGAAAGTTTCAGTTAATCTGTATCAACCACCTGGGCAGGTGAAAGATGGCGCAGGTAATCATTAATTCCATGAGCTTGTCTAGTGGTATATTATTGCGAAAGGTTGTGTGAATACATGAGAGGTGCTGGTTCCAAAGTAACCTGCTTTGGGCAGGTTGCACCTAGTACGAGATATATATTTGATGACAACAATTATCCTAGCAGCTACGTTCATGAATTGACAGGCAAAACCATCCATCCAAGGTAGGAATATTATGGAGTAGGTAGAGTTGACTGGACAGAGAAATCTTAGTTTCCCTCAAGGCATCTACCCAAGGAAGGAGTGGGCTCAACCTTGTGAATGCAACCATCTATTACCTAGGTAGGATGCCAGTGTCAAGCCAAACACGTCAAATTTAGTGTTTAGTCCCGAGATCCATAATTATCTATCCGAAAATCCGCCAGATCGGCTTGCCGAAAGGATTGTCCGAGATCCAGAACTACAGGTAAATTCTGAGCATCCGGAAAGGACTGTCGGTGTGCAAGGAGGCAAAAGCACTGGCCATATATTGACACATAGAAACAAAAAAAAGCCTCAATTGATCAAGTAACAAACTGAAGTGAAGAGTAAACATTGAAATCTCTGCTGCAAGCCCGGACCACCAGGGAGAAGATTATAGAATGTGATTGGTGAAAGTGGATATAACCCCACTTAGCACAGTCCCGAACAAGACTAGCAAGACAAACAGAGCAAACATAGGCTGAGCTCGCTTAACGCTAGCGCCGAACCAGAGGAATATAAATACAGCCAGTCCCCCGGACCTTTCTTCTTTTTTTTAAGCGACTCTACGTATGTTCAAACCACCCCATACTGTGAAACCAACAATTACTGACCACTTCCAACAGTTCAAAGAATCACTTTAGAGTAGACGTCTCCTTTCTAAGCTCTTTAAAAGAGCCACAGAATCTCCACCCTTGCTGATGACTGCATGTCCTCGGTGCCCTAAAGTGAAACCTTTTTACTTCCGCCTCGACTGTCACGCGTGCTGTTTACAGTGTCTGTGTTTCGGTCCAGGGAGTGGTGATGATCTTGACCTGGTCTCGGCGTCTGATTTCGGTCGGTCGGTCCTGGTGGGTGTCGAGGAGGTCTGAAAGGTCCTTTCTCTTTTCTTTTTTCTTCCCATCAATTGACTCGGCAATGCCGAGCGCTTGGAGGGGGTCTCGTAAAACTTCGCTATGTCCGTCTACATGTTGAGCTGGGCGTGCATGTATCATCCGAAGGCTGGAGCTTACGTGGAATGATTTGACGTGTTAAGAAAATTTGAGGACGACCCGACGTTCACATTAAATTTCCTCATCAGTACTCTGTATTAAGCTTTGAGATCGTCACCCGTTTCTGCCATTAGGTCATCATGTCTCGTGAAACTCTAAACGCTAAATCACTCATGCAAGCCCTTATTTCGACTCAGCTGCAGCCTTTTCCGAAGCTGCAGCTCCCTTTAGGTCCCTTGTTTCGTGAGCCACGTCCACCACGAGATCCACGCGAGGATCCAGTGTTGGCCCCGGTGGTTCCTGCCGCTGCATTTCCGGCTCCAGCATTAGTAGGAGCTGATACTTCAGCCGCCGCCTTGGCCTTGTTCGCGTTGTTGGCCTCGCGACCTTTGCGAGGTTTCTCACTGCCAGGATTTTCCTTGCGCTCCAACACCACGACCTGACTCTGCGCCACAGACACAGGACTGGCTGCGATGGCCTTTCGAAGGCTGTCTGGCTCGGCGAAGTCCACGTAACCGAATCCTTTCTTCTTGTCGATCTCAACCTTTGTGACCGCTCCGAATGAGCCAAATGCGGATTCGAGAAGCGCTTCGGTCACTCCTTGCGATGGGTTGGCGTGCTTAAGGAATGCCTGTTTAGCGTTGGATGGGGCCTTGGATCTACCGCCCTTGGGTGTTTTCGCGGGTGGGTTTGCTGGCGTAGCGGTTGTATCGGCCTTCGCAGATGACTCTCCGTCCTTTCTTTTTGTCGCGTTTGACGTAGCCGGTGTGTTTTTCGCTGGTTTGGGGTCTTTCTTGGGCGCGTCGGCAGCAGGAGCGGTCGGTTCTCGAGGAGAATCGTTCTTGGAAGCAGCAGCTTCAGCCGCAGCACCTTTGCCACGTCGTCGTCCACCGGAAGTCGATAGCCCAAGGTCGCGCTGTAAGATTTTGGTAGCCACGGCGGGATTTCCACGCTCTCGCTTTCGTTCGGGTGCTGCAGTGGGTTCTTTCGTGGAGTTAGATGCGGCACTGGACTTGCTTGCCTTCGCGTTGGCAGCGTTTCCCTTTGCGGCCTTTGCAGACTCCTTGCCATTGGCCTTTTCGCCCTTAGACTTTTTGTCAGAGGTCGCCGTGTTCTCTTTGTCGCCTCGTTGAAGGAGTTTCTTAGCCTGCACTTTCTCCTGCTTGGATTCTTTCTCTGCCCGGCTGTGCTTGGATTTCGAACCCGAGCCATCCTTCGACTTGCTAGCTTTCTTGTCCTTGATATACTGAACAAGGGGAGTGGTCATCACAACATCCTTCTTCTTCTCCTCGCCCTCTGCTGGGGCGTCCACGCCCGCTGGTCTGGTGATTGGCTGGGTCAAGCTTTCCAGGAAGGCAACAAAGTCGGCATCTTGATCAATCATACCCTGACGAGCATCCTTGCGAGAGCGACTGCCGGGAGTTTTGGCATAGGGTGCGAATTCTAAGGAAGGAGGCCCGAGCAAAATAGGGTCATGGAGGGTGTTGCGGGCATCTTGGATTGAGGCTTGTCGCAAGGTATCGGAGAGGGCGATAACACATTCAGAGGAAACAACATGGATATAGGCTCTAGATGGACGAGAAGGTTTGGCCGGACTGTTCGGGAAAAATGTGACGTTAGTCAAGCTCTCATAAAGCTCTAACCAGAGGGTAGTAAGACTCACTCTTTGGAGACCTTGCCAGGCTTATACTGAAGCCAGTCAACCTTCCCTGCTCCAACCTTCCATTGCTCCCCGAGGGCGTTCTCCAGCTCTGCCTGTGTGAGTCCTGGCGGTAGGCGTCGAATGAGAAGTTTGAGACGGGGCGCCGGGGGCTTGGGCGCTTTCTTGGGTGCGCCAGAGCCTGACTTCTGAGTGGCTGCTGCTGGAATTGGCAACAGGCCAGCTGTGTTTTTGCCCTGCTGCGTCATCTTCAGACCGGTAATGTGCTTAAGGAAAGTTTTGGATCTCAATCCAGGTCATCCATCAGAAGAAGAATGTATCCCGGCGAGGAATGACTGAGGGGATCTCAAAGGCGGTGTAGCTGCGATCGTCAACCCAGAACTATCAAGTCCTACATGAATGTCTGGTGCTATGATGCCCTATGACTCTGAGCTCAGAAAATTGAAAAATGCAGGAGAAAAATAATCCGACTTTAAGTTCGGTTTTCTCGCCCTAATGCCCTCTGTAAACATCTATCTAGTGAGGTGTTGCGAATCTCTTGACGCGATGTCACCTTGGCTTATCGATATCGATAACCATCCAACTTACTACTCCGCACCTCTCCTCTCTCATACATGGACAACACGTCACCATGAGCGAAGAGAAGAGCAGTCTGATGGAAAGCCAGCCCGAAGTGGCCCCAAAGCAAGGAAGCAAAAGGGACACTGGTATCTGGTCCCTTTTCGTTTGCGCTGTTCTATGCTTTGTTTGGATCGCTGGACAACATGTGCATCCCTCTTGCTCCTCATCCAGCATCGAGGACCGAGTGCAGAGAATCTTGTCACAGACACCACTGATTGGTAAGAGTTCTACGGCCAGATCGACTTCAAATTAGCACGATTGACGTTTCCAATAGACGGCCATGATGATTTCCCAATCTATGTCCGAGAGGTCTTCCAGAATCACATCAATGACAAGGAGTTTACTGAGTCATTCGTCAAGGGAGGATTTCCTGGACATGTGGATATTCCTCGATTGAGACAGGGCAGAGTGGGTGGTAGTTTCTGGAGTGTGTTTGTGCCCTGTCCGGCTGATGGCTCGAACTTCTCGGACGAGAACTATGCTGCTAGTATGTGAAATGTGTCCCACCGCTGATGCAATGTACTAATACTCCGAATCTAGGCGTCCGAGAGACAATGGAACAGGTGGATGTCATGTCTCGTGTGCAGCGAGCCTATTCCGATGTCTTTTCGACCCCACCGAACGGCACCACAGCCATGTCGGCTTTCCAGGAAGGAAAGATCATATCTCCACTTGGAATCGAGGGTCTTCATTCGATCGGAAACTCCTTAGCTCATCTTCGGATCTTCTACGAGCTGGGTGTTTCGTATGCGACGTTGACCCATAACTGCCACAACAAGTATGCCGATGCTGCCATCGTCGAAGTTCCTGGCGGCGCCAAGAAGGCCGATCCGCTTTGGCACGGAGTCAGCGAAGAAGGTGAAAAGCTAGTATTTGAGATGAACCGTCTTGGTATGATCGTTGATTTGGCTCATGTGAGCGTCGACACTATGCGTGACGTTTTAGGCGCAGGCAAGTCCGAGTGGACCGGCAGCCGAGCCCCTGTTATCTACAGCCACAGCTCAGCGTACGCAATTTGCCCACACCCGCGCAACGTACCAGACGATATTGTGGAGTTGGTCCGCGAAAAGCGCTCCCTGGTGATGGTCAACTTCTCACCCGACTTCATCTCATGCACTGCATCTGACAATGCGAATGGCATTCCTGATCTTGACCCTACTCATACCAACCTGGAACGAGTGGCTGATCATATCTTGCATATCGGGAATCTCATTGGCTTTGAGCATGTTGGCATTGGCAGCGATTTTGATGGCATTCCGACGGTTCCTCGGGGCCTAGAAGATGTGTCTAAATTCCCGGCCTTGATTGCAGAGCTTCTCAGACGCGGAGTGAGTGACAGGGATGCAAGCAAGGTGGCCGGTGGAAATCTGCTCAGAGTATGGAAGGAGGTTGATGAGGTCGCTCTTGAGATCCAAGCCGAAGGTGCGTTACCCGCGGAGGATTAATCATACCAACCACTTGTGGCCCATGTATCGAAATTTTATAACTTAGCGCAAATTTCGATCTCATTTCAATACCGGACAGTGGAAATTTACTGTCCGCTAACTGCTTGATCTCTGACCCCCAAGTGCTCAATGCCCATATATCTGCTTATGTCAGCAATTCACATCGTTCAAGGTTTTTCAGTCTCAGGTATGTTCTTTTGCTCATCATGACTAGAACAACACACACAAAGGTCAAAGGTGCACCTGATTACGACGAGGCCGAATTCTGGGATGCTCGCTTTGCTACGGGCGGCGATGTAGGCGAATGGTTGAATTCTGGCGAAGCCCTCCTAGAGGCAGTATTAGCCGACCTAGAGAGCCGCCCGCATGTTACAACTAGCAAAGTCCCTCGTGTCCTCCATCTGGGCCCAGGTGTCTCAAAACTTGGCTGTAATCTACGTGACAAGTGCGTAGAGCGCAACTGGCAGGGAAATGGCATTGTGGTATGCTATCTATAACGCAATACTCGTCCCTGTACCTAATTGACCTCCCTTGCAGAATGCCGATTTCTCGAGTGAGGCTGTTCGCCTGGGCCGTGAATTCGAAAGCACGAAGGATTCCATGCATGCGATGCATTGGACTCGTGCTGACCTGCGCCGGTGGAGCGAGGTCTCCTCTCTTGGTCAACATGCGCCATTCGACGTGATTTTGGACAAGAGTACCAGCGATGCCCTATCCACATCTGACGACTTTGAAGTCTCTTCCCAAGAAGAGCTGTCGGCTAGTTGCCCAACCGTAATCGACATTTTGACTGAGAACCCTAGCACCGTACTATCGCCTGTGGAGCTTTTGGGTTTGCAGCTAGTCCCTTTAACTCAAAAGGGCTCGACGTGGATTGTCCTCTCATACTCGACTATGCGATTCGATGGGTTGAAACATATGGCCGCATATTGGAAGATGCGGTCTCGCATAGCATTGAAAGCGCCATCTGGCCCTGTGTCTTCTTCCGCCCACACACCAGATGTGTTCCATTGGCTGTACATTCTTGAGCGGGAATAAGGACACAAACCTCTTTGATAAGTTGACTGCAAACTCGAATCTTCCATAACAGAGAGTTGCTTGCACCTCAGTGCAGGTGGATCCAGATTGATGTGCAACCCTGAAACCGGCATCTACTCCCAACTACCTGATAGAAAATTCCGGTTCAGTGGAAAAATCAAGCCCCTAATGGCTGTCATTCAGTGTTAACAAAGAACATCCCAGGAGGATGTCATGAAACGCCACTCAGAACCCCAACACGAATTTGCTACAATTACACCGGAGGACATCTTATGCATCATTTCCTGAAGTATGCATCCAAATTCTGTCTCAACTATTTAACGTTCAACAATACTGTGTTTCACAAGTACTATACGATCCACCACATCAGCACAACCATGTTCAACCTCGAGACCAAAAGGCCAGGGTCAACCAATTTTCGACCTTCCTGGCATCACATCGCAAGCCTGTCGCTTAGCAACCAAGGTAGATGGCTGTTCTCTGGTCAGCTGATTCTCACCAGTAGCACAGAAGTATTATCAGACTTACCATTCGCGTACAGAGCGTACGAGTCGGCGTTCAGGACGGCCGCGGAGCTGCTCAGAGCAGTTGCGGCAGCGTATCCGTATCCATTGTCTTCGGTACCGGGGCTGTACCTGTATCACGCAAACATCATTAGTACATCCTCCAAAAGTGACAAACGGCTCTCAAATGGGGAACTAACACTCCAGGTGCGTGGGTCAATTCGTGAAGGGTGGTGGTGGCCTGATCCTGGCTGTGGCAAGTGCCGGTCAAGGCAGGAAGGTAAGAGTAGTAGATGTCACAGTTGGCGATCACGTTCAGCGATGGCAAGGTATAGGCCAGGACATTGGTCTCGCAGCTGTTCATGTTGTAAGTTAAGGTTCGCTTTAAAAGGACACAGGTATACTGACTAGCCATAGACATCAGTGCAATAGTGTCTGGTGGAGCCGGAGGTAGTGGAAGAAGCCTCCTTTGCAACGGCCTTAAGACGAGCAGCGACGACCTGGCGTGTAGCAGTGCTAGTGGTCTTGAAGTACTCGTTGAACCTAGAGGAGCTGTTAGCATGGCGAGATGGTCTGAAAGCCAAAAGCTATACATACTTGCTGGCAGATCCAGACAGCGCGGCATTCGCGGCAGCAGTTGCAAGGCTGACGGTGTTTGACAAAGCCTTGTCAAGAGCAGACTTCCTGCTTGCGTTGCTGCAGGATTCGACGGTACGGCGGTCGAGAGGCTTGATGGCCTTCAGGACACGGGATGCTTTGGTGCCATCGACTTCGATCTTGAGATCGTTGGAGCGGTATGGCAGGTAGCCAGTGACTGCGCCATCGACCACAATGGGAACCAGGCCGTTCGAGCGAAGAGTGAGAGGGCCTCCACTTGACAGATCGGCGGTGCTGGCGATATCGAACTCATCTTCGAATGTCTCTCCAGCAGCAAGCGAGGTAAGAGCTTCGTCGGTGAGACCTTCGGTTCTGAACCGACGCTTAATACCCTCAAAGGTGACCTCGGCATCTAGAATTCCAGTCAATATGGAACAAGTTTTGTTCTAGGAGTTGCATACCATCCTTCAGGACTTCGACTTTCTTGACGGGAGCACTGTCGCGGAAGAAGTTGAGGTGCACGAAAGTAACATCCTCGCTACCAGTGTTCTTCACCACGGCCTTAATACGGGTGTCGCTGACATGGCTCAGGGTGATGTCAAGAGCAGAAGCCTCTTCAGTCTCAACGGGCAGAGCGTACGCATTCTGGGCGATCGCCAGCAGAGCGGTAGACAGAGCAACGAGCTTCATTTTGCTTGCAGGTCAAGAAACTTGTTGAAACCGAAGATTTGAGGATTTGAAGGCCGATTTGATGCTTTGAGTGCTGATGGATTGGGATTCAAATTTCGAGGGAACTGGTCTCGCTTTATATCCCATTGGAATCATATTGCGATATTGTTCTGATATGCCTTGGCTGGTTTTGAACTAGCTTGTATGTTCTTCTCCCGTCATTGCCTAGGAAATTGGCGAAAAGGCACAAGGGTGGCTTCAACGTGTGAAGTCGCTACTATCAGTTTGATGCTTGTCTTGCATGGCCCAAGGAAATTCCAGCGCAATCCATTGCTTGAACACATTCCGAGTTGCCCGAAATTTGCAGGGAGGCCTGCGGGCAAACATCTCACTGGTTGCAGATATCTCGAGAGGCTGCATAGTCAAGAAGGCCGCAATTGGTGTCGTCTTGGCCCGGCGGAATCCGTAGCTTCAAGGGACTCCGTCCATCTAAAGTTTTATGTCCACGGACCTTGAACAATGCATTCGCTCCTACATCGCAGCTCGGGATGGGAGGTTGTCCGATGTAACTCCTCAGGATCGGTCGGAGATAAACAAGGTCAGTGCCAAGGATCTGCAGGTTTGCCGCTAGTTTCAGTTACAGCATACAAATACGGCTTAGGCGTGAAATGCATAAGGAGTAACAAAATGCTTGGAGTCCAGAGTAGGAGCTTGACTATAAACGCGTTGTTGAATGTTCTGGACACTCCGGCAGATCTGCTGTATCAACATCCAGCGCAGGCTGTGGACAATAAAATTGTTCGAAAAGACAGAGAACTACAATAGCAAACATCTCCTCTCTACAATTATCTAGATCAATAAGTTTTGTTGTGCATGACGCCAAGCCCCGGACCCTGCAGTTTCCACCGGACTCCGGCGCCAAAATACCACCCAAGACGGCGCCGAAGTTCTTGACTACAGAGACAATGCTTATTGTGAGCCTTTCCAATCTATGTTGAAGGCTTGGCTGCAAAGTCCCATGAGGGGCGCAATTAGAGATAGGGTGATGCCAAGAACTCCGTCAAGGAGTGTGGCACGGAGCCCGGGGGCAATGGGGTAGAGCGTCATGGCTGGGCGACTTGGCAAGAAATTGTACGTCTTCAATTGGCTGCTGTGATATGATCAACATCTGCAAATATAGAGACCCTGGGAGACAGATTACCATTTTGGGAATTCCCCCTCTCGTGACTGACTCAACATCATACAACCCCGGTGACTACCCCGGTGACTACCCTCCGCCGACTCATCTCATCACTGCCATTTACTCCCCCGGGAGAGATTTCAATTCTCAGTATCAGTACCGTCCCTACATGCACGCACATCTCATTATGAGTCTTGGTTTGCAAGTCACCTTAGCCTCCCAGGCACCAGGCATCGAAACACAAGCAATCGCGTTACCTATCGCCGTTTCCGTCCACAATACTGCAGAAAGTCCCGTCACAATTCTCAGATGGAATTCCCCATTAGATCCCCAAGCAGGCGTGCTGGGCGTCTTTGAGGTCTCTGACGTGACGGATCAACGAACACTCCCAATTCCAAAAATCATGGTCTCACGCAAACTCCCTGCTTCCGAGGAAGACCTCGTGGAAATCAAGGCGAATGAGAAACTCGAATTTGTTGTCAACTTGCCGATTCCCGAATTTGAAGAAGGACATCAATACTCTGTTCGCGCTCAAGGTACATGGCATGCGGTGTGGCCAACCGAGCTATCAAATGTCACTCCGTCTCAACTTCAAGATCATGGGGATGCAAAGCGTGGGGAATTTCTCTCTAATACTTTGTCCTTCAACTTTGATTAAGTCATGGCCACGTGAAAGGGAAGGTAACTGTGGGGGGTACTGTTCACTCTAAAGCATCTATAACAAAACAAGATGGCCTTGATAAAAAGACCAGTTTGAGCAAAAGTCGAACCGCAATGTACTTTTGAAAGAGTGGTACCTCCCATCTTGGACTTGCATAATACAGACTCATACTTTGTTTTATCACATGAGACCAAAGTAGTACTTGGGTAATACACATCTCTGCGTCAACGGCCCCGGGAGTGCGACAAGCAGCGGATACCAGCCGAGACTTTTTTCGAATGTAATTCAACCACCCTGCATGTGCTATTTAGGGTCTGATGATTCTCGCTGCAATACTTCCCCGAGGAACTATCTCCCAATCCCACCCAGAGGAACTTCGCAATCATCGATCCTAGCATTTCACAACTAAGATGCCCACTCGACATGTACCAAACCCAAAGGCAGATGCCAAGAAAGTTTTCAAGGTCTTAAAAGACGGCGGAATAGCTATCATTCCCATGAATGTAGGCTATGGAATCATTGCGACCGATCCAGCCGCATTGGACTGCATTATTGATGCAAAAAGACGCAAGCCACATAAGCGCCATGCAATTATCGGCAGTTACTCTCTACATTGTGAGCTTCATATTCTTCCACCCCGAGAAGCCAGTATCGTCAAGCTGTTGACAGTGGACTTGGACCTTCCCATTGGTGTTGTAGCACCATACCGCCATGATCACCCCATGATCCAACGACTAGCTCCTGATCACCTGGATCGAACTGTTTTGGATGAGACTCTGGCAATTCTGGTGAACGCAGGTGAGCTAGCTGAAGAGGTATCTCGACTTGCTTCAATTGAAGAACTGGTGGTGATGGGTTCCTCTGCCAATATCACAGGCAAGGGAGCGAAAATTGTGGTTGATGACATTGAGGCCGAAATTTTGAAGGTGGCTGATATCGTGATCGATTACGGGAAACAGAAGTTTCACCATCCTCGAGCTTCATCTACCATGATTGACTTTAGAAAAATAGATGTTTTGCGCTGCGGGGCTTGTTACGACGTTATACAAGATTCCCTGTGGCGATTCTGTGGTATCAAGCTACCTGATGATCCCCAAGATCCGGTGAATATCTCGGGTGGTACTTCCGTGAGGTGAGGGAAACACAAAAAGAAAGAAACTATCAGTTGCAATTACTGGGCAGATTGCAGTGTATGAGAGATACAAGAAGGGTCAGTGAGAAGGAATCAATTAGAACAAGCACAAACTGTCTTTGTCTTTCGACGCAGAGAGAGAGTTGATCCCTTCGAAGCCCCGCTAATGATTGTAGATAATGAAGGAATAACTAGGGGGGGTGAACCTCACAACGTAAGTGATATTTGCTACAGTGAGAGCACCAGCAGCAGATCTCTAGATTGGAGAACGAAGCTTCATTGTTATGAGTCTACGATTTCCCGAGGTCTGCAATACGATCCTTACACTCAAAAAGTTAAAATGAAAATTTAGGCACCGAATTTCGCTTTTCCGATTCGTGAATAAATGAAGGTAGCGATTGAATTGGGAATTTAGACTGAATAAGGTGTCCTAAGTTTACTCGACACCAAATGGACATGCTCATTGCAGTCTAGCAAGACAAGACCAAGACCACCCATTTCATTCCTTGGACATTTTGAACACAAACCAAAAATTCGATAGAGATACCCCTTGACTAATCTCACCAGTCAAAGGTAGCTGACGGTCAAACTATTTTCTGTAACCGATGAGGTGGTCAAAATCTTGTCCTGGTAAATTTCCATTACAACGCCACGCGACGGACCAAACAAGTTCCCACCAGCGGAAGCAACTGCATCGGTGAATACCACAGTACCGAAGTTGCAGAAGGGAGCCAGTCCACCATTCACCGAAAAGTCTTCGACTATCCATTCCGCGTTGAACTCACAAAGATTGGCCCCAATTGCGTGTGGGAACTGTTCTGTCACCGTTTTACCAGTAGATCTGTTCTCGATGATAGCAGTGCCGGAGCTTAACGAAGTAGCGTCAACCGTTATTTTGACCACATCTCCAGTTGAGATTTTGATATCAGTGAAGTCGTGGGCGTAGTCTGGGAACCATTCATACCAAGCACTAGACGAAACAACACCGCCTTGCACACAGATATCAACACCGGTTTGAATAATTGCTGTATTGCAAGTATCACCATCGATGCCAACCCATGCTGAAGCACAGTAGGATGTGGTGTCATCGGCTCCACTGGGAGGCCTGGGAACAGGAACTGTGATCTCGCCGGTGACATGATTGTATCCGTTACCAATGAGCACCGCACCGGCCCAATTTGAACTGTACTCTTCATTTGTTGTCCCATTGACGTAGAGTACCTCTGCGGTGCCGGGCTTTAGGGGTCGGCTGCTGCCACGACCGAGAGCTCTGTTTGCTTGTCGACGAGCATGGAGTGCCTGTCGCTGAGCCGTGAGAGGTGCCGCCAACACTGACGCACTGAAAAGTAAAACACCAATGACTGTTGCAAAATACTTCATGGTGGAATGTGGGAAAATGACTCCGGTAATAGAACTGTTCAAGAAGTTGGAGATTGTGAAGATACGAGGATTGAAGGGAATTCGCCGTTGTTATGTACTTCACACTATTGACATCTGAATCATTCTAGCAGTGCGTCATTCAATCACAAGAGCTACAAAAGTGACAGCCAGTGCAACAACATTGACTTTTGAGTATAAAACTCAAAGCACGTATGATTGCACGTGCATGGCTACACTGTCTCAGTCCGATGACTATCATCTAATTCCCATTTAGAGCTCACTTCAGATAGTTACAATTGGTGATCTGAGCTCGGCATGTCGCATCGAGTCTGGGCCTTTCACGATTCTGGATATCTACCGAGCTAAGCACATGCAGGTCAAATGGCTTCCTATCCATATTCAGCATAATTAGGCCTTTTAATGACAAGCCGAGTCCTTAGTACTATGTTCACGGAGTTAATTAGCGGAAGAGCAAACGTCTCACCCGAGTGGTAAGCGAACTTTACTAAGCAGTATTACGCATCATAGGGCTAGTGTTGCTATGGGTCCTCAAAAAATTCCACTGTCTGCATAACATTATCTATCTAATATCCAAGGAAAGAAGGCTTCAATATCAAGAATGGACAGAAGGCGAAGGTGACGTAGGGGTTATTTGCTCAATATCAAATCGCAAATGAAGGCAATGATACGCGACCCAAGTCTGAATCCTTTCGATACGGTGCGTCCCTCGTGGGAAGGCACCCAGGACAAGATACGCCGCGCTCTTTCCTAGCCGTGTCCCCAAAATCTCTTGATATCGCCGTGTGTTGTGGTGCCAAGTCAATGGGAGGCTTTGATTGGAAAATGAAATGCCATGCTGTTCGTAAATAATATCCTTGACGTATGGAAATGTCTGCACATTCACCACGTTCACGAAGTAGACATGTTTGAGGTCGTTGATATCGAAATCCATCTTATACTGGGCAAGAACAATCTCGGACCAGTTATGTCCATGATAGCGCCAAATGTTGTCACCAATTATCACGCCCTTGGTGGTGTAGTTTCCATACTCAGTAAACCTGCGATGGCCTTCGCGATCAATTCCGTGTCGTCGAAGCCATATATGGCGGTACACGGCACCTTTAGAAAACCCTAGACAGTCAAGATCTCTTGCAATATCACTGGGCGGCTCAGACCACTTACGTATGTCGACTCTGTATCTGTCCTTCTTGAGAGGGGCCCAGATAACTTCTTGGAAAGTCAGTGGTGAGATGCCCACTTCGCATCCTGGTGCATTGGGGTTGTCAATCCATTCGACCAATTTCTCTCCGTCCTGCCGGAATCTTTCAATGACATTTGGATCATCAATGTTAACCTCGTCGAATTCCTTTGCCCAATGGAGTTTACTTATTTCACTCGACTGACTTGGGCCACTGGAGACAGATTGCGGATGAACCGGCCGTTCGGGCCAATTTGGATCAACACGCTGCTTTTTTCGTGGAGCATTGGTGTGACCCCCATCGGTCAGCGTGTGTTTTCTCATGGTTGGACTCGAATATTGGAAGAGCTTGGTAATTGCGTGGATCTCGGGAGCAGGTTCGGGTTTTGGAGAGACTAAAGAAACCTTGGATTGTTGCTCAGGTGAACTGTTGAATCTTCTAACGTTTGTTTTTGTCTCAAGTGTCAAGGCTCACTTGGGCAATTCTATGATGGTGAGAAGGATAATAATTGACTCAATATTCCAAGGAGCTTCCAACATGGTCCTTATATACCAGAACTTAGCCCACGGTCAATACATACTCGAGATCGTCTTGTTGAAAACATGTAAGAGACGAGTTCAAAGCCCTAACAATTGCCGACAATGATGTTTGAACACGAAAATCAGAACAATGGCCTTGCAGGTCATGGAAGAAGTTTGAAAGCAGGAACAAAGAAACAAAGGCCATGTGAAAGACAAACCCCCATCTTCTTTTTCTTGCTCACAAGCCGTTTTGAAAGCCAAGTCGCGGTATTCTGCCCATCTGAGATACACCAACTGACGGGCCCTTCCACACTCATTGGAGGTTAATGTTGTCCATAGGTACTACTTTATGAGCTAGTAACCATGGCAGCACTTCCATATACTCCGTACGCGGAACGATGTCCTAGAGGGTTTCCATGTCCCTCAGAAAGCTGCACAAGTCGAAGTGAAATAAACGAACTAAAAGTCTCATCATAACTGTCTCATAAATTCGAGATTTCCGATTGTGACAAGTTTGACTGAGAGAGGAAAAAAAAAAAAACACTGGGGGGGGGGGGGACTCCCACGTCCCTGTGTATGGATGGAAGTCTCCACACACCGCTTTTGACTCAACTTCAACGCCGCGGCAATGTTTCACCTACATAGAAACTCTGCACGACATTTGATCGTCGATCTCGCCACATCTAACAGACCCAATCGGGCCCAGGCTGGGCCCAGGCCAACGTAATCCTGGATCCCCAGCATGCCTCACAAGCCCACGGCCCCGATCCCGGGGCCGCAGCCGCAGCCTTAGCCTTGGACGTCGATCACCCGCCCAATGACATAGAGTTCGACTCCTGGGGATCCTTCATAAGCGAGATCCCCGACTCCCAAGAGCAAGCAGCCGCCCCACAATCAGCAGAGCAGGGCCCGCCAAGACCGCGCATTGATAATCATGCAGGCCAGCCCACTAGAGCGGATCAGCCCGCAGTCCCGCAGTGGCCATATGCAGAGTTACTCTCGCGTCCTATGGAAATCCACCCACCAAAACCTCCAGTCTCTTCTGATACTTTCAAGACGCATATCACGCCTACACTTTCTATGTTGACGGAACGTCTCAAGCCTGTCAGAACTTTTAATCCGACGTATCAGACTCGGTCTCTCGATTCGTTGGAACGGGGGGTTTTGGTTCGTGCATTTTGAGATTACGGATTCAAACCAGAGTGAGCGAGTCGGTTTGGGAGACTCTGATGCTGCATTGCCTATCTGGCCTTCTTCTGTTTTTGGAGGCTTTTGGTCTTTTCTTTCTGACTTTATTGGGAAGGATGGTCGAGCGGGATGGGGTGTGTGGTGTATCCTCGAGCGAGATGGAGAAGCACGTTCATGTCAGGTCACATTGAAGATTTATGCTTGGGGGAGATTGCTATGCATGTTTATCTTCTTTTGTTCCTGGCGAGCGAGCGGCGCATCCGAGGGATGGGGGCTCAATGGAGGGATTCGCAAGAGAAAGTTGTTATCCAGATGCCGTGAAGATCCATGGCGTTTCGTGTTGTTGCGGTTGGGAGCAAGTCTTCTGGGAAAAATATTCGCGCTCTGATGGTTTATCGTGGTGATTTTAGCATATACCCAGGCAGCAATGTTATTCATTTAATTTTGTTTTGTTTTTTTTAATTCTTCAATTTGATATTTTGATAGAAAAATGGATATTGTACATGCTTGTAAGAAGATCAAAAGAAAGCCCGTCTGGAAAAATAACGATCAAAAGTAAAATGAAATCGGTCTTCAGAGATCCTGAAAAGATTGAAGTCTGTGAAAGCAAGGAGCCATTTGTTCCCCGATAATCCAGGTACGCCGTGTCGCCAGAGTTGGAAAAAAGCAAAATGATAAGAAGGAAGGACACGAAAGAAAACAGAAAAGAGAAAACAACAAGGCAGAAAGCTCAAATGGTGCAGTGGATGACATGGAGCTAGTAATTCAGCTCGCCGCCGCCCGCGCCGTCGACCGCATCGAGATCTTCGTAACTCTTCAGGCTGCGGCCCTGAACAGCCTCACGGGGAGGCATGGGCCCGCCGTTCGGACCCATAGAATCAGGGAATGGATTGGGAGCAACCATGCCAGCGGCGGGATGGCCGGCAGGAACACTGACAGCGGGTGGTGCGCGGCCCCATGAACCCGGCATGCCGCGGGGAGGACTCAATCGGCCGTTGCCGTTGAAGCGACGGCGATCATAGGGGCCAGGTCGGTTGTTGCGGTTTTGACCGCGTCGCATGGGTCCTGGCTGGTGCAGGCCACCGTCGTGGCCCATGCCGTTACCGTTCCAGTTCCCAGCAGGGCCGCCCATCATGGGCATTCCGCCCGGGGGAAGTGTGGCATTCCGCCGTTGGGACCATAAGGCATACCGGCCAGACTGAAACCACGAGGGGTGCCGCTGTGGCCTTGACCAGACCCAAGTGGGAAGTGACCGTTGCTGTTGGCGTCAGACCGGGATGGGGCAATGCGCGCCGGATCGAGGACGTAGGCATTGACAAGATGGAGCTGCCATGTGGGTTAGTACTGAGAGTGAGATGGACGGAGGTGGTTGTAAACTTACGTCATTCTTGATTTGCTCATACCACTCCCCGTGGCGTTTCTCGACGTGCTTGCGCCAGAAAGCTTCGGCTTTGAAAAGTTTGGTGCATTCAGGGGCCTTGCAGCGGTACTTGGAGTCATCTTCTTGCTTCATGTACTTCAGAAGTTCATCCTCCACTGCTTGGTCGACGGGCTTCCCGCCAATCTTGATGAGGTCGACATTCTCAGGCTCCAAGATCTGAAGCAGTTTGTCCTCGAAGGTCTTGACCCAGTTGAAGGCACGCTGCATTTGCTGCTCGGATTTGGAGACATGGCGCTGGCCGCGCTTCTCCCGAACAGGCGAGGAGGGGTCTTCCCCTTCCTCGCTGGGTTCCTTTTGCTTTGAGGGGAAAGGCTGACCAAGAGCACTAGCTCGAGCGACTTCCTTGGCCTGGCTGGAGAGACCGGTACGTGGGCGACGCAAGTGTCCACCTGGGCACTTGCGACCAAGCTCGTGGACAGAGTCACTCTCGAAGACACAGAAGAAGCAAAAGTTGTAAACCCGTCGTAGGTACTCGACGATCAAGTCAAGCTTCTTTTTCTTCACAGCAAGTTCTTCGTCATCAACCTCTTCGTAGTCAGCGGGCTCCTTCTCCTCGCCTTCTTCGATCTCGCCTTCGTCATCTCCGTCTTCATATCCGTTATTTTGCTTCTTGGCGCTGACTGGGCCCGTGGCAGGAGGCTGGAGCTCGCCTTTGCCGCGCAAGTCATCAACATATTCCTCGATTGTGGTAATTCCATCCACATTTTCACCCATCTCAGAGTCCAACTTGGAAGCAAGACGCTTGGCGAGCTCAAGGTCACGATCAATACGTTCGGGCGCAGAGAACAGATCCCAGAGAGCCTTCTTGCGAGGCTGGACAGGGGGAACATGCACACCAACGTGGCAAACAAAGTCACCGTGGACAGAATCATGAATTGTCTTGTCATTGACGGCCTCCAGAGCCTTTTCGGCAGTACTAATGGTGGTGCCGCCGTTCACACTGGTTCGTTCGGCATCGTCAAATTCTTCCTCACGTCCATCTCCTCGTTCGACGACAGTGGTCTCAGTGGACGGATGCAGCATGATCCAACCCATGCGATGGAACTTCTTAGATGGGTTTGGGTCACTGAGACTCAGTCCCTTGAATCCGCCATCCTCCTCGCCAAGGTGCTCGCGGCAGAACTCTTCGATTTTGCTTCGGCTGACATTGGGCGCAAGAGTCTTGATGAGAAGGGCTGGCTGGGATAAGGCCTCGTCGCGGAGATCACCACCGCGGACTGGCAGAAGATCGAGAACTCCCATGGTCTCGGCGGCTGCTGTGGTCTCACCCTCTTCTTTTTCAACGACACCACCAGCACCATCACTGTCGCTCTTGTAGATTCCTTCGAGTGTGAAGTCTCTGAAGACCTGGTTTTCAATATCGCGCTGCCATTGTTCATATGCGCCCTGGCGAACAGCGATGAGACGGCTGCGAAGAGGATCGCGAACCTCGGGAACGTATCGCTCCTTGAACCACTCTTCTTGGCGGTGCTGGTTCACAAAGAGTCTTGCCAATCTAACTTGCAAGTCCATCTTGTATGTGTCATAAGCGGCCTGGATTTGCGCGCGCTCCTTGTCGCGATCCTCACGGGCTTCGCGCTCACCCTTTACTCGTCGTCCGCCATTCCTGGCGCGCTCTTTTTCTTCATTCACAGATTGTTCGAATCGCCACCATTCGGCGAACCAATTGAAGCCAACTTGGAAGTCGAGCGAGAGGGGATTGGGGAGAGGGTTGGAGGGAAGAGGGCGTTTGCCGCCACCCAGATCTTGTCCAGGTACATAGCGGTCAATGTTGGCTACATTGGGAGAGGGAGCGCGTCGGCGGTCCTCGCGCTCACGGGCCGCATGTTCCCGGGAGTTGTTGTAGTGGTCCTCTCTGTGGGGGCGGCGGTCGGAAGGTTCCCAACGGTCAATCACGGGAGAACGGGAGCGTGGCCGGGCGCGTCGTCGGTCCTGAGAAGCTGATTGGAGTTAGCAGGCTGCCACGCGGGAGGGGAGGGCAGCGAGTCTAATCACTTACCTGGCGAGCGACGTCTGTATGCTTCAACGGGGGTTCGGCCTGCGAAGGAATCCGGCTCACGGCCCCTTCCGGGCGATCCATAACCATCATAGGAATCCATTGTTCCGGGTAAACCAAGCTTGAGCGTCTTCGACAGCCTGTGCGGCGAGAGAATCTCAAAGTGGGTCCAGGAACTCGGCGCAGGCGGGTAGGAAGAAAGAGCAGGCTGCAACGATCCGAGAGGTAGGAAGCACGAGATCGACTAGATCGACTAAGGGTTGATATCGTCAATATCAGATCAAGAAACTTCATAGGGCGTGATAGCGATAGCGGTTGGGAAAGGTCAAGAAGAACAGAGAAATGGGTTCGGGGCAAAGAGAGAAACAAGACCACGCTGCGGGCGACATGAGGACCTTGCGCTGAGCAAGGATGGATTCATGGTCGCAGCGGGAGGGTCGATATAGAAAGAGAGAAGATGAAGACGGCAGGAAAGCCAGTGCTGTGAAGCGTTCAAAGATAAAGCCTCAGCCACGCGCCAAGGGAAGAGCAGGGGGGGATTGAAAAAGCAGTGTCAAGAGTGGCTAATCGGAAGAGGGGCACAGAAAGATAAAATAGAGCCACCTACAAGAAGCCTCAAGCGGCGAAGGTTGTTCGATGAGAGAGAGAAAGAGACGAGGAGGTGAAGAGAGCTGGAGAAAGCTGGGCGGTTCCAAAAAGGGTATGGCGTCACGGGGATAGCTGGTGGCGGGTGATTGGCCCGCAGCATCCCAAACTGACACTTCCCCTGAAACACCTTTTGAGACCTTTGGGGATATCAGAAACAGGACAGAGTAGGATGAAGGATGAGAGAAGAAAAGGTCGGGAGAGAATACTCAGAGAACTCGGGAGTCAGAGAGTTGTTGAGAAGAAAGAAAGAAACGATGTAGGTCGAAGGGGAGTCTGGTTCCTAGCTAGTTCCTTTAGTATCTCTCATATCCTTGGAAGACGCAATTATCCGGAAATCCTCTCGTGAACACTTTGCTCATTCTCTGCTCCAGTGCTGTACTACCCTTGCCCCAGATGGTCAGTCATTCTGGTATCTGTTTATTCCTCTTGGGAAGACGGAGCCAGCAAACAGACTGCATCCATTGGGTCCGAACTAGCTTATACCCAGTGCTCTATGATGATCTCCGGCTTTGTATCATTGGCCCCGTAAATGGACGCTTTTTGACTTCAAACCCTACTACCCCGTACTTTGTACTTCAACATCGATCAAGTGCCATGCAGCCTTCAAACAAGATCCATCGTGGCTAATGGCCCTTGGCACTTCTCCAGGCACTTGACCAAAGTGGAGAGATATTGATTGGAGGTTCCTGCATACGCCCATACATCTCCGGGGCTGGGTACCGAGATCGATAAATAAACTTCAAAGATCGCACCTATGAAATATGCCTACCGTTCAGTTGTGGGGTTGTCGGGCCATCAAGTCTACGGGGCCAGTACTCCGTAGTTAGGTGTTTATGCTAGCTTTGACTTGGCGTATGATGCCCAAGCACTCTAGGGCTGGAAATACAGAGTAAGGTCATTAAAATTGTTGTTCACAAATTGAAAGCGCAAAACAAGACCGTCTGGCAATTGTTGTTCCAAGATTTTGGTATAAGGCGCAAACGATAGTACAGTTCCAAGGTTTGTTTGTCCACTGGGCCCTTTTGATTTCCAGATTTCTCAAGCTAACAATTCACAGTTAAAATGGCTCCGTGGTGATGTGGCTAATTTCCTTATGGGATTCAGATGTAGGACCTCGGAAAGACATCCAAAGAACACACCTGGCTTGGGTGACAGAGTTCGGAATGTCTACTCTGAGGAGTAGACATGATTATGATGTAATTAAGTGATTTTACAGTCCAACAGAGAATATGAACCTCCAGGGATGGAGTACATTCAAAGTTATTGGGTCGTCTTCTTTCAACAGCTCATTGTATACGCGCTGTGACGCACAAACACCAAACCTTGGAAGCGAAACAGACAAAACCGGAGCATACTAGGTACAACCTTGGAAACAGACAATTCCCACCAAAAGTTCAAACCCTTTGCATGTAGCAGACCCTTCACAAGAAACACCCGACATGACGATTCAAATCCCAACCTTAAACAAAGAGCGCATCACAAAAGGCGGACCAACCCACAAGCTAATTGGCCCACCGCCCTCATCACCACACAACGCGTCTCCCTTCACCTTACGGAGTAGAGCTACCCACATGGCAGGCCTCCTCAATTCACGCTGGGCACCTGGCGCGCCAGGCGCACCATCAGAAAGATTCCAAAGATCCCATCCACGGCCCCAACCAAGTGGGAGCGTTCGGCTTGCCCCACCAGGCAGCCTACTGCCGCCAGCCGAAGAGCTATCGCGATTCATGAAGATTGTCGCGAGGCTACGATGGAAGCTTCCATTTCTGGCTGAGGGTTATCGACTCGCGACAGCAACCGGAGACCAAATGCCGGATGAAGTGGCGCATGCCGAGATTATGTTCAAGATCGATTTCCACGAATATTACGCGCTTCTGGAGCGCGCGATTGTGCATTTGCTTGCTGTTTTCAATATTGCTGTTACCTCATCGCGGGCGCCGTTTACGGCGAATGCGAATGCGAATGGATATGGACATGGAAACGGTCAGTCGGTCGGTGTTCATCGGTACCATGCCAATGTGCTCGAGGCGCTGCGGGAACAGACGACGCCTCTCTCGCCTGTTCTTGGCAGTGGGTCGGTCTATCTTCAGCTGCAGAAGGCCAAAGAGCTGCGCAATAGATGGAAGACGGCAGATTTGACTAAAGAGGAGAGGGAGAGGCATGGGGAGCGCTCGGATATTGTCCGGCTGGCGGACTTTGATTTCGAGGGCATTCTGTCGGGGATCTTTGGGGGCTTGGAAGAGTCATATGTCAGGGCAAAGGATCACGTCGATAAATGCGTACGTCCGGATGATTTACCTGGCCAAACGAACACCGAGGCAGATTGGGGATTCATGGTCGATGCTATGGACTGGGAGGCCGTATGACCAATGGCGATTTCGAATTTTATGAACCGTCTGCTGCTGGCGGCAGGTGGTGGCCATTTGGAGTGTGTGTTACGATGGGACTCTTGGACCTCAAGACCCTTTGAACTCCACTGCTCTCGCTGGTTTACTCAGCTGCATGGCCATTATACGGTGACTTGGCCGACGAGTCCACTCCACTCCAGAGGCCCTGTCCTGTCTGCCCTGCCACTCCCGATCGCCATATACCCAGCACTAAAGAGCATCTGCGGGAGACTGGACCATCCCCAGAACAACAGCTCCGGTGACTGTTCGTGCGAGTAGGCAATATGTCGACGCCGACGTCGTTACGAAACTCGTCCACAGAACCGAGCTCCATCCTCCGAGTCTCCCATCCTCAGGTCGAGTGCCAACAGACTGATTGTGTCCATGTGGAATTCTTTTTCCCATTCGAATCAAGGCTTTGGGCCGACGGGCATAGACTAGCGCACCTCATTATACAAGTTTGCAATGCAGTATAGCAAGGACTCGATTACTACGAATAAATTTCAACTAAGCAAAGGCCAGCCCCGGGCCCCTAAGCCATCCTACGACACGAAAGCATCTGGCACCAAAATGAGAAAAAGCATAAGTTGCGCATTGTAAAATCAGCAGTATATCCATAGTTCAATAATCTACAATCCAAATTCTCCCCATCCCAGAACCATCCTAACTGTGAGAAAGGACCATGAAAGAAAAACAAATACTCAAATTCAGATGCTCATAACAAACCAGTCTTCCGAAACCCGATTCCCGATTCCCGAATCTGTTTTTCCAGTGATGGAGACCCTCTCTAAGATTCCCAGCCGAAGACCCATAAACCCGCAACACGAGACACCAAAGAAAGAAGGAAAAGAAAGTTCAAAAATGTTCATGATAATATCATCAATGCCGGATTGGCTCAGAGACACAGGGGAAGCATCAGAGAAAGCATTGCAGGGGTCGCAGTTGTGGAAAGTACGAACGGGGTATGACCAGAGATTGGAAGGCCTACCTCTCGCCACTGGTTATCTTGAAAGGTGTGGATGCTCCAGCACATTCTTGAACACCTGCATAAACCCATCATGAAAGCGGAAACGACGTGTAAGACTGACAATAGGGGGAATGAAGAAGAAAGAAAAAGAAAAAGAAAAAGAAATCGTCCCAGCATAGCGGTTATAAACAGACATCAGGGGCAATGAAGAATGAAGAATGGAAGAGAAGAAAAAACATCCAAGGGCATAGAAAGAGGGATCCATACACATCGCTCGCTAGAGAAAAGGTCCAAGACATCCATCCATAAAGCCGTCACGACAAAAGAAAAACAAAGGAAAAATTCACTCATCGCCATCTGAAGATGACTCTGGTGGTGGATGGTGGCAACATGTTCAACCATCCTCATCTGAGGGCTCAGCGGAGTCTTGCTCGCTCAGGTCGGCGCTGGGAGCGACTTTCGACTTCTTCGAGTTCACTCCATCATCATGAACTTCACTCGACTTGCGCTTCTGTCCAGCACCGTTCTCGGTTGGCAGGGGCTTGCTGAGATCCTCAAATGTGACGGGCTGTCCCGTGACCTCCGCGCGCTTATCCATGGCGGCAACCTCATCTGCAGTCAGGAAACGTCCACCAGGGCCACGAGGTCTGCGCATGGCGTGGTTGTGTCGTGACTCGTGCAGGTAAGGCTTGCGACCCTTGGATGTTAGGCGCAGCTGCTCTTCGAGCTTCTGGCGTGCTACGCGACGCTTCAGAATGCGGTGGAATTGCTTGGCATTGACATATAGAGGGGACTCCTCTTGATTGCCGCCGGGGACCATGTCCGGCGAGGACTGGCTCTGTTGTATAGGTGCCTGAGGAAGTGGCGGGGCTGCGATTGAGGGCCGTCCGACGTGGTTCATGACGGGCTGTGCGCTTTGAACATTGGGGCTACCGACATGGCTCATGCGACGCTGGGGCATTTGCTGATTTGGTTGCATCTGAACCTGAGAACCCATCGGGGGCATCTGACTTTGCATCTGCGGTGGGGAGCGAGGGTTGCGATCCGCCTTCATCTGCATGTTGGCCATTCGAGGTGAGCCTCGGGGTCCCGGCGCCATCTGTCCGCCCATAGAGTCCTGGTGAAGAGGGTAGAATTGTCCAGATGCAGCAGCGGTGGCCATTGCGGCAGCCTGCGTTGGTGAGATACCATAGCCCTGCGCCATCGGCGCAGGTACGCCATAACCTTGAGGGAAGTTCATTTGCTGGTGCACGGCACCGGGGCCATTCTGTGCTGGCTGGTAATGCGGTTGCGACGGGACGATCGGTGATGTTTGATGAGCGGAATGAGGTTGAATTGGTGCCTGTGCATTGGTAGGCGATGCCATCGACCCGACGGGAGCACCGGCGTTTGATGCGCCAGCTTGGTAGGGACCCGGGATATGAGAAGATGCGTGCGGATGTTGCCCATGGGGCTGCTGGTACTGAGGAGGGTACTCCATGACGTGCGACGGTGGATCTTGTCACACAACGTGCGGCACGGTTTCAGGGGAACGTTCTGGTGTGACGATCGACTAAAGGACAATCGCCAATCAGATCAAGGAGATTGACCTGGCGTGGGAGGTTCGAATAGAGTAAAGTTCGCGGCGACGTCTGTTTGGTAGATAGATGGGTATGATATCCCAGGGCGCGCGTAATGAGGGACAGAGTCACCACAAGCGTAGAAGAGACGGGAAATGATTCGACAAGATAGGCTGCAGGCTAGGGACTTCGCGTCAGCAGAGCGCATCGCCGGGCGGTCACTGGGTTTCAGGGTGGGGGTGATGGGGAACGGAGACACAGGGACCAGGCACATACCTTAAACTGTAGGCGCGCACTGTGAACAGCCAATATAAATGCGGTGTTTTGCCAGAAGAAACTCTGAGGTCTGTTTGGCGAGAATAATGTCAAACGCCCCGCGGAGGGTTTGGCTCTTTTGTGCAAAACCGTCAACACCCACAGTCGGGTGGGACGTGGTTGGGCTGTGATGCAGCGGTGGCCCCTCAACTAGATGCCGGCTTGATGCGTTGGCAACAGGACCTGCCAGGTGTGGAGGCTACGCAAACTAAGTCAAGCACGGTCGGCAGGCTGCCTCATTCACGCAATTCGGGTGTCCTGCCACGTCTATACAGACTGAGGCGGTGCGTTGATGTCAGAATGCGCCTCTTGAGGCCAGACTATCCATTATTAGCATGGATCCCATTTCACCAATCACCGGGATGTGCCAATGACCAATGCGCTGTCCGGAAGAGCTGAGGGGGGTTGAGCAGATCCGGGGCGGGTAAGACCGGTCATGGTTGGGGGGGCAATGTGTGCGTTGGCAGACTAGAGATGCATGAAACATACCTGATAGACTTCTGCAGAAGTAAGAAGATTTGAGGCGAGACTAGTCAAAGCGAGGGAGCGAATCACTTGCGACTATCAAAGGTTAGATGGGACAGCCCACGAGGGAGATGATGTAAACAGCAGGGACGCGTGTGGATTGGGAATAAACAGCCAACGCGCATAGAAAGAGAGAGCCAATGAGGAAAGATAAACAAGCACGAGAATGTGTAGACGCGTTGTTATGTCAGATAAGACACGCGTGGGAAGCTTTTTACCTTAGTTAGAGATTATCAGAAGATAATCTCCGGTTCAAGCAATCAAGGGATCCCAGGGTAGACGATGATTTGACAAGACTTTGAGGGGGAGGGGGGAGATCGAGGAATCGTGCCAACGAGAGGGAAGGCGGTGGTTCTGTGCGCAACCGGAGCCACTGATGTCAAGCGGCCGGACAGTTCCGACAGGTATTTTCAATGTACAAAGTTGTGTATGGCATAAGGTAAAAAAAGACAACATAAACAGAATAGTAAAGAAATGGGAAATGATACAACAAAGTGTTTATATATAGAAAAAAAGAAATGAAGACAAAAAGCAAGAAAAGACGAAGCAGATCACCTCAAGAGAGAGATATAGCACCCAAAAGGGAAAGGCTAATAGCGATAAAAAGCAGAAGTGTAAAGTAAAAGGCACTTACAGATTGCAGCTTGGTTTCACCAATGACGATAAAAGGGGGGAGTACTGTGCGATGGTTGGAGGAGGAACTGGAGAGGGCGGGCAACCAACGAGAAGAGGCAGAAGGAAGAAAGGCGAGGAAAAAGGGCGGATGGGGCAGTTTTGTAGGAGATTGACTGGCCCGCCGTCTGGAGACCGCCTTGCTCCCCGCTGCTAAGACCGCCTTTTCTGCGATTTTACCGTTTCGTACAATCAATTACACTACATTACACCTGTTTGTTCCGTATTACACCCCTCTCACTGGTCCTTCCCCTAGTCAACTCCCCCAATCGGCCCCCATGGGTATTGGTATGACCGTACCCTTTCTGTACACGAATCCGGCACCTCCGGGCTCTCGTCATGTGTGACCCGACACTCTATGACGCATTCCTTTTGGGTCCTTTATACCCTTGGACCTGCCCTCGTATCTATACTCCGTCCATTATTCCCTGATACTTCTTTTGCGCTGGTTCACTTCCACTATAAACTAATGTTCAGTCTGCCTCGGATACGGAGTACTTGTATGCGCTATCACTCGCCTCATTTTAAAACCCCCCTTCTGGTTAATCCTCCATTTTCTTGACCATTATTTTTGACCTAATCCCCTTTCCGGTCTCGATGATTCTCCATTTCGTGCTTTTTCTATTTTCTTTTTCTCTGGTGGACAGTGGACACCGACTATCTCGGTCGTGTACCCTATTTGGGGAAGTATCATCCACATCATGTTGCTTTCTACCCATGATCCTTGCTTGAGCTCGTGTGTTCCGAACGAGCTTCTCAAATGGCTGCGTCAACTGGGGTCCGTTCTTCACGGTACTACGCCTGTCTCCACGCGTGGCAATGTGATGAGATGGATCGTTCCAGGACGATCCCCTCATCTACCCGGGCGGCAACATTGTAATTTGGGCGACTGTGACAAGTTTTTTCAGACACTGAATGTTGGCCGGGCGTCAGATGAAACCCGAGTGTAGAGCCCCTGAAGTCAATAGTTGGGCTGTGGTTATAGCTATCGCAGTAGAATCTTAATCCCTCCTTTCGCTAGTTACATCTTGTCAAGGCGTATGATAAACTCCGCTAGTACGGAGTAATTGCAAAGAGAATCGATAGCGAATTTGGTCTTAGCTACGGAGTACGGAGTAAGCGAAATAAGATAATTGCATCTCAGTGCTGTGTGATGAAATTCTAGACGAGTCAGGGCTGATCGACGTCAGCAAAGCCAAGCCACAATGATGCACCAATCCCATGGTACGGAGTAGATAGGAGGTGATTCTCACCCTCTTCATCCGCATTTATCCCATGGCCCTAGACTGACTTTTGATAACAATGAAGGTGTTCCAGATGATTGTTCCGTCCATGCTCAGCCAATCCCAGGGCAGGGAGTGGACGCTTGAGTCCTGGGGCGCCCCATTCCCCAGGGCCTGGAACTCAACACTCTGCTTTGGACCTGGTTGTTCAACCTACCATGGTTCGAATTATACATGGTTCTGTCAATTGAACCTACATATACTTTGCTTTTCTTCTCTTCTTCCCGACAATACTTTCAGAACCTCGAAAGTTTTAAGAGAGACGATTTCGGAGCCTCTTCGATCCCTCGGGATTTCAATCAAGGCTCCGGTAGGAGTGTGAATGGCCTAACTGAAAACCAGCGACTCACGGATCTAGCTTCAAATGGAATACCTTTGCTGAACAACTCCGAGACTTCGAGCTTGATGTCTTAACTTGAAGCCGTCCTGCAAATGATGGATATACGACTTCAACTCTCGCCACTCCAATCCATAGACAACGATTGCCCACGAGCGAGGTCGGAATTTAGATCAAGCGTCATAGCAGAGCACAATGGTTGCAGACGCGCAAACTCAAGCCTCAGAACGAACACACTTTACGCGAAGAGAAACAAAATTCCAGGTGGACATAGCAAATGCTCTGATATTCCATGGTTTTGACACGGCATTTCCCATGGCTTTGTCTCCTCGGCTGCAGTTTTAGCTGAGATAACTGTCACAGCTCTGGGGTAACTCTGGATTCTTCATATGACTCCACGGATGTAGGTATATCAGAACCAAACGATGTGGATTACATCTGCGATGCAGCTCAAGCTTCAAACGGCACAGATACTCGGCATGGCGAATGAGTCACTAATCAATATTGAAATGCTAGATCCTTGCATTGAATGTCTTTAGAATACGCATCCTGCGCTTCGATATCTGCAGTCTTGAAGACTATGTGAGACCTCTAGAAGCATTACCGTTTAATGTCAAGGCCGGGATGCCGTCGCTGGTGCTTTACGGTTATCATCTCGGCAATAACAATATCGTTTCCAGTATCAACCATGAACTGGTCTGTCTCAACTACATCTGAAGTTCGCACAAATTTCAGAACCATTTGGGGCCGTTGTCCTCCATAGCCGCGGCCCGCTACATCGCATTCGGCCCAAGGGAGTGACGTATCGTGTACCTCCAGCCAACATATCTTTGGAGAACTCTGCATATAGTATTGCAAGTCGTTGACACAAGTACTGTGTATCGGTAGAGTGCGACTAAATATGAAGTGGCGGTCGAAACAGTTCAGCTCACCGTAACTTCTCTCGAGCTGAAGCCCCACTCTGCGGTATTTCCAGGGTTCCTTTGAGATTTCTTTGCGCGAGTTTTCTCTTTTGTCTTTTCCAGGGGTTCAAGCTATTCGGCAAACCTGGGATACGCACTTCTGGGTTTTTTTTTAAGTTGAATGTTCTTGCTCTGTACTCCTAGATACGTTCTCCACGTGCTGGACTAGTCCACTTGGGTAGCTCCAATGGGCCATTCAGCGCAGGCGATGCATCCGATTTGCAGGGGTCCGATCTCCGGAACCCCACGTGTGAGCAGGTCCACGGGTCGCTTGGCCTCGGAACCATGGACTTCCGACTTCTATGTGAGATTCTGCCAGACAAAAGTTTGGTCTTGCGTTCCAAAGTTATATAAAACCTTGGAGGGGTAGGATTGAAATAGGAACCTTGGAGGTTGTTTTCACTGAGGTATACAAGAGCAATACCTAGGTAAGCGCCAAAGTTCCTTGCCCTCTTCTGACCAAGAATAAACCTACGCATGTACCTATGGAAGAGGCTTCTGGGGATAGTCGTCGCTCTGAATGACAGAATAACCTTGAAGGTTAAAGCGTAGCCCTGCAGCTATAGGCCATGAAATCCACCTGGAAATCCCAAGCCCTGGAGGTTTTACAAGGTCCTCGGCATGTTGTGCGAATCTTCGAGCCAGTGCTTCATGTCTAGTGATAGCCTCCTGGGGTCTTTTGCAGAATCTGTGGGATTTTCTTCATTTTTTACCCAGGTACGTGCGTTACCTACCTAATAGCCTCATGCTGAGCCGTGCGTGCTGTAGTGGATTCTGGGACTCCTGTCTCGTTGCCAGCGATATATATGTGCACGGTTGTAATCGCCTCAGTACAGATTCTTTACCACCCCCTCATATCTCTCGTCTACCCATGACCAAAAAGATACTGATCACACACGGTACGTGTCTTGGCTGTCGGGTATCTTCGATTTGCAGTACTAGGTGGAATTTACTAGCTATTTAAACGTGGCCGAGTGATGACGAAACATGCGGTAGGTGGTGCAAAGGGGGCTTTCAAAGCTTGAAAACAAGAGTACGGGCTTAAGAAGCTCCAGGGACGAAGACAAAGAAGTTTCAAATTTGAATCAGTCGAAAAGCTGGATTGGACGTTAAATGATCATACTGGAGAATAGACAAGTCGAGTGTTGACGAGAGTGTTTGTGTTGTTTGCCTTGATGTTTCTCACATGCATGAATCTCTCCAATAATGTGACTTATACACTCCGCACTCCTCAGTATCTAGAAAGCCCTCAAATCCTTGAATCAAATTCCAAACAAGATGCTCGTCTGACAATTTGTGTCTTGTGCAACAGGCTTTGGACCGTTATCCAAGCCTGGTCAAGGTTTGCGCGGCTGTGTAAGCAGGTACGCGATCTTTTTAAGGACGCATGGCCGATGAACTCAAAACATGTGTAGCCCTCAAGACTGGTTGACAGACGATGTGCGTGGTCCTGGCTTTTCAGACAATTGTAATGGATGTCACCGTCGCGCGTAGTGCTGTCTCCTTGCGGTGGAGCGGTGGAGCGCTTACTCATCATCTACCCGCCCCAAGCCTCCGGGGACTCATGTGGCTTTTCCGCATGTTGACTCGACAATCGCATCTTGCTCTCCTTTGTACTTGGAGAGAATCGATTTCGCGGCTGGTGTCTGTTGGTGGTCGATCCTGAAATCCTCCCAGTCCCAAGCTTCTCCGCGCACCGCAAAACCACCCCACAAGAAAACATTAGGGACGCAACATCAACATTCGTTCGACACATGACGTCTTTGTTGACATACGGTTTCGAGACTCAATTACAATCACGCTCAAACGGTCAGCGACCTGCTAACAGATAACAACGCGCTCGACTCTCTGCGACATCACTTCGAGTCGCGCTCCTTGCGGAGTTTGCGCATCGGTGTACCCCTGTCACCACTTGCGTCCCACCCCCGGACTCGGGTCCTTATACACCTACACCGTGGACAAGGCTACCCAGTTTATGGGGTAGAAAGCAAATATGGCTCCAGGCGGCGCTGGAAATATTAAGGTGGTGGTGCGAGTGCGGCCTTTCAACAGTCGAGGTGAGTCGATACCGCGGGAGGGGTTCTCCCTTGAACTGCATGCTAACCTTACTACCCTCGCATAGAAATCGAACGAAACGCAAAATGTATCGTGGCAATGAAAGGAAACCAGACCGTGCTCACCCCACCACCCGGCGCAGAGAATAAATCAAGCAAAGGCGGGAAGGCCGCTGGTGAAGGCAGCAAAACCTTCGCCTTTGACCGGTCATACTGGTCTTTCGACAAGAAGGCATCGAACTTCGCCGGCCAGGATGACTTGTTCGACGACCTAGGCTCACCACTCTTGGACAATGCTTTTGGAGGTTACAACAACTGTATCTTTGCCTATGGCCAGACCGGTTCGGGAAAGTCATATTCAATGATGGGTTATGGCAAAGAATACGGTGTGATTCCACGGATCTGCCAATCCATGTTCGAGCGAATCACGGCGATCCAGGCAGATAAGAATCTCAACTGCACTGTTGAGGTTTCCTACCTCGAAATCTACAATGAGCGAGTGCGCGATCTGCTCAACCCGTCAAATAAGGGTAACCTCAAAGTTCGTGAACATCCATCGACTGGACCCTATGTCGAGGACCTGGCAAAACTTGTCGTGGGGTCCTTCCCGGAAATCGAAAATCTCATGGACGAGGGTAATAAAGCCCGAACGGTGGCTGCGACCAACATGAACGAAACATCAAGTCGATCACATGCTGTGTTCACGTTAACATTGACCCAAAAGCGGCACGACAATGAGACTTCCATGGACACCGAAAAGGTATCTAAAATCAGTTTGGTCGATTTGGCTGGTTCAGAAAGAGCAAATTCGACTGGTGCCACAGGCGCGAGACTGAAGGAGGGTGCAGAGATCAATCGCTCACTTTCAACACTTGGTCGTGTCATCGCCGCGCTTGCTGATGTTTCAGCCGGGAAGACAGCGGCCGGCAAGAAGAAAAATGCCTCCATGGTACCTTATCGTGACTCTATCCTAACATGGCTGCTTAAAGATTCCCTGGGTGGTAACTCCATGACTTCCATGATTGCAGCCATCTCCCCTGCCGACATCAATTGGGAGGAAACCCTGGGTACGCTCCGATATGCCGACTCCGCCAAACGAATCAAGAACCATGCTGTGGTGAACGAAGACCCAAATGCACGCATGATTCGTGAGCTGAAGGAGGAACTCGCACAACTCCGTTCCAAACTTGGGGGTGGGGTAATACCTGGAGCAGGCGGCGCTGCAGGTCAACCGGGTGCTCCTGCAGAGGAGTATTATCCGCCTGACACCCCTCTGGAGAAGCAAATGGTCTCTATTCAACAGTCTGATGGAACTGTCACCAAAGTCAGCAAGGCAGAGATCGTCGAGCAACTAAACCAGAGCGAAAAGCTCTACAAAGATCTCAATCAGACCTGGGAAGAGAAGATGATAAACACCGAACAAATCCACAAAGAACGTGAGGCTGCCTTGGAGGAGTTGGGTATCAACATCGAGAAGGGTTTCATTGGATTGAGCACACCCAAGAAAATGCCCCATCTTGTCAACCTCAGTGATGATCCTCTCCTAGCAGAATGCTTGGTTTATAACATCAAGCCTGGCACCACCACTGTGGGGCACATGGATCAAGCTCAAAACGTCGAGATCAGGCTGAATGGGTCGAAGATCTTGGAAAAGCACTGCACCTTTGAGAACGTTGACAACATTGTTACCATTGTTCCCACGGAAGGAGCCGCGATCATGGTGAACGGTCTGCGCGTCGATAAACCCACTCGGCTTCGCAGTGGCCACCGCATCATCCTTGGCGATTTCCACATTTTCCGATTCAACCATCCCCAAGAAGCCCGAGCTGAGAGAGTGGAACAAAGTCTACTCCGCCACTCTGTAACGACAAGTCAGCTTGGGTCGCCGGCGCCAAACAAGACTCATGATCGGAATTTGAGTAAAACGGGATCTGAAGTGGACGGCGATTCAAGTCGGGCAGACTCACCGATGCCCTCGCAGCGTAGCCGCGAATCAGATTGGTTCTTGGCCCGCAGGGAAGCTGTGAGTGCGATGGTTGGACCAGACCAAATTTCGCATCTACCTGATGATGAACTAGACACACTCTTGGAGGATGTGCAGAAGGTCCGAGCGGGTCGTCGTGGGTTGCCGGATGAGGACGATTCCGACTCTCTTAGCTCTTTCCCGATTCGCGATAAATACATGTCCAACGGGACGATTGACAATCTTTCCCTAGACACAGCTATAACAATGCCAAGCACGCCTCGACAAAACGAGGACGAAGATGTCAACGGTGTTGCATCGTTGTTCCAAGCCCGTCAGGATATGCAGAGACAACTGGATCGCCGCAAAGAAGAATTCCAAGAGAAGCTCAAGAAGGTCGAGGCTTCGGTCGATCCAGATTCACCCGAATTAAGTACGGAGAAAGAGCGAATGGAACACGCTTTGCGAACGGCCAAAGAAGAGTTTGAAGAGCAACTGCGCCAGCAGAAAGAGTCATTCGAGACTCACATTCGAGACATGGGTCAACCGGTCCCAAAGATATTCGAGAACGGTTTCGCCAAATTGGACGAGCGTGAACTTGAGATTGCGCGTTCGGTGTACAGCCATTGGTCCCAGCGCAATTATGTGCGAATGGCGGAGACAGTTCTCCAGCATGCTTCGCTTCTGAAAGAAGCACAGGTCATGAGTCACATCATGGACAAGAATGTTGTCTTCCAATTTGCAGTCATTGACCACGGTCACAACATGGAGTCCTCCTATGACCTTGTCCTGAATGGGATCTCTGGTGACGAAGACATCATTTTGGACGAGGAAAAGAAGCCCTGCGTTGGCGTTCGGGTCATCGATTATAAACAGAGTGTGGTTCGACTGTGGTCGATCGAAAAACTCCGGCGTCGGCTTCAAGCCATGCGACAGCTGCACCAATACATCGACCGACCGGACTATATCCAGCACTTCAGACTCGACAATCCTTTTTCAGAACCTTGCTCACCTCAATATTCCCTGGTGGGTGACACCGATATTCCTTTGACGGCTGTCTTCGAAACTCGTGTCCAAGACTTCTCTGTTGAGGTCACTTCACCGTACACTCAAAATGTCGTGGGCATCATTCGACTATCCCTCGAGCCGTCATCTGCTCAAGCTCCATCGTCCACACTGAAATTCAACGTCGTCATGCGGGACATGATCGGGTTTGCGGAATGGGAAGGATCTGGAGTACATGCTCAGCTATTCGTCCCAGGGATTTCCGAAGAAGGAGGTGCAACCACCACTCAGATGATTAGTGGATTTGAAGACGGCCCCGTTCGTTTTGAAAGTGTACACAGTATGAGTCTACCGCTATCAAGTCCACGGACAGCGGCATTGAAGGTCTGTGTCTATGCGGGTGTCACCTCGGTCCACCTTGACAAGCTTCTTAGCTGGGATGATATGCGAGACTCGGCAGAGCCTGTTCCGCAGAAACGTACCGCCCCTCGCATCCCTGAGTCTGAATTCTATTCTGAGGAGCGACACGATGTTTTCGCGAGAATTCAGATTCTTGAAATGGCAGAGTCTGGTGAATACCTCCCCGTCGAGGTTGTTCAGAACAATAGTCTTGATGCGGGAACGTCCCAGCTCCACCAAGGCTTGCAGCGCCGTATCTCGATCAATTTGACATACAGCTCAACGGAGAGTCTTCCTTGGGATGATATCAACAACATTCGTGTTGGGTCCGTTCGTCTTCTTGATCCCTGGGGCAAAATTCCAGACCAGGACTTCCAAACCCCAGATGTTCCGCTGAAGTTTGTTCAAGATCCAATGGTCAAGGAAAATGCTGATGGTACCTCCATGGTCACCATCGTGGGCCAATGGGACTCGAGTTTGCACGGATCCCTCCTCCTGGATCGAGTGACTGCCGAGAAGTACAGAGTGCAGGTTACCGTCCGCTGGGATCTGGTCTCCTCTCGTCTCCAAACCCCAGTTGTGTTCGAGGCCGACCAGACCATTCAAATCCAAGGTCGTACTTACGTTCGTCAGCAGTCGATGTTCAAGCAATTTTGGAACTCAATCCGAGTTGTACATTCGACGACTTGCATGTACTCCTTGGTCATTCGTCCGATTTCAGCTAAGCGCGCTGCTGATCTATGGCGCATGAACACCCAAAATGACTACGTGAAGGGCGAGGAGCTTCTGGTCGCTTGGTCTCCAAGGAAAGTTTCGCTGGTGCGGGACTACATTGCCAATCGCAAGCGCCGGCAGCGTGTGGCTGAGCTCCATGCCGCGCGAGGTGCGCTCAGTGCGGGCAGCTTGATCGCATCACCTGCTCGAAGTGGACTTTCGACTCCATCGCGCGGAACCCCTCTCAACGAGCGCAAAACCAAACTTCTGCGCAAGTATTTGGAGTTGTGGTCGCTCAAACAGGACCCTACCGAGAGGATTCTCGTTCGGAGCAACACCGAACCACCAACAGACGGCGCAGCAAAAAGGCCGACTCCAAATCCCAACGGCATCTCTGATAAGCTTTCCCTTAAGCCTCGTTTTGTAGCCACCATCCAAACTCTCCCCAAAGCACCCGACGCCTTGAAGACGGGATACGTGCTCACCCCCGATGATACCAACAACGTCTGGGTGCGTCGTTTCGTGGAGCTCCGCCGGCCGTACCTCCACATTTACTCGGTCCCAGAGGGAGACGAGATCAACGCTATCAACCTTCGCAACGCGCGTGTTGACCACGCACCCGATTTCGCTAGACTGCTAGACGGCTCAGGGGCCGGATCCGATCGTTCCCTGTCCACCAAAGGACGACCCAACGTGTTCGCAGTCTATGGAACGCAGAACACTTTCCTCTTTGCCACTCGCACCGAGGCACAAAAGGTGGAATGGATCTTGAAGATTGATGAGAGCTATTTCAACAGCAACAGTCCTAGTGCTGCCACAAGCAGCGATTGACCAGCGCTCAGACATATCCAAGGAGACTGACCTTTGTGCTTCGCCTGCTTCATGTGTTATGATTATACGGGTTACAGTCTGCTTTTTACCCTAACCTTTCGTTTCCCCGTTTCTTTTCATGACCCGCTGAGATACCCCTTGAATATATCGACTCGCTGTGGCACTCCTATTTTTGTACATAATAATCCGATATAGTTGGGAACATAGATCCAATTGTGCGCAGTTTGGTACCCCAGGAGACTCTTTTGTGTTTGAGTCGTGCCTATCTAACGAAAACCGAGTATAATTAGAAACTCGTCACATCAGGTGTGGGTCCAATGGAAAGCTGCCCAGATGCATCTGAGCCGTTGCTATGGAAACAGTCTGAGTGGTGGTGACATCAAAGGCCTTGATGTCCAACTCGGACTCGAGAACCAGAGACCACACTTGTTTCACCACATACATGACCATCTTCAAACATCAACCGCGAGAGTGAATACGGGGCTCTCAGAAAGAATGCTCACCCAACGCCCCTCACTCCGATTCGTTGCCATCGGGGCCGTGGTATCTCTTTTCGTCCTGGCATTCCTCATCCTCGGCAGCTCACCCCGCGGACTCTCCTCCAAATTCAACATTAAGACACAAACCCGACCAGCTCCAAAAACTTGTCTACCGTCGTCAAATTCGTCCACGTGGGACTTTGTTGTCGAACGGGATGGAAACAATCACGGCCTCTCCGAAGACCAGTGCCGCATTGCATTCCCAAAATTATTTACTGAGATCGACAAGTCATCCCAGCTCAAAGCCAATACGCGCATCTCATACCAGGAGCTGGACTCCCGTACTGTTGATGATGGTATGGTGCGGGCAATTGTAGACCGAGGGGAGGTTAGTAAAGAGTATGGTATGATCATAGAGAAACACAAGGCTAACATAACGACATTAGTTATATATTGTCGACTATGCACCTATGCCCGCTACAGCGTCGCGTGCACGCGCCACCCTCAACTCCCTCCACCGTGCCTTAACAGCATTCCCACACCGAGACCTCCTCCCCAGTATCGAATTCACCTTCACAACAGAGGACTTTGCAGAAGATACCCAGGCCCCAGGCCCCATCTGGGCCTACTCAAAGCGTGACTCGGATACTTCTGTCTGGCTGATGCCGGACTTCGGATACTGGGCCTGGCCAGAAGTACAGATCGGCCCGTACCACGAAGTTCGGCGCCATATCGCAGCCATTGACGAAGGAGAGACTGCCGCGGACGGCACCTTCACACCGACTCTGCAGTTCCAGGATAAAAAGAAACAGCTTGTGTGGCGCGGCAGTCTGGCCACAAACCCACCTGTCCGCAGCAAGCTGCTCAAGTCTGCGCTTGGCCGTAGCTGGGCCAGCGTGCGTGTCATCGATTGGGATGACGAGACTGATCTTCGATACAATCTGCTTCCGATAGAGGACCACTGCAGGTACATGTTCCTTGCGCACACAGAGGGAAGAAGCTTCTCGGGTCGCGGGAAGTATCTCCTCAACTGCCGCTCGGTGATGATCTCGCATGCGCTCGAATGGCGCGAGGCTCACCACGCAGCGCTGATATCCTCGGGGCCGGATGCCAATTATGTGGAGGTCGACCGGGAGTGGAATGATCTGTCGCGTAAGATCGATTATCTGATTGACAATCCCCAGATTGCGGAGCGCATTGCCAACAATGCCGTGCGCACTTTCCGTGATCGATACCTCACTCCTGCTGCGGAGTCTTGCTATTGGCGCCAGATAATCAGGCAGTATGCTGCAGCTTGCGACTTTGAACCGGTGCTATTTTCTACCGGTCGCGACGGCAAGAATCGTGCTCGAGGTGTCCCTTATGATAGCTGGATCTTGACACACTGATCGGCTTTGAACTGATGTATATGCTTTTTTGTGAAACGATTTGTACATGTGCTTGGTGATTTCTCGCGATATTCCCGGATGGCGTTTTTGTGATATACATGATCTTTTGTCTTGAAATACGCATTCATGAGACAAGGCTGACCTTTGATGACTGGTTAGGATGTACAAATGTGTCATTGATTTATGAAACCAAAGTATCCTTTCCTAATACGCGTACCTTACAAGATGCAGTGCGTTCTCTCAGCATGCCAGCTAGACTCCAGCGCTCTTCTTCTGTAGACCTCGCAACGCTGAAGTGGAATAACTTCTAATGACCGGCGGGAAGATGGCTGGCTCACCGCCACCATCTTCCTACTTGTTACTACTCTTCGACGTCAAAAATGTCAAAGCCAGGTTATGAGTGTATGACTTGCAATAAGAAGTTTTCCAATCGAAGCCATCTTCGGCGGCACGAGGCCTCGCGTAAGTGGAAAATACCAAGTGCTTTTGAACCGCCGTTCTAACGCTTCCCCAGACACCACACAACCACACCACCCCTGTGAGTTTTGTGGCCACGTATATTCTAGAAGGCAAGAGCAAAAAAAGGCTGGGTTCTTTTCAAGCCATGGACCTGACTTTATTGCAGTGATGCACTCCGGAGGCATTACAAAACCTGCCCCTGGATTGGCAAACAGTTAGAGCCCGGCCCCTCTCGGCCTGGGCGTCGACGCAAAGCGTGCGATAGCTGCGCCAAGCAGCGAGTAACCTGTGACGGGCTCTTTCCATGTGAGAATTGTCAAGGCCGCCCTGGTGTTGCTTGTACCTACGAGCGCCTGGAAGGTTCCCTTGGTCCGCCGCCTGACCTTGTATTGGACGCCCCTGTACAGACTCAGACTCAGACTCAACCTAGCGCGGGCCGGTCAGATGGAAAAAATACCCACAAGGCCTCTGTGCCGTTTCTTCTGAATTACTCTGGACCAGGAAATAGACATCCCAGTGATGTGAACCGCGCTCTCTCGTTGCTCTCGACTGCTGAATCTGGTGAAATTGTGGACTCGGCTTTACCAAGCTTTGACCTCGAGATCGATGGAGCTGATTTTACCTTTGACGAGGCTTGGAATGGACTATTTGGTCCATTTCAACAAAACGAGACATGTCAAAACTCGGCCCTGCCCGCAGGGCTGGAAGATTCCCATCAACGTCAGATGGCAGCCAACAACATGATAGACTGCATTCTGCGCTCTCAAGAACGTTGCTTGACTGGGGCTTCTGGAAATCATAGGAACTCTGCTCAGGCACAAGACTTTTTCTCCGAACAGCGGGTGTATGATTATATCAAAGCATATTTCGACCAGATTGTTCGCCCTCGATCTCGCATCGTGCTTAAATCCACCTTTTGCCTGGAAGATACCTCTACGCCCCTTTTGCTGTCCTTGTTTTTGATGGGCGCAGCATGTGATGAGAGCGAAGAGGTGAAATCACAAGTCGTTGAATATGCCGAGCTTGCCGAGTACGTCGTGTTCGAAAACTCCGCGTTCCGCAGGATAACTTATCAGCGAGAGGAGGTCCACTGGAGTTTATTTACCAAAGAGGAGATTGAGATAATCCAAGCGGCAATTCTGATGGCCTTATTGGAAATAGCCAGTCCCAAGCCGGAAGCTCGACGTCGGACTCGAATTCAATGGTATCCAGCACTCGTATCTGCCGCTCGTGCATCAGGCCTCACAAGAGTTCGAAATGAGTGGCATCAGAACAGCGATATCGTAGACCACGATCAATTTTTGAAGAATGAGACATGTATTAGGTACGTTCTATGTTGACTCTGAGTCTTGTGTATTCAGCCACTGACCCTTGCAGAATGATGTCGTCTATTGCTATGATGGATTGCCACTTCATCATGTTCTTCAACAACCCCCCAAATTTCACAGCTACCGAGTTGAAGTTTGATCTCCCAGCAGAAGAAGAGGGAGTAGATATCCCAGAAGGTCCAACATGGAAGATTTGGAAACAGAACGAGGCGAAACGCCAGCGCCCCCCACCGCTGAATCAATTTGTTCAGAAATTGCTTTCAAATGACTGGCATGGCTATGACGATGGGAATTTCGGAAATCTAAGCATATTCTCTCTATACGTTGTGATTTCAGGTGAGGGTCATGATCACCAGACACCCCCATTCCCAAAGGCCCGGAAACTAACACATTGAAAGCTTTTTTCCGGATAATATTTGGATTGAGGTCTAGCATGTGCGACATATCAGATGCAATGAGGCAAGTTGACCGAGCGCTTTCAAGATGGATGGAATTATGGGACAGAGTAAAAGAAGCAGCAAGCGCCGGCGAAATCTATCGAGCAGGCATCATGATCCACGCTCGGGACCTAGGGACTTTCGCAAAGCTTCTGCTCCGGACTCCCTTATCTGAAACAGGAGAGATCGCGCGAGATTCCATGGCTCGTATACACGAACTCCTCAAAAGCGCATCGCAATAGACCAAAGTCTCCTGCTTGCAAAAATCACAACTCTCGCCCAGTGTAATCCACTGATCCACCGCTAAAATTGATATAAAGCCAGCCCGAGGGAAGTGCTCATACTGAACGCCAGAACCGCCCATGAGGCCCTTCCACTCTGCGCTTTAGTTAACATATGACCGGAATCCCAGACCAAGTGCTTCACCCCGTTGAACGCATGGTAGGTGAATGGCATAGATGACCCAAATTTCAAGGTTGCTTTTAAGCCTGCCGGCAATGACCCGAAAGCCGTGACCATGTCACTCCACTCAAACTGCAGCCCGAGAGCTGGCACGAACAGGTACATTGTTGCAAGTCCATACAGACTACCTGATAAAAGAAGGCCGGTGATTCGGTGTAGCGCAGATGCGGAAGAAACGTATTGCCATTTGTAGATCGTCATGTGCGGAGCGATGGGGCGGTTTCGGCGCTGCGCTGCCAGGCGATCATGCGCAGACTGGGAGGATATCTTGTGAGTCGTGAGCTGTCTCCTATCAACTGGATCAGTCTTTATGCTCGATGCACAGAAGATCATGACTTCAGAGCCATCGGAGCTTACCGCGACTGGGCCACAGACTTGCCCCCGTTCCTCATGGTTGAAGCAACTTCATGACGTTTCAATGTTAGAGCCTGCTATCGAGAAAAGAACATGGGCTACTTGCCTCGTGAAAACATCTGGAAAATTGGCAAAGAGAAGAAAGTCGAATTGGTGCGAGTGATTTGTATACAGACACAAGTTGGAAAAGCAACATTTCTACGATCTACTTGACCCACCTGGAAAACATCCACATCCGGAAAACACCCACCGATCGTGAAGAAATCATGAAGGGGCCTTGGACCCCTCTATACTTTTACCATGACTAACGTTATCCCTTCAGGAGTTTTCGGGCCCATTTTCGCCTCGACAGAATTGTTGTGATTGTTGCTGTTCTTCCGAACTGCCTGATGTTAGATTTAGCCTGGGTCCAATCCAGCCCCAATACGACCGTGATGCATTTCCCCGCATTGGCACCGCTTGTGGCTGGCTTTTGCAACCCTTCAGGGCTTTTTGAGAATCTAGAATTTATCCATTCTAACCATCACATCGCTTAGAGCATCTGGCCGGACTTTAGCCTACAGCGTGCGTGACGGGCGGATTCAATTGGATAGGAGTGGAAACTAACTAAGACCCGCTAGGAAATATGGTCCGTTAAGGCTAAGGAGCATGGTGTGTTTGGGATAAATGGGCTGGATAAATTAGTGCAAGACATCCAGGAGTTGAAACCATCTAGAAACGCTCGCCCCACATACTCCTGTCAATATAAAAGAACCCCCGTTTCCCTCAATAATGGATCAAGAAAAAGCATCAATTCGCCTGGTCTTATTCAACACTCGCAATGGTATCATTCAAGAGCCTTTTCGTCGCAGCTTGCGCAGCAGTCAGCGCCTTCGCGCTTCCCAGTGATGTGGAGAAGAGAGCTGGCATCACTACGAGCCAGCAAGGAACTAGCAATGGCTACTTCTACTCTTTTTGGACCAATGGAGGAGGCAGTGTGACCTACACAAACGGTGCTTCTGGTCAATACGCCGTGAGCTGGACCAACTGCGACTCGTTCACCTCCGGCAAGGGCTGGACCACTGGTTCTGCTAGGTAAGAAAAGTTGATCCTGAGAAAAGTTTTCAAGCACTAACACTCGAACTCAAAGAAACATCAACTTCTCTGGATCCTTCAACCCCTCTGGCAACGCGTACCTTGCTGTGTACGGTTGGACCACTAGCCCCCTCGTGGAGTACTATATTATGGAAAGCTATGGCGAATACAACCCCGGCAGCAGCATGACTTTCAAGGGAACTGTCACTAGTGATGGATCCGTTTACGACATCTACACACACCAGCAGGTCAACCAGCCTTCTATTTCTGGAACCGCCACCTTCAATCAGTACTGGTCCATCCGCCGCTCCAAGCGTTCCAGCGGTACCGTCACCACTGCCAACCACTTCAACGCCTGGGCGTCGCTTGGCATGAGCCTCGGCTCGCACAACTACCAGATCATGTCCACGGAAGGATATCAGAGCAGTGGTTCCTCTTCTATCACCGTTTCCTAATTTTTTTTGGAAGCCTTCATCGAATCAGAGTCTGGTCAATGGCCCCGGACACCTGTATTCATCTGATTTTATTTGACATGTTTGTGATTGAAGAATGAGCCTAGAATCATATGTGAGCCGAGTTTTGTGAAATGACCTGCGGACTAGCTGTATGCCCATCTTAAAGCCCAAATCTTCTCTAGTATAGGCCTGGCTGCTAGCCTCTAAGAAAATTCCCCGGAAATAACTCAGAAAGGGATCAAAAAGGAGGAAAGCTGATGGTGGAGTAAAAACTCATAAGTGATACCGAGCGTAAAAAAAACACCGAGAATGACGGAGACCTAGAATCCATCAGCAGCAGATAGTAAGATTCAGCCAAGCACATAGTGGAGAGAGTCGAATGTTTGACATGCAAGAAAAACCAATTCCTGCACGCCAAGAAAGACACCTGAAAAGAGATCAGCATCGACGCATGGGAAACAAACATACCGAAGTCGGTATTATCAAGAGCCAATGCCTTCACGGAATGAATGGCATATCACCATAATTTTACACTAGGATAGTGCAAAGGCTAAAATTATAAGGTGAAAGTCATGATGAAAGTCCGATTCTTTCTCTCAACTAATCGCAGGCCTCAAAGGAACTGGCGAAGACAGATGGGGTTGACCAGCAATGTAAATATCATAAATAAAGAAAGATAAGCGCGAAACAAACGCGAAACATTTTCAACGAACTGTGACTTTGCATGCGCGGGCGAATCAAGGGGGAGAGGGCTTGCGGACTGATCTGGGTGTGGGTAAATGGCTGTCATAGGGATGTGTCGGATCTATAGCGTGCAATGAATGCATCACAAGATTCTGCACTTTAGCGAAGAGCGTCAAGGATGGTCATCGAAGGTGCCAGCTCGGTACGCTGGTCTTTCAGGAACTGATCGTAGACACTGTCCATAAAATCCGGCGCGTAGATACTGACTTTCATGTTTGCCATGAACTTTGTGCTGTTGCAGTGGCTTTTGATTGCTTGCTGGAACATCGCCAACTCGACAGTTGGGGAGAGACTGACACCGAGGTCCCTGACATCATGGAGGGCGAATTGAAACCTCTCAATGAAGCGATCAGGAGGGAGTCCCCGAGGATAATATTTCACCTTCAGTAACTTTTCCCAAGCAACAAAGATCGACTGCGCGGAGATGTCACCGTAAAAGGATTCGAGTTTAAGGTATGCCTCATGGGGATCCGATATCCGATCAATCAACATTTTGGGCGCGAGTTCTAGGCTGGACGCTAGAATCTGACGAGCGCGGATATTCAACCGGGATCGATTGTAGACTCGCAAGCCTGAGCCTTGGAGGCCGGTATGCTTGCTGGTGTTCGATGAACCCGTAATCACCACGTCAGAATCTTCATCTGAGTAGCCGCTGAACTCGTAAGAAGAGCTTTCCGATTTAGAGGTTATGGACGCAACACGGGAGGCTTCGAAGCTCTCTCTGATAGTATGCTCAGGCTTGTCCATGATGATTTCCCAGTAGACACTGGTATTATGGACTTCGTTGATAGCTTCCTCAACGTTAAGCCTCCACAAGAGCCAGTTGGACTTGCCCACAAGTTTTGTCAGCCAGTTTGGCACGCTGAAATTCTCGGTGCTCATCGTTGCGGTTGGAGGAGTGATTTCGGCAATAAGAGGAGATAGAAGAGAAAGGATGATGAAAGTAGTTCTCGGGGCGCGCGGAGCTGTGAAAATAAGGAATAGGAGGGTGAGAAGGATAAAATTTATCGGCGTCTCTGTTTGCACAGTGTTAGTGACGTGTTTTGAATAGCCCGTGGCTTTGATAAGGAGGCCGCCGGAGATCGAAAATAATCAACTGCCTGGTTCAATAGCAGAGGCGGATTAGTGACGAGCAAGTAACGGTATCGATCAGGAGATTTGGTTGTAAGGATCACTGAGCACAACGGGAAGTGACGACAAAGTAAAGTAACGAATAGCTTGAAGAAGAGAAAATCATCACGAAGTTAGGGAGAAAGGAGACCGAGAAAGTAGTTGAAGAAGAAGATAATTAAGGAGGAGGAGAGAGGGGAGGAGGGAGGGAGGGGGAAGAATAAGTTTGACAGGAAAGATTCCTTAGGAAGAGCAGACTTTTGTGGAACTGGGAAGAATGAAAACCGAGAGGATGGTTGGGGGTGAGAAAAAGGTCGACAGACGAGATATTGACGGTATGTTGAGCAAAACATCAAGGTGATATAGAGGCATCAGGAATGATTCAAAGAGTGATGATACTAAAAAAAAAAAAAACCTCAGAGGACATGCAGCATCGCAAGACACAGGGGCAGCTCGGCTCTGGATTCAAAAAGGTAGGAGTAACAGTAGCGGGCATTGTATAGCAATGGGCAAAGCAGTGAGAGAACGGAATGCTCAAGTGTTTTCTCGAGAAAGGAATGGGCAACAAGAGCTAAGCACAAGCGCAAAGCTCGGAAAATGATCAAAAGAGAGTTTGGACCAGACAACAGGTGCAAATATGTATCGCAATAGCGTGCGGGCTTTCAGCGAGCGTGCAGAAGCGAACATATAAGAGTCCCGGAGGTGACATGCAAGACGGCCATATGACGACAAAGTAACGAGCTGGTGGTATGATACTGGAAAGTGCACAACTGGGTTGAAGAATGTGTTCACGCAGATGGGTACTGCTCAGGCGGGGACTTGTGTGAGATTGGCTATGTAGACGTCTGGGCAGGCTTTCCTGCTCCGACAAGAAATGCACCTTGTAGACAATACGATTGAATCCATCTAGGATTTTGCGGTTCGTGCTGTGTAAAAGAGATTGAGGAGTGCTTACCTGACTTGACTCTTGAGGATAGGTAAAGCTTCTCTTCTTGGCAAGTATGAGAGTGTAAAGTAGGTTGAAGGATTGAAGAAGGTGCGTAAATAAGGTTGAGGTTTTGAAAGGTTGAAGACGGAAAGAGTGTTGGATGCTCGTTTTATACCTTGGCCTGCTAAGGCAGCATGTGTAGCAAATCTGAAACCATCATTCAAGCTGCATATCTAGTGCTATCCCATGAGAGAATCCCGCTAAATCCATATATTGTGAAGCAGTTTTGCTCAGGTGTGTGCGCGTGCTTGTGTTTACTTGGACACTCCGCGTGGGATAAAACGCATTACAGTATCAATATCAATCGCTTGCTGAAAAAGCGAGAGACGATCAAGAACAATCCTTGTTGAAATATTACAAGATTTGAACAAGGCATGACGCAGTCTAGAATTATCCATGGATTGACCATACCAGAAGCATAGCTTATTCCGGTATATTAACGACTTTGGAAGATTTCTTTGGTCGTGAGTAACGGTAAAGTAACGAATTTATGACGACTGTTTGACGGATTTTAAGGTTGATCAAGTTTACGGTGTCAAGCTGTGAATTGATAGAAGAATAAACACTAGCCAGTTTGTGTATTAGGATGTACTGAACACATAGTGTTTTTGACAATGGTGAAAGTAACGTACAAGTGACGCAGAATTGACGAAGCGAGTGACGAAGCTGCTATGTCCAATCACATCTAGCCCATACTTTTAGAATCACCCGTGGATGTGAGAGTGCAACCATGAGCGGTCATATTGAGTGATTGACAACAGGAGAAAAGGTATGAAAAGGTCATAGCATAACTGCATGCCTATTCACAAACTAAGTATTATTGGGACAGACCGCTAACCGTGCGATAGCTTTGACCGGGACCCCAAGAAATAGCAATATGACCCTTTTCTATAATCAACTTGTCATATTTAACGGCTAATGTGAGAAGACAGTGTGTAATTATCCAAACTTTGATTCTTACGTCACAAAGATGGATAAGGGACGAGTGACAATGCATGGCAGAGGTGTAGCTTATTTACAGGTCGTCCCGGCTGGCGATCCAACCTTGGAAGTTTTCCGAGCGGATCAAAGAGGTAATCACCGTGCATTCTTATGTTCCAAGAAAAGCGTGTGATGTCTACTAGAAGTGGATTTTGGGAAGCAATGATAATGAATTCATGTAAATTCGATATTATGGCGGTGAGCTACTAAGAACTCACAATGCTCAATTAGTGGGTCTACTTGGAAAGGTCCAAAATGATACCAGGCTGGGAAGGTCTTTCCGCTGAGCCCGGGACCTAATTGAGACCTTAGGGGGTCAACGGCAGGTGGCTTACAAGTGGATTCGGAAGTGATTTCTGTTTTGTAATACTGAGCGGGGTAGCTTGCAACAGTTAAAAGCCGAAGCAAGTAGAGCTCTGTTTCTGAGGTGTGCTTAGTTGACTCGCGCACATTGTTAGCCAAAGGAGCGTCGCAAAATACATCACAGAACCCCAAGAATGGCAGAATCCCTTCTAGTTTCGAATTTATTCAACATCAAAGGAATTGTGGCAGTGGTCACAGGAGGTGGAAGTGGTAGGTTGCGTACAGCTGATTGATGGCTGTGTTCACAAGCTCACAGATAGATAAATAGGACTCGGTCTTTCCATAACAAGAGCATTGGCTGTGAATGGAGCTAAGAGAGTCTACATCCTGGGCAGAAGGAGTGATGTGCTGGAGCTTGCAGCAAAGGAAATAGTATGCTTTCTCTGATACGTCCACGGATCTAGTGACGATGTGCCCGAAAATAACTGATGGTGATATGCAGGGTCTGAACAACGTGATTCCAATTCAGTGTGATATAACGAATCAACAGCAGCTGAAGTCTACTGTGGCTTCAATCGAAAATGATGTCGGCTACATCAATCTGCTCGTTGCTAATTCAGGAATCGCTGGTCCCTCCGGCAATGTGTCTACAGACGCCAGCATTTCGCAAGTTCAAGAGGCCTTATACAAAATTCCAATGGAGGAGTTTACGAACACATTGCACGTCAATTCTACCGGCGTCTTCTATACGATAGTTGCATTCCTGTCCTTGCTCGATGCCGGGAACAAGGATGGAACATATCAAAACGGAAGAAGTCAAGTGATAACTACCAGCAGTATCGGGGGCTTCAGTCGGAAAATAACGGCAGGATTTGCCTATAGTACCAGCAAAGCAGCGACGACAATGCTGATGAAGGTGCTGGCAACTTATTTGGTGCCCTATAGAATCAGAGCAAACATTATCTGCCCTGGCTGTGAGAGGTCCGAACTCTGATGTTTAGTTATGGCGGCTGACATCTCTCCAGTATTTCCAACTGACCTGACTGCTTCTCTCATCGATGGAAAAGAGCCCACTGAGGAGGGTGCTTTCCCACTCGATAAGATTCCAGCCGAGCGAGCAGGCTTACCAGAGGACATAGTCGGCCCTGTGCTGTATCTAGCGTCACGCGCAGGTGCTTACTGCAACGGAAATTGCGTCATAACAGACGGAGGGAAATTGAGTGTTACCCCTGCTACTTACTAGAAGCTCATAACATCGGAAAGCTCGGGGAAGCATTCATGTAACATTGGAAGGGAAACTCAAGAGGAGAGTAAGAGTGGTAATGAACAACCTTGCTTCGATTTTTGAAGGTACCCCTGATTTAGGTTTCGTCATGCTAGACCCTTCAAGCATCGATACATCAATACATCTGTCGTTTCGGTCAATCTGCTAAATGGGGAGCGGGAGCGAAAACACCGCGCCAGTATCGAGTCCGTCGAAAGCCTGACTGTAGAGCATCCTTTTTTTTGCAAGTGCTTGATATCGAGAATTCATTATTTCTCCCGAGGTCCCCGGTGTGCCATGCGATGTTTCCGTAGTTGGTAAATTGGCAGTGTTTGAACCATGGAATCCCAATGAACTGGACTAGAAAGCAACTCGAATCCAGAAGTGGGGCACACATTCGGTATTCATGAATGCACTTCCACCGAGATGACCAGGTTGTTTTCGATGCAGCAAAGGCGTGGATCTTGGAATGGACTGTTGAGAAAATCAGTCAAAGGAGAAAGTGAAGATAGTGATGCAGTGAAGCTAAAAGGTGGAGGGAGGGGTTTTGTGGGAATGACCCAGGAATTTGGCACTGGTCGCTGTATAATGTACTTGAGTGGAGAGAAAGACCTGGAAAGGCGTGGGGTGTAGGTGAAGGCGGAAATACAAAAACGTTACCCGAGAAAGGAGCTTGGGCGTAGTTAATGGTACCTATCGAGGCGGTCAGGCGCGCCTGCGGCAGGGTGCCTAACGGCGCTGGATGGCCCCAGGGGCAAAATAGTGATGGGTGCCGGACGGCGGGCAGTGAAGCGCCGGCTCGCCGTTAAAGCGTAGGGGCGGCAAGGCGGCAAGCTCCGACGTCACAGGCCCCCGTTTTTGGCGCTAATGCCATAGATCCCCACACCCTACATTTGATGATTATCTTTATTTACATATCACTCAGGTACCAAAGTGAGGCCACTTCGATAATCGAACTACGCCTACGCATAGTTATTCGAGCGAATATCACTGGGGAATGAATAAGATTTACTCTTTTGACAAAAGAGCGTTATGAAATTGTGATATGGAGAGTTTTCTCGGTGAGCTGTTTTTTTCTATACGAAAAAAGAAAAAGAGATGTATAAAGCCAGGCTGAATCATATTCCAAGTATTGAGCCGTAATCGGGGGATTGGAGCTTCATAGTTAGGGAGACTTCCAAGGCTCCTGGGTCGTAAAACATCAAACCGGAGAGATAGCGCTCTATTGCATCATATCAGTCAGGAAGACAAGAACAGATCAGTAAACTTACAACTTCTTGTTCCATTTTAATTTTCCTCGCAATCAGCTCCCTTGATAAAGCTGAATGCACTCCGTTCAAGCACCAAGGTTCAAGATCCTCTTGGTATTGCATAGCCTGCGATTGTATCTCGTCGCCTTGGGTGTTGTTTGCCCGGTGGTCATGTGGTAGAGGGGGAGCATCGCCCCACGCAACCGATGTTGAGGGATGTTTGCCGTGTATTGAGTTATTGCGATCATAGGAGCTGGACCTAATGCCAGAAGAACCGTATGGAGACTGTATCGGACTCTTTGGCGAGGAAATGATGGCTCTGAATGGCGGGAGGCTTCCTACAACGACCGCTATCATTTTGTTATCATGGAATGAGAAGGGAAGGGCGGATCACTTGCATATAGAAGTTTCAACAATGCCCCAGACTGCCAATGCTCCTGGGTCTGAGAACGTGCTAGTCCCCGTGATTTCCACGGCCCTTACAATGGCTGCAGCAATGATTGTGAACCCGATCATGAATACTAGAGCTATGCCGATTTTCTGCTTCATGTTGATCTTGGCCACCCATATGATACGCAGGGGAAGAGACATAACTGGAAGAGGAGATTATTATTTTGCAACCACGTATGACATCACTGTGACAATCATACCCAGTAAATCGGTTAAGGTATCCACAGCTGTGCTATATGACACGGCAATGGTGAATCCCATGAAATCAACTGACTGTCCGCACTGACCTAGTATTTGTTAGCCAAAAGCTAAGAGTAAACAGGAAAGAAGAAAAAAACATACCCGGGCCATATCTGAAATAGCTGGCCGGAGGATGGCAAGTGTTCACCAATACGACCCAACAGCCGACATAGGCAAGACATGCGAAGACTACCACGCCCCACCACGCCCGGCGGTACACCGGTAGGCCATCAGAAATCATCCAGAACAATGCCAGAAAAGAACCTTTGACGCTCCAAAGTATCGTCCAAAATATTCCGCTAATGGCGAATTCGTAGCAAAGGTAGTGTAGCACATGGTACTCTATGTCGATACCCGTTGGATTGAGTGCCAAATAATAAAGATGCGGTGACTCTAAAGTATGAAGAATCGCATTGGCGATCAGAAGTACCAAAGCAAATAGCATGAAGTAATCGTCAGCAAGTAAGCGCTTCATGTACCTGATGCGAACCGCTATACGAGCAGATGTGAAGATGATACCCAAAATTGCGCCTCCCCAGGCGATTCCGATTAATCCATTCTGTGGCAGGTGGGTGATCATATTATGTGGCAATGGAAAGTCTGCCATTTCTAGCAATATCTGGGTCAGATTGAATCTCTCTTGTATTTTCTGTGACTTACTTCGAGATAGTAGAGGCATGGTCTTGATTTGTTTTAGACTTCCCCATTGTCAGTAGACGGAAACTCCGAACCCAACCTTTTGCAGTAGCAAATTTGAATTATCTTTTGATTCACGATTGAATTGTGACAAGGCCTACTCATTCGGCTTTGCTTCATCCAAGAGCTGACCGGGGGACCTTGTCAGGCTCAAACGAGGTCAGGGATTGACCGAATTGGCAGTAAACATTCCAAACGTCTTTTAACAATTAGGCCAGAAAATATGAGTCAGTGAGATCATTTGCCTGGCAAAAATATTTTGAACCAATCAAATTCCAAAGAAAATACAAATTCTTCGAAAGTTTCAACAAAGCGAGCTCATACACCCGCGCAATGATGCTACACATATCCAAGTAGTAATATTTGAATGACTTGAGCTAATGTCTGCATCTGAACGGAGGGGTTCGAGGATCCTTGCAGTCATGTTCGCAATTTCCATTGTATGGGCATGGCGTGAAGAGAGGACGACATGATTTGCAATAAGATGCATTCGAAACTCTCGTGGTGTGGCCCTTGATTTTTAAAAGAGTTCCCCGAGATAGATCCTAGAACGGTGGCTCTTGACGCAGAGGATTGTTTCAACCAAGCCATCAATTTGAGATCGGGTTTCCAAATGGGGACCTTGTGTGACCTCATGGGAGTGGGTATTCGGAGTTTATATCTTTCCAGTCAGTATCAATTTCAGTAGCCAATGGCCTCGGAGCTTAACAATGATTTGAGGTATATTCGTTACCGATGACAGATTCAAGGTTGTGAGATAGAATGCCTTTCAAGGATTGCTCTAATGGTACCTCGCAGCCTCGTAGAAATCATTTAGCATGCAGCGGGGAATTTTCCAATGCTTACCTGTCTGTGATATCACAAAAAGCATGCACCACGAACTTGCATACAATACAACGGCACCAGAATGCCGAGATTTTGGCAAGCTTATCAAATTTCAAGATTAAAGTGATTCGATAAGTGATGCGCTTTGTGACCCTATAAGGGTTACAAGTTACGCAGGGACCTCAAGGTATTCATATCATCTTGCCTTCTCAAAATGGGGATGATTGTGCCCCAAAGGCATAGATTCTTTGCCTGTCTACCTCAAAGTCAGGTCTCTGAGCAGATGAATTGAGCAAATGGCACCTTTTAATTTTCTGGAATTCAATCTCGAATCGTTACCATGGATCTCTAAATAACAATAATGTGTCAGCAAGTTGTGCTACTAAACGTTGGTTTATATACTATGTCGAATAATTCATAGACACAAGGTATTGCCAAGAGCCTTGGAGCATTCAGTAGGGACAACATTGTAGCTTGTGATTTCAAATAACGAGAGCTCTCTCATATCCGGGTGATTCAGATTTCTGTTGGTACACACGAGGGGGCTCTAGACTGTGGCGCGGACTTTGCGGCAGGTTAGGCATGGCCCATCGACCTTTGCTGTAAGAGACAACACGACTTTTCCTCAAGTTGGCCTGTTGTTCACCCTCGTAGGGAACATGCACACTCATGCGGTAGGGAAACATGACCCGGCGAGCGCCCGCCCGCGGGAACATGCGGTGGGTATTGACTGGCGACTGGCCAATCAGAAATGACATCAGCTGGATTAGTGTGGATTTGAAGCCTGACATATAAGGCCGCATACACATCGACTTTCCCCCACCGCCAGCCATTTCACTTCGAGCTCCCTCCAACATCAACTACTTCTCCACAGCAACATGTCGAGAGATGCATTGGAATTTCCCCAATCGGACAGAGGGTTCTTAGAGCCTCATCTGCCGCCGCAGGCGGGGTCGGCTCCTGCTTCCAATCTACCTTTCACAACACTCACTTTCGCGACATCACTTGACTCGTCTTTGGCGTTGTCTCCTGGTGCGCGTACGGTACTGTCAGGGCCTCAATCGAAGGCAATGACACACTATCTGCGCTCTCGTCACGACGGAATTCTCATTGGTGTTGGCACCGCAGTTGCCGATGACCCCGGCTTAAACTGCCGCATCGCAGGAGTCGGAGGCTATGGCCAGGAGGGCTTAAGTGGCCAACCCAGACCAGTTGTGATTGATCCAACGGGCCGTTGGGAATTTTCAGAAGACAGTAAACTGTTTCAACTTTGCCGGGAAGGACGTGGCCTAGCACCGTGGGTCATTACCGCTGTTGAGAACCCCAGCTCCCAGAAGCAGGCTCTGCTTGACAAATACGGCGGGCGTTTCATGACCTCAAAGATGCTCAGAACACATACTGGGGGACACCAAGTTGATTGGCGAACTTTGTTTGAAACCCTGAAGTCAAATGGCCTCGAGAGCGTCATGGTAGAGGGTGGCGGTCAAATTATCAACTCCCTTCTGAGTCCACAGTACATGCCATTGCTTGATAGTGTGATAGTCACAATCGCTCCGACGTGGCTTGGTCAAGGCGGTGTTGTTGTCTCTCCGGCGCGACGTTTCGATGAGGGGAGGCAATGCGATGTCTGCTGCAAGGTTAAAAAACGTGAAATGGTATCCCTTTGGGGAAGACGTTGTCTTGTGTGGGCAAGTTATCGTTGCAGATGCGCAAAAAGCCTAAAAGTTGTCTCTCGGTGTCAGGTACCAGCCTACTCACAAGTCTGGTGGTAATAGATGAGCCGCTGAGCAGTTGAATAAACGACAAGTGGAACTTCGAAAGATATGACGCGACGCTGCATCCTATTCGTTAAATCATGTAAGATACTCGAGTAGTTCTGTCTTTCTCCGAGCTTCCGTCGTCCCAAATGATCCGGCCATCTCCAACTGCAACGAGTCACCGCAAACCTAAGACTGCACTGGATACAGGATCCTCTCCTGGCAAATCACCAGGTATCGTCAAATGGGACTCCTCAGCCCCACTATCTTCTTTTCTTTTCTTTTTTCTTTTTTGAATTTGTCCGTGATATCAGAATACATTGTGGAGAGCCTGGCGAGCTTGCTCTTTGTTTTTGATCTCTCATACAAAGGCCTTCCACAATAGCTTTATCTGGTCTCTTTCCCAAAGGGGGTAGACAATCTCTTTGTCTAGTCGTGAAATCTTTCAGCATATAAATAGTTTCTCAACTTTGGAGATCACACAATCACCCAGCAAAAGAAAATCCTCTTTTCCACACCTAACCCACTGACCCGACTATAGAACAAAAGCAAACAATTGAAAGAACAAAAAATTGATTATCGCTACTCAACTTACATCATGACAGGGCTCCATGACGACCCACGTGAGCGGATTCTACACGCTGTCCAGCGTCAAATCGAATATCTCCGATCCAAACCCGACAGTCGTTTGCGTGTTATAGCGCGATTGGAATCGCTTCACCGGATCGCGCACAGCCATCAAAATGCAGAGGATAGATCACCTCTGGGGTACCTCCTCGTGAATATTCGAAAACATTTGCCTATCCAGATCAAGAGGCTCAGATCTGACCCCAGAAATGACGGTAAGGTTGCAAACGCTCTCTCCCGAATGGTCCTTGGGGCTTCTTTGTTCGTGCGCTGTGCTCAGAGTGAGGATGACCCAGCCAACATATTTGAACAAGATGTCGAGCCACTTTCCGCTCTTGACTTGGAGGAAGATTTCCCGCTGGATGAAGATGATCTTACCCGCATTTTATTTGGATTTTAGTCGCGATCTCGATGTGTGATTTGTTGCAATGTGGATGGCTGGCAGGGTGGTAGTGAAAGCATTGGCCTAGAATTAATGCAGGTGTGCTCAAGTGTTGTTTGAAATCTCCCACCGACGTGCTCAATAGAGCGAAATAATTAACTTCAATCTGATTATGACAGGTACTGTTTCGCCGAACTTATATTGCGCCATGCACTAGAAATCCCTCAGAGAATCTGGTTTTGGTTTAAGCCGTGTATATCGTTTTCTGCTGATGGACCGGAAGGCCCGGTCTAGACTGAACTGTCGATTAATCCCTGCCCTGAGGTCGTAAACAAGGCAATCGTCCACGGCTTCATCTTCCGCCGTTATAAACCAAAAACGAAGCTTGAGGCATCATTAAACATGCCGCTGCCACAGAGAGACAATTTAATGCACCTGAGAGATGTGCTGATGCTACTCCATGGGTGTGCAGAACGCTGGATATTCAAAAGAAGACATATCAAGATTCACACTTCGTTTGAAACCTCCATCCTTCAAAGACTCGTGGGTTTCTCGGAGGCGGAGGGATACTAAGCAAGTGAGATCGACATAGAATAGCACCCAAATCAAAATAGCACAGGCCCACATGGACCGGAATAAGCTTAACGCAGTGGGGCGTATGCGTGGAAGCAAGTGAACAAATTCCATCAAGGTACTCCGTAGTCCCAAGGTCACATGTAACTAGTAAGCCCTAAGACTATTGCAACTTTGGAACAGATATTTCTTTCAGGAGTACTTCCGGTCTGGGGGGCATCGCCAGATGACGTCCCGTAGTGAAGCAACTAGTGTATCATTCACATCTAAACTTCAGACTTAGTTAGTCTTGGCAGAGGCACGTTCTGAAATGTCCAATCATATTTGTCGTCGGTAGATCATCTCCGATTAGTCAGTCCGGTGCTGATAACTTGAGCCCCTGTCCCTGAAGATGCTGACGCGTGACTGACGAATAACGGCAGATAATGCTTGGCTATTTGAATTGTGATTCTTGGCAGAGATACAGTGCACTATGTTGCCTTCAATTCTTCTGCTCGTGTCTTCGATATTGTGATAATATCGCACCGGTTTGAGCAGAGCACAAGTTGAACTTGCATGGTTTGATTTGCGAAAAGCTTGCAGAGGTGAGCATTTCCGAATTGTTGTGAGCTTTCAATGCGTCAACAATTCAGCCTTGTGAAGAATTGTCTCCACAAGGTGGGCACTATGTAGCTATCCGTGCGGACGGTAACAAATAAGGAGCACACCAAAAATAAGACACTCGATTTACAGCCGTCGTCAGCAGTTGACGGGTAGAAATTCCAGAAGCCATGGCGTGTAGAGTGGAGAGACCCCGGGAAAGGGCGTGTATAAAAGGCTGGCCTCTTGCTCCAGTGCATCAAATATCCAACAGCCATCCTAAAACAATATCAAAATGCGCAACACTTTCCTCGTAGCTCTTGCGTGCGCCTCCGCCATCACCGGAGTCACAGGTAGGAGAACGTGATCTTGTGAAGATACCCACGATCTAACATTGCCGTCTAGCTCACCCGGAACGTCATGACCATTCCAAGGTCCACCCACCAGCGATTCACGCAAGAGGCACAGACAAATGTGCCCGTCAGATCGAGCATCGCCGGGATGCTGCTTTCTTGAAGCGCAGAAACGCCCTGGGAAAGCGCGCGGCTTCCAACGCAAACCGCTTCATGTACAAAGAGCTCCAGAACAAGACATGTACCCTCTCTCCGGACACCATCTTCGGTCCCTATGATGTTGACGGTGAGCTTCATCGTCATGACGTCCGAGAGGGACAAGATGGAGTTGACCTCTACCTTGACCTCGGACTCATTGATCTTGAGACCTGTGAGCCTCTTTCGGACGCTTGGTTGACTATCTGGGTATGCCTTCCCTCTTTTCTGTGCTACAATATTCACTCTAACATGAAGCCTAGTCTTGCAACGCCACTGGAACGTATTCTGGATACATTGGAATTGACCCTGATACCGTGGAGGCATACAATGGCTGGACCACACGGTCGGATGGCACAACCGACGACTCCACCTTCCTGCGCGGTATCTCCAAGACCAACGAGGCTGGTATCGGCGAGTTCCTGACAATTTTCCCGGGCTACTACTCCTCGCGCACCACTCATATTCACGTCACTGTCCAGTCGAAGGTTGATGGAGACGACACGAGCTACTCTGCCGCAGCAACTCAGCACGTTGGTCAGCTTTTCTTCCCCGAGGATTTGATCAACTCGGTTTATCAGCTTGCTCCTTACCATGCCCATCTTGCTACCTTGAACCGTACCCTGAACTCCGAGGATTCGCTTTACCCCACTGCCAACTCTGATGGAAACGATGCTATCATCTCCACGGAGTTGCTTGGACAAACTCTCGCCGAGGGGCTCATTGGCTACATTACGATTGGTGTCAACAGGAGTGCAGCTGCCATTGCCACAACCGGAGAACAGGTTAATGTGCAGGGTGCTATTCCTACTGTTTCGTTGAGCGCAAGCGCCCAAGCCGCAGCCAACACTATTGATATTGCCCAGGGATACCGGCCTAATGGCATGAAGGTATGAACAAGGGATGAGTTGAAGCGATTGTAATTATTACCATATGTACAAAGTGCATCGCCGAGAATTCCAAATCAATTAGCTATTCATCAAAGTACAGACCTTGATTGCATTGAAACTAAATTAAATTAAGACCAGATTCAAAGGTCGTAATAAAGATGCCGATGATGAAGTGCTCAATCTTTGTAAGCCAGAGAGAAAGTTGGCCCGGCGTTATCCCGTCTATTCTCTGGGCCTTCAACAGTTGCCCGGGACATCTCCCTTCGAATCATGCCAACCAGTTCTTCCTGATCTGGGATAGTCGTCACGGTTTCTCGTCTTGCCCTAGGGCCTGATTCCTGCTGGTCCGTATCTGATGCGTGACTGCCCTCGACATCACGCATTGTTTCTTGGCGCACAAGCTGAGCCTCTTGTTTCTGAAGCACTGCTGCCGCAATTCGTTCTTCGGTTGCCTTTGCATCCGCTTCTGCTTTGAGACCTGCGTAGTGTGCCCGTCGATAGACGCCCACATAGCTGAGTACAAAGCCCAGAATTTCATAAACGAAGAGAACAGGCAGCGCGTAGTACAGCTGCGGATTGCAACCGCCGGACCAGATGTCGATCAGTATCTGAAACACGGAATGCGAGGGAAGCGCAAAGCCCACTCTGTAGAAGGCGGAAGATAGCTCGAATGGAAGAAGGATAGAGGTGACATTCGTCACAATCCAAGTAATAAGAGCCATTGGGATATAAGGGGGCGGAAGCCAAATGGTAAACACATCCAGGACGAGGAAGTTGAGGTGAGCAAATAACCAGAGTACTGCCCATGTCAGAGCAAACTGGTTTCCATTCACGTGCCAACCACTCCGGAATGCCCAAATTGCACCTGCGGTGCAGAGAGAGCCGATAAGAGTGTAAGTGACCGATATTATGAGACGCACAATAGCCATCCGACGGGGTGCCACTGCGGTCCACAAATTGAATTGAGCGTAAAGACCATTGACCGTGCCAAGGTAGAAAAATTCCTGGATGATGATCAAGATGACAACGAGAGTATTGTAAATCAGCCGGGATCCCTGTGACGTGGGCTGCAAATCAAAGTCGGCCAACGTCCAGGGTTCATAGAAGATGGACGTGGCAGTAGCGTCAGAGGTGTTCAAGTTCTCTAGAACTTGCTTTCCGTTTGCCTCGAAATATGCCACACGTGCACTTTGCGATAAAGTCTTGAGGTTGCTTTGGACGGTTGAGTCGACAATTGCTGGGTAACGCGCTTCGTTCCATACCATTGTGAGAACATCGCTCTTGTCGTAAGATGATGCCGCCGATCCTCCTGCAAAAGCTGCTTCCAAGGCATTCGACGAATTCGCTGTGGTGTATAGAGCCGCCCAATATTCGATGTCGCACACGGCACCTTTAATTGAGCCTGGTAGGGGATAGGCAGAGGCAGATCGCTCCATAAGTGTTGGGAAGCCTCGCCCTTCTAATTTTTTGTACGCGTCGCGTACCGCGTCTCCGATCGCGCCACCATCGTAATCCACGAACAGGACATTAATTTGATGAACATGTGTAGTTTGCTGAAAAAGAGATCCAAAGAGATAGCAAAATAATCCCAAAAAGAGCAATTGGAGGTAGAGAAGGTTTATTCCAGCGGCTCTGAGAACAGCCAATCGACGTGGCCGAACGGATGGGTGGTGGATGCTGGGCCGCGGCTCTCGTCCTTTAGGGTAGAACTGCATGCCTCGTGGGCGATAGCTGTGTGCCAGCTGACTCGAATGAAGTGGAATCTCTCACACTTGACGCAGTGGGGGGATTTTGGTGATCTTAAGGTAAAATAAAGCTGGACAATTCCGACACGTCGATCCGATGAGAAAAGTAAGCATCCGATCAAAGGTAAGCGTCGGTCATGCTAGACCCGAAGGCCGAAGAAAATTCCCCAGCGGGTCCCGAGCAGTCTCCGCTCAGAGATAAAGTATTTTAAGCTTGGGATCGACCTGCAGGACCAGAAAGATGAGGGAAATTTCTAAAATGCCAATACAACGAAGGCGAGGATAAGAACTTTCGAAGTGACAGAACTCGCGACAAGTCATTCAGCGTGTGCTTTTAGGCTGAGGTCAACTTTCGGTTCCGTACGGGTGTTGGCCTAGATCCTAAGGCAGATATGGCAGGACGAGTTTCCCATTTCGGCCGTTTATGGGTCTCCTAAATTCTTGGCGGCTGCGTTGCTTTTTTGTCGCAATGTGAACGCTGAAATCGAAGCGGAAATGCATTGGGGTTTTTGACGCAATGAAAGTACAAGAAAAACAAACAAACAAACATTGTTACCAGGACACCAAAACTCATGTCTTCTAGTCGTCACTGGGCTCTGAGTGAAGGATGATAGAGTCCTTCATTTCTGCCGGAAGGAGAAACCCGCTGATACACAAACTCGTTGCTCTTTGTTCGCTCCTGGGCCATGTCTGGGGCTGCCAAGGTGGATTGATCGCTGAAATTTTTGAAACACAACTGCTTTCGCGGACACATCTGAGGGCCGCCCTAGGCACAAAGGGGCCCCTGGTGAATCATTCCCTGCTGTATGCCATAGTAGATATACGCTTTGAGACAGTTTCTTTCTGTTCCATGTGTATCCGGTCCCAAGGACCACTGCCCTTTCAAATTGTGTCGAGTGCGAAGTATGACTCGCATCGCACGGGCTGTCGACTTCCACCACCTGACAGACAACATATGCATCATCTCCCCGAAGAGCTGCAGAGCATTCGCCCCAGCCTGTTATGGGTGGGTATCCTGGTGGGCTGCTCAGCTTTGGGAGAACGGGGTTCATGATCAAAGAAAGGTCGTAATCATACCCTGTTGGGTATGATTTTGTGGGGCTCGGCTGATCGTAGGTGTATATGACAGTCGCAGGCTAATTTTGTCAGAATCTCAATGTGGAAATGGGTTTGTGGACGTACATCTTCCTTAAGGGAGCTAAGACTAGCGCCGGTTCCAGCAGAGTGGTTCGTCAATCCGTGGCACCTGCGAGCCCAAATTGACCGACATGTCATCACCAGCCCTCTTATTTTGGCTACCCATTCCTGGAATGCAAAACCCATGGATTCTCGTGGTTGACAGGAGATGGCGAGGCTCATCATGTCATGCGTTCTGGTGGTGATAGCGACGGAGCCATTCTGCAACATCACCTTCAGTCCAACACACGCGGAATGAGCTCGACATTGGCTTCTCGTGGTCTCTGATCCTCTCGTTTGCGCAGCATCCACGTCTAGCTTGTGCTCGATCGCTGCTGCCGTACAACCGTCCAGAGCGACATCGTACTCCACTCGAAGACCGGCGAACCATAATGGCCAATTGTGACGGTACCTAAGGCGTACATATTTCATATGCTCGTACAAGACAACCATGAACCCTGCAACACGGATCTCGACACCTATGGCCTTCGGAAACGCGTTTCGAACAGATTCTAGTTGGGCTGGTCTGAGGAATCGCCTTGGGTTGATGTTTCGCGTCGGATACCAATTGCGTCCATCGCCATAAGGCTTGCTGACTCTGCGACTGATGTAGGCATCATACCTTCCGGGGAAGTAATGTATCGGTCTTCCGCCAGCATAGACGCTTTTCGAGCTGTCGAGTGGTGAGTCCACGAACCAGAAAACTTGACCGAACTCGGGCTGCGTGACCCAGACATTCCTCTGTCGGAGAGATGGATGTCGACTGCGGACGAGTCTCTCGGTCTGCGAATCCAAAACCGTTATTGATTCAATCTCAGTTTCGTCTCCCTCGAAGGTATCGTCATGGTAATCTGCCTTGCTTGTAAGTGCCCATGGATTGAATGTTGGCGGAATAAGAGTGGGCTCAATTACATAGTACTTCACGGGGTGCGCGATTGAATCGTCGTCTTGACCCAGCCCAGCGAACGATGTCTTGCTCAGTGACGGAAATATCAGGGTAGGGAAATTGAATTAGCCTCCCGCGGAGGTTGGTTTGAGTGTTTATTCTGTTGCTGCGACGGGGAAGCTGTGAAGGATTGAAAACAAGAGCAGAGGCGAAGAAACAGTGAAAGTAGCCGTATCGGGAAGTTTTTCAAAAAAGGTGTTGGAAAGAGAAAGAGGTAGCGCTACAAAAGGTGTCACCTGACATCTCTCCCCCTCCGCCTTTGCAAAGGTGCGCTTGTAGCTATATGTTCTCTGTACCAGATATCTGTTTTCAGTCAAACAAAAAATCTCTATGCTTTTCCTACATGGGTGTAAATCTCGGACGGCCAGCTTGTGACGCCCAGTGTCTCTGATCTCCAACTATTGAGAGCACGAGAGAACAAAAGTTTATCCCAATTTCTTGCATTGTGGTAAACCTGAGGAGAGAAGGAGAGCGGGAGCGAGCTCTAGGTCTCCTGCGGCGGGCCTGACCAATCTGGCAGCCACGAGCTCCGACATCAACTCAGTAAGTAGGAGAAAGACAGCACATAACAGAGTAATTATCACAGCTCTGTTGTTGTATGAAAGTTCCATGAAAGGGTTGTTGAAATGTGAGTTGACCTTATTCCTCGGTTCCTTCTTTCGCTACTTTTTTCGGATTCTAACTCCCAAACCCAATTGCATCTTTTGTTGGGCAACGATCATCTCGTTATCTGATAGGTGGGAGTCATGTTATCCATGGAGTCTTTCGCAGGTAACTCTGGTGTGACTATCGACTTGATTGATGCATGAGTCTGAATCATATATGCAGCCTTGCTGCATGATCTGTAGTGCAATTTACGCAAGGTTGGCTATTTCAAGGAAACAGGATTTTTTGAGCCAGCAATTTTCAACTCTACGTAAAGCAAATGCTCTCTAAAACCAGACCCCCAACATTTTTATTCAACCATAGTTGACCAGACTGAAGACGAAACGTTAACTGTTGAATAATCCGATGTTGAATAATCAAATATTCGACGAAGGTGGGTCCGCTCTGGCCAATCAGACAAGGCCTACCTATGCTCGCAGACACCGATCCGGTGGCTGCGATGAGGAGGCGTCTTACTTCTCAAGTTCGGAGGTACAGATGGGTTTAATTCTGCAACTGCTGATATGAGATCAACCTCGGTCTTTTCCGAGCAAGGGGTCCGTCCACATAAAATATGCCCGATTTCGCCATACCCGCATCTTGTCCCATGATGAGTATGTTAATAAAGGACCCTGATCCGTTTGAATTGATTTCTTTCCTGGGTGACAAACTTCACCATCTTGCCTTTATACAACGACACCCCAGCTTATCGACATGGCACAGTCAGTTGAAGACGCAGAAGCGGGCTCAGGTGATACCACACCAAATCCTTCATCCGCATACAGAGAGCCCATCAAGCATGAACGCGATCTCCCACTGAAAAGCTATTCTCAACTTGAGAACTGGGATGATGATCCAGAAAATCCTTACAATTGGTCGACAGGACGAAAAGTAAAGCAAGTTGTCATGCTCTCATTCGCAGCTTTCACAACGTGAGTAAACCGGATCCAATCGTTTGGCATGGGTGTACTGATTGTAGGTTCAGATCTGTTGGTGTCTCCATATTGAGCCCCGCCCATGGAGAATTCATGGAGGAGTTCAATATCGGTAGCACGGTCGCAATATTACCTCTGTCACTATATTGCTTCGCACTAGGACTAGGACCTGTTGTCGGGGGACCTCTTTCTGAAACAGTCGGAAGATATCCAGTCTATGCCAGTATGATGCTACTTGGGACAATGTTTACTATAGGTGCCGGCTTCAGTCCCACCTTCGCAGGGCTATGCATCCTGCGGTTTCTGGCTGGGTTTTGTTACGCACCCACATTAGCGATTTCCGCCGGAAGTATCAATGAGACCTTTCGACCTGTCAAACGTGCGCTTCCATCAACTATATTTGTTTTGATGCCTTTCTTGGGCCCAGGGCTGGGGTGGGTTACTCATTGACCATGATCCAAAATGATTTTGGCTAATCACAACTCAGTCCCGTCATTGGAAGTTTTGTCGTCAATCGGAAGGGTTGGCGTTGGACCCAATGGACAATCGTTTTCTTCGCCATTGCCACTCTAATTTCAATTGCCCTCTCTGGGGAGACTTTTCATCCTGTTATCCAACGCCGCCGTGCGAAGGAGCTAGGACAGGAGTTGTCTCCACCACCACCTCTCTCCTCGAGAATCCGTCTCTTTGCAACTATTGCACTTATTCGACCTGTGCATATGTTGGTCACTGAGCCCATCGTCAGTTTCGTTTGTATGTACGTTGCGTGTGAGTTTGCAACACTGTTCACATTCTTTGCTGCAATTCCCTTGATATATCAAGGCGAATATCACATGTCCCTTGAAGTGTCCGGGTTGATATTTCTAGCAATTGTCGTTGGGTGTTTACTAGGAGTTGTGACAGTCTTACTGTGCAACATCTTTTTCTACCTCCCTCAGACAGCAAAGTATCCAAGCCAGCAAGTCCCACCCGAGCATCGTCTGTACCCTGCGCTCATCGGAAGTATTGGGCTGCCGGTAGGATTGTTCTGGTTTGCATGGACGGCAAGATCCGACATATCCTGGGCAAGCCCCACAGTTGCTCTCATGGTGTTTGCTTGGGGAAATCTATGTGTTTTCGTCAGTACCACGTTGTATCTTGTCGATGCCTACAGAGGCCTCACTGTCGCAAGCGCAATGAGCGCCAACAGCTTGGCGAGATATGGACTTGCAGCCGCTTTCCCTCTCTTCACCATCCAGAGTAAGTACCATTATCTTGCAAGCTATTAAACATTGATACTCACACTATTATAGTGTATACCAGACTGGGAACAGGGTGGGCCTCGAGTTTGTTGGGCTTCATCGCTGTTTTACTGTTACCCATCCCGTGGGTTTTCTTCAAATATGGGAAGAAACTAAGATCCTGGAGTAAATATGAGACCATGGAAGGCACCCCTGGTTGAGTCATTGTGAAAGTTGTTATCGAAGTGAATTCCTTCTTCTGCAATACATGGTACATAGAATGAACAAATGGTAAACTCTCACAGTGCTCTCTGTTAGCCTGAACACCTTCAAGCAAGCAAGGCAGAGGATGTAGTCAACTTTCATGATAGTTCCCAGTTTCTTAGCTACTGTATGCGACCTCGGGATCCATGTCGCGTAGGTATGGTTTCTACAAACATACGACGGACCGCTGATGGGCCCCGAGGTGAGCTCCACTCCCAACAAATGGAGCCGAACCCTCAACCCGTGGGCCTTGGATACGCCCTCCCGGGCCCACTTTCGTGATCCTTTAACGCAGGGTTCGTTGGGGACGCGGCGGTGACTCAATTGACGTACAGTTTCAACTTGATAACAAATCAATTAATTCAGCATATAAATATCCTCTGTGGTCTCGGAAGAAGAGTTTGTTATGCTTGAGTAACCATAAACCCAAAACCTCACCAACCTTTTCTCAACAATATGGCTGTCCCTCGGATAACGCTTTATTTTGACATTTGCAGTCCTTTCAGCTACATCGCCTTCCATATTTTGACTGTAAGTCAATTTATTCACCGCAAATAATAGCATCAGCTAACCCTAGCTTGCAGAACTCCCCTGTCTTCTCGACATGCGAGATTGATTTCGTACCAGTCTCTCTGCGCGGACTATTCCAAAAATCCCAGAACTCGTCCCCAATGTCAAGCAAAAGTAAGGCCTGGATACTTTTTACACTCTCGAGGATCAAATTTCGGGGCTTTGGAGCACGGGATCTAACCAAAGTTGCAGACAAGTTTCAATGGATAAACAAAGAGCGCCTTTACTGGGCTCGACGCTTCGATGTTCCCATGTCCGAAGCTATCCCAGAGGGGTTCCCTGCATCCACTGCGGACATCCAGCTTGTTCTCTCTGTTCTGGCTAAAGAGGCGCCAGAGAAGGTAGTGGCGATGACGCAAACAATTTACCGTGAATATTGGGGGAAGTGCAACCCGAAAGTCCTGAGCCCAGATGGTTTCTCTGTTCTTCTGGAGCAAGAGTTAGGATCTGAATTGGCTGAGCACGTACTAGCACAGGTAAGTTGTCTCTTGCTGAATTGGACTATGTATGCCTCTGATACCTTCTCACTTCACAGAGTAAGACGGATGAAGCGAAATCAGCCTTGGATGAGACTACGGAAAAGTTATTTGGGTCTGGGGCATTTGGCTTGCCTTGGCTGAGCTGTACCCGCCCACAAGGAGAAACAGAGGGATTCTGGGGTATTGATCATTTTGGTCGTGTCGTGGATTTCTTGCATTTGAACCGTGCTTTGGATAGCTCTTTTGAAGTTTTGCTATGAGACTCAAGATTAGCTGAATGGTTGAACGGCTGCACGTTGAATCCTTTGTCCCAAAGCAAGCCAGGTTAGACTACCTAATATCAGATTTCGTTTTAACTCGGTCAAAGGCTGCGATTCTCTTCAGACTGCCACCTTACCAAATTTTACTTGTCTTTTCATCATACACAGTATTCTTTTCTCTCTCTTATGTGCATCGATGGCCCCTGCTTCACAGCACCAGTTGCGACATTATCACAGCAAGGTTGACTCGGATATTCGGGCTTAACTGAAGATACCCGAATGAAGAGTTGATATCTGCCAAAAAGGCTGCAGCGCAAAGCGATAACCGAAATTACCAACAGTAGTTATTCCCGTTGAGTGCGATCTTAGCAGTGTGACCGGGATCTACATACTAGCAGATGGCTGTTTCAACAGACCAGTCAAAATCGCCCAGATGCTCTGACTTGCCGAGATAACGCGAGATTAGTAATCATGTTTATTTGCCCTTCTGGGTGCCCAGGTTGTTTGTTTGTTTCCTTTTTCGTATCTTTTTTCATGTCTTCTTTTCACCCTTTCTTTGGGCCTCAGAGCCGTGCTTCGTAGGTGCATTCACTACTGTTGGAGTCTTGAAGACTGAAATCCTGAAATTATCATCTGAATATATGAGCCAAGCTCGATCGACACTCACATTCTCAGCCCGATCAATAATATTGGTACTACGGTACTGCACTAGTCGAACTCAGGTCTTGATCTCCATTTGTCCTTGCCTGTACCCCAGAAATTTTCATCCCGTAGTCCCGCGTGCTCAATAATGCGAAGAGCGTCATTCGGAGCGCTGATCAAGTTGAAATGACATCAGAGAGGAAAGTCTTCACCGACAGCCGCACCCATGCGGGGTAGAATCGCCGATTCTTTCGATCAATGATCTTGATGATCATGCTAACCAGATTTGATTCACGAGTCATGCAGAAGGTCTGATGCATCGAGTTGTCCGGTTTGGTCCCCTTGGTCCCCTTGTTTCTCACAACCAAATATGAGTCGAAGCATGAAAACTGCAGAGTTCTACTCCGTGGGGGTTACCATCAATAAGAGTAACAAGATCCAAAGTCAAAAAATCGAGGCCAACACATCGTGGAAAGGTCGGAAGCCACGCGCCTGGCGAAACGGCAGCCAAGTCGTTGGGCGCCCCTTGTTTCCCCCTTGGGACCCCTTGGGGCCTTGGAGGGTGGCTTGGTTCAGCCTATCAGTCAGCCTCGACCAAAGGCCGTATTCTAGCATGGTCTATTAAGCCTGAGGCTGCATGTATTATCATCTCGGCTAGACTCGCACTTTTCTGGGCTTCTTTCTAAAACCTCTGCGCCCTTGCATCGTATCCTCACATCTCCTCCCGAGTCTGAGCCTTCGCCAATTGTCGGATGACCAAACCCAATATCACTGGATTAAGCAAAGCTCTGACCAAGATCGACGATCACACCTCACTCAGCGCCCACTCCGATCTGCCTTTCATGGGGTGGAGTGGACCCTGGCGGTTGGTTCCCCACATGCGGCCTAACTTTCCTGGTCGTCCATGGGGGATCTGCCGACCTCAAGAGTTTATAGATTCTCATTTTATGGTAAATCAAAACAAATTGTAGTTAGATTCGATGATAATCACTCCACCTGACTAGTAGACGGTCTTTGAATGTGATATCGACTTCACCGAACTTCGACAATCTCACGCAGCCTCACACTAGAGATGCATGTCGTGGCAAGTCGACAAGGATGTAGACCCCACCGACGTGATTCCGCATGGCTTTTATCCAGTCATCTTGCAGTTATTCCAGCACCTCGGGAGTCCCAGCTATTTTCATAATCAGCACACAAATTCTAGACCAAAAGTAATGTTCCGAGCCCAAGCACGTCCACAAATCTTCTTTGTGCCGTAAACAGACCCTTCCCGGATGCAGCCCCACGGCCCCCTGCCGCCGTTGTAACTCCGCGCTCCTAACCCTTAAATAGCGCATCCCGATATTTGTTTTTCTGGAAAAGCAGCCACAGCACGAGCTTGCACATGAGTGGGTCGCTGGTTTTAGTCTTTGCTCGGCTGCTGCCACCTGATGGATCCCCGTATCAGGTGTGCGGGAGGGTATTTGACCGCCATTGTTCCCAATCAGTGAGACAGAATCCGCATTAGACTTAGGGCACAAAGATGCCCAGAGGTGAGAATACCTTTTCGGGGGCCACTTGGCTCCGAGATAGATGGAAAGTGGAGAGAGAGAGAAAAGCGAAAGGCACATATAAAGGTTGCTCCCCTCCCTGGTCCTGTCTATCATCTCCAGATCTTCAGGATCAGCGGCTCTTTCAATTCTTACTTTACTTTACTCCCATTCCTCTGATTAGTCACTGAATATGCAGCCATTTTTCATCGCATCTCCCTCCACATGGGCCTTGATTGCCCTGTCTCTACTCTCAACGGTCTTGGGATCGCCGCTACTTCAGAAGCGGGCAAAGGGACCATGGCTCGGCCTGAATACCAACTTCCCTGACCCCAGTTTTATGAAAGCTGCCGATAACAAATGGTATGCCTTTGGTACTAATGGCAACGGCAAGCGGGTTCAAGTCGCTACATCTGATGACTTCAATACCTGGACTTTACTTGATGTCGAGGCTCTTCCTACTTTGTCAACATGGGAAACCAACATCGACCACTGGGCTCCAGACGTGGTTATGCTGGTAAGTGACCGGAGCTAAGATCAAACTTTGAATTCAAAATGCTAATCCTCCCAGGATAACGGGAAATATGTCATGTATTACTCCGGTGAAGCCAAATCTGACCTGCGACATCACTGCGTCGGCACAGCCGTCTCCGACAGCCCTGCTGGTCCATATGTTCCTAACAACACCCCTCTCTCTTGTCGCCTTGACCAAGGTGGATCAATCGATCCAGCCGGATTCAAAGACAAGGATGGCAGCCGATATGTTGTTTTCAAGGTCGACGGCAACAGCAAAGGCCACGGCGGAGACTGCAATAACGGCATCGAGCCACTAGTCGGAACCCCCATCCTCCTGCAAAAGGTCGGCGCCGATGGATTCACTCCCGTTGGCGATGCGGTTCAAATCCTCGACCGCAATACAGCCGATAACGACGGACCTCTCGTTGAAGCCCCGAATCTCATTCTGCAGGGCGATACGTACTTCCTTTTTTACTCTACTCACTGCTTCACTGATCCCAAGTATGATGTGCGTTACGCGACTGCTTCTAGCATCACTGGACCATACAAGAAGAACAATGTTCCCATGATCGATGCGGGAAACACGGGTCTGCTCTCGCCTGGTGGCGGGACGGTTTGCGGTTGCGGTGATCGCATGCTCTTTCACGCATTCTGCACTGAGGCAAGAACTGATAGGTGCACCTACGTCGCTGATGTCATTATCAATGGACAGACGGCGTCAGTTGCGTGAGATTTTGTTTACAACCTTTTCGCTTTTTCGTCAATTGACTTGCGGACATACCTCACTTTATTTTTCGACTTCATCTATTCTAGTCATGATACCAATGAGATTTTCCTTTTCGTTCGAGCCTTCATTGATTTTTGATCTGAGCTTCGCTTTTGTATAATGCGAGGTTGAACTCTAAACTGTAGTTGTATTTTGAGTGCCGAGGTCCCGGGGTCTTTGTCTTCATTATTCATTACTATGATCATATCTATATGTAGCTAGGAGAAACTCTCCTTCTCATCTCGAGCACCCTTTTTTTCAAGCGAAGTCTTGACCCATTCTGCTGCACCCTCAATAGCCGTTGCAGGAGTTTCCTTGTGATTCAGAAGGTAGCCTTGGATCTCGGCAGCCGTGAACTTTCCAGCCGGAACGACCGCGGCGAACTCGGCAGCCAAGCCAGAAATGCGCAATCGAAGCGCTTGAAGTCGAGCTTGGAATTCTGCTTTTTCATCTCTTGAGCTAACAGCGACAGCTCCGTTGAGCTTCTCGTTGGCCTCGGCCTTGCCATTCGATAGTCCAGTAGATTTGTTGCTGGCTGCCTGCTTGGGCAAGCCGTGGGTGATAGTGGACAGTATTTGATCACGGGCTAGATCACCCTCCATCGTGACATAGATAGAGGTAAATAGCTCTATAATGTCTGCTTCACTCGTGTAGCCAAATGTGATAGTCATATCAACACGACCAGGGCGCAGCAGAGCTGGATCCAGCTTATCCGCGTGGTTGGTAGTCATGACTAAGATTCGGCCTTCCGTAGCGGCGACACCATCAATGACATTCAAAAGTCCTGATAGGGTGATGCCGCCCTTTTTGGTTTCTTCGGCAACGGGTTTGACGTCAACGGCACCCTTGCCTTCATCGGCAAGATCCTCACTTGCTGGGGGCTCGACCGTTGCAGTTATTCCTCGAGTCTTTGTGATACCAGCAGAGTCAACGTCTTCAAGTAGAACAATGCATCGACGCGGGAGATCGGAAAACAAAGAAGACAGACTCTCCTCGTCCAAAGATGTAGAGTTCAGATCTAGGAGGTAAAGCTTCAATCCAAGAAGTCCCGCTGCAGCAAAGCAAAGACTGGTTTTGCCAGTTCCAGGAGGGCCGTGGAGGAGATATCCTCGACGGTACGGGATACCGCGGTTTGAGTACCAGCGACGTGTCCGAGGGTGCAGATACTCCTTGATGTCATCAACGAAGTCATCCTTTTGAGTCTGATCGAGAATGACCGTTGACAAAGGACGTGGCACACGGGCCATACAGCGGAGCCAATAGTAGGAGCTTCCAGGATAATGCCGCCCACCACGATAGATGACAGTCATGTTGCCGTCACGTTCAACGTACGCCTGCTGCGCTTCAATCAAGAGTGACTTAAGGATTGTGGGGTTGCGACCTAAGCATGAAAGGTACAAGCGCTCGTTGTTCAGAACATAACGTGAACCGCCTTCTTTATTGGCGCGCGTGAGCATCATAGGGCGGTTTTTATACCAGAAGTAGTGAGAACCTTCGGCGGGTGTGAATTGTAACGTTTTGTACTTGTCGCGGCTGAGGACTTTGGCCCAGTAGGTGTCAAATGTATTCTCGTTTGTAGCGACAGCGTTTCCAGTATCCAAGTCGAACAGGTCTTCCGTATCATCTGCATCTTCATTGTCGCTGTCTTCGTCGTCGCTGATGTACCCGTTTGACTTGATGCCGGCCACAAAGCGATTCGCCCGTCTCATCTGGGGCTGACGCGAAACCCAGTACATGAGATAATTGAAAATCTCATCGTCCAGGCGAATTTCAGCCCTCGAGATGAAGAAATCGCTGAACCGCTCCCAGATGAAGTAGAAGACGTAGCGGAAGCCTGCACCAAAGACGGTGAATGCGATCATCAGCTGAAAGTAGGCGGTAATGTCAAAGTTGAGATACGACATCAAGAATCGCGAAATAAGACCGAAGCCAGGAACGATAGCTTCCAACATAGCTGTATCTGAGGTCGACAGCGGCCCCGCCGTGGTGCGGGTTGAGTTGAGATCCATGATCTGATGGGCCTGGAGTGACCCGACTGACGACTGCGAGGATTTTGGAAGATTTGAGCGGTCGCAGTATTGAAATCAAGGAAGACCCTGAATGGTTTGTTCGACCGTTAGGTCGCACGCGTTTTATAGTTGGGAAGGAAGAGTAGCAGAGCCTCAACGAGTCAGGCATCCGCGCTCGGACACCTAATCGGGCATCTGGCTATGTTGATCAGCCTAGATGGGAGCTGAGTCTGGGAACCCCGTTGACGCATTCTGGGGCTGCAGGATCGGATCTGCAGGTTGATTGGACCTCGTTTGTTTGCTGCGGCGTCTGCCTGGTGTGTTGAGTCACCGTTGCATATAATTCGGCGGTAAGGGCACAATGAGCCGTGGGCGTGCTCCGCCTGCATACCTTCCAAGGTTGGATTTTAAAGGAACAAGACAATGAATCACACCTGGGCAACTACTTCGTACGGACACACCGTGTCCAATGGCACAAATGTAAATTCATCAAGTTCCATGGTTGTGGGGAAAAACAAAAGATCAAAAAAAGATCAAAAAGAAATCTCTCCCTCGGGGAATCGAACCCCGGTCTCCCGCGCTTATCGGTGTTAATGACAAGCGGAAATCATCACCACTAGACCAAGGAAGATAAGAAGGCTGAGTTACTGCTCGACCACTTGGCTGGTTGATAAAATGACTGGCCATTTGTGTCATCATGAGCCTTTCTTTGGATAAGGCGCAACTAATTGAAAGCATGTTCCCAAGAATGTATGGCAGCAACTTGTATATGGAATCCATAATAATCCTACGGCAAAAGCGAACAAATACAAAAAGTAACATGGCGTGAATTTTCAACGCCAAGTTGAGATAGTTAAACATTATGTACGGAGTATGGTTATGGGTATCAAACACAAATCCCAAAGCACAGGATGAACCAAAAGTTACTACTTATCAGAGTGCGGATGGTTGCCCTTGATAGCATCTGCGACACCTCCAGCCCAATCTTTGATATCATCGACTTTGTCCCAAAGACTGTCCCACCAGCTTCCACCCTTGCCGCTGTCGCTCTTATCATCTGCAGTCGGGGACTCGCTTGGTGAGTTGGTGGGCTGTGTTGATGACGCCGGTGTTTGTGCCGATGGCCCTTCCGCTGTTGTCGTCTGAGCAGGTGGATCCGCAGGAGTTTCTAGCACGGGGGTATTTTCGTCGGAGTGAAGGCCCACTGGCTTCAATGGGAGACGCAGCGTTCCATTGCTTGGGAGAGGATCCACTCCCAAAGAGTCACAGATGATATTATAGACCTCGACATTTTCTGGCGGAACATGTTAGAACTCGTTGCACTTGGTGGTTTCAGTTTGTACTTACGGAAGGGTTCGACTCGGCTGTTGGCCTTGTGCGGGAAGGCTGGACCGCGGGCAACAAAAATTGCCCGCATCAACGGATTTTCATGGTCATACCCATGGATTCCGAGTGGGTGATAGACATCCCCATTCTTCAAGGCCTCTTTGACATTGAACTCGGACCGATCGACAATGGCCCAGCCGGTTTTAGGAATAACCCACAGCGGCGCAATGCGATCGTTGCTAGCAAAGTGATACCGCTCAGGCATGGTATCTCGGGTGTAAAACTCAAAGGCATGCTCCCATTCAGGTGCAACCTTTTCCAACTGCTTCTGAAGGACCTCCAGGTCTTCTGGTCGCTTGGGTCGCAGACCGCTGGATGGCCATCCATCAATATGTTCAATCAGATCATAATCAATCAGATCATCCAGCTGAATCAGCCTCTCGGTAGATGTAGAGGCCATCCCGTGGTCGGAAACAACTACGATGTTAACCACCTCGGTCAAGTTTCGCTGGTTCAAGCCGGCCATTAGCTCAGCAATCATGCTATCGGCATGCGATATCGTTGTTCGGATTTCCGTGCTATTGGGGCCAAACTTATGCCCGTCACGATCCACGTCTGGAACGTAAGCCGCGATAAATTGCGGCCGCTCGGGTACCAGTTGCGAGTCATCTTCAAGCCCTGGGAGATCCAAAAATTCAAAGATGCGATTGACCTTCCGGGACAAGACTTCTGTGCCGTTGTACTTGTCCACAAATGTCGGCTCTTTGTCTCCAATGTGTGCTTCTGACCCAGGCCACATGTGAATGGCGGTCTTCACCCGTTGCTTCTCAGCAGTCACCCAGAGCGGCTCAGCCATCCACCACTTTGGTTGCATGCTGACCTCAGGATGGGTGTAGTAGAAATCCTCATTCATCTTTGGGTCCCAGAACGTGTTGCCCACGATTCCGTGGCTCTCCGGATAGAGCCCAGTCATAAGTGTGAAGTGATTTGGAAAAGTCACACTCGGGAAGCTGGGGTTCATGTATTGTGGTGAGACGCCGCTTGCGACGAGAGAGTTGAGAGCTGGGGTCAAGCCCCGGTCAAGGAAATCGGCGCGGAAGCCATCGAGAGAGATCAGGATAGTAGTCGGTGCGAACAGCGCGGTGCCGTTTGAGAGTAAGGGCGGAGGAGGGTGAGCGCGCATCGCACGGAAGCCATTAGAAGCTTTGTAGGCCCCGAGGACGAGGATCAAAAATAGCACGAGCACAAGAGCGGAGATGAAGAGTATTTTTCGCCACGAAGGCCGTGATGGCTATCACAAATTAGCAACTCGTCATTGAAACAGTCCCAAGCTTCCTCTTACCGGCTCGTATGTGTATTCGTCCTTCTCGTCGCTGTCCAGTGTTGAACCACTCAGCAGAGAGGCGTTGTCATCACCGATTCCCTCCTCCATCTCATACATCAGCTCGCCATCCTCGCTGACTCGCTCACGGCGGGATCCCCGCCGCGACCGCCGTCCTTTGGGTTTCTTTCCAATTTTCACACTGCCTTCAAGGGGGCTGAATATCCTCCGTATTCCTTGCCCGGCACCACGACGGGTCAAAAGGTTTTCGAGTTCATCCTCATCTTCTAGCACTGCGCGGTCGTGCTCCGCTAGTTCCATGGTGCTGCGGTTTTGGTCGAGAAGGGCATCGTCATCGGAATCCGAATCCTGCTCGGAGGGCGACCGCAACGAAGACGCATCGTTGTCATAATTTGCGGGTGATAGGAGAGAATGACTGCGGTCTGGGCGTCGCATTGCTCATGAGGACGTTGGCAGAGGTACGGGGACGTCTAATCGGAGAAAGGGAGGGCCAAGACCGCCAAGACCCGACGACGATTTGAAGGACAGTCTCGTTTTTGCGACATTGCGTTAGTTGTGATACATCCTGTATGAAGTACATGGCTGAATTGCCTTTATTATATGAGTAATTCCAAATTTTTTCATCGAGATTGCAAATCCAGGTCATAAACTCTATTTTGTGTGTGTACAATTTGCTGTCTTCGCGATGGTTGTTCTGTGAGAAGGACGGAGTACTCTTCCCCACTGCAAAACAAACTTGACTTCTGCCATCTACCAGACGCTCGATGTTCGCGACAACTATCGACCATTATGCGAACGGTAGACATATGATTCATGAAAAATGAAGCTCTCCGGCGTACCATTTCGATCTACGCATGTCGTCAGCAGCATTCTCAATGTTCGAAAATGACAACTCTCAGAGGCCGATCGGATGTGAACGCCACTGACGAACACAATTAAGCTTTGGGTTGGAAATGACACATGCTTGTGCATTGTTCCTCTGCCCACAACCAATATGAGGTGGTCTGGGTTGAGCCGCGTCGATGCAGGCCATGTTGTGCCGGATGCAGTATCCCTAGCTGATCGGCCGAGCTGTCAGTCCTGTACCGACGAGAGGCCTTGCGGCTAACAAGCAGTGTGAACTAAATGGCGCTGCTGCTATGACACGCGGTGAATTTATTATTCATGGACAAATGCGTCTGTCTTATGTCCGCGCATGAACAAGGCCGGGACATTGTCATCCTAGCATGCATGTCCCGCGAGGGATGCCAAAGCCCAGGACAATAAACGATCGAGAGACACATCCGGAAACAAATCAACATGACCTCTAAGTCTGTTTTGTTGTACTCCGCCGCATAGGATACTAGGTTATTGAAACCTCTCCCAAGGCTGGTAAGTGCTCACCCATTTCCAAGGTCGGTTTCAACCTGCATTCAAATGAGTTATTTGCAAAAGCCAGCCAATTGCCCGATCGTGTATAAAGAGTCACCACTTAGCACTCACTATGACACCTTTGGCGTCGATCCTCTTGGAATTCCTCACTGGCGTGGTGTTGTTCAAACCGCTTGCGATGCCTCGCCTTCCTATTTGGGAAACCATATCACGTGACTCTCTCGGCCGCGCGCCAGTGATCTACAGCATCGCTCAATGGTCCCCACCGTTCTTCTCGGGCGAACAGCCAATCGATGACTCTGTCGGTGCCGGGCTAAACCCGATCCTATCAGGGTTGCACGGCGGGTCCGTAACTGAAGCCCCAGTGTGACATCTGCCTTCATATCCCCGGATGCGGAAGTGAAGCTGCAAATTTCTTCTTACCGTGGTTTCCATCGAGGGCAGAGAGGAACACAGCGGCATATGCGAGGAACAATCCCAAGCTGAAAATTTCTGTCTATTCGTGTCATCACCATACAAACCTAAAATTGATCTATACAAGCCGCATTTGGATGCCCAAGAGATCTATAAGTATCGGATCCTCATCTTCCAACTTCCACTTCCGATTTTTTCTCCAGCCGCATCAGCACTATCCTAATTGGTAAGTCCTGCACACTTTGCTATGGGCATATAAGCCCTTGCCGTCATGTCCTGTTGCTAATCCTCTCACAGCTTCGTCTTTATCACCTACTTAATCAAAATGCACTTCACTGCCCCCTCCGTTGCCATCTTGGCCCTCGCTGCCGGTGTCTCTGCCGGTGCTGTCAACAAGCAGCACGAGCCCCCCGTCCACGGCGGCAAGAGCGTCGGCAAGCACCAGGCTACTGGCGCTACCGGTATCTCCACTGGCACCCACCCCATCATCACCGGTGCCCCCAGCAACGGTACCCACGGAGGCAAGAACGGCACTGTTACGGTGACCTCCTCTGCTCCCTGCTTCAGCTGCCACCACGGTAGCTCTACCATCCCCGTCTCTGTGCCCAGCAGAACCCCCGGTGCCACTCCCTCCGGCGGCGTTATTGGAGGCGGCTCCGGCTCCGGCTCCGGCTCTGGTGGCTCTGGCTCCGGCTCCGGCTCCGGCACTGGCGGCTCTAGCTCTGGCTCTGGCTCTGGCTCCGGCACTGGCGGCTCTGGCTCTGGCACTGGCACTGGTGGCTCTGGCTCTGGTTCCGGCTCTGGTTCCGGCTCTGGCTCCGGCTCTGGCTCTGGCTCTGGCTCCGAATCTGGCGCTTCCCCCAGCGCTTCTGGCTTCGCCCCCTCCAACCCCGGCTCCAAGGTCTCCATCCCCCAGGTTGGCGCCGTCGGTGCATTCATGGCCTACGGTGCTGCTATGTTCCTGGCATAAACATCTCATCGATATTAATGTTTATTGCTACGACCTTTGATGCCGCTTTTTGATCCTGTTGATGGTCGGTACATCATCCCTGGTGGCGTGTTTCGATCAGTGACTGCTGTTCAATGGTCGGATCGCAATACTAGAAGGCGATTACTTGAATCATTTGGCTAGTGGGAGGAGTTTTTGTGCTTAAAATGCTTTTTGTCTCTTGATATAGAGATCTGGGAATAAATTAATACCTAATGCAATCCTGATCTATACAATCCCTCACTCGCAGATTCGCCTGAGAATCGGTCTATACTTCTCCAGCTTGAAGAAATCTCTAACTTGGAACTCCTCATGGACATGATTAAAAGCAACGTAATTCACATACTTCACCATGGAGCACACCGCTAGAATCCACGATCTGTCTCAACTTATTTTCAAACATTACCAGACCAGTTTTCAGTGTTCAATAGAACTCGAATTTTCCAAAAGCGACATATTGTACACACTTCCCTGTTCCTCTCTCACCCCCTGTCCAGGTGCTGGTTTAAGATTTTCTCCCTGAAAGTTAACAATACTCATTGCCTCAAAGACTCGAACAGCAAACCTTAATTCTGGGTGGCGAAATGCAACCTCAGGTCCTCTCAAAGTCATACGCTATTAATAGCAGCTCGAAAGGTGGGAGAAATCAGGAGCCGGTGGCAAGCGTTGGCCTTTTACCCGATGTAGCGGCTCAAATTAGCTTTAGCTTAAGCTTTAGGTTTGGGCTTAATGCAACCTAGGCGGGCCCCGAGGGGCCTTGTGGGTACCACGCGCATACGATTAAGTGCCAGGTGGATCAATTGCACGATCGAGACATTAATATTCCCTTAGTCCGCAGTCGATCGGATCTATTGCGCAAGCTATGAGCTACGAATAAAAGTTTTAGTGCAAAATTTTTATTCATGTGATGTCTGATATACCGTATCTCATGACGAAACTGATCCTAACCTTTAAATAAGTTTCAAAAGAAAAAGGAAAACGAAGCCAGCCCCGCCGCTGACCGCAATGCAATGCAAATGAAAACAAATACATGAAAAGGTAAAAGTAACCTTGGAAAATCAAAAGCCACCCGGTTTTCAACGCCATGCAAGAATGTAAGTATCGGAAAAGAACTCCGAGCGTCTATATTGTCGATATCCAATTCGCCCACTGGCACCCACAACCCCCGGACCCGCCGTCAACACCCCCCGTAGTCTTCTGCGGTCGAATTGTTCGATACGCCCACTCCCTCGAACAGTCCACCAGCAGGATTGACCACCTCACCACCAATATCACGTTCCTCGAGTTGTAACTGCACGCCGGTGATATTGTAGTGTCCATCATCTTCAAGTGGGTAGCAGTAGACCATCTTCTTCCTAGCTGCACCACCGTGACGGTCAACCGTTATAGTAACAGGGTATGGGAATGACCCAGGTCGAGAAAAGTCCGTTGCTGAAGAAGATGACGTCGGGGTCGTGCTTGTTGATGTCGGCGTTGCGGTGGAGGAAGTACTCGTCGCAGTGGCATTGCTGTAAGGAAGTAGTTGGCGATTCATTTTATCGCCCTGTGTCCATATCTGAACTAGGAATCGGGTTTGGGACCACGTGCACCGGTATTTGGCTTTTTCTTTGGTGGTTCCGCCGTTGCTGTCGGCTGTGATGACGGTCTCTTGCGAAGTCAGGAAGATTGACTTGTCATAGTATGTGTAGAAACCGTAGTGCTCATTCGACTGCCCTCGATTGTAAAGGCGGACTGGTTGAGCTGAAGGTAGTGGGTAGAGCATGGCGGCAGCAGCTGAGCCGTCGGAGTTCTCGTCTGGTGCAGGGATGATGGTTGAGATGTTGGAGGAAGATGTAGTATTGGAAGTGGCAGCGCGGCGATAGATGTTGGTCGATGCGAGAGGGACAGGCGAGAGCATTGACATAAAAAACGGCGTTTCCTCGCCGGCGTAAGGTGCAGTGTTGTTATCCGTGTATTGGCCAAGGAAGCTTTGATCGGATTTTCCTGGAGCAGCAGGCGACGGATCAAATTGGCCATCTCTCTTGATGCGCCGATTACTAGTCGAGCTCGCCACTGTAGTGCTGTTGTCGTAGGTGCCATTCTTGAAGAGAATTGAGACACGGAAGTTGGGCTGGTTTGCGTCATATGGCTCATTGGCTTCCTGCTGGCTCTTGGGCAGGGCACAGCTCCACATCGATGATGGGGTGATACATGTCGACTTTTCCAACAGGGGCTCGGTTCCAGCGAGTGTTGCAATCCCAGTTGGCATAGGTGGATAGCCTGTGAGGTTAAGCCATCGCGATTGAACCACACTCGAAGCTCCCTTTCTTGTCAACGTGACCGCAAGAATGATTGCAATGAGCACAATCGCGAAGAAGAATAGACAAATCAGGAAATACCACCTGCGGCGTGTTCGGCCTTCGCGTCCCGCACGCCCATTCTTCATCTTGAACAGCCCACGCAGACCACATGCCTTTCGTCCTATTTTTTCCTCATCCTCCAGTCTGCGGCGACGGGCTTCGTGAGGCCCAATGGCACCACTAGGGTTCACAATCGTCGTGTTTTCAACGTAGTTGGACTGGTATGGTGGATGGAGACCGTATTGAGGCGGCACGGAGCTGTGTCGAGAATGTTGACTATACGCTGGGGCTGGTGCCGGCATATCTGCCATTGGGATAGAGCCTGGTCCTCCTGCTGCCCGTTGGAAGCCAGGAGAGATAGGCTCAGGGTCTCGCGACTGTCCACGGGCCGCGTTCAGGCCGGAGCTCCCGGGAAGTCCTAGCTCTCCAGTGTGCATGTCAGATCTCGCTACCTGGCCTTCGACAGGTGATGATTGCTCAGGTGATTGCCTTTGTTGGTACTGAGCCTCAGGCTCATCGGGCAATGTTTGAGGACCTGGTGCCACTGGCGGTGCGTTAGAATGAGGGTGTGCATTCTGAGCAAATGGCCAGCCGGATCCGGATTGCCTTCCTTGAACAACAAGCGGCGCTTGCAAATGATTTGGTCGCTGGCTGGGGGCTCGGCGTATTGTTCCATTCCGCGCAGGCTCATGAGACGCTTGGGTATCTGGGGGTGGTGCACGTGTACTAGCGGCTGCTTGCTGTGGCTCATGCTGATCATAAGCCCATTCGAAATCCTTGAACAATTCCTGAGAATTAGACTTTTGAGTCTGTGTCTGCGCCTGAGGCTGAGGCTGTGGCGATGGCTGTGTCTGCCCTTGATGACCCCAAGGCCACTCTGTCTTGGCAGCTGATACTGGCCTGGCCTGTTCAGCGACTGGCATATCAGGAATTCCTCGTGGCTGTTCATGGGACTGTTGCTCTTGTCCCATCGGCTCTTGTAAGAACGGCTCAACCGGAGGCCCTGGCTGGCTTGGAGGAAACGCAGGAACATATTGCGGCACGACGATAGGTTGTGGTTGTGCCTGTGGCTCTGGGTGCGGTGGGTAGTGTACATTAATTACTGGAGGCGACACATTGGTAATGATCTGCGGCGGGACTTGGGCAGGCGCAGGTGCAGGTGTAGGCTCTGGCATTGGAATGGCAGTCGGGGCTGGTGAAGGTTGCTCTGGAATTCCCCTTTCCATCGAGCCAATGGACGCAGGAGCAGGAACAGGCTTTCTCGAAATCGGAGCTGGGGCCGGGGCCGCACTCTTCTCATCGTCACTGGTGATTGCCGAATCCCAGGAATCAACAGTCGTCGCAGATGCAGGCGAGTCGACCTGGATTTCTTTTGCTCGCATTGCATATCCAGATGGAGCTGTGGTGGGAGCTGTGGTGGGAGCTGTGGTGGGAGCGATACTGGTAGGTCGCGGAGAGTCGATGTCGATTAGCAATCCAGCATCTTTGGTTGAAGTTGTCGCATCTGCGACAGGGCCGTTTGTATTCCCACAGGCTTCCTCAAAAACAGACATCCCATCATTAGCATTCGAGGAATCCACGGCAGCAAACGCCATGTTCCGATTACCGTCAGCCCCGGGAGGAATAGGAACATTGACGGGTGTCAGCGAGCAGACGTGATCGACGCATTGGAAATACGGCGTTTTGCTGAAGAGCTCATGTGCGCATGCTTGATAATATTCTGCTGCTTCACCCTGGATTGTCTGGCCATTGTTGAACATGAAGGACATCGTGTTCTGTCTGCTTGGTGCATTTGAAACATAAGCTGGTGGAGGAGATTGGTGTCGTTCCTGTGGTTGAAACTGGTCATATTTCTCTCCGTCCATTGATTGGGTAAACTCAAACGCCTTCTCGGCCATGGGGGCTGCTGTTTCTGGCGTGTCGGGGGAGAAGCATGAGACTTCCTTTTCCCGGTCATGCCATCCGGTGCGAGCATTTTCGCCAATAAGGCCCGGGGTCGCGGGTGTATCTGGCGAGAAGCATGACACTTCCTTTTCCCGGGGCCAGTCCTTCGGGGCTTCTCGTGCTGGTGTGGTCAATATTGAGGGTGTAGAAGGTAGGTTGCGATGGAAAGATGGGCTGACAGGAGATTTTGTTGAGCGACCAAGAAGCGGCGAAAGCAGGACGTTCCACCAGCCCTGTGATTGAGGTCTATCGGCCTCCAGGTCAGCATTGACCGAGAGTGTCTGTCCCTTTGAGCGCGGCGTTGGTGGCAAGCTGGCATCTTCCCAAGTGTCAATTGATGTCGGGCGTTCAACTCGCGTTTTCGCATGCATGGTTTTGCTCTGTCCACCGAACCCGCTGTGCATACCCGAGTGTTGCGCTGGAATAGCCGGCACCGGTGGGATATCTGAATCGAACTGCGATATACGGGGTGTAGGCTGAGAGTAAACGCTGGAAGCTACCCTTGGTCGAAGCATCTCGGCGCTCGTGTTCGAGTTATTTTTCCAAAGCGCCTCTTCGTTTGCCGGTGTAATGAGGATCGAAGGTGTAAGTGGTGTCCCTGGGTCATCGCGCTCCTTGGATCGTTCGATAGACTCGTCGTGCGGGACAGTAAGTCCGATCATAACATTGCGGTCAGAAGGCGAGAGGGCATGTTCGTGTCGATCGTGAAATGGGTCTCCGACGTCCGTGTTAAGAAATGTACCACCATTCTCTGCTGCATGGTGGGTATGCTCGGGCTCGTCGGGCATGGGTTGGAATCCACGCGATACTCTCTTTCTGTATGTAAACTTGGATTTCTGGGCTAGTCTTTCCTTTTCTCGTGCCTTTGAAAGGAGTTGGAGGTCGTTGAGATCCACGAACGGTGCTGCTGTTCCCTCCACATTTGCAGCCATGTGTTTCTTTGATGCTGGTGCTGGACCCAAGGTGAAGTCTGTAACGAGGTTCAGGCCGACTGGTTTGGCAACGCTCTTTCGGTTCTTCGTGATGCCACGGAAATTCAATCTTGACGACTCCCGTCGGCTTTCTCTTTGAGCCGTCTGTGCCTCGATTTTTTGTCTTGTGGCCTTGGAGAGGAAGGCGAATGGTCGGATCTGTTCATCTTGATCTTCCGCCGAGGAGCACGATGGACTTGAAATCTCCTCACTGATTGGTGAAGACAGAGGGAAGTGCAGGACAGGAACCTGCAGTTCTGGTCGTGGTTTCTGGTTTTTAGATAACATTGTGAGACTGTCTCGCTGGACCTAAGACGCAGAAGCTGTTGGTGGTAAGTCGGTGGTTTGGAGGGTTCAAGAGTATTGCATACCATGTGTCAGGAAAACATGTGGTAGAAAGAGTGAGAGTTGAAGGCCAAAACAAAGAGCAATCTATAAATATTATTTCGCCGTATGCCAATGACGCCGCGGGGTCAACAATAAGAGATCAAAGAATCTCGACAATGAACAATAGTGAATGCCGTCTATCAAAATGCAAACAATGAAGAGACTTAAAACAAAGAATGAGAGAATGGGTGAATGCAAAAGTATAGGAAATGCAGAAATAAAGACTTGGAGACCGAGATTAAAGGACATAGCTCTATTTCTGCAGTGCAGCATCACAGCACTTGCAGAGAGTCCAGCCCGATCACCGTGCAGTAGAAGGTCAAGCTATAAACAAACCCCGGGCGCTAACCTCCAATCGGGCTCATTTCTGCAACAACCTCAGACAGTCTATATCTGCAGTGAACATCTTTAAGCTCTGCCATTGGCTGAATGACAGGAAGATCACCAGGGGTCGGGAAGTGGGTGTCGATGGATTGGATGATGTTGCTGCAAGTGCCGGACTGGGGCCAGTCTCTACGCGCCGAGGGGGTTGGGCGCTTCGACAGACCAATCGTTCCCCACGACGAAAATAGTAATCATTAAGGTCTGATCTTTGGCTTTTGTTCGGTCTATAATCGAAACATTCTTCTCATCTGAAACTATGACATGAGGTGTTACAATTTACTCGCGTGTAAATCTTGACGATATGAGGTTGAGAAGCACACTAAAGCCACGGGTTTGGATTTGGTGTACACCGAAGGGCAAGTCAGTCAGACTCGCTTTCAAGCTTTCAAGCTTTCTTTTTTCTTTGTTTGAGATGGTTTCCTCTCCCCCTCTCTCAGCTTCCACTTGCATATCTCTCCCATGTTCAGATGTAGATGCAGAAAGACTTCAACGGATGGCGGGTATGAATAACAACAGCATATAAACTCCATAGAGTCGAAATAAAACAAAACAACAATAAGCCAAGCCCCGGTATAGGACTGATTGAGGCATCTAAGGGGATATAATGATTTCAAAACAAGGGGATGGGGGAAAAAGGTCGTTGATGATAGGGGTTGCAACATGGCTATTCATATCTCATACACAGCTACCGGACTCGTCTGCTAGGCAAACGGCGGCTACTTCTTCACGTATATTAGCACGCGTGCTACCGCCGCTCATCCGTGTATTGGATGCCTTGCATGGGCGCCACCGAGCCATTCATAAGAGGCGGTAAAGTGCGCGGCTGTTCCTGCGCCACTTGGCCGTTGCCGAAGCTGGCGAATACGGAACCTTGCGGTTGTCCGTTGACCTGGTTAGGGTTCATCTGGTGGTGCTCGAAGATGGAGGGCGGGCGGGAAGCTCCATTTTGCTGGAGCTGGGCGCGCATCTCTTCCAGCTCGGATTGCATGATGGTGTGGTCGCGTCGGGATTGGGCGACGGTCTTTTCCAGCATGGTGATGTAATCGATGGCTCGGGTGAGGGTTTCCCACTTGCTGGACTTGTTGGTCTGGCCTGCGGGGAGGCGCAGTCGGAGCGCCTCGAAGCAGTCTTTCATTTCACTGCGACGTTTGCGCTCGGCGAGTTTATGTGTTACGCGTAGCTCGGGGGTGCGGCTGTAAGGTGTGCTGCCCGGAGGCCCTTCTTCCTCGCCGATCAAGTCGCGCACTGCTTTGTGTTGTAGGGAGTGATGATGTACATTTTGGGGTAGGTCTGATCCAACTTGTTAGAATCAAAGGACCACATGCGCAAAGTGGATATGCGGGACTTACCGTGTTGTCCTCGCGGCATGCGCTCGGAGTACATGCTGTTCATAGACTCTGCCATGCTGCCTTTGCGGGAGAATGGAGGATTTGATTCTCCCTTCGAGGAGACTGAGCTGGAGCGCGCCATGTCCGGGTCGGGGAAGGCATAGGCCATACCCGCGGTGGGTGCTTCCGCATTGTAGATCTCCGACCGAGGGTTTGAGGAGATGGCCGGCGCAGTACGACCGGCTGCGAAGCTGGCTCGCTGGCTGTCTGTGGGACGAGGACCCAATGGAGAGAGTGGCTGGCTGCCACCAGAGTATCGAGGTCCTCGGTACGAGTTCATATCGGTGGGGATTCCCCTCTCGCGTTGAAGGCTAGACACGATCGAGGATTGAGAGGCATTGGTGCTGTGGTAGGGGGAGGCGGGGTTGATGGCAAGAGAGCTAATTCCTTGGTTCACACGACTGTCGACGCTGCTGCGCCGAGACTCGGTCTCGGCCATGCTAGCCCTCTGCGAAGGCGCTTCATAGTTTTGGTTGATCGAAGGGAGAGCGGAGTTTGGCTGGGTATTGAAGTTTGGGGAGGGCTGCTGCGTGCCGGCAGAAGAAGGGGTATTCGGTTGATCGTGAGAGAAATGGGAGCGGTCGACGGCGGGGTGTCCGCGGTTCGGGGATGGCTGCGACGCGGTAATGAAGTGCAGGGAGGAGTAATTGTTGCCGGTGCCATTGGTAGTTGTAGAGTAGGTGGAAGATCCTACATGGTCAGCACCGCGCCGCTCCCAATCCGCGGGCGAGTGTCTCCTACTTGTGCTTTGCGGCATTGACCAATTCCCCGAGTCCCGCTCGATGGTATTCAGCGATGAGTTGCCGGGAGATTTCTCCGCGGTCCCCGTTCCAGGCATGTTTGCGGTCAACGTCGAGATAGACGGTAGGGTCTGTGAGGAGCTGGGGGTTTGAGGCCCCGAGACAGCCTCCCATGGCCGATGTGCGACAGAGGGATCCATGGTGTGCGGGAATGGGTTGAAAGAGGAGTCTATCTCACTTGCATATCCCCCAAGTTCGAACAAGTACCGAAGGGAAAAAGGGAAAAAAGAGGAGAGGGGACAGTAGGAACAGCGAAGAAGGTAAATGGTATAGTATGTATAGAGAAGAAGAGAGCAAAGGGTGGAGGTCCAAGTCCAGAGGTTAAGTTTAATCTCGAATGGAGACTCGAAACTGAAACTCGGTATTTTTTGATTTGATTTTCATTTTTACTTTTTTCAATACACTCTGTACCTCAAATTTGAAGTATTTTTCTGTTTCTTTTTTTAACATTTTCCATTTTTTGCACTCTTTTAACCTTCTTGGGCCCCCTTTCTTGGTCCGCGTCAGCCAATTTCCAAGGTTCAATACAGGAATGTAATATTACTGTGCCACGAGGTACTTTGGCTAGTCCCAGTGCTGGTATCGGGTGTATCGAGAGGTATTGGGGTACTCCGTAGTATACTCCGTTGTCTGTGCACTATTTGTGATTAACGACTATATAAACTATATAGAGTATCAATCATCCTCTTTTTTTTATTATATATCATACATTATCTACTCCGTACTCCGCACTATGTGAAATCACAAATGATAGAACAACAGAGCACGGAGTCCTTTTCCACATTCTCGTGGTGAAGAATAGCCGGATCCCTGGGAAACGCAAGGGAACACGTTTCGTACGTTGCATCGGCTAGTCTTCACGTCATTCTTTTTTTTGGCTCCCTCCAGGGCTCCAGTTTTGAGTCCATGCTCATACACTATTTGCCTAAATGATCAATACTATGAAAATACAGTATTCACGTGTCGCCCTTGCCTGCTACTATTGTCTCCGGACCAAGCTGCATTCGCGACCGGGGGATCTGCGTAGTTCCGTACGGCGTATTACCGTCACACGGAGCTTGTTGGACACATGGCATTAATGCAGGGTGGGTTTCCAAATGTATCGAATACATCGCGCCCGCCCGTTTGCGCCGCGAGTTTGGGCCAAATCGCCAAGTACCAGGTACTCGATGCCCCATGCTCCATTTCTTCACATGGCTTTTTTAGCTCCCCCTATTTTCTTTGTATATTCCTTTTCAACAACGTGGTACTTCGTATAATATGCGCCTAACCTGTTCACTATTCACAGCTGAACTGAACATGATACCTCTGCTCTTTTCAGCCTCCGTAATATTAGGGGATATTTTCTGCATCGGCCAAAACCGCGATGATCCACTTTCTCCCCTACATGATTTTTTTTTTAATCTTTTTTCTTTGTTTGTAACACCTCGGACACAGGCAGAGACCCCTTGAGTATCACGGCCCATGCTTCCATGAGCTTGAGCTTCATTCCGGAGGCCATGCAACCACCCGCTCTGTTGCCCGAATCATCACATGTGGACCGAAAGAGGGGAGTTGAGGGTTACATGGGCCGTTAATGTCGCGCGGCTATTTTCACCTGAATATCATTTGGACTAAAGATTCTGTAAAACGACTTCGTACTGCATACTCTGTACAAAGGTACTGCTAGGGCTAAGTCACTAACTATACTCTGTAGAGCCTGGGAGCCACTTCGTTATCCTTCTAGTGTGACCGGGAAGCTTGGCGAAGTTGATCCTGTTCTGGACTTGGCGATCTACCGAACCATTCGAATCGATTCACCCTGGATATACCATCCCAGATTATTCCCCAGTCCTTGTCTCAATTGCCTGTCGTCTCAAGGGATACCCGCCTCTCTACAGGTACGCCACCGAGGAACTGCGTTGCCTGGGTATTCGTGGCTTTCGATGAGTCCAATGGGGACTCCACCGAAATTGTTTGGTCCCAAGAATAGATCGTGGGTCGTTTGTATGCATCAAATCCGAGGGGAAATGATTAACTTGCATCGGTTTAGCGCACAACGGGCAACCCGAGCCCGCACGCCACAGCTGTGGCTCAGATCGCTCAGATCCGTTTTTTGTTTTTGTTTCTTTCTTTCCACAGGCAACAGACACTTTTCAATACGGAGTACGGAGTACGCTGTCTGCATGTCAAGTACCACCATGTCTATCATCTCCCTTTTCAGGTGAATGCCACATGGCACCATCGTCGCCTTGCAGAATGTCTCGAAGATCGCCACCCGATCTACGGCACATTCCTCGAACTTCTGACACGGTAGCACTTCTCCATACTTGAGCTTCGAACCCGCAGCTTATCTCAGACTGTCTTGCCTTCAACCCGGAGAGAAAGGCTCGATCGCATCGAGAATTCTTGGTACGACTCTACCGTCTATACAACGTTGTACACGCTGTCGGCAACCGGGTCTTCATCCGCCATCAAGGGATGCAATCGGTCTCGCGAGGGAAAATATGAGTTCCCCATGTCAATAGTGCGTGGTTCATGCTCAAGCCTCGCTCATGGCTCCCATGATCGACCACGCTCTCCCCATCTGCCCCCAGGCCATGGCAATACCGTGGCCTTTTCCCAGGAATTCTCCCCACGCCTTTTGTGGAATCGTGGGCCGTGCCTTGCTGTCTACAGTGTCGAGATAGCCTGTGTTGGCACGCGGGTCGTACCGTTCAGGGGGTACGGTGTCTCCTAATTTCGTTACTTTATCAATTCTACTTTCCTCACATGGTCCTGACCCCCTTCGCAATGAACAGTTGGTGTGTGCTAGGAAGATGCTTCGGGGCACTGTCCCCTGCCACCAATTTCACCCAATCGACATACATAAGCCACTTTTATGCATCTTAACATAATGCATCCTAACAATGCATTCAGTGCTTGGTTATCCATGTGGATAATTACTCAGGATTGCTGCCTACGCTGGCTTCATGCACAGGGCTGGCCGGAACTCACTCGCTGACGATCTTCTCACCGGCTCATCCCCGAAGCCGGGGGAGCACAGTGTGAAGTGAAAGGTTACATGGGTTCATGTGTGTTTGGGAGAGATCACACTACGGCAACACAGCGCATACTGCAAATCTTCCACTATGGAGAACGCCCCGATAGTCCGGTATGATTGGTAGATCATCCTATGATCTCCCTCCGTGGCATATCCCTTTCTAAATAAACTTTCCTTGAGGGCGTTCCGGTCTCCCTGTTGGCCATCGCGTGTCAAATGGCAAAAGTCCAGGGAAATAATAATGCCTTTGTATTTCAATTACCTGTCAGAGTGGGTAATCCCCGTCCCAAACATGTCTCGTCTTGCATTTCAGAGATTCCACGGGGAATCCGCGCCGCTTCCTTTTGGGTCTTTTGACTGGTCATGTTCTCAGCCATGTGCGTTCATGGGCCCAGGCGCCGGGACTTGACCTGGCGAATGGCTCAGGGCTTTTATCCACATCATACTCCGTACATACCATTTGATGTCTACCACCTACCCGATGAGGAAACTTTTACATTAGATCTTTGATGACTACAGATGCTTCCTCGGTAATTCTCAATTATTGCGCAAGCATGATCAGTTGCCAGCCTGAAACTAACCTCAATGAATTATTGATTATTGCCCACTAATTCACTCCTGACTACCCTCGTACCCTTGCTCTGATTCAGATCCACTATTCCCGCCATGTGCTTTTTTCCTTGTGCGCCGGGACACGGGACTATCCCGCGTGTTGTTTTGTTTCACGGAATTTCAATTCGCGCATGGATGAGGTCAATGAATCTTTTCAGAGAACAGGCCTACTGAACCTCGGCATTGGCTCTGTTGGAATTGGTTTGTTCATGCCTGCCATGCACGCACGGCACTTGAATCCCTATATATGCGGCCTATCAGTATCATGCGTTCGAGATCATCGAGTCTCCACTCTTCTACTCGCATGATATCGTACTACCTCCAGGGCTGGTACGGAGTACCATCACAAATCAATTTCAATTTCCGTATCAGGTTTAAATCTCATAGGTAGCGAGCCCGACGGTCCAGATTTCGGAGTACCTCTAGCTGAACAAAAAACGAACCATTCTATATTTTCACGGCTGGGAAATATCTATGTGCAGCATGTCAAATGTAGTTGTCTCCTGAGCATCCATGGATAATAGGTAGTAGGAGCGGAAACTGTATTCTCTAAGTCTCTGCCCAGGTTCTTCCAAGGTTGGAAGTTGGTGATCCAAAAATGTAACAGCACCTCAACCCGTGAATCTGGGCATTGAATTCCAAGGTTCCAAGATTGGTTCAAATCGATCCGTCTTCATTCTGCTACCGAGGTCTCTGCGCCTGTTTCATCTCCGCCTGGGTAGAGATTATTTCGCGCCGCTGCGCAGCCCTGTAGGTGCTCGCCGTTGGGATAGATGGATAGAGAACCTTGGAAGAAGACCATCTAGGCATCATCAACCTTGGAAACAGAGATTTCAATTATAGCAAACATCAATTCATCAATTCAAATGATATACTTCAAGTGTACATCTATCTACAATGGTCTTTTAGAACTATATTCACGAACAAGAGGGCATGCCTAGGTACGGGTATGCAGACATGATGATTTATTCCTCATCATCTTCATCCCCTTCCTCATCCTCATCCTCGTCATCATCTTCGAACTCAACGCCGATCTCACCAGTAATGTCCCAGCGGTCACCCTTGGCCGCCGCACTGACATACTTCACGAACTTGAGGGTACCACTGTCACGAAGCACAATGCTAAGGCGGTTCCAACCGGCCTGTGTGCTGAACAGAATACCGTCGTCCTCGTCTGCGCCGGCCGATCGGTAGATGGCGGGATCGGCTTTGGTCTTCTTCTGTCCGAGAACCTGGTCTGCATTTTCGGGGTCTTCCTCTTCCTCCTCTTCTTCGTCACCGGCCATGTAAATCTCATAGCCACCAAGTGCAGGTCCCTCGACTGCATCGTCGTTGGTCTTTTCCTTGGGCTCGGACGCCTTGGAAGATGGTTCCTTGGCATCTCCCTCTTCGTTCTCTTCGTCCTCCTCATCCTCCTCCTCCTCTTCTTCATGCTTTTCCCAACCGGGAGTGGGGGTGAGACAGAGTGAGAATTCAAGGCGAGGTTCCTCACCCTCGTACGCACTAGCAAGGGTGTAATCTGCTCCACGACGGAATCGTCGCGCCATCAAATCGTGACTGGTGAGGTGGTCAACACCAGTGATGAGACCAAGCCACTTCCGGAAAGCTTGTGAAGGGAATAGCACATTCATGAGCTCCTGAATAGGATTCTCCGAATCCTCCTTCCCAGAAGCGTGCTGGTAAAGATATCTGTGCTTGTGAGGAGGACGAGCAACAGTCCACCCGCGCTGTTTTTGGATTTCATCCGCAGTGGCGGGGAGAGCCTGTCTCTCTTGTTCCTCAATGTAGGCGCTCATGCGCGAAGCAAACTTGTCATTCATGAAGCGTTCTAGGCTGAGCGAAGATTCGGCGGAGAACGCATCAGACATTTCCTCGGCGATGTCGGGGGTCAAGTACGAAGGCGCGATGTACCGAACCAAGAAATCGAGTTCTGATGCGTCGAACTCACCCTCGGTCTGCTCTTCGGCCTTGCCCTTGCCCTTTCCTTCAACTTCGGGCTCTTCCCAAGAGACGGGCTGGGGCTGGGGCAGATCGTAGATATCACCGCGGCCTTGAAGCTGGGCGAGACTGCTGCGCTCGGCGAGCTTTTCTTCCAATCCCTCCTCATATCCATCTTCGCCTTCTTGTGGGATGTGGAACCAGCCACTGATGGCCATGCGTACGCGCTTCTTGGACTTGTCCTCGTCTTCGCGTGGGTGGTATACCTCCTCGACATCGTGGAAACTCTCACCAGGCTGGACGGTGAAGAAGCTAAGCTGGTTGAACGCGGGCGGGATGGACAAGCTGTAGTCAGGGCTGGGGATCTTGACGTCTTCGCCCTTGGCATCCTTCTGAGTGGTTGTTGGGAACAGGCGCAGGGCACCTCCCCACTCAGCTTGCCAGGGTGTGTCGGGGTCGGTGAGGTAGAGGATGTAGCTGAGGCGACGGCTACCAATCACATCGTCATGGCAAAGCAAATGGCATCCTTCTGTGTAAACATTGATCGCCATGTCAGTCTTTTGTCCACTGAGCTTGCCGGAGCCAGTCACGGAGGACAAGTACTCGCGGAATCGCGCTGAGTACATCGCATCGCGCAGCTTCAACACAGATGGAAGCTTAGATAGAGAGGAGTCATCCAAGCCATCCAAATTGGCAAGGTCACCAGACTGGAATATCTTGTAGATATCGGTTTCCTTCTCAGTGAAAGACACCTGGGTTTGGATCTCATCGCGAACGGAACGGAGGAGGGTGGGCTCAATGAGGGAGTGGATGACACCGTGCAGGTAGCTGGATAATTGGCAGATGTTAGCTCACTAGAATTGATACGCATCTCTGTGTTCACGTACGGCGAAGATTTGGCATATTCGCCGGTATACTTCTGCTGCTCGGCAACGTCGAACAGACCGTCGCGGAAGCGGGCAGCAGCCTCCTCGCTAGACAGTGCTCTTTTCTTGGACTCTGGCATGGCATTGCCATCCATGGAGCCTCGTGTATCTGTCTTGCGCTTCATTATGGGAGTTGTAAAGGGAATGGGAGCTCAATCACCCAGTGGTCTGACTCTCGTAATTTTTTCCCAGGCGGTGAGACATACATCGGGCGGTCAAGGCGAGGAATGCGATTCCAAATGCTACTGTTCCCTTCTAATGCTCTTGTTTATTTATGTTCTTGACACGATAAATGGCAGCCTTCAAACATACATGAAAGGACTGCATCTTTCACACGATCCTCCAATATCTACGCAGAGACGCAACGGTAGTTGCGAAATATTTGACCGAACTATCAAACTGCCCTCTGTCGTCATAACTATCCGGGATCCTTATCAAACCCCCCCACTTCCAACTTGATCATCTCCAAACCCTCGATCATGCAGTCTCCGACCCAGGATCCCCCGGGGACACCACCCCGTCCGCCGTATTCTCCGGTGACACCGGTGTTTGCGCAACTCGAACCACTTCCTTCCAACGAGCCAAGAATCGTGCCGCCACCGCTGTCACCTTCGCCGACATCGCAAGCCCCAGCCACCCATACTTATCCTCGCCCCCCACCAGCAAATCCACCCGTGTACAAGCCTGAACCACCACCAGTACCGATTTCAGAAAGTGAGAATCCAGATGCGATCGCGCTGCGATCCGCAATCTCTATCCTGCAGATGCAGAAGCAGCAGAGTTTGCGCGACATTCAAGCATTAGACCGCATGAAGATCGCAGCAGAAGCAAACCCAGAAGCCTTTGCACATGAGCTTGCGACAGGAAGACTTAAGACCGAGGATCATGGCACTATCGTTCAGTTCTCCGATGATCAGGAAGAGACAGAAAGTGGCGATGGAAAACCAACCAACCCAGACGGTTCTCCGGCTTCGAACTTCGGCAAAATACCTACCCCTCAGAATATCGTGCGCATGCCTCCAGTGAATTGGGCCAAATACAGTGTCGTGGGTGAACCTCTGGATCGGATGCACAAGGAGCAGTTGCGTCGGCCACACCCCGGGGAGCCTCGATGGGAGCGCGCGCCGGAGCACGTTTTGGCCTCACCATATCGGCCGTTGGTCGATCAATTGGAGACGCCAGCCAAGCTGGGCCGATCCAACAAACCAAAGAAGCCTTGACACTACTTTGGGCCTTTGATGATTATGGGATTATGGATGTTTACGACTTAATGTACTTTATACTCGGCTCTTGAACAGAGCTGAACTTATGATTATCGTTTGGGCTTCAACTACTGGCTAGTCCTGGACGTGGTGCAGTTGTTCAAAGCCAAAAAAAAAAAAAAAAAAAAGCTGAAAAGTAATAGAACATTACAAAATTCACACAGTGCGATGTAGACCTTGGGTATCACTCGAACTTGATTCGCGATACCTGCCTATGAAGTCTTAAAGCCAAGGAGGTGATGACTTCAACCACCGGAACCAAGTAAACAATACTCTGCTTTGGATACGGGTAAGTTGCCATTGACAATACTGGAGCCTGGGCCTCCTATAATCAAATTAGCGTTTTAATCTCCATTTGCCAAACCAGTGTCCGGGGGGCGATGGGGGGCGATTCAAAAGTCAATGGATACAAGTGAGAAACCCTTGAGCTCGACTTGTTTTGTAGAACGTGACAACTTCCAATGCAGGCAATTATCTCTCAAGTCTGTCTACCTATCAGAATATCGTAAGCCAAGCGTCTTTGTGTGATGTAAGGGAGACGGGAACGGAAACCTTGGAAGCCCGGGGGCGGTGCACCCTTGCGAGCTTGCGCAACCGCCCCGTTAGAGGGGTTGGTTCGCCCCCCCGGAACGCCCAATAGGTGGTCCACCCATTTTCTCCCACGGGCATCAACTCGTGCACATAAGAAGTGTCAAGGAATTTGATTGGTGATTCTGCTGCACAAAATATCATGGGTTCAGCCAAAAGCCTAATTGTCTTAGCTTACGTCGGATCCAGACATGTCATATTTCAAACACGTTTTCGTTGTCGAATGTCCGGATGATCACATCCTATGAGTGACTTGCTTGGGAAGAATCAAGAACCTTGGAATAAACCGAAAGAAACCTTGCTTGAATTGGTATGTCGCTAGAAGTACATGAGTGAAAATGAGGAGACCAGACAGACTAGGCAGCTATTCCGAAAAACGATTGCGAGGCTTGATAATTTGGAGAATCATCCGGGGCCAAACGTTCAATCAAAGGTTCTTGCTGTAGCTCTTGGATGTCAGAATCGGTGATACAAGCACTGAGGAAGTAGTGTTAGAAAGAGCCCCTTAAGCACGGGTTGATCTAGCAACTCACGAGAAACCTCTAGCGATCATGTCGGGGAATCGATTTGTGACAGATCCACCATTCTCTTGAATCTTTCGCATGTAGGCATTGATTTGCTCGGTCGTGGCCGATTCGTCGAAAGTAACCTGTTGTTGTTAGTAGGTGTGTAGAGAAATGGACAAGTATTGCCCGGGTGAGGGTGTGGTACAATATATTCTGTGGTCATTTTGAAAGAGAGGGTTGCACCAAGTAGGCTGTTTTTGATTGAACTCGAGGGTCTGCAATTGAAAATGAAATGGCTCACGCGTACATATTTATATACATCGATGCCAAACTGCGTGATGTCATCGATTCCAAGGTCCGAACTTGATGTTGGCAAATCGCAATCTGATTGGGGGACTCACTTCCAGCCCTGGAGGAGACAAAGCCCAGTTAGCATACTTTGTGAGCTTGGATTCTCACTCGTGGAATTTACAAGCTGGGCAACAAGTCCATTTTTCTGGTTTTTACTATTCTTATCTTTCCCCATGGGCCCCCCAAAGCGGCCTTTGGTGTCATGCCGGTGAAACCTTATTTATACGTGGGAGTATTTGCAGGTATATCAGATCGAATAATTTTTTAAAACTCCAGACCCTTAATTGATACGCTTCTTAGTGGTTGCGAAAGCTTTGCTGAAATGATTGCAGCTCCATTGAAGGGATTTTGCTCCTGAGGGCGCTGGACTGCATTGCTTGTCATTGTGTATAGGAACTGGTCCGCGTCCAATTTTGGATATAATGTCGAACCTCCTCTTGTTTTTGATAATCCAGTACTTCTGCGTATCTTCAAGATCGTCAGCGTCAGCGCACCTAGGGAAGAAATGGTGACATACAATTCCTTCTTCCATGTATCATTTGAGCCCCATTTTCCGTTGATCGACCAATCAAATAAATGGTCCGCGATGGGCTCATCAGTGGGGTCGTGATAGGCAGAAAGATAGGGAGCGGCAAGTGCATTGGAGGCCGAGATTCGCCCGTCGGGATCAATAGCCAGCATTTTTTGAAGCAAATTGAGTCCTAAATTGTCAGAAAATCACACAAAAGAAAAGAGTTGCAGATTTACCAGCAGGATCGAATTGTGGGAATGCGTTTGAGATCCCAGTGCCCTCACGGTAGGGGAGAGATTGTATAAAATCCAGGCTCTGTCACAAGACTGTCAGTTAGTAGGAGTTTGTCAAAATGCCTATAGCTACCGTGGTAGCCCATAGAATGATGTGGCCTCGCATATGTACTGACAGATTGCGATGAGATTTTAGCCAGAAGATGCTCATCGGGGGTGCCGAGTAACTCTGTAATGGCACAGAACTGCTCAACATAGTTCCTTCCTTCAAAAAGGGGCTTTCCCTGTATCATTTCGGCAAAGATGCACCCTGCACTCCACACATCAATTGTTTCGTCGTATGTCTGCCGTGTTAGTAAAAGTTCCGGGGCTCGGTAGCACTTGGTCGAGATATAGCTCATTTTATGTGGCTCTTGAGCCCTGGGAAGTCCCAAGTCACATATCTTGAGATCACAGTTTTGATTGATCAGAATCTTTCCAGGTTGGAGGTCACGATGAGGAACACCCGCTGAATGAAGATACTTCAGTCCCCTCTGGTGGAAAGTCAGCCATTTCATTGTCGATTGAACGCATATTGCCTTACAAATATTTGGTAGACAAGGAATGGAACGAATTCATTTCCAATGGATCTGGACTCCAGAACGGTTCGCAGATCTGTCTGCATAAGGTCTGTGACTACGTATCTGGATATTGTTAGGATGATTGATCAGTGACGAGAAAGGAGATATTGCGCTTGCGTACAGATCCTCTGCAGGAGAAATGAATATGTCGAGTGGATGAACGATCTGTTCATAGTTAGCGTCGTCCACAGAGAATCTGCTCTGGAAGAACTTTCATTGTCATGCTTTATACGCTTGAGTAGTTTGATCTCGCGAAAGATTGACTGGGCAGTGGCTGGAGTCCCAAAAGGGTCAAGAATCTTCTTGACCGCGACATATTGCTGGCTGATTTGATCCCAAGAAGAACTGGTGTCGCAAACACGTGTCAGTTGCAAAGCTCAATGAGATTGGCAAACTCTTAAACGGTGACGACGCACCAAACAATCCCCGAAACTCCAATCTTTAGGGTTTTTGGGTCTGTATATCTGTGGTGCATTTCTTTAGTATGCTATACTCCGTACAAGAAAGGCAGATTGGGCTCAAAGTCCCCTCACCTTTCCGGTGTCTCGAAATTTCCCCCCAACACTGTACTTTTGACAAATTGCACCATGGTGCCCGGGTAGTCGCAGAAAGGCTAGGCAAACGGCAAAGGTAGAAAGCCACTGTACAAAGTAGTAAATGGTGTGATATCAAATATGATGGGATACAAGACCTCGGCCGTATTGGGTCATTCAGGTCACATGGAAGTACGGAGTACGGAGTACGGACTAACTAAAGCCTGCTCTGTTAAGGTGCGTGAACGGGCTCCATCGGCTTAACCAACCCTAGTATACACCGGGATACTTCCCTGAAACAGCTGCCATACTTTTCCGGGCTGGAACCCAAACTTAGGAAAACTTGGCTTAGATTGAAATCCGTGCAGTGGCAAATATGGGAAAAGATGCAACATGCCGTGTTTCTACAAATGGATATGGAAATAGACTACTCAGTCTCGAAGACAACAAATGGGAATCAAAGAGCGTTCTGAAGAGCTGATCTTGAAACGTAATTTATTTAATGTCAAATGACCACAGGCGTATACTATTTCCCACCTGGGCAGGTCCTGGAGCCCTGGAGTACAACGGCTATGGAGAAAGAAGATATTTCGAGGGGGCGCGTTGGGCAGGATGGGAGCTCCAGCCAATGAAATCGTTCTGGTTGTGGACTCCGGGCCACTGATACCCGACACACCCGAATGAGCACAAGCCCTAATCCTGCAGGTTTTTCTAGTGTCTTAGCTATCAAGTTCCCCAGAAGATAAATACCGGATGATTTTAATTCTCTAGACAAATTTTCCATATGGGATATGTGACTTTAGGGGGGATTAGTGATTAGCAACTATACGACTTGATGTTTGTATTAGCATCCCCCAACATCCCTCTCCAAGGCCAGACAAAGCGGCCTGACTGCCCAGGGAGGTGGGGGAGTAAGCAGAATGGAGTAGTTTATATACGCACTCTTTGGTATGTATGATAGCCAGCGCTATGTGCAGTTGAGCTACCGTGAAAGCATTAGTTCAAAGACAAGCAAAAGCTCAGCAGAGAATCAAAACACATTAGCAAAATGCATTCTACTTGGGGAAATGAGGGAGGCAAAGAAAGGGCAAACAACGAAATCCGGTGATGATGACTCAAAGGTCTTACGTTAAGCCAACATTGAATCCTTGGGATGACAGAAATTCCGTGAAGATAAGCCAAGCACGTTGAAACGCGGGATCTCTTGTAGACAACTCACTCATCCATCGAAGAACCTTCTGGACTTGTTCCAATGACTTGGAATCAAGGTTGCCCCGTTCTGTACTCTGGATAACCAAGTGGGAGATCAACACGACAATACTTTGCGTGAGATAATGCAGGATACACCACCAGGGTGAGTATCCCAAGAGCCAAGTAATGTTTGGCTCACTCGGCAACAGATCCACCATTTGGGATGCTGTGTTGAAGCACACTAGCCCCATCTGATTATGGCCAGGACTGACATAGTCGTCACCCGAGAACAAAAAGCGAAGAGCGGGCTGAGAGATGACAAGTTTGGTCGAGTAGTACTGGAAAGCCAGACTTGTACGTTGGCGAGCAACAGCATTATCAGCGCCAGGATCCGTGAAGCGATATGCCGCAGGAAGTCGGGCAAACCAATGTTCAGCCGTGTTGTTGAGAGACTTCATTGCCTGCTGGGTCTCTAGTGCCGACTTCCTTACCGCTTCAGGAGCATACAGTATTTCAATTGCTTCTCTCATCACATTCGACAAGTCAATCGAGTAGATCAGGTAAGGCGACAGATTGGCTCGGAGCTTTCGAACGGGGGATGATTGCTGATGAGGAGATGGCAAGGGCCCAAGGCCCAGATCCGGCTGGCCCGAGGGATTGGAGGTATTGTAGGCGAGAAAGGATGCCACCAGACTAGCCCGAGCCTGGCTATCCTGGATGACGCCCATGACTTGCTCATCCCAAAAGCTCTCCTCTTTATACGGCACTGGCAAAGGAGTCGTGCAGTGTTCCCGATGCATCCGAGGCATGCGCCCAGTCGCCACACAAAGTAGTGTGTCCAGTAGGTATAATGCCCACCAAAGTCGATATCTGGTTTCTTTGGACACGTGTGTAATATTAAGGCTGTCGCTCCGAAGTTGAATACCCATTGCAATGGCAGATTGAATCGCAATACCACACATTCGCCATGCCCTAGGATACAATTAGTGTCAAAGTAAACAACAACGTTAGCCAACCAACCTGTTGATTTGTCCCGTCGAAAGGAAGTAGAGCGAGAAAAGCCCTTCTATCTGCGTCTGCTGCAAGTTCGGATGTTCCAGCATCACGGCTTCGTTCATGCTTAACTTCCATGCCCGAGAGAAATAGACAATGTGGGTATTGTGGTCGATTAGGCCTTGATCTCCCATGAGTTCAGAGTGCTTTGCAGCGATCGCGAACACTATGTTCAATAGTGCCATCCACTTGACCCCGGGCTGCATTGTCGACTTGGAATAGAATGAACGGCACTGACTAAGGAACACCTCCTTGCCAATCAGGGGAAAGGAGGCATGCGCGACCTTGAAGTATCGATCGACAAGTTCATCGGCGACGGTTTGTGTGGGGTATGCGAGGACATCGAGGCCATTTCCTAGAGAAATCGAAGATTCATCGACAAAGAAACCACAAGAAGCAAGCGATGGGTGCGTATGTTCCTCCGTTGGATCGCTGGGGGTGGAACCTTTCGACGCTATGAGACGTTTGAGTCTGTATAGCCACGCCCTTGCCGAATGCTCCCCGAAAAATCCAGTCGCTTGCAACGAGATGTCGGAATTGTAGTCCTCAAGGGTGTGCTCCATATAAGGGACAGGAGGGGGCGTTGGTGAATCATTTTGAGCATTCTCATCCAATTGGGTGGCGGTGGTTGGCGAAGACAGAGAAAGACTTGAGATCTAAAAAGGCGGTAGAGCTGTTAGAGTAGTTGATTCAAGTGGACGAAGACCACTGCAGCTTCTCGATGTATTTCGTAGGCGGCACATGTTGACACACCTTCCCAAGGGCCTGGTCCACGAATCGAGCAACCTCAAGGTCTACCTTGGGGTAAATGTCGCGCACAAGGGTTTCATAATGTTCGAGCCGGCTGGTCACGGCAGTGAGGTGTCTATTGTTCTAGTAAATATTGTGCGTCCGAACATGTGTCCTCCAGGAAAGATCTAGAACGCACTTGGCATTTCTCTCTCGTTTCCCATCCACGTATACACAGGGGATGTTGTTCTCCTGGCAGCGCAAACAAGTCGGCTGATCCCCGGAACACTTGTTCTTTTGCTTGCGGCAGTTGTGGCATGCCCGACCAACTCGACTGCTCTGGCTTGCCACCGGAAGGTCAAGTCGGGGTATGGCGACTTTCGCATTCGTAGATTGGTCTAAGTTTCGGGTAGTGGCGCGGGGATCTCGAACGTCGTCTCTGTGGGTGTCGAAAGTCACTGGGTTTAATGTAGTAGATGGCGAGATGTCTGCCTCTTCGACTGCCGCAAAAGAGGCATAATCATTTCGGGCAGATGGATGAGGCTCGGGTTGCAAGGAGTGATTCAGAGATGGTCTTCCACTCATTGCGATCTAGCAACCCGTTTTGTTCATAGTCTGTGCTCAAGATATAACCTAGGAGGTAAGCAAAGACAAGGGCAGAAGTGAGGACCAGTCAACTCATAGAAAGAACTAGAAAAAAAAGCCCCCCCTTCGGAGGTGAAAGACACTTACGGGATTATTCAAGGGTATAACTTACTGCTTTGGGGACCCTAAACGACTCTGATTGGTAGGCCATGACATCCGCGCCAAGAGAATTTGGAAGAAATCCTCCACGGCCCACTGGCGATTTCGTGAACAATACTGGGATATCGTGAACTATCCCCACTGTAGGAGCTCCCAGGACCTGAGAGTATTCGAGGCTGAGAGAGAAAATGTAATTTATTTTGCCTGTACACGAGATCATTTCCTGATTCTTCGATTTCACAAACTATTGTACACAATACATATTGTCTATTGAAAGTTGAAAACATCGCGAGACCCATAAAAAAGTATAGTTGACGATGAGTGGACGGTAGAGATATCCGTCCAATCAGCACCATCAGCGAGTCACCAAATAGAGATAAAGATAGACTTCTAGACCTATCCAACCATGGACACTCCCGTCTAAAGTGTTGGGTCTCGATCTAAGCCAACCATGGCTTAGAATTGTAAACTCAAGCCTTTTTATGAAAATCATCTATAATTATATAGTATAGAAATGTAAACAAACCGATGGTGTTGGTACATTATTTCGCCGGTGTCAAGCTTACTCATAAGCTAAAGATGATATCATATTTCAGGTGACTTCTCCATTGTGAGGCCAATGAGAGGCCACCCATATTTTTTCCCTTCATACTCCGTTACCATACTGCCAGAATACTTCCAAGGACTAGGGCGAAGTATGACATTATATTCCACAGAGTATACTATTTTCTGGTTACAACGGGCTGGTCTCTAAACCAATCTGTGGTTTTCTTTGATCAATAGATATGGATCATGCAGACGTCGGGAGTGCTACTAGAACGTTCTATATACCTTGTTGCTTGCCCGCTTCCCCACAGGTCAGCCACAGGCTTGTCTGCAGTACTCCGCCGGGGTAGTCACCTGGGCATCACTCCAATATCTACTACCTACAGCACGAGACTGTACCGGCTGCAGACTGTACATGGCTTATCAATTTCAGAAGATCAAAATCTACCAACACTGATGTACTGTGGAAAACTAACAGGACAAAAAGGATATCTCCAGTTTCAATACATTTTCAAAATCTCCTGCAAATCGGTAGGTAGCTCATATATTTCCTCCTCGGGTAGACACTCTTTGGCAGCATCAAAAGCCCCTTCTTTGAGAAGTTCATCGACCTTCTGCATCACCTCCGTCACATCAGTAATCGAGACAATCCATTCCTCAACATATTTATCAACAGCCCTCCCAATCAAGCCGATTTGTATACTCCGGTAGCCCAATGGTCGCATGGATAAGTTTCTCTCGGGATCCCATTGTACGCGCACAGGACTGGAGCTTAACCTCTGTTGCCATTCTTTTCGATCTGTATAGTCCGCGGTATAGTGGCTTAGGCAAGAGTGTCGCAGAGCCCATTCGAATCCTTCACGGGTGATTTCTATGGCAAGGACTCGCTCTTGTCGTGCTTTGGTAGCCCATCCAGATCGATACGCCATCCATAGGAAAGATGGCTTGATCCAGGTCATTCGTTGGCGGATAAAGGGAGGTACAAATGTTTGTGAGCTGATCGCTGCATCTGCTATCTCGGAAGAATAAGCTTGATAGACTGTGATCGTGGTAGCAGTTTGCTTGGCTCTGATGGCCCGATATTGAGGCGACGACATTGTGGAGTTTCTTTGATTGAACAAGTTTGCTGGCTGAGCACTCGATTTTTTAGGAAGGAATGATTCCAAAGGATATCAGTTACCAAAGTCATGGTTAAATACCCATCTCCATGGCTTGTTTCCAAAATAAATGACTCAGAGTCGTGTTTTGAGATCATGTAGATCCACCCTCGTATTCGTCAATCATTGAGGCTGAGCATGTTATTGATGTTCCGAGGAACTCCTGACTCACATATTGTTGCTTGTAAGGGACATGTGAAGAGTTTGTGATCCTACAATAACCACCCTATTCATGCCCGTTTGCGTTGTGCAGTGATGCTGGCCAACGTAGGCGTTTGCCTGGCTCTTGTAGCCGTATGGACCTGCTGTTTGTCGACAACCGGAAATATGTATACTTTCAAAGACATCAGTGTATCGGAAAAATCATTGGCAATGTCAAACCACTTTCCTAACTAAGAGGATATTGCCATCCGCAAAGAGAAGAACAGGCAGGACTGGCCAAGAGTCCGATAAACGATAACGCAATGACCATAAAGAAGGTCAGCTGGTTTGGATCTCATCACAATTCGCATCAAAGGCAAACAACGCGTCAAAAGAAACAGATCAGGCACAAGACAATGCTGCATGACAGGAAGGAAACGCCAGTAAATGCCAAGCACGCAAGACCCATAACTCCAGAACACCGTCCGCCTCATGAAAATCTCGCCCCGAATCCCTTTCGTTGATATCACATGGCAGCAGAGCCTCCACGAAATCAACAGTCAAGATGAATTGTGGCGAGCTTTCGCTACAGACTGACATCATCTGGGTATCCTCCCATGGCCGAATAGAGGCGACGGTGGGCTTCCTGGACACGGGAGAGATCAATCAAATGATCTTCTTCTTCCTCCTCGTCGTCATCCTCGAGGGCATCGGATTGACTGTCAGGTCGGATAGTAACGGTGAGTTTGCCATCCACGACTTCGACGGTGGAAGACGAGGCGTCGGTCATGGCCACATCATTATCAGTCATGGCCACATCACCAGGGGCGTCAGAGGCAATTTCAGGATTAAAGCCAAGCTTTTCGACAGCGCCAGACTGAATGAGACGCATAGTGTTGTTCAGCATCATCTCCCGGGCCACGGGATCATTAGGCTTGCACTGCGAGAGAATGTGGTTCAGACCAGCTGCATTGACTGCGGGGAGGCGATTGGAATTCTGAATATGTCAGTCAGCGAAAAGTGAGACCAAACGAGCTGAGAAATTCGATGCATACGTTGGGAAATCCCTCCGGACCAGTTGGCTTGGCATATCCGACCCGAAGCGCCAGCGGGATCTCGGTGCAGCTGTTGATCAAGTCACGGATGTACTCGCCCTTGGGATCCTGCGAGTTGAATCTGCCCAAGGCCCGGTGCCAAGCTGCATTGACATTTTCGGTCTCGTCACGCTCAGCCTTGAGGAGATCCTGGAAGGACCGATCAGCACGGCGACGGGAATCCATGCTTTCAGTGAGGTGGGGGGATGAGGTGAGAGGAAGGGGAGAGGTGTGGTCCGAGGAGAACGAAAAGACTTCAGAAAAAAAGGGAACGGATGAAACTTACGTAGACAGACAGTGGGACCATAAACATCAATTCTTCGGAGTCCTTCATGGCTGCCGTTCAAGACCCGGTGAACAGTCGAGAGACGAGGAAGTGAAGATAAGATGAAGAAGAGTTGGAGAGAACGCGAGCTCATTATGGGATTCGACATGCGAGGGAAGACTGCCCGCGCACTGAGAGTCGCCCTGCACAAATCCGAAGATCCTCGAATCAATTAATGGGACTGTATCTCTCACTGTCTTTTCGAGAGTTTAATATTCTCCAGGAAAGGCATACATGAAAATCACCTGGCCCAGTTTTAGGCATGGTATGAGGTTAATTTTTATACCTATGCTTAAAGGATCAGGGATCACATTAGGCGATGACGATAGCACCTACTGCAGGCCAGGTCATAGCGATGTTCATTCGTCCTATCAGCCATGGATAGAGAGTAAAATAACCAACTAGTTTAAATTCATGTTAACCAAATCCAAAATATTACTAGTGTACATGGATCAAACCTTAGAAGCATGGTGATATGTACAATTCTCACATGATATGGACAAAGAGGCTTATGAGGCTGGGTGGCAACCGCATCAAAGCTTCGCGTTCTGCTTCTCAAATTTGACCACACCCTCCAGACCCTTCTTAGCAACAGACTCATTCTTGTCTTCGACATTTTCGCGCCACTTCAGGTTGCCAGCGTGATCATCCAGACCGTTCAAAGTCCGAGCATACATCTCCTCCTTCATGGTTCCATAGATGCCCGTTGCAGCCTTGGTCTGGAGCTTGCGTCCTTGGATCAAGGAAAGGGTCTCCTCAATTCCGCCAACAGCGTCCACAATGCCAGCTTGAAGGGCATCGCGTCCACCAAAACGATGAGCTTCCAGAACGACGTTTCGGAAGGTGATGGGTGCCAACTTCTCACGGAAGATGGCCATCATTGGGGTCTGAAGTGGGACACCGAACTCCAGTTCATTGACACACAAGAAGCCGCGGTCTGGGTTCATGATCCGGTAGTCGTGATACATCGCCAGCATAAAACCACCTGCAAAGGCGTGTCCATTCAGAAGACAGACGGTTGGCATTGGGTATCTAAATCGCAAGTCAATATTTGTTTTCAGACAAGACACCGCGGACCAGACTGATTCCGAGGTTCCGAGGAATAATATCAAACATACGTCAAGAATCGTCGGAACAGTCTCCATAGCCAATTTTCGAGGAAGCCTTCAGTACTGCTCACAAGCTCGAGGTCAAGGCCATTACTGTAGAACTTGGCGATCCCACTTGTGGTGACAACAACGCCCTTGGGGTAGCGATGCTCGATAATGTCGAGCACCAGTAGCAGTGCATCAATAAAGATAGGGGTCAACCGGTTATCTTTTGGCGATGTAAATGTGAGCACATAGATGTTCTCATGTTCTTTTGCTGCGCTAGGGTTCGTGCAGATGATCGAGCCCCCAGTTGATGTGATTGGGACAGTAAATAGAGCAGCCATGATCAAATCTGGATCAAAGGGGTCGTTGTCTTGGAGGAATCACTTTAAACCTGAGCTTGAAGGAGTTCATCCAAAGCAGGTGGTTGAATGTTTAGTAATCAGCCTCGGGCCCAAGATGGCCGTCACATGCTGGATTTATCCCAACACGCCGAGCATTGGCTTCACGCATTAAAATGTGCATTTCCACGCGCAAAAAGCTCTCGGTGCCGAAATTAGGACGAGCGAGCTCACAGCGAGCTTTTCTCTTGCTAAAAGCGTAGTATAGCTACTGCCTTAATGGTATACCTCGGCCTTGTTTCTGTAGCGGGATTCGGTATAACTATAAGGTAATTTCACTGACTTCTCTATCCTATACCTTAGTACAACGAGCGTGAAAGATATTCAGGTTTGTACCTTTATGGCATATTGCCTAGTATACAGGCCAAAATTATGACACCGCCTACTTAGTCTTTGACTTTTCCGAAGGTCACGCCCGAGATGTAATTTGTTTGTAATGCCGAGTATAAGCGAGTCAACTGCAAAGCAGCACCCATATACAAAAGCTTTCAAACATTTCATTGTCGCAGTTGCCTCGTTGGTAGGGCTCGCCAAGGCCAGATGACATCGCTCATTTCAGAGGAGGTCAGTATAGATATTGGTTTCAACTGCAAGTTGGAGACAAGACAAATAGCACACGACAAGGGCTCTTTAAAGTCTGCAGCTACACAATCTAGGACGAAAGGACACCAATTTAGATGTTTCGCAGCAATATAAGGTCAAAAACTAGCTGTTTAGTGTGAAAGTGTGGAGAGAGTGGAGAATGCGGCTCAGAGATAACCGCCCGTCATCACTTGCCGATTCTCTAGACCGACAACGTTCAGTACCTCGGCAAGACCATACAAGACCTCATGGCCAACAACCACCTGAGATCTTGAGATCAATTCATCATTCTCTACTTCTGGCAGATATCAAAATCGAAGTCGGGCTTATAGACAACGATTTTAACAATTCGCCTGATCAATCCTCCCGACCTCGCAGATAGCCATTTCAATACTCGTTCGCTATGGCAAGCTCCACACCTATACTTCAGCAAGCGGCTGTGGTATCAAACCCGGGAGAGAGTTATACAATCTCGCTTCAAAATGATGTACCGGTCGCAACCCCAGGGACCAACGAGATTCTCGTCAAATTAAGTTGCACAGGGTTATGGTGAGTAGACAGCCCCAAGCAAAATTGCCAACGGTTCAAGCACTAATAAATCGCCCAAAACAGTCGCTCTGAGCTTCGGGCCGCTCTAGCATGGGGAGCATACAACTCCATCATCGGCCACGAAGGAGTCGGCGTGGTGGTAAAAGCCGGAGCCGAAGCATCCCAGTCTCTCCTGGGAAAGCGTGTTGGTGTCAAGTGGCTATATAGCGCTTGCAATGATTGTTCGGTGTGTAAGCGCGGCTATCCACATAACTGCGCACAGCAACTCAATACAAGCCGTCATGTTCCTGGAACTTTGCAACAATACGTCATCGCTGATGCGAGGTTCGTGACTATGATTCCGGACGACGTGAGCGATGAGATTGCGGCGCCACTGCTGTGCGCTGGATTAACGATGGTCGGAGCACTGTCTAAGCTTGATAATGAGCTTCATGCTGGTGACTTTGTTGTGATCTCTGGGTCTGGCGGTGGCCTTGGTCATATTGGTGTTCAACTCGCTTCGAGGATGAAGTATCTTCGCGTCATTGCAGTTGATAGTGGAGAGGATAAGAAGGCACTCAGTATTGAGTCTGGTGCTGAATTCTTCATCGATTATAAGACTGAGGATGCTGTGACTCGAGTGCGCGATATCACTGGAGAGGGCGCACATGCAACAATCGTTGTTCCGGGGACTGAAGAGGCTCTGGAAATGGCACCTAAATTGGTGAGGAATATGGGATTCGTGGTTAATGTTGGACTTCCAAGGAATGACTTGAATATCCCACTTTCTGCCACAATCTGCACGGCCCGAGGTGAGAACGCCCTATCGATATAAACAATACATCCACTGACATACATGATGCAGGGCTCACTTTCATTGGATCTTCTGTGGGCACTGAAAATCAGATGAGTGATCTTCTCGGCGCAGCTGCCTCTGGCAAAATCACACCATCTATCGAAGTCTTCGAGTTCCCGTCAGTCCCAGATTTGGTGGCTCGGTTGAAGGATGATGGCATCACTGGCAGAGCTGTCGTCAAGCTACCTCAATAGATTTCACATACTGAATATACCACTGAGGCATTTATCCTGTCACCGGTAGCAGTCATCAGTTTGAATTCCATACACCCCAAAGGGCAATGCAGTGAGAATGTAGTTTTATTGTAGTTGGTGGCCAGGTACCACCTGGGCAATGCGAAGAGTTTCTGCGAGGACCTCGGGAGAAACAACGTGATTTATTTGAGAAAAGACCATCTAAGCTCTAGCCAATACCAGAGATGGATATATCCAGTTCCGTGAGAACTCGCTAGAGACAAGATCAATATTTCGAAATCAGGTCTCCGGCTCTAGTCTCTTCACTCTGGACCACCCTTTTTTACCCCGACATCATATATTTGTCGATGGCCCCAGATTCAACATGAGACGTTCTGCAGACAAGCCAGAAGATTTTCGGACCAGTATGTAACAAGCGTAACATCACCTTCGGAGATTGTACTGCATCTAAAGCCGGTGGGGCTACTCCGTACCCAGGAGGATGGGCCAGAGAAACACGATTGGACAGAATTGAGCGCGCGACTCCATATGAAAGGTCACGTGAGGGATGGCCAAGTTGGCCAACAAAAACCGATAGCTTCTCTTTGATTGAGCCGGAAGACTCATTTGACCAAATGCCCCGAAGGACAAAACCTCAGATCGAACCTGTCCATTGGACCCAACAGCTTGGCAGAATCAGACCGCCTTAAGAGAAATTTCTCACCGCCTAGTGGATCCTCCTTGGCACACCTAGGGCGGTACGTAGAACTGTGCCTTATAATTTGTCAGCTTTGATCACGTGCATGTGTTTCTGCCAGTGTTACAGTAAACACACACAGTGGTTCATTTCCAGGGCAGATACGGAGGAAAGTGGAGGGGATTCTCAGAAGTATTGAACCTCCAGTGATTCAGAATCCCCTTGTCAGCCTGACCTTTATGCAATAACCTTGGTAACATGGAAACTTTGCTATCTTTTTTTGCTGCCTATTTTACTATATTTGTGTCGTTAAAATATTTGTATTCAGATTAAAGCCAACACTGAAACCGTGTTGTGATAGGTATGCCAATAGTATAACACAGGATCGTTATACATGAGTTTTACAGTAGCTCATTATAGAATAGATTTCTTCATCATGAGGCTTGCCACTTCTCTGTAGCAGCAGCCTCGAACTCAAACATCTTCGGGCTTTCTAGGAGCACAAAAGACTCGTATCGCAGGCCTCGCTCGCGCTGCTTGCTTTCTGACCATTGCTCGACCGTGCTGTTCCACACGCCAGCATAGCCATCAAGTAATGATCGCCAGTAGCATGCTTCGGCGGCTGGGGTCAGGTAGCGCTCGCGGAAGGTTGAGACACTGTTGTTGGCGATGCGCCGCGCAGCCTCGGTGTCTGCGACCAGAGGCTCGATTTTATCTGCGAGATCGCTGAAGTCGCGCTCCACTTCGACGTAATTTTGGTTTGGTCCGTCGGCGACTAGGAGGTAGTGGTGATGTTGGATGAATTGGAGCTTGTGGGCGACAATGACCGAATTGCAGGCCTGTCGGTACTTCAATGAAGCGGAGTAAGAGCGACCTGAGATTGGTGGTTAGCTTTGGTGTGGTAGTCCAGTGTCAAGACTGAAACTCACCTTCGACGTGGGCTATGAACATGTAGTGGCAGTGATCTTCCATTTTGAGCACGTTTGTCCCAGTGCTCCAATCAACCTGCTTGACGTCGCCCCACGGCTTATCTCTAGCGGCCTCCATCAACGCGCGTCGCAGCTTGGGCGCAAAGCTAGGCTTCCCTCGCCAGACTAACTTGGGCCTTTTGTCGGACCACGGAATATCGAGTCGTTGAATTCTATCCACCACCTGGTCATACGGACCTATGTAGTTGTGCGGATTGTCCCAGGCCCAGAAGCTAAAGTCCGGCATAAGCCAGACCCCCTCCTCGGTCGGGGTGCGCGAAAACACCCATACAGGCCATTCGGGATTGGTGACATCGTCCACTTTATCCTCCACCGAGAAAACAAATTCGACGTCGCGTCGCAAGGCTCGTTCCGGGTCAGCGGCCAGCGCGCGGTGGATCGAACTCAACGTTCCTAGAATTTTGCGTCGGTGGTCTTCGCCCTTTGAGCGAGCGGACACCACATGCAGTTCTCCTTGCGAAATAAAGGCACGGGCCATTCCCTGTTGAATGGTGATGGCGTCAAGTTCGGCAGTCGACAGCCCCCCATGCGTAGACCAAAACTTGCCACCGCGCGCAATGTCCTCGAACAAGCCTGGAAAGGCAGCTTGGCATTTTGTCTGGTCCAACGCTTCGTTGCGACCGTCGCGGGCGAATTCGAATGACCAGGCGGGGGAGGTGCTCTCCTGGAGTGGAGGCTCAGGGCACGTCAGACACGTTGAGCATTGGAATGTGGTGGAGGATTCGCAGGCACAGTGTCCGGCGGGGATCAACTGTGTTAAAATCGGATGTATGTAGTCGCGATCGGAATTCATGCCATACCAGATGATGAATATGAGGGTGAAGCTCAGGGCGGCGAGTCCACCCAGGAGCGTGAGACCGCGTTTCGGTCGTATTGTGTAGGCCGTCATCGCGGGTAGCCTGAGTGGCATGGCATTGTCTGGAGGGGGGAGGGAGGGTTGAAGGAGGGTAGAAAGTCTGCCAAGTTGAAACAGCCCCTAAGAGAGCAGTGATGGACATCGCCCCCAAATTAGGTCAAGGCGGGATTTAGGTCAGCCTCAGTGCGTGTGGGTCGGAGGCGTCATCTCTCGACTGGGCCTTGTGGTGTCGTGTGCCAGCGTAGTCGCAGTGTGAGCTACCAACAAGTAGTAGTTTTGCTGTTTGAATACTTGACTCTGCTCTGTGGTTGCTCTGCTCAAAATTGGAATTCATCAAGAGTGAGGTCATAAGTAAAAGTGCAAGTTGAGTCCGCCCTGCCAAGAAAGCCAAAGTGTTGGACCCTGTTTTTTGGCTCCGTACCTTTTCTGCCTGGCCTCTTCCCGTAGGGCGCAATCCCTTTCCTCGACGGAGTATACTCTGCACCCGTGTCGATTTAACCTACGCCGTTTGCGCAGGGTTTGCCTACGGAGTACTGCAAGTATAGTCCAGTCCAATTCAATACTCGTCTCAAAGTTTGGCCATTTTGGAAATTTTAACAGAATACGGGGGCCCTAAAGCAAGTCATTCGCCGGTGTGGTCTATCCTGCAGGAGATTCATGTGAGCCAAGAGACGGCTTGTTTGGACTAAGCTCTGGTATTAATAGTTTGCCAGACCCAGTAAGACTAGCGTAATGACATGTGTATGATAATATGAATCTATCCTTTCCCAACACCGCTGCAATGCATGTAAAAAATTCTTCTAACCATGGACAAAAGGAATTGCCAGACGAACAGTAGAAGACTCATTGGCGGGACTGGCTTCGTCCATGCCTAGTAGTCCGACTCCGCCCACTAGAGGGAGCCGGTGTCTCAGTATCCATGTCTGGCGTCGCTGGGGGACGCCGGGATTTGGGCCGGACCCGGCCAAGGGCGCGGCGCAGAAGCCCATCGGCTTCATTGTCGAGATCCATTTCAACCTTGTCTTCTTCGGGCTGTGGGGTAGATACATGGGGCACTTCGTCCGTCCACTCTTCCACCACGGGCTCTTGACGTCGTCGCCGGCTCTGACTCTCTGGCACGGTGCGTTCTTTGCCTTTAGACTCATGGCTTCGAGCCGCGGTCCGGCGTTTGGATGAAGATGCGCTAGCTTCCCGCATGGTCTCTTCGAAAACCGCACGATCACTTTGGCGTCCTTCAAGTGCCCAGAGCTCAAGGGCTCGTGAAAGCAACGTACCAGCCACGCCAGCGCCACCTGCTGCATCACCACCACCGCTAGCTCCAAGAACACGAACAGCCTCATGCAAAGTCGTAACGGCGTCTGTGGTACGTCCCATCTCCAGAAGAATGAGACCACGCGATGTGTGCAGTGAACCTATGAGGCCCCGATCCTCGTATCCCCCAACGCCAGATGCTGTGATGGCAGCAGAGCCACCGGCGCCACCACCCAAAAATGGCGAGTAGCCCATGCTGCTTCCTCCGGCTCCAACACGAAGACACTCATCAAATTCCCGTAGGGCTTCTGGTAATCGGCCCATGCGGCGTAATGCATGACCCAAGTTCGCACGTGTAGCTACCCAGGCGCTAGGCTCACAGTGGAGCGTCGTAGCGAGGGCCAAAGCTTGCTGGAAGAACTCAATAGCGCCAGCCAGTTGGTTCTGGTGATAAAAGACAACTCCAAGCTCGTTGAGAACCAGCGGGTCTCCGCCGACAGCTGCTGCTGCGGACGATGGGTTGGGTGGTAGTGCAGGTACAGAGCCCGGCGCTGCTCCTGTAGACATAGAATAAGCCGCACAAAGATACTCGTGCGCCAATGACATATTGTTGAGTGCGAGGTGTTGCATTCCCAGGAAGAGCTGAGGGAGATGACTGCCCTGGAATAGCCGAGCGGCGGTACTATAAGCCGCAATGGCTTGGTCGTGTTCGCCCTCTGCCGCGAATGTGTGCGCAAATCCGATCCACGCTGGCGCTGAATGGGGATCTAATAGGGAGGCCTTGGAAAAGAATCGCCGGGCCTCGGCAACCTTCGAGACTGATAGGTAGTATACTCCGATCGCCAAGTAAGTATATGGTTCCTCTGGTGAGTGATCGGCAAGCATGTGAGACAGCAGAAACAGCGCGTTGGTGGCGCCTGTCTCATACAGACAAGCCAAATGGAGCGGGTAGATGGCAGGCGCATGCCCCAGGTGATTCTGTGCCGGTATGCTAGAGTTTGTACTGGTCATGTCGGTCGATTGTGAGGTAGAAAGGATAGAGGAGGTCAGCTCGAGAGCTTCTGCAAAGCGACATTGCGTATACAGAGCTTCGGCGCGGGAGAGGAGAATATCTGGATTCTCAGCTAGGTTGTAGTGTGTTGAGAGTGTTTCGGTGGCGTCGGAGAGGATAATCGGGGAGGAGTATTTGGACAGTCGTGTGGTGTAAAGCATTTTCGTGAAATGGGCGGCTTCCTGGGCCATCATCGGGTCGGGAGAAGAGACGGAATCGAAGTCTAGCGATTCTAGGAATTCCAGCTCTTCCGCCGGCGACATCAGTGAGTTCTTCATGAGTTGATCGAAGGCCTCGAAACACTGAATGTCAATCCTCACTGCGTCTTTGTAGCAGTCCCGTGCCCGATCGAATGCATTCTGCTTGGCGAAACAGAGTCCTCGCAGGTAGCACATCGCAGCTTCGAATCGTATGTTGTTCGCATCCTCCCTTTCGCGCTCTTCTGCCCGATCGCTACGCGGAGTCGCGCTCTTGCCATTGCGCAAGGTGACATGGCTCTGGTGCTGAATCTTGCGCCGGGTATGGTTGTTGCGAATCAGATCGGTTGGGTTATGTTCGCCGAGAACCGTGAGGGCCTGTTCAAACTGATTCTGTTTGATGTAGGAGTGGGCAGCTAGGTAGCAACAGGCGGTGCTTCGAGAGATGAGATCCTTGCGAGAGAGCAGCGCTAGGGCGCGCGTGAAGTTGTTGTTTGAGAAATGCACTTGCGCCAGCCAGAACGCGTCGGAATCGCTGTCTTTGGCAAGCTGTTAGTTATCCTTATCAGGATTGATGCGGGGATGCCTTACTCGTCAGTGCCAGCACCTTGTCACCAATGTAAATCGCAGAGTCATGCTGACCCCGGTTCAATGCGTCCTGCCGCCAGGAGCGTAGAAACCTTTCCATCGCGGGGAAATTGTAGAAGATGTAAGAGGTGAGTTCTGCGGAGCGGGTCTATCCCAATATCTGACCGCTCGGCCCAATCCCTTTTGTTTACCATATTATCTACGACTACGAAACAGTCTGCACCTGTGCCAAGGTTTCATTCTTCACCACAGGATTCAAATAATGTGGGCTCAAGCGACAATCTACCATGCTGGCGAATTCCCACAGGCGGCCGGGGATGGTTACTGCTGAGTGAAGAGAGTCACGCGCTAGGGCGCAAGGAAGACAACAACAACATGCCCGTAAGGCATATCGGATAAAAACAAGTGCCTATGCGCACAATTGATTCTGAAATTTAGTCCATAAGCTCTGTGAGATATGTACTTAGTATCGCCTATTGAAATCAGACATTGAAGAACAACCTACATAGCTGAATTATTAGGTTTAATCATACTTTAATCCTCAACTTGGCTCCGTACAATGAACAAATAGGTGAATTGATAACTCTGATCAGAATTTACATTGAGCTATTGTGAGCCTCGACCCGGATCTGACCGAATGGCACTGTTAAAGTATTGGACTAATATAATTGTACAATTGGTACTCTACACTTCGAACTCTATAGATGTCGGGACGATGTGCTTTGTGCCAGTCGGGTTATATTTCCTCTTTTGTCCCCTCACGGCAAAGCTTTCCTCTTTTGTGCTCTTCCCATCTTCTTAGCACGTGATCTTATTTGCACGTGATCCCGGCTCAACTTCCCTCCGGTCCGAGCAGTGATGAGGACGAGGCATGGCTCCTTTCTGGCTGACTAAGCAATATGGCCACCCGTGGACCCATTCACGTGATTCTATATAGATTAGTCATCGTTCGTCGCGCCCCGGCGAAAATGGCCCATCGAGCCGATTGCAAGGTAGAGTGTCCGCAGATCTCGCCAACTTTTTACTTCTTCTCTTTCTTTTTCCTTCTACCTCTTTTGCCCCGACCAACTTACGATGGCTGAACGAAAGGTTCTTTCGAAGTACTACCCCCCCGACTTCGACCCTTCGAAGGTCGTGAAGGGTGGCGGCTCGAAGATTAAAAATGACAAGCTTCCAACTGTTCGCCTCATGGCGCCCTTCACTATGCAATGCCTGCAGTGCGCCGAGTTCATCCCCAAGGGACTGAAGTTCAACGCGCGCAAGGAGAAGCTCGAGGAAACCTACTTCGGCGTTGCGATGGTTCGGTTGTACATTAAGTGCTCCGGATGCAAGCATGAGATCACTTTCAGAACCGATCCTAAGAGTATGTTTGCAGTTGCCCCTCCAGCTTTTCGTATTCCCACTGACTCTTATAGGCAATGATTACAAGACCGAGCGTGGTGCTAAGCGCATCACTGACGGATGGCGCGACACCAACGATCCTCGTTTCAAAGATGAGACTGAGCAGGAGACCCTTGATCGCCTTGAAGCTGAAGCCGGCGAGGACCACGTACAGGAGGATAAGATGGCCGAACTCGAGGATAAAATGCAGGATAGCAAGCGCGAGATGCAGGTCGCTGACGCTCTCGACGAAATCCGATCCCGCAACGCCCGCATCGAGCGCAACGAAGCCGCCGATAAGAAGGTCGTCGCCCAGAAGGAGGAGGAGCGCCCCTTCATCGAGCTCAAGAATGGCCTCGGCAAATATTACTTCAACAGCAAGGAGGAAATGGAACGGACTCTTGCCGAGGATAAGCTGACGGCCTGGAGGGCGTTCCACGATGAGAAAGGAAACCGGATAAAACGTGACCACGACGGCAAAATCATCAAGCGCTGGACCCCAGAGGAGGAAGCCCAAGGACTTCACCTTCTTCCATCCAAGTCTGAACAGAAGGCCAAGCCCGTCCCTGGACTCGAAGATGAAATCATCGACGACAACTACGTGCCGGACACCCGAACCGATGATCAGATTCTGGCGGATATCATGGGCCAGGCTTCCGATTCTGAGGATTCCACGGCCCAGCGCATGCGGGCGATGAAGAAGAAGGTCGCCGCCAAGAAGTCTGGGCAGGCTGCCAAACGCCAGAAGCGCTAAGCAGCCTTCTAAGCTGACATTTTGACCTGCTACTTGCAAATTCTTGTTGATCTTTTTTTTTCTTTTGGGTTGTCTTTCGTCCCCCTTTGCGGGATACATTCAGTTTTTACGAATTTCATGGGACGGAGTCAATTTTTCCCCCTTTGATGGGATGGAGTTATGACATGCGATGAGGCGATCGTTTTTTATGGATACCCCAGGTGCTTCCTGCTAGTTTTAAGTCAACTTTTTAACAAACCGACGTCACTGCGGCACGATGTGAGGGGAGGCTTTGATAGTTTTCTCTGCTATGACCAATACCATCACCTTCAAACGTCATCTCATTCTCATCGTAACAAGACTCATGGACATTGGCCTCGTCTTGGACGAGTTGATAAGCACATTCGTCGGGGCACCCAACCAAGACTTCACCAAACCTTTGGAATTCGATCTCTATCACGCATATACGGAGTACGTCGTGGTACGATTGATTAGAAGCATGCTTCGCATTGACTTATTCCTTAGGATGTAATGGGTAGGATTGATAAACGTGGACTTGAGAGCAACAATAATATTAAGATTTATCATCGGCAGCTAGAATAACAATGTAGAAGGTATTAAGACAAGAAAGAAATCGGTATCACAATCATAGTAACATGAAGCAAAGCGCACCTCTAGCGCCACGCTTGGAAAGCAGACCCAGTGACGAAACCACCGCTTGAGAAAACACAATAGCCATATCGCAATGCCATCGCCAATTGGCCATGGAAGAAACACACGCAAATCCACCATGCTCAAAGGTATGGCATCCACAAAGCATCACACGAAGCCAGGTGCTGAGGATTGACAGCCTTGGAAACCAGATCGATTGTAGTCTGGTTGGCAGGCAAGTTACCCTCTGGCGGGCTGGCAAGACTGACAGCACGGTTGACAATGATCTCGCTGTTGTTGTAAACGAGGTCACGAAGCTGGTTCGGAGGCAAGGAGCCGCGGTGTTGTGCCGTGGCCCAGAACATCATCTCGTCACGCACGAAGACACTGAGCTGCTGCTCCAACTCGTGGCGTGGCTCTGTCAGGCAGCGGGCAATAGCCATCATTGCACAAGCGAACACACCCTCAGTGGCAATGGGGCCCAGCAAAGTTTGAATGTTTGGCGTGAAACGGAAGGGGACTTGTTCCGGGTTGTAGAAGAACGCCTTGGCTGGGTTGATGGTAGGGATCAATTCGGCACCCCAGATATCTCCGGTGGATCGAGAGATCAGGATCTTGTTCGGGTAACGGTTTCCAATGTGCATAACGTAGGTCATGAAGGCGATTGCCGCGTACTGGTAGGCGAACTGTCGACGGAATAGCCAGAAGTCTGAGAAGTTCGGGTATGTCTGTTGGAAGTATTCCAAGACCACGGTGTTCGGCACCCACTTGTCTTGAATCGCCGTGAGGATTTCAGTACGAAGAACCTGCTGCTGGTCGGGCGTGCGCTGGATATCGTTAGTTTGGTCTGTGCGAAAGCCGTCTGGAAAACTCACATTTTGTTTGGTCTCTGCCAACGATCTCATCTTATCCATTGTAAAGAGAACTGGTTCATCCTTGTTCATGCCCATGCGACGGCAGTAATCCTCGTAGATACCTTGCATAGAGATGTATGAGGAATCGTCCCGAACAAGACGGATGTGAGGCGCCAAAGGAACCATCAAGGGGAGATGGAAGTATAGGTTGCGGCGTCGACTCTCCTTACGTTTCGCGAGCAAGCCGTTGAAGATACGGAACAATTGGAGGATACGCTCCTCCCGTCTGCAGTGGCGGGCAGCAGGGTGTTGAACAGCGAATGCTTGAACGCTGCCGTCGTGTCCTCGAATCTTCAAGCGGCGGTGGCAAACACCAATACCTCGTACCAGGTCCACATCTGGAAGGAAGCGGTCGATGCGGACAAAGTCTTGATTCTTGTCCTTGTGTAATAGGTACTGACCAGGGATCTCGACCTCATCGAATTTGAGGAAGCGGAACTCACTCAAGTGGGGCGAGGCGCTTTCAAGGAAGGTCTGCTGTGGTCGACGGTCGAGTTTCTCCTCGAACTTATCACGCCAGCGTCGGAGCTTGTGGATGTACTCGTTCATAGTCGGCTTTTTGGTGACGAAGTCTGCCTCGAACGATTTGCGGATGTGCGCGGGAAGAATGGTTTCGGCGAAACGAGTGATGTTGGCTTCCGTGGCGGCAGGCAACTTGAAGTCCGTGGCGTACGATGCAGGCATGCGGCCAACATAAGCCAGTCCGTCGTTCAAAAGAGCGACGATCAATCGGTAAGCATCTTCGTCGGGAGGACACTTGAAGTTCTTGTGAATCTGGTCGACCATTGTCTCCATGGAGAGAGCAAGCAAGGGGAAAGCTGTCTTCAATCCAGACATGATCTCGTCCGAATACTCCCAAGGCTTCTTGAGCGCTTCCTTTTCGCCCTCCGCGGCAGGGACCTGTGGTGTTCCGTTTTGGCCTGGCACCTGCAAATGTTGGCCTTGACCTGGAGTCTGACCAGCTTGTGGACTTTGACCCTGGCCTTGCCGAGGGGATGCTTGAACAGGCTGGGCGGGAGACTGGTTCGGGAGTGCAGGATTATGCGTGGCTGGCGAGCCAGCAGCCGCAATGGATGGCGAGGCATTGGCAGCCAAGGCGTTGGCTTGAGCCTTCTGGGCAGGAGAGCTTTCAGCACCGGCGACAGAGTTTGTCTTGGTACTTGGCGATGATCCTTGTTGCTGCTGTCGAGCTCTGTTCAACTTCTCTTGCTTCTGGTCATGCTGTTTCTTGATGCTCAACATGTCTTCTCTGTTTGTGCGGAGCAGGAAGAAGAGAGCCTGCGGGTACAGCTTGGCAATCTTGGTCAAGACAGCCTTGCAAAGACGTGCCTCGCGGTGAGACAGACTGGTGAGAAGTTGGGGGATGAAGGTGATCCAGTACCACACGGGAGTGTCACCCTTGAAGTTCTCGAATGCACTTGCAATTTTGCCTTCGTCGTTGTCCAGACTCAGCAGCCAGAGGATTCTGCTAAGAAGCTTGCGCGACTTCGCGCTCTTATAGAGACCAGCTGCCTCCAAGTAGCAGCTAACAGCATTACTAGCAAGTTCATAATCAGTGGGGTCCGCCTTGAATCTCTGGTCACTGTATTGTCCCCATTCAGACCAGGCCTTGGCAAGTCTCAGGTCATAGTACAGCGCAACACCAAACGCCTCGTTGGCCTCGTTGACATGGTCCAATTTGGCAAGGAACATGCCCTTGAGCGTGTAGAACTCGGCCTTTTGCTGCGGACCAAAGTAATTCAGGTTTGTGTTGTTGATCACGTCCAGTCCGGCGCTCAGCTCCTTCGGGTTCTGGTAATGACACTTGGCCTGTTCGCGAAGCTTGAGGAACGCCTCCTGAATTTCAATATTCGGAAGGGTGTAGATACGGCTGAGCTGGTTGATACAAACTTCTGGCATCTGGTGTTTGCGAGCGACATGAGCGAAGCGGTTGATGATCCAAGCTGTCTCATGATATCCACGGTAGGCGTAAGAGTTGCTGGCCACATTGTTTGTCTGTGGAGGCAAGAGACTGAGGTAAGTGCCGTTGATGAGCTGGAAGATGTGTTGACGCCAAGTGACAAGGTCTTGCCAGGTGTTGATATCATCCCAGAGATTGGGCAAACGGTCTCTCCATGTGCCGAGCAGCAACTTGAGCTCCGCAGACTTGGTATCCAAGTTACGTTCGTTTGTCTGAGCCAAGCTGCCGCAGATGTGACTAGCATCGTGCAACTCGACCAAGAGTTGGAAGTGCTGCAGAATGGGAATATGGGCATTGGTAATGCGCTTGGGCAGCTGTAGCCATTTGCGGATAGAGAGCTGGATAGACTCGTCGCAGACACTGTTGAAGTCCTGAATGTTGTCTTTCTTCGTGTGGTATTGGAGCAGAGCCATGAAGGCCTGGAAGAACGTGCGTCTTGGTGTAGGAGCATCGGACACGGACTTGATCAATGACTCGAGCTGTTCTCGGTTACCCTCACTCTGCCAGTTCTCAATGTTTCTCCAAGCAGCCTCCAACAAAAGGTCGTTCAGATTCTCGTGTTTGGCGAAATCGCTCAGAATGTCCCATTGCTGGAGCTTTTGGGCGCATGTCAGCCAATGGTCCTCCCAAACGAAGTATTCACCCTGTGAGAATGGCATAGCACCAGAGCGGGCCTTGATCTGGGCATTCTCGTAGAGCTGCTGAGACTTGTCCCACATTCCTTGTTGCTCGTAAGACAGCGCAGCATTGGTTTCCACAAACTTGCAGCGCCGGCGCCAAGTTCCATAGAAGAAGTCATCCTCTTGAAGACCTGCGTAGACCTCGACAAGGGCATCGAGATTACTCTCACGAACAGTGGGCGTGTCGATAATGGGATCGATGGCAGTCTGTTCAAGGTATGTCGCAGCAGTGTACCATGCGTCATAGGTTCGACTGAGGTATTTGATGACATGCGGAGGAATCTTGAATCGCGGACTGGCGCGTACGGTACCCTCCAGGAGTGCTTGTACAACGTTGGGCCTCTTGTCCAATTGTCTGTGGTGGTACTCTCGAGTAAGTAAAGTGACCATGTCCTTCTCCAAGTCGATGCAATCCTCCTTTGAAAGTGTGGACCAGAAGAGGGGGAATATAGTGGTCCACAGCTTGTACGCAACGTTGGAGTCGGTATGCTGGAGCTGACACAGAGGCTCAATCAAATCACGAACTCTCACGTCGCCAACGTCAGACATGAATCGTCTTCGCTCAGTGACAAATGCCTCGAGCTGGTTGTCGACCATGATATCCGCCTTCCTGGGGTCCTTATCTCCAGTGCCAAAGAGGAATGATACCGGGAACAAGGTGAAATCCTCATGGTGTAAGCGAGCGGTGGTGTTCATGTCAACACATCCAAGCACCAGATGGGACGCCTGAGCCAGCCAGAACGAGTCGGCCAGAGTGTCCCAGTTCTGACAGGTGAGGACATAACTGAGACGAGAGCTAGCGAGACGGGTCAAACTGCGGTCGAAGATTTGCATGAACCTATTGCGCATTTCCACATCCTGGGCTCTTGCGCCAATCAGGAAAGCATGTTCCAAGCGAACTGTCAGCTCGGTTCGAGTGATCTTCGAATCCTCGTAGATACGGATCACGAGGTCAAGGAACTTCTTCAGCATTGTCTGATCGGGCCGAGACTCGAAAAGCAACATTTTGTGGAGAACAGCTGTCTTCTCCTTCAGGGTGGGCCAAGACTCAGTGGAGTGGAACACCCAGGACTCGGCCATACCAAGAATCTTGCTGCAAAGTTCGACGTTCTGCGAACGCTCAACAATTTGAGCAAGGACGCTAAGGAACGGACGCCGTTGGTCTCCAAGATGAGACATGCGAACGGAGATCAGTTCAATTGTCTTGAGAATGAGGTCGACGCCCAGTTCAAACTCTTGTTGGTCTGTGACAGGGGGCGTGGCCCCACCTTCGGCCGGCTTTGCCCCATTCTGAGCCTGCGCAACGTTTTGAGTGGACGCAGCGACATGCTCCTTTGCCAATTTTGTGGAGAAGGCCTTCATCACGGCGGGGATGTGCGCATCAATCTCAGCCGGCTTGATCTTGGAAAGAGTCCACAGGATGTTCAAGCTTGAAACGTAGTTGTTCGCCGAAAGAGTCTCGTTGGCGATGGCAGACAGATACGAGCCGAACTCAGAAGGCGTACCTTCAGTGTCCATGGCATCTTCGTCGTCGGGCTGTTCATCGGGAATCGCTTCAAGGACATGGCGGATGGGAGGGGGAAGCTTGTGTGCCATGTCTGTATCGTCCTCAAGGCCATGAAGACAGTCTTGAATTTCTGGGTTGTCCGATTTCAATGGCTTCTCGAGGAGCTTCTGGATGGATGGGAGACGAGCAGCCACCCACTCGTTTGGCTTGGTTCCAATGAGAACTCGCAGGACCTGTAGCGTGTTGACCATGTACGTGATCTTGTCCTCGGGCTTGTCGCCCTTTTCGCCCACCAAGATAGGCTCCGTCACCTTTTGGTAGAGATCGATATCAAGATCGCCCCAGTACTCGGGAGAAAGGAGACTGCGGAGCAAGTTGATGGCCTTGTTGATCATTTCTCCTGTGGGCACAGGGTTCTGTTGCTTGTTCGTTGGCATTTGACGGATCTCAGCAGCTGGAACTAGGAAGCGTTCGGGAATGGTCGTGATGAAAGTAATAAGGTACTTGACCAGTGCCGCGCGCAAATCCGTGGGCACAGTGTATTCGGAACGTTCACGGCTGCTTGGGGGTCCGAGGGCAGGAGATGGTGACGGCTCCTGGGCCTCTTCCAACTTGCGCTTTCTCGCAACTGGTGACTCGGAGGATCCATGAGTCAGGGAGTGAGACTCTGCGTTCTGCGCGCGCTTCTCCTCCCAATGCCAAATCAAACTGATCAAGTTGAGTGCGAGCTTTTTGCTGTCATTTGAGGTATTTGGCGGACCAGTTATCTTGACCAATGATGGAACGATGAGAGGGACGAAGTGTTCTCTTGACTCGTAGAACAAATCAGGCTGGCGAACCAAGAATTGGAAGATACTCATGACCTGCTGCAAGTTGGCAGTCTCCTCGGCCAAGATGCGACGAGGCCATTTAGCCCACAGCGGGTACCTTGCGTCTTGGGCTGAGCTGTTCACGGTCCGTGTGGGAAGAACGGGAGCAAGAACATCAAGGGCCTGGGTCACAAGCGCTCTACCCTCGTTCTGGTGAGCTCTGAGTAAAGCAACATAGACCTGTATCACAATCTTGAAGGGTGTCTCGTAGTGTGCGATGAAGTAGCTGATCAGGACGTATGCACCGTACTTGTTGATGATGTCCTCAAGGCGAATGTAGTTCCAGGCGAACTTGATGATATCCTTGCGAGAATCCTGCACCGTTTGAGAGTGGTACTTGATCAACAACGCAGACAGCTGAAGTAACTCCATTCGCGAGTGGTCGACGCCCGCCTGGTTGGACTCCTCGCTCAGATCTGCAAGTTGAGGCTTCCATAGACGACTCTGAATCGATTCAGTCATGCTCTTGTCCATGAGCTTAGGGGTGTTCGGAGGGCTGTTCCAATTGACTTGAACATCCATGGCGAAGATTGGGTTCACCAAATGACGGAAAGCGTAGGTCTTAGTCTTCTGAGGACAACTCTTCTGGCCGTAGAGATCAAGACAGCGCATGATCACAGAGCGGCGGTAGTCGATAGACTCGTTGGAGATAATGCTCTTGTAGATGAACTTGGGAAGCGCCAATGTACGCTTCAACTCATCAGCGGAGAGTCCATCAATGACCTCAAAGAGGAAGTCTAGGTCATGCGTGGACTCGGCCAAGTACATAGTGAAGATATCCATCAATTGATCTTCCGCCTGTTCCACTCGGAGTCGCTCATCGGCGGGCAGACTATCACCTCGGAGCTTCCTTTCCAACTCTCTACCGGAAGTCAAAAGCTTCATTCTCATGTCTGCGTTCGAGACCAACCAGCGCTTGGTTGAGCTGTACGAGCATAGAGAGTGTGCTAGATAGACTCCGTTGATAGCAGCAGTGTTCTTGCCGTCGCTAGTGTCTTGACCAAATGCCGCAGTAGAGAATCCCTCAACATCAGCCACGAGAGCGTTTCGCAATGCCTCGCTCTCAGGATCTGCCATCATTTGGGCGAAGAAGCGTCCATACCGCTCGTCCTTGAACCGCGCGAAGAAGAATGCAATACTCTCCTTTGGGTATCTGTTCAGGTATTTCACAAGTGGCTTTCGGAAAGGGCTGTGGGAGGTACGGCGAAGCTTTGTCTCGAGATCAAGCACCTTGTTGACAAGGTTCTCCATGAATGAAGTCGCAGCTGGGGGGAGGAGATGGAAGATATTAAAGATGGCGGCGACTATCTTCATAGATGGATTCTGCTCAACGAGACTGAATGAAACCTTCTGTAGTACAGAGTCATCTGCAATGACCTTCATGTGGTCGAGTAAGCGTGCGCCAATCTCAACCTTGAAATAATTCGTGAGCAAGGTCAACAGACGAGCAAGGCCATCCAAACCAGCAACACTGAGGCGCTTTGGGTCTTGGAGGTTCATCAGAATCGGACGTAGGCCATTTTGCAATAGGTCCTTTGGAAGCTTGTTGGTCTGAGTGAGAACATCCCGAAGGCCAGCATTGGCAGCTTCGATGACTTCTTGCGAGCGAGAGTAGAGGGATTTGAAGAAAACAGAGATAATGCGGGCCCTGCTTGTGTTCTGTGGGGTGTTGGCAAACTCGGAGAAACTCATTGCCATCGATAAGAGACGAAGACAAGCAACACGCAGGTTGACGATCATATCGGCATTCTTGAACTCGTTGGGCTTGGAGGCGAGAGATTCATCATCGGCATCAGCTAGCGCAAGTGATTCCAGCATCAAACGGTTGAGAGGCTCGTTGAAAGTGACGATCTCATTGTGAAGGCTCAGACAGTAGGTGATGGCATCGATGAAGCCAATTTGGGTTGCGAAAGGCAGCGCACGCAGGGGCTTGTTGAAAATCGACTGCAAGAGTCGATCTCTGACAGGCAAGATCAATTCATGGACCTCACAGCCAAGTACTTCCTTCAAAGTGGTGAAGCAACGGCGGGCCGTCTCGCGAACATGCTTGTTCATGTGACCCAACTCGTAAACGAGCAAACCACAGAGGGCATACAGACGAGTCTTTTCGTTCTTCAAATCGTCCTTGGGAATGAGCTTGCCACATTTCTGCAGAATCAAGATCATGGTCTCCTGTGACTGGATGCGCGTAGCAGCTGGAAGATCCAATGGTGTGTCCTTGATCACATACATCAACGAGCGACAGAATTCGACGTGTCGCTCATACAGCCACGATTCTCCCAAGTCCAGCTTGGTCGCGAGCAAGTTGATTCCTAGGCTTCCGCCTGCCTTTGTAAACCACTCTTCACTATAGCAACTGTGACAGAAGACACGGCCCAGGTGTTGGAAGAATGGGAGCTTGGCGGCCTTCTCTGGGGATCCGAAGATAACACCAGCAGCATCCTTCACAACAACCATTGACTGTTCCGCAGCCTCACGGACATGGATCTCATCGGATGCGAGACATTCAACCAACGCTTCGGCAAGAATCTTAGAGTCAAGGTACACGGGACCCTCACCGCTGGCAACGTCGAAAGCCTTGCGGCCGTGGCGGAATTGGGCCAGGGCACGACCAACCTCTACGAGGGTGAAGTGCTTGCAAACGTCAGCCACGAAAGCCTTGGCCGTCTGCTCAAGCTCTGGGATCGTGGTGGCGAAGATACAAGCCTTGATAAGCTTCTTGACAGTTGCTTCTTGCGCGATCTTCTTTGGGATGGAGGCAGACCTCTCGGACTTGTCCAGGATATCAGCCATGGCACTAGGCTTATTCTCGAAGAGATCGTTGGCATGAAGCCTGATCGATGTAGCCAAATCATCAGGAATAGAGTCATAGCCGATTTGAAGCTTGAGGTGAGAGCTGAGCATACGATATGCCTGCTGTTTATAATAGATGTCCGAGGCTTTGGCCGAATCCGTCTTCGGGACTTCCATTAGCTTACCCGCAGCGAGGTCAATACCGATGTCAACAGGGAAAGGCCGCTTCTCGTTCGGGCCAATCAGCCTGATATCAAAGCTAGGATTGTCATCTGAGAATTGCTGGAATGACAGCTCAGGTGGATGGTTGAGGAACTTGCGGTTCCGTCCACCCAGCTTGCCCAGGATGCGCATGGTGGTGTGGGCGTGGAAGTGGTTGTAAGGGTGAGGGCGAAGGTGATCCCAAAGGGCAGTCATGAGCTCGTCCATTATGGGAGCCATGATCGGATCGAGGTAATCAGCTGTGAGGTTGTCCACGCAGAGTTCGAGGGTGCGAAGACCCTGGCCGACCAGGTCAGAGTCCGCACGCAATGCCACCACTATTGGTCGCATCAGGTAGCTGAGATGAGGAAGAAGATGGCTCAATCGAGCGGGAACAGTCAAGGTAAGCTCCACATAGAGATCCCGCTCCTGTGGCTTACGAGCTGCGAGCAGCAAGTTGTTAAATGTCTCAAGCAGCATCTCCAAGAGGGGGAGAATTTCCTTGTATAAGAGCTCAAACCGTCCCCCTCCAATGCTTCGGAACAGAGAACGGAGAAGAAGGAAGTAATTCATCGGCTCCTCGGCGGTAACCGAGAGCTCAATACACTTGGTCACGATCTTGGTCACATGAGGGTGGAGAACCTGCTCGTTCTGCACAGAGAACAAAGTCACCGCCATGAAGGAAAGCTTGAACATTCTCAAAAGAATCTTGGCCTTTGTCATATCAGAGGTCCCGACCTCATCAATACGCTCCATCAAGTACTGCAGAACCATGCCCGAGAATGCGGGGGATGTGGCCTCGCTAGCCAGGAAGAATTGGGGCAGGTGGAGCAAAGCCCCATGTTCGAACATCAACTCGTGAAGGTAGGGGATTTCGGAGTGGAAAACTTCGTGGAATGTCGCGGTATCAATGCAGTGGAAGACAGTGCCGAAGCTTTCCAGAAGCTCCTTCTCCTCCCGTGTCATCGGTGCAGTGTACTGACTTGCAAGGAAATCAAATGGAGAGGCGTAGTTCATCTCAGGAGGGCTCTGATCAACGCCATAATAGCGGAACACACGAGCTCCCTCGTGGAAGAGCTTCTTGATGACACTAACCTCCTCTGCATTGTAGCCATATGATACCTCGGACCAGTTGACAGGGACGTTACTCGGGTCGATCTGGACGTCATCTGGGTTACAATTCTTCAATTGGCGGAAGATGTTCTTCAACCCATTAATCAAGTTCCTGAAGAGGAAAATGTTGTCCGAAACTGGATCACCGCCGCGATCACGTGGACTAGAGGTCTTGATGGGCGAAGCCGAGAAAATGTCGATCTCATCCCAGTCAGGTGGTTGGTCTTTTTCGGCGAGGTAGCTCTCGGGGCAGGGTTCGGTATCTTTGCGGAAATCTTTGTAGGCCTTAGAAACTTTCACAGCGTTCTTGAACTGGTGGTTCATTGATGCGAACTTGTCACCGATTGCATCTAAGATCATTATTAGGAAGTACCGCGCCTCACGTTTGTCTTCCAATTTGGAGATGTTCTCTGCCATGTTCAGAAGTAGTTTAGCACTCATCGTTTGGAAGCTAGTGCCAGGGAAGTCATCATGGAGGTTTTTCGTGTACACCTCAACTGTCCTGCGAATCTGGTCACGACTCAAATGATCACGAACATGGTGGATCAGATCGGCTAGCATGCTGTAGGCTAGAGGTCGCATGGTCTCATAGACAGTCAGACCATCTCCAATGAGAGTTCGCTCGTCCAAAAGCTCATCGATTTTCTCAAGGAAGATCTTGCGGTAGTTGAAGTTGATGATGTGGCGAATAGCCACCAGCAATTCTTTCCTAGCTCCCGACTTCTCTCGTGGGCAATCTTGGAGAAGGCGCACAACGACAGCTGGAAGGGTAGGTAGGAAATCCTGAAGCTGGTGGGCATACAGACGGAGCAAGTATGCCAAAAAGCTCATCGTCTTAACTTGCGCTGTGATGAACTCGCCGAACGCAGCGCGGTTCTTGATCTCCTTGCAAACTCCCGTAAATATCGTACCCTGTGCGGCAGCTTCTGAGTGTGCTTTTTCTTGTGGCTTCGCTTGAAGCAACAAAATGGTCTTGATGAGCGGTACAAAAAGCTTCACGTTGGCTGAGACTGAGGCGCGGTGTGTTTGGAAAATTGAAACGACGATAATCGGGCACTCTGCGAGAACTTTGAAAGACTGCATGCCCTTCAAAAGGACATTGCTTGACTGCTGCTCTGGTCCAAGATCTGATACTGAGGTTGCGGGCGAGCTCGGTCGAGGAGACTGGAAGTTCTGTGCTGTTGCGTTCGGCGTTGATGGCATGCCCGATGGTGTGGCTTGGTTTGGAGTGTCAAAAGTGTCTCGGACCACTTGTTCCATGGTCTGGAACATCTCTTGAATCAGCTCAAGGAAGGTTTGGACCCGGAGTGCTGTGGCCTTGGCTTGATTCCTCTCCAAATCCATGATCGTCTTCATACAAAGCACCGCGTTGTCTTCGTTTTCGATCCTCACAAGGTCCATCAGCAGGTCGACCATATCCACAGCGTAAGGCTCGACATCGGGTGAGCCCATCGGTAATCGGTGGAGTGTCTCGAGGATGCAGTTTCGAAGTTTCTAGCGAAGAAGCTTGTTAGCGAGTATAACTAACCTTTGCGGATACCAAGGTGGCCCTTGAAACGGTATAGATCTCACTTGTTCATAGGACATGCTGAAGAACACCGGATCTCCCTTCAAAACGGTTTTGAATACCGGCCATAGCTTCGATAAAAAGATGGGGTAGTTTGCACCAGCGCATAATGGTTCAATTGTGTCTCGTAATTCGGTAGCAACGTTGGCTCGGACTTTGATATCTGTATCGCGATGCCGTCAGCATGGTGACAAGGCAATAGTAAATTTTATAGCGGTCATTCTGACGTACCCAACTTTTCGTCGCCGAGCTTGGCGGCATAGATATCTATGTTTCGCTCCATGGTAGCGATCGCACCCGGCGAAAGGGCTAGCCTCTCAATGGCGATTAAGAGAAATTATGGCCAGGCCGGAAGGCCGCCTGAAAAAGGCGGAATGTGCGCAGTAATCCCGGGGGGAAATTGGCCTCTCATGTGTTGTGTTGTGGTAGCACGGGAGCTGTGTGGACTCGATCGATATGCGAAAAGATCGGAGACGGAAGAGGTAAAAGGAAGGGAATCATCAAGTCATTGAGTTTCCAGGGAGAAAAAAGGTTGCCTAGTCCATTTAGTAAAAGGAAGGTTGGACAGCAAAAGAATGGATTGAATTACCCCGCGGGGAAGGAGAAGCGCAGTTGATGGAGGAGGGTTTTAAAGGTAATGAATGCGCGCGATATTCACGAGAGCAGAACAGAAGACGCGGGCTATCGCAGAGACCCCGAAAGAAACACTAGTCTGCTTTAGGCAATTTTTCGGGGACGGTTGATCCGGCTCCGAGCCCCTTCCAGCCCTGCACTACAACTTCCTTGACCTCGTTGATATGTCTTGTGCCCTTGCTAGGGGCCGCAAAGTATTATGTTCCATCAGTAGTATGTATTGGTGTATTCGAAATGAATGAGTACAATTTTCGAATTAGTCAACCTGGTCATGTGTCACAGCTACATTGTATACATCCACATTCCAAGGCCGTGTGTACTTGGATACTGCGACATATGTATCCTGCTATACAATCTGAACTACTTCGAAAGTTACCTAGGTAGTTGTTCAGTTATTGGCAGGTATTCTGTACATATCGAAAAGACAAACAGACAAATTCTGCATTAAGTAATGTATATATAAACTCTACTCTCAAAACACTTGTTCATAGCAAGAATAGATCTACAGAGGCACCAATCAGATTCCAAGGCAATGTCATACCTATCCTAGAATTGGTCTAAAATAATGGAAGAAGACAGAAAGAAGACAACACATAGACAGCCACCGACATCGTCGATGGATGGAAACGCCAATCGCACCCGTTTTCCATACCCGAACACGGTTCTAAGACTGGCTCCAAGGATGTCCACGCGGACGAAAACCCAGAGACCCGGTCACAGAAAGGAAAATATCAAAAAATCCATGTACACAAAAGAGAAGAAGGGGAAAGGGGGACAGGCACAGTTTGGGGGCATCAATCCAGGCGAGTACTGCCGAAAATCAAAGGACAAGATGAAATCGTTGTCCGGAGTCGCTATGCCGTTGCAAGAAAAATGGGAACACATATCCATCAGCAGTCCATTCCCTCCGAGACATTATTTTGTAGAATTGCTACGATGCAAAATCTGTACATTGGTCGCGCTGGTACCACTGCCGACCGATCGTCGTCGCGGGCGAACTTCACTGCCGCTTCCGCTTCGTCGTCTCCGACCACTGTTGCGAATAGAGCCTCGGCGTCGTGTCTGGAGCAAACGGACGTTCTCACATTAGAATCACGCTGGCTATAGGGGTGGACGTGGTCTCTTAGCAAAAGACAAAAAATCAAGGGCGACAGAGCCAGACGATAGGGTAGTGCGCATAGGAATGCATGAATCTGGGCAGCAAAGCGGCGGATCAGAGATGCACGTTACTTACCGAGTTGGGGGTTCCTTCCCTGCTGGGTCGGTCCTTTGACTCGTCAGGTTCCTCCTGCAACTTCAATGTGTTCAGTCGCTTTTGACTCTCGTGGGTCATAGCCTCAACCTCGTCAATGGGCTCGGGCACGTCGAGAGCGGGGGGGCGGGGGTGGAGGAATGCCGTTCTTTCGGTCTTTGGCCTGTTGCTCGATAATGTCCCAGCGGTCCGAGCGGGACTTTTCGCGCTGGTCGGCACTGTTCTGGTGCTCGGTGAATTCGTGTGAGCATTCATCAAATAGTTGAGGATTAATTTCCATGAACATCTTCATGGCGTTGTACACCATGCTGTGGATCGTTCTACAAGGCGTCAGTATTCTGTTACTTGTGATTCGAGAACATTTCCATGGGCATACCGGTTCCAGTGCCCCTTGGAGTTCTCGTAGAGAGGAGCAAACATGATGGGGAGAATTGTTTCCACGTTGTCGCTGACGAGATTGCAGAAATACTCATTGTTCCAGAAGTACAATGCCCGTTCGGCGACCTGCATGTCGAACATTGAATTAGAGAGGTGTCTCAGTGGGGGAAACGCAAGAAGCACACACCTGGAAATGGGGGCTGGCAACAGACTTGGCCAACTGGTTGAACAAGGGCTCCTGCACCTTAGCGAACTCGCCAGGGTCCATGACCTCGAAGATGTCTTCGACCTCATTAAGATACATGACTTCTTTGGTGCTGTTGGTTTTGGGCCAGAAGCGCAGCAAGCCAAGAACGACCTGGGTTATGGTTAGCGGATGCATCTGAGTGAAATGATTTGATTGAAGAACCTACATCTTCAGTAAGTGTCGAGTCCTTCTCCAAGAATTGCACGATACAGTATGCCAATTGTGGGTGGTACATGCTGAGACTCTTGACCTTGTGCATAGGGAGAAGTACTCGGGTCAAGAAGAGCTTATGTTCCTCCTTTAGGGGCAAAGCGAAACCGTTGATGATGGAGCCCAAAATCTCGAGTAATTCGGCAATTCCGTTGTGTCTCTCCGTTTCATACATGAATTGGAAGAAAACGTTGTTGATAGATCGGCGGATATAAGATCTCAGGTTTAAGAATTTGCCATAAATGCGATGCAGAGTCGTCTTGAGGAAATCACGTTCCCGGGGATCTTCCGAATCGAAGAGATCCAACAGCTAGATGTATCATTAGCTTGCATCGCTTGTGAAATGAAGATACCAAGACATACCGAAAGAACAAATTGATGATCGATGTAACCCTTCGCGATGTTTGTGTTGAAGTCCTGGCTTTCGATGAACCTCAAGAAGAACTCATATACAACCTGAATGTGGGGCCAAGCGACCTCCAAAACAGGCTCGTCTTCCTCCGGGTCAAATGCTTCACCCTGGGGAGTCAGAGGTGGGGGGATGGGACGAAACAGGTTCTTGGCAAACATCTCTACCACCCGAGGGTACATGGGCTCTGTGATAACGGACCTGTTGTTGGCAACATAGTCCAGAAGCTCGTGCAATGCCAGGCGCTTGATCTCCTTGGACTTCATGTCGGCCGTTGGGTCGTTGAAGTCAAAGATGATATTGCACTGGTCGATCTTTTGCATGAACAAGTCCTGGCGCCGGTTAGGAGGGACTTCGTGGAAGCCTGGAAGCTTCTCCAACTCTCTTTGGCGCTGATCGGAGATGTCAAACCGTGAAGAGTGCTGGCGCTTGGGCGTCCGGATGCCTTCCGACATGTCCTTGGGTGTGGTCTGCAGGCGGTCGAAGACGTGAGACTTCCTTGGGGGTGCGAGGTCACCGGGCATTGTTTCTGCAGCACCGGGGGAGGAACATGCTATTATTCCAGGAAAGAGTCAGTGACTGTGTCTTTATCAATTGTTGAAACTGATAGCCTTACCGTGCTTGGACTGATGATGACACTGGGGGCTGGGGGCTGGCCTTGTCTAGTCGGTGTTCCCGGTCCATTGCTTACGGGCTGGCCTGCGGCGCCGGCTTGTGGGATGTAATGCTGAACTGGGGTGCCAGGGTGGGGCGCGCCGCCCGCAGGAGCCCCAGCGGGTGAGGTATTGTCGGGGGACTTGTTGCGCGGGTCGTTCAGTGAGGTCGTAGACGATGTAGGTGTGCCTTGGCTAGGAGAGGTAGATTGCTGTGCGTTGGAGACGCCAAGAGACGCTTGGTTCTGGGAAGCGGAGTTGGAGTCCTTCTTTTTCGATGACTTGTTGTCTTTCGCCCGCGACAGCTGATCATGCTATATTCGAAGCGGTTCAGATTAGCATGAGTTCAAGATGAGTAAAGGGATCACCACCTGCACGATGAAAATGAACGGTGTGCGGAAATGGTCGTGCGGTGAGATAGACCGAAGGGTATGGGGAACTCACCACTCTCTGTCTGAAACCCTTCATTTTGACGACTATTTAGATAGCCACATGTACTCGGCTAGTGTTGTAGGTTCCAGTACAGCCAAGCGCCGCACTCTAGCCAGAGCGATTCGAGGGGAGACAGCGGAGACGATCGCTCGGAATAACCACGAGAGGGGGAAATTGTTTGGGTCGACCTAATAGGAGAACTGGTGAGCGGTCCGAGTCACGCGGCATGTAAATTGACTAGGTTGAAGATGGAAGATGGTGCGGTGCAGAATACCAGACTCTGCGATGCTCAGATGGGGGGTGAGGCTCAATGGCAACAACCTCCAACGCTCGAGACAGGGTGCAGTCGCAGCACGCGCACGGGGCAAGGTGATTCGGTGTTGGTGAGGGCCAATACAGGCATTAGGACACGAATGTCCTGTCAAAACGTACCTCCGTAGCTTTGACCGAAACAATTGAGCAATCGAGGGTAGGAGTGAACTGAGAGAGTAGGTGTTCCGGGAGGTAGCTGGTTGGTGCCAGAGGATCTCCGAGTCGCTAAGTGGCAGGCTGGGAGTGGGGGGATTGGGAGCACCAGGTGGACAGGCACTCGATTCTCTGCCAACAGCGAAAGCACGAGGTTCAGATTCTCGATAAAGTAGAGCGCCTAGTCGGCGATTTGCACAAGACCAAATAACGATGATGGCGTTGGTAGAGAGGAGGAGGGTGGGAAGGTGGATTGTTGTTGAGGTGTTAGGGAAAGGCGGGCTGGTTCTCCTGGCTGTGATGGTGATGGGCCACAAATCCGTACGCGACTAGTTCTTCTACATTTCCATGCGAGCGGAATCTTTTGATGCTAAACTGCCAAACTATGGAATTACTCGACTATTTCACCTTTCTCCTATCGTTCTGTATGCTTTTTGCCGCTTGTTTCAAACGTGCTTATGTCATGATAACACGTGACCACAGGGGCGATTCAAATTCTCAGGAACCGACGACGTCACTTGGGTTTGTAGTAGACAGCGATACCTCAAGTGATGCAATTGTCATCAGAAGACCTCGTTGAGATGCAACACTAGCCACGATTGACCAAGTTGGACCAGCTGAAGACAGTGCGGTCTGTGCTCTCGACCCCACTTCTTACTCTCAACTTGATATGCCCGCATGTTCCATAGTTGGTGGATTTGAGACGTCCAGCGATATTAATAGGTGGCTGATCTGAGTGGCTTGCATGTCCAGGTGTATTATTCCACCAGTTGCTGATTGGACAGAATTCGTATTTTTACATATGCGGCGAATATCATTGACAAATTACGGAGATGGGCGGAGATATATAATGAAGTCCGATTATTTCATCTTCAACCCAGTAGGACTCGAAGACTCGAAGTGATGCCCTCTCACCCTCAAGGCTTTTGTACCTTTGGAAATTCGAGGAGAGCTAACCGAGAAGCCACATGCCCTGGTGGACATTCAACATTTACATTGCGGACTAATGAGAGGAGTACTTTCGACACCACCTAACTGATCCCTCAATAAGCTCGAGTCTCAATACGGACATCGGGAGACACAAGATGCTCGAAAAAAGCCAGCGGAAATGAACCTGCCTATGCAATAAGTGGAAAGAAAACTCGATTGTTCCTTCCAAAATTTGGATAGGCCATGCCTTCCCGGCATGTGTGGACAGAGTAGAAAACACAGCAACGGTGGAAAGTGCTTCTCTTCACGAAGCAGCATTGACCTCCAATCTGGCCCTCAACCGTCTCTCATATCCCAAGTCCACCGCAAGAACCACCAAGCATAGAGATCATGGCAACATTCGGGAGCTACCTCACCCCCGAGTTCCTCGCCGCTCCGCCAGACCAAACCCCCGTTCTCTACGGCCGCCCACTCAAGGCCCATGAGATCCTTGTATCGCCAGCGCGGCCCCCTCCCGAGCCCTTGAATCCCTGGATACAGCTGCGAGACCCTCCAGAGGAACCAAGTGCCGACGCTACCCAAACAGCCGAAGCAAAACCCAAGAGGTCACTCAGACGCAAACTGAAGAGCATGGTGACTTCAACTCGCAAGTTCTTTTCGCGGCACTTGCGCAAATCCTCGTGAAGATCACGCTTCTACATCTGAACTGTGCATGAGAGTATGCCACAAATTCAAATTATAATCCTTTTCTACGGGGTGACGTCCATCCAAACGCCGAAAACCCTGCACCCGGAAAACGGAGAAGAAGAAGAAGAAGTCTGCGGACATACCCGAGAGAGCATGTTACAAAAAGACCAAAAGACACAGACGAGACCGACCTTATCCTGACGGACACAATGGAGAACGAGAATCAAACAAGAAACTGTACTCACATCGGGCAATCAAGCAAAAAGTCATGGAGGGGAAGGCTTGGACGAACTGGGCTATGCCAATATATCTTATGCTGGGCTTGACTCACTATCTGCCTTTTGTTGAGAGCCTATTTTAAAACCCGAGTTTTGCAAAAGAACAAACACCTCTGTCAAAGTTCGAAGAATCTCTTGCATATTGTAGTCTTCAGGGCTCCAATGGCTCCACTTTGTAGTACGCTGAGTCATCATGATTTCGCGGCACCTGGCACACTAAACCACATGTGGAATGTAGGATCCTTTTCTTGAGACTGTAAGATATCAGATATTGCCTTCAATGTCTTAATTGCCAATTCATATCCATTGGAGTGTAACATTAGTCCAATCAAATTGGCCTGACTTGCGAAAGGGCACTTCCTTACATCGCAGCTGCGTTGACCCAACTCACCAGCGACACCCTCGATTAACTACACCTCAGCCTGGACAAGTCCTCATTCTTTGCTTTGACAAGTTTGAAAGTCTCTCTCCCATCATGGACGACCAGAATAATCCATGGACGGCGCCATTTCACCCCGTTCCCGCCCGGCAGCTCGTGAGCGTCGAGCACCCTGCCATCGTGCGCAATGTCGACAAGGCCATTGAAACCCTACAAGGCGACGCCGGAATCAAATCAGTAAGGATGAAAAGCGATGATTACAAAAGATTGTGATCTATACTGACCAGCGACAGATATTGGACCGGACCAGGGAAGACCCGAAGGCCAATCTGGTATTGCGGCCCGGAGATGCCCTATCTCGGCCAGTCCAGTCAACTCACGTGCCATCAAATAACGTCTTGCTCAAAGTCACCGTCCCAAAGAGGACTGGACGGAAACGCAAACTAGGTTCAGATGCGCCTTTTGAATATTCGCCAGAGCCTGAAGTTGCAGGCCCACCGCGACGCACAGCAAAGGATCTCTTGCGCAGCCTCAGCGACAACCCTACGACTTATCAGATAGAGCCAGTTGGGAGCATTGAGCATACGCATCTTTTCCGAGGTTCGCTCCTTACCATGGGTTTCTTTCATCGGACGCATGCTAACACCCACAGGAATGCCTGATTTCGTCTACTCGACACAGGCAAGCTCCTTCGCCAACAGGTTCCGAGAGCAGATCCTTTCGTATGACTGTGAGTACATCAGAGCTTCTGTAGAAGAATATCAGCTAATCTTTACAGTTGACAAAATGAAACAATTCGACATCGACATGGGCAAGGGTACCCAAAAGAATGCGGATATCATCCCACCACCATCCTTCAGCCATGGTGACGTGCCGTTCCACTATATGTAAGATGAAATATCCACCGAACCAACGAATCCACAATCTAACCAATTTAGCTACCGTCAAAACCCAACCGTGAAGAAGACAGTGGGAAAATCCGGCCAAATGGAAACAATCAACACCTCAACTGCCAGTAAAGTTCTGACTCATCTCGTCTCCTTCGACGTCGCCACAGTCCCTCAAAAGCCACGCGAGAACCTCTTGCCTCTCGAAGCTCATGACCAAAGCATGCGCGACACAATCGCCGCCGTCGAAGCACTGTACGAACAGCGGCCAATCTGGACCCGTCGCGCTATCCGCAACAGTCTAACATCAGATGCGCAACGCTCAAACCTCCGTCACGCCATCCCATACGTAGGCTACATCTTCAGATCCGGACCGTGGCGCGACGCAATCGTCAAATTGGGCGTAGACCCGCGCACATCCCCAGAATACCGCCACTACCAAACCTTCATGTTCCGTCTCTTCTCACGAGAAGCAGAGTTGGGTCGCGACGGCGCAGGTGGACGACGACATAACCTTCCTCGTCCCAGTGACGCCCGACTCGATAAAGAATCCGGCTCTGCCGATATAGATGGCCACATCTTCAACGGCAAGCTGCCACTCTCCACCGATGGTCGTATCTGGATGATTCGTGATATCACAGACCCGCAGCTGCGAGCTGCGCTTTATCCCGAGAACCCGGCGCCAGATTTCCTGCGCAAGGAATGCGAGATTGTTACCGACGGCTGGTACGGTAATGGAACGCTTGGAAAGGCGAAGACGGTAATGAGAGCTAAGATTGCTGTTTTGATGGAAGGGAAGCAGCCTGTTGATGAGGACTATGTGAGGATCATGAAGCTTCCTGATCATGCGAATTGTGAGCAGGACATTGAGCTTTTCACGATTGATCTTGAGACGAGCACTAGCAAGGAGACTGCGTTGGCGACGGAGGTGAGGTCTACGATTCGTGGAGCGCCGAAGTGGAGGCAAGCGACGGCTGGTAAAGACAAAGAGAAAAAGAAGGAGGACAAGAAAGAGAAAGAGAAGGAGAAGAAGAAGAAGGGAAAGAAGAAGGAGAAAGCCGTTGAGTTTGAGGCCCAGAGTGAAGGAGAAGAGGAGGAGCTTGAACGACAAGAGATGATCGCGGCACAGGTGGCCGCTGCTGCTGCTGCCAGAGATGCGGATGAAGCTAACGGCGAGGGAGAAGGCGATGACGAGGGGGATGATAATGGTCCCATGGATGAAGACGAAGACGAATGATTCTACAAGGAGCTTACTTAACAAGACAATCTTGAGAAATGATAATTCGATTGCTAGCTAAAGGTACCTACCGTACATCATTAAACATCAGACATGACAAAACGATTAAGGACCGGAGAACAGAGAGCAATGCAAGCCGGGTAGTCACAATAGTGAGACGTAAGTCGTGAACAAAAGACCAAGACACCAACGCCGAACAAGAAAGAATAAAAGAATCAAACAATGAGCGCCAAACAAACAAATTGGTATTGGATAAAAACCAGCCGGAGAACCAAAACACCAGACCCAGATGCACACCCCAATTTTAGAGACGGAGGAAATCAGTTGAGCTTCTCAGCCTCGTCATCAGGCTTGGGAGTAGCGGGCTCGGCAGCAGGATCGGTGGCGGTCTCGGCAGCAGATGGGTCAGGGGCAGCAGCGACAGCTTCCTGGCTCTGCGAGAGGGGCGAGCAAGGCTTCTTGAACTCAGGCTCATCTTCATACACAACGGTGATTGAGAAAGCATTGCAGCCGTCGGCATAATAATCAGCAGCATTGAGGTCACCCAAAGGGGCGCGGTCCACAAGCGACTTGCGGGTGGCAGTAGCATTGGCACTGGCAGTAGTTTCCTGGCGAGCACTGGGGACAACGACGCCCGATTCGTGAGGGGGAACATTCTCCTTCCCGCGGCTGTCAGTGGGCTTCCCCTCATCGTCACTGATATCAAGAACAGTAGTTGAGTGTTGCATCAAGTTGGTCATCTCCTCCTGCTCGGTATCGACATGGATGTCGAAGCACCATGCCTCGGGAGCCTTGGGCTTAGGCTTAGGCTTCGACTTGGTCTGGGACAGTGCGGAGGCGAGGGGAGAAGGGGCGGGCGACCCCGCGCTTGTTCAGGTCTCTGGGTTTGGTGATGGAGCGACGGCTGGCGGACTTGCTTGACTTGGGTGGTGGGGAGCGACCGGCAGGTTTAATCGGTGCTGATTTGGGGGTTGATGATTGCGCGGGCTTGGGTGTTGTGATGTGTGGTGAGATTCGGGACGAGAGAGCCACGCGTGATGCTTTGGGGTTGCTGTTCTCTTCGTCATCGTCGAATGTGCGCTTGCGCTTGGTAGAACTCGGTTCAATGTTCTCGGAGTCGATGAAGATCGTGTTCTTGGGGCTGTTGAGGCCCTTCAGGGAGAGGACTGGTTCCAGGGTTCGGTTAGCTGGGGCCGCAGACCCGACCATGGATCGCAACGTACCATTTTGTTGATTCTGACGGTTCAGCTTCGATCGCATCATAGGACGCATGTGCGGCGAGTCCAAACAGCCCAAGGGCTGGCGAGTGGGAGTCATGGTGAGGGCCATTGTAAAGATTTTGTTTTGGTCAAGTGGGGATCGGCGGTCTACACCCCGCGAGTCGTCGAAGTCAAAAAGGAAAATGGGCAAAAAAGCAAAAAAAAGTCGATAACTCGAATCAAAGAGAGGGGTTCTTGAATGATAGTAAATAGGACTTCGTCACAATAACTTTGTTTGGGTCCACACAAAAAAGAGAGGATGGGTAGAAACTGCTACACCGAACTGAACGAAGGGATGATTCAGATAATGACACCAATGATTCAGATGTGCAGCGATCGAGAGGTAGATATAATGGCCGAGTCCAATGGATTCAAGGTTCAAGCAAGGTATCAAAAGGTGGGAAAAGTGGAGGGATCACAAATGGAGGGAGTAGGAGAGTATTTCAAGGAGCATAGCGCGTCTTCGCGCGCAAGGCATCTCGGAGGGCCGGTTGGATGCCAATTCCTCAAGTGGCGTTTATGCAGCCCCAGCGCAGTCCAATCGTGTTTCATGCCAGTGATCCATTCTCTTCCCTCGTGTATGTACAATGTACGGAGTACGGGTCTACGCGCTTTTGCTTTTGACATGGTAATGCCCATTATGCTCCTTGTCCCCGTTTTCCCTCAACTTTGTTTTATACTTTCTATACTTCGACTTTGTTCTCGTAGATTACCATAGTAACTACCAAGACAGTGAGGCAATGAACCAGGTTCCCAGGTAACCATCTAGGCACTTAGGTACCCAGGCAACTACGCGCTCACCCAGGTAACTGGAGAATCCAGATATGTCCTAGTCGCGTCGAGTATCCCTTAGACGCGTCGGGTAAGTACCCGGTACTTGGCGTTCCGCCTAGTATCGTCCCATCACACAAGTACTAGTGACCACTACGCGCGACACGATGTGCACTTCACGGTCACGTCCCCTTACTGAGTCGTGACGTGAATTCTCCAACTGCGCTAATGGGTGTGCTGCAGGAATGAAACTCTGCCAGCGCATCTGCGGTCTTACTGACTTTGGTTACGGAGTGAGACAAAAATAAGAAACGCTAAAAAAAAAGATCATGTTCTAGCGCCTGGAATTGCGCGCTCAAAATGCTGGAAAATGCCTGTGTTTCAACAGGCGTAGGAATCCAGCCCCTCAAATCCAAGTGCGGTTGACTGGGTTATTAATAGGGATGGTTCTTCAAGCCTCCCCTCGTGGGGTTCGGGATTTTCGTCGACCTGCATTCCACGAAACCTTGCTCGGAGATCCAGTCCTTTGTGCCATCGACGTCTACCCGCGTCGGTATTCTACCGCATCAAGAAAAAGACATGCCGATCGACCTCAATATTAGCCTTCGCATGTAGGTTTCATCGATCACGGTTCAATTAAGTACATAGTCTAAACCGCTGGGTGGCGAATATGATCATATCTCATCCTCAAAGGGAATGCTGTCCATCGCACCCTGACGTTCCACAGTCCGGGCAGAAGCACGCGCAGCCAGGCGCATCGCCTCGTCCATAAGCGTATTGTACCGGTCCGGTTTCTCCGAATCCGTGACGTCTTGCCCTGCGAGGCCTTTTGCGCGACGCTCTTCCCGCCACCGAGCAACCTTAACAGCATACCCTCCAACAAAGGTGTCACCCGCCGCAGTGGTATCCAGGACCCGTGAGACAGGCGCGGCTGGAAGCTCGTTAGTAAACCGTCGCACCCCATCACTGGGCCCCGAGTGGCCTCCATCTGCAGCGCTGTACCAGACACCCTTCGCTCCCAGCGTAATGAGTATATACGTCACACCGAGTTTGTGGAAGTATCGAGCAACCTTCTCCTTGCCGTCCAATGCCTCCGCGTCGGGCACCGTGCGAAGTAACTGGTCCGTAGGCGGTGTCATGAGCCCGGCCTCCGTCTCATTCAGAATCAAATGATCAACCCCGGCATACACATCCTCCGGTAGGCCCCCGGGCGGTGCCGGTGCCGGGTTCAACATGACATCGGGACCGCACTCAATGCCACGTTTTCCAGCAGCGCGGCTCTTCTTCTTCTCGGCTGCGATCGCTCGTAGTGTGCCGATCACTGTATCGACGGGGATCTCGCCCTGCATGACAATGACGTCTGGCATTGGTGCCGCGAGAGCCATACCCAGTACTTCAGGCGTCGGCTGCATACCATCGTAGTTTGCACCAGGCGAGAAGACAATGCGATTCTCGCCGCCGGCAGACGAGTCGACAATGATCACTGCAACTCCCGTGTAAGCATTCTCCACAATCTTCACCCGCGAAGCATCAACGCCCGATCGTTCGAGTGTCGGCTTCAACAGTGCGGAAAAGTGTCCGTCCAATGCGCCTACTGCGCCCACCATCTCAACCTGCACGTCGCTCGTGGAATTGGCGTCGCTGGTCGGCTTGGCTCGGGACATTCGCCCGCATGCCACGGCTTGGTTGGCGCCTTTGCCGCCTGCGCTGGTGAAGTAGGACGAGGAGGTGATTGTCTCGCCTGGATTCGGGAACCGAGGTGTGATAGACACCATGTCGGCGTTGAGGGAGCCGACAACTCGAATAAGAGGGGCCATGGTGTTTGTGTGAGATGAAGATGTGAAGCGCGAGAAAAGTTTATGAACGGTAGATGACGTCGGGTGGGGCGCCATGGTTCCATGGGTCAAAGCTCGAAATCGTGGAAAGATCTCCTACAGTACACAGAGGACTGGAATCCAATTGAGGAAGCAATAGCGCTTCTGTAAGTATGTTCAACGTATTAATTCAAATTCTCCTAATCTAAATCTGCCTTTCGGGACCTAGTGTCGTTCTACCAACGGAATCCCGAATACCTCGCCCGTGGAAAACAGTTGATGTGATCGAAATATCACCATCAAAGAAACCCTCTCGTGCTGACGCCAAGCTTGGATTTGGAAGGCGTCAGGAATAGTTCTCCAGGCTGGTCATAATTTTCCCCGACAAAGACGGATCTTCACTGTGCGAACAATCCGAAAAACAATGTGCTCGTCTCTTCGATTTCACACTAGCTCAAAGAACTGGAAAAGCCGTGGAAAGTGTGGCGATGGTGCTTCTGATACTGGCGAGTCACTGGTTGCACCATTGGCCAACAACTACCATTAAGGCTGCTCAATCCTCTGCCCTTCTGACTTGTAATGGCGGTGTTGATACTCAGTGTGGATCGCTGCTTCTGGCAAATTTCAACACCGAGTTGACATCATACTTGAGGAAAGGGGTGCGCTTTCGGATCAGCGCTGACCACCTCTGCACAAAGTCCTTGGAGCTCAGCTGAGTGTTTTCCACGATGTCACCCATTGGCGTACATCTCGTGCCGTCGAATCTGACGGTGAAAAGGCCAACCGAGTACATCCGCCAAAGGTTCCATATCATCACCCCGGAAAGTCGGTAAAGCCGTGGTGAGCCAAGCGCTGTGGCGTATTTGAACCGCCTGCGGCTAGAATTCATTTGGCGATGGCTTTGGTACATCATTGCTGCAGGCGAGAGACTAAAGCGATGTCGGGGCCCCTGGAGCCAGTCCACTTCGGTTTGGGACTCTCCATTCGGAATCCTAGGCGGGCTCCAAACCGGGTAAACGTCCTGGGGGCCAGAACTAGAAAGCAATGGTTGGAGCGGGAGGGGATCCAGGAGTTGAAAAAATGGGATGGTGTTGGGAGAATAGTCTGGAAGATCACCAAATTCACTCGACGTTTCTGGCCCATGGCCTCGAGGCTCCACCCCACCCATACTTTTCTCCTGTAGTATGTCAACTGACATGAGTTTGTAAGAGCACTGCAGTCCTAAGCTCTCCAGGACTGCAGCTATGCTCCAAATATGTTCGGCAAGGGGGACAATATTCCTGTCGATGTTGGTGATATCACGCAGTCTGTTGAATGATACCGTCGACCAGCTCCAACGGGACCTTGCAGCCTTGCAAAGAGCTGCGTAATTCTCGAGTTGCCACAAAGCCCAATAGACTCGATATTCTTCTAGCCAAACGATAGGTTCGCCCGCTCGCCGGGCTGACGTAGGACCGAAGGCATCTCCCACCGCGGAGATGAAATTGCGGTGCATGGCAAACATGCACATGCACGCAAGCCGCTGTATTCTAGCGGCGACTGTGATTAGACGGAAAATTTGCTCCACGCTGGTTTGCTCGGGGAGGGCGTCTGTCGCCGGGGCGAGATGAAGGTATGGACCTGTTCTGGTATCTGGACATAGCCGCAAGAAACTGTCTAGGTCCGTGCAATGGACGGAGGGTCTATGGATCAGAGCACTTCTCCAAAGCTGAGCCTGGATTTCGGACATAGCGGTGATGGGATTCAACCGCACTATTGACATGATGATTCGACGGGGGTGGGCTTCGAAGACCGCGCGCACCCATGGGGAGCTTAAAATGAGGCTTTCCAAGCCAACAAAGTCTGTGACAAAAGACAGTACCAGGAGGACAATCTCGACGGGGAAAAGTTTGAATGGATCCATCTTTGGATGAAGCGGAGGTTAAGAGAGTGTTGTTATTGTTGTTATTGTTATTATTATTATTGTTGTTGTTGTTGGGAGAAGGAAGAGTAAAAGAGGACTTGAGATCATACCTCTCAGGCTAAGCTACGCTCTTGTGCGCACCCCCACAAGCTCGCGCCAACGCGGAAAAGAACTGAAAGCCGCAAACAGGCTGACTGCGTCCCATGGCTACATTGAACTACCGATAGTTAGTTATCACAGACTCCGTCTGATCAAGGGCGAACCTGAGATCTCAACTCTAACCCCGGAAGAAGTTAAACGGATATCCAACTAATATCTACCAACTAATTGATAGTCCCCAAAGTTAAAAACTCTAGTTTAAGGCTCTAGCCTATGGTGAGTCCACGATGGCTCTTCGTCTACCTCACTCGCTCATTGATTGAAACTCACTCATGGTTGAAGTCCATCTCATTTTAATCAAAGTGAGATGTCTTGATGTCAAAGATACGTTCAGTCTGAGACAACCAAACAGCGTTGACTATGAGGGAATAATTATGATACACGTATGCTATCAACGGGTTGACCTCGAAGTCTGCATCATAATCGCCTAAGCCTCACTTCTCAGTCATTGAGACCAACTTGTATTAGATAACCGACAGGGCTCTTAATCCTGGCGTGATCGGCTCATACTTGATAGTGATTATCGCTGTATGCTCTGTCAAAAGTTCTGAGCCTCGCAGAGACCTTTTGATCAGGAATCCCTGGAAGAAGAGCTTTGGATAACTATACCTGACGAAAGGCGGCTTAGATAATCACGCACGGACCCGAGGTTCGGGCCGTTGTTCCGCTTGTGGCACTCGGGTAGACCCACCCCCCGAGATGCACCCAAACTTAATTCAACATCGGGTCAGAGCAACTGCCATGCAGTGGCTAAGTATAATCCTGGCAAACAAGAAAATACTCTCTGGGTGACCATCTCGGCACTAACATATTCCTAGTTATCTCTCACAGCAAGTGGCTGTGGTGACGCGCCCATCATCTCGGTGATGTTGTGGGAAAATAAGGTGGTGCACCGGCTGCGGGGCAATAATCCAAAAAGGGTTGGCCGAAGTTGTATGGGGAAAGTCTGATGGGGGAGTTGTGATTTCTCATGTCGGGGCTTGGTAAACGTTCCCAGGCTATCAGAGTACCTTGACAAGGGTGATGCTTCATAACAGACAAATGGGAGGGAGGGAGGAGGTGCCAACACGAAGCTCGAGGACATGTGAGGCCTGTTGACCCCGTGTTGAGAAGCAAGGAGGAACTGTTCACGTATTTAGCCCCAAACGAGGTAGTGTATATTAACTGCCGCCAAAGTGGCTGAGTGGTATGGTCTCGGTCATCCGCTCTCACCTAAGCCTACGCCTTATCCATGCGGTTGGTTTCGTGTGGTCGCTCTCAGGAAACTGAGGGAAACTGAAAATCATACAGCTGGAATGTCCCCGGTTCGATCCCAGGGGCTAGGCGAGTTTGGCAGTTCCACTTTTTTTATATTCTTTCCCTCCCCACCTTCTGTCAGGTGATCGATCATAGGGCATATTGCCAAGTAGGTAAACATGTTCAGATGAAGTTTATGAACTTGCCAAGTATGTAAGTGCTGTGCTGGTAGCAAAAAGTACGTATTTAAGTTCAAACGAGGTAGTATATTGTAACTGCCGCCAAAGTGGCTGAGTGGTATGCTCGGTCATCCGCTCTCACCTAAGCCTACGCCTTATCCATGCGGTTGGTTTCGTGTGGTCGCTCTCAGGAAACTGAGGGAAACTGAAAATCATACAGCTGGAATGTCCCCGGTTCGATCCCAGGGGCTAGGCGAGCTTGGCAGTTCCTTTTTTTCCCCCTCTCCACTTTGTCTACCTTCTATCAGGTGATCGATCATAGATAGGGCAGGCTGCTAAGTAGTTAAGATGAAGAAGCTTGTGGACCTGTCAAGTATGAGAGAGTGCTGTGTTGGGGAGCAAAAAGTACGTACTTAAGTCCAAACGAGGTAGTATATTGTAACTGCCGCCAAAGTGGTTGAGTGGTATGCTCTCGGTCATCCACTCTCTCTCACCTACGCCTTATCCATGAAGTTGGTTTCGTGTGGTCGCTCTCAGGAAACTGAGGGAAACTGAAAATCATACAGCTGGAATGTCCCCGGTTCGATCCCAGGGGCTAGACGAGTTTGGCAGTTGCCTCTTTTTTTATTTTTCCCACTCCTCTTTCCATCCAGTGATGATATGATAAATTGCCACTTGATGACCCTGCTTAGGAAATTAGAAAGCTAGAGGATGAACAAGCCATCTGCCTTTGTTTCAAGTAGCTACAAGATATCCCCAAGTAGAAGAGTGTAGCTTTACGAGAAGGGAGTGCCCTAGGAAGGTGAAGCTCCCCCGGACTCCCCCAGATGTCTTTCCATCTCCACACAACACACCCAAAGACCTCGAATTGCTCCACGAAAGAATCTTCTGTTACCGGAAGTCCATCACTGCGCGCCTTACACACACTAGTGCCTCCCAGACGAGGAGTCCACTGAAAGAAAAGTTGTGAAAGGGAGGTGAGCTGAGCCTGTTGACATTGATTGACACCGAGGATCTCAAAGCTGACCCAAAAAGAACCACAGACTTGAGTCTTTGCGTTTTTGCAATAGCCCGAACACACCAGATCCACGCTCTAGGCACACAACCGCTTTCCGTCCAATTCCAACGCGTTTTTCCAGCCTCCAGATACCGAAGCGAATGTCTCGATACCCCAATATGAGTGGACAACTGGGGAATCTTCCAATCAGACGCAAGCGCAGTGCGCCATGGGAAGATGACGGAAGCTCCCCACACCCAAACAAAATCTTGAAGGTTTTACAGCCACGATCGTTTGATTTCGGAGAAGGCAAAATTCAAGGATTTACGAACTTTGGGCTGCCATATAATGAACAAATTGAATTCGCGAGCAATATCGACGCATTTCCGGCTACAGAATGCCTCAGTAAGCGAGTAATTCTGTGGACAGATGCTTCCGTTCGTGAGCAATGTGGAGCCGCTGCCGCCGTGTGGAAAGAGACCAGGCCTCCCGGCAACAAGACTACTACCAAGTGGGCAGCCCTGGAAAGATGTTACCCAACCAAAACAAAGAATAACAACGCCGTGGAACTCTTTGGGATAGCCGAAGCCATGGAGAAGGCAATTGATCTCCTTGAAAGGTCCTCCGCAAATGCCCTTTGCCAGCAGAACAGCGATCCCACAATTTTCGAAAATCTGATGCGGACATACCCTCACCAATTGACTCGGTCTCTTCTCCATGACTTTTTCAGAGAAGTCTTCATCTTTACGGATAGCACGAATGCGTTGAATATGATATCCAGGTTCAATATTCGACATCCGAACAGGGGGCCGTTGGAAAGGGAACAGCTTATCAGGATTTTTCATTTGTCTTGTCAGATGCAAAAAAGTGGTATTCACCTGGAGTTCCATTGGGCAAAGGGACACTCCCACCTCCGAGGGAACCAGATGGCCGATCAGTTGGCGGGACATTGGTCCAAGGAAATGGCCAGGATCAGGTATCATTCTCTAGGACCTGCAGCCAAGAATACCTTCAATCAGGTCGTCAGCAACCGGGGCGCGACTTAATCAGTACCATGGAACTCTCTGCTCAGATTGTACAGAGTGGTCAGAAGTTTCTTAGTTTACATTCCTGTATCTCTACGCTGTATGTTAAATTATTATCACTTACTCATGTTCAAGCCGATTTCAGATACTAGCGGAGAAATGATCTCATTCCAAGGTTCAAAACTCGGCGTGTCACAACATTACGCTTCAGGCCCTTCCAAGGTTGCTCAACGAACGATTTTGCTTCTCTTTGAGTTGTATTGCAGTGTAAGTATCACTTTGAGACAGCTCACTTTTCTTTGTCACTTCTGTCTCACTTTGCCTTGAATTGAGATGCCTTGAATTGAGATGGGCAAAGGGTGGCTCTAGCTCTGAATGATGGCAGAGTTCAATTGCATGTGACATATCAAAGAAACTTCTCTTGCCAATACATCCAGAAGGCTCTTTATTTCGGCCCATAAAAAGAGCGAGAATGAGTACCCAGTGAGGACCGCCCCTGTCAATTGTCCCTAGAATAGCTACCGGACTGTTCACAGCAGTCGCCATCTTATGACATTAGACCCAGAGGCAATCCTGGCTGCTAGGGTTGAAAATGATCAACTTGACACAAATTGCGTATTGTGAGCATGGAGGGGAAGCAGGGCAGGGGTAATATCCAGTGTAGATGGTATCAAGTAGCTGATCATGCAAAGCGACGATATTCAAATTGTCGGCGGCAGTGCCAGAGTAAGGTAGTCAACCCACGAGCAGCAGCTGACAATAAAAGACGGATGCCTGGGTCTACTCATATTGCAGGAGGCGTAGTGAAAGTGGCTGACAGGTACCATAGAAAGTGAGGATCCGGAGTGATAGACTCGGCTGTAGAGATTAGGTCTTTGAAGTATGACAGAGCAACATTAGCTGCAGTAGCCAGGATCGAGACAGAATTTAGCAGCCAGAGCACGTTATTAGCTACAGAAATGCTCTGTAATGGCGATATTGCTGGGTTGGACAGACCCCAGTGGCTCGATTTGGCTGCGGGTGAGCGATCCGGTGGAGCAAGATCTGTCGATTGGGGAAAATTTGGCAAATAGCCTCTGTTTCCCCCTTGGAAATCATGGGAAGTGCCGGCTTGATGTCCAGCAAATTGGTAGTGCTGTTCCCTGTCCTTTGTTGTGCCTCCATGCTCATACTTCAGAACCACTACCCCCATAATTTGTACGGCGGTGTCAAACTCGGTGATTGTTGTGTTGTCAGCGTTGATGGTAGTGCTGGGTCTGAAAGGACGGACGGCTTGCGATGGCATACACGCACGGAACGACATGGTTGATGTAGAAACGTCTGTCAGAGGGGACTTCTTTCCAGTAATATCGGGCTGGGTGGAGTGATAGTCTATAGAAAAATGATCTGCTGAGAACAGAGACTGTTAAAATGAAGGGTAGTGGATCAGGAGCCAGCAAATTGACTTGAAATGTATTGCTTTCGCTATACGTGGTTTTCCATGATGTGGTAGTTTTTCGAATCAATGCAACTTCATTTGCGGCAGCTTCTTCTGAAATAGGGTCGTTTCACTGGGTCTTGGGCCCGAATGGGCAAGACGCCGAAGTCTAGATTATCCATCATCTGTGAGATGAGTCCCTTCGATCTCAGGCTTGTTGGTAAGCTGTGAATGTGATGATTCGCTAGAGGATTAGCCCCCATCTGCTCTGAGACTTTGGGAGCCATGGGAGAAGACGGCATTCTGGTTGCCGTAGAGCCATGGCCTTTGGAAAATGTCCCGGACGTATGTGTTGGCTGCTGGGGAACGGCGCCTCTGACTTGTGGGACCAAGTGCAAGCGAGCATTGTTGACACACGATATTGAGTTGCCAAATGGGTTGTTGTTGATCTCCGCGGATATCTGGAGTAAGACTCTGCGCGCGAAAAATGATTGGTTGACCGGGAAAAGCCAGTGGGTTGATCACGACGTGAGTGGTTGAGTGCAGACGAAAGAGATAGATGGGCAAAAGTCCAACCCGTGGACAATGTGAAGACCCCGCATATCTCTCTCATTGGTCGATAGCTATACACATACCCAGATGGGGTCAAACCTAATAACTGCCGTGACAGTAGCTTAATGTGTTATCCCCGAGCAGATGTCGTCTTCCAGGGTTGAATCAATATGATTCTCTACCTGCTAAGTTGGGCTATGTGTTACTCTCACGAGGACTCCCTGGGCTCAAGTCGTATAGGACAGCACAAGGCAGCTTTTTGGAACTTCTATATTAAACGAGAGTGACAGCCATGCTTCACCAGAATGACCAAAGTGATGGACCTCGGCTCATTTGGCTGGGCTCGATGTCTTTTAGAAAAAAGCCGTTGCTGATATATTCCAAGGTTCCTTCTGAGTATATATGCAATTTTGAAGAATTTAAGGTACTCGGTTGCATGGATAGCTGTTGCCGTGGGGATTCTTCGGCCACCCGGAAGGAAACCATGGTGCCAGTGAATTTCGCGCTGCCGCCGTTTTAGGAGGGACAAGGGTCTTGTTAAATGCTTAGATATTGTCTGAGTACAGAGTCGAGTTTTACCGGGAATCGAAATACATAGTCCTTTACCACCACCCGCGTAGACCTGGGCAGGCGACGCAGACAAAGTAGCTTGTAGGCGTCCTCCGCTGCTAAGTTAATATCGTGGATGTTCAGCCTTGAGTATTAAACCTAAGACGGAAGGACTAGTGGACCTCGTCCGTTCTACGGCGATCCTTCCAGTCCGTAGGGACAGTAATGATAAATCGGCACAGATTACAGACGGATAGAGATAGGTAACTTGTTTGATTGGTGTAGGCAGACTAAGTGCCTGTGAGCGACCCGTCGCTCCTGTTCCGGTCGGCCAAACCCGACCATATATACATTTCCCAAAGATCGTTATGGCATCCGAGATGAGGTCTCAGCAGGCACAAGCCAAGGAGATCAGTTCTCCTCTTTCAAGCCTTGACCTCCTCCTTGATAACATCATCATTAGACCCCGTATTCTCAGCATCAGAGTTCGTCTCACCAATGTGCACTACCCGACTCTGCATAGCACGCGCCACTCTCGGGGGATCAAAGATATTCTTAGACTGCGCGAAAATTTCATCAATCTCCTCCAGCGAGCGTCCCTTCGTCTCGGGGAAGAAGAAGTATACACTGGGTACGATGGCGGCATTGATCACAGCGAAGATAATATAATACCGACTTCCAATGCTGTCGAATCCAATTGGTGTGATCTCTGCGAGCAGGAAGTTGAATGCCCACACGGTGGCGGTGGAGACAGCGCTGACAGCTGCGCGGACCTGAAGAGGCGCCATCTCTGCGGCGTACAGGAATGTGAGACCGGAGTAGCCGACTGTGAAGATAAACTGGAAGCAGTAGAGGAATACCACTGCCATGGCAAGTGCGCCTTCGTTATCCGCAGCAATCGGATCCGTTGTTCCAGCCAGGCCGGCCATACAGACTGCCATGGCAGCTGCGCTCCAGAGCATGAGTGGACGGCGGCCCAATCGGTCGATTGTGTAGTATGCTAAGTAGCCACCAAATGGCTGCATGAGACCCATAGCAGCTGCGAGGATTCGGGACTGGACGGCAGTCATGTTGAGATATTGTTCGAAGATCGTGGTGGCGTAGTAGGTGATCAGGTTGACTCCACACATTTGCTGGAACATTTGACCGGTGGCGGCGAGGTATGCGCGGTGGAAGATTCGATTGGGGCCATTCTTAAACATGTCGGTCCATTTGCCAGAGCCGCAGAATTGGAGGGAGGCTTCAATGTTGGTGACGCTTTCGTTGACGGCGGCAGAGTGTTCGTCATCGTCAAGGAGGGCGGCGAGAACTTCACGACCCTTTTCGACTTGGCCGGTCTTGATCAGCCAGCGAGGCGATTCGGGAAGCATGGTGATGAAGACCATAGCGGTGAGGGACATGACGACCTGGAAGACAAGAGGGAAACGCCAAGAGACGGAGTTGTCTTTGACGAAATAGAAGCCGAGGTCGATCCATAAGGCGATGGTCACACCAAGACCAACAAAGATACCATCCGTGACAACGTTCGAGCCTCGCTTATGAGCTGGCGAGATCTCAGATTGCCAGACTGGCACCGTGGCGACGTACCCACCAATACCTAAACCGAGAACCAGTCTCGCGACGATGAATTGGGCGAATTGGAACGAGGATGCCATGAGGATTGCGCCGATGATAGTTACGAAGTTCGTGACGAAGATAACCTTGCGACGGCCCCATAGATCACCCAGGTAGACACATGATAGAGCGCCGAAGATACCTCCGACAGTATATAAAGCGATGACGGTACCTGTTGAATGCCCGAGTCAGAGATTGTCGTCGTATAGATTGATTCTAAGTCGGTTGACAAACCTTGGATGAGAGAGTTGCCTGCCTTGACATCGTCGGGTACGTTGATTGTCTGCATTCTCGGGAATTGGGTATTAAAAGACTCGAGTGTCAACAGGCCACCGGCCACACTCATGTTGTAACCATAGCAAGTGAACGTCGGACAGACGACCAGCATCACAGCGGCACGAAGGAGGGCATTGCCTCTTAGGCCGAGATATCGTCTCGCCATTGTGAATATTGAGGATGAAATTGCACACAACAAAGAGATCTAAAGAAGCAGAAGATGGTGGAGATAACCCGATTGATACGGTCATTTCGTGATATAAGTAGATGATAACAATGACATACAAGTGGGTCAGTGAATCGCTACGTTAACATCGTGAAGTCGAGTCTTTCGGTTGTCGGCGGTCCCCGTCTACCACTCTATCGCCCTCTGCTCTGATTCGCCCATCCACGTTCCTCAGTCATCTCATTATGTTTGGTGATAATTCCACGTTTGGATTCCCCAGACGCCAACCCTTGGCATGTACCCCGGAAAGTCCAATTTAGACTACCGATCACTTAATTACCGACCTCTAGCTTTGATTCTTTTCCACGGGGTGAAATGTGAGACTCATCGCTCGCTGCGATTCGTCTTTCCCCACAATTGGCGGGGGGCGGGTGCGGCCGGCAGTCCTCAGATCTCCATTCTGATGAGCTTGGCTGCTCGTGTTGGGACAGCGAGACGACAAGGGTATAACTTTATTCTGCTTTTTGGCTCTCACGGAGATGGCAGTTGATGGGAGCTCTTGAACTGTCGCCGGAGAAGGCCGGTGATGTTCAGATCTGAATGTTCCTCGACACCTGAATATTAAGGTGTCGTTCCAAGGTCCGACCTCGGCTGTTCCGGGCTGGTTCTACCCGAGGTTCCATGAGTCGCCCGTGCCCTACTGGCTTGATCTCTTTCCTTTCATGTTCTACAGTCCAGTTGCCATCTGATTGAGGGAAGGGTCGCTATACATGCCAAGCACTTGAGAAGCACCCATTGAAACTCCAGATTCACGGGATCATTTAGGTTCTGTGCGTGAGATGCGACGCGTGAGCCTATGAGAGTCTCCACCGTGAAAGTGGGGTTCCCCGGCCCCCGGATCTCGCTCTGGAATGCCTCCAGTTTCTCCCGAGGTCTTGGAAACGGAATTGGACGTCACGCAGTCACCTGAGCCGGAGCCCCCCCTGAGATTCTCTTGAGTCTTGTTTTCCACTACATGGATCGACATCTCCACTCCACTCTTCGACTTAGGGTTGTCCGAAAGTTCGCACTCAAACATCTCACGGTCTGGAAGTTCCGTGATCCACGCCACGGAGGGCTGATACTCCCGTGAAAGTTCATCGGTATTGACCGGCTGAAGACATGGAGAGGGTAATCATCGCACAGGGCCATTGGGTCTCGATGCGGTGTAAAGTGGGCCTAGAGGCCTCATGGCCGTGCATATGAACCCCGGCTTTTCATCTTGCGGATTGGGCACCTACCAAAAATTTGGCCTTCTGTGTGTCATCTCTTGACTGAATGGAATGTTGTCTATGCTGAACAAAAGACCACATGGGAATACCCTCGCTCGATGTTCTTTTCTGCGTCTACCAATTTATAGGTCCTATTTCGAGAGACAATTTATGATTGTAGATCCCAAAGAGGCTACATTCTAGTCTATAGCGTGGAACTGTTTGTTTCTCCGTTCCAGTGGCATTATCCGACCTGGAGATCTCTGCCGGATCAAGACATTACTAAATCGAGCCGATTGAAGTAGCGTGTATCTTTCTGCATTCCATTACCAAATCACCAAGCCGTACAAACATAGGGGGGAACCCAACAACGGACTGTGCCTAGTGGGCGGGTTTTGGACTGAGCTTTCCTATTTGGACCGGTATAGCCGAGTTATCCACGAGTAAGCTAGGGTGATAAACTTGAAAGCTACCTGATGCCTCGCAACCCATGCGAGATTCATGACAGTTACCTATACCTAGTACCCTTTGTGTTGAACAAGCAATCCCTGCAATTGCTGCTGCTGCTTCGTGCAACAGTGCGCGTTTGGGCTGTCGCTTCACGACAGCGATTGCTTCTCGTTTGCGCGCCCGTTCTGTGGGTATTTAATGCCCCAGAGACCCTTCTCCAATGAGTCATCCTTTCTGAACTTCTGCTTCCTCGTAGAGAGCTTTCTTGCTTCCTCAATTTGAAGCCCCTGGGGCTGAAGGAGGGAGAAATGTCACCGTCTTGGACATTAACAGTTTAGCCTTTTGTTGAGCTCAATCCGAATCCTCATGATCACCTGAACAATACCACTAAATGCCAGAATAGACAAAGTCAAAATTCCCAATCATTTGTACGGCCAACTGACCACCAGATGTTGTGAGTTTGAAGATCAGGAAAGCATGCATGGCTTGAATTCGTCTGTTTTCATTGTCAGAAGACAGACGTGGCTGGCGTTCCGATACCTGGAGGGGACATCGGACGCTTTAGTTAAGGCTAAGTCATATTTGCAGACACAATACCATGGTCAATCCAGGGAGTTGATTCTGTTTGCCTAGTCGTGGGCTACGAGCGTGGCTTATCTGATCACCTTATCTCAGGGTTTTGAAGACTGGGAGAGTGGTCAACAGACTTTTCCACGAGACACGAAGGGTGCGTGATTTCTTCTTTCTCTCTTCTCACTTCTCTCTCTCTCTGTCCCTCACACCCTTCCACAACAAACTTCCAATCGCCAATTGTCACAGTGTCTGATCTGTACGCCTGATAATCTCCATTCACCATCCCGTATCAACAGCGTTGCTCATTGTTTAGGGGATTGCAAAATGGAAAAATTGGACAACACCCCAGAAGCAAAAGAGGGGGACGAGGTCACAAGGACGGCGGCTTTGAGTATTTCCGCTCAAATACCAAAGCATGCCCAGGGAATGAAAGACACGGACGAGGTTACAAGGATGGCAGCTTTGAGCATTTCCACTCAAAACCCAAGGTTTGCCCACTCGTTGAGCATGGAGGCCTTTATAGCTGACAAATGAGCGACAGCAATGTTTTAACGTCGTCTCTGGACGTCATGTTACCTAAACACCTATCACTTGGATTTCCAAAATTAAGTCTCGAAAACCCCACCGTCTATCCAAACCAGCCCGAAATATGTCTTCACAAGGGTCGCAAGAGAAGAGCCGACTCCCAGTCGTTGGCGGATTCTGAATCAACAAAGATCCCAAAGGCACAGCTCCGGAGGTTTGTGGGATTTGTGAACCACAAAGTCGAAAAGAAAGCAGCATTGTACTTTGCAAGCAAGATCTATGAATTGCCTGTGCCAGAGTCAGTCACGCATCGAATGGTCATATGGACTAGTGGTATTCTACATGAAGGGTCTGGAGCAGTGGGGGTGGTGTGGATGAAAGCTCCCCACGGAACCGAGGCACCGATTCCATGGACAACAAATCCTACCACTTCGACTGTCTCACCAACCACATGGGAAGTTAAGGGGCGGGAATACCCCGGAAAGCGCATCACCGACAATACAGTGGGACATTTTGCCATCGCAACTGCTATTGATCTTGCCCTAGAGGAGCTTGATCGACCCTTCTCCAATGCAATGCACCATTGCAAACCAGATAACCAGGTGTATCAGCATCTAGCTCAAAACTTTCGTGTCGAAGTGACCGATTCCAATTGTCACACCAAGCCGAAAGAATTGTTTGTCTTTACTGATGACCATAACATAATGGAGGCTCTGCGTTTAAAGAGACCCCCGCGCAATGAGGAGGCACGAGAGCACCTTGAAAAAACCAAAACGCTTTCTGAACGGATCGAAATGTCAGGGATTCATCTCGAGATCCATTATTGCTGCAATCGTCAAAGATTCCCCAGAAAGCATCTTGCGAGCGAGAAAGCTAAGGATGTCATCAAAGTCAGGAGAGAGGGAAACCCATCCAGTTCCAAGGTTGATTCATACAAGTGAAGTGAAAACAAGTGAAGTGAAACCTCGACACAAGTGAAATGAAGCCTGTCACCCTGGACCCTGGCTCCCACTTGCACGATACAACTCCAACGAAGATCTTGATAAAGAGAGGAATGCTTGAGAGGTGTTTCTGCTTGTTCCTTTTCGGGGTTTGGGAGATAGCTCATGTCGAAGAAACCTCATTAATTTATCTCATCTCAACCTCATTTGAAAATTCAATCGCCAGTATGTCAAAAATAAAGCCGTGTAGCCAAAGATCCTATCAAGTGACCAATATTTACAACAGGTGTACTTATATAACTGAATGAGCTCAACCTCGATTTCTGCTCATGGTATTGTCCTTCACAAGTTATACCCAGCACGCTTATTTTCTCTCTCCATCTTTCATTTCCCCACCATCCTTTCTCCATATCCTTTGCACAAAATTTTGTCCCACAGACCGTTTGAAATCCAGCTGTCTTCCGATCTTGCGCCCTGTACAAGGTCGATGCGATGCAGGAGATGGAAAAGACCCTCCTCATAAGCACTGGCGTCCAAGTGCTAAAGTAGGCTAGCTCACTCCACACAAGCATCTTCAAAGCTGACCAGTTAGTGAAAATGTTTCTTGGTTGGGTCTCAACCTGCCACTCTCTGAAAATTAGGCATTCTTGTTGGCAGATCGACCACTGCTTTATCCCCGGCTATCGGGCCTTGAAAAGGGGATCATCCCCTAAGAGGTGCAAGACCAGCAATCTCCATCTGATGTCACTCTTCGGAATTGTTGCAGCTTTGAACTTTGCAATCATGGAGATTGACAAACCTTCGACCAATATTCGACATCTCCCTGAGCACGATGACCAGCTGTACGACTATATCAAAGAATGGTCTCATGTGGAGCTCACTCGATCTCATGCCCACCTCAAGACCAAGGAGCCCTTTATCTTTACCGAGAGTCAAGACTCGATGGTTTGGTTACTTTCGGGAAAGAGTCAGCGCAACGAAGAAGTGCGAGCGCAGATTAATGACATCAAAACTATGTCCGAGGAGATCGAGCGATCCGGGATCCATATCGAGATCCATTTTTACCCCTCCATTGAACTTGCGCTTGTAAAGGAAGTTGCAAATCAGATGGCGAGAGAGTTTGCCAAGAATGACTTGGAGACTGATTCAACTGTTTGAGCTTCACAATTACAGCCATGTCTGCCAGTGCGGTGAGATTCATTTCATTTTAAACGGCATGGGGGAGTAAAGACCGAAAGAGTGCATGCTATACGGTCATGGGCAGATGTTGATAGTCTAGAATCTTGAAAGACAATATTCAACGCAGCGGTGAAGAGTTTGGCATGAAGCAAATGATTAAATTAAATTAGAATCTCCAACTTGCATGGCTGTAGAGAAACAAATTCTCAGCTCAATTGAATACAGAAGAATGATCAAGCAAGAGTTAGTTGAGATTAATACCAAGAATGAAGAAGAGACTAGACATTAACAGTAGACTGGTCGAGCTATATGAACCGGCATAGGTCAAAGAAAGCAACCAATATCAGTCGTCTTGGGGCATAACCATTTGAGACCACTGGAGTAGTCCAGTGGTTAAGACGGGTCACCATCGAGTAACCCTACCTGAAGCCCCTGCTGGTAGAGCATGCATCATATGGGTAGGGTTAACCTCACCTGAAGCCTCTGCTGGTAAAGCATGCATCGAATGGGTGGGGTTCGAGCCTGTCTTCCTTTTTTTCCCCTTTTTTTCCTTCTCATATCATTCTTCTACGGAATTCAAGCCCTATCTTTGTCAATTGCTAGGCATCCCTGCCATTCCATCTGCACTTAGGTCCGTTAAACCCCATACTTCTTTACCCAGTATGTTATTTCAGCTTCTCCAGGTGGCTTCTGGTCTCCTATTTCTATCATCAATTTGGATTCACTTACCGCGTGCCTCTCCGGGCTTCCCTTCCTGTGACGACGAATCCATGCATGGCCTGGCGAACCGCTCCTATACATGGTACACAAAAACCTCTTATCTCTGTGTTAATTTCTCCCACGGTTCGATCAACAGCCCCAGAGCCTTGATCCATATCGACCTCTCGTCTCTTTCTGGCGCTAGTGGACCCTCCTGTCATGCTCTTTATTCCACTGTATCTTTTTCTGCCACTACTCCTTCTCCTCTACCTCTCTTCCCTGAGCTCCCGTTTACAAAGCAAATTTTTCGACCTACCCATGATGGAGAGAGTTGTCGGATTCAGACGTTGGCGGTGGGTCTGATGGAGACAAGGGTGGACCCAAGTGGGGCAAGTTAACACATGGTGATGAGACCTCCTGGATTCCGGGGAACCGTCACTCAGTGACGTGAGATGATAACCAGTACAGCCTTGGATTTGAGCCCAACACCCAGTGCCTTCAACTTTTACCCACAGCTTGGGAAGACAGTGATAGCCTTGCCGTTTTCAAAGCAATGTACCGATACTGACTTTCATTTGCTCATCACAGCACCTCCCAGCACATTACGAGATCCACTAGATCGCCATGGCACTGTCTATCACCTCTGATACCGGCAAGGAGCATTACACGAATGTCCATTTCGGGGGAAGATGGGCGAGGGGCTCTTATGCAACACACGCATCTTCGTGGAAAGGCCTCACCATACCGGTACTAGTCCACCAACAGCAATGCGAGATACCTCTACAGGCGTAATGCCCCTATTTCATCGTCCACTGTTGGTTCACACTCTATCTTCATGGATTTGACCCAGAAAACCTTGACATATTATTATTGTGTTGAACAGATATCGCAAAAGAATATATCGTTATCGACCGCTCCAAAGAGTGATGTGAGTTATCGCCCAATTATTCAACATAGAAGATGCCTGTGGTAACACCCCCAATTTCGGGGATGAGAGTGTTCTTACAGGACCCATCCAAGTTTGCACTATACAAACCACCTCCGAGGTCACCGAAGAACATGCGGCGATTTTGCAGGTCCAAAGAAATCCCAATTCCTTCATGAAGCTTTCGAACCAAAATCGTTGGCTGTAGCTTATCGACAGTTGCGTCTAGAACAACTGAGTTGACAGTGTTCCCACATGGGGGATCGCCACGATCAGTCCAGTAGAGGGTTTGAGTTGCGGTGTCCAGCTCCAGGTCAATAGGCTCTGGAAGGCCGTCCAAAATACACTTGACATCAGATCTCCGCTCCGGTGACTCTCCGGCACTCATTTGCATGTTCATTCGGAAAATTCGACCTTGGCCCGCTCGAGGAGGTCCTTTCTGGGACCAGTAGATGACTTCAGACTCCTCGTCAACGGTGATTCCCACGCACCAGTTCAACGTGCATTGTTTGTCGGAGTCCGGTGAAGCAGATCGATATAGCATTTCGATATCGCTGCCGTCCATGTTGGCCCGCATGACGCGCATTCCTTCACGGTCAGACCAGTACAGCTTCTGTGACTGCTTTGCAATTGTCATTTGCTTTGGTGTATGTGTTTGGCCTTCGGGGATAATGGTCACAATGTTCTTTCCAGACAAATCGCAGCGTTGAATTGACCCGTCGTTGGCAGAGGGTACGCCCATATTGGTCCAATAGATGTGTTGACGGTCGGAATCGATGGCAATTCCATCGGGCAGAGTCTTGATTTGGGTGACTAGCTCGCGGACGTCGGACCCATCTGGCTTGCAAGTGACAATGCGGCCATTGGGGTTTGGATATGTTGATAGACCGATGTCAAGGAAATAGACTCTGCCGCTCGAACTCGAACTAGAGCTTGATGGAGTGGTGTGAATAGTCATTTCTTGTCAAAGGGAAGCGTTTCAATGAAATCACAACAAATGTCGAACGTTACGGGGGAGAAATTCAACAGGGTGTGTTGCCAGGATGTAAAGCCATAAATAGTATCTTCAAAATTTTGCGTACCACGCGATAATGGGTCCAGTAATAGCATCATCGAATGCTCTTCGGCAAGTTTGATCCGACAAGATCAACCGAGTTAATTCCGTTCACTTGCTCTCTATCCAAGTTTCCAAAATGAGTTGTCGGGATGGCCGTGGGGCTGCCCGATTAGGCCTTCCGTAGACCGGGAAACATGCTGACGTAATTGGGGTGGATCCCGGAAGCCGCCCAGGTAGGAAAACTCGGACGTCGGAAGTCTTCCCTTGCCCAACCGCCCACGATGATGTTCTCGTTTCAATCGGATGCATCCCGACAAGAGCCTCAGGAACCAAGGCAGAAACGGGCCAAGATCAGCGTTGCGTGTAACGTCTGCAAGGGGAGAAAAACAAAGTGCGATGGCGCTAGGCCAGGTACGCAAGAAGCTTAACTGGCAGTTGAATCGCGCTGATCCTTACCCCTTTAGTATGCGGACCTTGCTCAAAGAGGAAACGGCGTTCACAGCCATGTCTATACCGCGAGATTGATCATGCCTTTGACTCACCTACTGGGCAGTAAGTGATACCAAATGACTAGAAAAGCTTAAGTCACAGTATATCGGGGTTCTAGCTGGCTTACCCATCAAAAAACATATAGGTCTCACAGTGTCCAACATTCTCCTGTGGTCATACGGGACTTTGAGCAACGAAGGCCAAGAAGCGAAGATCCGAATTATCATTCTCGGCATGAAGAGGATGACAATGCGAGCTTGTATAGCGAGATCATTCCAACTGGCAGTCTCTTTGGTGCATCTAGTGGAGCGCACATCCTACATGAAGTTGGGAACATGACGGACACTGACAGCGTCCCAAACAAGAGGCAAAGGATGAATCATGCTGTAACTTCACCCCTCAAAAGGCTTCCCAAGCTGCACAGCAAGCAGAGTCAAAACCAGCCCTCCGAGATGCAATTCGCGATTCCTACCAGGAAGGTGGCTGATCATTTGTTGAACCTTTATTGGGACTATGTCGATAGTGCCTATCCTTGGCTCGACAGACCTTCGATTGAGGCTGCATACGAGACACTATGGACGAGGAATGGGCAGCTTTCCATGAATGAGAGAGCGCTGCATTGCATTCTCAACCTCATGTTTGCTACATCTTGTGTGGCTTCTCAGGGACAACCGCCTCTTTCCCGGTACCAATCATCAGTCGAGTTCTTTGAAAGAGCCCAAGAGTTGATGTCATATGAGCTCATGGATATCTACAACTTTGAGATTATTCAAATCCTTCTGCTCACCGCAGTGTATCTTCAGCATGACAAAATGCCACAAAAATGTTTTCGAAACATCAGCACGGCGATTCATGTCGCACAAGAGCTTGGCTTACACATTCCTGAGAATATTGAGATGATTGAAGACTTGCGAGAGCGAGACCTCGCTCGTCAGGTGTGGAATGGTTGCGTTATAATGGACAGGTATGTCAAAAAGAGAATCGGCCGATTTACTATCATGGACTAACGCTCCCCAGAATTGCGTCTATGACGTTTGGCTGCGAGCTCAAGGTACCGCAGTCAGTTGCAAAACAGGGATTGAACTCTCTATTGCGCAACACAGCAGCTACTAACGCAGAGGCCACGACTCTACCCTCGAAAGTCAACTTCTACATATCCTTCTGTCGACTTCACCACATCATAGGAGATGTCTTGGAAACTTTTTATATTCACAAAGACCCAACAAGGTCGACCGACGCTAATAGAGGCGTCGTTGGAACAAAATTGGAGTCGATACCATTTGACAAAATCGCAAGCTTGTCCAGGATTGAATCTGACCTGAAAGATTGGACGGGAAACCTCCATCCTTTCTTCAAGATGCCATCAGACTTTGAAGATCCAACCCCAACAAAGCATATCACCCGTGAAGCAAATGTTCTACGTGCCCGGTTTGTCTCAAAAAACATTAGCATGCTGAGCGTGGACTGACTGTTAGCAAAGGTACCTTTCTGTCCGGCTTCTTCTGTTCCGACCCTTTCTTCTGCAGATGAATGATCAAAAGGGGAACGCTGAGACAGAGCGCAGCTTATACTCGGATGATCAAATAATGCAGCACGTCGTTTCGCAGTGCCAGATCCAGTGCACAAAAGCCGCGGCGGACATCATTGAATTTATCACTCGAAATTTACCCGGACAGACCGAAGCATATATCCTACCGTCAAACTGGTATACCGTCTCATGTGAGTTTCAATACAGATGTCTCCTTCAATTACGCATGGCTGACACTTCGAAGATGTGTACATGGCTGTTACCATTCTCCTAGCGGCTCGAACTTGGAAACAGATAGTAGAACATTTTTCTGCATCCCGGCTGAGAAGTCTTCTTTACCAGGCTCGTGATATTCTGAGGGACTATGAAAGTCATACAACATTGGCGTCTAGGTGCAGTTCAGTGCTCAAATTAATTGAGGATAATGTTGATATACACGACAATGGAACGGAACGTGGAGCTGGAGAAGTCTCGGATGATCCAGCCCGCGAGGGTCCAACAATGCCGAGGGAATTCATGGAAAGACAGGAAGCTCGAAAGAGCTCACTAGATCTAGCCTGGGTTGACAATTACACGTTCGACTGGAATGAGTGGCCGATGTTCTTTGCACAGCTTGACTAGACTAGCTAATTCGAGGTGATTTCAATGTGGGATGGCAATAAATACATCAATTGATTATCTCTTTAATTTACATTAATTTTAGATATCAACAGGGACTCGTTCTAGATGAACTTTAGAGCCATTGGATATCTTGAGGGTGGTAGCAGAATGGCACCGAGGGAGTCAACCAGCGGGGAGTCACACTGGAGTCACTCAGTTGGACAACAGGCTTGAGGTTCTCCATCTGTCCAAACGGTCCGTCAGGGAAGCTAGTCATCAGTGACCGAGGACCGGACTGGAAGTATTCAGGGAAAACCCTGGTCCATCCATTCATGACGACAGTGAGAATTTCCAACACAAATTGTTCTGGGCCAATGTGTTCCCATTTGAACAATTCTTTGCTCTTCTGAACAATCTCTGGTGAGTAAAGACCAATCTCAGGCTCCAGTGCAATCGCATCAGCCTTGACAAGAGAGCTTGTCACGCGGTATGAGCCACCGTGTCGAGCCCGATCACGGAGAGCCAACAGTGTGCCCAATGCGCCGACCAAACCGGTAGTCATGTCGGAGATTGGCAGAGGAGGAAGGACGCTGGTACCGTCATTAAAGCCGAGGGATCGACCCATGACGTGCGATGAGCCTGAGGCTGCATCTCCGATTTGCTGCCAGCCAGGTCGTTCGTGGTAAGGACCGTCAGGTCCGTAGCAGTTCTCTTCCACATACACAATTCCCTTGCCCCGGTTTCCAGCCATCTCGAGAAGCTCGTTGACTCCGAAGCCCTTTCTCGCAATAGCGTTAGGACGGAAGCCTTGGACGAAGACATCGGCGCCCTGGATAAGCTCACGCAGGCGCGACTTGTCTGCCTCCTTGGTCAGATCAATGTCAATAGTGCGCTTTCCTGTGTTCAGGGTCAATTGCAATGCCTATAAAATTCCAGTTAGTATAAACCGTTTGGTGCGCAAAATGACCGAGGAGTGACATACGTTGAGATCGACCAATCGACTACAGTTCACGCGGATGACATCGGCACCGAGAGCAGCTAGGGTGCATCCAATAACTGGACCAGCGATAATTCTAACAAGCTCCACCACTTTTACGCCGGCCAAGGGGCGGTTGTCGTTGGTGATCTTAGGCGACGGAACAGGAGGAGTGGGAATCGCGTGTGATTGCCGAGAATAGCCGACGAGAGGGTGCTCCGCAAGTCTTTTTCCCATTAAAGTTTCCGACCACCCCTGAGGTGTGAAGCAGATGCTACCGCAGAAGCCATTCTTGACGTTGTGCATTTCCAATTCATCTGCGGTCCATTGCTCCATATGACGGCTGATGTACTCATAAGCATCGTTCAGGTCCTTGGCCGGGTAATCAGGGTCCATTCCCATGGACCGCAGAACTGGGCTGGCATCAAGAGAGCCGTGAAGTTGATACCAGACACCAGGAGTCTTAGTCTTGTAAATAGCGGTAGAGCGGTTGTTGACGGCTGTACCCATCCAGCCTTGCTGGAAGTCTTGTTTGAAGAGCGAGGATAGCTGGCGCTTTTGAGCAAGCTCGTCAATGCTCTTGCCTTCAACAGAGGCCGCGTAGATGGTTCCAAGCCAGATAGCGGCATGGTCGGTGTTAATCGACACCTGTTGACTAGTGGCTGGTGTTCCGTCGCGGTCTTCCACGATCTCGTGTGCTACAACTCCACACATAGCATGCACGGCAGCTGCGACAAGGGGGGCCTTGAACGGCCCAGGAATGACAGGAAGCTCACTTCCCTCGAATTTGACTGTGTTCAAGAGATCTGGGTTTTGGGTGAATCCAGGAGTGCGCTTTGCAATGTATTGAAGAATGCGAGCGGCATCTTGGGGAGCTGGGAGAAAGTCTTTGTCCATGAAAGTTCCGGGGCCATAGATGGCATCACTGGATATGGTTTCATGCTGAGCAGTCATTATGTGGACAAGTGAGGCGATGGCGGCAGATGCAAAAAGATGAAGACAAGAAGATGGGAGGAAGTGAAGTATAAAGTTCCGATATATGGAGACAGCTGTACAAAATGGTCAGATGATCGGCAGTCACTGATTTGCTGCTTGAACGATTTATATCCTCACAAGGATATTATAAAAGAGGGTCTTCGGTCATTATGAAATCGCATGGCGTGAAACCTTCAAGCTCGGAGGGCGGCAGAACGGGTGAACGGATCGGCATGCCGAAAACTCGGAAGTGCATCGGAATCGCCCAAATAGGCAACTTGCTTTCGCTTCGTGCGGACCCTAGCTCTCAGCCGGATTTGTGACACAGACGGGCCGATGAAAATCGAATGTTGAGTGGCAGAGTCGGGCCGAAGTCTGTACCTGGGCATGATTATGTATTTTCTGAGCGAAAATTCCAGAGGCCTGCCCGATCAGTCTCACGGAGAGCATTTGCCAGCCGCCTTCATAAAGCCCGTGGTGTACTGCTTCCTCTCCTTTGATCAAAGTCCATTTTGCTTAACACACACACTATATTGAGGATGTCTTCTATCTCTATACAAACCATCGGTGTAATTGGCACCGGTGTCATCGGCGCCAGTTGGACAGCACTGTTCCTGGCAAAGGGTTTGAAGGTCATTGTTACTGATCCAGCCCCAGGCGCTGAAACCAAACTCCATGAGTATCTGCAAACGCATTTATCGGAGGTTCCCAATGCCAAACTCTCGCCAGAAGCTTGCTTGAAAAACCTCAGATTTGTAAAAGAGCTCGATGCTCTTCTGGGTGAGGTGGACCTCATCCAAGAGGTAAGTTGACCAGTTCAATATTGGGGTTGTCATTGCATGCTAACTGAAAACTAGAATGGACCAGAGCGACTGGACTTCAAGCGTCAGTTGTTTGCTCAGTTGGACGCAAATACCCCAGAGCACGTCATTATAGCTTCTTCGTCCTCTGGCCTTCCATCGTCCGAGTTCGTCACAGACTGCAAGAAAAACCCAGAGCGCATCTTAATTGGCCATCCTTTCAACCCGCCACATCTAGTTCCGTTGGTGGAGGTGGTCCCCCATCCAGCAACCGGCAGTGAATATGTGGACGCCGCATTCCAATTCTACCAAAGTTTAGACAAGGAGCCTGTCCTCGTGAAGCAAGAGACTCCGGGATTCATTGCCAACCGTTTACAGGCCGCTGTCTGTGCCGAGGCCTACAGCTTGATATCAAGGGGGGTTGTCTCTGCCGAGGATCTGGGTGAGTCTCTTTCAAGACCCTTGCATGAACTTTGTGCTGACCATCGCAGACAAAACCATGACATCTGGCCTTGGTCTTCGTTGGGCCCTGACTGGACCAATTATGACAAACACTCTCGGAGGAGGAGGCGACTTCACACATTTCATGGACCATCTTGGGCCGGCATTGAAATTGTGGTTGGATGATATGGAAAAGCACAAGTTCGAGTTCCAGCCACAGCAAGTCGAATCTGTCAAGGATACAGTCAATGACTGGGTGTCCCAGGTCAACCTGAAAAAGGTTGAACAAGATCGGGATGCATTTTTGGGAGAACTTGTCGAGAAGAAGCAGAAATAAGTAACATAAGCGGCATATTCAGGAGTTGGATTAATACCATCATGTCATTTCTCAAACCAACAATTAAGTGTAAACATTACTTGCGCAAATTACGGTCTAAAGTAAAATGAATAAATCGCACTGGGCTCACTGTATCCCCCCTTCACGGCCTTTTTACTCGGCCTCCTCCTCCTCCTTGGATGCAGCCAGGCAAAATCGGCCGGTCGGCTTACCATTCTCCTCATATTCAACCGTCAAGCGAGACAAATGGGCAAGCAAATTCTCGATCTTGATCTCACCTTTGTCACGCTGAACTCTGCCCAAGTTGTCCAGCCATTTGATTTTGTTCAAGATGAAGTATACCAGGGCAATGACGATTTCCACGCCAAGAGAATAGCCCCAGATTCGTACAACAGTGACAATGTCGGTCCAGCCATTCTTAGTCTCAACAAAGTGGTCAGCTGGGTTGGTCTTCATGTTCTCGTTGGAGAACCATCCAAACAGACAGAAGATGGTAGCTAGGACATCCACACCAAAAATCGCAGTCACCAAGTGAATGGATGGCCAAGTTTCACTCCCGCGAGTGACAAATATCAGCCAGTTCTCCGTCAGGGCCACTTCCAAGAACAATACTTCTTGAATGGCACCCCAGTTCTGGATGATGCCTCCGTTTTTCAAGAACATGGTGCCTCTGACCACCCAGGTGCCCAATGCAAGCAAAACACCGAGAAGACTAGAAATGAACCAGATTTTTGGAAGTTGCCATTCCACAGGTCGCAACTCAAATGATGCATGGTCATATGCAACAGCGACTGTCGCGAGATCAGCAAACAAAGCCAAGAAAACGATCAGTTCAACTCGGATACTCTCGTTCAGAATAATCATCGACGTCACAAGATATATCTCCAAATGCAAGCAGAGAGCAATGCGATATTGGATATATGCCTTCATGCGATGGAAGATTTGACGAGCAACCTTGATCGAATCAATGATTGTTGATAAGCCAGGCTCAAGAAACACGATGTCTGATGCAGATTGAGCGGCTTCAGATGCACCTTCGACTGCAATCCCGCAGTCTGCTTTCTTCAGAGAGGGTGCGTCATTCACGCCATCACCTGTCATTGCGGTGAGATGGCCTCGCTCCTGCAACATTTGCACGACTTGATATTTGTGTTCGGGGAAAACTTCAGCAAAGCCATCTGCCTTTTCGACAAGATCGCTAGCCATGGCACCACTCAGACCTCCGTGAATCAATTTGTCCGAGTTGTACACCTTGGTTCCCAGAGCCAGCATTTTGCAAGTCTCTTTTGCAATAGCGATAGCATCACCTGTCAGCATTTTCACACTGATGCCAAGGTTTTGCGCTTCACTAATTGTTTGAGCCGTGTCTTCGCGTGGTGGATCAAACATAGGCAACATTCCAAGCAAGGCCCAATCTTCACCTTCCTTTTGAACCGCGACACCAAGGGAGCGGAAGCCTCGATGCGCAAATTCTTGCGCTTTGGCTTTGTATACCTCAGCGGTCTCCTTGGAACAGCTCGTCAATTGAAGCACCGCTTTCGGTGCACCCTTTGTGCAAGTGTACCGAATTCCATCGCACACAGCAACGGTGACAATACGTTTAGACACGGGATCAAACGGTGTGAATTTTTCAGTCTTCCAGCCACGACGCATGATTTCACGAGCACGCGGATACTGTCTCAGCGTCAAAACAGTGACTTTATCGATTGGATCTAGCGATTCAATATTGTGCGAGGATGCGAGTGCGGCAACGGCGAACATCCAGTCGACATCAACACCTTCCGCCACATATGGCTCCCGGATACTCAATTTGTTTGCTGTCAAGGTGCCAGTTTTATCCGAACACAGGATGTCAACGCCCTTGTCTTGTCGTCAGTATTTGATACAGATGTCGTATCGGAGAACTCACAGCTAGCGATTCAATCGCTGTCAACTTTTGCACGATGGCTTTCTTTTTGGCGAGATACGCGGCACCCACTGCCATAGTCGTTGTTGTCACAACCGGGAGACCGACGGGCACTCCAATGATCAACAAAGATAGGGTATAGTGAAGCAATGTCTGTTGACCAGGCGAGGCGATGGGAATATGTCGGAAGAAACCGCCAATCCAAGCAGCAAGGATCCATGCCATAACAAGCACCAACAAACTTGTGCCGATGTTATCCATGACGAGCTCGAAGTGGCCCGCACCCTTGGCTGATTGTACCATCGTTGCTGTTCGGCCAACAAAGGAGGTTCTCGCGCCAGTTTGAACAACCGCGAATGCTTTGCCGCGTTTGCATCCAGTGGTATAGAAGATCATATCTCCCATGTAACGATCCACGGCAAGAGATTCACCTGTTATGGCCGAGTGATCGCAGGCCAGGATGGGATAGCCACGTCTGCGAGGTTGGCTCGCCGGCTTCTCTTCGCCATCCTCACCATGTCCATCGGCTTCTTTAGCTTTTGCATCTCCGTGGTCTTCTTTCTCACCCTTGGTTGGATCATTTTCATCATCTGAATCCGAGCCTCCGCCAAGCATGCCTTGCTCTTCAAGTTGATTGAACTCTTCCCAGCCATGGGTATCTTTGAAGTCACAGATGACTCTGCAGTCAGCGGGTACAACCTGGCCTTCTCCGATAATGACCTATTGAGATGGTAAGCAGCTGGTATAAGTTGGGAAAGAAATATGAACTGACCACATCGCCGGGAACTAACTCTCGCGCTAGACACTCCTGCTGAGCGCTGTCGCGTATGACTTGAGCTCGCAAGGCGATGTCTCCTTTCAAACTGGCAACCACATCCGCCGCCTGCTTTTCTTGATACCAACCAACCGCTGCGTTCAAACATAGGATACCGATAATCACACCGAAGTCAACCCAGTCATCCAGACCCGCAGCAAGCAGAACCGCCAGTTCCATCACTGCGTTCTTGTTAGAACCATGTCTGAGCAGCTAACCCCAAGTACTCACCATAAAGAATTGGACCCTGGAAATAAGATAGAACCTTCGCAATCGGGTTCTCCTTCTCGGATGTTAACTCGTTCCAACCAGCCCGACGCCGACGAAGGGGAACCTCCTCGCTCGATAGACCCTCCCGAATATCGGTGATTTTCCATTCGTCAGGGAACTTGCCGGTTTCACCCTCGAGCTTCTTCACGCGAACTTTGCGCTTCTTCCACGGAGCATACCACAATCGCTTTTCGACAACGTCCCCTTGTTGTTCATCGGCTGCACTGGCGTCTTTGAAAGTAGACACGTACTTGACAAGCTTGCCATACTCGTCCAGATTGGACCAATCTCCGCTGAGAGAAGCCCGGGAGATCCGTGAGCTACGGCGGGGAGCGCCGGCACGCTCGGCAGTAAGCTTCTCAGAAGTTTGCTCCATGGATTTTTCCTAGCAGCACATTAAGTTAAAAGGTGAATGCTTCCAAGAGATTGACAGGGCACACCTGTGAAGATAAAGCTCCGTGCTGGATCAATTATCGACGCTCAAAAGTTGCGATTCTCGACGAAAAAGTAATTCTGTCAAACCTGATATTCTTTGAACACGTCTGGGTCAAATCCACGAAACAATTGAATGAAGATTCTGGGAGATAGACGGTGAAGAAGACGGTGAAGAGAAAAGAAGAATGTAACATATCAAATTCTGGCTGGCCCTTGACAATCATACTGACGTCGGGAGAGGAAGTCCTCGCCCGAATCCCTTCGAGATTTGGCAATGGAGCTTGATTGTTTTGGTATCTGTTTGTGATGGATGGCGTAGACTAGGTCTTCAAAGGAACGAGCCGCGGGAGGTCTTCAAATCTCCCGACGGAACCTGGTGTGTGAAGCTTCGGTTCATCCTATCACGTTGGGCCTGCAGTACTCCCGGCATTCCAATTCGCTGTGAGGATGGGAGAATGATGGTAGTTGAAAAAGGCACTGGGTTTAATGTTTGAGCTAAAGATGCTGGCCACGGACTCGGAATCAAAAGCGTGTTCCGTCGGCTTCTGATGGACACCGAAGATGACCTTGAGGCCTTGTATTTCTCTAGGGCCGTTGACTTGTCATATTTCATAAGTCAAGGTCGTCGTTTCAGATGACTACCATTTTCTTTGGCAGGTCTCAATCAATTAAGGGCCAATGTGGATAGGTAAAGCCATAGCTGCATCATCCTAACAGGTAACAAGCTAGTCATGGGTCCAGCCTTTTTCGTTTGATGGGTGACGCACTGGATAACGAATCAGTCTTCGATGTAATAGTCACCTTTCCGCCGAAAGCCGGCATCCGGACTTGACATCCTTTCCAGTCCTGTGGTATGATTCACTGGGGGTATTTTAATAGTGGAGAGCGACACCAGTATGGGAGAGGGTAGAATTTGATGCCAAACATACATGACAAGTAGTGATCCAAGCCAGCAAGAACTGAAAACTGTGGATGAAGTTAGAGGCGTAGTCGTTTCAAGGAACTCAGCACTTACCGATGATGGACATGTGACGATGGTTTTGGGAAGGAGAGAAAAAGTTCATTTGACCCCTCGGTCTTTCCCTCTTCCCTTTTCTTCCTGTCTTTAGTCTCTAACATCCGTAACGAGATAGCCGTTTCGTGCAGCTCGCAAAAACATCATTTCAAGACTCGTCAATCCAGAAAACCGATCGCCTTGAACGTGATCCTATCCCCATTGCCTCCCTTCTCTCTAGCTCTGGGGCTACTACGTGTGGTTCAGTTTTATGCTCTTGAGAATCACCACATGATCCCTATCACGCATGTGGTGTGCTCTGTACTATGTGACGCGAATAGATTGCTCTTGTGTATAGACTCCTCGTGTCCTGAATGTCAAAAATACCACGATTCTTTCAAAAAGCCGAACTGGGTCTAATTCGTCTCTCGAACATGTGTTCGTTTAGTATAAAAGTAACCATATGATGCATCCAACCATGTAGGTTACCTCCAGGGTTATATTGCAACTGTCTAGGGAGGTGTGTGTCAAACCCATTAGACTTTCTCTCTACCGTGGGATGATTACCAGTTGTCACGACAAATTCTACCTCTGCTTCGGGTGAACCAATAAGAAGTCTATTTTGTAATAATGCTTCATCGAGCGTCGGGCCTAGGGTTTATTTTCTGTATAGCTCTCCGTGGTGGCTTGTTTCATCTGTCCTACACTTTTCAACCAACCATACCCGCAACAATGTCGCCTTTCTGGTCTCGTTCAAAACGGTCTTCGCCAAATAAGAATAAACTGGTCATTTCCAGCGATGGAGATGACACTGGAGCTAAACTGGTCATTTCCGGCGATGGAGATGACACTGAAGCTAACCTGGAGAGAGAGGGCAAGTTCAATACTCTCCAACGATTGCGATATGCAAAATTCCGCAAGATGATTGCTCGTAACAAGGTTCGGGATAGCTCAAGTGACCTTCTCAACACCGAACAAAAGCTTCGAGAAGTTGTCCAGGAAGAACTTGCGATCAACGAAGACTTCATTCACAGTGCGGCTGCTACAGAGAGACTTGAACATCTAAACATGAGATACCAACGCTTGGCTCAAGAATGGTGCCATAATCGGCTGAATCTTGCGCCTGAGGGCCAAGCACGTGCATTTGAGCTATGGCGATCACATTCAAAGTGGTATATGCATAGCGAACTTGTCAGGATTTGTGCAGATCAGCAAGGATGCTGCGCTCGTGGATGTGGTTGCTGCTTAAACCGCAATATTGACGCATCGCGCAGTCTTGGGGTAGGGCATTGTACACCGGAATGCGGATGTTGCGCAAGGGCTCGCGGCTTCAAATTCACCAAGTCCCAGAAAGAAGACTTGGAAAAGCTCCATCGGCTTTCAAATACACAAACTTACCGCTCATCGCGCCTGGTCCGAATTTCAATTTGGGGTCTTTCCGGCAACAGTTGGACAAATCCCTTTGAGATGATCAACGCACCCCCGACTTATCAGCAAAGCGAAAGCAGCCGAAACATATAAGGTCTAGCTGGAAAGGTCGAAGCTTGTTCTTCTATACCTTGAAGTGAGATATTGAATCTTGCTATGGCTCAAATACGCAAAGTTGATTCTTGTGATATGGATCAGGTTGTGAAGTGGAATGAGCAAAAGCTGTTCTTTATTAGTTTGCTAGGTGCCAATTGAAACGAGGAATGGGATTCTATTGTGCTCCACCAGCCAAAGATAGATTCCAACATAGGATAGCCCGGCGGAGATAGAGACAGATTTCCATTTACTTTTACATTCAATGAATGCTGTCTTCACCTCCTCTACTAGCGGGCTGCCCCAAGGCCACACCACAACCTGGACGTTCTAACAAACTTGGAGCAGATAAGGTAAACTCGGTACTCGGTATGTGATTCATTCATCTTGTTCTCTGATCACTCGTTAAACATACATCACATCACATGGCATTTCACATTTATTTGGTCTTGCCAGAAGGAATGTTGAAGAACACGGCAGGCGAGCCAGGGCTGTAAGCCCGGTCAACGCGGTAGTAGCCCTTGCGGTCGAACTGAATGATGTCGTTTTCCTTCAGGTTGGCGACATTGCAGTCTGCGACACCGACATCGCGGAACTCAGTGTGCTTGTTCAAGCAGTCCTCCAGAACATCATCCTCGGTCAAAGCGTCCTTGTTGAGGAGGTGATCGAAATCAACGAGCTCAACGGGGATGAGATCCTGACCCTCCTCGGCGAGCCAAGTGACCTTCTTCTCGGTCTTCTTGACATCACCAGTGGGGTTCAGCTCAACCTCGAGGTTGGTGATGATACCAGTCTCGGCGTTGGTGCTGATCTTGCGGATGAAGGCATTACCCCAGTTCATGAGGGTGATTTCCTCATCGGGCTTGAATGACTTGACGTCCTCCTGCTCAAGCAGGATAGAGCTGGAGTAGATGACCTTCTTGTTACCGACAGCGGCGTTCTTGGCGTGCAAAGGCTTCTCCTCGGAGTAAGGGGCAGAGGGGCCTCCAGTCACTGTGGTCTTCACAGCATCCTTGGTGTAAATGGTAGTGTGACGACCAGCGACAGGGTCGATGTACTTCTTGTTGGTAGCCCAGATGAGAGCCCAGTCGAAGTTGGTGACGTTCTTGGAGGGGCCCTGCTTGAGAATGAACTCCCGGAGAGCAGGAATGGTCATACCACGGCGACGAATACCGCGGATGGTGGGGAAGCGAGGGTCGTCCCAACCCCAGACGGCACCAGTCTCAACAAGCTTGGTCAGCTTACGCTTGGAGAGAAGAGTCTTGATGAAGTTCATGCGGGCGAAATCCCAGACCTGCACATTGCGAAGCTTGAGGGTATCCAGCATCCACTGGTATTGAGGGTTGCGGTCACGGTACTCAATGGTACGAAGGGCGTGGGTGACACCCTCCATCGAATCAACGATGGGGCAAGCAAAGTCGTAGGTGGGGTAGATGTTCCACTTGTCACCGGTGCGGTGGTGGGCAGCAGGGTTGCAACGGTAGATGACAGGGTCACGCATAGCCTTGTTAGGGCAGTCGGCGGAGATCTTAGCACGAATGCACCAGCGAAGGCCCTCGGCGCTGCCGCTCTTCATATCCTCGAGATGAGCCAAGCTCTCCTCGGCGGCCATCTCACGACGCCCGCTGGGAATACCGTCCCATCGCTGCTTCTGCATGGTTTCCTTGTCGGTGTCATCGGCATAGGCGTCTCCCTGCTTGATGATCTTGATACAGTAGTCGTACAGTTCATCGAAGTAATCACTGGTGTAGGTCATCTTGTTAGGCTTGATGCCCATGAGAGCAAGATCCTCAATGATAGCATCTTCGAATTCCTGCTTCTCGTTGGAGGGGTTGGTGTCATCGAAACGGAGAAGAAGAGTACCATTGTACTTCTCGTGGGCGAAGTAATCGTTGAGAAGAGCGGCCTTGGCGTGTCCGATGTGGAGGTATCCAGAAGGCTCAGGGGGAAACGAGTAACAACGCCGTTCTCAGTGCCCTTAAGAGCGATATCGTAGCTAGCACCCTCCTTGGCCTTGGCGACCTTCTTCTCCTTGGCAACTGCGTTCATAGACTCAACAGCAGCGTTGGTCCAGGGGCAGAGCTCTTCGAGGAAACGGTACCAACGGGTGAAGTTTACGAGGGAGCCCTTCTTCAGAGCCGCAGCTGCGACACGGTTACCACGGAGAGCACCCCAAACGGCGATGTCGGGGGTGGACAGAGAGTATCCGACGAGGAACGAGCGCAGCAGGAGGTGGCTATCAATGCGCTGAAGGATGGGATCGAGAGCCTTGAAGTCAAGGGTCGTCAGGCTGTCCAATTGAGAGAGCCATTCGGCCTCCTATCGTAAGAAGCCATGTTAGAATATGCATATCGCGAAACCCGCGGGGTAGTCATGACTCACCACCTTAGCATCCTTGCCAGTCAGGAAGGGGAAGTGCGCGGTGAGCTCATTGATGACCTCAGTGGTACCGAACACAGACTTGCTGCCAGCCACAAGCTGAACAATAGCCTTCTCACCATCCTGGAGGAGAGCAGTGTCCTGGTAGACGATGTTGATCACCGGGGTAGGGCGAGCCTCGTTGATTGAGGTGGCGATGAGGACCACAGGCAGCAAAGCCGACTGGCTAGCGCGGGTGGCCACGTTCAGATCGAATTGAGACATGGTGAATCGAACGATGTGAAGAAGACTGAATATCTTTTCTGGAGGGGTATGACTTACTATCTCCAGACCCACCACGGACCCCAGTTTCTCCGGGCCCGGCAGAAATTCATCTAGTCAGGTCAGCTCGCCGCAATCACCTCAATCAAAATATCGCCAGTCATGTCGTCCTACGGCTCCGTATTGCCCACTGCGGCGCGCGGAATTATCTCATCATGCCGAGCTCCTCTCAGGGAGGCCTCAATGGCACCTTCCTTCTCGGCCTTCCAGCAGGTCCGAGGACTCAAGACCAAGACGAAGGGCAAGGGGAAATCCGGCCCGTCTAATACAAAGAGCCGCAAAGGACCTGCGGAATACGTGCAAAAGAACCTCAAGGATATGCCCCAATGGACTCTCTGTGATGCCATGCGGTATGTATTCAATCCGAGTCCTACAAGCTAATCACCGGTTCATCAACTGACTGTTTGGCAGATTCATCCGAGCCACCGAAGTCGGCCGCGAGCCCACCCTCCAAAAATACGAGGTACACGTTCGCCTGCGCACGAAGCGAGACGGCCCCGTCATCCGTAACATGCTCCGATTCCCACACGCGGTCCAGACCGAATCCCGAATCTGTGTTATCTGTCCCCCGGACTCCAAGGTTGCGAAGGAAGCCCTCGCCGCGGGTGCCGTTCTTGTCGGTGAACAAGAGGTTTTCGATGCCGTCAAGGCTGGCAAGATTGAATTCGATCGCTGTCTCGCCCACCCGGACAGTGTTACTGCTTTGAACAAGGCCGCGCTCGGTCGTATCCTTGGTCCCCGTGGTCTGATGCCCAGTGCGAAGACCGGTACCGTTGTGGAGGATGTGGCTTCGCGTGTTGAGATGCTTCGCGGAGGTACCGTCTACCGTGAACGTGACGCTGTTATCCGTCTGCCCATTGGACAGCTTGGTTTCTCTCCGGAGCAATTGCGCGACAACTTGCGCGCGACTCTAGGCCAGATCAGAAAGGATGCGAACGGCCTGGCTGATCGTGTGAACAAGGAGATTTACGAAGTGGTGAGTTGCTTGGTGTTGGGCCAGATGAGCTTCCGACTAACATTATCCCCAGGTACTGAGCTCCACGAACGGACCCGGTTTCTCACTCAACGGCGAGTTCCGCTCCGACGCCTCTCCCGAAACCTCTCTGCTGAGCGGCATGTAACATATTCTGTTTCTCTTATATCCTTTGGCGTGTACAAATCTATTGTTTTACTAGCAGAAATTGGTGTATCATTGTATCACTGTTGAATTCGACACTTAATAAACCCAAACGCCGACGCTATGTATGCACCTGTGCATATCCCAGATCAAGGACAAAGCATGTTTTACACCTTGAGGTTCTTCAATGCAGCAACGGCACTGACATCCTCGCCCATGAGATCGTAGAGCCGCAGAACAGCCATAGTCCGGGCATCACGTTTGCTGCCTTTCCCGCCAGCCGTTGCCTGCTCCAGAGCGTTCTTGAGATCCAGAAGCACCGTTGATTTAATTTTGGCGACTCGTGGTTGTTGCGCAAGTAGGAATGGATGTGTCTCGCCCACCCGTGAAGCTATCGAAGTCAGGTAGACGAACTTCTGTGCATGTCGTTCCAATCGTGTGAGTGACATTGCAGGTGTGCCGTTTGCCAGCTCTTCGTCATCGCTGTCATCGTCCTCATCGGTGTATAAGTCTGAGTCTGAATCCGATTCATCGGGACTGGCATTCTCCTTCGGCGATTTTTCGCCAATCATCAATCGGTGCTCCAGTTCCTCAACCCGGTCCGCATAGTCCAGCAGGTCCTTGCCAATATCGGCTGTCGTCCGCAATCGCCGCTTCTCGTTCAGTAGCTCGTCGACCTCTTGTCGCCGCGCCTCGACCTTATCCCGAATGGCTTTGACGTCGCGCTGGAAAGAGAGCACGCCAACCTTGACCCCTTCAACCTTCTCCTCGCCGCCGCGGAGCGCGCTGCCAAGCGACAGGAAGTCTTGATAGTTCTCATTGACCAAATCCAACAGCTCCTTGTTCAGTGCCTGTTCCAGACTCCGCAACTCCTGGCGCAGATCCTCAAGACTTTGGTGACGGTTTGTCAACGATGATAGAAAGGTGGACGGGTCAAACCCAGGGGCCAGGAACGAGAGGCGGGACAGCGGTTCGGGGAAGGGGAGGCCGGAGGGGTCTTCGTCCAAGTCGGAGGCAGACCCGTCGGAGTCGCCAAACTAGAACCAATCAGACAGAGCACACAAACCAGATGCAACAATTATACATACCTGGAACCGATTCATGGTGGGCAATGCGTGTGAGGATGGTCAACACGGTCGAGAAGCAGATCGGGGAACAGTAGCGTGGGTCTGTCTTGGCATCCTCCCCAGAGTATACAAGAGCGCCTACACCGTACAATATACTCGCCGAGCAGATCCCTGCTCCCATCTCTATCACTCTATTCCCAGATGACTCCCCCATACAAGCCCTACTATTACATGTCGGGGAATATGCACCGCGCATGCAACACACGACGCTAAACCCAAACCCAACCCCATAGAGCGGGGTTTCGCCTTCTGCGCTGTCCTGCATCAACCTCGCGATGAAAGCATCCACGTTACCCAGATGGCCCCGAGCGTCCGCATCTGCGTCTATGACCTCCAGCGCGCTTGCCGGCCCAGACAACCCGCGCCACGACTCCACCACCTCTACACGCAACCCAACTTCCTCCCAATCTGACCCTCCATCAACGCCCGCCACGCAACCCGTCCTCGTCAGAGCATATTCAGGAAATGTCGACCCTCCTACCATGTCATCTCGACGGTTCTTCCCTTTCTCCAGTTCCAGAACCACCCAGCCAGAAATCCCACTCCCTTCAGATAAAGACTTCAGTATCGAGAGCATCTTACAAGCCATCGAGCCTGATATTCGCGGAACCCTCGACTCAATAGCTGAGATCTGCGGCCGGAGCAAGTTGAGTCTGGCAAACGAGTACGGAAGTCACATCGCACCACTCGGAGAGATAACGGCTCCGGCAGGCCTAATGCCCGTCGAAGAAGGGCAGGAACACATCGACGTCTTGGACGAAGAGAATATCGAAACCGGGCTTGATATGCACCCGTTCTCATTCCATAGATATCTTGAAAATCTACGACATACCGCTTCCGTGATGGAGAATGGAACCGGTCCACGGCCAGGGTCACCTCGATCACCGGGTATGAACTCTGATGCCGAGACGGTATTCGCGATTGGAGCTGTGCCAGCTGCTTCAACGCCTTTGGTTCGCGAGTTTGCTTCCAGACCCAATCATACTGGATCTCAACTACTGGCGAAGAATGCTGGCGCGGCTAGAAAATCGAACATGGCTACTGCGGCTGTTGTTTCGGAAGTCCACTTGGACGCTAGTGCTGATGGGGGAGAACCTGATCTTCTTCCTAAAGCTGCTCTTGCGAGCGATGGCTCGGCTTCTGATTATAATCGGACTGAGCTTGTTCATCAATTGCTCGGGTGGCTGAATCTTACTGCTCGTGTTGCTGGGTCGGATGCGGAGTCGTCTTTGCCGTCTGCTGAGGATCGGCTGCGTGCGATGCTTCGTGTGAATAATGAGGATCCGACTGTGGCTGCTACTTCTTGAGCGCCGGGGGACCTTTTCTACGAGACACGATTACGATAATTAATGACCCTTTACCATAACGAAAACCAAACATTTACTCCAGCGAATACGAATCTACATTTCAACACACAACTACATCATTGAACATACTTGATCGCGAAGGTTATTTATTCATTCGTACTGACAGCTTCCAAAGCTAAGAGGCTAAAGAATGAAGCCTCGACATCCAAGTAGGTATATTTTAACCTAAGCAGAAGCAACCTCAAGACGCTTGTAGCCACCATCAGCAGCGACCTGCTTCTGAAGCGCAGCCATACGCTTCTGATCACCAGTAGGATCAGTGGAATCAGCATCAAGAGACCAACCCAAGAACTCATTAGTGTAGTTCGAGACGAAAGACTCATCAAGAATACCCAAACGCTTTCCATAGTTGGTAACCTTAGTCCAATCACGCTGAACATTCTTCAAGTCATGCGAGAAGTAAGCGAACGAGCGCTCAAAGATCTTGCGGTTAACAGGCGTAGCCATAATAGGCTTGACGTCAATGTATTCCTTGTAAGCGGTAGCGGGGTCGGCGAGCACGGCATCGGTACCACGCTTCACGGCGCGCATGAACGCCTTCACCTTCTCCGGGTTAGCGGCAATGAAGGCGTCGTTCGCGATGTACAGGATTGAGCAGAAGCAGCAGCAGCCGAGCTCGGCGAGCTGGTCGATGCGAAGCATCTGGACGTCGTCGCGGGGACGGTTCTGCTCGGCGAGCCACTCTTCAAGCTCGACCATCTGGACGTTCTCGAGACCGATTCCGGCGTCGATGTCGCCTTGGATGATGGCTTTGGTGACGTTCATGCCGCAGCGGACGGCTGTGTAGTCGTCTGTGGTCATGCCGTAGTACTTGGTGAGCTCGTCGATTTGAATCTGGGGTTGTTAGTTGCATTGGACGGGGTGTGGTGGGAGGATGGAGCTCACCTTGCCGAATTCGCCGACGTATCCGATCTTCTTGCCCTTCAGAGAGCGGAAGTCCTCGGTGATACCGCTAGACTTGAGGTACACCACACCGGTGAAAGGCTCATCGAGCAGGGAGCCGATGGAGGTGACGGGGAAGTCACGGGCCTTGGCCTACAAGGGAGTCAGTCATGTTCAGGCTTATACTTCGACGGGAGGGTAACGCACCGCCAAGGTGTGGATCATGGCCTTGAAACCCATGTCGACCTTTCCGCTACCGATGATCTCGGTAACATCGGAAGGGTCGTTGGGCTCGAGCAGAGCAACCTTCAGACCTTCATCCTTGAAGTAGCCTCTGCTCTGGGCGAGATAGAGGGGGGCGTGGTACGGGGTGGCGTGCCTGCAAACTGCTTAGCCAAATTTGATCTACAAAATGCGCACTATGAACTGTCAGCGTACCAGTTGGTCAGGAAAGTAATCTTGTCGGTAGACATGATGAATTTTCTTCAAGCTGGTATTTCTGTTGCTTCAATGGAGTCAGTATGTCCAATGTCGGTACCTGGCTATCCCTGTTCATTGGTCTGTACCTTAATACAGAACCAACGAGGGGGTAAGCCAGATACAAAATTCAAAGGGGAATCAAAGTCACGCATGTCCTTTCGCTAGTATTGTCTAGATCAAGTTTTGACAGTATAATCTCAGAACGGCCAGCCAGGTAGATTGAGATTCAATCGGTCTGGCTGGGCCGAACACCTGTCATGCGTGTGCAACGACCATTATACAAGAGCAAATACCTTGATCCTTCTCAAGCGAGGACATAGTCCTGCAACCCCACAGGGTAGAGGTGCGCAACTCCATTGGAGCGCCGTACCGTTTGAGTTGAATGGTAGAACGTGTAGAACGTATGAAAGAAGAAAAGGAAGAGCAGAGGTGGGAGGAGGGGTTGAAATAGTCCAGCAATACCCCGCCGTGATCAACCTGGGCCAACCCTGGAATTGCCCCGAAAGTTCACCGAGCCTATTATTGCCCGAGTTGTACTCGTAACAAGTTGGCAAGGTGGAGAGGTTGACAACTCTAAGCTCCAGGGCAGCTCCGATGTCGACCGGAGGTCATAGCTCCGGCGGAATACGTTTCCCTCTCAGCCCATACTCCGTACTTGCTTGCACCTTATGATTTGTATAGATTTCACGTAACTGATCTCGAAATTAGAAAGGCTTCAAATGCACTGCAAAAAAAAAAAAAACAAAACGACAGGAAAAGCAAAAACAGATGATTAAAGTACACATGACGTCAAGAATCCCCAATACCCTCGGTAATGTATGACCGCTGACCAACGCCAAGAGGTCCTCCTATTTCGGACTCTGAGCGCGGCTACCGTTGATCGATATACTGTCCAGAGGCGACGCAGCCCGGTCCGTGACCTTGCGAGTTCGCAGGGTGAGTGGGAAATGCTCCTCAGGCTCCTCCTCTTCACTATTAGGGGGTCAGTAATGCGGAGAGAGAAGTATGACGCGGGGGAGTACTCACGGTAGCTTCCACGCAATATAATCCTCTGTGCTCAACCCCTCATGACCCTCCTGCAGGGAGGCAAAGTCGCCGGGGGTCATCATTCCGGATCGATCCCGAGGGGATCCCGGAACAGAAAGCGGGCGGGAGATCTTCTGATCCGTTCCTCCAATGATATCGAAGTAATCTTCCTGGCCCTCGAATGATGAGGGATAAGCTGGGACCGTTAGTCCGTGCGTTCAAGCTATGACGCTAGAAAATAAAAAAAAACATAAAAAAACATACCTCTTCTCAACGCCAGCTGGCGCGCCTTGACGTATTCCAATCCCATTCGCTTCCAGTCAAGCAGATCGCTCAGTCGTTCTGTGCGGTTGCGCTGGTTGATACGCTGGCGACGACTCTTCTCTGTGAAATTGAACATGAAGTCCGACAGTTGGTTGACGGAGTCGTCCACTCCCTTGGAGCGGCGGTCTACAATGTAGATACCGTAGTCCGAGGAGTTCTCAATCAGCTCCTCCATGTAACATCCAAATCCAGACAGATTGGTCGTGATGCTGGGAACTCCCATCACGGTACATTCGGCAGGGGTGTATCCCCAGGGCTCGTAGTAGGACGGGAAGACACCGAGATGGGTTCCGCGAACGAAATCATCGTAGTCGAGGGGCAAGACGGGGTTAGCAGAGTTGAGGAACTCTGGGTGGAAGACGACCTTCACGCGGTCGGAGGAGTGGTTGAACAGCTGCACGCGGCGGATCTGGTTCAGGATCGGGTCCTCGTGGTCATTGTGCATGTTGTGAGTGACGATTGGAGGAAGGCCGTGGCGCTTCATTCCGAACAGACGACGACGCAGCATGACACGGTCTTGACTGGTGATGAGATCCTTCTCATCGGGCATGTTGTCGCCCTCCTTCCAGGACAAGCAACGCTCATACATGCGCTTGCCGATACCCTTCTCGATGTTCTCGATGGTGTCGCGGAGGGACTTGACGACAGCTTGGCCCTTCAGCGACTCGACGGTCAACGACGAGGTCTGCGCGGGCATGATGATGAATGCAACAACGGTCATGGTCGATCCGGCCGACTTGAGTCGGTGGTTGAGACGGGCCAGCCCCTCAATGAACATATCGACACCCTTATTGCGGAACTCGTAACGGCCTGCAGTGAAGAGGTAGAGAGTGTTATCCAGATCAAAGTCATTGTGACCGTAGAAATGACCGCGGACGAAATCATTGATCTTCTCCTTGGCCTGGGAGTGCAGGTTCTGGAACTCGTGCATGGCAGAGAACTTCTTCACGTTCAATCCGTTGGGCAAGACTCCATCCGGCTTGCGCTTGAGCAGGTGCTCACTCTCGAACGCAGTGATATGCGACACAGTGGTGAACACATCGCAGGCATGGGTTGCCGCGCGCTCGATGCAGTATCGATGGTAGATTCCACGCTTTCCAGCCTCGGCGTCAACATCAAAGTATTGCAGATTGTTATAGAAGTCAACGGAGCCTGCACACAGATAACGACCCAGCAGTGTGGCGTGGGTAGTGAAGACGGTGGTCAAGTCCATGTGTCGCTTCTTGGTCAGTGGCAGAGCTACACCTGCCAACCATTCATGGAAATGGGCGATGACAGCCCGGCGACGGTCATGGGCAATGTACTAAGGAGAAAATGGTCAGCCGAAATTCATCTCCACCAGCGGGCTTCACTTTTTTCGTTACTTACCTCGCCCAAGAACCATGCGACCAGGTATCCAAACACGATGGCCTCATTCGTCTCATGATCAGCGGCGGGGGAGGGGATGGCGGAATTGGTCCACAGATCGCCCTTCCACTCATCAAGCCACCCATAGCCCGTGCCCGTGTTGATCAGTAGCACGCGAGGGGCGCCTTCAATCAGCCAGCGACCGTAGACAATCTCAATGCCGCGCTCCTTCATAGACTGGATAGTTTCCCGCATCGCCGGGTTGGTAGGCGTCAGCTCCTCGACCTCCACGGCGGCGGAGGCCTTGTTGAGAGGACCGATCAAAGTGTACCTCTCACCATACTCGGCGGTGGTGACCGGGGCTTTGGACTTGAGCACGGAGTAGATACCACCGACCCGGTTGGCCACCTCGGTGGCCACCTCGAAGAGCATATGGTTGCGGACATCCCGCTTGATGGGCTCAGCTTCTTCGGACATTTCGTCTATATTGTGAAAAAGCTCGAAATGTTGAAGAAAAGAGAAAAAGCAGCGAGGGAGGGGGGTGTTAGCACAACCTTGGAAGCTCTCGGTCTGTGCGGGGAGAAGTGGGCCGGGGGTGATTGACTCGTACTGGGGTGGCTGGGATGTTGGGGTCGGGATCCTGGGGATGAAGAGGTCAAAGAAAGCGAAGAGTACCAAACTCAATGTCAAACGAAGCTAGAAAATGCACGTCTCCCGTTCCTTGTCCCGGTGTGAGTTTTTTTCCGGACTAGGTGCGACAGAGGGTGTTACCTTTTCCCCTTAGTTTAGGGACGGCTCACTTCCAAGGAAATGTCACCCGAGAGGAACTTTTTTGGAAATTTCTGTTTAGACAGAAAAAGGGTGAAAAGAAGAAATCAAACGAGAGTGTGTTAATTCTAGATTCTAGATGTCTACATCATGTTCACGGAATTGTATTCATCAGTACAACGGTACCTGACGGCATGTAACTCTACAGTCTACAGTGTGATCGGGCCGACCACGGCTTGTGCTCGGATCCTTTTTTTTTTCTTCTTTGCATGGGTGTCTCCGAACTATTACTCAATTGTATTGTCTTTGTTGGGATCTTTGACTATCTCTCAATTTTGCCATTTTCCCAAGTGCTGGTGTATACACAAGTCCAAGTATTCAAGTAGAGTGCCCAAATGGAAAGTATCTTGACTTTTGCCTCGTCCGGGGAAAGCTACAATGACGTAATCGGCGTCTCCACCGCATCGATCTGCCAAACCTCCTTTGGGCGATTGGTCAACGTCCAACTGTACTCTACGCAGATCCGCGGGGTAGTTCGTGGATAGCTCATTGTTTTGAATACTTGTGTCAACTTGATCTCTAATGTCCAACATCCATGAACGGGTTGATTCTCTTTACTAAATCACTACATTTATTTAGAATCTAGGGTTTCTCCCGTCCCTAAGCCACTCTCCTTCCTCTAGGGCTATTGTCTCCCAGATAAAGCTGAGCCTCCATCTCAAATACAAAGACCATTGTTTCCAAACCTCAAGGTCAACTCCGTGGACATGAGTGGCCAGCTTTCATATAAGAACCAGCCAGCCATCATGTGCGAAATATATTCGCAAAAGACAGGACCACAAAATGAGCTCAAGCCCACAAACTCACCAGCAAAAGCACAAACGCAGAGTGCGACTTCTCTACTGGAAGAGTCGATCGGATCATATCAAGACAAACGAGCATAGTAAGGAACTCAACAAGTCTGTTGCTAGCATGGCCACCGGTTGGAGCAAAATACCAGCCCGGGTCATGAAGATCCTCACTGATATCAGCAATGGACTCGATACTAACAAGCGAAAGCGTCTACCCCGACGAGAACTAAAGCAAATCATCCACCGTGCCCTAACGGCTCGCTATCCACAGGCTTACTATCGACTGCGCAGGGAACACCGCCCTGTCACGGGTGTCCACCAGCCCTACAACGTCTCGAAGGTGGACCGGGGCTCAGTCGGAGAGTCATTCCGGTGTGGTGCCTATGACCTAGACTTAGGCTTAAATGAATGCTCATCGAGAAGCGCTGACACTGAATTGATTAGCAAACCGGTTTCGCTTGGTACTTGCGAAGTGAGCCCTGCTGCAGTCAAATCAAGCCTGACTTTCAAGAATCGTAGTCAGGAGCGATCTGAGCATTTAGATCTGGTCTCGGGCTCCATAACTAGGCATGACGATTTTGAATTCTACAGTCAGCTTAACGATGAACTGATGGATGAACTGAGGGTCATGTGCGAGGGAAGTGACCTATCTGGTGAGGGTCAAGTGACAGGAACTGGATCCCATCGCCTCGACGATGCGATAGGTCGCTACGACGATGCGATTCGACGCCCACCCAATTCCGAAGGTAGACTGCAGCATCGCATCGCCGCGGCGATGAGGAGCTCTATATCAACCAGCGTGAATGGCCCAATTCTGCGTCGCTCTTACACATACCCAATCATCATGGCGAACCTCACTGCCACCACTGCCAGCTCCGCAGAGAAGCGGGATTCGTTTCTCCTGCGTGATATCGATACCGAGCTTGCCCTGCTGCGACCTCTGATCCCGCGCAGGAAGCGTGTCCAACTTGTGCGACCAGACTATGAGCCTCAACGCCCTCCGGTCCCGAGACGCAAGCCGGCCCCCCCATACGACCTCCAAGCCAAGTTAATGCTTGGTGACCTACCTCTCATACCCTGCCACAGTAGTGAGGAGGTCAATCAACTGAGCCAGCCGTCACTCTGGTCTCACATCTCACTTCCACTGCCGGCAGCAACTCCCGCGCCAGCAGCCGGGCCATCTCCCACCCGACCCCCTCACAACCTTCTCGCCCGCCTCAACACCATCCGACATGCGTGTCGTGATATCTTCAGACGACGCGGGCCAACCACCGCTGGGCACGGCCTCCACATCCAACACCTTGGCCCCACCGTGCCTGTGGCTGCGCAGCAGATTGAGGAGATCCTCTCTGCACCGGCTCACCCAAGCCAGCCACAGGCCGGTGCTCATTGCAGCCAGTGCGTGAATGCCCAGGTGGGGCTTTCTGGGGTGCTTCAGACGCTTGGAGCACGCAGAGTGTCGTGGGACTCGGGCGTTTTCGCAGACAGCGTCGTCGCATCAACCACACCATCAAGCAGCGATGGTAGCCCAATTGACGACATTGCGTCAGAAGTGACGGGCCCCGGTGAAGAAGGGGGGATTTCGGCAGCTCCCTGCCCTCTCACTTGTTTCTGACTCTTGAGGCTGGTGGACATGCGCGCAACCGCCGGTACGTCAACCGCGGTTTTATTTGAATGGTGTTTGAGATGTTGTTTTGTTTTTTGTATGATTATTTGTGAGAGTATCTTTGTCAAATGTGATGTTTAATTCTATCATTCTCTTTCTCATCGTAAATGACTTTTTTGTTGGTCGTGTGCGCAAAATGTGGTTGTGTTCCAACTTTTGCAGCAACCAGCCAACATCCGTAGTAGGGCAAGCATAATGCGACTGACATTGACCACAAAGGAACCCAAATTACACAATCATTTTTTAATCTGTGTCTGGCACATTCCATTGCTATCAGAGGACCCTGTTTCCAAGGCAGTTGATACATAGATCGTGGTGTTGCCATACGCATGAAGTCATGGTCTCCACTATGATTTCATGATGCTGTCACCAGCGATCTATCCAGACCAAGGTATATAAGAAATGTCCAAATGCTTCAGAATTTCTACCTAACCAACTCTACAAAACAATTCTCCTCTACTACCCTCTCTACCACATCAATCCTTCACAATGGTTCGCGGCGCAGACTTCGACAACGGTGTCCCCCAGAGCGACAACCCTATCGAGAACGGTCCCAACAAGGCCCACGGAACCGGCGATGCTGTATGTCTTGCTCCATTACTTTCCAATGCATTCAATTCGAACATTGTACTAACTTCATTCAGCCCGCCGACCTGAGCCGCTCACACAAGGCTGCCCCCATGCCCGAGGAGACTGGCTCTGGCCGTGACGTCTTCCCTGGTCAGCCCAGCGGTGGATACGAAAACACCTCTGGCTCTGGAAAGGGTGGACATGAGCCCAAGTCCACTGGTGAGCAGAAGGGCCACGGTGCTCTGCCCGGTCAATAAGTGTTCTTTTTGTATAATAACTGGAGTTCTGTGAATGGGTTTGGAAAACCATTGCATATACTGAATGAGACATGATATCCCTATTCCAACTTTCTTTCCCACACGCCTGCCTAGCTGTAGTCTATACTTTCAAGGTTGTTCGGGAAAATGAATCTAAATTGAACATTGATTAAAAGCTCGGAATCTTTGTATGTGTCACTGCCCAGATGGTCTTATCTATTCGACTGGAGATGTAATCATGATGATTGGAATGATATCTTGTTAATACCCACGAACGCCGGGCTAGCTCTATAAATGCAACAGGTAAACAGCTATGTGGTAGAAACAAATGACAAGTGTACATCGAAGATACGCATACAGAATCTTGGAACAGACACGCAGCAAGAAAATTATGTATAAGGTGAAAAGCCCCAGGGGACATGACGAGAGATCAGGACTTGGACGAATCGGAGCTCTCCTGTGCCTGTGTCTCGCTTGCGGGCTCAGGTTTCTCTGGCTCATCGGCAACTTGCTTAGCTTGCACGATTTCGAGCAGCTTGTCACTCACGTCGCTGGCACCATCGATCTTGCTGAGCTTGGTACGGAAGTGATCCACATCTGCTAGCATTCTGGGATAAAGTTAGTATTGGCGGTAAGGGAAGGAGACGAGTTAGCTTACCTCTTTTTTCCGGCGTCGGTTTCCACATTGGCTTCTTGGAAAGCCTTGGTCCATTGATCACTGTAGCTGTTGAACACAGGAACCATAATCATTCCGAGCGTCATGTCCGGGAGATGCTTGCTCAAGACACGGTGCAAGGTACCTGTCTCCTTGGCCAATGTCTCCATGTAGGGATTGACTGCTGGAGAGGAGTCCTTGGTATCCCAATCGATCTTTTTCATCGCATTGACATGAACCGAAGAGCGTCCGCTCATGATGTCCACCAACTTTTCGTGGATACCGCTCTGGTGTTCTTGGCACAAACGTTTGACCTTGTCGAACTCGGCCATCAAGGGGTTTGCTTGGCCGGAGCGACGGACGAATTCGCGCACATACGGCACTAGCGCAATGACAAAGCTAAGCGCCTGCGAAGATAGAGCCAGATGCTTTGTCGTGATGTTCTTCAAGCCTGCACTGCGGGTCGCACCAGCTCCGAGGATCAATTGAGAGGAACGAGAATTGAACAGTTTGAGGATGTCGAGCAGATGAGGCGCAATATCTTGAATCATGCTGGGGATGTTCGACATGAGGAATTCAAACTCCTCGATGCTGCGCATCATCGCCACAGCAGAGTCTGGCAGAATGTATTTCTGCTCGTCGACAATGGCACTGCGGAGCTTCGACTTGTCTGTCCCATTGGTTGCCGCATCGGTGTCATCAGGCGCGTCTTGCTCAAGTTTCTCAGTATGGTTCCAGATCTTGGATGCGTCTAACCAAGCATCAATGTCCTTGGTGCTTGCATCTAAGATGCGTGTGAGAATTGTGTTTTCGGAGTCGCCGAAGTCCCGCGCATCCCAACGGTCGGCGTCCATAACCTTGACGATTTGATGGCGCTGACCATCACCGAAACGAGTGATGAAATCGCGAATTTGATTGCCGACAATGGTTTTGAGTGCGGTACCACCACGTCCGGAAATGGCTTCACACTCATCAGCGAAAAGTCGATTGAGAGTGAAGTAGTTGAGGAACTCTTCTTTTGAAAGCTGCGTTGTCTGTTCGGATCGAACCTTCAACACTTTCGTTATCTGAGACTGGGCGATATCAACAGCTTGGCCAAGTAGACTTGACATATCCAACACCTGAAGAATCTCATCCTGAGCCAAATCCTCAGCCGTTGGTCCAGCCTGTGGAGATCTGAGCGCTTGATCCATACTTTGCGGGTTGGGGCTTCGGGGCGGAGACCGAACGCCAGAGGTGGGTGAATTGCCCAGACCACTCGCAATATCTAGCAAAATTTTGACCTGAACGCTCAGTCGCCGAAGCGACTCGCTGATTCCGGTATACACATTCATCAACATCATATAAGCATCCTCGGATTCGAGTGCACGGAGGTTGCGAGCAAGAATCGAAGACTTTTCTTGCTGGCTTAGCTGGTGTCCGCCATGCGTGGACAGTGACACCATAGATTCATTATCGTCATCACTAGAGCTAGGCAAGTGCTTGCGAATCAGGCCTTTCATTTCTCGTAAAACGGCAGTCTTGAAGGAAGTCGCTGCTGGCATTGTATAGCGAGCACGTGCAAGCCCGTTGAGCTGCGTGTCCAATTGCGTGCGTAGCTCACTGTCAAAGCTCATGTAGGCAGGCGAGATGGACACTGGTCGGACACCCCGTTGCCGTTGGAATGATGTTCCCCAGCGTTGCAGGGTAGTATTTGACGGTACGTTTTGAACGTGCTGTCGTAGATCTCCCAAAAGGTCGTTCAAGAATCGGGTTTCATAGCCCATGCCAATACGTTGGCGCAGTTGTGCAAGATCATCAGATGCTCCTTCCAGTGCCTTGATTCCCCTAAGATCAATAATGCGTCTGGGTGAGCCATCCTCATCCTCTGCATGTGCGCGGTCAGAGACCTTGTCGCCTGCCATCAACTTCTCGACATCTTCGAGTCCTTCAGCAGCCTCTTCGATATTGCCTTGCTCTACCAGCTCCTCGCATCGGGACACCGACTCGACCACGTCACGAAGTTGTGCCACCGCAGCCGCCAACATTCGGACGTTTTCCCGGCGTCTCCTCAAGTTGACAATCTTCAGACCACCCAGAGCCATTTCTTTGTCAATTTTCTGTAGATCCCGTCTCAAAACTTGAATGCGATTAACAGAATCGGCCGCTTCTGCGTGTAGCTCTCGGAGTGATCCTAGCGCTGTGAAAAATGACTTTGATGCTGTGGAAATTGACGAGATCAGGTGAATTTCCACTGTGTCCATGTACCACGACAATTTCTCTTGAAGAATGGCATTCGTTGCTAGCGCCTTCCGTCCTGTTTGAACTGGTTCTGCGACGAGGCTATTATTTTGGTTGTCATCTTTGTTTGGTGGCCGTGGGGGCCGGACCACATCGGACTTCTCCGATATCACATCGAATGTGCGGGGATTTTCCAGATGGAACCCTTCATCGAAGTATACGGGCGGTATCGTAGATAGCGGCGTCACTGCGGGGGCGCGTCCTCGACCAGTGGAAGGACGTCGACCTCGGGTATCAAATGGCGAAGATGACCTGGAATTGGTGGTTGACATGACCGAGGACCTCCGCTCGGGAGACCAGGGCATCAACGAGTCACGTTCAGAGTCAGGTCTCGGGGACTTTGCTGCCTGTGCCGGCTGGACATCTTCCCCGCCCTCCTTTGGCCGTTGAAACACATCGTACAATGTTCCCACTTGCGAAAGGTATGGTTGGAACACCTTTGCGTCGACATGTGTGATGTTTGTTAAGGTCACCGGTGGGATATCGCGCGTAGACGGGGGTTTAAAGCCGGTGGCGGATGCAGCACTTTGGGCTGTCAGGCCAGTTCGGATGATTGGTGGCTGGAGGAGGGTTGAGATAGCTATGTGGGAATTAGCCAAAGGCGCAGCAATTGAGGTTTGTGAGGCGACAAACCATTCTGATCAGACTCCGCGATTGAGACATGGTGATGGGAAGAGTCCAAAACACCTCCAATGCTGGCTATCGAGCTCGCGGTTGATCCCCTCCTCAGGGGAAACCGCTGAGGGGGCACGCGAGGGGATTCCAACTGGCTTGTTGAGTATGATATCGAAGGCGATGAGGCCCCAGATGCTAGGCTGTCAATTGACTTTCTTGGGCCGTTCGTCGACATGGCGGTCACGAGCCGGATCGGACGGCCACCGGGGGAGGGTCGATCGTAGAGATGTTCCGTGTTATCTGATCATGACAGTGGGTAGACCTAAGTGTAGAGCTCTTTAAGGCCCAGGGAAAGATCGCAATTCTGATCCCGTAAGATCTACGACTCGCGATTCCGTTCCGAGTCCGGGACTTGTGGCAGAATGTACCTGTGATGTGGCTTTGTCTCCATCCAGCTGGTTTCCCCAATCGGCGAATGCGCCAACAGAGCGGCCCCGGTTTCCCCCTGCTGACTTAGCCTCGGGGCCTCAGGCATTAATGTTGACACCTAGGGCATCAACTAGAAGCCTGAATCCACAGGCTTGAGCTGAGTCAGAAACCACTTAACGCGTAAATGTGCAAACCTTCGACGCGACGCGTTGGTGCCCACTTGGCCAAAAGTTCTTGAAGCCTCCCTTCCGCCAAACCCACTACACTCCAACCTGCCAAATCTGCACACCATGGATAGACGCACCCCCTATTCTCTGAGCGTCCTTGCGCCGAGTACAGACGGCCCCGATGAATCTAAGACTATTGTACAAGCCCGCCTCCGACAGTTTGTGCTAGAATTCCAGCTGGATAATGCTTTTGTCTACCGGTAAGCAAACCAACCAGCTAGGTCTGCCGCAAACACTCATCATCCTATAGTGACCAATTACGGCAAAATGCCCTCGTGAAGCAATACTATTGCGACGTTGACATTGCTCATCTGATCTCTTACAATGAAGAACTAGCCCACAAGCTGACCACTGAGCCCGCCGAGATTATCCCTATTGTAAGGACAATATGCCCGACTGAGCTTGGTGGCATTGAATACTTACTATAGGCAGTTTGAATATGCGCTGAAGGAATGTACCGCACGAATTGTGTACCCTGGCCAGCGCGACGTCGCCGCCACACTCCCCTCCCACCAACTTCTTCTCCACTCCTCGGCATCGCACATCTCAATTCGCGATCTTAACGCTACCAATATCTCCCACCTTGTTCGCATTCCTGGAATTGTGATTGGCGCTTCTACGATATCTTCTAAGTCAACTTTAATTCATGTCCGTTGCAAGGGTTGCGATTATAGCGACAACATCCAGGTCGACGGTGGTTTCTCTGGCGTGACACTTCCTCGGCATTGCGGACGCCCCAAGCAGCCTGGTGACCAACCTGGCGAGCAATGTCCTCTTGATCCTTACGTCGTCCACCATGAAAAGTGCCAATTCGTCGACCAGCAGGTTCTTAAGCTTCAAGAAGCCCCTGACCAGGTCCCTGTGGGTGAGCTGCCCCGACATGTTTTGATCTCCGCGGATCGCTACCTTGCCAATCGAGTCGTTCCCGGTTCTCGATGCACGGTCATGGGAATTTTCTCTATCTATCAACAGAAGGGTGGAAAGAAGGAGGCTGCAGTGGCTATTCGTAACCCCTACCTTCGCGCGGTCGGCATCACCTCTGATCTCGATCAAACTGCTAAGGGGAGTGCAGTCTTCTCCGAGGAGGAAGAACAGGAGTTCTTGGAGCTGAGCCGACGCCCCGACTTGTACGATGCCCTCGCCCGAAGCATTGCCCCGTCTATCTATGGAAACCTTGATATGAAGAAAGCCATTGTTTGTCTCCTCATGGGTGGTTCGAAAAAGATTCTGCCCGATGGAATGAAGCTTCGTGGTGATATCAACGTGCTCATGCTTGGTGACCCCGGTACCGCTAAGTCGCAGCTCCTGAAGTTTGTTGAGAAGGCCGCCCCCATTGCTATTTACACATCCGGAAAGGGTTCCTCCGCTGCCGGTCTGACGGCTTCCGTCCAGCGAGATGCCACTACGCGCGAGTTCTACCTCGAGGGTGGTGCCATGGTTCTGGCTGATGGAGGTGTTGTCTGTATTGATGAGTTTGATAAGATGCGTGATGAAGATCGTGTTGCCATTCACGAAGCCATGGAACAGCAAACTATCTCTATTGCCAAGGCTGGTATCACAACCATTCTCAACTCCAGGACGTCTGTTCTGGCCGCAGCCAACCCTATCTTCGGTCGTTACGATGATCTCAAGACTCCTGGTGAGAACATCGATTTCCAGACAACTATCTTGTCTCGTTTCGATATGATCTTCATTGTCCGTGATGACCACGAGCGTGGTCGCGATGAGAAGATCGCCCGTCACGTCATGGGTGTGCACATGGGCGGTCGTGGTGTCGAAGAGCAAGTTGAGGCTGAGATCCCCGTGGAGCAGATGAAGCGCTACATCAGCTACTGCCGTAGCCGCTGTGCCCCTCGTCTCTCCCCGGAAGCAGCGGAGAAGCTCTCTTCGCACTTCGTCTCCATCCGTAAGCAGGTGCACCGCGCCGAGATGGAATCAAACAGCCGATCATCTATCCCCATCACTGTACGTCAATTGGAGGCCATCGTCCGTATCTCCGAATCCCTGGCCAAGTTGTCTCTCTCTCCAATTGCGACCGAGGCACACGTGGATGAAGCCATCCGTCTGTTCCTCGCATCTACAATGGACGCCATCACTCAGGGCGAAGGCCAGGGCAGCAAAGAACTCATGGAGTCAGCGAGCAAGATCGAAGATGAGCTCAAGCGCCGTCTCCCCATTGGCTGGAGCACGAGCCTGGCAACCCTTCGCCGTGACTTTGTAGATGCCAAGGGATACACCGAGCAGGCGCTTAACCGGGCGCTGGTTGTGTTGCAGCGCCGTGACACCATCCAGATCCGCTCTGGTGGATCCCAAATTTACCGAAACGGAGTTTGATCTGCGACGTATTATGATTCTAACGTGTTTCTCTTATACACCTGACACGCTATTGATGGGTTGTTGATTTTGTGCATATTCTATCTATTCTCCATGGGTAGCTGTGGGAGTTTGTAAGCGGTGTTGGGCGTGTTTGATATCAGGTCTTGATGGTAATCTCTACCAAATGCATACTTTTTCTAATTCATCTACTCCGTACTGAGTACCTCTTGTGACTTCTTTTTTGTTTCTGCCTTGAGTATTACCCACTTCACTATCCACTTCAACTTGGACTGGGATACGGAGTACGGAGTACCCCTCCACAAGCCCCCTCGTAAGGCTAGCCTTGTCCAGCCACAAGGTCCCACTACGCCACTGGCTGTCGATAACTCCTCACTCTCAAAACAGACTGCCAAGAGTTGACAACATGCGGCTGCACCCCCCCAACTTGGCACTGCAATTCAATCCTGCCATATTCCGACTAGGCACCAGCATTTTGCCATCGCTTTGCTACCAATTGGTCATGTGTGGCCCATTTTCTGTGGCTGTTGCGCGGGGCTGCCACGGAACTTCGGATGCTTGGCCTGCATGAAAGGTGCAACATCAGGAGATGTCATTCATTATCCTGTGGCTGGAGCCCCGAGACATGCTCCCATGCGCCACGATGACTGGATATCAAGATTTCGCGCTCTGTGTTTTGGCGCTTGGCCTCTGGGCAGGGCTTCAACCTCGGATATTCGCTCTATGCCTACTTCACTTGGTGGTGGCATGGCTGTGTCTCCCCACCATTGTACAGCATGTACAAACTAACCCGATACCAGTGTCTAAGAACGCTCTATAGAGTGCCCCCGCTCTGCCAATACCCGCAACCCCTACCAGCGCCCCGCTGCGATGGCATCATCTAGCAATGGACAGCAAATGAGTCTGAGCCAAGTGTCGCACAAGAACCGGGGGCTGCTGCACGATCCCTAGAACGCACCGGGGTTATTGTTCGGCGCGTACAGGTATGTCTGGATGGGGTATATAAAGAAGGGTTTCTCCCAGCTTCATCTTGGTTTGAACATTCTATGATAAATAGTCTACATTCTCTACTTTGCATTCTTCTCTCACAAATCGACATCATGAGCTTCCATACATCTGCCTCCAACATCGAGCTTGAGGATGACCATATCCTCAAGGCTACTCTCCGCAACGAAGATGGTGATGAGGAGGAGTCCACCTTGGATCTGAACGAGATCATTGGCAACGACAATGGTAAGGACTCTTGTCTGATCAGATTCCTCTATGGGACTTCATGATTGGTTTCTAACTCATGGGCCAGGTCAATTTGCGTGGGGAGGAGGTGGCTTCAAAGACAGCGCAGATGAGATCAGCTTTGACCTCGAAGGAGACGAAGATGTGCCCATTTTGCGAGCAAAGTTGAAGGACGTTGACGGAGACGAACATGAAGCGGACATCAACCTGGCAGAGTGCATTGGGAACGACAACGGACACCTTGTCTTCCACGAATAGACTACATGTTCATTTCAATTGGTTCAGTAGGAATGGTTCAGTAGGAATCACTGCTGTGTTCAATATTTCCTTAGCGCAATTAGACTTTCGCGAACAGTCCTAGAACTCTCATGCTGCCAGACTTGACCTAGTTGCCTTCAACGTAATAAATACCGCTGCTTCGCGCAAGAAGCAATGTGTGTGTGACTTCCCAAATGATTAGATTTGATTACACCGGGGCGACAAGGTTGTGAAACCATTCAAACTCTGGAACATGACATCAAGTGGATATAAGTTCCGAGCGTGGGAATGGCATGTGGATTTGAGAAAAGTTATAGAGTATGGGTATCATGTATCATATAGCACGAATGATCAGGAGACTATAGAAAGGAATAAAGGGAGGGGATTAAAGAATTAAGATAACAGATTTAAAATAATATTGGTGATATGGCTGATACAACATGAAATTCGTCTTCACATCCCTATGGTCAATCGATCTAACAGCATATAACTGGCTTAAAAGCAGCCAATTTGAGACTCTATTGGTCCCATGGTCAACATCACTAGCTTATGCGAGGCTGCGCTTCGGGCGACGAAGACCCTTGGTCAAGCCGTGGGTAATACCGCCAGCAACATCATTTGCTGCGCGGAGACCACCCAGCAGACCCATGAGGTCGTTTCCGAGGATGTTATCAAGCGGGTCGCTGTCATCATCATCCGAGTCGTCGTCTTGCGGGGTGGCAGTAGGTGTGGGAGCCGCTGTGGTTGTAGACTTGGCCACAGGCTCGGTGGTAGTAGTGGGCGCAGCGGTAGTTTCGGCAGGGGGCTTGGCTTCGGCGGTAGTCTCAGGTGCCTTGGGCGAAGCAGAAGCAGATGAGAAGGAGGAAGATGAGAGTGAGGAATCGGGTACATTGGAAGATGACGATGTCTCCTTCGAAAAATCAGTGGACGTGGACGGAGAAGGAGAGGGCGCCGATGGTGACGCCGGGTCGGACGACGCACCGGAATCATCAGCGCCTCCTAGGCTTTTCCGAACGTCCTTAATAAACCCGTCATTGCCATAGGCTTGTGTGGCATCCCACATCATAACTCCTCCAAAGCTCTCGAACTTCTTCGAGTACTCAATAACGTTATCCAACTTCGACGACGGGATGTAACCGGTGCTGGCGGCGGTGGTGTCTGCAGGCACACCGACAATGACCTTGACGTTCTTGTTCTTGGAGACAGTCTTGGCCCAGTTGTCCCATTCCTCAAAGTTGTATTTGTTGCTCGACATGTCGGTGTTGAAGTTGTTGACGCCACAGAAGTTGTTGTAGAACTGCACCCAGATAGCATCGATGTATACCGGGCCGTTGAGGATTTCCTTGTCAGATTGGTCGGGGTAGGGGCACTGGGGTGCCGCGGTTAAGTAAAACCGCTGTTTACTCTTGTCGTCATCCATCAGAGAGCGCAGCGCGTTGGCGAATGGGGCCATGTTCTCGACATTGGCCTCAAAGTCGAAATCGAATCCATCGAGAGCGGTGTCACCGAAGGGTCGGAGAGCTTTTGATCCTTCTTGCTTTGGACCAAAGGTCTCCCACATGAGCTTGGCGCCATCCTTTGCTTCGTCCTCGTTCTTGAAGCCGCCTTCACTGTAAGTGGCACCGCCAATAGAAAGAAGGATAGTCTTTCCCTTCTTTTGGCATGTGGCGATATCCTTGCTGGTAGGATGTCAGATAGCTTTTCTCTCGCAATCCATCAAAGGTCTTACCCAATCGAAGGACAATTCTTCAACTGCGTGCCAGGGAACACGTCGCAATCTTTGCTTGTGACAGCAAAATCGATCTCTGGTGCGCCTCCTGGGCCATTGACCATCATGTTAAAGGCCATGGGAATAACCTGCAACTTGTCAGCTCCACATCTTTAGCTGATCTTGAGGCTTTTCTCATACGTCGATGTCCTCGTCTAGATTATAACATGTCAGCCTCGTTCAACATCAGTCGATCAACTATACTTACTATCGCAGTAGTGCGCCAGTGGCTGCTGGAGCTTGTCACCTTTGCCATTGAGTGAATTTTGACCTGATGACTGCGGATTAGTATTATTTTGCTTGTTCAATCACCTGAGTACGTACCCCAGTAAACAACCAAATTCTGTGTCGAGTCCAAGTCAAGTTTCGCCTGGGCTCCCCCGATGGCAGCCAGCAGGACAGACCAAGAGACAACTCCCTGGTACCCGCGCATTGTCAAAGAATAGTGGAAGTCCCGCCCGAGTGGTAATTAGGTATTAATTTATTAACGATCGATTATTATATGGGATATCGGACGAGACGCGACAGGAACGGGCCAGAAACAACAGGCTTATTACGGGCTGGACACCAAGGACTGTTAAATAGCACCCAGGCATGGGCTGAGTTATTTTTGACCTATAGTTGACAATAACAATGCTTCCTGTTCTACCATTGCAATGCGTCAGTTGGGGCTCTCAGCGCATGGTATGACCCACAATGTCCACGCCAGCATGCTAGTATACAATGTGGGCGGAGCTTGGGCTCATTCGTGGGCCCTGGATTAACAAAATTTGTCACTCAAAGTTGACTTTTCATTGGATGTCAGGGCGCCTTGAGCACCCTGGTTTGCATTCCTCTGGTGTTGTCAGGGGACTTAGAGCAGATCCAAGAATGTACTCGCGGACCACCAGCATGGTCTCGGGCTCTGGACCAAGTTCAATGCCCAGGTTGGCCCATGACGGTGTTAAACTTTGTAAGATTTTGTCCAATTGTCCGACTCTGAATCATATTTGACGTGCTAAAAATTTCCAATCTCGAACCCGAAGTTTTCCCCAGGTTCGTGTCCGGATGTCCCTTGATTGCTTATCCGCCCCGGGGGAGGCTGCGCCCATCCGTGGCCCCGGGGATCCCGAGGTCGGGTCGGCCTCCCTGCCCCGTAACCGCAATAGTGGCTGACATAGTAAATTACCACAAGGTTGTGACAATCGCAAAACCTTTACAATCTATAGATGGACAAAAGTATTGTGGATAATTTATTTGACATCGTTTCTGTTGGCATTTTTTTCATTGCAACAAACTTCCAAGGTTAGAAGTGATTGAACAAATCCCGTAAATGTATATATCAGCTTGGTAGTAGACAATGGGCACACATACCCCACATCTTGTTTTCAAAATAGGTAGTAGACCAGGAGATTATCTCAAACCAGCCAGAGTCCCTTTTAAAATACAATTTGAGTATGGAGGTCTCCATACCATCAAGTGGGAAGTTGAACCAAATCAGGCTACCTGACAGAGCACGCGCACCAGAAAGACAATATTCAAGTACACGCAGATTCAATTGACTAAATAACCTTGGAACAGATGAGATTCGCAAATACAATGTGCATAGTTATTTCTTGAGTTCATAATTAAAATCCGAAGCATCTTAGTCCCCGACTGCACGTCCAATTCTACGGTAGATTCATCAGACCTAGGGCATCATGCAGATGCAACGCATGTCCTCAGGCGCAACAGACGGAGAGTTTAATCAAATACGCTAAAATCCTCGGCCAGTTTATGCAGGGGCGGACACATACCTGTTCCTAGATTAGTGCTTCATCTCAAGTTGCAAGGGGTCGTCATTCTGTGCTGGAATGAAGGCTGTTGCTACCCCTTACGGGTGACCATGCTCAGGTAGCCACCAAACATCGAGCAGTGGGCAATAAAGGCAGTCGAAAAGTCTTGTAGATGAGTCAAGAGATGCATAATGATGGCATGTTTGTTGGCCACCGAAATAGACAACATTGAATAGCACCTTAGCAGTTGAGGTAGAAAGCATAGGAAAGGAAGAGTAGAGACCCGTTCATGCAGTTTCCCCCTCCATCATACGTAGCTAGTAGAATCATATACTTGTAGAACGGGGGTTTTTACCACGACCTCTTTCGCAATTTATATGGTGTTATAAATCCAGAGGCACGAGATAGTTAGTTTTCTGGGGCTTTGTGACTCGAGGGAAGTGGGAAAATTCTAGACAATGTATGTCACGGGCGTTAATTCGAAGGTGTGCAGGATAAACTACTACCATCATCACCATTATCAAGAGGAATGAAATATCAAGCAATATAGAGGACAGCAGAGACTCAGAAGAAACGATGGAAAGGTCCTCTACCTAGGTATAGATGAAGATTCAAAAGATCAACCTAGGTGCACTTCAATCTGCTATACAATTTATTGATAGAGCTTCATATTCTAGATCTGGTGGTCAGGGTGATTGGGGGACAGAGGGATTAGGGGGATCGAATTAGGAGGATAGGGTCAGTCTAGTCGACTGGTCCATGGATTTGTGTTCAACATTTGGGTGTTTATTTAGGTATAGTGCGTGGTGGAGTGTTATCAGTGCGTGAAAACTAGATAAGAGTGGGGCTTGTATCTTCTTATCTTATCTTTTCATTCGACGCCCACCCAAGTTTGGACGTGGCTTGAACCAGAAGGTGCGTATAAATAACCCACCCCAGACTCCCCCACACTCTTCTTTCTTTTTTCCCCAGCTTTCTTTGCCTTTTGGCTTTGATCAAGTGAAGTATCTTTCTTGGTCGGGTTGATCCCTGATCACATCCTTACGAGGAGTAGGAATCACTCACTTTTTGAACCTCGTGTCCTGGCCCCTGGGCTTGCCTACGCCGGGACTCACAGTGTCATTGGGCGTACACTACCCCCTTTTGACACAAACTTTCATTAAACGTTCGGCTTGTCCGGGCTTTTAGAGAAGGTCTTTCAAAAGCATACCCCCGTACTCCGTACAGCTTGCTCATTCGACATACGTACTATCTACATATGTACTATCTACATATACACCGTCGCCCATACAGAGTGTCTGGTGTCCTGGATTACAAACCAGGCGCATACCATAAAAAGCATTGTTTTGCACGGCACCTGTGCCTTTTGATTGGACCCACTCATCACATACGAGTTGATACATCACATCTGCATCTGTAGCTACAGAAATTAGTTACTACACGTACAGTAGCGTCAACGTAAGCTGATGTTTGGTGCCCTCTGTTCGCTCATTAAAACACGACGCTCTATTGGAGGAACTGCATCGTAATCCGTACATTTGGGCCTTGCACTTTCGGAGGCTGAGTAGCTTTTCCCCCTCCTTTGCTCACCCATTGACTCACACTGCGAAAGACCACATTAAATACATTCTGTGTGTTCAAGCCTCTCATCAACGATGAACGAGTGCGTGGGTGAATGGGACAAGTTCTTAGAACGAAATGTCAACGTTGAGTTTGTCTGGTTGCAGTTCCTCTCGAACACATCGAACACCCTCGTGCGAATCATACCTCGGGCCAAATTCTCATCTATGTTGAAAGAACAGCAGCTTCTTTCCATACCAAAATGCATCCTCCACCTTCTGCCCGAAGATCGCCTCGCTGAGGGAGCCACTCCGTCCGGCAATTTCTACCTCCGCCCCGATATAAGCTCTGCATACTGCCAAGCTGGGTCGAATGGCACTCGCGCAGTCATGAACGTGTACTTCGAGGACGGGGCTCCGATCGCAGAATGTGCACGATCAACACTCCATCACCTTCACTCGATCCTTCAGTCAGACTTCGGATACTCTCTACTCGTCGGATATGAGGTGGAAGTGATGTTTCTAAGCCCGAAAAAAGAGAATGGTGTCATTGTGGACTACGAGCCGATCAACACCGAACACTCATTTACTAGCATGACACCTGAAGATCGCACCTACATGGACCTGATCGAGGCAGTGGCTCGAGCTTTAGCCACAGTCGGCATTGACCTGGAACAATTCCACGCAGAGGCAGGGCCCGGCCAGTGGGAGTTCGTGCTCCCTCCCGCGGAGCCAGTGAAGGCGATAGACATGCTACTCCGAGCGCGCGAGACCATCATGCTCGTTGCTCAAACCTTTGGATTGCGAGCGACTGTCTACACCCAACCGTTCCCGGAGAAGGCCTGCAACGGTTCTCATATTCACATATCGGTCAATCCACGTGAATCAAATTCGGGGCTCGCCAAGATCAGCCCTGCGGATGTCCAAGAGGCAGAGTCATTTTTCGCGGGTGTTATGCGTCATTTCCCTGCCATTCTAGCCTTCGCCTTACCCACTGACATAAGCTACCAACGCATTATGACAGGGATATGGAGTGGAGGCGAATATACTGCCTGGGGCTGGCAGAACAAAGAAGTCCCATTCCGGCGAATTGACAGTACGCGATTTGAGCTCAAATTGGTGGATGGGCTCTCTAATCCGTACTTTGTGCTGTGTGCTATTCTCAGAGCAGGGATTATTGGTATGCAGAGCAACTTGTCTCTCACAAGAGGGCCTTGCTCGATAGCCCCTGCACGTCTGTCTGTTCAAGAGCGACATGCATTGAGTATCACAGATCGATTGCCCACCTCGTTAGATGCAAGTCTCGCCGCTTTAGAAGCGGATAAAGAGATCCAGGATCATTTGGGTGCGATTATTAGCTCTTATATTTCTGTGAAGAAGGGCGAGGCGGAGTTTCTTCGTGCGATGGACGATACCCAACGGAGGAATTGGTTGATTGCGAGATACTAGGCCACGCATCAGTCGAACTACTGCGGGAAAAGTCAACTTGAAGGTATAGAGATGCCAAAGATTTCGGATCTATTCAAAACATATATGACTTAAGAATTGATGTCCTTCATTTAAGACCCAAGCAGTCTACCTTCTGATACCGATGACTCTGTTCACGGCTTCATCACTACCCAAAGCCGAGTCAATGACACCAGCAACCTTAAGAACATCTACCACATCTTTAATGATCTTGTGGTCAACGCCGCGGGTACTGTTCGTGAACTTGACATCCTTGAGCCACTCCTTCGCATCTTCCTCGATGTAATTGCATCCCAGCTCACCAGTTCCCAGAAGCTTTACGATCTGGGCCGTATCGGCCTCAAACTCCTTGATACCTTGATCGAAGGCCTGGAAGAGGCTCTTCAATCGCTGGTCATTTTCAGGGTCAGGGAACTGTTTAGTAGAAGCAACAACCATCCAGGAGGGCCAAGGTGTGAAGATCTCGCCGATCTTCTTGAGTGGTGGGTTCGGCTTCTGGGCGGTAGGGTGGAAGAACGGCTTCGTAGTGAATTCCTCCCACATGAAGAATTCGGCTGTTGGGTTCGCGGAATCACTAGGAGCTGACTCGCTCAGTCCTGAGACTCCCTCTCGCAAGGGACCGAAAGGACCGAGCGGAACAGCGCTTAGTGAATCGGCCTTCCAGCCTTGCTGCTGTGCAAGAACGAAAGACATGATATGGGAACCACTTGAATGATGTCAGTAACATTCAAATTATGCATAATGCATTGACTGACCTTCCCGGTCGGCTGATTCCAACCCTTGAGTCCTTCAGGTCGGACACTCCATTCACTTCATCGCGGTTGCGGCCAGTGACAATAGCCCAGCGCAATGGGTTGTCTACCCAGTGTCCAACGACCTTGTATCCACCATCTCCGGAGCTCTGACTGGACTGCTGTTTACCCGCGAGGCCGGCGACCCAACCCTCGGTCAGACCAATAGCGATGTCAATCTCATTGCCGCGCAGCGATGTGATCATATGACCAGTTCCAGATGGGAATGGGGTAAGGGCAATCTTGAATGGGAGAGATGAGACAGCAGAGGAGCGAAGCGCGAGGTGGAGTGGCGCCAGGTAGTGTTCTAATTTCGAGAGGCTTGTGATTAGCTTTTAAGCTCATCTAAACTCGGAGATTCGGGCAGATTCAAGCTCGGCGACTGCTCTGATATGCACTAGAGTTTTCAAGGAATAGACATACCAGGCACATAGCCAATGCGGATCGTTTGTTCAGCCATTGTGTAATGCTTGATTTGAGAGGAGTGTTGGGAGTTGAATCATCGCGGGGAGTCGATTTCCACGCGGGGCAACTCCCGAAGCGGACTCGGAGATAAGTGCCTGTCTCCGTTGGCGGGTTTCCAGTCTCCCTCATAAATCGATATCAGAATAAAAATAACCAAAAATCCATTTATTAACATTATTATCATTCAAATTACATGTCTATGTAGTTCACCTTCTATATACATGTCTAGCTTAGCTTTTCAGTTCATGCGAATATCCTTCGGTTCATGGCCCCAGCGGTTGTTCTGCTCAGACCCGCCCGCAACCTGTGAGGTGTGTCGGGAGTGGGTGTGGGTAGATGTGTGTCGCGAGTGGGTAGGAGAGGCGTTCCGGGAGAACATGTAAAACTGGAAGCCAAGGTAGAAGTCACAGACGCACTGGAACATGCCGCAGAGCTTGAACGCCCACGGAATGGTCTCAGAACTATTGAAGAAGTAGCTCATCTTCATGGTATCACCGAGAATCCAGGCTGCGATGACTGAAACGCGGAAGCCCTTGCATGAGCCGGATCGGTGGTTGGCGATGATCTGGGGGATGGGGAGAGTTGCTTCGACAGCAAGACCGACGTAGCCAAGGAAGCTGATGTAGTAATCAATCTGACCAAGCGGAGTCAAGTGAATGACTCCAAGGACTCCAACGAAATAGGCGAGGAACATCCAGTATCTGTGCAGCTGTGGTTAGGGCTTGATTGTGTCGCACGAGGCATCGGAACTCACGGCTTATCGTTCTTCCACTGCCAAAATTCATAAGGACGGGTGGGCGCATTGGAGCCAGCGTCGCTGAAGGGCGCATGCTCAATTCCATGTCTTCCACCAGATGAGGGACGGTTGTCCAGGGCGACCTTGAGTAACACGGATTGGACCACGATCATAACAATTGCTTGCGTGAGCAAAGTAGCCGAATAGTACTCTCCAAACCAGTAGTAAACCCTAATTATGTCAACTTCGGACCCAAGCCGGTGGTTCGGGCACGCCAAGCATGTGCTTACTTCAAAATCGAGGAAACCAGCATGATCAAAGGAATGTCCAAGGAGAAACCGGCCGAGCTTCGGGAGCGGTGGATGCTCACGATCTGATCCGCGTAGGATGTGACCGGCGAAGTGACGAGGCTGTATACAAGCTCGATTAGCACGTTGTTGCAATTGGGGCGCATCTAAGCCCACTCACAACACTGGCGCGGCATAGTCGAAGATGACCTGGAAGAGCGACATGACGGCGACGAGGCTTCCACGATAGGTGTGAGTGCGGGAGTCAATTGAATGTCTCGCCTGACACAGTAGAATAGCAGCCCAGGCGACCAAGAATCGGCTTGGATGGATGAAAAAGGCACCGGACACGCATGCGGCTTTTTTCGCGGCCCGGACGGTTATGTCAGCTGCCGATCTGTTGATCTTCTTCCCAAAATGGCAAATTGGCCAGGGTCAACAGGATTCAGGGTCCTCTACTTTGTTTGAGACAGCAATTGTCGGGAATAGAGATGAGAAACTGTTGTAGTGTTCACGCACGCAAAAAGCTACGTGTTTGTTTAATGGTAAAAACGTCGCAGTCCGATCCCGGGAGCTTCCAAATTAGACAAACCTGAAAAATATGGCAACCAATTTGTTTGACATCACGATGAACAGTTGAGAAATACAGTTACTGTCATTTGCTTCCAATAATATCGAGAAATTTTGCTTGAAAAATAATGATAGCATAGTTCAGCTTAGAAATTAAGAGAATCACAATTCATGAACATATCCATATTGCCCAATCCGGACGAAACCATCGAAGTAAACTGGCCCCAACCCGAGTAGTCAGGATACAGCCCAGGAATATTACCATTTAGATCCATGACACTGTGTACCAGGTCAGCAGCAGCTGGAGCATCAACTTGGGCTTCGTTCGTGTGCGTGAACATAGGCTCGACCTCGTGCTCCTGTTGACGAGACGAGCCCCCCGGTCCCGTCTTGCATAGATTTGCACGCTTTGTCTGACGCAATGCCTCTACGCGCAGCTCTTCAAGCACCAGACTATATCTTTCTGATAATGAACCTTTCTCCGCGATGGCGGAAATGTGGGACTGGCATCGCGAGGCGGCAGTCAAGTAACGACTGTAGACTTCCGGAGGAGACGCACACTCTTGGATCACATATATGTACAGCATAATCGTCGCACCAAAGGCAAAGTATGCTGTATTCTATACCGCATTAGCATGGTTTTGAAGTAGAGCATTGATACTTACCCAAAATGCCCGGTATAGTTGACGGCTTTCAGTGATCTCGCTGATTGTGTTTGCTGTCATCATCGCTGCATCGAGGCACTTTCTCAAACTTTCATTTTGTTGGATGTCGTGGTCATTTTGTTCATCACTCTGCGAAAGACGTGCAGAGCTGCTTAATACATACGGTCGGTGGGTGAGAATAATCGCATGCCAATAAGTCATATTCAGAACATTCCGCTGTCGCTGAAAGATGGGCAGAAACAGTGATGTGCTGACGGTGTCCACATCTAAGAATCGCGATAGCTCTGTTCGCCAGTCACTAAGCTCGTGAGAAATTTCTTTAACGGCAGCTACTTGGCGAGCGGCTGGGATTGGCTTGATGGAATACAAGTTGCTTAGTATTTTGCCTGTTATTTGAGCAAGTCTGTGCTACCAGTTAGCTGGTTTCCGAAACAAAACCCGAGGAAAAACCGGTTCTCTTGATCTTACTTCATGTGGGCAAGTGCAGCTAGCATCGTTGACGGTCTCCTGGTGCTGCCTGGTGGGGTGGGTATTGTAACCTGGCCGGCAATCAAATCTTCATCCTCAACACAGGCGGGTAATTCAGCATCAATATCATTATCATGGAAGGTTCGTGGTCTTCCCAAAGCCGCGCTAAGGTAAGCATCCAATGTATATGCACACCAAAATGTTCGCCGCCGGCATTCAGCTTCGACAACATTAAGACCAGTTGCCAAGTCAGAGGAATCCTTTCTGTTCAGTCCGATTGCTAGGGCTAGATGAGACACCGTGCCGAATAAGCTCCAGCAATGATTGATACGGGACTGAGTGAGAAGATAATAGCATTGTAATAGACGAGCTTGCACACTGGTCAATCGTATTGAGCCTTTCTCTTTTGAGAGCTGGTGATCAGCGGCTATAAAGTATCGGTTGCTTCAGCAGACATATATCAGCAAGTCTTGGATCCGATGCTTCATGATAGAGACCTGGGCACACACCTTAGGTCCGACGGACCTGGCTGGTCATCTTCCGGCATATAGACCCTCGCGTGCGCGAAGACCATGAATAACAACGCAATTCTGGCTGATGCATTGTGCTGGTCATGCATTGCCCCGAGGGTATCATAGAACTCGTTAAACCATTTCTGAAGCGTTGGCTTGTGGAGAAACCGATACGTGGGCATTGCAAAATCAAAATATCGATCTACTAAACGCTGAGCATCTTCTTTTGGAAGCATCATGCAGAATGATGGATCGAACTCGGGTCTATGCATTGGAGCATCGCCAAATGCAAAAATGCTGTTAGCTTGAGAGGATGATATGGCTTTATGAAGCCGCTTCTGGATTCTGAGTAGAAATGACACCCCTGATGCCGGGCCAATATAGTTGCCTTGTTGATCAGTCTGATCTGGATTTGAAGCGGGCTGCGAGTCATCATAGTCGAAGGTTGACGATTCCACATCCAGCGGCGAGACATGTTCGCTCTGTAGCGCTGCTACACCAGGTGTAGCAACTACTTTAGGCAATAGAGAAGAGTAATGCTGGTATTGCGAGGCTCCTTCTGATAAAGGCTCTTGTTCAACCGCAAGTGGGCTTCTCATGTCCCCGGAGACTGGGATGCAAGGTATCCGCCCCCTTGCATATGCCTTAGCAAACGTGCAGCTCGCTTTTGCCCGAAGGCAAAAACCACATGGTTGCGTGCCGTTGCATTTGATCTTCCTTCTAAATGAGTTTTAGAGGGAAGGCACACAGCGGGCTTGAGGGGGCGCTCTCACTTTCTGCATCGGTCACAAGCCCTGGTCACCCTTACCCTTTCCTTTCGACTCGTCTTCGGCCCATGCGACCGGCTCGCTGCAGATGTCTGGGGTTGTTGATCTGACGCCATGAGAAGCGACACAGCAGCGGAAAAGCAAACGGATGTAAAGTCCCTGGAGACGGAAGCGACGGGTAGGAGCCGAAATGCGGAGAAGCGGGGCCAGCCTCGTTTTCCGTGTGGGGGGCCGTGGGGGCTCGCGTTTCCGGCAGTTCTTACATTTGACGTGGGCTCAACCTATCATCGATCGCTGAAGCTACAGCTACTCCATACAATGATTCGATTTATTACTCAAATGTCCCCCAGATTGGGGTGGTCAAAATTTCCCAGATCTCAAACTCCCACATACTACCGACAATATGCCCACAGTGATGTCAAAGCGCCTTGATGGGAAGACAATCCTTATCACCGGTGCATCATCTGGAATTGGTCGATCAACTACCTTCGAGTTTGCTCGAACGTCACCCCAAAATCTCAAACTCATCTTGACGGCACGCCGAATTGACAGCCTCAATCAAATAGCGGCTGAGATCGTCCAAGAAGTCGGAGCAGGAGTCAAGGTGCTCCCAGTACAACTCGATGTGAGCAATGCAGAAGAAGTGCGGAGGCTTTTGAGCAAGCTACCTGCCGAGTTCAAGGAGATTGATGTGTTGGTCAATAATGCGTGAGTGTGGGCCTAACGGGAGAGCTCACAATTAATAATTGACCTCATGCATACAGTGGTCTCGTCAAAGGCGTCGCCAAAGCCCCCGAAATCGCTGAAGACGACCTGGAGGTCATGTTCAAGACCAATGTAACTGGTTTGATCAACATGACACAAGCCATTTTACCCTCCATGCTAGCGCGCAATAACGGCGAGGGCTCTGGAGACATTATCAACATCGGATCGATTGCGGGTCGCGAACCATACCCCGGTGGTAGCATCTACTGCGCCACCAAGGCTGCTGTTCGATCTTTCACTGAGAGTCTGCGCAAAGAGTTGATTGCCAAGCGGGTCCGTGTAATTGGCATTGATCCTGGTCAGGTTGAAACCGAGTTCTCGGTTGTGCGATTCTACGGCGATAAGAGTAAAGCCGATGCTGTCTATTCGTAAGTACTAACCTGGTCTCATATATCCAAGGGTTATCTAACCCTCGAGTAGGGGCTGCGAGCCATTGACTCCCGACGACATTGCCGAGACCATTGTGTTCGCAGCTGGACGCAGGGAGAATGTTGTTGTCGCTGACACCCTACTTTTCCCTAATCACCAAGCGAGTGCTACCATCATGCATCGGAAGTTGTAAAGCAATGTAATCCTGAGTTATTAGTGAAATATAGACTTATGGTATCACGTCAAATATGAAGTCTAAACACGAGGACTATAGTATTCAAAAATAGTTAACAATAGAAGGCTATTGGTACTATTTTGTCATTTTGCTTTGCTTTTTGTGGTGTTTTTTGTAGTTGAATATAGCAAAGTAGCATAATCTTAAAACAAATGAATGGCAAAATTATTATGGCATCGTGGGCAACGACTGCCGCCGTAGATCAAGCTACGGGGTAAGTTCGACTCGTACAATATTACGTGACAGTGCGCAAGCATTACTTATCCGTTGTCATCACATATCCGTCCGTGGCAACTTTCACTCTGCACAGCACCCGTGGGCGGAAAAAGAACGGAAGGAAGGCCGCAGGCCTGAGCTAGCTGGATCGGTATCTTGCTCCGAGCCTTGGTGCTCCCCCATGCACTAGACTGATTTTGTGCACCCCCATCTCCCAAACGAAGCATATTTCAAGTACTCCGTAAGAAAGCAAGAGCTCACATGAGTGTCACGGCGGGGCCCCGAACGAAGCACGACATGCGCAAGTAGAGTGTCTTGGCTTTGGGCGGATATTTACCCCAAATCCTACCTAGGGCTTTAAGTATCCTGAGTTCCCATTGTCGCTGGATTCTGAATTGCACCTGCTTTAAATCATATCATAGATCTTCCACCATGTCAGCTTCTCAAGTTCCACCCAGCGGAGTCTGGGCTCCCACAATTACATTCTTCAACAGTGATGACACCCTCGACACAGAATCTCAAGCAAAATACTACACATACCTACCCAAGACTGGTCTCGCAGGGCTAGTAGTCCTAGGTACAAATGCCGAGACCTTCCTCTTGACCCGTGAGGAGCGCAAGATCTTACTAGAAATCGCACGGAAAGCAGTCGGTCCCTCATACCCAATCATGGCAGGCGTGGGCGGCCACTCAACGAAGCAGGTTCTGGAATTCATTTCAGACGCAGCAGACGCCGGTGCCGACTCCGTCCTGCTTCTTCCCCCAGCCTACTTTGGGAAGCAAACCACCCCGGCCGTGATCGATAATTTCTTCGACGATGTCGCCACTGCCAGCCCACTGCCCATTGTCATCTATAACTTCCCTGTCGTCTGCAATGGTATCGATCTTGACTCCGCCACCATTGCTCGTCTTGCAAAGAAGCATAGCAACATCGTCGGCGTCAAACTGACTTGCGGTGCTGTTGCCAAGATCACCCGGCTGTCGGCGGAGTTCGATCCTGAGAGATTTGTCGTCTACGGCGGACAGTCAGATTTCCTCATTGGCGGGTTGGCTGCTGGGTCTTCGGGTACCGTGGCTGGATTTGCCAATGTGTTCCCCAAGACTATCGTGCGGATCTACAATCTGTATCAGGAGGGGCGATACAAAGAGGCAATGGAGTTGCATAAGAAGGCGGCACTTGCAGAACAGCCCTGTAAGACTGGAATTGCTGCTGTGAAATATGCGGCTGCACTAAACACGGCCAAGAGTGCTGGTATCGAGGGGGCATTGGAAAAGTTGAAGCCACGCAGACCATACACTGAGCCCTCTGATGCGGAAAAGAAGGCCATTGAGTCACAGACACATAGCTTGGTGGAAATTGAGGCAGCTTTGTGATTATATCAGTCAATGCAAATTTTTAGACCGTGGGAGCTCCCATTTTCTTCTGCTTAATCTCAAGTTCTTCATGGTGTATTTTGGGTGTATACTGCGACCCTTGGTAGGTCTTAAGGAAAGAAGCAAGAGCAGAATAGAAAGTGAGAGGATGAGAAAGTGGTCAGAGAAAAAGAGAAAAAAAAGGGGGTGCCAGGGATTGAACGTGGAAGATCGTAGTGTCACTTCCTGGAAGATCTCAGACTTCTCAGTAAACGGCAATCGCTCCCTGGCGGCTGAGGGGAGGGTCTAGCAGGACAACCTGTCTGGGGCTGTTTCCGACTAGACCACCCCTCAGCATTAACTACTCACCACTTCTGACGGGTTTTGACTGACGGTTGTCTCTACCTCTGGGACAAGCATCTAGTCATGTCTTGGTCAGAATACTTCCAAGGTTCGCCAATATTTAGGGGAAACTAAGCAACCTGAGTAGGGAAAGATCTTCCTGAGATAAACTTGGAAACAGAGCTTGGTATTCGAAAATAATAAAGTCAATCCGCTAATCATAAACCCTCAAAGTGCCTGCCTGCCCTCCAATAAACTGATTTTCCAGCTTACAAAACGTATTTGAACAGCGGAGATCTATCTCCCAAGTCAAACAGTTCATCCTCCGTATACTTGACCCTCGCCTCATCCGCAAGCTTGTCCTTCTTGGCATTGCCAACCTTGTAGCTCCACTCCAGGAACAAAGCAACGAAGAATCCAAACCCGCCAAGAGCCATGCTGAGACCAAAGCCGGTCTCATACCGGGGGCTCTCCTTCTCCATATACATGAAGCTACCGAGAATACCACCGATGTTTCCAACACAGTTCATCAGCGCAATACCGATAGCTCGTCGCGACGATGGGGCAATGTTGTTTGCATTCCAAGAGGCGGCGGCCGCTTGAATGGGGTAGATACCAATGACAGCTAGGACGACGGCAAAGTATGCCACACCTTTCTTTGCTTCAAGTTCGCCATCCAGGGAGAAGATGATGGCATAGGCCGTCACAACAATGAGCATGGGAATTGCCACGAATGGCATTCTCCAATAGTAGTGGTCGGACACTCGGGCGAAGCAGATGGCTGAGATAGCGGCGGCGACGTACGGAGGAGCAGAGGTGAGTTGGGCGTTGGTGGAGCTGAAGCCCATGGATTTGGTGATTGTGGGGAGAGTAAATTTGGTGCCTAATGGAACACATGTTAGCTCTCGTCAAGATACAGTGCCAAAACCAGGCTTGCTTACCATATGACAATGCGGACTGGCACAGCAAAAAGTAGGCTTGCACATAGACTCGCCAGTTGGTCAATACCATTGTCAAGTCTCTCCACTTGAAGCCACCGGATTCATCACTGCTGGTTCCACCCTGCTTGATGAACATGGAAAGCTCCAAGTAGCGAATCTCTTCTTCGTTCAGCCAGCGGTGAGACAGCGCAGGAGTGTCGATAAGCATGAAGAAACAAGCGACGCCTAGGACCACACTAGCAAGACCTTCCAGGATGAAGATCCAACGCCATCCTTCCAGACCGCCGATTCCGTCCATCCTGGCAATACCAGCGGCAAGAAGACCGGAAAAGGCACCGGACAAGGCGCTTGCGCAGTAGAAGTATGAGATACGGAGTGCTAGCTCTTTTGGCATGTACCAGTAGGAGCAGAGATAGATAGCACCGGGGAAAAAGCCAGCCCTAAATGAAAGCGTCAGAGAAACGACTAGCAGAGTCCAAGTCGGATTGACTTACTCGAAGATACCAAGCAGAACTCGGGTGACCATAAGACCCGCAAAGTTCTGAACCAAGCCTGTGCAAGTCATGACAATACCCCAGCTGAGGACGAGAAGACCGAGGTATACAGATGGGCGCTTGAACTTCTTTAGCAAGATGTTGCTAGGGACTTCAAGCAGGACGTAGGGAATGAAGACTACAGCAAAGGTCAGTACAGTTCGATCACATCCTTTCCATGCCATAGACACTCGAGACATTCTTCAAGAGAGCGGTACTTACAGATGGAGAGCACAGTGTTGTATTGTATCCCGCTCATCTTCAAATCCTCAACCATGCCCTCGATCTTGGCGTTGCCGATATTGGCTCGATCAATGTGACTGATCAAGTACAAGACTGCTAACATCGGAACCAAACGAATGTCCACCTGAAGTACGATGAATTAGTATGAGACTTGGCCCCTGGAGACTGAGGGTACTTACCTTGTGGAAGACCTTCTTCCGCTTCTCTTCTGGATAAGTCGTATAAAACTCTTCATCTTCAGGATTCAAGCCAACTACACGGAACGTTCCAATCTCGGTAACATGAGAGGGCTTAGGAAGAGTCTCGATGTGTGAAGGTGTGTCGACGATCTCGACATCATCCTTGCCAATAGATCCAGAGTTCATGGCTGCGAGACTTGACTGACAAAATCAGGATGAAACCGACACGAAATGCCAAAGACATCAGCTGGCGACAGGGGATATATACACATGTCGGATATGCTTAAAACGAGATGGTCTAAGCTCCCGCTTCCCCAGTACCCCGGCCTTGGCGTTCATGCTTACAGGTGGGTATGAGAAAGCTAAGAATGCGGGGGACTCTTGGCTGTCAAAGAATTGGTCCCAGGGTTCGAGCATCCCCTCTTTTCCGACAATCCGCCCATCCTTAGCGAGTGGTCTGAGGCTACGGATAAGCACCCAGTCAGCGGCTCATTCTTTGCGGATAAGTCTGGTCAGCCCGGGTACTCCAAGATTGGACTTGCGGGGTCCGGGGTTCCTCTCGCCAAGGATTACGGGGAAGTGCTGGACCTTTCTCCGAACAGGTCTTCTCCGTGTTTGCGGAAATGTGGGAAAAGCAGTCTTTGATGGATGTCGAACATGGTGGTGATATTAAATACCGATTGGGCACTGCCTCATTATCAGGTAGGTCTCTAAACGGTTCAAGTCCTTTCGTCAGCGGCCATGTCTCAAATAATAAGAAATATTGTTATCACACCAGTGGCATTCCATGATATGCCACTGCTCAATAGCGTCGGTGTGCATGAGCCATTTGCCTTGCGCAGTATCATCGAAATCATTACCGATTCCACATATGGCTTGGGGGAGTCATATGGCGACTCGGCTCACTTAGCCCGCCTGGAAAAAGCAGCCGAGGGCATCAAAGGTCTCTCTGTGTACGATACAAATGCCATCTATCGAGTGTGTACCACCTCCTTAGCGGGCGACACCACCACCGGGGGCGATGGGATGGCTGGCATGGTCACCACAGCGTCTGTTGTCGACAAAGTCTTCTCGCCATTCGAGGTTGCCTGTCTCGATATCCAAGGGAAGATAGCCAATCTGCCAGTAAGCGACTTACTGGGTGGACGAGTAAGAGACTCAGTTCAATACTCCGCATACCTCTTTTACAAATGGGCCGGACATCCAGGCCAGCCAGATGACGAATATGGCGAAGCTCTAGACCCAGCCGGTGTGGTCAAGCAAGCAAAGAAAATCATCGACGAATATGGGTTCAAGGCCATCAAGCTCAAGGGTGGTGTTTATCCGCCTGCACAGGAAGTCGAGGCAATCAAGGCGCTGCATGCTGCGTTCCCGGGTGTGCCTTTGCGACTTGATCCTAATGCAGCTTGGACCGTCGAGACTTCGAAATGGGTTGCTCAGGAGCTGGATGGGATCGTTGAGTACCTGGAAGATCCAGCCCCTGAGATCGAGGGAATGGCGGCCGTTGCCGAAGTAGCATCCATGCCTCTCGCTACCAACATGGCTGTTGTTGCATTCTCCCATCTCCCGCCCTCGGTAGCACAGAATGCAGTGCAAGTGATCTTATCCGATCACCACTTCTGGGGAGGTCTGCGTAAGTCACAAACATTAGCAGCCATCTGTGCAATTTGGAATATGCGATTGTCTATGCACTCCAATAGCCACTTGGGAATCTCACTGGCCGCCATGACACATTTGGCTTCTGCGACCCCGAATCTGGATTATGCTTGCGACACTCACTGGCCATGGAAGCTTCGCGATGAAGATGTGATTGTCGATGGTGCACTCAAGTGGGCCGATGGTGGTGTTATTGTGCCCACCGCGCCAGGCCTTGGAGTCGAGTTGGACAGGAAAAAATTGGCACAACTTCATCAGCAGTACCTTGATTGTGGAATGACGAAGAGAGACGACACCACATACATGAAGAAGTTCCGGCCCGAGTTCTCGCCGCATATTCCAAGGTGGTGAGAGGGAAATTACGGGTAATTATAGCCTCGCTCGCCCAGAGAGCCATCAGTCGTGCGATCTAGACCCAGAAGATTCGGCTCGGTTGTAATATTCTTGCAAAATATAATTCAGGTATGTTCTAAATACACACAGGACAGTAGCAATGTACAACTTAGACTCAGAATTCAATGCGCCAAGTCTTGCCAATGCCAACATTGGGTTTCTTCACAATGGCATAAGGTGCCTTGCCGCCCTCCTGTTCGTAGAACTCCAGGGAGGCAGTAGAGGCAGACTTAGCTCCGTCCTCAATCACGGTAACGGTCTTCTTCTCCTTCCACTCCGTAGGTGGATCAACGACAACAACCCGCTCCACAGTGACGCCGGCCATGGCCTTGTGGTAATCGGCTGTCTTGGCTCCCTTGGTGCCGATGTCCTCAGAGGACAGGGCGGAGTCACGGTAGTTGAAGCGGCGGTGAATGTATGCTCCGCGCTCGTAATCGAAAGTCTCGCCATCATCGACGTACAAGGTTCCTTCGGCTTCACCGTTCTTATCGAGAGTGATGATCAAGGTGTAAGGATCCCAGCGCATGAGACCGGTGCTACGACGAGGACGATCCTTGCGAGGAATGATGTGACCACCCTGGATCAGAACGGGGACTTTCTCCTCGGGTGCGGGAACAGTGTGCCTTTTGCCAGCGCCTTGGTAGACGGTGAAATCGAAGTAGTCGTAGTACTTCTCATCGTCAGAAATGTAGACATCGGCGCTGTTTGTATTCTCCTTCACGACGGGCTTCACGAGCAGACCGGTAGAGCCAAGGTACAGCTGGTCGTCGATGGCAAAGCCTTGCTCGTCCTCAGGGAAGACATAGTACTGTGGCCGCACAATCGGTGTGCCGTTAACTGAGGCTTCGTGGAAAGCTGTGTACCAAGCAGGCAGGAGCTGGTATCGGAGGCGAATAGATTGAGCGATGTAAGATCGGTGTGGTTCACTGATCAGATACGGCTCACGTCGACGAGTATCGATGTGAGCGTGGGCACGGAAGAAGGGGTACCAGATACCGGTCTGGTACCAGCGGCTCAAGAGCTCCTTGTCGGGGTTGTGGAAGAAACCGCCGACGTCAGCACCGGCGAATGGGAATCCAGCAATACCATTGGTCAGAACCATGGGAAGAGTGGCGCCGAGGTGCTCCCAAGTAGCTTGGTTGTCTCCAGTCCACATGGCGGACACCCGCTGAGCACCAGAGTAGTAGGAGCGGGTCAGGATGAATGGGCGGCGGACCTCACCCTTCTTGCGCTCAAGCATTGCCTTGTAGGTAGCGTTCAGCAGGGTCAGTCCATTGACGTTGTGGATGTCACGGTGCTCCCAGTTACCGTAGTGAAGGTTATCCTTGGGCATAGTCATATCGGGTCCGTTGAACACAGATGGCTCATTCATATCATTCCAAATGAAAAGGTTCTGGAGTGATCCCTTAAATTTGTCGAACTTGTGGAGAGTGGCCCACCAAGCGTGTGCAGCGGGATTAAAGCAATCAACCCAGTTTGAAGAGCCTGGCCAGCACCATCCGTCATAGATTTCGCCGTCCTTGTTCAAAACTGCAAGGTTCTTGCTCTTGAGCTCCTCGGAAACAAAGTACTTGTCTGCGTTCTTGATGTGAGGGTCAATCAAAACAACAAGCTTGCGCTCGCTTTCATCAAGCTTCTGCTGCATGCCCTTAGGGTCGGGGAAGGTGAGAGGGTCCCAAGTGAAGTACTTCCGGTCGTCGGTGTATTCGAGATCAAGCCAGATCACATCGTAGGGAATCTGGTACTTGTCAAACTTGGCATTGACTTCCTTCACATCCTCGTCCGTGACATAGTTCCAGCGGCACTGGTGATATCCAATCGCAAACTGCTGAGGCAGCTGCGTGTATCCAGTGAGTTCACCATAGGTTTTGCTGATGTCATTAGGCGAGGGTCCGAGGAACACAAACAAGTCAATTCGGCCAGATTCGGAGATCCAGTGGGTTTGAGTGTTCGTCTTAGAGCTGTAGCCCAAGGCAAGTGGGTTCGGAGAGACGGTGGACTTGACGATATCGATCCAGGTTTCTGCGGCATTGAGCCAGAAGACACCAACGGTCGAGTCCTTGCGGTGGGCCTGCATGAGAGGGATGGCACCGTACAACGTCATTGGGCTCTCAAGTTCATACTCAAATACATCCGAGTTGTAAAGTCGGTAAGGGTCATCGTGATTGCCAGATCCGCCACGGGTCTCCTTGAGCGAGAGCGAGTCGGCATGCTCTGGGATACCGAACACGTGGTTGTATCCAGGGAAGGTGATATCGAGAGCGATACTTTCAGGGCCTCGTGGCTTCGAATCGGTGTTTCCTCCAAATGTCTCCTCCCACCAGGTGCTTTCATCTTCCGCAGATTCGCCTTCTGGGGTGTCAACCTTGGGTCGCCAGTGCTCCATGTTCAACAGGCCTTGGTGATTCAATTGAACGTGTGTTTGTCCATCCCGTTCAAACTCAACACCGAATGGCGCATGACGGATGACAGCCTGGAACTTATCGCCTGGTCCATACACAATGTTTGTAAAGCCTGTCTCGCTCTGGGCGCTCAAAGTGGCCGACTTGCTGACTTCCAATCCGCCGACGATGGCCCATTTTTCAGCCTCGTCATATCGCTTCTTGTTGGCTGAGCTGCCATGTCGCATCTCAATGTCACCGTGTAGTCGTTTCTCTTCGTCCACCAGAACGCGGGCAGCTCCCGACTCCAAGAAGGACACCGTGAGGGGTAACTGGACCTTCTCATTTGTAGCAGTTGTTTTGACAATGACACCAGTCAGGAGACCATCCTTGAAGTGTATAGTGGCGGGATCGAGCTCGTAGGGGGAGCTCCATGCAGACCCCAGAGCAGAGGCGTTGTCGGCGAAAGCTCGATTTCGTTTGCAGAATCCGGATTGCTCGCAGGTTTTAAAATCTTTGCGCTTCACGGCAACTAGAATTTCAATCGTAGTTAGCAATCAAGCAAATCGACTGATCCCGGCCAAAAGCGACACTCACAGCCAGGAACGACCATGCAGCCGATAAGGATGACCAAAGAGAGCAAAAGTGCCCATCGAGGGGCTGGTGGGCTCCGGGCCATGATTTGAATGTGTTAGTCAATCAGAGAGGCTCAATCTCCGACACAATGATGCGAAATATCAGTGGAAGACCTGCATTTAGAGGTGGAGATCACTGTCAACAACCGGAACCTACCCGCAAGCTGTCCTTGAGCTGGGGTAGCCTCTCCGCCTGCGGCAGTAAGGCATCAGCCTGATATTCAGGCATTCTGATCCTCGACCAATCACAACTCAATGTGTAGCGTGTTGATCCACGACAGTCTGAACCCTTCATTTTTACGTGCTCCCATCATTTGTACGAGTATTGAATTTGACTAGCTGGGTTCTTTCACAACCCAGTTGCGGCTTCCACGTCATATTGATACTGAATCTCTAGCATTTGTCAATATAATGTTCCAGCCGACATTCTGACAGACAAGGGTCCAGAGCTCCAGACTTCTGGATCGCGATCTAAACCTTGTTGGATAAGAGAGAGAGACTCTAAGAGTGGCCATTGTACCTTACAGGCCTGGCTCAGATGGACCGGTCGTGTACAGAACTCACAATTGAAATCGAATTGCAGGACCCTGAGTTTAGCAAAAGTCCTTTGTGAACCGACTCATGGATACTGAGGGCGTTGCTGTGTTTGATAGATCGTCGAGGCTATTAGAACACGGAGCCTAGTTCTCTCGGAGCCATTGATGGATGGAGCCTGTCTTGTTCCAATTCTCAATTCCAATTAGAGACACTACCCAGATGAGAGTACTAGCTAACTACTTCCAAAGTTAGGTAGGTTAATTACATCTGGGATGACTTGAAGACCTTGGTGGCCTGGCATTTCAGGCGAAGAGAAACCCCTCCTTGTGGCCACCAATCAACGAGCACCGGTGGCTGCGGGAAAAAAAAGACTCTATTTAATCTTCCACTCCTCCCGCCCTCTTTTTCTGCTTCATACCACTCTATAACATACCATCAAAATGTCTGCCAATGAGGAACAAACGTATGTACCTTCATCAATCCCAATCACTATACTTTCACAAGCTAACCAATCGATCTAGTTTCATCGCCATCAAGCCCGATGGTGTCCAGGTATGGACCCCTCGAACCCGAGCTCGACAATAACGACTCAATTGAACGGCGTTTACTTACAAGCTTGCAGCGTGGCCTGATCGGCCCCATCATCTCTCGCTTCGAGAACCGTGGCTTCCAGCTCGTCGCCATGAAGCTCACCTCCCCCAGCAAGGAGCACCTCGAGACTCACTACGCTGACCTCTCCACCAAGCCCTTCTTCAAGGGTCTTGTCTCCTGTTCGTTACTCCATGCCATTCAATGTCATGGATTACACTAATACAGCTTCAGACATGCTCAGCGGTCCCATCTGCGCTATGGTCTGGCAGGGCAAGGACGCCGTCAAGACCGGCCGTGTCCTCCTCGGTGCCACCAACCCCCTGGCTTCCGCCCCCGGTACCATCCGTGGTGACTTCGCCATCGTAAGCTTTCCCCCACATTCCCCATTGTCGATCCATACTCACACCCCTACCAGGATGTCGGCCGCAACGTCTGCCACGGTTCCGACTCCGTCGAGAACGCCAAGAAGGAGATTGCCCTCTGGTTCACTCCCACCGAGGTCCTCCAGTGGAAGTCCACCCAGTCCGCTTGGGTTTACGAGTAAATTACTCGTTTCCACGTGGAACTGTTGGAAGGACAACCTTCCTCGAACATTTGCAGCATAGAATAAAGCAACAAATTTGAGGAAATGTCTTGACGACTTGGGTATTAACGCTTTTCATATTCTTCGTATGATGTATCCACAAGCTCTGGTATCATAACATTTGCGGTGTCTCCAAGCCCCTCAACCTCTCTTGAACAGCTTTCGAGCAAGCTTCGCTGTTGGTGTAAAGACTGTCTTTGCAAACCACGGCGTAGCCCAAACACTTGCCGCCAGCCGGGCCGGCATTAAAGCTTTCGTAATTGCATACGCCGTCGCAAATTCCAGCACTAATCGCACACCTGCGCGTTCGGTCTTGGTCTCCTCAGTGGCCCCATGCCCTGCAACGGTATCTACGTCCGCCTCGTCGACCCAACCTTTCTTCTTCAGCCAACGACCAAACCGCGCAGCTCCCTCGTCAAAGGCATTAGACTCGCCTGTCTCTGAAGCAAGGTTCGGCATCCAAACACCGTAGTGAAAAGCACCAACCAGCCCAATTAGGGGAATTATAGCAGTGATCTCATGGAGTATAAGGAATGATGTGATATGAGTGACCGGTGCCCCGAACAGAGGTGTTGTATATGCGCGAAGAAATCGAGGGAGGCGGTCATTGAATCGGCGCAGTCGAGAACTGGAGTCATTGAGGTTCAATTGCGACGGCTTTGGCGGAGTTGGAGGAGTTGAAAACGCGCGTGCTGCATGCGGTTTACTTCGAGGTAGGCGGAGGTAACGGAGAAGGTTGGACGGGCGGGATGCCATGTCGGGGAGCTGAACCAGCTGAGGGACTCGACTAGTGACCTCGGCAGACAATGTTCAAGACAATGTTCAGGGAATTGGCCGGCAAAGCCCGAGTCGATGTCAACTTTGAATGTTAAGCTCGTCGATCGCCCGAGCGATTATCTGCTGACTCATCTGCTGCTCGGGCAAAACCTTTTTATGTGAGCTTTTCGCCAGTTTAAGTAAAGTTCTCCCTTGCGTAAAGGATAGTTTAGCCGTATATGCAAGTTTAGTAGATCTGTAGGAGGATATTTCATGCGAGATGGCCACTCGGTAGCTGAAGACATCATAGTTCCCGATGCGATCGGAGATGGTGACATGGTCCACTTTTGCCCGAATCCTCTCCTCTTCTTCATTCAACCCCTCCTGTAGACCTTCTCTCAGACACAATGGAGAAGAAGATCACAGAGAAGATCGCGGCTTTGCCGCCTGATGCGAACTACTTCTCTTTGGAGTTCTTCCCGCCAAAGACTCGCATGGTGGGGTTACCCCGCTGAAAGCGTCGATATTTGCTAATATGCTGTTGTATAGGGCTTCGCCAACCTGTCCGCACGTCTGGAGCGCATGGCCCAGGCTCTCCGCCCACTATTCGTGACCGTCACTTGGGGTGCTGGTGGTAGCACTGCCGCGCGATCCCTCGAGCTGGCAGAAGTATGCCAGCGCCAACTGCAGTTGACGACCGTTCTTCACCTGACATGTACGAACATGAGCCGAAAGCTGGTGGACATGGCGCTGGATGAGGCTAAGGTGTTGGGCATTCGCAATATCCTTGCGCTTCGTGGTGACCCTCCCCGCAGCGAGGAATACAACATGCACGGAGAGGACGACAGCAACAAGGACTTCACTTTTGCCGTTGATTTGGTGCGCTACATTCGCGCTACACACGGAGATTACTTCTGTGTTGGTGTTGCTGCATACCCAGAGGGCCATCCCGCCGATTCATTCCAAGACACCCAGGACCCGGCCAGAGACATTCCCTACCTCGTGGAGAAGACCTTGGCTGGTGCAGACTTCATCATGACCCAGTTGACTTACGACATCGATGCGTACCAGAAGTTTGAGGATATGCTTCGCAACCACGAATCGGGTGCTTTCAAGACCATTCCTATCATCCCAGGCTTGATGCCCATTCACAGCTACAAGATTCTCACTCGAGTGACGAAGCTTAGCCATGTCACCATTCCGCCTCCCATCGCTAACCGCATGGAAGAGCTCAAGCATGATGACGATGCTGTCAAGCGCGCTGGTGTTGATATTGTCAGTGAAATTGTGGATGGCATCAAGGATCTTCGTTGCCCTGGACCCCGGGGTTTCCACTTCTACACTCTCAATCTGGAGAAGACCGTTTCGTTCATTCTGGAGCAGTGCAAACTGATTCCGGATTATGCGGACGAGTCTGCTATCGAAGATAACGTATCTATTCCTATCGATTTCCCCGGACGCACCATCGGAAGGCGCCGTGCCTCATCCATTAACTCGCAACCCCACAACCGTGTCATTGTGGACAGACTATCCGGAAAGGAGTCATCAGAGAACTCCGTGCACGAAGCACGCTCAGACCGCGCCGGTATGCCTGCAATGCCGCCTAACCGCAGCACCACTCTCCTCATCTCCGAGGGCCAGGGTGCGCTCGGCAGAGAGGCCACATGGGATGACTTCCCCAACGGTCGATGGGGTGATGCTCGATCCCCTGCTTTCGGTGAAATCGATGGTTACGGTCCTTCTCTTCACGTCACTTCCACCGCCGCACGCCGCCTATGGGGACATCCCGTTGACACTTCCGACATGAGTACGCTTTTCCGTCGCCATGTCTCTGGGGAGCTACACATGGTTCCCTGGTCAGAGGGTGGAGCTGAGGAGGATGGAGGTGGTCTGAACGCAGAGACTGAGCTTATTCGGCCAGAGCTGCTCAAGCTCATCGATGGTCGTGGATGGTGGACTCTTGCCTCCCAGCCTGCAGTGAACGGAGTGCACAGTGACCACCATATCTTCGGATGGGGTCCTCAGCGTGAGGGCTTCGTCTTCCAAAAGCCTTTCGTTGAGTTCTTCTGCTCCAACAATGACTACACCAACATCCTCCAACCGATGTTCAAAAAGCACGGCCACGACAAGATGACTTGGTTCGCCACAAATGTAAAGGGCGACTTTGAATCTTCTATTCCCTCCCAGCAAGCCGGCGTCGAGCTCGACGACCTCGGTACTAACCCCGACAGTGTCAACGCCGTCACCTGGGGTGTCTTCCGCGGCAAGGAAATCGTCACCCCCACCATCATTGAAGAAGTCAGTTTCCGCGCTTGGGGTGAGGAGGCTTTCAGAATCTGGGATGAGTGGCGCCGTATCTACCCCCGTGGCTCGCCAACCGAAACTTACCTCGACACTACCAAGAACGACGCTTGGTTGGTCTGCGTTGTCGGTCAACAATTCGGCGCTGGCACCAAGCAGGGCTCCAAGGAAGAGGAGGATGAAGTCAAATGGATGTGGCGTGTGTTGGCTGGCGAAGAGGTATGAGGATGAGGTCTAGATCTACCAGTTCCTCTCGTATTTAGGTGAGCGCTGGTCTGGCCTGGACATATGAGATGCATGGCACAAAATATGGATTTTTGTATATTAGTCTTGATCTCGTCCTATTGAAATGAATATTACGATTATGCAAAAACTTCTTCTGTGAGATGATAACTGAAATTTATGTTCATATCGCTTAGCAAATGCTACTGGAGAAAGATGGTATGTCTATCTTTCATGCAAGTTCTGTTGGGGTCCATCCCCATTGAGTCCTACAAGCTCAAGCCTTCTTGGCAAACCCATGCTCTTCTAGCCCGCTTGCGTCGGTATCTGGTGTCGCAATCTGCGATTCGGTAAACTTCAACTTGGCTTGATCGAGCTGGCCATACGCTTTGGGCATGCGAAGAGATTGGGTAGGTCCGTTGACTTGGGTTTGGTATCCACGCAATCTAAAACAGCAGTTAGCAATCTGTAAGTTTTCAAGCTTCCAAGGTTGGAAATTGGAAATTCAGTGTTCAGACGAAAAGCCATGCTTGTGTACATACCTGGGACCCTTTCCGGTGCTTTCTGGCATCGAGGAGGCATAAATGCGATTGAATGCATATACATCATCCTCATAGGTGCCGCGCTGAATACTATCTCGAACTCCAGCAAAGAAGAGATCCATCACATGGAAGTTGTGCATCTGAATAAGTGCCCACGCAGTCATTTCTTTAGCCATCAGTAGGTGATGTACATAGGCGCGGTGGTAGTTCTTGCAAGCATAGCACTGACATCCCTTGCTCAGCGACGATGTGTCGGTAGTATGCTGAGAAGACCACATGTCAAGACCAAAGGGTCGAAGTTCAGAGCTGCCTTCTTCCGGAGCTGGAGCCGGGAAAGTGAATTCAAGCACGATCCCAGCGTCCGAACACTCACCTACAAACGGTGTGGTCAGAAGATCTGCTCCAAGCGAAATATCTCGCAGGATGCTATGCGGGGTATCAGGTTCACTGAACAGCAGCCGAGGCAGATTTGATAACGTCTCTGGGACGAATTCCAATGAAGCAGAGTGATATAGCGCCAGACCGGAGATATCCCATCGGAACTCGCTTTCAAGATCCTCCAGATACAGCGATTGCTGCGCATTGTCGAGTGGTAAGACTGGCGCGAAGAATGCGGCCTTCGACTTCTGATCTTCTGGGACATGCTCCCCGTAGAGTTTCTCCAATGCTTCTTGAGTCCATGCATGCGTTCGGTCTACCATCCTCGCCCGTCTCTTATTTCCGGGCTCCTTGTTGGCCAAATCAGCCATTCCAACTATGATATCTGGTCTCAGTTTTCGCACTGCTTCTACGTATTCCGACGAGGGAAGTTGTTTGAACCCAACAGATGTCAACAGTGCGATGGAGGTTGACGTGTTTGCAGGCGGGCATGGAATAGCGGGAAATCGGCGTGGTCCGAGGATCAAAGGCATGTCTTCTGCCACACAAATGAATTTCTTCAATGGTGACTCGTGCGCCGCGGCGGGCATTTTATAAACAGCAGGGCTCTTTTTCTCGATGACTAGTGGCATGCGCTGTCAGCTGCTTGGAGTCAAGAATCAAGATTGCATTTGTTTGTTACTCACAGTCTTCCAATCCAGCATAAAGACTGTTAATCGCTGTATGGTCGCGCATCACGTCGTGCGCAATATGGGGTACAGTGCCCCGCGAAGTGAGCGGGACATGATGCGGCGTCGCGATTGCCTTGCGAGCCGGAAGAGCGAGTTTGCCGACTCTGGGCGCAAGAACGGGCGCAGCGGATCCCAGGAGACTAAAGCTCATGGGGGGTGTTGCTTCCATGGTGCTGGTGGTGATTGAGAGGCCATGTTGCAGATCTCGATCTTATCGGCAGAAAATGCGATCTCGCTCCGATAAACACTCCGTCACCCTTGACAATCACCGCTCATATACACAGCACACAACAACAAGAGACGCTTTTGGTGTACAGACTCTCTCTTTTTTGCATTTACCAACCCGCACATAATTGCACCAAACTCGCTATGGCCACCCAAACGCCAACAAAACGCGGGGCTCTCATTGTCGTTGAGGGCCTCGACCGCGCCGGTAAATCGAGCCAATGTGAGATGCTACGAGACTCTCTTTCGCAGCAAGGAAACTCGGTCAAATATATCCGATTCCCAGGTATCTTGTCCTGTATAGCTATTTATGGTCCATTGGTTTAACACATCGAAGACAGGACAACACCCATCGGAAAGTTGATTGATAGCTATCTACGCGGTTCATCCCACCAAGACGATCACTCCATCCACCTCCTTTTCTCCGCGAATCGCTGGGAAGTTGCCAAGAGCATTGAAGATGATATAGCCAGCGGAACCACGGTTATTGTTGACCGATACTCATATTCCGGCGTTGTCTACTCGGCAGCAAAGGCAAACCCCACACTCTCACTGGAGTGGGCTTGGCAGCCAGAGATCGGCCTACCACGCCCAGACGTCTGCCTCTTTCTCAGCATTTCCCCCGAAGAAGCAGCCAAACGCGGTGGGTTTGGCGCGGAGCGTTATGAGAATGAAGCTATGCAGACCCGCGTGCGAGAGCTCTTCCGCGCGATATTCGAGAAGCAGCAAGATGTTGCCATTATCGATGCGGGGAAATCTATTGAGGAGGTCGCATCAGAGATCCAGGATGCCGTCACTGGCTATATTTCGCGTATAGATGCGACATCTTCATTGAGGAAGCTGGAGCCTCTTGCGTAGAGTCATAGTCGTTGATCCCAAATGGCTATTCCACCAGCTCTGCGTCATCCCAGTCGCTGTCCTCAATCACAACCTCGAGTTTTGATGGAGGACGACTCGATGTATGCTTGTGTCGGCCTTCAAAATCCGAGTCGGATTCCGGGTCAAGTCCCTCGGTCCAATCTGGACTGAGCTCATCGTGAGCTGAGTCTTCTTCTTGCACCCCAGGCTCCATTGAGGTTGATCGAGCTATCGATGCCTTCTCGGCTGCAGATTCTTTGCGCAGCCGTTTCTCTTTTTTCGCAGAATCGCTCGTGCCTCTTTTTCTGCGCGGTTGCGGAAGCTCAGCTCGCGCATCATCGTTGGCCATTGGACGATCTTTTCGCATAAAGGACAACTTCCTTGGGCTGGTACCAAGAGATCCGGCTCATTGGTAGCAACTAGAAAACTGCTAGATAGGCATAATAAATGGCTCGTACCACGACAATCCGGTTGTGGGCATACTACGATCTGTTCCGTGTTTGGGGTGACCGATTGGTTACAAACCGTGCACTGTAGATCTTCAGGGTCCTCCAGCATGAACATCGACTTTTCGAGATAATCTTCCAGCCTGGCATAGTCAACTGATAAGTTGTTGATGCACCCTGCAGGTTCGTGCTCATTGGTTTGCTTGGCGTTGGGCACCGTTGTTAGGTTGTCACCATCCAGGATAGTTTTGATATTTTGGGGCAGCCGAGAATCTACACGGTCGTTCCAAGCGCGCCATACGCGCCATACATCGGCACGGAAAAACCGGACCCGCAATGGCCAAGAAGAGAAATACGTCGACCGGAGGAGAGAATGCAAGTCCTCCAAATGAGCCGTCAGGGATCTCCTAGCTCGTGCGCGTGGCTTGGGTTTGGGCTTTCCTGTCTTCGGGTCGATATTAACCTTGGTCTTGCCCTCGTCTTCGGGTTCGAGGTGCCGGGATCTTTCCGGGTGCTGCCAGGCCCATCTGCATGTGTGAATTTGGGATGCATGTGGAAATAAACAAATCCCCAACTTACTCAAATTGAAGGGCGCCCACTCTGGTCATAAAACCCTCGACAACCAGGCACATTTCCCAGGGGCGTAATTTATCTCTTGCGGTGCGCTTGGCCCCACCTTTGGCGACGCCGTTGTGCTGGGGGAGTCGTCTGATCGGGTTAGGCGTCGAGCCGATGTACAGCGAGGCGTGACGGACGGTCGACCGGAGGAGATAACAGCAATAGTAAGCCGGGACAGGTTTGGGAGGTTCTGACCCTTCCATGATTTCTGCTTCAAATGCCGGAATCCCCAGAGTCCAGAGCGTCGACTTGTCCAGTCCTTGAAATTAGCTCCGCCTATCGACTAAATGCGGGTCCAAAAACGGCGATAAACATGAAATCACATGACGCAGTGTTTGGCGCGAACCAACAGATCGAGGCAGTATGTGCGTACTCCATGTTCTGTACAGAGGTATAGATATCACCTCATATTGCGAGTAAATATTCAATCGTATTTCAATATTCAATAATAAACAATTATGAAATACTCATGAAATACTCAGACTGCAGGTCACCAACTACTTCCGGGGACCTCGTTATATATCACACAAGGAATTCTGATTTAAAACAACTGAATTGATTTAGAGTGAAAAACACATTCGAGGCTCTTTGATGTGTCACACAAGGCCATGACACCACCAGCATATATTATTGTATCTCAATACCTACTATACGTACTCTAAAGGTACCAAAAGCACTCGTATGATGTCCGTTTGCAGGATTGCGGTACGATTACCAAAGTTTCGGGTGAAACTCGGGTTCTACGCGGTACCTGAGCTCCGATTAGCCCATTTTTACCGTATCTGACATACCGTACTGATCGGTACCACCACTAGTACACAGACTCTCTCCCTTGTCACTTATTGGTCACTTGGTGGTTCTTTTTTTACTGGTTGCCCACATAAAAGGAACCTGGCAGTACTTCTGGAGTACCACCCCGGTAGATCTGTACTGCACATAATCTCGTTTCCACTCTAAGGTTCGTCTCTACCCTTCTTTCCTGCGACTTGGGCATCTCTCCTCTCTTTTCATCGCGACTTTCGACTTTTCTTGCTGTCGTCCCTTCTTTTTTCGAATTCTATCCACTTCACATAATTCGGTTTGTCTCCGACCCTCTCTTACATCGCAGCACGCCGGCAGCCGCCTTGCTTGATATCTATCTCCACGCCCTGCGTTTGTCGCATTACAGCCATTGATGATCATAGTTCCTAGTCCGGACGCGCAAGACCTCGACATCGTCCCTCAATAGCCTATATCCTTCCAAACAATGGGAGCTCCGGCCTCTGCCGGGGCGACCTCGACGGCTGCGGCAGGGCAGCCGACTCGATCCTCGAGCACCCACCCTTCCCATTCCCATAATGTCCCTCTGAGCGCTCGGAGGTCCGCGCCCCTTGATCTCTCCACCGTGGAACGACGAGGACAACCGAACAATCCTCGAGAACCCTCCAAGCGCATTCGCCCACATGGAATCCCAGAAGCTCCGACCTTCCGGCCGACAGAGGAGGAGTTCAAAGACCCTGTGGCCTATATTCAGAAGATTGCACCCGAAGGCAAGAAGTATGGAATTTGTCGAGTCGTGCCGCCAGAGGGCTGGCAACCAACTTTCGCAATTGATACCGAGGTAGGAATACTGCTTGCAAGAATGCACTCGCATTTGGTTTCCGCGCGTGGTCAACGGCTGACATTCGGATCTAGCGCTTCCATTTCAAGACCCGCCGGCAAGAACTCAATTCCGTCGAAGGAGGTAAGAATCCGTGCCCAGCAAATCATGCTGTCCCGCCAAGTGCTGTATCTTCACCGTGTGGATCTGACTCCATGACACAGGAAACCGCGCAAACATGAACTACGTCGATGGACTCGCCATGTTCCACAAACAGCACGGGACTAATTACAGCCGACTCCCCAGTGTTGACAAACGACCACTAGATCTCTACAAGCTCAAGAAGGCGGTCGAGAGTCGTGGTGGATTCGAATCGGTGTGCAAGTTGAAGAAATGGGCGGAAATTGGTCGCGATCTCGGATACAGCGGCAAAATCATGTCCTCCTTGTCAACATCTCTCAAAAATTCCTACCAACGATATCTTCAGCCTTACGAAGAATACTTGGCACGCGCTAAACCCGGCGTTCAACAGCAGCTGGAACTGGAACATGGCGGCCCATACACTCCTTCGCCACTCCCATCTCCGATGACCATGGCCCAGCGGCCCACCGTGGAAGAAAATGGTACGCCCTCTAAAGTCCGCGATGAAAGCTCTGGCCTGCCTCGGATGGCTGCTTCACATACCCCATTGGCACATACTCCATTGGGGCAGACCCCGATAGGCCATACACCGGTAGCGCGCTCTCCGATGGAGAAGTCACCCGAGAAGCCCACACCTCCCGTCGAACCTACACCTCCCCGTCCGGCCGCCACAGGCTTCACGTCCGTTAATGCAGGGCTCGGTGGATTTACCGCGGTCAACCGCTCCCCATTCACCCCGAGTAGCACCGGTCCACCGATCAAGCGGGAGGGTGAGAACGGAACATCAACACCGCAAGTAGAGCCCGAGCATCGCGATGCTTCTGCGCCTATCAATGGCCAAACAGAAGAGCTTTTGAAGCGCTCCATAAGCCACGACGAAGGCTCTCAAACGGAGAACGGTGACGAGGATGGCGACAATGGGCGCCGAAGCAAGCGCTTGAAAAGGGATTCGCTTCCTACTATTGCAGGCTCTCATATGTCGCTTCTTCGCCCGGCCCCACCAAAGCCCCGCAAGGATGGGTCTCAACCAGTTGGAGAGAAGTGCGAGACTTGTGGCAAGTCGGATAACCAAGAAACCATCCTTGTGTGCGACGGCTGCGAGCTTGGATATCACACAGCATGCTTGGACCCGTCAACTACGACGCCGTCAGAGCATGACTGGCACTGCCCCAAGTGCTTGGTCGGCACAGGAGAGTTCGGATTCGAGGACGGAGGCGTCTACTCACTGAAGCAATTCCAGGAGAAGGCCAACGAGTTCAAGAAGAAATATTTCGCCTCGAAGATGCCCTTTGATCCCGTACTCAACACGCACCGGCGCGAGACTGAAGACGACGTCGAGGCCGAGTTCTGGAAACTTGTTGTCGATCTACATGAGACCGTCGAGGTCGAATATGGCGCAGACATTCATTCAACTACTCACGGAAGTGGTTTCCCTACCGTGGAACGCAACCCGTTGGATCAGTTCTCGTCTGATCCCTGGAACTTGAACGTTCTTCCGTTCTATGGCGACTCTCTCTTCCGTTATATCAAGTCTGATATCTCTGGGATGACTGTTCCTTGGGTCTATGTCGGCATGTGCTTTTCAACATTCTGCTGGCATAACGAAGATCATTACGCCTACTCAGCCAACTACCAGCACTTTGGCGCTACCAAGACCTGGTATGGGATTCCGGGTGCCGATGCAGAGGCCTTTGAAGCTGCCATGCGCGAAGCAGTACCTGAACTATTCGAGGGACAACCAGACCTGCTGTTCCAGCTCGTGACCTTGATGCCCCCCGACAAACTCCGCAAGGCGGGCGTCAACGTTTACGCCGTCGATCAGCGAGCCGGCCAGTTCGTGCTGACGTTCCCTCAGGCTTACCATGCGGGTTTCAACCATGGTTTCAATTTCAACGAAGCAGTGAATTTTGCCCCAGCAGACTGGGAGCCCTTCGGTGCCGCGGGTGTTGATCGTCTCCAGAACTTCCGTAGACACCCGTGCTTCTCCCATGATGAACTCCTTCTCACGGCTGCTGCTCGCGATACTTCTATTGCCACTGCCAAGTGGCTGGCACCTGCATTAGCAAGGACGTGTGCCCGAGAAATTGCTGAAAGAGCCGCGTTCCTTTATCGACAGAAGGAAGCCGCCGCTCGCACCTCTGGCTCTGGTATTGAGTCTATGTCGGATAATTTCCATTCCACGGTCGTAGTTGATGATCAGGATCTCCCAGAGGAAGATTCCCAGTGCCAGCACTGCAAGGCGTATGCTTACCTTACGCAGTTCCGTTGCCACAAATCAGGCAAAACTGTCTGTTTGTCGCACGTGGACAGCTATGACTGCTGTGGTGAGACACTTCCTCAGAAACTATGCGGTCCGGGTCATACCTTGCGGTACCGGATGAGTGACGAGGCACTGCAGACCGTTGCGCAGAAGGTTCAGGAACGGGCCAGGATCCCAGAGGCGTGGTCCGAGAAACTCGACAAAACTCTGGAGGATGAACCAAAGCCCCAGCTGAAGGCCCTTCATAACTTGCTCAGTGAAGGTGAGAAAATCCCATACCACTTGTCTGGCCTCCAGGATCTTGCGGCATTCGTCCAGCGTTGCGATAAATGGGTTGAAGAAGCCAATAACTACATTACCCGGAAGCAGCAAAACCGGAGAAAAAACGAAAAGGCTTGGCGCAGGACTAGTACCAAGACAGCGCAGCTGGACGATCGCGATCGTGAAGTCCGCAGGGTTGAACATATCTACGCCCTACTGGCAGAGGCTGATAAACTTTCGTTCCACTGTCCACAGATGGCGGCGTTGGAAGAGAAAACCCGCGAAATCGAGAAATTCCGCCAGGATATTAGTGGTGCCCTAATGAATCCACAATCCCGACCCATCCAAGAGGTCGAAGAGCTGATCGAAGCTGGCAAGAACTTCAACGTGGAAATTCCGGAGCTGGAACACCTGGAGCAAGTTTCTCGCCAAATCAAATGGACTGATGAAGCTGCTCGCAGGCGGGACAAATTTATGAACCTCAAGGATTGTCATGAACTCGTTGCCGGTGCTGAACAGCTGGGTCTTCCCGAGAACAACGAGCACTTGCTGCATTTCAAGGAGCTCGCCCGCCATGGCGATGCGTGGGAGCTGAAAGCCAAGGAACTCATGTCGGTCGAGGCAGTGCATTATCAGCAACTAGAAGCTCTCTCTGCGCAGGCCGCTCGTTTCCCAGTATCGCCAGAAACTCTCGCATCTGTGGAGGCTATATTGACCAAGCAACGTGAGGCGCAGAGGCGGATCCAGACTCTGTACGAAAAGAGCAAGGACCCCGAGATGAAGAATCGTCCTAAGTACAAGGAGATTCGCGACCTCATGGAGACTCTTGAGCCCTTGACTTCCCGACCCATTGGCGCAATTGACTTGGAGCGAGAACAAAAACGCCACGAAGACTGGATGAGGAAGGGCAAAAAGCTCTTCGGCAAAGCGAACGCTCCTCTTCACATTCTCAAATCTCATATGGAGTATGTGGAAAAGCGAAATTCGTACTGCTTCGACCTCGAAGACAGCTACAGACCACCTGTGGAACCTTCATCCCGAGACAACTCACCAGAGGGTCTTCTCGAGAGTGCCATTATTCCCAACCCGTGGGGTCAAAAATCTCGCAAGAGAGATGTGTTTTGCATCTGCCGTCACTCAGAGGCGGGAATGATGATCGAGTGTGAGGTCTGCCATGAATGGTATGTTGAACAAGGGTCTGGTTTTGCGATGAAACAAACTAACATTGCATAGGTATCACGGCAAGTGCTTGAAAATTGCCCGTGGTAAAGTCAAAGAGTTTGACAAGTATACCTGCCCGATCTGTGACTGGCGACAGAAGATTCCTCGTGATGCTGCTCGTCCGAAACTAGAGGATCTCCAGGACTGGCACGCAGAAATAGCAACTCTTCCTTTCCAGCCAGAGGAAGAAGAAGTCCTGGAGAGCATCATCAACCAAGCGACGGCCTTCCGTGATTTCTTACATGGCTTTACAAATGCTGCTTGCACAACCACCGAGGAAGTGCCTACTTTGATCTTCTACCTCCGCAAAATCGAGGGAGCAGAGGTGCTGTTGACCTCCGAAACCAACTTCTTCCGGCAAGAGATCCACAAGTGGGCACCTGTCGCCCCGGAGCCTCCTCCAATCTTGGACCAGTCCTTGTCCACCCGGAAGCCCCGCCCTACCAAGCAACAAAAAATGATGGCCCAACTTGGAGTGAACCGTCCCGAGGATCTCCCTGAGCACCTTCGTCCTAAGCATCTGGGCGCTACAAAACGTAAATCGGTCGATGTCTCTCAGCCTGCTCAAAACACACCACCTTCCCTACAGCCGGCGCCGACAACTTCCAGCAGTGCCCCACCTCCTACAACAGGTCCGACCTTGGCTCAGATGACAGATCCTAACGTTGCGCCATACCCCTTCTCCGCGAATTATTCTTTGCCTGGTAGTGATTCTACGCCGGCTTTTGCTCCACATTCATCCTCAGCCTTCCTCCCTCATGCCGCCGCTTCTCAGTCTCCATCATTCCTCCCTCGCTCTCCTCCCCCACAGCAAGACATCGAAACTTCTCTGTTCAGCCCTCCACGATTTGGACATGACCCTCAGTTCGCGAGCAGCAGTCCTCGTCAGAACCTCGATGATGTGTTTGCAGATTTGACAAATCAAGAAATTGACCCCGATGCCGAGCCACAGCCGATGGAGAACACACATGCCAACGAGGCCCTGGAGGCTCTTGTCGTGAGCAACGGCAGCAGTCGTGCTGGATCTGTCCCGGAAGAACCGGTTGAAATGGGTGAAACCCAAGATCCCCCTAAACTCGAGGGTGCCAATGAAGAGCTTGACGAAGAACTTTGATGATGCTATTTGCTTTAATCAACTGATATTCCCTGTCCTATATGAAGCCCCGGCCGCTCGACGAATGGTCGTGGCTTTGATTAAATGTTTTCTTTTCTTTTGTTCACCTTCTCTGTCCCACGCTTTTGTGTTTTTCTCGGATCGAATTTCTAAAAAGGTGTACTACAAGAGTTGGGACTGGCGAGTTGGGGGAGTTCTCCAGCGTTTTGTGTTTTGTGCTTTTGCTTTTTCATACCACCAAGCTATGTCATCGACGAACGCTTTGCTTTGCTGCTGTTGAACCATGTAATACTAGTTGAATCCAGCCATTCTTATCTACTTCTCTCGCTCTGTATTTGTATACTCTATGTTAACTGACATCCGCATATGCTCCAAGAGCAGCCTGCCCCCCTGTATGGATAAAAAGCACATTGACCTCATCCAATCCCGATTCCGCGACCTCTCCTTCTTTTACCCAGTGGATCATGCCCCTGGCGACTTTGGAGGTATACACTGGATCCAAAACCATTCCCTCGCTCCGCGCCATGGTTTCCAAAGTGTCTTTACTTTGATCATCCAGTACACCATATGCAGTTCCGACAAACCGATTATCTAGCCGCACATCCTCAAGAGCGATGTCTCCCTCATCAAGTCCAATAAGGCGACCGGCCGTCCTTGCAAACCTAAGCACTCTCTCTTCATGATACCCTCGGGGTTGAGTGGGCGAATTCAAAACTCCAATGACCTTCCTCGGCCTCTCACCCAGCTTCTCTCGCAGCTTGAACCCAGCCACCAGCCCGCCAACCGTACTGCCACTTCCGCATGCCACAAAGACATAGTCAAACTGGCCTGACCCACCAAGACCCAATTCCTTCTCTTGCGCAGCAATCTCAAATGCAGCCCTCGCGTACCCTAGCCCGCCCAGTGAATGGAGACTCGCACCGCCAGGGATCCAATATGGGGTCTGACCACTGGCCCGAAGCTCATCAAGAAGAGGTGTTGCGTCATGCCCTAGCGGATCACCTTTTTCGCAAATGCGCACCCCGGCACCCAGAAGATGGTTGATCTGCACGTTTCCGCTGCGCTGGAAGGATTCCTTATCGCTTGCTGCCTGGAGACCACCGCCCGTCCCACGATGTAGAAGAATCACCGCATTAAGACCAAGTTTGCGGGCGAGTGCGGCCACCTGTACGGTGTGGTTGCTTTGGATTGCACCCTCTGTTACGAGGGTCGTCGCAGGGCCGCTGAGTGGGCCTGGTGGGCTTGGGTTGTTCTCATGGTAATGGTAGACCGGTGCTTGAGAGAGAATGTCCGGTACAATGTATTCTAACTTGCGATATTTATTGCCCGAGCAGGCTAAAGGTGATGAGTGGTCTTCGCGTTTGGCGTACACGGAGATGAGGGGTTGATGCGGGGAGACTCTGGTCGGTGCAATTGAGGGCAGTGGGTGAATCGGGGATGGTGTAGGATACAATATCTTGTAGCGTGGAATCTGGGCAAGCGTTTCTGGGATTTGTAAAGGGAGAGACATTGTTTTGTACATGACTCCAAGACACTGGAGTCGCAAGAGGTCAGTTGTATAGTTTGGCCTAAATTTGGGGGCATCACTTATTTATCACGTCAGCAATGAAATGACGTATCGCAAATCGAATGCGACGAAAACACCAAAATGACACTCCTTCAGTTTCTGCGACAAGCTCGCCGAGTGCACCACCAGTTCATTTCGGGTGCTTTATCCGAGTCTCCGATCTATGTGATCGGCAACTCATCTGCCGACCTTGACTCCATTGTCTCGGCGATCATCTACTCTTATTGCGCGAACAACCGCCTCCCAATTCAGTCTCCAAGACCTCACATCCCGTTATTGAATTTGCCGAATGTGCCAGCTGGGCCAGAGCTCTACCGACTTCGACCTGAGTTTGTAACGGCACTATGGTCGTCAACGAACTCTCCCGCCCTGAGGAATGAGGAGAAGTTTGAAAATACCCAGCATTCAGCAGGGAATTTCCTACGCGAGCACATTGTGACCGTCGCAGACTTCGCGCAGTCACTCCTTGATCAGAAAGTTCTCAGACAGATTATAACCGAGGCGACATTGGTCGACTGGAATGCGTTGCCTTGCCCTTCAAGAACCGACAAGGGCTTTGGATCTCTGACGGGCTTGCCGGGCTTATCTTTCCGAGCATTGGGATGCATCGATCATCATGTCGACGAGGGCTACATGCCAAGTGCCGAAGAGCTTCCTAGGAACCAGCCGCTGATCATTCAGCCTGGGCCTGGCTCGTGTTCATCCCTCATCGTCAAAGAGCTGCAGCGACAAAGTCTGTGGACCGAAGAGACTGTCGAAATGGTCCAGGTTGCAAAACTTGCACTCTCTGCAATTTTAATTGATACCTCGAATCTGACTGCGGAGGGCAAGGTCACTGATGTAGATCGTGAGGCTGTTCAATCCTTGCGGAACCAGATTGAAGTACCGCGGGAAGCTTCAACCACTCAGTACAAGTGGGACTTGAAACAGTTCTACGAAGCTGTCGTCGATGCCAAGAAGAACAGCCTTGACCTGCTTACCGTGGACGAGGTTCTGGACCGCGACTACAAAGATTGGACCGAGAAATCCCAATCACATGGCAAAGATGTCAAGATTGGATTCTGCTCCTCAGTCAAGCCAATCAGGTGGATCGTGCAGAAAGCGGGTACACCAGAGCAATTCCTACAATCTGCACGCTCATTTGCAACTTCAGCCGATAAAGACTTGGATATGCTTGTTGTTATGACTGCATTCACTGCGAAAGATGGCCAATTCTGCCGTGAACTATTCATTGGCGTGGCGCGCGAGAATGACGCAGCTCTTGAAGGCGCCAAAGCATTTGTTGAGCAAGCTTCTTCTCAACTTGGATTGATCGACTGGTCTCCGTTGGATGCCGAGGATATCCCTGATCTCACAAAAAATGATTTCATTTCTTTGAACGCAGACTCGCCGCTATGGAGGAGACTTTGGGTACAGAATAATGTGGCTGGCAGCAGAAAACAAGTTGCGCCGCTGCTACGGACAGCCGTGGCGAGGTTGTAAATCTAACTATCTTAGAAAGAGTACATAATGAGATGGACAAGAATAATGATTCACTCATGTTGACTTAAATTTCTTAATGAGACAGGCAAACTCTCAAACACCGATCAAGGTCCAGATATTTCTGGACCAGACCACAAATGGATATGCAATATGTGCAATGCTCCAAGCCAACCTGATGCAAATGCCAGTATGCAGTAAGATGACCAAAATAACGCGGATATGCACCTCAAAAAGCAATAAACGAACAGCCCCCGGGTGTATCTACCGCGACAAAACTTCAAAACGAAACACCCATAGTATGTAAACAGAAAGAAATCATCAAATCAAACACATTCCCACTCGCAAAAAACACACCACCGCGCAGCTCGGTCGGCGAGTACGAGGCCGCGCCACATGCCGCGTTCGCCGATCTTGATGACGGTCTCCCATACACTTCCCTCGGCAGCTGCATCAGTAACTGACTCAGTGCCCGTATCACCACCGATCATATGCTCGGCCTTGCGGGTGAGACGAAGAATCTTGCCCGAAGGAGACTGAATGGCCAATTTAGCCGCCTTGTCCCGACCAGAGGTGGACTTGGTTGACGAGATTGCCGAGGTTGATGCAGAGAATTCATTCGAGGCTCCGGAGACAGTCGATCCGCCTGCGGTACTGGATACCATACTCAAGGCACTAGACGGGCGGTTGAAGACAGATACAGGCGATCCACGGCCGTTTGACGTTTTGTCATCCTGAGCGGAGCCTGGCGCCGCAGGATGTTGTCGCACAGCAAACACGAATGTGTTGTTTACTGCGAGGCGAGAGCACTGCGGTTGCATGATGTACAGATCATGTTTTTGAGCGTGCGGCGTGGGATGACGGAGCACAAAATCGTAAGAGGGATTCTCGCCAGTGTGTAGCATGGGCAGGGCCAATGCAAGGGGATGGGGGATATCCCGGCTACTGTGCATTAGGCCCTTCTTGCCAGCGTATACCTTCAGTACACCCTGGCCCTCATCACCTGGAAGGACCGCCTTGATGGTGATCCGCTTCTGGCCTCGGAACCAATCAGGCTGTACCAATGCGCGCTTTCGTACGATGTCTCCGCTCTCGAAGCAATCACCATCTGCATCACGAGCGAAGCCAGGAGCTTCGACCTCCGCGGCACATTCAACATCGTGTGGTATTACCATGCGGATTTGCATCACTTCTAGCCCCTCGATGCGGAGGAGGCTAGTGTCATAATCCGGTAGTTGCACATTGAGCTTGAAGAAGGGTGGGCACACCGTGGGCAACGAAAGCAACACATCTGGTGAGATTGGGGGACAAATGTGTTGCTCATCCGGATATTGTGGGACGTGGGTGTAACAAAGCTCAAGAGGGCGCGCGAGGAAGTACCAGCTCTCTGCTATAGAGGAGTTATTGGTGACGAACTTGCTTCTGGTGGGATTTGTGGGATTGGCAAGTGCACAATCCATGAAGCGCCATTCGCCGTCAACTAAGACTGAGTTCCACCAGTGGTTTGGACGGGAAAGGCTGTCCAAATCGAGGACGTCTCCGGGGCCTTTGAGGAATCCGTGAATGACTTCTGTGTGGAGGCCAACAGCCGCACACATTTCATGGACTAATAGCGCGATCTCTTCTGGAGTTCCACGTTTGGCTTGCAGTAGTCTTTTCATGTCGACTTCGAGGCCGTCAACTGGCTCCTCCCATGCGATCTTCTCACTGACCCACGTGAATATGGCTCGTAGACGTTGCACATCACTTTTGTATGGCCGACAGATGTACGCCTGCGCAAGGCTCATGGGGTTAGTCAATGGTGGGAGACTGCTGATGAAGCGAGCGCTCTTGTCGACTAGTGTGAGGTTGGCTGCGTTGAAATTGGTGGGCTCAGTAATCGGCTGCCCATCAATGCTTTCCTCGCCGTCCGCAGTATCGTATAGCTCCTCAACAGAGTAAACCACCGGATGATCATGCATTTGACAACGCTCCGCTCTTTCGACTCTTTCATTCCGGCTAGGAGACGAGGCACGGTTGACGTCTCGGCGAACCTGAACCCAGTCAAGGGTGCTAGTCCCTGGCATATCGCGAGCACTCTCTCGGTTTGATTGGGATGTGAGAAGAGGGGACACAACGTCTATGCTTCTCTGGTTCTTGTTTGGGGATCCAGATCTATCACCATGGGCCGAGATGCTACTTCTCGCGCTGGCCGCACCAGTCTTGGCGGTCTCAAATATCTTTTTAAAGAAACCTTGCTTCTTGGTCTTCGGTGTAGACAAGCCACCAAAGATTGCACTGTGATCGGTCTGATCAACCGTTGACGACCAAGGAATAGCTGACGAGGCACCCTGTCGGGATGAATTATGACTGGAGTGGTAGGAAACACCAGTAAACGGCGATTCTGGGCGAGCATCACTGAACCCCCGAGAACGTATAGTGTCCATGGCTGTGTTTGGTCGTTCATGGCCCCCTCGTCGGGCAAAACTCCCAGCGCTCGTCGCACTGAATCCTCCTGCGGAAAACCCACTCATAACGCTTTGACCGGTCTTATCTGTGCTATTGGTCATGGATGTGCCATTGCTTTGAACTCCGCTGGATGAGTTCGTGGCACTGGACTTATTTGTAAACGAGCGATTGAGAATGTCTCCTCGAACATTGTGACCGGATCGACGACTGTTCAAGTGCGGATGATGTCCTCCTGGCAGAGAATTGTTTCGAGGGTGGTAGGTAGCATGTTTCGGAGGTGGCGGAGGAGGTCCGTCATCGTCCTCGGGGGCCGGCTTTGGCTCATCAGATGACCGGTTCTGGTCTTCTAGCTGGCGCAAGCGGCTCTCCATCCTTTGCACATAATTGTTAAGCTGGGGTGGACCATCTGTGTAATGATCATGGCTATACACGCTGTTTCTGTGGGCAAGCCCGCCTTGTGACTGTGCTTTATATCCATCGAAGCCCATTGATGTTAAAGGTCGGCGTTTGCTAGGCTGAGGTGTCCTTTCATTTGACGTATCGAATGCTTCTGGCGCCCAGGGATCATTGAATTGGGGCGCAGGAGACGGAGACTGGGCTCCACGTGGGATTCCCATATCCTCCAATGAAGTCATCACGTCCTCCATGGCATCTCGAAGCGGGGAAGGAGTGTTTCCATGCATTTCGGATTGCCCTGAAGTTGCAGAAAGTGCCGAGCGCGTTGAGGCTGCGGATGGGGATGGAGTCCGGTCAAATATCACGTAGCGGTCATTCATTGGCAAAGGAGCAGGTGAGCGCGATTGCCGTGAGCGAGAAGTTGGCTGGGGTGAAGGGGTACGTCGCTGGGAATTGTGCATGGGTGGCTGTGGCGAGGGACTCCGCGAGTGATGCATTGAGGGTTGTGGTGAAATTGCTCGATGATGAGATGCATGCATTGGTGGTTGCGGCGAGCGGCTGCGGAATTGATGCATTGGGGGTTGAGGAGAAACTGCCCGGTGGTGGGATGAATGTACCGGTGGCTGCGGCGAGTGGCTGCGCGGCTGATACATATGAGGCCGTGGCGAAGGACTGCGTGTATGGGAATGCATCGGGGGCCCAGGAGAACGAGAATCCCCGCGGCTTATGGCTACCCGATGCGGAGGGGGCGGCGGAGGGGGCGGAGAATTCTCCCGCTCTTCTTCCATCTGCAACGGAGACGGCTCACGAGACGAGGGGCGGTAGGGTGAATAGCCACTGTGCTGCATGGGTGCCGGAGGTCGATCTTGCATGTGTAACGGAGAAGGACCTCGCGATGGCCCGCGATATCCTGAACTGTTTCCACGGACCATAGGTGCTGGCGCATACTCTTGCGGCATCATAGGCGATGGCTCGCGTGGTGGTGGAAGTTGATATGCTTGTGACCCTACGTATGAGACACTCGCGGGAGGGTACTCCTGCATGTGCAGTGGTGATGGTTCACGCGACGAACCTCTGTAAGAAACGCCTCCTTGTGAAGCACTCGGCGGTGGATACTCCTGCATTTGCAACGGCGATGGCTCGCGAGATGAAGCCCGGTATGATGACACACTACCGCGCGGAACGATTGCAGCTGAGTGGTCTTGCGCAATCATGGGAGATGGCTCGCGCGACATAGTCTTATAAGATGAAACGCTGCCTCTTGGTATCATGGTAGGTGGCTGTGCCTGATATGGAGACGGCTCGCGAGACGAATGTCGCGAAGATGAAATGCTTCCTCTGGGTAGAATTGCAGAGGGTGACCTTTCTGGCTCTGCCGATGCACGGGGGAAACGCCACGAGATGACGGTCTGGATGACACAGAAGAGGGCCGGGAGACCGAGCCTTGATTCTTTACAGCTGAAGCGTGTGTGCGCAATGGCTTTGTGCTCCTCGGAACACTCCCATCTCGAGGTGGTGTTTGTGGGATTGCGGGCGCAGCTGGGCTGGATTCAGTCGCGCGACGGGCCACTGAAGCTGGTGACACGGCCTCCTTGTGCGCCTGAAACGGTTTCCGCCATACAGTTTTTTGCTTTTTTGGGGCGGACGTGGGGTTGTTGATCGGCGAAGATCCTGCTAAAACCATAGGACTCGTATCACGGCTCACAGGCACGAAATCCTCACTCAACAGCTCGACAAAGTTGGATGGGAACAGTCCCACCGCACGCCTATCTCGGCGCAATCGACCCATCCACCATTGTCCGTCACCCGCATTCAAGCATTCAATCAAATCACCCTCAACAAATCCCAGATCTTTGGTTGATTCTCCACCCCAGGAATAGATCGCTCTGCACCAACATGGGAACCGCGTGGGCAATTGTGCCATGGTGGTCTTTTAATCCAGAACGATTCGAGCGCAACACACGAAATCAACTAGATTTGTCGGCTCAGCCCCTGGCGCGACTCTAGGAACTTCAATTCGAGGCAGAAATCGGTCAATCGTGCGTCAATCGGCAATGTGGCGTTGTTGGTTCGGACTTCAAACAGTTGAGTTGACGGGGTACGGGCGCAGGGATAAGAAAGATCAATAAATCAGCATTGTTGGGAGGATAGGAAATACGCAAATATGCAAAGAGATTTAGCCAAATTAAGCCAATCGAATGCGACCAACAGACAGACTGCGGAGGCGTGGAGGGAGTGGGAGTCGAGAGACCGCGGTGAGGCCTGAGAACTGGGGCCGCTCGGGTTGCAATGTTGCCCCCGGTGTTTACAGTGTTTACAGCTGGCCAAATCGGGACTAGCGAGGGATGATCTCTTATCGATAAGCCCTGGAGCTTAATACCGCTTATGTAATGATCTCAAGTGGTGTCAAAAGGCTTATATTTCGAAATAACTGTTTCTTAGGAGCATCAGAAGAGAAATTCTGCAGTCATCGAGGTTCGCCTAAGCCTAGTTCTTTGAAGAACCACACCCACGGGTACGCATATGCTTGTCTGGAGAGCCGCACCCGATCCATGGTTCCAACAAAGACACGCGTTTCAAGTCCTCATTATGTTTCGATTCAACAACCCATCGGTCCTGGTCCATGTTCAGGCTCTGACTCGTACCAATCCTCTTGGCAAGACTGGATAATCAATTGCGGCGATATTTCTGATCCTTCAACATTTCCTCGAGGTAAAGAAAATGTCTAACACTAGTATCATATCCTGCATCAAGGCAAGCCCCTTTCAACCCCACTCGAAATTGACCATCATACTCCGTATGTCCAGCCAATGTACGGAGTACTTCGACCGTCTACAAAGTCTTGCTGGTATTTGTCTAAACTTGGAAGCAAGCATGGCTGATGACGATGCGCCACTCTCCCGCATCTGGCAATAGTCACATTCTTGTCATGGAATTCCCAGCCACAAACAATCTGTCCACATCACCAACTGTTTCTGGCTCGTAGACTGTCTGTCTCCTGCATTCCCTGCTTTATCGTCCAATGAGTGCGGAGTATTACCGAGAAATTCCTTTCTCATGGGTTTCCTGCGTGGCTCGGTTCAATATCCGAGTGGTTCTCCATCTCGGGTGACCCCTTTCCGACCCGGAAAGACGAAGCTAGCCACCCCTTCTTCCAGCTCCTCACAGCATTCCTCAACGATATAACGGCTCATTCCTCTGAGCCAAACCATGCAAACTCCTCCAATTGAACCAGTTCCCTGTTTGTCAAGATGGATGCAAACATGTTTGCGGATGTCAAATGCTTACCCATGTGGGCCCGAAGCGGAAATGTCGCTTTTATCTTTGAAATGATAACTGGTATATAAATATATACTACAATCAATCGTCGGAATCTCGACATGGCACGAAACTCTTGATCTGCAATATATCTCAATACTTAGAGCTCCAGCATTGTCATTATATTTGGCGCTTGGACTAAGCTCAAGCCTATAGCTACTCAATTGGTCGACCGTGCAGGCTTCCTCCAGGGCTTTTCCCTCGGCTCCCGTTTCCCATCATGGCGCTTCTAAAGAATCTTGCCATCGTGGCTGCCACCGGGCTGATACCTCACATTTTGGCGAAACATGTTCACTTCGACTTGGACTTGACTTGGCAGAAGGGCGCACCTGATGGCAACTTGCGAGAAATGATCTTTATGAACAATCAGTTCCCAGGCCCTGAGCTACGCCTTGAACAAGGCGATGATGTGGAGGTAAGCTTTATACATATATTGCAAGGTAGAATCTCTGCCATGGTCAATTATACTAACCAGTTGGAACAGTTTGTCGTGCACAACAACCTTCCTTTCAATACAACAGTTCACTTTCACGGCATTGAGCAGAAGAATACTCCGTGGTCTGACGGAGTTCCTGGCCTAAGCCAGAAGCCAATTCAGCCAGGTCATAGTTGGACATACCGCTGGACTGCAACCCAGTATGGAACTTACTGGTATCATGCTCACGGCATGGCTGAAATTATGGATGGGCTGTATGGGCCAATTTGGATAAAGTGAGATACTTGGAAACTTATATTCAAATTAACCTCAAGGCTAACCCGAGAAGTCCTGGTCCTGATGTACCTCATCCCTTCAACTTCATTTCAGATAACACGGACGATGTCGAGGCAATGCGAAGAGCGGAAAAGAACCCTCAGCTTATTGTCCTCTCTGATTGGGATCACTTGACCTCTTCGGAATATCAGAGGGCGATGGAAGATAGCCGCCTGGAAATCTTGTAAGTACGCTACCGTTTGGAGTTATATCACGCTTTGCTAATATGACATGCCGTCAGTTGTTCGGATAGTGTTCTTATCAACGGCCGAGGAGCAGTATACTGCCCTGGAACGGAGAAAATCTCCAGCGTGGAACTTTCCTACCTGAAGACAGCCATTAACAATCAGCCACTCACTGACAAGGGGTATGTTTGAACTCTACAACCTGGAAACCTTGGGCTTTTTTCTCTTTTTACTGACAACCCATCTAGATGCTTGCCCAACGTTTACGAGGTCCAGGGCAATTTCCCCCTACCTATGAGGACAGAATACCCGCAGGAGTCAACTCCGGTTGCTCTGCTACCACTGGTCTGCACGAGATCATTGAAGTTGACCCCAATGCCGGTTGGGTCAGTCTGAAGTTCATTAGTGCTTCGTCTCTCAAGGCTCTGATGTTCTCCATTGACGAACACCCTATGTATATTTACGAGGTTGATGGAAGTTATATCGAGCCTCAACTCGCTGAAAGTGTCAATATTTACAATGGCGAGCGCTACGCTGCTATGATCAAGCTCGACAAGGCCCCGAAAGACTACACCATCCGAATTCCCGATACACAAGGCGATCAGGTCATCTCTGGGTTTGCTACACTGAGATACAAAGGCTCCGATGACACCACACCCTCTCAACCTTACGTGGATTATGGTGGAAGAAACACCTCTGCTTCTGTGACTTCTTTGGACAACAAAGGCATCAAGCCTTACCCCGCTGTTACAATTCCTCAGACTGCTGATCAGCTGGTCAACCTTACTCTCGGTCGTGTGGGCTCCTCTTACACATGGACTACTTCAGGGGGTGGCTTATACGACATGATGGCGAACTGGGATGATCCTATCCTGTACGACATCAATGCCAAAGATAACCTTGATCCTCGCACCGTCATTCAGACCAAGAATGGTACTTGGGTAGACATTTTGCTGCAACTTGGTGAAATGCCCAACACCCCTGCGATTCAAAGTCCGCATGTCATGCATAAGCATTCCAGCAAGGCATTCATTCTGGGCGTTGGTCCTGGCTTTTTCAGCTGGGACAGCACAGAGGAGGCTCTTGCGGATCATCCGGAATATTTCCAGATGGAGAACCCACAGATGCGAGATACATTTGTTACCCTTGGCCCGAATGGTCCAACCTGGATGATTTTGCGATACCAGGTGGTCAACCCCGGTCCCTTTATCTTCCACTGCCACATTGAAACACACATGGCAAATGGGATGGCTGTGGCTATCCTTGATGGTGTTGATGCATGGCCTCAGATACCGGCTGGAGAAGACCAGAGCCCTCGTGTCAAAGTCTAGATTGTTTACATAAGAAATTTCGATGTCCAGATCTTGGTTACTCTTTGCACTCACTGAAATTCTCTGACTTTCCTTTGACAGAATGATTCATGGCTTCCACCCTAGAATAAAATTTAAAAACGGCAAAAATTGCGCTCACGAGTGACCAAACTGTGCCAGATTCTTAAAGAAGCAACAGCAGAAATGAATAATCTTCCAAGGTTCTAAATAGATCATATTCCGCGCATATTCCCAAGCCCATTTATAGTGATTACCATCATGATATCTATAAATAAACATGTTTCCGTAGGTACTCCAATAAAACCATCACGGACAATATCAAGATAATACGCTAAGTAGATGCTGTTGTCTGTTTTAATTGCATATTCAAATAGAAAACCTGCAGGTTTCTTGTGCGTTCGAATAAAGCAGTCGGCTTTCGAGGGTTGTGAGTATGCTCTAATCAAGACAAAGGGAGAGGGGGTCATGACATTTTGATGGGAATTTCAAGGTTGTATCGCGCCTCTTCAGTAAAATCTTATGTTCAATTTCAATTACTCTTTAGAGTCAAGAATTGGAAAAAAAAAAAAATTCGAATTTCAAGTCTCTTTGATATGGTAGCACTCGCATTTGTCAGAGGATGGCGGTCCGTCACCATTGAGGACCCACTTCGTCAACTTCTTCAGGTTCAATCTTGGTCACCTTCGGCAGATCGACCAGATTGCCATAATGCACCTTCGAGAAATTCACATTGAGTACTGTTACAGTAGGCTCAATCTTTTTCATCGTTGGACTTTTTATTTCCCCCGATCTCGATCTCGAGATGTCGCACATGGGTATCAACATATATTCTGGGCGCTCGGATTTTCATAAATTATTAAATCCTTACCCTCCGAATTCTCCAAGTCTATGAATGCATATTGTGTACAACGTTGGAAATCTGACTCAAATATACAATGCTACTTCATAAACAGGTTACAAAGCTCTTTTTGGCTACAACAACGTTCTATATGGCGAGATCCAGGGTGGTTCCGAGCCTTCCAAGGTTGGAATGTGATATCAAGCCTCAGTCATGACGTAGGGGAGATTTTATGATGATGCCGTCGAAAGATCTACATCCAATTACTATGTTTGAGACCGATTTGCATATCGCTTGCTGTTTGAGCCCACTGTGACATTCCGACCGGACATTCTTTACCATTTGGATATCGCGGGGATTCATGTTAGTGCACGGATTTCCGAGGTCTCTCGTATCTTCCGTGGGTTTGCACAACCTAAATACAAAAGATTTTCAAAAAGTATCCTCTTTTGAACCTTTTACCTTCATTCACAATCGCTTGGTGTACCTGACCGTGCCTATGGCGCGAAAAGAGCAGGAAAGTACTTAGGGCAATAACCTCACGTGATGTGCCGGTGGAGAAAGCGGCTAACGGCTGTAACCTTCTGAAAGCGTCAACATCTCTGCACGAGTTGCAGATCATTGGTGGCTTCTTTCTCAGATGTAGCAATTCCGGTCAACCACACGTTCAGATCTGCGACATGTGTTATGGAAGCCCCAGTGAAGATGCCTCAAACCTTGATTTCTGGAGTCAACATGAGTCTCGTCCGCAAACAGCACTCGGACAACCGTAGACTTTCATCGGTTTGCCGTACCTTGAAATATTCTACTCACCCAAATAAATGATCCAATCGGATCATTTCACGAGGCTGGACTTGAATTCTGGCCCACGCCCCGAGCATAAAGTTTACTTGGATGGGCATACTACAGCCCTGGGGATATTGAGATTCACTGCAGTAACGGTACCATTGGTTCCAAGGTTGATTTTAGACACAAAATATACCCACACATCTAGATACTACGACAAAATGAAAATTACATACAATACTTGGGTTCTACTGGTAATTCTACACTGTCTCAAAGAGTTGTATCCCTGTAGCCGGGCACGGAAGCCCCATTGTGTAGAGAGGAGAAAAAACAGGGAACACAACTTGTCTAGATTCGTTTCCGTTTGAATACAACCAACATGATCTTTTCCGTAGATTTACAGCCCACCTTCGACTCTGACCCACCCTATGGCGACTGGAGCCCTATCTATAAAGTATAATACCCATTTACTCTCGCGATGGACCCTTTTTCTTTCTTCTTTCTGTTAAACTTTCGATCACTCAGTTGGCACTAGGGATGTCTATGGAAGGTCCCAGTCGTGTGTATCTCTTCGGAGATCAGACTGCGGATTTCGACTCGGGTCTTCGGCGCTTGTTGCATGCCAAAAATGACTCGTTGTTGGTAGCGTTCTTCCAAAAGTCCTACTATGCATTGCGGAAAGAGATAACGTCGCTACCGCCATCGGAGCGAGATGTCTTCCCTCGCTTCACTAGCATTGTTGACCTTCTCGCAAGATATCGCGAGTCGGGGCCCAACCCTGCACTGGAGAGTGCACTGACAACCATCTACCAGCTCGGAAGCTTCATCCAGTAAGATCAAATCCCCTGACACTTTCTCTTGAATCAAGCAGGAAATTTCTAACGTTGCTGAATAGCTACTACGGTGACTTGGGTCATGCTTATCCACAGAGCGATGAGAACTCCATCATTGGTCTTTGCACCGGTCAACTTGCAGCTGCCGCCGTCAGCTCCTCAAAGACCGTAGGAGAGCTCATTCCAGTTGGTGTCGAGACAGTGGTTCTTGCTTTAAGACTGGGTTCTTGTGTTCTAAGAGTACAAGAGCTCGTAGAACCGAGCAAGCAGGCCTCTAGCTGGTCTGTTCTGGTTTCTGGTATCCGTGAGAATGAAGCCGAAGACTTAATTCAGGCTTTCGCGGAGAATCATGTGAGTTATAGACCTTCAAAATATCAGATCTTCCAGAGACTAATTTTTTCCAGGGTTTGCCTCGTGCGTCACAGCCTTATGTGAGCGCAATCAGTCCCAACGGACTGACCATCAGTGGCCCCCCCGCATTCTTGGGTCGTTTCATTGAGACAAGCCTCACAAAAGAGCACAAGCCCATCAGAGCACCTATCCATGGCCCATACCATGCATCACATCTGTATGATGATAAGGATGTCAGCCGAATTATGCAATCTTGGCCAAAGGAGCGATTTGAGGCTTATGTACCACGAATCCCAGTGCTTTCAAGTGAGACTGGTGAGAGGGTTCAAGCCACGACCCTTGAGCATTTGTTGCAAACTGTTCTTAGGGAGATCCTCCAGCGACCACTTTGCTGGGACAGAGTTATTGAGTCATGCCAATCGACGGTAGAAGCCGCCGATACATGCACCATTTTGCCAATTTCCAGCACCGCAACCCAGAGCTTGTTCAGCGCTTTGAAGAAAGCCAACATCTCTAACCTCAAAGTGGACAGCTCGATTGGCGAGGTTGACCAGGAGGCTGAAGGTGACAACCGAACTGGCCGCTCTGAGCAATCCAAGATCGCGATCATCGGACTTTCAGGAAGGTTCCCCGAAGCTCCGGACACCGAAGCCTTTTGGGATCTTCTGAAAAAGGGACTTGACGTCCACCGTGAAGTCCCCCCTGAGCGATGGGACGTCAAAGCCCATGTTGACATGGACGGAAAGACACGAAACACTAGTCAGGTCCAGTATGGATGCTGGTACAATGACGCTGGAATGTTCGATCCTCGATTCTTCAACATGTCACCACGTGAAGCACTCCAAGCAGACCCTGCTCAGCGTCTGGCTCTGCTCACTGCCTACGAGGCCTTGGAAATGTCAGGATTCATTCCCAACAGCACCCCTTCCACACAAAAGAACCGAGTCGGCGTCTTCTACGGTATGACTAGTGATGACTACCGTGAGATCAATAGTGGTCAAGACATTGATACCTATTTCATTCCCGGTGGAAACCGTGCCTTCACACCTGGTCGCATCAACTACTACTTCAAGTTCAGTGGTCCCAGTGTGAGCGTGGATACAGCTTGCTCATCCAGTCTTGCGGCAATTCACGTTGCTTGTAACTCACTCTGGAAGAACGACTGTGACTCAGCGGTTGCCGGTGGCGTCAACATCCTGACCAATCCCGATAACCACGCTCGTCTTGATCGTGGTCACTTCCTTTCCCGGACTGGAAATTGCACTACCTTCGACGACGGTGCCGATGGTTACTGCCGAGCGGACGGAATTGGATCCATTGTCCTGAAGAGACTTGAAGATGCTCAAGCTGATAATGATCCAATTTACGGTATCATCGGTGGCGCGTATACCAACCACTCAGCAGAGGCTGTTTCAATCACTCGTCCTCATGTCGGGGCACAGTCTTTCATCTTTGACAAGCTTCTGAACGAGTCAAACAGCGACCCAAAAGATGTAAGCTACATCGAGATGCACGGTACTGGTACTCAGGCGGGTGACGCGGTGGAGATGCAATCAGTCCTGGATATCTTTGCTCCTGATTATCGTCGTGGACCAACTCAGTCGCTTCATCTCGGCTCAGCGAAAGCAAATGTGGGCCACGGAGAATCTGCATCTGGTGTTACAGCCTTGATCAAGGTATTGATGATGATGCGCAAGAACATGATTCCTCCTCACTGTGGTATTAAGACCAAGATCAACCAAGGCTTCCCAACGGACTTCGCACAGCGCAATGTCCACATTGCCATGCAGCCTACTCCCTGGAACAGACCTAGTGGCGGCAAGAGAAAGACCTTCGTCAACAACTTCTCAGCTGCTGGTGGTAACACCGCTCTGCTGGTTGAGGATGGGCCTCTCGTCGAAGATAACGTGGAAGACCCCCGGTCTGCTCATCCTGTTCTCGTCTCCGCCAGATCCCAGTCTGCTTTGAAGAACAACATCTCTGCTCTCGTTCAATACATTGACACAAACAAGAACCTTTTCAATGTTCGTGAGTCCAGTCTCTTGGCTGATCTGTCTTACACGACTACCGCCAGACGTATCCACCACCCCTTCAGAGTGGCTGTGACTGGTTCAACTTTGGATGAGATCAGAAGCGCACTGGCGCCAATCGTCAACCGCGACAGCATCTCCCCATCTCCAGCTGTTACTCCCGGTATTGGATTTGCCTTCACCGGACAGGGTGCCCAGTACGCAGGAATGGGTCGCCAGTTGTTTGAGAGTTGCTCTCAGTTCCGCACTCACATAGAGCACCTGGACCGCATTGGACAGAGCCAAGGATTCCCGTCAATTATACCTTTGGTTGATGGAAGTGTTCCAATTGAGGAACACAGCCCAGTTGTCACTCAGCTTGGAACCACCTGCGTGCAGATGGCGTTGACCAAATATTGGATTTCTCTGGGTGTTGTCCCCACGTTTGTCCTTGGTCACAGCCTCGGCGAGTATGCTGCGATGAATGCCGCTGGTATCCTCTCGACCAGTGACACGATATATCTCACTGGACGCCGCGCTCAGCTCCTTATGGAGCAATGCCAAATTGGAACCCACGCAATGCTTGCAGTGAAGTCTTCAGTAGCACAGGTCAAGCAATTCCTTGAGGATGCGACCGAAGTTGCTTGCATCAACGCGCCTAGCGAGACCGTCATCAGCGGCGCTAGTGAAAGGATTGATTTGCTTGCGCAGACTCTTTCAAACGAAGGTTTCAAGGCTACCAAGTTGAAGGTGCCCTTCGCTTTCCATTCTGCTCAGGTTGAGCCCATTCTTGAAAGTCTTGCCGAGATTACCAAGGGACTTACTTTCAACGAGCCCACCATTCCCTTCGTCTCCGCTCTTCTCGGTGATGTCCTGAAGGAGAACAGCAGTGACTCGCTTGGCCCTGAGTACCTCACGCGACACTGTCGGGAGACTGTCAACTTCCTCGGTGCCCTTGAAGCTACTCGCCACTCCAACTTGATGAACGACAAGACTCTTTGGGTTGAAGTTGGTTCCCACACTGTCTGTTCCGGTATGATCAAAGCCACCTTTGGTCCTCAGGCAACTACGATTGCGTCTCTCCGTCGCCAAGAGGACACTTGGAAGGTTCTATCGAACAGTCTCTCAACACTTTACCTTGCTGGAATTGAGCTCCGTTGGAAGGAATTTCACCAGGACTTTACTGCTGGACACAAAGTTCTCCCACTGCCTTCCTACAAGTGGGACCTCAAGAACTATTGGATCCCATACACCAACAACTTTTGTCTTCTCAAGGGCGCGCCCGCGGCACCTGTGGCTGAAGCTGCTCCTGTGTCGACGTTCTTGTCGACATCGGCCCAAAAGGTTCTGGAGACCACTGGCGACGCTACAACAGCAATGATCGTCATCGAGAATGACATTGCTGACCCAGATCTCAACCGAGTCATTGCTGGTCACAAGGTCAATGGCGCTTGCCTTACCCCATCGTCCTTGTACGCCGATATTGCCCAGACACTGGGTGAATATCTGGTTCAAAACTACAAGCCCGAATGGAAGGATCGTGGGTTCGATGTTTGCAATGTCACAGTCCCTAAGCCTTTGATTGCGAAGGGTGGCAAGCAACTCTTCCGAGTTTCGGCCACCGCAAACTGGGCAGACGAGAACGCCAAGGTGCAAGTCTGGTCAGTCACCCCAGAGGGAAAGAAGATTCTCGACCACGCCAGCTGTACGGTCAAGTTCTTCGAGACCGCCAACTACGAGCTAGAGTGGAAGCGCAGCTCTTATCTCATCAAGAGAAGTATTGAGCATCTGCAAGAGAGCACAATCTCTGGTCAAGCTCATCGCATGAAGCGAGGAATGGTCTACAAGCTCTTTGCTTCTCTCGTGGACTACGATGAGAACTACAAGTCCATGCGGGAGGTTATTCTTGACAGCGATCAGCACGAGGCTACTGCTCTTGTCAAGTTTGAAGCTCCCCGTGGCAACTTCCATCGCAATCCATTCTGGATCGACAGTATCGGTCACTTGTCAGGCTTCATCATGAACGCGAGTGATAACACCGACTCGAAGAACCAAGTCTTTGTCAACCATGGCTGGGACTCAATGCGTTGTCTGAAGAAGTTCGACACCAGTGTCACTTACCGGACTTACGTGAGGATGCAACCCTGGAAGGACTCTATCTGGGCAGGTGATGTCTACATGTTTGATGGCGACGATATCGTTGCTGTGTATGGTGGTGTTAAGTTCCAGGCCCTGGCACGAAAGATCCTGGACATGGCGCTTCCTCCTGGCGGGGCTGCTGCTCCCAAGCCGGCAGCCAAGCGTGCCCCTGCTCCTATCAACGTCGAGAAGGCACAGAAGGCCACACCAAAGAAGGCCGCTGCTACACCCAAGTCTTCAACTCCAAGTCTTGCTTCACGCGCTCTTACTATCCTCGCCGAGGAGGTTGGACTTTCAGCATCAGAGATGACTGACGATCTGAACTTTGCCGACTACGGAGTGGACTCTCTTCTCTCTTTGACTGTCACCGGGCGATACCGCGAGGAGATGGAACTTGATCTTGACTCTTCTGTGTTTGTGGATCAGCCTACTGTTGTAGACTTCAAGCGTCTTTTGGCTCAGATGGGTCCCGCCGAAAGCAGTGATGACTCGAGCAGCGAGGGTGACATGTCCTCCGCTGCATCCTCAACAGACGTGTCTACTCCGAACTCTAGTGGTCTCCCGACTCCTGCCAATGAGAAGTCGATGACACATGGAGCTCAGAAGCAGAATGACACAATGAGGCAGATTACTGCAATCTTGGCTGAGGAGATTGGTGTTGCTCCGGAAGAGCTCGACAATGATGCCAATCTTGGTGAGATGGGCCTGGATTCGCTGATGTCCCTGACAGTTCTCGGTAAGATCCGCGAGGAGTTGGATATGGATCTCTCAGGAGAATTCTTCATTGAAAACCAAACTCTTGGTGAGATTGAAGTTACTCTTGACCTGAAGCCCAAGCCCGCCCCCGCAGAGCCAATCAGACTCCCCGAGCAAATTACTGCTCAGCCCCTGAAGGGCCCCTCCAGCGTTTCCATTCAGCACCCACCAGCGACCTCCATCCTTCTGCAAGGAAATCCAAAGACTGCAACCCAGAGACTGTTTTTGTTCCCTGATGGATCTGGATCTGCAACTTCTTATGCCACCATCCCGGGCATTTCTCCGGATGTGTGTGTCTACGGACTCAACTGCCCGTACATGCGCACTCCAGAGAATCTCAAGTTCAGCCTGGACGAGCTTACAGCTCCATACGTTGCTGAAATCCGCCGTCGCCAGCCAACTGGCCCTTACAACTTTGGTGGTTGGTCTGCAGGTGGTATTTGCGCCTATGACGCTGCCCGCCAACTGATCTTCGAGGAGGGTGAGCGTGTCGAGCGTCTGCTTCTCCTGGACTCACCCTTCCCCATTGGACTGGAGAAACTTCCTCCTCGTCTGTACAGCTTCTTCGACACGATCGGTCTGTTCGGCGAGGGCAAGGCACCTCCTCCCAAGTGGCTGCTGCCTCACTTCTTGGCTTTCATCGATTCGTTGGATGCCTACAAGGCAGTGCCATTCCCCTACTCAGACCCCAACCTGGCTGACAAGCTGCCAAAGACCTTCCTGGTCTGGGCTAAGGATGGTGTCTGCTCCAAGCCTGGAGACGCCCGACCCGCGCCGGCTTCCGACGGCAGCGCGGATCCCCGAGAGATGCTGTGGTTGCTGAACAACCGCACTGACCTCGGTCCCAATGGCTGGGACTCACTCGTTGGCCCCAAGCACGTCGGTGGCATTACTGTCATGGAGGGTGCCAACCACTTCACCATGACACGCGGTGAAAAGGCCAAAGAATTGGCAGCATTTATTGCCAAGTCTATGGCATCGGTGTAATTAATCACTGCATATTGGGTAATAGCTCTGATTTTTTTCCCGGAGTTTTGGATATGGATTTGCTATTTCTCTCATTTGTTCTCATTTGTTCTCACTTTTCTCAGTACAAAAATCACTTCACGTCCTGCTATGCCAATGTGTACTGCATACACACTTGCAGTACCAGCTTTTCATATATCCTAATTATCTAATACAAGATTGTGATTTCCAGGTTTCTTGACAATTTTGATGAGCTGTCACTGGAAAAGCAAAGAAAATAAAGTAGCCCAAATGTCGTCAGTGTTCTCTGGAATACTCAGGAATGACAGGATAAGATGAAAAGGTATTTGTCATTGAGGTAAACTAGTACAAACTACAACAATGTTCGATCTGACACAAAAGTACCAACGATCGGGTAATGGGTTGAAATGCCTGGAAGCAATGGTATGTTGCATCAGAAGCAGGAGTTGGTCCACGGACTGAAAATCGCTCATGTGCAATGGAATGAATGAAACGCCAGAATATGCGAGGTTGTAGCGAGCAGATAAATGGAGCAGATATTGAGCTTAAGCAGCTGTAGGGTTGCAAAGGGTTAAGTTGGGCCGTGGGTCGTGTCTCGACGTCATAGACTTGAATGAGTCTTATGAAAACCGAGAGTGGGTGGATCGGTCAAGCATGAATCATGCCCACGGGTGAGGTTGGTTTAGAGCCGCATCTCCGAGCTGTATCGAAGACCACTGCCCCTGCCGGCAACGCCGCCATTGCCATTCCCGTTACCGTTATGACCAACCCCAGGACTCGTGGGGCGACTTCCGGCGCCCCATTTGGGGCTTCGTGGTTGGGTGCTGGTAGAGCGAGTAGATGGCCTGTTCTTGCGGATTTCGCGGAGCTCGTCCTCCTTTTTGCGCAAAAATTCATCACGCTGTGTAATGGTGAGCCGCAGCTTTTCGATCTCAGCAGCATGTTGATCTGATGCTTTCTTGGCATTAATCTCGTGGAGTTTAACCACATCACCCTCCACTCTGCGCTTCAGTGCCTCGTTCTCGGCAGCCAAGCGGCGGCTCTCGGTGCCGGATTGAGCGGCTGCCGTAGATGCAGTTTGGTACTGCTCTCTGGTGTACTCAGATTGTCCCTTTTCATAGTTGGCCTTGTGGACGAGGTTTTCGTTTTCATTGACTAGACGGCGGATTTCTTCGCGGAGCGTCTCCATTTCAGCAGGAGTGCCACCGCCGTCTTTGAGGGCCTTTCTGGTTTCTTCGAGTTGACTCTTCAATTCTGTTCGCTCCTCTTTCAGCTTATTGATGATAGTGGTTTGCTTCTGAACGCGCTCCTCGTTCGTCGAATTGTTTGCAACCAAATCGTCTCGTTCTTGGCGAATTTTGTGGAAATTACCGGTGCGGCTCTCGTAGCGATGCTGGAGAAGTCCCATCTGCTTCTCTAATTCGCGACAACGGGAATTGGACTGAGCAAGCTCGGTCTGCAGTTCGCGCTTTTCAGTGGCATGTGTGCCTTTCGTTTGGACGAGGACCTTCTCCAATGACCGCAGATCGCGATCAAGCGTTTGGCTAGAAGGCTTACTTGATTCAGTTAACTGGCTGTCTTCCTGAGTACCGACGCGGGCGCGTTTGGAGGAGTTATCCTCAGAACCCTCGTCCAGTGCTCTCTTGGGTGCATGTGGTGGTGTATCGTCAGATGAAGAGTCATTTGATACTTCAAGCTCTTCCAAAGAGACGAGGTTCAAGGGTTCAATGGTAGGTAGTTGCCATCCAGAGGCCCGATCAAGAAGAAAGGCGAGAATTTCTTCGGCATCTTCTTGCACACCCAGGGCATTATCCTGTAGATCGCCAACTTCATCGTGCAAACGGGCAATGTAATGCACAAGCAGATGGAGTCTCTCAATGTCCGGTAGATCAGGCAGGCAGCGTTGAATGTGCTCACTCGTGTTTGCAATGAGGAACCAAATGACAGGAAGCAAATGACCGTTCTGGGCATAGGTAGTTCGAATGTGTTGCATAGAAGGACTTCTAGAGCCGTAAGATGAGTCCAACGCCAGAATAGCGGATGGTGTTTTGAGAAGCTCTCGAGCACTCTCGCTAGAGTGAATGCCAAAGCTCAGAGGGCCCCTCGCTAAAGAGACCTCAACGGCGCTACCCATTTCTTCTCGGGGTCTTGTGTATGCGAAGCCCTTGCCTTGCAGATATCGCTCGAGAATAAGCTGTTTTTTCTCATCCCCGACCACGACGATGAGATGAAGTTCGTTAGTACCCACGAGCTCCATGAGGTGACCGAGGAATAAGAATTTGGCACTTGAGTATTCAGCCCAGGACGCCTCCTTTGTGAGATCAGGCTCAACCCCCTTGAGATGATCTGAGATGTTCAAATCCGGATGGAGTGCGACGTTATTTAGCCGTGTGATGACATTGCGCATGCTCAAGTACAACTCATCTCGCTAGAATATAAATGTCAGATGCTGATCATATCAAATCATGAGGCTGCACTTACATCGGTATTAGAGATCTGGGAGTTTGGCTGGAAACTGCAGAAGAATTGACGTATGTTGGTGGCAGCATCCGACAACACCCGTTCATAGTCGTCTTTCACGCGAGAATCCATTGGAAGAGTGACAGCGAATTCGGATGGCCCTAGCTGAACCGACCCCGGAGCAATTTCTTCCATTCCACCGACCGTCAATGCGCTTGGCTGTATTGTTTGCATTGATTGCTGAGAGATATGGCCCCCGTGTGCTAGTTCCGAGGATGTGAGTAAAGATTCGGAGTGACCATGTTGGACGGCGGTATGTGAATGGGCGAAAGATCCCGAGTCATTTCGGACACTGAGAGGTGCAGTGGTCTCGGGGATAGGTGCAGACATGGTAGCCTCAATATCACCGACCGAAGATGGGGTGTCAATGGCATTGCCCGCGAGGGGAGTTCCGGTTCGGTGTTCCATACCAAGCTGAGCCCAGTCGTTGCGAATCTTTTCCTTGGAGCTAGGATCTGATGAATTGCCCTGTTGGTCCGACTGCGTGGCATAAGGAGAAGAAATGAACGGCTTCTTTTCCTTCCTGTCCATGTTGGCAGGTGGATTCGGCTCCATCAAACTAGATAATGGAAGCATTGGTTTGATGAAAGCCTCGGCACTTAAACTGTGTGATTGTTGTGATGGGGTGCCCGGAAGTGTCTCTGGAATCGAGCTCCAGTGAGATAGGCGTACGTGGACCGGTCCTGTGAATTGTGAGCATGATACAATGGGTGGTCGGGGGAGCATACCTTCAGAGACAGGCCACGGCGAGGCAGTGGGTTGTGACGGGACACTGATGGGATGTTGTGAAGAAGTATGTTGGGAAGCGGGGGACCCGATATGAGATAGACTAGTCCCAGAGAGCTCTGGCTGATCTGGTGTCTCCGGGATCTCGTAGACCTGTGGTCTTGGCACGAGGGCTGTTACTTTCGGTTGCACGAAACCACGCACGTTATGATTGTCCTCAAGAGACTGCTGGTGGTGGAAAGATCCAGCGAGTATTTGTGAAGAATCGAAGTGGTTTGTCTCAAGAGAGGCGCAGGAATGAGAATTACTGGATTGAAGTGTTTCGAACTCGACCCCTCTTTGTCGCTCACCTCGCAACAACTTGGAAGCTATCGATGATTCGGGAACGTATTCCAATACAGAGGAGTCTGTCTGGCGACCCGAGCTGGTGGGTGCGGCTGGCAGGTGCTGAGAGCAACCGGAATAACTCTGAAGTTGAGACGAAGTCTCAGCAAAGCGGGATGAGACCTCTAGGTACTGAGATTGGGGGCTCTCCGGAATCTCCAAGATACTATCTTGATGCGCGGGCGATGAGGAGTTGCACCAACTGATATCGCCCTGATCAAGGTCGAGTTTAAGAGAAATGGAAGAACCGTCCTCTGAGTCTCCGTTTGTTTTGGCGGAGGAAGATATTGTAATGGGCAGAGATGAATGCAGGCTCTCAGCGTATCTGGTTTCGTGTGTGGCTTCCCGATCAAGCTCTCGTGCGTTGCGAGCTTTGCGCTTGTTCCAAATTTGTATAGCAAGTTCACTTGCGTTCTCCTTTGGTTCCTAAATGCGCATAATAAGAGTCCATTTGTAAGTCAAAGTTCTATATGTTTCCTCTGCGTCTTCAGAACTGGAACAAGGCTTGCAACTCACCCAAGTTGGATCGTAAGGTCCCTCCCAATCAATGAGGTATTCTGTGGCTGTTTCGCGAAGTATCCGTTTTATGGGCCACTCCTGAAGGGTGCTTATGTCGCTGCTGTGACTGCTATTACTCAAATTCAGAGTGAAAGCTACAGGTCGGTCAGTATGCTGTTGGTGAAGAATATCGGTTATCGGCATGTCTCGTCCCAAAGCATTATGGGCGGGTAAATGGCAGGGAGATTGAGTGACGTGGGGATAAGTTCAGAGCGGGGATTCAAACCCTTGTATGAGCTCGTGCGAGCTGCATTGACCATAAACATACAGTTTCAAGAACCACGAGACATCCAAGATTCCAACCCAGGCGAGGTATATGAAAGAGGGTAAATGAATGGCGCGCGGCGGACGGGCGGCGCATCCGCTTCACGTGACGCTTATCAGTCGATCTATCGCCCGTCCGCTTCTTCTATACTTCCGAGGTCCAAGGTCCTCGTTATTGGGATGTGTAGTTTGGTGTCGTAAATCAAGAGGATATACATTAGGTACTTTCTGCTTAGACATCATTCAGGTAGTGAATGGACAATTTGCCAAACTGAATCTCTGTTCTAATCACCCATCATGATACGGAGTATGTAGATCGGCATTAGGCCGCGTTGGTTTTGTTTCTAAATCTGAAGTCTATGCCATCCAGTGCTAGCTGTCAAGAATTATAGTTTGCCCTCTTGTTTCCACTCTTCAAATACAAAGCCAATTTCCGCCAAAGTCTTGACCTTGCTTCGCTCATCGCCTCGCTGAACAAAAGCACGCCGAATGTCCGGGAATAGCGCCCGCATCCACCTTTCCCGCTCACCCCACCGAGTACCAAGTTTACCTTGCCCGTTGTTAGGGAGCCCAGGTCGCGGTGTGGCCTTGGCTGCCCAATCGTAGAGAAGGTTAAGATAGTCGGCATCCATTGGGTATGGAAGTAAATGGAAGTTTTTTCCATCTCCTTTGGCTTCAATTTCGGCCTCCTCCCATGCCTTCATCTCTTCTTTGGGTGGTAGTGTGAGCCGGCCCGACCAAACTCGAGAGAAGAGAGCGGCATGGTTCTCTGCCATTGGGAATGGAATCACCCGCTGGGAAAGCACAGGGAAGACGAGCGTAGGATTTTCAATATAGAACAATTGTTGGTAAACATTCATAGTTCGCCATCCGTGTGTAACAGCCGGTGGGTTGAGGGACGACAGGAAAGGATACGAGTAGAAGTACCCAGTGCAGAAGACAACCGAATCAATGTGCTCCTCAATATGGCCATCCACAAATCGTACGCCTCGGTCATGGGTTGCCGAGGGAAGAAACTCGGCGATCTCTGGACAAGTGATTTTCTCATCTGTCGAAGCGGCAGCCATCCATGACTCTGTTCTTTGAGAGACCAAAAGTTGACCTTTACTAAACTCGTTGATCTGCGCGCCAATGTCGAGGGCTGAAGCTGAGCTTCCTACCACGACAACTTTCTTCCCTCGGAAGGATTCCGGGGAATCGTAAAATTTGGAGTGAGAGATTGCCCCAGGATAGGATAAGTTCCAAGCTTGTATTCCTGCGATGTCCGGGACATGTGGGACGGTGAAATGACCACTCGCAACCACCACAGCATCATAAGTGCCGACAGTATCGTTTCGTGTTTGGAGGTTCCTTGTCGTAATGATCCAGTTCTCCGGTCCCGCAGATTGAAAGCTTACATCGACAACCTGAGTCTCGAACTGAATATGGTTCCTGATCTCCTCGGCATATTCTTCGAGGTATTGCTTGACCGTCGGGTGCTTGGGGAAGAGTTGCGTGTCTGCCGGCCATGCTTGATCGGAGTAACGCATCAGATCCTTTGGAAGATTGGTTTCCAATCGATCGTAGATAGGCGATACAAAGTTGGCTTCCCGCCGACTGTCGACTTGGCCGATCCATGTTGGCTTCTCGAGGGCTTCATGGGGGTTCAACTGCGGGACAGTGGTTGACAATGGTGTTTTCAAAGTGTCTGGACTATAGTTCCAAGCTCCTCCCACAGAGCTTCTTTGTTCAAAGACGTCAATTCGTTCAAAATGCCGCTCAGCCAGCAAATATCTGAGTTCGTCAGCATGTTGCGGTCTGTCAGATATCATCAACCCCGCTTACTTGACGGCAGCGAGGCCAGATGGTCCTGCGCCAATGACAGCTACTTTCCTCACGGAATGCATGTTGAATTTGCTATGAGCTGGGTTTCAGTGTGACCCAGCCGAAATAAGGAGATAGGTCGTATAAGTAGCATCCCCGCGACGCCGACGCCAAGCGCTCTCGCCATTGTGGAGCTACGAGTATGTACTCCGTACTGCGTTGAAATGGATAAATCAAATGCGACCAAAGCTGCCTCCTCGGCCTAGTTGCCGATACAAGAAGGTGAGACAGCTTATGAAGTACACTTATTCAAAATGCAATCCAGCACCACCTGGACATGAAGACGCAATTAGTGTTCAACATTATCTGAGCTACTCCGTGAAGCATTGCTGATAGATGTGGTTTCATTGATACCTGTTATATCATAGTGTTACTCGTATAATACCGTAATATTACTCTGGTGTTACCGGACGGAGAGGCAGCTTACGACTTCTTTGTTGCACTAACTGTTCTTTACGCTCCTTCGGCCCCCGACGAACTGCTTTGTGGTCTTTCCTTTGATATCTTTCTCATCGTCTCGAGTATTTATCCCGGCTGATATGTTGTCAAACTGACGAAAGCCAAACCGGGCGTGGTTCGAAATCCCGCGCAATGGAATCGATCGCACAATTTCCCGCGCCGAATGCGCCGGGCTCTCTGACGAAAGTTCCAATCGCTGAGCTCTCTCCGGACCTCGAGCAACCAGCCGACAAATCGATTTTGGCAGTGGTGACTCTAGTCTGGCCTTACTCGTCAGCGCACAAGTCTCTAAGTCTTCTGTTAGCAGAGCCAGATTTTCGACTTCGACGCTCTGAAGGGCAAGTCAAGGTCACATTCCATGGACGCGTTGCAGAAAAGGTCGCGGAGTCACATGTTGGAATCGGCGATAGCATCTGTCTCGGCCTAGCTGGCTCGAGATTTGTCTCCAATGAAGCCAGTCAACAAACACCAGGCCGATCGATCGCGTGGGACGCACACTTTGAAACCGGCGTATGCCTTGAGGTATCTTGCTCTTAGAACTTGATCCCGGTGGTTCGGACTTTTTAGTAACTAATTCCTTGCCATACAGGTTCAACACCCATCCCAAGCCCCCTTGACGGTAAATGTTGAGCACGCGACATCCCCGACAGTAACACAAGAAGCCAGCCTCCTACCGCCAGCAACACCGAATGGAAAATCGATCGATACCGAACAAGGAACCGCTGCTAGTACAGGATCTTGGGGGTCGCCTGCGTTTCTCAAACCATCTCGGCTTTCATTTGGGGGCATAAATCGTGCTACATTCAATCCTTTTGCGGAAGATGATGGATTCGTGCCTGGAAAAGGAAGAAAAAGGCCAGATACAGTCTACAACGAGATGACTGGCGGCTTGTGGATGAGCCGGAGAGCCCGCATGAGCAAGAAGAGGTCTTGGATTGGGAACAAGCTTTGGATCGAGAGCTCGATGAAGCGAGCTCGGAGGTTGAATCAACAGACCCAGCAACGCTGGATGCGGTCGAGATTTCAAAGCCCGAGAAAGATGTAGGAATACAGGAGTCATCACCACCAGTATTTGCAAAGCCTTCTCTTGAGCTCACGGGAAGCATTTTGGAGAGGCGCGCGGAAGAGTCGAACAGTGCATTTTTCAAAGACAATCATGAAGGACATGTGCATCTTCCGACAGACACGCCAAAAATCCGGCCTATTCCTTCTCCCGGGCTGCCGGTTCCTTCGCCGCTCGTGTCCGACCACGCCGGTCTGAACGATTATTTCCCTTCCTGGACATCCTCAGAAACTCAAGAGATCGGTTCAGTTGCGACCGAGATAGCAACTCCGCCAGTGTCGTTTGTCGAGGCAAATGAACTCTACGCCCTGTCCAACAATGTCCATTCACCGCAACCCACTGGGCTAGCTCCTGTATCAGAGGATACGAACATGTTCGATTCTGACTTTCCGTCACACCACGAAATTGGAATAACTCCGGGCTCTCACGACCTTTCATCCGGGCAGCACGATGAGACGATTGACCCATTCTTCTCCACGGTCGCTGGACCGGATTTTACCAACACAGGAGATCAGGTCGACCATTCCGGCGAACGAGCGTCAGTTTTCACTGAAGCTCTGCATAAAGCAAAGAACGATTCTTTCGAATCCATGGACCATGAGCTATCCGCACGGAGTGGTCCTACTCTTGGACCTATCGCTCACCCCATAAACAAAACACAGCTCACACATGCGCAATCACCGGAAGAAAATGCCACAGATCCTCGTCAACAAAATTTCGAGCGCGATATTGAATCCGCTGAGCCAGAGGAAAATATTGAAGATCATTCGCAGTCGGACATTGAGCCAACTCGGGATGCACACTCCACCGCAGATATGGATGTGGATGCTCTCTATGCTCTTGAGAGCATGCGAGAATTACGACAAATGGAAGATCTCGACAAGAGAACTTTCCCTCAAGAAGAGTCTGACAGCGGAGATGAGATTGACGATTCCTCACAAGCCACAGGCATATCCCACGATGAAAGCCCCTACCCAGACGGGGACCAAATGGTTGATGAGGAAGATCGATATGATGATCAATCCGAGGATGATTTTGAATCCCAAGATGACTACGAGGAGGATGCTGTTCAATATGATCAGGATGAAATGAGTTTGGACCGATCTGAGGGGGAAGATTCCGAAGAGGAACATGGCTTTTCTCCCCGTCCTCGGCCCCCGCAATCCCAAGAAATTATCGTGCTTGACAGCGACAGCGACGACGAACCTGCTGCTGAAACTTCAGAGAAGCCCCTTTCGCAGTCCTCGGAAGAAGCCGATCGCGAATCATCCCGCGCTGGATCTGCCGATTCTGCTCTTATCTCCAATGATGCCAATCTGGCCCTGAATGTGGAGGAGGAGGAGGAGGAGGAGGAGGAGGAGGAGGAGGAGGAGGAGGAGGAGGAGGAGGAGGAGGAGGAGGAGGAGGATGATGAAGAGGACGAAGGGGACGAAGACGAAGACGAGAACGAGCAGGAAGAGGAGAATTCATGGGACATGGGTTCGAAACAAGGCCAGCTTGCGGCCAGTGACGATGAGCTCGAGGATGATGAAGACCAAGAAGCCGGCGACGACCGCGGATTAAATGATGAAGCAGACGCTTTGGTCCATGGTAGTGACAAGGAAGCTGAATCGTCAGTGCAAGAAAGTTCTGATCAGGAAGAGAATCAAGTCATGGAAATTTCGGCTCCTTTCCACGACACCAACAGCGGACACAGACACATCACCGACCCTCAGTCACCGCCTGAAGCTCATAGGTTCGACGTACAGGCCTTGGACGACAATAATCAGGCCTTGGATCATGATAATCGTTCTCTGGCAGACACAAATCAGAATGATGATCAAGATTCCACAGCCGGGAATGAAAATCGTGAAACTGGCGACGAGCAAGATTCACACGTTTACCCCCAAGACCATGCAGACAAGTCATACAATGTGGACGGGCCAGCCGACTCCCATTCCCCTCTCAGCGGTGAATTAGATACCGCAGATTCGGTCATAGGACAAGTTTCGACTCAACAAGTGCCCGAAACACTGGACAATTCCTCGTTTGTTGAGACTCGATTCGAGCTAGTCCCAGACTCTACTCAAGAGGCTGCAACTCTCCAAGGCCACAGCCTTGAATCCGAGTTTGAGATCACATCTACTGTTACCGAACAGGCTCCCGCGGGTTTGGACTTGACCTCGCAGGTTCTGTCCTCCGGGTCTGAAGATTTGAACAGAGATGCCACAGCTCACCCAGACGACCAGGCGAATCAAGATAGCGGCAGTGAGGATGAGGCCGTTTCTGCCATGGAGTTTGTTGAGACTATCGAAAATCCAGAGCGTGTCCCTGCCGCTCCAGAGGTTGTGATTCCACAGGGGCCTTTTGAAACACCCTCAGTGGTCGTGCAGCCCCCCCGACCCTCGATCGCGACGACCCCGAACCACGCAGTCAGCTTTCCGACTTTCCCAATCTTGCTGCACTTGGCAATCATCAAAACGCTTTGGTGGATACACTTTCCATTGTCCAGAGTGTTTCGCCGATCAGTCGACCCAAATCAGGCGCCAAAGATTGGGTAATGAGTGTCGAACTTACCGACCCATCTATTGCTGGTATGACTATGAATGCTCAAATTTTTCGCCGGTACAAGTCAGCTATGCCGTCTTTGACTGAGGGCTCTGCCGTTTTGCTTCGCAGCTTCAAACCACAACCCCTGGAGGGCATCATTACGCTTGTCAGCGTCGAGTCTAGTGCTTGGACGGTCTTCGATGACTCTGATCGAGATACTGAGATCAACAGCTCTGGTTTGGAGGAACGTGCATATGCGTCTGGCCTACGTCGATGGTATACCGAAGTCGGCTCTGCTAGTGTTGCAGACTACATCCTTCAGGCATCAATCGAAAGAGAAAGCATTGATCGCGAGCTGTCGCCGCCCAACAGTGAAGTGCCCAGCGAGCTTGGAAGTCCAGGTTCTAGACGTGGTTCACGCAGAAGGCGAAGCAACCAAAGAGTCACTATTCATGAACTGCGGGATGGCACCCGCTACACAGAGATCGGATCTCCCAACAATCGGAACAGCAGTGTTCACGAGTTGCGAGATGGTACTTTGTATGCCAATCTCTAAAGTTATCTATGAGGATATCGATCCCTGTCGCCATTCATGTATGGTATCTAGCTTGCAATCTTCAAAAAAAAAAAAAGATACAACGGACTTCTGGCGCTATATTTCTTTCCACCCCCACCACCCCCATCCATGTATAAACATCTATTCTCTATCAACGTAATGAACATATCAACAGGCGTATCATCATGAAATGTCTTTACATCTTCGACTGCTTGTCAGTACCGAAATACTCCGCACTGATAGCAGCCCTGATCAACTGGTTCGCAATTGCGGTAGGTGGAGGTAACCGCAAACCGCCCTTGTACTCTGCACCCGCATCAGCGCCCAGGTTACTGGCGCCAATGCGCAGCGCCTCCTCAACCTCCTCGACCTCAACCCAACGCGCATCCTCCAACTCAGGATCGTGTTGTAAAGAGATCTTTTCGTGCTCTAGGTCACTGACCTGTGCAAGAGCACCAATCATCAAGTTGGCCGGGTAAGGCCATGGCTGAGATGAGTGGATGACGACACGGGACAGAGTCACGCCCGATTCCTCCCAGACTTCTCTGCGCACAGCATCTTCCACCGACTCCGCTGGCTCAATGAAGCCAGCAAGCGTCGAGTAGAAATTCGGTGGGAATCGCTTATTCCGTCCGAGCAGCACACGCTTTCCGTCCGCCGAGACCACCGCCACGATGATCGTGGGGTCAGTGCGCGGGAAGGAAAGGTTTGAAAGTGTTGTACGCGTGTTACACTCCGGCCGCTCGACTGTGGTGCCTTCGGCAACTCGGGCGGCGTCTGTCGGTGGGCATGCTCGCTTGGTTCCTGCATTGATGGCCAGAGTGCGGTGCCCGCAGGTCCCGCAGAATGTGTTTCGAGTGTTCCAGTCCATGAGCGCGCGAGCTTGCGCATAGATTGCCGCTATTTCGATGTAAGCAATTGTCAAACTTTTGGTGCGAGGGTCATCTACCTTCGTCTGCGGAGAACGTCATGTGAACTCGCGATTGGAAGAACGACAGTCCCTTCGCCTCGACGGCGCTAATGACATCCTTCGCTGCGGCTTGCTGTTGCTCGGAGCCCCTTGGGGTCACATCAACTGCAAAGTAAGGCGTTCCCTGGTAAACTTTGAATGACAATCCTCCTTCCTTGCGACCCTCGTCCAGTCCCAAGAATATCAGGGTTGCTTGCGTCTTGCGCGAGTCGAAATTCTTGAGCACATCCTCTTCGGATGCGTCATAGGTATCCCGGGGAACAAGAGGCTGAACATCTTCATACTTGGCTAGGTGAAGTTGTGTCGATGCTGTGGTCAACGGTGCAAGGTTGTTCAACAGCACAAATCGCGCGGAGGGGTGCTTTAGGGCTGTAGACAGGAATGGGTGATCAGTGCGCAGGAATGACAGGCGGTTGATTGGAGAGCCTATATGATCTATCAGCCGGGGGTGCTCTGGCCACCAGAGAAGAACAATTCACTTGAGAAGTAATTCACGGTTTCTCTACCGAAATGCCTAGACAGCATGGAATCGACAAGAGTATGGGCAGGCTTTGGGATCTGTGGGATTGGAATCATCTTGTAAAACTTATTTCAAACGGAAAAAAGGACAACAGAAAAATTCAATAAGATCAAAAGATTATATTGAAGAGATCAATCACGAACAGAGAAACCGGCTGAAGCGCGGGCATCGCATTAATCAGCCGGTGACCTCGGGATAATCATACGCTCCTGATACACGATACCATGCGGAGTTCCTCCGATAGGTATTATAAAAATGTGATGTTACAATGTTTCACGGTAATGCTATTACCGCAGAAGCGGGGGACATGTCCCCACACACGTGACCGTCTTTCTTTTGACTCTTATCGCAAATCGCAACCCTTCGACTGCTTGGAAGTGATAGACACTGTCAGACATCATGGGCCATCTGGTGACTCTAGCAACATGGTAAGTGACTCAGGTTGACATGCGAGGCTGCACCCTAACAGCTCCTTCTCTAGCTCCCTCAATCAGTGGGCTCTCGACTTTGAGGGCAACGCAGAGCGCATTATTGAAAGTATCCGACAGGCTAAAGCTGCCGGCGCTACCCTGCGTGTTGGTCCGGAGCTTGAGATTACCGGATATGGCGTTCTCGACGGATTCCTTGAAGGTGATACCTTTTTGCACTCTTGGGAGATGCTCGCCCGCATCATCGACCACCCAGATTGCCAGGACATTGTGGTCGACGTGGGGCTGCCAGTCCGTCACCGGAACGTGCGCTACAACTGCCGAGTGATTTTCTATAACCGGAAGATCATCTTGATCAGACCTAAGATGTGGCTTGCCAATGACGGCAACTATCGCGAGCACCGACACTTCACACCTTGGCAGCGTCCACAAGAGGTGGAGGATTATTATTTGGAATCAATTGTTGGAAAGATCACCGGGCAATACAAGGTGCCCTTTGGTGATGCGGTTATTAGCACCAGAGACACTTGTCTTGGTCTTGAGACTTGCGAGGAGCTGTTCACTCCAAATGGCCCTCACGTGCCCTACGGTCTCGCCGGAGTCGAGATCATCTCCAATTCTTCTGGCAGCCACCACGAGTTGAGGAAACTTGACACCCGTGTGAACTTGATCACTCAAGCTACGAAATTGAGCGGTGGTATCTACCTCTACGCGAACCAGCAGGGATGTGATGGCGATCGCCTGTACTATGACGGATGTGCCATGATTGTCGTCAATGGTGATGTTGTTGCTCAGGGCTCTCAGTTCTCGTTGAATGACGTTGAAGTCGTTACTGCTACAGTAGACATTGAGGAAGTTCGAACCTACCGCTGCAGTGCCAGCCGTGGCATGCAAGCGAGCAAACAGTCGCCCTATGTCCGTCTGGATCTCGATATCAGACTTTCTCGCCGCGGCGAAGATGCTGAGCCTAGTTTGGCCACTTCACAGCCCATCAAGCCTCACTTCCATGCTCCCGAGGAGGAAATTGCCCTGGGCCCCGCTTGCTGGCTGTGGGATTATCTTCGGAGATGCGGTGCGGCTGGCTTCTTCCTACCTTTGAGTGGTGGTATTGACAGTTGCGCTACTGCGATCATTGTACACTCCATGTGCCGTGAAGTCCTCAAGGCGGTTCGTCAGGGCAACGAGCAAGTCATCAAGGATGTCCGTCGTCTTTGCGCGAAGCCAGCGGACTCAGACTGGCTTCCTACTACCACCCAGGAGATTTGCAAGTAAGTTGTTGCCTCGAGATTGATCAGGTTCTATTGGGCCAATGCTGACAACATTATGCAGGTGTATCTTCCACACCAGCTACATGGGCACACAGAACTCGGGCCATGAGACACGAGACAGAGCGACTCGACTGGCTGGAGATATTGGGTCCTACCACATTGACTTTAACTTTGATACTGTCATCACCTCCATCATGAATCTCTTCACGGTGATTACCACCTTCCAACCCCGATTCAAGATGCACGGCGGCTCCCCTGCTGAGAACGCCGCTTTGCAAAACGTGCAAGCCCGTCTCCGCATGGTGCTGTCATATCTCTTTGCTTCATTGCTACCCACAGTCCGCCAGCGCCCCGGAGGAGGTGGTCTGCTGGTTCTTGCCTCCTCGAACGTCGATGAATGTCTTCGAGGCTACCTCACCAAGTACGACGCCAGCTCTGCGGATCTCAACCCCATCGGATCCATCAGCAAGGTTGATCTGAAGAAGTTCATTTCCTGGTCCGGCGAAAGCTTCCAGCTTCCTATCCTCGAGGAATTCATCAACGCAACACCCACAGCCGAGCTGGAACCTATCACCCATGACTATGTTCAATCTGATGAGGCCGATATGGGTGTCACATATGCCCAACTGGGTGTCTTCGGATACTTGAGAAAGGTTTCCAAGCTGGGCCCCTACTCTATGTATGAGAAGCTCCTTCATCTGTGGGGCAACGAGTACAGTCCTCGTGAGATTTATGAGAAGACAAGACACTTCTTCTACTACTACTCAATCAACAGACACAAGATGACTGTGATCACACCCAGCTACCATGCTGAGCAGTACTCTCCTGAGGATAACAGGCACGATCTTAGACAATTCTTGTGTAAGTTTTATCCTACCAATCTGCTTGACGATGGGCTGTGGCTAACTGATTTCAGATCCCCCCTTTACATGGGCTTATAAGAAGATGGAAGATAATGTGAAGTATTGGGAATCGAAGGGGTGGACTACTGCCAAGGGGCAGAAGAAAAGCGTCAAGGCTGATTAGATGAAATGTGTGATATTGGTAGAATTCGATTTATTCTTCGCATCTCATAGAGTTGAGTGTGGATAACATGGTGGTCAATCTGATGACTTTTGAAACTCAAAGCGTAGCTCCTGGAACGACAGCACCGTAAGCAAAAATGAAGGAAAGCTAGAAACGCCGAATGGGACCCATCGAAGGACCATGCAAACTTGGGAATTTTGAGGTAGACAAAGGAAAATCGCGCTGAATGACATGTCTGGTTTCAGTTTTCATGCTGAAGCCATACAAGGGGGAAGTTGTTCATTAAGGTATCAAAGGAGAGAGCGGCTCAGTCCTTCCAAAACCAGCCATTCTTGGAATTTTGGGAATCAGAGGCTTCATGTTGAGGGTGAGATACCTCCACAGAAGAATCTTCTTCTTCTCGGCCGTCTGCGAAGCGCTTTGTTTTAACGATGGTACTTTTGACAGAGCCATCGGGTAATTGTACGCGCTCCGTCCGGGTCATGGTAGAAACCACTCGAGATAGTTGGTCGGAGGCATGGTCTGGAGAGCTCTCGGTGGAACCGTGTGGTGTTTCATAAACAGATTCTTTGTTTCCACCAGACACTAGATCGATACGGGGATCATTGCTATCGCTGCGTTCATCGGTTTTGGGTGGACCACTTCGATGATTGTCGAACTCTTCTTGTTGTTGTCTTTTCTCTGCTAGAAGAAGTCGAAGGAGGGGGCTCTCAGAGACACCACTGAAGAATTCGCGTTCCCTGTTTTCAATGTCGGATAAGAAACGTTCGTACAATTCCAGCTCTGTATCGGCGCTTGTAGATACGTCGTCGATCTCTTTCTCGGGTACAGACCGAGAGCGACTTTGATCCTTCTCTTGATCTTGGTGACCTGCGAAAGTGATGCCGGACCAGGGTTGGTTCTCCGTTCCAGGCACGAACCTCCACTGATCACCCAAGCTGCCTCGTTTGACGAGCCCATGCAACCAATCTTTTCCTGACTCGGATTTTCCAGTGGGATCGCGATTTAGCATTGGCTTCCCGTTTTCAAGCCGGAGAAGGTCCTCAAATGCCTCCCTCCATTGTGGCTCTGACGAATCACGTTCAGAATCGAGATATAAGGAAGACATTATAGATGAGAAGATGCCCTCGTCGCGATGAGCGTGGTAGTGTGCTTGGCGCTCTAAGTGGAGAGGAGAGTAGGGGCTGAACATGATATAGGCGATCGGCCAAGTAGGCGAGGCGGGGTCTTCAAACATATCCGGAAAGAGGCTGTGACTGGAGTGGAATAGGTGTGAGGCGAGTGGAAGTAAGAAGGAATCAAGGCCGAAAAAGTCGGATGGTCCGTTGTACCATCTCTTGGGGTGGTGTTCGCTGTCGCGATCGCCGCCACGATAATTGTCGGTCTGGCGGTCTCTGTCTGAGTTATTGCCGGTCCTTTGAAGCGCCCCTCTGCTTTCGTAGCCGTGGTCTTCGGTGAATATTTCCCAACGGTCATTATGAGGTGGCGTCACTGCTGAGGGTAGACCTGTGATAGATTGAAGCAGGGTGGATACCTGTTCGTCGGCATAACGGCGGAAGGCAACGAATGGGTTTGCTTCATCATGCCATTCATTGCGGTTGCGATCGTTGCGGTTGTTGTTTTTGTCGTCTGTCATGATTTCCAAAGTCCCAGGCTGATACAAAGTAGGATTCGAGATGAGGAAGAAGAAAAAGTGAGAGGGCTGATACATGTTGGGGATGGCCCCACTCAGCCCGACCGATTGGACCCACGTGATCCCCAATGCTTATCTTGGCTCTCTGCGTCACCTTTTCTTTTGGTCTTTTGTTTTATTCTTATGAACCATATACTTGTGTTGAAGGTCATTGTCAATATCATGCATTACCCCCATTGTTTGACAGGGTTTGGCGCATTTGGTGGGCAATGGTAGTTTGGTTCCTCATTGCGGGTACTAGCTCTGTTTTCGATGACCTCATAGGCCTATTCCTACTTTTGCCGATGTTTGCCGTCAAATTCTCACCTGTTTACTTGGCTCACTTAGCTTTTCCACTGAATCTGTTAGACCGAGAACCTGGCTTGAAGCACTTGGCTATTTGCCTTTGTATATTCAAAGCTCTGATTATGGTATTCCTGACTCAAGTTAGCTCGGAAGTTGCCTTTGCGGGTACTTTTGTTGTGGTCATTTTTCCGATATAACCACGAACGCCGCATCCGCAGACTAGCTCGTCATGTGGACTACGCTATACCCTGAATCTCCAAGGTTTGGACTCGGTCGGCCTAGTGGAAAAAGTTGATGCGTCTTGAAAAAAATGATCAAAATTGCCCAAGGCTTACACCTACATCCGATCTAGAATGTGATTTCAGTCATCTGTCAACCTTCTATATTAATCGGTTGATGTATGTCCCTTGCGATTTAAGGGGGAAAAACCAACTTATTGAAAATGCAGTGTGGGTAGTGTTATATTATACACAGGCTCATGATGAGGGCTATATACATCCGCCTCATGAAAGATGCTAAAATTAATAATCATTGTAGTTTCTGCGATGAGTGATGCCATCCATAGATGGCCACCCCCTGGGCCTTTGTCCTCGCGCATCAGGCGATTGCGACCTCGGGATATGCCACTGGTGACAGAATGCCAGGTCGAAAACCAGCATTATGACAGTATCAAGTGCTAACAGCACACGACCAGCTGGAGTTTGCTGAGCTCTCTTTCAAAGCTCTACCGGAGACGTAAAGCCCGGCTCCGCACTGAAAAGTCTGAATTAGTTTACAGTGACCAGATGGGAAGATGAAAACATACCATGAACAGGCCAATGCCCAAAATTATAAGATTGAGAATGGTAAGACAAGTCTTTGAAACCGTGGACATATAACGGCCCTTGTTCATGTAGAGCCAGAAGATGGCCGGAATGGCGTCTGCGAAATTAGTATCATCTCGAAAAGTGGGAAGTTGACAGAAGCTTACAACTCAGAATACTTCCAAATAGGGCGCTCTGAGATGATCATTAGTAATTAAACGTGAGACCTGTGGACTTCAATGGGCGAGACTTACGATGAAACTCAGGAGATCATTGAACCCGGGGATAGACTCGGCAATGATCCATGCAATAACCCAAAGGAGGCCTGCAATTCCAACCCACGTTCCGATGCCAACAAAACTGTTTCTATGCATATGGCTCGAACCGCGGAGGATTCGAACGTATACATATTTGCAATTGACGTGACCGACGACAATACCAGCAATGTAAACCTATATCCGGATCGAGTAAGTCAACAAGATATTGATTAAGCAGGCGAGCAAAGTAGGACATACCGTTGGAATCGCCAGACCAAAACAAATTCTCTTCATCAGTGGACCCGCAGAAGATGGAGCAGGGGACTTGACATCCTGGCCAGAATATCTGTAAATCACAAGACCCGCCACGAGATACAAGACAGTATCGGTGACCTGCAGCATAGCAAGGGCCTTCGGAAACTCTTGTGGGTTCTGAGTCTCAGAGATAAGTCCAAAGAAGGTGACATGAACAACTGGCGTCGCAGGTTAGTGGGCGATTCAGAATTGAGAAAATGGTAGGCTGAAAACATACTAAATCCAAACATGATGTTGGTAAATGCCAGGAATCCCTCATAGAAGCTGATCTGCCGGAAGGCATGATACTCAACGGGATCTTCAGACTGCACTCCAATGCTGATCATGGTCACAAGAGTAGTGATCATGATACTTGCGAAGGCTGGAAGAATAGTTAGAAACATGATATCAAGAGGTTTGACTGGACTTACAGATAGTTGATAGCCAATACACGCGGGACATCGTGCGTGGGAGAGCACCGATGAAACAAACGATCAGTGAAACGACACCAAACACGATGCCACACACTGAGCTTTTGCTGATGGTGCTCAGCAAGATAGTTCCAGTGAGGATGTGACTTGCCATCACAAAGATCAATAATAAGAGCTGTGCAATTTCGAGCAGCACACGTCCAACGGGGCCGAAGATGATTTCTCCAGCATCACCCATACTGTGGACATGTGGGTATCGAACTTTGAACTGTCCGATGATGTAGCCCGTATACCATGACAGAGCTGATAGGAAGACAATCAGAATTGCAGCACTGGATACTCGAGTCAGTCAAGGATGAACATCAGATCGAGCACAGCTCATAGGCCGACACATACGGAACCATTCCGAGAACTGCCATAGTGGATGGAATGGAGAGGATTCCTAGAGAGACGTTCTCCGCAATCATGACTAGAGAGATAGGTTAGTAGTGATCGTCATGCGTGCAGAGGATCATCATACGCATTCCACACTGCCTATTTTGAATCATTGTTAGCCTCATACTACTTTCTTAGTGGGCAGGATTTGGATGCAGAACGTACCACCATGTCATTGTACGGTACTTTACTTCAGCAACATCTTCAGATCCGAATGGATCATTGCTTGCTGATTTTTTGGCCTCATGCTGGACATCTGAGTCATTCCCCTCAAGATCATGTGGCGAAACTCGTCGCTCAGAGTCTTCACCCATGGCCTCGCCCATGACCGCTGTATCTGGATGGGTCTGCTTGAGCATGATGGATGGTGGTGAGGAGAGATTTGAAATATTCGAGGCCTGTTGGGTTTTAACCAAAGTGGACCACGGGATACCAACACGGAATTGGGACGTGAATTTGCCAGCTAGCAATCTTTCGATCAATTAAGTGGGCACAGAGTGGGACATCACCTCCTGGGCTCCATAATTTATAGATTTTTCCAGAAGATTATGGTTTTAAAGTGGACGACATCATGTTTACAATGTCATTCTTTGTTTGGGATTCGATGAGATCGGGGCTTGTTGAGATTGATTAACCACTCCAATTCTCTGAGACAACAGCTCTACGGAGGTCCGGAGTACATTTTGCAGAGTTTTTTGTATGGAGTCAGGGCAAATGCCCGCTTTCGTTCGCGCTGTGGAGATTTTGATTCGCTGTGACGAACACGTGACACATAAAAATTATGTAAGAGAGCTGCTGACCAATGAAATCCCGTGACTGTCTGTTTTCTTTATGTGGGGCCTCAGGAGAAAAACACGATCCTAGCGTCTCGGTCCTGCCCATCTGACCATACACATGGCACTTGGTGAAGAACGTCCCACTTTTATACGCCGATCCCCGAGCTCAAGAGGAGCTGTAGCTGATGATCTTCCATCTCCTTGCCGCTTTGCACAAGCGCCATTTAATTGAATTGAAACCCTGGACGAAGCGAGGTTGACAGCTCCCGTGAACCGTGGGGCACCTCGGCATAGCGAGATGTTCCAGCAAACTCATGCGAAGAGTTTGGATGGCGTAGCTCGAGATCGATTGTCTCACAATCACACCAGGTTCCAGCGCAGCTCTATGCAATGAATACACTAACAATCACTGCCGCATATTGGCCTGTTGGTCCAGTGATCTGGCTATCGCGGGCCTGACTTGTGCACCAACTAACTACGTTGCATTGTTTGGTCCCACCTTTGGTACTAGTAGTACAACAATGATCGATCGATGGAGACAGGTCATTCTGGGCTTTGTCTAGACCGACAACAACAGACCACGGATGTACGGAGTACAAGCGACGACCAGTTGATCTTTGATCTCTCATCGGCTCTTTATGGAGTAAAATGACATTTCAGAATGTTCATAATAAATTCGCCACGCATGAATTTGAAATTCGGAGTGACTTACCATTTGACTACACTTGACTTTCCACCCCCAAAGGATTGCAAATTGAGCCTACCAATTGATGAGATGAAGGTTCGCAGATCAACGCTATATGAACTAAACATTCTGGTGCTGCAACATGATCCCGAAATCCCACAACTCCGTGCCTTCCTTCTCTCTCACATTCCCTCAGTGCCGAAGCACCTTTCACACCTGGGCAGTGGTTTTTCAGGTGCCGCCGGTTAACTCGCCTTGGGGTAAGCGTCTTTTAGACTATTCAACTGAGCGCCCAACGGCTTGTAAGCTGTGTCGATGCGAGCGGAGCATGAAGGGGAAATCTCCTTGATTCGAGACGTGTAGTTCTATATAAAGGATCAGTAGACTCCGTTAACAAGGTATGAAGTTTACCTACCACCAAAGACTGTTCGGCTGCCAGAATATATCCGTGCATCTTCACGGCATTGTCGTCATTTCCATTCTGCTGGTAGAACTTCAATCCATCGGCCACATGGAGGAATCGTAACTGCGAATGCGAAAACTGATCGTGTTGAAAGGTTGAGATGTCAGAAACATTTCCAATTGTACAATCAATACAGACGAAGAATTTATGTTCAGTGTACTCACGTGCTCATAAGCATCACAGATATTGAGCTGGTCTGTCGGTGTCACATTGGCATTGCATTGCAAATCCTGGTTGAGATGATTTGTTTGAGTCAGGTAGTTATTGTAGATCGGCTGGAAGACACTTGGTTAGATCATATTTCCGACAGGCCAGCTTGAGCACGAAAAACCACTCACACCAGACGGGTCTATATTGTTGTTGTTCGTGTCAACCAGTAGTTGCATCTTGTCGGCCAGATACTGAACTGCTGACAGTGAGAGAACAACATCGTCTGCGGTGCATATTCTCTGGGCACAGGAAAAGCCAATCATGGCAAAAAGGCCACATAGCTTCATGATAGTCTTCATAGTGACGGAAATTGGTAGAGAAGATGGGACTTGCTTCAGATTGAGAGGAAGAACTCTGGGTGGAAGGAATAAAATAATCAGGGCTGCAGCGTCTTCATATAAAATGCAATTCATCAAGGTGTCACAGGTCTGTTGGTACAGCTTTCTGGAAAGAACTACAGGGTCATGGCTCTGAGTATCTTCAATGCATGTGGTAAGTAAAATCATGGATAAAAAGCTCTGGTCAGGTCCATTATTGGCTGGAAAACATATCATCCTATATGGTTGATCCGTTACTCCGACCTCGTTACGCCATTTCCTGGGTCATGCCATAGCTTCAGAAAGATTTGAATTGACGCGGCCACAATTCATGGATCTTCTGCATTCTCTGTCCTATCACTAGAGCAGCTCGCTGGTGATTCTTCATAACAGTTCCTTGATCACTCAATCTGGGCACAGCTCGCTGTCAGATTAAAGAAAATCAAGCCAGAACATATTAGGCAGACACCCCGCAAAGATACCCCACGGGGCTTGGAAGTCGCCCCAGTCAGTATATTGGGCCTTGGGGACAAGCGACGCATGGTTACCCAGTCATGCTCTTTCCACCACCGTTACTCTGTATTGCTCTTCTCCTTTCCTCCGGTAGTTCCGCCCCATAGAATTAGTCGACTTTTTTGTTCACATCTTGCTTACTCGGCAGTTCTGTTACAAGTCTCGAGTACGTATCAAGTTGCGTTGAAAATTGATTGGCTTTGGCCTTGGAAAATTTGTAAGACCGTATGACACTTTTCCTGAAAGCCATCCCTGATCCTACTGCAAGTGTAGTCATATTGAGCTAGCATATTGGATTCCAGTTTACATAACGAGTTTTGAGATGAATTTTGATCCATTCGGCCTGTGTAAACATCTTCGTTTCATAATATTGATTCCCGTGTGGTGCATGTCAATCAAAGCCAACCCAGGTGCTGGTCCGCACGCCAACAAACTTTGGGCCAGCTTTAGGCTACACCAAGACTAGGATACTTCCAGTTAGCTTTGTTACAGTACTTCTATCTACTATGATAAGCCATGTTCCCGGAGAAAGTTCCCTGGGCTCTATCTTGTGCCCCAGGAAGCCTTCAACAAACCGCATGATCCCGTTTGGTCTGTGATTCATTATCAGCCCCAAAGAATGTTGATTCTCCTCCAGCCAGTGGCTTGGGGTGGAATAGTCTCAGGACTTTCATTTGCAAGCTGAAGGAATCCGCGAATTGGAATCTCATCCAACGGAACAAGCCGAGTCTTTTGCCAAAACTTGTAGCCGAAATATAGAATGAAGATTAAGGGAATGTTGAAATAGGATGACACAAAGGTCTCCGGACTCCAGTTTCCATCAATGAAAACGTAGAAACCACCGGTAATCAAGATGATGACGAACCCAACCAGAGCTATCCATGCTGCATATGGCTGGAATGGGCTCTTCCAAGGAAGCTCCGCGCGGTCGATGTTTTGCTTCTTGCAGCCGTAATAGAATCGGAGATAAATGATCTCGATGTTGATCCAGTGCACCAGTGAAGCGGCAGAGACCAGTTCTTGAAGCCAATCAAACACGACAGAAGCTGCGGACGAAAGTGTCATATATCCTAAAGCCAGGAAAGATCCCACAGCAGCGACTGATAGCCAAGGGACTCCAAAGCGGTTAAGACGAGTCAGAACTTTTGGGGCATGGCCCTCTTGAGCGAGACCGTACAGTGTCCTAGTTCCCACAAGCATTGCTATTTCTATATTAGAATATTTGCTGCGGCTGAAAGAAGAATACTTTTACTCACCAGAGTTTCCAGCGCTCCATGCACTTGTCACAACAACGGCATTGATGATTGAAGGAACCACCTTGATACCGACATTGGTGGCCGCAATCGCGAAAGGGGACGCCCCGGCATCCCCAGAGTCAGATAACAGTCCTTTGTCGTTAGATGCAACTATCAAGCCCATCATGAAGATAGTGATCATATAGAAGATCAAGATCCTCCAGAAAACTCTTTGGGCAGCTTTGGGGATGTTGTAGCGGGGGTTCTGCGTCTCAGCTGCGGCAACTGAGATATTCTCCACGTTGGAAAACGCATAAGCGGCGCTGCTCAGAACTCGCCAGAATCCTAGGAACTGTCCCCATGAGCCCGGTATGCCGAGAAATTGGACAAATGGTCCAGGATTGTGCCAAAACCGGAATCCCATGGTATAGCCCTGTGGGCCAGCGCCAGAGGTTATGCAGATACTCTGAGGGATAGTTCAGCAAATGGCCTTTCAATGGGAAATAGAAGAATTTACCATGATATTCACGCCAATGATCAGCGCAATCTTCATCATCGCAAATATGAACTCCAGTTCGCCATAAATACTGACCAAGAGCATATTGGTCAGAACCAGAAGTCCTCCCAGAACACTGATCCAAACGGCGTGGTTAATGTCAGACCAGAAGTCTATGATCACAGCACAAGCGACCATCTCTGCCGGCAATAATATTGCATTTGCATAGACACTGTTCCAGCCCTGAGCAAACGAGAGCGCAGGATCGACGAACCATTCGGCATGTCGTATGATTCCACCTGAAAGAGGTGCCAATGCACTCAACTCAGCCACAGAGAAAACCACACAGCAGATGAGCATTCCCACAAGGGCATATGCTATCAACATGCTGAGTGGGCCACCCCTTGCTAGCGACTTTCCCGTTGCGAGAAAGAGGCCAGTGCCAATTGTACCGGCCAAAGCTATCATTTGAATATGTCGCTGTTTCAGGCCTCTCTTTCTATTGTCAAGCTCCGAGATGACTGCCTGGGTTTTGGAGTTATCTTCTCCCATTGGAGTACCCTTAAGGTAATCCCTCTGTTCATCTTCGCGATTGGTGATCTCATCATTGTGCTCTGGGTCTTGAACACTACTCTCCATGGCGGAAGAAGAAAACCTCAAGCAGATGGGAGACGAGAGGTGCGTATGGCAATAGAGTTGGATATAAAGGGTCGGTGAGAAATACGCAGTATCCTTGTTGGTGCAGGAAGGAGAGGCTAGGGGGAGAATCCAAAGCCAACTAACTGCCTGGGTGCAAGCAAGTTAGAATAAACAAGCGATTTGAATGAATTCCGGGAAGACTTCAACTGTTGACTCACGAATAATCATCTCGCTAATTTACTTTGGACTACTCCGTATCTATCTGCTATCTTTAATCTGGCGCTCGGACGCGATCAGCCCTGTGAGCACCGAAATCGGGACCACTCAGGCGGGGTATGTCACACTTGATATCGAATCCTTCGACCGGGGAGTGAAACTCGTCTTCCGGAGGTAGACCATGCCACACTGTTTAGGTGTCAATCAACATACAAAACCCTTGGAACCAACCTTGGAAACAACGTAGACCAACACCCACTCCATACTCCCCACGGAGTACCATGTCATCTTGATTGATCTCCTCTTTCCTTTCATTTCTCGTCTCTCACGATCTACACTGACTTATAATTCGTTTAATTTTCTCAGACTCTCAAGGTTGGAGGTATGCGGGTGCATTCGCAATTTTTCATCTTCATTTCTCTCAATTGAGCGAATATAAACAACCTTGATCATATTGAACGAGTCCCGGTGTCCTCATCTTACTAAATGTTCAATTTATAGATGTTAACTATATACAGGAAAAAACACGCGAAGAATTGATATCAAGTCTCAAACACCAGATGGGGTATTCCAAGATCACTCGCCGCAAGACTCCGTGTCTCGCTTCTAGCGCCCGCTTTCTCCGACTCCCTTTTGGGTAGTCATGACTCGGTTGAGGCTGTAGGACTTGATGAAAAAGCTGGTCATGAAAATCAACCCACAAATACCACAGCAGAAAGCCCATACAACTTTCAAGCTATCAGCATAAGCTTCTCTCAGATGATCCTTCGTTGGGACATCTACCATGGCTTGGATCATCTGCACGGCACTTGCTGCCTCGCCGCTGTACTTTTCCGCACTAGATCGCAAATCCGGATACGTCAAGAGATTACTCTTCATGCGATTCTGGAAGATGACACCACCAATGGCCACTCCGATCGACTGGCCGAATCCTCTGAAGAAAGTCGACATGGCAACTGCAATAGCCAGGTTTTCTGGTGTTGCCGCAGCTTGGACTGCTAGTGGAACAGATGGAAGTACCATTCCGACCCCGACTCCAGGGATCAGATTCACACATATCCATTTGGCAGTGGAGGCCTCCGCGTCGAGGAGGTACATCAGACCGGTCCCGAGGGTGGAGATGCCCCATCCAATGCAAATGGCCCAGTAGTAGTTGCCAAGTCTGCTTATAAACAAGCCTACCACAACCGCACTTGGGGCCAGAGTGAAGGTCTCCGGGAATAGAGCAACTCCAGACATGATGGGCTTGAAACCTTTGACTGCTTCGTAGTAAATCGGCAGGAAGTACAGAATGCACCAAACGACAAGACCGACCACAAGGTATCCGGCGAAGGCGATCAAGGATGTTCTGTTTTGAAATATCGCCGGTGGAATCATTGGGTTTTTGGCAAATCGGGACTCGTAAACTGCAAACAGGCATAACCCGACGGCGCCGATTACCAAAGGAGCGACTGTGTGCCACGAGTTCCAGCTGTAAAGAACTCCTCCCCAGGTCAGAGGAACGAGGAAGGATGTAGTGCTCGGAATAAAGAGTAAAATTCCCCAAAAGTCGATCTTGCGTATCTGATCGCGGCAAGAGATTTTGTTGGACTGGAACTTCGAAGACCACGCCACTAGGGCCGTACCAATGGCAATCAAAGGAAAGTTGAGATAAAATATCCAGCGCTGGATCAAATCAGTACATTTTTTTACTTCATATCGCCTTGAAGAATCACATACCCACGTAGACTTTTCAGCGAAACATCCTCCAATCACAGGTCCAGTGACTGTACCCAGACTCCATATAGCGCTGAGCATACCGAAATATTTAGCTCGATTGGCAAGTGGCACTATATCAGCGATTACTATACTAGTAAGCGTGATGATGCCACCTCCCCCTACACCTTGTAGAGATCGGCCGATGAGCATATGAGTGTAGTCATTCGCAACTCCAGCCACGATGGCCCCGATCAAAAACCACAGGATCGCGACCAAGATCAATGGCTTACGTCCAAATAAGTCTGAGAATGACGAAAACAATGGCTGAAAGACTACTCCGTGAAGTGTGGTCAGTGTGCATACTAGTCCCGTTGAGTTTTGGGGTCATACCTGCAGAGCAAAGTGTGAACGATGTTCCTGTCCAGAACGCTTCTGTTGCAGAGCCACCTAGCTCTCGAGACATTGTCTATGGTATGCCATGTTAATTGATGGCTGCTGTGCGTACATCGTATGATGACATACCGGTAGGGCCACTGATATCGATGTTCCATCTAATGCGGCCATCAAACTTAGAGATGCGAGCGCCAATAGAATCAGCTTCTCTTCCTTGGAGAGAAAATTTTCATGACCGTCATCAAGACCGGTGACCGTGATCACAGTTTCATCTTTCTCGTCCTCGTTGCGATGTCTAGCTTGAAGCTCCATCTCCTCGGGGTCGCTTTGTTTTGTTTTTCGCCACATGATACCCGATTCTTGCGATTTGAAATTGAAGCAAGTGAAGAGGTAATGCCCGTTCAAAAAAACAGTGTACTCCGTACTCCGTACTGGTATGGAGTACGAAGTACTTGGCGGGGGCATAGATTTGTTATGCCCGCGTGGATCCTGATTTGGGACATGTCGGCCTAGCAAGGTCTATTCAAGCTGCGATGCTATTAGCTTGGCCCTTGCATGGGACCTGCATGATGTTCGCTGAATAAAGAATCCTCGCTGGTCATCGTTCTGTGTCAGCTCCGCTTCAAACAGCATCAGGGGGACAAGCCTCAACTTACGGAGTATGGAGTACTGAAACCCCGGTTTTGTTTGGGCACTCCCTTGCATGGAGCCAAGGCCATGGAACGTATTAGCGAGTGACCTGTCATGTTATTCCAACGTCGGATGTTTCATTGCATGCCCAGGTGAGCCTTGGCAAATTCCAAGACCAATTTCAACCCTCCCCTGAAGTTCTCATGCGGTCTACGGGGCATTTGTGACAATGTCATGTCCTAGCAAGGCCAATGTACGGAGTATTGTTATATTCATTGTGCTTCCGCATCCGGTAAGCATCTCCAAGTATATGTGCTTCCAAGGTTGATACATCAAAAATCAGTCTATCACGCTTTTCTTGTCCGCCCAACTAGGCTGGATAGTCCGACACACAGCCTCATAATCCTGGAAGCGTTGCGAGTTCTCCACCAAACCAGGGGTTGTCCAGAACATGGTCCAGTTACTATCTACTAACTTCCAAGTGCCCGAGGAGCGCTCGAAATACCATTTATTGACGGGGTTATCCATGCGACTGCGCCAGCATACCCCATCGGGGAAACATGTGCGCACCATCGCATTGAATACCACATCAGCGACACCACCCGCTCCCTGGCTGCGCTTGAGCACAGCGAATTTATCCAAATAGGGGACCATGCGAGCTGTGCTCGCTTCACTTCCATCGTCCGGTACTCCGGGTGGTGTTTCCCACGTGAGAATAGCACCGCCTTCGTACTCGCCGGCGACAATTACGCCGGCGATACGGTCGTTCACACGGTCAAGATAATTTTGTACGTCTAGTTTTCGATCGAAAGAATCTTCGATTAGAGTGACTAGACGCGGAAGGTCGATGGACGGGTCATTGAGACCAAGCCGGGGCTGTATATGCGCTTTCCAGGGTTTTGTGTAGGGATTTGGGAGGATGGTGAGAGGCATTCCGCGCTTGACGAATGTTGTGTGAGAAGTGAGCGGGCTGAAGGCATTGGGAATGCCGTTACTTGAAGCGCCACGCCGACCTGGGGGTAATGAGGAGGAGAGAAGAGGTTTATCTGTCAAGAGATTGTGGATAAGGGGGTTGCGTTGTCGGCGCGTTCCAACGGCCGATAGGTCGGAAACGGCCATCTGAGTCGCACTGGCGGAATGAGATACCTCCTTTGGAGAGGTGATAATTCCCGATGATGCCGATGGAAGCATCGCCAGGGCTTGCTGGGTAAATCGGAGGTTTGCAAGATGACCATCAAGTGCGCTCTCTGTCACGCCGACGCCGGAAAGTTGATCAAGTTTTGCAGGCTGGGCAGGTGAAAATACCTCTTGGTTGACGAACTTCGAGATTGGGTTGCTTTCTAAGGTTGGAAGGGCAGCTTGAGTTTTCACTTGGTTTGCGAGGTCACTGTCGTGTTCACAGGCCGAGTCTCGTGCTTGTACGAGCTCCTCCTTGATTTGTTCGAACTCCTGCTCCATGTTGATGAAGACATGGGATGATTGGGGGCCCTTGAACGCTGGTATTCCTCCAAGTGCATCGAGAACAATGACACGATCCAGTGAGACCTCTTTCTGAAGAGCAGTTATTCTTTCGACGGTGATTGCCGGATCCTCATCTGGGTCTGGGTTCAGTGACAGTCCAGCAAACTCTTTTGTTAGTGCAAGCGCAGCGTCATTGGCAGACACCGGGACGGCTCGCGGGTTGTCTTCATTGTATGCGATAGGGGGGACAAGAACCACATGGCCGTCCCGAAGTGCGCTCAAGAGTACTTTACGGGAGAGAACCGTGGGCTGAAGTGATGCGTTTGCGGAAATCGACAAGGCCGAGTCTAGACGAAAAGACTTGGAGTCAGGCTGCCCATCCACTGCCGCAGAAATCCGATTTGCCTGCTCGATGGCTGTTTGTCGCACAGCTGCACCATCCAAGTTTCCAGGATCGACCACCACACAGCATGCCATGCCTAGCCTCACGAGCTGCGACAAGGTCTTGGCCACGCCATTGATCACGGCATCATCAAGAAGCTGTGGTGTGGTGATCTTGATCAGGGCCAAGTGTAGCCTTTCGGGTATGTCTTGTGCTTTTGGGGGCTGGAGTTGTATCTTGTCGAAAGACAGGGCTGTCGTAGACGGCCCTTGAAGCACCATAAAAAGAGCCAAGGTTCACACCTAGTGGCAGGGATTCCGATGCGGATTCTTTCGGAGCTTCGGGTGGGGGGTCTTGGCTCGGGTTGGCAGGGCTTGCTTTAAGCCGAGCTAGGTATGACTTGGCTTCGCGCTTGGTCGATGCCGAGCTCAGTAAGCTGAGGAAGAATTCCTAATCCCCCAAATATGCCAATTAGTATAGATCCTCTGTAACCAGGATTCTGCCACTCACCCGGTCCAATAACTTCTCCTTTGCCCGGTGACCAAGGCGGTCTTGGCTCTCGCTACTGCCGGAGAATTCGGCAATCTGCTGGGACCGGCGAGGGAGGGACTGTGCCGGGCGCACCGTAGTCGGGTCACTGGGGCGAGAGACATGTTGCTGTGCGTCGGTCAGTGATGAGTGTTCAACCAGCCATGGGAGCAAATACCTTAGCCAGCGAGGACTTGGCCGTTCGAGACCAGCTCAATGTTCGGCTCATAGCGACTACCAATGCCTCGAGCAAAAGGTTCACGGAGGACGAAGAGTGTGAGTCAAGAACAAAAAAAGAAAATAATGACGCGGTGGTTCACCGCCTGTCGATCCCCGAGATTGATAAGAGACATATTTTGTGTCCAATGCCCACACACTCTGCTGTCTTGAGGCTTTTTGATGTTGAGTGACACGTCAATATATCGCTCAGAAACACTCTCTGCGGAGTAGATGATGTGCATATGCACCTGTGACGGTAAAAAAATTCAATCTTATTCACCTCTACCCCGTACAGCTAGATACCCAGTGTAACCATTGTCTTCCCAAGTTCTTACTTACAGTCGAAGCTCCCAGCTACGGACTACTAGTCCACAACCTCAGCATAAAATTGTCTACTGGCAGCCTGACTAGCTAGTTTCACATAATAGCGTTATAATGACTCGGGTGTGAAAGACCTCTAGGCGCACATAGCTCAATCTACAAGGATCTGAGTGGATCCGGGGGTATCGCCTGCAGAGACACTATAGATTTTACGGGACCAAAAGTACAAGTAGTATATCATGATCAGTGTTTCTCCTTGGTTCTCTGTGATATCTGTGGCTTTTGAAGATGCTCATGATTCCTTCCCAAGGTTGACTTCTTAGACCGCTTTGGGTACGAGGTCACGCTACCGAGGGGTACATGGTAGATTACGGGCAAAATGGCGAGATTGCAGTACTGATAGGTACCCTCTACTTTATCGGCAGAGTTCCCCGCCACTCAAAAGTTCCTCCTCCCACTATTGTGTGTCTTCTTCAGGAACGAGAATATCTTGAGCAAATCTTGGAACTATACTGCTCTGACCGTTCAGACAGAACTTGATACAGGTAAGCGCACGGTGTTGCCCCCTTCGGTCCCTTTCCGGTCGCACCCTTGCGCACACACTTGTCGCAAATTCTATTTGTGAATTACCATCTCGAGACGCTCCCTTCTCAAGCACAAAAGGTTACTGTTCGAATTGACCTTTCTAAAGTTGTTCGCTCAGCCTGAATAGCAACCTGATTACTTGCATGAGGCTAATCCCCACCGTTCTAGATTCGCATCCCTCGATCTCCACGCCACCAAACTTGGGTCACCTGCCCTTCAATTGCCCGCGGGTAGTCTATAGTCTCACCTTCGATTTCGAATCCAACCACTTGCAACCTCTTGTAAGCCTACTTCGCAACCGCCAATCATGTCCGATCAGAGCGAGTACCCCTCCGAGTCCATGCCCGGCCAAGATAACGGTCTCCGGCCACTCTCCAATGCCGAAGATCTGTCTCTCGGCAACAACAGCGATTTGGCTCGTATCATGAACCGTGCGGGTATCGCACTTCCCAACGGCTTCCCGCTGGACGACGATGACGATGACGATGAAGAATTGGAGCAAGAATACGTATCCGTCGATCAGGACGAGCACGATTACCCATACTGGTTCCGCCGCCCTCACACCCACAACCGCACAAAATTGGATGAGCTGCATCCCTTTGTTCAATTGCTGTCTGCTTCCAATGTCGATGACTGCGTGAAGGTGGAAAACGCTTTCCCAGAGCCGGAACGTTGCTCTTATGATAAGGTATGCCCTTGCGACCCATGCAAAAGCACTAGGTCGATTATCGACGGTGCAATTGATATTGAGATGCAATGAGCTGTGCTAATTCGGGTCTTTCTGATAGTTCGTCTACCGTCTGACCAGATGTCCCGAGCTGAGCCTCGGTCTCTTTACTCTTCCCCTACTCGCAGAGGGAGAGACCAAGCCCCGCCCAATCCTTGTCGGACATATCATTGCTACTCGCACCTCAGAGCCGTCTGTGACTGATCGCTCCATGCGACTTCCCGCAAACTGGGAGAGCGAGCGCTGGTCTTTCGAGGACGGACAGGCCGTTGGTCACGAAGAGGGAGGCAGCACCATTGCCATCCACTCTCTTGCTGTGGAGCCAGAGCACCAGGGCAAGCAAGTCGGAAGCACTCTGATGAAGTCTTACATTCACCGCATTCGTGAGGCCCAGATTGCCGACCGTATTGCTATCATCGCACATGAACACCTGGTTCCTTTCTATGAATCATTCGGCTTCGAGTCTCGTGGACCTAGCAAGTGCCAGTTTGGCGGTGGTGGCTGGGTTGATTTGGTATGTTGTAATCCGTCATGAACAAATACACTTACTAACCTGGAATCAGATCTTGGAGTTTGGTCCTGAGCCCGTGGAGGATTAAAGCAAAAAGCCAAACAAAAAAAAACAAAAAAAAAAGACTTCTTGTGTTCTTTTGCATCTTTCTACGGCGTGGACCACGTTAAACCACTTGGGGTTCTCCCCGTTATACACGTTCACGTCTTGTCTCATCTGGTGTCTCCTACGGGGTTCGAGAAAAGCAACGGAGTTTCTTCGGAAGGGATAGTGGTCAATGATTTTCGTATTATACACTTGGGGTGGAAACGGCTGGGTATCCCGCATCACAGTTTGTGTACCATAGTTGACGGCAATGCCACGTATGGTGTTGAATTATGACAAGTCCTCTCAATAGCTATTACTATATCAACATAGCAAATCAAAATTGAAAAGTCTCGAATTTGCACTGGCCGATCTTAGACTCTCTATGGTCACGTGATTTGCCTGCTTGTTCTTCGCCATCCAATCCCCGTCCCCGCAACCGTCTCCCGCCCGGCAGAAAAAAAGAACGGCAACAATTTTTTCGCGGAGAAAAACCCACTCTATCAACAACTTCACACCCGGGATTACTTGAAGAGTCAGGATTTGTTTGACTCGTGACAGTGCCCATCATGAAGACTACGTGGAAGGATGTGAGTTATACTCCAGGATTTTTCGCTCTACCTCATCGAGGCCAACCGCTGACTTGTTTTCACCGCTTGATAGATTGCGCCTGTGCCCACACACCAGGAATTCCTGGATATTGTCCTGAGTCGTACTCAGCGTCAGCTGCCCACACAGATCCGTGCTGGTTTCAAGATCAGTCGTATCAGAGGTACGATCCCCGTTATTTCGCTCTTAAATATGAGCACGAGAGTCGCAGAGAGAAAAAAAAGTTATCGCGGTTATCGATAAAGGCACAATCGCTGATTGAAATTTCACCACTCAGGCTTCTACACCAGAAAGGTCAAGTACACCCAGGAGACTTTCTGTGAAAAGTTCCAGCACATTCTCGATGGATTCCCTCGTTTGGTCGATATCCATCCTTTCCGTAAGTTTTACCACTGCGATCGCAGCCGCTCGGGTGGGGTCTAATATCTTCCAGACAAGGATTTGATGAACACTCTTTACGATGCCGACCACTTCCGTATTGCCCTTGGTCAAGTTTCGACCGCCAAGCACTTGATTGAAACCGTTTCTCGCGATTACGTCCGTCTGATCAAGTATGCGCAGTCTCTGTTCCAGTGCAAGCAGCTTAAGAAGGCCGCCCTCGGTCGTATGGCCACCATCACCCGCCGTCTCAAGGACCCTCTCGTGTACTTGGAGCAGGTTCGCCAGCACTTGGGTCGTCTCCCCTCCATCGACCCCAACACTCGTACTCTCCTGATCTGTGGATACCCCAACGTCGGAAAGTCGAGTTTCCTACGCAACATCACCCGCGCGGATGTCGATGTTCAGCCCTACGCTTTCACCACCAAGAGTCTGTTCGTTGGTCACTTCGACTACAAGTACCTTCGTTTCCAGGCCATTGATACCCCTGGAATTCTGGACCACCCTCTCGAGGAGATGAACACCATTGAAATGCAGTCTATCACCGCTGTTGCCCATCTCCGCTCCGCCATTCTCTACTTCATGGATCTTTCCGAGCAGTGTGGGTACTCTGTCGGTGACCAGATCAAGCTTTTCCACAGCATTAAGCCCCTCTTCGCCAACAAGATTGTGTACATCGTTGTCAACAAGATCGATGTCCGCCGTCCCGAAGATCTGGAGCCTGAGTACCAAGAGCAGCTCCAGGAGATCCTCAAGGCCGAGGATGTTGAGATGCTGCAGGTTTCTTGCACCACCACCGAAGGTGTGAGCGCCGTCAAGAACGCCGCTTGTGACAAGCTCCTTGCTGAGCGTGTTGCCCAGAAGCTCAAGTCTGGCTCCGCCTCTGCTAACCCCAGCGGCCGTCTCGGCGATGTCCTCTCCCGTATCCACGTTGCCCAGCCTATGGGCGGTGTCCGTGAGACCTTCATTCCCGAGGCCGTCAAGAACCTCTCCAAATACGACAAGAACGACCCCAACCGCCGGAGATTGGAGCGCGACCTCGAGGAGGAGAACGGTGGTGCTGGTGTTTACAGCTTCGATATGCAGCGCGACTACCAGCTTGCCGACAAGGACTGGAACCACGACAAGATCCCCGAGGTGTGGAACGGCAAGAACATCTACGACTTCGTGGACCCCGATATCGAGTCCAAGCTTGCTGCTCTCGAGGAGGAAGAGGAGAAGCTCGAGGCGGATGGATACTACGACTCCGACGAGAGCGTGGAGGACGCCGAGGATGCGGACAACCGCATGAAGGCCGATCTCATCCGCGAGAAGCGTGTGCTCATGCGCAACGACGCCAAGATGCGCAAGTCTCTCAAGAACCGCGCTCAAATCCCCCGCAGCGCCAAGGCCAAGAAGCTCTCCGAGTTGACTCGTGGTCTGGACTCCGCTGGTTACGACAAGGATGCTGCTGGCTCCCGTGTCCGTAAGCAGACCGACGCCCGCAGCAGCCGCCCCATCACCCGTGAGCCCACTGCCAACCTCGAGGTCGACGCCGACGCCATGGACGTCGACGACAACCCACACAAGGCCCTTGCCCGTGCTAAGAGCCGCGCCCGCAAATACCCCGTTACCGATCGTCTCAACGACGGTATCACCAATGGTAACCACGGTGTCACCAGCTTCACCAACCGTGACAAGGCTGAGCGTATGCTCAAGCTTGGCCAGAAGAAGATGCAACGCAATGCTCGTGCTGGTGAAGCTGATCGTCACACAACTGTTTCCCTCGCCAAGCACTTGGTATGTTCCATCCTGACTTTTTTCTTATCTATCAATACTAACCTTCATCTCTAGTTCTCCGGAAAGCGTGGTATGGGTAAGACCGACCGTCGTTAAAAGGCCAACTGCTTACGCAGTCGACACGGATGCGACGAAACCCATTCCTAATCATAGTCCATTGGTTTCGATACCGGGTGCAAAATGGTGTTGGGCGTTTGTTTTCTTGTTTTCGAGTCTCGTTCCAATGTTTGACGCGCATTTCTGGTTTCCACGACTGTTTGCCGTGGGATCTTTGCCAGTAACGATTTGTGGTTGTTTTCGTCAATAGGACATAAAAAAGTTCCTGACATGATCTCAGCATATACCAATACAGATGACATACATATTGGATCCACCTGAATGTTGGTATTCAGGGTCTTTCCTATTATTAAGCGATCTCTCGCACCCCAGGTCTCTAGTCCCCATTCCCCCGGTCCCCAGCTCTGGAGGTGCATGTCCCACGTACTTAGCATAGAACCTTATCCGTCCGGTTGGTTCTCAAGTGGGTGGATCCGGGGTGTTCTCACCGGTGGCACGTCCGGCATAGATCGTAGGTGGTGCGTGCTGGGCAAGGTTGACACGTGCTGCTCACCGAACATTGGAAAGGGGATGCATTGAATAGGCAACCGAAAGGACAAGGATGCCCAGCAGAGCCAAGCCATCATTCCCTGGGCTTACATCTGGGCACTGGTGGACCAGGCCATTTATGCACGACCTCAGGAAGACATGAAGGCATTAGGTATTCTATCCTCGACCTCGAGACTTCTCATGTCAACCTTGTTAGAGGCTCCAATCTTGGAAGGCTGAAACTCGGAATATAAGATTGTAACTTAGCATGATGTATATCCGGACTCCATCAGACTATGAAATCTTGAAATGGATTCCAAAATTAGACACGAGTCCATTCATGCCTAGCCAAAGTCCTTATCTCGGAACTGAAGTGATTGGGCGAGCTCAGCGCAAGTGTCTGACCCTTCAGTATAACCTCCGGTCTAATTCCAAGGACCTTGGAACGAAAGATTCATGAATATCCGTGGATATCCATGGATATCCAGGTCTTTCAAGCTCTTGTGCCTTACGTCGAGTGATCATACGCAGACTCCTTTTAACATTCACCCGTTTCCAAGGTCAAACTGATCACTGCTACGGAACATATTAATCGTCCAATGAATCCCTGAAATATACATGACCAAGATACCATCATGGGGGAGGCGTGGCCAGGTGCCGAGCCGCAAGGATTGCCTCGATATACGTAATCTTAGAACGAGTGAGTTTGCTTAGGTTATTGCAGAAGTTTTGAACAATGCAACAATGCAATGGACTGACTCAATCTTTTGATAAGAACATCCAATTGCTACCCTGATCGTATGATACGATCTGGCCGCTCGTCGATTCGATTCTAGTCACATGTTTCCAGCACAGCATGCACGTACTGTAGCACAATAGCAAACAGCCATTTGGAAGACTGAAAGATGACAGGGAAAATATTTAAGCGTTCGCAGCAACAAAAGCGCCTGTAATTTCTGATGGGACATGGATCCCCGCTTACGCCCTCCAACGCCCGCACCCCCAACGCTCTTAATAACCTTTTGACTGCCAATGCCCTCAATACCACAGGGTAGAGATGGACCGAGCGCAAGCGCAGTCCGGATTCTAAACCAAACTGGAACCAAAGTGCTACCCCAATGCCTTGTCTCCAGGTGGGACAATGCACCATGTGTCGGCCCTCAGCCGAGTGCCGGGGGACAACGTGACGGCATTTTACATTGAGAGACAAGGAGCGGGATTTCATTGCGCTGGACAATGGATGCCTTGCTATCCCGTGCCATGGGGCAGACGGGTTTCATAGGGGAAAGTGGGTTGAAGAAGATGGGGTTTCCTATTTGGGACGTTGTTTAAGTGGCACACGTCAGAGCATCTGCAGAGACCCTCTTTCGACCTGGGATTGATAGACCTACTCCGTACATCCATGGATATATGTAATCACGTTGTGAGCTGGAAGTGGTTCTGTTAATTTGCTACCTACTTCTTGTATGATCTAGATTGATTGTCTATTTTCGATGCCCATAATTTGCTTGGGAGTTGTCCCAGTGCCCAGACGGTAGTTGAACATCGGTTCTAAGATTTTGCGATGTACATTTATGTGTGTAGCACAACTGCGAGGTCTAGAGTTTTGTTTGATAAAATTTTATTGTGAACAAAACTATTGAATGTCAATTTCTTAGCTTCCGATTATTATCCGTAGGGCGAAAGTACGACGTGGCCCCGGGGGTTTGCATGGGTTAAGAAAAATCAGCATCGCATAGATGCCGAGCACTGAAAGTCAATTGGAACGCCGTTATTCTCCTATTTTCCAGTTTGCCCAAGGGAGTTTAGCGATGGGGATCCACAGCAGAATTTCCCTGCCCGCGTACGAATAATGTGGTCTGATGCCCTAGCGGCCGGACAGAGTTTTTCGCGCAGATCAAGGGGTGAGACGTTTCCGTAACAAGGGGTGGCCGCGAACAATAAACACCTGGGGTGTTGACAGAATTATAATTGGAATATGTACAGAGTAAACAATTGAATTGAATGTTATTGCAGCAACAGGTCAATGTGTTATTTCTACTCCGTACTACAGTGCGTGAAAACTAGCATTCGGGGTGGCTGAGTTGCCGACGACGGCGATCCCGAGTCGGGATGTCACTTCGGCTCGGCCAAGCGTCGGGATAAAGAGCGCAAATTAGCTACATATCGGTGTGCCGATTCAGCAAAGTGGATATCGGACAAGACCAACAGATCGGAAATCTCTGCGCGGGAGTCGACCGAAACCTCACCGGAGAGTGGGTCTGCCTGTTCACCGTACACTTGCAGCATTTTTCTGTTCCCACCGTTTCGAGAGACTGTTATCTTGGAGGATATAAATGGAACTTGATCCCTCTGGTGTGTTCAGCTCATGATGTCCGTCAGTTATGCCGTAGAAACGTTCAAAATATCCCTTGCCAGGTGGCTATCAAACAGGCCGGTTCGAGTAGTGTCCAAGACAATCCCGATGACCCACTTGCGGACAGGGTTATTTTAATGTTATTTTTAAATGATTTTTGTCATCATTTCCCATGGGATTTCCTTTTCAGAGATTTCCAAGCGTTCACCTTCTCTCTTGGGAACCCACCCGGTTTCAGTTGCCATTGTATTGTTTCCGTGCCCATTGGCATTCAATGTGTCAAAGATTCTAGTAACGTAGTCCTCTTCCACGAAAATACATCGGCATTTACGGCACGATCACCAGGTCTTGCATACTCTAACCAAATTTGATATGCGTGATTATTCATGGCCGAGGAAGTGTGAGGGTCACAGCTACGTAGCAGGATCCGTTTAGCCGTCAAATCCTCAACCGATCTAGTAAACCACGGACTGTCTTGGCCAGGCACTGGATTCTCATTCGCGGACTAGCTCAATGCCGTAGCCTTCTAGAAAATGGCAAGAAGGTCTGGTGATCGTGTCTTGTTTTCATGTACCAACTAGACATATCCGTACACACGAGACATCCCTTGCTTGAGAAGCAATTGGGAACGTGAACAGAACCGTCAAGAATGTTTCCAGAAAAGCAACAGATCGACACCAATCTAGGAGTGTATAGAGAGAGTGTGTAAATAGACAAATTACCGTTTCCGGGCTCACGTGGACAGAGCATTCCCCCATTCTTCTCCACCAAAAGCGAACCCTCCAAACACGGAGTACATTACGCTAAAAATCTTTGCCCATGGAGTCCCGTAAATTTCCCATACCCCATTTCGGCTAATGTGGGACACTCGATCCGGGCCCCCAGTCTTTTACTGTATACTGTGCAGAGTCTGCTAGACTATTTAGTCCCTGCCTGGTTCGTCCGTGTTTCCCTTTCTTTTTCTTTTCTTTCTCCCATCTTACTTTATTTCTTCTTGTGTCACCCAATTCCCTATATCTTTCATTGTGATAGTGGGTCATCATGGGTGTCTCTTCATTCATGTCCAAGATGAAGCCCACTGCGGCGGAATCTCAGGTCTCTTCTCAAACTGCTACTCCTGCTCGTGCCGACTCTACTAGTGTGGAGAAGGACAACCTCACTCTCGATGACAGCCCTGTCAAGTATCTCACATGGCGTTCCTTCATCCTCGGCCTGTGTGTCTCCATGGGTGGTTTCATTTTCGGATACTCTACTGGTAGGTGTCACACCAAACAAGGCGGCAATGCAACGCTAACCTCCATCCAGGTCAGATCTCGGGTTTCACTACCATGCCCGACTTCAAGGAGCGTTTCGCTGAGAAAACTGCTACCGGTGAATATGCCTTCAGTAACGTCCGCAATGGTCTCATTGTCGGTCTGGTACGTCACCCTTCGGGATTCCCACATGCCGTCCTACTGTGACTAACCTTGGAACAGCTCTCTATCGGTACTATGGTTGGTGCCCTGGTTGCTGCTCCCATCGCGGACCGTATCGGCCGCAAGCTGTCTATCTCCTTCTGGGCTCTTATCCACATCGTCGGAATTGTCATCCAGATTGCTACCCAGAATGCCTGGTACCAGGTGGCCATCGGTCGTCTGGTCGCCGGTCTCGGTGTCGGTGCTCTCTCCAGTGTCGTCCCCATGTACCAGTCCGAGTCTGCCCCCCCGTCAGGTCCGTGGTGCCATGGTCAGCGCTTTCCAGCTGTTCGTCGCCTTCGGTATCTTCATCTCCTACGTCGTCAACTACGGTACCTCCACCCTCGGTGATGACCCTGCTTCATGGCGCATTACCATGGGTATCGGATTCGCCTGGCCCCTGATCCTCGGTGTCGGTACCCTCTTCCTTCCCGAGTCCCCCCCGTTACGCCTACCGCCACGGCCGCACTGAGGAGGCTCGTGAGGTCATGTGCAAGCTCTACGGTGTGCCCTCCAACCACCGTGTCGTCGCTCAGGAGATGTCCGACATGAAGACCAAGCTCGAGGAGGAGATCGCCAACGGTGACGCTCCCTGGCAGGAGGTCTTCACCGGTCCTCGCATGCTCTACCGTATTCTGCTCGGCATTGCCCTGCAGTCCCTCCAGCAGCTTACCGGTGCCAACTTCATCTTCTACTACGGAACCAGTATCTTCAACGGTATCGGTCTCAGCAACTCCTACGTTACCTCCATCATTCTGGGTGTTGTCAACTTCGGTATGACCCTCCCCGGTCTCTACATCGTCGAGCACTACGGACGCCGCAAGTGTCTGATGTACGGTGGCGCCTGGATGTTCATTTGCTTCATGATCTGGGCCTCCGTCGGCCACGAGATCCTGCACGACGACCCCTCCAACCACGCTGCCGGTATCGTCATGATTCTCTTCACCTGTCTCTTCATTGTCGGCTTCGCTACCACCTGGGGTCCCATCGTCTGGGCCATCTGTGGTGAGATGTACCCCTTCAAGTACCGCGCTGTCTGCATGGGTGTTGCCACTGCCGCCAACTGGACCTGGAACTTCCTCATCTCCTTCTTCACCCCCTTCATTAACAACAACATCGACTTCCGTTACGGTTACGTCTTCGCTGCTTGCTGCTTCCTCGCTGTCCTCGTTGTCTTCTTCTTCGTCAACGAGACCCAGGGCCGGACCCTTGAGGAGGTCGACACCATGTACGTCCTCCACGTCAAGCCCTGGAAGTCCGCCGACTGGGTTGCTCCCGAGGGTATTGTCGCCGATCTCCACGGCCCCAGCCCCCTGGATGGCCCCAAGCACGGCGAGGCCGGCGCTGGCGAGCACCAGCACCATGACAACACTGCCGAGATTCGGGAAGAGTAAGCCGCTTTGGCTGAAAGGATGGTGTTAAATCGCATCTCGCTTCTTGTTGCTTGTTTTCTTTTTTTATCAGAAATTCTGTGTGCATAATTACGACTCTACTCTTACTTCAGTCTCCACCATATCCCTTACGGAGACTATGATCTAATCGCATGCAAAGCGTTGCTCAAGCTTATTTAGCTATTGACTATCTATTTATTCCTATCCCTTCATCCTTCCCCAGTAATTCCAACACAATCAATAATCTCAGATCTACTGGTTTTCAAATTTCATTCCAGCACCCTTCCTCACAGCCCCATAAACAGCAGCCAAATCCCCCTTCTCTCCCCGTTCCGCCTTAACATCCTGCAACAGCGAATCCGTAACCTCCACATTCCTCATCCTCAATCCCCCCTCCCCAGCAACATCCGCAGCATGTCTAAGATCCTTCCGCGCCAGATCAACCGCAAACAACGGCTCCTCCCGTCGGTAATAATCCCCACTATCCATCCTCTCCGCATAACTCGAAAAAGGCCCAGGCGCAAACAACCCCAGCCACTCCTTAAACGGCTCAACCCCCAACCCAGACGCCTCAGCCGCAACCATCGACTCAGCCAATACACCCACAGTATTCAAAATAAACGTATTGCCTAACACCTTAAGCATCCCAGCCCTCCCAACATCAATATCACCACCAGTCCCAGCAGAAAGATCAAGCGTCTTCTTCGCGACCACGCCGTCGAAAAACGGCCTCGCCTTTTCAATCCCGCTCCGTCGGCCTGCGGGTACCATAATCAATTGTCCTGCGTCTGCCATGTTCGGCGCACCGAAGACGGGACACGCTACGAACTCGGCGCCGCGCGCATGGAAGTTTGATTCCGTTTTGCGGGATGTGTCTGGGTGGACGGTTGAGCAGTCGATGAAGGTCTTGCTGCTTAGATCTGTTGGTTGGGAGAGGATGTTGGTGACTACTGCGTCGAGGGCTGTGTCGTCGCCAACGCATATGAAGATCAGGTCTGATTGATTGATTGCTGTTGGGAGGTCGACGGCTTTGGCGTTTGGGGATAGGGCTGTAGCATGGGCTTCTGCTCGGGCTAGGGTGCGGTTGTATAGGAGGAGAGGACCGGTTTGGGGGCCTTTATGGGCGATGTTGCGGGTCATGCCCTGGGTTGGGGTTGTTAGTTGGGATTGGGGGATTTGGGTTGGTGGTGGCTTACTCGGCCGATGTTGCCGAGGCCTATCCATGCAACGCGTGGTCCGGACATTTTGAAGAGGTTTGGATTTGTGTAGATTGTTCAATTGAAGAGTCAATTGAAGAGGAGGGATGCTTGTAAGGTGAAGGGAGTTTATGAAGTCACACAGTGTGGGGCAAACGTGGGGTAGGCAGAGGTCTTATCCGGGAGTGTGTTTGGATTTGGAGTATACGAGTTTCGATGTAGTGCCGTTTATAGCGGTGGATGTAGGAAGTAATAACTGGAATTACTCACTCTATCTTGACCTCTAGCTTCGGGTTCGGCATTGGTTGACTAGAAATCAATAAGCAGTGAGTCATTAAGGCCGAAGTCCGACAGCCTCGTCTCCACATCGTGCTTCATGTCGGACATTCCGAGTCTCAGTCCATTCTGCTTTCTTCAACAGGTCGAACTTGAGTCTCTTTTGCGACCCTCATTGATCACTCTCCTGTTGTTCATCTCGGCTGGCCTCCAGAAGCTCAATGATTTTCTCACAAGCAATCACCCGTCCTTCTCCCAAGTTCCCCATTATTTCCTGGGCCTTCAAGAACATGTTCACAGACTCATCGCTGGCAATCACTCGTACCAAAGCATCACCCAGCTCCGCACCATCGATATGTGGTGCAGCAGATCTATTGCCCCAGACCCCAATGCCCAACCACTCAGCACGAGTAGCGAAATCATAGGTATCGAACCAGACAGGGAGCACGACATGGGGAACACCAGCTCTAAGCACAGCGTCAGCAAAGAAAACAATCAGCCAAGCAAATAAAATAAACTCACTGGATAGCCTCGTGAAACGAGTTCGATCCACCATGGTGCACCATGCAAAGGATATTCCCGCTCTGCAGAATCGAAATCGGATCCGGCAACCAATCCATAATCTTAACCTGACCAGAATCAATATTCTCACGAATACCGCTCAAGGCATCCTCATCGCACTCAACAGAGCCCATGGCCGAACTACTCTGCAGTTTCCAGAGGACCTGGATCCACTGGCGACGCTGGAGTAACACACGAATACCCTCCGCGAATTGAATTGTGCGCTGTGTATCCCAGATCAAACCGGAGCCCAGGTTCACAAGTACGGTTGGTCTCTGAGCCAACCAGAGCGCCAACCCGGGGTCCTGCTCTTCGATCGGCTTGCAGGGTCGCAGAATAGGTCCACAGCAGGTAATGTTTGCTGAAATCTTGCAAGGGAAGTCTGTCTCTGGGAGAGAAGTGATGATGGATGGCACGGAGGTTGTGGCTGGTGGATAGCGGCCTGGAATACCGTGTGCGTTGCGAGCTTCTGAGACATCCTTCAGGCGACGGGAGGTCACTAGGCTGAGGATCAAGCGGAAAGCTAGGTAGATGTTGGGTAGGACCTGGCTCCATGGGAGGGGGAACGGGAACCCGGAGTTCAATCTGCGGAGAGTTAGTACTTTTGGACAAACCTAGGCATTGCAATGTACCATTTGGGTTACACGAGACAACGGGGGAAAGCTTACTGGGGATATTTCCACGGCTTGGTCAGTCGGAGAGTAGGGATATGTTCAAGTAAAGTGTTCGGTCCCAGGAAGCAGTGATTGACTTTGCTGACGGAGCAGGCATCGATGGCGGGCTGAAGAAGCAAGTCGACGACGATCAGATTGGGCTTCACCTCATCAATCACTTTGATGCAGCTGTCATAGACCGTGAGGTAGTCTTCAGAATTCCACATAGAGGCGATGAGGGGTAGCTGGTTCGAGTACACGTTGACTGCAGCGCGGACGCCATAGCCTGGCTTCACGCCCATGAAGCTGTCGTGGGTGAAGTTCTGTCGAACGGCTTCGACACAAGTTGGACCCTCCAGCGCATGAAATGTTGCAGTCTCTGAATTGGTGGCACATTCTCCAGCATATGTATTGAGCTCCTTGATCTTCCCTTCCAGAATGGGAAACGAGGCAATGTGGATGTCGTATCCAGAGCGCAGAAGCATCTCGTGAGCCACGGCTAGTTGGACATTGGACTGGCCGGGTTCCGAGTTGGTGAGGATCAAGACGGTTTGAGTCTCCATCGTGAAACAGTGTAAACACTCAGGTTCCAATGGTAGTTGATGATGAAAGAATCAGCAAGCAAAAGCAAAAGAGGCAAGGAGAGAGAAGAGGCAAGAGGAGGAAGAAGAAGAAGAGGAGGAGGAAGAAGAGGAGGAAGAAGAGGAGGAAGAAGAGGAGGAAGAAGAGGAGGGACAAGAGCGAGCGAGAGCAAAGAGCCCAGAAGCTGCCCACAATGACTTTGATTTTGCGACTAAAAGAAAACTTCTATCTGGGACAAGCTACAGCCTAGACTTCTCAACAATCGCAACATCCTGGAAAGGCAATCCAAGATACTGCCACATGAATGCGAATCTATCCAAGTAAGTAACTAATGCCTCACCACAAATAGACAGAACATACCTATCACTCCCAAAGAAAGGCTCTTCTTTGCCCTCTGAGTTGCGCACCCAGAACCAAGGCGCACCGTAAGCACCCTTATCCAATGCGGTCTGGGTATTAGCAGTAAGAGCCTGCTTGTATTCTGGACTCGATGCCGCTTCAAAAATTTGCCTGATGTCCGAGTCAGAGTACCCATTGCTCTGGAACAATTTGGCCAGTTGCTCTGGCTTGCTGATGTCAATGCTCTTGTAGAACATCCACTCCCACAAGGTAAGGAAGGTGGCTTCAAACTTCTCTTGCGAGAATTGTTTCTTAATATAGATCATACATCTTTGGGGCTAGTCATCTGTCAGTTTCCAATAAACTGAAACTGTCAGGGGGAAAACGTACCATGATCGATAGGATTGGGAAGAACTCCGGCGTTTTGATCGGCGGCACACCAAAGTACCTACATGCGCGCTCAGAGTCGAACTTGGAATAGTCTGCCTTGGCAGGTAGTGTCCAAGGGGGTTTATTTCCTTGTCTTATCGTCAATTTCCTGGGTATCGTTCTCATGGCTGATTGATCATACATACCGGAGCCGACATTGATGCCGCCCAGAAAGACAGGGTGGAATCTGGGTTGCAGTTAGTGTAAGTGAACAGAAGAGAGCGGTATGCATACTCGACTTCGATACCGTGCGACTCAAGAGCTTTGCGATTCTTTCGTAGATATAAAGTTGCATAGTATGAGTATGGAGACACTGGGGAGTTCCGAAGTTAGCGAATGGGGTTTGACCACCAGGGGGTGGCTTACCGCAGTCAACGTATGCGTCAATCTTGCCAGGCATGACGGTGGGATTCTGCATATACTGTCTAGTTCGAGATCACGAATACGGTCAGAATGACTGAGGATTAGTTTATCAAGGGCTGGGGGGTATATAATGAAGGTCGAAGGTCGGGGCCGAGGTGGAGCTGGGCCGAGGGATGATGAGTGATCAATTTTCCCGACGCAGCAGGCGTGGACGCAACATCAGCCGTGCAGAGGTACAATGACTTTTGGATTATGATTATGAGATGCTTTTTTATATACAAAAGTTAAACAGAGCGCTAATGCTTTTATGCAAGTATGTGGACTGCCACATAATATGAAGGCGTCCAGATTGACGCGGGTTGGCGTCCGGTGCCAATTTGAGGGCCCGACGGCGCCGTGTGCATCAGAAACCCAGCTCAGATGTGAAAGAAGACGGTGTTCACCGAGCTAACGACGCGATTTAGAGCTTGGCTTCTCATCGACATCGTATTATGGGTAACAAAGTCACTCCCTAACTCTTTTAGCCGCATCATGCCAATACACTGCAGGTGCCGTAGCGGATGGAGTATGATTTCAGCTCGCGATGGATTTTTTCCAGTCTCACCACTTGTGATTCAGTCTTTGCGACTTATTGCGGACTGCCGGGTGTTAACCAAATCCAGATCATACGGATTCTCTTCATATTGCGTCGCGGTCGCGGTACGGTGCATCGAGCGGCCAGATTGGCGAGACGCACGCGATGCGCGGGAGGCATGGCGCGCAATCGTTGCTCGCGAGGGAACCGTTGAGAGTGAATCGGTATCGCTATCATTGTCGCTTTCCACCGAGTCATCAGCGGATTTCTCCGCCGGCTCTTCGCGAACTGCCTGGTTCTTCTGAGCAAGGCGACGCATAAAGGCATCGGCCTCAGCTGCGTAGGTACACCGTTGTCTGATGCGGGCGCCGTATTTGTAGAAGATGAATGGGAAAGGAACACATGCAAGCGACAAAAACGCAGGAATCGATGACGCCCAATGGATGCCCAGGTTTTGGTACATGTACGTGGTGAAGAGGGGGAAGGCCATGCCGAACAGGGAGCGAAGTGCGGAATTGGCGGCTAGCACGGAGGCGGCGAAAATGGTGTAGGAGTCAATGAGGTAATTGAAGACACTGAGGAATACGAGAACCATGCCGAAACCAAAGGGTGCACCTGCTGCCACTGAGGCCATCCAGTGGATGCTTGGGGAGTTCGTCCAGGCGAACCAGAAAAGTCCAATAGGAAGGGCCACGCCGCCGACCATGCTTGGAGGAAGGCGTAGTTCTGGGGCCAGTCGGTCGGTTGTTTCGCGACATTTCCTCGCATAACGGAAGTTCTCTGGGAAGGTGTAGGCAACAGCTGCAACCATGCCGACAAGGATTCCCAAGAACGCTAGACCACCGATGCCTTCACTCCACCCGCGGACCTGTTGGAAGACGATCGGGTATGCGGCGAAGAGCATGTAGAGCGTGCCGTAAATGATAGACATATAAATAGAGAACAAAAGCACGATTGGTTCACGGAAAAGCAAGACCCATGGCCGCGAGAGTGCCGTTTTCAAAGTCTTGCCCATGGGGATAGGGCCGCGGTCGATATCGAGCTGACTGCGATAGACCTTTCCAGTCAAAGCTGACAACTTCTCCGCGCGACGGCGCAGAAGAACGGGCGCGTAGGTTTCTGGCAGCAAGAAAATGATACAAAGCCAGAGCAGACCAGAAAAAGCAGCAAGGAATCCCTCTACCCATCTCCAACCTGCTCCAGTGGCCAAGAAACCACCAATGACAGGTCCTAGGGTAGGTCCCAGGAACGGTGCAGCGGCAAATAGACTGATCGCAATGCCGCGCTGGGAAGCAGGGAACATATCGGCAATTGTGCCACCTGCATTTCCGAAAGGGGAAGAGCCAAAAGAGCCTGCTAAAAAGCGTAGAATAATCAATGTTTGAATATTCGTTGCGCCAGCGGTTCCAGCGTTGAATGCTGTCAGAAACATAAAGGAGATGGTGAATATGTGTCGGCGACCAAAGATCTCGCTAAGAGGCGCCCAGATTAATGGTCCGATTGCGAAACCAAGCACGAAGAGTGATACACCTAGAATGACGACTTCCTCGACGACGTCGAATTCCTCCATCATTTGGGCCATACCACCTGAAAAGGCAGAGGAAACCAAGGAGACAGCGAGAGTAACAAACGAGACGAGAAGTGTGATTGCCCATTTCCGCGCTTGCGGAAAATTCATGGGATTGCGAGGATCAGCTGGGATCCAGGTCACAGGATGAGGATCATCCTCAGTTCCCGAGCCTGTGTATGGAAATCGCAAGACTTCCTCTGTGACGACCTTTTGATCAAATACCATGCGCCAGAATGGGATGGTGGACGGCAGTGTGGCCTCGCCGTCTCCATTCTTAGGAGCTGTCATGTTGGGAGGATCCCTGCGGGATTTGATACTGAGCGACGATCTGGGGAGCGTCTCGCAGTACCCGATAGTGCCAGAATGACAAAAGATGCAGAATCAATCAACCAGAAGTCGACCGTCAAAATCTGAGAAACATAGTGAAAAAAAGCCCCCACTTTGATAGCAGCCGAAACAGGCCTCGGCTTAAATTCGACGAATCATGGCTGTCAGAGTTTTGCATTGTCCCTGCATATCTTTCGGCATGGATTTGCCGAGTGGCTCGAATGGCTGCGGTGGGGAAGAATTCCATTGTGTTTCCGGCCGTGGGCTGTTTCCGGCCGATGGGATTTTGCGGCCCGAAAGCTTGAGTGACTTGGCAGTGCAAAATAGTTGCGTCGATTTCAACGTCAAGTCTACCTTTGAGCTGTTTGAATAGCCATGAGGATTCGGCCCTCACAATGATTATTGACACTGTGGCAACTGCTCAGTGGGGCCTCGTTGACGAATGAGGTTGAAAATTCTCCACTAGTCTTGCTGTCAACGCTTATCACATCACAAATATGCCCAAGGACGGACGCGATGGACGACATCGGCTGAGTCTGCAAAGACGCGGGGCCAAAATCAGAGCTTGAGCTTCGGTTCTGAGGCGCGTGGCAGCAAACAAAAGTACATCGTCACGTGAGCTGCAAAACAAAAACACTCCTGAGACCTCGAATTGGGGAGGATATCTTATCTCTGCAGAGTACTCTGATGAGAGCCGTTGAAAGCATCAATTCCCCCGGGCGGTTTTGGTAAGCTAAGCTAGTTAACGGACGCGAAAGCAATGCCAAGGCATAGAATCCCGGGCTGAATAGCGAGCATCCCGGGGCCAAGTACACACTATCAACGCACTATGCTTGGCGGGGACCTCGGGAGTATTGTTGAAGATAAGAAGAAACGGGGGAATGATAAGTGGAATTTAATCTAGAAATGGGGACGAGTAGCCATTTGGTGGGCAAGGTGAAAGTCATTCACTAAAACATGCAACTTGACAGCAAAATTACTCGCAGCCTACCCAACCAGTCCTTAACCTTGCAAGGTTGGAAACCTCATTCTGCCATGATTTCTGACCATAGTAAGACTTTCCCCACAGTGGATAGCCCTGGAAGCCCGATTCATACCCCGAAACTTTCGGGCTAACCATCAACCGGATTGGTAATCCATGAGGGGCACCTCAAGTGGGACGACTTGTACATCAGGAGAAACATCTCTATCTAACCTCAATTCGATACACAAGCCCTGTAACTACTTTCCACCATGACTGTATCTCACTATACACTTTTCGATATCCCCTCCGGCAAGGCACCATCGGTGACATGGACGCCGAACCCCTGGAAGAGTGAGTCACAACCAATGAACCTCGGTGGCTGACTTCAATCAAGATGGACTAAATAATTACATTCCAGCTCGCCTTCTTCTGAACTTCAAAGGACTCGACCACCAAACCCAATGGGTAAGCCTCACATGATAGCCGAAAATCTGAACATTAATGCTAACAGTCAATGAAGGTCGAGTACCCAGACATCAAGCCCACACTGGAAAGCCAGTGCGTGTCACATCCTTCTTTTCCCCCTGAGTGTATGAAGCTGACTTGATTTCCTCAGTGTCGCACCCAACGAAAAGGGGATGCCATACTCAATTCCTACCATCGCTAGTCCTGATGGAACGTATGTGATGGACTCGCGCAAGATCGCAAACTACATTGAGAGCAAGCACCCCCTTCCCTCTCTCCACTTGGACTCTGTCTACCTTGAGAAGGTTGAGCGCCTCTGGTCTCAATACATGGGTGCAATTATGCCCATTTTCTTGCCTCGGGTCCCAAAGCAGGTTCTCAACCAGGAAAGTGTGCCTTACTGGAACAAGACTCGTGAAGAGTGGATCGGAATGTCGTTGGATCAATTGAGCCAGGAGAAGGGCGGCGAAAAGGCTTGGAATCAGGCAGAGCCAATTCTCCGTGAAGTCACAGCTTTGTTAAAGGAGAATGAGGGGCCTTTCTTCTTGGGAGACACTCCTAGCTATGCTGATTTGACGTGGGGCAGTATCATCCTCTTCCACCAGGCCCTTGGGCAGGATGTCTTCGATGAGGCATTGAAGAGAGGCGGAGATGCACAGGTTCTTCTGGATCTGCTGAAGGCTATCCAACCTTGGGTCTAGATGTTTGATCAAGCCCTGGAGGTATTCAGAATATATTATCAAGAATTGGATACCAACATTGGAGCTCAAAAAATTGTCCAAGTGCTAGCAGACTAGGTAGCAACCGGGGCGAGTCAGTCGGGTAGTATAATGCAGCTCGGTTTACCCCAGTACGTTATTTATCACGCAGATGATGAGACCCCGCGACCCCGCAGTTCAGTATAGAAACCAAATTCCCTGCCTGCCTTTCCCCCAAGCGGAGCAATCCCAATCAGCAGTCATAGAAACACTCGTTCATTCATATGATGACAAGCCCTCTCTTTCCCGTGCCACCAGGCACCGAGACCGTCCAGATCCGAATCATTGACACAACCACGCGGATAAAAAAGCTCCCAGTGAGCTATCTCATGCAACCACCAATGGAAGGGTTAATTCATATGCCTGACATGCCATCCTGGTCCTTCCTGATTGAACATTCCTCCGGTCAAAAGCTTCTCTACGACCTTGGTGTACCGAAGGCCTGGCACTTGTTCTCGCCTTGTATTCTCCAGATCATCGAGGGGTCGTCATCAGAGCTTACTGTCGAAAATGATGTGGTTGATATTTTGAACACTAACGGGATAGAAGCAGATCAGATTTCCGGAATCATCTGGAGGTCGGTGATAACCTTGTCGCACCAATCAACATGCACATGCTAACACCCATGCAGCCATTGGCATTTCGACCACGTCGGTGATCCATCGCGATTTCCACCATCCACTGATTTGATCGTTGGGCCAGGATTCAAAAATGCATTCTTACCTGGCTATCCAGCCATTCCCGACTCTCCTGTTCGCGAAAGTGACTTTGCGTAAGCTCAGAATCCAAAGCCACTACTTGGAGTGATACTGATTCTTCGTAAAGTGGAAGAAATCTACGAGAGATTGATTTCTCCGAAGGCGTCAAAACTGGCCGCTTCCGTGCCTTTGACTTCTTCGGGGATGGCTCGTTCTACCTTGTCGATACTCCGGGTCACGCTGTGGGCCATCTAAGCGCACTTGCTCGGACCACAACGAGTCCAGATACCTTCATCTTCCTGGGTGGTGATTTGTGCCACCATTCAGGTGAGATTCGGCCCTCTAGCCACATGCCTCTCCCCGCAGACCTGCCGGCAGCAATACCCGCTACGGCATGGCCATGCCCTGGGGCCGAAATATATCGAAAGATGCTTCTTCAACGTAACGGCTCTGCGGACAATCCATTTTTTGGTCCGGCGCCGATGGTTGGGGTTGATATCGAGGAAACAACGCAAACGATCGAGAAAGCACAGGACGCGGATGCAGAGAGCAACATCTGGTTCATTTATGCGCACGACACGAGCTTGATCGGAACTGTTGATCTGTTTCCATTGCCAGCGAATGATTGGAGAAAGAAAGATTGGCGGAGGAGGACTCTTTGGACTTTTCTTCGAGACTTTGATACAGCCATAAATCTTCAGAAATAGATGTTGGTGGTGGATTTTCTATTTGAACTGTTAATGAATGTACAACTTGCTATGTGCGATGATGATTGTTGATGAGTGCCAAATGCCAATCATCCAGCGGAGCCTTAGGAGGGCGCTGGAGCTCCAATAACAATAGCATTGTTTTGGTGATACTCCTGCTCCTCCTTCGAGCGTTCAAGGGCCAAAAGTAAACGAGTGGCACGAATATGCAGTTCTTCCCAGTCAGCATAAGACCAACACTCATAGACATGTTAACTCACCTTCCAACACAATTTCGTAGCCAACCCAAGCATCGTCATCCCGATCATCCTCGTGCATCAGCACGGGCAAAGACGGATTCCAAGATTTCGGTCGCACACGCATCTTCAACCCCACAGTCCGAGCCAAATCCACCCACAGCATATCGTCAGAGTCAGACGAGATCTGAGTCTCCTCCAGTCCCTCCTCTTGAGCTTCATCTGAAACTTTCTTCCACTTCCTGCTTTGGCGATACAACCAGTCCCTCCACAGACGAACAACCCCATCTTCAATAGTCGATGCACTCAACAGTAAAGAGGTCCCAGGTCTCACTTGCACTAGGCTAGCCACCACACATAGTTGAGAAAAGTCCTCGTACCCATCTAAGGTAACTTCACGTATCGCTTCTTCCTCTCTTTTTATCTTCAATTCCAATCATGTCAGCCCGCACGAGTCCTTCCCCCGAGAGAAACATCCTACCTGGCAAAACTCCAAACCGCCGTGCAACCCGTTCTTGTTCATCTTGGTTGCTTGCTTGGGGACGGAAGCGAGAGTACATTGCAGTCACTCTTTGCTGCATTGCATCGGCATCCTCGTAGAGTGTACCTGACGCGTGATCCTCACTCAGACCGTTTATACCGAGGTATTTGCAAAATGCATGAGGCTCTGTGAGCTTTGAGGTAGGGTGAAAACATTCCAGAAGCAATTGGTACTCCTTCAGTGGAGTGCTGAGTAGTAGACGGTGATGGAGGATGCGTAGAACTAGCGCATGAAATCGACGATTCACAGGAGCGAGAGGTAGGAGATCCCGAGTGGAGAAGTCGGATAAGATCTCGATGTAGACCTGAATAGCTTAGCTTATGCCACAGTCCTCCTCCATCAGACTTACCTCGTTGGGGAGGGAGTCCAGGGTCATTGCGGGGTTCCTCATGATATGGCTTTGGTACCCAATTGGGACACCAGGGTAATCAATTAGCCTTGATAGCTGGAATAGTATGTAAGAGAATCTCAGACCTGCCAATCAAAAGGCACGTATATTGTCGTATAGTTCAGTTGTAGTGGACATTCCAAACAGAAGGACCGACTGTTGACAGAAGGGACTGACGTCATCCGCGGGGATCAAACTCCCAATTTGTCGGCGGTCCACAGTTGGCACCCCACACGAGGTAGTGGGACACAATCATATTCGCCCTTTGACGGACATCCACAGTTGCGCGGTAATTAACTGCCTCTTTAGGATCCGCACAGGGCTCCCCGGACCAGATGTGCATGGATTTCCCCAGAAAACCGAGCGCGGGATCCCGAGCGATACCTCTACGGCTCACCGAGAGGACAATGACAGCGCCAAGATGAGGTATACCCGGCAATGGGAACATGTGGTTCATATACATGCGGTTTCTTCCGGCATGAGCGTAGCATCTGTAGTCTCTGCAGTTGTATGTTAGGGCGACCTCGCTTAGCTGACGTTGCTGGATTCTCCGGACCCCGCCTCCCCACCGGAGTCCAACCCGCGGAGTCAACGCCCTCCATTGCTGCATAAAATTTCCTCCCTTTCTCATTCCTCCAAGGTACTCTACCGTCGAATTCAATTCGCCATGGAGAACGTTCTTGACGATATCTCCCACCGGAGATACAATCCCCTTCGCGGATCTTCTATCTTGGTTTCCCCTCACCGGACCAAACGTCCCTGGCAGTAAGTGTAATCAAACGCAGTATTAGCAAACGCCATAGCTAAAAGCCCTAAAGAGGAGCGCAAGAGAGCGCCTCCAAGACCACCCTGCCCAACCACGATCCAGAGTGCTACCTTTGCCCCGGGAACAAGCGCGCGCAGGGCGATACCAATCCCAATTATGAAAGCACATTCGTGTTTGTGAACGACTACAGTGCCGTGAAGGAAGAACAGGCGCACTACGAGCCTTCGAACGAGGATGGTTAGGGCACACATAATACCTCACATACACCATACTTACAACCCGCAGAACTCGAGTCGCGCTTCCTCAAAGCTGAGCCTGTCACCGGCAAATGCTACGTACTCACATTTTCGTCCGCCCACAACCTCACCCTGGCTGATTTGAGCCCCCGCGAGATCATTCCCGTGATCGACGCCTGGACGGAGATCTATACCGCGCATCTTTCTCCCACCTCTCCACTCGCCCAGGTCGCACCCGCAACCACTCTGCCTCCGACGACAAACACCGCCAAGCCCAAGGAGCAATACCGCTATATGCAAATCTTTGAAAACAAGGGCGCAGCCATGGGATGCTCAAACCCGCACCCCCACGGCCAAGTCTGGACCACCAGCTCGCTGCCCGAAGAGCCGGCTGCTGAAATGGAGCAGCTGCGCAAGTACCGACAGCAGCACGGTGGTAGCCACTTGCTGGAAGACTACGCGACTTTAGAAAGTCGCAAGCAAGAGCGAGTCGTTTTCGAAAACGAGGCGTTCCTCGTCGTCTGTCCGTGGTGGGCAACATGGCCATTCGAGACAATGATCGTCAGTCGCACTCACAAGCGGGCCCTGGTTGATCTCTCGGATGCCGATAAGATGCTTCTTGCCGAAGCTATTGCGGAGATCACTCGCCGTTATGATAACCTCTTTGAGACGCACTTCCCGTACAGTATGGGAATTCACCAGGCACCGCTGGATGGCACCGCCGAGGAGGTTGAGGCCTCGTACTTACATTTGCACTTCTATCCCCCTCTTCTGCGCAGTGCCACAGTCCGCAAGTTCTTGGTTGGTTATGAGCTGATGGCGGAGCCTCAGCGTGATATTACGCCTGAGCAGGCCGCTGCTAAGCTCCGTGCTTGCGGGGGTGAGCTTTACAGGAGGAAGCTAGATTCCTAAGTAATCCTGAGGTACAAAACCTGTTATGTATGACAAAATTTGAGCCAAAGTCGTAGCGTTATATTAAATACATGCATATACATCATTTTGGATTATTAAAACCATCTAGGCACCCGGGTGGATTACATTGCGACGTGGGTATATGGTAAGGAGATAGGTGGTGTTCACTTTTCGATGTTTCCCTTCACTGCGTCAAAGCAGTGAGTTAAAAAGCCTTAGGGTCAATTTTCAACCAACACTCAAAGCTTTTCATCCCAACAGGCTTAAGCCAGGTAAACCTCGCGCTGGGTGATCATCCAAGCAAGTGAGGCAGACGCGACAATCAAGGGGCTCAAGAAGCGACCCTTCAGAGAGGCATTGCCGACAATCAGCTCTCCAACGAAGTGTGTGAGCGCGATTCCGTAGGTCCACATGGCCAGGTTGTACGCGACAGGGTTGTCAATGTTGTAGGCGGCGGTCATGCGAATGACAGCGGACAAGAAAGTCCAGGTACCGAAGACGCGGCCGGAGAGTGGGCTAGCGGGGACCTGGCCATTGCTGTAGAGCTGGGAGGTGTATGTGGTCGAGCAGTAGGCTTGCAGACTGTTAAGGGCGGAGACAACGGAGACCTGTGGCGGGGAGCGTTAGACCGGGGGATTTGACAGGGGGTAGTTGGGATTGTCGAATTGATTGCCCAATACATACAAAGACAAGCCATTTTGGGAGGATACCCTCGAATTGGGGCAGGTAGGTCAGAAATTGAGACATTGTGAACTCAATTGTTGGTTTGAAAAGAGGTGGTTTTCTTGTGATTTGTGAGAGGCCGAGGATGTTTCGATGTTTGGGATTCTTGGCGCTGATCTCTCCCCCAACAAGCTTCACCTTGGCTCAACTTTTTTCCATCTTCGATCAACTTTTGTCTTTTCAAGTTGCCAGTTCATCATGGATTTGTCGAAGTATACTGAGTGCCTCTCTCAATGGCCTGCCCATATTCCTGCGGGCTTGCCGACCTATGGAGCGTTGCTGCTCCTTGCGGCGGGTGCGCTGCAAGTTGGCTGTCACGTCTGGACGTTCGTGCGCGTGCTGCTCAGCCTGTTCGTGCTTCCGGGCAAACCGGTATGAACCTCAATCTCTGGAGACTATCCTTTTGCGAAGACGAAACTAATCCTGCAATTCGAATAGCTCCGCTCGTTCGGTCCCCCCGGTAGCTGGGCTGTTGTGACAGGTGCCTCCGATGGCCTGGGCAAGGAATTTGCTCTGCAATTGGCCAAGGCGAAGTTCAACATCGTTCTCGTTTCCCGCACAGCCTCCAAGCTGGAGACTCTCTCTGAGGACATCACCAAGCAGTTCCCCCAAGTGCAGACCAAGACCCTCGCAATGGACTTTTCGCAAAACTCCGATGCCGACTACGAGGCCCTCAACCAGCTTGTCAGCGAGCTGGAGGTCTCTGTTCTTGTCAACAACGTCGGTCTTAGCCACTCGATCCCCGTTCCTTTCGCTCAGACCCCCGCCGCCGAAATGGCCGATATCGTGACAATCAACTGCACCGGAACTCTGCGCGTCACCCAGCTCGTTGTGCCCGGCATGATGCAGCGTCGCCGCGGTCTGATTCTGACCATGGGCTCTTTCGGTGGTCTGCTTCCTACACCCTTCTTGGCCACTTACTCCGGCAGCAAGGCTTTCTTGCAGCACTGGTCCACCGCTCTTGGTGGTGAACTTGCTCCCTATGGTATCGATGTCGAGCTTGTCCAGGCTTACCTGATCACCTCTGCTATGTCCAAGATCCGCCGTGCTTCTGCTTCCATTCCTAACCCTCGCACTTTCGTTCGCTCCGTGCTTGCTAAGATTGGCCGCAGTGGTGGTTCCACCTCGTATGCTTACAGCTCCTCGCCTTACTGGAGCCATGGTATCATGGCTTGGTTCCTGACTTCTGTTGTTGGGACCATGGGCAAATTTGTTCTCGGACAGAACAAGTCTATGCACGAGAGTATTCGCAAGCGTGCTCTTCGCAAGGCTGAGCGTGAGGCCGCCAAGAAGAGCACTTGATTTCAGCTCTATATCATCACGAATGACTTGAAGACTTGTGCTACTATGATGGCACTCTTCAGGTGGTTTTCTATATATGATCTCCAATGCATGATGGATACGAACATGTAATACAAGAACCACTGGCTTTCGCTTATGACCACCGAGAGTATGTATCAGTAGCTTCAAACAATCCAGGTGTCCATGCCGCATTATGCGAAAGACGCATTTACTACGACTGGTGTACATTTTGGAGCAAACCTTGGAACACCACTCAGGTGACAAACATTAAGATTTGCTACTCAGAGGCTCCTCCCATGTCCCGTCACTGGGCACCCACAGACTTACCTGGTCTACAAATTGTACCTCTTCCCACATTTCAATCTACCTCACCTCCTCGCCGCGTCTTCCAAATCGCCACTCGCGTTTAATCCACATGGAGTCTACCTCAAAGATCCTGCAACTCCCTGCAGAGGTAATACTAATGATCCTGCCAAATCTTGCAGAGGAAGATCAAGTCTGCTTCTCACTGAGTTGCAAATACTTCTACAACTGCCTCCTCTCATTCCTGCGCGTTGAAAAACTACAACTTGCCCAGCCGCACCTTCTCCCTCGTGATACGTACCCGATTCTTTTCCCCCACATCAACAAAGAGCCAAGAATCGACCTGCTCCACCGACTCCAAAACGAAAATTGGGGATACTGCCACTATTGTCGGGCCCTACACTCTAAACAACGCTTTATAGACCCCCAGAGCGGATGCTGTTCATCGTGCCGGGGGCTATGGGGAAGCCCATGTTTTTGCGACGGTCCTTGCATGCCATATGCTGGCGTGGTAGAGCTCTGTCCATGTCTCACTATCTCCTTCTGTGACAAACTGCAAATATTGAGAGACACCATCGAGCAACAGGGATACAAGTTTGACTTCGGACCTTATGTGTGTCGCAAGCGCGAATCTTCTACGACATTGCGTCACATATGCAGCATCAATCATCCTACTATTGATACTCACCTACACACATCCATCGTGCCAGAAAGTCAGCAATCGAGGCAACATCTGCTCATTTTCGCCAAATATGAGTTCAATTTCTCCCACGAGGAAGCTCTACCATCCTTCGGTGCTGGACTTTTGTATTCGCAGAAAGATATCAAAGAATGGCTCAAAAAGGTCTTCACTGAAGCTGGGTCTAGCTTTTCAGGATGGTGCTGCAGAGAATCCGGCGTACCTGTCACTTCTCTTCCAGATGTTGAAGTCAAAGTTTCCATCAAGAAAAAGCATACTTTGACGGTATTTTTCAAACGGAATCTTGGATCTGTCGACTGGCCAGATGAACGTTGGACACACCACCGGCTGAATTGACTCTATTTGATCTGCATCTGGTGAGTAAACATGTTTCAACTTTTCCACCGTATCCCTATTGACATGAAATCGTATTGTCAGATACTGAAGGCGACGAGCAGCTGCGTGTTGAGACCCATGATGGTGCGAGGTGGGCTTGGACCTGTTTACACCAAGAATCCATGTTGCTAACTTGGCTGTCTGAGGGGCAGCAAAGAATAACAAACTGAAATACTTATTTTGCTTATTGGGAAATGGAGGCTCGCGGCAGTCAGCTTTCAACCACCAGCCCTATCGTTTTCTTTCCCGGCCAAAAGACCCAGGGGGACATTTACGCACAAAGGATCTGGTTGGCAACATGATTCCCAGGGCTTAGATGTTACTTCTGCCATACTGAAGGGGTGGACCTAGCGATTCGAGAAGAAGTTTTTGTCATCCTACAATGAAGGGAAATTTTTTCGGTTTGAATAACTACGAGCGCATCAATGGACAGCAGGGAGGGGCGGCCCTTCAACACTTCATGTAGGCTGATATTTTCTCGGACTCGAGGGCTGTTCATTCAAGGGGTTCACTGCTACTGTCAAGGTGTACGATAGGCGCGGGTTCCGGCCCCGGGGTTGGTCGATCTCTACAGGCTGACCTCGGGAAAACCCCCACCTACGGGCGTCTAAGTCAACGCTGGTGGGACTTAGCCCGTGTTGAGGGGAAAGAACCAAGTGAGCAGGATGCTGCCGGTGAAGGAGTAAATGTACCTATTGGAGGATTTGGTCGAGTCTATTTGGGTGTTTGAGCTTGCACCAACCCCCAGCCAGGGCTTGGAACGCCCGATGTAGATCATCTTCCACGATTCTAGGGTCTGAATAAATTGATATGTGAACATTGCCTATGTGGGAAGGCAAAACAACCTTGGAAGACATCCACCGATAAACTTATAGCTAAACTTTGTTTATACGAAGTTTTAGGCTATTTATGCCCATTCAAGTTCCAAGGTTGTCGGAAGAACGACAGGCTGATCCGTACCTAATCCACCCCCTCTAGCCAAGATGTATCGGATTCCAAGGTTCACGGAAGACTGCCGTCACTACGTAGCACGCTTATAGCCTCCAGATGTTCAATGAGCTCGATCACCACTCTTTACGATAAGGACATTGGATATAAGGAAAGATCATGCCCAGATATGCGAAGCAACGCAGCAAGACGCAAAGCTGTTGTGTTCGCGAATGGTTTGGTCTTTGGCCCCCAAAAATGGCAGACCCCAGTGTCGTGAGCCCCCATTTCAAAGCTCAAGGGATACGGAGTAGATTTGCGGCAAATATTGATCCCCCATAACTAAGACCAAAATTCGCACATCACTCGTAGGGACTCAATAACCCCAGATACGACTCGGCGAGACCCAGTGCGAGCCATGGATCGAGGCCTCAGGAGTGGCTCGGGCCTGTTTCATAAGGTCTGCCCCAATACACATGTATCTATTTACGTGCTAATTGTTTCATCGCCGTGACCTTGTTGGCTGTCTGACACCATGGTTCCTAAAATCGGAATCTCTACGGGAATACCCCTCGGTATTTTCCCGAGGTCTGAGCCTCAACATTGAGGTAATCCAGCGACTCAAGGGGGCAAATGTTGTATCAAAGCATAATACGGAGGCTATGGATCTATCATAGACTGCATAAGATATTCCGCCTATGGACCTGGAGACCATTTACGTAGGGCTGGAAGCGCTCCACGTCCACTATGGTAATATCTACCCGTCCACAGTGTTTCCGGTGGGTCCCGTATTGTCGACAAGTTGAAATAACAGAACAGGCGATCTGAGCACCTAAAAAGCACAATTAGAACAATCTAGAAACTGGCACCAAGACGCCAAGAGATGTCCGAACACCAAAACGTGCCTGTGAGATTCTACGGAAACACCAAAAAACAGACGGTGTAGATCGACCCGCACGGGAAGTGGAGAAGCTATGATGCGCTGGCTGTGTTAGTTTCCAGGTATGAAACGCGGGCGTAAGAGATTAATCAGGATAGCAGTTTCGAGAAATCCGCACAATGGAATGTTTGCCGCGTACTCGCATGCGTAACTACCACATCTAGGTAGACTATGAAGGCTCAATGTTCAATATTTAATATTGCTTCGGTAGAATTTCATAGATTTCGAAAACAGCTCGCAGAACAATCTACAAAGGTAACAAACTAGACCAAAAGCTTAAAAATTTGCCATGTTTTGCCAGTGTGGCAGAGCTCTTGTATCCGGGGGATCCTTGCTCGTTACGGTGTGATCTTACTATTTGTAGATGTCAACGTTATAATCCACGTTAGGTATTGGTCTTTGGTTCGTAGCCCCCGCCCTGCAGCGATCCGAGAGTCCTCGTATTGTCTGTCTCAGCTTTTGCATTTATGATTGTCTTAGGAATTCAACTTCACTTATTTCTCTCCTATATTCTTGCGATGGTCTTTGTATAGACTCCTCATGTCGCCTGCATCTGGTACACTCGTTCACTCCCTGGGTCACAACACCTTGGGAAAAGCCGATATTGCTGTTCAGACTATTTTCATGAATGTCTGTTTGATCGCGGTTGCTTTAAGATTGTGGTCCCGGAGATTACAATGGCTTTCGCTTCAAGTAAATGATTGTTTGATCCTTGGCGCAACGGTAAGTCTTGCGAGAAAACAATACAATCACACTCATTCAGAGTCCCCACAACCAATCTAACCAGACTGTAAGGACTGATTGTATGCACTTTAGTTCTTGATGATCGGTCGTTATGTGGTGGAAATCATTCTGGTTGTGCTATGTGGTATGGGCTTGCGTCCCACTGAGATAGTTCATATCGGAGGCAATGAGGTTGTGGTGAAATTCCTCGCGGTAGGTTACTTACCGACATCGTTTCCTTCATTTTCATTCAACAGTTCAACACTACATTCAAAGTGTCCGAAAATACTGACGTTTATCAGGTCACGTACGCGGGTGACCTCCTATGGATTGCGGTGGTCTGCTTGACCCAGCTGTCGATTCTCGACTACTACGTCCGTAACTTCGGCCAGCGCACTATCAATATACTTTCGTATATTGTCGCAGGTCTATGTCTAGCGCTTTCTATCGCCGGATTCTTTGCGACCGTGTTCACATGCGATCCACCGAAGAAGATATGGCACGAGAACGTCGACGGCCACTGCGGTGACCGTGAGATGTTACATACTGGCATCCACGCAACTGAGATAATTTTGAACTTCTTTATTTTAGCCCTTGCAGTTCCTTTCACATGGAACAAACCATTATCAACACCCAGGAAGTTCGGGCTGGTGGGAACACAAGCTCTAGGGCTAGTGTAAGTGACTCCAAATATCCATGTTTCAGCTCCGGTAAAGGATTCGCTAACCACTGGACTAGAGTTATCGTCATCCTTGCAGTCCGCACGAAACTAGAGTTTAAATCCGAATCAGCAAACTCAACACACTTCGCAGTCAGCAAGTCAACCCTGACATGTATTGTGCCTATATTGGGTATCATCACTGCATGCCTTCCAATTATATCTCCAGCCATTCAAACCGTGTCTGGTCGCCCATCTCTTACACCGTCGACTCAAACTTTCAGCCCAGATCCAGGCTCGCGGCATTGGGACTCTAGAGCCCTTACGGGCATGCGGCTAGAGGAACCTGAAATGCCTCTTGTCACTGTCCATCCACATGTCATGGCCAAGGCAGGATATCTTGCCCCCGGACATATTCGCATAACCTCTGACTGGGAGATTCATTCGTCGCGCGGCTCGACAAGGCCCGACAGATCATCTGTGCGGCGGTTTTGAGTATGGTTACTTTGAGATTTATTAATGTTATGCTTCAGGTCTGGAACCTAAAGTTGATCTATCTTATTATTCTGCATCCTTGTCATCTTAATACATACATATACTTGATATCAGTGAGATAAATTTAGGGATTATGCTAGGAAAACAATGTGTTTGTTTTAGGACATAAAAGTAGTTGCTTATAATACATCATCAGCAAATTTTTGAATATTCATCCAACTTTCTGGTTGGCCAATTGGCCTAGTGGTAAGGCATCCGTTTCCGGTGCGGGAGATCGTAGGTTCGAATCCTGCATTGGTCGTTTTTTTGCCCTGTTTACTATCAGGTCCACTCTATCCATGGATGGTTCATTGGGGATAGCGTCAGATAACATACCTTGATGCTTCTGCCAATTTTTTCATCTGTATGGAAATCTTTGGCTGCCTTGTGTAAGACGACTCGGCACATTCATTTAATAAATTGGTGCTGAGTAAATCTACATACCCTCCAGGGCTTCTGCTTGATGGTATCTGGGGGTCATGGATTCCCCGGGTGTGCACGGGTGCGTGGGGGTCTTGATTAGAAACCAACCTGGGGGGTCCCGGGGCCCCTCGTCTTGCGAAGCCATCCCCGCACTATACTTACACCCTTTTAAGATAGATTCAACACATTCACACAATGCAAACCGTGTTTATGTAGGGCTGTCATTGCAGCGTCGATACTGCAGGGAATGATCTCTCGCGTACTGACAATCTTCACAGTACAGGTGCCAGTGGCTACATCGGCGGGGATATCCTCGCGGGATTGGTTGCAAAACATCCTGATCACACTTACCGATTGCTGGTGCGGAGTGAGCAAAGTCAAAAGCAAATATCGGCAGCTTATCCATCGGCTATAATCGTCCCCGGAGGTCTCGATGATTTTGAATTGATCAGACGTGAATCGAGCAACGCGGACATTATCATACGTAAGAATGTCTGTGATTTTACGCTTGAGATAAGATTACTGATGCGATCATGAGCCTCCAGACACTGCCGAAGCGGCGGACCATCTTCCTGCTGCGCAGGCTATTGCCAAAGGAGCTATAGAGGGGCATTCACCCGATAAGCCGGTCTACTGGCTGCATACGAGTGGAGCTGGTATTTTCTCATCTTTCGATGATGAGGACAAGACATACGGCCAGAGGAGTGAGGTCGTTTGGGACGATGTGAAAGACATTCAGAAAATCGTCTCGTTCCCAGATCATGCAATGCATCGGGATGTTGACAAGACTGTCTTCAATTCAGGCGCTTCGGCCGCTGATATCTTGAAAGTGGCAATCATATCTCCGACGACAGTTTATGGTATCTTCCGACGTTGTGTGAACTGGAAGCACAAGATTTGTTCTAACATAGATTGCAGGGAGAGGTCGAGGTCCTTGTTCTCAACGCAGCAGGCAAATATATGAGATGGCCAAGTTCATTCTTGCGCAGAACAAGATTCCAAAGATCGGGACTGGTGAGGCAATTGGCTCCAACGTTCATGTGCACAGTGTGACAGCCTTATTTATTCGGTTGTTTGAATCTGCCTTGCAGCGGCGAGATGAGGAGCTCCTCTGGGGCTCGGAGGCATATTACCTCGCTGAAGAAGGGGAGCACTGCTGGGGTGAAGTGGCCGACACTATCGCAGAAGTGGCTCTCAAGAAGGGCTTTTTGCAATCCACTCCCACCAAAGTGTTCCTTGACAGGGTATCCGCATTCAAACTGGCGGGATTCGAGGCCACAAGTTGGGGGAACAACATGCGATGCCGGGCAAGCAGAGCTCGATCTCTTCTCCAATGGCAGCCCGTGGGCAAGGCCCTTGAGGAGGAGCTCTCACAAATTGTAGATGGAGAGTATAATGATTTGAAGCGGGGCTCATAAATGGATTGCTTCTTCCATGACCCTACAGCTTAGAGCGTGCTAGTACTGATCAATGATAGCACTGAATAACATCATTTCTGATAAGGGCCTTACATTCTATCTCCCTGTCACTACAGGACGCTAGATCGGAGATTATATTCACATTACTCCATTCCACCCAAATACCTTCCAGTGTAAATGGCACACCCGCCACCTGTCCAAATGCCGAAGAATGTTCCGCGTGCCAACCTCGTGCAAAAACAACACATGCGATTTCTTGCCAGTTGTCGATCATTGAAGCTGAGCATCCGAGACCCAGTGGCTGCCACCCGCACACCGATATCCACCACTTGATTTGATCCACTTATATCCCATCACACAAACACCCATGGATCTTAGCTTGGCTTGATTAGCTTGCTCTTTTCGCCGAGCCTCCTCAAATGCCTTGCGTCGTGCTTTGATTTCCCTGGCGACAGCCTCTTGTTTTCTGCGCTCCAGCTCATGCTCCAAACGCGCTTGCTCGTGGCGTTTCCTTGATTCCTCGTCTGCTCTTTGCCTGGCTTCTTCGGCTTCCTTCTCCGCTCTCTCCTCTTCTTCTTTCAGCTTCATCAAAATTTGCTGCTTCTTCTCATCGTCCTCCTTGACCTTCGCGTACTCTTGTTCTCTCATTTTCATTGCAGCCTTGTCTCTTTCAAGCTGGTCCCAGACTTCGTCCGTGACGCCGAGATCGCGGTTGATACCTGAATCTTGCGGTTTTGTGCCAGGATCTATCACCGAGTCTGCTTTGGTGTTCGGTTCAACATCTGCTGGTGCGGACTTTTGACTGTCTGACTGAGCCGGAGGCTGTTCCATGACTTTCGTGCGAGCAGGCAGAGTTTGTTCATGACTGACGGCGGCTGACTGGATTTGGGTCAGACCAGTTCCACGGTTACACCGCTCATTGATCATAGCACTCAGTTCTTCAATCACGATCTCTTTGCTCAAAAGTAGCTTCTTCCCACTTGAGATATGACTCGATGCGAGGACCTTTTGGAAGATACCCTTTGCTAGGGTCTCAACATCTCGGGCATTGGCCCAGCTTGCAGTCTGAGCCAGAAGGTAAAATCTTTCAGTCATCTCTTTCTTGAAGTCGGGATCGGGTCTTTGCACGCAGGTTATGTCAAAGTCCACCTTTGATTTGAGTGAGAGGTCACGTTTGACGTTCGACAGCTGCTCATCGAGCAATCGGATGCAGTTCCCTGAAGAAAGGGATTCAAATTGAAGCGATTCTGGGAAGCGACTGGTCAGACCAGCGTTGATTGCCATAAGCCGATTGATATCGGCGTCATAGCCGGCCAGAATGATGATCATTCTTCGAAAGAATTTGGGCTTTGTGATGCAGTCCACAAGCTCATCCATAGCTTCTTTGGCGAAATGTCCCTCAGCAAGACGGTATGCTTCGTCGATGAAAAGGACTTTCCCAAGGCCACGTTCCAGAACTTTCTGGGTCTTTGGGCCAGTTTGCCCAACATATTGACCCACCAAGTCTGTTGCAGAGCTCTCGATCACCTCGTTTGAGGCGAGCAGTCCCATATCATAGTAAACCTGTCCCATCTTTCTGGCTGTACTGGTCTTTCCAGTTCCTGTTCAAAACACAATATCAGCAAATAAGCCACAGTGGGTTGCTGCATGAAATATTTTTTTGCTTACCCGGTGGTCCACGAAAGACAAAGTTGAAGGGCAACTGTTCGCGAGGATCCATGTCCAACTTCCTGAGATCTTTGACCATCTTTTGGTAGCCTTGCAGCTTGGAAACAATGCTTTCACACCCTACCACTCCTTCAAACATCTTGGAAATGCTTGTCTCATTGTTATCTGCGCGATCGAAGTTCTCGTCAAAGTCGATGGCGTCGAGAATCGCATCCCTCGGAGCCCTAGCAGATTTATTCGAGGAAAGTCGCTTCTGATGGCGCAGTTTGGCTGTGTTCAGCAGAATGTCAATCTCACCCGCATTTCCAAAATGAGGTCGGGCTCGAGAGCGCTCGAGCATCTCCGAGCACACACGTCGAGCACGATCAGTGACACTATATCCCTGTTCCTTTAACTTCAGATCAAGGATTAGGTCCAACTCTTGCTCCGTGAAGTCCTCAAAGAGGAAGGCTTGGTCAATGGGGAAGCGACGGGTGAGGCCAGGGTTGACATTTTGGAACATTTGCTCCATCTGGTCTTTATAGCCCAAGAGAAGAACACATCGATCGTCTCCAGGCGTGCTTTGTACCTCTGCAACAATCGTGTCTACCACAGCAGTTCTGTACGGGTCGCTTCTAGCCCCTGTGCCGTCAGAAGTGCCACCGGAAAAGAGACCGTATGCTTCATCGATGACCAGAACCTTTCCCAATGTAGCCGCAAGAATACCTTTTGTGGTTTTCTCGGACTCTCCTATCACGCTGCCAACAAAGTCGGACGGATTCTTTACCACCACTATTGCAGATGTTAGTTGATGGGAAACTATCCACGGGATTTCTTTGCATACCTTCGCCATTGGACAAGAATCCAATATCCACAAGTACCTGGCCATAGATCTTTGCAATCGAGGTCTTGCCTGTTCCTGGATTTCCAAGAAAGACTTTGTTGAGGCTGTACTCAACCAGAGGCTGTTCATTGAGCTCGCGTTGGAAATTATACCTCATCGTATCCACAAGGGCTTCGACTGTCTTTTTCACTTCACGCAATCCGATCATTCCTTGTAGCTTGTCCCATGCCTTGGATGATTTCAAAGCTTGTGACGGATCAAGCCCAATCAAATCCTTTCTGTCGAAGAAGAAATCGTCAATCGGCAACACTCCTTGTCGTCTTTGCTGTCTAAGCCTTTCAGACTGCCGCTCGGAAACTCGTGACATGGCATTCTCCACGGCTCTTGCATTTGCGAACCCTTCACGACCGCGCCCGCGTCCAATTCGCCGGGCTAACACACGGCAGTAGAGTCCTCCAAGCCCATCATCAACTTTCATTTGTTTCTTGTAGGTCCTTTCAATCCCACTCTTCATGATTTCCATCAATTCGGTGTCGTCAAAGTCTTCAAACTTTAACTGATGTGGGAAACGACTAGGAAGTCCTTCATTGTGACTGAAGAATTTCTCCATGGGGCGTTCATATCCAGCAAGGATGAACACAATCATCCCTGTCTGATTCTCGACTTCGGCCAACAAAAAATCAAGAACGCCACCGCCAAAGCTGTTACCATTTACGAGCTGGTAGGCCTCGTCGATAAAAATAGCACCTCCTCCATCTTGGAGAGTAGCGTCAATGATCTTTTGGAATCCGGAAATGCCGTCATTTGCAAGTCTAGAACCAGTCGTCTCAGTAAACATCTGTCCTGGAATGACCCCAACAGCAGCCAAAAACTTGGCATAGAGACGGGCGACGGTCGTCTTGCCGGTTCCAGGATTTCCGACCAGTACAGAGCCAAATCGCTCGCGACTTAGATCCACGCCTTGTCGAATTGAGGTGTCGACTTTTGACTTGATGGCGAGGAATTTTGCCTTCACAGACTCCAGTCCCACCATGTCCATCAACTGGTCAATTTCCAGACTCTGGGCCAGAAAGAAGGTTTTTTGGTGGTCCCAATCGTCTTTAGCTTGTGAGGACTTTTGAGTGGGCATTTTTTGTAGAATGATCGGAGCTTGAGTCTGAGGTTCAGCGCGTCGAACCTCATTTTCAGGAGGCGTCTCAAGATCTTCTCCGAGGGGGGTAGGAGATGAGGAACCTTCTCTGTCAATGATTTTTTTCGGTGTATGCGTCTCTTGCACCGGGCCTCTCTTGAGCTCCTCAATCTCTTTTTCGTGTTGTTCAAGAACCTTTGCTCGCTGCGCATCGTCGAATTTGTCGCGATTCAAACGTCTCAAATGAGCAGCTTCGTCTTGAGCTTCTGCAAGCTGCTGGGCGTATGAAGCTTGCTTTTTTTGACGCTCTGCCTCCAACGTAGCATCCCGCTCGCGCTTACGCTCCTTGATCTTATCTTCTTGAAGGCAGAATCGACACGCAGTTTGAGTCAGGCCGCAACGGAGTGACGATGAATGATTGCGCTGGCATTTGATCTTCACAATCTTCGTGCAAACCATTTTGGAGTGGTCCTGTATCTGATGACACCTGGATTTGCATTCGTGAACTCCACATTTGAGCTTGGCTCCACTGTTCGAGAGGTCAATATAGGTCCAAAATTGAGCTACAGGGCCCGGTGGAATACATCCCCCATTCTAGGTAAGATGTGAGAGAAAGGCAAGCACTTACCAAGGCTCTGAGCAGCCTCCATCTGGGACTTCCCGGTCAAAATCCTCTGGCCTTTGAAGGATGGCAGTCTTTTGTGGATGCTGCTCGCATTTGACAGGTAATCCGTCATACAAATGTCCATCAGCTTTGAGCTGATCGATCAGGGGCTTCCAACACTTTTGTCCCTTGCGACTGGAGACGAACGTTTCCGAGTTGCCTACCAATATTAACACATTTCGAGCGCGAGAAAGCAGCACGTTCAATCTTTCGGGTGCTGCCATGAAGCCTATGTCGCCGACAGTATTGCTGCGAGTAAGTGAAGCTATGACAATCTCGCTCTCTTCTCCTTGATAGTTATCTGGTGGCAATTGTTAGACTTTTCATTGCCGTTAATCGTCGTCTTCACTGCTTACCAATGGTAGACAGCTTTATCTGTCTTTTTGAATGGTTGGCACTGGCCTGTGATAGGAGCCCAGCCTGTACGAGATCATAGGAATCAAGATCGTTGAGCACTGGATCATTCTGTTTGCTCAGTGTGTCCCTCAAGAGCGAGAGTTGACCAAGATAGGGCGTGAGAATGACCAATTTATCAGTCCCATACCCTTGCTGCCCAAGGTATTTGACAATTTTCAAGACAACCTCTGCCTCAAATGGATTTTGCTTGGACTGCTTTGAACCCTCGTCTCGTCGATCAGAAACATCCTTGAAGCTTGCTTCGAGACTTGCATGGTTGAAAAATATCACCCGGTCGCATAGTCCTCTTGGCATGGGGCGGTTCTTTGTTTTCTCGTCGTTTTCCAACCCAGGGTACGTCAGATTACGCACGAGGCTGGAAATCTCAGGACACATTCGATGTTGCTTGAGCAGTGTTGTGTGGGGATAGCCAGCATGTATGAGTCTTTCAAAAAGAGATACATTGAGATCATAACCATCGCCCTTTTCTGCACTCAGGGCATAGTTGTTGATTTTGGGCTTGAGTTGGAGATGGTCTCCAATCATGATCAAATGCTTGGTCTCAGGAGCAATTGCCGTGAGGACATGAGACTCCAAGATTTCACCTGCCTCTTCGAGAAGGACAATTCCGGGAGATGCGTGCCGAAGGTCGTCTGAATACATTGCGGCAGCTGTGGTTGTGCAGCCGATGATTCGCTTTCCTTTCAGAATATCCCTCGTCTTTTCAGACAGAATGGCACTCAATTTTCTCTCGCACTTGTTGAACAACCCGATCTCGGTACTCAAAGATGTGGCTTGTTCGTTCATCAAAGCCCGCGCCCAGAGTTCAACTTTCTTCTTTCGGAGATCCTGCTCCATTGCCCATATGGATCGACAATGCTCAGGGAGAGTATCCAAAAAATGCTTCGGATTTTTTCCCTGGGCCCACCTGTCGAACAGATAGCCCTTGCCAACTGCTCTTCCAGACTTGCCAGCCGTTTTCATTCCACTCTCGTCTTCGGGGACACTCAGAGCTTCGAAGTACTCCGGCTCCTCAAACTCGAGATAATCCAGCATTGACGTGGTATCAGCCGAAAGCTGCTGGTACGCTCGAAATGATATATCCAGTCCATCTTTGTGGGTTTTTCCGTCGGCCTCTAGGGCTCTTATGGTGTTCCATGTTTCATTAGATCTTGCGCGGCTCCTTTGCTGCATCTTCAGGCTTAATGGAAGGGTTCTGGTTGATGACTTAGATCCCAGTCGAACAATGGCAGAGGACTTAATTCCAATATCCAGCAAGTCTTCCAAAAATTGATCCAAAGCATGGTTGGTATAACACATGACCAAGATCTTGTCCTTGGTGTGGTCAAAGAGGGCCTTCGAAAGGAGGGCGCCTATGAAAGACTTTCCGGTACCTGAAGTTTGAATGATTAGTTTGGGAACGGAAAAGTCATGTCAATGTTGAACTTGAATACCTGGTGGGCCTTGGATCAAGCTGACTCTTTGAGTCAACCCCGCTAGCAAAGACTCGAGCTGCGAAGGGTCCAATGTGACAGGCTGGGAAGTCCGGAGGAGGTTCTGGACGTTGCGTCTATAATTCTCTCCAAGCTCATTGATCAGGTTCCAAGGGGCCAAATCCGAGTTCCTCGGCGGCTGATTTTTCTCGTAGAGAAACAACTCTTCTGTGAGTGGAAAGTCCATCCTTTCTTGTAGACACTTCAATATCGGCTCATAAGCAAAAATAGGTGTGTTGACCACCAGAAAATCGATGTCGTTATGCAGTTTTAGAGCAAGAAGGGATTTCTTCAGTGCCTCCTCTCCGGCAATGCGTAGCATCACAACGGGTGGACTTGAAGCCAATGCGTCAATATCCCTTTCGATAGTTGCAAAAGCCACAATCTCGGTGCCTCGGATCAGGCATCCAAATGCCTGGTGTTTGACGAACTGCACTTCTTTCTTTAAAAAAGCCTTTTTGTCGTCTTTGGAAAGGTTATGTAGTCTGTTGAGACCTGTCTTTGGGGTCACACCTATAGTGCACGAGCGCAGGTGTTTTTCGTCCTTGGAAACGCAGCAGATACAGGACAGAGAAAGCCCACCCAGGCGAAGAGCTGATCGCCGACCACTTTTTTGCCATTGGCAATTTGGAAGTCATCACGAAGAACTGACAGCATGTCCTCCCTCAAGAGACGAAACTGGTTGTCAATGTGGCCGGCGATGCGCTGGCTACCGGATAGCTCTGCTATCTCGTCCACTCCACGATAGAAAGGCTTCTCCGTACAGCCCATCTCATCTGCAGTGGGTAGAATAGCCGTCAATCGGAAGTCAGCAAAGTCGTTATCATGGCGACCGCCGGCTGTGCTTTCAGAGGAGACGAGAGCAGTTGTGGAAGATTTCATTTCCAGGAGATACTTTATCTTGTGCCCTGTGTTCCGTAGCCGAACAAGAGGCGATGAGAAAAGTGATTGTTGGTCAACAATAGCCTGGGCATCTGCTCTGATGTCCACTCTAAGTGAAGTTGGCAATGACAGCAGCTCTGTGGTCAACCAGCATAGAGCAAGAGTTGCATTCTCATCCAGTTTTCCTGTAAGAAAGGCCTCCACGAATGAGTTCCAGAGAGTTCGTGGCTCCAGTATGATCAAGAGAATCTGTTCAAAAATCAAGCCATTTCCAAGAAGCTTGACTTGTGGATCGTTCAAGAAAAGAATGAGTTTCGCAGAAAACTCGTTGATGAAGGCTGGAGTGATGTTGAATCTCAACCCATTTCGAAGAGATTTCATAGCGGTTTGGTTTGCGATAAGCTTTTCAACTAGTGCAAAAGGGTTGTTTTGCTCCAGGATGGCTTGAACCAGTCGTTTGAAGTTGGTGGAATCTTGGACTTCTTGCTTTCCATGGAGAACATCCCCAAGAAATTTAGCTAGCCGCTCCGATCGAATCTTTGTAGACATATTGAGAGCTTTGAAGAACAAGGAAAATAATGAGAGAAGGGTTGAGCGATAAATGTGCTTGAATGCAGTAGATTCTTGTATCTGAGGAAGGCTCGGGGGAGCTGAGCTGTAGCTCTTGGAATCTGCCTCGCAAGGCAGGGAGCTGAAATGAGGCAAACAGTAAAGGATGACGGGTAAAACCAACATGCAGATTTACATTTGCTATCCGATTTGTCGTTCGTTGGTCTAGCTGGCGTAGTGTGCCAACATTGGTACATGTGCCACCTGCACGGCACCTGCGCCCCAGCGCTAACTCCAGGCAAACGCCGGTCTGAGCCAACGAAAGCAACGAGGCGATGGCATAGTGACAAGGATAAGAAGCATCACTGGAGATTAATTCACTGTCCAATTTTTACCTGTGATTAAGAGGGTACCCAATAAATAGGGCAGTCCGCTGCCCATCGAGACCACTGCCCGTCAATACCTTTTGTCTGCCTTCTGTTTCCCATCTCCTTTTTTCCAGCTACTCTTCTGTCAGTTAATATCAATATGGGAGATCCGACCAGGAATTTTCGTTCATACCGCGGAACTGGAAGGGAGAGATGGAGTAGAGGGGTTCAGAGACCGGTTGTGCCTCAAGCGCCGGCTCCACCACTCGGTGAAATTCTTGCAACTATCCAGCATGCAGATCTTGAAGACCAAGAAGACCAAGAAGACCAAGAGCCCGATCTGGCTCAAATTACGGAGACAAGATACTTGGCTTCTTACAACTGGCTTGGTGAGGGAAGCCAGCAGATCATAGTCCCTGGTAAGAACAATGCTCAACAGTACCATACTTGATGGCTGCTGACTTTCATGTACCTAGGTGAACCACCCATGTGGAGGCCTCTTTCAAAGCCCACTCAACTTCAGCAGGACTCAGGTGAATATTATCGGGACTACAACGCTGCACGACACCCTTCTTATCCACTTGAGCCGATGATACAAGCAATACTATCTGACAACCCGGACTTCTCTCTGAAGGATGTGGACATCATTGCATGTGGCAGTACGTTGGGTGGTTTGCTTCGCTTCGCACGCCATGAGGACACATCTTTCCGCATGCTGGTTGAAGTGGTCGGGAACACTGTCTTCTTCGTCAGGAGACATAACTCGCCCACTGAGAAAATCCCCAATGTATATGGGTATGGTCATTCCTTCCCGGAGGCCTACACAACGTGGAGTAAGAGTGTGCAGGGATGCTGGTCGCATCAGCGTGTGATCAGTTACAACCTCGCCGGGATGAGCTGCTTGGTGCGCTTTGGGGCTGATGGATACCTACCCAATCTGGTCCCCGAGGACTTGAAGACTGAGGGAGATCCAACCAGTTATGCAGGCGACACAGTGGAAGATCTCTTGTCATCTATGCAGGGGACGACTGTCTCAGGTTCTAAGCCAGCTACTGCAAGCTCGGATGTCGAAAATCAAAAGATTGAAGTCTTGAAGAAAGGGCGCCACATTCCACAGGATGGGATCTTCGACTTGAAGACTCGATCTGCCAAGAAGATTGATGTTGACATCCTCAAAGACGAGATAGCTCGCTTGTGGATCAAGCAAGTTCCGAACTTCATTGTCGCGTATCATGTTCGTGGTACGTTTAATGACGTTCGGGTTCAAGATGTGCGGGAGGACTTGAAAAAGTGGGAGGAAGCTGAAAAACCAGCGTTGATCAAATTTGCCGGCTTGCTGCAGATGGTAGTCGCCTTTGCCCGGAGTGCGGTAAACGGCAGGATTGAGATTGAGCATGAGGAGGGTACAAACGTTCTAAATCTACGAGAGCAGGCAGGGGTGGCCAATAGTGTATTACCTTCGTCTCTCATGAGCCATTGGGATGTCTAGGCAGCTCTGAGGGTTTCGGGTCCAATTCCAATGTTCAACCTTGAAATTTTGGCTCTTAGTAACTACTTGAATTGAAAGCAATCCATGGAGGCATGCAATTTATTTTACTTAAAGGTTAGCAGCCTCATACCCGTGGGCGGTCCATGGCCCCCCGAGTTCCCATGCTTCCGACTCGGGATATATCTCGGGGGAAGGAGATTCCAGGAGCTGTCACCGGTGTTAAATATTTCCAGTAATCTATAAAAAGCTTATCTCTATCCAACTAGACATTAGATTTCATCTATACCCGACTGGGCATATCAAAGGCAACCAACCTTTTAGTTCATTTGTAAAGGAAGTACGTTCGTTGGGTTGATCCATGAATTGATTGATACCAACCAGGGCACATCTCGGACGGGTGCTCCCTCCCGCCTTTCTTTGTTTGCTTCCGATCATAAGTCTCAAGGTCCGCCACCACACTCAATTGGTCAATCTATTTAGTTACTCTTCATTCCCTGACAGGAAATGAGCTGTTCTTGAAGGGAACAAAAAGGGGCAAGCGACGAGCCAGTCTGACTGGCAAAACGAAGCAAAAAGAACGACCAATGCAGGATTCGAACCTACGATCTCCCGCACCGGAAACGGATGCCTTACCACTAGGCCAATTGGCCGCCTATGTGAAAATTTAAACCAATGAATGTATTCTGAGGAAATGCAATGCAGGTTCCAGTAGTCCACGGGTCCGTGTTGTGGTGGATCTCCGGGTGCTACTTCAAGACCATGATTTACGCCAACCAAAGTACAAGATCAGAGCTTGTTTGAGGATGACTTCTGAGGATCTGAAGCGAACGAGCCTCGAGGAAAAAGTTGCGCTAAGCTTCGCTTCCCTTGAATACAAGAATGTGCGATAGATGCCAGCGTGATACACAGAGGATGGCCCCTTCACAGGAGGGCAGGCAGTCCATCCATATCTCAGAGCAATTTCTCCTCGGAGATAAAGGCCCGTGGTGATAAATTAGACCATTTTGCCTCTGAAACCCTGCAGAGTCTCGAGGATTACCCCTTGCGCAACAGGGAGGCACAACCATGATCGACGAGGAAATCGCGTACGATCAAGCTTCTAGGCATTCCTGGCGGAAGGAGAAAACATAATCCACCCTGCCAGGGCCTGTCAGGGGAGCCAGAAGAGCCATCGGCATTCTCCAACAGGGATGTTTATATCGCCGCACAGGCAGACGGGGGTCGTGACTGGCCAACACCCCTTCATCCCAGTTATGACAGAATGTCACCAAGGAGATCTGTTATGGACGTCTTTAAGGAATATGGGAATCCTTTAGATACTCTGGCATTCCGGGTCGTCTTTGAAGTCCGCCTTGCTTTTCGTTTTATTTTGGACAATCACCTCTGTCGCTCGACGACACTTCCTTTCGTTCAACGTCATCCTCTCGTTAATTGTCTCACCAGTTGACATCATGGTTAAGACTACGTACGCATTGACGCTCTTCGCGGCGGTTAGCTTGGCTGCTCCCATCCCCAACCCGGATGGCAGTGGGAACCTCGTTGGCGCCGGCGCCGATAGCGCGCTTGGAGGTGCTGTGCAGCAACTCACCCATACTCTTGGTATGCGTGACACCAAGAAGACTGGAAATCAGCACAAGAACCTCATCGAGGAGATCCCTATCATTGGAAAGATGCTTGGAAACGTACGATACTCCTCGACTTGACCAAGTCTGAAGCAAGGAACCATACTGACTCAACATGCGTTGTATAGAAGCACGACGCCAAGCGCGACACCTCTGATAAGAATGCAGAGCACAAGAACCTCATCGAGGAGATCCCAATCGTCGGAAGCCTCCTAGGAAAAGTATGTGTTATCCACTCTCATGTACCACAAATGACGGGGCGAAACGCTGACTGGTCACGGAAAACAGAAGCATGAAAGCCAACGCCGAGGGCTCGGTGGTGGTGGCTTGAGCAGCCTGCCAATTGTCGGTGGTGTATTTGGCGAGGTGAGTAATATTGATGAACTCCGAGATTATTTGGAAAGTTGTATGCTGACAAGAGGTAGCACCAACACTCTGGAGGTGACAATGGCCTGACTGCTTCTCGTCGAAGCATCAACCAGAACTACCACCAGAACGAGGGCCAAAATGCTGGCCAAAACGAAGGTCAGAATGAGGGTCAGAATGGTGGCCAAAATGAGGGACAAAACGAAGGCCAGAATGCTGGCCAAAACGAAGGTCAGAATGAAGGCCAAAACGACGGTCAGAACGACGGTCAGAACGAAGGCCAGAACAATGGTCAAAACGAGGGTCAAAACGATGGTCAGAATGATGGCCAGAACGAAGGTCAAAACGACCTCCAAAACTTCCTCCAAAACTTTGGCCAAAACAGCAAGCGTGACTTGAGCCAGTTGAGCAGCTTGCCGATCGTGGGCGAGCTCTTTGGAAAGGTGCGTCACTGAATCCAAACACAGCCAGAACAATTCAAAACCAAGCTAATATAACAAAAGAGCAAGGACCAGGAGAAGTCTGGCCACAAACAGACTGATGCTCCCGCCAAGCAGGTCACCACCCGTGCGGCGCCTGGCCACTCCCAGGGCATCTTCGGTATCTTGCAGTCTCTCACCAGCGGTGGTGTAAGTACTATTATACAATACGGAAATCTACGGTCACTAACGTGGTATGCAGCCTGAGACCAAGTCCCACGCCAAGCGTGGCTTCACCCCAGATTCGACCACTTTCGAGGACGAAAATGGAAACCCCATTAACCAGAACCCCAACGGTACTAAGGACAAGAAGGAGAAGGATGCCAAGGACTCAAACAACCTCCTTGCTAACCTGATGGGCCCTGAGGGCCTTGGCTCCATTAAGGGTAACGCCCAGCACGGCGTTGGACTGTTCCCCGTAAGTCGAAGCCGATATGTTGAAGAGATCAGCAGCTAACAAATCACCAAAGGCTCGTCGTGACACCGCGGCGATTGAGGCTCGTGAGGCTCCTATCCAGGGCTCTACCCTCACTGATGTTTTGTTCTCTGGTGGCGCCCTCGGAAAGCTGAGCCACGTACTCACCCCCGGAGCTCCTGAGAAGAAGCCTGGTGAGAGCTCCCCCAAGCAGGTCGGCGACGGTAGCCAGTCTGGCCCACCTGACCCTGCTTCCGGTGCCGGCCCCCACTCTGGACCTGGTCTTGCCGCTGAGCAAGAGGAAACCGCAAAGAAACCCGCACCCTCTGCCTCTTCATAAGGGACGCACATGTTCAGTAATACGTATATTTCCTTTGGGCGGACAGACTGTTATGACACTTTGATGAAGCGGCAGGGAAGACTGGTTGGTTCAAGAAGTTGTATTTGTTGCTTAGTTGTGAATTGTTGCTTTGAAACGACGTTGAACGCCATCCTTACTTAGACCCGAAATTGAAGACGAGATCGTGCACACATAAAAGAACAGACAATTTTGTGGATGGACAAAGAAACCCGCAGGATACAATCGCTTCGTAATAGAACAAATGAACAACGCTGGCAGATGTTGTTCACAGGCAAATGAAAGACAAGAAGAAAAGACATCAACAATCGTAAGTCGTGGAATCAGGTAAAGCCGGAGTGTTGTTCCGGGTCGGACCTCCCAGTAAAAGAGCGCCCTTGGGGTATCAGGTCATTACGCGCAACAAACCAAGCCCGGACCAAACAGTCCAGGCGGAAAAAAAGCTCCTAGACCAAACAACTAGTCGGAGTCATACATGTCATAATCATCAACTTCCACCGTCGTTCCTAAGGCTTCCTTGCCTTCCCGGATCATCGCTTGCAACTGTTTGTTCAAGCGTTGGATACTGGCATCCTCCTCTCGCTCTTTGCGGCGCATCTTCGCAGCTTGCTTGTGCATATCTGAAAACGCTGGGACATCTTTGAGGCGCGGTGAGGGCAGGTCCTGACTCTTTGTCGGTGAGCGAGAGCCAGAGTAAGCTGACTTCTTGGCAAGCCGGGGCATGACGGCAGGTCGGCGACGGGGACTCGAGGCCTGGAAGGCTCGTCGTGATCGCAGCGATGGGCTAGGAAGATCACTTCCAACAAACTGTTCTGAAGTTTCGGGAACTACGACCCAGGTTCGGTCGATGTCATCATCGGGGTACTGGCCCGGTACGGGAGTCGAGCAGAATGTGTTGGAGTAGGTATCTTTCTCGCTGGAGGGGATAGTGGGTGACTGCCAGGTCGATTCGTGAGTCGGTGATGCAGCGGGCATCTCGTAGCCCTGTCCACCTCCAGCATAAAAGCCGCGGAATGCTCCCGCCCAGCATAGATCCAGGACCTTCCCCACGGCCTTAATCACCGATCGGCCCCATCCTGTGGGGGTTGAGAGAGTGGGACCTTCAGCGCTGGGAGATACGATGCATGAGTCCCGACGGCTGCGTTTACGACTGCCACTTTCGTCTGGATTTTCGTCGTCGGTGTCGAAGGAGGGTGGTAGGAATGATTCGCGGTATCGGTTGGGACGGTAGTCCAGCTCGGAAGAGGTAAATTCGTTACCTCCGCTCATGGAACGGAAGCCGGGGATCATGGGATTAAAATCTTCAAAATGAGATGAGAACTTCTCGGTGTTTCGTCGTGGTCGCTTGCGAGTTACTGAAAGAGAGTAAAGCGATTCGGAGGCCGTGGGCACCTGGAACAGTTGCGATGCATTTGAGAGGTCGAGTTTCGCCGGGGTGGCCTTGAAAATGGCATGCATATTGGATGAAATAGACAAAATAGGACGGAGATTAGAGGAAAAGCAGAAAACTCTCCCAAAAAGGGTTGAGGTGCAAGGAGTAGAAAAAAACAAGAGCAAAGAAAAGGAAGTGGCTGGTATCGCGCGTAAGCGTCTTTATTTCCGAAACAACCCCCTAACTTCATACAAACCCTACGATCCTTGCAAGATTGAAAATTATCCTACAATCGCTGACTGGTCCATTGCACTCCAGCTGCCTCAAGTCCCTCATCGCCATCGACCAACACACACCATCCCTCGCCGCCCTGTCCTCCATCTCCCGCCATCACCGCCTCGAAGTGACCGTGAGCATACTCCAACACGGCATCGTCGAAGGTTCCTGGCTGCAACCAGACGGCGGGAATTCCCACAGAGTGCGCTTCTTGCAGGACTTGAAGTGTGACAGCTGGCGGAGTCACCACCGACAGGGAAGTCTGCTTGGGCGAAGGCAAACCCGCCGGGGAGGGGACCGTATCGTAAGCACGCGAGGGCAGGTTGATCTGCGCTGCGCGGGGGTTGAGCGGTGTCACCGGCAACGAGTGCTGATGATACCAGGCGAGGACTGTCCCGGGTTAGTGTCGGTAGTTGATAGCTGGGGCATATCCTACTTTTGTATCCAAACTTGTGAACGTCATTGCTGGCGCCCGCCACCGCAAAGCGGGGGGAGCTGAAGAAGCGCTTAACTGCCGCCATAACTTAAGTATCTTTGATGTGCGGAGTAGTAAGGGAAGTTCAAATTGAAGAAGCAAAGAAGTAAAGAGAAGTGAGTAGGGACAAACTACCACGTTTGCTGAGATCTGGGGAACTCCAGAAAATCGCAAACCTCGGCTGCGGCCGATGACGACTGATCTCCCTTCTTTCGCAAATCTCCCACCTCCGACATTCGGACGTCCGGCGACCTCCCCAATTAATTCCACTTCTTCACACGCATGCCACCTTTTCTCCCCCGCAAGCGAGCCTCCTCCGAGGACCCGCCCCCGGCCAAGCGTCAGGCTCGGGCCGATGCCCAAGCTCCAGCTCCAGCTCCAGCTCCAACGCCTGCACCAGCTCCCTTCCACCTCTCCGATTCGGACTCTGATTCGGACTCTTCGTTGAGCGATGCACCCAATGGACTTCTCAGCAAAGAAAACAAAGATGATGAATCCGAAGATGAAGAAGATGACGTCGATTGGGAGGATGCAATGGATACCAAGACCACAAGCACTACGCCGACGGCCCCAGCTCCGGAGTTACAAGATCTAGAGTTGACTCTAGATCAGAATGAAGCCCACGTATCTGATCTGCTGGATGGCAAGAAGGGGCCAAGCAAAATCGAACGTCAGATTCGGATCCAGACGCACTGTATGCATGTCCAATGCTTGCTCTTCCACAACGCCATTCGCAATGCCTGGAGCAACGATGCCGAAGTTCATACTATTCTCAAGAGCAAGCTACCAACGGCGATTCAAAAAGAGGTCAAGAAATGGCGCATCGCCTCTGGCTTGGATCTTCCAGAGCCAAAACCAGAACCACCAAAGAGCAAAAAAGGCAAAAAAGCACAGAAAAGTAAGGATTGGAGTGCAGAGTCGGAGCGACTGGAACCAGGCACTCCTGACATGAGTAGCGGGGATCCAATCATTACCTTGATGAAAGTACTGGTTGCCTACTGGCGAAAGCAGTTCCGCATAACGGCGCCCGGGCTGCGAAAGTCTGGATATCGACCCGTTTCTGCACTTGAAACTGTAATTACGGACTTCCGCGAAGAGCCGCATGACCCAGAGCGCCATGGTGAGCGTATTGCCAATCTCAAAGAGTTCCGCCAAACCGCCGAAGCTATGCAAGGCTCTCGGGATGTTGGTGCACAGTTGTTTACAGCACTCATTCGGGCCTTGGGCATTGAAGCCAGGCTTGTTGCGAGCCTACAACCGCTAGGTTTTGGTTGGACTAAGGGAGAGACTTACACACCCTCCAACACAGAAGCAGACGAGAACAACTCGGAGATGACAACAAAGGTTGAAATATCTGAATCGGATACCGATGCTGAAGAAAAGAAACCAGCGAAGAAGAATACGAAGCACTTTGACAAGGACTTACCATTTCCGATATACTGGACCGAGGTCGCATCACCAGTCACAAACGAGATCATTTCTGTTGACCCGCTTGTACTTCCTAACGCGGTCGCGCCATTTGCAAACTCAGAATTTCAAGCCAATTTTGAGCCACGAGGCGCAAAAGCGGACCGAGCAAAACAAGTCATGTGCTACGTCGTGGCCCATTCGGCAGACGGCACTGCGAAAGAAGTTACAACACGATATCTCCGACGACGGACCTGGCCTGGGAAGACAAAGGGTTTCCGAATGCCCTTGGAGAAGGTCCCCTTCGGCCGAAAGGGTCATTATATCTCGTTCGATTGGTTCGGGATGGTGATGCGCGGCTACCAGCGAGCTCGAAAGAGCAAGACAGCCGTCGACAAGCTCGAAGAAACCCGAGACCTTCAGCCTAACCAACCAGAAAAGAAGAAAGCGACCGAAGGAAATGACACACTTCAAAGCCTTCGTACGTCGACCGAGTTCGTTCTGGAGCGCTTCCTTCGCCGTGAAGAAGCTCTCCGCCCCGGAGCCGAGCCTGTCCGAACATTTGTCGCAGGGAAGGGTGCCCGCGCCAAGGAAGAACCTGTCTTTCGACGCGAAGACGTGCTGAAATGCCTCTCCGCCGAAAGTTGGCACAAAGAAGGCCGCCAGACCGTTAAGGGTGCTACGCCCCTCAAGCGTGTTCCCATCCGCGCGGTCACTCTCGTCCGTAAACGCGAGGTCGAAGAGTTGCAGCGCCAAACTGGCGAGAAACCACTCCAAGGTCTATACTCTCGCGACCAAACAGAATACATCATTCCACCGCCCATCCAGGACGGACGAATCCCCAAAAACGATTACGGAAATATTGACTGTTTCGTGCCGAGCATGGTCCCTGCCGGCGCTACCCATGTTCCTCTACCCGGAACCGTGCGAGTTTGCAAAAAGCTCGGAATCGACTACGCGGAGGCTGTGACTGGTTTCGAGTTCGGGTCGAAGATGGCGGTTCCTGTGATTCAGGGTGTCGTTGTCGCTGCCGAGAATGAGGACTTGCTTCGCGATGCATGGCAGGCTGATGCTGCCGAGAAACGGAAGAAGGAGGAACTCAAAGCAGAAAAGAAGATCCTCCAGACTTGGCGGAAGTTTTTATTTGGATTGCGGATCATGGAGCGTGTGAGAGATGAATATGGTGGTCGGGATCCAGATGCTGATCGCGAGCGGGACTCGCATAATCCTTTTGCTGCGCAGAAGAAAAAGGGGGAAGACGAGCCTGAAGAAGATGAGGAAATGGACGAGGCGGAGCCCTACGATCCTATCGATCATGGAGGAGGTTTCCTCCTGCCGGGCCATGAAGATGTGGATGATGGCCTGATCATTGAGCACCAAGACCCGGAAAGCCATGCAGGTCCATCTAACACTCGCTCCAATGTCGATGAGTCGGAGTCTGGGTCTCTTGAGGGGAATCGCCTCCATTGTCCGTTGCCTCGGACTCTGGTGGCGAGGGAGAGGATGGAGAGGATGGAGATGAAGACCCAGAGCCTGAATATGCACCCCGCCCAACAAGACGAAGTGCCCGAGGTCTTTGATATGTGTGCTTGCCCAGGTATAGCGCCGCTTGTTGTCAACATCACATACAATCCTGTTATCAATACCCGAAGACAAGAAACGAATGTACGAATATTCCAATCAAAATAATTTACCGCTCAATGCAGCCTCGGTTCTCTTGGGATGAGGCACTAAAAACCCCGCCCTCAAACAGACACCCAGAGGCTTGTACACTGCATCTTCTATTTTTTTCATTGAGACGTCATTTCACCAGATCAAGATTTGAGCTTCTTCACACCATTCAACATGGCCTGCGCATAAGTTCCTCTCACACCAGCCATCTCGGCAGTCACAATTCCATGAATTGTCGAACCTCTAGGCGATGCAACGCTTTCTCTGAAATGTGCTGGATCTTCACCTTGGCGGAAGAGCTCAGCCATGCCAAGCATACTTTGCGCTGCCATTTCCAGAGCATCCGATCTTTTGATACCCTCCATGACAGATCCGTCAAGAATGCCATCTAGACCAACCGATAATATAGCCATGGACGATCCAACCAGCATAGACCCCACATCAAACAAATCTTCTTCAAGCATCTTCACACCCCCAACAGTCTCAAAGATCCAGACTAGAATATCTTGTAGTTCGGGTGTAAGATCTGGGCTCTTCTCAATAATAGTCATCGATTTCCGAATCCGAGCAGCCATATTCGGCATCGCGCGAACAACAGTGGGCTTCTCCGAGCTCTCTGATCCTTGTAAAATATAGTCTGCAAGGACCTGGGTAGTTTTACCCCCCAATACGCTGATCACAAGCTTTCCAGCAAGTGCCTCTTTCACCCCAGGCTGGCCCAAGATGCTCTCTGCCATATGAGGTTTGAAGCCCAGCAAAACGATGTCTGCTTCTTTCATGACTTGTTGATTTTGATCATGCAGAACAGATAGTCTGTGCTCATCATTTTGGAACTTGGATTTGATCTGGCTTGCAGATGAAGCACTTTTGGTGCTGACCAAAAATCGAGAAATGCGTGGTGATGACTCATTTGCAGTTGCGTCTAGCAGTCCCTCGAGGATGGCGGTGCCCATGTTTCCTAACCCTTCTTAGCTTTGGCCGCGGCCTTGAGTGATTGATGAATTACCACATCCGACAAAAGCAATGGTTTGGCCTGTGAGTGGCATCTTGGCGAGCGTATGTTTGACAATGTATGATCGAAGTGTCGTCGAGAAAGGGTGTTGAGATGGGGGAATCACTTTCCTCATTCGTTCTGCCATCTCCCCGCAATCGGGTACTCTTTCCGACCTCGGAGCCCCACTATCTAGCAATGAGAATGTTATTGGAAATTCGCTGTGATTTGTTTATCTTTTGATGTATACATTGTTCTCTTTGAACAATAATCCCAACGAGTAGATCTACCTGGCCACGGCAATCTTGGTGTATCATATAGACCCTCGGTAAGAAAAGTCCGAGTAAGCCCGCCTGTTAAATCTCTCTCTCTCTCTCTCTCTCTCTCATGAAATTGAAAATAAGACGTTGAATTGTTTGATCATAATTGAGTGTTGCCATTGAACATTAAAATTTTTTCATTCCACCCACATAATATTGTTATCGTGTACATCTTTTGCGCTATTGTCATTCTTCCCTCGTAGCTCCTTCTCTCGCGCACGAACTCTTTCCCGGCGTTCTTTATTTCGCTTCACCAATTGCTTCGCAGTTTTTGAAGAGCCGTCTTCGGCGAACAGCTTTTTTAACCAATTCATGATGGTATAATGGGATATTATGTTGGAACAAAAAGATCAAAGTGAAGGAAACCTTGGAAGGCTCCAATCCCTCGAGGAAGAGATCTTGATTGGTGTGACAACAAGTGAGAGTCAACTGATCTCCCAAGTTGGCTGGAGAAGTAACATTAGCATACAGCTTCTCTTTATCACTCCAGTAGATTGAGAATGACCCACTCTGTATGTTGATCTCGGGACGGGGTAACTGCAGATCAGGTTGCAAGTCGACGAATGCTTGCACGAGATTTTCGACCTCTAGTGACTCTCAAAAGAGACGTGATTGGAAGTTTGATGTTCGGCCAAGCAAGTCCAAGGGACGATAGCGTAGAGATGCCCAGAATTGAAGGTTGATTAGTCTCAAAGCAACAGGAAAAACAGGAAGGGAGAGAAGAGAGAGGGAAAAGAGCGAGAAGCTATCTGTTTAAGAGGGGTGGGTCTGTGAAGAAACGGCTATAACCTCCATCCCCCCTATTAGCAACTATTGACCAAGTTTTGGGCCTAGATGATTTTGGAACTATCGAAATAGGCGCTATTGAAATAAGCATTTGTACTATTTTGGGACCCTGACTCTGTCATGTCTCACCCGTTAATTAACTATGGATTCACAAAGCCATTGACCCACCTCAAATGTCTCACATCCGTTCCCTAAGTAGGACGCTGGTTCCAAACATGTAAGCGCTAGGTGGAAGATATCATTGTAGATGTACTTAAAAAAATCTGTAAATATAAACTCCGTAGTGATCATGCAGTTCAATGTGAGTGTTACTTCGTGATGTGGTGCCGAGGTGGCACATGCGCGGAAGTTGGGGGTTTCCAAGGGCCCACCGCTCCCACAAACACAACAACACTAAACGCCAGCAAGCGAAAACCTATACTTTTACTTTCCATTTCCAATTCCAGTCCAAAATGGCCCAGCGAGACAAGGCGACGCTAATCAGACCCACCAGTAATACAGCAGAGTAAAAGCCAATGAGTACTTGAGGTGTTGTCGACTGGAGCAATTGGCCTCCAATTGGGACTGTAAGAAGCACCCCAAAGGAAGCAACACTGTAGACAGTGCCATAGAACCGGCCATAATCTTTGGTATCACAAAGCTGTCCTGCACAGACAGGAGCTAGCGAGAGCCACCCACCAGAGCCGAAACCGAAGATTGCGACAACTACATATAGTGTGCCCTCGTCGTGCGATCCATATGGTAACCAGACCCCGGCCAGAATTATCATTGTGATAATGACCAAAATCAAAAGAATGTTGAACCGACCGACCTGATCCGCAGCGAACCCTGGAAGAACTCTTCCAATAAGGCTCATGCTGTTCAAAACGGTCAGGGAGTAAAACTGCACATCCAATGAAAATCCGCTGTAACGAACGTATGACGGAAGAAGGGCAGCACAGCCGAATATAATGAATTCAAATGAGAACACAGCGATGGCGAGGAAGCACAGACGAGGTGACTTGAAAGCTGCAAAGTCGATAGTCGCTCTGCTGTTGTTGCTAGCTGGGAGACGTCCTCTGACAAGAAAGATGCCAACCGCATAGCACCCGAGTGCAGTAAAAGCTATCACGCGGATAGCCCATGTCCAGCCGTATTGCTCAAACAAATTCCGTAACATCAAAGGAATTAATGCACCGCCAGCTGATGAGCCACCCATGCATATACCAGAGGCCAGGGCGCGTCTTCGATTGAACCAGTGACTCAGGACCGCTATAGACACCGTGGTAATCACTGCGGATGAGATACCACCAAGGATACCAAGACAGAGCATGAAGTGCCAGTATTTCGAACATTCTGCCAGCAGTATGTAGCAGAGAAAATTTCCAAGACACCCGCAGATCAACAGAGCTCTGGGTCCGTAACGATCGAACAATGGTCCAAATTGGACACCAAGAAACAGGGTCAAAAATACGAGTACTGCTGTGATCCAGCCCACATCACGATCTCCATATGCAGCCAGTTGATGCGTGCTAATATAATCCTGGACAGATCCGACTAAACAAAAACGTATAAGTGAGCCGGGGTGTTGGGGATGGAGATCATCGGAATTTGGCTTACCTGCAGTTTGGAAGCCAAACGATGGAAACATCATGAGGAATGATCCCGCGAGACATATCCAGGCCTCCCGGCCACCTTCAGGAAAGGCCAAGCTCACCTCGGCATCCGGGTTCTCGGGGACAGCCTCGAGCTCAACAGCATTTTCAGTATCACCACCAGAGGCGATTCGAGATGATCGGCGCATTTTGGTATTCAAAATCTCAGAGAGTGAACAAAATTAGAAAGGGGAAAAAAAATTTTCGAAGCAAGAGAACGCGACATCACGTGGATTAAGGATGTCATTGAAGTTCATCTGGGCCTGGTGGGCAACCTTGGCCCGGGGTCCCGGGGAAGTATAGAAGTGGGCCGGGGTGTGAAGATCATGCAATTTTATTGGCTAAGAGCTTCAGAGTGCGAGCAAACCAATCACGGGATGCGGCTGCAAAAGCATATCCGGCCCGTACCCACGCGACGGCTGGACGGCCCGTGCACGGTCCGTGTAGTGCCCAGCTGTGCAGGTGCAAACAGTCATATTTTGATTTTGATATCACTTCTCTTTTCCTTTTGTACAAGACGCGTCTTTGACAGCCATGGCAAAGAGTTATCTTCAACTTTTGTGCCCCTCGGCTAAGATCGAAATTCAACTGAAGCAGAAGCAGTCAAGTGCCGCGGACTACTACACGACCGGCAACTTTGTGGCAGGCATTGTTTCAATTACCATACCCCGCGGGCTACCGCTGGGAGACGTACAGCTCTACTTCCAAGGTAATTAAAATCAGAGGCTTGCTTTTGTCTTTGCCCTAATTTGGCTATAGGGGTTTCGAAAACCAAATTTTATCGAGCCTTTCAGCATGGACGAGCCCAGACTCAGCACACTTTTCTATGCATACGTCAACCTTTGGACGAGATAAATATCTCAGCCCCTACCATCACCAGAGAGGGTGACAAGTACCACATTCCGTTTTGTTTCGTCATCCCCGACAAGCTGCCACCCCAATCGTGTAATCACTTCACCAGAAGCGATCAGATTAAAAATTCCCACCGAGACCTTCCTGCAACACTGGGAGACCGTGGCTGCCGTGAATACACCAATGACTCTTCCACCGACATGGCTTGCATATCATATCGCATTCGAGTCAAAATGTCGAACCCTTCGAATGTGAACACGACATTGACAAAGACAAAGTGCACTCGAATCATTCCAAAGTCTTCGGATATGCCCTTCGTTGAGAGAGGGAACAACATCTATTCGATCTTCATGATGAGGGATACGAGAAGTCGGCCGTTTCGAAGTCGATCCGGCCAACTATCCGTCGAAGCTTTACAGCCCGAACCTATCTGTTTAACCAATTCCAAACTGGCAATGCATAAAAATCCCGGCACCACAGTGACAATCGGGTTGGAGTTCGAAGGGACAAACAATCCACCAAAACTTCGGACCGTCGCTAGCCGCCTCCGAGTACTCACGGTATACAGCGCGACGCCCTGGGAAAACCACCCCGATGTGATCCACTCGGATTCACTTGGCAATGGCAATCGGGGGCTTTACAGGGACGACATCCCATTGTCCAAATTATCCCTCAAGTCTGTCGAGTGGGTCAAACTACAGGGCTTATCATACCCTCACAAAGTTGGACCAAAGCCTCGAGTCGATGAAAGCGATGCTGTAATTCAGCCGACCAAATACACGTCCTCCATTGTGGTCCCTATCAACATTCCTGGCACACACAGCCTTGTACCTACTTTTCATTCCTGCTTTATCTCCCGTGTCTACTTGGTGGAACTGAGTCTCTCCTATCGCCAACATGGAGTGGCGCGTGTTCCGTCGCGTATTTCTTTGGTGGTGCCTGTGCAGATAATGAATTAAATCCAGTCCAATCACGGGCTTTTTGATACCACCATTTCTCGGCGCAACGATACGATAAATGGAGAAAAAACTTCACAAACTTCACAAGTCATAGACCTCTCGTAGGATTTGTATGGGAAATAACAGTCCGCTGGTAGAAATCGAGTGGTTCGGGGCCCAAGCCCATATGTAGCTCCTGTATCTTGGCGTGAGGTTGGGACCCCTCAATGCAGCTGAGATTTCAGCACATCATCAGGTCCAAGTGTGAGATGACATTTGCTCGCTCGGCCGATAAGTTCATTTTCTCCAACCTTATGGTGTGGGGCAATATCAAAGATTGAGAGAGTTCTAAGGCTCTGGACCAAATTCAACAAGAAAGCCCCCTTCCCTTGCTAAGAAGCGATCAACGCGGAATTACCCCAATCTATGTCCTCATGCTGCCAAAGTTTCCGCTCGCAATCATTGCTTGCCATTATGTGATCTATGGCGACCACTAAATAGAAGGGGGAAACAAATGAGAAAGGGGCAATTTTTTATCTTAATAGAGCTCGAGGACCAAGCAGCCTCTCTAAGTCTCGCTCCACCTGTTCGTCCTGTGTTAATTGATACCTCTCTCCACTCTCTCCATTGTATGATCATGACTTCCTCCATCGTCCAAGACGTGCGCAATGAAATCGATATTTCCGATAAAACATTTGATCCCGAAAGGCAAAGGGAGAGTGCATTGGTGTCCGAGCTTCCCAAGTCGCTCGGCGCAGGTGTAAGTACAGCAAGGCTCTCGTCGCAATATGAGCTAACAAATCCTTTAAGTCCGCCCTGGCTCTTGGGGCATTTGGAACGACTCTCACCACCCTCTCCTTGAGTCTAATGGAATGGAGAGGCGTGACAACAGGAAATGTCTTCGTTGGAAATTTCTTCTTCATCGCTGCATTTGGCCTGGTTGTGACCGCTCAGTGGGAGCTTTCTGTTGGCAACGGCTTTGCCTACACTGTTTTTAGTGCTTTCGGTAAGTTTATCTCAGCTCACTATTTGGTTGTCTTCTAATTTATGGACTAGGTCTCTTTTACGCTGGTTATGGCGCGATTCTTACACCTGCGTTTGGGGTGGCACAGGCATATGGCGGCGCTACAACCCCTGAGTACAACAATGCGGTCGGGTTCTTCATGATATTGTGGACTGTGTTTGTGTTCACATTTCTGATCGCATCTATCCCAAGCAACATTGCTTACATCTTGGTCTTTCTGTTTGTGGATCTTGGGTTCCTCACGGTTGCGGCAAGCTACTTTGCCCTCGCCGACGGCCATGCAGCTTCAGCTGATGCGCTGAAAAAGTCGGGTGGGGTCTTCTGTTTCCTGGCAGGATTGGTTGGGTGGTATATTGTGTTTCATCTCTTGTTGAAAGAATCTCTCCTGGATCTTCCGCTGGGTGATACCTCGCGCCTTTTTGGAAAGAAGAAGAAGAGAGTTGACTAGACGATGGTGATGGTGGTGTCTGTAGTGAGTTTGGGAAGGTTTGAATAGGGGACAGTTCGTGCAGCTCAGAATATAATTACTATAATCATTGTCTTCGAATATGAGATTTCCGCTGTAAAAAATCGAAATTGATACGGAGATCCTGGTTAGATCAACCTTGGAAGTTTTTGAGAGACGACTGAGCTTTGGAAGCAGTGTTGCGATATAATCAAAAGTGGTATATTGTATGTACATTCATAGGGTCTCCCTTGTTTGGTTTTGATTTCCAACTGCCATAAATCCTATCTGGCCATACATTCTGCCATATATCACAACATCCGTATGCGCATATTGGCCTAGACACTGGTATATTTCACATCAAAATAACCGCGTAATCCGACAGTCGATACACAGGGACTGCTGCGACTGGAGGGTGGATTGGTTGTTTTCCGACTTTCACTTTGACTCGGAGTGAGGACTTTGCTGAGATTGGGTTTGTCAAAGGTCGATGCGGCTGAGACCCATACTCGCGGGTGATGGAGCCGACAAACAGACTTTATAGTTCGTTTTTGATCTCGGGATGCCGAAATTTTGAATCTTCTGTATCGAATGAAGCCCCCTCGTGCGGAGTGTATTTCTTCATCTGAGCATAGAGCTCACCCAGCTTTTCGTGGTCGAGCTCGGGAGGACCATTGCCACCAGCCTTCGCAAATTTGGCAAAGGGGCAGCCCGCAGCGAGAGATACGCTGGCGGTGGCCAGCAAGAGAACTAGTTGCATTGGTTTCATTGTGACGAGTCAAGGGATGTTTCAATTGAAAAAAAAAGGTCTAAGAAAAATCACTGTTTGAGACTGAACAATTTTCTGATATTGAATTCCACGGAAGTTCTCTGCCTTACTAGACTGCATGGGGTGTATATAATTTCTGTATCGCATTCTGGGGAAGAAATGGCGTGAACGTTGACTCTTATGAGAAATCAGGGATCAATTGCTCGATGGTGTGACAGCCTTGGAATTTATCGAATTACAACTCGATATGTGGATGAAATAGGGTTCTCAGGTCAAGGAGGATGGAAGAGAAAAGTGGAGCAAGAGCGAGAGCGAGGTGAAGATGACGATCAATCTGGGAGTCTATTTTGGCTATGTAAAGAAGAGCCTCTGACTCGTCGCTTTGCGAGGTTTGCACTTTCCAAGTTTGGTTCCCCCCACATGGCGTGAGGCTTGTCAGATCTACAGGTCCGTGCACTTTTTATATACAGTCACGCCTTCGTGAGCATCGGTCACGATGATTGATCGTCTTCAATTAGCTTGATTGAGGGTACGTTCCTGCATCTATTTTCCCTCCCTTTTGCTTTCATCCCCTGGAACAAGCTTGGAGATTGACCTAAAATTTTTTATCGGCTAATGACTATCACAATCGCAAACACCTACTTTAGAAATTTAACCGTGTATTCGCAATATGCATCTTCTACCCCGCCATAACCAAAAAAATTAGAGATATGCAATTTGGGGCAGCCTTTTACACAACACTTCCTTTTTTGTTTTTGGAGAGCGATTTTGCGGATCAAGACCTGAATCAATGATTGATGGAGTACTTTGGCAGGAACCTTGGAGTAGTGCGGTAGTCTACTCGAATGTGCTATGATCCCCGAAAATACCTGAAAAAACAAGTGATGTCGACCATCTCGTGTCATACTGTACCTTACCACACATGGCGCTATTAGAGACGTCCCGTATCCACTGCTCTGAATTTTCAAACCACTCCACCGAGTGACATGTTGGCATTGCTAGGCAAATTGCGCCTCAGTAATCTCGTATAAACCCGAGATCGGGCTAATGAAGTCACCCAAAAGCCACGGTAATCGGGTGATTCCTATTTGCTAAAAGTCTGACACTAGGCCGCGGAAGTACTTGTAATTGTAAGCAAAAGATTGGAACTCATCAAACATTTCAATTTGAGTTTGAGCTTACTGGACTCTGCTATGAATTTCTCAAATGCAGAGATGGAATAAGTACTATTCCGCTGGGATCGTACGTTTGAATGCAACTCAGTAGGCATTGATATAACGTAGAAGATGCTACAAAAAAAGACCGATATCTTGATTAAACCCTCCAGTGTCTAATTGTATAAAGCAGCCCTGGTGGTAGAATAGCAAACATTTTCATGGCATCGACAAGGCCTTCACCTCTGTGCCAGTTCTAGGGCTCTGCGTTATTATCCACCACCCGAGCCAATTTTCAGACTTGCACGGGCACGTCTTTTGATTTTCTTGTTGCGAGATTCAGCAATGACCAGAAATATTGTACTTACCCCGGGTGGAGATAGCCCTAAGGAGATACTCCGTGACCATGGACCTGGCTAAGGCGCATCCGATCAACAAGATCCCCGAGCGTCTCGCATATCTCTTCCTGAACAAGTCAACGGTATATCACTAGTCAATTTTAACAGCTCCATTGTGGAATAGTTGTCTTGCTGGGACCATCACTGGAAGTCATTGGCGATCCTGATTTCCTTCTCGACCGAGAAAACCTTTGGAGTATCATAGGAGAATAGTCAGTGAGGCCCAATCACAACAGGCTTATTCTAAGCCACACAACTACATTAGCTTAACAACTAGCAATATTGCGCAATAAATCTTGTTTCCTCTTTGGCACCAGATGCAGGGGCACATTGATCGATGGGAGCTCATCATGCATTTGAGTTTCTTCACCAGATGGATCGAGAGCCACAAGATTTGAGCGTTGATGCAATACTAGCCCTTCCAATGCTCATTCACACGAACAAGAGAACTTGCCTCCAATCATCAGATATCTCGAACTATTTAATGATGGATGTACGCCCTGTGTTATCATTCTCATACCCAATCCATTCAAGCTTCTTCTGGCATCTACAAGATGAAGTTCTCTTTCACCCTCGCTACCTTGGCGACGGTAGCCTCAGCGTTCCCGGTCATTGATACTGCCAACGAGGCTGCACTTTTGAAAGCAGCCAAGCTTGCTGCCCGGACTGTGAAAATTATCGAGGCGGAAAATGCACAGGCCGCTCAACCTGTGCGCCGCTCAACGCTTCCCCTTCCTCAGGACGCACTGGGAATCAGCAAAGCAGAAACCAACTGCGGCCCAACTATTCCATGCCCCTCATTCGATGCCGAGGATCAGTATATCTCTGTCGAAGGCGAGTATGCCTATGCAGCTCCCGGTGAAGACGAGATCCGTGGTCCCTGCCCTGGACTCAACGCCGCAGCCAACCATGGTTACTTGCCACGCTCTGGAGTAGCTTCGATTGAGGAGACTGTGCGCGGTCTCAACAAATGTAAGGATCTTCCAGAAAGTCTGTTGTTCTCGGCTAACATATCCAGTGTACAACATGGGCATTGACCTGGCTGCTGCTCTTGCGGCTTACGCAATTGTGATTGACGGCGATCTGCTCGGTGGAACTTGGTCCATTGGTGGACCCCAGCCGTCCGATCCTCTTGTGCCTATCCTAGGCAATGGTCAGGGTCTTTCTTATTCCCACAACAGTTATGAGGGAGATGCGTCCATTGGACGTCTGGATGCCTTCACGAACAACGGCGATGCCCACTCACTTTCCATCGAGAAGTTCGAGTCTGTCTATGCCGTTGGCGGCAATGACACCTCCGAGGATGGCTTTGACCAGCGCTACACCATCGACAAGTTCCGCAGTCGCTTTGAAGAGGTTCAGCAGCACTCCATCGACACCAACCCGTACTACTTCACTGGCGCTTTCTCCACGGTGGTAGTTGTGCCTGCAGCGTACAACTTCGTCATCAACTTCATGTCCAACCACTCGGAGGAGCATCCAGCTGGATATTTGGTAAGCCTGACCGTTTCCAATATTGTATGACAAAGATGCTAACATGAGGTAGGATGGATACAACTTCAAGCAATTCTTCGGTGTGAGTGGCAAGCCAGGCTCCTTCAAGTGGAACAGGGGCCAGGAACGTGTCCCCGAGAACTGGTACAAGCGCCCCACGATCTCGCCATACAACTTGGCCGATGTTTTCGTTGATGTTGGTATTGGATACCTCGCATACCCCAACACTCTGAAGGTCGGTGGAAACACCGGAAAGGTCAACTCATTCACTGGCGTCAACGTTGAAGATCTCACTGGTGGTGTGCTTAACGCCAAGAATCTCTTTGAGGGTGACAACTTTGCTTGCTTCGCCTTCGTTCTTCTTCAGCAAGGTATCCCTCATTTCCTCAAGGGACCGTTGTCGGAGCTCAACAACGCGACTTCATTCCTGAAGCCTTTCCTTTCCCCACTTCTCGACAAGCTCACCTGCCCCGAGCTCAATGGCTTTGACCAGAGTCTGTTTAACTCTTTCCCTGGCTACAAGTACAGCCCGACTGGTCCGGCCACGAACTACTAAGCACCCCTAATTGATATTCGTGAGAATATACGGGTTGGTCAAGGTTATCCGGTCGATTCATTGAGTTATCTTGTGCGAGAGAGGGGAAGTTGGTACACGGTAGCCCTTTCTGCAGACTATCCTTTGTAATGGGATCAGTATATAATCCAGGGAGCTCATAGAGAGTCCCATCAACATTAATACCAAAGACATTGGTCTGTTTCACTATGCCCTTCCAACATACGGGATACGATATATGATACATCAACTGCACTAACCGGAAAACCCTTTTACCTCCCCTGCACGCAGTACGCGCAGAAACATGGCGTGAAATACGGAGGACACCCCTATCCTACCTAGTTGCATAGAAAATTCTCCTCCATCGTTGTTACCCGAATATGAATCCCCACAGAGCGACGCCAACCACTACAGCCAGAGCCAGAGTAGGCCTACCAAATGCACATGATAGTACATATCTGTGTCACGGGTGTAATATCATGCTCAAAGACACTACCCGCCACTTCAAAAAAAATTGAATATCTTGGGCCAGGTCAATGCGCAGGGTGCGAGTTTAACACTGAAGATGGATACCTTGTGAGACCCCGAGACCCCGAATATATTCATAGACTCCGTATTTTAACAAACAGACAGCCAAAGGAAGAGGCAGAGCCTGCTCTCAAAAAGCATATGGAGTTTATCAAGAATGAAATGGTGTGGGAGATTAGCCAGGAGCTTGCTGCAGACAGACAAAGACAGCGAGACCAGCAGATTGCAGAAGCGAGAGCCGCGGCCCCGACCAATAAACCGGGTGGACAGGAGGGCCGACAGGAGGAGCGCAGGCAGGAGGAGGATAGACAGGGCGCTGCAGCAGGAAGGTATCCACGTCCATTCCCATCATAGATTTCGCTGACGCGCAGCCACTACAGACACAGTTGGGCAGAGTTCGATGCCAGAATGGATAATGTCGCAGATTTCGATTTTTTTAAGTAGGATAGATAGCACGGCCTCCAGGGCTTGAATGATAGTAGATTGTTTCAGTGCCTCGTTTGCTCCTTGTACACAACATAGAAAACATCAAAGTTGGGTACCAACATGGATGAAGGCTCGAATCACTAATATATACCCAAAGTTTGAGTACAAAATCCTCAAGTTCATAATTATGCCCAGCGAAAATTTTGGCATTCTCATCTCATCGCGTCTCGTCACCTAAACCGTGGAGCAGCCGAGGGAGAATTAGTCTCACCCCATTCTGTACTGTCGCCTTCATCTAAAACAAAACTCTCATCTTCGTATGAGGGACTGACATGCACGGCAGGAGAGGAAATAGGGCTCAGCGCCACACGAGGTCTAGACTTGAAAACACTAGCATACTCGGCATCTTCCTCAAAGAGCTGATCTTGAGGTGTCGAGGCGCGAGAAATCTCATCAATTGATCGACCAGATGCTTTTCGAGGCGTGACAAATTGATTGACCGGGAAAGAAGGCCGAGGACCACGGCGTTGTCGGGGTGGCTCGTGATGTTGAGGTGGGAGAAGGGACATGGATTTTCGTGTACGTTCAGCCAAGGTGTTAGAGCGTTTGATGGGCTCTTGGTATGGCTCTTCTTCTGAAACGGAGGAGGTGGTGGATGCAGAGGGTAGTTCTGGGGAGAGTCGGACAATGGGAGTGGAGGATTGAACTTTGTCAGGTTCTGATTCGGTCTCTGACTCTAGGCCTCTCATAGGCTCCGGTTCAGGCTCCGGCTCCGGCTCTAATGGAGACACAGACTGTGGGTTTGACATCGAAATGCCCAAGCCTAGTGATGGACTTGGATTAGAGTAGTCATCTTCCGCCACTGATCTCGGCGAGTGCGTCAAGTTTGGTGAACGTCTGAACGGGACATGGGCAGCTGTTCTCGCCGCGGGTGTTGATCTTCCTGGGCTAGCACCAGGCTTGCCACTGATGCGACTAAGTGCCTCGTGTACCGACGAGAGGAGATATTTATCTGCACCTTTCAGCCCTCGACCTCGATCCCCGGGCTGGCGAGCATTCTTAGCTATACTAGCGACTGTGAGAGTCTGGTGATCGCGAAACACCATTCGAGGCTCTTTGGGCTTGGCATGTGTGCCGTTCAGCGAGTCCTGACTGGAGAATGATTTGTTATACTCTTGCCATTTGTTGAGTCGACTGCGCTGCAGCAATACCCGAGCCTCCAGATCAAGAATCAGGTCTTGCTTCAGCCCCTTGCTAATATTGCCATTTGACGAGTGACTTGCTCGCGCCAGTGCATCCTTGAAGGGGAGCTCCAAAAATGCTTCGGTGCTGGTTTCTGATCCGCCTTCCAGCAGAGCGGTAGCCCACTTCTGGTTTCCCAGCCAATTTGTCTGCACCGCATGGACTAAACGCTCAGGATCACCGTGTACTCCACCAAAGTCCTTTGGTTGTTTATTCGCACGTTCGGCCAGATCAATCTTTTTGTTATCCAAAAGCTGTGAAAAGCGATCATAAACATCCCGAACGCTGGCATGGCGCTCAGCCGCAGAACCCAGGGATTTCTGGTGCGCAAGAATGAGGGGTAACAGATTCTGGTAGTCCGCTGGCGTCATCGCAGTCGCAGTCGATAATCTCAATGCGGGGTTGTACATTTTGTCGTCCACAGACACCGCCACAACTTTACGGAGAACAGCGGTGGAGAAACCGGCAAGTAGCTCTTCGAATTTGTCGCCCTTACAATCATCCAGCATCGTCTTGCGGATGACGATTTCCCGGCCCAAATCGCCATTCTTCTTCAGTTCGCCGAGACATCGGAATAACGCCGCGCGTAGATTGACGGACTGTAGAGGCTCCAACGGCGGAAAAAAGGGACGGAGTTTCTGGTTGGAGGGTCAGCAGACTTTCAAAGCTGACAGTTGGGTACTTGTACATTTTGGGCACCTTCAGCATCCCAAATGTTGTAAAGCTGATACAGAGCCCATTCAACCAGGCGGATTCGTTGTCGCTGGTTCTGCGATGAAGGGGACAAGGTTCGGGGCGAGATACCGGGCCAATCCTCGAGCTGATCTAGACACAGAAGCTTCAGATTGGTGATGAATACATCAAGATGCGGGGGGGCCTGGCCAATCCAGGGGCTTTGGTCGAACAGGTCTTGGTGTAGCCATCCCGTGTCGTAGTTGGACTGTTAGTAAACGGAGGGCGCAGGGTAAACATAGATAACGGGGGTTTGCACTGTTTGTTGCGCCTATCAGTCCCGCAATCGTTGGTTCTTTCTTTTGTTTTTTTCCCCTCTCGTTTGGATTCGTTTGTCTCTCTCTCCCAGTCTTTCTTTTCTCTTCGCATTCGCAGTCATGGGCTCTGAAGAATCTTCGTGGACTCCCGAGTCCGGTAAGCCTGCGAGACTCCCTTTTCAAAGCTCAACAGCTAACCACCGAAGTACTTGCTACTCTTCCCCACCCCCCCGGAGGAGAACTCCACGTCACCGGTTCCTTTCTTCCACTTGATCGAGCGCCTCAAGACCACCAAGCGCGAAGGCTGGCGCCGTTTTGGAATCAATGGCGAGTCCATCTCCGACCATATGTACCGCATGTCGATCATGACGATGATGGCCCCGCCCTCCTTGTCCTCAAAGCTCGACATCCCCCGCTGCACGAAGATGGCGCTCATCCACGACATGGCCGAGGCGCTGGTCGGCGACATCACACCCGTCGATCTCCACATCACGAAGGCCGAGAAGGCTCGTCGCGAAGCCTCAGTCATGGACTACATTACCGAGACCCTCCTCGGCAAGGTTCCCGGTGGTGCTATGTCCGGCGCGGACATCAAGAGCGTCTTCCAGGAATACGAGGACGATGTGACCCCCGAAGCCCACTTCGTGCACGATATCGACAAGATGGAGCTCCTTCTGCAGATGGTCGAATATGAGCGCAGCAACAAGGTTGATCTTACCGAGTTCACCCATGTCGCATCTCGCATTCGTTTGCCCGAGATTCAGGCCTGGGCTGCTGAGGTCATTGCCGAGAGACCCAAGCAAGCTTGAGTCTCCATACCCGTGGTGGAAGACAAACAGCATATGGCAGTACCTTGAGCCCGCGAGTTGAGACCCATTTGCGTTTTCGGCGTTTGGTTCTGCATTTTTTTCATGGTTGCGCTTTTTTTTCCCTACCCCCGGTGACTTAGATACCTTAGAGAACGAGTTACGAAAATGCATGACCTCTATCATACAGCTAGAGGATACCACTTTAATCCAAAGGTTCCTTCTCCATTTCCCGCGCTAACATCTCCGCCTCTGCCCTCATTTCTTCCTCGCCTCTAGGACTCCTCGCCTCGTTGTCGACAGCGGGGAATTTATTTCTCCTGCCGTCCTCGGTGGCCCCAGCATCCTTGAACGCTTTCCCTATATCTCCCTCATCCCCATCAAGTAGATCGTAGACCGCATCCGTGCCACCACGGTGATCTAGGTCTGCCGGCTTGCGGGGAATTATATGCGCGTGGACATGGGGCACGCTTTGGCCGGCGTGCACGCCGTCCTGTACTGCAATGTTCAAGCTTGAGGCACCGTAGACGCGCTCGACCATTCGACCGACTCGGCGCACTGTGAGGAACAGATCGCTCGTTTCCGCTGGTGTCAGGTCTGTGACCCGAGGGACGACACGGCGCGGTGATATGAGGACATGACCAGGAAGAATTGGTTTCAAATTCACAAGGGCGAATGACAGGGGCGTGGTGAAGAAGACCTGATGGACTGTTTAGATTGCTGACCTTGAGTCTTTACCGACTTGAGGAATAATAACTTACCTGTGGTGTGACAATGAAGGAACCGAAGTAGATTGGTGCCGAGGCACCTTTGAGAGCTGACATGGGTATTTGAATAGGGAATTGTTTAGGAAGAAACCTGTTGATGATGTCGTTGAACTGATAAGCTCTTATCGCTCAGGGCAGGTGGATTTTCATAACCTTCGGCCTGGAAGGCTTGGATTCTGGAAGTATTGAACTTCTCGAACTTTGGAATTCACTTTGTAGCCTGACCCTTATGCAATAACTTGGGAATCTAGTTACCTTTGCCGTCTTCTTAAATATTATACTAGTTGGGCAGACACGCTGAAGGGGAATGGGTATCATTGACACTGGCCATAATCAATATCCTAAGCTATATTACATAAAGAGTATTCAATCAAATAATTGCAACAAATCCCTTAAGTCGGGGTAGAAAGGTTCGAAAAAAAGCGCGGAAACAAGGCAAGTCATCATATAGTCACATGGGCCAGGAGGTGCAGGCTGACTCGGAATCAAGACTCCTTCTCGGGCTCGGGCTTGGTATCCGCTGCAGTAGCAACTTCTGACTCGGTTTCATTCTTCGTTTCAGGCTCCTCGGAAGGCGCTGCCGCTTCATCGCTTTCGCTGACGGCATTCTCGGCAGGCTGAGAAGCCTCGCTGATGTCTGGCTGATCGGACTCGGGCTTTTCTGTAGTCACAGGCTCCTCGGGCGCTTCGGATGGCTGCTCCTTACTCTCTGGGAGAATTTCTTCTTCAGGGAGCGTCTTCTCCTCAGCTTGGGCTTTTTCCTCGGGTTGCTCATCAGAGTCAACGATTGGATCTTCGGATGGCTCACCTTCTGGGGCCTCTGGAACAGCTGGTTCATCCACAACGTCCGCATCGACAGTCTCAGTGGGGATCTCCAAGACGGAAACGGGACGCGGCCCAGGAGACTGCGCAAGGGCCTCGCGCAAGGGCGATGGGTCCTCAGGGCTATCTTCCAGATCTTCTGCGCCTTCGGCGATGGTAGTGACACGGGATCCGGTCGAAGGGCTGTGCTTGTGACGACGGGTAGTTGCACCAGTGCCAAGGGTAGGATCAGCAAAGGGATCTTCATCCTTGCGTAGAATGGTAAGACGCTTGTTGTCGACGGTCTCTTCCTCGGCCGGCTGAACCGCATCAGGGCCCTCGGCCTCAGTCGGAATGGTGTAGTTGTCATGAGGGATCAGGCTGTACATGTCGCAAACTGTCTTGAAAAAGACGTACAGACCATCATGACCTTCCACTTCCCAGAATACATCGCGGTGCTGGAACCAAGCGTGTGCGAAAATGCGATAGAGCCGGCGGAAGATGTTCGTCAGATGTCTCATGCTGGCCTGGGGCCCTCCAGCGCCCTCGGACCCCAAGGTGAGTCGGCTGGGGAAATATTTCGGCGATGTGAGGGTATTAGTCGCCCAATCCAGAGTGTGGCAGCAGTAGTCAATCGCGCAGCATGATTTGGGTGGATCGTGGACCGCGCAAAGATACTGCCACTCCGAAGCTCGCATCTCCGGGCACGTTTGTGACGAGCAGGGTGGGCTTTCTGCGAAAAAGGCGATGATGAGGTTATTAACTTTCATAGTGAGAAAGCGACACAGCTCGTAAAGCCAAAGCGATCGGTCGACTCCCTCCGGAGGCTCTGCTAGCCGTACCGCAACCTGGCGGTTAATTGGGACCACCGTGTCAGATCCTTCGGGTTTCGTGAAATGATGGTAAAGAGCTTTAAGGTGTTCCTGGAGCTGGAAGGGAGAGTCAAGCTACATTTGTCAGTAATTTCCAGACACCTGGTGCATGGAGCGCAAATTACCTGCGAAAGGGGAATCAGCGGCGGACCGAAAGCCATATCAGCCGCTCTGGTCCCAGGTCGAATCCTGCGCGTTGAGCCATCGTCTTCCCCAGATCCAGAGACTAATGACTCTGCATCGGCTCCAAAAGGTTCGCCAATCGATGGCGACAGAGGCCCAATTTGGACCTCAGTCAAAGGAGGAGGGCTAGGAAGCCGCGGGGAGCTGGACGGAGAGACTCCCGCAGCGGTCATGGTCGAATAACGAGGGCGCTAAAGATGGAACTGGAAGGTACCGAAGTAAATAAGGAGTGAAAGGTGCCTTGACGTCCAAATAAATATCAAAGAAAGAAAAGTGAGGGAGAGAAGTCCAGACCTGCAGCCAACAGCATAATAACAGCCTCTGACCGCCCCGGGTCGTTGGGCCCTAAACTACGTCTGCACCGCCTTTTGTATAGAATGGGATCTACATGCTGTGATCTTATATGACCATTTTAGAACCGGCAATCTAGCTACAAGAGAGCTTGACAATAGTAGAAAGATGATGGCAATTATAACTAAACGACAAATGCAGCTTATTATTCGCGATTTATTCCTAGGTCTAGCTCCGTGTACCCACCCATTGTAGAAAACTTCCTACAAGTTAGCGGGGGTATTCTTTTTGGGAAACCTTTTAATCGATGATCAGGTACGATTTTCGAACATACTTGATATTTAGGCATATGTTTGCCTAACGATATTAGGAACTATCGCCCAATGGAGCAGACCGGCATCAAATTGGAGCAGTGCATGGTTCTGCCAGCAAAAAAAATCCCGCGACCAACTTTCTATTTTGGTAACGTCATTCTCCGCATCTACAGACTCAAGATCTCGAAGCTGTTTGTTTGCATTTGATACAACTTCGTCTTCGGCGGTATCACATCATAGAGCCTACGCACCATGTCTGCTGATTTCGAAGATGAGGAAGCTCCTCCGGATCTCATTGATGTGTCCACCATCCCCGCAGAGGAGGCCGAGGAACCGCCAGCAGCTCGTGTACCTATCACGCTAGTCACCGGTACGGTTTGGCACAGTATACCTGATCAAGGTATTTGATTTGAGAATGAAATTAATAGTCAACAAAGGATACCTTGGTGCGGGGAAGACCACCTTGTTGAATTACATATTGACGGAGAAACACGGCAAGAAAATCGCTGTGATCATGAACGGTTTGTGTATTCTACTGTGCTTGGAGACAATTTACTGATTGGCTCTAGAATTTGGTGATTGTGAGTTTGAAGACCCAGTATCGGAACAGCACCCTAACTTTCCACCTCGAAAGCAACCGACATTGAAAAACCAATGACAGTCAATGAAGGCGGCCAAGAAGTCACCGAGTGGATGGAAGTCGGCAACGGCTGCATCTGCTGCTCAGTCAAAGACTCTGGCGTAATGGCCATCGAGTCCCTAATGGAACGTCGCGGCACGTTCGACTACATCCTCCTAGAGACGACCGGACTAGCGGACCCTGGAAATATTGCACCAATTTTCTGGATGGATGAAGGACTCGGCAGCTCCATCTACCTTGATGGAATCGTCACTCTAGTCGACGCGAAGAATATCACTCGCCTGCTGGACGAGCCCGCACCTGAAGAGAAAGCCGAATCTCACGACCAGCATCACGACCATGGCAATGGGCCGGTTCTGTCGATGGCGCATATGCAGATCTCCCATGCGGATGTTGTCATTCTAAACAAGACCGATCTCGTCACTGAGCAGGAGTTGGAGGATGTGCGAGATCGCGTCTCGTCTATTAACAGTGTAGCAAAAATCCACGTCACAGATCATAGCCGCACGCCGCAGATCGAAGGCGTTGTGTTGGATTTGCATGCGTATGATCATTTGGCGGATCTGGATTTCAGTAAGAAGGGACATAGTCATATGGATCCGGTGAGTTCAACCTTCCACGCGTGGTCTGTCTGGTTCTAACCTTGGATCACTAGGCAATTTCTACTACTGCTATCGTGGCACCCCCAATCCCAGCAGACAAAGTGGACTCTGTGGATGCCTGGCTACGCTCTGTTCTTTGGGAGACAAAGTTCCCTGCGCCTGCGTCATCGGCCTTGTCTGAGCCCCAACCCGATAACTTCGAAATTCACCGGTTAAAGGGTATTCTGATCCTCGACAATGGAACTAGCAGGATTATCCAGGCAGTCCGAGATGTCTTTGAAATCCGAGACGCTGAGCCGATAGATACCGAAGACAAGTCCAAGCCACTCCAGTGCAAGATTGTACTGATTGGACGTGGCCTCGGATCATCCGTAGAGCCTTGGCGGGAAAGTTTTGAATCATGCCTGACGAATTGAGAACGTGCACTTGTGGTATATTGAATGCAGCAACGAGAAAGTTAAGTCTATGTACGACTTCAAATCGCGAAACCTTGGAAGTCAGGTATAGCCAAAAATTGCATTGTCACGTAACCAAGAAAAAAGATTAAAGAGAAAAAAAGGAATAATACAGCCCTGTCAGACAAGAAGAGGTATGAAACGATCCCATCAATATACATCGACTTCCGGGTGAGAACACCAGAACGCAGAACGAGGGCCTCCGCTGAGAAGCAAAAATCAATCAAGAGCAAAGAAGCAAGACAAAGACAAAGGAAATGAACACACAAAGCTACCAAATCCAAAACGAAAAAAAAAAGATCCAATTAAAATCCGCCAAAATGCAAACAAAAGAAAGAAAAAAGACTTTTTTGGACTCCAGGGGGTTCGCCCGCCATCAGTGTAAATGCTACCAAAAGCTGAATAACACGAGGCAAACGACGAGGCATAAACTGTACAAGCAGAGCAAATCAAAAGGGTATCGAGTGCTCGGCCCCGAATATGGGGCTCGTTCGGAGAGAAATGGGTCGTGGCGTCGTTGGTGGAGGCCAATTCAGCAAGATTGGTGTGTCGATATTAGTGATGTTGTGTTGTTTGAGGTTCTCAGAGGCTATTTTGAAGACGTGGCTCGAGAAGAGTGGGTTGGGGTCTGGTGCCGAGTTGGGCGCATCTGGCTCAGAGATTGCCGATGCGCAACGGGTGCAGCGGGGCTGGCTTCTGGGCCCGTGAAAGCAGGGCTTATGGGTAGGCTCGAACCGAGGAGGGTGATTTGGTCGGAAGACCTCGCCAATCCAGACTTGGCAGTGGACTTTGCAAATGCGTCGTTCGGGATCATTGCAGGCCTTGAATTGACCGATGCAGGGCTTATTGGTAAGCTAGAGCCCAACAGCGAGGACGAGTCTGATGCCCGTGCCGGTGTGGGTTTGAGAATCTCAAACTTTGATGGTGGGTGGTTCATTGCCGGGGCAGGGGTAGATGAGTTCACCGAAGCAGGACTGATTGGTAGGCTAGAATCCAAAAGGTTCGACGGGCCTCGTACTTGTTTGGGGCTCACGGAGGTCACCGGAGGTGCTGCGTCAAGTGAAGCAGGGCTTATCGGCAAGCTCGAGCTTAGCAATGGAAAGGGCTCTGATGAGGGTTCTGATGAATTTGCCGAGAGCGGTGCGATGTTGACAGGCTTTGAAGGTGGCTGTGCCAGGGTCTCTGGAACTGAAGCCAAATTTGTCGGTTCGGGACTTTTGGGAAGTTGAGAGTCGACGAGAGAGCGCACCGAGTCCGATGACTTGGTGAAGGCTGATTTCGCACTGACAGATGAGGTGTACGGCTGGTTGACGGCCTCTGCAATGGACTTTGAGTTCACCGTTGCAGGACTGATAGGAAGTCGAGAGTCAATCAAAGAGGAGGTTGAGTCTGGCGACCTCAACAGCATGGGATGACCACTGGCAGGTTTCGCGTGAGATGGTTTTGCGGCCTTGTCTTCCGAATAATGGTTCGCCGAGACAGGGCTGACTGGCAGCCCTGAATGAAGCAGCGACGTTGTCAAGTTAGACGGAGTAGTCCATGTTGGTTTGGAGTCGCGGGACTTGGACTGCCGCCTCGCAACTTGAGTGACTGCCTTGGCCTCCTCCGAGTTCACTGAGGCAGGGCTGATGGGCAAGCTAGAACCGTGCAGAGACGATGAGTCTGGCTCAGTGTATGAAGTGGGTTTAATGTCAATGGCATTTGTTCGAGGTTGGATGGGAGCTCCGGTTTTGGGCCGCTCAGCGGGTGATAGTTCGGCAGAGGTGGTGGAGGTTGGGCCAGCTAGGCAGGCCTTTGTGGAATCCAGGGCAGAGACAGAGGAGACGAAGGGCTGCACAGGTGATGCTGTTGTGTGTGAGTTCATTGAAGGTTTAACATCCGCCGATTTAAAAGGCGGCTGGCCTCCGGATTGCCTGAGCATGTTGGTGAAAGGCGAAGCTGCTGGGAACTTGGTACCGAGTCCGAGAGAAGCACCGGTGATACCGGCTTTGGGGCTGATAGAAGAAGCGGAGGTGAGCAAAGACATCGCGGGCGATTGGCCCGTAAATGGAGCAACGGTATTGGTGGTTTTTGGTTGATCGAGGTCGTTTCGTTTAGTCGGGGTGGAGGGCGGTATGGTCGTTGTGGGGGCATTTTGATGGCCTTCAGAGATTTGAGACGAAGAGAGGGCAGGGTTGATGGTCAAGCAAGAAGATGAGAGAAGGTCTTCTTTGGTGGTCGATTGAAGCTCGTCTTGGGGTTGTGGAATAGAAAGTGGTACCTTGAGAGGACTGGTAGTAATTTCAGACACAGGCAAGTCTCGGTGGCTTTCAGTTGTCGATCCAGTCGACATACGAGATGAAGGGGGCTGGGTATTCGTAGGGGGTTTGGCATAGACAGGTTGGTTCATAGTGGTTGCCATATTACTTCCGGGAGTGTCGTGCGAGACTGGAACGGCTTCACTACTTTGGTTCCCCCAAGGCTCATAGTGTGATTGTTCATCAGTGTAGCGGGAGTGGTTGTATTCATCATTATTGGATTCATGATGATTGAGGGTTGAAGATGAAGATGGTTTGGAGGAAAAGGCTGTGGCTCCGTTGGCGTCTGCGAGTGTGATTGCTGAACGCTTTTCAAGGTCGTGTTTATCAAAGATGGGTTGCTGCAGATCGCGGTACACGTTGTCTGAGAACTCGTGAGGAGGGTAGTATTGGTCTGGGTGTCGCGCCAGGTCCCGCGGGTCAGCCATCTTCAGCTCGGCCGGAGCAGGCTGTGACCATCCGTAGTCATGTCGGGTCGGGAAGTATTCGGGATCATTGGGAACTATGTGTAACGGCCGGACTGCTGGCATGCGAACTGTGCGCATGTCAGGGGGAAACAAGGCGAGAAGCTCCTTCGCCGACAGCCTGTGTCGGGGGTTGGGGCTCAGGCAAATCTGTACTATGCGCCGATAGTAGTCCGGCACCTTTGCGTCCTCACTGAGGAAAAGGGGCCGTGGCTGTCGCTCTGGTTCGTCGTCTTCCATTGCTAATGCCCACAAAGTCATTCCTAGCTGGAAGAGGTCGGTCTTGACACCGATGTACATGGAGATGCGTTGGTTGCTCTCAATTTTTGCCGCAATCTCCGGAGGCTCCCATCCTACAGGGCAGCCTCTTCGGTTGATATCGATGATTTTGGCATTGTCGGCCGCATCCACGACGATGTTTGCGAGCGTGAAGTCGCCTTGAACGTAGCCGGACTCGTGGATCTCACATAGTCCCTGGACGATCTGCTTCGCCCAGCGTTCGCGTCGTTTGAACTCTGTTCTTCCGCGGTTTTCATACAGAATATCAATCAATGCACCCTGTTCGGCGTAGCTAATCAATAGGCCTTTCACAACACACTTTTCCTCATCAATCACGATTCCTTCCGTTTGGATCACGCTTGGGATGCCGTTCAAAGCATGAAGGGCGTTGATTTCGTACAGGAACTCGTCGACTGTATCCGGGCCTGGAATCTCTTTTTTTATATAGTAACGTCCACCAAAGTTTACCTTGTAAACAAAACCCGATAAATGCGATTCGAAGTGTAGCATGTGTTCAGGGACCATCGGAGCTCCCACCAAGTGCCCAATGCTGGAGATGGGCGGGTATGGAATTGTTTCGTTGACGTCCTCCGTGACGAAGACGTGTAACTGACCGTCACTTGTTTCGAGCTTCAAGTTCGTGACACCGTCGTAGAAACGAATTCCCAGCAAGGACTCACGAATGGACTCGTAGATCCGGGCGCATTTGTCGCGTTGATATCGGAGCCCCTTTAATTCCCCCTCCAATGAGTCGGGTGGTGCATCGCGATAGTCGCAGGAGACCGTGACTCGCCGCCAGCGGTTTGGAGTCTCCGCGTACGTCACGAAGAATTTCTCGCGTTCGGAGCGATCTCGGAAGTGCATGCTGAGATTCAAAATCCACCGCTGTTCCAGCTCCATCTCCAAATCAATTATATCCTCCACTTCTGGTTCCGGGACTTTCGAGACGTCCATGTCCATGTCCATGTCGAATTCGGGGTCAGGATCTGGATAGGGGTCCCAATGTTCCGACATATCGTCAATTCCATCGTCTTCGGGTTCTGGTTCGATATCGTCGACCGTGGTTGTGGGCGGGCCGAGCCACTGAATCTCGGGTGCGGATTGTCTGGGGTCGGTTGGCGGTGGAGACCTGGTTCTGGTTCGTTGTGCGCTCATCGGACGGCGGTCGGCGGATAGGGCACGGCGATGGTCTGGCTCCCGAGGCGCCAGTCGCTCGAAGTCGGCACTCTGTCGCTTGGGATTTTTAGGGAGCCCAACACCAACCTTTCGCGAGATCCGACGTGTCAAGTTGTCATGTTTGGCGCGGGAGTGGTCGGAAGGAGAAGTTTCATCTTGACTGTCTCCGGACGTGTCTCGGTCGTCGCGGCCCAGCAATTTCCGCCAACCCAATCGCTGCCACATGCTCTGTTTTGGCGGGTGTCCCCCTTTGTCGAGCGAAGCCAAGGGCGTCTGGCTACAGTTGGCAACGGCGATGGCCATACGGCATTAGTGCAAATAACGACTCCAACACGGCCGAGACTCCGTCCATAAGTTTTGAAACAGGGTCAGGGGGATAGAGCAACTCAGGCGTCACGCTTGACACCACAAATTTGTCCCACCAGTTCCAAGGGCGATTTGTTGTTTCCTAGAAAAGGGAGAGGGAGAAAAAATCAAGTCCAACCAGATTGTCGCACAACGTCGGGTTGCAATGGGCGAGGCTGGGGGAACCCAGCAGGGCCAGGCTTGAAGAGAGGCGGTGCAAAAAGAAAGGAAGAGCAGAAGTCGGTCAAGATCGAGTTTATAAGTTTGGTTATTCCTCTCTTTTTTTCCCTTTTCTGTCTAACCTGCAGCCGTTGTGATAGCGGTGATGAGGTGCTTCCGCTGCAAGGCTTCAAAGAGGCAAAAATACCTTGCAGGAAATCAATCGCAAAAGCCCTTCCAGAGGACAGGATAAGAGTCAATATTCTAAAAGAGAGAAAAAAAAAAGTGAAGATATGATTCATCGAGACGCGCACAGATCAAAATTCGATGCGTTGCGGCCTGACAACTCATGCCTGATTGGGGGCTCCATACACGCCCTGCTATTTTGGTGACAACCCTGGACTTATTATTCCATGCATATGCTATATGCTATATGCTATATGCTATAGGTAATTTTAAATATAGAGCTGCCCAGGTGGGCAGGCTACAGGCTATACCATTACACAAGTACGGAGTGGAGGAATCTTTTTTTTGGCTTTGGTACAGAGGCCTACTCTTGTCCTTACAACTCCAGACCATGCATTCCGTGTTGAAGACGCCATGTACACAGTAAATCAAAAGCTATACATAAAACAACAGGTATATACGAAACAAATCACTCGTCTTGGCTGCCCTTCTCGGGCTTGGCTAGTGCCTTCTGCCAGACCGTGCGTGCAGCCTCCTGGTTGAGGCTGGGGAAGAGGATATCAAATACCTCGGAGTACCAGTTCACGGGATGTCCTTCGATGCCTTGCTTGATGTTCTGAAAAACGAGTTAGCACTGTCGATCAGTAATAGTCATAGTATGACTCACCTCAGGAAGTTCAAGCCAGTCAGACGTGTTGTCCGCAGGGAAGAGGATCTTCGTGGCACCAGCACGACGAGCAGCCACGGTCTTCTCTCTCAAGCCTCCAATCCGCAAGACCTTTCCGGTCACAGTAAGCTCACCAGTCATGGCGACGGTGGGCTCAAGGGAGTGGTTGAGGGCCAAAGAAAGCAATGCACTGGCCATGGTGATACCGGCAGAGGGGCCTATAAAAATATTAGTCATTGAACTTCAGTGTAAAATCATGGAAAATATAAGTGTTCATACCATCCTTGGGAACAGCACCCTCGGGGCAGTGGAGGTGAACCTTGGCCTTCTCAAAGAATCGGTTCTCGGGGAATTGGCGGGCCATCACGGACTTGGCAAATGAGTAGGAGATGTGGGTGGACTCCTTCATGACGTTCTGCAAGTTTCCAGTGACTTCAAGACCAGGACGCGAGTCGTGGCTGAGTGCGTTCTCTAAGATACATTCGACGTACAAAGCAGCGCCGCCCATGCTGGTCCATGCGAGACCCATGGTGACACCGGGAGGGAACTGGTCGTACAAACGGTCGGCAGTGAAAACTGGAGGGCCGACGTAGTCCTTCAGTGTTCCCTTGCCGATGCTGAGGTGCACCGTTTCGGGTACCTTCAGGGCCAATCGCGGAGTCTCCGTGGTTGACTTCTCTGGCTCGACGGGAATCTGGGCAGGGTCGGCGGGCTCGTGCTCCTTGGACTCTTCCTGAGCGGCCTTGCCCTCGTCGGTGAGCGCTGCCTCTTCTGACAGCACATCCTCGCCCAAGTCTTGGACGATGTTGAAAGCTGCCTTGCGGTAGACTTTCTCGATTTGTTTCTTCAAGTTACGAACACCGCTCTCGCGGCAGTACGACTTGATCAACTCTTCAATAGCGCCCTTCTCAAGCTGTACGTCAACGTCCTTCAAGCCTGTCAGCTCGCGGGCAGCGGGTGCCAGGTATTTCTCGGCGATCGCCATCTTCTCGTCCGCCACATAGCCGGACAGCTCGATAAGCTCCATACGGTCCAGCAATGGCCGGGGGATGGTGTCGGTCACGTTGGCAGTACAGACAAAGAGAACCTTGGACAGATCCACGGGAACATCCATGTAGTGGTCCAAGAAGGAGCTGTTTTGTTCGGGGTCGAGAAGCTCCAGCAGAGCAGAAGATGGATCACCCTGGTGTCCGCGGCCGATCTTGTCCACCTCATCAATCAGAATGAGAGGGTTCTCAGTCTGGCACTTCTTGAGTGCTTGGATGATACGTCCCGGCAAAGCACCGACGTAGGTTCGTCGGTGACCCTTGATCTCTGCGACATCAGTCAAACCACCGACGGAGAAGCGGTAGTACTGTCGGTTCAGGGCACGAGCCACTGACTTTCCAATACTAGTCTTTCCAACACCAGGAGGTCCAACAAGGCAAAGGATTTTTCCTTCCACGGTTCCACGGAGTTTGCCAACAGCGATGAATTCGAGAATGCGATCCTTGACGTCCTTGAGTCCATAGTGGTCTTCATCCAGAACACTGACAGCATTCTTGATGCCGAAGTTTTCCACGCTCTTCTGGCCCCATGGGATCTGAGTGAGCCAGTCCAAGTAGTTACGGGTAACATTGAACTCGGACGCAGCAGGCTCAAGGTGGGCGAGCTTGTTGATCTCTTCGTCAAAGACCTTCTTGACAACCTCGGGCATAGCAAGCTTCTCAGCCTTCTCCTTGAACTTCTCAACCAGCTTGTCCTTTCCATCAGACTCGATGCCAAGCTCTCTCTTGATGCCTTTCATCTGTTCCATAAGCCAGTACTCGCGTTGACGCTTCTGGATTTTGGCCTCGACGTCTTTGGTGATTTTTGATTGCAGTTGAGCGTTCATCAGCTCTTTCTTGAGAACGACAAGGGCTTTGGGAAGACGTTCTTCGATGTTCATTGTCTCAAGAACTTCCTGCATCTCATGGAGCTCACCAGCAGAAACCGCGGCGGCGAAATCAGCCAGTTTAGCTGGCTCGTCACTGAGATTTCCAGGGAACTGATCCGTGTAGAAGGCAGAAATCTGATCGCGGAACAATGGGTTGAGGGTGGCGATCTCCTTGCACACATTGACAATTTCACTCGTTACGGCACGAATGATGGCGTTCTTCTTATCAAATGGCTCTTCGATCAAGTTTTCGACATTGACCAAGCTGACAGGGTGCTTCTTAAGGAATGAGGTGACTTCGTGTTGATCTTTGGGCGCGGGTTCGGGAATAGGTTCTTCGAAGCTGGCGACGACATCGCCGCGCTTTTCTTGCGTTTTTTCCTCTGAAACGGGGGAGGAGGGGGAGTGGCGCCCTTGGAGTTTTCGTTGGGCGGGAGGAGAGAGGAGATCTTAATGCGGCGGTGGGGGTAGAGTACAGCAGTCACGCCACTAGCCTCACCCCGTAGAGGGTATGCGGCAGTGATTTGAGCGAAAACACCGGTGTCGTAGACATCATCCAAATTCTCGATCACATCGCCGTCGGCGTTGTCATCTTTAAACAAGAATGCTCCCACGTACGGTTGTCCCCGCTTCATCATATCCTGGATCGCAACGGCGACATTCGGGTCGCGAATAGTGATAGCCTTGTAGAACCCGGGGAACAGTGGACGCTTAGCAATGGGGATCGCCATCACCTGGGGGTAGACATCTGGAACTGCGGGCTTTTGAAGCGCCTTGTCTCCAGAGCCCTTTTTGCCCTTCTTCCCTCCATCGTCATTTCCGCTGTTGCCGCCGCCGCTTGCTCCGCTGGGCTTCGAGTCTGCGGGGGCATCGCTTGGCGGGATGGCGGGAGGTGTGTTGCTCCCCTTGCCATCTGCTGCATCAGCATCTTTTTTGGCGTCCTCTTCTACTCCGCGCGACTCTTTATCAGATGATCGATCTTTTCTCCGCGTGGTAGCCTGATCTGCACTAGGAACGTTCTTGCCGGAATCGGCTGCCTTTCTCCGAGACTCGGGGGTTCGCTCTGTGTCTTTATGATCCTCAGTTGTCTGCTTCTGTTCCGCCTCTGCTGACTCGTCCGTTGGGTCCTCTGGTGGGGGCTTCTCTCTCCGCCTGATGGAGCTTACAGAGAAGGCACGTGAGGATGGGGGAATTGAGTGGCCGAGTCGAGCTGAGCTTAGCGTTGATCGGAAGGTCGCATTGTATCTGGGAGACGCAAGGAACGGCCGTCGGAGGAGAGGTCGAGGCGTTTGGTGGAGCGCAGCTCTCCAGGGGAGTGTCTGGCCGCGGAGCATGCTCCTGGATTATCGGATATAAAAGAGGCAATGAGGGGATCAAAAGGGAAAAGGGTAAGGAAAAGAAGCGTGACAGCCCGTGACACAGCTCCAGCAAGACAGCAATAAGTAATAGTCACAGACGGGCAGAGTGGAAGCTGGAATTCCGTAGTCGGAGCACCCGTGGAGCCGACTGCTTCGGTAAGCATCTTTCATCATAATTCGGTGTCACGTTTTTCCGAAAATCTTGAGGCACGCACTGGAAGCTTCTGCCATCAGGAGAGTAGTTCATCTTGGTATTGGAAGGTCATTGGTGCTTCAAACTCGTGGCTTTCTCTGTTGGAATCGTCATTCTTTTATTTCCGCAGGCACTTGAGGCATAACTCTTTCCATCCGGGCATCGGTAAACTGCTGTCCAACCGTCGTCCGGCTATTACTATCCATGAATCCATCTACGGCTCTCCCCAAGGCCGCGGCCGTCCCCGCGCGTCTGCTGCGAACGCAGAGGCAATTTGCTTCCAACAATGGCGTCGCTACATCTAACCAAACCAGAGGCTATCATGTGATCACCTCCCCTTCCCCGGCCAGACGTCTTCGCGAGGGCGCGTGCAAGCGGAAAGACTCGCTGGTGATGTCGGCTAAGGTAGGTCGTCACCACACAGTCTATTCCGATGCTGTGACTTGCTAACAACCATTCTGAATAGACCTTCCACACCACATCTTCTCTTTCCGCGGTTGCGGATCCCTATAAGGTCCTTGGCGTGGACAAGAAGGCCTCCGCCGGCGATATCAAGAAGGCCTACTACGGTCTTGCAAAGAAATACCACCCAGATACCAACAAGGACGCCCAGGCAAAGGACAAGTTCGCCGAGGCTCAGACGGCATATGAATTGTTGTCCGATAAAACGAAGCGAGAGAATTACGACAAGTACGGCTCGGCGGCCTTTGACCAAAATGGCGGGTTTGACCCAAGCGCTGGCGGAAATCCATTCTCCGGCGCTGGAGGATTCCACGGGTTCGGTGGCGGCGGCTTTGGCGGAGGCTTCTCGGGTGATATCAACTTTGAGGATCTTTTCGGTGCGTTCACCGGAGGTGCGCGTCGCGGACCCCGGGGTCGGCGCAATCCGTTCCAGGAACAGATCTTGGTCGGTGAAGACATTGAAGTCCAGACCAACATCTCGTTCATGGAAGCTGCCAAGGGCACAACCCAGGAAATTGTCGTCACTCCGTTGACCAAGTGCGGCACCTGTAAAGGTGACGGTCTGAAGTCCGGCGCCAAGCGATCCCAGTGTCGCCAGTGCAACGGTACCGGTACCCGCGTTCATCTCATGCAGGGTGGTTTCCAAGTTGCCGCCACTTGTGAGGCCTGTGGTGGTGCCGGTATGTCCGTTCCGCGCGGATCGGAGTGCAGCCCTTGCAACGGAAACGGTGTGACGAGGGAGCGGAAGACCATCAAGGTTGACATCCCCGGTGGTGTGGAGGATGGCATGCGACTGCGAGTGACCGGTGAGGGTGACAACCCTCCCACGGGGGCAGCTGTTCCTCCTGGTGCCCGCACTCAGCCCGGTGATCTATATGTTTCAATTCGAGTTGCGCCGGACCACCGCTTCAACCGCTCCGGTTCCGACATTCTCTACACATCCACGATTCCTCTCACCACGGCCATCCTTGGTGGCGAGGTGACCATTCCAACCCTCGACGCTGAGGTCAAGGTTAAAGTGGCCACCGGTACTGGTACCGGTGACAGGATCACCTTGTCTGGGATGGGCATGAAGAAGCTTGGTGGTCGCTCGCACGCTTTCGCCCCCAACGGTGATCTCAAGGTCGAGTTCAAGGTTGCCATGCCTAAGTATCTTACTGGAAATCAGCGCACTATCTTGGAGGTTCTTGCGGACGAGATGAATGACAAAACTGCCAAGCGGACCATGAACTTTGGCAAGGACAGGTAGGATACAGAACCACTGATCGAGGCTGAAACCAATGCTGACTCTACAACTAGCCCCTCGTCTGCCTCTGGAGGCGCCGATCAGGCCAACACCAACGAAGGCTTCCTGAAGTCTCTCTGGCACCGACTTACCGAGAAGAACGGCGAGTCTTCCAATGCCGGTCAAGACAAGGACACCCCCTCGAAGGACACCAAGGATGCCGAAAGCGACTCCAGCAAGGACAGCTCGAAGAAGCCCTGAAGAAAAATGTAAATCATGTATTTTATTTGTTTGTATTTACCTCACCCATGTCATAGCGTCGGCGATATTGGGGGCCTGTTCTGCCTAGGTCTTGGGGCAGAATACTGTATTATTAGTGATAGATGTCCAGGAAGCTCTCTACTTCTTTTGGCTGTATATTTGAATCAAGTGGTTTAAATTTTCAAGAAACTCGTGTTTAGGCCTTAATTGGCTGTTATATGCTTAATCTGTTTTGGAGGCGGGCGCCTCGAAGGTCATCACGGGCATCCCATCCCACTTTCCCTCCTCCAACACTTCAGGCAACTCTGTTCTTTTCGCGAGAACTGTCTTCTTTTGAGTCGGCCTTCGCATGCTCTCTTTTCAATTGCCCAGAAATCCACTATTTGACCGACGTCATTGGCCTGCCATCAGGCGCCGACCTTCCGCCCTCCCTTTACCCCACACACAGCCCTGGACTCCGGCCCCCTCAGCATACTGAGCTCCTAACCCCTGTCTCGCCTATTTCAGTTCAACGTTCTTGCATGGGAGCATATCGCTCCTGACAGTCAACATGGTTCAGTCACCTATGTTGTCATGTCCGCTGAAGCAGACCAACGAGATCGATTGGATCCAGCCTCTCAAGGATTACATCCGTCAGACCTATGGCGAGGACCCGGAGCGATACAGCCAGGAATGCGTCACCCTCAACAGGCTGCGCCAGGATATGCGAGGCGCAGGAAAGGATAGTGCTACCGGTCGCGACCTGTTATATCGGTACTACGGTCAGCTGGAGCTACTGGACCTCAGATTCCCCGTCGATGAGAACCATATCAAGATTTCTTTTACATGGTATGTATCTAGTGTGTTTACTCGGCTTGCGCTAACCATACTCTCTGCTAGGTACGACGCGTTCACCCAGAAGCCTACGGCTCAATACTCGCTAGCCTACGAAAAGGCATCTATCATCTTCAACATATCCGCCGTCCTTTCTTGCCATGCCGCAAACCAGAACCGGGCCGACGACACGGGCGTCAAAACGGCGTACCACTCCTTCCAGGCATCGGCTGGAATGTTTACGTATATCAATGAGAACTTCTTGCATGCGCCATCAACCGACCTGAACCGAGACACCGTCAAGACCCTGATCCATGTGACATTAGCTCAAGCTCAAGAAGTGTTCTTCGAAAAGCAAGTGGCGGATCAGAAGAAGCATGGATTTGTGGCCAAATTGGCTGCCCAGTCAGCATATCTCTACTCCCAAGGAGCTGAGACGATGCAAGATTTCGTCGGCAAGAATGTGTTTGACAAAGTCTGGACGACTGTTGTGCAGGCTAAAGCAGCCCACATGGGATCGGCGGCATCGTATCATCAGGCGATTGCAGATGGTGATGCCGGATCGCATGGTATTGCGATTGCGCGCCTACAGATGGCCGAAAAGCAGGCAGCGACTGCTTTGAGCTGGGCGAAATCATTCCCTACAACGGCACCAGCGACTTCCAATATGACAGCCGAGTCCGGAACTGCCCTGTTGGATCTCATCAAACACAATCAGACCAATGTAGAAGCTCAGCTTGCTACCATGGTCAAGGATAATGATTTCATCTATCACCAGCCGGTCCCCAATGAAGCTGCACTCGCAGCCGTTTCCAAACTCCCTGCGGCCAAAGCGATTCCGGTAAGCGAGCTATACCAGGGACAAGATATCCAGCGCATCATCGGACCAGATATCTTCCAAAAACTCGTACCCATGTCTGTCACTGAAACGGCCAGTCTGTACGACGAAGAAAAGGCCAAATTGATCCGTGCAGAGACCGAAAAGGTTGAGACTGCCAATGGCGAAATGGCGGCTAGCTTGGACTATCTGAAATTGCCCGGCAGTCTCAACATCTTGAAAGGTGGTATGAACCAAGAGATGTCTGTCGATGAAGACTTCCGTCACTGGTGTTCAGAGCTCGCCGGTCATAAGCCATTCCACGGGGTGTTTGATGACCTGCAAGACCGCAAATCCCAAGTGCTGTCCCAGTTGGACCAGTGCTCGAAGCAGCTTGATTTAGAAGAAAGCGTGTGTGAGAAAATGAGGTCCAAGTATGGAGCGGACTGGAATCAGCAGCCCAGCTCTCGACTCAATACTACCCTCCGGGGTGACGTGCGCTCCTATCGCGACACTGTGAATGAGGCTAGTATGAGTGATGCTCAACTCTCTTCTACCCTCCGACAGCACGAAGACGACTTCGATGAAATGAGATCTGCTTGGGAAACCGATGAAGCCGACGTGCTTTTCCAGCGAGCCTTGATCACAGCCGGTTCAAAACAGAGCAAAGGCAAGAACGGCGTTTCCAGTCCTGCGGAGGGTAGCCTTCTGGATGACGTTTATGATGAAGGGGGTGCCTCTGTCGCAGACCAAATTGCCAGAGTGGAAGAGATACTGAAGAAGTTGAATCTTGTAAAGCGAGAGAGATCTCAAGTTCTGAAGGATCTCAAGGATAAAGTGAGTTCCATAGGCTGTTCACCGCGATCGTCTAACAATATTATACAGGTTCACAACGATGACATCTCTAATGTCTTGATCTTGAACAAGAAGTCCATCACTGGCCAGGAATCACAGCTCTTCGATGTGGAGCTGGAAAAGTTCCGACCTCATCAAAACAGACTTCTACAGGCAGCTCATAAACAGCAGTCTTTGATGAAAGAGCTCACCAAAATTTACGGTGATCTCCTGCAGGATAAGAGAGTTCAATCCGAGCAGTCAAAGTACGAGTCCATCACACGCCAGCGCAACTCCGTGATTGCTCGATACAAGAAGGTTTTCGAGGCGTTCAGTGGCCTTACTTCGGGAATTTCCCAAGCTCGAACCTTCTACAAGGATATGGGCGAGAACGTCGATAGTCTTCGCAAGAATGTCGAAACCTTCATCAGCAACCGGCGGTCAGAAGGCGCGCAGCTCCTCAGCCAGATCGAGCGCGACAAGGCCAGCGGAGTCCCTGAGCAAGAGGATCGCGAGCGAGAGAAGCTCCGCCAACTGATGGAGCGCCTCTCCACTGAACCAAAAAGTTCCTCAACCTCTCCTTCCACCGTCTCGGGAGGTGCTCCCTCGAAGGTCAGGTCGCCGCCTCCACCTGTCCAGGCGCCGGCATATGGAACCACCGGTCCATCTCCACAGATGTCCCCTCGGTACCCTCCACCCATGCCAGGGCATGGCGTGCCCCTCTCCTCGCACTCACCCACGCCCTACGGTCAGTACATGGGGGCCCCTTACCCACCAGTCCCGCATTTCCAACAAGGTGCCGCGGCTCCTCTTTCTGATGGCTACAATCCCATGGCCTATCCCTACCAGACACCGGTATCCCCGCCACCAAACCAGCAATACTTCTCCCAGGCCCCAAACCCGTACGCCGGCTACTCAAATTCCAACACACCCGTTCCGGGCGGTGCACCTCCCTCTCATTACGCAGCCCCTCAGGGCTACATTCCGCCCCCCACCGCCCCCGCGCCCACAGCAGACTAACTACCCGCCCCCCAGTGGGAACATGTATCCGTCTGGGCCCGGTGGGTATGCGCAAGCCAGACCTCATGGGCATCACAAGGCGCCCTCGCAGTCTCAGCCTGCGCCTCCGCCCAACCCTAATGATCCATGGGCTGGACTCAACGCTTGGAAATAGAGCGGTACTGCATCATACTTATGATATCTCAGGAAAAAGGGGAGGGAAGGGTTGGGTGGAAGGTACATGGCATATTTCGGCGTTCACTGAATTTGGACCTCTTTAGGGTGTCCCCAATTGATTATTTGCTCTTCAATGCGGGTCTCCAACGCATGCCGCATCAGTTTTGTTGTCCTTGTCTGCCTTCCAGGTATCAAGAACCTCCGGGATCTATGCTCTACCTGGAAAGCGACTATGTCAATGTCCTTTGAATTACATACACTTTAGGTAGCAAGCACCATCATGCGTTCTTTTACGGTATTATGTATCTGTAGGTCATGATTATATTGCAAGCTTGTGTACATTCTTCGGTCCAGGTGTCACAAGTCGTATAGGTACCTAGTGTATGAGAGATCAAACTAAGTACTTACAATGGGTGCGCACTAACGTTGGAATCAAAGCCCAAAGCCCCCATCCCACCTACAGCCCTGAGGGCTGTATATATACGCCAGACAATGCAGAGCCACGAGATCCAATCCAAACACCCAAATCAAGGCTCTAACATCCATAGATCTTGACAATATAACACGGAATATACAAACCCGAACAAGAAGAAAAGAAGCCCATGAAACAAAGCTTCATAACCAAACACTAAACGCCGATGGGTATCTTAACATCAAAAGACGAAATTCGACCAACAATCCTCAAATCAAAGACCAGTCAAACCACACAGAATATAATCAAATCCCAATATACGACCTACCCCGTTTAGGGCTGGAAGCGCAGTCTGAACTGCCTCCCGCGACGCTCCTCACGCACAGTGTACAAGAAGCGAGCGATAGTCTCCTGCTCCGAGAGACCAGCGCTATTGAAATGCCTGCGCACAACGAGAGCGAATTGATCTTTACTCACGCGGTCCTGGCCGCGACGATGTGAGTCACTCGATCTAGAAGACTGGGCGCGGCGAGCGGCGAGGGAAGTCGGGGAACGGAGGCCTACGCCTTGAGAAAGGACGATGCGCGAGTAATCGCTGGCATAAGCAGACGGGGTAGGAAGTTTGTGGAGATGGCGGTATGAGTGGAGGATATCGAGGGGGAGGTCTGTCCAGGGGAGCTGGTGGGAGTCAGAAATCAATCAAGCTTGAAAAAAAAAAATAGTCTGGGGATCCGGTGGGCATACTCTTGGTTCATCTTGCTCGACTGGGGCGCTGGTGACGGATTTGTCTTTTGCTGGTCTGCGGGATTTGGTCTTTGGGTATTCTCTTGTACCGCTTGAGGCTTCGGACCTTGAGTCGTCTTGTATTGCTGCGGTGCGATGGCGCGGGGGTGCCATGGTGGATTTCTGGGGGTTGTAGGAGTGGGATTGGATTTGGGGGGTTTGATCAATGGATTGGGGGTGAATAGGGGGTCTGTCGATAGATTGGAATCATCTAAGGAGGTGCTGGATAGTGCGTCTTGGAAGGATGGCGCCGTTAGTTCGGACTTGACACTTGAGATTTCGGCAGAAACGTCATTTCCGCTTCCAGATCGGTCCAGGTCAGTGCCTGAGGCGGATTTACGTTTACATCATGGGTTGGTGAAGTCATGAGAGCCAAGTTCAAGGGTAGGAAAGGGTTTAAGGGTTCAAAGGTTAGTGAATGCTGCTTTTGACATAGAGGTGAGTCTATAGCTTCATCTCTGGCCTTGAGGTTAGTATCAGGACAATTGCTGCAAAGGGTCCGGCCCGGTGCACCGGGCCTGCATTTGCATGGTACCTGGGCACGAGTAGTAGCACTTGGCCATGGCCTGGGCAGTGATGTTCATCTTGATCTTACTCCGTAGAGCAAGATAAGGAAGTAGCAAAGGCACTATACACCAATAGTACGAGTGATAGTAAAGTCTTGATATAACCGCATCCTATCTACACTACTTACCCCAGAAGCATCCGGACAAAATATCCCCCCAGGGCCTCACCGCTATGTGCGGAGTACGGAGTAGTAAACTGGAGATAGAAACCCCGGCAAAACGTTTCCCACTTGCCGCTGTGGCGTGCAAATATCAGCAGGTGAACCGAGGAATCCGCGCAATATTAGGTAGAGACAAGCATTCTCTCTAGGCAGTCTGCATGGGTAGTACGACCGAATCTGGCAAATCACCCCAGACTTCTTCGGGGCATTCTCGGCTTGAGAGAAAATTTCCACCAATACAGCCATTACCTTTAATGGTGGCCATTTACACCAGTTTCTGAAAATGACAGTACAGGATACACAGCGAATACCGCGTGAAAGGCAAGCCGAGTCGGCTCGGGGATGCCGAGATATTTCGCCGAGTCACGCCAAACCGACGTGGCGTCCAAAAAAAAATTCAATGAAACCGGAAGACGCCCGCTCACCGAAGTACCCCTTTTGAATCCCATCTGAGTGCTTGCTCCGAATAAAAGTCTTCTTCCTTGATCTTGAACAGCTCTAAAGTAGCCTCTAACGGTAGTGCCCAACTAGTCCGGTCGATATTGAAGTACGAGATGCAGAAGCTCTAGCTATCGTACTCCGTACTCCGTACTTGTACTTTAGCGGAAGCACTGCAATGCACCCGTGACCAGGCACACCTTCCTTTTTGCGCCCAGGGAAAAAAAGCCCCCTGATCATCGTGGAGCTCGATAGCCATCGGCACTAAGCCCCGCATACAGAACTTCGCACACAGTTTGCTCCGATTTCACCCGACTAGCCCTACCTGGCACGTTCCAGCGGTACCTGCAGATGGGGAATCAAGCTACGTCAATATCATCTGATATGCTTGTACAGAATTAGATTAAATGAGCTAAAGAAATGATAACGTGATTTCGTATCGCATACCGAGGCTTGCATGCCAAACCTTCATCCCCGTGAACAGTGAACAGTGAACATGTGGAACGTGTGCGCAACATGTGAAATTGGTAGGCTATTTCCAAGTTCACACGAGCTCCGGGGCCGCCGATAGAAGTGCCAGAATAGCAACACGTGTTAAGCAGGTTCGGGAGGAGACCATCCCGCGCCCAGTTCCAGTTCCAGTTCCAGTTCCAGCTCCAGCTTCCCACTCGGGGCTAAGTGGGTGAATGACTCGGAATATCCCTAACAGAGGCACCAACGAGTCTCTTTTGAACATCAAAGCACCCCTGTAGGTTTTGTACATAAGTCATCTAAGCTGAGCTCATAGCTCACGGAATATTCGTTATGTTCTAGACTCCCGCACCCTGGTCAGATTAGCTGATCGACTGCATATGATAAAAAAGTGACAAGTGGATCCTTGAGATCTAGGGGCAATGTGTTCCGGAGTCACAGTGCCTACCCTACCCAGGTGGGTTAAGACTACTTTGTTTGGAGTCGAGTACGGGGTAACAAGAAATGCATTAGTAAATCGCTCAAAGTGGAGCGAGTGAAAAAAAAAAAAAGAAGAGAAAGCTTCACCGAGAACCTACACAGAGGAACTGGACACGGTATGCCAGTACTTGCACTGGACTCCTATCGCCAGGATATCACATGTGTTCAGATAAAGCTGCAGATATGTGCGCAAAGGCGAGCAAAGCAATCAAAGATAGAAGAGAGAGAGAGAAAGCCCCCATGCTACCTACCAATAGGCGACGGATCGCGGACTCCGGAATGGCGGCCCCGCATGGGATGATATCAGTGTAACGCCTCGAGGCAGCCATTGGGCGAGAGGATGTCTATTCCAGAAGCTGTGGATCGCGGATCTCTCGCCTTGGCGTTTGGGGTAGACGTGGCTGTAACAGAGTGCGTGTGCATACGTACACAGTCTGGCCAAATCGGGAAATCAATTATATAATCCCTTAGGTAAGGTTGCACTTGTAATTGAAGAGAATGGTGTGAGCTGATTATTCTTACGTTTAATCGTAGGCTCCAGCGTACGGAGTACAGGGTATCACAAAAGCTGCACAGAACTCTGTCCGCGCTGTACAGAGTAACTGGTGCCGAAGTGGGAATGTTGCAAAAACCTACCCCGGATTCCCTCTTTTCGTTTCCCCCTTATCTTATGTTTTTGGCACTGCAACAAAAGGCCCAAGACCCCCCAATGTCACAATGCCACCCGGGTCCTACGTTCCAAGCCATGTAAAATCCGACCACACGCTTTTTTTTTCTTTGATTGCGAAACCCGGGCCCTGAGCCAGCTGAGCAGCAGGATTTGAAACCGAGGCGCCCAAATCCCCTTTGAGCACGTCACCAAGTAGCACAGGTCATCCAAGGGGGGCAGCGCCTAGACCTGTGAATAATAGAAAAATCTAATTCCCGGGGATGCGGGGGTGAGATAACAGGGTCAAGGCAATGTAACTGGACTGCGACGGAGGACGGCGACGGGTATCAGACCGATCGCCCTGCAGTTGTGACTCTTCTCATTTCGTGAACCTTCGCCTGTTTTCTTGATCGACGGACCCGCCCGGTATGCCAGTTGATCAGCGGAATGCAAAGAGGGTACGGAGTACGCGTATCCCCCAACTTTGAGGCTGTGATCTCCATTCCCCCATTCTCCAGATGCTCGATAACACGTATCCAGCGTGGGCGTTTCAGATGACGCGATGAGTCAGGGCGCGATATCGGACGCCCCCCCTTGGCGATCGTGACGATCCAGACAGAGTTTTTTTGTCTGAAGACCTGCGAATCCGATGTCAGTTGCAGATCGTTTTCTGCGGGGGATCTTGGCTCAGTCTTGCGGGGTAGGGTGCCCGGGTAGAACGGCGCGAAAGAAGAAAAAGACTATGAATGGACGGTCATGGGAAAACAGAAACAAGCGGGCTGATTTTTTGGTTCTGCATGGGGTTTATACCAGTACGATTCGAGGGTGGGATGGTCGGCAATTGGAGGGAAATAAAATAAAATAAAGCGAAAAACTAAAACACATCCCCCACGCATCCCGACATGTGGATCTTGTTGATCAGATCTCCAGATAGAAAGTCAGACGAGTTCTGGGGAAATACGGAACTCGGAATCCGATTCACCTAACACAGTACACAGATGATAGCTTGTATACGAGTGATACATGTGCGTCACCTGAAACCGAAACACTCATCTCAGACCTGAAGTACGAAGTAGCGTTATCTCGGCAAAAAGCGGGTTATTGTACCTGCTTTGGGCTCAATAGTGGACGGAGTAGACAATGTACTATTGTACGAACCACCTTACATCCGGGTGGAATACCCGGTGATTAGACTGAATTCAAAAATTAGCAATCGCCACTCCGAATCCGGAGGATTTCAATTGCGCCATTCCCCGTGGAGAAAAGAATGGAGAAGAAGAATGGAGAATGGAGAGAAACTGGAGTCGGGATATGGAGAATGGACAGATATCCGAATCCGGAACATCCGCGCCTGCGATAGTCCGTACGGACTACTCCGTGCGTAGTTCGATCAGGCAATGTCGCCCGCGGATTCGTGCAATTTCTTAATCTCCGTGCTAGACCAATCTCTCTCAGGTGAGCTGATCAGACAAGCGAGACGCCCATATCTGCTTTGTTTTTGGAACCACCCAATAGGAAGTCGGTCCGCCATCACCTCATGTCTCTTGTCCAGGGTGTGTCCAGGGTATTGCGGGGATCGGCCGAAATTGCTATCCCGAGTGGAATTTCATGCTTAAGATCTACCACTAAAGGAGGTCGACCCCTGGTGCACGGCTGTATGCAGCTCCACAGAGATACGAGTGGGAGTAGACAGCTGTGATCTCGTCTATAATTGTCGAAAGAGGCGAAAGAAATAAAACAAATATGATGATGGCCAACGAGCTTGAGGCAGAAGCAAAAGCAGAGAGGTACCAAAGGCTGATAAGACACGGGCGCTCGTGTCCAACCAGACCCCCCGGCCCCAACACGGGGGGTTCGACACGGGGTCGTATCTCGCCCTTTTATCCGATATCATATGAGAACCTTTGGGGACCCGGGTGATCGATCATCCGTACATACTGTAGTTGCCTACTCCGTACTTCATCACCCATTGTCAACCGATCTACTTGTATATACACACACTCATACGACTCCCTGAAGATGGCGCAAGGAATGCAGCTCGTGGGGCTGACATTCGCATCCGGACGCTGGAGATACGCGGCTTTGCGGCTGCATGAGAGTTGCAGCAGGGTAAATCAATAATTGGACGATCTGCGCCTATCAGCGGCGTCCACCCACTTCTGTCGCTATCAGCCAGGTTCATGGGTCGGGATTTATTCGGCAGACGGGGAATTCCCCCCCTCCGGAGTACAGCACGGAGAACATCTTAGATTGTCTGAAATCCGGGGGTGTCGGCGAACGACCCTGAACGAGAGTGGCAAGTCAAGACCACACACATGCTTTTTCGCTGCCGGGTACCGCAGGCCCTTGTAAGTGTAATTTGTGAGTTGAAACTCGGAGACGCGGACCGGTCGTTCTCGCATTCTCCAATTCGTGAGTCGCGCAGGATTTGGCGTGACTAAAGGATTACGGACAGGTGTCGACATCATCGATGATCCTCGCTCTCGTCACTGGACCAGATCCCCCGGACTGCGGACTGCGGACTGTGGTCTGCGCAGGTTGTACATGGGCCTGGACTGGTCCGGCCGATATGTCAATACAAATCATAATGAAGATCCAAGCCCCAGAGTTTGATCATAACATGAAGGGACTCCCAGGATTACGCGGGCCGAGAGTCTGGAGAAATGAACTGATAAGAGCCGGGGAAGTTCCCGTAAACAGAAGCGCGATAGCCGTACGCACACGCACCCCCACATTATGCGGTGAGGCCCGTTTTACGAGGTACAAATGGACAAATGGACAGATTGACGGAATATATACGGAAGTACGAGTAGATTCAGATTGAATGAGATATCCATCGCATAGTATCATACAATATGGCACTATGTCATCGACATATTATCTAATAACCTTGTGGACGAAAGGGAAAGAAGTAAAAATCAGACCGAAAGGGCAGTCACGACCCACTCAACCCAAAAAGATCAGCCTTTTCCGTCTTTTTTTCTCTCTTTTTCACTCTTGTTTTTTTTTGTCCATTTTTTCTTTTTGAATTACCCCTTTGGTTGGACTTTTCACCGAAAACTCCCCCAGTCCCCCCTTTCCCCCACAGTCTCAATTCGGTTTATTTAATTCTATTTTTTTATCTTTTTTTTGGGTGAAAATTCAGTTTTCTTTTTTTTTTTTCTTTTTTTTCCCCAAGTCCGATTCCGACACCCCCTTCTCCGATTTCACCCTTCCCCCTCCATTTCCTCTACTTTATATTTGTGACTCCCCAGATCGTCATCTCCAGGTTTCTTCCTTTTTTCTTCCCTTGCTCTCTCTCTAGTATACATCTATAACCACATGCCACCACCGGCCTCTTCCGTGGGTTTCTCCAATCTACTCAATCACGACTCGTCGCCCGACTCGACTTCAGGTGACTCTACAATGGCTTCTTCCGTCAGCTTGCTGCCGCCTCTCATGAAGGGTGCTCGTCCCGCGACCGAGGAGGTGCGCCAGGATTTGCCCAGGCCTTACAAGTGTCCTCTCTGCGACCGTGCATTCCACCGTCTGGAGCATCAAACGAGGCATATTCGAACCCACACCGGCGAGAAGCCTCACGCCTGCCAATTCCCCGGCTGCACCAAGCGATTCAGCCGTTCCGATGAACTCACTCGGCACTCGCGCATTCACAACAACCCCAATTCTCGCCGCAGCAACAAGGCCCAGCACCTCGCCGCCGCTGCCGCTGCCGCCGGCCAGGACACCGGCATGGTCAACGCCACCAACATGATGCCCCCGCCAAGCAAGCCCATCACCCGCTCTGCTCCCGTTTCCCAGGTTGGCTCGCCGGACGTGTCGCCTCCTCACTCCTTCTCCAACTACGCCAACCAAATGCGCTCCAATCTGGGTCCTTACTCTCGCAACACCGAGCGCGCCTCTTCCGGCATGGACATCAACCTCCTCGCGACCGCCGCCTCGCAAGTCGAGCGCGACGACCACCTGGGCTTCCACGGATCTCGCAACCCCCAGATGTTCGGTTCCCGCCACGGAACCGGTCGCGGCCTGCCATCCCTCTCCGCGTACGCCATCTCCCAAAACATGACCCGCTCCCATTCCAACGACGATGACGACAGCTTCGGCGGCCACCGCGTCAAGCGCTCCCGTCCCAACTCTCCAAACTCAACCGCTCCTTCTTCTCCTACTTTCTCCCACGACTCTCTTTCCCCGACCCCCGACCACACCCCACTAGCGACCCCCGCCCACTCTCCGCGCCTGCGTCCCCTCGGCGCCAGCGAGCTGCATCTGCCTTCCATCCGCCATCTCTCTCTTCAGCACACCCCCGCCCTGGCTCCCATGGAACCCCAACCCGAAGGCCCCAATTACTACAGTCCCACTCAGGGCCACATGGGTCCCACTATCGCGGATATCATGTCCAAACCGGACGGCACGCAGCGCAAGCTGCCTGTGCCCCAGGTTCCCAAGGTTGCGGTGCAGGACATGCTGAACCCGACTTCGGGCTTTCCTTCCATGAACTCGTCAGCGAACAATTCCGTTGCGGGTGGGGATCTCGCGGACAGGTTCTAAATTCGCTATCCTCTTATGCCTTTTGTTATGCGCGCCACGAAACGATATAGACTTGTGCATTTTTACTATGGCTTGGGCATCAACGGTGTCGGATTTTTCTTTTTCTTTTTGATTTCGATTTTGTTTTGAGGCGCTTTTCCAAATAGACGGACTGGGTTTTTTTTCACTGGCTTGTTTCCACTCTCCGGAGACTTCTTCTACATCTTCTCTTTTTTTTGTTCTCTTCAAGTCCAAAATTCTGTGTCGAAAGACCTGCCTTTTTTCTTCTTGTGATTCTCCTCTCTGAAGGTCTGTGGCCTTTTTTTTGTTCCCTTACACTTAATTTCTCACTTTGTGAGCAAAAAATGAAGAAATTTTCACTACTCTTACGTGATATCCCCGCAATCTGATGTTTTTCAAACATTCCCCAACGTAACAACACCACCATGTATTCCGTATTTCCTATAATATAAGTTGATCACCAGAAAGACTTGTGCAATATCAAGTACTATTGACATTCACATGCCAGTGTCAGAAGTACGCGGTAGTCTAGAACGGCTGTTCTAATCGCCCTGAAGAACTGCAGCTGACGTAGCCACTTGGGTGTAGTGGAGATTGCCCGCCTTTAGATTGGACATCAGGCGACATGTGTCCACCCGGGGCACATCTGAACCGAATGTCTTGCAACTCTTGGCTTGCTTTTTCTATTCTGGTACTCCGTACTCCGTACTCACCCCCTCGCTGCTTTAAGTTACTGGGTATATTTGAGCATGACCACCACCGATCTGAGTGATCAGTGATTAAAGGTCTTAAGTCATATGGCTTATGGTCATATGCAGGGAGTGTATGGAACGAGATGGCAGGAGGTCATGTACGCGCGGGCGCTTCAGGCACCTACACCTTGATCTAGACATCTCTACGGAGTAGCTCTCTCCTTATCTTCTTCCCTAGATTTATTCTCATTGTTACTTTGGAATATCAAATACTCTCTTTCTTTGTTATTTTGCTAGCCTGACAGAATCTGTACATATCAGTGTAGACTTGACCATATCACTTTAGCCTTATTTCACTTTATGTTTATCTTAGTACTCATTTTACAAAGTGAATATGGTTATCTTAGAAGGGGGAGGGGGATAATAACCTCTTAGAAGGGATGCAGGTCTCACGAAACTACGCAGCAGGAAGAGATCACTAAGTAAGAAGTGATATTGATGGTAGTCGTGATGGACGTCTGTATGATCGATGATTGTATGATGATTATTGAGAGAGAGAGGAAGGAAGGGAGATGAGCGAGCTACTATGTAGCAAACAAGAGGGGAAGAAGCCCTGCTTCCCAATTAGGAAGTAAAGTAGGGCAAACCTCTCGAATAGTAGCCTTGACCATACACTTTTCATATCAGGGATTAGGGTTCACTGTTTACCATTTTATTAATCTTTTTCCCTTTCACTCGTATGCCTATTCACAAAGTGAAATCGTGATTATGACAACAAACTATGTAAGTCCTTCATCATTCTACTATAATTTCACTTCACTTCACTTCACTTTACTTTACTTCACTTCTATTTCTATTCATACACGACACATTTCACAAACTCACCCCCCATTTCCTACTACTTATATCCCATCCTATACTTCTTCCTCTTCCTCTTCTTCTTCCTTCCTCATCCACCTTATCCTACTATTTATATCCTATTCTTCTTCTTCTTCCTTCATCTATCTCTTTCTGCACTTTATTCTTCTGCTCTTATAGACTTTCTACTATCTTATATGACCAGTTTGTCTCTCTCCGTCTATACTATTCTTATACTAATTTCTTAGAGACCCTAAACAAATCTCATACACCTCTGAAGAAGAAGACTCCCATTTAACGATGAGACTGATATATAACTTCGATTCAATAGCCGATATTCGCTATGTACAGTCATTAAGCAGGAAACAGTACCCCAGATGAAGATCTTTCTCCTGATTATGTTCATCTTCGCAATCATGCCGCCCGCCTGTCTCAGGGGCCCACCAAAAGAGCCACCCAGCGGGCTCTGCTCGTTTGGTGAATCTGTGTCCTTCTTGAAGGACATCATACAATGGGGAAGAGACTCGATGGAAAATTTCAAACGCAGCAAGACAGTTCATGCAACACCACACAAACAGTTCAACCCTGACGATGAGACCATTGAGTCAAAAGTTGCGATCTGTTCCAACTTGGAAATCCCATTGAAGAAATCAAGGATGGTGTCCGCCTGTCTGACGCAAATGTTTTCCGAGTGAGAACCACCAAGCACAGCGTCAAACAGAAAGAGTGGAAAACGAAATGGCCCTATGATTTCATTTCAGACGGGGACATTAAACCCAACAGGCGCCCGATTGGCAAAGGCGTTGTGATCAGCGCATGTGGCATGGCATTTTATCCGGTCTTCCACGGTTACCCCATTTAAGACTGCCAGAACCGAAAAAGGAATTGGCTCAAGCAGGTGCGAGAGTTGCGCGTGGCAGGACGTTCAACCTTCGATGTTCTCGATGAATGGATGAATCCAAGTTACCAAGAGTAACGACAATGCGCTATGTGGCGAGACGGCTGGAAGATACTCAGCCCAGATCGGTGAAAAAAGGCATCCCGAAACGCGCCTTACAAGGGTTTCCGAGTCGGCCAACTGCTCGCGATGCCAGATGATCTGCTCGACAATGAATCTATCTTCGATCTCAACGAACTGTTCACCAGTGCACCGAAACGGATTCTGGAAGTTGGGTTTTCGTACATGTCTGGTGACCTGACTGGTCTGTTCACGGACGGATGACTGCAACTGGCCCCTTTGTCTGCATTCACTAATTTTAATCCACGAGTGAACCAAGACAGAACCCTCGATTGGACAGATGAAGCGCGTACTGGTCTGACAAGAGATCAATGGGATGCACTTAAAGGACAGATTCACAATGATCTCCAAGCGTCTACACTACGCGATGACTTGCTATGTGAGATGTTCGAGTCTGAACTGTTTCCAGCATTCCAGTCAAAGTCTCCCAACACCGATTCTGACGAAGAGTCCACTGGCAGTTCTCACAACTTGATCGAGCGTTCCGCACAAGATACTAGTGATGTGGAAGATGAACAGTACAGCCGCTACGGTGACGAATCTAGTGGTGGTTACAACTTGGTTTAATCTTATGAAGAAGGTATTAATGAAGAGGAAGAATCCTCTGGTAGTTTAGAGAGCTTTATCAATGATTCTCTCCAATTACAGCGGATGCGAATGATATACCAACCACCTGCACGGTAACATCGCTCTCGGGAGGGACTGCTAATATGCCTTCCTTGTCATGTACCCTTGGACGAGTACCATGAACCTTGGAAGTGCTCTATAGTAATGCATGTCCTTATCTGGAGGATTCTTAGCGTCGAAGGGTGGATTCGAGATACGAATTTGATCCAATAACAACTGGGCCGAGTCAATTCCTTGCGGGTCCCGAGGCCTTCCCGTATTTGTTGGAACTCAGCCCAGCTGTTCGCGATAGAGGTCACTCCCAAGATTTGGACATACTTCATGATAAGGAGTACGTTTATGGTCAAGTACTAGTTTTGTTTACTGAAAATTTCCTGGATGCTCAAGTCTCTCCGGAGGTCCAGAGGTCCAGATCATGTCTAGTGGCGGTAAAATATAGCCTAGGGAATATTGAATATTCGTCTAAATAGTTATAAGGGTGGAGCAACTAGTGATGATGGTAGTGGTGATGGTGATGATAATGATGGTGATAATGATGATGCTGAACTTGCGGCACAAGTCCAGGGAAATTCATGGCAGATAGCGTATTGCTTGGCATCGAAGACATATCACGGGTGGATGAAAGGACTTGCAGCACAGCAGCCTCCTCAATTGATGTTCGTTGGTTTTCCTGTATCCCTGGCATGGAAGTTTGTTGTTTATCTTAGTGGGAGGCATAGAAGATAGGCTCCCTGACTTCCCATTGTCGGGATTCATAAAGCCCCAAGGGTAGTCAAAATCGCAATAACTTTCCTGTTGTGGTAGGACTGTTGGCCTTGGTAAATGTCCAGAGATAAAGACGTCGTGACCAGTATGGTTTTCCAAGTGTGTGGCGCTCGATCTTCGAGGGTAGGATCCATGAATATTTCCATAAATGTGATCGTGATTGAATGTATGACCGAATATGGGTAGCTGGTGGCTAGTTAAGTTTTCCAATGGCGAAAATTCGATGTCTCCCATAGAAAACAATGGCGAGAGAGCTTGAGATTCTGATACGTTTGGGGATAAATTGGTATGATCAGACTCCAGTCGACTCGGGTTACTTCTCGTTGTTTCCGTACTCATGTCCTGCGAGGAGAGGCTTGCAAAGTCTCGGGATATACTAGTGGATGATGATGATTGCAAAGCGTCGGGAGAAGAAGTGACTTCGGTAGAAGATAACCCACTGATGTTGGGTTGAGAGTTAGAAAGTCTCCTCCACCTGTTACGACAAGTCAAAGGGGGCCTTCCTGGGAGACCAGAAGCAATTGTCGCCCATCGATGTCCGAGCTCGCGCACTTTGGATGTGAGATATTGATCCTCCTCTGGTAGCCAGCCCTCGAGGCGATTTTTAGCCAAAGGATTGAGGATGTCGTTATATCTCTTGGCACATTGATCATCTTTGCGGCCTTTGATAAGTAGAGCTTTGCTTTGTTAGCGAGGGTGATCACTTTCTATTGGTGTAGCTGGGAATTGTTCACCGATTTCCTTCCAAGCAGGACCCAGCCGTTGGTGAGCCGCGAGTAGAATTTCATCTTCTTCTTTGGTCCAGCGACCTTTTCGCAACGTTGGATCGAGAGAATGGAACCAACGCTTTCGACAATCCTGTTCACAGAGATCAGCCATTCTATACTTCTAATCGGATTGTTTTCTCAAAGGTACCTTATTCGTTCTGCCCGGAAGCCGCTTGGAAATTTCAGCCCAATTACCGTCCTTCCCTCGGCGATCTCCAAATTTTTGTACGAGCGCTGTGAGCTCCTCGTCCTCTCTTTTCGACCAGACGCGACGAGACATTGCGAAGAAAGATATTGTACTGGTTCTCTCAAGTGGCCTTTCTTGACTGTCTCGCACTGATAAGGAATGACTCGGCTCAAACCTTCCCCGCATTTTGATTGCTGCTTTGGGCGGGCCATTGCCGACAGTTTGTCTTCTTTTGAATCGATCATTTGGCATTGAAGATATCCATGAATATTGTGGCCATCAAGAGATAGTATATGATATAACCATAAACTGTTCTGGTCTCTTAAAATAACGGTAAAACTGCATGAGACCATGTATTGAAGTGGGGACAGGCCTTAGCGATCCTGTCATTGCCTGAAGATCCTAGATAACCCACCAGAGTCGGTAAAAGTAAAAGAAAGAGACAGGCTGAGAGTTTTGGTTGAGCAGAGTCATCGGGACTCTTCCAAGCCTATGCTTCATGGTGGGGATAAAGAAGGGCCGCGTTGACACAGTGCTGGATAACTGCAATGACTCGGCCCTGGTGTTGAGGTTATATAGATCGCTCGAGTAGTACAGAGAGTCTTAGCTTCAGAATCATTCATCAGAATCTGATTAAAACAAATTCCGCCCACCGAGCTTTTCAAGATGACACCACACCCTTTGGACCCTGCAACATCGGGAGAAATCCGACAAGCTACCGATGTGGTCAAAAGTGCCTACAAGGGCGTCTCACTTCACTTCAAGGCAGGCGGACTTGAGGAGCCTCCCAAAGCCTCTATGGTCGACTTCCTTGACGCAGAGCACAATGGCCGACCTTTGCCTTTCATTCCTCGTCAGGTGTTCCTCATGTGGTACATTGAGTACACTCCTCGCTTGTTTGAGGGGATTGTGGACTTGAGTACCAACACTCTCGTGCACCATGTTGAGATGCCCCGAGACTTCCATGGTCCGGTTGACCGGGCTGAGATGAATGAGGCGGCTCAAGTCGTCATGAAAGATCCTCGTGTTCAGGCCGAGATAAAGCGATTGAAGATTGACGATTCCACCGTCGTGCTTGACCCCTGGGATTACGGTGTTGATGGCGAGGATACTCAGACACGGCACACGCAGGTATTTCCCGGCGTAAATACCTTTGGTGTTGAGTTCAAGCTAACAAGGCATTGAAAGGTATTCATGTACATGCGCAACCCGAAGAACAACAGTCCCGATTCCAACCACTACAGCTTTCCACTCGACTTTATGGTCATTGTTGACCTGTGCAAAATGGAGGTGGAGAAGATCATCCGTTTGCCTCTTGGTTCAGACAAGTCTGCTACCACGGTGGGCTCTCAGGTGCCTCACCGTCGCACTAACCCCGTCGAGCCTGAGTACTACCACCGTCTGCAGAAGAGCCCTGCTCGCACTACTATGAAGCCATACCATGTTATCCAGCCGGAGGGTGCATCATTCACTGTCAAGGGCTATGTTGTGGAATGGGAGAAGTGGCGGTTCCGTGTGGGTTTCAACTGGAGAGAGGGTAAGTTACCACAATGCGTTGGACGACTTATATCTGAAAATAACAGGCATGACTTTACACGATGTTTCATTCGACGGCAAGAGTGTCTTCTACCGTCTCTCGCTTTCCGAGATGTTCGTCCCCTATGGTGACCCTCGCAACCCCATCTACCGCAAGGGTGCCTTCGACCTGGGAAACGTCGGTGCCGGTGTGACAGCCAACAATCTTCAACGTAAGCACCCAATCTGCAAACTTACCTCTTACTACTCATACTCATCACATTTAGTTGGCTGTGACTGCCTTGGTCTCATCAAATATCTTGATGGATGCGTGGTAGCAAAGGATGGGTCCCCTTCCCCTCGACCTAACGCCATCTGCATCCACGAAGTCGACAACGGTATTCAATGGAAGCATACTAACCACCGAACTGAAAAAGCTGTCGTTGTTCGCAAACGTCAGCTCGTTCTCCAGAGCATTATTACAGTGGCTAACTACGAGTACATCTTCATGTGGTACTTTGATCAGTCTGGAGAGCTCACTTTCGAGACTCGCGCAACTGGTATACTTTCTACTCAGCCTATTGATAAGGACGCCAAGGTACCCTGGGGAGCTCGTGTGGCCGATGGAGTTATGGCCCCATACCACCAGCATCTCTTCAATCTGCGTATCGACCCTGCGGTTGGTGGTCACAAGAACAGCTTTGCATCCACGAACACCGTTCCAATTCCCTGGGATGAGGAATTGAGTTCTCTTGGAACAGGATTTGTCACACAGCAGCAGATTGTCGACCGCGCTGGTACTGTTGAGGATGATATCTCCAAAGGCAGAGTGTTCAAGATTCTGAATGAGAATATTGAGAACCCAGTTTCTTTGACCCCCATTGGCTATAAACTAGTGCCCCATCGCTCACAGGTATAAACTTCCACGCAAAATATGATATTACCTCTCAGTCTAATCATGTTCTTGTCTAGATGCTCCTTGCTCGTCCAGGATCCTGGCACTGGCGACGATCCGAGTTCTGCGAGAGCCCAATCTGGGTCACCAAATACCAGGACCGTCAGCTTTTCCCGGCGGGTGACTACACTAACCAATCTCTTGGAGGGACGGGCATCAAGTCTTGGCTCAGTGGTAGCCGCGACAAGGTCCGTAACGAGGACATCGTTATTTGGCACACCTATGGATTTACCCATAACCCGCGCGTGGAGGACTTCCCGATCATGCCTGCCGAAATGGCGCAGATTCGACTCAGCCCTTATAACTTTTGCCTTTTCAACCCGACCAACGATGTGCCCCCTTCCACTCAGAAGTTCAACAAGAGCATTGAAATTGAGGAGCCAAAGGCTGAGTCTGGGTCATGCTGCTCGTCCACTGGCAAGAGCCACCTTTGATTTGTTTTTGCTCATGTCTGGAATGTTTAGCACATGTGGTTTTGGAACTCAGTGTCACTATAGAACTCTCGTCTCGAAATAAATGTTGGACTCGAGAGGAATTTCTCTTTTGCAGTGAAATCTTGCTGAGCCGTCTCTTATACCTGCATTGCAGCAGGTTGTTGAGATTTTATAGCTTGTCGATCAGTATTCTGAAATATTACCAACCCGTGCGCGTTTCTTTCATCTTCGTCATCTCGAGGCCAACAGATCCATTGGAGCCAAAGAGTTTCCAAAAATGGCTCCGGTAGGTACACCGAGAAAATAACATGTGACTTACTTTGCAGCACCCTCCTGTTACTAGAAATGGCAGGTCTGCTGTCTCTGCAGAGGTCGAAACTTAGTCCTCGAGGCACTAACCCTCAAATAAAAATGCCACGGAGTCGCCTTTCCAATTCTTGGGGATACAGAAGATCTGTTTTCAATGCTTCCATGGTTAATGACAGCATGCACAACTTTTGAAGATGCTTGCAGACCTTGAATACAAACAACCTTGGAGCATTCCAAGGGGAGATTCTTTTTGGAAGACATGTGATAAGAGCATCCATTTAGAGGGTGATGTATGAGGCCAAATGCAAGAAGAACATATCCATACAGGCGGAATTCAAACACTCGATCTTGCTATGGACCCGAGAATCCTCACTTCCCTTCCATGGCTTCTTGAACCATCTGCATTCTGCCTACAGTAGCCAATCTCGCCTTCCAGTAACAAGATCCGCTGTCTCCAATCGAACCCAATGCGTCTTTTTGGCAATTTTCCAAGAAACCCCTAGCACAATGAACACGATGACGATGATATAGTTCATAAAGAAGTTTTGGACACTCCAAGGAGCAAAAGATGTCCAGCCTTGGAAGAAAACAAAAAAGACTGAAATTCCAAATCCAAGATATGCGCCCCAAGGCCAGGTACCCGTGCGATACGGCAGAACAGACGGAGACATGTTCTGTAGTTGCATAGCCTTACGAAGGCGTATATGACAGAGGCATATTGTTGCCCCTGATGAAAATGTCAGCTGCTGGAAAACATTTCGGATGTAAGTGAAAACTGTACTCACATGTTATGAAAGTAGCAACACCCGTCATGGAAACAACCCAGGTATACACTGCACCTGCACCGGACGAAAGGTTGAGAAGTGATAGAAAGCCAAGGATATGAAATGCCACCAAGGCCACAATGGGTGAGCCATTCTTCAAGGTGTAAAGGAACACTTTGGGTGCCGCACCTTCTTTCGCCAAGCCATACAGAGTTCGCGATCCAACATAGACAGCACTGTTAACGGCCGAGAAAATCGTGACCAGAATGACAGCATTGATGGCATGACCGCCGGCTGTGGCTCCAATGCGGTTAAAAGCGATGACGAAAGGAGAGCTCGCACTCTTTTTGGTAGTCCTTCCCAGGAGGTTTTCATCGTTCCACGGAACGGTAATCGTGAGGAAGAAGACACCTCCTTGGAAGAGGATCACAATTCGATACACGATACTCTTAACAGCTTTGGGGATATCTTTGCTTGGATTGCGAGATTCACCAGCCGTGAGCCCAATCATCTCAGTTCCGCTGTATTGAAGGCCCGCAAACACGAATATTTGAAATACACCCTTGATTTCATCAGCGAAGGGGCCTGGGTCATGGTAGTACTTGAACCCGATATTCTGCCCTCCAATGACACCGGTTGAGATGAGAATCGAACAAAGGAAGAAAGATAGGATAGCAATGATCTTGACGAGAGCAAGCCAGAATTCTGCTTCGCCGAATGCCCAAACACCGAGTAGGGCAAATGACATGAAAATAACCCTATCGCAATATCAGTCTGCGATATAGCGAGCTAGCTTTTAGATTGGAACCATACCAGAAAACCATGATCCATCCCCATCGAGGCATGTCAGTCTCCAAGTTAGAACGAGGCCAAGGTTGTCTTTTAAGATGTCAACAAACATACGACCAGAAAATGACGGGAAAGGTAATACGAACTGTACTCTGCCATGATGATACCCGCCCATAGAAGGAAATAATTCCAGCCCAGAGCAAAACCCCATGCTGGATCAATAAACCTGGCGGAATAATGGGTGAAGGACCCAGAGACGGCGATGAAAGATCCAATCTCACCCAGAGACTGAATCACAAACCACAACAGAATGCCAACAATAGCAAAGCATATGAGCAGGCCGGCAGGGCCGGCAGTCGAGAGACCGGTTCCCATTCCCATAAAGTATCCCGGCCCTATTACACCTCCAATAGCCATCATGACCTATGAAAGTACAATTGTCAGTTTTCCCATTAATAACAAGCAGTAGGCATTGCAATTTAGTAACGCACAAGGTGTCTTTGAGATAGAGCCCGGTTCAGTTGATCCTGTCCCACTTCATGGACTTGGGTTGCTTCAATGGATTTTGCATCATCTCTGCTGTCGGCCATGTCTGCAGTGTCAGGTTTCTTCAATTCTGCCATTGTGTTTTTGTTAAGGCCTACTCGTGAGCGAAATATCCTTCGATCAGAAGCAGACTCGCCGTCTTTTAAAGAATGACAGACTGCCCCGGACTATCTCAAGAGCTTACCAAAATTGGAAATTATGCTTTTAGGTTACTTCAAAACTATAATTTGCTGTGGGGCTGACCCGGCTCATTGACCCGGCTCAACGCAGTGATAGGAATAGGCACAGGAAAGTCTTCAAGTTAGTTAATCGATCGATTGCCGATTGTACATTTCATATTAACCTACTTATGGGGGACGTCCTATTGGACTCATACGTTGTTATCTTTCTCCGCGTTTTGGTGATTACTGAAATGAGCCAGGTCATCTCAAACACTCGGCTATAGGCCCTGTTTGACTCGGCCCTGATGAGCATAATATAAGGCTTGTATACTACTATCACTTCACTTTCACTTCATTTCATTTTCATTTCACTTCACCTTTATTCCATTTCTATTCATATATAACTTCTTCAATAAACTTGCTCTTTTTGTCCTACTATTTATATCCCATCCTACCCTTCTTCCTCTTCTTCTCCTTCTCTCTTCCACACTCCTCCACCTCTCATCCATCTTCTCTCATCCATCTTCTCTCATCCATCTTCTCTCATCCATCTTCTCTCATCCATCTTCTCTCATCCATCTTCTCTCATCCATCTTCTCTCATCCATCTTCTCTCATCCATCTTCTCTCATCCATCTTCTCTCATCCATCTTCTCTCATCCATCTTCTCTCATCCATCTTCTCTCATCCATCTTCTCTCATCCATCTTCTCTCATCCATCTTCTCTCATCCATCTTCTCTCATCCATCTTCTCTCATCCATCTTCTCTCATCCATCTTCTCTCATCCATCTTCCAATGGGGACATCAAAACTAACAGGCGCCCAATTGGCAAAGACGTGGTTATCAGGCCATACAGCCTGGCATTATGTCCGGTCTTCCACGATTACCCCATTTAAGACTGCCAGAGCCGAAAAAGGAAGTGGCTCAAGCAGGTGCGAGAGTTGCGCGTGGCAGGACGTTCAACCTTCGATGTTCTCGATGAATGGATGAATCCAAATCATCCAAACTCGCGACATGCTAGCTACAGATGAGGCTAGAAGGATCATCGCCGCACACCGATCTCTACCAGCAATGGTCAATCAGTACCGCGAATCAGAGGCAAGCGTGCGCAATCTGATCGATGCGGACAAGGATCAATCAGCTCGTTCGTTTTGCAACAAGATGTTCGATATGGCCAAATTTCCATCAGACGACCGCGTGTACCGCAAGCGATAATCCTTCTGTTCTACAAGATTCTTTCTTTTGATTCACAGAACTTAGTGGAATAAAAAAGTCACCATTATGACGAACTGGTCCTATATGCAATAATTGTAGTGTGTTAAACCTGGCCCTATATAATGGAGCGCAGTTCCAAGTTGTCGGTCTTGGAATCCTGGTCTTTTGCCCTGGCGCAGTGGATTAGGGTCTGGAATGCGCCCCAGGCCTGCTCCCGACGTACTTCCAGATGCCAGTCTTAGAATCCTGATCTGTTGCATTGGGATGGAGTTTAGGATGCATCTCAGGCTTATCCTACCACAATATCGTACCTGCTTGATGGATTGTACCTGCCTGAACAATCGGCTCTTGCTTGATCAGAGGCCCTCATCCCCCCTCATTCAGATACTCCTTTTACAACTTTCACACACTGGAGCAGTTATATCCTCAGCTGTTTCCATCTCAATTGTTGCATGAATAATGCCACAGTACCGTCGAGCAGTCGCCATCCCCCGTCGAACCGCTTCACGATTCACGCTTCTCTACCGCTGAGCAGTCTTGGTCTTCTCGAACCACTGCGAGGTCCATCCACATCTCTTTACACTTTCGAGCAGTCCTAGTTCCCCTCGTCGAACCGCTTCGCGGACCACACCTCTCCACGCCATCGAACAACCCCAGTCCCTCCCCCCTCTGCTACCGTGAGCGTCCTCATTACCGCTAGCCCTCAAACAACCCCCATGAATTGAACGGCTCATCTTCATATTGTATACAACCTCTTTCATCTACATACAACCGTGACGAGATCGTGGCACGTCGGAGCACGATGGAACCCGCAATGCAATTTAAGATGGCCGGGGGATTGTTTGGAGTGAGAAAGGGTTTGGAAGGTGCGTCGGCCGCTCCTTCCTGGTTTGAGATTTCTTGTTTTCTTCTGTAGACCCAGTCTAGTGACTATAGTAGGTGCATTAGTTAGTGTATACACCACCGAAGGTGGTGTGTGCAGTATACTTATGCAGTGTATTACTACATGTAGGTATTGCAATGAGAAAACCGCACCACATCTCATATACGCCACTGTGTGTAGTTTTGGCAGCTTTTGCTCGATCCCATGTCTGACAATCCAAGCATCCTACACCTCTTTGAAGGACAGCATCTATTTCTTATTCCGGCGTTGTGGGGCCTGCTTAGCGGCCACGATCCCCGTCGAGCACTGAGCACCCCTGTCGTCTTGTCTGTGATGTCAGACCGCCAGCGCGCTCTTCCCATTTCATCGTATACACTACCTTCAGTGCCCAGGTGGTGTATGTGCGTAGCGGTAGACCATATACAATAACTAGTATAAGCTTCGCATACTGGATACATTGTTTCTGGTACTCAAACCGTAAACAACTAACCCTAATCCCTTATGTATCGCCACAGAAGTGATAGGCTCTCTTGAACTAGGGTCAGAACATCCAGTAGAACTTGGTATAAACAACAGTAGATTTGATGTACAGCATGAGATGCAACCCGTAGACAGTTAACCCTAATGCCTTACACACGCTACACTGGTGATGCTCCCTACAAAAAGCGAGTGATGTCTAATGTGATCCTAAAGATAAATACTAGCAGATTTGATATAGAGTATAAGGAGATCCAATCCATAAACAACCAGCCCTAATCCCTTATATAGCACCACCATATCCCTACTTCTTATACAGGATCAGTCTTCGGTCGATCCTGGCGGCAATCACCTGATCGCAAGACAGCACGAAGTATCAATCAAGTGAAAACAATAACCTTGGAATTACAATTAAATTCTTAACATGAATAGTCGTTTATATATTCCAAGGTTGCTTCTAATATGTAGGGGAACACTGGTTCTATATGCTGTTAGCCGCCAAATACCTGTACAACCACTCGCGCTGGGATCCCCGGGGAGATTCCTCAGGTCCACCAACCCCTGAGACCCCACCGGCGCTGGTGGACACTGGACATGGATGCAACGGAGGAAAAAAAAAGCTGGAACAGAGATATGCTTAATCTGACTCCAGATGGGGGCACCCACCCCCCTTACCACGAGGTCATCGGGGCCCTCTACGGAGTACACAGGCCCACAACGCTATCCTGATAACAGTCGCATCCCGGACATGTATTTCCAGAACCCCTATTAACGTTTGATAGTGTACTCCGTACGTAGTATCCAAAGTCTATACGCCACGATAGTCACTAGGATTATCGAAAAGTCAAAGTGAGAAACTTTGGTCCAACCACGTTAGCCGACTTTGCCATTCCGACGTAGCTGGAACAATAATGCGTCGAACTCTCCAAACGCGGTTGGGGTTCCCGCGGTTGCTTACTCGTATTGCTCGCAGTCCGATCGTCACTGTCAGGGGCTGCGAGTGGATTGCCGAGAAAAGATTGCAGCAGGAACAGCCGGTGATCGGCAGCTTTGTATCATGAAGAATTGGACCGGAGTACAAGGGACTACCATCTACGTGGAATAACTTTAACATCAATGATCCTAATACTCCAAAGGACTTGACTGACAGGATTGGCGGTCAGTACCATGGACGTTTGGGGAAGTTGAATTTGCAAAAAATGCCAAGTGGCTGTTTTGGTCGGGGGAAGCCGAGTTTACAATACCGTACGTGCCGATTCGGGAAACCCATTTTGCCTTTTTCCCAAATGGTGTTACTAATGCAAAATACGAATGGTGTTGCCATAATGTCCTTCACGCTGTTCAAATTCCTCAATGTCAGCTGCAAACAGCCAAATAAAAGAATCCATGGATTTGGTTTTACAGTCAAAATAACTTCATCCTCGTCCAGCGGTAGCGAGGTGGCCAGCGTCATCAAACAAGTCACGAATCATACTTCAAATCTTCACCCGAAACCAATGACGTGGCCGACCAGGGGAAAAGATCCCTCGGTACACATTGGTGTTTTCCAAGGCTACGGTTACAGCGAGTCGTGGTTCTAAATAGAAAGTGAAGGAAAGGTACTACAGACAAGAAACAGATATGAATAGAATGTGTTCCTGAACTGTCAAGATTAGCCACAGTACCCATAACCCATACCCATATATCTAGAAAGATCCACAGAACACATGGGAACCTGGAGAAAATGGAGAATTGACTCCCATGTCACCACTCTGACATGGTCAAACATCCCCAAAGTCAATTCCGCCCAAAACTTTCTCCCCAATGCTATTACCATATTACTCCGTATATTCAATATCAACGATCTCCGAGGGACCTTGCGAAAAAAAGAACGCTACGCCTTTCTGGGCCTCGACCACAGGAATCGGCAGCCTATGAGGTCGGTGGCGGCACGATCCTCTCGCTGGAGCCTGCGCGGTCCCAGTGATTGGCTGCTTTGCGTCCTGAAACTCGGCGATCCGGACTTGGCTCCAGCGGTGTTTCCGGCCTGTGCCGGGAGCGCTGCCTTCCATCGGATGTTGACGATGGCTACGTTGGGCAGGTTGGCCCGTCGGAACTATAGATCATATGAATTGAGATTCTTGTTATATTTTTCAGGGGTGCATTTCCCCCCTGGAATCAACAGCTACACGCTCATTCCTCTATATCAATACCATTCTGATATTCATTCCACGTGAGATCCTATCAGTTCGGCAGCGATGGGGACTGGGGCGGGATCTACGCGATCTTGCGCGCGCTATGTTTTTTTTCCTCTCCGAAACTTGCTAGTACAGTGTACTCCGTACCTAAGCAAACGTAAATTTTAGCCTTATTGGCGGGCCCATCTCTGTCGGCAGTGGATTTCCCTGTAAATCGACCTTTGCAATAGGCCAAGCTTTTGCATGGAAAAAGAAAATACAAGATCTCTAGCCCCTCCGTACGGAGTACGGAGTACTCCGTACTTGTATGTATGTTGTGCTACTACCGCGTTGTGGGAGTTAACTATCGACCAACGACAATAGTGCTGGTACCTGAGCATCCGGCATGTGTCGTCCCAAATTCCGACTGACAGCCCCTGATCGGATCCAAAATTTAGAGACGGTACGAGTAAAAGCCTCACCGTACTTTGCGAACCATTTCGGGGAATGGAGTGGGGTCTTAATTCCCGGCTTTGATGCCGAGTCGAGTATTTTGCACTTTCTCAGACCGAACCGCCATGTTGAATCACACCGCGTTCGAACTTTTTCACCAGCGCAAGCCACAAAATTCTAATGAATAATGAATTCCTGGAATATATGCTGGGAGAGACGTGGTCTGCAACTTACTTCATTTTAATAACATGGTACATGCATCGCTAGTCCATATACTTTTCGTCGCGTGATACACAGTATGAAAGAACCGGTACTTGTACTTAATACACAAGTACACATACCGAGGTGAGACAAATTGGAAGGTCAAGCGAGCAAATGGCCTGCCCGTTCGGTCGTAGCTTAGAATTGGATTCATTCTCGCCCCTTGGCGGAATTCCCATTAAAGAATTATCGTGAAGGCATTTTGCATATGCAAATATTACGGTGGGAAAAAAACAGGTGGGATCAGGTGGTCAGATCAATAATTTCTGCAGAACCCTGGTCGAAGCCTTTCAGGTCCACAATCGAAGCGGGAGAAGCTCTTGCGAAGGGGTGGAGAAGGAGGGGCAGGGATGTTAGGACCGGAATACACAGATTATCTCCGTACAAGATACAGATGTACAATGTACAGATGAGCATCTTGCATAGAGTTTGTTCATGAACTTACACTGAGCCAAGTTCGGAGTATACCATCCCCTGTGCATAAGTACAGGGTACCAAGGCATGAACTCCATAGTGCCGTACTGCCGTTCTCCCGTATCAGATCGGCTAAATATATACAACCCCTCAGACCACGTAGTCGATGACTTGCGGATCTGAAACCCAAGTCATGTTATTAATGCGACTCGGTCGAGATCTCGAGTGCTCTGTAAGCCCAGCCTTTGTCAGAAGTAGCCACGTCCAATAGGGGAACCCCCCTGAATGCCAATTCCGTCTAGAGCATTCTTAGGCGATTGAAACCGGTACCGATTTACATAGGCGGCAATGGCAGGGGGAACAATCAGACCTGGCCTATTAATGGGCCTGTTCTTGTTTCATCTATGAAACTGCGCACTGCGAGCGCGGAAACAGCAGGCGGCTACGGCGCACACTAAAGTATGTAGGGCAACTTACAGGACATCGCCAGGCGGCCTGAGAACCAGCCACCTTTGGAGATGTGCCATGTCCTTCCGGGCTGCATGCAAGTGTGAGGGGTTGGGGGATGCAGGCCTTGCTATCACGGAGCTCGATGTGACGGGCCTCACCTCGGACCTCGAGATGACGTGCTTGAGAGAGCAAGGCAGAAACCGGAGTGTCTAAGCTGATGGCCAGCTGTTCAAAGCGGGCATTCTCCAAAAACACTGTACCCCCAAGTACATTATAATGTACAAGGTAGGAAATGATGAAGTTTGAGATCGCTATCTCATGTCACCTGCGGGGCTGTCAGCCACTGCGGAGCCCAACAAAGGGAGCCCGCTGGAGGGGAGCCAGGGTCATAATCCACTCGAGGGTTCCATCAAAAGTCAGATCGATTCTCACATATCAAACCCGCATTGAATCTATTTCATGTACTCCAGACAGCTTACTTTTTTTTTACTGAGGCTCACACATAGCTCCCGGTCGGTTAAATTTCCGGTAACCGCCGTGATCGGAGGCATCTGGCGAAGAATTGGGTCCTGAATGCCGGTAGTTTTTGTATAACTACTCCGTAACTCTTCGCACATCTGGGTCCCTCAAATATCAATCTGATAAGTGATGGGAGTTTACTCCTATTGCTTATGGCTCCTAACCTCGGGGCTTTATTATCATCCGGGTCGCAACGTCATCGCCGGACGCGTAGGGAAGTGTAAATATGAGATGTCCGCTTGCATTGCGGGAAAATCGAACAATTGAAATACCTACTATTTCCTAAAGTAGAGACAAACCTAATAGCAGCATCAGCATAATATAGACTGTCCAAACTAAACTGACTCTAATATACTACCGCTATCGGGCTGTCTGAGTTCGGACGACCGCCGTGAAAAGCCAAAAAAATCGAAAAAAAGGACGGAAATTTCAATACGAAAAATACAATACACTCCAATATTGGGTAATTTTCGCTCTTTTTTTAAAAAAAATTTTTATTTTACGCAGCCATTTTTTTCCCTCGCCTCTTGCCTCCCCCGAACGATCGTCTTTTCTATTTCACTCCAACCCGGTCTTCCGCCTTTTCTTTCTTTCTATCTTACCCTTTACCACGTTGCAATTCTTTATTGGTCTTGCGATTGCTCTTTCGAATTGAAAAGACACCCTTGACGCGAAGCAGATCTCGGACTAGTTGTTTTCTGCGAGAGACCCACTTACACGCCCGCTTCTTCGGTGGATACAGAACCATCGACGCTGACAACGTGCGGTACGGATAAATCACCACACTTCTTCTGGTGGGTGGCCGTGGGGAATCTCTTTCAATTAAGCATTCTTCTCTTTTTCTTTCCTTGACCTCTCTGCCATCGTTGTGTGGAGCAAGTGAATTGGTGACCTTCGCCACTACTGCCTCGGGAAAAATTTCATCAAACAAGGAGCTTGGCTTCGAGGGAAAAAAAAAAACTTCAGAGAGAGCGCGCAAATTTCAACACCCCCCAAAAAGTTCGATGATTGAGTTACCGTGAACAACTTCCCTTCTTCAAACAATCTTCTCTGCCACAATGGATCCCAGATCTCACCCTTCCCGTCCTCCCTCCACCAACAGCCTGCCACCAGGCTCCACGCCCATGTCCTCGACTCCCATCTCGAGCATGCACATGCCACAATACTCGATGCAGCCTCAGTATCCGGTCTCGCAGCCGCATACCCTGCCTCCCCTCCAGCCTCACCACGCTCAGTCGCCCGCGCCTCACCACTACATGGGTCAGCCGTACCGGCCCGATCTGTCGCGGTACCCTCCGTCAACTCACGATGTCTACGGGGCCTCTCAGGCCCCTATGATGCCGCACACGACTGTCGGTAGCCTTCCGCCATCGTCTATGTTGAACCTTCCTAACCCTCAAACACAGGCGCACCAGCAGTACCCCCCTCCCCCTCCGAGTGTGCTTCCGCCCGCATCCACCGCTCAGAGCTACCCCCAGCCCATCGCCCCGGCACCCCCACGCGACCGTCGTCCGGATTTCAATGGTCTTCCCTCCGGTGCCTTTAGTTACTCCGATGGCACCAAGGGTTGGGGTATGACTCCTGATGTGAATGGCGCGAATGGCTCCCCCTACGCGAAGGAACAGCCACGCACGCAGGTCGTGGGCTCTCAGGGCCGCCGTGGCATCCTGCCGAGTGTCCCGGGCCGCGCGACTCCGGTCACCAACGGCGTCAATGGCTCCGCAAAGAGCACCACCATCCCCGCCAAGGACGCGGATGGAAAATTCCCTTGCCCGCACTGCAATAAGACTTACCTCCACGCGAAACACCTGAAGCGCCATCTCCTGCGACGTGAGTAAACAATCGTTGGAAGAAGTTCTCTACTAATCGACGCGTCATTCAGACACCGGTGACCGCCCCTACATGTGTGTTCTCTGCAAGGATACCTTCTCCCGCAGTGACATCTTGAAACGTCACTTCCAAAAGTGCTCGATCCGACGTGGTAACCCCACCGGTGCGACTCACCTGTCCCACCCCCAGGCCCACTTGAAGAGGTCTCAGCAGCAAGCAGCTGCGGCTGCCGCGGCAAACCCCCAAAAGCCGCTTCAGGATGAAGTCAGTAACCCTGTCCCCCACTCCAATGGCGTTATGGGTACGCAATTCGATGGGGCCGTGAATGGCAACGGGATGGCCAATGGCCGCCCAAGCTACACGGAGCAGCAGCCGCTAAGCTTCACGATGCAGCCTGTCAACGGCATGAACGGTCGTCCTGGTGATGACGCGTTCTCCGCTGGCCAGGCGCACGCGAGAGCCTCGTGGATGGCTGCACCCAAGCAGAATCCGTATCTCATGCAGCCTGGTGTCGATGCCCATGGCCAGCAGCTGACGGTTGATCGTCCTATCGAACAGGTAAAGCCCCTGGTCCATCTTGACCACAAGCCAGCTATGCATGGCCCCCCTTCACATCAGCCGGGTGTTGACTGGAATTCGGTCTTTCAGCACGGTCCCTCCGACGGTTACATCAACCCCGTTTTCCCCCACTCCATGGCAGCCGGCCAGGAACCGATCCACGCCCCCGTTGACCACGACCGCAAGTTCTACCCCGCTTCCACCGGCCCAGAGAACGGCATGAACGGACTGTACCTTGCTTCGAATACGTTGAACGGCGACGGTTAGTCAGGATGTGAAATCTCTGCGAATCATTCTAACTTCTTCCAGGCAGCGTGCAGCCCGCGAGGCAGTAATGGACTAGGACACGAGACTAAAAGCGAATTCTGCATGGCAAGATAATCTGACCAGGTTTTTTCTTCTCTCATGCACGCCGCGGACTATTGTTCTCCGCCCGCTCTTTCATTCTAGGCCCTTCGTCCATAGCTTCTACTGGACCAAACCCAGTCGCGATGTCTCCGCCTGCGCAGTCTGATCTGCTCCTCCGAGCCGGTGTTTCTGCCGACATCTCTGATCCGGCTTTGTTTCAATATCTCTTTGATCAATTTCTTTTCTCTTCTTCCGATCCCATCTGGTGTGGGTGTGCTATTCTTGACCAGTGCGAGACTTTGATTTATCTCTACATCCTCCCCTCGAGGGGCAGATGGTATGGCGGGTGGTTTCTTCGGCGTCCACACAATAGACAAGGGCATTTGTTCATCTTTTATGCGATTTTTCCGACGAAAAGCACTTATCTTTGATGGGAAGGCTGCTCTCGAGGTCCTTTACTTGCAGTTCTTACCTTGTGCTTTTATATCTTTGATCTTTCTTTCTGCTTGTTTTCTGTCTTGGGTGTGTGTATTGCATGGCCTCTGTAAAGTTGGCATGGCACAAACATATGTGTGCTTTTGGGTTGTGATTTAGGGTGTTCTGTTGAGGGTGTACTGGAAAAGCAGCTAGAAATAGACTTACGATTAACCCGAGTGGATTTCCAGTAGACTATTTCCAGGGCTTATATGCGGGGAACGGAGAAAAGGAAAGGATTCCGGAATTTCCCTTCACAACGTCATGTCCATAATCCACCGCTTATGATTGGAGCAACTCCGGCATCGGCAACTCCCAAGGTTGAACTCGGGATCTCACATATCTTCAAATCTCCCCTTCCCCGCCGTTTCCCCATATCATCTCCACCATGTCCAACATGTCCAACATGTCCAGCAACCGTCCATTCCTCTCCAACTTCCTCGCGGCCTTTCGCGCCCAATCAACCTACAAATCCACACAGGTCCAACAAGTAGGCTCGCAAATCTCTCCACAGATCTCCAGCCGCGCCATCGCATCAAAAGCCCAGCCCAGCTCGTCCACTGCCTCTACCTCTGCCTCGGCGACTGCCACACAGCACACACACACTGCCACGCAGGGCTCCGCTCAAACATCCAACCACTACCACGCTGAATCCTCTCCGCCACCCTCCGCCTCCTCAAACCCCATCCCGATCAACAGGGGCCCCGCTGATCGCCAGCGCCGCGGGAGTGACTCCTCCAGTGGGTCGGGTGGATTCCGAGACGCCATCGGGCCTGAGAAGTGGTATATCGGTGGCCGCACGCCCGCCGGCGAAGAGCGCTTCTACCGTCTCGGCATGGTTACCAAGGGTGGTGGTCGGCTCGGCGGCTCTGGGAGGGTAGGGAGCATCGACCAGCTGAGTCTCTAGATTGGACTGAAACTGGGAGGGGCCTCTTGGCTTCTGGTTCTGGGTCTGATTCTGACCCGGGTTTATGATTATCATGTCTTCTGTTTGCTCTCGGCGCATGGCATTTACGGCGTCGATGGGGCGTTTCCTCGATCTATCTTTGATTTTTTTTTTCTTTCTGGGTGAACCGATTTGGGGACCTTGATTGCAGGCTTTCATACAGGAATGCCTTAAAAAGACATACATCTTACATCTTTTCTTTCTGTTGTGGCCTGTGGGGCCGACTTGCTCTCTCCTCTCTTGTCTATTATTCTGTCTATTGATACTTCGGAACTTACTCGAATCTGGATATTAGGCAATCTCACATGCTGAACAATGAACCTTCTTACATTAACAGATATCAAGCACATGCTTGGGAGCCACTGCGAAGAGATGTAGGGGGGTTAAGACAACAGAGAAGACCCGTCTTAAGGTTGACTACGTACACCTAGTTGCTCTAGCCTCGGTGTTACAATCGAGTTGATTCTCTAATCCTGTCTGAATCACATAACCTGCTGCGTGACACAATGCAGCACACCCCCAGTCCTCGGCAGCGCATTGACATCAACCTGCTTCACCTCCCTCTCCGGGACAAGGCTCTTGATCAATTCAAACGCCTTGGTGTCCGCCTCGACATCCCCAAATGCAGGCATTACCAATCCGCCATTAACAAAGTAAAAGTTGACATAGGAAGCCGCCGGTGCATCCTCCTCGCCGGGAAGCTGACCCATCACCAGCTTGGGATCCGGCTCGACGACATCATGAACCTCGAACCTGCGTCCGCGCGCATCCGTAGACTTCTCCAGAACCGCCCGGATCTCGTTGTAAATCTCCCAATGCACCCCTTCAACATCGCCATGCGGCCGGCAAACAACCACAACTCCAGGTCGAATAAACCTCGCCTCGGCATCGATGTGCACATCCGTGACATCCAGTCCAATTCGACCAGGGAACCACACGAATGCACTCACGCCAAGCAGCCTCTTCAGCTCATCCTCAACCTCGGCCTTGCTGAGCCCTGGATTGCGCGCATCGCCGATAATGCTACTCTCCGTCGCCATAAACGTGCCCTCGCCGTCAATCTCGATACCGCCCCCCTCGAGCTTGAGATGCGTTTGCACGCGCGTAACAGGAGAACGCGCAGTTTCATTCTCAATCTCCAGCACCGTACTCGCAAACGCCGTATTCTCCATCTGGGCTGCAATATCCATTACCGGCCAGTCGGCATGCTGAGGTGAATTTTGCAGGGCAGTCGCTGCAGCAGGCGAGTTGGCGGCGCCGTAGATCCGCTCGGTAGTCTTGTGGCCCCATTCGCAGAACTGAAAATCGATGGCGTAGCGGGTTTTGTCTGCTTCGTCGGCGCTGCGCACGTACACGGGTCCGGTGTCGCGGATCCAGCAGTGGTTTGTCGGTGCGGGGACTAATGTGATATTTGCCAGGTGGGGTTCTGGCGTGGATGCTTTGCGCTCGGATAGCAGGGCTTGTGCGCTGGAGAGATCTTCTGGTCTTGTGTGCAGGCGGACGGGCTCAAAGGCGGCGATTGTGGTCGCGAGGCTTATGATCTCATTTCTGGTCTTGAGGTGGAGCTCCGGGAAAGTGGAGCGGGCGGAGGGGAAGCTGAGGAGTGTTGCGATGTGTGGACTTGTCTCTGATGGACAGATGTATCGCTTGATTTTGTCCATGTTTTGCTCTTCGCGTTGCTTGATGTGCCAGAGGTTGTTGGTTGGAGGCATTGTGGGGGTCAATGATGAACAGTCGAGATATCAAATGTTTGGGGTTGAGACAACGGGAAAGACCCGGGGTCAATAAGACTAATAGTCCAATTAGATCACATGCGCTCGAGTTGTGATACAAGAATGATCCTTGTCGGAGGTTATACTTACAGTACGATGGACGAGATTGAGAAAGAAGAGAGAAAAGTCCAAGTGACTTGAGGCTTTTATGTTCAAGAATCAAATACCAAGATGGTGAATAGAAGGAGAGAGACAGATGAGGTCAAAGTCGAGAGTGACGAAAGTAGTCAATCGACAGAGAACATTTGAGTTGCCTAATTGGGATAGTCCAGGCGACCCGATGCTCAACGGCAAACCGAAAAAAAGGGTTGCCTACTTGCGTAACCATCCTTCGATTCAGTTACTTTGCTGCTCTTCGCTCCTTTCATCTTCGTTCTCTCCACTCTCTCCCAGCCATAACATCGGCATCGCAGTGAGGGCTGCCAAAACTCCCAAAGAGCCCGTCATCGCGCCCCACCCGAAACGGTACTCCACAAATCCGCCCCAGAGAGGTCCGAAGAAAACCCCCGCGAACTGGCACATACTCTGCAACCCGAACCCCTGCGCCACTGCGCCTTTGGGGCCCAGTATTCCTGGGCTCTTGAGCTCCATGGTCGTCAGTGCTTGCTGTGTTTCGACATACATGGCTGGCGCGCAGGCGTGGATGAAAATTCCAGTCAGGAATAACAAACAAACTAGGAGGGCGATATGCTCGGTAGAGTTCTTGCCGACAAACCGGAGACATATGAGGGAAGGCGTGAGAAGAACGAAGCAGCCAAAGGAGACGAAGCGACCACCAAATCGGTCCGTGATGAAACCGAATAGCGGCTCGAAGAAGGCGGGGACTGCCATCGGCAGGAAGATTAGCCCCATACCGAGCGCGTTCCAGCCAAATGTCGCTTCAACGAAGATTGGTAGAGTCTATGTGGTCAGCCAGTTATTCATTCTGAAGTTCGCATGAGCATACCGCATCAAAGGCAGAGAGCAACAGTCCCTGGACGAGAAGGGCCCACGATGAGATCAACACCCTGCGTTGTTTAAGCATACGGAACATCACAAGTCCCCTTCTTCTGATCTGTGGCTGCGGTTGAAGCTGCGGTGGTTCAACGCGTGGAACGCGCGAATGCGCCTCCGAATCGGACTCTTCACTTAATCCATCCCACTGAGCAGCGACTTTCTTCTCAACCAGAACAAGCCGCATGACCATGTCCAATGCTAGAATCGGATATGCAAACCAGAAAACTGCATCATATCCACCAGCATTGTAGACAATGCCTCCGAGAAACGGGCCCAGCAGGAACCCCGACGCAATCGCGGACCCCAGGTATCCTATTGTCTGGCCAAGGCGATCTTGCGGTACAGCGTCACCGATGAGGGCAAACGCCGCTACCACTACCAGTGCGCCTGCGATGCCTTGGAAAAGACGTGCGGCGACGAACCCAGCTATCGAATGCGCTAATTGCAAGATTACCATACACCCGGTGAGGACCACCAGTGCCCCGATGAAAGGAAGACGGCGCGTCCGGCCGCGGTCCACCAGATAGCCGAAGATGGGGCACATTAACAACGATGTGCCAGCCTCGCACATGAGAAGAACACTGACCCAATACTCTCCTGATTAGATTGTTAGTCGCAGCAGTGAAATTGGCCTATGGAGCCATACGGTGATTATAGTCGATTCCGGCTCGCGTTACGAGCGCTGTTGGCATGACGGGGACTATCTGTAAACTTGATTCAGGTCCGACTCCTCGGGGAATCACATGGGACTTACCATGGCATACAGTAGGAATTCCTGGTTCATTCAGAAGTCAGTTATGCGCGGACAGATCAGTCTCACATACCGTGAACGTGGACATCCAAACGGCGCCAATGATAAAGCTTGTTGATGATCTAATACTCAACAGCCATGGACGTCGCTTGCGTCTTGTCCTTTTGAACCTTTCAAAGTCACGCATTCTTAGGCGATGTCAAAATCGAGGCTGAAGACTTTCCATCAACAACAACTCACATTGAATATATCTACGCTCACGCGTGTACAATACTTTTTTCGAACAAAGGCAAAACAGATTCTGAAGCTCACTCATTACCGAAGTAGGCAGGTGGAAGCTCTTTGTTAAACAAAGAGCACCCCGTCATCCCACCACGTTTTCAAATCGGCAAGTCTTCGCCCGATCTCCGCTCACTTCACATCTCTCCCGCCCAATCAATAGCCATAATGAAGGCTTATACGAGGCAGGGCTTGAAACTGGTGCACTGCATACAAGATTCGTCAGATCGACGTTGCAGGCATGGCATCAGCCTCGACCTCCGATTCGAGGATTTCCAATCAGACTGGAGATCGGGCTTCTTGGCAATCCTCCTTGGAAGCGTTTCTATACTTGACTTCCTTGTTTGGTCCATTGAGCTGAAACGCAACTCTTCATCTGACCTGGATTATGCTACTTCGTCGTTGTCGATGCTTGGCTTATATGCTTCATTGGATAATACAGTGCTCTAACTTGGTTATTTTTAGTGCCAAGGAACCGGTTCACAAAGCAATACTGTCTTTGTGAAATACCATCCTGGTTTCCACTTTGGTGATATCCTGCTTTAAGCCTGCACGACGTGGCGAGGCGGCTGATCCCATGAGATGTCTCGGGTCGTACTGCAACTTGCCTCGGGATGAGTTGGTCAAACGAGGACCATGTGAGCGCGGGATTGGTCGTTATTGAAACCTATATATGCTGTAAACGGACGGGCCACGCATCTCCAGCGCGTACGGACGTATTTTCCGTGTGTGCTGAGGCTCTTTCACCGCCGGTCGTAATTTGAAATATTTCCTGAGTTCTGGACTTTGTCGGTATCATGTAGAGATCACCCAGGTCCGCCTCAGGGATCCTGGTATATGTGGGAGATATATATTGCCATTGCTCTTGACAAATTCCATACCGCGCGCAAGATGACGGCGAATCATCAGACTTCAAGGTTTATGTCGGAGGTTTGCAGACACTACACATGACCGAGATACCAAACGATCTCACGTTCTGAGCAGTAGCCAAGATGGCATTTCCTCGTGCTGTACCACCTTGTCGCTCGTAGTAAGCAGTGAGCGAAACGGCGCAGCCCTCCGCAGTGGAGGTCGCCGGGCTGTGGAGTTCGGGATCTCAGAGGTCAGACATCAGCCCATGAGCAAAGCCCACAAGGGATTTGACTTGAAGGTCTTAATGCTCGGACGTCGGAAATTCGGGATCCGGACACGGAAAATTGCTGCACGTTGATCTCCACATTGCGGCTCATCCGAATTCTGGGGAAGAAAAGACTGCATTCCTCTCCAAAATGAATAATAAGCCTTAGAGAAGGTGAGGGCCAGTGACCAGTGAGTGTCCAAAGAGCTAAGAGTGCTATGACCCAGTCAGACCATACGAAGCTATCAGCGATAAGATCGGGATTTGAGGCAAGTGGGCGGTCACCCGCGGCCATCGGAGGCCGCCGATGCTTCTACATTTCTATTCCACATCCACATATATAAGTCTGCTGGCAGCTGAATCTCTTCAATACAAGTTTCTAATAAGTTCTCTCTCTCCTTACGATCCCTCTTATATTCTCTCCCATAAATCCATCATGTCCGCATTGGCAGCTGCGCGCTACGGCAAGGACAATGTCCGCGTCTACAAGGTGCACCGCGATGAGAAGACCGGTGTCCAGACGGTGGTGGAAATGACTGTCTGCGTCCTTCTGGAGGGTGACATCGAGACCTCGTAAGACCCTCAGCACCCTTATCGCATCGCTGAAGCTAACCGGACTTCCCGCAGCTACACCAAGGCCGATAACAGCGTCGTTGTCGCAACCGACTCAATCAAGAACACAATCTACATCACAGCCAAGCAGAACCCCGTGACTCCTCCGGAGCTGTTCGGTTCAATTCTGGGCACACACTTCATCGAGAAGTATAGCCACATCCACGCGGCGCACGTTGACATCGTGACCCACCGCTGGGAGCGCATGGAAGTCGACGGCAAGCCCCACGCACACTCCTTCACCAAGCCCGGCAGCGAGACCCGCAACACCAAGGTCGATGTCGTAGAAGGCAAGGGTATCGACATCAACTCCTCCATCAACGGGTTGACCGTGCTGAAGAGCACCGGCTCCCAGTTCTGGGGCTTCCTCCGCGATGAGTACACCACACTCAAGGAGACCTGGGATCGCATTCTCAGCACCGACGTCGTGGCCAACTGGCAGTGGCGTCGCTTCGGTGGCCTCGCCGAGGTGAAGGCCCACTTCGAGAAGTTCAATGCTGCCTATGATGCCGCGCGCAACATCACACTCAAGACCTTCGCCGAGGACAACAGCGCCTCGGTCCAGGCGACCATGTATAAGATGGCGGATCTGATCCTCGCTGCTGCGCCCCTGGTAGACACTGTTGAGTATTCGCTGCCCAACAACCACTACTTTGAAATCGGTACGTTTCTAACCCTCCCATCTCAGAATCATTGGACCTGGACTAACGTTTGCGATTGTAGATCTCAGCTGGCACAAGGGCCTTAAGAACACCGGCAAGGATGCCGAGGTTTATGCGCCCCAGTCCAATCCCAACGGTCTTATCAAGTGCACCGTTGGCCGTGCCGGCCAGAAGGCTAAGTTGTAAATGCCCATCGAGTTGGGACTCTTTGGATCGTCGGCGAGCTCCGACAGACGCGCTAGCGCATTTTTTCTTGTGTACATATATCCACCTATACCTCCGGGGCTAGACACCTCAATTGCAATACAGGTACATTGTCTTTGATTCATCAGACCAAATAGAAGCAGACAAATATCAGCAGCAAAATTTTGGTAGTATAGTACGTGGTATATTGATTTTATGTGCTAGAAGTACATTTCAAAAGGAACCATGCTCGAAAGTCGGAAGCTCTAGCCAGTCGACATGGCAGATAATCAAAAGCATCCCAAATGGACTCCGCACCAATGCGCTTTTGCGGTTGGATCATAACATCGCAGGAAATAGAATACAGACAGACAGGACTCTGTCGGAGTCCGTCCAGATAAATGACAGAATAGGAATGGGGAATAGCTCTATGCGGTGGGTTTGGTAGCGGCCACCTTGAACGCCTCCTGAACTTCAGACAGGTTGCCAATCACTGATTGGTTGCCGAACTTGACGATGTTGTCCTTGTACGGGTGGTCGGCGCCCTCGAAAGCTGCGGAATTTATGTTAGCCAGTGCAACAAGAAAAGGATAGCAATAAGCCAAGTTCGAGTCATGACTGATTTCCGGCATCAATGCAAACTTACTCTTCAAACGAGCCAAGCGGGAATCCTGGAGACGGTTCTTGGGCAGCATGCCCTTGACTGCGCGGCGCAGCACTTCACCACCGCCCCATTTAGCGAACATCTGGTCCATCGTCATGCTCTTCAAGCTACCAGGCCGTGTCGTGTGAGTGTAGTACTTCTTCTGGAATCGCTTCTTTCCCGTCGTCTTGAGATCGTGGCATCCAACAACGACCACGTAGTCGCCGCAGTCTGTCGAGGGGTCGTAGATTGGCTTGTTCTTGCCCATGAGGACGAGGGCGATCGACGAGGCCAGGCGGCCGAGAGCACGTTCATCGGATCCGGCGTCGACATAGTGCCATGTGCGCGAGTAGGCGAGACGGGTCTGAGGGATGGGTGGTTAGATTGGGGGTGCACCGGAAGACTCCGCATTGAAGTTATTTACCTTGCCAACGAGTTGCGACATCTTGTATCACGGAGATCGTGCACAGGTTGGGGGGAGTTGGACGGGAAATTAGGGGATTGAGTTCAATTGATGATCTCCAATTATCGTAGAGACCCAGTGCCCAAATCCGAGATAAAGAATGATCTCAGCGTCCTCTGTATCTGGTCGCCCAGCCCGCGTCGAAGTTCTCCGATGGTCATGTGACTGCAAGTCCCGTGTTGCGCTAGCCTTGTTGGGACATATGGTGGACCCGAGGCTACAGCCCTTTACAGACCCGATGCTCAGGTGCCTTGTTACCACTGCACTTATTCGATGGAAATGAATTTTGAAGCTGCTTCAGGTAAGGTAGGTTGCCATATTGATGGAACAGAGATCGCCTCAAGTTAGTACGATTATCTACAATGTACATGTCCCCGGGTCATCTTCTACGGAGTACTCCGTATGCAAACGGAGCTTGGCTAAGATTTTATTTTATTGGCCAACCATCACTTAACTAACTAAATGCCACTATTAATCCAGCGTACTCTCCATTTCTTCAAATCGTTTCGACTTCCTGCGGACCCATATGGGCCAGAAAAGGAATCAAGTAGAGTAAATCTTAGTTTTCACTCGATTTGCCAGCTGATACCGATTTTTTGGGGCAGTCATGTGCCTTCAACCCTTCTCCTACAGCTTCTGCAGCCTTCACCCAACCATATCACTGCGTAAGTTCACATTGCCAGTGAATCAGACATACCTTGCACAGGAGTACAGAGGTCTCCTCGTTCATTGCCAAAAGGGGCTGGTAAATAGGGAAGAAGTCAAGATTTTGGGAACAGCCTCGCATCGCAGGACGAAAACTCTCGAATAGGTTCAAATTGTTGCCAAAGAGTACTTCATACCCCGTACGTAGTTCGGTCATAGTCAGATCCTACCCGAAAGGTCATAGTCTGAACCTAAATGTCTCTTTCCCAAGGTATCACGTGATATGGAGTAAAGAGGGCATCACATGATCTAGCCCTAGCCCTGGCCAATTACATCGCCGTGGGTCCACTTCTAGCGAGCCACACGCCGGGCAACAGTGCATTTTGTGCTCTCTTTCTCTACATCGACAACACACTCCTCCCCACGACAACAAGGGCCATTCTATCCACCATGGCTTCCGTCCCGAGTGTGCAATGCTTCGGCAAGAAGAAGACGGGTACGCTCTCCCCTTTTTGAAATCCCCAAGACTCGTGGAACCCGTGCGCTGACATGTTTAATTTTCAATAGCCACCGCTGTCGCCCACTGCAAGGTATGATGACGCCTACACCCACCATCGATCCCAATACGTTGTTTCGGAATATCTGGAAGGAAATCAGTGGAAGGAATTGTGCAACGGAATGAGAAAGCCGGACGTCGAAATTGAATTTTGGAAGGATATACACGAAACAACGCATTGCGCGATCGGGGGTGGAAATCAGACACGTTCACGAAAGGCAGCATACTGAGACTATTTACAGCAAGGCAAGGGCCTCGTCAAGGTTAACGGCCAGCCCCTCTCCCTGGTCCAGCCCGAGATCCTCCGCTTCAAGGTACGCACAATCGCTCCTGCAACACTCCGCAACGCCGAACGAAACATCGATTCGCACATCGCAAACAGCCGGCTAGGAGGAAATGAATGCTGGCCATGATTCTGACGATCAAAATTTATAGGTCTACGAGCCCCTCCTGATTGTCGGTGTTGACAAGTTCGCTGGCGTCGACATCCGTGTCCGCGTCACCGGTGGTGGTCACACTTCCCAGGTTTACGCCATCCGTCAGGCCATCGCCAAGTCCATCGTCGCCTACTACCAGAAGTACGTCGATGAGCACTCCAAGAACCAGCTCAAGCAGGCTCTTGCTCAGTACGACCGCACACTCCTGGTTGCCGACAACCGTCGCACCGAGCCCAAGAAGTTCGGTGGTCGCGGTGCTCGCTCCCGCTACCAGAAGTCTTACCGTTAAATTTTTCTTCTCTCTTATACCTTGTTACGTGGCGAAAGGGAAAAAGAAAAGTTTACAACGGCAACGAGAAGGAAGTGGAACATGTCTGTCTCCGTCTGTTTTTTTATCACGACTCATTTCCATGACTTCTTGGTGGACTCGGGACTTTGGGAGGTGCCGGGGTTGATGTGTATTGAGCGGTTTTTGATCGGTAAAACTGTTCATGCATGAGATCAGAGGACCGGGCTAGAGGTCTTGATGATAATGGCCTCTAGTTGTTGTTCGGTGCCTTGTGTTGAGGATGGATATCCTATGTTTTTCACTGGCGCTGTTCTGCACGGCTGGAAAAAATACCTAGCATAGCCAGGAAAATCTACTCAATGATACTGGGTTTTATCTTGTTCAATTTTTGTGTTTGGAGCTATAACTATTAATCTTGCTCTATGAACTCGAGTACGGAGTACATGTTTTTGCTTTGAGGCCTGACCTTGAATTACTGACCTGCCCGAACCTTGAGTAGACGAAGTATCGAAACCTTCAGTTTGACCCCAGTCCCTCGATGCCGAGCTTTCTATCGTGTACTATGCAGCAACCTTGAAGGATCCTACACAGGACCAAGCCAAGAGGAGCCGGCAATATTAGACCGCGCCATGAGGCACCCTTCGATTCCTCCATTGTCATTTCTACCATTGAAAATCTTCCACAACGCCACACAGCACCATTGATAGCGTGTGTTTGTTCGCTTTAAATGGTCAGAAACCATCGTTCACATATACTTACTGCCAGAGCTGGTGCACCAGGGTCCAGCATCAGAGTTTATTCCAAGGCTGAACACAATGTGAAGTGCATAGTGCATCAAAAGCTGAGCGAATCAACTGCATCAAGATCTTTCTGTCAAACGATTCAACTGCCTCTCTGCCAGACCAACATCACTCACTGGCCCCATATCCTTCTCAGAATGCTACGCAGGCCACATCCAGCACCTGGGAGTCATCAATTCTGTCAACCATCAAATCTCTTCCCTCGTTCTGACTTCCCTGTAACCTCGCTCATAAGCAGGTACATACATTCCTGGGCCACCGAGCTTTTCCAGTCATGAAATTGAATGTCAAGTGGCATCATAATCTCTTATTCAGTGCTTCTTGCAATGGCGCGAAACCGAACCAAGAAGAAGCCTGCCAAGTCCAAGACAAGCCCTAGCGAGCAGAGAGGAGCAAAGGCGAGCAAAATGAGGATCGAGGTCCTAGATGACATCGAGCGAAGCAACCAGCAGCGATGAAGCTTTGTTGAAGAAGACCAACAGTACACCTTGGGAATCCCTCATCACTACCAAAGCCATCGATCAAACACGACTCCAGTTGAAGGAGTGGTTGCTAACTCTGCCTTAATGGGAAGAAATATGGAGACCTATACGAAATGAAGAGCTTGGTTTGGGACTGCGATGAACGAGTCCTCTCGCACAATGATCTTGATCCTCTGAAGCCGGGAGATGCCGTTGGCACGTTACGTCTCAATGACCAGGGTGTCGCAAAGGCGCTGATTGTCTCGAAGCCAAGCGGGTAGTCCTCATCAACTTCTCTCCCATCTAGCCGAAGCTCCAGGCGCTTTGAGATCTTCCTGAAGTGTTGGCTCATCCAATGATGCCATTGAAGGTCCTGAACCGGTCTAATGTCTTCTGATTGACATAGAATGCCACTCAATTTACCAAGCTCTTGTGCTCATGTGAAATCAGAGTAGCTTAATGAGACGAAACCTGCTACAGGGCTGTAAAAGTTGTCAAGCTATTCTTTTCCATGATAAAGCCATCAGCGCCCGTGGACCTGCGTGCGATCACCTGGTTTATTCGCTTCATTCCACAAAAACTATTACCCAGACGGAAATCTGGATATATCACTCAAATGTCCTAACATTTCGAGTGGTGATGCATAGAGAGCCCTGTGTGAACTTGCAAGTAGCAGCATGATATAAGAACAAACCCTTGGAAGCCTTGGAAGCTCCCAATATCTTGGTTCATGAATTTCGTGTGACAACATCTGTACTAAGCTTAATGAATGTGAATTTAGAACAGGCAGGCCGTGAAAGGACATCCCTACTGAATGTACATCCGATATCTTGATTTTGGCGCAATCTATATGATACAGCCTTTATATATGAGCCACTCCAATGAGATTCAGGCGCCTAAATGGGCGTTCAAAATGAAATGAAAATGAGTGATCTGAATGAAGAAGCTCTGGAGGGAACCTGCATATGGAAACAGAGCTTGTAAATTCAGTGCCGCTTGCCGTGGAAGTAACCAGTTCATGGCTAAAGCCTATGATCTGCCCAGATGGCTCTTTCATCGGCATTCTCTCTAGCTCATAATGACACATAGTTGGAAATTCTACAAGCTATGTTGAAAAATCCAAGACTTTCCTAAATTAGGGCACGATATTGCCGCCTGAGGCAGAAGCAATTAGACAATCTGACATAATAAAATCTGCTGGCCAATCCGCACGGACGCGATTCTACGCGTTGGGTCGCGTACCTGGATTAATTACGCGCCGCTTTCCTCGCCCTTTCTTCCCCGCAACAATTATCGATTCAATTCGGTTTTCTCTGCCCACATCCATCGAATCGCTGGGCAGTGGTCTCTAATACAAATCGCAATGCCTACAAAGGCCGAGAGATTGGCCGAACTGAGGGCCCTTCGCGCCTCAGGGAAGAAGCGAATTTCAACATACGAGGTCGAGGACCAAGGCGACATTTACGATGAAGTGGACGACGATGGCTACAAGAAAGTCATTCGAAACCGACTCGACCAGGACGACTTTGTTGTCGATGATAACGGTGCCGGATATGCGGACGACGGTCGTGAAGTCTGGAATGAACAGACAGCTGAATACGCCAGTGATGACAGCGATGAATTGCCAGCACGCGGCAAGGCCGCCAAACGAAAAAGAGAGGAGGAGCAGCAGCGCAAGCAAAAAATGAACAATGGCATCTCCAAATATTTTAACCAAGGACAAGCGGCGTCTGCCGCCCCTAAGCCCAAGGCAAGTGAATTATTTTGGCCTCTAGGGTGCTCGTGCTAATGGGAGTACCAATCTAGCCCGTTGCTACTGCAGAGGATGACGCATTCATGGCCGATCTCCTCGGAGAAGTCGACACCAACGTTGTCTCAAGACACGCCCCGACTCGAAACGTCGTCAAGTCAGAGGCCCGCCGCAAAGTTCGCGTTCTCTCCCCACCACTGTCCGAAAAGCGTCGCCGCGAGAAGGCCCGCGTGCCAGACGAGAACGACATGCCAAGCTCACCAATGAAAGACCAAGCCCTCCATTCCGACGACCTCGACGATGGCCCTCTCCCGATGCCCGATGATGACGTCCCCATGAGCGACATTTTGCCCTCCTCTCCAATCAGCAAAGCAGTTGAGCGTAAGAACACCGCCATCGTCAAGCCCGAACAGCCTGAAGACGACGACATAGATCTCATGGACGTCGCAGAGGTGACAGGAGACTCTGGTGTCAAGGCGGAAACCATCAATATGACCGGCAGCAGGCCGCCTCCGAAGATCAAGCCAGAGGCTGTTGCTGAACCCGCAAGCTCGTCTCCCGTCAAGTCCATGCCACAAGTCATGGATGCCTCTTGGAACGACGTGCGCAACAAGTTGAATGTTCTCAACAGCGCAGCTCCGGAAATGCGGTCTTTCGGCAAGCTTAGTGCCCAGGACGTTGTTGAAGAGGATGGCAGTCTGCGCATATTCTGGCTGGACTACACGGAAGTCAATGGTAGTCTTTGTCTATTTGGAAAAGTTAAGAACAAGAAGGACGGAACCTACACCAGTGCCTTTGTGAAGATTGACAACATTCTGCGAAAGCTGTTCTTCCTTCCTCGTGAATACCGCCACAAGCATGGACGGGCGACCGAGGAAGAAGTTGGCATGGAAGATGTCTACTCCGAGGTTGATGAGATGATGACGAGGCTCAAAGTCGGCATGCACAAGATCAAGCCTTCGAAGCGCAAGTATGCCTTTGAAATGCCGGGAGTACCAAAAGAGGAGACAGACTATCTCAAGCTCTTGTACCCTTACGACAAACCCGTCTTGCCAATGGAGACCAAAGGAGAGACATTCTCTAATGTTTTCGGCACAAACACCTCGCTGTTCGAACAATTCGTGCTGTGGAAGAACATCATGGGCCCGTGCTGGCTCAAGATCGACCAAGCTGACTTTGCCGCTGTGACCAACGCCTCTTGGTGCAAGTTCGAATGCCAGGCCACCAAACCCGCACTCATCAGCCCCGTGTCAGACTCCGAAAATCTGGATACTCCCCCATTGACCTTTATGAGTCTTGCTTTCCGAACACAACTCAATGTCAAAGAAAACAAGCAGGAGATATTGGTGGCGAGTGCCAGAGTGTATGAGGACGTCTCTCTTACCGATACCACACCCCCAGAGAAGCTCCCATGCAAGACATTCACTGTCATGCGCCCTGCTAGTGGGTCATATCCGATGCACTTTGAAGCAGAGGCAAAGCAGCAGCGCGGAACTATCATAATGGAAAAGTCCGAGCAGTTTTTGCTTAGCAAGTTTTTGGCACTGTTTGAAAAGATGGACCCCGATGTGATCATGGGTCACCAGCTACAGGATGTTGACTTGGGCATTCTTCTCAGCAGAATGCGCGAGAAGAAGACGCCTGGCTGGCACCGGATCGGACGTCTCAGACGCGGTGATTGGCCCAAGCATTTCAACAAGGGAGGCAACTTCTTTGCGGAGAGACAATTGATCGCTGGAAGATTGATGTGTGATATTGGCAATGATATGGGCAAGGTAAGCTTTTCCCATCCAATGTGGCGGCAAACAGAGCTAACAACAACCAGTCTCTCATGATGAAGTGTCAATCATGGAGTTTGAGCGAAATGTGCCAGCTCTACCTTGGCCCAGGCAATGCACGACAGGAACTGGACGTTGAAGCTGCCCTGAAGACTTGGGCGAACACAAAAGAAGGCCTCATGAACTTTGTCAATCATTGTGACATGGATACATATTTTGTTGCTGCATTGGTTCTACGCCTCCAGATGCTGCCGCTGACAAAAGTTTTGACTAACATTGCTGGTAACTCGTGGGCACGCACGCTGAGTGGTACCCGTGCTGAACGGAACGAATACATTCTGCTGCACGAGTTCCATCGCAACAAGTACATCTGTCCCGACAAGTATTCCTCCCGGCTTCAGAAGGCAGAGGAACAGAGCCAAGAAGGAGATGACGACGAGGCTGTTGACAAGAAAAAGAAAGACAAGTTCAAGGGTGGTCTTGTCTTCGAGCCTGAAAAGGGTCTTTACGACAGATTCATCCTTGTCATGGATTTCAACAGTCTGTACCCCAGTATCATTCAGGAGTACAACATCTGCTTTACTACTGTTGACCGAACAGCCACGGTAGGATACGTCGCTTCTTCTCGATCCAACTTACTGACGTGCAAATAGTCTGAGAATGAGAACGAGGAAAAGGTGCCCGATGTTCCGTCCTCGGATCAGGAGCAAGGTCTTCTTCCTCGGTTGATTGCCACATTGGTCGGTCGTCGACGCGAAGTGAAGAAGTTGATGAAGGACAAGCGCGCCACACCCGAACAACTGGCATTATGGGACACCAAGCAGCTGGCCTTCAAATTGACTGCCAACTCCATGTACGGATGTTTGGGATACACACAGAGTCGATTCTACGCCCGACCTTTGGCAATGCTCACCACCTTCAAGGGACGTGAGATTCTGAGAAACACCAAGGAATTGGCAGAAAGCCAACAGTTGCGGGTCATCTATGGTGATACTGACTCCGTCATGATCAACACGAATATGGAGAACATGAGTGATGCTCTCAAAGTTGGCGAGGAATTCAAGAAAGCAGTCAATGAACGGTATCGATTACTCGAGATCGACATTGACAATGTCTTCCGTCGGCTTTTGCTTCACGCGAAGAAGAAGTATGCCGCTGTCAATCTGACTGAAGTGGATGGCAAGTATGTCGAGAAGCTCGAGGTCAAGGGTCTTGACATGAAGCGACGTGAATACTGTGCTCTGTCGAAGGAAGTTTCGTCAAAGCTTCTCAACGAGATTCTTTCTGGAGAAGATCAAGAGGTCGTTCTCAACAAGGTCCACGAGTACCTGCGTGAACTGGCGGAGAGGATGAAGGAATACACGATACCTGTCCAGAAATACGTGATCTACACTGTGAGTAGACCCATAACCTCCAGGATTACATGTGCTAATTTCCCCAGAAACTCTCAAAAAGACCTCAGGAATACCCCAACAAGGAAAGCATGCCTCCCGCTCAAGTTGCCTTGCGGGACATTGCCAGAGGCAAAAATGTTCGACCAAACGATGTCATCTCATATATTGTGACCAATGGAGACTCGGAAACATCGTCTCTGCCACCCGCCAAACGATCGTACAGCCCACAAGATGTGATGAAGAGCGACTCGGGATTGAAACCGGATGTCGAGTTCTACATTCTGAAGCAGATCTTCCCTCCCATTGAGCGTCTCTGCGCCCCCATTCCAGGAACTGACGCCGTCCGCCTTGCTGAATGCTTGGGTCTCGACACACGCAAGTACCAGATCAACACTTCCAGCTCCAACAGTCAACAAAATGCGGAAATCACACCTCTCGAATCCCAGATCCCAGACTCGGTCCGATTTGCCAACGCCACTCGACTCTCCTTGAAGTGCCGGTTCTGCAAGGAGCGCTCCGTGTTTGAAGGGCTGGTAGTTTCATCTGACATGTGCACCGCCCATGGCATCGTTTGCTCAAACCAAGCCTGTCAAAAACCGTTCTCAGTTTTGAACATCGTCGCTCAAGTCGAGAACCAGATCCGCGAACAGACTTCACGATACTATGAAGGGTGGCTGGTGTGTGATGATTCATCGTGTGGAAACCGCACCCGGCAGATCAGTGTCTACGGACACCGCTGTCTAGGTCCCCGGGGTCGCGCAGAAGGCTGTCTGGGTCGCATGTCGTATGAATTCTCGGAGAAGGCAATCTACAACCAGCTTCTCTACTTCGCCGGTCTCTGGGATGTCGACAAGGCTAAGATCTCCGCCGAAAAGGAAACGGGCGAAAAGAAGGACAGCATTGCTGCTCTTGCCGAGTTCAACCGGACTAGATTTGGTACTGTCAAAGGCGTGGTTGATAGCTATCTGAAGAAGTGTGGTCGACAGTGGGTCGAGATGGATGGCCTGTTCCGCTTCATGTTGCAATAGATGCCCCGGTGGCGTTGTTAGGTTTTGTTTGTAAATACCTTGGGTTGTTTTTAGGAAGTCACGATTGAATTTATTTGCATAATACACGAATACACGAAGTTATAGACTGTGAAAAGGGATTCCTTCAAATTAACCGGTTTTTTTTTTTTGATATCACCACGCTCTTATCTTATCGGTGACCCCCCCAATCCCCACCCCACCCTCATCGTTCCTTAACGTCAGTTTGCAGAGACATTGCTGTCTATATTTGACGAGATCATGTCTGTCAAACGAGTCCTGGTCATTGCAGGATCTGATAGCTCAGGAGGCGCGTAAGTCAACCTTGCAATATCCTCCCAATAACCCCAGAAAGGACGACATAACGGTCCCTTTCCGATCACCTTGCATTTCTGTTTTGTTTGCGCAATTAAGCTCTCAAATGAATGTAGCCAATGTATCTAACTTATTCCAGTGGCCTCGAGGCTGACCAGAGGGTCCTTGCAGCTCACGGCTGCTATGCTCTCACGGCCACAACCGGACTGACGGCACAAAACACCCTAGGTGTGCAGGACATCTTTGTCGTGCCATCTGAATTTGTGCGAAAGCAGATCAATGCTGGTCTGGAAGATGTTGGAGCGGACGTGGTGAAATTGGGTAGGTCAATCAAGCCTGCTTTCTTGTTCTAGCTGACGGTCATTCCATAGGCATGCTTTCTTCTGCCGAGACCATCGATGTCATCGCAGAGACATTGCAATATCATAAAGTCCCCACTATCGTGCTTGATCCGGTATGTTAAATTTGTACATTGACAGCCATCTATGCTAACCCTAGTAGGTAATGGTTTCTACCAGTGGATCACAGTTATTGCCCGAAAAGGCTGTCAAGGAAGTGCGAACAAAGTTGCTTCCTCTCACCACCATCCTGACCCCAAACATCCCAGAGGCCCAGCTGCTATTGAAAGATGCTGGGGCCGAGGCTTCCGAACCAACGAACCTTGATGAAATGATTGAACTTGCCAAAAAGATTTGCTCCTTGGGTCCTAAAGCTGTCCTGCTCAAGGGAGGACATCTGCCATTGACGAAAGATTATAAGATCTGCCAAGACTCGAAGGAGGCAACTACTGTCGTTGATATTCTCTTCGATGGAAAGACAGCCACCTTGTTCGAGACCGACTTTTTGGTAACTAAAAACACGCATGGCACAGGCTGCTCACTCGCCTCTGCGATTGCAGCAAATCTGGCGTCCGGAAAAGATATGATTAGATCCGTTCGCAGTGCTGTGCGATTTGTTGAGATTGGCATCAAGACAAGCACCGATTTGGGCAAGGGAAGTGGACCAATCAATCATTTCCACTCTACCTACACTATGCCATTTGCGCCGTATGTATTCCACCTTTTTCTTGTGTATGAGACTAACTCGTTGCTAGTGGTCGGTTCATTGAGTACATTTTGGATCGACCAGATGTGCAGCGCGCGTGGCAGGACTTTACTCACCATGACTTTGTCAAGGGTATGGGCCAAGGTACCCTTCCCCTGGACCACTTCAAGGGGTACCTTGTGCAGGACTACCTCTATCTGGTAAGATCACTCAGAGTTCAGATGATTCCAGCCTACTAATAATTTCAGGTTCAATTTGCTCGGAGCAATGCACTTGCATCATACAAGGCCAAGACCATGGATTCAATTGCGGCAGTGAGTGCTTTGTGCCCGTGTTCTGAAGTCTTCTAACCCCAGTCTAGTCCGCCCAGATTGTCCTTCATATCCAAAGGGAGATGGCACTGCATATTGACTATTGTGCCTCTTTTGGCCTTTCCAAGCAAGAAATGGAGGATACGCCTGAAACCATCGGTAAGATCATTTCACTCCCTTTTGGCTCCCTTTTCGCTAATCTTGGACTTTAGCATGCACGGCATACAGTCGATACATTCTAGATGTCGGCCAATCTGAAGACTGGCTAGCTCTTCAAATGGCGCTCGCTCCGTGCTTAATTGGATACGGTGCCATCGCTAGGCGATTGCATACTGATAAGGAGAATTTACGCCAGGGCAACAAATATTGGAAGTGGATTGAGAACTATGTCGCCGATGATTATACAGAGGCTGTACAGCTGGGTTCCGGTAAGTCAGCTCGTGATCGCCAACTGAGATGGTCAACTGATTGTTGTGATTTAGCATTGCTGGAAAAGCACATGCAATCGGTCTCCCCAAGTCGCATGGAGGAACTTATCAAGATCTTTATTCGGGCTACAGAGCTGGAAATTCGATTCTGGGATATGGGACTGGAAGGGAGCAGGCAGTAGACGAAGGTGCCAACTGTACATTGTGTAAAATCACATACTGACTTTGACTTGCCCGGCAAGTCGCTCTTGAGTGCAATATTGACTACCTCGTCACTTTAGTCAGAATAGAGACGACCTGTTTGCCACTGAAAATATCACAATTAGAGTATTTGCCTCTTTTCTCCTATCGTGGCAATCTCAGCCTTTGAAAAGGAACTTATGCCGGAATCTAAACCCAGCGGCCAATCATATCGAAAGCCGACGGCAAAAAAAACTCAGCATCGTCCAGACCCAGGAACGTTAGTCCTAATTGGGAAGGCGGTCAGATAGTACCTCGCCCAGGCCTGATCACGTGTGAAAAAAACATTGGACAGCGCTAATCCCGATAAAGAGATTCTCTACCTTTTTTTCTTCGCGCCTTCTCCCCTTTCTCTTTCTTCATCCTTCCGTTCTTTCAAGTTCCTGAGAAGTCGTTGTACCCATTTTCTTTCTCTTCTCTTGTGTTCATTTTCTTCATCCCTCTTCACTCTATCACCCTTACAACACATTTTCCCAGACTTAATCATGTCGTACGGTGGCGGCAACTACTCTCGCGGCGGAGATCGTGGTGGCGACTCCTACCGGTAGGTTCACTGCATATCTCAAACTCCTACACCTGTCATAATACTAACCCTCAACGTAGCTCCCGCGGTGGTGACGGCTACTCTAACGGTGGCGGCGGTGGTTACGGCGGTGGCCGTGGAGGTGGCTACGGCGGCGGCGGTGGCTACGGAGGTGGTGGTGGTGGTTACGGAGGAGGTGGTGGTGGTTACGGCGGCGGCGGCGGCTTTGGCGGCGGCGGTGGTGACCGCATGTCCAACCTCGGCGCTAGCCTGAAGAACCAGGACTATGGTGAGTTTGAGCCCATCATCTACAAGTTTTATGATACTAACAGCACCAGATATCAACAGTCTCCCCAAGTTCGAGAAGTCCTTCTACAAGGAGCACCCCGATGTCACCGCCCGCTCTAACGAGGAAATCGACGCTTTCCGCAAGTCCAAGACCATGGCCGTTCAGGGTACTGACGTGCCTCGCCCCGTTGAGAACTTCGACGAGGCTGGTTTCCCCCAGTATGTCCTTTCTGAGGTCAAGGCCCAGGGCTTCGATGCCCCCACTGCTATCCAGTCTCAGGGCTGGCCCATGGCTCTTTCTGGTCGTGATGTCGTCGGTATTGCCGAGACTGGTTCCGGAAAGACTCTGAGTTACTGTCTTCCCGCTATTGTCCACATCAACGCCCAGCCCCTCCTCGCCCCCGGCGATGGCCCTATTGTCCTTGTCCTGGCTCCTACTCGTGAGTTGGCCGTTCAGATTCAGGCTGAGATCACCAAGTTCGGAAAGTCTTCCCGTATTCGCAACACCTGTGTCTACGGTGGTGTCCCCAAGGGTCCCCAGATCCGCGATCTGTCTCGTGGTGTCGAGGTTTGCATTGCTACCCCGGGTCGTCTGATTGATATGCTCGAGGCTGGCCGCACCAACCTTCGCCGTGTCACCTACCTCGTCCTCGATGAGGCCGACCGTATGCTTGACATGGGTTTCGAGCCCCAGATTCGCAAGATCATTGGCCAGATTCGCCCCGATCGTCAGACTTGCATGTGGTCCGCCACTTGGCCCAAGGAGGTCCGTCAGCTGGCTTCTGACTTCCTCAACGACTACATCCAGGTCAACGTTGGTTCCACTGACCTTTCCGCCAACCACCGCATTACCCAGATTGTCGAGGTCGTTTCCGACTTCGAGAAGCGTGACAAGATGATCAAGCACCTTGAGAAGATCATGGAGGAGCGCACTAACAAGTGTATCATCTTCACTGGTACCAAGCGTGTCGCTGACGAGATTACTCGCTTCCTCCGTCAAGACGGATGGCCTGCGCTTTGTAAGTCACCTCACTTGTTGCTCTTTGTAGCATTTGCTAACCCTTTTTCCAGCCATCCACGGTGACAAGCAACAGAACGAGCGCGATTGGGTCTTGAACGAGTTCAAGCAGGGCAAGAGCCCCATCATGGTGGCCACTGATGTGGCTTCCCGTGGTATCGGTATGAACAAATTGCATCCCCCTTCCCTCCCTCCCCCTCCCCCATCTTTCTCCCCCTTAGGGGTCTTTAAAACACTTACCCGTGTTGACGTTGTGTGAAACAATGGCACGGTGCTCAACTCTCTCGAAGCACGTCGGTTTAAATTCCGCGTCCAGGCGTTCTTTGCCAGATGGTCTCCCAAAAGGACCTTGGACTCACAGTGCAGCACAGCAGCAGGCTCTTTTGCCTGACTTCCATTCTCCAACTTTTTGTGTGACAGACTCAGGAGAGTTGAAGTTTTTCTCTCACACAGCATTGTTTTTGAACTGTTGAAGCTGCATTTTCCAAGGTTACCACAGGATTGTACCACCATCCCATGGATTTGCTTCCTGGTTTCCATACTACTGGTTTCCATACCATCAAGAGAGCAGTGATGCATCAAGTCCTGCACGACGGAGAAAGGGTCCTTCATGGCCATACTCCTCATAAACCCACTAATGCTCTGTTTGCTAACGAACCCTCCTTTCCAAAAGATGTGCGCGACATTACTCATGTGCTCAACTATGATTACCCCAACAACTCGGAGGACTACGTCCACCGTATTGGTCGTACTGCTCGTGCCGGTGCCACCGGTACTGCTATCACCTTCTTCACCACTGACAGTGAGTTTATTTACCCAATTCTTGACCAGCACCATCTAACAATTCATTCTAGACCAGAAGCAGGCTCGCGACTTGGTCACTATTCTCACCGAGGCCAAGCAGCAGATCGACCCTCGTCTTGCCGAGATGGTTCGCTACGGCGGTGGCGGCGGTGGTGGTCGTTGGGGCGGCCGTGGCCGTGGTGGCTGGGGTGGTCGTGGTCGCGGAGGTGGTGGTTTCACTGCTTCCAACGCTGCTCCCGTCGGCGGTAACCGTCGCTGGTAGGCGCCTCGCTGCTGTATTCCTCGCAGTCCTTGAGCTTGTATTGTCCTGTCCCGGTAGACCCCTTTTCATTTCTTCGACTTCTTGCGTAACTCGGTTCGGAACGGCGTTATCGATGTCATAGACAGTTTTACTTTTTTTTTTCGTTTTACGGTCCAGGATCCGGCCTGGATGGCTCACGATTCATCGGCTCGTTTAGAGCGTTGACTCTCACGACTCAGCCTACATGTCCATTATTTTCAAAAGTTTCATCCGTCAGAGCAAAAAAGAGTGTCTGGGCTCTGTCTGTAATAATCATTATCCAAAATCTTCCTCTTCCACTGTATATTTGTAAACTGCCTCTCATCAACTGTTATCTCCGCAACCAGTTCTCTACCTCTTCCGCCAGAACCTGATGCACATGGCTCGTCATATGACCCGAATTGAACCAGAAGTATCCATCCAGCGGCGTCGGACATCCATAATTCTCATAGTTCACCGCAATATCCGGCTGGTCATATCCAGGGCAAAAGTTCGTCGTATTCACAATGCCGTACTTACCAGGCTCATCCAGAATAGCCTCAAGTCGGGCATGCGCATCAAAGAGCATGACCTCAGCATCTTTGTGTTTTCCAGCAAACGCAGCAGCATGTTCCGCCAGTGCACTGTTATACCACTCAATCTGCGTGGCATTCGGGCTTGGCGAGCCCTTTGCCTGGTTTCCGGGGGTGCGATCTAGAGGCGGAAGATTCATAAAAAGATAATCCTTGTATCCGAGATCGTAAAGATCCTCGACAGAAGCGAACAGGGCATCTGAAATGCTCTTGTAGAAAGTTGGGAAATCCACGGCGTATTGAGCGCTGTCGTTCATATCGTTGATGCCAATCCAGATCGCAATGAGAGTCGATTGGCTTTTGATCGTGTGTTTAAGAGCTGGATGGCCGTATTGCTTGAATTGGTTGACTTGGTCTACTAGGGAGACGGTGAAGTTGTGGTGGAGAGGTGTACTTGTCTGGAATCAGTATTGGCAATTCAAGTACAGGGCTGGGGATTAGACTTACTATTCGGTTGAAATATCAGCTCCGGCAAATGCAAAATCCCATAGTTGCTTCTTGCAGCTTTGAGGTGAGGTGAGGCCTTCTTTGATCCCGCATTTTGTGAGATATTCAACCCAATTCGGACCGCCTTCTGCCGTTGCAGTCTATATGTGGGACGATATCAATATCACTGGAACTAGCCGTATGAAGAGGAGCACTTACCTGATTCTGGACTATTTTGTTGGTGAGCAAAGTCTCACTAGTGTAGGCCAAATTAAATTGATCTCCAATGAAGCTGAAATTCTGGTGTCCTTGGGTTCCCTGGACATATGTGTAGGAGTCACCGAATGCGATTCTACGAGAAAACGTCAGAAAACGTTGCTCTATCACCTTTTCATTACTCACAAAGCTTTTGTTGAGGACCAGTCAAACCCGGCCTTTGGTCTTGACACGGGACCAGCTGTAGCCGACGGCAAGGAGGCTATAAGCCACACACAAGCTGCTTGAAGAAGCATTATGATGACAATCAGGTTGACATCGAATAGGCTCGGGGTTTCTAATTTATCTCATTCGACCCCGCAAATGAGTCCATACTCCGTAATATTTTGGTTTTAACGGAATATATTTTTCCGTCAGTAAACACCTTGATTAGCTAGAACCTCCCGAGGTCTTTCAATCTCCAGGGCTTGATTCTCTGGGGTATAAATGCGACATTGGGAGAAGAAGAGCCGCTTGTCCAGGTGTATCTTAGTACCTCGGCCAGCTGTCATTTTGGTGCTTGGTGTTCTCCTTGGTTGGCTAAAGGGTTACTTTTACTATTCGAATATTCTCAGGGGCATGAGGGAAGTTTGGAGGAGGGGAAAACCTCGGGAACAGATTTAATTTCCCAATCCTTTCAAGGTTCCTGGATGTGCAGGTATATATCTCAACAGCCGTGCAACGACCCTTCGACGCCAATACCAAATAAATAGGTACTACCATCAATGGATCCCGATGCCAAGATCCAATATCACATTTAGAAAGAGACTACATATATGCTTCAAACTCTAAGTGAGTGTTGGGACTTTCGATGCGTAGTCAGGCATTGACCCGGTGAGGCAACTCCGCGGACGGTACGAGGATTCATCGCAGTTATTTAATTAGAACAGCGAAAAAAGCCACCTGCGCAGTAAAACCAAGCGTGTCTTTTATTGCCCATAGCAAAGGAATCCCTTTGCCAAACCAATATCTGATTCATCCAATGAAGACCTCGGGACAAGGTACTCCGTACAAAGCAAGAGAACCTGACCAACCCCAACAGCAAGATCTGCCACGATTAGGTTGATAGTCAGATCGGAAAGAAGACCCCACATGGCCTAGATATGTTTACAAGCGCGCTACATAATAAGCAAAGGAAAAACAAAGCATGAAAGTTCCAAGGCTAGGCTGAATTACTAGGTCGGTACCGGCGCCCGCATCTCAGCCTCGTGTGCATCACTCGGCATAACCTTGGAAGGATTATGCCTGCTCTACTCAGAAACCTTGGAACCACCTCTCAATGTGGTATAGTATCATGCCAGGGGTAACCGCAAAGATAAAACTAAGACCTTTAAACAGCTTGAAAGTCAAGCTTTATGCTCCCCTGGGCGGATGGTCTGCAGAGAAGCCATGCAATATGTGTTCTAACATTCAACTGCTGGATAGGCACATAATCGTATGAAGGGAGGTAAATACTTTTCTAATACCCTTTCCAAGTGTAGAAGTGGCAAAGCAAGCCTGCTTTACCAAGTTGAATGACGTGTCTTGTGAAAGTCCACGGGCTCAAGAAAAAAGCAAAGACATCCCGGCCGATGAACGAGCCAGCGGTCGGGTGCTCGAAAACCCACCATGCTGGCTACATGCAGAGTCTTTCTAAAAAAGGAGAATGATAGGAGCCCAAGACCTATTTTTGCATGGGACAGCGAGTGTTCACGCCTTCGCCAAGGCCTGCATCCTGAATCTTGAAGTAACCTCAGAAAAACGCACCAGAACGTGGTGCATGATGCAAACAAAGCCTAAGAGAGCGAGGTGCAGTAGTCTTGTCTGAATAATCAGACCAAAAAACACGTCCGTGGATAAAATACCTTGTCAGATGCATAAGCGCCGCCGACGCTTTCCAAGCCGCTTTACCCAGAGCAGTATAGACTCCAGCCGACGATGCACGTCGGAGGCACAAAAAAACGGGCACGACTCATGTCTCTGGTCCAGATTCGAACCGAATATTGAAATAATTCACCTGCCGCGATTGTGTGATTGGTGTGACTGCGGCCAGGGTGAAATTGTCTGAGCATGCGCCTGTATGGCAATCAACGTTCCCCGTTTGCAACCCCCCCCTGTCAGCTCATGGCGCACCATGCCCGGAATGGAAGAAAGAGTTACCACATCAGGGATATAGCTAGATACATGGGCTGCCTTCTTGCCTGTTTGGGATGCCTAGAGCAGACGTAGAACATGCATGGAAATTATGACTCTCCTCGGCTAATCCGAATCCTCAGCTGCGAGGGTGTTTATTGTAGACCTCGTCTATGCTGTTATCGTACATTTGAGTAATAACACTATTTTAAATAATGCCAATGCAATACGGAGAATAAATAGACTCAAATTCATTATCAACCTTGGGATATTGACGAAGATGATGTGACCTTCCCGGTTCTACGCTCGTAAACAACAAGATCTTCGACAAGTACCACTTTCCCCTCAAAGGTTAATTTGCCTGCAGACCGAATAGATACGGGCCACATTAGACCCCTGTCTCGGGATTCAAATCCCTGCAGTAAACTGTCTCGGCGATTGGTCGATTAATGTCTCTGTTGGCCAGAGTCCGATATCAAGAAATGATACCAAATGCCAACACCAAATCTCTTGGCTAGGCGAGGCGAGAGACGGAAAAAACAGCCCTTTGCTCAACCGCAGAAAAGCATGGTGATCATCATCCGGGGTGTGCTGATCAAGTGTCTGTTGACGCGATCTGCCGAAGCATTAGCGGGTATGACTTACTCTGTCCGGCGTAGTCTTGTAACCGCACAGGCCATGTGGAGTGGAGGAAATTGCGTATCTCTTCCTTGTTATCTCTGCCCTGAGAGAGCACGGACTCCTGGAAAGTCGGCAAGTTCATGGGTCGCTAACTTCAAGCTACTGTATGCACATAGTCAACCGTTATTTCCCAGCCGCGACTGATTACTCGACTCTGCGGTACGGTATGTGTACAGTATTTTATTCCATGCTAAACCTAGGTGTGAACACCCCAAATTCTCCAATTTGACAGCGTGGGGGATTTCCGTTGTTTGTGTTGAAAATGATTAGGGCATTACTTGTGTCGGGTCAGCGCGATCCGGGCCAGGAAATTGACCCAGTCCATGATTTCTCTAACCCCTGAAAGATAATAAATAAAATAAAATAATTGACAAGCCGGAGATGGAGAGATTTACAAATACATACTATGCCCGGAGAATAGCCGTGGGGTTGACCCATTGTGGGAACTGTTTCCGCCTAAAATCTTAGAGGTCCATCCATTAGTCAGTGTGTTTCTCACGCAGGACGGAGAACGGAGAACGGAATATTCACATTAAAAGCGCAGAAATGGGCCCACGTGCATCAAGTGACACGGAAAGAGTGAACGCCTGCAGGTTGCCTGCTGGGATATTTCATTTTATTTTCCTTTGACTCGTACTGTACATTTTTGAGACAATGGGCTACAAAGAACTTGCAAGACACACATTCTTGTGATGCGACAAGGCCATGCCATGGCCGCACAAGGCACCCTACGTACCCCATATATCATAACAGAATAACATATCGAGATAACGAGCAGGGGAGGTATCGGAGCAAGGAACAATGCCAAGCTTTACTCCAACAAAGGTCTTCTCTGATTCGACCGAGGGTTGCAATCCCCGGCGGAACCTTGGAAAAATGCAAAATGCAACACAGGACATGAAAACTGGGGGCATTTGGAGTTTCAGGCTGATCGTCCGACTGTCCACTGTACGGAGTACGGAGGTACAGGTCTGGGTATTGAAATTGTGCATGGATACAGAGCGGCTGCGGCGTCCAATGACTGACGCGCCATAAGGGATATGATATTCGATCTGCTCTCGACTCCCGGATATCCCGCTGGAGCTGTGTGTTGTCCGTCCCCACCGGTTTACATCGGTGTACCATCTCAGGAAGATTGGGAGACAAAAAACCGTCCCTCCAGATAACCCCAAAAAGGTAAGAATGCGAATAACAGAGACAGAAAACGAGTGCAGAGTCGTGCATATTACTGCAAAGGATAAATTGAATTCAAATGCTCACCGGCAGTGGAGGAACAAGTTCCGCCTGCGGGGTGAAGTCCAGCGGACCAATCAGCACGCATCAGCCAGCATGTTTTTCCGAGCCTTGCAGCTGGATTTGTTCTTTTCTCCCGTTTTGTTCCTATCAGGACCTCCGTAGGTTACCCACCTCGAGGCTGAAAGAACCACAGAACCAGGTATCGTTACGGGGCGTACTGCCCTACAACACCGAACAAGCATAGAGCTTCCAAGATTACTCCGTATCTGTACACTGATCGTACATCGTACCGGAGAGCCGCCGAATGTCCGCTCGTAACGCAATTGGATTAGGAATTTGGTGACCAATTAACGGCATTCGTGGTCACGGAAATCCCGCCAAGTGTCGACTGGCCCCCTTTCTCCTCTCTGCTTTCCTTGGTACGACTGGTATATGCTTTTATCATTGCTATATTTACTTCTTGATCCCCGTATGGAATACGGAGTAGATGGCTTATCAGGCTCGATCTTTTGAAACACCTGGATAAGACAGTAATGTCGCAATTGCCTTCAGATCGGAGTTCAGCTTGCAATTCTACAATTCTACTCTGTATACTCCGTACTCCGTATGTAAAAGTATTCTCATACACCGTCCAACGTACGGAGTCCGGTTTGTACAGATATTAGGTGATTGCCTCCGATCACCGGTGTTCTTCCAAGTTCCCCACTCACAACGTTTGGTATGTATCCATTGTATGACTACGGAGTACCAGCATGGACAAACATGGATACAACCCCATGATTCAATAGATCACCGTGAAGAAGGCTAGCATGACTAGTATCTCAATCGAGCACCAGCAATCCTCTTTCCTAATTGTATACAAACCCCCGATGAAGAGATTCAAAATTGAGTCTGTAGATCTACCTACGATGCAAGTATCTAGAACATCCGCGCTGTATAAACATGTGAGTATTCATCAAAGTACATAATACCTGTAATCAAAGTGCAACATAACCTCCTTTTTTTTTTTCTCACTGCGGAGTCGACCGCCTCGGCTTTGAACCTTTTGAAGCAGAGTTTAACGCTAGTCCCAAGGGAGTCAGGCCCAACCACCGAGCATCTCCAGGTCTCCACCTGCAAGATATGATTGGTGGCAGTCCCCCTCCAAAGGTCATTGGACCATCGTCCACACTAGCCCCTGGTCTTCCCGAGTATCCATCGCTTCTTCTTCCCCCGACTTGCGCTACACCTCATTGTGTCCTAGCTCCTCTTAGCCCGTGTGTTTCTCTCCCCCCTAAACCACTTCCAGTCTCGTTTCCCTCTCTCGGCTGAGGTTCTTCGGGCACGCCATTCCTAGCTTTCCCTCTGACATCTTGGTTAGTACCCACGGGCCCTACGCGCTAGGTTCTCTTTGCACCCGAGTTGCGGGTAGACTAAGAGGGCCTCCAGTTGGGAACCTAAGCAAGTAGTCTTTAGCAAAAAACAACCACACCTGTACTAATCTATATGATATTTTTGTAAATGCTATGCCTTTTGGTTCAATTCTTTTTGATTCTTGCGGTCAGAGAACAGGGGAATCAGGATTTGGTTGCCACTTTCCTTTCCCCTGGGTTCCGCTTTTTTATTATAATTTTTTTTTTTCTGGGGGGGGGAGGGGGAAACAAAATCAAGAAAGAAATGGAAATGCTATCACACGGACGTGGAAAGCTTAGCCGGAAACGAAGGCACTGAGGGGAAAGGGGGCCAACCCAGTTAAATATCGGAGTTTTGTGTGGAAAAAGGGCATGGTCCGAGAGAGAGTCAATCTGATTTAATAATATTTTTACAATATTTTGCATTTTGCATTTCGTTTTGATATCCCATCGCTTATACGCTGGGCTTGTCCCTGATATTGCCATACTCGATTTTTTCTCAACTTGCTGTTTCCCAGGTTGAGTAAGCTGTATGGAGACGGATTACGCTGTACACATCAGCTTCCTCAACGTCACTACAGTACATAGCATGCAAGTGATATACTGTCAAGGTGTATATGTGTATATATAAAAAAAAAGAATTAAAAAAGAGCAGAAAAAAGAAAAAAGAAAAAGGGCAATAATTCGTCTGCCGACCAACGATATCGCCAACCAAAATTACGCACTCCACCGGGTCCACTGCAGTCCACAGCATCCTCGGATCCCAAGGCCTTTCCCTCCTAATCGTCTCACCTTTTTAGGTCGCTACAAGTCGCGTTGACTCTCGACCTTTTTCTTTAGTTTCCGTCTCTAGTCACTAGTCATCTGCTTACCGCCTGCAAGGCATCTCAACTAAGATTAAGCATCTTGGGTTATCAACTTCACTTTTTGGGGTTTTCTTTTTTCTTTTTTTTTTTCCCTCGTTTTTTTTATAAAAAAAATCTCGCCGCTTGGACCTTTTGACATATTGGATGTCAATTCTATCCTCTTCCCCCTCAAAAGAATTCCCTCGTTGAATACTTCTTCAATTCACCTTCGAAGGTACGTGACGCGACCCCCCAAAACATCCTAGATCTGGGTTAGCCACGATCCCCCAACGTGGCGACCTAGTCTCCCGTCCCTTGCTTGAAACGTGTCGGACCGACTCGTCAATTTTCCCCGAACTTCTCACTCATCGTCGACGCGTCTCCACAGAGTTGTTTTTGCCTCCGCGAATATTTTCGCTTTTTATGGACAACCGGCCCACTTCCGAGTACGCACAGCCAGGTTCGCACCACCACCCGCCTACCGACGCACCTTCTGAACAAAAACCCGCAGACCCAACTGCTGCTGCTGCTCACTACACCCCGCAACCCGAAGTCCGTCCGACTCCTCAGTACACTCCCCAGCCTGAGGTTCGGCCCAACATCTCCTCCTCAAACACCCCTCAATCAGACTACAGTCTGAACCCTCCGCCCACCGCCCGCTCGCCTGCATACCAGGACTACCTTCACCGTCCCTCCTACGCTCCCAACTCCCAACCCGGTGGTGGCGCAGGTATGGCTCAAGCAACAAGTCCGTTCCACCTGCCTACGGGCCCGCGCAGTCCTCTTCTCAAGTCTGACGCGCCCGTTCCTTTAGATCCTTCTCTTCCGGCAAACAGCCCCACCTACCCTCCTCCCTACTCTCCTTACCAACCTCAGGGGCATGAGATGGCTCAGTATCAGGGCCACCCTCCTCCACCCCAGCACATGTACGCGCGCCCGGATTGGCCACACAGCTATGGACAGCAGCACCATTTACCCGGTCCCTACGCCTCTCCGGCTACAACGGTTGGTTCCGCCTCCCCTTCCGCGACTGCCGAGTCGCGTCCTGGACAGGTATGTTTTTGATGATTTCCTGGGGGAGCTCTTTTTTTTCTTTCAAAATATTCGTACTCTCTTCAACTGTCGTTGTTTTTGGGTTGTCCTTTTGGAGAAACGCGTGAATTTTTTTTCTCGTGTCTCGCTCGCTCTCTTCCAATCTCTTCCAGGGGGTCATCAAAAACGTCGCGTCTGGCTCGATTTTCTCGAGTTCGTAATACTGATTCCTCTCTCTCTAGGTTTACTCATTTGTCCCAATCCCGGGCTCAGCGCAACACAAGCGCCCACGTCGTCGCTATGAGGAAATTGAGCGCATGTACAAGTGTGGTTGGCAGGGTTGCGAAAAGGCGTATGGTACTCTGAACCACTTGAATGCACACGTGACCATGCAATCGCACGGTGCGAAGCGTACTCCCGATGGTAAGTAATTTGTTTCTATTTTTTTTGGTTTGCGACTGGAGGTGTTTTCATCCTTTTTGTCGCAAATGGCTGGATCGGGTTAGCGCCCGTTAGACGCTAGTGAGTTACACTAGATGTCGCGGGGCCCGCAGTAGCGTAGCGTGGCTACGTGGGAAGTTCAGCCCATCCCTTTCCCGACGCCCCTACCCAGCACGCTATTCTGTTTTGGGTTTGGTTGCTGACATATAATCCTCCAGAGTTCAAGGAAATTCGCAAGGAATGGAAAGCTCGCAAGAAGGAAGAAGAGGCCCAGCGCAAGGCTGTCGAGGAGCGTGAGCGTGCCGCCGCTCAGGCCGTCCAGGCCAACCAGGTCGAAGCTCCCAATCCCTCCGACCCTTCTCATGGACAACCACCTGCCTACGGCGGTGGTGTTCGTCCCCAGCTTCCTCCCATCGGATACCAGCCTGCCGACAGCCAGGTCCCTGGCCCGTATGGCGGTCCCCCGGGCGCTGGGATGGTCTACCAGAACAATGGACAAATGTCCTACCCGCCCAACTACCCACACTCTCCATACCAGAGCGGACCGGTGTACCCGCAACGTGAGTAATGCCGTCAACCTATAGGATCGACCCTCTGGAAATCCCTTTTCATCTCCCTTTCGACAAGGTCATCCTCACCGGACCTGTCCGCTGATTCAAAATTCGCTACGGCTTCCAGAGACCACTTCCGCCAACTACCAATAATCATGTCCCAATAATCTTGCTGCTGTGTTTTCTTTTGTCTTCTTTTTTTTTCTGCTAATGGATCTACACGGACGGAACTGCATTTGCTTTTTCTAATCACGATATCCCCTGTCCTTGACTAATGTTCTCGTCTCGGACTCGACTCCCTGAAACTCCCCCATCCATCACCCATCGCCACCCCAAAGTCTTTCGTGCTATGATACCATCCTCTGCGGTTTTCTTTAATTCCGATCTGCCGAAGAGTGGCTTTTTCCAGCTTTGTTCAATACCTGTCTTTCTCCTTTAGAGTGCATCAGCTGAGACCTCGACCCCGGTCTCGGATTCATGTGTATCTTTATCTCCGCGTGCTCACTTGTCTGGGTTGTGGGCTCCCTAAGGATGGGCGGTTTCTTTTCTTTTTTTTTGCATCTGTTACTCTTCTTGACAGCATTTTCTCCCAAAACTGCTTTACATGCCGGGGGGTTTTTTGTTCTAGTCTCTTTTTGTCGATTCGTGCTTAACTTGACTTCGTGCAAGTCCCTCTCTCCTCTTTTCCCCTAACGTACATTATGCTCTGCCAGTCTTGTCAAGTCACTTCTGGGTAATTGAGACTCAATTGACTTGTTTTTCATCAACTCATACATTGGTTCACACTTGAAACTACCCAAAGTAGTATACCAAATAATTTCTCCACGCAATAGTACCTGGGCAAGCGAAAGGAATTAGAAATTCGTTAATTGGATGGCTCTCCAAGGTTGTGTGCCATATATTGACTCCAGGCTGTTGTACAGCCCATTGGGAACTCACATAGTCCACAGCACATCCACAAACAACAACCATATCCACGGGTATCAAAAGCAGCCTAGCGGATCTCTGGAACCGCATAGCCACCCCGGCAGACAAGCACGGAACAAGGACCAAAGACCCGGATCGCCGTTCCCAACTAGAGTGTAAAAGGCTAGGGCAGCTGGTGCACCAGGTTAGGTTGGTGGTACACTAATTCGAGTTAGGCGGTGGGTACGGGGTATGCCAAAAGCATTAGAATTAAGAGACTAAAAAAAAATTTACTCCGCAAAGAGCTAAGCATTAGGCATTGACCATTAAGCCCTAAACAATGTGACATGTCAGCACGGCTGGGACAGGGTCCCGGGGTAGGGGCCCAACGCTAAGAGTAACTTTAAACGCAAAATTACCGTGATGATATCGGTGGCTGAGACTTAGTCCTTTCCCACGTGGAGTCGCAGGTACTAGTTCGTCTGGTATGCATACCTGGCTCATTTGGTCTGGTTTGGTTCAATTGCGTATTTTTAGTGCCCTGGTGGGGAATACTTGTTACTTTGTTTACAGCTGATGTTGGAATTTTGTCGAGTTTTTAGATAGATACCCTTGCACTTGGAATTTTCCACTGATCATTGATATATTGAGATTTCTTATTTGATTCGCCTTCCTTTGGTCCGTACCTTCTTGCCGTGATTCCGTGCTGAAAAGTACTGTTAGCGAAGTATTTGAAAAGGCGTGCATTCTCAAATATCTCTCCCTCTTTCATCTAGTTCATTTTTCGAATTCTGGCTGTCCTCTAACGATAACAAACTTCGCTTTGTTTCTGGGTAATGGATATAATTGGCGTTAGAGGTCTCTCGGGGAGATTTGTTTGACAGTGCAAGGGTAGTCACTCATAGCAAATTTCAAGTCATATTGTACTCAAATGACCGGGAACTCTATAACTGAGCCGAGTCCAATCTGTATATTTGAATTGGAAATTGGGTTAAAGCAAAAAGCCTGAACTTGGAAGGTTATCAAAAGTTTGAGGCGCTTGTGTAGACGCCTCTCGCGAAATATGAGTATAATGACCGAATATCAAGAGCTAGGGAGTTACAGTTGGTAATATTCAGCTGAAAGTAAAGTTAAGGGCTAATACCTTGATTGACGTAATGTTCCATTGTGGAAGCAAGAAATTCGATTGACAGGAGTCACGAAAATCACTGCAAATCTGTGACTCGGAATCAACAGCAATATTTCGTTTGAAAAGTGAGTGATGTGCACGTTCCCAAGCCCAGATATTGAATACACAACCTTAGAGTCAGCATAAGTATCTATATGTGTAGGCTATGGCTTCTTCATTGATGCCTGACGGGCTGAAGAATAGACGAGAAATGCGCACAAGCTGAAAAGGATGTGATAGAGCAAATGGTGCAGCGAAAGCGTCGGTAGCGCTGGACCAAAATCAGACTTACATGGATCGTACTAGGTAGACCTTTGGAAACAGGGCACCGGGCCTAAGTCCAAGGGTGATGTCTAAACAACTTGACCATCCTGGAGCGCGTGGAGAATTGTGGGGCTATTTGGCCTTTGCCCCACACACAGTTTGCGCCCCACTTTCGTTGATTAGTCATAATTCTGGGTTGGGATACCAATGGCTTCGAACCCTTCTCATGAGTAACTAAGCTGTTTCCAAGCGATTAAGTTGAGTAAGTGTCATCACCACTACCTTTAGTGCGCCTATTTCTGTGGTAGAATAGATTGGCAAATCCTTATTCATGGATGGTATCCAAAAATGACCTTGTGCAGCCTTCATCCACTGTTCCAGATACGACTGGATCGAGAACCATTGGCTATCCATGTTTCTCTATCCTCTATTTGCAACATGATATCAATTCTGGATATACTTGGTTGCGACTGGGCAGCGGGCATCACATCATTTTGCGGTTACCTACCCTAACAGTTGTCTCCGCGGAACCACCTTCCTATCGCGGTGCGCGGGGGCGCATATTAAACCCCCAGCAGTCCTCTCTTGAATTTCTATTGATTCAAGTCTGAAAAAATATCTCAAGTCCTCAACATGCCTCAAGTCTTTCTGTAAATCTATCTTTCTTTGTTGGTGCAGAATGTGCCATATGGTGCATCGGAGTCTAACCATCAATCTATAGAACTGGTGCCACTGGCTACATCGGAGGCGAAATTCTCCATGTTCTGCAGCAAGCTAACCCTGATTATGATGTTTCTGTTTTGATCAGAGACCAAGAAAAGGCCAACAAGGTCTTGGCTGCCTTCCCTCAGGTCCGCGTTGTCCTCGCAGATCTGGACAATGTCGACATAATCGAGGAAGAAGCACGCAAGGCCAATGTCGTCATTCGTGAGTTAGTGCAAGCCTGAAACCAATGAAACTTTGTTAACGGTGGTCCAGATGCTGCTAGCAACAAGCATGTTGCCAGTGTGAAGGCCATTGCGAAAGGCCTGGAAGGGCGCCAGGATGGTAAGCCCTCCATAGCCAGCACGTCGACTTGAGTTTGCAGCTGACTCAAGCAGGACATTACATCCAGGTGACCGGAGCGAGTGTTCTCGCGGGCCCTGAGGTCGATAACAATTCATATGGCGAGCCTTCGGATAAGATTGTTGACGATTTGGACAACGCCGAAGAGCTCCGCAGCATCATTCGCGCTTATAAGGACCGTCGAGTGGTCGACAACTATATCCTCGACCTCGACTCAAGTGGCCCCAAGACTGCTATTATCTTCCCTCCCATCATCTTCGGTGCCGGCAGAGGCCCTGTGAACCAGCGAAGCATCCAGATCCCTTCATTGGCTCGCTCGGGCCTTCAGCAACATGCTGGTCTATACCTCAACAAGGGTCTCAGCAAGTGGGGTGTCATTCACGTCTCTGACTTGGCCAGCCTCTTTGTTAAGCTTGCTGAACACGCCATCAATGCCACTCAGATTCCAATCTGGAATGAGAACGGCCTTTTCTTTGCGGAGAATGGTTTCGAGGTTCGTCCACACCCTATCCGATAGATCGACTTTTGTTTACTGACCAATTTCTGATTGTAGAGCTTCAAGGACATTGCTGGTCTTATTGCTAAGGAGGCACACAGCCTGGGCTATATCGAGTCTGCTGACTCGGTGAAATCCATCAACCTCGAGGAGGCCAATAAAGTCATCCCCGGCGGAGTGGTGTTCTTGGGTACCAACGGCCAAGGGCGAGCTTCGCGGGCGAAAAAGCTAGTAGGCTGGCAGCCGGAGGGAGTCCCCTTCCCCAAGGCAGTGCGTGATACCATTGTCGCCGAAGCGGCGCGTCTGTAATTATCTGATAAAATTAAATTGAGGTGGCCGTTGAATAGAGGTTATGTTGTCACATTCACTTTAATTGCAAGCATTTATTAGACACCCTGGAAGTGGACGAAACAGTCTACTCCGTACATTATCTCATGAACAAGAATTAGACGGATGACAAGTTGGAGTCCAATCCATGAGTTCAGGTTCCAGGAGGCCCATCAGGCCGGCCGAACTCTATTGAAGCGAGACGATGTGTTCATATAGAAACAGAGGTAAAGTCTGTAAGATAAATTGAAGATTCAAATCAAAAGATCCCAGGTAGAGACGAAGTGCCAAGCAGGTACACATCGATTGAGTCGGTCAGCCCCGCCCACTCACCGCCTCCACATCTGCCGGGTTTTACTTTTTTCCTTTACGATTTTTATTACCGCCAAACAGCCCTCTTCCAATTCACATACATTTGTTTGAGTTCTCCACCTTGTCGTCGACAATCATCATGGCGACCCTGGCGGAGAAGCTTGAGAAGATCAAGTCTCCCAAGCTGCAGAACCAGCACCATGTACGTGTTTCCAATCCATCTCAGTCAATCAGGACTAATAATTTCCGCAGACTGCTGTGGTGCTCTCTGCAGTTGAGGATACTCTCCGTGACCAAAAGGCAGACTTTTCGCCTACTGCTTATTTTGCGGCCCTCCTTGCGCTGCTCTCTCAGTCTTTGTCGGCATCCCAAGGCATCGTCAACAAAGATCTAGCTACATCCGTCGTCTACCTTCTTGATATCACAACCGCTTACGTCCCCGCCCCGATTCTCTGCGCCAAATTCTCCCAGATCCTCGAAAGTCTTGCTCCCGCGCTCTCTCTGCCGGAGGTCGAAGCCCCACTTCTGCGCCCCTCGATCGGCTGCCTCGAGTCTCTGCTCATCGCCCAGGATGCCGCTTCATGGAACCTTCCGCACACACAGGTCGGTCCGCGCCGCGCGATGGCCGGTCTGCTGAGTCTTTCGGTCGACCACCGCCCCAAGGTGCGCAAGCGCGCCCAGGAGGCACTCGTCACGGTCCTGAAGGCTCCTCCCCCGAGCCCGTCTCTCGACCACCCCGGTGCCGACATGTGTGCCCAATCCGCGATGAAGACTCTCGGTGATAGCATCTCGGCCGCTCACAAGCAAAAGAAGGGTCGCCACGACTCTCAGGCTAACAACCAGGAGCCTTTGATCATCCACTCGTTGCAGTTGGTCAAGACCATTGCTTCTGCATCTGGTGGCTGGCCCAGCAAGAAGATCGAGCCTCTCAGCGAGCTTCTGATGAACGCATCCAAGTCTAGCAACGAGTACATTACCATGGGTGCTTTCGAGGTGTTTGAGGTTATCTTTGAAGGAATGGCGGACGAGTTCTCCTCTTCAAAGCTGCCACGTCTGTTAGACGCAATTTCCGAGCTCAAGCCAGCACAGAATGACTCTCAACTCCTTCCTCCTTGGATCGCGGTTCTGTCGCGCGGCTACGACGTTGCTGCTCAGATCACCCCCGAGGACACTTTCGAGAAGCTGCCGGATCTCTTCACTCTGATTTCTGGATTCATGGCTTCTCCTTCTAGCAACATTCGTGTCTCCGCCTCCGAATGTCTGATCTCTTTCCTGCACAACTGTATTCCCAACAGTGTCATTGTTGAGCCTTCTGTCTACGACGAGAAGACCCTGGAGAAGCTGGCCAAGTCTGCCGTTGAGCTTCTCTCTGTCAAGTACCAGGCTGCCTGGAGAGAGGTGTTCAACGTGTGCTCGGCCATGTTCGATTGCTTCAAGTGGCGCTCAAGCCCCTACCTTGTCAAGATCGTCAGCACGGTTGGCGAGCTCCGCAGCAATGGTGGCTTTGCTGGTAAGAAGGAAGCTGACGCTGTTCTTGGCAGCGCCATCGAGGCAATGGGCCCCGAAGCTGTTTTGGAAATTCTCCCTCTCAACATCGTTGACCAGAAGGCTGGTCAACAGGGTCGCGTTTGGATGCTCCCTATCATGCGCGACAGCGTGACTAACACCAACCTCCGCCACTTCCGCACTGAGCTCGTTCCCCTGAGCGAGGCTCTCTACCAGAAGGTTGTTAACTTTGGTGCTGCTGAGAAGTCTGTCGAAGTCAAGATCTTCGAGACTCTCGTTCAACAGACTTGGGGCACTCTTCCCGGATACTGCGAGCTGCCACTTGACCTGGAGGAGGCATTCGACCAGAGCTTCGCCGAGCTGCTTTCTAATGTCCTTTACAAGCAGACTGAGCTGCGTGTTGATGTCTGCCGTGCTCTGCAGAACTTGGTTGAGTCAAACCAGGCCATTCTATCCGTTGAGAGCGAAGAGGAGGATCTTATCCTGCAACGACGCATCACCAAGGCTGCTGCTCAGAAGAACATCACTCACCTCGGTGGTCTTGCAAGCAACTTGCTGGCTGTGTTGTTCAACGTCTACAGCCAGACTCTTCCCCACTACCGTGGCTACATTCTGCAGTGTATCAACGCGTACTTGAGCATCACTCCTGAGAATGTACGTATTAACCTCTTGTATCAACAGTCCGACTAACAATAATAGGAGCTCAACGATACCTTCAACCGTGTCACATCCATGCTCGAGTCTTCCTTGACCACCGAGCAAGAGCAGGGTGCTCAACCCCAGGGCTCATCCGACAAGATGCCCCCTACCTCCCACACCCTGATTGACCTTGTCATCGCCATGTCCATCTACCTCCCCCGCTCCAGTTTCAGTGGCCTCTTCTCCATGGCCGCAGCCATTCTCAACAGCTCCTCCTCCAACCCGGATCAGCAACTCATCAAGAAGGCCTACAAGCTGATTCCTCGCCTCGGATCAACCGAGACTGGCCGCGCTGCTCTCGAAGAGCGCAGCGGGGAGTTGCAAGCCCTCATGCTCGCCACTACCGACAGCACTCCTGCCTCTGGCCGTCGTGACCGTATGCTCGCCATCACGGAAATGATCAACCACCTGCCCACCTCAGACCTGCACTTCATCCCGGCCATCCTGTCCGAAGTCGTGCTGGGCTGCAAGGAGAGCAACGAGAAGGCCCGCACTGCGGCCTTTGACCTGCTGATCCTCCTGGCTAAGCGCACAATCGACTCCGAGCGTAACCCGCCCGGAACTGTCATTCGTCGATCCCTCGTCCCCGGCGTGCCAGATGACATGCCCGATGCCCCCGCCACCCTCGAAGAGTTCTTCACCATGCTTTCGGCCGGTCTTGCAGGCTCGGCTCCTCACATGGTCGCCGCCTCCGTCACAGCGCTGTCCCGACTGTTCTTCGACTTCCAGAACCAGCTTCAGCCTGAGATGCTCAGCGAGCTCGTTGAGACAGTCGAGCTCTTCCTCACCTCCAGCAACCGCGAGATCGTCCGCTCCGTCCTTGGCTTCGTCAAGGTCGCCGTTGTCGTTCTTCCCGATGAGGCTCTGCGTCCTCGTCTCGCCACCCTCGTTCCCAACCTCATGGCTTGGAACAAGGAGCACAAGGGCCGTCTCCGCAGCAAGGTCAAGGGTATCATTGACCGACTTGTGCGCCGCTTCGGTGCTCCCCTCCTGGAAGCCATTGTCGGCGAAGAGGACCGCAAGCTCGTCGTCAATATCCGCAAAGCACGTGAGCGCAGCAAGCGTAAGAAGAAGGAAGGTGCCGAGGATGACGACGAAGAGGGCGAGGAGAAGGCTTCCAAGCCTCAATCCGGTAACGCCTTCGACAAGGCCGTCTACGGCTCCGACTCCGACTCCTCAGATGGCTCCGACGACGGCGACAGCGATGTCGAAGTCGACCAGCAGGCCCGTATCAAGGGTCGCGCAGGCAAGAAGGGCCAAAGCACCCAGTACATTCGCGAAATGTCTCCCGAAGACAACCCGCTTGATCTTCTTGGATCGAATGCTCTGGCCAGCATCTCCACCACGAAGCCCAGCCAGCGATTCCTCAACACGGGACCTGGGTCCAAGAAGAAGCGCAACGCCAAGTTCGACGCTGACGGCCGTCTTGTCCTCGGTGAGGATGGAGATGTTGTTGCCGACGATGTTGAGATGAGCGGTGCTGGCGATGGCGGTGTCAACGCCTACCTCGCTGCCGTGGCTGGACCTGATGCTGTCCGCCGTGGCCAGCGCGGTAAGGTGAAGATGGGCCAGTCTGGCAAGAAGAACGCTGACAGCATGGATGTCGATGACGAGGACCTGAAGCAGGACCTGCGCGCTTCTGGTGGCGGTCAGAGCTCTGCTCGTCGTGGTCTTGGTGCGCCCAAGGCTACTGGCGCTGGTGGCGGTAGTCGCATTGAGAAGCGTCGCAACCCCGCTAAGGCCCCGAGGGGTAACAACCGCTCGGGCTGGGGTAAGAAGAGGTAAAGAGGATAGGTAGCTTGTACTATCGTTCTCTGCGCCTCCGGGCTGGGTATGGATGGGAAGAGGACGGCATCTAGCAGATTCTGGAGTTTTTGTTTTTGTTTTTGTGTTTCTCTTTCTTTCTTGTCAGCCTCTGCCATCCATGGATGTCTTCGGTCCCGTGCTTAGTGTCAAAGTGTTTCTCATAATACCCTCCGCTGTGGTTCCGTTGACCCTGGGCCGTTCCGTTCTGATGCAGATCTCTGCGTCTTCATGATACGATCACGATTCTGTTCAAAAGTTTGTTAAGGTCAATGGACATAGATATTATTCTCCCTCTGTCTGGTACTCATATAGACTGTAACACTATGTAGCAGACCTCCAAGGTTGCTTTAATCCTTGCACCTCACTTTGATATCAGTCGTGGCCCATCGTATCATGCCCTCAAAAAAAAAAAAAAAAATTAAAAAAGAAGGGTGTATCAAGCATCAATCAGAACTTCATAAGACCAAGCCAGGCCGTTACCAGCTCGGCCAATTCCCCACAACCATATGCCGTAGACATTGAGTAGACCCCAGAGGCAACCTTGGCGCCCCTCCAGGCTCGATCATGAACTATAGCAGTCCAGAGTCCCGGTGAACCCCATAGAGCTCATCCGTTACCGGCATGCTTGAGAATCCACCGAAACTCCAGAGCCGATGCTACCCAAACAATCCAACCAACGCCATTGCAAGACATGGGCAAGCAAGAGACAAAGTCCCAAGCTAACATCTCATTCTAATATTGAGATCCAGTGCCTTGTTCTCCATGGCTCGACGGGAAGGAATCCAATCAGACCCAAAAAACAAATAAACCATAGAACCATCAGAACAAGATCTCGCCGCTGTGTTCGGGCTCGAAACCGAGAGCCTGCAACTCATCGTAACGCTTCTTATCGCCCTTTTTCCGCTTGTCCTCTTCCTTCTTCTTCAACTCCATCACTTCCTGGAACGACGCCTTGGTCAGCGTAGGTGGGATATCGTCTTCACGGTCCAGATCCTGTATGCAGTATCAGCAATGTGCGGTAATACAGCCGGGACGGTCTTACCACTTCGCCCAGTAGGAGGACGTTCTCTCCACGGACGATGAAGATCCCCCGCGGAACATCCGTATACAGTTGACCGGCATAAATGCGCTCGATAGTCTCCTGGAAAACAAGGTTTGCTGCACAACGTCAGACAGCAAGTCAAGTGTATCTGAAGCGAAACGCTTACCGAACTGGTCCCAACTACGTAGGACACCGATGAGTTTCCGTCCGTCGCGGAGGATGAGGACGAGTTTCTCTGGGGGCTCGGTCAGCTACTGCGGAACAAAGTGATCGCGAAGCGCATACTATCCGTTAAATCAAGCAACTGGGCAGCGGTGGTGAACATCTGCGGCGGTAATTGCGGGGGACCGCCTGTTGGCTGGGGCCCTGCTGGACCGAGGGCATTTTGGGATTGCTGTGCGAATTGGGTCTGTGGGCGGGGGCTGCGTTGCGCATTGGCAGGGCTTTCGTTTAGGGATAGACGCTCCATTTTCGGAGGAGGGGTCGAGATCAGGTCGAGAAGGGGAATGCGCTAAGCGAGTGGTCTAGGTTGGATTTCTAGGATTGTCGTTGAGCTGAGGGACGCGGAGCAAGTGAGGGCGGTGAGTGGCGGGTTTGGCTGATAACTGCGCTGGATTTGGACTTCTGCTATGCAAGATACGGAGTACAATGTCGCCAAATATACAAAAGTCTTCTTTTTCGAGACTTGGTCTCGCTCAAATCTTAACATGATTACAGTACAGCGAAAAGGGGGAATAATTCAGAAACAAAAAAAAAAAAAGGACACAAGAGAAACGGCTCCCCACTACACGACCCCAACACCCCTCTGCTGCCTCATCCTCTGCTCTCTCCGCTTACTATACGGCGCACAATAAGGTTCATCAGCGGAGCCAATACTCGCCCTGACACCATCCTGCGCGCGATGATATGCAGGACTCGACGGCGCAGGCGGCAACTGCATAGCCTTGAACTGCGCATCGGTGATAACCCGCATCCCATACAAATACCGCATGAGCTCGAAATCCGGCCGACTACCCGCCAACGTCTGCCCGGTACTGTAATGGAAGTCAGCGACGTGATCGAGCATTCGATCCCAGGCTGACGGCACGGGGTCCAACTTGAACGCAGACGGGGACGGGGACGGGGATTGGGGCTGGGAGAGAGATAGGGATGGGGACGGGGAATGAGAGTCGATGGGCGAGGAGACGGGGCCGGGGACGCCGTCGACGAACTTTGTGTTTGCGCACATTGGACAGCGCGCCGTCGAGGGCGTCGGGTGGGATCGGAAATGGCTGGTTATGTGGGTGCGCCATTCGTCGACGTCGTCGAAGGCTTCGTGGCAGTCTAGTGTATGGAAGAGACAGGCGTAGCTGGGAGACTGTGGCTCGCAGGTATGTCCATGTCCAAGTTCATGTTCTCGTTCTCGGACCTCTGAAAATGGACTCGAGTCGTTATAGACATAGACGCCGTTCTCGTCTATGTACTCGCTGCGTGGGCGGGTGGATGTTGAGGAGATGGAAGATCGGGGACTGGAGAGGTCGGGGGTAGGTGAGGCCATGCTCATGATGACTTCGCTTGTGCTTTCTACCGCTTGTACTGATTCCAAGGTTATGCTGGAAGAGCGGGCTCTAAGAGTAGAAGGGTCGCAAGCGTCGCGCTCCGACACGCTCCGCAAAACTAAAGGCGAGATTCACGTCAGAGATTCGATATTTGGCTTACATAGCATAAACAAGATTAGAGAGAGGAAAAGAAAGAGAAGAAAAAGAGAAGGGGAAAAAAGGAAAATGACCAAAGGTAGTGAGGGGAACGGAGTATAACGGGATCGGGGACATACAAGAATATTAAGCACCTTGTAGAGTGACATGCATATCTCCGACTCTTCAAGGTACAAAATCCATGTCCATGACTTCTCTGGAAAATTCCTTCAGGAGGGGGCGGGGCGCTTGGGCTAACGGTGCAGTAGGGCCATTCACCTTGAGGGCTCATAGGTTGGATGTGATGTGGGTTGGAGACTTGTTGATATCTGTCTGGGATACAACGGGCTTGTGTCACGGCTGTGTATTCCTTACGAGTGGTTGGTTTCACATCTGCTTTGATGCTGTTTCTTCGAATTTTCTCCCTCGAAATTTATAAATAACTATATCTACTTCATTGTTGGCTTTGGATCGTACGATGTATATGGAAGTAGAAGTACAGAAGGTTGCCGGGTGCCCGGTGGGGCCTGTAGGTTCCTTTTCTCGGCTGCCGCCGCTCGAGGGCGCTCGGGCAGCGAGTAGATGTCAGCACGGGCTGAGACGGGCCTGCTTGATTGCCCGCGGGCATCACTTGTGATGACTAATGCATACTTATCATTCAGACCAATCAGGAGTGTTCCTGTGAACTATATATGGCTCTATGTACGGAGTAGTAGGTGTTAACTCGTCCTGTGGATGCGGGAGTTGTAAAAGGCACATCTGGAGAAGTGGCAGGTTGGGGACCTCTAATCAAGTAGGATCTACTCGTCTAGGCAGGCACGATTTATCAAGCAGGTGCAACGTCCTCCTATACACTAGATAGCGTATGAGGTAGTCTACACAAGAGCCTTTTTATACCTAGGTAAGGTCTTTTTAGGCTGCTATCACAGGGTTTTATTCCATTAGATAAAGTCTGCTGTTCAGAAGAAAGTCTTCTCGTAAAACAAAAAGATTATTTCTTGCGGTAAACACGGTCGTCTTGTGGGAATTTGGCCATGTCGAACATCTTATCACAGAACAAACGAGCTGAGTGATCCTCGTCCGCATCAATGAGAGTGCGTACACTTGCCTCTGACTCGTGGTATTCATTAATAAGTTCTGGGAGAGTTCGATATGCCGCGATGATCTGTCTAGCCTCATCTGTCTCTAGTATCTCTCAATTCGGGATGATCTGATCGTGGGTTTTAGCCATGCTAGTCACCTGCTTTCGTGGTCCAGCTGTGCCCAGCTGTGTGTCGGTCATATTACGTGAGACCTTTTGCACGTGCTTATTGATCCGTTTGACAGTTGTCTGATGGAGATCATCTTCAGCCAGACGCTTGTTCTTCTTGTCCATCAGTGTATGGGATAGATGAGCGGTAGAACGAGGAGACGGCTCGTATTCTTCTTCACCTTGATCACAGTGGCGATGAACATGAGGAGTAATCGGTTCAAATTCCTCTTCAGATTCACCATGGTCACTGGACCTGTCCTTTCATGGCCGGTTCAGTGACCATGGTGCCGCAAGGTCATCGCAATAGCCAGTCGCGGGTAGCACGTTCAGATATACCATAGGCGCGAGCAGATCATCTGGCATTGCCAGCAGTTGACCAACTTGGAAACCTTTGTATGGTGCGTTTCGAGATGCCTTCTTTTCGCCGACCTGAGCAGAGTATCGTCCCCTTTCCGATGGACGTCTTCCTGTCTTGATATCACCGTCTGAGATGAAGTCATAAGGCCAGTTATCAAAACGGAGACGTCCAATTAGTAGGGACGTTGTAATGATAGTCTCGAAAAATGGGATAAAAGCCCATTCCTCTTGCCAATCGGACATTTGACCGTCTTGATATCTGGCCTTATGACTTCATCTCAGACGGAGATATCAAGACAGGCAGACATCCAATCGGCAAGGGTGGTGTGATAGTAGCCTCGAAAAATGGGCTTTCATCCGGTCTTTCGAGGCTACTATGCATCATGCGGCGAGACTGCTGGCAAGGATCCAGTGGAAGTCCTCGGGAATTGCGAGCAGCTGGCCGGCCCGGAAGCCCTTGCATCGTTCCGAGCGGCCGTCTTGGAGCCCGCAGTGGCCGAGTAACAGCCGGCGCTCTTACCACAAAGAGCAGCGTATCGGCGAAAGACTTTGTCGTTGTTGGCACGCACTGCACCCATGCATAGCGAACATCGCCCATTGAATCAAAGTCGTATGTCAGAGTCCCATGTGGTCAAGTTGACAGCCGGCTCTCTTATGATGCGGAACAGCGTATCGATGAAGGCGGGCTTTTGTTGGCACACACACTGCACCCGTGCATGGCGAACATCGCCCGTTAACTCAAAGTCGTATATCAGAGGCTCATGTGGTCGAGTTGACAGACGTCTTCTTCAAATATATAGGTACAAGAGCCACCTGTCAATCTCTGGGAAATTAGTACGAGTACAAACACAGGCGGAAAGAGACGAACTTTAGGTGTGAGACTGGTTCAACGGAACAACATATATGACTGCTGTTCGCGATGGGTTCTGGACAGTTAGCACAGCTATGAGAATATGTGTATAAAGCCGTACCTTGAACGAAATACTCATTCTTTTAGGACAAAGCCGACAGATGTATCTATGGCATGTAATAGCCGCCTGCTAGTCTACATGGTGATCATCGGGTGGTGGAGAGTGATAGAGTTGTAGACGGACTTTCGCATCAGGTATTGGCTGACCAGACCTCCATCCATGAAGCTAGATAGACAAAGCTGAGAGAAGAAGATGGATGAGAGACGAAGTTGAATAGATAAGAGAAGAAGAGAAGATGGATAAGAGAAGAGGAAGATGAAGAAGGATGGAACGAGCTAGGTATAAATAGTAAGACGAGACCTCGGGAGAAGAAGAGGAAGAGAAAGAAGGGTGGGATGAGCTATAAATAGTAGGATGAAGGGGGCAAGTTGGCCAGAGAAGATGTCACGTATATATACAGGAGTTCTGTTAATATGTCATCTAGAAGTGAAATCTTGATGTTATGATAGGCTATATACACGCCCCCTGAGGCCTAAAAAGTGAGGCAGAGGTGAAGTGAGTAGTAGTTAGGGATATCTAGTGATGAGATTTATATGGTTTGGTATCATGATAGACTATGTTTACCCTGAGAAATGAATACCGAGATAGAAGTGAAGTAAAATAAGGTTGGTATTAAGGTCCCGTAGATTGAGTCAAAAGTAGTAGGTCTCGACTCACTAGATGCCATCCCACATGGTCCTGCAGCCTTGCCCTCCGTATCCGGATATGGTGGAGCTGTGTGTGGGCTCGACCCATTGCCTCGAGCCCTCACATCCCCAAAATCAAGCAAGGAGGGGCGCTGGGTCGAGACCCATGGCTGTCAGATTGATCCACAATTAAGGAGCCAAGTGAATGTCTTGCGTTTTTACATGCATATGGTGAATATTGATATTTAGTATTGATATTGGTCACTAATTGCACCAGCAGCTCAAATCTGGAAATAAAGCGAGTGCAATGTAGGTATGAGTGGCCAATCGATGTTCACTCCTTGGAATTAGCTTACAATTAAAATAAGAAGTGACTACTGTATATAGATGGCGAACACATAGGCGAGCAGGTGTTTGCCACAAGCGCCTACCAGGCCCAACTGTTAAATAGGGTTATCTGGATCATCCGACTTGCGAGGCAGGGAGCTCGTCTCTTCTTGCCGCTCAGGCTCGACTCCTTCACTGACGATGGGCTCCTGTTCAATGGCATGAATGGCATGCTCGACATTGACCACGGGCCCAGTGAACCAGCGGTGCGCATCAACAATCCACCACACTGTGACTGCCAGCATAGGCGCACCCCAAACAAGACACGTCCAGTTCATCAAATCCGGAGTCAAGTTTCCGCCAGTGACACTGGGCAAGCACAAAATTGGTACCATCAACAGCACAAATGAAACACCAATGCCACCAATATACGGCCCGAAAGGCCCAAGATGCCAAGGGCCCTTGCGGAACCTATTCCCAACAAAGAATACTCGAATAGTGATTGGAATCGCGAAAGCAAAAAACTGCGCAATCGCACCGATAGAAAACAGCGCTCCAATAGCAACTTCACCCGCAAGGATAAGCAGACACATCAATATCCCAAGCACTGCATTCAAAATAACCGCGTTGACAGGGGTCTGCGTATATGAATTAACCTGCTTCCAGTACCTGGACAAAGGGAAGCAATCGTCACGCGCGTATGCGTACGTAACTCTTGAGGCAGCAACCATGCACCCCTGACCCATTGAGAATCCACAAACAACCGTAAGTCCCAGAATAGCCATGGCTGTTTTCAGTGGCATAACTTGCAGCAAATATGAAGCCCAGGGCTGGCCGAGTTCGGAATCGATTACGGCCTCAATGTCAAGAACCGTGTAGGCAACTACCAGCTGCAGGAACCAGCCCATTAGTCCACCCACACCGGAGGTGAGGACGATGGCGCGTGGCGATGCGATATTTGCGTTCGAACACTCTTCACTCAGGTGGAATGGAGAGTCGTAGCCTGACATCGTCCATATCACACCGACAAAGGTCATTAAGACGGCGACGCCGTCTGGGAAGTCGGTAAGATTGGTTATGTGGCTCCAGACTTCTTTGCTTGGTGTGAACTTTGGGGTATTCTTGGTGTTTGCAGGAATCAGAATCAGGACGGTGATCAGTGCGATGAAGTTGAACGTCGAGCCCCAGGAGTTGAATTGCGCCACGCGTTTTGTCGGCATGCTGCTGATTCCTGCGTGCAGTATCATGATCAGAGTTGTGAGGAGAAATGTTTGCCATGTTGTTGGAACGTAGTCAGGATTGTTGATGGAGACGGCTGCTAATATCATCGCGCTGAGGGCGTAATTGACAGACGGCGCAGCTGTGATCTGACCAATCCAATTGGACCATCCAGTTATCCAAGCAGCGAACGGTCCGTATCCGGGCGGCGCGAGGACCGCTGCAGCGTAGTATAGCCCGCCACTAGGTTGCCAGTCAGCTCGGTCTTGATGATAGTGGCAGGATGCATACCTTGTGGGCATTGCCGAACATAGTTCTGCCATAGACATGGCAATACATTGAATAAATATCATGGCAATGATCCAACCCCAGACCATTCCAGCTGTCCCCGCATATCCCATTCCTTCAGGCCATCAACATCTGCTAGCAGTTGGAAATTAAGGGCACTCACCATAATACAGTGTACTTGCAAATGATGGGAGCAGGCCCAAAACAGCAAAGCTGACGCAAAAGGTTGTCCAAAGCGAGAACTCGCGCTTAAATTCTTGCTTGTAACCCAAAGCTGTGATCACCCTCTCGTCCGCATCCATATCACAGTTTGTATATGGTACATCGCCATCTGGAAGAACAGAAGTGACCTGGGCATGATTTAATTCATCATGAGGCTTGGACACTCCAGAGACCGAGGTTTTGGTCTCCATGCTTGCGCCCATGACAGTAAAGAGTGGTGCTACCCCTACCCCGGATGAATAGAGTGATATATAGTCAACCAACGAAATTAGACAGCCACCATGCAAGGGACAAAGAGCGAAGGAATGTTAGATCGAGTCTGACAACCGAAGGAAATCACTCATTCATAAATTAAACCGTAGAAAATGTTTCGACATCACCATAGGGTGGCACGGCTTGTTATCTTGACATGTTGCAGGTGGCGTCCCGCATGGCGCATTGACGATTGCGCATATTGCGGTGGATAATCGCTTATTGAGGTAGACGAACCTTGGAAGTATAAAGTTGAATGGGCCCTGTACTGGACGAGCCGAGATGGGACAAATATCACGAATGAGGGGTATCCCCAGAACTATACTTCACAGCCTGGAGAATATCCTGGGAAAGATAAGAGCAAATGACATGATTTCGAGTGAAAAATCAAGTTGATTGGCTTGATTGAACCGAAGGTGAATGTGAGATCCAACCCACACGTCGTTTCTCCGCACCTCGATGTCACTGATGATTCGCGGAGCAGAGACGAAAGCTATAGCACAGGGCTCAGATGATCCATGCCCGAGTTTGGCATAGATCCAGTCCCATCAGGGAAACTCCAGGCGTTGAACCACACGTGCCATGGGCTTAGCCTGAGCTTCGAATGCAAGGGCTCCAGGGCTGTTATCACGTTGATAAGCGTGTTTCGATAAGCATTCCGAAGTTATTACTGCTATTGTTGACCTCGACTTACCCAGATATGCTAGTCGCTTCTGGATCCCTCTTATCGAGGCTTGTTATCTCTGTTGGACTTGCCCTATTAAGAAGCATAGAATCGCTTGGGGCGAACGTGTTGTCTTATATAGAAACCGGCATTCGTTGACCTCTGGAGGCAAGTCTTGCTCTTGACCAGTAGCGTCCAGGTAGTTCTCGAGGCATTCCACAACATCGAACTACTGTATGGCTCCTCGTAAGCAAAAGGTGGAGCAAATATTGGTCATGGCACCGTGATAACACTCTTTGGAAAAAGTTGTTCTATGTGCTAATAAAACAGAAAAAGGACTTTGATTGGTATTCTACACTGCACAGCTCAATCCCATCACTCATCCGATTCGTACCGAATGATGACGGGTATATTCCGGGCGAGATAGTTTAGAAGGGCTGAGAAATAATGTTAGTACCATGTGACGGCAGTTCAACGGATGAGCTCAACTTACGTTGTCCTCGGGGGCAATGGTGCGGTCGAAGTAGGTATCGAAGAAAGGAAGCTGGCGGAGGATGTCGTTGCGCACACGGGGAACTTCACCGAAGATGAAGAGAGCACCGGTACCGACAGCGACACCGAATCCGGCAGCAATGGAGCCACTGTGCACAATATTTAGGACCGCTGAAGTCGTTTGAGGGGCATGGAGGGTTACTCACGCGTTGATAGCGGTAGGCAGGGTCATACCAGCGGCAGTGCGGGGAATGTAGTACCTTCAAGTTCACGATCGTTAGCTTTCGGCACTGCTTTATCTGATATGCTGTCGCTTTCTTCCTCCGGCTTCCGCCAGAGCGCACTCGCGGGTTACTTCTAGGATTCAGCTGCGCGAGGCGACAGTGTCACATATCACCAGAACAGCAAGACAGCGTTCACGAATGGCTCTGAACCAGCCTCTTTGCTTCGAATGCATAAATCCATGCCAATGACCAATGTGTACGCTTCGGGGACTGAGGGAGAAGGGCGGGACAGGTCTTACTTGGGCGCGTAGGCAGAGCCCTGGGCGGCGGCGCGGCGAGCAGTGGAGGCGAACTATTGATATGTGTAAGCGTTCGATGTTTCGTTCGGAAATGCTTTTTGTTCATCCTTCTGGCTCGGGAGACCGGCTGTTGCATGGTACCTGGTCATCCCTACCCGGAGGGCTTTCGAGCTGACTGGGAGTTCCCACGCAAAAGACAAGAGTCCGCAGGGAATTGTGCATATTGAAACTCACCATTTTGAATGACACCGATGTGATTTGGTGGGACAATTGCTAGGAGACGGGAGCTGGCACTTGGTGTCGACGAAAACCGGGAGTGCCCGAGTGTACACGTGACTTTCACTTCTACATCCAATCAGAGGGAACATAATTGTTTTAAGAATCAATGTCAATCATATAACGCGGAGAAACGATCGCAACAATTGACCTGAGTCCACCACAGATAATCATATATAGGCAATATCTAATTCAACTTCAGGACGATCGCTAGGCCTACAGATCTGAAACAATTGACTCTTCAAAACATGTATTTTAACAGGGGTACCTCTAGTAAAAGTTACAGAGATTATTCGAATTCACAGCCGTTCCGGATTGCAATTAGTTACCGCGCTCGAAGTAAGTCCACTGGCCGGGCTGGGGCTTCTCCTCAAGTTCCTCCCAGCTGTAAAAGCGTCAGCGACATGTCCGGACTGTAAGACCGAGAGGTTTTCACTTACACCTTGGCCTTGGCCAGCTCGTCCACAAGCTTGAGCTCAGCCTCAGCAACCTGGATGACCTCCTCGATAAGACCAGCACCGATCTTCTGCTCGACTTCGGAGATTCTGTTATAAATTAGCGCCTCGCTCATTCCTGAACTACCTCGAGTAGATGTGAACATACTGATCGGCATTGAGGGCGGGCTCGCTCTCCCACTTCATCTGCTGGTGGTAGAAGTCGTGCTCGGCCTTCTCAGTAGTCTCGCTAGCCTCAGCCATGATCTGAGCCCATTCGGCCTGTTCCTGCGGGGTACGGGGGCCACCACCGGGAACGGGGGGTCCTTCGCCGTCCCATTCCTCACCACGGGCGTTGTCGCTGCCGTCCTTCTGTTGAGCAGCAGCGTGGGTGAAGGAACCTTCGGTGCGCTGGACCTTGGCGAATCGCTCGGGCTCGGCACCGACGGTCTTGCGCACACGCTCTAACCAGGCATCGAAACCAGCGGGCTTTTGCGATTCGATAATTTGCAGGCGGTTGCGGGAGAGCGCTTCGACAGATTGGCGGTAGGCGGAGGACTCGGGGAACGCCTGAAGCTTTTGCAGAGTAGTCGAGTAAAGGTAGATGAGTGTAGGGCGCGGGCTGGGGTGGGTGAACAGGCCCGTCAAGCCGGTAGGAGCAAAAGGCTCCAGGTACCGGGGCTTGACATTGGCCAATAGCCGAAGTGTAGAGCGCATTGTGAATGTGATTGGGATGTATGGCGGTACTGCCCAGGGAGATCGAAAGTGTTCCAGGTCGGACCGGAGCGGATTAACCAGATGTTCCATTACCAAACGGCAGGGGGAAGAGATGAAACTCACCTTTTGCAATACCAACAAAGGACTCCGATTCTCTTCGGGCTGTGTGCAGTTCTATTTTGCCCGCAGCTTTTGGCGCTACAGTCTAAGCGCTGTATATTTGCGACGTGCCGACCAGTGCCCACCCGAGTCGTTCATCTTCGCCCCCGTCTAATGTGCCACCTGTGACATTCGCGATATCCTCCTTATTTCGACCTGAGTCCCTCGTTTTCCTCAGCAACGCTTGAACCCGTCTATACTTTCTTTCTCTCGCAGTCTACCTGCCTTTACTTGTCAAAATGAAATCATCTTGGCTGAGGTGGTCCCTCCTCTCACTGTTGGCCGTGCCTGCGTTGGGTACGCCATCAGATGCCTCCCCGGATCAGGGATCAGGGGACGCCCTCGTTAAGAGGTGGGGGGAATTGGTGGACTCCGATCAACCCACGACATTCAACGAGGCCGAGGTCCCCCCGTTGACGCAGCTGACACCAGACAATTTCGAAGAACTGACCAAAGATGGTTACTGGTGAGTATTCTCGATTGCAGCAGATGTGCTTATGCTGACGGCTCTAGGATGGTCAAACACTACTCCCCCTCCTGTCCCCACTGTAAGACGGCTGCTCCAATTTATCAGACTCTGTATGAGTACTACTACGTGAGTATTGACATAAATCGGCTTGTCGCGCTTGACTAATTGCCACAGACCTCCAATCCCTTGTTCTACTCCGCAGCGAAGCCTGACGAGCCCGAGTCTCTCAAGTCTTTCACCGGTCACTACAACTTCCATTTCGCGTCCATGAACTGTCTGGCGTACAAGGACTTCTGTACAGAGAAGAACATTGAATTCTACCCCGCCTGGGTGTTCTACGATAAGGGAGTTCAACAGATTACCCCCAGTGGAGTCAATCGGATGTCGGACATTGCGCAAATCATCGAAAACAAGCTCGAGCAGATCAAACCTGGGTCTAGACCCTCGCAGGGTGTGGAATTGCCCAAGATCAACGCTCGGAGTATGGAAATGGTTGCGAAGCCAGAAGTTGCCAAGTCTACTGAGAAGACGGCCGTCGAGAAGGAGAGCATCAAGACTGCGGAGCTCGAGGGCTCCAGTCCTGATGCCGTCAAGGCCAAACTTCAAGGAAGACCGGCCAACCCATTGGGTGTCTCCATCCCTCTCACAGCGGAGAGCTTCCAGAAGCTTGTGACTACCACCCACGATCCCTGGATCATCAAGTTCTTTGTTCCGTGGTGTGGACATTGCCAGGCTTTGGCGCCGAACTGGAACTCAATGGCCAAGGAGATGAAGGATACCCTCAACGTCGGTGAAGTCAACTGCGAGGTCGAGAGAAGGCTTTGTGAGGATGCTCGCGTGAGCGCATACCCCACAATCTACTTCTTCCGGGGCGGAGAGAGGGTCGAGTACACCGGACTACGTGGCCTAGGAGATCTCATCTCTTACACCAGCAAGGCTGTCGGCGTCGGCTCAAGTATTCAGGATGTTGATGCTACCAGTTTCAAGGAGTTGGAACAAACTGAAGAGGTTCTCTTCTTGTACCTCTATGACCACGCCACGACCTCTGAAGATTTCGAGGCCATGAACCGACTGACCCTCAGTCTCGTGGGTCACGCTCGCATGGTCAAGAGTGATAGCGCTCAGCTGTCTGAGCGCTTCAAGATCTCTACCTGGCCCCGTCTTCTGGTCGTACGTGACGGACGTCCAAACTACTACAACGCCCTCGCTCCAAAGGACATGCGTGACTTCCGCCAGATCCTTTCGTGGATGCAGACCGTGTGGCTTCCCATTGTCCCCGAGCTCACTGCCTCGAACGCGCAAGAGATCATGGACCACAAGTTCGTCGTTCTGGGACTTCTCAGCCGCCGCCGCAGCGACGACTTCAAGCAATCCCGACGTGAATTGAAGGAGGCCGCCCTCGAATGGATGGACAAGCAGGTTCAACTGTTCCGTCTCGAGCGCGCCGAGCTTCGTGATTCCAAGCAGTTGCGTATCGAGGAAGCCGATGACCGCAATGACCAACGTGCCCTGCGAGCTGCGAAGAACATGCGTATCACCATTCGCGAGGACGACAAGAAGCAGGTTGCCTTCGCTTGGGTGGACGGAGACTTCTGGGAGCGCTGGCTGCGAACCACCTATGGAATTTCCGTGGAGACTGGTGATCGTGTGATCGTCAATGATGAAGATGTAAGTACACCGTGGGAAATATTCGAACCTGAAACTGACTATGTTAGAACCGCCGCTACTGGGACACCGCATCCAGTGGAGCTCCCATCATGGCCTCTCGCACGTCCATTCTGGAGACCATTCCTCTCGTCATTGCTTCCCCCTCGAAGCTCTCACCTAAATCCACCGTCGGCACTTTCGAAACCTTCTTCTTCTCCACATGGTCCCTCCTTAGCAGCCACCCGATCCTCTTTATCATTCTGGGCATCGTGCTCGCCGTGGCCACTGTCTTTGGACGTGGACGCCTTCGCCGCGGGGATAACCGCGGTGGTATTATTGGTAACACCAACAATGGTGGATTCTTCCACCTCGATGGCAAGGAGGGCTTCTTGAATGGAGGCTCGACCGACAAAGTCGACTAATGAGACAAATGTACAGTTAAGGTGTTGGGCTGCGCTTTCTTATAATTTTCTGTTTCCACTGTATCTGAATGATGCTGCTCTACTTTCATGCGATCGTCTTTTCGATTGATACCGTCTCATCTGAACCTTTTGCATGTCATACCAAATGGTTTCTTTCCCAAAGCACATATCTCTTGTTCCAATTATTTCCCCTATCATACGTACAACCGGGGTTCAGGCGTATCAAATTTTCAAGAACTATTTTGTTGAGGCCCGAAGTATCACATCGATGAATGCAATAATATACTACCTTTACAAATCCTAGCCAGCTGTTGTTGATGCAGCGGCGATGTCGCTCCGATGTAGATCCCCGATGCACGTATACACACGCTGAAGCGGAGAGTAGCCCAAACCAAGTGGTAGTCAAAATGCGATCATAGCCCAAATATAATTATCCAAGCACGGAGTAGCAATTGAGCTACTGCTAGACCAATACCCAATGTTTTATAGACTAGTCTAGAATGTACATCGGTCTCATACAAATGAGAGGGAAGGCGGTGAGCCGAGGCGGGAATCCCTTGTGGACACATACATTGCTGTCCCTGAACGAAGTGCTCTCCCTATAGCTCTTCTCTATCCGAATCCTTTCTTAATTACTCCAATCCTTCTTTTGCCCCGAGGCTCGCTGCCACCTGCCACCTGAGCTGTCCGAGCGGCTTGGGAATCCCCTCCTCGCTGTCAGGCTCCACGCCGCAACACACAAACACGCAACTCTTCCCCCACACAACATGCGGCTCGACGTCAAGGTACGCAATTGCAGATGATGCGATACTTTCGAGAAACTGCTCGATTGATCCTGCCAGACAATCAGCTATGAATCCCGGAGAAATTGGAGAGATTGCTGACAATAATGTTACAGAGGCAGCTATTTGCCCGCTCCGAGCGGGTAAAGGGGATTGATTTCCACCCTACAGAGCCTTGGGTAAGCTAACACAATTTACTGTCGCAATGATACTGTACTAATGACTATCTAGATTTTGACAACCTTGTACAGTGGTACGTTCATGGAGGGGCACTTTGCGGCGAGAGATCGAATGCGCTAATCACTCTGGCTCAGGTCATGTCTACATCTGGTCTTATGAATCACAGGTAAGCATGGAAATAGCACCATGTCGACTCACATCTGACTCGCATAGTCTATCATCAAAACATTCGAACTCACCGATGTCCCCGTCCGCGCCGGTCGATTCATTGCGCGGAAGAACTGGATTGTTTGCGGCTCAGATGACTTCCAGCTCCGTGTCTACAACTATAACACCTCTGAAAAAATCACCTCCTTCGAAGCACACCCCGATTACATTCGTTCTATCGCCGTCCACCCTACCCAGCCGTTTGTGCTCACAGCCTCCGATGACATGACAATTAAGCTTTGGGATTGGGAGAAGGGCTGGAAGTGTGTGCAGATCTTCGAAGGCCACAGCCACTATGTAATGGGAATGTCCATCAACCCCAAGGACACCAACACTTTCGCGTCCGCATGTTTGGACCGGACTGTCAAGATCTGGAACCTCGGCTCCCCCCCACGCCAACTTCACCCTCGAGGCCCACGAAACGAAGGGTGTCAACCATGTCGACTACTACCCCCAGGCTGACAAGCCCTACCTCCTCACAACCTCCGACGATAAGACCGTGAAGGTCTGGGACTACACCACAAAGGCACTCATTGCAACCCTCGAGGGCCACACAAGCAATGTTTCTTTCGCATGCTATCACCCCGAATTGCCCGTCATCATCTCAGGTTCCGAGGATGGTACTATCAAGATCTGGCATGCCAACACCTACCGCCTGGAGCAATCATTAAGCTATGGTCTGGAACGGGCATGGTGTGTTTCCTACCAGCGGGGCAGACAGGGCATCGCCATGGGTTTCGATGACGGTGCGGTTGTGGTGAAGATGGGTCGGGAGGAGCCTGCCGTCTCGATGGATGGCTCTGGTAAGCTCATCTGGGCTAGGCACAGTGAGGTGGTTTCATCAGTGATCAAGGGTGGTGATGCCACAATCAAGGACGGCGAACCCCTGTCGCTCCCAACGAAAGATCTGGGACAATGCGAGGTTTACCCACAGACACTCACCCACTCTCCCAATGGACGCTTTGTTTCAGTCTGTGGCGACGGCGAATACATCATCTACACCGCATTGGCGTGGAGAAATAAGGCTTTCGGACAAGCTCTCGACTTTGCCTGGGGATCAAAGGACAACAGCAATGACTACGCTATTCGCGAGTCATCGACAAGTGTCAAGATTTTCAAGAACTTCAAGGAGCAAAGCGCCGGTCTCGACGTCGGCTTCCAGGCCGAGGGTCTGTCCGATGGTGTTCTTCTCGGTGTGAAGGGCCAGGGCGGTATTGGTTTCTTCGATTGGGAGACTGGTAGCCTTGTCCGCAGAATCGAAGCTGACCCTAAATCTGTAAGTACTGTGATGACCTAAGACGATCACGAATGCTAATTTGAGCAGGTTTACTGGTCCGAATCTGGTGAACTTGTCACGCTCGCCTGTGATGAAGATTTCTACGTTCTTCGCTACTCACGGGAGGATTACATCAATGGCCTGAACGCCGGTGAGGTCGACGAGGATGGAGTGGAGGCAGCCGTTGAGTTGGTTGCCACCATCAACGAGACAGTCCGCACTGGTCAATGGGTTGGAGACTGCTTCATCTACACCAACTCAACCAACCGCCTGAACTACCTTGTCGGTGATCAAACCTACACAATCTCCCACTTCGATCAGCCAATGTACGTGCTTGGCTACCTGCCCCGTGATGGCCGTATCTACCTTGCCGACAAGGATGTCAACGCGGTCTCCTTCGGCTTGTCTCTCAGCATGCTCGAATACCAGACCGTGGTGCTCCGTGGCGATATGGACATGGCATCCGAGCTTCTCAGAGACGTGCCCCAGGATCAGATGAACAAGGTCGCCCGCTTCCTCGAGGGGCAAGGGTATAAGGAGATGGCTCTGGAAGTCGCCACGGACCCTGAGCACCGCTTCGAGTTGGCCCTCGCACTGAACGATCTTGAAACCGCACTCCTGATTGCTCGCGAGGCGAACGTCGAGCACAAGTGGAAGATCGTTGGTGACGCTGCTTTGGCCGGCTGGAACCTTGCTCTGGCCCAGGAGTGCTTCACCAACGCCAAGGATGTTGGCTCTCTGCTCCTTCTGCACACCGCCAGCAGCAACCGCGAAGGCCTCAAGTCTCTCGCTGCCCAGGCATCCGAGTCAGGTCTCCACAACGTTGCATTCTCCACCCTCTGGTCACTGGGAGATATCGATGGTTGCATCGCCCTCCTCGTTCAGACCAACCGCATCGCCGAGGCAGCCCTCTTCGCCCAGACCTACAAACCCTCTAGCGCTCCTAAGCTTGTTGTTCAATGGAAGGAATCCCTTGAGCAAACAGGCAAGACCAAGGTGGCCCGCCTTATTGGTGTGCCCCCGGTGCTCCTGACGTCACCACCGACGATGACCTCTTCCCAGAATGGGAGCAGTACATCCAACTAGAGAAGGATGGCGTTGTTCCTGAGCCTCCCTCGTCCGAGTCTCTGATCGATATCAACGGAGACGACGAGCCTGCCAGCGCCACTAACGGTGCACCCGAAGAGGAGGAGGCCGAGGAGGCCCACGAAGCCGCAGTTGACGAGGCCGACGCTGCCGAGGCCGAGTAAAGATAAAAGCACCTTGTTTAATTCTGGTGACTTTCGAGGAGAGTTAGGTAGATCGTTTGTTTATTTCGGCTGACAAGTCAGCTGATTCTTGATTGCGAGCGGCGTCTTAACGTGTGTCCGACTTTTCATTTTATTTGTAATTGCGCTGCGATATTTATCTGGAACGTGTCTAGATACAATGACAGCAAATGTTTTTCTCTACGGACCGGTTGCTACATAGACCAAAATTGTACATGTGTTCAATTGTCTTGTCCTACACATGATCAAAACCATCCACATCTAGCCCTCCGTGAAATTCGAAAACACCTCCCGCTGAGCAACAACAAACTCACTCTCGACAGTCTGCCGAATAGCTTCAGATCTAACCACAGGAATACATCCATACGGCTTTGCGCAATACAAGAAGCCGTGCTGATATCCCGTCACAGGATCACTATCAATCTCGCCTTCATCACTTGCTTTAAACTCGAACGCCCACAAGAGCTTCGCGATCGCGAGGAACATGTTACGCTCGGCCAAGTGAATGCCGGGGCAGATCCGTCGACTTACCCCGTAGCCGTAGTGATCACGACTCTCCCACTTGGCGGGGACATACTCCGGGGCCAGAGAAGGGTGGTTGGCGAATCGTTCAGGGATAAATGCCGCTGGGTCATGCTCTTGGTTGGGATCCATGTGTATACCCCAGGTATTAACCACGACGACGGTACCTTTTGGTAGGAACTTGCCATCGATCCAGTCGTCTAACTCGGTTAGCAAGGTCACATTTGAGGATTACAGTCGAGGTACGATAACGGCATACCTTCACCTAGAGCATGGGGAAAACAGAGAGGTAAAATCGGACGCCATCGATGTCCCTCCTTCACGATCATGTTAATATAAGGCAATCGCGCCAGGTCGTCCCAAACTGGGGATCTGTCATGTCCGACAACAGCATCGATCTCGGCATGCGCCTTGCGTTGAACATCCGGGTTCTGAATCAACGCCTGCACGATTGCCAATGTCAAGCTGGAGCTGGTGTCAGATCCTCCCTCCATCAAAACACCGCCGATAAATGCCAATTGATGCCGCGGTAGCTCGTTACGATCTTGCGTCGAGAGCACCCGGTCCATGAAAGTTCCAAGATCAGCACTGGATTCGCGACGTTTCTCTACCTTTTGAAGGATGCCTTCGTACAAGGTTTCCATCTGCACTCCAATGGCTCTTGCTTTGGTCACATAATTGCCGAAGAATCGCTCGGGGATATTCTTCAACCAAGGAAAGATATCCACCGGGGGTGTAGCGCCGGTTTCCATGATCTCAGACCACTGTTCCATGAGTTTGTAGAGTCGGTTCATGTTCTTGCCATGGCGATCGGCAGTACGGATTCCGAACACTGACGAGATATCTCAGTATATGATGAATGTCAAATCGAGCAGAAACAAACCAATTGAGTTGGTGATGCTGTTGCTATACCGCTTTGGATGAGCCATATGATGACCCGGATCAAGCATGTAGTCCCTGACAAGCTGAATCGCTTCGGCATTGACAATGCGCAAATGCGTGCTCTCCACCATTGACTCCATCAAATGCTGATGCACCAGGCGACGGAACGTCCGCCACTGTGGTCCATAATGCATCACGAGCAGATGATCGCCCTTGGTGATGAGCTCGTGAGAGACATAGGAGTGGGGTCGGTGGCTATAGAGAGCACTTTTGCTATCAATGACTTCTTTGACAATTCGTCTATCAGTGACAACAGCCATGTTGCTATTTCCCACTTTGAGCATGTATAGACCGCCATATTTACGGGCCCATTCGGTGAGTCTGTTGATCAGTATGCTGGGCACAAACTAAGCGCGACGTGGAAAGACGTACTTTATATGCGTGTACGATTTGGGTATCTGGTGTGCATTTCCAATAAATGGTACAGTGGGAGGGCCTGACTTTTGTCAGTATTGCACCCGCTTATGAGGAGGAACGAGCTCACCGTGCGGCATATTCGATGTGCGGTGTCCATAGGTCGAGGCCGCTCGAACGAAAAGAGCCAGCAGGACAACAGCCCCAGCGATGAACCACACAATAGGCTGCATTTTCTTTGTTTGAAGTTCGTTGAAGAGTGACAAGGAATTCAATATGATACTGATATAGCGGAGAGAACAGCGGGGAAATACCATCCTGGCCCCCTGCTCGTATCCCAAATTAGGTACTTACTAGCAGGGACTCAGACAGGCCTGATGGAGCATCGGAGATCCACTATCCTGCACCTGAACTGTAAAGCGAAGTGATACGCGGCTTAGATATTGGCCCGATCGGCGAGCATTTCGCGTCAAAGCCCAATTTGCCAAATGGAGAACAGGAGAAGTGAGCATTACTCAGAGCAAGTATGCGGCTGCTATTCCAATGACCCTAGCTACCAAAAAGATCTCCGAAACTCCCTGACGAGCCAATCAGTCAAGTATGCGCCACTACGCCACTGCTCTGCCTCAGGCGGGGGAACAGACTCAACGCATTCTCCTTCAGGTCTTCTACCGTGACTCCATCAGGCAATTCATTCTCAACAAACCGAGTAAATTGAACAATAGCATCCTTGGGCGCATTTGGAAAGTCACTCCCAAAGAGGATATGACCTGGTTGAGCAAACTCCACCAAGGCCTTGAGGGTTACTTCGTTTGCCGAAATAGCCGTGTCAAAATAGAACTCCCGTGCACGACGCAGAAGCTCCTCTCGACTGACTCCGATATTCCGGTCAGGCGGCATGCAAGGGAGCATGGTGGCCGCACGATGAATGAGGTAGGGCAAGGTGCCTCCGGCGTGGGAGAGGATGACTTTACAACCGGGGTTCTCGTGTAAGCGACCTGAAGTGGCCAAGTCCAAGGCAGTGCGGCCGGTCTCATGTGGATAGTCGAACATGGGCTGAGGCAGGGAGTTGTTGATCAGCGCTGTGTCTTGTGGGTGTGTTGGATGAACGAAGACCACTGCTTTACGACGGCTGAGCTCAGCCCAGATAGGCTTGAACGCCTCGTGGCCGAGGTAGTTGGGGCCTTGTCCATAGCGGGTGAAGAGTGTTACGCCATCAGCCCGAAGAATGTCCAATGCGTATCGGATCTCCTCAAGGACGAGCTCGGTGTCAAAGAGCGATGGGACCGAGGCGAAGAAGCCGTATCTTGTTGGGGAGGCGTCACGAATCCCTGCGGCGGAGATGTTGCATTCTCGGGCCAATTGAGCTGCAGCTGTGGGGTCTTTGGCGATGACTGGACCAGGAGCTGTGACTGACAGGATCGTGGTGTGCACGTCCATAATCTGGTTGATCTCCTGGTCGAGTTCGAGTGTCCAGGGAGGAATGTACCAGCCAGAGGGGTCTCCACCGGCTTCATCGAGAGCTGTTTATGTGAGTTGAGTTCTCGATTTTCATTGTTTTCCTTGGGTGTAAAAAAATCCGAGTACTAACCCGCCCGCATAGTAAGGGGATAAAAGTGGTGGTGGACGTCGATTTTCATTTTGTATAGATGTTTCGTACTTTGGATCTCAGGAGTGTTTTGGATGTGATTTGAAAATAATTGCAATGGCAGACACGATACTTTATATGCATTTCATACCACGACGCAAACGACCACTCCGTAAATGAAGCTATTCGGAGCCCAAAATTGGCGACAAATCCAGTTTAGATTGCAATAACTCCGATTCCCCATACAGAAGGCCAATTTAACACGCGCATAACTCTAGAAACAACCACTTCAGACCTGCATGTCAGACGCTAGTCAAATCGGGCAAAAAGCTCCTGCGCCTCGCGGAATTCCTTCTCGATCGTCCCTCTCTTCTCGCCCCGCAATCGGATTCCACAACCATACTCCTTTGGGCAATGCAGGAACCCCTGACTGGCCCCAGACTCCGGATCAATATCGCTGAAGCTGCCTACTGGCTGCGTGAACTCGAATGCCCACAACAACTTAGCAACACCAATGAAAAGGTTGCGCTCGGCCAAATGGATCCCAGGGCAGATGCGCCGACCCGCCCCGTATCCATAGTGATCGCGCTTGTCCCAATCTCCCGCGGTGTAGCCTGGTGCCAGCGACCGATAGCTTTCAAATCGGGATGGTTCGAACTGCTCCGGTGCCGGATACGTCTTTGGGTCGTGATGCATTCCCCACACATTTAGCACGATTGTTGCGCCTTTGGGTATCAACATGCCGTTGATGGTGTCATCTTGGGCGACTGCGTGCGGCACGCCTAGGGGACTGACCGGCCGCCAACGATGTGCTTCTTTGATAATGCAGTTGATATACGGTAGGTTCGCAAAGTCCGACCAGGCGGGCGATCGGTCTGTTCCCACGACGCGATCGATCTCTGCATGGGCCCTGTATTCTGTTTTAGGCTAGTCACTTGTGACAAAAGTGAGGAGAGGTTACCTCGCTTGAACGACCGGGAATTTAGTCATGGCTTGAATGATCGTCAGGATCAACGAGGACGAAGTGTCGGATCCGCCCTCCATCAAAACACCTCCCAAGAAGCGAAGCTGGCTCTCGGAGAGAGGCGTCTTCTCCATGCGGTCCAGCACGCGATCCATGAACGAATCCCGGTTGACACCCCTGGTACGGCGATCTCTAACCTGGTTCAGGACAGTTGAATAAAGCGTCTGCATCAAATTCTCCACTTCGAGGGCTCGGTTCTTCCAATTACCTGTCATCCACTGGGGAAGGGTACGCAGCAACCAGAAATCGTCAACTGGGGGAGTGGCTCCGAGTTCTTGCACCAACGACCATTTCTCCATCAGGTGGAACAGCTTTTCCATGTGCTCGTCGTGCACAGTCTTGGAACGAATGCCAAATACCAACGAGTTAGTAATGCTGTTACTGTACCGTTTAGGGTGAAGCATGTGGTCTTCCGGCTTGGTGAGAAAGTCATATACCATCTGGTTAGCTTCGGCCTCTTGCACTTTCCAATGCTCCTTTTCACAGTTGGGCTCCATAAAATATTGATGGATCATCTTTCGCAGCATCCGCCAGGTGTCGCCGTACTGCATTACCAGAAGGTGATCGGAGTGGGTGATGAGATGGGACACGAGAGATTTGGGCCGGTGGGAGTAGAGGTTACTTCTCTTGTCAAGAAGCTCTTTGAGAACTCTTCTATCGCTGATAACGATGGTGGTATTCTTGAAGCGTTTGAGCGTGAAGATACCTCCGAATTTCTCGGCCCATTTCATGAACCTGAACTGTGAGCCAACAGTGTATACAAGTTAGAGAAAATCGGCATACTGGAAATGCGCATCGCTCTTTGGAATCTGCAACTCATTCCCAAAAAATGGAACTGTGGGCGGGCCTGTACGATAGTCAGCCAGTTGATAATACTTCGTAGTAAACACAAACAAGGGAAATCACCAGGTGGCAGGGACGGATCTCTACGACCGGATTGCAGCACAGCACGAAGAATCAATGAAATGAGCCCAATGGCAGCAATCACGGCAGCAAAGCAAATGAAAGGAGACTGAGCAAAGACCATAGTGACGGTTTGCTCCGAGGTTCGATCTGAGAATGGAAATCCTACAAGCAATGGGAGCCGCTGAATATAAAGGACACGATTCTCAGCAAATATTAGATCCGCATAGTAATAAGAATCTATAAGGAGACTCGGAGTGAGCTTTCATGTGAGTCTCAACCGTTTTGGGTAATATCACGACTTCCACCAGAGAGATATACCGAATCGGGTAATGCCCAAATGTTACGAGTGTAGAGCACTCCATGCATTTGCGGACTGCTTGATTGGGAAAAGACTCTGCGTGGTGTATCTGCTCCTCTAGATTTTTGATAGGATAATGATGTATCTGTGGGTAGAATCTTTGGGGGACTTTGCAGGAGTTCTGGTTGATGCGATGCTTCAAGGTTGTTGAGTGTTGGACATCGAAAGAGTAATTCAAAGCTCACCAAGGGCATGGAGATATACAAGGGTCTACTTGGGGACCCAGCGTAAACGTCTGAGCTCTGAGTAAAAAAGAAGAGGGAAAACAGAAGAGAGGTAACTGCTTCTTACTACCCTCCAGCCTCCAGGGCTGGGAGTCACCCAGGGCATCTTCGTGAGGAGGACACATCACTCAACCCAGATGAATCAGGGAGTCATATGAGATTCAACACCGGAAGACGACAACTGCTACTGGGGTGAGCCCACTGATATTTTGGGGACAGTGAAAAGGTATACATCAATAGCATATGGAAGAGGGCAATGCTTCCAAAACTTAGTTCTGAGCGGGTTCCACGGGTGCTAGGGCTACACGCACACCCTACCTACTGACCTAGTGGCCAAGGCAGCACAGATCTCCCAAGGTAGACATCCACTCAACCGGAAGCAATTGAAAATGTATCAAATTTCTCAGGAGACCCCTGGGCATGTCAATTAATCAAGTAGTCAAGCTTTTCTACTTTTACGTCGAAGCCCTGGAGGTCAAAATAAGCTCGCAGATGTGGATTCCATTGACTGAAATACAATTAAACGATAATCACACGAAAACCAGGCTAGAAACACAGAGAACAGACAAGACGCCGCGAATATTGCTACTCAATGAACTCCAATTGGAACTCGTTTCTTGAGCAGACTTCCAATCTCCCAGTCGGCCCCGGTAGTCTCTCCAGTAACACCGTTGGTGCCATTGGTGCCGTTGGTATGACCATTGGTATTGCCATTGGTATGGCCGTTGATGCCTTTGGCGTGACCATGGATTCCATTAATGCCGCTGGTACCGTTGGCATGGCCGTTGGTGCCATTAGCATGACCAACAGTGGTGCTCGAGTTGCCATTGATACCATTCTGAGCATTCTCCACATAGACTCCATTCTCATATCTCGGCGCGTGCAGGACCAAAGGCTTCGGCGACATGTCTTGCACCCAGGGCTCATACTCAGCATTCTCGGGGGTGGAAGATGCTTCCAAAGCGACCTGCGCAGGCCAAGCCTTTTCCGCTGCAAACGCATCATGCACCAAATGGCGCTGGAAGAAAGAGCCCTTCATTTTGGCGACAGCAAAATCCCAGTCGGTCGTGTACTCCCTGAAAAAGGGCTTGTAGCCAAGAAGCCCACCAATCCAACGACCCACTATGACACAGGTCCAGTAGCCGACCTGGCGGCGGAAGGGGACCCACGCCGGGGCCGGGGTGTACGCGTCTCCACCATCTTGAATCTATCCACCGTTATGTCAGCGATTTAAATAATCTTGCAGAGCGAGAAGGAGATAAAGAAGGTAAGTAAAACACACAGCGAGGAATTGAATCCAGTCCAGACCGCCGTCGTGCAGCAGAGCATCGTGCCAGTATCCGTACCAATTCTCGAAAAAGATCCGATCCAGCTGATAGTCCATTCCGGAGTCCGAGGCACTAAGATAGACGGTCATGCTCTCCTCGGAATCAGGATGGATGAAGAAGTTGTGGACGCTGCCCGCTTTCACAGACACTTCGCCATCTTCAGCAGTGACGCGTTTTTCCTTCCCGTCGACATTGATTCCCATTACTCCAGACTCCACGCGAAAGTACTCCGTTTGGAATTGATGGAAGTGGGGCGGGGGGCCTTTAGGCCGGTTAGGGCTGTTGACCAGTTGGCGCAGGTTGTCGGGAATGGCGCCCTCAACATTGTGTCGGTAAGTCTGGCGGAAGAGAAAACATCTTCCAGGAGGTGGCTCGAGAAATTCAGTGGTGAGAAGACCGCCGAACCTGATTGAATTATTAGCGATGTTATTAACTTGAATGTTTGCAAAGACTGGACATACTTGACGATCTTGCTTTGACCGGCGGAGTTGTGGTAAGGGACGAAGGGCATCTTGACGACAATTTCAGTTGTTGACACTGACACAATTCGAGAAAGTTATTCATTTTATATATTCAACCATCAGTATGAAGCGTCGGTTGCAAACCTTGAGAAGAGTGTATTCGGAGAGGCTTCCAAAATTACTCCTTTAGGACGTTCCCCAACTCCGGAGCTGACCGTTGCATATGCCGTGCAGAACATGCAGCTTACTTGGGGAGCTGCCAAGTCGATTATCGGACAGGGCCAGAATACCCCCCGTTTGGTCTATTTTCTGACATACAATTACATTATTCCTTTCCTAATCCGTCTCATCCCAATTTGTCGTCGAGTTTGAGTCGCGCGATCGATCAGTCAATCTTGATGGAGATTGGAAAATCACCCAGATGGAGTTGAGACTCAACATCTGGCATCTAGGAGTAAGGACAATTGCTTTGGAGGGAATTCAGAAGTCCAATGCCTATCGCGAAGACTATATAGTCTCGTTCCCATCCGTTACTTACCATCCATCAGCACACAGAACCAGAACAGCCAAAGCCAAAGAAAGCCAAAGCCAACGAACATCAACAGTTCAATTCTCAACTTCTTGAAACTTCAAAGATTTGATACTTTACTTTCAATCCATCGAAATGCCTCACTACTCTTCCAACTCTTCTGACTCCGCGTCCACCGGGACCCCAGAGGCCGAGTACTCTGGCATGAGCACCCCCGTCACCGAGTTCAGTCAATTCGTGAGTCTCCTACAATATTACCAAACTACATTTAATAGATCGATAAAACTAACATGTCTAGAACTTTACAAAGGAGGTTGCTGTGGTCGGATTGGCCTGCCGCGTCGCTGGCGGCAACAACAACCCCGAGGAGCTCTGGCAATCTCTACTGCAGAAGCAAGACGCCTCGGGAGAGATCCCCGAGATGCGCTGGGAGCCGTACCTGCGCCGCGATCCTCGCAACGCCAAGATCCTCAAGGAGACTACCTCGCGTGGCTACTTCCTGGATCACCTCGAGGACTTTGACGCTCAGTTCTTCGGTATCTCCCCCAAGGAGGCCGAGCAGATGGACCCCCAGCAGCGTCTGTCCCTGGAGGTCACTTGGGAGGCGCTGGAGAACTCTGGCATCCCCGCCAAATCACTCTCGGGCAGTGACACTGCAGTCTTCTGGGGCGTCAACTCTGACGACTACTCCAAGTTGGTCCTCGAGGATCTGCCCAACGTGGAGGCCTGGATGGGCATTGGAACTGCCTACTGCGGCGTTCCAAACCGCATTTCGTACCATCTCAACCTGATGGGCCCCAGCACTGCTGTGGACGCAGCCTGTGCGTCCTCGCTGGTTGCTGTTCACCACGGTGTCCAGTCTATCATCCTCGGTGAATCCAAGGTCGCCATCGTGGGCGGAGTCAATGCTCTCTGTGGACCAGGTTTGACTCGCGTGCTCGACAAGGCCGGTGCAGTCTCGCCCGAAGGGCGATGCTGCTCATTTGACAACGATGTCAAGGGCTACGGTCGCGGCGAAGGAGCCGCTGCCATTGTGCTCAAGAACCTGTCGACTGCCATCCACGATGGTGACCACATCATGGCGGTGATTAAGGGAACTGCCGTGGGACAGGACGGCAAGACCAACGGCATCATGGCCCCCAATGCCAAAGCTCAGCAGCTGGTCGCCCGCAACGCCCTCAAGGCCGGCAACATCGATCCCCTGACAGTCGGATATGTCGAGGCTCATGCCACCTCCACCCCTCTGGGTGATCCCACTGAGGTCTCGGCCATGGCTGAGGTCTACGGCGCTGATCGCCAGTTCAACTCGCCGTGTTTCATCGGATCCATCAAGCCCAACATCGGTCACTTGGAAGCCGGTGCTGGAGCCATGGGCTTCATCAAGGCTGTCATGGCCGTCGAAAAGGGTGTTCTTGCCCCCCAGGCCAACCTCACCACACTCACCAAGAAGATTGACTGGAAGTGCGCTGGCCTCAAAGTCGTCCAGGAGGAAATAAAGTGGCCTTCCACCGAAGAGCTTCGCCGCGCTGCCATCTGCTCCTATGGCTACGGAGGGTCGGTGTCGCACGCTATCATCGAGCAATTCAGCCTCCCAGAGAACCCTGATCTCACATCTGTCGCGCTCCCCTCGGTGGGCCCAACACTGCTCCTGCTTTCTGGCCCCCAGGAGAAGCGCCTGTCCGTCCAGGCTGGCGCTCTTGGAAAATGGTTGCAGTCGGAAGGTTCTCAGCAAGACTTGAAGAATGTCGCCTCAACTTTGGCAGTGCGTCGCGATCACCATGACTACCGCGCTGGTCTTGTCGTTGACAGCCAGGAAGATGCTATCAAGGCCCTCACCCAATTGGCTGAAGGCTCACAGAGCTCCAACGCCTGGATCTCGCAAAATCGCGTCTTTGGATCCGATGTTAACAAGGAGGTTGTCTGGGTTTTCTCCGGTCATGGAGCCCAGTGGCCTGCAATGGGCCAGGAGTTGTTGGAGAACTCCGTTTTCTTCCAAGCGATTGAACCCTTGGATGCGATCATCCAAGCTGAGATCAAGCTGTCTCCCATCGCTCTTCTCCGAAGCGGCCAATTCGAAGCATCTGATCACGTTCAGATCCTGACCTACATCATGCAGATTGGTATCGCCGCCGTTCTCAACAGCCATGGAGTTTATCCCCAGGCCATCATCGGTCACTCGGTTGGCGAGATTGCTGCCAGTGTAGTGGCTGGGGCTTTGACACCTGAAGAGGGTGCGATTCTCATCACCCGTCGGTCGCTGCTTTACCGGCAAGTCATGGGCCAGGGTGGCATGATTCTTGTCAGTAAGCCATACGCAGAGATGGCCGAAGAGCTTGCCAGCGACAAGAACCTTGTCGTTGCCATTGACTCCTCCCCCTCGTCCTGTGTTGTCGCCGGACCGACCGCAGCTGTCGCCCAAAAGGCCGCGGAGTTGAAGGAACGCTCTATCCAGACCTTCACCGTTCGCACCGACATTGCCTTCCACAGCCCCGAGTTGAACAAGCTGGTGGATCCCTTGCTGAAGGCCCTCCGCGGCAGCCTGAAGCCCAAGCCAGCAACCAACGCAAAGCTCTACTCCACCTCTCTATCTGACCCTCGTGGCCAGGACCTTCGCGATGCCACCTACTGGGTGAACAACATGGTCAATCCTGTCCATCTCACCCCCGCCGTGGAGGCCGCATTGGCGGATTCCTACCGGATCTTCTTGGAGGTCTCTTCGCACCCACTGGTCTCCCACTCTATCAATGAGACCATCATGGCAGCCGGCGTAGAGGAATACAGCATGATTCCGACCTTGGCGCGCAAGAAGCCCAGCGAGAAGAGCATCTTGAACGCGATCTCTCAGCTTCACAGCCGTGGTGCCGCAGTGGACTTCAAATCGACCTCGTCTGGCGCCTGGGCCGTTGGAGTGCCCAACACCCGCTGGCTTCACAAGCCTACTTGGCGCCAGGTTGAGGCCAAGGGTGCTGGGTCGACACAACAAACTCACGATGTCGAGAAGCACACTCTTCTCGGTCAGCGCATTGGCGTCGCTGGAACCGATACCGTGGTTTACACTACCCGCCTCGACAATGACAGCAAGCCTTTCCCCGGCAGCCACCCGCTGCACGGTACCGAGATTGTTCCTGCAGCCGGCTTGGTCAACACCTTTGTCAAAGCCACTGGAGCAAATGTCTTGAACAATGTTGTTCTGCGCGTCCCAGTCGCCATCAATGCTCCCCGATCGGTGCAGATCGTCGCCGAGCGCGATGAAGTGAAGATCATGTCTCGTCTGATTCCTGAGAACCAGAATGACGCTGACAACTCTTCTTGGGTCACTCACACCACTACCCGGTGGGAATCTACCCCCGCGAGTCCAGCCCTTCGCATCAATGTGGAAGCGGCCAAATCCCGCATTGGAACACGCCTGCGCGATGACTTCTCCATTGACTACCTCGACAAGGTCGGTGTGTCTGCCATGGGCTTCCCCTGGGCTATCACAGAGCACTACGGCACCACGCGCGAGATGATTGCCCGCGTCGATGTCGCTCCGGAGGTCGCAACTGGCACCGAGCTGCCGTGGGATGCGTCCTCCTGGGCACCGATTCTGGATGCCGCCACCTCGGTCGGTTCGACTATTTTCTTTGACCAGCCGCGTCTGCGCATGCCAGCCCAGATTGAACGAGTTGACATCTTCACCAAGGAGAACCCGCCCAAGGTCGGATGGTTGTATGTGCAGGAGGCCTCCGACTCTGCTCTTGCCTCTCATGTCAGCGTGTGTGACGAGGAGGGTAATGTGATGGCCAAGTTCACTTCCATGCGCTTTGCGGAGATCGAAGGAACCCCAGGCGTCAGTGGCAGCATGGACAGCCTTGTTCACCAGATGGCTTGGCCACCGGCTGTGCCCGCTGAGGAGCCCCTGCCTATCGACCACATTGTAATCGTTTCTGAGGACCAGGAGCTCGTCGAGAAGTACGCTTTGACATTGTCCAAGTCGACGAAAGCGATCAGCTTCTCCAAGGCCAGCGATCTTGCTGCACAGTGGGACAGTCTGGCCCTTGACCACAAGCGAACTGCTATTGCCTACCTCCCTGGTCGGGTCCTGTCTCTACAGGATGTTTCAAAGGCAACGGAGGACTTCACATGGCAGCTTCTTGAGATCACCAAGTTTGTGATCAACAACGCCCTGCCTGTCAAGATCTTCGCCATCACTTCCAACATCGCTGATGGATCCACCCCTACAGCCCTGGCACAGGCACCGCTCGTGGGTCTCAGTCGAGTCATTGCCAGCGAGCACGGTGATCAGTTCGGCGGTCTCATCGACACAGAGGTGCCGGTCTTCCCTCTGTCAACAATGCGGTACATCCAAGGCGCAGATATCATTCGCATTCGCGACGGTATGCCCCGCACTATGCGATTCCGACCTCTGTCCCGACACCTCCTCCTCCCAGCCGACAAGGGATCACAGTCGTCTCCGGCTCTCATGCCTCGCCCCGATGGCACCTATCTCATCACCGGTGGCCTGGGAGCTCTAGGCCTCGAAGTAGCAGACTTCCTCGTGAGCAAGGGTGCCCAACGTGTGATCCTGGTCTCTCGTCGTGCTCTCCCTCCACGTCGCACCTGGTCCGCCATGAAGTCCAACGACGCCCTTGCCCCGGCCATCGCTAAAATCCAGGACCTGGAGTCCCGCGGCGCATTCGTCCATGTCCTCGCTTTGGACATCAGTGTCCCAAGCGCCGCACAGCGCCTCACTGAGGCCCTGGACCAGCTCGCTCTGCCACCCGTTCGCGGTGTCGTTCACGCAGCTGGCGTGCTCGACAACGAGCTAGTCACGCAAACCACACGCGGCGCCTTCTCACGAGTGCTCGCCCCCAAGGTCACTGGTGGTCTCGTGTTGAACGAGGTCTTCCCAGCAGGCACGACGGACTTCTTCGTGCTGTTCTCCTCATGCGGCCAGCTTGTCGGCTTCACCGGTCAGAGCTCCTACGGTGCCGGCAATGCCTTCCTCGATACCCTGGCCACCCACCGTCGCCAACAGGGTGACCGCCACGCAGTTGCGATCCAGTGGACATCGTGGCGCGGACTCGGCATGGGAGCCAGCACAGACTTCATCAACGCTGAGCTGGAGAGCAAGGGTATCACCGATGTCTCGGCGGACGAGGCCTTCGGTGCCTGGATGCACCTTGCCAAGTACGATATTGACCACGCAGTCGTTCTTCGCAGTCTTGCCTTCGATGCCGACGAGCCTCTGCCTACTCCGGTCCTCACTGATATCGCTCAGCGCCGAGCACCAACTCAGTCTTCAGCCACTGAGAGCAGCGATCCTGCAGCTTCTTCTGGCAGTCAAGGCATGCCTCCTGCTGGTCCGGAACGCAAGGCATACCTCGACGAGGCAATCCGCTCTTGTGTCGCTGTTGTGCTCCACCTTGCCGCCGACGAAGTTGACTCCAAAGCCGCGTTGGCAGATCTTGGTGTTGACTCTGTCATGACAGTCACTCTGCGAAGACAATTGCAACAGTCACTTAAGGTCAAGGTTCCACCTACCCTGACCTGGAGCCACCCAACTGTGAGCCACTTGGTGAGTTGGTTCTCCGAAAAATTGGAATAGGAGGTCGAGCTCGTTGGTGACAACGAGATATCGACTTCAGTCACTCTTGATATTTTATCTTGCAGATTGATCAAGTTGGCCAGATTATGTTTGCCTTTCTCTTTGGTTATGTCTTTGGTTTGTTTATTGCCTGCGTTCCCATATATACTCGCGTTCTTATTTATACACGTGGTCCTGTTGATGCCTGAAGGCACAGGCCACCCGCTGTTGTCCACCGATTTGGCTAGACTTGTCCTTTTGCAACCTGATAGATGCGCAAGAAATTGATGAAAACTTGACTTTGACCTCCTCCTTTCAAAACTCCATATAGAAAAATCTCCAAAAGTAGGCGTTGATAACAAAGTGCAAAGGAAAAGAGAAATATTATTGAGGTCCATAGTCCTCCCAGGACTCCAATGACATGCCATTTGGCTTCCATTGGGAAGTATCTCCCATCGATAAGTCCATTGGAATATTAAAAGATGTGTCCATCAGATCAATCGGAGGAGTGACGGTGCTGGAATTGAAAAATTCAGCTTCTAGCATCATATTGGATCCCATCTTATTTGGGCTAAGCAGCCCAGACAAAAGATCATTCGACTGCGGAGTGGCGCTCATCCCCTGTGCAGGATTGAAACCAGTATTGGCAATGCTGACTGAAGATCCCATCGAGGATGGGGGCGGCATGTCTGATTCCGAAGCGCTTTGACTTGGAGGTGTGAGCTGCGACCACCCTCGCGGAGTAGAACTGGATCGGAACTGCTCCCAGGCTAGCTGGACAGTGTTTGCAATCGGAGTAAAAGACGGACCAAGAGTATCCAGATTTCGGAAAGCGGTTGGCAGGAGTTTCTTGGCTGCTGGGGTAGGGGGGCAGACTGGGTTGGCTAGGATAAATGAGAGCATGCAGATGGTTGCATCCCATTGGTATTGGAAGGCTGGGGCCCATCCGCGTAGAAGGTCCGTCTCTGACAGGACCTGGCTGAGAATATTTGTGACGAGCACAGCATGGTTGAGAGAGGTAATGCCATGACCATCGGTCAATGGTGTGAGGGTTGCGCCGCGAGGAGGAAAGCGGAGAAAGGGGCGGAAAAGAGTGATTTGCAAATGGTGATAGGTGATTTCCAGCAGCAACCGCTGACGCTGTAGCCAGAGGGGGCTAGCAGGGTTCGTGTTTACTGGTGTGCGATCTGTTGAGAAAGCATCGCCAGAGCATTTGCGCGCATTCTTGAGAGACCGTGGGACAGTCTGCACCCATTCGTACATGGGACGAGCAAAACTGGTCATAGATCTTGCGATCATTTCCAAGGTGGGCGGGTCCTCGTGGATATCCTCGATGTCTTTTGTCTGCAATATCTCAGCGCAGTATGCACCGAATGTAGCATGAACTGTGCGCGCTGCAGCCATGAGGCGGATATATTCAACGTGGAATGTAAGCCAGCTGATCTCCTCTTCGGGTGGTGATACCAAAACCGTCGCCGACGGTTGGACTGCATCACCTGTGTCTGAAGGCATTGCACAGCTGACTTCATCGGTGTTTATAAGCGGTGGGCGACCGAGAGTCATCGAAATCTGGCTGTCCAGCTGGTACAAAGTCCACCATATCCGCGAATGCAACTCCTGTGTTGCCTTTGGCACAGGGCCCACGGGCCGAAGGTGCAGGCGAAGCATCTGTGCGATTCTGATGGCCATTCCAAGCAGCACATGAGCGGTATCCAAATTTACGATGTTGTTGAGGTAAATGATGCAGTATATTTGACTCTGCAGTGACATGATCGAAGGATGTTCCAACGTCTCCATCAGCGCGCGCTGACTCCGGCGGTAAAAAGCATGCGCCGCGGTTGTGAAATGATTGGCTTGCGAGTCTGCCTCGCTGGCCATATCATCATCGTCGACCATGAAGCTACTACCGTAATGCATGCAGACAGCCAGTAGACTGTCCACAAGGGGAGAAGGCGAGCGCGGCGCTTGGCCGTTGCTTGGAACCCAAAGAGAATCATAATACTCTCGGAACTCTTGCTCTGCCACAATAGGGTACATGCTGTGATATCCCTGCCACAGGAGAACCAAGAAATGCTCTTCTTGCTCCCGAGACAGATCCTCGACCTCGGCTAGTCCGAGACGGAGACTGGGTCGTTCCGTCTCATCGGACAACTGCTCCTGAGAGATAGTCGGAGAATGTCTGTGGATTTGTGAAATGCGGACTGGAAGGGGCGATTTGAGATGCAGTTGGTTGGATGATTCCGACATGTAACGATTAAGGCGAATCACGAGGTACGGCGAGGATTGAGGGCCATAGTGGATGACCCGACCTGTCTGCGACCCCATATTTTGATGGCCATCCCATGTCTTGCGAGGCGCATTCGGGAGTTCGGTTGAAGTGGCGATGCTGGCAGGCGACGTGAGGGTATCGTAAGATTGCGATGGGTTTTTCGCGTCCCTGGGGTTCCTTTTGGCCTCATCGTTTAATTTATCCAGTTGCTCCTGGAAATCCTTGAGTCGGTTTCGCAAACGATGAATTTCCCTGAAGTCTTCTGATTAGTTTTCATGTACGGAGTACCTAGCACGAAAAACGCTAGTCCGGGGGGAAAAAGCAGGGGAGCAAGGGGGTCCAGGAGGCATACCGATTCGCAGCCGGAAGCGACTGGGCTTCAAATTTCTTGTTGTTGCTGCAGTATCCGCCGTGGTTCCGACAATTTTGACATGGCTGTTTATCATCGCACTTGATCCGGTTCAGCCGACACCAGTCGCAAGCCCGCCCGACCTGACTGCGCTTAGGACGGGGCGCGGGCTGCTCCGGCGGGCGATCGGTGGAGTTGAGATTAGCGGAAAAGGTGGAGAACATGGCAGTGACACCAAGTGCTCAGAAGGCGAGGTCTCAGAATGTCATGAATTGCCACAAAAGAGTATAGAAGAGCCGAGAGGGGGAAGAGAAAAGGAGGCGTCGAAATGGACAAAGGAGGGGCCAAAACCAGAAGTTCCCCCGTGATATAAACGAAAGCTTGTCAAGTTTGTAATCTTCTTACTTGGTTCTTTTGGCTTTTGATTTCTATGCCTTTCCAAACAGCAGATGAACACTCTCAATGAGAACAGGAAATATATGGGAAAAAAGAAACCGTACGCGTCAAAAATGAGGGTTGAAATTGTCTAATTCTGCTGTAAGCAGAATGATTGCGTCCTTTATAGTCCCTGGTGCCCAAAGAAACCCCACCAAATCAGAAGGAAATCCACTATGTCCGTTTTCCCGTGGGGTATTATCGTTCGGTAGGCAAAATCGAAATTTCCGTGAATCTTATGGCGGCATTCCGTAGTGGAGCAATTCTTCCGTAATTCGCAGGCATCAAACTGCATGGTACTCCGTACGGAGTATTGGCACTTGGTACATGTCCCTCTGGCAACCGATCCTGCTTCATTAGGCCACAACGAACCAATCGCGTAAAGCGATAGTTCGCATTGGGGAAGATATCAGTAGATCTTGGCGGTACCGTTGGTTTGAGACTGGTCAGAACAAAGGACGATCCAAGATGGCGTCCTTGATGGCGTCCAGCCTTCAAGGGGTTTCCGTCTGACATGCGTCTTGTGCGCACTCCCAAGGTGTGCATATCTGTTTGAAAGGGCGACGGGAGCAAATCGGAGTCCGCGTTCGAATCACTTGAGGCTCAAATCAACCGGCCGATGGGGTCCTTGCTGTATGCTGATTGGCGAGCATCTGTCGAAATCGGCCGCCCAGAAAATGATGAGGCGTCATCAGGTTACAGCCCCAAGACGCCTGAATGATCTCGAACGTGGATCTCGCGCCCAGCCGTGCTGCATTGGATAATCTTGACCCAGAAGGGTAAAAGGGTCGCAGAACCAAGACTTCGTGACGCCGATCCCTGCCAAAGGGTCTCACACCCAGGCGAGATAAGCCATCATGTCCCAGTCCAGTCACACACTCAACACCCCTGTCGATAGAATGGGTGATGTGTTGAAGCCACATCGGTTGGCGTCGAAAGGCGGATCTATGCTGTTCATTCCGGAAATTTGTCAGGGAGGGTTTGATTGTGTATTGAATACGCCATCCTTGCCTCCTATATCGTGAGAAAATCCGTGGCGGAGATTGGGGCCATGTACCCGCAGTGTGTTGCACTGCATATACGAGTCATTAAACGGTGTGCAGCGGGTGTATCCCCTAGCCGAAGCCTAAGCAAGAATAGGTCAGTGGGGTTCAGTGCAGTAGTGTTCCGGCTTCTAAGAGATGTTTCAGTATCTTACCTTTGTGGATCTGGTACCTTTTCAAGGGTCTGGATATGGAACTTGGTCATATATCCCAACACCCTTTCCCAATGGGAAGTTGTACAAGCAGGCTGTACTGGAAGAAAGTTGTTGGAACGAATTGTCATTGAAATGGGGAAAAGATCGGGCCGGGCCGGTAGATCTTTCCACGGGTGGATCTTGAAATTAAATACAGTCTATTATCTTTGATGTTATAGAAATCGTAAACGCAGAGGGATGACACATGAAAACCAAAAGAATACCAAGACACTTGCAGACAGAATTTGCCAATCCCACAAATTGGCCCCAAACGCCTCTAATAAAATCCGAAATGTCCAATTCAGCGGCGGCGGACCCGAATCAAATAGGTAAAGACCAGGACCATGGTGAAGTTGAAGGCAATGAAGCCGATGAAGACACCAACGTTACGACCGCGATTGCTGTAGCTGTAGTCATATTGTGTGTACTAATGACGGGGATAAAGTCAGCAAACCAATTCTAAGCCTCAAAATGTAAAACATGAAGGTAAGAATACTTACATAGGATTGACCGTCCTTGTACGGACAGTATTGACAGTTTTCAAAACTGTCTGGGTTGACCAAGTACCCTGTCGCATTCTGAAGGAAGGATGTCGCGTACTGGTAGCAGCTTGTGGCGCTGGGCGGCTGGAAGACGGACACCTCCGAATCGGTGCAACGGAGGGGTAGATCCCGCAGGACGTCTGTCACGACACCCTCGCTCCAGTAAAAGAGGGGGGGAGACCTTGTAATACCAGCTCCATCCAGCCGGTGTCACTGGCGCGGGAGATAAGGTACCGGCGAAAGTGTTGCAGAACATGAAGAAGAAGCCATTGGCGGAAAGAGCGGCCTCCACAGTGGGCATAAGCGAGGCACACAGCTGAGCCAAGCTAGTGGCAAACACGGAGAATAATTGGTACATCAGGAAACTGTAGCCTGCATGATCCGAGTCGCGGAAGTAGCCCACGGGGAAGTACCATAGCAACCAGTAGACGAGTGCGGTGAAGAAAGCATAAGGGAGCTCAACCAAAATTGCAGAGAAACTGAATGCCGTCCAGTGATAAGTCTGACTCTCGCGTTCTCGGTGTTCGAAGATATCGCGCAATGTCACAAATCGGGGCTGAACTTGCAGACCGAGGGGCGGACCCACAATCAGGGACATAAAGGCCGAGAAGACACGATTGTAGGCACCTCGCTGAGTCGATGGCGAGGCCAGATACGTCAGTCCGTTCAGCAATGCGTTGCCTGCATTCAGCCACAACTTGGCGCGAGCATAATCTGGCTCCCGCCAGTAGTATAGCCAAGTTCGCTTGAGTAGCACCAGCAATTGGTAATGGTATGGAGCCGCGTAGAGTGACACCGTTGTTTGAGGTCCACCAACAGCCATGCCGTCAGCCTCGGATGGTGCATGTGCATCTTGGTTGCCTGACTTGCTGTCGCAACTTTGCTTCCAGATATCCACCCAGTCTGTCTGGACGTCGGAACGGGTGCCAGCACCAATCACCTCCAAGAGATACTCAGCGGGGTTCTCTCCCTCGCGGCATGGGCGTGCATGGGGGGCAAAGTGAGCGACAGCCTTTTGGCAGTCAACGCCCAAAGGACCGTCGTAAACCACATGTCCACCTCGGGTCAGCAAGTAGAGCTCGTCGAATGTTGAGAGTAGTTCCGCGGCAGGCTGGTGGATGGTGCAGATGATCGCTTGGCCAGAGTCTGCGAGTCTTCGCAACAATCGAACAATGGAGTAAGCGGATTGTCCATCGAGGCCAGAAGTGGGCTCGTCCAAGAAAAGAATGTCCGGCTTCGGAGCCATTTCCACACCGATGCTGACCTTCTTGCGTTGTTCCAAGTTGAGGCCAGCCCCAGGGGTTCCGATCAGGGCGTCTGCAATCGACTCCATGTCCAGCGCACGAATTACCTCTTCGACGTAGGCGTCCTTCTCTTCCAGTGAGACATCTTGAGATTGGCGCAATCGAGCTGTCATTTGCAATGCTTCCCGCACACTTTGACTGGGAAGGTGGATATCCTGCTGTTGTACATACCCCATGTGCCGGTTGAATGACTTTGGCAGGACCTGTCCGTTGAGTTCCAGCTTTCCTGTCAATGTACCCTTTGATCGACCTGCCAAAGCGTTGAGCAGCGTGGTCTTTCCAGCACCAGATACACCCATCAGGGCCTTCATTTGACCGCTGTATACCGAACCGTTCAAGCTGGAAAGAAGGCGCTTCTCACCCTCCTTGGTCTTCACATCGAAACTGAGTCCTGTCCAAGTCAAGCTGCGGGACTTGTGTTCGATGGCGGCACGGCTGCGAACTGGGGCTTCACTCTGCATGGGAGGGACATCGAGATCCACTGTACCACTCTCTTGGTCGGATGATTTGGATCCTGGAAGGTTAGAAGATGTGTTGGGGTTCAAGCCACGGTAGAAGATAGTTGCAAGGCGGCCTGCAGGTTGCTTCAAACGTTCCATTCCAATACTATAAAGTTGTCAGCATTGAACAAGCATAATGGATGAGAAACCAGGAGGGAATTGTCAAACTCACGCTGAAGCCAAGCCAAAGAAAATGAATATAGCGATGTTGATGCCCAGGTTGCGCCAAAGGTTGGCTTGTTCAAATCCATATTGTGCCTTGATGTAAGCCATTCCGGACACAAGTCGCTGACCAGGCTCAGAGCCTACCACGACACAGACTTGATTGGCGATGTCGGTAAAGTCAGGTCCGGATGGAACTAGATCGGACAAGCTGCACTCGTAGCTCAAGTTGGCGAATTCATTGATCATGACAGACTCGAAAGCGTAGTAAAGTGGCTGATGATATATGTTAGTGAGATGTTTTGTTGACAGTTCGGATAGGAGACTTACATTCAAGTATCTCAACCAGCCAAGCCACACCTGCATCTGAGGTACTGGCACATACAGACCCGTGTACAGAACGTACATGTTGAAGAAGATTCCAACTGGTAGCACTGCACGGTACATATTCGATGAGAACACTGCGACCGAGCGGAAGAACATGGACAAGGCCAAGTGCTCGATGTATACCACGACAAACCAAGTGAAGAAGTTGGCGGCATTCATCTGGAAGCCGGTCAAGAAATACAGTGGGATATTCCAGAAAATGACGAGGATCTTCCAGACAACGTCCACAGAGATCAATCCGAAGCCATAGGCCATGGGTCGGTAGAGCCGGTATCGCTTGTGCTTGAGAATAAGAGGTCGTTGATCAAAAGTACTGCGGAACTCTGCCATTGCCTGCAACGCTGGAACCAGAACCGAGTAAAAGAGGGCAGATGCGAAGATAAACAGAGAGCCAGTGTTTTGCTTTTGGTTTCGGAACAATGTTCCCAAGATCAAGCTTTGAACAACGATACAGAGAGCTTCGACGAGCAAGCTGCTGTAGTTGTGCTGAATGATGCGAACTTGGCGCATCGTGCAGTAGGCAATCTGTTGGTAAAGTGGTAAAGCATATTGAGCGGACTTTGTGAGGCGGGCAACGGCGGGCAGAGAGTTGGCTCTCTTCACGGCTGACTGAAGCTCTTGGAAGTGAACACTGCGTTGGAACTCCTGCTGGAAGTCATCGGGTGTGCGAGGTGCGCGGCTTTGGTAGGCGTCGTGTACACGGCGGACCTCAGGGTCGGCAGACATGGAGTTCAAAAAGTCGGTGGTGGTGGTGGCAGGCGAGCACTCGAAACCGAGATTCAGGAAGTGTGACTTGGCTTCTTGGATGGTACCATAGAAGATCTGGCGTCCTGCATTGATGACAACAACCTTGTCAAAGTATGGAACAATGGCATCACTGCCTTGGTAGACACTCATGGCAGTCACACACTGAGATTGCTGAGTCCACTCGCGCATCATCTCCATGAACTCGAGCGCGGTCGAGGAGTCCAAGCCGTTGGTTGGGTTGTCCAAGCAAATGAGTCTATTTCTATCAGCATCTCTCTATTCAAATACAGGCGAGGCGGATTAACTTACCGTGCACATGTCGCCAATGCCTCGGCCAGCGAGACACGTCGCCTCTCACCTCCACTGACGCCACGAACATAGGCGTCACCCACTTTGGTGTTCAACACCTTAGTCAGTCCAACCAGTTGGGCTAGGTACCTGACCCTCTGCTCAATCTCTGCATTGGAGGGCTTGGTCCCACAGCGAGCCCTAACTGCAAAGCGCAGGGTCTCGAAAACGGTCAAAGTAGGGAAGTGGTCATCCGACTCGCCTGTTTATGCCATGAGCTTCTCTTCCAAAGTGGCGAGATGAATGCCGACTTACCGCAAAATACAATATCCTGAGGATTGTTTTCAATCACCGACTTCATGGGCTGTCCTCCGACAGCCAAGCTACCTTGGACGTCATGGTACTCGTCCCACATGCCAGCAAGGGTCTTCAAAAAGGTGGTACAGCCGCTTCCAGGCTTTCCAATGACCAGGATCATCTCCCCTGGCTGAATGGCAGCGGAAAAGTCCCTCAGAATAGGCCGAGTTGACGGGCGATGCAATCTATTTGTGATCGGCTCCAGAAGACCAAAGGCCGATTTCGCTTCTGTCACCATACTAGGGGCTGGAAGGGCCTGTAATCTGTCAATATCTCACTGCAGCTGCCCAGAGAATTTAGATGACTTACACCTGTGCCACTGCCTTCAACTGTGACATTATTCATGACGATTCTTGATGATTGTGGGTCATTTTCTTGACCATTGCCGAGAGCCAAGAAATGTTTCACGGTCAAGGCCACGGGCTCAACGCCCGTGAGTGAGCCATCGGAGTGCTCTTTGCTTGTAAGTGATTCGATGTCGACAGGTGTGGCTGAACCACTCCCTTCGGAGCCTTGATGCATTGTGTCTGATACTTCGAACTTCTCCATGATGCAGTGGATAGAATTGTTTTCTGTCCAATGCTGAGAAAGGTCGAATGAACTGTGATGGAGAATGAAGCCATGATGGGCGAGATAGACGCAGCTTATATGGTCAGAGTCTTCTTTGCTTTGAAATGGGTGTTAACGCGTTAGGAGTGCTGCGATAGGAATTGATGTTTTTCCCAATTAGGACGAGGACTTCCCAAAGGAGTTCCGGAGAGATCACCCGAAATGGCCCCACAAGCGCGCCGTTTCTTTGAGCTTCCCCCAAAAGTCCCCCAAAGCCCCCCCAAAAGCCTGCCATCCACCCTGTTCCCTACCCCTGCTCTCTCTTCCTATTCCGGTCATCCATAAGGAGCAGATGAGTCTTAACCGCCTCCTCTAGGAACTTTGTCAGCCTTCAAACGGTTCCTTTGATCACTAATCAGTTCCTGTCAGATCTCCCGATCCTCCCTTCCGTAAGGAGCAGATCAGAGATTAGATCTACCCGTTCCTGTTTAGGTGTCTTGGAAATCTCTCCGATCTTCCGATGTCCGCCAAGTTGAGGCTTTGTCATGCGGGGCTCGGTCTCCGGTCTAGTTACCATTTACAATTCACAGTCCCAAATAGGCTCTCTTTGTACCGAGCTGGAAAAGATATTTATTAACTAGTGACTGCTCTCCAATTAATCCCTTACCATCCAATTCATTCCGTCTTCTCTACAGCTTCCAAGGCTTCTCTACCAAAATCGCTTCTAATCAAGTCTCATTACTCTCTAACAATGCCTCTCGAAACCGGTCTCCAAGGCACTCATGTCCTCATCACGGGCGGCACTCGTGGCATGGGCCAGTCAATGGTCACACAATTCCTCCAAGAAGGTGCCAACGTCTCATACTGCGCCCGCACCGTTACCAACACCGAGTACGACGAGGTTCATGAATCCCTCCCCGCAGAAAACACTGCTCGCGCAGTCGGCACTGCCTTCGATGTTTCTTCAAAGGACGCGATCGTGAACTGGGTCAACAGCTCCGCTGAGCGCGTTGGACGGGTCGATATTGTCATTGCAAACGGTATGTGATTGGACCCTTCAATAAAATTGGGTAATAGACCGACTAACACTCTTTTTAGCATCCCCCATGCACATGGAAGGCGAAACCGAGCACTGGGAAAGTAGCTTCGCCATTGACGTGATGGGCTTCGTCGAGCTTGTCAAGGCCGCACAGCCTTATCTTGAGAAGTCTCCACAAGCCTCCATCATCGTCCAGAGCTCTTTCATGGGTCGTGAATTCTTCCGCGGCCCGCCAGCTGCTTACGGGCCTTGCAAGGCTGCTCAGCTGCAGCACGTGCAGGAACTTTCCCATTACTTGGGTCCCAAGGGCATCAGAATGAATGCGATCTCACCTGGTCCCGTTGTTGTCAAGGGCGGAGCTTGGGAGAAGGGCTTGATCGAGGCTCCCGAGTGGGTGGAGGAGCAGAGACTGAAGATTCCCTTAAAGCGTCTTGGTGGACCTCAGGAAATTTCGAATGTCGCGGTCTTCTTGGCCAGTCCGTTGGCTAGCTTTGTCACTGGAACCAATATCTTGGTGGATGGCGGTATCCACGTGGGTACACAATTCTGAGTACTTCACTGCATGGTCTGTTTGCTGGTTTCTGCGCTAGATAGAGGGTAATCTCGTTTTGTTTATGTTATTTTGACTTACTGCCGGGGTCCGAGGCTTCCCCTGTAGTACATCTAGATATCTTAGTTCCCCTCCATCCATAAATTGAGAACTGTACCTGTTAGCCTATCTCCCTCCGTCGGCAAAACTATGACATCTCATTTTATTGGTCACAAAGCAGTAGCTCGACCGTGCTTGGGCTTTCTATCATCTTGGAATAATTCAAGGCTAGGTACGCAAGATGTTTAGTGCATCAAGCGTTTGAGTGATATCACCCACATAACTGGACCTCATTTACCTCTTCCCTGCTGCTTGCAAGATCGATCCATGGTAATTTTCCAGGGGCGCAGCTCGTAAGATGAAACCCAGCTCATGCAAGATAGCTTCATTTCTCTTCCAAGGTTGCTTTTTACCTACTCCCTCTTTTCGGGGGTCTTGCATACCAGATGGCAAAATCCATGGGTACGGCCATTTCAATATAGTTTCCAATTTTTTGCTTTTAACAGAATCAAAGTAATAGAAACAAGGATACAAACGCCTATTAGAAAAATGCCCGAAAGTCGAAAAAAAGCAAAGGTAGCTGAGCCCCAAGATGCAAGTCTCACGACACTTCTGCGTGCTGATGTATTGCCGGACCGTAGTGCTTTTCCAATGCTGTCCCTATGTGTCTCTGTCCTCGAAATCATACCTAGGCATACACTTAGATCTATGGGTAGGAGCATATCGAACCTCATGTTGTAAGGAATTCCCTACAATAGAATTGTCGGTCAACGCCATTGTACATAGAAACCTTACATTAGTCCCATCTCGGCTATGGTTGCCTGATCATTTCACCCATGTTCAATACCACATACATTTCAGATACTCTCATTCAGCTGCCGAGATCTCATGAATAGAATCTGTTTAGATCAGGCTAATCAGTGATCGAGTTTTCTGTCAGCAATACGATACTCATCCAAGGCAAACACGTACTATTCCCTTCTTGCTATAGATTCGCTTACTCCGGTCGGGATGGCCCCCACTTCCTCTTAAAGCAACGGGCAAAGACAAGTCGCTGTTCCTGGATCTCCTTAATCTCTCATCGAACATAGCTCCTTCCGGTAGACCATCGTGCCATGCGGCAATCTGTGCATCTCACGATGCAGAAACCGAGTATGCCTTGGTCGCAATGGTTTATATATCACATACCTTGATGCCCAATTTCCTTGAAATCCAAGTCATTCATCCTCAATTGGAACCTCGAAACGCAAGAATACGTCACCATGCTTTCTATGCTTTCAATCCTAGCTTTTCTAGCAGGCGCTAGTTCGGCTAGCCCAGCCGTAGCTCCTCAGTGTCGATGCATGCCCACTGATTCCTGTTGGCCATCTGCGGAAGATTGGTCGGAATTCAATTCTACCCTGGGTGGGAGATTGATCAAAACGGTTCCATTAGCTGTATCTTGTCATGATCCAAGCTACAACGGCACTGAATGTCAATATCTTCGGAGCCAATGGACACAACCTGCTTTGCAGTGAGTATACATCTTCACTGCAATTCACGATCCAGTCTGGCTAATCTCGGAATTCGCACTGAAAGCGATGCTTCGTCGTCTTCCATCATGGCCGCGGCCGTTGCAAATGAAAGTTGTGATCCTTTCACTGCTGTATCAAGTCCGTGTCGGCTTGGGAACATGGTGTCCTATGCTGTCAACGTTTCTACTCCGGCGGAGATCGCCCAAACTATGACTTATGCAGCCGATAAGAACATTAGACTGGTTATCCGAAACACTGGCCATGAGTAAGTTTGAAAGAGAAATCAAGATTCCGAGAAGAAGTTCCAAAATATTGACATCGCAAAGTTATATATGGGCAAGTCGACCGGCGCTGGAGCTCTCTCCATCTGGACCCATCATTTGAAAGAGATCACAATCAACCACAATTACACTTCCCCACATTACACCGGACCAGCAGTCACCGTCGGTGCCGGCGTCCAGGGCGGGGAAGTCTATGCCGCCCTGCAAAAACAAAACTTGGTGATGGTCGGCGGCGAATGTGCCACCGTCGGACCAGCAGGCGGATACACACAAGGCGGCGGCCACTCCGCCCTCAGTTCGCGCTATGGTCTCGGCGCCGATCAGGCGCTGGAATGGGAGGTAATCGACGGCCAAGGTCGACTCTTGCGGGCTTCCAAGACTGAAAACTCCGATCTATACTGGGCTCTCAGCGGAGGTGGCGGCGGAACCTACGGCGTCGTGACGTCCTTGACTGTCAAAGCATTCCCCGATTTTCCGGTCGCGGGTGTGGTGCTTGAATTTGAAACCGATCCCGATAACCTCGATCCTTTTTATGATGCAGTGGAGTTCTATCATTCACTTGTGCCGACCCTCACGGCCGCAGGCGGCATGGCCATTGCCAACGTCATGAGCTCTTCTTTCCTGTTGACGCCACTTACCCTCCCCGATACAACTGGGGAGAGAGCTTTGGAGCTTGTTACCCCCTTCACCGATAAATTGGACCAGTTGAACATCAGCTATGCTATGAACCTTACCCATTTCCCATCATATACGGACCACTACAACGCGCTGATCGAGCCGAATCCCACCCAGCTCGTGAATAATGGTCAATACGGCGGAAAGCTTATTCCACTCGAGGTGGTCGAGCAGTCCAATTCAGCACTCACTGCTGCTATGAGGAGCATCACTCAGGATGGAGTGGCTTTTACCAGTATCGCATTGAATGTTTCGTCTGCTGTGACCGGAACGACTAACAATTCTATTCTGCCCTCCTGGAGAACCGCGGCAATGGATGTAATTCTTGCAACGTAAGTTCCTTGGAAGCTTTAAAACTTCTTCTCAGCGCGTGAGCATGTATTGACGTCCCAATTTAGGACCTGGCCGGAAAAAGCAAATCTTGGGGAAATGAAGCAGCTTGCCGATGACATGACCAACAAATGGATGCCAATGTTGACATCCCTTACCTCTGACCCAGGTTGCTACATGAATGAAGTATGTACCATGGCAGATTTGTGGTATCATTGAGAAATGTCATTAACAATATTCCCAGGCCGACCCTCAACAGCCGAACTGGCAGGAAGCTTTCTACGGGGTTAACTATGATCGACTGCTTGCAATCAAGAACAAGTATGATCCGCATAGTAACTTCTATGCACATACTGCTGTGGGTAGCGATAAGTGGGTGCAAGAGGCGGATGGGCGGTTGTGCCGGGCTGGTTCATCTTGATGATCTTATTTGCATTTGGTGACATAGCTCGAAAGGTGATGTATTGCATGTTAGGTACATATAAAACACAGGATCCATCCATCTCGATACAATCAATAGAGAATGATGATATTGTATGAATGTGTGAAGAGAAGAAGAGGGGGAGAGGAGCTGAAGGTAAGGTGCATGAGATAGAGGCCACATGTGATGCGACTGGCCACACCAGACCATGATTCCAACAATGTTTTGACCTTTCTGTCCAATTCAACCCTGAATCTAGCAACCTGTTTTCCAATAATCACTGTCTTTTTCCGGCACGGCTTTCCCACGACTTGTAGGAACCGTCCCGACGAACATGGGAGGACAAAAGCCTAGTTCCGCCAGCGCTATAGAAGCCCACTGTAATAATTTTCTGCTTTTCGTCTTTATCCTTGGCTGAAATGTGTGCCAAAGCACCTCTTAGGGAGAAGTCAGCCTGGGCAAAGGTCAGTGAAGGAGATGGACTCACTGTATCTTCGCATCAACAACTTTTGGGCTCTGGTTCCAAGATGACTCGTCAGTACGCCTGGTCGCTTGATACTGTTATGCAGAGAACTTATCTGCGCCTCCACCTTCGAAGCCGCACCGGAGAGGGCATTTTCCCATTCCGAGTCATTGTTCATCTGCACAACGTCCGCCACGGACACATTGCCAATCCAGTGACTTCTGCATTAGGTGAATGGAAAGGCACAACTGCAATTCAAGATAACGATCTTCATTCTCTAGAAGGAAGGCTCGAAGGAGAAGAAAAGGATGACTTTCTACGCTTTCTCCGACGAATGCTATGTTGGCTTCCTGAAGAAAGAGCCTCTGCAAAAGATCTGCTATTTGATCCTTGGCTAATGCATGGTCTTTTCAAGTGAAGCCATATTCGATTACCAAAGCGATAATGAGCTCTTTGCGATCACATTTGGAGCCAAAAAAGGAAAACTAGTGAAATAGCCTGAGTGGATGTTAAGGTGCAAAGGTTCAAATAAAGTTGAGACTGTTGCTATTTCGGTAACTTCTGCACGGAAGTGAAACGAGAACATGATAAAAGATCCGAAGTGGTATTGCATTGCCCATTGAAGAGTTTTATTGAAATACAAAACAAGGAAGTAGACAAGAACCACTTGAGAAAAGACCAACAAGGATAAGAAAGGAACCTGCCTAGAGAGAACGAACACTTGAGATGGAAAAAAGATGACCGAGCAAGAGACAAGAAAAATCAAATCGAAGCGCTCAACGGACAGATGAAACGAGGAGAGTAGCCGTCTCGAAGATCAGGGAGAGCAGCTCCGATATCAAGATGCCGCAATTCAAACTCCTTTGGGATGGGGGGAAAACCAGACAATGTTGAGGGATAGCAATAGAAAACTGGGAGAAGCAAGTTGACATTGATCATATGACGATGAAAGACACACGAGGTACGAAAGGGAGACCGATTTCGTAAATCTCCCTTCAATCAATCATTCTTCCACAGATCAAATATCAATCTAAGTTGACAAGGCGAAAAACGTTACTCCGGGATGCTTCCAAATGACGGGTCTTTGACACTGCCACCCGCGTCACCGAGACCGGCGACTGGGCGGTTGTATGACCATCCGGCGAATTGCTGTTGCATTGTCTGTGACAGAACGGGGCCGTCGACGTAAGAGTCCTGGGGTGCCTCAGAGGTGAATTCGCGATCAAAGTTCTCTGTGTCACGGGCATCAACCTGTACAACGTTAATCATCATTTTATCGGTGAGAGGTAAAAAAGGCTCGGGTCACATACCACGTTGGGTCTGAAGCTGGGCTCGTACTTCCTCTGCAGAAGCTTGCGCCAATCAATGTTGGCAAAGAAGTGATGCGACTTGATCTCAGCGGCACCATTGGCACCAAGTCGACGCTGGGGATCGCGGTCTAGCAATCGGGTGAGCAGATCCCGAGCAGCAGGGGGGACAATATCGCTGCTGGGGAAAGTGAGGGGCTCCTGCAAGATCTTGCGGTACATTTCGTTGACGATCTCATCATAGAATGGAGGAAGTCCCGTCAGCATCTCGTAGAGCAGAACACCCAGAGTCCACCAATCAACGGTCTTGGTGTAGCCGTTACCGAGCAGAAGTTCGGGGGCAAGGTATTCGGGAGTTCCACAGAAGGCTAAGCAGGGTTAGTTGTGAGCAATGAAAAGGAGTTTAGGAAATCTTACTGTTGGTTCGGTCCTCGTCCTTCATATCCAGCTTGCAAAGACCGAAATCACAGAGAGCAATGTGTCCGGTGTAATCAAGGAGAATGTTCTCGGGCTTGAGATCTCGGTAGATGACCTTGAATCCGTGCAGACATTCGAGGGCACAGAGCAACTCTGCAGTGTAGAATCGGGCTCTGTTGATATCGAAACGCTGTTCCCGTTGCAAGTGGTGGAACAACTCGCCTCCGTTCACAAATGCCAGCACGAAGTAAAGCTTCTCTGGTGATTGGAACGAGAACTTCAAGGGAACAATGAACGGATTGTTGATCTGAGCAAGCACTGATCGCTCGGCGAGTGTGTGCGTGACTTCGGACCGCGAGATAATGTGAGCCTTGCGGATTGTCTTCAGAGCGTAAATTCGGCCGGTATCCTTCTTCATGACCTGCATGACCTTGCCGAAACTTCCCTTACCCACAACCTTGAGCAAGTCGAAATCTTCAAGCTTGAGACTGCGCTGCTTGTTCTCCACAAATGAGATTCCGATTTTGATCGAACCGGCTCCAAATTGTAGGTCCAGCCATTCCGCACCCTGCTGGCCGAGTTGGCGACCCTGTTCTTCGTGGGCGGCGGCGGCCTTCTGGTTGTCCTTCTTGCTGAGTTTCGGGTCCTCGATGTAAGGCTGGGCTTCCTTGAAGCGGGGGTTGACCTTGCATGCGCCCAAGAAGATATCCTCACTCCGTCCGGCGCCAGGCCGGGCTGCGGGGTTGCGCAGGTACAACTGCACGTTCAACTCGGTCTTCCGGGACACATCGAATTTGAACGCCGTGTTGTCGCCAGCCCAAAGCGGGCTCTCGGGTGTACCCGACACAGCATCGACGAAAACTTGGTTCTTTTCGAAATCGAGGAGGGCGTAAGGGAGGTACTTGGTGGAATAGCGACCGTGGATAGTGGGGGCGGCATTGATTCCCCCGCTGGTAGACTGCGGGCGGCCCGACTGCACAAACGAGCCCGCTTGGTTTTGGGCCGAGTGGGATGAGGAAGAGGTGCTCGGACGTAAGGAGGAGGGCGCATAGGAGTTATTTTGGAAATGGTTGGCGAATATTTGTTGAAAATGAGGGGACAGTGAAAAATCGCGCCCTTCGTGGAGAGTAACGATCAGGATACCTGGGTTCACAGTAGCCACAGGAGGAGAAACGAGAGACTCAGAAGCCACTATTTTCGGGTTGAAACGATTAGTTCGCACTTCCCACGAATATTTCAGATCACGATTGAGATTGCATACGAATTCCGTTTGTTGACGGTGTGGCGGAGGCGATGCTGGGCGGGTTGGATGACACGGGCGTCGTTGCCTCATCGCCGTTTTCGCCCTTGATAGTGGACGTAGAGGACGAGCGGCCGAAGGAGGAGGTCAGGGGAGCCAGATGGGTCTCCTTCAACTCTGCACGAATGAATTAGCGATTGCCCTCCTCCGGGCATGGATTTGACCGCAGAGCAGGGAGGGGCTGTGGGTATTGAGGGAGAGGGGGAGACCAACTGCCAGTGAACATACTTTTAGTGAGCTTCCAGGACATAGTGGCGGTTGGTGGGAGGAAATCAAGGGAAAGAAGAAGAGATCAAAGTCCACGATCCCGCGATGCGTGGGTGTGCAGAGTGCTAGAATCACCTAACAACATGCAAAGGGGCCCCAAAGTAAACTTGGAGGACCACTCAGGAACACAGAGTACACACAAGCGCGCGCGCAACAGATGTATCGAAGACCACCAATATCCGAATGGAAGCACAACTAATAAGAGTGAAGTCAAGAAGTCAAGATCAAGAAATTGGATCTCCAGAAGAGGATGAGAGAGGGGAACCCCTGTAATTGAATTACATAGATTACGGTCTTGGTTGGCTGAGCCCGTCACACAATTGCCGGTAGGGCTGTAATTCCGGTAATTTACACAGCCTCAGGCTCTGACAGCCATTGCTCAGCCACTTTCAGCCACACTCTCCGCCCCAAGGGTGAACCTCATGAATTCAACTTCCCCACGCATTGTCGATTTACCAGAGTTCGGATGAAGCTTCTAGGTCTGTTTGTTCACTTTTCAGACTTCAGCCTTTTTTGTCTACATTGTTCATTGTGAGCTTGGGAATATTCCCCGCTCCGAAGTGCGGAGATCACCTACCCCGGAACACCACCTCTTCTGATCACAGCACACCTGACTACGCTCGTCTCCGTCCCTTTGAACTTTCGCTCAGTCCGGCTTGTTCTGTTTGAAGTGAATCTGCATATTCGGGGGATGAACCGGGTGGAGGGCCAATGGGTGTGATACGCAAGAAGACCGCCTCGCGCGGCACGGAGGCAGGCACGAAGTTTCACTGCGACGTGTGCTCGATTGATGTCACATCAACAGTACGTTCCAAATATTTTCGCCCTCTGGAATATGAGGGGGTTTTGAGAGATTCCAGAGCTAACGCGACCCAACTTCCCAGGTTCGCATCTCATGTGCCCATCCCGCCTGCCCCGAATACGATCTCTGTGTCCCCTGTTTCTCGTCCGGTGTGAGCTCGAAAAACCACGATCCATCAACGCATCCCTTCCAAGTGATTGAGCAGAACTCTGTTCCCATCTTCCAAGATGAATGGGGCGCCGACGAGGAACTGCTGTTGCTGGAAGGTGCTGAGATCTACGGACTGGGATCATGGGCGGACATCGCAGATCATATCGGTGGTTATCGCGACAAGGATGAAGTGCGCGATCACTACTACGCTACCTATATCGAGAGCGGGCACTTCCCGCTCGCAGACCACGCAGACCCGGCCGACCGAAGTCTCCAGGATTCCATCACCAAAGAGGAATTTCAAACGCGTAAGAAGCGGCGTATCGAGGACCGCAAGGATGCAGCCAAGGCAGCACCTCCGACTACACCGAAACAGAAACCGACCGCTAGTGTACCGGCTTGTCACGAAGTGCAAGGCTACATGCCTGGGCGATTGGAGTTTGAGACCGAATTCCTGAATGATGCCGAAGAAGCTGTGCAGCACATGACATTCGAGCCGGGCGCTGGGCTAAACGAGAATGGCGAGCCAGATGCAGAGACAGAGCTCAAGATGACTGTGGTCGACATTTACAACTCCCGCCTCACGGCACGCACGGAGCGCAAGAAGATCCTATTCGAGCACAACCTCCTTGAGTACCGAAAAAACACTGGCTTGGACAAGAAGCGCTCAAAGGAAGAGCGAGATTTGCTGAATAAGGCCAAACCCTTGGCGCGTATGATGAACAACAAGGACTTTGAGGACGTTAACAAGGGATTGGAATATGAGCATAATCTCCGCCTAGCGATTGCTCAACTTCAAGAATGGCGCTCAATGGGCATCGGAGACCTGAAGGCGGGCGAGAAGTTCGAACAGGACAAACAACAGCGCGTTCAACGATTACTTCCTCAAGGCTCCTTCGATCGATTTGCTAGCAATCGTCCCAAGCAGACTCAATTGACAGAGACACCGGCGGCGGCGATTCAATTGACCACGCCAGATCTTCCGCTGCGACTCCAGAAAGCTGCCAATCCACACGCGCCGCTGGATGCCGACGAGCCACTTAATGATTTCGATCGCGCATTCGCTGTTGATGGAGATGCCCCTCCCCCACAGCCCACAAAGACCAAATATGCGGTTCCCCCACTCAGCGGAATGCCGCCATGGAAATTGAATAATGACACCGCTGCCGATTTGCATCTCTTGACTAAAGAAGAGGTGGAAGTTTGCAACGTGCTCCGCATTATGCCAAAACCATATATGGTCGTCAAAGAGACACTCTTGAAGGAAGCAATGAAACAGGGCGGAAGTCTAAAGAAGAAAGATGCCCGTACAATCTGCAAGGTATGCATAATCCCCACTGATGCTAGTGCCACGCTTACTGACTTGGCCAGATCGAGGGAACCAAAATCAGTCGCATCTACGATTTCATGGTCCACAGCGGCTGGATCAACAAAGCGTAGATGCGCCAACGATGATCTATACCACAACCTCTTTTCTGTAGTCGATCGATATCCAGTTTTGATTTTGTTCAAGGAGCGGCTGGGGTGTTTTTTACTAGGCGTTGATATGAAAGATCGGTGGGAGTGTTGATATAACGAGTTTTTCAGATCAGTCTCGACAGGGACAATTAACACTGAATAAGTACTGCTTATAATCTCTTCTTATCCTATAGTTGATGCAGGATAACTCATCTAAAACAAATTGCCTAGGAAGCTGACGATGAAGTGATCCACATCTATCGGCCCTCGGTATCTTCTCCGCATTTACGCCGTACGCCGTACAAATAACCCCAACCCACTCACCAGCACCCACCAATCTCTCCTCCCAGATCCAACACAACCCTCTATAATTAATCAATTCTAAGCATTTCGCACCCACCTCCAACATGCCGAATTTCAAAATCCAACCCCCAACCCCAGCCCACGCAACACTAAGCTACCCATCTCCGCACGTCCTCCTCGTCACACTCTCCCGCCCCCGCGACCTAAACTGCATCAACGCGCAAGGCCACGCAGACCTACACTCAGTCTGGGAATGGCTAGATGAAGAGCCAAGTCTACGAGTCGGAGTCCTCACAGGACAAGGACGGGCCTTTTGCGCAGGTGCCGATCTAAAAGGTGAGACCTGGGACTCCGAGCTCGATCGCATGCACTCTCATCCAGCAACTAACGTCATGGTTATAGAATGGAACACGCGCGCCTCGTCTTCTAAATCCACACCCATGCCTAACAGTGGCTTTGGCGGTCTTGCGCGCCGCAAGGGTAAGAAGCCTGTTATCTGCGCTGTGAATGGGATTTGTCTTGGTGGGGGCGCGGAAATGATTATCAATGCTGATATTGTGATTGCGTGGACTGGGGCTGTTTTTGGATTGCCGGAGGTTAAGAGGGGGGTTGTTGCGTTGGCGGGGGCTTTGCCGAGGCTTGTTCGGACGGTGGGCAAGCAGAGGGCTATGGAGATGGTTTTGACGGGGAGGATGGTTGGTGCTGTGGAGGCTGAGAAGTGGGGGCTTGTGAATACTTTGGTTGATGCTGGGAAGGTGGAGAAGGGAGAGGCTGGACAGGCGGTTGTTTCGAAGGCTGTCGTTGCGAAGGCTTTGGAGGTCGCTGCGGAGATTGCGGGGAATAGTCCTGATGCGGTGCTTGTTAGTCGGGAGGGAGTGAAGTTGGGGTGGGAGGGAGTCGGAGCTGATGAGGCGACGTCTATGTTGAGTGAGACTTGGGTGAAGAGGTTGTATGAGGGGGAGAATATCAAGGAGGGTCTGACGGCTTTTGTGGAGAAGAGGAAGCCTGTCTGGGCTGATAGTAAACTTTGAACAGAAAGACGATGTGTCTTGTCTCTATATACGAGTTCGGGAAATCTTATCAGTTGTGAATGTTTCATTTCGCTATTCATACTACAGTTCGTAAAGTCATATCAAAAAACCTGGGTCCAATTCTCCCTCGCGCCATATCCTGGTATTCGCCATAATCCATGCTCACAATTCAATGCATCAGATGTGCGGTTGTCCTGCCTCTCTTTGAGTGATGTTAGGGGTGTTGTTGTAAGGTTGACAGGGAGAGGTTCCTACTTTGCGTCGGATTGTACACCGTCCACGACCTTGACCACATGGGGGAATAGAGGGTGGTCTCGGTCCAAGCCGGTCAACCGGACAGCAGCGTCGGCAGGCGAGTTATCCTTGAGGATCTTGGCCAGATCCACGCTCTCGTCGTCACCTTCCACGTTCTGGAATCGAAGAGCCATCTCGACAGAGCCCAACAATGACTCGAACTTTCCACCACGCTCAGCGAGTTGTGCGGCCGGGCCGATGAACCGTTCCTTGCGGGACAGTTTGCGAACAGGGGCTCGTCCCACGCGCTCAACGCTGTCTTCCAGGTAGTGGTTAGAGATACGGGCGATGATCGTCTCCACATATTCTTGCTGATCGGTGGCGCTGATCTCATGCTTGTCGACGATCAGGGCAGCGGTTTCTTGAAGCACATCCCGGACGATACCGCGAATGCGCTCATCCCTCAGGGCTTCGGCGATAGTCTTCTTGCCAGCATTGTATCCATAGTAAGCCGCGGTAGCATGTCCAGTATTGACGGTGAACAACTTGCGTTCAATGTAAGGCTCCAAGTTGCTGACCCAGTGAATGGCATCGATCTTGGGAGGACCGTGCTCGCCGAAGGGCCCGGACTCGACGGCCCACTCGTAGAACTTCTCGATGCGGACGTTGAGACCGGCATCTGGGGCTTGGGCAGGGACAATACGGTCGATGGCAGAGTTGGCAAAGCGGGCACGGTCTGGCATAGAGTCAACACGGTCTGCGGCAGTGTTGTCCTTGATGAATCCGTGAAGAGTATCAGTAGCGCCGATGGCATTCTCACAAGCAATCACAGCCAGTGGGGTGGCATCGGTGCGAGCATCAATACCCTTGGCAATGACAGGGGCAATGAACTTGAGGATATTAGGGCCCACGGCGCAGGTGACGACTTCGGCAGTTGAGATCTCCTTGATCACATCGGCCTCGTGTGTCTTAGAGTTGATTGCGCGGTAGTTGGTAATGGTCTTTGTTGCTTCGCCCTCATCACTAACCTCGGTGACTTGGTAAGACTTGGTGTTTTGCAAGGCATCAATGATCTTGTCCATGACATCGACAAAGACGACTTCATAGCCGGCCGTGTGAAGGAACTCCGCCACGAAGCCACGGCCGATGTTTCCACCACCGAAATGAATAGCCTTCTTCTCCATTATTGAGGGTTGGGCAAAAGGGTATGTGTGATTAGAGAGAGAGAGAGAGAGAGAGATAGAGAGGGAGAAGTTGGAAGGAGAAGTAAGGATGGAGAAGGCGGAAGGCGTAAGAGGTAGAAGTAGTACTGAAAGTAGAAGGAAGTCTAAACTGGTACTGCTGAAGTAAATAGCACTTTCTAGGGGAAGGTACGACTCTTTATATAGAAGAAAGAGGGGGGGGAAGAGGAGGATATGGATCCAAGGAGTATGAGCGTGGCATGGCCGTGGCTAGCCTAGAAAGTCCACGATGACTTCATAGATATTAGGCCCTGACGGAACTGGGCTCCGCCTTGTTTTCAAACATTGCCAGTCTTTGCGATACCCGTTCAATAATCCCTCTCTCTCTCTTCTCGGGAAAGTGTTTTTGAGGCCGAAATTGTTACACCTAACTCCCCGCTCTGTGTAATATGCAACCTCATACTCCGTCGACACTAATTACCGTGCAGTAGAGCGCGATGGCACCCCCACTTTCTTCCTCATTTGTCTTTCATACTTCAGGTTGGACTCTGCTCTCATTTGATATCCGATTCCCCAGTCCACTCACCGGACAAAGCCTCGGGGAAACTCGTAGTTGGTTCTTCCACATGGACGCTTTGACAGGAGACACGGAAACCTTGGCGGGTTTAGGGCCCAACACCGTGAGGTTATAGCCGGAGTACAGTAGTCCTGGGTTTAAATCCCTCTATGTGTCCTTACTTACGGCTTATTGTTCTATAATGTCTTTGAGATATAATGCGGGATGTAAACGTTCAAGTCCAATCTGTAGATAGAAGTTCTAGACCTTGCGTACTTCCTACTCCACTGTTATGTGGTGACGTCGGGTAAGACCCAGTTTTTTCCCCGTTAGTCGCGGCCTCACGAACTCCAAACAGCCAAAGCCAGAATATCGTGATTCCATCGCTATCCACGGGCTTCGATATAACTGACTGCAGCCTGTGGACTGCGCAAAGAAGCCCCTAGATTCAGCTGGAGGAGGACCGAACTTTCCTCCCATCGTCACGATTGGTCAAAACACGCAACCCTCAGATATTCCCGCAGCAAGTGGCCGGATTCGCAATGCAATTTCGCTTGAAACATATGCCCGCATTAACAAGTCTAGTCCAATTCGAGGTCTCGTTGGATTCATATGCTATTTTGATGATTTAGTTCCTAATTTGCCCGCCTCCGACTGGCTCCGGCCTTACCCCTCTATGTCCATCTCCTTTTCCATAGGCGGAGGGGGTGCCGGTCCACGAACGAATACATTCACAAAGCAGGCAACACTGCCCACCAAGAGTAGCCCCACAGCCGCCCATGTCATCCCGAGCAGTTTCTCTCCATACTTGGCCGACACATTCGACCCCTTGCCGTGGGCGTTAATCAAAGCCACAAATTCAAACGCGATGACCGTCGCAATAATCGATGCCACACTAACACTGAGAGATCCGAGCTGCAGAAATTCGCCGTATCACGTCAGCCACCGTCGTATTTGCATTTCTGGGGAATCTGGGGATCCCGGCGAGCACAGACGTGTTGCTCCGGGTCATTAACCCAGGGCCGCCGCCGTGACCGTGACCCCGAACGGGTAGCACTACCACTCACCATTATAAACCCGCACTCGATCTTGCCCTGACCGGCCCTGGGGGCAATCGCGGTCCACACTTTTACAAGGAGGGCCGCGCCCATCGCGCCAACCCCTATGCAGTACAACACCGCCATGGACCGAGTGGTCATTCTAAACGCATGGAAGTCGTCGCTGATCACGCGCGGCCACTCTAGCTCCGGTCCGTGAGAGACCTCTGGCCACTCTTGTGTCGGGTCGAACGAGAAGAGGATTTTGCGATGCGAGCAGTCGGTCACGTTGCGCGTGACTCCGGCGCTGGGATCGCTCGCTCCCAATGTTCCCTGGCAGTAGGACATGATGTGGACGGAATAGAAATCGTGCGCGGAGCTATCGGTGCTGCCTTCCGGTGTGTATAACTAGGTGGATATCCAGTCAGTATGGGTTGATGCTGGTGTGGGCGACCACGGCGGTCCCGGGCAACACTCACTGTTAAGAGGTCCACATTTTCTAAAAAAGTTCTTTTGCGTTCCTGCGAAAAGACACAGAATTGTGATTATAAAAGAGATGAATACCGTCACCGTCGGGAATAGAGCCCTGGGGTTGATCATGGTTGTTCCAAGGTTATGATGTGTAAGTTATGCTGGATGCTGGATGAGGTCGGCAATATGTTGTTAGATGGTCACTGTAGGCGATGCTATTCGCAGAAATGCTTATGGATATGATATGCAATTTTGTTGATAAATCTGAATGGCCAGAATCTACGATTCAAGCACTTCCACGATGCTTATAAGGGACCGAAGATCCGAGCCATCGCGACCTGGATTTCTCACGATATCTTCATTCCTGCCGTGGGCTGCCAAAATGGCTGGAACATTTGTGCCAAGTCAAAATTATTCGCGGTATGTAGACTCTCCGCCTGGTTTATGGGGAACACCTGATCAATGAAAATGCAACAAGCGCCAAGTTTAGAAAAGGAGAGGGTGTGGTGAGTCCCGCCCACGCGAGGAATGCTGCCAACCACGGACATGCATGTCAACGGGGCACCGGCTAAACAACCCCTCTCATAGAATCAAAGTTATTCCAAGGGGTCTTAAATCGTTAGCAGGGGCAATTACTGTCATGGGCTGGACTGGGCTGAAGAAGTTCGGATTTCAAGAGAACAGCCTCTTGGCACGATTGATCTCCATGACGTCCGCGATCAGCAGTCACTACAGTGGTTCGCCTTGACCCTACTTAAAAATGACATCTATTCAGTATATTGACCCAGAACAGCTTTTTGCAAGTTTCACTATTAGGCAAACATGTCTTTGTCAATAACAAAATCCATGACTATTCGCCCTTGCATGCATGTGATTGATACCTGTTTAACAATCGCCATTCACAGATTCACAGATTCACACTTTTTTGCATAACAGACTTCAAGGTTACCTCAACCTAAAGTCTACCTTGGATCACCTTGAACTATAGGTAGCCGTCACACAAAATCGGGAAACCCCCTCTACCTCGGCAAACAACGACCTCATCTTGACAACATGATCACTATCACCTCGTCATATTATTACTTTCAAGGCCTTCTACAGAAGTTCAAACGTCCCAAGAGCAATCGCAGCCCTTTCTTGAAATTTTCTCGTCACAGTCAGATGGTCGCTGGCTGCTCTGTTGATCCAAGGTTGTCAGCGAAGTTGGTCAAGCGCTCACTCGTTTGTTGAAGTTCATCCTTCTCTACATCCCACAGCAGCGGTGAGGCATATCCATTCTGCAACATCTGTCTTCCACTTCATCATCGTCTACGATCGACCCATTTGAGTGTTTCTTGACTCTTCTTGAACAAATTTCGTTATGGAAGATCCCCAGGTTTTGGAGGTGCTACTGGAGGAGGTTGACGAAGAACTTTTCCAGCTCGAAAGACAGAAGCAGCCAAATGCTGATAGCTGCCACTCCGGTAAGAATGACCCTGTGAAAGCTGAGATTGTTGAAGGTACTGGTGCTCGGGAATTTGCATCTGTTCATCATGTTCACACGCCAAGTACTCGAGGCTACACACATGCTACTGAAGATTGGAAATCTGCTGATGAAAATTGGAAACCTGCTGCTGGAAATTGGAAATATGCTGCTGAAAGGTGGAAAGATGCTGCTGAAAAGTGGAAATCTGTTGCCGAAGATCGGAAACCTGTTGCTCGAGCTCACACATGTGTAGAGCGTCGCGTCAACGCTCATATGTCAACGTTGAAGCCTGCGCCACCTTCAGACACATTCGATGGAAATGACGATGAGAGGGCGGCGCTCCAAGTTTGGAAAACTGAAATCGAGAAACAACTGACCTTATTGAGTGACCTTGAAACGGCCAGAGCCCTGGCTCTGGAAGACGAAACAGAAGAGACCGACGAAGGAGGTCCGGTGCCCGAAGTCAAACCCTCGAGATGGATTCCGGCGGATATTTGGAAGATTCTTGCCTCGATCAAGCGACATTTGGCAATCTTCAGGTTCATGAGCTGGGCTCATTCCAAGGACTTGATATGCGCCTGTTGTTCAGAGACTTATTCAAATGCTCGAAAAGGCTTACTGGCCAAATGCTCGCACTTCTACTGCAACAGCTGCTTGATTTCCATGGTGACGATATCTTTGAAAGACGGATCATTCTTCCCGCCTCAATGTTGCGGGCAGCCAATCACAGGATCGCGGATGAAAAAGGCCATAGGAGTTTCGTTGGATAACAGGCTCAAGGAGAAGGCAATTGAAATCAACGACCCTGACAAAACCTACTGCGTGGATGCGAAATGTGGACGATATCTCGTACCGAGAAACTCACTCCTGTCGAAAATTACGCAGGAGAAGACATCCACTTGCGAGTGCGGCGTTCGCACGTGCAGAGCATGCAAGTCGCTTGCTCACACTGGTATATGTCTCCACCTTCTAGATGATGCGTTCGAAGAGTTGAAGGTAGCCATGAAATGGCCGAAGTGTTACAATTGTGGACGAGTTGTGGAACGCATATCTGGCTGTAAAGATATCACGTAAGTGTTGAGTCCATCTGTGCAGGGTTTGCTGAGTGCCCAGGTGGTTTGTGTAGCAATTCATTGCTTGAGCCCTTTGCTGACGCTTCGCAGTTGTGTTTGTAGAGCTCTGTGGTGCTATGACTGTGGGAAGAAGGGGAGGGGATGCCGGTGCCGAGGGGAGACATGTACGACAATGTAGGGTATTGTGAGGTGGAGAGGGGAAGGGGGGAAGACAGAAAGAGATCTCTCGATCTACGCTATCTACCTGTGGAGAGCCTGACAAACCGGGCACCCACGGGCTCCGACACACCTGGGGGTGGTTGCTACAATTTGATTTACCTCATAGTTCATAGTCTAGAGACTTTGGGTGTTTCAAGTGTACATGGTTTCAAAAAGTTGTCCAAGGTTATGGTGAACATCGGCCCCGAGTCGCGGGTCTTCCACAGAGCCTCAGTAATGGGGCATAATATATATAATTTGCTTTCAACGGACTTCCGTGATTGTCCAGGTACCCAATCGCACCGAGTTCCTTCTACATTTTATGCTAGGTGGGCAGTAGGTACTCATGTGTCCGATGTGTTTATTTGCATTCCGAGGTTTCCCAAGTAAGCATCTCTCGAGTCCCAAGGTCATTGACACGAGCCGTGGAGGACGGTATCGCATATAACTTCTAAAGTTTCAAAGTTAGGTAGAATTTTGGAAAAACTACTCAACATTGAAAACCTGGGGACCAATCAAGGTTACAACCCCGGGGTTTGGAAGAGGGACTCTGGAACAAGCGGGTTGCCTTTGCTGAGACGGCCACCGAACATAGATGATATGCTTCACAGAACAGTTTGTCGGAAATTATTATCCAACCAGTGATATCACAGATCTTTCTAAGCTGACAAAAGGTTTTATCGCTCTACTCTGAATGGTCGTCACATGACAGTGGGCCGGGTGCAGGTTGCTATCCGAATTGGCCCAGCGCTACTCCAGCGCTTTGATAGAGATGCACCTAAATCGATATGTTGATGCGCATATTACCAAGGTTGACTACTATATTTCGTCCAAAAAGTGTCGATAAACACCTGAGCACTATGTCTCTTGCGATCACACGATCTATTGCCCGTTGCATTAGGATCTATGACGGACACAGTGCCGGAAAGGGCAAAACACAATCAAATGCTACCCTATGTTGTTTTGGAGCAGATCCCGACCATGCGACCCGTCTTTGGGCTCCCCATGGGTTTGAAGAGTTGAGGGTTTACTTCCAAATCCCGGGGATCCTCGCTGATGTCCCTGTTTCCAAAGTGGTGATCAACATAGCGTGGGTATATAATTACATTTCTGGCCTGCGTGTAATGTGGAATGCATAAAAAGTCCTAGATCACCAATCCAAAAGCCCGGTACCCAGATCTCGAAATTAGCCGTCAAACACTGATTTTGTAAATCTCGAGATTTCATTGGCGTCCCAAGGTGGCTATCCTGTGCGAACCCTGGAAATCCACGGGACGAGAACGGTAACGGCAAAAAGGGAACCAACTTGGATCAAAACTCTGACTTCATGCAAACCCATGGACCGCAATCTATTTATTTACACTCTGCTCGACAGGTATCATGAGTCGGGTCAGGTAACAGCCCTATAGGGAACGGCGACACACCTGCGTGCGCCAACGCAAGGGTACGATTCAAGCCAAGAATAAATTCATCGCCCAAGCGAAAGCCACCATAACATAGTGGCTTACTGTCGCATCGGAGTTCGAGCGCCGTGTCTGAAGGCAATAGTGCGCCTAGTGCGGTTGCCAAAAGCCTGGAAACCGCAGTATCAATTTATCTAATGCGACTTAGTTTTGACCCTAGTGGCAGCCAGTAAGGGGTCGGGGGTTGAACCGAAGGAGGAAGTACCGCGAGATGAACACGAGGAGCATTGATTATTTTCATGTCGGATAGACCGTCTGGAATGTGCCCTGCTGACTCGGGCTCATTCGGACATAACGAGCCGAGATCTTATCCTGTCGACCTACCTCTATGGGATAGCATCCAGAGGATCAACTGGCCTAGTGCTACTTGTAATATTATTTTTAAGATGAAAGCTACAGATCGGCACCGAATGACTTCAGCGTGGATACCAAGTGCAAGCATGAAACGGCAACGCAGGGCCTTCCAGAAAGCCTAGCTTCTAGAAGACAGCCCTCGAGCCAAGCCCCGATGCAAGACGGGACCTAGAACGAAACGCAAGCTGGAAAATTGAACCCACCCTCAGCAGTAAGCAAGAATGTCATCCGGGCTCGACGATTGGCTGTACATCGACTCGGGCGCGTGCAGGTAGAAGATCGGCCAGTATCCACGCCGATACATGTAGAAAGCCCCTGGATCGCAAAGAAAATAACGCAGCGGAACGGGGGCCCATGCATGCGAGGATGTCATACGCAAGGCCCGTTTTAGAGTTTGATACTCCGTTCTGGATTATTTCTCAAACGGTGTCCAAAGTAGGGAGGTTGCCGAGACACAAGCCCTGGCGTCTGGAAAGTAGCCAGCGACAGACGCGGGATTGGAGCACGTGCGTGCCACGATTCACGACAGCACCAAGCATTGGTGAAGCTCACTTGGCGACGCCTTCGCTTGGACGCCTATTGCTTGACGCGCTGTAGGTTTGCACCGGCTGACACGGGTAGGGAGGGCCGAGAAGCAAGCATTAGCCAAGATGTTGGATGTTGCTCGGCGTGTTGTGGTCGCATGCTCTCCTTTGAGATGTGCTTTTGGACCTCTCTGATCGATATTGAGTTGATAGCGTGGTTTTTCGAGAACGCCAGTCTCACCAGCATGGTCGATTGATAGTGTCAGACCACTATTTTCCATCAAACCACCCCTATACAGATGTAGCACACCCGAGATGGCGATGCATGGCTGCGAAACCACGTGTGGGAAGGTTTGAGGTAGGAGGTGAGGATGAGATGCACATGGGCACATGCTGGACGCTGAGTGGTCAGAGATCCATGCATAAACCCCGGGTTAGCGTGGAATGGGTTCACGCCACTACGTCAAAGGGCCAGAGCGGGCCGTTTTAACTTTTTTTTCGTCGGATCTCTAAACTGGAGACTGAACTCTCCATACTCCGACAGATACGAAGCTCCCCAGGACTATCCGCAGTGTACTCCGTAGCCTATCGGACTGCAGTGTGTCACCTTTGGTCAAAGCGCGGAAATGAAATCGCCCCTGGCCACGTCTGGCTCGGCCACTCTGCCATTGGTACTCGGTACTCCGCCATCCCACGTTGCCTCCAAACGAGCAGTCGCAATAATAGAAGGATTTGCATTAGTCTGCAATTATGTTGCCTTTTCCTGTTCGAGGGACATCCCTGGAGGATCTGTAGGGGCATATGGAAGATCAATAGTATTATCAAATCAGACAATCACACAAATCATCGCCCCAAATCGCACGTATGTAAAAGGACGAAATCGAACGCTCCCCGCGAAGATCTGCCCATCAGCCGACCGCCTACCGAAAGTGGCGATCTGCGTTCAGATTCTGCCACCACGTGCAGAGTTGATTGGCTGGCGGCAGCTCCAGTTGTCTCCGCAAGAGGCTCCACCAGATCCAGAGTTGCCGTTTTCGGCAGCAACAACCAGGCAAAATGGGACCCAAACCAGCCAAATCCGAGGGCCCGGCAGACTAGGCAGGACCACCCTCGAGCGGCCGAAACCCAACGCAGTTTCCATTTTTTTCTTTGCGGGTGGAGCCCGACACCGACTTATCAGCGATGGCCGCCATTGCATGTGTCCTTCGCTTGGCCTTTCCCATCTTTTTTCATTCTATTCCATTTCATATATAAACCAAAGCCGATCGCCACTGCTCTTGGATTCGATCATCCACAGCACTCGTGGTCATCTTCGACCTTTCTTCCTCTCCTCCCAGGACTCGACCCTGGTCGACCTACTCCAAAAAAAAATCCTGCTCACGCGACCACACCGTTGAGGGATTCTCGCTATAATGACCGACTTTGGACCTCGTGCCCCCCATGGGCCTGACATGTCGGGAGACCACAACCCTCTCGAAGACATGGATATCAACGAGAAGGGAGCTTTCGATTCCCTCATCCGGCCCGACGACAGCTATACCCCGGAGGGCACCTACTGGGCTGACCTGCCCATCCTCAAGAAGATCGGGTTCGTCAGCTCCTACAACAACAAGGAGGCGAAGCGTGAGATGAGTGGCATTTGGTCCATGGTGAAGGAGGATCCTCTCTCGCCCGTCTCTTACTACTTCCGCAACATGGTGCTCCCCGGTGCCGGTCTCGGTCTGGAGGGTTACGTGCTCTTCTCCATTGGTAACATCAAGCCATTGTTCGAAAAAGCGTTCCCAGACTGCTGGGATACACACCAGATTTGCAGTCAGCAATGGATTTACGCCATTGACTACTTGGAAATTATTGGAATTATCGTCGGACAGATCTTGGTTGGAATTTTGGGTGACTGGTAAGCAATTGCACAATCCACCAGAGAAACACCTCGGTTTCTAACACAGAATTAGGCTCGGTCGTCGTTGGGGTTTGATTCAGGATGCTACTATCATGTTGCTCGGTCTCATCATGTTGACTGCCGCCTGGGGTGTTACCCAGAACGGCTGGATTATCTGTTACGCCTGGTCTCTGTTCGTCTACGGTATTGGTGTCGGTGGTGAATACCCCATGACCGCTACCAGCGGTATGGAGAATGCCGTCGGCTCTGGCAAGATTTCTACCAAGGAGGATCGTCTGCACCGTGGTCGCAAGGTCACCAGCGCCTTCCTGATGCAGGGTTGGGGTCAATTTGCCAACCAGGTCATTCTCATCATTCTCCTGCTCTGCTTCCACCACGGTAGTGGCAACAACCCTTACTCCACCGTTGCAGTCCAATGGACCTACCGCGTTTCCTTCGCTCTTCCCGCTGTCGGTACCTTGTGGCTTGTCTACTACCGTGCCTACCACATGAAGGCCGCCAGCAAGCAGCTCGACGCTGCCAAGAAGAAGTCTTCCGTTACTGGATACGATGCTCAGTCTCTCAAGCTTACCTTCCGTTACTTCGGCTTCCGTATCTTCGCGACCGCTGGTGGTTGGTTCGCCAACGATGTCTTCTTCTACGGTAACAAGCTTTTCCAGAGCGAGTTCATCAAGGTCATCAGCCCCGCCAGTGAGTCTGTTATGCCCACCTGGTTGTGGAACTTGGTCAACTGCGGTGTCTCGCTGGCCGGATACTACATGGCCTCTTTCCTGATCGATAACAAGCTGTACGGTCGCAAGTGGATGCAGATCATTGGTTTCATGCTCTGCTTCATCCTCTTCGTGATCCCTGCCTTCAACTTCGATTACTACCGCCGCCCTGAGAACATCAAGTCTTTCCAGACCATGTACTTCCTCTCCTCATTCTTCAACCAGTTCGGTCCCAACTCCGTTTCCTTCTTGGTTGCTGCCGAAGTCTTCCCCACTCCCATCCGTGCCTCCGCTCACGGTATGTCCGCTGCCTGGGGTAAGGCCGGTGCTCTTCTCGCCTCCGTTCTGTACAACTACATCGACACCCAAACCAAGTTCTACGTCTTTCCTTGGTTCGGTCTTGCCGGTGCCGTCATCACCGCCCTCTTCCTTCCCGATACCACTGGTCTGGATCTGAAGGAACAGGAGCGTCGCTGGGAATACCTCCGCCAGGGCAAGGAGGAGGACTATCACGGTCCCGCCGTGCACCCCAAGCACTTGTCCTGGTACGAGCGCTACGTTCTGCGCAAGTGCCGCTTCTACGATGCCGAGCTCGACTACCAGCAGAAGGTCGAGGAGTACCGTGCCGAGTGGGAGTCTGCCATGGCTGCCAAGGCTTCTGAGAAGGAGACTGCCGATAACTTCGACACTGATGACACTCTCCTCGAGGGTCACGTTCACACTTACTTCCACCGCACCAGCCCTATGTTCAAGGGTATGGAAAAGAACGTCACTACTTCCAAGCAAGATAACTTCACACTCCCTCCGCCTGCGGAGAGTGAGCTTGAGGAGACCGATTCAAATGAAAAGCGATAGATGTCGCTTTTCAGTATATAAATAATTCCTTTTTCTGTTATGCCTTCACCTTTTTTTTTCTGTCAAAACTGTCATGCATATACACCCTGTTGCTTTGAAAGCCTTGTTTTATGATCTGAGAGCATAACTTTGCTTGATGCTTGGAGCGGCAAAGTTGTCTTGTAATTAGAAGTTGATACCACATACCTTTGGCTCCAAATGGACATTTTGATACATACATTTGCATCTTCCTATCTCGAATCTTTCACCCAAGAAACCCAGACTTCGAATTCGAAATCTTCTTGAGGCAATTCATGCCTTGGCCGTGGGCTTGACCCTGCTGACTAACCTGCTCCACCCCAGACATCAACACCAAGCTACGAAATCCCAACTTGGCATCATTCAACCACCAGAGAAGACATAATATTCGCATCAATACATTGACTTGACTCGAGAAGAGAGCCTAGAAAAAAACAAAGAATGCGTCTCTTCGCCTTTGGATCAAACGGATCCGGCCAGCTAGGAATCGGCCATCAAGAAGATGTCTCAGAGCCCACACAATGTCTCTTCACGACACACCCCGAGTCAAAAATCACAACTGAACATCTCAATGAAGAAATAAAAACCATCGCAGCAGGTGGAAACCACACCCTCCTCTTTACAAAGTCCGGTACCGTCTACGCAACAGGCGCCAACCAAGACGGGAGATGTGGACCACTCTCAAGCCCAACTACCAACCCAGAAAATGTCTTCAACCGCCTCGCATTGAGTGGCGGTTCGGGCCCTGTGACATCATTCACCCATGTCTCCGCAACATGGGAAGGGACCATCCTGGTAGCTCCAGAGTCAGACGCTGATCGAGTCTACGTGTTCGGCACGAATACGAAAGGCGAATTGGGCGTGGCGGAGCCATTGATCGCGGACGGCGCGTGTATTCATGATTTCCCACCGCCTGGTACGCGGGTCACTGCGTTAGCGAGCGGGATGGCGCATTCGGTGGCTGTGCTTTCGAATGGGGATGTGTGGGGGTGGGGCGCGGCGAGGAAGGGACAACTCGGTAGTGAGAATGTGGTCAAGACGACCGCGCCTGTGCGTATTCATGTTCCATTCTTTGCGGAGGAGGTTGTTTGCGGGAGTGAGTTTAGTGTTGTTTCTGGGGGCGGGCAATTTGTTGTTCTTGGTGATAAGGGAAATCGATGGGGTATTATGAAGGTGCCTGAGTGCTTTAGGGTGCCTGGTGAGGCGAGTGAGTCGAGTGGGCTCATTCGGTATAAGTATTCAGGGATTCGAGCTAGCTGGCATGGTGTTTATGTGCATGCAGCTGGGACTGGAGGGTCGGGGTCTGAGGTTGCGTCGCTTGTTGCTTGGGGGCGCCATGATCGTGGTCAGATTCCACCGAGCACACTTCCTGTGCCTGCTATGCTCGCTGTTGGTAGTGAGCATGCCGTTGCGCTTTTGGAGGATGGTCGAGTTGCTGCTTGTGGGTGGGGAGAACATGGTAATTGTGGATCGGATCTGGATGCTCTGCGAAATGTCGCGGATCGAATGAACATCATTTCGCTCCCTGAGACTGTGGATGGGAAGGTTGTTGGAGTTGGAGCGGGATGCGCTACTAGCTGGATGATTGTGGATTGAGATCATTTGCTGGCAACGCAGCTCTGAGCGCTGCCAGCCCATGTTGAACCGGGATAAAATTTTCAGTCGAAAAGACCGTATTGACGAACCTGAGACAAACGCTGAGTTGGCGGGAGGCCCATCTCATCATCTGTCTCTTCAGCTCGCTCATTGCCCTTGAACTCGGGTTCTGCATCACGAATCGACGCCCCGAAAGCATCCTGGGTTCTTTGTTCAGCCAATCTACCCAATGAAGCAAAATTTGACAACATACCTGGGTCCCCGACGCATCCCACCCCAAAATGTCTTGCGGCTCCTCCTCGTTCATCTCGTCCCACTGTCTATCATCATCAACAGGAACAAAGAGACTGTCAAAATCCATCGAGAGGCCAGACGCTAAAGGCCGGTCTGTACGAGATTTCTGACTCAAATTCTCCTGCGTGGATGATCCATTCAAAGGACGTATGGACCTGCTTCGTGGCGGCGGAGGCGGCATCGTGTTTGGTGCTGATGGCTGTGGCTCAGAGAGCCTTGCTGGAACAGGAATAGGCACGGGCGTTTGCCGTGGTATTGTCGCCCGTGACGATGAGACATCATCATCAGCTTGGCCGCGGGTCATTATTGTGAATTCGGCATGAACTCCTTCGAAGCGGTATTCCAGTTGAAGCGGTCTGCAGGGCCTGGTGAAGCGCGCTGTCACAGTGGCGTTTGCTGTCTCGGCATGTCCGACTATGGCTTTGAAGTCCTTTAGATTGATTGCCACATGCATGTTGTCTTCGACCATGTACTCTTGGAAGTCGAGTTTGTCTGTTGCGACAGATGTGTGTACAGGATGCTTCAAAACTTCTGTTTCCAGTGTCAGCATGTCAGGGCTTTGTATTCGGATATAGAGTTGTTCATACCTTTGCCTTCGGTGACCTTCGTAGTAAAACTCGTGAACACTGCTCTGCCGGAATCAGAGTACATATCCAATTGTTCAGCAGATAGACTGAAATGCTCTATAAGATTTTTGAGGAATCGTGGATCAGCCGCCCACACGCTTGTTGCTTGAGATTTGTCAAAAACGGCATGCTGGATCGCTGCCGGCTCGTAAGTGAGCTTGTATGACTTTATGACACCTATGAAAGGTCAGATATGCGTATCAAAAGCATTTTCATGACAAATAGGGCGATTTTCTCATACCAAGTCCACAAAACATCTTCACAGTCAATCTGCATTCAGCCTGCTGTGGATCTTCATGCAGTTCCATATCACAGCGTTCGACGGCAGTGTCCTTATTTCTATCTATCCTCCCACGGAAGATTGATAGAAGCGCCTATTCTCGCCATCAGCCATAATCCCAGATGGATAAATAGCAAGAAGAGCATAGGCTGAGCTTCCACCAGTAGACTCACCTTGACGTAGATCTGACAGAAGAACCTATCAATGACACCACTCCCGCTCCGGCCATCACTGCCGGATTGAAAGGAGTACGCCTCGAAGAAATCATCCTTCTCAAAGCCAAACGAGGCAAACCCTGTCTTGGTGGAATTGAGTGCACTTAGACGGAGCTGTTCAATCAGTTAGCTAAAATCACTGATTTTGAAGGCTCCACGCTGCATATCTATCAGCGAAGTGCAGGGCAGCTCACAAGAGATGGCTCAGCCTCGATGGCAACTGTGTCACTGAATTTGGAAAGACAGATCAAGACGTCGTGGAGTTTGACCAAGGCTTGGGGGTCCAGTGATAATGAAAGAGAAGTCATGGCCACACCAGATCTGTCTAGCAGATAATGAACATTCGAGTACTTTAACGAGAGACGATATCACGCAGATGTGGTTCATTGACGCGCCTTTCAACGCGTCCAGGCGATTACATAAGCCTCAATTATGGCCGCGACGAGGTGTCTAGATCTATATCGCGGCGCCCAACTACAACCTTGGAAATACATAGTTCTTGGGATTATTTCTGGAATTTTACAAGGTCTTTCTCTGGTGATAGAGCTGGTATTCACGGTCACTACTTTATACAGTCTCGCTTCCCCCAATATCCCCTAATAAAAGACAAGAACCATTCCATAGTTACATCTTCTCTGGGACGAAGTCACATCCAAGATCCTCAGACGTCTCGACAACTCCAGCTTCGTGTGTCATATCAGCACACTTGACATCTGCATCAACGGTCGCTTCACATGAATAGCACATGGCCCAGCCTGTTCCGCTACAGCTTCCGCACCAAAAGTCGGATTGACGACACATAGTGCAGTAGCTAGAATGATTGGGTTAATGAAGTTGACTCGGCATAGCTTTCAATACTCACGGAGAGTTGATAGAGACGTAGTTGGCACATGTGATGCAAGGGTAGGATGGCATTTTGTCCTGTGATGGTCAGTCGAGCTTCGCAGTGATCACTAAGTGCTTGGGCAACTGACGAGTATGCTAACTGCAGTAGCTTTGGTTCGAAGATGCTTTCAATTTTGAGTAGATATCTGATCTCCCGGATATCTCTCGAAAATCGAAGGGCTTTATATCTTGAGATTCCCCGCTCAGTCTGACTCGACTGTCATCGCTGGATTGAGCCCCATCAGGATGCCCATGTCCCAGTGGTGGAATTGGAGTCTTGGAAATACTCAGGTGAGGGTTAGCCTGCGTGTCATTCAAGGTTAATTGACGTGGTTGAAGATCACTGGTAGCACAGCAAAGCCCATCATCTTCGGGATCTTGGCATCAACGTGCGGGCGTCGAACGGCGACACGGGATATCATTTGTGGCGTCTGACATACAGACATTCACATTTAGAAATGATGGAGAACCGAGTTAACAGTTCCTACTTCGGATAATCACGCAGAACTTGTGGATATTGACGGCACGGTCCCTGGATGGCATGATATGGCCAAGAGGTGTGGATGATTACATAGAGTCTGGCATCAGCCCCTCACGATACTGTTTTGTATTAGGCCATCAAGTATGCCTGCGCGGAACACATCCCGGCATTGAGGGATGATTGCCGTCCAAAAAACTAATATGTACATTCTGGGTTCCAATGTCATGGATATGATGGAACATGCAGGAGAAGGAAATATTCGTAAATTCGTCAAGATGGGGTATCATGCCTCTTAAAGGGGCAAAGATTATTGTGTCAGTCTGGGGTGGTTGGTGTATCGGGGGAACATCCGGCAGAGATTCCCTATTCATCACTAGGTGCATTTGCTGGGACAGGGCTGTCTGCCGTGTTATCGCCTGTCGCCCCCTCTCCGGCATTCGGATTATGAGGAGGCTCTGCGTTTGCTCTGATTTGAACTTGATCTCGTTGCGGTAAGGGATGTGGGAATTGCATTTCCAAAAATCGTCGCCTGCGTCGCCCGTTCCGTACAGCGTGTAGGAAGTTGACACCAACCTGAGCACAGAATATCGCGAAGAATGCACCAATAACAAAGATCTGAGGGATATGTGTCTCGCCCCGTCCATGTGCCTCGATATCTTGACGTTGGTCATGGTGTTGGGGAGGTTGGGAGCTTAGCGCCTGGTCCGAAGGTTCTGAGTGACGACGGTATGAGATCGAAATTGAGAACGAGAATGGTGTTAATGACGAGAATGCTGTGAATCCGCTTGGTGACATTGTAGTCAGGAAGGCAGAGAGGGGCCTCAATACCAGTGGAATGATGCAGAAAATGAGGAGGGGAACGGATAGTCATAAGACAGAGAAAATGGATGAGCGAGCGGACCTGTTTGTGAGATATCAGAAAAGATCATGGTCAATGATAACGTCGGACTTACCAATCTCGAGATTCAAGCTGTCTCGCCCATCTCGCCGAGACCTTAAGCCTCTCGCGAACGCTTGTTGCAGAAAGTATGGGGTATTTCTCTTCCTCTGAGATAGGAAGGATACTAGCGAACCACCAAGGGAAGCGGGCTGCATCCACGGGAATGGGCCCATATGCCAACATGACTCGGGGATGTAGCCAAGGAGCACCCAACCTACGCTGGCTGCTGATGAATTCCCGCGCAGAGAGGGAGGAGTTGTTGCGTAGACATCGAGTCCAACGCAGGGTCAGAGGGGATCTCTTCTGGCAAAATATTTTCGCCATTGCTTGAGGTCTCTAAAGCCTCCAGTCGCTCCTCGTCTGCTAGCGAGATATCTTCAACCCGCTCTGTTTTAGCGACATAGTAGCCATCTACCATCACAGAGTCGATGATCTTGAATCGCGACACACCTGTCGCTACAACAAGACTGCGGCCATCAGGAAGCAACTCGTATCGCTCTATCATCAAGAGCGTTCCGTATTGCATAAAAGGTGCATCATCCACATGCCCAAGCTGTAGTCGACCGCGCCGATTATACATGACCATGCCAAACTTACCATTCCCATTCTCAATCACTCGTCGGATCATGAGCCGATACCGAGGCTCAAAGACATGAAGGAAAGTCGGCATGGTTGGGAATGCCAGCGTACAAACAAAAAGGGGCAAATTCTTCTCATAATCCGGAGTGGTATCATCTTGCGCGACAGTCTCCCGTCTGGTTGCGACCTGATTGGAGAAAAAGAGATCAACCAATTGCGCTACTGTGTGGTTGATGGGCTCCGCTTGTATACTCGGCATGCCCAGCTTGCGGCGACAGATGGGACAGAGATCGGCGTGATCCAATACCCGCGCAACACACTTTTGGCAAAATGTATGACCGCAAGCTGTAGTGATCGGATCCAGTAACAATGCGTAGCAAACTTGACAGTCCAACTCCGCGCGGAGGTTGTCCTGGAGTTTCTGCGTTTGAACAAGCTCCGGATTCGTAGGTTCATCAAGACCCTCCGATGCTTCATAAGTGACGTCGACTACGTCGCGAGGAAAATGACCTGCCGATGCGAGTTGGTAGACTCCCCCAGTAATCCTTGCTCCAGGTTTGCGCTTTCAAAATCATGATCTTCGTCGATTTTCCATCGAACGATGTTGACGTCAGTGCCCGAGCGAGGTCGAACCGTGTTGTCCGCGCCCGCCAACAGCTCGCCAAACAGCCCGACCAGTTTCGCCAGCAGAACATCGGTACTGCAGTCTCCAACACAATGTTCCCCCGCGCATCCATCGGTTCCCTCCCACGGACAGGTGAACGCCTTGTCCCTGCCCTCAGCTACGGGGTAAGTGACACCCGTCCGCGTCCGCGAGGGGGGGTAGACAGTCTCGACAAACAGTGTTGCCGCACGGCAATCGGAGCGGCGTACGTAACGGGCGCCAGCATTGCTTACACTGGATCAGCCGAATGATGGTATGGGGGAGCGCGTGGCTGGAGATATCCTCTGGGCCTAGCATGTCGGACATCGTGGTTATACGGTCGGTCTCGGCCTCGGAATCTGTCAGGTGCGGGGTTGCAGACTCAGCTGCCATGTTCAAAATACCAGTGAGGAATCTGCAATATCCGGTGGGCTCATCTGGAGAGCTCGGAGTTGATGATCCGCTCTGCACAATTGCGGGTCAACTTTAGATAATCGGATCAGTGCCTCGGCATCGCGACTTTTGGTTGAGTTCCCGTGATCGGCATGTCACTTTGACGACCTACAAATTTATACTGCTTTTACTACGAGCATTAATCCACGTGGCGCAGGTAAAAGCGAACCTCCTAACAAAAGCCATCCCGGAAAAAAAAAAGAATTCATAGATTGATGCGTAAATCGTCGTTCGGAATACAAGCCAGACACCCAACCGTCTTGTGGGGTATAATAGCGGACAAGAAAGCAAAACATGAAAAGAGTATGACCCCATTTATTCTGATTGAGAGCTGACAGACGATTCCGATTCCGAGTCATAGTCTTCCTCGAGAACAATCCGTCGCATAACGCTCTTGTCGAATAAGTCCAAAGCGAAGCGACGGGCCGGAAGTCGGTAGTGATGACTTTCTAAGATGCAAAGTGTCTTGCGGAAAATCTCCACTTGGCGAAATTTCTCAGGCTGTTTGGATTTCAAGCTATAGTTGGTGTCAGAAGATGCGATGCACATTGTGTGAAAAGAGCTTACCTGTGGAGCTCTGACGCCGCTCTTTTGGCGAGCACCGTGTTGCCCATATCCACAATCGATTTCAGGATCCGTTGATTCACAGGATCGGGGTCCGACGTGGCCTCCTTGAGTTTCTCTTGCGGTGTGCGCTTCGATTTGGAATCAAAGCCGGGGAATGAGATCTAGGAAGAATTAGTAGTGTCAACAAAGCAAATGAGACAATTACACTCACCCAGAACAATTTTCGGAAATCAGTTGGAAGGCAGAGACCCAGAGAGTCACCTTTTTGATCCACGCCAGAATCCCAGCCCAATCCTCGCAAGACACGAAGACCATGTCGACTCCTGGAAATCAAACCAAGAACAAAGAATGCAGTGCCTCTCATGGTGAGCACTCCTGCACTCGTGGCTATATCCACGATCCGTTGTATGATCTCAGTGTCGAGGAATGGGGCACCGAGTTCCATAGAGCCGATGTTTCCAACCGCCCAAAGGCACCCTTTGGCTTTGAGCAACATTTCATTTTCTTCTTCGTCCAGCCTGAAGTCGCGAATAGTCCACGCAAACTCGTTGAAATGACCTGATTGCTCGAGAAGCTTACATCCTTCGGCGGTTCGTGCAAGTTCTCGGTAGAAGTGAGGTGGCACCAACCCGATATCTTGTAGGTCCACCAGATCCTCGGGGGCAAGGCTGCCACGTCGAGGTTGTTCGACGTAGGCGCGTGAAAGAGCAGCCTCGACAAGGGCAACATAACTATCGTTTCGACCGAGGAACCAGTCATCCATCTCTTGAGTGATGTAGTCAAGGCCATCTAGATAGTGATAGCCGACAGAGGTTGACAGGAATCGAAGAAGTAGCGGCGCACCAATCTCACCCAGGTGGTCGAGGGAGGGCCGACACTTCACAACGTACTCCAGGTAGTCTCGCTGATTGCAAGCCTCTTCAAGGATCTTTACGGCAACTTGGCAGACCGTGACTTCAGGGTCGTAGAGTTGGGTGACGAGAAGTTTCACAACCCATTCGGCATTCCCAATGGCCACGTTGGGGGAGAGCGAAACATCACCAACGGCATATTTTCGCAATAATCTCGTGGCGAAGATCCGAATTTCCTTAGACCCAATCGTCAAAGCCTTTGAAAGCATCACGCGGAGATGACTTTCGCGGCTGTAATCCATGTTCCCTAGCAGGGTTTGGATTAGGTCGTTGCGGTCTCGCAGCTCAATGATGTGGTAGAACATGTTCAGCATGTGCCATCGCTCCATCATGAACAGCCCATTAGCATCGCCACTCAATGTTCCCAGCATGGCAAAGTAACCCCCACTCAATGTGTTGGCCATCTGCTCTCGAGAAAACAATGGTGATTCGGATGTCAGCCCACTCATACGATCCAACTGAGCCAAGCACTCTGCAACCTGGCGAAGGAATTTGTTTTCCGCTAGATACTTGGTGCCCTCGGGAGTCATGACAAGTGTGCGCATGAGAACGCATCCTGTTCGAACATATCGCTGATTCGCTTTGGTGTTCGAGACCATTGCAAAACGATACTTGAAAGGTCGATAGAAACCAATGAGACGCTTAATGAACTTGGATCCTTTGATTGCCTCGTCCATTCTTTTGGGGTTGGTGAGAGGACCCTCGACCAAGCGATGAATTATGTCCCATTTCCATTTCGTGTAGTTGACGGTGTTGAGCACATGAGTCTCTAGAATAGCGTTTCGGAACTGCGTCTCGTCCATAGCGGGGCTCATCTTGTCTTTACCCTGTTCATTGGGCAGCAGAGGAACTGACATGTCGGTTTCCATGTTGTAACGACTCTGTCCGCTGGGATAAGCACCAGACCGAGCCAATGTGCGGTTTATACTATCAATCTGGAAGATAGTTGCGGTTGAGAGATCATGATTTTCGGTCTCGAAGTTGATTGCGGGAGGGATAAGATGAGGAAGAACTTGGAGATTTGCGCTAACAGCTTGCGGTAATGAATGATGGGCGAGCTTGAGAACTTCAGTCAATAGCAGTGTAGCTTTGCGTCGGAGTGAAAGATCTGTTTCATTCTCAATGACATCGGAGAGGGTCTGTTTCCTTCGGTTAGCTCCCGTAGAATTCTAGATACCGAGCATACACACCTTTGCGATTCCTGCTTCTACTAGTCCTGCCAAAATGAGGGTGGAGAAATGAGCAGTCAAGTCGAATTTGTTGCTACTGCTGTCGTGGAAGTTACGGGTGAGCTTTGAGGATTCGGTGTCTGAGCGAAGATTGGAGACTCTGCCGTAGGTTGTAAGGCGTCTGCCCGCAAGGAAGGATGATGACCAGGATGGCGGTTTGATCCGCAGAGCATCGAACAGCAACTCCATTATCAGACCTCGAGCAGTAGTGTCTTCATAATGGAGTGAATCGAGCAGGGAACGCAAAGGTTGTGAATCGTGTCTGGCAAGAATTACCAGGCCAGGCCAGGTCTTCAACATGGCGGAGATCGCCCGCGCTGCCGACTGTAACCTTCCGCTGCGTAGCGAGTCCGATAATGAATCGGTGAAAGGGGTGAGAACAGCTTCTAATTCTGAGCCTTGAAGGAATTTTCGACTGCGCGGCGCATCCACAACATGCAGGAAGCTTGAGATCAAACTTTCGGAAGCACCAAATGTTCCCTCTGCAAGCGCGTCGTGCAGCGCGGCAAATCCACCAGCAGTTGCAACCATCTCAGGGTCTTTCACCAGTATTTCGGCCAAAGTCATGATCGATATGTTCCGCAGACGGTCTTCATGATGTTCAGCCACAGCGACAATAGTCCGTACTATCGCACGTGATATCTCTCGAACTCCATCCTTGACGTCCAGGAAACCTCTGACGAATTTGAGTGCTTGTTCCCTTTCGATGCTTGCTTTGGTCTCTTTAACCAGCGACAGTATCACCAACTCATCGGTATGTAATGATCTGATTGTTTGGAGAGATTTGCGGTCCGCAATAGCATAGCGGGTTAGCCGATATCCAGCGGCTACCACTTCTTTGCTGTCACTCAAAAGCATGACTTGAACTCGGAGTCCAAAGACAGGCCATGCAAGATCGTACTTTAAGGTGGGATGTCTCTTGAACAGTTCGACGAGATTATTTGCTCGTTCAACGTAGAAATCGGGAGACATGCCCTCCACCTCCAGCGCCTGTAGCGTTTCCGAGAGAACATAGGTTGGCGACTCCATGTCTCCATCTCCACCAATATCATCGTCGCCGCCGTTCAGTGAACTTGTAGCGTCCTTATTTCGGGACGGCGATCGCATGGGGCTTGCTCGGAAAAGGCTCGAGAGTCGGCTGCTGGGTGGGGGTGTCGATGCCGGCGCCTGCGCACGTAGGATCTCTTCTTCCAGCTCATGTTGTAATTCCACCAACTTGCGGTTGGAGGTGCTCAATTCGCCTTCCACTCTAAGTCGCTGTTCTTTGGTTTGCTTGGGTGGTTTCGCTAGCAGTGCTTCGAGCATGTTTTCGGTTCCGCTCTTGATCTTCATCTCCCTTGCGATTCTATCTCGAAGATATGTCTGGCGCTCCTCGGTTGTGTGTAAATCCTCCTCACCAATGGACCTGCTTGCGCGTCTGTTGTATGCGCCTTCTGGGCGAGGTGTCACGTTGCGGGAATGCATGCTCTTGAGCTCCGCGCTGAAGCTCCCCGGGCCTCCAAACGAGGGTGCTAATGAGCCTCCTCGTCCACCCATATGACTGCTTCCTCCTGACTCCGACCGTCCATTCCTGCCGGTGCGTGGGATTCCATCGTGCCAGCTTCCATCGGCTGAACCGCCATCGTGGCTGAGCGAGGAGCGTCCGTCACCCAATGCACGGTGTTGGGTGGACGCGGAATATGCTGAGTTGTGCCCGGAAGCCATGAAGCTCCATTTAGCCGCGACGGCTTCGCTTTCACTTATCGCAAGTGGTCTCGGTATCAGGTGGCTGCATTGAGATCGATCTGTTTCAGAGGAAGGGAGCGGAGCAAGATATGGGGAAGAGGGGCGCGGTCACGGGTGTGTTGATCAGAGGAAGGCGGCCATTTTCCACCTCCAGAGCTGTCAGGCGTATCGAAATTTACGTACGTTCGGAACGCAGTGATCGTCCGAGTGATCTTGTTGTCCCACTGATAACCCTTCTCAGATCATCGCTACTGTCAAAATAAACGGCTGACTAATATTCGATCGAAGAGCCCCGAGGTCATCTGATGTGCACTTGACTGTCGGTTTCTATACTCTGTGCTGGCCTAGGCTATTTGGAATTGCTTTCCAACTACTGTATAGTCGTCTCTTCTCAATACTAACTTGAGTTGGTATTTGAATGTGTAGGTAGCATAACTTCCGCTGTGAATCCTAGTGGTGTATCCATATTCCTAACACGCACCTTCGCAAGTAACCTAACAACAACTCCGCAATTCCTTCATTTTGTCCAAATTTATTTTGAACTATTCGATTCAATCCCATTAATCCTAATCATTCTGTGGACTTCGAACTCAATTCGGCCGTTTCTCATGAGAATCTTGAACTCCTTTGGTCGTATCGTACACCACCGTGGTTCATTTGTTGTTGGACGTGGTCTTCTCCAAGATAGTCTTCATCATTGCGTTGCCAAGCGTGGCGGCTTCAGGGAAACGTGGAGCAAAGTACTCTGCGATATTCTCGAAACGGTGACGGTAGGACTCGAAATCACCGAAGGAAACACACTCGGACCATGCCTAGTTCAAACAGCTGGTTAGCATACCTCAAAATGTCAGGAATATCGGCTTGGACCCACCCGCGCAGCAAATGTGAACTCCAAATCGTCGGAGCGGAATGTGTTGTCGTCAATGGCTGTATCAAGTGCCTCGTCGAGGAGGTCTTGGTTACGGAACAAGTACTCCGTCACACCCAACCAGAGACGGAAAAGCTACGCCATATTAGCACAATCACTAGTCAAGGAGGCCATGCCCATGCTTGATCACTTACCGGTGTGGAACAGATCATATGATCGTAAGGAACAATGCCCAGCTTTGACCAACAGTCAACAATCGCAAGCAGACTGAGGTGACTGTTCGGCGGCGCCTTCTCACGCGGTCGGTTAGACAGCGAGAATTGGTCTAGGACATCGTCCCTCAACAGAAGATCCTGCTTCTCGGTGCCAACTTTGAAAACCGAAGCTCCCGCATCCTTGACTCGACGCTTGAGCTCTTCACGATGTCCTCCGATCATGAGTTTGTACAACTCAGTTACGGACTCGGCGTACTGGCGGATCTGCTGCTTGGCCGCCGGGTTCAAGATAGCAAGGCCAGCGTACACGTGCCATTTGTTGGAGTAGATGCGCAAGGTGATATTGATCTTAACGTTCTCAATACCGCCCACCCATCGTCCGTGCTCCCAAGGGAACTGTTGGTTGGCCTGCCACGCGGTTCCCATACTCAGGAAGGCTGCGTGAGTGACAGCTTGTGTATCCGCAGTGATGCGGTCGTGCATCTCGCCGGTGAGGTAGACATGTGTAGATCCGAAGCAGGAGAGGATGTTGTTAACAAATTGGAGGCTTTCGTCCGAGGCTCGATGTTGGATGAGGACCTGTATCGCATCAGGTTAGTAACAGACGACCGGGAACATCGGAAAGCAGAGTGGGATAGGCCATACCAGAGGCTGACCCTTTGTGTTGACTTTGGGACCGTGGAGCGAATGGCAAGATACGATCTCTACATCGGAAGGTAGGTGTTTTTCGAATGCAGCAAGTTCCGGGGCTTTGCAGGACGTTTGACCACCGACGATGGCACCGAGCTTGGTAGCTTTGAACGCGGGTTAGAATGTACTTGGACTGTGGACAAGACCGGCGGCTTTGAATCGACACATACATGGTCCGTACTGTTCCACGACCTTGTCGATGGACCCAGCCTCTACGCTGTACAGGATGTAATCGCTAATTCTTGAAACGAGATGTCCATTGGGGAATATGGTGACTCCTTGCTATATACAATGAGCTTCTCGAGCTTTTGAATGGCATAAACCCAGCCGGGAGACGTACTTGAGAAGCGAATTCTTGATTTAAAGATTCAAAATTCTCAGGTCTGTCACAGGCGTTTATCCTTGATATTATATCCCACGTTAGTGAATTCAAATCTAATGGTTAGTGAAAACGAGGCCCGATGCAGATCTGTAAAATCTTTTCACTTGTTAGCGAGTGCGCAATAGCAAAGAAGTGAAGCAATAATTGTGAGGTTGAAACAGGATCAGACAAAAAATAGTAAGGTAGCGTGGTTGTAACATCATCGACGGCAAGTTGGGGAACCACCAGCCAGAATAGCGTAGCAGCGCCAACCATACAGTACTCGAGCCAAATGCACTCATGTCATCATTCGAGGGGGTGTGGAATTGTTGGAAGAAACAAGGGGAAAGCTTACCTTGTGAAGCATTTTGGGTCCGTGTTGAACGGTTGGGGGGATGACCATTTACCTCCATCCTGCGGCACTGAGGCGCTGGGCATACATTTTGCCCATGTCACCCATACCGATGATACCAATCGAGGCATCTTCCTTGGTGCGACCCATTCTGTCAAGCAGTCTCAGCTGCTAGTGTGGTGTGGCTCTGTTGCCCAGTGACACTAATAGTCGGTCTGTCTGAGATATTGTCAATTGGAAACGCAAACTGTAAGCTGTGCCACTTGAGTCTGTGAAAGTCAATTGCGATGTCGAGAGCAAATGGACCGATCGAAAGATTTTTTTAAATAGGCAACCAAGCTAGCGTGTTCACCGCCCGCCGGGCCGACATAAGTGCCGGGATAGCCGGAAATGCGAGGCAGAAACTCGCTTGGTAATAGCCAATCAAAATGCAGGGATCTCTCTAGGGCACACACCCACTTTTCTCTCATCCAAGTGGGATCGTGATCTGACTTTTTCTTCCTTTCTGTATTCCATCCACATCCAACAACCGTCGCAATGGCCCCCAAGACTAAGGCTCCCGCTGCCGCCAAGGAGAACGTCTCCCTCGGCCCCCTCGCCGGTGATGGTATGTTGAAAAAAATTCAAAGCCACAGGACAATGAACGCTAACCTACTTGACAGGCAAGCTCGTTTTCGGTGTTGCCCGCATCTTCGCCTCCTTCAACGATACCTTCGTTCACGTTACCGATCTTTCGTGAGTCCATCTCAACCCACAAGCATCGCGCGCTCGACCCAGTCAATTGCACCTGGAATCGACTTGCGACAATATCTGGAATGTTAGCTAACAAGTCTTTACAGCGGTCGCGAAACCATCTGCCGTGTCACCGGTGGTATGAAGGTCAAGGCTGACCGTGACGAGTCCTCCCCCTACGCCGCCATGTTGGCTGCTCAGGACGTCGCTGTCCGCTGCAAGGAGCTCGGCATCAACGCCCTCCACATCAAGATCCGTGCCACTGGTGGTAACGGCACCAAGACCCCCGGTCCCGGTGCCCAGTCTGCCCTCCGTGCTCTTGCCCGTTCCGGCATGCGCATTGGCCGTATCGAGGACGTCACCCCCACTCCCTCCGACTCTACTCGTCGCAAGGGTGGTCGCCGTGGTCGCCGTCTGTAAGCGTGTGCGCTTACAGTTGGGTTCTCCTCTTCCCCTGGCAAGCTCATTGCCTGGCTGGATTGGTGGCTATTTGCGGGACTCTCTCGCATCTGTGGATGGAATAAACGCGAAGAACGGCCTTGATCGCCTGGTCTTCAATTTTTTTCATACGCTGAAAATTACCCTCTCGCGGGTTTTGCTGTTGTATTAGATAGTCTTTTATTTAAATCAACATCTTGACCCACATCCTCTTCTGTCGTAAATTTTGACCTCAACTTGTAGCGTCGGTTGTAGCAATGTTCAATTTTTTCTCTTTCTCCGAGGCCGCGGGGAGCTTTGGTGGGGTTCGATAAAAAGATAGTGTCAGTCAGCTCCTAGCAACCAATTCGAGTTCCCGACACTCGCTCGGCTGGTTCTTTGAATTTCAGTCATTAGTATCAGACTGGTCGCATCCCTTCAGTCAGACTATTAGTCGTGCGCGCCTCCTTTGCCGGACTCAGGATCCCGCATATCCTTCGAACCCCGACCCAAGCGTTCCATCTCTCACCCATCTCTACGAGTCAACCCCAAGGGAAATTCTGAAAGCTTTTTGGGCGACACCATGTCCACACACGAGCCCACTCCGACAATCCTTCTCCCACAAGTCCCACCCAAGACCTTAGTCGGTATCGACCTCATAACGTTTACCTCGACCGCCAATTTCCACGGAATACGTGACCTCTCTCCTGGATGGCACTTTCTCTACACTGGCGCAACGGAGACTCTGTCTCTCCGCAGTGGCGCATGGTTCTACATCGGCGACATCAATGCCGCAGGCAAGGGGACTGACGACATGGCGCTCGTCTCGTCATCTCAAACAAAACCCCCACGTTCGCCAGTTCAGGATATATACATTTGGAAATGGAGCGCGGATACAGAGACTTTGCTTCCACTCGGTGGAGACAGCGATTCCGATCGCCAGGAGGCTATGCGCTACAAAGCGAACCTTGGTGGTGTGTGGCAAAGTGGAAAGTTGTTCAAATATCGCAGTCGAATTGCACCTTCCATGCTTGTCAAGCCCGAGACAGCCGAATCAGACAAGAAGGAGGATACAGACGAGGCTCAACCCCAGATCGAAGCGCCAGCCCCGGCAGAGGACGATGCGCAGGCAGAGGAGAATGGACGAAGAGACTGGTTTGGCTTGACGAACCGCATCTCGCCCAGTCTTTTGTCGCGCGTCATTGGCGGTCCGGAGATCGATGTGGATGGTCATCCACGATGGCTGTTGACGTCTGCTTCAACGGCTGATCGAGATGCGGATCACATTCCAGGAGTCGACTCGCAGGCCACAGAAACCAATCAGCCGGTGGCAGGTGAGGAACCAGAACGTGAGTTTGGCTTCATCCCCATAGACCTGAAGCGGACATGGAGGGAAGGCGCTGTTGGACGTGAAAGGACAGAAGCAGCTCAAGACCGGTCTTGGGCTTTAGGGGACCTGATCGATCGTTATGCCGGAGAGGCTGCTGGAGGAAACCAATTGCTCGGAGAATTGCAGTTCACCTTCCTCATGGTACTGACCATGATGAATTACTCCTGCCTCCAACAATGGAAGCGACTTCTCGAGCTTGTGCTTACCTCTCGAGCCGCAGTTCTGGATAGAGAAGAGTTCATTAGCGAATTCATCCAGATTCTCTCATTGCAGCTTCAGCGATGCGACGATGTTGAGGGTGGATTATTCGAGATTGATGGGGATGAGGGCGGTGCTTTTTTGCGCAGTCTGCTCATGAAACTTCGTCAGTCGGTAGATGACTTGGTCGAGGATGACGCAGAGTCTACTGTTAAACAAGAGCTTGACGAACTCCAGGAATGGGTGAAAGCTGAATATGATTGGGACTTGCATCCTGGCCCAGTTGTTCGCCACGGCATGCTTCAATTAGAGGACGGTGAGGAGGTTGAGATGGACTGGGACGGAAATGACGAAGACGAAGAGACCGGAGAGTATGCCCCAATGATTGTTGAAATGTGAGTCTGAAACGATTGAATCCCGCTCCATATCAATGGCTATCACGAACCGTGTACGATATTTTAATGATCTTCGTTTACCATCCGAAAAGCATATAATGGCGTTTGGTTACTTCTTTCTTCCTGTGTTTTGCTCATTTCATCATGCTGAAGTTTCATTGCTGGACTTTTTGGCCAATTTCTAAGAATGCAAAGTCTATGTACAATCTAAAATCTCAGTATATCAAAGGTGCGTGAACCACGTTCACTAAAGGTCCAGCCAATCGTGAAAATCCACAGGCATCCAAGCAGTGGGTACGGACATCTTAATCAAGTCGTCTATTTCTCCTCGTCTTCGATGGTGTAGGCCCACTCGTGCTCTTCCTTGCCGAACATGATGACCTCGAGCCAAGACTTGATCTGCGCAGCATAGCCAGCAGGCTCGCCATCCTTGCCCAGAGTGCTGATATCGGTGTTCTCGTTGCGGATCATGGCAACGGGGGTGATGAAGTACTGGATTTGAAAGTTAGTATCCTGAAGATCGTTCGTAGTGAGTCGAATTTAGGGGATGCTTACAGCAGTACCAGAAACAAAGGACTCAACGATGCGGCCTTCCTTGGAAGCCTTCTCGATCTCATCGATGGTCAAAGTGCGCTCCACGGCCTCGAGGGGTGCCAGCTTGCCAACTGAGTTCTGAGACAGTCTCTCGCGCACGAGTTCCAAAACACTGCGGCGAGTCACACCGGGCAGGATAAGCTGGTTGCCCAGAGGAGCGGTAACAAGCTCAAGCTTTCCGGTATCGGCGTTGTGCCAGATGATGAAGAAGTTACTAGCGCCGGCCTCGGTGACCTGGCGATCCTGTCCGAACAACCACAGAATCTGATCAAAGCCCAGGGCCTGAGCCTGGCCGTGGGCCTGCAAGGAGGGACCGTAGTTGGCGCCCAGCTTGGCGTAACCGAAACCACCGGGCCAAGCACGGATGGTATCCGGGGAAGAGGCGAAGAGCTTAAGACCCTTCTTGGGAGCCTCCTGGGGGTCCTTCTTCATCTTGGTGAAGTCGGGCCAGGGAACGGCAATGATGAACAGCAGGGCTTCCTTGGGCACCTGGACACCCAGGTGAGGACCGTTACCGATGACGGTAGGTCGGATGTAGAGGAAAGAGCCCGGGTTGGGGAGCCAGCCTGTATTGTATCAGTGAAAAGCTCATTTAGATCGCAGACAAACACTGATGTCTAGACATGGAAACTTACGAGCGCCGTCAACCTGCAAAAGCTTAGCAACAAGCTTCTTCAGCTCGTCATACTTGAAACCAGGGAGAGAGGAACGCTGGGAGCTGCTGTTCAGACGTTCACCATTGCAATCGGGGCGGAATAGGCGCATCTTGCCATCGTATCCGCGGTACACCTTCATTCCCTCGAAGCACTCGGTAGCATAGTGCAGGACCGAGGCAGTAGGTGGGATGCTAAGGTTTTGGTAGGGCTTCACTTCAGGCGTTTCCCAGCCCTTCTCTGCCGTCCATCGCACAGTGACCATGTGGTCAGTGCAGTGGGAGTGGCTCATCTCCTCTGGAGAACCGGGCAAAGGCACATCGCGCAGAGTGGTGGAGCGTGTGATGTTGAATTTGGAGCCATCGAGCTCAGCGACATTTGGGGCGACGGATCCCATGGTTGATTGTTAATTGTTAATTATTGAGAAGAATTGGTTGTGTTGAGGTTTGAACGGAATTTTATGAGTCACACTTAATTCCGATGACCGATTGCGGAGAAGGATATGCAGTACGGAGTAGATTTTGATCTCTTTGGTCTTAAAACCGCTGGAATTAGGAATCCAATTGTTCTTATAGAGAGCGGTTTGCCCCGGCCCCAGGGATGCGTATCGGGGCAAATGGAAAAAAGTTTTCAACGCCGAGCGGAAACCGCTTCTCCAACTTTTCAACCGCCACCCCCAATGTTCAATGTTTTCTACTCATATCTTCACCTGCATATTGATAATGTAAATGTGTACTACTACGATGAAAACTGTGTTCTACGATTGGGCAAATGTGCAAGGACTCGAACACGCCTTGCGCCTTGCGCCCTTGAACAGTCGAAAATTGATCGAGTATCGATCTACGGGCCCACTCGGCCCGGTTGACATCTCCGAGAATAACCGTGTAGGCCTGTTGGTCGCCGATATAGATATGAACTTGAGACCTTTGAAAAAGCGGCTGCAAAAAGCGCCAATGCCGAAATATGACGCTTTATACCTCGGTGTATGGCAACATGCAGAAGCTGCAGATTGGCAATTATATTGGCATTGGGTGAAGTGAAATGCACTTAGACTATTCGAGTACTGATCTTCGTTATCGCTCGAGACTGCATGCATACTTCGCACCCTCCTTTGCTCACTGGGAATGCTTGTGGTAGTACAAAAGACGTACTCGATCCTCTAGCCGTTGCGTGTGGTTGATCGAAGATTGCAATTTTTTGTCATTGTAGGACAGCTTCATGAACATGATGCCACGATGATCCAATAATTAGAACGCGCTTGATGTTTCCACTCGAAAGGTTCTTGATATTGAATCATATGTTCAAGCCTATACATACCACCAATATGTTGAAACTTTGGTAGTAATACATGATTGGGCTACAGTTGAGAAAAGCATTGATGCAACTTCATTGCGATTCATTCTCGATCTCGCGAATCAAATGAAGAAAAGCCATTTGAAATCTGTATAGACCTCAGGATGATCGATTTAGGGGCTCTACAAAACGTATTTATATCCTGCTATTTCCATGTCTGAATGAGCATATGAATGTCACACATCCAGGCTTCCAAGGTTGTCTACAATGTCCCTGTTCTCACTCATGAGCACAAAGAGCCCATCTACAAAGCAAAAAACTATGTCTCATATCCCGAATATGGTCCATGCTGGCCATCGTTACGCGTCCCGGGGTGGGACAAAGTCTATCGAAAATTTCATTTGCACACACCCCATTACCCAGAATCTGCGATCCAATCGCAGGTTCACTGAGTCGCGACCTCATCTCCATGCTCCAGATATTCTGCGAGGGAAGAGTCTTCTCGGTGGATCCCTCGCAGGATCCGACAAGATAACCGTGCCACCATATATATTTAAGGAAAACAATGGAAAGAGGTGTGTGATGATGATGCACCTCGGTAGCGACGTCTGCAGTCATCCAGGTGTCGTTCACGGCGGGCTTCTGGCAACCTTACTAGATGAGAGCTTTGTATGGTGCTGCTTTCCTCGCCTTCCCGAGAAGGTTGGGGTAACGGCAAACTTAAGTGTTGATTATCGAGCACCAGCGTTGGCAGGCTCGTACATTGTTCTCAACGCTGAGATTGTCAAACTTGAGGGCCGCAAGGCTTGGCTAGAAGGCCGAATTGAGACTTTGGAGGCTGGTGGTGCAGACTCAACCTTGATAGCGGAAGCTCGCGCACTTTTTGTGCAGCCAAAACAAGCTGCTGTGAGTATTTCCAAGCTTTTGAGGGAGGAAAAGCAAAGTTGAGGGTTGGTGCTAATGGCTTGTAGGGATTGGGTGGGGTTTACCTGACTTGAATTTTGGGGAGTCCCGAAGCTGACTGCTCAAATGATCTTGTGCCTAACCTTGGAAAGATGTGGGTGGGTGGTGGTCTATCGAATTCCACTTGGTTATTTCCGAGGTTTGAGCTACCCTAGTCATGAATATATATATATAGTGCAGTCTGGATAAACAAGGATTGCCAGGTTTATGCCGTAGCGCACTGGATGTGAATGTATGAAAATGATCAACTCTCATGGTTGTTACACGATATCTGTTGGGATGGGTGGTCAGGTGATGGTGTTTGACAGGCCTGATGCGCTCGCTCGCTCGCTCGCTCTCTCGTTCTTCTCTTAACCTTGAATTCCCCCGTCCGTCTTCATTTCGACAGATATGACATCTACTGTTTCAGCGATTTGCTTTCTATCAAAATTTAATATCTCTGTTATCAGTATCGGAGGTACGGAGTAGTCCCCAAGTCAGATTTGGGGCTCATAGATATTAGTAGCGAGAGGTGTCGTGGTTCAATCTTGATTTAAATGTTTGTTGTGCTGTCACTGCCTAAAAACATGCTATCTATTGATTGTCATCTTGAATGTATCGAAGCAAGTAGTATGAGTAGTATGTTTTGGGAGGGGAACATACTATTCTCACTCTATATACTGCCGGTTTACTCGACTCGAGCGCGAAGTAGAAATCCTTAATGGTTCATGCGTCTTCTGAATATCACTAAGTGCAAGCTATTAGAATCTTCCAAGGTTTATGTCTTCATGCCTAGCGCTCACTTGAATATTGACAGGGGAGTTGGTATAAATCTCCAGGGTTGTTTACTATGGGCACGACCAGATTGAACATCCATGGATATTTTTAAAAGCAGGCACAACAAATATCGATACAATTTACACCTTTGAAGTGGGAAACAAGAATAGTAGACAAACGAAAAACATCAACAAGATTGGCCGACTGTGCAGGGCATCGATATCAAGGTTATCACCATCTATGATATTGAGGGGGTATAAATGATGTGCTGGGACTTATGCCCTGCATCCTGGTATGAGAATGCAGCTCAGTAATATGTTGTATCAGACGCTTTGGGCTCACGAGCGATCATACGATCAGCCAGTTCCTCGCCGGTACGCCTTTCCAAGCCCATGTAAGCAAAATTCGAATAACATCATACTTCCTTCCATTTCAGATTTACATATGTAGAATGGATAGACCAACCGACAAATCAATGATTGACCATGCTTGATCACATTCCTTCTTTTCGTTCAAAGCGCTGATCATCGTCAATGTGGCACTGGAAGTTGGCTTCGGGGGCCCCGGGCGGCGGAGTGGCGGGATGATGTACGCAACCTATGCTGCACCCCGGGGGTTCAAGGCCCCGGGAGTTGATCGCCTCCCGAAGCAGTTGATCATGACACACAGCAGATCGACCGGGTACATTATAGTTATATTTCAAATTGATTAAATTACTACCAGTACTGAGTCGTAGACCAAGCCCCTTAATGCAAAGCCTTATCCGGCCAGTAATGGAAGATATGTATAATCAAAATCCAGAATTCGGAGAGGCCTTAGCACACCCAATTGCGTCCCAGTGGTGCGCTAGTGTTGCTTGAATCAGGCAGCATGGACTTCAATGTGTAATTATTCGGCAAAATTCGCAGATTTTCCTGTAGTAGATAGAACCATTGTAGATGAACCAGAAAATGGGTATGTTGAACAGATTCATAATTCGACAACAGAGCTGGATGTTTCGTACAATCAACGTCATCTAACGTCGTTAGGATAAGCTATTCCAAGCTTGGAATCTGCAATGCACTCAGGCCATCTAGCGCTTTGAGTTTGGAGAGTGTTAACTAGAAGCCACCTGAGTGGTATATAGCATACAAGTATGGGGTTGGCTATGGGGCAGGCAATGGAAATGTTACACGAAACGAGAGATGAAATGCGAATATGCCTTGATTACGGAATACAAAGTATGTATTTGCTTTGCACAGAATAATCAAGAAGTTGTACATCCATGGATACGGAGTATACATGGCTGGCTTGGAGAACTGATACATCATGGGCAACTGGGCACGGTAGATAGCTCCAACCAATGAAATCGCTCTGGCTGTTTTCTCCGTGCGGCTGGACGACATCAAAAACTAGTTTCAGTTCCTGGAAGTAAATTAATCAATCCAACCGGATCTGGACCGCCAAAATGCAAGGATTTCGTTTGTAAGGATGTGACATTGCAGTAATAAGCGGCTTGAGTCTCAGAAATTGCGTCTCCCTCTCTCATCATTCCGCACCTAGACCAAACACAGTAACAGCCTTGAGATGTTGGCGGGCTTCTACAGTACATGTATCACATCTATGCAGGTGATAAGGAAGTCTAGTCAAGATCTGTGACTGTCACATTACATGTGTGAAGCTAGCCTCGTTCCCTCTAATGTAGTGGTATGGGGTTCCCGTGCGGGGGGCTTGTAAGTAGACTGAAGCCGCCAATACTTCGGACGCGTAACCCAAAGCCAGATCTTACCAAGATCTGAGACTTGACTTTGTGGGGGCAATCCCGAAACTTTCTTGCAGCAAATGCAATAATCTATAGGACAGAAAAATCATGTATAAATGCCTGACTTGAGTCATTCATACTTTTAGTGTGTTTACAAATAGCTAGCGTGCCTGAATTTTAGTACTTGCATGGTGTTTACAAGTTCCAAGGTTCGGTTGAAAGTAGGCGGGCGGCAGTGCGGGCTTGCTAACGGGCTTGACATGCCCAGGTGTCTTGCCAATAAGCGTGCACATGTAAGCCAAAGTACCGAAAAACTTTGGGGGTCCACTTTAGCGAACAAAGAACAAAGAACATCCCAGGGAGACATGCCACCTACATACATACTCCGTACTATAGTAGGTAGTCCCGAGAAGACGTGAGGGAGCTAGTTAGAACATGTCTCCATGAACGACTTGAAATTTATTGCAGATTACGGAGTACAGTACGAGTGAAAGAGTAACGCTTCAATTGCAAGCAACAGCGTACAGTATATGTACAAGCACTTGGGCAAGTAGATACTAAGCTCTGTGTGACTGACATCACCACTCGTGCAATGAAGCCACAGAGGAAAAGAGCAAAGCCGATCTACAAGTATGGGACACGACCTTGGAAGGCAGGGGAGATCATGTTACCATGGTACAGGAAGGTTTAGTTTTCCGATTGGCCGGATCATTTACACAACCAATCAGATCTTGCGAAGATGCATATTTCCTGTATGTATGGAGCCCTGGAAGCCAAACACCCGCCTTCAAAGGTTCCTTTTGGAAGCCAAGAATTGAATAGTGGAGATGAAGGCATTCCCAACACCCGACAGACATGAGTGGTCAAGTGACAACGCAAATTCATCATTGGCGCTGATCCCGAGGTCATCCCGTAGATCTGACGGCCGGCTCTGAGGAGCCCCTGGAACACAAACCCCGAGACCCACGACTTTAAGCGAAAGCGACAAAGTGTAAGGGGGAGGGGAAAAAGGTTAAATGTAATGTTATTGGACGGTAAAATTTTCCACGCTCGCTCATGGGTACACTCATTAGAACGTGTGCATCTATAGTAACCTTGTAATGTGTAATGTGTAGCCAGATATCCCGCCCCATGGACCATAGAGCTGGAAATGAGGTCTCTTTGTACGAACCCTGGACTTTGGATTAATTTTCCTAACCCCTTTCCGGTTGAAATTGAGATTCGCTTGAAACCCAAGGTCGCAAGGACTGCAGGCTGGTGAGTAGGGCGGACACACAACCTTGGAAATGCTCACAGGAAGCTAAGACGGTTTCACTTGAGCCCTCTGGGCACGATGTATATATATTGCAGTTCGGGATCATCAGATGTCCAGGGTAAATGATTCAGTGGCAAAATGAAGTCATTTTCCAGGGTTGAACTCCAATGGAAGCTTGAAACTAGAGATATACGAGGACGAAAAACCTGAATTGGATGTTCCAGCACCCTAGGCTTGGACCGGTCGCTACCCAGAAAGGAATATGTGGAATCCTGGGCAGGGTAATACGCCCCTAGTATATTACATACTGTGAGATTATCTATAGAATTACATTCAATTTCGCTTTTCTTTTTTCCTTGTTTATTCAGCGGGGGAATTCCAGCTAGTCACAGTATACTGCGTACTTCGTATTGTCGGATACATCGGACATTGGGCCATTCCCAAGGTTGCCAGCGTTCGGCGGTACCATCCGATAATTTAGGTCAGTCTCGTCTTAACGGCTTATATTGCATGCCACTTATCTGTACTAGTGAATCGCAGAATCTTTCAGCCGTCTCCAATCGTTACTATATTCGATCTTGGGCTACAAGGCTACCCTGGCTGTGCAACAAACATTCGAACACCGTGTTTGTCAAACGCCCATCGGCTCTAGTATCTTGTCACCTTCAGCTCGACTTCCCTAGTCTCTTCAACTGGCTCCATAGCCTTCAAATTGGCTCCAGCATATTTCTATCTTGATTCCTCCCCTGCTCTTGCTGTGCTCTGATTTTGTGCGCACTTGAAATACAGCTGTTTCACCCCCGGGCAACCCCCTTACAACATGACACTCTCCCTCCTCACAGCCTGAGATCAGCATATCTCCAATATTGACCGATATCACTTGGAATTTCCTAACCCGATTTGGTGCGGTTGAGTTCCGAGATAAAACGATTTAGCCCTACTCACTACAGTAGTGACCGAGGGCTTCGTTCCAAGTGGGCGCATTCTCGTTACGAGGTTAAGAACTGAACGACGGGTGACCACTCGTATTTCACCCTAATATTCAACATGAAGTTGAGTCACCACCAAAATCACAAACAATTTCCGACTTTGGCACCAGGTCCCCCGCGGATGTTTGCTCCGCAGACGTCCACAGCGGTCACCAAGCCAAAGAAGAATTCCACTGCCTGCTTAGCATGCAAGGCAGCAAAGAGGAAGGTGAGTTGGCGCAACGAATCAGCCTGATTGTCGTTTTGGTGTTCGCATTGCTCTTTCTATTTCCCCTCGGGACTTTCCCCCAAATTCGACAAGACATCGTCAACATGCCCATATACTGATGTTCCTTGTTCTTGATAGTGTTCTGGACCCGACGCACCTTGTAAGGCCTGTCAGGCCGCCGGTACCGAGTGTTACTTTGATCCCAGCCGAGACCTCAGACGCAAAGTAGCAGTGAAGCGAACGATTCAAGAGCTCACAAACCACAAGGAGCTCTTAACTGCTTTGTTAAAGACTCTCAAGAACGCCGACGAGACGCAACTTGAAGGTATTCTAAATTTGATTCGGAATGAATCTCCATTGGAAGAAATCGCAGAGAGTGTCGGAGGTCCCGCAACGACATTCGCCGATCCCCAGGAACTGTCTACTGCGAGTAGCTTGGCCATCTCTGATTATGGGGATCAACCAGGGGAAATTTCAGGATCTGGGCCTCAGGCGAGACGGACTTCCGACACAAGCCTCATGGCAAGCTCTCCAGAAGACACTCAATTCATGAAGATACCACAACTTCCGGTGATCAGTCCTTATGCGCGGGTCTCACTGGAAAGCCTCTGTGACATACCTTTGTTCGAGGTACCGGCAAAACCATGGACACAAATTACAGATAGCGACTATCTGGTCTCCCATCTTGTCTCACTCTACTTCACATGGGATCATCCAGGCTCGCAATTTCTTGACCAACGCGCTTTCCTAGCGCATATGAGGGATGCGGATCCAAAGTCGGAGTTTTGTACACCTCTTCTGGTAAACAGTCTTTTGGCAATGGCCAGTGTATGTGTCTCTCTTGTTTCTATTATATTCTTCATTTGCTAACTGGAATAGACACATTCCGATAGCCTCCACGTGCTATCAAATCCTGACAATGCCTTCTCAAAGGGCCAGCTCTTCTTTGATGAGGCGCAAAGATTATGGGAGACCGAGCTCGAAACTAGCTTGTCCCCCATTAGCCTGCCTAACATACAGGCTCTTCTGCTAATGTGCTGTTTGTATGTCATCTCTTGGTCTCACCAAAAAATACACCCAGATTGAGGAAACTGACTGGATCCAAGATTTAAACTTCAAGGCCGAGTCAAGAAAGGCTGGGTGGTACTCGGACAAGCTGTTCTAATGGCCCAAGGAACAGGGCTCTTCGATACACCCAGCATGAAGCAAGATACGATAGTATCAGAGATGGAGCACGTTCGTACGATTACTGCTTGGGGTATATTTAATTTGCGCTCGTAAGTACTCCCCCGAACGTCTAACCGCACATTTACTGATCTTATGAGCAGACAACTGTCAGTGGAGCTGGAAATGATCGCTCCTTTGGAACATCCCCTTTCAGATATCACAATTTGCAGCAACGATGATGTTGATTGGACCCCATATCCACGATCCAATAAAATCACATATTCAAAACAACCAGCTCGCCTCCCACAGATCCGACAAGGGCTAGTTGATATCGCCAAAATTTTGAGCGATGTTCAGAAGCTTATAGGCTCTGGTAATCGAGGCGTTGGCTCTGATGACTTGTGGAGACAAGCAGAGAGCTCTTTTGATCGCCTGAATACTTGGCTCCAACACTGGCCTACGTTATCGGAGATGCAAAACGATCCACTCCCCCAAGTTCTTCTCACCAGGTAAGGATAATATGTCCCGTACTTTACATATTATATTGTCTCTCGACAATTTGCTGACTTAAACAAAGAATTAAATGTCTCGAGGCTACAATCTCGCTTTTTGAGGTGTTGATTGGCTCTGCCCAGCCACAAATCGCTCGACAAGCTCGAATTTACCAAATCAAGTCAGCTCATGAAATGGCTCAGTGTCTTCACATTCATCGCCGCTCCTACGGTCTCAAGCATATACCCAGCCAAGTCGTCGGCGCCACTCAGATCGGTCTTCGGGTGATGATCCGCCACTTTGAAGACAGTGATGAATCAAGGCAGGCTTTTGCTGAGCTCTGTCGCTTTGGAATGTCTCTCAGTTCAAAATACCAGGAAACTGCAAATGTGGTTCAGGAAATTAAGACAAAAGCCTTGCAACAAAACTTACGTCTTCCCCATGAAATTGTTGCCATTCTCGATGACAAAGGTTACGAATCGTGATGCGCGGACGAGAGACACCCTCAGAGAAGAATAGGTTGCGTTTTAACATGGGGAAACTCAAAAACGAACCCGCCAGGGGGAGAAACCTAAAGATGTGACTATTGTGAGCCCAGCTCTTACGAAATGTTCGTTGATAAACTGTATTGTTTCAAGGTTGGGGAACGGAATATAACCATGGCGTTGATTGGATGTAGGTGTGAACAGGTTCAATATGTCTGCTTTCTTTAATATTTATTTACGGTACATGCTACAAAAAAATAAATCTTGTATTGGACATAGTGAGTGCGACCTATGCCCTCAATGGCCAGGTGGAACATCAGGTTCGTCTGAAGGGAAGCAAAAAACAAAACAAAACAAAAACAAGGCATCGAACCTTTCCAAGGTTAAGAGGGTGGTTTCCAACTTTGACTGATTGGAATTTGACTATCTAAGCATGTTTGGATGCTTATTTTAGAATAATCGATTGAAAGTTTTGATGAACAAGGCAAATCCCAAGGTTGATAGCTGGTTTAAACTGGTTCAAAAAGAGTGCACTTTTTGCGATCTTGGAATACAGCGCTCAGCCCATGGCATAGCATTGAATATTCAGAAAATCAAAGCTATAGACATTTAAACGCAATGTACACGAGTGGAATTGCCAAAGTCCACGTCGAATGTCCTTCAAAGTCAAGCATAGTATATGCTGAGTCATCACGATAAGCCCTGATAAGCCACACCAAGCGAAAACCCTCAAAATTCGACTTCTTTGGCAAATCGCACACGCCGACGCTAGTTCCCCACCTCGCCCTTTCCGCGCCCTCCCTGCCGTTTCATCTCGGCAACTTGCTGCATTTTTCAATCTCTTCTCTTCTCCCCCCACCCAAAATGTCGTACGAAGATCGCGCCAATGCGCGCCCCAACCTCGATGAGTCCGACGTTGAGGAGGAGACTATGGTCAACGACTACCGCGAGCAGGTCAACAACTACGACGATGGAATGAGTGATTTGGACCGGACTACATCTCAGGGCGGTGCCGCCCAGGATCTTCAGGCTCAGCTGGCCGCCGCCGCTACCCCGCTGGAATACCAGGCTACTCTCGAGACCAAATTCGCCAGCTACGACAACTACTGCAGTCTCTTCCACTACATCCTGAACTCCGATGGTCCCGTCGATCTGGAGGTTCCTTCCGTATGTCTCCCGCTCTGAAATCACGCCCCTGTTGGATCTTCGTGAATGAAAACAAAACTCTTGGCATTCACGGATACAGCGAGGTTGAAATTGTCCCAAAACACATAGCAGTCACTAACAATTTATTTTTGTACCATCAGTACTACTGGGCCTGGGAAGTCATCGATGAGTTCATTTACCAGTTCGAATCTTTCTGCCGCTACCGCAACCGCATTGCCGGCACCGGATCTAACGAGGAGGAGGCTCAGCTGCTCCGCGAGAACCCCAACACATGGGGTTGCTACTCCGTCCTGAACGTTCTCTACTCACTCATCCAGCGCTCCCAGATCAGCGAGCAACTGGCCGCTACTAAGCGTGGAGAGGACCCCTTGGCCGTTGCTGGCGAGTACGGCTCCCGCCCTCTCTACAAGATGCTAGGCTACTTCTCCATTATCGGACTGCTGCGCGTGCACTGCCTGCTCGGTGACTTCAGTCTCGCCCTGAAGATCCTCGACGACCTCGAGATGAACAAGAAGGCCATGTTCGCCCGTGTGATGGCCGCTCACTTCACCACCTACTACTACGTGGGCTTCTCCTACATGATGATGCGCCGCTACGGCGATGCCATCCGCATGTTCAGCCACATCCTCGTGTATGTGTCTCGGACAAAGAACTTCCAGAAGGGTGGCAACAACTACGATGCCATCGCCAAGAAGAACGATCAGATGTACGCCCTGATTGCCATCTGTGTCGCTCTCCACCCCACTCGTCTGGATGACACCATCCACACCGCTGTCCGCGAGAAGTACGGCGAGCAGTTCTACCGCATGCAGAAGGGTGGCCCCGAGGCCCTGCCCGTCTTCGAGGAGCTCTTCCGCTCCTCTTGCCCCAAGTTCATCAACCCCACTCCTCCCGACTTCGAGAACCCCGCCTCCAACGTCGACCCCGTCGACCACCACACCGCCATCTTCATGGACGAGGTCAAGAACACACTTTTCAACCCCACCATCCGCTCCTACCTCAAGCTATACACCACCATGGACCTCAAGAAGCTTGCAGGTTTCCTGGAGGTGTCTCCCGAGCAGCTCCGCTCTTGGCTTCTCGTCAACAAGCAGCGCAGTCGCCAGATCCGCTGGGTCGAGGGTGGCCTGCTCGATGGCGAGCCTGCCATTGCCAACGACCTCGACTACGCTCTTGAGGACGACCTGATTCACGTCAGCGAGACCAAGGCTGGCCGCCGTCTGGTCGACTGGTACCTTCGCAACCTTGCCCGCGTCTACTAAATGACGCGTGTCTCATAAGTGTGCCGAGAGTTGAAAAGCAATAAGAGAAGGGTGGAGAGAGCCTTCTGCTTACCAGAAGAGGAACGGACATGACTTGAGATGAATTTTCTTATTTCTCTGCCTACTTTGTTTTCATTTTCCATATTATACTCACTGCCCCTCCCCCCTTTTCCCCCTCCCATTTCTTGTTTCCTTATTTTTTTTATCATTCGAGTGTTTCCGCCCGTGGGCTACCGGAGTCTTCAGGCTTCCGGGTCAGTCAATCAGGCTGGATGGTCGATTTTTTGGTGGGCGTCCGCTGTTTCATGTGTTGCTCTAAGCTGCCGTCCCTGTTTCTTTGAAGAAAACAGGTGACTTTTTCAGCATGGGGATTATTTGTGTCAGGTAGAAAACAAAAGCAGTTACTTGATGAAAGCAATAGATCAACGAGAGATACTCTACAGACTTCAATCTTTTCCCCTCTTTAAGGTGCTGGTTATGAAATGCGAAAGGTGGAAGATCATTGAAAGTGATGACTTGAGATTACTTTGCACTGTCAAACCCAAACTGATATCAATTCGGCGCGTGAAGAATAATGGTCTGTAATTACTAGGCCCAGACCTCAAGAAACCCATTTTCTATCTACATGTACAATTAAACCACCCATCCATATCATTGGACTATAACAACAATAGCTCACCAGTGGCAGCCCCACCAGCCAATTGCGGCTGGTAGACTTGTTGTTGATTTTGAGTGACGACGTATTGTGACTGAGGCGCACCGCCGCCACCAGAACCATCCAAGTCCAGCGAGGCCATTTGCTGTGAACCAATGCCACTGAAATAAGCATCGGCCGCATCCGCAGCCTCATTCATATTGCTGGGGCCCGTGGATGTGGGGTTCGGCCCTGGGGCGACGGGGAAATTAGGCGGAGGAGGCGCGTTGATTGGTGTGATTGGAACTCCCGTGGTGGTGATGGTGGCCAAGCCACTGTTACTAGTTGACGCTGAAGCCATATTCGCGGAGGGTGGGTTGTATTCCAGCATAGAGCCTGTGTCGGAGCCACTCTCGATTACGGATTGCTGCAGCGCTGGGCTAGGCAACAGACGCCGGGGACGGGCAGCTCGGAAAACTTGGTGAATGGGCTTGAGATAGACAGTGGCAAGGGTGCCGACGTTCAGACACAGTTCCTCAAGTGTGCGAGGGTCAAGCTTTTCGCTCTCTGCTGTGATAGGAGGCTTTTGACCCATGACCACCTGCTTGGCAGTCGCTGGGTCCGTGGACAACAAACGCCAGTACATATATCCACGATCGCGAAGATCTGGATCATCTGTTTCTTCAGTGCACCACTTCAATACTTGTGGTACAAGCTGCTGGCCCTTGGTAGGCCGTTGAATAAACAGCTTCACGGTAGCTGTGAGCAGGGCCAATTGTACTTCGACCGTTTCGTCATGGAAAGTGGCCAAGTAATCCTGGAGTAGGCCATCTGAGTTATCAATACGGTCCGCATATTGTCCAATGATCCAAATCACAGCTGCCTTGGCTTCGGGTTCATCGAGGTCGTCGATATTTCGAATGACGTGGCTGATAATACTCTCGTACTGGTTGGGGTATTTGCGGAAGATGTTGCGAATGACCACTGTTGCTTCTTGAACAATGTACGGAATCTTGGCATCGACCAGCTCCAAAAGTGTGTTGATACACTGCTTCGCCGAGGACTCGATCTTAATCGCCAACTTGCCGATAGCCCGAACAGCCTTGCGCACAAAGTGAACGTCAATCTCAGTAGCATATCTATACGTGGAGTCAGTACATCTTCTGGGGTGTACCTGAATATCCAGGGTGGGGCGCTTACTCTCGAAGTTCTGCCAGAACAACAGATATGTTTTCTTTTGTCGTGAGCATAAACATCAGTTCCAGCTTAGTAACTTTGACATAAATGGGGTCGTTGTAGTTGCAGAAGAACACGCGGATATCGTTCCGCAGGACCTCTGGTCTCTTCTGAAGGATTAGAATAGCGTTTCGCAAGGCGAGGTATTGAACCTCTGGGGGCTTGGAGAGGAGTGTGACGAGGGGAGGAGATAGCTTCTTGCAAAGTGATGTGATATGCTTTTCGCCCGCGATGTAGTTCATGAGATAAAGAATGACTCGGCAGGATGTAAGGACAACCGCTGAGTTCTGATGAGAGAGTCGTGGGGCAACTCGCTCTGCCAGCAGAAGGGCCTCCGCGGCATCTTGAGGCACATAGGACATTAATGCCTCGAGAATATAAGTTTGACCCCATCTGATCAGACGTTAGCAATGGTGAAGATACATAATAGAAAATAGGGAAATCATACTCGGAGCAGTCTGGCAAGATTGAAACCAGCTTCGAGGCGCTCACGTAGTCGATGGTCAGAGAAATCGATTCACTTCGGCCCCAAATATCGACTAGCGAGGCCAGAACGCTTGATACAACAGTCGGGTTCTCATCCTTCAACATGCGATTAAGTCGATCGATCAGATCCGAGTTTTCGACCATCTTCTTATCGTGCTCATAAAGCTTGGCCACGCAGAAGGCAGCTGTCTTGCGGACATAGGGATCATTGTCTTGCATGAGACGCTTGAGAGGCTGGAACGTCGCTTCGACAAATTCACGAACGTGGACATAAGAAATTGTTCGCAATGCAAGGGCGCGAACCAGTGGGTTGTTGTCTCCCATGTCCTGCATATTGTGTCAGTCATCTTGGGTTTGACTCGCAGGTCTAGAACATACATCTACCAAAATAGGAAGCGCTTTCAACGCAACCTCTGGCTTCATTCTTGAGTAGTTCACCAGGAACAAGAAGCACCTATATTCAATCAGCTCGTGCCCTCATCCGATTCACGCTTCACGCATTATGGTCAGACGCACATCTTCTTGATTTCCAAGCTAGGCAGATTCATGCACTCGATAACATCGGGGAAGAGCGCAACCATGTCGTTGTTGCTCATGGTCATGTTCGCAACAATCTTCTTCAAGGCGATCTTCTTGGCGGAGTAGTTCTTGTCTTTCTTGCCGCCACTACTGAGCTCCTGCCGTAGCTCTGCGACCTTTCCCTGTGGATTCCTCGAGTGTAAGCCATTGAAAGGGCCAATAGGAGCAATACCAATGAACATGAGGGGCGATGGAAGGGTGGTTCAAGTTGCCAAGGGGCCAAAGCAAGTATACTCCAAATACCAGTTACGCAGGACGTAACAGGTGAGGGTAGAAGGGCAAATGCGGGGAAGGGGAACAAGGGCAGAACACGAGTATCATGCGATCAGAACTCAGAGCTAGACCAACGTACCCTAGCGAACAGCTTCGCGTCTCCTCCGGAACTCATGGCTGCGGTATGGACGAATGGCGTTTAGCCTCTGCTAGGCGCGCTTGGATAACAGTTTCGGCTGGTTTAGGTTCGTTTGAAGAGATCAATCACAGGCGATCTCAAGCAGAGGTTGAAAAATCGCCAATAATAGGATAAAGCAGGCGTAAGATTGGTCTTAAATTGACCGGGCCGTAGATTCGAGAGGGTCCAGTGGAAAAGGGTGAGAATGGGTTCACTGCTGCGCGTTCGGGATGCTCGGAGAATATTCCTAAATCATCAGCTGGACATGACGGAAACAAAATCTGAGCAGAGGATCTCCGAGCGACAAGTCGAAGAATTGAGGGACTGGAGCGAAAAGGAGAATAATTGAGAAGGCGGAGTGGACACTGCGGATGCGACACTCGGGCAACTTCGACCTCCCGTTATACAACTCCCTCTGAGATCATCCTCCCACAACATCCAACAGTCGGAATTATGTCGCAAGCACGTCTCCCTCCACCACCTCCTCCACAATGGGTTGTTTCATTGAATTCTCCGATGCCCCGCCCCTCTAAGGGTGCCTCGAGCATCCCGGACCCGCCAGGCTTCTCAAGCAATCGGGGCAAGCAGGTGAGTTTCCAGCCCCTCATATAGCAGACCGAGTACTGATACGTTGTTATCTAGCGTCAGCAGCAGCAATCCAGCACCAAGAAGCCCGAAGAGACCGACACACTGAAGATGAAGAAAGCGTGGGAAGTCGCCATGGCCCCGTCGAAACAGATCCCCATGAACGCGATTATGATGTACATGTCCGGAAACAGTCTGCAAATATTCAGCATTATGATGGTCCTCATGCTGTTCAAGGGTCCTATCCAAGGCATCATCAACACAAACGCGGCTTTTGCCAAATACGAATCCCCCTCGACCCATTCGCGTCTGCTCGGTGTGAAAATAGTATACATGTTGATGCAGCTTCTGTTATTGGGACTGGGTATCTGGAAGGTTAATGCGATGGGTCTATTGCCGTACGTTTGGTTGTTACTCTTGAAACGGTTCATCGCTAACACAATCGACCAGAACTACAAGATCGGATTGGCTAGCGTGGGAGTCAGAACGTACGCCTTTGGAGCGCGCCCAGTTTGCTTTCAGATGATCAGTGGGACTTGAGTTTAGTCTATGGAATGAAGCAGGATTGACACCAATATTGATGGCCCAATTCAGACGATCATTTTGCGTCAGAGCAAATTGCTTTGTATTATTGACAAAGTCTATGAAACCATTCGCATATTAACATTTCCAGCGGGTATAAATATCATATCATAATTTAGCATGGTCATTAGGTGCTGAAAGGATTGTTGCTCATTTCTTGATCATTTGTTTCAGACGACGTTCCTCGCGCCAGTTGGGCCCTCGGCGAATCACAATCAAAAGCAGTGGTGTGGTTGCAAGCATCACCAATGCGATGAATGTGAAGCACCAGCCCTTGCCCATTGCCGCAAGCATAGGGTCGATCAGGGCCGTTGCACCAGCTCCTAGCAAGCAACGCATGAAGTTGTTGGCGGCAGTTGCCTTGGCCGCCTGGGTTGGATAAAGATCCACCAGTAACGTACTGATGGTATTAAATGCCCCCGTCAACGTCAGTCCCATTATGAACAGAATGCATGTTGGCGCGGCAAGATGCACTCGATAGTTAAGGACCCATCCAAACGCAAGGACACTCAGACTCCCCAGCGCGAGGAGAGGAAAAGCGATCTGAAGTCGAGCCTTTTCAATAGGGAACTCCCGCAGATCGGTATCCCGATTTTTGGTCAAGGGAAAATTGACCTTCTTCGCAATGCGACGATAGTTGTGGTCTAGGAATTTCCCATTGACAATTGAAGCTATAGTGGCCCCGAGACCAAAGGGTATATAGCATAGCCCAATCTGGAGATCGTTCAGACCGTAGAGATCATTGTAGATCGAAGGAATAGTCGCGCTGACATCATAGAATCCAGCAAAGAGAATCGCGTTGCAAAAAAGAATCAGGCTTGTGTCCTTCTGGAATGCAATGACAAGAGTCTCAAACGGATTGGGGAACTTGAGTTTGTGCTTGGACGCACCTGTTGACACAGGTCTCTCTTCGTTGGTTTTCCGGGACTTCAGGTAACTGACCCAAGGCATGTTCCATTTTTGTGGTGGAAGTGAGCCGTCTCCCACGATGCCTCGAGCGGTCTCTGGGAAGAAAATGAGGAATGGAACTAAGAAGGCGCCGGCAAAGATGGTCAGGAACCAAAAGATAGCTCTCCATCCCAGGTACTGAGCTAGTAGACCTCCAACCACCGGTCCGACGGAAGGACCTAATAAAGACCCTGCTGTGACGAAGCCCATGTATGACCCTCGTTGGGAAGCAGTGGCCACATCAGAGACCACCCCAGACGAGAGGGCAATAGTGGTGCTACTTCCTGCACTTTGCAGACATCGAAGGACAAAGAGTGCAGCATAGTTGCTTTGGAGAGCAAGGCCTATGTTTGCAGCGATGTAGATGATGAAGCAGACGAAGTACGCTGGTCGTCGCCCTGCCTTGTCTGCAAAATCCCCGATGAACATGGGCGACAGCCCTTGAAAGATCTAGATATGCTTGTTAGAAATTAAGAGAACAATGTAACTCATGCCAAGACTCACCATGTAACTGGTCAAAGTCAGGTTTATCAACGAATTTGAAACATGAAGATCTTTCGCCAAGGTATTTAGAGCGGGGAAGTAGATTTGTGAAGAGACAGGCGAGAAAAACCCAGCCCAAGACGCCATAAACACAATGTATCGGCGTTGGCTATCGGTAAAGACTGAGTAGTCGACATCGGTAGGGTCCCCACTTCCAGAAATTTCATTCTCACGGATTGAATGAGGCGAATCATCTTTGTCCTTTTCTGAGCCCATGACGGCCATAGTTGAGCAGTAAGGGACCGAAGAGTCAAGCAAGAAGCAAGAAGCAAGTACTCCATCTTCAAGCACTCGCTAATCTCCAACAGGAAAGACCCATTCGTGATAACGCGCTCGGTCCAATTGTGGAGACTCTAGATGCCGAGTTGCCGAAGGCTTGTCGCCATTCTGGAGTAGATGAACCTTGGAAGTGGCGAGTTTATGTGCGCTGCCTACTGATTCAACAACCTTGGACGGTCAGCCACCCAATTCAATACTGTTGGTGAACTTACCTGCAGACTATATGAGCCTAATGGTGCAGCCAACCTTGAAGGACAGCATAGTTTGATGATAGTTACATGTTCTTATCCCCGAAGGATTTCCTATACTTCTTTCTGGCTCACCCCATATGCCAATCTTCCCAGACGATGATACATGCAATTGTACACTTTCTACTTAGCAAAACTAGATTCTAAGTCGACCAACTAGCGTGCCTGGACGGCCTCTTCACACGCCTGCAAGAAGATTTGACAGAACTCCCAAACTTCCGTATAGGTGTTGTACAGTGGCGCAGGTGCAACTCGAATCACATCGGGTTTCCTTTCATCGATTACCACCCCGTGCTCTTCCAAATTATGTAGTACCCGATCCAGCAATCCAGGTTGAAGGCGTATACTGAGCTGTGCACCCCGCTCGGCTGGGTTTGATGGTGTAATGAGAGTGAAAGGCTTGCTTTCCGCAGGTGCATCCAAAGGATACTTCGTCAAAAGATGTTCCAGGTATCCTGTGATGTTAACAGACTTCTTGCGGATTTCGTCCATGGTTGCCCGGTTGAAAATCTCAAGAGATGCGACAACCGCGGTGATGTCTAGGACCGAGGGATTCGATAGCTGGAACCCAGCCGCACCGACTTGAGGTGTGAACCCTAAATTTGTCAGACTGGCTTGCTGAATGACAGAAGAGCGACTTACTATTCTCCATGTTGAACCGTGTTGCAAGATCACTGCCCCACCAGCCTGAGAGACGAGGACGGAATGTTTCGTCACTGTCGGGTTGCTTCTCATCAACGCGGCCATGGCGTTCATGGACAAAGAGACCGGCCATCCCGCCGGGTCCGCTGTTGATATACTTGTAATTGCACCAGGCTGCAAAATCCACGTTCCAATCGTGAAGACGTAGATCCACATTGCCGGCCGCATGAGCACAGTCCCAGCCGATCAAAATGTCCTTGGAGTGCGCGTGTGCTGTGATGCGTTCGATATCGAAATACTGCCCAGTGTAGAACTGAACCGCCGAGAGGAGCACAAGTGCCGTACTAGAGGCATTTTCATCAATGACTTTGATAATTTGCTCTGTGCTGAGAGTAGGTTTGTCCAGATTCTCTGGCTCAATCAGAACCATGCCCTCCTTTGGATCGAAGTTGTGATGACGAAGTTGAGACTCCACCGCATACTAGATTGGCGTCGGTTAGCAAGGACAGTTGGCTACGTGTATCCTGGTGATATAGCATACATGGTCGCTGGGAAAGGCCTTGCCCTCCAGAATGATCTTGAACTTCTCTTTAGTAGGCCGGTAGAAGCTTGCCATGAGCAAGTGCAGGTTGGCTGTCAGAGTACCCATCACAGCCACTTCGCTCTGCGAAGCACCCACAACAGGCGCCATAAGCTTGGAGCCAGCTGTGTCGACATCAACGAAGGGAGGGAGTAGTTCATCTTCATGTGGAACAAAGTGTCCAGTCACGCCTTTGGTTGCCCAGGCTCGCAAGTACTTTTCAATATAGCGCTGCGTACTACGAGGTTGAACACCCAGTGAATTACCACAAAAGTAAATGGATTTGGGGTCTGATGCTTCGCTGCCTAATCAAAAGTCCAAAGATCTCAAGTCAAAAGGGATTCATCAGCGCGGAGGAAGCTTGGATACGCACTCTCTTCTGCCGCCAATGTTTTACGTTTCAGGTCCTTCTTAGACGGAATGATGAACTCGTCCCGGAAGGAGCGGAGCGGATCTTGAGCATCTAAAGCTTCAGCATACTCTTTTTTGTAGGCTCTGATATCACTCGCATAGTGCAGCGGGGGTCCATTTTGGATATCTCGAACATGCTGGCGGGAGCCCATGGCGGTTCTCAATCTCTGAAGAAGAACTTTGTACTGAATATGCAAGGGCAGTCTTGCAGACAGAGAGGATCAGGGAAGTGAAGCGTTATGCACTTCCCCCGCCATCCGCCCATCATTTCCCGACTGGGACATTTATTCTGCCCAGTGATCCCGCCCGAGTGTAGCCAATCATAGATCGAACTGACTAAGGCTCCAAGGTTATCGGGGAACGATTTGATATCTAAGCAAACCAACTGGTCCATTTTCCCTTCTCATCCTCTTCTTTCAATCTCAAATTCTATCAGCCATGTCGCGCTCATTATTATCATCGACCGCTGCCCGTCGTCTCGCACAAGGCCCGGCTTGCCGGCTTTTCTCGACTTCCCGGGCTTCACGCCTCTCCGCATTCTCCGACGGCGAACTCATTTCTCAGCGCTCACGTCCTGTCGCAAGCGGAACAGCCCTTTTAGGCTGTTTCTCTAAGTCTCCTGTCTCTCGATACACTCGTCAACGATTTGCAAATTTCTCTTCTACCTCCATTCGTCCGGCCACCAAGGTTACGCAGAACCCAAGAACCGGAGATGATGGAGAACCTCTCACAATTGGTATCTCGCCACGGGCTATAGAGGTGAGCTCAATCCTTTCTTTTCCTTCCAAATACCCTGTCTGCGTTTTGTGTTCAATTGAATGTACTGTGGCGTGTGCTGGGACAAGAAGCCGTTCAGCCCGCATTGCGAGGCAAGCATCGGGATCGGCTCCGAGTCACAAGTGAACGATGGAGGTCCGCACTATGGGCCGCTCGCAAGCATTTCCTAGCACATACGACCACAGGGTGTGGAAAACAGGGCTTCCCGTCCGCTCAGCCGTACTTAAGCCACACGCCGGTGAGTTAGTAGTTGGGTGGGTGACCACCAGCGAATCCTCACTGTTGTATGTTTTTTTATTTTTTGTCTTTGGTTCATGTTACCGGGAGAAGAAACGAATCTGGCTGGTTGAAGGAAGCTAACTTGACACAGCGACTACGTGATATTACCGACCCAACCTCTTCACCATCGGCTATCAAAGAGGAAAACCCTTACCACCACCTCCGCATCACAGTCACCAGTGGTGGGTGCCATGGTTTCCAATATATGATGTCTCTAGAAGGAGCATCCAAAATCGACCCGGAAGAAGACACCATCTTCGAAGGCGAAGCAGATGCCGCAGAGCCCGCGACTGAGTCAGCTGGTGAGGCCAAGGTTGTCATGGATGAACCCTCTCTCGAACTGCTCCACGGAAGTACTGTGGATTATACCACTGAGCTCATCGGTAGTCAGTTCAAGATTGTGGACAACCCACGTGCGACAAGCAATTGCGGCTGTGGAACGAGTTTCGATGTCAGCGATTAATCTTGCACGAGCTTCCATGCCTTGAACATGATTTTTACTGTTTCTGTTTCATTGCCTCTGCTCTTGTACATTACTTTGCATTCTGCCACTGGAAAGATAGATAATTGCATGTTATACCCCTCTTCTCTGACTGATTTGCAGCGTTGGTCTTGCGGCCAAGCACAGTAGGTGTAGGTCAATACATGGTGCGACTAAAATAGCAGCATAGTACTGCCAATCCCAAGGCTGGGTAGACGGTCGGACTATACTACGTTTCTAGGACCTGACCACGAGGTACGAGCACATGCAGACTTCCATTCCAGAAGCAGTTTGGATATCAATGACTATCAAAAAGATTGCGAACGCTAAAATGTAGACAAGGTGATCATGACATAGGAATACCATCGATATAGGAGTAATGCATGACGGAAAGCTGAGTCCAAGAGAAACCACTTTCAATCCTCCTCCATCCTCGAGAGACCTCCGCGGCTCCGACGAATGCGTTCATCAAGACTGTCCTCCTGCGCTCGCTTGTTAATATCGGACATAAACCTGCCACGGTCAGAACGTTGGCGATCATCCGCCTCTTGCTGCTGCTGCTCCTTGGCAGTGGTTTCGGTAATTCGCTGACGACGGTCCGATTCCATATCAGTGGCATTAGATTGCATTTCCGCAAGCTTGCGCTGGAGTTCCTCTTCCGCTACCTTGGGGTCTGGCTTAGCTGCCTGAGGACGCGCAGCTGGGCCAGGGCCTCGACCAGAGTCACGGCGATTGTTGAACTCGCGTCGAGGATAGTCACGGCGGCGATCGTGGTCATCAGGGCGTTCCTTGCGATCGCTGGACGGACGCGGGGAGCGGGAAGATCGGCGAGGTGAGCGGGGACGTTCACGTTCGCGGTCCCGGTCCCGTCTGTCATCGCGGTCTTCATATCGACTGGAATGGGTATCTCTCTTGTCATTGTAGTCGCGGCGGTCCCGACCCCGATCTCTATCACTACGACGAGATCTGCTGTCATCGCGACGGGATCTAGTGTCATCACTTCTGTGATCACGATCACGGCCACTTCTGTGTCGGTGGGATCGGTTAGGTGAGGCAGGAGATCGAGATCGATGACGACGAGGCGATGATCTTCGGTGTCGGTCGCGGCGGTCATCGCCTGCATCGTCACTGTAGCGTCGCTTGGAGTCGTGGGTGCGATGGCGGCGTTCGCGGTCCTTTCCATCGCGTTGTTCGCGCTTTTGCTCCCGTTCCTTGCGCTTGAGGGTCTCCTTCACCATAGCTTCGTAGGCAGCTTGTTCTCTTTTCTTGACCTCCAGCAGTGGGTCTGCCATGACCTTCAACATGGTGTCGCGTTGGGAGCCGATGGATGGACCCGCAGGAGCGCCGTTGCCCACTACCTCGGAGTCTTTCTGGAGTTTCTTGTTGTCGGTGTCATTCTTGAGCAAGACTCCGTCGATGCGTCGCTTTCCGAGAAGATATCCCTCCATTTCTTCCGAGTAGTGGCCATTCTCGCCAGAGGGGGCTTGATACATCCAGTCGACGCGGGCTTGTGTTCTTGTCTTTCCGGAGGCTTCTTGGAGACGCTGGATCTCTTCCATCTGGCGCTCCTCCTCTCTCTCGCGTCGCAGCTGGTCAATCTGCTTGCGCTCCTCCAGCGCGCGGTTCTCGTGCTTCCATACCCGCTCCTGGTTTTTGAACAGGCCGGGATGCCATGACCTAGTCGTCAGGTTAGTCTTGCTTTTTTTGGCTTCGATAGATTTGGAGAGCCAAGAATATGTGACTTACTTCTTCAAGTTCAAATCTCCACCCATGATGTTTGAGATTCAAGGTGAGCAGAAAAATGTCAGATGCGAGAGTTAAAGATGTCCGCATCTTGTCCGACCGGACCCACCCAGTTGGCCACTAACCACGTGACATCAAGGCCCAAATCAACCTTGGCGGCTATTCCGTGCAAACTATACGCCGAACGATCTCAACACAAAGTACGGAGTACAGGCCTAGTGATCTAATTACGTCGGGTTACCATAAAACTAAAATTTGGATATGAGTCGGAAAATATTAGACTCGAAACATTTAAAATAAAGGCGCAAAATAGCAAAGGGGGTGTAAATCTAAGTACAAGGTGAAGAAGGTTGAACAAATAACGCATCATATCATATCGTCATCCACGCCGTGGAACTCCAGATTGAAAGTCAGGCTACCAGAAACTGCACCATCCGATCCAGTGCTGACAGATATTCTCGACGTTGGTGGCTTGTGCAAGAAGCTTGTCCACTTGGTCACTGACACTCAACTCTTCGTTGTGTCTGAAGTCACGTCCAGTAAGCTTCTCCTTGACACGTGCTAGAACCTGGAGCGCACGAGCGTTCTGTGCCTCTCGGGCTTCCTGTGGAACGCCTTCTGGGGCATCGAGAATACCACCTTCGAGGATGGAGGGACGGCGGCGACGAGAGAAGTCGGCCGGTTGTGCGCCGTGCTCGAAGTTGACGCCTTCAATGATAGACTGGCGGCGTTCGGCGGTAAGAGAGACCTTGTCGGGAGACTCCTGTGCACCCAAACGCCAGTTGATTAAGGGGTCGTGAATGAACTGGGACACAAGTTAGTGGGTGTGACTGTAGGGAAGGGGTGTAACGCGGTACTTACGGCTTCTAGAACAGCCATCAGAGAGTCCTTGTTTTCGCGTAGAACACGCATGACAGCCTCGCAAGTGATGCGGTAGCTTCCCTCGATGTTGCTGACCTCCATGGCGAAGGTCAACATACGAGTGAGACGGAACGGAACTCGCTCTGGGTACTTCTCTCTGTGCATTGCGATCTCGAAACAGTCACCGAAATCGATATGGACAACTCGCCCATTGCCACGATCCAGCAACAAATTGGACGGATGTCTGTCTCCAAGACCCAGGATGTATCCTACCATGGACATGACACCGAGAGAGCGGGTGTAGTTGGTGCGTCGTTCTAACCAAGCTTCAGAGCTCTTACTCTTCAGCCAAAGAACACGATACAGATCCTTGCCGGTTGTGTTGTCCATAGCATAGCCGAAGACTTCCACCTTCTGCATAAGAGCAAGGCTGTCATAGTCAGGCGCCATTTGCAACATGATTCGGTGTTCGATGTTGAGTAGAATCCGACGACTCTCGCGGTATTCCTTGATCAAGGCGTGTAAAGTGTCACTGTTGGACACCCATCCCAGAAGACCTGAGCTCTGAGACAAGGGAATGGCAGGGAAGCGTTGGACAGACAAGTGTCGCTTGAAACTTTCGCTGTCATTATCCAGCAAGGTATTACACAAGCCGAACAGCTGCATCACACGCTCATCTTGTCGGATATCTTCGTGACCCTTGACGAGATACATGTAGGAGCTGCCGTTGCTGCCCTTGAGTGTCATGCGACGGGGACGTTTCTTGGTCTGCAGGACATGCAAGATTGGGTCGAAGCTCATGATGCGGATGACTGGCTTTCCGCTCTGGTATGTTCCCGGTACTGCAAGGTCGAGATCCAAGCAGTCCTTCAGTCGAGGGGACACATATTTGAGGTCGAGCGTCGATAGCTGTGGAAGCTGACGGCTGATCTTCCTAAACACTGTGTAGTACAAGTCCCAAGCCTGGTTCAGATCGCCAATTTCTTCAGATTCCCGGTACATCATGCAATAATGCTTAGCCTCGGCCAAATCTCGACCAAAGGCTTGCGCAAACGACACTTCTCGAAGCGTTTCGGCGCCCTTGTCCAGCATGTCGTGGAAGGGAGCAAGCGTTGAGAACATGCCCTCAACATTGTGGTCTCCGAAGTAGAGACGTGAGGCTTCTTCTAGACCTTCATGCCAGAGTTCATGCCACAAAACAGCGACTCGAATCAGCTCATGACTGACAAGATCCGCCTGCTCGACAAGCTTTGCGCTGTGTTGCCGCATGCTTTCCATGATGTTGCTAGCAGACTGGGAGCGACGTGTCACATTCGATTTCATCGCCACCGTGAGTGGGTATACTAGAGCTTGAGGATGGGCTTTTCCGACCTCAGCCAGAAGCCTGTGGACTGCGCCTCGGACCCTGATGTTGGGTTGATTGATGCGAGCGATCAATTGAGGAGTGACAGAAAGCCAAGTATCGATGTTCACAGCAGCGAATCCTTCCGTGACAACGTTGTTAACTTCATGATCTCCGCCATGTGTGAACCATAGAGTAAGCAATCTCAAAGTATCTTGCAGTGAAGATGTCAAAGACAGAGCAATAGAACGAATGAAGCCGCGCATAGCAGGAATCACATGTTCTGTTACAATGTGGGCCGGGACTGGTGATGGTGAACCCTCACGGTTACTAGCCTGATTGGCGATCGTGGTCACAACTTCAAAGTTTGCAAGTGCCCAGGAGTGCCAAGCCTTATACGAATCACGGTTGTACTGTGTTGCCGCAGAGTAGGCGTTCAGAACCTCACGAACATGTTCTGGTCTCCAATCACCCTTCTGCAGTGTTGTCTGCCATTCTCCTTGTCGGAGGTAACTCTTCGAAAGTAGCTTTCGGAATTTGCTAGCATCTCCAATGCGCTCACGCAAGCTGACAGCATCTGGATGGTTCTCACTGGGGGGGATGTTGATTCCATTCAGTCCGTTCGCTCCGTGATGCTCGGCAGTTGTTATAATGAGGGTGTTGTACCGAGAGAAATCATCAGTCAAGCCTGAAGTGAACTCTTTCAGCATTTCGAGTGATTCATACTGGTGACCATTGGCCCAGTTGAACTTCAGTCTGGCGTATGTGACTTCAGGTGGTGCGACAGTCCGCAAGCCATTGGCATCGGCCACTACTGTTTCCAAAGAGGCAAGAGATCGCTCTGCTAGACCCATGCGGTTGGATTTGCGGCAGAGATTGGCGAATTTGATCGACATGTCGAGGTTCTCGCGGGGGGCAGTGACCAAAGCTCTGACCTTGAGCATACGCTGCCATACTTCCACGTTCTGTTGACACCCAAGCAATCTTTGGTTCCAGGTTTTGCGCATGGCATCTTGCTTTTCGGGATCACCAATGTTTTGCTTGTATGTGATAATTTCTTCCAGCTCAGCCAGCATCTGGACGCGCACAACAACGTTGTAGGCACGATTGTACGATTCTCCGAGAAGCGCGGAAAGCTCTGTATCGAGTCCGTTGCGTGCCTTTTCGATGTACATGTTGGCTTCCTCGAATTGGTTGCGGTGGATTGCCAAGATGGCACCGAAGAACGAGCGGTCGGGAGATTGCTCCTTCATGACACCAAGGTAAGAGTCCATCAATTCCCACTGGCCTCTGCCCCAGGCAGCAGCGGCCGCAAGAGGCGCGATTGCTCGACGATGCTCCAATGAAGCTTGATTCCACTTCTCTTGGGCAAGGTCTGAGAGAACCTTCCATTCGCCCAGGGCGTGAAGACAACGCATTTTTCCCATTGTGATACCAAAGGAATCAGGATCCGTTTTCTCGCGTCGTTTGTAAGCAGCAAGAGCTTCATCCCACCGCTGGAGCTTCTCGAACCACGTTTCCTTGAGCTCGACATCGCGGTAAGCTTGTGCTTTGCGAAGAATGCCAATAGCAGCGTCGGATTGTTGAAGCTGGTTGTTGATGGTGATCAGAGCTTCAACAGCACCAGAGTTCTGATCTTGCTCAAACTCCAGTTCCTTGTAATGGAGAGCTTTAGCGAACGCATGACATTTGGCGGCGTATTTTCCGAGAGTACGGATATCAATGGGTAGAGCCTTGTCGTCATGCTCCATGAATTCAGCCAAATTGAGAAGAATTTGCAAGATCTCCGGTGAGATATTAGGAGAAGTGAGCGCCTTCTCAATCGAGCGAACAAGCTCTTCCTGGTATTGGTCATAAAGCTCCGTCCAACATGACACAAATGCGGCATTGAACAGATCTCTTGCGAGAGGCTGGTAGATTCCAGCCAAACTAGCACAGGCACGCAACGCTGGCGAAGGTGACTCCTTCAAAAGCTCGATACTGAAGCGACGAATCCATTCTTGCCAATCTTCCCGTGTGGACTTTTGCGAAGCATCCCACGCATTCTTCAAGTGCTGCTGGTTCACAACTATCTTCTTCTGTCCAATCTCGGCAAAGTTGGTATCATCGGCCGGGAAAGTGTAAGCCTCTTCGGGGTTGAGGTCTTGAGGAAGTGGATCGCCCTTTTGAAGCTTGGTCACAAGAATTTGATAGTTCACGTGTGTGAGCTGATGCGTCTTCATGACCTTGTTGAGGAGATTAATGTAGTGGGTAAAGTCCTGGCCTAGCTGGAAGATAAGAGCGCAGATGCAATCCAACGCGGCTTGGCGCAAGACACGATCACCGCTAGCAACAACACGGGAAAGGGAGTGGACCATGAGAGAGGCAAAGTCGGACACATTGACTTGCCGCGATAACTTGGTCAAGCTATCGATGGCAGATTTGCGGATGGTCTGCGGGTTTTGAGGTCGATCAAAGAGACGCACAATGGAAGGAATGATTAGGTGCATATATTCTTCTCCGCTTGTGCCGAATATGAGGAGGGCGTGGAGGATCTTCTCAGAGGGCTGGCGACGAGGACTGGTGTCTTGGTCTAATGTACCGAGCATGAGAGGGATCAGACCAGCAAGATACTTCCGGAATTCTCCCTCCAGAGATCTAGCAATGGCCTCAACCAATGACAAGATAGTGCCCTGAATTTGATATGATGTATCCCAGAAGTCTCTGATCACTTCAATGATTTCTGGCAGGTAGGCTCGGATGTGCTGGCGCACAATGTTCACCAAGATAGCCATCTGGTTGAAATAAGATTCAAGGCGACTGGTAGGCGAACTCCTGATAACCATGATGAAACCCGGAATGATTTGCCCAAGGAATGGAACGCACTTCAGACCCATGGTCTTGAATATCGTGACTATTGCATCAATGACTGCTGAGTGATATTGCGCCAGCGAGTTCTCGCGCAGAATGTTCTGCATCAAGGTGTGAATGACCACTGTAGGGTAGTACTCCTCATTGGACGGGGTTAAACCTTGCATGATGAGGGCGACATCGGAAACCTTCTGGATTTCGTTGATGTGGTGAACATCGGGTTCAATCTCGCTGATCTGCTGGTACTTGTAGGGGTCGAGAGCACCAAGAACACCGAGAAGTTTGATTGTCTCTTTTCTAAGGGATCCCGTCATCTCTGTCTTGATGATGTTGATGAGCACGGCAAGAAGGTGAGGGTATTCGAGGTAAGGCTCGATGACATAGCCCGAATTACTAGCCAGTTGCCCCAATGTCCGGAGCGCGGCTTCGCGCTTGGTGTGTGATGAGAGGTCCTGAAGCGAGTCTAGAATGATGGGCATGATCTGTGGCAGATATCGTCTCATTTCGTGACCACCGACATTGGCAAGCTCGCCAACCGCTTTCAGCGTAGTAGCCGCAACGCCAGGATTGATGTCTGTTGATTTAGGCAGCAGTGCGGTCACCATGGGGTCTACATAGGACCTGATCAATTTCGTTGCGTTGGAGACAAACAAGCTGATGAGTTGAGCTGTTTCCTCTTTTTGGCGAGCTGTATTCGCGAATCCAAGTCCAGTCAAAAGGTTCACCAGCAGTTTACGGAGTGGTGGGAAGACATAGGCAGGGTTGACGCTGGAAAGTCGACCGATGATGCAGATGGCCGCTTCCTTGACGTCGAAGATCTCATCGTTGACGGCCAAAAACAAACATCGGATGTTCTCTGGCCGTGCCAAGTGGCGGTCAAATTTGCGATCAAGCGACCACAAAACTGTACGTCGGATTTCTGGGTCAGGATCTCCAACTCCAACAGTCAATAGCTTGTCAATAACCTCGCTCACAACCTGAATAGAATGACCGCTAGTCTGATTGATGATCGGATCGTGGACAAACAACTGGCAGCACGTAAGAGCCGAAGCTTTGCGAATTTCTGGGTTGTCATTTTCCACGTAGTTGATGGCAACATCTCGTACAAACTCGTTCAAGATGTGGCCGGAAAAGTCAAAGCTGCCAAGGGTGTGAAGTGCCAAGGCAATGTCGGAATCAGAGTGAAGCTCATGGAGTGCAAAGTCTTTTGCAAAGGATGGCATAGGGGGCAGTCGGTTCTCTGGGCAGCCTAGGGGGCGGAATGGCGTGCCACAGAGAATGATGCTCAGCATGTCAAGAAGCTTTTCCTGGATCATGGGTTTAATAGGCGGGATATAATGGGCCATATCAACCAGGGCTTGGGTCAATGACTTGCTGAGCCCACATGTAAAGATTTGATCGAGTAGAGCCTCCATGTACTTTGCAAGTGCCTGTCCGACAGCCAATGAGAGCATACTGATGCACTCAAACATGGGCGCCTCGTTGACGCCCGCTCGATTCCTTGCTTTCATGGCGAGACCCTCTCGAATGTAGATGATGATGCCATCGAGATACTGACCGATTGCAGGACCAACTGCATTGGCGATCTTGCCGATAGCGATAAAGGCGGAGTTTCTCTCCTTGTCTCGCTTCAATTGGGCTTGAAGGTAGATCATGAAACGATGGAGATAAATCTCAATGAAGTCGGTGGGTGAGTAAGAAGCAAGAATAGGAATTGTGAGGACAACTTCGGTGCGAATCTTTGGGTCACGGTGGTCCTTAAGACGGAGAATGATTTCGCATGCATTTCGGTAATGTTCCTTCATGAACATTGTGCCCTTCAGGATCAACTCCTTGAGAATGAGAAGGGAGCCATGGATTGAGTCGATGTTGTGGGACTTCAAGCCTAGGAGGGCTTCGTCGTGGATGCGGGCGAACCATGACTGTCGGACTTGCGAGTCGCGCGCAACAATGATCTCAAAGCACTCGCCCACAGCCTCTGCAGCAGTCTCTCGGATAAGTACCTTCGGATCCCTGATTGCGACCCAGACAAGTTCAAACACCTGCGGGACGAAACCATAAAGCAGTGTTGGGGAACCCTTGGCAAGTTCTTTGATCACAAGCACGGCCGCAAATCGCCGACTCTCCTGGCGCTCAGATTGTAACCATTCCAGAGCAGATTGGATTTCACTTTCCACCAGCTCTGCGGTGAGGGCTCCGCCGGGCTTCGCGAGGCGGCCCAGCGATCGGGCCGCATAGACCAGAACCACATTATCATTACTGCGTAGGGCGGACCGGAGGTAACTGGCAAATCTCGTGGTTTTTTGAGCGGCATCGACGCCGTCAAAATCGATAAGTCGGTCGAGTGCTAGTAATCCGCCGATTCTCTCGTTGGCATCGCTTCCGTTCACGACCAGTTGGGCGATGCGTTGGCTAACGGCGTTGTAAAACTCGACGAACTTCTCGTTGGGCCAGTCTAAATAGGGCAAACTGTCAGTTTAGTCTCCTCGTTATAGACTAAAAATACCCTCATACCTCTAGAGACGGACAGAACGTTGTCATAAAGCTCGTAGGCAGCTCTGGCCCTGGCCTCCTCATTCTTCGACTTGAGCTCCACAAACAGTCGTTGGGTCACATCAGAAATTGCTCCAGCTTGGGCCATATTTGCGAACCACACCCCAGGGTGGACATTGGAGTACAATGTCTAGGCCATAAAACACAGAGATGCGGAGCGCATAAAGTTGGAGGAGGAAAGGTCATGTGTGAGGGAGATGGTCGATGGGAGCGCACGGGCCAGGTTGGAGTTCCCGACTCCGACCAGTCGGCCATCTACAGCCCCTCCATATATAATCACTCCTTTGCAGGTTGGAAATCTGTATCTTACTGCTTGGGTACATGGCATTCATTATCTCTTTCATGTTCGCCGCAAGACTGAGATGGAATTTGCTCTCACTTTGCACCAAATCATACTATCCCTTGTATAACATACGTCACCCACGGGATATCTCCGTATCAACTTTCTGGATCACTTAGCCTGCACTGGATGATGACCATGCATACGGTACCAGGCTAGTATCTATGACTCTAGTATAGCATTTGACTTCTTTGGCTTTCACTTCATTGATCGATGAATAATTTGCTTTGACCCGCTTTATTCCTTCCAAGAGCCCTACTAGAATTTCTACTTCAAATCTTCCCCCAAACATCGACTATTGATATATGGCTGCTGGGCAGCTATCGTTTTCAAGATTATTTCTCGGATGCCTAAATGTTACTGCGCATTTATGATATTCCGAAGTTCAATTGCGAAGCTTGTTCCCACAACACGTGTGTCCCCCTCCCCTGTTAAGTCACAGTAGACTCCAGGTCCAGACATCTGATTTCGAAACTGTCTGGGGGGAAACTGGCAGAAAAATCGGAGATATCAGCCGCAAGTAATCTTAAAGCTCGCCTGCGCTTGACCATTTGTGCAATCATAGCCTTCCAACCCTGGCATCAATTGGCTTTCATACTCTAGGTTCGACTCGAGAGAATATGTCAACATCCAATATGTGGGCCCAGTCAGGGTTGCAGGAATATCTGGCCGCTCGAAATTCCAGCCTCCCTTGTCTTCCTGCTGTTACAAGCATCAGCAAAGAGGTTGTGCGCATACTCGGTGGAAATCCAGGCAACATGCAACTGCAAGGAACCAATACATATCTTGTTGGGACTGGCCAAGCACGGATCTTAATTGACACAGGGCAGGTGAGTGATACTAAACATCTGAGTCCACCGGAGACTAAGCGACCCAGGGATTTCCAATCTGGCTCACCAAGCTGGTGGAATTTCTTGAACAACACGATTTGAGCATCTCCCACGTACTTCTGACGCACTGGCATCCTGATCACACGGGTGGTCTCCCGGCACTGTTGTCTAAATACCCGCATCTGAAAACCGCCGTGAGCAAAGCCTGTCCGGATCGTGACCAAAATCCGATTCACGATGGACAGGTTTTCACAGCCGAAGGGGCGACAATAGAAGCCGTGTTCACCCCCGGACATAGCCTCGATCATATGTGCTTTGTGTTGGAGGAGACTGGCACTATGTTCACTGGTGACAACATCCTTGGTCACGGAAACAGTGTTGTTGTTGAGAACCTGGGGAAATACATGCGGAGTCTGGAATTGATGAAAAACCACATTCATACGCAAGATATTCAAGTTGGATATCCAGGACATGGCGCTGTGATTGAGGACTTGCCTTCGAGACTGACATTGTATATGAGGCATTGGGAGACAAGAGAGAAAAGGGTCATGTCGACTTTCTTCTCTACGGGGCTGCTTTAGATGCAATGGCGGGACCGTTTATCGCGCAAGTCTTGTCAAAGCTAGCCGAGGACGGAAAGATTGGCTTCATTATGGTGGACCAGGAAAAGAAATGGTTTGCGCTATAATATAAGATCAATTGGCATTATTCACCTTGGGGTGCCTAAATGTAAAGAACATTAGAGATCTGCTAAATTCTCGTCGATGATGGCTCCACCTGGGCATACCCAACAAATCCTTTGACCGATGAAGCTGATATTATAGTTTAGAGTGATTCCTAGCACTCGGCATAACGCGTAGCACCACAATTGAGTACATCCAGTTTTTGTTGCAGAAAAGTAGCAAGTGGGGGCAGACAACCTGCTAGTACTTCTGGCTTATCCTCGATCCCGCTCTCGTTCGAGAGTCCGCGTCCATGATTGTACCGCTCAGTGAATTGTATGATCAGTTGGGTCACCTCTGATAATTCTCTTAGAGCTTGCTCGGCATACCCGTGCCCCGTCAAATTATAAAACTCAACGCCCGGGCTGTCCCAATGCGTCGTCTGGCCAAGCGCTGCAGCAGACGACAAATCTCCCTGAAAGTCTGATGCTTTTATGATATGCATATCAATGACTGACATGCATATTGCAGAGACCAGCATACCCACCTCCGCTCGCCCAGAGCAGGGACAGATCAAGATATTGGATAGTCGTCGCAACGCTGCTGTCATCGTTTGCGGTGTTGTTCTGGCCAATGCTGGATTGACAGGCGAAGGATGTCGCATTTGCTCTGCTGACGCCTCTAGATCCGCTAAAAGATCCAACGCCACAGTCATACAGTCATGGTAAGTATCATTCCGCTTTTCGATATGCGGCTGTACTTGTCTCGTGCAAGTTTCGAGTTCCGATGGACCGGGGCTCTCGCGAGGTGTGGGATTGGGAGCCGCGCTGCTAAGATTCGCATCAACTCCTGCTATCAATTTTGAGCGAGAGTATAGTCCAACACTCTCATCTATAAATTGTGTCATCCTGTGTTTCGTGGAGGGCCGATTTGACCCGCCATCTTTCTTCTCGAGAGGAAGCTCTTTTGATCGATATGGTCGGCCGACGCGTCTTGCTGGGCTGTAGAAGCAGTCATACCCCAACTTTTCACATCGGAGGCAATGAGGCTTTTCTTTTGTGCAGCGGAATTTTGATGAGGAACATTTGTCGCAAGAGTCCTTAAGTTTCGGGGGTTGTGAGACGGCGAGATTCGGGGTCGTCTTTGAGACTCGCGACAATTGGATGCGATTTTTATCCATGTCGATTTTTGTCTAATGGTGGGTAAGGTCACTTTGGACATGAATTGGCCATGACCGTTGACGCTAAACCTGACCGAAAGTAAGCGCTAATCCCAGTGTAGACAAGGGCCAGCAACTATGACCCAAACCTGGCCTAAACACGCGCTCTGAATCACTTGTCTCGCTTTTGATCGGCCAATTTCCGTCTGACAAACGAATAGAATATTGCGCACATCTTGATTTCGGTGGGCAGCAACAGCCTTTTTGAACTCTAGAATGGTTTCCGTTCGGCCAGCACTTCGTTGACATTCAATTGAATGGTTCGAACCTGAGTTGTTTCCAACAAAAGCATGACGTTAACAGATGATCACGCACAACAACCCTGGAAAGACCAACACCCAAGGTTAACGTGCACAAATCCCAACGGCGTTGCGGGTGAAAGAGATGTTGATGCCAAGACTTTTATAGATTTGGTTTTGTGTTCATCCCTGGACGAGGCCTCGTTCCTTCCAAGGTTTTCAAGTTGCACTTGCTCCTTTCGTCCAACCGGATCGCTCTTGGCAAGTTCAAGCTTTAGCGGCTTCCAGAAGCCGTGGAGCCTTCCATCACCATCCCAGCCTCCCTCATAAAATATGGTTTCCGTCACATATGGCGACGATGACCGGCACTCATATTCTGCACAATCAAGAGCTGATTGGGAAAAGACGAATAATATGTGCCATAATACTATATCTTTTGAAGATGCAAATCCAAATAACCTCCATCTGAATCTTAGCGATGCAGACCTGTACTTGAACACCTTCGCGTCAACCTCGTCTTTTCCCGTCGATGCTACACCGGACCTGCGCTCCGAGTTGCCATCTGATCTCGAATCCCACATCTTCGACTGTTCCAATGGGCCAATACAACATTGCCCCACGATGGACTATCCATTTGACCCTTTCGCCGTTGAGCCGCATCCCACCCCACATTTGGCAACCCCAGACTCAGTGCTCACGCCATTTCCAACACCACCTCCCCTGGAAGGAGTCCCTTCTTGCCGTGTGCAAAACCGCCCTTTGTGTATCCTAGCCGCAACACAAGCACTTCGCTCGCTTCACGTCCAGCAAACCAATTGCCATACCCGCCAGAGTAATACCAACTATGACGGCCATGATCCCAATGGACCCGAGCAGCCACGCATGTCTGGGTCAGTCTTAAAATGCAACAAAGACGCCGGCATGTCAGTTTGCCGTATGCTACAGTGCCCGTGTGCACTCCGGCCACAAAATCAGCTGTTGCTGGCTATCATCTGCTCTAAGTTAATAGCATGGTACCGTGCGATGATCTACACGTGTTTTGTGGACCCTCGTGCGCGACAGGAAGCACGACACAATGACACTGCATTGGAGAAAGTAGTCCATCAACCAGTTACGATTGGAGATCATTCTGTCGACGATCAAGGTTTGGGATTGGCCATCCAGGCCCAGGTCACACTAGGAGAGCTGCACCATATGCAGCGCCTAGTTGAGACTCTTTCGGCTCGGATTCAGGAAACAGCAAGCTCGTTTGCAAGTGCGCCGTTCCTTGGAATTGAGATACAGTCTCCACCGGTCAAGCTCCCAGAGCTTGCGCATGATCATCTGATCACCGACTTACTGACGGAGGTCCTTGCGGCTAAGGCTGATCTTATGACTGCTTCGCAAAATCTATAGCATATTCTTCTAGATCAATTACAATCACCAATTCTGAGGTCTGGGCATGAGCAATGTGTGAATATGCATTTTGTCAAAAAAACTATTCGAGCGTAAAGCACTTCCAAACTCGGAGGGGAAAAGAAGCATAGACAAAAGAAAGAAAGTATCGTGATGGGTATCAATGGCTAAACGCAGGAATCAAGGAAAGAAAGTGCAGAGTGACGTGAGAGAGGTTGTTTAGAGCCGTCGTAATCCCAAGCGGCCACGGCTCTGACGCGTGGTGGCATTCTGAGTACGAATCTTGCGTCGGGGTGTCTTCTCTGGCTTTTTGCTGGGTTTGACCCCCCGCCACCAGCGAGCAATGACGTTCGCTGCCCGCTCCATTTTGGCCGTGGCAGTGGCACGTTCATGCTCCTGTTTTCGTTTTATGCAAGACCGCCATGCCCGCTGGATAATGACGGCGGATTGATCACGATCACGCTCGAATGTAAAGCAGCCTCTCTTTTGACCAACATCTCCGAGGAGCATCCAGTATGCACGGACAACTTCCACCACAATAATGGCAATTTGATTGTTGGGGAAGCTTTGGGGTGCCCGTGGTGAAGACACTGGTGCTTGAATGTTGAGAGTAACCGCGTGGCCTGGCTTCGGGACCCTGGAAGGTGTGCTCCCAGCTTGAGTTATCAATCCTCGGGTTTTTGCCTCTTTTTGTATGTTTCCAGACCTGTCACGGCTGCCTTTTGCGGGAACAAGGTTTGACTCGACTCGACGACTCATTTGATCTCTGGGACTGCCGGTGGACTTGCTTTTGCTGTTGGCGCGAACAGACATCCCTGGAGGAATGTTTTCCTTCCCTCCGCCATTGCCAGGGACATCACGTCCCGAGGCCGCCGGCTGTGGAGGTTTCAGGCTGTGTTGTAGAGGGGTTTTGCGGTTTGATGCTAGCACCGGTGGGCGCTGGTGAAAGGACCGTGGTTGTGGAGATTTGGTCATCTTGTATACCGGTGTCTCTGGAAGAGATTTCTCGCGTGTGCTTCTGGTTGACCTGGAAGAATTCGTGACACAAGTTGGAAGGGTGTCGTCATCAGTAAATATGCAAATTGCTTCAGGTCTTCTGGGTCTGGGACCAAAGGCGAGTGCTTCGTCAAGGGTACCAGGCATTGTGTCGAGTACCTTGCGCTCGAGTAGCTATGGTTTTCGAGGTTGAACGTGGGGTTTCAGCAAGGTGTATGAATCAACAGAATATGGTATGTATTGTTTCAATTGTTTTGGAATGTGGGAGAAGCGGAGCGGTGAAGTCAAGCAAGGGATCGACTTAAAGCGGGGGAAATAGGGAGGGGCTCAGTTCTATGATATCAGTCAAGCACAACGATATATCATCACTTATTCTGTATATACTATGCCAGTTTATCCCGAAACGTCGACTAGAAAGGTGTTGACACGGTTGTCCAGGGCAACAGTCGTGTAAGCACAACAGTCGGTCGTGTCACGTGATGGCTCTGTTTAGATCGATCTATCCTGGCCTTCCAAGGGCTTCCAAGTTTTTGAATTTATTCACCAAGTCGATTGTTCACATGAGAGCCTGTTTGCTTACTGTGAGAGTCTGTTGGTGACTTATATCTCCGTGAAGATTGGGAATATGGATGTGAGAGGTGAATGGGCCGAATCTGAAATGTTGAAAATCACATTAAGAACACATTACTATATTTACTATATTTGAAGTGTGATATAAGCAAATGAATGTTTTCCTATTAAACCTATCTGTCTTCCACCTCAGCAAAGCTAGATACCACGAATATTGACCTCGTCCCAAGAACATCCATTGCTTTAAGCGCAAGCCTCCGACTTATCTCTGCTGACTCCTTGGACTCCGATGTTTAGGTCACTTTGTCTGTTTAGAAACTCACACTAAGAGTGATCTATGTTTGATAAGTAGCCACATGGTCACGCTTTCAGAGGCTCCTCCAGGGGGTCCAGAGGGTGGGGGCCTGTCCAAAACAAATCATCACGATCAATGGAAATGCGCCCATCTATGATACCTTCCCTATAATCATTGGCAAGGGCGATGACATAGGCTAGTCTGTCCTTGAAACTGTCGCTGGGATTCAACAGTGGAAATGATACAACCAACTTCATCTCAAGCTGCTTGGGTTTGTTAGTCATGATGATATTCACCTTCTGAATCCGCTCAATGATAACATCCATCAGTTCTAAGTCAGTTAGGATTTCCTCGGTCATATTCATGAACACATTGACCCACTGAAGTGATGGACTGTCTTCATAGGATTCGAAAACAGGCAAGCCGTTTTCCCAAAAAAGCGTCCTCATTGTAATCATGACTGAAGGTTTTCGCAGGTGCGTGGCGATGAGTCGAACTTGTGAAATGAATTGTGCTTGTTTCTGTGTTTGAAGCTTGCTTTTTTGAAGAAAAATCCTCTTTGGTCTGCGATGATAACCTTGGAATAGTTGTGCTGTGATGCTGAGACCTGCCCAGGTGCGTCTGGATAGGGCTTTATATATGTCCAACCCTTGGAACCCACCCGTGGACGTAGTCCAGTACAAGGACCGTCTTTCAGGTCGCCATTAACAATGCCAAACATATTTATATCCTACGTACCTTTGCAGATCAATGAAAACCTTGGAAGATATAGTATTATGTCTCGTCTAAGAGAGGGGACATTGCTCAGTTCTCACTTCTTTGGTCTTTGTTGCTTTGTCGTGCGGGCATACAGAGGAGTCTTGGAAGCTCATGGGCTTTATGCACTGCAACCCCCGAACTTTGGTATACACAGCCAGCAAATAATAACTTTGGAGACTTTCGAATACACTCATTTGGTGTATGTCCCTATTTGGTTAAGTTCATATCAATCCTTCGCAGCCACCGTGTCACCCAAACAATGATGTCATACCCTACCCACTATAAAACGATCCAGCCGCTGATTTTTGGGGCTCAACACTGCATCTCCCATCTCTCTACACACACTTATCTCCTGTCCATCTTACCTGCTGCGGCTTTACCTATCTTTGAACTCAAACGGCCTAGCCAAAATGCCAATCGATACCTCAAACCAAGACAAGGGCGTCACTGGAGCCGCCAAATTTGTCACATCCACACTTGGTAACACGGTCGGCGGTGTCACTCGCACCCTGGGTGGAGTCACTGGAGCCGCTGGGCGAGGCGTTGGCAGTACCATCACCAGTGCGACAGGCAGCGCGGGTGAGGGAGTCGGGAACGCGCTGGGAAGTGCAAGCTCGGGAATTGAGGATGGAGCGAAAACGGTAGCAAAGGGAGTTGAGGACGCCGGGAAATGGAAATGAATGATGGCTGTGGTTTCTGGAGTCTCTTTTCTGTCATATAATACTTGCTTTTACTTGGGCACGCTGAGATACACCTAGGCACTTGTGATTTTTGAAATTATGAGGTGTTATTTGAAGTGAAAACGTCCGTCTGATGCCCGCCTCTGCCCAGAGAGTGGCAGAAGCTCCTAAAGTAAACCGATCTTCGAGAGTCCTGCGTGGCAAAGTGATTCTAGAACTTGACACTTGGAGGCAATTACAAAGGTACCTAGTTCTGTTCAAGGTCTCAATTTTGAGTAGGGTTCCAAGGATCTGGTCCCATGCGACATCGGTTTGAATAAGGATTAGGATTGTTCCTAGGATATCTGTGAGAAGGCAGCAGGTAAGATCCTTAACACGATGAAGAGGACTTGGTAAGTCTACAAAAGAAACACTGGACATGCTTCCACCATGATTCAGAGCCTTTGTTTGATATCTTCGCATCACTCATATTCCTTATCCAGCTTTGCTCAAGTATCACGTCCGCTCCCTGTGCAAGCAAAGCTGCCATATTTCTGTAGATATTGCTCTCTGGTGCGTCTGCGCTGGGGGCCTTCACCGGTCTCGGTCTTCATCATCCGAAAGAGAACTCCGATGCATACATCCACTTACATTGATGATTTCCACAGAATTCACTCCCCCTCATTCTTCAACCCTCGAAGAATCTCCTCCCATACAGTGCCAGATTGCACTAAGCTATCGTGATCTGTGCCGGAAACAGTCGTCGACTCAAACACAAGTACATCCTCTGGACCCCCAGTTCCAGCTTGATGCCAACACTTGTCGAAATATGGCGGTCCTTTCTTTCCAATCATGCTGTCCTCCTCAGCAAAGTATGCTTTGACCTTTAACGGCTTCCCCACTCGCTCTCGCGCTCTTTCTCGCTCAACCAGCTCCCTCACGTAAGCCTCATAGTCCTCACATTTCCCCCATGAACCAGATTCCTTTCTTAAACACTGCATTGCCTCGCTGTTAGCGCCAACTGTGTTCTCTTTGAACATGAATTGCATCATAGCGGAATCGATTTCGTTTTGCTGGTCCACACTTAAGCCGTAGTGCTCCTCGATATAACGACGGTTCTTATCTTTTTCCCCCTCAGCACCAGATGAAAACATGGCAGAGAATTTGGCAACCATTTCCCCGCTAGTGGCAGTTGCGGATCCATCCTGAGCGAGGAAAAGACGTGGGATATGGTTCCAAAGCTTGAAAGCCGGGGTAGGAATATACTGGGCTGCTTTCAATGATTTCATGCCAGAATGCGCAGGGTCAACAAATGGAGCTATCAAACTGTTAGCCTGTTTCACGGTTGCATCTTTGCTGAAAAGCCGGCGCCGGCGTGTAATATTCGGGATGTAGGATAGACAGTTCTGCATGGCATAGATCGTACCTAAAAGCGTGACTGTTGGATTCTGTGGATCCAGAATCTCCCGGCAACTATACAATGTGTTCAAAAGATAGAAAGTTCCAGCACTGTGTGATGCTAAAGCCACATGCTGAATCCCGAGATGCGCCAGGATACGGGGAACAATCTCGATCCAAACCGACACTCGTTTGGCAAGGGGAACATCGGTAGTATTACCCATTCCAGGGCTTTGGAAGTTGTTAGCACTCATGCGATAGGAAAACGAGTGGATCCAACTTACCGGTCGACAACAAGGATGCGAACGCCCAGTTTCTCAGCGATCGCATGTAAACAGACTCCGAGGTACCGGGAGGAAAACATTCCTGGCATCAAGAGAAGAGTTGGAGTCGGGACACTCTCGGACTCAGTGGGTTGCTTCCCATACTCTGCGTAGCTGACCTTGAGAGGGCCATCGATAACACTGGATTCGATAGTGAAGCAACGATGGAAGCGAGAGTTTGAGATATAAGAAAGGGCGAATGAACGCGGAGAATTTGGGTTAAAGGCCATGGTCGCGAGAGCTGTTGTCAAAATTTCGCAATTTTCACCCGCAAGTTGAGCGGTACAGGATAAGAGAATGTCAGCTCATGAGGGGCGGCCAGGCATCTATCAAAGGGCCCGGCTTATGGCTTACTATGGGTCCGCACCGGGTTTTGGCCAAAAAGTCCACCCCCAAAGCATGCTGAACAAACGCCAATAGGTGGATGTGAAAAGGATTGGGGGCCAAAACAACCTTGGACTTCGCGGGTTTGAGTATACCAAGCTTTCTCGTCTTAGCTCTTCGGTGGGCATCTTGGAGATCTTCAAACAATTTTGTCTATTCCAATTAATGCGGCACGATAGAGTCCATCAAGCTTTTTATTCCATTTGGTTCGTCTAGGAATGACCCCGAGCCATTATCATATTCACTTTCAAAGGTTTTCCCCCAGGGTTCCCGTAGCCGACAGCCGGAGTTTGAACGACAAAGGCTCTATGCGAGCCCTTCGCTTTGGGGTGCTTCTTCAATGCTCCCAGGAATGTCCAATCTGAAGTATCCATTGTTTTCTAATGTATGGGCGACTATTGCATCGAGCTGCAATACGCGATTATCAGAAGTCCATAGACCGTTCTCGTACTTCATGCTCGATCTGGGCGCCGCTGTTGGAATGAGGGAAAGAAGAACTGCTTGTTGATTGACAAAGGAAGACATAGGTTAAATGAAGGCAATGGTGCTCGTGAAATCTGTAGAAGTCAGTGAGTCCCGTTCCTCGTTTCTCAACGCCGGCGATGGTAGATCTTCAGTTCATGATTCCATAGCCCATGATGACAGGACCGTTGTGTTTTGTCGGTTGAGGGTCTCATAAGCTTGAAATAGTTGTAGCATAGATGAAGCACCGGCTGTCCAGTCAGCTGGTAAAATCGAAGAGCCGAGAAAGTACATCTCCTAAACAATATGCGTGTCCACGGTCTTTCCAAGTCATCAGTGGCGGCGCTGACGGCACTCGAGGTCGTAAACCTCAAGCAGCTGCGGATGGGACTGTGGCCGAAGATAGACGGGCTTGAGGGAGGAGACGTGCGAGGATCTAGGACGTTTCAATCATCATATCATCATGGCCTGATACCTTTTAAGCGGATTTCCTGAAGCGAATGAATCGGTAACCTTCAACTTCATTTTGGATACTGACATCAGAGATTGCACTTCAAGTCAGTATTCATCTCAAAAGCTCAATTTGGCTGCTAAAAATCAATGTTGAAAGGGTCAACACAAGTGAAGTCGGAGAAGGAAGCACCAGGGAGGGTGTGGTCTGCCAGGCAAGTTGTCTGTGCTGCGCGACTTGAACCCTACCTGGGCTGATATTCGTACCAGCGACCCACTGTCCACGAGCAAGCAGTCCATTAATGGTCTACAAGTCCAAATCCCCATCGAAATTGACAATGCGCATTTTCTTTGCACGCCATTTCGACGACATCAGTTTCCTCTCCAAGCTGAGAGACACGCACAAGGAGCTCTTGAGCTAAGCAAGCTCAACATCGAGGCCATGACTACGGATGACAAGATCTTATCTCCAGCAGCCTGGCCCAGAGCCTTGAGAGTATACAATGCGCTCCTTGTGGACAGCATAGGTTTTGCAATAGGAAGCCGCACCATCGCGCAAGTCGATTGCGATATCACTACCACGCATATCGGCTCAACATGAGTGTGAGATACAAAAGACTTTGAGATGCTTCGGCCCCATCAGATCTGGTATCGAGTTTGGGCTAGAGAATTGAGTGGGCAGAGATCGCCCCCCAGAACAACACATCGTGCGGAGAGAGGAATCTTTTTGGTTGCATTGTCCACCAAGCAACTTGGATCCCGGCATACTAGTCGACCTCATGGGCCCATCAAATACCAACCTGAGTTATCATGGCCCCGGGATATTTGACCGGAAATGGGAATGCGGAGATGGACACGTTTGAAGCCAAGCTGGTATGTCTTGAGAGTCATTTCTAGAATAATCAGTGCTAACTGGAATAGGCGAGATCGTGTTATACTTCATACAAGCGCTTGTATTTGAGCTTCAACCCCCGGGATACCATTTTGGGAAGTGATATATCAGCCACCGTACCAATGTTCCTATATATTCCGGAGCATCGAATCGGGAAGCTGCTTTTGATACAAGTGAGCGAATTTTCGACATTGACAGCATCATAAACAGTTCCTATGACTCCATAAAGGAGACATCTGGAATATATCAATCCCTGCAAGTGCAGACATCACATCATACAACAGAATCCCCACATCGAAACCCCCATGGAGATCTACCATAATACATAGATGAAACCCACCCAGTCCATCCAATGGGCAATCACGACTCTGATCGCACGGCCGTCGGCCCCAACATGAACTTTGGAGTACACGAGAGACCCTACAAGGCAAGCACTGACGTGTTCAGCCTTTGGATAAATTGCTCTTTCAAACACTCTATCTGAAGTCTGACACAAACCTTCATCGGAAAGCACCGTACCACTAGCGCTCACAACAAAGTTCACGACCAAAGCACAGGAGGCTCCCATGGCAACCAACCACACGTGAGTCAAGCGTGCACCCGTCTCTGCCCGTGATGTCATTGATGCCAGGCATCAAAAGGGGATCTGAAACGTATAGCGGAAGATAATCATCCAGAGTACAGAATAGGAAGCTCATTTGCAAGACCCTGCGTCATCCATACAGATATAGAAAGTAGCGCATTAGTCGCGGAGTTGAACCGCAACGTTGTATCCACTGACCGCTGAACTTCAACCTCGTATTACCGCAGCCTATTGAATACTGCCCCTTAGAAGGCCCCAGCCTAAGGGACGTCATATTGGGCTAATATTGGTTGGTGACTGGAGGGGCGAATGACAGGCGGTCAGTTCTTTGGGCGATTACGTAGGCCGGGAATTGACGCTCACAACACAGCCGTTGGTACTAGCCCGCCTCCTCATTTTGATCCTCAAAACAGGTTCCGTAGAGGGCGGTTCTGTGGTTGGGGTGATTGCGATAAACAACCTTTTTCAAACTGACTTGGCCTGTAATTTTCGAATTAGCGGGCGACACGCGAAACGTGTTTCATGTATCAGTCCGCCCTATTGGGAATGATATCATTCCATAGCCCATCGACATATGGAAAGGAAAATTGCAAAAATCACCGTGTCATGCGCGAAGTCGAATTTCAAGGTTGCATGGCGAGATATTGTGACCGAGGGTCTGCTATCAGATGGTCCCAGCCCCTAAGTAGACTTTCCTCACGGCTGACACTGAGCCAAGTTTGTGTCCCGTCGAGGAATAAACCTCCGAGCTTTCAGACTTCACGGGATTCCATGTTATCGCATGTCGCTCAGCTGTATCATTATTGGCAAGCCGATCGTGCTAAGGGCACCCGATGACCAGGCGCGAGGGCCAACCACAGACGACGCGATGAGGGGTCACGTCGATCACTTATCAAGCGCTTCCAGAATATTTCTAACGCACGATTTGGCGTCAGACATGTATTGAGACATGTGCCAAGGGGACAAAGTCTTGGAGGTGAGGTGTTCCGGTGCCCAGAAGACCGGTCTTGAAGAGTCCCGGGCGCATCTGACGTGGGTTGACAAGGATAAACAAACCATGAACAGTAAGAGCCGCGTTGGTTACAAGTGGCGTAGCGCGGAGTGAACATCTATCATCTAAGAAACGTTACTATATTTATTTCTGACTGTTGACTATTCCGTGAAGGTGCGCCACATGTTGATCATACAGAGTGTACTCCGTATGATTTGCGATGCACAATGCACAATGCACTCAGAAACTGGTTATGCCTGCTTTGTCCCAGGCATCTGAATAAAAGTCACTTTCAACTCACAGATCCCAGTTCAATCGGACCGGTCCGAGTCAAAGGGCCAAGCCTATAGCCCGTCGATCCCGAGCCAAATAACGAGCACTGCCACCGTTGCTTCCCCTAACTTATCACATACACGCAGTGCAACAGCTTGGCAAAACCAAATAGCACACAAATAGTCGCGGTGCTCGCCAAGGCCCTATTTATGCAACCTACTGGTCAGCATGATCGCCCTTGGCAAGTCTTCCCCCATGCTGGCTAATCGCACCGCCGAGACCCCAGAAGTTAGACGGAGTACGGGGTCGTAGATTCATTTTTGGGTGATGGTGCAGATTGTGACACAAGACTTGGCGCCGAGAATGCCCCTATCATGGAGCATACGGTTATCTTATTCAAAGTTCAATGCCAAGAGCCAAAGAAGGGGGAGTACGAAAGGAGAAAAACAAAAACACAATGCCCTTCGAATCGAGCCCCTGTGTGGATATTGATCTTTTTTTCCCCGTATGGAGTACTCCATACTCCGTATTGTCACCCCGGGAAATACTCAGTGCTCCGTATCCCTCCAGGTATTTCGGTGCCACCGCGCACATTCTGGAAATCCGATGCCCAGACCTTGGCGGCTTGCATCACCACGCGCTTCCACCAAGCATTCCTCCGGTGAGGCCCAGCAACTGGCTTCCTCCTTGCTCTCCTTGCGCCAAACGCTGTCGGGCAGATCATTGATCCGCCTGTCGTTCCGAGACTGATCGAGTTCTGAAGAGCACCCAGCCATGCCTTGGCATTTCGATCCGGTCCTATCTTGGACTTGTCACGTTCTCATTCGGGTAAATCTGCTCATTGATTGTCTTGACGCTGTGCTCTGAGGCACGGGGTGGACTTGGCATTCTTGGACCTTGGCCGTGACCCTCGGCAGTCAATTCTTTGAGTGTTGGCGAATATTGTGGTATCGGCCCTTGGTACTCCGGACTGTGCTCAGGCGGCCTTTGAAAGCTCGCGAATCAGCGATTGGCATTGTAATCGATACGTTGTGTACGGAGTAGTACTCCGTACTCCGTACTGCTGCGTGAAATGTCGGCAGGAATACTTCGTACGTTGTCCCAATTTGGGTTTCCACGTATGTTACCAAGGCTCGAAGCGATCCATGGATAGTGTCAATCAAAATCAAACAAAGTACTCTCGTACTTCGTAGTGCTATGGGGAACAATATATTCCAGAAGTTCGAGGTCCAAGTGAGCCGTGGAAGACCGTGCGGAACAGCCGCTGTCACCAATTGTTTTAGTTTAACTACATTTGGCCCAGTGCAGTAGTCAGTGATGAAAATCCCTCATACAATTGCCCCAAGTGCAAAGCTACTCGGTATCTTTACATTAATACCCTAACCTTGCAACTTAAGAGCCCTTAACCATTTAGCCCGTTCACATCATTTACCCGTCGCGCTCGCATTGCATTGCATTGCAGCTGTCCAATCCCTTGAATCGATCCTCGACTCCACCTCCCCGGTTGTGTTCCCGGTCAACAATCCTAGTTATGATCATTGCTTTAGGATTTCCATCCCGTGTTGTGCTTCAATTATAGGAACTGTACCACTAATTTTACGTTTCGAACATCCCGCTCGTGCCATCCTCTGCCCGGAGTCCGTTCCCCACCTGCACAGGTCACACCTTATTGCACTAGACACATGCATGGGCTTTGTTTTTGTTTGTCCTTTGTCCGGACTTGGGGTAAGTTCCAAAGAACGGGTCCGATGGTTTTCCAATTGGCGATTGAGTGAGTGCCACGATCGTTGAGCGGGGAATTTCCATCAACGTGCCGCGAACACTACAAGTACGCTACTGCTGTCTCCCCGTTCTCAATTAATGGTCTTGCCAGAATATACTCCGCACCTTCATTCCTTTACGAGAACGACGGACCCGTCGTTCAAAATTAGATCTTACTGTGGTTCTGGTCGTCTAGGAGAAGTTCTCCGTCGGGGAAATCAGGAGGGGTCTTCTTGGCCCATTCCACAATCCCAGCTGTATGCCCAGATTTGGCGCCCACGATTGGCGCGCCCCATTCCTTCGACTGTATTCTCGTGTGTGGAGACCATGTACAACGTAAAAGTGAGGGGTGGCCAAGCAAGCGCTTGATTCTATCTATTCTACTCCGTACTTGTAGTCTGCCTGCGATATCGCTCTTATCAGCGCGGGAACTTTTGTTACTGCATGCACACTTTGTACATTCGGTACATTCGGTTAACCGTGCCTGTTGTGCTTGTACAAGATTGTTCCAGTCAGTTCGATGAGTACCTTGCGCCCGGGTGCGCAGTCCCCTATAGGACGATTACAAAGCCCCATCCATAGATAAGTTGGCGAATCGCTACGAAGTACTCGATACAATATATCAGACCGCTAGATGCGATCCATTGGACTGCCCAGGTGTCGCATGCCACCCGTACATAAAGCAAGCTCATGGTAATAATAAATATTTGAAATATTTGAAATCTTGAATGGGCGCATATCCCGGAAATATGAGCTCAATGGCTTGGAACATCCAAGGACAATCCCCGCCGCGGTGCCGTTGCGTTGTCAACAAGCTTCTTCCACGCCTCTCTTGCAAAGTTAGCTGATACTTTCCCACGTCAGGCTAACCGGCTTGAAGGCAAATTCTATGCGATCCACTAAGCTTAGATGTTGCGTTACAGGGACCATGCCTGTTCGCACAGATGGAGTGTGGGGGATCTCCTCGGATTCGCGAAGCTTGTCGAAATTCAAATGGTGGCTCAGGACCCTACAGCTGGTTGGGAGGGGCGAGAGAGGGACTGCAGTCGTGCATATCTCCGGGCCACTGTGCGTTGCGAGACCCGTTGATCGTTGAGGGTGTGTGGATCCGAGGGATCGCAGCATCTTGCCTTTTCTTATTGTCCGGTGTCTGTGCTAGTTTACGACGTTTGCGCAGAGTAAATTCCCTCCAGTCACCAGTCACCCGCCCCTCTAGGGCTGATCGCGGGCGCGGCTGACCGCTTCTCTGTCCTTGAACGTGGGCGTCTGTCCTCGTAAGCTCCGATGCAGACGGTTATTGGTGCTCGTCTGTCATCGGGCCTGTGAACATGGATCTGGGAGGAATTTAATCTTTCGGTGATTAGTTGTTGTGGTGGAGATCCGAAGGAAACCAAGCTGCCTGGTGCGACAACTCAGTTTACTGTAGATCGGTTGTATGCCCAACGCGAGGATCGGTAATCGCTACGCTTTTTGCATGACGAAATTGTCGATTTCTAAATCTGGAGATCATTGAGGCCGTGCTTGCGAGGGAGTGCTTGGCATCCCTGCCAAAGAATTTGACTGCCTCTGGTCTTGGTATTGGAATGGGAGTGGAAAGGATCGATTCGATTTGCTCTCCGCAAGGGCTGTGTATCTACGAAGGCTATGTACGTTGTGTACCAAGACTGATCTGCCGGGAAGGGGCAGAGCCAAGAGTCTCTTTTGGAGGTTCGGATGGAGGTGGATACAACTCAATGTACTCCATTGTACAGAATGTGTACTGTACGATATTCTGCAAAGTACCTGAGAGTACGGAGCGCTTCGTACAAGTACGAGGGCACAATTATTGACTCCACCCGAGAAGCTCCGATAGATTTAAGTCACGTTTCTGACTTGATGAGGCGAAGACTGTGCACATGGAGTGAGTAGATGACTGATGACTGGCGGTGCATGTAACTCTACGTCAGAGAAAGAGAGAGGGAGTCTTCCGCATCAGTACAAGTAAGGGAAACTGGAGAAAGCAATACCAAGCATTCGAGTATGACTCGAGTGCTCGGCAAAAAACCGCCAAGTATCCATACTAAACACTGACTGTCAATCATCAAGAGTCGAACGCGCACAGCGCGCGTTTATGGTTTTGCCCAGGTGGTTATCAATGTCTGATATTACGAGTTCCCGTCAAGTAAGACAGCCCTTACGGAGCAGTTTTAGGGCAAGTTCGGCCAAGGCTGACGGCTCGGCACCAACTCAGGCACCCCAATCGGCGAATGGTAATTCCCATACCACCGAGCTGCACTGTGGCCGGCGGCTGCAACCCTGATATGACCATACGCATACGATCGACGATCAATGTACTGCGTAATGTACAAAGTCAAAGAAAAAAAAAACCTGTACCCAATTTTACATACTGTAGACGACGGTGAATATATTGAGTACCTAAGATATAGACCCAAGGTGCTTCAGGTGGACATTCGCCTAATCGCAGATTCACCGCTGTGTTGGCGAAAGACAAGTACTCCGTAAATGCATTGTGGAGTGAGTTCGCGGCAAGTATAGGTCAGGTTTGAATGGGGGGAGTTCAATGTGAGGGTCGAAACCGGGCCCTGATCAGGTTTAGTTTCAACACAAAATCCCTCATAGTCCACCGACTGCTCTGCAATAGTCATCAAACCGCGAATCCACTAATCTCGAATTTCTTAGTACAATGTGTAGTTCCCTCGTATCCTCGTGGTCATAGGCTCTTTGTTTTATGAGTCAATTATAGACAATAGATCAAAGAAATCAAAGTAGGATATTTGTACGGAGTGGTATCGAGACTATAATAATCTATACGGAATATTCCATCGCCAACCCCGGGGAAGCAATAAAGAAATGCGAAACACAGCATAGTATGGTACAGCGCAGGAACACTTTTTCCCTCCCCATCCCTTAGTCAGGAGGATAGGGGGTCCACGGGTGACCAAGTGGTACTTTCGTAATTAATTGGTAAGCACAGGTAAGCCAAGCGGAGCCAAGGTAAGAAATAGGCATGTTGAGAGTTGGTTTGGGAGTATTGGGTAATTTGGAGGTGGTATTGAAATGGTATTGGGGGGAAGTATTGATGGAGACTGGATAAATTGCCCAAACGGGGAAAGCGCGAAAGGAAACAGAATTTAAAAAAACGAAATGAAAAAAGAAAAAAAACGAAAAAAAAGAAAAGAAAATTTAAATGACGGCGCTAGTCCCAAAACGACAGTGCCGGAGTGCCGTATCGTCACTCCCACTTCCACTCCCCTCCATAACTAGCACTTCTCTCTACTCTCTCTACTGCTCTTTTATTGTTTGATTCCTATTCCTCATCTTTCTTTTGTTCTTTTGCTACTTCAACCTCTCCACTCTAATATCTTGACATTCCTGCTGCTTTGTACACTCAAAGCACAGACCTTCGATTCCCCGGTATTCGATCTAGTTGAACGCCCTCAACATTGCTCCATTCTTAGGACAATTATCGATCTTGGCGACTATTTTGGCGACTACCCTCTGCTTCGCCTCACACAACCTAGCCATGCGTTTTATATCATGACAAGCGTCCTCATTTGGGACATTCTGTTCAGCCTGCAAGGTTGATCGATTTGAATCGATTGATATCGAGAGAGCATCCGTTGAATGAAAGACCTCATTGAATCTTTCAAGCAACATTGTACTATCACCTTCAACTCGAGACCGCGCCACTTTGCCTCCTCCTTGGAACCAAACCGTCCGTCCTTTCGTCTCGCAATTTGAACTATGGCCCAGTCTCGTTACGGAGAAAGACCATTCTCTTTCCACAACCTTTTCAAGATGCTTCTCTCACCCAACGCCTCTATAAAGGCGGCCCATGAGGAGGCCGACCTCGCCGAGGACGTTGATGAACCTCCCGATCACCTCTCCCACGCCACCCCGACAAACTCCGATCAGATTCGCCTCACACGGCCAGGCGTTGACCGCAAGGAATCTCTACTTACACGCGCCCTGAAGAGCAGTCCCGAAATGTCACCGACTGATCAACACACCTCCTTCCACGACTCTTATATGTACCGATCTTACCCACACAGCAACATCTCTGGCCTTTCGACGGCAGAGCTGACCAGCGACGGCGGTCTCACAAGTCCATCTCTGTCCAACACCCCCAGCCCACCTCTTCCCTCGATGATGAGCAAGGCAGCGTTGATGGGCAAGAAGGATGTCACCCCGAAGTTGAAGGTTGTCGAAGCCGGTGAAAACACCGTTGAAGCCAACCTCGGCCGCAAGCGATGCATTAGCTTCGCATGTGGTCGCAAGACTGATGACAAGCAACCCTTGCCTCCAGTGTCTCCTTCCGGGTCACAGACTCTTCCACCAAAGGCTCCAGCTTCAAAAACCGAGACGGAGGAAACCCCTATTCAGCCTCTTCAACGTAAGACTACTCTGACTTTTGTGTGCCCTGGCCGTGAATCTACTCCTCAGAGAGAGCGATCTCCCGCCCGAAAGACATCTTTCCGTTCAAGGTGCCGCGGTTCTCCAGCACCTGCCCTTCGCAAACCGTCCCCGGATGCGAAGACCACACCCAAGAAGACCCTCGAGGATGACACCCCTGCGTCCATGACTCGCAAGGGAATCCCCACAAGTGGTCTGGGCAAGTTCGAGGAGTCTGAGGCTACTCGGTTCCACGAGTTTGCTAGCTCCATGGACGAAGACGACGAGTGGGTCAACAAGGAGGCCGACTACACGGAAAAGATTACTTTGAACGACTGCATGAAGAAGGAAATGGCAATTCGACGACTCGGCGAGCAGGCGGAAGAAGAGGCATTGGATGAAGAGGACGATGATGTGGAAGACCTCGCGGACGACGATTCGACTGTTCACGATTTTTCCTCCGACGATGGCAACGAATCAGACAACGAGGCTGGCTTTGCTGAGTCGGATGAGAGTGATGATGAGGGATCAGACTATGAATTCTGGGCCCCATCATTGGCTGCCGCCGAGCCCACAAGCCAGCCAATTGAAACCCGTCCCGCCATGGAACGCCGCGTCTCGAACACTTCCTTCGACTCGATGGACGAGCATTCAAGCTGGCTCCCAGCGCCAGTCAAAATGAGCTTCCGTCGCTCTTCGAAAACATCGACAAGCATCAGGATCCGCCCTCGCACCCCCAACCTCCCGGACAGTACCGACTTTGTTTGTGGAACCCTCGATGAGGACCGCCCTCTTGAAGCTGCTTATAAATCATGTCTGGAGCAAAGACGTCTCCAAAAGCAAATTCCCATTCCGCAGGATATCGACCCCAGCTTTCCCACCAGCGACCCGGAGGACGAGGAAGACCAAGAACCATCTGAAGATGAGCTTTCTGATATTCCTTCGGAACCAAGCCGCGGACGTGCCGAAGGCGATGCTCGCAAGCACTCCCCTCGACACTCCCCCAAACGCTTTGTGTCACCTCCCCCACGCCGGGCTGGGCGCACCTCTCCCAAACGTCTCAAGTCTCCTCCCCCACGCATGCGAGCCAAGTCACCGGTCCCCGCTAAATGGCAGTTCACTGAAGAGATGCCTCTTGTTGAGTCTCCTGAAGGTCTGAACATCAGCCACTTGGTTCAGCGTCGGCCGTTGGTTCGCACCAAATCTCTTCCCCGGACACCCAACCCCTTCTTCACCGGCCTTGACAAGGATCACCGCTGGAAAAGCATCCCCGCTTTATCGGAATCACCAGAGCGTGAGCACTCACGAACCCGTGAGTTGCACACCCGAGGTCCTGTCGACATTGTCGAAGGACTCGAAAAGAAGCGCCAGAAACGCAAAGAAAAATTCTGGCGTCAACACTGCCGCAAAGCTGCCAAAGAGCAGTTAGGCAAACGGCCTATCCCTGGCCATGGAGCTACTCGGATGAAGGAGCTTGGCCTCGAAGTTGCTGAGAGGTGCAGAGCTTATGGCGTCGGTCAAGACGCCCAGCTCGTCCTATCCGTTTAGTTTCCTTCCCAATGGAACTTGACTGAAAGTTGTTCCACCCTCCCGTTTTTGGACTGTATATATCCTATATTCTGATCTTTTTTCTCTTCGCGTTCTTTTGGCTTGGGGTCTATTTTTTATTACCCTACTCGGTTAGCGATCCGAGTGCCTTTCGCTTTCTTACACATACTTACCTGCCTACTCCATGCTACCTGCATGGATGGCTTTTCACCCTTTTCCTAATTCCTACACGGAGGTGGCTCTTTCTTTGCATTTTCTGTCGGAACTCTGTCTATATTCTTTCTTTTCCCTCTTCTCCGCAGTCATTGAGACTCGCTGGAGGTCAATTCCTTTGTTGTGTTGCATGGTTGCGGTGCATATACCCCTATCTGGCTTTTCTGCATTGTGAAACAAGAGATCATCAGTTTGATGATAGTGAATATGAAATATTTTAGATATATGCACATCCCTCTAGATCTAATAAGTGACAATATGGAGTGAGGTCCTGGAGTTCTCAGGGCTCCCAAGGTAAGGAACCTTGGAAGTCGAGGGAAGCTCTAGTGGTGGCAAGATCTCAAGGTGTCTTGCCACCGCGGCCTTGGAAGCATCAAGGCGAAGTAGAAAGTACTAGCCAAAGGATATTTCTCCTGGGCATGATAAGCTCTGTGTATCTCATCATGCAGTCTGAATACTTTGAAGCCCAAAATAGGCATATCAGCCCGATTTGAGTCCAAAAAGAGTCCCAACCCAAGCCCGTACTTCGAACTCTGCGCCGTGATTCCGTCTTTCTGCCTGAGGCAGAAACAAGAACCCCGAAAACAACATCAAACCTGTCTTCTTTGCTTCTATCTCCCTCTACCCTCAACCAACCCCGTTTCTTCGATCAAACCCTCACAGTATCAAGTCTGTGATCTTCGCCCGATCTCGACCCTTTCCCTCGATCCTTTTCTGACCACCCCTTCACCATGTGGATTGTCAACTGGTGTAAGTCACCCCCAATACCACACCGATCTGGCCCGCATACGACCAAGACGAGATGAAGAACGAAGCTGTCATATCCTGGAAATCCCACTCAATATTTGGGCCGAGTTCCTCACTCCCCAGCTCGTCGGCGATTCATGCGCCGTGACTTCCTTCCTCGGCTGCGGGCCTGTGGTCCGAATCCGGCTTCGGGTTCACATGTACATCTGACATCGTACTGACATAGTTCTATGTAGTCTACGATGTCCTTGCATCGCTCGGCCTTCTCACCAAAAGCGCCAAGCTTTTGTTCCTCGGACTCGATAATGCAGGAAAGACCACCCTGCTGCACATGCTGAAGGTGAGTTGAGGGTTGATGGAAGGATGAAGCAGATGAGGTCGCCCTGTTCGCTGGGACGGACGAACTGGAAAGCGGATTCATTTCCTGGGGAAATCTTCGAACAGCGCTAACATGCGCATTCAACAGAACGACCGTGTCGCCGTCTTGCAACCTACAGCCCACCCTACCTCCGAGGAGCTTGCCATCGGCAACAACCGCTTCACCACCTTCGATCTCGGTGGTCACCAGCAGGGTATGTGAATCCCGCAGCCTCATGCATTTATCATTGCCGAGGACGGAAGTTGACGATATATTACTATAGCCCGTCGTCTCTGGAAGGATTATTTCCCCGAAGTGTCCGGTATTGTGTTCCTGTGTGACTCCGTCGACCACGAGCGATTCAACGAGTCCAAGGCCGAATTGGACGCTCTTCTCGCCATGGAGGACCTCGCCAAGGTGCCTTTCCTTATTCTCGGAAACAAGATCGACCACCCCAATGCCGTTAGCGAGGATGAGCTGCGTCACCAGCTTGGTCTCTACCAGACTACTGGTAAGGGCAAGGTTCCTCTCGAGGGTATCCGTCCTATTGAGGTCTTCATGTGCAGTGTTGTCATGCGCCAGGGTGAGCTCAGGTCCCCACGACTGCAGTTGTCCCGAAAGCCATTGGTTAACTAACTTTCTTCACAGGATACGGAGAGGGTATCAGATGGTTGTCCCAATATGTCTAAATGCAGTCCCAGAAGCAGGAATTTCGTCGCTTGACACCCCATCTACAACATCAGCTTTGCTAAGCGCCTTGTCAATGTTGAACAGTTTCAACAAATTTATACTCCCCATGGCTTTTTGCTCTCTTCCTACCGAAAATCAATCTCATGGTGCGCACATTGATCCAACAATGTCCTCCTACAGAAAGACCCCTCTCTCGGCCCGTTTTACCCAGAGTACCTCTTTGAATACGTCATTCGACAACGATGTACTCACGTCTGCCAATTGCTTTGCTTGCCCCTTTGCGATACTATTTGCTTCGCTAGTTAGCCGGTTTCCTTCTGGATAGTATAATCCAGAGATATGAAATTTATTTCCCTAGTGCTATGTTGTCATAGTGTAAAAAGCCGAGCTTGAGTCCCGAGTGCGAAGACGCTTATATTGGGCTTAAGATTGTGAACTCAATTTCCAGGTCGTATGATCAAGAAGGGACTCGACGATTGGGGCCGGAAGAGTTGCCTTGTTAGGAGTAATCCCATCCATGCACGCATTGGCCTACATAACTCCAGCACTAGAGGGCTCAACTGCAATTGTGACTAATCCCTTGACAATCTAGGCCCTCAAGGCCTAAAAAAGCACTCGGACACACAGACAAGATCCCTGTTCCTTCTTTCCATCACTATTCCTGAGGCTGTGGTCGTCGATTGGAATCCGATATACGAAAGTTCAGATGACAGAAAGCCACCGCTACCCTAGGCGGGTCCAGCAACCCAGGTGGAAAATCGATGAGATAGACGAATAGAATTCGATATGAAAACAAGAGCACATGAGTTCAAGGAGCACGACAAGAAGTAAGAAAGAACCAGAGAAGAAAAAGAAAAAAAGAGAATAATAGATAACCAGTTCCCCCTCGTTGCAGGATGCCGAAAGGAAACATTCCAGATCCAGATGGTTAGTAACAGAAACAGAGAAAGTCGAAGAAGATAAGCATTTGAATTTCACACCGAAGGTACAGAGGTCGTGCGGATCGGTCAGGAAAATGATGACTGAGTGTGTTTTATCGTGTGTCGCACTTGGAGGCCCATTGTGGGAGGAGGCTGAGGCTGTGATATTATCGGGGATTGCGGAGTTGAAGAATATCGGGCGGTGCGGATGAAGGGCTCCTTGGTCATCGTTTTCGTGGATCCGTGGGGGACTCGAGGGGGTTGTTGGGATGTCATGAGGGCGCTGTTAAAGAGATTTGTGAAGGCTTATCTCCGCCCGAACCTGCTGCAATGGGGAAGCTCGTATTTGTTCTTTATTTCTTTCTTTGCTTTCGCGGAGTGACGGGACCGCCGGCGTTCATGCCACCGTAAACGTACTTTTGCTTTTTCTCGGCTGGTTTCAGGATCTGCGGCGCGAAGATAGATTAGCGAACGGTTCTCGACAACTCTCTGAGCGGGGATTGATGGAATCATAGTAAACTCACCTGGAAGGAGCAGAGCAGACTCTCGTCAACGCTCATCATAGCACCGGCATTATCGAATTCACCGCAGTAGTTGGGCGCACTGAATAGCGTCACCAGCTGGCGCTTGGAGAAGAATTCATATCCATCCTCAACAACTTGGTGTGCACGGCAGATCAGATCCATATCGTGTTTTTGAAGGAAGCGTGAAACAACATCGGGTCCAAATGTGAATGAGACACCTCGGTCGTTCTCGCTCCAGCCGGTGATATCCTTATCGGGGTCGGACCACAGGAGATCGCAAAGGAGACCACAGTCGGGAATCTATTTCAGTCAGCATGGCTCTCAGCCGAATCCAGCACCACGATGCCACTGTTTAATTCTCCTCGCTGCCAATCGAACCATATCCACCAGGGATTCGGGTGAGAAATGAAGAGGAACTTACATCAGTAGGACGCATAACACGACGAATCTGCTCCATCGAGTTGAGGTCCGGGCTCAGACCACCGTGCATGGTGAAAATCTTCTCGTCAATGATAGCAGCAATGGGAAGGCAGTTGAAGCAGTCGGTGAAAGTCTTCCAGAGCTTGATGTTGTATCGGCGCTTGCACTCGTCGTAGAAACCGTAGATACGGTTGATAGAGGCGCACTCGTGGTTTCCACGCAAAATGAAGAAGTTCTCAGGGTACTTGATCTTGTAGGCAAGGAGAAGGCAAATAGTCTCAAGGGACTGCTTTCCACGGTCGACGTAGTCACCAAGGAAAAGGTAGTTGGCCTCAGGGGGAAACCGCCATATTCGAAGAGACGCAGGAGGTCGTAGTATTGGCCGTGAATATCACCGCAAATCTAAGGGGAATGGTCGCGTCAGACGGGCCGTTCGCCACAACAGATTGAACACAAAGTGACGCACCTTGATGGGAGCTTCCAGCTCGAGAAGAATAGGCTGAGAGATGAAAATCTCACGAGCCTTGGTGCAGAGGAAACGAATTTCCGTCTCGAGCAGCTGAACCTGCTTTCCAGGGCGGCTACCCCTCACCTCCAAGAGCCGGTCAATGATAGAGTCGAGATCAACCTCTGCGTCGGCCATGACGAAAGACCTCTAACGTGAAGGAAACGAAAGAAAGGTAAGAAAAAGGAGTGGGAAGAGAAGCGAAGCGAAGGAACGCGGGAAGAGGAACTTCCGGAGCGATCGGTTGAGGATAACAGAGGTTTGATGACGCGGCAACTATGTTCTGTTGTTCAAAGAGAAAAAATCAAGTTAATCAAGTGCTCCAGATTGAGAAAAAGTCCAGTCCGCATTTCAAATTCCCAGATGAGGCGAGTCCCAACAAGCGCGCTCAAGTGTGCTCTCTGAATTTTTCCTCTCCCACCCCTTTGGGGGAGTGGGACGGACGAGACGAATTTGCTCAAGGATTCATAGATGACCTACCAAAAGATGATTCCAAGATCAGGGTGATCTGAAGAAGGGCCCCAGCGGCCGCGAGAAAAGATCTGGCAAAGACACCAGACGGGGGCTTGGACGGTGGTGCCTATCCGGGAGTTGTGGTGGACAAAAGCGCACGGGGAGAAGAGGGAGAAGAGAGAATCTGCTCCTGGGCGCCTTATAAACAAACGATGAGCGAAGTAGCGGACTTGATTCGAATCGTGAAAGACGCCGGAGGGGGGTCTCGAGGAAAGTGGGAAAGGGAGGAAATCTCAATCAAGGGAGAAAATTTTTCTTTCGGATCACCGATAGAGTTGGATTATGCGAAAACAGTTCAGAACGACCTCAGCGAAGAAACCGATGTGGAGGAGGAGGAGGTGAAAGAGGAGAATCTTTTCTGAGGAAGAAAGCGGGAAGTTTCTGGTGTTTGCGCGTGTTTGGTCTTCCCTATCAAGGGTTATATATATAGATCAGCGTCTACTTTTACGTCCTTGAGGCCCTGTTTATCTTTGATTCTCTTTTTCTCTGTTCCTTTCTTTTGTACAACACGAGAAACTGTGCTTGGACAGGTTTTTGTCGACTTCCTACCTGCATGGAGGGGTTTTGGCGTTCGAGGGTCGAGACTTCAACGCCGCGACGCCAGTTGGGGTCCAAGCACGCAGGACGCTAATTCACTGCAGAGTCTGGAGGTGTCGCCATTGTCAAAGTGTGTGAATGTCTTTATATGCTTGCTGGTTCCCCTATTGGACCCGGTCAATATTTCCTCTGGGGCTAGAATCGAGGCCAGAAACTACCTGGAATGCTTGGGACTATACGCCCTACGGCGGAATGCATATCATCCGAAACAATTGGCATATTCTCTAATGGGCCCAGAGCCAATTTCTGCATACAGAAGCCTCATGGTAGAGGACATCGATGAGAACAGTTTCAATATCACGGAGAGAAACAAGAGGGGAATTGAAAATGGAAGAGAATATAAAAAAAAAATCAAACAGTCCTCCAACGCCAACATGCCTGCCCGAGAAAGAATCATACAATACACGCTTCAACCCGAAAAGAAAATAACAAAATGTCGTTCACTGTCTTCCAACTTTCGACCATTTCGAGGAGATAAATGGAACGATCAAGCAGTGAACAGTGAACATCAAAGACGGTCGTAAATGGTTCATACATCCAACCCATGTCTCATAAGTCGTCCAACGCCGGAAAAAACAATGCATAGAATGGTCAGCTGTCGACGACATGCTGAAATATGTTGTTCAAATGAGTCGCGGAGGACCTCATGACGGGGGATGCCCGTAAGAAAAGAAATCGGAAACCTGTTGGTGCAGGATTTCGTCACACCCACGAAAGGGGGACCCCGAGGGATTATGGGGCGAAAGTAAGTATAGTAGACGGTGAGCCTCGTGGTGTGATTCGTGGGTTCGAGAAGTGTGAACAAAAACTTGGGTTCTTTTTATCCGCTCAGCGCATGTCCGCTCAGGATGGCCTGGGTGTTGGAGCGGGTGATAGGTGGGGTGGAGATGTGAGCGGAATGATCTAAACCTGCCCCCGAGCTGTGAGCGAAGTCTTTGTGGGAGTTATCCCAGTCATTTTCTCCGAGAACAGTGAGCCAGTTATGGCCCACGTCCTGGCGGAGGACTTCTAACTGCTGGCGGCAGAACTCTTCGTCCATGGTCCTGTCTTTGCCTGGTGAAGGCTGGACAAGAGGAGGACTTGGTGAGTGTATATGCTTAGGTGGGCTTTTTTTGATGCTGGAAGATTCGGCTTGCTGTCCGCTGTCGATCCTCCAAGGCTGATCAACAGGGCCGTCGGTTGGGGGTTGGATGGAGGGTTGGGCCGGGGTTGGTATTTGCTGGACAGGGAGAGCAGGAAGGGTTGCACTTCCTGGAATGCCCAATCCATCCGCGCTGAATGGGTTCTCGACCGAGATGTCGACTATTCTGCGTCGCTGAGATTTCTTGCGACGGTTGGTGCCTCCGTCACTTTCTTTTTGGGTTTCATGAATGTGCAAATCCCGCTCATCTTCCTGAGGCTGGAAGGCCGCAAGATCATGAGGTACTTTGGAAATAGTAGCGGCCTTTTGCACGAAGGTCGATTCATCTGCTTGAGTGCTGCGCACAACCGGTGCAGCTTGAGGCTCTGCAACTCGCTCAACGAGCTGCTTCCTCTCAGTGTACCCCGGCCCTCTGCCATCAATGATGATATCCTCGGAATAACCAGGAGTCCGACGGAAGAGGTTCATGATTACAACTCGATATCCAGAGTGAGTGTTGACAAAAGGATTACCAGACACCCAAATCTCCCGTATCTCAGGGAGACTTGTGAGTCGTGCAATCTCTGTCGGGTCCGTCAGGTTGTTGTCCCGAAGATCCAATCTTTCCAAAGAGAGTAAACGTTCAACACCCGCGAGTGAGCGCAAGCGGTTTCCGCGGAGTGTGAGCACAGTGATTGCAGGCAGAGGGTTGCGGGTGAGTGAGTGGAGGGACTCAATCATGCAATGCGAAAGGTTGAGTGCTCTCAGAGCAACTAGGGAGGCCAATCCGTCGGGAATCTCAGTTAAGAGGTTCGAAGACAGATCAAGCGAGTTCAAACTGTTCGCCACCGGAGCGAGACTGGCCGCAGAGACGGACGTCAGTGAGTTCTCTGGCAGACCTAGGTGTCGCAAGAATCGCCACTTCGATGGTGATAGGACATCTGCGAGCAAGTTCGAAGAGCTTCCATTGCGAGACAGATCACTAGACTCCGAGCTTGCGGATCCTGTTCGTCTGATCTGTCGAGACTGGCCTCGGCGGTGGCCATGCTTCGTGGCCGGACGAGTTGGCGATGTGCTTCCAGCTCTCTTGGCACCTTCCGATCCCGTTCGAATCATCGAGTGTGACTTGGGGCTAGTGCTAGTTCCAAAAGGTGTCTCCATCACAGGGGATCCCGGCGCCGAGAGCGAATTGGCTTGGTTGGGAGTGTGAACTGGTTGCGTGCTGGAGCTGCTGGTCCAGCCCAATGATGGCGACTGTTGGGACTTGGCAGATCGTCGTCTTCGCTTATCGATGTCGTCCAAAACAATTCTCGTCAAAAGGTCGGCAGGGTCCTCCAAATGCGCCCTCTTGAGGGTCAAGGTGCGCAACTGCTCAGATAATCGGTCCCATCCATAGAAAGAACGGTAATCTAAATCAATAATCTCTAAAGCGCTCAAGTTCTTGAAAGAATGCAACGGCACAGCCGTATCGAAGGGAAACTCTTCATATCCACTGATCAAAGGAGCGCGATGGTCCGGGGCAAGCCTGAGACATGGGATCTTGGTGAAGGCAGAGTATAGGTACTTCAGGTCCATTTCCAAGGCAGCCTTAGCCCTATCCGATTTGGACGGGGTATCCTTTGATCCAATGCGGAAAGATGACCAGAGATCAGTCATACCGGACATAACACTACGAACACTGGAAACAGAATGGATCGAGGCTCCATCCCCCCTGGAGCGTTGGGGTTTATTAAGGAAGGAAACATAGGACTGCGAAACCTCGGTGTGAATGTTCTCCAGTCGGATGTTCATAGGGCCCACAGCGATGCTGAGTTCTTCGAATCGGGAAAGGAGGTAGAATAGGTGGTGGGGAGTCAATGTCAGTTTGGCGGTTTTGGCATTTTGTGACATGAATTTGAGAGCGGCGGATGAGAAGGCTGCGGCTAGGGTTGATGAGGTCGAAGCAAAGGAAGTACTCGGAGTCAAAGGCCCACTGGGAGATTGTGGTATGGCATTTTTGGTAGGTTGCCGGCGAAGCTGGAGCGCATTGGCCAGCGCTTTTTCGTGAGTTCGAACGTAGCTAGCGACATTCTGGAGGGCGAAACGGTCAGCGATCAACAACCCTCACAAACCAGCTTATATGCGCTGCGCCATCACGGATCATCAAACAATGGCGGGGCGGAACTACAAACCTTGATAAAAAGTTGTCCATCCCCAGTGTTTAATTTCTCCATAGTGCCGGCGGGGGAGGTTTCCGGCAGTAGACGGGAGAATTCTGAAGATGGATAGCTCAACAGACACTGCCAGACGTAGTCGACATCTTGCTTGTGCTACCTGAGCAAGTCCCGGAAAGAAAAGGAGGAAGGGGGGGGAAACAGTCGAGTCGACGCTGTGGATGCGAGAGTTAGCCGCTGAAATTGATCGTTCCCATCAGGAGAGGGAGGGGCCAGGGGTAGACCGGTTGACTGCTCATACCTAAAGAAAGGAGAGTCAATCAAAAAATGAAACTCTTCTTGTCACGAAAATATCCAAAAAGGAATGGCAAAGGGTGAAGAGAGAAGAGGGTGGCACGGGGTAACGACTAAATAATAATAATACGGCTTATCCAGATAACACAATACGGGATGTACGCCATGTACAGCGTAATTACGTCCTATAATTTTTATTTTATTTTTTTCTTTTAAATTATCAGCTGAGAAATTTCCCAGTCGTCTGATATACTTCTTATGTACGGAGTAGATTTAATTTCCCTTTCACATATTTAATGTTATGCTTTATACGCGATTACTCGAGCCCCTTTTGCCTACAGATGTATTCATGCTGTTTGGTCGTGCACTCTCGAAAGTTGACCTATCGAAGTAATCTATACGCAACACCCGTACCGTATAATTGTCACTAGTACAAAAATGATTGCTAACGATGCACCTACTATACCCGGGTGGGAGTGGGTGAGAGTGGCGAGCCTATGAAGGCGCCTAGGATTTTAGTTCGACATTTCTCCCGCGTCTATCAAAGATATGCACTTCAATGATGGCGCTCAACGAAAGAAGAAAGAAAAAAAGAGGGCATAAGCTCGGTATTTGACTGACATTAGCCCACCGTCCTTGGATGCACGAATTGAGTCATTGACCGTCCACCAAAATGTTACGAGACTTGCACAGAAGGTCAACATTCTGAGCCGATCTTGCGCAAGGAAACTCAGACCATATGCTATGGGTGGGTCCTCGACCGAGGGGCTCTCTTTGATCGGCGGTACAAGGGAAAAATAACAACGTCCCATTCATGCATCTTGAAATCTCCTACTCCGTACATACACAGTTTGGGAACTCGTGAAATCCCATCTCAAGTGGCGGCGTGTTGATCAATCTCCGACGCAGCCACACGCAGGCAACTTCAGCCCACGATGCAGACCGGGTGGGAATGCCGAGAGCTGGTTTAGTTGCCCCGTGCTCCCGTTGGCCCGCTTTTTGCTTTTTTTGCTTTTCTCTTTGCTTTTCTTATTCGATCGTGCTTGCCTACCGAAAGCCCCCAGAGTACGACTCATACGCCGTGCCCTTGCCGAATATGCCGTTGGTCATCCGTAGGCGCTGAAGGGGGGGTGCAGACGATCAAATCAGGGTTTAGGGAGAAGCGAGTGACTGCACGAGGCACACGATTGGTGGGGCAGACATGCATGGGAGGATATCTGCATACTCGCAGGATGCCTTTCTCCCTTAAAATGGAAAGAGTGGAGGCAGTCATTCGGAAATTCAGCGAGAATGAGAGTAAATGGAGGACCTGGTTGGCGCTATATCGTGAACTCCTTTGAATAGACCAATCAGAGGTGAAGGTGGAATTCGCACGCTATTTGGGGATCGTCCGAGTCAGCTCGCACTGACATCTGACATTCCTCGAAAATTGGGTAATTTTTCGATGGATATGGATATCCGATGACATCAAGAGCATAAAAAGATACTCCATACTCCGTACCCAAGACCCGTCGCGAAAGTTGATATAGATTATCCAGTTCCATGGGTCGAGTCATTACTCTATATCACACCGCTTCGCCAACGGCCGATGAACCATGGTTCGGCGTCATCCCTTCATCTCCATACACTTTGTGAGCTACCACACTTCTCTCACACTTCCCATACTCCGTATTCAATGTTCCATTGTTTCATTGTAGACGAATGCATCCAGACTTAATATCCTTCTTAATCTCTTATCTCCTGGCATTCCCAGTCCATTTCTAATCAGTCTTGGATCGCGGGGTATATCTACACAGTCCTACCCTATCGAGAACTAACATTCCGATCTCTGTATTTGCCGTTAAAGCCCTCTCGGTTCAGTGTTAGACCCCAGCCTCGCTGCATGCAATCCTGCACTTCGTACGCGAGGAGGTTAGCAAAAGTATCCCTGCCGTTATGGATGTGTGTCTATTCAAGCGCATATGTGCGTACCATGTAGCCGCATACTCGTACCCTGTCTTAAAAGAATTCACACACTGGCAGGTTTTTCCAGCCGATCGGGGCTGAATGCCCCTCCAAACCCCAGGAATGCTCAACACATGGATGGAATCCCTTTTGACATAACCAAGGGGGAGGGGAGCCACATGATGTGCGATAATCTTGATCTACATCAACCCCCTCTACCCCTACCTAATAGAGCCGGCATCCCACTTTGAGAATGAAGACCGTTGGCTTCAAGCACATACTGTGTCCACGGGCGCTGCCCGGCCTCGGACATCCGAGGACAATGTTCCCCACCCTGAGACGATCCCTTACCAACGTGCAGTGCGATATGGTAGGTAAGCAAGCTTATTGGGTGAGACACGGCACGGTCATTTGCAGACGCAAGGCCTTGCCAAGATTTGAATGTGGCTCATTAGGGGGGTTTTTTTTTGTAGAAAAGAAAATAATAATTATCCGCTTTTCTTCAATTTTTGGTCACATCGGGGAGTACGAATCACTGGTTGACTTCATAAGCGGGGGAAAGCTTTTTCTATCCAGCGACGCCACAATGTACTGCGATAGAAGATCCATGATCTGCATTTGGCTGAATGAGGAAGCCTGATACGGGGATCACATTTCAAGATAACCAAAACCGTCAAGGTTGTTGACTCCAGCAAGTGGGGCATTGGTGAGAAACATGGGAACCTTGACTTTCATCCCGCAATTAGAGTCGGCGCCTCGGTACGGAGTATGCGCATTCAGGGTTGTCCCAAAGGCTAATACGTCGCAATCAAAGGAGCGGCTACCGCGGAAGGTGAGCAACAATATCTTCGAGTCGCTTTCCTTTGTGTATCTCTTCCAAGCATCGGTTCAAAGTGAATCTCGGAATCTGCTAGGATAAGCGAAGGTGGTATCGCAGCTAGCCAAAACCCGATGGCTTGCACCGTGTTTGCTTTTTTGGCATCTGCATTTAAGAGTTTAGCAGGTTGATCAACATGATCTGCATTGGGACGAACACCAGCGAATGGAAAAAGCGTCCGGGATATCCCCCAAATGAGCCTAATCCGGGAGTACTCCGTACTAGTTATGCATCCTCTGTACCCCGCCAAAAAGCCGTCATATCAGATCAGGTGATCCCGCCAACCCTTGAACAGCTATAATAGAACATGTGGCTTAATATCCGATCTCACGTACTTTTATGTCCGAAATCGCGAGAACGAGGTTTTTCCCGGGTCTTGGCACGTGCGGCTAGAGTGATATTAATATGACTGTCAACCCATAGGATGCTTTCCTGGGCCTCCAGTTCGGCCGTGTCAAACAAACTCTACCAATTCGCCTGCCAATCAGGAGAGGACAATGATGCCTTCTTCAAGATTCACACTGCCGGTCATGTAGCGGTGAGATGAATTGTGCTAATTCGAGTGCGAGATGAGAGAAATCTCGGGATTTACTTTGACACGGGAGCACGAGAATCCATGGATCCCGCTATTTACTCTTTCACGAAATTATGCAACCTTGGAAGGAATGTCAATTGCGCGGGGCGTGCGTGGAGGAGGGGTACATTCCAATTGCCTCCAATACCGTCTCACAGCCAGTAGCGCTGTCGTACCAAATGACGCAACATACTGAAACAAAGTATGTCTAGGTACCAGGCATGTTTCTTCTTTGTGTCTGCAACACTAGACTAGGATTCAAAGGGGGCGCAGGCCTCAATACTGGTCTTGATTCATGACAAAGGGAAAACACCAGTATAGGTAGCCCCCGAGGTATTCCAAGGTTCTATGCGCGTTTAGCGATAGAGGCAATGATCAAGCAAGTACAAACCAGTTAAGGAGCAAGATCTCGTAGCCTACCAGCGTCGCCGTCTCCAATTTCGAATACAAGTAAACAAAGCGCCCACCTATGCACAATGCGATGTCCTGGGACCATCTGGAACTTGGGGGTTTGCGTGTATATATATCCATGGATATATATATAGTTGAAAAAAAGTCTCCAGAGTATTTACGAGCTCTTTTGGTTAATTTCAGGCTAAGGGCACAGAAATTGAAAGGCCTGCACGAGTAAGCAATGTTACTAAAATGTACCTACAGTCGTGATGTGGGCCGAGGCACGAGTTTGATATCTCCTTATCTGGTGGGGTACAAACAAACCGAGCTAGCCCGTTCCGGAACCCCACTAGCCGCATTCTGGAGATATATGGCACGTGACCCTTCACGTCATCGTGGCTTCCCCAACCGGTTCCAGGTACCAATGTACTCTTAGCTGCGTCTTCCAACACTCGCTGAAGCATGCGTTGAACATGACCGATGAGAAGCACCCTAAGAACGACCCCTACGATCCGTCCGGTATTCCAGACTTCGACCGCGACTTTATCAAACCTGATGAGCTCGACCGATTCGAGAGGGCGTTAAACGCCCCAGAAGCCTCCCCGCTGGTCGCCATTAATGATTGGCGACCGATCAACCAGAGGGTTCGCAAGAATCGCGGCCGTCGCAAGAACCCCAAGCGAAGCAAGGATGAAACGCGAGAAGGAGTGCTCTACACTGTCCTGAAATGGCCGTTCCTGTTCACCGTTTTCGCGTGGATCACATTGCTCGGCTTTGGATACGTGCTGATACGAGTTTACATATTCCTATATGAGCAGTGGGTGACATGGCGCGGCAAGAGAGAACGGCTGCGCCGGGAGCTCTCTGCACAGAAAAACTATCCAGATTGGTTGAAGGCGGCCCAAGCGTTGGACGTCCACCTTGGAACTGAGAAATGGAAGCAAACAGACGAATACGCCTATTACGACCATCTGACGATAACCAAAGTGGTGGCGCAGCTGAAGAAAGTCAGAGGAGATGCGGAATGGGAGAAGGAAAACGGTCAGATTCCCTCCAATGAAGTATCCGCAGTCGAGGAGCTGCGAGCCCTGCTCGAGGCTTGCGTCAAGAACAACTTTGCCGGTGTGGAAAACCCTCGGATATACAGTGAGACTTATTCGGGAACCAAGGAGCTGGTTCAACAGTACATCGAGGAAGTGCACGCATGCATACAAATCGTCCTGGAGAACAAGGAGATCGACAAAGAATCCAAATACCAGCTCTTCAAGCATCTCGATACAAACTTCGGACGCACCGCTCTTTGCTTGTCAGGTGGTGCCACTTTCGCATACTACCACTTTGGGGTTGTCAAAGCACTGCTTGACAACGATGTCCTGCCAGAAATTATAACGGGAACGTCGGGCGGAGCGCTAGTAGCAGGCCTGGTTGCGACCCGTACGGATGAGGAGCTCAAGCAACTACTCGTGCCTGCTCTGGCTCATCGAATCCGTGCGTGTCATGAAGGACTCGCTACTTGGATTCACCGCTGGTGGCGCACCGGCGCACGTTTCGATACTGTGGATTGGGCCCGGCAATGCGGCTGGTTCTGTAGAGGCTCAACTACGTTTCGGGAAGCTTACGAACGAACTGGGCGCATCCTCAATGTCACCTGCGTGCCCTCAGATCCTCACTCGCCAACCATTCTGGCCAATTACCTGACGTGCCCTGATTGCGTCATATGGAGTGCGGTGCTCGCGTCGGCCGCTGTTCCAGGAATTTTGAACCCCGTCGTGCTGATGACCAAAAAGCGCGATGGTACCCTCGCACCTTACTCATTTGGGCATAAGTGGAAAGATGGGAGCCTACGAACTGATATTCCCATCAAAGCGCTGAATTTACATTTCAATGTGAATTTTACTATAGTATCTCAGGTAAGACTACATTTTCCCATTTTCGATGATTTGCCACTGACAGTACTGTAGGTCAACCCACACATCAACCTATTCTTTTTCAGCTCTCGGGGCACCGTAGGGCGACCAGTCACACACCGCAAAGGACGTGGCTGGCGCGGCGGTTTCCTGGGCACTGCCATTGAACAATATATCAAATTGGATTTGAACAAATGGCTTCGAGTTCTTCGCCATTTAGAGCTTCTCCCACGACCTATGGGTCAAGACTGGAGCGAGATCTGGTTGCAAAAATTTAGTGGCACCGTGACTATCTGGCCGAAAAGTATTCCGTCTGATTTCATCCATATTCTCTCAGACCCAAGCCCCGAGAGGCTTGCCCGCATGATTCACGTCGGTCAGCAAAGCGCATTTCCAAAAATCCAATTTGTTCAGAATCGACTGAAGATCGAGAATGAAATCATGAAAGGATTACAAGAATCTAGGACGGGGGGTCGCGCCCTCTCCCCGATTCTCTCTCGTCGCTTGAATAACCCGGAGAATGAACATTCTGACTCCATGACCGAGCGTCTTGATGACAACCTTCCTGAACGTGATGGATCCAGTTACAGGAGCGAGTCGCGCTTCACTGACTTGTCAGACAGCATGTCACAGTCAACAGCTTCATCACGTCCTCAGACCCCGAGTTCCCGTCGGGGCAGCGTGATAGAGGAAATGCGACGCCAGTCGGCTGTGTTCTTTGACGATACAGACGATTACAGGGACGAAGACGCCGTGGTCATCTGAGATTAAAATACAGGCGGCTCGAGCGCTTCTGTCAAAGTTCATGGCTCGGACCGGGGTCATTCTGCATCGGTACACCTGCAGCCCTGTATCTCGTCATCGTCCTTTTCGCTTTCTTGAATCTCCTATATGACAGGCGGCTCTTGTCGTCCTCGGCGACCTCCGGGTGATACATTTATTTCTTTGTCTAGCGCTTTCGTCTTTCTTGGCTTATTAGCCCTTCATTAGCATAGCAGGGTGTCTCATATCTTACTGGTCATCTGTTTGGTCATCTTCGGCTTTTACATCGAACTTCGTTCGCTTTGCTTATGATCATTACGACCTTGCCTTTTTTGTTAGGAGATGCGCCATGTAATATACAGCATAAATTGTCTTGTAATACTATACTTTTGGTTCCAACTTTCCAACTTTTGCCACGAGGTTTATGGCCTAGTAATCAAATACAAAAAAGCAAACACCATCAGATGCCTTTCTGTATTCAGCTTGGCTGAGCGGGGGTGCGCCATGGATAGCCCATGACATCAGAATTTAGGCGGCCGATTAAATCAACCTTATAATACTGCTGTTTTTAGCAATTTAGACTTAGGCAATAATCTATTAAATAACATCCTTGTCTTAGTCTGATAACTCTTTCTGATAAAATAAATCCCAGCTAAATGTAGATCAGTTATAGTGCTCCGGATTCATGGATTAAACTATGTTTCCACCCCTGCATCAAGACAACACTCTTGCTGCATGGTTGCGTACATGAACGCACCAAAGATACATGAGCCAGAAGTACCTACACCCAGGTAAAGTTTACAATCATGATCTCAGACCATGTACATAGCAGAAGTGGAACGACCTCCCAAAGTCGGAACCCCCAGGGCTAGGAAGCTGGCAACATGAACTTAGCCGTGCAACAATATTTGACCACCACATAGATCATCTTAGCTCTGAAGACTCCATGGGGCTCTGGAAACTGTCGGATTCTGCTGTTAGACAGGCCTTGGAAGTGCCCGGGTGTTGTTGTTGGATTAGTCTATATGCCCTGGATTACGAATGAGACTGATCAACGTCATTGTACATGACATTGCATTTAACTATCCAGGCACTCTTCAGATGGGCATGAGCGTAAGGCTGGGTACCGATCAGCCGATCTGAAGAGACGATTGTATGAGGGTTTGGCTCCATGAGTGAGAATCGTCCTGTATGCCTTTGAAGCGTCCACGGGTTGAAACAGTAGCCCTGGAGGTAGAAAGATTCATGTTCTTTGAAATGTTTTCAACATTAAGTCATAAAATGACAATAATCAGATTTTTGAAGCCTAATAGGTAGCAGTATCGTACATATAATAATACACAAAACCGAGCAAAAAGACAGCATTGAAACATTAGTTGGCATTAAACAACAAGCCAATTTTCAGTGATAGCCTTTGCAGTCTTTGCATCACCACTGATTACATGAATGCACTGAAGTGCGTAGGCAGCCTCGGGAGAGAAGTCCTCAACATAGGGTTTGATAGCATGCAAAGATGCCTCGTCCCCGTCGCTCATGACTGTGTCGCCATGGGCAGGAGTGGCCGAATCCTGGGACGCTTTTTGTTCGCCTTCAAGACGAATCTGCTCGCCTATTTCCAGAACCCGTTCATACTTTTCGACAGCCAGGTGGGCCAGACCTAGTGAGTGGTAAACGCGAGCGAAATTGAATTCCATCTCTTGTCTCTCGGAGAGAAGGGTCCCGGGCCTTTCTCGGACTAGACGGTATTCATGCATGAAGGAAAGCCCTTGCATGATGTGGAAATGTCGGTTTTCGGATTGTCGTTTGAGAGAGTGGTGGATGTAGGAGAGTCCGATAGAGAGGAGGACGGCTGGGTTTTGGTCGTCTAGCGCATATGCTCGGAAGAAATAGTTAAGGGCTGGGTAGAAGCTGTTTCCAGAATACAGGATGTGGCCATAGAGGACGAGAAGACTGATGTCTAATTCCTCGGCAGCGATGGGTTGTCCATTTTCGTCCTTTGAGGAAAGTGCCGCGCGTTCTCTCCAGATAGACTCTCGCACAGGCCGAGGGGCCTTTGGGTCTTGGGGGATGGTGAAGTCCATCGCCTTAATTTGGCGGAGCATGAACTTCATGTTTGGAGAGGAATGGAAGAGTGATCGATGAGGATCACCGGAGACGAGACTGAGCATGGAGAAAAGTCGATAGGTATCGGTGACGAACTGGTATTCTTTGATGAACCAGCGTGATTCGTTGGCCAGGGTCTCTTCATCTTTCGCGCGAAGAGCGCATGCTAGGACGATGTTAGCTGGGTATGCTCTGCCGGTATTTGATTGGAATAAAACTCACAAAACCAACAGACATGAATCAGTCGCAACTTGGGTTTCGAGTGGAGCCAAATACTTGCAAGCGCCGCAGAATCCAGAGTTTCGTAGGCCTCTGCTGGTTCTCCTTGTTCTGCAACAACTAAGGAATACTCCAGGAAAATGTCAAGCCATTCATCAAAGGGTATTCCATGGTAGTCGTTGGGAATAGCTCCAGGTAAAGGCTCTTCTGAATCATCGCCTTAATGTGAAATTAGCTTAGCCGAGTCACTGGAGTATCAGAACTTACCCATAGTGTCCTGCAGACGATTTGCCATCTCTTGCATCTCATCCATCATATGTCCATCTTCGGACTTGGCGTCTTTGGATTTTGAGTATCCCACAAAACGCATGGTTTGAGCCATGGGATAGAAAGCGCGGTTGGCCCGGAAGTCACGCAAAAGGGCATCAGCTATGTCAAGCCAGTCTTCGGTAGCATCGACAGCACATTCCCTCATCAGGGGGTGCAACTCCAGCAACTTCATGTACAGGAATTGAATGTCTTCAGTTCGACTACCTTCAGCATGACTTGTTGGTCCCGTTTGAACCGTGTCCATAAGTGTCGTATCTTTTGTGGGCTTGGGTGCAATTGGTCTGGGCTTTTCGGACTCAGCCATCTTGAACTCTATGGCAAGTTGCTCGAGCCTGGTGTCCTTTCTTCTTCGTCCCCGACTTCGGTTTTGCTGACGTCCTATGAGTACTGCCTCACTGGCGTATTTCATCGCCTGGTCTGTCATTTGAAGCTTCTCATACAGCTTCGCTAGTCGTACTCTCGACTCCATGTGTTTAGAACTGTGGTTGGCCACCATGAGATAACAGCTTTCGGCATCCTCGGCCTTTTCTAGCTGCTCACAGCAATCACCCATCGCCATGAAGAAGCTGATATCGGCATGTTCATCGGTCTGCTGAATGGGAGTATAGTACCGAAGTGCCTCTTCGAGCAAACCGACTTGCTTTAAGGCATCCGCCACTTCTCGGAAGAGATCGCCATAGTCAAAGATCCGAGCGTCTTCGCTGTCGTCCTCTGGATTGAGCCATTCGAAATGGTGCTATCGTTCATCTGTCAGCGCAATACTTATTGCTTCAATGCAGTTCAACCCACCTTTGCTTCCTCGTGGTATTTTTCGTCCATCTTCAAGCGGAAGATACCCATTTTAATCCGCAGTTCGAGAGGAAGACCAAGTCCATATGAGTCACGAGGCCATTCATTGGGCTCGAAGCCATCTGTTTTGATACGTCGAGGCGAATCCTCCGCATCCCATTCTCGATCGTCATCTTCAAAGTCGTCCCACAGCGTGTCTTCGCCACGGCCAAGTAACCAACGAGCGAGCAATTTCATGTTGTAAAGCCCTTCGTCGGGCTGTTTGAGATAGCCAAATAGCTCGGCATAGATATTGATATCGGACCATGCGAAGCCAGAATCCCCGGGGTCAATGGAGAGGTAGTGATCAATGCTGTTTGAGTAATGATCTACTGCTTTTTGGACCTCCCCAAGATCAATGTACGTCTCAGCAAGATGACGCAGGGCTTTGGCACTGTGCGGGCGATCTTTGAGCAATCTTTCGTACTCGGTCGCAGCTTTGCCATTATGGCCTAGCTGACGGTAGGCAGCAGCTCTTTGGTATCGAATAGTGGAATTCGTCGGATCCACATCAATGATGCGGCTGTAACAGTATACAACGTCATGCAACGCGGACTCTCTGTTATCCTGGGCACGATCCAAGATCAGCTCAACAACCTTGATCCAAACACGAGGGTCTTTTGGCCTTGTATGTGCTCCATTGAAGAGAGCTTTCAGAGCTTTGTCGTCTTCTCCCCGCGCAAGGAAGATTTCCGAGAGCAAGGAATGCGCAGCGAACATTTCGGGGTTAATCTGAATTGCTTGCATGACCAATTCGATGGCGCGGTCATACTGCCCGTCGATGAAGGCAGATGTGGCCTCAGAATGAAGAAGTTTGAACTCTGGACTCGGCTCTATAGGCTTACGAGGTCCTCGTTTGACTCCTTTTTGCCCACGAGCACCATACCTTCCCGAGAAGCGACCACCACCACCTCGACGGCGCCGTCTGCTAGCACCTGAGCTATTGTCATCTTCATCTTCTGCTGGCTGGTCTTCGTCATCCTCGCTTGAATTTGCGTTAGCTGATTTGATGAAACGTTACTCTCACAGCACACATACCTTGCGCTTTCATCTTCGTCGGACATGATAAAATCCTCATCTGATTCGTCTACCTCGCCGGGCACTGGGGGATATGACGCTGTTGGGTATTCTTCATCTTCGTATTCATCGTTGGAGGGATAGCCTGCGTCGGCCGTCTCCTCGACGTTAAATCCAGCAGGGTATTGGTTGATACTTTTTGGATGCTGTGTAGGCTGATCATTAAACAAACGCGGATCAATCACCGAAGCGAGCATATTTCCAACGTCGAACGATTGTTCATTGTGCCAAGCTGAATCAGGATCATCCTCGATATCTGGATAGACAGATGTTTCTTCATAGTGGTCCCCTTCGAGGACATCATCCGGGTAGCTGGAATCCATGATCAAGATCTTTGCCCACGAATCACGCGCTAAGCTTTAGGTGGGCGCTCTGACTAGGACTGATTGGAGCTGAAACTGGAGTCATAGAAGATGTAGATCACCCATCAAATGGAGACGCATGATCCAAGCAGATTCGCCCTTGCAGATGAAGAGCTAAAAGAGCAGCGGAATCTAGCGTTTCAGGGCTCGGCAGATATTGGCAGCATCCCCACCAGGCGGAGATATTTTGAATTTGTAGAGAATAAAAAGAAAAAGAAGGTGAAATGAAGAGTTGAACGTTCAAGTGCAGAGAGCTCTAAGAATGTTGAAGTTCTCGGAACCCGTGATCGGGGCCTGAAACAGAAAAGCCTCTCCCAGCTTTTTGCACAGTTTCTCCCATTTCCTCTCTACTCTCTCTCACTCTCACTCTCTTCCCCCCTCCACCCTTTCTTTCCTTTCCTTTGGAGATTTTGTGGCTTGTTTGTGTTTGACACACTATTGCTTCATCTCTCACCTTCCTTTCGTTTCAGGCCCTTAATTTTCCCCTTCGAGGTGCAGCCCACTGGACTGGTCTGTGCCCCCGATCGTTGTCGCCTGAAAGTTCGAGATTTGGGTCTTTTTTTTTTTCTTAGGGACCTTGACCGGATCCTGGTTAAGGGAATTTCGCTTTTATTCGTTACGCAAACTCAGCAGGTGCTGCAGGTGTTTTGCAGTAATCGTTTCCTGTATTTACTACTCTCACCACGTTGCAAATCATGGCCAGTCATATCATTGGCAATCGCAACAGCACTCCTGAGGCTTCCAATTCGACACTCCGTCCTCCCTCCTCATCTCGAAATCTCGGATCACACCAGCTGCGGGCATCGGCAGACATGTCCGGATTTCCTTCGCCGCTGTCCGCCCGAAGCATCCGTCCTTCATCGGAAGTCTTCTTCAACCAACAGTCCCAGGGCCAGAATGCGACGGAAGATGCATTGGACCGTGCTGCTCAGCAGTGGCTCGCCGACATTGATCAGTACGAGACCACACTGGAGGAAATGGCCGCTGCCACCCTCGACCAGGATTTCAAGGATGAGCTGAGCGCCATCGAGCAATGGTTCCGTGTGTTGAGCGAGGCCGAGAGGACCGCTGCCCTCTATGCATTGCTTCAGCAAACCACTCAGGTGCAGATCCGGTTCTTCATCCAGGTGCTGCAGCAAATGTCTCAGGGTCATCCGATGTCCGGCTTACTCTCGCCTGCCAACTTTGGTGAAAAGGGCATGTCACATTGATCACATCGCTATGAACCCCAACTAACCTTTCTCTAGACGCTATGTCCAGCCGCCTGAGCGATGCCATGTCGAAGCTCAACATGGACACTTCCCGTAACTCCCTCGGACGCCCCCCCGCCATCTCCTGGCGCGAAGCGCAACTCCGGTCTCGACCCCTCTACTATCAATGCAATGTTCCCGGATGCTGCTGCAGCTATCGCGAAGAAGAAGGCCGAGTTCACTCAGCAAACTGGCAACGCACCTCCCTCGAACCGCAACAGCGCAGTCTTCGACCGTGCCTCATTTGTCGCACCTACAATCTCGGCGCCTGACAACAACTCCGACAGCCTGGGTCAACCGCCTGCTTCTCCATGGGCCCAGCGTGGTCTCTCTGACACGCAGCCTCCGATCGCTCGCCCTAAGTCATCTTCCGGACACCAGCCTATGGGCCAGTTCAGCCAGCCCTCCGGCATGCGCTCGCCCCTCCCGCAAACCGCCAACGTCCCCGCATCTGACATCGAACCCCCCTTGCTCTCGCCCTACAACCTTGGAAACCAAAGCTGGGCTTCGATGACCAATACCCCGATGACTGCGACGTTCGGCCAGCAGTCGCACCAAACCCCCAACAACCATGCGGACATGGTTGCTAATGCCACGGCAATGAAGCTGGCAGCTTTGTCGACGGTCAACAACCGCATTGCTCTGGACGATGCGCGCAAATACCGCCGTTCTCGCTCCAATGACGGACAGGGCAGAGCCTCGCACGGAAACTCAAGCATCAACCAAGGACTGGCCAGCCCAGGCCTTGGTGGGCAGCACTTGGTTGCTGGTCAACTCCTTAATAACCAGCAGCTGATGGCACTGCAGGCTCATCAACAGGCGGCCATGGCCGGCAGACGGTCCCGCCCCAACTCCCCCGGCATTGCGATGCAGGGTGGTGGTTTGACTCCTATGGGATTCACTTCTCCTCAAAACAACGGCTTCCTAGCTGCATACGATCCGAACAATCCCATCATGGGTAATGGTATGGGCTCGCTGAACATCGGCCAGTTCGTTGGCAGTGAAGGCTACCTGTCGGATCATTCGGAGGTCGCACGGGGCCGCTCCCCTCGGGGTCGTCGGGGCAGCTCGAAGCCGCCAGAGGACCCTACTGACCCAGCCCTTCTGAAGGACATTCCCGGCTGGCTGCGATCCCTCAGGCTGCACAAGTACACGGACAACCTGAAGGATCTGCAGTGGACGGAGCTGGTCGAATTGGACGACAAGGCGCTGGAGGACCGTGGTGTCAATGCTCTTGGAGCACGTAATAAGATGCTAAAGGTATGTTCCGATTCGTTTTCTTTTTGGTCTGATGTATACTTACATTATATTCCCAGGTCTTTGAGCAGGTCAAGGAGGCCCGCGTCGATGGAAAATTTGAGAATGTTGTTTGAGTCATTTAGTTTCTCGATATTTCTCAAGTCAGCGACTTCATGGAACTGGAATTTTCTTTCTGCAATGCAGCATAATGGAAGACATGGGACTTGGAATGTATCAAACGCTGTGATGTGAACTGTTTCATGAGATGGGATCGGAATTATTGAACATTGGATTCGGGTTAATAGTAGATATGAACATGATTTTATTTCACCTCCTTTCAATTCAACCAAAGTAAGCCCAAGTGAACCTCGATGTTGTTGTGTTTTGCAAAATGCAGATGCACATGGATTGTGTCGATGTGGCCCGTGCGTTTCTAGAAACTCGCGGCTGGCCTGCCCACTTCCGACCTCCACGCATTGAGCTACACCTCTACCAGACAAGAGCAACGATTGCTAATTCCATTTGGACAGCCGAGCTCGGATCTTCTCTGGGCCCGCTGAACCTCTGCTTGATCTCTGAGTCTTACCCGCCAAGTCGCAGTCCAACCGGTTGCACTCAGTTCAACGACAGGCATATACCCTCGAACAAACTACAAGACGACACAAACCACCACAATGGCACCAACAAAGCAGGAGCTATCGCTCCTCATCAATCCTCTCGTCCCTGAGTCCGTCCAACACAACAACCGCGTATGGCCCCCCACGTTCCGCCCACCCCTAACTCATCCTCTTCCCGAACTCCCTCAAGCCGGATTTCAATCATAAAACCATGTTCCTTTTACTACAGATCACTAACATAACCCCTATAGGTCCTCTCCTCTCTCCACAGCTTGACCTCCTTCCTCCTGGGCCTGTCCGCAGGAATCCTAGCCCTGCAATCAACCTACGGCTTCGCCTTCTACTTCCTAGGCACAATCTTGGTCTCGGGTCTATTCCATGCTGTGTTGATACACCGATCTGGCGGTGCAGGTGCTGGCTCTTTCTTCCCTGGTAGCAACGGCGGCGAGATTGAGGGTGTCGTGGAGTTCGATGAAAAGACCCAAGCTGTGCGCATGCAGCTAGATGGGAAGGCAGGGTCGAAGAAGATCCTTCGCAAGGGCGCCTGGAGGGATCTGTGGTTCGGTGGCGGTGTTATGAGCGAGGCTCTGAGTGGGTTTGTCCTTGGGTGGGCTGGTGTTGGAGGTGTTTTGAGGTGAGGGGTGATAGATTTGAGATCGTGCCGTATCCGCGAGATTTACTCGGTTCTCTACTCTCTGCTTTCGAGAGGCTGTATATGATCTATTGAAATTCTTATTGCATAGAGTCGATTGATGATCGAAGCTGTCTTTTGCAGTCCTGTCTTTAGATTTGAACTAGATGGTCATGGTATTGCTAGATTACTTCTGGTCCTCGCCTTCACAAACCTCCCCGGCAATGTTTCGGAACTCCTCAACGGCTTCCTTTGAAACAGGATAGGTATACTGCTCTGAAGGGAAAGCTCGGCTCTTGACCTCGTCCCTGTAGGCCTCAATGCCCCTTTGCGCTTCACCCCAGACATCCGCATAGGTCTTGACAAACTTAGGCAAGAACCGACCCGCCGGGAAGTTGTTCAGCATATCAACCTGAACAAGAACCTGCCCGGAGCATCCATTCCCAGACCCAATGCCGATAGTAGGGACGCTTAGCCGTTCCGTCACAATGGCCGCAATCTCAGCAGGCACCGCTTCGATGATCATCATGCATGCGCCGGCTTTTTGCACCGCTAGCCCATCACGGAGTAGCTTAACTGCACTCGCAGCCGATTTTCCCTGCACGCGGAACCCTCCGAGAGAATGCTGCCGCTGGGGCGTCAATCCGATATGCGCCATGACAGGGATGCCGGCTTGAGTGATTTTCTTGATTGTCGGTGCCATCTCGGCGCCGCCTTCGAGCTTGATGCCCTTCATGCCGCCTTCTTTTACCATCCGGATTGCGGACGCGAGGGCTTGTTCAGGTGATGTTTCATATGAGCCCATGGGCAGGTCCGCGATCTTGAAAAGGGTTAGTTGTGAATTGAGTACATCTAAAATAAACTAGATACTCACTGTGAAAGCACTTTTGACAGCTCGCTTCACGCTCCGGCAGTGAAGGAGCATATCCTCCATTGTTATTTCATTTGTATCTTCCATGCCCATGGCCACCATTGCTAGACTATCGCCGACGAGCACGATTTCCATGCCGGCAGTATCGGCAACATGGCCGCTTGGGAAATCCGAGGCTGTGAGGACAGTGATAGGTTCATTCTTTTTGTAGAGACTTCGGATGCTTTGGATGGTGACCGGTTTGCGTGTTGGGGTTGTTGTCGATCCCATCGGCGAATGAGAACTATATTGAGCGATGCATGTTCTGATTGGATGACGAGAGCCGAGTCGCAGTGCCGGCCTTAAGTAATTGACTGCTTTTGAAGCCATTTTGAATATGTTGTATTGAATTGGGGTAGAAAAAGGATGAATATAAATGTGTTTCGACGTTCTGGCGGATGCGGCGTACTTCGCAGTACTTGGGACTACGCGTGGGTCTAACCTCGGCCGTACGGATATGCCTACATCGCATGCCTTTTTTTGTTTGGACTTGTTTCCTTTCTTTAAATCTTTCAAGCTTAGCGTGCCATTTCTGCATTGGCCTTTACTGTTTCCGCTATAGGGGTTTGCTTTTCTTGCTTTCTGATTTGTTGTTCATCTTGCGCCCTAGGGCGTGCTGCTTCCCCAAAACATTCTAAATATGTCACAGAATTCCGGTCAATAATACTAAATTTTATGTAGACAGCTGAGTCCCTCAGGAACTCAACGGGTCAAAGGTTGGTAGTATACACAGGCTGATCAAGCGGACCATTTTTCGGCGCCGCATACCTGGGCTTGCCATCAAAATTGCCTATTTTGATATACCCCAAGGTTGGTTTCCAAAGATGATACGCTTAGCATTAAAGCTTCTTGAGCAGATGTTTATCGGTCTTCAACCGTATAGACAGCCCAATCAGAGCAGCAACAATAGTCATCGCGCCAGCATAGAAAATAGCCGGACGATAGCTGGTGATGCCATTGTTCTCTCCACCAGCCGCATTGAGGATGAACCCGGCAATAGGTGCACCCTAGATACATGATTAGCAAAGTGCGACCGGTTTAAGGATGCTTCATCGTTCAAAAACTGTGGAAGCCATTCAAACTTACAAGCAAATATCCTCCTGCCCAGCCCGTAACAACCATACCCATGACAACAGACACTCTCGCCGATCCAAACGTATTGCCCACAACAGTTGGCATAGTCGAAAAGAAACCACCATTTGCCATACCATTGACAATCACAAACACGATCAGGGGCCCTAAAGAAGTGGAGATGGGCCATATAATCAGCATGCTAAGCGCACTCAGCAACAGCGAAATGAACAGTGTGTTCAACGGCCCGACAAAATCACTGCAAAGTCCACATAGCAATCTGCCCAGCGCAGAAGAGAAATTGAATGCCGCAACAACACCTGCTCCAGTACCAGATGACATTCCCAGCGATGCTGTGAAAAGTGGCAAGAAGAACGGCGGGACCAAAAGAGGGAATGTTGCGATGGCGCCCATTGCAAAGAGGAGCACGAAGCGGATGTCGCGGAATAAGCGCCTAATAACTCATCAGTAAGAACCTTGAGTAGTTTTTCGGCCGGAGATTTACCAATCCACAACCGCTGAAGGAGGAATAGGAACCCGCTGCTTGATCAGGTATGCAGCCGGCAAGCCCGTGCCCCAGGTAGCGAATCCGATAATGCGGAAAGTCCACTGAACGCCGACACGATCAAGCAGTGCGTTCATCACAAAGCTAATGACTGCACCGCCAAGTCCTCCAGCCGCATACACAATACCATTAGCTATCCCGCGCTTGGCTCGGAAGTATTGGGCCGGCGTCACAGAGACGACCATGAAACAAAGACTGGAAGGCATTATCAGTATCAACTCCCGCATCCAATTGCTATAATCTCACCTGATCCCAATACCCATCACAACACCCGCAGTCGCGAATAACCCCCCAATACTCATCGCCGAGAACCCACTAAGCACCTCACCCAGACCGAGAAAGAAAATACCCGCCATTGCAGAGTACCTCGTTCCCAACTTTCTAATTACACGCGCGTTCAAAATTCCCAGGAATGAGATACAGGCCGTTGCCAAAGAGCCGACGAATGCTAGCGTGGAAGATGACGAAACGCCCTCTTTGACAAGTGCCGCTTGCAGGATTCCCCAGCAGTAACTAGTTCCAATGAACCACCAGGTCACCACTGCACAGCCGGAGATGACGACCCAGGCTTCGCCGCCGTCGGGGACTTGGGAGTCTGCCAGTAGGGACTGCTGCATGATGTCTGAGTCTGAGGCGTTGGCGGAGACGTCATTCTGAGCTGCTCGAGGTCTTTCTTCGAGACCGGCTCTGTTTAGCTCCTGGAGGGAGACTCCTGTCGCTCTTGATTCATCCATGGTCGTGGATTGTGCCTCACGATTTGAAGATTCCAAGATTTGGAGAGGTCGAAGATGAGAAAAAGTTTATAGATGTTCTCGGAAGGCGCTATTCCGCATTAGGAACCCCTGCATATATGTTTGACTTTAAGCTTGTTTTAGCGTTAGATGGACCAATCCTTTTGCTGCTAAATTGCTCCTAGATTTCTCGATGAAGTTCGTTTATTTTGGAGCTTATGCTCTGGTATATTCTGTCCTTCTTTCGACATGATTGTAGGCGAGATGAAGCTGTTAGCCGATATGTGGACCTTATAGAATGGAGTCGAGCGCTTATTCTCGGCAAATGTGGAGATTTGTTGTTCAAAGGGCGTGGCGGATTATCAATCAGAGTTGCAATCTGATAATCACTTCCAAGGTTCCCAGGTGCGGCCCTGGAGGCTCATGCAGCATAGATCTGATGCTCCAGGGTTTCCAGATACTCAATTCAAGGTTGCTGTTGATTCATGAGTCATGCCCAGGTGACCATCAGTTCCAAGGCTGCAGCGCCCGATCGATTTCAAATCACGAACACGCAGGTCTACGCCCGGTCAAAGCAGTACAATCCATGTTCAAAGTTGAAACGCTGAGAAGGAATCAATTCACCAAACAATTGGTCTATCAAATATATGTAATCAAGAGGGTATATCCTAAGGAGGGGAGAAGCCGACAAAAGGCAACTCATCCCATCCTTTTCTTCTTTAATCCAGAGGTCCAAAAACAAGACCCAGTCCAAATAAACCAACCCACGCAAACCGAGGGGAATAGCGCCGAAATAGTACCAACAGGGTGTCCAAGTCCAAGCGACGCACCCGATATAGACAGTGCTAAGTAACAGTGTAAGATGTGACAATTGGGGGGGATATGAAACGGGGGGGGGCGAAAATGATATTAACAGGTCATAATCAGGGCATTTCAGATCACTTTCCAAACCAGGGATGCATGATCAATGCAGAGGGGATGTGCATGCTTGAATGGCGATGCGAATGGAAGACGAAATGAAAAATGAAAAATGTGAACAAAAACAAATTAACCGATATGAGGAATCTCGTCTGAAGAGTTGGCCGAAGCACTCTGGAGCGCGGCGTTCAGATCGATGTGGAAGAAAGGTCGGTTCATGCCCTGCACGAGCGCAACCTTGCGACGGCTGTTGTAAGCCTTGCTGTCGGTGATATCCTGGTAGAACTTGTCTTCGTGGATAACGTCGGAGTGCTCGGAAGCAGAGCTCTCGACGCCATGGGTCTCGCGCTCGACGGCATTGTGGTCGGACTTGATACCGTGCTCTGCGTCGTCGGTCTTGTGGTGCAGCGACAACTCGCGTTGGTTGTTGATGATTTCGGCATGGGCAGCAGCAGATGAGTTGCCTTCGATCTCGGCAACACTGAAAATGGGTTTCCAGCGGTGGAAGCCTTCGTTGGAGATCGGGGTGGGGTATCCGAATCCGGCGGCGGCCAGGCCGCGCTTCGTCCAGCGGTTGTTGATGTGGGCGAAGTGCCATTGCACGGAGCGGGGAGAGGCGTACAGATCCAGCTGGTTGCGCACATCGATCAAGTTCTGGATGGAGGTCACGTCGACGTTGTTCACGGACGAGAAGTCCAGGATAACGGCCTGAAGGAGGGGCAGATGAGAATCGTCATCAGTGCCCTCCTTGCCGCGGCGGGGACCAGCATCGTTCCAAGGGCGGTCGCCACGGTTCTTGTAGGCGGCGGGGTTCGTCCGGCGAGTGTTCTTGAAGATGGTCGATACCAAGAAGTCGGTGTAGTGGTTGGCGTTGGGGTAGTTGAAGCCCTCGGCGAAACGGTAGATGAAGATACCGGGGAGGGGCTGCTCCACCTGAATGTCAGGGTTGGAGCCATCGGTGTGGTTGATGGGAAGGAAGATAGTGCGGTGGTGGTGCTCCTCGTCGTCGGAGGGGGTCTTGTTGGCGAGAGATCCGTACTTTCCATCACCATCAATGAGGTGATCTCCGACCACGGAGTGGATGGTGACACGTCCGAGGAACTGACCGCGGGCCTTGGCGACACGGAAGAGGAGAACGGCAAGCGACACACAAATGGTGCAGTAAATACCATCTTCAATGGAGGTGAACACAGTCACGAAGACACCGATGAAGAAGATGAGGGCATCAAGCGGGGAAACACGCCAGAACTGATAAACGGTGTTGGGAGGAGTGATCAGATCACCGACGGCGTGGATCATGACACCAGCCAGAGATGCCTTGGGAATGTAGAAGAAGAGAGCGGGCAGAGCGTAAATAGCCAACAACACGACAACGGCGGTAATCACACCAGCAAGGGGAGTTCGCACACCAGCCTTGGACTTGATAGCAGTGCGAGAGAACGAACCAGTTGCAGGGTAACCACCGAGGAAAGGACCGAGAAGGTTGCTGACACCAATAGCCACGAACTCTTGCGAGGGGTCGATAGTGTAGTTGTTGACACGACCGAAGGACTTGGAGATTGCGATATGCTCAATCAAGAGCACAATCACTGCAGCGGGCAGCTGGCTAGCGTATTCCTTGATAATGTAGCGGTCCATAGTGGGCACAGCGGCCTGCTGGAATCCTCGGGGAACGGTTCCGAGTAGAGAGAACGCCGGGTGGTCCCGGCGGTGCAGGTTGGTCGCGGCACTGATCATGGTGTAGAACAAGATAACGAATACTGTGCGGAGCGTGGAGATGAAGAACCAGATCTTGGCCCGGTGAGGCTGCTTCTTCGCGGCATAGGTGCATGCAGAGCGGATAATGTACAGCATAGCGCACGCTGTGACACCCATAGCGGCATCCAGAGTCGAGGTTGGCAGGTACTTGAGCGTGTTGATAATAATCTCATAAGTGGCACCGCGGGTGCTGAACTTAGCAGTCTCACCCAGCATGGTTGACACCTGACCGGAGCAAATGTTCAGGGCGGAACCAGTCATGAAGGCGGAAATAGCCGGAAGAGGAATGAAATCGACGATGAATCCAAGGCGGAAGATACCCAGCACAAAGACGATTCCACCGCAGATGATAGCCAGGGAAGAAGCAATCAGGTGAGCCGGGTAATCAGGGTAGGTTTTCTGTACATCCAGCACAATAGTTCCAGTAAGAGTCGACATAACGGCCACAGGCTAAATGATGTCAGTTTTGATCTGGTACATTGATTGAAGATTCACTCACTCCGATGGTAATATCCTTAGACGTGGCAAAGAACCAATAAATCAAAACTCCCATGAACGAGGAGTAGAGACCATACTGCACTTCCAGACCTGCCAACTTGGCATAAGCCATACCTTGCGGCACAACGACCGCACCGACGGTGATACCGGCGATCAGATCACCGTACAACCATTGCAAGTTGTAGTTGGTAATCCAAGTGAGGAAGGGGAACAAGCTGATGAAGTATCTACCCAATTGACGAGGAGTCGGAAGGACTTCGGTGATCCATTCCCAACTTGTCGGTTCAGGCTCGTTGTATAGATTTGTGTTGGCGGTACCCATAGAAAAGGTCGATTCGCCTCTAGTGACAGGGTCGGCGGTCGCACCCAGAGGGTCTCTGTAGGCGACCTTGATACCGAGGCCCTTAGCTAGGGTCGAGCCCAGCTTGGATGAGGTCTCACCGCTCATGGTGTGAAGCGGAGGTGACAATATGCAATGTCGGGATTGGACGGGAGTTCGAGATCACAATGTCCAAAAATGGGAGGGGTGACGATCAGATATATAAAGGATATCAGATGGATGTCAGACCAGACGATCCCTGCAAAGAATGCAATATCGAAAAGAAAAAAAGAATCGAAAAAAAGGATTTAGAAAAAAGAAGGGGCACTGCGTGATTGGGACCCAAATGGCGCAATATCAAAGCTCCCCAGATTCAAATTAACATTTGAATTTTCCCGCTTGGCTCGGCTTGGGGGTGACTTTGGGAAATTGAGGAAAAAACACGAAATCTAGATTGTCAAATCTGGATGAGGTGCTTCCTATAGGATGTTCGAAATCAAAAGAGGCACATCAAAGCGAGCTCGCTCTTATAAAAGGAATTCTGGATTTCGCACGGCAGCCGGTCCACCGATGATCGCAAGCCGATCAAGGCTGTAGAAGGTCCCACTGGGTCTGGATGACGACCGTGGAGTATCCGCTTGATGGAGCCCGCGGAGGTGGTCTATTTAAACCGTTTCAAGAGATGTCGCACTTTATGAAGCGGATACAATGAACAATGTGGTCAGTGCCTCATGAACGGCACGAGCCGTGACATTGCTTTTCGAGTATGTTGCATTCCAGCAAAGAAGCAGCTTGAAGTGAGAGGTGAGAATAGTACATCCGCACAATGCCAAGAGTCGGCATGACGAATGACAAGGCGCCTCTGCGAGTTTTGCCCCGAGCAGATCAGTCCGTGGGGCCACGAGGCCAATCACGGACCTTTTAGAACACGCAATCTCAAGTTGAGATGGTGAAAGCAGTGGGAGTTCCACGTTTCCACGTTTCTGGGCGAACGTTTCAAGAATCTTCTTGCGTTGTCTGTCTTCTTTTGTCCCCACCGCCTTTACACTTTTGGATTTGTACGCATTCTAACCCCCTTCGGTCTTTATCTGCCCATTTGATATTTTCATATTGGATGAGGAGGCTCTTGCGTACCTCCTATACGAGGCCGCCTTCCCGCCCCGAGATGTTTAAACGAGGTCTCCATTTCCCATCCTAGTCCCTTTTCGTCTTAAGCTCATAGCACAAACACTCTTGACAGGGGCCCGTGGAGACTCGGCGCTCCCTACTCTATCTGTTAGGTGCATAAGGGACATGGCTACGGAGTACGGAGTACAGAGTACAGAATTAATCCATAATGATCGGTCCAACCCCATACGTTCTCCCCAGGGCCGTTGCTATCCGCATGAGGTCAGAGGTACGTAGTGATATGCCTTCTCCTTAAAATCATCTCTCTTTCTATTTCCCCCTCTATTCTAGGAGTATGAGGTTAAAAAAAAAAAAGAAGGTCTACAAAGTACAAGAAAGTTAGTAAATATCTCAATCTAACTTGCCGCTAAAATATGCATGTCCTTCCCCTGCAGTCCGCGTAGTCCACTTGGTGAAGTTGTCATTTAGATCTAAATCACGTCATCGAGCTCTCTCGTTGGCCAACGTCTAGCTTCATTTCTAATCTGCTCGAACTCCGGACCTAAAGCTCTTAGACTCCTCGGTGTTTGACTGGACTTAAAGTTTGGAGTTCCTTCTAGACTAATTAAGTGCCCGTGTTTACGGAGTCCTCTACTCGGCGTCTCCAGTCTGAGACCATCCATCATGCAACGCCTCATCTACGCCCCTGGCTCATTTAGGCTGGGCTCACACTAGGCATCTGCGACCTACGGCCTACGGAGTACAGAAAGTACGTTCCAGAAAAGAGGAACTAGTCCGACACACCGGGCTGAAAATGAAGGCAATGGGTTCACTGTGGACACAACAGCTGACTTTGATGCCAAGACATGTTAAGCTGCACAGGCTCATGCGAGCATCTCCGTGGAAGAACGCGAGCAAGCCCTGGGTCTCAGCATCGCCTTGACTGACCCTGGCTGAGAGCTTGTATGATCGCGTGTTCTCCCAATCTATCCCGTTGGCCAGTACCTCACATTTAGCTTTTCCTTTCTTTTTCCATTTGCCTTCTTGCTTTCTCATTTCGCCTTGGCTACGCAGTACAACCAAGCCACTAATATGCAATAGCGGTACGGAGTACTCCGTAACTAATCTCTTTACTCTAACTCGCTAATGAGGAGGACGTTACCGGAGGCTCACAATTCTGATCCCCGAATCACCCTTTTTTTGCCTTCCCGATGTACGGAGTACGCTACTTCCCAACACGAGATTGTGCCGGGAGATCTCGTCCGAGCACGCCATGCAATCACTTCATTTGGATCATCTGTCTGTCCATCTGATGTCACAGTGCGTTGCTGGCGCTCGCTTGTGGTGTTCGCTTGGTCCAGGGTAGCTGCGTGCGAATGCAGGGTTGGCTGAGCGCTCAGTCACGTTTGCGGGGAGACCCGAGAAATCGGATACACCGTCATGTTTGATGGATAGATCCAGTGGAAAAACAAATATATCGGTCGCTGTCGGTGCTAAGCATACTCCGTACGAAGAGGTTGCATAGTTCGAGATCAGCTGTGCTTTACCGAGATACGCGAGCTCAAATTGATTCTGGGGTATCACTTGTAGTGTGGCTCACGTGGACTGCGGCAGCGCACGAAAGATGCCTATTGGCTTGTGCCGTTTGCTGCTTAGATTGACTGAGTTTGATCTAGTGTCGAGCTATTGCATAACACAATTCTGCTCTTTCTGTTGTCATCCAGGGTGGCTGCAAATGGTGGGAAATATCAATTGCGGTAGACACTCATTTGCCCGATCTTTGAGTACAGATAGGGCAAATTGTGTTATGGCCGTATACTGAGTTTGGATACATCGACATCTCAAATCATCCAGATTCCTCAAATGCACATCCCGGCGAAGCTATGCCACCCTGGTCGTTCAAACTACACCATCGGGTCAGCACTCGCTAATATCTGCAGACCAGGATGAACAAACCCAAGACCAGTTAGTGTTTCGCCACCGTCGGCTTGTCTTTCTCACGAGCATCAGATATCTACGAAGTGTACGGAGTACGGAGTACTATGGACATAGCGGCAAATTACTCCGTGCTTGCACAGACCAGGGTTGTTCGGGCATTCCGTGGATCGAGACCACAGCGTGAAGGCAAATCTCGAAATCGGCCACAAACCTCAACTCGAGTGCGGCGAACCGAAGACCCTGCCGATCTCGAGGTCGTCATACCTCCTGGAAATCACGTTTGTTGGACATTTTGCCGGCACGCCACCTAAACAGGGTACTCCGTACACGGTGCAGCCTGAGCTTTGATTCAAGAACTGAATGCCGAACCTACATTATTGCCAGTAGCGTCGTGTGATTGAGTCCAGTTCATGTTCCAGGCTTTGGTCTATTGATCTGATTCTCGATCTGGACTGTATCTTCACTCGGTTAGAGTCTCCGAAGGTGAGTGGCTTAGTGCAGAAATCTCCGTGCAGAGTAGTCTAGCCCATCTCTATTTCTATGGTCACTGGTTCTACCGTCTGGGGCTTGTCTGATATCTGTCAAAGAACAACCATCACTTTGGATTCTAGACCCAGTTGGTAAATATGAGCAGTCGACTGGGAGAGATTTTCGACACAGAGGTGTTTTGTAGTATGGATGAGATATGTCTCTTATATAGACTTGACCTCCGTTTATCGTCTATCGTCTATCCTCCGATCAATCGATAGGCGTGAAAGATGAAGTAAATCGGACAGTACAGCCTTGGAATATGAAGTCACTCAGTGTCGATTCTAAACCGGCTTGAAAATCGTGTATGCTTTGTCTCGCTGTCGATGCTTACGCCTTGTACTTTTTGCACTCGCCCGCTCATCGGATTATTACTCATGACCTTCTAGTCCCGAGGTCTACTTTGTACTCGGATATAGTAACTCACCAAAACCATGTTCGACTGGGCAGAGAAAATTCCACATTCTAGTGGTACAATGCAGCTACAGCGAAGTCAATCCATTCGTATTGTGTCAGCTAGTCGAACGTGGCAAGAGGTTCACGGGCTTCCAAGGTTGTCAGCGCAGTATTTCTCTCTCCTGTCAATTTAACCCGATGAACCGAGATACATGAGGAATAGGCAGTCCCACCAACCTTGGAAGGCAGGGGACCTTGAGGACATGGAGCTCCTACATGTACTCCCCCCCTGCTCTTCCTACAATTACGGGCTCAACAATTGTCGGTCCCAAGTTCATACATCTACAACTGCCAGCGAAGAATTGGAACAAAAAAACATAATGTCTATTGGAAGTGTCATCAGTGTGCAGGCTAGAAACAAAGAACAAAGACCACGAATCGATCGTGATCATGCCGGAAATCCTTTGCAGACGCCAAAGAAGCCCCCACAAGAACGCAGGTCTTCTAGGCCCGATATTCGCCCGCAAGCATGGTCTCATCTCATCCGTCTTCAGTTCATGACGCCTTTTCATCAGCGCAACTCCAGTCCGTCACCGAAAAACCAGATATCAAAGCGAAAGCAAGTTTCAAACGAAAGCAAGAAAAGCAAAGGTCGATAGAGATGCAAGAAATCAGGTCCGAGGCCCGTGGAGAATGGAGAATGAACAGAAAGAAGAGGGGATTACAGGGAAAGGTTGGAATTTGAAATTGGGACAAAAAGAAAAGAAAAAATGATATCTTCAGGGTCTTGAGAGAGATAACGCCATTGCAAAGAGAAACAAAAAGAGTTCTCCGCGTCTATCGGGGCTGAGGCGGCCTCCCTTCACATGGTTTCATAAGCGAAGTTTTCATCACTGGCCGGTCTTCAGTCCGCTATCCACGGTTTCTCCAAAAATCCTTTTACTGCGAGGCACATTGCACACGCTCAGCACCAGCTGGCACATCGTCATCATCATCATCCATGCCGGCCGCGGCGGCGCCGTGGGCGCGGGCCTGGTCGGTCTCGTTCTCGGGGTCCTCAAGCTCGAAGTCCTCGACCATGGCGTCGGTGGGGGGAGTGTGCTGATCAACGCGGGGAGGAAGAACCTTCTCGAGAAGCTCCAGGTTCTGGAGTTGATCCTTCTCGGGGAACTTGACGTCGAACTTGATATAGAGGTTGCCGTGGTCGTGGTGACGGAATGAGGGCATACCCTGGCCGTGAATGACCTTGATGGCGTCTGAAAACAATGGTTAGTACATGAGATCAATGGCTATGCTGACAGGGAAACAGGAAACATACCAGGAACGATAACCTCGCCAGGGGCAATGTTAACGGTCATCCACCGGTCGTCAAGGTGCTCGATGTGGATAGCACCGCCAGCAAGAGCGGTGAGCAGGTCAATTTCGGCCTGGTAGAAGAGGTCGTCGTTCTTGCGCTGGAAGCGGGGGTGGGGCTTCTGCTCAATCTCGAACACGACATCACCGGGGAGAGCGCCGGGCATCTGGTCACCCTCACCGCGGAACTCGATCTTGTGGCCATCGCGCACACCCTTGTCGACGTGAACGTGGAGCACCTTACGCTCCACAACGGTCTTCTTGGCGTTACACTTCTTGCAGCGGTCCTTATCACGGACGGTCTCACCCTCACCGTTGCAGTCAGGGCAGACGGTCTGGAAGCGCTGGATCATGGGACCCATCTGGCGCATCATGGTCTTCATACCGCTACCGTTGCAGCCCGCGCACTCCTTGACGGCACCCTCCTTACCACCGCGGCCATCACAGCCACCGCAGATAACAGACTTCTGGAGTGCCAGCTTGGACACCTTGCCCTTGTAGATGTCCTCAAGGTTGACCTTGTGCACGTGGTGGATTGTGCGGGCCTTCTTTGGGCCAGTGTCACGCATGCCACCACCGAACATTCCACCGAAGGGACCGCCGCCGCCGCCGCCGAAGAATTGAGAGAACAAGTCCTCGGCGTTCATGCCACCACCGCCGCCGCCATGCTCCAGGCCTTCCTCACCGAGCTGGTCATACAGTTGACGCTTCTCGGGATCGGAGAGGCACTCGTAGGCGTGCGAAAGTTCCTTGAACTTCTCTGCGGCCTCGGGGTTGTCGGCGTTCTTGTCTTCATAAGACCAAAATCCGTCAGTCTTCTTTTCCTTGCACCACTGATCACTGAGAGGGGGGTATCACATACCAGGGTGGAATCGGAGAGCACCCTTCTTGTAGGCAGTCTTGAGCTGAGCCTCGGTAGCCGTGGGAGAGACCTAGAAATAAAGAAACCCAGTCAGATCACTGTCGCACACTTTTCGACCATTCTGATAGTCTGATATGACATACACCCAGGGTATCGTAGAACTTGGTTTCCTTAACCATGATGGATATGCGGGGATCAACGAGGAATGAGAGACGAGGTTAGGCTGGGAATTCCAGAGCAGAGAAAAAACGTGGCAAAGGCCTTCAAGGTCAAGGCTTGTAGGGATATACACAGGCCAAATGGACAACAATTGCGGGTATTGTGATGTCCTGGCTGGATGAGGGGGGAAGAAAGAGGGAGGGTCTGGATAATAATAATCGAAGACCCAAAATGGCTGAGTAACTTTTTTTTTTTTGCCCAGGCACCTGTATGGGGCTCGTAAAATGACAGGATAAATTACCAGGACCACTGGATGAAGTTCTACTAAATTCTTTGTCTCTCGACAGCCTTAAACTATTTAAAAAAAAAAAAACAGAAAGAACACGCTCTTTAATCCTTTCTTCCTACGTGTTGCCATCGCTGGTGATTGCCTGTAACGAATGGCCCGAGCGCTGATTCCACGGGATTCTGTCGCCTTCGACTCTCTTCGCATGTCTTCTCCGCGCTTCTGCGTATTACCGCTGACTCAGGTATCTTTGTCTCCAGGCTATCACAGACATCATTTAGGTATGTATGCAGTTATAGAGATCACTAGTTCACTGTTTTAACCTGCACAGCTTTGTTATGCTTGATATTCACCCTAAGCTCCCTCTATTCAATCTAAGAAAATGTACTCCGTACCTTGTAATGTACCAAAACAAGCAGAAATTTCCAATCGCCACTACCGCCACCAGATCTTATCGATAAACTAAGCCCTGGAGACCTCGGAGCTGTCGGCTCCCTCCGGTCCTTATCTTAACCCCTCCAACTCCTCACCTCTATACAAAATTCACACAATGGAGCAAGATCCAGGATTCATTGCCGCCGTCGAAGAAGCGAAGCAGGGTCTCGCCGAGGGTGGCGTGCCAATTGGCGCAGCCCTAGTCTCCAAGGACGGCAAGATCCTTGGCCGAGGTCACAACATGCGCGTGCAAAAGGGCAGCGCCATTCTGCATGTCAGTGATTCCTGACAAATCCCCGACGGCATGGGTAGATCTATACCAGTCGCCGGGAAGAAATAGGCGAATAATTGCTAACGTTGAACAAGGCCGAGATGTCTGCTCTCGAAAACTCGGGCCGTCTTCCTGCCTCTGCGTACGAGGGTGCTACGATGTACACCACTCTCTCGCCGTGTGATATGTGCACCGGTGCGTGCCTTCTCTACAAGGTCAAGCGAGTGGTCATTGGTGAGAACAAGAGCTTCATGGGTGGTGAGGATCTTTTGAAGAACCGCGGCGCGGAGACCGTTGTCTTGGACAACCAGGAGTGCAAGGATCTTATGGAAAAGTTCATGAAGGACAGTCCTCAATTGTGGTATGTTTTAGGTGCTGGAGTCGTAGAGCAGGCGAGTGCGAGTCCTGTGTCAGGACTTGCCAGTTTCATCATCAATACTAACTGTAGTGTCCGCTGTTCAGGAACGAGGATATCGGTGTCTAAATTCATAAGGCATGCATACATCATAAGCTCAAATACCCCGAGAAATCAAATCCAATCCCGTGAGGTGGAAGTTCTTTTAGTCCAACGTCGTATCTTATTTATTTTTTTTAGAATCCGGTTAGAATTGGTCTGGTCAAAATCATTTGGTCAAGCGGTGGATCTCTTCGAAGAAGAACTTGAGGTGCTCGGGGTCGACGAATGGAGTCACACCTGAAACGTCAGCTTAAAGCACACTGCTTGAAATAGAGGCTCGACTTACCGTGGCCCAAGTTGCAGATCCATCCCTGCTTGCCCTTCTTGAAACCCTCAACCATGGGCTCAACGGTGGCGGTGATTGCTGGACGGCCACCGTAAAGCATACCAGGATCAGCATTGCCCTGGATAGTGACACGGCCATTGGCAATGCGCATAGCTTCAGCAGAATCGTGGAGCCAGTCCAGGCCGACAACATTGTAGCCAGAATCGCAAAGGTCATCAAGGGCATACCAGGCACCCTTGGCGAAGACAGTCATAGGCACGGGCTCCAGACCCATTTCCTGCAGACGCTTAGGCAGGTTTGCGGAGATGTGACGGAGGTAAGGAAGCGAGAAAGACTTGAAAGAGGCGGGAGACAGCTCGCCAGCCCAGGAATCAAAGACCTGCACCAGCTGGGCTCCGGCAGCAACCTGGAGCGCGAGGTACTCAACACAGATCTCTGCGATCTTCTGGAGCAGAGCCTGTGCCTCCTTGGGGTACTTGTACACCCACTTCTTAGACTGAACGAAAAGCTTGCTGCCACCGCCTTCGACCATGTAGCAAAGCAGGGTCCAAGGAGCGCCACAGAAGCCGATCAGAGGCACGCGGCCCTTCAGCTTGAAGCGTGTAAGAGAGATGGCCTTGTAAACATAGTCCAATTCGGTCTTGACGTCCACTTCCTTGGCCATGACCTTCTCGTATTGTCCGTCCGTCGGCGAGTCGAGCGGCACCGGGAAATGAGGGCCCTTCTTGTCTAGCATCTCAACAACCATTCCCATAGCTTGGGGAATGACCAAAATATCGGAAAAGATAATTGCGGCATCGATGAGGCCTTCATATCGCTCAATGGGCTGGAGGGTCAAAGTCGATGCGATTTCAGGCGTGCGGCAGCATTCGAAGAAGTCACGGCCGCCCTTGGCCTCGTGGTATTCGGGGAGGTATCGGCCAGCTATTTATTGAATGAATAATCAAGTCAGTCAAATATCCTAGAGGATTGAATGGTCACGAAAAAAGGAATCCTACCCTGTCGCATAACCCAAATGGGGGGACGCTCCACCTTCTCGCCTGCGATTGTCAGCACCGATCAACACGAAAAACCGAGGACAGACATACCCCGTGCAGCTCTCAGCAGCAGGTCGTTCTTCAAGGGCTCAAATTGTTCTTGCATTGTGTTGGTGGGATATGCAAATGGGATGGAGGAGGGGAAGTGGGATTCCAAGGTTCTCCGGGTACTCCGTACCGCGGCCCGCAATTAGACCGGAATTTTGACTACGGGTGGTTTATGCATCTTCGTATGGTCTGAACTACACAACCTAGCTTGTACAACACATTCGCCTATTGCTGCCGGTATTGATTTTTAGCTGGAGGGCGGAATGTCAATTTGGTCACTCGCTTGGTCCATCCTGTCCAGTAACTTGAAATTCAAAAGGTTGGCTCCGCCTTCGATATATCTCCGATTTCCATTTACTGGCTTCACATCGAGCACTCCCAAAGTTGAATCTCATACCTGCGTCTTGTTTTGACAGTGCCCATTTACACCATCGGCATCCATTACTTTAAAATGGCGGGCTCTAGGGTTCCAAGGCTCGAAGGTTATGACCTCCCGAGATTGGGAAGAGTAAGGAATCATCATTTCGTGCTCATTGAATACTTTAAATCATTTGCTGTACATTTATAAACGATATGCACACTTTTAGTCGTCGCTTCCATCCCTCTTGCGCAGCTTGCTCAGGCCGTACACCGCGTCATTGAGCTCGTCTTGTTTCTTCTGCTCCAGCCCCTCAGGGACACTTGAAGTACCCGCAGAGTTGATGGCGAGAACCATGGAGTCTTCGATAGGAGCCCATTTGCCAGAACTGACCCGGAATGTTTCCAGAGGGGGTTGCGAGATCGACTTCCACGCAGTGATAGAGTTGGGCTGGCGCAGTGTGTCCACTGATACGATGATGGAGCCCTTTGAGTCGATGGCTGTCAGATCAATGACGTTTCCACAGAGGTCGAGAGTTTGTTTAAGGGTCAAAGTGTTGCTATTCTCAAGAGAGTAGCAGTAAAGTTGTGTGGATCTGTTTAGAATGTTAGAGATCTCTAGACTTCAAGAACAGATGTGTCTTCTTACCCTTCAAACGCGACGAAGATGGTTTGCACTGAAGCGGCATCACCCGCAGCAGGACTGAACGAGACATCCCAGATACCGCTTACTACGATCTCCGTCTCTGATTTGGGAAGCTCAACCTTCTGCAGAATCTGGTTCTCAAGCCAGTTCCACACAAGTAGATAGTTGTCGCCACCGCCGGAAATGAGAACCTTCGGATCCCAAGACGGAACGCAAAGGTTGTTAACAAATGAAGTGTGGCCAAAGCAGTACTGCTCAATGACATGCGCTTGGGGAACGCCACGAGACACGCGGATATGCTCATCACGATCCGCAGTCAAGATGTAGTTCCGCGCACCGACGTCCGAGTCTGCAGGCCGAACGACTGAAATCAAATCCGTCAAAAGCGAAACATGGCCGATAATGAGTTGGTGCTCAAAGTTCAGGACAGCTCGCTCTTCTGAGTTGGTCTTGGACAAAGCGGCATATTTCAACTGTTGCTCCAAGGACTCCAAATTGCGTTTGGTGTGTACTGTCAGGTTTGTGGCAGATGGCTCATACGGCTTAGCCGCAGGCTGAGTCTTCACATAGTCCGCGCTAGGAACCAGTGGGAATGCATAGACGTCACCGAACTTATCACCAACTAGGATGGTGTTCTCATCAGGAGTGAGAGTAAGTGCACTGAGCTTCTTGGGCAATGTGCTATACTTGGTAAGTCTGAAGAACTTGCACGTATAGCAACGGTCACTTACCGAGCACTCAATTGCTTGAGTTTTCCATCTTCAGCCAGGCTCAAGACTCGAACGCATTTGTCCTCGCCGGTCATGATCACTGCATATTTGCTTTGCGCCACAGTCAAAAGAGGAATATTGGTCCAAGAATTGGATTCATCTTTCTTCGACTCCTTAGACTTAGCCTCGGGCTCAGTCTCTGCATTTTTCTCATCATCAGCGGGCGAAGACAGCTTTCTTCGCTTCTCTGGGGGAGCTTGACCTTCAGATGCTGTGGTTGCGCCAGAGCTTTCACCCACCGGAGCAGCATCTACGGGCTGAGGCCACACATCCAGTCTTTGCCCACTGGATACATCAAATGAGAAGAGCTCGCGACCGGCAGTGGCCAAAATAACGTTGGACAGGCCAGCCGGCTGTCTGTTGACATAGCGCAGACACTGGAACGGATGCTGAAGACCAACCATCCTGAGGCGATATCTGCTTCAATTGACGTAAGAGCCTCAAAATAACAGCTGGGCTGCGCGTCTTACTTTCGAAAAAAGCTTCTTAGGAATTGAGAGCCCCAAAAGATCCTTGAAGCCGAAATCAGTCGCTCCCATCGATATGCCATTTGGGCGGGTCTACTTTTCGGTGTCACGTGATCCACTAGCGAGCGCACCAAAGAAAAATAATCTTCCCGAAATCCCACCGACTTCTTTTTCTTCTCCATTAACCACTACAACACTTTGACTTTCCCTTAAACAACCTCTCTTCATTGAAATCAAGAAGAAATGGGGGCAAGTCCGCGACCAAGACCGCTTACTTCGAGAAGCTCAAGCTTCTGGTGAGTGACCCTTCTTACCGGCTTTGTGCCAATCCCTTTCAGAACCACATTGCTAACTCGGACCTAGCTTGACACTCACTCTTCCATCTTCATTGTTGGAATTGACAATGTCTCTTCCCAGCAGATGCACGAGATCCGTATCGCCCTCCGTGGCGAGGCTACCGTGCTGATGGGTAAGAACACCATGGTTCGCCGTGCCCTCAAGGGCTTCGTCGCCGAGAACCCTGAGTTCGAGAAGCTCCAGCCTTTCGTCAAGGGCAACATCGGTTTCATCTTCACCAACGGTGACCTCAAGGACATCAAGGAGAAGATCCTCGCCAACCGTGTCGCCGCTCCCGCCAAGGCCGGTGCCGTCGCTCCCGATGATGTCTGGATCCCCGGTGGTAACACTGGTATGGAGCCCGGTAAGACCGCCTTCTTCCAGGCTCTCGGTGTCCCCACCAAGATTGCCCGTGGTACCATTGAAATTGTCTCCGACCTCAAGCTCGTTGAGGCCGGCAACAAGGTCGGTGCCTCCGAGGCTACCTTGCTGAACCTGCTGAACATCTCTCCCTTCACCTACGGTATGACCATCGCCCAGGTCTACCAGGAGGGTCAGGTCTTCGGTGCCGATGTCCTCGACATCTCCGAGGAGCAGCTCCTTGCTACCTTCTCCAAGGCCGTGTCCACCATCACCGCCATCTCCCTGGCTATCGGCTACCCCACCGTCCCTGCCGTTATCCACCAGCTCATCAACGGCTACAAGAAGGTCCTCGCTGTCGCCATCGAGACCGACTACAGCTGGCCCGAGATTGATGAGCTCAAGGACCGCATCGCTAACCCCGATGCTTACGCCTCTGCTGCTCCTGTCGCTGCTGCCGCCGCCACCTCCGGTGGTGACGCCCCCGCTGCCGCCGCTCCCGCTGAGGACGACGAGGAGTCTGATGAGGACATGGGCTTCGGTCTCTTCGACTAAGCGCATCCTCATTGATGGGAAACGACTGCCATGTATTAGATTTACTTGAACCGGAGCTCGAAATAGCGACCGGCAATGAAACTTCATGACACGGCAATGGATTTCCATTGGAAACCTAAGACTCGTATAATGGACGTAGCTGCGCCCATTGTTCGTTTCACACAGACTTGGTGAGTCAACTTCCTCTTCTCCCTTTCATGCCCTTCCCTTCACACACATCTTCCTGGCGGATGATTATAAATTTTTAACCCCGAGCATTACGTCCCCTCCTGGGGACGCTCTGAAGATTAAACAAATGCAACAACAACACTCTAATTTTTTCCTGACGCCACACACCTCTCACATTTTGCTCTTGACTTGACTTTGCAAACAATTGCTAACTTGTGATCAGTTTACAGATTTTCTTCGAACGACCTGCGCTCGTAGGATCTCGTAGACCGTTGTGTAGGTGTTGGAAGTCCGTGTTTGTTCTCCCTCGTTGGGCAACTCCGGTAACAGATAGTCGCTCAATGAAAACTCCGGACTATTGGTCACGTGTCTTAGTAGTCAGCCAGGTTGGAAGCCCTGAAGTCTTGAAGTAGACCTTGCGGGCTATCTAAAGCTGCGGTTTGGTATTGTAAAATCAGAGATTCTGGAGGCATTCGTCTATGTCTCCCATATTTAACCTTGGAAGACTTGTGCATGATTGTTCTCTGCATTCAAGGTGACGATTTGTTACATTTGGTTGGCTGAATCCCACCTGGGCAGTGAAAATGCACAGAACGCTTGAGATCTTTGAAGAACACTAAATAACTAAGACATGTTCACTAGCCGAAGATCTTGAGATCCATTGTTACTTGATTTGCTGCCGCAGCTGTCAATATGTGGGTATGCTGTCATAATTCGTCACCCGAAATCCCAAAGCCTGTATTCACATACAAATTATCATGTACAACTTTGGGACTGTTATATTCTTTTGATCGATTTCCCACGATCTTCCACTTGCTGCTTTCAATTCTCCTCGTAATGTCAAACGCAAAAATATCAGACACTGGGAAATCCAGCAAGCGAAAGGTAGATTGGTCATTCGAAGCCGCAATGGAACCTAACTAACAAGGCCTCAGAGCAACAATTCGCCAATAGATGAAAGCACCCTGAGACGCATATCTGACGCCCCAGAGGAGCCTGGGCCGGATTCAAGAGACCAATCAGGCTACTATCGCCGCCTTCTTCAGGATGTTTTCGAGGTGATGCGATCGGTTGAAGACCATCAGCAAGAACTACTCCAAATGATCAAAGGTCATGCTCCATTCCACCAGATCAGAAATTATCTAGACCAAGTGTTGCCAGATAAACATGTGACCAAGACAGAAGAAGCTTCTAAGAAGGCGAAAGTCGATGATATCTCCGAAAATGACACAATGCAACCTCGACCACACGCGATGGATATCAGCTACCTGTGTGACAATGCCCCATACAAGGTCCCTGCAAAGCCATGGACGAATGTTACCGACGACGACGATCTTGTCTCACATTTAGTGTCCTTGTACATGACGTGGGACTATCCGTTCTATGCATTCTTCGATCGCAAGACGTTTTTGGAGAATATGGCGAAGGGGAATCTGAACTCCGACTTTTGCAGTCCATTTCTTGTCAACGCACTGCTAGCAAATGCATGCGTAAGTTTGCTGTGGGTCTTCATCGTCTCAGCATGCTAAATATCACATAGGACTATTCTCAATACGCCGAGGTTTACACAATAGCAGGAGACACTAATACCAAAGGTGCTGCTTTCCTAGCCGAAACGGAAAGCTACATGAGAACACATTCTTTTGAACGGGGAGGTGGCACTCGGCTAGCTACCCTTCAAGCAACTCTACTACTATATGAAAGGTGAGCTATTACCTGTGATGAGCGCCGAAGCTGGACTCAACCGTTAATGCCGTGATAAACCAGATATTCTGTGCTGGGCAATGAAGACTTTGGCTACACCATGCTTCACCGTGCAATAGAGATGGCAGAAGAACTTGGGATTGTCAATTGCGACAAGCTGAACCTGAGAAGTTCCCAGTTGTCCGAAGACATGATCAGGTCGATCCAACGCACTGCATGGGGTATATTTCAAATTGATACGTATGTATTGTCCAACTCTTTGATTGCAACTTCAAACTAACATCGTTGAACAGCATTGTGCATACTAATTTTCTCAAACCGAGTCGTGTGCACGAAGTCAGTGTGCATCGACTCCCTCGAGAAGAAAATGGCAAAGAGGATTGGGCCCCATATCCGATATCGAGCCAAACCCGGCCATCCTATATGAATCAATACTTTGACGAGGCATGCAGTTTGTCTTACATTGCTCGCGACATCTCAAGAAGCGTGCAAATAGCGGAGCAAAAAAATATCAACGTGAATGAGGTTAAGCAGGACGTGTATAATCGGCTTCGTGAATGGGAAGCTAAGCTGCCAGAGGTGTTCAACCTCAAAGACAACCCTGCGCCGCATATCTTACTCCTCAGGTCAGTTCTCCCAAGAACCTCGAATTTCGCGTGGTCACGACAAATATTAACAATCCTTTCCACAGAATGCGGTATCATGCCCTTATGATCAATCTATGCTGCGATAACTTTGGTAGCTACTCGTCATTCGCAACCATGGATAAACGAGTACCCATGAACCTGGATCCAGGGAAGGGCTATTCTGCTCTAGATGTGGCAATCTCGTCCGCAAGGCAGATCTCCATCGTAGTCCAGATGATGAGGAAGGAGTATGGAATGCGATACGTGCATCAATTTGCCATGTACGCAGTGAACGTTGCTATATACACCTTGCTGGAGCAGCCCTCTTTCGACATTCTTGATCCCGACTTTTTACACCTCACAGGCGCATTTGCTGCCATTTCAAGTCGATCTCAGGTGGGAAAGAGCCTGTATCACTTCTTCAAATTGTCTGTTCGGTCTCGAGACTCGGGTCATCGACTAAACACCCTCGATGAAATTCCTTCTGAACTCAAGGAGATATTCGCTCAAGTTCGCCAAGTCAATGAACCGACGAAGTCAGGAAATGACACAAAGTCTCCCCACACATTGGAAAATAATACACAATCCATGCCATCTCCAGGGCTGAAGGATATGATCGGGGAGTATGAGAAACTCAGCGTGGGCAAAGAAGAGAGACCATTTGATCATCGGGAGAGTGCCAATTTTGATTTCTGATGCTTTATACCATACACAATTTACGTTAAAGCTTGTTAAATACTATCAAAGCCTGTTTAGTAATATTCACTGCTACAGATATTACATGATCTCTCTCGTCATATGCTTCTTGCTTGTTTGCTTGTTTGCTTCCTTGCTGTTTGCTTGCTATTACCATATGCTTCCGCCTGTTTCCTCACTTCTTGTTTGCCTGTTGGCTTCTCTTGCTATTTATGCTCGCTTGGTTCCATAGCTCTTCTTGGTTCTTCTCCTTCCTTCCCCATCATTAGTTGCTTTGTTGAGTTGGACATTCTGTCTTGCTGAAGTTTTGCTTCCCTCACAGACATCAAACCCCTCACTACATACCCCTCTACTTGCTCCCTTGGAAATTTCTCAGGTCCAGCCCTGGAGTGTGGCATACAAGAAAGGGTCTACACAGTTATTCATTTCTTCTATTCACAATTTTCGCTTTGTTTTTGCCTCCACTAATACTTTGTCTTTGCAATGGAGGGTCCCTTTGGAAGGTAGGCGGCTCTTCGAGACATTCGTCATGATTTGGATTTGACGTGCTCAGATGTCTTTCATCACCTTTGTTCACTTTCCAAGTTGGGCCCGACAAGAAGGAAATAACAGTGCATTCCTCCGCATTGGCAGATCTCTCCCAAAGCCTGAATACGCTCATCAATGGGGAAATGCTTGAGGCAAAAAGTAGACGTGCTGACTGGTCAGATGTCGACGTGGACACGTTCACTCGGTTGTGTGAATTTGCCTACCTTCGAGACTATACACCGCCATCATGTCGCCTGATTGATGGATGCTCTCCCATCATGGAAACGTCGAAACCCATGGTAAAACACAAAAAGAGAAAGAAAGGTTACAAATTCTGTGAGATACCTCATTTTGGATGAGACTGTAGCTGAGCCCGAACCAGTAGCTGAGCCCGAGCCCGCGCCCGCTCCGGAAGTCGACCTCTCTGCCGAAGAAGCTCCTCAGCCTGGCAGTGTTGAACTGCCATACAAGGAGAGAAGTGTATGGACCCAGCATTTGCATGATATTTTCCAGGAAAATATTCGCATTCCTGCTTCTCATAAAACCTCGAACTCAACCCAAAAGTTTGCACCACCCATAAGTACCGGGCCTTGGGAAGACTTCAGCCTTGTCTTTGTTGAGCAAGTTCAACTTTATGTGTTGGCTGATAAGTACGGAATAGAAGATCTGCGCTATCTCGTTCTTTCCAAACTACATCAGACGCTGAGGAGCTTCAAACTTTATGATGATGCAGGAGTGGCAGGGATTTTTGAATTTGTTCGATTCGTCTACTCAAACACTCCACCGGACCATGGCAACATTTGCGATCCGTTGAGGACCTTGGTGGCACTTTATGTTGCTTCTGTTCTTGGACAGATTGGCGAGCACGAAGCTTTCAAGGAGCTATTGGAAGAAGGAGGTGCTTTTGTCGCGGATTTCTGGAGGATAGTCTGGAGTGAGAATGACACACCTACGTAGACTGTGAAGCCTGTTGTAGCTACTATGCAATGGGCCTCTCATACTTTAAAGAAATTGCCAAGATTTGAACAAAATTGAAAAGTACATTGATCAAAGCTCTGTATCGGACAGCTTTTCAATCATTTTGTGAATCTTTCCCTCCGCTTGTCATAGATCCAACCTGACATGTCCATCAAAGCGTTAATTCCCAGCACTCCCCAATAAGTTTGACACCAAAGACCTCATTCTCGTCAGAGCTCACCAGTTGAAAGCCCTCTTTGGCGTACAGCCGACGAGCAGGAAGAAGAACACTCTGCGTCCAGAGACGAACCCTAGCGTATCCACATTCCCGGGCAAAACGCGTACACTGTTGTACTAAAGCCTGCCCGAGCCCTAGTCCCCGTGCAGTAGGTTCAACAAGAAACATCCGTAGCTTGGCTGTATCGACCTCCTCTCTGTCTTTGACCAGGATTATACAGCCTAGGAATTCATCGTTGCGCTCGGCGATCCAGCATCGGTCTGTGGAGGGGTCGTAGTTTGCAAGGAAATCGGCACCAACTTGGGCTGCTAGGCCTTCCATTTTCAGACCCCAGTCATGTTCTTTGTCGTAGTAGGTTGCGTGGCGGTGGATGATCCAGCCAATATCGCCTGGGCGGTGGGTACGGAGGGTGTATCCTTGGGATGGCGAAGGTAGGTTCGGAGCCATTTTGTGCTGGCTGAGTAACAGTGAAATGGATGCTAGATATCAGTCATTGGAATTTAACTTCTTAAATAGAAGTCTGCCTTGAGAAAAATCTTTTGATAGAGCCATGTCGTCGAAAGGGCGCAAACCCAAAGAGATTATTGATTGCCAAGAAATTGACTCATTGTGATGTGTGAATTTGGTTCGAAGTATGTGCAGATCAATGGAAGCCCAATCGAAGAGAAGAAGATGATACAGCATTTGGCCCAAAATGGTATACAGCTGCGAAAAAAATGATGCATGACGACTTGCCTCGAGCAAGACACTTCTTGAAGATATCTACAAAACATGTAACAGAGCTCGATCAACCCAGCACAAACAAAGAAGAGACAGCTGGTATGTATGCCCGGTTCAATGTCTGAGTCAAGGTATAATTAAAGTGGAAAGTGGAAACCGACGAAAAGCATGCAGACTGGAGACTAAGCTCCATCCTCAGTGCTCCGCCCAAACCGGCCCCCAAAGCCACCCAGGTCGCGGCGGAAGAATTTACCTATGTTCTTCAAGTTTTCATTGAGGTTTCCTGTGGCACTTTCGGACGGTGTGTGAGCGTGGTTTGGTTGGAAGGTGGAACCCATGGGGCCAGGGGACGATGCGCCAGACGGGCTAGTCATGCCCGATATGGACGAGACCCCAGTGGCGCCAGCCACACCGGAACCTAAGTTACTCAAACTCGGGTTTCCGAAGCGGTCAACCCCATCTTTAGCAGCAGACATGATGGCCGATCCGAGCATGGAGGCGTCAAATCGGGAGGGCATGGATGCGGCGGCGCTGCCGAGACCTAGGCCCTGTGATACCGAGCCAGTGCCGGTGGTGGTGGCTGCTGGTCCCTGGAGAGCGGCAAGAATCGGATTGCTTTGCTGTAAGCTGGATGCATAGCGATCTGATGCACGGTGAAGCTGGAACAGCTCAACAAGGTGGTTCTGTTCCTGGCGGTTGCGGATGCCCTTAAGATCGAGAATTTTGCGGAAGTTGGTGTTGTTGCTGTCACCAATATGAATGAGATACGCTTGAACAAGAGCCTCCGGGGGTGATGGGCGGACTTGGAGGGTTTTAAGGAGAGTCTCGATTTTGGAGAAGCTCATGTTAACCCGTTTAACGAACCCGGCGGGAGCGGGAGCAGGGAGCAGGGATGAAAGGCCACTCTTCAGGGTGTAGGAGTCGAGAAGCATCTGAAAGGAGGTTAGATACGAAAAGTACTCGGTCAATGGGATATCTTACCTGTTCAGCTCCAGTCTCCGGAACCGGCCTGCATTGGAAGACATTGCCAATGAACTGACTTGAAATGAGCTCTACCAGATGATCACTGAAAGCACGCGCATATTGCTGCTTGTGCAACAGCTGCAGTATCTCGGCCGCTTTATCCTTCGTCCGAGAAAGCATTTCGCCCACGTAAGAGCTTTGATCACTGACCGCCTCAATCTTAGCCCAAGGGGTATTGCGCATTTCGCGCCATGAGGGCTCAAGATCAACTTCGACTTGTCGTACAAGACCTCGAACGGCAGCAGATGCAATGCCCATAAAAGAGTCTGCTTGGCTTTGCAGATCTACAGACTGCTTTAAGTTCTCGTCTAGCCTTCCCCTGATTTTTTCTTCCAATTGATTGCATGTTGTATAGCAATAGTCGGCAGTATTGAGAACCGAGACCAGCTCTTCAATAGTGGGTACTCTGGATGGTGTGTGCCCAGTGGGACGTTCACTGATATAGTTGAGGAGAATTTGCTGGGCATACTGGTCGAGATACTTTGCAAACACCTTGGCCAGTTCTGCCAGACTGACTCCAGTGGAAAGCTTGGCGCACTGTTGCAAAGAATGGCGGTAGAAGGTGAAAAGCTCGGTAGACGACGAAATCACAATATGCGAATTGAATTCTTCATCCGGCACTTTCAGTGGTTGTTGTCGATACTTGGGAAGCAGTGCTGCAAGCTGTTTATCTTGAGCCTCAACCCAAACGCTGAGATACGGCTCGAAGGCCTCTGAAATCGACTGGTTGAACACGGGCGGCTCGGTCGAAGCAAATGTGTCGGTAGACGCACGCGAAGCAGGAGAGAAGCGGCGCTCAAGCGAATGCTCAAATTCAAGCGTCTCTTGCAAGCACGAAAGGAGCAAGTTGACATCGAGTGTCTGTCCGCTGCGGACAGACCGAGACAAGATGCCCTTGAAATCATCACGTGTGCCCTCGCAGAAGACATTGGCCAGAATTTCATTCACCTTCCACGAGGCCGGGAAGATAGCCGCATTCTCTTCGTCGTAGATTTTCAATATGCGCCGGAACCAGGAATAGCGGCGAGAGATGTTGTCTAAGGATCCGGCCTCCTCATTGTTCCGGAACACTTGCCTGTATTCCCGGAGTTGTGTGTTGCAGTACCAAGTCACCAGTCGAGACCGTGCATGTTCACCCAGCGCATCAGCGACGAGACAAGCCTCTGCAAGCATTGCGCGCTTCGAGCCCACTTCACCCTTGGCGAAAGCTATCTCAAAGTCCTCGCATACCTGCTCTTGAAGATCTCGCTGTATATCCGCCACGTTTCGACTGAGCATCGCAATCTGATCAATCGATCGGTACGACTTGAAATGGGCCATGAGCTGAATGACAGCCTGGAGCAGCTGCGCACAATCTCCATATTGCCGCGTCCGACTCAGAGCCTGTAATTGATCGTATGCTGTGGTCAGCATCTGTAGTCGTTTCAGCGCTGTCATGGAAAGCGTGAGGTTTTTCTTTGCATTGTCCAATTGCTTGATGTCGGCGGTCATATCGGTAATGGCTTGCTCCGTCTTCAACGCGCGTTCGCGCACATCGTCAATCTTTTTGAACAGCTCTGACAAGTCCGCCTTAGCTGCCTGGATTCTCTCCACGCTATCAGCATTGGAGGTGACCTGCTCCTCCACCAACATGCCGATGTCATCGTCGAGCTCATCTTCGCAATCGTGCAGGGCGTCGGAGACCTGGGAAACGGAGGACAGGGTGGATGGATGGGAGAAGACAGCATTCAGGTGCTCAATTGGATCGTAATCCACTGTAAACAATGACATGTTAGCATACGTAGCGGTGAGCAAGAGGTCAATGTTCCGCACCCGCATCCAAAGCATCGTGGCTTGGTTCCTCGGTTGGCGACATATGGCTGGTGGTCGTGGCAGTGATCGCGGTCATCCCATCAGCTCGCCAGAATCATCCTGCCCTTGGTCCCTACAAGCTTGATTGAGGTGAGGCCAATGTGTAGTGTGATGGGGAGGTGGAATAATGGGGGGAGATCGCGGCCCGCATGGCTCTAGCGCGCCAGCTTGGCATCTTACGCAACCCTAGCTAGCCATAGTAGACAGACAAGAGGAGGTTCTTTCTAAATTTACATTGACACTGAGCAAAATTGTAATCTTCATTGTCATCTCATAGGATAATGATCTCAAGGTTGCGGTCTATAATCTCCAGGCGCCTGAGTGAAGAACTGTGGATCTATGTATGGGGACTGCTATCTACTCCGTAGTGTATTCCCCTCGAGGGCACAAAAGGGACGAATTATGAAGTTACTGTGGAAAAAGTCATGAATATTCATATGAAGATTGTAGCTATTGATTTTGGTATTTTCAAAAAGAAGTTTCTGGCCCGTGGGCTCATGTTCAGAGTACAACCTGCTAACAAACCAGAGTGCCGTTCGCCCAAGCCATGCAAAGAAAAAAAAAAGATATTGAATCACATCGGATCATCACACTTCCACGTAACCAGTTTCAGGCAGAAAGATATGGTCAAGTGCTGAAGCTGAGACCGAAACGGAGTGGAAGTTTTCAGTAAAATGTCGTAGTTCACAGCCATAATGCTCAAGGGGGAGAGACGAAGGCGGTTGGGGGCAAAGTGCCAGAAGCCTAGGTGTGAATGCGTTAGTATCACTCATTGGAATGTTCTCGGAATTTGTGCTTACCTTGAGTTGCTCGAAGTTTTTCCATGCAGCTTCAGCATCCCAAGAGTTGCCCGAAAGAGCCATTTCAGAGTATTGAATAGTCATGCCAGATTTGGCACTCATCTGTGCAACCATTTGCTCCTGTTGGAGCTGAGTGTCGGATTTTCCAGGCTGAGGTAAGCCATATCCATCGGGAGCACCAGGAGCAGCTGCAGGAGCCGCGGCGGAGGGGGCACCAGGAGCAGGGGCTGCAGCCTGCGGAAGTGCCACGGAGTCAGGAATCCATGCCTCGTGTCCTCCATAGGCACGCAGACAGAAAGTGTCGTTGATGATTCGAATGCCACCAGGAGTATTTCCAGGTCCGAGGATGAAAGTGCGGTCAAAGCTGCGAATTTCGATTTTGCCGCCAACGCTCTCCTCTAGCTGACCGTGCACAGTGAGTGAGAGACCGCCAACGCCGTAGGGACTCTGCCCAGTGGGGTCGGGAAGACCGGGAATTGGGTAACACTCGAAGAGCCACTGGTCCGCCTTGGCAGCCATGTCGGGGTGGCGAGTGGGTGGGAGAGAAGTGAAAGCCTCGCGGATGGCTTCAACTCCTTGGAAGGAGCGTGACATGCGCGCAGGCAGGTGGCTGATCTTATCGAGGTTTCGGCTCTTCTTGATGTATTCACCCCAACCTGCGGTTTCGGTGGCCATGGATCGTGGCGCCGAGGTGTTGACATTGAGGGAAAAGACCGATTCGTTGTCATAGACATTGGAAACAAGGGAGTTGCGATCATTATCGTAGCCCGGGAAAAAGGCCCGGACGAAGTTCTCGCCAATTTGGGCTTCGTCGTTGAAGTGAGGTGGCTGGACGGGAATCGGGGTCTTCTTCTGCAGCGCAACCTCCTCTGGGGTGCGCACCTGAACGTTGTTCAAAACTTGCAATTTAGGATACCACTTGAGCATGGTGTCCTTGAAGTTTGGAAGAGTACAAAAAGGGTTTCCAGTCATGTCCAAGAGGACAAGGTTGCGGAACTTCCACCGCCATCCAATCATGGACTGCGCATCTTTGAAACTGTTGTTGGAGAGGTCCAGGTTTTTGATGTCCGGGACAGTTTGGGCGAGGGTAGTCACGACGTTGATGTTGGGGAGATTGTTGCTCGCCAGACTGGCACTATCAACTGCCTCACGTCGGGCTGCAGAACTGTCGTAGCGCATCTCCCAAACTTTCATAAGAGCGGGGAAGAACTTTGACTCGGTGGAGGTGGTATTGAAGATACCCATTGCCTGCAGATCGGGGTCGTTTCCCAGATCCGACATGTCAAGCAGCTTGTTGGCAGCGTAGTATCGTTTGTCGAGGATGGCTTGCATCTTGGTTTTGGTGTCGGCGGTGGAGCCAGGAGTTGCGTCTTCTGGTGCTAGCTCATTTGCAAGCGCGTCGTCGGCATTGTACAGCGTGACGGTAATGTTGACACCGGCAAAAACGTTTCCGTTGAGTCGAAGCATCCTCTCGGCCTGATCGTGAGGAAGATATACGACCATGTTATCGTCGCTTTTCTTCTCGTGCTAATTTGGAAGTTAGCAAGGTGTTGGGGGACCTTGAAAACCACAGCACCCGGACGAGGACTCCAGAAATGATCCAAAATGTGTCGTTCGTCGTTCGGAAGGAGGACCATGCTCGAGGACGAAGAGACACTAAAACGGAAGGTGTCGGAGTGCATATGTGGTGACCGTGATTGCGACTATGGAACTTACCTGAGTGATTCTGACGCGGGGTCCAGACTTGGTGATCGTGTTCATGCGGCGTTCAAGGAACCCAAGGAGAGCCTCACGGCCCTTGTCCTTGTGGTTCGATGTCTTGCTATCTTTCCATCCACGAATAGAGACCGCTTGCATTTTCTCCCTGGGCTGCTTGGTGTTGTTCCTCCTGCTTTGCCGGATGTTGGCCTGCGATTCGGTGCTGGCGATTGCGCGCTGGATCAGGTCGACATTCTGGTCGCGGGCGTGGGTTCGACCACCGCTACCCGCCGCTCTGCCACCTATTCCTGCGCCTGAGATGCGGCCACCCAAAGCGGAACGGCCAGCTTCGGTGCGATTCCTCCGGGCTCGAGAGCCACTGGCTTCCATGTCCATGTCTCCATCTCGGTCGGTGCGAGTAGGGCCCCGCTTACGGATGCCCCCGCGATCGGTACCGCCGCGGCGAGACTTCATGGTCTTCATGGTATGGCGGAAAAGACGCGGAAAGAAGGTGAGGTAGTGGAGGGGTTTGGAAGTGACGAGCAAGTGACGAGAGTCCGAAACTGCAGTTGCGGAGCGAGCAGTGCGCTATGCGCCTCAGAGCAGGCAGGAAGAAGTTCGCATGCAGAGGCAGTCGCAGAGCAAAGCGGTGGTTGGGACGAGTGAAAGACGAGGAAAGAGGTTGTGGAAAAGACTGAAAAGGAGGGAGAGCTTGCAGATTATGTAGTGGGTATGCAAGATAAATGAATAGAGACCAAAATAACCCAAGAACAATAGGATCGTGAATTGACAAAGTGAAACTAAAGAAAAAGTGACGATGGTCCACGTGACCCGGGCGAATCACTCTCTGCGCTGGGAGCTAGTCCTGATTGGGTGATGACTCACCATTAGCTTCCCAGCCGACCAATCAAAGCTTGTCGTCTGTCCTCACGGCGAAATCCCCATACATCGCAAGTATGCCGGGATGCTTCTGAATTGGCCAGCCTAATCCTGTCATGATTGTTGATTGTCTAGGCTGCAGGCTTCAGTTGACTCACTCGTATTGTTTTGTTCCAAAGGTAAGTGAGCCTGTCTGACTCGTTTTCTTTGTTCTCAATGGTCACTCGGTCTGTTTATTCAAATGGAGTCAATTCGAGCTTGCGCGTCCAATGAACACCTAGCTAATCTGCCATGTTTTCTTTGGTCGTACAGACATTTAGGACACACTTAGGACACATCTGTTGTTAACTACATTCATTTGGCCTCCGCGCTCTACCCTATGGTCATCAATTGACCGGCGAGATGTCCGCAAAGTCGCGATTCACAAGGCTCGACGCCTTCGCCAAAACCGTCGAAGATGCCCGCGTTCGCACAAAGTCCGGTGGCTTCATCACAATTGCCTCCTTGTTGATTGTCATGTGGCTCGTATGGGGAGAATGGGCCGAGTACCGACGAATCGTGGTGCTTCCCGAACTAGTCGTCGACAAGTCGCGAGGTATGAATATAGATTTGGACTGGGTCGGAGGGGGATGGCCTGTGTAGGATCACAGTTGCTAATAGACTCGATGCGCAGGTGAGAGGATGGAGATCCATTTGAACATGACATTCCCCCGACTGCCATGTGAGCTCTTGACCTTGGACGTCATGGATGTCTCCGGTGAACAGCAAGTCGGCGTCGCACACGGCGTGAACAAGGTCCGCCTGTCCCCGCACGCAGAAGGAGGCAAGGCCATTGAAGTTCAATCCTTGGACCTGTAAGTGTAACCCGCACCAATTTCCGCGAACACGGGTCTGATTTCCCCTCCACAGGCACTCCCCTTCAGATGCCGCTAAGCATCTTGCCCCGGACTACTGTGGTGGCTGCGGTGGCGCCCAGCCCCCAGCCAATGTGATCAAACCTGGTTGCTGTTCCACTTGCGACGAAGTGCGCGAAGCCTACGCCGAGAAGCAATGGGCCTTTGGCGACGGCGGCAACATCGAACAGTGTAAGCGTGAGGGATTCGCTGACAAGCTCAACGAGCAGCGTCGCGAAGGATGTCGGATCGAGGGTGTGCTCCGTGTGAACAAGGTGGTTGGAAACTTCCACATCGCGCCAGGCCGTAGCTTCACGACCGGAAACATGCATGTCCATGATCTGGACACCTACGTTGTGCGCGATGCGCCGCCAGCCGATAAACACACCATGTCTCACTACGTTCACGAGCTTCGCTTCGGTCCCCAGCTTCCTGCTGAGCTTGCGGACCGCTGGCAGTGGACTGACCACCACCACACTAACCCGCTTGACGATACCAAGCAAGAGACCGACGAGCCTGCGTACAACTTCATGTACTTTGTCAAGGTGGTTTCCACCTCATACCTGCCCTTGGGATGGGATCCCCTCTTCTCAGCCTCTATCCACAGCGCCTATGACAAGGCCCCCCTGGGCTCTCACGGACTTGGATACGGCTCCCAGGGCAGTATCGAGGCGCACCAGTACTCAGTGACTTCGCACAAGCGTCCTCTCATTGGCGGTAACGATGCTGCCGACGGCCACAAGGAGCGTGTGCACGCTGGTGGTGGTATTCCCGGTGTCTTCTTCAACTATGATATCTCTCCCATGAAGGTTGTAAACCGCGAGGCTCGCCCAAAGACTTTCACTGGCTTCCTCACCGGTGTTTGTGCAATCATTGGTGGTACTCTGACAGTTGCTGCCGCTCTGGACCGCGGTCTGTATGAGGGCGCTATGCGTGTCAAGAAGATACACTCGAACTAAGTGCTATGCATTGAGAGAACGATCTAGCATTGTGCCTGGAGGGCTGGTGTTGTTGTAAGGAAGTCCCCTTGTCGTTGTTGGGGCATTTTGGATACGAAGGAAGCTGGCACTTGTGGCGTTTTTGGGATACCTTATACATGGTTTGCGATTGTTGTTCCGGATTAGGATGTACCTATTCATCTCTCCATAGCGTTGAATCTTTTACGGATTATATCTGTGGTTGCCAAGGCTGTTACCTCGCAGTCGGTCAAAATCCAGTCGGCGTAGGTTGACTGCACTAGTCTTACGGTGCTAAAGCTCAGGCATAAGTATACTACACGTTTTTATCGAAGTTGATACTTGATTGATTAGACCGTAGAAAACCTCGAGGCAGCGACATTGTACCAGTATTCTGGGAAAAGAGTTAGGGCTAAGCACCAACGGAAGCCCTCGCCTGACTGGCCCTTCGAGACTCAGTATGTCTATCACGATCAGCAGCCAACTGCTGGGCAAATTTACTCTTCGCTCTGATAGCTGGACCCTTCCAATAGAACACATAAATCGGAATCAGAACCAAAAAGCCAACGCAGCCAAGAAGTGTACTCGCCCATTGCAAGTGATACTTTGATCCCATATTCTGGTACATGGGAGTCGAATACATCGTCGCGATACCGGCGAGGAAATCTCGAGCAAATCCATTGCCGCCTGTTGCAGATGCAGAATACGGACCATATGCTGCTACCATGTAGTCGATCGTTGCCATGTAGATGGCATAATTCGCCATTGCGATCATACAGGCGAAGATACAAGGTGCAATCCAAGGGATCGGAGGACCCATTGATGTCCATGCGAAGCCGAGGAGACCAATTGGTTCTAACGGAGCGATGAAGAGGAGAAGGAGAAGACGACGCTCCGCAAGTCGACTTGCTGCGCCAGACTTGCGACGCGTTTGAATCTGTCGATAGATATCCGGTAAGAAGATAAAGTAGGCGAGGACGTAGCCTATGAGAATCGAACCAAAGGTCAATCCCACAGCGAGGGTACTGAAAGACCACTGTTCAAAGACTAGCGAGAAAGACTCCGTGAAGACGAAGATAAGAGCGTCCGAGAAACCAGACAGAAGAGATAGGAAGAGAACGATAGGTTCACGAATGAACATCTCAAACGGACGGATCCAGATTCGGAGCACATCATGGACATCCAAACGAGGCGTCTTCAACTCATTCGGACCCCAGATATCCTCCCCTTCCTTCCGACGCCGCTTAGCTTCCCGATCAATAAGGATCGTCGCGCGGGTCTCAGGCACGATGACAAAGTGAATCGCCTGCGTGATAGCACCGACTATCAACTGCATCCAAAACACCCAGTGCCAATTCAGCCATTGACCAATCATACCACCAAAGAAAGGCCCAACCGTCGATCCGCCCACCGAAGAAAGCACAACATATGCAACCGCATACCCTTGATCATCAGCTTCCCACATATCGGCCGTCATACCAAGAGTAACAGAGCCACCCGCCGAGCTGAGTCCGCCCAAGACACGACAAACGACAATTGTGCCGAAGTTCGGCGCGACTGCGCACGGTATCTGCCATATATTCACTAGGAATAGCGAAAGCTGCATGATGGGCCAGCGGCCGAACTCTTCGCTCCAGGGTGCCCAGAGCTCGCAGCCAAATGCGTAGGCTACGAGAAAAACACACTGGCCGACTCGTGCGGCTTGCTCGCTTATATGGAATTCTTCGACGAGGCCTGGGACGGCGTTGGAATAGACGCCTGTGTTGAAGTTCATGGACATTTGGACTAGGAAGATGACGGTGAGAATGGTCCATTTCTTCCATGTTGGGAAGCAGAAGCCGAGTTTATCGTAGCAGTCGTCTTCTGTGAGTTCGGGCTTGCCGCTGGTATGAAGCTTGGGTTTGTCTTCATGGCTGACTTCTGAATCGGAGGCGTGTTCGGCGTGGGTATCGGCACCTCGTTCGGTCTTGGTCTTGTCTTTTTGTATTCGAGTTGCATCTTGGGGTATTGGAAGTTCGGATTTCTCGGAGGAGGAGGGGGTGGGAAGAGAAGGCATCTTCGGGGGCTTATTAGGGCTAATGTATAGATGGGAGGTTTCAAGGGTCCATGAAGAAGTGTATGCTGTATGCTGTATGGGTTTAAAATAATAGCCCAGAAAATAAAACACGACAGGAACAGGCCGTGGTTTTGGAAGATTGCAATACAAGAATCATTTATAAACAGGCGAACAGTCCGCTACAATTGGTAACCCGTTCGATATCAAAACCCATTGATCTCTAGGAACCCTGGAAGTTACATCAGTTGATATACGACTAGCCAATGATTGATGAAAGCGATGACGGAAAAGGCAAACATCAAATGAAGATAGTGAATACTTCTATATGATAGGCCACTCTACAACAAAACCTGTTCTTCCCGACGAGGGTCTCCTCAACCCGACTACGTCATCGACGTCAAAGGCCCCGGGGATTGCCTCTCCGTTGATTTTTCTCCACCAAAACACAACTGCCTATGAGGGGATGGAGATCGGACCGGGGTTAGGTGGATGCTGTCATAGAATGACCGATGGTGGGGTTGTGTAAGCCGTAGATATGAATCCACTGCAGTGGCGGCTATCACTTCCGATGCGATATACATCGACATCGGGTTATGCCCAGGTGGTCAAATGCCAAGTTATGCACGTAGAAAGCATACCTAGATAACACAATGGTATGATCCAACGCGCTTCCAAATTTCGATTACATAGTAACTCCATGCAATTATCTAAGACAGTCTATAATGAGATCATAATCTCCTGATCAAACTTGGAAAATAAAGCTTGTGGAACATCAGTATCGCCTGAATTGGTGTCAATCTAAAACTATCCATAAAGGTGCATACATATATGCATGGTTGATCTACATGCATAACACATGATGAAAGATGGTATCAAAAAAGAATGAGATGAAATAGGAGGAATGAAAAGACCCTCGATGTAATGATAGGTGAGCGAGCAAGCGGAATTGAAGGAAAACCCCCATCACGCCAATCAGAAACTCCGGTTGGATGCGTGATGCAAAAAGCGAGAAAAGAAAGAACAAGGAGTGGTATTCAAGAGAGGAAAGAAGATAGAAAGTTGTGCAAGTGAAGCCAGCAAAGTGTGGGCATGAGAAGGGATGTGTGGATGACGGTTTGGACATAATGGAAAATGATACGAGTAATAATGTGCAAGGAATGAAAAATGCATGAGTGCAAAAGGGAACGGAACGAGTGGTGAGAGCTCAGAGCAAAGGCTGCTCATTGAGCATAGTTGTAGTACCGCGAGTCTGGGGCGTGGGTCTGACTTGCTTGGTAGCTGGGGGGTGTTTGTGGTGTTTGCGGTGCCTGGGAAAGCTGGCCGTACCAAGAGGAGCGGCGGGGTTCATCGGGCCGGGTCGGCTGATTTAGAGCATCCCAAGTGTGGTTCGCCGCGGGCATATTGTACATGGATTCCTGGTGGCCCTGCTGAGGCGGATATACAGAGGCAGCCTGCTGAGGGGAGAACTGTTGCGGCGACCATGATTGCTGGTGCATCATGGCCTGCTGGTAACCCATACTATGTTGACGCTGGGCGATGGCTTGCTGAACCATCTGGTTGGACATTCCCTCTCTCATCTCGCGCTTTTCGCGTTCACGGGCGTCAATGGCCGACACGAGACCCATGGGGTTTACTTGAGTCTGCGATTTCCGGTTGTCGTTTGACATATTGAAGAATGAAGAGCCAGTCATTCGGGCAACATGCTCTTGTTCACGAGCAGATAGATGCGACGAATGGTCGTTGTGGTTTAGCATACTTTGAGCACCGCGAGATGAGGGCCGCGGGGCGTTCATGGGAGAGTGCGCACGAGCCTGGTGAGCCCAGTCCCCAGATACGGGGCGTTGGACTGTCATCGGGTTTGATGGGGTGCGGTTGTGGAGCTGCATCGGTGGGCTGGGTGCAGCCCTTTGCTGCACATACTGCTCCGGGGTAAGTCCTCCTCCCGGGGTGACCGGACGACCAGACGCCATACCAGGCTGCCACAAAACACTACGTCGGTATTCCTCTTGGCTGGAAGGTCGAGCGTTGGCCTGATCCATCTGATGGGTAGGAATAGAAAGCTTGGTCCCAGCCGAGTCTTTTCGCTGGTGGTTCTTGAGGGTGTCGGATGTGTTCGGGCGCCCAGTAGTAGGCATGTAGGTCATGGTTGGACCAAAGTCCACATTAGGGATGTCGGGGTTGGAGGTTGGCGGCTTGTCCATGGTATAATGAGCATCGCCAATGACGAGATCTTTAGTCGCCGGAACTCCAACTGTCTTTTTAACACCCATTCTAGGCTTCGTAGACGCAACAGACTTCTTGCTGTAGACAGACTCGTGAGTGCTAGCATAGTCGGGTGAGACGGTGGATGCATTGTCGTAAACACTCTCATCGTCATTTCGGTTCGGCGAGATTGGCGAGGGAAGAGATGAGGCATGGGGAGCAATTGAATTGAGGACATCCTCATCAAGTGTGTGGCGGAGATCATCGTAGCTCGGCTCATCGTGCTCACCCGGGGACCCGAACAAATCTCGCTGTGGAAGTGGCTTGCGTCGCACAGACTTGACAGGGTCCATTCCCATCCGCTGAGGGGATGGTTGCTGGGGAGAATTGCGTTCACGGATTTGCTGCGCTGACAAACTACCTGAACTGCTGGGTGTGTTTGGGCGATGCTCTGGCACCGTGGGAGGCCGGACCGGGAGCGCTAGTGCAACACCCTCGTCGCTTGATGAATTTGCCTCAGAGTTGGAGGATGTCCCAGGACCATAGTAGACACCGTTGATGCTCCTTCCTTGTGGTTTCTGATCGTTGTTGGCTTCCTGCTGCTGCTGTTGCTGGCGTTTCCATGCTGCGCCAGCGGCTGCCGCACCCAGTCCCATTGTACCAACCGAAGTAAGCTGGGAGAGAGTACCATGAGACATGCGGTTGTTTGCCAGCCTCTGTTCCGATGATGCTTGCGGGCGGATGGCGGGCATCTCTTTAGGCCCATGTGAGAAGTCAGGCGGGTTTGAAACAGGAGCTGGGGGTGTTCGCGGGGGGAGGTGTTCTTGAACAGGCGGGCCTTGCACGTTTTCGAGGCTAGGGTCGCTTTCGGAATCAGAACTCTCTGCGATAGGAGCCACCGCGGGAGCCCCGCGATGAGCCAGATCCTGCGAAGATGAGCCAGGCGAATCTTCTGCGGGAATTCCGTTTCCATATTTGGGTCTAGAATTGAATCCCGTGGTATCAGAAACTACGCGATTGTGATAAGCAAGCGGCGAACCATCGTTCCTCGGGACTTCGTGGATGATAGCTTCGGCGGAATTGCTGAATTGTGGCTTGCTCTCAATGCCAGCGAATGGGCGACGGGCAGGATCGATAGGAACGTCACTGTTGCGTCCAGACATGGAACGATAACGGGGTCGCGCGCTGTTGACGCTGTCGCTCCGACTCCGTCCAGATGATATCCGGCGCTGTGTAGCTTCTTTCAATTGCTTTCTCCACTGAGCTTCGTTCCACTCTTGGCTTCCAGGGGTTTGAAGAAGATTGGCGATGTCCAAAACATCAAGGTATCCGTAACGCCGCTCCTTGGGGAAGGCGAACATAATGCTCTTGATGTGATTAGTATCAGCAACCAGGCGCGTAGGGCGGCCGTAGAGATTGAAGGTGTCGAATGTGGGGAAAAGGAAACGCAGCATCATCTCGAATCCAGAAACTCCGGCATGCGGCTCGGGCATAATGAAGACGATCCCTTCCGAGGAAGATTCAGGCATGTGGGTTGTGATTCGTCCTTCCATTTTCACCAGGGTTGATGCCTCGATCAATGCCTTGGATTGTGGATAGATTGCATGTGCCGAGAACACCTGGGTGACAGTAGCGATAGGGATCGCCTTTTTGGTCTTCTTTGTCTCGTAAAACCTGATGTTGCCAGTGACCGGGATAGACAAGCGGTCGTAAGCCGATTTTTTCATAAGCTTCCGCGCCTTTTGAAGCTCCTTCTCGTCGGGTGGACTGATCACAAACCAGCATCGTCTCCACGGAGTTCCCGCTCCGAATCGCACGCGCGCCCAGTCCTCATATCGGAATTTGGTGGGTGCGAGAATGGAGTTGATGCCGTTGAGATACTTGCCCTTTGCCGCAACCAGGGAGCCCGTGTACGCTTCGTACAGAGACGTGTGCTCGTACATGGCGAGGCGAATGGCTGCGGTCCATTGGATTAGGGAGTGGAAAGAGTTAAAATGCAACAAGTACCGGTTCTTGCCTGCTGATGACAAGCTCAGTACATTCTTCAATGGTTGTACAGCACCATTCTGAATCGGCAGAGTTTCGATCTATCGCGAGTAACTGGGTAAGTTGAAGCTCACATGTTCGAGGGCAAGTCAAGCCTTACCATCTTAAGGGACGCATCAGCCAGGTTGATAAAGGTCGCCGGGACCTCTCCTCCGCCCGCTGCGTCCAGCGCAGCGCTGTCCCATAGCGAAAGAACGGTTCCCACTAGCTGTGCATAGCATTCCAACCATTGTCGGTCACCACAGGCTCGCCCATCTGCGCATGTTAGCTTTAGCTTGTGAGCGCAACACAAGGAGGCTCGGTCGACCTACGAGTGTCCAAATCGTTCAATTTCAAGAAGTACCCCTCCTGGTAGACCTTGTTTGTGTGGATGTTCAGAAACGAGAAGATTGGCGACAGTTCGGGCGGGGTGTCGCCCGCTTGCTGCATAAGCGGCGGATTGCGGGAGAAGCTCATTGAAGCCGGTCGCGAGCCATTGCCCTCTCTCGGCCCAGCGCTCACGGGGGACAGTTCGGTGGGTGGGGACGGTGTTTCGGGGGAGGCGTTTGCCACCGCGGTGGTGTATCGGCCGGAGTCCCGTTCACCGGCGTAACGTTGCTCGAGGACTTTCTGCTTTCCTTGCTAGAGTCACTTTTCCCCCAGCTGGAAATGAACGAGCGGACTGGCAGGGTAAGTCAGTAAGAGGCGCTAGCGGCATATCCGGCGATCCCGGAGAGAAAGGAAACTCACCACGCGAACGACCCATGACGTCGGAGGGTAAGAGATCACCGGACAAATCTCTTGACTTTGTCGGAAGAGACGGGTGATCTAGACTGTGAAACGGCTTAGGAGACGGAGGCGGGTTTAAAAGGAAACCGAGTCGATTGGGGCTGAACGAGTGACTGTCAAACTGGCGACTGCTGCGCCTGGAGCAAAATCGGCGAGAAAGAATTTAATCCATAGGAAACACAAGGGTGACCCCGGGGAATTAAAAAATGGACGGAGATTAGGAATGAGAGCTCCGCCAAGGATGACGTTTACAGGATGCACCTGTCCTAATCACCAGGATTAGAGGGTTCTCTGTGAAATGCAGAGAATAGGAGGAGGGTCTAGGGAAAGCGAGTGTATCAGAGAGGGGAGAGGAAGAAAGAGAGAAGAGGATTGAGTAAAAAGAGAAACGAAACAGGAATGAGGCGGGCTTTGGACCGTGGGTCTTGGGTAGGCCCGAAGGCATATACTCTCTGCTAATGCCCATTCCTCGCCAAGCCAATAACTGATTTTATTTTTACATTTTCGGCATTTTACGTTTTGCATAGCATATTTTAGCACGACATTCTACTCCGTACAGTCACACGGAGTTGTATACCTGTCTGAGATTGACTGAGACAAAGGCAACTTTTAAGAGCTTTGGCGTCATCCCGGTCTTGGATCGTCGGTGGAGCGGCAACACTATAAGTAGACTATACACCGTATACTCCGTACTCCGTACATTGCTCCTTTTCATTCTTTCTACTCCATACTTATTTAACTGCCTAGTTCATACCTACTAGTTCATATCTGCCGAACTATCCCCTGAGCCCCCTATCCCCTTATTGTCGGAGTACCCCGTGCACCAAGTGGCCAAAGTGTCTCCGCCACAGGCTAAATTTGGGCGCTTGAACCAAGCTGGATGCAGCCCGGAACCGACTTGGCGGGTTGGCGTGAACTGTGGCCACACGTTGCCTTGCGGGTCCAACGGACGCGTACTCCTAAATCCCTCCAACGCTCTTCCTTGGTTTACCCCGCTAACACTCTATCCTTGGAAGAGACAAGTTCGGGCACTACGAATCAATACCCTCGAAGCGAAGACCCTTATTATGACCTGGGTACGACTACGGAGTATCAGCCACACCGTAACACGTGAACTTGGGTACCTAAGCAGTCACTCAGAGCCCAAGAATCGAGGTACTGAGACTGCAGCTTTGGACAGATCTCAAATGGATCTACTTATAGCTTGCATGAGATCAGCGCTCCAGATCAGACCCATCACGTCATACATCGTATCCGAGACGCAGATCGCACATGTGCCGGAGATCCTAGTGAGTACTTTATTCTTTAGCTATCAGTCCTCTGTACGTTGTAGGTGCAAAATAAGATAGTGAATGACATGCCCCCATTCCATGGTCCTTCCATCGCCTATTCCTCTTTGAGTTAAGGTTATCGTTCCCTTTTTTTCAACTCAACTTTATCTTTCTTAATTAGACAAATTAGAGACCTGCATGTCTCATTGATGTTTGAGGGTCTTTTTCATAGCCTACTAACCTACTAATTATCAAAATCTAGCCAGAATCCCTGGTTTAAAGAACTCATCTTCCGCTGCAAGGGAACAGAAAGAAAGAGAAAGAAGAAAACCCCCCTACAGTATGCCACTTACAGAGCTCGATATCTGCACACCCGACTCAGCCCTATCCCATGCACAGGAAATGGTTCTGGCCTGCTGACAGTGTACGGAGTACTCCGTACATGTAGGAACATGCATTCTCCGTGCACTGGCCAGGTCACACTGCCGGGAAATCCACTTAGGAAGGAGCGAGTCTTTCAAAGTATTCTCACGCTAACTCAAGCCAGCATAGTTTAATCCAGTCAACGTCGATGTCAACGTTGAACAATGCCAAGTCATAGATCTCACGGTGCACAGACTATTTGCACCGCATAGTAATTCATAGTCTGTCGTCCTTGTACCTCAGAGCCCAAGAGTCCTCAGGATTCGCAAAAAAGACCGACCTCGGGAGGAATGAGGTACCTTCTTTACACCCAGAGCCCACTAAAGATCCTCTCTACTTCTACCAAGACCTACTCGATGTCTCTTGTGGTGGCAAATCATGTTGGAAAGACCGAATAGTTTCATTTTAGTTTGTACCTTCAAAACGCTCAATGTTCGTTAAAGTCGTGAAAATAGTCTTGATCACTCTTCCATGTTCATGGAGTAAGAGAGAACAGGATCGATGAATGCCATTCCATCATGGCTGGGTATCATAGAATCAATGTTCCCGGGGCCGCTCGCATCCGGGATATCTTGCATCAGATAGTCAGCGTTCAGGCCCTGCGCAGTGGGCAAATGAAGCGAGTCGTTGGACTGAGATCCATGAGCAACATCCGAGGAGCCATCTCCTTGATTGTATAGTGGGTGACCATACTGCTCATCCTGGTCGAGCCCAAGACCATACATGCCGAGAGAGTTGCCTGCAGCCGAGTCGTCGGCCATTAAAGCCCGATGCAGGAAAAGATTCTCAACATTCTCTTGCTCGAGTCCGTGCTTGGTAGTCATGTGGACCCACAGATCATAGTCGCGATGGAAACGATGGGAGCACGTTTCTAAAAAGCATGCGATTTGTCTTCCTGAGTCTTCGACGTAACCCTGACCCGTCAGAGCGGACAGGGTGGTGACAGAGCCATTTTGTTGCTGGGACTTCCTTTCCAGGCCGAGTCGCTCGCGCCGCATCGACTTGAGGTTCTTGAGACCCATGTGGTGAGTCCGGATGTGGTCTTCCAGTGCAAGCTTGCTGCCGTAACGGCTGCCACAACCAATGCCGTCCCAACCTTCAACTTTTTTGGAGCTGGATAGGTCTGCTTCACCGCAGACGAATCGTTTTTCGCCCTCGTGAACGGTGCGGATGTGAACATTTAGGTTTCCTAGTCGGGTGAAGCTGCGACCGCAGCCGTTGAAATTGCAAGGGAACACTTTTCGGTCCTCGAGGCTGACATCTCCATGAGCTACCTCAAGATGGCGCCGCAGCTCACGAGATGTAGAGCACACAAGTGGGCATTGGGGGCACTGGGGAGGGTGAACGGTGCGAATGTGATCTTGAAGAGAAGCGTAGCTAGGGAACGAGAAGTCTTGGCTGGCATCGTCGTCTTGCTGTCCGATGCCAGATTGCTGTTCTGCGTGACTCTCAGCGCACTCCACGCAGGTAAACCGTTTCTCGGAATGGACCCGACTCTCGTGGTTACGTAGATTACCGGCGGTGTCAAAAGCCATTTCACATTTTTCGCCTGTAGCTGGGTGTAACTTGGTACACGGAAAGGGTTTCAAGTTTTTGTGCACAGTTGTAATATGCTTCTGCAGAGTAGAATGCTTGCGGAATGTTTCGTTGCAAGGCGGATACTCGGTGCAGCGGTGCTGGTCCCTGCCATCGTGGGCGGCCAAGTGACGACGGAGTCGTGACCCATTCACAAAACTCTTTGTACATCCAGGTCGGTCGCAAGGGTAGTCTCGGATATTGCTGTGGGCGCTTTTGACGTGGTGTGCCAGATGGGAAGGTCGTAAGAACGACTTCTCGCAGCCCTCGAATTCACAGTTGAATATTCTTTCGTTGTTGTGCGATCGGATGTGCTCTTGGAGTCGGGCCGGACGGTTGAAAGCTTTATCACAGCCCTCGAATGGGCAGCGGATGGTCTTGAGTTCTGACGGGTACCGAGAAGAGGTGGTTGACATGGGCGTTGCCGGGGTGTCTTGCATTTCATGGCTCATTACACTGGGAGAGACTCGAGCCGAGTGCTCAGCATCGCCGCCATCGTCGGAGTGAACATATTCGTCTACCGAGCCTAAGTCTGAAGGTGTCAGCGGATTTATCGCTTTATCGGCTGTTATCTGGAGATTAGACTCACCAATGTTGTCTTCAGCATGTTGCTTTTGAAGTCGTTTTGAAATTGACGCCCCGTCAGACGGGGCCTTTCTCTTCAAAGCCATGACATAAAATCCCCAGAGGGATAAGCAGGAACGAGAAGCAGACCCTCAGAGAGGAAGAGTAGATTTGGGTGGTGCCCAAGACTATTTTTTTATTCTGCCGAGAGAGCGGTGAGGAAGACGACGAGAGGAAGTTTTTCCGCTCCAAGAGATTTTGCATCAATCCCACCCCAGTATCCGACTCGCCCCTCTCACACCTCCGGGTCTTTCATCGCTCGCTCCGGTTCACACGTCTTTCGCTCCTTCAAAAGCTTACCAGCCACAATGTCTGACTACGGCAACGACGACGTTGAAGAGAAGTAAGAGCTACCTCCCTCCGCACTCGATTTGAGCAAGCAATGGGCGCAAAGAAGCTTTTCTCCGTGTCTTGTCCCCAATTACCTGCCCATTATGTGCGCATGTATTCCAACAAACATGTTTTCTAATGTGATTGCGTGCGCAGCTTCGACTACGAGCCCGGCGAGGATGTCTTCGATGAGCCGGAGGAACAGGAGGCTCTTGAAGGCGAAGACCACATGGAGGGGGATGACTACAACCCCACTGCCAATGGCGAGAACGTTGTCGTCTCAGGCGACCCCAATGCCGGATACTCAGGAAAGGTCATGGAACAGTCTCGCGAGAAGAAGGTTCCCAACGACCAGCGCACCACTACCCCATACTTGACCAAGTACGAGCGCGCGCGTGTCCTGGGTACCCGTGCCCTCCAGATCAGGTATGATTCCAGCGCATTGGATTGCACATCTATATCACTTTTGCGCACTTCGGGTTTAACACCTATCGCAGTATGAACGCGCCCGTCCTTGTCGACCTCGAGGGTGAAACCGATCCCCTGCAGATCGCCATGAAGGAGCTGAACCAGAAGAAGATCCCTCTCATCATTCGCCGCTACCTTCCTGACGGATGGTAAGCATATATACCTGTCGGACATGAAAGACCACCGCTAACAATTGACTGCAGGTATGAGGACTGGACTTGCGAGGAACTCCTCTAATGGACACCCGAAGCCTTGAATGTTCTGTGGGCCCGTTTTATGGGTTTTGCTTTCCGGGTTTCAAGCATAGCGTATGGAGTTATGGGATTCGAAGAAACCGTCACAAAAAGAGCGACTAGGACGTGGATGGACGTGAAATCATGGACCAGGCCTTGTACATCAACCTAGAAACAAAAAAGATAAATAATATGACGCTTCCAATATGCCAATGCAGAGTATTTTGTACGGAGTACAGAGTACAGCGTAAGGAAATGATGAAAGACAAAGGTCGAAGGAGTCAGGCAGTGTCATGCAGGCAGAACATGCAAACCACGTGTAAAGTGGAATGCCAGTTATTTCCGAGCTTGGACATCTCCAGGACTACAATCGATGAACACCATCGACATCGTCTCGACATTTCCCAAGTCTCAAAGATGGAAACATACATTTCTAGTCAGCTTCGTCACAAAATCCAGAGCCATCCCGACATTTACAGATCCTCAGATGACTCAAGTCAAGTCCGTTCGCCTGGATAACCGGCACAGCAGTGGATGATCATTGGACATCTACACAGTGCGCTTAAAACCCACTTACCCCAAGGATACTGCGAGTGGATCTTTCCCCTCGGCCTCTTCCGCCCCTTCACGGCCATGGCCCCGCTTGCTTCGGGGTTTATAAGCAACTCCGGCTTTGGAAAGAAAAAAAAAGCCGGTCTCGATTTGACTCAATTTCTTGACCATCTGCACCATTGCACGGCTCCCAGCTAACCCTGTCTTTTGTCTTCACCCGTGAGAGGCCTTTTGCGCGACCATCATCGGTCCGATACCTGCGCGAATCGGAATATGGGGTCGACTAATGCGGATGTAGAAAAGGTCTTGGCTGAACCACTTCAAGATGAAAACCACTCAACGAATCTGTCGAATGATGTCCATGAGAAAGAGCCGGAACCAGAATTCGACACAGGGTTAACGACATGGCTGCAATGCCTGGGGTCATTCTTTCTTTTCTTTAATTCATGGTATGACTCCCTGCTCGACTGATCGCAAGACTTGGCTAACCATGATACAACAGGGGCGTCATCAACACATGGGGTGCGTACCAAACCTATTATGAGCAAGAGCTGCTCGTAGGCACCTCATCGTCTACTATTGCCTGGATCGGATCCCTGCAATCTTTTCTGTTGATGATGATTGGAGTCATCACCGGGCCATTGTTTGATGCAGGCTACTTTCGAGCCCTCATCAGCTTCGCTGCCTTCCTGTTACCATTTGGCTTGATGATGACTAGTCTTGCCACCAAATATTGGCAACTTATCCTTTCCCAGGGTGTCTGCATCGGACTCGCAGCAGGCTGTCTCTTCGTGCCTTCGGTCGCCATTCTCCCCCAATACTTCCGCGCCAAGAGAGGACTAGCCAACGGGTTGGCTGCCAGCGGTAGCAGCATTGGCGGTGTTGTCTATCCCATCATGTTTGATCAATTGCAGAAGAAGGTCGGTTTTGCCTGGGCCACTCGGGCTCTTGGGTTCGTCTGCTTTGGAACCATCTGCATATCAGTCAGTATCATGCGTCAGCGATTCCAACCTAAGGAAAAGCGCAAGCTCGTTCAACTATCTGCATTGAAAGAGCCAGCTTTTACCACTTTCGCCATCGGTATGTTTATGGGCTTCTTGGGCTTCTACAATTTCCTCTTTTACGTGCAGTCCTACGCCATCGAAACCGGTATTGTGGATTCGAACTTGGGCTTTTACCTATTGTCTATGCTGAATGCCGCTTCGACATTCGGCCGTATTGCTCCCAACTTCCTTGCTGATCATGTTGGACCTATCAATATGCTCACGCCCGCCGTGGCCATCACTGCCATCTTGGCCTTCGTCTGGATCCGTGTCCACACTGTCCCGGGGATCATCATCCTAGCCATCTTCTACGGCTTCTTCTCCGGTGGCTTTGTCTCTCTGCCGCCAGTGGTTATGGCAAGCATGACACCAGACGTGCGCAATCTGGGTACACGTCTAGGCATGGTTTTTGCAATCGTCTCTATTGGTCTGCTCATCGGTACGCCCATCGGTGGTGCCATCTTGGCCAAGACGAATCAATTCATTGGAGTGCAGCTGTTTACTGCATGCTGTCTTATCACGTCTGCTGTTCTCATGGTGATTGTGAGGCTATTGCGTACAGGATTCAAGTTCCACGTCAAGGCCTGAATGGCTTGTTGCATTGGTTTCAGCTTGCATATTACATGCTCGGTTTTTTGAGAGCCGGCCACAAAACGCCCCATGACTGCATCCCAAAGGCCGTTCTCTTGTAATGAGCTACTCTATGTCGCTGGGATACCACCGGCTATATGCCTACTATCTCAGTAGAGCTACTTTGACCCAGCGTCTGGCATCATCTTCGCTGACAGACAAAACTCGCAGCATATCTGGGCTATGTCACGCTGTACATACATCAAATCAAAAATATGATTCCCGAAGATAACATGCTAGCCCATCTTCTGCGAAACTCTGATGTTGCTCATCCCGCAGAGTGTGCAAGAGACACGATTGATATGGTAGTCCAGTATGTTTCTCGGCAGTCTTCCAAGGCTCTGTCACCTAAGCCCCAATCTTATAATAGAGCCCCAGGTGGCATGTATACAGAGGTCGAATCAAACCAACTACCTGGCGGCCGCAAAAGCAACAGTGGTTGCAGCTACTGTGGGGCTTCCAGCCCTGGAGGTGTGTCTTCCAGCTTGTTTGGTCTAAACTTAGAACGGACGGCCTAAACAAGACTGCAATTCATCTCGGGAGGCTGTAGCATCATGCTTTCAATGCTTCTCAAATCTGGTTTTACAACGGCTCGTTGTGAAATGGTCTCAAGTGTGGTAGTTGTTGACCTTCACAATCAGGTAATAGGGAACAGGAGTATGAGTGGATGTAACTATCAGAAAAGAGGGCAATCCATGGATATGCCCGATTCAATGATAAATTGGTACTGAATAACGGCTACTAGATTAGCTCAATGGGCTTTTATTGCTTATAGATAGAAACCTCCGGACAGAAGCCCATAAAACTTTGGAAAAAACTCCGCAAAACATGATCATGCTCTCATATCATAATAGAAAAGGATGTTACATCACATCCTCAGGCCCAACAGGGAAATTCTCCCCGTCTTCTCGCACGTGCTCGAGCTTCTTATCCCGACTGCACGGCTTGCGCATATCGAATGCATCTTCCCCAGAGTCAGACATTCCGGACGGATCGTCACTGTAATAATTCACCACTCGTCGGAATACAGAGTATCTGTGATTGAGCAAGTCAGCCAGCATTCCAGATCCAAACCCACGTGCAAAACTTACCCCATGCCCTTGTACATATCGTACGCAACCTTATTTCCAGCCCGCACGTATAGATCCACGAACCAGGCATCATTGCTGTCTGATCCACGCTCCAATTGCTCGGTCAGCTTGCGTGCGAGTCCTTGTCTCCGCCAGGCCGGCGCAACGGTCAGCACGGTGATGTGTCCGTGCCATGGGGTGTAGTGTTCTGAGTGTCGCATGGACGGGTGTTGTTCTTCTAGCTTTCCCATGACTTGGGTGGATATTAGCTATGTGATCTGGATGAGGCAATAGTATGAAAGTACGTACTATAGCCCACGACGCCAGCATCACGGTCTTTCACGGTGTTGAAGAGTGAGGGCCATTTGTTCAGGTAATTGAGGTAGAAGCCGAGGTCATAGTTCTCTGTCAAGGGATCGAGGTTGGTTTGGTTTAGTCTGAGCAGGTCCAAGGGGGACATGCGCTCGATCGAAGTCATTTTGAATCAGCAATATCCTCTTGTGTACGGAGATGCAATCATCAAGTGGGGGAAAGCTTTCCTTTTTTTGCCGGCGGCGGTGAAAGCAGTCAATATACGGAGAAGTAACCCCACCTGCATATCCATAGCTCCTTTGAGAAGAAGTCTTTCTTTCTTTTCGTTGAGCTCGTTTCTTTCTCTCTGCCTTGTCTCATCTGTCTGTTGATATCATACCTGCCAGCATCCGCGCCAAACTGCGACATTGACTCGCTTCGGAGATACTGACCCATCCAATTGAAACCAAAACAACACATCCTTCGCCTGTAGCTGGACTCAGACGTGTTCCTTGTTGCTACATATATTGCCACTACCCCGAAGTAGTCATACTTGCTCGATCAATCACATTTGCAAAAGTCCTGTGCGATTTCTCCGCATACAATGCCTGCCCCTCCGTCTCCCCTGAAACTCTCACACCGCTATCGATCATCAATCGACGATTCACCAGTTTCCCCTGGAACAACGGGAAATGGCTTTGCACTAGCCAGTCCCCGCTCACCACAGACACCTCGTCTCTCAGCTCCCCCGTCGCCCATCACCTCCCGTAACAATTCCACCGCAATGAGCGGGAACCGCGACTCCGGGGATTTCACCGGCGCCGAAGGCGGAGGCCTGGGGAACCTGGCGGATGAACTAGCCGATGCCTGGGAAGAGGATGAAGACGGGTACGGGTACGCATCCGGTCAGGAAATGAGCCGTGCAGGATCACAGCAGCTAGGCCAGAGCGACGGGGAAGATGCATACCTGCAATCAGTGCGTGGGATGCGCACGCGGTCACCGTCCGTCTCGCCAGAAAGAGAATCTCTCCACCCGTCCAGGAATAAGAATCGCACAAACCATCTGCGACAGCACCGCCGGCAGGAGTCGCAGTACGATGGTTCGGACTATGGGCCTGATTCGGATTTCGACGAGGCGGCTGATATGTCCCCCGCACTGGAGAATCAGATGGCTGAGATTGAAAGTCTGGTGCGACGTGGGATAGAGAACAATGGAAGTGAGAATGATCGCGTTATTCAGCGGACAGTCGACTCGCTGAAGGATCTTGGCGGACAGAGTGGAATTGAAAATAGCGCTATGAGGTACGTCGGTTCTATGCAAGATGGTAGGAGCGGTATACAGATCACTAACGTCGATGCAGACTTATTACCGCCCATTCTTCAATCACGTCGCATCTGACACATCAAACTCGCACACTACAATCACTCATTCATCCTCTCTTGTTCTCTCCATTCCCCCTCCTCTCGGAGGACGCCATTGACTCTCTCATGCCTCTTATTGATGAAGGCCTATTACCAAATCTCCCTTACCCATTCCCTGACCAGCCCCGCCATGGCTCTAGGCCAGCTACACCGCAAACATCCGCCCACAACCCTCTCACATCTCTTCAATCCCTCATCTCTCAAACCACCGAAATCACCCAGCTACTTCGCGGGCTCAGCGATACACTCTACGAGTCACGGCAACTGACCTCAACCGCTTCAAGGCGGCTCCGGTCTGCACGTGAACTTGTCGCTGACATCCGACGGGAAGAAGAGAGCCGTGAGGAAGGATCCCGGTGGATTGAGAGAGGTGAATGGGACCGCCGACTCAAGGACCGAGAGGCAGGTAAGGTCTGTGGTGATGTAGTCAGTGGCTTTGAGGCTGTCTGTGGGGAGTGGCGGGAGAAGCTGTTTGGGGCTAACGCCGAGGTTGCTGCTGCGTGAGATAATACTGATGTTTACGATGGGTGTTTGCTGTCATTTCCTGGAATTCTAGATTGCCTTGTTTTGTCATTATTTTTTTCTTCTGTCAGATATCCATATTGATTTTTGTTGGGCTGTCAATGAAGGCCCATGTTTATACTTATACTGAGATTTCACAAGTTATATAGCTACAAGCTCAAGATTATGATACTGATTCAATTTCTGAAATTGTTAAGAGTGGCATGGAGATGGCCCAGGGTATACGCCGTTCCAAAGCCCTAATTATCATATGCCAAGACATACATATGGCATAGACAATGTTGCAAAAACACTATGACACTCGCCTTCGCATGGGCTTCGACCGACGCATGATCATGAAGATGGTGCTTGTCCAAGGCATTACGCTGAAGGTGCAGAGAAATAAATGAGAAGGTACCAATTTCAGATTAAAAACCTGACAATCTATATAGCATCCCAACCACGGCATGAGGGATAACACCATGAGATCAAGACACCAAGGAACGAGCATGACACTGGCATCAAAGACGGCAAAAATCGCCATCTATCCGTTGAACAGAGAATAAATTAGAGACATCGAAACGCAAAAGAAAAACATAGACCATAAGGCCCCATGGGGTCAATGATACAAAGATGCAGAAAGGGTCATGAGAACAGCGCCAAATAGAAAAGAGCTTCGATACACTTTTTGAATGGGAAAATCATAGCTATAAACTCGTGACCCGGTCGTTTACGACTGCTGCTTCCACTTGGGAACCCACTTGCCGCCAGAGGCAGGCTTGGATTCCTCGGAGTTGGAGGCGGCAGGGGGCTGGGAAGCGGGCTCACGGGCTTGACGGGGAGCCCAGCGCTCAGTGGGGGCTTCGCGGGGCTCACCGCGGGGTTCGCGAGGGGCCCAGCGCTCGGTGGGAGCCTCACGGGGGGCAGGGGGGAGGAGGGGCGGATCCAGAGGCACCGGAGGCACCGGCGCGCAAGTGGGGGAGGAACGTATCCACCACCGATCTTGCGAGCAGGGGCGGGCTCCTCGCGGGCGGGGGCGGGAGCGGCTTCACCACCGGCTTCCTTGGCGGCTTGACGGTCTCTCCAGGTTGAGGGGGCACCACCGGTACGGGAGGCGAGGTTGAGTCTGGGGCGTTCGCTGCTTTCTCCGAATCCACCCTTGCGAGCAGCAAGACGGGCTTCGGCCTCCTCCTCTCGCTGTCGCTGCTTGATGGCCATCTCGTCCATTTTACTATTTGCATTGTTAGCGGGATCGATTGTGATAATAGAGCAGGGGAATACTAACGATCGCTCTTCGTCGCGCTTGGCCTTCTCCTCGATGAGGATACGACGGCGCTCCTCCTCACGGGCAGTGCGTTCTTGTTCTTCGCGCTGCTGGCGCTCCTCTTCCTCCCGTTGCTGACGCTCGTGCTCTTCGCGCTCTTCCTTCTCGCGGCGGCGGCGCTCCTGGACATCCTTGATGCGCTGCTTCTTCTTGGCCTCGAAGTCACGCTCGGCAGCCTTGCGGCGCTTCTCGAACTCCTCGTGACGCTTCTCGGAAACCTCCTTGCGGAACTGGGAGAAGGGAGAGATCATACGACCGAGACGGGTCTTGAGGGCGACAGCCTCAACGTGCTTCTCCTTGTGCTCCGCGAGGAACATAGCGTTGTGCTTCTCGTAAAGCTCACGGTCAACCTTCTTCTGGGCCTCGTAGTCAGCAGAGACGTGCTTCAATTCCTCGCGACGGAAGGCACGCTCCAAGTGATCGATACGCTTGGCGGTTGTGCGGACGCGGTCGTTCAATTCGTTCTTCTCCTTCTCGAGCTGGGCCAGCTTCATAGCACGCAGGCGGTTGGCATCCAACTCATCAAGATCGAGCTCACTGATATCAATACCCTTGACTCCGGTCTTGAGCTCCTCGATCTGCTTCTTAAGCTCCTCCTGGCGGATGCGATCCTGCTCATCCTTGATGCGCTTGAGCTCACGATCACGCTGCTCGTCAGCAAGACGCTGCTTCTCAGCCTCCTGGAGCTGGTGGGCACGCTGGCGCTTGCGGGTCTCCTCCTCGCGCTGCTTGCGCTGCAAAGCATCGGTGGCAGCCTCCTTCTTCTTGTCGATAAGGACGCGGCGAGCCAGAGTCTCCTCGTGCTCCTGGGCGGCACCAGCAAGGGCGCGAGCCTGGGCGGTCTGCTTGGCCTGAATGCGAGCCTCGTTGTACGAGGGGTCAACGTACATGCAAGAGACGTGAAGGGTCTTGGCAAGACGGGCAACCTGGAAGCGGGCAATCTCGGCAGGGGTGTTCTGCAGACGCTGCACGGATCCAGCTTCGCTCTCGGCGGAACCAGCGCCACTGCCAGCGTGCATGGCCTTGGAGGAAGAGAAGATGTCGGAGTCGAAGGTCAGAACGCCCGAGATGTGGTCCACGCGAATGGCGAGGTCACCCTTCTTGCAACCGTTCATGATGAACTTCTCGATCATGGCGGGGGTGATCTGGAAGGGATCGGGGAACTGGGCAAGCTCGTAGACGAACTTGAGCTCAACGGACTCGTAAACCTGGGACAGCTGCTGGAACAGACGGGTGAGGATAACCTGCTGCAGGGGCACGACGTACTTCTCCATCTCGGGATCGGCACCAATCTTGGTCAAGATGGGGGTGATCTTCTTGCAGATAGACAGAGGGTGGAAGTCGACCTCCAGGATGTTGTAGAGCTCACGGATCTCGGGGCGCACGTGGCGGAGCAGACCCTTGTTGAGGGCGTCACGGAACAGAACGGTACGGGTGGGGGAGGTGGCCATGCCGAGAAGGTTAGTAAGACGGGTGTTCTTGTTCTTGCGGGCCTCATCAACATCAACCAGCGCACCGCGGGAGCGGGAAGTGCTGATAACGGGGATGGCCAGAGCACTGAGGAAGACGAAAGAGGCGGCCTTGGACAGGCTCTCCTCGGTGACGGAGGGGTTCTCCTTCTTGGAGCTCTGGCCACTGGCCAGGGCAACGGAGGAGAGACGGAGGAGGTTGTAGTAGCGGTTGTAGGCGGCGGCGTGGAAGAGGTAGTTCTCGCTGACGAGGAAGATGCGGGCCAGCTTCTCGTAGTAGTTGGCCATCATAACGTTCTTGGCGGGGCGCTTGCTGAGGTTCAGCAGAGTGTGGATGTCCTCAATGCTGCGGAAAGCCTCTTGCCAGAGCTCCAACTCAACGGCGACGTTGAGCTGCTGGAAGCGGGTGTCGAGGTGACGCTGCAGGGTGTCGGCATCGCTCAGGTTGATGGCGTGCATCTGCGAAGAGTACTTGGCGGCATTCTGGACGTGGTTGCGGAGCAGCTCGCAGAGACGGCGGAACTCGGTCTTGCGGGTGAACTTCTGGCAGAACTTGAAAGCCTGCAGAGCGGTCGACTGGTACATAATCTCAAGACGGGCATTGTTCTTGAGGATCTCGAGGACGGTACGGTAAGTCTCCCAGAGGAACTTCAACCAAGGGGTGACAACGGCGCGGTCAGTACGGTCGCGAGACTGCTCACCGGAGACAGTGGCGAGGAGGATGGTCTCGGGGGTCTCGATGGCCTCCAGATCCTCAACGTTGGTGGAGGGAGCGGCGGACTCGAGGGACGACTGGATTTCGTCGGCCTTGGCCTGGGCCTCGGTGACCTTCTGTTCGGCGAGCTCAATGAACTTCTTGAGAACAACCTATCAAGATAATAAGAATCCTAGGTTAGTTGCTGATCGATGATTTGTCTTGACATTTCTGTCTTTTTTTTTTTTTTTTCAATGATCGACACGAACCTCGATGGTGCCAACGTTGGTGTTCTGGGCGATGTTCTTGTACTGGTAAAGACCATCCTTGGCGGCCTTGCCCTTGCGAAGATCGACGGACAGTTCAACGAACAGGAGCATCACCGGCTCCAGAGAGGCGATGGGGCTGTTGCGGGTCCGCTTAGAGGTGACATGTTCGTGGAGGACGGTCAAAGCAGCGGCGGACTGCTCGACGGCGATAAGTTCCTGAGCCCTCTGTAGAAGATATAATCATTAGTATTTGTTGATGGATCGAGTTTGCGACAGCGACGGCGAGCTCACCTTGAGGACGTTCTCAGGCTTGATATGCGGAGGAGGCGGCATGATGGGTGGATGCCCCTTTGGGAGAATAGGTCGATGGGTAAGACTGGGAGATGGAAAAAAGAAAAAAGGTCGGAGGGGCCCAGTGACACACACGGGATGTGTTTGATAATGCGTTATACCTCCACGCGAATCCCGATAACGAGGGGAAGAACACTGTGTGCGTGAAGCAACGAAAATTGGAACCCGCCGCGAGTGTTCCCACTTCGGGCTAAGCGATGGCGATCACGTGTGTGCGCGAAGCAGGTGGTATTCGTATTGAAATTTATGTATCATCGTCAGCTTTAAGCGGGGGAAATCAGCCACCACCCCCGTTATGCCGTTTCATCTCCATTGTATTTATCATCTGTCGGGGACTTTTACCTCTATTTACTCCATACTTTCTGACAGTCTATTGATGATTTATTGAATTCAATCATTATTTTCACTTGTTACAATCAACAGGATCAAGATATTTCTAGTCAAATACTCATCACTCGCAAATGCGACATTGGCTGATCCAGAGACTTGTTGTATCGTAAGATTGGCATCACATCCAGGTGCAGATGTACTCCGTGCTTGAGAGAATACAAAAGTACTCCATAAAGAGTACGGAGTATATCAAATCAATAAGATTGCAATTCTAACCACTCCGAATCCGACTATCACTCTGTACTCCATACCATCTCTACTATTACAATAGTATACCCATACATCCGAAGTGCCGGGAGCTCCGTACAGTACGGGAGTACTCCGTACTTAAACCTCTCCCCCCAGAACGTTACGTGTAAAAAAAGAAACCCACGGACCTGTCTTCTCTTTCTGCCCTCCTAATCATCTCATTCCTTTGTATCAGTTTCCTTTCCGACCTTCTTTATTGTTCCTTTTTTCCCAATTTTTCGGCGTCACGGACCCCTGAAAAACCCGGAGAACCTAATTTCTTTGCGCCCTTGAGCCGATCCAAAATCCCCCCTCTTCCCCCTTTCTCCGACTCTTTCAACCAAATCCAACCACAATGCCTGCCTACGAACTCCGATCCGGTGGCGATGTCAAGAACAAGAAGCAGAGTGTCGCCGACTTGAAATACCGTCGTTTGACCGAGCTCAATGCTCGTCTGAAGGAGGATCTGGACCGTCCCCGGGTCAAGGTCTCCGAGGCTGCTCTCTCGTGCGTCACCTTGCTTCACTTCGTGCTCTCTAGCTCAACCACTTACTCCTCAAACAGCCTCATCAGCTACTGCAATAACACTCGCGACTTCATGGTTCCCTCCGTGTGGGGACAGGTATGCGACCGCTCTCTTTCAATGGCCTGTCGCGCGCGCATCTAACATTTTCTCCTCCAGGTCGATAAGCGCGAGGACCCCTACGCTCCCCAACAGCAGGGAGGTTGCTGCACCGTCATGTAATGCACTCACGACGGAACTTACTCGCCATGATATCAGTCTCTCTCTATCTCCTTTTCCATTTCTTCTTTCCTACTTAATTCCGGACTCCTTCACGAACATCCCCCCCTGGGGACCCGACACTGCGCGCAGACAGTGAAATTATCTTGGCCTGAACGAATCGTCTGCTGGTCCTGCACGAAACCTTCCACGCCAGGGATCTTCTACGACTTCTACTCTGTCTGAGTCGCCTTTTTTGTCTCGGTCCCTTGTCCTCGCAGACAGTGCGCTTGACGACGCGCCTGTTGCACCCTTACCTATTTCATCTTCTCTGGATCGCACCATTCGCACCATTCCCCATTCTCGCTGTGTTTGTTTGGAATCGACCTTTTCTTCATCTTTATTTTCCCCCAATTTTCACTTTCTCCGATGTATCCTCTTGTTACGGGTTCTCTTCAAAAAGTCTCTCACTTCTAGGCGTGAGAGTCGGTTGCCATTCGTGTATCATAGATTCGCATGACCAATACCATACCGATCTAATCGAACCTGCGCCATTTTCTCTTAGCGATCAAAAGGCCTTGTAATTCGCTGGGCTGAAACGACCGGTCAAGATCAGCCAGAGCCATCGTTTGAGCTTTGCATGACTTAAAATTGGCAGGTCATAAGGTACTTTTTTCCTTCTGATCTGCCCACTCCACCTGTACCCAGAGGCAATACTTTGACTTGTATGTAGTATGAAGATTTGGTGCGTAAGCACAGTCACCTCACAATATCCCAAGTGGCCCCTGGAGCCCTGGAGCCCTGGAGCTAGTTGGTTACCTTGCTGAGGTCGCCGTCCCCGCTGACATCATCCACTTGTGCCCCCAGCCATCCCACCTGCGACACCTTCACCTCCGGACTCCGTAGTTGACTCTGAATACTCCGTAACATATCTTTAATTCCAACCTCAGACCCCGCTCTCATCCCAAGCCCAATATTCATACACAATTACAAACTCCCACTCCATTGACCAGCCCACCATGGCCGACCCATCCACCCAAGCAGGAAACACCGTCTTGGAACACATCAACGACCCCCGCATCACAATCAAATACTGCACCCAGTGCCGATGGATGCTCCGCGCCGCATACGTACGTTCTCTTCTGACCTATCACATCCCCACGGCCCCAAGCCTATTTCGTAACGGGGGGCCGGGCGCCAGGCACTGGCCATCCTCTATATGAACTTTAAATACTTTGATATACATATTGAAATGGGACTGACAACATCACAGTTCGCTCAAGAGCTACTCTCGACATTCAGCACTGATTTGGGCGAAGTCGCTCTGGTCCCTATGACTGGTGGTGTATTTACGGTGACGATTAGACACCATGCTGTTGTAGATGGTCAGGCATCGACGCAGGAGAGTATTCTGTGGGATCGGAAGCGGGATGGCGGGTTCCCTGGTATGTCTTGTCTCATGATCTTGATATTTGCCATTGTTATATATCCTTTTGATTATTGGTGTGGATTTTACGCGTGTTTTTCCAGGGTTGTGTTGACCGGCTAACCATGTTCGGTCAATTTATAGAAGTCAAGGCTCTTAAGTCTTTGGTTCGGAATGTTATTGCGCCTGAGAGGGACTTGGGACATACGGATCGGGCATTGAGGGCTCAGCACGGCGGTGGACTGATGAAGGCGCAGCAGGGTGAACAGAAGGAGAAAATGAAGGAAGAGGAGACCAAGGAAGAGGAGACGAAGGGGGCTCCCTGTGAAGACTGTCAATAGGATTGAGTGCGTTTGTTGATGCTGTTTTGAATCTACATAGACCATTTGCTTACATGGAGTTCGATGCTTTTTGTTTTTATACATGATCTGGAAACTACCAGCGAGTCCTTATGGAGTACTTTCATACCTCGTACTCGGATATGATATTCAAATATAACAAAGCCTCACTGTACACATCACATTCATTATCGCATAGAGCGGAAAGTCTACCTAAAAAAGCCCACGTAGGGAGAACACAAACAGAAGAATCAAACGATCATGTAGGAGGGAGAGGATATCCACGGCAATGAAAAAAAAATCAAAGCCCGATTGAAGAAAAAAGCCCGCTCCTTGGAGAAACAACGCCGCCACCGAACTCTAAGAGAGCAGTCCCGAATACCACATGGCTGAGTAAATGGGATGAAAGGAGATGTCAAGAAATGAGAAGATGGGATGAAAGAGAGAGGCAAACATGTTCGTGGTCATCAAAGGAAGAAGAAGAGGAAGAAGAAGAAAAGACGGGGGAGCCCGATGCAGAAAAGTAAAGAACAGATGTACCACCAATGCCAGTATCCGCTGAGAACGAATACAAGATAGAGCGAGACACTATCCTGCAGAGAAGAGAGGGTCAAAACAACATGCAACTCGCCTGGTCTAGTTTGGTATATCCATATCCATATCCAGACATGTTGTGCGTTTGCTTCTGCGTCTGAAACAAACCCAGACGTTCAATAGTAGTTATCATTATCAACTTCGTGGTGTCATGACCAGGAGCGCCAATGCTTTTGGAAAGAGGGTTCCAAAGCGGCTTCTTCAGCTGGTCGAGTCGTGAATTCATGGGACACCCGGATGGGCGTCGACCTCATCTCAGAATGAAACCCGGAGGCCCATGGCAGCATTATACACAGCTGGTGATGGGAAGCCCAGAGGCACCAGCTATAATAAGGAAGAAATCATGTCTCGCCGCGAACATCATGTGAATGATTGCGACGCCTCCAGAAAGCCAAACGAAGACGGCTCCGCTTCTTAGGAAGCTTGCGGCGTTCGCCATGAGAGTCGTCGGTTTGCAGACTTTCATTCCTGCCGCTCTCACCAGTAGTAGTTGACTGGGCTGAGCTTCTGGTCCCATTGGGCACCATTCTTGAAAAGTCTTTACTGGCGCCGTCTTCAGACCGAGATGTACCATGACGGTGGCCATAATGGCGGTCTGGGCTGTAGCGACCTGCAGGTTCGGATACGCCCGACGGGTACGCATCCGCTGTGCTAGGTCGTGTGCTAATGTCGTCCGGTCCCCCAAGGTCACTGTGCGCCGCACTTTCTCCAGAGATTCGCTTCTCGTCGCTACTGTCCACTGCCAAAAAGCTTGTGGCATTAGTCGCCGGAGAAATAGGCGTCATGTTATTACTGTATGTACTCTGTGTCCGAGTGCAGCTGTTGCGGTTCGATCCAGTGCGGGCAGAGGAGCTGTGGTGGGCGTGGTGACGCTGAGACCCGTGAGAAAGAGCTTGGCGGGAGCTGCTCGGTCTATCGGCCTCGGGTGCGTGGTCACGCCCCACCGTTGCCAAAGGAGTACCTGCGTTCGCAGCAGCAGAGTTATATAAAGCGGTCGCCAGGGTAGCCGGGTCATCGTTGGCAGTGGCTGGTTCGGGAACAGGGGTATGAATTTGTGTTCCGACTGACCCACGGGCGGACCTCGCGGCGCCTGGAATAGAGAAGTAAGAGAAATCTGGCATGGCACTCGATGACTTGCGAGAGGGTATTTCGTTGGCTGGGGCAAGGGGAGTTCCAGTAATCTCGATTTGTGGACCGTCAGTGTCTGGTGACACAACCGGTTGGATGGTGTTTTCGTTGTACGGGGCACTATCCGAGCCCACGTCTGTTGATGACCCAGGCGATGTGAGTTGGGCACCCGAACCATTACCATCGCCCGATTCAAAGAGCAATTTCTCGGTGTTGGTAGATCGGGATGCAGGGCTGTAGGATCTAGGCGAGACTGTGATTTCTGCCCGCTTCTCAACTGGCAGACCTTGGTTCTTCAACTGTTCGTTGGAAAGTTCCTGCCACTGAGCCTGATTGCGTCGAATATGATCGGCGGTGAACTGCAATTGGGGCAAGAGATCGGAGATCCCCTCGAAGAGAGGCAGGGCGAATATTGACATGAATCCAATCTGGCCAGTGGCGAGTTTGTAGATGTTTCCAAGCTCCGGGGGTCCACCAAACAGGGCAGTCTCCATCCCTACTTCTCTTTCCATTTCACCCTGGTTGGCAAACTCCTCTTGCAATATCAATGTCCACTTCTCTGCAACCTTCCAGGGCCGTGCCACATTGCTGATGTCGGCACATTTAATCAACAAACCACAGACCAAAGTTTTGTACATATCAACGTCTTGGGGCTTCCAGCCTTCCACGGATTTGCCATTTTCGTAGAATTTCTCTTGGAAGGAGCCCATCCGTTGCATGAATTTCTGGTGCACACCCATATCTGTCGCCAGGATCGAGCTGATGAGAAGTTTGCGCAGCTGCTTATCTTTGAATGCGGAGGGCCAGTGCCGACGAAGGATCTGGGAGAAAGCGGCGCAGTGGAACGCTTCGAGCACGGAATTGTCGTTATAAAGTTGGGCCAAGGGAGCATTCAGCTTGACCAGGAAGAAATTGTTGACACCTGGGTGGCCAACGTCATGACCAATGGCTGAAATGAGGAGAGTGAGAGCGTCGAAGGGCGAGAGGATAGATGCGACGGGGGATTCGGGGACTTCGGCCTGGCCGGCCAATGGGTAAGGAGGTAAAGCGCCAATGTGCAGCAAAAAGCAAAACACAGACTGCAGCACATCGATTGCGTGGCGGAAGTTGTGGTAAAGGACAAAGGAGTTGTATGCGGAGCGACACGCGAGGAGGAATGTCTGCAGTTCGTCAGGCGTTAACCGCCAATTGTCTAACCCGGGCATAGTGAGAGCATGTTGGATGATTTCGCAAGCACCAAACACTAGTTCGTCCTCGGTAAACTCATGCGCTGAAAATTTCCAGCTGCCAACTTGTTCTTTGATATAGGGCTCACGTGCAGGATCAACACTGATTTCAACTTCCTGGAACTCGTGTATAACCTCCTCTGGGTTGCATATTCCTTTCATAAGTTTGGATACCATGGCTTCCCTCAAATAAGAATACGGCTGTTCGTCATGAACTCCCACCCACGAAAGCTTGCGCTGTTTCCTGCGAGCCAGAAAACGGGACATCTCTCTCTGCGCTGCCTTGCGAGTGCGATAGGCATGGACCACGAGTCCTTGAATCCGCGATCGATCGAGTGGGGTGGTCAAGACATCTATAGCGCCGGCATCCAGACACCGCGCAATCTGCTTATGTTCCACGGTAAGGGGTCCTTGGGATCGTGGTGAACTGGTAGGAGCGGCGCCGGAATTCTCGGCGGATGCGTCTGAAACAGGGAGGCGCAGGATGGCGATTGGGATGACCAGGTTGGGGCCTTCTTGAACCTGTATATCATTTGAAACGCCTGACAGTAACGAGAGACCACGTGCCTCGTCAGACTGGGTTGAGAAGGTGAAAGTCCGATGAATGGAGCCTGGCGAGGGAGGGGCATTGTCAGTCCAAGAAGCACGACTGGCTTTTCGGCGCGCCAGGTTCGATTCTTCGCTGCTGAAATCTACATCAAAGAAAGCGAAGATTGGATTACAGTCGCTGCCTGCGCGATCGCTGAGTTCGGCCAGCTTCGTGGCGAAAGAGGATCCATTGTGGCAGAGGTAGACTGTCCGGAAGGGTTAGCACATGATTCTCCCAGGCATCGCAAATTGCAAACCCTACCTTGTCTGCACACCTCCAGAAGCTGCTCTACGTCCGCCTGCAGGGCTTCCGGCTCCTCAGGTGTGACGAATGAGCCCGCTGACGAGACTGTGGATTCGTCTATAGAATTCCTGCGCACCCATCGTTCCGACCGCACTCGGTCGTCGATGAAGACGCCCGAGCATTCTACGCGGTCCACCATGTTATCGGAATGGTAGGCAGCAACCCCAATCAGGCGGTTCTGCCGGAATCACAAGACTAGCAGGAAGTTAATCGGAGAGAGAAAAAGGAAACGAGCCGGTCGGGTCTATGCAGGCTCGCATGTGGCTCGGATCACGAAGTTGGGAAGGTCGGGTCTTCGGAGGAGAGGTCGTGACGAGATCGAAGGCCGAGGGGGCTTTTTTAAAGAGAAAAGGGAGAGGGAAAAAAAGTAGAGCCAGAAAAGACGAGTTGAGGGAGAATGAGATGAAAGAGAAGAAGCACAAGGGAGAGGAAAAAAACGAGCGGCCGGGCGATACGGGAGGGTCAACTCCAGGAGAGTGAAAGGAATGACGACTGGTCGAACAATGGAGTTGTTTCCTGCGGCCGAGTCGCGTTGTGGACTGGAGGTTCCGAGACACCCCCAGAGTCTGGACTGTATGCGCAGACAGAAGGAATCGCAGCGCGCCCACCCCAGAGGATGAGAGCGACACGTGAGGAATGTCGAGGACTGAAAGGGGTTCAATTGTAAGAAAATGTGGAACGTCAGTCCGACATGGCGTAGCGGTGTATCCGAACAAAGAAAAAGGAAAAAAGGGAGGTGAGGAAGAAGTCGAAGCAAAACAGCCAAAGGCCTGGAGGGGCGAACACGGGGAAGGGGCTTCTTTCCTTCTTCCAGAAGGCCTTGGGGCGGGACGGGATGATCCTCAATCTGTACTTTTGCCTATTCTCTTCTTCTCTCTCTCTCTCTCTCTCTTCCCTCTACCATTCGGGCTAATTTACTTCTTTAAAATGAACTGTATACTTATTTCCTAAGTCTTTATATTTGAGTTTCCCTCTCTTTATTTCTCTATATACCACTATTCTTTCTTCTCTTCAGACCTACTGATCGCAACCAGTGGGCCCAATGACGCCTCTCATTTTTTTTTCTTTCTAGAAGGCTGAGGTAAGCGCTTCGGTACCGCTCCAGGGCTATTCCAGGCCCTAATGGCGGAGCTATTTCTATTACGCCCAGTTCGAGTCCCATAGGTGATCAAAACCGTGAATACCGAGCTTTAATTGACCAAAAACTTTCGCTTCTTCTCGTACTCTGTAACCATCAGAAAAGAAAATGTGGACATACACGGGACATTAAGGACCAGCCGTTTGGGCCATTTGGAGCCAAATCGGCCCTTAGTGATCTCATCGCTGTGATTAGCCTCCGCTTATCCACACCTGGGCAAGTCACCTGCAGCACATTCCTGCGGGGCCCAACGCCACTGGGTTAAACTTTGTAGCCTCGACTTCTTGCGAGGTTGCAGTTCCCTGTTCAATTTAGGTATCTGATACTTCATACTTGGACAGTGCATATTCTGCAATATGCGTTATGTAATTTTGCATGGCTAAGAAGTGCGGGTCAACCATGGTTCATTCGCTGATCACGGCCTTTGCCAATCACAGAATGGCAATGATCTTCACTGCATTATACACACACATTGGGCATGTAATTATACTTGGAGCTCTTACATATAGCACTTTATATGTATAGTCAAGTTTCAAAGTACTGGAGTATAAGGTACATCATTCCCCTTCCAAGATTTACTCAAAGACACAAATAATCTTGCCCTTGGTAGTGTTGCTCTCCAGCAAATTGTGTGCCTCCTCAATCTGCTCAAACGGCAACACCTTCTCAATAAATACCTTGAAACTCCCATCCACAAACTTCGGCAACGCATGATCAACAAGCGTATCCCGAAGCTTACCCTGGTACTCCACATCCCGAGACCGAAGTGTACTACCCTCAACCCGCACGCGCTTGAACAGCAAAGGCGCAATGTTCGCTCCGTCAGGCAACTTACCACCGCCCATCAAACCAAGCAGCACCACACGGCCGTCACGAGCCGCGACATCCAAGTCTCCTTGGAAGTAGGGAGCTCCGATAAAGTCAACTGTGAGATTGACACCGCCGGCAGCGACTTTCTGGAGCTCCGACGCCCAGTCTTGGGTCTTGTAGTTGAAAGCCTTGGTCACGCCGAGCTCTTTCTCCAGGAAATCGATCTTCTCTTGGGAACCCGCAGTGGCGTAGATGGCGCTCGCACCGGCCGCCTTGGCGAGCTGGATGCCGGAGATCGAAACTGAGGAGGCACCGGCGTGCCAGAGGACGGATTGTCCGGGTTGGAAGTCACCAATGAGGAACAGAGCCTGGGAGGCTGTAATCCAGGTCTGATATTTGTTAGCAGAGTTCTGTCTATGCGCTGCTTTGAAAAGATAATTGTGGTTCTGGACTGGATGAACTCACCTCGGGGACACCAGCTGCCTCTTCCCAAGAGAGCTCCTTGGGCTTGTGAACCAGCATCTTGGTAGAGACGGCGACATACTCGGCGTAAGCACCACCGTAGGCAAGACCGAAGACTTCGTCTCCGACCTTGAAGTCTTCGTGTCCATCCGGGCCGAAGCTCTCAATGACACCGGAGAACTCAACGCCCATGGTGGCGGGTGCCTGAGGGGGAAGCGGGTAGAGACCCTCCCGCTGCAATAGGTCCATGCGGTTCAGGCCGAAGGCCCGGATCTTGACGATTGCATCTCCTTCTTTAGGAGTGGGCTTGGCAATCTGATCAACGAAGAGATTTGTGGCGGGGCCTTTGCCGCCTTTGATGCCTGCGAAACGTCAGTTTTGGTTTTTTGCAGCCAATTTTACATGGCATGATTGAATTTTTGCGTGATTTATGGTAGTTTATGGTATGATGAGCAGTCGGGTAATGGTGTTATAGTGCCAAGTCCAATGTACAATGTACAATGGTGCATGTCTTTTTGGCAATCATGATATCAGGTGGGGGATCTTCTTCAGCGCACGCGTCACGCCACTTCCACTTACCGATAGCTCGCATGGTATCACTCATTTTGAAATATGTGTACTGTCTTGAAAATACGTGCTTGAGCAAAATTTTGCAGAAGATATTTCTTATATGGTGGGGATCGACTGCTGCAGCTACTGTTACGCTGACCTCATATCATCATTTGTCAGCATATCCCGATTTACCCGTGAACTACTTGTACATCGATGAACACTCCACCACTACCAATTGGGTGCTGTTGTATAATTTACTTCTAGATAACCCTCTGAAGTAGCGGGGATTTTGAACAACAGAGCCCCTGAGGCAAGAACTGAGCAGGGTTGCCCAGGTGTAGGTAGAAGAGGTTTACAAGTACGCAGCCGAATACCTCGGCATGGTCTCAGAGGACCGAAACGGGAAGTTGAAGATGGAACAAAACAAATAGCAATGCTAATCATTTTTCTAGCCGGAAAAAAAATGGGTAATGGGAATATCAATCATCAAGTAGCTCCATGCAAACCATGTTTTTCACCATATCAACCCGCCAGCCACTCCGATAGCAGACTCCACAAAAACTTCCCTGGGTAATCAAAGACGCCGAGAAAGGAAACAAAAGGAACAAAAAAGTCAAAGTAGAGGTAGAAACAAAGCGGCAAGAGACGGCAACCAACAGACGGCAAAACCAGATCTCTTGGGCCAAAGAAAGACAAAGAAGATAAGACATCCAGAGAAACAAGGGACCCGGAGATGGGAGACCTCGTTCTAGAAATGTCGTGGCATGCATATGCAGAAGCAAATAAAACGCAAATAGAAGAAGGGATATAAGGTCACTATCATACAATTCGGTCATGGACACCGAGTCGGAGTTCCTCGTAGTTTCATTATGAGAGAAGGTTCTTCAGCGACGGGCTTGCGCTTGCCCCCGTGCCGGGGGTGCCGGCAGTACCATTGACTCCAGAAGGTCGACCGGTGCTTGGTAATCCACCCATGTGCGAAGGAGGTGTGTCTTCCGGGCGTGTTGGTGGGGTTGGTCCACGGGGATCAAGGCGTGACTGGGCCACTGGGGGCGAGTGTGAAGGGGCCCCGATGCCACGGTCGACAGAGTACATGCGAATGGGTGGGCCACCGTTTAATGCGCTGAGCGAGGTCTGCGGAGAGCGGTTCACAGTCGTTGCCTGGACGATGGGAGGGGAGGCCGAAGCAGCGTATGCGCGCGGTGGAGGCTGTGAAAGGTGCGGTGACCGCGCTGGTACGGGGCCGTAGGGGCTCTGGTGTGTAGCATAGGGCGGCGGGGGTGGAGCTGGTCCTGCGCTGGTATACTGTGGTGGCCCTGCGGGATGAGGGTGGGGGTAGTTGTTCATGTGGTGAGGTGGTGGGGGTGCCGCAGGGTAAGGAGATGGCGACATTCCATTTCGAAGACCATTTTCGGTTGCGGGACGCTGCTCATATGGCCCAGTATACGGTGGGCCCTGGATTCCAGGGTGGGCATGAGATGCGGGCATCGGCCGCCCAAGGACACCACTTGGGGGAGTAGGGTGAGGATGAGGATGCGGGTGGGGCAAGAAGCCATGTCCATGACTAGGCATTCTTGTAGTGGGGACCATTGTACGCTGCGCGGTATAAGGCGAGGGCCGAGGATCAGATGCAGGCTCGGTCACAGGTGGAGGAGGCGCTGGGTTCTTGATATGACACTTGTGGCATTCGTATACCGGGTTTTCAAGATCTCCATTGGGCTGACCAAAGCCAGAGGGGTGATGAACGTGTCCAGACCCATTGGCTATTGTCGGACGAATATCGGGTCGACGTCCGAGGGCCCACCACCTAGGACTGAAACCCGTTGCGCAGCGAACACATTTGCGGTTGGTCTCACTTTCCGGGGAAGCTGGAGGCGGCGCAACCTTGACGTCTGTATCAATGTCCATCGGATCATCAACGGGCTCATCATTCGTAGCCGAGGTTTTGGGGACATCCTTCGCGGGAGGTGGCGCAGTAATACTCGTACTCGTCGAAGTCCGGCGATGGGCAGTATGAGTGCTGGCTTGCGGAGCTCCGACGGAATTTTGCATGTATGCTGCCTTGCGAACGGTCCCAGTGAGAGTGAGATCGGCTTGCTTGTAAGTTTGGGCGAATAGCTGGAGGGCATTCATGCGATCCTGGCCTGTCTGTTCGCCAATTCCATGCAGTGCGTTCGGAACATTATGGGACGGGCAGTAGACAGCAGGAGTAGCCGCTCCAACATCCTCGCCGAGACGAATAGGTCGCACGCTGTCACGACGAGAACTCTTGATGGGAGTAACATCGAAGCCAAACCGGTAATTTGCTTGGAAAGCGCAACCAACATGGAAGTGCGCATTGCATCCAGCAAAGCTGCAAGGCAGACATGCGCCCTTATTCGACTTGCAAATCTTGCATGTCTCGCGCCACCTCTCTTTAGGGATGGAGCCGAAACCTTCGGCGGGTTCAAGCTCCTCTGCATCTCCATACTTCAACTCCGGCGTCCACAAAGTGCACAACACGTGGGCCCAGTTGTTGCCTGCGGTACGCTTCAAGGGCTCTCGAGGACCAACTGGCTTTCCAACAGCCTCTTGCCGCTGGCGATACAGCTTGATAGCCTCAGTGACCATCTCTTTCTCCATGCGCTCCTTCTCCTTATCACGCTCTGTCTTCTTCCGTGCGTTGTTCTTGGTTGTTTCCATGAGATCATGTTCAGTCCACGAGACAGGGCAAAGAACACAAGAGTAGTTTGTGGAGATCGACGGACTGCGATCATTGGAGCACATATCACACAGCCATTTGCTGCTGACGCGCGAGTCTCGCACGCCATAGCAGTTACGATGGACAGTGAGACGACAGTCCCTACATGAAAGATGCTCCTCGCCCGTCGGCTCGACCTGGTTGCAAATCGCACAAGGCAAGGTCTTGGCTTTGGGTGGGTCGGGGACGATGGGCGGAGCTTCAACCGGCTTCTCAGGAGCGGACTTCTTCTTCGGCATGGGCTCGACGGATGTTGCAGTTGAGGTTGCGGGCGTCTCCTTGGTCTTTTTCTTCGTCGGGTCGGCCTTGCCTTCCTGCAAGAGTCGAGGGTTCGCATCGAGTGGTATGCCCATTGAGCTAGCCGTGGCGGCAGTTGCGTTGTTGATCATGAACGGAGTCTCAGTGGCCACAATCAACTGCGCCAACATCTCCTCGTCAATGCGGCGACGCCATGACTTGTTGCCACTACTTGCGATCCTCTTTGCAACCTCGTCCACGTCCTCATACTGAATGCCGTACTTGCGCCATAACAAGGCACAGCGAAGACAGAGCGAGACAGTGAGCATAGGACCCTTGTCCTTCTTATTCTGGGGTTCGGAGGGAATGACGGTACCCGGGGGAACTAAAGGTGCGCGTCTCCACTGCCGTGAACTGCGGGTGGAGCAGAACTTGCAATGGAACCCGCGCTTCTGCACAACAGCTTTCTCAGAGTCAAATGCAGAGTCGTCGTGATCATCAGCAACATCGTCAACCAGTTTGGATGAGATGACGCTGTGGCGACGGACCTCCTTCTTCCCGCGTCTGCCCTCATAAGCACCCCAGATCTTTCGGCCGCTCGGAGTTTTCTTCCACATATAGTAGAACCGCACAATCTGGTAGATCGGAACGGTCTTGACATGCTTCATGATATTGCGCCACTCAGATCCATACTTGGCAACACCCTGTTCAAAGAGCTTGAGTTCGTCTGGTTTGATGTGGGGCTCCTTGAGGTCCTTGTATCTGTTGGTCTTCTTCAGCTTAGCCAAGGCGGCTGGCACGTTGAAACTTTCGGCGTAAAGGATTTGCAGAGCTTTGTCGAGGAAATTAGTACAATGCTTCTCAACTCCGATTCCAGGTGCCAGTTCCTTGGCTTGGCGCATGTAGTCGTCGATGAACTTCTCCCGATCAGCGTCGCTCAAATCTGAGCCAGGTGCGTCTTCTTCGCCCCGAGATGGAATTTGCTCAGAAGAAGGCATTTTGAAAATAGGCTCGGCGGTTCGCGCTTGCTTTCCGGTCTTTTCATTAATCACCACTGGCTCGTCCAGACCACGATGGATGTAGCCTGTCGGCTCGTCTTGCACCCACTTCGGTCGGTTGGCCCTTTCGTGCTTGGCGGCTTCCAGTGCGGCCTGCGCATCCTTAGACTTGCCGTCCTTTTTAGCAACCTTGGCTTTCTTCTTGTCGAGTGGCTTGACGTATTCGATCGGACGGCCCGGCCATGCAGCGACCATCGCCTGGTGTCGCGTTCCTAGACGTGAGCTTGCCCGGGGGTAAATTCTGTCGTCGTAATCAAGAGCGTCCTCCACACGACAATGAATGCCAAGGTACCGGTAGGGCCACATCTTGGCCTGTGCCATCTGCTCCACGGTTTCGGGCTGAGGCATGAAATCCTCCTCGGCTGCAGGGGTGCTGACAGAGGTTCCGTTCGTAGCTCCATTGGCGTGATTATGGGGGTCTTCTTCCTCCTCTTCCTCCATGACAATATCATCGCCATCCACGCGGGGTCCTCCGGTGAGTGGCGTGTTCCGCGCTTCGAGTTTGCGTTCCTGGGCACGACTGCAAGCGGCACAGGCCCAAGCAAAGCCTCGAGCGGGCTTTTTGGTCAGAGCGGGTCGAACACAATGCATGTGATATGTTGAATGGCAAACTGCACAGTCCACCGATTCAGAATTGGCGGCGTACAGGCGACATCGTTTGCAGGTTTTGACGGCACCCGTTAATTCTTTTCCCTTGCCGATCTCAACGAGAATGAATCTCCAGCGTTCATCAAGAACCTTCTTGACATTTGAGGGGACATTAATTATATCTTTAGTGGGAATGACATCGTAGAGGCGATGGATGTACCGGTCGAACATCTTGTCGTACCAGAAGCTGTTTTTCGTTTTCTTGTAAGAATTAATGTCTTCAATCTCGGAAGAATGCCGGATATCACACTTTCCCCGTAGTGAAGAAAGGGGGCATGTGTCGGAGTGCATTGACGCATAGACAAATCGAGTGTCGGGAGAATGGCGCTGAATGTCTCGTGGGCGGTAATACCAGTTCACTCGGAGAGCCTCGATGAAGCCACCGGACTTAGTTTTGGAATGAACAAACTCCATAATTCGCGCTAAATAATACGGCTCACCCGGAGGTTCACAGATGAGATAGACATGATCTACGCAGAGTCAGTTTGTTGCTTTTTTGATTTTAGTAAATTCATTGGCAGAGGTGACAAACCGTTGAGACTGAAGGTGGTACCATCATCGGCTATTAATTGACCATCCTGTAAATAGGGGCCGTGGCTTTCAAAGCTCATCATATTGGTAAAATAATCCGTATCGGAATCGCCGGGGGCGGAAGTGAAGATTTTCTTAGCAACACTACCCGAAGTGGGTGTGGAATTGGGCGTGCTGGCGGGTTGTTTGCGCTTTCTCAGGTTGGACCCATTCGCGTCATCCGGTCTGGCGGAAAACGAAGAGGTGCCTGGAATGGCATCTTTGGCATCTTTGGCGCCGTTGGCAGCGTTAGCCCCATTCACGCCGTTCAAGCTTTTACGTGGCGCCGACGAGGTCTTCTCCTCCGGCGTGGTGCCGTTGGAGCCGTTGACGATGTTGGTGAGTGCTACGCCGCTGTTGCGCTTGGCGGATTTGGACGGCGCGGATTCAGCGTCCATGTCCAGATCACGATCCTCGGCATAATTTGGCCTTGGCGCATTGCGACCTCTCGATCGCGTGCCATAGGTGACGGAGCCATTTGCCGCATCGGCTACTGGCTCCGGAGAGTTGGGGGTGGTCATTGAGAACCGTTAGTCATCCACGGGGGGAGAGAGCAGATGAAGTGTGAGATATAAAAGCCCAGAGTTGCTGTGGCGGTGATTAGTCCACTTCCGAAAACCAAAGTCAATGGAGAGGGAATGTGGAAAGAAGGAATACGGGGGCGGGAAAATGATTAAAAAAGGAATGGCGGATCAAATATACGGGAGAAGTTGCAAAGGGGAAAATCAGAAAAGTGGGAAAGACAAAGAGTGGACCGTGTCAGATCTTATTTCTCTGCAGGGGTGAAGGGCGGACATATCAAGGTGGAAATCTGGGAAACTTAACTTACTCTGAAGATCGAATAGACGCGATATGGGAAAATAATAATGTGTACCAAACAGTACGGAAACGGTAGAGATTAGTCCGGGTTGGGAGAGAGAATTATAAAATGGAATGGGGAAGGGGGAAAGATGATGATGAAGAAGATGAGAGAGAGAGTAGAGAGGGAGAGGGAGAAGAGTGAGAAAAGTGAGAAGAGAGAAGAGAGAGAAGAGAGAGAGAGAGGGCGTGTGGTAGAAGCAGAGAGAGAGACAAGAGGCGATATGTGGAAAGGAAAAAAGCGTCGAGGATCCCGAAGTTGGCCCCTAGTCCCGATATGTTAATATGACGGATAGAGGAAAGCAACTGGCCTTTGGGTCCCCTTGCTCAAATCGATGGGTAATTTTGTTCTACTCGGATTGGAGGAATGCTGGCATGTTCAGGTATATAAGGCGAATGGCATGTTGTGTGAGGTCTGCTTTGGGCTGCAGAATATAAACCCACATCTCTCACTTCTCACTCTAGGAGTCTACGATATTGAAGAAAATTACGAGATACCATAGCATACAGTACCTTTAGAGTTGACTTTGGGTGATTTTTTCCCCGTTCGCCTTGAAACCTGTGCGACCAAACACGGCACTACGGATTCACCGCGAACCTCGTTGATATTTCATGGGGTTTAGGTGGAGCCCGTGTAAGCGCGACTGTCCGGATCTATGAGGATGGGGCTCTACGGAGTATAGTGTGGTGGGGGGGAAGGGTATATATAGCAGAAGAGAAGTGAATGTGAATGACATAGTGAAAGGGAGAGAGAGAAGAAAAAAGAAAAAGAGCCAATTCAGCATGTTCCTATGTAATTTAAACTTCTCCCACCCACTTGGTCCAATGACGATCGAAGCCGTCTAGGCCTGAGCTCCCTTTGGTATAACGTGCCGGTCTACCCCGTTGGGTTCTGCTCGATTTTTGCTACTCCGCGACTCCAACAGCATGGGATCCGCCCTGCTAGATATCCCAACACCACCTGCTGGGTTTCTTGAGGGTCCCCAGGTTGACGTGGATTCAGTTCAGTCCTGGGACGTTAGGCAATATATATAGATGGGCGATCAGACCCCCGCGACGGCAATTTCACAAATATCTCCAAGGTCAGTCGACAACCTTGGACAGTCAGATTGTCTAGCTGGTTATAATTGGGCAGTCTTGGAGAAATGTCCATCAGTTAGTAAACTTGATTGTAGCCTGGAAGTCCCCCGGATGTTCTTACAGCGTATTCAATCTGCGAATTCCGAGCCCGTCGCGCACTCAATCGGGGAAGGGGATATATATCACATTCCAGCTCATTGCATGATCAAGCTTCGTGTCACCGACACTACAAATGTATGGGGAAGAGCATATCCGATCCTGATCCCAACGCACAATGTGGTACGCGCGACTCATGATACAGTCGTTATGACGCCTCCACCCCCCGATCGGGTCTCAGATTCTGTACCTGGTCTCGGGATGTGCACCCAATTTTGGATCCGCATTTGTTTCTAAAATCACCCCCCCGAAATACATGGGTACCGTTCCCTCGTCGGAAAACGCACGGAGGGGGTAATTACGAATCCGGTGAAGGGTTTGATGCCACGAAGTCCCCAAGGCAGATCCATAATTCCCATAATCCGCCAGAAATCATCAGCCGACCATCTCGGCTCCGGTATAGCACCCGATTATGGGATTCAAATATCATCGGAGACTACCCATACATCGTGCCTAGTATATAGCGCTTCAAAAGAGCATCAAAATGTATATATTTATCTACGTTGTCCAGCCACAGGAACACACACACTTTAATATTGGAGTTAGTACGTGCTCGTAGCATTGTGCACAATCAGGGCGCCACACCTGGGCATATCCACATCCATATCCACTTACGATCTCCTACATTGTAGGCATCGAGTAAGGGGCCACAATCTTGGGCCCGGAAGATACATGTACAAAAGCATGGAAGCATGCACCATGAGCAATAAACCTGCGAGACGGGCATAATTGCAAATCGCAGTGATCCGCAGCGCGTCTCACCTGGGGAACAGGATTATCTCCCGATCGGGCCTAGCTCCTCACTTACCTGATGACATAGCTATCTGCCTCAGGCCACCATCCCAACCGCGTACAATAACAAACAAGTGGGAAAGAAGACAGAAACAGATAACAATTCACATCATGTCTGAAATGATCGGCCAATTCTGAATTACTAGGTGCACTTCAGATATATGGCCTAGCAATTTTTCAGGCATGTCGACATCGGGTCAACAGTCCGGCTTCCAAACTACCATTGATATTGCCCGCAGACAGACTTATCACGTAGCGCCCGTCGCAGGACAAAAGCGACATCCAGAGCAGTCCGAGGTGCACCCGGGGCCGGTCGCAAAACAAGTGACGGTACGTGGACGAAATGCCAATCCAGACCCCCTGCTGGAATCGACTCCATTTGAGTCCGCCCGGACTCTCTTAGCGCCGGTCAACCGGATCACCGCGAGCAAAATCCACTTCGCTGCTGGCGCCGGCGCCAGTGAGGCCCAGAATGAAGATCGTCAGCAAGTGGTGTCAGCCCCGCCTTCCAGTCAAAACCCGTTGCTGTTTCTGGCCAATCCGAAGTATGGCTTGCCGCCAGCTCTAACGGCGAATTTTGCCGCTCTCGGCGTGAGCAATATTTACCCCTGGCAGGCTTCTTGTCTTTTAGCGAAGGGTCTGCTTGATGGGGAACGTCATTTGGTTTACACGGCACCTACTGGTGGTGGCAAATCTCTTGTTGCTGATGTTTTACTTCTGAAACGGATTATCGAGAATCCCGGGCGCAAGGCGCTTCTGGTCTTACCTTACGTGGCGCTGGTTCAAGAGAAGCTCAAGTGGATGCGTCGCATTGTGCAAGATGTTGAGAAGCATGTCCCTGATGATGAAGACGAACCTGGATTCCCTCGCAGGCGATGGAAGCGCCCACAGAAAAATATCCGCGTGACGGGGTTCTTTGGAGGAAGTCGAACTACGGCCACATGGGCTGATACCGACATCGCCGTTTGTACGATAGAGAAGGTGTGCACATTCAAACTCTGGTGTGCTTTGAATAGTTCTAATCACCATCCAACAGGCCAATTCGTTAATAAACACCGCAATCGAGGATTGTAGCATTGGAGACCTGGGAGTCGTGGTTCTCGACGAATTACATATGCTTGATGATGAGAATCGGGGGTATCTACTCGAGCTCATGGTCACGAAGCTTCTGCTGTTACAGCAGGATATCCAAATAATTGGAATGAGCGCCACACTTTCTGTATGTCCATGCTTCCGGCCCGAGATGAGGTGACTGTCCTAACCGAGCAACAGAATACTGAAATGCTAGCAGAATGGATGAACGCCAAGTTCTTCATCTCTACCTACAGACCAATCCCCATCGACGAGTACTTGGTCTATGAGAATGGGATATACCCAGCTGCAACATCCAGGCAACTTTTCCAAACAGCATCCAAGCTGACGGCTGCAGCATCATTACATGATAGTATTCCGCCGCACCGAACCATTGAGCCCTCTACCTTCAAGCAGCTCGGCAATTCCGCTACAAATTCCATGGTGGCTTTGGCCGTCGAGACTGCAGCTGCTGGATTCGGCTCACTGGTGTTTTGTGGTAGTCGTCAAGCATGTCAGATCCATGCCATGACCATTGGTGAAGCTATGCCGCCGCCAGAGCCGGAGGAACTCAACAAGCGACTCGATCTTCTAGCTGAACTGCGAAGCCTATCGTGCGGGCTGGATCCCGCTTTAGAGAAAACAATCGCAAGAGGAACGGGCTTTCACAGTGAGTCCTATTCTTTCAATCATGGCTGTTCAAGCTCCTAATAATCTCTTCAGACGCCGGAATGACAACAGAAGAACGCGAGCTCATCGCACAGGCCTATGACCAGGGTGTACTGAAGGTCCTCGTGGCCACTTGCAGTCTCGCCGCAGGCGTGAATCTTCCAGCACGACGAGTCATAATAAACGGAGCGAGAATGGGCCGGGAACTGGTAGGACCAGCAATGCTGTAAGTCTGTTGGTGTTGATTGCAAGGGAAGTAAGCTAACAAGACCAGTCGCCAGATGTGCGGCCGTGCAGGTCGCAAAGGCAAGGACAATGCCGGCGAGACCTATCTCATCTGCGTGAAAGCCGATATGCAGGCCGTGTGCGATTTGTTGGATGCCGATATGCCGGCCATAGAAAGTTGTCTGGCACCCGAGAAAAGAGGTCTCAAGAGGTATGACGTCCCTTTTTCTTACCCCTGATCACCTAACTCACGTCTCAAAGGGCATTATTAGAAGCCATAGCAACAGGACTGGTTTCCGGCTGCGAGGCAATCAAAGAATATGTCCGATGCACCCTACTCTTCCGCACCCTGGACAAGAAACTCGCATACAGCATAATGAACTCCGCGCTCCAAGAGCTCGTCAACGAAGAACTCCTCATCGCCCAAGACGATGAATCATACGAATCCACTCCACTAGGACAGGCCGTCGTCGCCTCAGCCTTCTCACCAGAAGACGGCCTTTTCGTCCACGAAGAGCTCAAACGCGCACTCCAAGCATTCGTCATGGACGGCGACATGCACATATTCTACATGTTCACACCCCTCCAAGCAGCCATGAACACACCAATCGACTGGCAAATCTTCCGCGACCAACTAGACAGACTAGACGACAGCGGTCTCCGCGCATTACAATTCGTCGGCGTCCAACCAGGCTTCGTTAACAAGATGTATGTCACCCCGACCCCAAACCCTACCCCTTGGCAAAACTAAACAAATACAGGGTCCAATCTGGTGCCTCCTTGAAAGAAAACGACCCAGAACAAATTAAACAAGCGCGAATCTACCGCCGCGCATACACGGCCTTTCAACTCCGCGATCTAAGCAACGAAGTCCCCATCGGGACCATAGCAACGCGCTTCAAAATCCCACGCGGCACAGTCCAGACGCTGGCGCAGCAATGTCATGGTTTCGCAGCGGGAATTGTCAAGTTCTGCCAGCGTATGAACTGGGGCATGCTAGCCGCAGTGCTGGACCACATGCGTGATCGGCTTGAGGCTGGGGCTCGCGCGGATTTGCTGGAGATGGCGCAGGTGACGTTCGTGAAGAGTTGGACTGCGCGACTACTAAGGGAGAACGGGTATAAGAATCTGAGGGCTTTGGCGGATGCCGAGGCGAAGGATTTGATTCCTATTCTGAAGATGGTATGTTAATGTTGGGGGTTTGCTGGGGGTTTGCTGGGGGTTGGCTAATGTGTGACAGGCGAACCCTCGTAAGGCGCAGAAGAATGAGCTCTCTGTCGCTGAGTCGGAGAGGTATACTGCGAAGCTGAGGGATAAGGCGGAGATTATTATTGCTCATGCGAATAAAATTTGGGGTATGTTGTCACTGTGGCATTATTCAGGTACACACACGGCTGACTGTTTCAGAACGAGAGATGCAGGTTGGTCTGGAGGAGTGACCATCGAAGGACCTGGAAGTCTTGGAAGATTACATTTTGGCCTACACGTTTAGCATGTGCCTCGGTGGCGCAAGCATGTAGCATATCTAGTTGGATGAAAGTTGAATATCATCCCGGATACGAGACACGAATGTGAAAGATGCATGACATTTCAATGTCGTACAGGATCTACGAAGACAAAACAAGGCGAGGAACAAATTCCGAGTAGGCAGATTCAAGTGCCATTTTCATATTTGCAATGGCATGCATGCAGTTTGTACGTGAGAGAGAATATCCAACGCCACCCAAACGCCCAAACAACGACCGAAAAGCTGCTCAGTCATGACTAACAAACATAAAGGAAGGAAACAAAACAGCATCCACTATCTTCGAACATAATATCTACAACTCGCCATGTGGAGACGAACGACCAGGCAAGTCAGGTGAGCTTTTACCAGGCTCAGACATGAATCCGCCGGCGCGCACGCGGAGAATAAAGTTAATCAGAATGATGACTACCAGACCGATACTGATGACAGTAGGGCCCCAGCGCTCGTAGTAGACGCGCTTGACGTCGCGACGCTTGCGGATCTTGTCCACACGCCAGATATACAGGATGAGGCTGTAGACTAGGGCGCCAGCGGCGAGGAGGGTGAAGGCCCAGGAGGAGACGAGGGTGGTGTAATCGGCGCCGAAGTTGAGGAGGGTTGCGGCGATGCCGCCGAGGATGATAGAGAATTCCAGCCAGGAGAGGAAGGTACGCTCGGCGGCAAAGTAGACCTTTGGTTCCACGCGAACGGGGACGAAAATGCCTGGAGACAGAAGAGTTAGTGCGTGTGTGACGGAGTCAGTGGTGGAGATCGCTTACGTTTACCGGGAGGAGCCTGGAAGCGCTGCATGGTGCGACGCTGGGTTCCCAGGACTGCAATGCCACGCTGTTCGGGGGGCGGCAGGGATGTTGGACGGGGGCGGGGAATTATTGCCATCAGACCCTGTGCGACAGCGTGACCAGTTCGACAGAGATAATGCTTGGCCAATTGTTGGGCGTAGTAGGCTCCGCCGATGCGACGCGCTTCTTCAAGCTCATCTGAATAGATTGATTCGTCGTCCGAGTCGTACAAGGGGTAGTCTTCGTCGCCGGGGAGAGGTTGGGCAGCGATGCGCTCTTCGATATCTAGTTCGTTGCCATTGGTCTCGAACAAACCGTTTTGGTGCTCGGCGGAGTGACCGTTGAGAGCCTCGTCTGTACCCGGAGTATCGTCGTCATCGGAGTCTTCATCATTGGCCGAGATCGAAGTACTTGCGAGTGGTCTGTGAATTCCGTATTGATGGGTGGCGGGCTTTCGGATGTCCACATCCATCTGGGGGAACCAGAATGGAAGCAAGTTGATGCGGGTTGGGAACATGGTGGCTGTTCCGTGGATAAATTTACTGAACTTGGGAACCGCCTCGACCAAGTGACTGGCAGTCAGATCGCGGATCCACTGAGGAGGCTCCTGGCCTGCCTGGGTCTGCAGCTTGACTTCCAACACGGCATAAGGGAATCGGTCGATATCCTCGGGGGTAATTGAGAGAATGGGAAGTCGACTCCGATGTCCATCCGACGCCAGTTCTTGCCTGCGCGTCGGCGGCCATCCATGTTGTCCTCACGGACCATGGTCAGCTCAGTATCCAGAGATATACGGACACGAGCATCGCCCGGAAGCTGGAATGCAGTGCGGTGGTAGAAGGTACGAGTGACGGGGACTAACCGGCGAGTGATGACACGGTACTGGACCTCTCGGGCCAACTGTTCCAAGTCATCGAGCTCTGCCTGGCTTTTCTTTCCTTCCTTGCGCGCCTTGTCAAAGACCTGCTCCACGGTCATCTTGCCTTCCAAAAAGGCATTGACGTTCTTCTCCTTGAGGGAGAAACGGGCCTTGACGGACTTTTCTCCGGTCCAGTCTTCGCGGTGAGTCTTGCGCTCCACGAAGATCTGGTCGCTCTCCATGCCACCGTACCACCGCAGACGAATGGCCTCGGCGCCTTCTGTCTTCTTCAAGCGACCCTCGTATAGCTCCCAAGTATCAGTGTTATCGTAGTAGATCGATGAAATGGCCGTGTCCTTCTCCTCAAATTCTTTGTTGGCGTTGAAGACCAAAACCGGCAAGTGCTTGAGCACGACCAGCTTCAATTCCGTGATATTATCCCGATGCACCCAGTACTTCGTGGTCTGACGCACAAAGTTCTGTTGGGTGCCACCGGCAGATGCATCTCCCTTCACTGGGTTACCCTTAGTTCGGACGAGGTCATACAGCTTCGACAGTTTAACCACGAAAGCGTCGTAGTTATCCTTGAAGAAGGGCTTGGCATTGAGGCGAGCAGCAAAAACGGGCTTGAGATACCATTGTGTTTCTTTCTGTGAGGACGTTAGCCATATCGAGACGGGCGTCCAGATTTGGAACCCTTACGTCATGCTTTTTGATGATCTTCTGGAAGCCCGTATAGTTCAATTGCGTGAACTTGGCCAAGTCGTGCACATCGGCGATGATATCACTGAGCACCTGCTCAAGCATCAGGAAGTCGGCATCCGTAGGGGTTGGGCGGGCAGTCCGTGTGCTTTGGCGACGGGTTTCGACGGAGCCGTCCAGACGGGACACGACATCGGTGACCTCAAGTTCACTATCCTGGATGCGTTCGACGATCTCCTCGCTCTTGCGCTTCTGGAACAGGAAGACCTTCTCCAGCTCGCTCTCGAGCAAAGATACGAAGTGCGTCTCATCGTCCTCGGACCATTCTTTGCGGGCGGGATTGGTGTTTTCGGAGGCGGGTTCGACGAGATCCGTCTTCAGAGACTTCTTGAGGTCGTCATAGGCAATGTAGAAGGGATAGTACTCCTTGATCATAGACGACCGGAGATATTCACCGAACCTGTGGCACAATTGAGTTAGTCCAGGAAACAGGGTTGCCGGGAGCGGAATGCCTGTGGCTGGTAGGGAAATGCGCACCTCATGATGGAGAGGGGAGAGAAGAATGTGGTTAGGGAGGAAGAGACTATTCCCAGCTCATTACGGAGGGAAAGAGAAAGGGAGAGAAGAGGAATCACAATCACACAAGATCCTAGCAAAGAAAAGAAGTCAAAAGGGCCGGGAAGGTCGTAGCTCTCCGAAGACAGAAGCATGGCCCCCGAACTCGGCTAGCCCGACGACTAGCGGGTGACGGGCCCCACGTCAATTTATTTCAATGTGTTACAAGGTGATCTAGATCCTGACGCGAAGAGCACTGCCAGAGCTTGCAGAGATTTCTGTGTAGCTAAAAGTAAAGAGAGACTAATTCTATAGTATCTAGATCAGCGATCACGAGACAGTTTTCCCAATAAAAATCCATTGGAATGTTCATCATCTGCAACAATCGCCATGCTTTTTCAGATACATTGCGTAATTACAATACACGATTACCTCAGCAAAGATACGGGTCCACGGATTGCAAAACAGCCAATTTGACCAGTCACCCACGCACGTGGGCTTGCGATCGAGGTACTTTTTCGCGACTTGACTCTGCTACTCGTTAGGGCTACATTTTTATATGGTTAATAGCACGTTGTACCTGGACTGGCGACACCCATAGGCGATTCTCAAAGGATCACCTCGTTTCTCATCCCTTGCAAACATGCTTGGACCAATACTCCAATCACCAAAGTACCTGGGATGCAAGCCATCTGCAGACGATCGCGCCCCACACTATAGTAAATGCCGTAGATATGATTCGTGGCACCTCTCAGAGCTCGAACTACATGTATACATCCATGGATTGTATGGGGATTTACTGCGTATACTCTCGATTACTGTGCATAAAACTCCGACACGCAAATAGCTAAATCAATGACATTAATCATATTGAGATTGAGGGAACAGTATTCATTCCACAGTTACAACGCCAAGCTCCCTTCAAAAAGTTCCGGGATGACATGCAAATCTATCATCACTTCATGGTATCATCGCAGGAAACTTAGGCCAGGCTCATCGCCGCCCGACGGATACTGCGACGAGCACCTTCACCAAACACATTCACTGAGCCCTCCGATTCAAGCGACCGCACCACATCGTTGAACTGCGTGTGGTCCAGCTTGCTGTCGCTCTGTTCGCTCACGTCGCGGAACAAATCAGCCCAGCGGACCGAACCGCCAGTTGCGCCGCCGCGCTCGTCCAGACGCGAGAGCACGGCCTTCTTCAAGTCCTCGCGCAGGCGGCGGTCAGCAGCGCTAGAACCTTCGGTCAACAGGCCCATGTCGATAAGACCGGTGCGAGAGTCAGTAGCGGCTTGCTTGATGGCGGAGCGGATCAGTCGGACCGCTTCGTCGACATCGCCTGCAGTGACTTCGGGAGACAGACGCATGCGGGCGTGGGCCTCAGAAAGTCGGATCATAGATTCCAGCTGACGCGTGGTAGCGGTGATACGGCGCTCCTGAGCGCGGATATCATCACCGAGCTTACGCATAGCCACGTAGGCGTCTGCGAGAGCATTACCGGCAGCTGGAGTGATGACAGGCTGACAATGGGTCTTGGCGTATGTGATATAGGAGGTGAGGAACTCAACGGGCTATAAAGAGGTTAGAAGACGTCAATGGAGAGGGAGAGAGAGTGTGTGGCTCACCAGAATTTCAGATGAGCTGGCATTCTCGGGGTTGTCCTCGAGATACATGCCGACCAAGTGTTTGGCCATGCGGCGATCCTCAGTCTCGTCGACACGGTCAAGCACCAGGTAGACCAGGTCGAAACGAGAGAGCAGGGTTGGCGGTAGATCGATGTTCTGGGGAACTGGAAGTTGTGGGTTGTACCTACTACCGATGGGATTGGCAGAGGCGAGGATAGATGTGCGAGCGTTCAGCGTGGTGATGATACCAGCCTTGGCAATGGAGACGGTCTGTTGTTCCATGACTTCGTGGAGGACGGAACGGGTGGATTCGTTCATCTTGTCAAACTCGTCGATACAACAGACACCACCATCGGACAAAACCAAAGCACCAGACTCGAGAACCATCTGGCGGGTTTCCGGGTCGCGGGTCACGTACGCAGTCAGACCGACCGCTGATGAACCCTTACCACTGGTGTACACACCACGCGGGGCGATCTTGTGGACATAGCGCAGCAGCTGTGATTTGGCAGTCGAGGGATCACCGCACAAAAGAACGTTGATATCACCGCGGTAACGAGGGTTACCTCCTTTTTGGAATGTCTTGTTGGTTCCTCCGAACATCTGAAGCAGGATACCCTTCTTCACGTCATCCATCTCGTAGATACTGGGGGCCAGTGAGCGAGACAGGAGCTCATAGATATCGGGACGAGCAGCAGTAAGTTTGATCTTCTCTTCTTCTTCCGCTGAAACCTTGCGCAGTTGATCTGCCTCGATCGCTCGCTCGGCCATCTCTTGCTCAACGGTGGACATGTCAACGCCCATCTTCTTGCGATCGACTTTCTGGATGTGGAGAACGTCGACGTATGTCTTGAACAGAGACTTTTGCGAGCGCTGACGAGCACTGACTCGCATGGGGTTGCAACGGAAGATACCAGTTACCTCCACACGGTCACCGGCCTTGCAGACGTCGACCAGATTTTCGTAGACACACAGGGATACTGAGTGAGGGGTCTGACCATCGGGAATGCTATCCGGAGTCTCCTGGAGCTTGATGACCTGCTTGTCTGCGAAATAACAACGGTTGTGGAGGAGCTTCATGCAATTCTTCTCCTTGCACGATTCACGCGGGCAAACGGTGGGCTCGTTGATTCGGCCGCGATCGATGTCAATATTGGCACCGTATCCGCAAACATTGCATCGGAAGAAGGCTTCCTTCATATCAGGGATAATGGGAGTAGCACGGATGACCAGACCCTTGATGCTGATCAGCTTGTCCATGTCCGCGGGATCGAGGTCACGCATGTTGATAGTGCGATCCAGGTTGAATGGACGCGTAGAAAAGTTAAGGGCTTCAACTTCCCCGACCAAGTCCGGAATCTCCGTGTTAGGGGCCACACCGTCAGAGGTGAGAATTGACTGACCCCTACGACCGCGAGCCTGAGCGCCACGCTGGCTCTCCGATCGCAAAACATCCATTTCCTTCAATGCCAGATCCACCATGACATCCCTCAAGCTCTGATCCATCAATGGAATGATTTCTGCCGGGTATGCGCAAAGTTGATGCCACAGTTTGCGGGTTGATGGGTATGCCCGTAGGTTTTCGGCATCAAGGTTGTAAGAGGTAACACCCAGTTTGCGCATGTCGTTCATCTCGGCGATGCATTCGCGCCTTTCAGCCGCTTCTCCCATGAGTCGAGTCTCATCTTCCGTCGCACCTTCAGCCCAGAGGCGGTATTTGGGGGCGAAATTGTATAGGAAGTTTTTAAATGCGGACATCGAATCCGCAATTGCGATATTTGTACCCCAGATCACACGAGTCGAGTTACCGTGCATGGCCTCTGCCTCGGAGGTATCAGGGTTAATATTGGAGAAAGTAGCATCAGAGCGGGGGATGTTATTATCATCGCGAGACGGCACTCCATTGCTATCGACAAACATGCGATTGCGACGACCGGGAGTACCCCCAAAGCCACTTGAATTGAGCTCGCTGCGACGATGACTGGCACGTGGACCAGGAGTGTCCGACCCCACAAACAACCCACTGCCGGTACTAGGTGCATCGGAGCGGATATCTGAGCGAAGGTCTGAACGGCCGAAGCCTCGGGTTGGACTGGAACTTGGGATATAGTTAATTGGAGAAGAGTCTGTCGTAAGGTTAGATTTTGTTTTTGTGGCGGCGATTGCATCATGTCAATTGACAAAGAGTCCATACCTCTCACGCCGGGGTTTCCACGCGGGGTTCTGTCGCCATCGTCCACCGTGGAGCTGGCATCGCCCATACGCTCATCAGGGGTTCCAACATTGTTGTTTCCCTTGGTGGGGGATGACTGGAAGAAGATTGGGGATGAAGAGGGCACGTTCCCTTCTCCCATTAACCGTCTCGAGGCACGGGGGGTGGTGGCCTGAAAAGTCGGGCTGCTAGGGGGTTCCTGTCGAGCTGACGAGGAGGGGGATGCAGTCGAATTCTTGGATGGACGACCCCTCCGTCTTCCTGCTGGTGAAGACATTGTTGCAAATTAATGTGGTGGATACCTGTCTGCGGGTGGGTGATGGGATTCTACAGGTGAAGAAAGGGAGAGCAAAAAGCTGTGGGCGGAACGGCCTTTCTGCCGACGCGACGAGCGCGTTAAGTGGTTTCCACTTTGGGAAGACGTGTCGTAGCCACGTGACCTCATTCAATCACCCTCGATTGTGGCGTTTTATTATGGCGTTCAATTATCTACGTATGCACAGCCACATCCATTGATCAAAGCCCCCCTTCCCCGTACCTTCCCTCAGGCACCCAATCAGATTGTTTCCCCTTTTGAGCAATACCACCGTAGCAAATACAAAAAAAGAGTCTGAGATGTCATTGAAAAGAGCTATTTCTTGTTCTTTGAGGAAGTATATATAGCGCCGAAACTCAGAGGCGCTTTGTCAAACGAGTTTTCTCTTTTCAAGTTGTTTCACCAAGCGCCTGATGTCATCCCCTGCTCGATCGGCGCTTCCACGATCCCTCCAATCATCCCTGCTCGTCAAACTCTCAAATTCTTGATCAACCAGCCTAATATTCACGCCACTGGTGTCATTCGTCGACAGCTAACCTGAGGTGGTCTCGGGTCGCTTTCTCTCCCCACAATCTTCCAAGTTGGCGCCTTGGTCTTCTTCAGGTGGATTCTCTTTGTTGTTCCCTTTTTTTTCTCTCTTATCACCGAGTTTCCTGGTGGAGCTGCAGGCTACAGGAGAAATCATTTTGCCCACACTCTCAGAGGCATCGTGATGATTCTGGCTGTACCTTCGCCCCTTTTTGCATCCTGAAGACCCCTCTCCTACCGTGAACTCCCCGTTCGGCAGCACCCGAACTGATCGTCATGACTTCGGGCTTGGAGCAGGCGCTGGAGCACAGTGGTGGTCATGGCCGCAAGACCGAAGGTGTCTCAATCTCGACTTTTCTGTCGTCGCTGGCGACGGCTATCATTGTCTTCGTCGTCGAATTTATCCTCTTCCTTTTACTTAAAGGCAAATTAAGCCGCATATAGTAAGTCGTCTCAGGTGAAACGCATCATATCAGCCTTACTGACCTTGACATCCAGTCAACCACGAACCTACCTGGTACCCGATAGAGAACGCACGCGACCATCCCCACCAGGTCTTCTTAGCTGGATTGTTCCTGTCTTCCGTACTTCAAGCTCAGAGTTCATCCAGAAGTGTGGACTCGATGCATACTTCTTTCTGCGATACCTACGCATGCTCTTGAAAATTTTCCTTCCCATGGGAATCTTCATCTTGCCAATTCTGTTGCCTCTCAATCGCTCAGGTGGGAAAGGCACTACCTACAAAGTCGGTGACAAAGGCGAACGGTGGGACGTCGAGGGCCTGGACCAGCTGGCATGGGGTAACGTGAGACCCCAACACACGAGTCGCTATTGGGCTCATTTGGTAATGGCTGTTGTTGCTATCGTCTACATCTGTGCTGTGTTCTTCGATGAGCTTCGAGGCTACATTCGTCTACGACAGGCCTACTTGACGTCCCCCCAGCATCGACTCAGGGCATCTGCCACCACTGTACTGGTGACTTCTATTCCACCTGAGTGGCTCAACGTGGATTCTCTGGACAAACTATACGATGTCTTCCCTGGTGGTGTTCGGAACATCTGGATCAACCGTAACTTCGATGACCTAAATGAGAAAGTCAAGGAGCGCAACAAATTAGCCCTCAAGCTGGAGAGCGCAGAGACCGATTTGATTGCGCAATGCAAGAAGGCACAGCTCAAAAAAGTAAAAGCGGAGGCCAAAAAAGAGGGGAAGAGCAAAGCGAGTGCAGAGAAGCAGGAGAAAAAGGCTGCCGACAAACGAGCATCCCATATGGCTATGGGCCCCGGTGTCAGCTCTGGCAACCCACATGATGCCCATACAATCCGGGAAGCCCTCGAAGAACCTAACCAAGAACCTGCTGCGAAGAAGTCCGAGGACGGAGTTCGCCGGGTGTTCGACCCTGCCTACGCTGCCGCTGGGGCAGTGGGCTTGGGGGTAGGCAAACTGGGAAAGTCTGTGCTTGGGGGCTTTAAAAAGGTCGAGAACGGCTTAGATAGGCCTATGGCTCAGACCAGGGGTTTCGTTGCGACAACAGACGACATCCTTCCGCCTCGTGGGAACACCCCCAGCCACGAGCGTACGACGTCTGGTAACAATGCAGTAACGGATTCCGGCTTGTCACCAGCCAATGAGTCAAGTCAAAGTGATCACACGCACACCGACCAAGCATCGTCATCGAAACCACCATTCTGGAGAAGGATGTCATCTCACACCAAATCAATAAAATCACAGGGTCCTCCCGAAGCAGATGAATATCCATTGACCGCGCCGGAAACCCCTGCTTCTGACGCACCCCGCTCAGGCTCCAAATCCGAAAAGGCTGAGAAGGGCAAAGATAAGCACAAGAAGGACAAAAAGAAAGAAGAGGAATATCCCAGCGCCTATAATGAAAACTTCGAGAAGGAAGATTACGGCGAGCCGCTGTGGAAGGAGTATATTCGGCCCAAGGACCGAGACACAATGCGCCTGCCCATATTTGGCTGGAGTTGGATGCCAGCAATCTGGCTTTTGGGGAAAAAGGTCGACACCATCGATTATTGTCGGAAAGAAGTTGCTCGCCTAAACCTAGAGATCGAGATCGATCAGCAACATCCTGAACGTTTCCCTCTGATGAGCTCAGCTTTCATTCAATTCAATCACCAAGTTGCTGCCCACATGGCATGTCAGGCCGTCAGTCATCATCTTCCCAAGCAGATGGCACCTCGAGTCGTGGAGATCTCCCCCGACGATGTCATTTGGGACAACATGTCAATCAAATGGTGGGAACGCTATCTTCGTACCTTTGGTATCATAACACTGGTGTGTGCCATGGTTGTTGGATGGGCTTTCCCTGTTGCCTTTACTGGTCTTCTCTCGCAGCTGTCATATCTCGAGGGCGCATTCCCATGGCTGGCTTGGCTTGGAAAGCTACCAGATTGGTTCATCTCGGCCTGCCAGGGTATTCTCCCTGCACTGTGTTTGGCTATTCTGATGGCACTTCTCCCACTCATTCTCCGCTTCCTGAGTCGTGCACAGGGCAACTTCACCGGTATGGCTGTCGAACTCACAGTGCAAAACTACTACTTTGCCTTCCTCTTTGTGCAGCTCTTCCTGGTCGTGACCATTGCCTCCAGTTTCTCTACCATCATTGAAAGAATCACTGATGTGACTAGCTGGCCGGAGTTGCTAGCCTCCAACATCCCCAAGTCTAGTAACTACTTCTTCTCCTACATGATTCTGCAAGCCATGTCTGTGAGCGCGGGTGCTCTCGTGCAAATCTTTGGTCTGGTGAGCTGGTTCATCCTCGCTCCGATATTGGATTCCACTGCGAGGAAGAAGTGGGCACGAACAACGAATCTCAACCAGATGCAATGGGGCACTTTCTTCCCGGTGTACACCACCCTAGCCTCAATTGGTAAGGCATTAGTTCACTCTCTTTCCTCATCACATCAGCTAACTTTTGAAAAAGGACTGATCTACTGTGTGATCGCGCCTCTCATTCTAGTTTTCAACATTATCACCTTCAGCCTGTTTTGGTTCGTCTATCGCTACAACACCCTCTACGTCACCAAGTTCCGCTTCGACACTGGCGGCCTTTTGTTCCCACGGGCTATCAATCAACTGTTTACTGGGTTGTACATTATGGAGGTTTGTCTGATTGGTCTGTTCTTCCTGGTACGAGATCAGGATGACAGTGTTGCCTGTAAGGGACAAGGCATTTGCATGATTGTGGTCCTTGTCTTGACCGTCGGTTACCAAATCATTCTCAACGAGGCATTCCATCCACTGATTCGATACCTGCCTATCACATTGGAAGAGGATGCCATCCGGCGTGACGATGAGTTCCGTCGTGCCCAGCATGCTCGCCTCGGGCTTGCCGTCGATGACGAGGATGAAGATGATGTTGAGCACGCCGAGCCCGAGGCTGAGCGTCGGGAGCCCCAGCAAGCTCAAGACTCGGGGGGCATTGAACTCAAGCCTCTGGATACCGAAAACATCGACCAGAAGAAACAGAAATCAGATTATCTGTCAACGCCCAAGCTCGAACACAAACGTCCATCATGGGCTACCAATTCATCAAAAAGGAAATCCAAGTACTTTGGTTTGCACTCGCCAAGTTCGACACCCACGATTCGAGCCATGCGTGAGAAGATGACTCAAGATGCCGAAGCCCAAGGGCCAGCTCCCAACTCTGTTGGTCAAGCACTGTTCGCTGGCATCAACGATGAGCTCGAAGATCTCACACCAGACGAGCGTGACCAATTGGTACAGCGTGCCTTCCAGCACGAGGCCCTTCGTGCCAAAAGACCCGTTATTTGGATCCCTCGTGATGACTTGGGTGTAAGTGATGACGAAGTCTACCGTACTCAGCGATTCAGCAAACATATTTGGATCAGCAATGAGTACCAGGCACTAGACGGCAAGTGTCGGACGATATTCAGTCGCAGTCCCCCCGATTTCTCAGAGGTGGATTTGATTCAACTGTGATATGATTTGTACATTGTTCTCCTTTTAGCCATTTTATAGCATTTGCGGCGTTGCATTCAGTCATAGACATCCAATGTCTTCTTTTTTGGGGAGTCCCAACCCCATCCATTTCATCATCCTTAATCCATAAACTTGCACAGCGGCAATCTGTAATCATCTACGACCCAGTAGGCACGGCGAACGCCCTCCCACTCGCCCTCGAGCTTGGGAACAGCAATCTCCTCCCATTGCACATCAAATCCAGCTTCGAACAGATCCATCTCTGCAACCTTCTGGTAGACGTCGTAAGAGATTTGTCGATCAGCACCCATGCCATTGAAGAATCCCCACCGTCCCTCCTGCTCAAGCAGACCAATGACCTGCTCAGAGAAGAACTCGCGGAAATCAGCATAGGACTCGGCAAATGTGTCGTAGTAAATAGCATCGAACATCTCTCCCTCGGCCACCAGACCAGGGAGAATATCCTGCCAGCGACCCTGGTGAATCACAACACCAGGCTTGCTGTCCCATCCGCGTCGCTTCATCTCCGCAACGACATCGGCGTGCGCCTCGATGATGTGGTGCGCCGCAGGCTGTTGCTCCTGGAAGAATCCGTCCACAATACCCATGCCATGACCGATATTGAGAACCTTCAGGCCAGGCGTGGGAAGGAGAGCCTTAGCAGACTTGCGCATGATGTCACTTTCCCAGGCCATCATCACACCGTTCTGGTCTCCGTCCAGAATCCGGTCATTCTGGATGTTCAGGCTCGACTCCAGATATTGTGGGTTGCTCACGTCTGGGTTCGCAGGTTCGGCCGAGGCATCGACAAGTTCGGGGGCGGCTTCGGTTTCGGTTTCGCCCTCGCCCTCTTCCTTCTCCTCTTCCTCGTCGCCGTCGGATAGCTCCTCGTAGGCGTCAAGACGGTTCAGCAAGAGCTCTGCGCGCACACCCGCGTCGACAATCAGGTCGTACAGCTCGAGAGCTCCAATGCGGCGAGCGAGACAGCCAGGCGTCTCGTTCTTCGAGTCGAGCTCATTCCAGATGGCGCCCTCCTGCAGGAGGAACTTGACGGTCAGTACCGCTGACTTCAGAGTCTCTGTGTCTAGTCCCTTGGGGTTTGACTCTGAGATTGCCTCGCTGCTGGCGCCATTCTGTGTTTCGTCGTCCGTGTCGCGCTCGCAAGCGGCGAGTGCGGCGTGGAGAGGTGAGAAGCCGGACTCGGAGTCTTTCACGTTCGCTGCGTCTGGCAGACCGGATTGGGTGCGGAGTAGATTGCGCAGCTTAGTGAGATCATGCTGTGATGCGGCAAGGAGAATCTCTTGCACGTCGAGGTCGACATCGACCTCGGTGAGGTGTACAGGTGTGTCGTCGGCAACTTCAGGCATGGTCTAGGTCCTATTAGCGATATTCGCAACGCGTTATACGCAGAACATCATGGTAGGAGGAATTGGATTATGACCAATACTTACAAATATATTTGACTTCAATAAGTCGAGTGGGATGTACCAGTGTCGTGGTGCAGCGGTGCCCCTCCGAAATAAAAAAAACGACGTTCGCCGCCTTCGTCCCCGCGTGGAGAAAATATATAGTGGCAGCCCTATTTACCTACTCCAGGGCTCCCCTACATTATTAGCCGTACAAAACACAGCTCAACTTAGAAACGAGAGACAATTGGATATTGTATAGAGAAGAGAACACATTCAGATGCTTGGTAATCCAGCTATTTGTACAATAATTCACTCCCTTCCACGCAGCGCCATTAAGTTTGAAGTGAGTTGAATTTATTTGCCCTCCTCGCTGTGAGCATTGACGTTCAAGCCCAAGCCCTGTGTGTCGAGGTAGAGCTTGTTCTTGCCGCCGTTCTCCTGGAGGATCTGGGCGATATGACGAGCGTTTTCGATCTTTCGGAGCTCGATGTAACTCTTGCTCTTCTTGATAGCATCACCAATGAGCTCAGCCGAGCGGGCTTCACCCTGTGCGCGGACAATGAAAGCCTGCTTCTCCTGGCGGGCCTTGTCGACCATGAATGCAGCGCGCTGAGCGTCTTGCTGAGCGACCTGCTTAGCTTCAACAGCGGCGGTAAACTCGGGGGAGAAGGTCAAGTGCTGTAGAGATATTTGTTAGTACGTAGGAAGGCGGAGAGTGACCGAAGAAAACATACTGTCAGAGAAACATCATCAAGTGCGATGTTGAAGCGGGCAGCACGGCGGGCAAGGTTCTCTCGCACCAGACGGGCAACGTTCTCACGCTGTGTGATAAGCTGACTGGCGTTGAACTGAGCAACCACACTCTTCAGAACTTCGTTGACAATCGAAGGAAGGACGCGCTCATCGAAATCTTGGCCGAGAGTACGATAAATCTGAGGGAGAGCATCCACACGGGGTCTGGACAGGACACGGCAGGTGATGTTCACCATCTGCAAATCCTTGGTACCCGTGAGAGAGGGAATGTTGCGGGGCTTGGCGCGGACATCGTAGATGATAGGTGTTTCAAACCAAGGAATTTGGAAGTGAGTTCCTAGTTGGGGAGATCGTTAGATAGCTGTGTGGTCAATTGAGGAGCCTTCATACCTTCGGCGTAGATTTCCTTCTTGACACCACCTAAGCGCGAGTATTTAATGGCACGGTGACCACCGTCGACTGTCAAATAGTCAGCGTCCCGTTCAAGCAAAGTCCGGATATGCAATACCGTTGAATAGGGAGTTAGACGCGACATAGGTACCGAGACCAGCAAGAACAAGAGTTCCGACAAGTCCTAGGCCTCCTCGGCCACCACCGGATGGGAAGCCGCCACCGAAACCGGCCTTGCGCTTCGAGAGCATGACCTGCAGGCGCTCCCAGGCCTCTCGTTGATTTTGAGACATGATGTGAGGAAGTGCGTGGGGGTGATTGGAGATGGAAGCAGACGGGCTAGGTCTGACCTTCCAACGGATGAGGTGAAGTCGTAAGCGGTGAGAGAAAGTCGGGCAGTATCAGCTTCGCTTCTGGACTTTGAAGGTATTGACTATCCGATCTTGCTTTGATTCTCATCTTGCTTTCTGACTATTTAATCATGGCTCCTGATAGGACTGGGAAAAGCGTTTTCCTGGGGAACATCCCCTACAGTACGTAAACTTACCTTCGTATTGTTTACCTGACGCAACGCTAACTTGTCGCAGACCTCACTGAGGAACAAGTCAAAGACATCCTCAGTACGGCCGGGACTGTCACCAAATTTCGGTTGATGATGAATCCAGAGACGGGAAAGCCCAAGGGCTATGGTTTCGCAGATTTCGCCGACGCCGACGCAGCTGCCTCCGCTGTGCGCAACCTCAACGACCACGAGGTTATGGGCCGCAAGATCCGCGTCGACTGGCCTCACAACAACGAAAAAGACTCCGTACCTCCCGACTACTCGCAACAATCGCAGCCAATGATGAATCAAGATACCGCGCCGCAGCAACAGATCCCAGGCTCAGCTCCGCTGCCACCTCTCCCACCGGGCGTTGAATTGCCGCCGCATATCGACTGCCCGACCGCCATCTCCCACACACTCGCCTCTCTTCCACCAAACCAGCTGCTCGATGTTTTAACACAAATGAAGTCTCTTGCGGTTGCTGATCCAGCTCGGGCGACCGAATTGCTCCGCCAGGCACCCCAGCTCGCTTACGCCATCTTCCAAGCTCTGCTCCTCATGAACTTGGTCGAATATCAGTTGCTTGGCTCCATTGTGGAACAGGCTGCCCAACCCCCACAAGTTGCTCAACAGCAACCTCAGCAGTTCCAGCCCTATGGGAACCCAGGCCAAATCTCTACGCCACCCGTCACCGGCACCCCCTTCGCTCCTCCACCTGCTCAACCCGCCGCGCCAGTTCATGGCCAAGAGGAATTGCTCCAGCAAGTCATGAGCATGCCCCAAGCTGCCATTGATGCTCTTCCTCCAATGGAAAGGGGCCAAATTATGATGCTACGCCAACAACTTATGCAAAGCGGCATGCGCTAGACAGCAATGTGCCATGGTTATTCCTCAACTTGGAGTCACCAACACCAAGTCAGCGTGGTGGATTTCGAGATTTCTACTTGATTTTTTTTATTAAATCCTATGAGGCGAATAGGCGGCGCAGGGGAGTTCTTTTTTAGTTGTTTTCTCCATCGATTTGCATACTTGCTCATACGAAGTTCTACCTAACTCAGATAGCTGCAGAACAAAATCCAGAAAGTTCTCTCGCTGGAACTAATGCACGTTGAAGCTATCATCTCTTCTCCTAACAAGTAGCCTTCGTTTGTTCGCGAATGTTGTACTACCTTGTACTCTTAAGTAGACCAAAGAACATTTATCAGACGAAACAAAACGATTGGAAGTCACTGTTCTGAGCAGGCGTAAGGTTCTGCTCAACGATTCCACGGCTGATCTCAATTGACAGTGCCCATACTAGCCATCCTGGCCATATGCAGCCATTTGCATAATTCAAGTTAAATCAATGTCTCGTATGGATAAACTTTGTGTTCACAGATCCTCAACCAAGTGTACTGGACTTAGAAAGCTAGATTGATGAAAATTTGGTGTGGTGATCCTGAGTTCTGAATGGCGTCAACATTGCCGTATTAGGAAATATCATCGCGAAGGTTGCCACGCCGATGATTCACGTCCACGTATCCACGTCCCCGGCGCTTGAACGCCCAGAGACGAGACGGTAATCATCGCGACATAGCTCTCTCTCTCTCTCTTTTCTTCCTTTCTTCCCCCGTTCCTCAATCGCCAGTTACCATCTTTGCATCCGAGTGACGCTCTCGTATTGAACAGCAGCTCATTCTTATGCGTTGTCTGGATTCATTTGAGTTCCGAAGCACCACCCAGATGTTTTCGAAGCCATTTTTCCTTTCTTGCTTGCTTGCTTTCTTTCTTTGACGTTTTGGTGATACCACCAATGGCCACGCCCAACTTGTCCACTCCTCCCCCAGCGCAGGCAATGGCGCATGGAACAGAGGACCGACAACATCAGTCCACAGAAGGGTCGACAAGGGCGAATGGCCAGCAGCCTGCAGCGGCAAATGTGAGTCCTGAGCAACGGCGAGGATGCCGCCCAGTTCGACAGGGCCGGTATCTCGCCAATGATCTGCCGCCTCTGTTTGAGCTAGAGGAGATTTTTGCAGACATGGCGTCAAAAGCCCAGAGGCTGGGATTTGCGCCTGTCCTCGATGCGCTCAATGGTCGACCACTTCGAGTGGCGACAATGTGTTCAGGAACAGAGGCTCCACTGTTAGCCCTGGAGATGATTCAATCGGGTAAGTTCGACAATTTTCCCTATTTGCACCGTCAGTCAAGTGTACCTTCATTGGAATGCACTTAACAGCCAGATCTGATGACCCCGACCGATCACTTTGCTCGGTTGAGAGGTTGAAGAAAGTTCGTGTTCGGGTCTGGGCTGTCGTTTGCTTTTCTAGCCCTAACGCGGCAGTCCCCGTAACCGCATTACGCGTCGCAAGTATTTGCTAATCACTTTTTATAGGTCTAGACGGGGACCACCAACTACTGATCTCGCATATTTTCAGCTGTGAGATCGTTCCGCTCAAGCAATCATACATCGAGCGGAACTTCCGCCCCCTCTTCTGTTTCGGGACATCACCGAACTTGGAGGCGAGCAAGCGTGGGTTCTTATTTAGACCACCTATTGCATTTATACTGACTATTTCTCCAGGCGGACTGCATATGGATCATTGGAGGTAATCCCCGGGGATATTGACATCTTAGTTGCAGGAACCGCCTGCGTCGACTTTTCTCCCTTGAATGTCAACAAGAAGACCCTGCAGCAAGGTGGCGAGTCTGGGGCAACATTTGACGGTCTCTTGCGATATGCAGAGAGATTCAGACCCCGATTGATTATCCAAGAGAATGTTCGCACAGCTCCTTGGGGAAAAATGTCGGAGAAGTGGGAAAAGCTTGGCTACACGTCGATTTTAGTCCCTGTCGACACGAAGCATTACTACATCCCACAGACACGCGAGCGTGGCTATTTGGTGGTCATTGACAAGCGCCGCTTGGAAGCAGCGGGCCTGATTGGAGACCACATGGATGGCAATAACCTACTCGCCGTCCATGAACACATTAGTGGGCTTGCGCACGAATTCCAACGGCGAGCAAGCTCATCTGTCGGGATGTTCTTGCTTGATGACGATGACCGCCGACTCGAGCTCATCGAGGAGAGAGCCGGTCTTGGTTCCCGAAGCGAAACCAGCTGGGACCAATACCAGGTTCGGCACCAGCGGCACCGCGACGAACGGGAACTAGGCAACGAAAGGCCAATCACCAGATCACTTCCCGGCATCAATGTTCTGAAAGCACCAGACTTTTACTGGCACCGCTATTGGCAGACACAGCCTGAGAGAGTGTGGGAGACGGTGGATATGAATTTCTTGAAGAGAGTTATTCAGTCATATGACATGAATTTCAAGGAGTACGTTTTTAATTTTGCCTCTCTCTCACTTCAGATTTCAGGACTAATTCTCTCATTTCTCACTCACAGGCGTTGGATTGACCTGTCCCAAGGTGTCGACCGAGGGAATGACAGTCTTGCCGCGAGTGGGATCGCGGGATGCTTGACGCCGAAAGGTATCCCGTTCGTGACCACTCGTGGTGGTCCCGTATCTGGCACGGAAGCTCTTTCACTACAAGGTCTTCCCCTCGATCGTATGTTGTTGGCAAGAGAAACACAGGCCGAATTGATGGACATGGCAGGAAATGCGATGACGAGTACCGTTGTCTGTGCAGTCATGTTGGCTAGCCTCATAGCCGTGCCGTCAATCCTTCACTCCGATGATGAGAGTCTACCACAGCCCAGCGTCAAAGAGGCCAAGCCCCTTCTCATCCCAAGCGAAGCCCACAGCCTTGTGAGAACCATCCTCCAAACCGCCGAAGCCCGATTCGTCAATCACGATGATCTCAAAGCCAACGCAGCAAGCACCGTTTTGCGTTGTGCATGCGAAAGACAGACTGGAGTTCAAGATCGTATTTTCCAGTGTCTTCTATGTGGACATACCGCATGCACTTCCTGTCATGGAAACCCCACACACTCGTATTCACCCATCTCCCTCCTCCGAACGGAGCCATCTGAGTTTATTGCACATATGACCGACATCATTCCCATGAGATTGACAATTTCTGGTCTATCCGCTTTGGACTTTGAGCCTTTCGAGCCCTTGTGCCCCCCGGACATCTCCCCTGGCTTCTGGAGTGACTTCATCGTTTGCATAGACTTTGCTTTGCACGATGTGTTTTGTTTCTTTGAAATCAAGCGTGGCAGAAAATGGCGTATTGCTTACAGGGGCACGCACTCGCATTTGCATCTTGAAATTGGTCCGGACTCCATCCAGTGGCTCTTGTTTGCAGAACCACCGAAGTCCGCTCCCGTGAGAAGCGTTATCAGAGAAGTCTTGGCCAAGCCAATTGCAAGAATGACGCCCTCTCAAGGGTCATTTGTTGATGGAGATTGGGAAATCTGTTCTCCATTGAGTCAACAATTTTCACTCCAAATTTTCGGCAAACAACAGCAGGTTCCATCATTTGAAGCTGAGTGTGGCTTGAAAGCTGCCGAGTTCGTGAATAGTAGAGTCTGGACTACTCTTTCTGTCGAAGGAAAAGCCATCGATATGGCAGGCCTTGATTATGATATTTGTGGGCTTTACTATTTTCTCCCTGACTGCGGTACAGCTCTTGGAGCGATGTACAGGAAAGACGCCACTGAAGTCACACCTGCAATCTTCTTGTTCCTTGACCCGACAAAGACTGGATTACCGGTGGATGATGCATGTGTGTTTTCCCTTGATCATAGTCGTCTGTCTGGCTATGAAGTGAGAGTGACCATCGCCGAGTTGTCCCCAGATTGGCGATCATTAGACGTTTCAGAGGAAGGGGCTCCTGCCAATGCTTTCTATCGCCGTTGGATCAAGCGAAGAGAAGCGCAATTGGTCTGCCGTGATGAGAATATTGCCTACGACGCTTTGCAGCAGGGAACCAAAGTCTCGATCGAGAGCAACAACTGTCACAGTGCTTGTATTACCCTTGCCTCGCTGTCAGCATCGGCGACGACCCTGAACCTTCCCAACATAACATCTCAATGGCAGTCATGGGACCCGGAAGACTCCACCCGAGTATTGAAGAGACTTGCCTGGCTATTTCCGAATGTTGCCGCATGGTCCGACTTCGAGGAATGGAACCACATCACTCACTCACACATTTCAACTAATGACGGCGATCAGTCCCATGGAAACTGCAATGTGTGCAACCCACCTTCACCTGGTATTATATGGGGCCGCGATAATCGCGGTAAAATCACACCATACGAGAACGCGCAAGAGGCTGCTGTCTATGAGCGTGCCATCAAGTCTCGACCGTCGCCTTTCTTGGTTTTTAGTCGACTGCATGGACCGATCAACGCAAATGAACCAGAACAAGTAGAACTGCGATTTACTTTGAACGTTCAGTCTCTCACGCATAGAGCTAGCGGGAAACTGTCTGAAGTCGCCAGCTACGAGACAATCACATCCAAATGGAGACTTCTGCCCAATGCGTATGACATGGCCAAGCAACCTAGCAGCTTGTTTACCTTGATGGACAACACCACCGATATCGCATCAAAGCAGCCACCCAACTTCAAACAGACCCTGCGCCATGAGCAGCTTCGGTCTTTGAGCTGGATGATCTCACAAGAATCTGAGCAAATTGAGCCATTCATGGAAGAAGAAGTTGAAGAGTCGGTCCTTCCCCTTCTGCCGTGGCGAGCTGAAGTCAAGGCCACAATTCCAAACACAGTTCGTGGCGGCCTGTTAGCCGATGAGGTTGGATATGGCAAGACTGCTATTGTTCTTGGTCTCATCGATTCCCAATACGAGACAGACTCTCAGATCATACATCCCGACGATGGATTGATTCCCACAAATGCAACTCTGATCATCGTGCCCTCCAACGTTTTCAAGCAATGGGCCTCGGAGATCCAAAAGTTCCTGGGTAGAAAATACAAAGTCCTGGCTGTGAACTCGATTAGCAAACTCACCATCCAGCAAGTCCAAGATGCTGGCATTGTCCTTATGTCATGGAGTGTTTTGGCAAATGATACCTACTACACCCGACTCCAACGGTTTACCGCAACACCGCAAGCTCCAGCAAGAACGGGCGGAGGAACAGGTCGTAATTTCGACAGCTGGTTCCACAACGCACGAACTTCCCTCCGAGAGATTATTGGTATTCTGAAGAATGATGGGCCTGAGGCGATGCTCCAAGAATTGGAGACCAGACGTCGCCAAGTTCAATTGACACAGGCCAATTCTACATATGTTCCATCGCGCCGCATCCGTGGTCAAGCATCCCTTGATGCCAATTCTGCCCGTGACAACTCGTCGGTTCCAGGAGAGGATTCTTCTTCACTGAGCGACTCTGGATACGAGGACCTCAAGAAGGCTAAAGCCAAAGCCAAAGCCCCGCCTGATGACCGCAAGGAATTCAACATCAAAACCACACCTAGACAAAACTGGTGCACTGTCAAAGGCGCTTTTGTCCATGCTTTCTCCTTCAATCGTTTGGTTATCGATGAATACACTTATGCCGGAGAAGAGCGACAAACCTCTCTGGTATCATTGCACGCTCGCTCTAAATGGATCCTTTCTGGAACACCAAATCTGAATGAATTTGCTGACATCAAGAGTATTGCCCGGTACCTCGGCCTTCATCTCGGCGTTGATGATGATGGTGATTGTGACAAAACCCAAAATTTGAGACTCAAAACCATTCGCAAGGACCACACAGCCGCCGAAGCATTCCAGATGTATCAGGCACCGCGCAGCAATGCATGGTACAAAAACCGCAGACTCCATGCCCAACATTTCCTCAACCGATTTGCGCGACAGAACGTCGCTCAGATCAAACACATCGAGGTTACGACGGATACTGTTACCACCGGGCAAACAACGACTGAAAAGAAAGCCTACGACGCACTGTTCCAAGCAGTCAAAGACAAAAAAAAGCGAATCGAAGGCCCTTTGAACAGTATCCTTTCCAAGAGCCAATGCGCGGAAGAGGCTCTCATCATGGCCTGCACAACCTCTCAGATAGGGAAACCTCTATGGAACATCGAAAAGTGTCTCAAAGGCGCAAGAAATGATGGAGTCAAATCTGCTGAGATCTGGGATAAGATAGATTCAGTGTGCCGTCAAGCAGCAATCCTTTGGTACCGCCACAGCATTGATCCAAAGGGATGGAAAGATTTCCAGACTAGTATCCCGAAGGACGAGATCAAAGACAGCATCACCCTCCAGAAACTTAAGTCTATTTTGGCAGATTGCTTCATCTCATACAAGGAGTGGACTCGATCCAGTCACGAGAAGTATCTCAATTCGAGCGATCGTCTCAACAAAAGAGAAGAGAAAATTCGCAAATCAGAAAAGCCCACTGCAGCTGCAGACACGGGAAGACGTTCCACCAGTGCTCAAGAAACCGAAGAGCCCCGGAAGCGCCCAGCCAAGCGCGCAAAGGTTGCAGAGACCACATCTGACGACGACCCAGAGGTGACAGCGGCATTGAAAAAGGCCCTTGCGACCGACTGTATCACGCTTCTCAAGCAGGTCTGTGAGATCGACCGTGAGCAATGCTTCTACGAGGCTATGGTGGATGTTCTTACTGCCGGAATTACACCATGCCAGGGCTGCACAACCGAAATCCCAGACATAGCAGATCTCAACATTCTCCAAACCTGCGGACACATCCTCTGCGCAAGATGCATGGTTGAGGCCAATAAGGATAAGACCTGTATTCTCGAAGGCTGCGATGTCCGGGTCTCACCATCAAAGACCGTCGTCGGCGCCACTCTGATGGACGTGAACAACACTGTTGAAAGTTCAAAACTGGACAAGCTTGTCGAAATCATCCATGGCATTCCAGAAGATGAGCTTGCTCTGATCTTTATTCAAATTGACCACCTCATGCCCGTGGCGTCGGATGCCCTTAAATCCGCCAACATTGAGCACCGCATGGTCACTTCAGCCAGCTTGAAAGGGCTCGAGGAATTCATCCGAGTCCCCAAACCAAAGAAGGGCCAAACATCACCACTTCCCCGGCCAAAGGCATTGATCCTTAATCTCGGAGGCGCAATGGCTGCTGGATTGTAAGTTACTTATACGCGTCCGATACCTGCTAGACAAATTCGCTGACCTTTTGACTTACAGAAACCTCCAATGCGCAAACCACATCATCTTCCTCTCGCCCTTATTCACATCCACCCAGCATGACTGGGAAGCCGGCATGACCCAAGCCATCGGTCGTGCGCGACGATACGGACAGCAAAGAACAGTCCACGTCTACCACCTTCTTGTGAAAAACACATACGACGTCAACATCTTCCAAGAGCGCCATGGGGGCAGACTCTTCGAGCGAAGTGGTGTCCCAGTCTTGATACCGAAGGGCGATATCCCTCTGCCCGGCGACCTCATGCTCGAAGGTGAAATGCTACCTGGCGACGATTTCGAATGAAAATACCCGCCTCTCCCCTTTCTCCCCTTTCTCCCACGCAACTACTGGATGAGCCAATGTGAGCTCGACTTCTACAAACCCCTCGAACCCAGTGGGGGTGTTGTTTTCAATCAATTGTCAGAGGACCCCGAATTCCCTCGACCTCCGAGGCAATGCCTCTTGGTCAAAGCAGATATGATTGATATGGTCCAACATCACTGTCAGAGTTTTTTTTTGTCGGATAAGTCAATGTGCAATTCGCACCCAGTACAGCCAATGTACTTAGTTCTAGCTAATGTCAATGTCATGAATGCAAAGTTCAAATTCAATCAAGCCCAAGTGTACTACGCGAAGGCCAAACAGCATACCAATGGTAGGTCCTCATTAGTTTGAGAAAGTAAATATGCCAATTCGGGCGAATTTGACATAGGCCTAATGAGTACACCTGAGTACTCTATGAGTTCGTCACGAGGTTTGTACCCTTTGGATGTGCTTGTATACCTCTCTCGTGGGAGGATTAGTCGCGAAAGCCTATATGCTTATGAAATTTTGATGAGCAGTTCGAAGGCGAAAGGTCTTAAGGGAAAAAAAGATGCGATTGGTCCTGCTTCCACAGCAATTGGGCTAGATGTACATCTAGACTTCAATCGCACAAAAAAGTACCAGGAACGTACTGTACATAATGAAATGACAAAGAGAAAAGAAAAAAGACGCCTCAAAAGTGGTAATCATTCAGGGCGCCAGGGGGCGCGGGAACCTCTATCATCGTGCTGACCGCGGTGCCCCGAGGCGGCTTCTGCTCGTCCAGTCGAAAAAAACACAACCATTATAATATCCTCACATCGCAACTGACCCACGGCAATGAAAAGAACCTTTTATATTTTTCTGTTTCCTTATTGCTGGGGCGCGGCGTCCAATGCACCGTCCTTGCGCATCATGACCTCGGGGTTCCACACGGGCACATCGGTCAGGTTGGTGAGACCGGCGCTGTTCTCACAAGTGTCGCGTCCGCTCAGCGGGCCGGGGGCGGGAATCTTGCCGGTGGAGGCGGAGTCCTTGAGGGCAGTCAGGATGGTCTTGATGGACTCGGGGGTCAGGTCTTCGTAGTAGTCGTCGTTGATCTGGACCATGGGGGCGTTGACACAGGCGCCGAGGCACTCGACTTCGACGTATGTGAAGAGACCGTCCTCGGTAGTGTGGCCGGGGGTGATTCCGAGGTGCTCGGTGATGGCCTTGACGATGGCGGTACTACCGCAGCCACCAAGCTGGCATGGGGTCTGGGTCGAGGATTAGAATTGTTTTGCGATATTACAGAAAAGAATTTCTTACCGTTGTGCAAATCTGCACGAAGTACTTGCCGACGGGCTCGCGGTTGTACATGGTGTAGAAGGTCGCGACCTCGTAGACACGCATTGGGGGCATCTCGAGCATGCGAGCGACCTCGTTCATGACGCTGATGCTGGTGAAGCCGTGCTGGCGCTGGCCAAGGTCGAGGAGAGGCATGACGGCAGCCTTCTTGTACTGGGGAGGGTAGCGCTTGAGGATCTCATCGGCGAGTGTGAGGTTCTGCTCGGAAAACTTGAACGGGAGGGTCGGGTTGTTGTAGGGCTTGTTGCGGTGCTATTCGAAGCAATCATCGTTAGTATATGCATCCGGAATGGCCAGGGTTCGAGATATCATTTGCACCCCAAGCGCTGGAGGGGTCAGGAAGAATACGCACCACGGAGAGGGAGTCGCTGAGCCGTTGCGAACCGGCGGAGAAGGCTCTGTATTGGGACTTGGGGAGCTGGTTAACCAGCTGGCGGCCAACCCGCGGGACGGAGAAGAGTTGAGAAGCCATCGCGAGCGACGAGGGAGGGTCAATTGGTGTGGAAGTTGTGGTTGGAGGTTGAAGGAAGACGATTCAAGGACAGGGCGTTTTGCGGGTGGATTCTGTGGCCAATCAGCGCTCGTACATTACTCCCGCTTTACCAATCCTCCGTCCCACAGCTCTTCGACTTCAACTTTTGCAACATCACGTTGCATTTTGTTTTGTTTAATTAACTGCTTGACTTGTTATGTTGCTCGCTATCTACAGTCCCAGAAATATGGATTTTGAAACCTTAAGTTCATGGTGTCAGCCATATGAATGTGGTTTTATGCATGATACTACAACCAAGGATCACACACAATGGCACTAAACATTCTCCATCTTATACACCTCATAAGCAACCTCTTCATAAGGATGTGCCTTGATGAGGGCATCTACTGCGCTCAGCATCACATGTCGTCCCAGGCACATGACCTCGATCCTGAGCTCCTCGCACCGTTCCAAAGCGCCGACAGCCCCGACCGCTGGGTCTGCGCCTTCGTTGGGTAAGAATTGCCCGATGCCGGCTGTCTGGAAGCAACACTTCGTATATTTCCCGCCTGGGAATGACCCTGCGCCCGCTGCAAAGATGGCTTCTTTACAAGGCTCTGCGTTCTCGGTCGGGACGAAGAAGACAAGTTTGTAGCGGTCTAGAATAGCGGATGTAGACATCTTGTAGTTCAAACTGAAAAACTTGGATCCTTGATGTTTGTCGAGGTGGGATGGCCCGATATTGCAGTGGTAGTGGCTTGGGCTGGTCGTGAACGCTGATATAGGGCGTAGTGTGTGATACTTTCCAGACCGCAGTTGGAACTGTAACGTAGACCTCGGTAGGCTCCAGATTCTTGGATCGGCGACTCGATGCATGGGAGGATGTTCTGAAACTGTCCACGGGTCCTGTCAGATGTGACAATGCAGGCGGCCCAAGTGAGATGTTGCGTTAGTGCCTAGTTTGTAAGGCAGACATGATATCAATCCAAATCCCATCCATGGATGCTTTCTTCCAAGGTACTTACTTCCAAGGTTCCGAAACAGATAAACAGAAATTGTTGAACTTGTCATGCTCCTGATATTTATACTGAAGTTGAAGTTGGTATACAAATGTGTTGAAACACAGGGTATCAGATGCATCGCTCCCGCCCTCCACAGCCCGAAATAACCCATCCCTTCTCTGTACGCTGAACAAAATCATGCAGCAATGGTGTGCATATACTTCTTAACATGAGCCTCAATGCTCTCCAGAATCTCGGCTTTGCGGCTATCCTCAATCCAACTCTCCTGAACGCTGTTTTCCGCAATGATCTTCCACTCCAAAACATTCAGGTTGAACGCCTCCTGCACGGCATAGTAGTTATCGAGAATATAACCGCCGAAGTAAGCGGGATCGTCACTGTTGATCGAGAATTTCACACCGGCCTCCAAGAATTTCCGAATGGGGACTTCCTTCACAGACTTGACGCAGCGCAAGCGCACATTTGACAGTGGGCAGACGGTAAGCAAAATACCCTCACGAGCAACGCGCTTCATGAGCTCTTCATCCTCAATCAATCGAATACCATGATCAATGCGCTGCGCACCAAGCTCAAGTGCAGTGCTGATATAGGTAGGATCGCCTTCTTCTCCAGCATGAGCGGTCAGCGGGATGTTCTTCTTCGCAGCCGAGGCGTAAATATCACGGAACATGTCCTTAGGCGGACCGACTTCGGAAGAAGACCAGCCGAGGCCGTGGACGGTACCGTTCTCAAAAGACTTGTGAGCCACCATCTCATCATATAATTCCTGCGCGGACGCGACAGGGAGATGGCGCACGAAGCACAGAATCAGCTTAGTGGACAAACCGAGCTCGGACTCGGCGCGCTTGCAGCCCTTGGTGAAGCCGTCGACAATGGTGTTGTATGCGACACCGCGACTTTCGTGCACCTGCGGGTCGAAGAAGACTTCTGCGTGATGGACGCCATCAGCGTGCGCTTTCTGGAAGTAGGCCCATGCGAGATCGGCAAAATCTTGCTCCTCGCGGAGCACGGCCATGCCTTCGAAGTAGAAGTGCAGGAAATCGTCTAGGTTGCTAAAGTGCTCATAGCGCTTCTTGAGAGTCTCGACTGAGGTATAAACTGGATCTTCTGGCAAGGTGATGCCATGGCGTGCGGCCAGCTCGAAGATCAGTTCTGGCTCCAGAGTGCCTTCGAGGTGGACATGGTGCTCGCACTTGGGGAGACCTTGGAGGAATTCGCGCATAGGGGATTGACACATGGCTGTGAGGTGTAAAACTTTATTTTCCCCTTTTCTTGCTTCTGTTCGATTTAAAGAGAGGATTCTTTTTTTATGAAGATAAAAATGTGGGTGAGTTTCAATTCTCCCCCGCCGGTGGAGGCCGGTGTCTTAGCCTACGGGCGAGACCGACTATAAAACCTCATCTAAGGCAGATAAATTCAGATAATGAGTCAAAACAAAAACAAAAATCAACACCAAATTACGATGCACGCAATCTTGCACTCAGCCATGGATTACCTTGCTCTGCCCACGTTAAAATCTGCCAGAGTCGATGCAATCAGGGCTAATCACCTGGCAAGATCCTCCGAGAAAATGCCGCGACTTGAAGCGCTAAGCCTCTTTAACCATAATGGAGCCTATCTTGCCATCCTTGGTCGACTTTCTTTAGATGCCTTTGATAGATCGACAGAGATTTTGGCGGTTCAAATGTTTGCGCTTTTTTATTTTCCGTTCGTTGGCATATGGGCTTCTTCTGGTCCAATCGAAAGCATTCACCCAACTACGTGTTCATCCGTAGAACCGTTCCAAGGTTGACGGAAAACTATAATAATCGTCCCTATTCTATCTGCATGGTCTCTCGTATTAATTGCTACTATGCAAGGCAAGACCCATTGTCAGCCATCATGGCCTTGACACAAATTGATCTTGTCGCACATTTTACAATCTTTTCTACCCTTGTCATGCCATTGGACTCGATCGCGAGACACAATCTCTAATGGTAATTGATATAGCAAGGATTCACTGCCCACTGCGAAGTATCACGATTGCTTAAAAGGCCGATGCGAACCTTGGAAGTCATTGTAGTGTCAATGGTCATTGCGGTCTGAATCGACAACAAAAGCTTCAACCAGCAAAGTCCTACATGGCCCTCCACTCATTACAGTGGTATCTTGTTAAAACTCATCAAGTCACACTCTGCTAAAAGTTAGTCTCTCTTATCTGTGGGGATTTCAGGGCATACGCAAGGAATCATATGCGCTCCACTTGGGGTTGATATAAGCTTTGACGGAGGCCTCCGAGCAGCGAGTTTCCAGAAGCGGAGCACAAAGCCAAGGATCGACAAAACGGGAAAGTCCAAGATATTCTTGATCTTATCAACAGTCTATTGAATTTCAAATATACTCGTAAATCATCTAAGGTCGCAATTCAGCACCAGCCGCCTTCCGCAGTCGGTTCATAACAGCCGCCGCAAGGTCGCCCTCGCTATCTGGAACGCCCTCCACGTAAATCACATCAACATCCAGATCATCCAATGCACGAAGCGCAGCGAAGAGGCCATGCGCAATAGAAGCGGTATCCGGCCCGATGTAAGTATCGTACGCCATTTTGGTGCGACTGCTGGGGTTGCCAGTCTCCTGAACAGGGATCGGGAAGCTGACTAGATCCTCGATGGGAGCAGATACTGGCTTCACAGTACTAGCGATTTCGGCTTCTGGTGCGAGCTCCAGACCCAGGTTCCAGTTGCGGGTGCGGATGATACCAATGTTGTGGGCGCCAATTGCGGAGTCCCGTAGATCCTTCTGGACATGCTTCACGACACCAGCTGGGCTGGATGTGGGCTCGAATAGTACAACTCGGGCTTTCGGTGAGTAATGACGATATTTCATGCCTGGGGCACGGGGGATTTCTTTCACGTCTAGAGTGCCGTCCTTGTAGGCGACCACAACGTTTTCCCATCCTTCGCACTTGCGAATCTCGTCAATTCCAATGCCTCCGGGGCGCAGGATGGCTGGCGGGTCGCAAAGGCCGTCAACGACGGTGCTCTCGACACCGACGCCAGACGCACCGCCATCCAGAATCAGATCGATGCGGCCTTGGAGATCGTGATATACATGCTGCGCGGTGGTCGGAGAGGGCTTTGTAGATGCGTTGGCGGAGGGGGCAGCGAGGGGACGGTCCGTTGCGTGAATTAGAAGGCGAGCGAGAGGAGAAGAGGGCATGCGCACGCCAAAGGTGGTCAGCTTTGAAGTGACCTCGGGCGCCAGTTCGGATCCGGATGGGTTTGGTAGGATAATTGTGAGTGCGCCGGGCCAGAATCGGTCGATTAGAGACTTGTAGATCGAGGGAACCGTGATTGGCGGCGTCTTGGTCGAATGAGGACTGCTCGGGGAGCTTGGATTGAGCAGGCGATCAAGCATCTCCAGTGAGTCGACGTGAATAATCAGAGGATTGTCCGAGGGCCGCTGTTTCGCTCGGTAGATGCCCTGGACGGAAGCACTGCGTGTGGCATCGGCTCCCAGTCCATAGACCGTCTCAGTGGGAAAGGCAACCGGAAGGTCGCTGGAACGAAGGAGCTCAGCGGCTTCTTCGATAGCCTTGGATTCCGGTGTTTGCTGGTTACGCTCCTGGTTCCACCATTCGGCCAAAGACAGGTTCCCGGGTCCTTGACTGAGCCGCTGAACGGAAACAACTCGTGTAGGTGTAGCCATGGTGGTGAAGAGTCTGGCACAACTGCGCTGCCAGTGGCCGGTGGTAATGCGAGTAAAATACAACTTGATGTTCGCGAGAATCTCAATGACGCACCATTCAGGCGCGCTAAATGAGGGGCGGAATGATGCCCGAGGGGCCGAGTTCCAATTACGCGGAAAAAGTTGTTGCAATAGGCCTGAGATCTAGGATGAAATGGCTATCATGCTGCACGATGCCGTCAGCGATAGCAGGCGAGGTCCTCCGACGTACGAAGGTCGCGAAGAAATTCGATTGGGATGACGTCGCGAATATGATGACTCATCTTGGGCGCGAGCCCTGGAGCCCTGGAGCCCTCTTTAGAGCGACAAGGTTGGCCTAGAGGCAGGAATAGGGAAAACGGCATTGTTCACAGAGAAGAGTCCTTCCTTGTAGCTATATTGATACACAGCTGTAGTTGATATAAAAGTACACAATGCGGGGTTTGTGGCTGATCAGCTGTAAGAGTGCCGGGGTTGAAATCAACATTTGATAGATACAGAGAAGTATATGTAAAGATCTATTCTATGTGACACTGTACATCTATACAAAACACTCATTTCTTCTTGCCCTTGGAGCCCCCCCTTTCCACCACCGCCGCCGCCTTTTCCACCTTTGGCTTTGCCCTTATCACCGCCGCCGCCCCCAACTCCTGCGGTCATGATGCGCACTTTGCCCACGACCATGGTGTTGATAATCTCTGTATCCTTCCAACCCTTAATTAGATCACCCTCTCGCTCTCGGAGGCGTTCCGCATCGGCACGAGGAACTCCAGCCTCTTCGGCATGCTCCTTCTTGACCTTTCCAGTGGTAGTCTCGGACACCCAACGACCAACGATTTCCTTGACAGCCTTGCCCTTCTTTACAGCACCAGGCTGCAGCTTGACCTTGTATTTGTAGCGTCCCAGCGCAGCCCATGGGGCACAGACGGGAATCGCAGCGATCACTTCATCGTCTACCGTCGGTGTACCAATCAAAGCTGGAATCCAGGTAAGATCTGCTGCTTCCGCGGCAGCGGTCTCTTCATTGTAATCGTCCGTCCCATTTTCTGTGAATTGGGCTTGGCGTTTGCGCTCGGCTTCGGCTGCGCGCTCATGTTGAGCCCGGCGACGTTGTCTCTGCGCCTCGGCATCCCGTTCGCGCTGTTCCTTGGCTTCGGCCGCCTTGGCCGCCTTTGCGGCCTTTCCTTTGTTTGCACCGACAAGACGAAGGGCAAGCTCGCGTTCCTCGTCGTCTTGGTGAGCATACTTAGCAGCGGCACGCTTGTCCTTTGCTCGCTTAGCCCGGGTTGGGGCAATGCGCGGTGCAGCGGGTTCTTCGGGTCGGTCCAGAGGCTTACCCTGTCGCAAGGTGCGACGCTCACGAGCAGACAATTTAGGGCTTTCTGGCTCAGTGGGCTGGCCCGGCGTGAGCGAAGACTGTTCTTCGCCTTCCACTTGTTCGGGAATGTTTTGCTCGTGCTCTTGCTCATCCTCGGGTTCTTCCGCATGCTCCGAATCGGACTCGGACTCAGACGCCTCTGGTTGTTGCTGCGTGGCTGGCAACTCAGAATCACCCCGCTGAAGAGGGTTTTTCGCGGCTGCCTCGTCGTCTTCATCTTGCTCATCTTCGGAGGCTAAGTCTTGCTTGTCATCTCCAGCGGCATCGCCATTCGACTCCTGAATAGGCTCCGTGTTATCCGTAGCAGCTTCGGCCGAGGGTACATCAGTCAGTTCAGGAGTTTCGGCCTGGGTCTCTTGGGTGGCAGCAGGCCGAGGAACATCGGCGGTGTCAAATAGCTGCTTATGGTTTCGTACGCTCTCCTGGCTGACTTGGAACATGATACCAAACCCAAGCACCAATTGCGATGGCGCCAAAAAGTTCTTCTCGCCCTTGATCTGGAAGACACCGGTCGGCATAATGCCACTGCCGTTCTCTGCAATTTTTGACACCAGTTGAGCATGCACCCACCAAGCAGACATTACGGCCTTGGAGTCCCACGCGGAAGATGTTGCGACGGAGAGATTACCAGCCTGGGAAAGTGTACTTGGAGGAATTGGCGCATCTGCGTATCCAGGACGATTCTTCACAACCATTGGTGTCGCACCCTCCAAATCAGCATGAACAAAAATGTCGCCCTTGGTCAAATAGCGTCGGTATAATAGTTCACTTTGCATGGAATCCCGTGCGCTGTAGAAATTAGCAAATATTACAGATTACAGTCTGAGGTGTGACGTACCCAAGAACCAAGTACCCCTCGGAAGAGATGAAGAAGATGAACTTTTCAAACCAGAATGGCGTCCGTGATTGCCGCAAAACTTGCTTCTCTTTCTTCAGGCCCTTCTTGAGATCAGTCGTCACTTTCTTCTCATGACTTTTCAGCGCCATTGCGGACGACTGGGTAGTTCTCTGTTCTTTTTCCGATGCTTGTTTCTTTTGGTCATAGTATTGCGAAGCATTGGCCCAAGGGCTCTGACCGAGATCAATATCGATCGTCAGTTGCTTGGATTCGCGATCCGCGCGTTTGGTCTTCTCTTCTTCCTCGTTGTCCGAGTCAGATTCCTCATCTTCACTGCTGGAATATTCTTCATCCTCATCCTCGTCCTCATCACCAGCTTCTCCAAGGAGAAGTGTGACTGTGTTCTCGTAAAGCTTCAAGGGCAACTTGATGATTTGTGCAACTGGATTGCCGCGACCTTGTTCCATCTCAATCAAACGCGCAATCTCACCCCAATCCATTCCTTGGGCCACAAGGCCATTGACAGCATCCATCGCCTCTTGAACGCGATAGACATTGTCTTGTATGGCATCAGCTTTGCGAATGTGGAGCTCTTGTGCATCCTTCAATGCATCAATTCGCTTCTTATGCTCTTGTCTCACTGATTCAAGCTTTTTCTTGGCTGCCTGTTCGCGCTCCGTCAAACGCGATTCAAGTCGCTGCGATTCTAACGAAGAGAAGTATTCATCGACTGTAGCATTGAAGCGCTCAAACTCAAGAATTTTGACTCCTGGTTTGTCTTCAAATTGCTTGGGCTTAAAGGGGTGGAAGTCTTCATAGAGAAGACTGGGGGCTTTAGTGGAGCCCTCTTCCTCGGAGACGGATCGGGTATCCTCCTTAGCGACAATGTAGCCTGGATGGCTGTCACCTGTATCAAAACTGATAGAGATACGCTGCGCTTCTTCCAGCACATCTTGCACCTGTTTCAACAGATCTTGACTTTCCAGGACTTTGTCTAGCGGGGTGGTAGTATCGAACTGCTTGACCGCGAAGACATGATCCAGTAGCAAGGGAGGGTATTCTGGGAACCCTTGTGACAAGGCTTTACGCAAAACATCCGTGCCTTTCTTCTTTGATTTCTTGGGTGCACTTCCCTCCTGCGCAAAGAGGGCCTGAGCTTTCTCCAATGTCTGCTTGACCCGGTCTGCCGTAATATCCGGCACTCCATCGTAGTTTTGCTTGTTGGATATGGTGTAAGGAAGACCAAGCTTGATCTCCTCTTGTCCCTCGCCGGGAGCAACCTGTCGGAACAAAGCAAGAATGTTGTGCTCGCGGTCCGTCAAAATGATGTTACCACCGGCGAAGAACTCGAGGAAAATGTGGTATGCCCCATCGCTGAAAGTGATATCGATGATACGATCCGTTCCAATTTGGGATATAGCTGTGATTCGACGGGACTTTAGGTATTTGCGCAGACGAGTCACAAAGGGTGAAGGCGTGGTGGCCGCAGTTCGGGAATATTGAGTGACATGAGTGCGGAATCCGGAGTCCACTATAAGTTGGCGACGATGGTCCGGCTTGGCAAGTTTGAAAAGAAAGATGCGCTAGACAATCGTCATTAGTTCAGTCCTATTGGCGCGGTGTGAAGACCAAGTCATGAGCATACCGAGGAGAGGTCGTAAATATTGGACACGCGGAGGTTGACGCACTCCGACGCCAGCTCCTGCGAGATGACCTGGGACTGTTAGCTCAATTTTGACAGCTTCGATATGATTGACATACTTTAACATCCAAAGACGAGAATCTCTGCTTCATGGTGGTGTTGTTGAGGAGAAGAGGATTTTTCGAGTGTGACGTATGCGGGGCAGGAACGATCGGAGTCCCAAATCGGAATAGCGGCCACTAGGCATTAAGTCAACTTTTCTTCGAGCAATCTTTGACTATCAATCAATATTGAATACCTAGGTAGAATACCCCATGCGTTCATAGAAATATGTAAAGGTATTCTGGTACAATATCTTCTTTTATCTAGCCTCAGCTTCAAGTTTTGAATATTTCGTTGGACGCAAATGTACCACCCTTGCTTGTCTACAGTGCATTCGCCGACTTGGAATGAAGTCATCTAATATGGATCTGGTCATCAACTTTTACCCTCGAACTAAGATGCCCGCCGGGCGAGGTAGGGGAATTTGACCTATGGAATTGCAAACCTTTCCCCTCTCTATCGCCTTCTACCATCGACGCACCGGATTAATAGTCAAGCTGACATCCACATGAACAGCCAATATCCCGAGGCATGGCGCTGCTCAATTCATTGTTCAAATGTGTCCTCGGCGAGAGGGTAAACGAACTGCCTTGCTCCAGTTCTCCCAATGCCGCGAGCCTGTTGCGTCTAGCATTGTCACACGGATCCCGAATGCCAATTACTCTATCTGCATGAAAAACAACCGAAAGAGAAAATGTGTCTGTCTGCCAAAGACAATTTGCTAGATATCTCCTCGGGGAAATTCTGTCAAAATATGTCTAGCGGCCCGGACACGAAATGGCATCGGTTTGTCTAAACGCTGGTCGTTTCAAGGGGATAAGTGCTCACCCCAAGGGCTGAAGCGTAGAAAGGCAGAAAATCGTGGTAACCCATGGTGAGAAAGTCTCCGTCAAACTTCTAAGTGCTAAAATTTTTCCTTCGAATTCTCTGAGAAGCCGTGACTATGCTATAGTTCCCGGGCCAAGCTAACCGGATAGAGAAGTTGTTGGAAGAAAGTTCCACTTTCCAGCCAATCAGCCAATGATATTTGTGTTGTGCAGCCGCAAGAACGTGGATATACTTCTATCACTCTGAGAAGTTCGCTTTCCACTTTGCCTTCAGAATCTGATTATAAAATCCCCTTTTGCAAGTCTTCCTCTTCATCTTTCTACACACACTTTGCTCCCAAGGCTGAGCAGCTCTCCCTCCTCATCCATCTCTATACCTACTCCGTCGATTCCTATACAACACACACACTTATTCACCACCGTCATGGCCCAGTCACAAATCACAAGAGGCCTTCTAGAGAAGGCGAATGTGGCGCAAGATATCTTCAAATTGCGCCCAGACTATCGTGTCCTGCTCATGGTTGTTGAGGGCATCTCTCCCGGACCCAGTGACGAAGCCAGCGAGTCCCTTCTCAAGGAAGCCGAGTCCTGTGTCAAAGACCTGCTATCAAAGCATCCCATCACCGAGATTCCCACACATTGCAGCAAGGCGCGAAGCCTACAAAGCCTTCGGTGCAAAGCCGCAAAAGACCCAAAACAGTCTGGAGGCATTGACTCGTCGCGCAAAAAATGGTCTACCCAGGGTCAATCGGCTGACCGACATCTACAATGCCATTTCGATCAAACATCAAATTCCATTTGGCGGTGAAGATCTTGATAAATACAACGGAGCGCCATTCTTGATCCGCGCCACCGGACAGGAGCAATTCCAAACTTTCTCCAGTGGGGAACCGACCACAGAACTTACTGCCCCTGGGGAACCTATATGGTGCGACAATACTGGCGTGACCTGTCGTCGCTGGAACTGGCGACAGGGTCCCCGTACTGCGTTGAGCGATGATACCACTCGCGTGCTGTTTATCTTGGATGCATTGGAGCCGCTCTCTAACGAAGTTCTTCTCCACGCAGCCGACGAGCTTGCCTCGGAGCTGAAGAAGACTTCTCCGGAAGCGCGGGTCTCGCAGCGGCTTATTGGTGCATCGGTGTGAAGCTATTGCTGTGCATAAGATCTTCAAATATGGGCACCAGCTTACTTTGTACACAGAGGGTCTGACAAAAAGATTCGAGTCACCTTACTATATAGACCAAGACAATGTATCACATTCAGCATTCAATTCCTGTGAAATACATCAGAACCTTATTTTTTACGCACCAAAACCTTGGAGCGACCACAATGTCTAATCCAACATCCCGCACGAACTCACATTCCGGCAAGATCGATCCCATTCCGCTTATCACCTAGAAACCGAGTTTGTTTACCCACAAATACCGACAGATCGCGGAATGTTCAACATCCCACTACTGTATTAAAATAGATCGGTTGTTGATAAATCGAGCTTCGGCACCCTTATCTCACTCATCTATCCACACCTGAACCCTCATCAATATACGAGCCCTACCACATCCACTTGAAAAATATATCTCATTCACCTCAATATGAAGCTCACAATTTTCCTCCCACTTACAGCCTTCTTATCCTGGGCAGTGGCTGAGACTGCAGATGCTATTGACAAAGCCAGTCCCTGTCTTGTATGTACTCCACGATCTATATGAGGTCCGCCCAGAAGACTAACGATATATTGTTTGTCTGAGTAGAATCGATGCCTGTCTGAGGCTGCTGCAGTGTCAGGCTGTATTTCCTCGGTTGATGCCAAATGCACCTGTCCTAGCGTTCCGTTCAAGGACGCGCTCACGACATGCTTGAAGGCTGCCTGTACAGAAAATGACATCACAGGTAAGCTTTCTTCACACTCTCCTGACCCTCTGAGGTTCAAACTTGACTCTACTCTCTCAAGTGGACGTCGCAATGACCTATACCAAGACATGGACTGACTGTTCTCACCATAGTTGCCGGAGAGATTCACAAAGAACGATGTGATGGAATCACTTCATAAAAGTCTGGATATATATCACTGTCTATACAATAATTTTCTAATCTATTATGTTCAAGTATCTCGGGGCTCGAATTAGCAAACTCCAGGGGTGCGGCCAATTTCATGCCTCAAAAGTGGTTCAAGACTGTAGATGTTGCCCTGTATATATTCCCCGGGGTGTCTGGTTGAATAACCACTTCCAAGGTTCCAAGATGGATTCCAAGGTTTCAATGGCACGGAAGAAACAATATCTATAGATTTTGTCACCAAAAAATATAATACTGTATTTGTACTTGCATACTGAATATCTGCTGCTATTTAGGCCCAGAAGACCGTGACATGACGCAGATCTCGGGACATGCCTGGGGTTGATCACTCTGGAGTAAAGCGGATGACGTTACCGATTTTTTAGCCTTTTAGCTTCCTGCACTGATCAGCACAGATAACCCATAAGGGTCGGTCTAGACTTGAAAGTTCACTCAGAAGGGCCCCGGGTACCTTGGAATCCATGATAACTGCCGTTATACCGCGGGAGTATCAGGAATTTTAAGGTTGGTTCTTGGTAGCAACCCACCGGGGTTGCGCTAGTCACAAAAGACGATGGGTGTGCCGAAGTTTAAGCAGCTAGGCGGTGCCAGGTGATGCTACGTCTACAGGGAAAAGTGCAATGACTGGGATGTAAAAAAAACGCCCATGGAATAACTCCATCATTGCGATTGCACGAGACTGATATCAAGATAGGTGGGAAAAGGCAAAGACAATAAAAGAACATTCAAGTATTTTTGTCGTTCTGAACTTCATATTCTGAATAACCCATCACCATCTAAGCAAGGTTCTCGTAGGCGTCGGGGAAACGCTTCATGTTCTCCTCGATGAGACCGTGGCCACGGAGGAACTGAACGTAAGCACCGTCGGAGCGGAGCTTGCCCTCCTGGCGGAGCTGGACGTAGTCCTCGCGGCGGACGGGAGTGAAACCCCAGTTCTTGGAGACAATGATTTTTTGGCGGCCGGGGAACTTGTACATGGAGCGGCGGAGGGCCTCAAGAGCGGTAGCGCGGTGGGCGTCACGGGTGCGGACGGACAGAATGATCTGGCCAATGTTCACACGGGCGACGAGACCCTGGGGCTTACCGAAGGCACCACGCATACCGGTCTGCAGACGATCGGCACCAGCGCAAGACAACATCTTGTTGATACGGACGACGTGGAAGGGGTGGACGCGGACGCGCAGGTGGAAACCTTCCTTACCGGCGATCTTCACGAGGTACCTAAGAGAAGCGTTTGTGAGTTTGCGTTCATGGGGGCGAATGATTTATAATCGGATCGGGTGACGTACTTGTTGGCACAAATACGGGCGGCCTCGAGAGCCTCGGAGGAGAGCTGCTCGTACTCGTTGGAAACGAGGTGGACACACATGGGGAAGTCATCCACGTTAGCCTTCTTACGACCAAGATCGAAGATACGAATCTTAGGGTCGGGAACACCACGGTTGAACCGGGACTTGGGGTAAGGCTGGATGGAAAATCATGTTAGTTAAACCGTTCCTTCATTCAATCGAGAATATCCTCCAAGTCCGTGATAGCCAGTGCTTCCTTCGAAAGACGATCCGTGTGGCGAGGTTGAGCATCATGCTCGATGCACTTCCTCCCCCACAACCGAGAAGTCCACACAAATCTTCACATCTGAACTTGCGAAATCGAAACGCACCTTGTTCTTGCAGTAGCGGTAACATCTCGCGGGACGACGGGCCATTTTGAGTGCTGGAGTGTGGTGATGGCACTTCCTGCGAACTGGGTGTGGGTTGTCGGTGGTATCGAGGGTTCGGAAAGAGAAAGAGAGAAGTCTCCCACGGTCACGGGATTATCTGATTTCAAACCAACTCGGCCCGTGCGCACCGTGGGCTGAGTCATCCTCACACCAAATAGGGCAAGAACCCTACGCTGCAAACCAAGCAAACATGATACGAAACGACTCCACTTGCAGCTTGGTACCACCTTGCTCCACAATACTCCGTATCATGGATCTAGTTATACGGAGTACTTGAACGATCTCTACAGACTCGACTTCGTACATCATAGAGTGAGGGACAGCAAATGGCTCAGCATTTCATCCTCGGGGCCCGACACCTCCGCTTAGCACCCCAACACAAATTTCGACCCTGGTTTTAAATGCTGAATTTCAAATACTACGGTCGGAAGAAACTTGATTTAGCCTTACTCCGTACTTAACATGGAGTATCAGAAAGAATGATTTTTTGGTTCATGGTCTTGTAAGCCTTATGTAGAAATAAATTCTTGGAGATTCCAGGAAATGTCTAGATAAGAATACTGTTGCTGAGGTGATGCCATCTGCATTAAAGAGGTATAACACTCAATTGTGGCGTATGCTCTGGACTCTGGAGCACTCTCTCCCAACAGCGTGTTGGCTTGGACGGTGTTAAGCAAGTCTCTTTTTCCACCTCGAGGTCCCAACTTCACCACGGGCAAGGACCAAATTAGGTTGATCGAGACATGGGCATGTTTCTAAATAGTCTCCATCGAGATTTATCATCCCGAGCAGCAAGCTATACAGTACAAGCCTCAGTGCCGCGCTCACGCGCGGCCAAAAAGATGACAATAGTTACTTGTAAATAGGTATAGTTATATATTAGCTTAATCTTATATTTCAATTGGTAAAGAAATAGAACTATCATCAACTGTGGGACCTTTTTTTAATTATCATTCTAACTATCTTTCTAACTACTCTGTACTCTATTTCTTTTAAACTGTCTTTTAAACTGTCTTTTTAGCTATCTATCCAAGATTCCAACCAATTATCAACTTATCATGATTAGTCAAGAAATAGAAGTCTTGGCTAAGCCGTGAACAGAGAATTAGGGATTAGAGACCCATTTGAGTCATGGATCTTCTTTCAAATGTCGACACCTCGCATCTCTGACGGTAGTGATAGAGAGTCATTTTCTATTTGATAAAGATATAGTTGCTCATACAGTTCCAAGGTAGATGCTGCCTAGGCGATGTTGGCAAAATCCTGTCGCCTTTTGGTCAGAAGACGTTTTTCTCTGGCTGGCTTAGTTACTTGCCTTAATTGGGTATCCTTTTTTCAAGCCATTTCTAGGTCACTCTAGCATATTTACACTTGAGCCTCAGTGATTGACAGAAGCTCTGCCTATACTGTCTAAACTGACGAGTAAAATGAACCACATCTCTGTGCTAGGAATGGGTTGGTAGTGAAGAGAAAAGAACAATGGATTGGTGGTGTCTTGATAGTAATTGCCGTCAGCCTAGCGAGAGATAAGCATGAATCTGTGAGTGTTGCGCTAGACAACAGAGAGAGAGTCTTGGCAAGGAGTCACAGGGTTGACATGGAGATAAAAACAGTGTGCAGCGTACGGAGTTCCGTACAGCGCACTAGTCGTTGTTCAATGTACACTGTGGAGCCGGACGCTAAAAACGGCATAATGTGGCCTGAGGCACAATTGTATTGCCTCTTCACTCAGGTTTCACTTGGGCAGCGAGTGTCCAACAGATCAACTTTATTAATGTCTTGAAATACCTTCTGCTTTTCTGCTTTTTCCTTGTCTATGGAGGGTTCTAGTACGCCTTGTACCCTCGTATCGCCGCAGCCCCCAAAGCCCTTTGCGGTGTATTTTTAGAATACAGAGTAAGGGATCCGCATTCATAACAACAATTTCGAGTCTGCAATCATCTCGCTTTCTCTCATTCCAGTCCTCTCTTCAGTGGCTGTTTCCGATGAATTCTCAGTCTCAATTAACCATGTGGCACGCAATCAATCTGTGACAGCTTTCACCACATTCCTGGCCTTAATCTTTGGTACAAGCGCTCTCCACTAGGTGTCCACTAGCCTTTGACCGCTCCGAATTACGCTTGCACCCTGATTTTCTCCTTTCTCTCTGTCAATTGAAGTATATCGAGAGGGTATATAAAGGTTTATCTTTGTTTTACAGAGTCCACACGGACCTGGGACCCTGCACCATGTCAGCGACGCCTCGCAAGCCTGGAACCCCCGGCAATTCCAACAAATCATCACTCGCAGATCCGCCCTCCAACAACGGGTCCACCACACGAGGACATGCACGCTCTCCCAGCGCCGCAACTAACGGTCTCAACCGTTCACCATCCTTCAGAGGTTCTACTCCAGTCTCCGCGCGCGCGGCCGCAAGAAAACCGGGCCGCTCCAACCTAAGCATGTCGAACGTTCCACGAGTCTCCAACGACCCCTCCGAGGAAGAGGCGAGGGCCCAAAATGCCGCCCTCATTGAAGAACTGCGGGAGCAGCTTCAAAAGGCGGAGACCGCTTCCGATCAATACCAAAAGCAGCTAGGTGTGCTACAAATGCGCCTCGATGAAGCGATCAGCGAACAGAGCAAGTTGGAAGATCAGGCTCACGAGCGAGACAGTCGGATCGAGGCCCTCAATAGTGATATTCGGGACCAAGGTCGTCAGATCCGGGATCTGGAACAAAACCACGAGTCCGAACGCAATGCGATGCTCCAAGAGAAAGAGCAGCAGTCTAGTCGAGAGGAGGAAATGCAGGCCACCATCCAACGCCTCAAAGACTCGATGGCACAGAAGGACATGCGCATGAATGCAGAGGGCGACCGCAGTCAGGTTTCCCGATCTTGTAAGACCATCTTCCTTTGCGCATACCGATCATTTAACTTGGGTACTAACTTCGGCTTTAGCTAGCTTCCGCAATCGCGCCTCTCCCGACGTTGATGGCCAGTTCGCGCCATCCTCGCACATCGAACGAAGCCCGTCCCGAAACAACTCCACGCTTCTTTTGCAGAAAGACAAAGTTATCGAGTCCCTACGCCTTGAGCTCGCCGAGTCGCAAATCAAACTTGTTGAGATGGAAAATGCCGGAGGAGGCCGCCAGAGAGAATTGGAGAAGGAGTTGCTCGAGGCCCGCATGGCAAATGCTCGTTTGATGGAGGACAACGAAAGCTATCAACTCCTCTTAAGCGAAAAGACTCTTACTGGCGATTTCGCCAAGGGCGACTTCATGCGCGATGCCCACCCCGCAAAGCAGTCAGCGAGTGGACTTGGCTCTTTAGCAGATGAGCTCGAGTCCGTGGAGGAGTCGCCTGAAACGGAAGCTGACTCTAAGCCGGAAGGAGAAGTCAAGGCTCTGAAAGACCAGAACAAAGCTCTCACCCTCTACATTGAGCGCATCATCAGCAGACTGCTCATGCACGACGGGTTTGAGCATATTCTGGACAAGAATGAGGATGAAGCGGCTGCAGACAAGCAGAATGAGAAGGAACTGCCCCCGACTCCCCCAGAGAAGGACGACGGCTCTCAGCAATCCTTCTTGCAGCGGGCTAGATCAGTGGTCGCCGGACCAAATTCCCGACCATCAACTTCAGCCCAGCCTCGTTCGCGGCCTACGAGCATGCTGCCGCCGCCTGCACCCCCGCAGAGCAACCCCAACGAGAACCCCAACACTGCGCCAAGTATCCCATTCCGCACTCAGTCTGTGAGGGCTAGCCATCGTCGCAGCCGTTCTGAACAAGTTGACCCTGGGGCTGCCAATGTTGTTGGCCAGATGTACCGCGGTCGTAACTCGGGCGGACCCATCAGCCCGTCGACTATGGGCCCCGGATCGCGCCAGAGCATGTTCTCCGGCGCAGCAAGCTATATTTCCAGCATGAGCCGCGCGCCATCGATGTCCAGCCAGCCTGATCGCGCCGGTCGCAGCAGTTCCCCGAGTGTCACTAGCGATCCCCACGGAGATACGCTATCTAGCGGTGCCACTTCGAGTCCTCCTCGCTCCAGCGGTGGCATGAACAACTACACTGGTGCAGTGATGCAGCAGGACAAGTTGCGCCCCTTGCGCCTTGTCAGTGAGACTGCCAGACTCAAGGAAGAGGAAGAGGCAGCTCGCAAGAAGGCCAACCGTGGGAGCTGGATTCCGTGGTTGAATCGCAACCCCGATGAACAGGCGCCGCAGTGAGCCGCTCTCGGGTAAACTCGATGTGATCTTGGACTGGTCACCAGCTCAACATACCCATACCCCATCTGATGCACATAATACGACTCATGCCTTGAAATGTCCACCTTGTGATTCGAGGATCGCGATTTTTGATGTTCTCGACGCAATCTGATCATGTTCCCTTATTTGATCTTTTCGTATTGGAGTCTCGGACATCATTGTTTACTTTGATATATATTATTCCCCCTATTCTCATTCCAAATGATGATTTCCTCTCAAATCTAAGACAACGATGTCATATCCCTGCATTCTTGACCCCAACCTTGGAAGGTTCCTTAAGTGCCGCATTTGCACCAAAAGCTAGTGTAGGTTGTATTCACCAGATGATTGGTGGGGACCCCTTTGTCAGTGTCAAGCTTGAAACTTTCAATATGTACATGGGCAAACTAAATAATAGCCAGTGAATCAGTAGCTGCGTGAAAACACAGAATAGTGGCGCCGTCAAATGAGGGCAGCTCCGTGCCCAGTCTTATAGATATCCGATAGAAGGCGGAACAACATTAGTGCGCTTTGCGGCCAGATAGCATCAACAATCATAGGACTCTGGACAACTCCAATTGCTCACCCACACAACACAATTCACAATGCCAGGCCCTCTCTCTCTCTTCTCCGTGAACGCGGTCCTCGTCATGTCCGCTGACGACGGCTCCCGAATCTTCACCAAGTACTACTCGGGACCTCACATCCCCGCCAGCACCACACCTAACTCCGAGCAACCGGGTGCCAATCCCTACCCAACCGTCAAGGAGCAGCGCGCCTTCGAGAAAGGTCTCCTTGAGAAGACCAACAAGTCCGCCAGCGATGTGATCCTGTACGACAACCGCATCGTTGTGTTCAAGATGGAGAGCGACGTCATGCTGTACGTTGTTGGAAGCGCCGACGAGAACGAAGTCCTGCTGTACAATGTCGTGCTTTCACTACGGGATGCCCTGGGAATCTTATTCAAGTATGTTGCAATGCCCGCTCGGATCATATCTTGACCAAACTAACCATTTTGCTCTCCAGGGGCGCAACCGACAAGCGCACTATCGTCGAGAACTACGACCTTGTTTCCCTTGCCATTGACGAAACCATCGATGACGGAATCATCCTCGAGACCGACCCTGTCATGATCGCCTCGCGTGTCAGCCGCGCACCGGCCGCCGATGCACCAAACATGCAGAACATCGACCTCACGGAACGAGGTCTAATGAACGCTTGGGAGTTCGGCAAACGGCGCCTTGCGGAGGGATTGCGACAAATGTAATCGGAACTCGAGTCTTCTATGTTGGATGGGGTTTGATGTGTTTTCACCATCGTTGGAGCATTTCTTGATTCACCCGCTTTTATTCCCGGCTGGTCCTGGCGTGTTACGGCTTTGCTTTTTGTTGTCTGCCCAATTTGCGGTGGTTTGTTCCAAGCCTTGAGAGCAAAATCATGTTCCTTTTTCTTCTGATCTATAGCACTTTACAAAAGGTCCGAGGTCAAGCTTTGTGGCGTGTTGGTCGTTCACAATTCTGGCTAGGACATCGCATAATTCATGATTCTATGCCCAAAGAGACGTTGCAGCCGGAGAAGAGATTTTCCTCCTGAGTTCAGATTCGGAGACTCGTAGGCAGACTGAAATCAAGTCTGAATGTAGAACATTTCCCAGATCTGCTATGGTGTAAGTGAACACCCGGGAAAAGTGCATTACCATGCTTAAGACACCAAATGATTGCTTCTCGAACCTGTTCATGGGTCATGGCAGCGATATGATCAAACCTCGAGTTGCTGCGAGTAGTGGAAATATGCTGCCGATCTCGTGTTCGAAGCTGATCCAGCTTATGGCTATGTATTAGTGTGTTTGTTGATCCGAGATATGCGTTTGCAGCCCAGATACGAGCTGCCACCCTATCGTGGACCTAAGCCATGTCCACACTTCCAGGTTGTTGGGAGCCGCCGAGATTGTGCTGATACCTTCAACGTATGTCAACTCGATAAGCCCCAAATCACTCAAAATTGGAGAATCGACATACATCTATGCATTATCTCGAGCCCAAGCCGCGATAGGCGAAAGAGGCAAGTGAGCGCGCACCGTCCAAATAGGCAGGTTTCCGCTATCGGCGATCCACCGATCTTTCCCCGCAAATCAGTACAGCATCAAAGACTGACCTTCCAAGGTTGTTCACACACTCAATATGGCTGGCTCAATTGAAGAAAGTGTACACGAGAATCCTCATACTCGATCCTTTACAGGGTGCGCCACTGTATGTTCCATCTGCCCGCAACATTTCACATCTGACCAAAATAGTGTCGAAGCCGACATGTCAAATGCGACGAAGGACAACCAGAATGTTCAATGTGCCAATATTTTGGGCTCACATGCGGCGGATACAAGAAAGATATCTTCTTCGACTTTGAAACTTCGCCGGGGAACCATGGAGTTCGCTTCCGCCGACCGTTGCTCACTGTGAAAGAGAGAGAACGCATGAGTCAATGGCTTGTGTCAAATGCTCCCCCAAAGAAGACCTTGCAAATATTATCACACATTGATGACCAATGTGAAAGAGCGACTTTAACCGATAAGATTGAAATTCACCAAGGCCCCTTTGGGGCTTTCAGACTGAGCCCAGCTCAACCCGAGCTTCCTGACGAGCCAGCCTTGGGCGACATTCAAGAAATAGATTCAAGTTCTCCCGAGGACGTGATTGGGAACAGTGATTCATACGAGATCCAGTCACATGTACCGCTTTCACCTTGGTCCCAAGGAATGATGCAATTGATGTTTGATCAACCAGAGAATGTTCCGAGTCCACCATCACCTGGATTTTTGGACGCAATGATAAATTCAATCGGCGTGGGAACTGAGATGTCTTCTCAAGAATGTTTGCCTACGTTTGTGCCAGATCACTACTACAATAATGCCGTATCACCCACTTCACTCACATCCTCTATGGACGCCACCAGGGCCGTGCCTCAAGATGCCGTCTTCCTACTCAAACACTATGCGTCCGCTGTAATCAGCTTGATGACACCATTTCGACATTCAAAGACTCCTTGGCACGTTCTTTTTATTCCTCACACCAAGACCTGCCTAGCAGCTCTCGCCCTGGGGGATGATATGACTGATGCGAGTCTCTGTATATTCTACGGAACTTTGGCAATAAGCGCTTTCAGCCTTGGCGGAGTGTCCAAATCCCAAACATGGAGCGAGAAAGCCGTTATATTTACCCAGCAAGCGCAGCACCACGCAAGATCAATGCTGATGACTGCGTACGACATTCCGAAAGTAGCCAAGTACAAGTCAATATTGATGGCACTTCTCACAATGGTCCAGGTGACGATGTTCTCTGGAAACCGAAGCCAGTCCGAATTCTACTTTTTAGAAGCCGAAAAGTTTATCAGGCTAAGAGGTCTTAAACGCAAAAAGTCCCGCAAGGTCAGATTGCTACACCACTGTTATGTTTTCGAACGGATAATCCATGAGAGCGTTTTCATCTGCGGTGCAAACTCGGGACAGCGACATCATGTCCGCACGGCCGTTGAATCAAGTGGACTAGGAAGATACAGTCTTGACAGTCTATCCTTCCGGCTTTCCGGATGGAAGAATCTACACCAAGAAATGATGAGAGTGCGTGGACAGGAAGAAGGGGAGAACGATTTGCATCTTGAGAGACCCGGTTTCTGGTCAAATACACTCTACCCTGAGATCTTCGGGATTCCTGAATCCTGGGTCTTTCTACTATCCCAGATTATCCGCCTTGGAAAGGAGAAGGACGCCGCCGAAGGAGACGACGAAACCAAATGTCTTAGCTTGAAAGATTTTATTGGACGGGCAAAGACCCTCGAGGAATACATCAACAACCTACAACCACCAAGCCTTGAAATTACACATTCCCAACTCGACCGAGACATTATACAAAGTATGCTTGACGCCATGAAGAACGCTTTGGCAATATACTTCTATCGCCGAATTCATGACGTTGATGCCGCTATGTTGCAGCAAAAGGTTGTGGCTGTTTTGGAGTGTCTATTGCGCTGCGAGAACACTGATTCAACTGTGGTCCACGGCTCTGCAGGATTTATATGGCCTGCATTTATTGCAGCTTGTGAAGCTGAAGACCCTTCTATACAATCTGCATTCGCGGATTGGTTTGATAACTCGGCATGTAGGAGCGGTTTATCCTGCTTCAGGCAGACATTAGCGGATATCCAAAAAATCTGGCAGGAGAAGTGCTGTGCCGGAAAGAGTGTGACTTGGTTAGATCTCATGAAGAGAACTATGCCGTTACAGCAGCATTTATAACCCCTATATATGCCCCTGTAACGGCGATATTTGGTCCTCTTCAGGGCTGTACCTAGGAGACCTCGGGAGTTGGCATCGATGAACCCTCAAGTTATATTGCATCTATGTATTGATTAGCGTTTCACTGTACATAAATTGGACTTGGGAGTTGAAAGGTCATATAAAAGAATACACAACACAATATGTCGAGTTTCAATCATTGTTCACCCGAGGTTCGGAGCTCTTGGCCATGGGACCAATAGTTCAAAGCAAACGACAATCAGTGACACAGATCTCCGCACTCAGATATAGGTGGCAACGGAGGAGGTCCGATGCAGGATGTATGCTGCGAGGAAAGCAAAAGCGAGGAGGTGCTGTCACAGGTGGGCGTGGCTATCGCCAGACGCAAATTAGGCAAGTTTCCACGACAACCCCACATTTTGCCTGTAGGACCTAGGTGTATGCTTGTAATGGAGAAGCTGTCTCTTGGATTTATTTAAGCAGTCATTTCCGTGCAATCGCTCTGATTGTGACGAACTCCAATAATTTCTCTTTTCTTCTCCTTAGATCTCGTCATCTGCTACCGCCATAACCTCCCTTCTACCCCCAAACTCTCTCACAACATACCTTCGCAATGGATGTCCCTGGAATCGCATTGATCACCGGAGCTGCGTCAGGCATTGGACGCGCTTGCGCAAAGACATTCGCTAGAGATGGCGCCTCAGGAATCGCCCTGCTCGACCTCAACCCTCAAGCCTTGGCAGCCGTCAAAGCCGAGATCGAAGAGCAAACAAGAAAGCAAGGAAAGCCCTGTCGAGTCGAGACCTACCCGACCAACATCGCAGACGAGAAGCGGGTCAACCAAGTTGTACAAGAAGTGGCAGCAACTTTCGGTCGTCTTGACTATGTGGTGAACGCAGCCGGCATTGCCATGAAGCACACCGGTGGTGCTGCTTTCTGCGAGACAGAAGACTGGGAACGAATCTTGAACATCAACCTTACCGGAACATTCTTTGTTCTGCGCGCAGCTGCCCAGGTTATGCTGAAGCAAGAACCTATTCGCTCCTCCTATGACGGCCGGCCATTGCAGCGCGGCTCTATCGTGAACTTTTCGTCTATTCAGGGTGTTGCTGGAATCGCATGGTCGACCGCTTATACTGCGACAAAGCATGCTGTTATTGGATTGACCCGCACCGCATCAGAGGATTATGCTAAGGATGGATTGCGCATTAATGCCATCTGTCCTGGATACACGGAGACACCTTTGACCACAAAGTCCCCGCAGATCCTGGCGGCTATGAAGGATAAGGTTGCTAATGCAGTGCCTATGGAGAGAATGGGTCAGCCGGAGGAAATTGCCGATGGTGTCGTTTATTTGAGTGGTGGAAGAGCTTCTTTTGTGACCGGCACAGCTTTGTTTGTGGATGGTGGATACACCCAGCGTTAAATGATTAGCCAGCTATATCAATTACTCTTATAGATACAAAATGAAACACTATTAAAGTTGATGGCCCAGAGTGAGCCTAGCCATGTACCGTAGGAAACGACGTGGCGATCTAGATTGCCGGAGTTGTCGGGTGTGACCTCATCAGCACAGTGATAACCACGCATATCCCGACTCGCAAATCAGATCACAATCGAAAACCTTGCTCTCTTAGCAAAACCTTCTTCATTCTGAAAATATCATAGAGTCCACCAATCATGCAGTGTCCAAAATAAGCGGCCCGACCGATCTCACGTCACCTATTCTATACCCCGAGGTCTCGGAGCCCTCAACTTACTCTACATAAATTACTAGCCAGATCATGAACAGGTTTGGGAGGGCATCGCTTCGAGTCCCGTTGAAACCATTTTCAATTCTCACTACACCACCTTATGATCCCTGCATCCAGCAATCTTTCATACGAGGCCTGAAACAATCGCAACATCGACATCTTTCTGGCCTACCCCAGACACGCACTTTTGCTCATGCAACACGGCTTTTCAATTCTAAAGCCAGTATGAGCGGCGAACGAGTTCCGATAGAGCCACAGCGTGTAGATGCCCCGCTCACCCACTCAGCTACCTTTTTGGTCGTATCCGTGACCGACAAGCCCGGGGCCATCGACACCGCTCGTTCTACACTATCAAGCCTCAACAGCCTAGCTAAGAATGTATCCATCCGCGACTTGAGTGCTCAGTTTTCCTGCACGGTCGGTATAGGAAGTGCAATCTGGGATCGTCTCACGAATCTCCCTCGGCCATCTGAGCTGCGTCCCTTTCCCGAAATCAGAGGTGACAAACACACCGCGATATCAACGCCTGGAGATTTACTCTTTCACATACGATCTGAAAGGCGAGATATCTGCTTCGAGTTTGAGCGTCAGTTGATGGATCAGCTCGGGGATGCTGTTTCCGTTGTTGATGAAACAGTCGGATTTCGATATTTCGACGTTCGTGATCTTCTCGGATTCGTGGATGGCACAGCCAACCCAGTTGGTCCCGCAGTCCCCGAATCTGTGCTCATCGCAGGGGAAGACGCCTCTGCATCCGGTGGTAGTTATATAGTCGTACAAAAGTATACGCATGATCTACCAGGATGGAAAAACCTGTCGACAGAACAACAGGAGAAGATCATCGGGCGCACAAAGATAGACAACATCGAGTTGGATGATGCGGAGTCTGGCCAGCGCTCGCATAAAACGCTCAACACGATTGAAGACGAAGACGGCAATGAACATGACATTCTGCGTGACAATATGCCGTTTGGATCCCCTGGGTCTGGTGAATTTGGCACCTACTTCATCGGCTATACTCGTCGACTTTGGGTCATTGAAAAAATGCTGGAGCGGATGTTTGTTGGGGATCCTCCTGGATTGCACGATCGCATACTTGACTTCTCGAAGCCCCTCACTGGCACAACATTCTTTGCGCCACCTGCTAGCTTGCTAGCCCGATTGTGATCTGACTGAAGATGGTCGGGGACAACAAGAAAAATGAAACGGAGTGCTATGTGCCAAAGCAGCGAAGTATAGTGTAATTATCAAAAGAAAAAAAACCACCTTGCGTAGACAACTTCAATTGAGAATCTGCGAGATTTTGCCCCACCTTAAATCGCACCAGCCTCCTTCAACAATCCCTTCAATTGACCAGTAGACAGCTTCTGCAAGTCAGAGTTGCCACCGATGTGCTTTCGGTTGATGAATATATTTGGCACAGTGCGCTGTTTTGTTAGTTGCTGGAGCGCGTCTTGAATATCGCTACCATCGTCTGTCAAGATCACGGATCAGTGTCTTTTTTTCAACGAAGGATCGAGTAACATACTCATCTGATCCAGCTCCACAATTTGAAATTCGGTGTCCAAGCTCCGAAGGGTGCTCTTAGTATCACTGCAGTAGGGGCAGCGCGACTTGGAAAAAACAACTGCAATGTGTTAGTGCTTTGGTACCTTTGACCTGGTGCCAAACCGAGGCGATCTTACCAACGCCGTTGTCATTGATAATTTTCTGAACCTTGGCGGCGGACATATTGGCAGTATACGGGAGTATCTCTAGAAGATAAGCAAGGTGGATAAGATCAATGTGTGTAATGAGGTGGAGGTTTGGCCAATTTTGAAAGACGTGATGTCGGAGTTCTGCCATATCTACAAGGCACCAACCTTTTTTGCCTGGGAGCCTGTTTCTTCAACACTCGAATTCAAGCATTCTGGTTTAAGCGCAATGGCACTCCTTATTTATATGAATGGAAACAAAATCAACTCGATCATTCCATCATAGATTGACCCTGATCGTCAAGGCTGTCTGTGATTCCTTTCTATATGCTGTCTGCGATGAATGTCCCATAATTTCTAAATCAGGCGCCATTCATCATCGCTTGCGGCTAAAAGTCGCTCATGCTCATTCTTCAAATCCGATGCATCATTTTCCTCGAACCAGAAGGCCCATGTGCTTTTGGTGTGGATTTCAAGATTGTTGCGACTAGATTGCAGCCCCACATGTTGTAATTGCTGAGGTGCAAGTGCGTACCTCATCAAATTCTTTTCACTGGCATATTCCTCAATGATGGTATCTGTCTGTCCAGCCTTCTTCTCTTCTAAGTGGGCCACCAAAGCTGGTACCTGCTCACGAGGAAACACTAGTCCTTGTGTACAACACCCACGGTCGTTCATTTCCACTATGCCCTGTAGCGGAAAAAGAGAGTACTTTCCGATCATATACAGAAGTGCGGTGAAAGCAGGAGTGACTATCAAGCACATGGCACCAATAGTCCAATATCCGAAGGTGTAGCGAGTAGGTATGTGCCGTCGGATCATCAGCAGGAAAGCGTATGTGGACCCAATCGCCAGACCGAAGGCCAGTGGCATATTGCGGTACCAAAAGTCCGAATCAGACCATGCGAGCGCAGTCTCGGTAAAGAAGAGGCGCAGGTAGATCCATGATTCTTGGCGATCGGTTGGGCCATGCGACAGTTTATAAAGACTGTTCAGGGTTTTGACTAGCCACCCATCGGCGAACATCACGTCGTCTTCGAGAATGAAGATATACGGGGCCTCCGTCTCGAGGCATTGGTTGAGTAGATAAACGTAGTCACTAATTTAAGTCAGATAAATGGTGCACCACATGATTGGAGTTGAACATGAACTTACTAGACACCCTTTTCGTGGAAGTTGCCCGTCTCTTCTAACATCTGAAGACGGCCAAACTCCTCTGCTGAGACATTGTACGTTGATACCGAATCTGCGAGACGGTCCAGCCATCTTTGACCCCATCTTGGATGCTGGGTAGGATCAGTGTTTGCAAATAATATTGACAAATGGAGAGCTCGGCGTTCGCGAGGATCAAGGTCGCTTAACATAGAGCCTATCGTTGCTCCAAGATAGTCGTCTTTGTTGCGTCTGACGGTAGCTAGTGCCGCGCACACCAGTGGGTCTCCTTCGCTTGAAACAACATCGCTGCCTCCGGATGGTGCATCATAGATCGAGAGGAAGTGGTTGGCTTGGTGCTCGCGTAACAAACTGTACTTCCAATCGTAGACGTCTCGGTCGTCGAAGAATGCCGAGTGTGGATCGCGCCAAAAATGAATTCGACAGTACTGGAAGGCGACAAGGTATATGAAGCTTGCCACGATAAGAAGTCTTACTGCAGGTTGTTTGAGCAGAAGCTGCACTTGAAAGTAAATGGCGTTGAATCTCATGGCATGGAACGTTGGCGGAGTTAAGCACAAGTTAGGGTGAAAGCAAACGCTTCACCACGATGGCCCCATCATGTGAGGTGTCCAGGGTCCAGAGTGGGACTTGACGCTAAATTGAGAAGGGGGCCAGCTTCAGCCTCGCGATTTCATCCAATCCAAATGTCACTTGGGGGAACCAACTGTCTCCACTGGGGATTTTGGGGGCGGTTTTATCCTTTCGAAAAGCTCAAGATTTCCTTGCTGATAATCTGACAGCTCGTGCTGGAAGATGTCTGTTGAAACTTTACTCATACAGAATTTCAGAGAAAATGCGAATCCCAGAGAGTATCAAACATGGACGAATTGTGAAGCAGTTGAAGAAGCCATTTTCACACTGTGTTTGTATAGCCGCATGTCTTGGCGACGATCAGACCCGAAACAAGAAACTCGTCGGCCCATGGCATGTTCTCTGCTGAGACACTTCGTCATTTCTTCTTGCGCCCGTCTTAAGTGCATCTAGTGATCCTGCCCCCTCCCCCTCGCGCTAGGTGCATCCAGCCTTAATTGTACACAGCACTTTGCCCCCCAAGCCTACTCCGTACTGCGGGTCCTCCACCTGCTTTCTGTGGTTGCAGTGGATTGGTTTAAGTCATTTTCAGAAGCGAATTGATCGCTTTGGGTCAAACTCGGAATGGGGGAAATGCGGCAGCTCGAAGCTTATCAGCCATGAAGACTCAGACGCTGCGGTCTAATTTTAGGTACAGGTTTGTTTGAATTTGAAAGGATAAGATACCATACACTACTGAGTTTGGCTAGAGCATCATGCTTTCCATGAGCAGCCACATGTTCTGTGTGACAAGGGGTAAATTTTTTGTATTGAGATCTAGCATCCGGAGAACAACAGAGACAAGAAGCCATCGTGTGCACAACTCAAAGCCTGGCAGCTGTTGAAAGTTGTGCAAATGCCAATCCCTTCCAGCCAGCAGCCTTGGACTCTGCACACCTCCGACGATATTCGACCGCATTACCTGCGTATCTTGCCACACTCCGCACAGTCTTGCCCTTGACATTCTTGTTCACACCAGTCATCCAACTGTCGATCTCGTTCGACAGTGCTCCTTTGCTGCATTCAATGACGTGATCAGTCCATGACTCAACTGCCTCGGTAGTAGGTTCCACATAGGCGTAGTTGTTGTCTTTGCAGTGCTGCAAGAGGTCGGAAATAACTTCAACAGCATGCTCAATGGTTCGAGGGGCGTTTCCAAAGGGCTGGTGGGGGCCCAGGACCATAAACATGTTAGGCATAGAGCAAGCTGTCATGCCCAAGTATGTGCGTGGACGGTGGTCCAGCCAAATCGCGTTCTCGCCTTCCTTGGTATCACTGGACCCAAGAAGAGGTCGTCCATCTTTCCCTTGCCAGTCGACGGAGTTGAATGCACCGGTGATGGCATCAAAGCCAGTGGCGTAGATCAAAACGTCCAGCTCATGTGTCTTTCCGTCTGAAGTGACAATACCGTTCTTTGTGACGCGCTCGATTGGAGACTTCTGGAGATCGACGAGGTGTACATTGGGCTGGTTGTATACTTCAAAGTAGCCGCTCTCGAGAGGAACTCGTCGTGTGCCGAAACCGTGGTTCTTGGGGATCAAGCTATCGGCAATCTTGGGATCGTGAACTCTGGCTCGGATCTTACTGGCCATGAAGTCGGAGTAGAGTTTGTTCGCTTCACGGTTGTTGTAAGTGTCGCTGAACGTACCAAGCCACTTAGCGAAGCCGGGCTTTGCGTAAATCTCTTCCCACAATGCCAGTCTCTCTTCCGAGGATACTTCGAGGGACTTTCGTGGGTCGGCCTGGTGCATGAAACAAGTGGGTGTCTCGGCGCATAGCTTGAATAGATCGGGATAGTCTCTGCGATGTTGCTCCATCTGCTGTGGACTAATAGGCTCGTTGCGAAGTGGAGCTGACCAGTTGGCAGTGCGCTGGAAAACACTCAATGACTTGACGGGCTCCTTTGAAACCGCTGTGATGGTTTGGATACCAGTCGCGCCGGTACCGATCACTCCAATTTGCTTATTTGCCAAACCACGACCCATGTCAAAGTTCTTTGGCCAACGGGAGGTGTGAAAGGCTTCGCCTTCGAACTTCTCGATATCGGGAATAGCAGGGAGCGTGGGGGTGGAGAGGAAGCCCATACAACTGACAAAGAAGCGAGTCCGGTGGAATTGACCATTCTCATCACAAAATAGCCAGGTGTTGTTCTTTTCCTGCCATCGAGCCGTCTTGACCCGTGTGTTGAATTGGATATCTTTGTTTAGGTTGTGTTTGGCACACACATGCTCAATGTAGCGGAGAACGTCTGCCTGAGTCGAGAAGGAATCTTTCCAGCTCCATTCATTCAAAAGATCTTTGTCCCATGAGTAGGCGTAGGAAAGAGACTCAGTGTCAACTCGGGCGCCGGGGTAGCGGTTGCAATACCAGGTTCCTCCAACGTTGTCGGCGCCTTCCAAAACACCTACACGCCAGGTTGGGAAGCGCTTTCGGAAATTGTAAAGTGCGCAAACACCAGAAAGACCGGCTCCGATGATGAGGACATCGTATCTCTGTTCTGTGTCGATGGAGCTCATGATGAAGAGTGTCTCGAGGTTATCAAAATGAATGTGGTCTTCCAAATAACGAGACGGTGATCTTTATAGACCCATGATTGCGAATATGCACCCCCAAGTGGAGTTGCGATACGCTGGACATCATTCCGACCAAAGATACACACACTAGCAGCTTTCTCCGTAACTTGCCTATTTTGTTGAGCAGACAGAAGTCATTATCTGATAACAGCACTAGACTACTTTGGGACTAGTCTAAATGTTTATCTACCCCGCGTTTCACACGTGCCGTGGACGCTTTCCTTTTCTGGACTTGCTAGTAATTTTGGGCAGCTAGACCTTTCAACCTCACAAACTTCAATAATTTCATATCGCCGAGCAATGATACATCGGAACTAATCATACCATTCTGGATAGCACTTCTTGACCATATCGGCACCCTGACATCCTCTAATTAGTAAAATGACCCAAAAGGCCACATGGCGATGACGTACCTTTTCTGCGATCATGTAGACAGTATTCTGAATTCGACAATCAGGTATGATCGGAATCACAGAGGCATCAATGATGCGCAGATTCGTGGCCCCGTGTACCCTCAGCTCAGAGTCAACTACCCCCTGAAGAATATCCAGAGAGAGCCGAGCAGTACCACATGGATCTAAAGCAGTGAGCTATGTTTGTAGTGTTTTCAGAACCTCACTTGCGATATTTAGTCTGTGCTCGATCCATGACAAGTCGATCCATCTCTTCATCAGACTCGCGGGGCATCGGCCATGGATAGTCTTCCCTTATTATATCTTTCATCCCACCCCCCTCCATCAATATCTCGTCGATGTATCGAACACCTTCTCTCAGAGCAAGAATGTCAAGCTCATTGGAAAAATAATTCAGATTGATATCTGGTTGTTCTCGTGGATCTGTCGTGTTTAGTCTGACGTATCCTTCCTTTGACTGTGGGCGTAGGAGATCGACGATAACGGTCAACCAGTCTCCTTCTGGTGGGATAGGAAAGTGCCACTGGAAGGCATCACAGAACATGGGCTTGTCCCGTTAGATCAGAACTATCGCTGACCCTGTTGAAAGTTGACTTACCACGAAAACAATCTCAAAATGAGGTTGACCTTCAGGACCGAATGGATCCTTGTCACCATTCTCTTGCTTGGCTTTGCGATATTGCTCATATTGCATAAGCCTTTCATCGATTCGTGGAAAGGCCACCATCTCAAGAAGTCCACTTGCTAAAGGTCCTGTCTTGCTCTCCTCATACCGTGCCATCGCGTTATTGTGGTGAGTTCCCTCCCGGAGGAGGATGTGATCCAGACCAACCCCATCTTTCAATCTGAAAACATGAGGAAGAATAGGATGATCAAGCAAATGTTCACCCACATGCTCGGAGGTTATCACAGGCTGCAAGCCATGGCGGGTCAATTCACGTCTTGGGCCGATGCCGGAAAGAATCAAAAGTTTTGGTGTTTCAAAAACACCTGCCGAAAGTATAACCTCTTTTGTGACCCGCACAGTCTGTTGGCGTTGGCTTCCATCGACAACGATGACACTTGCCGCGACTGGCGCGGCCCCCGAATCTTGTTCCGAACCCTCGAAATTGATTTTTGTTGCAACACTCGAAAACATGAAATCAATATTATCCTTGCCACTCACATACACCGCACTGCTTGATCGAACACCTCCGTAGACGGTGCTGATGCAATGGGTGAGGCCGTGCACCTCGCCATCATATATGTCTTCCCTCACTATATGGCCTTCGCCCGTCCATGCTTTCGTTAGTGCTTGTCGGAAAGACTCGGTCTCCGGGAGCAGGTCTGCATGAGAAACATGCAACGGGCCATTTTGACCAATCTTCGAAAAGACAGGATCGTACATTTTATGATCGTCGTGGTATGAAGCGGGCTACAACATCAGAAGTCAGTGAAAGAGCGCGATATCTCCGGGGATCTCTGTGCTTGCCTTCTCAAAATACTCCTTACAAGTATCCCAGGTCCACTGATCGCCGCCATATCCTTTCCAAGCATCAAAAGTTCCATTACTCCCACGTAGCCAAGTGAAGTAGTTCAGACTACTACTCCCACCAAGAACTTTCCCACGGGTATTCTGCTTTTCAATGCGCTCGTAATCTGGTTTGTCCACAAAAGTTGTTTGGTATGCCCAGTCATAGCGACTGTTTCTGAGCTGGAAGGCTCGAGCGGGAGTCGTGATCTCAGGGATTTGATTTGGATCTCTGTCAATGTGTCAGTCTTGAATGACCACACAGGGGCGATATATCAACCCATCACCGGCCTCAATCACCAATACTCTCACTGTAGGATTCTCAGCGAGCCTTCCAGCAACAACGTTTCCAGCAGTTCCACCACCGATCACCACAAAGTCATATTCCAAAGCAGACGCTTCCGTCATTTTGCTCGATCAAGTGTACAAAGGGCTCCGAGAAGAGATGTCTCTGTGTCAAGGTCATTTATAGACGATAGGATCTCATCTTGGCATTTTCTATCTTGGGTCTCGAGTCACCAAGTGAGGGTCATTCAGCAGCATGCAGTGCGGCCCTTTGCGGAAGCCCGGAGCGTCGTTCTTCCAATCAATGTTCAAGCTTGAGAGAATCACATGATTTTAGGTGTGCAACGTGAATTTTGACAGTTTTCTGGAAATGAAGAAAATAAAGAAGTACACAGGAGGAGAAAGCCACAGCCTGGATCCCCAGCTGTTAGCCATCGGCGAGTCACACAACCTTGTAAGTGGTGTGGGTTTCTCACCTGGGCACCTGGGACCCGCACGGAGAAGTGTTGATAGGTATCAGACAGAAAAATATGTACACATATGTAGCAGCAGGAGATTTAGAATGGAAACAAGAATGGATCAACGCCCGATTGGCCGTCCGTCAGATATTCTGCAGTCCAGGGAGTGACCCCATCATTCAACATATTCATCACAGCCATTTCAGCGGGATCCCATGAGCCATTAGTACCAAATTGCCGGAACTGCGGGAAAGGATCGGAGCCTAGTGACTGATATTCAGGTCTGGATAAAACAGGGGCGTTGTCAAATGCTTGGACTACGCCAGATCCATGGGGTCGCGATATGGGTGTCTGTTGCGGATGCTCGGTTGTAGAACTTGGCAGCAAATTTGTCACATGCGGAGTATGGTTTGATTGTCGTCTCGCTGCTCGCGATTGGAATGTACCAGGAGATGCCGTCGTGCTAGTTAAAGAAGAGTTGGATGCGGACCCTCGTGGATCCTTACCATGCAAAGCTGTTCGAGCCATGCGATAGATTGCAAGGGGATTCAAGACGGCCTCTGGGGACTCCTGAACAGGTGATTGTGAATCGGAAGATCTGATTGTGGTGTCAGTGCCCATATTCCTTCGCATCAGTTTGAAAAAATCTTACGCCTCATCGTTTTCTGGTTGGTCTTGGTCATCTGTTGAGACGTGTGTAAGCTGAGGACGCAGACCTGCGGCAATAATCATTTTTATAACAGAATGGTACTAGTCAATCTGTCAGCGATAATGTCTCAAAAGAGAGAGTTCTTCTGGTGTGTTGAACATACACAATGCTCCGCGGTCGCAACAAGAGATCTCATCTGCATGATTGCCTCGAGATTCCTTTGCACCAGAACCGTCGTTTCCTCTGCTTCAGATGGGCTTAAAGCAGCTGGAGAATCTGTTATATGCTTGAAATAGTATAGCATCACCTTGGTACTGTCATGCGCAATGATGCATAGCCAGGTATCTGCCAGGGCGTATATACCATGCCTCGAGGCCTCCACAATGATTCTCGAGACCTCTCGAGCACTGTTAAAGCAGACTCTGCGGCAGTCATCCAGAAAATTTTGCTGCTCCAATGGAAATTCAACATATCGCCTTATACGAAACAAAGTTGGCATGCCGATCCGATACAGATCAACAAGTGTTTGATGATAAGTACACCAGAGTAGGGTTAGTGCTCCCAACTGTGATGATTCTTTGCGCGCCCAAATCGCGCCTGAATGCCATTTGAGATTTTGAGGTAAACATCGCTTCCAAGATACGAAGTCTCGTTTCAGCTGTTGGAATTCTGATTCGGGCTCCCAGGGTGGCCTGGACGTATCAAGGTGTTTCACATATCTATCTCAAGCGTCAGAAACCAAAGAAATTTGCGTTTTTGACACTGTGGTCGAATTGTCTTACCTAAGGACTCGTTTGCGGATGCTCACAAGGCGAATGAAATAAGCCTCGATCCCCATATTTTGAGTGGGTTGAAAAGGAACTTGCTCTTGCGATATAAATCCAAGTACTTTACCTTCGTCCAATGTCTCAGTAATGCAAGGTGTTCCCAGAGAGAAGTTGTGGCTATGGCAGGGAAGCTGGATCTTGAGATCTTTATCTTCAAGGAGTGTGAGCTGGTTGACACCGCTACCCACCCAGCTATCCATAACATAACAACTCCACATCATGCGTCGCTTGGACTCATTGGTTATTGGGGAGGTGGACTTGGAATCACATAGGATATCAGCAGAGCTCTCGAGATTGAGTTGCAGCGCTTGGGAGATCCTGGCCGTGATACCGCTCAGGATAAATGCACTTGCGTAACTTCCCACTCGAAGGTCATGGTCGTAAAGAAGGATTGCAGTCTGATAAAGTTTGGTTAGTTTTGGTTCTTCAACAAATGGATCAAGCGCTGTGGTATGATCCTACCATCAATTTTTCAATGTTCAGGTCGTCTAAATCCGCCAAAACTCGAGATTTTGCGGTTTTCGCCCACTGATTGCCCGCAGCGAGAACCAACTCAGGCGAGAGTCGAAAAAGATGATCGAGCGCCAAGAATCTAGTGATGTTAAATCTAGCACCAACGCTGTTTGGTGAAAACGTTACTCACTTTGCCCCAAGTGCGCATATAATGTGGAGAAGTGACTCTTCATCCCTGCAAAATTCCAAATCCTCATCCAATCGTTGCATAAACGAAGGCTTATGCACAAACCCGAAACAACGCAAGGGGTGAACATGAGCAAAATATTGCTCAACCAAAATTATTATGCGTCGCTTATCAGGTAAATATGGTGCAAAAAGCCTGGGCAAGTTAACACTGATATTGACTTGCCAAAGTGTGTTGAGGCCCCTACCATGATGTAGAGTCATCTGCGCTTTCGGGTAGCTGCATGTGTGACTTGATTGTATGAATATGACCTTGGGCATCATTGGAGTTTGGCGATCCACGAACTTCATCGTGCGTTTCAGATGTCGGTTTGCTCTGTGCTTTCTGCAGGCGACCTATGCTATATGTGCACTCAAAATTTCTTCGAGTGCATCGGGTACAAATATCTCCCCCTGAGCACCTCGACTTTGCAACGCGACAAGCATAGCATGATTTAGAGACTCGATGGCGAGTGGTCCCAGCCTGGGTCAGTGTTGAATCCCGTCTAGAATTTCTGGGAATTCTCGTGGCAAAGCCACCTCGACCCGGATGACCGGGACATTCTAGTTTCAGACGCTCACAGTTTGAACATGTTGGCCAGCGCTCATCACATTTGACTTTGCGTGCACGACATAGCAGACAGCCTGGATTCTCAAGTCGTTAGTCCCCTGCATGTACTTCTTGGCGCGGAATGACAGGCCGAGCTAACCTGATCGAGATCTACGCGTGCTTGCAGACGCGTTTTCCTGCCGAGATGTCGCCGGGGATTCCCCATCTCCACTCCACGATAACATGATATGCCGAGTGCCGACGCAGAAATCAAAATCGAAAGCGAGAGCAGAGAAGGAAGAATAGAAGCGAAGAGCGGGTGTCGCTTGGATCTCGGCTGTGGCGGGGAACCATGGCAAAACTCAATTGACGTTGAGGAAAGCTCTCGCCCGTGGGCATGTTTACTACTTGACAGGTGGATCTTGATAGTACTATTGACATCCTTCCATTGCGGGGTGTGGATTCTGAGGCTCAAGCTTGAGCTAGCTAGGATGTATTGACGCTTTTTGTTAGTGACATCCCTTGCTCTCCTTGCCTTGGTGCTCACCGCAACTATCGATTTCTCCGGCCAAAAATGATAAACGGAATATCAGCATATCAAGCTCGTATACTCAGTCAAATCTAGAGCCCATAGTCCCGATCTCACCATAGTGTCGCCATTTGACGTTTGACCCGCTGGCGACTGAGGTCTTCGGATACCGGTTGCTGTGACGGGTATCGGCATCGGAACCATCCTTATTGGGCGGCGAGGGAAACTTTGAATATCTGATCGCAGCGAGTGGAGCTACATAAAAATCCGGGGTCCCAGACGTATGGCACTCTTTGCTGTGTTTCGTGGGCTTTTCTCGCTGTGTTCACAATCCTCCGAAGCGTGCACGAATGGACCAACTACCAAAGCTCAGCAATGTCTACATCGTGAGTGGGTTGGCGACCATCGGTGGCCTGATTCAAGGGTTCGATGTCTCAAGCATGTCCGCCATCATTGGCACCGATCAGTACAAGTCCTACTTCCAGAAGCCAAACCCGGTAGCACAGGGTGGTATTACGGCCAGTATGGCTGGTGGCTCATTGCTTGGGTCTCTTTTTTCTTCTTGGACCAGTGACAGATATGGTCGTCGCGACTCACTTTTCATTGCCTGCATCCTGTGGCTGATTGGCTCTACCTTGATGTCTGCTGTGCAGAATGTTGCTATGCTGATCGTCTCGCGTGTCATCAATGGTTTTGCTGTGGGAATTCTCACCAGCCAAGGGTAAGATATTGTTCGCATATTTTGCCACTACCTCTAACATTCTTTTATAGTCCAATCCTCATCGCCGAAATCAGTCTTCCACATCAGCGTGGTAGGCTTCTAAGTTTGCAGCAATGGATGATTACTTGGGGAGTTGGTAAACCTTTGACCCCCCCTGCAGATGAAATGGCTAATTTTCTTCCAGATTTTGATAATGTATTTCATCTCCTACGGATCGTCATTTATGAGCACCAATGCCGTCTTTCGTCTTCCCTGGGGACTTCAAATGATCCCTGCTATTGTCCTGCTGGCTTTCCTCCCCATGATGCCCCGGTCTCCGCGGTGGTTGGCCACCCAGGACCGATGGGAAGAAGCAGAAGAGATACTCGCGCGCTTACATGCAAAAGGGGACATCCTGGATCCAATCGTAATTGCGCAGACTGCGGAAATTCGTGAAAAGATCGAGTGAGTCCGCAGAAGAGACCCATATCTAGCCTTGCCTACTGACCAATTCGAAGGTTTGAGCCTCAATATGAAACTACATCCTGGATGGCGGTCTTCAACTCTCGGAATATTATTCGAGTTCATTGTGGTATATTCACTCATATCTGGTCTCAACTCAGTGGAACAAATGCCATGATGTATTACATTGTCTATATCTTTCAGGTCAGTTTCGTGTCTAAGCATCAAAATTGATTGCAAGATTAACAGGTATATAGATGGCTGGATTAACGGGCAACAACGCTTTGCTATCTGCAACTATTCAATATGTCATTAACGTGCTCATGACACTTCCAGCGCTGATCTTCATCGATCGTCTTCCACGCCGGCGTCTCTTCATTGCAGGTGCTCTTGCTATGGCGGTCCTTCAATTCACTCAAGCAGGCTTGATGGCATCATATGGGGAACATGTCCCCGGCGGGCTGAAGGGCTCTCCCACGGTCACATGGAGAGTCACCAATGGCAAAGCTTCTAAGGCAATAATCGCATGCTCCTACTTGTTCATTGCCGCATATGCACCAACATGGGGGTAATTATTTCGAATCTGCTTCCAAGTTGAACTACTGAACTGACGTTGATACTTTTTTTTACAGACCTCTGGGCTGGGCCTATCCGCCCGAGATTATTCCTCTCTACATCCGCAGCAAGTCTGTCTCTCTGGCTACATTTTTCAACTGGGCTTGCAACTTTGCTCTAACCTTCTTCACGCCACCCGGGTTTCAGAACATTCAATGGAAGGTTGGTCTAGTCTAACAAATCGAAGCCATATTGACTTTCTAACATTTGTCCAGATATACTGCGTTTTTGGAACCTTCTGCACAGTTGCAGCGATCCATGTCTTTCTCTTGTTTCCAGAAACCTGCGGGAAATCATTGGAGGAGATTGACGAAATCTTCAGTAACCACAGTATCTGGGCTTTTAAGACTGAGCATGTGCCCAGTCGGTTGGCTGCTGATATCGAGCAAGCAAAGGAAGACTTGACCAATGATAAAGTCGGGGTAGATTACCCTGTGCTCTTAAAGTAGTGATCGAACAAGATACACAACAGACAACTCTTAATTCTTTAATCTATTTCATCTATTTCATCATTATTCATTCTGAACTGTAATGTTGAACGCCTTTGTGGGTTACCATTGTCGTTTGAGGTTTCTAGGTGTGCAGATCGCATGGCACACCAAGATTTCCGCATTACACCATAGTATCTTTTATCCTACTACACACATGATGATTGTATCACGAGCTCATCTTTATCTATGGCGAATAACAGTGGAACCATCACAAGTCCGATATGCGAGCTTCGCGAGTTCCAGCCGAGATCCGTAAAGCCGTACATCTACCCCAACGCAAGCCGACATCCGGCGCTCGTAAGGTTAAACTAAATAAGAATAACGCTAGATCCGCAGACCACCGAGAGAGCTTGTCTAAAAACAAATCACGCAAGAGGCTCACAAATTCCGCATAGCAATTATGGCCAAGCGCAACATTCTGCTCATGATCGCCGACGATCTCGGCAAACAACTTGGCTGCTATGGAAATACCAAGATCCAGACTCCAAACCTAGATCAACTTGCGTCTGAAGGAACAAGATTCGATCAAGCTTTCACTTCAACTGCTTCCTGCAGCGCTAGTCGCTCCGTGATCTACACTGGCCTGCACACACATCAAAATGGACAATATGGGCTGCATAATGGCCGCCATCACTTCACGACCTTTGATAATGCCGAGACTGCACCTTCTCTCTTCTCAAAGCAGGGCTACACAACTGGCTTGATTGGAAAAGTGCATGTTGGGCCTTCTCATGTGTACCCGTGGGATATGCGGGCCGAAAGCGATAGTCGTGATGTTGCAGCTGTTGCAGATCAGGCCTCAACGTTCTTTGACAAGTCCCGAGATGACGACAAGCCATTCTTCTTGACGATTGGCTTCATTGATCCTCACCGGGACTGGACTCGATCCGGCTTCGGTAATGACGGCGAGTATGACCCTCGCGTTAAGAAGGTCGATTACTCGCCTGATGATGTGGAGATTCCGCATTTTGTCAATGACCTGCCTGGCGTGCGTTATGAATTCGCAGAATATTATAAAGCAATTTCGAGGCTGGATCAAGGCGTTGGAATGGTCATGGAGGGGTTGGCCAGGTCTGGGTTAGCAGACGATACTCTCGTCATCTTCCTCAGTGACAACGGACCTCCCTTCATCAACTCCAAAACAACACTGTACGATGCCGGTGTAAGTCTACCCATGATTGTGAAATGCCCTGGATCAGCTGCCGGCATCGTCAATCCAAACATGGTCTCATACATCGATATCCTACCCACTCTTCTCGAATACGCCAACCACCCTAGCCCCGAGAATCCGGCTCGCATCGGCAGATCTTTCCTTCCACTGCTGGTTGAAACTTCTCCTCTCGAAGACTGGGGTGAGATATTTGGATCGCACACCTTCCATGAAGTCACCAACTACTGGCCTACGCGCATGATGCGTAACCGGCGCTACAAGTACCATCGTAACATTGCCTGGAGGCTTGACTTCCCATTCGCAGCTGACATTTATGGCTCACTCACATGGGAGGAGATTCGAAATGCCGATACCAGCCCGAAAATGATTGGATCAAGGCTGTTGAAAGATTACTTCTTCCGTCCTGCGGAGGAACTATATGATATCAATGCCGATCCCAATGAAGTTCGGAACCTTGCAAAAGACACGCAGTATCAGAGTGTTCTCGAAAATATGAGGGCGGAGGTGGAGAGGTGGCAGCGCAGAACTGAGGATGCCTGGTTATATCGAGATGGAGTCTCTTTGCTCTTTGTTAGACATCATCTTGAGGCCGGGCTGGAGGTCCCGGATCGTCAAGACTTTGATGTTGCGGTCCCGGAGAGCCAAGGACAGCCTAAGCTTTCGGGTGACTTGGCCTGGGGTGTCGCGGCAGCAAAGTAATCAGACAGGTGGTCTGACATGTTTCGGGCCTGACATGGTTCGGGAGAAAATGGAGCGAAGATGTCCCGTACGATGGGTACGTGCTCATGCCCAGATGGACACGTCCCGGTCAAATGATTGACTCATTGATCCAGCTGTTGCTAGTTTAATATCCCACGTAATCTTTGAAATCTGAGCCTCGTCACTCTTAACAAAGAAACGACGGGGGAAAAAAAGGACTTGATTCTGATGCAAAATTCGATATATGTCCAAATACTGAACCGTATGTATATTTATTCAGAGTTTCAGGATATTGATGGGAGAGATGGCCGAAAAAAAAGCACCTCAAGAACGCCCTCATCAAATGGTTCAAAAACAAGCTCTAAAGTCAGACACTGCGCAGTCGTCGAGGGATCATGCAGAAAGAGAGAAAGTGCGCCTGTACATAGTCATCGTAAAACATCCGCCCAACTCCACGTTCGTCTATCGGGAACGATGGGTACGGCTAGTGCCGTATGATGCGTTAATACTCAAGCCTCGGCCCAGATGCCGAGCCCAGCTCCGACACCAATAGCACTATTGGTTTCACTACCGCCGATATCCCAGTAGTTCCTACTGGATCCTGTCATAGTCCGTCGGCTGGAGATAGCCGAAAGCTTGGCACTTTGGCTAGCACAACTGGAGCCAGGGCGGCGAAGATGAGGTCGCAGGAGGGGCGATGAGACACCTGCGGGATTCGTAACACCTGAAAACTGCGACTGGCGACGAGTTTGTGTTTGGGAGCGGGAGTGGGCGCGCGCCACAAGGGGATGGTGATGCCGAATTATGGCAGCGCGACGGGATGCATCTTGGGCTCGACGCGGTGGAGTTGGCGTGTTGGCGTTGGTGTTGGTGCTAGAGTCGTTGGGCATGTATCCTCGACGACTGAAGCGGTTGCGGAGATAACGGAAAACCATCATGACGTCAAGGCCGCGCTCCCAATACTCAGCTTCCTGGTGGAGCTTGGTGGATTCAGCCATCAGGCCAGATGTCTTCGGGTCGTCATCCTCGATACCCCATTGGGCCTCGTGCTCCCGATTGGAGTCGCGAAGAGTAGGCAGGAAGTGTGGAGATAGCATGGACTCGCCGGTGGTATCTACAGCAGTTGGCATAGAGGACTCGCCAGGTCCTTGGGAACTGCTGCTGTCTGCTAGTCGGTTTAGTGACATGCCAGCATATTCGGCGGATATATCTTTGGTCATTTGATAATAAGTCGTAAAAGCGCCCGGGTGTTCACAAAGTTGATTAACAAGAACACCCAGTTCGTGCGCGATATGTTGAAGTACCTTGCTCTGCCATGGCGGTGAATCATTGTACACTGGTTCAGGCTCGCGGGCCAGTATTGCTTCCATGTTAAGGGTGTCTTCTTGGTTGTCAATTTGCGCGTCCAGCGGCAAAGACTCCCCGAATATGACCGAGAGTAAGGCATCATCAATGCCGAGAAGGTCGCGAATCACCTTTCGCGTGATGCGGCGCCAGAATGATTCTTCCTCCTTCGACACGCCTTCCGGAGGCGAATTGTCTCGGGGTGCATCGGCAACATCTGACTGTGTGGCATGATCGACGGAGCGCTCAGCGGAGCGGTCAACGCTCACCCGGCTGACTCGACTGGTCCGTCGCTGACGAGTCTCTCGTTCGATCTCCTGGAACAAAGCCCGACTTTGATCCATACGCCACTCTTCGATGCGCTGCCAACGCTCTCTTTCGACATTTGCTTCCCCATCGCCGACGTTATCCAAATGCCTTTGCACGCTTGAACGACGACGATGTTGCAAATGAGCGTAAGACAGCCTTTGCGGGTTGTATTGTTCGTGCTGCCATAATTGGTCCTGGACTGCCTGACCAGAAGCTTGGAAGCTACCTAGCCCATCATGGGCTGGAAGCATAGCTGGTGGACCCTGATCCAACCGCGTAGGGGATGTTGGGCCCAAAGACGGAGCCCGAAAGGCATGTAATCCCTCATCCAGGCTGTCCAACTCGGTCCCGTCTTCATCCAACTGATCATCGAGGGCATCGGTGTCCTCGTCTGCTCCGGTGGCTGACCGTGTCGCGGCAAATGAACCAAAATCACTTAGTCGAGTGGCACCTATAGTCCGGGTGCGCTCGGTCGAGGTCGTGTGCGTGCGAGCGGTCGGTGAGAATAGGACCCATTGGGCGGTGTCGTCATCGGGTTGTGCCTGTGAGGAAGGGGGAATATCGAGAGTGGGCGGGCGAGGACTCGAGTAAGAAGTCCTGCGGCGAGGAACGTGTGGCACCTGGAAGGCCATGCTGTTCCTGATCTAATGGCAAAACAGAGAGTGTTCAACGGTGGAGCCCTCCAAAGAGAGATCGCAGCCGTCGGGGAAGAGGTGAGTAGAGCGGTGAAGAGGTGTCAAGGAACACAGAAGATAGAGATCGAGAGACACAGTGAATAAAGTATGAAAATAATACTAGAGACTATAAAATAGAAAATAGAAAATACAGGGAAAAGGGAAAGCAGAAAAGCAACAAAGCAAGGGCAGTGATGATGCGTAGAGATTAGCTGATAAGCGGAAGATGCAGCCCGACAGATCAGATCACCGATGATGCAACCGACATCGGAATGAGGCCACCTCTCTTCCTGTTCTCCGTACTCCTTTTGTTTGTTTTATCGTTATCAAATCATATCACATCTCCTGAACAGGGGAGTCTGACAGTGCTGGTAACATCAGCTGACAGGGGTCACCAGGATCGACGCTGTGACGTGGGATTTCACCTGTCACATCGACTACGCAGTGCGATACGGAGTACGGAGTATGGAGTACGGAGTACGGGGAACAATGTCGATCAATCTGGGTTAACTTCCTATGTGTGCGACCTCTTTCAAACTCTTTAATTTCCTCTCTCCACAACTAAGAACACTTGGGCAAGCAAACATCCTGAGTGGCATAGACAAACGCCAAGATCACACACCACATCGCCTGCAGTAGCACATAATCAATCCCCTTCCCTAACTAACCACACAAAGGGTTAAAAGGCTCGGTGAACGAGGCTTTTGTCGGATCTGCAATGGTAGATTCGCTGTTCATTTGCGGCAACGCCACCCAATCATCATTGGCGTGGTCTATATATCCGATTTAGCAGCAAGGATGTGTTTGTGTGGCCCGACTTCTCTGCTAGACTTATCAAGGAGGCCAACTCGTCGCCGTGAACCATTGCACCGGCTGCCTTGAGAGCTTCGATGATGGGATTATAGCCCATCTCAACGGCAGCTTGTAGCGGAGTCTGGTCATCATGGCCACCTCCCTTGCGATTGGGATCCGCCCCTGCGTTCAACAAAGTTTGAACCAGCATGGCGCTTCGATGCCGTGATTTGATTGCCGCTATCAGAGCAGATCCATTGAATCTCTTACTCCATTTGATCTCACGTTTGTGTGAGTGATCTGCGCGATTTTGGAGCAGTGACTCAACTGACCGCAAACTGCCTTTAAAGGCTGCTGAAGGGAGTAGAGTCTCGAACACGAGCTGAGAGTATTTTCCTGGACCCACGGAATTGAGCAGCAAGTCGAGTATTTCAAAGTGGTCCTTGTTCACTGCAATATGCAGAGCACGGCCGAGATCTTGTTTAACTGGGAAGTCACGAACTTGAACAAGATTCTTCATCGCAATCGACACAATTTGGAGTATGTCGTGCTCGACAAGCTGATCCAGCAATGATTCATTGGTAGCACGAGGCTCATGGTCCAAAGACCTCTCCTTGAGGCTAGAATAATATTTCCACACTTCAAATATTTTATCCAGCTGATTGAACAAATCTTCGGCGCGAGAATCAACGGCCTGAAGCCTCAAGGGTCGGAAAGCGGCTGAGATATGGATGAAGAGCGAGTCGACGGCATAAAGAAGCAATGGAAATTTCTCGTGAGCATCCTCCATTATCTTTCGAGCACGCTTGACGTCCAAAAGTTCAACCATGGGTCTCAGTTCGGTGCACCACAGAGTATGTAGGTCCTGCAAGTACTTGATGCAGATCTCCGCGAGCTGTTCATGATCCAGAAGGTCGTGGTATCTGACATGACAGAGATAATCGTTGTCAGAAGTCACCCAGTGAACAAAGCGATCTTCTTGCGTTTGTCTTAGTGTTGCAGTCGCGATAATTTGCTGCGTGCCGCATTTGCGAGTCTCGCAGTTGCCGTCCGTCAGATGGATTGGGTTGACCCTCTCCTTGACTTCCAAAAATCCGTCCTGGAAGATGGAGAGCTTAGTCCCGATGTTTTTGTCGATTGGGGGCCTTGGGTAAAAAGGCAGTTCTGACAACTGCAGAGCCTGGTGCAGCTCTCTAGGTTCCATCCGCCGAGTCGCCGAAATACTCAGTGCGAATAGTCCGTCATAATTCGCGCGATAAGGTGGTTCTATAATGCGATACTCCGTTTCGGTTTGAACTGTCTCTATCGCATTACCCCCATGATGGCCGGGTTTGTTGGGAAACTGGAACCGCTGATCACCGCTCATGTCGACTAACAACCTTGGAAGATGATGAAGATCTTCAGGTAATGGTCTAGTATTTGAGTGACAGTGTGCATGGGGGCGATGTCCCTAAGAAGTGGACATGGAAGGTTGCTCGGGTTTTTATATCACGGTTCGTGGTTGCAAGCAGTGCTCTGGATAAGTCAAGATTGATCACCTTTCCCAAGCTCAGACTCTGAAACTCATGACTAGGTTGCGACGAGAGTGTCATCAGCATCTCAACATATTAAACAGAGTCAGCTCACATGCAATCTTGCGCACCAGCAAGACGAGAAGAACTATAGGTCCAAGCTGTGTCGCAAATGTCCAGGTGCGAACGTGAGGTGGCTCCGAGGTCTTTCACCCAACCAACAGCGACAAAGGCAACAGCCCTGAAACCTTGCCTTGCTAACCTTTGGACTGGGTATCTGGCTGTGCCCTGCCTTCAGGGCGAGTCTTCTCCCTCCCAACAACTGGGGCTAGAGCAGACCTATATTATGCTGACAACAATGGAGGAAACTTTGGATTACTGGTTCAGTTTTGGGGTCGAAATGGCAACTTAACCAACATGGTTGGACATAGGTGCTTGTAACGTCACGGCGCTAAGTAGCAGGGGTATATTGTCTATGATATAGGGACGCAGGCTAATCAATCCGAACCAGCGAGGGCTTCTCCCACCCAGTCCATCTGGACAGCACTGACACCACGTGCGTAACTACGGTTGGTAAAGACGAACTCGTTGTACATGATCGCCTCGACCTTCTTGCCATACAGCACACTTGAAGGGTGGATGGCGACAGTCTGGTTTCCAACCACTGTGCGGTAACTGCCATCTGGCACGAGGCGCGCAGTGTTGGTGGCGAATCCAGCAAGGAAGCTTTGGAGAATGAGGATTGGTGATGGGTCATGGTGTTTGTTTGAGTTCAGGGCTTCGTTGGTGAGTAGCTTGGCTTGGCGGCATTGGGTACGAAGTTGTTTGCGGACATCCTAGGGTGCTTTCGTTAGATTGATTTCAGGTTGTGATTATGGGGTGCTGGATACGAACCATTACAGACTGCATCGCGCGATGCGAGACAAGATGGCGCTCTGCCCAAGCCTTGCGGTCAGCGTGTTCGGCGGCGTAAACTCGCACGGTAGTCATCATTGTCAGATGGTCACCCTCGCGCCGGTATAGGTCGCGACGTGCGGTCTCTGCTGCTTCTTTCTTTTCTTCTGATGTAGTGTTGAGGAAGATGTTCTCTACACTCAGACATGAGATGATATCGATAACATCAATCAAAACTTCATGTCCGTTCTCAGCTGCAGCTAGAAGCACACGACCTAGTGTTGGTGTCAAGGGGAGCTTGGCGATATGAAGACCAACTGCACTGATCGACCCCGTATCCTCGAGGGCGTTGATATTCAGGAGCTGAAGAAGTGCCTTCTCCAACGCTTCACGTGGCGGTCGAGTCAGGAATGGGAAACGAACGATATCATCCACACCGCGGGCCTTCATATTAAGTAAGGCTTGACTAAGATCACATCGCAGGATCTCGGGAGTATTGGTCTCGTCAAGGGCCAAGTAATCCTTCTCCGTATATAACCGGAAACATTGTCCAGGGGCTTCACGACCAGCTCGACCCTTTCGCTGAATCGCAGCTGATTTGGAGATAGGCTTTACCAGGAGTGAATCCAAACCGAGACGAGAGCGGAACTGCTTGACCTTTGCTTTACCACAATCGATGACGTGCCGAACGCCGGACACAGTGACTGATGTTTCAGCGATGTTGGTGGAAAGAACAATCTTGCGGGTTCGGGGAGGCGCAGGGGCGAAAACCCGCTGTTGGGCAGCCTGTGGAAGTGCTGCGAAAAGAGGAAGAACCAAGATCTTGGGAAGGGATGGGTCCATGCCCATTGCATACTCGTTTACGAGATGCTCCAAAGCCTCCACGGTTTCTTGACCAGTCAAGAAAACCAGGATATCTCCTGGCATAGGCTCCTTCTGGTGAATCTGGAAAATGGTCTTCAGTGCTGCATCCACAAAGTCATGTACAGGTGCAGGCGAGTAGATTGTCTTCACTGGGAACTGTCGACCCTTGATATGACAGATGGAAATATCTTTTGAACTTGAAGTGTCCATTTTGTCCGCATCGGTCTCACCATCGGTGATTTTCTTTTCAGTCTCGGGCAGCTTGTACCCCTCTTGGAAGAATCCAGTCAAACTCTCCATATCAGCAGTAGCACTCATGACCACCACCTTGAGCGGTACACCACCTCGACCTTCTAGAGACCCAGAGACAAGGTTGCGCAAGAATCCAAGCGTTAAATCAACGTTAATGCCACGTTCGTGGACCTCATCAACAACGATAGCACTGTACTTGGTCAAGTACGGATCATGCAACATCTCCTGGAGCAGCATACCCTCCGTCAAGAACTTGACGCGAGTACTAGGCGACACCGATGTATCGAATCGCACAGAGTAACCAACCTTGCTAGCCGGCGAATGGGACCCAAGCGGTGTGCCCATTTCCTCTGCGACACGACGCGCCAACGAGATGGCAGCGACTCGTCGGGGCTGTGTGATAGCGATGCACCCTCCAACCATTTTCTTCTCGGTCTTCCCGTCCCGTGTTATTTCCGTAGGCACAGGCCGACACCAGAACTCGTCAACAAGGAACTGGGGAATCTGAGTACTCTTTCCGCTACCAGTTTCACCGACCAAAAGCATGACATCTTGTTCGCGGAGGTTGTTTCTGATCAGATCTGCATTCTCAAAGACTGGGAGTTTGCGCCGTGTCTCGAGCAATGCCTTAGCCTTCTCGCGCAAGGGTGTGAAATTGGTTTTTGTGTCGGTGAAGGGTCTCGATTTCGATTTCGGGTGTGGTTTGGAAACCGGAGCACCATTTGGACGAGACGCGCTCTTTTCCTGGATCTGAGTCACAGGTTCCGGGATAGTCGTCTGCTTCACGGACGGTGCGAGCTCAATAGGCGCATCGCGATCGGCGACCTTCGGGGCCTCGGGCTCGTCGAGCTTGCGCTTCTTGCTCCTCTTCTTCTTGCGTGCGGGCTCTTCCTGGGGAGGAAGAGCATCCGTTTTCTCTACCTTCTCATTATCTGAGTCGGCGAACACTGTTCGAACCTTCTCCGGCATTTTGTGAGGTAAGAGTGTGTTTTGAATAGGACGAGTCTCGCAACATAGTGAAATTTTTCTGCCGTTATCGATAAGGTCCGCGATAAGGTCCGCGATAAACATCCCAAAATGGTTGCGGTCACGTGATCCATTTATACCATCTTGTTGTTCTGGTGATTTTGCATTTCTGTTAAGTTTAGCTACATTAGTGGCACAATTGGGTGAATTTATAGTCGCTCCCCTTGTAACCACCGCCTGTTGTCGAGTGGTCAAGAAGGGTGGTTGCATTTAAAGTTTATCTTAGTGCATTTCGAAAGTGCACGCCATACAGAGTATGCCTCCAGAGACCTGCTTTTGAATAGTAGAAAACCAATATATGCTTACTTTTTGTCCAATATCTACGTCTGCAGAGGCGATGAAGAGGGACCAATTGGTATGAACATTGAAATTCCTGCGCAGCTATGACCACTTGAGCAATTCATCAATATTTTTCATGAGTCATTCGTGGAATTCAATTGTGTTCCTCATCAGCTACCTCGGTAAATCGTCGTCAATTGAGCATACTAAAATGCTTTCACTTTTCCTACTACTTGCAAACAAGCTTGTGTTCCTTCCAGTCCTTTTTCTGGCAATCCTTCGAGCAGTACTTCGCCGTGTGGCAGCGAGAACAGTTCATCAAATCAGAGCCGTCTGGCTTAGAAGCGTTGCCACAGACTTGACAGCCATTCTTCTGTTCCGTGGGCGCATTGCGAGTGAAATCGGATTTGTAGATATCCAGAGGACTCTCGACAAGCGGAGATGAGAAACACGGAGAAATGGCAACCCGGACAGCGTATTTCGACAGAACATTCCATCCCGGGAAGTCGGGCATGAAATCGGCAGGCAACTCACCTTCACCACAAGAGCACAGAATTCTTTCGCCAAATTTGGTTGAGAGAGGAATCGTACCCTTGGAAAGATACTCACATTTAGGCTTGTGCGACCATGATCGGCTTCGCTCAGTCCAGGCAGGCAGTGATTCTTTCCATAGCTGTAGCTCGTTTGTAGGTACGTTGATCGCCGGGGGCGCATAGCTGCTTTCCGACATTGCTTGCAGAGATGGAAGAATGCGCCCCATGAGATCGATGCGCAATGGTAGCACTGCGCCGTCAAGGACAACAGTGCGGTTCGAGAGATCGAGTCGCATTTCCGAGAGGAAGAACAGAATCTGCACTCCTTGTTGATCCTCGCAATTAATAGCGAACACGGATGCATGATTCTTTCCTTCAGCTCCAGTGAATCCCATGAACATGTGAAAAAGCGAGTCTTTGAAGTCGCACTTGGCGCGCAGGCTGGGTGTTGATGGCAACGAGGGATTGAATTTCACCGCGCTTTCTTTCGTTGACCACATGGTTGGCAGGTGGTACTTGAGGAAATCAAGGCGCACCGACTTCGGATTTGTGACATCAATCTTCGGAAGCGCAGACATGTGCAGACGCGGCATGTTCCATAGGGAAGGTGACCCAGAGTCCAGGAAGACTGGGTACATGAACGACGGGAAATTTGGCCAGTCATCAGATTTAGCAACGCTTGCTACAACCTCAAGATAGGATGATTTGCGAGCGATCCGGATCTTAACTGTCGAGTCCAACACAGGAGCTGGGAAATCGACTTTGTACTTTGGACCTCGTTCCCCTGCTATGGCATAGTTAAATGGAGATCGCATCCAGCGGGTGAATTTGCTTCCTTCCTTCAGTGCGGATTTTCCCTCCTCTGAGAGGATCTGGAGATGACTGGTAAATGATGAGATACGGCCAGATTCCTTGTCAACACTGGCTGTCACCGTTGTCCCGGAATGACCCTTGGGATCAACCTCATCTTGAATGGTTCCTGGGGCAAAGCCATCAATGGAAATAACACCCTTCTGGCCTGGAGAGGCTTTTGTGATGTGAACATTTTCAACATCTTGTTGATCAGCGGTAAAGATAGTCAATGTTTGCCCGAGAATATTGGCAAAAGCAGCCACAGTGTGAGGGGTGTGGGGAAGTGTCAACGAGACAGTAGCCGTCTCAGGCTCCTGGAACAAGACCCAAGTGGGTACATAGAAGGAGACGAACATTGCCGATTTTCCAGACCATCCCAAGGGGTCATGATGGATGTCAATACCATACGAGTCACTCGATTGAGTTCCCTTAGCCACCAGACTACCGAACCCAACCTGGGTTGCAGCGAACATGTTCTGCCATTGGTTGGTTGTCAAAGGGGATGACTGGAGAGTTCCCTGAAGCGGAGGAGTGAACCCCTTCTTCATCGACTCCTTGATAAAAAGATCGAGTTTGTTTCTTGGAATCTGAAGCGTTACACATACGGCCTCTGGGACATTTTGCCAGTTCTGCAGATTGCCCGCTCCTTGGAAGCTTGCTACATTCCCTGGTTTCTCTCGCAGGATGTCAACCGAGTGAATACCCTTCATGTGCATCCAGAGGAAGAGCTCTTGCATGTAAGTGTGAGAGAACGCCAGTTTTTCATCACCTTCGATGCGCTCCAGTAACTCTTTCATTGTCTTTTTCCAGTCAGTCTTCACCCGTGACTTCACAAAGCAAAGAAGAGCGACGAAGCTTCCTCGGTGATACGTTGGGAGAGATGGTCTTTGACTTTTTTGGGCGGTCATCCTTGCAAGCATCTGCGTGACATCCTCATCGGCAAACATCTTCGAGTAGATGAGATGGAGAGCACTTGCCAGATGGGCCGGGTCGAAGTGAATAAGGGCTAGCGGTTTTTCGGCTGTCTCTGTGGGGTTCAATGGCCTCTTCCACGCAATTCTTGCAAAACATTGCAATACTTCAGTTTGACCAGATGCGATCGTTTCATCGCCCGAAGAGAAATGCGAAGCATTTGTTGCAACTTCAACGGGGGTCAAGCCAAGGAGCGAAGACACCGTAGTCAAGTCACCACAAAGAATGTTCTCTAGAAGCTCCACGTGGCTCCCGTGAGTTCGAACGAGCTTTTCCGAGAACAGGGTGGATGAGAATGTGTTTCGAAGAAGGGGCGAAGTGGCAGCCAGGAGGTTCAAAGCTCCAAGGTGATCAATAAGGTTGGATGTGTCGATAACATCGAACACACAAGGTGCCGAGCCTTTGGAATAATCGCCGCCCGTCAAATCCAATGGCTCAAAGTGATACCTATCACGATACCAGCTGGCTTGCTTCGACCCGCTGGTCCTTATGTGCTGGAGGGAGTACGCTAGCGCCACTGCGTCCCCCACAAAGAAGCGTAGCTTCGTCAGCCCATTAGCGCTGTGGGTTCGGAATGACTTCATCCAGGAACTAAACTCTCGCTGTGCTGTTCCCACAATCTCGGCCGAAGTAGGTTTTTTGGAAGCAGAGAACGGGTTGGACAATGGTGACGATGCCTTGAGCGGAGCATAGGAGGCTCCAAGATGGAATCCTGACAACGGGTCGGTGCCGTAGTGTAGGAACATATTGCCATTCCAGGGTGCAAGCATAGGATTGTATTCTGTGGCATCAGATCGAGCTGCTGAATCAGTATCGGTAGTGCCGAATTTCCAGTAATCATTGTACAAGCCCCCAATGTCAGATAGGGCAAGCATGCAGGCAGGCGAAGCGGCACGGAGGCTTGTCAGAGCGTTGGCTTTATCTCCCAGAACTAATTTCATGTATTCTTGTGACTTCCGTATGCCCGACGCGACCTTGGTTTGGTAGCTGGAAAGATCATGTCCTTTTCTCTCGGCTCCGTAGAAGCTCCACATATCCCGCACCCTTTGGAGGGAGGTGCGGTCACAGATTCTGATATGCTGGCCATACTGACTCTCATGCCATGAGTCCAGTGAGTTTGACAGAGATAGCAGTTTCGTTGCCTGACTCTGCAGCAGATCAAGTACAGCTTGGTCGATGCGGAAATGATAAAATAATTTCCAAATGGCATGCTCCAGAGCACCATCCGTGTCATCCAGTATCAAGGACAGCAAGACAATGTTGCGGGCTATTTTGAATGCTTGTCAGTATCTTCACTGAAGAAAGATTAACAGGGATCTTACCAATCACTGCGGTATCCACATCACAGCAAGTGAAGTCCAATGGACGCTGGCTGTGAGATTTTTGCTCATTGTTGATGGTAAAGAGAATATGACGGACATCTCCACACCCTAGAAGAAGGATATCGGCCTTTTCATGCGGTGGTAATTCCTGAGTCAAGGAGACAGCAGGGGTGTTTCCGATAGGATAGAAAAATTGGACGAGGTTGGCAATGACCGGCGCCAACATGATGAAGGTTCTCGGTGTTAATGACGGGGTCAGATCTTAGAGGAAATCAAAGAGGTTCTTTGACGTGATCATTGAGTTGATGATTTGCAAGATTGCAAGGGAAGTGGGAGGTGAGGGTTGGTCACCGTTGGTGGTCCGCTGGTGGGGCAGGTGTTTGCAGGCATCGTTTGATTTTTGTCACTTGTGTCAAACGATCAAACCTCAGAATAAGATGCCCATCGACCTGAACGGAGTATTCGTTTGCAGATTTTGAAATAAACTAGGTGGAGAGCTTGCCCCCGGACTAAGCTAATCTTAGTTTCATTTCGCAGTCATGCGGGGGGTACCCTTGGGCTCCCCCGCTGTCTCGGGCTTGAATCATATTTTCGTCAATCTCGAACATGATACCAATGACTCTTCCTTTGGTCTTGGATCATTCCTGGGTTGGCCGTATGTTGTTTCGTACAGAATCAGAACTGATGTAAATTTCCGTACCCGGAAATCTCAGTTTTCTCTAGTTTTATCTTCACGCCATACTTGTATGCCTGTCATGATGGCTCATACCGATTTTCTTGGTTTGTTCTCTTTCTTTTCGCTTTCTTTTCGCTTTCTTTTCGCTTTCTTTTCGCTTTCTTTTCGCTTTCTTTTCGCTTTCTTTTCGCTTTCTTTTCGCTTTCTTTTCGCTCGTCTTTTCATTTGTCATCTCCAGATCCCAAAGACTTTACCAAACTCAAATTAACCCCCACGGCCCATGTCACCCAGCATATCCCCACGTGAGGCTCATGGGGCTCAATGATAAGCTTTTGTTCCATCAACATGCTTAGATGCACATGACACTCAAGCGACATTGTCCAATGCTGTGTCCTCAGTCAACGTTTCTGTGTCATAAGTTATCGAAGTGCTAGCTTGCCGTCAGCGGGACAAACTCTGCGCTAAGATCGACAACGGGTCTTTTTGGCCCCCAGCTCGTGTTGTCAAGAAAGCCTCGAGGCTGACTGCGTATAAATCCGTCCTTGCCGTGCGGCAAGAAATCTCTACAACCTACATAATGTCGAAAGAAAGGAAATTTGGTCGTGGAAGGTCGATACATAACCCATTCCCAGCATCGTTGGCTAGTGGGTTTCTCCGCTTTAGCCCCCCTTCTCCGACATTGAGCGTACTGACACCACTCACAGGCGAATGCGAGAAGGCTAGTCAAATTCTAGAATCTTTTATAACCCCTCGTTTTGTTGGAATAGACGTGGGCATCCCCCGGAAGATCCTTACTCGGGCAAAGGTTAGGCGCTCCTAACTTCCAAAGCTTCCGCCGTGTCGCTAAACTCCTCCCACGTAGGGCCTGGTCATAATTACCTCTTTCCGGGCAGGTTTTCTTGGTTCCGGTCGCCTGGGGTCCGGCTTGATCACTGCCCGACTCCCCGATGGCACCTGGTCTAGTCCATCTGCGCTGGTCACCGGAGGCGGCGGATTTGGTGGGCTCATTGGCTTTGAGCTAACCGACTTCGTGTTTGTCTTGACGAGCACTGAGGCAGTCAAGTCTTTTACGAGAGCTGGATCGATCACGCTGGGTGGCAATGTATCGTTGGCTGCCGGACCTGTTGGACGTAGTGCCGAAGCAGCTGGCACTATCAACAAAAAGGGTGTCGCGGGGATGCTCTCGTATGCCAAAACCCGGGGCATTTACTGCGGTGTCTCACTCGAAGGATCGATGTTGTTAGAACGGTCTAGTGCCAATGAGAAGATGTATGGACGCAAAGTGACTGCGAAGGAGTTGCTGCATGGAGACATTTCTCCGCCCCCTGAAGCTGCGTCGCTCATGCAAATACTAAGCTCACCATCCATTACGCCCGATCCCTCGGTCGCTTCACCCAACGGACCCTTTGCGCCGCCGACCGCACGTCATGTTGGCCAGGAAGGAGCACAGCTACCACCCCAGCGGCCGGACGAGGCACCGCGAGGGATTTCTGAGCTTACTGCTCCAGTCTCTAATCAGCGGGTTGAATTGGACACTGGCGCTCCGCATGAGGTTTTTGAGCTACCAGCTGGCGCACAGAATGAAACGTCACATGAGCTTGATTCTGCGGTCTCTCCTTCATCACAATATCTGTCACAGCCTGCTGGCGAAGGGTCGCCGCGGGTGGTATCGCCGCTATCTCTCTCGGAGCCGCCGATCAACAAACAAGCGACTATGGCACCTTGACATGATGATGCAAGATATTCATGTACCGAAGTCAAACCTTGGAATGTCAGTCGCTGAAATAAAATGCTCAATCTGATAGCATCGTATATGTATAAACATCACTCTAATTGAACTCGAGGCTCTCGGTGATAGCCCTGGAGATATATCACACTTGCGGGCCGCGGAAAATTTGAACATACCCACGTACCTGCATGTGCCAAATATTGGAAGCGTCCACGAATTTGGAATAGTCTCCTGGCCAGGTAAATTGAGCATACAGCCGAAGGTCATTTCCCCAAAGTCCGTTCAAGGTTCCCACCGGAGGTTTCGGCCAACGTCACTGCAAACCTTGGAACTTACCAAGGTTATCTATAGTTGAACGTCAATTCCAAGGTTAGACCACAGGCGTCTATTTCGCCAATCAACACATTAATTGCCGAGCAGGCGGTAAAATTTGGAAGTACTCCGTAGCGTCTCCATAGTAAATTCGAGAAAGTGACAGGAGAGAGTATTTTCGTCTGTGCACCAATTTCTGGCTAGGGATGTTGGATCAGTACTCCGTACTCCGTACACCTGTGACACTCTGCTCCAAACTCGGCACTTCGTATTCCGTACAGAGACGGATGGCCCGCTGTCAAGTCTAGATCCAATGGACATCCATTCGGAAATGAAGAGACCGCATTCCAAAAAGCGAAATGTGGATTCGCGCTCAGGCCCTCAAGAAAAGGGGGGGAAGGGGCACGACCAGCGAACCATAAGCCTTTTTGCGACCAAATGTAACCGGATCCAATGGCAATGGACACATCGAAATAAAGATCCCGACAATGAGGTTCACAACCCTAAGGTCAATAGGCTGTCGATCCGCGAACGTCAAGCGAACCTTGAACCTATTCGGCTCCATTGCACTGCACAATTGCATCATCGCCATGAACTCGATCCCGATCGCGTGGGGTGTAGCCGCAAACCCATCGATCGATCGATCTGCATTGTATTTTGATGCTTTGTGACCTCCCACATTGTCTTTGTTCATGCTTGTACTTTGGCCATTGTGTTCTCTGTCAGTCGCATGGTTCGTGCTGGCAGAACGCCGTGGGGAGCTGATCAGTCGATGCATCAATTTGAATTAGAAAATGTAGGAAATTACTTCCAGCTATTAAAGCGCAGCGCTCGTCGTGTCTTGCGACCAAGCTCTTATTTCTCCCAACTCTTGAGATGGCGCCCATAGATCTGCACAATGGGATTACCAGCCCGGACTCAGAATCCTTGCGCTCGTTTTCGGAAACACTTCCAGATGAATATCATGACTGGATGAGTATGAGTGATGGTAGATCCTCAAGGTAAACACTTGAAATTGCGATGGATTGCGAGATAGAGGCTCACCAATACAGAGGCGAGCAATTGCTGGATGATTTCCCCCAACCACCCCGGGCGATGAATTTAGATTCCATCTTCGAGGAACAAGTTTATCCTACGCCGAAACCCTCGATCAAAAACCTGCGCCGCCACGCTACAGCCACCGAACTTCCTCTTCTACAGCAAATTAATCCTAATGAAGGCGCTCCCGAGTTCAACCCAGTCAGCGAATCCGAAGAAAATGGATCCTACGATCTCATTGCACCCTATGAAGGTGGCGACCTACCACTTCACAAGCTGGAGCGACTCGCCGATATCATGTTTTCGTCAGAACACATGCTCACAATCCTGAATAACCCGCGATATCTGACCCGATTCCGCGATTTCTTACTCGAGGAGCGCCCGCGCTCGATCTCCACCCTGACCTACTACCTCAATGCGGCGAAAGCGTTGAAGGCTATCCAATATGCGAATGCGCTGGTGCGACTTTCTGTTGACGTGCCCCCTCCGGCTGTCCATACCAGCGAAGAGACCGTTGGGGTCACTGAGAATCGAGTTTTGGAACAACGGGTCATAGATGGATTGTTGGCGCTGACTGCTGAAGAACTTCCTGCGTTTATCACCTCGCGGTGTATCACCATCACAAGTAAAATTGTGGAAGAGCGTATTCGCGGCACATTGCCGATGAAGTTTCGGGGGACGTCAAACGCGCTGGCAGAAGTATTCTGTCTAACGGATCCCTCGCGGCCAGACAACCCTATTATTTTTGCATCAGAGGGTGAGTTTGACTTCTTGTCATTCCTTTTGATTTCTCTCTTGCATCACTTCTATCATCTTTAAACATATCTAACTAAGCTAGAATTCCATCGTACAACGCAGTATGGAATGGACTATGTCCTTGGCCGAAATTGTCGCTTCCTTCAAGGACCAAAGACAAACGCAAACAGTGTCCGTCGCCTCCGCGAAGCAATTCATGCAGGTCGACACCACTCAGAGATGTTCCTGAATTAGTGAGTTTCATCATATCACAATCTCCTTCCCAAGGGTGTTCCGCTTGCTAATGATATTAGCCGCCGTGATGGCTCACCGTTCATGAATCTCCTCCAATGCGCCCCCTTATGCGACAGTCATGGTCGTGTCAAGTATTTCATCGGCGCACAGATTGATGTATCAGGTCTCGCAATGGAGGGAGCCTCAATGGAATCGCTGATGGAGCTCCAAACAAAATACCACGACCCAGAAGATGGAAGTATAATGGAGCCCCCACCAGCAGAAGAAAAAGATGAGTTCCAGGAGTTGAATGAACTGTTCAGCCCCCGCGAGCTTTCTTCCGTTCAACAGCATGGCGGACATCTGTTCCAGCCCGTCAAAAGCATGGCATCTCCACAAGACCCTCGATCGTGGTTAAAGCGTGGTACATCCTTGGAAAGCGAAACGGAAGCCATTCGCCTACGGGATATGAAATCGCCTTTCTTCCGAATGTCTCTGGCCGGAGTCTACGAAAATGTAAGAAATTTTCTCGCATTTTGGTTTAATTGCCGAGCTAACTTATGCAGTACCTACTTGTTCGACCTTATCCTTCTCTACGAATTTTGTTCACTTCTCCGGCACTCCAGATTCCGGGGATGCTGCAATCACCATTCCTATCGCGAATCGGCAGTTCCTCGGCAGTAAAAGACGATTTACTCCAAGCCATGATGGTTGGTCGCAGTGTGACTGCTCGAATCAAGTGGGTTACGCGAACAAATCCTGAGGGACGTAACCGTTGGGTTCATTGCACACCTCTCATGGCCAGTAATGGACAGGTGGGCGTGTGGATGGTGGTGGTCGTGGACGATGACGACGAGAAAGCAATAAACTGGCGTGCCTAGCTTAATAGCCCCTATTCTTCTTGCATGTACATAGTTCTTTATACGTATAGATCCAAAATATCCTCACTTTCAGCTCTCATATATTCAGATCGGCATTGCAGGAGTCTAAGCGAGGTTGTTCCTGTGGATCTCAGCCGCACTCGTGTCGAAAGTGCGGTCTCGACCATAGATCTAGTCAAAACGCTAGATCGTACCTGTCACTCATGCCATTTGATCCGAGGAAGCGTTGCACTTATGTACGGAGTACGCACTTATCAAACCAAGAAACGCTCGTGCCTTTGAAGACTAACTATGTCTCACGTGAGATGATGCACGAATAAACGGATTCTATTTCCAATTAACGGCTGGTCGTCTTACCTGCATGGAGTTGTTGCGATGAGGGGACAGGTCAGATTCCCACTCAAATCTTTTTTTTCTCCTCAAAATGTCATCTGTCTCGGGACTCCATCTTCTCTTCCCCGAGGATAGACTCGACGCCATTTCCCGTTGCCAAACCATACTTGACCCACAGAACGATACGCTATTTACGCCTATCCCAACTCCACACAATGGTAGCTGTGGTCCCCCAACGCGCGCTTCCACAAACAGGAGTTGCCGCTCTGCTCGCAGGACTCGATACACCAGGAGAGATTTAGCTACCTGATGGCTCAGTTGTGGCTTTTGGAGCGGGTGATCCAGTTTACCGGGTCATCTTTCGCTCGGAGCATGCTTTGCGTACCCCTATGACCGAATATGGAATTGGCCAAGCTTATTTGGATGGTGAAATTCAGGTACAGGGGGATTTTGGAGCTCTGTTTAATGCGAGGCGGACGTTGCAGGACAAAGTACCAATACGACAGAAATTGCAATTTGTCTACGACTTTCTTCGGGACTCTACCAGAATGCATGCGAAGGCTGTCGGTGATCACTACAATCTCGGCGACGACTTCTACCTCACCTTCCTTGACAAAAGACTCAGGTTCTACTCCCAGGGGCTATTCGACACCCCAGATGACACGATCGAGCAAGCATCGGAGCGAAAAATGGAGACCATGTTTGCGGCCCTCGATCTCAAGCCTGGAATGAGGCTTCTTGACATTGGTGGAGGGTGGGGTGGAGTCACCCAGTACTGCGGTGAGCGAGGTGTGCATGTCACCACCCTCACTTTGACGGCTGGAAGTGCTCGCTTTATCCAGCGCATTCTCGAGGAGAACAATTACGCTGGTCAGGTTTTCTTGCAAGACTTCCTTACGCACACACCCAAAGAGCCATACGACCATGTCGTGAATCTGGGAGTGATTGAACATATCCCTAACTACCGCAAGTTTGCAAGCAAGATGTGGGAGGTTCTGAAACCTGGTGGTCGAATGTATCTTGATGCCTCGGCAGCTGTTGAGAAGTTTGCTGTGAGTTCTTTCACGCGGAATTATATTTGGCGTGGAACACACACTTTCATGACTCTTCAAGATGTGCTGGCAGAGTTTCTTTACCATGGGTTCTCAGTCTTGGATGTTGCTAACGAGACTCGCGACTATGAGCTTACAATGTTGGAGTGGGCCAATCGATTTGATGCAGCCAAAGACGATATCATTGCCGGTTGGGGAGTGCAGAACTATCGCGTTTTTCGATTGTTCTTGTGGGGAGGAACGCACGCTTTCAAGACCAATGCACTGCAGGCTTACCATGTAGTTGCTGAGAGAACCTCATCGCCTGGGCCGCGTCCCTCCATCCCTCGTCGTTTTCGACAGTTCGTGGCCAATTTACGTTGAAAAACCTTGGAAGGCCACTTCAAAAAATGTAGATTCTGATCATGTTCTATGTGCAGGATTGTACTTGTGCTCAAGGCCCTGAGTTGGTATACATATATTTCGGGATCAGATATGTGCAAACTAGGTATGATACAAATCACTGTTCAAATGCGTTCCAAAATTGCGAAGGTTTTCCCAGCACCCTGAAGCAATAGATCACGAGTGAAAACATTCAGGTGAACCAAGTCGAAGAAAATATCAGTGTGCGAAACACACTGGAGTGGTCAGACCTAAAGTCCACGTCAAGCTCCCCATCTCCACAATTAGAGCACAGAATGCAACAATGACCGAAATTGCTCCATAAACATATGCATGGCGTCTGCGTAGGCCGGAAAGCTCCAAGACCCAGGTGCTAACAGTTGTCAGACATCCACAGAAACCATCCATGATCCCTTGCAGGACCTGGCAACCGAGTATGCTTCCGCCGCCGAGAGCGGAACCACCGATCGAAGCATGTTGCAGAGTATGCCATTCCAAGCACCATAGTACCAAAGATATTTGAAGCAAATGTGCCAAGTGGGAACGAAGGAATTTTTCCGTTGAGATTGAGCGAAAGAAAGAACCGAGCCAGACATCCAAGTGGAGAGAAGACCAAGGAATAGAGGACTGGACCTCTCCACAATTCGGCGCTCCATATCGTACTCCCTTCTCCATAGTTCGAAAGTAAGACGACAAGACATATGACTGCCACCCATGCTAGGATAGCTAAGGCGAGCACCAAATGATTCAGAACCCTCAAGACTTTCAGTGATATACTTGGGGTCCACGGTGATATGCCGATGGCGAGATGGCCGCCAATAAACAACCCGGCAAGTGATAGTCCGATCTCCGTCAGCAGGACCGCAAGTATAGCCATGAAACTGAACCCTCCATTGGGAGCTTTGGCCTCGGCTGGAGGCGGAGTAAAGAGAGATAAATCTGGGTATCGACCGAGAGGCACGGGCAGGGAGTTCACGGTAGCCAAGAAGACGTCGCGAATAAAAGTTGAGAACGAAGTCAAACTTCCACAAAATCCGGTGGTCAGCCCAATGTAGAGAGGTGGTGTGTTTCTGTGCTGGCTTGGGGTTTTCCGTTGCTGCGTGGTCTCATTTCTTTCCAGGTCGATTTTTCTCGCGTCAAGGTTGTCGATGTCAAACAGGTTCTTGCCTTCGCTAAGGAACCCCATTATCAAACTTCCTCCGAAGTTTGCCCACAGTACACTAGTGCTGATAGGAGCGCCAGGATAGAAAGTCAAGAACTCGATCGCAATCCGGAGTAGCGTCCCGATGAATGAAAAAAGGGTGAGGTGACTGATGATATGTATATTGCGCCAGACTTTCGAGCTATGATATTCGCTCTCGACTCTGGAATCCTGAAATTTCCGCTCGTGTTGTCTTTCATCGGGGTGCAGGTGTTCATCTTGGTTCCTATTGGAGTGTGAAGATTCCAAATAATCATGACACCCTAAGGGTGTTTCCGAAAGGTCATGAATGGGCGCTGGAGCGGCAATCTCGTCCAAATTGGTCTGTGAATCTGACATGGTCAGACTAAGGAGGCACAACAAAAATTGGGGCAAGAATTTTGGCACCTGAGACTCTGATGTGTCGCTTTAGCTGATTCAACAGAACTTAGGGCTCTGGGGGTTGGTGGATAGGTTTGAATCCGCTCGGCTCGGACGGTCCAGTCCCCTCTCGCACTGATGGATACTCAGAGGTTAGAATTTGAATTCAACTGTACGCCATTCAAGCCATGCCAATTGGAATTTGACCAAACAGTGGGCCTTGGAATGTAGCTCAGGTGCCCGGATAGGTGTACCTCAGTGATGACATGACCGTGTTACCCGGGTTTCCCGTTTTATCCGCCATAGCCTCAACAACCACAGCTCAGGCATGCAATCGTCGGAAATGAAACGTCGCCGCGTCGGTATCGCTTGTGTCAAGTGCCGAGACTTGAAAGCCAAGGTATGATACCCAAATCGTTGATTTGCTCTGTGTTAATCTCCTGCAGTGTGATGGCAGACAACCCGTATGCTCGAGATGCGAGGGATACGGATTTGAATGTTCTTGGCCCACTACGACTAGGAGAAGAAGGTCTGCAAAGCCCGAGAGAGCCGCTGCAGCCGGCAGTGAAACTCAGCCTCGACAGCAATCTTCTCTTGCGCCTCAGGCAGCCCCTTCCATCGATGGTCGCTTAACGTATCCCAGAGCGGTAGAGTCGTACGAAATGCTTATCACTACCATCAGGGCGAAATTGGATGCCCCCCATCAAGCCGCGGTCGATTCGCGCCTTCGAGAAATCCGGGCATTTATATCGCACGAACCACAAGAGCCCGCTGGCATTAACCCTGCCCAGCAGCATGTCACAATCGCTCCATCGCCAACCTACGTTGGAAAGGCAAGTGATATACACTTCATTCACAGTGTCAATAGATGCGTGGGTGGATGCGACCTTTTATCTGAGGACGTTCCGATCCAAAATTATAGCCAAACTCATATCTCAGAGAGCCCAGTTGCCCTGAGAGATCCGCCGCTTCTGCCATCGGAGGAGGAAGCGAATCTTTTCCTACAGGTATACCTCTCGACTATCCATATTGCATATCCGTTCCTACCAAGATCCGCTCTTTTGAAGGCTTTTGAACGCTTCCAATCTGGGAATTTACATCCGCCGGAGCTTCGGCCATGGCTGCCAATATTCAGTTCGTAGATTCTCGCATGCTTGCCATCACTGACAGTGTCTTGCTAAACATTTCTCAGACTTCATTTTTGCCATCGGATCGTATTATATGCTGTTTCCGCAAGGGAAGAGCTCCAACAATCGAGTTCATTTTCGTTACTATGAACAAGGTCTCTACTACTCACAAGAGCTCAGCGCCGAATCTTCTCTACTGGGAGTCTGTGCGTTGTTGACGCAGTGCTTCTTTTTGCTTGCTGTCTGCCTCACGGACAGGTACTGCATATCTTACCCGCCAAACAAAAATACCAATAACCAATTACTTTCTCAGGTGCTGGAACGTCCTTGGCTTCGCAATTCGTATGGGCCAAAGTATTGGGCTCCACGTCGAATCTTCATCTGGACTCGGTAGTTGCTCCTCGTGGACAATGAATCGTGCTCACTGGCGGCGCACCTGGTACTCAATGTACGTTCTGGACCGGTTGCTTGCTCTTCAACTAGGTCGACCGATGGCTATCCACGAAGAAGATTTTGAGGTTGATTTGCCCTCACGAAACGACATGTCCCCCTTTGTCGCTCCAGACTACGAGGATGCTGCGTCCAGTAATACCACACAGCACACCGGAATGATGGACTATTTTCTGGGTGTCATTCGATTTTCTCATGTATTGGGATCTGTCATACGAGCTCTTTATCGACCTTCCCAGGTTGATTCATTTCCAGAACAGATGCTTCATAACGCATCAGAGCTGGATCACCGCCTGATGGAATGGAAAGGAAGCTTGCCACGTCATCTCCGGTTTGATCTAGGGCATACTTTCGAGAAGTCTATCTCTTTCAAACGCCAGGTAGGATCACGCTTCAAAATCAATTGGACGCATACGCCTTGGGGTTTAGTTTGCTGATTCTGCCAAATTAGCGCAACATGCTGGCTGTCAAGTTTCATCACTTGCGTGCCCTCATTTATCGCTCATTCTTGTGTCTTCCGCTTCTGCAGATGAATAATCAATCATTTCTGGATTTACTTGTCCGAGACAAGGAGCGAATCTCGGAAGCCGAATGGATATGTATACATGAAGCACAGCAGACCGCTCAACTGCTTCACAATGTCGCCGACGAGCGAAGCTTGGTGCACGACTTTCCTTGGTGGCAGATGATCTCGTGCCTGATCTGTGCTAGCTCTATTTTGTTTGTGGCGGAAAGTTTCCATAGCAGCAGCAGTCCAAGCTCTACGACATCAGCTCAGAACCTTCGAGATGATGCTGAGACTTGTCTCAAAGTATTTGAGGCATTGAGTGCAAATTCGGCGGCAGCGCAAAAAGCAGCCGATATTTTGCAGGGGCTTTCGCGGATGTATCGAGCAACGGGGAAAGGTAAGGTCTTATCAAACTGTCCTTTGCTAAATATGTGTTTCTCTAATTTCATTATGTTACCCGTAGCTTCGAACTCAGTTCTGCAATCATCCTCACTGGCCCCGACTAATGCACCCACTTGCGTCGGTTTGCATGACTCCTACAGTTCGGATTTCCCTTTACCCCCCGATCAGCTACTAGATGATGTTTCATCACTGTGGGAATGGCCCAGTGAAATTTCAAGCGCCATGGAATGGTCTATTCGTTTTCTCGATTGCCCACAGAGCCCACAGCCTGATTCATATGCTCCAGAATAGGCGCTTTGGCAAATACCTTTTATATGAACCAGTGGGCGTGGATAATGAAATGAAAAAGCCCTCGCTTCCTTGAGGCTTGCAGCTTGCATGATGCTCGATGATCACCCACCCTCGGAATGTGAGCTTGCAATCTACAAGACAAGAAGAGCCTGGAAATAGCATCGATCCTTGGATCATGTGTGCTCATGACAGAGTTCAATTCAAACCGGAATGCCAGAACAAGAACGAAGCGAGAAACAAAAAAATAGGACCAAATTCTTCCACCGCTCAACTCAAGGTTTCTTTCGCCTCGATTAGCTCTGGCGGGTACAGTGGAGCTTCATACAGATATTGAACCTCTAGCACTTTGGATCCCTTTTTCAGCCTGGCCTTGTTTTATGTACAATAACTGTGGAACCTTCGGAGATTTTGCTGTGTTTTCGGCTGTCCTTTTTAGTATTTCTCTTCAAGATATCTTTTATATACCATGCTACACAAGATGTCTGATAGTTTTCAAGGTCAGCGGTCTTGGGTCAAAGTACCGGGGTCAAATGCTTTTGAAACCCCACTGTACAAGTATTCGAAGCAGCAATAACCCTTGCAGTAGTGATCTTCACACGATCCACATGTACAATGACCCGTGGACGAGGACTGCACAGAAGCATGATTGTCCAATCAGTGGCCAAGATCTACCCAGATCAAGATCTATACCGTCATTTTCTACGTTATGACTGCGGGGCTTTAGAGACAACACCCTCCAGGGTTTTCGAGTCCAAAATTGATGTCACATATCGAATCTCCATCTGCGGGGGATATCAGGGATCGAGATTTGATGCACGCTCTTCGAACCCACCGATAACAAGCGCAGAATTATTCGCCATAAATATAGCAATGCGAAGATATTCCATTCTTGGGGGATTCTGTGCTATTTACAAAATTCAACAATCTAATCAATGACCATTCAAGCGAAAGTCGGGGACCTCGTCGTGACTAAGTCCCGCGTTGGTTAGTGACAAACCCGCTCACCTGGAAGCTATAATAACCACTGTCCGTTTTTGGCGATCGATAGGCACACCGTTGAGAGGAGAAATCATAGAAGTACGAGGAATTGACGGGGCTCCACCTTACCTTGTGAGTACAGTATTCAATGTCTGGAATTTACCACTGACTGTTGCAACAGGTCCGCTTCGAAGACGGCCATGAGACATTGGTATACCCTGGGCCCGAAACTGAGGTCATCTCGGCCGCCCAATGACACTCGTCAGGCGGTAGGCTGCAGGAAGCAAGCGCATCCACTTCCAGGGTTGGGTACACCTAGGGACCAGTCGATAGATTAGGGGGTTTAATGGGCTCGGTACTAAAATACACTGCAGTTGATAAGAAAGTTCTTTCTCTCGAATTGTTTTATGATGTCGGATTATTTTTCGGGCCATTGAATTGACAAAGTGAACGTGTTCGTGAGAAAAGATCGCATATTTATCAGGCTATGTATGTCGTTCGGTAAATCAATCATATCTGCGTCGTTATATTTTCAATCCAATCCCCAGCCGCGCACACGGCGGAACACGAATGCTCTATCGTTACGGAGACCGAATTCGCCCCAATCGTCGGTCATTCTATTGTAACTCCAGAATCCCTTCCAGGCCAGCTTTGTATTCTTGGACGGGTTGGGAGGAGCCGGCCCAGCCAAGGCGGCTTTAGGGACCGTTGAGGAACGTAGAGAAAGATGCATGGTGTACATGTACTTGGGATCGACGCCCTCTGTTTCAACAATGAGATCTCGCTCATCCGAAAGAAGGGGCTTTTCGCTGGATCCAGACTCGGGCTTCCAGGCCAGATCCGAGGTTTCAGATGTATCAACTGGCGAGGCTAAATGCCAACGTCCGCGAAGGCCATGCTTCAATGTGGCCATAGCGACGGCTGGCACTGGATCAGTCGCTCCTGATAACGACTGGCCCTGGTCAGAGATGTGGCGCTGATGCTTGCGGTTTGCTGGGGCACGCGCGGTCATCACGTTCTCCTTGCTAATGTGAGGAACCACGTCAACTGGCTCGGTAGAAGTGAGAAGGGAAATAACCGAGCCGTCCGGATAGAACCGTAAGTATCGGTAGTAAGTCACAATGTGAATAGGACTGTTCCATGAGACGTTCGAGTAGGCAGCGGTAGCACCAGGCCGAGTATAATTGACGGTGCTGATGTAGACTCCGGTGTATCGAATCCGGGGAAGGGTTTGGAATACTTGGCTCCAGCGTGACAGCGGATGGGGAACCTCTACAGGCTCGTCTTTTGGAAATGGAGTGTATCGTGGGCCAAGCGTGTAGATCGGAAGCCCGATCAAGTCGCATACAAAGTCATAATGCATTCCACCAAAGCCGAATGTTGAGGCCTGGCAGATTCGCTTCCATATGTGCTGCTCATGTGCAAAGTGATAGGCCATGCGTTTGCACACCAGTGCCATCCGGCCAAATGCCGATGGGTCATCCAAAGCGACATGGCGGAGAATTTCCACAATGACTTCCGAAGGCACGGCCGCGATCGGGCATGGCGGCGCTGGTGTATTTTCAACAATTGGCTCTGCCTGTGCAATCGGGAGATGTGAAAATGAAGCGATGAGCTCAGATGTCGGCACGGTCTCTACCTCTGCGGGCTGTGTAGGGATCGTTGCTGCTGGGGCGGGTGTGGGCTGGTTCGGTCTTTTCCATACGTGGGAATAATGCTTGTTGCGATAGGACTTGTCGACTGCAGAATCAAGCTGGATCCCAGTCAGCTTGGTGCACCAACGGCATCATGATGTATGGACTCACCCTGTATGCTTTCCGGTAGTGTGTGAGACTGTCACCCAAGTTGCCCTCAGCCTCCTTCTCAACTGCCCGTTCAAAATGCTCTAGAGCAGATGTCGGTTCCGATAGATCTCGACGAGAGAAATCCTCAGCAGCTGGCTCTACGCTTAGTTCTCCGACTTGTTGAGCCAGCTCATCGGGGTCGAAGGAGGCCAGAGGGGGACCCTCTTCCTCCACCTCATTGCGGTGAGAGGCCTCATGGCGTGTGGGCGGAAGACGAGACGGAGGCGGGGCAGTCCGAGTCGGGGCCGCCGGAGGGGTAGCCTTGGGTCTTGATCGACGAGTGACCTCCTCGCGCCACTGTTGGCGGAACGATTCGAGCTCGGCGTTGTCTTCCATGGCGGGGGTCCGACCTCGGAGATCAGATTGATAAGCCCACTTAGGGAGATTGAAAAGATTCCAGACGGCAGCACTAGTATCCTAGGATCATCAACGCCATTGAATTGTCGAATAACTTGAATAGCTTGAAAGTTGCAGAATCCAAGTTGCTCAGAGTAGAGCGTCGCCAAAAGGCTTATCTCCGCCCGCCGCCACCCGCGAAACCCCGAAAACCTGCCAAATTCCCTTTGATCATCTTTCCAACTGTGGCAACCCTACTGTTGTCCTTGATTCAGCCATTTCAATTGAACTTGATGCCGACCGGGACGAGCTTCGCATCATCCGAACCTGCCAGCGAATTCAGTGACGACTTCAACACCTCTCTAGGGGCGTCATGGACGTCACAGCTTGACGATTCTACAATGGCTATCTCAGGGACAGCCTCCCCTTCAGCACCTCAGGCTCAAGCACCGGTTGAAAATATCACTCCGGGACAGCGCATGGTGTCTGCGACCGCTGGCAATGTCTTGACCGGATTACTTGGTGAGTCAGACGGAGCTCACAATTTTAATTCAAGCACTAACAGCCCCAGTCACACCTTTGGACGTCGTGCGAGTCCGTTTACAATCCCAATCCCAAATTCATAATACCTCACCGTTCACCTCTCATACCACACAATCCTTGAAGAATCTTCCTCCGAATCTTGGCATCACCTCGTGCTGTCGCGAAGTATTTTGGGTCGGCAACGATGCGCAGATGTGCATGCTAGGACCCCAAGCTGCCGCAGTTGGCAGTCGCCCACACCCTGCGATCGACTGTGCGATCGAGGAATCCCAGCGCCGGACATTTACATCGACTCTGGACGGTCTACGAAAGATCGCGCGGAATGAAGGAACACTGACCCTGTGGCGAGGGCTGAGCCCGACATTAATGATGGGCATCCCAGCCAACGTAATTTATTTTGCTGGATACGACTGGCTACGCACAGACGACCGAAGTCCCATCAAGCAGCGCGTCGCCGAGGGTTATGCGCCGTTGATCGCGGGCTCGTTCGCCCGCGTCGCAGCCGCGGCGGCAACCAGTCCACTAGAAATGTTCCGTACCCGACTTCAAGCGACCCCCGGCACGGGTGCGGGACATTTCAAAAATACCATCAAGGATCTCCACCAAATGACCCAAGCTAAGGGATTCAGTTCTCTTTGGCGGGGATTCACACTTACCATGTGGCGCGATGTGCCCTTCTCGGGTCTTTATTGGTGGGGATACGAGGAAGTGAAGAAGGTTTTGATCACGACACGTCAAACATCCCAGCATCTCACTGGCCCCGAGGAAGAAACCACAGCGCAGGCCTTCATGGACAGTTTCATTTCCGGAGCCGTGTCGGGGTCTCTGGCGGCTTTGGTAACCACACCATTTGACGTTGGAAAAACTCGTCAGCAGGTTTTCCGGCATATGGACGACCATGTGCCCACTGGTCCTCCTCCTCGCACGGCGCTGCCCCCGGGAATTTTAGCTCCAGAGCAGCTGTCTCTCCCAAAATTCCTCATGCACATCTTCCGTGAAGAGGGCACTGCTGGCCTGTTCCGTGGCTGGACGGCGCGCTGCCTCAAGGTCGCCCCAGCCTGCGCCATCATGATCTCCACATATGAGCTGGGGAAGCGCATGGCGCGCGAAGTGAACGAACGGCGTCATCTTGAGAACTAATTTTGTACTATATTGCATGCGATCTAGCGGTCGCTTTCTCTCACCTCTGGGCGTTTCTCTTTTATTTTATGATCATGACCGAGTCATAGAGTGTGCATGTCGGATCTTTGAAGCATTTTATTTTGTTGTACATAATAAAAAATCCCCCCAAGAATTTCATACCGGGTTCTCCTATTGCGCCCACAGTCGACCCACAAAACACCTCTGATGATTAGAGTGAGCGCAGGTGATCATCTAGAGAAAAGCTCGAGCTACTGTATTTGGGATCCAGAAGTACCCCCGTCCTGCTACGGCGTCTGCCTCGGTGGCGAGGACCTTGGGAACTTCGGTATCTTTTAGGCACCCGTGGTCATTCCTACCCCTTGTCAGCCTTGCTATGTATGGTTAGAACTTCTGCCTCAACTGCGAATCTGGAAACCCCGTTGGAATTTATAACGCTAGTATTCGTTCTGGTGCTCGATAGACAAAAGCCAAGGGTGGCAGTGAAATTGCCGAGTCAGCCGATTTTTTGATTTTTTTTTTTTTTCGTAGCGAAGATGGAGGATTGAGAGAACGTTCCGTCTCAAGCTAGCTGGACAGCAGGCAGATATCCGCTAATGCCGCGTTCATAGCGCATGCCGCGCCCGCGTCTTACGTGCTGCGTTTGCCGCGTCCAAAGGTGCCGCGTGTGTTGGTGCATTTTTTCGACGTGTCTACTTTCTGTACTCTGTACGAAGACCAAAGATACAGGTATCAAACGCTGACGTTCATTACTATACCGGGTTTTTACAAACCTATGGAGTTTACAGGTAGTCATTAACCTTTGATGAAAAGCGACATGATCTCGACGAGTGTGTTTTCTGACGCCCATTGCCCTGCCCTCGTCTACAGGTCTTCCTAAATTTTCCAAAATACCACCTGGGCACTTTAGACGGTCCATCCACAGGCTTTCACCCTCCACTGTGGCCCATAAAGAAAAGATTCCTGCTCTAAGTGTGATGTATTTGAACCTGTGACAGATAGGTTTAACAGATGTGCCTACATGGTGTAGATCTCAACCAACTCAAGTTTCGAGGTCCGAAGCCTGATGCTAGCCTCTGCGAGGTTATCAATCATCACTGAATGCATGAATTCTGCCTGTGGAGTGGTATATGAAGTTTTTGCGGGTCAACGGAACGGGCCGTTAAGAACGAGGTGTACATACACCTACCTTTTCGTTGACCGGGCAAATAGCTCTCGGCTAAATGTAAGAGTGAAGAATGCGTGGGCAATTTTGGCACGCAGTGGAGCACGTCAGCATTGATAAGTGATCATGAAATGCAGTTATGATTCGCTACAAGGGGCAACGGGGATGTGGCTTACTTGACGCTAAAAAAGCTCAAAAGGATGATCAATGCCTCGCCATCCTGCTAAAGCTCTTGGCGGAACGCAATTTGCCAGGTGATGAGAGTTGTTTGGCAATCATTGGGTACGGATTATATGAGTCAGAATTTGCCGGGACTACCACCTGCGGGCACCGTACTACCCGGGTGATCTTCATGTGCTCACTGATGAGATGAGGCTGTGCCCAGATCCATGGGTGCCTGGGAAGTCTCCGTATCTCGGAGAGCTTCTCAACTTTACTTCTCTTGCTCCTCTTTAACATCAGACCGGGTCTCAAAGCACTCTTTGACCTAATACCATCACTGACTAGCCTTCTCGGTTCCGGACTGAATCCTCCTCAGCAAAAATGGGCCCTGCTGTGAGAGATGTGGGCTGGACCGTGTCGAGTGACCCTGAAGATGCCATAGCCGAGTGAGTTCATTCACAAACCTCCTCCCTTCATCTGTTGAGATGATTGCAACTAAGAGCAGAATCTGCAGTATTGTCTTCGTCCATGGTCTCCAGGGACACCCTCGCAACACTTGGACTTATCACCACAGCTCATCGAAAAAGGGCCTCGGTCGAATCATATCCCATCGTCACGCAAAACAGAAAGAAGAAGATAATGAGACCCCGGAGATGTCTTCTGGCCACAGGACCTGCTCAAGGAAGATATCCCAAATGCCAGAATCACGACATTTGGATACAATACAATGGTTCAGCGAGGGACTCACGCGGTGAATCAAGGCAATCTATTCTCCCACGCAAAGAACCTACTATACGATTTGGAGAGCACAAGAAGGAAGACGCCGACACGTCCTCTGATTTTTGTCGCCCATTCATTAGGAGGGATTCTCGTCAAGGAAGTTCTCAGACGAGCAGAATCCGATCCCGACGACAAGATAAAGAGGGTCTATTTCTCAACAATCGGAGTCTTCTTCTTTGGAACTCCACATAGAGGAAGCAAGGAATGGGTCAACACTGCGCAGATCGCGACACGCATCGTGAATAACATTGGACTTACCGCAAACACCAAATTTTTGCAAGCCCTGTTACCAGACTCGGAGAGTCTAGAGCTTTGCCGGGAGACATTCGCTAGTCAATGGAGCAATAGGAAGGATACGATCACCGTCAGATCATTCCAGAAATCCAAAGGGATCACTGGGTTTGCCTTTGGGGGAATGAACAAGCTGGTCAGTATAGAACCATATTCTAACAGACTTCATCTCATGTACGGGACTAACTTGAATCCAGATCGTTCCTTCTGAGTCTTCAAGTCTCGATGATACAGCCCAACGTGCCCGCAGCTTGGATAAGAGCCACATTGACATGGTGAAATTTAGCGGTAAAGATGATCAAGGGTATGAGTGGGTGAAAGAAGACATCGGGGAACTCATGGAAAAGGCTGTGGACTTTGAAAAAAGGCAGATCCTTGGTACGCATTCAAGCCCTCCGATGTATAGCAAGTATTTACAATAGTTCTAGAGGATGAAACTCCAAATGAAGTGAGGGGAAAATGTCTTCAAGTCTTCCGAACTTCGAATTATGAACAGTTGAAGGATCGAAATGCTGAAAGGCTAGACAATACTTGCGAATGGTTTCTGCGACATCCGAGCTTCCAAAAGTGGAAGGAAAGCGAGACGTCAAATATTCTATGGGTATCTGCCGACCCAGGATGCGGCAAATCTGTGCTAGCGAAGTATCTTGTTGACAAGGAAAAATGTCTGGAGCCGAGTAAAACTCGTGCCGTTTGTTACTTCTTTTTCAAGGATGACGACGAAAGTCAGATGAGTAGTGCGACGGCACTGTCGGCCATCTTGCACCAGCTGTTTTCACAGAGGGTCGACTTGATCAACCCATATGCGATGAAAGACTACAAAGTGGAGGGGCAAAAGCTTCCCGGGCTTTGTGAAAAGCTTTGGAATATCCTGTTGAAAGCGGCTCAGGATTCGAAAGCTGGAGAGATCATCTGCATTCTCGATGGTCTTGATGAATGCCCAAAGAACGAGCGATCTCAGATCCTGAAGGCATTGATCACTTTTTATAAAGATTTATGTTTTCAGGACCGGAAAGCACGACTCAAGTTCTTGATCACAAGTCGCCCTTACCTTGACATCGAGCGGCAATTCATCGAGCTGGATCAAGATTTCCCAGAAATTCGCTTGTCCGGCGAAAACGAGTCAGAATCTATCAGTCGCGAGATTGACATGGTCATAAAGGCAAAGCTGCAGAGACTATCAAAAGCCTTAAGTCTTAGCCCCAAGGAACTGTTCACTCTCGAGGAGGAGCTTTTAGCTGTTCCTCAACGGACGTATCTTTGGGCAACTCTTGTCTTTGACATCCTCAATGCGGAGGTGCAACCCACCCGAAAGAAGTTGAGAGAGATAGTCGCATCAATTCCCCCGACCGTCGACGACGCTTATGAAAAGATACTATCCAGGATTGAGGATAGGGGCCAAGCTCGTAAGCTGTTCTCGATAATTGTGGCGGCAAGCCGGCCTCTGACTCTCAGTGAGATGAACGTTGCTCTTACAATCGATGACAGTCATAAATCCTATGACGACCTGAAGGAAGATCTTGATAATGAACAAAGGTTCAAGTCGACTGTTCGACTTATCGGTGGTCTCTTCATCAGCATCATGGATCAAAGGGTTCTCTTGATTCACCAAACTGCGAGGCAATTTCTTCTTGGGAAAAGCAATGTACTTAACAATTGGAAGCATTCGCTTGACCCAGTCGAGGCCGATCTCATTGTGGCAAAAGGCTGCATGACTCTTCTCATGTTCAAGGAATTTGATGATGGCTTTGATTGGGACCCAGCCGATCCTGTGCCCCTTGATGAGCTTTTCGACTTTGAGTATCTGGAATATGCCTCTAATTTCTGGATGTCACATTTTCGAAAAGCACAAGCCCAGGCCAATGAGAGACTATTGGATTCAGTTCTAACGGCCTGCGACAACAGATCTCGAAGGTTCAATGTATGGTCTCGGTTGTTTAGGCTGGTCCGACCATCGAGCCCCATCGGGAGTCTCATGAACATCATGATGATAGCATCCAATTTCGGGCATGAGACAGTAGTGAGACAACTGTTGGTGAACGGAGATGAGAGCATCAATCTGAAAGATGATGACTTTGGTCGAAGCCCACTTTTTTGGGCTGTAGAGCAAGGACACCGACAAGTGAGGGAGTTGCTGGTAACCACTGGGAAAGCCGATGTCAATTCACAAGACAAAGCAGATCATACTCCGCTGTGGCTCGCATGCAACATGCATCAAGAAGAAATAGCACTTTTTTTGCTGGAGAATTCTGCCGATCCTATGTACAGGACAGATCGAACTCAGTCCGCACTTTTCGAATCAACTGCACAAGGACTACCAAATGTCGTCAATTGCATTCTACAATCTTTGTCCGAGAAGCAAGTTCGAGAGTTGGCCAATCAGCAGGACTCCCATGGAAATTCAATACTAAATTTGGCTGTTTCAGACCAAGGATCCCAGTTGAAAATTGTGAAAATGATCCTTCAAGCCTTGGCCCCTTTCCCGGAAGAGAAGCGCAAATTGTTATATCACCAGGGCCATGACTCCTGCAGTCCTCTGTTCAATGCGGCTGTCAAAAATCAACCAGAGTTATCCAGATTCTGGCAAAGATTGACAAAGAGCTTCTCAACCAGACGGGCTGGCTGGACTGGAAAGACACGCCTCTACACGTTGCAACGCATTGGCAAAGTCTTGAGGCGGTTCAAGCTTTGTTACATGCTGGAGCTAATCCAAACATCCAGCAGAGAACAGGACGTACCCCTTTACTCATCGCATCCGAAAGAACGGACTCCCCTCGTGGGGTGCAAATCCTGAAGATATTGTTGAAACGTGCAGATCCATTGATCTGTGAAAACGATGGAAGAAACATTGTACACCTTGCGCTTGAGTTCAACAGAGCGACTTACTTCAAAATGATGCAACAAGCTATACCGCATGCCAGCTTCCGCCAGCTTTTGACTTCAAAGAACAAGCAAGGGAACATACCGATACTCCACGCGATAAACAGGCATCGTACTACAGGTCAAGGCCATCCCCTACTTTCAGACGCATTCAAGGCTGTTTGCGAGGCGATGATGCAAATTTTCTCGGAAGAGGATGGTGAATTCATTGTCAACTTGGTGGGGGAAGGTCATCGCCCAATGGCTCTCCACCGATTTATTGAAACCGACTCTGACGAACTTGTATCCAAGATTATCCCCAAGGTAGCTACATCGGACCATTCTTACCTGGATTCCAAGGACAGCAGCGGCATTACCCTGTTGATGAAGGCCACCAACAGAAAGCTACGTGGCACAATGCAAATCTTGCTCGAGAGCTGCGTCGACATCAATGCGCAAGATGACGATGGAAAAACCGCACTTCATCATGCTGTGACATCTGATATACCGGACGTGGCAGAGATTCTTGTCCGAGCAGATGCTAGCCTACACATCAAAGACAGCCACGGGCGTATACCAGTTGACTGGTGCTCTAGCGTGAACACATGTTTCCCCATGGTAAATCCTCAAGACAGACCCATAACACCGAAGCTTGCAGCAGCGAGCTCGGCCACTCGATCAAGTCGATCCGAAGGACATATGGTACTTGGTGCACCCAAAGGGGTCTTGCTATTGGCCACTCCTTGGGGATCAAACCTGGTATCCTACATCTCTGAAACAGGAGAGGTACCTGACTAGCGAGGCAATCCCCGATAACATTAAGCTTCCCGTATCACGGTTTCATGTGATTGTCGAGGGCCGAGATCAAGGATGGAGTCACCCTCAATATTTTGGGCACCTTCCAGATGGTTCCTTCACAAGCAATTCAACCTTTGCACTTGGGATTTTACGCAACGATCAAATTGTGCTGCAGAGAGAATGGGCTCGAAACAAGCAACGGACCACGACTTTGCATATATTCGACTGTACGTGGTACTCGAACTCGTCTCTTAATTCACAATCTGTTGAATTTGGAGGGCGGAGGCCAGTTGGGTTAGACGATCAGGGCGATTTTGTGCGCGCGCTGACAGTGGGAGACAGAGTAGTGATATTGGCTTTGACTGACGGAGAGGGCTGGATGAACATTGTGAAGTCTGCGTCTATTGAGATTTTCTTTGAGGACTGACCACGCGGTCATCTACGGGCTGTCTCCATGCCTAGGGAGTTATGTTGAGATGGGTGGCACTTTTGTATATCTTATGCATCCTTCAAATCATCTTTTTGTTATTTTCATCATATTAAAAAGACCTCGGGGCTTTTAAACCCTTGCCCAGGTGTTAGCTCCGGTGGCTTCCAACGTTTTTATTTCCCGGATTCCACCACAAGAAGCACTGGTACCTGGTTTTATCACATCACTGAGTTGAGAAGCAAGACACAATGTATTGAAAGCTATAGTAGACGGGGGAGGAAGAAGAGCGAAGGAAGACAGGGAAACATTGAAGATGAGCTATCATAAGATCTCTAAAAAACACCCCAGTAGATCAGCTACAAAACTGATCAGAACCCTGGTCCCTCTATAATATACATAGAGAAACCATTTTGCAATACTAATTCATATTATCCTTTGTCATTATATGCGTAACTCAGATTGGGGGAAGCGACTTACATCGAACTTTGCCGAAATAGCTTTGACGTCGTCCTCCAAAACAAGTTTTGTATAAGTCTCATCATCTTCCCAGTCACCTATCCAACTTGTGACGGACCTGTCGTTCCATATTGGGCGTAAGGCACGGATTCCACAGTTACCAGTGGTTATTATGAATCCTCGCAGATGTCGGCCATTGAAGTTGATTGTCACTTGGCTTCCCGGTAGCCTATGCCCAAGTGTCAAATTCGGAATTTTTCCATCGGCACTGATCAGATCGAATCCGATGATGTGAGATCTTTTTCCTGTTGTCGTCGTGCCTTCATTCAAGATGAACACATCCAGACCTGCAATGGGACCTTGTAACAAAATTGTTTGCGATATGGGAATTGGAAGACATGAGCATTCAGTGTGCATTCTCGTGATCTCTGAGCGCCTCGTCAAGATTCTATCACATAAAATCTCTGCTTTGGCCTCTTTCCAGACGGACTCGGCAAGCAAGTCCTTTTCAGCCTCATTTTGGCACCTTGGAGCTTGTTTCATCGAGTATCTATCCCTTATCCATACAAATCTTTCTCCACTGTCGACGTAATTGCCAGAGGTGGAGATACGGCTGTTCGATTGTCGCTGTACAATGGTACATCGATCGCCAGTTGTTGTGCTTATAAGGTTCGTCCAATAGACGAATCAAGAACCCACGGTCTCCGTTTACATAAAATCTCGTCCTCAAAAATGATTGCAGCGAAAAAACAGGTGCCATGGCGCCGGATACAAGTCGAAGGTCAAGGAAATCGGCAGTAGAAAGGTAAGCCGCGATCTCAAGTCTTATCTCCAAGGGAAGCAGGCTGAAGCAGTCAGTCTCCCGAATTTTATTGTTGTTCCGGATCTTGTTTGAACGCTGAATCTCCGAAAGCTTTTTAGTAGCATCTCCAACGCCTTGAATCACGGGTCTTAAGAGTGGATGCTGGAGGCCTAACCGCCTCAAATCATAATCATTGGAATTGTTGACTGATCTTGAGACAGGCTTTCTCCTGCAGACTTCAAAAAGCCTGTCTAGGTTGACTTCATCGTTTGAAAATTGCCTAAGCAACAGAGATCAGCAGCAAGAATGGATTAATAAAGCTCTGGGTGGCTTGCTGGCGGCCAATTTCAACCAATGCCGGAGTCCCACAGCTACCTTACCGATCCCATGCGTGTTTCCTTGATCAATTATCTCTGGTGCGCCTCCAAAGATGTCTGACAGTTTCGCTCCTTCGGGGGTCAAGTAAACTATAAGCGTTGAGAACATTGAAGAATGTTTTGCCAGCCTAATCGATCATAGACTCACTAGCGTGATAAAATGCCATCCAAGGATAATAGTCCTGGGAATACTTGTTGGAAATTTCCCATTCACAAGATATGCATTGCCAGGGTACACTGCGGCATGATATACCTTCGTCGCTTGCGAAGACTGACTCAAGCGGGTCTCCTTTCATCGTGCGGCCGATTAAATGAACATAGAGATTATGTACCTAAGAAAAATGAGAAAACACAAGCTAGGACAGGAGAGGGACAAAAGGGTGGAGGCGTCATTGCGATGTAAAGAGCGATGTCAAGATTACAATGTACAAATACGTGGAACTACCTAACTATCAAGGTGGTTTGAACTCTATTTTCTCTTCTTTTGGTTAGCACATATTTCTTCACAAGAATGTATGATCAAGATATTGCAACGTCTTGCCCGCTCCTCAATGCTGTTATATTCTAGCTTAGACCTCTTCATACTCCACAGGACTCATACATTTCGTCGGGTCAGGTGATAGCTCTCCAGATTTTGAGAGTTACTCATGCCAATGTTTTTCCAAGGTTGTAATGTTCCTTCATGTTGGGAATGCGGGTGTCAGGTGACCTGGTTTGCCAGGGCTGATCTATCTCTCTCTCTCTCTCTCTCTCTCTCTTTCTCTCTTTCTCTCTCTCTCTTCTCTTCTCTTCTCATTTTCTCCCCGTCTGTGTCTTGCTTTACATTTACATTTTACTGTTTCATAGCGGTTCTTGCTTTTCTCCCAGTAGACTATGCGGCCCTCTGATATTGCTACCGCGGATGAACAATGGCTGATCGACATATGCCATAAGGCGGAAAACGAGGGCGGGATGATCGGGGGTGAAATGTACGGCGACAAAGTCATCAAGATTTCCGACCACATCGCAGTGAAGTACGGTGGTGTTCAAGCATCTGAAGCAACAACACAAGAATTTGCATTCAACCGTGTGGATCGCAACATCGTCCACGTGCCAGAGGTCTATAGATTTATTGAGCCTAAACCATCGACAAACCCACACGGATACCTCTTTATGGAGTATGTTGAAGGACGGAATCTGAACGATCTTGATTTGGAAATACACCAGGATATCCCCTCCCGTGTTGCAAAGATTCTTGCGCATTTAGGACAAATAACAGGTTCAGCTCCAACCCCAGGTCCAATTAGCGGTGGGGAACCCCAGGGCTACCTATTCGGCGATGACGGCGCGAAGACGATTTTCAGCGCAGTCGAGGACTTGAATGTATATATGAACAAGAGGCTACAGTATCGCAATGATTCCATCGACTTGATAACCCATCCCTTGGTGCTATGCCACGGTGACATCTGTCGGAGAAATCTGATCTTGGAGGGAGATGGCTCTCTTTGTCTCGTTGACTGGGGATACTCTGGGTTATACCCTCGCTTTTTTGAGCTCGCCACAATCTCATGCGTGCTTCCATATGATGCGACTTTTGAGAAGTCAGTCATATGTGAATTTGAGAAGCTATTTGGTCTGACCGAGCACGAAAAGCGAGACATGAAGCTCACTCTTTGTGTCCGCGGAGCAAATCTAAGATGGTCATTGTAAGAAACAATCCGTCATGGTTCTTCCTCGGTAAGGAATACTAACAGCAGCAGTAATGAGTCCGAGCCGATTGAAGCCGAGAAGTCAAGTGACGAATTCTTTAAAGAGCTTCTCGCCAGGAGCGAAAGACATCGCAAGGAACGCGAAGCTGCTGGAATACCCGAATTTAGCATGCCTAACTTACACTCTGACAATGTTAAGTCTGAGACCGAATCTCACACAGCAGAGCCATGTGATTTGAGTGAGGAAGACATGAAATGATAATGATATGATCAATTTCCCGATCTAGTTAATTCTATGCACAACGTAGAAAGCATCCGATGGAACGAGAATTCATTCAAATTTCAATGGCTATTAAGAACTACCTTTTTATGTAGTAGGGTTTCAAAGGTATTTATTTGACCTCAGATACTTCGACCTTCGACCCGCTCTTCAAAACTGCTCAGGTGCCTCCCAGAAACCTCTACACCACCCTCGGTCTAGCCATCTTAGAGTATAAAGTGAATTGTAGAATATGATATCCAAAAATCATTGAAAAACATAGTAACAAAGAAATCCAAAAAATATCCCAGTTTCCAAGCCTCCAAAGTTATTGCATTACGGTCGGCCAGGGTGGGCCGGCCCGCGGGGGAGGGGGGATTAACCCCACTGGGGCACCGGCTCCGGGGCCGCAGGTCCCTTCCCCTATTGCGGAGTATGGATGTACAAATAACGGAAGACATATAAAAAGAAAAGGTCGGTCAGGTTAAAAGGTCGGTTACATAGTACTAGATGCTCAATACTTATGAAACTTCGTTGGATGTACTCCGTACTCCCGATGTCCATCCAAAAAAGTAGTAACCTTGTGTTGGGTGGTCACGTGACCCGGTTGTTGTCAGGGCATAGATAGCTCGCTCTCTCTCTCTTCTCTTCTTCCTTTTCCCCGTCCTCTTTTTGCCTAGCTAGAATCGACTACTACTACGCATCCGCTTCATCGTAGATCGATTGCTCGCTATCACCTTGGAACTATACATTCGCCATCGCCGAATCGCTTTTTTTGTGTAAAGATTCTACGTACTTTCACCGCAGCCCTGGAGTCAACAAATCAAAACTTATAAACCAACTAGTATTTGCGATCATTAACCCTTTCAAAGAGCAAAAGCGGCGGTATCAAAAGTATACACAGGTGTACTCGGTACATTTTCTCAAGGTTGAGAGTAAATTGAAAGATGGCCAGCTTTTTCTGCCTGATGAAATTCTTGTTTGCTTGGCAAAGATACAATGCAGCTGACTTGGCAGCTGCAATATCTCGTATTGAATTATGGAGTACGGAGTACAAAGTGAACTCAGAGTCACTGTCTGTAGAGCCCAAGAACCCCTGTATCTTCTCGTAACTCATCACATGTACGGAGTACTTGTTTGCTTAATGAGCTGCCCACTCATGTCGAAGCATCTTTGCTTTTTTTTCTCTTGGCTCCTGTATCTTTACGAACATGTTTGCTCCACCACTGATTGGGGCACATTGGGCTGCGCCTGAGCGCCTCGTGAGGCTGCTTGGACCTTGGCTAAAAGGCTCAGTAAATTCTTTTTGTATGATGCTCATGGGAATCATTTACCTATAATCTGTTACACCTCTGAGCTGCCATATTTGCTACAAAAAACCACAGTTTCAAAGATCAATGATAGCTCCTTTTTTTACAAGGAGTGATTTCCCAAACCCCGTGGCCCCGGCTGTCCTTTTTAGTACTGCGGAGTACGTAGTACTTGTATACTCTCTGAAAGTAGGTGTTCATGCATGTCAGCCTCGCACCTGGGTTACCGTCGGTCTTTAAGCCGAACTTGGATAAGACACCGGAGTCCTGCATTTTGCTCGCTGTCCTGTAAATAGATCAATTCCATTAACTAGATATCAAAGTGGCACGCGCAGGCTCTTGCCTACCTGCTATCAATTTTTACTGCGTATGCAGCCACCCATTTTTGCAATTTGAACATTCTTGCCATATTCTTTCAATCATGACAGAAGTTATTCCTCTCAATAGCCACGATGGCAGCGAAAGCAACGATCACGATTCTACTCCCTTGAGACACAAGGAAGAGCCCACCGACTTCGAAAAGCCCCCTCGTAGATCTATCTGGATGGACTCGTGGCTTCTCGAGTCGATCGCATTGGCATTCAGCGTGGCCTGTTTTATCGCTATTTTCGTCGTTTTGTATGTACACGATGGCAAACTGCGGCCTGAATTTGGTCACGGTATCAATCTTAATACGATCATCTCAATACTGGCAACAGGATGCAAATCAGCGCTAGTCTTTGCGGTGGGGGAAGCAATTGGACAATTGAAATGGCTATGGTTTCAAAATCCCATGGAAAGCCAAAGCCAACTTGTCAGCATACAGAGATTTGATGCTGCAAGTAGGGGCCCTCTTGGCTCAATCATGATTCTTTTCCATCATCGCGCCTGTTCTCTTGTATCAATCGGCGCTGGTGTCATTGTTCTCTTGCTGTCATTTGATCCATTTGTGCAGCTGGTTCTATCATATCCTGTTCGCCTAACTGATGATTCAAGTGCAGCATCTGGAGCAACTGCACCGCAGCTCCGTGGATACATTACCTCAAACTATGACACGGATGATATAGGCATTGCTTATACTGAAGGGTTTTACTCTCAAAACCAGGACTTCGAAGTCACTCCTTTCTGCTCGTCTGGTAATTGTGCCTGGGATGTATTCTCATCAGTCGGCATTTGCAGCCGATGTTCCAATATGACCACAACCGCCAAACTGAATTGCGAATCTGCGTCGACAAACGCTATCCATAAAAACTGCAATATCTCGTTGCCAGGGGGCTTCGTCTATAATTTTGACTTCGTTCAGAACAAAACCGACACCCTCATTGTGGACTTCGACAAAGACACAAATGACAAGATCACGGTCGACATGGTGACCTTCCCGAGTCCAATACTTTGGCAGCCATTCTCCTTCAACGCATCGTGGATCTCTCAGATATCGAGTGATGCGGTGGACCGTCAACCGCCCGAGTTCCCCAACGCTACACTAGCTGGTGTGAAGAGCCCACAGTTGGCAACAGTGTATATCGAACTTGGGCTAAGTGACAGTTCCATCCCACCGAATGTGTCTGCTATAGACAGATTGTTCATCAGAAATGTTACTGCTTGCAGCCTCTCCACATGTCTACGTGACTATGAGGTACTTGTGGATAATGGATTACCCTCGATCAACACCTAGAACATCGATTTTGGCACAATCTATGAAGACACAATCCCCGGCGGACTGTGCTGGACGCCTGGCCCACCTGACGACTTGGGTTTTCGAGAGGAAAGAGATTTCGCCTTTTGTGAGCCTACAATGCGCCAGTTGGTGAATGCTAAATCCTATTTCCCATCTACGCAGCCCACACAATATGATTGGAACTACATCGAGGGAGAGACCGGGCTTGGGAAATATGGTATTAGCAGCGGCGTTAGCCAACACCAAGAGCAACTGAATCGCAACGGCTTCGAAAAAGCTATGGCCAACATGGCTGCTTCCCTGACAAAATACGGTCTTGAGAGGACAAATCAGAGTGTCAATGGAGCTCCGTGCGTTACAAAGGTCTTTGTAAACGTTCGATGGCCGTGGTTGATCCTCCCGGGGTTTTTAGTTGTTGCTGGATGCATCTTCCTTGTGACAACCATTGCCGTCAGCAGAAGGAATCATGCTCCTCTTTGGAAATCATCCGCCTTGGTACCCTATTACCATGGCCTTGAGGGGGTTGATGATGATGATGATGATCATAATGAGTACCTGGCTTCCAGTTCCATGGAGAAAAAGGCGGAGATAGAAGATGTTCGATTGCAGCGTTCCACGACCAATGGGAGACTCATGATGCTACGATGGCAAGATGGCCTCGGGTCTCAATAATGAGTATTCAGGACGAACAACTTAGGCGTCAAGTACTGGTGATACTGTCACGGTATCGCGTAGCTACTTATCAGATAAAGAGAGCAGACATGTGCGGCCAAGTAGTGTATTGTGGGACGTGGAGATGAATAAGTAGAGAGAGAGAGAGAGAGAGAGAGCGCGCGCTCTCAATCTACCCTGCAGGGAGCCTGAAAAGCCTGGCACCCACCTAAGCCCCTCCCTGAAAATCTGCAGATTATTTCTCTCCCACTAAAACTCTCTCATTCTCATCGTTCAAAAATTGAAAGACCTTTCATCTTTATCATGGAATATCGGGAGCTCCAGTCAGTACGACAGTAGAATCTCCATACGTTGTCAGAAGTTACGACGCCGCGTCCGACTCGTCGACCCTTGTTCATGATCATGAGCCCTTCGAGACCTTCCAAGCACGAGTCCTAAAACTATGCGAAACTTCGTTAGCTCCTGCTCATGGCACAACCTCCATTGAGCGAATGCAAGGAGGAGGGTTTAATCGAATTATTGGCGTGACCGTAACCAGCAGCAATGCCGGGGAACACGATACCGTCAAACAAATCCCTTTCCTACGTCCTCCTTCTTCTACCATCCTCTGCTATCCTTCAAAAAAATAGTTATAGCTTTAAAGATATAGTTTATCTAAAACTTCTTTTAGAAAGAAGACTTATATAAGAGAACATAATAAGGTTCAAGAAGAAGCTCTTGAGATACCGTACCCCGAGGGCCCCCCAAGAGTAAACATAACTCCGCGGGAGGAGACATGACCCCCGGGAGTAGGCATGGCCCCGGGAGTAGGCATGGCCCCGGGAGTAAGCATGGCCCCGGGAGTGGTGCAGGAAGAGGCATGCAATTGGGAAGGGGCTCATATTACAATCCGTCGTATAGGGTGGTGTATTGGGCGATAAAGATGTCTAAATTGAGTCATATTTCTGTGTGATCATGTCTGATCACGAATAAACTACCCGGCCCGCTATAAGCCTGCGTAACGGTACTAGGTAGAGCCACATCATATTAATCACCATATGTTTTATTCAAAGCAAAATCTAAAAGCATCACTTCAATTGTCTTGCCTCACTCGCAACCCAAGTCAATAACGGATATTTCAATCCAGGCAAAAACTTGAAAACCCCACCCGTGTCCATGCAGATGGAGGTTTTTCCAGAGCCCAGCTTCTTCAAGGAGAGCCGAGCCCCTGATCTTCCTACGCCAGCAGAAGTCAGGGCTATAAACAGGGCGTCGGGCAATATATGCGCTACAAACTTCAATCGCCCTCCCCCTGTTATGATCCCGTCCCTATGTTTGGTGGTCAAGTACGGAGCCGATGTTACCATTGTCGAGCCTTCGTCTCAAATGATAGCACGCGAAAAATTAATAGGCAAAGTACCCATGCCTGAGGCCTTCGGCTGGACTGAGGATGGAGGTCAGAGGTTTATTTATGTGTCACTGATCGAGGGTGAGACCTTGCAGGAGAGATGGTGTGATATGAACGATGATGACAGACGAACCGTATGTTTGGAACTCAAGCACATGGTGAAGGCATGGAGGGCTCTTAAGCAAGACAAGCACGACTTTTACATTGGTAAGTGAGCTCCGTCATACATTAGGTATACAAGCAACCATAACATGGTTTATATTTTAGGTAATTTCGGGAAGCAACCGCTAAAAGAAGTCTTTCTCGAATCCCATCCAGAACTCGCTGGGCCATTTCAAGGTGCCAACGCCGTTCAACGGTTTCAAGACACCTGTGGAATTGAAATCAATGTCGAAGCGTCCATCACGTTTACCCACAACGATCTTGTCGTACCTAACATAATACTGTAGTCGGGGCCGAATCCAAAAGTAACAGCGATCATCGACTGGGGCCAGGCTGGGTGGTATCCTGCGTACTGGGAATATTGCAAGGCGCGACGAGTAAGAGTTGATCCAGAATACTTTGATGATGCTGTTCAAGAGGAGTGGTACACAAAGTATCTGCCAACGATCCTCGATCCAGAAGATGACGAGACATACTACTACCCCTGGCTTTGGTTCGTGTTGTCGAAAGGCATATAATCGCTTGGCCAATCCACAACAATAGTCTAATCAGCTTCTTGTCTGTGTCTATCAACCATGATATCCCCTTCGTTGTCCCAAAACGCAGTTTGTAGCCATCCGGTAAATGGCTGCCAACACCAAAGGTTAAAAGATCGGCGGTGTGAGTCTTGCGCCTCCGATAACGGGCTGGGTGACGCAAGCGCCGGCGACTTCTATGGACCGTCCAGTTGACACCCGAGGCGATGAGTCTATAGGCCGGTGTCGCGGACTAGGGGAAAGGGCAGTCTACCACGCACGAGAACGACCAAGTGTGGTAAGCCCTCAGGTTCAGAATGCGCTTAAGTGCTCATTTATTCATAGCCATCCGATATGCTATAATCGGCCATGACGGTGGAATAGCCATGATACGGCGTGATCTGACAACGAAAAGTCGTGGTGTTTTCACCTAGCCATTGTGTTAATTTGGAAGTAACCTAGTGGGCACTAGCCCGACCCTTAGGAAGATCTGATAAGTTATAGAGAGTTGGTATAATCTGTCTACAGATTTCTGGTAGTGCTTCAATGAATTATAAAAACCTAAGCTATGCATTAGACCTTGCCCTTAGATCATCCTTGAAATCGAAACCCCTTACATTCAGTTAACAAATCACAGTAAAGTCATGCCAAAGATTTGCTCGGTAGACTTGGAAGAGAAAAGTTTATTGTCATTCGCTAACTGACTGCATCGGCGGTGCTTGTTGATCCTCCGTAAGAGGAACTTTACAGGATAGACCCGCGAAACATGGAACACAAATTGAATGCAAGTGCTTTTGACATTGTATTCACAATTAAGGTTGACGATTCGAGTCTAGGTAGACATTTTGCATCTGGGACAATCTCGCTACGATTTTTTTCTCCCGCGCAATGGAGTTTGATTGATAGTAACTTTTGCTTGGTTGCCGGAAGAAGAGAAAATGCCAGTTAAATAGCGAAATGGAAAGATTAGGTAAGCGGGACATTCAAAAATACCCCATTTGCAGGAGAAAAAATCGCGGTATGATTTGAGGATCTAGGCCAAAAATGAGTTTAAACAGTAATAATAAATGGTGGTTGCAGAGACGATCGATAACTTAGATAAAATCGGCTCAGAATAGGGTACAGAAGTCAAAACGCTGAATATATAATGAAATCCACGATTTTTTTCCACGTCAGTCGGACCAAGCATCATATCCTTCGGGCCATCCCAACTCATCTGCGAGTTCTGACAATATAATATCGTCGGAATTATGTGATTCACGGCTTTGGAAAGTCTTTCTGGCAGGCAATTTGCTGTTGGGTCTGCTTTTGCCAAGTTTTGTTCGGTTTTGTGGGAGCTTGGGCTTTTCCTGGAGTCGTTTTTTTTCCGCCCATACTTTAAGTTCTTCCGGGTTTTTGATGCACCAGATGAGGACATCGCGTGCTGCAAATGCATCTTCCAAAGCATCATGCCCACAGTTGCTATTTTGAATAGTCAAATTCAAGAGGTCCTTCGCAATTGTTTTTAGTCCCCACATGCGGGGCAATGGCTTCGTTGATATGATGGAGGGGTAGACAGTCTCGGCAGTTAGAATTGCAGAGTCAACGACTTTTGAGTGACAAATGCCTAGCACTTCGAGATCATAGTTGAGAGAATGACCAACTAACACAGTTGAATTATCAATGAACTCCAACAATTTATCACGCGCCTCCCGCCAGCTTCCGAATGCCGCACCAGAGGCAACGGCGCTGGTCATAATGGACTGTGTCAAGCCACTGAATTCATGCCTCCAGTCAATCACGTCCTCGTCTGGATGAACATAGCGACTTATTAGCACTTCACCAGTTAAAAAGTTGATGGCACTGAGAAAAGCGAGTGTTTGGCGACCGTTTCGTACTTCAACCATTTCACAGTCAATGGCGATAGCAGAAATATTTCTCGTGGTCTGTAGCCTCATGTTGGATGTCTCTCTAAAGTTATAGGTTTTAATGGACCCTTTGCGTGGGTACTTTTTGTTTCGTATGGATCCGGGGCCTATGATATATCCTTCTGTCTGAAGACGATTCCACGAATGGCACCTTGACCGTAGATATCGCAGGATGAGATCTTGCTCCAGAGGAGGTAAAACCGTGGGATAGATCGTGGTTGCAGATATAGGGCTTGGAGCAACTTGCGGCACAATAAATTAACCCTTGGTTTAGTCAGTGGGTGAATTCGAAGATCGTTACCTAGTAAAGGACACTTCTCGACGCTTGTAAATGGGACAGAAGCCAGTAGACCATGTGGAAATTGAATTCCAGGAATTTCCGACACCTGTTGAGAGAATTTGAATGACTCTTCAGAGGCACTATTGTGGACAACTTTTGACCACACAACTGGTGTCACCACTGCACTTGATGATGGTGCACTTGTTGGTGGTATCTGGTGATTATCGCTTGGTGTGCCCGGTGAAGTAGACTTGTTGTACTTTTGGTAATGCTGTATAATCCCTAACTCATCTTGAAATGTTCTTTGGCAAACAGGACACCGAAGAGAGTGACCCTTCTTTATAAAATGATTTCTGACACCCAGCAGACTCCGAAAGTTGTTTCTCTCACAACCTGGACAAGAGAACTGAGTCGAAACAGTTTTAATCATGTTCATAAACTCGAGGCTGATGGGAATTCAGACTTTTAAATGACGAACATGCGTGGGGGCCGCTTGAAGAGCAGATGTAGGAAGGTTTCACGCCCTTTATCTATCTGCCTAAAAGTAAGACTGGTGCTAAAGGCATACACGTGGTCAAAATCATGCATGATGTGGTGGAAAACTATTGGCAGGCGCAGGGGTTTTCGAACGACCATACGCTGCTTCATTATGCCGGGGTGCGAGGCCACACGATTGGATTATTTACTTTTGCTCTGCGTGGAGAGAACATAGTGCTAGCAACTTCAGCAATCGAAATCCACCCTGCTAACCTAATCAAATTTCATTTTACCAGGTGGGTAACTGTAAATGCCGAGACTCAATATTTCAGATGGCACATTAATTTCAATGATCGGTGAATTAGGGAAACATAGCTTTCTCTTGGGGCCGTGGACGTGCATCCAGGTGAGTCGTGTCTACCAGTCGTCACATAAATTACCAAGGAAGATGATTTTTGATGTGGCATTAACTTGAAAGTTGTTGCCAAGTGTAGATGTGGCCCGGCACCATTGGCTGATTGGTGTGTCAGATTTTCAACCTTGTAAAGTTGACTCGCCCCGCGCCCAGTGCTAATTATGGTGTTGCATACGTAGAAGCCAGCCTTCATCCAGTGGTGATGAGATACATGCATTCAGAAGTAACGGTTGGACGACATTTTAGGAAGTGTTGTCAGCTAAGGAAGTGTTGTCAGCTAGGGAAATCCCGACAAAAGATAGTTAAACGTTGATAAACTAGGGACAAGGGAATCTGCGGAAGAACTACCTGTAGACACATACATATGCACGCGGGGCTGATGCCTGAGCTGCACAAATTACTCTGATATTAGAGAAAGCCCAGGGACCAAAGATTTAGGATGACCTCATCAAATAACTTGACTCTGGGAAGTCAAATGCTTACACCCCCTGCCCCCTCCTCTCATTTGGCTGTGGTCCTTGTAGAGATACCCTTCTCAAGTTTTCGAATATACTGAAGAGCTCCGGTGAGCCGAGAACCCTTCTACATGGCAAGATATCTTCTACTAGCACACTTCTGATAAGTCACATGACATATCAACATGGGCCCCTTTCAACGATGGTCATACCGTTGCTTTTTGGAAAGGATTGCTGGTGGCTTGACATAAAGCCTGAACCGTGTCGGTTGTCAATCATCCAAACCCGACCTCTCCATACATCTCAAGCTTAATAGAGGCCAGAAAAAGAAAAATACAACCGATCTAGTCCCCGTTAGTGACTGTCTTATAGAACCTTTCCATCGTGCTTTTGTTAAGTATTATACATATTAATATCATATCAGTTCTAGTATCTACGGCTATTAAGAAACCAGAGGCCCCAGAGCTACCGTGTAGCTCTATCAAGAGGCATCATTTGCATTGTAGTCAATATATTACATTATTCCCAGGCTACGGATTCGTGTAGCAACCTTGGTCTCTTTGAGACAAAAGTCCTCTCGTAAAAAAAGCACAGCTGCAAATTATCTGGATCTATTCTGAACTGCTATACTAGTGGCATAATTTGTGAAGTTGTTATAGCTGACTATTTTCGTGGATCAAAACTAGAGTACATCTCGCACTACATGCCCATACACACCCTTCTCCCCTGCACACGTGCCTACGTATAGACATCAGATAAATAGTTGACTATCTTTAAGAGTACCGCGATAGAAATCTTCACAGATTTTTTTCCCTCCTAACCAGAAGAGACCATTGTACCTTTTGCATTTGTGGAGAAGATCATAAGGTACAAGGAGCTGTATATTGTAGCTCGCTTTATCGAAGAGGCTAGACAGAGAGGGGAGAAGAAAGCCAAAGCGGCTGAGCAGCAAAGCAATGAACCATACCTAATGATACCCTTTCCTTCTTGAATGATATGTGGATTAGTCAGGTCATTCAGAACACTTCTATAATCAACAGGGACCCCCGGACAAATCCGTTTATTGATCTTAATTATATTGAGATTTCTTGACTCTAGGTATCACAAACTAGACCCAAGTAAGCCTTCTGTTCCTTTGTTACTGTGAGGCTGGTAAAGCTTAGAGAATGAAGGTCCAAAAAAACGATGAGATTCATGATGTAGAAGGAAGAAGAGGAACTATAGAGCTATAGAAGTAAGCAAGCTTTAATAACTAGAAGCAAACATGTGGAAGCTCATGGAACCAAGCTCATAGAAGCAAGCAAAAATGCATGTGATAACGAGCAAGCATCACAGTTACCCTAAGTTCATAGGTCACGCAGTCTCGCCAGCTAAAAGATCTCCCGAAGCAAGGCCTTGAGAAACCCATCCTTCTTGGCAGCCGATTTTGGGAATATCTTTCCAGTCTCAATCGTGTACTTCCTGAGTGCCTTTTGACTAGCAAAATTTTTGACTTCCTTTCCTGTGCGACGGGAGTCGACCAAGTCGACCAGATTCACGTGTACCTTTGCAAGGGCCTGGCAAATTCAGCATGAGAAGAGACTAGAGCAAGAGAGCCTTTGGAGTATGAATCCTACTTTGCGACATTGTTTGATACTTCGAATTGGATTTTGAATGTTCAATTCAACACATAGCGCCTGCCAATTCTCCAATTTTGTCGCATCGGTGCCAAAGTGAATCGCAAATTCGGATTCCAGGAAATTCGAAAGTTCACTTCGGTATTTCCTTGAACCTCTCTTCCAATTCATTTCACGTGATAGACGGTTGAATTCATCTATTGCAGGTGTTTCGGTTTGCACTTCGAAGTCAGAGTAACGAGAAAAGTAATTTGTGGTCTCCATGTCGAGGTTGCCTACTGTAAAATGTGTAGGCACAATAGGGGAAGAGAAAAGTGTACAGCACCAGCGTAACAAAATAGAATGAGAATAGCAAAATCACAGTTCACTGCTCCAAGTTATCAAGCGATAATCGTCTGTATTTATCATATTCTGGGAAACAGGTAGACTTTGCCCCCGGGTTACGCCTCGCTATTCATAGCTCGTGCCTGTGGGCCGACCTAACAAGGGTCTACAGCGAGCTAATACAGCCACAAGTATCGAAGGTATCGATAGTTACAGTGAGCTCTGAAATATTTATAGGCTAATCAGTCTATGAGTCGGCAAACGCGATCATCGTGAAAGAAGATGCAACCAGCGGCTCTCGATGTGTATGAGCTTCAGTTCAATACTAGGACTTGATCTATTGAGCGAGTTTTGGGCTTTTCGTGACAGGGCAAAAAGGACAACCTTGCCACTTTGCGAACCTCCATAGGATTCAAGGTTCAAGGCTTGTTTTTCAACACACTTTGCTGCCTGACTGCCTCACTTGGAACCGGCAGAAAGTTCTGGATTCATGTAGCACTGTTACCATGGCCTTGATAAATATGGTGGCTACGTTCAAGCAAGACGAGATAATCGATGTCAATCTTTCCATACAGGTGCACCGATATCTGCTTTGAGTGGGGGCTCACCCGCCCTCAAGTCCAAACTTGGGGTTATTCGGTTTTATCCAAGTCGGTAAGCAGGTGAAATCAGCTTTGAGGGCATGGGCTTTGAGGTAGCAACAGGACTTATTAGACCTTCATGGCCTCTCAACAAGATCTTCCTATATCTAAAAATGATATATTAGTTTGAAGGATGAAAATGGGGCATCATTTTGAGGGCTTTACGGAGGATACAGATCATGCTAAACCTGTTAAACCTCTATGAGGTGTTCTAGATCGAGATTATACTCCGTGCATTGAGCTCGAGCCTCCATGAGACTTCGTCCTGTTCAGAAGAATACTGCGACTAGGCGCAGCTGCGTTTCTGCCTTGTCCCCACAGTGGTGTATCCGTGGCGCCGCGCCGCAATTTAAGCGCCCAAGATTTTTCAGAGCAAATGAAAATCGAGAAAAGGGAATGAGGGAATCCTTTCTCAAATGATAACGCATCACAACATGCTGCGCAACTGAAATGCTGTGGTAAATACAAGATCTGCGAAAGTTATTACCCCTCGCAATCTATCGTTTGTACAAAGTACTATGTGTATCGGATGGACTAGTTCGCAAGTTAATGGCCTTGACGAGTAGCAAAAAGATAGCCTCTCCAAGCAACATGATTCAACAGATATTTACCCATTTTTTTAAAATAGGTTGTGAAACATAGCGGATTAGGGAGACCACGCATGAGACCTAGGAAAAGTCCCCAGAAACGACTTCTTCGATAATAGCTAACTTCTTTAAAGTCCTATGTAGCACTTTGAAACCTCAATAAAAGGCTCCTGCAGGCTTTCCGAACTTGCATTCTGTGCTAAGTCCCCATTATCGAGGTCAGGCAGCCGGGAATCTGATGAGAGCCCTACCTTCCAAGGTTAGTGTCGTGTGCCTGGTGATTTTAGTCCCCAAATCAGTGATCTGGCATGATCTTGGACAGTCATTCAACGCTTGGAAAGCCATTATGAGGGTTTTTAGAATAAAATTACGTTGCATTTATCTCCTAAGTCATGTATGTGGTGCGAAATCCATGGATACTTTGCTATAATATTTTTGCTCAACCAAATTGAATCTTAGGCAGTCAAACCATTTCATGAAACAATCCATTTCATTCACCAATCAAGCTACACTATAGCTCTGTAGTACATGGCTTTCACGAGATTCGTTCGCTGGCTAGGGAATAACGCTATGTCTAATTCATGATTAGTTCGGGCCTTGCACACTATTTTGAAATGAAAGTTAGTTGGGCAAACCAACACTCACATCTGGGAAAATCATCTTCTGGGCCCTCGAGTTCAAAATCAAGAATCTGCTTGGTGAAGTCTTGATCATCAAACTTGTTCATGTTTCGTGAGATTTTCAGATACAGCCATAACCTTTCAGGGGGAAATTCCATGAAAAATCCACGTAAGTTACTGCGAACCTCAAATTTTGCTTCATTAGAGAGGCTTGAAGTTTTCAAAGCCCGGTCAAGTTTAGTCCTCAACATCATCATGAGACCGGCTTGGTGGGTATCGCTCCAAAAAGCTCTTTCGCTTGCTTCTGTAGCTCAAGATGTCAGCACATATATATTTGTAACAGATTATGTCTGACTCACCTGCATTCATCAGCGAATAGGCTCGGGGAAGCATTTCCGTATGCTTCTCAGGTAGAAGTTTAGAGGCAACTGTGTACGCCACAAATGAGGACATGTGCATGCGTGGAGGTGACGAAACACCGCAAAGCGCATTCATTCTGCAACTAACAGAACTTCCAAGATCACGGGCGATTTTCTCAAGCGCTATCAAGTATAGATGACGGATGTGACGTGGATCAAGAACAGCTTTCATGCCAGTCGTCTCCGATTTGAAAAATTGTTCTAAGCTTGATTTCAGCGATCCTTGAGAGTGATAGATGATTGATGAGGTGGTATGGGCTTCTTCTAGAAATATATTGTTTATGGTTGTCGTATGGTGGCGCGAGAGTTTGAAACATTGAAACAGAAATTTATCAGTCTCACGAAAGCAGGTTGGTGAAGTAATCTCCGATGCCGTATACATAGGGCGACATGGTCGAACGGGAAGATCGTGTAGTATTGATCCTGCTTTTTCTGGATTGAGATGTTGAGATTGAACTGCCGCCGCAAGTCGATTTCGCGTCTCCCTGAGCCAATCTTGCGATTGACCTTCTGACTGAAGAAGATGACTTCGTGAAATAATGATGAGCCGTGGAGATATCGGGGCAAAATTGTGGTACTCGGTATAAAAGTTGGCATCGGTCTTTTGGGTAATCACGTTATATCTCGTTGTTGACGGGCCTTCAAAAATGGAGTACGCATTTTGAGTCAGCAGAAATTCATCCCCTGGATTGGTCGGTTCACAGAACGCTATGAAACTCCAAGTTAGATGTATTTGCATCATCGCAGCATCTTCAGGGTAGATTTGCGCTTTGAGGGTGTCAATCCAGTCCCTCGCGGGGTCCATATCAAGATCCAAGAATCGACGCAGGTTATCAAACCACACGTCACGCGGTCTCGTAAACCCCTTTGACTGCATATAACTTGACAATCTTTTTCGGTCATCCGCCTCGTATTGGTCAATCTGATTATGGTTGTATCGGTCAAACATTCCCGAGTTTCGATATTTCATTAGAAAAAGAAACTTCCGGAGCCTGTCAAGCTCAATGCGGTCCATTTCAAGGTCCAGGCCTTGAGAGAACAGGTTGCATGCACGACGGATGATCTCGCTCGTCTGAGACTCAAGACGTGAAAGCTTCTTCTCGAGATGATAAGGATCTTCTTCGAAACCAGTATCACGATATAAGTCCACGAGGGAAAATTCGGATGAGACAGGTCGCTGACCGAGGCCGCATCTTTCAAGATCAATCTTGTTCACAAGAAAATCACGGCCACGACGTTTATTTATCTTCGTCGTACCAGCTTCCGCAGCTGGCCTTGCTGGTGGTTGATTCTCCGGTACAAAGTTTCTTAAGATAAAACGTGGGATAAAGTGATGGTTCTGCTTTAATGGCTTCATCTTGGTGGTAGATTGGGTTCTTTCCCTTCTTCTGGATTGATGCAATGGGAATGGCGTTTCTTCTATATATGGTCAAACTATGAGAATATTGGTCCGACATGTCAGCCTTATGTATCTTGATCGAATTTTGCTCAGTTCAGAGTCCACATCTTCGGGCGGTTATTGACTGGACCAAGTGTGTTGCGCAGGACCGCCACCAACAAGTAGCGCCCATCCAACACGAAAAAGAGACAAGATAAGGCGTCATTGTAGAAGCAAATCCCTGCATTTACCAATCGATAACCCCACTTCATGAATTATACACACAGCCCTGTATCATAAGCTGGTACGAGTAGAGATGTTGGTTGGGCCGAGCGCGTGATGACAAGGAATGTGGAGCCCACTGGTCCGGATCAATAGCAAAAATGTCTCATCTGCCAAATTTCAGCAGGGCGATGAAATAAAAAGGAAAGGATGCTGGTTGAAGGGGGAGCTAACGAGGGACTTCATACACAGCGCACGCACGGGTACGCACAGGGACTATTGACGCAAAACCGAAAAGGCTGTAATTCAACTAAACGAACTCTTCACCGCAGCTGTCCGATATGGTGTAGTGGCTAACATCGTCGTCTCTCACACGACAGCCGGGGGTTCGATTCCCCCTATCGGAGTAAATTTTTTGAATTTTTTGCCATCCATTGTCGCGAGGTCCCGAAGTCTCCATAGAGAGTGGGGACCGATCAATGGAAATGGTCAAGTGTGACGAACATGGAATTAAGGTACGGACTATGTATGATCCGGTATTGAGAAATATAACGGCATATTTGATGCGGGCCTCACCGCCTTTGGTAATTCCAGGAGACCTGAGACCTAGACTTGGAATGGTTCACACGACACGATGCCTATCTGCATCGAGTGTTCCTATCCAGTTTCTCATCTATACAGTGCCTATAGCCGTGCCGATGATCGGTCCCAGGGTAAAGGGGTCCGGCTGACCCAATGTCCGCGGTGCCAACGGTTTGCCGACAAGTATGTTGAGTACGACTTTGTTGTACTCTTCATTGATCTAGTGCTTATCAAACCTCAGGTGAGCTTCACTCACTCTTGAAAGAAGGCTAGCTAATCGAAGAAGGTGTACCGACACCTTCTCTTCAATCGACTTGGGCGAGACGATAATCAATTCGATGTGAGTCTTCTATCTAAACCCGTGGGTCAATACATTAACTGATAAGCTGCTGTCAGCGCTCAATTATCCGCCTGGGAGTTCTGCTCCTTCTCTTCGATGTCTATCTGACTTGGGCGCGTATTGAGAAAGACCCATCGCTTGCGACAACGTTCCTATCGCGCGCTCCAATCATCGTCCAATATCTGTTCTTCTTGAGCCTGAACGCCGCCGCGACGCTAGCGCACCACCTCACCGTTCGCCTGCTGGCCTCGATCCTGGTCCCGAAGTCTTGCCGCTACAATAGGCCAGATACCAGCAATAATGCCAATCCCAGCACACTCCACACAGGAGACGGGCCTCCGCACCCGTCAGGTCCATCTACACCAACAATGCGACCATCGCCTTCTGCAACGCCTCTGACCGCGCAGTCGCAGAATCCCACCAATCCTCCTACAAGTCCACTCAAGCCAAATCCGACCCCGGCCCCGTATCCAGAGGTGGCATCCGTGCCAGATCCGTCTCCCACGCCGCAAGCTACCGCAATGGCACCGCCTCGACCTGCGCCGCCTCTTCGCCGAACATCCACTGCTCCACTGCAAAATATCCAGTCACTGCCCCCTCCAACTGCGGCAAGTCCCGCGGCAATCAGCACCGCTTTGCTAGTGAGCAGCTGCGCCAAACTATTCCCTATCCTCCTAGTGATATGGGGTGCCGACGGTAGCGGTAGCCTCTCCGATAATCCCGCTCACCGTCTGCCGGGATCGCAAGTCAGAACTCCAAGGCAGCCGGCCACGATGCCGAGCGCAGTCCACGAGACTCTTTTTGCAACAGTACGCAGTACACCCGCTCTTTCTTCGGCTGCTACCATTTCTTCCCGCATTTCAGAGACAGTCCATTCTGCGTCGTCTCAAGATTCATGGCTTTCGGCTACGGCTTCGTTGCTTTGGAACTCCGGGCCAACCAGTTACTTAACTGGTCTTTTTGATCTGCTTGCTTCCCTTCTTTCGCTTGGTGTGGTTGACACGCATCTTGTACTGCTAAGCAATATCGTGGCATTGTACATACTTTTGGGATGCGGATATGTACGTGCTGTAGTTATTGCGGTCGCCGGCCAGGTCGCTCGTTGGGCGGTCCAAAAGGTGATTTTGGGCGCTGTTGGCGTCGGCTGATACCTTTTGCGGTCAAGAAAGTACATGTATATCTAATGTATAGTAGTAATAATTTACATCCATTGATCCAAATGAACGGCTATGTCTGGGCTCTAGTGATATTCAACATCCGCCGACATTCCGAGGTCGCGACCTATATATACACGGTGTGCACGTCAGCCCTGGAGGCCGCGAGGCTGTCTTCCAACGTTCAGGGCTCACACCCGGACAGTAAACAGAGAAAGGGAGATACCTAGGTACCTATTCAACCTTGGAACCCCGAAACCTCCAGGGCTTGAAACGAAAAATAACAATCGATAAAACGCTACCAAATTTGGATCAAATACCCTAAGAAACAGCTATACAAAACATCAAGAGCCTGTTAATCAGACCTCGGCCTGGGATGAGTCAATCCTGACAATGCAAACAAATATCAGACGCTCCGAGCTTGAACTGTAATAGCGAAATGACTCCACGCAGTGCTCTACATGGTGACTCTGGTTTTTCTCAACACAGAGTGCCAAAGGTGGCAATAATGTCCCCGAGCCAAGAATTCGCGCAATGCCAACCGACCGAGCCGGAGCAAGACTAAGCAAACATAAAAAGACGAGGCTATTGAGGCACGCGATCAGGTCGGATGTCTGAACGCTTTGGCGCGATGAGGGGGTGTAATTGTGAGAGGAAGACGATGGCTGTATACGATGGCGCTTGTTAGCGACTGCCTGGAAATATACTGCGTCACGGAGACCGATTGATCGGAGGAAAAATACATACCCCACATCAAGTAACAGGAGACGATAGCAAGGATCATGGTACTGCGGAACAGCCTGGGAGATGGAGTGTCAGAATTTCTAGTTCTTCGAGCCCAAAGCTGTCGCTAGCTGTTTGGCGTTTAGGATCTGGAGATGGACTCACGTTTGATTCTCACCCTTGGGGCTCAGGAACCATGCCGCAGTTGAAAGTGCGACAATGATTATGAGGCCAACAAGCAAGCTCCATCTGCATGGTTGAATGTCAGCGACTGCACTATTGCTTCCATGAAGTTCAAGTCCTTGGATAGCTGGAGTGGCATCAACGTATATTGTCGTATCCACTTGATTGTCATGTGGATTTGAGCAATAGAGCATTATTATTCTCAGGCCTCCAGGACGATGTGACATACCCGTTTGCCATTTTGTCTTTATCGTGTTATGATCCTCGGTATCTGAGAGAGGAGTGCAGAGTACGGAGTCGAGGGGGCGTCCTTGGGCGCGGTATGCGATGTCGCGGCTGGGCGGGCAGAATATGAATCAATTTCCGAGGGGTTGGGCGTTTGTTCAAGAGACAAAGGTCGGCGCAAATCGTCCCAGAAGACCAGATGCTTTGGCGGCGCGGATGGACAGGTTGCCGACGATTCGACTAAGCGTGATGCGGTTGAGATCGGGTGGATGGCGAAGTCGAGACTCAATGTAAGACAGATTTGGCGTTCGTGATAGACCTTTGCGATTCGTGTCCCCGGTGTTCTAGATGACAGTCAAACTGGTGAGTTGAGCATCTGATGTCGGAGCTCCAGGAGCTAGCGGGCCGTTGACGCCTGAGGCCAGTTGAGGTGGGCGGTGGGTCGATGTCCGCAAATGACATCTTTACAACTTTTCATATCTTTGGAGCTGGCTACACTCTACATTTGTTTCTAAAGATGTCTTGGCTAACTTGATTCGGTTTCCAAGTCCAAAGATTCGAATCCAATCATCCGTGGAAGTTAACAGCAGAAGCAAAAGGGCTTAGATACAGCAGACAAGGCCGTGGCTTGAACTAACAGACAACGTCAAAACCAGGCAGAGACAAAAAAAAAAACATGGCGTCAGAGAAAGCACTTAGGCACCCTCACGGATCTTGCGGTAACTAGCCTATTGAGGAGATGGTTAGATATTACAAAGCGAGGCCAGGTGTCAATAAGGGCTTACCTCCTGCTCGACCTGCAGCGCATCGACGGTCGGGGCAAGCTCGCTGAGAATTTCATATGACTTCTTGTGGAATTCAAGTTGAGCAGCGATCAGATCTGCCAGGTTGCGCAGGGGTTCGGGGGTATCAAGGACCTGATGCAAGCGGTGTTAGTTCGGAGACTCATGCCAGATAGCGACCCAAAGTAGAACAATAGGATCAGAGCATAGGGGAAATTGAAACATACGTTCTTCATTACGCTCACGGCCTCCTCGGTCTGACCAACAAACTCGTCCTCTGCCTGCTCAATCTCCGCGCGGGCGTCCTCGCTCAGGTTGTCCAGATCACCGTGGGCGCCGGCCTTCTTGCTAGCCTTCACGGAGTCCAACATCAGACGGGCATTCTCGACATTCTTGCGCGCCTTAGCGGCGAACATGAGGTTGGTGTTGAGGGTGGTGTTCCAGCCGGCCAGGAAGCGGGACTGGATCTGAGCATCCTGAGCGAGACGGGCCTCGCCGACCTTCTCCTCGGCCAGAGCATACTTCTCCAACGCATTGGCGAGAGGGTCCTCACCCTCAGTGCTCTGCGCAAGGGTCTGCGAGCCGGCGAGGGAAGCGCGGGCGATGGCATGGTTGAAGGTCTTGGGCTGCGGCTTCGCGGAAGGAGGAGCAGTCAAGGCGGCTTGTGCCTCAGCGGGCGAGCCAGCCTGCGACAAAAGCTGAACCTTCTCGTTGATGGTGCGGCCAAGGTCATTGAAAGACTCGCGGATGTTGGGAGGGTAATCGTAGGCCTCGTTGGAGTATTGCGAGCTGGATGGTGGCGCCGGTTAGCGGCTGCACGGAGCAAGGTCTGACATAGCGCAGAACATAGAGCGGGTTGGAGCACACTCACGTCACTTGCAGGAGCTTCTGGTGGACAAGCTTGAGCGCATCGACGCGCTTCTCGAGCTCGATGTATTCATCGGGGAGTTGGGTCTTGTCTTCGGCTTGTCCAAGCTGTTCCTTGATCATCTGCTGGGTACGCTGCGCAAAAGGCGTGAAGCTCGCACTGTCCGTCAGAAAACCACAAAGCAAGAAGATGTTAGTAAGACCGGTCACGATATGAGATTGGCCCGCGGGATAGGGGATCCGGGTATGACGCTGTACTCACCTGAAGTTCTTTCCGAATGCCTGCACTCGATCCATGATTGGGACTTAGGGAATTTAGTTTGAGTGGAATAGGTGTAGGTAGCGAGTAGAGAGTAATGAAACGAGACTAGGTAACCACATGCACGAGCCCGGGAGGGTCGAGGCTTCGTCCCGCCTTTGCACCGCCTCAGTTGCACCGCCACTTGTTATCTACCAGCCGATCTACATACTGCCCAGGTGGACTTGGGGGTTCCGAAAGAATGTGTATCATTGGCAAATTGTGGGTAAAAAAATACATAAAGAAATCTGGGAAATCTCTGCCTGTAACCGAGCTCAAGTCGTATCATCGTAAAACCATACCATAACGTGAGGGGGAAAACGGGGGAAAGTAGCACAGTATTGAGGTGGCTCAAGTCAGCGTAGCCATCATCGCACGCATAAGACGAGAGCTGGGTTCTACATCAATTGTCAGTATAGTCACCAGGAATAGCAAACTTATTAATGACAACATACCTTTGCGCTCCTGTCGCCGAATCTCTGTAACCTCTTGAGCGTTGCCTCGATTGTCAATCGTATCTGTCTCCCGCTGTCGGGTGATCTCGATTCCACCCTCTCGCTCCAGGCGAAGAAGTCTAGTTTCGTCTTCCAAGCGGCGAATGTACTCAGTCATATCGTGCTCGCTCTCACGCTCACGGGGACGAACAAGCACCATAGATCCCTGACGCACACCATCGGACTCTCGCTCCTGGATGTACTGCACTGGGGACAGTTGGTGATATGCAGGGTCATGAACTGACACCGCTCGCCGACGGGACGCTCGTGGCACCCCCAAAAGCTCATCGTGGGGCTCTACATGGTGGCGGGACCGTGATCGATGGCGAGACGGCGATGCCTCGACGATAAAGGCTCCGCTGCTGCGGGGGGATGGTGCCTCAACCTGCAGGTACTCGGTCGTAACCCGCTCGCGAGGGATTTCTCGCATGGGGGGAGAGCGAGCCCGTCTGATGAACTCGGCTGTGTGTATAAATATTAGAATCATGTGACGACCACGGGTATGGGGAGGAGAATGCGTTTGCAGATGCCACTCACTTTCCACGGGGTGTGGTCGATTAAATTCACGACTCAAGGTTATCACCTCGTCAATCTGGTCCTTAGACAATGCTTTAAGGATGACAATCACATCATCCTAGTCCAAGTCAGCAGCCAATACAAGCATAGCACGAGAACGAGGCACCGACCTCCTCCTTGAATGGATAGCCTAGATCCAAGATCGCGTGGATATGGGCGAGGTGACGAGGTACGCGGGTCTTTCCCTTGCGAGGATAAGGCTTCTCATGATGCCTGTGAGCATTGCTGCTCGAGCGGTGACGGCGATCAACCATCTCACGATCACGGAAATCTCTAAACTCTTCATCACCGTAGTAGTCGGGCTCGGCGATTCTAATATCCTCGTACACTTCACGCTCGCGATATCGGCCGGGAGAGGGGTGATGGCGAGGCGGTGCAGGCACACGGGGAGCGCGGGGAACGCGCTCGCGCTCGAGAGTCTCCATCTTGCGCCGGGGTATGCGGTCGAAAGTGTCTAAGGAGGACTGCCGCCTAATAAGACGTGGAGGTCGAAAGGAGGGGCTTTCGTCACGACGTCGGCGGGGGTCATGCGCCTCAACGGGACCAGCAGGGTATGGGTGGTCGAGGTGGTCATCTTCATATAGCCTCCCTGGAGCTCGTGCAGGAGGGCCATATCGGTCCCCTTCGCGGAAGTGGGAGTCGAAGCGGTCCTCGAAGCGCTCTTCGGCATGGCGGGGTCTTTCGGCCACCGGGGGACCCCGTGCATAGCGATCGTATCGGTCGCGAGAGTCAAGGGTCCCCGTTGAAGAGCGATAATCGTCGTAACGGGACATAGTTGGGGTCACCGGATGGTACAAACAAGAGATGACTTTGAACCGTGGATGACGCCGTGCGGCTGACGTGTGGACCCGAGGAACGGTGCGTCAACCCCTCGTGGTAGTAAACACTCTCCGAAGTAGAAAGGGGAAATTCGAAAGTCAGCCTTAGGAGAATTTAGGGTAAAGATAAAAGAAGAATCAAGAAACCTGAGGAGTTGAGAGGCAAAAGCGCCAGGCAGAAGCCAATGATGACATTTCTCAGCTTGAGGGGGGTACCTCAGCGTCAACCTTGCAAATGTTTGGTCACGGAGTACCTCTTTGTTGGACCCTTTCTTCTATACTTCCCTTTCTATATTCCCTTCCAGCCTCGTTCAAAAGGTCTTTGTTGGTTTCTTTATTTAAAAAATAAATAAATACCTGACTATGATCCACTTTACTCTTTATTGAGAAGTAAGTAAATGTAAATCCAAGGTATCCTATTCCAATACTTTGCATAGTGTAGGAAGTAGCTTGTCACATCACTTCGGCTGTACTCCGTACGTCGGGCACTACTGTGTGTGATGTTCACCTAATGTAGGTACTAAGCTAATGACTTACAATCCATCCAATCCTAAACCTCCAAATTGGCCATGTCCTCCAAAATCCCCATAGCCCAATGCGCCCGATCGGGCTTGACAGTCACAAATCGGCGATCGTCCACCTCCTCCAGCACAGCCTCACACTGTGGCGCATTAGTCTATAGCCCGGGTATTATCTGATATGACATGCTTACCTGGCGTGCTTTTTCCAATTCCCGTTCTCGCTCCGTCTCAAACGATCGTTGATAGGGTGGCCCACGACCTTGTTGTGCAGCGCCAATCCATGCCTTCTCACACCCACCTGCAATTGCTTCTGCACTCTTAAACCCTGTCAGACGAGAAATATCGCGCAATTTGGAAATGGTCCAGCCCCGCTGCCCAGAATCAATGTACTGCACTGCCGCAAAAAACACTGGTACTGTCATCTCTGTCAGCGCGGAACCAAGATTAGGACTCAGACTCCCGGCTTCGAGATTGTAGCGCTGGGGATAGTAAACGCCTGATATGATCTTCCCGACGTTTTGTGCATATTCTGCTGTTGTTGGAGCGACCACTCCAGCTGCCATCATGATGGCCGGAGGCATGGAGGGGTGGATCCGATTGAGCAGTATACGCACAGCGTAGTAGTAGCCCCAGATCACAGCGATGGTATGAGTGCGATACTGAAGCGCGGGACCGAATGGAGTCGAGATCTGAGGAGCCACGTCTACTGGCAAAGGCTGGAAGTCGCGCCCGAGCGCATATTCAAATGTCTTTGCTGCGGCCAGGATATCCTCCCATTCCTCCTCTGCTGCTCTGAAGCTCACGTCCTCAATCTGGTCATCCTCATCCGGCGATGACCCACGAGGGCGATCTTGGAACCCAGTAGGAAGTCTTGGTGGAGGTTGTGGAGGGACCATTCCGTACATCGGAGGACTGTCAGCTGATGTCGGCCCACCTGGGGGTTGTGAGTCCAAGGGGAGACCCCCGGGGGGTTTATTGGGCGGACCAGTTGCATGAGCACCAGGGGCACCCCCTGGAGGTTTACCAGCACTCTGACCGCCTGGTGGTCCAGGTTTCTGACCAGGAGGACCACCAGCAAACCGACCCATAAATTTAAACATATCAGGGCCTGGGCTCCAGCCCCTGCCGCTTGTCTTCATGGCCTTCAACTTGCGTTTCCGGTCTCGGAAACCGAAGTCCGTAACTCGGGCCAGCAAAAGCCACAAATGGTCCGCAGAGCCATAAATGGCATCCAATCGACCGATGCCAGCTCGAGGCGCGCACTGACCCCATTGAGAGTAGGGTGTCCTATACGAAAGTCAGAAGCCAATAGATAAATGGTTGTCCACCAACAGCAGGTCCAAACGTACAGTAATTTGTTTCCGCCGATAAAGCTCTGGAAGGCATCCTGCTTCGAGTACCACCAGTAGAGATCACATTGGATTCGGAAGTTCTCGATATCCTTTCGAGTGAAGTGCTTCTTGGAAGATTGCTTCTTTCCCTCTTCAATGCCTCCAAAATAGTCATAGTTGACTACACGACCCATCAGAGTGCCGATGAGACCTTCATCCACATTACTCTCCTTCTCGGAGAATGGGTCATCCTCAGAGACGTCACCGGGCATTCCCCACCATGAGCCTGACCTCTGAGCCTGTCGCCGCCGGCCATTAACTCTTCGCCGATGGGCCCGGAGGTCTCTAACCGTGCCAGCAAAATCAATCTCTCGGATTAGGTGGGCCGACCCAGCCACATGGTTATTCCACTTGGAGTGGTCGGCAGATACTACCTCGTAATATCCCAGCAAAAGAGTGGCAGCAAGTGTGCCGACCTGTTTCCGTCGGAGTGGAAGTCCGACTGCGGAACCGACGCGCTTCAATGCATAATGGTAATGTTTCAAAGATACTGTGGAGGGAACTTGCTGTAAGTATGCGATATGGAGACTGCTGACGGCAAGGATTGCCTGGAGAAGAGCAGGGTTTTCCAATGCTTTCAGGGCGAGCGTATAGATCCACAGCCCTTGTTGGGCGGAGGGGACCGTAGCACCCAGAACAATCGAGGAATCAGTGGGATGCCGCTCAAAAATTGACAAAGAAGGACCGGTTGAGTGAATGAAATGGGCGAAGATGCGGGCAGTTTTGGGGTTGTTCAGAGGGGATGATCCTAGGGAGGGGCGATAGGATGCAAGGACATTCGGCTCATTCAAGTGCGTCGTAAAAGATCGAAGTTTACGTTCATCATAGTTCGCGGAAGCCATGATAAGGCTCAGTTGATTGAAGCCTTCGGCCTGGGATTGATCTCCCATCTCGTCATCCGAGTCCACATCATAGTAGTCTTCGCTTTCGTCCTCCATGAATATCACTTGAGAAGATGGCTGGTGGGGTATAAACTGATCATGAGGTCGTGATGGTGGTGGCAATTGCCCAGGCGGCGTCTGGTAATGATATATCGTGGGTAAGGGTTGGGTCACCTGGACATTCGAGTTTAGCACTTCGATAAGAAAATTAAAAGAGACCAGAACTGCTACATACTTGGGGTATGGGACCGAAATTGCGACTTGTGCCTCCGGACACGGCATTTATAGCCGGTAGAGGGGAGAGATTGGAGGCGTACTCTTCAGCGGTTTGGCCAATTGGACTACTGAAGCTCGGTTGATTTTGCATGGTGACTTGATGTCCTTGCAAGTCGTTAAACTGGTTTGAATGAATTGGATGCCGTGGTTGGGAGTAATCGCTCGTTGTTGGCTGTCTGGATATGTTCCCTGGCAGGCCCATGGACTGGCCGCGCCATGTATCAGCCGGCGGTTGCGGGGGAGCAGAAGGCGGGGCGACGGGCTGCGCAATATGACGAGAAAATTGATGTCCATTGACCTGCTGTGCCTGAGACACAGAAGCCAGTTGAGAGGGAGCACTATGATACGCAATTGTAGCCGGGTCAACAGGTCTGGGTGCAAGCATTGGATGCTGTGCTGCAGCAGCAGCTTGCTGGGGAGGGAGTTGAGAGCCATAATCATTATACAATTGTGGCGTTGTATAGTGATGCTGTAACTGTGGATCATAGTTTTGGGGGTGATTGAAAGCTCCGAAAATCCCTATGGGGTTCTTGAACACCACGCGCTGTGCATAACCCTCGCATATACGCTTGGATTTGACACAATTGGTACATATCGGCTTCTCCTCGCCGCACTTGATGCGGCGCTTGCGACATGCTGGTCTTCGTTAATAAAGGAACTAACTGAATAGCGATGCAACATACTGAGACAACCAGTTTTGGTTCGTTTCTTCGGATGTCTGCGGGGACCTGACGGTGCGCTTGAGGGATCGACAGAGCCGTTATTGTCGGGTTCTTGATCTTGAATATCGTCCATGGCGCTGAAATAGGTCAGGGAAAGAGATAAATCAAGGGCATTGTGGTGCTAAGTTCATTAAGCATAAAGAGGAGAAAGACGAAAAGTGTAAGAAACAGGGCTTAGGGGGGGGTTCTCCAGGATAAAGCCGCCAAGGATCGCAGATCACCCGAGATCTAGACTCACGCTTCGACCTGGTTACACCCGTGGACTGCAATTGTTTGCTAGAGCCCACGTACGGAGTAGATTTGTTTACGTCCAGAACTGACACCGTTTCGTCAAGCATTACCATTGTGTCGGGTTTTAGGCTAAGGGCGCCCGTTTGTGTACGTTTTGACAGAAAATGCATAGCGTAGTTACGAAATTCCTATTTGTTTAATTTCTGTATAATCAAGCAGCTTCTCAAGGCCCTTCACTAACACTTTTAGAGTCCAGTTACATGGACATTCAGTGAACCAGGTGAGTTGGCACAGTATGGAGAGCAATCGGGACTTGGTTCCTGAGGCAGAAATACAAACCATGTATGGAAACTGTAACGATAAGGAATCTTACCGATAACGAAATTTTGAGCTTTTTTCTTTTTTGGAGACATCGGACCTCGAGTTGTCGTCTCATCCATCAAAAGTATTTCCACCTTTCACCATGTTTGCTGTACCAGGGTGGTCCCTTGAGACCTCTGCTCTGAAGTCTCAGACTCAGACTCCGCAGCCCAATGAGGCTCCAGCAAAGGATGCATCCACTCCGGATGCGAAGAACAATAAGCGCAAGCGTGCGAATGACCGTGTCACCGCAGGCAACGTGGATGAGATGTATCGCAGACACATTGAGGGAAATACCAAAGCCCCCAAAGGAGCAAATGCTGGCCCAGATTCTTCTGTGAAGACAGAGAAGAAGCAGAAGAAGGAAAAGAAGGGAAAGCAAGAGAAGCAAGAGAAGGAACCCGAACAGGCCACCCAGGAGACCACAACTGAAGCTCCCGCCCCAGAAGCCGATGCGGAGGAGGCCGAAGACAAGGCACCCAAGAAGAAGCAAAAGAAGAACAAGAAGAACAAGGACAAGACCGATGCCTCAGCGGATAAGACCGTGACCGACAGCACAGCCGCTGCCCCGAAAGAAGCTGCCCCAGCTCCCGCTGTCCCTGCGCTCCCACCTACTGCAAATCTGACGCCTCTCCAGCAGGCGATGCGACAGAAGCTCGTGTCCTCCCGGTTCCGCCACCTGAACGAGACCCTTTACACCACACCGTCCGAGAAGGCCGTGGAATTGTTCAACGCCAACCCCGAGCTGTTCGACGAATACCACGCTGGATTCGCACGCCAAGTGAAAGAGTCATGGCCATCCAACCCAGTCGACGGCTACATCAAGGCCATCAGGACCCGCGGCGCCATCCCGCTCCCCAAGCGCGGAAAGCCCAACAACCCTGCCAAGGGCTACCCGTTGCCCCGCCGCCCCAATGGACTTTGCACCTTCGCCGATTTGGGCTGTGGTGATGGTCAAATCGCGCGCTCACTCAATCCCTCTACCAAGAAGCTCAACATCAAGCTCAACAGCTACGATCTGCAAGCACCCGATGCGCTGATCACAAAAGCCGATATCTCGAATCTTCCCCTGGAAGACGGCTCGGTGGATGTTGCCATCTTCTGTCTGAGTTTGATGGGAACCAACTGGGTTTCTTTCGTCGAGGAAGCGTGGCGCGTTTTGCGTGGTGACGGCAAGGGCGAGTGCTGGGTCAGTGAGGTCAAGAGTCGATTTGGCAAGGTTACCCGCAAGAAGTCCCAAATTGGCGCTCAAAGACCCGGTAGCAAGGCCGACAAGAAGAAGCCCAAGAAGAAGGGTGGCAAGGACGATGATTCGGATGTGGATGACACAGACATTTTCGCGGAGGACTCTCGGCCGTCTGACAACAAGGACGAGACTGATATCTCGGCATTTGTGGAGGTCTTCCGGTCTCGTGGATTCATGCTCCGCCAAGAGACCGTGGATAAGTCCAATAAGATGTTCGTGAGAATGGAGTTTGTGAAGCAGGGTGGCCCTCCCACCAAGGGCAAGCATGCTTCTGCCCTCAGTGCACCGGCTCCTGGCAACAAGAAACGCTTCGTTGACCGTAAGCCCGAGTCTGATGCTGGCATGTCGGCCGAGCAGGAAGCCCAAGTCCTCAAGCCATGTGTTTACAAGATCCGCTGAGTCCTGCGAGTATGTTGTACTAGTTTTGTTTATATATGGTTTAAATTACTTGCATAATTGTCTATGCATCGTAAACTCCCAGGTCCTTGCATCATATCTTATATCTAAACCTAGTTGTGTGTAGAAAAGCGTGTAGGTGTTTTGGACGGGCATCGTCATTATTTTTCTACTGCTCCAAACATGACCATTGGCCTCAAATCAAGGCTCAAGATCTTCTCCAAAACATATTGCTGAAATTTCTTGCGCTTATTGGTTGCCGCCCAGCTGTGCGACAGCGTTGCCCATCTCCTCGTCGTTGTAGATGCGGAAGCCCTTTTCCTTAGTCACGCTAGCCAGCTGGACGTTCTTGGAATCGAGCTTCTCCTCCATGACCTGCTTCAGCGTCTTGAGCACCAATGTCTCGGCCTCTGATAGGGTGAGAGACCGGTGGTATTCGTTCTGCAGCTCCGCCTGAGCACCTTCGCTTCCCGAGCCGATGGCTTTAGCGTCATACCGATAGAATGTACCGGAGGGTTCAGCGTGGTATCTGGGGAAGAAAAGGACCAAATTAGCATTTTAACCAGACCAAAAGAAACCTCGACTCTTACAGTTGAGGCCCATCCTCATCGTAACCAGCAATTAAGAGCGCAACACCAAACGGTCTGCTCATGACACTCTCTTCGTCGTCGCCGCTCTCACCGAATCGCAGAGCCAAATCACAAATTGCTTGCGTGGTGCTCTCCACCCGCAGGGGCTCAGCATAGTGGAAAGCGTGGTTCTGGCACTCGACACGAGCATGTTCAACCAGGTTTCGAGCATCGGCCTGCAGACCGGACATGGCGCAGCCAATGTGCTGATCAATTTCAACAATCTTCTCCACGGAAGATGCCTCGAGGAGAGTAGATGTGACACGCTTCTCAACACCAAGAATTACACCCTCGGATGTTGCGACCTAGATGGATGTCAGCCGCATGGCCCCGGAATCGCACTATCCCCAGCGAGATGCATAATCATAACAATGAGCGTTCCGATTTATTTGCTTCAGAGACGCCTCACGTAGATGCGATATGGATAAGGACGGTATGGTGTGACCTACTCCGATCGCCGTGGAGCCTAGCTTGATAGCTTCGAGAGAGTATTCGACCTGGAACAAACGACCTTCGGGAGAGAAGGTGCTGAGAACAAAACATTGTTAGAATCGTAATCCATTCATATGAAGGTATCGAGGTCGGCAAGCGTACTTGATTCCACGGTCTGGCCAGCGCTGTTAGTTGATTCCGCGGTGAGGGGAGATGACGAAGCTTACCATATTCTGAGCGTGCGATGAACATGATTTATCTGATAGTGGGAGGTAGAGCGAATAAGGAAGCCGAAACAGAATGTAGAATGAGGATGGAGGAGGTTATCGGTGGGAATGAAAGAGGAGCAGAGGTGAGTGAAGCTCGGGAAGGAAGCTCTACGCAAGAGGTGAGTGCCTGGACTTTGTGGCCTGAGGCATCCAGCTGCCCAAGCCAAAGTGGAGTTGTTTGGATACTTGCATCTTCTCCCCATTACAGTGTTTGGTGGGCCTTATTGTTTAGATTTCCTCGATTTTACGTCCGTGGATCTCATATGCTACATGATTGACTCGTTGCCCTCGCGGGATTATGTCTCTCAATGACCGCGCCGCGTATATGAGCGCTCCACGACCCCGCGCCGTCTCCAATCGCGTCGATGCCGAAATCCGCGGAGTGTCGCCAATCCAAACCGAGAACAAGAACCCGTTGCGCAACAGCTCCTCGAGCCAAAATCATAGAGTATCCCGAGATCAGAAGAGCATGTCGGAAAAGCGCTCGGAACGGGCTGTGATCACAACACGAGAGAGATCAGTGCGAAGGAGCCCGATCAAGGAGTCCATCAGCGCGCCGAACAGAAGCGATTGGGATAAGAATCGACCTCGGAAAGCCTTTCAATCCGATGGAGCCAACATTAACGCGCGAGACGGAGAGAAGAGTCCCGCCGTGCGTGAGTGATCCCTGCGCAGCCTGCCCTTGGACCAGTGATAGATTCTGACTCTTTTATCTTACAGTACCATGGAATCCCCAAGCCTCGTTAATACCTCATTCAACAGCCCCCCTCGCATGTCGAGTATCAGTTCCTCCTCTTGCCTCGACCGCACCACAAACCCTTCATCCTAAATCACTTCGCGAACTGTCACCCGATGCACAAGAAGCAGCGATTCTCGAAGACCTATTATTTGTCTTCATGGGATTTGAAGGGCAATATGTTCATTATGTCAACTCATACGATCCAACAGTCGAGAAGGACCGCCTCACGGGCCCGGTATTCCAAATTGCGCCTGGTCTGGACCCAACCCTGCGAGATCTTACCCAATCCATGTTGAAAATGGCGACGCATTATAGCGCCATGGAGGCCTTCGTTGAAATACAAAGTCGCGCCGAGTGTGGCGCTGTTAGCCATTCGCTCTGCGCTTCCATTCGAAAGCTTCTCAAAGACTACTTGATCCTCATTGCCCAGTTGGAGGGTCAGCTGTTGAACAATCCGACATTCACGTTACACCTTCTTCATCTTCACACTATGCCAACTAGTCAATGTTTGGCACAGCTATATTCCATGGGCCAAGAATTATTGCTCAAAAACGGCCTTTTGGATGAAGACATTGAAGAGTCTATTGATGACTTCGACGAAGATGTTGACAATATCCTTGAACAATTGAAAGAAGGAGGAGATCTGGTGCCAGGCTCTATGTCTAGGAAGAAGATGTGCAAAGGTGGAAATATCCTGGGATTGTTAACGGGGCGCTTAGCTTCGTTCTCAGGAGATCCAACCACAAAGAGCTTGCTACAGACTCTGCTGCGTGATGCAAGTCGGCCATATATGACTATGTTGAACGAGTGGCTGCATCATGGTGGTATTAGGGACCCCCACGCTGAATTTCTGGTCAAGGAACAAAAATGGATCAGACGCGAGAAGCTTGAGGAAGACTACACGGATGAATATTGGGAAAAGCGTTATACTATACGCGAGAACGAGGTCCCTCCCCAACTCAAAAGCGTCCAGGACAAGGTCCTTTTGGCAGGGAAGTACCTTAACGTTGTGCGCGAGTGCGGTGGTGTCGATGTTAGCAAAGCTGTTATGGATGTCCCACAAACGCTCGACGACCCTCGCTTCTTGGACAACGTCAACTCAGCCTACACCTACGCCAATGCGTCCTTGTTGAATTTGCTTGTCACCAAAAATTCCCTTACCACACGATTCCGCTCCTTGAAACATTACTTCTTCCTGGATCGCTCTGACTTTTTCTCATATTTCCTCGAGCTTGGAGCCTCAGAACTCCGAAAGCCGGCCCGGGGTGTCAATGAGGGCAAGCTCCAATCACTATTAGACATTGTGCTCCGACAACCAGGAAGTGTTGCAGCATTAGATCCTTTCAAAGAAGATGTCAAAGTTAGAATGAACAAGATTGGTCTTACAAAATGGCTGATGCAGGTTGTGAATGTCTCAGGTGTCAACCAGGATGGCGCAGAGGCGGACAAGCAATCAAGCGCTCACCTAGCGGACGAGGACAAAGACATTCTTGGATTCGATGCGCTCGAGCTTGACTATCAAGTTCCGTTTCCATTGTCACTGGTCATCAGCCGCAAGACGGTCCTGCGATACCAATTGATCTTCCGCCATCTCCTGTCTCTGCGCCACCTTGAGACGTTGCTGGTCACGTCCTGGGCAGATCAGAACAAGACAGTTAGCTGGCGACATAAGTCTTCTGACCGCCGGCTCGAAATCTGGAAACGCCGTGCGTGGAACCTGCGCGCGAAGATGTTGGTTTTTGTACAGCAGTTGTTGTACTTTTGTACGGCCGAAGTTATCGAGCCCAACTGGGTGGGTCTGATGGACCGTGTTAATCGCGTGGATTCGGATGCATCCGAAGTGGATGAAGGTGATATGAAGCAGGTCAACCGAACGGTTGATGAGCTGATGCAGGATCATGTGGATTTCTTAGATACATGTCTGAAGGAATGCATGCTTACGCAGGCGAAGCTGTTGAAGGTTGGTCTTATGTCAATTGAAACCTATGTGGCGAAACACGCACTAACGATTCATGCGCAGATCCATTCCAAGCTAATCACTTGTTGTACGATGTTCGCGTCCTGGACCGCAGCCTCACTTTCACGTGCCTTGGCATCGGCTGATCCTGACCTGGCCACAGGCAAAGTCCCCGGTGCTGACGCCAGAGGCTATGACCCAACGCGGATTGGAAAACTCGAAGATACCCTCAAGCGATACGAAGACCACTTCTCGCGCCACCTCCGCATTTTGATGGACAGGTGAGAACCTCCGCCCATGGATCAAGAATTATTATACTGACTGCCGAAACAGCTTGAACTACTTTGCTGCCACAGAAAGTGTGGTGCTCCTGAAGCTCGCGCATTCCCTCACCGCTATCAGCAGAGAAGAAAGCAAGGAAGACTGAAGCTGTGCAACCTCTCTTCTATGTGCATCTACATCACAAACCTTGATATTGCTATCCGTGGCCAAATGGTTGCGGCCGAACGCTCCACTATCAGCAGAACTGATCCTTGCGACTTCCGTCATAGAACCCGACTTCACACGAGACAATATGGCGCATTTCGGGGCACGCAGAACCGCAGCCTCGCGCCAGTCGGGCGTTGGGGCCAGTCGGGCCTGACGAGTCAGGTCGCGCCCACCCCAGCGCAAAGTTCCACATCAGCAACTCGAAGACATTAACCCAAAGAAACCGAGTGCTAGATCAACTTAATGATAATATGAGTAGCTTAGCAAATCAAACTGCTCGTTCAAATCATCCTTAAACACACGCCAAGCAAGCCGTATAGCAAGCAGGTAACGCATGGTCGCAATCGGCGATCGCGTGAGCGGCTCCTCACGTCAGCCGGAATTCCTCGCGTGTCCCGTAACCCAAATTTGTATATCAAGCATTGCAGCCTCGCGTCAATCTCAACATCCCAGTCCCAAAATGCCAGAACAAGCTTTTGTCTCCGCGCTTCGTATCCCGACAAATCGCCTCACGCTAACTCTCGCCGCACTAGCTGCTTCGGCCTTCGTCCTCCCCGCCGCATACCGCGACTACCAGATCTTCAAATCCTACGGACCAGGCGGGGTTCCGAACAACGCGCTAGGATGGATTCTTGTTCGCGTGCTGTTCCAGCCCTTCGGTCGCGAAATGCTCAGTACGGAGGAGTATGTGCGGCGGATTGAGGCGGCGGAGGGTCATGGGAAGGGTGACGACGGCTTCTTGGCTCTTTCGGGCGAGCCGCTGGGGAGCCGTGGGGCGAGGCCGGTTGTGGGGCCGCATGTTGTGCCACAGAGACAATTGACGCAGATTCCTGATGAGGCCGTTATGGAAGTATGTTTATGACAGGTTAGGATGTTTGATGTTCAATTCGCTGATTTTTTCTGTAGAAACTGCGCAATGCGTTCAATTCTTTCGCGCATCGCAATCATCATCTTGTCAAGCTGACTCGGTCAAATCTGGAAAGGCATGCTGATGGTATGTTCCTTGCGGACAATCTCCCTGCTTCGGGTCTTGCACAGATCATGAAGCGTGAGATTGCGCATGTTCATTTTGGAAATGATCATTCGCTGCATGCGGTGCTTGCACCTGCTGATTGTATGTTCTCGGTTCGTTGTGATGGGCTTTGAAGATCAGTATTAACATGGGTTGAAGGTAAACGGATTATTGAATTAGGCTGGGGCCAACGCCATGCCTTCTCCGGATCATCGGCAATGACCTTCCTTTCTCTGGGGACACGGCCTGATCTCCCTGCCGAGTATATCCTGATATATGCTCCTCGAACAGAGGCTGAGATTGAGACAGTCATGCATATAGTCTCGGCAAGTATCAAGTTCATGACGGGGAGGGAAGATGTACGTTGAGGCAGGTGTGATTGCACCATCGTCAAGGTTACAGCAAAGATGGAATTGGAAGGTCTAGGGACGATGGAGATTCTCCTTAGTCCCACGATGCTGATAACCTATGCGTCCTTCTTTCTTGTTTGTGTTCTCTGTGCCATTTTATATACCCCTCTCTTGTATTCTGGTGTTTCTAAGTGTTATAGGTACGACTATCCAGGGCTGTGAGCTAGCTTGTCTTTTGCAAACCCAAGTACTTTGTGTTCATACTTAGATAGCCCCGAGGTCCATTCACGGAGTAGCTGGTCTATTATTGGCGTATTGAGTGATCCAAAGCGTTGGAGTTATATCGACGCTACTGAGTCTTCTCGCACTGGGCACGCCTGGGCAGCTCCAAGGCTTTCTTCATTCGTTTTCAAGGTCTCAAGGTCGTTAGTCGTATTCCGTAATTTGTACATTGAGCTAACATTTGATCTGATAGCATAATCACTCCACTCAAGTAGTGCTTAGTTACCCCAGGATAATGCTTATAAAATACCCATGCCATGGATAGACAACCAAATCAGAGCGATTACCCATCAAGAACAAGCATTCCCAACCGCCCTGCAACCGTACTCATGTCAACACCCCGTACGACCTGCGTATCATCGGGAGCGTCTTCCATGGAAGGACCTGGATTTTCGGACCCATCCAGGTACGCCATATAGAAGTAAACTCCGGATTCGGAGACAAAATTGGCGCGATCGAGCACAACTGCGAAAAGGCGAAAAGGTTCACAGAACCTCCCTTGTCCTGTAATAATTTGCTGTTCGGGGATTTGAGGAGTAACGTGTTTCCATGTTTGGAGTTGATCGTCGCCAGTGGAGACTTTATGTAGGGCGCCGACAAGAAACGAATTCTCTGGGTCCTCTTCGGTTTGTTCTGATAGAATTTTGAGAACCTCATTTTGTGCGGGGCGAATAGCCGAGAAAGAAAGGGAATCTGGGATAAAGAATTTAAGATTGAGGGATTTGTCAGCCGGGAGGTGGGAGGATATCGACGCCGTGAACAGACGCGCTGTGCATTGCAAGAGGGGAAGCCTTACTGTGTCGCGGATAAAGCTGAGAAACGCTGCATGAATAATATACTGAATATCGGGTGTTTTGCCTTCAGGGGTGTTTTTGACTGTAACAATATTGGCTTCCTCAGAGACCCAGAAGTCTGGATGAAGATCGAAGCCGCCAACTGAAGTCTCCGTGACAAGTTGGTCGTGAATCTGCTCTTCTGAGGACTGATCCGATCTGGACGGAAACGAACCCTCGTCTATTTCCAATACATATTGGTCCGGGTTGTGAGACATGCTAGTGAGAATATCGACCATGAGTATCTAACCTATATAAGTCTGGTCTGTAACACATTGAATAGCGAGTTCGAACCCCTCTAGTAAAGGACTCTCGTCGTCCTCGGATTCAGGCTGCGTCATATTAACACAAGTGCTAGAAAAGCAGCGGTTGAAGTAGAGCAAGTCCGAGCCCTCGCCCAGCTCAGCAAACGCATCCGAGTCCTCAACATAGCCCAGTCGATAGCTGTGCGATCGCAGCAACACGCAGAGCCCAACGCTAGAGTAGTCGTCAGGGCAAACAAATTGTGGAATCAGCGGGAGAGGATCCTTGATCTCTGATCCATGTTGCTGCTTGCGACGGGCGATTTCGATGCGGTTATGCTCAATACAGGCTAAGTTATCAGGCGGGCTGTATGAATATATCTCGAACAAAGGCTTGACTTCCTCATCAAAGAAGCTTTGCATCAGGTAAATTCGGAGATTTTTATGATCGTCATCCAGGGGCACAAGGCTGTAGACCTGGATGGGAATTATGTCGTTGGTATCTGGCTCGTAGTCTGGCGTGACGTACTGCTCGAGCACCACGCGGTGGCCCAGATGGTCAGTATAAGTGCGCACCTGCTGCCATTCACTCTGTGACATGATGACTCGGTCGTTTGGTTTCTTTGAAGAGTAAACAGGAAAATCTTACAGAATACTGAAGTAAACGAGAGCAAACGGATGCATGGACAAGCGTAGAAAGTTTACCTAAGCGAGGGGGAGATCGACAGTCAGGGCTAGCGCCAAGCGTGCACTTTCGATATTCAATAAATTGGATTATAGAAAAAGGAACACATGGAAGAGGACTGCGTGGAAAGTGTCTAAGTTGAAGATATTGATGGACGAAACTTTTGGAGTGGCAGAATCGCAATGTTGAGAACGGCAAAATGCTGCCGGGTTAGGGCTATTCGATCCAACCTTGTGACCCTGGAAGTTACAACCTTGGAACTTCGAGTAGTTACTGTCTACGGAATAAGTATTCTCAAACCTGACTACTATGTGTAGAGAATTATGTACACTCGGAATATCAAGTCTACTACAGACCCAGCTTTCCTAGCTCATTGTCTCCCCACATACTGCTGCATCGCCTATCATGACTCCTCTGCTACTCGCTTTGCACTGGCGGATAGACCTGATTTCTCTCCTTCGGTGATGAATTGTTTGACTCCGTTGGGCTTGTTGTGGTAAAGAACGAGCAGTTCAAGCTGGGCGCCACTTCCTTGAATATCGGCTATTATGTTATATCAAATTCTTCTTGGGGCCGTTGCTCCTCGACCAAGTCATTCCACCACTCGAGCCTGTGACAGTATGCTCATTTATGTTCCCTCCCAATTTATGGGACTGAGTTTCTTACCAGACACCAAGCAAGGGAAATCAAACTTGGATTTAGCGTACGAGAGTTCTGTTGCTCCCGCACACACCCACTCAAGGAAATGACTGATTAGATTCTTGACATTGTCTATGAAAATGATATCACTGCTATCAACACTGTGATAGCCTGCGTATCATGTTCACCCTGTAGCTCCTACTCAGCTCAATTTGGCTTCATAGTAATCTCATCCTTCTGACTGTCTCTCTATTTCTCAAATCCCTACCGCTTGCTCATGATCACTAGCTTTGACCGATCTCATTTTACAATACCATTGAGCAATTTCCTGAAGTTGAGGATTCCAAATAATAATACTGGGAGATGTCACGTGTCGACGTGTGTGTACCACAAGACCGCCGTGCGCGCATCCTTACATTGGATATGTTTGACAAATATGTAAGATGAAGGGGCATGTCCAAATGTAATCAGTGAGTAAAAAACAGCAAAATATCAGCACTTAACCGGAAAGGGAACGCCGAGAAATCGCAGAGGAGACCTGGCATGTAAATATCATCCACCGATCGTTGTACGCTAGGAAATTAAGTGAACCTTGAAAGTTGACCTTGGGATAAGGCCGACTAATCCAGAACCCTGGAAGAACCGGTGTGTGGCATGGCCAAACATTAATTGGAAAACATCAAGCAAAGATTGAGTGTTTGCCCAAGGTTCCAAGCACATAGCAAGGTACCACGGAGACATGCTTTGTATGGAAATTATGGATGTGTCGAGTAGGCAACCGAGCTAAGGATCATCCTGAGCCGGTCTGGTTCGGGCTCGAAGCCTTCGATTCCAAATTCCACCTTTCCGCGCCAGTGGGTAGTACCAGGGCGCCCCATGCAAGTGAGTCCATAGCGTGCTGCCATGTGGCTAGCGGACCCGGGAGAACGGGAGCAGAGAAATATTCAAAGGGTGGAACAGCAAGGCCCAGAAACCGGGAATTCGATTGAGTTTAGCCCGAATACGATGTGCCCCTATATGCTCGTACTGTGGTTCTGTGGTTCTTAGTTCGGTAGTAGTACGCATACAATGGTGGGATTTTATACAGCAAACCCCAAAAAGAGCCTACCCGAAACACGAACCATGGTGTTGGGTTTGGAGCGGAGCCCCCGGACGGGTAGCCACCCTCCCCCCCTGTCCAGATCCCGACAGTATGGGTGTAAATTTCTTTTTTTTCCCTTTCTCGTGTTCAACGCAATGTTGGAATTGGAACACCTGTTCTACAGAAATTGTTCCATGCAAGCACAAGTACTATTTTTACTTCCGGTAATGTAGATGCACCAAGTCTAGTCAGTCCTCGTGCATGGTGAACGCACGGGGTGGGGTCCCTATCTTGTCACCCGGAGAATTGGCCCAGCGTACGGAGTAAAAAAAAAGAGAGAAAATCCGGATGGAAATTTCCAAGGAGTTTTTCGGTGGATGCGGTGGATCCCATACTGCGGTCGTACTGACTGCAAGTAACAATACCCGCACGGGGTAATGGAAGGATATGTTTTCCGCAAAGCGTGCTTAGCTTCTGCGTAGAAGGCAACTAGAGGGGCTACTTATAGGGAGAGTCAGATATAATCCTAGTATGCTGAGGGGCAAAAAGGAAAGATAGACGACCGTTGCCTCGGGGTACTTTTGTCGTGCGGGTGTGCTTAGACTCCAAGTAAAAATCCCTGTAGCAAATCTCTGTCAAAGAGAAAATTGAGACAAGCGGTGAGAACGAGAGCGAGAGAGGGGCAAAAGAATGAAAAGAAAATGAAACCCACAATCCCGAGGGACTGGATGCCCCAACGAGGATGATGCTGATCTTGCCCGTCGAACCCCACTCAGCTTCGGTGGTGAGACTGGGAACTTGGCATGATTACGCCGTCATTCTGGGGAATCGTACACGAAATGTGATGAGTTTCAGGGAGTGAGGGCCTGCTGAGTCGCTTGTCCGACTGCCAGGGGAAGTCTCTCAGCATCCTTTTGTTTCAGCATCTGTCTGACAGCGGGATTTGGTGATGATCCTTTCCGTGTCCTCTGGAATTTGCAATGCAGCCCTGGAGCATACGCAAGGGTGTGATTTTCAACTCGGCTTTTGTTTCAATCGATCTCCTATAGGGGGGTTTTTTTTCTTTCTTTCTTCGGCTGTGCATGTCACACAGCAGATTGTCGTCGGTTCAGCCTCATGCCGACATCGAGCACAATTCTGGAAACGCTCTGAGTTTAGTTTTTCGCATTCCTCACAGCCAGGGAACTCATCGTTACTCACATAAGTATGGTGGCCCCCAGCAAGTAATATTGAGCTTCTGTAGACACTTCAATCCAGACGATCGGATCGGATCAGCATCGAGACGCTCCTGTGCAAGGATCCCGGCCAGGCGCAGCGGCATGGCCAGATTCGTACTCAACCACACCGGCGGGCGCTCTTGGACCCTCGAGGCAAAGTAGGTACTATGCGAGACGGCGAATTATGCATTAGTTGACGGCACTGCTACTTCCAAGGTTCGCTAGCTCGGCCTTAAACGGGGAGACTGGGTCATGTCGATTATGATATTTTAAGTATGTGTCAATCATGTAATTCGTGCACCACTCCTCGGCTTGTTGACCGACCCGCCTTTTTTCCCTTTCTTCAGGCCCCAGTTGACCAAACTGTCGGAATAGAGCGAGCCTCTGAAGGGTGCCATATATCGTAATATTTTCTGTGAGGGTGTCGGGCTGGTTTGGAGCACATGAACGATCCGGAGGGGAGTTGGAGTCCGCATCGTATTTGATTACCACCCACGCAGGCCCCATCCGTGCTAATTAATTGACCGTTAAGCCCCCGTGTCTGCGCACATCGTCTGCATCCCGAGGTGTGATCTTCAGAGCAGCATTTGATTCGGTTCTTGTGGCTTTTCTCACCCCCCTCCTGTACAAGTTTAGTACGTACCTTGTATAATTGGCCCCTCCGGCTCTCGACAGGCATTCAAACGTGAATGATCCTCGCACAAGCCGCCGCCATCTAGCCCGCTGCCGCCGCCGACGTCTTCAGGGTGCACCCGATCATTTCCATGAGAATCGCAAAAAAGCGAATTTTCACCCTTTTCTTCGATGCGTGGATTTGATGCAAGTTTCTGAACACGGAGAATTCAACCCCACCCTGACCGAACAAATCAGAGTATACCACCTGAGATTTCCCTTTTCGTACCACAACATCACTTGATCAGTGACAATGGCGTACGCCTACCCCCTGTTGATATTTTTTGCTTCTTGTTCTTGTTAGGTTATTGAAGAGTGACAGACACTGACCTCTGGATTGACATCCAGGAATCCAGATTCGCAAACCACAGAACTAGACCGTGAATTTCTCGATACTGTCACAGTCGAGAGTCGTGAGTATCAAAAATATTCGCTTGATCATCGAACGTACTTTGGACCTATCGATGAGGTACGATTCGCCGGCATTCCAGTCTTTTTTCGGTCCCTAACTCTCTGGACAGGAAGAGGCACAACGACTCGAGGATCAGCAACAAGTTTTCCAAAGGATTTTTGACAATCGGTTGATCTTTCCACCCATTCACCAACTCGAGAGGGTGTTGGATTGTGGCCACGGATCGGCTTCCTGGGCTGTCGAGGTCGCCGAAGAGTATCCCGAATGCGAGGTGAGATGTTCTCTGAGTAGTGCCCGTCAACAAACTAATGTCTGACTCTCGCCAGGTCATCGGCGTGGACATTGCCCCGCACATGAGCCCAGAGGATGTGCCTAATAACCTATGGCTTCAGGTAAGTCAGTTCAGCCCGCACTTTTCCATGATGACCCAGGTGCTTCGGATCAAAAGAAACCCCCTCCCACGCTTCAGAGTCGGCCGTATTATTGGGTCCTTCTGTGTTGCCTGCTATTGCAAAACAGCCTCGACCGGATGCAAGGGCCCCCGAAGAATGGTTGCTAATGTGTCACCGAGCAGGTCGATGACCTGAATCGCCGTTTCACCTTTCCCGCAAACCACTTCGACCTTGTCCATTCCAGACTCCTTGCGACCGGCATCAACCGATCCCGATGGCCATCCTATCTCCACGACATAGTCAGGTGCGACCCCTATCAACCCGGTTTGACCGTGCGCCCCCTGAGAGTCAATGGCTTCTCAAGTGAACTTTCGGGACTAACAGCAGGCGGTTTTAAGGGTGTTGAAGCGAGGGGGCTGGGTCCAGATGGTTGAAATATACTTCAACGTGCAGTCTGACAACGGATCACTCACTGATGAACATGCTCTGCGGAAATGGAGCATACAATATCTTCGCGCCTTGGAGGACAGGAAGGATCTTCGCATCGGATCAAAATTAAGAAATCTCATGACAGAAGCAGGGTTCGTTGAAGTGGATACGAAGATGATTCCTCTGCCTCTTTCAGCATGGTCAGCCGGTAAGTCTCCCAAGTACAAGCACGAGAGAACATTGCAACTTACTCATTTCCAAACAGACCCGAGGATGAGAGAAATAGGTGGATCCAACTGTGATAACATCAAGCAACTTCTGCAATCGCTCGCGCTATACCCTTTGACCCAACGACTACACATGTCGCCAGAAGGGTTCGCCTCCTTGGTATCCCAAGCCCAACAGGAGGCGGCAGACCCAAGATTAAAGGCATACTTCCCACTGTGAGTGTTGCCGCCCTTGAATCAACAGGCATAATCTAATGGAACAGATATGTTTGCATTGGCCGAAAACCGTGAGAGGTCGATCACAAAGGGCCACCGATGGTGACGGACAGATAAGACCAGCCTCTCGCCCAAACAATGCCTTGTATGAACCGAGAGTTGATTGGCAACATAAAACCCCTCGCATTTCGCATTCGAATACTGTATAGCGTTCATTCTGCTCTTCGCGCTTCATTTGCATAGACAGTGTTGATTTAGCGGACAGATGGTTAGTCGAATGAGTTTCCTTGATCGTGCCTGTTCCTTTATGCCATTTCCGTCGTGACAATGCGCTGAGTCCATGTGCCGCTGGCCCGCAGTGTGCTGGGATCCGTTGACGGGCGGATGTTTCCGGTGTGCTTTATCGAAGGAGGGTCGTGCGTGGTCGCGCAAAAACAATGAGTCGACTTGACAGCGAGTAGAGTACGAGACCACTCGTAACTCACTTGTGTGGTATTCCACAAGCTTTTCCACAGTTCAAAATGCCCACACGCGCCAAGTCTGGCTGTTAGTTGCCTTAACTCCACACAGAACGGGAGGCTGTCGGATCATTACAGAATCGTTTGGGGGTGCGGGTTGGAAGGATCTTCATTCGGGGCTGAGAACTGCTTTGGAATATGGTATCGGTGGTTGTCCTCCGATGATCCTGAATGCCAAATGAACTTGGAACCGGTGAAACCGACTCGAAGAAAGATTGCGAGTAGGGGGGCGTCGACTCAACGATTGGAGCTTGTGTCGATGCCCGAGAGCCCGATCCGACCATACCAATTTGGGGCATGCCCTTAGCATGCCGACAGAAAGCTTTGATAACAGAAGAGTGCCTCATGACAACGGGAAATTAAGAAGCGAGGGGACGAGATTACGAAAGATGAGGGGAGGGTTACCAAACTGACGGGAAGATGCTTCAGGAACACAACACCCTTCCCGGCTGCCTTGACACTTCACCTCACAGCCCTTTTGCAACATCGTCCTCCCTCGGGCTAAGATCGTCATACAACCTCCATTCATGTGCATCATCCGCCGATTGATTTGCTTCTAAACAATTGCACCTCAACGTTGGGCAGCAAGCCCCTTTTGACTTTCCAGGCCAGGATCTATGTCCATGATTAAGAAGTTGGAACACTGATCCTGTCTGCGCATATGGAGAGTGTCGGAACATACACCGTTCATCTATGTTTTCCCTCAAATTTATTGATACTGGTGTCCATATTTGAACCTCAACGACGTACGGAGTACTCCGTATTGATCTTTGCAGATTCACGGGAGAGAGATAGGTCAATCACCTTTCTCGGGAACACCCACACCTTCAATTGTGACCTCGGGACTCCCTTTACTCCAGGGCTTCCATGAAATCCTACAAAAAGTCCTTTATGGTATTTCATGATAGTTTTGTGAACAGTATGAGGTGAAGCTGTCTACATATCCGCTAATTTTGGCAATAGAGCCTCAATAGTATCTTGATACCTCGCATCACAGCGGCCTTCTATAGCAACTCAAGACTCCTGTGAAGCTTGCCATTGAAATGCATGTTACACTTAAAATATGAGATTATCCAGCTGATGAAGAGGAAGAATAGTTAGACAAAAGCTCAATTTGCCATCTGTATATGTGGCCTAATATTCCAGGCATCAAATATACCCGAAGGGGGAAAGCGGGGAGAAAAAAAGTTGGCGCGGATTTTCCTCTGAGCTCCGGCCTTTCTTTTTCTTATCCAACCAGCAAAATGCCTTCCACACACAACAAGGAGAAGTCATGGGACACAGATGATATTGATAAGTGGAAGGTAAGAGCGCTTTCTATTGTCCTGATTTTCCATTCCTAACAAACCTCTGCAGATCGAAGAATTCAAGCCCGAACACAATGCCGCAGGCAGTTTCGCCGAGGAGTCCTCGTTCATGACCCTCTTCCCCAAATACCGTGAACAGTACCTGAAGGAGGCATGGCCCGGTGTGACGCGCGCACTGGAGAAGCTCGGAATCGCTTGCACGCTGGATTTGGTCGAAGGTAGCATGACCGTCAAGACGACAAGAAAGACATACGACCCGGCAGCGATCATCAAGGCGCGCGACCTGATCAAGCTCCTTTCCCGAAGCGTACCCGTCACCCAAGCGATGAAGATCCTCGAAGACGATATGGCCTGCGACGTTATCAAGATCCGCAACCAGGTCCGAAACAAAGAGCGATTCGTCAAGCGCCGACAGCGTATCCTCGGTCCCAACGGAACCACCCTCAAGGCCCTAGAACTCCTCACCAGCACATACATCATGGTGCAGGGTAACACCGTGGCTGTGATGGGTCCGTTCAAGGGACTCAAGGAGATCCGCCGCATTATCGACGACTGCATGGCCAACATCCACCCCATCTACCACATCAAGGAGCTGATGATCAAGCGTGAGCTTGCTAAGGATCCTACACTGGCTGAAGAATCTTGGGACCGATTCCTGCCCAACTTCAAGAAGCGCACGCTTTCCAAGCGTCACGTGCCCTTCAAGGTCACCGACAAGGAGAAGAAGGTGTACACACCTTTCCCTCCAGCGCCGGAGAAGAGCAAGGTCGATTTGCAGATCGAGTCTGGAGAATACTTCCTGTCGAAGGAGGCCAAGGATCGCGTTCACAAGGAGGAGGTGGTCGAGAGGCAGCGACAGAAGCGGGAGGAGAAGATGCGCGAGCGCGAGAAGGACTTCGTTGCTCCCGAGGAGGCTACGCCGGCCGATCTGGAGGACAAGAAAAAGAAGAAGGAAAAGAAGGAAAAGAGCAAGCGGAAGCGCGAGGCCGAGGCCGATGTCGATGCCGACGAGGCCGCCGAGCGGAAGGAGAAGAAGAAAAAGAAGAAGAGCAAGTCCAAGGACGTCTCCGATGGAGAATGAACTGCTCTTTCTTTGTAGTATCGCTTGTATCGGTTTCGGCGCTTATGGTAGTGCATGGGTCTGGCGTTTATATGTCTTGTCTCCTGGTCCTTCGTTGCTACGTTGCAACCCGTGTACGCCCTAAGCTGGTGTGCATACGTTTACCAAAAATATTGTTCAATACCAAATGATCTACTTTCACACTACTTCATTTCTCACTCAAATGATAGGGAATTTCCTTCCTATTCAGAACTACCTAGCTGGTCTCGAACTGCGAGATAAATCAAGGTGAACATCTGCTAATGGGGTATTGTATGTAGCTTGTACGCATACGGCAAATCTTGCTAATTCGGGCTGGTTTTTTTTTTGGCTTTTTTGTTTCCTCGCAGTTCAGACTTCAAAAAATTCTTCTGGTTGTAAGCGCCCACAACGAGTGACGAATCTGTCCTCGGACGAGACATGGTGGGAATAAAAATAGCCCTCCAAATCTAGCGCGCAGTAGAGACACCGGTTGGATAGACTCCAGGGTGGGGAGCAATCTTAGAGTTGTCGTCGGTATGCTCCATAAAGACCGTCTTCGGATCTTCGACAGCAGGGCCGAACTCCGCGAAGCCCATCTCATGAGCGAAGGTTTGGTGGGGAATCCACTTCGCGCTGGTCCTGGGGGTGGTCTCTTCAAGCATCTGGTCAACCTGCTCCAGAGTGAGACCCTTTGTCTCAGGGATCAGGAAGAAGGCAAACAGGATACAGAGGAAAAGAGCACTGCCCCAGATAAAGAAAACCTTTGACCTCAGGTTTCCATAGTCTTGGTCGACAAGGTAGGGGGTAATGACGGCGATAACGCAGTTCCACAGCCAGTTGGATGCTGTGGCAAGGGCCACACCCTTCGCGCGGATTGGGAGAGGGTAAATCTCTCCAATCACCACCCAAGCTGCAGGTCCCCAGGTTGTAGCGAAAGCGGCAATGTAGAAACAGACGAAGACGATGAGGCAAAGGTTGCTGCGGTGTATTAGTAGGGTGCAGGGGACGAACGAAGCCTGGTTTATGGACTTACGCTGCGTGAGCCTCAGCTGGGAGGACAACACCGACAATGGCAACGATGAATTCGCAAAGGCACATGACAACAGCACCCCAGATAAGGAGACTGCGTCGTCCGAACTTTTCAATCATGTAGAACGAGGCAGGAGTAGTAACGACATTGACCACGTTGGTAATGACCGAAATCAGGAAGGCGTTGCTCATGCCGATCTGCTGAAAGAAAGTGGTTCCGTAATAGACTGCAAGGTAAGCGCACTGCCTTGTGCAAAGATATACTTATTTGATACAGTGACAGATAAACTTACAGATGAAGTTGATGCCAGTCCATTGTTGGAACATCTGCAAGAACACACCAGCAAGAACACGGCGCAAATTACCTCGAGGGCGAAGACCACCCTTGAAACAATCAGCCCAAGAGTTCGTTGCAACCCGCATCTCATAGTCATAGTTGGCCTTGATCTCTGCCAACTCAGCCTGGATAGCCGGGTTGGTTCGGGGCTGACCACGGACACGCTCGAGAGATCGAAGGGCGTCATCCATTCGATTCTGGCTGACATAGTAACGAGGTGATTCAGGCAGCAAGAAAAGACCAAAAGCCAGAATAGCGGCCCATATGAACTGTAGGCCGATGGGGATTCGATACGAGGAGCTGGTAGTGCGATCTTTGCAACCTTGATCAACAACAGAAGCCACTAGAAGTCCGATAGTGATAGCCCATTGATAAGCGGACACCAGAAGACCACGAACATGACGAGGGCTGATTTCGGAGACGTAGAGAATGACGATAGAGGAAACGCCACCAACGCCTAGTCCAGCGATGAGACGGCCGGCAACGAGACCACCAACGGTAGTAGTGCCAACCTGGACAGCAACACCGATGGAAAAGATCAGGCAAGAGAGCAAGATGGCAAGACGACGACCAAGCCACTCAGCAAAAACACCTCCGAATAGAGCACCAAAGAAGGTACCAGCGGAAAGAATGGAAGTGATCAGAGACTTGCGTGAGGTGGGGATAACAAAACCAGTGGGGTTATTCTTATCAATGGGGACGGTGTGACCAAGGTGCTCCTTGACGTAGTCCATGCCGAGGACACCGGAGATGTAGCCAGAGTCATACCCGTAGAGTATTCCTGTCAAAGAGTAAGAGGATTTACGTCAGTGTGGTCAGCTACAGCAAGATCAGTATAGACTTACCACCGAAGCTGGCGAAGCCACAGATCAGATAGGCGCGCCAAGTGACCGGAGCCTCAATGAGCTTCAGGTCAGAGGTACCCACAAAGCCGGTCGTCATCTTGAACGATGGGAGAACAGATGGTCTAGGGAGATTAGCAAGGACACGATTGAGAAAGCATAGAAACAAGGCAATACATACAGAACGAAGTTGCTGAAGGTACGAGAATAAAGAAAGAAAGAAAGAAAGAAAGAGAAAGAAAGAGAGTTGAGAAGCGGTTTGGGGGTGCAGCGAGCTGGGGGAGCGGAGATGAGGTGAGCAAACAAAATTGCCGCCAGTCTTTTTCCCTTTCAGAGATCAGACCAAGAAAGGCAAATGCCATCCCGTTTTCTCACTCTCGCGTGGCCATGGAGCAAGGATTACAGACGTAAATTGACGGGTATAACGCTCCGGCTGGGGGAATATGAGGCTCATACAACCCTGAATGAGAAGAATATTCGGGAAATATCGATATTGACCAAGGCGTTACAGCTGACACCAATAGCAGGCCGCAGACAATTTGAAATTGTGACCTTGTGCTATATTACAGATTACATAGCCCTCGTACAGACTCGTGTTGCTGTCTGCCCTGAGACAACAGGTTACTCGGGAAGTCAATGCGGCGACCTGGACACTTGGGTAAATACAACATCATGATGCCTCATTGCAAGGTCAGCTCCCGGGATAGAAAGCAGAGGATAGGAATTGGTTACACGGAATGAAGATCATGTTGTGCAAGATTAGACTCGAGATGAAACCCTACAATGTGTAACATTGCAGAGCTGCCCACGGGTCCGCTGATTTGAATTGTTCCTTGATCCCGTCACCATGGAAGGTTACATGTTTCAAAAGATTCGATCGAGGAAGTCCACACCATTGCCCGGTGCCCACCTGGGCAGGTTCGGCGTTGAAAGTCACCATGAAATCTGATGCTCGAAGAAGTATGTTGTCGTAAGGTGATGTGAAAACCCAACCTAAACTAGGATAATCAAAGCGAGGATGACTTTGTGCATCGATTCGTCTCGTATCAAACAACATTTTATTGATTCGCCTTGCAATGTACCCATCCAGATCAAAAAAAGAGTAATTGGCCGTATATACACCAAAAGCCGCCTGGAAACCTGGAGCTCGGAGTCGGCGCAAACGGACTTGAGGGTGCGCCGAGGCTCTTGTTGACCCCCGACACAGCCTTTTCCCACGTATCACCTGGGCAGTCGCCGAGATGCTTGTCAAGAGATTGATATCAGCGAGAGTAACATAGCTATTTTCTGTTTGCCCCTCGAAACCATTTCGGGCACATGTGTACTGGGTCGAAACTGGCCCATTCATCCGGCCTCATAGCCCTGGGCAGGGGATCGCTAACATCAGACCCATTAAACCCACTAGAGCGATATATATGACAACTTTATATCGCATCGTCATCGTTATTCTCACTACAAGACGTTGCAGCATGAATATGAACTATGACCTGCCCGCACAACGATGCGGTCATGTTGTAGGAGGGCAAGTGGTCTGCGCTCGGCATCGTGGGTACCAAAAGATCCGACAAGGAGCTTCCCAAAAGGAAAAAGGTTACCAAATCGTGTGCAAGAATGTGCAAATCGTGGAGACAAGTGCTGGCGCCGTACCCGCCGCGATTAGGTGGGAGGGTGTGTGCAGCGTCGTCAACGAGACGGCCGAATTAGAATTCTCCGGCCACCAGAGCGGTCAGCTCCTAACTGCCAGTTCTTTGATCTCAAAATAGGTGCAAGGGTCACCGATAGCCTAACAAACCGCGCCACGGAGGGTGGACTTGTCGCGCTCGATGTCACCGTGCAACATCAGTGCCCATCGGCCGCAAGTGTATAAATAAAGCAAAGCTTTGAGATCAAGCTGCCCAGTTTCAACCTTGAAGAATAGAGGATATCTTTGATGTGCCCTTCCAAGAGGCGCGGAACAGTGCATACAGTGCGCAGGTTTTACGCGAATCACGGAGCCTGACGCCCGATGCCGAGGAGCGAGCGGGATGTTACCGACCATCGGCCGCAATAATATATGAGCCACAAATTCGACAGCGCCTGAGCTCAGAGCCCTCGTTTGCAACGATGGCACTGTTCTAACTCTGCTCGACATTCCACAGCTCTTTAGCGAGGGAGAAGGTCTGTTTCCACTGACAGAGAATCTGGAATCGGCTCCAGCCTATCCTGCGCAAGAGCAGTCGGAAGAGAAGACGTCTAATGTAACTTGCATGTAGTTGGTCTTTGTGGTGGCATGCAGACGTTGACTGCCTCGCGGTATCTGACCATTCCATATGATCGGTTCACTATTCCGTTCAAGTTTTCGCTTCAAAGGCGCTTCAGCACGAAATCGTCCGGGTGTCATTGTGGATAGAGAGTAATATCTTCCCGTTTTTCAGAGTATGTAGCCTGATGATTCTCGGGTAGGCCGAAGCGCCTGAATGCTTTTGGAGGACTGTCGTGCGTACTCACTCCGTGGGACCTCGGGGGACAAAAAGCAGGGCTGCAGTTGCACCAACGCCGGTTGCAGGATGCATGTCTGTAGAAATACCTGAAAATAGAATAAAAAAAAACCGAAAATCGATCCTGAACCCTTTACTTGCCCAGGTGGACAGGAGATGTAGGTGTGATATCCAAACCAAAGTGAAATCCGACATGTGGGCCCGAGATTTGTCACCTCGGTGCCGAGAACCTTAATCACGATTCGGCCCCTTGATTCGGGGAAGTATCTCGGCGCTTCCAAGGCCGAGGGAACTACAGATGATCGAGTATACCGCGCTTCTTAGAATGTATGATTTATCATGGCTCATGGCACATCTGTCTGATTCCGGCCGCAATCTTGGAATCCTTTCGTCCCTTCAACCTTGGAAAGAGGGGCCCAGCGCAAACATATCCATGTTTCCCCATAAAGTCTCGGCGTCCTATCCACCGCCATTCGCAGCCTTCTTCTTCATTGCTTCTTCTAGTACTTCCAAAGACCAAGTATCATGCCAACGTTTTGACCAGAAAAGTGGTGTCTCACCAACTTTGTTGCTTATGTTAAAATCGGCACCATTCGCAACCAAGTAATTGACGACATAATCATAACGGCCCTTCGCTGCTAAAAGTAGCGGCGTGTCTCCCGAATCATTGCATGTGTTTAAGTTTGCATTGTTTTCAACCAAGGGTTTAACAACAGGCAGTGAGCCATCTTCTGCTCCCAGGCAAAGCGGCGTGTTCCCGCTCTCATCGCTTATATTTGGATCAGCCCCGTTCGCAAGCAAACACTGGACGACAGCCCAGTGTCCATTTTGTGCCGCACCCAGCAGAGGCGTTCGCCCAAGGTCGCCCTTTGTGTTGGGGTCGATACCGTTCGCAAGCAGAGATTCGACGGCAGACCGATGCCCCTCAATTGCCGCCCAAAATAGTGGCGTTCTTCCATGATGATCTCTTGTGTTTGGATCAGCATTGCTTGCAAGCAGGCACTCAATGACCGAATGATGTCCGTACATTGCCGCAAACGATATTGGAGATGTCTCGTGTTCGTCTTGAATGTTTGGATCAGCTTTGCTAGCAAGCAAGCACGCGACGACAGATGCCTGCCCTCTCAACGATGCCCAAGACAACGGCGTGCATCCATATGAGTCCGTGCTGTTGGGATCGGCCTTGTTGGAAAGCAGACATTTGACGACAGCTACATGACCGTCTGCCGCTGCATAAGATAGCGGCGTTCGATAATCGGGGTCGATATCTGGATGAGCGTTACTTGCAAGGAGAGACTTGACGACAGCCAAATGACCGTTTCCTGCTGCGTAAGATAGCGGCGTTCGATGGCTGGTGTCGATTTTTGAATGAGCGTTACTTGCGAGGAGAGACTTGACGATCGACCCATGACCGTTCTGACTTGCCTGGTGCAGTGGAGTTTTTCCATTCTCGTTCTCCGTGTTTGGGTCACAGTTCTTGGCAAGCAGAGTTTCAACAATCAGCCCATGCCCATTTTCTGCCGCCAATGACAATGGTGTGTCTCTACCATTGGTCTTTATGTTTGGATCGGCCTCGTTCAAAAGTAGAAGCTCGATTATAGACATATGGCCATGTTTTGCCGCCCAGGACAGCGGTGTCTGTCCAAATTTGTCTTTCGTGTTTAGATGTGCCTTCACAACGAGGTGCTCAACGGTAGAAACATGTCCATTTCCCGCCGCCCAGGATATCGGTGTTCGCCCGGAGGGATCCTGTGCGTTCGGGTCGGCCTTGGCAAGCAGGCACTCGACGGTAGAGTGATGTCCATTCGCTGCCGCCCAGGAGAGTGGGGTTCTTTCAGAAGGGTCCTTTGTTTCTGGGTCGACTTCGGCAAGCAGCAATTGAACAGTGGATGTATGGCCATTTACTGCCGCCAATAATAAGGGTGTGAGCCCATCTTTGCCTTTGCCCTCTAAGCTGACTGAGTGGGTAGTCTCTAATATTTGCTCAATAATAGTGCTGTGTCCGTTCATTGCTGCCCAGTGTAGTGGCGTTCGCTCATGCCAGTCCCTCTGATCTGGAGAAACGCGGATATCTTTCAATAAAAGCTCCGTCACGATGTCGGCACCTGCCTCCGCCGCATGTGAAAGAGCCGTTCTTTGCTTTGAGTCTCTGAGATCAGGGAAACTTCCCCAAGTCAGACATTCTCTCACGACATTGACATTCCCATTCTCTGCGGCATATGATAGTGCCGTTCTGCCTTCTGCGTCTTGAAAGTCAGGCTCTATTTTGAGTTCAAGTAATGCAAATACGACTTCGTTCCATCCGTACTGCGCTGCCAAACAAAGAGCGGTTCCTTTTTGAGTCCTTTCGATCTGAGATGGTGGACAGGTGACAAAGAGCAGTGCTGTACTCAGCTACTTTTTTTCCATGGCAGCAAGGTCCGTGTCACTAGGGAGATGCTGTGCGATGTTTTCTGCAACAAATACGTAGTGATCGATAGTCTCGCACGCAGAGACTGATTGGCTGGGCTTCTGCTCATTGAGCCAGGATATTCCATGTTGACCAAATGCTCTCTGGTTACCCTCAATCAAGGCCCAACGATATAGCTCACACAGAGCGACTGTGGCTTGTCTCTCAAGTTCGTTCCCGGATACCGGGATGTGACCTTGAAATTCGACGCCCATAGTTTCACAGGAACTCCCAGACCGAGTGCAGATGTTCCACGCCCATCGTAGAAGCTTCTCCGCTTTCTGCCAATTCTCGCATCGTCGATGCTTAGTGGCAGCCTCCCTTGCTGCTATTAAAGCACCTTCTGCTGGAGGGACCTCGAGACAAGATATCATCAAAGGTACAAGACAAACCAGCGCTTCCTGCCTGGACCCCAGTCCCATCTCCGTAAAAAGCCCGAGAAGGTCAGTCAGCAGGCTGTTCTCCAGTCGAAAGGTTTCTCCCTCTTGAACATTGACGGGCCCAAAGTCTTCGACGATGTCAAGTACGCTCACGAGGAATGAAACAAAGACTTCCTGGGCACAAGCCGACACAAGCGAGCCTTTGATTGGGGCAGACCAAAGGTCAGATTGCATGGAACGCTGATCTCGCGAGATATTTGCAGCATTCCAACCAAAAAAGCGAAATAGCTGTTCTCGTGAATTAATAGCCGGATGCATTTTGCTGTTGAATTTCTCGCCTGCATTCTCTATCTTTTTCCACACTTCACTCGCGTCGTGGGCGCTGTTTGAATCAAAGGGCATACGTTGCTGATTCTTTTCTTGCTTTGTTAAGCCGTTGATGTCGTATTTCGTTATATTGTTGATGTCCTCTCCAAGCCACATGCCCAAATCCGATTGATTCATTTGATCACTGGAAATAACCCGACGTGCTTGTACATTACTAGCCAGAGATTTTGTGAGGCCGGTATCTGGGTCTTGCACCTCTATTGCGGGGTCAGACTTCAAAGACCAAGCCCACAGTCCGAGGATGCCTTCCAACATCCGCTGATCCTTGATAATCCACGGACTGCCTTTCACACCCGGATCCTCGCGGACAAGCTCGATGTAGATAACATGCTTCTTCATATCAATTGAAGTTGCCTCCGAGAGGCTGCAACTGATGCTCCAAAAAATTGATTGGGATCCATTCATCTCAGCAATCCAATCTTTCTTGATTGTGGCTTTTGAAAGGATTTCCCTAAATGTTGCCTCAATCAGGCCACCCAGATTTCGACTTTCAGTCCGAACTTCGACCATCTCGGTCTTGAAATCTCTGGTAGACGTGGCAGACAATGTAGACGAGTCGGTAAGTGCCGCAAGTCGGGTTCGATAGGCTAACAATGTGGCAGCAGCATTGTGTGGATGTATTGGGGTTGAAGATTGGATACTAGGGCGTCTTGCATCGATTGCGTTGTCGATTCTCCAGAAGTGACGACGCTGAACATTGGATGACGGGCGACTGAATGTTGACTTGAGTGGTGGCTGAGAAGACGACAAACTCGTCAAAGGACTTCTGTTGTCACCGTCTATAGCATTCTCGGTGTCCTTATAAAGCCCTTCAATATCCCTCTCGATTGTATCTCGGCCGATGCGCATAGCGAGCCAGTCTAGCTCGTGGCCAAGAACCTCATCCGGAAAACCGGCAAAGGAGTTGTCTGAAGGCTCCAATCGCTGCATGCGGAGAGCGGCTCTCGCTATGCTCATGATTATGATAGCTCCCAGCTGGGCAATAATGACAGCTGAATGTATACCTCGAAGGCCGGTGAATTGTAAGATGAATCCAGAGATTGTTGTTCCGATGGCTATCCAGATCCCAAGTCTCGGTTCATTGGATCCCATGTCTCTCTTGGAGGTCATGTAGGTCTGCAAAGGATTTCCCCTATCTGTATAACAGAACGCATCGAAGGTTTGATCGCCGACAATTTGACCTCCTGGCTGGACCCAATACATGCACGAAATGTCGGCGTGATTCTTCTTACGAGTCCAGATATCTTTTCTGGTACTCTGGCCAATGAGGAACGCACAATGATACATTCCTCCGCAGACGAGAAAAGTTCCAATGATCATCAGAGGGCACGCATAAGGCTCTGGGGGCTTGTCATCGTTGCCCCATTTCAGGTAGTATGTTGCAAAGCCAGCGAAAGCCAAAACTCCAGCTTGCAGGGACAAGCCACCAGCAGCAATCAATTTGAACACATAGTCGGGTTGTTTCTTGATTCCGATGTTGAGAGAGAGGTTTGGTGCAAATGTAGGAGGGGGCGGACTTTGTTGCTCAGTGATTTTGGACTCCACGTCGTGTTGTTTGATCTTGTGGGTTGTGCTGTGCTTTTCGATCTTTTCTTTCTCTTGCCAGGGCGTATTCGGCTTTTCCGTGACATATTCGTGGAATGTGTATATGCCCGCTTTATCATTCGGCGGGTTTTCGAAATCGTGGTCAGGATCGTGAATAATCTCTAGCATTTTTGGGCGGCCAAAGACGCGCGCAATCCCACCATTATTGTATAGCTCACATACATCCCGGCTGGTGGAGGTACATAGCTCGGCCTCTGCGTTTCCCGCCCCTTCTTGGGCTCTGCCGATGAAAGCCCGTAGCGACGGGGTCCCACGCACGCGAATTGCAGATACCACCCCTGTGAGGATACCCATCGGTGCCATTGCGAAAATGAAGTAATCAATCTTGGAAATACTCTCACTCAGATATTGTTGTGTGATCTGTTCACCGAAAAGGGATAAGAATGGCGCAAGGTCGGTTGCGAGATTGTTTGAAAAGTCTTCCCAGCCGCCCGCATTGGCGACAGGGAGTATGACCAACATTGCGCATAAAACATAAGTGCACATATCCAGGAAATACAATTCAAGGGACTTGACAGATTGGCACCACTGAGCAGGTACCGTTCTGATATAGGCCCCCGGGTATAACAGGCTCAGCCCATTATTTGACGTCAAACAACCAGGCTGAGAATGGCAGTGCTAAAACGATGATGCACATGGAATCGCAAAGAGCGCTTAAGCCTCGCTTCTCATTTGCTGGGCTATGAGCCTTGATAGCACCTGGGTATGCAGGCGCTAGTCGGGTTTCAGAAGCTGCATCCAGCCCTAAGCCTCTGGGCCGCTCCCATGCTGGTAGTCACCATTATCAAGCATAGACTCCAGACTGGTTCACCGGTGTTTGAGTCAATTTGCAAGTCAAGATCGTCTGCAAAAATATACGGACTGGGTTGAGCTCGATCTCCCGGTGCACGTCGAGAGATTCCCAGTGGAGATCTTGACACGACAGAACTGCATTAGCGCCTTGGATGCGGGCCGGGAAATGTCCCCACTCTGGGTATGTGAGCCTTGCGAGTTTGAGCAGTGGCTACAAGCACGTGCATCAGCGGAATCGGAAGCAGAGGCTACATGTTAGACACATTCATGTGTTGTGCGAAGCCTTAATTGTGGCTGAGCAATCAAATCAACGATCATGCAGTTGTTTGTTGGTCTGGGGTGACTGGAGATGGTGGAGAAACTCGACCATCGCATTCGCGGGGAAGTGGGTGTGGAATGCTCATAATATCGAAGGCTTTTTACCGTTGGGACCAATGGTTTAGCTGGGATGCCTCAACTCTCTCCATTTTGGTAGCAAATCTTTTGATAGCAGACATTGATGGAGAGAAAGGCGTGCTTGAAGAGAGAGGCGATCGCTCGGCGCTTAAACATGGTGGGATTTACTTTCTTATCTGGGTATAGCTCTCGCGCCATAGAAGCCCGCGAGAGTGAGCACGGTGAGGTGCCCAAGTGAGTCTGACCATCCATCCATCTTGGATGCCAATCAAGCCAGCCGCATCGGTCCTTTGGACGATGCGAATTTTCGTTCGAAGAGATCTATCAGACCACACATACGGCGCTCAACACGGAGTAATATAGCCCTCGGAATCGACCACTCCTCCCTCAAACCGTGACATTCAAACGCTATGACAGAAGACGCGCTCTTCCGAGTTCTGAAATTCTCAAGGTTCTTACAATTCTCGCGCGTATATTTTCTTTGGTGCCCTTTATCAACAGGGCTCTTCCGATATCATCCTCGGCATTAAAAAAAAAGAACGGTCGGGTATAAAACTAAGACCACTTTGACTATGAGATCAGCGAAGTCGGCTCCAACACGGTACATGTGAAAATAACCTTTTAAAGAAGGGAAAGGGCCCTCAAAGGTGTGCAGTGGAGTTCTGCTGAGTGGGCGAGCTGAAATCAAACAAAACATGATTTGACACTGATTCTAAGCTGAACCCAATCCCACTTATCGAAGCATTGATCTAGCTTGTGCCTCAACTATACACAAAGGTGAATATCTTTGAAGCCGTACACTCAGCATGCTCGAATTAGGCAATGGGTTTATACCGGCGTTGAGATCGTCTCATGAGAGGACAACGACTCACTTGCGTTCATCTTCTGCAACTTATTCAACAAGAATTTTTCCTGTTCCTCCTGACTCTTTTTCAGATCCACACCTAGGAAGAGAATCAGGAAGCTCACAATGCTCAATCCAAATAGAAAGTAAAATGGAGTTGATGCATTGCCTGAGGGGCTAGCATCGATGATAGCACTTGACACGATAGGTCCAATGAATGAGGAAGTTTTGCCGATGATGCTGAACAGACTGAAGAAAAGGAATTCGTGACCGCGTGGAGTGACTTCCGAGATCATGATTTGAGAATAGCTGTACCAGGGGCAAATGAAGAATCCGTAGAAAGCTTGGTAGACCTACGGGAATCATCATCAGAAAGGTGGTAAGTAAATAGGCGGTTGGCAGAAAACATACCCAAACCTCCCATGCATTGTGGAAGCCAAATTTGTTGGTCCAAATGCCTATCATACCCCAACCATCCAGTAAAATGATTCCCACGGCAATTGTATTGAACATGGTTTTAGTCCCAAGTTTGAACCGTTGTTGGATGTTCCAGAATGCATAAATACCAACCGCCTAGAAGAATGCTGTTAGTGGTTAAAATGCCTTGGAATATGCTTGACGAACCTGTGCGGCAATTCCAACGATCAAAAGGTATGTCAACTCAAGCGTGTTATAAGCTACGATACTGTTCTGCAAGGTTGCAATAACCGTGACCGTGGTGTTGAGAGAGTCACCCAAAAGGAAATAGCCTGGTTCAAACATCCTGGTTAGAACTCAACACTCGACAGTAAACTTCAAATGGAGACTCACCAATCAGGTAAACCAGACTTTGCTTCAAATGCCAGATTTGCTTCAAAGCATGCCATAATTGCCAGATACCAGCAACCAAAATAGATCGCTTGCCAGGGTCTTGACCAGGACGTCTTTTCTCGAGCATGAACCATGGGATTGAGACGAGCAGCCACACCCCAGAAACGAAGGCAATCAATACACTCAGTCCCCAGTTGTTGTTGCTTTCGCTGTCGTTGACTTTCAATCCAAACATGATACCCACAATGATGGCCAGAATGAAGATTTCGGCGACGGACTGCACGTAAAAAGCGACGTTGGCCAATTTGCTACGCATCATGGTGTCTGCATAGTCGTACTCTTCTCGAGAAATCGTACCCGCAACATAGGCGTCAGCCTTTTCCTTCAATTCAGCGGTATTGCGGGCCAGACTCGGGAAAGCCGCAGTCCAGAAAGTGAGGGTTGTCTGGTAGGCAATCAGACCCACCATGTACAAACCCACAGCGACATGCCATTTCTCTGAGGTGTGAACACCCAGCCACCCGAATCCAATAGCATAGGCGATGATCGATAATGCAATCAAGATGTTGGGTCTCCAGTACCCGAAATCGGCGAAACTGCCAATGACCAGAAAAACTACGACCTGGATGGCGAAAGATATTCCATTTGAGAGGAGCACAATACTGTTGACAGTCCGCGGGTGGCCTATAAAGTCAAGCAGCCCATTCTCTGGTGCTGCTTGGTATAGCAAATTCTGAAAAGCAGTTGGTGCAAAATCTGGAAGGTCCAGTTAGACTTGATGACGAATTGATGTTAAGAGAGAGAGACCCACTGAACAGTGACAGGCCATTGTTTCCAATGTAATAACTAGAGTGGTTTAGTTTTCACACGGGGATCAATCAGCTATCGACGCACGCATAGTAGGCCCAGATTTCCATCCGGGTAGTGCGGTATCTCTCGTCGAATTGATCTGGTGCCGTTGGCTCTGATTTGAGACCGGCTCGATCCACCTCCACAGTGGAGTTGCTGGGGTCTTTGTGCTGATCTTGTATCATGACTTCGAGTTGGGATTCCGTCCATAAAAAGGAATACGGAAAGAGAACGAAAAGTAAAAAAGAGGAGAAGAGAAGAGAGAGAAAAAAACCAACTGAAGCGGAGACTTGGTAGCCAGCCCGCTAAACCCCGTGCCAAAACCCTCAAATCGAGCGGAGCCAGTCGCGTTGCAATGACACTGCCGATCGCCGAGATAAACTGGATTTGAACTAAGCCTATATCGCCTTTGGCTTAGCCTACCATTTGCTTATCTTCCTATAGGAGGTCCTGCTTTGACTTTCAATCTAATTACTGGACTCTGGTCCGTTGAGCCCTTGACACCTTAAATTCCAGGCACTAATCTCGACCCAGCTGGTGCCTTGGGATTTAGGCCCAAATCAGGCACTTTACCGTTCCCGTCTCCGCCGGCCGATTCTAATCCGTACACCCATCGCGCCTTTGCTCCGGCTTCGGTCACATCAATCTGCTACAAAGCTGTGTGACGTATCTCCGCTCCCCAGAGACACGGTTTGTGAGGATTCTTCAATGATTGGAACACATCTGTTTAGCACCTTGTGCTCCAGAAACGGCCAACTCGCTTTGGCAAATGAAGAATCCTGCAGCTCCATATAAGGTACATTAATTAACAATGAGTCACAAAAAATGAGAGAGAGCGAAGCAGTTGTGCTTAGCAACCTTGGAAATTTTGAGAGAGACCTCAGGATGGATCGGGATGGCATCTATAAGTACCTCATCGAAGCCTAGATCTTGGCGGACACCGGCTGACCGCTGAAATCGGGCACATATGTTTTTGGACGTCTTGTCAAAAGCACGATACACCATGTAATTATTTGCAAATCAGCAACCTTGGAAGCAGTGATAGGGTGTACTCTTGGAATCAAAGAACCCGAAGTCGGACTGCGGCGCAATTATAAGACGCTCGCCACGGATGTGGTGCGAATTGAGTTTCCACGCACGTGGCTGCGAACATTGAAATTTACGACGTACAGGGCGGGCTCATACAGTAGTCAATTCTCCATGGGCATGCGATCTCATGTGAATAAAGATTCAGTCGACTTGCGCCGGAGGCATTTTGATCCTGTGCCATGTAGCGAGCCAGGTCAAGGGTCAAGTGAATGGATTGAGTGAGTCTTACAAACAGAACTTAGTGATCGAGTTGTCAAATACAGTGGGTTTGACTAAAAAGTATGCAAAGATTGGAGACTGGCGTATCATGAAAGTAAATAAATTCATTTTGTTGAGAAAATATCTGAAGGAAAGCAAAAAAAAAATAATACATAATCTAAACAAATCACCGATCATCTACACGATGGATCGAGGCGACTAAGCCAACCAATCACTCCTAATCGCCCAACAAAAGAATGTGCTTAGAAAGTGAAAGCGAGAGCGAGGGCACCGATCAGAGCACCGAAAGCCGAGCCAGTGACACGGCCAGCGGAGTTGAAGCTAGGAGAAGAGGAGGCAGAGGTGGAAGAAGAGGTGCCGGAGCCGGAGTCGGAGCCGGAAGTACCGCTGCCAGATCCGGAAGAGCCAGAGCCAGAGCCAGAGCCAGAGCCAGAGCCAGAGGATCCGGAGGAAGAGCCAGAGCCGGAGGTAGAGGCAGCGCCGGAGGCAGAGGCGGAGACGGATGCGGAAGAGCTCTTGGCCTTGGGGGTGGTGGAGGGGCGGGTTCCGCTGGGCACGGCGGTGAAGGAGTGGGCAGCGGAGGAGCCGGCGGCACCAGCACCAGAGCCAGATCCGGAGCTAGAGCTGGAGCCAGAGCTGGAGCTAGAGGCACCAGAGTCAGAAGAGGCACCAGAGGTACCGGTGGCTGAGGCAGCGCCAGAGCCGGCCTTCTCACCGACGGAGGCAGTGGGGGTACCGGAAGCGAAAGCAGCGGAGCTGGTGGCAGACTTGCAGCTCAGGTCAAACAGAGGAGTGGTGTTGGAGTCGGAGTCGGAGATACCGAAGCTAGGGCTGGCACCAGCATCGGCGAGGATGTACCACCAGGTGTTGGTGTTGCCGAAGAGAGGGCAGGCAACCTCGTCCCAGTACTGCTTAGCGTTGGCAACGTTGGCAACGGCCTGACCTTGCTGTTCACCGCTGACGGGCCAACCAGTCTCGGTGATCCAGACCTCCTTGTCGCCAGCAGCGGCCTTCAGGTTGTTGACACCAGTTTGGAACAGACCCTCGGCATCGTCGATGGAGTTGGGCTTGGTGTTCTCGAAGTAAGGGTATCCGTCGAAACCGAGCCAGTCGACAGCCTCAATGGCGGCAGCGTTGGAGCTGTTGGTCCAAGCGTTCCAGGTGTCGACGTGACCGATGGGAGCACCGCTCAGAGAGGTGCCGGAGATGGCGGAACGGACCTGGTTGATGTAGTCAACGAGCTCGGAGGCCTCGAGACCGGGGCCAGCAGAGGATCCAGCGCCAATGGCGGAGTTACGGTAGAGATCCTCACTGCCGACGGAGATACCGACGACCAGCTTGGTGAACTCATCACCGTAGGTGCTGATGGCGGTCTTCAGAGCGGCGATCTCGTTGGCCATGGTGCCACCGGAGGCCCAGAGACCGAGGAGGAGCTCGGTCTTCTCCTTGATAGCAGCGGGAATGGCCTCGATTGGGCCGTTGGTGGTGCCACCCTGGATCATGGTGTACAGACGAGCACTGGTGAAGGCATGGTCGGTGTTGACGAGGTTCTTGGCGGTCTGGAACTCGGTCTCGAAGTCGGCCTGGGTCCTGACGCTGCCATCACCCTTGGTGGCACCGTAGTTGAAACCTTGAGAAACGGCCTCGGAGGTGGCGACGGCCATCGCCAGGGCAAAGAATTGAGCAGAACGCATTTTGAAGAAGCGAATGTATGTAGCGAAAGTGTGTGAAGAATGAAATGTGGAAAATAGGAAAGCCTGGAGCAAAAGAGTGTAGCCAGGAAATAAGGGAAGAAATTGAAGTAGAAAGTGAAAATGAAAACGGAAATTGACGAGAAGAAGAAACAACTTTGAAGACGAAAGCGAAAGGTTCCAGACAGCGAGTTCCGGTCTAGAATCCGCCACTACGCTGTTCGGCGGATCCAGTGGGTCACGACACGTTTGCCCGCCCACTTTAACCCAATTTAGGGAAAGCCGATTGGCCCGACCGTCGAATCATTGATTCCAAAAATATGCAGAATCTAGTGGATCCTGAGGCTTCATTCGATGATTTGCTCGATCTCCCCGGATATTTCCATCCGCTTCCTTGAAATATTCCTCTCTGTCCATTTTCAGTCGCTTGGACACTGGTCAGCATCCGACAATCCTTACCCCAAAAGTGGGCACACCCTGAATTTTGTCATCGGTGGGGTCCATCTGACCCTATGCACACAAACTAGGGCGACGACGGAGGCACCCTGTCTGGTGGAGCACTGGGTGTCATTGCAGAGACATTGTATCTGCATCAGGGGGTTCATTAATTTCCCATATATTACTGTCTATTCTTAGACCCCCCTTTATGAGTATAAGCACTCTTTGTTGCTGATCAGCAGAAAAGGGGACATTAGTCTCCTGCAAGGTACGGAGTACGGAGGACTGTTGTCAATGCCCAAATGTGATCTCTGCAATAATTCGTCTCGGAGTGGGCCGATTTGCCCCCCCGACCCAATTTCCACCGCTTTGACAATTTTGTATGATCATTGGACTCGGCATTTTGTTGTCATCAAACTTGCTCACCAAGTCTGCATTCTGTGATATGAGGCGCCTGTGTCTCGGAGCATATCCAGATACCTTCAATTACAAGGGCCGACCATGGCATTCGGAGACCGATTGTCACAATCAAACATCCTCGAGGATGTGTTTAAAAACTCCGTGACGAGGACTAATTATTGTGCTTGTACGGACACATGCTTACCAACCACAATCGACTAACTAACTACTCCGTATATCACGTTTTGGTTTCGCATTTGAGTCGCCTTTCGATGTACCGAAAAAAGCCAACATTTATAATTTTCGTGTCTGAAACTTGTTCCTGGGTGGTGGTCAGGCTGGGCTAATCAGTATCGTGTTTCTCGTCGGCCAAATCGATGTTGTTGTTAGAAGTCCCGAGGTCTGCATCAATGGAGCACCCGCAAGCAGCGACCAAGAGCTCGGGGTGTCTATCACATTAACAACCCTGGTTCATGATAGCGAGTCCTCCAAGTTTTGAACAGCACCGTGATGAGGTTTAAAACAATATAATAACATCTCTTTCCGGGGAAATCTCAAACTCTATCAATCGAAAATGCTCAAGGACTATCACGGCTCCGAAACTCGATTTCCACCGTTCAACTCGAGTTCGATGTGATGTACGGAGTACGGAGTAGGTGTCTGTCTATCACTTTGGTGTAGGTTTTGCTGTTTCTCGTTAACCTTGGAGTGATACAACATTGGAAAGATAAGCCACCTGGGCATTATCCCACGAGGGAAGAAAATCAAGCGAGTTTAACTCAAAAGTTCGAGTTGATCCACGTTCCAGTGTTAGGTAATCTTAGCAAACTCAAAGCTGGAATCCCTTACAGGATCATCTTGGTATCAAATCGGGTTATTTCTATCGAGTAGACCGAGGGTTACTTGACATTCATCATGGTCAAGGTATTGGCGACCTCCAGGATTTCCAAGTTGTGGGTTGTGGTAAACGGTAGACTAGGCTGGTAGTCCTTTCTTCTGATGGTTCCGCGGAATTTGAAACCTTGAGAGTGCCAAGGTGCCCAGATGAGAGGTGCTCAAATGAGATATTCAAAACTTCCCCCAAGCTGCTCACCTACCTACCTACATCTATGGATGAGGGTTGAGCCTTGGCAGGTACCAGCATGTCTTTTGTACCACTTGTGCCTTTCCATTTTTGCCTCCCGAGGTCTTGTCAGCATATAAGCAACGATATATTCATTTCATTGACATGCATGCCATGCCGTCTCTGCTGCGCCGTGAATTGATCCTCCTTGTGACTTCAGGAGATAGGCGCTATGGATCCATACTACACACCCTTGGAGTATTCGGCCTAATCTTCCCGAGGTCGCAACATATCCACGGATATCACCTGGGTGCTGACTTGTCGAGGCTCGCCCGTGAAACAGGAACCCTTGAAGCATTTACACAAAGTGGGTGGAAATAATGGATGCTACTTACTACTCCAGGGCTGAAGCCAGGCTCGACTTTTGAACAGTCGCCCGAGAATATGATCGCCCCAGGGCTGCTATCAATCATCCATATCCACGGGTGATGTGGGTGCTAAGAAGTGGGGTAATCCATCAAATCTTCCTCCCACTTCACCTCACCCAGTTCCAAGGCTACAACGAAAGAACAGCTGTGTTGCTCATCTCAGATATGCCAGACCCTATGCATTTACAAGAAGTTCTGGACTCCATTGCACGTCGCCACAGAGGCCCAGGAGGCGCCATTGCCGTCCTCAAAGAAGGCAAACTCCTCGGCCAACGCGTATGGGGATTCGCCGACCTCACTAAGCGAATTCCATTGACGGCGCAAACGCAACTACCTATATGTTCAATCACCAAACAATTTGTGTGCGCTTTGCTCTTTGACCTGGAACGCAATCCACCACCAACTCTGGCCAATGTGGACATTCGTGCCAAGTTGTCGGATCTTTTAGCCGAAATCTTAGACACAGATCTTATCAAAGGCGGCCTGACCATCGATCAGCTATGCAACATGCAGTCTGGTCTGCGCGATTACTGGGCCATGACCACTCTCCTGGGCGCCAAGCCTGATGATGAGTTCTTGGTTGATAGGGATTGTCCGCCCATGCTCGAACGGACAAAGTCTTTCCAATTTGAGCCGGGAACGCAATTTTCGTATTGTAATTTGAATTTCCATCTCCTTGCGCGAGTCATTGAACGCGCAACGGGCGAATCTTTGGGCAAACTTCTTGAAGAACGCGTCCTTCGTCAGGCCGGTATGGAATCTGCATTCCTGTGCCCGAATACCGCGAAGCATCCAGAGCCATGTGTTGGCTATGAAGGGAATGAGACGCACGGGTTTGTACCGGCGGTCAACCGCATGGAGTGGTCTGGTGATGCGGGTCTGGTGGCTTCATTGGATGATATGATCGCCTATGAAAAGTATCTAGACGACTGTATCACCTCGGGCGAGCCAAACTGGTATCAAGCCGCTATCAATGGGCCAAAATTCAAGGATGGCACGTCTGCTACTTACGGTGATGGGCTGAGTCATGTAATGGTAGGCAATGTGAAGACCGTGGGTCACGGTGGTGCTCTGCGAGGGTTCCGTTTGGACCGTCGGCATGCGCCGAGCGAGCAGTTGTCCGTCGTTGCTCTATTGAACAGTGATGCGGATGCATCAGAACTGACTGATGAGATCTTGCGAAAGGTTTTGGGTATTGCTCAGCCGGCGGTGAGTACTATCAAACCGACCGAGAAGTGGTTCGGGGCCTTCATTGACCAGCATACTGGATTATCACTTGTTGTGGCCAAGGGCGCGCGAGAGGGAGAGATTGCGGTTAGCTACGCAGGAGACTCGGAAAATTTGAAATTGTCCGCGGAGACGAATGCGAAGAACACCCACACGCTTGCAACAATTGATGGGGACTCGCTGATCGTGCACCGCGTGAGAGACAACCAAAAGCAGTTCATTGCCACGCGCATTGTCCCTGATGAATCCATCCTGAAGGAAACATCTTTCCAAGGTATCTACCACTGCAAGGAGATTGACTCTACTTTCCATTGCATTGGCGAGGCGGGAACCCTCTACGGCGCTTTCGATGGATATCTCGGAGAAGGACATGCAACCCCAATGAAATACCTGGGAGGAGATGTGTGGGTCTTGACTTGTCCTCGTGGACTGGATGCGCCAGCGCCAGGAGACTGGACTGTGAATTTCCATCGAAATGAAATGGATACCGTGAGCGGATTTACCATCGGTTGTTGGTTGGCCAGGGGCATTGAATATATCAAGCGAGATTGAGTACCGAAAGCGATAGAGATCAAGCGATATCCGATTTACATTATCAAGGTCGTATTCAGGGCGCAACAACAAATGTATAATTACAGGTTCAGCGTAATCCTCTGCCTGGGAATGATATAATTTCAACCGCTTAATGCTCAGAAACGAAAATACCGGCCATTCCCATGCCCTATTGGAAAAAAAAGTCAGTATACTGAGACGACCGGAAAAATGTACGAGGGATGCTTACAGTTCCAACACACATTGACGTCACAGCGACGCGCTTGTCCTGGCGGCGCAGCTCGGACAGAGCAGTAACGACCTGGCGCGCACCAGTGGCGCCGAGAGGGTGACCGAAAGCACTTCCAAATATTAGCAGGGCCCACAAAAGAAAGACGCGGGGAATACTCACATGGCACCGCCACGGGGGTTGACCTTTGACTCATCGAGGGCCAACTTATTGACACAGTAGACACCCTATAGCAGACATGAATGTTAGGCACGGAACAGCCAGGGCAAATGTTGTAAGCTTACCATTGAGGAGAAAGCCTCGTTAATTTCAAAGATATCAATATCATCCTTGCTCAGGTTGAACTTGCTCAGGATCTTGGGGATAGCGAGAGATGGTCCAATACCCATGATGCGAGGCTCAAGACCAGAAACGGTAGCACCGCAGAACTTGGCAACAATGGGCTGGCCAAGCTCCTGGGCGCGCGAACGCTTCATCAGAACGAGAGCGGCGGCGCCATCAGTGATCTGACTGGCGTTACCACCAGTGGTAGCACTAGGAGCCCACTGGGGGAAGGCAGCGCGGACTTTACCAAGGGACTCGGGAGTAGTACCGTATCGAATACCATCGTCACGGTCAACGACAACATCCTTGACCTCACCGGTCTTGGGGTCCTTGATCTGGGTCTTGACAGGGACAATTTCATCATTGAGCCAACCGGCCTTCTGGGCGCGCTCGGCCTTCTGGAAGCTCTTCGCGGCGAAGGCGTCGTGCTGCTGGCGCGTGATGCCGAATTGGTTGGCGACATTCTCGGAGGTCTGGCCCATAGGCTGGGAGTTCTGGGACGCGATGGGATGCTTGGCGATTTTCTCGGACATTTCGGGGGCGCCGCCGTCGGCGTTCTTGCTCATGCTCTCGGCTCCGACGGCCACACCAACATCAATCGAACCCGCGATGATTTGGTTGGCAATGTTTTGCACAGCCAGGAGGCCGGAGGAACAGAAACGGTTGGCAATGGAGGCGGCCGCAGTCACGGGGAATCCGGCAGCCAGGACAGCGGAGCGGGCGACATAGGCGTTGCCGGGGCAGAGGACGTTTCCGACGCAGACATCTTCGACGAGGCTGGGGTCGAGCTTGGAGTTCTCGCGCACGCTCTGTGATGGATTAGCTAGGTCATTGACCTATTCCTGGAAATACATACGGTAAGAAGTGAGACCAGAAGGTCATCTACTGTTGTATCCTTCAGACCACCCTTGCGGGCCTTGGTCAGGGGGTACGGGCGAGATAGGTGATAACCTGCAGAGCTGTTTAGGGGAATGCCATATCTCAATTGCTATCGGCGACTTACGATATCATCGGCATTCTTCGCGAGGATCTTCTGGCGGGCCGAGCCAGGAGCCGCGAGCTGGTTGGCGACAGAGTTCAAACGTTGCTGTGCTGACGACATGATGAATATGAGTACTTGTATGCGTAGATGAAAGCAAAACGGAGCAGATCTCACAGTTTTATTTCTCCCGACGATCGGTGGGTCGATCAAATGGACCGCGGCTTGTGAAGTCCGAGCCGAGTAGAAAGTAGCTGCAAACACTTGCAAACAAAGCTCTTGTCTTCCTCCGGTTTCCACCCGACCACACCTGCCGGCACTTCGGCTGTTATTTACGTATCATACCGTAATATTGTATCCCTCGGTGGTCATATGGTGATTGTCATTGGTGGATGGACTGTATCAACACTGTATCACTGCCCCACAATACGTATGAACCCGAGGACGATCTTCGCGGCTTGTCCATGCAGGGGGAATGTGTGTATAGATACGTCCAAATCAACAACTGTCCTCCGTACGGAGTACAAATGCAAACATAGCAGAGTGAGACATGACTAGACCACAGCCACGGGAAGTCGTGATCCACAAATTCTGGGGAAGACCCAGCCAGCTCAACCGCGGGGAAAACGATACCGAGAGGCAAATACAGGGGATTTCGGTAACAAAGAGATCCACTTCACGCCATGCTGCTTGGAGTAGACTGCACCGGGTATGGCTGGTGTATAGCGCCGGACTAGCTTCGTCATATCACGGCAGATCTAGTCTGCTTTGCTTCCGGACCTGTTGGGCCGTGGGGTTCGAGATTGTTTATATCTGACGCCTGGCTATTCATGTCAAGCCTGAAGAGTTTCAATAACGAGTGCACAATATACCGATTACCCAAAGACATCGCTGGCCATTTTCGGGGCAAGCACTTCAGTTCGTCGCAATGGAAATGCTCTCCGAAATCGGGGTGCCCACCATGGCTATGGCATCGGCTTTATCGGCAGCCGCTGGAGCGTATTTGAACGCAAAACTAGCCATCTCTACTGATCTGGCCGCAATTTCCAAGGACAAGGCATTTGCCAAACGTGTAGGAGAGCGCATCGCTAAACTCGATGGCTCAGCAACAATCTATAAGATGCTCGAGCGAGTGGTCGAGGTTGAAGGACAGGGAGCTGCAGATTCACTGTGGTTTGAGCACAAAGTGTGGTCATATAATCACCTAAAGGATCGTAAGTACTGCCTGTGTAGAAGAAAGGGTTTACATGCATCGCTAATCATATTTACAGTGGTTGATAGACTGGCTGCTTTGTTGAAAGGCCGTGGCATTGGTGTGGGTGAAACGGTGGGAGTATTCGCTTCCAACTCCCCGGAGATGGTAGTGATTCTTTACGCCCTATCAAAGTTGGGCGCGGTGGCTGCTATGATCAACACCAACCTACGAGGTGAGCGCCTTGGGTTCGATATGGAAGACGAGAATTTCTGACCCACCAAACAGACGACACTTTCACCCACTGTCTGAGCGTATCAGGCTCTAAGTCCATAATTTCGACTGCAGATTTATCACAAGATGTCTGCGTGGACTTGCCCCATCTCACATTGAACATCTCATCTTTCGGCACTCCCGAAACAGGCTCAGTAGAGCTCCTCACATTAGAAACGCTGCAGCATTTCTCCCCACTGGGTCTTCCAGCAGCGAAGCGCACACCAAAAGATCTTGCTGTCTTGATATACACATCAGGAACAACGGGAAAACCCAAAGCGTGTGCAATTCGAAACATGCTCACTCTTATCACTTCAACTCCGCTCTCAACAGACGTCAACGACCGTTCAAAGTACTACCCCATGCGCATATACTCATCTCTCCCCTTGTTCCATGGAACGGCCTTCTTCACTGGTCTGTGTGGCTCTGTTGGTAACGGTGGCACCCTCTGCCTGCGTCGCAAGTTCTCCGCTTCTCAATTCTGGAAAGATGTACACGACTCAGGAGCCACCCGTATTCTGTACATTGGTGAGCTATGTCGGTACCTGCTCTCCACACCCCCATCACTGTACGACCAAGATCACAAATGCATAGTGGCAACAGGCAATGGGCTCCGCGGGGAGATCTGGGAGAAATTCCGCACCCGTTTCAACGTCCCTGAGATCCGCGAATTCTACCGCTCAACCGAGGGAGTCGCCAAATTCGATAACCATGGTGTTGGCGCCTGGGGTGCTGGCAAAGTCGGCTTCTCAGGTCCTATCCGGCGTTTTATGGAAGATGATACTTTCATCGTTAAATATGATACTGATGCAGAGGTCCCGTGGCGAGATCCCGTGACTGGATTCTGCGTTCGTTCTGGACTTGGGCAGGAAGGCGAGGCGATTGGCCGCGTGCGGGACCGTGGTTTGCTCATCGAGTATTTGGGCAATGAGAGTGCGACTGAAGCCAAGCTTCTACGCGACGTCTTTGAAAAGGGCGACTTGTTCCAGAGGACTGGTGATTTGGTTGTGCAGGATGAGTCTGGCTGGGTCAGGTTCCAAGATCGTGTTGGTGATACTTTCCGCTGGAAGGGAGAGAACGTCAGTGCGGGTGAGATCCGTGACCATATCTGTCGGATCGAGGGTGTTCATGATGCAGTCGTGTACGGTGTAAAGCTCAAAAGGTATGTTGCCCGGGCCTTTGTTTTATAAGTTTTCCTGCTAACATGAATGTAGTTACGATGGCCAGGCTGGAGCCGCTGGTATTACACTGGAATTACCAGCGGTTGAGACTGAGTTGATGAATACATTGTACGACGAGCTCAAAAAGAAGGGTGTGCCATCGTATGCTCTTCCTCGACTTGTTCGTCTCACCGAGAAGGTTGCGACTGGTGTGACGTTCAAGCAAGCAAAGGGCGACTTGGTGAAGAAGGGTTGGAACCCCCAAGACTGTGCTGGTGACATCCTGTACTGGTTGGATGGTACGAAGTACGTGAAACTGAGAGAAGAGAGCTGGTCAGAGATTGAGTGTGGCAAGGCAAAACTGTGAGCATTGTTCGAATTTGTATATATAAGACATATTCAGAGTAGTCTAGAAGCATAGAACCAAAGATCGTCTCATCCAGGTCAGAAAGACTAGTTAGATCGCAGCAAAAACACTGTCAGTAAATGCGAGGGCACTGTTGTATGCTGCTGCCGTATCCCTGGAGACCGTTGGGTTAGCACCCGAAAAGTCTCCCAGACCGTGCGGTCCATCCTTCACAAGCAACAGTTTTGATTTGACACCAAGCTGGACGAGTTGGTTGTGGTGATGAATACTCTCCTGATCCGGCACAACCTCGTCAGCTGTTCCATGCACAAACACAGAAGGAGGATATGTCTCGGTGACCAAGGACTGCAAGACTCCCGGCTTCAACTCTTGAGGAACTGCAGCTTCTCGCAATGAGTAGTCCACAGCGTTCAATTTTGATCCGAGTCCGGGCGCTCCAAAGCATCCGTCCAGCATGGTGCCATCGAGCTCCCATTGCACGGTGAGAGCAAAGCGCTTGGGCAGCGGTTCTCCTTCCTTATAATCGTCACTGACAACTGTTTTGTCGGCAAGCAAGCGAGGAACTTCATTGAGGTCGACGAACTTTGCTATGGAGGTTGGTGGCCGGCCGCGAGTCCAATGATCCAGGAGCAAGTCGCCACCCAGTCCGTAGACGGAGATCAGCACGGCAGGCTTCGGGTCTGCATACACACAGGCCGCACGGGCGGAGTATGCACCGGCGGAGAAGCCGCTCACGGCAATTCGCGAGGTATCCAAAGTAATGGACTCAGGCAAATTGTCCTCGAAGTCCTTGGAAAGGAAGCTGAACAAAGCTTTGGCATCATCGATCTGGTCCAGGGTGTTGGTGGGGTGGCACAGGCGGTAATCGGCAGATATGAAGATATAGCCTTGTTTCTGGCAGTGGTCTGCGGGTGGTCAATGAATTTGTTCATTCGCATTGTTCTCTTCAGGGCTTACCATAAAGCCAGCCTGGGTATGGGACACTCCGCCGAGATCCGGCAGTCATCCCCCCACCATGGTAGTAGATGATGGCGGGCAGCCTCCCCGTGGCAACGGGAAGGTAGTAATCAAGCTTTATTTCATGATCGCCGACCGTGGAATAGGTCAGAGTCCGACCGGTGATTGGGAAGTTCATGATATGATTGAGTAAACAGAGTGAAACAACTACTCACACAGGGGGCTCTCGGGTCGTGGGGACAGCATTCACAGAGCGGCACCGTATGATAGCCCCTCACCTCATACCCGACTGTCCATCATAAACTTGACCGACTAGTCACGCTAAATAGCTCACTGGGCCTGGGTAATAGTTTTGGGGTATTCTGTAAATTTACTTGGTGTCTGCCTTTCAACAAGCGTGCACATCTTGAGCTCACTACCGCACGAATCTTAGTTTGATAGACAAAAGACCACCACAGATCATGATATGCTCCAGAAGACCAGTGAATTCATTACGGACAGTCTTATTCACTCACTCACTCAATCGTTCCTTCGGTCTCTATCGAATTGGATAACCCTTCAAGGCTTCGAAAGCTGCTCTCTCCGGAAGAAGAGCAGAAAGCCGCAACTGCAGTATAACGAAGATCAGCTAGACTCCCGCGTAAAGGGGAACAAGAGGGCAAGTTGAGTGGACATACCATATCGCAAGCTGCAGGAGCAATGCGACCCAAAACCAAGCATTAGCAAGCGCGCCCGCCCCAGCTGTGATATCAGGCGAGATTGGCCCAGGCCCGATGTTGTTTGGCGCAAATGCTCTGGCAGATATTGTTGCAAGGGAGCCAAGAACTTGGGACACAATGAGAGTGAAGCATATATGCATACGGGTCAAAGTCTGCAGGAGGATCATTCCAAACCCGAGGCCCTGTAATGCATCGAGGACACCAAGCCAGAGCCACAGACTGCGAGAGACCAACGCTCCTGCGGTATAACTTCCCGCCCAGGGAAGGAATAGACCAGACCCAGATGTTGCCCACCATATCTGAGCCCAGCGTGGAGCGCCCAGGCCGCAGGCAATGACCGGAAGAATCCAGTTGTGGGATTTTGACAATCTCGCTAGAAAGAAGAGGACTGCAATCCATGCGACACCAAAGAAAGCCGCGCAGAGAAGCAGTATTTGCCACCCGGTGGCATGTTGGGTGATCCAGAGGACTATGAAGAAACAGCATCAGCACATATTCCGTAGTTACATCCTTGCAAACATAAGAGAAGCATACAATTCCAGTTCCGACCATACGGGGCACTCAGGAAAAAGTTTTGGAGAATGACCACGACCCAGTTCCAAAGCACTATTTTCCGTCGGAAAACTGATTTGTAGAATGACGGCACCTTGCCCGGTGCTTGATGATAGTAGTTTGGTAGACCGAAGTAGATGATGAGGCCAATAGCCCACAAAAAGAATGTGATGGGGGTACAAATCGCCCTGTATTCATGTAAGCAAGCACTCGCTCAGTGAGCTGGGTAAAATGTAGAACTTGACGCACGTCATTCTCCAGGTGTTGGTGATGTTCCCCTGGACATTCGCGATTCCCGCGTTGTTTGCTTTAGTCAAGGTTGACCCCCAATACCAAAGAGCGATGACATATGCCTGTTGCGTGCCCTGAATGAGACAGGCACGGAAGACCCATTCCTTGACTGGTGCTCCACTTTCATCGCCAAAGTTCAAAGCGAAGAAGATTGAGCCACTGGATGAAGCCGCAGCATAAAGACCACTTCCTATGTTCTGAATCCATCCACGAGTGTATGAGTTTGACTCGAAGTGTGCCACACCAATGACCAAAAATGCCGTTCCGTAAAAAAACCAAGGAACGCTGAGGACAAGTACCGATTTACAATAGCGGAAAAAGAGCCACCACAGGATTGAGGTGATCAGGTATACCGTCGCGATCCCGTAGAGCTTTTCAGCGGTCTGACCAACCTCTCCGGTGAGTAGCGTGATTTGATAGGAATTTGCAGCGATGATCTGACCCAGCCCGAGGAACAGGGAATAGACGGGCCATTCCCCGATCCGGATTTGCATCCATTTTTTCAACCCTGTCGGCGGTATGTAATCATCTCCCAGCATAAACTCGTCTTGTGGCTCTTTTCGTTCAGCACCACCACTATCCCGGGATATGCCTTCATCGTTGGTTATGGATCCATCAGGTGATGGCCCTCCTCTCCCTCGATGCAATGAGCTGGCTGGTGAGCCCTGATTTCGACCAAGGCGCGCATCACGGAATTTGTTGAACCATTTCTTCTCACTTTTCTCGAGATACTGCTCAATGCAGAGATATGTGTCTGAGTTGGCTCCATTCAAATTCTCCAGCCTCTTCTCAAAAGCTTTATAGTACTCGCCGTTACTATCAGTGAAGAATGGATCCACTTTTTGGAGCTTGAAGTCTTTCTTCTCTCCGACCACTGAATCGACAGACAGCACAGACGCACTACTAAGACGATTCCCTGGCTCGGTCCAAGGACGGGAAGGGGGTATCAAGGTATCTTCGGTGCCGGCAGTACTTGCAGCCGTGGAACTTGAGGGTGTGTGGCTGTATCGTGCCAGCAAGGAGCCTTGGCTTGCACGTTGGGCAAATAGTGCCTCTCTAGTGAGAGCAGCACCGGAATCTGGTGTCTGGGGTCGAACGGTATCTGCCCCATCTATTGATATGGAATAATCATCATCCCCAAAACAGGTTGCCATCATCTCCTCGTCGCTATCTTCCTCGGCCTCGGGAACACGATCGGCGCTGGCGCTTTCATAGCCCTCCCCAACGCCGCTCTTGCCGAGATCACGGCGACCGCGTGGCTCGATACTGGCGGAAATTGGTCGGACATCAAAGGACAAATGTCGACCGAGGCCTGACTTTGGCCTTCCATCACCGCGGGGGCTTGGGTCACGGCTGTAAACTATGGAGCTTCGCTGCAGTGACCCCATGGTACCCGGGCGACTTGAAGCAAGCAATGGTGGCGTTGAGGCACCGGATCTCGTGGATGAAGCCTGAGGGGTCATCATCCCATATATTGCATTGTAAGCTCCGGCGGCCGGTGAAGGATTCTGGGCTTTGTCCCGCTCCTTTCGGTGGACTCGAATCGATGTGGATTGTAGGATTTCCAAGTCCTCGACCCACTGAGCCACCGGAAATCGCTGCTTAGCTGATCTGGCGCGCATCATTGCTCGGGTTTCCTGTTTTGAACTGAGCGCATTGTCAATTGCCAGCTTAAATTGCTTCAGTAAGTGAGAAGTTGTTGTTGACTCGACTGTATACCACCATCCAGGCATCTGACCAAGCCCTCCCACTCTGGCCCCAATACCAAGAGCTCCCTTTCGCCCAAATTCAACAGCAACAAGACCAAAAGGCTCATCACGGGAAGGTATCAACGCAAAGTCGGCACCGGAGAAGACAAAATGGGGCAGTATCGTGAACTGGGGCTTCGAGCATACCCGTCCAGGATAGAGACTCATCATTCGATCCAGTTTCAATGCAGCAAACTTGCCATATAGGTCAATAAGAGGGCCGATACAGATAAGCTGGACATTTGGGCGGGACTCAAGGATGCCGGGCAAAACATCGGCGATGAGGTCTATTCCTTTCTGCATTGACCATCGTCCAACAAAAACTAATAGATCGGCATCGGCCCTTTGCTTTAGACCGGCCCACTCTTGAGCTAGTCGTTTTAATTCTGCTCTGCCGATCTCGAGTTCGCTGTCAATGTTGATATCACTCTCTTTAGGCAAGGTCCTATTCCATTCTCCGGTGTCGGAAGGGTCGGGATTCGGCAGATTGCCAATTTTCCGCAGTCCCCAGAAAATTGGGTATCGAGAATATGATCTCTTACCATACTTCTTAGACACGCCGACCGCTCCAAAACCTTGTTGGTGGAGGCGAAGGTAACTAGCACCTGCATGTAGAAGATTGAAAACTTCGCCAAACTGCACATAGCGCGTCACGATATCCAAATCGAGATTGAAGACTGAACAGACTTCGGTTTTCTCTTTCTGTGTCCGCATAGGCCAGAGACCCTGGAACTCAGCGTTATGGAGTGAGAGGCAGATAGGTATCGTCTCTGGAAGAATGTACAATGGAGCAACTGCGCCATGATAGTCATTCACATGGTATAAATCAATAGAGAAACGTTTCATTGTCTGAGCAATACATTGATTCCAGGCGGAATAATATATGGCGCTGTCCATGTCATCCATGCGGGCCGGGTAGGGCTCCAAAATTGATTGCTGGCGAAACACTGGCGCGTCCAGCAAAATGTATGTGATATTCCTCATTTGATGGTACTGGACTTTGATTTCGTAAGAGTTACCAAGAATCATGACGAACATTGATTGAGCCTGTTTATCGAGAGGGTAAGCCACCCCACCAACGCATGGTATGACCCATATAAGATCTTCGTGTCCAAGCTGTTTACCCATTAACTGGGCCATGACGCCTAAACCGCCGATTTTGATCTTGATGGCCCAATCGTCAATCTCATATTCCATGGTGGCGATCAGAACCTTTCGTCTGTGGGCAGTTCGATTTTCGAAGGCGGAGCTGCTTTGGAGAAAGCTGGATTTATTTGCAAACCGCGCAAGTGGATTTTTGGATTGAGCATCGTCAATATGGCCAGGTTTGAATTTGTTAATGAATGCCGTGGAGACAAGTGCTCTCTTTTCGCTCACCCCGAGTTGATTGAACTTGATTCGATAGAATGTTTTCATAAACATAAAGGCACAGATGCATGATGTGATGACCGGGACAATCCAGAGTAGGAAGAACAGAGCCATTTGGACATATTTGGACCCTGCTGGAACAAGTTTAAACTGCAGATTTGAGTCATCGAGGTGAAGTTTCCAGGCCAGATGAGGATTCGGTGGATGGTCGGTGATGTTGATAGACGTTACGCTGAGTGAAGAAGGTGGGAGACGGTCGAGGACCGAGTCTCCATTTGAGTCTCCGTAGATATAGCTTTGATCCGGCTGGTTATCAGGATTCATCCCCCAGACATTGAGTTGACCCTGAGCAGGCCACTCAGCCATGAAACGGAACTTCCAGATCCCATCACTATCTTGTCTCACGACATTATCCAAACCAGCATCGAAGCCATACTTATTGAAAGGACCGTTGAAAAAGAGATGGGGGAAGCGACGTTGGACGTCGGGGTTCCAGTGGACACTGTCACCCTCCTGAACATAGTCGCTGCTCCCCGTGAGGCGACTCCAGTATTCCACTTTGACATGTTTGCCCTCCCATTTCTGTTTGGCTGTGCCTGACCAGAGCAGCTCTTGGATAGTATGATTCCCCCCTTTGTAGGGAAGCCATTCGGAAAACGAGCTCCCCCAGTTGGTCGAGTATCGGTATTTGTCTGCACCAGCGGCATGCTGTGTAATGAAGAGCGAACCGTCCTCCTTTTCGTGGAGCAGGCTTCTCGAATAGTTTGCAGAGGTGAAGATGATGGGATTGTCATGTTGACCGATCCTAAAGAGGAAATGATCGACCGCGTTTGTCGCTTTCCCGTCAACGCTGGTTGCATTCTTGACGGTCAACTTGTGCACACCGTTGTACACACCAGTCAGAGTCGCTTTCCAAGCCCATGTTGATGGTATATGGCCTGTCCAGGATGTAGTCTCAGGTAACATAGTCTCACAAGTCACACTATCGAGGTCCAACGAGGGTACTACTCCAGACTCAGTAGTGGATTCCAGCGAAATCGAGTCTGTCACCATAGAGCAGTTCATCTCAGTTGAGAAGAACAATTCAATATCCAAAGACTCGCTTTCATCCGGCGCCACGGATGATAGCAATGGGACATCGTGCCCAGGCAAGAATCTGGTTATCATGGGCCGTGGTGGTATAAATTTATCCTTGGGGATGTAGGCTCGGAATTCATAAGGCGCAAGGCTAATCATGTCGACACAACCATTGTATTTTTCAGAGCCATTCAGGCCTAGTTTGATGGGGCCATCTTTCAAGATCAACTCATCGTGTGGATAGAAGAGGTTTTTGACTGTCGTGTTTGTGTCGAAGGCAGCAACAATGGCAGAGGTGAGATCAGAGCAGTCAAACTCATAATCCACGGTCTTGTTGTCATTGTGGTAGACAAACCAAACAGTTTGGTTTCCCATCTCTCCTAGATCTTGCATCTGGTGATAGGGACTACGCAGAACAGACCAAATCCCTGTCTCCGTGGGAACTCCATCAGAGCCTGGGAGATATATGTTGTGTGTTTGATTTGAAAGAAGCTGCAGCCACCACCCGTCATTCAAAGAACCATAGTCTTGTCGCATCTGGTACATATGTTTAATGATGTTACGCAGAGGATGAGCGGGATCGCGGTGGTCGTAGGACACAGTCTCATCATGACAACCAAGTCGCCCTGACTGGATCGGCCATTGAAAATACTGCGTGGAGTTCAGCTGGAAACATCCGTGGTTTTTCCAAGCCGTAGCTGGTGACATCGCTTGACGACCATATATATAGTTAGCAGCTGAGGCATCCAAAATGTAGAAGGCTTGTTCCTCGCCCCACAGCAGCAACGGAATTCCCGGCATGTGTAGTGTTGTGATGAAGAGTGCCAGTAGCTGTCTTTCGATGCCGTATTCGACAGCGGGCCAACGGAACACATCTTGGTTTGTCGCTCCATACATGTGACGTGGATCAAACTTGCCAGTGTTTGCATTGACCATATCATTGGTGAGAACCATCTGATACCATGCTTCTGTCCAATTGACGGGAACATCATATCCAGCAGCCAAATTGCCATCCATGCCCAGAAATCGCGTAAGAGATCGGTAAACTGAGTAGTGAAAGGCGGCACCGTCAGTTGCCTGCTTATCTTGATCTCGAAGGAAGAATATGGTGTCGGACTCGTTGGTCAGTGTGAATGCTTCCTCTAGTGTCTCGGGCTGCATATCAGGTTGTCGGCCTCTCCCGTGGAAGATAGATCCCAGTGTGTTTCCACTGGTAATTTCGCCAGGGAGGAAGAAATTATCCTTGCCAACATTCCGAGCACAGTCTCTGTACGCGCCAGAGATATCTCCAAGGGCATCAACAGTAGCTTGTGTCGCTTTGTCATAGCGAAACCCATCAATATCGAACGAGCTGATTATCATGCACGAATGTCGAATGAGTCGGTCTCTCACACTCGGAACCCACTCCCGTAGACGGTCTTGCACGGAAGCAAATTTGGCAAGCTCTCTTTGCCAGTCAGGGAAGACACCAAATGCCTCGATATCACCATATTGGTCAAAGTCACTGTCGTAACATCCACATAACTCATCATAGACGTAGTCATCCACCGGATATCCGGTTTCATTCCAGAAGCGAGGATAATTGCATGTCTCATTGTATTCATTGCCAAACTCAAAGTCGACGTAGTGACGGCCAGACTTCCATGCCGCTTTATGCTCTTTGGTCAGAAAAGGTGTTGTTTTATTCATGTACCCTTCAAAGCCAATAAGATCTCCCATTCTGTCAGGGCATTAGTTCCCTACAACATGACATGAAGCCTGCATCACTCTGGGGCCTTACGTTGACACTGTATTGTCAAAGATGACATACATTCCCCGATCATGGATTTCGGTGATGGCGGATCTCCAGGTCTCGATAGTTCCAAAATGCTGATCCAATAGTGTAGTATCGAGTGCAGAGTAGCCGTCAGATCCCCATGGTTGGTTCATAAGAACCAGTCCAGCAAGATAAATACCCTGGGATATTGTTAGCTCGCCCTTTCTTGGGGATTCAAGCTCGAGATCCATGCTAACCTTGATTCCCATCCCTTGCAAATAGTCCAGAGTGTCCAGTAAACCTGCCACATCACCTCCATGCCGCATCTGATTCGAATTGATGTCATGTTCAAACAAGGTTTCATTGATGTTGTCGTTTGTTGGGTCACCGTTGACGAATCGGTCGAGGAAAAGTGTATATACAGGAAAGCGCCAATTCTCTGGCGAGGGAAAATATGTGTGGTCGGGCCATTCGCCCCAGTATTCCAATGGATTTGTCGCCAATTTGTTTTGATTGATATTATAGTCAGTGAGCGTTTCATCGTAGGGCCAACTATTTCCTTTTACTGCGAAGAAAGCGAGCACTGAAGTCGTGTGTTTCCAGTGCATATTGGCAGATATTTCGTGGACCACTTAAAGCCTCAGAGCAGTAACACGTGCTGTGATGGGATATTGAATCGCAACTGTCTTCTACCATCCATTGGTTAGCTAAGAACAATAGTATTGGGGGCTTGAAAGTATCTACCGATGCTCCAGACAAGCCCGGGTGACCTTTATAGCCGGCAAGATGGCAATAGCTCCGAATCTGGGAATATCCAATCGCTTCCTTTTAAAGAGGCCGCAGGGTTTCCGGCAGGGTGCAGAAGACAGAGGTAAAAAGCACAAATATTAAGAAGGAATATCGAACATTTCGAGTCAAAGAACTTGCCCAATACTTTCCAGTCTATTGGAGCTGTTCTAAAAGGATAGAGGAAAGCAGGAAAGAACCAAAGGGCCAAGGAGTTTTGATCAAAACGATGGAAACCTAGCGAATTTGAGGAATTACGAGACACTTTCAGCTGTGGTCAGATCCCGATGCAAATTTGCAATTAAAAAAAAAAAAGACATAAGCTTTAACACAGTCTATTGGCGATAACAAAGTCCCATGATGTCTTGTCTAGTTTTTGGGACAGGAGGCGAGGGACTTCGACACTTTCCCTGGAAGTCCGGAGTGAACGGTTACAGACAGGGCAGCAGCTGATAGGAGGTACACATAGACCTTTCTGCGCTTTGATTGACATCTTGGTTACCACTGTGTTCTATTTCTAGAGAGCATGAGACTGAATCACTAGGGGTCTGTGTCTCACGAAGCGTTGCCAAATTTTGGTCTTTCCTGCAATATCCATAGCTACATGCACAGCAAGCGGTCGTTGTGGAATAGTCGTGGCTCGCCGAGGACGACTGATCAATCGAGCAATCCATGCATGGCAGGTATCATGATTTTTTGTGATACTAGATATTCGGCAGTGCTCAAAATGGGGATGGGCAATGGCATGCTGTGTATCGCCCACCCAATATCAGTCCAATTGACTACCGACAAATTTCTATCTTCGATGAAGGTCTTGTTAACTAGCGGCCGGTACTCCACATGTATCAAAAGTCCGTTGGTCTCCTCGAGTTTGCCCTAAATGACGGTCTCGACGACACTATGTTCCAAGGTCCATGCCATGGTAATGTCATAATGAGAATGCTGTTTGATATGCGATAAATTAGTAGCCTTTGGCCTTAGCAGAAATAACGTAGAAATAATACGATTGGACTAAAGAAAAAACATACATTGTCTCATGATAAGTATCTGAAGTATATCACCAAAGTTTTCGTCTGGCCTGCATTTGGGTCGGCATCCATGAAAGCATGGAGTACATATACCAGATCCGAGCTTCCCTGTACCTCCTTGTATCCGGACCACAGTCTTCTTTCCTAAGTTTCTATTCCACAGGTTCTACCTCGGGCGAAACGGCTGAGTCACTTCGGTGCTGTGGTGGATATGGAGCCATCAATGGATCAAATGATTTTTCTTGGAGGAAGACGATGCGAAATCATCTGAAAAGGACCCAATACTTATGTTCCGTATTCCCTGCTATAAAGAAATGGATTTCCTCACAAACTCCATAGACAGGGACAACCCCAACATTGAGCTTTCACAAATTTTGACTTTCTGAAGTAAAAGACCAACAACGCCAGGCCGCTATCGACTCCTGTGGTCGTTAGACCAGCAAATTCATAGGTGTAGGAAGAATGCTTGATATGTGGCCATCTATCTCGAACTTTGATTTCTCGTTGCCTCCTGCTGTTCTCAACTTATCCTAGATTTTCGGCATCGGCGTGGTACTGTAATCTGTTCCAATTTGTCATACGCACCTGAAGACTACGAACTAAGTGGTGTAGCAATCGATTTGCAGTAGTCTCACTACAGTGACAACACCGCTTGAGTCAAAGTCGAGCTGATTGCTGAACTGCTCCAAAATAGCTCAATGGTCTGGATTGAAACTCCTTCTTGCGCGTTTGCATGCTTCGTGTAACACAGTCCTGCCACTAGGATTCCACCGGAAGCTGTCATTAATTCCATTGAATAACCTTGGAACTCCATGATGTCTTAAGATACAAGGGTGGTTATAGATAGACAAAGATTGATTGCCGTACAAATTCAAATTTAATCTAGCATGCTACCGCAAAGGGCATCAGGATAACCAGAGTCCACATTAGACATATTCTCTAATGCTACTGGTCTAAACTCTGCCAGCGCTTAATTCAACGTCCCATCGCCCCCAAGCGTCTTTCCCGCACTTTTATCACCCAAATTATGTCCTACCTTGTATTGATCAAATGATGTGACTTCCCTAGATCGACTGATAGAAATGCCTGAGCGCACCCTCTGACTGCTGCATACCTATGCTTGAACATGAATTCGCTTATGTTTTCTGTGTTTGGTGCCTGTCTTGCTCCCTGCCGAGGTCAGTCTGTCCCATCAGACCCAAGCTGATGTACTAATGGTACATGCTGTGCTTCTTGCAGCAGCCACGCAAGAAGGTAAGTGCCTGGTCCCGAGGTTGAGATGGGTGGTCACTGGCTCGCAACGATGTCCAAGTCCACCACACGATATCTCCTCCTTTTTCTTTTGTAAAAATCGTACAATTCAAGGATTCCGGTCTTCCAGTGCAACACAAAGGTGGATGTTGATGCTTCGATACGTTCAGGCTGAGCCGAAGAAAAACAAATTCACCACCTGGGCAGATGCCGAAACCCCAGTACATCCATGGATTCTGCTGGTTTCGCACGAACGTAAAACTTGGAATGTCAAAAATAAGCACGAAGGCTTCTGAGGTCCGTGTATCCCATTGGAGTATAGACGGGCGGGCAATCGATATTCTTCAAAGGGCAGGGAAATTTACACAAGACCCAGGATCTTCCAAATTGGAAGTATCTGTCGATTAATCCTTGGATCTCGCCTGAATATACCTAGGTACTTGACATATATGCAGGACAAAGCGAAAGCGGCTTCCAAGTTTTACTCAGGTAGCTGGCTTTTGCGCAGGTCAAAATATGGCCAAGTTGGAACATCACCTCCTGATATCAATCTTGGGTGTGTTACTGTTGGAATAATATACCTTGATCAACGTATGGATGGATGTAATGATACTAGTGCTATCTACTGAGCACCCCACTTCTCACGGTATGCCTTCAGACGCTTAATATCGTTTTCGTGATCCTTCTCATCGAGGTGATCGATCAGATCATGCAGACCAAGCACAGAACGAACATGGACCTCCTGTCTCTTCTCTTCGTCCTCGTGGTTATACTGGTCATGGAGCAGGGTTGGGAGCTTGCTCTGGAGGGCACCAATAGCACTCCTGGTTTCGTTCTCTCCTGGCCCAAGCTCCTCCCGGTCCAGCAAGACGACAATGCCAACAAGCACAGCCCCGTTTTTCTTGATAATGTTGATGGCCTCAGTAATGGCGGTACCGGCAGTGATGACATCGTCGACAATGACGACGCGCTTCGGAGGAGTGTTCTCCCGCTGGTCCTCTGGGATCATCAGAGGGGCGCCAACGATACTTCCACCCTCACCATGACTCTTGGCCTCCTTCCGATTGAAAGAGTAGCTGACATTGTCCCAATTGTTGGTTCCTGAGAGATGGTCCCGTACCGCCAGCTCGTTGATGGCAGCTGCGCAGATGGGAATACCCTTGTATGCGGGTCCGAAGATAATGTCGAAGGTAGGCTTGCCGAGATCGTCGACAAAGGGAGGGGAGGAAATAACACTAGCGTATGCGGACGAGGTAGCGCGTAGCAGGGGTGCGGTGTGGAGAAGGGAGGAGTTGAAGAAGTAGGGCGATTCACGGCCGGACTTCAAGGTGTATGTGTGGTCGAACGCGAGGACCTTCTTGCGGATGAGGGTGTCGAGCAGGCTGGACTTGTAGTCCTGGCCAGCAGCTGGGGTAGGAGCGGCAGACATGGTGCGAGAGGTGACTGAAGTAATTGTCGAGAGTCAAAGATCTAGGAATCGAGAAGTCAAGAGTCCCGCTGATAACGAAAAATTTTGCCGTTTGCCCGATTGGGACGGAGGGGTATAGGCGGTATAGGCTCAAACATCGCCTCTGGTCAATTGTTGGAGTCTCGGGGAGGGAAAAGAACTGGAAACACCAGAAAATAGAGATTGAAAGCTATTCCGTTCGAATATGACTTCCATTTCCCAAATGTTCAGTGAAATTGCCCTCAAACAAGCAAAACACGTGCCTCCGATGGCGGCCCTTCCCCGCCAAATTGTTGTGCCCAGATGTTCCGCTCACCGGCCTCCTCCTTTCCTCACTCCTCGTTGAGCCTCTTTTTTTCAATTTGGCTTTTTCCTTGTCTTATTCTTCCTTTTTTCCCGCTCTTTGTGTTTTCATCTCTTTTTCTTCAGTTGTGTCACAGTACACAGGTGCTCAGGCTTCCAGAACACGAGCAGAAATAGCCTGTCTCATCTGCACAGGTGCTCGTCTCACGAACTGATAATTATTTTCACCTGCTGTATGATTTTTCAGACTCGGACGATGAGCTCAACCATGGGCCATTGGCTGCGATGAATCCCTGTCGGTGGACGACGTGCTGACAGAAGCTAGGTTGAACCGGCATTATGCATATCCGAGAGAAGCTTGCGAAGAATGAGGCGGAAGGGAAGACCGGTATCTCGTTCGAGTTCTTCCCTCCCAAGACCGCCCAGGGTGTTCAGAACCTCTATGACCGAATGGACCGCATGCATGGAATGGGTCCATCCTTCATCGACATCACCTGGGGTGCTGGTGGCCGCCTATCGGACCTGACCTGCGAGATGGTCAGCGTAGCACAATCGGTCTACGGATTAGAGACATGTATGCACTTGACCTGCACGGACATGCCTCTCGAGAAGGTCGACCAGGCACTCCAGTCTGCCTACAAGGCTGGCTGCACCAACATTCTGGCTCTCCGCGGTGACCCACCCCGAGAGAAGGAGACATGGGAAGCCACCGAAAATGGGTTCCGCTATGCGAAGGACTTGGTGAAATACATTCGGGACAAGTACGGCAACCACTTTGACATTGGTGTTGGTGGCTACCCCGAGGGTGCCGATGACAACTCCGACGTGGATCAATTGATTGATCACTTGAAGGAGAAGGTGGATGCTGGAAGTACCTTTGTGGTGACTCAGATGTTCTACGACGTGGAGAACTTCATTAGCTGGGTGAACAAGTGTCGTGCCAAGGGCATCACCGTCCCCATCATCCCTGGCATCATGCCCATTCAAACATACGCCGCATTCATTCGCCGGTCAAGCTGGACTAAGATCCGTGTTCCTCCTCAATGGATGGAGGCTCTTGAGCCCGTCAAGAATGACGATTCTGCGGTTCGAGACATCGGAAAGTCTTTGATCGCTGAAATGTGCCGACAGTTGATCGCTGCTGGCATCAAGCACTTGCATTTGTAAGTTGAGTTTGCTCCTTTTTCGGACTCTATACTGACGATCTCTCTAGCTACACCATGAACTTGGCTCAAGCAACTAGGTTGGTCCTCGAGGAGCTTGACCTTTGCCCCTCAGAAGATTCCCCCATTCAACGTGCACTTCCTTGGCGGCCTTCCCTTGGTCTGGGCCGCCGCTCAGAGGATGTGCGACCAGTATTCTGGCGCAACCGAAACTCATCATACGTGGCTCGCACCCAGACTTGGGACGAGTTCCCCAACGGTCGCTGGACCGACTCTCGCTCCCCTGCATTCGGTGAGCTTGACGCATACGGTGTTGGCCTGAAGGGCACGAACGAGCAGAACATCAAGTTGTGGGGCGAGCCAAAGTCGATCAAGGAACTTTCGGATATCTTTGTGCGATTCTTGACCGGCAAATTGGACCGCTTGCCTTGGAGTGACTCACCCATCACAACCGAGGCCCACGAAATCCAGAGCGACTTGCTCAAGCTGAACGAGCGGGGTTTCCTGACCATTAATTCTCAGCCTGCCGTCAACGGAGTCAAGTCTTCTCATCCTGTCTACGGCTGGGGTCCCAAGAACGGTTTCGTCTACCAGAAGGCGTACTTGGAGCTTTTGGTCCCTTCAAACCTGATTGACGAGCTCATCACCCGCATCGAGAACAACGACGACCTGACCTACCACGCCACCAACAAGAAGGGTGAGCTCAAGACCAACACCCGTGACAGCCCCAATGCCCTCACATGGGGTATCTTCGCTGGACGAGAGATCATTCAACCCACCATCGTCGAGACAGTCAGTTTCTTGGCTTGGAAGGACGAAGCTTACCTGCTCGGTGAGCACTGGTCCAAGTGTCACGACGCAGCAAGCCCCAGTCGCAAGCTTCTCCAGCACGTGATGGATGACTGGTACCTTCTCAACATCGTCGACAACGACTTCCACCGATCTAACGCCGTCTTCGAATTATTCGATGGCCTTGAAATCAAGGATCTCAATGTCGAGTTCCCCGGAAAGCCCTCAACCAACGGCACTACGGAAACAAACGGCGTTACTGCCAACTGAAATGGTTCCCCTCAACTTTTGGAACTTTTGGCACTTCCGTTCTAAGGACCCCCAACACTTTGGTCCCATGCCACATTTGCAACCTCCTTTAACACCCAACACCTAATTCAACATCACTCATCTCAACGATACCACAGCCCACACAAACACTTACTCCAACACATCTCGGGCTCACCCTGCAATGTCTTATGGCGTCACGACTGAAGACCTCTCAACGATTTCTTCCACAGCGTTTTCATTTCAACATAATGTACCGATACCCCGTCTCTTTTAACAATGGCGCTTCGCGATCGGATTCTCTTTTTCTTTCTCGGATCCATCCTTCTCCAGGCCTGGTGCCGGTGTCTCTTCTGGGCCATTCCATGTTTTCTTTTCGGTCTAGTTCAGTCCAGAAGAGGGAAGAACGAAAGAAGAAAAAAATTCAACATAATTTTGCCAGGTGGCTGGCTTTCTATTCCCTTTTGTTTTCATACTCAACTCAGCTCGCAGTGGATCTTATGGCAATGGCCGATTCGGCCTTCTAGCGCCCTGCTTGCTTTTTTCTTTCCATATATGGAAATTTCGTGTTTCCGTCTCTCTTAAACAAATGACTACTCTCTTCATATTGATCGGCTTTTTTGGTTCAACCTATCAGTGGCGTCAGAGCACACAACGCCGCTCGTTCGAATTGCTATTCGAATTGCTATGTACTCGGCTATTTGCCTGGGGATATCAGGCAGTGCTTAACACACAACCCCTCTTGCACGTGGAGAGAACATCTCAAGCTTTGGATCTTGACTCCGTACCCTATCCTTATTCTGCTTTGCATTGCTGTGTTTTGAAATGTGTTTTGGTTAGCATCCAAAGGACCATTCAACATACGAAAGATGGCGTTTTGCTTTGGTCTTAGGTTCCTTGCTCTTACTTTACGAAACAAGAGCATCATATACGTGGTTTTTTCGTTCCCTAGGATACAATAAAAAGTTCACTGATTTCCCTTGAAAACACGGGAGTAGGCTTTGGCGCGGGTTCTATCTTCCAAGGCTGGCTTTGCGCAGCTTCAAAGAGCATCATTTCCATTTCCACATCACTTGTTTTTGGTTTTTACTTTAGAATTGAATTGTTCATATAGAGATGTTAGGATTTTGTAGGTTTTAAAAATAATCTAGTGATACAGCTGGACGAAATAATATGTGTGTGCATGGAAACCTCAAGACCCAGGACACCGGACCCAGGAGAACAAACAAGACATCAAAAAGAAAATGACACGCTTCTAAACTCCAGCTTTCCAGCGACGCAGCCTTTGACAAATAGAGCAAACAACAGAAGTAAAAAGGGAAGAAAGCAAAGCATCGCTAATTCATTATTAAAGCACGTCCGACACATTGGAAGACCCAGGCAAATGGTCTGGCAAACCACACGATCCAACTGCTCACAAGGACGACGTATCCCGCAAACCGACCAATTAACATAGCAGCAAAGCCAAGGATGAAAAGGTAGACCACAGCCTGCAAAAGCTCTACCATGAACCGACTGATGGCCTTGTCATTGCGAGCCTTTGGCCAGCTACCCGTCGCCTGGTAGTCACAGATAGCCGTGTAAATGCAGCTGAAGACATAGTAGCAATGACCCGTCATGCTGAGGGTGTTGTCCACAACAAATTTGGTGTAATAACTGTCGGTGCCCATTCGAAGGATTCGGTTCATTTGAGTGATGGCGACAACGAGGATGTTGAAGACAAGGGAGAGAGCCAAGGGGTTGAGAAGGTTGCTTGAGGAATCATCGATATCTTGAGTGTGCATGTCACCTAGATCGGCATGGACATTCGTAATGTTGGACTGAAGAGACTCCTTGGGACTGGCGACTTGAAGACTGTCAAGCTCGGCGATCTCTGTGACCTTGCCGGATGTATGGAGGCGAGGAAGAGTCTTTGAGCGTTGTTCCTTCTCGTCTTTCTTGGGTGGACTCTCCTTCTTGGGTGCAGTATCGGCCTTTTTTGTCTTTGTGGCTGAGGACTTCTCGGCAACTGATGGGTTTGAAGCGTTGGGCGGTTTTTCCGCCTTGGATGGCTTTGCCAACGCGGAAATTCTTCGAGTTGACGTGGGAGGCTTATCCAACTGTGCTTTGGATGATGGGTCCTCTGACAAGGTGACTTTCTTGGCCACTGGCTTGCTGGACGCAGTCCATTTCCTTGGAGGTGACTTCTGTTCTCTTGGTTCATCCTCCACCACTATCGATTTTGGAGGGGATTCAGGAACGCTTTCGGAGGCAATGGGTGTTTCCTTTGCAGACTGAAAAGACTGCAATGAGTGAAAAGACCGTTCAGATCGAGATGACTCCGAATTGTCCCTGGTAGGAATGGTGGATTGAGAGCCGCCTGTCACTTTCCGGTTTGTCCGTTGGAGGGATCCCGAGCCGTTTCGCAGCGACTCCGCTCGGTTTCGAAGAGACTCGGTGCCGTTACGCAGAATTGCAGCAAGGCTATCAGTCGGTGATCTAACCAACCCTGATGACCTGGCCAGCCCGGAGGTACGGATGAAGCCACGGATAGTGCTGGACGCTGTGCCGGCGGCTTTGTCTGAATTGGGTTCTTGTGTCCGATCTTGGCCTCGGTCCACGGGGCCTTGCTCGTTTCCCGTACTCGAGAGTGTGCTGGATGGGAATGTCTGAGAGGTCGCCAGAGAAGACCCTGTCGGTTTGAGTTTCGAATTCGAGCCCCCGGGTCGCAGACCTGATGGCGTGGAGATCATCTGAGCCTTTGCGCGGATGGCCTTGGTGGCTTCGGCGGTGACTGCTTGACTTACGCCACCAGCGCGTCGCAATCCTTGCGGCTTTGGTACATATTGTTTCTTGTCGGGGGTGGGAAGCATAGTGCGTGTGATAGTGGGTGTGATAATGAACACATCGTCTTCGTCGCCGTGAACGGAGTCTATGCTCCCGGACCGTTCTGGAGGACTGCTCTGAGGGTGTGAGTTCTCCTTGCCCGAGTCCTGGGATCCTGTCCTGGGGATCGGCGAAGGGTTCGGGGGGCAAGACTGGTCGCGGCACAGTGTCGAGGACTTCAAGCATGGGGCAGGCTTCGAACTCCGAGAAATTTGTGGCCGCTCTTCTTGAAGGACCGTTGTCTCTTCGACGATCTGCGCGGTCTTCCTGGCTGTCCCTTTCTTCAGACCCTTCAATTCTTTGTGTATGTTCTTCGAGGCCAGAGCCAATGGCCGAGGATGTAGACTGGCATCGTCGGGGGAAGTGAACATGAGTATTTCGTCTGGATTCTTCTCCCCCGATATTTCCCTGCACCCTAAAAAAGAGCCATCCGCATTCTGGGGGTAACGTTTCTCCTTCGTCTTTGTGGGTGACTCTTCCCATATCGTGCTGATGCGAGTATGGCCTATCTCATCAGGGCTATAATAATGATTGGCTGCTGGGCGCTGAGGCCCCGTTGCAGTCAGAGTTTGAGGCTGCGGTTGAGGCTGCGGTTGAGGCTGCGGTTCCAGTCGCGGCTGAGACTGTTGTTGTAGCTTGGGCTGCTGCTGGTTTTGCTGTTGTGGTGACGATTGGCGAGAGTCATCTCTGGAAGATCTAGGCATTTGCTGCCCTTCATAGGTCCCGTCGTATGCTTTGAACTCCTGCGGAGTCTGCTCTCGAACTCCTCTCAGACTCGACTTGCTTTCTGGGGAGGCGTTACGACTGGGCAGGCTGTCCGGGTGAGCCATTCGCCCACCAGATTGATGGACCTGTTCGATGCTCTTTTGGTATTCAGCTATTTGCTGCGCGGTCATGGTAGGCGGGTTAGGGTCTTTTGCAGACGGCATGTTAACCACAAAGCGGTCTTCCCAGTCACAGTCGGTGATTGAGCTGTCCTCGGCAGATACTGGTGAAATCGAATCCTGAGATCGAGGACTGGAGTTCGCTGTGGTTTCGGTCTTTTCTGACTTTTGCGGTGAGTTGTCAGGGACGTCCATGTTGACCCATTGGTCACCTTGTTTCTTCCACTTGTTCTTGCTGTCTACGGGTTGTGATTTGACAACATTGTTTCTCAGACCCTGTGCAGGGCTGCTGTTGGCAGTACTGGGGCTTGGAATGCCCGATCGAGCAGTTGTTCCTCGATAGGTTGTTTGCTTGGCCGCGTTGCCAGTCTGAGGTCTGCTTCGGTGGTAGGACATTCGTGCATTTGGTGATTGCTCGGTATCACTGTCTTTACTCCGGGTACTTCGTTCGGAAAGTGGTGAATCCTTCTCGAATTTATCTCGCAGTTTCCTTAAGTATTGATCGCGATGTCCGCCAGACGATCCCGGCTGGGCTCGTTGTCCTGAATGATTGGGTGTGGTTGGTTTCGGTAAGCCAGTGGGACTCGGAGTCTGCCTTGATTCATTGCTCTGGGTGTCTGCGAGGGATTTGGGGACCGGAAGTTTGGTGTTTTTGGGCTTTTGATATGAGCCACCAGATGCATTTCTCGGGGTGACATGTTCAGTCGATCTTGCCGCGTATCGAGGTGGAGTTATTGCTGAGAGCTCCGTGGGCGAGGTCTTGTAATCTGCTCGGTATGCTTTGTAGGGACTCTGTCGAGTTGGTCGTGGCGAGAGATTCACTAGGTGTCCATCGGGTAGTTCGACGCGAGTGCCTGCCATGTTGGATTGACAATGATTGCGATTATTGATGCCAGCTGTTCAACATGAGTGATGAGAATGGTCGAATCTTTGTGTACGCTAGGTTTGCTAGGTGTGCTGTATATGGATTGATGTCGTGGTTATTCAATCAGTGGTTGGCGGCTGTAGGGCAAAAGATAAGATGTGTTCAAGGAAAGAGCGGGGCGTTTGAGAGCTAATACTAGCTTAGTATATTGAAATGTGCTCTCAACGCGTAAGAATAATGTCCACTGGTTGGAATGCCAGGGTTGGTGAGGAATGCCAGCCCCCATGACGGAATGCCCCATGAAATGGCCCGCCGCCTTCTGGAATGGCACTTTCCTGTTCGTGTCACATTTTGAATTCAATTTGCATCATAGCTGTAGTTTGTTCTCCATGGAAGTTGCACTGGATGCTTCGATGGAAAGTGCGGTGCGAATATCAAACTTCTTGTTTGAACGAAGCGTTTGTTTCCAGAACAAGATGCATTTCCTTTTCCAGTGGAGTCGAATTTCAACCAAGCAATAAAGCCAAGGGGATTAATGGTATCTGGCACATCTTGGTACCCACTTTGGCCCATGATCGTACATTCCTCGGCGTGGCAAACGTGAATAACCTCAATGCATCCGACGTCAGACAAGCTGCATTGAGCTTGACCTCAATTAAGAAGATGTACAAAGGGCGCTTCCCTTGTTGATCATCGTGCAGATGACAGGAGCAAATCGCGCAAATGACGGATTAGGGTTGTTTTTTTGAGGAAACAGCGAAGTGATTGTTCGCAAAACAATAAAGGGTATGTAAAATTTGGTTTTAGAAACGCCCTGTCTCTCGTCGAGAATGGAGGCTATCTGGTCTACTGGTGGTCGACGCCAGTCTACCGGGTGTTGCAGCCCCAGGGACACTGCTTTTCTTGAGAGGACTGGAGCTTCGAATGAGAGGGGTTGTACCGCGCTCTTTGTATACGAAGTCTCCATTGTGTTGCAATCGACGATCGAAAGATGTAGTTGCAGACTTCCTTAATGGGGAGTTGGCATGGCTGTAAATACCAAGACTTCCTCCATCGCCGGGGGTAGTTCCAGTAGATCGGAATTGTGGCTGCCGCATTGTTGTACGGCCGCTGCCCCGAGCCAATGGTGATCCATCTCTGGAGATCGTTGGTGGGCCTTGGAACATGGCCGAGACTGGCGTAGAGGTGTTTGTCTGGCGAGCTGGAGTGAATCCTTCTGGATCCACATGCTTCAGATAATTGGGGTTGGGACTAGTCTTGAACCCACGGTTGATTATAACTGTTGGCGTGTAAGTCTCGACTCTGTTGAGATCATCTTCGCTCTTCGGGTGTTCCGGCTGCACGTCTGAGAATTGTGTTCCAACATCTCTCATCAACGGGTGTGTCCGTGGCTGTACGTATTTGGTGTCATACTCCTTGAAGACTTCTTTGTGCACCACTTTCTGGTCTTTGGCCTGCTGCTTGTAGGAAGAAGATATGAAAGACATCTGAACGGACAACAAGGCCGTTAAAATGATGGTGGTCACGATGGTGACACTGGGGCGTGGATCGGAGAGCTGTGTAGGCAAGAATAGCCAGTAGACTAAAACGTGACCAGGGCTGAACAAGCAGAACAGACGAAGACACAGTGGTGAAGGGTCCCAGATAGCAAGCTCCCAAACATCACGTTGCGCATCAGGATGCGCTCTCGAGCGGGCCGAATCTGTGGAAAGGGCGTTGGCAATGTATCGTAGAGGAGAGGCCATCATGGGGCTGGAATCGACACGCACCCGTTGGGCGGAGGGTGTTGCAGGGTTGTTGTCGATCGAGTTCTCGAACAAGCGATAGTGTCGTTTCTTTGAGAAAGTATAGATAGCGTTTGCGATTGACGCAAATGCCATGAAATGGACGACGAATGATGCCTGGTTACCATAAGTCAGCTTCTCGAGAATAGATATACATCGCGCATGGATTTTATAGAACTATGAACGTACCAACCAACCGCGGATGGAGGTGCCATCGCCGTCGCCAAACACATCGTCAAAGGCCTGGCTGCCACCGGACCGGCTGTTCGCTCGAGCAATAAGAAACACCAGATTAAGCCCGAATCCAATAGGTACGGACCAGTTCTCTTCTAACTGGTCCCAGTCGCCTCCCTCAAACTCCTCGGAAAGCCAGAGCAAAAAGTCATATGGGTTCAGGTAGGCGAGAATACGCTCGCCGAGAGGTCGACGACGTACAAGGGGCGGCATGTTGGAGTGTGTTGGAAGACAGAAGCTCTTCGTCCGTAGCTTCGTCCTAGGTGTGAAGACAACGTGAAAGCATCAAAGGTAACAGTTGCTTAGGCGGGAGGCATTGTTTGGACAAAGTAAACACTGGGAACTTTGGAAATTGTGTCAGATTACGTAACTGCCCGATAACCCCGACCACCTGGAGATCAACCGACAGCTGGTCCAGATCTACCTAACGTTGGCTTGATCTATCACGAACAGTTTGGTCTGAGATTTGTATCACTTCGCAGATCTTTCTTTTCGCTTTTTTTTCACTTCATCATGGCGGCGTCCGCCGCAACATCCAAGGTAGCTATCTCACTGCGACCTGATAACCCCACGATAGCAATGCTAACTCAATGCAATCCAGGACCGGCAATTCCTTGCTGTCATTGGCGATGAAGAGTAAAGACTCCTTATTTGAGGCTTCCGTAATTCATGGGCTCTATTCAGCTAACCTCGTCGTCCGCACACAGCTCTGTCACCGGTCTTTTGCTCGCTGGAATCGGGGTATGATCATTCCCCGCCCTTCCAAGGCATGCTCTTGTTGAAATATGTCGCATACTCATACACTTTCTCTCCTGCAGCATGTCACCGACGGTCCAGACTCGCAAAAGAACTTCCTCGTTGTCGACTCAACCACTGAAACGGCGAAGATCGAGGAACATTTCCAGAAGTTCACAGAGGAAAGGAATGACATCGCAATCGTTCTGATCAACCAGCATGTGAGTATATAAACCATGTCATCGCGCGACCCTATGTTTCCCAGGAGACCCTATCATGCACCTGCTGACACTCTTGTTCAATATAGATTGCCGAGCGCATTCGCCTCAGAGTCGATGCCTTCACCGATCCTTTCCCCGCTGTTCTCGAAATCCCCAGCAAGGACCACCCGTATGACCCCGAGAAGGACAGTGTTCTCAAGCGTGTGCGCAGGTTGTTTGGAGAGTAAATCAGATCAGCGTTGCTGGTTGTCCTGATCTCTGAGCCTGGAGCTATGCTGCTAAGTTTGATTACTGCATCTCGAATTACAGCGTGGCTACAGCTCTAGCATATATGATACTAGGGGCTAGAGGCCGGTCACTCTTTCATTGTAGACTAATGAAAGGGGAGGAATTATGGATAGGATAGGGAAGATACCCAGCGACTGTACCAAGCTTGCACACAGCCCTTCACATACATTTACCTACAATGTTCCTTCCAACCATTAGAACAAGGCTTTCTTGCAAATATGGGTCTTTGTGGTCGGTGGGTCTCCCACACTTTGTATATTAGTCGCATAGGTATAGATCTGTTAAATTTACAGCCCATTTCAGCGAGTCTCTAAATGGAACTATTTAAGTCACAAAATCAGTCAATCAATGCGAAAACCATAACAATGAACAATAAAAGCAAGATCATATCGAAATGTACTGCAAGGCGTTATAAACTCAAAGCGAGAGATGTGAGAATCAGGGTCATGTCAAGGGGCGTGTGATAAAATAATAGCATAGGGTGTAGTCCGGAGATCAGGCATAGAACTCAGGGCGTTGGTATTCAAGCAAATCAAAGGATGCCACCCGGTGGATGGATGCGAAACAATGCATGATCTAGGGTGATCAGATGTGGAATTTGATGTCCTTGGCCTTCAGGCAAGTGACCTGCTGTTGCTTTTGGTTGTACACATCAGCAAGGACAGAGTAAGAACCCTGGAATTCTGTCAGTATCGATGGCTTTGAGGCTCGGGCACAAGACTTACCGGAGGGATCTGCTTGGGTAGATCCACCTCCTTGGTCAGGACCATTTTTCCCTTCTCAAGTGGGCACTCAAGGTCCACGTTCTTGAGCTCATCGCAGAGGTCGACGGTTTGTTTGATTAGGGTGATGAGGCCCCACTTCACCTCCAGGTTCACGGTAGCGCCCTTTTCGATTCTCTCGAGCAGAGTGCCCTCGGCAGAGATGGTCAACTTTTGCCCCCTGGACACACGGTTTGGGTTAGCTATCATGTGCTGGCATAGGGGGTCAGTCAGACTAGGGTAGATAAGCGTACGGTAGAGGCGGGTTGGGCGACAGATCCACCGACTCGATCTCGAGCTTGTAGCTGTCTGGTTTGGCACAGTAGTTCAAAGGGTTGTCGCCTTTGACTGGAAATTCTTCAGGGTCGTTGGCCTTGAGAGTAGCCTGCGTAGGGTCGAAGATTGAGAAAGCAGCTGCATTGACGAGCGGGGCGGCAAGTACCAGCAGGTTGACTGGTGAAAACTTCATGGCAACGAGGGCTTTCAAAGAATGCTGTGAGCAGTGTTTATCTCTATGTGCAGAGAATAGTTCAAAAAAAAGTGCTGGGGACAAGTGAACGACAAAGTTGGAGGTGAGGAGAAAGCTTGGAGATGTCACTTGATGACGCCTCCGCACGTGATCGTGGTAGATCTATCCCCTTTCAGTCGCCATCACTTGTACCTGCATATTTCGACTTTGTTTCCAGCCAGCAAATACACTCTCCAGGGACATGATTTGCTCATTTATCACACATGTCTTGAACTCTTTGTCTCTTTCTCATCCGGCACGCTCTATGTATGTTCTGGGTGGGGGATATCAAGTTGACCCACTGTACTCCAGTTCCTTATCAGTGATCGGCGACATGCGACAGGTCTATTGCAAGAGGTATTGAGGCTTCTCGCATATGCTACGATATTGAGCAAATTTTGGGTCTTCCAAGTAGTTACCGAATTTAGATGACTCCAAGGTGATTTCAAAAAGCCATTGGATATCAACTTGGTACCATTGGGGCGGCTAAAAGGTTACTACATGCTTCTGTGCAAGGATACAACGAACGATTTTCGATGTTTATGGAGAGTCAGTATACCCCAAAGCCACCTGGGCATTTATGACTTGGCAGAGAGTTGTCCCACCTTCATAGTATTCTTTTATTTCTCTCTTCAACTTCTCTCAGGACCTGACAATCCGATTTCCACATCAATGATAACCATTGCGGATATTTCAGAAGCCATCCGAACCACGATGGCTTGACAATAACGTGGAGATGTAAGTGATGAATAGAGATAATATCTGGGTAGTATGTACTACCCAGCATAGGTCGTCTCCCACGGTGGTAGCCCGAATGTACGGCTGTCGGGGCTATATCTGGACAGTGAGACTCGACGAGAAAGCGTTTCGCGTCATCCATAGCACGCACTGGCAATGAAAACAACGATGGTTAGCCAAATCAGCCAATTTAGGTGGTTGCGCTGGGCTCACAGAGGCTCAAATGATCTCCATCGAGAGATTCTATATCGCGAGCAACATGTTCTTTTGGTAGGATTAGCCAGTGGAAGAGACCAGCAGGCCGAATATTATCAATCGCAATCAAATTATCGTCCTATTTCAATTAGACATGCGCCTTGTCGGTAGGTTTTTATCCTACCTCATAAGCAATATTCGCAAAGTTAGATCGATCACAGAATCTGCAGTTGTGCTGAACTCGCTCTGTCCACTCCAGTGTAGTCAAGTAGGTCCATGTTCTTCCGATCCATTCCATATTGAGATTCTTTGTATTTCTGATGTGAAGCCAAATCCCGATTGCAAAGAAAGAGAAAAGAAAGAAAGCAAAGGATGAGGCTGAATATCAATACAACCTATTCGACGCCCGATGAGGCTATGCAATCAAGGCTTTATCACAAGGTTGACAGCTGCGGCATGAAAATTTGACACCTGACTGGATGTGTACTACTACGTACTTGTGCGGATGCTAGTATCTTCATACATGAAGAATCAAAGCTGAGTGGGAAACTGAAACCAGCGCAGAAACATGGGTGAACGTTGACAGCGCTGCCCAAATGGTGGGAACCGGAGAAATACCCGTGGACAGCACCCTTGGAACGTCTCTGATCGGCTGACCCGCGGCTCAAATCTTTTGCTTTCTTCCGTTTTGTTTTGATCCAAACTTGATAATTCTCTTTCACTGCCCAAGTGTATTGTTTGGGGGAATATTCTGATAATACATCAAAAAGGCAATCCACATAAATCCATCTATCGTCCTCGTACCGAGGCTGTACGAGATATTTTTTTCTCGAATGCGGAGTTCGTCCGGACCCTCGCAAAACACCTCACAAGCACTACTATGTCCTTACACATACTTGCCACCGTTTGACCGTCAACACTAGCGTGAGCTGATCTTCATTCGACCAAAATAACATTTTACATTGTACTACTCATAGCATCCCGCGTTGGGTCGGCGGCTGAGCTGAAGATCTACAGATGGACAACAACGCAAAATTGAGCCCCAATGTTCCAACGTCACTACAGTAAACTACTATGAGGCTTGATTTGCAGCTACAAATTTCTCGGAGTTTCCAAGCCAATGGAAATACAAAACACTGCGAATACTCCGGAGCACACTCCAAGTTCCAAGAAACGCCCCAATGAATGTCTTAGGCGATCATTGAAGGCCCACTTTTCAGGGATCAAGAACGCCGCCGTTAGGACAAGAGGATGATCCAGTTGACCCATAACTAACACTAAGGCCCAAGTAGGGAAGAAATTTCCACCTGTGCCTGAAGAATGGTTTGGTGCTGCCCCATTACTTTCGGCCCTAGTTTCACTTTCCCTACTCGTTTGGGAAAATGTACTGGCTCATCAGCTTTTCTCCCCTTTTTCCACTTAATTTCTCCGTGACATCTTTACTTGAAGACAGGGGTTGAATGCATTCTTCGACGACTTGAATGTCTACAGACTGCCAAAATGGCACACTACAAAGACGAATACCCGCTGACCTATGTACGACTCGATGATGACCTTGACTCGCCCCAGCATCAGACTGGAAAGTCAAGACCATTGTCCTCGGCAGAGCAGCAGGCCGTCTTGCAGTCCCAGTCAATATTCTGGGGTTCCAGCTGGACCCTGGAAATTATTGCTTGTCTCATGTCAGTCATTTTCTTGGCTGCCATCATTGTCGTACTGTACATGTACGATGGGAAATCAATGCCGGATTGGCCCTATGGCATCACGCTGAACGCGCTGGTCTCCGTCTTGTCGACTGTGATGAAAGCGTCCATGGTTTTCATTATCACCGAGGGATTGTCGCAGCTCAAATGGTCATGGTTCAGCAAAGGAAACAAGCTCAGTGACTTGGCGCTACTAGACGCCGCTAGTCGTGGGCCCGCAGGAGCTTTTGTTGCTCTCTTTCGTTTTGTTCCTCGGTCAGTATGTTCAAAATGAGTCGTCGGATTAGTGAAACTTACACCATCAAAGTCATCTAGTCACATTCGGATGTCTGGTTCTGGTTATAGCGGCCGCAACCGATCCCTTTGTCCAACAAGTGTTGGGAATCAAAGAGAGATCAATCCATGCTCCTGGAAAATCATCAGTGCAGATATGTGACTCAAATCTATACACTGACTACGATGAAGGCGAAGGGCCGGGATTGAACAAAGTCCCTCTATCAACCTTGGGCGCCATCTACTCCGGCATCTTCCAAGAGCAAAGCCCGAACAGCAAGAACACCTTAGTGGACTGCGCCACGGGCAACTGCACATTTACACCATACCAATCGCTGGGTTTCTGCAGTCGTTGCGCCAACATCACCAGCTCTCTGAAAAAGAAGAAGCAAGCAGGAACTGTCTCCTACATGTCTGCATACAACTACACTTTATCCAATGGGTTCTACTTCCACACAGCCACCAACATGAATTATCTCATGAATGCAACGACCAATAAGCCCCTCGTCGAATTGGACACGAAAGGCCTGGCCACCATCGTCAACTTCACAGCCATCGCCTCCGAGGGATACGGAATGGAACCCCAAGTCAGCGCAACAGAATGCGCGTTATACTACTGCGTCGACACGTTCAAAACATCCGTCAACGGAGGAAAATTCACCGAAACGATCACATCGAACGTCGCCACCTCGAACTATTCATCTTCCTATGATGCATTTGGGAAAAACATCGCAATAACCCCAGAAACCTGCTACTTTAACGGAACACGACTCAACAACACCAACAGCCCCAATTGCACATACAACGTGAACTGGCTCAGTTCTCTAGCAATGTCAAATTCCCTCTCCCCTCTTCTGAAAGGGTCAGGCTCGCGATTCGTCAGCAACAGACCATCTTGGTCATCCGACACAGCGGAAGCATTATACGGCTATTACGGAAACTACACAGAGATTAACTCTGTCTTCGAGACCCTCGCATCATCATTGACAAACCATGCCCGATCGAAGGTCTGTCATGGGACCAAGAATGGGATAGCCTGGACAACGCAGTCATTTGTCCAAGTGAGGTGGCTATGGATGATTCTACCATGCGCGCTCGTGGCACTGAGCATGGTATTTTTGATTGTTGTTGTTTTCCATACTCGAAGGCAGTACATTTGGAAGTCATCGCCGTTGGCGTTGCTTTTCTCTGACTTGCGGGTTGATGGGTCTGGAAATTTCAAACGTGATCCGACTTTGAAGGGAATGGAGAGCACTTCAAAGAAGATGGATGTCTTCCTTGAGAGCTCGCACGATGGGCCTAGACTCAAGGCTGTTGCTACGTCGTGATCTTATGCGAATCTGTGAACTTGTATATATACCGAAATGTTTTACTAGAACTAACTATAGAAATAATGACAATTAATGACTGATAGATGGTGATAGCCCTGGAGGCTCTCTCCAGCCCTGGAGCCTCGGAGGGTTCCTATGTGCATACACATCTGCCCAGGTGGGCAGGTAGTGGTTATGGTAGGGATACATGCCCAGGCAGAGGAGCACTGGGGGTTCCAACCTTGGAAGGTTGAACTTCGGAGCCCTGGAAGGATACCAAGCATGGATGATCCTTCCAACCTTGGTTGGAGGTACCACCTTGGAGTCATCTTCCAGGGACCTCGGGAAAAGATACTGCTTACATCTAGTATAAGAATTTCAAGATGGAGGATAAATAATTAGTCAACAGTGTTCATACAAGCTATCTAGCCCCATCTCAGAGGCCGTAATCGAAAGAGAAGAGAGACTAGATCCAACAAATGGTAAAGATCCAGTGCTGCAGTGCAGACAAATTCTCAAAGACCCTGACCCAACCAATGGTATTTCCCATAACCAATAACCAGTCCCAAGCCACGCCATACGCCATTTGGAGTCCGAAAGTCGGAGAAAATTAAAAAGAAAAAGAAAAAGCCGGCACAGAAAAGTTTGAAAAGTTGAAACACGGAGTCCGAACGCCTGTGCCCCCTCGCTGCAAGGTATCGAAATGAAGTCACACGAGAAAAGAAATTTTGGGTCGTAAGAAACGTTAAATCCTGAAGATTTTCCTTTTGTCACAAGCCCACCATTGCTACCATGTGGATGATCGTCTCACGAAGAAACAGACTGGGTGTTGGTGGGAGCGGGATCTGGAGCATCCTCCATTGGTACGTCCCGGGAGCCGAAAGGCTCGTTCTTGTCTGAGTCTGCATCTGCTCGAGTACGCGACTGTCCATAGTCATCGGGCAGCGTGGCGATTGCAAGGAAGTGTTGAGGCCCAGTGACCCAGACTGGACTTGAGTCCGGTGGTCTTTCTTGGGTCGGGGGCTGGGTCCTCTCTGAAGTGGGGGTATTGGCCATTGTTCCACGTCGCATCAGATAATCACCAAGACTGAGTTTCTTCTTGGCAGGAGTGGCGGCCGGTGCAGGGGTAGGGGTTGTCACGGAAGGAAGTGATGGAGCAGTATCGTGGAAAACAGGAGATGCAAGACTGCCCGCTGAAGTTGAACCAGGACTGGCGGCCGATTGGGTGTTTGGTGCGGGTGGTGGCATCGCCAGATGGAGGTCTCCGGGGTGTTTTGCCTTGGAGATCGGGGTGCTGTGAGCCACAGTTGACGGCCAGGGGGCGGTTTCTCCCAGCGTGGTGACCACATTCGCACTTCCAGATGATTCGGGTTCAGTGTTTACTGGGGCCTCGTCCATCACAACGTCACCTTGCGGCTGTGATACCTGGGGATCAGCGTGAGACATCCCCATCAAGGTGATTTTGCCATAGCTCACGGGCCTCACTGGCTGCTTGGATTGATAATAAGACCAGCGCAAAGGCAATGCCAACGGACCATGATCGGCCGGAATTCCCATGAGTTCAGCGTCCTCTGGAAGTAAATCAAACTGTGATCTATCATCCAAAGGATATGGGAAGTAAGGACACCACCATGGAATTACTCCAGGCGGGATGACACTCTGGTCGCCGTCAAGCCACGCACGTTGTTGAGCCTGGTCCTGCTCATAATGGCAGCCAGAGATGAACCGAGCTCTGTTCATCGACTGGAGAGGCAGAACACCAACTCTGTATCCTCGCTTCACATGTTCCTCCCAAACATTATCATGTTCAACCTGGTCTGGATCCAGTTGTGTTGACGCATCAGCATAAGGACCAACACGTCGGTATGGAGATGGCTGATAACGGTTGATCGTGTCAGATGCAGTTTTGGCGGGCGGTTTACGCGACTTTGCGGACCGGCCAGGCGCCGTTGTGGCTGGTGAAACAGCAGTGGGCGAGCGCGATCTATCATCCGTCGCATGTTTCTCGAAGCCAACTTTGGCCTTCTGGTGTTCGCTTGGTGATGCATGTGATGCAGAGTTGGGGAGTAGACCGCTGACACGTTTTTTCCGTTTAGTACCTACTGCTCCCTTTTCGAGCTGCTGGAATTGCTTTTCAGCATCCGCGATCTTGCGCCTTTCACGACTGGAAAGTTCTGGCAATGGTCGCTGTTGCGTCGTTGGGCTGACATCGCGACTGTGCGTAGCTCTGTCGCGCGCGGAACCAGATGTGGAGCGTGCGTCAGTCGCGACGTCATCTTCGTCTGGATGTTTCGTTGTTTCACTGCCAGCACGGCTTGCGGATGCGCGGCCGGGCTCGATGGGTGAAGCCATTGCCTTCACTTTGGCCTTTGCTTTGCCCTTCACTTTGGGTTGTTTGCTGTTTGCAGGCTTGATTCGACGATCAAGATTCGCAAGGAGGCAATTTTGAGAACGTTCACAGGCACATCCACCGTAGTTGGCGAGGGTGTTGCTGATGCAGGTGGCGGCAACCTCTATCTCGGAAGTATTATCTGCGACCGCCGATCCCTCTTTAGATGGTGGGGTGTATGCCAGTGCCAAAGTAGGGTCCAGATACCACATAGTGGTGATCTCCGAGTCAGCAGGAATATCTTGCTTGGCAACAAAACAGAAGTGGTACTGTCGACCGTTGGTGATGTAAATCTTCAGCATCACGTTGGCATCGCAAGAGCGTCTGATGTATCTGAGTTGATTCCCTTCCTGGCGGCTGTCGATGTAGAGTGGAAGCTGCGAGCTGAAAAAAACGAAGGGTTCTGGGTGTTGCAATGTCTCCCATCGGTTGCTAGGGTCCATTTTGTAATTGTCGAGAGAACCTAGCCCGCCGAATATTTCGCCAACAATTTCATTCTTCCGTATTGGATCTTGAGTTTTCAATATCTTGAACATTGGATTCTTACCACCAATCTTCGTCGTTGAGTCCGTAAACGTATGGGTCGTAAGCCTAGGCCAAGTGGCGTCAAAAGCCGCTCCACATTTACGCTTGAACTCTTCGTCAGTGAGCCCTTCCGTCACACGAGTCAGAGTGTCCGGGTCGTTAAGCCAGGAGATAATGCGATCGATGAAAGATACACCAGGCAGAAGATTACTGCCACTCTGGACAAAGGAATCGTCGCGGTCATATAGGTGGAGAAATTCGTTCGAGTAGAGGGGGATGGTAGGTTCGGGATTCGTAGGACTCATCGCAACAGAAGTAGATGATCGGCGGTTTCGCGACTCAGCAGAGACGCCTTGGAGGCCACTGACCGAAGTGGATGGACGGTGAGACCCCTTAGTCTTCTTGGCGGGGGGTTGATCGCGAGCATTAGAGTCGTGTCGTTTCAGGTTTGATTCATTCACATCGGTTTCCTTCGTCTTCCTTTTCTGTGTCTTTGCGCCCGGACGCCTGGGTTTCCGGTCCCCATCTTCGCTTTTTTCTCGGACCCGCCGCTGCCGTTGTCGCTCATGAGCCCGACGATTATCCAAGGGTCGTGGCTCACAGTCGACACAATTGTGCACCTCTGGAACCTTCTCTCCCGGATAATAGCATGAGATATGCTGCCATGTGTCACACCTTTCGCAAAAGACCGTACTACCATCATCTTCTTGGAACGAGCAAATGCACTTGATGGTATACGGTTCTTCGTCGGGTGCACCGGAGTCAGAGACGGCGCCATCGGTGGCAGCGGGGGACCCGCGAGAAGCGGGAACCGGATAGGAATCCGTTGTGGCGTGCGTGATGGCGAGGGAGGAGGTATCTGTCATAGCCGACAGATTACCCCCTCACAGGCGAAGACAAAATGATGATCTCTTGACAGAGGCTCAACACAACTACCACTGTCCACGTCGCATATCAGGTCCTGTTGCGGATGTATGGCCTTCCAAGCGAATCTCGAGGGAGGGTGGACGCGATTAACGATCGAGGGCGACGACAAAGGGGAGCTGGGAGGTGGCGTGCGCAGACGACAATGTCCCAGCGGTAGCGAGAGGAGCGAGGATGACACTGTGGTTCGAGGCGATGAAGGATTGGCAAGTCGAGGGGCCAGCGATTTGGCAAACTAGGGGAGGTCTGGGGTGGGATCGAGGTTGAGAGAAAGGGGAGAGGTCGCGTATGGGAGGAGAGAAAAGATGAGAGAATAAAGTCGAGAGAATAAAGTAGGTGATTATCGCAAAGAAGGAAGGAGGGAATATGGAAGCACGGCAACGCGAAGGGGGCGAAAAGGAGAGGAAAAAGAGGGCGATTGTGAACTGGAAACAGACGAACGAGGAGGCTACGTGGGCCTAAGGCAGGCAAAGGCAGAGACAGGTGTAAAAATGGGAACGGGCCCAGAAACCTGAAAACGAAGAAAAAAAACCGCTCCATTGACTGTTTCTCGACGGAGGTCTCGCTGTAACTGGCGTATTTTTGGTGTCCAATACCTGTATTGTCACGTCCAGATCCGGCCGTGTTCGCTAGTCCTATTGGGGATTAGCGTGGCAATGTCACGGGCAATGCTGTAAAGTGAGCTTTTGTCGGGGTGAGCTTCTAGTGTTAGTAACCCGGGAGGGCTTGGAGGATGAGATCAGAGGCAATTGTGTATCCTCGCTGGAAAAATGAATTCGCGTTGGGGCTCAGTGGGGGCCATCTTCTGACCCGAGGGGCCTTATACTGCAAGCCAGGCATGATGGTTGATGCAGAAAAAGCGTTCTATCGAGAGCCGCCAAAAAATGCGAGGTCAGCCAGCCCGATCCACAGTATAATATGGATTGTGGGCGGGGAGTTGAGGGTCCCGTAGTCCAGTGTCTTTCAACCTTTTTGACTTGGGTGTTTCTAGAAGACATAAGGAGTTCAGAATTTTGCTCGGGAAAAACCGGTGGCAATGCAAGGGATCCAGGCGATATAGGCGAAAACACAAGGCTAAAATAAGGCTGGAAAGGGCGGTATTTGAGTCGCATGAGGAAGCATAAGTAACGAAGGACCGTGGAAGTGACATGGGGAAATGAATATTGGGGGGAGAAAACGGCCCCATGAGATTGGGAAACGTGGTGGCAGGGAGGGGTCATCTGCCCTGGTACAGAGTTTCACTGTAGATCAAGCATTCGATGGCGATATTGATAGCCCAAAGGCAAAAGGTAAAAAGGCAAAGGAACAAGGACAAAACACGAAAGGGCCAAGTCAAAAAGGCCGGGAAAAGGTAGTCAAATGTGTGGTGAAAGGGGGAAACCTATTCCGATATATTAGCGGTTTGGGCATTTGCCACATACAAAGAGAAAAAAAAGACCAGTGTGTAAGTAGGAGAGAGAATAAGGGAATAAGGACCAGGGCTAAGCCAAAATAATAAATTTTGTATGAGATTTGCAATGTGAAAGATACTGTACCGGCCACTTTCTCCAGTCTGGGTGAATCATTACCTTCTGATTCGCTCATGAGTAGAGCCTACTGAACTCCACTCAGTCCTTTTTTCGGCGGGGAAGCAAATCTATACGGAGTGTCAACACAATGCGCAGGAACAATAATTGACTCACTTAACAATACTATTATAACAGAAGAGCGCAGACCTATCTAATGTCTATCAATGTTTCATCGGTGCGGCGCCGCGCGCAAATCCCTCCGTATCCCACGAATCAAGCGAATCAAGGCCCTTCGAACATTGTCTGATTGAGGTTCAACTCGAAAGCCCCCACATTCTCGGGAATTGCATCAAGCTTCCGCCGACGTGGAAGCGCCTTCTGTGTTCGAGACTCTGGTCCAGCCTGATCCGCCCATCTTCGTCGATTCATCTCGATCGGCCTTTCAACCTCAACGACAGGCACGGCGTCTTGGAATCGATGAAACAGGAATAACAAGGCGAAAAGGCCAATGTTGATGTATGATGCAAGTAGTCTCATACTGCGAGGCCCCTTCACTTTGTCTTTGGGCCCTCCCCACAAGCCACCGGCTATCAACAGTAGGGTGCTGACGAACATCCCAAGATAGGTGCCGAAGGGCTGCACGGCGAAGCTGTGTCGAGAGGTGATTCGGTTTACCCTCAGTCTTTGACGGAAGTGACGGTAGGTTATGCATGATACCAATGAGGAAAGAAAGCCGGCGCTGGTGACCAGACGAAGGAGGTAGTTGTTCGTAACTGAACTCGAGTACTTCACCGATATGAAGCCAAGACTCGTGAACAGACTAGACGCCAAAACAGCCATATAAGGAACGTCCCAGCGATTGCGTGATGAGAACACCGAGGGGGCATGGCCGAGTTCCGACATGGCACATAGTGTGCGAGAAGACAGGAAGAGGAAAGACCGACCGGAGGCCACCGAGGAGAGCAGAATTGCAATGGTTGCAATCGTGGGTACGATCTGAATATGTGCGTCTTTGAGGCCGATCAGGTAGGGCGATATTCCAGAGCCTGTACCATTGTTGGTCAAGCGCGTTTCGTTAAACGGAGCCATCACACCCATGGCCACAGAACTCAGAATATAAGGAAAGGCTGTTTGAAGCACGTCTGATGTGACTTTTCCGGGAATGGTTGCGCTGAGAATTGCGGACTCGCCAAGCACTGCAGGAATCTCAGCGTGGTGACCAATGAGCTCTGGGGCGAATGTGAACGCAATAGAGCTATCGAGAAGACAATGGAAGAAGCCCAAGGCCCGTCCCCGCACGCCACTGATGATGTACTCATTCATGGCTCCTGGCTGCTTCCAATATTTGAACCCCCAAGGTGTCTGTCCGTCAAGACCTCCGAGGCCAAGAGCTAAAGCCAGGACGAAAAGAGTGGCCATGGTACCGATCTTGATCCAAGTGAACAGCCGCTCGGAGGCTTTGAAGGCTTTCTCAGGGAGGAAGTTGCTTCCCACGACGATAGCCGTGATGATAGCCAATCTGGAGCCAACTGCAGTTCCCGGTTTCCACAGACCAAGATTGGCCATAGCCGTTGTTGTTTCGTATGGGACAAAAAGAGCGAGTGCGTACCATCGGAGGTATGTTGAAGCGAAAGCAACACTGCTTGACATGTACAGGTAGCCGTTTGTGACGAGTGTTCCATACCGCGATGGCATATGAGTAGACACTTCAGCAACGGTCGTGGTCATTGCATAGGTAAGGAGGGAGAGGATTATATACGACAGGAGCAGCGATGCGGGCCCGCCAACAGCGAGAGCCTGGCCAGCGCCGATGAACAGGCCGGTGCCAAGTGTCGGACCGATCGCCATCGTGGGTTAACAATGGATATAGATAATGAATGGTATAGGAGAAAGGACTGTAAGTGTGAGTTTGTAAACTCAGGGGTTTTGAAGTTGTCGGGGTGGCAATTCATGGAATGCTCAATCATCGTTCTTTCCTTGTGTCGTTGCTGGGAGAGGCCAAAAAAGCAGTAGTTGAGGTAGAATCAGATGTTCGATACTACATGCTACAAAACACATTTTGAAGCTTGTAGGTATTGATTGGAAAGGGTATCTATGATCAAAAGGAAAAGGAATTAAGTTGATGGCCGAAGACATGGTGTGGTACCATCTTCTTGTACCAGACCTGTCTCGTGCGCCTTCACGGTTCGAACTCACCCATCGTGTTTGATGAGTCTTTCCTGGTGAGGGGTTTAAGCACCTAGGGAAGCGGCGAGAATGTTGCCAATTATTGAGAAGCCATGTCAGTCTCGGCGAACTCGAGCCATTCTCCGGAGAGTGAGCGCTTCCAGAACCGCACTGTTCCATCATCGCCAGAAGAAATCAAGGCATCGCCTATAGGTATGTAAGCAACTCCGTATCATGGGCAAAAAGTTTTTTGGGTTCAAATCAGAGTTACCCACCTGAGAACGAGAATTGAACTTGCCACACGTCGAGGTGTTTGCTGTCGATGCAAGCAACTTCCTTGAATGAATGACGGAACTGAGCTTCTCCACTGGCTTGTCGATCATTCGTCGACTCTGGTACACGGCTTGCCAAAGCAGAACCGATTCCAGATTGTGATGTTGACCGGAGTGATGGGCTTTGTGACTGCACACGACGCTCTGCCTTGCGGCCGTTGGCGTTTTGGAACGCTTGGCCAGCCGGCGCTGTATAGACTTCGAAAATGCGGACCATGCCGTCTTTACACCCACTTGCAACAAGATCGTAGCCACGGACAGAGCCATTAGCCCAAGAGATATCTCTCACTAGACCGGCGTGTGCATTCAGTTCAACTGCATGGTAGAAGCGTCGGTTTGCATCTGTGCGGTAGATCTTGACCGTGTCCATAGCGGCCACGATCAGGGAAAGGCTTTTTCGATCGGTGTCTGGCAAAATTGTATGAGTGATGTCGGTAGGGTCCTGGTGGAATTGGACTTTGAAACTCGTTTCCTCGCCACGCTCGGGCGCGGTGCATACTCGGAACTGGTCGACGGCTTGCCAGTCTGCGAGGCTATCGGGACTGACAGGCTCCATGACCATCAGATAACCATCGCGAGTGATAACGGCTAGCCAAGACTCCAAGTCAATATTGCGAAAGTCAAGTGAGACAAATGGATGCCTTTGCGGCGCGGTCATGCGAAAGATCGACCTGAAACGCCGTCCCGAGTTCGGTGGCTGGGTCACGTCCTCTTGCCAGATCTTTAACTTCATGTCTTCTCCAACACTGCCAATATGTTGGCCTGTGAATGGTCCATTCCATGTTGCCTGCGACAGACGATCAGCAAGTGAAACAAGCGGAAGCTCTCCGATACCGCCAACTGTTTAGAAACGTACATCGCGTATTTCAGCATCATGCGCACGCCAGGTGTCTACCAATTGCCACTGCCCATCTTTGAGGTCCCAAACTTTCATGCGGTGGTCAGAGGAGGCTGTGACAATACGATTGCCATAGAAGTTAAACCTGGTGACGGTTACCAGATCCCGATGGCCAGCATCGAAGTCGGCAAATCCAGCCGTGATCTTGGGGCGCTCCACTGTCCCCATTGAGACTGTCAAAACTATGGAATTGACGAATTAGACAACTGGGCCAATGATTTGAATTTTATGCATCTGCACGTATGAGGTATGAAACAGATGGTCGTCGCCTTACCTTTCTTGGTCGCGAGCATCACGGGATGTCTTGACCGCTTGGTAAGGCGGTAGGGTTTGACGGGCAGAACACGATAAGCTTATCGCGACATTTCGTGAAGACAGATTGCGCATCGTTGGAGCTACTCTTTTGCAGGTTCATTTCGTTCTTGGGTTTTCCTCAGGGATATATCCTCTTGCCGCTTTTATTGCAAGCCATGCATAACCCGAGTCCCCTCTCCCGCTCGGAGACGTGGTGTCTACTGGCCCTTGTGGGCGCCGGTCTGGGGATCCTCAATGCTACGTTCCAAGGCGATGGAGCGCCACTTGTCGCTTCGATCGCTATATGTGCCATTGTGTTCGCGGCAGCTTTTAGCCTAATACGATGGCTCGGGCCTGTATTTTTGAAGGCGGGATTGAAGGGCAAAGATATGGCGAAGCCAAGCCGGCCCGAGATGTATGTGCTGTATCGCTTTTAGGTTGATGGTCACATGTACTGACTTCGGATACCAGCCCAGAGACCATGGGCGCAGTATGTGCAGTGGTCTACTTGATGGCACTCATTGTGTTTATCCCTTTCGCATTCTACAAGGATATTGTAGCTGCCACATCCGGCGGTGGAAACCGCGATGTTGTCATTGAATCGCAGCATATTGAGAACGGTCGATTCTTGCACCGATTCCCGCACGGCAAAGTCGGTCCTATGCCCCCAAGACGATTGTTATGAAATTTAGTGACTGACGTTCGTGATAGCTTGCCTCCTACCTTTCTGGTCTGTTGTCCCTACAGTCAGTTGTCATCCTGGGAATCGGTGATGATCTTTTTGATATTCGCTGGAGGCACAAAGTCTTGATCCCTGCATTCTCAGCTATTCCAATGCTTGTCGTATACTTTGTTGACTTCGGTGTCACGCAAGTCGTCGTCCCCGTACCGCTCCAGCCATACCTAGGTGACGCCGTCGACCTCGGATGGCTGTACTACGCGTATATGGCAGCAGTCGCGATCTTCTGCCCCAATGCTATCAACATGCTAGCAGGCATCAATGGTATCGAGGTCGCGCAATCACTAGTGATTGCCACCCAGTTACTCTTCAATGATGCCATGTATCTCGCGCCCATTACGCCCTACCCGCACCCTGCCACCGATTCCCATTTGTTGTCGATATACTTTCTGCTACCCTTCATTGGTGTTTCAGCAGCTCTTCTGTATCACAACTGGTACCCGTCAAAAGTTTTCGTTGGCGATACCTACTGCTATTTCGCAGGCATGGTCTTCGCTGTGGTCGGCATACTAGGACATTTCAGCAAGACCCTACTGTTGCTGTTCATTCCCCAAATCTTCAACTTTGTCTACTCGGTTCCTCAACTATTCAAGCTCATCCCTTGCCCTCGGCATCGGTTGCCCAAATTCAGCGCCTCCACCGGGCTTTTGGACGCTTCTGTCACAGAGTGGACGAACCCGCCATCGCCATTGGTTGATCTAGCATTACGTCTCTTGCATGCAGTCAAACTAGTGCGCATCACGCAGGACGAGCAAGGTCGGATCACCGAGTCGACAAATCTCACCATCTTGAACTTGTGGCTGGTATGGATGGGCCCCATGCGGGAAGACCAACTCGCGTGGCACATGGTTGCAGTGCAAACCGTTTGTGGACTCATTGGTTTGTTTGTCCGACACCGACTTGCATTGCTCGTCTTCAATCACGATAACAGAGAGTTTGGGTTCATAGCATAGATCGAAGTGGGCATTGTTACGAACCTCATGTCGACATGCTCATTTATTAGGCCTCATCTTTTCAGTGTAAATATTTTCAACAACAACAATGCGTGAAATGAAAACTCCAATGTATCAAAACCACTTTACAACCTTACACCACCCAGCATATTGTTGTCGAGACCCTTCAATCACTCGTGGTCTGAAGCGTCCCTCAGCCCGCGAGTTTCTCTTTCGACCTTTTTGTCTCCGAAAACTCCACCTATCTGTTTGACGACCAGCCAAGCAGGCAGAATCGCGATGGCCCACAAACCGAAATTTAGGTAGATGCTACCCACGGCCGCCATGATGTTCACACTGCTCAGACCGTACTAGGCGAATATCATTAGTATGAATGGCACTAGCATCCGAGCATTCGCATCACTCACACTGACACATTGAGCAGCTGACTCGGTTCCACGCAGCAAGCCCGCGATTCGTACAACCTCTTCCTGATCCTCCGCGAGATTTCCCACCAAGAAGAACCTGGTTATTATCTGTTAGCGTGTTTCCAACGGAGCGACCAACACAACGACTCGACTTACAAATACATATAGTTGAGTTGGAATCCAGCAACCCAGAACAGGAAGAGCACAAAGGCTCTTCCGAAACCTGGGGAAGCCCAGTCATATGCTGGGTTGGTCTTGTGGAACTCGGTTGTAACCACTGTCGCCCAGATCCAACACATGCCTTGCCATGCTACAACAAAGAAGAATGCATAACGGGCTCTCTTCTCCAGGGAGATCCGCTTGGAATCAAGGAAGGCTCCCAGGACATTTCCAATGATCAGAGCGATGACACCAGAAAGGAACGATCCAAGCGCTCTCGCTCGCACCGAGAACCACAAGCCCTCGTATGAGAACATTACAGCCTCGGTGTATACAGCTTGACATATGAACGGAATGATGAGTAGGAATTTTCGGCTGACCCAAAGCTTCGCTGTGGCCTTCAGCTCGTATCCAATGCTGTTGTTGACTTCCAAACGGACCGGGATTCCATCCTTTCGCTGGACTTTCGACGGACTGCTCAGAAGCAGGCCCGCAAAAGGACCCAGTGCTTGTAAAGCAATAAAGATGATATAGACGGTATAGGACACGGAGCCTGACGTAGACCGGTCTGCATTGATGCCGAGGTTGATGGCGCCACCGAGGATCTGTCCTCCAACGCGGAAGCCTAACCAGAATCCTAGGAACCGGCCTTGATTGTAAGGCTCAGGGTATGACAGTGCAATGGCCGCTTCAGCCATCCAAAAGATTCCTGCAGAGATACCACAAAGCGCAGCACCCAGGAGGACAAGCCATTCGTTGCCGAATCGGTTGTTCGTGTATAGTCCTGCTGCGTAGGGTGCGTATCCCATTGTCCCTACAATGAGGGTCCATTTAATTCCAATAAAGCGCACAATGACACTGCTCAAGAAGCAGGACACCACCATGAGCCCGAAAGTCAAGGCGTTTGCTGCGTTCACGAGATAGGGCTTTTCTTCTCCTCCACCACCAAGGGAGTTCATGGCACCCCAAATGCCGGGAGCAAGGAAATTGCACAGACCGAGGATAAAGGCATTGAAGAATGTCGACCGGTAAAAATTGACTAACCTGTTAGCTGGTATTCAATCGGTCAACAACAGTTGATCATCAATAGATCCTCACCTTTTTGCGGCCCAGTTCGTGAAATGTATGAGCCGGCGCTGTGCACTTCCTCGTCATTTGGAGTGACATCCTTCTCCGAAGCTGCCATGATCAAAAGCTCAAATTTGATGGTAAAAAGTAATTTAAAGATTTGACAGGCGTTTCCCCCGATTTCGAACCCTGGAGGTCGGCAGACGATCAAGTTGTTATTTAGTACAGTGCCCCTTGCGAGATCTAAATACACCCAGTATATATTCCCGGTTGTACTTCCTCAAGCAATCGATCCCGCGAAATGACAGCAGTAAAGAGAGTTTATTTGTCTCAGATTCCTCTATCTAAGTGTTATCTAGTCTCAAAGAGACTTAGTCTCAGTTCTTTATAATGTTGTCGTTCTTGGGTGGGATTACGTGCTCGCACGGCTGCTTCGGTAGCACGAATCCTGTAATCTGCACTTCAGTCGAAATTATAAAAAACACAAGGGCAAAGAGCATTTAATTGTGTAGAACCGAGACTCGATTAGCTAAATGACCTCGATAGTAAGTTATACCTATACCTAGGTACAAGTATGCGCTTTTGAACCCAACATTGGGCAAAGATCGCGATATAGATGTGGGACCTGGGGTAGAAATGTTTTAGACTTCAACCTTGGAAATTTCAAGAACTTCATATGTGCAATTCAACAAGTCTTGGAGCCTTGGATGTAAATATCCTTGAATGGGGATTAAAAAAGGGATGTCAACAAAAATTATCCGAGTTAATAAACCGGGGTCTTTCTTCACATGTGCAACATCGTGAGCATCTCTACAATTTTGTTTATTCAACACATTGATTGATAATACAATCTGATATCCTTTGATTTTAACAGAGGCGTCTCAATGACTTACATAGTTATGTACAGATGTACAGTATTCGCCGCATATCACAGTGTATTTAGTTGTTCTACCATACAGGCTGTAGGTTTCGTCATCGCAGGCGCGGATCACATCAGATTGAGTCGAAAGCAGCAAATTGGGGTCACCCCAAGTTCCGATTTATTTCACCAGTCTGACTTCGCCTCTACAAGACGAGAGTGTGTGGTTTCTTTTCACTATGATTCAACACCAGTAAACATTGATCTCCAACAAATTATATCGTAGAACTCTCCACTGTAGCGGAACGTTGATGTGAATCTAGTATCTAGGGTCCTAACGATCTACCCCGGTCCAAACCTTTATCACGCCATTCCTGCCCCGCCATGAGCAATGGAATGCTCACAGACATCCGGGGCACGGGAGCGCTCTCATTGCGCAAATGCGCGACGGAATCCCTCCATAGGCGTTCCATGGCCAACGAGTGGAAACCCTCCGACCTTACGTGCTCATGGATTTGATATCAAGGCCCCGCGCCCTAAAATGAGGCAAGCGTAATCCGTACTTAGCCTTTATCTTCTCGCCCGAGAGACTGTATAAACTGCCACCAAGGACAATATAGATAGAGTAAATTCATTTGTATTTCCTTGTGAGCTTCAGGTCATGCCATTACTAGCCCCAATCATGTCTACCACATCCACATGTCTCCAAGTCGAGGAGTTCCAAAAGGCTCCGACCACTTTCCACAACGAGATCTTCTCGGGCTCGATCTCAGATTACTCAAATGAGTCAAGGCCTCAGAGCGAACCGGCCTCGCCGCGGTCGGAAGAATCGACACAACGAGTGTTGCTCTTGAAGGGGGCCCGCGAGCAATATGCATTGGTGAACGACCATGCTATCCCTTCGGTATTGCATGAGGGGGAAATCCTTGTCAAGGTATGATAGGCCTATACAGCCTGTACCTTACACGATCGTGTGGTGCTAATATAGATTGTGCAGGTCCTCGCTATCGGTCTCAACCCCGTCGACTGGAAAGGGCCGTGAGTATAATCTAACCCAGCTGACCGCTGGCGTTTTCTCTTCCCCAACTTGCTGACCATCATCTTCTTAGGGCATTCAATTTTGGTATTCCCAGTCTTCCATGGATCAACGGGCGTGACCTGGCTGGCCTGGTACTACAAGTACCCGAAAACTCATCGCGTCTTCGAGTAGGCGATGTCGTTTTGGTGCCATCCACGGATTACCGAGATATCAGAAAGGCAGCATTCCAAGAATACGCTATTGCCACCGATTTTAATGCCGCTCGCATTCCCTCGACAGCTTCTATCCATGCCTCAGCCTCTGTAGGGGTTGCATTCGTGGCCGCTGCGTTGGCTCTTGGTGTCTCGTTCGGATTAGACTTCTCATCTATTACTCAATCACCTGGGCCCAACTTGCCTAGCATTATTGGAAAACTTAACAAAGACGACATCCCGGCCGACATTCAAGAAGAATGCTTTGCATCATTATCAGGCTCTGAAAAGCCACAGCGTGGAGATTGGGTTGCCATCTGGGGAGGTAAGATACACACGACCCGTCTTTGCCGTAAACATGCATCAGACTAACACCGACAAACTAGCCTCCACCACTACAGGTCTCATTGCTCTTCAACTGGCCAAGCTCGCAGGGCTCCGGGTTATCTGTGTAGCAGATGCCGCACGGCATGGTGCCAAACTCCTACAGTCCGGCGCAGACCTCCTCGTCGACCGACAAGATCCCGATCGGGCAGTGGAAGTGATTCGGGGTGTTACCGATGGCAAGCTACGATATGCCCTAGATATCGTTGGGAGAGACACAGCAACATTGCTTGAAAAGACCCTCAACCCCGACGGCCACGCCCATCTTCTTGGACTTTCCGGTCTGCCCAAGGAACAAATCCCCGGAATCCAATATCACACCGTACCCATTAAGCTTTTCCATACCGCTCCCACAGTGGGTGAGGCGATGGTGTGCTGGTTGGAGGACCTTCTGCAATCAACAACTCTAACATTGCCGGAGATTGTACATGCCGAGGGTGGGCTGGAGGGTATTAATGCAGCATTGGAGACACTGCGCAGTGGCTCGGTATCGGGGAAGAGAATTGTGGTTGACCTGGGCTCTCTATAGCCCACGGCACGATGGCTTACGACTTCCCATCATTTCATGAAATATTAAGACTTGGGCTTGGAGTTTGGGAATATAACTAAAGGTAGACTTCACGTTAGAACATGAGATCTTGCGCAAGATCCGAATTCGCAATTTTAAAAATTTGAACTGTTGAGAATGCGTGTGTAGAGTTTGGCTTGATATAGTAGAAGATCTCTGCCGAGGTGTAAAATGGTGAGAGTCCACGTCAGTGCAGGCCGATCGGAGCAGCCAATTGATGAGTCTTCATTACCTGCCCCTTGGCTACGTCACTGCTTACGGACTTCCTGCACCAGAGAGACCAAACCACAAAGGGCATAGTTAGTCAGTACATTTGTATAGAATTGAATGCAACTGTCCACTACAGTACCCCCCGACATCTTCGCTCAGAAATACAAACACACCCAAACACACCCTCCAATCTTTTGAATGGCATCAAATGGAACAATGACTCAGAACTCCCGCCACGAAGCGCAAGTAGCCGCCATTTCTTTTTGTGTCGTTACATCCAGAGCCGACATCGGCCCTCCGCTATGTCGGTCGGGCAGCCAATCAAAACGCGACTATTCTCCGCTGACCGGCCGAGATCGGCGTTGCCCCTCGAGAAGCTTCCCAGCGACATCGCGGTTGCTGCAGAGCTGAAAAATATAATAGTCATTCCTACTCCAGATCCCCAGGTCTTTTGGTAATTACTATCTCGCTCTTCGCTGGAGCTTCTGCTATCATTTTCAGCCCTTATACCCACATCTCATTCTCACATCCTCTCATCCTATACACATCTCAACCACCCCACTATGCCTTCCGCTGAATCAAAACCCAAGACCTTGTACGACAAGGTCTTCCAGGATCACATTGTCAATGAGCAAGAAGATGGTACTTGCTTGATTTACATTGACCGTCACCTCGTTCACGAGGTCACTTCCCCCAGGCTTTCGAGGGTCTGAAGAACGCTAGCCGAAAGGTCCGCCGGCCGGACTGCACTTTGGTTACAGTCGACCACGTAAGTCCAATTCTCCTCTGAGATGTAGCGCATGGTTTTTGCTCACATGTCGCTTTCCTAGAACATCCCCACTTCCTCACGGAAAAGCTTCAAGAACGCCGCCGACTTCATCAAGGAGAACGACTCGCGTTTGCAATGCACAACCCTCGAGGAGAACGTCAAGGACTTCGGTCTTACCTACTTTGGCATGGGCGACAAGCGTCAAGGAATTGTCCACATCATTGGTCCTGAGCAGGGCTTCACTCTGCCTGGCACCACTGTCGTCTGTGGTGACAGTCACACCTCCACACACGGTGCTTTCGGCTCTCTGGCCTTCGGTATCGGAACCAGTGAAGTCGAGCACGTTCTCGCAACCCAAACCCTCATCACTCGTCGCAGCAAAAACATGCGCATTCAGGTCGACGGTGAGCTGCCCGCTGGTGTCACCAGTAAGGATGTTGTTCTCCACATTATCGGTGTGATTGGCACAGCCGGTGGTACTGGTGCGGTTATCGAGTTCTGCGGATCCGTCATCCGTGGACTCAGCATGGAGGCCCGTATGTCCATGTGCAACATGTCCATCGAGGGTGGTGCGCGTGCTGGCATGATCGCACCTGACGAGATCACTTTCGAATACCTCAAGGGTCGTCCCCTGGCCCCCAAGTACGGCAGCGCCGAGTGGAACAAGGCTGTGAACTACTGGTCCAGCCTGAAGTCCGATGAGGGTGCCAAGTATGATGTCGATATCTTCCTTGATGGAAAGGACATCATCCCCACCATCTCTTGGGGTACCTCTCCCCAGGACGTCATCCCAATCAACGGCGTCGTTCCTAGCCCCGATGACTTCGAGGATGAGGCCCGCAAGTTGGCTTGCAAGCGCGCTCTCGAGTACATGGGCCTTGTCTCTGGCACTCCTATGAAGGAGGTTAGTGTTGACAAGGTTTTCATCGGATCTTGCACCAACGCCCGTATTGAGGATCTGCGCGCCGCAGCCAAGGTCGTTAACGGCCGCAAGGTTGCCGCCAACATCAAGCGTGCTATGATTGTTCCCGGCTCTGGACTGGTCAAGCAGCAGGCCGAGGATGAGGGTCTTGACAAGATCTTCGAAGACGCCGGCTTCGAATGGCGTGAGGCTGGTTGCTCCATGTGCCTGGGTATGAACCCGGATATCCTCTCTCCCAAGGAGCGATGTGCCAGTACATCCAACCGTAACTTCGAGGGTCGCCAGGGTGCCCAGGGTCGCACTCACCTGATGTCCCCCGCTATGGCTGCCACCGCTGCTATCGTCGGCAAGCTTGCCGACGTCCGTGAGCATTATGTGGCCAGCCCCGTCCTCGGAAAGGCCTCTCCCAAGATCGATGTCCAGCAGCCCGTCGCAGACTCCCCGGAGACCGAGGATGAGCTTGACCGTGTTCTCGATCAGCCAGCCGATGACCAGCCCCACACCAACACTAGCGCCCCCGCTAGCGGTGGTAAGAGCACTGGCCTCCCCGCCTTCACTTCCTTGAAGGGTATCGCCGCTCCTTTGGACCGTTCCAACGTCGATACCGACGCCATTATCCCCAAGCAGTTCCTGAAGACCATCAAGCGTACTGGTCTTGGCACTGCTCTCTTCTACGAGCTCCGTTACACCGACGACAAGGAGAACCCTGACTTCATTCTGAACCAGGGTATCTACCGTGGCGCCAAGATTCTTGTTGTTAGCGGTCCCAACTTCGGATGTGGTAGCTCCCGTGAGCACGCCCCTTGGGCTCTGCTGGACTTCGGTATCAAGTGCATCATCGCCCCCTCCTTCGCCGATATCTTCTTCAACAACACTTTCAAGAACGGTATGCTGCCCGTCGTCGTCTCTGACGAGGCTGCGCTGGCCAAGATCACCGCAGAGGCCCAAGCCGGCCGCGAGGTTGAGGTCGATCTCGTCAGCCAGGAGATCAAGGACTCTCAGGGTAACAAGATCGTCTCCTTCGACGTCGATGCCTTCCGCAAGCACTGTCTTGTCAACGGTCTGGATGACATTGGTCTCACCCTCCAGATGGAGTCCAAGATCCGCACTTTCGAGACCAAGCGCACTCTCGACACCCCTTGGTTGGATGGCAGTGGCTACCTCCGTCGCGACCGCCGCGGTGCGACCATGGTCGAGGCTGCTCCTGTCCCAAAGACCAACCGTGGTGAGGTGACAAATGAGCCCCTTGAGTGGTAAAAGTTGTCCTTTTGTTTGGTGATTGCTTGGCTTTGGCCATCGGTACTGCTATACTCCATTCCGGCGTCACATTGTATGGATATCAAGATAATATTCCCCTATTTCTTGCGACTACTATTTATGTTTGGTTCTGCCCTGGGCTAGCCATGGGCTTTTGGTTTAATTTCGGTAGCCTACGAATATCAACGAGAATGAATTATGATCGTGGACCTTGAATTCCCCGTAGTCGTTAGTTTTTACCTGGTAGACTGTGTCGGTTTCTGGGTAAGTAGCCATGTAAACTCTTCCACCACCGAGAGCTATTTACCAGTAGTAATACTTTAGGTGCCCAAATGCCCACGTGGTATTCCAATGCTTTTGTAGATTCGTTCATAGCAAGGTAGACGGGTAGTTTGATGTACCTGAACATGATAGGCCGAACCTTCAAGCGATGACTCAAGAAACGGGGTAGTCCAAATAACCCCTCTTTCTTGTAGGTCGTTCTTCTTCATTGTAATTTATCTTGCAGATACTTACAACATGAACAATCGAGGTACTCCAGACGAAGGTATTGCTTTGAGTGTGACCCATCCTGGATCTGATGGCGTCTCCGAGATCGAACAACCAGCCATTGCTCCAGCAGACGGGGGCAAAGCAGCGTGGTTAATGCTGGCTTCCTCTTGTTTGATCCAAGTTCCAGTTTGGGGTCTGTGATTACTGCTCGTGCATTAGAATGCATCGCAATTGACCTAACCCTTCTAGGTTTTTCGACTGTCTTTGGCATCTTCCAACAATATTATACAACCCATGACGTTTTACAGGGAAGCAAAGGAGATTTAGCCACTGTTGGGACTACTTCCACAGTAAGCACTTGCGGATTTCTGAAATTGCATTTTATCTAATTTGGTATCTTAGGGACTTTTATATCTTCTTTCGCCCGTCATCTTCACGCTTCTGACACGATATCCACGTCTTCAGTATTACTGTGCTCCCGTGGGCCTGGTGATCACAGTAATAGGATGCCTGCTATCCTCGTTCTCGGCACGGGTATGGCATTTGATTGCAACACAAGGTGTCATTTGCGCTATTGGAAACGGGCTGTTATTCAGCCCATCTTCCTTGTATCTCGATCAGTGGTTTATTCGCCGCAAAGGCCTTGCGATTGGAATCATGTGGTCTGCTAAGAGCATCACAGGCGTTGTACTGCCATTTATTGCCAGCGCTTGCCTGAACAAGTATGGGTCCAGCACCACACTGCGAGCTTGGACCGTCACTACAGTATGTTTCACTCCGTTTCTTACTGTCGATATATAAACGTCTCAGCACGTTTTGCTGTCGGGGCTGATCCAGTCTTGGCGGCATGTATCAATCTATGAATCTGCCATGTTTGAGTGCTGACGGGAGCTCGGATCTTGAATAGTTCTTGACCACTCTTCTAACGTTGCCTTTCATGAAACCCCGAATTCCGATCTCGTCATCTGCAGCAGCTCGTCCTTTGGATTTGGGCTTCTTGAAACAACGTACATTTTGGATGCTGCAGGCAGGTAACATCATTCAGAGCTTTGGTTACTTCTTGCCGACAACATACCTTCCATCATATTCGACAGACACAATCGGACTGTCACAGACTACCGGTACTATGCTGGTCTCTCTCTTCAACGCAACATCTGTCGTCGGTGGGATAGCTCTTGGAGCACTCTGCGACCGCTTCTCAGTTACCAACATCATGCTGTTGTCTTCTGTTGGTTCAGCACTATCAGTCTTCCTTTTCTGGGGTATGGCATCTTCTTCAGGCTCAAACTCGTCGCAAACAGCCATTGGCCTTCTTGCTGTGTTCTCCATAACATATGGATTCTTTGCTGGGGGGTTCAGCTCCACCTGGTCGGGGGTGATCACTCAGATTAAGAGTGAATCTTCGCCATCCTTGGATACTGGGCTTGTCTTTGGTCTTCTTGCCGGTGGGCGCGGAATCGGAAATGTGATCAGTGGACCGCTGAGCACGGTTTTACTTCATTCTGGGTCTTTGGGTGGCTCGAGTGATTCCGGCAGCAATACCGGCTATGAATCACAATACGGCACACTCATATTGTTCACTGGTATCACCGCATTTCTGGGGGCATGGAGCTGGATGTGGCGTTATATCAACCCAGCGCTGCGATGTTTTAGTTGATACCTCCGGTGCGTGGTTTGACTATGGGAGGATGAAGACGTGTAAAAACTTTGTAAATTGAATCAACTAAACAAAGGATTTTGGATATAATTGTAACCCGAGCTCAGCATGCGTGATCTTTTGTCGGCGTGCCCTAGCTGCCTGGTTGGTCAGGCGCCCCATGTTGCTAGATGGGCGTAGATCAAGACTCAAGAGTTTCCCTCTCTCTTTCCTTCTTCTTCTCCTCGTCTCCCATAATTCATATGATTGACGTTACACACTCTTTCCACTCTCTCTTCAGTATCTTTGCTTGTTGAAAGAGCCAATACGAAGTAGATCACTGAATATTGGTTGCACGTCACGTGCCGTGGCAGATCGGAGCTTCGACTCCAATGCGCGCTCTTCAATCCCCGGCCCCGACAACTATCAACCTACATCTCCCGCAACCAGGGCCCACTGCCCTCATCGACACAATGGCGACTGATGCCGCGCTCCAAGATCCGCTGCTTTCGCTCCGTCGTGCGATTGCGTCCGGCAACCTCCCCACTCCAACTACCTCATCTGAGCTCTCAGATCAGCATGCCACGGAAGACTTAGCGAAAGCCACACATCTCTATTTCTCTCAGCCAGTCCCCCAAACGATCCCTCTATCTACAGTCACCAGATTCATATCAGAGGCAACCCAGTCGGCGGTCGACCTGCGCAGTATCCTTTTCGCGTGGCAGAACAAAGATGTCGCCATTCCCGAGTACATCGCTTCGGCGGAGAAGTTCAACGAAGACCTGAAGCAACACAAACAAGAAGGCGGCAAGGAAGAGAGCGTCCAAGTCCTGGTTTTCGTCGAGCGTCTCGACCTCATCACCTGGTTAGAAGGCGCCGCTGAGGAGATCGATCACATCAAACCCCTCGAGGGAGCAGCTGCAGCTGCCGAGGCTGCGGCTGCTGCTGCGGGTGTAGCACAAGCCGAGAACGCGGCAGGGATTGCTGCTGGTGCGGCTGGAGGTGTTGCCTCAGCCCCCAGTGGCGCCACTGGAGCAGCACCGACAGGAGCCCAATCCGGTCGCCCACAAAAGCAGATCGAGCCTCGACTGCAGGAGATCTACAATGGAGAGCGCAAGACCGGCGACCGTAACACTGTTCTCCGGGGTATCAAGCCAACAGTGAGTTTCACCAACTGAGAGACCTACTTTCCAATCTGATCTAACTTCCAATACATTAGGACTTCTCTCACGTTCGCAAGAGTGCCGAGCTATTCCTCGACCGGAGCCGCAATCGTCCAGGGCACCCAGGTGCCAAACCAGGCACCTCGAGCGCCGTTCCGGCGCCCTCAGCTGGATTGTCGGCCCCATCATCACGCAAGCCCGGCTCTCGCTCTCGTCCCGACCCTATCATCCTGATCTCGCCCTCCGCCTCCTCTCTCATCCGCATGTCGAACGTCAAAACATTCCTCGAAAAGGGTATTTTCGTCCCACCGGATCACCCCACCCTCTCCAGCGCAACAGACGCCAACCGTGTCGTGCTTGAGCGCCCACTCCGCATCAACAGCGACCCGTCCAACCCCAATGCCAACGCCATTGGTTCTCGCACCGGCGGCAAGCCCACCCGTCCCACCAAGTTCGTCATCCTCGATAGCACGACCAACTTCAAGCCCGATTACTGGAACCGCCTTGTCGCTGTCTTCACCACCGGTCAGACATGGCAATTCAAGCCATACAAGTGGTCTTCCCCTCCTGAGTTGTTCAAGCATGCCACCGGTGTATACGTCGGTTGGCGCGGCGAGGAGGTTCCCAGCCAAGTCAAGGGTTGGGGACGCGGTGTGGACAACTTTGCGGTTGAGCGCTGGGATGAGAAGAATGGCATCCAGGGCGGTGGGCGCTGGCGAGACCGCGAGGTGGTCGAGGGTATTTGGGCGGCCATTGAAGAGGGCATGAGACTTCGTGGTTGGAGTCCCAAATAGACTGCGTGTCTTTGGTCTCTTTCGCACTTTCCTGTCATCTTGTTCTCAATACCCTCTTCTAAGTTGAACATGATGACCAATGGCATTCAAGGCGCGGTTCTAGGCGTTGTGGATGTCTCTTCTTTTCTTCACTATCATGTTTGTATCTATGGCCAATTTAGGTATCGAAAATCCACTTGAGATTTACCCTTGCACATGGACTATCCCGCGAAGATAATTAGTCGAAGGCATGATTTCGGTCATTCTGCTGATGCTCTCGGGTTGGCGTCAACCAACACTGAAAGTACTCCGTAGACACCAATGATGTTGCCGTGCTTATCCTTTAGTCGGCTGGGAAACCACGTCTTCATCATCTCTTGATTAACCCATGCACTGGCTAGCCCGTGCAATCCGATTCGGCCTTTCCAATGAGCTTGCTCGGTAGATTTTTTTTTCTGTACATTTGAACCCACTGAATCTCATTCTTGGTAACGCATCAACTGCTCCCTACGGATATTGTCCAAATTGAGAGGGGGGTTACTGAATTCCACCCCACTTTTGTCTTCCGTTGTAGTAGAATGCAGGTTAATAGCAGGCTTCTCTTCGAGAGCGAGGCCCGCGATATTCGATGTTCTTTGCCAGATCCCCAATCCCCAATTTCTGTTGACGGCTTAGTCAAGACTTCCTTCACTCGATCATTCATAATTGCTCCATGATGGTGGTAGATTAAAAAGGAAGTTTCAATAGGTAGTAAATAGTTCCAAGGTTGGAAGGACAGCTAGAAAGACAGCTAGAAAGACAAAAATAAAAAACTCTCCAAGTCGATGATGGCCTCTCTCTTGCGTCATCAATCGATAATACATAGTGATCAATTCTGATGTTAATAGAAGATACAGCCCTTATCGAATGCAGAGGGCATAGAGTCCGACATCGTCGATACCAATGGCCAAGCGTCGGTTTCAGGGTCAGCGCCAAGGCCAACGACTGAAAGTCATCTCGATGTCGTTCAAATCTTGCTGTGTTAATCTAAGGTTGATGTGAGTTGCTGGGTGATCGCTTCTAAGCATACGCCTCGCGAATGGGCTGTCTCAAACACACACGGATGGCGCCGTTTGAGCTGAAAGAGAAGACTCAGAAGAGATGAATTAAGAATCTCTTAATGCCTGTGAAATTGAGGCCATATAAACAGACGACTGTGGTAAATCTTCGAAACTGCATCACCATGGTTCAGGTCTAGCGTGGCAGTTGCTCTCCATGATAATTGAAAGCTGCTGTAAATTGGCGATTATCTCGGATGTTCCGTCGGCAGTATCCGAATCACCTGGGCAGCTTTTCCCTGCTGACAGTGGGAATTCCGAGGCTGGGTAAGCGTTGACCTGAACTGCGTGTTTGCGTGATTATCGACTCCGCACCCCTCAGTGGGGGTGAAACGCATGTACAAGAGTGGGTACCAGGCCTCGTCCTTCGATCAGGTTTTGTGGAAGGTCACTACATAATTTACTTGCTGCGGTTGGACGCTGATCAGAATCGATACGAGGATACGAATGCGCAGCAAGACTGTTTGTTGTACATGGGTGGAATTGATTATAGACATGACTCGAGGTTCTAACAGCCCTCTAGCGCTTTTCAGTTCGGACATTGAGCAACGCCCATTCTGAAGGTCTGCCGCCCTGAAAATTTCACCGGATGTGAAGGTCATCCACTTCTAATTTCTTGCGAAGTAGTCTGGGTGAACAGACCATCAACTTCTACGGGGGATATCCGAGGCAATTCGGCACACCGGGAGAGACGAACAGTTAGTACTTGACTTACGGAGTACGTGGACGGCTTTCGGCATCCCGAAATGCCCCGCCTCGGTATGCCGAGAGTCATTTTTCGGGGTCAAGCACGACTACGGGCCGCGCCAAGTCACAAATCGCCGACGTTGAGTGATTTCTGTTGAGACAAGTCACTTTTCCGCGGGGTTCACTTGCATAAATTGTTATTTGCTGTCTCTGGAACACAAGGAGAATTATGTATGCCCCCCCAGTCTCCTTGTGGACACTGTTGGAGATTGAACCCCTAACTCCGAGTGGAAATTCATTAGGCTATGAATTAGCGCGCTCCTAATATTATGCCTATTGGAAAAGGTTGGGGAATGGGGTAGAAGCGCTTAAGGTGGCCCTTTCAAAGCGGTTAAGAAGGGAAACCCGGCTTGGGATTCTCACACGGTCCTTACGTAGAACGATGTAGATGTAGATTAAGTTGCCTTGGCGTAAACAAGAAATACCAAGAGAAAGCTTGGAAGGAAATCATTGCATCCGATCTACCCGACAAACTCTGATTCCTCGATTCACCGGGAAGCGATCCAGGAATTGGTCTCATTCCATGGTGGAGTGGCGCCACTTTTATACTCTAAACAGCCCTATTTTCTTGATAAGCCCGTTTTCTCGGAGAGGTTCCGTCTCACAATATGCTATTCTCTCAAGCATTGCAGGGTCTTTCCTTGGGGGGATGTCATGCTCCTGCTGGCTGGGGTGCTGCTGCACGGTTCATAAATCGTTCGAAGTGTCGACTAGCGCTGAAACCCCAAGGCCGAGAGACAGAGCGAAGTGGAACTACGTATGGAGAAATAGACGTCTGCTGTACCTGAATGACACTAAGACGCACATCATTTGTTCACAACGCCGAAGGCCCCATCCAGCCAAGCCCTGGTGTGAGAGAAAAAAGTCCACCGCGTTTCCGGAGTACATATAGACGGGGAGATTCAAACTCGAGGTCGACAACCTCTTCACCACCGCCGGAATGACATTCGATGTTGGAGTATCCCTCAAGGAGCGGCTATGCCTGATCACATGGAGCTGGTACTCCATATGTGTGGCCACCGGTGGTATCGCGGTGCTTCTTTCTAGAACGCCTCACCAATTCGAGGGTCTCCCCGTCATCGGGAAGATTGTCTACATCCTCAATTTGGTGCTCTTCTGTGGCATTTCCTGCTGTATGGCCCTTCGTTTCTACACCAGGCCATCAGCATTGAAGGAATCCTTCAAGCAGCCCAATGAAACCTACTTCTTCCCTACCTTCCTGCTGGCTATCGCGACCATCATCCTCGGCGCCGAAGCCTATGGAACAGACGTCTGCGGTCCCTGGCTGCAAGTAGCCCTCCGGATCGTCTTCTGGATCTACGCTGCCTGCTCTGTCTCCGTGGGTATCTTCCACAATTGGTTCCTGTACAGCACCGTCATGGGCAAACAGCAGCACTTCCCACTCCCAAGAGTCCTGCCCTCATTCCCTACCATGCTGTGCGGCACAGTCGCATCCAGCATCGCAGGCAACCAACCGCGTGACCAGGCCTTGCCAATCATCATCGGCGGCCTCACGCTACAAGGATTCGGAATCATGATGTCCATCCTCACCTACGCTGAATACCACTACTATCTCAACAAACACGGTCTCCCAGAGCCAACCCAGCGACCTAAGATGTTCATCGCCGCCGGACCCTGGAGTTTCACAGCCCTTGCCTTCATTGGAATGGCGAAGCACGCAATTGAGAAATTCCCCCCACGCTATATCATCTCAGACGCCGTACCCGGTACCACTGGAGCGGTCGCCCTGAGCACTGGTGAGATCTCACTGATCATTGCCTCGCTTACCGCCATCTTCATGTGGTGCATGGCCTTCTTCCATCTCTCAATTGCGATTCTCAGCATGTTCTCTATGTGTCGGTTCTTCGGGGGGCCTGGTGCTGCACCCATGGGAATGCCGTATTGGAGTATGGTTTTCCCCAACACCGGTTTCGTGATTGCCACTATCAGTATTGGAGAGGTGCTGGAGTCTGAAGGGGTCAAGTGGGTTGGTTCGGCGTTGACGATTATTCAAGTCACGGTTTGGTTGGGTGTCGGCCTGGCTACTATCTATGGAGTTGCAACGCGTCGCATGCTTTGGCCACAAGATGTCAAGCGATCTTGAGCGTTATATGCCACTGGCCTGAGTGATTTATTTGGAGTTTTGTTTGGCGGGGTTTTATATCATGTACATTATATCTCAAAGTCGATAATACAGTATCATGTGTTGATCTACATTTACCCTCGGGCTAATGGCTGAAAATATCGAGGGCCTTGAAAAAGACCTACCTATCCATTGGCCTAGCCCAGGTCCACGCCCGGGTGTTTGCCCAGGTGGCTGACCTTGAGTTCCGTGACCTCGGGGGCAGCAAATCAGTCTTGGGAAGTCTACAGAGCTCTAGGCTTACTGCCCAGGTGTGGTTGGTGTTTAGTATAGGACCGAGTATCTACCACCTGAGCAACCTTAGAAGGGTCGATTCGTACAGATACCCAGGCGCATGTGTAAAAGTGTTTGACAAGAGTCATGTCCATTGCATCTCATAAAAGAAATGAAATAAAATAATATGACATACACAAGCAGACCAGAACTCACTCGCTGTGCCCGGATAAAAAGATGCAGGGTGCTTTAAAAAAAAACCACAAAGAAAAGAAAGGAAAGATGGAGTGAGATAAGATGCTCAGAATATGTAGATGAGCGTATGGATGGAGAGAGAAAAAGAAATGAGATAGGAAATGACATGCAAGAAACGCCGTGTCTGATGCTCAAAAGAAAAGTGACAGCCTCCGGTTTTCCATACGATGTGATGTTTTTTTTTTTTCTTGTTTTCTTGTTTCGTTTTCTGTGACGTTTCTGGAAATTCCTCTCAAGGTCTGTTGGTGTTCGAGTGTTGAAGCCAAGCCGTAAAGAGGAAATTGGAGGAAGGAAAAGTATCAGAGGAAAAGAGGGATGCAATCGAAAGATATTACAAAAATTTTCCAGTTCCGGCCTTCTCTAAAACATGAGCCATCGATCATAACGTCTTTCGTGAGGAGTGGGGGAATCTCGTGACGAGTAGATTAAAAATGGGAAAAATGAGGAAATGGCAGCCAGCCTTCGAGGACTGCTGGGCTGCATGCGTAAGGGATGTAGTAAGGAACTTCGTGTTCGGAAGCGATCATGACGGGATTGATGGAATCGGGTCCCAAGGTCGACCGAGGAGTGTTTTTCTTCTATATAGAGAAGAAGGTGTCTGTTTTGGGGCCACAAGCATGAGTTGGGACGCATTTGTTGGACTCGATCATGGGCCTCGAAGGCTCGACGTCTCAACTGCGTATGTTGAATAAATAGTCTGGCGGATTTTGCCAAATAGGCTCATGAGGAGTCGGAATCGCAGTGGTACGAATCGTCTTCGAATGGGTTGCGGGGTAAATCAATGCTTGTGGACGCTGGTTGTCAGGCGCGGGCTGAACGGCTCATGCTGCGTTCAGGGATGGAGGGAGGACCGGGGGTAGGCGAGTATGAGCGCGAACCTCCCATGATGTCCACGTCGTGTTCTTGCAGCACAACAGCGTACTTGGGGTCACGCAAGAATTTGGGAACCGAGTCACTGGACATGAGCTTGAATACGGATGTTTGAGCAAGCTCGAACAGGTGCACGACTTCCTGCAGACTTTTGAACATAGAATCGTCATCTCCCACGGCCTTGGTCATGCGGCTAGCCAGACTGTTGCGGAGCGCGTGGTCGATGTTCAGCTCGCAAGGAGAGCCCGGGGCCAGGAAGGCGTTGTATAATCCATAAGCAGCCGCCAAGGTTTCCCGCACGGAATCAACCTTGTTGAATGTTCCCATCTTCTCGGCCTTGTGGTAGTTGGCAGTGAACTCAGAAACATCCAGGTAGAAAGACAAATTCTCCTCGCAAAGCGAGTAGCGAAGGAATTCGCGGAAGAGCAGACGCAGAGCAGGATCTTGGAGAATGTGTGTCAACCGGGCGTTGTTAGAATCCCGCGGCATGCCGCGGCTGTCGTATGCCGCTGCGTTCTCACGGGCCTTCTCGCGGGCAATCCATCCACATACGCGCTGACCGCGTTCGGTGATGCCGTAAATAGCGTATTTAGAGGGTTGGAAGTGTGCGGTGGGCCCAATATCAGGGAAGGACTTATCATCCTGGATCATTGTGATCATACCATACTTCAAGAACAATTCGGCGATCAAACAGGTCTCTCGGCGCTCAATTGTTGTTGAACAATCCATCAACCAGTCTACCGATGCCTTTCCGGTAAAAGTGTTGCTGTAAACCTTGCCATCCTGGAGCTTGCGTTCCCGAGCCACCTTGACACCAACGAGACCGTTGGTGTAGTCACTAAGCGAGTCGGAGTCGGAAGTTGAGATACTGCTCTTGACGTTGGGGCCATCCTGGCCAGCAAAGCGGCGGAAAATGACCTCGATAGTCGCGCGATCGTGGGAGAGCTTGTCAGTATCCGTGTCCCGCTCCAGGTTCACCAGCTGCATGGTGTTGCGCGGTGACTCCAACACATCCATCACGTGACGGGCGGTAATACCGTTCCGCTGGCAGAATCGCTGCAGGATGTTGATACCCTTCGGGGTGAGCTGGAAGAGAGCACCTTTGAGCGGGAAGATCGGGAGCGCTTTGCCGTCAACGGATTCGATGAAACGGGCGTCTACAAAACGCTGGCACACGGATCGCGCCATTTCCTTGGCCATGGAGAAAGTGGTAGTGGTGGTGGTGGTGACGATGCGGGAGGGGTCCTTGGGGTCGGGCATGCGGTTGGACTGCGAGAACTTGAGCGAACCCAAGTTGTTGATCGCCTCTTCGGAGGTGAACGTGTGATCATAGCGCGTGAAACGAACTCGGTGAGAATCTAATTTCAAGCTGACCATCAAGGTGGAGAACAAGTCCATGAAATCCTGCGCGAATCAGCCATTAAGTCCGGCACAATCACCGTAATCCACCCCCACTTTGCATATTGGGAAAACCTACCTTGGTGAACGGACGCTCATCCTCGGTCATGCGCAATAACCTTGACGAAGTTTGATGCATTTTGGGTGGGCCGGATATAGAGGACCGGGTATCGTGGGGAGGTGTAGGAAGACGCTGAAGGGTCAGGCGACGCTTCTGCGAATTGGCGGGGAGGGTGTCGACCAGGGCCGGGGAGCAAGGGCGAGAGGACTCCGTCAATTGCGGATATATTTCGTCGATTGGCGGGGTCAACGGCGTAGAATGTCTCGACAAACTGCTGTAGGAGTTCGAGGAGCGTAGTGTAGTCTGTGTTCCGGACAGACTAGCAAGGGCGTTGGATGTCTTCTGAGCTAAAGCAGCAAAAGAGCGACGATTGCGACGGGAGATTGAGCCGACAACAGAACCAGTGAAGGTTTGTAGAGGATCAGTATCAGGAACTGAAGGAAGTGAAGGGAGAGAATCTTCTCGGCAGTGGTTTCCGGGTTGAGTTGGCATTGAATGGTTTTGAGTCTTCGGGTGAACCAGACTTCTGCGGAAAGTGGATTAGGTCAAACACGACCTGATACCATCAAAGGGAATTTTTTTTCCTTTTTTTTTCCGGTCTGAATTTATGAAATTTCCAGAAAATCCAGAGTGGAATCTGGACTAAGGGAAGGGGAAGGAAATTATACAGATTTTCGGGTCTGAAATTAATTTCAATGGAATTTCAATAGAAGAGAAAAGGAGGGGGAATGGGACCTAAGGGGAAGAAGAACGGGATCAAAGGAAAATCAGAAATAAATCCCTAAAATTCCAAAAAGGATTTAAACAATTTAAACTTGGAAAAAAAAAGGAAAAGGGAAAAAGAAATGAGAAAAAAAAAGGAAAAGTATGAAGAACAGCCATTCGGTTCTGTCATTCACGACCCACAGCCCACGCGTGAGACCCGGAAGGGGTTTGGCCTGATGCATCCAAACAACGTGGAAGATCGGAGGGTCCGTATGGTCTGGTATTGGTATCTTGTGACAATACAGCCCAATACTTATTCAATACAGAGTACTCCCGTACTCCCGTACTCATGGCTATTACCTTGCATCCCAGCATACTCCATACTCCTCACTCCGTACATCTTCACCTATTTCCTCACAACTTACATTATCAGTATCCTACCTCCATGTCTACCCATATCTCCGGATCTGCAATCCACGTTACATGCTGAATTCTACTCTGGAAGTTAAATCCACCGTACCCAATCTTTCCAGCTCCACTCGATGATTTCATTACTTTTCCCAAACGAGGCTAGCCCCGAACATATCCGGCAGATCGTACCATACTCAGTACTGGTATTACCTCCCCTGTCTTGGATCTCTGAACTCTGACCTAGATCTGAATCTTCAGTCGCGCTTATCTATCTGATTAGGAGGATAAAAAAAGATATCAATATATCTCAGACAAGGGATGAGCTCAGATATGGGCTGAGGACGCCTGTATGAGTATCCCGCACTTGCACTCAACTCTAGACACGCGAATCAGGTTCCAGTAGACATGTCCGCAGTATACCAATGGAGCCCACGTGGCATGGAACTTCGTTCTCCCCGAACTCGAACGAGGCGGCAAAAGGCGAACATGATGATATTCAAGAGAACCGTGGAAAGCTGTCAACTCTATCCCAGTCTAGGAAATTTGATCATAACTAAAGTATTTTGCCTATCTTCCCTTAGCTCGACCGGAAAATAAGACCGGAAAATAAATTGACGTTATCTACACGCAAATGGGGGTCCGGATTATTGCCGAAAAACTAACAGCCCATAACAACTCCAATCTACATGTATCCACGGGTACGAATACATTGTCCAAGTATTCCAAATATGTTACATGTGTGTCTAGAGCACTCCATACCAGGTGCAAGTAGTGTACACTTGAATACATCCTTCGTTGACGGGGGGCAACCATGTCGTCTTCGGAGAAACCCCTCTCACTTTCACACCGATCGTCTCATGGTGGAGCAAGACCTTTTTTCCAGAGTGTATTTATGATGTTTCGGGAGTATGCTCTAAACTACTTTAGTCTGCCTACATAAAGACTTTCATCCTGAAACTTCCCTTAGCGCTTCCGATCGGAAGCGTGAGACAATCAGGCCAGGTTATTGTGTGCACGTCAAGAGATAGTGGGGGGAGGGGTATTTTCTCCTGGGGACCTTGGGCACAACGACATCACAAAGGGCAACGTGGAGGCTGCCAAAAAATAATACCCAAGAAAACCCTGTAAACCGAGGCTTCCACGGCCATTCCAAGCGTGTTCTTTTTATTTCGTGCGTATAATCCATGTGGTCCCACGTGTGCCCACGTGGAGAGATGCTTAGCGGCTAAGCGTTGACCTCCCCTCTTACTCCTTTGCGCTTAGAGGGGGGCGCAGTCTCCCGAGGTCGCGAATCTTTCCCCTGGATATCGGTGCTATGGGTCTCGTTGGGGATAGCTTTCGCTAAGAAATCCCATGATGATCTTAGGCGCGGACTTAAACGGTCCTGGTTCGCATTGTCTGCCCGGTTCCCGGCTTGAAGTTTGCCAAGGTGACAACGGGTTTCAACTTCCCGTTCCCGTTTCGGGTTTTGGAATACGGGGTTGGACGTCAGACTTGCCGCCTGGACACACACTCTCTCTCCAATCACGTCCCTTTAGCCTCTTAATTGGCTTGATCAGTCATTCATGAATCATTGTTCGGAGATTTTTTCCGGTCCTGAACCTTTGTTCAATGCGCGAGACACTCTGCCGATTGATGCAGGGGTAAGATCTCAATTTACTACTTCTGCGGTCGGAGATTGTCTCAGATGGGCTAACGGTCGGCATGAGAGCCTCATCCGACATCATATAGCGGTCGAGACAGGCCCCCAATACGCGGCACAGCGGCAGAATCTCACCTGCATGAACCATGCTATCAACCTGACGGCTGAAAATGGGAAAAGGCTCGCACTCTGTCTGGGACGAGCTGTCAAACACGTCAGCAAGCCACCTCCTGATGGCGCTCATCAAGGAACAAGGCTGGCCAACCAACGCGCCCGGCAGAGGTCACGCGGAGGGCGACCCAGGCAAAGTCTTATTCGCCAAGGTACGAAACGGGCTCGCCTAGCCCAAAGGCTACTCGGTACAAGTGTCGCGACTATCTCATCAAGAAGGTTTGAACGGTCGCTCAGACACGGTCATAGAGACAAATCGAGCAGTGATGGTCGGTAATTACACATGGGGGATACGAGATCGGCTCCCCGCATGGAGCGAATTGGCGGGAGTCATGTTGGATAGCGCAGATCGCTAGTACGAATCCTTTGTACGAAACCTCGTACGGAGCAATTATATTATGCATTGTACAGGTCACAGAAGAGAACAAAAGAAGAAAAGAACCTTGGAACAAAGAACATTCCAAAAACTGATACGTCATATGTCCTTCAGCTGTTGAGATCTATCAGACTCAACAAATCACAAAACCACGATCTGAAACGGCACCACGTGGAATTGGCATGAGTAAGCTGGGATATCCGAGTAAACTTTGCACTCTAATCCCAGGGGCAAAGCCCATGTGGCAAAAAGTTGGGGGCCAAAAAGGGGTCTTCAAACTCTGGTCGCCAGTCAAATCTTGGCTCAGCCCTGCCCGAGCAAACCCGATCGTGGATTCTTGTGCGGCTCTGATAATGAGGAAAGCGAGTACCGGACTAAGGGGAGGTTAAGGTTGGCTAGCTGGAAAGGCACCATAGGAACCATAACCTTGGAACAGTATATGAGCTGTAAGAAGTATAAAGCAAATTACTCGAGGCTTGCTAGGTTTGTCTGACAAGTATATATTAGTGTTTGCACATCAGATAGCCATGTGCGCAAAGATCACTGACACTAACCCGAAAGTCATAAAGCAGGTCGCTTTGTTCCGCCTCAACCAATGGTTCAGCGAGGTTGGGGTGGTCGAAGTGGAGACAACATTCCAAATTTGAGGCCCGCTAACAGATTGGCTCACGGAGGTTTTCCTGTTAAAGTCTTAAGTTGCGGTCAGATATCCAACGGTGGGCAGAGTTACGGAGTAGACAACCTGAGACCCAGTGATCCTCGCTTTGTGTGTTGATCCTCTCTGGCACATGGTTGAAGGGTATTGTATCGGGTATACCCCTTTCTTACCAATACGACTGTATCGATTATGTGTACGGTATTGTATCTTTGGTAATTTTCCTAATCACATTTCAAGTTTTTCTCTTTGCCCTTCCAACATCCCTGACTGCCACGCGAGGGAACTTCCTGCAGGTTTCGAATCTACCATTTCAGGGGTAAATATGTGCATGGAAGGCGTGGCTAGATTTACATCAAATATTCCAAATAGTTAATAAAGCATACCATCGAGCCTTGCGAGTCATGGAAAGTCTAAAAGAGAGCCTCGTAACCTTCGAAATAGTCAGAGCCGGAATTATCAGCTGCCAAGACCACCACTAATCACCATTTGCGGTCGACTATGGAAGTTCGCACCTTACAAAAGCTTGTGCACGCGGTTTGACCCTGGATACCTTGCCTGTCAACCTTCACGTTGTACTCCGTACTCTGTATACAGGCAACAACCTGCTCTCCCCATGGCCTCCTTGCCTTTTAGGGGTCCCTGCATGTAGCAGGTTGACATACTCCGGACTGCATGGTTGTATGCGGATCTCTACGGAATCCAGGGAACCATCCGACTAGCGGCTTCGCCCTTCTGTAGGAATGTGGCTTGGGCTATTGGGATTCAAACTATGCTCTGATGCTCCTTGGGCCCGGACTGATCGTCCTCAAACTCTAAATGCTCACCTGTACGGAGTATCTGCAGCGTCAACTATTTGCATCTGGGCCAACTGGCTGAGGGTCTAGACGCGTCTCATCATTTCTCTAGGGATATACCTGTCGACTCGTGGGCGTTACCTAGGCAAACGTTGATCAAAGACTCGATCGTGGACTATCAGATTCGATCGCTTCCCAATACCCTGTCCAGACCAATATGGTTAGATTGGAAAATCCCGAGAGTATGTATCACATTTTAGAGCTTGTAGTCTGCGGGTTCCGGCGAATGTGGGGGAAAGCATAGCTGAGCTCGCCACGTGGAAATGGGGAGCGACAATCATCCTCGAGCGCGGATCTGTCCATCCCCTACTGGGCTCGTACGAGTACTCGTAATCACAGCCTTTTGTTATCGTTATCGTATCTTTGTAAGTGGCCATCCAGCTGCCCGGGTGCGCGATTGGACCTCCTGTGCCGTGACTCAGCCGCACTTGATGTTATTCTCGGGCTCGCCTAGCAGGGATTCTAATCCTGGGGGCGAGGGGGGGGGTGGAAAGCTGATTGACAGGGCCTCTCTACAGACTAGCGAAGACACTAGTGACTCCCAGGCGCACGTAACACCTTGCGAACAGAGCCTCATCTATATGTGATGCCTAGGTACTACCGGATTTGGACAATATGGAATGTCAAGCCTTGTCGGACTTGATGTGGGGGAAGCTATTCTTTTGCGCCGCAGCCGCGGTGGATTAATTTCGAAACTATCGTGAAATTTGTGGCTTTCATTACGAATGCTATTTTGTTCGGTATAGAGGACATTGATTGATCTCAGCCAGTAGGGATTTGGAATGGGGACTCTTTCGTGGAGCCAATATCTGATCTGCAAAAACTCTAGCCTTACAAGGGGGTGAACTTAACTTGTACTTGTATTTGATATTCATATTGTATGTACATAGACACAGTACTCCGTACTCCGTATGGATTTCTCCACATAACCATTCATTGAGTTTAAACATCAAATCTATTACTTTGTACGGCGTAAAAGTACCAGTAGTTTACGATGGACCCTTGGGCGAGTGTACGAAATATAAAATACGGTAAAATATACATTAAAAACTCCACCAAGCTGAAAACAGAGCGGTGATAGAAAACCACGTCATAGACTTTGAATAGTTCGTAAGACGAACCAAAGTCGAAGTCTTAGTCCCGGCCGAATACGGCGAAGTCCGTAGGGGGAAGGCTTCCAGAAGATTTCTAGAAGACGCTAAGAAGCCTCGGTCTCGGGTGTTCCATGGTTCAGCCACCAATAAAATGGAACTCCTTTCCCTTTCAGATTAAGGGGATGCGGCAAAACCTGCGGATTGCACACTATTGAAGCCCGGTTTTTCCTTATTTTTTTCCCTCTTCCTTTGTTTTTCGTCGTTCCTGACCCAGATTCTGAGCTCCGAGCTCCAGGCTCCTAGTCTTGGCACCCTCAATAGTCCGGGTATCCATGTATCAGATTCGGTATCAATCCACGAGGTCTGAAAAAGAAAGAGCTTTACATTACTCTGTAGTCCAAAATGTAGTACTCCGTAGCTGTCAATCCTGAACCCCCAAAAATGAGCAAAGAAAATCTCCGTAGACTTTCAGGTTCTCCACACGGCACAAAAGAATGTCCACGTGGCGGATCTACCTGTACGAGCACTGCAACACAACAAGCTACACGTATGCAGCTAGTGCCCGTAAAATTATGATCCTCCGCAAAATGACTTGCATTGCAATTCTAAATGTGGATCTATTCCATGGAAGTACCCATATTGTTTGACGAAGCGGTGTACTACTATGCGATTTTTCCTTCGTAGTATTCGGGTGTGTCTGATTCCTTTACGAAAGGATTAATCCACAGTCACTGGACCAACTCACCACTTGGGCAGCGCGAATGTCCCACCAAAGACAATATCGCAGGCAAAAAAAGGATCAGCGAGTTGGGATTCCAATGATGGCATCCTACGGAGTACACACAAACACACCGGCAATAAAGTTACTCACAAAACTGTTTGCGCTACTCCTCGCTCCTCGCTTCAAGGAGTACAAAGACACACCCGGTCGGAGCCAGCATATGTATATCAGCTATCTTCTAACTCCCAGTCCCACCACGGTTGCTGGCATGGATCACACCATTCCTGCATCTTTTCGTGCAGTTTAGATCTAGAAGCATATGTACTCGCAACGGGAAGCCGAAGGAAGTCCGGTCCTGACGAGAGCTCCACCGGCACTGCAGATTTCGCGTCGCACAGGGAGCACATGTCTCTCCAGCGTTGTATGATCAATGATCCTCCATACATACACACCTCCGAATTTCACTTCAATGGCAAAATACAGGTAGCTCGGTGTGAAATTATCTGACGGATATGCGAGAATATCTCCGACACTACTGTTGCTGTCAGCGATCTCATGGGTGTCGTTTGATCGTCATTTCTACTACTGCATGGCAGCGGGGGAAACGGAGGTTGCCTGATTAGGACCGATCGTCAACACAACGCTGTTTACGGAGTTACCTCACCCCACGCCACACTTTACGCTTTGATGCTTCTGAGCTCACTGATCGACTCGCTTAGCCTGACGAAAATCCTATTTTTCATCTTCTCGTCACTCATTTGAAAATACAATTCTCCGCGAAAGAGATCACCACGCCATTCGCCTCCACTCTTGTTCACCGTCACCCCTGCTAATGGGCCTAAGACTAGGCTGCCGGCTTGGCGTAGCGCCAGCCTGAAGAAATGTGAAAATCCTGGGTATCGGAAGGCAATGAGATTCTTCATCGAGCGGGGTTGCCACTTCGAATTCATTTTCGGCGTCTGAAGCCGGTGGCTGGCATGGGTGGACGGGAAGATCCTTGACTCTTCTTTTCTTCCGGGTGTACAGCAGATTGTACCCCTCCGCAAGATATAGCGCCAAACGGGCTGGGCTCTTTGTCTTTCCGGGCTGGCTGTTGCTATCTCATGTTTTCGATAAACTTGAGCATATCTATTGTAGTCGATACCCGTACAGACCGCAACCCGCTGATCAGTCGCAGTCAACTCGATTTAGACCAAATCCCGGCGTTAGGAGACTAGCTAGCACTATCTTTGACCATGTCGCACAAAACTCCATCCTTCTTGACTCTTTTATTTTTTTGCTCTCACGTCGTGTCAGGCGGGTCTGGATTTACCCCCCACCTCTCTGAAACCAGTCTTTAGGTCTCGACCCTGTCCTCTCGGTCGAGATGACAGCTATCCAGTCAATTTTTCAAGAGCGTCCTAAAGCGCCGTACGGATGGGAGTATCGGGAACTTGCAGGGTCAAATGCGCTCCATCCAGGTTTTGCATGTGTGCGCATCAAAACACATGTTCATGTATGCACTCAGGGAACGGAAGCGATAATATTGATCTGCAGCTGGTGTCAATTAGCTGGATAATTTTTCAACGCTCAAGCTTAGACTAGACTAGACTAGATAGTGTACTGTAGGTCGGGAGAGGTGCATGCTGCCCAGGTGTCGACTGCATATCAAAACCACGCGAATGTTCCCATGTTTGTACTATAGAATCCACTCTCGGCTACATCTCATGTAAGTGGCTTTGTACTCCGTACGGATCCACAGTCTCAAGGTTTCATGCCGATCCTCGAGTCGAGGTCACTATTTACTACGGAGTAGATATGTACATTTCAAATGCTTCAGTTTGTTTGGACATAGGCCTCTATCACACATCACAGCCATGACCTAGGTGTCCACCGGACTACCAGGGCATACTAGACTATTTAAAGTTAAATCGTACAGACTCACATCCAACCCCTGCACTCATGTATGGTCAGATTAATTTTCCCGGTGGTTATCCCCTGTACAAGTACGGAGTGGTTGGAGAGCAAGGTCTCTTGTTGAATTACTGGTGAAACGTATGGAGTAGATTTCGCCTAGTAACGCAGTAACACAGTGATGCCACGTCGAGACGTTTTGGGGCAATGGGAGGAGAATTCGACATGTCACTTCGAACACATGGCGAGCCACATGTGTTTGCCGCGTGTTTTGCAGCCAATCAAATAGTCTTCGAGTGCAATATTATTCAAACCACTGATTTTGATCACGGTTAAAAGGTTATTGGGGTTTTCTACTCTGTACGGAGTAAGGGAGGTAGATGTAAATTTGAAAACCCTCCAGATATGCTAAACTTGTAATTCACTACTTAGTACAGAGTAGCACTAGGAATATGTAGTGAGAAAACCCGAAAAGAATAATATTTGTAAAAGAAGATAACCAAAGTCATGCAAGCTTAACCCTTTATCTCAACCTTGCGCCATGACATGCCCTGCCTCTCTGAAGAGCACACCGGTCAGTTTTAAAATCCCCCACTCCGGATGGAGTACGGAGTGGATGCGATGCATATTCAACAGACCCCCGATCCGGCCACGCTACACTCATCTTCAAACGTATATCACATGATACGCAATCTCACCCAGGCAACTCCCCATGAGAACAGCAGCAGCAAACAAATCCACAACCCCCTGCGCAGCACATTCCGCTATGTACCGCGTGCACGCGGCAACTTGCATAACAAGTGAAGGGCCAAAGTAAGGGTGAACTTGACCGATCGATTATGGGAAGCCCATGGGAGAATCCCAGTCTGCAATGGGGATGATGCAGTGGCGATCAGCATGCGAAGTCCGGTAGGTTTGGTCCCAGTTTTGTTTGCCAATAGCTTCATCGAGGGAGATGGGGATATGTGGTCTTGCTACTCGCCACATGCGCGTATGCGTGTGGTGCATGTCGTTCATTGCCCCGTATTGTGCCCAGGTGAGAGTTTTGTGATATATCCGATGCCGGATGCTGGCTTACACTTTGTATGCGGGATTGATAGCCCCTCCGGTTTGCGGGTGTATGTTTTAGATACTATTGTATTATGTGTGTTCGAGGCTGACTTTGTCTGACATTGGCTCGAGATGTCTGAGGCATCGGGTAGTTGGTGATTGGTCGAAAAGAGTAGAAACCATGGGTTGAGTTGGTACTTGTACTGTGAAAATCACAAGGGCAAAGGATGCAATAGCATGATGCATGTCCGCAGTAAATTCCAGAATGACAGCCAGATGCTGAGATTACTCCCGCCACCACTGACCCAGTGAGCCACCTGAGCCAGCCATCTCAATGACTTCCTCGAAACTGATTTCTACGCGGAACATCTGACCATCGGCAGTGCCGTTGCCACTGCCAACGGGGGTCACAAGGCCCCAGCTAAGCAGTTTCTCCCACGACTCCCGAGCGACGTCTCGGCCCCATACACGACCTGGGGTGGCAGCAGCTCCAGAGACGGAGGCTGATGTTTTTGCCGAGGTGAGAAGACGGACGTACTCGGCGTATGCTGCAGGGAAAGAGAGCGCAAGAGGTCCCATGCTCTGAACTCCGTCATTGCTGGGGTCAAATAGAGCTGCCAATCTGGTAGCAGCCACCAGCAAAGCCAAGGGAAGTGAAGAAGGACTGGATGATGTGATGGATGTAGAGAAGGGGAGAGGTGGGGGATCGGGGCATGAGAGTGTTTGCGAGGAGAATGCTTTGGGCGTTGGAACCTGAGGAATTGAAGCGTCGGCTGCTATCACGCTCTGCAGGAAGTCACTCATAGGAAGCAGAGCACTGGCGAGGAAGTCTTTTACAGACTTGGTCTGATTGTATACCTGCTTCAAGTGGAATTGGAAATCCTGATCCTTCCATAGGTGCTGTTTCGTAAAGTCAATATTACCGCTCAGCATAGCATGAATGAGATTCGACTTACGTTCAGGTACTCCTTCCATCCCCCGAGTAGCGTCGTCCACCTGTTCGACTCCACCAGGTCACGCTGAACACCCAGTTCATTTGCGAGATCCACGACCTCGGTATCACCGAGGTCTAGACTCCCTAGGCAGATATCTGAAAAGTCCTCAAATGACCTCGGCAATGGAACGTATGTATACCGATGGCTGAATCGACTCTTGACACGCTTCTCAAGCATCTCAGTCACGTCAACCTTGGTTGTCAAGCCGATCACCGCAATGGGAGCTTTGCGAGCCTGCGCGATGTCGAACAGATTATACAGCAAAGTCTGTCGTGGGTGAGTGACAAATAAATCGAACTCGTCCAGCAAGATTACGATGGATTTCGCGGCGGTCTTAGCTCCTGAATCACCGGAGCTGCCAAATAGCTCCTCTGGATGAGACAACAAAGCCAAAAGCGTCGCCATGGTATCAGCATAAGAATTGACCTTCGCCGCATCATCCTCGGTGTGCATTTCGCGACCTAGTTGGCGCCACATCTCTCGCAAAGCCAAGCGGTCGTCGGTATGCAAGAAGCCATTGAGCCGAACAACATGGAACTCATTGTCATGCTCCTTTCTCAAAGAGGAGATAATGGTTTCAACGATAGCCGTCTTGCCACACCCTCGAGATCCGAGAAGAAGCATGGAGTTACCCTCGCCAACTGACACCGTTTGTTCGATGAGCTGGTGAACTTTCTGGTATTCAGCCTGAAGCCCTCTGATGGGAATTTGACGGGTGCCCGAAAGCTTTTCGAGAACGGCGGTCGAGAGGATGCGGACCTCTTCTGCTAGACCTGACTGGCAGAGTGATTGTAGCTTTTCGGCATACTCTGGTAGCGGCTCAGTAACCTCAACTGTATCCTGCTTTTCCAGCAGGGCTTGTGGAAGACCCTGTTGAAGTTGCATCGCGACGAGGTCATCCAGACCGTCCTGGTATTCAGGCGAGGGTGATTTCTCTTTCGTCCGCTCGGCTGCCTTTCTGGTGGGCCTTGGCTTGGGTTTCGTGGCCGGTTTTGCGGTGCTCCTTCTCGACTTGGTTCTTGAAACTGAGCGGCGAGCAGGATTCGGAGATGGCTCATCCACGTCCATCTCATCGTCGTCTTCGTCTTCGTCATCCTCCTCTTCAAAGTCCGGCTCATCATCCTCCTCTTGCGGCTCTTCCTTCTCATCTTCGACGGGCGATTGTTTCGGCTTCTGCGCACTTCGAGGGGCCCGTGGTGTTCTTGAGGGGGTAGTGGTTGATTTCCTCCTTGAGGGCGTCACTGCCTCATCCTCAAATCTTTTTGGGGTTTTGCGCACTCGTCCGCTCGACCGTGTTCCCGCTCGCGCTGGTGTTTGTTGTTCTTGCTCGTCGTTTTCATCCACCGGTTCGGCGGCATCGTCTGCACGCATAGATCGACGTCGAGATGCGCTCTTGACGGGCGTGGGGGACGTTCGGCCATTGGGTGACGAGGGACCAGATAACACGTCTTGTTCCTCGCCCATTTCAATGTCGCCGTCGGCATCCCCGGATACGCGCCTCCTCTTCGACGCACGGGGGTCCTTCATGTTGTGGTTTGAGAAAATCGCTTCGGTCTGACAGAGTGTTGACGGGGGAGGGGCGCGATCAATAATGGGACAAGTGATTCTTTTCAATCGCTGGGAGGGTCTGCGATTGCACCAATGGCTATTAAAAGTTCAATGGTACTCACAAGGCTCCCTCGTTGGCGCTAGACTTCCAGATGGGAGGTGTGGTCGGGGAAATAATTATCGTCGGCCTCAGGCCGAGACGCGTGACGCGAAGTCAGGTGTTACAGCAAGGAGGTGCCAATATCTCCCTGGCTTTACTCCGTACTTCGCACATACTATCTAGTTTTGCTCAATGGATCAATAACTACGATCTACACATGATTCGCTGTGTGTGCTATGAGCAACACCTGGGCACCTTCAATATTGTTTAGGTGCCTCGGGTCATGTCTTCTTCAGATCCCGAGTTCAGTACTCTGCTAACCAGCTTACCTTTTAACACGATGCGATCATAATCGACCCAGGAAAATAACGCCACTAGCTAATACGGAGTACCAATACACTCATTTTTGGTTGATACCAGTTGCAGATCGGTGATTTCAAACATACCGACTCATCATTTCGCCGCAGCCGAGGTCCAACTCCGAGCCCGAGCTGCGCCTGTGGGGTACAGCTCCCTCCAGCTCAACATTTCCTTTCTCCTATACATCTTGATACCCATTTAATTGCATTTTTTCCGATCCAGCCATGTCAGAATATACACTAGGTGCCCCGTCCCGGAAGCTGGATGAGTTCGAAGAACTCGTCTACGAGTATACAAGCCGAATGGGCCTGGGCGACGGAGGAGTAAGTAGTGCTCCTGATTGCGACACTCCCGGATCGCCGTGAAGTTTGGCGCCCAAGCATCGAATCCAGTCCTGACGTTTGTTTTAATCGCACAGTACTGGGGCGTCGACGCCCGCAGCTGTAACCTCCGTTTCGAATCCGCGACTCGTGGTCCGCCGGCCACCGTCACATTCCTCTTCAAAGTCACGCCGGAAATGAGCAATGGTATGGGGAACCTACACGGTGGCTGCGCTGCTACTTTGATTGATGTCCTGTCTACCACAATCTTGCTCGGTCTCTCTTCACCGGGCAAGTTCGCGCTTGGTGGTGTCAGCCGTAATCTGCGAGTTACATATCTACGACCTGTGCCTACAGACATGGAAGTGCGACTTGTCTGTGAGGTGGTTCATGTTGGCAAGCGATTGGCTTTGCTTAGAGCAGAGATTCAGAGGGCAGAGGGTGGTGATGTCTGTGTCGTTGGTGAACATGAAAAGGCTAATACGGACCCGGAGGTGGACCAGAGAATTTGATCTGATATAGCAATCTGGGTATGCTTAGAAGGAGAGCGACTGTTCATAAATTTGTATAGATTTCGTGTGCACCACAATCAATTCGTCAAAATTCCAGAAGTTGGATCAGAGCGAAAGAGAAGAGTGTACTGGAGTTGTTATGATGTGGCGCAGAGAGCAAATTGAAGCGTCCCAAATGTCCAAATGTGCTATAGTCAATCTAGTGGTTCTCCGATGAACCAAAGGCCAAAGCGAACTCATTTACTCTGCGGCCAGCTGCTGGTCCTCCCGAAGACCCTCAACCTTCAACTCCTCACCAGTGGCGCGGCGGTAGAGATCGCGGACATCATCTGCATAGTCTGTTAGCGATTGCTAGTTGATGGTGAGATTGGCGTTTGTCTTACCCGTTGTAGTCTCGAAATGTGAGGTAGAGTCGTAGCTCTTGGAGATGAAGATGTTGGACTCCTCACCGCTGTCGGTGGGCTCGTAGAGAGGAATGGGGGGTCCCATGAACTTCTCTTCGATCTTACCCAGGCGCTCGAAACCGGCCTCGAGCTCGAGGTGGGGGTTGGCATCGTTCTCGGCGATAGTCGACACGATGGCGATGTAGTAACCCTTGGGGCAAACATTGTGTGCAGATGAGACCATAGCAATGTAGATGTCTAACAAAAGTAAGTAGCTATTATAAAGGTCGGGGAGATCTTCAAAACTGACCGTGCTTGCGTCCAACCTGGGACTGGGGAATGATAAGCTGGAGAGAGTCGCTGCTGTCAGTCTTATCGATGGGGTGGTTCAGAATGCAGATAGCCTTGAGCAAGTATCCGGTGACCTTGGACTTGCTGGGGAAGTAAGAAGGATCGGCGATGATCTTCTTGGTCTTAGTCTCGAACTTCATGGCGTCGGATTGGTCCTCGCGATCCTTCATGGTGGCCTTGATACCGGAAACCTTGCCGTTCTCGTACAGCACCTCATCGACATCGGTGTTAAGCATGTAAGTACCACCGTAGATAGCGGAAAGACGAGCGAAGCCTTGAGGAAGCTCGCCGAGACCGTAGAGAGGGTAGATGTATGGCGACTTTCCGTAACGAGCCATAGAGTTGACGTACAGGCGAATGCGGTTAATGGTCTCGACGGCGGCGCCAGGCTGGTTGATGTATCCGTCGGAGGGGTACAAGGCCATGGAGTGACCGATGAAATCGCGAGTGTTATCCTCGAGGCTGAACTTGTCATAGACCTCCTTCATGGTGCAGTTGTGGACGTTAAGTCCTACTCTTCGTTAGCCCGAGAAAACCCCCGCCGAAGCAGCGCGTTGTTGTACTCACCCTGGTGGCTGGCCGAATCGTCCTCCTTGAATTCACCGACCCACTCGAGGAACTTCTTGGCCCGTCGCTTCTCGAACATGCCCATCAAAGATGAGCGCAGAGCTTCACCGGCATCCGAGGGCACCTTGGCCACGGTCGCCTTGGGGCCCTTGCCTTGCTGGACATAGCTGCCAGCGATCTGCTTGAATTCGAGGTACCGAGTAACATCCGTGGAGACCAAGATGTTGGTCAGCTCTCCGTTGGACATCAACAGCTTGGGGACCAGGTCAATGTTCCAGTCATTGACTCTGCCGTATTTCTTCCATGGCTCCTCGCCGGGTTGGACGTTGCCGTATTTCTTGAAGAGCTATTTGTGACGTTAGTATTGACACGATAAGAATATGGTAGGCTCGTAGACATACAGCCTCGATGTTGATAGAAGCTGCCTCTCTGCGTTCATGGTTAGCTGCTTCGATCGTCATAGTGAGCTCCCCGCTTCCAGGATACACTTACCCTCCATAGTGGTCATTGCGATCGATGTGGAGGACCTTGTTGCCCTTCACACTGAGGACACTGTAGTGAAAAAGACAATGAGCAAGGTACCAACAAGCTCCTGAAGCGCAGACCTACCCAGACAGCACACACTCGGTCAAGCCTGAGAAGAGGTCAGTTGGGTTGGCGAATGGCGGGGTAGAGCAACATACCAGTGCCGAGCACCACAACATCGTATTCTGGGGCAATCTCTTCCATTTTGAATATGAACAGATAATATAGAGGGAATAAGAAGAGAAGAAGAAAAGAAGAGAAAGTTATCTCCCCGCGGATCAACGAAGCGGTAAGAAAGGGGAACTATTTGACGGATCCGCCACTAGTGAGTTACCTCACCAGAACACATATTAATGACGCGCTGGACAAGACACTCTTTCCAAGCCCCTGAAGCTTGGGACATCCTTGTCTTTCAGGCTTTCAGGGGTAAATTGGCTAAACTGTAGCTTGAAAACACAATGACTTATTTAAATGCAGTAAAATTGGACAACTTTGTATGTATATTTTGACATGCGCACTCTCCAAAGCTAATGTTACATAGTGATTTGATCCCCAAGGACGACCAAGTCGGCATTATCACCCTGACAACCTCGTCCCTGTGGTAAACGACCCCCATTCTACTGGGCTCCGGTCTCCTGCGCAGACTGCTCGAGTCCATGGAAGTTCTCAGGGCGATATCCACGCTCGAACATGCGTTGAGCGTCCTCGTAGGCATACCAGCGTTCACGGAGAACGTGCTTCATGTTCTTCATGGTGCTTAGGATCTAACAATTCCAACAACGTCAGTATATCTCGAGCACAGTGACAGTAAATATGGGAAGATCTTGGGAGCAAATGGAGTCTTGGAAACCCCGCGGAAGGAGGAAGGTTGATCATATGACAACGAATGAAGCGGCGCAAACACTTACCACCTTGTCCCGCTCCTGGGATTCGTAGTCGCCATAGCCGGCGCGAACTCGTGTTCTCTCCAGATCCGATGTGACGATGCGGTTACGTTCTCGGACGCAAACATGCCACAAGGCGTGCAAGTCTTCCCAGCTCCTTTCGCGGAGTTCTTGGATACCCCATGAACGACCTGTACCCGCAATCAGCACCATTTAATGCATATATTTCATCAAATTGAGCCATGTGACTAACCGTGTGCGTTGTCATACTCTGGGAGCGGCAATGATTCCCGAGTAGGAGGGAAGAAGGCCCAGAGTCCGTGGTTGGGGTTGGTCTCTCGACGCTGCATCTCTTCCGGCGAGACAGGCTTGGGCAAAGGCCATCGGGACGCAACCAATCTGGTTCGAGGTCCGGTTCTGTTAATGGCTGATACACCACGGTTTTTGCTCTTATCGCGTCGAGGGTTGGCGCCGACGGGGGCAGTGGAAGAAAAGCTCGAGGATTGGACCGGCGAGAAGGTCACGGGGCGATGAAGAGATGGCGCAAGGTATGTGGGAGGCAATTCAGCCATGGCCAGCCCTCTCAGGCGGCTTGCAATGCGTGGAACCTGCATGGTTATGATAATGGTTTCCCCGGGAAATGTTGTGGTCGGAGATTGATGGTCTTTTCGCAGCGGCAGAACAGGGCGGCCAAATTGGTCACGTTACCACCAACAGCCGCCATACACGCCAAGGCACGCGGCTCTACTCCTTACTTTCCAAGGTTGGTTCTTTTTCGTAGCGGTGGAATACGTAGGCTTGAGAAACAGTGATGGGTTGATGAGACCTTTAGGTTTTCTGTCTTGTTTTGTTACAAGCTTGGAGGCGCATGGTGACAAGTTCTGAGTAGATTTCATTACTTGAACCTTGGAACTTGGACCAGAGCCAAGTCCACATTGGGCGAACAGATCATGAGTTACTTATCATCACAGGTGTACTCCGTAATATTGCTGGGTTTCCTGTGTATGGGCTGGTGTGTATGGTGCATCATCCGACCAATACCTTGTAAGAAGTGTTTTGTTATACATGAATAGACGAACTTTCTTATCTTCCAATCCCATGGTTCTAACCTTAGTAAAGATCTTCATTGTCATTGTCGTCTCGGTAAATGATATGCCCAGGTGGATGACCCCATGCTCCCTTTGGAGGATGTCAAATGGTAGGTACTCCGTACATCTGACCAGCTATAGGGGCCCAGGGGTTGGAAGAATCCTTTCTAAGGACTTTTTCAGAATTGGAACAATTCTGCCCAGATGAATGCTGCATCTGCTGAACGACTGCTTGATGATGAAGAAGGAATGCTTCTTTCTTTGTTGCACCTTCTGCACTGAGGATATAAAACCCCGTTAAGGTTCTCGTTTTTACCTAAGAATTAATCAATTCCCAGACCTCTGTTCTCCCTCTAGTTCCTCAGAATCATTATGAAGACCTAGAGAGAGAAACTCCTTCCACAGAGCGTTGAGACTTTGGGGTGGTTGGAAGCTAAGAGTTCATATGTACAGAGGGGTAAGCATGTTGGAAGGACGCAACTCCAGAGTTGACCAATCTCCACTTAAGGCATCAACTTCTGCCTAAGACACCAGGTCACGTGGCTGCACATATCGTCATCTTCTGACTAAGCTTACGCGTTTGCCGCGATAAACGCCACCTCAGCTCACTCACTCACTCTCACGTGAAATACCCTCTCACGTGCAGTCCCCTGTCACGTGCAATACCTTACTACATTCATGTGCGACAATATGGTTATGACACGAAAACGCCGTGGCAATAGGATCAGAAGGTCCGGGCACTGGCGAGGGAGCTATCAGCCAAGGCCCTGGCAGGCGCCAAACGCGCGCCTAACTGTCCAATCAGATCCCGGGCCGGTCGGAGGACCGCCGCATCAAGCGGACAGTCCTTCTCTCCCCTCCACATATTCACCTGAGGTAACTCTCCGCCAATGCTACTTTCGACCTTTATCTGAATATCTTTGCAATTTCATAGGCTACCTTCCCAACGGAATCTTCGACTATGAATCGGCCAGGTTAGTTACCATTCTCTACATTCACTTCATGTCCCCCATACCGTCAAGCCCTCGTACTCCGCGGATCGCCCTTGATACCAAGCTGTTCTTGTTTGCTTGGACGCGAAGATGGATTCCGCAGCCGACCTCGGATGTGAACGTGGCGGAAACCTTTTGCCCTACAGGAACTCTTGTGTGACGAGTGCTTATCGTTGCGACCGAGACCCTCTGGTGGAGCGTTTGATGTTGGCCGAAGCAGTCTGCTTCACGATCTATGCCATTAGGATCGCACCTCCCTGCCTCCCCCGTCATGCATCGGCGTTGTCGCATACACTATACCCCACAAAAGCCTGATTTGTGTCATGCCTTTTCCGTTCATTTGCCGCGCGTGGATGTGATGCGCAACAGAAGCACTGACAGAGCACTCGACTTTTCTTTGATCATGCCAAGCTAACCTGAGATTGAATAGGCGGTGCTACGAATTGGAGCTTCAATCTACCAGGTGGATCCACCGGCCTACAGGGCAATCAACGCGCAATGGGCACCATGGGGAGCTTCGCGCAAAGCTTGGGAGGATCTCAATCGTCGTCCGCGCCTCTAGATCTCTCGTAAGTTCCTTGATATCCATGATATGCAGTGTTGTCCCGTTTCCCCGCGCCTCTGTCTCTGTCTTTGAACTGACAAGGTCGGTGATCATAGGGAGTTTCCTTCGCTTTCAGGAGCATCACAGCAATCACAGTCTCAGACTCCAGGCCAGCTAATGTGGGCCAACGCAAGTCAACGCGCTGCTCAGCCAACACCCGTCCAAAGACAACAGCTTCCACCAAGCTCGCAAGCCCCCCCTCCCGCTCCTCTCAACCACAAGGCCTCCCCACACCTCAACAATCTCAACCCCCGCACGATGACATGTTTCCTTCCGGCACACAATTCGCCAACCGACTCGACGACTTCAGAAATGGTGGACAAGGCATTAGCAGTCAATTGGGCGTTGGCGGTCAGCCCCAGACAGGAAACATTGAAGAATTCCCTCCTCTAGGCCGCAATGCTGCTGCTGATCTTCCCCTCGGGCGTTCTGGAGGCTTGATGCAAGGTACAGGGTTTGGAAACTACGGACCTGGTATGTGCATTCTTGCTCGATGAGTCTCTTGGCCCCGTGCATATCCGCGAGCAAGAGCGTCATTGTTTGCGCGATAATATTGTTCTTCTCCATACGCTCAGCGTGCCGAGCTAACCCCGTGGTTTCAGGTTTAGGATCATCGCGGTCACCAGTCAGCCAAGTGCCAAATGGCATTTTGGGACAAGAGAAAGAAGTGGGTTCCGCATGAAGCTGCATATCTTTTTGTATAGATGCTAACAATGCTACAGGATCTGGGAAGCAATGGAATTCCCAACCAACGAAACTTCAGTGATCCCCCGCAGCTTCAGCAACGGCAACCAGAAACCAGCGATAGCCAAGAAGCATCTGGTGCATCCGCAAATACTGAACAGCCGCCTCTTGCGCAGATGAGCGAGCTTGACAGATTTGGGCTGGCCGGCTTGCTGCGCATGATTCATAGCGAAAGCCCTGACGTGGCGAGTCTCGCGGTTGGTCAAGATCTCATGACTTTAGGACTGGATTTGAACCAGGCCGAGTATGTCACATAGCATTCCCCCATGTCGTTAGCCCATGCTTACCGATTGTCCAGACCCCTGCACACCTCTTTTGCTTCTCCGTTTGTTTCGGCAATGTCGGCCGTGCCTCTGGAACAAGATTTCTCCCTCCCGGCTTGCTACAATGTTGCCAACATTCAGCCCTTACAGTCTCGAATCCCTGGGTTCAGTGATGAGACGCTCTTTTACATCTTCTACAGCATGCCTCGTGACATCATGCAAGAGCTTGTGGCTGAGGAATTGATGGGACGCAAATGGCGTTACCATAAACTCGAGCGTTGCTGGTTGACTCGCGATGAGACATACCCCGGACCTGTTGATGTGGAGCGTGGTGTCACAGAACGCGGCGTGTATCTCCTCTGGGACCCTGTTTCCTGGAAAAAGATCCGAGTATGCATTCCCTCTTCAATTTGTTTGGCCTGGATCACTGACTCTTGAAATTACAGCGCGAATTTATTCTTCGATATGAGGACCTGGATAACCGTCTTGACCCCAACCGAAGTGCTGCCCGACCAGTTGGTGTGCCGCACCCTGCTTCATGATTCGAATACGATAGGAAGAATGCACAGTGGGGGATCTAACTCGACAATGGAGCCGTTCCAATCTTGTGTAATATTGCTCGGGTGAGGATATTACACTGCAGTTGGGAATTATGTGTGACGATCTCTTGAAACTAAAAAAGCCTAATAACGTTGCAAGTGACAGTGTCATTGCTTGAATCTTTGCCTGTAAAACATACCTAACAGACGTAAGCAACTGCACCACAAGGTGCTTGGTGCCTCGCATGAACCGTAGGGATAAGTATTTGCCTCCAGGCTCTAAAGTTTGCAACAATCTGACTTTGGTTTAGTGTCATCACCTCCATCGACCAGAACACTGCGGTTGCTCTCTTGTGTGGACAAAGCAACATCCAAACCAGGGTTCCCAGTAAAAAAGTTAGCAGGCTTCAACCCAACTGTCATCTTTTCAGACGGCATTACAGGCCAATCCTCAATTCTGGGATTGTGTGTGGATCCAAACGTATGCCAAACGACAATGTCTTTGTTTCGCACCAACGATTCCTCGGTCCCAGAGCGATTTGCAATAGCAGTAGCGATTCCGTCGCCACCAACTGATTGCATCGTATGGCGGCCAGATGGGAAGTGCTCTTCGTCATTATGGCGTGTGACCCAGACAGCGTGTGTTGCAAACTCGGAGCGCTTAGCATGGTATGACTCCGGGTGCGCCAAGAGCATTTGGCTGTAGGCAGGGAGCAGTTTAAATCCAACAGGTGTTCCTGTCACAGGATTGATGACATTCTCATTGACGATCTTGAATGTGCGGTTCTTTGTGAAATCAAGATCTAAGCCTCCTTCATGGTCCACGATGGAAGATCGCGTAGCGTATCCAACACCAAAGGGATTGGCGTAAGAGTCGACTTGGGCTTGCGTCTTGCCGGTATGGTCAAATGTCGGGATGTCAATAGGCATAGGATATGATTCTTCGATCTGTAGTGAATTGCTGTGACCATCAATGGCAGGATCTATCCGAAGAGAGAACAAGTGTTGATGGTAGGGGGCCAACACGCCTGGTGCGACAACTGTACCGTAAGGCACATTATCGCCGACATTGATGGGAGTGGTCGAGAGAATTCCAGTGGCACGGACTTCGTAATGAATCGACGCATCTTGACCAAAGTGGAAAGCAAATATATATTCGTAGTTGCTGACGGTGATGATGGTTTGCAAGACCAAGATGCGTGACCGCGCGACGACGGCATTCTGGGTTCGGAAATTTGTATGCTTCCACAAGATACCATCATCTTCCTCGTGGCAACATATCACATTAGGAAGTTTCACCGGATCGCCCGAGGTAGTAGTGTGCCAGCCGTCGAAGTACTTGATATGTCCGAGGCAGTCGCAGCCCAGTCGTAGATTGTTAGCATTGATTCCAGCTCCATCATTTCCGAGGTCGAAAGCTGCCTTGCGTGGGTAGGGAGTCCGAGGATCGCCGTAGGGCACAAACATCTCTGCCAGGGAAATGCGGTAGAACAGGCTTCGACCCTCGTAGCGGATATCGTGAAGAGTAAGGCCCTCGCGGTAGTTGAAACCAATATGCATAGACCACTTCTCCCACTCCAAGAAGTTTCCTTGGGTCTTGAAAGAGGGACCCTCGGGTTGTATGACTTGGTAGGGTTTTGTTGTCGTCCGAGGAGAAGATCTAAGGCCCGGACTGTATTCGGTCTCTGCACCATGAATCTTGCGACGGTCAAATGGCTTTGGCTTGTCATTGATACGATCATCAATACCAGAAGGCAGTCGATAGATCTTGGTAACTTTGAGATCCTCCGATACCTCTGCACACAGGTCAAGCGGATACGCGTAGTAGTTGGCATCGACATCGTCCACTAATCGCATGTAAAACCAACCCTATGCGACCAGTTAGCTCAATTCTTTATCTATCGGAGAATAAGTTCCACTCCGGACTTGCCATGGTGATGCGTTGGGACATATCATTGAGACCATCCGTGGCGTATGCCCATGCCTCGACTATGACTGTAGCACCAGCAGGGAGCTCAAGGAGAGCAATTTGCTCCTGGATTCGTGGATCTTCAATGCAAGCCTTCTCAACGGCTTGCATATAGTCAGAGTCAATGTAAGGATGCTTGCCGACAAGATGTTCCTTCTTGATTATGACAGCTCGGTCAAGATCAACCCAAAGCTCGACAAACCTGGCCGCCCAATCACCAGGAAGAACTACCTGAACTCGGGCAGTCCTAGCAGGTCGCTTGCTAGAATTTCCCCCTCGATTCTGGTCATCCAGGAATGGGATCATTTGATCTTTGGCGGGCTCTTTCAGGGTAATCACCCGAAAGTTGGGCGTTTGAGCTGGAAAATCACGGCGTACAATAGCCGCAGCCTGGGTGGTTGTGAGCTGCGGAGTATTATTGCTATCTAGGTGCTGCCTCTCCTACCTTTGCTATTTCCCTTGAGGTCAAAGGATCGAAAGGGTGATTGGGCGACATGGTTGCAAGGGACTTTGAAGTGAGAGTTACTTTCACCAAAACTGTGGTCTTCGTGAGTTATCATAGACATGGAGCATCTGCCGTGTAAATAGGAAATTTGTGGGTGTTATCATGATTGTCACAGATAGGAATGTTCCCAAAGGTCAGGTTTACGCGAAGGTGCCAACTGGACCGTTTAGATGTTGGCTCTCTAGAGCCTAGGTTCAACCCCACATCCACAAAGGTAAGGATTAACCGGGTCCTGCATTAAGTCCGAGCCGCTGCACGCTGCTAGATCTTGGCGAAATCGAGAGTTCCGCGCGGAAAATTCGTTTGGAGAACCATAGAGCTTCCCCAACAGGAAGTTTAGGTCGCCTAGGCCTACCGTTAGGGTTTGGGTTTGTTGGAAGTGGAGAGAGCCCATAGATTGTTGTACTTCCGTGTGCATGATGTTCACTCAGGTGCGAGAATGGTCACATTAATTTGTCACCGACTTTACCTTTTCTGAACCCAGATATCAGGGTGGAAGAAACTCATATTCAAAGCTTGGTGATCACTTGAGAATAATAAGCGACAAGTTCCACCTGGGCAACACCGGTAGTTATCGACTTGGGGAGTATTTATGGTTAACTTGGCTGTCTTTTGAGTGTCTTTCTGGCTGTATTTTTCACTATCCTTCCAACTATTGACTACCCATCAGTACTTCCATTCTTAATTTAGCACCATCATCGAGTAATGAAAGTCTTGCCTAAGCCGGAAACAGATAGTTAGGGCTTGGGGATCTGTAGCCCAGGAACACCTAAAGCCGAAAGTATTGCATGAGGCACAACATGGTTACAGTCATCTCGTGTTGTACTTAGGGGAGACTTCCCCACAGTCAACGCACATGAATCATGCCTATAAAGACCTCGGGAACCTTGGAAGATATGTTGCACCTCGGATTCTTGCTGTTCCATCACCTGGAATAGACTCAGCTCACATGCTTCCAAGGCTCTAGGAAATACTTCTGCGACTGAATCACCTTTCGGGGGCATTGAGGCCTCTGTATATGCAAAGGAAGCTGGCAAAGAAGTCCCGGTCGAGCAGTACTTATCTCTCTAAGAACCCGGAAATATGAGTCAGCCCAATTTCCAGACTTCGGCTTGGCTTATGAGTTTATGGTCTAATGAATTTGTAATTTGCATCGGATTCATGCTTGACATTTCCAAAGTTCAACGCTGCTATCACCTTGAGATACCACCAAAAACACCACAAAAGCAAAGCTCAACTTCAACCACCCTACCAAGGTTGTAGTCTCGATATTCCTAGGCGTATCCCCAAGTCATCTCTCCGCCAATCTATCTAGATTTGCGTCCAGTTGAAATGATAGCTACCCAGTCCGTTTCAACCTCTCCGTCACTGCCATAATTTTCGTCAACATACGCCACCAACGCTGGACGAATCTTGTGCTCGTTTGCCTCTCTTTGTTCCTCACTCCAGAAAGACTTTATCATCATTGGGAGCATCAACATGCTCATATCCACGAAGACCGAAGATCGAAGAGCAATGCTGGCTGTTTCGGCGCGCACTTCGATGTCTTCGAATCCACGTTTCTCCAGCTGAGACTTGATCCAAGTCAAAGAGTGCCATTCACCATCGCTTAGGTTTGCTAAGATATCCTTAGACTCGGGAAATGGTAGATCACCTGGCATACTCTGAATGGCTCGCCTAGCAACAGACATCCAGCCGGCTGTTGACACATCAGTAACATCATTCGGCAAGGTGTATGTGGCTGGCTACTTACGCTCGATCCAAGTCGAAAAGGCAATTCTTCCACCTGGCTTTAACATTCGCACGGTCTCTGAGTAATTGTCAGACATAGAGTATGATTGAGGTGTTTGAATGATGATTCTTACCGTCGAGACCTCTGATTGATTGAGGAAGTGCCATGTAAGCTGCACACGAAAGATAATAGGTCAGATTCAACGAAATGTATTGGGGATAAAGATAGAGACTTACCAAAGGCCGTGAAGACGTAATCATAGAAAGCACTGGGCAATTGAGGGCTCTGTGCATCCACGAGTTTCGTTTCTGAGTTTTGCCAGTTCTCATCTTGCATCCGGCGCTCTGTATACTTGAGTACCGCGGATGAGATGTCTCCACATGTCAACTTCCAATGCTTTTTGGTCTCGACGTCAAGTGTCTCATTGAGGATACTTGAAACAGCGCCGGTGCCACAGGCATTGTCTAGAACCGCGAGAGGCGCGTTGGGGTGGATTTTTGACGTTGTGATCAACTTGCTCTGCTCAACGAGACTTTTGGCAAAGACATAGGTGACCAGTTCTCCACGTTTGAAGGAGTCGGCATATTGCTCACTCTTGAAAAACTTTTGCAGAACAGGTTCGGAGGCCATGATGTGCTGCGAGGGAGGTTTAATCTTGAGACTGCGAGTACAGATCTGAGAACGCATGAAACTGAGGTTCGTTGAAACACTCTTATTTAGCGGAATATGAGTCCCTTTAAATAGCCACTTGGTCCCCGAAGACTTGAAGGCTGGACTTTGACTTGTTTGAGCTTGGTACAGCAAAAAAAGAAAAGTGTCCGATAATGTCTCCGAGGCAGACTAAGCTGTATACTTACAGTAGCCCTGGACGGAGGATGAATGCATTGGACCAAAGTCTCATGGTGAACCCACTAATTCACTCAAATGATCTCAGCCTGATTTTGAGAGACCAATCGTTGATTTTATTAATTAATTGATGGTCTTGATGCATGAGTACGGAGTACCCTTGGGCCGGCCGAAAGGAGCTGCTATCTGGTCGCACATACATTGACTTGAGGTCACACGCCCGTCGAGTGTATACATACATGGCTAGCGCCTGATCTTGAAACAAAAGCCAATGATGTAATGTTCCACGTTGTGAGAGGTTGAAAGAAGACCAAATGGTTTTCTGATATACGATCACGTGGTTGACACACGTGACCATGGTGGTCCCCGCGCTAGCCTCAGCAACCAGACCCAATTGGGCAAACCGTAAACAGCTCGCACGTTGCGGGAAAACATTCGCGCAACTCCCTCGGCCCCTCAGTTCATGCACTCCGCGCGCGAGCAGCACGCCGTCTCAGAGCAATCATGAGGATTACTGAAATTGTCATAGATGTGTGTATTGACTTGATTCTCTTTGGTTTACTGCGCTAACACGTTGAAGGGCTTCAAATCGTACGCTGTGCGTACGGTGATCTCGGGATGGTATGGAATCATTCGCCTCAGCGGCAAAGTCACACGGGCTGAGACCGGAGGCGCAACGCATTGGAAGTTTGCTGATTATGCAATTTTAGGGACGAATCATTCAACTCGATCACCGGTTTGAACGGTAGTGGTAAATCAAACATCCTCGATGCCATTTGTTTCGTCCTTGGTATCACCAACATGACCACCGTCCGCGCGCAGAACCTTCAAGATCTTATCTATAAGCGCGGACAGGCAGGTGTCACCAAAGCCAGCGTTACAATCGTCTTCGACAACACAGATACAGCAAAGTCGCCGATCGGATTCGAAGAATATGCCAACATCTCAGTCACCAGGCAGATTGTGCTGGGCGGAACGAGCAAATACCTGATAAACGGACACCGCGCGCAGCAACAAACCGTCCAGAACCTTTTCCAGAGTGTGCAGCTGAACATCAACAACCCCAACTTCCTGATCATGCAGGGTCGAATCACGAAAGTCCTCAACATGAAGTCGGTTGAAATTCTCTCGATGATTGAGGAGGCTGCAGGAACACGGATGTTCGAGGATCGGAGGGAAAAGGCGAACCGCACAATGGGAAAGAAAGAGCTCAAGCTGCGCGAGATCGAAGAGTTGCTGAAGGAGGAGATCGAGCCCAAGCTCGAGAAGCTTCGGTCCGAAAAGCGCGCCTTCCTCGACTTCCAACAAACGCAGAACGATCTCGAGCGCATGACCAGACTTGTCGTTGCGCATGATTACATTCGCGGTGGCGAGCGGTTGCGGGTTGCGGGAAACGAATGTGAAAGCAAACGGAACAAGGCGCAAGCACTTGAGGACAATGCACACAAACTCAAGAGTGAAATCGCCCACCTGGAGGAAGACGTCAAGCGCGTTCGCACAGCCCGCGACAAGGAGCTTCGAAAGGGCGGCAAATTCCAAGGGCTGGAGGATGAAGTCAAGAACTACTCGCACGAACTGGTCCGCTTGGCTACCGTCTTTGATCTCAAAAATGCCAGCATGGAAGAAGAGAAGGAAAAGCGCCAGACGATCCAACATACAGTCGCTGATCTTGAAAAGGCCTTGAAGGAGAAGCGCAAGATTTACGAGGAAATCCAGGCTCAATACGACACTGCCAAAGCCGAGTTGGACGCACAAACGGTGGAGGTAGAACAGAAAGAGGAACTGCTGCAGACATTACAGACTGGTGTTGCTTCAAAAGAAGGCCAAGAGAGTGGTTACCAGGGTCAACTGCAAGATGCCCGCAACCGCGCGAGCAATGCTGCCACAGAGCAAGAGCAGGGCAAGCTCAAGATCAACCACTTGGAAAAGCGAATTAAAGAAGAGGAGCCTCGGGCAAAGAAGGCCAAGGAGCAGAACTCGGGTCTTCTTAGTGATCTCGAAGGGCTTAAGTCGCAGGCTAGCAAGCTGGAATCGGAATTGAACCGGCTTGGATTCGAGCCTGGAAAAGAGGAGCAAATCTACCAAGAGCAGACAGGACTCCAAAGAGACATTCGCGATCTCCGCCAACGGGCTGACGGCCTCAGGAGGCAAGCGGCGAATATCGATTTCAATTACGCTGATCCCCATCCCAACTTCGATCGCTCCAAGGTCAAAGGATTGGTTGCTCAGCTTTTCACTCTGAACAAAGATCAAGTGGCAGCGGCAACAGCTCTCGAGATCTGCGCAGGTGGTCGCCTCTACAACGTGGTCGTGGACAGCGCGGAGACCGGTACTCAGCTTCTGCAAAAAGGAAAGCTGCGTAAGCGCGTGACTATCATCCCACTGAACAAAATCTCGGCATTCAAGGCCTCCGTTGAAAAGATCGGGGCGGCACAAAACATTGCACCAGGAAAGGTCGACCTTGCTTTGTCCCTGGTAGGACACGACGAGGAAGTCCTCGCGGCTATGAACTACGTCTTTGGCAACACGCTGATTTGTCATGACGCCGAAACCGCGAAACGAGTGACATTCGACCCATCGGTTCGGATGAAGAGCGTTACACTCGAAGGAGATGTCTACGATCCCTCCGGAACCCTCTCTGGTGGAAGTTCTCCCAACTCCAGCGGTGTCCTGGTCACTTTGCAGAAGCTCAATGAGATTACCAAGGAGCTACGGAGCAAGGAGCGCCAACTTGCAACGCTAGAGGATAATATGAATAAGGAGAAGAAGAAGCTCGATGCAGTCCGCTCGGTGAAGCAGAATTTGGATCTCAAGACCCACGAGATTAAGCTTACTGAGGAGCAAATCAACAGCAACTCATCGTCATCGGTATGTCTTGGTTTCTTTGAAAGCCCCCATACCATGCAACTGACGTCAGGTAGATTATCCAAGCAGTCGAAGAAATGAGGGCAAATATTGAGCAGCTCAAGAAAGACATTGCTGATGCGAAGGCTCGGCAAGCGGCAGCATCCAAGGATATCAAACAGATTGAAAAGGATATGAGCGAATTTACCGACAACAAGGATAGCAAGTTGGCGGAATTACAGGCTTCTTTGGACAAATTGAAGAAGAGCCTTGCCAAGACCTCAAGCTCCGTTAAAGAGCTGCAGAAGGAAACGCAAACATCCAGACTTGACTCGGAACAAGCTGGAAGCGATTTATCCGCTGCCGAGGAGCAGCTGGTCGAAGCAGACAACACCCTTAGCTCCCAGGCAGAGGAAATTGAATCGCAAAAGCGTGAGCAGACGCGACTGAAGGTACGAATACTCCTTTCAATTAAGATATACAAAGACTGATAAATTGCAGGATGCTCATGACGTCGCACAAGCTCAACTCAATGACGAGAGAGCCAAGTTGACCGGCTTTGATGAGGAACTACGTGAATTGGAGTCGGCCATGAAGAGTAAATCTTCTCAAATTACCGAAGAAGGTCTTGAGGCGCAGAAGCTCGGCCACCAGCTCGAGAAGCTTCAAAAGGACCAACATACCGCTAGCCAAGCCGTAGCTCATATGGAGCAAGAACATGAGTGGATCGCCGACGAGAAGGAACACTTTGGGCGCCCGAACACGCCCTACCATTTCGAGGGCCAGAACATCGCCGAATGCAAATCGACCCTTCGGAACCTGACGGAGCGATCACAAGGCATGAAGAAGAAGATCAACCCCAAGGTCATGAACATGATCGACAGCGTTGAGAAGAAGGAGGCCGCTCTGAAGAACATGATGAAGACAGTGATCCGCGATAAGCGAAAGATCGAAGAGACTATCATGAACCTTAACGAGTACAAGAAGGAGGCCCTTCACAAGACCTGGGTCAAGGTCAACGGCGATTTTGGACAGATCTTCAACGAGCTCCTACCGGGCAGCTTTGCCAAACTTGATCCGCCCGAGGGCAAAGACATCACCGATGGCCTGGAGGTCAAGGTTTCCCTCGGCAAGGTCTGGAAGCAGAGTTTGACCGAACTCAGTGGTGGTCAACGTTCTCTCATTGCCCTCTCTTTGATCATGGCACTTCTGCAATTCAAGCCCGCCCCAATGTACATTCTCGACGAAGTCGATGCCGCCTTGGATCTGTCACACACGCAGAACATTGGTCGATTGATCAAGACCCGCTTTAAGGGATCTCAGTTCATCGTTGTCTCGCTCAAGGACGGCATGTTCCAAAATGCCAACCGCATTTTCCGAACGAGGTTCAGCGAGGGTACAAGTATTGTTCAGGCTTTGACCCCTGCAGATATGAAATGAGTGGAATCATGTGTTGGATTGTCTATAGTTTGCTTCTTGGTCTGTTCTTCCGGCGGGGTGTGACATGATGTCCGGTTGGTGTTCTGTTTTTATGGATGGTAATGAATTCCTTCTTATGACTTATGCATTGTGAAGACTTTGAGAAATTGTTTTGTTCATATACGTACAGAAGTAGATATCGTCAGCATATGAAGCGGTAAGATTTGGAGATCTCCCGACCCCGACTTCCGATATGCGGTCAAGGCACGTGCCCGCTTTCCGACCTGACCCTCAGTGCCACCTCTCAACGCGACAAGTTCCCCGCGCATTGCGCTTCTGCCCACTTCGTTTTACTCCATTGATTTGGACTATATTGATCACCTTTCTACTCCTGGACTACTTACCATTCTCGGAATCGGCATCGTTCGGCGACACCTCGTCGGACTCAACTCACTCCCGCAACATGACTGACGATGAGCCCTCCCTCAATATACCGTCACTCCTTACGCTCGCGGTTGTATCATATTTCGTGCTGAGATGGTTTCTCAACCGCGATGATAATCCAGCCGGAGGTGGCCGGGGTCGGGGTCGTGGCAATGTCGTCGACCCAGCGTCAGTTGCTCAGATCGCGCAGATGTTCCCTCAAATGAACACTCGTGATATAATGTGGGATTTGCAGCGCAATGGAGGAAGTGTGCCAGCAACTACTGAAAGAATATTGACGGGACGGGGCTTGGAAACTGTACGTGCAATGAAATGGCATCCCTCTCAGTCAACAGCGTTCAGCCACCGCAGTGGCAAGGACATCCTAGCTTCCTGTAGAGCATCTACTGATGATTATATCTAGCCTCCTCCTTCGTTCCAGCCACAGGTCGCAATTCCCCCAACCAACATCCCACCAGCTCAGACCGCATCTTCTGCATCGGCTACCAAGCCGGATGGCCAGGACTTGATCTCTCGATACAATCTTAGTGCCAAAGCTGCCAGTCCTCCTGCGGAAGTACAGTCAGAAGTTCCATCGAGAACACCATGGTCTCAAAATAAGGAGGAGCGTCAACGGCTCTTGCAAAAACGCCGAGATGACATGATTCTGGCGGCGCGGAGGAAGATGATGCAGAAGGACCAAGGCAATGCCCAATGATATGAGGGATATCCTGAAAAGAAAACTGCTGTATACATCTTGTTGTTAATGTTCATCTGGCACCAGGCTTCTTCTGGGACCGTTATACCCTCCCCGTCTTTCCGGTTTTGTGTGGCATCGTTCTCTGTTTATACTAGCTCATATGAATGCTATAGTTTGGGGTAATTTGGCACAATGATTATTGTTACCATCGTTTGAAAGTAGGGTATAATGGACTATATACATAAATGTCGGTTTTAAGGAGGTATTATTTGCACATGCACCGTTCCAACGCCGAATAAACAACCCGAAGAAATGCTGAACAGCTCAGAACTCCATGTAATCTTCCTCCTCTTCCTCCTGCGTGCCCTCGTACCCGCCAGCTGCCCTTTGCTCGGCCATTTGTTCACGCCGAGCTTGCTCCTTAGAAGATCCGATTCTCCTACATATATGTTAGCAACCGTACCATAAGGCGGGTGCGGCTGGTTTCCGTACCTAAGACCATCCACCACGCCTGTGATGAATCCTCGCTCTTCTCCAAGTTCCATAGAGCCAACACCAGTCAAAGCAACACCGCCACCACCAGTTGCAGCTTCATCCAGTACATCTACACCAGATCGCATCTTTGACATGCGCACCTCTCGTAGATCCTTGAGGAGTCTCCGGATCTGATCCGGGTCCACAAGGTCATCACTTGCGGCGTCAAGTAACAGATTGCCGACTTCAACCCAATGGAAGGGAAGTGAGGGTGGATCTCGTGAGGAGGTCGGTTGCGCCGTGTTGTGTGGCAGGAAAGGCGGCGCTGGATAGTACCGTTTGCCGTCTGGGGTATATTGCGGCTTAGCCGACGCCGTCGCATCACGATCTAGGATGCTGGGTTGGCCAGGTAGGGGAGGCGGCGGTGAGAAAGCATTTTGATAGTCTTGGTGCGAGGATTCAACCTCGAGAATTAGGCCCAATGGCTCTGGATGTAGCCATGATGGCGGTATGATGTTGGCGCGGCGTTGGCGTTTGAGGAGAAGGGCGAACCATAGGGGGATGTCTGCGCGTCGCGGAGGAGCAAGTGCTTCAACAGGGCCCTAGACATGATCAGCTGTGTAGACTTGAGGTAGCCAGGGCTACATACTCCGAGTAGTTCGAGGCCTTCCAGACGTTGGCGGGGCACAATGGTCACTGTTTCCATCTCCGCGAGAAAAGCGATCTCCGACGCTGTAACGCCCCGGGGAAGTGGAAAAGCCATTGGGGACTAAGGTGAATAGAACGACTCTCAATCTCTCATAGTTCTGTCGACTCTGGTCTTTTCGCAATTGTCTTAGTTCTGCAAGGCGCGTGAAAACGCGTTTGAAACGTTTGCATCGGAGGCGGCGATCGAGCTCCGATAACCCCGGAACTTCTTCAACTTGACACCTTAGACCCCGGAACTCAAGCATGTCGAATCCTGCAGAGTCGGACCTCAGCCGGACGGCAAGGTGGCTTGTCCCCTTTGGACTGATCTTGTTCCCTTTTTTCTGGGTGAACCTTGTCAACAAGGTGGTCCCGGAACCCTACCTGGATGAGGTCTTTCATGTTCCCCAGGCTCAGGCATACTGGGCGCATAAATGGTCTCAATGGGACCCAAAGCTCACTACTCCGCCGGGTTTGTATCTGGTCTCATACCTGGTCTTCACCCTCCGTACCCCGGAGGCGTTAACTACCGATGTCCTTCGCATGACCAACATCGGTGCCATCTCGGTCTTGCTTCCATGGAGATTGCAAACACTCCTAGACACTATTCAAAAAACCACTAACACCCGGCCGTTGGGTGCTAATCTTTCACACACTGTCTTGAACATCTGTCTCTTCCCGCCGTTGTTCTTCTTCTCGGGTCTATACTACACCGACGTTCTTGCTTTGCTCTTCACGGTGGAAGCATACAACTGGGACCTCAAGAGAGATTCACAGGTATCCACCAACGGGAAGCGTAACAAACTCCTGGAAAATCTAGGTTTCCTGGCTTTTGCTCTATCGGCATTGATCTGTCGTCAAACAAACATCTTTTGGGTTGCTGTATTCCTCGGTGGGCTTCAGGCCGTGCGCACAATCAGACGTTCTTCGAAGAACTGTATGTCGTCTAAATGGACGAACATTGTGAAGCAAAGCGGCCAGAATGAGCTCTACGATCCCCCTGTTTCAGGGGCTTCGTTTGAAGGTAAATGACAAGCAACAATTTCACAACTTGGGAAAGAACACTAACTTCCCAATCAGACTATATCAAGACTGCTATCTCTCTTGCAGCTGTTGCCTTGAGAAGACCATTCTCCCTGCTCGCCCCCCCTTGTCCCACACCTCGTTGTTCTCGGGGCCTTTGGCGCTTTTGTTCTTTGGAACAATGGTGTTGTACTAGGTCAGCACAGCTATAATCTCTCACCAGGCTAGGATCTCATCAACTAACGATTTATAGGTCACAAGGAGTTCCACACTGCTGGAATTCATTTGGCCCAGATGCTTTACATCTGGCCCTATATTGCTTTCTTCTCGTGGCCACTTTTCGTGATCCCACTCATCAACATCCTCGCGATCAAACCACTTCCCGCATGGATCAACCTCGGCTTCCCTCCGAAGCAGAGAAAGTACCCAAGGCTCGTGGCAGCTGCGATTGTCATTCCCGTAATGTTAGCTGTGGTTCACTTCAACACTATTGTGCACCCCTTCACCCTGGCCGATAACAGACACTATGTGTTTTATGTTTTCCGTCTGCTTCTGGGTGTTCACCCAGCCATCAAATATGCCGCAGTTGTGGTCTACTTCCTGTGCGGGTGGGCGGTCATCTCTGCCTTTGGATTTACCACAATCCAACGCCCACCTAGAACTGTACGCATCCAAGAGCCGTCTGCTCCTGCTGCTGCCCCACCTGCTGCTGCTGCTGCTCCCGCCCCGGCTCCAGTTCCGACTCCAGCTCCGGCTCCAGATGTTTCCCGGGCTAAGCCCAAACCTAAGCCCAAACCAGCGCAGGCACACGAGCAACCGCCCAAAGGCACCAAACGACCCAGCAAACCAACCAAAAAGAAGGGCACCGAATCTGCGTCTGAAAAGAAGACCGATCCTGCCCCAGAGAAAAGTGCCGACCCCACTGACCCCGAGGTCCTGGCCAAGGTGCAACAACATCTTCTCACGCGCCAGAAAGAGGCGATTGACACACCCCGTGTCAGTTTTGTTTTGATTTGGCTGGCTGCTACCACATTATCCCTGGTGACTGCGCCCCTCGTCGAGCCACGTTACTTCATCATTCCTTGGGTGATGTGGCGTCTTCATCTGCCTCCCTTGCCTTCCCTATACAAGCACCGGGAGACACGTCCTCGAGAAGAAGCTGCTAAGCGGAACTCTGATTTCATTATCAATTCACCCAAGTTTGTGGAGATGGCCTGGTTCTTGGTCATCAACCTGGTCACTGGGTATGTCTTCCTGTACAAGGGCTTTGAGTGGCCACAAGAGCCTGGCAAGATTCAACGCTTCATATGGTGATATGTCTTTGCCCAGATATTTGATTGAGACTGGTAAAACATTTGTACAATAGCAATGTATTATATTTGTATACTTACAAAACCTGGTGTTGACCTTGAAATATCAACCTCTTTCAGAGTTCTGTTGCTTCCACGCGGCTCGCTTGTGATAGATATCACGCCTGAAAACCTGCTTCAGCTCAGAGACCAACTCGACATCAACCGGCATCGCAGCTTGAATGGCACCAACACCACAAAGACCATTCTTCCGATCAATAAACCAAGCAAGCGTCAAACCACCTCCCCAAGTCAACGTTCTCTCTCCATACCACCCGTCGACATCCTCAAGCGTCAACAATCCACCAAATCCGTGGCCAACCTTCGCCCCGACTTCGGTTCCAACGCGGAAGAACACCCCCGCTGGGCTATTCAGTGCATCCTGATGACCAGCCGTAGCCTCGGGGCTCAACTGGTGCTCAAACATGGCGTCGACGGTATCCGGTCGAAGCAGTTTCCCGTCACTGGCCAACAACGAATGCAAGATCTTGATGTAATCCGAACCAGGGAGGAACAATCCATGTCCGCCAAAGTCTCCACGCGAACGCATGTTCATCTCGCCCCCACCTCCCAGGACCGCTCGGCCGAGACAGTCTGGATCATCGGGGTTTAAGTCTACAAGGCGCTCGCGCAGGTCTGCACGTGTCACTGGGTAAAATTGGCCATCTTTGATACCTAGTGGATCGAAGATCCGTCGCTGGATAAACTCTGTAAGTGTGCCGCCAGTCACTCGCTCGACTATGCGACCTGCCCAGTCGAGCCCCGGACCGTACATCCAACTTGTACCGGGCTGGAAGCTCAAAGGGTAACAGAATAGCTCTTCGACGGATCGAGAGTCAGTTTCCTTGGGGTCGGTGAACTGTTCGCGCCACTTTGCCACGAGGGGGTTCATGAAATGGTAAGGGGTGGCCGAACTGTGGGTGAGCAGCATCTTGAGGGTGATTGGACGGATTGGTTCCTCCAGTTGAGGGTTTCCGTCCTCAGAGAAGCCGGTGAGAACTGCCTTTTCGGCTAGCTCGGGGGCGATAGTTGACAGGTCTCCGTCGAGAGTCAAGAGACCATCTTCGACGCATTGTAGGGCGGCGATGGTGGCGACTAGTTTAGTAGCTGAAGCGAGGTAGAGCACGTCGTCAAGCTGTTGAGGCCGTTTCTCGCCTGAAAGTAGAGTGCGCTCGCCGAATGCTTTATTGTAGACGAATCGGCCCTCGGCGTCAGTGGCGCATACCACAGCGCCATTGATTTTGCCAGCGTCGATGGCGGCTTGAAAGCTTGTCTCCATTTCGGCCATTGCCAAGTTGTTCAAGATGTCAAGATGGATTGTCGGAGCGAGAAAAGACTACGGATACTCAAATGAGGTCAGCTTTGAGACTATGACCTGAACTCGGGGTCTCTTTTCGGATAAGCGTCAGTGTGGGGCTTTGGGGGCGAGAACATCGGGATACGAGCTGCCAAAGAAGGAACCTTGGAAGTGGTACCTAGTATATTATGAATTTTAATAGAACCTTGGAACAATATTCGATCAATGTTTGTCAACTTGCAAGGTTGCAACCTGATCATATAAAGAAATCATCATGAAGATACAGATATGTCGAGTCCACCATAATATAAAATCCGAGGTCCTTGTCCCTAGGTAAATAATGGCCATGCCACTTCGATAATCAAAATCACCTCAAATCCATCTCTGACCTCTCCAGTCTGGAAGGTCATACGTTGCAGTTGCACACCACGGCTCATCAGAAGCGGCATACGGTGTCAGTGGAAGATCATACGGCATACGGAAGCCGACAACGGTGCCCTTCTCATCATCCGAAGGCTGAGGAGTATCTTGTTTGAAACAAGGAACCATGGCTGCATCCAAGGGCTGGCTCTGGCTCAACTCATCATCAATATCCTCCTTGAAAAGATCAGGCCAAACAGCCACCCCGATCTCCCAACTGCAAATACGGACCTCGCCATTCGCATTCGTAGCCGCGCCCCAGGCCTGTGTAGAGAGGTTCGCAGATGACACCATCGTCCACTCTATTTTCTTCATGTCTTCACCCGAAAATCGGATGTATGTCTTTATATGGGGAGCTGCTCTGCGTCTGCCGGCTTCATAGGTTGTCTGCTCTTCTGACAGGTCGATGTGTGCACCAGGAGCCAGACCATCTCCGGCCCATTGACAGAGGTGAGGGCGCATATATTGTAATTGCTTTTGCTGTGCAGCGCTCTGAGTCTTCATGTGGATTGACCCGCCTGAGCCGTAGCCATCTAGAGAGCGACGGATTTCATCCGGGGTTGGGAATATGATAGAATATTTCAGGGAATTTCTTGGTGTTGATTCTGGAGCGAGAGCTTTGAAAAACACATCTTTGAGCCACTTATCTGTTTGACCAAGGGTGGCCACGGAGGAAATCTTACATCGGTTAGAAAAGCAGCATTTGCGTTTGAAAATGATACACACCTGAACGACTATATGTGGGGAAGCATGTTCATGCTTTGAAGTAGGAACATTGCTCATCAGGTCTTTCAGCGCAAGCCAGCCCCACAGTGTTCCCTCGTCTGAATTCGAGTCACTAGCGTGTTGTCGGGATGGTACGCTGGCAACTAGGGCAGCACGAACAGCCTGGAAGTCAAAGTCGGCCAACTGTTTGGTAAGGGGTCCTGTTTTTGAAGGCCCGTATGCTTTCAGATATGCTAGGATATCTCTTTTGAAACGTGCACCGGAGCCACGTCTTGCGGGCTCTGCCTGGATCTCCGGAGACGGCTTGCGCTCGAGAGGAAGAAGCGGGGAGCGCCAGACCGCTTGGGTCATATTAGTCCAGTCTCCCGGAATCATGTTGGCGGTATGAATTATAACCCTGCCCGCGAGGTTAGATGGAATCATGTAAGGATTGTAAGGGAGTCTTCCTTACTGGGCCAGATCATCATGTCGGAGGAGAATCATCATTTTGGAGTGATGTGTCCCAAAGGGCTCTGGCATATATGCCACGACCTGCTCAACATTTGAGAAGCGCGAACAGGCCTCCTAAGCGCACATTAGTAACTTCGAAACGGCCGAAGTTGAGTGTACAAACTTACCTCAACGCGAATCCGATTGGGAGCCTCCTTCTGCCACGACCCATGGACAACTTTGACTTTAACGAGACTTCGAACGTCTTCATCAAAGTTAGACATCAGAAAGTCGACATCAAAGAGGTAATTAAACTGCCAACATTCGCGGATCATCGGATCCCCGAGGATATCCCGCAGTCGTACGGTGTCAACATTGTTGTTCGCCGGCAAGTCTCGAATATGAGTGAGCTGCACAGGAGAGCTGATGACCTTTGGTACACTTTTTGTGACCTTTGGCACCGCCAGATCATCCTGTTCCTTTGGGCCTGGAGATGCGGGTTTGAGTGGAGATGGCTGGGCGCGCACCGGTGGACTGATCTCTCTGTGAAGAGACACCAGTGGCGTATCCGCTTCTGAATCAGTCCCAGCTGAAAGTTTGGTTCGTTTTGAAGGGGGCTCCATTAGTCTGGATGGTGTTGGTGAAGAGGCAGCACGAAGGCGGGAGACAGCCGCGATGACAAACGATCTACACCACACTCCTGTTCTCCCAACCCACAAAGCCTTGAGCCCAGCCTGCCCCCACCCGCAAATGACCTGGGCTTTAGCAGGGGACAATGGGCGCCAAGCATAACAAACCTTTGGCGCAACGTGACTTTCTGGTGTTTTGAAATTTTTTGGAGAAAAAAAGAGATTATCTCTTGAATGTTATCCATGATCCTAGTCTCGACGTAGCATTTCATCAACTCAAGTGAATCTAGATCCGGCTTTGAGGTTTGTGTATACATTTCGTTTTAGGAATGGCGTGGAAACAAGCTATCAAGAGCTCAGATCGTCTGGTGGGCGTTATTGGGGGGCTCATGGGCCCGCTTTAATGGGATCAAGGCCCAAAGCCCACAGCTGGCTTGGTTTTGGGCCTGCGGTTCGGCACCGCAGGCCCAACCTTCAATCCATGGATGAGACCCATTCCTAGTTTCTTCATAATGTATATTTCCCAACGGCCTCTCAAAGGCTGTCTGCGAGTTTAAAAGCCTCTTAGTCTAATGCGAGATTTCTCAGGTAGCTCTATTTTGGTTCAGGTGGTCAACTGGTTCAGGTATCGATTACAAATGATTACGACGGAGTATTTGTTCAAGATTTACGTGTTGTACCCCGCGCATGCATCTTAAAGAGACAACAATGGACAACAATCTACCAAAAGAGGTGGACGCCTACCTTGAAGAGCTTGTCTAGAGTCTTGCCAATTATCTGAAAGACCGGCTTGTCGGAGTGTATCTATTCGGTTCAGCGAGTTATAACGCCTACGAGTCTGGCCTCAGCGACCTTGACGTGCAGGCCATAGTGAAGGATCCGCTAGACACCAGTGAGAAGCAGGCAATCATATGCCGTTTGAAGCATCATGCTTTGCCTTGCCCGGCTACCAAACTCGAGTTTGTGGTGTATGCCCAAAGCGCTGTGTATCCGGCCAGCCGTCACCCTCGTTTCGAGCTGAATTTGAACACCGGACTTCATCAACCTGATCATATCAGCCTTGATCCCGCTAACGAGTCAAGCCACTGGTTTTTGCTCGATATTGCTATGGGGCGTGAACTTGGCCGTAACCTGTACGGTCCTAATACGACCGACGCTTTCGCCGCTATCCCTCGACGCTGGATTTTGGAAGCAATCGCAAATTCGCTCAATTGGCACCAAGAAAACGAACTTAACTCGGTCAACAGCGTTCTAAACGCTTGCCGAGGCTGGCGATTCATCGTCACATCTGAATTCTCTTCGAAATTGGACGGGGCTAAATGGGCCTTGCAACAACAGGGCTGTCCGGACATTGTCAGCCGTGCCATTACAGCGCGCAAAACTGGAGACGAACTCCCTGCGGCCCAGGTAATGGCACTTTACGATATTGTTATGACGATCAACCGTGCCGAACTTGCGGCAGATACGAAATGAAGCTACTCTATCTACGGCAGCATATCATGTAACAAATTTGATCAAGTCTGAAGATCTCCGGGTGATACCAGATAATGGATTATAAAAGATGCCAACGTTTGAACTTTGGAAGAATAGAAGTACGTGTAGAAAAAGGTGAAGTGCGTGTGTATGTTCCCTCTGTTCGAAGTGTGCTCAATTTTACTTTGAGATCGAAGAAGTGGCAAGAAGTGAGCACTAAAATGGAAGGGGAAAGGTATCGGTCTCAGACATTATCTGGTACCCATATAAGTGATCTTATTGAACGCCAGTTTCCCTTATACGCCAGACCCATGATAATCTACCTAGCTCGGAGATTCGCATGTGTGAAAAAAATCCATAATACATTAGCCAAGAACTCACTCATCATCGCTCATGTGAGTGTCCTCTTCGACGGGAGCTGCCTCTTCGTACTCAACGACTTCTTCTTCCTGAGTCGGTTCAGGGGGCATGTTGTTCTGGAACTTAGGATCGATATGAAGACGCGCCAAAGCACGCTTGTATGCCTCGGCCTCGTTGGGGTCACGCATGGTGATATGTAACTGCTCCGGTTGCTCCTCGGGCTCCTCTTGCTGGGTGGAGGTGGGAGCCAGACCAGCCTGGGCGATGGTACGAGCACGCTCGGGCTTGAGACGGGCCTTGCCCGAGACATTGTAATAGTAAGCGGCTAGCTGCCTGGTATCCCCCTCCTTTGGCTCATAGAGGGTCACAGCAAAGTCCTTCTGTTCATTTTGGAAGAAGACCTGAGTGCTGGTGGCGTATGTGCGGGCACGGTCAAAGCGGTGGTACTTGAGTCCCTCGGCACTTTCGTTGGTATAGAGATCTTCGCTATCGCGGTTAGGATTCTCCAGATCCATACTGGCCCGGACATTCTCGGCAGAGGAAGGCTTCTCTGGCAAGAAGAGTCGATAATCGTAAGGTACTGGGCCTGGGTCGGGATACAGATTGGGATTTTGCTGGTGGAGTCTCATCTTCGACTCATGTTGCTGGCAGATGCGCTGCTCGGGGGCGGCAGGGGTCAGAATAGCAACGTCCATGCGCTTGTCGCGCTTGCCACCCACGGCTGCCAAGGGCGCCTTGTCAAACTTGAATTGAACGTAGCCACCGGTGTCTGGGAATCCCTGCAAGTCAGGCAAGACGGGGAAGAACCCAACGGGCTTCAATTTCGGGTTCTCTGGGTTGACGGGGTTGGCCCAGGCGTCCGCCTCGGCCTTGGTGGCGGGAAGTCCGCGAACTTGGCTGTCGGTGTCCGCTCCAGTGTGCTTGTTTTGCGGGTAGGCGATATCGAATCCCTTCTGAAGGAATTTCTTAACGTAGTTGGGATCATCAACGGCAGGCTTCTTCTTTGTGCTACGTGACGGTTTCAGGAATGGAGTGATGTGGGCATCGTTGCCCGCGCTGCGGTCGACACCAATGTGCTGAGTGCGTCGCAAGAAACTGACGTTGGCATTCTTTGGCGCCGGGTTGCGCAGTTGGTCAATGGTCATCAGAAGTGGAAGGTCGGCGGGGTCGATGGGTTGAGGGTTTTCGGGGGCCATGATGGCTATAATTGTTAGCTTGCGATGCAAGACTCGGAGAAGAACACTGTCATACCACTTTCGTCACCTAGATGAAGTCCAGGAAGACCAACAAGGTCAATTGCCATGCCACCTTCGGCATCGACGTCGATGTTGGGCTCCTCTCGACGGGCCAGGTTAGATGCAAACCCGGGAGTAAGATAGCGGCTCAATCCCTCGTGAGGGATATCAAGGAGCTTGGGGGCATATTAGGAGGAGGGAGGTCATTGCGATAGCGTAGCGACGCGATGTATTCCTGGTGGAAACCACCGGAGGAGTCCTTAGACTTGGACATTTTGCGGTCTGGTCGGTTTAGCGGCTGCGCGTCTGGTCTGGAGGGGCCAATCCTACCGGTTGAATATCTTGGGTATAGAAGAAAGTAAAAAGCACAATGAGGTGAGGAGAAAGGTTAAAAGTAGGAGAGGAGAGGAGAGGAGAGGAGAGAAGCTGTTGCAGCGCAAGCTCAACCAGGATGTTGCTCAAAGCAGAACGGGTATAATCGATTCTTGCCGCTCGAGCCAATGGCAATAGACCCACAGAATGGGGACACGGGATATATTGGCCTTGAGTACAAAGATCACCACGTGGAGAGCTCTATACCAATTGCGACAAATCTGGGACAGACAAGCTGTGATGCGAGACTCCGGAGTCAAGTTGATCGTTTTGCCGCCCCACACCGCCGGTGCGTGGAGTTACTGGTCTAGCGCCGAAGTGCGTGCGTACAAGCATATTATGTGAGCCAGAAGGGCGTGTTCCGTTGACGAACTGTTCTATGGACCGGCTAAGTATCGAGAGATATCCCAAAAGACGCTGATATACAAATTGTAACTCAAATTTCAGTCATGTGGCTTACATACTCAAGCTACTTCAGATTAATGACTGATGGGGTCGCTTTTGATACTCCCCAAAAAAACACATGTAACTCCCACGCCGAACTCTCGTAATAACATCACGGAAACTTCCGAAATTGCAAAACTAATAGGCCCACATACACTTGTATGCCATCAGTCGAGGGCCGAGTCGATCAAACTCTACCCTTCCAATCCAACTGTCGTTCGTGGTGTTCAGCTTGCCAAAGATACTGGCTCCCTTCCAGACGACAACCTGCGGATCCAGTTCTCTGGGGGGCGTTCCGATCATGATCTCCTTTGCAAAACCGGGACGAAGGGTTTGGAGCCGTTCCTCCAAGAATGCATGGAAGCCTTGAGTCAGGCTGCCACCGCCGACCACCATGATACCGCCAATGAAGTCTCGCATCTTCTTATCATCTGAACGAGCAGCATGGGCAATGGAGGTCAGGATAGCATTGTCCAGACCAAACACAGGCATGATGTCATCGCGATATTCTACAGCGGGTGGACGAGGGGCCGCAGGAGGGGCGGCTGGTGTGCTTGTACTGGCCGGTTGGGGTGTGCTGGTGGGCTCGGGTGCTGGGGAACCAGCGACAGACGACCGCGGGGTGGCATCGACTTTCAAGGCCGGAGGGCGGATGGGGGTTTCGGCCTCAGATTCGCCGTTGGTCTTGACATCTTTCAGAGGAGGTGCGATCGCTGTCAGAATCTCTGACTGGGCTGCAGAAGTAGGATCATTGGGCGATCCTTCGTATATGTCGACCGAACGGTCAATCAGTGTCCGTCTTCCGTCAATCTTATGTTCATTGTCAAAGATAGCAGGTTCAAAGACACCCATTGGGGCAAGGTGGACTTCGTCAAATGCCTTAAAGGAATATTTGCGCGTATCTTGACCTGCTATGCGAAGGTGGAAATCGAAAACCTGCGGTGAGACACTTTGTTCAACCATTGTGCAGATGTTCTTTTTAAGCTCTTCGGCTAAGAGGGAGTCGTGCCTGCGCCATAGGTTGATGTCTGCGTAAGGGAAGTGATCATGGAGCATCATTTTCACAAATGTTTCGGTCATATCTTGCCCACCGAACTTAAGGTTAACGCGCGAGTTCTCGACGCACATGCCTTCTTCAACACAGCAGATCGAGGTCTTCTGCGCTCCAATGTCGACAACGCAGGCCGACGTAAACCCGGCACCGAATGTGGCTGCAAGACTCTCTTGGATGAAACACACCCGAGCAAACGCAAATTCGCGCATCAGCATCTCCAAAATGGAGGTAACGTATGCCTTGTCGTAGAGATCCGGGATGACGAACACACACGAGTACTGATTCCAATCCTTCTTGCTAGTCAAATGCAGCTGATTCTTGATAGCATCTTCGAGAATCAGAGAGATGTCCAGGAAAAGTGCCCTCTTGCTAGCATAGTCCTTCTCATTGCACCAGCCGTTCTGAATTGGCCAATACAGCTTGTATCGGGGGATTGAGTCATCGGGAACCCTCAACGCCGGTTGACCAACAATGTACTCCGGTGGGGGATTTGACAATTCAGTCCATTCGGCACGCATTGGGTCATTGTGCTCGGAGATAATTTCGGGTACCGTTCTGCGGTTATAGTTGACGACCATTTCTTTGGAGTTTGGAAGCATCCTTCTCTTGTTCAATTTCATGTGCACCTTCAAGTCCGCAGACATCCGACCAAAGTGAGCCGACCACTATAAATGTTAGACAAGCTCAAGGGTAGCGCTCGGTCAACATACCTCAGGGCCAAACTCCTTCTCCGGCTCCATTTCGGAGCCATCATCATGCTTGAATCGTTTTGGCTTGGGCTCTGGGTGGTCCTCAGATTCATTGGTTGTTGACTTTCTTGCGATCACCATCGGTAGCGTCTTTGGCAATGCGTCACTGGCAAGCCCAATGCGGAGGTTCTGACTTCCCATGTGAATCACAATGACTTTAGATCCAATCACTTCAGCGGGTGTCTCCTCTGCATCTTCCATGTTGGCATCACCCTCCGCATCATCGCCTTCGGCTGTTTCGTTCTTCATCGCCTGCTCGCGGTCGTGGTCCTTTGCTTTTTTGGCCATACGTGCCCTGTTCTCCTCGTTTTGAAGTCGGTATGCAAGATTTTGGTCGTCTCTTTTCAGGTAATCACTTGGGATGGTCAGCATTGCCCGCGCAGTCGAGGTCCATTGATCCGTACGTGTAGTAGTTCTTCTGGTTGATGGCTGGGATTTGAGGCCAGCTAGATAATTCCATGTTGTTGTCGGTTCGCTCCAGGCCTGTAGGCGTGAGTTCGTAGTTCGCCAGCTGAGAAGTGGTCTTACCTTCATCCCGAAGGGCCTTGCCCGATTTCTTTCCGACCATGGTGTATACCGATGGTTGGCTGCAGATGGGACTGATCGCGTTTGATCTAAGAAGTGCGGAGTTGATCGCAATGCGTGTTTACACTTTGAACGTGAAGCAGATGCAACAATGGAGTATGAAAATCAAACAGAGAGCTAATTCAACAGCAGGGAAGAACGTATCGCAAGGGATTTTGATGAGGAGCTCAATCCCGCGCGACGATGATCTCCCGATTGACCGCCCACACCGCACAGACAGAACAATGCGGTTGCCACCAGCGCCTTTCTCCTTCACTCTTGCAATTCCTTGTATCATATCCATAGCTAGTGCTTTGCTGTGAAGATATTGACGACTTTACGTGTGCCCTCGCGTTCCCCTTTCAACTCTCCGACCCCTCACTGTACGAACACACGAACACACGAACGCAACGCCAATACACAATGGGAGGCTCACTATCGCGCATTTGGTCCCTCCTTTGGTCCAAGAAGGAAATTCGGATCCTTATTCTAGGACTTGTATGTGGATTTCTACAACCCAGTGGGAGCCCATTGTGGCGACAACCCTGGAATGGCCGAGCTGACCGTCATCCCTCCGATGATGTAGGATAATGCTGGAAAGACCACTCTACTGTACAGACTGAAGGTAAGTGAGCGCATCAAGATCGGATCGTCACATTTACATGGGATTCGAGCATGGGATTCGAGCTAATCTGTAAACCGGGAACAGATCGGTGAAGTCGTCACCACGATACCTACAATCGGATTCAATGTCGAATCGGTCACATATAAGAATCTGAATCTCAACGTTTGGGTGAGTATGTCTGGGCGGACTTGATTGCTCACGCTAACACTCTTGCAGGATCTCGGTGGTCAAACTTCTATCCGTCCATACTGGCGATGCTACTATGCCAACACTGCCGCCGTAGTTTTCGTCATCGACTCCACAGATATCGAGCGGCTGGGGACCGCGGCAGATGAACTCGCAGCTATGCTGAGTGAGGAGGAACTTCACGACGCGGCGTTGCTAGTGTTTGCCAACAAACAAGACCAACCTGGTGCCAAGGGCGCAGGTGAGATCTCAGAGGCTCTGAAGCTGGGAGAGTTGCGGGACCGGAACTGGAGCATTGTAGCTTGCTCTGCCATTGATGGCAAGGGTATCAACGAAGGAATGGATTGGCTGGTGGTTCGTTGCCCTCTCCTCCCTAGTGGGACCATTAGCACTACTAACTCGATCTCCGCAGCAAACGATCCAGGCTGAGGACGCATAGGCGTTGGTTGTTTTTGTGTCAGGTTCTAGATCTTCATATACCTTGGCGTTCGATTGTCAACGCCCATTCTGCTGCATTCGGCTGTACTGCTTCTTCTCTTCGACTCTACTGAAGCCGGAGTCCTTGTCTTATATTCATGATTGTACCGGTCTCATGGAGATTCAGCTTACAAATAACTGTTTAATTGAATTCCTGCTTGGAAAGCATTCATGCGCATGCTTCGCTTTTCTGCTTCGCATTAGTGCGCGCGTAGGCTGCTTATCTTGTCTCGTCCTGGGCACCCCCGCATCTGTGATAGTTATCGCCTGATAAAGTACCACTTCCATCCAGGCTTCCTGCATCAAACTACCAGGAGTCTGTCAGATTGTTCCCGATCGTGACAATCTCACCAAAAGGCTCAAAATGGCACCACCTCGGTTTCAAACTGCAGCTGTTGTAGCATCTACTCAGGCTTCGGCATCGGAGGTAGTGATCAAAGATGATCATCCGGTACCCACTCCGGGTGATGGCGAGATTCTCGTGAAGCTTGAATTCTCTGGGGTCTGTCATTCAGATCTACACAGCATTCGCGGAGATACGCCCATGTTGACCGATGTGGCGGGTCATGAGGGTATTGGGAGTGTGGTTCAAGGTGCGGTTGATCCATGTGCTGCAAGCTGGACTCCCATTCTTACAAAACTTAGTCGGATCAGGTATTGATGAGAGCCTATGGTTGGGGACACGAGTTGGCATCAGGTATGTTCCTCTCTCATTCGTTGGCTTTGGACTTCGCCCATGTGTGCTGACGAGGTTCAATCAACGATTCCAGATGGCTTTATAGCTCGTGCCGCCAGTGTGAGATTTGCGAAATTAACCATACGGCATGTCCCAGCCAGAGAAATGCTGGTGCGGTAAGCCAACAAAAGTCTTCACGTTCTTTGAAAGGCATGCATCATATACTTATGCTCATCTTCGGCAGAATACACCTGGTACATTCCAGCGTGAGTTTACCCTATTTGTCTAATGGCACAGTCTTGACAGTTCACTTAGAGTATATCGTCAGCCCGGCGCTACATGTGACCAAGATACCCAAACAACTATCCCCAGATAGTGCAGCACCTCTTTTGTGTGGTATGCTGACTCTAAAAAGACCATTTGATCAAACATGTTAACAGCTGGCAGCCGGAATTGCCATGTATTCTTCCATAATGAAGACTAAGACCCGCCCGGGAGATTACCTTGTCATCATTGGTGCTGGAGGTGGCCTCGGCCATATGTATGTAGAGGAAGCAGTCAACGTTCCATACAGTTTCTGAGAAAGTCACAGGGGCATACAGATTGCAGTCAAGAAAGGGCTCAGGGTGATTGCGATTGACAGGTACGCTGATTCCTTTTGAACGACCTTTTGCACATAGACTGACGGAATTGCAACGTGAAAGTGGAAACAAGAAGAGGCAACTTTGTCTATCCCTCGGGGCCTTTGACTTCTTGGACTACCGAGAGATTGACATCGTCCAGGCAGTCAAAGCAAAGACCAACTTTGGTGCACATGCTGTCATCTGTACCGCCAATGGCGAGCGAGCATACGAGCAGAGCATGCAAATGCTACGTCCTCTTGGAACGCTCGTCTGTGTCGGTATTCCCAGCGCACCTTTCAAGCTTCCAGCAACGCCATTCGATATGATTGTCAAAGGTGCGGTCCCTCAAGGCCATATCAGCTTGACTAGGATAAAGGCTGACATCCTGCTACAGGCCTTACTATTGTGGGAAACTCGGCAGGCACTTCGGACGAGATGGATGAGCTGCTGGCGATGGCTGTTGCTGGCGATGTCAAGGCCCACATCGATGTCTTTGGTTTGCATGAGATCAATGATGTTTTGGACCGCTTGGAACGGTCAGATATAGATGGAAGAGTGGTACTCAGAATCCCTGAATAACTCCATTCCAGATAGTATTTCTGCGACTTCCAAGGTTGGATATTGCAAGGCTGTCAGGTTGCACGGGCTCAAGCTTGGAAGTGGGACATAGATTTACTCCTTATGTCCCTTCCGAGCTTCCTGTGTTGATCACCTGGATATACTTTCAATGGGTCTACGACCTCGGGAACCACAACCCCGAGAGTCAATCTTCCAGGTTCTCATTGATACTTTGCAAATTAAGTGAAAGCTCTGGAGCCAGACCCCTAGAAACAACCATATTTATGGGTCTATTGAGCCTCAGATTGGGTTGAAGTGGCATGATCCATTTATGTCCGTACTTATCTTTGCGAATAAAGGTGCCGAACCCTCGGCAGGCCCATTTATTGGCTCATACAGCTCCTGGGTTAGATTCCAAGGTTTTATAGCTATGTAGTCGCCTTTCATGGATTTAAGTAAGAGATGTGACCTGCATGTTGCCTGCATCAGTGACAACAGGCGCAGTACTGCTTTTCAGGGTTGCCCACCCCGCTGACTCATCGGGTACCGGGCCCCGGAGGCCGGGTGGAGCTCGGGACCCGCTAGCGCACCCCTGGCACCACCACGCCCATGGACGTACTTAAGATTTATCATTGAAGCTCAAGGTGCTCAAATTACATCAATTCCATTCTAATCGTCTGCAAAACTGTCACCATGGCTGAACACCCTTCTTTCACTCTCGCTGCCCTCCGTAAGTTCCCCGCACAATGCATCTGACCAGCTGTTGACCCAAATTAGTGCCCATCGGAGGCACCGTTGGGTTCTTGAAGACCCGGTCGGCTCCCTCCTTGATTGCCGGTGTTGGACTCGGTGTTTCCTATGCATACTCCGGTGAGTTCTAGTGAAAAATAGGTTCTTCCGGGCTGTTCCAAGCTAATAATGCTGCCAGGATACTTGATCAAGGAGAACAAAGACTACGGCACTGAACTTGCCCTGGGTAACAGTATCCTCCTCCTGGGTTCTGCGATTCCTCGAATCATCAAGACCAAGGCTAGAGCTGCTATGCCTTTGGCACTCGGTGCCACGGGTCTGTTGGCATCATTTTACTACCAGAAGAAGGTCCGAGAGTTCCGTTTCGGAGTCTAGATTCTGCACTCATGAATGTTCGGGAAGATTACTGTATCAATAGCGCGACTGTTTGTGACGAGCAAATCAACCATCCAACCACCTTGGAACTTGATTAATGGCCTTACTGAGGATAAATTTACGGTTACCCATGTGATGAATGCGCCAAATTGAAGTTCAAACCGAGGCACTCGGAATGTTTAGAACCCTGCCACTTCGCCAATATAAACCCATTCCAACTTTTCAGGGCGAGTACCTAGGTACGATAGTCGAGAGAAGCTATAGCTTCATAGGCAGCGCACTTGTCACCAATGCCCCGAAAGTCTCTGATTCACAAAAAATTGATCCATATGTGCGCGGAGTTGACCATATACATTGCTGAGACCTTTTTCAAAAACCCTTGGATTTTCCTAAACCGCCTAGCCATCCTCGCCCAGAAACTCTTTCTGCAACCACGACAGCTAGACAACTAGCAACCAACCCTTCAAGCACCCCATCAGTGTCGGCGTCCAGATCGGATATCACATTCAAAGAGCCGAGAATTTGACGATCAGTCCTATTCTGCCATACCGCAAGAACATCATTTGGCTTGTCCGCATCAAAGAACTTCAGATTACCATTTCCAGCATTGGAGACAGCTTCGTTATCTTCGGTCTCTAGCAGAGACAAGGCTGACTTTGATCCCTTCCAGTAGAAGGTTCTCAAAGTCTCGGCATGGATGATATCAACACGATATGTCCTACCAAACCCTTTCCGAGATAATTCCACTGAGCAGTGCTTAGCAAGAACCGAAGAGCTAGTTGGCTCATTTGGGCCGCCTGCCGGACGAAATAGATCAATCGTGGCACGCAGGCTCAGCAGTCCCTCGAAGCCACGGTAGTGAATATGAGCGCGGTGATCTTGAGGCTCGGGAGATGGGTCTTTCCGACTATGCACCACATTACCGCCCGCGTAAAGGTCGAATGATGCCGGGAGATACAGCCCCTGTCGATACCATGGAATGCGCCATGTGTGATATACCGGACTTGGAGACTGCGCAAGTCCACCAGAGGGATGGACCTGCAGGCAAAAGCTGAAGGCGTTTGTGCCCAGGGCCACCTGGCTGAAGATGAGCATTGTGGCGAGGGAAGAAAGATGGTAACCTACATCCTTGAAGACGTTGAATGAGCGATAAGGCTTTACTCTGCGGTGTGACTGCCCCTCATCTTCTTGTATAGTATCCGTTTCTGGATCGGATTCATCAAAACACACATGGTCGAAACCGACAGACGTGGAGGAGGTTGTTCTGTTATGCATCTTCGGATGTTGGCTGACGGCTCGATGTTCTGAGATCACACTGGCAAGCAAAGGCTATAAGAATAAAGTAATGCAAGTTATCAAGAAAGGGGTTTGATTTGGTTTTATGTGTACATTCAGGGGTTAGCCAGAGATCGCGAGTGATGTGCAGTGGAAGTAAAGTTGGTCATAGCAGCGTTGCCGGACACGAGGTGACGGAAGATCGTCAGCTGACACTTTTCATGCTGCCAATACACGGAGTATCTGGATATAGTCTGAGAGATACAAAACAGCCTCATGAAATCTCAGATGTGAACGAATGCATGTATGTACGTAGTGAACGGCGATCATCAGAATGGCCCGTCTTATCTGATGTCAGTGCTGGTATACCGCCCCAAGCATTTCTGCCGGAATTGTTGACACCGCCCGGATAATGCAGCAGCAGAACCCGATTTCGCCCTCGGGCATTGCAAGGGACGAGGAACCTCGGACCGTGCTCAATTCCAATTGTAAGCTTGCTCCCGCAGATCTATATGCACCACCTCAATTTCTCAATAGTCGAGGCCCTCCGGCGCTCTCCGAGATCTCTGACACCTCGATCGCAAGAATTAACCTCTGTATAGGATCGGGCCTTGCTCCGCCGACGAATTCAGACCCACACACCCTTCACGGTAAAAATGGCCTGTAGCTCTGCAGCAATGGCCTGGAGAGCCAGCGTCCGGGCTCGCGCCCTTCCGACCTCCCGTTGGACCCAGCGACCAGCTACAATTCTCCCAAAGCGAGTCGAGCGCTACCCCGGTGCCTCTAGATATGCTTCGGAATCTGCTGCGCCTGCGCCTACCGAAGCTGTCAAGGAGACAGCTAAGGATACAGTCAAGGAAGCTGCCAAGGAAACCGCCAAAGAGAACGCGAAGGAGATCCCTCGCAAAGCGGGCCGTGGCTCTAGGAAGGCACTCTACACCACCTCACTGGCCTTGACTTTGCTGGTGGGTTACATCTACGGAACCGATACCAGAGCCAGCATTCACAGATATGGAATCGTGCCTTTGATCCGCCTGCTGTATCCTGATGCGGAAGACGCGCACCACATGGGCGTGGACAATTTGAAAATGCTTTACCAGTTCGGTCTCCACCCGCGCGAGCGTGGAGAACCTGATCGCGACGGCGCCCTGTCCTCTGAGGTACAGTCTGATCGTTTTCTATAACAACCCAATTGCTAATTAGGCCATGTCAGGTCTTTGGTTACAACCTTTCCAACCCCATTGGTATCTCCGCTGGCCTGGATAAGCACGCCGATGTGCCCGATGCGCTGTTTGATCTTGGTCCCGCCATCGTCGAAGTCGGCGGTACTACGCCGCTGCCACAGGATGGAAACCCGAAGCCTCGAGTTTTCCGACTGCCCTCGCAACACGCCATGATCAACCGCTACGGTCTCAACTCCAAGGGAGCGGACCACATGGCCGCAGTTCTGAAGCAGCGTGTCGTTGACTTTGCCTACGCTGCCGGGTTCGGTCAGCAGGAGCTCTCCGAACAGCGCGTTCTGGACGGTGAAGCCAACGTTCCCCCTGGTAGTCTGGTGCCTGGCAAGCTTCTCGCCGTGCAAGTGGCCAAGAACAAGCTCACCCCGGATTCGGACATCGAAGCCATCAAGCGCGACTATGTCTACTGTGTTGACCGTGTGGCACGGTACGCCGATATCCTGGTCGTGAACGTCTCCAGCCCCAACACCCCGGGTCTTCGTGATCTCCAAGCCGTGGCCCCTCTCACCGCCATCCTGACGGCCGTCGTCGGCTCCGCCAAGAGCGTCGAGCGCAAGACTAAGCCTTACGTGATGGTCAAGGTTAGCCCGGACGAGGACTCTACCGAGCAAATTTCCGGCATTTGTGAAGCCGTCTGGAGGTCCGGTGTCGACGGTGTCATCGTCGGCAACACTACAAACCGCCGACCTGACGCCATTCCCAAGGGCTTCGTTCTCCCCGAGGAAGAGCAGAAGACCCTTAAGGAAACTGGTGGATACTCCGGCCCTCAGCTGTTTGATCGGTCCGTTGCGCTTGTCGCCCGCTACCGCGCCCTGCTAGACCAGGGTCCTCCATCCTCGACCGAATCCGAGAATTCCGAGAATGCCGTTGCGAAGGCACCCTTGGATGTGCCCCGCAAGGTGATCTTCGCCTCAGGTGGTATCACCACCGGCCAACAGGCGCATGCAGCCCTCCAGGCTGGTGCGTCAGTCGCTATGATGTACACCGGTGTTGTTTACGGTGGCATCGGTACCGTGACGCGAGTCAAGCAGGAGCTGCGCAAGGAACTCACCAAATAAGCGGTGTGTTTTGTTTTGGCTTCAATAGGCGACGATACTGTAAATAGCATGGATAGGCCTAGGACAACACACCATTTCATCTGAGTCATTGCATTCAATTTCTCGTCCGAAAGATCAATTCGACGTAGACAATGGAACACCCCTTTCGGGAAATACCGCCACTTCACAATGGATCAACTCGGATTACTCGATATAGTCATGACCTATAGTGGAGCTGTGCCTGAGAGCCGAGACTTGCATGAAAAAAAGCTTCCAGGTCATCTGAGAAGATCGGCTGACAAGAAAAACCGGGGAAGATTGCGTTGTCTCCACTTAGTGCATGTCGCCTGCACTTCTCCCGCAGTGCTCCATCGGCTTCCCCAAGATAGGCTTCCCGAGTCCCTTTTTAGACCCTTTTCTAGTCTGGACTTTGTTTCTTTTCTAGACTGGGCTGGATATGTATTTTTCTCTCCCGTATAACAAAAACACGCTGCCGTACCATGCAAAACGATACCATACAGCTATGTATTCCCATCCCAAGGATCTATCCAAACCCAATGTGCGGAGTACGAAGTAGATAGATGTAAACGGAGCAGCACATCCAAGAAGCACCTTACACGGCCAATGACTCCTCCACTTCCCGAACGACCTCACGCACCCCCCAATCTCATGCGCAAACCTGCCCAAGAACATTCCATCGACAGCCTTTCCAAGCCCCCCCGGCCCCCCACAGCCCAGGCCCCGCACTACCCCCATACAACACCCGCACCGCCCCCGACCGCTCCCCAATGTTCGCCCTAATCCCCCCCACGACGGCCGCGACATGGTCCACGCCCGCAGGTTGCGGTTTCCCAATAGCCCAAACAGGCTCGTAGGCGAAGATGACCGGCGCATCGGCAGGAATAGCCGCGAGCACGGCGCGCGCTAACACAGCGCACTCGGCGACCGCGGTACCGACAGCATGGGAGGCCACAGGACCCGGGGCAGTGATCTCGCCGATGCAGACGAGGGGCACCATTCCATTTGCGCAGACGGCGGCGGCCTTGCGGGCGGTCTCGGCGTCTGATTCGTGGAAGATGGCGCGGCGCTCAGCATGGCCGAGCTCTACGATAGAGCAGCCCAGGGCGCGGATGGAGGCCGGTGATACTTCACCGGTGTAGGCGCCTGTGGACTCCCAGAAGCAGTCTTGGGCGCCTAGGAGGAATGGTGGTGGGGTTGGGGAGATGCCGGTGGCTGCGAGGGTGGATTCATACTCCTTGATGATTTGGGAGCATGGGTAGATGGTGAGAAAGTCGGGGATGAGGGCTAAGAGGAGGGTATTCCGGTTTGCGGGGTGGACTATTTCATTGGCTGGGTTGAGGAGCTCGCGGAGGTAGGATTGGGTGCGGTCTGGGGTGAAGTACATCTTCAGGGAGATTAGGAGTAACTTGTCCGGTAGGATTGGATATGTCATGGTGCCTGGTTTTCTGGTTTTCTGGGTTTCCAAGGTTTTCTGGGTTTTGGAAAACTGGTTGTGAAGTGAAGGCGGAATAACTATCTAATGATATTGACTGGGGTCTGAGCTAATTAGTTGTAGTGCCAGGCTTCGTTAGCGCCCCGCTAAAGCGTTAGCCCCTGGGAATGATGTCAAAGTCTTTGGGACCACCATGCCGTCCTAACAGAAAAAGCAGGGCAAGGTGGCAAAACCTGTATGTGTCTGTCTGTTGCTCATTTACACTTTTTGAGACAGGTTCTAATTCAGGTTTCTAGATCATAGTGGCCCAATTACAGTGGATTGCGATATACCGCCGATCTATCTGTAAATCCGGAGTAGAGAACCACCGTACTACGTAGTGGAGACAAAAGATTACAGCCTGCGTCAGTCGGCATCGGAATTTTGAGGGACAGAATGAGGGTTTTCACATTCATATCCAAGGCCAGAATTTGGACAAATGAGGTCAGAATGTGACTTAACCACTTCAACTCTTTGCCGAAAGCCAACCTTGGAATTGCTCGTTACGGCTAGTATTCTAGGCATCTAGGCATACGAGGGGCTCAGGCCGTACCATAGCCACAGTGCGGGAAGTAGGTTGGCAATGTTCACCCAGAGTACTTCCCCAGTCTAGATGTCTACCTCGGTCTTTGCTGTTTTTAAGCAACAACGACGACTGATGAGCCTCATGTCCAAAGAATTGAGATAGCTGTGAGGCCCTGAGGGAGATGGACTATCTGGAAGTTGAATGCATAAGGTCGCACAATCCATGGATGCGCCATGACAGGCGAGGGAAGTCAAACAGCGTAACATTCCGTAATACGAGGTAAAGCGCACGTACGAGGAACAGCCATTGGTTACGGGAGCGGGCTGGAACTACGCGTAACATCTGTCTGGACTTGCACATTCCTGAAGTATATGGCCATTGGATCCGGGGAAAGGGTTATAAAAGCCCCCCGGCATACTCCCCAAGACGTTTCCTTTTGTATCATCTCCATCTGTATACTTCGGCTCCATACTCCTGAGCATATACCCTGCTGTCTACTATCTACCCTCCTCCTCCTTGTCCACTCTTTATCCATAAAATGTCCGCCCCTCTCCGCATTGTCATGGCCTGCGACGAGGCCGGCGTCCCCTACAAGGACGCTATCAAAGCAACCCTCGAGAAGAACCCTTTGGTCGCCGAGATCATTGACGTTGGCGTCAACTCATCCTCCGACAAGACCGCCTACCCTCACCCCGCCGTGGAGGGAGCCCAACTCATCCGGGAGGGCAAGGCAGACCGCGGCCTGTTCATCTGTGGCACTGGGCTCGGTGTTGCGATTGCTGCCAACAAAGTGCCCGGCATCCGGGCCGTCACTGCCCACGACCCCTTCTCCGTCGAGCGTTCCATTCTCAGCAATGATGCACAAGTATTATGTATGGGACAGCGGGTCATTGGCGTAGAGCTGGCGAAGAAGCTGGCCTCCGACTGGCTCAACTACCGATTCGACCCCAAGAGTGCATCCGCAGCCAAGATCCAGGCTATCACCGATTATGAGATCCAATTCCGCGCTGCGTGAATTTTGGGCCAATTTGTATTTACAGCGCATGATACCAAATGTCTTTCGGATGATAGAGTGATAATTCTGTATGAATGAAAGCAGTTTATATTTACATGGATATACTACATAGAGTATACCGGTGATCTCCATAGCTGACTCAGAGCTTCTGCGGGGATCGAAGGCGTTCCACATTTAGCAGAGGCACCGAGGTACTTAGCACTCAAGTTAACTTAGGTATAATTCGTGTCTCTGCAACTCTTGACCTCAAATAGAGCACATTCCCGTCTAAAATGGCCCAAGAACTTAAAAGCAAGGGCAATGAGCTCTTCAAAGCGGGTGACTACACTGGCGCCGAAGACCTGTTCTCTCAGGCGTAAATCTTCCCCGATCCCCTCACCTCCGAATCTTACCAATTTTTGGCCAACTGACATATTTGTACTCCAGCATCCAAAAGAATCCCAACGACGCAACATTCTTTTCAAACCGCGCGATCACCAGGAGCAAACTAGCCAAATGGGCCGACGTCGAACATGATACCCGCGCAGCAATCGACCTTTATGGCCTGAAGAACCCCACTGCCCTTAAAAGTTATTGGTACCTCGCGCAAGCACTCCTCGAGCTCCAACGACCACAAGAGGCATTCGACGTCGCGTCCGACGCGTACAAGCAGAGCCTCGTAGCGAAGAACGCACAGGCGGAAAACCTATCGCGCACGGTTCTACGAGCGAAGCAGCAGATCTGGGCCGCGCGGGAAACCTCGAGAGTCCGTGAGTTAGACGAGACCCTTGGCGCCGTGGAGGCGCTCATCGAGGCCGATGTGGCGCGTGCGCTTGGCGAGTTGCAGGGACGGCTGGACCGCAAGGAGATCGGAGAGACCGGATTCGGGGAAGATCAGAGGGCGCTGAGAGAGGATGCGGAGCAAAAGGTGAAGAACCTGCGGGAGGCTTTCCGCGTTGCATCTAAGGGGGAGATTCAGGAACGGGTATGTCATATGTCACTGATACTTGGTGATCCTTTTTGCTGACTGTCTAGAATGTTCCCGATCACTTGGTCGATGGCATTACCTTTGAGATCATGCACGACCCCGTTATCACACCCTCTGGCGCAAGCTTCGATCGCCTTGGCATCACCAAGTATGTTGAAAAGGCGGGTGTTGACCCTTTGACTCGAGCACCCATGTCAGTGGGCGATCTGCGAAATAATTACGCGCTCAAGGCGGCCTGTGAGGAGTTTTTGACACATAATGGTTGGGCGGTCGATTGGTGATTTAGACAGTTTTGTATTCGGGGCATAGCGAGTGAAATAGTGCATATGCAGGCGTTTTAGGTTGCATGTTAGGACATACTTACTTTATTCTCGCCAACTGGCGAACTGGCGCGTGTGTCAGCGACCCCACCTGCAAATACCCCTCCCTCAACCATCTCCAACTTTCTCAACAATCACAAACACACCGAGCTTTTGATCACTACTCACCTCACAACCCTCACATTCAAAATGGCCGATATCACCCCCTTCATCACCGTCCTGGAAGCTGCCCAGAAGAAGGAGAAGTTCACTGCGGAGGTACAGACCGCTGCCGAGGGCATCGATGTCGAAGTCCTGAAGGCCGCCTTCGCCAAGGTCTCCGAGCAGGGCGAGTTCGAGAAGCTCGACGATGCCGCTGAGGCCGAGACCCTCCAGAAGGCCTTCGAGTTCGCCGCCAAGGCCGTTATGATGCTGCAGAAGCCCCCCGGTCTCCTGGAGAAGAAGGACCTGTACATCTACTTCAAGGTCAGCAAGGGCGAAGCTATGGAGCAGCCCGGCAGGTTCGAACTCCAGGTATGTTATTTGTTCCATTTCGCACATATACCGCCACTTGGACAAGATGTTGTATTAGTTGATCGGCAGCTGACTATTCTCCTCATTACAGAAGAAGCAGCTCTTCGGCGCCTGGGAATCCGTCAAGGACTACAGCGTCGCCAAGGCAAACCAGCGCTACATCGAGCACGTCAACAACTTGATTGTCAAGTACGGCACCGTCGACAACTAAGTCACACGTGGAGGACCTTTGGAGAACTATTGCTGAGCGAGCAATATCACGAACATAAATTTCCGCTGGTTTTATTTGCGAAGATGACGATCCTGGAAGACTGAGTCTTGTCTCAACCCTCTTGGAGCTAATCTCACGAATACGAATGCATGCTACTTTCCATGACCTCGTATTCACCTTCAAGTCTTGTATCTAAATTTCACCGGACGACGTGCGGTTAGCGTGGATGCGACGAATCAACTGATTTACCATACAAATCTACCACAATGTCGCATCTGCCTTCCATTCTAGAGTCATTGCCGAGTGAACAAAGATTGAGTACAGATCAATATTCCGGGCAACACTAGGAAAGGCTCACTGTTCAAAGAAATGTGCTGGAATTGTATTATGTTCAGCACTTGATTTGAAGTGCTTGGTACCCAAACCAAACCACTCAGACTCTTCTCCGAACGCCGACTTCGAAATCTTGGGGCTTCACAAACCATCGTGCCCTTGTTGCCCAGCTTTCCTGTTCAATCTTCCGGCTCAATACGAAGTCGAAATCTCTCACCAGAATGGGCATCAACTTGCCCATTTCCAACAGAGAGATATTCTTCCCAATACAAGTCCTGGAACCCGCGCCGAATGGCATGTAGTTCTGCTCCATGGCAATCAACTGCTCTTTGTTTGATTCGAGCCATCTCTCCGGTCTGAAAATATCCGCATCTTGGCCAAATATGTCTTTGTCGTAGTGCGAAACCCAGCTGTTGACTCCGACATTGACCTGAGAAGACCGTTAGCTGTGATTTTATATGACTAGAGCTACAGGGCAACTTACTCCTTCCGGGAAGAACTGTCCGGCTATCACTTCGCCCCCTTTGGGAACCGTTCGGAAAAGAGGATATCCTGTTCCAGGATGAACACGGAATGCCTCCTTAAAGACAGCCTGCAGATAAGGCATCGCCTGAGTCTCCTTGAACGTAGGGCTGGAGCCAACACCGGAGTCTTCTATCTCTTTTCGCAACCTAGCCAGACATTCGGGGTTCCGAAGGAGGTAATACAAGGTTGAAGACAGACTGATTGCTGTGGTATCACTTCCTGCCCCAACATTGGACCCTGCAGTAGATAGAACATCCCAATCTGACAGATCATGTGGATTTTGCGTCTGCTTCTGAACAAGCTTCATGGCCATGTGCGACGGAAGGTCGGCACTATGGTTTTTCATGGTCGCTTTGGTTTCTTGTATATGCTGGAACGTGAATTGGGTAGCAAATGTTTGGCCCAAGCCCAATTTCCTAGAGATCCAGAGATAGGAAGGATAAATCCAGGAATACAAACCGAGGTAGGAGCTGACTGTAAGGCCTGAGTCGATAGACTCCATGACGCCTCCAATATCATTGCCTGCCTCGAGGAAACCAAATCGACTGCCAAACTTTTTTTTTTTCTTCGTTAGTAAAGATGCTAATGAAATGAGGGTAGTTGATAAGTACCGTGATTTCTCCAATCACATCAAATGCGTAACATTGCATCCAGTGTGCCATATCGATGCTGCGGCCATAGGTTGAGATCTCATGGAGCCGTTTCTTGAATATCTCAATGCAATTGTCGACCAAGGGCTCGTACGATACCAAAGACGTCATTGAATACATTGAAGCGACCTTTCTGCGATCCTCGGCGTGTTTCTTTGAGCTCCGCTCCGAGAACAAATTTGTGAAGCCAGATGTAGGGCCGAAGTTCCACGCATCATACCATTCCGATTTTTCGAATCTGGAGCCATGGCCGTAGATGGTCTTGATAGCAGCGGGGTCAGAGATACTGTAGTAGTTTGGAGCAATGCGCACGATGCTTCCTGTGAAGGCGTTGTGATTAGATCATGCTAGCGAACAACCTTGGAAGAAGATGCTAACCATTTTCTTGGTGAAGTCTGATGTTGGTATGATGGAAATCACCCCGTTTCATCTGCCACAGATACCAGACATTCGTAAATCGAGCGAGAATTGGTCCCGGTATCAGAAAACTGGGAGACTTGAAAAGGGTAGTTAGAAAACGTATGACAAGAAATGCAATGCCAAAACAGGCGAGATTTGTGAAGGACATGGAGAGTAGCATATTGATAAGAGTTTTGGCAATATTAGCCCAGGCCTTGCGTGCGAGAATATCTGGGGAATTGAGCCATACTTATGTACTTTCAGGTCCTACAATCTTGTAGTCGAATCAATAGTTGATCGATGCAGCTTCGGTTGCTCGCGCCCCAAAGAGACGGCTTACTATGCCATCAAACCACCGAGTAAATTTCTCGGAGTCCATTAATTGTCAATCAAGTCAAATTCATTTCGCTCACTGTCCTCTGCGGTACCCACTGGTCAATCGATCTGCAGGCCTTAAACCATAGCCGGTAGTTGCAGGTAGACACTAGATCGAAAATGGTGCATTACTCAGCGGAAGGAAGTGAGTTATTGAGGTCCGGTCCGAGAGTCCACCCCGCACAAGCCATGGTCTAACCTGACATAGTGACTATGTACAGCAAGATTTTGGGGTAATGGATTTCAGAAATTTTGAATGTCGTCATGCTAAAGCCTGAGACCCTGAGAGCCTGAGAACTACGGTTTCCCAAGTCCCTCGAACTACCAGACCCCACACAATCATTCAGAATCGTTACAAGTCCATAAAAACAAGACAAGTGACAATACCTGGAGGCTAAGTGACTAAAATAAGCGGCGGAAGGGACGTGAAGATTCATTCGAGGTGCATCCCCCCTCAGGGTTTCACTCAATGTGCTCATAGGAGACTTGTTCAAGGCGCCAGCCCTGGAGATACCTGCGACTACCGGTAATTTGAATTGTGCTCTTTACCTTGCTGTGAAGTATGCGGAAGGTTATCGGCGTTATTTCAAGTAGCACGTACTCGTTTTGCAAGCGATGAGATTTGGGTTTGAAGGAGTCAGCGGAGCGGAGCGGGAGCTAAACCGCCTTTGGCTAGAGAATTGAGCTTATAACACCTCAGGCATTAATACAGAATACGCTAGACCGTATACGTACTAGCTCATTTCAATCTCCGAAATTATTTCGCTATCACATCTGGCGTGTTATCAAGACCTCACGTCGCATCTTCTGACTATTTCCCATCTTTTCACTCTCTCTGTTAGTGTTGGATCGCCTTTTTGTTTTTTACGTGGAGACGCAAAATCTCTAGCCTGGCGATTCACTCGGTCATGACCCTCCGGCTCCCGGGGTCGCTCGTCAACAGAGCTTTGCGCAGTCGACTGCTCTCTGCGCAACAACACCGTGCTGCAACAGCAGCCCAAAACTTACCATCAACATGGAATGCCATAAATGCAACTAGGGCCTTTTCTGATCACCCCAATCGCACCGCTTCCTACGAGCGTTTCGAGAATCCGAGGCTGAAGCCATCCCGACAAAAACTCGCCGATCGGCCGATTCATCGCAATGAAAATAAACGAGGAAATGATAGTCTGATGGCTATTGCATCAAATTCCCATTCCGCGCGTTATGATCATGAGATTGAGATCGCTGAAAGCGAGGCGTTGGACACCGCGGCTGCAGGGCGCGATGGCCCCATGGAGGAGCAGGCGGAAGGGGAGGCCGTCGAAAACGAACACGACCCCGAAGAGGATACTGCTGATGACAAGACAACCGATGACAAGACACCCGAAACGAAGAGCTACCATGGCCTCTCGCTCGGAGAAAGCAGGATCACACCCAAGATCGTGAATATGGAATTGAGATGGTTGAACGATCCTCATAAAATGGCGGATCGGATTGATCGCATTTTGCAGAATGGTGAGCCGGCATTGGCGGCAGCAATAGTGCGCGCTGGAACCAAGAAGGGCATGAGATGCGACGTTGCATGGAATCACCTCTTGCAGTACTGTATGGACCAAAAAAGCCCACAAGCTGCGTTTAAGTTCTATAATGATGTAAGTTTGCAGCCACGGCTTTTTCTCCAATGAATTGATTCTGACAAGTCTAGATGAAAAAACGTGGCCGAAGACCCAATATGCGAACATACACCATTATGTTGAAAGGCTTTAGTTCGGTTCCAATGTCTCCGTCTGTGGTCAAGACAGCGGCGTCTGTCTACCGCTCGATTTCCGCGGAAAACTCCGGTGTCAAGCTTAGTATCATCCACACCAACGCGATGCTTACTGTTTGCCATCGCCACGCGGATATGGACAGGCTATGGCAGATTGCCGGCGAGCTGCCTGAGGAGGGACCGGGAGCCCCTGATGCCACTACATACACAATCATTTTGAATGCCGTGCAATTCGCGGCACGCCGAGACATACAAAAAATGTCCCCTGACGAGATCGACAAGATTCTCGAACGCAAAACGAAGGCTATCACGGAAGGAAAGCGGATTTGGGCCGACATCGTTTACCGTTGGAAGACTCAGACACTGGAACTCGACAATGACGTCGTCAATGGCATGGCCAGTTTGCTGTTGGATGGCGCCAGTGATATGGATTGTTACAATGTTATGGAATTATACAAACAGACCATGGGACTTCCTATCCTTCAAAAGCGACCAACCGAAAGCTCAAAGACAACGCGCCGCCGCATCACACACGAGGAAACCCAGGCCATTGAGCAGTCTGAAATGAAGAGACAAGAGAAAATGGAAGATCTTCCGTTTGTGGATGAGAACAACAAACCATTAGGACCAGCAGAGACAGCCGGAGATCTCCACGAATTCGACGAACCCGCAGAAGAAAAAGTGGAGGCGGTTGAGGAAGAACAGGAGGTGGAAGAAATGGAAGAAGAGGAGGAAACCTTTGAAGACCTTTTCAAGCCTGTGGTCCCAGGGGCGGAGGGCCTTTCATTCCTGAAACCCAAGAGCAAAGAACTCACACTTCTACTGAACGCATGCTTCACCATGACTCAAGGAACCGAAGGTGGTCTTGCTTACTGGAAATACATGACATTGGACGAAAATGAGCACCGGTTCAGGCCCGACGCGATCACATACGCACAATATTTCCGTCTCCTCCGCATTTCTCGCTCTAGCAAAATCAGCGTCAAGACAATGCGGGACCAGATGGTTCCTTCCGGCCTTGCACATGGAACAGCATTCCACATTGCCCTCAGCGTCTGTCGTCGCGATCGCCGCAACCACTCTGTCCTTTTGCACGCAAATGAACTGATCGGTCTGATGGACAAAGCGCTGATCCTACCAGATATTCGTGTTCTGGACGGCTACCTCGAGACGATTCAAATTCTTTCCGCGAACTCTTCTGTCCTTCTGAATCTGCGAGGCCTCAGCACAGAAGAAGACACCAAAAGCCTCAGACTCCAAGATCGTGGCGCGAAGCTTCAAGCGCAGCTGCGGCTTAATGCCCTCGCCACTTTACGATCCTATGTGTCCGAACTCCACGAAGCGATGGAGAATGGCAAACCCGAGGCAGGCGGTCGCTGGAGCAATGCTCAAAACCGACTTGCGAATCCTATTCACGGCCCCGCCGCTGTCAAATTCATGGCCCGGGTTCGTCTGATTGTCGATGACACGCTCAAGCTTGACTACAAGAAATACGTCTCGAAGGCTGAGCGCAAAATCCTCATGGGAGAGTCGCAGATGTTGAAGAAATACTCCGACAAGCAGACTATTGCAGCTTGGAAAAACAAGCTTGTATACCCTACGGCCGATCAGAAGGACGCAGCCAGGGAGCGCATCTACAACTATAGAGAATCCGTTCGGCTTGAGCAAGCAAGAGAAACAACCTCCGAGCGATCTCATGGGCATGTGGATTCTTCGCTACCGAAGGCCAAGTTGATGGACACGGTCGAGGCCGAGTGAGAGATCCAGATGATGAATTTGTGCTGATGCCCTCCATCCATTTTTGAGACCAAGATCTCAACTGTATAACCCTTGTATACCACATATTTTGGGATTTTAGACGGCGTTATCATTGCATATAGCATCATGTACATAATAATACCACTGGTACATTCTCAACTTTATATAAGAAAATATTTCGAATTTGCATTTACGGTAGAGTGCCCAGGCGAAAGTCTGAAACACGTTATTAACTGTGCTTGAGCTTAAATAGCTCAGTTCACACAAGTATCGGGCGGCTCATATCACCGACGATCGGGGTTCTCTCATCCTCTCCTCATTTGTCGCAATAGCTGCGAAAGCTATCCCATAGCACGCAATTGCCGTCTCTAGTGGCATCTTGCATCTTGGCTTAACACCTTCAGAGAAATTTCTCGGCGACTGCCCGAGACTATCAACCGACCTAGTATTTCCTATATAATGATCCACAAGTCCTAAAATCCAATGGCGAGTTTGAGTAAAGATGACTGTCCCTCAAGAACGGCGAAAATGGTGGAAAGTGCAATGGTTTGCAGACCAAGACACCAAGGAGGAAAGACGGCTCATTACCAAGCTCGACTTGCTGATTGTTCCTTATGCATTCCTCGCATACTGGACCAAATACATCGACCAGGCGAATATCAGTGAGAGCTCCCTCCAAAAATTTCAAGTCAATTTCTAACAGCTACCAGACAATGCATACGTCTCGGGTCTGAAAGATGATTTGGGTCTTCACGGAAACGAGCTTGTTCAGCTGCAGACAATGTATACTGTGGGTGCGGTGGTTGGACAGCTTCCTTTCATATTCTTGTTCACCAAGCTTCCAATGTCTTGGATGATTCCTTTCATGGATATCATGTGGGGAATCTTCACATTGGTGCAATATCGGGCAAACTCTTATGCAGAGCTAGCTGCCTATCGTTTCTTCGTGGGCTGGTTTGAGGTGAGTACAAATTTGGGTCTTATGCCGAATTTCAAGCACTGACATCAGCTAGGCGGGCTTCTTTCCAGGAATGCACTATATTTTCGGTGGGTGCCTCGTGTTCCTGTGCCAAATTGGCCAAAGCTGACCCATTCTAGGCTCATGGTATCGCGGTGATGAAATCGCCCGTCGCGGAGGGTTTTTCTACGTCGGCCTGACCTTCGGTACATTGACAGCTAGTTTGATCCAAGCGGGTGCCTCGAGTCGACTTGATGGTGTCAATGGTCTCGCAGGGTGGCGATGGATGTACATCATCTGCGCGATCATCACTATTCCGGTTGCTATACTCGGATACTTCATTCTCCCTGGCTCGCCTGATAGGCCGAATAAGTTCGTATTGAACGCCAAGGACGTGGAACTTGCCAAAGCCAGATTGGCTCGAGTTTCACACGAGACGAAAGAGAGCAGCCTCTCTTGGCGCACAGTCCTGGGAGTCACCAGAAATTGGAAGTTCTGGGCACTACTGGCCCTTGATATCTTGTTCTGGAATGCTTGCCTGAACACCAGCGCTGGAGGCTACCAACTATGGCTCAAGAGTTTGGACAAATATTCCACTAGCCGCTTGAATGAGCTGGCTGCTATCTCCCCTGCTCTCGGGATCTTTTACACCCTTTTCATCTGTTTCTCTTCCGACTTGTTCTTCGGGCCTGCATGGGCCATCACGATTGCTCACATATGGAACATTATTGGGCTGGTCATTCTAATTGTTTGGAATGTTTCTGAATCAGCGCTCTGGTTTGCGTTCCTAACCACCTACTCTTCGGTCGCTATGTCAAGTGTGCTCTATGGCTGGATTAATAGCCAGCTACGTGCTTCACCCGTCGAACGTGCCCTAACCTTGATCATTGTCAATACAATTGCCCAGTCAACCACAGCGTGGACACCTCTTTTGGTGCTCAAGACAGTTGAGGCCCCGCGTTTCACGAAAGGATATTCCTTCATTCTCGGGAATGCCATTTGCTTGATCCTACTCGCACATGTGATCCAATATTTCATTTCGAGAGAAGAGTAAGTGAACTTGTTGGCCACAGTGTGAGATTTTACTGACATGTCTGGTCCAGAAAATTCAAATCAAGCCGGGGGAGCATATCTGACTCTGAAAGTGCAGGTATCTCCAGTAATGTCGAAGTGAACGCCCAAGGCGAGAGCGTGCAAGGGAAAGTCGATACGCGGTAGGAAACATAACCTAGTACTTGTCGCCATTCATGATATGTGCTTTATCTAGCTTAGTATGAGCTACGTGTATTTCAAATTACCTCTATAGACTGACTATCCAAATTTGGAAAAATTATAGATCTCGAGAAATAACATAGTGATTATTTACTGTCGAATAAGACGTCTCAGTAACCACTCTGTACACCCGTGGACCCGTGGACGCATGCTAGTTCCAACCCCGATATCGATGGCATCGTGGTACAAGTGAGTTTAACGTTCCGACAAGTACCTGAAACGTGTCACGCAATTTGGCAGCTGATGATGAAACGTAAATGACATCGGAGCATTAATTCACACGATACTAGCTCATGTACTCCTATCGATGGCGTCAGATACACATGCGATGTGCGAATACGTGGGGAGATAGCTTAAAACCTTCCGAGGGGCATATTGAAACTATGCCTGTAGGTGTAATCCCTTCTACTTTTATATTCAAGCCTATTCATCGGCGAGTGCAAGAGCCAATTATCGTTAAAAAATGGCCGAACCCAATCCAGTTGGCCAGAATGGCTCTACGAACAGCAATGACAAGAAGCAGATCTTGCTCAATGCATTTGACATGTCGACTGTGGGGCACCTGTCCCCCGGACAATGGAAGGTGAGTTGAGCACTGGAGTTATGTTAGCGGCGAGATACTGAGAATTCAAATCAGAACCCCAAGGACAAGTCTGCGACTAAACGAACGCTAGGATATTGGATAGACCTAGCAAAGCTGTTGGAGCGTGGAGGAATCAATGCACTCTTCCTAGCAGATACAACCGGAGGATATGATACCTATGAAGGGAAACTGGATGAGTGTATTCGTCGCGCCGCCCAGTGGCCAGTGACGGATCCAACGATTGTGAGTATTGATTGTCACACAGAAAGTAGGAGCTCCTTCTAACATCCTTTAGCCCATCTCTGCAATGGCTGCCGTGACCAAGAATCTAGCGTTTGGAATCACAGCGTCGACTTCTTTCGAACAGCCATTTCTGTTGGCGAAGCGCTTTTCCACTTTAGACCACTTGACCAATGGTCGGCTGGGGTGGAACATCGTGACCTCGTACAAGAAGGCAGCTTTCAAAGCCATTGGAGTGGATAGCCCCATTGAGCACGACGAACGATATCGCCAGGCAGACGAGTACCTGAGGGTCCTGTATAAGTAAGTGACACGGAAGCTATCCCACATACAAGTATTCGCAAATTGACCATTCGGTTGCTGGTAACAGACTTTGGGAGGGTTCCTGGGCCCCCGATGCGTTGTCACCCAACCCCGACGCCGACACATACGTGGACCCAGAGAAAGTCCGCCAGATCAACCACAAGGGAAAGTACTTTTCATTGAACACACGTCATATTGTCGACCCATCTCCGCAGCGAACACCGTTCCTATTCCAAGCCGGGACATCGCCAGCAGGATCCGAATTTGCCTCGACTCACGCAGAGGCCATTTTCGTGTCTTCCCACTCGCCTGAGGTGTTGCGGCCGAAGATTGCAAACATCCGCAAGCTCGCCGCAGAGAAAGGTCGTGATCCCCAGTCCATCAAGTTCTTTGGCACATTCACACCCATTGTGGGCGAAACCGACGAAGAGGCGTGGGCTAAGTATGAGGAGCTGAAGAAATATGCCTCTGTCGTTGGAGGTCTGGTTCTTTTCAGCGGATGGACGGGCATCGACATTTCCAAGATTCCCTTGGATCAGGATCTCACGGCCGCGGACTCATTGGAGGCAAATAAAGTGACCAGTTTGCTGGACTCATTGTTGCAGACCAGCAAGGATATCCCGCGTTGGACACCTCGCGTCGTGGCTGAAAAGGCCGCGATCGGAGGCCTTGGTCCTGTGGGGATTGGAAGCCCTGCTACGGTCGCTGATGAGATGGAGCGTTGGATTCGAGAGGCAGACCTTGATGGCTTCAATCTCGGCTATGTCACCACTCCCGGTACTTTTGAAGAGGTCGTAGACTTGCTGATTCCCGAGCTGAGACGGCGTGGCCTGTACCCAGAGCTTCCTGATCCATCAGAGCCAGCTCTTACCGCGCGTGAGAAGGTGTTTGGCGAGGGCCAGAAGGAGCTCCGAGCTGACCATGTTGGTTCTCAATATAAATATGATGTGTACCAGGAGGAGGAGCCATACAATGGCAGTTGATTTTAGCAGAATTGAACATATTCATAAGATTAATTATCTGCAGTACAGAGATGAGAGTGGTAACTCATGTGGATCTCATGCACGTCTACGTAGACATTTGGAACGTGCCTGAGATTACGCGGGCGGTGACCCCAGTCGGGGATGGCCGATAATGCCACTCTAGCCTTCAGGTCAACATAGCATTGTACACATACGTTCACGTTGCCCACGTTGCCTGTTTGAGCAAGGACGCGATAAATTTGACGTTCGATCTCATACAACTTTCATACTACAATCATGGCGACTGTACACAGCCATCCTCATGAGGACCCCCATGACGACGACTCCCTCCTCGGCGATGATCTGATAGAAGCCGATGATGGTGAGCTTTTGACCTACCACTATGCTGTGGATATCCAGATTTTCTAACCCATAATCAACCATAGCTATCGATGCCGATGACCCCCTGCGCGATACATCCGACACCGCGCCTCTACGAGGCAACATCCAATCCGACTCGGGCAACCGGGGTAATGCTTCGGGCTACAGCAATTACTTAACATCCTCTATTGGCGGCGAAGATCGTCGCGCGACCCAAAATACCATTGATGAGAGTGTTGGAGAAACATTGTCACGCGACTTGATAGCTATTTGGGAGAAGATGCGCCAGGTGCTGTGGCCCAAGTACCTACTTGGAGGAATGATGCAGCGTGGAGGCAGCGGTACAGCTGACCCTGAGCAAGGAGGCGCTGCTGGATTTGGACGCAACCTCCGCGGCCTCGTCGGACGCTGGCCGGATGCCGACGTGGTCTTGCAAGGTGGAATGAGCGATGGACTGCGCGACTGGGATCTCTGGTATGTATACAAAGGTGTACTTGCTGGAATGGTTAAGCTAATTTGTCTAGGGGCCCGCTTGTCTTCTGCCTCGTATTGAGTTTGTTCCTCTCCGTCGCAAAGGGTGATCAATCCTCCGCAGTGTTCTCAGGTGTCTTCTGTATTGTCTGGATCGGAGAAGCGGCTGTGACGCTTCAGATCAAGCTTCTTGGTGGAAAAATGTAAGGACTCCAGGCTGTTGGTGAAACATGTTGTCCCAGTATACTGACTATGCCATAGCTCGTTCTTCCAGTCGATTTGCATCATCGGTTATACTCTGTTCCCTCTGGTCATCGCCGCAATGTTGAGCGCGCTGGGACTTCCAACGATTGCACGGATACCGGTTTATCTTGTGTTAGTGGCATGGTCCCTAGCGGCAGGCGTAAGTATCCTGGGAGGCTCAGGAGTCGTGCGCAACCGAGTCGGTATCGCAGTGTACCCATTGTTCGTGTTCTACATTGCGATTGGGTGCCTCTGTTTCATCAGTTGAGCCGTGTTATTGAATATTGTCCTGTTGTACTATTGGGCTATTAAGCTATTGTGTTATTGGGTGATTGATATCAAGGTATTGTGGTATTGTGTTGTGTTCTGCGCTCTGGTGCAAAGCCAATATTGTCACCAGACATCTCAATGAGAACAATTAGAATCCAGTGAATGCCGGTCTATTCGCTAAGGAAATGAATGCTCATATGAACCTTATTGTACACATTGTCATGACAACCTTGGAATAGCAGCCTCTCTCCTCCATAGAATGTCTATTATAGAGAGGCTTTGTATATTGCGGCCCCGCACCCGGCGGTCAAGGTATAAGAGCTTTCTTCCCAACTCTCCCAATCTTCACCTCTTCGTTCTTCTGATTTTCTCATATTTCACTTTGATCTTTGGATTCGGCTGGCCCAAATCAACTTTGCTGTGTCACAGCTTTCACCTGGTATCTGGCATACCCATTTTCGACATTTCAGTACATTTCGACGAATTCGGCAACTCAGCCATGAGCTTCTTTGCACGTGAGCAGAGCCCCTCGGCCGGTATGTCATTGTTTGGGCGCCTCATTTCCCCAATTTCACTAACAGTCGCAAGCCCCAGCAACCGAGGTAAAGATGGAGTCTGGAGGTGAGTGACAATTCTTTGTCAAGTCCTTGTTTCCTTCATTGCCCTCGTTATCTGCATCCTTTCTGTGTCGAAGATTTGTGGTCTGACCTCTCCAACAGTGGCCGCGCAGTCGCCTCCCTCCGACAACGACGGCGGCGAGCGCCCAGTCCGTCAGCAGCTCCAGAATACCAACATCGACTCGGTCAACGGTCCCTCTCAGATCAACCGAAAGCGCTCCCTGGAAGACGCTGATGCGGCTACCGACGAGCACCCCACAAAGCGATCGCGCGAAGGAACCCCGGAATCCTCTTCTCAGCCTGCTCCCGCAGGTGAGAACTCTGCCGCACCCAAGGAACAAGGCGCTAATGTGAGTGATGACGAGTTTGATGATTATTCCGATTTTTGTTCCGAGGCAGGCTTCGAGCCATCCAAAGCCCCCATGGAGTCCGGTGCCCAATCCCCTACCTTGCCAACTTCTTCCGGATCAGAGAGCTGGAACACCGATGGAGACACGATTTGTGAGCCGGCCCCGTTGAAGTTCTCTATTCCCTTGGAAATTGACATCGCCGTCACCATTGGCGGAGCGCGGGAAATCCGACACTTCGCACTCCCCCTCGAAATCAGCATCCCTGCCGGGGCTAAGGTTGAGTCCGCTGTCGCTGTGCCTGGAAAACCGAAGAGCCACATTTCGATTTCCTCGGATGGATCCGTTGCTTCCCCTCCGGTTGCCAGAAAATGGGCCGAGCGTGCTCCTGATACCCCTGGTCCTATCCTTCATGATCCCCTCTATTCGCGTCGTGTTTTACCCCGTGCTTCTGACTTTTTCGGAGATCCCGTCCAGCCCAGCGTCCAGAGTGATACCCATGCTCCTGGTGTCGCAGATTACATTTCCGATTCTGACCAAGTGACCCAACAGAAGCCCAACGATTCGGACGTCAAGGAACAAGACAAGATCTCGGAACCCGCCAAGGATGAAAGCGCCAAGGAACAAGAGAGCAATAACTCGGTAAGTCTGATATTTCCTGTTCGATTTTTCCAATCTCTAACAGATTCATTAGGCTTTCAGCGCGAGTGCCTTTGGAAAGGCCTCCGCCGGTTCACCATTTGGCTTGACCAACGCTAACGCATCTGCCTCACCCTTCGCCGTGAACAACTCAAGCTCAACTGCTTCACCTTTCGGATCTTCAAAGCCAGCATCCACCCCCTCGTCTTTCGAAAACTCTGCATTCAACTCGACTTCTGCCGCCTCGCCTTTCGCCACTGGTGGCACCTCGAGCTTTGGCGGCTTTGGAGGTCTCAAGTCCGGATCCTCCTTCGCTGCGTCTCCATTTGCCAACCCGCTTGGCGGCAAGACTGGAAAGGTTACCAGTTTTGCATCCCCTGATGTCCCTACCCCCCTCGGTGATTCCAAGAGCAAGCAGCTCGGTGCCACCACGGCTGAGAACGAGGACAGCGAAAACGAATCTGAGGCTGAACCCAACGACACCTTTGTGGCCGAAAAGACCGACGAGCGTTTCCACGCAAAGACTGGTATGACCCCCTGGATCCCTCCCTTTGGCCCGGCCGCCTTGAACAATCGCTCACTGGACCAAGTTGAAACCGGAGAGGAGAACGAGACCACCAAGTTCGCCGCTAAGGGCAAACTCTACTACTTCGACGAACAGTGGAAGGAGCGTGGTGCTGGCACCTTCAAGGTCAACACCAAGACCGATGCCGATGGAAACATCTCCGGTCGAATGATCATGCGCGCTGATGGTGCCCTCCGTGTCACATTGAACAGCGCCATCTTCCATGACATGAACCACGGTGACACTTCGGGAAAACGGCCCACCAGCAAGGACATATTCTTGGCCACCAAGGAAGATGGCAAGGTTGGCTTGTTGCTACTCCGAGTAAGTCTACTCATTCTCTCTCACATTCTCAGATGGATACTAATGATTCAAATAGCTCGGTAACGTGGATCAGTCCACCGAACTCTATGATGTCCTTGAAGACATTCTGAAGGATTTCCCTCAGACCGCGAAGAAGTGAATGAATAGGAACGTCAGATAATATGTGAAAACAGAAAATGTGGCAAAAAAAAAAAAAAAACATAACTGCTAATTAGCGAGTTCGAATACAAATCTCTCAATATTGTACCATCTTCCCACCGTAGACTGGCCTTCTAATCTATCGACTTGATCTGGGAACTATTTCGTCCTCTCGAGCTCCTCCAAAACCCAAGCTTCCTTGAGCTGAAGTTTAATCTTTTCAGTTGACAAAGAATGCCTCTTTTCTGTCTTTTCCAAAAGTCGCAATAGTGCTGATTGCTCCGCAACATCCGTGATACGATCTCCACCTGTAGCCATTAGCTCACTCTGGGTGGATCGTGGTGGAGAACTCACACATCGACACGCCCATACAGGATGTTATCAACGCTGGGGCCGTTTTGTTAGATAGGCCTATCCCACAAAGCTCGAACACATTGCTCTTGATTTCGGCCTATTAGGCTTTAGCCAGGACGTTCAAGAAGTGATGTCTCTCAAAGTGTACCTCACGAATTGTACTGGCTGCTCGTTGACGTGGACCCAAGCGAGGAATCCTTGGGTCAAATACTTCAAGCAAAATTCTCGCCAGAAGCCAGTGCTGGATCGCGGTTACTGCTTGTGTTATTCCCATGCAGTCATGTTCAAGAAAAGGTCAAATCACCTTTACGGTCATCCAAATACCAAATCTCTGGAAATATGGCTCCACTGCGTCGATCAGAAGGCTGGTAGTACATGGGGCTGAACGAGGAAGGCTTGCGTGCATGCCATTCCTCATTGTACTCCCACAACTCTTCAAACCTCTTCTGACTCTGCGTCTCTTCGCCATAGCAATACATCAATGCGTCAGCACAGCGCAATATGACTCTATTGGCCCATGTATCATCATTTGCAGGATCCAGCGTTCTGTATATGGAGTCTTCGCAGCAGCGAAGGTCAAATCGGAAGCTCCTTTGATTGCTGAACGCGGTATGAAACTCCTGGCGACACCCGATCCAGAAGGCATCCGCTATCGTATACTGCCGTTGCAGCTTGAGCTTCTAGGAAGACTTGGATTCCTCGTAGGTAGGTCCCTCATCGACGCTGGCTAATGGAGCTGGCAACGTGAGCACTTAAACAGGGTGAATAGGAACCATTCACTCACTGTCAATCTCTTCATAGAAACGAAGTATCACGGTTGCAGCCAATAGGTTTTCATCCTGCACTTCGGTGGAATCTCCAGAGAGGGAGATCAGATATGAGATACAAAGGTTTTGATATTCCAATGCGGCGTCAACCAGTTCAAAAGAGGATGCGTATGACTGGGCATGGTCGGGTTGATGTCGACTTAGATGCCTTGCAGATGTGGAAAAGATGGCGTATAGAAGAGCTGGACAGTCTGCTGCTCGCTGGGGAACTATCAATTCGAAGTGTCTAGCTGCATCGCAAGAGTCAAACTGCATGGGACCTCAGCTTCACTTTCATACATAGCCTTCGGCATAGCTTACCCATTGTGCAAGCTCTTCGATAAAGTATCGCATAAGAAAAGCCTCCCGGAAATCTTGATGGGGGAGGTGTTGGAGAAAGGGGATGATGTATCGAGATGATGGTGAGAAATATGGGCATGATCCGATGAGCTGGGGCGTCTCGGTCCTTTGTCATAGGAGGTGGCATCTGGGGGAGAGGGGCTGTAGATATCACTTAGGTCATTTCCAGAGAGGATGTCTTTGTCAAGTGTATCTAGAGCAGAACTTTAGTAAACCCGAGACATTACTCGTAAGTTTGGGGAAGGATACCACTTTCTCGGATCAATGGTCTAGAGAATTTTGACTGCAAACGATGTCCGTAGTGGTTCGCCAGATCCGGAGACTCGTCAACGAATTGTATTGCTGAAAGTAGTTAGAAACGCGAAAGGGATGTTGGGGACTTGGGCATTCCACTCACATGGTTTTGATATTGTGAGCCATTGCTGGCCACGAGGGAACTTCAAACCTCGGGCCGCGCGTAGTATGAGACCAGTCGAGACACATTTCTTGTTTAACCGCTTACATCTAGAGCAAGCCGGCTTTTTACCATCACCTAATTATATGAGTAATTTGATTCTGTGTAGAACCTGACCCCCGTAATATATCACTCACATTTTACGTGACGCTCTACGAAGAAAATATTAGAGAACGGACGTTTTGACTCTCACAAATGACGTACTTTGACATGGTTTACTGTCAGATCCCGAGTTCATCAGTGCATATCTCAACAAATAGCCGTAGAGGGCCTCACCAGGGCGTTATCATCAGTCTGGGCATGATGTCTGTCGTAGAGTGGTGTCGGAACGGGGATTTTGACTCAAATTACCATTGCATTCAGAAGCACAAGAATAGGCGAAAATGAAAGAAAGAGACTATCTAAGGCTATGAGAGATATAAACAATTTCCAAGGTTGTCCAAGAGTGCCTCTGGAGTTTAACCCCGCACCGGGGAAATTTGCCCCAAGTCGCGACTTCAGGCAAAGAAACCCTCCCTTCCCCGGATTTTCCCCACAATTCACGTCGCACAGTGGCTTTCTCCACGTTTTGACTGGCTGAGCTAAATGTCAACTCTCATTGGTGTTGGAACTTTGTATATGATTCCAAAATGTACCAGTCCTCCCAGTGCCGGCTTAAAGCCAGCTCCATTCCCTGATTCAAGATTAACTGAAGTTGGATCTCGACTGAATATCACCAATGGAGTCAAACAAACTGGACTTGCCTGACAAGCAATTGGATGAAGACACTCAGCACGTTGAGGATGCCACCCACAAAGATGTCACCTTCGTTTCCACGCTGGATTCTATTGAATCGACAAAAACTGACTACTACATCTGGTTGGTCGCAATCACTGTTGGAGTGGGTGGCTTCTTGTTCGGTATGTGTATGCTCTCTTCTACCCTGTCACCCGAGCTGAGACATCAAACAGGTTATGACACGGGTATCATATCCGCAGTCCTGGTGGTACTAGACAATGATCTAGGGCACGTTCTCGTCTCAAGTGAGAAGGAATTGATCACTTCCATCACCTCTGGTGGAGCTTTCCTGGGAGCACTGGCGGCAGGCTTTTCTGCTGATAAATTTGGGAGAAAGCTTGCAATAGACATGGGATGTGTTGTATTTGTTATTGGAGCTGTCATCCAAGCCTGTTCCTACAGCATAGCTCAGATGACCGTTGGACGCTTTGTCATTGGAGTTGGAGTTGGATCTGCTGCAATGATTATACCGGTATGTATTGACAATAATTTGAGTGATATTAAGCTAACCCTTTGGATAGCTATACATCGCGGAAGTCTCACCGGCCAAGTATCGAGGCCGTATGATCGGCCTTGACAACATGTCCATCACAGGCGGGCAATTGGTGGCATATGGGCTGGGAGCAGGGCTCGCTGATGTCTCCCATGGCTGGCGATACATGGTTGGACTGGGAGCCGTTCCTGCCATCATTCTGGCCATTTGTCTTCGCTTTTGCCCTGAGTCGCCACGGCAGCTGATATATCATGGAAAATCAGAAGAAGCAGCCCGAGTACTGGCGAAGATTTTTCCAAATGCGACCGAAAACCAAGTCCAAGAAAAAGTTCAGCACCTGACTATTCATATTGAAGAGGCTCTGGCCATGACTGACCGAGGTGGTATCTGGCGTCAATTGAAAACGTTGTATACCGTCTCCAGCAACTTTAGAGCGCTAATTGTAGCCTGTGGATTGATGGGGATGCAGCAGTTCACCGGTTATAACACTTTGATGTACTATTCTAGTACCCTCTTCGGACTTGTCGGATTCTCAAATCCGATTGCCGTGGGAACAATTATCGCTGGGACTGGCTTTGGTTGTACATTGGTATATTTCCTGATCATAGATCGATTTGGGAGACGGTTTATCCTTCTGGCCACCATGTGGGGCATGGTACGTTCCCTGTTTAGTACTGTGAGCCGGCTTCTAACGTTATCTAGTCATTGTTCCTCGCGCTTGCTGCGGTTGGTTTCCACTGGATCCCGGTCAAGGATGATCTTACCCTTGAAAAGAACGTCGTGGGATGGCCCGGATATTTGGTTTTGGCTGCCATGATTATATTTGTGGTATTTTATTCCTTGGGAATCGGCAATTTGGCCTGGTTTTCAAGCGAAATTTTCCCAATTGAAATACGTGCGCTGGGAACGATGATGGTAGGAGTTCGCTGTCAGTTTTTATCTTTGATCTAACGGATAACCAGATGACATGCACTTGTTGGGGCGGCAATATCGTGGTAGCTTCCACATTTCTGACTCAGATGGAGAACACCACACCGTCTGGAGCTTTTGGGTTTTATGCTGCTCTATGTTTCGTTGGCTGGGTGTAAGATCCAAGAGTCGCATTCCAATTTGAAAGATATGAGCTGATTTGATTTCTGCAGTGGAGTCTATTTCTGCTATCCAGAGGTCAAGGGAATGACCCTGGAAGATATTCGAGAGATCTTCAACCATGGGTTTGGCGTTGAATATGCCCGCAACGTACAGAAGGAGATGAGACAACGGCAAGCAGAGGCAAATAGGATTGGAGTCTAGGAAAATTGATATTCATTCTATTTACATATTCCAAAGCTGATGAGCATCGGGAACCTTGGTCTCCTAACAGCCTGAGGGCACCACATGTGGGTTTGTCTATTTACAGGAACAAATCAATGTCCACATCTTCTTCCATTCTTTCGAAGTTTAGAGCCAGGCAACAAGGAGCCTCCTTTATTGGTCTTCTTTCTTCGGTTCAGGTGGAGCCAGCTCACGCTCGATTGCATGAGCCTGGATCACATGCGGCATGGACTCCTCTGTGTTCAGATAGGTTCGACTCCCTTGAACAAACCAAAAAGAGACAGCGATCACAAGCATCACCCCGAAGACACCAATGGCATAGTTCATGTCCCCACCGGAAGGATTGGGTGCGCTGGGGAAAAAGAAGAACACAGTCGTCACACAACAGTAGACCAGGGACACCCAGTTTGCGGCAGGTCCGAACTTTCCAAGATGGAACTGACCACCGTGTGGAAGTTTGTCTCGACCCATCAATAGGACAGTCATAATCGGCAAGCCATATGAAATGGTCAAAGCAATGGTGCTGACGCTGAGGATGGCGTTTAACACAGTTTCTGCAAATAAGAACAGAACCCCGACCAATGCGATGATTGCACCCTGGAACCACAGTGCTCGAACAGGAGCTTTCCAGTAAGGGCTGACTTCAGAAAGGTATGTGCTGAACGGCAGTCCACCATCACGTGCAAATCCCCAGGTAAGCCGAGATGCTGTGGTGACAATACTGATTCCTTGTCCGAGACCGTTGGTGACAAACAGAGCCATCAGTACTGCGCCGCCGGTTTGGCCGACTGTTTGTTGCACAAGTTCCATGAAGGGAAGTCCGCTAGCAGAATTGACAACGGAGTTGATATCCTGGATGCAGAAAAGGCATACCATCATCAGGATAAACCCACTGATAGCTCCAGATATCACGGCGAGGTAAATAACCTTCGGAGCATTTTGGCGAGGGGCTGGTATTTCTTCTACCAAATGGATGACAGCATCAAACGCAGTCAGTCCATAAGCCGCCTGAACAAGACCAATGAACCAGACAACACCATCAGGCCATCCAGTTTGATTGATCCATTTCCCAAAGGTGAAAGTGGCGGGCTGGAAAGCGAGACCGTCTCTTGTACCCACAGAGATGAGCAGAGCAAAGCAAAAGACGAAGAAAAGCCCAAAGAACCAGATTCCAACAAAATTATTCATCCATGGCAGGAACTTCTCCCTTCGACATCCCACCACGTTGATCAGTGTGAGAACAAAGACACATCCGATGTACACCACAAACTCCAGCCACCCCTTTGACGCACCAGTCCAATCGGGATAGAACATAACTTTCATGCCCAAGAGGAAATTGGTCATGAATGCCACCTGAGATGCAGCCAAAGTCCACCATCCAAAGACATTGATCCAAGCACACATGTATGACAAAAATCTCCCAAACCGAGAGTCCCATAGGCGATACACCCAGTATGCCTGGCCCAAAGCCGTAGGCATACTGCTGCAGATTTCACCCAGTGAGACTGCCACACATGTGTTGCAAAACGTCACAAGGCATAAACCCCACAGAATGGAGACCGGACCGCCATTAATCAGACCGTCGGATAGGTCCTGTGCAAAAGTAGACCATGTTCCTAACACACAGAATGCCAAGGCTAGCATGCTCCAGATGTTGAATTTGCGAGCCAGAATCTGCTCATGCCCAAATTCCGCGAGGTCGTCTGCATCTTGGGCGTTTTGATCGGTGGGTTTGAGGGTCGGGTCGGTTTCCACGTCCATAATGGGGACAATTCAAACAATTGAAATGAGGGAGTTGATTTGAGCTCATTCCCGATGAGAAGGAAAAAAATCACGGCTGTACACTTGCTCAAGAGCAAAACGTCGTATGGGGTCAATTCGGCACTCGCTGTAATACGTGGGGTTTTGACATAATTTTCCGGGGAATCAACCCCATGGGCGTCGGCATCTGTGGCCATAGAGAGGGGCACCTGGGGAGAAGAACTCACCGAGAAGGGTCCACAATGTGGAAACCGGGCTCTAGATAGATCGTTAGGCGACGCTGCCAGACGACCAATCCCCACATCTACCTGCGAAGGCTGAAGCTTCCCGCCTTGGAAGGTAGATGCGTGGATTTGCATCGTGATATCAACGGTGCCTGACGATCCAGTTGCCTTTTAAAATTCTCTAACTCTGCTCAATTTTTGTGACACAACATTCGGAACCACGGGTTGGGCTGCGGAATGCAAGTGGCGACTTTTTAGGCAATTCGGGTTGAATCGCGTATCCTCAAGGTCGATCTCTGTACCACGTATGAGTTTTTATCGATCATTGGATTTTCCAAGTGCGACTATAGAACGGTTCTGCCTCCTGCCTTGGTCAATATCAACCTAGAGAAGCCCCAAGCGCATGCTTGTTTCATGGATGTACCTACCCGAAGCGTACAAGCGCGGAATGTCTAGGACTTAAGACCAACGCGCACTGCAACATATCATGAGGTCCTTTTTGGACTTGCCTGAATAGCGAGGGAATTTGCGATATTTGAACGGCACGCACTCCCTATAGGAGAATAGAGCCCCCGTTATGTCGCTCACTGAGATCTTTGTTCGGCCAATCAGAGCTCGGGAATATAGCCCTTGCGCGACCATATATTCTACTTCACAGTCCTGATTTCTGCTTTCTCCAATTTGATTTAGTTTTTCTTCCACTATGAATCAATCTGAGAAACACGATATTACCTCCCGGCATAGATCTTTCAAGGGCTGTTGGACCTGTAAGAAAAAGCGGGTTCAGTGTGATGAAATCCGCCCTGCATGCACAAAATGCACTTCACGGGGATTAGTCTGCGGAGGATACGAGATCCGCCTAAGGTGGGGTGCTGGAATCGCATCGAGAGGGAAGTACTCGGGCGCCGCGAAACCTGTCAAAGAATCGATACCCGCTCAGTCAAGGCGGAGGTGGGATATGCGAGGCAAGGGTGAAAAATCCCCTGGAGGTGATGGCCAAGGTCAACCAACATTGGTCGCTCCACCGTTACAAGGTAAGACTGGTAAGCTCGAGTTCAGATCGACGCTCACAGGAATCGATAGATCAATCTCAATTAGTAGCACAGCGAGCTACGGTCAATATACTCAACACGCCATGGGAGCCAGATGCCGCTGAGAAGATCTCCGCAATCAACAAGCATTTTGAGATACCAGCATCTCTGGCTTCACTACAAGCAACAGCTCACGCGTATCCCGGGGCAGACGCAACGAACCAATATCCTCGCAAATCAGGTGGACGGAGTATTCTGGCATGATTGAAACCATTGTAAACCTTCTTCTATTTTTTCTGGTGTATTTCGAAGCGAGTCTATTTGGAAATGAGAAATTGGGGGAGCTCGTTTGCCCAAAGACCAAGTTCCGCAAAGGTACGTAGAGAACGTAGATCATCGCGACGCGACACGGTATGCATGGCTGACCCGGATAATCTAATTATCCGACGCTATCACCAAATCAATCATCAACATCTTCAGGTCCCAGTTCGTGACCATTTGCTCAGCCAATCAAAATGGTCCACCATGATCCCAAACATGTTGCCAGCATAATGCTATCCTGGCACTCGCTCGATCTCGTCACCTTTACTACCCTCCAAAGCCTGTGGGCAGGGTATGGACAAATATGTGCCATCACCGCGCGGGCGACCACCGATACGGCGGCAGAGCATCTGAGCAAGCTTTGCGGTGTGGAACCAGGAACTGCTGGATCAACCTATAATCTCATTTTGAAACTTATTTCGCCCCCAACAGAAAGCACGAGCGATCTCGACGAGGGTCACTTGCGCAAAATGTTGAGCTATGAGGTAGAGCAGTACTTCTATAGTAACGTCGTCCCGCTCCTAAATGATGATATTGGCATTGCCAAATGCCTCACCGCTACGCAGGGTGCAGATGGCCGAAAAGGTGAAGAGAAGCTAGATGGCTTGATGGCCACTATCATGGTAGACCTGCGTCCAAGGTTCCCAGTTGCTGGTGAGAAGAGAAGCATGCTTGATCATACCCAAGTGCGTGGAGTTTTAGACTGGTTGGCTAGTTTCCACAGCAACTCAAGAAGTCTTCTACCCAAAACCCTGGATAGTTACGTGCTGCCCCCATTGCAAGAATGCACCCGAAGAAACGGAGCAAATCAGAACGGCGGAAATGGGCTGTGGCTCAACGGAGGATACACATATCTTGCAACACGGCGGAAAGAGTATGCCTCTCTAGTTGAAGATGACTCCGAGTGGTCGGAGGCCATGTGCAAAGTCCCGGAGCACACCTCCTTTTCCATTGCCGAGATGGCTGCACTGTTATTGACGCCGCGAGGAAGATCAGTCGAGTCATACATTCATGGCGACGTGAAGTCGGAGAACCTCTTCACAAACAAGGGCGGCGATCAGGTTGCGTTTTTTGACTTCCAGTACGTCGGGCTTGGGTTGGGAGTTTGTGACCTTGCGAAACTATTCACCTGCTCGGTCCCATTGCATCTGTTGCTTGATGGTCAAGGCTTGCCAAACCAATTAAAGATGCGCGAGGGCGAAAGACAACTTCTAGACCGATACAGGAAGAGACTTCTTCAGGACCAAGAGATTGTATATGAATGGGAGACATTCGAACGCCACTGGGAAACAGCTCTTGTTGACTGGTGCAGATTCCAGGCTTCGTGGGGATTCTGGGGCAACACAGCATGGCTAAAAGCTCGCGTGCGTTCAATTCTGGCTGATCAAGCGTGGCAAGAATGGCTGCAGCAGCAACTCGTTCAAAGCCAGCAGCTTTAAAATGGGACATAAGCGATGATAAAGCGAAGGAATTCGAAAGTGGAAGAGGAAGATCGTAAAGATTGAAAGATTGAGGGATGAGAGCCTCGCCGCCTCATCGAGCAGACCTGATATATAAGGCACCACTTCCCCAACATTTTGACGGGAAACCTCCGCGCGACTTCAACTCTTGACTTTGCAGTGAAGATGTATCATTTTTTTATGCTTGGGTCATTTAATCAGTCAGTGATACCTCTCCTGACTTTGGTTGTACCATTTCTCTACAAATCCGAATGCCAAGAAATCAATTTGCCGAAGATTCCGATCAGCCCCTAACATCTCCACAGACTTGGAAGATTCCGGTTATCTCAAGCCTACGATACCGGTATCCATTTCCATAGATAAAATGGAATCTCCTGGTCACAGCAACATCATTGGGAGAGGTACACGCACAAAACGTGAAAAATATGCCTCAAAAGCTTGGTAGGCCCTCCGAAATACTTGAGTACCCAGGTGCCCAGGTGATGAATACGAATGACTAATGCACTCTCATTCTGAATTCCAGCGGGCAATGTAAACATCGGAAGATCAAGGTAAGATCTACAGGACGAGCTTAGAGGGATGGCTGTGCTAAGCATCATCTCGTTATGCAGTGTGATGGGAATGTTCCGTGCAAAACCTGCGTTGCAAATAAGCGTGATTGCCAGCAAAATGGAACCGACATGAGAGGAAAATGGCGAAAAGCCGGGCACGAGAAGACAAACAAAAGGTCTCAGTCAACTCAAAAGCCGTTACTTGTGGCGAAATATGCTAAGAAAGACCAGACCGGAGGCACCGAAACTCTCTGAATTCCAGAACAAGTCCGATTTTGCCAGTTCAAGAACTTTGAGATCAAACTCCAGATGCTCACAGGACGCTGAACCTGGAACTCGAAGCGAAGCAAGAGGGGGAGCAGATGAGAGTATCACGCCTTTCTCAGGTGAGACATCCCTCACACACAACATGACTGTCGTTGAGGGCAGACTCAAGCAGATGGGGGTGAGGTATCCTAGAATGCGATCTGGATCACCGGATCAATCTTTTGCTTCCCACTTGACACCATCCCCGCCGGCATCGCCCACAGAAAGTCCGCACCATCAGGCAAAGAGTAAATTGCTCTTTCAAATCTTGAGCTCTCATAAGATAGTACCAGACCGAGTCCAATGGGATCGTGTTATGAAGACTTTCTGTGATGAGGTGCTTGTCCTAGTGCCATTTCTGCATCTGCCCTCAGTCTGGGAAGCCTACGAAAATCTGTGGGATGGATTTATTCTCCCTGAATCGAGCCATCAATTGGACCTTGAGGAGTGGAGATTGACATCGTCATATGTCCTCCTGTGTCTAGCAAATGGGACATGTGTCGAGTCATCGAGAGTCAATGACCAAGAAATGCAGTACTCCGCTGGTTGGAGCCTGTACCGAGCGGCGAGAGACATCTTTGGGGACCTTCTGGATGTTTTTGGCGAGTGCACTAATCAAATACTTTTATTGCAAAATATTCTTCTGATGGTAAGATTTTCATCATAAGTCTATTCATATATCCACCTTGCTGACTCGGTATCACAAATTGAAGGTAGTCTACCTGTTTCGGCTTGATGCACATGGGCCTGCAGAGAAGCTCTTAGCGCTTGCAATATCCCATTCACATCACATTGGACTGCAACGTCGCCAAGTGGTCGAGAGAATGAGTCGCTTTGAGGGTGAAATGGCTCGTCGTCTCTGGTGGTGCACATATCTAATGGACAGAAGACTGGCAATCGAGACTGGCCGTCCATTTCTCATTCAGGACCTCAACGTCGACATTGGCCTCCCTCAAGTGATGAGCGATGATTTGCTCAGCAATCACCGAGGTAGCTCGCGGTCCGTGCATGCGGATGATGACGCTGAAAAATCACCTACTGCAGTGCCTTATCTGATTGCTATGGTCAGCTACTCGAGGGTGATAGGCAAAGTCTGGGAAGCCCTGTACGGTGCTTCAACGTCCGACTCAACCCCGAGTCCACTGTTAAAAGAATACCTCGAGCTTCTTATAACGCAGTCGCAGACTGATCTACAACCAGAATTCTCCTATGACCCGCAAAGCCCAAGGAAATACAAAGCGGATGGCCTGGAGTGGTGGCAGATCAAACAACAACTAATGATGAGGATTGTATGTCTCTGAAACTTTTGTGCGATCAATTGATCTTTACTAACTATCATGCAGAGATGGTCATCACTATATCTTTTGATAAGGAAGCCTATGCTGCACCGCAAAGGAACATCATCTTTGACGGCACCAGAGGCCGTTGAAAACGAAGTTGTCTGCATGCGTTTGGCCCAAAGTACGATTGAAGACTTCAGCAATGTGCCAGAGGATCATCCAAAGTACACATTCCCTTTTTTGCATTATTTAACCAGTGCTATTATCACTGCGCTTGGTTTGATAATCAAACAGAGCCGTTTCAAGACGCCCTATGGTGGGCTGACACTGGAAGCTGCTCGATCCCTGAAAAAGCATTGCCGAAAAACTTGGGTGTCAGGCAAGATGGCTCGGGCTGTCTGGAAGTTGAATCAAATGGCAGAGGCTATCCTCCATACCAGACCGCGACAGCACGAAGATGTGAACCTTCACCAACCGGCACCGCCACAACTCATCACCTCGTCACAGCCGAATAACCCCCTTTCATCAAAGGGACCACCTCATGGAATGATGCATGCGGCACCGAGTCAAAACCTACCTCAAACTTCGCCGCAAGCAGATCCAACTCCATTGGGGCCCTGTCGCGAAACGCAAAAAGATCCAGCCATTCCTCAAAACCACCTCCCCTCGTTGGTAAATGACGGATTGCATTTTGGTTTTCAAAGTGAAGTGTCCCATGACACAAACACAATGGATATGGCATCCTGTCTTGCAAATGACACTAGCCCTGGCGCATGGAGCATACCACCCGCCCCATTCCACGTTCCAGGCGCAGATGTGCTAGGAACAGACCACAATTCCTGGTTGCCGGGAGAAATGATAGATGGTGGAATGGAATGGCTACAGTCACTTTGTGCAAATGATTTAGATCCTGATGTTCCATTACCTTGGGCGTGGTAGTGGGTCTCTGTGATAACGCTATGACTCTAGTTGAGCTAATTCCAGTACATATTGCAATATCACAAAGCTTCCAAGATTCTCAACTAGATTGCTTGATAGTACACTTAGAATAGCCAGCCATGTGGGCTAGCCTCCGGGTCGATATGCTCTGCATCAGTGGTATTCGCGATCCTTCCGTCAATGGATCCAAATAATGATTATGACACATGTATGTCTCTTTTCACGATCATTGGGCTGCGAAGCCTGATGTGGTGACCGAATTTGTAGAAAATGAACGGAATCGGGATTAGCACAACTTCGATCAACCCCAACATTGTTCCCGCCCAATTCGCCCCAAGGGTGCTATACAGTTTGTCTCCGGCCAGAGGCAAGACACCGGCCAATCCATATCTCACAATCGAGTTTCCTGCCAGGGCAGAGGCAGCGTAAACAGTGTAGCTCCCTGCCATATAATTTGTTGCATAGATAAAAACAAGTCCGTTTCCTAGCCCAAAGGGAATGCCAGCCAAGATAGGAAGAATCCAGTGCACAGATGGATTTGCTGTCCAAGAAAACCAAAACTCTCCAATGGGTATCAATATGCTGCCAATACAGACAGCAATGACCGCCGCTTCTGGGGTTGGACGACCGGTTGTCTGATCGTGAGGATGCATATTTATGATTCGTCTTATTAGAGGTTCAAGAACGACAGAGATTGCAGTCCCTGTACCAATACCACAGTAGCTCAGCCCAGCTAAGCCTGCAGTCCAGCCACGATGTTCTTCGAAAACAATTGGATATGCAACAAAGGATAGGAACAGAACCGCGTATACGACTCCCACATATAGATTCCAAAAGAGGCTGAGAGATTTTCAGTTAGCTCAGTCATTTATAGACCCAAAGCAATGTATACGACTTACCAGATTGGCTCAGAAACCAACATGCGCATGGGTCGAATCAAATTGCTCTTCAAAACTTGAAGACCTGTCTCCTCGTGGTCGAAGCGACACCACCATCTGCAGTCTCCAGTCGCTTTTTGTCTCTGTTTGGTTTTTCTTCGGAGTAGAGCTGGAGCATATGTCTCCTTGACCAGAAATATGAGACAAAATGAAACCCCGCTGCATATCAACACGAGCCAATTGATCCAGCGCCAGCCAAGGTATTGGAATACAAATCCACCAATAATCGGTCCTGTCAAGCCCAACTGTCAGCTGTCAGATCTGCCTTCAACGGAAAGCACCCACCAAGAACAGGTCCATTCATTGTTCCTAGGCTCCAGCAGCTTAGTGCCAGTGCACGGTACTGATCGTCTGTCACATCGGTAACACTGCCTGGCGCGCTGGCTATCATAGTCCCACCGAAAAATCCATTGAAAAATCGACTTATCAAAATGGCTTCAATGTTTTTTGCCAAAGCAACAGGGAGTATCAATATCCCGAATAGCAAAACGGAAAGGAGATAAATAGGACGCCGGCCATAAATCTCAGACAAGGAGGAAAGAATAACCGAGCCTATTGCCAAACCAAAAAGGTTTGTCGTAAGACCAAGAAGAACAACTAACTTGGAAGACATATTGAATTCATTCCTTATCCCCTCTACACCTGATGTGTACATGGTGGTGTTTATCACTCTGAAGCCCAAAGGGTTAATCATATATCGCAAGGAGCATGTGAACGATTATTTATGGCACAGCCGCCACGAGACAAAACTCACACAATAGTAGTTGAGAAGGACATGGCAGCCACAATAAATCCACGATACCATACTGACCATGTTCGGGGGTTCTCGAAATCGGCAGGGTCCCAAGTCACTTCATATCGTGGATCTCGAGTAACTTCCACGATAGTTGGTAGTTCAGCATTGGTAGGATGTTTTTCACCTTCCATTTCGGCATCAGTGGGAGAACTTCAAGTTTCTCTATCAAGAAGAATCAAAGGTCTGTTATAAAGGTTGCGGGGTTTCAAATCCCGGAATCTTGAAGATTCCGTTTCGGAAGTGAGCCCGTGAACAGCACGATGACATACAAGCTTCTTTTCGATATCCTGACTACCTCAGCGAGCAATATTTGTACTGGTCTCGAAAGCTAGTGTTTATTTTTGAAGTATGCGACTATTTCTACCTCGGAGTAAACTCAGGAAGGGCCGGGGCATCAAGCGGTGCTTCCATGATGAACGTGGGGGCATCGGGCCCCCACCGCCACGGGGGACGCCAAAGTTGAACAATGCAAGTTTCTATTGAAACAGTGGGATATTATGTTGTATTAAAAATGCCAAAAAAAGTAAGGCAGTGTCATGTGCAAAGTATATCTTGAACAAACAAGGCCCGTTTGATGAACGGTCTTGGAGGTACCTTGGGAAACGGAGAAACCCTATCTCCCAGGCCTCTATAGTGCATAGCGGAAGAAAGGGTTTTGCTTGTCAGTAAGATCATCGAATGCAATCTTGTCGCGTTGCACTTCATCCAACTCCAACGCCTCCCTGATTCGGTTTTCGCGTCGAAGCACGAGATACAACACAACTGCGGCGGCTATCGTAATACAGTAACTGAAAAATGTGAGAATTCATACTAGAACATCAAGGAGACAGACTTACCATATGATCATACCCGTCCACAGTTCAGGATAATGCTGTGCCTTGGTATTGCTTTTGACCAACTGCGGGCCGATAATGTTGCCGACAGTATAAGCAACAAATACAGTTGCTGCCATAACCGTCTTCTTTGTGGCACCAGCAACATTGCTAGCTCCAACTGTGATGATCAAACTGACCACTGGACCAAAGAAACCGGTCAATGCATAACCGACCACTGGTGTGACAGGGTGGTATCCCCATTGGGATTTCCAGATCATCACACAGCCAGCAATCACGGGCAAGCAGCAGGTGATAAGCATCGGTATGCGCGTATTCGGGACGACAGTAGAGATGTAGCCACAAAGCGGAATGAAAATGACACAAACGCCACCAACCGGGAACTGGAATAAAATTGAATCGAGGGTATCATAGCCGAAAGTTGAGACAATAAGGGGGCCAAACCCAGAGATAGCACCATTGATAGTATACCTGTCAAAATCATGGTTAGACTATGATTGCAAGTTTCATGTGGAAGGAGAGCTCACGCAGCTGCCATCATAATAGCCACCAAGTAAATTTTGACGTCGGTCAGACACTCTTTAATCTGATCCAGTTTGATGGTTTGGCACCTCACTCCAGTTTGACCCTTCCGTAGTCGCTCCACGGCCACGGCCCGTTCCTCGGAAGTCAAGAACCACGCCGAGACGGGGGAGTTTGGCATGGTGCAGCACCACAGTCCGAACAGGAAGGTCAAGGCACCAGCAAGAATGTAGATATACTGCCATCTTTTCAAAGCCCCAGACGTAATCTGACCAAAGCCGTAATTTAAGGCACTCCCAATGATTGTGAACCAGCCAGTTCCTGAGAACCACCAAGCTTGTCTCAATGCTTGCTCTTCTTGGGTGTAATAACCACTAACAATAGTCATGAAGCCAGTGGGTATCACACTTTCAATGAAGCCTATATCACAGTTAGAGAAGGGTCCGCCCACGACGCAAGAAAACACATACCAAGGAAGAACCGCTGGACGTAAAGACCTTGCCAAGTTGATACTCCTGCCGTTGCAGCGCAAACAATGGCCCAAATTAATACGACAGGGCCAAGAACAGTTCGGACATTAAATCTCTGCAGAATGAATGTCATTGGGTAGAGACCTGCAAGCATTCCAAAGTAGAAGATGGAAGTTGCCCAGCTGAGCCGCGAAGTATCGACCGTGGGAGGAGAAGTGGAATAGTCTTTGACTGACAAAGCTAAGTCAGAGGTCATGCCAAACAGAGTGGCGCTTCCCAAGATAGCCTTGTCATAGTACACCATTCCGTAACCTATACTTCGAGTCAGCACACTGTTTCTTGGTCTGCGTAAGAAAACTCCAACCAACCAATGAGCATAGCGGGCATAAGATAGAGGTCGATCTTGCGCACGACTCTTCTTGCCACTACCGGGTCGATCTCCTGGGCTACATCGCTGACAACTGCCAGAGCTGCATCTTTTTCGGATGTATGAGGAGCGGCTCTGTCGCTTGCGACAGGGTGAACTTGAATCATATTCGAACCCGTACACACGCCCAAGGCTCAAATTATTGAATCAGAGAGCTCTTTTCACTTTGTAAAAAAACATAAACAAAGGCCGAGTGAAATTTTGTTTTTTAACTTCGTATTGCCAGATTAGGCTGTCCGATATCGCCTAGACACCGCCTGGCAGAATCTGTCACGGAAGTGTCTACTCCGTACGGAGTACTCTTCGCGAAGTACGGAGTAAAATTTGCGAAATGCTCTTGGATAACAAAGCTGAATATTTGATTTTAGATTAAAACACACTCTCGACGCGGTCGAAAAGAGATTCGGGTTCTCAGAGCTAAAAAGCCCTTTTCAGGTCTTGCCATGCCCTACGACCCCGCGAGAATCGCTATGAAGATGACAGTCGGATATTCCGAGAAAACCAAATCATTGATGTGAGACTACACGCATCAGAATAGATTCTCTTGCGTATGCTAGAATCCCTCTTATCCTCCAGGGTTTTTTTACTTCCAGTTGCTCAGCAAGTTTTGAGCCTCGGTTTAGGAGCACAAAAGAATATAGATGACGTCATCACTTAGCCGTCCTCCGAGCTAAGGGTTCTTTGAGCTGAGCTGAGCTGAAAGCAAGAATGCTTGCATGAATCATATGATTCGCATGAGCTCAAAATGAAGTATATCTCTTGGCACAGAAGCTTGTGGCCTGTTTGCATCGACAGGGTGATATCGGTGAACATCCTGATCCACAGCCCAGTCCACAGGGCCCACAAATTGCATCACAGATTGTTTTGTTCTCAATTTGAAGGTTTATCGACGGGCCAATAACAGCTTGATCCTATATCAGTGTCCACCGCGGGGTAAATATGTGTGACGTTATCAGACGAGACGCCTATAAAAGCGATTGAGGGAGCAGGGGAGGTCTTTTCCAAAGCTTTGCAAACCACAACCCCACTCAAAATGACAATCGAATTCACTGTGTACAAAGGCTCCAAGGAGGGAGCCATCAAACAGGACAAGACGCAGCGAGAGGATCTGAAAAAGGATGATGTGCTGGTTCGAGTAACACACTCTGGAGTGTGCGGCACGGACCTTCACTACAAAGGCGCCGACATGGCTCTTGGCCATGAGGGAACCGGTGTCGTAGAAGAAACTGGACCCGACGCTCATATCCTCAAGAAGGGTGATCGCGTGGGATGGGGCTATGAGCATGACTGTAAGCAAAATTCCCTTGATCGAACTCCACTGGCTCAGATAGTTAATATGCCTGGTATACAGGCTGTGGTCATTGCAAGCAGTGCTTGACCGGCTGGGAGACAATGTGCAAAGAGCGCCAGATGTACGGAGCAGCCAATCTGGACCAGGGCTCGTTCGCCAGCCACGCCGTTTGGCGCGAGGCTTTCCTCTTCAAGGTTCCCGAGGGCATAAGCAATGAGGATGCCGGTCCCTTGATGTGTGGTGGATCGAGTATGTTTCATCCCTCCCAAACGTATCAATGACGCTAACTCGATACACAGCCGTATTCAACGCGCTTCACGTTGCCGGCGTTCGGCCGACGGCTCGAGTTGGAATTGTCGGCGTGGGTGGCCTGGGTCATCTTGCCATTCAATTCGCTGCGCAGATGGGCTGCCAGGTGATCGTTTTCTCGGGATCGAACAGGTGAGATGCGACCATTGGCCCATCTAATTGATGAGATATCTAACGTACCTTTGAATTATCAGCAAGGAAGAGGAAGCCAAGCAGCTCGGTGCTGCTGAGTTCTATGCCACCAAGGGAGCCAAAGAACTTAAGGTCAAGGCGCCTATCGACAACTTGATTGTCACCACCAGTAGCCAACCCGACTGGCAGTTGTACCTGCAAATCATGAGTCCCAATGGAGTGATCTCGCCTCTCTCAGTGGATTCCAATGACCTCAAGATCCCTTACATGCCCGTGTTGGTCAATGGTTTGCGTATCCAAGGAGGCATTGTTTCTTCACGTCAGGTCCACAGGGATATGCTCGAGTTTGCTGCTTTCCACAAGATCAAGCCAGTCAAGATGACTTTCCCCCTGACTTTGCAGGGTGTGCAAGACAGTTTGAAGACTTTGGAAGATGGTAAAATGCGCTACCGTGGCGTGTTGGTCGCATAAGATATCCTGGAAAAGCGCCAGGTCGGGGTGACAGGAAACCGAGTATCAAATCAACTCAAGGTTCATTAATTAAATTCAAAAGTTCAATTCATATCCGCCTTGTGTGGATAGAGAAGTGTAGAGGAAGGGAAGATAGAAAGTGGGAAATAACCTAACGACGATGTACGGAGTAGAGGAGAGGGAGGACCTTGGAGGAGACTCTGATCTCATCATTAGGACCTTGTGCAAAAACGTAAGTGTATATCGACTGAAGTAATATTCAACATGCGGAATACAGAGCCAACATTCGGATAGAGAGTCTACATATTCAATCAGGCTATAACTAAACAACGAGATAAAAGATAATAAAAAAAATGGCAGAGCTATGGGAGCAAACCAAGTGGTAGAGCTCCAGCGTTGATCTGTCGGCGGGCTCCGATCACATCACTTCTGCAGCTTTATAACCCCGCTTGCTTCCCTCTCTCCTTTTCTTTCTCACAACTACATCATAATGTCTCTCAACTCAGGTGACAGCTTCCCCGACAACGTCGTCTTCCAGTAGGTACAACCCAATCCCGACTGAAGCCTCCTTCTGATCGTGCAGGTACATCCCATGGAGCGAGGAGAGCGATGAGATCACCTCCTGCGGCATCCCCATCAACTACAATGCCTCCCAAAAGTGGGCCGACAAGAAGGTCGTTCTGTTCTCTGTTCCCGGTAAGTCAACACCGTCGCTCGAAGACAGATTGAGCTCTTAGCTAACGCGGGGTACTCCGTACTACAGGCGCTTTCACCCCCACCTGCTCCGTGAACCACGTCCCCGGATACATCAACAACCTGCCCAAGCTCCGCGAGAAGGGCGTCGATATCGTCGCCGTCCTGGCCTTCAACGATCCCTTCGTTATGAGCGCTTGGGGCAAGGCAAACCGCGTTCGCGGGGGAGGAGATTGTGAGAACCCCACACCGCTGTTTCAGGGACCCATGTTTACTGTGTATAGCTTTTCCTCTCCGACCCCGATGCCAAGTTCTCCAAGAGCATTGGCTGGGCCGATGAGGCTTCCGGTCGCACTGGCCGATACGCGATTGTCATTGACCATGGCAAGGTCCGCTACGCTCAGATCGAGACCGAGAAGGGCGCTGTCAAGGTATGTATCTTAGTTCGAATAGTTTGGCGCATGGCTGACACCTTTGGGAACAGAAATCTGGCGCCGACGCCGTTCTCGCTTCTCTATAGAGATCAAGTCAACATACACAGCTCTGCGTATCGGGCCTGTTTCAGTATCTCGCTTTGAACACAGCTAGCGCACCGGATGTGCCCGGAAGAAGCTCGAAGCGAGAGAATTCACAGCGCCCGTTCGATAGATTTCACATAAGACATCCTAACATATTGACGAATAGAACAAAATTATGACTGCAATGATCATGGAATTCCATCGACAAATCTATAAACGAACATATGATGCAAGGGTAGGTAGTATAATGAAATCTAATAAAGCTTTGAAGATGCAAGGGGAGAGGCCAGGCCCCCGGTAATATTAGGGGTGTGATAAGGCTCGGTCATGGATATGGAGCTCCATCCCAGCATGTGCACAATCAATATGCAGTGGCTCTGCAGCCTGCAAGATTTTGTCTTTGATGACGGTTCCCACGACCGAACCGGAAATGACGGTGAGATTGTCGCTGTCCAAAGAGACGTCGTGGAACGCGCCTTCGATCTCAACACGCTTGAGGCTGGGGAAGCGACCGCGACAATTTTTGACCACTGCCTGCAGCTGCGATACCAGCATACCAAAGTACCTTTCTTCGCATCCTTCGATACAAATGGTCTCCAACGAAGATGGAAGACATTCCACGAGAGGCGTCGTCGGCTCGTTCTGATAGCGGATATCCAGAAGATTGGTGAGTCGTACGCGCACCTCTCGCAGGGCAGTGAAGTCGACCAGGGACCCGAACCATTCGTCATGAGATTGGTTTAGTCCGGCTGCAGTGAAGGGGTAATGGCTTCCGTAATTGTCGAGCCATAACGTTTGAAGAGTCGGTTTGCTGTGACTCAGAGACCGGTAAAAGGCAGAAGGCTGATATCCATAGGAGAGGACATGGGCATCCGAATGCTGATATTTGAATGATTTCAATTCGGCACATGAAGCAATCAGTATCTCCATCCCGTGATTCCCACTACTGGCGCGGAGATCAATATCAGTGACAGAAGAGAACCCAACCCGGGGACTCTCATCGGTCAATACCACGGGCTCCGTGATCAGTGGGGACTTATCCACGAGTGAGTTAGCTGTGATCATTCTAATAGATGGTAATTGCAAGAAAGGCAAGACAAGCCCTGGTGATTCTAGGGGCTGTCGACTCTCTGCGTGGTCGCGGTGATCGAGATCTTCCCGATGATGCAGCGAAACGTGCTGTAGATGCCTCAACGTCGGTTGGCCCGCCAATGGTGTTTCGCAATCCACCGCTCGTTGCATGATGTAATCAAGATGTGGTGATTCTGTTGAATATACCAAGTGAAGCTTTCTCAGTTGGCTGAGAAGGGGTAGCATGGCAGCAATCCAAGCGTCACTCAGACCCTTAGAAAGAGACTCCATCCATTGAACTCCCTCGGCCCGCGATTGAGATATAGATGATACCCATTCGGACAGCACAGTGGATTCTTTGAGATCATCGCGTTCGTGACGCGAAATGCTTTCCGCATGCCAGTTTGTGAGATCTAGCTCTCGCACGGCGCAAGCGAGCTTGGGTCTTTTCAAGACAGCGCAGGTAAATGAAGCAGAATCCTTCCAACTGCGGATCTGTACTTTTCGGTAAACCAGTGGGAGGAATAAGTCATGAAAATGCTTCGATGCGAAGATGAGATTCCATCGGTCCGATTTGTGTTGTAGTTCCTCTCCTATGAGGAGAAGTACGTCATTGGGCAGTCCCGAAGTCATAGTGGAACATTCCCCTAAATTGGCCAAATATGGAGCCAACAATAATATGAAGAGATCTGGGACAGTGGATATTTGATGAAGACACAAAAAAAGAGCAGTTGACCTCGACTTAAGGCAATTCTTTTGGGGATTTCTGGGGGATCAAATTCGGGCGATCCACTCCGGTGGCCAATGTCCAGACGCTATGATGCCGGTGGGGACCGCATACTCAATCCCGAGAGGACGCCTGTCTCCCCTATGAAAAATCTAAAACCTTGCAATCGGGTTCGTTTCATAGTATCGGCTTCCCTTCTCGGTCTCTCGGGAATCTCTTTTTTGCGTACAGTAACAATCGCGATCTCCAGGGTTGGGATTGCAAATGATATGGCAATGAGGGCATTGACAGCATAGGCATCCAAGAGCCCACATGCACATGCACGCCAGACTGGAAATATTTCCCTAGAGTCGTCGATCAATGGAGTCATAGGGCATGTATTTTTCTTGCGGCGCAAATCAGGCGGATAGCCACATAGTGTTGGAATCAGATTTCTGATTTCGACTGACAACTTCACAACATGGACCTGTTCGCGAGTGTGGATCCAGAATGAGTACCCGAAAGAACTGCAGCCAGCGAGGCAAAGATGGGGGTACACTTGAGCCAAGAATCAGAGCATGACTCGAGCGCGTCCTATGTAGATCATCCATCGCGATCAGACTGACACAATATAATTGTCGTGACGGATTATGGAGTGCGGAGTATGGTCCCTTCTCACACTCACCTCGTTCAGGTTTAGCCTTTTCGTGCTCCCGCAGATAGCGCCGTTTGTGTTACTATGGCCTTCTCAGGGAACTATGCCGGTAGATTATCACGCAACAGATCAATAAGATTTTAAAGTAGCCTTTGTTCTCCAAGATTTTTACCATTCTTTGATAGAAAGTCTGGCTGCGCAATGTGAGCGGGCTAACATCGACAAGGTGATGGTTTGTCAGTCACAGAGGCTTTTGATTTGGCCCCCATGCTATACGCTCCCATCCGTGGACGGCCTCCGAGACTGTGTCCTGGGCACTGGGTTTGATGGGGCCTTTTACTGCATTGCCGGCGTACTGCACCAATGCCGATATACGGACAATGGGCGCACAAACACAATTTCATTGCCGCAATGAAACGATAGACTGCCAAAATAACACATACTTGTGAGTCTTATTCCACGTGAAGAAGAAAGGAGACCTCAGGCTGCTGCAGCTGCCGCGGAGCTTGCTGCCGCATTCGCCTGGACATCTATGTACCACAGCTGAAGAGATGAAGTAATAACGAGAATCTCCCAAGCTTCTCCCATAGTCCCAGTCAGCCCGCTACCCAAGAAAGTGAACCGGAGACCCTTTGTCATGCTCCATGAAGCGTTATGCGCGATGATGGCCACAACTTCCAGCCCATCACTTGTATAACCAAAATCGCGCTCCTTTCTGCTCCCGCCAGGGTTCTTCCCCGATGCTGCAAGACGTACCAACTTCCACCCAGTTGAGTGACCAGCAAGTTCTTTGATCTCGTTTCCATGGCTTTTGCGCCATTCGAATCGCTCTCTTGTAGTGCCTTTGGGGCCGATTGATGCCTCGAAACTCCAAACTGGTGACATACTCGAGCTAGGAATCAACGACTCCACGATATCTGTTGTATGGGATCCACCTGGACGAGGAGGGAGAGTAAGTGTAATGGGTCTGGTTCGCCCCCATCTGTCGCCCAGTGCTGTTGCCATCACCGGATGCTTGTTAGTTGGCCCATCGTGTAAGACGACCGATGGTTTGTTGCTGAAGACCGTTGTGTGTGTTGAGACCGCGAATAGTTTTTCCTCTGCGGTCGGCCCCAGGTGAAATGTCGTGCTCAGCTTCCATTGGTAATAGCCGTTCAGCGCTGGTGGAAATTTGACGGTGGCGCCCGTGCTTCGCCCCGGTGTCTCATATCCAGGAACCTGCGTGTGTGGGTCGTGCTCGGTATAAGGCGGGGGAGATGCATCGGAACTTGAATGAAAAGGCACCTCGGGTTTGCCCATGGTGAAGAAGAAGTGGAATAGGGGAGAAGAATCCTGAGATCCGTCAAATTGTGTCAGCCCCCTTGGCCCCCACAATTCCCGCACTGTCAATCTTCTCGTGTTCCCCGTAAGCCGGGCGAGAACTGGAGAACATCAAAAACGACTATACGGAGTCCTCATCACACCCAAATCTACTCAATCCTCGTCACTCTCTAGCTACCATTCCATGCACTCTCCCTATATCCGTAATGTATGGTAGCTGCTCTCTCAGTGAAGACGTTGAAAAAAGACAGCACCGTTCCTTCCTCTTCGTACTCTCTGCCGATCCCCTTCCTCTCACTTTCGCCTCACTTTCGTCTCAGATTCCCAGTAATGTTTCTCTTCTTGCTCTTTCAACATGACAACAAAGATACAGACTCTTCCTCATCCACCCTTCACTCATCCTCCACAACGTTAAGATCACCCCTACCAAATTCTTCCATCAGGACATTTCCTGGTATATCAATAGTAAGTCAGTGATCGCTCACTTGATGATCTACGAAACAGTCGCGTGACGAACTAAGCCCTTCCTCGACTCAGCACACAATACCATGGCCGCAAACGTGGTTCGAAGCCGACGAATCGTCGAGAGCCCATTGCCCAACCTTTCAATTTGGCCTCATATACTTTGACCTCAGACCCGACCTGCAATGAAGTTAGACACTTTGCTGTCTTTTTTGCTGTCTTTTTTGCTACCTATCCTTTTCAATGTTTTCTCATTTTTATACTGTACAACGTGGTTGATATCATCAAATCTCCAACCAGAGGGTAAATACTGCTCATTATATTGGATTAAGTTCCAAGGGTCTTTGTTAGACAGTATTAGAAAACGGCGAGGCTAAAATTGAATTTCAACGTACGAGTACTGGGGGTCCGAAAACTTATGAAAATCAACTATATGAACTCGGAACCTGGTGTACGGCGGTACATAGCCGCATCGGATCACATTTCATTTGGCCCGCAGGATTTCTTGAATCAACACAAAATTTACTCCGTACTTCATACCGTGACGCGGCATTTTGCAGTTGACCGGGATCTTTCAGCTATACGGGAGCCTTTCTCACCAATCGAAACCCGTTTCCAAGGTTGTGATGCAGAGGAAATCCTTTGGCTTTTTGTTCCCTGTCGTATGGAACAGGTATCAGTATACTTTCGTATGGAAACACGGGGACAGACGTCAAAACACAAAGGGGCGCATTGCCAAGGATAATGACCCCCTCAAATAAGCCATGGTCAGCCATAGTTACGCCAATGGGGAACGGATGTCGGCTGTGATGCTTGGTCCTCTCGGTGGAAAGTTAGTTTCGTCCATTTCTGCCTGTCAACCATGACACTTGAGTATTTCAGGAGGCTTTCCAGGGAGAAGTTGAGCTAAATAGGAAAATGTCCGGGTCCACGCGGGCACGATGGAACCATGTGGCTTGCAACGCAGCACTCCAAGTTGCATGGACTAGAGAGCTGACCGACATCTGACCACCGACTAATTTAACAGGCAAGTCATGATTGGAGTTTTGGTCGAGATCCTGTCGATTTATTCGAAAACACAATCCTGGCCGCTCCCGGATTCCTTGGGTGTGATTGGATCTCACCTTTCAGGGTTTATTTAGCGCAGAGCTAGTGGTCATTAGTGTTTCCAAGGTTCCTTTGGGGATAAACCTGGGGATTGTAGCATCCGGGGTGTGCATGCTACTCAGTTTTACGAGCCCCCCGCATTTTTTAATGTTTGGTTTCTTTGTACTATATAATTCACCTGTCTCTTTCTACTTCTACTCTCTCTTGTCTCTCCCTCTCACTTTGGATTCGTGATCTGACAACCATCACCATGGGGTACAAGATCACCAACATTTATGTCATCACCACGGTGGCCGTCATCGGTGGTGCGCTCTTTGGTTTTGACATTGCTTCCATGTCTGCCATGTGAGTCTCTGAAGGATCGACTTTACATAAAATTACTAACCTCATCTCAGTCTTGGCACTCAGCAGTACAAATGCTTTTTCAATCAAACCGGAATCAACGAGAAGGGAGAATGCGGTGGTCCTACCTCCGCCAACCAAGGTGGTATCTCTGCAGCCATGCCTGGTGGCTCCTGGGTCGGCGCGCTTTTGTCGGGCTTCGTGACTGATTGGATGGGTCGCCGTGGCGCGATCCAGTCAGGATCGGTGATCTGGTGCATTGGAAGTGCCATCGTCTGCTCCTCATTTGGCATTGCCCAGCTCGTCGTTGGCCGTTTCATCAACGGAGTCTCTGTCGGTATTCTCAGCGCCCAAGTCCCCGTCTACGTCGCCGAATTAGCCCAACCCAGCAAGCGTGGCCAAGTGGTGGGAGCCCAACAATGGGCGATTACATGGGGTATTCTGATCATGTTCTACGTTTCATACGGTTGCAGTTTCATGGAAGGAGTGAAGGCCTGGCGTACACCATGGGGACTTCAGATGGTGCCTGCCGGCCTTCTTTTTGCTTTGACCTTCCTCCTACCGGAAAGTCCACGTTGGCTTGCCAAGAAAGATCGATGGGAAGAGGCACACGACGTCTTGGCCTCGGTCCATGCCAAGGGTGATCACAATGCACCCTTCGTGCAAACCGAGCTGCAGGAGATCCGCGACATGGTCGAGTTCGAGCGCCAAAACAAGGATGCATCTTACTTGGATCTGTTCAAGGGTCAGATGCTCTACCGCACTCATCTCGGCATGTTCACTCAGATTTGGTCCCAGCTGACCGGCATGAACGTAATGATGCTTTACATTACCTACGTGTTCGGTATGGCAGGCTTGAGTGGAAACGCCAATCTCGTCGCGTCGTCGATTCAGTACGTTATCAACGTAGTGATGACCGTCCTAGCTCTACTTTTCATTGATCGCTGGGGACGTCGGACTCCACTTTTGGTTGGATCCACACTCATGATGATCTTCATGTTTGCCAACGGTGGCATCATGGCAACTCACGGCAAGCCTGCTCCACCAGGTGGTCTCAACAACACACCTGAACAATCTTGGGATCTTTCTGGGTCACCAATGGCTGCCAAGGGTGTCATTGCTTGCACATACCTATTCGTTGCGAGCTATGCCCCTACCTGGGGTCCCGTCAGCTGGATCTATCCCCCAGAGCTTTACCCTCTTCGCCTGCGCGGAAAGGCCGTCGCTCTTTCGACTTCATCTAACTGGATTTTCAACTTTGCTTTATCATACTTTGTGCCTCCAGCGTTTGAGAACATTCAGTGGAAGGTGTACCTAGTTTTCGGTGTTTTCTGCTTTGCGATGACTGTTCATGTTTTCTTTGCCTTCCCCGAAACTGCCGGCAAGACGTTGGAGGAAGTCGAAACCATGTTCACAACTCCAGGTCTCAGACCATGGAAGACCACCGTTCAATATCACCACGTACGAAAGCTCGAGCAAGGGGCAATCCAGTCCGACAAACTCGGGGCCGTGCACACGGAGGAAGGGCACACAGAGGAAGCAAATTTTGCCCCAAAGTCGAATGAGAAGGAGGCCACTGTCTGATAATCTGCAAAGACACAGCTACAACTCATCTCAATGCGCGCAGAGAAGATTTCTCCGGCCGACCTACGGACTCCTCACCATACCCTGATCGTCAGCTTGAAACATAGTATCATCTGCCACCCGGACACCCGGACAGGCATTTGCAATTAATTTATTCCGAACTGATTTTGACTCGATATTCACATTCGTATTTTCTCAAGTTCGACTAATTATTCAATTTCTAGAATCTATCCATAGACGTGTTTCTGGCATTCGCTTCTATAGGTTTGAGTCGATCAGAAAAGTAGTTAATCATAGACCAGTCCGACTTTCCAGAATTTGCTTCCCATTCAATCATCCAATCCGGCGCAGTTCTCACTGGTCTCCTCTGTGATTTTGGAGTAAGGGGATGGATCGGTCCAGATAATGTTGAAACTGCATGGAAGTCTGAGTTAGACTGAGATTTCTTTTGGAAGCCTTCTAAGGGCGGTAGGGTTTTCATACCTATCATCAGGATAGTCGGGGGCATCTTTATCTCCAAGCTCCTTAACAATGTCTGTCAAAGCATCGTGCTCCCAACAGATGAGAATATTGCCATCTCCGCTGTATCCTTCCACTGCATCCTTGACGCATTCAGGGTCATCACGATCGCAAGATGTATCAACCGTAAGACCGAGGTCCTCAGCCAATGGCTCAACGGTATCGTAAGGGCGAGCTCGTTTGCCATCTGCATGAAAATCTTAGCCATCGGTTCGGGCCGCACGTTCCCACGCTAGCGACGCGGAGAAAAGGGGTCGGGATCATACTGCTCTTCGGCGTTTGCGCCATGATGTATCCAATGTTATAGACGGAGCTCTTATCAAACACAGAGCGAAGGCACTGTGCACGTTCAAGGCCTTGAGCATTCAATCCGTTGCCGCCATCGCTGGGCTTTTCTCCATGTCGGATGAGATAAACAGTAGGAGAAGCCGCGGTCGCTAAGCTTGCGGTAGCCAGCAAAGTCCAAGTCAAAGCGAAATACATGATTGCAATGGAGACTGGTTCGTGAGGAGGCAGTTTGAATTGCAATTTTTGTTGTCGCTATTTCTGCACCAGCCGTGCTTCTTATGTTTTTTGAGTCGGTATGTCGGCCCCCGATACGGTGTATCAAATGCGACGCTGAATAGATCTCATATAGATGCCTGTCGAGGGAACCAAGCAATCTGGCTTTCTGCAAGACATGGGTGTTTTTGAAACGGTGATTCGGCGGGCGATCGTCGGACTTTGTCAGGCCTAACCCTCATGGGGGAATTGCACTTGCAATGGGCCAATATCCCCACAGCCAATAAGATGGATGGAGAGATCAGCGCTAAACAGCCCGGACAAAAAACCATAGCTCCACTTTGTGCAGGGAATGGATTCACGAGTCTTTGCTCTCAAGGTGCTCAGTCTAGTGACTTCTAATGCCACTGAGCGTCTCGAGAACCCTGGATTTGGTGGAGAAACAAGACTTGATCAATTACGAGGATGAGATCCTGTCGAATACAGACGCTTCCTGATTCGATTATTTCTGGATATACAATCTCCCCCTAAGAGACCTGAGTCCAGCCCCACATATATTGAATCCGCCCAACAACGATCACCCTGCTGCACTAGAGTAAACATCTGCCAAGGACACAAATGTTGCACTACACAGTCAGAGATGAGGTAATGGAGAGAGATACCAGGATCGAGACTTACACATATCGGGGCGCCATTTGGATTGGAAAGCGGCGGACACACGCGATTGTTAGGGCAGCAGCCGACAACGGACCCAGCCGTGACGCACTTGCTGCCAACAGCACACTATTCAACAAATCAGGTCAATGTACAGCCCAGGACTTTTATCCAAAGTCAGACTCACACAAGTACTTGTCAGCGCACAGAAAGTCCCATTTGATGGACATGTGCAGACCCCACCGACGCAATTTTGAACTGATGGGCACTTGTGGTGGTGTTAATATGCTTTGGCCTGAGCTCGAATTCCAGATATAAAGCAGACTATCCAGATAAGACTCAGAAAGAAATAACTTACAGCCTTTTTGCAGACTCCACAGTTCGTTTGGTTCGTATTCAAATCGGTGCAAGATCCCGAACAACAAGCTTGCGTGCCAGGGCACTAAACAGATCAGTATTGAAAACCAACTAAGCATCGGTCAGTCGTTGAGAGGGATAGTGCACTGACAGTTATATTGCAGGATCCGCAGTGCAGTGCACTTGAGCTCAAATCTGCACATGCACCGGAGCAACATGCTGGTACATTGCCAGTGCAAGGAGATGTGGTACAGCTACCACAGCGCGATAGATTCGATCCCAAGTCTGTACAGACACCAGAGCAGCATGCTGGAATGCTACCAGTGCATGGAGCAGCAGTACAACTGCCACAATGATTTCGATCGGTAGCCAGGTTGGTGCAGTTGCCAGAGCAGCATACAGGATTGGCTGGGTTGCACTGAAGTAAACCCCATTTAGTGAGAACCAAAAAACAAAATAAATTCAAAGAGCGCACGAGCTTACTGTGGTGTTACATGATCCGCAATGCGATGAACTCGAGCTCAGGTCCGCACATGTCCCGGTACAGCATGCGGGCGGATTTCCGGTGCACGGTGGAGCACCACAGCGGCCGCAGTTGTTTCGATCGGTTGACAAATTTGTGCAGTTCCCAGAGCAGCATACTGGGTAATTTGAATTGCACTCCAGGCAAAGGCTCATTAGCAACATTCTCATTCAAGGTTATAGAGTCATGTGGACTAACAACAGTATTGCATGATCCACAATTCGAAGTACTGGTGCTCAAGTCTGCGCAAACGCTTGAGCAGCAAGCCGGTACAGTGCCGGTGCACGGGGAGGCAGCACAGCTACCACAATGGTTCATGTCGGAAGCCAAGTCTGTGCAATTTCCAGAGCAGCACACCGGACTAGGCGAGCTGCACTTGAAGTAATTCAATGTCAATATAGCTTCAAAGAAAATCAGACATGCCAGGCATCTAAAGCCTGATCTGCTTCCACCTGGGCAGTGCCAGTCGATGACAAAGGAACTTTAGAAACAAAGGCCGAGCTCCCCAGTGGTAAATTCATGATCAGTGAAAGCAAGCCTGTAACGCATGAAGTGATTGGAGAAGTCATAGTAGACAACTTACTGTATTATTGCAAATTCCACAGTTCAGAGAATCAATACCGAGATCACGGCACCTTCCACCGCAACAACCAGGCTGTGCACCTGTACACTAGAAGACAGTTCAGTCATGTCGAGAAAATGCATCGTATACTCCCTAGAATGCCTACTCGGGGCACGAAGGCACACCGAACACGTGAATCTGAGAGCGGATGATTGTATTGCTCACCGGAGCTTTTTCACATGAGCCACACTTAGTTGGGCTGCTTGTCAAGTCATAGCATGCCCCTGAACAACACCATTGTGAAGGACCAGTGCACTAGTAGAGATATGATTAGAGCTCAACTGGAAGCATTGGTGAGGATCATCCGGGATCATACAACGTTTGAACAATTACCACAGTGCGTGGCATTGATGGCTAGGTCAACACATGTACCAGAACAGCACTTGGCCCAGGCAGGGGGTGCTGGACATAGTCGGTTCGTACAGGAATTGCCGCAAGATCCACAGAAGCTCAGATTACTGCTGATGTCACTGACACATACACCATCGCAGCATGCAGGATTTGCTCCCGTACACTTGTATCAGACGGTGATGTTAGATCATGCTTTCAATCAGCGGCCTATAAAGATTGTAACTCATACAGGTGGGTCACATGAGTCTCTTCGGAAGTTGGAAAAAATTTCCACATCTGCTCCGGTATTACCGTAGGGTGAGGCGGCGTAGGTACTCTATTCGATTCGCCGTAAGTACAGCAATGTCACGTTGGGATCTTCCCAAGATGAATCCCTCCAATCCATCATTCTTATAAGGATCACTCACTCCGTCGCATGGATATTCAACATCTGGAAGAGTGTGAAATGCCCAACTGCTACTCAAGCCCTCCACCGTAGTGAATTGGCATATCAAAATTAGAACAAAAGCTTTGAAGACTGATGGAAGTTAGCAAGTGGGGAAATAACGCTCGAGAAAATCTCATGCTTGAGTGGTTTGTTTCGCTCAACTTCTTGATGTAATATCTTGGAACAAACTGACCATTGTTGTAAAATGAGTTTTTCCTTGTTGTTGCTGCCATTGTCCTCTCATAGTTAATCCAGATAGTCATGGAGTATACCCGCAATTGGAACAGCAAATTTAGCCAAAGAAGAGACTGCTATTGACGTGAAAGAGTATGTTGAAGAGAGCTAGACGTCCATATTAGAAGAAAAGTCAGGGCCCAGGACAGAGAAAATGTTGGATGTGTTGTACTTCCCACCATGTGCTACCGGCGGAGTGTATCCAAAGCCCATGTTGAAGATTGTTAAGCTGGAAGGGCAAAAAAAAACCTTGAAAACCAGACAATTGAGCTCAAAATGGGGCATCGGAACATAAGGTAACGTCTACATTCGCGCACGGTCAGCAAGCCTAAAAGCACATGCGCTTCGAAAACCGCGTATCATTTTCCCAAAAGCAATATAATAACAGGCCAGTGAAGAAAATCTTGAATGATTGTATTCATGACAGACAGCAAGGTCAAGCACGACTTATCGCGTCCAGGAGAAAACCGAGATTGGCAGCGGAAAATGCAGGGTCTAATTAGCTTTCAAGTCAGGAAGCTTCGGATATTGGCAAGATTTGAAATGGCCGACACGCCATAGCGGGCGGCCTCATTCGTAGTGATCCATTTTGCTTCCTCTCCTTCGCTGAAATACTCTGGCGGTTCAGTCTGTGTGAATGTGAATTCATGCGACATGGTAAACCCGTCTATGTGAAAGAATTGTTCCCATGCCATCTCAGCAAGACTTTCATCATTCCCCCATCTTGCAGCAAATGCCGTCAATGTGGAATGGCTCTGTCTCCACGTTGCCCGTTTCGGAAAAGTGAATCCATACTTGGAGCGCTGTATCTCATGCCCTCCGTTATATGCACGACAGTATGGGATCCATACTCTAATGAAATTTTCAACAACTTGAGGATACTTGTCGCGTAAATAGTGCAGCACCTCAGCGATAATTTCAGGGAAACCAAAAAGCATAGACAAATGAGAAATTGAATATGCCGGTGTTGGTGGCGGGCACGGCCGGACTTCTGCACTGGTCGGATTCAGCAGAATGGCGTTGGCGGCAAGTCCGTGGTCTAGACTTGAAATTCCTTCAAGAAGGCTCACTATAAGTTGCTCGGATTGAGTCCACCCAGTCGTTCTTCTTTCCCAGTCTGTGAGCCACGTCGCAAATAGTGCGCCACAGTCGAGCCCAATATTGGTCATGGCAAATCCCTCGGGGATTTTTGCATGTGCCTGGACCTTGCGGTGCGAATCCAATGTAAGAAGTGCGTTTTGCGCATCTCGTAGCTGGGTGATAAGGTTGCCGGTACGCTCATCACCAGTGAGGAAAAAATAAAACCGGCGGTACAGGGCGTTCGAGATTCGAAGCTGCTTTGAACTGTCGCTGAAATGCTGTACCCCATGTCTGGTTCCGAATCCTTTAAATCTTCCAGAGTGATAGACATCAACCTCGCCGGTGTGCCTCGTCATCGCTTCGGCAACCTTGAACACATCAGGTCGCCCCGTATGTAGGAAATAGGTCCAAAGCCACAGGTCCGTAGACAACTCCGAGTTATCCCATGCGAATCCGCCAACGTCATATCTCCATGCACCTCGGTAGGGATCGTAGGTATGTTGCACGTCACCATGGTCCCAAAATCCGTACCATCGGTTCTGCTCGATCTGATTCTTGTAGAAGTTGAACAACAGATCAAGACGGTTCTCAATGTCTGTCTCTTTCTGTGTGACCTTCAATCCGAGATTCCGAGACTCAGGTGCCCAACAGCCATGGAATACCCCAGTTGCATGCATATGTATTTGTGTCGACAGAAGTAGTGGTGGATCGCGAACGAAAGAGGAAAATAGACCGAATTGCTCGGCTGAAGGCGTGGACTGGTATGCTCTCAAGAAAACTATGTTTGTGCGGCCAATTCCATTAGCGGTTGCGAAACCAGGCTCATAGTCTTCATAGGTCACATTCAATGCTTCGAGTTGATCGGGATAAGAGTTCGAAGCAAGGCCGTCATGATAAGGGGATGTGTCTAATGGCTCGGCTAAAGGCGAGTAAAGCCATTGCGTGATCACCCCGTCCTGGGCGTCAAGCTCGCTGAGATCTATTTGCGTGGGATAGCGCTCCCAAAAGTCCGACATACCGACCGCGAGTCCACCGTACTCTGCAGAGCCCACATACGCCGTTCCATCCGCGCGACCTCCACCGATAGTCTTCACCCATGCGCAGCCGGGCTGGGTTCTCTTCTTAATTGTGAACCCGTCAGATGAAAGCTGAGAGAGTGAGTAGTCACGCCAAAACGGGACGAAGGAGAGATCACGATTGAGGTCATTTCCCTCCCACTCTTCCTGGGAGAGTACAACTGCTTTGCCGCAGCTTTGATCAGCTCGCACATGTTCTTTTGGGCCATGCCATAGACCCGAGAGACCTTGGACCTCTTCTTTCCAACTTCCTCCCTTTGACCCTCCGAGTCTGATATGACGGTTGTAGAACTTCGACCGTGACAGAGGAACCGAGAACCGAAGCCCAAGAGACGTTAGTGGCTGATTTGCTTCCAGATCATGAACGAAAGAATGCACCAATTTCACCGTAGGCGAATCCGAATATATGTAAAAGCGGAGGTCGAATGGAAGATGTGAAGTGGAAAGAGTCCCAGTGACCATCACTGCGGAGACCTTAATAACCACTCTGTGTGAAGTCTCATTCTCAACTTCTACCGACACAACATGCGTCCCATATTCGACTCCATCAATCGACGCGACCACTGTTGCGCCAGAGCAAACTGTTTCACCGTGAATTGCCATATTTTCCAGGACAGACGCGTCGCCGGAATGGAAATCAAGATGCATGCCGTGACGCGATTTCACGGAAATGCCTGCCTTTCGCTCAACCCAAACCCCCGGTGGTGCATCTTCACCCCGACTTGAGGCTTCCAGCGCGTATTGCTCATGATAATCAACATGGCTGCTGATAGAATGAAGAGTCCATTTCAACGATTCATCGGTCCAATACGCAATTTCGCGAGAGTCGACTGGGTAAATGTTTTCTCCAGCTTTGAGGTCAAATTTCTGGCCTGTTCGATAAACCCCTTGCGGCCACGGCATTCCAAACGACACCCCGTTACTTAACGCCTCAAAATGGTCCCCCCTCAGCCATCGCACATTTGCAGAGGACATCTTCGTCCCAATTTATCTAATCGATCGGTCTTTCGTCGCTGAGTGAGGAAACAAGCACCGTGAAGACCAAACACGGGATAGTTGGGGATGTGTATATGTTTCCTGGACGTCAAAATGGCAGGTTGTACGATGTACCTTTGACCCATTTCATGACCGAAGACAGAAGTTTCTATGTGCCGTTCTCTAGGTCCAGCGTTGGAGCTCACCTTCGCTGACGACTATTGCGCGATCGTCGCGGGCGGCCCTCGGCAAATGCATACTGCGGCAAGCGCAGAGTTCGATAAGCGCAGACTTCGGCAGTCGCGGCGAACTGTTCAAAATTGGCTACTAGTCTTACCTGCAGCCACGTCACGGCGATTTTAATTTACGGTTCTTTACTTCGTAAAGCTTTTGAAAATTTCCAACCCAGCGAAACAGCATTTTTGATCTGCTGCTGAGGCAAGACCACGTGGAATACCATTGTTCCCTCGATCATCGCGCCGGGCTCGATCCACATAATCAGGGCGGCGATTTTCCTATCAGCTGGCGGTCTAGTCGACCCTGGAAGTTACAACACTCGAAATAAGAGAACCACAAAAACCACGTGAGAAAGAGGAAAACTGTCAAGATCGCACGATGGAGTCTTCAAGGCCAATAAATCAATGCCTTACACGCTGTGCCTTGTGCCGTGCATCGACTCAAAAGACCTGTGCTTTCTGAATGATATAACTTCACGTACGTTTTCTCATGGTTGATGGGCGTGTTTCGAACTTGTGAAATTCCGAAAAAGGTCTGTCTCAGAACTCGGACCGCAATAACTTACACATATGACACGACTTACCGGTTTAGTGTGTATTTCGATTGTCTGACGAAACGTCTCGTTCGAGTGGAATTGTTGTTTTGCCTCCGACAGGCCTTTATCGGCCTCGGAAATTGTTGCGCACAACATTGCGAAGTACCAACCCCGTACCTGTCACGAGATAGGTGGTGTAAACAAGGCCGAGGTGATTGGGCAGAGCGGGTGCCAACACGGCTTGTCTGAAGGGCCAAGCGGCACTAAAATCCACAGCCTGCATTATCGCACGACCTGGACCTGGGAAGTGGATAGCCTGGCATTCACATTCCACAACTTTATTTTACGGCGATAGCCCTTTCGGCTCAACAGTGCTGATCATCGGTTCGAACCATTGTGCTCGTCGGCTCTGATCAATATAAAAAGTCCAGTTCTTTTGATTGAACTACCTTACCAATGCTTGGGGATATTGCTTCAATGTGTTACTACTGATATTTTCGACAATCGCCCCAGTTCTCTCTTCCCGCGTGGATCCACTCGCCTCCTCTAGTCCTCACCTTGTGCATTAGCCCTGCCAAAACCAGCGTGGGACCGAGTATTCTGTGCTCATAATGCCATTGTTGTGAGCAAATGCCCCATACCACTTACCAAACCAGGAAAAGGGTATGGGGTACACTAGCAGTAGCATACAAGGGTACACAACAGTGATCCACCCGCCACCTTGATCAGATGAAGTTTTTATCGCCTTCCACTGACGAGATCCTCGACGATCACGACCTCAACAGTGACCTTTGCAAATTCTGCGCGACCGATTCTCTTCCAGGCCCTCGCCAAATATGGGTTTGCGCATCTTGCTCGCGGCTCTAACAGGAGCCTTTGTCATTTACACTTTTTTGAAGTCCAAAGGTGGCTCACGCTTGCCCCCTGGTCCAAGGGGGAAGCCAGTTATTGGAAATCTGCTGGATCTACCTGCAGCAGGAAAACAAGAATGGCAACATTGGCTCAAACACAAAGACCTATATGGTAATGCAGATTTCTCTCGGCGCCATTCGCCGTGCCAACTCATTCATCATTGTCTAATCTCCACCAGGCCCTTTGAGTTCGCTTTCGATCTTTGGAACTACCCTTGTGATTATCAATGATCGCAAATTGGCCTTTGAAATACTGGAGAAACGTTCTGCAAAGCACTCCTCTCGTCCAAATCTGGTGTTTGCAGATGAAATGTTAGTACATCCTTCTCCTCCTTGCAAGATATTCATTCCAAGTTTGTGGAATGAAACTATTAGTCAACCGAATATTGACAATGTGTTAAAAGCGTCGGATGGGGCAAAGCGCCATCGAGCCAGGATAACACCAGCCTGCTGCGCTCCTATCGGAAGGCAATGGCACGGATCATCGGGTCACGCAGCTCGATGGCCAAGTTCGACGACATGCTTGAGGTTGAAGCGCGACGATTCCTTTGGCGAGTGCTTGACCGTCCGAGCGATTTTGTGAAACATACTAGAACGTCAGTATTTTCGACTATGAACTCTGTTTTGTCGAATCGTTAACTGAATATCGTGCATCAGTGCCGCCGGTGCATTCATATTGAAAATCACCTATGGATACAATATTGAGCCGCATCATGACGATCCTCTCGTGAACTTGGCAGATTTGGCACTCCAGCAATTTTCCGAATCTGTGGTTCCCGGCGCTTGGCTCGTTGATATGATTCCAGCTCGTAAGTTTTATCTGAAGAGGGAAACAAACCAAAGAGGCGAGGAGAAAATTACATTCTAACCACGTCAATTTCGGGTATCAACAGTGAAGCATATTCCAGAATGGTTTCCAGGAGCTGGGTTCAAAAAGACCGCACGATTCTATGCTCACACTCTCACACGTCTTGTCGAGGAGCCATTCGCATTCACGAAATCTGAGATGGCTGATGAAAAGCACGAGAACTCTTTCACTGCAAGCCTGCTACAACAAGGGGAAGATGAGGAGATCGTCAAATGGTCGTCCGTTGCCCTCTACAGTGCCGGAGCAGACACGGTACGTGATCCTTTTCTCTCAATCTCTCTCTCTCTGGGGCAATCTTTGTCGGGTTGCTAATTCCGCCTAGACTGTCTCTGCCCTGAAAGGGTTTTATCTTGCAATGATGCTTCATCCAAATGTTCAGCAAAAAGCGCAAGCTGAACTAGATCAAGTACTCGGGCCTAATGTCTTCCCTTCAGTTGAAGATCGAGACAAATTACCCTACATCAACGCCATCGTCACGGAAGCTCTCCGTTGGCACACTGTTGCTCCGCTTGGCTTGCCCCACAAGACCGACCAGGATGATATTGTTGACGGCTATCTCATACCCAAGGGCGCATTATTGCTTCCAAATATCTGGTAGGTCTCTAAGATAAGTTGGTCATATCTTGTTTTGACAATTCCCTAGGGCTTACAACCACGACCCCGAGGTGTATGAAAACCCATCAGTCTTCGATCCCGAGCGATTCTTGAATAACTCGAATTCCAACCCTGTTCCCGATCCTTCCAATGTGAGCTTTGGGTTTGGACGACGCATCTGCCCTGGTCGTCTGGTCGCAGACATCTCTCTCTTTCTAACAATCGCTCATACGCTCGCTGTGTTCAACATCACTAAACCTTTGCGAGAGGATGGACGGACAGCTGAGCCTAACGTCGACTTCACTCCAGGAATCATATGTCATCCCGAGGACTTTGATTGTGTATTCTCACCGCGAAGCCCTGAGCACAAAAAGCTGGTTGTTGAATTCGAGAAAGCACATCCCTTTGAGAAGGGCGATGCCCCGTATTTGAAGGAAATTCTCACGGAAAGGAAAAGCTACGCCTAAGCCAAGTTTCTCATGTCTTGAGTGTATGAAACTCACTCAACAAGGTCCTGAAGCGGGCCAGCTCCTGTGATCGAATTTGAAGGTCAAATTTGAAGAATCAACTTTTCTTACACAATGTTGTGGAATTCCCGGCTTTATCGATTGAACCTGGAAACTCGCGCAACTATTTGCCTATTTGCCCCATGATCCAACAAGTCATGTGTTGATGCTCGAATTGTTTCGTATATTCTCAAAGTGCCCGTGTCCTCCAGGGCCTGAGAAGGGCTTGGCATGTGCAAACCAAACTCCATAATTAGAATAAACCTAGCTTACAGATCCTTCAACCTCTAGGAGGTGACGTCAAATATATCTCTGCTTGGCTGTGGCAGAGGACTGGCTCAGCGTGCGGCTCAGCTGCCAAGCAATTAGTCGAAATGATGCCTGACGCTAAATTATACGATGGCTTGGCAGTGCAAATTTCCTATTTTGGAATTGAGAACCTTTGGGGGGCCAATCTATATAAATAGAGAGAAGAAGAGAGATGTCTTTTGCTATTAATCAAGCTCAGAATCCGGCCTCATCATGCGCAGCACTCAGTTTATTGCCTTCCTTCAACTTGCCTTTGCCGGCAACATGTTAGCCAGCGCCACAATCCCACTCGTCTCAACGGAATTCGGTACTGTATTCGACGCACCCATGAAAATCGGAAATCAAAGCTTCCAAATGCTAGTCGACACCGGAAGCAGTGACACGTATGTCATGGAGAATGGATATACCTGCATCAACGCAACTACCAACGGTCAACTTCCCCAAGAAGACTGCCTGTATGCAAACAAGACCTACCGGTCTTCCCGCACACAACGTCGAATTGCAAACGAAAACTTCGGCATTGAATATGGTGCTGGAATTGCTAGTGGTTTCATGGCTTATGAGCAAGTTTCTCTAGGCAACCTCACTGTCAAGAAGCAAAAAGTTGGAATCGCGAATCGGTCCAACCCTACGGGAGATGGTGTGAACAGTGGTCTGTTAGGCCTTGCTTATCCCTCAATCACATCGGCGCATCCAGGAAACCAAACCGACAACACGACATACTGGTATAATCGTCTGCCTTATGACCCACTGGTCAACACAATGCACAAGCAAGGCCTGATCGAGCCATACTTCAGCCTTGCATTAGCGCGATCTCCTCGCAATCAATCGACTGCCTTCGGAGGATACCTAACTCTTGGAGGCCTCCCTCCGGTTAGCTACATTCCCGAGTTCTCCGTTATGCCAGTGGAGATCATGGACCTTCCATCCAACTTCACTTCCGGCAAGGGTGTACGCTCGTATTGGGCAACCACTGTAAAGGGGGCCACCTTTGGTGTCGAATCGAATAATATCACCACGGTCGCACTTGACTCTCAGGCTTTTGTCGACTCTGGAAACTATATCACATATCTGCCAGCCTCCATTGTGGACAAGGTTAACGGCCTCTTCTCGCCACCAGCCGTGTTTAACGAGGAGCTACAAGCTGCACTCGTCGACTGTGCTGCCGAACCTCCAAAGTTTGGGCTGACGATTGGGAATCAAACTTTCTTCCATAATGGTTCTGACCTCTTGTTTCAAATTTCTGACGGAGTTTGCGTAAGCAGTCTCGTTGCATCAGAGAAAATTCCTCTTGATATATCAGTCAATGTCCTCGGTGTTTCTTTCTTGAAAAACGTGCTCACCGTTTTTGACTTCGGGCGCAATGAGATGCGATTTTCGAAACTGCTGGACGTTGGAAGGAATCAAACACGACTGACTAGTAATGGAACTCAGTCTCCTGGAATCTCGAGTGGTGTACGGAGAAGTTTGATTCCATCATGGGGTTTCGTGACTGTGTTGATTTCTTTGGGTCTGACTTTGGTTCTCGGACTTTGAGCAAGTTTGTTTGTATCTTTCAGTGTTTTTACTGTGATAGATTCCTTTTTTCTTTTTCTATCCGTTCTGGGAGATGAGCCGGAGTCAAATACTTACATGACACATGGGGAATAGGTAGCTGCAAGGTGTCTCACTACACTTTTTGTGCATTTTGTCTATAGTTCACATCTCGTAGAAGTTCGCTTTTGTTTTAAGTCTATACACTTCTGAAACTTCAAGCCCCAAGGCTAACTCAATTGGCTATCGGATCTTCCACCAGCTTGAGCTGTCTGAAAGCCTCTTCCAATCCCCCACTTGTGTCGACTATGCCGGATCCCACGTCTTCCAACTTTATCTCCTGCGACTGGACCTCACGGTATTCGGGCTTTAGTAAAAGAGATTTAATGACACCAGCTGCCATTCTGGTATCCCACAGACCGTCGCGCGTGAAAGAGAAGTGCGTAAGCAAGATCGAGAGAGCAGACTCTACAATATCACGGTTGCTGGCCTTCATGCAAATATAGTATAAAACCGCGATGAGGTTTGTAGAGAGTGTAAATTGTCGAGCTTGGCCATTTCTTTCAAGCTCAGTGTCAGTAGATACCAAACTGCGTATCTGTGAAAGAGCAAGATCAAATCTCCGATCGGCTTCTGTTGAGATATTTGCTACTCCAAGAGAGGTGTTCAAAGCCTCTAACAGTACTGCATGGAATACCGATGCTTCAATCTGTACAAGTGCTTTCCGCTGTTGTCCTTGGCAGCGCTTCGATTTTTGGACTGTCTGAAGAGGGAATTCCCCGAGGTCGATCTCCAGTTGTTGAAACTTTTGCTCCAGACTGTAGGCCTCTTTGATGATTCCTAAAGGTATCTCGACTTCTGGTTCCTCCTTGTGGTGTGCAAGTGATATCAAATTATGCATGACCGAATTTTGGAGAATTGTCAACGACCTTTCGAGGTCGAACAGATCATTTGGACACCCAGGGCCGGAAGAGGAATTGAAAGAGTTTGCAGGCTCTACTGCCAAATCAAACCTCATAATTGGGCATCGCTCGTTGTCGAATACACTAGCGTGAACATCCAGACGAGAATATACAGCGACTAATCGATCGAAATTCGGGATAGTAACGAGGCTTGAAGACTCGTCTTGATACCGCTGTAGGAGAGTGAGTCCCCTATCAAGGTGCCATATTGCATGTTGAGTGTTGCCAACGAGACATTCAAGAGTGTAGAATAGGAAGCTGCAGATCAAAGCAACTTCGACCGAGGCATTGCGGGATAAAAGATGCGTGCGCAGATGTTTGTGCGCCTTGTTGATCAATTCAAGATTATTGAATGTTCCCATTGAGGTTGAATCCGCCAGTAAGAAGTTTTTGTACAAAGAGCTCAAAATCACCACCGTGTTTCGAATGACTGCGTGATGCTGGCTTTGCTGCATAATGAGTTCTAACCACATTGTCGTGTCGGATAGCTTTGATATACTTTCGGCTACATGACAGTGGTAAAAATGTAACAATTCGCGGTCCGTACGACTCCCTGGTATCTTGTAAGGAAGGTTGTATATTTCGATTGTAGTCGTTGGCTGAGGTTGTCCGGAAAAGCCGGGACAGGAACGGCCGGTAGAGACACATCTGTGACATTTTGGTCGCTGTTCGTCGCACTTCACCCTCCGGATTCTGCTGGGTTAACTTGCGATTCAATCGCCCCATGGATTTTGGCACTAACTTGCAGGTGGTACATCCCGATCGGACCTTGGGCATGCTCCGACGTGGTCGTTTTGTCAGCATTGCTTCTATTCACGGTGCATCAGAGGCAGGATAACGGTTTGAAAAGAGGTTACTTGCTGAAATTTGAGATAATAGGGCGAAATATTGTCCTTGAAATGTAGCTGCCTACCCTATCGCAGCCTCAGTTGAATCAAGGTATCATACTACTCGAGACTTGATATTCCCAAGTAATATTGATCGATCACTCATAAACGATTCTAGTGTTTCACCAGTAGGGGCAGAAAATTAAAAACTTGCACCACGCCAGATCCATTCAAATTGGATTTTCAAAAAAAGAAGTTGTATGAAAAACATCAAGCAAACAACCATGTCTTAAGAGGTCACGTGCTACATTGGATTGGGGGCGGCCCCCTGAAAAGAGTGGGGGCCACAAACGTACACAGGCCGCGCCCATTTCATGTGTAGCTCTGCGCGGGGCCATATGGTATTATCTCACTACAAGATGTGCTTTAAACGACACCTTAGATTTTCTCAACTCCTTGCTAGCTTGCCTTTTCTCCAAACAATATTGTTCAGCTCAGCAATGCCCTAAATCCAGACTGTCCTCATTTGGTTGACTTAATATTCATACTCACTATTACAACTTCTGACGGGACAAGAAACATCGAGGGAAATTAAAATCTAGATTGTGTTCTTAGCAAGTAAATGCCAGACCAGCTACGAACAAATGAGGTACACAGGGAGAACAAAGTCGTCCCACCGACGCAATTCTCGTTGAAAGTTACTTGGTCCTTTACCTCAATGCTGATCACGTCGGAAAATAAACTCTGATTAGATTAGATTTTTATCTGAGTATTTGAAATTCGTTGCTCACCCATTTGACTAAAGTAATTGAATCTTTAAGGTAATCTTGATATCGGGTTTTACGCAGACCCCGATTTCGGAACTAAGCTGAGTGCAGATTAGCCTAATTGCTGTGACGTGTGAACTTTGGATTGCAATAGTTTTCACATTCATATTGATGCGCCAGTCAGATTCAGAACCCCCGGGACAATGGAAGACCTCTGCAACAGGTCGTGGTCGAATCATTGGTAGCGAAACCGACACCAACGACGTGTTTAATACTCTCCGTTTACTGTTCTCAATTCGTTGCGACTAGGAGTGATCTCATACATTCTGCAGAGAGAATGCTGCCCTTGGTCCGAGTGATCCAACACTGCATATGGGTTTGCAAGGTTAAGTTTCAGTCTCATGAAAGTGATATTTCTCGGGAGATAACGCGGCAACCGAGGTGAGCAGAAACGGTAAGAGAATGGCAACATCACACACCCCTAAAATGAAGGGCTTGGGCCGCGTGAAATCGAGCAAGGTGGCCTGTGGAGCAGTGAAGTTCATTTCAGTGCAGGTACGTGCATCTCAGTGCATGCTGGTGCATGCTGGTGCATTTACTCCACCAAAAAGACTTGAAAGTGATAGGCGCTAGCAATGACCCTTACCCGAGATAGCAGAAGATCGCCATTCTAGTCGTGATGCAGTCTAGCATATGGTGGGGCATTTCCCCCGCAGAGGGTGTCAATCTCAGTCGATCTATGGATCTGATTTAGATTTGCATATGTAGGTCGTGCTTGGATTGACGAATCGACAGGTCCCTTGGCATGGGCTCACTGGAGGGGAAGCGAGCTCCAATGAGACTAAGGTTCCCGTGTCATTGAGCAGGTTTCATCGTGGACAATCTGACACGGCTCACTCAATCAAAACGAAGAGAGCTGGGCTTGTCGTCAATTGAAAGTTTCTGGAAGAGGGGCCCGACAACTCTTTGGCTCGTTTATCCCCTCAGGCAACAGTTATGCATAGGCGGAAAGGTCAGGCCCAGGCTTCCGGGCGTCCAGAATTATCACCCACCGACATCATCGATCGACTGAAACGTCACTCTGTCCGGAATAATTCGTCAGTGACCCCGCATCACGCCATTGCATCCGGCATATCCTGAGGCTATTGCTATGGCTGAGACTATAGGTGGTCGGATATAGTATAAATAGGGTGTTGTCGCCGAGCCCAAAACTCCCAATGAACTTTCAACTCACGCCCTCTCCAATCTCACAAACAGATCACACAAAGCCCACGCAACAAAGCCCAAGCATAAATCCCCACGCGACAATTATACGCCCAATCTCCAATCACAACCCACCATTTGCACAATGTTGGCCCCAAACACATCGAATGAGCTCTACCTAGGACAGGCCCGGGCCAGTGGCAGCACAAAAGACTGCATGGCCCTCTACGACCGATGGGCCGAAACCTACGACGAGGAAGTCACCGACGAAGCACAGAACTATGTCGCCCCAGTACTCGTCGCCCAAGCCGCCATCAGATACGGACTGTCCAAAGGCACCACAGACAGCGTTGTCCTAGACGCCGGCTGTGGAACAGGCCTCGTGGGCGTGGCGCTCGGAGCCACGAAAGCAAAGGCAATTGATGGAATCGATCTATCACTGCCAATGCTTGCCGTCGCCCGGAAGACCGGCGTCTATCGGGACCTCTCGGTAGCGGATATGAACGCACCGATTGCCAAAGCCGACGAGACATATGATGTTGTGTCTTGCGTTGGCACATTCACACTCGGCCACGTTGGTCCGAATCCCGCATTGCGAGAGCTCATCCGCGTCACCAAGACAAAGGGTATCGTGGTTTCAACAATCCTTGAAGAGATCTGGGTTCCTGGCGGGTTCCAGGCCGAGGTTGAGAAGCTCAAGGCGGAGGGATTGGTCAAGGTTGTCACCGACGAACTTATAGACTATGTAAAAGGGCATGGCGACAAGGCCGTGCTACTTATCCTAGAGAAGATCGAGAGGATCTGAGAGAACACAAACCCAAAGCGACATACTGCCCCAGCGACGCAACCTTGACGTTTGGATTTATGGGATTTTTTTTTTCAACGCCCCCAATGCGACAATGATAGGATCTCAACATCCTACACTCCAATGCAACAAACACCGGGTCTAGCGCGAAAGCAAGTTATTAGAAGTTTAGTACGGAGTAACATCCCAGAAATTAAATCAAACTAGACCGAGTCCAAGAACCTGTACTGCTGGAACCATAACAAGCCAATTATTGACTTGCAAGGCCAGGGTGTGCTCATGCGGGGACTCTTAATTTGACTTACGCCCAAGGCGCTAGTGCGCGTCAGCAATGCGGAGCTGGCGGGGCAGAGAGATCCGGTCCATATGATTTGCGATTATGTAAGCTGAACTGGGCGTGAGGATGAACAAATGGAAAGCCCGGTGGAATTGATGATACAAGTTGTGAATGTCGAGCCAAAAGGAGTATTAACACAGACCGTAAATCAAAATCAAAATTTTACCAACACCATGCTGTGCGATCGGGGCATCAGTCCCGGAAAGGGAAAAAAAAGATATATACAAAATTTGGTATCATGCAAGATTCATAAGAGTTTTCAGGTCGTTCAGGGAGAGTGGTTTGATGAGATATTTGTCGATGCCGGCTGTGTAAGCTTGATGTTGGAAACCGGCGGAGGAAACTCCAGTAACAGCCATGATGCAGGTTGGTGTGAGGCCTGCTGCACGTTCATATTCGCGAATTTTGCTCGTGGAGACAAGGCCGTCCATAACCGGCATTGAGATATCCATCAAGACAAAGTCGTATCTAGAGGCAGATGCTTTGTACTTCTCAAATGCGATCAGACCGTTGACGGCTGTTTCGTAGCTGCAATTGATTTTTGCCATGAATGTGGCCATTATCTGTGGTGTCTTAGCTGGTGGGTTCAAAATATGGCGGGAGCAAGCGTCTACGCCAGCGGCGAAAAGATCAAGTCCATACCTTGAGGTTGATGTCGTTATCATCTACAATGAGGACATGCGCCAAGGATTGCTTGGTGGGTGGGTGGGGTGTAGAGGCAATCAAGTCGCCAGAAGAGCCCGTTGTGTCCAAAGAGGCAGCGGGCAACGTTCCCTCAACATGATCCAATGCAGCATCCGACGGAAGCGCATCTTCTGTCAAAGGGGGACACGCCAAGGGTGTGACATCAGGAAAGGCGACGGGGACAGCTTGGAACGTTTCCTCGCGCCAGGTTACAAATCGCTCCACCGCGTGGTAGACTTTATGTGGCCCAAATCTGTCGAAATGATTAGCTTGCAATTCAAAGGTGTAGTTGGGGTATATTTACGGTTGAGCGATGCGAACGACATTGGCTGAGAGTTTTGGGGTGATTGTAGCATTGTCATCACTGAGCACGAAAAAGAATTCGACTCCAAATCGAGCCGCTATGTCAGCGACACTTTGCTTGTATTCAATCGACGCACGATTCAGTATTTCCTCTTCGATGACAACAACTTGGCCATGGGCTTCTTCGATAGAATCAGCGAGAGAGATGGTCCAGTTGAGGTTCGTCATGAATATACTCGCGAGTGTGCTTTGTATGCAAAGCTTCCGCTTGCCCTCAATGGTAAGTATGCCGGTGGGCGTTTCGGTGAGATCGGGGTAACCATTGAATCCGACCAAACACGCATGGATGGGACTTGAACAGTTGTCAACAGCTCCTGGGACGCATTGCGAATTTTCATCGGCCATGGGTGGAAGATATTGGACCGGGAGATAGACATCAGCTTGAGTCCCGATGCCTATCTCGCTGCGAATATTGACGTGACCTCCCAGCGATGTCACCAGTTGATGAACAGTGCTGAGACCCAGTCCCACGCCCTCGGAAAGCGGATCCTCTTGAGAGAATGGGACAAAGAGTTTGTGTTTGATGAACTCTGCCGCAATCCCTCGACCGGTGTCTGTGATGGACAAGTGGACAAGAGGCTGAGAATCGGACGCATTGGTAGTCTTTGATAAAGACACTTCAACGAATCCGACCTCCGTCCACTTTATCGCATTGCCGAGGAGATTCATGACTATCCTTCTCCAGGCACCTGCAAGCGATCGGATCCTCCAATTATCGAATCGGTCATTGCGTATGACAACAGACATCTGGCTGGTGGGATTGAGCTGAGCCGTGTCAGAGCCAGCCATGCCCGCGTCGGAGGACATCTTGCGGGATCCTTGCGTGAGTCGTAGTGGTGCTCGATGACCAGTGTATAATATGTTTGCGACCTCCTCCACCAGTTCACTCACATCGAATTCAGAGACAAGATTGGAAATGTCGTTCTCAGATATGCTGCTGAGTTTGTTGGACTCTCGTAGATTGTTGACCTTGCAAAAGTCCAGACTAGAAGCGATCAGCATATGGATCCATGGATTGCACCGAATCAGTCATACTTACATGTGATTCGTTGTGTCCAACAAGGTCAATGCGGATTTCTCGATCATGCCGACCATGTCATTTTGTACTCCGTCCAGAGAAGTGGCGTTCAACAATTCGGCACTCGCCAAAATTCCGTGCAACGGAGATCGAAGTTCGTGGCTGACAGAGGAAATGAAGTCAAACTTCGACCGCTCATCGCTGGCCCAATGAATGCGAGAAACCTCCGAGATGATAGAGTCTCCGAAGACATTGAAGTAGTGTAACTCCTCCAATCCTAATGCTCGAAAGCTGCTGTTCGTCCATGCTAGTATACCGGAGAGCCAACGGGACTTGTTCCAGTCCCATAAAGGTAGGAATATAGCGCTTTTAGCGTCAGGGATACGCTGCGCCAAGTGCTTGGATAGAGCAGGCTGGCCAAGGCACTCAGACGTGGAATTCGAAGGATTCTGGCGACCGAAATTCAAATAATCTTCCTCGGCAATTTCCTCAACTTCGGCATTCAAGTTGATCACCTGGCCCTGGGGACAAGCCCTTAGAAGCTGGTGTAAGAGTCCATTCGGGATTTCTGGGGTTAGGGTGGGGATATCACCGCTTGGATTTGACTTCAGAGCACAACTAAGGATATCACTAGCGCGCTTGAACTCATGCGACACAACCCGAGGCAAGCCCAGCGGACTAGGCAATGGTGCCGTTGGAAACCGAGAATCTGTAACTTTGGGTAATGGCTCCCAATCTTCAACTTCATCGGGGACACTGGTAACATTAGCAACAGCTACCGCTAAATCTTCAAAACCCAACGTACAAAGCAAAATTCGTCGGACAGGCGTCAAGAAGTACAACACCGTCAAGGTCCATCGATTCTCGGAGCAGCACGCTTGCCCTAGAATAGAGTGCTGCGATTCGCTCGTAAACGGGGGTGCTCTCGGTCATTGACAACTGTGAGATCCCCTTTTCGATGTTCTGTGCTGCCGTGTCCCCCGGTTTCATGGCATCTCCAAGCAATTTTTCCTCCCCGGGACTCAACGCCGTTGGGTGGTCTGAAATGGAATGAAGCGACGAAGGGTCGGTTGAGGATTGATGATCATGTACGAAGAAACCGGATTCTTGGCCGGTGATCGTGGACATAGATGATTGCCCGGAGCTCGGAGTGTCACCATCTATGGGAAATGGAGTGACGAGTGTTGGTGCGGGTTCTGAAACCTCGGGTTTCCCATTGGTTGCTAAGTGCGCAGCACTGACACTCAGCTGAATGCGCCCTCCGTTCGAGGCCTCGGTCGGATCGAACTCAGCATGCTCTTTGGCGAAGTTCGTCAAGCCCTTGACCAGTCGCTCCGCTCGCAGATGGGCCTGCCCTACCCGCACGTTCTCCAGATGATGCCCAATAGCATCAGCCACTTCTTGTAGATCGCTGACCTGATCATCGCCGAACTCCGTCCACGGTTTGTCGTCGACTATGCAGTAGGAGCCCAAAACGTATCCCGTCGCGCTGAACAGTGGCACCTCGGCGTAGAAGCGCATGTGCGGCCATTCCTTCACATACGGTCTGTCCTTGAAGCAATCCTCCTTGGTGAAGTCGCGAATGATGTACCGTGACTTATTGGCGGTCACATTGTCGGATTCGATGTTGTTTGTTTCCCTCCCCGTGAACAAGCGGATAGTGTGAGGACACACGCCCCATGTCAGATCGAGGGAGCGCGCCCCGAGATAGATTCCATTCCCAGGCGCATGGCGATCTTTGTTTCTCAGCGAAACCGATCCCGTTGCCTCCGCGATAATGTGCTGAGTGTCGCCGTCGATGATGGAGACAAAAGAGCGATTGGCGTTGAAGCGCAGGACTCCCAGTTGGGCGAGGGCGGTGAGCGTGATATCTTTGGCCAACTCGCAGCCCGTTGGCTGGTCGTCGCCGGTGGGCACTGCTGCACCCGCGGGTGTCGAGTGTAGGACCGTGCAATAATACCTGTGGGATTCAAGCAATTAGCGGCCTGATCGGAGTAAGCCTACTTGGACACTCACCTCGACAAGTCACGAATACGCTCGCGCTCTCCGTCGACAACTTCCGGAGTCATTTCTCATGACTTTGGACAGTTGCAGAAGATGAAAAAAGGTTCCACATGGAGAAGACCTCGGGAAGTACTCAAGCGATCTAACCGGGATCCACTGACATGTCATTGGCAGATCGAAGACTTTTGGGTCGCCGCTGGGGGTCTTAGTCCGTTCGACGTTTAAGACTCTGCCGATCTTAACTGTGATAGGATTGAATGCATACCCGCAGCTCCATATTGTCCTCGTTTTCATTATGTGAGCTCTCGCCTTCGACGGCTATTCTAGCCTATCCTGCAATTCGTCCTTACGCTAATGCAATTTAATCCTCTTTCGCCCTCTTTCTCGCATATCTACTCCGTACTCCGTACATGGTTGGCACCCTCGGCAATATCGAATTTATTGGCTTGCTGGATTAGAGCAACCGTTGGAATTCATCAGGCGCATGTTGCGCATATTGCGCATATGCAATTCTCGGTGGCGATGACTCTGCCAGCGCAAATGTTAGTTACCTTCATCGCCTCAGGCGTGTATGACTAACATGCGGCAATTCCCCATTATTGAGGGAAATGTATCTATACCGGAAAATAGCTTTGAACATTTCAATGTCTTCCTAGGTCCATTGAAACAAGAAGACTTCAGGTCAGTTTTTCCTTTTTCTCGGTCAGGCGATAGCCTAAACACTAGTACCGCCATAAATGTCGCCACTTCCCGCAGAAGAACCTATTAGGTAGATATCAATCGTCTGATTTCAAAGGGGCGGCCTATATGGTGGGTCTTGCTTGTGGCGAGTGTGAAGTTTTTTCCGCTAGAGACGGAGTGAACTATCAGAAAGGGGACATAGCGTACGGAGTGTACTTTGTACACTTGTGAAGGGTCGAGCAAACTCGTGTCTGTATGCATCCAGTTGATATCTGCAATATACTACGTAGAAATGTGTACTCCGTATGAACGATGAGAACTGAAAATCCTTACTCCGTACTAAATTTTCCGTAGCTGAAATGTCCACGGGTGATCCAATCCACAAGCCGAGGCGGCCCGGGGGGTCTGGCGCTTATCTTTGAGCCGCAATTATGTATACCCGGGCGGCTACGAAAATGTATATATTGTTTTGTCGGCAAATTCTCATTCCTTGTTCGATTTTTACTCAAGATCCCTAATGGATCTCTCAGGTGGTGGCTTGACCAAAAATAACAACAAGCCTGGCCCATTACCCCTGCATTTCCTTCTGTTCATTCATGGATGTTTCACAATCTGGGCCATCAAACTCATCTAGTCTTTCGGACGACACCCGTGGACCCTGTGGGCTCTATCTTCGTGTAAGGCCTCTCTCCAACCAAGTTTGCTGCGGTCCACCCGAGCCGTATTGGGGCCTGGATTTTGCGAGCAACCTAGGCAGCGCTATCAAATGAGTTTCCACTGACATGTCAAATTTATTGTATCGGCGTAATTTCTTATTAATTTGCTAGGCAGTGGGGAGGATTGCCGATATCGAATTCGATAACGAGCCAATCTTCTCAAGCAGTGTCGCAATTTAAAGAAACGTGAAAAGAAAAGCGTACGACTTCAGTTGATTGACGAGACTGCCCACGTGTCTCAAGATTGAGTCTCCAAATATATTCGAAATAATCTATCAATTGGAGAAGTGCCGGACGCTCGTTAGGTATTCCCGAGGTCTCGGTTGGAATACATTCGGATGGTTTTTTCGACATAAATGCGGTAGGTAGAAAATATACTGTCACCGAGTTCAAATGCAATTATGGTTTTCCAATGGTGTCCATCGCGGCGTTATTCCCAAAAGCTGCATTGCGACCTTTATATTTCTAGATGATCACGAATGTTCAAAATCGCATCATGTCCCATTGTCAGGACATTGGAACGAAGGCTAGAAGCCAATGAAACATAGGACCTTTGAGGCTGCTTTCGGAAACCCCCATCATTGGCATCCATCAAAAAACGGTTATCCTACAAAGAAGACGGGAGTAATATTGTCATTCTTGAGCTCATCGTTTCATGAAGCTCAATATTATATATCGGGAACTCGGGTGACAATCAACACAACTTCAGCGTCTTCTGAGGTCGGCATCCCCATTCAACTTCGCTCAGCATTCACTCCAAGGTTGCTAACCTTGGAACTGGCTTATGAAGTAAGAAAAACATTTCTGCATACTTGATGCAACACTACAAATTAGACCCAACAAAGGCTGCCAGAGTGGCCGACTCCCGAGGTCGTCTTGTGCAGTGTATGTTGATAAGGCCACCTGTTAGAGCCACCTTCTTTGGTGACTGACATTCATTAGGGATATTGATCAAAGTTTATGTGGATGACTGCGGCCTCTTCTTACCTAGGACCCTTTCCATCCTCGACGCATTCACAATGGCTCTGAGGTGCTGTCAACCTCCGTGACTAAGCTCCCTGTTCGAGGGGTCCCGAGGTCTGTCCTACCTTCCTTCCTATTCTGGAACTGGGGCTTCTTCCAAGGTTCCTCTCTTTGTTTGCTCGCCCATTTCCTTTCCTCTCTCCCTATTGTCTATCTACATCGCTTCACTCACGCATCAGCTTCATTGCGTGTTGCTACTGCATGTCATCTACGTTGCTCTTGTGCTTCTGCTTGTTTCGTAGCCCTGAGCCCTGCCTGCCTTCTAAAGGGTCGCAAGCCCTTCTAAGACCCCTCTGCCTCATTCTTTGCGGAAACATCCAACGAATTTGGCTGATATCACATTCCAAGTATTTGGTTTGGTAGTCACTTGACTTCCAATGGATAGGCGCTGGATGCGTGATATGAAGGTGAGCTCCAACAGAGAATTGACGAAGGTTGAAGTGTAGTTGCAGAATCGAGTGGCGGCAATTAAAATGAATACAATCGGTCGTCAGATAGCCTACACGCGCGGAAAAAAATCGGAAGTTGCGTTGGAGACAACTTTGCTGGCATGGCCTGGTGAAATTATGTAAAGCTTGCAGGATGAAGTTGAACTCACATGATAGGCTGTTTTGTGATGCTGTCAACATGATTGTGTGATAGACGAGGCGTTTCAGGCAGACCTCGGGAGGAGAGTGGCCGAGTCTGTGCATCGACAAAAGATGGCCACGGACATGGCTCTTGGTCGAGATTACCGTATGTCTCGGCCTTTTTCAAAGCTCTCTTTGGCTTGTATTCCGAGCAGACATGATAGAGGCTCGGCCTCAAGGTAATCCCTGCCACTTTCTCATGCTCGCGCTTCCAAGGTTGAAGCATTAATCAAGGTGCTATGCATTTTGTGAAAACACCAAGTCAAGTACCGAAAGGCATATAGACCTTTTACCGACTGAAACGGACACGTCAAATCAGCATTGGCCTTGTACATTCATTTGCTCCTGTTGGGTGACTGGGATTGATAGGACGTTCATCGGTCATTGCCTGTAAAATTGTCATCCACCTCCGCCCCAGTTGACAAATTTCCAAATCTCAATCCATGGATCTTCACGGCATTTGCTTGCCGAGACACGAATGATTCCCACAAAGTGTAAGAAATTCTGGAACGCTCTCAAGCAGAGTGATATCACGGCACAGAAATGCCAGGCATTCAATCCAAGGTAAAACACAATGTTAGCAGAACTGGAACTTATCAACAGATAAAAAACGACCGCATTGCGTTGGGTTGGACGCGGACGACTGACACAATGCAAATACAGAGTATCAACATGCCTGTTGTCGACCGCAGAGAGAGAATACCATAAATCTGAAAATGGCCGACGAAAAGATTTTTGTTATCAAATTCTTAGACTGATCAGAAGGAAGTCACCCATGTCTTCGGTAATCGGAACACAGGGGTATTCCAAATCAAACTTGATATCTTGCGAGTGCTGAGGGGAACATCTCGCTCTCGCTTCCGGACTCGTTCTCGGTGCCGTTCTCGCTACTTGCCTTTACGCCGGCTTTTCGCTCTCGCTTTCGCTCTTTGATGCGTTTGGCTCATAAAACCCCGAGAATCCATACTCTCCACAATTATCCTTCGGTCCAACACTCCCGGCCAGAGGAACTAGTTCACGGGTCTCTTCTTTACCCCGGATATGATCCACATAGTGGTCCCTGCAGCTCAAATATCATGCAAGCTAGAGTAATCTGGCCCCTCCCATCAACCTCGGAGATATTGTCTTTTCCACTTTACATGTCCCATTTCGTGAAGGGTCCATCGCGATTCGGCGGATCCTGGGATGATCCCAATAGTAGCCATATCATTCATATCAGAAAAGAAAGTTCAGTGCCAAACAAGGAAATAAACAACTAGTTTCCTTGGCCTATGCATCCATTTCTGGGCTTTGGGCTCAAGTTGGTACCTCCTTTCCTCGGAATCGCGAGTTGCCGACATGACAGCTACAGGCTATAAAAGGCCCGTCGTTTGCCTGAAGAGATGCTGGATTATCCTTCATTGAGCAAGTCTTTCATTCTACAAATCTTTCAAAGCTCTCCATCCCCAAACAATGAAGTTCACCAACCTTGCTCTCGCCGGCGCTGCGCTGGGTGTTGTCAATGCCGGCCCTGTTTCCAAGCGTGCCATCACTGACGGTATGTATTTGTATTCAAGCGATTGACCTACGACTAAGACTTTCTTTCGCTAGCCGACATTCTCAACTATGCTCTCACCCTTGAGCACCTCGAGGCTGCTTTCTACGAACAGGGTCTCAAGAACTACACCCAGGCCGACTTTGTCAAGGCTGGCATGAAGGATCCCTTCTACGCCAACTTGAAGGAGGTCGCTTCTGATGAGGTCGAGCATGAGACTTTCTTGACTTCTGCTCTGAAGGGTAAGTCTTCCTACAAAAATGCAATTCCCAAAGAGATATTGACTTCGATTTCAGCTGCCGGTGCCTCTCCTGTTGCCCGCTGCACCTACAACTTCCCATCCACCGATGTGAACAGCTTCTTGGCTCTCGCCAGTGTGCTCGAGGGTAAGCAACACATTCACTTTTCGATGTCCCTCTTCTAACCGCGAGCTCAGGTGTCGGAGTCAGCGCTTACCTCGGTGCTGCCGCGCACATCATGAACGATACTTACCTCACTGCGGCCGGCAGCATCCTCACCACTGAGGCCCGCCACAGCGCCTACCTGCGCGCCGCCCTCGGCGAGGTTCCTTTCGCTCAGGCATTTGACAACCCCCTCGACTTCAACGAGGTGTACACTGTCGCCTCCCCCTTCATCGCTTCGTGCCCCTCCAGCAACGGCATGCTCCCCGTGAAGGCCTTCCCCTCGCTCACCATGGAGTCCATGGATGCCGTCATGACCGGTGCCAAGGTCCCCGTCACCGCAGGCAAGGGCTTCGACACCAAGGCGACCGACATCAGCGCCGCCTTCATCACCGTCACCGGACCCGTCTGGGCCCCCATTGAGTCCATGGGTGATGGCAAGTTCACCGTGACTGTGCCCAAGGGTGTTGCCGGTCAGAGCTACTTCGTCCTGACCAAGGGCAACACACAGGCGACTGATGACAACATTGTCGCCGGTCCGGCCATCGTCGAGGTAAATTAGCTTGCTAGCATTTGCGCTTTTGGTCGGGGTCTCTGTTCCCCTTTATGTTTGCAGGGCTGATACTTGATTTAATAGGTTGGCAAGAAGGGCACTATGGGTACCCCCAGCGGTATGGCCGCCATGGGTATGGGTGGCAAGCACAGCAGCATGACTATGCCCACTCCTTCATCGTCCATGTCCGGTGCTTGGACCAGCTCCTCTGCCACTGCCTCTCCTTCTGCTTCTCCCATGTACACTGGCGCTGCTCAAAAGATGTCCGGTAGCATTGTCGGTGTTGCTGGTGCTGGACTGGCGGTCGCTGTGGCGCTCCTCTAAATGTAGGAGGTGATTTTTGGCCTGTGCAGGTGATTATGTCGCTCCATTGTCGCTCCATTGGATTGGAATTTTGATATTTGTTATAATAATAGCCATTGGCTTGGTCTGAATATTACTTGAACTTCATTAATGTATGACATCGCTGGGAATTTACCAAGCAGGGTATGAAGAAGGTCAAAGATTTCTCTGCATACTTACATTCTTCAAAGTATTGGCTTGAAAGTTTAGTGGGTCAGAAGTGTAGTAAACATGTACAAATTTTAACACCGGTCGGCTTGGCCAAAATACCTTAACCTACAGCTGCATTCAAACCCTGTGCATATTAGGTTGAGACTATTGCCAGGCTGTTATAGTGAGACATAAGACCATACAATAACAAAAATGTGATCTGGCAGACTATGTGAGGATCCCCAGGTGGTTCTAGACCCGAGTCACATGATACTACGAAATGTCTCGGATAATTTCCATCTCTTCCTTTTTCTACTCGCTCTGTCCCTCCTGTTCTCCCTGATTGGACATCAGCATGGTAACTAACTTTAAGGATGCCCCCTCTTCGAGCGCACACCAAATCTCGCAACGGGTGCGACCAATGCAGAACTAGGCGGGTCAAATGTGACGAGCAGGGTCCACCATGTACCAATTGCACAAATCGCGGACTAGAGTGTACTTACTTGAAAGTCGCTGCCCGTACAAATCGCACTCCACCTTCAACTTCCGAACGGTCGCACGGCCGTTCACCTGTCACAACCACCGGCCCGCCCCAGGCCAATTCATACGGCATCGACAATTTAGAATTGATGCACAAGTTCTCCACAGACACATTTCAAAGTCTGTGTGTAAGCGACTCAGAGACTCAAATCTGGCAAATCACTATCCCCCGACTAGCACTCAAGAATGACTACCTTATGAATGGTATCTTGGCGCTGGCTTCCATGCACATCGCCACATCCGCCGAACCAGCAGAGACCCTGCTGTACAACGATGCTGGGCTACAGTACTACAACCGTAGTCTGACCCCGTTCCGCAACGCGATCGACAACATCACGCCGCAAAATTGCAACGCGGTTTTCGCGCATTCCATCGTTATGATCGCGATCACCATCGCGTCACCACGTCTTACTGCCACAAAAGACGACACCACGAGCATTACTGAGAACATAGTGACTCTTTTCGAGCTCCTTCAGGGTGTCAGGAAGATTATGCAAGTGAGTCAGTCGTGGATCAAACTGGAGCTCTTTTCAAAGGGCGAGTTTTGGAAGAAAACGCCCGAGGAACTCGACCCCGACACGGAATCGGCACTGGTGCATCTGTCGGCGCTGAACGACGAAGTCATGGTTGGAATATATTCGGAACAACATCGCATTAACCGGGAGGTTATTTCGCATTTGCGGCACTGTTATGCAAAGTTCGCACGCTCGCCAGACCCCGCGCCTGTGCTTGCTTGGCTCGCGCGGGTTGAAAAGGAGTTTGTCGATAGCTTAAGATGTCGGCAGCCGTTCTCTCTGCTCATCTTGATGTACTGGGGTGTTTTGTTGACGGAGCTGCACGGCAAGCGGTGGTGGGCGAAGAACTCGGGCAGAGCCCTGATTGCTGAGCTGCTTGATGCTCTGAGATCGGGGGATCCGAGGTGGGAAAGAGCACTTTCATGGGTTGAACGGAAAATGTCTTAATGGGAAGGAAGTATCAAACTTGATCCGGGGATTAGCATCGAGGACAGGCCAGTACACGGGCCTCTACTCGATCGGCTGATTTGTACATATAGCATATTTGAATAATACATATGAAGTTATGTAACAGGGTGACAAAGATGGTCGGTTGTTACCGGTGGTTGGTTGGTACCCATGGACCTACCCGTGGACTGCGACGACCTGGGAGACACGTATAGCGGGGCCCTGGGAATGTCAGAACGTCAGTTTCGACCTCGGGGTACGCCTGGGCACTGATATTTTGGCCTACGTGGCAGAGTTCACGAATTCGATCCATATGGAAGCTATTTTTTCGCAGTGCTCGAATGCCGAGGCACGCTGGTATAATCCTCATGTGGCTTGGGCTTCGAATCGGGTAGACACATCAACGCATTGCCCAATGTACAGAAACAGCGAACAGAGAGATAAGACAAGGTTGACCTCGGGACAGTGTAAATATTCCAATTTCTTACCATCCATGGCACTAGTGGTCCTGGGGTAGAGGCAGATAGTTCGCGATTCAATCAGTCGGGAAAAACTCGAGTAGACATAATGTTTGCTCGCTTTTCATTTGACTCGAGTGACGGAATGCGAGAGGGTCCTTCTATTGTTCGATCCAAGTCGGCAAGGCTTGGAATAATGGGGCAAGTTGATAAGTGTCTTGGTTCACGACGACAAGAATCGTACGGTTATGATAGATAAAACCGCACCACGAACGGACAGGGGCTCATACACTCCGACTTTGTTGTCAATCTTCGGTGAGCCGCTAATGAACATTTGGACAGGACGCCTATCATGAACTAAAACGAGGTGGGCTTAGTAGGTTTCAGGTCTCACGCTTATTCTGCGCCCTGACTACAATTTGGGATTTTGATTACCGAAGTTTTTAGAGCACTAGGCTCCTAATTATTGAATTTGGTGAAGAATCCCGTCCTTGTTTTCATACAATGCCATCCCGCAGATCCCCGGTTTCCCCGCATTCTTTAAGCTCAGATCGCATGGCTCAAAATTGAGACATACAACCCTCCCCAAGCCCGGGGCTGCAGGAGTCTAAGCCTCATGTCAATACAGCGTTAGCGAGATCAATTAGACCAATCATTACGCTTGCCTGGTGGAAAAGGTAAGGCTCGGATTTGACTTTCTGCAGGCCAAGACAACGAAGAAGATAGTCCGTCACCAAGTCCCTCCAATACACCCCGCACGGCTTCTGGTCCAACGTAAGACATTGGAATTACTCCTGGTACGTCCTGGGAATTGTACTCCGTAGCTTGTGTCGCTTAATATTTAATCTATTTTATCCCCCGCGATCCAGCTCTTTTCCTTCCATTTCACATCTATAGCACAATGGCCCAACCAACTTGCTCTGTCGAGGAATTTACCCGCACCACATTTGACTATGTCATCTGCGGGGGTGGCACCGCAGGACTAGTTGTTGCTGCGCGTCTCAGTGAGAATCCCGACGTGACTGTCGGTGTCATTGAAGCTGGTAAATATCGCATTGGCGATCCATTGGTCGATACACCTGCGGCATTTTCGCAGATGTTTGAAAACCCAGAGTACGACTGGTGCTTGTATACAACCCCTCAGGTATGTGTCTGGTATGCCAACAAGGTTGAATGACAGCACTGAACATTTCAATTTAGGAAGGAAACCATGGCAAGAAACATCACATTCCCCGAGGAAAGCTGCTCGGAGGATCAAGTGGCATCAACTATATGATGTACGTGCGCGGATCTCTGCAGGACTACGACGACTGGGCGGAACTCGCCGAGGATAAAGGCTGGTCAGCGGAAATTATGCAGCAGTACATGCGGAAGCATCAGGTATGCGTAAAATATTCCAGCGGCTTGGGCCGTTCTTGTTGCATTGACGTTAACGTCGTATTAGACCCTCGAGCCCATTGACCCGAAGATCACCGATCGTTCCACAATGCCATTTGTCGGTGGGTTCCACGGAACAAGCGGCCCGGTTCGCACTGGGTTCAACGATACAATTATGCCAGTTGAAAACGACATCATTAAAGCCTGCGAAGAAGTTACCGGGATCCCTAATAAACCTACCGACCCCTGGAGCGGCGATCATATTGGTTTCTATCACACACTGGGCTCGGTCGTTCGAAGTGGCCCCAACAAGGGAAAGCGTAGCTACGCAGCACGCGGTTATTATGAAGCGAACCGAGCTACTCGGCCAAACCTCAAAGTCCTGTGTGAAGCCTATGTCAACAGAGTCGTGCTTGATGGCAATAAGGCCACTGGCGTGAGTCTCACTCACGGTGGAGTTGAATACCAGGTCTCCGCGCGACGTGAGATTGTTGTCAGTGGTGGAACCATCAAGTCCCCACAGATTTTGGAGCTGTCGGGCATCGGTGATCCCGAGATTCTTAAAGCTGCAGGTGTTGAGTGTAAGGTTTCTAACACGGGTGTCGGCGCGAATGTGCAAGATCACAATATTACCCTTGCACTGTTTGAGGTTCAGCCAAGCGTTGTGACGCTGGATACCCTCTCTCAAGTCCCTGAGGCAATGGCGGCTGCGGGTAAGCAATATGCGGAAGAGAATGGCGGACCTCTAAGCTGCATTGCCAGTATGCAAGGCTTTTTCCCCGCAAAGAAGATCCTTTCCGAGGCTGAGTTGGAAGAGGTTATTCAAAGCATTCGCGACGTCAAGCCGACGAGCGCATTCCACGAGAAGCAACTTGCGCAGATCATTGCGCACCTTCAAAGTGACAGCTCTGCTAATCTCCAGCTTGTCACTGTGCCTGTTTCCATGGAGCGCGATGGTATTGAGCACCAGAGTGTTCTTATTCCTCCGCGTGCTGCGGACAAGCCTGCCGGTGTGACTTTCGCTTTGTGCCTGCAGTATCCCGTAGCAAGAGGCACAATCCACATCGAGAGTTCTGGTAAGCTATTCTGACACACTCATGTTGATGCGCATCGCAATGCTGACAATTCAGATCCTACCAAATCCCCCATTATCGATCCCAACTACGGCGGTCATGCTTCGGATGTCTCCCTGCTGGCAGCGTTCCTTCGCTGGAGCGACCAGGTAGCCGAGAACCAGAACTTGAAGCCTTCAATCATCCAGCGTGCCATTCCAGAGCCATCAGTCGACCTCCAAGACTTGGATGCGGCACGCAAAGAAGTGCACAATCTTGTTGCGGGTGAATACCACATCTGCGGCTCTGTTGCGATGGGAGATGCGCTCGACAGCAGGCTTCGAGTGAAGGGTGTCGAGGGTCTGCGTGTTGCTGATGCCTCGGTCTTCCCAAACAACGTATCCGGAAACATTGTCAGCAGTGTTTATGCTGTCGCGGAGAAGGCTGCGGATTTGATCCGCGAGGATTGGGATTTCAGTGCCAAGAAATTGATGGTATAGTCATCGATTATATACGCCTCAACAGTGCGAAATCAACATCATGTTTTCTGGATCGGACTTCGAATATGTGTTGTGCGGTAGAGTGTTACTTGCGTATCTGCAACACGCGTACTCCGTAGATACCTCAATGTCTTACCTGTATACTCTCGTTTCATTGTGGCTTGAACCTCGGGAGAGAAAGCTTGGTTGGCGTGAGAAAAGGGTTTTGTGATCAACCTTAGACCCTCATTGATCCTGTCTACACATGTTCGCCATGTGGGGGTCGGTCTGGCCCATTTGAGTGGGTCTAACGAGGTAACTGTGGCTTATGCATACAACAAGTGTTTAGAATGCTCAAACAATCGTGAAACGGTGAGAACGTGTGTATTCAGCACGAGTAGACAAGTATAATCAAGGCCAAGGCCCGTCAATCTTCCTAAGTTATTCGGGTGATAATCGGACAATATGCCACAGCAAACCTCTACAGGTCTTAACTTACTAAGGAATTCGACTGCCGTGCCTCATTCACCGGAGCATTGGAGGTGGTACAAAGGGGATTTGAAGGGAAATGAACGAACTGATCCCTCAGATACGGACATGAGTAGGATTCATCTGAATTTCTCAACATCAACGAAGAAAAATCTGGCAAGAAACAAACAAGTTGGAAGAACGGAGATATCAGTGGGTCACCTGATCCTCTCATCGAATTGACGACGCACGTGCGTGCTCGAGCTATCCGCGCTAAGCCCAAACCGGATTAACGACGTCTGGAGTCTCCTCCAATAACCTCGAGCTCTCCTCGCTTCTCGAACTTATTTTCCTCCCAAGGACTTCGGATTTTTTCTATTCTGACCAAGCAGTAAAGAATTGCACCCTGACAATGTCCAGCCAACCTCTTCTCCAAACCGCGCCTGGTAAGTTCTACCAGCATCCTTGTTTCACCAATTCCCGCTGACAATCATAGGCAAGCGAATTGCCCTGCCCACCCGCGTCGAGCCCAAAGTCTTCTTCGCCAACGAGCGTACCTTCCTCTCCTGGCTCAACTTCACCGTCATCCTGGGCGGTCTCGCCGTCGGCCTCCTCAACTTCGGTGACCGTATCGGTCGCATCTCCGCCGCCCTCTTCACCGTCATCGCCATGGGCGCCATGATCTACGCCCTCGTCACATTCCATTGGCGAGCACAAAGTATCCGACGCCGCGGGCAGGGCGGCATTGATGACCGATTCGGTCCCACCATTCTGGCCATTGCGCTTCTTGCGGCTGTGGTGGTGAACTTCATTCTCCGCATCAAGGACGGCCAGATGAACTGAGTCTGGCAGTGACTTTTGATCTTGAAATTTGAAATTTGGAGAAGGGAGAAGCTCCCGCCCTCTGCTTGTGTGTTTGTGCCCGAGTTGGTACGAGTTGGTTATTGTCATCATTATGTCTCATGGATATTCCGGCGTACATGGTCTGCTTTGTGCTTATGAGGCCATGCTTTTCTGTTCATATTGAATCGAGCGTCTGCTTTCATTGCAATTGGCGTTTTGCATGGGTTTTCGTCTAAAATCAAGAATTGGATTCTTCCCACTGAATGGTCGCAAATAATATTCCTCCCAATCTCATGACGTAGCTTTGTCTTGATCGTCATGTCTCGTACATTTATTTACAATAATTCTCGGTCACAACCTCTCCATCCAGATAGCCAGCCTCAATGAATTCAGCAAAGTTCCAGTAGTTCTGCTTCATTCCTTGGCCTGCCACAGTCCCGTTGCTGGAGAACTTGGCCGTCCAAAACGTGCTGCCCTGCGTATACTGCGCCCAGGCAGAGATACCGGCCTTGAGATTGTCACCACGCAGCGAGAGTGTGTTATTACCACCTGCCTCGATAGACCATTCACCCACGAAGACAGGGAATTTTCCATCACCCTTTGTCGCCTTCGCGTCCTTGCAAATGAATGTCGGCAAATTGACCGAAGTCGCGTTTGAATATTGGAAGTAATAATGGTGCGCATCAAACACCAGATTGCGTTCTTTTTCAAAGAAGCCACTCCAGTATGTCTCAGGCTTGAAACTGCCCTGGAACATCACCGGGATGCGGTCATCCACTTTTTCAACACGGTCCAGAACGGCCCGAATATATTTCACCAACCACTTGGCGCCCTTGTCAGACAACGCAGCTGGTGTACCGAAGGTTGAGAAATCACGATTGTCAACTGGCTCGTTGATAGGCTCGATGGTATAGCTCCATGGATTAGGCGAGCTGGCAACAAAGTCTACCAATGCATCGACAGCCTTCAAACTCCAGTCCAACGCAGTGCTGTTGTAATACCAGCCCCAATGGCCGACTGCTTCGCCGATGTCCAAGCCGTTTGTTCCACCGGGCAAACTGTGGATGTCGATTACGACGTGCATGTTGTGCTTGGTAATGGCGTGCTGGGCGATTTTGCGGAGATGCTGTTGCTGTTTTCCATGGTAGAGACGAGAGCCGGGCATGTTGATCCAGGCGGCGTAGGTGGTTGGGATGCGGAGGATTGTGACGCCTGCTGCGGCGAGAGTATCGATATCGGATGTCGTAATGTAGGTCTTATAACGAGCTTCGAAGACAGAAGCACAGGCAGATCCAAGGTTGGCGCACATGGTCCATTCGTCGGCTGCGCCATGAGAATATTTCGCCCACCACGTTGTGTCAATTGTGGATTCTTGCTCGAGCCAGCCGCCGAGATTAACGCCGTACCCGGTAAAGGTACGCCAATCTACATATTGGTCGGCGGTGCTGACTTTGTGTGATTGGGCCTTTTGGGTTGGTGATGCTGCCGCTACATGAAGCAAAGCAGCCACCGATAGCGAGAGAAAGTTGCGCATGGTGACCTCGGGAGTGTTTTAAGTCACAATGACCGTTGGAATGGGCACGAGTAGTGAATGGAATGTGGGTCCGATGTCATTGCGGACATCCATCGGCCTTTTTATATCTGCGTTGTACCACGAACTACTCGCACAGTATGACTTCAGACCACGAGTTGAACCCGTGCAGACACAGATGCACCCCGCTCATGTCCGCAGTGTGGGGTGCAGCCGTGAACAATGTGGCAGACTCGGATATCCCAAGGTGATATACTACGATGATCTCGGAGATTGGTGCTCGGAACCGTTAGGGTGCGATGGGGAGCTCCATATTATTCGGGTTATTGTATGCGACGCTTCATGCGGGCAAGCATTGGCACGGGGCGGCCAAGGATGCCAGGAACCGCTAAGTCGTGACCGCGATCCACCGGTTACCCCAGGATAGTGAGGATAGTCAGGGATGTATGGGACCAGGGAGCGGAGAATGCTAACGAGGCTCCGTGACTGGACGAGCCCGGTGGAGAGCAGGCTAGCATTTTGTTCGTAGGATCGGCTACGTTGCTCGGATTACCCTTTTGTTTTCGGGAGATAATTGTCCGAGGCTCGGATTGTCCGAGAAAGAAGGTTGGGAGGAGGTATATAAGCAATGATCCCCATTCCAGGGCTGTGAAGGTCTGCCCGCGAGTATACTCCGCACTACGGAGTAGGGATACAGCGGTTAATACTTGCCCACGGGGTAACTCCGGAGTATACTACAGAGTAGGTACTTTATTACTGAGAATATACGAATACGAGTACGATCACGATCACGTGAAAGTCCCGGGGGTGATTCTATGAGCTTCCATCGGTTTCCACCGCCTTCCACACCCGGGTAGGCTTACTTCATCCACTTTTCCAAGGCAGTTGGTCGTTAGCGCTGAGATAGGATATTTTTATATTACCAACATTTTATATTAGACTTGGGGCGCAGCGATCGACATCCAGATCCTCATGCCTATTGGACGTTGCCCACCGATTAGGGCACTTTCCAGGTCGAGACCCGCGAACTGGATCCAGTAGGGTCAGGCCTGGGGATTGGGTTAAATTGGGTATAGACACAGCCGCAAGCATCCGAGATGGGAAATCGATTACTAGAGTATGGAGTATGGAGTAGATGATCATTGAGTATTGTATATTGAAGCTGAAGCTGAAGCTGAATACGGAGTAGTAATATTCCATATCTCGCACAATAGAATATGAATACACGGATATGAACACAATATGATAGATCTCCCAGATCTATAAGAGTCTATAGAAGTGTATGACGTGTAATGTTTGAGACTCGTCCAATCGTGCCCCCCCCGTCGGCATCGGTACTTGTGGCCGCCATAGAAATCATAGCAGATCAACAAGTATCACATCATGATCCACCCTGCCATTCCCAACTTCCCATTATTGATTTCCCTTTGTTTCCCCCTTTCTTCTTTCTCTTCCCCTTGATTGTTTTTTTTTTTCTCTACTCTTTACACTTCTTGTTTCCCTTTCTTTTCTTCTTCTACCTTTTCCACCCTCTCCTCCTGCCTTATTAATAGATTTTTCAAGTAATCCTGTCTTGGTCGCAAAGTCGACGTCCATTCCTTATTCCCGTAATACACTGCGCATGGACCATCGATCGACTTATATGCACTCTCATGGCATGTTTCGCTTGCTCCCTTGGCCCTCTGCAATAGGAGGGAACAAGGTGATGGAGGAAGTCAAGATGCTGGCTCCGGCCAACTGCACCACCTTGTCCTCAACCCCCAAACGCAAACGGTCTGATTCTATCGCCGATGCGCCCGCCCCGACAAAATTGTGCACCGAGTCCACGCGCCCGCCCGTTCTTGCGACTGACTCGCTTCCTCCAACCCCGTCAACTCCTTCCAACCTCGCCCCTTCAAATCCTCCGGTCGCATCGCGTCAACCGGCGCAGGACGCCGCCCCCGGTGTTGCCCGACTTCGGGAAACCATTTCCGCCCAACTGAGCTTGGAAGTGCTACTCAAGCACAACGAACTCCGTCTCATCGACCAAGAGATCGCCAAGTGTCAAGTCGCTCTGGAACAGTTGCGACGATGTGGCGAAATTCCCTTCCCGGGCTCCCAAGCCGGCTTGTCCACGGATGTCAGCTCCGGCACGGGCGCCTCACTGCTGGTACCTGGAAATGGTCCAGCAGTCTCGCCGGCCCCGTGGGGTGTCACCGACGGTCCCTACGCGCGACACTACGCCCAGTGGCTGCTGCCTGATCCACGCTTCGACGGCGACTCCGGAATGCTGGCTGGCGCGGTTCCAGAGGGTCGCTCAACGCGTGGTAACCCTGATGTGAACATGTTCGCGTCCAACTCGCGTCCTCAGCGCGGTTCAACGGGTGCGAAGCACACAGCCCTGCCAAGCGGATACCCCATGGTGAAGGAGAAATCTGGCCCTATGCTCATCCGACGCAAGTCAGATGGCGTTCTGGTCAAGTTGGTCTGCTTGGATTGCCGTCGCGACAACTTCTCCAGCACCCAAGGATTTATCAATCACTGTCGCATCGCGCACAACCGCAACTTTGCGAGTCACGATGCTGCTGCCATGGCATGCGGCCAATCTGTTCAAGTGGACGACTCTGGCCTCGTTGTCGGCGGTTCGGCAGAGCCAACCGCCAACCCAACAACCCCAGGCTACGTTCACCCTCTGATTCGCTCGGACGCCGCTTCCCCCTCCAAGGCGCTTCCAACCCCTGCCAAAGACTTTGCTACTCCCTCCAAGCCTATGGCAACCCACGCCTCGGTTGCCACGCCTCCTGCTACTGAACCCACCCGCCGACAATCTGCGCCCGTGAGACTGCCTCCCAATCCAAGCTTCTTGGCTTCTCCTGCCACCCCTCACCTCTCCGCCCTCGCGAAGTCTCGTGGCGCTGGCCTCGACATGAGCAAACTGGTGCAGGAGTTCCAGCAGCCCGTGGACCTAGGTGCTCTATCCGATGACGAATTCGACACGGACGACAGCCGACCTCAAATCCAGGATGTGGGTGCTCGCGCCGGTCGCCAGCCCATGCGCATGCCCGCTGGACAAGCTTCTGAGCCCGAGAGCCGAAAGGCCCTCGATCGCGCTCACCCAATGGAGGAATCAACTCCTTCTCGGCCCCATTCCTTCCTGGACATTTCCATCGCCGGTAAAGCTCAGGCTCTAGAGGCCCACTCTGGTCTGGACCACGCCAACCTCAGTCCCCACGCCATGGAATCCAACCAGGCCCCCAGCTTGGTCAGTGACGATGAAGACGATTACGAGGCTGCTTCGGACTCCGATAGCCCTCCTTCCTCTGAAGCCGATGAGGAAGAGCAGGCTTTCCGCCACATCCAAGTTGAGGACGACGACCGTGCTGCTGCTGCGCCTACCACCACTGAGGCAAAGCCGGGCCCTTCTCTCGCGGGCCCTGCTCCCCAACCCGGACCCCCGGTCCAACCTCTCAAGCGCTCGCGTTCTAAGAAGATGGGAATGGCATTTGACGACGAACGTGTCGGCTATGTCCACCCTGATCAAAAGCGTGACCGCAAACCTTAATGCCTAATATTTGGGTATTCATGTTTATTATCTCTCCTCTCTGTCAGATGTCTTACATCTTACCCCTTTTCCTTTGTCTGTCATGTCAATTACCTCGGATTATCTTGACGATGTCTGAACTCGATCATGATGTGATACGACTCTTCTTATTCTTGTGATGCATGCGTCTCTCCTGTATCTTGATATCTGCTTTTAATGAAGACTTTACGGCCGCGAATGTACATAGCGATGAGATTGAAAAACAACAAAAATGCGACTGGTTTGGCATAGATAATTGAAATCGAAAATCTTTCTCTCGTGCATCGTCTCTCTGTCTTTCCTAGCTGGTGCGGTATATTCTAAGGATTTACTCCGTACCTCGTTCTATACAGCGGTGATTCGACATGTCATGGGATTATAGTATGCATCTAGTACATAACTGTGTTCAACTGCTCCCAATGGATCTAACTACCACTTTTCCTCACATAGATTCTTTATCATTGCCTTGTTCTAGGTTTCTTGATGATGCTGAGCCGACTCATCCATGGATGTGCCCAAAGTACATGCCATTGAGCGTCCTCTTCCCTCACACGCTGGCAGTATTAACATCCATGGATCGTGTCTGCATTCGAGACAGCAAGCAGCCTCCAGGACTACTTCTGAACCAAGACTTTAAAGCCCCTAGTGCTGAACTTTCCCGATCCCATGCTCCATGGTTACTATGCTTAAGCGTACTTGCTCATAGGGTTGCGAGCGAACTATATAGCCCTCCCTATATCGAGGCTTAAAATCAACATTGGATACATTGCCGTCTTCCAGACTTTTATTAATGGGATCAGTTATACGGCAATCCTTGAAACTGCGTCAGGTCCCCCTGGCAGCTTGTCTTCGTCGCTGGGCTCCTGAAGTACAAGCTCTCGGCGATCGTCTCGGCTCGAACGGTCGTATTACGACGACATCATTGCCAATGAGCCCACCCCGACGATGTAATCAGCTCGAATTATCGCATCGGCGATGGATTGTTTGTTTATCTTCAGTCCTGGCGATGGCTTCTTCCTTCCTTTCCCTCCCAAGTCGTGAACCCAAGTCGTGAACCAGCCATCTTGCCTACTACGTACAATCCTCAGTTTTCTTTCCAACTACACGATGAATCCAGAACAAACTCCAAGCGAGCCACCCATTCAAGCACTCAGCATCTCTGGCGGTGCTTTGGATGAAGGTAGCAACCGCTCAGACCTCACACCACCTGGTCCAATCACTCCTCCTCCTCCTCCATCTGCTGCTCCAAGCACGCCTGTCAGACCTGCTGCACCCATCAACCAGCATCGCCATGCAAGTGGCATGCGCTACCACCCAGTGGTCTACAATGGCGTCCTGTACAGGTGGATTCCACAAGTCCCTCTCCCAGTGAAGCTGGAAGCTCGCAACTTCAACAAAATCATGGAGCTGTTCCAGCAGGCCCTGAGAGACAACGGCAACTCAGCATTCCGAATCGGGGTGACAATCCCAACCGAATACCTCGACGGTGCTGACTTCCTGGGATCCGTGTGGCAATTCCTGGACCCATTCATGGACACGTGGGTCATAAACCCAGACCTCACCCGGGACAACCAGGTCCGCCTGCTTGGGGTTGTTGTCCGTCCGTGCACCACGTACGCAGTCGTTGAAATCAACAACTTCAACTGGGACTTCTACCGTGCCCATGTGCAAGGCCACCTCCTCCCAGTGTACACCCTTTCCTTGGAGGGGCTGTCGTCTGTCCCACTGAGGCAGGGATACTGGCGTTTTGAGCGAGATCGGAAGCAAGACCGCCGTGTCCTGGATGAAGTTCAGATGTACTTCAGAAGGCATGGGTATGCGCCTACCCCTCTGCTGGATGTGAACTTGTCCAAGGATCGCCCGCCTGTCTATCCATCGCCGAGGGTGTGATCCTCTGTGTGTTCAGTTGTTGTTTGATTATTGTCGGATGAGTGTATGAGATATTGTTGAAGTCCCCTTTCATGGGGCGCTGTATGAGTAGAATCAATGAGCTAGATAGCTCCGACAACAATGATAATTTTGACAACTCGCTTTGTGTTTCTGGTTGGATAGTGATCACTGTATAGTCACTTCGGTATCAAACTATAGTCATTTCCAAGTTTGTTTTGACTGATACTTCTTTCATCTTCATTTTACCTCTCACTTAGTTAGCCGTCTCTTTGCATGTACTACCGAGCTGTAGTTCCCCTGAAAGTCTGTTTGAATTGATCTCAGCAACCTTGGAAGCAGTGTGCTCATTTTCAGGGCACAATTCGCTCTCCGAGCAATAAAGTGTCTGGGTAAAATCAACACTGTCTATTGAGGTAGGCCGTAATAGCTCTGCATAAGAAAGATCAGCATTGATAGGAGCCTATCAATTGTGTGAGGCAATACGTTGCCAGATTCCGTCCCCCGATTTACTTAGGGCTCAGAGTTGTACAGTGATACAGTAAATTACACATAGTTGGGCCGCAGGATACCATACCTTACATACGTTGCTGGATCGACAACCTCCCGCGCGAGCTCCCCATGAAACTCCTCGGCACTCCAGGCGAAGCTCCATAACATTGAATCGACAAATTAAACCAGTAATTCAAAATGGGAAAAGACGAGCTTTTAACTGGGTCTCAATCCCCACCCAAAGAGGACGCGTCTATCATATCCTTCAGTCCCTCTACAATCAGCCTCAAAACATTCAACCGTCTGCTGTCCTGCTACGAAGCAACCGTGTCGCATGTGCATCAACATAAGGCCTCAACGAAACTAAAGCCAAAATCAGCAAATGGATCGAAGCGCAACCAAAGCGCGTCTGTCGTCAAGACGGAGCCCAGTGCCGAGGAGGAAGCGCAGGTTCGCGAGCAGACGGACAAGTTCCTTGAGCTCGATCGCTGGCGCTACGAAGGTTTGCCAAAGATAGTCCATGAGCGGAAGAATTCTGGAAAAGAGGGGGCCTTTCTTCTCAAGGAGGAGCTTGTCTCTTTGATGGATTGGAAGATGTGAGTAGCCGTCTTTGCGATTGCTAAACAATACTGATCGCGCCCCAGGAAACACGGTGTCTTCCGTCCCGCTTTGATGGGAATGATTAAGGGCAATCCCGAAAAGACTGTCACTCAAGCGACGTCGACAGCATTTGCCACGATCTCAGAAGCAGATTCTGAGACTTTCCCCAAGTCCAATCTAGATACGCTCACTGTGCCGCTTCGAGGCGTTGGCCCGGCTACCGCATCATTGGTTTTGTCGGTCGGTACAGCATTTGCTACTGCCAGCAACCAAATTCCCTTCTATAGCGACGATGTTTATCTTTGGCTTTGTTTGGATCTTCTTCCGCAATTCGCAGGCGACACAGAGAAGCCATCGCATCACAAGAAGCCCAGTGGGGAGTTGATTGCTAAATATAACGTGAACGAGTACCGCGATCTCTGGGAAAGCGTGCATAAGCTACGTGCTCGCCTTGACACAGAAGCAGATGACCATGGGCCAATTTCTCTCTTCGACATTGAGAAGGTCGCTTTTGTGATTCGCAATGTTGCTCTATCGAGTTTTGCTGCTGAAAAAACCGAGTCTGCACCCAAAGAATCAGCCGGCACGCAATCCCCAACAAACCAGACCAAATCCTCTGAAATCAAAACAAAACGCAAGTCTGGAGCTGAGAGCGAGGAGAAGCCGACCCCGACCAGAACAAGCAAACGTCTCAAGAAGTAGAAAGATGCATTGGAGCTTTTCAAGCTTCTCGACATTGAGGTCCACAAGCTCTTCTCGTGCTACCTTTTGATGGTTACGAGAGATCATATCGATATACATTGCCTGCCGGGCTTTATGCGCAGCATCCATCGCACCTTCCACGTGAACATTCAATCCATATCAAGCACCCAGGCAGGAAGGAACGAGGGCTGGAATATCATGGTTTAATGAAGCTCGACCATGGTACGAACAGACATATTCCATGTCCCCAGGATCGGATAACCAAAGCCGAAAGTCATCATCATCTTCGGTCTTCCTTACGTCACAGGAGAGCTTTTCAAGGACGCAAATAATTAGTTCTATTGAAATACCACTTGGACTATAATGTATATCATACACCATGCCTACAAATAACATCGCCTTCACTGCGCCTATCAATCCCCCGGGCGAAAGCGTAAAGCTCAAGCACGACCAAATTTGGGCCGGCCTGCGCATGAAGATCCGATCTGCAGAAACCTTCGTTCCGAATGCCATTGAATCCACCACGGTGATCGACGAATCCATTGACCCCACCTCGGGCAACGAAGTGACTGTGCGAGAGGTCGTCTTTGTCGAATCACAACGCAAGGCTCGAGAGACTGTTGAGGCATTCGCACCTTCCAGGGTCATATTCAAGCAGCAAGATGGCAGTACCATTTCGAATGTTGTCAGTGAGAATGCTCATGGGGAGCTTTTTATGACTTATTTCTTTGAATGGAGACACCCTGATGTTTCCGAGGAGGAGCTTCCGGCTTTGTTGAAGAAGGAAAAGAAGATGAGTAGATTGGCTGTTGAAGGAACAATTGCGGTTTTGAGGCGGCTTGTTGATACTGGGAAACTTTGAATTTAGGGGGACTTCGTGGATATCTACTTCCTCGAACCTACAATCGCTTTCCAAGGTTACTGAATTCATTTATGTTAGAGACCATAGCTGGGAGAACATCATGTGACACTATGTAGTTCCCTCTCTCTCCTCTCTCCTCTCTCCATGCGCATCATACATCTCACTTCGCGGATATTGCTTCCCAGTAGACTGTATTCCCCATAGTCTCTTTAGTAGCTGCCCCTCACCACTCCTGTCAACCTGGAACCTGAACGAGATCTCTCCAACCTTAAAACTTTGATCGATGTATGAAGCGTGGCACAATGTGTATATGCATTCTGCATGACCAGAAAGCGGGACTACCCATAGACCGCAGATCCTTGGAGGTGCCGGGGTACCATAAAGAGTGCCAATATCAAAGAAACAGATGATATATATCGGTTCGATCAATGGAATTGACCAGATCAGAAGCTCCCGAGGTCTGCTATAGCAGTATGACCCCCACGAAAGCACCCACAGCCCCTAGTGCATTTTCAATACATAATGTCAGGAACAGAAGCTTCGAAATTCGAAAAAGCGTAAGCCAGCTCAAGGTGTTCCAGGCATCTACTATGCGGAGGCTGCTCCTGTCAGCCACATTGGGATCAACCTTGCCACCAAACTGAGGATCAAATGGCACGATCGGCACATCTTCTGTGGGTAGCATAGAAGCAGCGACGCGAATGAAGATTACCCGGGCAGGTAAAGACAATGTAATCCCAGCTATAGTAGGGAGCATAATACCAAGTAGAAGGGATGCGAGGACCTTGTAGCCTGATTCGTTGACAACGTTCTTAGTGATCCATCCAGCACTCTCTGCCACAGAGAACAACAAGGCTATCGTCATACAATTGACAACATTGTACAGAGCAGCCGCGGGAGCAATTCGTGGCCAATAGCGGAAACCAGTAATTCGTCGGTGTTTGGTTTTAGGGGACTTGTCGGCAATCATCCGATGAACACACGCCATTCGCCACGCTGCAAAGGGCATGGTGGCAATGAACTGTACCAGGAACAGACTCAGGAGAGACTCACGATTTAGCGGAGACACAAAGCCTGCTATCGCTGCAAGGACTGTCTCTGCCGCGAGGACAGCCATACACATGCGAAATCCGCGAAAGCATGACCGGATGCCACCGCGGGCATACAAGTATTTGATAGCCGAGCCCAATCCACTTGTGATGGGCCTTTTGTTCAATGAGTCACCGGTCTCAGGGTCCTTTGGACCTTCGTCGTCGAGGCAAATGTACGCGGTTTGATCAACATCTTCGATCGCGGCGAGTACTGTAATCACACTGCAGATGTAATCAACCTATTATGAATGAGCCTCCGTCACTTTTGATCTTTAAAAGCCTTTGATAGCTTACCAAGGCAAGAGCAATGCATGTAATCAAGAAAATGAACAGTTGCAACAATATTTTGTCTGCTTGCGGGACCCGAGCGACTATCACTTGGGTTTCCCGGCGTGCCAGGACGTTTGCGATCAACGACATGATCTGACTGGCAGAAGTTAGAATTTTCGTGTGATAAAAGAATTCGCCACAGTATGAGAAAGGACTTCGAGGTGGGATGTCTTAGAACAATCTTTAGATGCAGACAGCTAGACTCTTTTAGGGCTAGTGCTCGGTGTACACTTCGATCACCGATTAGACAGATCCATGCCTTTTTTATGTTCTCGAGCGCTACATAACATAGGTTATTTTTGATCATTGATGAGGAATCAGAAAATGTTCCAATTTGCCAAAAAGAAAAAAATCTCCCGACCGATCAATCTATAGATATAAAGTTCCGGTATTGCCCCACCCAAAAGGCATATAAAAATCGAGAGCAACCCCAAAGCACCTGCCAATCAAAATATATCGAGGTGCTTATTCTCCTTGGTCCTCGAGTCCATTGCCAGGTGGCACAGGGAAAGGACAGTTGATCAAATAGTTCCGGCAAGGAATATCACTGGGATCGTTCGTCTCGGGCACAATGCGGCCCTCGTTCAGTGGCCATCCAGTGTTGATGTCCTGGCAGCCACCACCAGAGTGGTCTTCGTGGTAGTTGCTGCAGTATCCACAGGTGTGGTCATTGAGGAGGTGGTTCTTGGCTACAAGGAGCGAGAAGTAGCCTTCGTACTTGAAGGAGCGGGCCGCGTTGATCTCGTCGTTGGAGGGAGAGATGGGGTCGTGGTCAACTTCTCCAGTCCAGAGCTCTTTGCCTGTGCAGCCTGCGGTATCGTAGAGGACGACCTTGCCGGGTTTGGCGGCCGCAAGGGCGGATAGAAGGGTCAAGAGGGTGAGGGAAGAGAAATGCATTGTCTTGATGTGATTTGAGTCTGGTTGATGGATAGTCAAAGAGCCAGGAGAGAGGTGCAGGTCTTTATAGTCTTGTCAGAGACCCAGCTCAGGGTCGTGCTTGAAAAAGTCGTGACTAGACATATTCACAAGTCTGGTAGAGATCGACTCAGGCGTCTCATTAGCCATTCCGGAATCATCATCCCAAAAACCGCGCAGAGTCTTGCAAAAAAGGGCATTGATCTGATGCCGGATACGAGGATGTTTTGGGGGCGAAGATGTGGAGGTCAAGCATGATTATATCAAGTATACGCGGGTGGGAAGGGCATACAATTCAATGGCGTTCATTTTTGAATAATTCAAGCTTGAGCGTATCCCAGAATGATGTCTCAGCCCAAATTGACGTAGAGGCTCCAACTGAAATCCGGGGGCGACACGAAGGGGTCAGGCATGAGCGTTGTATAACGTCCAACTCCTCGATGTGCATCATTTCTCCATTGGTCCCTGGTGGATTCCCCTGCCAAGCCCAACCCCCACGGAGACTGGCTATCTGACACCAAGGCTGACTCGAGCCGTGGGGAGCCGTTTCTTCAGGAACGTGCCAAAGATGGGCACAAAACGGGCATCATGACGCAGATGATCACCAACCAGCGGGCGGCAATGCGGCCACCATGCCCCAAGTGGGTCCCTTAGCTGGGCATTAGAGCTCTCGGGCAAACCCCGGTGAACTAACACCCATGGGGCTATGAGTATCATTCATGTAAGCCCTAGAGTTGATTGAGGGGGATGATCAAAGTAAAAAGTTGGTGCTTGGTGCATGTTATTGCTGCTAGCACGGAACCCTCGTCTTTGGGGGCCTTGTGCTCAATTAGTTGAACCATCTTGACTGTTGGTTGGTAGGAGTAGGCATGGAATGGATCACAGACACCTGAGCACTACTGTGCTGTGTCAATTGTCATTTCTACCTACCAGTCTTGACTATGTATCATAGCGATAGCAAAATCATAGACAGATTGGACACAACCTTGGTATATGCAAAGGACATCATCATGTAATATGCTTGAAAAAAAAAAGGGAAATCATGAATTCATTTCAACGCTATGATCTGCACCAAGTCGCTCATATCGACAACCAACCTTGGAAGTCTAAAAGTATCCAAAAATAAATATCCAATGCGTCACTTTGAAGACAACTGCAAAGTTTAGTAGTAGTAGCCTCTCCACCAAACAGCCATACAAGCCGCAACAACTAAATCCAACATCTTGAGGCCTTCATCTTCAATCACCAACTTTCCAAGCTTGGCGCTCTTCCCCCGCAACCCACCGCCAGCCGGCTCCTCGCAAGCGAGAGATCCAATCGATCTTCATCGGAGTCAACATCGCAATCCATACCACCGCTACTGGTACTCGTGCTGCGGTAATCATGCGGCTGTGAAGGAGAGTAGAACTGACTTTGGCGCGCGAAACGTTGCGCGCGCTGGGACGTTCTGCGGAGGAGTGCGGAGGGATTGAAGGGGGGACGTGGGTCGGCTGGATTGGCGGGGACGCTTGGGGCCGAGCCTGGGCCTGAGTGGGCGCGTGGGCGGGAGTATGTATTTGGATTGAGGAGTTGGGAGAAGGAGCCTCGTTTGGCGGATGCATAGTTGGAGGGCGAGTCTGGGCTTGGATTCTCTGAGTCGTAGTTAGGACGAGGCAGGTGTTGGGTTTGGAGTTGGCTTTGGTTGAATGGGGACACGTGGTTGGGGTGTGGCTTGTGGGCTGCGTGATGGGCGTGCGAGTGAAGGTTGGCGGCTTGAAAGGGGGTATTGAAGCGGAGCTCAGCGACTGTCACGGCTGGGGGTGGTTCGTGCTCGCCGGTTGGTGGGACGAAGCCGGCGGGGGTCGGGATCATGTGTTTGCATTTGAGACTTCGGCCGTTGACGCTGCTGGCGAAGGTGCAAGTGCCATTCCAGGGTGAGGTGAATACGTAGTAGCCGCTTTTCAGCCTTGAGTTATCTGGGCCGTGGCCGTTATGATCAGCGCCAGAGTCATCGAAAGGTTTCGATACGCAGAGCTGACGATGGAACTTGCGAGGCCCAGTTGGTTGGTCCTTTGGCTGGTCTTTGGGTTGCTCGGCGGCTAGGGCTTGTTGGAACCCAGCACGACCTATTCCTGTTGGAATGTTGGCTGCCAGGTTGGACAACGAAGGCATTTCATTGGACCCTGCGAATCTGTTATACCCAGGCGTAGAGATCTCTATATCGACGGCATTGCGGTCCATGCGCGGCGTTGAGATAGTCGCAACGTTCCATTGTGTACCAGACGTTGGATCACGTCTAATTAAAGTGAGATGGAAACCAGCATTGCTGATAGGCGTGCCATTTGCATTCCTCTGCCGTGAAGGAGACTGCCCGGGGCTTCTCAATGGCGACCCCGGGCGATCATGAGACGAGCGAGGCCGCAGATGGGGCCTCGGGGAGTCAAGACTATGACGGCCGGATGACAGCGCATCATACCTTTCTCTCCAAACCTCTCCCTTGCTTTGGATATGACCAGCGAACGCACTCCACCGACTTGCCCTCTTTTGGGGGTCCTCGGCAGCAGGTGTATTCGCCCAGGATTCTTCGCCGGGAGGAAGTGGAGGTAGGGGCCTTGATGGCAGGGCACTCTGGACCCCAGTCTCACTTGCAGCGCCTTCAGACACGGCGTACGTTTGAGGAGACTGCCCATTGGCTATAGGGGTGCCAGCAAAAGACACATTTTCCGCAGTCAGCTGCGGCATGGGCGGCTTGCGCGGCGGTACAGCCGGGGGAATAACATTGTGTTTGGGTGGCACTGGCGGGAGTTCAGAGGTCGCATCCCCTCCTACAGGCTTCCGGCGCACATTGTTCAGCCGTGCAAACTCGCGACTCGCTGGATCGTCGGCGCCTGCTTTCTCGAGTTGTTCCCTGCGCAACTGAGCCTCCTCCTCGCGCTGTTCTTCCACTTCTTGAAGCAGGGTATCGTCTTCGGGGCTTGATACATGGAGATAATATAGCGATGCATTGATGGCCTCAGCGGAGACGCTAGATTTGGTTGGTGGCTTCAAAGGCGAGAGAAAAATGTCTGTATAGGCAGCAGTTAGTTACAGCTTATCTGGTTGGGCTGATAAGGTTAAGGAAGGCTGAGGGATGTGGTATAGAGCCCAAGATCCTAGAGAATCAATCGTGCGATCAAATTGAGACATACCTTTGCTACCTGGTACGCGAACAATGTACAAGGACAGCGGATCGTGCTTTTCGTGGGTGGGATTGCGAGGGTAGGCGGGGGGGATTTGACGCGATAGCGGTCACGGACGACAGCGAACGCGCCTCGACAGGACCCTGAGGGACAGTAGACATGGCGGACAAGGCCGCTCTCCACCGGGCCCAGCAAGAAATATAATCGGATTGCAGGAGTCGTTATGTTGAAGAGTCGAGGTTCACGGCGAATAAACAATGGGTCTCTCGGTCTCTCGGCAATGGGCGGAGCTCGTTCGCCGCCTTCTTGATTTTTGTAATGGCGGGGATCAGCTGGAATGAAGTTGCACGAGAGACAAAGGGACGCAAGGGCGAGTGTTAAGGATGCTGCCTACCGATCGTGGCGCAGTGCGTGGCCCGCTTGCGCGGGTATATACTGGCCCTCGATTATAGTTGGGATCTACGTTGGATGTTGGGTATGAAAAAAACGTTGGTATCTTCAAAATAGCTACACCAGAAATGTATCTGAAACAAAAGGAGAAAAGATTCAAGGAATGCAATCTGGAGGCAATGCTCCAATGAGGGGGTGTCAGTACAAAATGGACTCCATGCTGTAACGCCGTAGTTCCTGTCCATGTCCATATCCCAATAAAACAAAACCACAAAAAAGAGAAATAATAAACCAATGACCCGTGAGCCAATGGCCCTTGTATATCAATATTAGACAACAGTCTCGGACCGCTCGCCTTCCGCAATCACTGGCACACCGAGACCGCGATCTGGACTCTGCAGCACAAGCTGTTCATGACGTCGTGCTCGCAGGAAATCACTGACTGCGCGAATCAAAATGAACCATCCCACGATCATGAGAATATATGAGATCCATTCACTCGTTGTGATGCCAGAGATAGCACCGCTCCCTCCATCGCCGCCACTCTCACCAACGGAGTTCGGATCGAAGCTGTGGCTGTTGGGGTCTGGAGGAGGGACATATTGATCTGAGCCACTGCCGTCCGAACCCGAACCGTCACTGCCGCCTTTCATGTAAAATCCGTATTGAACGAGAGTGAGACCGAGGCCCGCTCGGCTGCCGTTCTTTGCGGCATGGGTGGTGTGAAGCAGATAGGTTAATAAGAAACCAACCAGCTGGAAGGACATGGAGATCATGGCATTCCAAACGAAGGAGAATACAGATCCAACTGGAAGTCCGTCAACGTAGACTTCGTCGGATGAGATACCAGGTGCCACAATGGTGGTCTCCCAGTACGGAGGTGTGGCGTCGGCGGCTGCTTCCTCATATGACTGCATGAACGAGTATCAGTAATCAAATTCCGGCAAATAATAAGAATCAACAGTCAACTCACAGGAGGAAGATCTTCGCTCTTCTCACCCCGTTCAGGCTTAGCATTTAGATTGGCAAAGACTCCATCATTAGATGAGGCAATCTGCCGGCTACCGGGCGTTGAGAAATTCGGCAGCATAGTAGGCCTCCGTATGATTCCTGATCGGCTCTGGTCCTGTGAATCGCTTCTAGACACCGATGATGACGAACTGGCCGTCTGGGGGTTATCCACGGGACCCCGGGAGTCGATGTCAGCTCGCATCAAGCGCTGCCGGTCATCTGGCTCATTATCATCGTCGGATTCATCCTCGTCGCCGAAAGCATCGGCCAAGGTTTGCTCCTCATTATTATGTAGCGGGTCGTTGTGTAAAAGCCGTCGGGAAGACGGCGAGGAAGATCGGGATCTGGAGCGGAAAGAGGGTGGCGGAGATGAGTTGGGATCGGTTCGCGCGTTCAGCGGATAGGAATGTGGTCCATCCTCTTCATCATGGGCGTTAACCTATACCAGTATCGGTCAGTATTTCGTCGAAGAGTCACATCCGAGATGTTCGATAGATGAGATCAGCGGAGGGGATGCGTACCCGTGAGTAGCGCTGCGAGCTCATGGCGAGCTGAGCGGGAGGTGAACGTGGATAGATACAAAAGAGAAGAAGAGACTAAACGCAACTTAGGTTGGAATGCCGAGAGGATAACGAGAGTAAAGGGGGATGTGGAAGATGTCGGGGTTAGAAAGGCAACAAGAATGGATGTGGCTGATGGTGCCTGATGAGCCAGGCCGAAATAGACTGTTCCCGGTCCGTCGAGTATTTCCAGATCGTCTTGCCGCCACGAACTCCCTCAATTACTTATCCGACCATGTCTAAGCCTGTGAGTACCAATCAAGTCTGCCCATTCATCTTGTAAGATGAAAGGGGTCTTTGTCTTTAATTCTTTACTAACATCCCATTCAGACCATCAGCCCGCGCTCGCTTCAAAGCCGCCTCACTCACATCCTCAAACAATGGCCCTCTGATGCGGTCCGCCCAGCTTCAGTCTCTGTCCAGACTTACATCCAGAGTCGCCTCCAGCCCAGCAATCAATCTAGCCCAGCGATCTCCGAAACCTCCACCAAGGCTCTCGAGGCGCTATTGAACAACCGTTTCGCGACCCAATACCCGCTACCGGAGAAGCTGCGCCGGCCAGCAAGCAACCCAGACCATTATGACAACGTTGTGCGCGAGTTTGCAGAGGCCCCGAACCGCGATTGGTTCGGCCGTTTAAAGAAGCGGATGGCTGGTATCATACGGTTGACCTGATTGTTTCGCTGTATAAAATTGTGTCTAGGATATTTATCCTCTCCCTGGATTGGAGTGAGCATGGGGTTTTGATTTGATGGGTTGCATGAGTTGTACCAATACCTTTTGTATTTCTTTATCTTTTTCTTTTGTCTGTATTCCTAATATTCTACTCTCCATTGTACTAAATATATCCCAAAGGCAATATTTTCGCTGTATACCTAGGTAACCAACACATACACAATCCACGAATATTCATATGAATGAAAACTTGAATTTTGAACAATCTAACTCCTGCGAAACAACCGATTGGTATGTACAAAACGCTTTAACAGAACGTACAAGATGCATGCAAATTTACAACATTTACAGCATGGGCTTCAGGTCATCGGCGACCTTGAAGGGAGCCTCGGTCTTAGCCTGAATCTCCTCAACAGTGACACCGTCAGCAAGCTCAATCAGAGTCAGGCCGTGGGAGAAGTCAACGTCGAAGACGCAGAGCTCTGTGATGATGCGGCTGACACAGGCAGGGCCGGTCAGAGGGAATTCGCAGTTCTTGACAATCTTGGGGTTACCCTTCTTGTCGGTGTGTTCCATGGTCACAACGACCTTGGTGGCAGCGGGGTTGGAGACGAGATCCATGGCTCCACCGAAGCCCTTGATCTTACCGGGGAGCATCCAGTTGGCCAAGTCACCCTTGGCGCTGACCTGCATGGCACCGAGGATGGTGAGGTCGATACGGCCGGAACGGATCATGCCGAAGGACTCGTCGCTGCCGAAGCAGCTGGCACCGGGCTTGAGAGTGACGGTCTCCTTGCCGGCGTTGATGAGGTCAGCGTCCTCCTGACCCTGCTTGGGGTAGGGGCCGAGTCCGAGAATACCATTCTCAGACTGCAGGGTAACCTCGACGGAGGGGTCGACGAAGTTGGGAGCAAGCATGGGCATACCGATACCGAGGTTGGCGTACATGCCGTTCTTGAACTCCTTAGCAGCACGGCGGACGATGCGCTCGCGCTTGTTGGCGGTCTCACCCTTGCCGAGAGCAGAGGTGTCGGCACCCTCCTCCTTGGCGAAGGTGAACTTCTCAATGCCCTTGGGGGTGGTGCTCTGGATAACGCGCTTGACGTAGATACCGGGCAGGTGGATGGCAGCGGGGTCGATCTCGCCGGGCTCGACGATGTTCTCGGCCTCGACAATGGTCATCTTGGCGTTACGGCCCATGGCGCCGTTGAAGTTGGCGGCAGCATAGCGGAACTGGCAGTTACCGAGCTTGTCGGCCTTCCAGGCCTTCACGAAGGCGTAGTCACCCTTGATGGCCTCCTCCATGACGTAGCTCTTGCCGTCAAAGACCTTGACGTCGCGAGCCTCGCTGAACTTGGCGACGGTTCCGTCGGCATTGTGACGCAAGGGAACTGCACCGGTCTGCACCACGGTACCGAAGGCGGCGGGTGTGTAGAACGCGGGGATACCCGCACCGCCGGAACGGCACCGCTCAGCCAGGGTTCCCTGGGGAGTAAGCTCGAGATCGATCTCACCGGTGAGATACATGCGCTCGAAGGTCTTGTTCTCGCCGACGTAAGAAGCAATCATCTTCTTGATCTGCTTGGACTTGAGGAGCAGACCGAGACCGGCTCCGTCGACACCGGCGTTGTTACTGGCCACGGTGAGGCCAGTGATGGAGGGGTTGGCGAGGACGGCATTGATAAGAGAGTCGGGCACACCGGACAGACCGAATCCACCAGCCAGAACGGTGGAGTTAGACTTCATGTCCTTAACGGCGACCTCGGCGGAAGGGTAGATCTTGTTGATCTCACTGCGGCGGACACTGCTGGAGAATGCACGGGCCATGAAACGTTGGTGCTGCAAGGAACGAGCTGTCAGTCCCCACGATTCTCCAGCCGATATGATCTAAAGTAACAAATTACTTACCTGGGCTGGGTTGGCCGAGAACTGGCGCGCGAGGCGCAAGCATGTTGCTACCTGAGAAGGCATGATGTAGATTTGCCAATTGTGAGAATTGGACAGTAGCTCAATGGAAATGGAGCAAAACCAAAATTGCCAACAGACCCAGTATATAAAGATCTGGAGAACCCTCTGGGGTCGTGACAACGGCAATCTGTGGTTCTTATAATCCCGAGCGGCAGTGAGCGCGGAAAGAGTCCCGGGTGACTATACGTTTCCCCGGAATTGTGGATACCCGGTAGCTTCCGCCCTCAGTAGATAATTCTTATATCGACTTTTTTAGCTCCTTGACAGGACAAATCGTGGACGAAAATAGCACAAATTTTCCAGTGACAAATTCTACATCATCCACCTTTTTTCTGCATCTCATTACCTCCCCAATCCCCAGACTGGCGGTTTGGTTTCCGAAGTTGCCGCTGCCGAAACTCTTAGCCGATCCGTTTCCGATCCCGCGGCGCTTTTCGGTGTTTCTGGGCTGACTAAGGCGTCCACTGGCAGTCACATGATCTCAGTTTAAACGTGAAAGGAAATATTGGGGGTGACTAATCAAGGGCTTAATTCGTTCATCCGGGGGACGTCTGAACCCTGGGTCTAGGCGTCTTCCATCCATGGACTACTACACAGGCACATCATGTGGTTTTACATGTCTCATAAAGTATCAATTGGATTCTCCCATAAATCTACAGGTACTCCTGGTATCTTCACAATATGTACCGGAATATGTCTCATCGCTTGCAATGCAGTAAAGTCCAAGCAATCATAAACAAAAGAAGAAAAATCGGAACCCATTCGCGTTCGTGCAATCATGCTGGTGTCACGTAGGTCATTTCATCGGGTTGCCATCAGCGTCAACACTCTTGCGTTTGAGAGGATTGACCGTGTCGATGGGTGAGAGGTTGTGATCTACCACCATTGGTTCGAGTCAGCCACTGACTGGAGTGCGAGGCCAGCTTGCATCGTTCTCGCTGGGAGAGTTGGGAAGACCCATACCTGAAGAGGCCCGGGAAGTTGACACTTCGTCATAGGCAGGAGGGTCCATGTTCACATCCTCGCTGGAGCTCGCAGCCCTGCTGTCTTCCACGGTTGATATCGGCTGATCCGCCTGGTCGGGCATCGGTTCATCGAGTTCGCGACACAAGGGGCTCACCAATCTCTCCTTCATATCACTGTTAACGTAGACCAAGAAATAAGGAGTTGGTGGGTTGCTGGTAGAGTCGCCCTTGAAGATCTCATCGAGGTTCTGGACTTCGGTGACATATTCATCGTTGTACTTCCGCCAGATGTTCTTCTCAAAATCAAAGATGTAGATATAGTAATGGCCAAATGAGACAGATCCATGATGAACGAACACGGCATACAGACGATATGGAAGATTGTGGTAATCGGCGAATTGGCTCGCGATCATGGTCCGGGTGTCCTTGATCTGTTCATCAACGGCTGTAAAAGTGTTAGCATTTCAACTAGAAGCAAATTGATCATCAAGATTCTTACCATGCAATTCGGCTTTGGCCTCTTGAGCAAGGCTCTCGAGTCCTGCTGCCAGGTTTGTTTCTATTCCCAAACCGCTAGAATCAGACCCGAGAACATTGTCTTTCTCGAGGGCTTCCAGCCGCAGGAGCGCAGCTCTCGCTTCATCCAGCAGTTTCGCCCGGTCCATGCCATCGTTTTCCTACAGACAAGATTAGCGACATGTATCTGGGAATGATTGAAGATATTTTTACCTTCTTCCTGAGGAGTTCCTCTCGCCTGTCCTCAAGTTTCTTGACAGTTGCCTTCCATGCCCAGCTCTGTTCACGCCGGCTCACTACTTCGGGGTTCTTGGTGTCCATGTAACGATCCATGTAGATGGTTTCAAGCAGCTCGAGGTGGTTCGTTGATTTGAAAGAAGTTTTCTTCACAGGGTCAAACTGAACACGCTGGACTTGAATTTGGAGCACCGGGGGAATGTGGCTAATCGATCCGTGTTGTTCAGCAACTGTGTTGTCAACGCTGATCTTTTGAACGTCAAAAGCCCCGTCAATAGCGTCGTAAATGTCTCGGGAACCGTGGGCAACGTCAACCTTGATATCACACCAACGCTCGTCCTTGGACCGGGTGCCCTTCTCGGTGGAGATGTAGGAGCGGGTCTTTCCATAGAACAAACTAATCAAGTGGTCAGTATAATTGCCGCACCAAGCCAGCGTGGAGTACATACTCTTTGATTTGATCGATCTGTTCACCGTCCTGGTCTATTCCTCGAGCCTTGATGGCACACTGACTCTGAAAGAGAACATTGTTGATGACCTCGGTGACGTCCTGCTGAGCGCCATACTCAAGCTCATCTCTAAGCTGCTTCTCACGATCGATCTCGGGAATAGGGCGAGGCGGGACAGGTGGTGGTACATTGGAGGTGTCGGGGTTGGTCGAGGTCACATCAGTTGGATCGATAGCCATTTCAATGTCGGGTCGAGATGATCCACTTTCTGTTTGGTCTGATGCGAAGTCATCTGATCCTGGTGGATTGTTTTCTTTGCCCTCGGCAGAGACACTTGGAGCCTCCTCCGTGCTAATGGTAGAGGCCATAGTAGTATCGGTTTCAGAATCAGTGGCAGTGGGGATTTGGGAAGATGTGGAGTTGGCGGTATTAGAGCCATTTTGCTCCACCTGCCCCCCAAGAAGGGGTTGTGGTGGGCCAAGAGGCCCCAGAATTGGATTGCCGTTGATTTCGCCGAGAATCTGGGCTCGGGTGGCAGTGATTGTGGACCGGCGACGGATTGCCGCCTCGTTGCTTGGGCTGATCAATGTCAAACGGGCAAGCTCTTTTCCAGGTGTCACCGAGTTTTGAGAAGAAGTGATCATGTCAATGTACAATGTTCGAAGTTCCCTCAAAACTGCAAGCAAAGCGGTCAGTATTCGTGAGAAACAGGTATGGCTAGATCTCCCCAAATTGGGACTTACACTGCATAGAACGCTCAATCTCTTTCTTTGTGACCTTGCGGGATCCCACTTGCTTTTTGACTAGGCTCTCTTCGTCGTTGAGATCCATTTGGAATCTCTCAAAGTCTAACACCATTTCGCGGAATGGGCGCACTGAAAAGTAGAACTGAAGCAGACTGTTGAGATAGCAGGTGTTTCCGATGTTTTGCAAGCCAACCGGCCAATCCCGCATGTTACGCTCAGGCTCGGTGCTGATGCCTGCCATGGCCTTCAGCGAAGCACTGTTGATGTGATTGGCAATGATGACCAAAGCTTGGTTGTACTTGTCAGCCTCGCCCGGGTTATCATCGACACAGATAGTGTATCCAGCGGTGATAGCTCCATCATCGACCGTCCCGTCGGGAAGCTGGAGTAAACGATAGGCATCGCTAACGTCCATTTCACCAGCGGGCGTCTCGCCGGTGAGAAGGAAATGATTGAGCACAGGCGAATTCCGAGACTCAGCAATTAGTGTCAAAGCTTTATGCGCCACGTCCTTGGTTGCTGGATTGTCGTTGATCTAATTTCGTATAAGTTAGCATCAAATCCCACCGTGGGAAGAAGTTTGAAACAAACCTTGGTTGTGTACATTGTTAGAACGAAATCATCATGGGTCCCATTCTCAACACCCAAAAAGACGTTTGCCTGCTCAACATTGGTAACACCTATTGGAGCAATTAGTTTCGAGTGGCGCTCGGGACGAGGTTGAAAATGAGCGGGACAACATACGATCCTCGGAAGCAGCCAGGAGGCGTTCGCTGTTTCTGCTTTTGCCAATCCGCCACAATTCTTGACGTGCCTGGGTTTCCTGCCTGGATGACCCAAGGTAGCTGTAGAAACGTTCAAGGATGTGGGTGTTGGTTATGCCGTGACCATAGGGATCAATATCGAAGAACTTGTATGCTTCGTCAACATCTTCCGATGAGAATTGACCGATTGCATAAGCGTCACGGATGGCTTCTTCAATGATATGGTCATCTTTTCCCCGACGAAGAATGGCGATTTGCTTGAGGCAGGTCAAGTAGTGGGGAGCCATATCAGGGACGTCCACCGCTGTTTGCTGTTTGTATGCCTCTACAATGGAGCCAGCAGACATGCTCTCCACCACACCAAGGTCTTCGTAGCAACTGTAGATGCATCAGTTAGGATGAGATCCGCTGTGTTGGGATCAAGAGACATACGAGTCCGAAGCCATCTCAAATTCATCTGCCCGTGCAGCTTTGGGATCTGATGTTAGAGTTAGTTGGGGAGCGCGAGACGAGGAAGTATGAAATACGAACAATCGTTAGCTTCCAAGGCATAAATTATGTCGGGGATGGCAGAAGGCGGGAGATTGGGAAATTGTATTCCTCTCTTCTCAGACGAGGGGCGCTGATGTATCAATGCCAGAAGCTCTAAAACAACGTCGTCGATAAAACAGCAAAGCGGGTCTTGATATGGTTTCTCGGCGTCCGCTGGCAGTCTAGGTGGTTGCCACACTCCAGATTCCTAGCACTCCTTGTCAGTAACATTTCCAGACACACATATACAGAGCGGTACACTCACTTCAAAGTAAGTGAATCCCAGGAATTCTAACAGCCTCTTGCACGCAGCACCTTCAACGCCGAAGACATGCACAAATCTCTTGTTGCCCGAGGCAATTGGCTTACTGCGCTGCGGGTTCCGGAGAGCATTCGTGAGATAAAGCCGCAGATTGTCCAGCAAATTGATCGGTTCTGGCTTTGCCATGCCCTCCATGGTCTCTAGATACGTTGCGAATGCTTCTTCGGCTCGTTTCCGCAACAGGTCTTTGTCTGTCATCAGATGGATATAATCCGCACCTAGTATGGGTGAAAGGATTCGCAACGAGACCATTGCCGAACATGAAGCGTGTGAACATTGATAGTGGAACGTTTCTGCTGTCTGTCCATGGTGAGTGACCTCAGGCATGGAGAGTCCATTCTTTTGCCGTCCTGACTTATAGACCAGGTGGTGCAAATGCTGCTCTTTGAGGGCTTGGTTGGATGCCTGCATGCTACTGGTGTAGTTTACGACCACTTGCAGATGACACCGGCATTTCGAGCACATCGCCGAAACTTTGGAAGATGTTCCTGGTCTTCTTCGATGTGCTGTCTGTGCCACAAATGTTTGGTCTGATTTCAAGACATATTCATGCTGGCATGCGTTTGGTGCAATCCACGACCGCGGACCATGATAGTTCGTCGGATACAGAGGCGGGGTCTGCGACAATAGATTGAGACCGGTGTCTGAATCGTGGGCTGGATCATACAGCTGAATGTCTTGAACGAGGCGCGGCGCGGTCTTGCCTATGGGACGAAATAATCTTGTTAGCATGCGAACGGAACGCCTTTGACCTCTGTGGAAAAAGTGGTGCCTGGACCTACCAGCCAACTGTTCAGGCGCCATGATATGCTGTCCAGGCCTCAAGGCCTTGCCGGTTGACTATCTTGCCTTGGTGCTCCAGGTGGTTTGTGTGAAGCTCAGTGATGAATTTCCTCAAAATATGGCGATCCCATCTGATACTTCAGCGCGAGGTGATGGCTTTGTGGTTGAGTGCTGAAAGCGCGTTGTTGTATGCGGAGAGACAGCGGGGAGCCTACTACACTTGGCAGGAAACCGTGGGAGGCTTGGGAGCTCGTGATCGTTCCCTATTCAGCAATATGGGGTTGAAGACAACTTGCGCCAAATCTAAACTGGTTCAAATTGCAGAGATGAACGACAAATAAAGCAAATCATGCAACACAAGAGTGTTGGCGCCTACAGACAAGCATGTAGAGCTCCGTTCAATGGTGGGCGGTATAGATTTGGCGGTCGCGGTCGGCAGAACTCGACTCCAAAATCCCATCGCCAACCACATCCCATCGACCCGCAAGCAGATCCATCCCTGCTATCACACACCATGGCGCACCACGAGGAAGATCACAGCTACCATGCTAAGGATGCTATCTCTGCAGCCATGAAGGCGACCATGCTCACTGGTGGAGTTGGTCTTTTCGCATCCGCCGTGCAAAACACCCTCACCCGACAGAACGTCGGACCTCTGGGCATCTTCATCCGTGGTGGAGGTACCATTGGTATCTTCGGTATGGATTTCCACACAGTCTAAGGTATTGACATGCTAACATGTTGTTTGATAGCTGCCATGGGTGGTACCTACGAGTTTGTTAAGACCGCTTCGGCCAACCTGCGTGAGAAGGAGGACCACTACAACGTCGCTCTTGGTGGTTTCTTCTCCGGCGCTATCCTCGGACTGCGTGGTATGTTTCAAGAAAACTCAATTGACTCCGAATCACGAGTTGGAAACTAATGTTGATTGTGTCTCCAGTCCGCACATTCCCCGCTCTGCTCGGATACGGTATCGCGCTTTCCACCGCCATGACCGCCTTCGAGTACACCGGTGGTAGTCTCTTCGGATACCAGAAGGACACCTCCGTCGATGAGTTCGACCGCCGCACAGCTCTGCGCAAGGCATTCCAGACCCCCGGAGAGCAAACCGTCTCTGAGTTGGGCGAGGGACGTGGTACGTGTTTCGTCTAGCTTCCGACCATCTCGATTGTCACTAATTTTGCTAGGTATCTACGGCCCGGGCTACGAGGAGAGACGCCGTGAGCGCATCAAGAACGCTTACGGTATTGAGGTTCCCACATCCCCGGTTCCCGCATCATAAGCCTGCATTCTATTCGCGCCTTTTCCCGTTGCTTTGTGTAAATTATCCCCCCATATCACGCTGCCTATCGCATGCCGGACACGTCTATCCGATCAGGTTTTCTTTAGTTCCCAGGAAATTAAAACACTACACATTCAAGTTTGAACGCGGCTTCGGTTTTGACGTTGGGAGGTTCCAAGGTTGTAATTGTGAAATGTAGTCTTGCTAGAAGGTTGGAAAGTGATGAAGAGTATTGATTGGAGATTACCTCCGGCTCTTATAAGAGATTAAGGCATGCTCAGTGCAAACATTTTCAGTTGATAGTCATGCACAATTCGAAAATGCGAAAGTGAGGGGATATCCCCGGAGCCCAGCGAGCCAATGACAGTGGGTGGATATCAAAGGAGCCTCAGTCTTACCCAGCCCTGGAGGTGGACTGAACACTTGACTAAGATGACATGATGCAAGGGCTGATAGCCCTAGGTATACTTGAGTCATGAAAGTCATGAGATAAAGAGATATCGTTATTCAAAAAAAAAAAGTACGTGTGGACTACTCCGCATACTACAGGTTCCTAGTGTTGGCCGACCAAAACTGGGCATAGACAACCATGGTCTGCAGGTACTGGTTTTTCTGATATGACTGGAGATAGATCAATCAAATCAGATTTTAGCACTCCAATTCTCGATGGGAATACTTCATTGGTCCAGCGAATACGAGTGATGAAGATGCAACCTTGCACGAGGTGGGGAGCGAAGGACAACCTTGGTAGAGACTGAGTGCGAGAGCGAGAGGGGGAAGAGGGGCGTATAGAGTTTATCATACTCCGTACTCCAAGGACAAAAGGATGAAACGATCAGATGAAGCCAAGGCCTTCAATATAGATCCCGACGTCATGTACTGTTCATCACTGCGATCAGGGCAACCTACGCCCTGTAACCTGCACTTTGGACTAGCATCTCAAGCCACAGGTGGATTGGAGGATGACACACATGCAAATCTTAAATCAATAGTTCCTCTCTCTCTCAGGGGGCGCACCGCCACTCTGTCCAGGCAGCCAGATTGGCCTACTCTGTACGGTTTGTGAGGACTCCGTACAATCGTACAATTGCATAAGGGATATCTTCGTGTTTTTCTATACACTTGTATGCAATTCAAAATCCACAGGCTTAAGACAACCCCTGGAACGGATGGAGATTCCGATCCAGTACGTCAAAGACTGAAGAGTTCGGGTGCGCCGGCCCAGTTCCTCACCGTAGACGTCATCGTTAGAGAGTTCCTTAATTTCAGCCTATATCGAGGCCCAATGCCCCGCCGAGAGAAGGAGAGTCTCCTTTTTCAATTTCGTGTGAATAGTGGGTGTGGGTCAAATGAGTTGATCGTTCTCCCCGCAAACAATTCCACCTCCGTTCGCCAGGTAACCAGACGCCACTTGGACTTGCGATCCTTGATTTTTCCCTCCCAATCTTGGAATCCCTTGTACTTCAATCCTCCAAAAAACAATACCCCCCTTCTCCCCCCTCCCCCTATCTCCGATCCGCTGCGATTACTCTCTACCTGCCGAACCTGCCGAACCCCCGTAAGAAACCTACGCTTCCGCAGACATGGCGATGGCCGCGCGGCCGCGAACGCCCTCGCAGGATGCATACATGATCCCGCAACCCAACGACCCGGGGGCTTTGAGTCGCGGATACGGCCCGCGCTCTAACCTCTCCCGACCGAGCTCCTTCGCCGGGAGCACTTCGTACAATTACGGCTCGGGCGCTCTCGACCCGCAGATCCACAACCCCCGATTCAGGGAGGACTTCGACGCCGCCAGCCACCGCGGCTCCGTCTACGACGCTCCCGTGGGGGTTCAGCGGTCGGCCTCCACCATGTCCCATGTGCGATCCCAGACCCCGACTCGGGCGGGCACCCTCCGAAAGAAGGCTTCTCTGAGCAAAAAGGGGAGTTTGCGCCGGAATGGAAGTCGCAGGAGCATGCGCGCGGGCAGCGTGCGGAGCCTCAGTCTGGGCGATCGCGAAAAGTACCACACTGAGGGGTCGGATGATGTAAATAGTGCTTTCATGCTTCCGATCCCTACGACTGGGAACCCGACCGAGGTGCTGGCGAACCGTTTTGGAGGTGGGTTTGACTTTCCGTGCAGGTTATCTGACTTCTGGCTGACCTTTCTCTTTGATATCTAGCGTGGCGCAAGGTTCTAAAGGACCTGATTCTGTTCTTCAAGGAGGTTCAGAAGTCTTACGAAACTAGAGCGAAGCTATTCATGTCCGCCTCGAACGTTGTCAACAATCAGACCCTCCCACCGGCGTTCCTTCAATCTGGTGGTCTGGCCGATGCGACGGAGATCCTCCGAGATTTCCACCGACAGGGCTACACAGAGGCTAACAAGGCCATCGAGGTGGAAGTAGAGGTGATCAGTCAATTGACTGGTCTCCGGAGTGATCTGCAGAAAAAGACCAAGGAGATCAAAAGCCTTTCCGGTGACTTCAAGAACACCGTGGACAAGGAAATCGATGGCACACGCAAGTCCGTGCGCAACCTACATGAGGCTCTTGGCCTGGTTGATACCGATCCTTCTGCGACATCAGGCAAAGGTGACCCGTTCATCATGCGTCTGAACGTGGAGAAGCAGGTCGAGAAGCAGATCGAGGAGGAGAACTACTTGCATCGGGTGTGTACCATATCCCCACGTGCACTGAATATCGAACTAACAATCACTTCTCTAGGCATACTTGAATCTGGAGAACTCTGGTCGCGAACTGGAGGGGATTGTTGTGAGCGAGATCCAAAAGGCATACAATGCCTACGCCAGTATACTTCGGCGCGAGGCGAACGAGGCTCTCGATACCGTTGACAAGCTGCAAGCCGGCCCGATCTCCATGCCTCAGGACCACGAGTGGAATTCGTTCGTTGCCGAGACGGACGAGCTCGTCGATCCCCGAATCCCCCTTCGGAATGTGGAGAACATCACCTACCCTGGTAAGGATCATCCGGCTGCTGCCGAGGTCAGGGCTGGAATGCTGGAGCGCAAGAGCAAGTATCTCAAGAGTTATACCCCTGGATGGTAAGTCAAATCACCCCAATGCTCGAAACATTGTCTAATCAGCCCTAGGTATGTTCTGTCGCCGACGCATCTTCACGAGTTCAAGTCGGCCGATCGTGTGGCATCGCAGACACCAGTCATGTCACTCTACCTGCCAGAGCAAAAGCTCGGCTCTCACTCCCAAGAAGACTCCAGCTCGCACAAGTTCATGCTGAAGGGTCGACAGACTGGTGCGATGCACCGGGGCCACTCGTGGATCTTCCGCGCCGAGTCACACGAGACCATGATGTCATGGTTCGAAGATATTGAAGGTCTTATCAGCACGACAGGAGAAGCGCGAAACGCATTCGTGCGCAAACATGTCCGCAGTGTGAGCGGCAGGTCCACGAATAGCGAGGTGATGGAGGATGATGAAGCCGATCGCACACCCTACTCGGCGGGCTCAGTGGTCCTCTCACAAGACCGACCCACGTCTTCGCGCCAGGCCGGGGGTGCTTTTCCCAGCGATGTCCAAATCGACCGTCACCTCCAAGCACCCCTGTCCCCGTCTAGTGGTGACAGCTCCGCCGGAAGAGGAGACATGCTAGCCGCTGCTGGCTCCTTCCCCGATGGCTCAAGTCCCTTCAATGACAACTCCGCGCAAGCAGCCCGTCGTGAAGCCGATAACGACTCATACAACGCTTATCAGTCTGGCGAAGGTACCGGGACCGTCCGTAGGTCTTCGCGTCCCAGAGTGACGCAACATGATAGCTACTACGGCGACTGGATGGGCCCTGCTGCCATTGTCGCGAGACAAAAGCAGTCCCAACAGCTGGAACCCACGGATGATCGTGAGGTTCGATCTGATGGCGACCAAGCTTCTCTTGCCGCAATCACGGGTGTCGGTCTTGCCGATCGCCGCGATCAGTCGGCTCCTCCCCAGGTGGCTCGTCGGGAGAGTGTCTCAACTGCACCTACCAATACCAACGTGACAGAATATACGAACCACACCAATGCGACCTCGTTGGATGATACCATGGAACATCCCAAAATCCTTACCCCCGGTGCTCAAATTGGATCCGGCGCTGAGACATCGGTCCCTCTGGAGCTCCGCCCCAAGAAAGACAGCATAGCCGCCCTGGATATGAAAATCCCCGGCCGTTACCCCCCTACCAATGTGGCGGCATAAAAACATCACCGCTATCCTCCATCTCTCTCTATATCTACATTTTCTTTTCTACCACGTGCCTTATGTTGATCATCTATTTTGTTCCTTTTCCATTTCTGTACATGTACCCCTTCGTCGGCCCTCTCTATCTTTCGTCCGTTCCAGGCGTTCTGGTCCCCTCGTTGGAGCTTCCACCCAGTTCTTTTCAACAGCACATGCTGCATAGGCGTTCGTTTTCAGGCAGGGTGTGGCGCATTTGGCTTTGATTGAATCTTGATTCCCAGTGCTGAGCATCCAGCACCCATCTCCTTCGTTGTCAATCCCTGTGGGATGTTTTATTGAGAGTTAGTTGGCAATCGACTACGTTTGAATACTGTAACTTCCCGGGACGTATACAGGCCGTGGCATTTGGAATTGAGTAATTGAAATACGCAGGGCAATGCAGCCAGTCATAGGTGCAGATATTGGACACAGCTGTTTAGGTGCATATCCATGACAAAGTAGGCTGGAGTGGTACGATAAGTACAGATAAGAGCTGGGGGGAGCGGGACTAGAGCGGGCTTGAAGTTGCGCTGGGTCACTACAATTGATGGTCGAAGAGCTTCATGAAGGTGGGATATGGGATCATGTTTAAGGGAAGAAGCTGCAGTGCGAGATTCTCCAACGGGTTTCAATGTTCTTACCGCAGTCGCCGAGAAGAACAAAGTACGAAGTGAGGGAAGTTGCATACACCCCAAGTTGAGCTATCTGCCTTGATGGGGGCGGTGAGCGGCACCCAAGCGCCAGTATCAGAATCTTGTGCCTCCTCTTCTCCAAAGACCTTTCTATAATCTCCATTGCCTCTCTTCTTCCCTCTTTACCTCTTTCCTCGTACCACCGACTTCTTACAGCCACGCGCGGCCTCGAAATCATGGGTGGGTTCTTTCTTTTTCGTATCTTTGTATTACTCGTTTGTTACTGCGCTGCCCTGGTACATTCTCAGGTCCCGGTCATTCCAGACCACCAATCACCGTGTCTTTCCCACCCCCCAATGTTGAAACCTTCCTGATTCTACCCTTCCTTCTCCCCCGCTTCCTCCCTTTTTCCCTCTCTCCTTATATTCTTGATCTATTCTAACCCTCCCGCCCAGCCGACGTTTATCGCCCAGACGATTCTTATCGCCCATACCAAGTAAGTCTTCGGTCTTGACTTTATATATATATATATATATATATATATGCTTTCTTTTACTTTCGTCCGTTGTTCGTTCTTGTTGTTGTTGATTGCGCGCATCCTCTGGCTTGTTGCGACAGTGGTCGGTGCGGGGGGCCGGAATCCGCCAGAGCTATGCCAGTGAAGGCCATCCCGAATATACGAGATCTCCGGAACCCGGCCATCCCGCATCACCATTCATCTGATTCAAGAGCATTGTGCGCCGTGTGGAAAATACATGTGTGCCAGTGGCTCTAAGCTCCAACCCCCGGAAGGTCCTCACTTGAGACAAGCTGAACGGGTCAGGTGACCAGACTCAAGACCCCGACTTCCGCGGTTGCGCCAGTACACCCCGTCTCCGCACCATTACACCTCTTTCTTTGTTCCATCAATTTTCCACTTCATTGGCTGTTGTCGCATCATTTCAACCACAATGACTGACCCCTACCAGCGTGAGAGGTCTCGATCCCCTCGTCGCCGCCCTTCTCGCAGTCCTCCCCGTCGTGCCCGCCGTTCCTACAGCCCGCGTAGCCGCTCCCGCAGCCGTGACCGTGGTGACCGTGTCGACCGCGTGGACCGCATTGAACCCCGTGAACGTGACGAGTACCGTCGCAGCGAACGCCGATCTCGATCTCCTGTGAGTGCTTCAGGCGCTGCTGGACCTTCCGCTTCTCCATACGGCGGACGCAGTGGATACCCTCCTGCTCGATCTGAGGATCGCACTGTTGCGAAAGAAAACATGATGCAGACCGTCCGCGACTCATCTCAACAAGACCGCCGCGTCTACGTCGGCAACCTTTCCTATGATGTCAAGTGGCATCACCTTAAAGATTTTATGAGACAGGGTGAGCAGGGTGCTTTGGGGGTGCTTTGGGTGGCGTGAATGAGAATTGTTGCTGACTGGGGGTGTGTCTTTCCCTTTTACAGCTGGAGAAGTTCTCTTTGCCGATGTTTTGCTTCTTCCTAACGGAATGTCGAAGGTGGGCGTCAATACGTAGAATGGCTTGTTCCTTTCTATTCCCCTGGTTATATTTGGTTTGATTGGAACGTTGTGGTTGACGGGATGGACATGGCTGTCCGGCTATTTGTAGGGATGCGGGTGAGTGCTCTTTCCTTCGTTCCCAACTGAACCTCCTGCTGATCCCTCCTAGGATTGTGGAATACGCCACTAGAGATCAAGCACAAAACGCCGTCAACACGCTTAGCAACCAGAACCTGATGGGCCGCTTGGTTTACGTTCGTGAGGTATGCATGCGGTCTTTGACAACTTCGAATGACGTGAGCTGACCACTAGTAGGACCGTGAAGCTGAACCCCGTTTCGTCGGTGGACCTCCCCGTGGAGACTTCGGCCCCGGTGCCCGAGGCGGTTTCGGTGGTGGCTTCGGCGGTCACCCCGGCGCTGCCGGTCGTCAGATTTATGTCTCAAACGTTTGTACCCTCTCTTCACCCCTGTGATGCTAAGTCTAGACAGGTTTTGTTGACCCCTCGATATAGCTTCCTTTCAATGTTGGCTGGCAAGACCTGAAGGATTTGTTCCGCCAAGCTGGTAAGTACAGATCGATCATCCCCGCCAACCTTTGGCCCTTGCTACATGTCTAGTCGGAGGGTATGATGAGTTGACTTGATTTTCTATGCAGCCCAGAACGGTGCCGTCATTCGTGCTGATGTGCACACCGATGCCACTGGACGCCCCAAGGGCTCTGGTATTGTTGCTTTCGAATCCCCCGACGATGCCCGTATCGCCATTGCGCAGTTCAACGGTTACGACTGGCAGGGTCGTCCCCTTGAAGTCCGTGAGGACCGATTTGCCGGCGGTGCTGGCTTTGGCGGCGGTGGCCGTGGTGGCTTTGGCGGTGGACCCATGGGAGGTCGCGGTGGTTTCGGCGGCCCTATGGGAGGCCGCGGTGGATTTGCTGGACGTGGTGGTTTCGGTGGTGGCTTCGGCGGCCGTGGTGGTTTCGGTGGTCCTCCCGGTGGTGGTTACCCCGGTGGTGGCTTCGAGCAGGGTCCCCCTGTTCCGACTGGTCCCCCCAACCCATTCACTGACTACGCTACTTCCAACGGCGACAAGAGTGCTGTCATCTATGTCCGCAACGTAAGTCATTGCGCTCTCAAGACATCCACAGTGGGCGAGACTAATCAACAAACAGCTTCCCTGGTCCACTTGCAATGACGACCTGGTTGACTTGTTCTCTACCATCGGCAAGGTCGACCGCGCCGAAATCCAATACGAGCCCAATGGCCGTTCCCGCGGCACTGGTGTCGTCCAATTCGACACTCCTGATACCGCTGACACCGCCATCTGTAAGCATGAACCATCTCCCCTTCGCTATGGACATTATCGAACAACCCGCTGATCCACCCACAGCCAAGTTCTCTGGATACCAGTACGGTGGCCGTCCCCTCGGAATCACCTTTGTCAAGTACATGAACGCTGGCGCCCCTCACCCGGACGACATGATGGAAGGCCAAGAGCCTACCGGTCTGACCCAGGACCAGATTATGTAACTTCGTTTCATCTGTTTTTTATTCGGTCTATGGTCTGCCTCTTTCTTGCAAGGGGGCGTCTGGCATGTTCGCTGTTCTTTTGATGATTCCCTTATTCCCATCCAGTTCTGCTGTTCATGGACTTGTGACAGACTGAGATTTGAGTGTCCCTACTTTGGGTGATCACTATGCCTTTTCTAAAATGGAGAACGCTCTTTCTTCATCTCTCTTAATTTCTGTAAATTGGTAGAATCCAGTGGTAGTCTTGTGTTCGCAGGTTTTCAGCCAGCGTAAATCTAGCGGCTTTACTTTCCATTCCTTGGATCAAGTTGACAGTTCGATTCTGCGCGAGCACTTTTTTCTCTCTCTCCTGCATTGTGTTCTTGAGATCAAGTTGCTCCAAAGGTCATTGTTCAGGTCGTTGTTTGGCACCTAGGCAGAAGCTGGGATACAACACTCCAGCTAACTCGCTCATCTCTTTTGGCGTGTGGATAGCCAACTTCAGGCCAATTGCTAGATGGTAAAAGGGAAGTGCCTGGTTTCTGGGGTGATGTGTCTCACACAATTTACCAGAAAGGACTCCTGGACAGTGAGGAATCTTAGCAAAATTAGACCGCAATACTCCATACATATCACCTCGTCAAGCAAGCAATTAAAAGCAAGACAACACGAAATGAACCAAAGCAATTCTTACAGGAAACCACTGCTAAATCTCTTATTGGTTTATTTGCTAAGCCCATAGGCCGTCTTGGTATTATCCTGGAGTAATTCTCAGACATGTTGGTTTAGTTCCAAAATTATTGGTTTGCGTGTAAGTATACTACAGGCGCACGGACCAACCTCTATATCAATCTCCAAGTTTCGCTTCCTCCGAAACCTCCGCACCAAAATAACTCCAACATCATGGCTCACCTCACTCGCATGACAAAGAGGGTCATCAACCCCTCGGCCCTTAGCCTCGTCCGGCCAACAATCATATTGGCTACCACATCCCACTCATTCAACCGCACACCTCGAACACCCCAAACTCAACAAGTCATTACCCCCCGCCGAAGCTACCACTCAACCCTCCACCCCCGCCTCCCAGACCATGAATACACAAACTCGCAAACCGTAATCCTCACCGCCGCCCTATCCCACGTACCAATCCACGGCTTCACATCAAAAGCCCTAACCCTCGGCGCCCGCGACGCAGGATTCCTCGACGTCTCCGTGCAGCTCCTCCCACGCGGCGAATTCGACCTCATTCTCTTCTGGCTAGCCAGCCGACGCGGCATCCTCCGCGGCAAAGTCGAAGAAGGCAGCTTATTCCGACGGATCGCAGGCGAGAAAGGCAAAGATGTCTTCGAGCTTAGCTCCGAGGAGCGAGTACGCGGACTACTAATGGAAAGATTGCGCATGAACAAAGAAGTCAAGGACGTCTGGCAAGATGTGAGTTACATCCTCTATCTAGATTTGGGTATTTTTGCTAATGGATTGGTACTCAGGCTCTTGCGCAAATGTCGCTTCTTTCTAATATCCCACTGTCACTGGGTGAATTGCACGCTCTTGCGTCTGATATTCTGACGCTGGCTGGAGACGATGCTGTCGATGCGACTTGGTATACGCGCCGCTTGGCGGTGTCTGCGATCTATGCTAGTGCGGAGGTTGTGATGACGCGCGACCCGACGGCGGATCTTGTGGAGACGGCGGCGTTCGTGGATCGTCGATTCGAGGATCGTAAGGCGATTGCTGATAAACTCACTGGCATTGGGCAATATGCTGGGTTCGGTTGGAATACTGCCGTTGGACTTGGCCGGAGCTGGGGGCTTAAGATCTGATTGGATTGTTGAAAGTGCTTCTGCTCGAAGACCATTTCGTGTCCTCGATGGGTAGATTTCGCAGACCTCGTGGTCTGTGAGATGAATTGTAATTTTATTGTTGCTCTGTTTGGTTGATATCTCTGCCAAAACTGTACTCTACTCCGTTCTCATCAGCGCAAAGATTTATTTTTTGTTTACTTTTAACCCGTGCTCCCAATATCCATTGTGCCGACGTGCTAGGGTGTCATTGGAGCGGTTGATCCCATGTTTTATTCCCATCTTCGTAGCTTTCCAAGATTTCAACATCTGGGCAAGCTGCTTTTTCAATTCTAGCATGTTCACATGTATTATCTTATTTATAGCTCCCATTTACTTCGCCGAAGAAGACAGAACCCAAACCAAAAATGTAGATATAAATGAAGCATCGAGGAGATTTTATGATCCAAATGCTATTGATTTAATGCAAAGAGACATTTTGCACCGCTTCCTCTACACTAAGGGGTGCACCATCGCCGGTGCCGTCAGGTGAAACATTCTCACTGTCCGTAGCCGGAGAAACCAACAAAGTCGGAGACTTCGGCGAGAATGGATCAGAGGGCGCACCGCTGTCCGGCGGCGGTTCTTGCTGAGCCAGAGCGGCGGAATTTTCAAAAGATTCAAGATCCTTAGAAGGGCTGACGCTGCTGGCTGCACTTTCAACGGAGTCAGTCTGCCCATGAGCCTTGCCACGGCCCCAGCGGCGCGTCTTCGGTGGGAGTGGAGCCTGTCCGTGCCGGCCCGTTCCAGAAACCGGGGCTACGGGCCGGTGGTGACTTGAAGAGGGCGTGGAGTGGTTTGAGCGACGAGGAGGCGGGACGGCAGGGGGTGGGTTTGAGGCTGATCGCCGGGGCTGGAGGCTCGGGGGTGCAAGATTGGAACTTGGGCCTGAGTTGCGACGTTCGCCGGGAATCGCCTGAGATGATAGGGTAGGGGTCACAGGGGTGAATACTGTGGTTGGGCTCACTTCAACGCCCTCGGGAATGGTATTCCCGTCGCTGCTGGTGCCAGCGGAGTGATGGTCCTCCTCGTCCGCAGCCAGGCGGCGCCCGCGCCAGCGACGGGACTTTGGTGGCTCTGGTTTGATTTTCGGTGGTCGGATGATTGGTGTCTCGTCACTGAGGGCAGCTGCAACATTTTCATCTTTGCGACTTGGGGTGATAATGCCTGGCTTTTCGTGCTGTGCTGCAACGGCCTGGACGCTCAGCGAGGATGCAGAGGCGGGTTCTAGCATGCCAAGTCGCTGCACTAAGCTTTGTTTCCGACTGCCAGGTGCATTGGAAGAGTGCCATGAGTCCATTCTGGTGGGTGATGCCGTATCTGGCGAGCTTGCAATGGTGCTTGCTCGCGAGAGTGTACGTGGAACATCCATTGGCTCACTGATCGTCACAGGTGAGGTAGTCTGCTCAGCTTGGTCCAGAACAGTGTCAATCGTGGTTTCTGCCACTTGAGTAAGGGTTTCTTGTGTTTCTGCTTGTGAGGGCTGTTCAACATCTCGAAGCCATTTGACTGTGGCACATCGAGCGACAAGTCGGCGCGTTGTATCATCAACCTCTTCGAAATGGAGGATCTTCTCGTGTTCTGAGTCAGCCCCATATGAGACTTGACCGCGAACAAGATCACTCAGTAGCCTTCGGAGCTCATCGCGTTTGTAGTGCGGTGGGTTTTGCAGCTGCGTGTGAGCCAGAAGCGGGTAAAGCACACGTAGATATGTATGCCGTAGTGCCGCTGCTTCTTCAGGTAGATCAAGTAGGTTTCGGATCAATATGTCGACCAAGACATGAAGGTCATTGGTGAAAAAGTATTCATACGTGCTAGGGGTTGTGAATATGAGGTACAGAAGCTTCAATGTTAGCAACTGCAGAGATGTTTCGGCTATATCTTGATCAGCAAATAGATTTATCCAAGGGAAAGGCCATCGATACCTTCACGGTTGATCAAAAGGATAATGTTCTCTCCAAATGTTTTGTACATTCCGCCATAGACGGATAGGATCTTGATGACCTTGTTAGTCAGATGCCCCGAGGGTGCACCATCAACCGGGTCATGGGCTGATATCATGAATTGTTCATTGAGCACCAGCTATAGGACGGGTCAGTCTTCTCCATTGCTGTAAGATCCCAAGGGAAACTCACCAGCACCCTAATGACAGGATAGTGGTAGGGGTCCGTGACATCGTACGACAGATCTTCGATGATATCAAAGAGACACCGAATGAAATCGTCGTCCACAAGCACTACCAAAGTCCAACAGTCAGCCACATGCTCAACGCAAGCCTTCCAGCGACCCGTATAACTCTGAAACTCTGAAACGTACCCAGATCCTCTATTTTGACTCGTTGTATTCTCGACATCTCATAAATCAGATCCATCAACAGGCGATGGAGACCCGCATCGCCGTCCAAATCCGCCCTCCGCATAGCCTGTATGAGTTCAAGGAGACGCGCAAACGCGCCCTCCGAGTTCAGCATTTGAAGCACATTCTCATTTTGTCGGCCGTCGAAGAGGATGAACGACGCAAGGAAATGGAGGACGTTTGGGTCATCTTCCTGTAGGAGACCGTAGATAATCTGTCGTCGAACGTAGTCCGCATGACTGGCAAAGATACTCGACGTGAAGAGCTTATAGGAACAGCGCGAGATATCGGTTTCCGATCGGAGGTATTCACCTAGGAAGGGAGGGTGTTAACGTTGGACGCAAAGCGGAGGTGCAGACGAGGTCGTCTGCTGCAGTTGGCCAGAATTGGGACTGGTTTATCGCTGACAGGGTACGAAAGGTATACCTTTGTATTGAGTCGTTAGACTGAGATAAGCTCGGAGGGCGTCGTCGATCAGGTCTTCGGAGTCACAAGACTTGGAGACGATCGTTTGGAGTTCTGTAGGTGTCAATTATGTCTAAGGTAGAAGAAATAAGAGAGGTCTCACCATCCCAGAACTCAGTCTCCGAGACCTCAGGCTCCATTTCCCGTCAATGATCATGCCGGATTGAAGAACCTTGGAAGTTAGAGAGTTGAAGGCGGGGGAAATTCTAGTCCCACTGCGGGTCGACCCTACGCACCACGTTTTAACTTGAATCTGGAACTTCTAGAACACAACTACTTTTGAAAGGGCGAAAGAAATATTTATTGGTATCAAAATGCAATCATCAAACTGGGCGCAGGAAGGGATGCGCTTCGGTGTTCCTAGAGAAGAGTTAGCGGTTATTGGGGATTGTTTACACTACGTCACTCACAGAACATATTTATCCAAGTCTACCACACTGGGGTCACTGAAGAGCAGGTAGAAGTACTTCAGAGTCTCGGACAGCCAGAAAGACTCCATCGTATCTTTGTGACTTGGCTTTTGGGCCGTGACATCGTTAATGGCTGCGTGGGCCAGCTCTGTTCGGGTATATCTGGCAATAGCCTCGAACATCTGCCATCCCTTGCGGCGCCAGGTCTCATCACCGGTCAACCGGTACATAATGAAAACCGACTCGATTGCCTCTGGCCGAAGATAGTAGTTCGGCTGAGGAATGCTGATCATGCCCGCTGGGAGGTGGTCCTTACCCACGGCAGCAACCTGAGGCGAAGCAGGTGCCGAAGAAGAATGGGGAGCATCGCGGTTCTCTAACCCATACCCAACGGGCGTGGCAGCCGCGCTGGCGGCCGAGGAAGAAGGCTCGGCACGTTTTCCCGCTCCAGATCCATCACGCTTAGAGATCACGTCGGTGTCGTGGGGATTCAAGGAGCCCGGCATGGGAACGGGAACCATCCGGTTTTCAGACTCCTGTGGTGCCTCGTGTGCGTTCAGCTTCAGGCGCTGTCCGTACGTATCCTCGCCATTGCGGAACTGGGGCCCTGCCTCAGGATCCACGCGAGAATAGCGAGCCACTCCAGCGTCAAATCGGGCCTGATCCCATTCGCAGGCAGATCCCTTCTCGCAAGGCAAGAGACGGAATCGCTCGGGCATCAAACCGGTCTGGGTTGACTCGTAGGCCCATACGCAGCCTTCGGTCAGTTTCGCTGCGAGCTCCATGTCGCCCTCGATCCCAAAGGCTTTGGCACCCAAAGCGTACATACCGCCGACGAAACATGTCAGATGGTGACCTTCGTACTCAAAATCGGCGGGAGTCAGTTGCGCAGGTTTCCCAGGTGTGATTGGAGTTGTCGATGCCATGAAGCGAATATCGCGTCCCCCTTTCACCATGGGCTGGAAGAGGAGATTCTTGCGGGCTGCCGTGGCCGCCTTTGTATACATGTTTTGATATTGCTCATTTGCGCCACCCAAGAGTAGGTACTCCTTGGGTAGGTACTCGTAAGTGGAATCAGCCATTCCTCCCAGACTGTACTTATTGCTAGCCGCCGAGAGAGGAAGTTCGAGACCACCGTTGCACTGGTCCGCCAAGACTGTCTGCTTCCGTGCCTGGATATAGGACTCATCTGAAAACGAGGTGCCATTGGCACGTTGGGCAGTCTGTTCGGAAACCGGAGACTGGTCGCGATTGATCAGATTCATATAACTCTCAACGTCCGTTGGTGCGGCGTAAGCTTTACGGGTCCTAGTAGTACTAGGCTTGGGGGTGCTGGCAGGACGTTCCTCATCTGCAGGGCTGCCGTTTCGCTGAGACTTGTATCGGGTACAGCCCTGTGCATTGACACGAATGGGCCAGAGACCGGGGACGCTGGTTGAGTCTTGGAACTTCTCTAGCTCATTGGTGACCCGTGCAATTGCATCGTAATACTTGTCCTGTCTGGTCAACTGAGCCAAGCGAGTGAATTCCAACGAAAGGGATCCAAGTTCAGCCAGTCCAGCGCGAGAAGAAGCCCGGTGACGCTTTGCGACAAATTCTCTGGATACGAGTTAGAATTGGACAATTGATAGAACCTGGAATTATCACTTACGGTGCCCAGCGGTAATATAGATGCGGCATGCGGTTTGGCGTGTCGAAAGCGCCAATCAAAATCTCAGCAAGCTCTTCAGCCTTCTCCAAAAGCACCGAGTATCGGTGGCCGGAGATATCATAAGCTCCCAAAAGTCCACCGATGTAGCGGATGGTAGTCTCAAACACCGGAATGTCTTCCCTCAATGAAGTTTTGAAATCGATCTTCTTGATGGCATCCACGGCCTCGGAGAACTCGTCTTTCATTTCCATGATCCAAAGGGTATCAAGAGAATCGACCAAAGTCGCTCCCCACCCATTGAAGGGATCCTCAGACTCCTTGGACAAGGGCTTGACTTCGTCATGTCCCATAGCAACCTGTTTATAGCCTTGCCATGCGTGCTTGAACTCGGACTTGATCGCGCTGAGACGCTGAAGACGCTCCTGCTTATTGGAGCTCGACTCATCCTTGAACTTGGCCTGCAGTTTGGGGATGGCCTTCGACTGCTGCTTCGGTAGCTTGATCACCTCCGCTGCAGGGACGGGATACCGCTCTGGGAACTTGCTCCATCTGGCCGAGGGAGAGCTGGTCTTCTGGCGGTCCACTGGAATGCGACCCCCGCCTCCATTATCGATTTCCTCGTCTGATGCGTGTGGCGGCTTGGCCGTGCTCTCTACTACCGTGGGGACCTTCGGGGGATCCTTGTGGTCGCTGTCGGTGTGCGCAATCGCCGATGGAGGCCTATCGCTCGCATCTTTGAGCCGATTGCTGCCTTCCTTTGATCCGCTGCTGGGACCCACGGGGGAGGTGATCTTTTCGGTTGACGGTGGAGTGGAGCCGCGGTAAGGTTCAGGGAAATTTTTGGTATTTTCAATGGGAGCAGCGACGTCCGAGTTGGGGGTTGGGGGCTGTTTTGGATAGGGATCGGCCGGGTGAATGCTAATGGACTCTTCGACTGCTGGGCTACTCCAATCGCGGGACCGCGCAAAGTGGAAGAACGTCAGCACGAAGGCCGCGGCGAATATGAAAAAGACCCGGTATCGACGCGCTCGCAACATCGTGCTGTACAAAAGAATGAAACAAAAAGAAGAGGCGAAAGGGGAGGAGAATTGGCGAGTCTAGATGGAATCACGAGACTATTAGTAAATAGATCCACATTGGTCAGAGAGTTCGATCTTCGCTCCTTCCGATCTTGCCGTGTCGGGTAGATTTATTAATAGTCTGCGGAGAACTTACTTCTTTCTGCTTTTCTCCCTGTCTCTCTCTCCGGGAATTTCCTGCTTTGCTGATTAGGGCAAACGAAGACCCTTTGACATTGAAGCCCCTGGAGCCCCTGGGAAAACCGCGTTTCTCGGGCCCCCGAGACAAGTGGGGATTGCGGCGAGACGCCAAAATCCGGGGCCAATGATCGACTGTGATGAAATTGCGCCCTATGCATCGCTTGGATGCAGATCCGCAAGGGTCTCCGGACCCTCTCTAAGCGATTTGATAGCCTCCAGAACACCTCATACACTTCTGGGGGCCAAAAATCAAATCTAAAATGCTGCGCTTTGTACGGAGTACGTACGACTAGCAATACGAATATCCTCTTTAACTTGAAGTGATGGTAATTTCAGTCATATATCGCATGCAAGATACCTTTATTGTGACTACTACTACTAGGGTATCGCCCGAAAACAGCACGTGAAATTGACTAGTCTAAATCCCCACGGTTGTTCGTCGCCCATCTGTGTTCGCTTTCTGAAATTGCTGGATCAGACCCAAAACTCCGACACCACCGGCAATGGCGTCGAGGTTGTCGCCTTCGTCACCCTCGTCGCCTTCATCGGCGTCATCGGCGTCTTTGCCCAGTGGGTTCATGCGCCATGACTCCCCTAGATTGCTTTCGCTGGTGCCTGCACCAGCACTGGATGTACCACCTCGAGTAGCCGACAACCGTGCGGCGGAATCACGGCCATCTTGGGACACCGGCTCCTCCTCGTCGTAGATAGGGTCAGGGTGGTGAAGAGGCTGCCCGAGTCGAGAACGTTGATACTGTTGGGGTGGTTTTCGGGTTTTCGGGCCGAATCCAGAAGTTGATGGCTGATGATGGGGGTCAAGCAGCATCGAGGGAGCAGGAGATCGGTGGTCGCCGACTCCCATGGGCCTCAGTTTGGATGTATCCATCGCGGATGGACCAAACATCCCACCCATAGTCGGACTTGGGCGGGGGTGAAGGGGATCAGGGCGGTCGGGATGAGCCCCAAAGTCAAGCCCGGAGGCGGATCCAAGAGTAGGCAAGGTCGGAGGTGGTTGGAAGTGTCGTCGGGTGGAGGGTTGGTGGTTGGGCCCGTAATTATCCAGGAAACCGTAGTATGAGGCGAGCATCTTGTCGTCCTTGGTTGAGAAATAATCAGTACGCAAGTCCGGCTTGCCAGGACCTGGGCGTGCCGGTGCAGCCTGAGACAGCACGTTCGAGCCCTTTTTGAAATCAAAGACAGCAAACGAGCAGAGATAGCCTACACCGTCGACGTGTACGGTGAACTCGCGGAAGAAATCGATAATGCTGTCGCTGCACTTTGGCAAGCTAAACCACAAGACAAAAGGAGTGAAGATCATGCTCAGGATCTCTTCCATAAATATAACGATCTTCATCTGATAGAGGACTGCAAATTCTTTTCGCACGTCATCGCTGTGCAGACGACCTTTCCACCCGGAGGGAAAGTAATGAGTGAAACCAATCAGCTCGCGGAGTGCATATTCAGGATCGAAGACGTCCGTCTCTTCGGGCGCCAGGCCTCTTGCAAATGCCCAAACTGTACCGAAGATGCCAAGGTAGAAGAGTACCGTTCTATCGGGAGTAATTTCAAAACCAAGGAAAAGCTCTGGGTCTATCACCGAAGCAAGGGCAAGCACAGAGGCAAGAGCCCCAGAGATGAAAGCGACGAATCGTGCCGCTTGCACAGTCTTGTCCTTGGGGAATTGGTCAATATAGCGACTAGCAAATGGGTAAGACATGTTGGTTCGACGTTCAAAGAGATGCCAAAGTTCATTGAACTCGCGGAATTTCCACTCCGCCATGGGAGTGTATTGGCGGGAACCGATCTGCCCTGGGTTCTTCTTGAACTCGTTGAAGTACCGGAAGAAGTAATGCATTGTGAAGTAGACCACGATGAAGGGTGCTACGAAAATGTTCATGATGCCAGCGATGGCGAATCGCCGACGCAGGGCATCACTAAGCGCTCTCCTATGAGTGTCTTTCAGAAACAGGGTCCTCAGCTGGCCTTGCTCGTTGAAGACGTAGTCCATGACACACAGGTTGAGATTCCATTCCATGGTCCGTGAGAAGAGCTGGCGATTTCTGAGGAATGGGACTGGAAGAGTGAGATCCAATATGTCCTTGTTTACCAATGCAATCATATAATTCTCCTTGCGCATCAAACGATTAGCAATGTCATGAGCGTCCATGCGCTGCTTCGACTGGCTTCCCAGGAATTTTCGGTGCTTTGCAGAGACCGCTGCGGCGGTAGATGGATTTGAATCCCTTAGCGCCATTAGTCGGCTGACCACTTCTTGCCAGGAAATAGTCTGCACTTCAGCATCGGAGACATGGAGTAGATAAAGATAAAAGTCATGCAGGTGTTTGAGCCTGCGGATATCTAGCACATATTGAAAGAGCTTTACAATCCAGAAAAAGCTGGAGAGCCACAACAAGAATGTGGAAGAGCCCGACATATTTGCCGTGCACTTGGGTACTAGGATGTCATCGAGCGTTTTGCTCCGCCGTACCTTGGAGTAATCGATGCAATTTGTCAAGAAGGTCGAGAAGCCAACGACAAAAGCAAATGTTCTGGCCCTGGTTAGCTTTGAGTTTGGAAATTGGCTGGTCCACATACAATAAGTTGAGCACCCTCGTCAGCAGGATGGACCAAATTCCGTTACCCAGGAAGTAGACATAGACATCCTTCAAAAAGTTGTCCAAATCTTCCACATTGGCCCATCGCCACATTGCCTTCTTTTCAGGGTCAATGTTGGCAAGGCCAGGGTGCTGCCCGGAAAGCCATTTAGAAACCGGGTGACCATTATCGTCAGGAGGTTGACTTGTGTGCTCATTCCAGCGAGGTCTGGTGGGCTGTGGAAACGGGTCGGGACTCGGGATTCTTTGACGGTCTGACCGACCATGGGGTTGGGGAGGAGGAGGAGGTAACCGCGATTTCACATCTTCGTGATGACCTTCCACCAGCAGTGACTGCGGTACATCATCGTCATTCCCTTCAAGCTCATATCCCAACGAGTCCTGTGTCATCCATCGAGGTCGAGATGATTTGCGACGGCGTGTGCTAGAAGGTGAAGTCCGGTCGGGGGCCTTGCCCATGCGAGCCTGGTTCAGGAGAGCAGTGCTTGGACTGACTATCTCACTTTCCTGCGCATCTGCCAACGCATCTTCCAGTTCCCGATCACTGAAATGTTCCTGGTCATCCTCGAAGGCTAAGCCCGCCCGTTCTTCGACATCAGAGGATTCGGATCCAGCGTCGTGTTGGCGGATGGTCTCGTAGACGGATGGTGAGCCGGTCGGGGGCAGGAACCGAGATAGAATGTTGGAAGACATCATATTGCTTCAGACTGAATGTAACTGATTCAGACCACTCATGTCAACGGCACCACAAGCCGATGGTTGTAGTGACGAGCGGCCATTCAGCAGTAGACGGAATGAGAGGTAGTCAACGCAACAGGATAGATTGCATGAGGGAGAGAGTATTAGTATGGAGGTCCAAGGCAGCAAGTCAGTTACAATAAGAAAGAGAAACGGTAGGATTCGTCTCGTGATAGCTCTGGAGCAGTCACCAGAGCTGTGAACGTGAAGCTATGATGACATAAAGTGATGCCTTAGGCACTAGATAAGATACCATCATGTGCCATGATGTGCGGGGCTCCAGCGAGTGACTTTGTACAATTTGTCTGTACTTGCGTCTGTCCTTGAATGCTGAAGAATACTGTTTCTCTGTCTACATATGACTACTGCACATCATCTACAGTAGAGATACGGTGGGCCGAGACAAGAACCGGAAAATTTCCCTGGCTTGTTGTAACGCGTAAAGTTAGTATGTACCATTGCCAAATTGGACGAAGATCTACATTACGATGAGTATGTCCATGGTATTATTTACATTACTTACATTATTTACATGAGATGTGCCCGGGTTCTTGACATGAATCCATTCAGATAGGTATTGATCGACATCACCAGCTACAGCTCTCTGTGTATCCGTGTAGTCGGCAGTTTAGGACACGTTTAGGAGTGGAAATCCCAATGCCACACTGGATTCCCTTGCCCCGATCCTAAGCCCCGATTGGTGATCTTTATCGTCGATAAATGGCTGAAAGCCAAAAGGTTGCTAGCACTAGTCTTTAGTACGGAGTACGGAGTACTTGGAGTACTTTACTATGAAGGACTGCGTACTATGGAGAAGTTGGTACTCCGTAATGCTTCTAGTGTTAGTGTCGCTAGTACACCTCGTGGGAGTGTTCGGAATGGGAACTGTAGAAACATCAGACATGAAATAGTCGAAGATGAAGTGTAGAATCCATAGATGAGAGACTAAAAGAAGAATGATAGGCCAATTGTGAAGAATTGAGGCAGAAAACAAGAAGCGTGCCGTTCTCATTATTTTCCCCTATACAGCCTCTCCGTTATCCACTCTCCCCTCCCCCCTCTCTTTGCGACATCATCTTTGCCCGGGTTTCCTTATTGGATCTCAATATTTTTTTTCTCTTTCTTCTTTCTATGGAGCAAGAAAAAATTCAATAATCTTCCAAAAGGGACTGATGAAGGTATGTGCGCATTTCCCTTCCCCCCTCCCTCGATGAAACAACCTTTAGCTTCGAACTGCCGTTGACCTTTGACACCTTGACAGCGACACCATCGCCACCGACTGGGAGGATTGGACACTCACCGCATTCACTAGGCTCACCTGCATAATTCAGACAAACGACGGTGACCCGCGCCGGCTTTGTCCTGGTTTCCCATTGCCCCCTCCCGCCGCCTCGACCGAATGTGCGACTCCGATACCCAACCTCTCACCGGACTCCATGTGGTCTCATAACAATATCCTGGCCAACAGCGACTTCCAATTGTACAAGCGCAGCTGTGCAGCACACGTCGGGTGCCAACAAACAGCCTCTTCTCACCGGTGGTTCTGAGGGAGGTTGCGTTGGGCGCAGGACATCCTTTTCGCCCCTCCTTACATCGACAGCGTGCATTCCCCCCCCGTGTGTAGCCTGCCTCGCCAAGGACTATATTTATTGACGTGAACGAAATGGAGCCTGAGAACCCGAACGCCTTCAAGCGGAGCTCGATGCATCAAGCGCTATACAGTCGCCCAGTAGAACGACGTGCAAGCAAGAAGTCATCATCAAGAGATAGGCATGGTATGGTCTACCCTGACAATTTCCGAGAAACCACCATTCGAACCGTGACACCAGAGTCCGCCAACCATTCACCTTTGTCCGACAACGAGCCGCCAGTAGACCGCGTTGCTTCTTCACCTCACAGTATCGCGCGTTCACGAACCACCGAGCCAGAGCGGATCCGAAGCCTCAACAAGCATTCAACCGGAGGAACCGAGGAAGACGGCCCAGGGGAAGGCAGGAGCCAAAGGGCGCGATCGCGGACAACGACAGCCGAGGAGCAGCGGAACGACACCCCCAATACCTTCAAATCTCGATCGCGCATCGGATCCATCAACACGGCCAGTCCGTCTCAGCCAAAGGTTCCCGAAGACCCTTCATCCTCAATTGGGTTCCCATCGATACAAAAATACTCCAGCCAGACGGTCCCTCGCAATCGGTTTAGCAAGGCCACTGGTCTCGGAGCGATCAACCAAGACTCATTCGCATCGCCCCTTTCAAGTACGGAAGCTACGAAGATCCTCCAGTTAATGAAGACAACCTGTGGCAGAATGCATGGAATCCTGTCTTTTCGGTCCGCCCCGACCACTTCCTGGACATCCGGGTACTGCGCCATCAATGTCGCCACTGGAAGCCTCATCTACCAAGCCAAAGGAGAGCCAGCATTGGCCAAGACTTTGATTCCCGACTTGCGCGGTTGTCGAGTTCGGACGATGTTTGACCCCGAACTGCAGACAACCTACCTGAGTGTCCACACCTTCACCTCCGGACTCGGAATACAACTACGCCCCCATGTTAACGAGACATTTGATTCTTGGCTTGCTGCTCTTCTATGTTGGCAACCGATTCGACCAAAAGGTGTTCAGAACAAAATGACCAAACCCCAGGAAGTTGTGATGGGAGACCGACGAATCCCTGAGCGCCGGCGAAACTCTGAGAGCTCAGCACAGAAAGACGCAACGATAATCAAAGTTGGCAAGATGCTTCTTTGGGACAAGCCATCAGCTTCCGGTGCAATGCCTGTGTCTGGACGTCGTGTCTCAACATACAAACAGTCAAGGGCTCTTTCTTCCTCATGGCAGAAAGTGAGCTGCACACTACAAGAAAACGGCCACTTTAAGCTTTACACAGAATCCGATGTATCGCTCCTTGCAACTGTGCATTTGTCCCAGCTATCCCGCTGCGCGATTCAACAGCTTGACTCTTCAGTATTGGATGACGAGTTTTGTATCGCTATCTATCCTCAATACGCTGCGCACCCGATAACAGAATCGAACCTGCGCCCCATATATCTCGCCCTTGAGAGCCGCGTTCTCTTCGAGGTATGGTTCGTATTGCTGCGAGCTTTCACCATCCCAGAGCTCTATGGTCCTGCATCCCAACTCCGCGAAGACCCCAACAAGACACCAGAAGCCGAAACCCCCGGAACGCCTTCGACTAAGGACATGTTCCGAATTGAGCGGTTTTTGAACCTGAAGGTTGTAGAGGCCAAGCTCTTCCGGACCAAAGAAGAAGGCACACCTCGAAGCCGCAAAGCATCAAGATCACATGGCCAACCTTCCCCCTCTCCCAAGCTGAGTGATTATTACACAGAGGTTCTTCTCGACGGAGAAATTCGTGGCAAGACTGCTGTCAAATACCGCACTATGAATCCCTTCTGGCGAGAGGACTTCGTTTTCAACGACCTACCCCCGGTTCTCTCCCAGGCCTCTATTCTCGTCAAAACCCTCAACCCAACACAGAAAGACTGGACCCTAATTTCTCACGGAACATATGCCCCAAATCAAGACATGAACGCCTCCAACATGCTCAATGAAATTGAGATTTCGGCAAACGATGCTGTTTCTGGACGCGTAGACTTACGACTGGAAGAATTGGATACAGGTGTGGACACCGAAAAATGGTGGCCGATCCTGGATGATCAAGATCAACCGATTGGCGAAATGTTCATGCGGGCCAGAATGGAGGAAACAGTTGTCTTGATGTCCGACGAGTACTCCGCGATGTCGGAGCTGCTCCACAATTTCACTAACGGGCTCACCATCAACATGGCGCAATTGATGTCATCAGAGCTCAACCAACTCGCTGAAATGCTGCTCAACATCTACCAAGTTTCGGGATCCACGGTGGAGTGGATATCGGCTTTGGTCGAAGATGAAATCGATGGTGTGCACAAAGAGTCAACAACGAACCGACTGCGATACACTACGAGGATTCATTCAAACAACTCACAGGAAACTGGCCAAGAGCGCGAGGTCCTCGTCCGAGACATGGGGAGAACAGCCACCGTGGAGGCCAATCTCCTGTTCCGTGGAAATTCTCTCCTCACTAAGGCCCTTGATCTCCACATGCGTCGTCTAGGAAAGCAATATCTTGAAGACACAATCGCGGAAAAACTGCGTGACATCGATGACAATGATCCCGAATGTGAAGTCGATCCATCCCGCGTGCCACGCCATGAAGACCTTGAACGCAACTGGCGGAACCTCACAGCTCTCACTACAAGTGTGTGGAAATCCATCGCAGGATCTGCTTCGCGCTGTCCTCCAGAATTGCGTCTCATATTCCGGCACGTGAGAGCATGTGCAGATGATCGTTATGGCGACTTCCTTCGGTCTGTGACATACAGTAGCGTTTCGGGCTTCTTGTTTCTGCGCTTCTTCTGCCCGGCCATTCTCAATCCCAAGCTCTTTGGGCTTTTGAAGGGTAAGAATTTTCGTCATCAACTGCCTTTTCCCACCATTTGCTAACCACGTTTAGATCACCCCCGACCTCGGGCACAGCGTACCCTGACTCTAATCGCCAAAGCATTGCAGGGATTAGCCAACATGACAACATTCGGCAACAAAGAGCCCTGGATGGAGCCGATGAACAAATTTCTGGTCGGCCACCGTTCGGATTTCAAGGACTTCGTCGACTCGGTCTGTGCAATTCCCGCTGATCGACCAGCCCCCATCGTCACGCCCTCATACACCACCCCCTTCCAGATCCTCGGACGATTGCCACCTACTTCGCGCGAGGGATTCCCTAGCCTTCCATTCATCATTGACCATGCCCGTTCTTTTGCAAATCTGATTCGTGTTTGGCTTGACGTCGGCCCTGAACGATTGAACGAATTGCATGAAGTGGATATCAACCTTTCAAAGTTCCACAAAGAAGCCCTCCATCTACGAAAACGTACGGAGGAGTGTCTTACTCGTGCTGAGCAAGCCGAGCGGCCAAGCGGAACTTTGGAAATCAAATGGGAAGAGTTGGTAGACCAGATGGAGCGAGCTGTGACCTTATACGACGAAACCACAAGCAAGCCCAGTACTCCGGCACCAACAGACCCCTCAATAGCTGGCTCTGCACCGACCCCGGGCAGTCACCGGAACTCCATCGGCTTCTTTGCCCCCAGGCCTGCAATCCCTCGGCGCTCTACTGACAACCCTCCTGACGCCGAGGACGATACACCACCAAGTTCATCATCGGCTACTTGGGATCAAAGTCGTATTCCATTTGCTATACCCCGCTGGTCGGACCCGCGTGATAGCACCGGGAGCTCCAAAAATTCCTCAACCTACTCTTTGGAGTATTCCGAGTCTTCCAAAACACGCAGAGCCAGCGTTAGCAAAGAATCTTCAAGCAAGTACCGGTTCTTTGACTTTGTGCCTGCTCCATCCCGACGCAAAGCCAAAGACCGTGATCAATCTCACAACCAGTCGCACGAAGACCTACGCAATGAATCTTGATACACGAACGACCACGCAATATCTATCCATCGCCATACATGTTTGATTAACTGATTTACCGCTGTCTCTTCCTCCCTCTCATCTTTCCATGTCCTCATGATTCCGACGTTCCTCTTCTCTCCTTTTTATACTTCACCTACAACCATCCAGTCTCTCCTCCTTGTTCCCTGGCTATCTGAATGATGCCCGTCTATGTTCCCCGCCAAGCATGTGTCACGGTGTTGATACCCATCCCTTCTTTCCATCGTGTGTTTCATGGTCCCGCCACCCCTCGTACACATCCCTCGGTCTGGCCTCGTTAAAGACAAGAGAGCCAAAAAAGCATCTGAATTTCTGAGAAGCAAAAAAGAACACGATTCGACATCCCAAGCTGGCTGAGGCACTCGTGATATCTTTCTCGTTTTGGTTGGTCTTTTTGAAAACCATTTGGGTCTTTTTTTTAATCGTGTGTTTGGGTTTCCTTCGGAGAAGGTGGCCATCGTGTAAATACCATTTATTTTTTTGCTCCTCCAATAGATGGAATGGACTGGTGTTCTTGATCTCCAGATATCGATGTACAATTGCATTGCGTGAAACATGCTCAATTGATACGAGTCTTTTCCAAGGGTTAATCAAGAAGTCTGTCTCATTTGGAGAGAAAAAAAGAGAGAGAGAAAATAAAGATACAAGGTCAACATTTCCAAATCAAAATCCTCCCAACCTTGGAAACAACGCCAGCACTCAGAAAACACATAGAAAATTGAGAAAATAGACATAAAAATACAAGCCCGAAGACAGGTTGCCAGAAGAAACATCCAACAAGCATTCCACGCCTATTGCCACAGACAGAGCTTGCCGCTAGCAGTACCACCAGCAACCCAGTTCTTACTGCGATGGAAGACCGCAACAGCAGGAACAGCAGTGATTCCATCACCACCGAGCTGGGCAAGCTGATCTCCATTGCTACTATAGATATCCACAAAGCGGTTCATGTTACCGATGCAGAAGCGCTGGATAGGCGATTGAGGGTTCAACTGCCATTGGGGACGGAGACTAAATATGGGTTAGCAAACAGAGAGTACAATCAATTGAAGGGAAAGTGTCAAGCATACATAGTAACCCAGCGTCCGGTCTGGCAATTGTGGCGCACAACGGTATCGGGAGTGAATTGCTTATCAGGGAGCGTATGTCCTGTCTTCCATGACGACAAGCCCTTAGCGCCGACATCATAGATCTTCAATGTGTCATCGTATGACGACGTAGCAATCTGGCCGGCGGAGTTGAACGCCGCATGCGAGACGGAAAGTCGGCTCTCGTGCTCAGCCACTGGAACTGGCTCCTCGGCAGACAGTTTGCGTAGATCCCACAGTCTCATGAATCGGTCAAGACTTGCTGTTGCAAAGTAGTTTGGAGTTGAGGGACAGAGACTGAACCCGCCGATTTTCTTTTCAGATAAGTTCCATGATAATACGTTTGCGTCTTTCATTGGGGTCCGCGTATCGTATTGCCCGAAAGCACCTTGGAGAGTCGTCCAATACAGAACGTTAGGATCTTCGGGTGCCATATCGACCCCAGAGATCGCCTCGTCAATGTCCGAGGCCTCCGGTGCATAGGCTTCGGACGACACCATCTGCTCCAGGTCAAGAGAGCGGATGGAGCTATCGTAGCTCGCCGTATACAAATGGGTGGGCTTAGACGGATTGACCACCATTGCGCTGATTGTACGCGTGTGGGGCTTCAATGTGGTTAACACTGGGTCAGGATCGTCGTCCTTGACATCTTCGTCGTCTTCATCTTCGTCCACTTCCGGCTTTTCCTGAGAGGCGTCTAACATTCCGAGATGCCCCATCTTATCACCGGCAAAGATAAGAGGCTTGGTCTCAGACGGATGGAAGGCCATTGCGTAGACGCGCTCGGGCGTAATTTTGATACCTGCGATCATACAGCGTCAGATCTCATACCTCTTCTACGTGAATTGCGGGGTACATACGCTGCGGATCCCATGCCTCCCACAGGGAAAGCCCGTTCATTTCTTCACGGAGTGCCTTCAAGTCCTTGTCGGTGGTCTGGTCGATGTCGTCGTCCCCAAACGTTCTTTCGTATGGTTTTGCGACACCTTTTGTTATAACATCCACGCCGATGAGGCTATCGCCACTCAGCTTTTGACCCGCAACAAACATGTCGGCCTGGCTGTAGGAACCGGTCCGGCGCAATCGCTTGACGCGATCGGCCTCCCGCATGGCCTCGTACTCATCGTCGGCCTTGCGCTTGGCGGTTTCACTTTCGGCTGCAATTCCCTTGAGACGTGAAGATGTGCGCCGCGGAGTATCGATCTCCTCCTTGATTCTTGGCGTCGCGCGCTTCTTTGACTTGTTTGCGCTGTTGTTCGCGGATTTCGGCGTCGAGAATCCGGAGTTTTGAGACTCGAGCTTCAATTGCTTCAAGAGTGCATCGCGTTCGGCAATGTTTGCCAGCCTCTGTTGTTCAAACTCGGACAATTCCTTTTTCACTGGCATTTTGGACTCAGGTGAACTGGACTTGTCCCTCTGTGCTGGAGGGGTGCGCGGAACGGCACGCGTTCTCGAGTTGCGCGAAGTCATGTGACCCATTGCGGAGAAAAAAAGACCTCCGAGTCTCAGTCTGTGCTTGGTGATAGTTCGAGGTCTATTCTCAGTGACCTGGAAACTGCGGAACTCGAAGCTGAAGCGTCTTTGGATACTGGAGCTTGAGTTTGAAAGTCTTTTCAAAAGTGCAACTTGCAGACATCACTCAGCGATGGCTACAAACATCACCCGATCATGCTTCGTTCGGGCAACTAGGAACACCACCACTCCCTTTCTATTCCACACTCGCACACTCACTTCCTTTTCGCCTTCTGTCCAAAACACTTCGAACCGTCGGTGCCCACGATCTTTCTCTACACAACATGGCTCTGGCGAGGATGATGCCTCTGCTGTGACCAATCCAGCAGAGACAAAGCTTCCGTCTGAAGAGTCAATTGACTCAGTTTCGACTGAGAATGTCCCAAAGCCACGCAGGAGCTTTTTACAAAAACGCGCGGCATCCGTGACCGCTGCCAAGTCTTCGATCCCAACCCCAGTTGCGACGGCGAAGACTACTAAGAGCGCTGCGCCGAAGATTACACCACAGGAGAAGTTGATATTTGGAGGACTATTGGAACAAATTGGAGTCAAGCATGATGGAGTCACTGCCGAGATGGACCCCAAGGCAAAGGCATTGAGTCCAGAGAAGCAAGCTGAAATGACTGAACTCATGGCTGTGTTCAACAACTTGCTTTCGGATCCTAAGAAGAAAAAAGCTGCCGTCAAAGCTTTGAAAAAGCAAAAATACGAGATGCAATTTGCCGAGAAAAGAGCCGCAGAAAGGGCAAAGGCGAAAGAGGAGGAGGTCCCGGAGGAAATAGGCCCAAGACGAATCAGGCTCAGCGAGCTGGGCTACTTCGAGCCCGCCACTGCCACAGCGGAAGAGGTCACGATCAGCGTTGCCAAGGCCATTGAGATGGTTGTTGAACGAGAGTCAGAGCACATTGAGTTCTCTCTGTTCCAAGCCGTCGAGGACGGCAAGGGAGATATGGGCGTGTGGGAAGTATGCAACGAGCGCGTGTTCTCGATGCTGCGACACCTGGATGAGAACACACTGGCAGAAGCCTCAAGAGTTGACCTGGATGTGGTTGAGACGCCCGAATCGCCAAGCCCCCAGCTATCAGGTCCTCTCCGAATCCCGCATGTCGTCCCTACGGCCCCTGTCCTGGCTGCTCTTTACCCAAAGACGCTCCTGATTGCGTTCCGTTTGCTCAACACGCACTTCCCTCGCTCGCCGCTCATTAGCCAGTTCCACTCCACTATCAAGGAGCACGGTCGTATCTCCGCGCTTCTGGGTGCTTCCTCTGGCCTGTACGATGAATTGATCTACTACCAATGGCGTGTGTGTAAGGATCTACCTGCAGTGATTGGAATTCTGCGTGAGATGAACCAACTGGGTGTCAACCCTAGTAGCAAATCCCGCGGCTTGCTTACCGGTCTTGTGATTCGTCAGCGCCGTGACTTGGAAGCTCACCAGAAGGCTGCAGATGGACGAGAGTTCTTCTGGGATTTGCCATCCAACAGAGACGCATTAGATGAGCTCATTCGCAAGGATGGGTGGATGGATCAGATAGAGGCAGCCGCGAAAGAAGAAGCGAAACAGCGGGAGTTGCGCCGGAACTTCCAGGGCTAATCGCTCTTAGTTGGTCCTGGGACCGTCCTGATGAGTGCTTCAGGTGTACTTATAATCTCCACTAATTTCAGCTTAATATGAGCGAAGCATAGCGTTCTCTTATTTCAATTATTCTTCATCGCCTGTAAGCTACCTGTGGTAGGGATCAGACATCATCTATTTACAAACACATGCTACAACAAAAACAACCAAGAGTCCTAAAGATGCAATGAAAACCAGACAAACGGGCAACGGTCAGTAGGCTACATGCCTAAAGACCTCCATGGATACCCCAAAACTTTTCCGCACCAAAAGTGAAGCTATTGTCATCCTTCCATAGGTCATCGAAAGCAGTGAAAAGCACCAAGTCTGAACGACGATGGTCGAAGCTTTTCCTCAGACTTGCAAGTGCAGTCTGCTGGTTCTCGGGGGAGGGTATCGCAGCCCCGTTTGTATCTCCAGCATGCGGCCACCCAGATTCCGTAATCATAGTGTGTTTGCCATTGGCGGCGGCCGAGATACTACGCGCTTGCTCAAGAGCGTATGCACCCGCACCGCCAGGGTGTTGGTTGGCATCGAAGAAAGCATGGCAGTTTGCAGCGCAGTAGTCAGACGCAACGCATAGTTCCGGGTGGTCCAAGAGAACCGAGAAGGTATCAACTGTGACGACAGGGCCTTTGTATCCCTGTCCGCGTAGGATAGAGCGGGCTTTGTTCACAGCGCTGACGACTTCGGCGGGATCGCTGGTGCCGCCATTTACGAGCTCGTTTCCGATTGTTATGGTGTGGAAGATGGACCAGTCTGGTTTGCCATCAGGACCCTTTGCGACATCACTGATGGCACTCAGGCTTCCTGGGAATCCTTGGAGGTCGTATACTCCCGCGAAAACGCGCATATTGTGTCGTCGTGCAGCGTTGGCTACTGTCTTGGTCTGGTCACAGTCTGTACCGTAGATGCGAATGAAGGAGTATTGAGAGAGTCTGTCTAGATCATGGTTTACTTCTTCCTGGTTCTTGCAGGAACGGTCTGCCTTGTAAGGAGAGTAAGAGATTCCAAATTGGTCATGATGCTCGTGACCAGCAGGGGTATTAGGATGAGGCGCTGGTGGTTTGGGGTGAGCTTGAGGGTGTGGGGGGGAGGAGGAGGAGGAGGGGGAGGGGCAACGGGAGGAGGAGCTAGGGCTGGTGGTGGTGGGGGCGGCGGTGGTGGTATCCCCGGGGGCTTCTCAACCAGTGCAACCGAACGGTCATTCATGTCGTTAGCATCCTTGGATGTTGTAGGGGTCGATGCCGTGCGAGCACCATCTGTGTCTGGTCCTGATGGAGGGCTATCTTGTGATGGAGCCTGAGGGGCCGACTTTGAACTATGTATCAGTAACAGCTCACATTAAGATCCTGTGTATTCACTCACTGGTTGTGCAATTGGAGCATGGCTGTTCGCGATGCTTGGGTCAATGGGCTCGCCATCTTCATTGACCCAGACTACTACCTCTTTAGTCGAAACTTGCTGAGCGAGACCATTCAGGCATTTGGCCTCTGTTGTAAGAAATAAGTACTTTTGTTCCATTCAAAAGCATCAAAGCCATATGACCATGTTCGTGGCAGTCTCACCTGAAGCATCGGCGCACACGCCACATGCAAGTAACAGCCCCACGAGCGCCTGAGAAAGTCTTTTCATTTTGCAATCGAGCACTCCTTCAGACACTCACTTCTAATCCCACGAAAGAGATGTCCAAGAGTCAATGAGCGTCGATCACAAAACTTTCATCCCTGATTCGAAGTAGAGTGTCCATCGAGCATAGTGCCGATCAGCCCCATTATATCCATGGCTAACCATGGCTAAGGGCGTGGAGTGTATAGGTGGAGCATGCAGAAGCAAGGGATCGACAACACAACGCCTGGATCTGGGGTCTAGATGTGGAATGAGATCTGGGAACTGCCAAGTTTCCACCAGCCCCTTGGTCCGGGTAAGGCTTCTGGGATGGAGGTTCGGCTTCGGAGAAAACAGTTTGGACCGGGGGTGGACAGTATCATTGGCATGGAGGCTTCACTCGGGACTGGACCGAGAATGCGACTAGTGAAGGGGGACCTATTAGAATGAGGGTCCATTCCGTCTGGTCGCTCGGGGACACAGGGGCGTCCTTTGAATGTTAGCTGGAATGCCCTAGCAATGAAGTATTACATAGAGGGTCTGTGGGGGAACTTTGATACAATGTACATGGAAGAGAGCCAAGGAGTCGTGGCGAGATCCTAAGCCCGAGTCCTAACTCCCTGTCTGGCTCAGGATCCATCAAGGGAGCTCAAGCCTCAAGTCCCAAAAGCTACTCAAAGGAAAGCACAAACTCAGCTGAATAGCCTCGGCATTTGTAATAATGTATGCAAATAAACACACCCTCGGAACAAAGCGCCAAGGAGAAAAGGATAAGTATTAAACAACATAGAACCTTGTACAGGGAAGCATGAGCCCGCCAAGAAAGAGAAAAGGGCGGCCCTGTACAAGGCATGCAATAAGAATGTACATCGACAGAGTTCACAATACAGGGATTGAAAGGGCATTAGGGCGTAGGTCGATTGAGGAGAATGAAATCGAGAGATGTCGAGGTCATGGAGCGTGAGTGGTCATCAAAGTTTCCTGGTGGAAAACCACCTTCACTTCCTCTTGCTCATCACCTTGGTGATGGCATGACGGATGATTGTGCCCGCCTTTTCGGTCTCTTTCTTCGTGAGGCCAGTTGTGACACACACCTTGAGAGCGGGGAACAGGACCTGCTTGGGCTCAAAGTTGTCCTCAAGAGCCTTCAGTCGAGTGATGAGAACGCCATTGGCAAGGCACTGCGAACGAGTTAGAGTTAAATCGGACGATAGATTACCGGAAAATTCAAGAAAAACCACGTACCTCATCAACGACGTCTTGGAGCAAGAACTGCTGGTCAGTCGGTGTTAACCTCTTGGCGGCGACAACCTCGGGCTTGATAACCAAGATATGGATAGGGTTCTCAGGCGAATTTGTACAGTAGACCCAGTCACTGCGGGGATCTAATTGAGCCCGCATGGCGCTGGTAACTTCGCGAAGCTGTGACACAGTCTCAGGGCTGTTCTGAAGGATTTTGATAGTGGCACTGGCAGTAGTTGAAAGTAAAGCGGGGAGAGCGGCGGAGAAAGTGTAAGCAGCAGCAGAGATGCGCTGGTGGTGAACAATCTCTTCTGAGCCAGCGCAGAAGCCACCGCCAGCAACGAGGGGACCAGCCAGCGATCCCACGATCATATCGACCTCAGCTGCGTCGACGTTTTGGTGCTCGGTAATACCACGGCCTGTGCGGCCCAGAACACCGAAGGACCAAGTCTCATCCAGAATGAGACGGAACTTGTACTTCAGTCTCAACTCGATCTGCCAAAATTGTTAGTTTAGCTTTATGATCAGGCGCGGGTTCACGACATACAATCTTGGGTAGGTCTGCCATGTCACCGTAAGACTCGAAGAGACCCTCTGTGATGATGAAACGGCGAGTCAGGGGCTTGCGAGCCTGGTCCTTGGTAACCTTCGCGAGAACTCGTTCCAGATCCTCCATATCGTTGTGTTCGTACCAGTGGACTTTGCTTCGAGAAATCTGGATACCCTTGCGAATTGCAAAACTGACAGCCTTATCCGCAACAATGATATCTCCACGCTTTGAAAAGGCAGGAATAACACTTGAGATCGTGGAAAACGCCTGGGAATAGATGATACAAGCCGCAGTGCCCAGGAAAGCCGAAACATCATCTTCAGTCTTCATATGAACATCCTGACTACCGTAGAAACCGCGGGGACCGCAGGGACCAACACCGTACGTGCGCAGTGTCTGGATCGCCTGTTCTTTGAGTGATTCGTTGGTGTTGAAATTGTAGAAATTGAAAGATCCGAGGTTCATAACGGTGCGGCCATTGGCAAGTTTCGATTTGGGACCTACAGGGCTGCACATGCAGGTGTCATGCGTTAGTAAAGAAAAAGAGAAGGTCCGCGGGGACCAGTGGGTGGAGGCCTAGAGGGGGAGACGTTACCCAACAATAACTGCGCGCTTTTCGACTTCCATTTCCTCAAGGCTGGTAGGCTTCCCCACGAGAGGCTCAGGGGTCCATTCATCCACCAAATCGTCGATCTCATCTTCGGTGAGTGGCACGACGCCGGGCTTGGTCGAATATTTCGGGGCTAGCAGGTATCGCACAGCGAAGAGGAAAAGGAATAGTTCGACCGCAGAACGAATTGGGTCATCCTGGTAACTAGATTTGACATAGCGAAGGAAAATTGCCGATCCAGGCACACGGTGGAAGAGGTCCGCAAGTTCGTGCAGGTATACGGAAAGGAGGCGCTGGGTCTCCTGGAGATCCATGGCGGAGATTCGGAGGCGCTCGCGAGGCAGCACTGGATCGAAGTAGTGTCAGGAGTAGGTGAAATTGAGGAAGAGCTGCGAGGTAGGTCGTATCGGGGCGCTCACCAAGTGAGATTGGTAAAACGGGGGACTCGGGGTCCTGGAAACTCCGTGGCACGTGACCTGGTCCGAGGAGCGATGTCAGACCACTCAGAGCGTGGTGTCCATAACGCTACTTACGAAGTCCTACTGATTATTCCTAAGGTCCAGAGGACGCTACGGAGAAGGGAGATGTTCACGAAAGCAATGCAATTTAATTCCGATTGAAGTGTAAATAAAACAAGCAAAGAAAGCTGGAACGAAGGTAAACCCCCGGAATGACAAGGCCCTTCATACAAGCGTCATTGGACAAAAGATAATTGAAAGCAGCCATTCATTAAGATCAACGTGTGCGCCGGTGGATTCAGAAAATGCAGCGAATTTTAAGAAACACGAGTTTGTACAAACCATTCCAATGTCATATCGCAAACGCCTTAGATGTACCATCTGTCGGTACCTGCGGCGGGGGTAGGGGCGGAGGCGGAGGAGTAGCCGCCGGGAAGGTTGGATCCAGTGTACCAGTCAACAGTATCGTTGATTCCGTGGTCGAGTGGCTGGAGAAGACCAATGTGGTTGGTGTCAGGAACACCGATGGCGTTCCACAGGCTGTCCTTGAGGAAAGAGTCGAGCACTTTAGTGTTCCGGAGAACAACGGGCGCCGCTATGATCACAACGAAGATGACAAGGATGGTGAAGTAGAGAATGGCGAAGCGGACAACACGTCTCTTGCGCAACTTAGACTGCTTGAGGGAGTAGATGGGAGGACGGATTTGTCGGCTGGTAGGCATGTTAGCGTTGTTCGACGGGGAGGAAATCATGATGGGAGTACTAACCTGGGACGCAGCCAGAACAGGATTACCGAGTGGAACTTGTCAACGTAAGGAATGGCAAGTGCTGGGAGCATCGCAAAGAGCAAGATGTGGCCCAAGAAGAAATCGGTCGCGAAGTAGCCGAGCTCTGTGATCTTACACAAGAACTCACGTCCAGGCTGGGAGAGGGAGTGCCATCCCATGTTGTACCATTTTCCAGTCCACCAAGCGATATTGGATTGATCGTTCTTGAATTCACGGGTCAAGGCAAGAGAAATGATCAACTTGTAGATGAAGCGCTGGAGGGCCATGGCGGCGATCATACCGGAGATAGTACGGGCCCAGTTGAGAGACTCAAGCACAAACATAGCCAGGAAGAAGATCAAGAAGGCGATGACGGCGATGGCGTGAGCAATGGCGGCGAGAACAGCACCGAACTTCTTGCAACACATGCCGAAGAGAGGACCCATACAGCAAGCCATACCGAAGAACATGCCAGCGACACCAGCATTGATACCGACAGGGGCAAATGCGACAATGGCGACACGAGCGATGGGGTTGGCGGCCCACTTGTTGTCATCAGAGAACATGGTGCGGGAGTTGATGTACAGGTAGGGGATCAAGGTAGCACCGACTCCCAACAGGGGCGAGATGATCTCACTGAAGAAGATGTTTGTGATGCGAGCTCTTGGGACATCACCAGAGCCCTTCTCAGAGGGGACACCAAGGAGCTTGCGCTTGTAACCAGTGATACGGGTACGAGACAGACGACAGAAACCAATCCAGGAAGAAGCGTGGGAACGGGAGTTACCGCGCGAGAGCCAGCGGATGTAGTCACGGTAATCAATGAAGAAGTCGTTCCAAGCGAATTGGTGAGGGTTGAACAAGAAGGGCGAGATGCAAAGCGCGAGCAGAGACACCCAGAACCAGATGAGAGCAGGTGTCCAGACCGTGGTGGTGGAGAACAACAGCATCAGCAGGAGACGAGCACCGAGGTAAATGGACGGGCTAGCGAATCGGGAGTAGAGAACACCGAAGGGAATGCGAGCGGTGGCGAAACCACGTCCAGTACCAATGTAACGAGCACCTCCGAAAGACAAGTTGGCGTGCACAGCGTTGGCGTAGATCTGACAAACGAACACCTCGAACATGAAGGAGAGCGAGCCAAAGTGCTTTGCCAGACGGGTAGCCATGCGCCAAACACCACGCTCTGTCAACTCCTGGACGGCCAGAGGCACCCACGAGATGAAGAACACAATGAAAATGGAGATAACACAACGGTTGACCCAGTCGAGAATGGGGGTCAGGTTGGCACAGAGCGTGGGAACGAGGGGATCGGTGATGGGCAGATCGGAGTTGTACTTGCAAATGATCGTCTCGTGCTTCAGGGCACCGAGGTTAATCAACACAATCATGAACATCTGGACTGAAAGCATAATGAACATGTTGTTGAGATGGAAACCGGGGTGAGCGTAGTAGAACGAGAGGAAACGGTCAAGAGGCAGCTGAGTTCCGAGGTAGTAGTACTCTCGGGACAGCATCTGTTCACCCATACCAGTACCAATCTTGGTTGTAAAGTTGAGAATGGATCCGAAACCAAGATCACGACCCTTACCACACTGGTAGTACTCGCAGTGCTTGATGCGACCACCACGCAGGATAGCGTTCATACCAGCGTAAATATCCTCGTTCAGGTGCAATCCCTTTTGGGCCTTAGAGACACCGCCACGGGTACACATGAAAGTAGCGTTCAGGAAATCGGGGTGACCGTAGTGCAGCTTACCACCGACTTGCGAGAGAGTACGAGCGAAGAGGGTACCGAATGTCTGTTCCTTGGAGGCAGCAACATCACCAAGGACACCAACGTTCTCAGAGAAAATGTATTCACGGGCACCAAGAATGGCAACGGGGTTCTCTTCGGGGGAGGCGACACCAGGGGTGTAGGGGGAGACGTTGTCAGTGGTCAATTCCTCGAACTCGGCAAGAACACTGCGGATCTTGAGACACTCCTCGAGGTAGTTGTCCTGGTTGGCATCGATAAGCTGGATGTATTCACCGCGGTAGAAGATGATGGCGTGGTTCTGGTTGTCGGACTTTCCGTCTCCGAGAATGGGGTTACCGGAAAGCTGGATGCGGAACTTGGGCTTGCGCATGTTGTTCTCGAGGAGTTCACAGTGACCATCAATCAGGGCGGAGTACAGACGGGGCTCTTCGCCCTCATTGACAGGGGGGGCTCCTCATCAAGGTAAGCAATCTGGAGATCCGGGTAGGCACGGAGCAAGAACTCAGTGTTCTCACGCTCATCCTTGTTGAACTTGGCGTAACGCTGCATGGAAACACAGATGCGGAACTTGCGGCGGGCCATGCGCTCAAGCTCGCGCTCAAGCTTTTCGGAGTTTCCACCGAACATTTGAACGACCTCGGGGTTCTCAACACGGTAGAGGAGCTTGATGGCACGGCTGTAGTTCATGAAACCAGAGACAGTTCTGTACAGGGTCTGAGAGCGGAGGGAAGCCCAGATACGGGTGCGAAGAGTGTACTCGGGAGCAGCAGACTTGAAACCGATACAGTAGAAGGGAAGATCGTCGATCTTGCTCTTGGCAACATCCTTCTCGGGCTTCTCATAGTCGCCGTTGAATTGGGATGTCTCATCAGCGAGAATCTTGGTGTCCTTGACGAAGCAGTCCCACTCGTGAGGGTGCAGCTGCTTGAGGTATTCCAGGAGGGTAACACGGGAGTAAGGCTCGTCTTCACGAATGATCTCACGCAATGAAAGGAGAATCTTCTCACTGTAGTGAGGAATCAGAACAGTGAAGGTTGGCATGTTGTCGACTGGGAGAGGCTCGGGCATGGGGGTGGACAGAGACTGGGCGAAGAAAGAGATACGACGCTCTGCCTCACTACCTTGAGGGAAGAACTCGGTCTTGAAAGACTGATCTTCCTGGGAGACGAAGAAGGTAGGGGCACGAAGAGTACGCTTGCCCTCCTGCTCGGAAGGAACCTGGTGGTAAAGCAACTTTTGGACGTGGTCGATCGCAAGGAGGTGCTCACGGTACATGGAGATAATGATAGCGTTCCACACCTGGGAGATGAGAACCTTGGGCTTGTACTTGATTTCCATGTCTGTGGTGGCGAGAACCTTGGAGTAGATACGCTTGGGCAGACGCGAGAAGATGTTTCTCCACGGAGACCAAATCGACACACCGAGGTAGAAAGATCTAGCCACGGAGAAGATCGTGTTGCAAATAATGTACCAGAGGTAACTATCCAAGAAGAAGAGTGTCAAATCCATGAATGCCATGAGACCCAGCAAGATCTGGGGCTGTCTGTGGCAAACAGCGTTACCGATGTACTTCGCACCAGTGCACTGGTGGATTTGCATGGGTGACAGAATGCGGATGGGATCCTTGAAGGACAGAGTCAAGAAGAAGTAAGACTCAGCCAACTTGGCACCGAAAACACAAACCCAGAGACCGTAGGACATCCACATATCGTTGCCCGCAAGTCGGGGGAAACTGGCTGTGAATGTCTGACTGGCGACGTACTTGCGTCCGTTCTTCTTCATGTAGTTTCCGAACATGGCACCGAGTGGTTGGACAGCGAAGAACACTGCCGTCAACACGGCGAGAACGAAGTGGACGATACCGAGGGCGAGACCAACACCGTGTTCCACACTCTTGGTCAACCCGATAGTTGGCAGAATGCTGAAAATCACAATACCAGGTGCCAGGTTAATGATGAAAACACCAAGAAGGAACATGAAACGCTTGCGCAGGTGCTGAGCACCAGCCCAACCACGAGGAACGTAAACCCATTCGAAAATGGTGGCCATAATTTGGATGAACGAGACAAGAGCACCACCGAAACCGACCGCAGCGAGGTATTTAGGACTGTCAGGCTTGTTGTCAACCTGTTGCTGGTAGTTGATAGTGTAGAGGGTCGGGGCGTTGTAAGCAGTGAAGAACCAGAATGAACCCAAGTGGATAACCCAGATACGGTTGAAGTTGGTGATCATATGGAACCATGAACGAGTTTCCTTGTAAGTCTTGAAGAAGGCCTTGTTCCAGACCACGTCCTTCAGCTTGGGCCATCTCTCGCCGATAGGCACATCGACGAGACGAGTCTTGTCCTCGAAACTGATGCGTTCGATACCCTCCGGGTACCAGAACAGCTGGTTCATGTCATCGTAACCAATGATCTTGTTGTGATCATTCTCGCGGCGAACGTACTTGCCGTCCATGATCTCGTATCCCTGGTCACGGCAGTACTGGTACAGAGGGGTGACAATTTCGTTCAAGTACGTGAATTCCTCGACTGGCTCAACGCGAGCTTGGCACTCGGGAGAGCTGTAGTAGTCGTCGGCACACTTGAAAATGAAACAGATACACTCCGGGAGGAAGCGAACTTGGTTGGCCTCACCCCAAATGAGCAGGTAAAGGGCAATTTGACGGGCCCGGTCGTGCTGCGACATGCGGTTCATGCGCGACTTCCACCGGTATTCCGCGGCTTCCAAGCTGTTGTCGCCTTCCAAAGCCTCAAGTGTCTCCTCCTCGTTCTCGGGGTTCTGCTTGGCCGCCTTCGCCGCAGCCTTGCGGGCCTTACGGGTCTTGCGGTCTGCCTTTCCGAGCTTCATGTTGGCGAAACCAACCGCATCGTCAAGGTCGAGATGAGCAGCGAAATACCATCGGCGGTAGTTGGCGTTGTGTCCACCGATGTAATCGGCGTGAATGGAGAGAAGAGCCTGGTTGGGAGTCATACGTGAAGCACGAGAATCCAGCATGGTCATCATGTGGTCGTACATGTTCCGCATGCTGTCGCGTTGGAAACCAAACTTGTTGACCAAATCTAAGAAGATGTCCTCCACCTCCTCCTTCGAGAGAGGGATTTGGGCATCAGAGGACCAAGCTGGGTATGGTTCACGCGAGCGCTGACCGGCGGGGAGCGCGTTTCCGTAGTCCATGCCGTAGACAGGGGTCGAAGCACCAGATGATCGGTTGGCACCGTAAGAAATCTGAGAGGAAGGGGGACGATAGCCGTAGCCACCGCGGCCACCGTATTGGCTGTCGGTGTAGCTGTTGTATCTTTCGTCTCCACGGCCGTAGTAATCCATGTCCGCGGCGCGAGCGGTCTCTGATCTCATCGTGAAGTCGCTGAAAGTCTCGGAGTCCTCCTCGGAATCACCACGTCGGCCTCGTGGGTAGTCTCCGTGGGCCTGGTCGTAGTATTGGTCACCGTAATCTTGGTGGCCTGACTCGTAGTATCCTCCCTCCGCGTAGCCTTGACCGTGGGCAGCGCCTTCAGCGGGATGACCCCCTTCAGCACCATGGCCATCTCCATAGTAGCCATGACTGTATCTCTCGTCAGCCTTCTAACTTCACTCTGGATGTTTGGGAATCTCCTACCCCTGGTCGTAGTAACCATCGCCATATGCTTGATTATCGTAATACCCTCCTTGGGCATGTTCGTCCTGGTAGTAGGAGTCACCATGACCTTGATTGGCATAGCCATCGTCATAGTGGCCTCCGCCAGCGTAGCCTGACATGACGGGCGAGTCGCGATCGGTTCAAAGCTGACAGCTCTAGTGTAAGTTAGTCCCGCTTCCCATCGAATGCCTCCACTAACAGTTTGGCTCTGGGGATCCCAAGTCTCACCTCAACCGCGACCATTCAAAGTAAATGTGGTGAGATGTCGAATTAATGCAGCATAGGCACAGAGAGTGATGCGCTGATACCCAGATGCGCGTGTCTAATTGTCCTCAAAAGTAACGAATGTAATCCCGTCAAAGGAAGGAGCAATGGGGATTAAAGCAAAGAAAGCAACCTCTCCCTCCAATCGTCAAAAAAAGGCAGCAACGAGAGGTAGCAAAAAAAGGAAAGGAAGGATGGTTGGAGACAAAAAGCGAATGGAAGGGGGTTGGAGAGGAAAGACAAGAAAATGCTTGGTGTTATTTTGGGATTTGGGGGGGGCTCACTTGTCTAATTTACCGTCACCATACACTAAAGGGTACGTGTCAGAGTTCCGGGTACCAGATACCTCTGGCTAGTATGGTTAACCCCTATCTAGACCAGGTACCCGCTACCCACTTGTTTACAGTAATACGCAGGTACTCCGTTTGACTTCCAGCCTGCATAAACCATACATCAATGTCTCTCTCTCCTCCTACCGTTCGTTGACATTGGAATTACCGTTATTGTCCGACTGTATTTACGCTTGTGTTTCCCCGAAGTTCACTTCACCAGCCTCCAATGATAGTCTTCCTCGGCCACCGGAATCCAAGGGAGTGTCGACGGCCCCTGAAACTTGCTCCACCGTCAAATCAGGTAACAAATAATGTGGGTATTTTTTTCCCACAGAATACCTAATATCCAAAAATGACTTCTGTTGTTATGACCACGTCGGTATGCAGGGAGGTATTGTTGTTCATTCCTCGTGCTTATCCATTGCCTCCTCAATGTGACTGGTAACACTTCTCATAATCTGATTTCATGTTTCTCACTTGAAGCTGGATTTCTTCATCAGCACTACGGAGTAATGTAGATTCACATTAATAGATCTCTCTAGAGTGTTGCAACTGATCCATGGCACTCAAACGACATGAACCACAGTTCCCCCCGTTTGCCCACTCGGGTTTCCTTTGTGCACTGTACCTAATTGTAGCCAATTCCATGCTTATCTCCACGATCGTCAATGCTCCTTTCTCCTTTGGTGCTCGCAGACTTTTATTCTGTTTTAGCGTACGGCTGATTTGCCACCATACTGTCTCAAATGTACTTGTGGTTCAATGTGTATCACATTACACTTTCCACTGCCGTTGAGCTAACCTGCATTAAGGACCAGCTGGCCAGCCTGCCCTTCATGATAGGAGAGACTGTATCGCACGGTGGATCAGTACCACCACCGAAAACTTGAATCGGGGCCTTGGTTCGAGCTCTCCCAGACTCGCTAATTGGAAATAAAAAAATAATAATTAATAAAAAAAAGCCGATGACCTGTGATTTCGGTTTTGTTGTATCTATATTTATCCATTGCCGGATTTTACTGAACCACACTCCGGGATTAGGGTTCTGTCTGTTCGTACGTCAACACAGAATATATAAGTGACAACCTGCTATAGGCAATAATTGCTCATGTTCAAATATGTATTTAGGCAGAAATATGATCCTCAATTATATACAACTGTACTCCATACTTGTACTCGATCGCAGGAAGTATTACTGTACAGTATACACTCTGTATATATTTACAAGCTAGTAATCTTTTACAAGGAATCGAAATTGATCTCCACCGTTAAACCTAGGATTTCGTCTGATTCCACGCACCAAGTGGGCCCGATTGCTTTCCTTTCCTTCTTTTCCAAGTTCTTCCTGAGAGCCTCGACCAATCCTGCCACTGGCCAGCCACTCTACGCACTGGCGTGCGAATGCACTGTAGCGGAAACATGATGCTTAGACCGGGTATGTCGTGGCACCCTGTGGATACGTAGCATTTGCACAGAGTACAAAGCAGACTTCAGTATTTCGTACGGAGTACTTCAGTACCTCTATCGCCAACTGCATAAATTTTGGGCTTACAACTTGGGGTCCGTACCTTGTTCACCCTCCCTCGCCCCCCGTTGTTGCAGCATCGCGCAGGAACGATACATCAGCTACCTAAAAAAAAAAAAACACCAGATAAGATTAGAAACAACTTTTTGTGATTTTTTATGACTTCCCCCTATTGATCCCAGCAGCCCACTGGATCATCAGGGGACGTGTGACGCTATATAGGGCTACTGACATCTCAAAAAACCGATAGCGATCGCTAATGGCATGCCAAAAATAACCTGTCTACTCCGTTCATGATGAACAAGTTGTCTTGAAAGGGCCTAGCCAGCGATCACTAGCCGGCAGGCGCATTTCTGGTGTAGCAAATTTATTGTATGGCCGTAACAATGTCTCTGTAATAAACCGCCACCTTTGAATACTTGATTACCGATGCACTAAAACGATTGTCCTGAAATGTGGCTAGAAATCAATCTTGGCACCAGGTTTCATGGAGATAGCCTGCCGCATACGGGGTTAGGAGTACGGAGTACTCCATCCGATGCACATTGTGAGTAAGTGAACTCCTCATCACTTATTTGGTGGCTTGCTTTTGCTGCACCGATTATTTTAGGAGAGCCACTTGCGGCGATGGCTGCCATTGGCGTGCCCATAGGCCCCGTACAAGCTCTTCCTAAATTATCTTTGGCCCTAACCCCTGAGATTACTTGCCACTAGGCATTGCACCCCTTGGAAAGATGGGAATTACATATTTCTCGCCACTGATCCACGTCCACTCCGTATGTAATAATTCTACATGAGTGCGCACGAGCCATAGGGAGCTTGTTGAAGGAGAAGCTTCCAGTCCCAATCATATCCGAAGATTCAGGGGGCTGTGTCCCGGTATCCCCGGGACCTGGGGCCAACTCTCCATTATCGTTGTGGGCCAATGATAACCCCTGCTTTTGATGTCGCGTCATTACAAGATACATAGTTGAGTGCATAAACATTTACAAGTACGCGTACAGAGCAGTAAAGCCCTGGAGAGCCTGAGGTCCGACATACATATGTATTTACCCATGTGCATCATTGTTCAAGTACGAAGTATCCTGTACATGATGTATATTTTATTTTGTGCTTCATATTGACTAGGCTACAGAGTACGGAGTACTTCGTAATCCATACTCCGTGCAGTGAGCAGGTCTACAGTATGTTGGAAGCACAAACAATCATGCGACCACGCAGTAATGTTTCTCCAGGGCTCATCTATAGCCTTAAAAATCGAGCATTACGACTGGGTTTCAGAAGTAGTGCCATATATAGAGGACTAGGTATCATGTACTACGTAACTCTACTGCGCATCCATAGCTACATTGGACAGCGAAAACAGCATCTCAGGATGGTGACTCCATCTCATTGACAGGCACTGGAGTCTGATAGCTCTGCCCGGTACTCACCTGCGCAACCCTGGAGTGAGCCTAATCATAATTGCCATACCTCATATCCTTTGTAGGAACTGTGCTATTTTAGCATTGTTGCTATAGATCATTCGGCATATCCTTGAAAGTCAATATCTATTTACTCCATACCTACAAGGAATATGTTTTCGTGGCTAGCGTCAAATTCATTACACCAGGCGCATGCTATAACCACCTGCCGCCCAGTTGGCATGCTCTCCAGGGCTATACTTGCGTGCTATATCTCATATGTTCTGGTCTTATCCAGGGTATTCCCGGGGCTCTTACTTGGCACCATCTGTTCCCGAAGCCCCAATATCTCTGGTTAGACATTCCCGAAGTCCATCTTCTTATCTTGACTTCACACCTGGGCAATGCACGTTCCTATATACCACACGTCGACTCAATCTTGTCTTTCACGAAATTGATCTCAGTCACCAAGTGAAGGTGAGAAGCGCCCGAAATAATATGTTGAAGATGGAAATGATCTCTAGGCCTCACTTCTGACACGTTTCAGGGCTAGGCTTCCATATTTTTTTGTTTGTCTGCTTTCAATCTTGTAAGGTAGGAAATTCCATGGAACAACTCGTGGACTTATCGAGTGCCCAGATTCATCCATGGATGAGCCAGGAATATTTATCTTGGGTGCAGGCTTTGTCACGTCATATTGATGTCCAAAGTTCGAAATCTTGGAACTATCAATATCTATCTTACTCGTGTAAATATATAGTCTGGATGAAGAGATAGATATGTACGGAGTAGATACTATCGAGATATACAACAGAACAAGCCAACAAGAGGGGGAGCGTTGGAGTATCTCACATCAATGAAGCAACCAGCCAGTTTGATGCAACACATCTCAATGGGAGATCGCGTATAGTTCAGGTGACCCGGAGTTGGGTTGTACAGACCTCGGTTGCCGTGCCAACGCGTCCGTTGACAGCTTGGTGGTTCCGATCAAACCTTCCACTCAAACCACAAGTGATCGACGAAAGCATCATTACTTCCCAGAGTTATTATTATACTCGTGAATTTATCTGAGGCCGGGACGCAGAAATGGCCAGACTAAATACCGCCAATCCTCTGGTCTACGGCACCCCTCACAGGGGAAGCAAGGACACTCCATGTATATCCAATCCCGACAGCCAGTCACCATCGAACCAGCCATACCCCAACACCACAAAGTCCCCAAACAAGCACGATGCACCAAAACCACCAAACCAAAACAGACGACAACTAGCGAGATCCAGCACCTTGTTCAATATATTACCAGACGACGAGTCCGCATCGGAGAGTGAAATCGGCAATCAACCCACTGGAAAGCAGAAACGACCACGAACGCTCGGAATCGCACGAGTGAACTCGCTCCTTTTACCGAAAACACAGAGGCCCAGACCGACCTTCATGCGGACCGCCGGGTACGACAAGGAAAACGACGTACCAGAACACTCCACGGATGAACACCGTTCACCTGGTTTAACATCAACCAGACAACCACCCACCAGACGACATGCTTCTCAAACGCCAAGTAGAAGCAGAGCAAGAGAAATGGACAGGAGACAGCCAATGCACGAAGACCAAGAAGAGGAATCTGACCAACAGAGCCTTGACGACAGCTTGGGCTCACTAGATGATTTCATCGTTAGTGATAATGAAGAGCCCAGCTCTCACGAGGAATCCGATCATGAAACACCCGATACAGAAGAAGAACCTACCCCGCCGCCATCCCCCGTACGGTCTCCCCGTAAGAGACTGATGCGCGGAAGAAGGCCGCCCTCGGAGACTGAGCCTACAACGACCACGACAACGCCACCATCAAGAGAGTCAGAACGGTCAAAAACACCCGACAACAGGTCGAGGGCAGCTACACCTGAGGAACTCACAACAAGCCCCGTTCTCGAGTCAAAGCGAGAATCTGTTGGATATGAAGTAAAAATCCCCGAGTACCTGAATGTCTCCATAAATCCATCTCATTCGCGACTGCGTAACTCCGACGACCTCATCCAGCATCTCGAAGACCTTGATTTATCAAGTGATGAGGAGGATACCCCACAGCCAGAAGCATCGATGCCAATGTAAGTTCTTCAGGCCACCCGAGAACTGGAATTGTCCATCGAATCCTATCGACGACTCATACTGATCACCGAATCTAGATTGGACTCTGAAGAAGATCTGTCATCAAGTGTTCCGCCAGGTCGCAAGCACTCAACGCCGCCGCTCACAGCATCAACGGCGCGGGCCAAGGATACACCCCCAACCACTATAAGAGCCCAGAAGAAAGCCGAGGCGGCACGAAAACGCGAGCTTCGTGCTCAAGTGGCCGAATTCAACGAGAACAAAATTGGATTTGCCGAAGAATTCCTCCAGCACTTGGATGGCATATTCGATGGTCGTATTGCCAGCATGACCAAAGACACCGGCGGAATCAAACTCATATGGACCAAGAATTTCAGGAACACTGCTGGTCGAGCAACTGTTCGGTCAGAACGAGTGTTCACGAGAGAAGGCGGCGTCGAAGATCCCGGGCGCCGACGTTACAACGCTACCATTGAACTGTCAGAGAAAGTCCTGGACACCGAGGACAAGATCCTGTGCACCTTAACACACGAGTATTGCCATTTGCTCGACATTCTCATCACTGAAAACAGGGGGAAGGGTGCGGCGCAGCACGGCGTCAGCTTCAAGCAGTGGGGTGCTCGATGCACACAGGCTCTAAAAGACCATCCTGTCTATGGAGGTCGAGTGGAAGTCACAACCAAACATACTTATGAGATCAACCACAAGTATGTTTGGGCTTGCGTAGGATTGGGATGCCCCTTTGAGGTCGGGCGCCATTCAAAGAGTGTGGATCCGGTCCGTCATCGCTGTGGCCGTTGCAGAGGCTATCTCAAACAAATCAAGCCTGTGCCTCGCGCTCCCCCAAAAAGACTATTGGAAAAGTGGTGATCAATCTAGACGATGATTAGGGGATCTGCCAATTACTTTCATGTTTGTTAACTTAAGAGGTTGGTCCTCGAATAATGAAGAAATGAGTCTATCCGACAACCGTTCAATCGATGGTATCCATGATTTCATGCATTATCGACAAGCCTCAGCACCGCGCTCACGCGCGGCCAAAAAGACGATAATGTTTGCTTCATCTGCGAGGCTTTATCGCTATCCCTTCTCTTATATCAGTTAATGATCAATATTCGATATTTTGATTGTTAACGGAAGAGAGCTATCATCGACTTGGGGGGTATTGTGAACTAGGCTGCCTTTTTAATTCTCTTTTTAGCCATCCTTCCAACTATTTCCTGCGTATCATTACTCCCTTTCTTTATTTAGTAGATCGTAGAATCGATTACTAACAGAACATGAAAGAAAGCTATCATCGAATAATTATTATGAGTCGAGTAAAGAAAGTATTGGCTCAGCCGTGAACAGAGAATTAGGGATTGGAGATATACTAATTTCGAACGAAAGTTGTGGTGGAGATGGCCATGGATGACCCAATGGGAATAGCTAGCCCACACACTATTATTTTGACGGTGTGTTGGATACTCGTAATGATGACTGGACCTAACTCGATCTAGCTTGATTGCGCGCTTCGACCGACATTGGCACGCTCGCATTCTGCACTAATACCGTCGGCTAACTGATTTAACATCTGCCTGCCAATCCGAGGCTAGCACGTTCTCTGACAAGCCGCTGTGTCCAACTTAGCGCTGGCTTTAGCCTATCTCAGGGAATTAGGGTTCTGTTTTTGGTCATCACTTGGGCTCTATGTATTATCTAGCCTTTTCCTGCATGGATAGCCCAATTCTAGCCCTTGCTTCTACACGGAGAACACAGAAATGGCTAGCCGAGTCCAACGTAATGGTAGACATGTGTCTCCGTGTTGTGGCCTTATATGCCAAGTCTATCACCTTTCAATTATTGGCATCACTACAGGCACATTTTATCAGTAAAACCCGAAGGATTTCCTCCGGTCCCTATCGTTGGCACCAATCACATGCGAATGATAGCCTCCGCACAGAATGTCGACTATCCATGAGAAGACAGACAATTATCCAAGGCTGAGTCGCCCATTCGAATCGATGAAGCCAGAGTACGATGTTGTGGTTGTAGGGTCTGGTTATGGAGCTGGAATAGCAGCTAGTCGAATGGCCCGCGCAGGAAAGACTGTCGCCGTGCTAGAGCTTGGTTGGGAAAGAAGATGTACAAATCTACCGAGTCTCATCACATTTCCAAACATTGAACATTGATACTAACAAAAAAACTAGCTGGTTCGTTTCCCTATACATTATCTCAGTGTTTGGGAGACATAAATGTTTCAGGAAGCTCTGCGAACAATAGCTTCATCTCAAAGTGGCTATCCCCCGCAGACCCCACGAAGCTATTTCAGTTGACCCTAGGCAATGGACAACATGTATTTTCAGCTCATGGTATGTAAAGTCCCTGACACTAGTAGGACCAAGTCAGAGATCTCATACCAGCATACTTTTTAGGGCTCGGGGGGTCTTCATTGATCAACGCTGGAGTTTTTTTGAAGGCAGATCGAGCGACTCTGGAAGCAAGTAGATGGCCACCTGAAATCAGAGAAGAGCCCACTGTGCTTGATGATTGTAAGTTCTACTTCGTTTAAAATACATACGCGACCTTGACTGAAGGAAACAGACTACACCCGCGCGGAAACAATGCTGCAACCATCCATATACCCCGAGGAGTTTCAAACTTTGAGCAAACTCGAGCATCTGGAAAAGCAGTCAAAATGTTTAGGACAGGCAGGCAATTTCCGTCGAGCACCACTCACTACGTTCTTTCACCGCGGCCGCAACAACGCGGGCGTACAAATGGAGGCAAATCGCAGAACGGGCCATGAGTGTACGGGGCTTAATGATGGCTCAAAGAATTCTGTGGCTACGACCTATCTTGTCGATTCCTGGAACTGGGGAGCTGAGATATTCTGTGGTTGCGAGGTTCGATTTGTGGAGAAGACAAACGAAGGAGGGTACATCATCCACTTTGCCTGGCACGGAAGTGGCAGGGCGATTTTTGGGGATCATTTCAAGGAGCAGCTTTTCTGGGTCAAATCTGTGAGTGATGATAATGTTGGACGCGCGAGGATGTTTTGTGATCCCCACTGACCGCCACTTCTACCACCAAGCGTGAGTTCTGCTTCCTTGGAGCAGGTGCGTTGGGCACAACAGAGATTTTGCTTCGGTCAAGGAGCCTTGGCTTGCCAATATCTCCACTGGTTGGTCAAAACCTATCTGGAAATGGGGATCTATTACTTTTTGGTAAGACCTTTTGCCTATTTCGAATCAAAGGAGCACAAGTCTGATCGATGTCTCCAAAAAGGGTACAATGATAACGCTCGTGTCAACGGAATCGCACGGCGATCTTCTGACCCCGAATCTGTACCTGGGCCAACTATCACCGGTGTGATTGACAATCGAGAGACTGATGCCACCAGTAGCCTATCTGGATATGTCATCCAAGATGGGTGCATCCCAGAGGCATTCAAACCAATAATTCATCCTATGCTCCTTCTACAGACCTTGAAAACTCGAGCGTTTTCATTAGTCTGGAACACCAGAGATGGAAGAGGAAAATTTCTTGCTTCGCTCAGGTCTGTCATATTTGGACCTTATGCCATTGGTGGAGCTGTTCAACGAACATCAACCTATCTGGTGATGTCGCATGATAGCAATGAAATGACATTGACGCTGAAGGACAACCAGATATGTCTATCAGCACCAAAAGAAGGACAGTCTAAACATTTCCAAAGGATTAAAGAGATGTTTCATGAGCTATTTGCTCGAACCGGAGCACAGATGGGGTTCACGTATTTCTATGGTAGGACAAAATCCTCCCAAACAGCTTGGCATCTCGCTAACTTAAATCTTAGGACGCCACCAAGAGGAGGTCACTGTGCATCTACTGGGAGGCGCCAACATGAGCAGTGATGGCACAGGGCAAAGTGGCGTTACAAATCATGTAGGAGAAGTTCTCACTTCCCTGGGCAGTGAAGTACACCAAGGCCTCGTATGTTGTGATGCATCAATCATTCCAACATCATTGGGTGAGTTCAGCTACATCCCAACTACTAGACATTAATGCGACCCAACTAACATGTTAGGTGTCAATCCATTGGCAACGATATCTGCCCTAGCAGAGCGATCTGTCGACTTGGTCGCAAAGAAGGCCGGGCTATGGGTTGATCTGGAGACAAGAAATAGACGACTGGAGACAGACAGCAAGCCTGAACGACCGAGGGAGAGCCAACACTTCCAAAACAACTTGAAAGACAACCCAAACTCATTAGGCTGGCAGTTTACAGAAGCTTTGTCTGGACATATACACATGGGGCCGAGGTCCAAAGACTACGAGCTTTCTGAAAATATGGGTAAAAGCTCGTCTTGTTCCATGCAGATGGTCCTCACAATTGAGCTGTGTAAACAGATAGGTGAGCATGATCGACCCTTCGAAGTTGGAATGAAATCCTCATGAATAATGCTAATACCTTGCAGGATCAGGATACCAGGGTATCTGCACAGGTACTGTGTCCTGTCGTGCACTGTCCAAGTCTACTCTTCGAATTGCCCATGGAACGATCGAATTCTTCTCGCCCATGATAGAGAGGGCAGAAACATTAGCCATTTTATATCACTTGGAGCTCGTCACGGTGGAGGGGATGACGTACCACCTGGAAGGAAGTAAGCCCATCAATTCAACTATGGCATTCTCCGTGAAAAAGACCTGGCAGGCCACAACCACTGTCAATGTTAGTATCACTCGATCAGATGGGACTCATGTTGGAATGGGCGCTGTCCACATCTCACTCTCAGACTTCAAGCGGCAAATCAAAACTTTCCGGACCACGCAAAACTTTCACATTGGACTTCTCTTCACCTTGATCGCTTTTCTACTTTCTTTCTCATATTGTATCAGCATCTTCTTTTTTCGGCCCTTCGCGCCCGTCGACTATCCTAAGATACCGGTCCAAAAACACACCGATCATAAGACACCCCGTCCAGCGCCGTACAAGATACGAGCTTCCGACGGTGTGATTGTACATCTCGATGTATATGAGCCAGAGCCCCGAGTTGAACAATCAGATGGTCCAACGTGCCATCCGCCAATTTTGCTTCTACCCGGAGTCACTGGCATGGGTGCAAAGCACAACCTATTTGCGTTGCCTTTTCTACGCTGCAATGCGGTCAGATATTTCACTAAGCTTGGACATCGCTGTTATGCATTGACGCCTCGCTGGGGTTGCGACTTAGCTGACGCTCGAAATTCGACGGTTTTTGACTGCCGTCTAGATGTTGCAGCAGCATTGGAGGAAATCCGAAGCAGGGAGCTACAGAAGCCCTATGTAATAGCTCATTGCCAAGGCTCGGTGGCCCTCTGCATGGGACTTCTTGATGGCACTATCAAAAGCAACCAGCTTCTTGGGATCTCCGTCAACTCTGTCTTCATGAACCAAGTCTTCGGATACTGGAATTCACTCAAAAGGGAGGACTACTTTGTTGATTCGACTGTATGAATTTCTCGCCGGTGACTACTTTCCCATTTCTAGTAGCTCGAGCAGCCCGTTGATCCAAAGAATACTCGATCTTCTGCTTTGCATGTATCCTGTGGGACATCTGCGCGATATTTGCACCTCCACGGCGTGTCGTCGAACCTCGTTCGTGTTCGGTTTACTGTGGAACCATGACAATCTTGACCGAGAGCTTCACGACAGTGTTCACACATTCTTCGGCGGCACTCATACAAGACTCATGAAACAGGTAGTAAACATGGGAACCAAAGGGGTCTGCGTGAATGATGACGGACATTCGCTTCTCACGGAGCAGAACATAGACCGGCTCCAAGGACTACCAATCCTTTTCATTTCGGGCACGGAGAATCAAGTCTTTGACCCCGAGTCGACGCTGAAAGACTATGAGCTTCTACGGCGACGGTTCGGCGAAAAATACTATCGCAGGTTTCTAGCGGAAGGTTATGGGCATCTCGACCCCGTTGTTGGCAAAGATGCTGCCACAGATGTTTACTGGAGGATATTCGCACATTTGAGTTGGTGCATAACGAACGAGCAATCTTCTGAACCATGGAGATAGAACCTCACCAAGATCAATACATGCTTGCTGCCAAGTACCGACAGAATTTAAGAATTAGACTAGAAACGCTAGAAACGCTAGAAATCCACGATCGCCCAATCAGATGCATGGAATCCGACCCGTGAAGGATCCGCCAATCACTTGGAGTCGCTTGGGATAGCTTCACCCTTCCGAGGTCTTTTCTTTGGAAAGTGACCCACACTGGCCAAACGGAAGTTTTCATTCGAATTGCACAATCCACGCAAAACTTTTCACCAAAGCCCGTAAACACCTCCCATCGCAACAATGTCCAATCTCGTATATATTACTACCGAAACGAATCAGATTGTAGACGGGATCCAGCCCGATTGGATCCACCCGCATCTCATCCAAAGCACCGATCCGACCAAAGGTCGCCAATTCCGAGTCTCCGGTCCCATTCCAAAAGGCGCCTGTCTCCTCGTGGATCGCCCCTACGCAATAATTCCTGTTGACGAAGACCCCGACAACATCATATGCAGCAATCCCGCTTGTAATCGACCGGCTCGCAATTCAGAGCGCATCTCATGCCCCAAGGCCTGTCTGTCAGATGTGATCTGGTGCAGCAATACCTGCCAAGTCGCTGATCAAGTTCGACATGGGTTTGAATGCACTTGGCTCAAACGATATGCCGGACCCATTCGCGCCAAATGGAGTGAGTATGATTTTGGAATGCTGTGGGTGATTGTTCGCCTGCTTGCTAGGCGTCATGTCCAATTGCATGAGCTATCAATTGTCGGCGACCATATGTCGACTGAGAAACCAAATCATGACTGGGAGGGTATTGATTCGCTCTGTGGATCATCTGATACTTGGTCGCATGACAAAGTGCGATCATGGTCCACCCTTGTGAAGAAGTATCTACAGAGTAGCTCTGCCCTCCCCCATGGAATGGGAGTAGATCGTGTTCTCCATCTCATATGCCAAGAAGAGGCAAACTCATTTGGGCTCTACCCGCGTGAAACTGGTCATTTCCCTGTCCCAAATCCTCCAATCGATCGCGGGGAACAGTTTGCTGCAGCTGTTTATCCCACAGCGGCAATAGCGAACCATTCGTGCTTTCCAAATGTAAGTGGATTTCGCCCCTGGCACTCATCGAGCATTGTTTAATATCTTCTAGATCATCCATAAAGCCGATGAGAAAGGCCGCATGGTTTTCACTGCATCTCGCGATATCTTCCCTGACGAAGAATGCTGTATCTCATATTTCGACTTGACAAAATACAAAGACCTCAGCTCACGCCGCGACCATCTTCGAAGATCATTTCTTTTCGTGTGTCAATGTTCAAGATGTGTCTCAGAGGAGCCGGTCGAAGAACAGAGTGAATGGACTGCCCTGCCGTTGATGGGGTCACTATAAAACATCGCTGGCGATGGAAGAATCTTGAACATAAAGATACATAGATATCATTTATCTGCGGGGGTATTTCACTTGACTTCCCAATGAGCTTACCTTTGCTTAGAACAAAGATCTAGAATACAAAGATCTCAATCATGGAGAGCCCCGGGGGTATCTCTACTCCACCCCTTTGTTTTCAAATGCATACTCATTGTTCATACACACAAGGGCTTAGACAATTGCATCTCCTTGGAAAAATACATAAAAGGAAAGCGATTCTCTTAAACTACAGACACGGATAACCACATACTCATATTCCAAAACATCTGTAGTCTTGGCGACCAAACCTCGACACAATGCCATACATATCCCAACGGACTGTCTCGGATCGCAAAGAAGCCACAGGCAATGGTTCTGCCATACCTAACGGCGTACAAGGATCGGAAAATGCACGCTCAAATGTGGCCCCACGCCCGAACTCACCACACGTTTCCGAAGCCATGCGTCAATTCAATGCACGAGAGAAAGCTATGGCCTGGACTGAAAAGATTGACAGGCTGAAAGCCAAGTTGCACAAGATGAAAGCTTTGATCGAGGAGTCTAACGAACGACTTGGAAACCTCGAGCAAAGGTGTGATGATATGGAGCAGAGGATGGTTGATCGCCAGCTAATTGATCATTCAGGGTCTCAGAAATTGAAGCGTTGAGGGGTGCTTCAAAGAGTTCTTGAAGAATTATGAGGGTAGCGCTTTCCCAAAGAGGCACCATTACGGATTAAGCAAGAGCCCCCAAACGCTAAAATGTTAATTTTGACCTCCAAATGCCAATTACCACGAAGACTTGTGTTGATAAACTAATGTTTTTGTAAAGTGATCTTGCCAGGGTTTTAAATGTCGTCGGCTTCATGACCGTATCTTCAAATCACTATTTCATTTGCTACCTATGTCCCATTAGAACTCTCAATCGTTCCAATCTTAAACAAAAAGTCCCCAGTCACAGATTTCCAACTTCTCCACTAAAGCGCCAATAGTATCGGCAGCGAGAGCCTCCTCCGCAGCCAAGCCCTTAGGATCACCACTACTCTCAAACTCCTCATGGGGAACATTGAAGAAGACCAACAAATCAGTCTCCTGAGCAGCCAGTCGAACAAGCAGGTAGTGGCAGGACAACCGTGACGAAGGCGGCGTGCCGCCAGCCGACACAGGCTCGGCGTCCTTCTTCGGTGTAGTGAAAGAGACAACGCCACGGTAGGCCTTGATCGGTACAGGCGAGGGCGAAGAAGTAGCGAGTTGGACATCAACCTTCGATGGGGAAGTGACCACCTTCATGGTGTCGCCCTCGTCGCACAGATCGTGCAGGTGGTACAGGCAAGCGGCATGGTCGATTTGCAAAGAGGTAGCGCTTCCGCTAGGTGCTGCTGGCCGGTTGCTGAATTTGGCACTGGCAGTCAGGGCCTCTTCCTGTGGGACACGCTGGTTGATTTCGATGATCAGGTTTGATAGCGTGGTTGGTGAGAGGAAGAGCTCTTGGTGATCGGGCACTTCGCGCAGGGTGCTGGGAGATGGTTAGCGGTGCTTGAGATGGGTGGTTTGATCGCGGCGAAGAGCCAAATGAACCTCGGAACGGGAAGGACTTTTTTTATACTGACCTGGAATCAATCCAGCTCTGCGGGACAACGCCTCGAAGGGCTCCGCCGTAGAATTCTTGGGTGGTGTGTTGAGACATTGGTATTGTATGTTTTTTGATGAGATCTTGTCCCGTTTGCTTTATGGTTGGGGGGATTTTCTGCTGATTCGGCAGAGCTAGGCTGAGATTGAGGTGGATGCCAAGCACTGATTTTTCTGAGGATGTTTGGGATCTTGGGATCTGAGCTCAAAAAGGATCACGATAATGGAATAACACAGATAGGTTACCGGTATTAAATATATTTGACCCAACCGATCATTTTAGCCAGACAAGCACATGTGCAAAGAGGCAGCAGCGCGGGCAGTCGTCTTCCGCCCAATGACGTCCGATTGGTGGGGTGCAACCTTGACTCGAATACCCGCAAAGTCTACGAAATACGAGGTGTATGCAGTGTCTACCAACATGAAATGTGAGTCAGATAGCTAAAGTCCTTGGAAGATATTTCACTTCGTACAAATCAACACTCGACAGCAAATATTCTTCACAAACGGTGAGAATCATTCAAAAAGTTCCTCAACATAGGGATCCAGCTCGATAATGTGGAATCGATCCCCCACTGTGCCCGGAACTCCTTCTTTCGGTACGCGTAGCTAGTTCCCTGCGCAAAGCTGACGAGTTCGACGATCCAACCGCGCTGCAGTGCACGCTCGACCATTTTCATGAACCCGCCAGAGAACTCCGCAACTGCCGCATCGCCTGTAGCCAACACTATGGTGGCTGGTTCATCAGTATCCACAAGGCTCTCCAGGATCTTCAGGTGTAGAATTTCGTCCACGCCCTGCTCGACCCAACGCTCTCCGGAGGCGGCGACCGTTTCAGGCCCACCGGATATCCCACAGGAGTCGGAGGCTGGATACTTTCGTATTTTATTGCGACGGGGTGTGATGTGCTTGACTTTTTGCACGCGGTCCAGGATATTGGTCTCGTAACCTAGCGTTTCAGCTTCATCGATGGAGGGCAACCGATCCGAGCCGACCAAGACTCTCTTGGCGGTCTGACGGCCTCGCTCCATGATCAGAGACAGGTTGGCAAATGACATGTGCACACGACGGATTCGGGTTTGTTGAGCAATACTTCGCGAGGCTTTGACTGAATCGTGGAATCCAATCATAATCTGAGGGTCCAGTTAGCCGGTAAAGAGATGGACGTGACAAGAAGACTTACGTTTGACATATCAACAAAGATATGGATAGGCTGCGAGCTAACGTCTTTCTTGGGAGGACTTTGCACAGATTGACCGACTTGAGAGACGATCTTGGCGTATCCTGGATACTCCTTCAAAAGTCTTGTCATCAGGGAGATCCTTCGCTCCGTCGATGATTTGTACAAGGTGGACCGAACACGAATACCGTTTCTGATAGTGTCTGTGTTCAAAGACCAATCTTGATCGTCGAACGAAGATGGCGGAGTATCATAGCGGTCACTTAGAACTTCAGGCGTGCCAACTTGAGCTGGAACAAATGCTAAAGCCCCGGTTCTTTTAGGCAAAGGACGATCGAAAAGAGCGCTCGAGTCTGAGTCCACCCCGGCGCTGCCTTCAGATGAAATCGGTTCATTGCGGGTGCTGGATTTCTTGGTGTTGTCCCGGTTCTTGGATTTGGTCTTCCTCTTGGGAGTATCGCTTGAACTGCCGTCGGTCGCAGAGCTAAATTTGGCAGGAGTTCGTGGGTCGTCAAATTTCACATTGACGTTCTTTCCAGAGCATTGCTCATCTACAGCTCGCTTCAGTATAGACACTGGTCGGACTGGTGTGGATGGGTGACGAGAATGAGTGCTTCTGGCGGCATCCGAACGCTTTACATTCGCAACATTGTGGTCAGTCGAATTGTTGGCAGGAGAAGCAGCGACAGGTCTATCGGTTGATGAGATGCGGTAAACGAAATCATTCAGTGTGTCGAGAGTTGATGCTGGCTCATTCCCTGGCAAGCTGGACTTCGTGGTGACAGAAGCTGGTGTTGGGCTGACAGGAGCGGGGCCATTATTCAAAAGGTCCCAAAGTGAACCGAAATCCCCTAGTTTGGTGTCGCTGACTCGAGCACTCAGAGACTGAGGCTTGTAATCGACATGGTTACCAATAGACTTGGACTGCTGTTCCTGGGCGGGGAAAGCTGTAGGTTCGGTGTGGCGACTGGGTCTCAAGGCACCCCCATAGGTGGGCGACCGCAATAGGTCATGCACCTGGGTGAAATCCCAACTTGAAGACTCAGCTGAGTTCGTAATGACCATTGATGGCTAGGTAGGTAGTATTGCTGTGGCGATGAAAGCAGAGACTTTGAGATGAATCTCTGCTACAATGTGGAGATGATAAGCAAAGATAATCAAGAAAAGTTATTTGTTGTCTGATCATCGAAGGATTGGTTTGATTGGTATTCAGGTAAAGGGAGATAATGATGCAGAAATCTGAATCGATTCAATCCACATCGTGCGTGAGTCAGAGCAAGGATGAGAAGTTGTAGCAAGTCAATCAAACAAGGACGATAGACACCGAGCAGGTGACGGTGGCGGTGTACCATTTCTACTTGGACAGACCGCCTACCCATTACGCCGAATGATACACGTGATCTCAAAGGGACCCAGTCATGTGACCAAGCACAACGCACGTGATATCGCGATGTCCGAAAGTGACTGGTCACGTGCACAAGCGGGAACTGTCGTGGCGTCGTGATTTAACTCTAAACCTTGGCATCGGGTCAGCCACATCTTCATGGCGACGTCATTTCTTGCACAATGTAGCATCCCTCAACAGATCGGATTAGATCGGGTGTCAGATCGAGCCATGGCTGCTTCTCAGGGGCCCCGCCGGTAGAAGTGTCGTTTGTAGCCGAGCGCAGTATCCTCGCTGGTTGGTTACCATGATCTCGGCCCGGGCCCTAGCCTAAGTACCCTCGTATACGCGGCATTTAGATGCTGTTTATTGACAATGCACTGGGTCTATCACGATATTTGCGTAGATAGCTAGCCCAAACAACGTCATTGGCGCTGTGTATAGGGTCAGATACAATGTCTATATAAACCCTTCTCTCTGCTGCACAACTTTCTTTCTTCATCCCATACAGAACAAGCTTACTCTCAAACCACATACCTTTAACAACACTCGATACATTCATCATGTCTGACGTTGGTCGCAAGGATTTCACCACCAGTATGTTGCACCCTTGAACCAATCTGTCAAAACAACAAGACAGAGTCGAAAGATATCATGACTGACACCAACGTTCATCAGAGGCTAAGGAGGAGCTCACACCTGACTCCACCAAGTCCACCCAGGATAAGATTTACGAGGCTGCCACCGACACTACCGATCGTATTGCCCGCGGCTTGCAGACCGACGAGAGCAAGGGTGCTGGCCAGGAGGTCTTCGACAAGGCCCAGCGTGCTAGTGACAACCACGTCCACGATGGTGCCACCGGTTCCATGTAAGTCGAATCGATAATTTCAGTCATCTATCACGCTCTAACCCAAACTTTAGCGGCGACAAGGTCAAGAATGCCCTTGGTCTCGGCAACTAGGATAATCTCCTTCCGAGCTGAGTGGCTATTATGATGGTCACTCCATAATTTGGGCACAGCCCTATGTTCACGACTCATAACGAGCTCATGATACCATTTGATTGTCATAGCCGGAATTCTTTTTAATAATATAACACATTTCAAGTGGCTTCATTGCGTACGTAGACAGACTAGGTAGTGCATGATAGCTGCTCTTAGATAGTAGTCTTAACGTCGTTCGGCCAGACTGCCAAGCATTGAGTCTCGTTGATGTATGAGTTGACCAAGTTCGTTCTCCAACTCTTTGCATTTTGCTCGCGCGGCTGAAACATTTTTGGGAAGGTGCTGAAATGCCCGCGCCCGGTATTGCAGCGACCTGACTGTCTCGCGCATTCGGAGCACATTTTCCTCCTCTTTTACCAGCTCATCAATATTCGGGCCATGTGACTGTACTCTTTCTAAAGAGGCGATGCGATCCTGGTACTCTGCGACCTTGATGGCAAGCGTTTTTGTGCCCCGCGTCCACTCCGAAGTCAATTTTTGTGTATTTGCCGGGGTTTCATATGCCACATCGGATTTTAGTTCGTCGAGCTCCACCTGTAGTCGAGCTAGCTCTTGTTGGAGGTATCGATGCAATGTGTCAACTTTCGCAACTTGTTCTTGAGCTTCGAACTCCTCCACGGTAAGCTCCACAATTGACTGTCCCAGGTCTCCGGGATTCGGATTCAATGTATTGCCAAGAGCTGCCGCAGAGTCAGCAAGATCATCTAGATCACGCCTGCCTCTATCGTCAAGACTCATCTCGACTTCTTCAAGGATTTGGGCTTTTTGTTGCTCTTGGGGGTCTTTGCGCTCAAAATCTTCTCGTGCTTTGTAAGCTTGAACTGCTTCTTCACGAGCCCGCTGTTGCAGAGATACCTCTTCGTCTGCGGCATCATTGGCTGCTGCCAACGTCAGAAGCACACGGAGGGTATCATCGTTACGCTCGAACTGAGGGACTGGTTTCGGCGCATATTGTCGATTGAGCCAGGTGTTGACGTATGCCCAGTCTTTGGTTTGAATGGCAGCTTGCCGAGCTTTAGCAGGTGAAATGAGTGGGCTGTCCATAGAGTCGGTTTCTTTTGAAATTTTATAGTCAAAAGTTGGCCAACAAGAGGAGGGAGTAGCTACCAAACGGGGTAATCTGTTGATAAGAGATAGACCGAAGGCGGTGAATGCGCCAAGTGTGGTTTTGTCCCCTACTTCCCCCACGCCGAACTCCGCTGGTAGCCCGTACGTATACAACAATGACGAGCTATTTCCCGCCAAGTGGCAGCGCCAGCAATGGCACGGGCACTCCGGCTGCATCCTCACCATCGACACCGCCAACGCAGCGGTCCACCGCTCTCACCAATCGACTGACAACCGTTCTCTCGGCCTCTTATGCGGATTCGGACATTCGGGATTCCCTTGAAACTTTGAGCTTGCGGGGAATCCACAATTCCGAAAAGACACGAAGGCAGCTTCGCCTTGATGTGGAGAAGGAGGTTGTGGACTGCAATGCGGAGATTGTCAAGGACTTTGGTAAAGTGGCAGATGTGAGACTACCATTGCTCTTGAGATTCAATTACAAAGTACTAATGCCACTCGACAATTGCAGCAATTGAAGCGTATCGGAACGGTTATCACAACACTGAATCAGACATGCGACGACATGCGCAAGCGAATCAACATGGCGAAGCAAGATACCACACCTGTGCTCGAAGAGGCCAGCGCTCTGATGGCGCAGAAGAAAGAGACCGAAACGAAGCAACAACTTCTAGAAGCCTTTTCTAAGCATTTCCTCATTCCTGAGGAGGATATTTTGGTTTTGACATCAGCCGAGGAGTCAGTAGATGAACGGTTCTTCGACGTCCTGGCTCGTGTCAAACAAGTACACCACGATTGCGAAGTCCTGCTTGGTGGTGAGAACCAGCGATTGGGTCTGGAGGTCATGGATTTGAGTGCCCGGAACCTCAATTCAGCATACCAGAAGCTTTATCGATGGATCCAGAAAGAATTCAGGTCTCTGAATCTTGAAGACCCTCGGATCAGCAGCTCAATCCGCCGTGCCCTTCGGGTTCTGGCAGAACGCCCGAGTCTCTTCCAAAGCTGCTTGGAGTTCTTTGCAGAGGCGCGTGACTACGTTTTGTCTGATGCTTTCCACTATGCATTGACTGATGCCATCTCTGGAGCTGGTGGTCCTGGAGCTGGAGGCGATAGCACTGTCAAACCGATTGAATTCTCCGCACACGACCCGCTTCGATACATTGGTGATATGCTCGCGTGGGTGCATTCTACAACTGTGTCCGAGCGGGAAGCACTTGAGTCACTATTTGTTGATGATGGAGATGAACTCGCCAGAGGATTCCAGGCAGGCATGAGCAGCGAGCCCTGGTCTCGCATTGACGAGGATCAAGAGGTTACGTTCGATGGTCAAAAGGCACTGAGTGATTTAGTTAACCGTGATCTTACTGGAGTGTCTCGCGCACTACGGCAGAGAATCGAGCTTGTCATTCAGAGCCATGAAGACCCTATCACTTGCTACAAAGTTGTCAACCTGCTGTCTTTCTACCGCACCACGTTCTCCAAACTGGTGGGCAAACAATCCAATCTGGTGGACTTATGTCAGAATTTGGAGAAGTTCACTTTTGGCCACTTCGAGTCATTGATGCGTGACCAAATTAGCACATTAGCTGGAGACAACATCGCGTTGTCCCCGCCAGACGATCTATCGCCTCCACAATTCCTGCTAGATGCCCTGGAAGATTTATCCTTGCTTATGAAGAGCCATGATGCTTCTGTTGGACCGGAAGAGTCATCTCTGGACTCGAGCAACGAGAACGCCTTTACACCCGTGCTTCGGGTCGCTTTCGATCCATTCTTGACATTGGCTCGTGCCTCGTCAGATGAACTCAAAACAACCACAGCGCAGTGTATCTACCGCACCAACATTCTCTTCGCAGCCCGTGAAGCTATATCACCCTTCCCATTCGCTTGCTCGACACATGTTCCCCCGCTGTCCGCAGCATTGGCAACTTTGCGCAATGATCTTCTCGACACCCAGCGTGACTTCCTTCTCGAGTCTTCAGGCCTCCAAGACCTTCTAGAGGCCCTGGAACCTTTCTCCAAGACCGAGAAAGACTCCGATTCCACCGCGAATAAAACTCAGAAGACAGAAAACCAGAAGCCTCACCTTGCAGATCTGACCACTCTACCTGCCTTCCAACCAGAGTCTTTGATGACCTCCAGTCAGCAGCTCGACGATTTCCTTCCGTCTGCATTAATGGATGCAACTGATAATCTCAAGCGGGTACAGAGTGTTTCACTTGTGCAGAGCGTAACAGAGGATGCTGTTGAGGCGTTCTGCCGGGACTTTGAATTTATTGAAGGCATGATCATTGCCGCGGACGAAGCCAGAGGTGCTGTTAATGTTGCCGTTGGCAGTGGCGGTAGTGTCAGTGGCCAGAGTGGACGATCAGACGGTAATGCTGAGGCACACAAGAAAAACAGCGACGAAGCCGAAGAGGATGACGATGAAGCATGGAGTCTGAGATCGTTGTTCCCTCGGACAACTGGAGAAATCCGCGTGTTGTTAAGTTGATCAGGGACTTGTGTAAGCTATAAAGTTATATATCCATGTCTATCTATCCATCGTTTATTATCCCGAGGTCTTAAGTAGCATCCACCTGGGCAACACCTGGGCATCTGGGTACGGTGATTCCGCTCGATAGCTTTAGAAGGTACCTAGGCAGGACCAAGTAAGAGACTTTGACAAGAGGCATTCAGAATACGGTGCAAATTGGAAAAGCATACTGCTATTGCATTGTTATGGCTTTGTTTAACAAGGGCAACCAAAAGTAATAAACAGAACACGGAGCCGAGAGGTATCAAAGAGCGAATTGACGACATAAGACAAGGAAAGAAGACCAAGATCAAGTCTCAGTCTATCCACCTCGCTCGCCAAATTCTCTCGCCCAGTCCTCGTATTTCTTCAATCCGTCAGGAGATACACTAGGCCGGATGGAATACAAACTCGCTTCGAAATCCGGGAATATGATAGCACGGATCTGATCCATGGGAGTGTGGAGGAGGGCCTCGCCCAGGTTACGCAAAGGGCCCATGGCGGCATCCTTGGCGAGAGCTGTGATATCTGAGCCGGAAAAGCCTATATAGTCAATTAGCAAAACGGTCAAGAGAGGGGGTTTTCAAGACATCAGTAAATACCTTCTGTGACATGAACCAAAACTTGGATATCAGCGTCGCTGAGCTCATGATGCTGGTGGCCTATAAGCTTGCGTATTTGCTGCTCGCGAACATGATGTTCTGGCAAGGGAATGTATTGCCGACGGACGAAGCGACGTCGGGCCGCCTCGTCGATATCCCATGGCATGTTAGTAGCAGCCAAGACCAGCACGCGGCTGGCATCGCCTTCCTTTTTCTCGCGGCTTGTTTGCTCTCGGCCCGCGGCTGCACGCTGGAGATCAGACCATTGAACCAGGAACTCCGTCTTCGAGCGACGGGAAGCCTCATGTTCTGAACCCGACGAGCGCGCGGAAAGTAGAGAGTCGATTTCGTCGACGAAAATGATGGATGGGGCGAGAGCTTTGGCGAGACCGAATAGGGCACGCACGAGTTTCTCACTTTCACCATGCCATTTGGAGGTTAGACTTGATGCTGAGACGGAGAAGAAGGTTGATTTGGATTCCGTGGCTACCGCCCGTGCGAGCATGGTTTTACCAGTGCCCGGAGGACCGAATAATAACATTCCGCGGGCTGGTTCACGGAGACCGGAGAACAGGTCGGGGCGAAGGAATGGGTAAACCACTGCTTCTTTCAGTGCCTTTTTGGCTCCTTCTAGCCCGGCAATGTCATCCCAATGTACTTCATCGCCGCGTACTACAATGTCATTTAGAATTTGCTTTGCAGACAGAGGGTCCACGCCCTTGGGCAACTTCTCCAAGATTTTGTTGATATCTTCGTCGTTTTCTTCGTCCTCGTCTTCATTCTCGCTTGCGGATGATTGCGGATCTGAGGACTCTTGATCGCTGGATGGCGGAGTCTCTCGCCGTTTAAGTGGCGGAGGCTTGCGTCTTGTTACACTGTCCCCATTTCTTTGTGAAATAGCCAGTCGGTTGACTCCACGGTGAAGATCATCACCACTACCAGATGAAGGAGAAGCACGGGAAGCTTCACCAACCCTAGGAATTTTGGGTGCAGATTTTGTTCGCGGTCGCTCGACCGAAGAATTTGCTTCTCGGTCGGGCCGAGGTGCCACCGTCCGCAGGGTCTGCTCAGATCGAGTAGTCTGCATTGGATGACTTGAAGGCGGCTGGGCAGATCGCAAAGCAACAGGCTTTGGTTTGACAGATGGCTTGGGAGGGGTTGTATAATGAGCCGGGTTTGGCATGGACATTGGAGACGGGTGCGGTAATTGAGGGCTGTGAGGTGGAGGTTGAGGCGGACGCGGTGAAGACTGTGTAGGCAGCTTGGGTGAAGTCCTCTTCGGGGAGGCACGAAGAGGCTCTCGCCAATGGGCCGTGGGGATTCGATCACCCGTCAAATCACGAGAAGTGCGAACTTTCGTCGGCCGCGGCTCATCCCCAGAACTGACTCTCGGCTCTGGATCGCGTCGATGGCTAGATTCAACGGTGGCGCTTGCGCGCGAAGATGCGAGAGCGGCTTCGCTTGGAGCCTTCCCTCCAGATGCAGAGCGATAGATACTGCCCCAGGCGAGGCCCGCTGCCTTGGAGGCAGCAGGCCGGGACTCTTTCTTCTTTGACGGAACCTTGACTTTCTTGCCATTCTTCTTGCCATCACTGCTGCGGAGAGTCGTCAGCATCGGCTTCCGACGTTCGGGACTGGAGCCACGCGATTTCGTCTTCTCGGAGGAATTCGAGTTCACCCGCAGCGCAGGCGTGCCGGCCGCGGACAAATGCGAAGGGCCTGCATCGTCATACAAAGATTGCGACTCGTAGCTTTGTTTCGTAGGCAGCGAAGGTCGACCGGGGATAGCGGCGGGTTTGGAAAGGTCGGTGTAGCCGACGGCAGGAATGGTTCCATCTCCGATCCAGCCGGGAAGGTTGGACGACGAGGGTGGCGGTGCGCTGGTAACAGATTTGCCCTTTACAAGAGTAGCGCTCTCTTTGCCTCCGCCATTAGCCTCTGCGGATTCCTTCCTGCTGGCTCGGAGGGCGCCCAGTAGATCTACCCGTTCTCGGCATTGAACTTCTAGCGCCCGAATGGAGTCCTGCAGGGCCTTCTCGGTTTCGGATTTCGGTGTATAAGTCGATGGGACACGGCGGGCATTGTGATGGTAGATGGTCTCGAGTGCGGATCGCCAGGACCGCAATGCTTCTTCTTCGTTGTTCTGATGTAATGAGTTCATGAACTGGTGTTCGGGGGCTAGTGCGCACATACCTGGCCCTCAAAGTATACTGCAGTAGAGCACGCGAGATAGCATTCGTCGTAGGTCTTCTGCAAGGAAGACGCAGGCCGTGGGCGCATCATTGGGAATCAACAGGCCCTGCCTGCATCCATTACACGAGGTCTGTTGGTGGAGTTGGTAGAATGCGATGATCTCCCGCGGAGTGAGGGGATGATTTTTCGCGTGACGTCGTCGGTTCGGTAGTTACTGCATGCGGTCTGAGACCACTTTAAAGACTATATGAACTGCACTATAGAACTACAAGACTTTAAGACTATACAATATTACTTTACAGAGTACTTGATATCCTCTACAATTTCCTTTCCTTACATCCTTGATGTATTCGGGAAATTGCTGCTCGGATATCATCTCTAAGATTTCTCATGTCTATGGGTACATGCAAAGATACTAAAAAAACATAAAAAGTTATGTCGATGCCAAAGGAGAACCCAGTTCTCCAAAAAAGAATTCCAACAAAAAGGGAAGACTTCCTATTCCAACGCCGACACATTGGAGAAGCATCGATCCAAATCAAACAGAAGAGAAAAGTACCAGATTCGAGCTCCGAGTAGGCTCAGCACAGCCGTGACATTCCCGATTTCCCAGAAAACTATACATTGCCAGTAACGCTTTTCATAAAAAGCCCCTCAACATGCAAGATTGAAACCCAAGGCATTTTTGACCCGAGATGCGCCTCAGTGAGGTTTGCTAGGCGCCGCCCAGTCATCCGCACCCCGGAACAGATTGAAAAAGAAAACAAGAACAGACCCGTGTCGCCTCGAAAGATCAGTGAAAAAGATTATGTGGTCCCCACGCAAACGTGGTATATTGAACAAGTGAAACAAGGAGGACCCATCGGGGGTAGAGACGGGGCAAATGGCGAACGGTCAAGGATGGAGAGGGGGACGGTGTTTCTTTTAATCGTACTGTTCCTTGAAGTAGGCCTTGGCCATTTCATAGGAGGTCCTGAAAGATGTTAGTCATGGCCCAATGAACCTCGAGGGGATGCGTCTCAGGAACCGGGGAATACATACCAGCAAATCGCAGTGCTAGGCATGGTGGAAATGATGCGAGGCCGCATGCCACGCAGGAAGCCGGCCCAGCCAAATTGGCGCTTGATGATGCTAGCGGCGTCTAACAAGCCCTTGGCGGATCGAACCTCCTGGTTTTGCGCAAGGCCTCGGGTTTGGAGAAGGGTCTTGACAACGTCGAGAGGAGTGGTGATACCAGCGGCGAAAGCACCAGCCAAACCACCTGCAATGCAATGGGTGAAGGGGTCATAATTTTGCTTGGGGTTCATCGACTTAGAGATCGTTTCGTAGGCAACGAACTGGGTGGCCGTGAAGGGCACGGTCATGCAAAGTGTGGTAGGGTAGGAGACGTAGAAGGCCTGGAGACCTTCGGTGCGGTAGAGGGTCTTGGCGCATTGCGCCAGGGTCTTGTGGACGGAGCCGTGAACCTGCATACGCTGCTTCATGACTGAAGAGCTGGTTAGCAGGGTCGACACCAGTGTGTTGCTTTGCGTGGGTCCTTACCATCGAATGGGTTCATCAGCGCATCGCTGGCGATCGTAGCGGCGGCACCACTCGCAGCTGTCGAAATCCTGTCAGTCGCGCTCAAAAAAACAATCCAAGGTCGGTGCCCAGAACTTACCGGCAGCGAAAGGGTGGTGTCCGTCGTCGACATTACCACCTGCCATTTCCTTCACAACCTCGTATGTGCCGAAATACACGGCGTGTGCCGGACCTGTCAGGGATCAGTACCAGCCCATAAACACCGCAAAATTACCCATGAATACGCACCGGCGCCAACAACCACACTGGAGACACCCTTCCATAGTGTCCGCCAGCCCTCAACCCGGTAGATTGTAGAGACCGCGTTGGTCAATCCCGTGTAGAGACCGCCAGATGAAGGGTTCAGAATTTGCATGCGAGTCTAGATAATAGCACACCGTCAGATCTTGATTATTTTCCGTTTATTTCTGTCACAGCGTTCAAACATACCTTGAGCAAGTCCACGGGGTACATAACCGAGTGTTCCTGAGTATCTGATCAGCCACGTTCTTCGTCAATCACCAAGTCGACATACCGCGATTCCGGCGAAAGCACCCGCTAACATGTTGCGGCCAAGGCCATAGTTGGAAGGGAGAGCTTCGTAGCTAGAGCGGAGGTAATCGCATTAGCTTCGGTCCATGTGATCAGCGGAGAGCGACAGCAAGGCGAGCAGGCGGAACGCCCAGCAGGGACGGTCGTCGCAGTATCCGGAACTTGATTGTGCATCTAGTTCACGAATGCGTTCTGTCCCTGCGCTCAACCCGACCATACCGACGCCAATCCGGTTATCTGAGAAAAAAAAAATTCCACCGGGGAGCTACATACTCGAACTCGGGGTTCTCGTCGGAGGCCATGGAGCTTTCGCTAGGCCAAGACCTAGCAGCGGCAATTGGGTTGAAAAGTGAAGGACGAAGAGGGTGGTCGTGGAGGAATGGAAAGTTGGAGGGAGATGAGGTAAACGGGGTTGGGTTGCAGGTTCTCCGTGGAGATCCCGAGCAAAACACGAACAGGCGAAAAATAGGAATGTGAGTAAAGCAGCCTGTCCAGATGGGGGTTTTTTTGTGACGCAGAATAAAATTGAAGATTAAATGAAGTTTCTCCGAATTAAAAAATAAAAAATAAAGATCAATCCCCCAACAGGAAAATACGCTAAGAGGAAATTATTCAGGCCGACGTTCGCTACTATCCACGTCTCTCTGTCTTTGATACTACCGGACTTCGGACTTTCGGTCATACCTACATTGGTCATTCTACATATTCTTTTTTTTTTTTTTTTGGTTCCTCTATGAGTTGGGCAAGCAGAGCAGAACCTTGGAAACAACTGCCTTTTGAAAGAATCCGATGACGGAGAGACCAGGTACCTTTCTGGTATCTCTTGGCTGCATTTACCAGGGTGTAGGTACCTAGCCGGTACGTAAAAAATTATCAATCAGATAAGAAATTAGCCCCTTGACCCAGCAGACGCCCTTCGTCTTAATTTGTCCTAGTCACCTTCGAGTGGAGCGTATTTCATCTTCCAGAATATCTTCGATCGCCGATGGAGACAGTGTAGTGTATGTACAGACGTGTCCATTGTTTAAGGTCTCATACCTCTCGTCTCATCTTCGACTTCTTTCATAGATATCCCTATATTGTCAGATGCGTTCCGCATTGGCTGAAGGTATGCTCGTACTTGATCCCATGGACGATTCAAATACGGAACACGCGACTTTTCCAAGGGGCCTGCCGAGGTCCGGTTTAGCCGTCTGGGCCCAAAACCTGACTAAAACCTTTCTGACAGCGCCCCCTGATCCCTCGTATAAGGCACTAGAGACTTCTGACATTTGTCACGGGATTCTTCTGCGGTTCCCATACTTGTAGATCTGGTTCCCTACGCTATTCAGTTGAATGGACACAGTATCGCTCATTAGACTCGAATATCGATGTTTTTTTTTTTGGAAACTCAAATCAGTTCTGGAAACACCAATACGCCTAATCCAAAGATGAAAGACACGTAGTGCAAGATAGGAGATCAATCAAACATGGGTGGACAGGTGTAGGTTGGTGCAGGTAGAAGGAAGGGGACATAAGCCCGGTTCAGAGATGACCATAAGGTACCATGAGAGGGCCGATGATCTAACCAAGACCCTCGAATGTGGCTTTAAAAAAGGATATGCTGATTGCAAAGAAATAGATGTCATTCATGTCGTCAAAAATAAAAAGCGTTTGTGGCAACCCAGCCGCCAGCGGGCTACCACTCCATATTAAATGACCATTCTCCTGGGTGATGGGTTAGACATGTGTCACTGACGGAATGCAAGGGGATCTTACCGTTCTTCAAATTCTCGGCAGTATCGCTGAGAAGAATGACTCGACGCTTGGTGCAATACGCGGTTTTGTCCAGAATATCTACCTTGAGCTCTGCAAGTTCGGGGACAGGCTTTTCAAACATTTCACTCAGACTTTCAACGGCCATCTCCAGGTCCTTCTGATTGTCCTCGAAGATTTCGGTCAAGTTGTTGCGCGCGAGGTAAAATGCAAACGCATAGGTCCACTTCAGAGTTTGACGACACTGCTGCAAAGCCTGCGACGCGGTGTCCAGGAACTGCACCTCAATCCAAGATAGACCGGACTGAGACTGAAGACTGGTCATCTTCTTCTCGGTCTTCAAGTAAAGGTCTTTGTCAAGCTTGGCGGACTGCTCGTGGTTCGCATACCGATTATAGTAATGCAGATACCGCTCTAAGAAAGAACGAGATTTGGCTTGGGCACTGCGGGCATCCGAGCCGGATTTCTCCTCGTATCGGTTGCAGTTATACCAACTAGTACCATGTTCGGACCACAAGCCCATACACATCCAGCAGAACTCATGCTTGCACTTTCTGCAAGTCATGTGGTTGCAACCGCCATTCTTTTCGATGGTGGAATTGCATCTGGGACACTCTTTGGTGTTGGCAGAGATCCAGTTAGCAGTCTCTGAATCGTCTTCACATTTCTGTAGCCACATCTTGACCAATGTGCATGGAGTAGGCTGGTGGTCGGCGAGAGTGCAACCGAAGCAGAATTCATGCTTGCAGAAGCATCTCACGGTAGGAACTATGCGACGAAGGTCGCGAGCCCTTACTCCACAATCGATAGCATATTGGCAGTTTGGCGCAGGACACCACTTTAGATTCTCCTTGTCATCAACGTAAGTCCGGGTTAAAAGTTCACGGTATCTGCAAGGTACACATTAGTAACAGTTCACTCATAGCTTGTCAGCAATAAGAGTAGCTCACCTTTCGTTGAGGCCGTGTGTCACCAGCAGGTCCATTGATTTCGAGTCCACGATGCGGCTGCACTTATTTCCGGGGCACTGGATTCGAGCAGCCTCGCCCTCTTCCTTAATCTTTTGCGCCAGGTATTGGCGATAACAGTCCACACAGAAGCGATGACCACACCGCATTGCATATGTCTCGAGATCATCCCCCTCTTCGCAACAGATATCACACATGAACCCCGGCACAAGCTCGGTCTTCGCGGACCCCTCGAAGCTCGTCCCAAGGCCTGCGTCTTCCAAAGTCTCTTCCGGGTGCTCCATATATGACTCGATCAACTTCTCTTTGTTCCACCGACCAAAACGTAGCAGAATCGCAGCCGACTCAGGCGGCAGCCCTAGAACGGCGCACACCTCGTCGACCTGAACATTCTGCTCGTGGTCGATGTCTGGCGGATCGAGTACTTTAAACTCAACTTCATATGGCTTGCGGTTATTCCTAATGAGGTCTTTGTCGTCCGAGAACCCAGTATCGAGGTCACCGAAGTCTATCATTCACCCAATAGCTACCTGTCAGCCAACTCGTTCTTCAACATAAAGGACATTCATAAATGACGCATACCTTCGCCCAAGCTCTCGTTGTCGGAGCCCTGGGTTCCCAAAAACTCGTCACTAGAGACATCACTCATGAAGTCATCGTCCGAATCCATGCTGGCGGTTGTCGATGCGGGTGTCCCGAGGAACCCCTTTTTCCGACTAGCAGGGCTGGCGGAGCCGGGTTTCTCGGTGTCGGAAGACGCGGTCGGGGCTGAGTCGGGCTTGCGCGAACGTTGGTGGGATGTCGCGGTGCGGTGCCCGTGGGCGGCTGTCAGAGGCTCGTTGTCAATGGCCGCCTCAGCCGCCGTTCTCTTTCGCGTAGTGGGAGGCGTGGTGAATGAAGTGGCAAACGTGCCAGGAGGTAGAGGGAGATTCTGTTCTGCGCCACACGTCACTGGGTAAAACCTGTGACGAGCACGGATGGTCGGAGGGGGGAGTGGGGAAGGGAGATGGAGCCTCCCGGGGGGGGTCTTCGGTTGCTCTTCGGGGGGCGAACGACGTTTTGGGTTATTGCAGATTTATGTGAGGTTTAGGTTTGTTTGTCTCCAGCATGTTCGAATTAAACAAAGAAACGGTGTACAAAAGATTTACGGAACATCGTTAAGTACTTGCTTCTGGCGTTGGGAATCATCCCATTGGTTTTGCTAGCCCTGTCTGCCTGCGCTGTAGGCTCCCAAGGCTAAGACATCTCATTTTTATTGAGAATGCGACCTCTCATAAAAATGATAAAAATGAAATACATAATTTTGAATTGGTCATTCGTCAACATAGTGGTATCTACTCATCATCACTCTCTTCCTCGCTGTCTTCCTCCTCACTGCTTTCTTCCTCGGCATCAGCCAGCCAGTCAACGAATTGCTGAGCTTGACTACGAACGGTGCGCATCTCCTCAGTGTTGCTAGAGCGCTCATCGTTCCACCACTGATCGTATGCCTCCTCCTCAACAAGCTCGAGCTCATAGAGAGACTTGGCCGCGAACAGAAGCACTGTGTCTCCCTTGCTGCGGGTGATAAGATCTTGTTGGAGCATGAGAAGCAGATCGACCTGATCCTTCTTCTGATCCTGGTTACGGTCGAACAGAGTGCGCTCGACGACTTCCTTGTATGCAGTAAAAACCTCGTTGACAGCAGGACCGGCTCCCTTGCCACCCTCGATGAGCTGCTCAATGTGCTTCATGAAGGCCTCAACGATAGCCCGACGGACCTGGTTGTCTGAGGCATTGGCAGTCATGCGTAAAGTGACCAGCTCGAGCTGAACCACGTCCGCTGCCACTCCTTCGCGGAGACTGTCGTACAGACTGACTGATGCGTCATGGTGGAAGTTATCTGACTCCTCGTCATCGGAGAGTAAGCTGCCTTCGGAATCTCCCCAGGAATTCTCGGAGACTTCCGATGACAAAGTTGAAATAGAGACAGAGGAGAGTGAGAGACCGGGCATACGGTAGACTGCAAAGATAGAAGGGTTAGTACAGGATTCTCCAGATATGAACCTAGAACAAGCATACCGAGTCCTGATGAAGCGACGCTGACATCGTCATCGTCGTCGTCCTCTTCCTCCCCGTGAATGAATTCATAGCCCTCACCACCTTGACCAACAACTGCGGGATCGTTCCTGCCCACGGTTCCGTCAATCTGCGTCCTCGTGATACGCTTGCCGCTTTCGACTGAGATGCCGGCTGCAATTTTCACGCCGTATGAAAGAAGAGCACCGGACGCAACGGTGCAGTTGTTGCCGAGGACGACGCCATCAGCGATGATCGCTCCACGGACATCGACTCCGTCCCCAATCACGACATTATCCCAAATGTAGGCACCCTCCAGCTTGACATTGCGGCCAACCTTGCAATTCCGGCCCAGCACAGTGTTCTTAATCTCTGTCCGATCACCGATGCTTGTTCCTTTTCCGATGACTGTACGGCGACCGATCACGCAGGATCGCGCCAGTGTTACGCCCTTCTCTTGATACAGACTACCCTTGCGAAGGTCGTAAGAGTGTCCGGGGAGCAAGTTTGTGTCCGGGCAGAGAGGATATGTCCAGCGCGAGAGAATATCCTTGCTGATAGCGTCGTAAGCCTTCAGGTTGCGCACGCGCGCAGCATAGTGATCCTTGATGATGTAAGTGTGGAGAGTTTTGCCGTTCAATTCGTAGTCCTTGAGAACACCGTGCAAGTAGTGCTTCCGGGGCGACTGGTAATCAAAACTGTCAGACCATAAGCTCAGCACGTCCGGGGTGCAAATATCGATGCTGCAATCGATCAGATCTTGGCGAACATCGAGCTCGACGTTTGACAAGATCAGTTCGGAATCAATGTTCAAGCGAGCGGGCTGATCATCATCCTGGTGGTGGTCGATTTCCTCGTAGTGCAAACAGCGGTCCTTTGTAGGGTCGATCACGAAAACCGGAGAGACCGAGGATGACTTCGTCCGATGATTGCGACCAGCTTCCCTCAACACCATGGTCATGATTGCGTTCTTGTCAGACTCCCGACGCTTCCTGTGCTGTGCAAGGGCGCCTTCGATGGGCAGGTTGCTGATCACATCACCGCTCACAACAATGAAGTCTCCGGTAATGAGATGCTTGCCATCCAGATCGCGCATAACGTCACCGACGGAAGTAGAGGTCGATTTGAGGAAGCTAAGTTGCTTGAAAGGAGACGAAAGAGCCCTCCATTTCGAGGCACTAGACATTTGAATTAGCCATGTTCTGTGCGCCATTCCAAGTATAGGTCGTACTTGAGATATTTCTCCAATTGGTCTGAATGGGCGCCTCCGTAAAGGAATACCTCTTCCACACCTGCATTAGCCAGGAATTCGAGGGTGTATTCGATCAATGGGGTGTTCGCAAGCGGCAAGAGGCACTGTAGCAGGTTGACTGGTTAGATTCATGCCATAAGATGAGGTTCGGCTTCTGGGAGGACGTACTCGGGGCTTGTCGCGGGTAAATGGTTCGAACCGTGTCTCGAAGGTATCCGCAAGCACCTAAATATCAAGAGGTGTCAGTTAAATTCGTAACTCCGGAGTAGTTGGCCGGGGGTGGGTTGCGCGATCTGCGCGACGGCGAAACATACCACAGCCTGGAAGGTCTCTTCCACTTCATCCGCCGTGTTTGCCTTTGGCTTTTGGCCACCTTTCTGCTTTGGGGCCATTTCTGGAAACGGATCAGTATCAGAATCGGACTCAATATTGTACCACATTGTCTCGGTTGCTGGGGTTGTAGAGCGGCGAAGAGCGTGGAGGGATCGTACCTTCAGAAAGGGACAGTGGCCCTCAGAGATAGGATTCAATAGGACTCAGAACAAAGGAAAAGATATAATACAAGCAGTTATTCCAAGCCGTATTGACGCCAGAAATAGCACAATCACTTCCAAGAAAAAGTGAGCTCGTTATCAAAGGGCACAAAAAAGCATCGGAGTCATCCCGCCTGTTTGTACTGTTTGTGTGAGCTACCCACTGGGGTTTCTGCCTTAGGTGTCATTTTTATAATGGCTTCCAAGGTTCTTTACTTCGTAATTTGTGAATCGTGATAAAGGATCATTTCAATGTTCAGAATTGACTAATACTCTGTTATAGGATGGAAAATAGTACCACTGGTGAAAAAAAGGATCTGGCACTACTTCTATCCCAAAAAATTGATACATGTTCCTACCTAGGACCTAGTTACTAGTTTTCAATGTCAAAAGTATACAATTGTGAACACAGAAGAACTTTAGCTCCTTTATCGCTAATAATCTTACAGTTTTATTGCACTTGCCAGTATCTTTGACGCGATGCTGTTCTATATGATAACGCATACGCCGCTCCGATCTGATATCTCTTGTTTAGGTCATGTTCTCTTTTCTGGTTCTCCTAAGGGCTGATCAAAGGTATTGGTACTCCGTATATCTACTTAGCTTATACAGAAACTTGGCTGAGTATTTTCTGAGCCAAGTGACAGAATATAGATTTACCAAAATCGAGATTTCTTTCCTGCTATTGTGTACCCCAAGCATGTAGTTGAGCACGACCAAAGCGTTGAAACAAATAGGTTCACCCTACACTTCAAACCACTTGAAAGATAATAACTGAGCATTCGCCAAGCTCCAAGGTTTGAACGTGATTCTTACATTTCCCTTCTTGAAAAGATTTACTTATGGTGTATATCTCAAAACATAGGAGCCCAAATCATTCAACCAACGTCCCAGCATGTGCTTGCGAGGCATGTCATATTGAGATATTCATGGACAGAGCAATCAAGCTCCTTATAGATGTGGGACTGGTGGAGGGAAGAGTGTGGGCTGATGACCAGGCCTCTCGAGTTCTATATCAATGTGCACTGGCAAGGTCAAGCAGAGTCACCAAGAAAACCAATACCGACAATGATGCATGAGGTAAAGAGAATGTCTCAGAGGGTTAGCAGATAACTCTGTGGTATACGCTCGAGTTCATGGTGCCAAGCATAACCAATATCTTGCGCATTCAACCGGGTCGTCAAGGCCACTCCGAAAGAAACCATGGCGCAAGTACTCCTTAGCCAGCCAAACAGGTATGTAGCATCTCCTTCAGTAAATGAGATGAGCCATGATTGGAACCCTATGGCTCAGTTCAATGAAACCCAAGACTTATCAGTGACTCCGTGGGTAGTAGAGACCCTTTGTAGTCCTCGAAGCATCACTTGCCTCTTTGTTGCTTCCAAGGTTAGACTCATACCCACCTGGGCAACACACCATTCAAGGTGTGACCTAACCAAAGCCCTGCATATATCGCAGTGACTTTATACAAAAAAAAAAAAAAAAATCCAGATTTATGGATTTAGGAAAGATGCAGAATGACATATCGTCGACTTGGATCAATAATTGGACGCAAGGTATATCATACATAGAAGCTCTTCTGGGATCTCGTTGGCTTTACTCCGTAGAAATCCCTTTAAGTTTCACTAAGGGAGGATAGATGTATGTGTGCCTTGATAAGCACCTCCCAGAAGCCGAGACCTGGTGGAATTGAGCGCAATCTGAAGCGGCAATCTATTGGTGTCTAAGTATTGCAGGGTGTTGTAGGGCTTTCTCAATACCCACGCCCCGAGCTTGTTTCAGTATGTGACTTGACAGTTATGCATGATGAACAGAAAAAGTCTGTCATGTCTTTGAAAAGTGGGTTTCAGAGCTGCAGGGACCTGGTAGCGGATATCGCTATGAAACACGAGGTTAGTGACAGGTGTCCGTCAAAAGGTGCAAGTAACTAATCCCTGGTGTCACGTTCTTGTTGGAACGGCGATTCTTACCCACAAATCACAGGCTCTACCATATCAATTAAGGTATCTCCAGCCTGGGTGAATGGTACTGGTTCGAACCCAGGTTGACGTGTGCCAGTGGTAAGATCGCCGGATGTGGACAATGCAAACCAGCCAAACATGAGCTTAAACGGCGAGATCAACCCTGGGTCCAGACCTCAAGGGACCACAAGGTCTGGGCCCTCTTGGATCCCTTTAGATCGATATTAAGGTGCAATTCTAGACCCCTCCCCCTGCAGTTCGTGCAATCTCGGGCCCGTCCCGCGAATATCGCGGAGCCGTAACACATTTCGAGGTATGATTCCGCTGCAGCGTTATCCGACGCGAGTCCTGACCAAAATGATGTCAAACAATGGGTCTCTCGACGCTAGGTGAGAATCCATGGAAAGGATTGCTGATGATGTGGTCATACACGAAAATTCTAGGGCTACGCGTACGAGGCAAATTACTCAATTAGGCCCTGCGCATACACAGGTATAGAATGTGGAATGAGTGAAAAAAAGAATATGTTTGTAGGTATGTACCGGGAAAGTATCCTCGGCGGTAGTGTGAGCGCGCGGTGGATATAGCTGACGCAAGTAAAGTCGCACAAGTTTCAATTCGCCACCCAGTCAAATCAATCAACGCCAGGACCTGTAGTGGGAATCGCGACCACATCCGCGAAAAGTAAGGTAAAAGTATGTAATTTGAAATTTGAAACCTCGTTATAGACAAGTGGGAATCGTGAGTCAATAGACAGGCGGAAAAAAGGTTAAAGAAATAGCAAAGGCCGAACGGGTGATTAACCAGGTCGTCCGGCTTGCATGGCAAGCATTGGTTGTGGTTGGGAGTACATGCGCTGGCGTTTGGGCATGTTGGGGTTTTCGTTGGCGCTGGACATGTCTGAGATCTGTCGGCGATGAGGGGGTCGGACAGGAGCCCCCGCGGTAGGGACTCCTACGGGAGGTGGTGCGGGATATTGGATGCCATTCTGGTCAACGGTATATGCCGCTGGTGGGGCGGTGACATATGGGCCTTGAACTGCAGGCATATTTGTAGGAACGGCTTGCATGTTCTGGAACTGACCCGGTGATTGCCAGTTGTTCATGGATCCAGCGGGCGACTGGCCCGGGGAGCTGTCCTCTTTGATTGACTGTGTTGCCGAGTTTTGGGCTGCAGTTGCCAAGTTCACAGCAGTCGCGGAAGGCGGCACCTGCTCCATTCCGGGGGGATTTTGAGGAGATACTTTGAGGTGGTCCAGGTGTCTCTCAAGCATGTCAAGAAGACTTTTGCGAGTGAATGGCTTGGGAAGAACGTCATCCATTCCTAGGGCTCGTTAGTTTATGTCTTGGTATCAATACTGAAAACGGTCTTACCATGATGGAAATAGAGTTGGATGTCATCGCTTCGGATGTTCGAGGTCATAGCAATAATAGGAGTGCGGTCAAACTGGCGAATGAGATGGCATGCCGATACACCATCCAAGTTTGGCATTATGATATCCATTAGAATAAGGTCGTATTTCGAGCCCCCTTGAATTTTGTTCACAGCTTCCAATCCATCAAACTATACCCACGTTAGTAAACCTCCTGGCGACGGATGATAGGCATAAACATACCGCGGTATCAATAACACAAGAGAAAGAATATAAGAACTTTCCGCCAATCTGCCTGCAAGTGGCGTCGTCTTCAACCAATAGAATCTGCGGACTGCGCACCCAGCCAGGATCAACGTTGTTGGTCTTCTTCCGGGTGTCGGGGAATTGCCGACGGGCTTCTGGAGGATCCACCTCCTGCTTGGGTGGCATTGGGTAAGGAACGTTGTTGATATGCTCGCTATACATGGGATCAATCCCATTCGTAGCACCAACGGGATATACCACTTGCTCCAAGTCCCCGGTCATCTTCGGGTAAACGAGAGCCTCAGGTTGGGCGGGGTTTGGAGCAGCATTCGCTGGGCGCAGCGAGCCATTGCGCATATTCGGGTCCATTGTAGGGGTTGAGACAACGGTGCCCTTCTGAGGGTCGTTCATCGAGTCGGTGCCATTCATATTGAATTGAAGTTCCGCATTCATGTCGCTCAAGAGCTTTGAAGCTTGCTGGAGAGGTGATGAAGGCTCGTCATCCACAGCGCCGACCTGAGAAGGGCTCATCGTTGTTCCAGCCGCTTGGAATGATACACCCTTGCTATCCCGTCGCTGACGATCCACTGAAAGCAGGTGGTTCATTACCTGGTGGATGACATTCTCATGGTTCAAGACTGTTTTCTGTACACGCATGAGCTCCTGGATCATGAGCTGATGATCCACCGTGAGTTGGCTGTTGCGCTCTGCCAAATGTTGGATCTGCTGCTGTTGGGCCACGATCTGCTGGTTGAGCAGGTCGATTTGTTGTGTTGGGGCGGACTCTTCATTGCTCTGGGTTTGTTTTCGAGGTGCGGGTGCTTTGCGTCGAATATTGTCGAGAGACTCTTTGCTGTTGGCGCGAAACTCGGGGTGCTTGAATTCCCATGCCTGTGTTCCGCGTCAGAACCTCGGCCCAACCACAATTTCCAGTTCCAGGGTGTAACCTACATTTTGCCCGTAGGGTGACTGGCCGTTTTCTTCGTTGTTCTGGCGCACTTTGTGGAAGTCGTATTTGTTCAGTTGTCGTACAAAACTGGCGAAATTGCTGTGCTTGAAATGCTTGGGTAAAATGGTTTTGGTAAATTTTTCACACTGTGGAAGTTAGCGACGGGAGGCTTCTTCTTATTTTCGAGGACCAGATCGCGGGCGCATTACCTCTAAGACCACAAAGCTATCTCCTTCATCACCCCAGCGTACAATAGACGCGTAGGTTGGGTCCTCCAGCATTCTAGGGCGAGTTGGTTAGCGACGCCTCACCAACAGGGCGAAAGGAAGCAGGGGCAACGGCGAGCAAGAGACATACTTGTACAATTTGCGTACCTAGTCATGGTTAGCTATATACTCTGAGGGAAAGGCAAAAATTAGACGTGTAGGATCATCACATACAAAATCACTGGAGTTCCCAGCGGGGGCGGGATTGGAAGAGGTCTGGCCACCGTCCATGCTGGGCTAGACGGGTCGCGACCGGTCGAACAAGCAGTCTGGACTCGTCCCAACACGGATATACTTGATTGTAAATATAACGGGCAATGAGGAATAACACTTCACGAAAGAGAGTAGGGATAACCGCCAGACCTTCACGGAGGGTGGAAGAGGGAAAAAAATGAATGAATAATAACGGGGGGTCTAGCGGTAGAGCCAAGTACCAAAGTTACTGTGGAGGTACTGCCTGGTACATGCGATGTACTTTTCCACGGTTCTTTTCCTTATTATTTTAAAAAAAGAAACAGCATCATTGTCATATTTATTTTTTTTGACATTTCTCTATGCAAGGGTTTCTTCCCGGTTTCAAGAGCAGGGGCAAAAATGTCCATGGTTCCCGCGTATCGCTTCGGAGTTCCTCACGGTGTACGAAGTATACCAAGTATACCAACACTGACACTGCGAAAATCTTCATATGCAGAAAAGTGCAGGTCTCTTTTTATTCGCCATGCGTTGACATGTCAGTGCGCAGCAACGTGGTGAGACGACGGTAACGATACTCCAGGCTAAGACTCTCTCTGGATCGTGATTAGCTTAGCCTCTCGAGGAGAGTCCTTTGTTCTCCATAATTCCGACCTCTCACATGTAAGTAATACAAAAGCGCCTTTTGGGAACGAACAGGTTCATATCGTTTAATCTATATCGCTTACCCGAGAGCCGCGATGGATATTAAAAGGCATTTGATAATCATATGATCGTATTTAGGCTCTAGGGTGTGGCATATCTGACCGTGGAAAATATACTGGGTTCAAGCCTTATCCTTTGTACTAAGTACGAGAGTATCGCCTCTTCCACTCCGAGATTGAGATGGGCTACTATATCCATGGATCCTAATCCCTCCTTATAGCTCCCCGATTGTACATTGAACGGGGGATAATTACATTCTTAATTGCATCCCACTTTCGGTACTTGCAATCGTCACACATGGTCGTATTGATTATGCACCACTTCCAAACCCAGTCAACTCAACTATCGTATTGACACCCTCATGTCCACGGGTTGAACTAGAAGATGACTGCATCTTTCAGCAGGGGTTTGACGATCCACAGTGTGACAGTGCAGGGTCCAAACACGTCATGAAGGAATAGGGTGCGAGTACATATCATCCGATTCGAGGATGCTATGCGAGCCCTGTCTTTTGGAGAGGCACATATCATAGGCGACAGCTCATATAGGTTGTACTACTGCGGTACCCGCGGTATAGCCTCCGCAAGTCGCACTGTATCAAGTTAGGTATTTTGAATGGAAGGACAAAGGTTGATTTAAGAGTCATATACAGAGAGGTAAGAGACAAAAAGAGCCGTTGGAAGTACCTCGTAATAGAATTACAATAACCAGAAGCCGAAGACGGTGAGGTAAAAACAGAGTTCCAGCCTATGCAGCCGATAAACGGGCGCCATGACGAAATCGAAGCTCCCCGACCCGACTGTCCGGTTCTCCTTCAACCTTCAACAACTACCGTGTACACTACTTTAATTGTCAATTTCATCATGTTCGCCGCTCGTCGTCTCGCAAACATTCCTCGCGTTCGCGCGCAGGCCTCCCTCTTCCACAGCACCGCGCCCGCCTTCGTGCAAAAGGGCGATGCTATCCCCAACCTTGATGTCCTCGTCGAGAACTCTCCTGGCAACAAGGTCAACCTGGCCAAGGAGATCAAGAACAAGGCTGTGATCATTGGTACCCCCGCTGCCTTCAGTGAGTGACCTGTGCCTCGAGAAAACAAAATTCCCGATCGGGACTGATCCTCTGTTAGGCCCCGCGTGCTCCAGCACCCACGTCCCCGGTTTCATCAACCACCCCAAGCTCAAGGAGGCCGGCCAGGCATTTGTCATCTCTGTCAATGACCCCTTCGTGTAAGCTACAATTACAAGATACAAGGGCTGCAGGGCCCCGATGGAGTGTTTATTGACCCGATTATACAGGACCAAGGCTTGGGCTGATTCCCTGGATCCCCAGGGCAAGAGCGGTGTATGTATTTCCTACGATATAAATGTTGACAATGGCTAACATATTTTGCGTTATTAGGTTCGCTTCCTGGGCGACCCCTCCGGCAAGTTTACCGAGGCCCTCGACCTTAGCTTCGACAGCAGCGCCATCTTCGGGAACAACCGCAGCAAGCGCTACGTGCTCCTTGTTGAGGACGGCAAGGTCAAGGAGACTTTCATTGAGCCCGACAACACTGGTCTCAACGGTAAGCGAATACCCTCCTCTCAAGTACATTGCGCTATGCTAACATTGATCGCAGTCTCCGCCGCCGAGAAGGTGCTGGGCTAAACTTGTCTGTATGTAGATATTATGTAGCATACTTACAAATCCATAGATCAACATGTGATATCATCGCAAGGCTGAAATTTAGTTCTCTGATCCCTGCTGCACTGTAACTCGCAGTGCACAAGAGTTTAATGTACAAATATCCATCCGTTCCAACCCGGCAAACGCCCAAGTAATCATTGCATTATAGCCAAGCTCGCGCTTGGTTTCATTGGAGGTGCGCGATTAGGTTTTCAGTGGCTGATCCTGCGTCCGCCGGCAAAAGTCCATCAGGACAGATTGATTTAGAAATCGTGGTTCATCATGGTTTCCAGTTATTGTGAAGTTTACTGCTGCAGGGCTTGCCACTGCTCGGGGGTATAGCACTTGGGAGTCCAAGCATGGATAGCAGCGATCTCGGCCTTGAGAGCGGAGTTGACGAGACGGTGTCGGGCAAGCATGGTCTTGCTCTCGAATTGAGGAGAGACAATTACGGCCTGGAATGCCTGGCCACAGCCACCTATACGAAGACAAAGCGCATCAGTAAGATTGATGGATGGAATAAAAGGCAATGCCTCGACGTCATAGCATCATTTTTCAAAATCGGATTTCGTACCAGACAGATCCTCAACCTCAACATGCAGCGCCTGCAGAGTCTCGGTCAACTTGTTCTTTAGGGAGTCGGCAGTGATTCCAGATGTGTCGGCCATGGCGGCGTTGATGGCGGCGTGGGATCGCGCGGTAAGGGAAAATGCCCTGGTGGGAAATTGAGGGCGGAGAAGATAGCGACAGCTTCTACTCAAGACGGTCAAGGAGGAGGCGCGGGAGAACATCAAGTATGGTAGGGAGGAGAGGATGAGAGACAGACCCGAGGTTATCGCGAAGTAACTATGGAGTTTCAGAGTCGGCCGTTCATTACAAATTCAGAGCCTCCGGTTTGTGGCTGGTGGGTGGCACGTGTGTGTGGCTTATCGTTCTTTCCAACTTGGGCTCTTCTACTCCGTAATCATACGACTCTATGCAGTTTATTCGCACAGCTATTCGTCGATACTCTACAATGAATGTTTCGAAGCTGTCAAAGGACTGCTCTCCTTTCACCCAGGCTGTGGTGACCTCTATGAGGAAGCTGTAAGTTTCCCCTCGTTCCCAGAGCTCCCCGCATTGTATGGAGCTAGGGTTGACCTCAGCGCGCAGGTATCCCGAAGCATTGGCAGACAAGAGCTTTGACAACACAGGATGTACGTGTGGCATGCTCCATACCACCGAAATAAGTTGTACGAAGTGCTGATCGCGGACCAACACAGTGCTTCTTGAAGCTCCATTGGACCCCTCGCGACTGCAAAAGAACTCGGTCCTTCTAGCCATTGACCTCACGACCGCCGTTGCCGATGAAGCCATTAAGAACAAAAACTCAGTTGTCGTTGCTTATCGTATGGCCTACCCTATCTCGCCAAAGACAGGACCACTCCTGCACATATCCGAAACCAACTCAGTCCCTAACACAACACAGACCCAATCATCTTCCGCGGCCTCAAGTCCATCACCTTCGCCGATTCCCAGCAGAAGTCCCTCCTCCGCCTAGCACAGCATGGCATCAGCGTCTACTCCCCCCACACAGCCGTCGACACCGTCCCAGGTGGCATGGCCGACTGGCTCTGCGACGTCGTAACAGGCAACTTCACGTCTACCCAAGCATCCAAAGCAAGCATCCAAACCTGCCAGTCATCCATGTACACCGCTCCATCCTACCCGACCTCCGCCATCCCCGAGATCAACGAAAGTCCTCAGGGCCCACCCCACACCAGAAGCACAATCCACCCATCCCCGCCAGACTCGATCCCCGAAGGCTTCGAGTCCGCCGGCGCCGGCCGCCTCGTGACATTCGAAACACCACAGGAGCTCACCACCCTGGTCGATAACGTCGCCCGTGGCATCGGCATGCCAGGAGGAATCCCCATCGCCATTCCCCAAGGTAGTTCCATTGACCAGATCCGCATCCGCACAGTAGGCATGTGTCCTGGATCTGGGTCAGGTGTTCTTCTTCGCGGCAGTGAAATACCTGACCTCCTTCTAACTGGCGAGATGAGCCACCATGAGGCTTTGGCTGCTACCGAGCGTGGCTCGGTTGTTATCTCGCTTTCTCATACAAACTCTGAGCGCGGATACCTGCGCTCGGTTATGCAGCCTAAGCTCCTTGGCGAGCTTGCGCAGGGCTGGAAGTCTCTGCTTGGCGAGACTGCGAAGGAGGGTCAAGCGGAGCAGACCGTAGTTGAGCTGGTTAAGAAGCATGTCGAGCAAGGTGAGGTTCAGGTTTCTGTTAGTGAGGCTGACCGTGACCCGTATGGAATTATGATCTGGCGCGGCAACTAGATTGCGCGGATCGTTTTCTTGGGTTGTTTATGAGTACTGGAATATAGTAGGCATGAAAAAATGATTTATTTCAGGAAACTCGTCTAGCTCTACTGCTATACGAAGGAAGTCATTATCAGCGGGTATCATGTCTCCTTTTTTCATACATCCTACACACGGAGCGCCGGGTGATTTCACAGCACCTAGTGACCAAGAGTCTGGCCAGTGGAAGATCATTTGATAAGATCTCAAGAAACTTGTTTAAAATGAGAAGGATATCCTAGAAGCAGACGAAAACAAAAACAAAAGAAATGTCTTGTGCGGGAGAGAATACAAGACAATGATGAAAGACGACCAAAGTGGGACCTCAGAAGTAGGCACATAAAAAATGAGATCGGAACCTGGGCCTTGCTCACACAAAGCCCTACCGGTCATAGACGCGGGGACTTGAGGAGGCATGGGGTCCAAGTGGGAGTAAGGATAGGGAGAAAAAGTAAGGATCAATGAGACTTGGATGAGAGTTCACTGATCGAGCGAGCACAGTGAAAGGGCCGGCAGAAAAAAGAAGAAGAAAAGGAAATGGTATGTGTTCGCATTGCCATAAAGGGGATAGGAATGAGATGGAAAAGCCGACTGAGCTGATTACAAGTCGATCAAGCTACCTCCACCCCGCTGTTGCTGCTGGCCTCCCCAGGGGTTGTTGTTCGCTGGCTGTTGCTGCATATAACCTGTCTGCTGGGGCATTCCAGTGAACTGCTGCTGCATGTATGGGTTGCCGGTTGGAGTGGCGTGGAGACGGTCCAGACCCTGACCAGCAGAGTTGACAAAGGTACCTGGTGCTGTGTGCTGCGCGGGGATACGGAGATCTCCAACGTTGCCGAATGTGTCTTGGCCCTCGCCTGACCCGAGAAGGGCGTTCAGACGAGCGTGATGAGGATCCTGGGATTGGGGCGGAGTGCTCTTTGGTGGCTGTGGGGCTTGGAAGTTGGCAATCGGGTTGGGCTGAGCGGGCTGGTTGAAGGGCTTGTTCTGGCTGTATGGGTTGGCGCTGAATTGGTTTGTCGTGCGATCCTCCGCCAAGGAGTTGAGAGTAGGTGGACCGGTCTGGGCAGGGCTGTTGAATTGCGATTGAGTGCGCTGGGCGAAGGGGTTGTTTGATCCTGTGGGCATTGGCCTGAGGGCATCGGCAGGCTGCAATCCCTGCTGTTGCTGTGGTTGGTTCCCAGACCACGGGTTGTTGCTTCCTGCAGCCTGGTAGTTCTCCTGTGGCTGCTGCTGCTGTTGCTGCGAGAAGACATCACCTCCTCCGTAGGGGTTATTAGGGTTGAATGAGGTGTGCTGAGGCTGAAGGGTCGCCTGGGGTTGCAAGAAGTTGTTTTGGGGCTGACCGTAGGGGTTCTGGTCGAAGCCCGTAGGCTGGTTTTGGAAACCAGTAGCATATGGGTTGTTCATGCCTGTGGGTTGGTTCTGGAATCCTGTTGGCTGCGCGTACTGGTTATTCAGGAACCCAGTAGTCATGGGCTGCTGTGCGTTGATCGGGTTTCCGAACCAGTCCACGGCACCTTGCTGCTGGTAGCCTTGGTTGTAACCAGTTGGCTGGACTTGGGCCGGGGTGCTGTCGTCAAAGAGAGATTGCGCATTGCTCTCTTCCAATTCGCGCTTTCGCAGATCCTCTTCCTCTCTGCTGAGCTTGATCGCCTTGGCCAGATCCTCGTCATTATCGACTCCCATTGTCTCCTTGGCGCGTCGCTTGCGCTCATCCTCGGCTTCAGCCTTGCTAGCCTCGATGGCCAAGCGGTATTCGGTATCGGAGTCATCGTCTCCGTTGCGTCGGCGTCGTTCTCGGCGGGGCGGTTCGGCGCCAGAGTTCCCGTAGCCTTCATCGAGTCCGCTCACACGAGTCTTCCAAAGTTTGCGATCGGATCGTTCACTGCGCAATCGGTCCTCGTCCAGTACCAATGCAGTCAATTCTTTGGCTGCCACACGCACTGCGAAGATAAACCCGTTAGTCCCGGAACGTTTGATTCTCAAGTCTCGCAACAACTCACCGTTTTGTCCAACATCTCTTCCTTCCTCGTCCACATATGTGAACTCACGTAGAGTCTTGATAATATAAACGTTTTTGCGAGCCCAAGTGACCACCAATTCCGAGCCCTCGTGAAGGCAGTAATCCAAGACCTTCAGCGACTTGAGGACGTGGCGCCAGTTCTTGCCCTTATCGTTGAGTCGCTTGTCAAGCATGTCCATGATCTCGTAGAACTCGTTCGGGCTGTACGGATGCAGGTAAGATTAGCGGTATCCACATGATGGGTCGCGATTCGACCTTACCTCCCGAAAGTCATGGCGGCAATTTCGGACATGTCGGTACCCGTAGGGCCCCAGGGATCGTTGCTTGTGGCTAGAAGAGCGAGAGAAATTAGCATCGTGGTCGGTTCATATGCGGGGGTGACAGGGCACGATGCAGCCTCGACACAGCAAGGAGACACGTCGAGAGGCAACGTGCATTCTGTGATGATGCGCCTGGAATCGAAGACTCGCTGCAAAGGCCGATATGATTGGAATAGCTCGTACCATTTCGGACTTTAACTTGCACCGAGGAATATCCCTTTGTGACGTTCTTCACGCTTCGCACGACTTTTGACATGGTGGCGGTGATGCGACGGTCGCGGGATCAGATCAGATTGATCGTGAGGAACTGAGCACTCGAGATAGAAGATAATCGCAGTAAGGCGTCTGGGACTGCCAAGAACACACAGCCCGCTCAGTATCTCCGGATGGCGGCCCAAGATGGTTCACAAGCGCGTGTAGTCGGGTACCACGTAGTCGCAAAGGGACAGGGTATTAGATGGTTCAAAGAGAGAAGGAATTGAACAATGAGCCAATAGTGAGGTTGCAAGAGATGGGGGAAGAGAAAGACGGAGAGGGGACTGTGGCTGGAACGGGGGGGAACTGAGCCTTGGCAGTGACGAAGCAGTTTGTACCGGATGCACTCCAACTGTACTCAGTCAAGATCTACACTCCTCCAACTATGACACGAAAGATTTTTCAACTTCTCAAACAGACCCTACTGAGCTCACTCAAAGACCTACAAGAGTCGAAAGGAAGCAAATGTTGACCTTCGGTTAAAATACCAACACGGCAGGATCAATCTACTTGGTCGACCTAGTTCTACTTAGTCGCCAGTAGCACGCCTTCTGTCAGATTCTCGGCCCAACATATCTGTCCGGCTCCGTGTATATTACCATGAACAGCAAGCATGGACAGCAAGCCAATACGACCTCAATCATTTATGCTAACTCGACAAATTTCCAAGCCGGGACCTTGGGGGTTCCTGCTCTTTGCCGCGCCACTGTGGCAAGCCGCGCAACGTTGATGTCTCAGGCAACAGACATCAGGCAACAGTGAATATATGCTTCGCCCAGAGAGTTGGCATGCGCGCTTCAGGATACGAGTACGGAGTACAATACTCAATGCGTTCACATCCCGAAGCTCTCAAGTTGACATTTCCATTGCCATTTAAGGGATGCCTTACGTCATTCATTCTAGAATTCCATTTGCTTGGCATTCATTCACTCATAACTATGTCGACGTGAAGGATATCTCGCGAGCATCACAGCCTTGGAATCACCTAACCTTCGCTGCGAACGAGTTGGCGATACCCTTGATGAACTCTTTCCTTTGCATACCGTCCCTCCATTCGCTGGGGATGGATGCAACTCCGTTGAAACAACCCGCAAGCCCTCCGTAAACAGCTCCAGCGGTATCAGAATCACCACCCAGATTGACAACAGCTAAGGCACCCTCTCTCCACGAGTCATATTTGAAGAATGCCCATAAGGCACATTCAAGCGTATCGACCACCCACCCACTGCTCCTCATATCGCTCGGATTCTTTGCTCTCCAATCCTCGATCGACTTGTACTTAGCAATTCGATTCGCGAGAGCAGAATGCGTGAATGGGAATGCCGAAACCGTGTTTTGAAGTTGTTGTTTCGTCTCACCTATTCACGTATTAGCCTTTGGATTTGAAATGATCCGCACACGGATCAGACTCAGACGACTCACCATTCATAGCCAGAGTCACTAACTCCGTGTATGCCTCACACGCCTCCACACAAGCAAGCGAAGGATGTGTAATCTTGCTCTGCTCCCTGGCAAATTCTCTCGCCAGCTCAACATCCCGCCAATACCATACTCCGATGGGGGCGATTCTCATCAAGCTCCCATTCCCCGAGAATTCTTCGCGATTTAGTTGTGCGTTCACCCCAGCTTGGGCAAATGCCATGTCGCTCATTCTAGATCTCCAGATCTTCAAGGACAGGCGGGTTGAACGTCCCACGTCCCACGCGCGACCAATAGTACTAAAACGACCTTCGCTCAACCACTCGACGTAGAATTTGACTGATAGCTCGTGGTTGTATTGCATGGACTTGAAGATAGAGGTTGCTAATGCCAGCGTCATGGAACCGTCATCGGAATAAGAGCTGTTTGGATTAGATGAATTGTTCGTTGTTTGGAGTGCTATCGAGGCTTACCCAGCTGGCTCGTCGAAGGGAGCAACATATCTCAAGCCAGTTATTGGTTCAAACGTTCCTGGATCTCTGAATTGGACTGGTCCTCCTAAGGCATCGGCGACGCAGACGCCCCAGATGGCGCCTTGGGCACGGTCTTCCAGGGAGTGAGACATGTTCGGAGGTGAGGTTGTAAAGTTTACTTTGGAGATATGTGGGGGATCAAGTAAGTTAAATAGGCGCGATTGGGAAACTACGATTGACTCACAGCGTGATGCGCAGCAAGATCACGGACGGTAAGCACTTGGAATCCACTCTTTAGGCTGATACGAGGCTCAACAACCGTGTTGCGACCCTTACGCTAGACTCAAAACTGCACAATTTGCGAGCATCCATGGATCTTTTATTTTTCACGACTTTCTCAAGTCAATCTTGACTCATATTTACTCACATTTACTTAGGAGGCCAAACGGTGTCCTTCCACGGTCGCCCTTTGGTCTCCCTCGCCAAGTCCTCTAACGTCTTCCACTTCCACAGTCGCTGACCCGGATTAACCAATTCATTATCATTCCCCAAACCATCCGCAGAATGATTGATATTCCCATCCCCCATCAAGAACCGCAAATAAGCAGCGGGGTCCCACGAGGCCTCAGCCGTTGTCTGCGCCTTGTACGTCTGGTAAGGGATCTCCGCCACATCAATCTGCCCCGCACCAGCAGCCTGCATGATCGACGCAACCTCAGCAACAGAGCGAGTATCACCAGCCAAATGTACAATCTCAGGGATTTTCTCTTCCGGCAAAGTAGCCAGCGACGCAACAGTCTTCCCCACGTCCTGAAGCGAAGTAAACGAGATCGGCGAATGCGGGGGCCCCACACTGGTATATTTCCCGTTTTTGGTGTCGAGACCGAACCAAGGCCCAATACTGTCTTCGAGGAATAGACCGCAGAATATTCGACAGATTTTCATGTGTGTTACGACGGGCTGCGCATTCGCTAGATGTTTCTTCTTCTCGTACCACTCTAAGTGGGCGAAGTCGTGTCCGTAATGATCGACGCCAAATTCAGACGGGAAGTATACCTGCACGCCTGTTCGAGGCAGTGCGGCTGCGATCTTGGTTTTGAAATCGTGGCCTTCGGGCCCGATGGTGTTGACGAGGATTTGCACGCCTTCGAGGGCTTGTTCGAGGCTGTTTTCGTTATATGTCCGGGTTGTGACCTTGACGCCGGCCCGGACTTCGGATGGCTGCAGGAGGTTTGGCTCTTTTCTTGACAGGAGCACTATCTCGGAGAATTTGTCGTAGAATGCTGATGATAGGAAGGCGTTTGTGACATGTTTGCCGAGGTGCCCGGTGGCTCCGGCAATGGCAACAACTGGGCCTGTGCTGGGTGTCATGGTAGTCGAGATGGTGAGGAACAATTCTTAATTGACAATTAATGTAGAATGGAGGGTGTTGGATTCAGCTCACTTATACTTTGCCATTTAGACCCTGCTGACGTCAGTGACAAACGGTCGAAACATCCCAAACATGGGGCTCGAGGGGTATGATTGGACGAAGTCATCGGGATGTTTGCATTCGGGCTCATCTTCGGCAGGCTTGACGGGATATGAGCCGAGGTTTACCCTGGCGTTGCTACTAGATTCTTTGCCTATACTATCCATGGATGTGGTTGGCGAAACAATTGGCGCATGGGGAGAAATGTGGTTGGCACAAATTGTATACTCTTCGTCAAGCTCTAAAATATTGATCCAAAATAACCATCATGACAATGACAAGCAGCCCATGATGCTAGAGGGCCCCATCCACATAAATAAATAAAAATAACCGCTAGAAACCCATTTCACAAATTGAGACCAAAAATGGAAGAGTCCACATGCTGTAAAATATGTGTAAAAACCAATGGTAGACCGAAATTGGTATTGAACATCTTAGATGAGCGCATCCGCTTTGAGCGCCCGGGTTCTGCTCCTCAGCTTTTCATTTATTGCTTTTCCATGCTGAGGTATTTCGCCTCAGCACCCTTGATACAAGCAATGTTAGCACCGAGCTTGTTGATGGTCTCCATGTACTCATCATAAGGATCCGAGTCAAAGACAATACCACCTCCAGCTTGGAGGTAAGCAATGCCATCCTTGACCATCATAGTCCGCAGAGCAATGCAGGTGTCCATGGCACCGGGCATCTCAGCAGTACCGTCTGAGTTGGCGCTGTTGTAGCCGAAGTATCCAACAGCGCCGGCGTACACACCGCGCTTCTCGCCTTCGAGTTCAGCGATGAGCGACATCGCCCGCACCTTGGGGGCACCGGACACGGTACCGGCAGGGAAGATAGACCGGAAGGCGTCGAAGCGGGTCATATCCGGGCGCAGGACGCCGGAAACCTGAGACACCAGGTGCTGGACGTGTGAGAACTTCTCCACGACCATGAGTCGGTCGACCTGTGTGGTGGTGGGGTCGCAGACGCGGTTGACGTCGTTGCGGGCAAGATCGACCAGCATGACGTGCTCTGCGCGGTCCTTGAGACTGCTGCGGAGTTCATCGGCCAGTGCGAGGTCTTCCTCTGGGGTCTTGCCACGCTTGACTGTGCCGGCAATGGGGTGACTAATAATTCGGCCGTTCTCTTCCTTCACTAGAAGCTCGGGGCTAGCTCCAACCAGCTGGAAGTCTTGGCAATCGATATAGAATAGATAAGGGGAGGGGTTGACGGTACGAAGGTGGCGGAAGAGGTTGTAAGGGTGGAGAGAGGTAGGCCGGGAGAGTCGCTGTGATGGCACGGTTTGGAAGATATCACCCTTGGCAATGTGCTGCTTCAATCGGTGGACATGGCCTTCATAACCCTCTTGTCCAATGTTGGAGGTGTATTCCTGGTTGGGGATGATGGGACCCTGGGGTGGGAACGGTGTGCGCTCCTGGAGTAGTGTGTCGATGGTTTTTTGAATGGTTTCTTGGCCCTTGAGGTATGAGGCCTCGATGTCGGCATCCGCCGAGGGGATAGGTACGTAAGTAATGACCTTGACGACCTGGAAGAAGTGATCAAATGCGATGATGGTATCAAACAGCATGAAGAAAGACTCAGGTACCCCGAGAACATCCTTCATGGGCCGCGCGGTCTTGGGTTCGAAGTATCTGACGCAGTCGTACCCAACATATCCGATGGCTCCGGCAGTCAATGGTGGCAGAACCAATCCGGGAACTGTTGCGACGCGGTATTGAGAGAGCTCTTCTTCGAGGTATGGGAGGGGATCCGCTGCTGGGCCATGGCCCTCGCCGGTTTTGATGACTTTTCTGGGGTCTGGGTAGCAATTGGTTAGCAATGGTGTTGAACAAGCGGCTGAACAAACCACCCACCTGCGCCGACAAAGCTGTAACGTCCAATGGTCTCTGTGGTGGCAGCGCTTTCATATAAGAATGATAGCCGCGAGCTGAAGCGGTGTCAGTTCTTCTTCAATGGTCAAGATTCCGCCTCATCGTGCAGTGAGGCACTGAATGACTCACTTTTCAGCAATCTTCAGGTATGCTAAAGTCGGGGTCAAAAGATCGGCGGAGATCGTCGCAGTGACAGGAAGGAGGTTCGGAGGAAATGCAGAGTTTCTGGACTTCGAGATTACATCCTTCGCCTCTTGAAGGGATGGGACGCTGACGACCTGTTCAAGGAGTGTTAACGAAATTCTCGGTACGTCTTAGGAGCGAAAATTGTAGCGCGCCTGATAGTTCAGCTTACAGGAGTTGTCATTGTGTCGTGATTATCTTCAACGATGCGAATGGAGAGTAATGAAAGAGTTGGGTTAACGATGGGAAAAAGATTGTGGGGGGGGTACCGGCCGCAAGTCCGGCAAGATCACCAAAGCCCGCCTGCAAGCAATAGTACAATCTCACTATAGATTGTCGAGGGTTCCGAGAATGAACCTCAACCTGTTATCCTATGTCGTACAAATCACCTATCAGACAAGGAACGAGGGCTTAATATGTCCAGAATTACACATAGAACGAGCACAAATGTTCCGAATCGGCCCAGCCCTGAGCGAGGGGCACAGACTATCGATAAAGGCGCTACTCCACTACAATCATACATACTTCCAGTACTCCGCAATGCTTTTTGGGTATTTTTTCTTGATTATGATTCAGTAAAGGTGAGTCTCGATCAAAGTACCCACCTGAATTGGGGAATAAAAACAGTTTGGAGAAAAAGAAAAGATTAAAAAAAGGGGAAAGGTCCACCGTCGCCAATCCATGCCATTCGCCGTCCCACCCAAGCCTGTCCCAAGCAATGTAAAGCCATTATGCATCTTCTAAACCAGTCAAATGTACGGAGTATGTTCACAGAAGTAAAGTAGTGGTAATCGGAGAGCCCGACGGTTATTGTGCTCGGGGATATAATCGACACGGCCCTCCGAGTAGGATGCCGATTCGATTGAGCACGAGTCGCGAGTTTATGTGACCGCTGTAAACTGGCTCCGTCACCGCTGCAAGTTTATTATTGCCATCTGAAGGGGAGTTTCGTCAGCTTTGGGGCTCGGAGGGAGCTATCCACGGGGTTGGGGGTCCATTTGAGGGTGCGTACCTTTTTGTTGAAACCGTACGCAAGTCGCTTTCCATCTGAGTCCCAGACCAAAGGCCAGAAGGACGGTGATTCCGAATGAGTAAAGCCGTTGTGTCCATTAGTTGATCGGTCGGGGTCTTCCTTTTTCACTTCGGATTTTGGTGCAGTCCAGGTAGAGATGGGTTCACCTCCGCGTTCCACATTCCAGATACATAGTCGGTCTTTGCTAGCTGCCGCAAGGGCATAGCCATCGGGGGAGAAACATCCGGTGAGCGCGTTGTTCGAGGGAGATGGGCCCAGGGAAAACTGGTGGATGCAATTGTGGTCCCCGGAATCAAGGTCGACCTGCCAAACCTTCACCTTGCCGCCCTGGGAGAAGGTTGCGAAGACAATGCGCCGTGCGTGGGATTGAGGGCGAAGCTCAAGACCAGTTATCTGCTCAGAGTGGGCGTTGGGTATCAAAATTTGATGGGTCGGAATCCAAATTGAAGAGTCTGGTCCAGATGCCGCGATTGCAACAGATTGAGAGTCGGTTTGAATGCACCGAAGGAAGTCCCAGGTGGTTTTTTCGCGGGAAGAAAACGTATTGACCAAGCGGATACTATTATCCACCTCGCATTGGTAGATTGCACCTTCACCGGAGGCAAAGATCTGACTGCGCCCACACCATGAGACCGTGTAGAGATGGTCTTCGATTATCTGTGGTGAAGGGAAAGCATCAGGCCGGCGGTGGTCATCCCAGAGCGCGAGTTCTGATATGTTGTCATTTGAGGCCACAACGATCAACTGTGAGCTGACATCTGACCAAAACAGACCAGTGATTATCCGGGGCACTTCGGGCAGTAGGTCGACAGCGTCACCGCTGGTGTTGTACATCGTGACAGTCCCCTTCTCGTTAGTAGAAGTTGCAACGGCCAATTTGTCTCCAATGGCATCCCAAGCAACATTCGAGACAGTTGTACTGCCCTTTTTGTAAGAAACTATTTTCTTTTCCACCGGCTCTGCTGAAAGGGAAAGCTTCCACAGGCTACAATAGTCATGACCAGCTGCCACGACCGTCGTGGAATCTCGAGGGCGCCAAAGAGCCTGGGTCACGTGATTCTCCACATCGAGGAGGGCGGTGTCGGGCGTCAAATCAACGGTCTTGGCGGGGGCGATTTGAATGCCAGAGCTGTCGCCGTTCTCCAGGGTAACCGGGGGCTCGGGTATTTCTTCCGCCATACTGACATCGCCGTCCCCATCCATGGGGTGAGGACTGGCGGGCTGGCTTTCGGTTTGCGCCTTGTCCTCCATGGACTCGTCGCTATCCTCCTCGTCCTTTCGGATCTGCCTTCCGGGCTCGGCATGGCCGTTGACCGGGCGGTCGCGCGCAGCCTGACTCGGCGACTCGGGCTGGTCTGTGCCAATGGCATCATCGCGACTTCGTACTAAGCCATTTTCCAAACGCTCTGGTCCGAAAAAGTAATCAGAGGGTGAGATTGTAATGCGATTACCCTCCTGTAGTGCGATTAGTTTCGGGTTCGACTTGAAGCCGTGGAAGGAAAGCCGTAGATTTTCCAATCAGACATGTGCGCATCGGCGCATCGGAAAAATTCCGTTCAGATGAGGAACATACCTTGTCAAGGGAGGTCTCTAGCTCATGATACTGCAGGCCCTTCTGGACCAGCGAGACTAGCGCATGTGTTTTAATGTACGGCGCGAACGGGAGGGTCTGTGGGTCAGGATACCACGCGCGTTGCAAAGAGACGGCAGCATCGCCGTGGCCTGCAGGGGAGGAGTTAGACAGAGATCCAATGGTAGAGATTGGGAACCGTGAAGCGCTGCGATCCAGCGACGGGGTCACCAACCTGATTCTTGGAGATATCTAGAGAGGGAATTAGAATTGTAAAATGGGGGGGGAGAGACATGCTCAGGTCACTCACCTCCAAATTAGATAATTGACATGATGCGAGGTGAGGTCAGGTTGTGCCATGATTACATGTGCGACCAGTTAAGTGCCGCGAACATGCCAGAGAGGGAAGGAGCTCTTAGCCGCTAGGCCAGTGAAAATCAAAGTGGAGAGGCTTCGATGCGCGGAGACGGAGCTTCAGGAACACGAGGCCGGAAGGAGGGAAGTTCCGGAGAAATGAAAAGAAATGAAAAGGGGGAGATTGAATGTGGTCCAGCCTCAATAGCTCAAAAGCAGCCAGAGAGTCAGATCGAGAGAGGTCTGGAGATTTAAAGGGAAAATTGAAGATTGGGTAAGGTTGATCAAGCCAAGCCAAGGGAGATTCAGAGGGAAGAGGACGTGACTGGGAAAGTGGGACTTCCCGCCTTTCGCCTAGATCAAATCAAGTGCAGTCACCAAATACGTAGCTTAGAGGGGGAAAAAGAAGAAAGTGAAGATCTGAGATTAAAGGATCCAGAATGGAAGTCCAGAGTTTAGCACTAGCCACTCGATGTGTGGCGCCCTCCACACTTTGGTCCTGCAGGATGTCACGGGTCTGATTGGTGAGACTTGACTCTTGTCCGGATTCTTGACCTATTGACTCGATGTGCTCTCATTTCTGCTCCATTCAATTCACCCCACTCGGCTCTTACATACGGAGTATGTCTTGTCGGATTATCCTTCGAACCGTCAAGTCTCACCTTCAACCCGAATGGCTTGAAACTGATCTGTTCTCCACACATCGGGGTATTTCAGCACGAGCACCTCCCACTGCAAAGTCCCTAATACTACCTGGTACCACCCCCTGGGTACATGAACAGGACCAATCTCGTCCAATGAGGCTTCGGTGATTGGTCCTTTTGTCAGAACTCGTAGGGTGCAGGTCCTGCAATCATTCCAGGGTGGCTGACACAAAATACCGGACTTAGACATATGTGCAGGCATGTTTCGGGGCACTTGTCATATCTGAGCTTCCCGAATTGCGGATGAGCTGCAGCTGGGTACCGGATCGTCCTTATTGTTCTCTGTGGACACATATGGCATACGGAGTACTGCATATACACTTGGGTTAATCCAGGGTCGCCATGGATTTCTAGTACATAAGACCTTGCTCTACACATTTAAACTTGTAATATGTACTACACATAGTTATTTAACTCTGTCGAGTCCCTTATTTCTTCTTTTTTTGGCTACCGCTCATACTTATAGGCCTAGCGGCACGAACAGACTCCATGCAGGCCCAGCCTTCAATGGGGCCAAATATGGCTTTCCGCCCTACGCTAAAGCCTAACCTTCTCCAACATCAGGCTCGCTGCATGCCAGAGCTCCCAGAGCTCCAATATGTCGCTTCGAATCAATATTCCGCCTGCTACTCGGTTCTGCCTTGTCAGCCTGATCACTTTATCCTTGCTGTACAATATTGCCAGATGGCGCCAGATTGACACCACCGGCGGAACCCCAACAACCTCTCCCCTCGTTCCCTATCTGACCCTCGTCCCCTCCTACTTCTACTACTATCCCTGGACCCTAGCCACGGCTACATTCGTCGAGCAGAACATTTTCACCCTTCTCTTGAATGCCACAACCATTTTCTATGGCGGCAAGTACCTCGAGCGCGCGTGGGGCTCGCGCGAACTCAGCAAATTCATTGCTGTGATCGCCGTGGTTCCCTGTGTGGCCATGATCCCAATCTACCTAATCTGGGGATCTCTTGGAGGCACCTCAGGCACATCGTATGTATTTCCGCACGCAAGACCCCGCGCTCAGCTAACCCGATCGTCCAGGCTCACTCAAATCTGCGGCGGCGTCTCCATCCAAGCCTCCTTCCTAGTCGCCTTCAAACAACTAGTCCCGGAACACACCGTGACAGTCTTCAAGGGCCTGGTGAAGATGCGCGTCAAACATTTCCCCGCCCTGTTCCTCCTCCTCAACACAATCAGCGGCATCGCCTTCGGAACAGACACAGCCGCCTTCCTGGCCTGGCTAGGCGTTCTCGCTAGCTGGACCTACCTCCGCTTCTACAAGTACCAGCCCGACCTGACCGGAACATCGAGCACCGGAACCGGTATCAAAGGCGATGCCAGCGAGACTTTCGCTTTCGCTTGTCTCTTCCCAGACATCATGCAGCCGCCCATCGCATTCGTCGCAGAGCAGATCTATACTCTACTGGTAGCAGTCAAAATCCTCAAACCCTTCTCGGAGGATGATATCGCGTCCGGGAATGAGCAGGTGCTGGCGCGCGGCGAAGCGGGCTTGCCCACCTTGCTGAACTCTCGCGGGGGCGCACGGGGAGCAGGCAAGCGCGAAGAGGCAGAGCGGAGACGCGCTGTTGCCCTGAAGGCTTTGGACCGGAGGCTGCAAGCTGCCACTATTCCAAGACCTCAGCTGCCCGTGGGAGAGCCCTCTTCCCAGCATCCGGCGACACCCACTGCGGCTGCGCCTGGCCCAAGCATGCTTGGAGAGACGAGCTATAATCCCGACCATGCATGAGGGATTGTAAATCGTTGTGCCACTCTCTGATATTACGAAAGAGCACTTGGGAGTATTGGACATACTCGCATTCATGAGCGATATTCGGCTTGGCTTTTTTATACTGACACTATGTCTACCCTTGATGATGTACATGATTTGTTGGACCTGGTTTAGATTTCCGACTCTCCTTCCTGTACATGGAGCCAATATTCTGGCTCCTGTGCAATGCTGTAGCATAAGCGTTGAATTTGACTTGTTTCTATACCCGTCTTGCGTCTGTTTGATATCGTGTGCTGCCAAGGTACGCCAAGGTAGGAGAGCCAAAAGAAAAAGATAACAAACTCAGCTGGACATCGGGACTAGGAGTCGAACCCAGTACTTCGGGTAGGAATGAAACTGTCCCAACAGATGGAGAGGATTGGGCCCTTTGGGATTAAGCTGTAGCGAAATCAGGACAAGCGACACCTCACCCAGCTGGTATTTATTATACCAGGCAGCCCTTATTTGGTCATTTAGCTGACACTTCTACTCAGTACTTCTGTTTGTGTGTGTTACTCTAATCTAAGGATGTACCCTTGTTTGATACTCTTACCCGGGCAATGTATCTGTCATCTGGTTCACATCAAGTGAAGGGAGAAGCACTGGTAGGATGTAACTAGTTTTCATTGCTCTTGATCTTAGCTATTCACTTCCATCCATCTCCAGCTCGGCTTCTTCCTCGTCAAGAAGTGGTACAAAGCGGAAATCAACAAAGCAGACGGGCCCATTAGGCCCCTTAACACCAGCACCAACCGGTCTACCTACAGGAGCATTGTGATCATCAAGCTCGACCATGAACTGTAGACTCAACACTCCCTGCCGATCCCCACGAATACTGACCTTATTAGCAACCGACATGGCCCTTGCAGCCTTGCGAATCAGCGCAAAGCGATAACCTTGTTGAATACGTTCCCCCACGGAAGACGGCGGGGACACAAGGAAGGTCTCTGTGACAGTGGGTGCAACCTTGGCTCTTGTGGCACGACTCCGGGAAGAACCATCGTCTGCTGGTACCTTGCGCATCTGGGATTGTGGGGCACCTTGTCCCGCGCCACCGACAACTCCGTTGTTTGAGTCAACCGAAAACTCGATGGTAGATTCACTGAAAGGACCGCCAGCCCCGGAAAGAGCAAAGTACGGTTCACGTGTTGCGCAAGCAGATAGCTTTAGGATATTTGGGGTTGAGGAGTCGAGTTCAGCGATGGCGTTATGCAACCAGGCGGAGCGCATGATGATCTTCATGATGATCGCATCGCGCTGGAGTGGAATGTCTGCTTCGTTCTCATCAGGCTCGTAAGTGACGAGTTCACATGTTGTTTTCACACCTGCTTCGGTGATCGCTATGGTGAGTGGCGCCCCATGATGGGCATATTGTAAGGTGCAAGAGCGGTCCATCAGCAGCGTGGGGGCATTGAATGCGCTTGACGAGGCGGGGTTTGCTTGTGTGACACTGGTGTCTCGGGATCGGTTGGAATCCAGCTCATTGATGCCGAAGATCTTGAGGGTGTCCAGGAGGGCAGAGAGGGAGACAACGAAGTGGGGGTAGTCTGAGTGCTGGGAAGATTCATTGTCGTTGGAAGGTTCATTTTGGTTGGGCTCTGAATCGGTTGATGAATTGAATGTATAGCTCGTGAACAGCGACTTGTCGAGGAAAGCTAGACCTTGGATCACGCGGCCCTCTTCCACTGAAAATCGGAGTCCGTCCGGGGTGATTTGAACGGTAGCCTTGGGAGCGAATCCAATGCAGGAGAGCAATGTATAGAGATGCTGGGCGTTGTTGGAGACGCCGACGAAAAAGGGCTCCATTTTGTAGGAGCTGCTAGCTCAAGCTTCGCAGGCGCGATATTGTTTGACACAGAACAGTTATTATAAGTCCGCAGATGCGTGACGGCTTTGGATGTTCTAGCAGTACAAACCCCTCTGAGCCCAACGCTTATGGTACATTTGAGGGGACGCGCAATAGTTCAAGTCGTCGTTTAAACGTAGACTCCGGCGGCACAAATCGTAAACACGGCTCCGAAGCTGCCCAAGATATCCAGTCAGTACATTGTATGTCGAGAAGTACAGTGCAGCGGACTACTAACCCAAATGCCAGTGCGGCCGGTACACCCAAGGATGCGATGCCAAGTAGAGACCGATCTGTTTGACGTGAATGTCAGTACGTGCTCAATGGGCCATAAATCAAAATTCACACTTACTCAGGCCGAAAAGAGTCGCGGTCACCAGGGCTAACAGAAATTGGTTAGAAATGAGTCGTTATCCAAGCTGCGATAAGTGGGAACTTACCGAGGACCAGCAAGTTGAAGCCGACGGAGAATTGGGCGTCCTTGCCAACAAGAGGGATGAAAGGAGATTTGGCGGCTGCCTCCCAGACTTCGTTCAGAGACATGAGGACAAATTAAATTGAGAATTGTAATTGAGAGAGACTGGATACAAGTGAAAGATAGATCTATATGATGGGCCGGTGTTGATCTGGCTCGATCGGCAATTAGTTAATCCGGCCGTACCCCATGTCATGCCGCGCGACAGCGCAAGGCAAGTCAAGCTTTGAAGACCTCAAGATCAACATGGTTGCTGATTCTCCCAAAAGTAAGTGCCTGGATTGCTTCAATTCTTTGTGCATGAATGGCGACTCACCCTATTTTGAATCTAGGCTTCAAGCGCAAGGCCTCTGAGGACGCAGCTTCCCCAGACTCCGGGCAGCAGGCGAGCAAGAAGGCACGCACCGATTCGCCTGAGAAAGAAGTGAGGCCTTCAAAATATCACACCTGGCTTGTTTGATCTAACATTCATCTTGCACAGGAAGATGGCCCCCTCAAGAAAGCTCCCCTTCGGATTGTTCCGTTCCCTGAGAAGGTATCTCCAGCCCCACACAGGCACACCGCGTGCATCTATCCAGGAACAGATGACTGATAATACGAAGCCTGCAGTACTCGAGGAACGCCGCGGTGATATCGAGTTTCGAGTGGTCAACAACGATGGCTCCCATGATAGCTTCATCGTCTTGACTGGCCTGAAGTGTATCTTCCAAAAGCAACTGCCCAAAATGCCCAAGGACTATATCGCTCGCCTTGTGTATGACCGGTCTCATTTATCCATAGCGATTGTCAAGCATCCTTTGGAAGTCGTCGGGTATGTTTCCACACTGGTCCGCAAAGCGATGGGAGGTATTGATCGGTCTTGATAACAGAGGAATAACCTATCGTCCATTCAACACTCGCAAATTTGCTGAAATTGTGTTCTGTGCTATTTCCTCAGATCAACAAGTCAAAGGTTATGGTGCACACTTGATGTCTCACCTAAAGGTATGCATTTGTTGGGCTACTACCGTCGAGCGCATACCTAACAAATTCACTCCCAGGACTATGTCAAAGCAACATCTCCTATCATGCACTTCCTTACCTACGCCGATAACTATGCCATTGGTTACTTCAAGAAGCAAGGATTCACAAAAGAGATCACGCTTGACAGGTCAATTTGGATGGGTTATATCAAAGATTATGAGGGTGGTACACTCATGCAGTGCACCATGCTCCCAAAAATTCGCTATTTGGAAATGGGACGCATGCTGACCAAACAGAAGGAGTCCGTGCAAGCCAAGATTCGTGCCTTCAGCCGCTCACATATCGTCCATCCGCCCCCTAAAGAATGGAAGACCAAGGTGTACGCCATCGACCCACTCAGCATCCCTGCCATCAAAGAGTCTGGATGGTCACCGGACATGGATGAACTGGCACGTCAGCCTCGCCACGGGCCAAACTACAACCAGCTACTGCACTTGTTGAATGACATGCAAAACAACAGTGCAGCTTGGCCATTTACTCAGCCGGTGAATCGTGACGAGGTTCCTGACTACTATGAAGTGATCATGGAGCCTATGGACCTCTCGACCATGGAAGAGAAACACGAGAAGGACTTGTACCCGACTCCACAAGATTTCGTTAAGGATGCCATGTTAATTTTCGACAATTGTCGAAGATACAATAATGAGACCACGCCCTACGCCAAAAGTGCAAACAAACTTGAGAAGTTCATGTGGCAGCAAATCCGGAATATTCCGGAGTGGTCGGTGAGTAGTCCCTTGAACGAATATTTTTGATACATACTGACTCCTACTTCTAGCACCTTGCCGATAATCATTGATCTAAGAGCAAATTTTGGCTACAGCGTGGGTGTTTTTGTTTTGGGAGCGGCGTTGGGGTTTTCGGATTCAAGGCAATACCCTGTTATAGATTATTACGAAGAAACCTTTCAAAGTGCTCTGGCTTTGGGGTAATTCTGATTCATCATTCAAGTGAAATTTGACATACCCAATTGGGCCTTGGGGTATATCCCAAGCCCAGGACCTCTAGTATGATCTAACCTAAAAACCCTGGAGCACATGCCCAGGTGATGACGTAGGTTGACTAATATGCTATTTTAAGCTTTGAAGCCGTGATCGTCTTTTATGCCCCATTCTCCACTTAGTCGGGGTGGAAAATCACTTGGGGCACTTAATCAACCTGACAGCATTGAGCAATTTTCACAGATTCAAGCCCCAATGCCTCGGGGTAGACCGAAATCACACTTGCCTCCATGCAAATTTTGCAACAGAGAGTTCAAGCGCTTGGAGCACCTGAAACGACATGAACGAACCCGTGCGTGTTGCCGTCAATCATTCTTGGCTGCTATCAAATCTAATCTGGCAGTCAATCTAGACACGCAGGAAAAGCCATTCCACTGTCAATGTGGTCACTCTTTCTCTCGGCAGTAAGCTCTCGTTCCAATCTTCGAAACTCTTCTGATCGATGGTCTTCTCTCAGGGACCTGTTGAGTCGCCATGAAAGGCTGCATCACGCCCAAGGGCGAGTCACCCGGTCAAGTGGTCTTTCGGACGACATAGATGTCGTTGAAGAACCCGAACATAGGGCACCTCTTCAAGTAGAGCCTCCAGATCAGCTGGGCTTGAGCTTTCACCCCTCGCCTTTGTCGGATGAAATTCCGCCAAACCCCTCCAATATGGCTCAACCAGCCAGTGACTCTTATGGAGTAACCCTAAGTCAAGATGCATTGCAGTTACCTGACTTGTCGTGGGACAATGACGCTTTCTCTTTTCCAGACTTTATACCATCTCAATTCCTGGAAACGGGTGTTTCTCTTAGTGATCTATTCCAGCAAATGCCACCACAGAACGAGCTGGGGACTTACAGCTCTGCCGAAAATGGATCTATATCGGTGCCTCAACTCCTGACTCCTACTCAGAGCAAGAGCTCTCCGCTACACAGCGACGTGCATGACAGCATGAACTTAAGACACCCTCCACGGTTTCCATCCCTAGGCGATAACATTGACATCAGCAATATGGACACAAGATCTGAGACTGCCAATTGCCCATGGGCTGTATTGCCCTCGAATTACAGAACAATCATGAACAAGATGACGACTTTGAAGCCTGCGTTGCTGAACACACCATTTCCATCAAAATGCACTCTTGTGCGCTATCTCGAGGGCTACTTTCGAAAATTCCATGACCACTTTCCGTTTCTGCATATGGCATCGTTCAGGCCAGAGAATGTTGGAATGGAGCTTCTGTTGTCCATGGCTGCAATTGGTGCGTTTTACTGCTTTGAGTATAGGGAAGGCTATCGTTTGTATGGTGCAGCTCGCTCGTTGATCGAGTCCAGTTTGGGATCTTGTCGTGATGATTTGATTGATCAATTGACATCCCACGCTCCGAGATCCACTGAAGCAGGGCACGGGGCTCGGGAATTTACTTCTTCTCCTCGACTATCATCGCATGCAACCGAAACCCCTCGATCGAGCGCTTCGTCGACCGAAGATGACGAGCTGCAAGCTCGCCTTGAAAGAGCACAAGCTTTGATCATCCTCATAGCCACAGGCACATGGGGTGATCAAGCGCTTCTCCAAGACAGTTTAGCTATGAGCAGTCAACTCGCGTACTTGGTACGCCAGCTCGGAATCGATAAGCCAGACGATTCCAGCAACGCAAATCTAGATTGGCTGGCTTGGACAGCTCACGAACAGCTACGCCGCACATTGCTCGTTGCATACGTCATTCTCAACTTGAACAGTATAATTACAAATGTACCGCCAATGATATTGACCCCAGACGTTGCCCTGTGTCTGCCGTCCTGTGAGGCCGAATGGGGTGCCAATTCGTCAATCGCTTGGCAGCGCCATCGCGATGTATCGGCTTTGAGGGAGCGTCCGTTTGTGCAAACATTGAATCAACTGTTCATTGGTCAAAGCATATGCGATGAATGGGGAGTGTCAGCCTTCTCAAACTATCTCTTGATCCACGCAATCCTCCAGAGGATATATCTTGAAATTCAAATTCCACGAGAAACGTCATTCATTCAACCCGAACTCTTCAAAACGTTTGAACAAGCCCTTAGGCTATGGCAGCATTCATGGGAAACTACATGGGAGTCGACTCTTGATCCAAACTCACCAAAAGGCCCGATTGGGCTCAACGCAACAGCGCTGCTACGCCTGGCCTACATCCGGCTCAACATCAGGACAGGACTATGTCATGACTTTGTCACCAGCGACACCTCAAAGACCAAAGAAGGTCTGGCCAAGTTTAAACAAATATCTCTTGTTCGATCTGCGCCACTGGATAGGGCAATTCTTCAATGCATACATGCCCTCAGTATCCCCGTCAGGGTCGGCATCCAAAATGTGGCTTGCACCCAGGTGATGCATTGGGGTATCCAACATTCCATATGCCACCTTGAATGCGCATTGCTTCTTTCCTTATGGGTGCAAAACATTGCGGAAGTCGTTCGAACCAGTGGACTAGTTGCCTTGCGTGGGGATGAACTCAAACTACTCACCATGGCGAAGGGCCTTGTCAAAGAAACACATTTACAAGAAACCATCGATTACCAGGAAGAGACAGCAGAGAATTTACATCGCCTTGCCGCATCAACCGCTCGGCTATGGGCTGAGATCACTAGTGGAACGCATGTTTTTGATATTGTTCGTCGGATTGGGATATGTCTGTCGGTCATCTCTGATGCTCTCGAGTCAGAAGCTTGCCCAGGTGTATACTAGGACACACGTGAGATTATTCAATTATACCATCATCATAACTATCGTGGTGCACTATCGCACATTGTTTCCAGGCACTGTGAATGGATGGCAATCCGAATGTAGTTTGGTCCGTCTGGGGTGAATCTCACTTGAACACAACATTGGAATTGGTGACTTGGAATAGAACAGACTGGATTTCGTCCGGCAACTGTCAATTGACTTTTTTTTTCTCTCTCTCGAAACCCTGAAAAATTGACGTAGAGGTATAAAATGCATCAAAGCCCCATTGAGTGCCGTCACCGCCAGTTTCCAAGGTTGGAATAGACACCTTTTTTACCCAGGGTCAAACGCACAAGCTAAATTCAGCACTGGTGTGTGGTTAAGTCATTCAATCTTGGAACCTTGGAATCCAAGACTGATTATCAAGCATCTTCTTGTCCGTGGATGATTATTGATTCCTTCGAGTGCTCCACTTCTCTACAGATGCGGGTTGGGGTTGAAAACATTCGGGGTCGAAAATGAAGTATAAATATTTCTTGGAACCCACCCCTGATGCAGATCAAAAATCAATTACAACGATTACTTTTACATCAAAATGTCCACCCAAGCCGCTCTCCGTCTTACCAGCCGCGACTCGTGGGAACGACTCGCGGCATTCCAAGAGCCCCGACCCACAGCCGGCAAGCACGAGGTCCTCATCAAAGTGCGAAGCGTTGCACTGAACTTCCGGGACATTGCAATTGCCACTAGCAAATATCCATTCCCGGTCAAGGATCAGGTTGTTCCTGGCTCCGATGCAGCGGGTGACATCGTCACCGTTGGTGAGGGTGTCACTGGGTTCACCGCTGGTGACAAGGTCGTCACCTCTTTTGATCAGGCAACCCATTATGGTCCGATCAAGAACTGGGAGAATGGGCTTGGTGGACCTATCGACGGTGTTTTGAGAGAGTACATCTCTGTCCCTGCTCACTCTGTCGTCAAGGTCCCTCACGGCTCCTCTCTGAGTTATGCCCAATGGGCTAGCATTGTCTGCACGGGCACTACGGCTTGGAACTCGCTGTATGGAGCTTCCCCAATTAAGCCCGGTCAGAGCATTTTGTTCCAAGGTCAGTCGCATCAAATGTATTGGCAGCATACAAGATTCTAACAATCCATCTAGGCACTGGTGGTGTGTCTATCACCGGTCTTATCCTAGCCAAGGCAGCCGGTGCTAAGACAATCATCACTTCTTCATCCGATGAGAAGCTGCGATATGTCAAGGAGAAGTATGATGTCGACTACACCATCAACTACAAGACGACACCGAACTGGGCCGCCGAGACGCTGAAGATTACCGAGGGCCAAGGTGTGGATTACATCTTCGAGAACGGTGGTGCTGGCACTATCAAGCAGTCCCTTGAAGCCATTGCCTACGGCGGTGTCATCTCTGTTATCGGCTTCCTCGCTGGCATTCCCCAAGAGGAAATGCCCGACGTTTCACTTCTCGCTTTGGGCAAGGGTGCGATTGTGCGCGGTATCATGGTTGGCTCGAAGCAGCAGTTGGAAGAGGCGGTTCGTTTCGTCGGTGAAAAGAACCTCGGACTACCCGTGGAGAAGACTTTCAAGTTCACCCGGGACCAGGTTGTGGAGGCCTATACCTATCTCACGAGCGGCCAACATATTGGAAAGGTGTGCATTGATTTTTGAGATAGCCTTTGATTAGAGGTGTTCTGCAGTTTAGTTTGAGATAATGTTATCTAACTGTTCATGATCACCGATTCCAAACCCATTTTGATCCATACTGAGTACTCTGATCTATGCTCAGACTTGGGGCAAAAATTGTGGGGATGACATGTTAGGGTTGGGCGTGTTTATTGCATCCACCGCATAGTGTGCAGTCCGGAGTACTCCATACAATTCAGAGAGCCAAAGACACATCAAATATACAAATCGATAGAAGCAGCAACTGTCAGAGCTCTCGAATATCAAGAATATCATAAATCAAAATAAAGATGTGCATGATGTAATAACCTAAATGTTTGCTTTAATTTCCCCCTGACGAGTACACCGCGGATCATCGTTATTGCGCTGTTTCAGAGAGGAGAATGCGGATGGCTGGAACAACCTCAATTGCTTCACCCTTACCTCGGTCTTTCGTTTCGTTGCTACACTTGCTTTCGAGTGGTTGCTGTTGCTGAGCAATTGTCGACCTCGTTTATGCTCGATTAACCCACTTTCAGGGGGTCCTCTTGTCCGTTGCGCACCTCGCGACGTGGAATTCATTTCAAACCCCTCCTTTCGCTTTCCATTCTCCAATCTTTTCTCTTCTCCAATCGCCTGAATCTTACTCGCATTCGCTTCGGCTGCTTGGGATTGATTTTCGACGCGACCTTGCTCTCCCGGTCCCCCAGTTGCGTCCCTCATTCGCTTTGAAATTTCGGTGCTGGTCATTTCACCGTTGCCAACTTTCGACAAACCACCAACATGTCTCACCACGATATTTCCGACGCAGAGTCGCGTAATCGCCTCCCTACACTCTTCGAGGTTCTCAGCCGCCGAACCCTCGCTCCGGTCGATCTCTTTTCGTTCTATATTTACATGCGGGATCAACAGCGCTCTGTGGACTACCTAGATTTCTGGTGAGGCCCTTTTTTTGCCTCTATATCGAATGCCCTTCTAACAGTCGTTGCAGGCTTGATGTATCTCAGCACATGCTATTGTGTCGACACTATGTCCGAGAACTCCGACGTTCTGTCCTGGTCGCGACCCCCGACATTGAACGAGCCGACAGCAAACAATCATCTGCCATGCTAGACAATTTGGAGAACTTGGGCGACATTCCACTGGAAGAGGCCGGGCCTTCTCGCCTAAGACCCGGATTCCAAGAAAACGAGAAGGACAGAGACGCTGATCACCGATTGTCTGCCTTCCTTCGCTCCGAGGGCGCCACTTCATCACCCTCCCGACAAAATAGCTTGGGCTCGTCTGAGGAATCAGCTCACCGAATTCCCTCGAACGAAGACGGCCGTCAGACGCCAGACTCACGGAACAACGACTCAAACTCTCCCGGTCACACCGTCGACCGTAATGATATCCGCGCCAGTGCCGAAAAGATCCTCTACACCTATCTTCTTCCTGGCTCCGAACGAGAAATCATGCTTCCCGAATCAATGGTTTCCACAATTATCAACCTAGTCGAAGACGACGGCCGAGATGATCCCGAGGTTTTCGACCCCGCTAAGGATTATGTCTTCCAGGCTATGGAACGTGATGCTTTCCCCGGATTTTTGCAGGCAAAGGCTTTGGGAAACATGGTTCCTCTGAGCACTATCTTGCGCCTTGCCTTTGCTCTCATCAGCTTCGGCGGAGGTTTCTGGGGTGCATTCTACGTCGTGCTCAGAAACAAGCCTCGCAACATCCGCTGCTGGGTAAGTCCTGGCTCTCTTCGACCGCTGCTGTGCCGTGTCGCTAACCTATCTAGATTATCCTTCCATTCGCCGTCGCTTCATATTTCATCATCTCATACCAGTACAAGATCGATCCTGTAATGGCGATCTTAGGATACAGTGAATACACCTTTATGAACTGGGCCCCGATTCGCGAGCCCTATGTTCGAAAGCTTCTGAACAAGCGTGCCCTCGTCACTGCTATGATCGCCTTCCTGACAGCGGCTGCCTTGAGCATTTTGTTCATTTTCGTCCCTGGTACCATGCTGTGAATGTTCTACCGCGGCCTTTGATCAAACCGAAAACCGAAAACCACTTGCTCTGCCAACTCCATCTGATGCCTTCCGCAATACCTTCAACTCATCGTCCAAGGTTAATAAGCTTTCGCTTTTCCCGCACCTTGGAAGATCCAGTGTATCGAACTGTCGATCCACCGGAGCCATTGAAGTCACTCCAAAGGAATCGTCCTCACCCATCTACTCGCTTATCAGCGGTCCCTCCTTTCCTTTCACTTTGTCCTGTCCATATTTATTGCGTTCATTGCCTTGCTGTGATTTCTTCCATTCTAACAATACCCCTATTGACTTTCACATCTTGTATTGTATGTATTGATTGTCTTCTTGATGAGCGTCGCCATTTCGGCCTTACGAATGAAAATTTACTGTTGCTCTCTCATCGAAGTAACCTTATGCATAGCATCCAAAGCTGTAATCCAATCGTTTCATTTCATTTCGTAAGATTATCTCGAAGAAGTATGCTTCGTTCCACATAGCTATGCGGCCCAAAGATGCAAAGTTGAAGCAATGCGACACCGCTCTTCAAGACTTGCGTCCCAACACTCGCTTGGGCTGCCGACTACTTCCGCGAGCACCGTGATCCTCATCGATATCCATGCGTGAGCCATATTCGCCATCCGCAGGGTCAAAGAACCCATCATCTTCCTCAATATTATCGGCATCCCTCTTACTCCCACCAGCCCCAGTCCCAAGACGACCAGCACCCCGCTTGGGCTTCCTGATAGGTTCACTGCCGCGGTTCCGTATCTTCTCGATCGCCAGCTCTTGGGCCTCTCGTAGTGCCTGGTTCTTCGCGGCACGGTTGGCGGCATCGCTCTTGACGCGTGCAATCTCCGCCTCGAGATCTGTGACAACGTCGCTGCAACGCGACTCCCACTCCGTTAGATTGGCGATCATTTTGGGGAGAGACTGGGGTAGCACGTCGCGTAGTGGGGCAACGGCTGTGACGTTCACGGATGGTGGGTTGGAGGCGGGTGAGAGGCGGGCTTTAATCAGGGATGCGTAAACAGCGGCTGTCACTAGTGATTCCAGCTCGACTTTTGTGGGGATGCTGAGGGCGTTCATCAGGGCGGAGTAGGTGAGGGGTTTGATTGTTGTTGATAGGGAGAGGAGGGATAGCAGGCGGAGTTTAAGGGTTTGTTCATCGTTGAGTTCTGGAAGTCCCGGAGTTGCTGCAGGGCGTTCATTAGTATTCAGATTCGATTATGGATCGAGGTCATTGGAAGTTGTTCAACGGATAACCGTTGACGATTCCCAGATCGGAGCGAGGATCTTACCATGATATTGCTCCCATGTGCCCCACGCAAAGATCTCCAACAGGGTCAGATAGCCTTTGAACTCATCTGGGGTCTCTGGTGCCCGTAATGCCTGGACTGCGGGTGACTCGAGTAACTCTGCGAAGACATAGGTTTGTGGACTTGAGGTAGCATTCGTGATAAGATTGGCGACGAAGCGGGGGAGCTGGCGCTGTTTGACTGTGCCAGGTGAATGAACGATTGAAGAGCCTCGATGGCCCGTGTGTGAGTCTGGTCCATGTTGATTCAAGCAGAGGACGAATCGCAATGTGGGGAAGATGAGCTCTCGAGCTTAGATGGAAGTTGGTGGTGTTTGCATTGTATGCAAACATGCTTTATCTGATGCGCCAAGTCTGGGCGGGTTGTTATTGACAGTCCTGATTCACTTTACTTGGAATACACCGTGGTTTGAACAGGTCCAGTGGCATCTTCCGTATCAATCTCACAAGCTGTTGTTTTCTTCTCAGGGTCTTCATGTACTCCGTATATAGCCATGGTTTGTAGAGTTCAATATCAGCTGACGTACTCCAAATACAAGGTGTAAACCTTCTGAAACCACGACATCTGTCAATGAGATTAGTCTGTTTCAGACCACCATCACACTTGGCTGGCCAAGTCCATTGGCCGACATTCTTCGGACCTCTTTCTTTATTGAATTTTATTGTGTCGATTCTAAAGTCGACCATCTAATCAGCTGGCCATATGGCATTCCGCGCCGCGGCGGAGAGAGATCCACAATCCTGCGTAATCAAATCCGCCCTTTCCTCCTCGTCCTTCATTTCACGCCTGGCGCGCAGAATTCTAGTCTCTTTTAATCAACGTGGCCTTCCTGCGCTCGTCTGCGAACTATTCTTTTTAACCTTTTGTAGCCTCTCTTGGTCGACTTGATTCGGGAATGATCTGTGCCTTGCGCCATCCGTGAGCCTCCGATCCCCCATCACGCTATCACATCCTGTCATCGCGACGGCAGTTCGTCGATCACAAATACCCACGGGCACAAAAGACATATCTATGCAATAGTTCGCTCTTTTCCCCACCATTGCGTTCGCCCCGCGCTTCACTGTCGAGAGATGTCGGTCAGCCCTGTCAGCGGGACCGCTCGACCCGCAATGGCCACCACGACGATCAAGATTGACGGTATGACCTGCGGCGCTTGTACCTCTGCAGTCGAGGGCGCATTTAAAGGGGTAGACGGTGTTCAAGATGTCTCTGTCAGTCTCATTATGGGCAGGGCCGCCGTACTACATGATCCATCCGTGTTACCGCCGGCGAAAATCGCAGAGATGATTGAGGACTGCGGGTTCGATGCGACTGTACTATCGACCGAGGAGCAAACATCCCCCGACGTCGCTCAAGTTAAGCAAATTTCGATTACCAATCTGGCGGTCGAGGGTATGACATGTGGTGCATGTACATCTGCAGTGGAAAGTGGACTGAAAGACGTCACTGGTGTGAACTCGGTGGATGTATCACTACTTTCCGAGCGTGCGGTCGTGGAACATGACGCCGAGCTCATCACCGCGGAGCAGATTGCAGAAATCATCGAGGATCGAGGATTCGGTGCCCGGGTGTTGGACACATCGATGGCTACCCCTCAAGCATCAGCATCGGTTGACTCGGAGGAGAAGTCTGGGATCCTGGTCACTACCGTGGCTATCGGTGGCATGACTTGCGGCGCTTGCACATCCAGTGTCGAGGGTGCCTTGAACACGGTGGATGGAGTGATCCAATTCAACATCAGCCTTTTGGCCGAACGCGCAGTGGTTGTCCATGACTCCACGATCATCCCTGCCAACAAAATTCCGGACCTCATCGAAGATGCCGGGTTCGATGCCTCCATTGTGTCATCAGAGGCGCAGGTCCCTCTATCAAAAAAGACGCAACAGGTGCACCTGAGTTTGCATGGCCTGCGGGACAGTGCTTCTGCAACTGCATTGGAAGATAACCTTGTACAGCAATCCGGCGTTCATTCTGCATCGGTAAAAATGGCAACCTCACGGATACTGGTTGCTTTCGATTCTTCCATCATTGGTATCCGGTCCGTGGTGGAAGTGATTGAGTCTGCTGGCTATAATGCCTTGCTAGTCGACTCTGATGATACAAATGCACAGTTGGAATCCTTGTCAAAGACCAAGGAAATACAGGAGTGGAGAAGGTCATTCATCACTGCCGCCTCTTTTGCTGTTCCTGTCTTCCTCATCAGCATGATTCTTCCGATGTACTTGCCTAGCCTCGACTTCGGCAATCTCCAATTGATCCCCGGCCTATATTTCGGTGATTTGATATGCCTTTGTCTGACGATTCCGGTGCAGTTTGGCATCGGCAGACGCTTTTATGCTTCTAGCTTCAAGTCTTTGAGGCATCGGTCCCCAACTATGGACGTTCTCGTGATGCTGGGCACATCGGCTGCCTTCTTCTACAGTTGTTTCACTATGATCATGGGACTTTGCAGCATGGACCACAGACGTCCTAGCACTGTGTTTGACACCAGCACTATGCTCATCACCTTCATCACCCTAGGTCGCTGGCTGGAGAACCGGGCCAAGGGCCAAACATCCGCTGCCCTGTCTCGCCTCATGTCTCTAACACCATCTATGACTACGATCTATGACGATCCCATCGCTGCAGAAAAGCTAGCCGAGCGTTGGGCCTCGAAGTCCACCCCTGGTGCATCCCAACAACCTGCATTGGCGGAAGACATGACGGTCGGCCACAAATGCATTCCCACAGAGCTGATTCAGGTCGGCGATATCGTCATCCTTCACCCGGGAGATAAAGTCTCTGCCGATGGTGTAGTCATTCGAGGCGAGAGCTATGTTGACGAAAGCATGATCAGTGGAGAAGCGCTCCCAATTCACAAAACAAAAGGAAGTCAGGTCATTGCCGGTACTGTGAATGGCACAAACTCAATTGACTTCAAAGTCATCCGTGCCGGCAAGGATACTCAACTCAGTCAGATTGTGAAACTAGTCCAGGACGCACAAACCAGCCGTGCCCCGATTCAACGCATGGCTGACATTGTTGCTGGTTACTTCGTGCCCGCAATCATCAGTCTTGGGTTGATTACGTTCTTCGGCTGGATGTTCCTCAGCCATATCCTGCCTCATCCACCTATGATTTTCGAAGTCGCAGGCAGTGGTGGTCGGGTCATGGTCTGCCTCAAGCTGTGTATCTCGGTCATCGTCTTCGCATGCCCCTGCGCACTAGGTCTTAGCACCCCAACCGCAGTCATGGTCGGCACTGGAGTCGGCGCGGAGCAGGGTATCCTTGTCAAAGGAGGCGCTGTCCTGGAAGCCGCCACCAAGATCACCCATGTTGTCTTCGACAAGACTGGCACCTTGACGACCGGAAAAATGAGCGTCGCTCACACTCGAATTGAGCCCCAGTGGACAATGAACGACTGGCGCCGTCAACTATGGTGGCTCATCGTGGGTCTCGCAGAGACGGGCAGTGAACACCCCATTGGCAAGGCAATTTTGTCCGCGGCGATGACTGAATCGGGTCACCCCGGAGAGGACGGTTTGCCGGGTATCATGGGTGACTTCGACAACTGTGTTGGCAAGGGTATCTTTGCTGTTGTCGAGCCCACCTCTAGTGGCGAGCGCATCCGGCATCAAGTTTTGCTCGGCAATGCTGAATTCCTTCGCTCAAAGGATGTCCCTGTGCCCGCAGATGCGGACCCGGACTCAGAGGCCTCGGGATCCGCAGTGGCTGAGAACCAAGACGCTAATTCCCCGAAGCCAGCAAGCGACGGTTCTGGCATCACACGCATTCATGTCGCTATCGACAACCGTTTTGCTGGAACTATCTCCCTCCGGGACACAGTGAAAGACACAGCAAGGGCCGCAGTGGCAGCTCTTCACCGTATGGGGATCTCAACATCAATGGTAACAGGCGACACACTTTCAACAGCGATAGCAATCGCCACAGCCGTGGGAATCCCCAGAGCCTCAATACACGCTTCCGTCCTACCATCCCAGAAGCGCGAAATCGTCTCCGCCTTCCAAGCAGAAGGCGAGTGTGTCGCTATGGTCGGCGACGGAATCAACGACTCCCCAGCGCTGGCAACAGCATCCGTCGGAATCGCCCTGGCATCCGGAACAGACGTCGCAGTCGAAGCAGCCGATATCGTCCTGATGCGTCCGGACGATCTCCTCTCCGTGCCGGCCAGTCTGTCGCTCTCTCGGGCTGTCTTCACACGCATCAAGTTGAACTTGATCTGGGCTTGTCTTTACAATGTCATCGGCCTGCCGTTCGCCATGGGTCTGTTCCTTCCTTTCACTGGCTTCATGCTACCGCCCATGGCGGCAGGTGCCGCTATGGCCATGTCCAGTGTCTCGGTTGTTGTCAGCAGTCTGCTTCTGAAGCTCTGGCGTCGTCCCTCCTGGATGAAGACAGAGCGCCTCGAGAAGGAGCTGCGTTCTGGTGCGATCTCTGCGGTCGACCCTAGACGTGTCCATGCTCGCAAGGCGAGCTGGTGGGCCCCTGCTGCTATCGTGTCGGATGATCCGCGATCACTGCGTCGTCGTGCTGGTGGTCTCGTCTCTTCGCTTTGGTCTCATGTTACTGGAAAGCCACGCTCTGCCGGAGGCGATGAAGGCTATGTTCCCCTTCAGACGGTCGAACCGCCCGTTTAAGTTACAGTCTATGTCTCAAGAGATGCTTTATCATGTCTCAATGCCTTTCCCCGATTTGGAGTTGTCGTACTCACCTTGCATTGATACTTTTATGCCTTTTCTGTTTTTAAATGCTCGATACCTCTCCTGTTAATGAAATTTATGCATTCTTCCACAACCATCATCCTCACATCACCTATCATACATCATAAAGTCAAACCTATGCTCTTCTTCACTTCGGTAAGTGAGGACTGACAAAACTTCTTACTTGATCACTCCACACAGCTGTCCCAAGCCTATAAAAAGACCTCCACTTCCCCAGAACCTTTTCTTTTGCTTCTACTCCGTACTACTTACATCGTTCAACATCCAGCTGGGCTTCTTGATTTAACCTCTTTGTTGCTTAGGAAGACCAGCATACTCACTCCCACCCTCTCTTACTTCTCCTACACCGACCAGTCAACATTCAGCCAAGCTCCTTCTTACAACATCTCAATCACGTTTAAGAGGACCAATATACTACTTTCTCACCTCAGCAAGCGAAGACGCGTGGACCATTGTCACCAATCACTCTGCGCCTGACCTGCTCATATACTCTGCCTGGGTTTTCACCTCATACCACCCTAGCATACATCCTCTCCGTCTTCTATCTTCTTCTCCTCTTCTCAAACATCCATCCAGCTGTGCATCATTACCCGACAGCATCATCTTCTTACCTGAATCATACATCATTACTGAGAAGCCCCCTCCAAAATGGAAGGAGCCCGCACAAGCGACGAGGTCATGGAGAAGAGACTTGACAAATACCTCAGGGTCGTCAAGTTTGATCTCAAGGACACAATCAACAAGGATTACAAATTTCGCTCGAAACATGACCTCAAGAGACTGTTGAGTTTCTTACGCGAAGCAGCCATAATCGAATACAGGTCCGTCGAAGCTGAAAATCGACATTCAGATGAGGAATCATTGCCGCTCCATGACTCTGAAAGGCTATCCTCCCACCTCGGTGATGTTTTATTCTGCGAAGGTTGGCGCGGTGGCACTCAAATCGATTCCTTCGACCAAATTGTTCAACTTGTGCAAGGAAGCTCGGAGAAAATTTCCGACTATGGACTCAAATTATATGACATTGGCTCCTTTCTTGAGGAAAAGTTCTCTCCGATTCTGATGGCCGCCTGGATTGCAGGGCTGTCCGATCACAGGATATCCGCGACAATGAAGACTTTCTCATATTTAGAAGAATTCAGCTTCAGCGAGATAATCGAATGTGCAAAGTTTCTGAAGAAGGTCTTCAAGCTTCAAGCTCACATCACGACTGCTGCCCAGGCCCTGGAATCCGTTCGATCTATGAAAAAATTTCGAGGAATAGGCTACTCGAACCCGGTGGAAGACTTGCTCAAACAGCTTGACAAGGATCTGGCAAAATGCATTGCACGGTTCAAAGTCTTCGAAGACAAAATCACCATGTTGGGTGGATCAACAAACACATCTGGACCTGTTACCTCACCGCAGTAAAGGTCTCATTGACATCATTTGAAGGATGGAACGAACGGGGAATTTGCTTTTGAGAGTCATTGCTATTTCGATGTACTACATTTCATATGGGCCAGTGGGTCAGGGTTATCTCACACAAGGATGGAAAAAAAGGGGAATTTGCTTTTGAGAGTTGTTGATCTTTCGGATTACTTCATTTTATGGGGGCCAGTGGGCCATATTTATCTTAACATCAATGACATAGTTGAGGGCCTCGTTGCTCTCTCGAGTCAAATTGTCTTTCCGTGATTTAGGCGACCCAAAGTAGCACATTTAATATCAAACCCTCTCAAGCTCCAACAGTGTCTCACGTCGTAGTTCAACACCTAGAACAAGCAGGGCGTTATTCACCTCATACCTCACTTCGTCTTTCGGATTCTTTGCTCACCTCATAAACACCAAACTTCCTCACATTCTAGAACTTCCTCCCCTCCCTCTATCACGCAAACCTCAGACAAGATGGGCGACTCATCACGCCGACGCCACAACCAAATTGCTACCATACGCTGGTCAGAATCATTTGATGAAGTGCGCCCTTCTTATTCTTCCTGTGCTGATTAAGTGACTAACATCCCGGTCCAGCTTGATCGTGCCACAGACGAATTATCAATCACCTCATCGTCCGATCGGGCGTTGCAGAAACTCAACATTTCTCTCGATGAGTACGTCGTAAACGTACGCAATGAGCTGAAGAGCACGAGCTCTTCGCTCTATTACCAATGCCGTTCGACGGAATTTGCCACGCTCATGAGACATTTTCGTGATGCCGTCAAGGACTACATAATGGACCGCCACAGACCAAAAGTGCTCGATAACTTCACCGAGTTCACCCGGTTAGTCAATGCTAGGTTCCGGCGGAAACAAGACCGGGAATGTCAACTTACCCTCTTGTCTCGTATTCTTCGGCTTGAACAAGGATACCAGACCGTCTCTGAATATGCTGACACAGGCGAGAGGCTTCGAAGGGGTATGGTTGGAGAGTATGAAAGAATCCTCGCCCAAACATGGGTCGCAGGGCTGTCTGACCAGAGCCTGGTCAAAATGATCACACCGATCCCTTCCATCGAGCAGTTTAAATCACCTCTGCTCGAGATGACGGCTCGAGCAAGGGTCATGGGGAAAGTGATCACGCTCAAAGATCACATGGAACGTGTTCGCTCCGAAGTTGCTGAGCTCGACCGAACTATGGCACGATGGAACTTCGGCCCACGAAATTCGAGACAGATTACCTCTTCCATGGGGAGCTGCATTGCGAGGCTAGAGAAACAAGCCAGAGACTGCGAAGAGCAGCTCAGAAAGCTGAAGCAGGTCGACAACTATCGCCGATAGCTGCAAACAAACCGCTTCATACCAGCGGCAGGGGTCACCACGTTGGCCGTGAAGACTGTTTTTCGTTTGTCTGCGCTTTAGCACATAGGTCAGGGTCAACATTTTCTCTTCCCTCTTAATTTTGCGATATGCTATTCACGGGCTCATTTGGTTACTAAATTGGATATTATCAAACCATCAGCCCGTTCCATAGTCCATTGTCACCCAATAAAAGCCCTAATAAGCTGAAAGCTGTGACGGGGAATATCAAGTTGACCAGCTAATTGAGTTGTCATATCGGATCATTGTGTTGATTTTGTTGATCATATGATATGATAACATTTGTCCTCAGGCTTCTAGACAAGATGTTCAAGGCGAGCTCTAGCCGCCCATCGTAACTCGTCACCCTTGCACGGATTGTTCGGCTTGTCCAGAGACGGCAGCCTCTCTCCAATCTGCGGATGCAGCAGAAACGTCTTTCCATTTTCCAAGTGTTGTAAAGTAGCACATATAGTATCAAACCCCCTTGAGGTACTCAACAGCCTCTCACGTAGGTCCGGATGATGTCAAATCAAACCCATAACTCATTCATCTCTTAGCTCACTTCATCTTCCAATTTCTTTTCTCACTTCACATGAGCCAGAATTTCTCACCCTTTGGACCTTCCTGCCTCTTCATCGATCTAACGTCCCGCCCACGGACAAGATGGAAAAATCCACACGGCAGCTTCATAAGCATGCCTCATCTAATCAAGTGCGCTCTCTTCAATCCACCTATACAGATTTAGTGACTGACATCTCTGTCCAGCATGATACTTTCGTGATCGAAAGGTCAAACACCTCCTTCTCTGGCCGAGTTGGCCAAAAGACTCGACGTTCGCCTTGACCAGTACGTGGTGCAAGTGCGTGAGAGACTGCGCGGCGCCATGCTCTTCCGGGCATCTCGCCAAAACCTTCGGCCGTTGAAATCGAGACCCTGCTGCGACACTTGAGAGGCGCAGCCAGGGAGTTCGTCGTCCAGAATCTCTACCCAAAAATCCTCAATGACTTCCACCCCTTCACGCAGGAGACCGACAGGAGATTCAAACCGGACTCCAGCCGCCAATCGCAGGTCACCACCTTGTCACGGATTATTCGGCTTTCTTACTTCACTTTCCTTTCTTTTACATACAGGCACTCTCAAGACCGCCATGGATCTCGCTCTTCCAAATCAAAGCCCGCCAGACACTCAGGGGAGAGGTCTACCCAAAAACAAAGGCTTGCACAGGGACGGCAGTCACTCTCCCAATATGCGGATGCAGTAGAAGCGCTCCGCAGAGATATTGTTGGAGAGCTTGACGGATGTCTCGCGGAGACATGGGTCGCTGGTTTGTCCAATCAGCTTCTCATCTCGAACATAATGCCGATTCCCCCCAAAACCACACTGAATCGGTTTTCCTGGAGATGGTTGATCGAGCAAAGACCACCGAGAGGATAACGGCACTTCAGCATTGAATGGAGCGTGTCGTCTCCGAGGTTGCCGGACTTGAGGCAACCATGGAGCACTGGGGCTCTACCCAGCACAGTCCCGGAACTGTTCCCTCCTCCGTCGCGACTCACCAAGCTCGCACGTGTCAACCGCCGCCGCTAGTACGCGACACAGCCATATTTCTCTCCCTCTCTCTCTCTCTCTCTTTCGTCTTCTCCCTGGTTGGTTGGGTTTTGTTTTGATAGTCTGAATCTATTGTTTCTCAGCGTTTGTTGCTTATCTCAGTAGCAGCCCTGTCGTCAGTTGGGCCTCAGATGCCTGCCCCTATGATCACGGTCAATTGGCTATGTCATATCATCAAAATGGCTCCCTGTAGGCATTTCTCTGATATGAAAATTATCACATCATCAGTCCGTAATTTCAAGGTTGATTGTCGTTCGATGAAGGCCGTTGTAGTTTACAGCTTTTATAGCTGGTCCAGTTGGTTATTCTACATGGCAACTCTTTTTTCCAGGCTTTTCAAGGGGAGAAAAATCCAATTCAAACTTTTCGATCCCTTCTGGTTCAGTATCCTACCGACAGGGTTGAAGTTGAAGTTCAAGTTAGGGCCTGCGGGAGGCTCGGGACCGAGACACGTGTTCGGGACCGAGGGTACCACATTCCTGAAAATCCAGTCTTGCTAGCCAGTATTCCATAGATGTTTGGCAGTTAATCGGGACCGAAAACTACAAATTTTTGAATACTAAGTTTCTCAAATGAATAGTTTGCCAGAGTGGAGCTGTATTGTTTTGCCTCTTGTCCTGTTGTTGGCTCGCAACTATAAGAACCACACTCCAGCCTACTTTTCCTAAATCATTTCCCAGTTTCATCTCTTCACAAAACCTTCTACCTCTTTTTATATCGATGCCTCACTCAAAGCTTGATCCTATCGCCATCGTTGGCGGAGGCCCATGCGGGCTAACATTCGCACGTCTTCTCGAGACGGCCGGTATCGACTACGTCGTGTTCGAACGAGAGGTATCATCAGAGCCAACACCCCGTTTCCAAGGTGGCACTTTAGACCTACACTTCGGAACAGGTCAGGAAGCACTGCGTCGCGCGGGATTATCTGCAGAATTCGAAAAGGTAGCCCGCCGCGATGCAATGACAATGACCGTTCAGGACTTCCAGGGCAATCACCGCACTACCTTTGGCGAGACCCGTGATGCCCCGGAGATTGACCGGCTGCAGCTTCGGCAGATGCTGCTTGACTCTATCCCCGAACACCGGATTCGCTGGGGCAAGATTCTCTGTTCTGTTGAGAATAGCGGCAAGAAGTCTGGAGCCCCGAGCTGGGTCTTGCGCTTTTCTGATGGCACAACCGAGAGTGGTTTCGGCCTCATAGTTGGTGCCGATGGAGCATGGAGCCAGCTGCGCCAAATAGTCAGCATCAATTTGGAATTACATGTGTTGGAAATGTTCGCTGACTTCCCTTCCAGATCACATCAGCCAAGCCGCAGTATTCGGGCATGATATTCATCGAGGGCCATCTATCGCACGACAATCCGAAGTACAAAGCAGCCCTCGACATGGTAGGCGCTGGAAATTCTATGGCCACTGGGGCCAAGACGAACCTCGTCGTGCAGCAAATGGGCGATCGATCATATCGCGTATACATGGGCCTTGTTGCACCCGAAACGGTAACCCGCCCTGGCGGAGAAGCTGATGTCACTGATATGACCAAAGCGCGTGCTGCAATGCTTGGACCTGGTGGATATTTTGCCGACTGGGCCCCAGATCTTCGGGCCTTCATTGAATACGCCGAGGGGCCATGGCGGGCTTGGCCTCTTTATCACATGGATTCGGATGTTTTCTTGCCTGTGACAGGTGAGGGAGACCAGGCTTCAAGTCGATGGGTATCTGCTCAGGGCGCGACATTGCTGGGCGACGCTGCACATATCTCCATTCCAAATGGTGAAGGCGTCAATCAGGCCATGTATGATGCGTTGGTGCTATTTGACAGCGTCGTGAGAGAGCTTGGCGGGGATAAGGCCGAGCTTGAATCTTCTGAAGCTCAAGAGGCGGCCCTCGCCCGGGCTGTCGTTGCATATGAAGCTGAGATGCTTCCCCGGGCCCGGGTATGTATCCTGCGTTGCCTCGAAGACATCGAAATGTTTTGGGGTGAAGATGCCGCGTCTCGTATGATCCAGATGTTCAATGGGATAGATCAGCAGGGCAGCCAGGAGGGCATTTCCAAGGTTGATTAAGCCTGTGTTAGTAGCGTTTTAAGTCCCACCCATTCAGGGCTGTTTACATACTTTGTATTATATTAGAATTAGAACAAAACATGATACTACTCCCTCACAGGTCCAACCTTGGAACCCCTCGTCTTTCTGGCGAAGGCCTTATAAGCAGAATAAATTGTACTAGAACCAAAGATAGTTTGGTAAAAGTAACGAAGATTACGATGCTGTCAGATCCAAAGTATAACGCCGTTTATTGACGTCAATGGCACTCTCGAATCGGTTATAAAGTTGTCAAACATTTGTTGAATAACAAAGGCACTGAGCCAGCTGTTCATAGACAATTGAGAAAATCTTGTAGGTCGTCACTCATGATACTAGAAGCCAGGATAATACCAACTGAAAATCTCAAGAAAGGAAATCTCAAATAAAGAATCCAATAAATCGCTCATGTTTCCTTCTTCGCGTCCGGCGCTTGAGATGATTGACCCACTGATTCGGACTTGGAGTCCTCTTCTGTGGGGTTTGTAGCTGCGTCTTCGTCCTTGGGTTCCTCCTTAGCTTTGGTGTCTTCGAGGACAATGTCACCGTCACCATCTTTGTCCAAGCTCGAGTCAATCTTGGTCACTTCCTCCGATGTCGGCGTTGCTGCCACTGCGGCAGGGACATCATCAGTGCTGTCGGTACCAAGGCTCATCTCTACACCCTTCCCGTCTTGCAGACCCATGTCTTCGACCCCGAGGACGATGGGGCCTCGCGCATGAGGCACCTCATCGGATGGCTCTGGTGAAGCAGTAGTAGCTCCATCTTCAGTCTCGGGTAGTGGAGCAGCCACTGAATCTGTAGATTCTTCCGACTTGATGGGCAGAGGTTCTTCAGTGGCTGGTTATTGAAGTTAGTGAAACAGGAACAAAAGAACAGGTAAAGGGTGTAGATACTTTCGCTTAGTACGTTTGCATCTCCGTTTAATTCCTCATCGTCGCCGTCAAATGAAGCATTCGATAACCATGGGATTGGGGTGAGTAGTGCCCCACCCAAAGACTCATCGCTTCCAAGGCCTTGTAAGTAGTCTGGAGCCATGTAGACACTGCTCTTCCCAGGGTGCGCGATACCGTTGGTCTGGGCATTCTCGGAAGCTGGAGTCTGGAAGGGGAAGATGTCTGCAGAACTTGTGACAGATGTGACCCGGTCCACGGCACGTAGGTATGCCGGTAATGTCTTGTAGTGCTTTGTGGGGTAAAGAATCAGCTCCGCGAGTCTCTGTATGGTGTGCGGAGGTTTGTCCGTGAAGAAGGAATGGATAGATGAGCGAATCGCGTTCAAAAGTAGAGCTAGCGGGGGCGGGAGGGTATCTGTGCTCTGGCTAGATGCTTGGGGCTGCGAGTCTGGCACGCGCTCGGCTGTTGGAGAGCCAGGTTCCACTGCTTGGGATGCGGTCCCGGGATGTGCAGGCGCATCGTTTTCTTTGTTACTGCTATCGGGGGCAGTGTTGTTCTCTTGAGAAGCGTTGAAGAAGGATTGAAGCCCCAGCGGTTCGGGGCGCACTTGGGGCATGGGGAACACATTGTACACGATCTGGAGTCATTTGTTAGATGGTTGAAACACGGGGATCAAGGGTATGTCGCGCACGTGTTCTAATCGCTCGGTCATCGCTGTAGCCATGCCACTCCATCTCTCCCTGTATGGCCGCGTCAGTCTGATAAGGGATCACGCATCCACATGTTCACATACAACTCGATCGAGCCGCCATTGGCGGCTGTTTGGAGAGCTTCCTCATCTAGAATATTGGTGTCAGCAGACTATACACACAGCAACTCATATTCTGCGACCACTATGGGAAACTCACCCAGAGACATTTTCCAGTCAGCTGTGCTTGAGAAGCAAACGAGGTCGAAGCTGCGACAAGGTACTGTGGCGGTGTCAACGGTGATTGGCCCGAGCTTATCGATAGTGGCACGTGACTCTCCGCGAATTTTCGGAGCTGAGGGGCACCGTCGATCTCTCTTTTGCATATCCTGAACAATTGAGTCATATAATCCTTCGATCCGACATTATGTGGAACACGCCCAAGGTTGGAATCCTCGGTGGTGGTCAGTTGGGCCGCATGCTCGTTGAGTCCGCCAACCGATTGAACATCCAAGCCAACGTGCTCGACGTCGAGAACTCTCCCGCCAAGCAGATCAGTGCCCACGACGGCCATGTGACCGGCTCCTTCAAGGAACGCGAATCCGTGCGCAAGCTGGCTGAATCTTGCGATGTCATCACCGCGGAAATTGAACATGTGGACACCTACGCCCTCGAGGAGGTTGCGTCGAACGTGCGGGTCGAGCCCAGCTGGCAGGCTATCCGTACAATCCAGAACAAGTTCAACCAGAAGGAGCACCTCCGCAAATATGGAATCCCCATGGCCGACCACCGAGAGTTGCAGAACAACACACCCGAGGAATTGGCCCAGGTTGGCGAGCAGTTGGGCTACCCCATGATGCTGAAGTCGAAGACTATGGCATATGACGGACGCGGTGAGTCATGGATAACCTCAACGAAGTATAATCTTATACTTATAATGTACAAGGAAACTTCCGTGTCAACTCCAAGGCAGACATCCCCGAGGCCCTTGAGGCTCTCAAGGACCGCCCTCTCTACGCCGAGAAGTGGGCCTACTTCAAGATGGTTAGTTGCCCGCATTTGGGCACGATGCCACAAGTGACTGACATGGTTATATAGGAACTCGCCGTCATGGTCATCAAGACCAAGGACGATGTTCTCTCCTACCCTACCGTCGAGACTGTCCAAGAGGACTCTATTTGCAAGACAGTGTACGCACCTGCCCGCAACGTGTCCGACGCCATCAACCAGAAGGCGCAAGCGCTCGCCCGCAAAGCCGTCTCTGCCTTCGAAGGCAAGGGTGCCTTCGGAGTGGAGATGTTCCTCCTGGAAGACAACAGCCTGATGCTCTGCGAACTCGCAAGCCGAATCCACAACTCCGGCCACTGGACCATCGAAGGCTGTGCTCTGTCCCAATTTGACAGCCACATCCGCGCCATCCTCGACCTCCCCATTCCCCCCAAGAGTCTCGAGCTCCTCCAGCCCTCGATCATGCTCAACATCATCGGTGGCGCAACCCCAGACTCCCACCTGAAGGCCACCGAAGCCGCCCTCTCCATCCCCAACGCCAGCATCCACCTCTACAGCAAGGGCGACGCCAAACCCGGCCGCAAAATGGGCCACGTCACCGTCACCGCTGCTACTATGCACGAGGCCGAGACCATGATCCAGCCCCTCATCGACGTCGTCGACGAGATGCGCGCTCAGCGCTCCGACATCAAGACCGAGGCCGCGCCTTCTGGTCCCACTAAGCCCGCCCCCTCCATCGGTGTTGTCATGGGCTCCGACAGTGATCTGAAGACCCTGGTCCCTGGTCTCAAGCTGCTGCGCGACTACTTCGGCCTCGAGCCCGAGGTCGAAATCACCTCCGCTCACCGTACACCCGACTACATGGCCGAGTACGCTGCCAAGGCTGCGTCCCGCGGTATCAAGGTCATCATCGCCGCCGCTGGTGGTGCCGCCCACCTGCCCGGTATGGCAGCTGCGCACACTGCCCTCCCCGTGATCGGCGTGCCCGTCAAGGGTAGCGTTCTCGACGGCGTCGACAGTCTGTACAGCATTGTGCAGATGCCTCGTGGTACGTAACTACAACCCGTTCCAAAAAATCCATTTCAACCCAAGACAAAACTAACTCGAACCAGGCGTTCCCGTCGCAACAGTCGGCATCAACAACAGCATCAATGCTGCCCTTCTCGCTGCCCGCGTGCTCGGATCTTTCGACCCCTATATCCAGCGCAAGGTCGAGGCTTACGCTGAGGCTGCCCGTGCTGAGAACATGGAGCTGAAGGGAACCAAGATGCGCGAACTTGGGTGGCAGAAGTACTTTGATCAGATGTAAGAGTATCTGATTCTGGACTGTGACGAAAATTTTTATACGAAAGCGAGACGGATAACAAAATGTGTGGAGATTTTATCTTCCCTGGACTCTTGTACAGTGGTTGGGTCTTAATTTCCGTTTATAGACGACTTTGAATGACATTTAACCTTATTTTTCTGACCTCGTGGTTCCGGAACTTTTGAGTAACTTTAATATCTCATCGGCGGTTAAGCGCTGGGGGTCGAGATAGACATGTCCCGTGGTTATTCAACTCTAGATGGTACAATTGAGGATTTGTTTTCAACGCGTTCAGCGGTGGCATTATGTATTAGGCTACCGTAATCGATAATCGATACTCGTACAAGAAGATGTCCGAAGTGAAGTGCACAAGGGGAAATCATAACGAAAAATCACAGAAACACAAATAAGACCCAAGAGCGTCATAAAGATTGAACACTCATCAAACAAAGACAAAAGAAAATGACGTCACACGAATGTCATTAGGATTGAGACCACAATAGTCTAGTTTAGACGGCAGTGGTGGCGTTAGTGGCGTGGGTGCCGTTGGTGATGTTCTTAACAGCGTCACCGAGTTGAGGGGCCTTGCCGTTGACGAAGGCCTTGTCGACCTCGTCGGAGAAACCGCGAGCGCCGTTGGTGGGGCTGGTGACACCGGCAGCGGCGGCAGTGGCGTCGCCAGAGGATCCGGCGGCGGAAGCTACACCAGCAGCACCGGCACCGTTGGTGCTAGCGCCGTGGGGCTTGTTGGTGATCTTGCCAGCGGAGGGGATATCAGTGGACTCGGAGGCGCTGCCGAGGCTGAAGATGGGGGACTCCCAGCGCTCGCCCTTGGCGGCCAGGTCGGCGTACTCGGTAGCCTTGCTGGACACGCCGCCGGGAAGCTCGATGTCGGGGAAGATCGAATCGTGGAGGGTCATGACAGTCTGGACCTTGGTGTCGCGCTTGACGGCGTTCTCGGCCTCCTTGGCCTGAGCCTGGGTGCGAGCACGGATGGCGTCGGAGTAGCGGGCGAAGATTGTGGGGGCGTTCTCGGGGTCCTCGCGGGCAGCCTCTTGGGCGCGCTTGGCCTCGGTGTGGATCTCGTTGGCGAAGAGGTCACCCTTCTTGAACGCCTCGCGGATCTGGCCTTCGACGACCTTTTGCAGGGCGGGGCGGACAACACGGAAGAGCATGGGCTTGAAGGTGTTGAACAGGAGCTTGTGGCTGGACTTCTTCAGCTTTATGTCCATGTTCTTGATACCGACGTTGACCTTGTCAAGCTTGACAAAGTGCTCCTTGTCACCCTTTTGGGCGGTAGAAGCGGCGATCTTGACGCTGAGACCCTCGCCACCAAGCAAGATGTCCATGACACCACGGTCAGTGATGGAGGGGAAGCCCTCCTTCTTCTTGATATAGTAGCTGACGTCACGGAGATCGGCCTGAATGCCGGACATGGCGATCATGATCTTGTTGTCACGCTTGTTGGTGATCTTCTTGCGGCCCCAGCGGAAGTAGTTGTCGCTGCCGAATTCAACAACATTGGGCATCAGGTTGTCGCTCTCAATGGTGAGGTTCTCGACCACAACATCGACCATAGGGTCAGATACCTCGATACGGGGGATAGGAACGTAGCGAACGTTCTCGAAGATGGCAGGCAGAATGACGTCGCGGAGATCCTTGAGAAGCTCGGGCTTGAATGTGGCCTTGCCATTGCTGTCGTGGCCGAGGTCCTTGAACAGCTTCTGGAAGGCGTCGGCAAGGGCCTTGTTCTGGGTGTCTCTCTCGAACTGGTCGGCGAGGAACTTGACCTCGTCGACGATGCGGTCGGAGTGACCACGGTAGCGCTCGCGCAGAAGGTAGCGACCCTTGTCGTAGAGCTCGTTCCACTGGCGGTTGCACTCGTCTTCCATGATGAAGCCCTGCTCACGCAGAGACTTGCGGATCAGGGTGTCAACGTTCTTGAACCAGTTGCGAAGTTCAGGGTCCTTCTCAGCATCGTGGTAGATGGTGTTCAGCGACTCAAAGAAGCTGTCCAGGGAGGTGTTGTTGGCGAAACGCTCAATCAGAGTGCGCAAGTTGTGCTGGACGGCCTGCACGCTGTCGGTCTTGATGACATCACGAGCGGCGGTGCCACCCTGCTTAGAGACATCCTTGGTGTGGCCAGCGTACTGCTCAGCCATGTTCAGCAAGGTCTCGACGGCTTGCTGGTCTGCAAGGTGTTAGTGGCGTGCATCACAAAATGGATTTGGTAAGCTTACAATCAGCGTGGCCCTGGATCTCGATGATCATCTTCTTCAGACGCCAGATGGTCTGCTCGCGACGCTCCTTGGGAACCTTCTCGGCAAGATAGTTCTTGGTCTTGTCGGCGTATTCCTTGGTCTTGCTCTTGGTCGAAGTTGTAGACTCCACAGTAGACTGGTTCTCGGCAATAGAGGCAGAGGCAATGCTCTCCTTGTCCTGCAATAATGTAAGTGCTTGTCCGTTTGCGAATATATGAGTAAAACATACAGCCTTGTTACGCTTGAACTTGGACTTCAAGTCGTCCTTGTTGATGTTGGGCTTCTCGTGCCAGACATTATCCTCTGCGGCCTGGTCGATCTGCGCAAGATCCTCCTCTGAAGGGCGCACTTGGTTGGCGGCCTTCTGGGAGGCATCTGCTGCGATATCCTTTCCGAGGGTGGCGGCGTCGCTCACTGTAGAATGTTAGAGGTGCATGCGCGCCGATTACATTATCAAACTTACAAAGCTTGCGGAACTCTCCATTGGTGATCATCAATGTACCCAGGGTCTTCAGGCCCTCAGCGGCCTTGCTGGCATCCTGCTTGCCAGCTTCCTTGTCGACAGGGAGGTCGGGGCGCTTAGCATCACCAGTGGTGATCTTCTGAGCTTGCCAGACGAAGTCTTGGATGAGTTCACCCTCGTTCTTCACCAGCAGCATCTTCTTAGCGGCGTCAATGACATTGCGCAAGTCGGCCACAAGGGTCTTTCCATCGGCGGAGAGCTCATTAGGGGGCGATGAGAGGGCCTTGGAGTTCAAGGCGGTGTTTAGGGCAATGTCGCATTGCTTGTTCTGTAGGTCGAAGACCAGGTTAGCGCAGCGCGATATAGAGCGAAACCGTGAGACGAACTGAGGGAAGCTTGCTGTTCTTGAAAGCTGTCGCAAGAGTTAGCGAGGTCAATGCGGTGATGTCAGGCTTGGCTTACCATGGAAGATACCGAAGAATTGGAGCTTCTGGTTGATATCCTGGGGACTGGTCAGTACTCTTTCCTCAATTGGCGCATTGAGCTCCATACCTTCTCCTTTTGCTTGGTATCAGTGGGAACATTCACGGCCTTCGACATGATGAAGTAATGTGTGTCAAGGGAAAGTCAAAAGCAATAGGTATTATGTATAGACTAAGCACAGGTCAGTAAGAGTTTGCAGGCCGGACAAACAGCACAAACCAGGTATTAGGAATTATTTTTTCCCTGAGAGGTGTACAAAGCAAGGGGGTATCACTAGAATGAAGGGAAAAATGGGAACACCTCGAGAAGTGAAGGGATGACGGAATATAAGGGGCGGGAGCATAGCGCCATGATGAGCTAAGGGGAATCCACAGTGCTAGCTCCTAACGCGTACCATGGGGATACAGGGTACTTGGGTTTCAGTGTGATGTACAGGCAGTATACAGGTATCCAAGGCCCCTGGGTACTTTACCCAAAGCGGGTGCTTGTATGATCGACAGCTGACGTCATTGTGTCGTGGCACTGGAAAGCAGCTCCCTGTTTGCTCACGGAATTCCTCCCAAGGCGCTCAGACTGCTTCAATTGCTCATAGAATCTGCTACTGAGTAGTATATTGGTAGTACGGAGTACACTTGTGTTCTGTTGATGGTTGGGCCCCAACTCCTGTTATGTACAGGTGTGCAATGGGCTCCATCCATAAGGCTGCTACAATATTTTAAGCACTAGCTGCAGCTGCTCCATATATGACTCCATTCTCAAATCAAGGTCCAATAATCCTGCGATCTACCAAGTTGATGAGATCGAGACTCTTGGCACACGCGCTCCATCATCATGCTCCATCAATTGTGGACCTTGATAATCAAAGTCTGCTCACCTTGACGTCAATGGTTTGATCTTACAGTTAGACTTTTATTTCCCACAGAAGATAGATGACATAGCGACACGCAATGCTTTCAAGGTTTATGCAGGGGAGCAGTACTTTGTCAATGGATTGCTCATGAACGGAGTACGGAGTCATGGATGCCAACTCATACAGAAATTTATCTCAAACATTTCGAGCTCTTGAGCTAGTGAGGAGTAAGCTCTCGCTTTCGCATTCAGCCACCCTCAAAGGAAAAAGGGGTGGCTGGAGGCTGTGCACGCTAATTAATACCCCATTCCTTGCCGCGTTCGGCTTAGCGTTCTCCATTTCCGTTCCCACCCTCTCTGCGTTTATGTTAACTTTGAATCGAGCTTGATCGGTTCTATTGTTTTCATCGGTATCCTTTTAATACCACGTGCGCTTCATCGCGCCTCCAAATCAGGGAATTCCCAGGGGATCTTTCTTCCTGCTCATCTAATTCGTCCTCCAAACGCGAACCTGATTCCGGGTCTCAGGTCTCTTCTCTGTTTGGCTCGAGTCTCAAGAAATTGACTTTCATTATTGTCATCCCACGCGACAGCCATCATGTGCCTACCCCAAGGCCAGTATCCATGGATACTCACAGAGTTTCCAATACGAGTCAACCGGGCAATTCGATCTCTTAGTCATATCATCTCTACTCCGTACTCTATCGAGATCATCAATACGAACACTCCGTTTCGTGCCTTGCATACTCCGTATGCGATACCGAGACACCGCGCATAGCTTTAGAACCACGCATCCTCGAGCCCCCTATTCTGCAGTCCAACCCCAGCTACGACTCATACGCCCTTTCTAGGGCTAAAAACAAGCTACCCCTACAACTAACCCAAACACCCTCAGAACCACACGCGAACCCAAACCACCTCACAAGACCCTACCCCCAGTACCGTCTACTATCAGCAACAACCTTCTCTTCCCACCCACCATCAACAAGCGGCCCCACAACCTCAACCTCAAATTGACCCTTCTCGAAAACCATCCGACAAGGCAAATCCAACGTCAAATTCTCTTCGTTCCCGACACCTATAACATCCTGCAACGCCTTCTCCGAAGCAAGATATACAAGACGTCCGATGTGGGCCCAGTAAATGGCACCTGCGCACATCGCGCACGGCTCCCAGGTCGATACAAGCGTGCAGCGCGATAGGTAGGTCCAGTCGTAGTTGTCTGCTGCGTTGCGCGCGAGTTCGCTCTCTGCGTGTCGGACGTGGGAGAGGGAGTTCGAGCTCAGGAGGATGGTTTCGTTATCTGGTGCAAGGAGAATTGCGGAGAAGGGGCGCTTCTTGTGGATGTCTTGAGCTTCGGATTGTTGCTTTAGGGCTGCGGTGGCTGCGGCCGTGAGCTGGGGGCCTGTGAGGGGGTGTAGAGCTTTGGTCATTTTGGCTATCCTTGTTGGCTGATCTCTGACAATGCGAGTGATCTCTAATCCTGGACTCTCGGGATTGTTGAGTGGATGCGCGATTGAGGGTTTATGTACAGTGCTTGGGTGAGGTTCACGGCGAGCTCCGACGATTGGGATCAGGGGTGAGGGGAAGCTGCATCTCCCCTCATTTTCAAGGTAAGACATTCGGATGTTCGCATATTCGGATATTCGTAGTTAGAAGTTTGTTCATTATAGTAAGAAGTTGCGCTAAGTACTTGGACAAAAAATTTAAAAGAATCATTATTTACATGTGAGATCGTGAAACTTCCGAATTGGTGGAACTCGGCGTTGGCGCGGCAGAGAGAGTCCGTGTGAGAGGATTAGTGGACGATCCTTTCGAGGAGACTCGCACTCGCGTCCGAGTGCCATTCTCTAAGGTATCTGCAAATCTGGCCTCGTCTATGTCGGGTTGTGGTGTTCCATTGGTATGGAAGGAAAGATCCACAAAGTCCGAGAGATCTGTGGGGGCCGAATTGCTGCCCCCAATCTCGGTGATGTCGACCAATTTGCCCAGTATAGCGTATTCCAGCTTGAGCTTGATGCTGTAGACCAAGGCTTTCAGGGTGACATGGATGTCAAAAAGGCCAGAGTACTGAACTCCGATAACGGCCGCGTCCATCAGAATCATGACAATGTTCACGATCAAAAGCTGGACCAGAGTGCCTCTGTAATGGCCTCTTGGGCGAAGGTTTAAAAGTCTCACGCCTTCCCAGGCGTAGATGATGGAGAGGATGATCTCTTGTATTGAGAAACCGACCAACTGAATGCGCTCGAAGATATTGAACCCGGTATTGAAGAGGTCAGATTTGTTCGAGTGGCTACCCAGTTCGAGAACGGAGCCTGGGACATGGAAGATGATAGCGTCGATGATAATCATGGCGAGAGTGGCGCGAAGGACGTTGGGGTTGTGGCAGACGAGATGGAGTCGAGACCAGAGGACTAGCGATTGACCTGTTACCATTCCCACCCAGGCGACCAGTTCCATCGCTACTGGGAATAGATTGGAGTAGATATTGTAGATGATAAGGAGGTAGCCCAGGCCGAATGGGATGATGCTGAAAGAGGAGATGAGAAGGCACCAGAAGTAGCACCCGCCATATCGCTTGAAGGTGGTGAAACACAGAACGATCAATTCCAAGGCATTGTACCAGGCAATACCTATGAGACAGGCGACTATGGTGCGTTCTGCGAATCGGCCATCGGGAGAGCGATCAGCGAGGCTGAAAGTGCTGCCGGAGAGGTCGGCGCTCGACATGTGGACATTGCCGAAGGTGCGAAGGGTAGTGTGGGAGAACTAAAGGACACCCATGGGGGGTCAGGAGAAGGGTATGTACAAGGATGTCAGGAAGGATTGAGGAGAAATCTAAAGTGTAATGAGGACTCGGCAGAGATAAGGCAAAAAGGCAGTGGCGGAGAAAGCCAAAGATGGCCTTCTCCATGCAGTTGATATGGAGAGATCTCCATTGGCGTATCCATCGGAATTTAAATGGGGCACGTTGGAGACTCGAAGGTGCGGGTTCGGGCAAACTGCTGATAGGACGCTCGTCCCTCAAGCTCCCGGCCTCGCGTGCTGGGCAAAACGCTATTGCCCCCTCCATTGAACTCCATTTAAACGGCTCAGATAAGCATGTCAAGGTACATAATCCGAATGCGTCTAAGCTTTTACCTATTCGAATGGTACAATCTCCAATTTTGGGTGCAGATCGGAATCCGTGGTTCATGTGCTGGAAATTGCGATCGAGAGATAAGAACCTCTGGAGGCAAATTTTGATCTTTACTAATCTCCGTTTCTAATCTCGGTGCACTACTCTATTTGCGGAAGCTGCTTAATGGACCCCAGTCACAACGCTAGTCCGAGATACGTTAGTTCTTGTTAAGCCCTCATTGCTGATTGGTCGTATTTAAAAGCCTGAGGCATGACATCCTAGTCTATCGACTGTTTCACGCGAGTCTCGGCAAACAAGTCCATAGCAGTGAGGTGTGACTTCTTCCACGCTGTGTACTCCGTACTTGATGCGAAGTGATCCGGGGGGATCCGTTTCTTGTTGATTTTTGTGTCTGCTGCTTCTGCTCTGACTGGTCGTGTGCGCTTGCCTAAATGGGAATAGACTCTGAGCCTCCTTCCCCGGCCCTTTCGAGGCTTGCAGCTTGACCTAGACAGATTGGGTAGCATGTATGCCGAGACGCTGACGACTGATATTGCAAGAAGTGCAAGCCACCTCCAGGGCTGAGACCTGTCCTAACCTCTGATGCCACTGCAGCACAGTGCATCTCACAGTACTCCGTAGCAGTATCCATGATTTAGGATTGAAGGAATACCTAGGTAATTCGTACGCAGTTGAAATAAAGCGCTTTCTGAGATTTGCAGGATGTTTGGCGATATGCTATCGATGCAAAGCTTGGGCCAGCCAAGCCACAGGGGCGGCTGGGAGAGAAAAGTCGCCGAGCATGGGATTCCAAAGTTTGAACCGGGGGTCACACGCGTCTTTTTGGCCTTGATTACTCATTAAACTCAATTGACTTAGTTATGGGAAACCTTGGCATGTCAATGAGTATTTGATCACAGCAAACTCTGAGACCAGTCCCGGTGAGCCCTAGAAGGCCTCGGACCTCGCAACAGAGACCATCATATCATCATATCATGAAAAGCTGGCCTGAGGAACACCTGGAGTCAGGCCAATGGTGCCACTATAGCCGTCTTTTAAAATCCATGGATGTCGCGAATCATCACTCGTTGCTCACTCAAGAGTCAAAGCAGTGTCAACCTTGGAAGGGCCGAAGCTTCGGGTAGGGTCCCGACATCACGGTTGAAACCTTGCAGCGTCGTCGGGTGGCTTGCCGGGGCCCTGCATCGAGCATGGTGGCTGAAAATTAACCACCAACTCTGGAACATCAGGTGAAGGTCACATGAACGACGATTTTCCGGCACACATGAAATACACCTGGGCAATTTGGGCATCTTACTCTGAGTTGTGGTGACTGCCCAGGCGAACGCCAGACCTCGGGGCGAGGTACTTAGTTCCTAGTTCAAGAGTTGTGAAAAGACATCCATCGATGTCGCTCACCAGATAGTATATCCTTGTATGACCAGACGCAAGCCTTGGAACTTGCATAGTGGAAGCTGGAGCTCAACCTCGGAAGTCTTTGCTTGGGTAGTATTTCCAAAGTCCCGGTATAAGAAAGCGCTCAATAGTACCTCAGGCTATGCTAGAACTCAGAAGTCCTCCATATGACCTTGAATCCACATCACGACCTTGGAAGCCTGCCCAGGTGGGCAACCACCAACACCTGAGCTGAGAGTTTGATATGTTCGCCCACGAGAATACTCTATATATATTGTTCTAGCTTGCAGGCGTCATTGGAAAGAGGAACCTTCCAAGTTTGGAATCCGTTCGATCACCCCAGCAGGGGAGATAGGAAAGAACAAGAGCAAGGTAACCTTGGAAAATGGCCATGTGGGTATAGACATCCATGGATGAGGTTCAAGGAGATGAACGATACCACAGGGTATATCTACAGAAAACCTGTGAAGACACTGTTGGGCAAGCAACCTTGGAATCCCTGCAATTGCTGCTGCTGCTTCGTGCAACAGAGCGCGTTTGCGCTGTTGCTTCGCGAAAGCGACAGCGATTGCTTCTGGTTTGCGCGCCCGTTTTGCGGGCATTTAATGCGCCAGAGATCCTTCCACAATGAACCATCGTTTCTTACTTTTGCTTCCTCGTAGAGAGCTTTTTTGCTTTCTCAGACACTCTTCGGCATCTCGGTTTCATGATATATAACCACCTACCCCTTACCTTGGGACGCCCACTATTGATAACTCGGTCACCTGGGCAGTGCGTGGCATAGTTTCTATTCCATTCGTCTCGCAAGTCGTTGCAGCACTGGTGTAGGAACTCCGTACTGGGCACCATCAAGGTAGCGAAGCGAACATGCGGACCGAAAAAAGTGGCCACCAGTTACATACCTAGAAACCATCTTGTCGTGTGCCTGCTCCATGGATTTGAATGACCTACAAGACGAGGTAACACCCGCCTCTTCGCAGACCATCGAGACGAGGCGAGGATGCCCACTTGGACTTCCCACAGAAGTGAAATCTCAGTTGAATCTCAGATATTGTTCAAATGTCCGGGATTCAAGTCTTGAGTGTTTACAAGGTCACGAGGGAAATATAATCAGAGATAGAATCAAGGTAAGAAGTCGTAAATCAGATTAATAAGCTTTTATGACAATATATTACATTAGAAATGAATAATGTCATTGACCAAGGAAGAGAAACAACGTTAAGTGTGGAAGGCGAAGAATATCTTCAAGGTACTATGCACAAAAGGCGCCTTCACATGCGACATGTGCGCCGAATAATGTCAGGAAGAAGGATCCCAACACGCTACCCTGCGCTGCATATCATGAATGGCTCTCTGACAAACAATGTGTTTATCTAGAGTGGGGAATCACATTCAAGAAATAATTTACAGGACGTTGTTGGCGACGGTGTCAACGACGGCACCAACGGGGGTGCCGACGGAGGGGAGACCGAGGCCAGAAACGAGGGCAACGACGGAGGGAGAGAGCTTGAGGAGGAGGTGCTTGCCGTCAGTGCCGGTGATCTGGAGGAGGTTCTCAACGGGCTCGGAGACGTCCTTGAGGAGGTCACCGACGGAGGAGGCCTCAGCGACGATGGAGCCAACGGGGCCGGCAATGGAGCCGAGGCCAAGGCCGGAGACGAGAGCGGCAACGGGGGGAGAGAGCTCGATGAGGAGCTGCTTGGCGTTGGCACCGGTGACGGTGAGGGTGCTCTTGACCTTGGGGGCAACGTCCTGGACGATCTCACCGCGCTTGACGTTCTTGCCGAGGACAGCAACGACGGTACCGACGGGGGTGCCGACGGAGGGGAGACCAAGACCGGAGACGAGACCAGCAACGGGGGCGGAGAGAGAGATCAGGAGAGCACCGACATCAGCACCGACAACGGTGACGAGGTTGTCAACAACGGGGCCGAGGCCAGTGACGAGACCACCGAGACCGGAGGCAGAGGCAACAATGGAACCGAGGGGAGCGGCGAGGCCACCGAGACCAAGGCCGGAGACGAGGGCAGAGACCTCGGGGGAGAGCTCAATGAGCAGAGTGGTGGCATCGGGGCCGACAACGGTCAGGATGTTGTCAAGCTGGGGGCCAAGGTTCTGGACAATGTGACCGTTCTGGATGGCGGGCACGCTGGAGGCAGCGGAAGCGGCGCTGGAGGTGGCGGAACCAGCGAGGGCCTTGGGGAGATCGGCGATCTGGGAGACAACGGGGAGCTGCTCGAGGTGAAGCTCCTCAAAAAGGTTGCCAATCTTGAGGGTCTTAGCGAGGCCCTCAATGGGGTTGGTGGGGGCAGCGAAAGCAGAGCCAGCCAGAGCGGCGAGGGCAGCAACGAAAGAGGCCTTCATCTTGAATTAGGGTATATAGAAACTGTAAAGAGTGACTGGAGTTTGATTAAAGAATGACTGAAGTGAGAGGCTTGGAGAAAGAAGAAAAGTTAGACGGGGCTGCAGCAGGAAGACTTATTTATACAAGAGTGAGGATCTACAGGTACGATCTCATTTAACCCCTGCTCCTTTTCAAAAAGTTTCATGTCTTTCTTGGTGTATGTACGGAGTAATGGGGGGCAGTAGTCGTATCCTAGCTGGCGGGTCCGCTCCATAGTTAGCGCAACCCCAATAGGGCATACATACTGCGCGTAAGGGTCCTCGAAATTACAGAACTCTTCGAGTGGAACCTATTGCTCCATTATGGCGAGATTTCAACGCCACGGAAACGTCCAGAACAAGGCACAAGCGCCTGTAGACTGTCATGTACGAGCCATTAGAATATATGGGGCTCTTCTCCGTACTCCTGATCCACGTTGACACTTACCGTTAGGCCAGCTTTGTTCACGAAGAACCTTGTATACACAGAGTAGTCCTACAACTGCCTCAAGACGTACTCTAATCAAATCGTAGAAACAGGATTTCCAGATCATCGTCCTTGGAATGATCGATCAACTCGTCATAGCAGCACCCTTTCCCACTCAATCGTCCCGGAAAGTAAATCCGGGCCTTGCCGGCTACTCTACGGCGCAAGCTCTTTCATATTAAGATCTGCATGCTGATGTTTGGGGCACAAGGCATATCGAGGTTTATTTTATCCTAGATCGTACCCTATGCCTAAACGGTGTTAGATTAGACTGATAGCAAGCGCCCCCCCGAGCACCTCCGCGGCAGTCGTGGGTGGAAAGCCAGAAATTAACCATAAAATTTGTTTTTGGGGCAATTCTCAGGGACCAAGGTTCTATCTCCGTTAAGAGATGTGTCAGGCGTTTCAAATGGTCATGACAGCGCCCCTTACACAACCCACTTTTCACAGGGGATGATGTACATTACTTCTACTTCTTATGTGAGGGAAATCCCGCGTTCTCCGTTCTTATTATTTTGATATTCCTGCTTTTCCTCTTTTTTTCTTTTCCGTTCTGTACTCCGTTCTCCGTACAAGTAATTTCAAAGGAAATTGAAGTGGACACCCCGCGAAGAATAGAGAATGATCTGCACGACCACAACACACTCAGGGGACGATTGACGATCCAATTGCCGTAAGGGTTCATCGATGAGAAGCTAAATCCAATAGTGCGGAACATTACGGCGAATCAAAGTCGTCTATTAACGAGATGCCCCCACTTGTTTACCCATGTGGACGGCAAAGTTGCCTAGTGTCTTTGTGAGAGGCACTTGGCTCTGTTGACGCCTCCACATAAACATTGACCCACCTTCTATCTGGGCCAGCTGAATGGTTGCGGATATGGGTCCCATTGGTCGATCGGAATCGATTCACAGCTTAACGCGGACATAGTTAAACTTAACCCGGTCGGACTGATCCGCTGCAATCCCCGTGGTCAGCCACCGTCGGTACTTGGGGTCCAAGATCTGGTTGCCAAAAGCTTAGGGGCCACCTACATCATCGTATTTTGGTTGAATTATCAACACTTTTGCCGGTCACCCGGTGCCGTGTATTTTGTACGCTTCAATGTGCAAGAAAATTCACATGTTGAAGATTCAATTGTGGGTAGACTCGCTGTGGAAATGTCTTGGATGATCTATCTGATTGATACGTTATAAATAATTGTACTCCGTACTTGTCGAAAGCACAAATTTATCCTCACTGCGGTTAGGCAGAACAGAGCTCTGTCGATCGGCGGGACTTCGGTCATTCCCCGTGGATCCTCTTCTGCCGAGAGGACTATCATTATCTCTATACCTTTCATGATAGGCCGAAATTAGCCTCCAGTGTGTACCCTTTCGGATCGATCTATTGCCGTCTTGGTTCTAATAGTAGATACGTCCCAATGCCAAGGGCAGGCGATGTGCGATGCGCCCTAACCGCATTGAGACGAAGTCTACGTATCAATTGACAATTATTGCCCTAGTCTTCTTTATTTTATTTACTAACCCTCTGCCCAAGTTTGAGACCCTAACATATTTTCAAACCATCTTCAAGGCATGGAATTTTTAGTCATTCCATAATGGAAGCTTCAGATTTCCAGTTCGTGAAGCTTTGGGCCGTGCCGATCTGTTCCTGCATATGTCCATTGTATGAACTCGTACTTGTACAGCCCGATTCCACCGGGCTGGGTCTGCCCCATCTGTTGGATCCACATGGAGCTGAATGAAATGAATGAAATCGGGTTCCTCCTTGGCGAAAGAAAGAGGCAGCTGAAAGCAGCACGAATTGGAAGGCCCGTGATGCTACTCCTTTGGGGTACTTGTAATTTCTGTCGGACTATCCGGGGAAGTAAACCAAAAGCAGGCAAAGTAGCTGTATAGCGTAGCATATGTAAGATGAATCGTTCACGAGCGGTGATTAATCGATCACCATAGCAACTTCATTTCACCGCTCATCCGTCTGGTTGTATGTACTTGTACATTCTGTACCGGGGTCACCGAACACTGTCCTAAGGCATTGTACGAGTACTCTCAATCTGTATTAAGCAGTATGACTCCGAGGTTACTCTACATGTATATTCCGTAAGTATTCCTTAAGGAGAACTTGTACGAAGTACTTTGTACATAGTAGGATTGCCTATGTATGTACATGTAGAAGGCCACAGGGCTACAAAGTTGTACTCCGGAGCACTTCCAGTCATGGAACTGAATCGTCGGCTCATTATCGGTGACGGGAGTGGATTAGTGGATCCGTTCATGAAAGAATCAAGTGCGGTTGTGATCAGCTAGGGCAATACAAGACATTGTACTCCGTATATCAGGTTCATATCAATATCCTGCTGAAGAACAGACCTTGGTTACATTCTGTTGGTACCATGGATCCAGGCTATATATGATGTATTCATCTTGATGGGAAGTGCTTGTACCGGATATGATTCGATCCACTAGTCCCAGAGCTCTTTTGGGTTATCAGTACACAATGAGCATGCTTGACCGATGTTTACAAGTGCTCCCATATTCAGGCGGCATGTCTAAGGGTTCGGTCCAGACCTTTTAGATCCCACTATGGCCCGTCGATTTCACTCAAATCTCGGAGGGTCCGTATATGCAGTAAAAAAGGCGTTACTGCTTAGGTGGCCCATATCCACAACGTGCCATGTGGACAACGTGCCGAATAACAATGGACCCTTGTGGACTAACTAAACGCACAAAGTCTGTGTTTGTACTTTCACATGTAAGTCCTGATATAGCATATTCTGAGTTGACATATGATTTTTCTTTTCAAACCAAACAAACCAAGTAATGATTGTGGTTTGCTACTCACCTTGGCTCTAGGAGGGTGATCCTGTGATCAAGATTATCCGCGCGAGGTCCTTAGCTTACGGAGTACGGAGTACGAGTAAAGCCCATGGCTCAGTAGTTACAGCCTGGTATAGAGTACTATACAATACATACCCTAAAGCGGGAACTCAGACGGAGTGAGATGACCTTGAAGTACTACATACAATACACTTACTTTGTATCATATACTGTTATCAAATAGCCCCCACAGCATATAACAGGCTCGTGCTTACACTTGGACCTCGAAACTTTGAGGCTTGGAAAACAAAAGGCCTGGGTCACTCTGCCAATGAAATAGAGTTAAATTACTAGAAGATTCCGTCTTTGAGGAATATGAACCTCTGAGAGTCCTTGGCAAATATGGCTCGGGTCACAGCGCCTTAGTTGCTGGGTACCCAAACAAATGGCTGCATTCAGTTCCCGGCCCCAAGAGAATTTTTGTTTATATGCATGAACGGCACAGCCCTGTATAAGACTACATACATATATGGAATATGCACTTTGCAGTAAGGCTTGCCGCCGTTGCTGCAACAACTTTTGTGCCAACGCACCCGTGCGGAAGACTCCGCACTCCAGCCATAAGGATATGGATGTCTAGCATACTACTCCAGATATCACCGCTGAGTCTACAGCCAAGCAAGGACTGCCGAGATACATCCACTGCGGCAAAGTTTATATACATTACAGTACGGAATAAGTAAGTACAACGGAGCTACTCCGTAGTATGCACAGTAGTTGCATCGCCAAGCTGTGGGTACCCTGGTCCCTGAGTAACTACAAGATACATACTTGCAGGCTATTGTGGAAGCGCAGCGTTGTGGAAATTTGAGTGCGGGTGGTCATCTCCCTACCGATACGGAGTACTCCGTAGTCATACATACTTTCGATTTCAACCCTACTGTCGGCCGACAACCTTGGATTTTTATATTAGAGATAAACAACGCATTACGGGTGGGATATGGTACTAAGTGGATATCCAGGCGGGGGTACGGAGTAGGTACTGAGCTGTCCATTGACTCGTTAGATCCAATATGTACAGAATAGGGGGTGCGAGCACACCGCATAGACGAGTCTGCTTTGTGTCTCTGGCTTTGTGCGCCCTGGGACGCTAGTCCCGCCGAATTTGGATTACTACATATGCATTACCGGTCAAGTTGAATTTCCTAAGCATCAAATTTGAGCGGTGATATGCCTCGGGCGGCCGATGTCAGATCCCTGAGCTCAGCCATGGTTTTTCTCTGGATGAGATACTGCCTTTACATCGACTCAGAGGCACCGCGGCAAGAATAAGACTAGATCAGAGTAGAGCCCAGACATCAACCCAGCTCTATTGAAATCCTGCGCAAGCTATCCCCTCGCTTCTCAGAGTGTAGTCTATCGCGACAAGTCCTGATAGTCAGAGGAAAGACATGGTAACTTCGGGCGAACGGATCGTTCTACGTTTATCTAGTAGATTTGAGGCTCCGACGGAGAAACAGGAGAGTGTAAAGACGTATGTATTGTGGGAGACGGGGAGAAGAAGTAGAGAGTGAGCGAGAGTGAGCGAGAGAGAAGCTCTCTTGATATACGACTATCAGCCTGCGGCATGATAGATCGGGTACCCACGGACTCTGATAACTAGCTGCATTGAGTGAACTATTTTCTAACTGCGTTGCCATCTCTACCTGTCGTCACCACAATCGATTATGTATAGATGTAGCAATGCAGATACATACAGCTGACTTGGCTATTTCTACTCTGCACAAAAGTGTCACTGAACTGTACTCCGCCGGTGCGTTAGCTATGTCTCCAATCGCCCATCCAGCCCCACGAAACCGCTGTCCCTTAGGCACCACCAACAATGAGTATCATAGCTATCTGGTCTGCGTGATAATCTTGGGAGGTTGAATCAGTGCTACGATAATAGTATCAGTATGACCCTCGTAAGTTTGATAGGAGGCCTTCACTCACCAAAAATCAACATGCATCACACTTGTCATTAACTCTCACTGCGGAGATGATATTACGCGGGGCTGGAGTGGAGCAGAAGCTACCTTTTCCAGGCTTTCCCGACTTGGTGGGCTTGGTGGGCTTAGCACCACAGTGAATTGGTAGTTTCTGGTATTCACGGTTGCAGACACTTGAATAGTAAATATACCACCCGCAGAAGCAGTCGTTAGGGTTGCTGGAATTGTTGACTCGTCGCTTTTCGACATCTGACCCCATATCCTCAGGTGCAATGTCGGACATTCTGACCGAAGGTGTCGAAGGAGACAAGATAGTAGAATACAAAATGAATTGCTAGATAGTTTGATAAAAAGATCTGTGGATGGATGATAGGTACTTTGCAAGGCCGAGGTGGATGGAGGACAGCACTAGACAATGTCTACGGCTGTTTTGCTTAGATGCTTTCCACGGTGAGCCCTGAGATGCTCCGTATTTATATAAGCATCTGGACATGTGACAAATTATGTCACCTACCGTATGCTTCGACCTTTCTTTTAGTCCCGAGAATTGAGTCTGTGATATCTTCAGTCTCACACACACCGTGTGCAGCTGGCATCTGTCACAGACTATCTACTCGCTCTGATTGAAAGTGCTACGCTAGCAAACTCTGGATGAGCCCTGTGTGGGCAACATCCCAGCGAAGACGTTCAGTCAACCACCGTGCAGCTTGCTAGTACCGAGACACTAACTCTCAATCAGTCACAGCCTGTTGTTGATTTCCATCAAACAAGAGTCAGCCTGAAGTAATCAACCCTCCATCTTTCCACTGTTCACGAGTAGCGATTTGAATGACACATCCAAGCGCCGGGCGGGACCACGCACCATCTCCCACTACTCTCTTCTAAAATTATAGAATGCCATAGGCGCTTCCAGGGGCTCGATTGATCGCTCCAGGAAACCAACAACCAATTAACCCTGGAAGGCTTGAAATGCCTCGAGTCCTCAACTCTCGAATCTAGATGTGTTCTGCTGTTTTACACCGCATCCACAAGATATGATAAACAAAAACCCCACAATGTCCACTAGTGATCCACTGATGCGATTGATATTGATCCACAGCCTGCTCTCATTCTTCCAAGGTTCTGACCATGATTGATCCAGAAGATAGATTTTTCTCCATGGGAGTATCCTTCCGTTGCCCAAGGGGCCCTGATTCCAAAGCCTACGCCGACGTCTGGGATTGGGATCAACTCCGATTGATCAGGCTCAAGGGAACCGTGAAACTTTTTCCGCCCGAAGAGGATGTTGAGACCACGATTCTTCCGCCATTAGCAGACTACATCGCTCCAGAAGTCTGCGCGATTTCATTCAATGATGATGGCCTTCTTACTGGGGTCTCGACAGACCCAGAAGATGACGATTCGGGCTTTATCGGTTATCTTCCCTTGTCATTGTGTCCATCGCTTGTGGATTGCCCTACCGTCCTCTTCTCTCAACTTTCAGAGCTTGACCGGCTTGGACCGGGTGTTGACCTTGTGTCTTACAATGATCAAACACCTGCATCCGTCGATGGTCAGAGCTTCGCATTTAAATTCAACCCGTTGGATATGCCTCGAAGGCTACATATGGCTTGGAAGGAGATAAACATGCTCAGCAAATTGCCGCCTCATCCTAATATAATACCATTTGATCGCGTGGTTCTCGGGGACGTGGGATCTCGCGTGATCGGATTCACAACAAAATACATCTCGGGTGGAACACTTGCTGACGCTAATCAAAAAAGACCCTTTCGATTTGAATGGTTACAGCAACTTACACAGCTTGTGGATTATTTGAACTTTGAATTGGGAATTATGCACCAAGACATTGCGCCACGGAACTTGCTTGTCGACCCTGAAACAGAAAAGATAATTTTGTTCGACTTCGATTGGGCCGCCAATGGGGAAGATTATCTACTGGATAATCGAGATGATCTCTCTGGTGTTGTGTTCACGCTATACGAGATCATTACCAACGATACCCACTTCACAAGCATTCCCCACTGGGAACGCAATATCGACATGGTACGGGATATTGAATGGACTTGCCGTCGTGAACTCGATTCTGATGTATCGAAATTCCGCAATTTTTTGAATGAATGGATAGCGACGAGACAAGACAAAGCACAATACTTCAAAGCGCCCAAAAAGCTTACATGGCCAGCTCTTCCAGACCCTCCAGAATACAGCGTGCCATTTGAGTTGGGTTGGACGGCGGAAGGGGAAACTTGTTGGAGAACTGGTCCACGTACGAGACGCATTGCACTAGAGAAGGGGCAATACTGTTTCCGGTGGGAAAGGCCACCGCAAAGCAGATTGCTGAAGAAACAACTAGAGTCTTCTTAGCTTATGGTCAACAAGAAGAGAACGAGGGGGGGAGCAATGGAAGGTAAACTTGGAAGTGGGGAAATGAGCAAATAATGGGGAGAGTGATTTTGTTTTATATTAATTGAACATTAACTTAAGCATCAAAGTATACCTCTATCATATCTCATTCTTTAGCAACCCGATAAACAAATCAAAGGTACAAAGTACTAGCCCCGAGGTCAGTGGTTGATTCGCAGTAATATTCACTATGCGCAGCATGTGTAGGGTATTTCACAAAGATCCGTAACTCATTTTTCCATACTTTAGTTCTGTTTTACACAGCAAAATGATAACCCGGGTATGAATCGCCGACCAGCAGCATCCCCGATGGATCTTGAGGATAGATCCCTTGTTCCGACATATACCCCACGGAGCTGTCCATAAGAGTGTCCCTTAGAGAAGCAGACTCATCCTCGAACTGTTCCAAGAGCCCGCGAACGTCCCATTTGCGAGCGCAGAATTTGAGCAAGTCGCGAATGTAAGAGAGACAGCGAATGGCACGTGCGTGACAGTTGAAGAGGTCCTCGTCACCCAAGGCCGGTGGGTCCGGAGTTCCAACGGGGACGTGTGGGGGCGGGGGAACAGTAGCACTGATGAGCTGGTCATGATTCTCGGAAAGAACACCCACAAACAGGCGGCCTACTTGATGGACACGTTGGATGTCGAGATATGTGAGGAAAGGCAGGGCGCTGGGGTTCTCCAATACCTGATGAATCTGGCTGATGTAGTCCATACATCGGTCGAAAAGGAGAGCTTTGTTGTAATCATGAAGCGTGGGGTATCGATGCGACGGAGAAAGAAGGATGATGATGGTGTAAAGAAGTTCAAGTCGATATAAAAGAGAGAAATGATTAGGGGCATTCTTCGGACACTGACGATACCATTCACGTGCTCGCCAGCATAAGGTCCATGTGAGGACCAAAGCCTGCGGGGATGGATCGCGCCCGCTGTAATGCATTTCCTGGTATCCCACAGACAGAATCTGCCGAACCTTTACAAGGTGCAAAGCAGGCTCTGTACTGCGTAGAAAGATATGACTTTGCTCCGTGGAAGCGCCCGGAGATGCAGATGTAAATGGCAACGCAACGTTGACGGAAGCGTCTGAGAACGAAAAGGTCCTTTGCATGGTGGTACTCAACCCCCTAGAATGAAGTCAGTGAGGCACTTCCAAGGTGCAAATTGAACAAACCTGTCTAGACAATAGATACAATGGAACACACGCCGGCGGATATCAAGTCGATCGGCATTGGTTGGAACCTCGGTGGGAGGGTCTTGGTGTAAACCTAGGTCGACTGCGACTTTGACAGCCATTCCGACCAAGTACCAACTGCGAAAGCGCGCTGGGTCAACCAGAGAATATACAGCGAGGAAAAGGATAGCCTGAATCCCGGATATTGATCCGGGGCGGAGAACTTCCTCGGCATATGTCAATGCCTCTGCCACAAGAGCTCGTGCCTTTTGGTGATTCTTATCATTATTCTGATATGAGACTGACGCCGAGGCAATGGCGAGGACCATGCGCAGCATCCAGTGATCGAACGGTTTGGCGAACCGACCGCCGGACTGATAGACAGCATCGACCGATGTCCAAAAGCTTGTTTCAACAAAGAATGGCAGTTGAACGAAGACGTTGTCGAAGTAGTGTTGTAGTAACGGGGCCGCTTCATGCCGTGCAGGGAGTGAAGTATGTGAAGGTGGTTGGGGGGTATCGATAAGGGCGACCGAGAGGAGGAGTCTGGCGAAGGAGGTGTTTGAGGTGATGCCATGGAAGTCTCGTGAAGTCGCATTCACCGACCTAAGGAACTGTCAGCGAGGTTCATCATCCATATGTCAACTAGGAAAACTCACAGAAATCCAAAATCACCGACTAGATCATCGATATCGGAGACCTCTGTGTGGTGTGCACTCCCCAATTGACCTTCAGATGCGACGGAGGTGATCGACATCTCCCGAGCGACTCCGTTCCCCTCGGCGGACAGCGAGGTGGAACGAGCACGCATCTGACTGATCTTCTTCTCGAGTTTTTCACAATAGCCCTCCAATGAGGCGACATAGCTTCGTTCCTTGCCCTTGGCGAACTCATCGCTCGCCCCGGAACAAGTGCTAGCCTTGCCCACCCGCTCACAAGCCGAACATGCGGGGAGCTTGCCGTCACACTTGATCTTCGCAGTTCTGCATCTTGAACAGGCAGCCACTGGACGACTCACCTTGAGCAAGGGATTATCCAAGAAGGTGGTGGCTGTAACGGACATGACTCATTATACTGGAGACGGTTCAGCAACGTCCATGCGTCATGAATCTATTTTACTCACATGACTAGAATCGAAAGGGGGATGGCTAAAGTAACGACCTGCATGAGCTGGGGGATTCAGCGACTATCATTGCAGGGGCGATATTAAGGGAATAAGCCTTACCCACTTTTTCCAAAGAAAAAGACGTTGAGACAAAAAAGAGAGGGATTCACGAGGAATGGGCCATTTGCCGACAACCTCTGGGCTGATCTTCCGCACGGACGCGACTTTGCGCAACTTTGCAACTTTGCAACTTCACTACTGTTGTCCTTTGACTGTTCAAGCTCTGTACTGGTTTGAACCTGGTTGAATCTGAAATACAAAACAAGGAAAAGACACCTTTGACAGCAAGGACATCCTCCGAGCATTCAGCTGTGCCACTATAACGCGGAGACCCGTCGCTTCCAAAGTCTCAACGAGGCGCGTCGATCCAGATCTGGACCGAGGTTTGCCCCTCTTATATGACTTTTGGTTGTGGCCCCATAACCCGTTTCACCTTTGATCGGAGACACGAGCCTCAAAAAGACCATGTCGACTGTCCCTCTTATCGCCGACTCTGGCCTTTGAAACCGTCTATAACGGTTACCCGGCCCATGTGATCCGATCGATTTCCCTCCCCCCTTTGACTGCTCCCTTTAATTTATCCCTGGGTTCAAGCCATGACCGCGAGCCCCGAATATTCCGGGCTCAAGTCGCCGGACTTCCAAATTCTGGAGCCCCCAAACGGTCGCATTGCCCACACATTGACCGCCTGCACCAGGTGTAGACAGGTATGATGCGGCATTGTCGCCCCTCACATCCCCGCGATTTCGACCTTCCCCCTTTCCTTGGTGTCTATGACCTTAATCCTGTTTCGCCGCCACTGCAAACTGACCCACCTTCCCTATAGCGAAAATCCAAATGCGACCCGGGCATTCCGCGGTGTGCCCCATGTGAACGAAGCAATGCCAAGTGCGTATACTACGACTCAACACGCGATTCGACGATACCACGGACCTACATCGTGTCACTGCGAGAGAAAGCTCGTGCGCTGGAGCGAGAACTCGCCGAAGCCGAGAAAGAGATCAAACATGCCGCCGATGCGGAGCTGATGGTGCGGGGCGCTGGTCGCATACGATTCAAGGAAAATGACGAGACGCGCTATCTTGGCTCTTCAAGTGGCATTGCCATGACCCGGCTGGTCATGGAAATGGCCAAGCAAAATACCGATTCAAAGAGCATCAAGGATGTTGTTCCGGAATTTACCGCCCAGGAGATCAAAGATGCCTTTGCGCAAGAAGACTCGAAACCGACCTCCAAGATCTATCCTATGATAAGCTCTATTCCGCAAGCCGACCTACCCCCACAAGCCCTGACCTACAAATTGATTGATCTCTTCGTGGCCAAATGTAATTGAGCACTCTGTAACATGATGTTCACCTTGACTGATGGTATTACAGCACAAGCGCTACTTCCGACTTTACATGAGCACACATTTCGTCAAGAGGTCGAGGAGGTCTTCGCTGGCTCTACCGACCCCTGTCAAAACTTCCAACTGCGCATGGTTATCGCCATCAGCATGCAAAAAATGAGCACCGAATATGCCGGGCTTGCCGACAGCTATTACCTAGCAGCCTTGCCCTACCTAGAACCCACGCTCAAACGGATGGATATAAGGGCCCTTCAATGCCTCGTGCTCATCGCCTCTTACTCAATGTTGACGCCTACTCGCACAGCTGCATACTGGGTCGTCGGAACAGCCGCCAAACTGTGTCAGGATCTGGGATTGACCGAAGAAGCCACCGTGACCACATCGCCTTGTGGGAAACCTCTCAACCCGTTGGAGATTGATATGCGTCGAAGGCTGTTTTGGATTGTGATATCCATGGAGTTAGGACTCTCACATAGTCTTGGTCGTTGCAACAGCTACTCGGTGAGCCATGACCATTTCAATGTGAAGTTCTTCGAACTTGTGGATGATCGATACATTACCGCTGGAGGAGTTACTCCAGGCGCCAAACCTGTTCTGGCAAAATGTATCGCTGTTCACTTCTTCAAAATGCGACTACTTCAATTGGAGGCCAGGCGCACACTCTACTTGAACCGACGGGAAACACCGGTGGATGATCAAGACCCATGGTTCTCCCAGATGATGGCCAAAATTGACCATTGGATGTCTACATGCCCCAAGAAAGATGACGGAAGTGGGTTAAATGTGAAATGGTATGTTGGTTCTCTTACGTTTTGCAATGCATGCATGCTGATCCTTCTCCAGGTTTACTGGCAGACGGAACACAATAGTCATCCTCATGTATCGTCCATCTCCCCAGGTACCTGAACCATCTGTCCAGGCCGCACATATATGCTACGACGCAGCTATCTTCAATATCGCCATGCACAAAGAGCAGATGGTCACTGGATCTGTTGATCTTACTTGGGTGTTTGTGCAAGCTTTGTTCATGGCTTTGAACACTGTTCTTTGGACTCTCTCGTATCCCGAAATACGAAAGGAGCACAGCATCGAGGAAGTTCAGGGCCATCTAGATATGGCTCTCGAGATTATCGTATTCTCCGCTGAACGATGGCCTGGTGTTCAGTCCGCCCTGCTTCTCTACAAACGTCTTGTTGCTGCATGCTTGAAGGCTTATGCCACCGAGGAGTCTTTTGTTGTGCACTCTCCTTCCAACCACCCAACGCCGACTTCCTCCCAAGGGTTGACCCCACCCGCTATGTCCAGTCCGTCAAGTAGCACGACTGCGTCGTTCTATTCGCACAACCATCGTGGTGGAAACTTGTCAATAGGCGACACTGCCTCTAGTGGTACCTACTCCCGAGGTCAATCTGCCGACCCTGCTTTTACAGAATCAACTCCCCCTGCAACAACCCCGGCCCCCTTCTCACAACCTCAAATTCCACCAGTCTCACCAGCGTTTGATATGAAACCTCCACCCTCTTCTCGAAGCTCGGTGCCACAGTATGCGTCGGAATCCTACGGTGGACCAGCATCTCTCTATCCTGATGTATCAATCGACCCCAACACCCCATATAACACGATACCATCAGTTGTTCCCGGCCTTCAAGGCTGGGATCCCAACTTCTCACTTGCGTCTACGACTGCAGGGCATCTGGCGTACATTGACGCCACTGTTGACCCCATGAACTGGACTACTTCAATCGGTGACCAGTACTCTCAGTATTTCAACGAGCCATTCCCGGTGCCATCGTGGCGTGAACGCACCCTCAGTCAACAGGAGCAGATTGAGCTTTTGGCTTCCTTGGAGCACAATATACCTGACGTGTCGGCACAGTTGATCAACGAGTATAATGCTTTCTATCAGTCATGAGACTCCTGATGTTCAAGCTTGGTCTGTCGGAGGCGGGTCATTTTTGGATAGCGTTCGCGACCGATGGGATATAAACCACACTTTGATTGTTGAGATATCACTACTATTATGATTTAGACTGACGCATCTTCTGACACCCACCATGTCGTTTCAGGGTTTATTATAGCCATGTTATCAACTAGGCTGGAGATAGCCCGCGCTAGGGAAGGCGACTTTAGACCATATGACTTGAATGTTCTCGGTGATTAGTCCCCCAATGGTAAAATCGCCTACTGGCGAGTGTTTTAAACCTCACCTAAAGACTGTTGGTGGGGAGGATAATACCGTTTCGTATTCATGTCGGAGTCAACTTTCATTGAGTGTGGCTATTGTATTTCATTGATCACCATGTTGAAACAGCACCAACAGTTACTTTTGAATGGAACAAAGGAAATTGGGAACAAAGACTCCATGGACTGAATAAATTCGACCGACATGTATACATGCAGGTGTCAAGTACATGGTGCCAAGACCCGGTCACGTGCAACTCCCAATTCGCCGTCATCTCGTCCTGTCTTTGACCACAGGGTCGTCCATCCTCATCTCCCTTCCAGCCACCCATCAGCCACCCCCAATTTACACCACCGGCCTTGGAACACCTCATAGCACCTTGGAATGCAGATGATCTAGGTCGGCCGCTAAACGACCTGTTCGCCTGCTTGAGCGACCGTCGATCGTCGACCGGGACCCCCTCTCCAGGCGTCGGTATCAAAGTTTGCGATTTGGATCCAGAGCCGCTCTGGCACATACCTCACTACATGCTGAACACCTCCACGGGCTCTCATGTCTGATCGCACTCACCTTACCTCTTTCCAAGCAAGACCTCCTTCGCCTTCCTCGCCAGCTGCCGAGTCTCAGAAAGAGAACCCTCGGCTGCCCATCTTTTCGGACCACATCCCTCAAACCCCGACATCCCCTCCGTTGATGTCGGTTAGCGATCAAAGTCATGCCTCCGACTTCACATCCTCGCATACATCACCGAATCAGGCAACGGCCCAACCGAATATCTCCTCGCCTCCATCCTCTGCGCCGATGTCTACCCAAGCCTCCCAGCAACCAGCAATGAGCACAAACACTTCATTCCCCACGCCTGCGAGCAGCGTGAGTGGTCAGCAAATGAATGCGACTTCAGCGGCGGATTTGGAAATTGGGGGAAAATTGAGACAGCGCAGATGCAGGGTTCGGCAGAAACGGGTGAAGGCCCCGATCAACAATCAACAGAGCACAGACACACAAATCACAAGCGACAGACTTCACAAACAAACGGCAGTGACGATTTTGCCACCGAGAAGGGTCAGACCTCGACGGACCCCGACGCTATGGATGTGGATGGTCCAACTCGGCGGACAGATCCCGGTATTCTCAGTTTGGATTCTCTTCAGAAAGAGCTCACCTCGGCTTTTCATCTTTGCAAGAGCTGTAAGATTCCCCAAATGAATTTCCGTCGTCCATTTTGGACAGCTGCGTGAATTCGCTGGTTTTGTATATTCCCGAAGTTGTTAACACTGCTTCCATGACAGCTCCGATCGTCACTGGTCCAGATCCTTCGGTGGATCTCGTCTCCCTCTATGGGCTAGGCTCTGTCGCGCACTCGGTAGCACGCATGGATCCCGTGACTGGAGAAAAGATCAACCGGCTCAGGAAGTCATACGAGGGAAAGCTGAAAGGATTGGGACTCGCCGGACGGAACAAATCAATCAAGCAGGAAATTGGTCAACCTGGGAGCCTGCGGCACTTGACATTGTGGCCCGAAGAAGAGTGGCAGAATCAGAAGGTGCATGGCAAGCCGATTAAAGTTGCGGATATGGACTCCGCGCTTCAGGAACTCCAGGCTAAGGCGATGCAAATGGAACCTGGTCCAGTCCGCAACAACGATTTCTGGGAAGATGTTTTGGGACATGAAAAGCCGGCCAAACACGCCGCCCCAGGCGAAACGGGCAAAAAGGTCACTCCGGCTGCAAGTGGCGGTCGTCTCTCTGGTCAATCTTATGCCGCACCGCAAACACAGGAAGCAGAGAGGCCTCGCGCCAGCAGAGGTCGCAAGAGACATTACGATGACAATAGCTTTGCCGGTTACGGTGAAGGATATGTGGATGATGAGGACGACCCCGGATTCTACTCGAACGGCGAGGGATCCGGGAAGAAGAAACGCAAGAAGGTATGCGTCCTGGAATCCCTTGACTTTGAATTCCCCAACTGACCTTCATCTCCAGGAACACGTCGCTAAGGTGTCAACCCCCATGTCTGAAAGAAGCGGCAGCTACGGGGTCGGCATGTTTGGCATCGGGGCCAGATGACGAAATGCGTTTGACGATCATTTCCGATCAACCAAAAATTGCTTCACCTTTTTTTCTTTTTCTTTTTTTTGATGAAAACCCAAATTACCCATATTACAACTTGGGGGTGATTGATGGCTCTTTTGCCATACGTCAAGCCATACTTCCTGGTATGGTAGAACCTTGACGTTTGTCGCCCTCATGATCTCTTTTTTCTTTTCGATTCTCAGTACATGTTGCATCACGGTGCTGGATATACCCGGCTTCATCAATCGGACGGCGTTATGGCAGGGTGGAAAACAAAGTCATCCAATGCGGACAGGCTTGATTGCTTTTTTTTCGCGAGCACTTCGTTTTCCTCTCTCGTGCTTTTTTTTCCCTTTTTTTTAATCTCACGCAACTTTTCGAGATCTTCACTGCTGTAATGGCTGTCTTTTATCGGTTTCCTTGCACACGTTTTCCATCTTTTCCGCAGATCTACCACTGATTGTTTTTATTCCCTTCCTGCGGCCCTGGGCGGTCCGCTGTGTTCATGGTCAATGATTCCAGGGAGTGTGTATGGCACTCCCTGATGTTCCACTTCCATACCATGGGAAACTTGATAGTGGCATCATGGAGTCCATCTCCTCGATGTCAGATTAAGCACGCCCAAAGAGCTAGTCAATTTACTGAATAGACGACTACAATAACTCTTCCCTCTTCTCTAAAGTAGGAACGTAGCGCGTAAGAAATCCACAAATCATCGGCCGACTAGCACCTGGGCAAATTGCCACCCACCTGCTATCTAAGCCCCTCCACTCCGTACTAAGCGCTTGGCTTATCAACACCGAGAACCTTGGAATCTCGCGTCAGCGCAAGCAGGTATGTATAAGCGGCTGGCTGGACCTCGGGACCCCTGGCCATACTGATGTCGCCTGTGATTACCTTTTTCAGACAAAACTCAGTTGTCAACCAACCCCGATCCCCTCGCCCAAGTTCCGTGAAAACCAAAGCGCCCAAATAACCCCCAAACCAAGCCGGGTGGATAGAGAAATCAGGAACAAAGAAAAACCAGAAAACTGTGGCTTGCATCGGCGACACCGATTTCACAGCCAACCCCTGCGCGAACCGCCAGCCACGGCCAAAGTGGCCGGTTTGGCGCATCCGGTGCATTCTGCTATGCAAAGACTGACTTGTGAAGACCCGCCAATCGGACCCCGCCTTTTTGCTCTGTAGTTTCTCGGGCCGTTTTGTTTATGCCAGAATGGTCTGGACTCTGGCCCCGATTGGCTGTCTGTTTCGGCTACTATAGCCGCACGTTGAGCTCGGGCTTTGATACGGAGCATGGCCGTTGTCGAAGTTTGGGGTGTGCTTGAGCTTGTTTTTGTCAGACTTGGCTCAGGTACGGAGTACAAAGAAGCTTGTTCACTGTGAAAGGTTTGGTGCTTGGTGAAGTGGCAATTTCTCTGTGGATGTTTGTTTGCTCGTTGCTTGGGTTGATACGAATTGGCTTGGATCGAAAAGTATACTCCGTATGGAGTACTTCGTTCGATTTTGGCATTCCCAAGAGCTTGGCTTGAAAATTTCTCGACCTTTAGTGCCTATCAACAGTGCTTCGGACATTCATGGATGGTCGTTTGGCTATATGAATTGGCTTGGATGGATGTCATACATCGATGGTACACAGGCCGGACCTCCAGGTCTTTGCCATTTGTCTGCACCAAGTGATGCCTTGTTGAACTTGAGTCCCATAGCTCAAGGTCAACTTGGTAACCTTCCGGTGTGAAGGCGTTTGTGGAGGTGAGGATCAGCATGGTTTTGTCTCCAAACTACTCACCTGTCTTTTCACAGTCCAGCGCATTATGAATGAATGAAACCCACGACAAGAGGCATTTGGAATGATGCTGGAGGCACCGACTCACTCAAAGCTACCATCAACGTTATTTGAACTGTGGTTCCTTTGCATGCTTCTTCCATGCCAGTCTCAGAAGCGGGAGCCACACATTGGCAAAGTTGGTTTATACCACGACTCAAGCCAGGCTTAGGGCCGACCACCCGGATCGTCACCAACAAAAAGCATACTTGTGTGCATTTGAATTGGTTTGAATCTTATTTTTCGTGTTTGAGAGAACTCAGAATATCATGGAACGGTTGTTCCGACCGAGTCACTTGGTGTCCACCGCAGGCTGGCAATTAGATTCACCAGCAATCCTGGCTCAAAACAGAAAGCGACAACCACCGGACTTGTTGAATAAGCTGTTTCAACAATTATGATCTCCGTGATATGACGTACTTGGCGCAAGTAGATCCTTATTGCTTGGCTGCTTGTGGGCTTCAGTTACGAAACGCGGGCTTTGTTTCAAACTCTTGCCATTCGTTGTTGGATATGAATATTACCCATTTGATTGGATTTAATATTTTTGTCGGTTGCAGTTTGTGAGAGTTTGGATCGCTTCAATCTGTGTTACCATTAATGTTGTCATGTTGGGTCATCAGAATTGATTGTCTAACCGAGAAGCAAGGCTGGTTCTGCAGCTTGATTTGAACCATTAGAAGATACTTTAAGCTTATACACTCTGACGTTACGAGTCCACTTTGAAGGAAGCTATCTTAAAATTGCAACTCTTGCACGGTTTTCCTGCAAAATAGGATCGGCTATTTAAGCCGAGTCAGCCCCCGGATTATGCCCCATGACTTTGAATACTTGGCTGAGTTCCAAGGCTGGGATATCTGGTCTTATAGGTGACTTGAGCTCAACACTGTCAAATCATGTCACACGAATTGCCGTGATATACGGTGAAGTTCCTTGACGGCTCAGCCGCACTGTTGTGGTGACACTGCATATGTTCATGCATGTTTACCCACATCATCGAATCGGATTGGGCTGGATCGAGCGGCCCCAACATTCCAAGCAATATGAATGGACGATGAATGCGGGTTCAGCTTCATCATGCAGAGCTATCGTCAACTCACACGGCTTGGGATGGTCATCTGGCGCGTGCATTCTTGGGGTAAACTTTATGTCTGCGATTTCTAATAAGAGTCTTTGCTACTCCGTGCCCCGTACGGAGTAGACCTTCGATCTTTGACTCCAGAGCCTTGTCATTTCTACCCAAACATGCCTACACCCATTCCCAGCCCCAGGGGCTTCCCGTGGTCGGGAACCTCTTTGACATGATTCCTGGTAATGTCTGGGCTTCTCTCAATAAGCTGGCAGCCGAGCATGGAAGCAAAGGCATTTTCAAAATCATAGTACTCGGCAAACAGCTCGTCTTCATCACAAACGCCGCTCTCCTGGAGGAGATTAGCGACGAGAAACGCTTCCAGAAAAGTATCACTGGCCCCATCGTTGAGATTCGTCGCTTGGCCAATGATAGTCTGTTTACTGCCTACGAGCATGAGAAGAGCTGGGGCATCGCACACCGCATCATGGCCCCCTTTGTGCTGCCGGGGGCCGTCAAGGCAATGCATGAAGATATCGAGACCACCACAAATGATCTCATCAAGAAATGGACGACGAACGATACCGACGGGCGTGTGAATGTCTCCAATGATCTTGATCGACTCAACCATGCCGCCAACACACAGTGTTTCTTCAGCCAACGCGTCGATTGCGTCTTGGGTGATGAGCCCGCCGTGATCAAAGCGATGTCAGATACCACTTTCGAAGCTGTTCGTCGACCCACGCGGCCAAAGGTTCTCACTTGGCTCCGTTATCAGAGTCAATTCGACAACGACATCAAAATCTGTCGTGACTATTGCGCGCAGATCATAGCAAACCGACGTAACAGTCCAGTTGAAAAAGACGATCTCCTCCATGCCTTGCTTAACGGAAAGGATGAAGAGACCGGCGAATCGCTCCCAGATAGTCGGGTTATTGACGAGATAATCAATATCTACATCGGCAGCGCTACGGCACCCAATCTAGTCACTTTTGCGCTTTACTACCTGGCCAAGCATCCGAGTGAAATCGTTCGTGCCCGCGAGGTGATTGATTCTCTCGTCAGCTCTTCGGACGGACTTCAGCACTCTGATCTAGCCCAGCTGCAGTACTGCACAGCTATCCTTCGCGAATCCTTCCGTCTCTGTGCCACGGCGCCGGGATTCAACATTGTGCCCTTGCCCACTGATGGGCCGGTGCTACTGGGTGGGGGCGAATACGAGATCCCCCAAACCCAGACTATGATTGCAATTCTCTCCGCGGTGAACCGCGACCCAGCTGTCTTCGAAGATCCGAATGCCTTCAAGCCGGAACGCATGCTCGGAGAAGCATTTGACAAGCTCCCTGCTGGGGTGAAGAAAGGTTTCGGAAACGGCAGCGCGAGTGCTACAGGAAGCAGTATGCATGGGAGTGGTCATTGCATGTGCTTATTCGCATCCTCAAGGAAGTGGATTTCGAGTTGGCGGATAAAAACTACTCCTTCGATATGGAAGGAAAGAACTTCAATGGAGCTTTCAGTGTGAAACCATATGGAATGTTCGCAGTGACGAAGAGGAGGAACTAATTTGCATGCGTGTGATGAGCCATGTTCAATTCTCTTGGTCCGTTTCCTTCGTTTATGTTTTGGATGCTTCATTAACTATGCAGGACGACATGGCTTGGTTGTTCTGACTCACGTTTGAGACTTCCAAGTTCTGGGTTAAATTGATGATGGTTGGGCTTTGGTGCCCAGAGACTGTATTGCCTATGTTGTGAACAAATATGATACCATTGCTTTTGATTAATTAAAGATTGGATACTGCATAACTCTCCAGAAATTCCCAGAAGTTGAGACCCGGCTCGATCTTGTCATGGTAGATGCGCTCTATACAGTAGCTTCATCGGCATTTCTCTGCTTTGTCTTGGCGAATAGGCGTTTCAGCAACGCTCTGATGGAATGACCCGGTCCACCAATTTCATAAAGCGGCCTGTGCTCCTCGTTGACATCATGCTCATAGTCATAATCGACATGCACGAAGGCTCGCTCAACATCTGCAAGGCCTTCTAGCTTGCGCTGCAGCTCTTGGCTCACGTCATGAGACTCTCGAAGCTTGGTCTCGGGATCCATGACAATATCAACCTCGACATAAAGCTGCTGCCCAGAGTGGTAGGCACGGCACTATATTCGACATTAGTCAAATCATGGGTAAGAAATCTTGAGATATTTTCTCTGCAACTTACCGTGTCCACTTTCTGGATTCTCTGGTCATGAGTCAAAGTCACATATATGCATTTGTTGACAAATTCCCGCGGTGCGCATTTGCCCACAATGAGCCACATGTTCTCAAATGCGGTAGATGCCCAGGAGAACAAGATTAGCAGTGCAATGCAGCACGCACCAATCGGATCCAAGTACCAGACAAACCGATCGCCAATGATGGCCATGATCAGTCCAAATCCATTGACGGCAAGATCATTGCGGTGGTCAATATAAAAGACATGGGCAGCTGGATACCGACGGAGTCCGAAGCAATACAAGAACATAACGAACTTGGAGAAGATAGCAACGCCAACACAGATCAGCGGCACGAGGGCAAGCTGTTTAGACTCGGTCTCGCCAGCTGCCAGGGACTTGGCTGACTCAATGATCAACTCCACCGCCACGATCGTCATCAATGCACAGAACATTATGACACCCATTGTTTCCACGCGGCGTCGTCCAACGGGATATTTGTATGGCTTTGGGCGCGAGGACATGCGTGAGGTCACGAGCATGACGATCGAGGAGACGAGGTCCATGAAGGCATCTGCAGCGGTAGCAAACAAAGCTAACGAACCGGTTGAGACAGCTGCGTATAGCTGGATGATGAAGAGACAGAAGTTGACAACAAAGCTGGCACGTACGGCCAACTTTACCTTGCCACCGTTTTGAGCTTCGTCCTCGGCCTTGAGGCGCTCCTCGTCGCCGCTGGAGAGGAATCCTTCGATCATCTCATTTTGCTGTTTGTAGAAGCCGCTGATCTTTTCGTCGCCGCTGAATGGGATCCATTGATTCTTTTGCTCGATGATGGTTGTTTTGAATTGTTTGAGGTTGAGCGGGTCTTCCTCCGGGGGAGTCATTTTTGGTGTATGAGGTAGGGCTGGACAAAGTTATCAGATGAAGATCAGATAAGTAGCGACAAGAAATCTTCGCATCTAAGGTTTAAGGGTCATACAGAAAGCCAAGAGTCTTTTGCCAAGAATCCCCGGTGTCCGGAGCACTATCAGCGCCTTGGCATTGTGGCAGTGTCTGTGAGATTTCTCTTGGCTTGTTGGAAACAGCGAGTCAAATTGCGGCATTTCGTAGGGCTTGCGGAGGTTCTCCGGTGGTGGAAGATTTGAGCATTACAAACCAATCAAATTTTATAGTGGTTGAATAGTTACTTCCCAACGAGTTGAAATTGTCTGGATTTTGCGACGATGTCTTTCATCTGAAGCATCCATTTCGTATGCGGAGTATTTTCCCACCGAAACATCTACCTATGGGGTGCGGGAGGGTGAGTCGGTTACTTCCAAGATTTCATTCTGACTTTGATATCTTGCATGCATGCGGAGTATAGGTTTGCTATTATGATTCTGTCATAGTCATGTCAGCAGTTATAGCTCCTGATCTCCGTACAAGAGACACTATATACCTGATTGGCTCAAGTTAATATCTACTATGTAGTATGTTTATCCCGAGGTTCCATAATGATCATTAAGCTCTGAGGTTGGACCTCGGGAAGGGTCCCAGGTCGGCCCAGCTGGAACCTTGGAACGAAACGAAGCTTAATCATCTCAAAACCTAGCCCTAACCTGATGACAGTTTACCTACGTGAGGACATACCAACAGTAACACTCTGTCCCTGTTTCTAAAATCTATCCATGAATGCAGCATGAGTAAGAAATTCCAAGCTTCAAATGCCCTTATGATTGTAAAGAGCGTCAGACAGCCATTCCATCCGTGAATCATCAATACCAGCATCAACACTTATGTGAGGCCAAAAGCCATTCACGCGGTAAGTATAGAATTAACCTGTCCGCGTCGTCATATTGACGTCCCAGAAAGTTTATTCCTCTGAAACTGCTATGACCTCCCCTCCAGAAGGAACCAGGGGGTAAAAAGAGAGACGGGGAGAGGCTACCATGTTTCCGATTGGTGGCAGCCGTTGCAGCTCGGTATCATCATTCCTCCTCATTATCAGGCTCTTGACTCAATTTTCCCTAGCTTTTAGCATCACGAAATAGCAGGTGACGTTAGCTGGAACTATACCATTTTAGTTCATTGATCAAAGCTAGCCATACAGAGGAACTCCAAAGTCTGCTTACCTCCAACCTCCGAGGAGGATCTTTTCCTTACAGCGTTTCCCCAGAGACAGAGTCCCTATCGGTGAGGCGATCTATCGCATTTTGAATGATCAAGGGCATCCATACGGGAGCTATAGCTGAGAGCCTCGAGCTACACCTAGGCAACTGTGGAAAAGATCCCCGTGGCCAAAGGCGAGGGAGAGAGCTATGAGCTAGGCACATTCCTGAAACATCCGAGCTCCGTCAAGATTTGGGAAGCTCTGCTTCCAATCGCGATCTTGCACCAGGCATGTTGACAAACGTGTCACATTTAAGATGTATTGCAATAGCCAAGTTAGAAAAATTGTCCGGTGATCTAATCATTTGACTCTGATCCCTTCATTCCAGCCCTTAGCTGTAGCTGTAACCTTGCCCGGAGAGCTCAAATCTTGGATGGATGTCAGGAATGTTAGGGCGGATTACCGTTCGGAGCTTTTTTTATCATCTAAGAATTTAAGTGGTTAAATAAAAGAGCTTGACAGCTCCGTAATGAGGCGTCGGAACAATATTTCACGCGATTTACCTCGTGTGTTTCAGTATGTCGACAAACATGGCCTCCAAGGTCTTGCGGAACAACACCAACGTCAACTGGGTGAAGGATCCAGGACTGCGAAAGCTCAATCTAGGCATCGGTTTGATGCTCTCTGCATCGGCTACTGCCGGATATTGTGCTAGTATGATCAACGGCCTTCTCGTGCTGCCCGAATGTAACGGTTTCCATTTCATGACCCACATCCAATGTGCTGACTTGGGAATATAGTCAACGACTTTTTATCTGACCTTGACACAAATGTGAGAGGCTTGATCATTGCGGCTGTCTCCCTCGGCTCCTTCCTAGCCTTCATCCCAGCATCCTACATTGCCGACAATTTGGGGCGCAGGATCTGTGTTCTAATCGGATCATCACTAGTGATCATTGCATCGGTCATTCAAATCGCAACATCTAACCATTGGGTTTTTTTCATCTCTCGCGTGCTGGCCGGTGTGGGAGTTGGAATCTCACAGACAGCTGCGCCGTTGCTCATTACCGAATCGACACATCCACGCCAACGACAAGCATTCACGGGCTTATACAACGCGCTTTGGTTTATTGGGTCGATCACATCTGCCCTAATCAGCTTTGCGGGACTTTCATTGATAGGAACCTGGTCCTGGAAACTCCCTTGTTTAACGCAAGTGTTTTATCCGGCTCTCCAGCTAGTCGGTCTTTTGTTCGTTCCTGAGAGTCCAAGATGGCTGGTGTCTCGGGGCAGAAAAGAGGAGGGAATGGCTATTCTCGCAAGATACCACGCCAACGGAGACGAGGACGATGAGCTGGTCCAAGATGAATTCTACAACATCTGCAAGAGTATTGATGCTGAATCAAGCTCAAAGTCACGAGGTTGGATGTCATTCTTCGAAAGCCGGAGCAACATGCATCGCCTGGCGATCTGCATCATATTGGGTTTCATGCAAGAATGGTCCGGAAATGGTATGGCGACTCCCGCTTGATTCTTGCTCACAGTTATTAACTTTCATCTCTTAGGTGTGGTCTCATATTATCTAGCACCTATTCTGACTTCGGTTGGTATATACCGCGCGGCATACCAAGCTGCCATCAATATAAGTCTGCAGGCCTGGAACCTGATGTTCGCGGTCGGCGGAGCAATGGCCGCAGATCGCTTCGGACGACGAAGACTTTGGCTCATCGCAACCACCCTGATGTTCGTCTACCTTGCTGTCGCAACGAGCATGAGTGGCCTGTTTACGGAGCTGGGGATTCTGGAGGCTGGCATCGCGGTGGTACCGATGCTGTTCCTCTTCTGCGCTGCCTTTGACATGGCTTACATGCCTTTGTTTATCGCGTACCCAGCAGAGATTCTCCCCTTCCAGATCCGCGCCAAGGGTCTCGCCGTGACGCTGACGACCGACTCCATGGCATGTTTCTTCAACCAGTACGTCAACCCAGTGGCGTTTGCGGCAATCCGCTGGAAGTACTTTACCGTCTACTTGGGCTGCCTCATTATCTTCCTGTGTACGATCTACTTCCTGTTCCCCGAGACTAAAGGTCTATCCCTGGAAGAAGTTGGGCAGATCTTTGAGAAGGAGAAACCCTACGATGTGGAAACTCCCACTTCGGCTACATCCCAAGAGCTATTTGTATACCCAAAGAAGAGCAGCACTTCTTCATGAGGATAACGCTTTTGTTGCTGCTTGTTGTAATTACGACAGTGCTCTCGACTCGACCAGTTCGGCTCAACACCGAAGACTGATGTTATCTAGGTGTCTTTTTTGTTTTTGTTTTTGTTTCTGTCTTTTGTCTTGTGCAGCAAAGCCCATGTTGAATAGTAAATCCTATAGATAGATAGACCTTGTCATGTATCAAGATCAACTGATTGCCGCATTCACAAGCGGTCGAGCCCTTGGCTTACAACCTTGGAAAGGAAAATAGTATGCTTCCAAGCTAAAGGAAAAAAAAACAAGTCGATTGAAGATATCACTCATATCAAGTAAATTTTGAAAGAATGGCAATTCGATCCAACAAAAAGCTAAGACGTTGGCCTTTCAATGTGAAGGGCGTTTTATAGATATGGGCAACCAATCAGACGTCCCCAGTTACCACTCACGCTAAACCCAAGTGGAAACCTCCAGACGGCAGCTTATCAAAAACACTCTCTCCAGCTGTCCAACGTCCAATTTCCTATTGCCGACATACAATTGATCCATCAAACCCACATCGCAATCACACAAACCCCCAAAATGTCCAAATACGAAACCGCGCTCGCGCGCATCGACGCCGCGCACGCCGACGACCCCCGCCAAACCCAAACCGGCACACCAATGCCCTACGAACTCCACTACGCCCAAAAAATGACTAAATACCTTGAAACTTTGCGTCCAGACGCACCAGAGCTCCTGCGCCTCGCAATTCGCGCCCAACACCTCCGCCGCTGGGAAGTTCCCCGCGATAGCCACCCCGCAACGAAGATCGGGTACCACTCGTGGCGCGCGGGGCTTCAGAGGCGACAGGCGGCGCTTGTTGAGGAGATATGTGTGGAGAGTGGGTATTCGGCTGAGGAGGCGGGGAGGGTTGGGGCACTTGTGCGGAAGGCGGATTTGAAGCAGGGGGATCCGGATACGCAGACGCTGGAGGATGTTGCTTGTTTGGTGTTTTTGGATGATCAGTTTGATAAGTTTGAGACGGATCTTGGGGATGAGGAGAAGATGGTGGGGATTTTGCAGAAGACTTGGGGGAAGATGTCGGAACGGGGGAGGGAGGAGGCGCTGAAGATTAATTTGTCGGAGAAGGCGCAGAGGTTGGTTGGGATTGCATTGAGTGGATGATTTGTTAGTTAGTATGAGTAGTGGTTCATAAGTATATATCAATTTGAAAGAGAACTTAATGTCTATGCAGTATTTGCCTTGTTATATCCATCTTATTTTTACAAGGTGCCGTTCCTAGCTTGATATGAACTGAACTACCGCCAGGAAGTATCAGAATGTTGGCATCTTTTGATTCGGTTGTCTGTTACCTTATGCCTTTCTGGGTCCTTTCAAGGTTTCAATGGTCTTTCTCATGTCTGAAAGTGGTAACAGCGCAAAGAAAAAGAAATTATCTAGTCCTTTTCCACCGTGGAGGAAATCTATAAACTCATGTCCAGGTGGGCACCATGGAGCAGGCATGGGTTTACAAAATAACTTGCAAGGTCTGTTAAAAGCACACATTGATATCATCACTGGCTGAATTGTATTCGTTAAACGTAAAATTATTTTCCATCCCGTCAAACGCCCGCTCATAGAAAAGCTTTGAAATCCGAACAAAATATGAGAGTAGAGAGCAAAAGAGAACTCCGAGTCGCAATGCATGAAACGCTCAGTCATCGATGTCGCGGCACGACCAAATAATTAAGCACTACCAGTGTCAATCAACTGCACCAGCCCAATAGCAGCGCCGGCGGCGACACCACCAACACAGCACATCTGCACACCACCCCAGACGCCGGCGAGCACATTATCACGACCGGACCAGCCGCGGACAACGCAGGTCTTGACATAGCCAAAGACAAGGAGCGTGATCGCCATCACACCGATACTCCAGTACAGAGCAACCATTACCTGAGTGACGATGAAGTATGGAATCAGCGGGATGAAGCCGCCGATGAAGTAGCCCAAGGCGAGGGTGATAGCGGATGTCCAGGCCTGGTTGCAGTCTGGCGCAGTCTCACGGTGATGGAACGCAAGCAGGAACTCGAGGAGTCGGTCCTGCGACACATGCAGATCGCGAGTGATGTCTGCAACAGCCGAGTCCGAGAGACCGTATGGGCTGAAGGTTTCGCGCACCATGGCGCGGGTCTCTTGTGGGTCCGTCTTGATCAGTTGCTGTGTTTCACGGACCGTTGCTTCATACGATTCACTGGGAACACTGTTAGCAATTGCGCACGGCCAGCTTTGCTTTGATTCCAACTTACGCTTCGCTCTTGGCTCCGACATATCCACCCAGGCCCATGGAGATGGCTCCAGCTGCGAGCTCGGCGAGACCGCCCAGAACGACCACTTTGGTGTTGCCGAGTGCGGAGAGACCCGCGGATAGGGCAAAGGGCACCGTCAGACCGTCCGAGAGACCCAGAATGGCGTCCGAGACGATGCGGGGGTTGATTCGGCAACGGGTGCTACCACTGCTGCCAACCGTGGTTGTTGAATCATCGTTGCTGGCGCGTCGTTCGAACGTGTCATAGGAGCGACTGTTTTGAGATTCCAAGTCGGAGTCTCCCTGAATGGTATCCCCGTCGTCGACGCGAGCGAGGAGCGGTTTGCCTAAGAGATAATGTGTTAGTGCATGGTTCTGGAGCGCTCCATGCCGACGATTTACTTACCGGACGAATTCTTGCTGGCTTGGGTGGGGAACAGCTTCTGTTTGATGAACAAGAGAGCCATTGTGTTTACTTTGTCCCGAGGACTGGTCTCAAGAAGTTCTCCCGAAGGTGCGTGTTATGGGAAAGGGTCGTGTGACAACAATGGAAGAGCTTGTGAAGCTTTGGAAAGGGTATCGTGAGATTGAGTCCTGGGATAACTATGGAGCAGAAAAAAGAAAAAAGCGTCAACAACGATCGGCAGCGTCTCCCCCCTTTAAGACGCTCAACAGTGGACTACACCGGTCTCAGCAAATCGCCCATGCCGCCCAAGAGAAAGAAAAAAAACCCAGGCAGTCCACTCTTAGTGCATGTTGAACAAGGAAAAAATGGGGATGTATTCGTCAAGGAGCAGCACACGGCCAATCACTGAGCACTGAAAGGTCAGCATTTACGACATCTAGAAGGTCTAGGAGCTGCAAGGTGAGAGATCGTTGCTCAGAAATGAGAGAAGTCGCGGTCGAGACTACAAATGCAGTTGACATGATTGGTGAGCGTTGCGATGATGACTTTTAGCCCGCTTCTGATTCGTCAGGAAGATCGCCCTTCCCGCGGTCCACGGATTTAAAGTGCAATACCTCGTCTCTGATTGGTGGAGAGGCCTGCTCTTAGGGCTCCGGTCGATCGCGGCTTGTTTCTGCATTTAGCCCGATTGCTAATAGCCTTCGGCTCTAACTGACATTCGGACTCGGACATATCAAATTGGGATGTCCACTTCCGCTTATTCGGATTATGCCCGAGAGGCGTTGACATTTTTCTTCCTCTACGGAGTACTATATGCAACACAGCTGCGACGGTTCTTTGTTTAGGATGCTCGATTGGTCAAGTTGCACTGATCAGACAATCGGGATGGTGAAAGCAATAACCCGAGAGTACAACCCGATGAGGGTGTTACAAACAAAAAATTCATGGGGATGCAGCCTGCCAGTGGGCTCTGGCGATGACAAACTGGAGTTGAGGTAAATGACTATGGCTTCAGTCCGGTGCTGACGGCGGAAAATTGAGGGCATTTATGGCTTGCCAAGGCTCTACAACTGGGGACGCTGGCGACGCTCGCGGATACAGTGGGGCTGTTGGGGTCGTTTTACGAGAATTTCAAGCCAGGGGAGTCTTTTCTGTCAAATCTCCCTGATGGCTATGGTAGTTGATGCCCTGAAATCCCTGAGCGAGCTCCGAGGGGTCGTGCATGGAGCATCTCCAGACGAAATTGGCAAGGAAGCGAGGGGTGAATGAAACAATCCAGAAACGTTTTCTGCAAATCGAGGGGGAGTTCCAAGGTTCAGGTGATACGGAGTACTATCTGGAGTGTTAATTGTCGAAAGTGGGGAGGGCGAATGGAGGCAAGAAGCTCTAGAGATTGACGATTCTGAGACGCAATGCCCAGCCAGCTATGAACATTGGGGTTTACGACCTTCGGTCGAATCTTTTCAGGATATTCGTTATGCGAGGAGCCATGATCGTACATAATTTGTGCAAGATGATACATAAGAGCATGAACCCAACAGTCTGTGTCGTGAGGCAGGTTTATTTGCCTTCTGCGCGGTCCACCAACTGTTCTTCCAGTCCCATTGGTTCCCAGATTTCCTTGGCCTTTTTGTTTTGAACCCAAACCACATCGCCCTGTATGAAGGCCACAACACCACCCTTGCCAGTAGCACTGGCCGTAATGCGGAAGAGTGGCTGACCGTTTTGTGGATGAGCCTCGCGTAAGGGCAGCATGATAAGTCCTTGCTCCATGCACCAACTTTCGAGGATGTCCTTGAAGGCAACTTCTTCCACCACCGGCGCCCTGGTCTTGGCTTCAGGAGCTGCTGCCGCTGCTGCAGTAGCGGCAGCGACCTTTTCTTCTCGCGTGGGAAGTGTGGTCTGGGTGGTAGCAGGGCGTGGAAGTTCCGCGGCTGCACGGTCACCAAGCTGAGAAGCAAGATTCATGGTCTCTAGACCCTTATTCCACTGCTCGTCAACGATGGTAAGTTCATTGACCTCTGCCGGGATCTGAGTGCGCCACCAAGAGAACCAAGCACCGACTTCTTCGTAATTTGGGTCGTTGGTGAGCCAGATGTACAAGATCTCATGCCATTTGGGGAAGAACTCGGCGATCAGTAAGAGACCAATCACGTTGAGTTTGAAGTAATCCTTCCAGCGCAAAACATCCTCGAGTGCCGTGAGGTCTTGGTCCGACGGGTCGACTGTAAAATTCTCCCGGAGGTGGCGGCCAAGGCGCGGTAGAAGATGATTGCGTAGACAGATATCGAATTCAGACCCTAGGACATCGCGCCAGATTTCAATGCGATCTACCAGTCCCTTACGCAGACTCCATGTATCAAGCACCGAGCGGAACTTCCTCTTCGCGTCGGACATGAGACCCGTGGGCTGTTTTGGGTTGGTGTGTCGTTCGTCCAAGTACTGAAGCCAGGTGAAGAACCACCAGGGGAACTTCCCATCGTGCTCGGAGCCAGCACCAGGATGTCGTCGGCTGCTGCGAGGCCTCCAGTTCTTGAGAGCGGTAGCCAGCTTGGGTACGACTAGCTGATCAAGAAGATTCGCGAACACGAATGAGGGTACAATCGGTTTCCAGGCCACGACCAGCGCGGTTGCCTTGGAGGTGTCGTAAACATCCCAATCATTCAGAAGTGCCGAGCGCACCTGCGGTAGCCAGATGGTGTAGATCATTGATTCGTAGGGTGAGGTGGATGACCGCTTGAGCGGCTCGTTCAGTTTGCTACGGGTAAGAAGCGGTTGAAGGCGAGTAAGATGGGACACAAGGAATGTGGGGTCTTGTAGAGGTTCCCATTCCTCCATGGCCTGGCGAAAGAGCGGGTGCAGAGCCGCAACTGCGGTTTCTGGAAGTCGGTGTTCGTCGATGGCATCTCGGTACTGGGTCTCCAGAGCTTCAAGCTTGTTGGTCATCTCATCGAACTTGCTCGAAATGCTTTCGTCATGTTCAAAGATGTCGAGCTCTTCGACTGCGGCAATCAGACCCGTAAGATGATTGACCTGGGCTTGATATGAATCTAATTCATCCACAACTTGAGCCTCCTCAACCTCGATGAACTTCTTTCTTTCCGTGAGACCTTTCCATTCGTCTGCAAATGCTTCGAGGTCGTTCCGAGCTCGCTGGGCGATCTTAAATGCTTCTCCTTCCTCCTTGGTGACGAATTGTTTTGTCGACATGAGACCAGCGGTCGAAGTGAGGACACGCTGCTCCTTTCCGGTGGCATCCACAAGAGATTTCAGAACATTGGGCACTTCTAGACCCTCCATATCATCCTCCATCTCACGCGCTGTGCGGAATTTGGGCTTGGCGCGCTGGACTGGTGTCCCTGTGCCACTTCGGCTCTGAGTCTTGCGCTCCTCCTTCTTCTTGCGCCGGCGCTTGCGCTCTTCTTCTGAGCTGTCATCTTCCAGGACTTTTCCATGCTGCGCAGCGATGCGTCGCTCTTCCTCGCGGGTTTTCTTGGACTTCTCGCTGACGGCACCCAGACCTGCTCCTTGTGGTCGAGCCTGGACTTCGATTGGGTTCATGATACCCTGTCCTGTTGTTCCCAGACCCTGTCCTTCCTTGTAACCCATCTTCGCCATCATGCGAGCAGCAAAGCTGTTGGCTCCTCCTGCCCCACCGCGCGATGGCGCGCCGCCGCCGCCCCGACAATTTGAGTTGGCCATATTGTTTCGATTATTGCGTGAACCACTGCCAATTCCACCCATTGTTGGAGGTGGTGATTCAGATCGAGAGGCTGCTCTGGCGAAACCTCGAAAGCCGGATGTTGGGCGTGTGTCTGTGTCTTCGTCAGAGCTCACGTCGGCAGCCTTGCGCTTGTGACCGGCATATGAAGGCGACTCCATGCTGTCAGGGTGTCATTTGTCGCTTATTAACAAAGTGACAGCGCCCTCGGATTGCAGCGAAAGCAACGCGGTGATGTGAGAAGCCGCACGAGCAAGCGAGTGTGAGTTGAAAGCTCATGAAAATCACGTGTATATCTAACCGGAACATTATTCTTCCGCAAAACAAGATGACGTTTGGTTAAGCTCGGTTACTTCATAGCTCCGCTGCACGCCTCGCTCACTTTTTTCTCTTCAGACTAATCCATCTCATACCATTGATACACTTTGGCCCTTATCCCCGCACAGACTCACCCCATAAACACTTCCATCATGGCTGCTGCTCTTCTTAACAACTCGGCCCGCGTTGCCCTTCGTTCGGGTGTTTCGGCTACCTCCAAGGCCGGCGCTGCGGGCTTGACCTTCGCCCGCGGCAAGGCCACTCTTCCCGATCTCTCCTGTAAGCTATGCATCTCGGATGCCCAGGCATTTGGATATGAGTCTCCTTTGCCTTTCCTGGGAACACATGAACTGACACTGTCGACAAGACGACTACGGTGCTCTGGAGCCCTCCATCTCCGGTAAGATCATGGAGATTCACCACAAGAACCACCACAACACCTACGTCACCAACTACAACAACTCCATTGAGCAGCTCCAGGAAGCCCAGCACCAGGGCAACATTGCCGCCCAGATCGCTCTCAAGCCCGCCATCAACTTCAACGGCGGTGGTCACCTTAACCACTCTCTGTTCTGGGAGAACCTTGCCCCCAAGAGCGCTGGTGGTGGTGAGCCCCCCCTCTGGTGCCCTCTCCAAGGCCATTGACACCACCTACGGTGGCCTCGGCGAGTTCCAGTCCAAGATGAACGCCGCTCTTGCCAGCATCCAGGGCAGCGGTTGGGCTTGGCTCGTCAAGGACAAGCAGACTGGCCAGATCAGCATCCGCACCTACGCTGTAAGTCACTATGGCATTCAATCCATTGGGGTACTGCTAACACCTCCTAGAACCAGGACCCCGTTGTCGGTCAGTTCGAGCCTTTGCTCGGTATTGACGCTTGGGAGCACGCCTACTAGTAAGAATTCCCCCTTTATTCATTGTCATAACAACACTAACCCAATTTTAGCCTCCAATACCAGAACCGCAAGGTCGAGTACTTCTCTGCCATCTGGGACATCATCAACTGGAAGACCGTTGAGAAGCGCTTTGCTTAAATGCTTCCGCTTTACTTGTAAATGCTGCTATGATCTACTGCGATTTATTACCCCTGTATTGTAGCATGTACTTTCAATATTATCATAATTGAATCATTCCCAATCCGTACGACGGAGCTGGACATCGACGTAACAATTGTATACAACCTGGACCCACCGGGCCGGGCGGACCGCGTAATACAAGCTCACCGCGGACTTCCGAGACAATGGACCCTGATTTGTTCTGGACTTTTCTTGCTTTCTCTGCACATCACAATCATGTCTGCAGAAAGTCCAGGCCAGAAGCATGGCTTCAAGTCCTTCGTTTCCAATGCTTTGCGACCCAAAAAATCACGCCAAACGCTCAGGAAGGGCAGTAGATCGACTACAGACCTGCGGCTGGCCGCTCGTCCCAGTATCGACGAAGGGCCGCCTCCTCCTCTACCTGCTCCCCCAATGCCAGAGCTAGCTCCGTTACATGCACACAGACTCAAGTACAAGGAATTGCATGCCCAGGTGGACAGTCAACTCGGCGAGCGCCGAGACTATACAGAAATCATCCATTCGCTAGGCACTCTGGGAGTCGACGAAGACCCCGAAGAAAGATATGAACACAACGATCGCCGACCGCCAGGTGAAGGCGATGTCGCCAGTCTATCGCCCAGGCTTTGGGCGCAAATAGCAAGCTACTTGGACCCTGCTGGAGCCGCAAGCCTATCAATCGCTAGCATCACCCTATACCGACGCCTAGGCCCAAGATACTTCAGGGCCCTAGAGTACCCCGAAAACCGCCTCCACAAACTCACCTTCCTCGCCGGTCTCGACCGAACTCTCCCCCGCTCACCTGCTCTGCATCCCTTGCGCCCGATACCATGTCCGCACCCAGCGCGGCACAGAACGCCTACGCCCAACCCACGTCCTCAACCTACTCTTCAACTGCCCCAACTCCACAAACGCCCTCAACCCCCCCTCCCCGCCACCGCATCACCCACGGCCGCATGCTCCCCTTTACATTCGTCCAACTCACACTGCGCGCCCACCGCTTCGGCCCATCCTACGGTCTGACCCCAGACGCATTAGGCCGACGATGGCAACGCGACGACTGGTCACACACATCCCGCTTCCACGTGCACTCAGGCCGGCTCCTGATGCGCGTAACCTCACAGACATTCGCGGCACCCGCACTGACTCCCTCGGCGCAGCGCATGCTCCTGTTCTCGCGCGAAGACTACTGGCCATACTTCAGCGCATGCGCGCACTGGCGCGACGGCGAACTCATGCCAGCTTGCAAGTGTGCGCTGGAGCATATCCCGCGGCCGAGAAGCACGGGTGGACTACAGGGACTCGAGCATCGGGTTAAAGACCGCTGGGCGGGCGACATATTTGATCCCAATGCGCTGACGACGCTGTGCGGATTCTGTCGGCCGATGCGGAGGTGTCCGGAGTGTCCGACGGAGTATTTGATTGAGGTTAAGCTGTGCGAGGACCGCGCGGACGGAAGGTTCAAGCAGGCTATTACTGTGACGCGGTGGAGTGATCTTGGGGATGGGAAGACGCCTTTTGGGATTCAGTGGGCTGCTATTAATGGGAAGACGAATGAATATGATTCGTTCCAGCATGAGCACTATGCTAAGCGGGGAATCGCGAGTATCTTCGAGGCTGCTTTTACGGCGGATACGTTGCCTGGTCAGCGGGTTATCTCGCTGAATCCGAAGAAGAAGAAATTGGGCGAGAAGGGGAATGATTGGTATTAGGTTGTCATTTTTGGGTGGTTTTCTCTTACTACTCTGTACGGTATAATGATTTTTGGACACGCAAAAAGAACGGGCTGGAGTTAGGAACTAATTTGCATTGACTCGATGAGCCAGAGGTGGTAATGGACGAGCTACGACACAATTTGGATTTAATGAGATTCAGTATAGACCTTTTTGATTTTTCTTGACTGTGAACTTTCATATCTCTGAGCATCAATCTGATAGAAACACAACGACATGTAAAATTTTAGCTTCCTGCCAGCAGGATTTGGATGTAACATGACATTAAAATCATTCCAACACCTTGACCCAAGAAAGTTAAGGTTCGTCAGTAAAAAGTGAACGCCAGCCAAGATAGGAGATCTCGTTATTCCATAATTTGAAAGAAAATGGAGCTTGGAGCATGGAACATAGGGAATAAGGGGCAATGTAGCCAGTGTGGCATATCAGGTAGTACAGGAACGTGGGTATCATATGGTACAACTGATGGAAACAAGGAGAAATCGGATAAAAATCAGTGGATCGACGGAATATGCAGTTGGAAGTAGAATACCAGCATCAGCCTCTGCGCGCACGACGACCCATATACCGAGGCCGTCTAGCAGCATCGTCATGGGATATCATTTCCGAACGGGGTCTGACAACAGGCGCCTCCGCCAAGTCTGGTGTCTCGGCACGGGGTATTTCAACCCCATTTGCGGCCTCGAAAGCCAGACGGGAGGAAGGGCGAGGCTCCTTCGAGTGCTCAGGCTTGTCGGTTGAGTCGGAGATCTTGCCCTTCATCCAACCGATGATTCCGAGGGAGCTTCGGCGCTTGTGGTCAGAGCCATGGGATGTAGAAGGGCGACCAGAGGCATTCGGTGGGTCATTATGATCGGCTATTCTTGGTTCTGTGGAGGACTGCGGGAGGCCTCTGGGGAATGTGGGTTGGTCTTCGCTGAAGATTTGAAGGCTGGAGTATAGCTCGTTGGGGTTTGTGTAGAGCTGAGATGTAGGTCTTTGAGCTCTACCGCCCATCGTTCGAGTTTTGGGAATAATGGGGGATGGGGCTCCGTCTTCATCATCTTCAAAGTCATTGAGGATTGGAGAAGCTTGGAGAGGACGGGGATGATTGGTGGAGCGACTGAAGAAGGGAGGACGGAAGCTGAGACGTCGGCGGGGCTCTGGGTCAGCTTCGGGAACAGGGTTTGCCTCGGAAACTTCGAGTGGTTGTTCCAGAATGTCGAGGGTGGTCATATCAAGAGTTGGGATACCAGGAGAATCGGGCTCGGTTGGGTTCGATGCGATGCTGTCTACATCATCGAAAGCGGTTGGGCTGACGACCTTGCGCGGAGTTCTATCAGTCTGCTGCAGTTGGGGACTGGCTGCGCGAGCCATTTCTTTGCGAGACCGCGGGCCTTGATGCGCAGCGGCGATCCAGTCCTGCGGTGTCAATGGCGGGGAAGCGTCGCGTTCAGTGGGCTGCGGCTCGGGGGTCATGGCTTTTGGTACATTGCGAACGCGATGGATTGTGGGTGTAGAAATTTGGTTGACGGTAGCTTGATGCAGGTCTCCGAATGTTGAGATGGCCGGATTGTTAGGGCTTCCGGGGCCAAGTAGCTCGCTTGCCTTGGAAGACACAGTGTTGAATGTGGGCAACATGGTGTGAGACTCGGCCTTACCGCCAGGGCGTGTGGTATCACTGTAGTTGGTTTGCATACTGTCTGTGACCTCGCTGTTGAAACTGCGTCTGCTTGCGATCTCCTCGGCCGAGTGGGGACGGTTGATTGGTTTAGCAGTGAAGAACGGATCTTGGTCATTGCGGAATCTCTTTTGAGCTTCAATGCTTCCGTTTGAGCCGTTCGAGCCATTGGAGCGGTTGGTGCCGACCACGTATGCTGTGCTCATAGTGTCAGGGGTGGGGGAAGGGTGATTCCACCGAACAGGGACGCATCCAAGCGTCCGCGCCCACGAGGTTTCTGAGAGTATAGATCTGCAGCAAGACTTGTAAGACCGGATGTTGAGGGAGCCCACGAGGCTCGATTTCTCCGTCGTGTGATGATGGTCTCATTGATGTCCTCTCGGGATTGCATCCACCGATCGATCTGGTCTTCTTTGCTCTCTTCCTTTTCGGTGGGACGAACATAGCTGTCCATGCTGCCCGTGGTTGACAATGCCTTCCGAACAGGAATGTCGAGACAGTCGAGGTCGTCCCATTTCGTAGGTGTGTCGAATGTGTTTAACTCACTGCATTCGCTAAGAACGCTCAGTCTGGGAGATTCAGGTTCCAATGTGTCGTTCATGGTGTGGAAGCTTTCAGACTTTGCCAGTTCACTCACGGCGGAGCGTGAATCATTGGTTTGTGGCTCGTAAAGACCTCGCAAGGTCGCAGTACTCTTGTCATCCACTCGCAAAAACGAAGGCGCTTTTGATAGTTTCCGTAGCTCTGACGATGTCTGACGATGAGCCACGTTCATGACACTGGAGTTTCTCGAGCCGCGTCTGGAAGATGTTCTCTCCGGAATCTCAACCATTGTGTGAGCTTTGGGCGTCAAAATGTCGGAACCATCTGCAGTCATAGGGCGCGACATCGACATCTTCGAGGTTCGCCCGCCATTTTCCAGTACATCAATCTTCGTTTCCAGCTGACAGATAAGGTCGACTGCCTCCACAACGGCCTGGTCTCTGTTTTTGAAGTCACTGCTGAGCTGTTTATTCGCTTCACGCAGCATTCGGTTTTCGTTCGCCACGCCCCGAAGCTCTTTGACTTCCGCCTCGAGTTGATCCATGTAGGCGAGTTGTTCTTCCATTTCAGCCATCCGCCCCAACTTCTGCTCGAGAATCTTCATCTGCTGCGTGCGGTGAAACACCTCAAGCTTCAGGTCAAAGTTGAGCTTATTCATTTTCGAAACATACTGCAGACTAGTTAGTTCTGTTTCAAACGATGAACATTGGCACACTCACATTATCCATTTCGCGCATTCCCATCTCTTTCGGTTTCCTCTGACCGGCAGAGAGGGCGTCATTAACTTTACGTGCTTTTTCGGATGCGGTATCGTCGTGCACTCGGACAGTCTCAGGTGTCCGGGGAGCACTATTATCCAAGTCTTCGGAGATATTTCCTCTGGATCCGCGGTGGGCGCGCTGTTCCTTGAGAAGATCCTGCAGGAGTGCAGATGAGGGATTAACAAGTGTAGGTGTGCTTGGTTCCGGTGTGTCTAAATCATACGAGGTCAATATTCGGCCTGATGATACGAATCTGGCAAACATACCATATGAGCGGTTTGGCGTCCTAGTCCCAGGGTGAGCCGGTGACTGATCTCTCAGCCACGAGCCCTCAGCACTGACTGGAGGTGGAGTAAACATATTAGGCCGTCCTTTGACGCGGGACAGCGACGGGTGTTCTGGGCGGTCCGAGGAGTCTGGTAAAGGGATGAATTGTAAGCTCAATGATGTGTTGTGGGAGTGCGAGTCAAGTCAATCGGACACTGGAAGATTTGACTTACTTGAGAGACGAGGTTTGGAGGAAAGACTGCGCTTAGGTGCAGTATTAGAATGATATACAGGAGGTTGAGAGTGCGAAGGAGCAGGCTGACCAGCAGCCGAACTCCTTTGAATTTTCTCATGCATTATGGCTGCAGGCATCATCTTCACCTGCGCATAATTGACGTGCCGAATACAACCCCCGGTTGCCAATTTGGGCGCGGCCCACCTGCGTCCTGGTCAATCAGTGGACACTGCGACAACAATTTCCTGCACAGTCCACCAGCCACATCGGAGGTTTAAAGAATGGAGTCCGGACGATAGACGGACGGTCGCCAATTGGATAGGCGCCAGACAATGTATTGGATGATCAGATTCTGGCGGGTGCTAAGCAGCTGGCGCGATGCGAGGGGTGCAGATGTGTTGCAGGCGGGGAGCAATCAGAGAGCCAAATTGGCTGAGCCTGTGGGGGGACGAGGGGCTAAGGAAGGTTTAGAGGCAATAGAGCTGGATCAAGGCACAGGTAGACTCCAGTTCTGGAAGATTCAAGGGTGAGAGAAGAAGTCACCCGAAGCGAGGGGATGTCGCAAACGGATTGTGATGAGTCGAGCTAGCAAAGGCTGTAAAAAAAATAGGACCCACTCGCATCTTATGTCCTCTTTTTTGTTTTGAATTGCCGAAGCCCTTCAGGAATGTATAGAAGAATGAAAAGCTGAGAAGAAGAAAGTTGAAGTCTTGGATTCCCAGCCCTCCTGGATTCACAACTTTCGCTAATTGGGTCGTGGGGGCCCTTGCTCGGTTTCAGCTGAGGTACCAAGGAGTACCTGGTTGGTCCCCATCTTTAGGTGGATGTCTGGGTACCTAGGGGGTACTATTCTTATGCCTTCTTGGGGAAGTTCGATTCAATCTCTCTTCCTCCCCATACGTGAGATGTCAGGGCAGTCCGTTAATTGGCTTCGAGAGGTACGAAAATTCAGTCGAATTGTCAACCCAACCGCCTCTGTCAACTTGAGATCATATCAATTTTAGTTGGCCCTTCAGTTGTAAACTACGTCAGAATTAATCTAATGCAACCCAATCATGTACGGATCTTCCGATCTCCATGAAATCTTTGGGTCCATATGGCCGTCTCCACAACGGATTTACAATCCACATCTGCGACTTTTGTTCTATCATTTTCTCCATTCTTACATGTCGCATGCTCGGCCCTCTCCAGCTGACATGATTTCTCCGATCCTCCAATCAGTCAGGCCGACATAATCCGCTGTGTCTCATGCAGCCTTATACTTCGCGCCGTCAGACTCTTTTTCCAGAAGAAATTCTCCAGATCATAAATATTTACGTCACACGTGGCGAATCAGATTCATCATATTCTTGCATAAAGTTGAGCGACCTGTATACTCCGTAGTCATGGACGAGCGCAGCTCAGAGTCCAAAGTTCACCCAAACACCATCATTTGCGTCTCGCCTCTCCAGACCAGACACGCATTTCCTTGGCCCGGTCATGAGCAGCCCGGAATACTAGAATGAGTTCATTTAGTGATATCCCTCAGCATGGGAGGAGTAGAACCCACATTGCCGCTCGGTCTCGTCTAGTCCACGAAGGAAATCAACGCCATCGCCAACCGCTCCACGCGAGTTGTGTGCGTGGTCGGCTATTTCTGCTGCTCGTTTCTTGAATGTCTGCCACCTTGTCAGCCAAAATGTCTTGCATCCCATGGCTTAGGCCACATACGTCAGTTAGAACATCAACCATCTCTTCCTCTTCAAACAATTCCAGAATCCGTTCGCTGAGATTGTAGAAATGCGGCGCTAAGGCCCGAAGATCAAGTGTGCGGGGATCAGCCTTCAGCGCATTCATGACACGCTCGGAGAGAGCATCGGGCATATCGAGCGTGACAAGACGTGAGGTTCCCAATCTCGCTCTGTGACAGCCATGTCAATAGGAGTCATCAAGGGCCAATTGATGGTGACCTACCCGATCGACAGCATTTCACCCAGCCATAGTGGGAGGTCAATACGCGTGCCGGCTTTGATCTGAGGCGGTGTCAGTGAAGAGCGAGTTTTCAGCACGGTCGGGGACGAACGTCTTCACCTGCGTTGCCTTCCAGAATGCCCAGGCCGGGCACTTCGAGCTCAAATGTACATGGCAGTTTCTGGGATCCAGGTGTCAGCATTCGTTGAGAATCAGTGCAGATGCTATTTTTGTGCTTGACATACTTGGGAGTCGGTCAAGATGGAGTCAATATCATAGTAGGACATGGTGACACGTCAAACCATTCATGCTTGTCGATCGCAAGGTTCTGAGATACGGCGCGTCGATACCGGCCCGTGGTCACGTGCTATGTTAAGGCGGGACGAACCGGTAGACTCCACTTTTCACCAGGGCCGAGGATGCTCTCGACAAACTACTCTGTACCCACGGAGTACGCCTGGACTCTACCGTTCACAAGCTGAACCCTTGGAGACATCTCGTTGATATTAAGTGTAGCCTTGATTTGCATCCATGCCCAGGTTGACCATGGTGTGAGACCTTATCAGACTTCTTCTCCTGCTACTGCACTTCTGCCTTTTGTTTTTGTTTTTGGGTGTTTGTTCTTATGCTCTTCATTCGTGTTACAGGGTCTTCTTGCTCGCCGTTTGTCGGCTTGTGTTTCATGGAGAGATGAACCGAACGATTCCCGAACCAGCCATTCGAGTACAATTATATAAATGTCCACGAGCGGACTCAGCCCTGTTCATGCAGGCGCCTCTTGGCCCGTTTACTTGGCTACAAGGTTCTTATCGTCATCTCCAAGGGTTTGGTTGAGTAATATCGAGCTTTGGTCATCTGAAAACCTGATACGAAGAATGTCTAACAGTGTGTGGGGAGCCTGCATACATACATCCTCTCCCCGCATTTCCTGAGTTTGGGCCACCCGCCTGTTATAGGGCCCTAGAGGGATGATTGTGGCTCGTGTTCAATAAAGTGAGAATGAGGAGCAGTTGGAAACAACCGGACATGTTGAGATCGAAGGATCCCCCCTGCAACGGTCACAATAGCGCAACAGGTACGAAGTACTGTGCTCCGTACTCCGTACTTCGTAGTTACTTTGTACAAGGTACATACTCACCGTATGTATTCCGTATCTGTGCACCGATCGACCCAGACTGATTGTAGATGGCCCTGGAGCAAAGAGGCTTGTCCGCAAGATTATTCAGTGGGTTGGGATTGGTCTGGTCTGCGCTAGAGAACGTATGTGTCGAGGTCATGCGACCACTTCAACCACTTCGAGTCTCTCTGGTTGTGCTGTTCATTGGGCGGGTATATGCAAGGCAAACTGGGAAGAAGGCGAAAGACGATAGCAGATAAGCATGATTGGTGTAGATGGTTAAAGGGTTAGATGCAGGTTGCCGGGAAGCGTGAGAGAGTAGTTCTTATAGATCAAGTAGGACGCCAAGCCCTCTAGAACAGAGTGGAGAGGCCAATCCTGGAAGTGCATCGACTGGTCCGAGACATTAAGAGACGCAATGGCCCCTTTTGTGGCGTCGGTTTTACTTGTTTTGACTTGCTTTTTTAATTTCTTAAAACTACTCCGTACCGGAGTACGGACTAGTATTTGGAGTTGGGTCAATTGGGTTAATTTTAGGCATTCCGCCTGGGGGCAGGCAAACTTCCAAAATTAGGACGTGTGACAACTACTACTCTACGCCGTACTATCCAGTTCCTTTCTCCATGTTTCTCAGCTCTTTCGTCCCTGCATCCCTCATTTCACTTCCTTTGTCTGTCATCCCTGTCACTCGATCATTCTGGTTTAACCTGGTCTGGATGGAGACTCGGTGCCCAACTATATAATGGCCTACAATGCCGTTGCTCAACTCGACCACGAAGTGGCTTCGAACTCTTCCGCTTCTGCATCACGCAGCCCCTCGCCCGCCGGGCATGCATTTGAACAGCTGCCGCTTGATACTGATCACATCGGGGGAGGAAGCCACCTACAACCTGCCAAAACCGCCGACAGTTTTGGCTTAGAATCTATGATCCGCTCTATGACTTCGAATAGCTACGATATGGTGGAGGACGATGACTACGACGCTGATCACCGGCGATCCGACAGCCTTCGCCGCGTGCCTCCCCCTCAACACCGCGGTCGCGCGACAATACTCTCCACTCGAATCTCCGCTCCCAAGCGCACACAGCGAGGCTTCCGTGCCTCTGAGCCACCCGATCCCGGATCTGCAGTCGATACAAGGCGCGTATATTGGCAATGTTGAGAGATTAGAACAGAGCGCGGAGCAACTGAGCTCGTGTTCTGCTGACATTGGGAGTGAGATTCGTCGGCTGGATCAGGAGCAGAAGCAGCGCTCATGCAGCTCCGCGGCTAATTCTGTTGTCCTCCGCAACGGTGCGTTCTCACCGACCGGGACCATTTCCTCCGCCCATGGGTCCAACGTTTCCCCTGCACGCCTGCGCTCCGTTTCGGGGGCATCGCATCTTGCCCAAGTCTCGGAGCCCACACACCACGAACATCACGAGATTGATGAATTCCCCGGACACCCCGCCCTCCCACCCCCACATTCTCCTTTCAACCCACAAAGCGATTATTATTACGACCAGTATGTTCCACAAGGCATTCCTGCCGAGGCGGAGCTAGAGCGACGGGCCTCGGTCGCGTCAGTCGATACTTTCCAGCAGGCGCGCACTTTGTTCAACGATTTCGATGGCGTACATTTCACACCGCTGGAGCGTGGGGTATCCGGTCGACAGGTCCCCTTGGACCGTCCGCCACTTGCCCGCAACCAGGAGTCATACAAAGAGCCAAGGATGGGAGAGGACATGGTGTACTATCCCGCTCCAGTTCCTCGCATGTTGAACCTCCCCCCCGAAGCTGTCTCGCAGGACCAATATTGACCGCGACAAACGTCGAACGCAAATTGCCGGTGCCATCGCCGCCGAGGATAGAAAACCCACCGTCCCTGCTGAGCAGCAAAGCCCAAGCAGCAGCCAGAACGAGAAGCGCAAATCCACAGTGCCACCGCATTTGCGCGCAAGTGTGTTCTTTGAACAACCGAGTTCGTCCCTCCACGTTCAGATGAAGCAAAATTCTGCGGTTGCAACCCTGGAGAGTATTTTGGACGCATCCGCCAATGCACCTGTCTCAGCTTTCACCGATCACCCTTACGCCGGCCATCTCGCGTCTCAGGCGAACAAGTCTAAACATAAGAGTTCGAATTCCCGGGCCACTCTTGGTCAGCCCACCAGTGCCAGCGACGAAGTCGAGAACGACGATGCTGTGACCGTGCACCATCAATCGGAAGCGGGGCCTGGGAACCAACATGACCGTGACCATGACCACGGTCACGAGTCGGGAAGCACGGGGTCGGAGACTGACGAGCAATTGTCAGAAACTCACGACGAAGATGAGGAGGAACTGGACTACGTCAGCCCACCAAACACTTTGCTCGCCGAGCTGGAGTTGCGAAAGCATGAATTGAAACACCGACGCCGCACCGCAGTCCCTGTACCATTCCAAGGCATGCAGACTACGTTGCTTCAGATGGACGAGAAGGCCCAGCAGCAAAGTGACAAACGGCGACTGCGTCCGATTGCCTTGGCCTGGGAAAGCCGAGACGACGACGAAGACGTTCCTCTAGGAATGCTTTACCAGAACCAAGGGGCTCCCCACCCGGAGGATCGCCCGTTGGGTTTGATGGAGAAGCGACAACAGGAAGAAAACGAGCCACTGAGCTCGCGCAGGGCTAGGCTGCGGGGTGAACCCATTCCGCAGCCGCAGCCACGCCCTACCACAGTCGATATGGGCCGTCCCCCAGACTCGGCTCCAGATCCAGCTGCGGATAGTGGGGACGAGATCGAGACAATGGCCGAGCGCCTCCAGCGATTGAAAGGGCATACTCGATCGGAGAGCGTGTTCGCCAGTGAGCTAATGGCTGAGATCGATACCCGGGCTGGCATCGTGCCCACAATCACCCAGACGGCACCAGAAATCAACGAAGAAGAAACGCTAGCCCAGCGCCGCAGCCGTCTCCAGAAAGAAGCCGCTACCACGCTCGAGCCCCCTAAGCCACGGGTACGAAGAAGCATGGCTGCGCTCACGCAAGGCCGCCCCTCTCATCTCGCTCACCAACCTTCGCATGATTTCTTGGCCCAGCGACCCGTTACTATGTCTCAATACGGGCACCGTATGTCCATGCAGCATTTCCCTTCAAATGCAGGATACCCGATGGCGACCGGCTACCCAATGGGGCAGCAATATGGTTACCCAGTTATGCACCCGTCCGGCTATCCCAATAACCCTGCCATGATGGGCATGTCAATGGGCCACAACCCTAACATGGCCCGGCACTCAGTTGCCCAACTTGAACCCGATGTGATCGACCGATGGAGACAGAGCATCCGTTGAGTCATCTCGCTTCTTTCCCTTGTTATCTTCTATGTTTTGCATAGCATATGGTCGTTCTGAGCGTGCTATTTTGATTCGAAGGATATCCATGTAGAATATTTGTATTGATTTTATAGAAAGGATTGCATTCTCACACCATTAATAGACTCAATTGAAGTATAAAAGTGATGTAAGTAGCCGTCAAGTATGTGACGCGATATTGTAGATGGGCCCAGAACTACACGCGAGGCGGAGAGACAGTGTAACCCGTTTGAGCCGTTACCTCCACTTGGTTCTTTGCTTTTTAGAAATGCTTTGATATCATTGCTTTAACCACCCACCGAGTCTGAGGTTGACAAAAAAAGAGAAACGAGAAAAGAAAAAGCGAAGTGAAGTGAAACAACCGTTGATGCTCAAAGCGGCTCACAGCCCCCACGGTCCTGTTATTTCTGGTATGTGAGACGGGCCTCTTTGTCGACACCCCTCCGCAGTTGACGACAACTGCAATGGACCATCACGCCCCCTCATAATTTCCTCGGCAAACCCTGGCGCTGCGAGGACTGCATATTAGCGCAAAAAATGGCGCCGTCAACTGTCTTTTCCTACTGGCGCCGAGACCATCGGCGCTCGTCAGCATCACCAGCTACGTTGGCCACGTCCTCACCATCCTCAAAAGGGGGAAACGGAACACCGATAAGCAGTCCGCCACAAATACCGGAGATCGTCGGTACCCCCAAGTTGACCACCACCTTCAGCGGTCGCCCCTCCCACGATGAATCTTCCTCAATCGACTCGCCGCTGGAGCTCGACGCCTCGAAGCTGAACATTAGCTCATCAGCAGCGCCTCTTTCCTCTTCTCTCACGCTCGCCGTACCCACACCAGCATATGACAAAGGCAACCGCCCTCACTCGAGTCCCGGCGACTGCGAGGGAGAACACTCCACATCCCAATTGAACAACCCACAAACACCGAGCGTTGGTCTGCACTCCGATCAAGGGGACGGGGAGTCGAACCACAAATCCAGCTCGCCTTTCAGACGTTCCTTTGGAAAACAGAAACGTTCGCCGACTGCGGCAGCGGGATCGGGCCATTTCCGATTCAGGACCTCCCCAGAGGATTCGCCAGCAGATAAGCAAAGCATGCCGAAGGACTTCAAGGTGGAAAGCAGCGCTACGGCTATGAAGCGCGCCGGAGATCGCGATGCGTCTGGGGAGCAGTCACATCATAAGTCAGGCAAAGCCATGCTTCATCTCTTGAACCCGATGTCTCTACTTGCGCGCAGACGATCCGCTCAGATTGTCAACTCCCGCGCAGAAGACGTCAAAATCACAAACCGCAATGTCCCAGCTATGCCAGATGATTATGATCCTCGCATCCGTGGTAAAATCATTCATGACTTCTCAGCACCTCGACCTCGTCGGAATGTTTCCGCCACTCGGCCAGAGTCTACTGCACAATATACGTCGAGCTCGCAAATGCCTAGTAACCCACACAGGTCTTCCTGGAATGACCAGAGCAGACCACAGAGTGATCGTTCACCTGTCTTCAAGGAACACTTCGAGGATCAGAATGTTCTACAGCCTGAAAATAAGGGATATCTCCAGTCCTCTCTATTGACAAGTCAACACCAACCTGGCCAAGAAAATTCTTTGCCGGTTTTTGCCAGAAATTTACCTTCTCACCTACCTGAACAAAACAACGAACCTTCACCGCATGCAGAGCAGCCTGAGCCTGAGGTGATGGAGGTATCAAGCGTTCCGGAACCAAAACCTGAGGCAGATACAGAACATCAGGATCAAGATACCATTCCCCACGCCCCATACAACTCCTCGGGTCTACCAAGGCATCTCAAGAGCAATGCTTCTCGCTTTAGCTTTGATATGAGTGGAGTGGAATCCTCCACACAGGAGAAAATGCTGGAAGAGAAACACAAGGCCAAAGAGGCTTGTCGCAAAGTGGAAGATGGGTACTTTGATGACTTTGATGACGACTTTGACAACGATATGCTGGATGATTTGGATGGTCTCGAGGAAAAGATTCCGGGTGTCAACGTGGACGCAGATGATGATGACTACGATTATTCTTCCATTTCCGCCAATATAAACGATGCAGCGAAGTCGTGGGCTATACCGGGGCTGTCGCCTGTAGTCGCGAGCCCAATCACACCTGCGCCGCCAAATCAAACTAATACCTCATACTTTGAACCTGTTGCACCAGTGAATGAAACCATCCCATTGGAGAACGAGCAACCTGGCCAAGAACAGGACCTTGTTTCTTCTACAACCACACCGCAGACACAGGCAGCTGCCAATCAACACTCGCAAGTTCTTGACGATGATGACGAACTCTACTTCGACGATGGCGAGTTTGGAGATCTTGATATCAACGATGAAACTGGAGAGTTTGATGAGAACATTTTCGACGACGTGACAAGCCATCTATACGATCGAAAAACGGTCAATGCTCCTGCAGCACCTCCCGCTGATGACCGCATCCATGGCGATAACTCGCCAGGGAGGGAGAGCTTTACGGCCGAACCGGGAGATCATGGGCTGAAGCATATGACTAGTGTAGCCAGTGATCATCGGGCCGTTGGCTCTATCAAACGTGGTCCCCTTGGTGAGCCAATACCGAACATGGGCCCTTCCCGTGCCCATGGCGGCGTGCTCACTGAACAAAACTTGGATCTTCTGCACAATGCCCTAGCATTCGCGGCCAGCGAATTTAACCAGGGTGGGCGCTTTGATCGAACTTTTAGCACAAGCGAACGATCCCAAGGACAAGACAGCGCAGGCCAGGCATCACAGACTCTGGATGCGCAACCGGGCTTGGTCTCCGACGAAAGCCGAGTCAGCCAATCCGCGGATCACATGGGGTTCGAAGATGTTTTGGACGATGGCCTGTACGATGACTTCGATGACTCGTATTTTGATGATGCTATTGTTGCCGCTGCCAACGCAGAAGCTCTCGAGAACGACGACGATGGGTTCTACGGTCAGGAGTTCGGCTTTTACGCGCATGCAGACAACAGCGACAGCTCCGAACTGACCAATGGAGGTTATTTTGGCCCTCGGCGCGTTGAAGGCATCACACGCAACCACAGTAGCAGTCGAAAGTTCCAAGAGCCTAGCCTGACACCCATCACTGAACGCAGTGAGTGGAGCACTCGGAACTCCATGATCTCGCTGAAGGCCCACGGAGCTACCCACGGAGCTACCCACCCCAACTCAGCCTTGGCAAGCCCCGGCCTAGCCCAACTTGTCGACATGGGTAATCTCGATGATGAAATGTCACTTAGCGCACTCATGAAACTACGACGAGGAGCTTGGGGTGGCAGCAATGGCAGTCTGCGCAGCAGTGCTGGTAGCCCACCGCAGACGATGTCTCCATCTCACCGTACAAGCTTCACTGGTGCTGAGGCTAGTCCGACTGTCGCTGACGCGAAGCTTTCCTTTCCTGACGAAGGGCCTACGAGTGTCGGATACTTCCGTGATGACGGCCATTCACGTACGGCATCCCCGCTGCCCGGGCGAAATGCCGATCTCCCGACCAGCGGAATCACCAGGCCGACAGCTGCCACCGATCTCAGCCAAGTGCCGGTCGCTGGAAGCGAACGTCTGAACGTTTTGTAGCATGATTTGAATCTCCTACTTAGCCATTTTCTGATGTTTCATATCTTGCATATGTTCTTGTTTCTTTTTTACGGCGACTTCGCATTTTCACGCTGTCATGTATACCCAACTGTCGTTTCTATGTGTATCAAATACTTGCTTTGTCCATTGACTGCTATAGATGTTAATATAATTGGACTCGTATATAGTGAACGCAGATTTCCACAGCTTCAAACAGGCTCAAACAGGCTCAGACAGGCCTCAACAGACTCCAACCAGACTGAGACATGCTCCGAGATCTATGAATAATGGGAAACCCCTTTAGTGCAATTGGGCCGAAAATTCCCGCAGAGAACCCGAAATGCTTTAGCCGGGCTGAGGAGGTGTGGCTCGTTCGGGCGCTTCCAAGGCTACGTCGGCTGTGACTCGGGCTGACTCAGCGCACCAGCCTCATTCCCTGCTCTGCCGCGAGAGCCGTCATTCTCGGCAGCTTTCCTTTTGCGCTCTTCTCATCTCTCTCCTCTCCCCACATTTTCTTTTTTCCATCTAGAGAGTTTTAGCTCTCTGATGTGTTCCGATTCTATACAGGTGCTACGGCAAAACTAGTCGACACCTGTCTCGTCACCTAATTCGTACGTCTACCTTACCGATCCTTTCCTAGGACTTCCGGTGTCCTCGGCAGAGATATAACAACCTGGCAATATCAGGCTGACATCATTGAACTACAGCAAATCGACCCTTAGACGTCTGATTTTGGTCTTCAGATCAACGAACTAGTGTCCCATCTTTCCATCCATTCTTCTCATAATCAACCCGAACTTCGTTGGACTTTGTATCCACGAAAAATCCCGCAATGTTTAGAAACACTGCCTCCAAGGCCACCCACAGCGGTATGCTGCGCGGTGTGACCTCCACAACCCGCCGCTCTATTCACCTCGCCACAAGTGCTCGCAGCGCCTCAAAACGCTCCGGCTTCAGCATGAGCACCCGCCGGCCTCTTGCTGTCGTCGACCGCGCTTTCAACGGCGTCCGGTCCTACGCGGCTTCTCAGGGAGTGGTAAGCATTAGCATCCTATAATACATCAGCTTTAATCCAATTCGGGTTCCTGCTGAGAGAGCACTGGGCATTCGACTGACGCGACGGCGCATTTGCGCTTTCACTTATAGGACCCCAACGACTCCTTCCTCACTGGCAGCACTGCCAACTATGTCGATGAGATGTACGTCGCATGGAAGAAGGACCCCTCAAGTGTCCACATCTCGTGGCAGACTTACTTCAAGAACATGGAAGATGGCAACATGCCCATCTCCCAGGCTTTCACTCCTCCTCCCACTCTCGTCCCTACCCCTACCGGTGGTGTTCCCCAGGACATGCCCGGTGCCGGTCTTGACAGTGGCGCGGATGTGACCAACCACTTGAAGGTTCAGCTGCTCTGCCGTGCCTACCAGGCCCGTGGTCACCACAAGGCCAAGATCGACCCTCTCGGTATCCGTGGAGAGGCCGAGGCCTTCGGGTACGACAAGCCCAAGGAGCTCGAGCTGGACCACTACGGTTTCACCGAGCGTGACCTGGACCAGGAGTTTGCTCTTGGACCCGGTATCTTGCCCCGTTTCATCACCGACAGCCGCAAGAAGATGACCCTTCGCGAGATCATCGATGCCTGCGAGAAGATCTACTGTGGCTCCTACGGTGTTGAGTACATTCACATCCCCGATCGCAAGCCTTGCGAGTGGATCCGTGACCGATTCGAGATCCCCCAGCCCTACAACTACTCGGTTGACGACAAGCGTCGCATCCTCGACCGTTTGATCTGGTCTTCCAGCTTCGAGTCTTTCCTCGCTACCAAGTTCCCTAACGACAAGCGTTTCGGTCTCGAGGGTTGCGAGACTCTGGTCCCCGGTATGAAGGCCCTGATTGACCGCAGTGTCGACTACGGCATCAAGGACATCGTCATCGGTATGCCTCACCGTGGTCGTCTCAACGTTCTGTCCAACGTTGTCCGCAAGCCCAACGAGTCCATCTTCAGTGAGTTTGCTGGCTCCACCGAGCCCTCCGACGAGGGTTCCGGTGATGTCAAGTACCACTTGGGTATGAACTTCGAGCGTCCCACTCCTTCCGGAAAGCGCGTGCAGCTGTCTCTGGTTGCCAACCCCTCCCACTTGGAGGCTGAGGACCCCGTCGTCCTCGGAAAGACCCGTGCCATCCAGCACTACAACAACGACGAGACCCACTACGACTCCGCCATGGGTGTTCTGCTGCACGGTGACGCCGCCTTTGCTGCCCAGGGTGTTGTCTACGAGACCATGGGATTCCACTCCCTTCCCGCCTACTCCACCGGTGGTACCATTCACCTTGTTGTGAACAACCAGATTGGTTTCACCACCGATCCCCGTTACTCGCGTTCCACCCCGTACTGCTCTGACATCGCCAAGTCCATCGACGCTCCCGTTTTCCACGTGAACGCCGATGACGTTGAGGCTGTCAACTACGTTTGCCAGGTCGCTGCCGACTGGCGTGCCGAGTTCAAGCGTGACGTTGTCATTGACATGGTCTGCTACCGTAAGCAGGGTCACAACGAGACCGACCAGCCTTCCTTCACCCAGCCTCTCATGTACAAGCGCATCGCTGAGCAGAAGGCTCAGCTCGACAAGTACGTTGAGAAGCTGATTGCTGAGGGCACCTTCACCAAGGAGGACATCGATGAGCACAAGAAGTGGGTCTGGGGAATGCTCGGCGACAGCTTCGACCGCAGCAAGGACTACCAGCCCACCGGTAAGGAGTGGCTCACCTCTGCCTGGAACAACTTCAAGTCTCCCAAGGAGCTTGCCACCGAGGTCCTGCCTCACCTTCCCACCGCTGTCGGCGAGAAGTCCCTCCAGCACATCGCTGACAAGGTCAGCGGCTCCGGTGCCCCTGATGGCTTCGAGCTCCACCGTAACCTCAAGCGTATCTTGAGCGGTCGCAAGAAGGCCGTTGGTGAGGGTAAGAACATTGACTGGGCTACCGCTGAGGCTCTTGCCTTCGGTTCCCTCGTCGACGAGGGTTACCACGTCCGTATCTCCGGACAGGATGTTGAGCGTGGTACCTTCTCTCAACGCCACGCTGTTCTGCACGACCAGCAGACTGAGCGCACCTACACTCCCCTGAAGCACATCAGTGACAAGCAGGGTAGCTTCGTCATCTCTAACTCCTCCCTGAGTGAGTTCGGTTGGTAAGTTTGAAAACAACCTTTTCGCTGTCATGACGCTAATTTATTTTTAGTCTCGGATTCGAGTACGGTTACTCTCTGACCTCCCCCAACGCTCTTGTCATGTGGGAGGCTCAGTTCGGTGACTTCGCCAACAACGCTCAGTGTATCATTGACCAGTTCATCGCTTCCGGTGAATCTAAGTGGCTGCAGCGTTCCGGTCTGGTTGTCTCTCTGCCCCACGGTTACGATGGCCAGGGCCCTGAGCACTCTTCTGGACGTATGGAGCGCTGGCTCCAGCTTTGCAACGAGGAGCCCCGCGTGTACCCCTCTGCTGACAAGCTCGACCGCCAGCACCAGGACTGCAACATGCAGATTGCTTGCATGACCACCCCTGCCAACCTGTTCCACATGCTGCGTCGCCAGATCCACCGCCAGTTCCGCAAGCCCCTGGTGATCTTCTTCTCCAAGTCGCTTCTGCGTCACCCCATCGCTCGCTCCGATATTGAGGCTCTGAGCGGTGACTCTCACTTCCAGTGGATCATCCCCGATGAGGGCCACGGTACCACCATCGATGCTCCCGAGAAGATCGAGCGTGTCGTCCTTTGCTCAGGCCAGGTCTACGCTGCCCTGATGAAGCACCGTGAGGCCAACGGTATCCGCAACACTGCCATCACCCGTGTTGAGCAGCTGCACCCCTTCCCCTGGGCTCAGCTCAAGGAGAACCTTGACAGCTACCCCAACGCCAAGAACATCGTCTGGTGTCAGGAGGAGCCCCTCAACGCCGGTGCCTGGTCTTACGCCCAGCCCCGCATTGAGAGCTTGCTGAACGCCACCGAGCACCACAACCGCCGCCACGTCCTCTACGCCGGTCGTGCTGGCAGCGCCTCCGTCGCCACCGGTCTCAAGGCCGTCCACCTTAAGGAGGAGCAGGAGTTCCTGGAAGATGCTTTCTCCATCCACCAGGAGCGCCTCAAGGGCGAGTAAATGTGCATCTAGCACACTGACTCGACCATTTTTTGTCGAAGATGTATCTGCCATCTCCCCCGGACACTTGCATTAAGTTGGGTTTCTTATATTCATCGGCTCTCTTAGAAGCTAGCGTCTAATCCCTGTTGTACCACCCCCTTTTTTTGTATTCATTTGAGTTTGTGTTTATCAACGTGTTCTGGGTTCATAGCCTAGCCTTGGATGAAGTTCGGGGACCTTGTCTTTATCTAGAACCGTCTTATATGTAAAATACAAAGAATTGTTGATTTGTGCAAGCCATGTTCAATTGTGTAGATTATTTCTTGGTCTCTACTCACCTGTCCTCTCTTGATCTTTAGAAGTCTTTCATGATGTACCACGCCGAAAGTTTAGTTACCTCTTCGCCTGCTATTTTTTTTATGCTGCCTTGCCAATTGTATTTGTGTTCCAAAGCGATGATACCGAGTATATGACCAAGTAGCAAGCTACATTAGTATAGAAAAACAGAGGCTTGAGAAATGACGTACTTTCATCCTGCATTATTCAGCGCATGTATGCCTCACATTCCTGGCGGCAATCTCACCTGATCCGATCACTCTTTCTCCGCACTCAAACTTGCTAACAGTACTTGCGTCCACGTCGTTTCCCTTTAGTTGCTAGACGAGGTATTGACTCTTGTGCATGGTCTGAGGCTACATCCAAACACCATTGTCGTTTCTGATCCCATTGAATCACACCCAATCTGGGCTCGGCCCTCTCCATTCCTCCAACGGCGCAGCAGCTCCAGCTCCCACTCCCACTCCCGACTCTACCCTTCACCATGTCCGCCGTCTCCGCGTCAGCCATGAACCCCCAGGGCCAGGGAAGTCGACAATCAGCCCGCCAAACGCGAACCAACCCCTCTCGGACTTCAAAAACCGTTGGACGGTCGTCCTTCGCGTTCGGCCGCGGCTCGACTACTGAAATTCCTGAATCATCCCCTGCACCCCACGGTTTCTATCCTGCTCTAACGCATTTCACTGATGCTATTACCGCGCTTCCACGCGAGTTCCGTCGTCACAACTCTTTACTCAAGGAAGTTGATGCAAAAGCGTGGGCCTTGGAGGAAAATTTACTCCAACTACTTCAACTTTCTTCCGAGTCACAGCCTGTTCCTCACCCTCCTCACCCGGCCCCCATCGCCGGGGGTGTGGTTCGTGAGGATGTTCTGCCAAAGGTAATAAATGCCCCAAAAACATTTCTTTTAAATGGTTCTAACGTCTTCGCAGGAACTCCCTCAGTCCCCGGAATCCGCCGAAAGCAAAAGTCGCCGGCTCCTTTTTGATCGCGTACGACAAAGCCTCTCCGACCTGATGATGACCGCAGACGAGAAGAATCACGTTATCTCAAACGCGAATGAAGAGCTAGACCGCCAGGTCATTCGCTTGGATACGGTTTTCCCATACATCGCGGGCGAGATTAGCGAGGAAGCTCGTCTGGGCAGTCTGACGCACTGGGCATACTCCAACAAGAGTGCCGCCAAGGCAGCGACCAACGAGCGTCCACGCCGGGAAGCAGTCGCACACAGGCAAGATTTATCGCATGTGCTTCACGAAGCTGAAGCCGCCAGCCGCAGCGAGGCGCGCCGTGATGCTGTCATGGCACGGAAGCAACGTCGGGCACATGTTGACGCAGACTATGAGGAGACTCGGGGTTCTGGTGCGCGCAAGACCGCCAATGGCAAAGCACGGGGCGGTGATCACGCCGACCCGAACGCTGCTCCCAAGCGTCGCAAGGTGGAGCGACCACCGTTGCCGGTGGACGTCAGTGTCCCAATGGAACGAACTGCTAGCGGCGCTACCAGCCAACGCGCTGCGAACAAAGACACAGCGGAAAAGAAGCGCACTCGCGCGCCGAACCCGACTGCCGCTGCGCGCAAGAAGTATGCTCCAGTCTCCACCTCTCACCGTCACTTTCAACTAACTCTTTCTACCCTAGGGCTAATGCTTCCAATGCTGGATCGCCCGTTCTGGCTCCATCCCCTCTGGTTGGCACATTCAACGCTCCTCGTGGTGCCGCCAGTCCAGGGCCCAGTAATTCGAGACCGCAATCTTCACGTGCCCAGCAAAATGCGGGCGTAACAAGCAACGCGCGCGCCCGGCCATCGTCTTCGGCCTCAAACCGCCCTAACAGCAGTATGCCATCTCAATCAGCTTCCCCGGACCTCTTCATTAACTATATCCCCCGCACAGACAAACTCAACGACCCCAGATCTACACCCCGGGACGGACCCGTCAAGAATGAACTTGTCAACCACGAGACACATCGTGAATATGATGACTATCATTCCAGAACCTCCGTTCCAGCAGGCTCCAAGCGTGAGGATCTGGATCGGAAGGCTGGTTCTGTCGAGGCCGACACCTCCAAGGGCCGTAATTCGAAGACATCTACCCCGGTGCTTTCGGCATTTGCAGAGCCAGGACCGCGTGCCCGGCCCACGCGAAGCCAGGACCCGTCCACCAAACGCACTCAGAAGAAACCCATTCCCCAGCCCACAATACCCTCTGACGACGAATCACTCCACGAGGGTGACGACGAAGACGAAGAGGGTGAGCCACGATACTGCTATTGTAATGAGATCAGTTTCGGAGAGATGGTCGCTTGTGATAACGATGCCTGTCCACGTGAATGGTTCCACCTGTCGTGTGTCGGGTTGACGAAACCACCTGGAAAGAACGGTATGTTTGGTCCTCGTCGACATGTCGCGATCATACTAACACGTCCCAGTTAAATGGTACTGCAATGAGTGCAAGGACAACATGCGAAGGAGTCGCAATGGGCGGTGATCAACGATATAGACACGGTCCTCTCACTTCATACACAACACTAGCGTTAATGCCTCACGCCTTTTATCATTATGTCTCTCATGTCTGACATGACCAAATGTATGGTCCAAAGCTTCTCATTTCCCACACAGCTATGCCAGATAGCATGTACAATAACAAGCCTGCCTTTTCTACAAAACACGCCTCAATCTATCCACAAGCCCATTCCCTTCGCCGGCTCCCCGCCTTTGAGCCTGCCCAGACGCCTCCATCCCAGAAGCCGTAGCAACCTCCCCTTCCATCCTCCGCCTCAAATCCTCATACCGTTCCCTCTCCCCAGACCCAGAAGGCCCAGCCCTACGCTCCTGCTCCCCAACCACCCACGCCGGAACCCTGAACCCGGAGCTCCCGCTCGACAGCCCAGGTAGTAACTCCGCACGCCACGCCACGCCAACAGTCCACCCCACCGCAGCCGGAAGTAGCATAGCCGGGAACTGCGAGAGCGCCAGTTGCGACGCGACGATGTACGTAGTCGATTTATCAGAGAGGAGAAGTGTCAAGCTCGGAGTCCGCTTCGAATGCCCTTCCGCACCGTCATTTGCGTCTGCGTCTGCGCCCGCATCCTTTGAAGAACTAGTCCCAACGCTGTATCGGAATGTATACGGAATTGTGGCGTGGTACTGTGCCAGCAGAGCGAAGATGATCGACGTTGGGCCGGAGGGAAGGTAATTCAAGTTATTGAACGAGACAGGGCGAAGGATTGTAAGCAAGAGCGGTGGAAGTAGAGACGTGTATGGTAATGTAGTGAGGATGAAAGTCTAGCATTGTCATCAGTATTGCAAGTTTCTCAGTATTCTCAATTCTCAAATCGCATGTAAACGAACCGCCATCTTCCGCTTTCCCCATGCACGCTCGACGACTCGCATATGGTAAGCTAGCATTGCGGCGAAGAGGGCTTCGGTGGAATTCGCGAACCCGACTTGCCATGCTAGCGCGCGCCAGAATTGGGCATATGGCCAGAAGTGAGGTGAGATGTGGATTACGGCCAGGTACTTGATGTCGAAGATTGAGAGAACGACGGCTGAGGCGATTGTGTATATTAAGAGGACTTTGGTGATAGGTGTGTTCGTTAGGCCGGAGGTGAGCATTTTGGCCTCTGGTGTTGGAAGTGGTGTTTCGTTCAGGTTCAGGTTGAGGGGCCAGTTGGCAAAGTGGGTTTGAACAAGTCCGGGGAAGTTCGGCATGCCGACTGTTTTGGCTACGTAATCTCAGATCTACACATGTGCAGCCGTGGAAGGATAGAAAGTCTTTGGATTGTCCATGTATTTCTTTGTTAATGCCAATTATATGATGATTTTTAGACGGCCAGTGCAGCAGCTTCCTGGGTCTGTTTGCTTAATTCTGTCTGGTATTGGGCGGTTGCAACTTCCAGAGCATGAAGCGTCGGTCCTAGAAGTTGGTTGACAACCTTCTCGCCACCTTCAACGCCTTCTAGGTTGACACGTAGCTTTCGTCCAGTGCTCTCGTACACTTCACGAGCGTGCTTCTTGAGTCGATCGACTTCGACTTTGCGTTCGGCCTCGGCGTCATTGGCGACGGCCTTGATGCGCTCCATTGCTCGCTGGAGAGACTCTGCGAGCGATGCGACTTCGCCGGCACGATCGGGGTCTCCGGAGAGGAATGCCTGCCAGAACTGGTGGAGGAATTCAGTGGTAGTAGCGTGTGTCAAGGTCAATCGGTCAAAGAGTGCGATGGATAGGCCTTGTGTTTCCGATGTCGTCTTCTCATTCATTTGAGCACGGCGGTCGCGCACAGCCTCGAGTATTTGACCGAGTGCATCGTGGAGGGCAGCGGATGACCCAACAGGTCGGTTGATGGCAGGTGCGTCTTCCATTTCTTCATCTTCATCATCGCCAGGGTCGACGAGTTTGCCGAGTTGAGTATTTCCTTGCGATGGGAGGTTCTGCGTGATCTCTGCGCGGAGCAATTGCAAAATCTGATCTGGATCTTTCTGCTCAACTTGCTTGGTTTGGTCCCCTTCCTGGCCGTGAGCGAAGAAACGACTTTGGTCGCGTATGTTCAGCGTAATGCGGCTTTGCTCTTCGTCGCCGCGCAGATCTTGCAGCTGTAATTTTTTCCAATCTTCTTCGTTGAGGCCTATAGGGGCACTTGCGTCGCCATCGGCAGGTGCAACGTTGGCCATGATTTTCTCACTCAGGCTGTTCAAAGTGCGGATGATAGGTACTTTATCCATCCCCGAGGGTCTCATGTCAAGATCAGGTCGGTTTCCGCGACGCTGGCTGTTATTCCCTTCATTACCAGCCAAGTCCAAGAAGCTGTGAATATTCGAGTCCCTGCCCGGTCCGGACCCCTCGTCGTTTCGAAGGTATTTGTCCAAAACGACATCGGTCGCATCTGCTTCGGAGATACGCTCTCCGCGCAGCTTTTTAAACAGTCGACTCTGGAAGAACCGAGACCAAAACTGCTGCTCACTCAGCTTCGGCACATTCTCATCGTACACGCGCTTGACCAGAGGGTGCTGCGTGAAAATGAGCTGAATCTGCTCTTTGCTGATATTCAATCGCGTCACGTTGTCTTCAACCCGAGGCTTGAGCGATGACAAAACATTGTATGAGCCGCGGGTCTGGCCCTGCTCAATGGCATGGGCTCGCAGAAGGTGCAGTCGCGTTGACCAGAACTGGGACACGAATGCACCGGACGATAAAGCCTCTGGTTTTGTATGTAGACCCTCGAAAAACATCTTCTGCAGATTCGCATCGGATCTCAATAGCGATTGCTGCAGCTCCACATCGCCTCGTAGTTTCTTCTCATCGTCTAGTGGGTTCGTAGCGGTCCCCGCAGATGTCACGGCATTTGCAATCGCCATCGCCGCCGACAGCTCGGGTCCTCCACTAGGCGCCGGCGTCTGGGAGGGTGTGGCTGACTTGGCAGAGTTGACCCGAGCACTGAGCGTGTCCTTGATTATATCGGCTTGAGCTCGGGCGTCCGCGCCAGCTGTGAACTGGAAGGTGTATGCCTCGGGGGCAGTTCCTGGAGGCGCATCTGGGGCCAGTGCGAAGATTTTGAGCATGACCTTTGGGTTTCCGGCGGGGGTCTGCTGCAGGTCTGGTAGAGGATTAGCAAGAGCTGTATCGAGGGCTAGGAGGACTGCATACTGGTGATACTGGTGACGGTAATAGTGATTGTTTTCGCCGCACCTGCAGCGGTCGGATTCCATGAGACCGAGCGCTCGTCCGCAGAGATGGCTAGGGTGCCATCTTTCTTTTTGTAAGAGGCCGCGCCGCTCGGAGGTGACATGGTCGCGTGTGTTGGCAGCTTCCACTGTCCTGAGAGGCGACGACGAAACCACCCATCGGGAGACTTATTTCCCCAAAGGCGAGGGCTGGCGAAGATCCAAAACCTTCGTGACAAGTAGAATGCAGAGAGGTGATAATGAGAAGATGCGGCTCATCTGAGCATTGTCACATGATCGATGCCAAGCGTCACCCGGAAGCCAAGCCCTAAGTTGGGCTATCGAGTGCACTTGTATATTGCGAACGACGGAAGTTGAAAGCTGGATCAAAGGTCGTTATTAACATTGCTACAGCTTAAATATTACAAGTATCGGGATAAAAGTTTTACAGAAGGTGGGAGTAAATAACTAAGAGTAGAGTGATATAAAGCAAGTAGATACAGGAACGCCAGTAATGTGAGCAAACCGACCTAAGACTGAAAGAGATAGCAAAAAAATCAAGAGTCACGATCGCAATGACACCGCTGAAAGATGCCAGATGCTATGCAAAACCAAAAGACAAAACGCGACCGAGAGCACGAACCCGAAGCCATAAGCCAGAATGCCGTATTCGTAAACCATGTTGCGCGCCGCCATGCATAGACCGGATATCATCATTCGTAAAGCAAAAAAAGATGAGCAAAAATAAACCACCCAAAAAAAGAAACGCAAGTAATGCAAAAATCAAGGGTATCGGCAAAGAGAAAAAAAGATCCAGCGGGCACGCTTTTCTCAAGATAGAACGCTGATGCAGATCATTTTTTGAACATGTAGTGGCCATAGAGGCCACCGACATCGCCAACCACCATGGGAATCTTACGCGATCCCCACCAGCGGGCGCCCATCTTCCAGTAGCGGGCGCCATCATCGAGCGGCTCATTAGGCATAGAAGCCGGGTCGCGAACGTACCAGCCGCGGCGGCCCAGGTCACGCACGGTCCAACCGACCGAAACGCGCTGGGTCTTCGCCCGCTCGCGCAGAGGGGTGATGATCTTGTCGCTGAATTCGACAACCTGAAGCGGGTAGCTCTGGTTTGCGAGGAGAAGACAAGTGCTCGTATTGAAAATGGCTCCAATGGTCATCTGCGGGACCTTGGCGAGGTCGAGGTAGCAGAGGGTGCTAGGGGTGTTGATCTCCTCTCCCGTGGCGGGGTTGCGGTAGCTGGCGAAGAACGAGTTGACGTCCGTCACGGACAGGTCGGCGGAGCTGAGGCCAAGTTCCTCCAGATGCTTGGTTAGGGGGACCAAGAATGGGACGTGGTCAGAGGTAACCTTGGCTCCTCCAAGGTTCAGGGACCGCAGGGTGCTGGGAAGCTTGGGGAGCAGGGCGGACACATCAGTCTCCTCCAATAGACGGAATCGGGTTGGGTCAGTCATAAGATTGAGGTAGACGAGGGATTCGTTGACAGAGGGGTGGTTGGTCAGGAACTCAACCAGCGCGCAGGGGCGAAGACGGGTGCACCGGGACAAGCTCAGGTGGGAGATGCGAGCAGTCTCAGGGATAGCGGCAAGAGCGGAGTCGTTCACTTGAGTGTGAGTGAGGTCGAGGTGGGTCAAGTTGACAAGTCGCGAGAGAAGATAGTCGAACATGGGGGCAGGGATGGTGCTGCACTCGTGAAGCGAAAGCCGTTTCAGGCTGGGCAGGGTCATGGGCAACACGGGCCCACCGACCAGGGCTTCCTGGAAGACTGCAGAGAAGGCCTGAGTCGAGCAGCCGCAGAAATCCACCGCGCGCAGGTTCGGCAGTCCCATAAACAACTTCCTAATGACTTCCGCGCTAATGTCACCTTCCAGATGTTCCTGGAGCAGACATTCCTTCAGGTTGGGGAGGAGTTCCAGGCATTGCAAGAGCGTCTTGGAGGTCAAGTTCTGGATTTCGGAGTTCATCTGCTTGGTGCGACCCAGACCAACAGAGGTGAAGTGCGAGAAATCCAGGCGGCGAACGAGTGTGCCGAGAGCGGGATACTGGGACATGTGGTTGAGTGCCTTCGAGAAAATGATGGAGTGGGGGAAGGTCATGTTTCTGTACAAGACGCCCAGGGTCGCTGCGTGCAAAGTGTGGGAGGTCAAAAGGCACGAGACCAGATCCACGTTTCGGGGCGTGTAGCCATTAGGTGGAAGATCCAGCGCGAGGTTAGAAATGATTTGGTCTATGAAAGTTAGCTATGCGGGAGCAGAGCGGGAAAGGCTCGTCTTACCGAGGACCTCTGGGGGAAGCTTCTCCAAAGGTGAAGTGCCAGGAGGAGTCTGCATCACCTCCTCTACCGGAGGCTCAGGGACTGGAAGAGTCTTGGGGGTCTCATCGTGGGATTCCCACGCCCAACCCTTTGCCTGGGCCGCACCTAGCCCACGCAGATCACTGTAGCTGCGGCTCAAGCTCTTGCCGCCCAGCCGAATCTGCTTCCAGCCCAGAAATCCACCGCACGGGCAGCAGAAATCCGGGGCCTGCATCCCAGGACGCTCGAGTTTGCGCTCTTGATTTTCTTGAGGCGGCGGAGATGGGGCTTCGTGGGTGTCAACGAAGGATTGCGCAATTCCTGAGTCAAGTCATGTCAGCCCTATTCAAAATCTGCTGGATACACGCGGTACACACCGTCTTCTGTGTCCTCTTTGACGGAGCCGAAGGATGGACGACGCTGACTACTCGATCTGGACCCGTCGGGGGTGCTGCAGGGAGAGGGGGAGGAGTCGCGTGAGTGAAAGTGATCACCACAGGGGATTGAAGAGAGTCGCGGGAAGGCCGGCTTCTGGGGGGCAGTCACGGAGGCCATGTTGAAAGAGCAGCGGCCCTCTATAAAGGGCCCGAGGTGTACGACTAGTCGGCAGGTACCTTGGAGCAGCCCACACAAGACACAAAAAAAGTCTATCGAATTTTAATATAGAGGTCCAGATTCCCACGGTGCAGGGGAAAAAAGATCGGGTTCGGTCAATAGAAAGGAGTTGTTCGACCGAGTGGAAGGAGATTTAGGGCTCCCTCCCAGAGGGGCCGGCGGGGGAAAAAAAAAAAAGGCGAAGCTGTTAGTCACGGAAACGGGTTTGTTGCACAACGCCTACACGAGGTAGACACTTTGGTACGGAGGTGTCTTTCGGAGTAGTCTGGCTATGGCTTGAAGTGTTTCAGTTGTGGTTAGAGTAGTTGAATGAGCGAAGTTGAGTCAAAGAGGCAAAACTGCATGGGTCATGGCCACATGGGGGCAAATCTCTCTTATTTTGATTTTACTTTATTTCCCCGACGCAGTACTTCTTCTATTATCATCAAATATTTGAATATTGAAAAAGTAATAAGAAAATAATTAAACTATTTAACTACTTTCTGTTTTTCACTAGCCCTCCCATTTTTATATATAGAATTGTGCAACAGCCCGGATCTAACATCTAAACTGATTAAGTTCGCGAGCTACCCCTGCAGACCCCGGTGCTTTTTTCTGCATATGGACGTCACTGGCCGCATCCGGGGTTCTTTAGGGACTTTGGAGACTTTGGTTTAAATACGAGTCGAGTACAAAATCAGTGATATTATTGATCACACTTCATACTGGAACCAGAGTGCTGGTACAGAATACGGAGTGACTTTACCAAATTCTTTGTGGATATGGCTACCGTTTTACACTCCGAGACTTTAATTTCTATGACATAATTGCCCCCAATTTGGTCACTTTAGTATGCCAATCTACCCACTGTCCATTGCTTATTATCCTCTCAACCAAATTGACAGGTCAGCAGATATGGATTCCGAAGTATCCGCATACCCCAGACACGGTTCTTGTTACCTAACTATATGCCCAAACCATGCAGCTTGCACCCTCCCCATCCGCTCTAATTCGTCTCTAATTCGTCTCTTAGAGCTGATCATGCGGGGGCAGACGCGCCATTACCTAATGGAAACTCAAATCCCAGTCACATGACGCCATCGACGGTCCGTGTCCCTTGCATCTTGAGATCTCACAATGACGAAGTCAATTCAACAATTTCTCTCTCGCTCTGCTATACTTCGGACCTCTTGCTCCCTACTCCGTATACTTATTTAGCTCCCGAGCTCCTCAGGGTTCCATTCATGTCTTCCAAGGTCGCTTTGTTGGCCAATTGCCCTCTCGGTCATGCTCCGATTGTACACCGACTTTACTGCCTGAGTCTCCAACTCCTCAGCCAAGACTGGGGATCCACGACAACGTGACCGATCGTCCAACCCATCGCTTCGCTAACATTCTCCACCGCACTTTCTTCCCCTCGCCCAGCTCCTGAGAAACTTACCTCCTACATATCTCACAACGCAGTGTGAGTCTCACTCTCGGGCACTCACCTAGAGCAGACCTGCATTCCTAAACTTGCCGAGAAAGGGCTTCAACCCCGAGGAGCATGGCAACTTGTGACATTCCGATGGTCGGCAAAGGCTTCACTCGCCTCGTTTGATGTCGGGGCGACAGCGACAGCGTTACTCAGTCCGAATCCCAAGGCTTGATGTGATGCCAAGTTGACGTCCTTCGAGTCACAAACTGTGGGTGACCTGACCCTTGCCTTCGCCTGCGGTTCAGGGCGCACGGCAGTAGGATTCACTGCATGCCAGCCAAGCCCCGGTCGTGAACACTTTCCCGCGGAATTGAACGCACTGCCAAGCTTCCGGGATTGCCAAGCTAGCTAAGGAGGCGGTGTCGCTGATCCTCCTTGCTCTAGTTTTGGGGCCTTTAAAACTAACGATTCCCAACAATCAGCCTCGTTTTGAGGTCTTGGCATTCACTGCTTGTCAAAGAGACCAGCTGACCAGTGGTATGATCGGTGGCCCAATAGTCGACTGTTCCAGCAGCCTCGCTGAATTTGTGAGTGTCGAACCTCCCTTGCCTTGTGTTTTCACTACATCGCGCATGATCGCGCACAATTTCCGCATGATGCTCGTTTATTAAACGTTTCCTATTACCTGACACCCCATAATTTACTTGGGAATGTTGAAATTATGTGGATACTGAATGGAAATTGGCCATTGCATGATCTTTCAGCATGGTTCATCAATCGCAAACATGACTGCAATCTTTGGAGAACCCACACTGACTGTTCTTGTGGTTTAGATTAACACTCATGCGTATGAACCGATCTATCTTGGCCCTTCGTTAGGTCGCGCGACTTTGACCCCGCCCCATGATAACTGCAAATCGTAAACTCGGTGAGCCGTCGACATTCAATGTATCTGTCGGCAACATGATGCCACATGCATCCCATTCAATATCAGCCCAATGGGGATTACAAGCAGACTAACCATCTAGTCCATATACCGAACTTTTATTACTTTGAAAGACAATCTACATCAAGTCAATGCTCATTCATATACATTCCCTTGTAATCATACAATCCTTTTCTATTTTACCAATAAAGACCGTGGGCAGAGTCGAGTGCAAACACAATGCTCCTTAGTCATGACAAGAATGGGCTGATGATACGAATCAACTCTCCCGATGTTCTGGTGTAGCTAACTGAGTAGTATCGATCTCCAGGACTTCTTCTCTTGACAGGGTCCAAATGCTAAGCCCCTGATTGTTTGTCCTGGCTATGACCGGTGTTCATGTCTCTCCATGTAGGACAAAAAAAAAGCATCTGAATACCACCCCTCTCGAAGTGAGGGTTTCAGCCATGTTGACGATTACCTAGAGAGATAACAACCTTGGGATTCATGCGCAACCACCAATCTGCTACCCATCTACTCCGTACCCAGATAAGCTTGAATAAGAACGGGATTGTCCAACTCGTGATTCTCTTTATCTTTTTTTCTTCTTTATCCTCTGTATCTAGAAAAGCTAAAACAAGTGTGGGATTATCCTGCCCTTCGTCTTCTTCGTCTTTGAATAAGCTTGAATATAACTGGGATTATCCTCTTCATCCTCTTCATCCTCTTCTGGAACTTCTCCAAGTGAAAAAAGGTTCCTTTTGAGAAGATTCTATCGTTTCGTGCTCTTCGCAATCGAGGCCAATCGGCCACTGAAATGAGAAGACTCAACATTCCTGTTCATATTTCACTCTCACTTTCAAAATTCGCCTCACTCCCATCTCGCAGGCCTCGCAATGGAGCTTATTGTCGGGTGAGAGAACACAGACTCGACACTACTGTGTTGCCAAGTGCGCGGTATGTCCTCTTAAGCCTGGAAGGCGGAGCGCGATGCCTATGCATTACAAGCCGTGGGCGACACCTACTACCACCGACGTTGCAAACATTCAAGGGTACAGTGGATAAGGCAATTGCCAGACGAAACCACCACCAGATTCCGACTACTCGACAAATTTCTCAATCATTCAAACACGGCCCGGACTCAACTATATAACCTAAGCAAGGCCAAAGAGCTCGCGAAGTCCGAAGACGTGCTTACAAAAGGCATCAAACTTTCTGGCACACAGCTTTTGCGGACCCAAAGCAACGTAGAATTTCCGGTTCGTCGACGAATCTGTCTCATCTACTGCTGTCTGTCCTCGATGTCACTAGCGCAATTGCATCTTCAATTGCGAGCTTCGTGCTACATCTCCAGCACGCTCACACTAAGTGATACCGTCAAATGATGTATCATTGGACAAGTTCCGAAGCACGAATGTGATAAGGAGGGGAAAGTCTGTCGCGGTGTCAATATTGAGCCCAAATCCCTCAATCTCGCGCGTACTGTTATGAAGTTAGTCCAGAGTGCACTGGCGAAATTTCGATGCCCCAAAGCGATGTGTTCGACTCGCCAATCGGTTTTCATTTCCAAGAAAAAAAACAAGCAAGCAAGCTACTACTACTACTACTACTACTACTACTACTACTATGAGTCGGATCAAGGACTTGATCAATGTCGGATTGAATCCCGTCCTTCAAGAAGCCTGATTATTATAGCTCTGGGGGATGGGTTGTATGAGTAGCCAACAGAGCAGCGACTGGGAATCGATACTTCAATGAGAACAAAGATAAGAAACAATACTTACATCCATCCATCTCTCTCTACTTACATAACAACCTGGAAATTCTATTGACTTTTAACATTTAATCTCTTCCAAGGCTCCTATCTTTTGTATTCATTCAGGTCTTCTCATTTCCATTTCTTCGACGGACTCTCTATGGATCTGATGATACTCTTTCTGATTTCGCTCCAACTCAAAGAGTAGGGGAGGATAGGGGCCAAAACCAGCAAAAAAAAAACCAACGACTGGGGATTGAACCCAGGACTTTAGGATGTGACATGAACTGCCAAGCACCGTTAGAGGTTGGGGTGTCATTATTGCTAGTTGGGTTGTGAGTTCGGTGATTCATAGTCTTAAGAGAGTGACAGGGATAGCTTACCAATCCTACACTCTACCGCTGAGTTACCGCTGGTGGGTGGATTGTTTCTTCTGTAGAATCCTTATCATTCCAGAGATATCGAGAAAATCCCATTTAGTTAGCCGTGACTAGGGTTCAGGAAATATGAATCACAGAGGATGTACGGAGTAGTACGGAGTACTCCGTACAGTTCGTTCAATCGGTCTGAGCACTGTAATTTTGGCTTTCAGGGTATTTACGGTAGTTTAAGCGGTAGAAAGGCTTCATTTTGTGGGGCATTACCATACCTTACAAGCCCCATAGACCGTCCCACTAACTCCAGGGCTGTCCCACTGAGTGGGGCAGTCAGTGGGGAAGTTGAACCTGAGTAGATCCATGGATGTCCTCCGTAACTTAACTAGTAGATCCCTTAGGAATGATATTTCTGTCAACCACAAGGCCAAAACCACACTGTTCTAATCGGCAGAGCCTCTCAAGCCTTAATGTATGTCTCCCTGTCAATTGCAAACTAGATAAGTGGGACTGAAGTGACGCTCACATCACCGTCCGACGCGTCGGAGACTTCAATGTAGTTCCCAAAGAGGCAGTGGACGCATAAAAGCAAATGCAAGGATATGACTCTTGAAGTCGACCGACTGAGCCTCTAAATTTCTCACTCGACGGTCTCATTAATGAGGACCAGCCTCCCAGAAAAGCTGAAAGCAAGCTCCACAGCTTCACACCTACAAGACTTGATATTGGAAGTTAACACCTATATTTGAAGTCCCGAGATCAAGGGTGTTTCATTTGATGTAATTGCTATCGTTCCGTCATGATGTCAAGAATATTCAACGCTATGCAGCAGCAAGGCCAGCTGCTTGATGCAGGTAAAATCATGGGCATAAGTCAGGTATGTCGAGTCAACTGTAAAGATTTTGGCTTGAGTCTGATGGATTTCGTCATATGTGTTTTGTGAATGGTCGCGACAAGGTACATCGCCCGACTGAGTAACCCAAGGGGAATTTTAGGTCTCATATAGCCTGCGGCATTGGGGCTTGCTGATGCAAGTGGTGTCGGGATTGGTTTTTGATCAAAAACCCCACGCGGGAACTTGGGTGATCTGCTGTCTGATGAGACCTCATCGATGACCAAAGATGGAAATATGATCATCGTCTTCATTCACGCACGAGCCAGTCGTTTCGACCGACTCGACAGATTCATCAGAGTCTGAACCGTCATCATCATCATCGTCCTCATCATCATCATTTCCAGCGTCGGGAGCGGCGTCAGTCGACTTTGTCTCACCACCAAATAATCCATACGGATATGTGAGCTTCTTGCTCAAAAAGTTCAATGCGCCATAGTCACTCTCATTCACACCTCGAGATGGGCTACCAAAGAATGGCATGGATGAAGGCTTTTCGGGCTCACGCTCAGTCGGTAGTCCAAAGTAGTTGCTGACGACTGGGGAGATAGCGCGACCCCGTGTGATGTTGTATGATGTAGATTGCCTGCGTTCGGTAGTATTGGGGATATTGAGATGTGAACGAGAAACGGAGGGGTTGTCAACACCCAATTCCGCAAATGAAGAAGAGATTGGCTCGTCAGTCTCGATAAGAGACGATGATCGGGGCCGAGGGAGAGTGTCTTGGCCATCTTCGGATTGATTCGACATGTCTCCATGTAGGATTCGAAGTTGAGCCGTGTTATATGATTCGCATCTGGAGAGATCAGTTAAAGTTCCCAATGCGTTCTGGGATCTTTTGAAAACGTACAGGTCACATTTGAGACCCAGCCAATGGTACTTGACGCATGACTTGACTCCACAGTCATTACAGTAGACAAGGCCTTTGGTGTCTTTGAACTCCGTAGGCATGGGCTGGCTTTCAATAGTGCGATCTAGGTTCCGGAACGTTGACTCCATGTTTGTGATCGTCTTGCTACAGATGGGACAGCGGAAAGAATTTCGAGAATACTCTGTCAGACACTTGGAATGAATGCTGTGTCCGCATCGCATGACGACAACGGTCTCGGGGGATGTGAACATGTAATCGCCACAAATCGGACAATCACATTGGGTGGAACGTTCGATGCAGCGATGAGTGGTCTCGATTGACATTGGGAGGCAAACAGAGCATGTCTGTATCTGTTAGTCTAGTCACAAGTGGTCAGTTTTCGCGCTTACCTGACAATGGAAGAAATCCTTCCCTAGCCCTTGTCCGATTCGACAGATACCGCAGTCGTCGCAATGATAGATGCTTTTCTTGCTATCATTGTCCCAAAGCTTGCAAATATCACAATAATATTGAGCCGTTTGCTCGTCGCACCGTCTGCAAATCTCCGCCGCGGGCTGGGCATGCCCACAGAGCATGCACAGCATGTTCTTCGTGTCTCGACGGATGAGAGCATGGTCTTCAACTTCGTCATGGCAGAATCGACAAGTATACCATTTCTTGCAGGTACTACACTCGAGCTTCACGTTGCGATGATAATGTGCACAGCCCAACGTAGCCTCGGCCAACTCCTCGGTGTCCATATCTCCATCGATTGTTTCGACAAGTGCAGGATCCTCTAGTTCCAGTTCCACCTTTGGGGCGTAAGTGGGCTGCAAATCCTCAGAAGTGAGATTGAATACATCCTCATATGGTACATCGTGGTCTGACTCTTCGGGTGCATGATTACCAGACATCCGCCGAATCGGACTCGTTGGAGCCACCGGTGGACTTTTCGGTGTCAACTCTGTAATTGCATGCAGGGTGTTGTATCTTTCTGTCATTAAATCATGAACCATCCGTGCTTTTTCAGGATTGGCAAGCTGCAAGTCTCGGATTGCGATGATCTTGTTTCGAAGAACGCCCATTCCGTCATCCTCTGGAAGTGACGACTGCACCACGCTTTCCAGGTCGAATGCATTGTTTGCGGGCCTCTGGGCGTCCTCTATTGGCACTGCCGAGGGCGTTTCGTGTGGCGCATGGTGCATTATCGCCTCGTGGGGTTGCGAGTCTGAGTCCATTGAGTCGGTAGACCGTGGGCTGACATCAGTGTTTGCATCTAATAAGCCATCTGTCGCCATATTTCGAATAGATCCAGGTGCGCTATGGGTCACCGACTGAGTGCCCGGCAGACCGCGTGTGTCCATTTCTTTGGGCAAGGTTGTGAAGAAAGGAGGACTATGCAGGGAGCCCGCACCCGCATCTCCGCTCAATTTATGCTTGCAATGCCGGTCCGGTTGGGATGTGAATCGATGATCGCTTTCGGTTGGTTCGTTCGGGTGTTCAGCGCGGATGGTTGGTGGGGGTGGCAGATCGGGAGATCGTATTCCGACTTGGATCAACAGTGAGGAAATGAAACCACTCATGAAGGATGTTACAGCATACCAATTCACGATGCTTGAACAAGTCAAGACTCAAAACTGCGGAAATGCGTGAAACAAGACCTGGCATGTGACGTCCTCGGGCACCGCCTCCGTGCTGAAAGCTGCTGAATCATCGTCACATGGGCCAGCCTTGGACTTGCGGTCTTTGGTTTCATTCTCTTTTTTTTTTGTACAATATCCATGGGTCGCTTCAAAAATTTGAGCCTTATCTATTCTTTACAGTGGTTAATTGTTTGATATGATCTTGTGCAGCTGGGGTACCTCTGGGACTGCAGTCAGCCTTGACTACTCTAGCGTACAACACTGAACCATGGACATGTTACGACCTATCAACTAGATGCGGGGGCTAACTGGAACCACGTTCAAAGCTCAATTTGACCAAACAGTGGCTTGAGAAGACCCTTTAGTATGTCAGATATCGATGATTGGAGCAGCAAGTTCCTTGAGTAAAGGGTAGAGTCATATTTCAACGTATGTAGTTTAGATCACAAGATGATGGTAAGAAATCATGCTACAATGGGAGTTGGAAAGGTTGATGCAATAGAAAATAGTGGTTCGTTTCTCTGCTAGTCTGGTATCAGCAAGCAAAGAGATTCATGGAGGCTGACGTCAGAATGCATGAAATACTTTGACTTAAACAAAGAAGAAAATATGAAAGAGAACAGGTAAGATCACCGGGGCCAAAGTATCATAGATCAGTAAGAGAGAAAGGAGCTAGGGTAGGATCATAGCTTGCATGATCCAGTTTCACTGCCCAGGTGTATATGGCTGCTCTGTTTCCAAGCTTTACTATGTGTTCCTATCTGTTTAGTTCATACGGAGTATGATGTGCTTGCTCCCCTCTCTCAAGACAATTAGATCTATCCTCGCCTTCTCTCTTTCCTTTATTGTGTCTGCTTGCTGATTATATCGGTCGATAGACTTTCTAAATCTCATATTCCAGTAGAAATACTGCCTCTTAACATTCATCACTGTACCACTATACTATCGCCGGCAGCCAAATTTCCCAACGCACCTGGGCATTATCCACCGAGGCCTTATCACTGGAATCATCATCATGGACTTGGAGCCTTGGGATCGACTGTTCAGCCTCGCTTTTGAATCACTATGGAGATAAGAACGCAAATGGAGAGGAACATACACTAAGCCTACTGTTCGATCATGGGCATCTTGAACTGACTACGATCCATAACCTCGAAGCGATGGTGCATCCAATGAAATATCTCAAGGCATCCCCAAAGCGAGAAATCGTGCTCGGGCAATGCAAGGAGCTTTGCTTTTCGTATATGCGGATACACCTCACAAGGACAGCCTCAATTACAACTGGCAAAGTGAGCATTTTTACACTTCGCAGGGAATTATGCTCAGTAGCCCAACAAGAAGTAGATACCCATGACACTATCGTCAACAGCAGCTGAATTTTGGTTCAGAGAATTGACGCCTCCCCTACGATGACGATCCAGTGAGGACTTTCACCAACAGTATCAATATGCAGACTATTCTCAACGAAAAAAGTCAATCACAGTTCAAAATGCTAGCTGGATACTGGCTAGTTACTTCTTGATGAAGGTTGCAGCAGCTAAGAATCATGTTACTCCATACTTGCTAGTCATACTGAGTCGAATCAAACAACAATGTTGCTAATGGATCTACGAAGGCTTTGGAAAATTGTGATACTCCCACGGTTCCTATCACTGCTAGGGATCTAGAGTTGATGAAGAACCAGGCGCTGAGACAGACTACGACTAGGCTTGATTAGGAAGGAGAGCTTAGTCTGCCAAAGTGACATGTTTGGATTCCCTGATCCCTAGATTATCCTTGTCGGTAGTAGGTTCCAATCTATCTAGTTATAGTTCTACCACACCCACCGGAGTCTTGATTGTGATAGGCCTGCGAAGTGCAATCGCGAAGACCACCTGGGATGTAAGTTACTTTCCCCTCAGCCAAGCCGGGCTTGAGCCTTTCTTCTATGAAGAAGATGGGTTTCTCGGATGCTGTGTGGGCAACCCCGAATGGGGACAGCCAGACTGCAGAGACTTAAGACTACTCATAGAGACCCAAGTTGGTTGATTCTCATCAGATGGTCAACGCCAAGGCAAGTGTCTCGCTCTATGCCATCGACAACATGCAACGGACGATGACCCAAATGAGGCAGGTCGACGTGCCTCCAGTCCTGATGTGGTTATGCGTGATAGCGTTCTGGTCGATGTGCATCTGCAGCCCCGTTTCTAGCTGGCTCACGTCATGGATTCATGCCCAAAGGAAGCACGGAGGCCTGATGGGCGCATAAGGCAGCGGGTCGGATCGGCACCGAGATAAAAGTCGAGAACCTGTGGAGACTCCAATCATTTGAGACATGTCCCTAAACTCTCATTCAAACGGTCAAGCGTTAAATTGTAGTGGTTGAAAGCGCTGGCTCGCAATTGGTGCTCGATGTGGCCGAGTCCTAATACCCGGGTGCTACAGCCGTGTCAGCGACAGATCTTCATCACCATGTGGAGATTGGAGATGCTTACACGCGCACCTCTCTCCCAAGGTGGTCTTCCTCCCAATACCTCGTCATCAAGAGGTTCTTGAAGATCTTGTGTTCCATGCCTGCGACCTCGGTAGCTCGTTCGAGGAAACGGATGGTATTTTGGATTCGGGTCGCATCGAATGCTTCAGCCGGGGAGGAGCGGTAGGCTTTACGCAAGGACTGTATGAGCATATATCGGGCCGGGGATGCGTAGTGACAGGCTTTCAACCCTTGTCGGTAGAGGTGACGGTATGCGTGGACCACAGCTCGATCCGCTGGAGCGTTCATCTTTGATCACCAATGACGTGGAATCCACTCAGGTCCAATAAATGGATTAAAAAGGAAAAAACAAAAGACGGTCAAAAAGCGTTGGAGAGAGAGAGAGAGGAGAAAGCCTTAGGCAGGACTAGCCCGATCGGGAGAGGTCGAACTTTGGGCCGCAATCTTATCAATCCCGCGATGCACTTTCTCTGACTTCCCTTCCTTCCCTACCCTTTGCTTTGCTTCTTTGCTGCCTTTTGTTTGCTCATCTCTGGCTGCTCTACCTGCTCAGCCTTTTCCTATCCTGGCTTCGGCAAAAGCCACTTTGGATCTCCGACAGGGTCACCTCGACTGCGTGTATCACTTGCCTTGCTGTTGTCCAGGGCTGTTTCGCATACGTGATGTTTCTGGACCTCCATCAGTAGGGCTCTTCAGCTGAATCAGAATGGCCCGTGTCATGGGGGGAGCAGCCTCGGCTACGGCCAGGCGCGCTCCTAGTCGGGCTGTTCAGAGGAGAGCTCGAAGACATAAAGTCATCATGGAGTCTGTGACCCAAGAGAAGAAGAAGCTCCGAAGTGTAGTATGTACCCTGTGTCATGTCCTAAGTCATGACCTTGCCACTGACCGGTCAGATCTGTTTCGAAGCGCAAGCACCTAGTGGCTACACGTTCATTCCTGCGGGGAACCCGCAACTCACCACGGCGTGCAAAGAGAAGTGTCGCGCCGAAGGCCTTCAAATCCATGCAGTATCGGTGAGAAATTCTCTTCGATCACCATCCTCCGCAGTGCTTATTTTTCCTAGACCACCCCACATCACAAGACCCACAACCTGTCACAGCATGTCCATCGGATAGGATATCACTTTCCCAGCACCGTGGTAGCATCTGTCTGCTCGGAGCTTGGTCTCTACCTCACGAGCACTGGTAAAACAATGCCCCTCTTCGGTATGGGCAGGACGGAGATTCGTTCGCGGGCGGGATCGGAAATCTCTCAAATAAGGCTCAACACAGACGCTAGAGATGCTATCAGGGATTTGTTCCCAAATATCCCCGACCAAGATTTGAATCAAATCATCAAGACCGCCTTCCAAAAGGTATGTATATCCTGAAAATCCGAGACTGAGGACGTGGAAAACCTGATACCCAAGTCAGGGCCAGAAGAAAGTTGGGACAGCCACTGAATTGCCTCTCGCTCGTAGAGCGCAACTTGCGGTGGTTGCTCACGTTCGGCATGTCTACACTGACTACGATCGCCTTCTAAAAACGACCTCATTTCATGAAGCAAGAACGACTGTTGAGCACCCAACTCTAGCAAAAGTCATTGAATGGCGAGGGGATGATGAAAACGGCCAGACAGTGCTCGAAGATGTCTTCCGTGAGGTCATTGTCATTTCCGACGATGAAGACAGCGAATCAGAAGAAGACGCGGCTTCTGTGGCTAGTCATCAAAACTCCAGCGTGGTGGAACTTCTACCTACTGAAGCCCGGACCCATGAGATTCGCACCCAGCCCATTAACACAAACCCTGGCCAAGGTTATCCCCGGGATCCATCCGAGGAAGCACCACCAGGATTCCGGTTCGTCACAAGGGTCCCGGCAAACAATTCGACCAACCGTCGCGGATTCAGCAGATACCAGGCATGGAACCGCGCCATCAAGGAGTATCGGGAGGGTATCCAGAACACTGAGCAACCTCGGTTTACCGGCGCTCTGGCTGAAAAGCAAAGCCCGCGATATGCTGAAAAGCGCATCGCTCTGGATACAAACACTTCTAGGTATCAGGATGCCACCGAAACCCATCGGCGAGTCATTCCTGGCTCGGCCAGCATGGATAACCAGGCCCAGCGCATGTCTGCCATCCCACTAATGGACCGTTCCGTAGCCCAGAGACATGTAGGTGTCCAGGATACTCACTCGGACATCCAGAAAACCTCTTCGCATAATTTCAGCTCCAGGAAGCCCGGACTAACCCGCCAGGAATCGCCCGAGTTACAAATCTTGGAGGAACTTTCCGGGCCCAGAAACATGAACATGCCTTATTCCAACCTTCCACCTATGGGAAAGGACTTGCGACCAGAGAGACTGCCCCCTCAGTCGGAGAATAGGTCAAATGCCCCAGTGTTCGTGAGCGGACCCACGGAGAAGATCCAGAATAATGTGGTTCCACTAGGACGCCGTCCTGGCGCCGTCAACTCTCCTCTAGTCAGGCCAGGATCAAACACGCAGGAGTCAGTGGTGCCATCCATCGAGGCTAGTTGGCCCCAAGAAACCCGGCGGACCGATCCTGCATACCCTTTGGTGCATATGGCAAACCAGATGTCGCTGCGATCAGTCACGCCGGGTCGACCCCAGGGAGAATTGAAGCATCACTCCGATGTCGTTGAAATTGACGGTAATGGCGACCCGCCTAGCAAAAAAAGACGGATGGGCCGTGAAGGTTCCCGTGTTGATCCCCGTCCAGACCCACGAATGGCTAGACCCATTGGCTTCCCCGTCTCTGAAGGCTATGTGCCCAGAGACTCTTATCGTCGCGCTGAGAATGCGCCCGAACATCGCCCCCAGGATCAGCTTCAGTTCCGCCGGGACATTGTGCCAGTGGAACCACCCCCTTCCGTAGGATACCCGCGTTTTTCTTTTGCCAAAGGACCTGATCCACGCACTTGCTGGCCACAGGAGTCTCGTCCTCCGAATGGAGTCTCGAGTTCTAGTATCATTTTCCCCGAGGAGCGCGCCTCAACTGTTCATCTCCCTCGCCCTGGGTACTCCACCTCTAACCATTGGCATCCATATTATGACCGTAATCCCCGCGTGGATCGCCCCAATGAGCAGCGTGGCATTCGACGACCCCGCATGGATGCTCGTCCTGTTCCAGAGAACACGCAAGAAAGAAGCCTGTACGCGGACGGATTCATCCGACCTGTTGATCACCGTGAGCCCCCCTTCGTTTGAATTCTCTTTCCGGCGCCTCGCTCCCGAGACCAAGCTCAAGCCCATTGGAGATGCCTCTCAGTCCAGGAACAGAGAAAGGGATCCCAAGTACCTTGCCACAAAGAACATGTCTCAGGTCCAGGTCGACCCACGCGGCCAGTTACCCGCTCGAAGTGTTCATCCTGAGCACCATCGCACCTTCTCGGACTCCGTGCCGAAAAATCAACCCCATGCATCCCCTCCCCAGGTTCCCCGTGAACGACCATCCAGTGGCGGCTTCATCTCGCGGTAAGCCTTTCCACGCGGATCCCAAGGCCTTTCCCAGACTGACACCCCGCAGCCCTCTCTACTACCCTCCCCAGGAGCAGAACCGCCCGGTCTACGTTCAAACAGTCGAACCTCGCACAGAGCGCCAACCCTTCTACCCTATTCCCGATGGAAGGCATTTTGTCACCGTTGATTAAGCGTCAGTTTCCATGTTTAGATGGAGTTGCTTTATTTCTCTCTTTCTTTTGCTGTTGTAATTTGCGTGCATTGCGCAGTTTGTTTGATGATACCCTGCATATTCTTAGGATTCTCTACTCGGGGTTTCAATAGTTATCTATGTCAATGGATTCCTCTATCTCTTCCAAGCTCATGCGTACGTGCTTTAGACAGATTTACTTTCTCCATCGGCCTCTCCGCTGTTCACAGCCTTGCCCGTCTTCTTGATGGTGGCCAGCACGGTCTCGTAGGAGAGCGCGGGATCGGCGGTGATGTTGGCGGTCTGGGACTCGAGGTTCACGTCGAAGGACTTGACGCCTGGGTTATGTTAGTCGCGTCTTCCCCGGTAACGAGGTGGAGCTCATACCTTCCAGCTTCTTGAGGACTCGCTCGACGGCGCCGGAGCATCCGCCGCAGGTCATGGTCACATTGAACTTGTACTGGTGGTCTGACATTTTGTGCGGGGCGGGGGGAGATGTAGGGTGAAGGTGTTTTGGTGGGGTATGGACACGGTGGACTTTTTCTTTTTTCTTTCTCTTAGGTGAAACAAAGACAGGGAGAGTAACCTCCTATATAAACAACTGAGCACGAGTATTTGTAATCCTCTTTGAGCGATATTCGCGATTGGTGAACCGATTATGCAATATTTAGTGTTTTTATAGCTTATAGCCAAGTCTCAATTCGAGTTATGAATTAGCAAAAGGGTATCATATCTATATAACTTTTAAAAACCCGCCGCTCGCTTCTTTTTCTTCTTCTTTGCTCCAAAGGGCCCTCGTTCAGTCTGCGTCATCGGTGCTGGCTGACTACTGTTGATGGTGATCTGCGGTGTTGGCTGGGTGCCCCATGTTCGGACCATAGGAACCAACGGGGTTGCCGGCAAGGGTTGAAGATCGGGCTTCAAGCGCTTCTTGCGTCTGGGCGTTCGAGGCGTCTGGCTAATTCGCGTCTCCTGGTCTTCCAGCCTCTCCCAGGCATACGAGGAAGGATCATCTCCGACAGACCAGTGCGATAGGAGATCGGATACGTTTCCAGGCAGCGGGCGTTGTTTCTTGAATGTGGTAAATGCGGAGAGCCCACTTAGGACAGGGACTGCATACTTGGACGGTGTGCGCTGAGACCCGGTGCGGGTCTGTGATTGGCTTGCAGGGATCTGGGAGAAGCTCGATGATAGAGTTTGGTGCTGGGACACGGCGTCTTCATTCTGAGCTGTGATTGGATCTTCAAGTACTGGCTTGATTCGAACGATGCGCGAGAGAAGAATCTCGGCTGCAACCTTGCGGATGAGCTTCTCTTTGGCGAGTCGCACTGGAACGGGGACTTGAGGCCCTAATTTAGCAATCCAGTCGTCGACCATTTGATCGTAGGCCTCGAGCATGTGCTTGTCTCCGTCTTCAGACAGCCGCGTTGGCATGCCGTACCCTGCGTGTGGAGATTGAAGTGGGAGAAATAGATACCGGTGTGCAATGTGATCACCGGGCATGATGGTCGAAAATATCCGCTTCACGTCATCCGCACTTTGATCGAGTTGCTCGGTCGACAGGCTTTTATCGCTGAGTTCAAGCACCGTTTTGCCGGAGGCCTTCTTCTTCCATTCAGTGCTTTGCAGATCTGCGAGAAGACCATCAAAAGTCCTTGGTTCCGGTGGTGGTCTTTTCTTTGTCTTGGATCTTTTCTGTGGGGGATCCTTTTGTCCAACAGCTACTGCGTAGATGTGTGAGAAATCCAAAGACCACTGCAGATCTGAGCCTTCAGGGCTGGTGTCGATTGGGCTTTGGCAGTGAGGTATGTCTATCTGCTGCATCGTCGATTCATCCCAGTCATCCACGATGAAATCGTGCGCGCTCCTGACTTGCTTGTGTGGAGCATAACGCTTGCGCAAGCGTAGCACACTGTTCTCGCAATGCAGGTCCGGGTCGTCGGGATCTCCCCGTGGACCATGGAACACAGACTCATGGACAGCAAGATCGGAGGTCATCCAAAAGAGTTTGATAAGAGTTAAGTCTGGGTTGTAAAGGTGTTTGTTATACGCAGGAGAATGGGCAATCTCCCTAAACACAAACGTCGAGAATCCCGCAGACTCGCGTGCATCCGAGGGCATATCTAAGACCAGTGGATCGGCTATAGAAATAGAATTTGTTTCCTCGTTGCTTGTAAAGGGGCAAGGGAATGCTTGCACAAGCCCCGTGAGCTGAGAAAAGAGGATGAGATGAAGATCTAAAAAAAGGTTAACACAGATCTTGGTCCACTAAGTCCGGCACACGCACCTTTATATACCACCAGCTCACTTAATCGCAGAGTGATATCATTTGGATCTCGAAAATGTCTCCAGGAAACTCGAGGGTGCAAATAAGAAGGGGTGTCTTTCTCCCCGAAGGCCCCCATGTCAAACCATAATATCCGATTGGTCGTCAAGACAAAGAACTGTGACTGATTTCGCGGGTTCCTTTTCAAATCCAGCACCCACTCGGACGGCTTCTGCATGTTCAAAACAACCGAGCGAGGCGGAATCTGAGGATCCATGAGTGCATAGATCATCACATCACGACGATTGGCAACAATGATCAATCCAACATCATGGATCCACTGGATCGATGCCCAGCCATCGAGACGAGGGCGATAGTGCTTTAAGGGATGAGGCAAGATGCCCGATTTTACAATCCGGGCCGTCGCGAGGTCTTGTCTAGCACTCTTCGTCTGGTCAATCTCCCACACAGTCCATTGACTTTTTGTGTCGATGATTGCAAATTGATGCTGATACCAAGGGTTGAAAGTCACATCGGAATGTGAGCATCCACCTGTTTGCGCCACTGATATTTCCAAAATTGGGTTTGTATCCAGCCGAGAGTTCTTCTTCCCGTTGATTGGTCGCAGGTAAGCGTCATCAGGGAAGTGCATGGGCACAGGATCAATATGGTAAAGAGGTCGGAAGATGGTGGTGCTTCTCAGCAGACGAGCAGCCATGAAGATGGGATCTTCTTCGAGTGGGCGTGCAAATTGAACTTGACGGATCGGTGCACCCCACTTGGACCATTCTGAAGTCTCGGTGTTGCCGACTGTCGGTACTCGCATCTCGGTATACGTGGGCGACTGCAGCTCCAGATTCGCATCTTCCAGGGTTCGCAAGGATAAAACATTGCGACACGGGCCTGAGACTGCCGCTGCTATAGGAACGGAGGGGAATTTCTTGTCGTAGCGTCTTTTGTCCGTCGCAAAACCGATATCAAAAAGAGAGGAGCTTTCTGGGTCGAATTGCTCAATTGTTGCCGTGATAGCCCTGGACAGAGACTCTTGACGAACTGTCGACCATGTTGCCGCTAGTTCTGGGTATGAATCTCCAATCACGTGTCGCAGGTCCCTCTCGGGAACCCTCTGTACTGGTTTAGGTTGGTCTGGAAGGTACGGCGATGGGACGCTTGTCGTGGTCGTTCCACTGTACTGGATCGACGTGGCTTCCAAATATCAGCAAAGTAGTACAAAAACACAGAGTAGATATACATACCCTGAGCGAGGGAACGCGTAAATGTCCAGGTCTGTTCCTCGGGGAGATAGACAGCTCGTCCTACGTGCCCATAGTGTAGAGCACTGTCATGAGGTTCATCCATGGGATCTTTCTTTGCTTTTTGCGATCAGCTCAGGAACAGAGCAACCCATATCGATACAATCGAGAGGGTTATGAGGCTATCCATATAACTTGTGAGGTGTCTGAAGCGCAAAATTGCAATCGAGGCCATCAAGAATTTTTTGGATCTCTTATCGATAAGACAGTTGCGCCGCAACAACAACTCCCGCGCGCCGACACTGCACTCTATTTACACTCTCAACTACAACTCTCTGCACCACACATACAGCCATGGCATTCGAACCATCACTCTCTACCAGCGGCATGCGCCCGCCACTTGCTTCAGCTGATGCGCCATCTATGGCAGACTCGCTACCCAGCATAAACTTCGGGTTTGACGACCTACGTAACAGCATGGCTCAATTCACAATCAAATTCGATGCATTCATTGAGCGCGGGCGGAAGAGAGTCTTGGAAGAACGAAACCAGTTTCACATCAATATGGCTGAATATGAAGGTATGTGACCTATCTTCGTCTTTCATCTCCGCACTGTATAACTCACATGCCCCTCAGAGGACGAACGTATGCGCCAGCGCGACATTGAGATTCTCAATCTCAAGTCTCAAACCCACGAACAAACCCTCCAAAAAGAAGCTGCGGAAGCAGCCGAAATGCACGCGGCGATTTCGCAAATCACCCTGGAGCGAGATAGCCGTCTTACAAAACGCGACCGCTTGAAGCAGCAAATCGCTGAAACCCAAAAGGCGATCGCGCAAAATTGGAGGCACAGAAGGCTCATGCTCAGAGTTTAGATGCACAGTCTCGTCTAAACTTTCCAGAGCTGGAGTTCTGGCAGGATTATCTGTGTATTCGGATCGAGGGTGCGGGGCGTGAGGACAGACTCAAGTTTGTCTACAGTCATCTGTTTGAGAAGGATTGGGAGGCTGAGGCTTGGTTTGAACTTGGCACTGCCAGTCGTGACTACGAAGTGTTCCACTCGCGACCGAAATTAGACCATGACGCGCTGGAGCATGTCGTGGATCTCGTTAATGATGATCGGGACTTTGGAGCGTTCTTGAAACGCATGCGCAAGCTGTTTGTCGAAGCAATGAACTAGTGGTGCACAATGGACGATGGATGTTATGAATTTCATGATTTTTATTGCATTGTTTTAGGTCATATCTGTTGGTCCGTTGACGTCGTGTGATCGATAGATTTCGTTCTAAGCAGAAGCCTCGCGGTAAATCGTAATGTTACAGCTGTCGCCCACGGTCGCAAATCTCTCTGCTCTGCCAACCTTGGGAAGCCATTTGGCCGCCCAAAGAACCTTGTCACTCTCAGAAACAGTGGCAACGCAGTGCTTAGTTGCCATAGAATAGACCTTGGCCTTTCCGTCATGGGAGCTTTGCTTCATGTTAGCTTGACATCGTATAACCGTGAAGGAATTGCCTACCAGCTAAGAAGATACTCTCCGGTGCTGCTCCATGAGAGGTTCATAACCCAGGCAGTGTTGCCGGTCAAGCTCCCAACCAGTTCACCTGAGACAGTGTCGTAGAGCGTAATCACACCGCTATCACCCGTGGCTGCGAGGAGTTTTCCAGCTGGCGAGAAAGCGACGACGCGAACTTGCTTGACCGATCCTAGAAATGAATGGATTAGATCATGCAATGATGATGTATAGGGCAACTGCGCCTTACCTGGGAGAGAGAATGGCATGCGACCAGTCTCGGTACTGAAGATGTACACAGAGCCATCAGTGTGTCCAGTGGCCATGAAGCGCCCATCCTGCGACTAAGAGCTGTTAGCAGAGCGAACAAAACAACCCATTGGCAATCAACCACTTACCAAGTCGATGCAAGTGCCCCAGACTCCCTTGGTCTCCTGGTCCCGAATCTGAGTGGCATTGTCGGCAAGGTCCCAGACCTGGATGCGCCCCTCAGGATTGACACCGGCGAGATACTGACCATCCACGGATAGGTCAAGAGCCCAGGTTCGGGCAGAGGCCAGGGCGGCTAAATCTGCTTTAGCATAACTCGGAATATAGGCGGGGACATTGTAACCTACCGGTCAAGTCCTTATCGGCGACCCAGGATCCATCGTTGAATGACCAAACTTTCATGATTCCATTGAAGCCCGCGGTGATCATTCGGGTGCCTTCCGCGTCGATCGCAACTTGGTGGCAGCCATTCGAGTGGGCATACTCAATGACCTGGACTAGCGGGTTTCCGGGCTCGGTGGTGGAGTGGACCTTGATATCGGTTGAAGCCCCAACGGTGATGACCTGCGTATCGGTAACCTCCAGATCGAAAATGAGGGTTGTGTGCGCTGCATGGAGTTTTAGCAAGATCGTCAAGTGCGTCGGGAGCTGTCTTACCATTGACTGCGGAGCCGGCATGAAGATATTGCTTTGACTAGTATTGTTAGTTCATCATGAGCTTGATTCCCACAAATTAGAGCATACCATCTTGATCAGTGTCGCCGTCGCGAGTTGAGAAAGCAATGACGTGAGGCGGGTGGAAAGCCAAATAAATATGCTGACCGCCTGCCTGGGCTGGACGTGGGACCTCTTATCGGATGGTTATCGGGGCGGGAAATTAATAAGCCGACCGATAAGGTTTGTGGGGAATGAACGGATAACCTTGGAACTTTCTCACCTCTCACCTTTCAGCAACAGGGTCAGGTTCAATTGCCACGAGATCCGGACACTTTTGACGATATGATGGTCGGTTTTTGACAGACAGCCAAGAATCAGGGTGTCACTGCTCTGTTTTGCTCGCTTGCTCTCTTTCATCAATGTCTGGGTCCGATTGTTGATCACGAAACCCAGAGATGCCTGCAGTGGCTAACGCAAACCTCATCCGAGCCTATTGGCAGCAGCACTTACCTCTCAGGCTGGGTAACTTGCCGTCACAAGACCTCATGATTGGCATCGCCCTTGGCAGTAGTGATGAACAATTCAGTGACTAACGGAGGCTGAACATGTCATGTCATGTTGCGTGTGGGCAGGTCGATGTTACCAACGAAATTTCCAGCATGGAAAATCCACTGGTATCCTGGTTCAGGGCCTGGCTCTGATCATGACAGCCGCTCAGATTCTTCGATGTGTCTGATTATCATTTGCCTGAGTTTGAGTGTACCAGATGTGGGCATAAGCACATTCGCTTGATAAAGCCGATTGACCAACCATGCACGGGGCTCAAGGATGGCTTTCTTTGACTCGGATGAGGAAGGCTGGCGCGAGACGTGCCAGCGTGCATCCTCTGGGTACATCCGATGCGTGTCGGCGCCGTTGTGCATCGCTTGGTCGAGGGACTTGCGGCTAGTTTGGTACACATGGTGTACGCAAATTGCTCAGCAACATGGTCGATGAGCCGCTCGACGCACTGTTGAGAAACGAATGAACACTCAAGAAAGATATCTCAATATCCATCACCCTAGGGGTTTCATTTTGATACGGATGGCTGGTGGTACGATGCGACGACGAGCCCGGGACCCACACTGACGCGCGATGATGATGCACCCACTTCTGTGGCTTTGAAGATATAGTCAATACGCATGCCCAAGGAGCCTATTGGAAAGACTTTCAAATGCAGAGTGGGCTTTTGAAAGCTACATATTCGGTTGCTTTGATATACACAACTAGGATGGTTATGAATGGATCTCTACTCCGTAGATACTCCGTACGAAGTACCTAGTTATAGTATTATAGAGGAATATTCACCATTTGCTTTAGCATCAATAGAAGTAAATACCCAACCGGGCAGTGATCGTTTGGTATACTCCGTACTCCGTAGAAGTAGTGGTATTTACTAATAATTGGTCGAGTCCAAAGCCTCGGCCAGGCTTCGTCCTCACATCTAGAACGGGAAATCACCTACTTCATGTTGCAGCCCTATTTTGGTAGTTCATATCTACAAGACACGAACGGGGAGCCTCAGAATAAAACTTTCTCTCGTCAGTTAATTAAGAAAACTAAGTACATGGAATCAGAGTTGACAAGCGCTGAAGTGCCAAATCTCTTTTTTCCCGGCGATACAAATCCTCGAGAAGACAAGATGGGGTGTAGGATACAAAAGCCGAAAGAGACGAACGCAAAAATAGAAAAGGGAAAGGGAAAGGGATATCTGCAAGGGCCTGCTGGCGTCAAAGGGGATAAGTTTTCTGCGCGGAAGTGACTGCGCGCAATAGGGTCACGGCGCTCGCGTCACACAACCGACGGAATCTAGTATCCGTTCATGCCAGCGCGCTGGGAGTTGCGGCTCAGCTCACGGTCCGCTGAAGGGCTGATGGGACGGCTGCCACCAGTGTGACCACCACCAGCGCTGCTCTCCTTGAGAGCCAGCAGCTGCTTGGCACGGAAGGTCTCGTAGTGGATCTGGCTGGTGGTCTCGACCAGATCCTGGAGGTGGGTGCGGGTCAGGAAGTTGCGGAGGTAGACAAATTCGCAGTGGTTCTCATCCTCGACGTTGATGACACCCCAGCGGTTCTGACGTCCGCGAACCTGCTTGCCGTTGACAACAATGGTCTTCTCGCTACCGACAACAGAGAAGGGAATGATATCCTGCGACAAGTCAGTTATCTTTCTGACAGATCCCATCGTATTTTCCAACATACCTTGATCTGAGCGTTGATGGCGCGCTCCTCGTCATCGAGCTCATCATTATCGTAGGGGTACATCTTCAGGTTGTGGAAAGCGAATTCCTCCTTGATGCGCTCCTTAAAGGCCTGGCGCTCTTCGAGGGTGAGGGAGTCGGACTTGGCAATAACGGGAACAACATTGACGACATCGGACAGCTTCTTCAGGACAACGATATCAATGGGCTTGAGGCTGGGGTAAAAGGTTAGCTGGATGGAGCCCCGATACAAAGATCCCCCAGGAAAAAAAAAACCCGGGGTATGGGCGGGGTAAAACTCACGCATGGCCAGAGGGCTGGATGAAGAACAAGCAGCAGTGGATACGGGTATCTTGGATGTAACGCTCACGCTGAGCAGTGAGTTCCTTGCGGAGGTAAGCGGAGTGCTGATCCTTGATGTACTTGACAATGGGATCCCAGCTGGAATACACAATTAGCCATGTTCTCGGCCGTGTAGCGCCAAAAAAAAAAAAAGTGAAACAAAAAGAAAAAAAGAGGGGCGGAATTACCATCGGTCGTTGTTGACCTGGTCGCCGTAGCCAGGTGTGTCAACAATGTTCAAGCGGAGACGAACACCGTTCTCCTCAATGACTAGTCCCCCGTCAGCTATTCTAATTCGAAGTCTCGCGTCCCGGGTAACAATCACGTACTGTGCGACACGGTCTGGATCTCAGTTGTAGAGCGAACGGGCTCAGATGGAGTCAAACGACCCTTAGAATCGATCAGGTGGGATGCGAAGATGGTGTTGACAAGAGTGGATTTTCCAAGACCAGTTTGACCTAACGCGCGAAATTTCAGCTGCTGACCTCGGGGGTTAGAAGTTCAGGCGACTCCGTACCAACACACATGACATTGAACTGGAAGCCACGCTTCAACAGCTTCCGCTCGATCTGAGAAGTGATGCTGTCGAAACCGACATGGCTGTGAGGGAAAACAGTGGGCTGAGCGCCGGCTGGGGAGGTAGCGGTGGCCATTGTCGATAGGTATTAGAGAAGAGAAATGAACGAGAGAATATAAAAAGCCCGCACACCCAAAAGTTGACCAGCAGAGAGGAGAGGCAAGAGCCACCCCTTATTATCTGAGTTCCCTACTCAGGGGTGCCCTATTCCTAATCGGGCCTAGCGTCTCTCCGCGAGAAAACTGATCGCTTTTGCTTCTTTACGTTCTTGTGATAGCTCCCATCGACTATATCCAAACACCCCCCTTTCCTTTGCCGCTCTAACGATTTCTCAACATGGCATTGCGTCTCCTTCCGTTCGCCCCGGCAAACATGTCGCGCTCCCTCTTCTCCGAAGCCCTCCAATTCCGCCCCGTTCGCTTCATGCCACCCGTCGCGACCGCATTCTTACAACCCGTCTCAATCTCTCTCAATATCCCCGGTCTGCTCTCCGACATCTGGGAATCTGTCCTGCGCGCTGTTCCCAAGAAGAAGACTTCCCACATGAAGAAGCGTCACAGGTTCATGGCCGGTAAGGCTCTTAAGGACGTCAAGAGTCTCAACAAGTGCCCGGGCTGCGGTCAGCTGAAGCGCGCTCATTTGCTGTGTCCACACTGTGTCAAGGGTAAGATTGGAGTCTTTTCCGCTGGAAGCCGATTCCGGGAGGCTAATTTGGACGTTCAACAGATATCAAGGAATCCTGGAGAACCCTCGACACCGCATGAGTGCTTGATCGTGATTATGGGCTTGAGTAGTGTGACTTCCAACTCCTCATCTCAGGCTCGGAGAGTGTATTTCTAGAACGAAGCTGTGGATACATATGCTGCATGGCACCTGGCGTCTGGGTTTTTGCGGGGCAACTTTTTTTTCGATGACTTTATAGCAGCATGTTCTACTTGGTAGATCAAAACCCACTGACACAATATATTGCTCCTTTTTGAATGCTATCAAGATTTATGTTCGAAATTGTGGTATCCACGATAGTATTCCAGGGACTCTGTCCGAGTGTATCTCGGCACTATATATCGCTATACAAACAAGGCTTATTGGTATGCAATCGAGAATGTGAACTTTTGGAAAGCAAAGAAAATGAAAGTCCATGCAACATCTTCCACCTCTCAACGCTATGCGCCGAAGCGACCACCGTCAACAATCCAATCCCTCAATTCGGTATACGCCTTCTCAACGTCGTCGTTGACAACGATCTTCTCATGAGAGCCAGGCAGCTTGGCAAATCCCAGCTCGTTCTTTGCCTGTGCCAATCGCTTAGCCAGAGATTCCTCGGTCTCGGTGCCGCGGCCACGAAGGCGCTTCTCCAACTCCTCCAACGAAGGAGGGGCGAGGAACATGAACCGCGCGTTCAGGTCGGTCTTCTTGACCTGCTTCACGCCCTCCATCTCGATATCCAGAATACAGATGCGCTCCTTCTCGGCGATGTTCTTGACGGCTTGCACGGAGGTTCCGTAATGGTTTCCGCTGAATTGGGCATGCTCGATGAAGCCGTCGGCGGCAACGAGTTCGAGGAAAGCCTCCTTGGTAGTGAAGTAGTATTCGCGGCCGTCCTGCTCACCAGCGCGCGGTTGACGGGTTGTGTCTGTTATGGTCAGTCGTGGTCCTGCTGGAGGGGCATACTGTGCTCACGGGAGATGGAGAAACCAAACTTGTCGGGGAACTCCTTGAAGAGGCGGCCCAGGAGAGTGGACTTGCCAGTGCCACTGGGGCCACTGATCACCACAGGTCTGAATTGAGAGACTTATAATCGCATGTCAGTAAATATTTTGCAATTGCGGGGATCAATCGGAATGTGCGATGTGACTGCGACGGGTAGATCCTTCTGTTGCTTACCGGCAGACATTGTAGATGCAAAGCGTCTAGCACGAATGAATGGTTTGAGCGACGCCGAAAAAGCACGAAAAGACGAAGGATACATAAGACAAGATGTTATCTCGGTCTGGATCCATGAATGCGGTGCGACCACACCGCATTGGAAAACAGGCAGATTAAGGCGGTATGTAACTAAGTCGAACTATCGGATTTAAGTGCCCAGATATCAATAATGGAGTAATCATATTCATTTCTATAGCTGTGATTTATACATATCAGATCCTAAGGCTTGAGTGGCCCCTGGTGACTTCCACGCCTTGAGGGGTTCATGCTCCCAGCCTCCGCTTCTTGTTCCAGGAAGTTAGACCATAGTTCAGCCAGTGTCTCTTTGCTGGAGGCACCACCGTCCATAAACTCCGTTGCAAGGTTGGGTGTACTTGGTGTTCGCAGCGGGGTCCCGGGGACTCTCAGTTTTCCGGGCATACTTGACGTCCCTGGACGGGCAAGGCCGGCCTGTTCGCGTTGTTCTGGGCTGACGTTAGCAATAGTCCTAAAAATCAAGACCTGACAACTCACCATCATTCCAACCCAATAGAGCTGCAATCAGCTGCAAAATTTGGAATTTCTTGGGGTCAGATCGGTCAAGGCCGAGGAAGTGTAGGAAATGATTAGTGACGATGTGTCTGTACAGAATCAGTCAACGCATTCCATCGAGATTGCTTTCGTAAAGCTTACCTGTCAACGTTATCTTCCGGCTTTCCTTTCTTGAGAAATCTGAGAGCTTTCGTCAAGTGATCGTTCAACGTGACCGCCTCATGACGGAGCTTGCCAATGAGAAGGTTTTTCTCCTTGACTTCCTTCTCGAAAGGTCTGACCCGCTCAATCTCTTCCTGGGCAGCCTGGAGACCCTTTTCTGAATCTGAGGCCTGCTTTTGCGCTTCGCGCAAGGAGCGCCGGAGCTCCTCGAGTTGGGAGTCTGAGCTCTCCACAAGCTCTCGCAGCTCCTGCTTCCGTGCGGCTTGAATTTCCTGCAAAGCTCGTTGGAGACCATCAACGGTTGATTGTTGGGTGTCGCGGTCCTCGATGGCTCGTTCGTAGGCTTCCTTCAGGCTGCCGAGCTGCTCTTCCAGATCTCCAACCTTTTCATTGAGGTTTTCTCGGATAGACCGCTCTTCCATAGCAAGGACTTCCCAGTTGTGCATGGCTTCCTTCGCTTGCTCGAATTCTGCTTGGAGATATGACTCTTGTTCAAGCATCTCTTCCTTCTCTTTCAGCCAGTTCTGTTGGGATAGATTCGTCCGATCCCGGAGAGTCACCAACTCCTTCTCCTTCTCCGCCGAATCACCGGATAGTTCGAGCATCTGGTTAGACTTAGAATCCAATTCACCCTTGAGGGTGTTGTTCTCGTCCTCGAGCTCTTCGATCTGCGATCGCGCAAGAGCCAGTTCCTCCTAATGAGCAATATTAGTAGATGCGGCGGTCAATTCAATTGAGATCAACATACGGCATCTTCCTTGAGCCGCTCTCCTAGTTGTGACTTGATCGTGTTCACCCGCTCCAAGAGCTTCTGGTACTGGGTTTCTGCATGGTCCTTTTTACTCTCTGCGTCATCCAACCGCTGTTGTAAAGGCTCTATTTCTGCAGCATGCTTGGACTGAATGTCCTCCAGTGATTTTCGCACGTCCGCTACCTCTGCGCGCAAGGAGTCGCGGTCGCGAACGAGGGCGTCGAATCGATCATTTGGCTCGGTGCGGTCGGAGGCGGGGTCGGGCTGATTATCGACGCTGGAAGGAGCATCGCCAGCGGCAGTATTTTGCTGATTGTTAATTGACCGGTCTGGAAGACCCATTGATTCGGGGTCGGCGCCATTTGATTCGGGTTCGTCGGGGGGATTCTCGTCGACATCACTGGCTTCATTCTGGGGAGGGGTCTCAGCAGGGGGTCAGGCCATCCGGCACAGACTGCATGTCTCACGTACATTATTCTGGTCGATTGACGCATCTTGCTCACTGGCGGCGGCGTCGGCTTTGGCTTTGGCGGCCTTCTTCTTGTTCTTCTTGGACTTTGCGCCTTGGGAAAGTCAGCGGGGTTCAATTCAGTTTATCGATAAGATCTTACTCGGAGCAACAGACGGTGGATTGTCCTCGGTCATAATGTACGGTATTGAGGTAAACCTGAAGTGAGGGAAGAAGTTGAATTCATAAGGTTCCAGGGTAAGCTGTCAACACGGCTAGCGCCCTTCCCGGATATGCGATGATTAATCTCCTTATCCGTTTATCGAACTCGCATTTGAGATCATATCTATGGATAGATGGATGGTTTTTGATTTATTCTACAGTTGATTGTACGATCTTATTTCGATGTTTTCGAGCTAGGTATTTAGAGCAATTCAGGTGTACAGATCCAACCCTGGAACCATGGATGGGGAGATATACTGTGTTGATCCCATCCTGAAATCCAACAGCGCATCTAGTGTTTGGTGTATGCGATATATAATGTTTGAGTTGATATTGTATTGCCTGCATGCAATTTGTAAAGGGTATATTTTTGTAACTTCACTGTAGGTCACACAGAGAATGTATGTCTGCAGAGGAGACCCGTCACATGAAGTCGTCCAAGAAGTCCTCGTCACGATCTTGGTTGTTGCTGGCCTCTAGCTGCTCATCGGTGAACATATCATCATACGCATGATCCTTCTGCCACTTCAATTGTTCATATTCCTGCTGCTTCTTCTTTTCTTTCGCGCGCTGCTCCTCCCGGGTCTTGCGATCTCCACGCGCCTTCTTGCGGGTGTCCTCCTCCTTCTCGGCACGAAGGTCGGGGTACTTCTCGACCCGGGTCTTGTTAAGTCGATTGACAATAGGGTTCTCGCGCTGCTTCACGTAGATCTTGCGGACGAGCTTGTGGTTATGGAATGTGACTTGGCCGGCAGCCATAGATCCATCCTTCTTCAGGTTTGACCAGGGTGTGTAGATAATGGTGATATTGTCTTTCTTGTTGCCTGCCCAGAAGTCAGCCGACGGTACTGACTTGGCCGGGGCGAGGTCTTACCTTCAATGGAGTTGGCTTTTGTCAGTTGGGCGCAGTCCTCCAGCAGTGGCTGGGCAATGTTGTCCCACGTTTCACCCTCACGGAGACGTACGTAAACGTGTGCGCTCGATAAATTGTCGACGTGAAACTGCGGGAGCGCGGACTATTAGAGGTATTGGCGTCGCAAGTCGGAAGGAAGACAAACCCTGTTGCGCAGGAAGGTTAGTGGCCAAGTCAAACTGGAAATCGCAGGTAGCATACCAAACATCGTTATCTAGTCCAAACTGAATGAGATCCTCATCTAGTCTGGTTAGAACAGTCGGGTTGATAGCGGTGTTGATCGATTGGCGTACTCTCAAACTTGTCCTTGCCGACGTAAATGAAGGCCGAGGGTGACACGACGTTGGATGTGAAGTAGTAAACCATTATGCACTGTCTCTTGCTGATCTGTTGGAGATTCCGTGGGGTCTCAAACCGAGGGGGATTTTCTTTATCAGCTTAGTCATTCTATAGTTCGACCTCACCTCGGAGCCCTCCAGGGCTGGAGGCTCGCCCAGGCGTGTTTGGTAATCACTAACTACTCCGTATAGAGATCGGAGTCTGGTGTTCTTTCTCCAATTTCAACACACTTTTGTATTGTTGATCCTTTTCCATGACTTGGGTGTGTTGTTTTGCCCAATTGCAGACAGACCAAAAAATACATGACCAAAAAAAGAAATCTCTCCCTCGGGGAATCGAACCCCGGTCTCCCGCGCTTATCGGTGTTAATGACAAGCGGAAATCATCACCACTAGACCAAGGAAGATGAGATGGCTGAGTTACTGCTCGGCCACTTGGCTGGTTGATGAAGGAACTGGGCATTAAAGACATAATGTACCTGACAGCTCCACGTCCAAATAAATCCCGAGGTCCATCTCGGACTCTGAAACACTAGCTTATCAGCAACAAACACTCCGTACTCCGTATACGAGATCAACTTTACGATAGCATGAGACTTAGACTTAATTTTTGGTGTTTCAAGTAACCATCAGCTGATGTTAACTCATCAACATTAAAGATATTACTACATAATACTAACTTGTTGGCACGTTTCGTTTGGTCGCTGCTAAGGAACCTCAATTAGAGTTGCGGGCCATTTCACACTTCATCTCCTCTCGCTTCCCACTCCCCAATCTTCTTACGCTATGCACAATCCTGGTCTTCCCTCGCTCTCTATGGCCCAAGGCCACTTGAGTCAGTTCTCGGCTGCTTCAGCATGGGTCATGACGCGTTCCTCCCCGACGGAACCTGAAACCCAATGCAGAAATTTCCCCCTCCAAATTTCGATCATCGTGATGAACACTGCATTTTCATTTCGGGCGAACAACCGCTTGTGTGAAGCAGCCGTGAAATAACCGGATAAGTGTCTCGGAAGTGTGATGTACATCGGCACGAAGCATTACCGTTTCAAGATGGGATCTTTCCGGCCGAAGCAGGTTCGCCAATAGGAAAAAACCCAAGATAAAACTCGCCCAAAAGTCCGCTAGCGCAGGGTTTATATTTTTCAAAATCGGCACAAGTTACAAGTCGAGCCTCAAGTTCCACTCGAGTCCCACTCAACTGACGCACCGGACCATTGCTGGACCCATTGAAGGTCCCCCAATTGGCCCTATCGGCTTTAAGCGACCCTGTCTAAACCTTGAGCTCTATAGCTCGCCCACGAATCACTGCTGCATCTGGGTCCGTGACTTTCGATCCTAGCCTGGAAAATGCCGTGAAAACCGTGAAAACCGTTACGCCATTCCCGGGCGAGCCCGCTTATACAGCACAAACCACCCCACTCTCATGATGTTTATGTTTGGTTACGGTCTTGCAGGTTCATCAACACCGCAATCTCCGCTCCCGGGGAAGTCCGTCTGTAAATGTCCCACTGGATTGCTTTTCCTACCCTTATTCCTTATTTTCGCTCGGATGTCACACTTATGAACATAGCTTTTTTCGGACCACTGGCCCGATTCCTTCCTCCCCGGTAGCTCCACCCATCCCATTTAATTTTAAAAACTATTCACATTCCCCGTCTCTACACTTCTTCTCCTTCTCCTTCTATTTGGCTCTGCAATCGCTCTCGAGCGCCGCGTGCGTTCTCCCCTCCAGTTTCAACAACTCTCCTCCTCCATCCCTCCCCCCAACTCATATCACATCATGCCAAACCCGCCTCTCTCAAAATCCTGGCCGGAAATTCGACAGGCCTTAGAGCATGCCCGCGAATGCGAAGATGGCCCCGTGGATGCCTCCACCGCCACCGTGCTAGATGCTACCATTGCCGAACTCTGGAACCGCATCCAATCCCAGCCTGATACCTACGTCCTGAGTCCAGACGAGTTCGCCCTCTTTAATTACTTCCTTACAACCCGCTACCGCGGTTCTCCCGTCGCCCAGCGAGCTGTGGCTCGCTTCTGGGACAATTATCAACAAACCAGCAACTGTGACGTCGCCAACTAAGTCGAGCGGGATCTCTTTTACGAAATTTTTATCCCAAAACAATATTTCCTTTCCCTTTCCTCCGTTCATGGCTGGATTTTCTTTCGCCTGAGGTGGCGGGACTTGAGGTACTCCTCGAAGTCCCCCCGTATCAAGTTTTCCCCCTCCATCAAACCCCCTCCAGAAACCCCCGGGATGAAGGGGTGTCTTGATAGGGTCTCGGTCCTGGAGGCCAGCAAATCGAAAGAGCGGTCTCTTGGTCACGGTGCCCTCTGGTTCTACAGAATGTACAATTTGATCCCTGTTGGATTGGGACACAGTACATGCGTTGGGCTATGATGCATAAGAGGGGAAGCACATTATGTTCGAACTAAAAAACACATATATAATAGAATATAATGCATCAAAAAATATATATTATTGTATCTTTATTGCCTGATCAATATATTGTTATTATTATTTAATATTGCTGGGTGGATATAATATCCATGGTCTTAGTATTTACTATATAACAACGTAACTAGTAACATCTTACTCCGTACAAAACCATAAATAGAGTAAGATTCTGGTTATGTGAGCAATTCTCCGGGTGAATCGGCTGCGAGTCATTTCTTAGTTTCCTTAGCGTCCCCAACCTAGTCCTTCCTCGGTGTTTAATATGCGTAACCGCTTACATTAGTTACTCTTTCTGTACGTACTTTTGTTCCAAGGTTGTACCTGATCTTTTTCCCATTCAAGCCTAACTCTTTCCAGTGTAACATCTGCCCATATATTTTACACAAGGATCCCTTGTGATCCAGGATATCTGTGCGCAGATCCACTACTCGCTCTGAAAGGAAATCACTTGCGCAGTGGTGACATCTGTGTAGCCAGATTTGCACTTTATTCATATACCATAAACTCTACCAATCCACACTAACGCGGTGTGTAATTTTCCCCTCGAATCAGAATTTTTCCGGATTACCTCACTCTAGTACCTCCCTGCCTCAGTGGAGAGAATTGTCCGCACACGAGAAGCTGCCTCCCCCAACGCCCTCACGAAGGTTGTGGAAGATCGACCGAATGGACGAATACAACCCGACAATGCACTAGTGGTACAGATTAGCCCCGTCTCGCCCCCATGTCTGCACGACTCACGATGAGAAATCCAAGAAACACCAAAAGAATGTTGACGCAGAACAAACAGCACTGTTGCCAGCTCATGAACCAACAGGTCCGGTTGAGGTATAGCCAGAAGAGGCCCGGGAGGCCGAAAGAGAACCAGCTGGCGAATAGGGAGCTCTGGAAGTAGGTCAGTCTCTGTTGTTCGATGCACTACATCAAGTACCTACCGCAAGCCCTAAGACATCGTTGAATACCGGGATGCTCTCAGCAATAACCCACGACAAAATCCAAAGCACTGCGGAGATCAGAGCCCAGGTAGCTCTTGCAGTGAAGGACCCACTATGTATAGAGTTGGTTCCTCGGAAAACCCGAACATATATGAACTTGACGGCGACGTGAGCGTTGACCACACCACCGATCACAATCTATTCAGATAATCAGCCCTGTATCATCAAACTCCACCCACATATACATACCGTCGGCATAGCGATGGCATAAGAAACCTTCCGAATCAAAGCCCCTGCAGAATTGAGGGCAGGCGAGTTCACTGTCGGCCCCACATATGCATATATCACAATCGCCGCAACGGTATACAAGACCATTTCGCTCATTTGAAGAAGTGCCAGCGCTCGAGGAAAGTCCTTGAGCTCCCTCAGCTCCGAGAATAGGGTGAAGAAAGCCACATGGCCTGCGTAGGCAAAGACGATGTTGGCGATGGCAAGACATACCTCATGCACCTTTGGACCTGGCGAAAACGCTGGAACATGGGTTGGTCCTTTATTCGCAAGAGCGATGCCAATCATGCCAGTCATCACTGCTCCAGTGATACTGACAAAGCTCACGGACGATATATGAGACAGTCGCTCCAAGCGCCGGGGCAGAGTGAGTATGAACGAGGCGAATAGACCGAGGAAAGAGAAGATGATAGTACAGGCGGAGTGGTCACTCAAGACGTTCATCATGATAGAGAAAGTGAGGATGTGGCTACCCATCACCAACATGAAGAAGACAATCTGCGCGGCATCCAGGGTAGACCGTCCAAAGCGTCCCATGAGGATCTCGCCGGCGTCGGCCATGCTGTGGACCTGCACATATCGGCATTTGAACTGTCCGATGGTGTAGCCCGTGTAGGTGGAGATGATTCCGATGGCGACGATGGCGATGATGCCACTGCGCGAATATTAGCCTGTACTTTCCATAGGGACGGACAGAAATCATACGGAACGAGCCCTAAGGTCGCGAGGGCTTTTGGAAGCGCTAGAATCCCAAGGGAGATGGTCTCGGCGATCATAACTGACTGAACTCAGCTGACGTCTGAACACTCTGCGAAGAATAAACTTACTCATGCCAGCTTGCCTATTCGAATGAGCTGTCTGCTCTGCTTTATCTCGCTGGGAACGGGGCACTCACCACCAAGCCATGGTCTTGTACCTCACGCCAGCCTGGCTCTCGTCCCCGAACGGATCTTCGGGCTTTGGCTCATCGTCTTTGACTATCTCCAATTTGTCCATCGACCCAGAAGGGTGCAAAGCAGAGTGACTAGGCTCCATATATGAAGACATTGCAAGAGGGAGGTTTGAAATGCATAAGAAATCACATTTAGGGCAGCGACGAAGGAAACCACCCGACAGTGCGGAGTACCAAACAGCTCGCGGCAGATTTTAGTAAGAACTAATTGGCTGCAACAAAACTGTTTGATATGTGATATAAGGCATTTTCAAGGAAGCTGGGCTCCAGATGGCTTGCATTCGAAACGATCCTATTTTGAGATTCAACATGCTAATGAGACGAAGAGAAAAGTAGACAGAAAAAAAAGTAAGGAACGCTTCTATTTGTACAATCGATCTATATTTACCATTTATTTGGTCGCAGCGGCAAGGGCAGCCTCAGAGGTAGCCTTAACGTCACTTTCAATCATGTCCGCAGGGGGTTCTAGATTCGCTGTTAGTATAAGAATTGTATGATCATGTTCGATGAACTTACCATTGCGAGAGAAAGTGGCACGCTCCTTGTCATCGACCTGGCGGACACGGCCAGTCTGGACATCCTGTCGGGACAGACCCATGAAGCTCTGAGAGAGACCCATGGACTTGAGGTAAGCGAGAGAGTGCTTCCACTCGACGTCCTTGCGGGCAATGGTCCACTGCAGCTCCTCGCCCATCAAGTCAATGACGTTGGGGAGGGCCTCGAGAGCGGCCTCGGCGTTCAGGAAGGCCAGACGGGTGCGACGAGCGATGACATCGACGGCAGTCTGGGCGTACTCGTGGCGGACGGCGTAACGAACCTCACCGTCAATGAAGGGGTACATGGCGGAAAGACGGCAGCCGCGAACGGGGAAGCGCTCGGCGGTAGGGGAAGAGAGAGCAGCGACCTGCCATGAGCGGTCACCGTAAGACTCAGTCAGGTGCTTGGCAACGTCGGTCTCGAGACCGAAGTGCTGGATGAGGTTGATGAAGAGGGTCTTGGAGAAACCGTGGGCACCGATCAGACGGACCTGGTGGGTCTGGCAGGTTCCGTCAAGAGTGGCGCCGTCAGCGACCAGGCCGCTACCACCGACACCGGAGATATCGGGGAGGGAGCTCATCTGGCGGGGCTTGAGCTTGAAGACCTCGAGGGCCTCGTCGACGGCCTCCTCGGCCATCTGGCGGTAGGTGGTCCACTTTCCACCGGCGCAGGTCAGCAGACCGGAGGGGGAGACAGTCACCAAGTGGTTGCGGACCAGAGACTCGGAGTTCTTGGCCTTGGGGTCGCGAACCAGGGGACGGATACCAGACCAAGCGGCGAGAACGTCGCTGCGCTCAATGGTGATATCGGGGGCAACGTAGCCACGGATCTCGGACAGAATCCAGTTGATGTCCTTCTCGGTGGGCTGGGGCTGGGCCTCGATCTCGCAGGGCTGGTCGGTGGTACCAGCGATGGTGTTACCCTGCCACGGCAGGAAGAAGATAACACGTCCATCAGAGGTGGAGGGATCGATCAGACCCATGTTGGAGGGACTGAAGTAACCGGGCAGAATAACGTGGACACCAGCACTGGGGGCGACAATCTCCTTGACATCGGGCTCGTCCATCTTGCGAATGGAGTCGGAGAAGGGACCGGTAGCGTTGATGATACCCTTAGCGCGGATCTTGAACTCCTCGGCCTTGCCACCGTTCAGCTCGGTGACAACATCCTTGGCGCGCGCACCACACAGCTTGCCATTGGCGTCCTTCTCAAGTCCAGTAACCTCGAGGTGGTTCACGACGGTGGTTCCGTAGAGGGCAGCAGTCATTGCGAGGGAAACGTTCATGCGGGAGTCGTTGTGAGCACCATCTGAGGTCAAGTCAGCTCCAAACATTGCATTGGGGATTAAGGAACAGCAAAAAAGGGCAAAACGCACCGTAGTAAACCATAGCACCAATAATGTTATCGCGCTTCAGCATAGGGAATGCATCAATGGCCTTACTCTTGGTCAGGAAGTACGAGGTTTCAATACCCTCGGAACCAGCCAAGAAATCGTAAGCCTTGGTACCGGCCCAGAAGTAGGGAGCCTGCCACCACTTCTGAACGGGCACCATAATTGGCAGCCATTGGGACAGATGAGGAGCTGTGTTGAGGAAGTATTTGCGCTCACGGAGAGCCTCCTTCACGAGCGCATATCTGCAATGCGATTGTCAGCACACAAATTGCGTCATCAAAAAATCAACAATTTTCGGCGCGGAAAAAAACTGACTGGTTGTAATCAAGCTCCCAAACAGCCTTTTCCAGATAACGGACACCACCGTGTACCAGCTTGGTACTCTTACTACTAGTACCGGCACTGAAATCATCTCTTTCCACAACCGCGACCTTGAGGCCACGGGTGGCGGCGTCTAGTGCAATTCCGGAACCGGTGGCTCCGCCACCGATGACCAAAAGATCATATTCTTCCTCCTCGTTACTGCGCTTCAGGTCCTGGATCTGTTCGAGACGGGACTTAATCAGAGGGAAGCTAGGAGGCACCAGCTTTCCTTCGCGGTAACCCGGTGGTGGCACTGCAGGGGCCTCGAGACCGGGGATGTTGCGCGGACGGTAAGAAATGTAAAGAACTCCAGCTCCGGCCGCGGCGGCGGCGGATGTGTACAGGAGAGGTCTCAAGAGCTTTCGTGAGTGTCGGGCGGCCATTATGTGATTATGAACAAATATGCAATTCTCTTTATGTGCCTAGAACGAGAGGCAGAATTGGGGGAGAGAGGAGAGAGGTGTAGATGGGAAATAATCAGAAAGGGAAGAAAGGGAGACGGAAGATAAAAAAATAAAAAGGACAAAAGGGCAAGGGCAAGAAAGGCAAGATTTGCGAAGCCAAGGGTACCAGATACCAGGTCGGTTCACCTTCCACTGGCAATACAGGGGTGTCACGAGTACAAGCAGAGCTCTGCGTCATGGGCGCAAAGCAGCTCACCATTGGAGCAACTTGGCAGTGGGGATTGATACCCATGCGCCTCTCTCTCTTCTTTCTCTAATCGCCATTTCTCCCACCAATCGACGTCTCGGCAGCTAAAAAGTGGAGGAGTCTCCATCACTCCGGGTCCTTGCCCCGACACATGACGCGACAGAGATTTCCCTGGAATTCCTGGCTATTCACCAAAAAAAGGGCTCTGGAACATTATGTGTCAATTCTTCGGGATACCGATACATCCCTTTCGGTCTTCCACACAGCCAAGACATAACAGAACAAAAAAAGGAAATAAAATATATTCAAGATGGCCTGGACTCTGATCAAAGTCTTCGTGGCCACCTGACTTGAAAGCTCAAGCTATGAATACGGACCAGTCAGAAAGGGCCATCGTGTCCCCAGCCGGCCCAGGGGCCCCGTTTATGAACACCTTGTTTGGATCTGATCCACATAGGGGAATTGTGCTGACCCACAGAGAGATTCCGGTTTGAAAAGAATGTGATTCATACTTCTGCCAAGTTGTGGAAAAGTCATCCTGTCATACAAACCGGTTTGGTTGGGGCTCCAATTGACATCAAAACGAGAGTCATTGAATCAAGTCGATATCTTCTGCTAGCCTTCTAGAAGGTTTTTTTTTAATCCTTCCATTTTTTTATAGAAAAAAGGGAGTCCTTGCGTGAGTGGATTATGATCTTCATTAGCCCCTGTTCATGTGCCTGGTCTCGACCATTGGAGACTATCAATCACTATCTCGACTATTCGGAAACTAGCAACAAAAAGAAATTATCAGATCAATTTCTGCATACTGACATGCAGTGTAATGCTTCAGGGCTGCTTACTTGTTGGGCCTGCAATGCTCCGTATGCATTCCAAGGCTGTGCTTGTTCTCTCGTACTCAAACTGTAACTGCCGAGGTCTCACCCTCTGAGCTTGGAGACATCAGCCCTATACGACTCAATTCCGAGTGGACCCTGCAATTGAAGAATCAAGTCCAAGATAGAGTATATCGATAAGGCACAGCGAAGAATGAATTGCAAAGCATAGTACGTAAATCCTTGGCATTGAGGAGATATCTGCGGAGATTTATTACCTGAGCTCAGACTCCCGCTTTGACAGCGTCCACACCAATGAGCAATGTACGGAGTAAACCATCTGGACAAACAACGTACAGAATTTGCCACGAATACAGTCCAAGTTCAAGCCACAGAGATCAGCACTTTGGTACCAATGCAAAGTACCCCGGAGAACGCTGTAATACCCCAACCCTCATTGGCAGCGGAAGAATTCCGGAGTGCGGAACGCTCTCGGCCTCGAAGACACTACAATGCACCCTGGGGTAATGTGTGGGGTAGAACACAGGCACAGTACTCTGTACTGTCTACAGCGGGATGCTACCTCTGCACGGAAATGTTCCATTCAGCCAAACCTATGCCCTGTACTTATAGCCCTGGAGCAAACATGTAGACTCTTCGAATAATCAATACCTCGAAAATCCAACATGGCTATCGCCGCCGTGCTGTCCGTGCTACAGACTAGCGCAGTCGAGTACCCCTACCACACACTCGCCGCAGCCGCCATCATCGCCCCATTCCTCTACGTCATCCTCAATGAATTCGTGCGCTCGTCTGCCCGCGTCAAGGGCATGAAGGGCCCAGCAGGCTGGCCCTTGATCGGTAACCTATGGCATATCCGCACGAACGCCGCTGAGCAGTATCGCATATGGTCCAAGAAACATGGAGCCGTCTACCAGATCCAACTTGGCAATATTCCCGTCGTTGTTGTGAACTCTGCGGCGTCTGCAAAGGTCCTGTTTGGTCAGAATGCTCAGGCGCTCAGCTCCAGGCCTGAGTTTTATACTTTCCACAAGGTTTGTTTTGGAAAACTGTTGCTCGAATTGGACTAATAAAATAGATTGTTTCCAACACCGCCGGAACAACGATCGGAACCTCGCCGTACAGCGACTCCCTGAAGAGACGAAGAAAGGGCGCTGCGTCGGCGCTGAACCGCCCCTCGGTAGACACGTATGTTTCGCATCTCGACGTCGAGTCCAAAGCTTTCGTAGAGGAGCTACACAGATATGGAAACCACGGCAAGACACCCGTCGACCCGATGCCGATGATCCAGCGATTGAGCTTGAGTCTGGCATTGACGCTGAACTGGGGCGTGCGAGTCGCATCACAAGAAGAAGACTTGTTCGATGAGATCACCCATGTCGAAGAGGAGATCAGTCGGTTCCGAAGCACGACTGGAAATCTGCAAGACTATATTCCCTTGCTGAGACTGAATCCTTTCAGCTCGAATTCGAAGAAGGCTGCGGAGATGCGCATCCGGCGTGATCGGTACCTTGGCGCGCTGAATCGGGATTTGGATGATCGAATGGCGAAGGGGACTCACAAGCCTTGTATCCAGGCTAATGTTATTCTGGATAAGGAGGCCAAGCTTAATTCTGAGGAATTGACTTCCATTAGCTTGACTATGCTTTCGGGTGGACTTGACACGGTGACTACGTTGGTTGCGTGGAGTCTTGGGCTGTTGGCTCAGCGTCCTGATATCCAAGACCGGGCCGCGAAGGCTATTAAGGAGATGTATGGGCAGGATGATCCCATGTGCTCGGTGGAGGATGATCAGAAGTGTGCGTATGTTGTGGCGCTTGTCAGGGAGTGTCTCCGGTATGTGTTTGAGGTTTGACGTTTGATTGGACCCCAGTTGACTTTGATGCTAGATTCTTCACCGTTTTGCGATTGGCACTTCCTCGCACCTCGATCAAGGATATCACCTACAATGGCATTGTGATTCCCAAGGGCACGGTATTCTTTTTGAACGCTTGGGCATGCAACATGGGTATGTTCAAATTTCCCATACTGAAACTCCACAGTGCATTCAAAGAGTCAAGCTGATCTCCCTAGATCCCGACGTATGGACTGACCCGGATGAGTTCCGCCCCGAGCGCTGGCTCGAGCAACCGGACGCACCACTTTTCACCTACGGCATGGGCTACCGTATGTGTGCCGGGTCCTTGCTAGCCAACCGTGAGCTGTACCTTGTATTCATGAGAACGCTCAACAGTTTCCGCCTGGAGCCCTATGACAAAACGGACTGTCATCCGGTCCGGGGTAACTCGGATCCGAGCAGCTTGGTAGCCATTCCTGAGAGGTACAAGGTCCGGTTCGTGCCGAAGAACGACAGAGCTCTGTCGAAGGCGCTTGCATGAATGGTGTTACTTTGCTTGTCTTTAGAGTTGGGCGGGAATCCATCCACTAGTATCTGCAGCTTTCCAGATCGGGTCAGGCTTGACGTGGACCTTGGGGGGGCTGCAGCAATTGTTGGTTCCATACAAGCGAGCTCAATTCATTTGTTCCATGTGGTCTGTTGGGTTCTGCGCCATGTACACATTCCTCGAGCAGACACATTCCTCAAGGTACACGCATTGGGGGGTTGACACATACCCAATCGAAACTTCGGCTATGCCAGGTATACAATGTGGGGAATCTGGAGAGGGGGGGAGGTCATGTCTTATCCAATAATCCAATTTTGTCATTATGGTCAATCTGGTTATTAAATGTGATCAAGAATGGAAAGAAAAATAAAACAAAAATAAAAACGAATCCAATGAATCCAAAAACTCCAAGAGTGGTGCCAACAATCAGGTGAAACACCTTGACAATCCAGCTCTGATGATATAAATATATAACAAGGTGGGTATTGAGCTGACAGAGCGGGGTTTGATCCAAAATAAACATAAACAGCAGTGTATCTTTTCCATCATTGACGCCTTTCCAGTAAATGCAAATTAACGTTCAGGAGACAGCCCCGGAAGGCTGCATGCATTGAGTCATATGTCGCGGGATTGAGAAGCCGACGGCTATGTGGTTGTCATGCGTCGTTTGAGGTCGCGGACTTGATCGAAGCAACTCGCATAATCACGTAATTCGTCTTGCAGGCGGTCGGTGACATGAGACTCGTTGCTTTTGAGGGAGGCGAGAGATGTTTGTGAGGAGGAGGCGGAGAGTGTGGATTGGGCTTGGGCGGTCTCGGACCAATGTGTTGAGGCCTCACTCGATCTGCGGGAGGAGTTTTCGACATCTAACTCGGCGAGGCGGCATGTTTGAGAGCAATAGGGAGCGCCCAATGTTTGTCGGTCACAGACCAGACAGAAATCCAAAGACCATTCAGTTGACATGGTGGAGGAGTGTACGTGGTGTATGTATAGTGTGGTTGAAGTGGTTATACGGAGTAGTGGGTGATGAATAGTGCGTGTGTAGTGTGTAGTGTGAGTGTGTGTGGTGTATGTGGGATGACACAGAGAAAGGTAAAAGAGAAGAAGCAAAAGTTGAGGGAGAGAGTGCAGTATTAAAAGTCAAGCAGATCACCTCATACTCCACTTTATAAGTGTCACAGAGCGATCATGCCATCCCAGACTGGAATGGGAAGATATATAAGGAATGTTTAAGAAAGCCAGAAAAGCCAAAAAAGGAACTAAAACATGTAGGTACGGCTGCGGGGAAATAATCGCGCACGTTGAGCTCAGACTGCCCAGCATGTAGAGTACATAGTAAAATTAATTAACTCCAGTAGATAGAGAATGCAAATCGAACTGGATCCACGTATGACTCCCGAGCACCTACACTAGTCCATTATTGCAGTGCTTCGGGCGCTTAGTGAAAAAATAATGGTACCCGTGCGGTACCTCACCCAGGTACCCAGGTACTTGCTCCACTAGAGCACAACCGTGGGGACCCGTGGGTAGCATTCGGGTACCCTAGGGCCCGAGCTCATGTATCCACCGGGTACTCTTGGGTTTTTGCCCTTTCGCCCCTAATGTCCATGCAGGAACCTCGAACCGGTAACTATCGTCGCCATAACCTTCGATCATTAGTCTCATGATGAGCTGAAACCTTTTCTCGTCTGATTTCTTGTCCCAATGCATTCTAGTACGTCTAATTACGTCTTAGTCGTCTGAAGCTGTACATATTTCCGAAATGTATCCTGGTGAGTACCCTAGCAAAGTCCTTGAAAACATCCAATCACGTCAGCTCCTCATCGGATTGCCTATGCCTATGATTGCCCGTGCAGCTATTCTGGAGGGAAGATTAGACCATCGCGTTGCTGATTTGTCGCCCATTTCGAGATAACCCAACTTTATTGCATATGCGAAAACTTTAGCTCCTCTCGCTCCATTTTTTTTTATTCACAGCGTCACGCGAAGATTCGCATGATTTCCACACATGAGGGGACCCGCAGTCCTAATTGGGTCTACCAGACTCGGATCTTATCTCCTCTCGGCTGTGGTTTGTGCTGCGGCGCTTTGCTTTTGGGGGTGATATGAACCATTCATGAGGTTTGTGGCAATCACGGGAAAGAGAGGAAATGGAAATTCCGTCGCCGTGGCCAGCCGAAATTCTCAAGATAGGGAATTATAGCCAAGGTCTCCACTGAGTCAATTACCGGGTCGGCATATGAGGTGAGCTATCCCCAGCCACAATCGAGGCGTTTTCTCTAGGGTGTTCAGCCGAGTAATCGGATCGAAGTGAGACAGCGGAGATCATTCGCCCGTTTTCTCACGTGGCTCAGCTGGAATGCGAACCAGCGTCGCCGGCAGCCGCTCTTTTGTGTTCGCATCGTGATTATCCGACTCGGCCGGTTCGTGGAGGCCGCTGGCTTTTTCTATAGAACAATCCATTAATATGGGACTGCGATAAAGTTTCGATGTGGCTTACTGGAAGCGAGTGTGATGGCTCGTAGGACGTTGTCCCAGTTCGATAGAACGTATGCCACGGCTGATACAACGACGGATTAGTGACTTTGTTCGAAACAAGGGATAGGGAGGGCAACCTTCGGTGCCATCCTTCAACGTGGAGACCTTATTCTCCAACGCTTGCATCTGCATTGCCAATGTTCCACTCAAATCGCGCAGCTGGCGTAAATTCTCCAGCTCTGCCTTTTTGGCTGCAATGCGGGCCGACAATGCCGAGGACTGTTGAGATTGCGAACTGGGGGGACGCATGGAAGACCCACCAGGGGCGCCTGGAAGCATTGAGGTCGGCCGTGAGGAATATGCCATTGGGAGAATGCTAGCGACGTGATGTGAGGACGCGTTCCCCGCCATTCTGGTGTAAAGTGCCCAGGCGCCTTCCGTTTCGCGGCTGACTCAGCCCATAGAACACTAAGCCTAAAGCGGACAAACATCAACAAGGGTTGAATGTTTACCTTCTCTTTGTGTTCTGTTTGTACCTCGACCGCCTCCCTCCACATTGCCAATAGGTACATGGTGTACCTCTAGAATCAAGTTGATTTTCTATTTCACTCTTCTAATATTGTCCTTTTATTTTTGTGAGGCCGTGGTCGCACCACCATGGCTCGGTTGAACGACTACGCGGCTCCTGCCGCCGAGTCCATTGATGCTCGTGAGTTGCTGCCATATACCATGGACGCCAAGGGTGTGGCTAATCGACGCGACTTTCTTACAGTGAAGCGACGATTCGTGCGACAAAACAGGGAGATCGCACGAGTAAACTCTATGCAATCTCTTCGTATCCGCAGCCTGGAGTCGGAAGTGTCCCATCTACTGTCGGAAAATGTCTTGCTTCGAAAACAGGTCATCAACCTCACCCAGGAAACCGAGCGACTGGAGGCAGGAAAGATGCTACACAGCGGAATTTACGATATCAAATCCAAGTTGGATGCCAAGCTAGCAGAGTTGAGCAGTCTGGCGACGGATCTGGGATCATTGCCCCGCCGTGTGGGCAAACTTTGCGATGAACAGCCCCAGCGACCAAAACAGGCGCCAGATTCGCGACCGAGAACCGACGACTTGTTCGGCCCCGACGATGGAAGACTCCCCGCCATCGTGGAAGATAAATATTACCCGCGACGAACTCTGGAGTAAGCCGCGCCGCGATTGATCCAATCTTGTCCGTTGACTGACCCGTTCGGCAGAGTTCAAGAGCTTGATAGTCTGCTCCGCGACGACCAAAGCATATTGGAATCTCCGCCTCAATTCAGTTTCACCCCGGAGCCAGTGGAAGCTGACATGGGGCACTCCAGTCCTTCCCCGCCCGAAGTAACTTATCGAACCATTAATGAAGATATCCTCGAGGCACCTGAACCTGAAACAGTACTACCTCCAACACTCGAAACTCGCAAAAAGAAGAAGAAGTCAAGTTCGTTCCTCGCCCCGGAGATTGGCCCAGCGCCGACCGAGCGACAACCAAGCCCACCCATTGAAACATCACGAATTGCACCACCAGCCTCCACCAAGCGCAAATTCATTCCCGAGGAAGAAGACCAATTCGCCCCCAATCTTGACGTCGACGAGGACGAATTCCAATTCAGCCGGCCTAGTCACAGCCCCAAGAAACAAACGAACATGTTCGAGGTTACACCGCAAGACCACTCGCCCATCAAGAATGTCGAAGTGACAAGAGGATCCAAGACCCATGTCCTAGCTAAGCGCAAGGTCCTTGAGCCTAGTATGTATCACTTTCATTCTGACTACCGTTTTGGTTTGATCTTATAGAATTGGAGCTAACTACTGCATCAGAGAGTGCAAACTCTAACTTGGGCTCTCCCAAAAAGGCCCGCGTGTCCTCGCAACAAGACTCTAAGCTTTTCCAAAGACCAACCAGAGGAGACGAAAATGCTGTCTCACCCCAAAAGAACAAGAGTGTTGAGAAACTTGGTGGCAAAACCACGAGCCAAAAGCCACGAGTGACGAAAATCGCCCCTTCATCAAAAGAAAAGCGCACCAGTCGCCCCGCCCAACCAGAAGAACCAGATAAAAGCCTCCCAGCTCTGTCGCCACACCCTAATGCATTGAAAACAGAGGAAGAGTCCGGAAGTCGACCTTCTCGGCGTCGCGGAGCTGTCGTCAGTTACGCGGAACCCAATCTACGCGACAAGATGCGCCGCCCTACAAAAGAAATGGCCGATGCAGTTGCATTTGGCTCCCGAAGATCCTCCAGCTTCCAGGCTGGTCGGGACAGCCTGGATGGAGCAGACGATGTTCATCCTGGCAGCCTTCCTGCCGACTTTGCCCTTGCGGATCATAGCTCCGAGGCTTCTCAGCAGCAATTGCTCGCAATGGTGCCCCGCCGGAACCGCAAGGTGTCATCTGCACCAAAGGACGACAATGCCAACACCGACATCAAGAAAGAGATCGAGGACAGCCTTGCAGATGTCTCCGCACAGGTATCTCACGAAACCCTCAACCCGAGGCGGCAACCTCGACGTCATTCGTCCAACCCCAAGAGTACAGCAAACCTGGCACAGTACGATGGGGATCAGGATGAACCGCAATCTCCAATTGACTCACCCGAAGACGAAGATCTTTTCGCGCCAATGATCGACACCAGACGTAGCCGTGTCGCGGCAAGGAGAAAAAGCATGATGGTGTAATACAAAACCAGGATTTCCATATGTACAAGCATTATAGACCAGGCTGCAGTTATGTTTCAGATACCCCCTCACTGCAGTTCACAATACCATTTTCATTTCTCTCTACATCACCGCCTAGAAGCATTGCAACCAAACTACCGAAAGCAGATAATCTTTTGTGTTCAGTGGACTTTCAATGTACCGGAATACTCTGCCTAGAGACACCAGAAAGAGACCATTGAAAACATCCGAATGCAAAGATACAAGTACCCAAATCCTTCGAGGCGGGCGGTAATGTATGCCCAAGGGCTCGAGGTCACAATAATGGAGTCTCATTATATACAGAAATTAACTCCAACAAATGCCCATGTACTCCGCAGTCTTTCTTCATTAGTTGTAATCAAAACGACCATGCAACGGACCCAAACAGGAGAAACCCCACCTTCCATTCCATCATGCCATTGACTTTGACCATGCATGCAAATCCCAGACAAGGGACAGAAAATATCTATATCACCAAGACTGCCGTATGATCTTCCCTCCGCCGACCCCGCCGAAACCCAATTTGCCATCAGCACGACCCGATATCAACGCACCCAGAACAAAACGAGACTCGTACATCGAGGCCGTAACCAATGACTTGAATCAAAAGCCACGTCGTGGATCGTGGTTCTTCGAAGGCTTGGGCATTTTCTCATATGCATTTGGGCTCGGCTTCCGCTTCGCCTTCTTGGGTTTGGGGTGCTCGTGGTCATTCGAGCAGTCTTTGTCATGTTCGTGGTCGTGGTCGTGGTCGTGATTGTGGGGATCGCGTGTGCGACGGGCTTTCATCCTGGCTGTGCGACGATCGTCTTCGCTGTCGCTGTCGCTGTCTGAGGAGCTGGAGGATTCCTCTGAGCTGCTTTCTCCGACTGGTCGGGCTTTGTGGTAGATACAGCATACTGGGAATGTTAGATTGTAGTGATTGGAGAGGATTCTGGGGCTTTGGTACCTTTAGAGCTCTTTTTGCCCATGCCCTCGTTATCAACAACATCTTCACTCCATCTTATGCGCCTCGATGAGGAGGTTGCTTCGGGTGCTTCTTCTGCTCGTAATCGGAGGGTTGTAGGAATAGCGACTGATGGTTCATGCGCCTCGGTGGACGTTTGTTGAGGATTCTGAGGCTGGCGTGTTCGAGACATTGTGAGGAGGGTATGTGTTATGGAGTGGAGAGGAGGCGGAACTTTTTTGATGATGCAACTGATAAGGCTTCACCGCCTACACGGCCCCGGGGGTCTTCAGCGGCCACTGTCGATTTCAGCATTTCAGGTACCGTTCTGGCTCGTGGTGTACATTAATTGCCTGAGAATCAGCTGGCTGAAAGCCAGACCTAAATCACTATTTTAGTCCCTTGATCGAGTGAAGTACCTAAGTTTATTACTACAACTGCAGCTTGAAGTTCAAGCCCCGGAGAGACTCCGGAACTAGGTCTGTATATAGTGGCACAGGAAAAGATATTCGACAAAATACTCAGAAAGATACTTGGTATTGGTTTGCTCACGGTGCTATCATCTCCAAATCAGTGTCCAATCAATACAAATCTGCAACGTTGATCAGAATCTTGAAGATGAAGTTGATTTGACCGCATTAGCGAAACATGAGGTGACTCTGACTGAAATGACCCCGAGGTCCTACGGTAGAATCTGTACGCAAAGAGCCTGAATGGTAGATATGTTCCATACGCCTTCATATATCGTCACCGAGGAACCAGCTCATCCAGAGAATCGGTTTATCCATACCCAGGGAGAGAAGAAAAAAATAGAAATGAAGAAAAAAGTATGAAATCACACATTACAGGACCCTTTGTTGCAACCCCCTTCAGCCTAGAGCTCGTAGAGACCCCAGCCGTCAAGGCCGTCATTCAAGGTCAATCTTTCCGACTCATTTTCAGAGGAAGCAGTAGTAGCAACGAACTCCGTACGTAGTTCTTGGTCCAGTCATAGCTCATCCTCCTGTTCCATCTCCGATGGCTTCAACAGGCCTCCTACCTTCATGGCGCGGTCTCGCTCGGCGGTTTGGGCGTCACGGACAGCCTGCTCCCTCTCCTCTGCATAGAGCTCTGCGTTGTCATCCGAGAACTCCTTCAGGGAAATCAAGAAGTCACGCAGATGAGTCTTGAACTTGTTCAGGTCATCAGTGTAAGCAAATAGTCCGATGACGAATTGCTTGATTTGCGCTCTGTGTAGACGCGTTAGTATCAACATGATTTGAGATGATAAGACTGGCTTACTCTTGAAGGTTGTTGAAGGCATTCTTCAGCAAATTGGCAATATATTCCTGCAGGAATTCTTTGTTGGAGGTTCCAGCGGGAGCCTGATCGGCAGCGTAGATGGGCTCTTGAATCTTGCCAGACTCAACGAAGTAGAACATGCGGGACAGAAGCATGGCCTGAGATTTGAAACCTGGAAAATACTGTGAGCTTTGGGTTATGGGTTAGGGAGAAGAACATGTACTTACCAGCCTTGTGGTCACTGTCCGTCAGGACGAAGAAGACGTCCTGAAGGATGGAAATGTAGAACTGGCGGAAGAAGATGCTCGAAGTCTGTGGGTCGGTTTCGGCCATGTTGTTCATCAACTCCAAGCACATCGTAAGACCCGTGTTCTCAACTTCACGGTTGTCGTGCTTTGAGGCCCACATGCACGAGTCGATGACAAACTTGAACTGAGCTGCATCAAGCTTCAAGAGAGCCTGGAAACAATACAAGTTGACTGCCTGCAGCAATTTGAAGAATTCCACACGGTGCTCGGGGTATTCGTGGAAATCCTTGTTGATCATCTCAAGAGTGCAGTCGAAGACACTGTCCATGATAGCAGGGATCTTGTCCTCCATCAAATTCTGTTTTATATGTTAGCAACGTTAAACCAGGCATTTTCGGCTCGTTCAAACAGCCACCGAATGAAGTTAAAGGGCAGGGGGAACTTACGTGAAGCTTGTGAATGATCGTGGTCATGGCGTTCAAGACCTCAGCCTCTCGTGCATCGGGAACGTTCCGGGCATAATCAATGAGCACGGCCTCCATAAGTGGAGGGACCATGCTGGCGTTGACCATATCGAGATCATCCGATTTTTCCACGTAGGTGTCAATAAGCTTCAGAATTTCTTTTTTGATGGTCCGAAGTCCTCGGACCTTGGGGGTCTTGGGTGCGATAGCTCCTATGAAGTATTAGTCGTCGTTCAAATTTCAATGAAACGGGGAAGTCTCACCATCATTGGCAACAGCGTCATTAATGAGCTGACTGGCAGCACGGTACATGTTGAGCATGTCATGATAGATGCGACCAATCTGGGAAGAGAAGTATGTGCCGATTGAGGAGCAGGCTGAGACATTGGTCTTCATAATGTTACCAACAATCTTGATGGTGTCGCCATCTTGAAGAATGGCGGGGTTCTCATTAGCTTGAGCAATGATATGATCCCAGGCGTTGTTGGGGAGCGCCATCAAGTTCTCGGTCAAACGATCTTGGAGAGTCTTCTGGCCCTGAGCAGAGATCATGTAGCCACATGCCTCGTAGAACGTGTGAATTTGCTGGGGAGAAAGGTCTTGTGTGATCTTTCTCATGTTCCGCACAATTTCTTCAATGAAAGGCTCAGTCTCTCCCGGCTGGAGGGCAACAAAGTGCCGTCTGCACTTGTTGGCGATCTTGATAAAGGTATCACAAGCCATATCCTGAACACCTTCGTGTGTCTCGTGCATAAATTCGAAAAGCTTGTTGACCACAGTCTTCAGGAATTTCCAGTGCGCCTTCAAGAAGCGAGGGTATTGGCCCACAATGTACATAATGTTACTCGCCACGACGGCCTTGTTGTCCTTTCCACGTTTCTGCTCGGTGAGACCAAGAAGGTCCTTGATGACGGTGACAAGGAAACGCTTCTCGGTCTCTTCGTTCATGGCGCCAGAGATAGAACCAATGGCCCAACAAAGAGTGTTGCAGTTGACCCAGGACCATTCGGTATTATCGACCTGCTTGGCCAACTTGTCGATCATGATGGTTTCGGTGTCAACGACATCCAAATGGGTAAGGTAAACCAGACACTCGCGAATCGTCTTGTAAAGCTGGATGGTGTCGCTTTCCTTGACAAACTCACGCACGATTTCACCCTCATCGTTTTCCACAACAAGAACTTCTTCCGGGCGAACCATCTTCTCAATCATAACAGTGCGGAGGTTTGTGAGCACGGTCTCGTACTTGTGCTTGCGCAGAGGGTAGCCGGCCAGTGTGTTAGGGTTAGGTGCACCGCCATTTGCCAAGCCGCTGACACCCATAGACACTAGCGGATTGATGTCGGTGATTGGAAGCTGCTGCATCTCCTCGTAAAGTTCCTGCACCAGCTTGGTCCAGTAGTCCAAACAAATCTTGAACACTTCACGGTCTTCAATCTGACTGATTCGGATCATATAGAAATGTGAGTGTGTAAGGTAATCTTGGTTAGGCAGCTTCTCAATAAGCTAAGCGAAGAAAGGTTGTTAGCAAAATTCAACTTGAAAAAGGAAAAACACAGGCGAGACAGGCGAATACATACGTCCAGGTGAGCACTGAAGAAGCTCGAAAGGAACAAGGCCAGATTTGATACAAACTCCTGATCTCTTCCGTTGCTCATAGCATAAGTCTGCTTCAAATCCAGCGACAGAGGAATGACATTGGACACAGCAGTAAGAGTTTCAGTAAACATGTGCACCAGTCTTTCGTCATAGTTGTAGGGAGTGCCAATCTGCAAACCGCCAATCTCGGTCAGGCACTTCAGTGTGATATTTCGGAACTCGGGTTCGCCAAGGAATCGAGTAAGAAGAGTATTGATGATCGGGGTCTCGAAGATATAGCCTAAGGGAATCCAGTTCAAGAACCGGAGTAAAGTCTCAAGAGTGGCCTTAACCAGACTGGGCTGGTTCGCGGTGTTCAAAACCTCGGAGCAGACTTGGAAGATCGATGCGAATTCGGAGGTCATGGTCGTCTTCAGGTTTCGTGCCTTGGAAGATGTCATCTGGTCTTGCGAGAAGTCAAAGACTTCCTCGGACAGCAGACGAAGGATGTTCATGTTGTTCTCGCAGATCGAAAGGCCGGCATGGCAGGAGGAGATGATCTCGTTGATGAAGGTGGGCCAGTTGTGAGGCCATTCCTGCTTCAAGATGGAGACAAGCACCAGGTTAAGCTTGTTCAGGAGAGGACGCTCGGATTGAATCTTCTCTTCGGATTCGGAGTTCTCGAGAATGAACCTCACGATGAAGTTTCGGATACCTAGATATCACCACGTAAGTATAGACACGCAGAGACCTGTGGGTTGTGGTTCTTACCCAGGCATTGCTCCCGTGGGAGAACCTTCCACCGGGTCATGATAACATTGTCAAGGACTTGAAGAGCGATGTCTATAAGGAGTTAGCGAAGGCTGTTTGCGGGTGAGGTCGAATGACAGGTTGTCAAAGGAGTTTGAGACACACATTTGGTTTGGAGATATGAGGCCTCTTGGAGGATGTTTCCCACAGTGACCCAGGCATCCGGGTTTTGCTTGAACTGAACAACAACAAAATGGGTTAGTTCAAAGTTGATATCAAGTTCGAATCGGCATGCGCGCTTACTTCTGTCAAAGTCTGTTGGGCTTGGTTTTGCTAAATGCGTACACAACCGGGTTAGCCTTTCCACCCAGGAAGGAGCTTGCGAAACACCAAGGATATAAAGATCATCCAGATGGCAGACTGCAGGACCTACAATTTCTCCTTTGCCTTCAAACAAGGCCCGGACCGTGTTGTCCAGCTCTTGTACCGAAATCGACATCCCGGCGCGGACAGGCGGCGTCGCCTCAAATCTCGAGATGGGGGACAGTGACACGGGAGTCAGGAATTGGTTAGGTTAAAGAGAGACCGCCTGGTCAAGGTAAGAGGGGCCAAGGCGGCTGCAGGGCAGTATTGGAGGGGTGGGATAGAGAAGCAATAGGATCGGTGGGGTAGAGAGATCCTTTGGAGGGGTTGGGTCAGCACGGCCTCAGGGGGAAGAGAAGTGATTGGGTGGGAAAGGGTCAGATCTCAACGTACCAGAATAGTAAGGCAGTAAAAAAACACGAAATTGGGGATAAAAAAGAAGCTATCTCAGACTCTGGCGGTGAGAGGCGCGTTGATGTTTGAACTTCCAAGTTGGTCTCGATTCTTAGTCAGCTGAGCTCTCCGCCTACCCGCCCGGCGTTCCAAGGTTGCCCTATGTGTACGTGTTATACACAACCTCATCCAAAGGTTCAGCGGTTTCATTGGTGAGTAAGGCCTTGTGATATTTTTATCTTGTTGCTAGATTTGTTTGAGAATGATTTATATAGACTTTTTGAAATAGTTCAATTGACTCGAATACCAACATTATGATAACAGGCGCTCTCACAACAGTTTAGTGGCACATGAAACTCCTAGGCTATAATTACACTCTTATATACCTCTCTGCCAGGATCAATAATATTCCAAATCACCCCAAAGCACAGAGTCCGAAGTACTTCACAGAGTAACCAGAGTGATGGGAAGTGGACAAGCAAGCTAGACAAAGCAAAAGCACATAGGTCGCCTAAAGTGCGTAAAAAGCGCAAGCCATGAGGCATCCGTGCCCAGCCGACCTGCCTCTGGTCTTCCGGTCCTAGCGCGGCGGCACGATGCAGTCATCAACTAACTCCCGAGTTTCAAGGCTGAGCTCCCAACTTCCAAAGAAAAAGGGATATCATGGGAGTGGGATTATTTTTCAAAAAGGGTTCTATGTAAATAAAACATATAATAATTCGCAAAGTCTCAAGAAACCCAACCCAAATGATCTCCCAGGTCCAATCCCATTAAGCGCATAACCGCCCACATACGCGGACACACGGGCGCCAATGGCGAATGTCGGGCCCAAATTTGTCAGCGCGGGACGGAGCCGGAACGCGCGCAAAAAAAAAAAAGGAGCGAAAAGCGAGCGAATCGACATGGGTGTCTCAGACCCGCGCCTTCACTAGGAAATGGCTGATCACTTTCCGATTGGTGCTGCGTGTGACGCCGTCATTGCCGATCGCCAACTTCCCCTTTCCCTTTTGTTGTGTACTTTGCTATAGATGTAAGAGGGTCCTAGCTCGTCACTTCTTTTTCTCTTTTTCTCTTTTTTTTCCCTTTCTTATTAGTGTTTCTCTCCCCCCTCCTTTGCCGCCCCCCCTCCCCCAAATTCTTTTATTCCTTATTCTCTTTTTTATGTGCCTTTCCTATCTTCTATTCTCTTATATCCGAGTTGATCTCTGTGCTCTATGTCATTCTGATCTCGCCTAAAAGGGTCATTTCTGTATACTTATTTGTGACAATCTCCCGCCTCCAGATCTTCCACCGCCCCACCGCGGGTGACTTGCCGCAGAGGTATTGGGATATTTGGGGCAAAAAACTCCCAACATCTGGTGATCTTTTATATCGTGAACGGTTTCATCTTACCGCTGATTGTGATTGCAACTCTCCTGCGTTTCGGCTCGGGAAGTTAGCGCATGAATCTAGCCAACACTTGCCATCATTGGAGGGATTCATTCTCATGAGCATTACACATTATATTCCTATATAGTGTCCCCCTTCATCGCCAGGTTTTACCCCAAGCTTTATTTCCGTGATTTCTCAGCGCCTTCTATTTCATTACTTCTGTTATTTTCTTCTTTTGAAACCTGACGATGACTGCTCTGGCTGCGCCCATGATGAACGGTCATGAGTCTGGGGCGGAAAATGGGACAGAGCACAGCCCGAACCGCTTCACGGCTGTCAATGGCAGGGAATCAGCTCCTGCAAATGGTACAGCGTACCCAGGGGACCGTGGAGGGGCGGAGAAATCTGGCTCAGATGCCAGCCAACGGCAAGAAACACGGGCAAATTTCACCAACGAGCAAGAGCAAGGAAGAGCGTCTCCCAGATCCTCATCTCCCAATTCTCACCATAAGAATAAGAGAAAGAGGTCTGAATCACGGGATCAGGACTCTTCAAACCCTGATGGAATGAACGCCTCTCCAGTGAACCGTTCGGCCGAAATTCACCAGTCTAACCAAAGTGGCAGTACGGCGGGGTCTGTGGTAGAGATGGAGCGTGGAAACCACTCTGCGACGCCGTCTCACCGGTCTGACGGCAACGACATGCCCCAGACATCTGCCAATAGTCCCTGGTCCGAATATGACACACAACTCATCACTCAAGCCCAACGAGCACAGCAAATGGACCCATCGGATGCTCACTTGGCAGATGCCTTACAACGCGAGGCGGGCCAAGAACGACCGGGGGCCAACCGCTCGACCCCTGGCGCCCAGCAAGCGTCTTCTCCTGGTTATGGCCCAGATCGACATGGGGCGCTACAGGTCGCTCCTAAAAGAAAGCGAGTGTTTAGTAATCGAACCAAAACGGGTTGTATGACCTGCCGTCGCAGAAAGAAGAAGTGCGACGAGCAACATCCAGCATGTAAGTCCATACCTGATGGCTCTAGTTTTCTCATCAGTCTGTTTCTAGAAATCACTTGTTGTTTCATCCAATCCAAAGAGCACACGTTGATCATGAATTGTAGGCAACAACTGTATCCGAGGCGGATTTCTGTGCGAAGGCTATTCTTCCCGAAGCACCTGGCAAAAACCATCGAGTGCAAAGACCCCGGTTCCTTTGCAGTCTAAAGAAGGCTACTCGGATATGAACAGCCCGTACATGCAAGAGACACCCCGCCACCCAGACCGACAGCCGAGCATGCCAGAACACGTTGAGCCGATTAAAATAAGACCCATTGGAACCGAAGACAACGAACGCCCTGTCCAACAATACACCACCAGTCCAACAATCACAGCAACAACCCCTGGATGGTCAAAACAAGCCTGGCCCCCCGCAGGAGCCAGTCATCCACCTTATGCCGAGCCAGTCTCCAAGCCCAGCTATCACGAGGTCCCCTCAATCCGTGAACTGTCAATAGACAGTCGCCACAAACCGGACTACCCAGGCATCTCGTCAATGCGAGATATCAGCCATGCATCTCACCCCAAAACCACGATGCCCATGTTCCAGGGCAGCGTCGAGCAACGAACATTGCCTCCCGCAGCTATGGATACCCACAGTCCCCAGGCCCAGGCTCGACTGGCCTTGAGCATGGAACATCACATATCTGGTCGCTCAGCTCCCGCCCCAGCTCCTCCAAGCGAGGAGACAGAGAAGGAGAAAATGCTGAAAGGAGGACTCTACCGACCCTTCGACGTCCACCTCGTAGAGGACCGGGACCGATGCCGAGGCGCACTGTGGAGATTCAACAATGCCAGCAACCCACTCGCCGGCGTGAGTTCGAAAGAGCAGTCCCGCCTGCTAAAGGAAATCATCATACCCCCCGCAAGCTCCGTTTCCAACTCACCCGTCATGGGCGCATCTCGCTCTGTCGGGTCTATAGGCCAGGGTGTGATTGTCGAGGCGCCATTCATGTGCCACTACGGATACAATATTCACTTGGGAGAGGATGTTATGATTTCGGAGAATTGCCTGTTTGTGGATGACTGTGTGATCCGGGTCGGCGCGCACACGTGGATCGGCCCAGGTGTCAAGGTGCTGAGCGCTTCAGCCAATGGTACCATGCAGGAGCGCAAGGGGTCGCAGAGTCGGTATCAAGGCCGCCAGGTCACGATCGAGGAAGATTGTTATGTGGGTGCTGGGGCTGTTATCTACCCGGGTGTGCGTCTCAATCGGGGCGTTTATGTGGGCGCCGGAGAGATTGTCAAAAATGACATTGTAGCGTATGGGTTTCAGGGGCAGAAACCTACCTTTATGTGAACGAAGTGATGTGTACGATTGTATGATGAAGTGTTGTTGGCTCGTCCTTCGTTTTGATCTATCAGCTTCGATCGAAATGCAGGGATGAGACATGTCTTTCTGATCTTCGGTGGTTTTTTTCTTCACTTTGTTTGCTTTTTTGATATCCACCATTGATGAATGACTCTGATCATCTTTGTATGTTACTTGTGCTTTTCATCTGGTGAGCCTGGTGTCATATTGTAGTCTATACATACTCCGTATAATATCTATGCATCTCTTACGAACATACTCCGTACATCTAAATCTTGAGTTTAAGGTTGCAAAGTTCCGAAATTGTTATTGAGATTATTGTTCACATTGTGTTTGGGGAATCGAAAAGAATGTATGCAGATGGGAGATGGGAGGAACCGAATGGAAAATAGAACAGAAACCGGAACCCGGAACAATCGTGACACATAAGAGAGATCTATGTAAGATCGTGCGAAATCAACCAGTGTACAGATAAATCACGTCTTGGTCTGAAAATCACACTTTTGGAGCGGAGATATTATGGCGTGCGAAACGCGGCGATCAAAGCCAATCAAGGAATTCGGGGACGAAGTAACTGATCACAATGCCGGCGCCTGCTCTCAAGATACCTTCGGTACTTTCAAAAGCCATGTCCTTGAGATCGAAGACACCTGCCTTGGCAGCGGCGTGGATCATGGCGAATTCACCACTGACCTGGTATGCCGCCACCGGGAGGTCGGGCGCCAGATCCTTGGCATCCCGGATGATATCGAGGTAGCTGCTGGCCGGCTTGACCATGATAATATCGGCACCTTCGGCCATATCTCTCTGAATGGCACGTCGCGCGAGACCACGACCACCGGGAGGGAGTTGGTAGCAGCGGCGATCTCCGAAGGAGGGACAGGAACCAGCCGCATCCCGGAACGGACCGTATAAACAGCCACTGAATTTGGCACTATAGGACATCAAAAGCACGCGGTGGGCCAAACCGGACTCGATCAATTTGAGCTTGATGGCGCGGATTCTGCCATCGTTCATATCTGAGGGTGCCACGCAGTGGGCTCCTGCTGCGGCGTACGCAACGGCAACATCGGAAATCCGATCGACGGACTGTGCGTTATCGAGGGATCCGTCCTCGCGGAGGATGCCACAGTGGCCGTGGGATGTGTACTCGCAGAGACACACATCGGTCGTAATGTATAATTGAGGGAAGCGAGAGCGGAGGAGGCGGATGGATTGAATCACGGGTCCATCAGGGTCATCTGCCGCGGTACCGAGGGCATCTTTTGCTGAGGGGTGAAGCGGAACACCAAACAGCATAACCGAGCGCAGGCCTTTGCGGACCAGTGGGGCCAGGAAAGGAATCAATCGGTTGACTCCACGACGGGACTGGTTAGGCAAGGAGGGGATAGGGGTTTCTTCGTCGGGGTTGTCGGTGATGAACAAGGGATAAATAAGCATATCCTGTGTGCGTTAGCGGGCCATTGATTGTCAATGTGAAAGACGGACAAACCTTGGTCAATTGTCGCTCGGCTTGCCATGCTCTGGTTAAAGGATGACTGTATCCCGAGTGTAGCTGGCTGGAAACCTCGCCGGAGATGCTGACACTTGTGGCCGCCGTGCTGGCATATGAACGAGCGGCGTGCGATCGGGCGTGTGAGATTTGCGAGCTGCCATCATCGGCGCGAGCATCGCGGAAAGCAATATCTGACACCAGGTTTGAGAACGACATTGTATGGAGTATGTAGAAACAAAAGAAGTTCAAGCTGAAGTTCAGAGATTTGAGGGGGATAAGGCGAATATCGACACATGTGATTGGATACCGAGTTGCCACACTCTGTTCCGCGTACCCGACTACCCGCTTTCCGCTTTCACTCGCTTTGCGAGCGTAGCGCGTGTTCCTACTCTTTTGGCCTTAAGCCCCGGGCTAACTTCCTCATTACTAACCAGGGCGTTCTAAGCCCTTCATATTGGTCACGTGCTAGGACAATACTAAGCATCACAGTCCAGAACAGGATCGATCCAATAAAATATCACGAAATAGAACAGGCTCTGGGGTACGGTTTGAGTATCAATGCTCCAATCAGAACAGAAATGAATCTGATAGTGGGGTGTCATTACTGATATGCTCATGATCTTCATACGGTCCTTGACAGTTGGTGACAAAGCCTACAAAGTAGAAATGATTAGCGTCGATGGGCTCGAACCAGTAGTATACGAGTCCGTAATGGCCAGAGTTCATTGCTTGCGAAGTCGGGAGTAGGGATTTCACTCGTATGAAAGAGGAAGCAAAGAAGGGTATGCCCATCCTGGAGGAACGGCAAATTTGCACTCAGATGATACGAATAGATAAGCAAGAATTAGATTGATGGATTGGTTGATGCTTCCAAGGTTGACCTCATGAGGTCACAATGCGGTGGATAGTGCAGGCAGAATGATATCGTTGATAGACATTGATCAAATTAACCATCGAGGTCGAGATTGCATCTCACTACAGTACAATACTGGTACGATGGACACCAAAGGATTGAACATAAACTACTACCCTTGGATTTTGGGATCATGTCAAGACTGGCAACGCGCAGCTGAATCCCTTCAAGATATCTGCACGTTATTGAACTTTTTTCTTTTCCTATGACCAGAAGACAAGGGTGCGTCCAAGCTGACCAATACGTGACATGACTTCAATTGACATAACCTTTAAACACTCTCGAGGACCTGGTCCTTGAACTCCCGCTCAACCTTCTGACCCTTGTCGTCAGTGGAGGACTCTCCGTGGAGAGACAGAAGAGCACCAAGGTCGAACTTGGGGGACTTGAGGAGCTTGACCTTGCGGATGTGGACCTAGTAAAACAATCAATGTTAGCAACCCAGTCATTTCCATTCGGGCGTTGTAGGGGTAGACGAACGTTCTGCAAAGGGTAGATGCCCTGGGTGGACTTCTCGATCTCACGGCCGATAACCTCGGGGATCAGCTTGTGGGTGAGCTGGGAGAGGGTGCAGCTGGCGGCCTCGCGCTGGATGATCTCGGTCATCTTCTTGCGGATGGCGCGGATCTGGGACGAGCGGGCGTAGGTGGTCTTCTTGATCTGGTTGGGGCGACGCTTGGTGAAGGCAATAGCGAAGAGACGGAGGAGGTAGTCGTCGGTGGTCTTCACGGTGACGTTGGCCTCGATCAGGGACTGCCACTTGCGGACAAGGGAACGGAGCTTGTCGGTGGTGAAGTCAAGACCGTGGAAGTTGGTCAGACAGTTCTTGCCCTGGATCTCGTCGACGCGGAGCTTGACCTTGCGGAAGGCGTGGTCCTCATCGTTCTGCAGGTCGGCGAGGGAGACCTCGACGACACGGCCCTTGAGGGAGTCGTTGGCGTTCTTCAAACCGCTGGTGCGGTTGACAAGGGTCTTGCCGACACTGGAAAAGTGTGTTAGTTAACCGAGTCCATTCCCAAAAATTCTCTCCAGGTTCAATTCGGGGCGTGCATACTCGCGGGTCTGGAAGGTGGAGGGAGCCTGAGAGACGGTTAGTTTTGCATTCCACTGTGTGATTCGAATGCACCACATACCTTGATAGAGTACTCGTCCTTGCGGGTGAAGGGGTCGACGGTACGCTTCTTGATACCCTTCTTACCCTTGGATAGACGCTTGTTCCTGCGCGATGGTAATTAGTCGTGCGTTCGAGGGGAATTGAGATGCGCAAATATTCAAGGCGATGAAAGCAATAAAAGGAAGGATAGAAGGCTTACTTTCCAACAGCCATGATTGCGAGTCGTGATCTGTGTGTAGTTGGAAGACAGACAAAGGTATCGCACCGCGCGCTCAGAGGGTTTCGACGCTCGACTGGGAGGGTTGAAAACCCACAGAAAATTCGGCTAAGCGAGTCGCAGGCCCTAGCTGATTATGTCAGACAGTCATGTGACCAATCGATTTTCCCACCATTATGTCATCAAATGAACAGTTTTAGTGGGGATCTTGTCAATCGTTACACGCTATTGGCGCTAGGACATTTTGATTTCAACGTCGATGAAGTTCTATTTGATTGTATCACTGACATAACCGATATTTGCTTGCTATGCGGCTACTTTTGGAGCACATGTGAAGAATGTAGATGTAAAAAGTGATCTCATCGTGTCACCCAAGTCCACACCACGATCAATTTGCCGGCAGAAAGTACGAGTGATCTGAACTAGACGATGTTCACACTGCAATGTACGGAGGAAAGGTACATCCGTACTAAGAACTACTGCTGGACTAGTTCTTCCAAACAGGCCCACTAGGAGAAAATTCCCAAAGAGATATGATGACATGCCGGATCATGGATCTTTATTATTCCGAGGCCCAGTAGGGAAGCTTATCTTGGCGCGGGCTTCGCTCTCCGCATGCCCCGAGCTTCAACGACCTCACCTTCTTACCTCCACTCGGTGTGAAACTCAGGCGTTTGAATTATGGTACGCGCTGATTCAGAGCCACTACCCTACCTAGCGCATGACTAAGGCTGACTCTCCACAGGGCAAGCGCAAGTCAAGCTCCAAGCCTCAAGGCCCCAAGAAGGTATATTGATCATTACTACTTGTTGTCGCGCAGCTCCCTGACAGTCCTATCTAGAGGGAGCCCCTTGCCACCACCTTTTCCTGCTTATTTTGCAACCACGAAAACTCGGTGATTGTCAAGCTGGACAAAAAATTGGGCTTGGGGGATCTGTCATGTAAAGTCTGTGGTCAAAAATACCAGACCGGCATCAACTGTGAGTGGTTGCGGAACCAGTCCGAACTTTTTGCGCATTAATTGGATTGCATCTGATTGAAAATGTCCCACAGATCTCTCTGCCCCCGTTGATGTATACTCAGACTGGGTGGATGCATGCGATGCGGTCGCGAAGGACACTGCCGATCAATATGATGGACCCAGCACGAGTCAGCCCCGAGGATCTGTCAAGCAGGCCATACCCGAAGAGATCGGGCATGATGATGGATACCTCGATGATTGATGATACGACAAAGGCGAATGGCGCATAGGTTATGGTACCAATTTTAATGGGCTTATGCTGTATGTACTCTTTTTATTTTTATTCATTTTTTTCTGTTTTCTCATGTCCTCAAGTATGCTCTGATAGGCCGCACAAGTCGTCATGATACCGAAGCCTTTTGCAAAAAGTGAATACTGGCAAGCATTCTGGAAATTGCCACAAAAAGTACCTGGACCCTCATTTCCCAAGTGCGCGGACATCAAAGAATTACACCCTTATAGAGTGTAGTATCTGTCACCGAAATCACCCAGGCCGGGGACAATATACCTACCAATCGATTAGCATGAAACTCACATTTGCAATGTCGGTGTTCTTACTTCTTCTCATCTAGTCCTTGGTCGATGAACGATGTCACGACCCGGAGCTTAGGGAACCTCTCTGCGAATTCAGCAACACCAGATGGGCTGGCAATAAGATTGAGGAAAAGGATGCGGTGCTCGGGAACTCCTCTCTCCTTCAGTGTCTCTACGGCAAGAGTGGCAGAACCACCTAGACAATGTCAGCGCGGTGCTTGCGCTCGTAAAATGGGGTTCGACTGACCAGTTGCAAACATGGGGTCCAAGAGCAGGACCCATCTCTCCGCAATATCGGTAGGTAGTTTGTCGTAGAACAGCTTAGGCATGCATGTCTCCTCATCGCGTTGAATGAGGATCTTTCCAATGCGAACCGAACGGCAGCAATCCCGCAACCCTTGTTCCATGGCCTCTCCAGCTCTCATGATGGATACACCACAGATCTTTCCCTCAAACTTGACTCCGAGGTAGGCTGTTCCAACGGGGGTGGTGACGGACTGCTCGACGACTGGGAGGTGGTTGAGACCTTCTTCCACCAGCAAACGGATAATGCGGTTAGAATAGAAAATGAAGTCGGCGCGACTTGTTCGCTTGTCTCTGATCATCCTATTCACACACAGTACATAAGCTTGATGTGGTCCATGGTGACGGATATAAAATGTAGGGCCTCACGTCAACAAAGCGATCAACTGAGGTGTTTGGGGCAGCACATGGACATTGTCATAGGATACTTCCTTAGATACAGTCGCAGTGGGCTTCTCGCCATCGGGACGGTACAGAGGGCCAACGCCCTGTGCAGGTGAAGGAGCCGACTCTGATTTGCTGGCCATGGTTTTTTTTTTTGGAGTAGTCTGAAGAGCTCAAAGCAGTAAGGGCAGTCCCCACGAGTAGAAGGAAAGAAGAGAAGAATAGAATTAATGAAATCCCTCGAGAGAATGCAGAAGCAAACGGGAGCACGAGACCGTGTAGAACTGGAGGCCAACAGCGGGGAAGTATGTCGGGTTTTCTCTTATCGATTTTCTTCTATCTCAGAAGCTATACCGCAGTGGGTGATTCTGCCCCGTTACATCCTCCGCTTATCTGCATTCGGTCCCTTCTGATCCCCGGTTGCTTGTACTTGTTTCCCTCCCCCTGTCGCTTTTCTTTCATACTCTGCCACAGCTCGCCACAGCTCTCTTTCACGAAGGTCCGAGCTCAGTTCACGCGGTGGCATGGGTTCGCGTCATGAAACCAGCTCTTGCGCACTTCTTTATTAACTCAATCCCACGACATGTCTCCTCGTATTCCTTCAAACTTGCCTACTTAATTGCTTCTCTCGACTCATGCGCATCTAATTGTTGAATTGAAAATGGACAACTCACGTACCCGGAATCGAAATCGGGTGACCTATGGCACCGTCAAAGGCCAGTCTCGTTCGAACCCCAACACAACGCATGCACGCCCAGTCAAGGTTGCTTCCCAAGGGAAGACTGTGCCGAGCTCACCACGTATCTCACGATCCTCCAAAAATGGGATACAGAACCCCAAGGAGGATGATAAGCCACCCGGGTCTTCCGGCGCGACCCCAGCACCCGCTCTTGCGCAATCGCAATCCACCACAGAACCCGATGTGTATGATCTACCCTCCTCAGGCGATGAGAGACCCATAATTCGGCGAAAGCGAAGGCGTCTCAGTCCCGACGCAATCAGCAAACATAGTCCCACGACCAAGCGAGCTGCGGGGCCCAGGGATGCACCTAACTCGGAGTCGCGCGTGGTCGATGGCAGGGATACTGCCGCGTCACGGAAGCCAGAAAAGGCGGTGCTCAAAGGAAATGTGCCTTTGAAGATTGCCAAGGCAGACGATCAGCAATTGATGAAGGCCGAGAAACCGTCATATTCAAGAGCTGGTAGGCCTGCGCGCGGCAAAACAGAGAAACCCGCCCCCGAGGATGCACCAGCAGCACCACACAATGAGAGTTCCGAGGTATCTGGCTCTGAGGCGAAGAGCTCACCGATCACCAAGCAGCGGTATGCGACTGCAGGGAATGTTACACCTGGTCGGAAGAGACTGATTGACTCACTCGGATCAACAAAACCCACTCTCGAAATTCCCCAACAGAGTCCTGCCGCAAGCCAGCAGTCATCAATTCCAGCTCCACGCAGTCCGGCCTCGCCACGAGTACCTGTAGAGGAGGGTCATCTCGAAAACCACGTTCAAGCTTCTCCTACTGCAGGCCCACCTCACCTGCGGAGCTCAGGTGTCACGTACGCCCGTCAACGCTCATTTCTTGATGACATGCTCCTCGAAGAAGATCTTACAGCGCCTAATCTTTCGGGCCCACAGCACCGTTCTCAGTCAGTCCAGCGTCAGTTGATGAAAGATGCCACCTCCAGTGCTCAATCAATAGTGGAAAACGATGAAGCGAACGACGAAGGAGCAGTGCGAAGTATCCACGAGCTCCGCCAAGCCGGGGGGAACGCACGGTACCGAGGCGCTGTCGAGTCTATATTTGAAGACATCGAGGATACACAAAACTCAGTGTCGGGTCGATGCAATGCCTTGCTTCAACTGTGCGGGAAGCTGTTGGATAGTGGTCTAAGACGTCGGTTTGTGGAGTGTAACTTCGACAAAAGGCTTGTCGATTGCCTGTCTATGGAGCTTCAGATGGTTCCTGCAACTCTCGCGCTTTGTGCCTATGCACTGGCATCGTCCGATGGGCACATGCCTTTTATTCTAGCAACTGCAGCATGGCCCAAACTGTTGAACCTATCTCCGATGTTGCTGGCCGCCCAAGATGACCTAACAGAGGTGACAAAAGCCCAGCTCACCGGCCCAGCTCGCCCTTTGCAAAAGGCGATCCAGAATACCATCCCGAGGATCTCTGATATGCTGTTTCCCGATCCCTCGGTGTTAAAGATTTCACCCTGTGCCGTAACGTTGTGTTGTTTGAGCACAACCATCTCCACAATGCGAGCCCAAGGCGAGAGCCCTAGCGGGTTCTCAGCTCCTCTTTTAAAAATTCTGATACAATTACTAACCTCTGAAAGTCAACGTTGCGTCTCGCAGAAAAAAGCACCCGCTGAGAGTTCTCAAATGCTGTGTATGGTGTTTGCGGTACTGGAGGCAGTTACTGCCTCGTCTGAGCCTGATAAACAAGAATACCGAGATATGATGGTGACCCTCGCGTCGCTCCACTCCCTGTTCTATCTGAAAAGCGACAAGCTAGACTCGATCAGTCAACAAATACAACCTTTGTTCATTCGAGTGATCTTGAATGTCACAAACAGCAACCCGGCAATCTGCGACACATTTGCAAACCGAGAGATGGTTGGAGGCCTAGTCCACATGGTCACTGCGAACTTTGGCGAATTGAATGAGGACGCGCTTGGTCAGGAGAACAATGCCCTTGACAGCGTGATCCTAGCACTGGGCGCTTTAATCAACCTGACCGAGCAAAGTGAAGCATCAAGGACGATATTCCTCGACTCTGCGGGCCCAGACCAATCATTCCTTGAAAGTCTCACCCGCTTGTTCGCCACCTTTGTCGACTCTATCTCTACGGTGAGCTTCTCGGCCGTCCTGATTCTGACAGTTGGAACTGACAGGGTATTTTTAGGCACATTCCGTCGTGGAGGTACATCACAATGTCGCTGTGGGGTATTTGGCTGTTCTACTACTCACACTCGCCATCGACAATGAAACCCGATCGAAGATCAAATCATTGCTGGCTTCCAAAGGGCTGGCAACGGTGATATCAACGGTTGATGAGTTCTTACAGTACCACCGGAAGGTTGAACAGGAAGCCTCTGTACTGCCCACTCAAGGACAACCGGCTAGTGGGTTCATGGCCAGATTACAAGAGCTCATCGCTCAGATCCGACTTGCAGAGTCATGATGGGAGCCCTGCATATTTCCTGAGCCACCATTGTATTCTCCATTCGATCCATTTCACGTGTACTTTCCTAAACCAACGGCCAACGGCGTCGGTCTGTTAAAGATTTGGGAAGATTCTTGATACCCTTTTTGCCATTGTACTGTGTTTCAACTGTCTAAGACGGTTTCCATGTGTCCGACACGAGCGCCAACGAGAGTTATCTGCAAGCCCCCTCAAGTTTCATATGCTCACTTGAGCTCGTCAAAAAGAACAGTGGAAAATAATCTATGACTCAATATCAACTCGCATAGAAAGCATGTGAAAGTATTTCCGGCCAATTGTACACTGTAACCTTCGGGATGGAAGTATCCGTTTGCATTGTTTGCAGGGCACCGGGAGATGGAGCTCCGCATGCTTCGAGGGGGATTTGCCACCTCCCAACGTCTTCATTTCCTAGCAACTGCCATTGTCTGAGAAACTTAACTAACTCAGACCTACTGCAATAAGAATCTGCGTATCTTCGGATACGGTTTTGATCCAAGAGTCACTCTGATCAACCACCCTGAGGCTCAACACACTACATCATCAAGATGCCTGCTGCACCCAAGCAAAGAAAGATCGCCATTGTCGGCAGTCGCTCCGTCGGTATGGAATCCTGCTCTTCTCTCTGAGACGCTGAGACAAGATCTAACGATCGTTATGTGCTAGGCAAATCATCTCTTACAGTCCGCTTTGTCGAACACCACTTCGTCGAGAGCTATTACCCTACAATCGAGAACACCTTCAGTCGGATCATCAAGCACAATGGACAAGACTATGCGACTGAGATCGTCGACACTGCAGGCCAGGTAAGCGGCTAGCGCTTCTGCGAGATGCCATGTTGAATTGTCGAGTTGACCACCCCACAGGACGAATACAGCATCTTGAACTCCAAGCACTTTATTGGAATCCACGGGTACATCATCGTTTACTCAGTGACATCGCGCCAGTCATTTGAGATGGTGCGGACGATCAGAGATAAGATTCTCAACCACCTTGTAAGTCGAGATATGATCTATGACTTCACATTTCCACAAGATTAACACTCCATTTTCAGGGCGCGGATGAAGTACCTCTCGTTGTAGTAGGAAACAAGAGCGATCTCAAGCCAGATCACCGCCAAGTCTCTCTTGACGAGGGTCGACAATTAGCAGAGGAGGTCAATTGTGCCTTCACCGAAGCTAGTGCTTTCCTCGATTTCAATGTCGCAAAGGCCTTCGATCTTATGATTGGAGAAGTCGAGAAGTCGCAGAATCCTTCACAGCCTGCTGGAAACAACAAGTGCGCGTTGATGTGATCAGAGACCTCTCTCTCGACGTGTGATTTCCTTTTCTTTTTGCCAGGGATGTAAGTGCCAACTCAGCATCTCAAACCCTGCCTTCGACATGGGGACTATTGTGAAACACCATGAGACATCCTCCTTATTTTTGGACAATCAGAGCATCCCATGAATCCAAGTCGTTGTGTCAATCACCCTGGCATAATGTACACTTACTATACTACACCTTGTCCGCTCCTGATGTCCCACTAATCTTGAATATAACAGGAAAGAGACATCACTTGCTGGCTTCAGGCCGACCACTTTCCTTGTCAACCTTTTTCGATGTCTTTTTTCCCAACAGTTGGTGGATCCTTGGGGGTTTGTTTATTGCATGAATAATGAGTTTTAGGGCCGTTTTAGGGATCATGGATACCATGCATAGAGTAATGAATTGCTGTTCTTCTTTTTGAGATAAACTATCCAGTTCAAAAATGTTTCAGACGACATACATAGTGACCAGTATAGCCTGTTAGAGATATAGTGCCCAGGTGTATAGTTGCCCGACTGGGGCGTCGATTAGATAACCCCCTCGGTGCGTGGAGATACGCACTCTGATTTTCCTCGCTTTTACCCCTCCACACTTTTTGAGTCACTCTGCCATTTGCGACTTACACACTCAAGATGTTGGACCTATTCGATTTCGTTACCGAGCGCGGTGGTGATATTAAGAAGATCAAGGAGAGCCAGCAGAAGCGCTTTGCTCCCGAAGAGACTGTTGATGAAGTGATTGCGCTGTACGAAGAGGCCCGCCGTGGTATGTGTCGCTTTCTGCAATTGGAGGAGCTATGTCACTAATACTGATTGTTTTAGCCCGCTATGAGGTAACAAAGATCGGTACCACAATCAACGGAGTTCAAAAGGAGATTGGAATGAAGAAGAAGGTGGGTTTGACTGTGGCCGCAAGATGTGGATGGAGAGGCTCACCCGGCGATCAATAGAACAAGGAGGATGCCACCGAACTCCTTCAGCAGAAGACCGACCTGGAGAAGCAGAAGAAGGAGCTCGAGAGCGCCGCTGTCGAGAAGGAGGTGCAGCGCGATCGCAAGATCCGCACCATCGGAAACTATGTCCACGAATCCGTGCCCGTGAGCAACGACGAGGTATGTGTCACTGTGCGCAATGACAACCGCACCGCTCATATATCTATAGGCAGACAACAAGCTGGTCAGGACATGGGCTCCTGAGGACGTTAAGTGGGAGCGACCCGGTTGCCTCTCTCACCACGAAGTGTTGACTCGCCTCGATGGATACGACCCCGAGCGCGGTGTCAAGATTGTTGGCCACCGTGGCTACTGCCTGACTGGATACGGTCTCTTCCTTAACCTCGCTCTGATCAACTACGGTCTCGAATTCCTGTTCAACAAGGGCTACACTCCCAACCAGCCCCCTCAGTTCATGCTTCGCGATCTCATGGCCAAGACTGCTCAGCTGGAGCAATTCGACGAGGAGCTCTACAAGGTTACCGAGAGCGAAGACAAGTCTACTGATAAGTACCTGATTGCCACTTCCGAGCAGCCTTTGTCTGCCTTGCACGACAGCGAGTGGCTCCAGGATAAGGATCTTCCCATCAAGTAAGGCATCTCTATCTACGAGAATCAACCAGATTTGCTGACTCGGAAATTAGGTATGCCGGATACAGCACATGTTACCGTAAGGAGGCTGGATCTCACGGAAAGGATGCCTGGGGTATCTTCCGTGTCCACCAGTTCGAGAAGGTTTGAATTCCCCAAACCCCTATGCCTATGCAACCCATATACTCATTTTCTCCAGATCGAACAATTCGTCCTTACTAAGCCCGAGGACTCCTGGCAAGCATTTGAGGACATGATGAACACCTCCGAGGAGTTCTACAAGTCCCTGGGTCTTCCCTACCAGATTGTCGAGATTGTTTCTGGTGCTCTCAACAACGCCGCCTCCAAGAAGTACGACCTGGAGGCTTGGTTCCCCTTCCAGAAGGAGTACAAGGAACTTGTCTCCTGCTCCAACTGCACCGATTACCAGTCCCGCGCTCTGGAGATCCGTTACGGTGCCAAGAAGGCCACTGATCTGAAGAAGACATATGTGCACGCTCTCAACTCTACTCTCTGTGCCACCGAGCGCTCTCTTTGCTGTGTTCTCGAGAACTACCAGCGCGAAGATGTAAGTTGTTTCAGTCCCAGGTTGTCCGATGGATACTAACTGCGATATAGGGTATCGAGGTTCCCGAGGTTCTGCGCAAGTACATTCCCGGTCAGCCCGAATTCCTTCCTTACACCAAGGAACTCCCCAAGGAGACCACCTCCAGCAAGAGCAAGAAGTCCAAGGGCACCGAGGCTCCCACCCAAAAGATGGAGAACCTCAAGGTCTAGATCATTTAAATAGGTCAATTTCAACGCATTGCCAAGCATATACCCGAAAGAGAAGATCGCGATTACGAAGTATACAAGGTCGAAGTATGGAGTACCCTGGCAGCAAAGCACGCAATTGAAGTTGATATTGCCTAAAACAGATAAGCTCATGTCTAATTTTGGTGATCGGCATTTGATTGGCTCCTTTCGGCTGCTTTTTGAAAAAAGAAAAAAAGAAAAAAAAAGTTCTGCCCCGCGAAAGATGCCCCTCCAACATTGCAATGTAGACTGTTGTACTGCATGGCAATTGGGAAGAGCCAGTGAAATAATTAATAAACAAATTAGATTAGAAACCAAAACGAACTACGAACTAGAATGAAACCACAGAAAGCCCGAAAAGCCCGAAAGCAGAAGCCGAACGATGGCCAAATGAATGCCGATTCCGGAGGGGCTTACTTAAGTGCCATTAAGAGTCATACGGTGATTCATATCTTGGTCTTTTAGATTTTGGATTTCCCAGCTTCATCCTCCCTCAATCCATCCAAAATGTCTGCCGCAAGAGATATCCGCCCTCGTCAAGACGACTTGGCCAACCTCGCATCTTCCCCCTCCGCCTCCTTCAACTCCCCCTCCAGCCACAGCTCTACTCTGAACCGCATCGTCCCCGTCAACGCGAAGCACCTCAAGCCATTCGCCACTGAAGACATCAAGGTTCTTCTCCTCGAGAATGTCAACGAGACCGGTCGTGAGATCCTCTCCCAGCAGGGCTACCAGGTCGAATTCCTCAAGTCCTCTCTGCCTGAAGATCAGCTCATTGAAAAGATTCGGTGGGTCCCCGCGGTCCCCATGGAAAGTCCTCAAGTCCCAATTGCTAATTGCTAATATTCCGCCAGCGATGTGCACGTTATCGGTATCCGCTCAAAGACTAAGCTCACTGCCCGCGTCTTGAAGGAGGCCAAGAACCTCATCGTCATCGGTTGCTTCTGTATCGGTACCAACCAGGTCGATCTCCAATATGCTGCCGATCAGGGTATTGCCGTCTTCAACTCTCCCTTCAGTAACTCCCGCAGTGTTGCCGAGCTGGTCATCGGTGAAATGGTTGTTCTCGCTCGCCAATTGGGCGACCGCTCCAACGAGATGCACAACGGTACCTGGAACAAGGTCAGCAACGGATGCTGGGAAATCCGTGGAAAGACTCTGGGTATGTCGAAGTCCTATAAATTTTTTGCCATCTTGCGCTCATTTCTGACCCCCGCGATTAGGTATTGTCGGCTATGGCCACATTGGTGCCCAGCTGTCAGTGTTGGCTGAGGCAATGGGTATGTCAGTGATTTACTACGACGTTCTCAACATCATGTCTCTGGGTACCGCCCACCAGGTCGAGTCCCTGGAGCAGCTTTTGGCCCAGGCCGACTTCGTCACCTTGCACGTTCCCGAGATTGCCGAGACCAAGGGCATGATCGGACCCAAGCAGTTCGAGCAGATGAAGAAGGGCAGCTACCTGATCAACGCTAGCCGTGGAACTGTCGTCGACATCCCCGCTTTGATCGATGCCTCGCGCAGCGGTAAGATCGCCGGTGCCGCTCTTGACGTGTACCCCAACGAGCCTGCCGGAAACGGTGACTACTTTAACAGCGAGCTGAACACCTGGGGCGAGGACCTGCGTTCTCTCAAGAACCTGATTCTGACCCCTCACATCGGTGGAAGTACCGAGGAGGCCCAGAAGGCTATCGGTGTTGAGGTTGCCCAGGCTCTCGTTCGCTATGCCAACGAGGGTTCCACCCAGGGTGCTGTCAACTTGCCCGAGGTCACTCTCCGTTCATTGACTATGGACGAGCCCAACCACGCCCGTGTCATCTACATCCACAAGAACATTCCCGGAGTGTTGCGCAAGGGTCAGTATGCCTGTTTCGAACAAAAGATCTACCAGCTAACGTTCCACTAGTCAACGAAATTATTGGAGACCACAACGTTGACAAGCAGATGACCGATAGCAGAGGCGATGTAAGTTGATGTCATTCACCTAGCAAAGAAAGGTCCCCGTTTCTAATGCCATCTAGGTTGCCTACCTGATGGCCGATATCAGCAATGTCGACACCGCTACCATCAGAGATCTCTACACCCGTCTCGAGAGTCTTCCCTGTAAGAATACCTTAATCACATTCATTGAAACCCCAAACTGACATTATCCAGCTCGTATCATGACCCGTATTCTGTACTGAGCGGGTCCCTCCAACAAGCCAACCTCAGGGTTGAGTTTAATCAACTTAAGAACACAGGCCCATCCCGACAGGGCCTCTCAAAGGACGGGGCATTCTCAACGAGGCCCCGAAGACTACACCGTGAGCTCGGATCGAGTCACGAAACGCCGTTGAGTGTATATCTTGTGAATAATGTGCCATTTGCTAGACAAAAGTAAAGTCATGACATGAATGTTTATTTTTTTATTTTTTTTGAAGAACTTTATTTTCATTTCAAAGTCCTCATACTCTAGTAGAGCTTTACCAGCTAGAATGAAAACCACAGCACATTACGACATTCGGGCCTCAGCCTCGACTGGCCTCTCTGAAGCTAGGGCTTCGGCTTCGCCTCCGTGACGGTTCACGTCTGTAGTCGCGGCGGCCTGATGCACGCCAATCGGGATTGGAAGAGCCATGCTCTCCCGAATCCCTTGGACGATCATTGCGATCGTTGTAGTTTGGGACATATGAGTCCAGGTTGTTGTTAGTCGGTCTGCCTCCTGATCGGCCTGGGGGGAATTGTCCACGCCGATCGTCTCTCCCATCGGGTCTGTTGGATGGGGGCCCCTCCCACGGTTGATTAGATGGCACAGGAGGCCGTGGAGGGAGGCCGGATTCTCTTGATGGTGGGAAAGGAGCGCGTCGTTGAAGGTGTCCATGGCTTGTTGGTGGAGGGGGTCTGCCTCCGCGCCCCGGCCCAGGAACACGACCATGTCGAGAGTCGGGTCCACGAGAGCCAGAGCTTGGCCAGGCGCCATTTGGTGGGGCGTCAGAGACGCCTGGAGGAACAGGCGGTACGGGTGGCCGCTGGTTACGGAATTTCTTGCGATCGAGTTCGTGAGAGTCTGAGAATTTCGGGATGTCTCCAGGTCTTGCAGGGAGCGGGGGTGTGGTAAAGTAAGGATGTTTGAGCGCGTCCATGGCGTTGATCCGCTTCTTCCAATCGAGACGCAGGAGCTCTCCGAGTAATGATATAGCCGTTGGGCTCAATCTGTGGCAGTTGGTATTTGAGCTAGGTGAAAAAAAGAATTGAGGGTTGGCGACTTACTCTTGGAAGGATCCAGCCAGATTGCCTCGCTTGTATCCAAAGTTCTTCACTCCTTCACAGCCAGGGAGCGCACTCCATCCGGGCATGTTTTCTTCTGTGGGAGTGCCCACAAGATTGAAGATTAGTTGAGCCTGGTTCAGATCGCTGTTACCAGTGAGAATGGGCTTCCCCTTGAACATTTCGCCAAAAACACAGCTGCGAGTAGTGTTAGAGGGGTGTTTTTATGGCAAATATCCATAGCGGGATGAACTTACCCAACTCCCCAAAGATCGATGGCTGTAGTGTACTTTCGAAGCTGCAGCAGCAACTCGGGAGGGCGGTACCACCTTGTGACCACGAGCGCCGTGTATTCTCTCTTGGACTCTCCTCCGCCTTTCCCAGGAAGTGGAGGTGCATCGTCATAGGGCCGTGCAAGGCCGAAATCAGCTATTTGTAGGATTCCGCCATTGCTGATGAGCAAATTTGCAGCTGTTTAGCGATGTCAGCATAGCTCAAAAGGGCGATCAAGCATGGCATATTTACCTTTCATATCACGATGTAAAATGCGTTGCTATAGGGCTGTTAGAAGGTTCCAGGGAAGGATGTGTTGAGATATTCATACTCCATGTAAGTATTTGAGCCCCTCGAGGAGCTGCATCAAGTAGCATTTGATCTGTGGTTCACTGAAATGGACTGCTGGGTTCTCCAGAAGTCCTGAAAGGTCATGCTCCATGTATGGGAAAACCATGTACATGCTGGGCTTTTTTCGGCCCTCGCCTTTTTGGAATCAGTTTTTGTTGAAAATGGAGTTGATTTCAAACCAACCTTTGCCTCGCTCGATTGCCATCTCTTTGAGCTGCAAAATGTTTATGTGGGAAAGTGCTTTCATGAGCTTGATCTCTCGAATAGCCGTGATTGGGAACTAGACGCAAGCTGTCAGTGACGTCCATGGTTCGAATGATCTTGATCACTCACGCCTTCCTTCTCATGGTGCATAAGAATCTTCTTCAGCGCCACAACAGTGTTGTCTTTTTTGGACTTTGCTTTGTAGACCTCACTGGCAACCGGTTAGCCAAAGGACTTGACCACGGGATATTGATGAATAACATACCCAAAAGTACCTTCTCCGAGCTTCCCAACAAAGGTATATTCGGTGATGTTTGAGCATCCTGGAAACCGTGGATGCCCATCACGGTCTTTCTCTAGTGACATAGCCATGCTGGCTCGGCCAGTTGTGAATACTGGACTGAGTCAAGTTGTCACAGCAGGTCCCAAAATGCCGGTATCGATATCACGTCACGTCACTTCACGCGCAATATTTGTAAATCGTTCGAAGCGGCGTAGAACCCCGTCACTTGGAGCTCAATGCGCGGGTGGTTTTCGGATCGATGTTGCGCGCGGTCTCGAGGATTCTGTGTCAAAAGATTGCGCAGGGTATCGAGGGTCGTCAAATCAGGTCGAAAGTCGGATTAAACAAAGTGAGGTGTAGAAGTGTCGAAACCAAGTCCATTTCAGAAAAAAAGGTCGACGAGAGAAAGTCAGGTGAGGAGCATTTGTCGCATTTCTCAATGTTAAGACTTATAAGCCTGAAGTATTGAAGGACAATACAAACATGAATAGGAACCAGCCCAATCAAAGGAAACAATAGGCAAGCGAGACTGAATCAACGGAAGTCATTGATTTCCCTTCCGTCACCGAGTCACGTGCAACCCCGACTCCGTCGTCGCAGAACCCTCCCCGTCTTCTTCCTCGAAGCACCAACAACCGATTCCAACTCACAGTATGTGTATTGCCCAGATATGGTCTTGACGTGTGCCGGCATCCCCAACTAACCGAATATTATAGCAATGGCGGGCGCATCATCCCACCCCATCCACATCCACCCGGTCCGACCGCTCTACCGCTTCACTGCGACTGCATTGGGCGCTAGCATGTGGTTCTTCGTGAGTAGTTTTACATCTGCTACGTAAATTTGTACTGACAAGATTATCTCTTCAGCTCATGTACCGCGCGAAGAAGGATGGTGCGGTTCTCCTCGGCTGGAAGCACCCTTGGGACCACTGAACGGCATACAATCTCGTCAATCTCGTTTCCCCTCTCTTTGTTGGAACGGCTGTGATCACATTGGTTTCTTGATGTGCTCTGGGGGATCCCTGAATTCATACCAGCTGCGGACTATGTTTCTGAAAAGCAATAGCACTTGGTCAGCAAGTCCGCGATAAACCCCATTCACAAGTCGAATTGTATACCCATACTTCATTTTCTAAAGTCGCCAAGTCAATTATCTACATTCGATTGGCCCTGAGCGTCGATTGAAGAGAAAAAGTGCATTGAACAGGAAATTGTAACTCTATGTAGTAGATCTGGTACAAGTACATGAAAGGCCCACCACATGTTCTATGTTCCTCAACTTTCAATATGTTGTGCGCTGATTGCGCAAGTGCACCAAATGTGCACAATATCTGCAATGCATATACACCAAATACAAGTACAACAGGAAGAATGCGTTGTGAAGTGTATCACATGCGCATCTCCTCCAACAATACCTTGTACATGCGGCGCTTCTTGCGGTAGCCTGGCTGCAGGCGAGCACGAGCAACCCCGAGAATCTGCGCCACACGTGGGAAGAGGTTCTTCTCTGAGATCCAGGCCAGGAGGAAGATTCCGAATGCCAGCGCTATGAGCCAGCTTCTGAATCCATCAGACATAAATGTCAGTTGCATCACTTCGGACACCCATTCCGAAGGCCTGAACAGCATGTAAGCTGCGATGAGAATGTCGACAATGATCGTGCATAAATATGGTACTGAGATTATAGTCAGCATCCGGTTGAACAGGTCATAAACAACAAAGTGCGCACCATTATGGATCATTGCCTTTCGGAAAGGTGGACCAGCGCTGAGGATGACGCTGGTGAGGATGTACTGGAAACAAGAGAATAAGAATAGCGAGGTGTTCTCGGAATTCACAATGTTGCTCTTCTCGAGATCCAACTGCGGTGGCATAAACCTGTATCGTTGTCAGAATGCTTGCTTGTGTAGAGTCATGGGCTACTAACCATGGCTGCATCTGAACAGTCTTGAAAACCGCCAGCTGTGCTAGAACAACTATGGATATGTGTCCAAGCAAAGGTGTCAAGACCTTGCGCGAGACCAGATCAGCAGTGGGTCGTTTCCGTGACAGCGTAGGAGCAGGATCAGCCCAGCCCACTAAAGCATCATTAGCACAGGCGCATATGCCATCGAGCGAATATTGGAACGTACTGAAGATTGCAATTGGCATGATGAGTGCCAGATCAATGAAAAGGAACTAAATATTGTTAGTCACCAACGCAAATCTGTGGGACGAGGGTTATCACCTGGAAATCACCAAGGTTGGAGCCTGAAGTATACAAGAAGCTGACTGTAGAGAATTGTATAGCGGAATACAAACTCATAAACTTGAAGCAGGAAAAGCTCGTCACCAGAGCAGCTCGGCCCTCTCTGTAGTTGCTGTTAGAAATGCCAGGACCGCGACACAGCTGGTCACTTACTTGATCAAGGTTGGAACACATGAAATCTCGAAGACACGGCTAGTGAACGGCGCGGCAACAGATGCCTCGGCATCCGACAAAGAAATGCCAACGTCTGCTGCTTTCAATGCACCACAGTCGTTGGCACCATCGCCACAGAATCCACAGCAGTAATCGAGAGACTGTAGTTTCTCGACCAACTCATGCTTTTCGTCTGGCGACATTCTAGCAAATACCTTTCCAAATACAAGCACCTAGACAAACCACAGTGAGTTTACACCTTCAATCAGAATGACTGGATGTGATGGTCACATACCTTGTTAAGGACATCCTCGTTTCCGTAGTCAATCAACCACCTGAAAGCATCGCCCGTCACGGCAACGGAGTATTCCCGCTCAATGAAGGTGCTTCCTGGAACGGAGAGATCGGTCTCTGCGGTATGAATAGGCTGCTCTGCATTAGTTACGAGTCACAACATGTTTGGGAAGTCAATTTACCATCAGAGTTCTAGGATCCAAACGAAGGTCAGGGTTGTCCACGCATTCCCATATAAGTGAAATCTTTGAGGAAAGACCGGGTCCTGCTGATGGTTAGCAATGGAATTTCCATCAAGGACAGGAAACGGACCTTCAACAAAGTGGGGGATAAAACACATCTCATTGCGTCCAAGCATGTTGCATTCGCGAGCAACACTGATCGCAGTCAAGATGTTGTCACCAGTGCACATCACGTTGCGAATACCTGCTTCGTTCAGCTCGGAGATCACACCGGCAGTACTCGGTTTCAGTTTGTTTTCAAAGATGATGAACCCCAGGAATTCCAGGTTTGACTCGGCCTCCTCTCGAGTCATTTTCTGGACTTTCGTCCAGCTCAATTTCCGTTCGTACTTGGTGGCGCAAGCAATCACACGGTATCCTTTATGGGTATAGTAGCTCAGGAGATCTTCGTAGTCCGAGGGAACTGCAAAATGAAAGTCAGCGATGTAGGCTCAGAGGGGACAGTGACACTGACGTGATCCTGGGAGACAGATATCCTTGATGCTTTCTGGGGCGCCCTTCACGAAGAAACTAGCTCCGTTATCGCCAAATTGCCTCACGACAACACTAGCGCGGCGAAGTTGGGAGACAAATTCAAAGCTTCGTAGCACTCCAAGTTCCAGGGGGTTCTGTACAAAGTCAGGCCTGAGATTTCATTCCACGTGGGCTTATGTTCACTCACATTGGCATCCTGCTGATCGCTAGCAGGAGGTTTCGCAACAGATGGTGTGATTGTATCGTATTTGGGGCTTGTCTGGTCAGAAACATGGTTTCCACCCTCCTCGAACGTCCAGTTGGTAAACTGGAACATCTTAACGTCAAGCGGATCGCCCAGCAACTCATCGTCCACTACCCTGAGGGAGTGACATGTTGCCATGGTGTAAATGATCTTCTTTTGTTTCTCGATATCGTATGCGGCGTCTCTGGACGAAGCTGGGGTGAGGAATCCTTCGGAAGTCTCCGAGAGCAATTCCGAGAATCCTTGACCACGAGTAACAATGCGCGCTCCAAGTACGTCCAGTCCATCTTCTGTGAGAGTTCCGGTCTTGTCAAAGCACACAATGTCTAATTTTCCTCCGACGTTGACCCTGTTTTGATTAGTATTCAGATACAACACTCGTATGTATGCAACTCACTTTTGAGGGCTAATACAGAAGATGCTCTGCTTTTTAAGTCGGGAAAGAGCAAAATTGGTTCCGATCGTAAGTGTGGCCGGGAGAGCTGGTGGAACGACAATTGTGATCAGGTCGAGTGCTCGTATGATGATCAAGTGCCAAGCAAGCTGTGTAGTTCTGTCAGCGACAAGAATCGAGAGATGTTACCGGGGAAGGGGTGTTGTATTTCACTTACACCCAACCGCACAAAGTTAACGAACGAAGCGACGAATCCAAGAAGTGCGACAATTCCCATGACTGCAATATAACGGAATGAGTCCCGATAGAACTTGAAACCATCCGGTTTAGGGAAAAGCATCGAGCGAACTAGAGCACCCTTCGTGGTCAAAAAGCCCGTTCTGACAACAACAGCTAATGCCACAGCCTCGTCGTCGTCAACGTTCTGAGGGCGTCTAGCTCGAATGACTTTGGTGCCACTAAACAAGAAATGCTTGGCAACGTTCGGATGAATAGAAGGAGTACTAAGGTCCAGGTATCCAAGGGCGTCGTCAGTCAGAGGAATTTTAGATACGGGAACAGATTCGCCTGCTAGAGTAAGCTTTGATTGAATTTGGTGAAGTCTTTTTGGGTTTGAACGAACCAGTGAGCATGCTTTCATTCACAATACAATCACCCGATAGCAGTATGCAATCGCACGGAACCTGGTTGATCGACGGGTCGGAAAACTCATATACATCGCCAGGTACCAGCTCTTGGGAAGAAACAGATCTCCCTGTAGATACAAAGTTAGTCTCGATCATATCATATAGATGGCGACAAATCATGTCTACTCACAGAATCCGTTTCTTAGGACGCGAACATCACAATCGAAGAGAGAAATCTCCCTGAGTCGGCTCATTGTCTGGGTCATTGAGTTAGGTCAAGCATAGGAATCGAAGATTTGGTCGGGGCATACCGATTTTGTCTCGAGCACAGTCGTTCCAATACTAAAGAACGAGATCAAGAAGATGCAGACCGCATAATAGTAATATTCATCCATGGACCAAAGGACCAAACTTGCGATCTGGAAGATATAGAAGGGATGGAAGGCCTAGATATGTCAGAACCCAGGACTGTGGATATAGCAAATAGTGGACTCACCTCGTCAACGAGCAGCTGCGGAATAGTCTTCTGCTCAATTTCAATAGCATTGCGTTCAAAAAGTTGCTCTCTACTGTCTCGCTCGTCGGCGTCCAACCCCCCTCGCATGACCTTGGCATTGGTCCATGAGGGATCTTTCCAGCCAGTGATCAAAGAGAACTTATCTTCAATCGGGTGGTAGAAGAATCGCAGGTATCTGTAATCAATGAATTGCAGGAACTGGATCGTTGGGTCACCGTCTTCGTCGAGTGTGTGGAGTAAAGAGTCAGCAAAGACCGTCGAAAGTGGACGTCCGTATGGCTGACTGCCAACTTCGTGAATTGTAAATTGGCCCCATTGGTCCTGGGAATTGTTAGACGAGTACTTGATCGGCACTCATATTGGAAGCTCACCTCGATAGCAACCCACTGGCATCTCCCAATTGGGGTCGCCTTTCCAATCAATTTGACCCGCCATCGCGGTAGCCACCGGAAAAGAAGGTAGGCAAGCCCACCGGTTAAGATGCACAACGCAATGTAGATGGCCAGACCAACGGTGCTAGTAGAGAATCCAGCAAAAACCGCGGTCAAGTCTTCCGTTGCGATGTAAACCTTTTGGTTCAGACGACTTCCAGTCCTCCGATCCCGACCATACGAGCTGGCGGACATGTAGCGAGAAAGCAGAGGGTGCTCGACGGAGTCGCGGGATGTCGACAACCGCTTGGACACAAAGGATCCTCTAGTAGACTCAATATCTGCATCCCCGAGTCCATGCAGAGACTCCTCGTCGATCTCGCTTTCATCGTCCACTGCATCTTCGTTCGACAATTCGGCGAAGTCTTCTCCGTCCTGAAAGTATGTAAAACTCACGGTAGAGTCTGCTCGGCTTCGACGGTGAGCGAAAGATACCACACTCGATGGAATGCTTTCTGAAATTGGGCCATCGAAAACCTGATACATATTAATTCAAGTTTTGCGCATTAAGGTACAGAGATTTCGACATACCTCATTTCGCGCCATCTCAACGTCGGACACAACGCTCATACTATCGGATGTCAGTATTTCTAGCCCCATAGCAGCTATGACGGGCGGGTTGAAGCTACCTGCTTCGCATGGAGTCACGCCGCAGCCCATTTCGGGGCATAGATAGGTCCACGGGACCAGTTCCCGTGGGCGACTGCGGACGGCTCCCCATATTGAGAGAGATTCGCTCTCTTCGTCAATGGTCCAGTAAACCCCAGCGAGGGTCTGCTTGGGGGAGTATATTGGCCGAGTTGTAAGTCACCAAGGTGCCGCGTGCCGCAAGGTCAAATCGAGGAAGGGTGTGTGATCTGGGGAGCTTATCGGATGTCCCACAGCGGAGAGCCGCTTATCTCCATGTGACCGATGCAGCTTCCGTGATTATCTAAGGCCGATATCAGCTCCAAGACTCAAAAGGTTCTCACAACAGGCTTTCGATGCTCCTGTCAATCTTTGAATTGACAAATTGCTTCCTTACTCGTTCTGAGATCTTGGGCTCGCTGCCAGCAATGTTCTCCAAGCCCCATAAAATGCTTCTGGAAGACTATAATAGTCTTGGCATCTAATATTTGGGCTTCATCAGCGGGCATTTCATTGGCCACTAAGTCATCGACGGGGTTTGATCTGAGATGCTACGGGGAGATCTACACCTAACCTCTTCCTTTTGCCCCTGTACATTAATAAGAAACCAATTGGAACGTCATCTCCAATCATGCAGCCTAGAAGAAAAAACAAGCAAACGGGGGGTACAGCGTAATGTTTCTAAATATACATTTTCATATGGGTAAATGCCCCTTTCTCAAGTCACTTTCCCCCATTGACTTGTATAGCATACTACAGTTTTGTACGCATCCAGGTACCCGGAGGCATCAATTGCAGAAGCGTTCAAGCCACTAGAACGTATGACACGCCTTTTAGGGGCCAACTAACTTCGGAGAGGGGTAAAAGAATGAGAGGTTACCGCCACAACGGGTCAAACGGATTGATGAAGAGAGAAATGACAGTAAGCAGGAATAGAATGGAAAGAATATAACTAGAAATTATCGAATAGAAGTCAATCGAGCCCATATCATTAAAGGAGGGGGTAATTGTTGGGAGAATTTGCAGCCTTTGCATTCGTTCTCAACCAGAACCGCGTCCCGCCAAGCCCCTCGGCCACCAGGCGCTAAGGATCCCACCATCTTCCAGACTCTCTTCAGTATCAAATTCTTCTCTCCTCCTCATTCCCCATCCTTTTCCTCCCACACACCATGTCTGAGCCCATCAGAAATAAGAAGGCCGATTTCCCGGTCGCACCGTAAGTTCCCCTGTTCCATTTTTTTCCCTCTGCCGAAAAGCAAAAAAAATCTCCTAACATGCAAAGGACCCCGCAAAACACACCGGCCAACAATGCTCCTATTTCCTCTCACGCTCAACAGCCTGGTGTCTCCAGCATCAAGGAGGGTAAGTGCTCTTTTTTCTCTACACGTCTCTTATCTATCGTGAACGTCTTTTTAACCGTGTGCACTTTTCAGAGTCCCTTGACAATGCCACCGCTGCCTCTCTCTTCGCCCGCAACCCTGCCCTGGTCTCCATGATCCAAGGCAAGCTGGGTCAACTCGTCGGTCGCTCTTCCGGCTACATCGAATCTCTCCCTCCTTCCGTCCGCCGCCGTGTCGCTGGCCTGAAGGGTGTCCAGAAGGAGCATGCCAAGCTCGAGGCTCAGTTCCAGGAGGAGGTTTTGGAACTTGAGAAGAAGTTCTTTGCCAAGTTCACCCCGCTCTACGAGCGTCGTTCTACGATAATCAACGGCGGTGTGGAGCCGACCGAGGCCGAGGTTGAGGCCGGAAAGGAGGACGAGGAAGAAGAGGAGGAGACCAAGGAGGTCAAGAAGGAAGAGGGTGAGACCATGACCGGTATCCCCGAGTTCTGGCTCTCTGCCATGAAGAACCAGATCTCTCTTGCCGAGATGATTACCGAGCGTGACGAGGACGCCCTCAAGCACCTCACCGACATTCGCATGGAGTACCTTGACCGCCCCGGATTCCGCCTCATTTTCGAGTTCTCTGAGAACGAGTTCTTCACCAACAAAACCATTTCCAAGTCATACTTCTACAAGGATGAGAATGGATACGGCGGTGATTTCATTTACGACCACGCCGAAGGCTCCCAGATCGACTGGAAGGAGGACCAGGATCTGACCCTCCGCCTTGAAAGCAAGAAGCAGCGCAACAAGAGTAAGTAAACTCAAATATCGAGTGGCTCTGATCCTTTTACTGACTCTTCACCCCCAGGCACCAAGCAGACCCGCGTTGTCAAGATCAGCGTGCCCACCGAATCCTTCTTCAACTTCTTCTCTCCCCCACAGCCCCCCACCGATGACGACGATTCCGTCGCCAGCGATATCGAGGAGCGCCTCGAGCTCGACTACCAGCTTGGTGAAGACATCAAGGAGAAGCTCATTCCCCGTGCCATCGACTGGTTCACCGGTGAAGCCCTTCAGTTCGAGGAGCTCGGTGACGACATGGAGGGCGAGTTCGAGGACGAGGATGACGAGGATGAGGAGGATGAGGACGACGAGGATGAGGAATCCCACGGGTCGGACCGCGATGTTGAGGAGGACTCAGATGAAGAGGTAAGGAGGCTTCCAATCTCATTGACTACACACCATGCTAACCCGATCCCCAGGATGGAACCTCCAAGCCCAAGAAGGAGGCCGCCGAGTGCAAGCAAAACTAAATGAAAAAAGTTGCCGGTGGTAAACCACATGAGATTACTAGTACTCTCTGATATTTTGCTATGTCTTCCTTTGCCTTGCGTGATCCCTACCTTCTAATACTCAATCAATGACATAATCGGCGTGCAATCTGGTATAGTTGAGAACGTAGATGGTGTAATAAGTGTTGGAATCTGCCTAGGTGGATATGCTGGAATGATATCCATGGCTACGATTTAAAGTATATGTGAAGCTCAAATTAGGTAGGCTGTTAGGGTCGGCATGTTACTATTTTGGGTTATAAACACCTGGTCCGTAGTTAAGTCCCGCTGAGATACGAGGTACCTCGACTCGGATATATAGATGACGAGGGTCGGCATGTCTCAAAAGTATAGACTTGTACGGAGTTTTAGTAGACATGATTCAAGACAGCTTCTTATGCATAGACACAATAGTTCAAGGCTAAATCCAAAGCCTACAAGCAATGCCTTGCATTGAAATGCAGAGACCAACAAGGATGGCGGTGACAGCCTGTGGGGTGTGGCGCCCCCCATATTATTCCGTCCTAAGCTCCTTCAGGGGCTTTCTCGCTAAATGGGTTGTTAGTCTTCAAGGGTTGACTTTGTTTTTCCATCTTTCTTATCTCGATCTATCTTTTCTTCCCTTTTCCTTGTGAGATGAGGGGTTGACAGTCCCCCTTGTCTTTGGACTACACACGATTCAATCTTTCGACCTACCCGAACCCTTAGCTCGACATTCCCATTTCTTTGCTTTCAACACGACTAACGAACAATCCTCATGGCGCACATTTACGAGGTCGGCACAAGGGCCTGGCAGCCCGACCCGACAGAAGGGTGGCTGGCGTCCGAGGTGAAGGAGAAGCTGGTGGACGGGGAGAAGGTTCAATTGGTGTTTGAGCTGGAAAATGGCGAGGTAGGCACTTGAGCACCTTGGGGCAATCGGCCACATGGCAGAGTCCGGGATATCACCGTGGGAGATGAATCGCTCACGATGTTTTGATCGGGCAGACAAAAACCGTTGAGACCACGCAGTCCGAGCTGCAGGTCGACAACAATCCTAAACTACCACCGCTCATGAACCCGGCGATGCTTGAAGCAAGTGAAGATTTAACAAACCTGTCACATTTGAACGAACCCGCTGGTTGGTGTCCAAGCTTTCTCGAGTACGGTTGCCCAGCTGACAACCCTTAAGTCCTCCAGGCAATAAAACTCCGATATGCTCAGAAGGAGATATATACCTACAGTGGTATTGTCCTGATCGCGACAAACCCCTTTGCCCGAGTCGATTCGCTTTACGTGCCGCAGATGGTGCAGGTCTATGCTGGGAAACACCGTGCCTCACAAGCCCCTCACTTGTTCGCAATTGCGGAGGAAGCTTTCGCGTAAGAACCACATTATACTCGTTCTTCCCGGTGTTCGATTCTAACCATATTTGGCACAGTGACATGCTCCGCGATGGAAAGAACCAAACGATCGTGGTCTCTGGAGAGTCCGGAGCGGGTAAGACCGTCAGCGCCAAGTATATCATGCGTTATTTTGCGACTCGCGAGTCCTCCGACCAGCCTGGAAAGTACACCACAAGCCGAGCAGAAGCTATCAGTGAAACCGAGGAGCAGATTTTGGCAACCAACCCTGTCATGGAAGCGTTCGGTAACGCCAAAACGACACGTAACGATAACTCTTCCCGTTTCGGAAAGTATATCGAAATCATGTTTGACGAACGGACGAACATTATTGGTGCGAAGATCCGGACATATCTTCTTGAGCGGTCGAGACTGGTGTTCCAGCCTCTGAAGGAGCGAAACTACCATATCTTCTACCAGCTTGTGGCCGGTGCCTCGGATGCGGAGAAACAGGAGCTGGGTCTCTTGCCCGTGGAAGACTTTGAATACCTTAACCAGGGTGGCACGCCTGTGATCGACGGTGTTGATGACAAGGCCGAATTTGAGGCAACTAGAAAGTCTTTGGCTGTCATTGGTGTGCCGAAGGAGGATCAAACTGGAATTTTCCGTGTTCTTGCAGCCTTGCTGCACTTGGGTAACGTCAAGATCACCGCTACTCGTACGGATTCTTCAGTTTCATCAACCGAACCCGCTCTTGTCCGCGCCTGTGAGATGCTCGGAATCGATCCTACTGAGTTCGCCAAGTGGATTGTGAAGAAGCAACTGATCACCCGCGGTGAGAAGATCACTTCCAATCTGACACAACAACAAGCTCTGGTCGTACGAGACTCCGTCTCCAAGTTCATCTATTCGAGTCTGTTTGACTGGCTGGTCGACAAGATTAACCGCCGTTTGGCCACCGACGAAGTGCTTGAGAAGTTCAAGTGCTTTATTGGTGTTCTTGATATTTACGGATTCGAGCACTTTGCCAAGAACTCCTTTGAGCAGTTCTGTATCAACTATGCCAACGAGAAGCTTCAGCAGGAATTCAACCAACATGTTTTCAAGCTTGAACAGGAAGAGTATGTCCGGGAAGAGATTGACTGGACTTTCATTGATTTCTCGGACAATCAGCCTTGTATCGATCTCATTGAATCTAAGCTCGGTGTCTTGGCTCTGCTGGATGAAGAGTCTCGCCTTCCTATGGGTTCTGATGAACAGTTTGTCACTAAGCTTCACCACCACTTCGCTGCCGACAAGCAAAAGTTCTACAAGAAGCCTCGCTTCGGCAAGTCTGCGTTCACCGTCTGCCATTACGCTGTGGATGTCACTTACGAGTCTGATGGATTTATCGAGAAGAACCGTGATACTGTGCCCGATGAGCATTTGGAAGTGCTGCGCAACTCCTCGAATCCCTTCATCAAGGAGATCCTTGACACTGCTGCTGCTGTTCGCGAAAAGGACTCTGCCTCGATGTCTTCCAAACCAGTTGCGGCAGCTCCGGGACGTCGCATTGGTGTTGCGGTGAATCGCAAGCCCACTCTCGGAGGAATCTTCAAGTCCTCTCTGATTGAATTGATGAACACCATCAACAACACCGAGGTTCATTACATTCGTTGTATCAAACCCAATGAGGCGAAGGAGGCCTGGAAATTCGAGGGACCCATGGTCCTCAGTCAATTGAGAGCCTGTGGTGTCTTGGAAACTGTCCGCATCAGTACTGCAGGTTACCCAACCCGATGGACTTATGAGGAATTTGCGTTCCGCTACTACATGCTATGTCACTCCTCCCAATGGACCTCGGAGATCCGGCAAATGTGCCATGCTATTCTTCGCAAAGCCCTGGGTGATGCCAGCCAAGACAAGCAGGATAAGTATCAGCTCGGTTTAACCAAAATCTTCTTCCGGGCTGGTATGCTTGCTTTCCTTGAGAACCTTCGAACCTCCAGGTTGAACGAGTGTGCCATCATGATCCAGAAGAACTTGCGTGCCAAGTACTACCGCCGCCGTTATCTCGATGCTCGTGACGCCATCCTCACCACACAGGCCTTCATCCGTGGTTTCCTGGCACGCCAACAGGCTCAGGAGATCCGTCGGTCCAAGGCTGCTACTACCATCCAGCGGGTCTGGCGTGGTCAGAAGGAGAAGAAGCGGTACACCCAGATCCGCAAGAACTTCATCATGTTTGAGTCTATTGCGAAGGGTTTCCTGTGCCGACGCAACATTATGGACTCGATCAATGGCAACGCAGCCAAGGTCATTCAACGCGCCTTCCGCTCATGGCGTCAAATACGGTCCTGGAGACAGTATCGCCGCAAGGTTATCACCATCCAAAATCTTTGGAGAGGTAGAGAGGCGAGAAACGCCTACAAGAGACTCCGTGAGGATGCACGCGATCTTAAGCAAATTTCTTACAAGCTGGAGAACAAGGTCGTCGAGTTGACTCAGTACTTGCAATCCCTCAAGGCTGAGAACAAGACTCTGGTTTCACAGTTGGATAACTACGACACTCAATTGAAGTCCTGGCGAAGCCGACACAATGCTTTGGATGCCCGTACGAAGGAACTCCAAGCCGAGGCAAACCAAGCAGGTATCACCGCAGCCCGATTGGAGGTGGTTGAGGAGGAGATGGCCAAGCTGCAACACAGCCATGCTGAGGCCCAGGCCAACATTAAGCGTCTTCAAGAAGAGGAGAGGATCTCCCGCGACGCTCTGCAGGCTGCCAACGAGGAGTTGGAGCGCCTTAAACTCCTGGATGCCGACCACGAGAAGGATAAGACTGCTCTCCGACAGCGCATCACCGACCTGGAGGAACAGCTCGAGGTTGCTAAGAGATCTGTGCCTGTCAACGGTGTCAACGGTGACGTGCCAAACGGCGGTGCTGTTCAGGCACCTGCACCAGGCTTGATCAACTTGGTGTCTTCGAAGAAGCCTAAGCCAAAGAGACGCAGCGCTGGCGCTGAGAAGATTGAAACTGATCGTTTCAGCGGTGCCTTTAACCCTCGCCCTGTGTCTATGGCAGTCACCCCTGCCTCCTTGGCTGCCCGTCAGCATGCGGCTATCTCTCCTGGCCTTGAGTCAGTGGAGGTCGAACTTGAGAACTTGCTCTCCGAGGAAGAAGACTTGAACGAGGAGGTCGCCATGGGCCTCATTCGAAACCTGAAGATCCCTCTCCCCAGCTCTACTCCCCCGCCAACAGAGAAGGAGGTGTTATTCCCGGCATACTTGATCAACCTTGTTACATCAGAGATGTGGAACAACGGCTTTGTCAAGGAGTCTGAGCGCTTCTTGGCTAATGTCATGCAGTCCATTCAACAAGAAGTCATGCAGCATGAAGGAGATGACGCGATCAACCCTGGTGCTTTCTGGCTGTCTAACGTGCATGAGATGCTGTCCTTTGTCTTCCTGGCCGAGGACTGGTACGAAGCACAGAAGACCGAGAACTATGAATATGACCGTCTGTTGGAGATTGTGAAGCACGACCTTGAGAGCTTGGAGTTCAACATCTACCATACCTGGATGAAGGTGCTGAAGAAGAAGCTTTACAAGATGATTGTGCCCGCCATTATCGAATCTCAATCCCTCCCTGGCTTTGTCACCAGTGAGACAAATCGTTTCCTCGGCAAACTCCTGCCCTCCAACAACAACCCCGCCTACAGCATGGATAACCTCCTCAGTCTTCTGAATGGTGTCTACAAGGCCATGAAGGCCTTCTACCTTGAGCATGCCATTGTTCACCAGACTATCACGGAGCTTTTGCGCCTTGTCGGTGTTACCGCTTTCAACGATCTCCTCATGCGCCGCAATTTCCTGTCTTGGAAGCGTGGTCTGCAAATCAACTACAACATCACCCGAATTGAGGAGTGGTGCAAGAGTCATGATATGCCAGAGGGGACGTTGAAGCTGGAGCATTTGATGGTAAGTTTATTTCCTGAACTCCCCGTATACTTTTCCACGTACTAATATCTGTACAGCAAGCAACCAAGCTTCTGCAGCTGAAGAAGGCAACCTTGAATGACATTGAGATTATTCAAGACATCTGCTGGATGTGAGTAAACCCCGTGCATATCTATCATTTTTCACCTCGCTGACTCTCTCCAGGCTATCCCCCAACCAGATCCAGAAACTGCTGAACCAGTACCTGGTTGCAGACTACGAGCAGCCTATCAACGGCGAAATCATGAAGGCCGTCGCCTCTCGCGTCACAGAGAAGAGCGACGTCCTCTTGTTGGCCCCGGTAGACATGGAAGACAGTGGACCATATGAGATCGCTGAGCCGCGTGTGATCACAGCCCTGGAAACTTACACTCCATCCTGGCTCCAAACACCACGGTTGAAGCGACTGGCCGAGATTGTCTCTGCGCAAGCAGTGGCACAACAAGAGAAGCTGGAGTTTGACAACGGGGAGATTGAGGAATAGATGTGTTGTATATTAGAGGGGGATTCCTGTTACGGATTACGACCTGCCATTGATTCGGCCTTTGAGATACAGTGATACGCATGATTTTCATTTGTTTCAATTGCATATGTCTTGGGCTTATAGACCAGAACAGAACGCGGTTTTGCTATGAATTTATGATCTTTGGTAGATTTTCAGACTCGATATTGCCTGGCAGCACCTTTATATATCACCAACGTAGGGAGTACCTCCAGGGCTGTAGCTTCCGGCCATACAGTCCAACCTTGACCACCTGGGCATAGATATGAATTTCAGTAGATTCTCGTGTATGGACAAATACCTAACATCCACGGATCTGGTCAGTCTCACTTTGAAACGGGAGAATATAGAGAAAATCACCAACCTTGGAACCTCGTAGAGATCTATAAAAAGCGCGGGTCGGCGGTGGGGTATGTGTCCCGCATTTGGAAATTCGAATTTCTCACACACTTCGCTGAACACAAAATGGCGCTCACAAAGCTCAACTTTATCACCGGAAACAAGAACAAGCTGAGTGAGGTGCGAGCCATCCTCGGCAATGTCATTGAAGTAGACAACCAGGAGGTCGACGTTCCTGAAATCCAAGGAACGATCGAAGAAATTGCCAAAGAAAAGGCCAGACGCGCCGCCGAGGCGGTAGGTCCACCGTTTCAAGACTGAATCTACAGGACCTAACGAGTGATAGATCAATGGACCGGCTTTGACTGAAGATACCGCGCTTGAGTTCCACGCATTGAAGGGCCTCCCTGGACCATACATGTGAGTCACCTTTCACATCTGATTGAAACTGTACTAAATACCGACTACACCAGCAAATCATTCATGGAGGCACTCGGACATGAAGGTCTGAACAAGATGCTCGACGGCTTTGAAGATAGAACCGCTGAAGCAGTGTGCACATTTGCTTTCTGCCGTGGTCCCGGCGAGGAGCCCCTCATTTTCCAAGGAAGAACCGAGGCAAGTTGCAATTGTTTTGAGTATATACAAATCTAACCAAAGTACAGGGCAAGATTGTGCGCCCCCGAGGCCCAACCTCATTTGGTAAGTGAATAATCCAGCCCGGCACTGGAATCTATATCTAACCCTCGCAGGCTGGGACCCCATCTTTGAATACGATGGCAAGCAGACCTATGCAGAGATGGACAAGGCAGCCAAGGTAAGAGAACCCCCCATGTAGATATAACAAGCCATGTACTAAAAGCGCGCAGAACGAGATCTCGCACCGGGGCAAGGCGCTTGGTAAGTTGCAGCAGTGGCTCGCGGAAGGCCAGTAGAGGGTATATAAAGCCGCCAAATACGTAGATACGAACAAAGAGAAAAAGCTCAATCCGCGTTCTCTGCCTGTCTCTCCTTCCATGAATCAACCCATTGTGAGATCCGCTGGCAGTTGGACTCGACGTCGGAGTCTTGCTCGCTGTTCAATTCCACCACAATTTCTTCGTCGAAGGCTTCCCGCGCCTCGTCAAGTAGTACACCGAAGATCTCGGCGTCGATGTTCTCGTCTAGCTTCTTTTCATGGTAGCCTCTGTGTATGGGATTAGTTTTTGAAATTGTGAACGTTGCGTGGTTTGACGTACCGTGACGAAAGTCGGTCGAATAGAACATCTGTAGTAGGGCAACGGAGAACGACGACGAGATCAATCCAGGACTTGGGGAAAAGATCGCAGGCGTGCCAGTCGATAAGGTAGCCACCGTTGGGGATTTCGTCTTCGAGGGCGTCGAGGAGCTGCGGGCAAGTTAGCGGAGGATCTGACTAGACGAGGCGAATCATTCCGCAGAGTTTTTTTAAAAAAAAGAAGAAGCATACCTTATCTTCATCAACAACCCATGTCTTCAATTCCTCGTCATACTCGTCAAAACAACCGCGGTCCTTTGCGACTTGGTTGATGGATAAGTGCTTCAGGCCGATGTCCTGGGCGAGTTGTTCGCAGTGGACAGTCTTGCCCACACCGGGCGTACCGGTAATGATCACGTTAGGTGAAGTCCGCATAGTGAATTGTAAGCTGTTGAGCTGTTCGATGCGAGTTGGAGATTCCCCCAGATGAAATAATTTCGGACTAATTTTTGCCCCGCCTATCTTATCGCGGAGGGGTAAATTGCCGCTTTGGGATGTATAAAACTAAGCGGACTTTTGATTTTTGATTTACGTGGTCGATTGGTCATGACAATATTTAAAAGCTTACAAAAAAAAATCGCTATGATGCTCAGATGAGACGCTATGCAGTAGCCTTAGGGGTGACGGAAAGCCTACTGTAGTTAGCATTAGAAGAAGCGTGCTGGATCAACCTGGACTCACTCAAGCAGTTCGAAGATTTTAAACTTTTGCAGATGCGGTGTTCCACGACGATACGCCTTGAGAACGCGGGTAGGATCAGATGGATTCTGAGAGTTTGCTATCAGACGTTCCATCGCAGGGGCGGTTTTGAACATGGGATCGAACACTAGCAGATTTGCACTGCCATTGTCCCGAATTTCGAACCCAATGATTGTCATTGAGTGGCCTGTATTCATGTCAGTGAGTGGTCAAAAACAGCCGAACTGGAGCAATACCATCATGTTGGAAGTAAATTGGGGGAAGATCGGTCTGGACAACCTTAGCATCGTCTTCCGGCGAGGCTGATCGGAGATAGTTTGCGACATGCTTGTAAAGAGCATCGCAGGCTCGTTGATCACTCGTTTCGAGGAGACAACTGGCTTTACACCTAGGCAAGAAGTCAGTTGGCAACGTATACCAAGACTGATATGCGACTTACGGAATTCCTAGACTCATGAAGAGAGCTTGTGCCTATACGTTATTAGCCGGTGAGTCTGGCCCTTCGTCAATAGACTAACCTCAGGTGTTCCAATGAATTTGCGTGTGTCTTTGATACCACCTGTCTCAGCTCTGCCGGAACTATTGAATCCCATATCCCAGGCCGACTCGATCATGTCCTGTAATTGGAGAATTGACGGCCCTTTATCCGGAAAATGTTCGTGACCAAAGCTGCGTGTCTTTTTCAGCCACGAGACAAGCATCTGTATATTGCGATATCCGCAAAATCCACCTTCTCGGCGCAGCTTGCAGATATGGCGGACCTTCGGGCTACAGAAGAAGGCTCGTTGGACAGTCTTGTCCTGCTCACAGAGGCGAGCGAGGACTGGAATCAGATGATCAGTTTCGTTCTCTGTTACCTCTTTTCGGGCTAGTTTTCCATCGGACGTAATCTGAGTCTGCTTTGAAGTACTGCCGCCTTTCTCTAGCATCTTTTTGAGCCACGATGGCATTTTCTTCTCATGGGCGTGAGGTCCCAATTCAGAGCGCTGAGGCGCATTAGCAATGCGACAAATTTTCTATACACATAAAGTTGGACATACCCCTAGCCTCTTGATTCCGTCTGAATTGGTCATTCTCGGAGGACTGTGCGCTCGTGGTGGTTTGGAAGTGTTGACACGGGCAGAATCTCTTTGCATTCCACGCTTACCACCCTTGTAAGAGTCCATCATATCAAGGTCGTCAAAGTCCTCTTCAAGAACCACAGGAGAGCGTGTTGAGGCTATGCCGCTGTCATCTAGAGCCACTCCTTCTGCAACATGCAAATCGAGATGGATGTCCAATTCGGCGGCTGCCACTATTTCACCGCATCCATGTGGACAATCGACATATTTTTCAGTGTCGTCAGCCAAGGTCGACTGTTGAAGAGCGTTTTCCAGGCCAGGAGAGTAAGAATCTGCGCTCTCTGGATGACAGTACTCGACATGTTGCGACACGAATTCGGCATCAGAGTCTGCAAAGGGACAAAACGGACATGAGATGTTAATGTCGACCATGGTCGCTTCAATCTGCATATACGCAGTATGGACAAAACAAAAAAAGTAAAAATGCAAAGCCAATCACAACGCCAATCACAACGCAATAGAGGAATAACGTGGTGGAATAAGTGAGAGTCGGGGCTGAGAGAGATGACAGTGGAGTTTGGAGGATGCTTAATTTGATGCCTGATCCAGAACCCCGGCTATTTGCCGACCCACCGATGCTTCAACGCCTTTCACAATAACCCAGGCATCTTGACCGACTATGAACCAAAACATGCAACTATTCAAATCTAAGATCTTTAAAGCCACACTTTTAGAGTGAATTAGTTACTAGCTGCTTTATATAAGAGCAAGTCTAGTCAGTTAAGCCTTTAGAGAGTGTTCGGGATTCCCTATCTAAATTTCTGAGCGTGCTATTCTAGACATCTATAGAGAAGGCTGGATCCCCAAATTTCCATCACATATTCAGCATATGACCAGGTCAAATTCATTGGATATCTGTATATCTGCTACAATAGACAGAGGCTGCCTCGGGCGCCACATGTTCAACCACAGCAGCAAGAAAAGAGGAAAGACCAGTGGTGAGCGCTGTCCAGTCGACTACTTAAAACCAAGTTAAAAGCAGCCATTTCCAAGGTTCTGGTATCTCATTCACCTTGTCATCGCTATTTGTAGTCATTTATTGTTGACATTTCAGACGACTGGAGTCTGGTAGTCACACTTTTGTTAATGCATATATCTAAAAGCCGCAAAGATACGGAGCGGCAGTCTAGTCTGTACTTTAGAACATATTCATGACCCAATCTAGCATTGTAACAATTGTTAACGACTAGGATTTTTGGCGAGCAAAAATCTTGATGTTTGCACTCCCGATACGGGACTCGAACCCGTAGTCTTTCGGTGAACCTTTTCATGCATCTGAAGTAAGATTTCAATGCAAAGTACGATGTTCTAAAAGCCGAACGCGCTAACCAATTACGCCAACCGGGACATAATGAAGAAGGTTACCGGCCAGAGTGCAACGATGCATATGTGTTTTCGTTAGCATTCTTGCTAATGCAGATAACCTTTTCAATTCATTAAGGTTGGAATTCTTTGATTTAGGTAGCAAAAGTAGAGCATAATGTTTGTCTTCTTCCTCTTGGTTCTTTGACAAAATCAATGCTTACTTGCGCAGCGAAATGGCGTCTCAGTAAACGTCGCACACATGGCACAGCCAATGCTATGTGAAATGACACAGTCTTTGAATGGATTGAGCAAAACACAAAGACAAAAAAGCATATCAAGCTACATAGTTTCCGAAAATAACGAATCATCCTCTGACAATGGGTGCTGAGAACAAGTGCTTACTTGGGGTAGGAAGCCGGCGGAGTTTCTTACATCCATGGATGTTACAACCGAGATTGGTTATTGACCAGGAAACCACGAAGCCGAGTTAGAAAGAAGCCTTTGGAAGAATTCCTGATCTACCATGTACAGTTCTCCGTACCTTGCAAGGCTACACACTCTCTATATCCTTGTACATTGTTTCTTAAAGATTGTATACTTCGGAACTCTAAACGGAGGAACACGTGTGTTTGCAGTGTTTGACAAAGGCCGTAAGCAAATGGCGTGATTGGGGCCGATATCGTGTGGTTCCTGGACGAATCGGGAGGCGGAAGTGGGTCGCAAAAAAAAAAAATATACACTATGCAGCCGGAAGTGGCCCCAAGGGCTCCGCTTTCGCCGGTCTCCCCCTCCAAATTCACAGCTGGATGACTCTTCCTTCCTGACCTCATTATACATTTGCTTGGGAGCATCATGGCCACTACTCTCCTTAATTCAGATCTACCTGTGGCCTCTGAGGCTCGCAGCAATTGGGTTGTGCAAAAATTCGGCGGCACCAGTGTCGGCAAGTTTGCGCTCAACATCATTGAGCAGGTTGTCGAGTATGACGCATCTTTTTCAACTGCAATCCTCCTCGAAACTGACATTTGCCCTACAGACCTAGTCTGGTCGACAACCGAGTCGCTGTCGTATGCTCTGCTAGAAGCAGTTCTACCAAAGCAGAAGGCACCACCAACCGGTGAGTCACTCATGACATAGTGGGATGGATTCTGGTGACCCTCGATACTAACGTCTCTCGTCCTTTGACAGACTTTTGCGGGCAGCGCGGGACGCTGAGAACTCCCAATCACGAGAATATGAGTCATTGGTCGAGGCCGTTCGCTTGGAACACAATCAAGTCCTCCAGGACCAAGTCAAGTCGGTCGAATTAAGAGATCAAGTCACCGCAGACATCAATGCGGAGTGCGAGCGGGTTCTCAAGGTCCTCGAGGCCGCCCAGACCCTTGGGGAGATTAGCGCTCGCTGTGTGGATAAGGTCATGAGTGCTGGTGAGAAGTTGAGCTGTCGGGTGATGGCCGCTCTCTTGCAAGATCGCGGCGTGGATTCACAATACGTGGATTTGTCCGAGATCATTGATTTCCCCATTGGTACCAAAGGTCTGGACCAAGACTTCTATAATAATTTGGCAGCAGCCTTTGGTGCGAAGGTCGATGCCTGCGGGCACCGAGTTCCTGTTATGACGGGTTACTTTGGTACCATCCCCGGTGGTCTGCTGGACCAGATCGGCCGTGGATACACCGATCTCTGCGCCGCCCTAGTTGCCGTCGGAACCCGTGCGAAGGAGCTGCAGGTGTGGAAGGAAGTGGATGGTATCTTCACCGCGGACCCTCGCAAGGTACCTACCGCCCGCCTCCTTCCCACCATCACCCCTGCCGAAGCCGCCGAATTGACCTTCTATGGATCGGAGGTGATCCACCCCTTCACCATGGAGCAGGTTATCCGCGCCAAGATTCCCATTCGCATCAAGAATGTCATGAATCCCAGGAACCGCGGTACTATCATTTTCCCTGACTCCGTGGCGGAATTAGAGAGAACCACACCGGGCCATGACCCTCGCCTGTTCCGCACTCGGAGTCCCAGTCTCATGCAGAGGCCGAAGCGGCCCACGGCAGTCACCATCAAGCATAACATTCTGGTGATCAATGTTCATTCCAACAAGCGCTCGCTGTCTCACGGTTTCTTTGCGGGGATTTTCTCCGTCTTGGACAAGTGGCGCTTGTCAATTGATTTGATCTCGACCAGCGAGGTCCACGTGTCCTTGGCCCTTCACTCGGAGATGCCCCTCCTAAACGGAAACGGAAGGGATGAGTACCAGGTCATTGATGACGATCTGAAAGGGGCTCTGAGTGACCTGGCTCGGTACGGCACTGTAGACATCATCCCCGAAATGGCCATTCTCAGTCTGGTTGGCAAGCAGATGAAGAACATGATCGGTGTCGCCGGTCGTATGTTCACTACTCTTGGGGAGAACAATGTGAATATTGAGATGATCTCGCAAGGTTAGTGAATAATTGGGTCTCCCATCCACCCTCCCTTACCCTCTTTACCCTTGATTGGAACTAACATCTTCTTTTCACCCCCTCACAGGTGCCAGTGAAATCAATATCTCCTGCGTTATCGAAGAACGCGACGCCGACCGAGCGCTGAACATCATCCATACCAGCATGTTCACCTTCTTGGACTAATCCTCCCACGTTTGAGCAATTGTTTTAAGATATCCCTTTGGTATTTTTTTTTGTGATAGAAAAAAAAGTTATGTCGGAGCTCTTAGAAAAGGGGGCTAGAAGCATGGTTTCAATTTCTTTTCTTTTTTTGTGATGCATGGAACTTGGCGTTTTCCCCTTTCTGCAGTATAGATGTCATGAAGCGTCTGTTTCGGTCCGAATATAAAAAATCTGTTACACTGTGTCTCTGATATACAAGCAAGGGAAGCGCAGAGAGAGAGACTACCTAGGTAGGGAGCCTCCCTAGATTAGCAATAGAAAGAGGGTGCGGGCAGTTTCAAATAAGGATTAGGTTGCTGCAGAACTGCAGAGCTGCAGCGCACATGCGTTAGTCTTCGGGGGAAGAGGGGCATTGACCAGTGATGTGAGCAGTGCAGGACATTTCCATCAAGGGGGGCCGTTTCAGAGTTACATCAACATACCGAGATGGTTGGCTACAAGAGGCTATGTGCTGGGTTCTGCAAGTGTTACTATTTCTACTCCGTCCACATGCGCTGTACTCTGTACTTTTAAGATTAACTGCATAAAACATCATACGATTGACTCGATGCTCTATGAAGATATCCTTGATTCTATATCATATTCAATAGACCTGTAGTTCGTTAATAATAGAAGCAATAAAGAAACCTGAAGTTCATACTTCGCAGTGGATCGGATCGACACTAAGAAATATGAGCAAGGGAGACCCCCTTCACTCCCGATATGATCTGATGTGACAGTATTTTACCTAAATTACCACCCGACTGAGTCCCATTTCCCATAGTAAAACGCGTGACGCGTGAGGTCAGTGACAATACATGACCGGTATCATGATGTACTATCAGACAATCATCCTCTCCTCCCCCCGCCTTTCTTCTTTTCTTCTCCCCCAGTTGGAAGAGTCGCTACTTAGATTCTCATATAATACCATTTAGTGCTCCAAAGGTCTCTTCTTCAAATCCTACGTGCCGCAACCCTTTGGAAGCAAAAAAAAAAAAAAACGAGTCCCAGTCCCTTATCCTTGGAACCTTGGAACCGAGGATCTACTAAATCTTTGTGATCTTCAGCCTTTTGTATCTTGTATTCTCATTCTCTCCTCTACACCTACTCCCATATTGCACGGCTCAACGGCCCTGTTCTCTCTCTCTCCTCAACTCACTTCGATCGCCATTTCACTCGACTACGCCCGGCAGATTTATCCAAAATTGGTGCTGATCCACCGCATCTCGTCAATCTGTTATCTGTGCAGCCTGATTCGCGTTCGAGTGTGACGCCTTAGCGCCTTGTGGCCCAACCTGGTGCATGACGGCCTGAGTGACTTGGTCTTTGCTCCTGATCTACCATTGGTTCAACCTGAATTCTCTGCAGCCTCGTCACATCTAGGCACGGCTCGTGTCAGCAAGCTGGGCTGAAGGCCTTGTTGTCAGTCGCGCCTTCTGTTGACGCGTTTGTCATTTTGGTGATTCCCCTTCGACACTTGATCGGATTATGGGATCGACGCGTTCGACGGGCGCACACTTTTCTTCAGTGCTAGCCCCATCGCAGGAGATCATCAGATCGCAGCCCCGTCTGCAACCCTCACCGCTACCACTCCAACCCATTGAGAACTTGTCTTTCCCTCCCGGCCCGCACAGGCCATCGCCGACAAAAGGACTGCACAAGGGCTCGCATCCCGGTGGAAAACTCGGTTTCGTCCCAATCTCTGCCCCAGTTCCTCCCATGTTCACCACCGACTCCCCGGCCAAGAAAGCGCCTTTCCCCATCTACTCTCAACCGATGCCACACTCTGCCCTCTTCACTACCTTCTCCAGCGTCAACGATAAAGAAAACTATCCGGAAGAACCCTCCAATGACAGTTTCGCCGACTTCCCAGAACCATCATATGACTCCAAACTTCCGATGAAGCGCACACTCATGGAAGCTGCGCCGCTCAGAGAGCGCCCCAACAAGAAACAAAAGCGCGACGACGCGCCGGCCATCTATCTTCCCGAACCGCACGAGATGCCACCGGTAGAAGATGATGGCTCCAAGCCTCCGTACAGCTACGCCACCTTGATCGGAATGTCCATTTTGCGCGCCAACCACCGACGCTTGACACTAGCGCAGATCTACAAGTGGATCTCTGATACGTTCTCATATTACAAGAACACCGATGCAGGATGGCAAAATAGCATTCGCCATAATCTCAGTTTGAACAAGGCTTTCATCAAGCAGGAGCGCCCCAAGGACGACCCAGGCAAAGGAAACTACTGGGCCATTGAGCCTGGTATGGAGGGACAGTTCTTGAAGGATAAACAAGTGCGCCGCGCCACCATGTCCAGCCTTCCACTCCCCGCTGCTCCCCAAAGAGATCTCGCTTCCTCGCACGGCGCCAGCACTACGACTTGGATGGTACCACCGCCGGCGGCCCATCACGCACATGTTCACCACGCGCCTCCTCCTAGGCCACCCCCGAATGACATGTCTTCCGATGCCACCCTGCCAGCTTCCGACCCTGCGCTGCAAGATGACGCGGAAGAAGTCAACCCAGTCCCTGCACCACGCGCTGTGCCTCGCTCCTCCCCACCTCAAAACATCCGATCCTCTCCACCAATTGCTCCTCCTCGCTTTGCCCGACAGGGTACTCCCCCAACGCCTACTCAGAGTGGCCCGACGCCCGCGCCTAGACCGCGCAAGCGCAAGTCAATTACCCTCAACGATAGTGGCTACTTCTCATCTTTGGAATCTTCGGCTTTACGGCCTAACAAGTCTGGACATATCTTGACCTCTGATCTTGATATCGAGCCTCCTCGAATTAAGCGTGGACGCGCAGAAGAAGAGATTGCGCGAATGCGCAGCTCGTCTCACGACATGAGCCCTGGTCAGACGGCCCCGCGCAAAAACCCTCATCCCATTGGATCGTCTCCCTTCCGCAGCCAGTACATCAGCATGCAGCCACCGCCATTGACCCCGGTCATTAAGTTCAAGAAGCCTGCTAAGCCACCCCCATCCGTCTCTCCAAACACAAATCTGCGCAATCATCGCCGCAAGATACAGCAAATGGTGAACTCCCCTATCAAGCACTTGGGTCTCGCTGAAGACGCCTTGCCATGGAGTCCCGCCTTCAACCTACAAGATGAATCATACACTCCCCATGATCACTTCAACACCACTTTTGATGTCTTTGCCGACCCAGTGCCATCACACATCTCTTACGGGTCACCAGAGAAGCGCTCAGTCAAGCGCCCACGCACAGAAAGTGGCAACTCCGCTCTCACAGACATCACTTCTGGAAACGTCAACAGCCGGCCGGGACCTATGTCCAGGTCCAAGTCCCTCGTGTTCCCCGAGTCTCCCTCCAAACTCCCGGATAACCAGCGCTTCGGTGATGCTAGCCAGGAAGACTTCTTCTCATTCCACCTCTTCGACGAAGGCAACGACAGCTCGAACGAAGTGGACGGAATAGATCTTCTGCAAGGCTTCCAAAAAATCGGAGGTGCGAGCAAAGATGATGCTCTCAAACCTCGCCAACCCCTTCACTCGCGACCCCAAATGGGCCGCAGTAGTACGACTCTGTTTTAAAATTTTGTCATGATTTTGTGTTTTTGTCTCGGATGGGCACTCTGTGAGACCCAACCCTTGGATTTTTGCGCATCTACTCCCCCTATTACTTTGCTCTTTCTGTTTTGCGTTCATGGTGTTCTGTTGGATTGGTTTGGGCGGTTTTGTGTGGAGTTCTTTTGGGCTGGGAGCCGGTTCTGACATTTCTGAGCCCAGGATGGCCCTACGACCTTAATGACGATGTGTACATGCAAGCGATGGTTTTATGATTTGGGATATCTGGATTGGGGAACTTGGCTCATTGAAGGCGCAATTAATGTAGTTAGCAATTGAATACTTGAATACTTCGATTACAGTGAATGCTATAGACACATTCTAATGTAGGGTATCTGATTGATTGAATGATTATAGTACCGTAACGCCATGCCTGAACCTGCCCAATATGCTTGGACCGTTCGAGTCGGTCCATACTGGAAGTCCTTAATCGCTACTTCCACATCCCCGGCATCCACAACTGACGCACTGCACCGTCTGATCCTCCTTCAGCTGCGCCTTGGGCACACGGCAGATGCAAGTCGAGTTGAAATTCGTCTCTTTCGTCTGGACGCAGCGCAAACAACAAAGCTACAGCAAGTTAGTATAACATATCTTCTCCCCATGCTCGGTGAAAGACCCACCTTCTCATAGCCTTGCTTCTTCCACTTCGCAATCAGGTTGGCATCCGCATAGCCGTTCTTCAGCAACCAGTCATACAACTGCTTCGAGATAGCTTCTTTTTCGTAGTAGAGGTCGTAAATGTATCGTGAGCCTGAAACAAATTAGTCTGGTTCCGCGACGGGGTATGTATGCAACTCACGCTGGTGACTGATCTGGAATATGGGCCAGAGGACTTCGTATTTCTTCTTTCCTTCATGGGAGGCGTTCTCGGCATCTTTCATCTTATTGCTGAACTCAAGCAGGGTATCTTCGAGATCGTCGAAGCCAGCAGGGGGCGGCTTGCGATTGCGCGCGGAGCGAATGGGAGGCATCTTCGAGGGATTTTGTAGGGGTACCGAAGAGGAGGGTTCTGGTAAGGTGGGTGGTGAAGGAAGAGGAAGCCTATCGATAGGAAAACTGCGCGTCATTTTTGTGCCAGTTGTCACCGCCTTTGATTTTGACCTTGGGGGTCCTCCGAACACCTCAGCAGCTCCTTGTTATCATCACCCATCACAATCATCACAATGGAGCAGAACATCGACCTCACCAAGCTGTCGGACACCGACAAGAAGGAGCTCAACCAGGTCCTCACCAATGAAGCCCAGAAGAGCAACATTCAGCAGAGTGAGTTACCACCGCGGACCACATGAACTACGCTTCAGATTCAATATGACATCCCTGAGATTGCGTTTAACTCGAGCGAACACCTGCTGATATAACTTCACAGCCGTCCACCACCTGAACGAAGTTTGCTGGCAAAAGTGTGTCACCAGCAAGATCTCCTCCGGCGCCCTCGATAAGTCCGAGGAGGCTTGCGCGCAGAACTGCGTTGAGCGGTGGATGGACTCCAGCCTGGCTATTCTATCTAAGCTGGATAACATGCGCCACTAAGATCCTCGCCGTTCGTCGAATGTCCATTGCCACATATCATAATTCGCGCATGGGTTGTTAAGATTTGGTTGGGGGTCATGTCCTACGGTTTTTGGACGATTTCAAAATCATGTATACTAGAGTCAATTTATGAACCACTGTACACTGCTACAAGATGAAGCTGTTTTCACATATACAGTTCCCCATACATCCGGGGAATGTGTTCAGTGGCGGGTAGAGTACGTAGGATAGCCCCAGCAGAGGCTCTGCCCAGGTGGTCTTGAGGACGGGGTCAACATGGGTGCTGAGTGCCTGGGCAGATACATGACTGTGACAATTGGCCTTCTTTAAGACATGATGCTTAGTTGCGATAGCTACACTTTACATTCTACAATGGACAGGTCATAGTCATTACAGGACCGACAAGTCCACTAAATTCATGAATCGTGACATCCACAAGTAAATTTTTGATCATTCAGCCCGGCTGGTATTTTAGCATCACCGTAGTGATAAACAAATTCGCCAAAACCCAAAGAAATTCCCCATTTAGACAATAGCCAGCTTGGTAGCGGCAATGTCAAGAGCATCGACATCAGGAGTGAGACGGGCGAAGGCCTTCTTGGTACCGTCGGGGCTGTGACTTTGTTAGTAACCCATTTCAGATGATCACGATCGAGACAGTAGACATACCGGACAAGGGTGTTGACCTTGACGGTGTCAACGTCGTAGAGCTTCTTAAGAGCCATCTTGATCTGGCGCTTGTTGGACTTGACGTTGACGATGAAGACAAGGGTGTTGTTCTCCTCGATCTTCTTCATGGCGGACTCGGTGTTCAGGGGGTACAGAACGACCTTGTTGAAGTCCAGAGCGGGTCCGTGGGGAACGGAGACGCGGGGGTACTTGGGGGACCGCGACAGCTGGAGGGTCTTGGGGCGGTGGAAGGTGGCGGAGGTGTAGACCTTGCGGGACTTGTGAAGCTGTTGCCACAACCGCGTTAGCGATAGGCTCCGAAAATCTTTGAAATCAAAAATTCTGGTCTGCTTCATCTTTTGTTACGTACCGAAGCGCCCTTGGCGACCGCCTTGGCGGCGGCGTTGGCCTTGTTCTTGCCTGTTTATCGAGTTAGCGGTGATCTTGAAATGTGAAGACGAAGAGAAAAAAAATTGAGATTGCGCCGTTGTGAACCGTGAACGAAGAGGGCGACATGACGGGTTTTGATTGATCGATATGCAGGAGTGATTTCGGAAGACATGTTCGATAGCGACGCTGGTCGCATGTTGCATGTCGTGGTAATCTCAGTCCATTGCGATATGATCTCCAAATCTCGAAATTTTCGATTCCCGAATATTGTCCTCCAAGTTCACGAAAAATTCACAGTCGGTGTTGCAATCGCAGTAGAGGAGCGGAATATGGTTGGCACATACCGGTCTTGTTGTCGGAGGGGGCCATGGCTGTCGTCGGTTGCTGTCGATGATGGAGTCTTCGCAGTGTCAAAGTTCGAACATTTGGAGTGGTTTTCGCTTAGCAAAAACCCTAGTAGTGGGTCAGGTGACCCATGGGCCTTGCACTTGCTGACTCATGTAAGTTTTAATACCCGGTGGTACAGTACTGTCACTTTTCTGTCCAATCAGAAGCTACGTGGTATTTATCTTTTGCTTTTTGATCAACGCCTTTGATTTTGCATGTCCTCTGCTGCTTTTCTATATTCAGCCAAAGATACTTACGAATATCTCGAATATTCTCATCAATCCTACTTCACACTTCATTCATGGCCCCGCAAAAGCGAGCTAAAAGGCCCGGCTTGTTGTCTACAGGCCGGCCTCCAATCGCCAAATCCAAAGATGCCGCGCTTTCAGCCAAAGCGACTCGTACCCTGATTCGTTCTCACCACCGGCTTCTCAAAACCCGAGCTCAAGCTCTGAAAGCAGGTGACGAAGCCCGAGTGAGCAGCATTGATGCTCAGATTCAGGCCAATGGTGGCTTGGAAAGCTACCAGGTCGCCAGCAAACTGGGTCAATCCATGGACCGAGGCGGTGATTCCAGCAAAGTTCTCATTGATTGGATCAAGCCAGAACTCAAGGAATTCAACAAGGAAATGCCCAAGCTCCGGGTCCTTGAAGTCGGAGCCCTGAGTACAAAGAATGCCTGCTCTATGAACCCTGCTTTGGATGTTACGCGAATCGATTTGAACTCGCAAGAGCCTGGGATTCTCAAGCAGGATTTCATGGAGCGACCTTTGCCATCTGGCGACGAAGAGAAATTCAACATGATCAGTCTGTCTTTGGTGCTTAATTACGTCCCCGATGCCACTGGTCGTGGGGAGATGCTCAAGCGCTGCGTTCAATTCTTGACTTCCAAATCGGCCTGGGAATTTGTGCCTCGCCTCTTCTTGGTACTACCTATCGCGTGCGTCGACAACTCGCGGTACCTCAATGAAGAACGACTAGGCGAGATCATGAACTGCTTAGGCTTCCGTTTAACGCAAAGTAAACGGACTTCAAAGCTGGTGTTCCACCTCTGGGAACATACTGGTGACTACTTGCCGAAGGCTTTCAAGAAAGAAGAGCTGAGGTCTGGCAAGACGAGAAATAATTTTGCGGTCATCATGAACAAGAAGTGATGGTGTCTATGAAATGCTATTATACTCTTCATGTTTCAGGTTGGCACCTAGTTTGCAGTGAGCATTTCCTGGGGCAGGAAAGCCCAGATGGTTCCCACCGCTGCCAATATACAGGAAAGGACGAGCAAAGCCCAATCAAGGATGCGTTCGCCACGACTGATCTCTTTCCCGAAAATCTTGAGGTAAAATGCAAGAGGGAAGATGATACAGATGGTGAAGCACAAGAACGACCCCAAGAAAGCCATGATGCGATCAAAGGATGGGAAAATTACCGCCAGAACGACAATCATAACCACGACGAAGACACGCACCAATACTCGACCAACTTTCTGGAACGTCTCAGAGCTGTTCTCGGCTGGCACATGGCCACTTCCAAGTCCACAAAGAACTTCGAATGTGGCAACCAGAGGCCGGGCACTGTCTCTGTTAGCAGAGCCCAGGGATACAGGGGCGTGAACTCACTTCAATGGCACTTTTGTGAGAGGGATGATTGCGATGAACACTACAATTCCGACAGACAAAGATTGTGGATAGTCAGTAATTGTGAGGATGTTTGCAGTGATTTCGTCGCGGACCATGTCGCCGAACATTAGCCATCCAATGATTGCCATTGAGGAATCCAATGTAAACTATCGCGCCACAGTCAGAAATGAAATCCATGGAAGCCGATTTTGGTCTCTTACTGTAAATAGATAAGTCACCCACAGACTCTTTCCGTATTTCTGGGGGTGTCTCATATCTCTGTAGATGTTCGGGAAAACACCATGTCCACCCCAGGGAGCTTTTGATCGACGTCAGTTGAGCTGCTTGAGGAGACTGGAGGGCAGAACATCCAGTGGATGATCAACTTACACATAATGAGGCCGAAGCTCAGAGGAAAGGTGGCCCAGTTCTCGGGGAAAAGGAATGTGTTGGCCGGCTGACGCAAAGACCCGGGTGCATTTGGCTTGATCAAGCCATCAATGCAAATGAGAACCACAATTGACGTGCATGATATTATTCCCAGAATACTGGTAATACTCAGGAAGCGAAGTGGCAAGAAGTTGAGCGGAAGAAGCACAAGTCCACAAACGATCTTCCATTGCAAGATGCTCAGCCCTGGGACCAAGGCATATAAACTGTCAGCAAAAAGCACCACCAGAGCCACACAAGCTCCCAGAAGTTCCAGACAGAATAGGAAGCTGGTGACCAAGCGTGCTTGTTGTCCAAAGCTGATATATGCTAGATCTGCGTATGTGACAACACTCCGGTCCACATCCAAACATTTGGCTAGAATCTTAGCAGTGTAAGAGGTAGCCAGGGCCGAGAAAACAAGGAACGACAAGCCGAAAACCCAGCCAGCATGTTTGAGAGCCAAAGGCAAACTCAGCAACCCAATACCGATCAAAACATTGACCGAATTGAAGATCGTCTGTGGAACAGTGGATTGACCCACAATTACATCCTCCTGCGTACCATCCTCATGTTGGATATGCTTTACCAACAACGGGCCCCGATCTGGGTCTCCAGCACCGTCAACGTGAGCGTGAGGAGTTTGCTCCCTGTGGAATTGTATGGCGTTCCTTCTTGTCGATTCACTGACCCGCGAAGAAATGGTTCCATAAGAGGCCGCAAAACTGCGATCAAATGACGAAGCAAGCAACCCAGTACTGGGTAGCGCACGTTTCGATGGTCCATGGGAGTCATTGTCCTCGCCTTCCGAGTCCGAGTCTCGCAGAAGAGGCCGGTCTACATTGGAGTTCCGACCCCAGGACTGACCCCAGGATGTAGAGTGCGAACTGTGGTCCTGGCCGGTGGCTATGGCGATATCGTCATCTTCGTTTGTAGAGACGAACGACGACCGCCGCGGGATAACTTCTGGAAAGGCGGCAGCTCGCTGCCAAGAGCGAGCAAAGTTATCCAAGCTGTTTGGACCTCCAGCCTGACGGAAACGATTTGAAAATGAGGATGATCTGGTGCCATTAGTGTGAATTGGTCATATATGATTGGATAACTGACCTTTGCCGACCTCCCATCTCTGACTCTGCAAAGCTGCTGTTCAGATGACCATGGTCATGAGACCTTGCAGGGATGTTCAAGGAACCGTAAACCGGTTCTTCATCAGGCATGTCGAACAGAACAGCTCTGGGGTGGAAGTAGAGTAGAGCTGCTAAGTTTGCATGAAAATCTCAACGTTTTAAGAGGGGAAGCAGATAGGCGCGAAAGATATCACATGGAGATAGCCTGGACAAGATAAGAGAAACGAGTCCGCGATGTTCGAAAGAGCCTAGCGTCTGGCGTTTCCGCTGTGGGGTGCGGATCCAATTTGATAAGCGGAGATATAAACTGACTAAGTCTGTCCATTTAAGTATGTCAGGAAATGGTACCTAGTTTTGGTAGTATAGGAGAATAGTGGTTATTTTTCTTTATACACAAAGTATGTCTTCACAAAGGGGTGCCCAAGTGTTTCACTCTTGGTCTAGTGATTGTTTCCAAGGTTGAGTCGCACAATTCATGGGACTCCCTTACATGGTGGAAACGCTAAGATTACAGTATCCCTACGAAGTACGGAGTACGGAGTACGCAGTACATGCATACATCTGCAGTTGAACAACACATATTCTTCCAGAACGCTGATAGAACAGGATGTACTCGGTACCTGAACACCCGGTATTGGGCCACGGCCTGAGAAGTACCAGATACGTCACGGGTAGCCCTGCTTACTCAGCAGCAGCCGACCCCTCGAAGAAACTGTGTACCTCCCACCCCACGAGGAAATTTACTGTTCGAACGTCATATTGTCAAGGTATGTATTCTGCTCTATGAGCGTCTGGGGATCTTTGAAAAATCTCACCGGCTTTCTGCTCATTGACTTTTTTTTGCTCGCACCCACTAACAATTTTGCAGCACAACAGGCAAGAATATTTGTTCCCCGATCCCGCCCCATCTCTGACCGAGTCTTCAGGCGCAGGGCCTCCGATAATCTTCCCCTCCCCTGATCCACAGTCGCCTCGCCCAAGATGAGCGCCCCTCCGCCGAACGAAGCTGAGAAGAACATCGAGATCTGGAAGGTCAAGAAGCTGATCAAGCGTCTTGAAGCTGCCCGTGGAAATGGAACTTCCATGATCTCGCTCATTATTCGTACGTCGTTTACCCCCGCTACCTTCTACCGCGCGCTGACACACCTATGCAGCCCCCAAGGATCAGATTAGCAGAGCTGCAAAGATGTTGGCTGAAGAGTACGGTACCGCTTCCAACATTAAGTCCCGTGTGAACCGTCTCTCTGTGTTGTCCGCTATTACCTCCACCCAGCAGCGTCTCAAGCTGTACAACAAGGTCCCTCCCAATGGACTCGTCGTGTACTGTGGTGAAATTATCACCTCGGAAGGAAAGGAGCGCAAGATTAACATCGATTTTGAGCCTTTCAAGCCCATCAACACTTCTTTGTACCTTTGTGACAACAAGTTCCACACTGAGGCATTGAGTGAACTTCTCGAGGCCGACCAGAAGTTCGGTTTTATCGTCATGGACGGTAACGGTTCCTTGTTCGGTACTCTGAGCGGTAACACCCGTGAGATTCTCCAGCGTCTCTCCGTTGATCTTCCCAAGAAACACGTGAGTACTTTTTCCGCCTAGAGACGACATGTATACTGATTTTCGTAGGGACGTGGTGGTCAATCCGCTCTGCGTTTCTCGCGTCTGCGTGAGGAGAAGCGTCACAACTACGTGCGCAAGATTGCCGAATTGGCTGTCCAGAACTACATCACCAACGACAAGGTCAACGTCGCTGGTCTCGTTCTGGCTGGTTCTGCCGATTTCAAGAACGACCTTAACCAGTCCGACCTGTTCGATGGTCGTCTCCAGGCCAAGGTCATTAAGGTTGTCGACGTTTCCTACGGTGGTGAGAACGGTTTCAACCAGGCCATCGAATTGGCTGGCGAGACACTGAGCAACGTCAAGTTCGTCCAGGAGAAGAAACTCATTGGTCAGTACTTCCAGGAGATCAGCCAAGACTCCGGCAAGGTTTGCTACGGTATCGAAGATACCCTCAAGGCGCTGGAGCTTGGTGCTGCTGAGATTCTGATTGTGCACGAGAACCTGGAGATTACCCGCTGGGTGATGAAGAACTCAGAGGGTGCTGAGGTCATTGCCCACACCACCAAGGCCCAGGAGATCAACAACCGCGAGCTCTTCCAGGACAAGGAGACCGGACTGGATATGGAGGTTGTTGAAGCCGGTTCCTTCCTTGAGTGGCTCGCCGAGGCCTACAAGGACTTCGGTGCCAACCTGGAGTTCGTGTCTGACCGATCCGGCGAAGGAAACCAGTTCGTCAAGGGATTCGGTGGTATCGGTGCTATTCTCCGATACAAGGTCAACTTTGAACAGCTTGCCGACTACAGCGATGACGATGAGTTCTACGACGGTATGTCACTATTTTAGTCTGGTTGTATTATTTCGTTCTAACTCTCGCTAGATTGACGGTATTGCCCCCTCGCAGAGAGCGAGGATGAACGGCCAGAAGCTCCCGCGTCGAGTCTTTTGACGGCTCGCCCCGTGGACAACCAAGGCGGCTCCCGCGATGGATTCAAGGCATCCGTGAAGGATAACAAAACCAGGCCTGGTCCAAGCTCCGTGAAGCTGCTCAGAGGTAAGCCTCCCGATCATTTCCACCTGTGGCATACTCTAATCTCGTACAGGGTCATCCAAGCTCCATAACATGCTCGCTGAGGTTCCCTCGGTGTCTGAGATGAAGATGAGGTTTAAATTGCAATTTGAATGGTTGAATGCAGTTCTCTGCAAGATTTCCACCACTGCTTGCCCAGCTTACATGTAAGCCGAATGGCGTTGGATTATTGCTCAGCCGATCTCTGTCATGATATCTCAATGGCATTGTCAGGTACTTCGTTTTTTGCTTATATTTTGAAAAGCTCCCGAAAGGTTGATAGAGAAGACATTACATTTTCCTTGTTTAAAGTCCAAGATCTCGCTACATATGCATAGGCACATACATGCCTGGTTGTTTCAAGTTTTCTTGTTTGTAGGATAGACCGAAGTATCCTTATTATGTATCCCAAAAAGTATATGACATGAAGCTTCTATAGCAGGCTTGGACGGAGAGAAAGCCCTAAGCATTTGCACTCAACTGGTCTTTCCAAGTTCCCAGGTCTCTGCATGACTCGGTCACTTCTCTTAGTTCAATGAGAGCCCTGTGAACAGCATCCTTGTTCTCCTCTGAAGGCGTCCTCCCACATTCAACAAAGAAGATATACTGCCAAGGCTTCTTCAAGCTTGGCCTTGTGTTAATGCTGGTCAAGTTCAAACCGTGCTTCTTGAAGATGAGCAGCGCATTGGCTAAGGCACCGGGAGAAGCATGATCGATCAAGAAGGAGACCAAAGTCTTGTGGGTGGTCTCAAGCGCGCATCCCTCCGTAGGGGGTTAGGCTGCTCGAACTCGAGCTGAGCAGTGCGCTCAGCGAGCACGTTTCTCAAAATCAAGAAGCGCGTCGTGTTATCAGCACGGTCTTCGATGTTCTCGACTAACACGTCTGTACCGTGATGCTCCGCGGCAAAGCGACTAGCGATTGCTCCACCACGCTCTTCGAAGTCCTTCGAGACGATCTCGCCGCCTTTGGAAGTAGAGGAAACATCTTGTCTCTCGACTCCTTTGAAGTACTTTCCGAGGAAAGTCTCGCATTGTCCCCACGCCTGGGGATGCGTGTACAGCTTTGTTATCGAGCCATCGTACTCAGCCCAGCTGGGATATAAGCCTTTCCGCGTGAGCAGGCAGTGGTGAACAGTGAGGTAGTATTCACCACAGACCTTGACGTCCGGATATGAGTTGTCCCGGTCTGCCAGGAGATCTAGTGTCTGGACGACGGAGCCATTGGTCGAGTTCTCGCACGGGATGACGGCGAAATCAGCTTGGTTCTGCTGGAGGGCGGCAAATGCGTCGTTGAACGAGCTCTTGGGCTGGAGATCTGCGGAAAGTCGGCCGAATGATTCAGCGGCGGCCTGGCAGGGATTAGATTAGATGGCGTCGAATCGAGAGCGGAGAGCGGGGTTAGATATACCTGGTGCGAGAAGGACGCCAGCGGCCCCAGGAATGCTACTCTCAAAGCCATGAGGAAAAGCTTTTGTGGGAGTGGAGATGAGATCGAAATTCATCGATCTCAATCTCAGCTAGTGAACTAGTCTATTGTTGAGCCCACCTCAGCCCTCAATTCGAGCGGTGTGGGCTGCATCCAGTCCAATCTTGGTTAAGAGCGGCAGACAAACACGTCAAACGCGGGTTATACATTCAATGCCGAACTTCCATTCGTTGCACACTTCTGTGCTCATGAAGACCTTACGCCTGCTCTCCCCGAGAGGTCCTGCATCCTGCAATGCAATTCGGAATGCGACTCGGAGCTCATCGCGGAGTTACTCCTCGCTCTCCGATCGATTGCATCATGAATTGACCACCAGGAACCTCCCGTTGACCTACGATTATCTACACCCCCAACCCTCACATCTTCTCAACCTGACGCTCCAGGACTTACTGCCATCGCCTTCTCCTGTCAACGCGACCCTTCCCTCGGTAGTCAACGCCGCTCCGTTACCGGTCGGCCACCACTTGATCTACTTCCCCCCGCAAGTGACCTTGTCGCAATTGCTTCCAGATTGCACGGATACTCTACACACGCCCGGGGAGCCGTTCAACCGACGTCTCTGGGCAGGCGGAAATTTGAGGTTCCCTGCGCCCAGTCCTGTTTTAGACGGGAGCCGCGCGGTGTGCTTGGAGTCTATCCGCAATGTAACGGTCAAAGGTCGTGAGGGCGACGAGAAAGTCATCGTCACAATTGAGCGGCGTGTTGGCACTGTCTCTGAGCAAGAAACAGAACAGCAGACATGGAAGCGGATCTGGACACAGAACGAAGCTGATGCAGGGGAATCCTCGGTCATTGAGAACCGAGATCTGATCTTCATGCGCCTGAAAAGCAACACACAAATCGAGGCCGACAAGGCGCAGTTCGGAAACCCTGCAAGGATAGTGAAGCGTATGTTCATTCCCTACAGGTGATGAAGCCAAGGCTAAACTGCTATATAGCACCGTCCGACGCGACATTCCGTCATTCGATCATGCCAACCAAGGCACTGTTGTTCCGGTTCTCGGCACTGACCTTCAATGCCCATTCAATTCATCTTGACAAGGGTTATACGCAGAACGAGGAAGGATACCGCAACCTTTTAGTGCATGGCCCGTTGACGCTGACCCTTTTGTTGAGTGTGGTACGTCACCACTTGAGCCAGTTAAATCTGGACATCAGTGCCATTGAATATAGAAACATAGCACCTCTGTTTGTAGAAGAGGAGCTTGTTATCTGTGGTAAGCCCAAAAATGGGAATGGTGCTTGGGATGTGTGGATTGAAGGTGCAGATGGTGGATTGGCCGTTCGTGGCACTGTTCGAACTAGGCAGTGAGGTACACATGTTCCCACGGGAATTGTAGATAGTATGCATAAGTAAATCTAATTCATAGCCATTCAAGGCACAAATCTAATTAATCAAAGCCGAAGGTTGCCTAGGTCAAATTGATATCGAAGTAGATGGAAAGTGATGTAATCACGGACCTCGGAGAAACTCCACGGAAGCTAGTGCACACGTTTTCTTCCTTCCACTTCTTCGCATTCCTTTCTTCTTCAACTACTTTCTCGAGCTGTTTTGATTCCTGTGATCAATTGACCAGTGTCCGTCATTCCAAGATGGATCTCTTCTGGGCAGCTCCCCGGTCTCTAGGTATGCATCTTCCTCTTTCCTGGTTTTGAGCTTTCACTTACGTGTCATCCAGGACCTTGACAGCCTTGACACTCGTTCAGTCCGCTTTAATGCATGGCGGCTTGGTGTCTAAGTACTATGCCGTATTCGCGCCGAGCTTGATATTCGCGTTTCCTCCGCATATCTATCGGCTAGTCACGCCATTTCTACTAACCGGAAAGAAGCTGGAATTTGCCTTTGATGTCTATTTCAGTACGCCTCGCATTGGCTTGGGTTGACCAGCGCTAATCTCGTGGCAGTCTACAAATATGGCAGTGCCGTGGAGAACAGCATGGCCCCTGGAGAATTCTTCATCTATCTCTTGTTTGTAGCTATCAACCTGATGGTAAGTGGTAGAGTGTTTTTCATTTCATTTTTCGCGTTACCACATCCCCTCACCATAACTGCCCGCCCAGCTTCGAAATCTAGCTGAATGCGGTTCCTGACGGCGAGGGAGAACACCCCCGCATCCGCGCGGCACCACTACATTCGCAAAATCAGGTGCTGCGCAGGTGTGGGCATGGTGGGATTTCCTTTGAGACACTGGCGTGATTTCATATCCGTTGGTATCGAGGGTGCCCTACATTCTATATACATCTATTCCAATACATCCATTCTACATTATTTCCCACTGTTATCGCTTTTCCGGTAGTCAATCTCAGGCTAACATCCCAAAGCTCACCGCAGGTTGGTATTTTGGGGCAGTCTTCCTCACCCAACGTAAGGAGCACATCCGTCCAGCATGATCCAACCCACTGACAAAAATAGCTATGATCATGGCCTTCATCTACACTTATTCTCAAAACAACCGCGGGCAGAAGACTCATTTCATGTTCATCGACATCCCCGTCGTTGCTCTACCTTATGCGATGCTTCTGATCACCATGGTAGTTCGCGGTTGGCAATCTGCCCTGACAGAAGCCATGGGTATCCCCGCGGCTCATCTCTACAACTTCCTTACATATCTCTATCCGGTCTACGGTGGCGGCAGAAACTTCATCACCGTCCCGAATTTTGTTCAGAAATACTTCAAGCGCGAGGAAGACCGAAACAGATCGTATGGATGGGCTAACAACCCCTCTCGTTCGTCTGCAAATGCCCCCGAGGGTACTTCGTCAGGGTCTTCTTCTGGATCATCCTGGGGGTGGGCCTCTTCTGACAACTGGAAGGGAAGAGGTGCTGGTCGGAAACTCGGTGGTTAGACGATGTTTGTGCCTCGACGCAACGTCGTAAGCTCCAATCGTGTAAGACAGAAGTCTAGGCCCGAAAGCAGTCGCCCTATGTAATACTGTTACTTTGAATGAATTTAAACCTTCGCTCGTTATTGTACGAATCCGAATAACTTCAATTGAAATCTGCACAATGACCAATTGGTAATGATGACCTTGGAAAATGGGAGCGAAAGTCCTCAATCACCTTATTTTGCCTTAGGCCAACAATCATTACGTGATCATAGAATTGGTCCTAACTGACTAACAATAGAAGACACTTTTTCTACGGGGTGAAAGAGAACCACGTGATATTTTCTTGGCACGGTCGAGCCATTACATAAGTCTTTCAGAGGCACGCTAAGCCTAATTGGGCACTAGAGCTTCCGCACTCGCAAAATTTCCATCGACATTTTCTTCGGGGTCTTCACCGCGCAATTCTTGTTCCAGTCAACCACAAAAATGGCAGTCGTCAAGACCTCGGAGATGGATTACGCCATCAAGCCTGAAGCGTCCGTTCCGTCCGTTGATACTTCGGATTGGCCGCTTCTGCTGAAGAACTATGAGAAGCGTATGCTCCCCAGTCTCCATTCTTGACTAGCCGACATTGACAATTTTCCATAGTGCTCGTCCGTACCGGTCACTTCACCCCTATCCCCGCTGGCTCCTCCCCCTTGAGCCGTGACCTGAAGTCCTACATCAGCTCCGGTGTCATCAACCTTGACAAGCCCTCCAACCCTTCCAGTCACGAAGTCGTGGCTTGGATGAAGCGTATCCTCCGGTAATTTGCCCTCAATTCATCCCAATCGCGCGGTACATTTGGCTAATATGTTCCCTCTACAGATCTGAGAAGACCGGTCACAGTGGTACCCTCGATCCCAAGGTTACTGGATGTCTCATCGTCTGCATTGACCGTGCCACTCGTCTGGTGAAGTCCCAGCAGGGTGCCGGTAAGGAGTATGTCTGTGTCATCCGCCTTCACGACAAGATCCCCGGTGGCGAGGCTCAGTTCGTCCGCGCTCTTGAGACCCTCACCGGTGCGCTCTTCCAGCGTCCCCCTTTGATTTCCGCTGTCAAGCGTCAGCTCCGTATCCGTACCATCCACGAGAGCAAGAACTACGAGTTCGACAACGAGCGCCACCTCGGTGTCTTCTGGGTCAGCTGTGAGGCTGGTACCTACATCCGTACCCTCTGTGTTCACCTGGGTCTGCTCCTCGGTGTCGGTGCCCACATGCAGGAACTTCGCCGTGTCCGCTCCGGTGCCATGGACGAGTCCAAGGGTATGGTCACTCTGCACGATGTCATGGACGCCCAGTGGGTCTACGACAACAACCGCGACGAGTCCTACCTCCGCAAGGTCATCAGCCCCCCTTGAGTCCCTGCTCACCAGCTACAAGCGTATCGTCGTTAAGGACAGCGCTGTCAACGCCGTCTGCTACGGTGCTAAGCTGATGATTCCCGGTCTTCTCCGCTACGAGGCTGGCATTGAGTGCCACGAGGAGGTTGTTCTTATGACCACCAAGGGTGAGGCCATCGCCATCGGTATCGCTCAGATGTCTACCGTCGAGCTCACCACCTGCGACCACGGTGTCGTTGCCAAGGTCAAGCGTTGCATCATGGAGCGTGACCTCTACCCCCGCCGCTGGGGACTCGGACCCACCGCTCTTGAGAAGAAGAAGATGAAGTCCGCCGGTACCCTCGACAAGTACGGCCGTGCCAACGAGTCCACTCCTGCCAAGTGGAAGAGCGAGTACACCGACTTCAACGCCCCTCTCGGTAGCGAGGAGGCCGCTGCCGCTGCCACCCCCGTCGCCAAGCCCGCTGAGACCAAGGAAGAGTCTTCCCCCGAGCCCGTGAAGGAGGAGTCCGACAGCAAGAAGCGCAAGCACGACGGTGAGACCGCTGAGGAGAAGGCTGAGCGCAAGCAGAGGAAGAAGGAGAAGAAGGAGAAGAAGGAGCGTCGCAAGTCCAAGCAGGAGGATAGCGAGGACAGCGACTAAACGCCAGGAAGACCGCTTTCCTGTACCATATTTTGCTTGTATTTCCGGAGTCCTGGGTCAAAAGGGAAATTTGTTAGTCAGTTCCAGAGTTTCATATTGCAAACTTGTGAATCTATATGATTCTTTCTATGGGTAGATCAATATGTATGATGATGTAGTAGAATTGCGTACCCGTAGACGGTACCCTAAATTTACTGCCACTACTGCCACGCTGCACTGCCGAACTTGAAACGGTCCGCGAAAGGAAGTGGTCCATGCTCCTCGTGACCTCGGCCTCCGCATTCCCCGCCGTTCCAACAATGCTGTCTGAACATATAAAGTCCCTGTGCAATCTCTCCTAGCTCTCAGAAGTGACAGAAACAGAAAAACCTCACCATGGCAGAGGTCACCTCCACTAAACTCAACCCAGAGAGCCACATTATCTTAGTATGTCACCCGGCATGATCGCACATATGACGAAATTGATCTGACACACCTTTAGGACCAACCACTTCTCCGACTTCCCCATGAACTCGCTCGCAGAAACTTCAAAACGGTGCAAAGAGCCGTCGAACGAGAGAAGGAATATGTTATTCCAGCACTGAAGGAAACCGCCAATGCCTCACTTTCCAACACACAACCTCCCGACCAGACACTTGCTGCTCTTGATGCTATGATTTCTAGAATGCAGGGTCTGAAGCGAAAGATGGAAGGGCTGCAGGAGGAGGAGAAAAAAATTCACAACCAATCTCGCAAACGCATCCAGCACCTCGAGGCACTGCATAAGATCCCGAGTCTGGCTGACGTCAAATATGACCAATGGTCTCGGGTCCGGCTGGACCGCTTACTCGTAGACCATATGCTACGGTCGGGTTATTCTGAAAGCGCACAGAAACTTGCCAAAGAAAGGGGGATCGAGGATCTGGTGGACCTCGGCGTCTTCACCCAGTGTCAACGGGTGGTTGAGAGCTTGCGCAGGCGAGAAACCAAAGAGGCGCTTCAGTGGTGTGGCGAGAACAAGGCAGCATTGAAGAAAACCCAGGTAAGAATCACTGGCTCCAGTCTCAGGTGATTCCATGCTAATTCGAACCAGAACACCCTCGAGTTCGAGCTCAGGTTGCAACAATACATTGAAATGGTCCGCACACAGGACAGGTTGAAGAAGGTCGAGGCCATTATCCATGCTAAGAAGTATCTTGTGTCAAATCAGCAATCACAGAATACAGAGATCATGCGCGCTGCTGGACTACTTGTGTTCACCCAGGACACGAGGGCTGAGCCTTACAAGGTAAAACATGCATTATCGGATCGGCATCTATTGAACAAACACTAACTAAGTTTCCAGTCTCTCTTTTCGCAGGACCGTTGGCGTCATCTGTCAGACCTCTTTGTGAAAACTCACCACGACTTGCTCTCCCTGCCGTCGCAGCCATTACTACACATTGCACTTTCAGCTGGACTGTCCGCACTCAAAACACCCTTATGCCACTCGGCATACACTTCTTCCAGCTCTAACTCACAGTCAACCTCGACCTCCGTGTGTCCCATTTGTTCCACGGAGCTAAATGACCTCGCTCGCAGAATGCCATATGCACACCACTCTAAGAGCTACGTGGAAAGCGACCCAATCGTCCTTCCAAATGGCCGAGTCTACGGAAAGCACCGACTGATTGAGATGAGCAGAAAGATCGGTTCAGTCGAACCGGGCAAGGTCAAAGACCCAACGACCGGCGAGATCTTCAGCGAGACGGAGATGAAAAAAGTCTACATCATGTAAACTCGTAGACCAAGCCATAACTGAATTTGATACCCCCTACTCGCTATCACTAGAATCCTCCCTACTTCTCTTCTTCCCCTTCTTCTTCTCCTTCGGCTTCACCTCAAACACATACATTCTCGCCTCGCGATCCTCTCCCTTCCACCCACCCCTCTCCCCATCCTTGTTTTCAATATGCCCCACCGTCCGCGCATGCGAATAACCCTCATAAGAACTCCACGGGAACTTGAAACTAGTCACCACAACCAATCCCGCATGTCTAGCCAAGTCCTTGATGTTCCAAAGCGTATAAGGCTCGCCTTCAAACAACGTAACAAGGATCTGACCCGGTCCAGTCCTCACCCCCTTCCCAGTAGTCGCATCATCATTCTCTTCCTCATCCTCGTCCTCAACATCACTCCCTTCTCCATCCTCATACTCATACTCCCCCTCATCAGCATCAACCAAAGGAGGCGGCTTCGACAAAAGAGGAACACAAGCCTTGAAGAACGCAACCAGTAGCTCCTGATTAGCCCGCACCTGTCGATTCACATCCGTCGACAATCCCCCAACATGCGGGAAATTAAAGCAGATCACATCCCATGCTCCGGCACTCTGATAAGGCGGATCCGGAGTCGAGGGAGTGAACCACGCTGGCCGTCTGCGCTCACGACGGTCAAAGCCACGAACAAGCTCTTTGCCTCCGCCGGTTTGAGTGCCTAATTTGCGTGCATCGACGGAGAAGAGTACTTTGGATTGACTTTCTTTCTCACTGTCGCTATCACTAGGATCAGGCTTTGAAAGAACGGTTTCCACGTTTTCCTCGGCTTGTGGATATTTGCTGAAGAGTGTCTCCTTGGAGTCGTAGCTTGTTGCGCAGATATTGGGGCATTTGTATTGTGTTGCCAGTGCGCGAGCAAATGAAAAATCGCCTAGGGTTTTCGTCAGTTCTTGATATTCATAGGTATCTCGTATATGAATGCATGGATGAAGAGATAGGGGTGGCCTATATCTCTGAGAGGAATTACTTACCTTCGCCAATTAGGAGGATTCGATCTTTGCGCAAGAATGGTACAATTGGTCTCTGGTTTGCTTGTAGGGGTCCCTTCTTGGGTGCATTGCTGCCCTGGGGCTTGGGGGCAGGGCCCTTGCGGGGTGGAGCTGGCTTACCCCGAGCGCGGGGAGCTTCTCTGATTCTTTTGGTGTTGCGCGGCATGATACTTGAGTATTGGCGGTTTGAAGTTGGAGATCAGAGAATATATGCTGGAGTGAAAACCGCGGGTCCTGCTCGGCCAATCAAAGATCCGAACTATTATTTAGCTTAAAGACTCTAATTTTGATATGTTTATATTATTTTTCTTTTGATAGCGAGACTATAGTCTGTCAATGGGTATATGGATAGCTACTTATCCATCAATTGAACAAGGCATGGTGGTGCACAAACAATGTACAGTTATGTTGTCGACTTGGACGATCAACACCATTCAGCTACTTCCACCCTACTTTCAAGATTCCAGTGAAACTTATATTAAGAAGACGTTCTATTGGCAACGGCATAGCTATATACATAGAAAATGCTATGACCGGGAAAAGGAGAAATTACTAAATCATACTACAGACCAAAGGGGGAAGACCCAGGAAATCTCAGGCCCATGGGGAAAAAAGAACAACACGCCCCAGACCAAATCATTCGGCTGCAATGAAACGTGAATCATTATGACACATGCTAACGATTTTTTGATGCGAGTCGGAAATCAAGAGCGCAGCGAGTCTCTCATGCTTTGGCTGCTGGCGCTGACGGGAGTGGGCAGAACGCCAGTCTTGGGCTTGGAGTTCTGCTTGATCTTGGCGACAGCGTAGACGATACCGCTGACGAAGCCGACGGCGATGGCTGAGACACTGGGGAAAGTGACGGGGGCGTCGAAGAAGACGAGGCCAGAGATGGCAATTGGCAGCTTGTTCAGGGCGCCGACCATGGAGTAGGTGGTGGAGGAGGTGGTTCGGACACACCAGGCGGAGGTGTAGGAGATGAAGACGGAGGAGGCACCGGAGAGGACCATGGCGAAGAAGATGCCGTCGCGGTTGGATTCGGGGAAGTTGCGGGCGAGGTTGGCGGAGGACCAGTCCTCGAGAAGGAGAGTGGCCACGATCAGGACGGGGATAGAGAGAAGGTTGTTGTAGAACATGGCTATATGATTGTGAGTATATGGGGGCTGTCATGAGGGTAGAAAGAAACGTACTGTCGAAGTCCTTGAAGTTGGTCAACTTGATGCGCTTGCGCATGCCCAGGACATAAGACGAGGTGCAGAGGCAGTTAATCAACATCCAAACGTATCCGGCGTTCAAGGTGGAGACCTTGCTGGAGGTGTCACCGGTGCTCTCAACGGCGTGCTTGATATCAGCCCAAGCGGCGATGAGAGAGCTGAAAACCATCAGACCGAAAGAGAACAGGGTCAGGTTGGTGACGGAGCCACCGAACCAAAGGACCTCTCCATAGGCAATCAGGATGATGGTCAAGTTCTTGAAGATGGTATAAACGGGAATAGAGAGGAACTGGAGGGCCTTGGATCCAGTGTAGATCATGCCGATCAGGAGTAGCGTAATGGGGAACCCTAAAAAAAGGGTCTCGTTAGTTTCCGTGTCGGTTCAAATGGCACCTCTTGAGTTCATACACTTTCTCGCCTCGTCGGCACTGAAATCACGGTATGTGATAAGCCCCATGGACTTGCAGGTTTGAATTGCCGCAATGCACACAAGAGACTGTAGATATCAGCGATCTGTCCATTGGCCCGGTATCCCGGCTGTCCGTTTGTCTATCTGTCCCAGTCTCGGAGATAGTTCACTACTTACCTGAACGCAAAGCAAGAGGAAGTTCAAGTTGAAGTCTAGGCCCGACAAGACGTACTTGTTCATAACGGTCATCATAATGGATGAACCGCAGTAGGCCAACACGGGCAGGGCGGGGTTGTTGGACATGGCGCTGGGACTGGCGCGAGGAGAGGGAGTTGGAGGCGGCGCGGCTTCGAACTCTTTGTTGCCTGCGTCCTTGCCCATGCTGCCCATCTCAATGGTGTAGTCGGACTTCTTGTCGTCGGCCATCTTTGGGAATGTATAGGGGATAAAGGTTGAAAAGACAGGTGGCACCCAGAGAGGTCGAGAGTCAGAACGAGACAATCTCCGAAATGAAAACACCAAGGGGAGAGATTTGGAACAGATTATTTCGCCGCAAGCAGTGTTACCTAAGCATTTAGGGGGTGTTGAGAGATCGCTGATTGGCTACTGTTAGATGACACGCTATCCCTCTTTGGGCAACTAAGAATAGCATCGTGCGACTTGCTGCTCTTTTCTTTCTGACACTCTCGCCAGGAGGAAGAGTATTGCTCTGACAAGAATGAACTGCCTGTTGAGGGAAGCAGAGGATGTTACTACAATGTTGCGCGACCGACAAAAAGACTGAAAATTGACATATGCAGCACTCAACCACCAGATATCACATTAGATTACACGCCATGTCTTTTGAAGAGCATGTATCAGACAAGTCTCCAATAGCATAACCCAATCAATTACATTCAAACACCCTACCAACATCACAGAACCCCACAAACCCCCAAAACCCAATACTCCATAACCGAAGTGCAAACCATAACACAAACCAGTGGAGCAACCACACCTCCTAACCACACAACTCCCCCTCCAAACCCCCTCACCACCCAAACACAATGGCCGACTCAGACGATGAGCTCTTCGCAGCCCTAGAATCCGAATCCGACACAATCTACCGCGACGCGCGAATCAACCAACTCAACGCCGAGCTCGCATCAACCAAAAACAACCACTCCCAAAAGGAAGCCAGTATCCTCACGAACGAGATCTACCCTACCCTCAACAACGACCAATCAGTCCTAGACTTCACAACGCGCAGTAGCAAATGTCTTGTCCACTTTGCGCATCCTGATTTCGCTCGATGCACGGTCATGGATACCAGGCTCGGAGAGCTGGCGAGTGTTCACTTCGAGGTCTCGTTTGCGCGCGTCGATGTGCGCAATACGCCTTTCATTGCGGAGAAGTTGGGAATCCGGGTACTGCCTTGTGTGATTGGGTTCAAGGATGGTGTGGGAATTGCTCGAGTGGTTGGGTTTGAGGGACTTGAGGCGAGGGGCTTTGATGGGGTGGAGGGCTTTGATGTCAAAGTGCTCGAGAAGAGATTGTTGGCGAAGGGGATCTTGGCCGGTATCAAGATCGGGAGTGGGGATGATGACGACGATTTGAGAGAGGAGAGTGATGAGGAGGGTGATATGGGCAGGACCAGGAAGAGAGGTATTCGCAGTGCGAACCCTCGAGTGAGAAACCGCGGTGACGATGATGATGGAGATTGGGATTAATGTATCTACACGGGAAAAAGAGCGGGAGAGAAACCGGGAGAGAGAGATGTTTGGCCTATCTCTCGAAGAATATCAATGTAAATATAGAAAAAAGGACAAAAAACACGGTCATCATAGAATTACACAAATATCAATGAACGAACGCAGACCTAGAGTTACAACAAATGCCGTGAGGGAATCTATACACGGAGGTCATATCATCGAACGATGGATTAAATAGCCACGTTCTTCATTTCACCGAGGACCTCCGAATCAATAACAGAGTCCGCGTCGGACTTCTCCTTCTCTGCCTTGTCCTTATCCTCCTTCTCATTCTTCTCGTTCTTTTCAATCTTGGGGAACCCTTCGTTCTCCTTGTTGGAGATCTGTGGCGTAGCGACCTCCATGAGATCTTCACCCTGAGCCTCCTTTCCGGTTTCTTTGGGGTCTTCAGAGATCGCGGGGCCTGCCGTGACGATGGGACTGGTGGTCTCCTCCGTCACACGGGCCAGGGGGCTAGACACACCAAACGGCGTCTTGGGACTCTGGGCGTTTCCACCCTTGGAGAATCGGTGTGGGGAGCGGCCGCGCTCCTCAGCTCGCGTAGGGCTGCCGTAAGGCGACTCCCGACTGCTCGACCGGGTACCGGAGGCATTCACACCGAGGCCGTTAGCAGGACCCTTCCGGCGAGGCGCGCGGCGACCGTACTTCTGATCCGTTCTCCAGCGCAGAATCTCCAGGTATGGGGGTTCGACATTCTGAGACTTGAATTCCTTCAACTTCAGCTCGTTCGTCTCCTCGTCGACAATGACCTTGCCGCTGCACAGGTCTTCAGCGAAAGTGGCGAGGAAGGCCGCCCAGGACCGCGCTACGACGTACTTGCAGTCGTAATCTCGGCCGAAAATAATCACCTGGCCCCATTTTCCAGCGGGGCCGGGTGCCAGGTCGATAGCGAGGTGGTTACCACCCCAGTCACGGGCGAGAGGAATCCACGCGGGGTGTGCGTATGCTTTTTGAACGGCGCCGGGAGGTTGGGAGTCCTGGCGCTCGAGCAATTCCGAGCGCCACATAGTGGGCGCAGGGGGAGCGGTCGAAGAGCTTGCGGCAGAGCTGGACACCGGGGGTTGCATGTAGTTGGAGTTTCCGAAATATTCTTCGTTGACAGTCTTCCAGTTGCGCCATTCCTGCACAATCTCCTCACAATCCAGAAGCATGGCGCTGAAGATGACACCGGTAGGGAGGCCACCACGTTCCTGGCCATCATGGTGCATCAAAGATTCCCGCAGCTCCAGAGGGAGACTGCAGTCTAATTCGTGCTCCAATTCATTAATGTCGTTTTGAGTACATCCCTCGCCAAGCTGGTCGAGGAGTTCCTCATAATTGTGTTCTAACCAACGCTCGATTTTCTTCCAGGAGTGGGCGACCGGTGGCGGTGGGGGTGCTCCGTCGTGGAAACTCTGCATTTGGATCTCGGGTGCGCCCTCTCCCTGGTCGTTTGACCTTCTCTTCTGAGATGCGACCGACCTCATCCCAGGTGAGTACGGGCGGGTTGGGGAACCGTCGTCTTGGGAGCCAGTCCATTCAGAGGCTTGTGCATTGGCGGAACCTTTTGTCGGCTCGTCATCATAGGGGTTGGAGAGGTCAGGGCGAGATTCGATTGCGCTGGTAGCGATAGATGTGAGGGGTTCATGGCGACTTTGACTGAGAGGGACGTGTTGCCCTGTCCGGTAGGGAGAGTCATGGGAGGCATGACGGTCATTGGAGGTCATGGTATGCCAAAAGGAACGCCATGTTGAAGTAAACCTGTTCAATCAGTCAGTCTGCTAGAATAGAGAGACCGGGGGAGACCAACATGTTCGCCATGGTGTAGTTTGCAAGGAGAAAATCCAACCATGAACCACAAGAGTGGCTATCAGCAAAGAATGGGTAGGGGCGAAGTTCCAGAATTCAAAATTAGGTAAGGAAGGAGGTGGAGATTTGGTCGTTCTGCTGTTCTTTAATTAAACCTCCTTATTGATGAATGCAAACTCCCATGTGTGTTATGACTCTGTTATGACTGTGTTATGTTCTCTCTATTTCGTACCCCTGGCCGCATTCAGCACCTGAAGTATGCAGATCCCTATGATGTCGACGCCCTATACTGCTTTCGATAACAATTGTTTCTTACTCCGCATTTTGTACTAGGTACGGAGTACTCTGCACTTCAATGTTATTTTTGTGTTATTAAAAAAGAAATAAAGGTCATCGACGTGTTCAATTTAAGCTTCATCAGGTCCGAGACAGATCTACGAGATGGAGTTCAATTGCCGAGCGTGTACGCAGTATGGAATAGGCACACCATTCGAAGTATTTCTTCAGTGACAACCACGTTCCCCCTATTCGCTCTTATATCAGTGAGACTATTACCGAGGTAGTATAACTAAATTGGCGCCAAACTTAGAGAGTGGATATGGAGGCGTCCAGCTAATTAGCAGAGGTAACCACAATAATACTGGCGGTAGTATACTCGGCACAAGCATGAGTGCTAAGGGGAAACGGTGGGCCAAAAATAGAACGTGGGCGTCCAGAACGGCTTTGGCTTGGAAAACTCTTATACTCACTGAACTCTGATATCAAAACCCTGGATATTGGGATCGGCCATCGAGAGTGGACTCTGTGAATTGTTAGTGGCATTTGCCGTCGGCCTTGGCATTGGAGCTCACGTACGGAGGACTACTGTACAATGTGCATATAAAATCTGAAGTGGCTAGGGCTGTGATGTGTCAAGTTCTAGCTCTGGAACGAAGATAATGTGTACTAAATTCAAGATATTTGTACACAACATCAAAAGAAGACAGATGGGAAAACCCGACTTGATATTGCCTAAAACGAATGACAGGAAGCCGGATGAAAAACCCATCAACACAAAAGGCACGAGACAGGAGTGCCTGCTCGATCAAACACAAAAGGGAAAAGGAAAATAAAGGCAACGTCAAGGGAGCGCAAAAGCAACAATGCAGAAAAAATGCACAGTGCTCAATGTATGCATATCGTAGCCATCCTTGGCTGGATTGTCCAACCAGGTGCAACGCACTGGAGAATCACGCCGTAAGATGGAGAATGAGATCAAAATCACCGCCTCATCAATGTAGCAGCCAGTGCCGTGTATCATCATCATGGTAAGCATTACCGCGAGAGACCCACGGAAAGAAACACCAAGCACCTGCATGAACTAAAAACCCGAGGGACCTTGGACCAGTCAAGGATTTCCCATAACAATGCAAATGAAAAAACTGAGGAAAGGAAAGAATGGTCAAAAATAAGTCATGGAAGGAAAAAAGAGTAGGTGACAGTTTGCGAGAAGCGAAGCAAGCAGAAGAGAGTGAAGATAAAGAGCGAAGAACGAAATAATCAGAACATGAAAACAGAACACGATGAGCCATAGTGCATTGATTCTAGACACTAGGCGACTGTCGAAGAAGCATCTAGCTTCAAGACACGCCTGATATCATTCTCAATCTGCTGGGTATCCGTAGCTTGCGAGGGTAAAGGCGACGGCGAGTGTGTTGGTGGCTGGAATGCAGTCGCCGAGTAGGCCGGCTGGGGAGAGACGTAACCCTGCCAATGGGCCGAGTGATTTGGGCTTTGGTGGTGTTGATTTGGATACGGACCTGGAGAGGATCCATTCGAGACAGCACCACGAGCCTGATAATGTGGCATCGACGGTGGCAGAACACCTCCACGTAGCGGGGAGTTGGTGCCTGGGTACAGATACGGGTTCCGAAGGTGAGGGTTCGGCTGGGGAGGTGGGTGCCCGAAAGGATTCTGGTACATCATTGGAGGACCAGATGCAGCTCGACTGGGAGTTGCGAATGGGTGCACATTAGATGGGCGGGGGTCATGATTCCCGGAGTAAGGGTGGAAAGTACCAGGCGCATGTTTGTCGATGTTTGGGTATGCGCGGTCGAAACTTGGGGACTGGCGGATATCGGCATTTCCATAGACCGGAGAGAATGGTGCCTTGGAAGGTGGCTTCTGGGGGCGCGGATTGAGCAGTAAGTCCTTGAGCTGCTCCGTTTTCGCTTTGCGCTCAGCATCACTGACTTCGGGCGACTGTGGCATGCTGGAAGGGCGCAGTGCGGCCATGCGTTCCTGATAAGATGGAGCGAAAGACGGACCGATAGGCGAGCTTCGCGCATGATCATTGCCCATATCGGAGGCATACATGCCACTTGGATGGTATCTTGCGGCAGGCTCGGTCTGCGGCGATCGGAAGGTGCGACTCACGTCAGGACTGCTGGTTGCCTTGTTCTCTTGAGCTTGTTTCGCAGCCTGGAACATGAAATCGAGCGCGGTGGGTTTCGGCTCCTGGCGCACGGGCGAGTAGCGACTGCGGTGTTTAGAGGGAGTTGTCTCGGGTTCTGGGGAGAGATCCGCGCTGTCGCTATCAGTCTCCAATGGCGGAACGAGATCTGCGTCCGGGGCAGACTTTGGGAGAAATTTGGGCATCGGCAGAGAGGAAGGCGCAGGCGACGCATGGAAAGTTGGCCCTGCGTAGGCAGCGCTTTCCTTCATCTGTGGGGGAGGTCACACTGGCGTGATTAGGTGTGCTTCGGTATCCGTTCGAGTATCCATTGTTTTGATTTCCATTATAGTATCCGTTATGAGTGGCAGGTGAGTTGGCATCTCGAGGCTTCTTCACAGACCGTGGAGCTTGCTTCTTCTTGGTGGAGTTGAAGTTATTAGACGAGTCAGTGTGGATGCCGCCTGAGATGTTGCCGGGCGGAGACGACGGAGGTGTGGAGAGTCCCGGTTTCTGAGATTGGGGGGTCATGTTCTTCTTCTGGGATTTGCGGGTGTTGCGCGAGCCCTTCGGAGTAGGGGGGCGAGGAGATTGGGCCGACATGTCGACTAGTTGGCTTGAAAAATAGGCAGCCGGTTGTGTAGAGGAAATGAAGAAAGAGCAACGCTATGACGAAGCAATAAACGGCAGAGATGTAAGAGATGATCCAAAGACCACAGTGGAATGAGTCAGATCACTGCTCAGCAGGTGTCGACAATATTAGGATATGGCAACGCCGGGAGAAGCAGGAAAAGTGACGTGTAAGAAGTGAAGTCGCAAGTTGAAGTTCCTCAAATAGAAAAAAAAAGAAACAGACGCTTCGCTGAAACGTCGTGTCTAAGATTAGAAGAGCGAAACAAAGATCAAGAAGCAATCGAAATCATCTCTAATGAGGGAGGGAGGAGAAAGGAAGACTGAATCATGGTTGTTGAAGGGAAAGACGATCGAATGCAGACGGGAGGGGATCTCCAGATCACGATGACTAAGGTCGGCGACGCCACTCCAGACATGCACGCAGCAAACAGATTCAAACAATTCAACAGCTTGGGGTTTTGAGTACCTTGAGGCGCCTCCAGGTATGTTAAAGCACCTGGCTCAGAAGGCACTGCATTCATCCTACCATCGCACCGCATCACCCCGTTAAATCGACGGAGCCTCACTTACGTCAGTCACAGTTTCGATAACACCCCACCCCAGCTACACCTTCTACCAACCAAGCACCTCAAACCAACAACCTCACTTCACCCGAAACAAAATGGCGGACGTGGAGATGAAAGAGGCAAGCTCCTCCAAGGGCAAGGCCGTGTCAAAGGACACTGGCGACAAGAAGAAGTTTGAAGTCAAGAAGGTACTTAACAACCGAGACACAGCTGAAAGATCTTTGTATTGACAATGTCAAGTGGAACGCAGTTGCCCTCTGGGCCTGGGACATTGTTGTCGATAACTGCGCCATCTGCCGAAACCACATTATGGACCTGTGTACGTGAAATGTTCCCAAACAACCTTTCCAAGTCGCTTCTCCGAGCCATCCCAGACTGACCGACACAGGTATCGAATGCCAGGCCAACCAGGGCTCATCCACTACCGAGGAGTGCACCGTCGCATGGGGTATTTGCAATGTGAGGACCCTCTGTCCCTCCCCTCCAACCATCGTGACCGTGCCCTACTAACACCCTCCCAGCACGCCTTCCACTTCCACTGCATATCGAGATGGCTCAAGACCCGCCAGGTCTGCCCGTTGGACAACCGAGACTGGGAGTTCCAGAAGTACGGCCGGTAAAGGTTGAAACCGGAATGATTTTCTTTTACATGCGATGCAATTCACGATATCTGGCCGATACCACGGTTCCAATGGCTATGAATGTTACCCCCTTTACGAAAAGTTGCGCAAGTTGCAGGCAGTGGTAGCGTATTGATTCCAATTTATTTGATCTGGCTCAAGCTCGTAGGGTAGTTTAGATCCATTGCTCCGCTCTCGGCCTATTGCACCTTCACTCCGTCCACGGTTATTCCAGGATTTGCTTTTGATCCCAGCCATTTCTCTGAGTTGCGATTGTATACTGGCCATGGAGGAACGACAACGAAAGCTGTGAATAGAGTGCCCGCCAATCCGGTCCAGAGTGTAAGGTGAATGTCTTTGTAGGTGTATCCAACGACGAAGCTGACGACCTGTGCAAATTCGATTAGGTTGAGACCCTTCCAAATATCGGTATCATTGACTTACACCGGAAATAATCAATAGGACAGTAGAGAGAAGCTCCGCCAGGCGCTGGCCGTGGAAGTCCTGGTTGTTGCGTTAGCTTGTCCGACCGATGTGAGATTTGAAAGCGCGGAGAATCAAAAGCGTACAATTTGGCCTTCGAAGGCATCCTGAATAGGTGCGAGTATTTCATCCATTGTGTTGTGGTCAAGATCGAGTTGGATTACTCCCTTGATCTTATCGCAATGGTGTCCTGTCATTCTGCCACCACCGCCTTCTCCGCATAATAATAGCTTCCAAGGTTGATTGGGCGGTTTGTTTACAACTTTCTACATGTACACTTGTTGAATTGAAAATTTTGTCTCCTGTGCACTAGCGCTTTACCTCTCATTTTGAAGTGAAATTGAGTCTATAAGCACTTTATCTTCCTCGAAGGCTTCAGGGATACGAGGTACGATAGACGTTTCTTTTGTTGCTTGAGTACTACCTGTATTCCAATGCTAGTCTGGGCTTTAGCAGTCTCAAACATCGGCTCAGCGATTTTACAACTCTGAAAGGTTCCGATGTTGTTTCGTTATAGGACAACCTTGGAAGGACTTGAATCAACGTTTTGCATACTGATAGGTAGTTATATAGTTAAAAAGCAACTTGCATCGCCGTATGTTCAATTCGGTCATAATCTCGCCTAGATATACTTCAAAGATTATACATTAAAGAAGATACTATAAGCTTCCAAGGTTGGCATGATACACAACCTTGGAACGACATTACACGTACAGCCTCCCATGGACCTAAACAAGGACTGCCACAAACACCGCCATAGCAGTGCCCAAGACTAATTTGAAAGACTGCTTGATCTGGGCAGATGCAGCTCCAGTGTACACGGGGCTGACAGCGCCGGTAGTGGCAGAAATGGTAGTGGTGGTCATTCCACTGGACTGGCTACTCGGGACCGAGACAGTGTTGGATCCAACACTAGTACTCCAGTGAGGCTTAAACGGTGTTGGAGCCGCAGTAGATTGAGCAGTGCTGGTTTGCGTCATCAGAATGGTGTTGATGTATCCAGTGCAGGTGTTGTCATCAGAGCATGACTCGACGGCAATAGTGGTGGTGTGCACTGCCTCTGCACCGGAGCCGGCGTTAGAGACTGCATTTGCGTTCCCAGCTGAGCTGGAGCTGGAGCTTGAACCAGAGTTTGAGTCAATTCCAGAGTTATATCCAGAGTTGAATCCAGAGCCAGCACCAGCACCAGAGCCACCCGGCACTGTAGTGTGAACAAAATCAACCGAGTAAACTGTTGTAGCAACAGCAACTGTCTGGGTAGTTGCCGACAAAGTCTTTGACCGCAGAGGACAGTCAGCAACGGACTCGGGACAAGCAAGGACTGTCGCAGTGTGCGTAGCGTATACGGTAGAGGTAGTAAGCTCTGAGTCGGCACCATTGCCGGACATACCAGTGACAACAGGAGATGTCTGCTTGGCTGTTGCTGAAGCGCCGGTGGCAGTAGCCTCTGACACAGGGCAAATAGTAGTGGAAACAACCAGAGTCTCAGTGGTCAGATAGGTAGTCTTTGACCGCAGGGGGCAGTTTGTCACCGAGGACGGGCATGCGGTGATGGTGGCAGTGCGAGTACTGTAGACTGTGGAGGTAGTCAGGTCTGAGCTATTATTTCCTTTGCCGTTCTCGCTAGATCCAGTGATGGATGCAGGGTTGGGCGGGGTTTTTGTGGCATCGGCAGCTTCGATCACAGGACAAATAGTGGTAGACACTACAATGGTCTCAGTGGTCACAAAGGTTGTCTTGGCCGTTGCGGGGCAGTTGGGAACAGTAGTAGGGCAGGCAGTGATTGTGGCAGTGCGAGTAGAAAGAACAGTTGAAGTGGTCAAGTCCAATGTGGAGAATCCAGAAGAAACAGTCGACTGGGCAGCTCCGGAAAGTGTAGGAGTAGAGGTAACAACAGCAGCAAAGGAGCTGTCTTGGGGTCCAGTTGATCCAAGCTTGGTGGTGGCACCATTGGGAGAAAGAGCAGTTGATTGAGAAGAGCCTTGACCAATGGTGCTTGGTGCAGAAAGAACAGCTGAAGTTCCGGCCACAGGAATAGAAGCAGAAGCGCCACCTTGAGATCCAACAGTAGTTCCTTGGGGGGACGATCCACTTGATTGGGGAGACACAAAGGGAACAGAGCTTGGTGCAGAGGGAACAATGGTATGGGCAAGTGGAGTGGAAGCAGCGCCCACGGGGGTTGAGATGACTCCAGATTGAACAAGGGTGTTGACAATGGGAGTCGAAGCAGCGCCTACGGGGGTAGAGATAATTGCAGAGGAAGCAATGCTTGAGCTGGGACGAGTCAAAGGCCTGCGAGTACTGCCTTGGGGTAGAGGCGAGGCACTATGAATTGGTCTTGTATGAGGGGCAGGAGTCGGCAATGATGACACAATCGCACTGGACGAGGCTACCACCACCACGATAGACGATGAGGCAATTGCCTTGGAAGAAGGAGTGGCAGACGAAGAAGGAATCGCCGATGAGGAGCGAGCGCGGCATGGTGCACGACTGGGCAAAGGCCGGGATGGGTATGTCCAATGGTGGTGGTGATGATGATGTCCAGCTACTGGAGTAGAACTGGGGGCCAAAGTTGGCTCAGAAGATGGCTCAATAGCTTGAGGAATGGGAGTCCATGCGAGACCTGTTTGCAGGCATACTGCAGCGAGGAACCATCCTTGGACAAGAAAGTGGCCCATTGTGATAGTAATCGGAAAGAATGAACGATTAACTTCGAAGAACAAAAAAGAATGACAGCCCAAAATCAGGAAAGAATGACTGATATTTGGACTTTGGAATGATAGACAGAAAAGTGTTCGAGTTCAACGAAATGAAGTGGTGAACTGAAGTCCTGTATATACTTCATTTTCGCTTAGGGTTACCTGTTGACTACAACACGGCGACGCCGACAGATAAAAACGCCAAAGATAAGCGGAAGTGGAGCATTGGGCACTCGTTCCTGGCTCTGTTCCTGGCTTGTCAATAGACTATCGACGCCATTGACGCCGGCTGGGTCTCCGCATCGTGGCTTTGTCTTAAATTCGCCATGTGTACTATATCGCGGTGAAATTAGCCGGCGGACAATTTCCACATCACAACAACAAAAACTATTTAGCATGGCCTATCCATCATCAGTTCAGGCTGTAATCAATTCAAATCCGCACAATGAATACCTCAATTTCTCGTTTTGCCCTTGTGGCTGGTCTCCTGCTCGGCCATGCATCGGCCAGCATCCCTGCAGTCAGCTCATTGCCGGTTAGCAGCCAGGTTCATGCCATGACTGCAACTTGTGAGACACGATTGGGAACCGCTTCTGTGAAGTCAGTACCAACTGTCACTCATACTCACACAATTCATGACCGCCACCCTGTCGTCGTCTTCACAACCACCCTGGACACTATCACGGTCACTCCTACCCAGTCCACACAGGTGGTCACGAACTATGAAACCAGTACTGTGACATCTACTGCTTCTACTGTTACTGACACTTTCTCAACGACCTCTACTTTCTACTATACCTCTACCTTCAGTCGGCAAGACTTACCTTCGACCGCTACTGTGTTCCTTGCTGTCTCTACCACCTCTACCTCCACTTCTACTATCCCCACCTCGTCCGGTTTCCTTCCCATCGCAGACACTATTCCTCCTACTCCTACTGTCTACAAGCGTTCTTTGCAAGAAGAGCAGGAACCGGAGTGTGCCCTCTGGGTCGATGACTACCGGTATGCTCAAGAAGTGGTATGCCATGAAAAGAATGTAATCACAATGACCACTACCTCAACGGTCACTGGTTCTCCTGTGACTATTACCGCTGCCACACCTATTACAACGGTGACAGTGACCGACACCATCACAAGTCGCTCAGTGGTCATCCCCTCGGATGTGTCCACCACCTTGAGCTACAGCACCACCAAAACCATCACCGAAACTGTGGAGGTGCTCGCCAGTACAACAACCCTGACAAGTACTACTACTGTTGTTGGTGCAGTAGCTACAGCCACATCTTACGCTGCTTGTGCTGCCAACAACATCGCTGGCGCCCCTCTATCTGCGGACTTCGGTTCTGACGAGGGTAAATATATCTATCTTATAACTTTCTCTAAGATTGCTGGTGAGAGATTGTCTGTTGGCAACACCGCTTCTGTGTATGATTGCTGTGTGAGCTGTCAGGAGAGTGCCACTTGTGCCATGTCCTACTACTGGCATTCCTCCGTAGTGAGTTACTGCTATCTGATCTCTAGCACTCAGTGCTCAGTTACAGATAACTACGCCACTGCCTCCTTGCAGGATGCTGCGACCAACATGCAAATGTCGAACGGAAACTGTGGTCGTGTTGTTTCATAGTGTTAATTGTGGGTATCGAGGTGAGATACAGATATGTACTAATCGGAGTGGACTGTATGTATGATTATCATAATATGCTTGTGTGTTTTTAAACCCCAAGGTTCCAATTCTACTCACTCATCCATTGACCTTGAAAGTACATGGGTATAGACTAGTTCTGTGTGCCCACAAGACATTCCAAGGCTGTGATGGTAAGATCTTGAAGAATGAGACCCAAGATTCTTCTGCCAAAAAAGGTTATGATCCATTTGTAAATGTCTTAATTTCTTCACAGGGAAATCTTACAGGGTTGAGACTTTGGCACCCAATCTATCTACCCCAAAATTTAGTGGAATAATTTGGTCTACAGAGGGGAATTTGAGGGAGAAAGGAGGGCTCAAAAAAAAAGTGGGTGGAAAAGCTAGGGTGAAAAGAAGCATAGGTTGGTAGCATAACATTGGATCCTTAAGAACTGATTGGGGTGCCTAGCATGATAATAACGATCCCATTCACCGGGTGTGCGCTACAAGATAAGACTGAACAGAAGTTTAAATACGTTGATCATGATTTCATTCTCTATCATCTATGCCATGAAGCATTTGAACAGGATGGGAGGTAAGCGGAATATCAACCTGCATATGCACCAATGTACCAACACGAATCGAAAGACGACTCAAATGCATTTTGTCAATCCAAAAGCCCCGTGATGCACGATGCAAGGAGCAAGTGAGAAAAACTCCGCATGACTGATCGGCTTGGGGTCCCGAGGTCAGTGCTCTCTCTTGCTTATCCTGCCCAAAGCCCAGCTCGGCCATTTTATGACGGCGGTCTGCCTTCAAAAGCTTAAATATAAGTCACTGTGGCACCGTCCTGAGCGGGCTCCAGCAACTTCCATTGGCAGGTAATGTTGTTAGAAGCGAACTGAGCGATGATGCGGTCAGCAATCTCGTCGAAGCGCTCGGTGGCCAGAGCCAGGATAGTAGGTCCAGCGCCGGAAAGACAGATTCCCAGAAGACCGGGCTGCGTTTGCGGGGTCATGAATTGGAGAATCTCTGTCAGACCAGGGATCAGGGTCTTGCGGTACGGCTGGTGCACCTTGTCTTGCATGGCAAGGAAGATCGTGTCGGGATCTGGGGGAGAGCTGCCCAGAGCGGCGGGGAGCAAGGCCGCGCGCTGGAGGTTGAAAACCTGAATAGAAATTAGTTTGTTGGATCTAATTTCGAGGGAATTGAAAAACTTACCACATCCGCCCTTGAGTAGGTCTCTGGGAGAACGTTGCGGGCGTTGGCAGTGGGGACCACGAAATCAGGAATGATGGCAATGGCCTTGATTTCAGGGGCCCAGTTGAACTTGCGGTAGTGGCCAATGGCCATAGGTGGCTCGGGGGTCTGATGCCGGTGTCGACACCACCTGCAGGAGCGGGCAAGACCTCACTGAGCGGGATCTCTTTGCGGGCCACATCTTCGGGCTTCAATTCATTCAGATAAGTACCGACAAAGCCACCGAACAGGGAAGCAGCCACGTTATCAGGGTGTCGCTCTGTTCCCGTTAGTCATGGTACAAACTTCCTCTTTCTATAGCTCAACCTACCAATCATGAGACAATAATCAAGGAGACGCTCCTTGCTCAAACCCAACTTTCCAACCTCGTTACCCAGCATCACACCGGCGACAACGGCGGTACCGGAGGAACCAAGACCGCGCCCTAATGGGATAGGGTTGACGATGTGCACCTTGGTCCCGGCGGGGAACGAACGCTGGCTGTGACATCTGAGCACATACAGGGCTACACGGGTAATCAGGTTGACTTCAGGGTCAAGACTGATCTTCTCAACACTCTTGCTCTGGTCCTCATAGGTGATGGCGCAGTTGAAGGGGTGTTGAGATGAGGGCTCTTTCTCAATGGTGACGTGGACCTCCAGGTGGAGAGATAGGGCCAAGCCGATCACATCGAAGCCCGGGCCAATGTTGGCGGAAGAGCAGGGGATTTTAATCACGGAAGCCATTGTGTCTGCAGAAGTGGGAATTCAACGGTGATCGCGATCGTGATATGACTCCCTCAATGTCTTGGCGCACCAAAAAAATAAATCGGCCGACGTCGGAGAGTGGAGCTTCCAAGGTTCTTATTAACACAATCCTTTGTCACAGTAGATACTCCAGTCTACAAATACTAATATCAACTATATACAATTAATGTTATACATACTTCTAAATCGATACTGGTCTTTGGGTTATTCGTTTCCAATTTCACTGTGGATGATCCTGTGCTTACTGCTCATTGTGGTCCGGGGAAAATTGCCCCAAGTATCGCTTCAGGAAATCCTGCCCCGATGACCCCATTGGCTTGCATGTCTTTGACAATCCATTTCGAGTCATATTTTGTTGCGTGACGATTCAAACATCGGGTCTTTATTTCCGAGAAGTAGATTGAGAAGTTGCCGACTGTGGTTTAAATACGTAGAGTGCGCCTACACTACGGAGTACTTAGGATCGAGTCCATACTTTTGACAATACAAGGGAACACTCTATCAAGGATTATAACATAAGATATCATGTCTGATCTACCGTCCATCCGCTGGGGTATTGTTGGTATGTTCTGTGCCTGACTATTGGGCACAACTCAACCAGCTAACACCTACAGCCACTGGCATGATCTCATCCTGGTTCGTGGAGGATATCCTCCTCGAATGGGAGGGGAAAAGAGTCAACCATATAATTCAAGCAATCGGCAGCTCAAGCACTCAAAAGGCCCAAGATTTCGCAAAGAGCCAGTGTCCAACTCACAACCCCAAGGTCTACGGCTCGTATCAAGAGCTCTACCATGACGCGGATGTCGATATTGTCTACATCGGTACCCCGCATGGCTTTCACTACCGCGATTGCATGGAAGCCATCAGCGCAGGCAAGAATGTCCTGTGCGAGAAATCCTTCACCATCAACGCCAAGCAGGCCCGAGAGATCTTTGATGCCGCACGCAAGAACAACGTCTACGTCGCCGAGGCAATGTGGCTTCGACATCGTCCTCTCTACCGTGAGCTCAACCGACTCCTCCACGAAGAGAAGATCATCGGAGATGTCTTCCGCGTATTCTCGGATTTCGCAAATGGTACCGATCCTGCCTCGCAGCCGGCTTCCTCGCGCCACCGCGATTTGAACCTTGGCGCGGGCTCACTGCTCGATGTCGGCGTGTACGCTCTCACCTGGTTGAGAGTGACACTCGGATATCAGAAAGATCTCCCCCAGATTGTGGCCAAACAAACCCACGAAGTCGGAGTGGAAGTCACGACTAGTGCTATTCTACAATATGCATCCGGTCAACAAGGCATCTGTACGTCTACTAGCAAGGCGCTCGGTGCACCCGGCGAGGTATTTGTCGTTGTGCATGGGACCAACGGGTATATCGAGGTTCAAGGGAGTGCGGCTTCCATACCGGAATCTTTCACGGTTTGGAAGAAACAGGATGGGGCTGCTGATCGGGCTTACTTCCCACGTGAGGCATGTGAAGGGAAGACGTATGAATTCCCTCGGATTGGGCGTGGGTTTATCTGGGAGGCTGAGAACACGGCCTTGGATGTGCTGGCCGGGCGGAAGGAAAGTCAGGTCATGCCGTGGAGTGAGACCCTGTACATATTGGATATCATGGATGAGATTAGGGCCCAGGGTGGTACCACTTATCCTGGCGAATGATGTCTCGTATATTAGAACACGGTAACTATGACAGAGAGCAACCTTGGAACCTTGGAAGAAAGCAAAATAGCACAATATGTAGCAGAACAAGATTTGGACAGTTCCCAGATTCCAACATTTGGAAGTTATTTAGATGACATAATAAGCCAAGAGTCGGTCAGAGTAACCTTTCCAAGCGCTTCCCTTTTCAAATCACTCACATACTGCATCTCTTAGCGCTCGATCTAGATCCAAACGTGACAGGATCTCGTGAAGATCCTTTGTACCTACTTGGGTTACCCCTGGAGATGAAAGGACCGGTGTGTACGGAGTAGTAGAAAAGAAATAAAAAGACCGAGTTGTCATTGGATTCAAGAATAAATGCCTCAAAGGGCTGACGGTGAAGCAGTACTCCGTACGAAGTATCAAGTAGTAAGAAAAGAATTAGAATAAATTAATTGGATTGAACGGAGTACTCCGTTAGTGAAGAGTATGTGGACTAAGTATAGGCCTATGACCCGACCCGCTTGCGAAAATTTTCTATTAGCTCTGGACACTCCCCACTATTCCTCTTTCCTCGCTTCTCCATTACAATCGCCCTTGAGGTGTCAATACTTGATCTTTCTCTACTCAACGTCTATATCTGTGGTTTTCTTTTGAAACTGTGGATCTTTAACTCATCCCATCTTTGGCCTCGGCCGCGTTCGATCATCACTGCACCCAATCCGACAGGACATTGGACATCGCGGAGAATTAGGAGAATCATATCCAAATTCTCTTCCATCTGCAATCCTGGAGCACCCAAGCTCCTCTTCACATCACTTCAAGTTGGCGGGACTTCGCTACACCAAGGCCTCTCTCCTCCACCCTCTCGCGGGCCCTAAGTTCCGGGTCTTCTGCGGGGGCGACACTCGACCTCCCTAACTGGGTTTACCCCCAACTTCTTACTGTGGCCGTCAGACGTTTGTCGGTATCGCCAGGCCCTCGGGAACGGAACGGGTCTGGCTCATGGATGGAGGGCCGTCACCCTTGAACGAACCTCTCGCCGGCTTACGTCTGCTTCGGCCGTCGTGCTTTCCAAGAGAATAATACATTCTCCCTCTTAACTAACCAATCTGGCTTAAATCACCTACCAACACCGAGATGTCCGAGTCTCCCAGATCCGAGCGGTACGAGTACCTGACCCGGTACAGTACCCCGGTTCCCGAACTGGATGACCACCGTCACCAAATGCAGACGCCGCCGCGGATTCAGTCCCCCATTGAGCGATCTTACAGCCCGCACAATATGCAAAGCCCCGTGGATATCCCCGAGCGTCCTGACTTGCTGAACCCGCAAGATGCATTGCGAGACGGTCCCGTCTTCCGCGACTTCGAAAACGCCGTCACTGACGACGATGGAATCCCTCGACATTTCTCGGTCGACCCCGCTGCCAACTATCAAACTCCACGTCGCATCAGCATCGTGAACCAGGATCTCGCCAACGCTTCCTGCTCCTCGTCCGTCTCCGCTCGCTCCTCCTCCCCTCCCAATTCCGTCGATGCTTTCGCCGATCCCCGTCGTCGCGAGCGCGCCAATACTCTCGACAGCATTGCGCCTCCCGATCTCGAGGCGATCCTGCATCGCACCGTCTCCGGTGGCACTCACAATCGCCGCCCGACATTCAGCAATGCTAGTGCCATCCGGCCCCAGCTAGGCGATGTGCCATTCGACACGGAGGAGGCATGCTTTGATGAGCCAGGTCGGCCACCCGTCATCGGTCGTCTCCCTGTCATTGACTACGAGGAACTGGAGGAGTTTGTGGCTCTCAGCCAACAGACCAGGGCTGCCGGCCGCCGCAAGCATAGCATGAGCTCGCAGAGCAAGAAGCCGCGCGTATTCTATGATCTCCGCCCTGGCGCGGAAAGCCCTGAGATCGGCGAAATCAAGAAGACCGATCAGTCTGACTCGGAAGACGAGAAGGTTCCCAAAATCACAGACGAAAAGGAGCTGGTTAAAGTCCTCCAGAATGAGAACGAACCCACCCGTTTCGGGTTCTTCTCATCGGAGTCTCAAACCACCGTCCACGCCGCCGGTCTGGGCGACCTCGTTCTGCCCGGTGAGACCTTCCGCGATCTCTTTGAGCTCGGCCCCGAAGGAGGTGTCTGGTGGCTCGATGTTGTCAACCCCACGGACGACGAGCTCGGTGCGATTTCTCGCGCCTTCAATATTCATCCGCTGACGACGGAGGATATTCAAACACAAGAAGCGCGTGAGAAGGTCGAACTCTTCAAGCAGTACTACTTTGTCTGTTTCCGTACTTTCTTCCAACAAGACAAGACTAGCGAAGAGTACCTCGAGCCTGTCAACTTCTACATGGTGGTCTTCCGAGACGGCGTCCTGACCTTCTCCTTCGTCGACAACCCGCACGCCGCCAACGTCCGCAAGCGTATCGGAAAACTCCGCGACTATGTCTCTCTATCCAGCGACTGGATCTGTTATGCCATGATCGATGACATCGTCGATAGTTTTGGGCCTGTGATTCGCGACGTAGAGTTGGAATCTGAGGCGATTGAAGACCACGTATTCATTGCTCGAGTCGACGATTTCGAATCCTTCCTTCCGCGAATTGGAGGGTTGCGTAAGAAAGTCATGAGTCTTATGCGGCTGCTTGGCGGAAAGGCGGATGTTATTCGCGGATTCTCGAAACGGTGCAACGAGCAGTATGCGATGACACCGCGTGGCGATATTGGTCTCTACTTGGGTGATATTCAGGATCACGTTGTGACCATGATGTCGAATTTGGCTCACTTCGAGAAGATGCTGAGTCGTTCGCACACCAATTACCTTGCACAGTTGAATGTGACGAATCTGGTGCTCGGAAACCATGTTAATAAAGTACTGAGCAAGGTCACGTTGATTGCGACTATTTTGGTCCCAATGAACTTGATCTGTGGTCTGTTCGGTATGAACGTCGAAGTTCCTGGGAAGGATACTGCCGGCCTGGGCTGGTTCTTCGGAATTCTCGGGGTCATGGGCCTGATTGTGGCCGTCAGTATGGGTCTTGCTCGGTGGCAGAAGTTGGTTTGATGTTTTCTTTTTGTTCTTATTTGCATTGCTTATCTCGAAGTACATTTATCTGAAATACATATGGAGTTAATAGTTCAAATTTCATGTACAGCAAAAGTGTAAGGAAGTTCTCACCGACGTTAGTGGACAAACGCCTACATTGTTTGCTCAATTCCAACTCGAATGGCGAGAGAGAAAAAGTAGCTCATCCAAAGATACTTCATGATACTCAAGCGCTTAAGAAATGTACAGAAGATGTGAGCAACTGAATACTTCTGTAGTAATGCAGTGTGTAGACGCAGACGTAGACAGGCTAAAAATAACCTTACAACTTATCGCCGAACTATGCCCGTTGATTTTCTTCCCTCAAGCACTTGCGACCCCCTTCCATGCGTCCACACAACCTGCAGTGCTATCTCGCCGCAGTTAGCACATTCATATTCGGCTTGGTCCAAGCCGGCCATGGCTTAGATCTCAATTTCGCCAGCGACGGAGCCGGTCTCCCTGTCGCGCTCGACTCATTCAACGGCCTGGAACTTCGCGACAGCCTCGACGAAAATGGCCACTCCAACGGACTCGACCTCGTTCGCCGATACCCCAATAACGCCAAATCCCTCGGAAACAATCAATTTGCGCTCGAATCGCTCCAACTCGGCGATGTACTGTGGTTCTACCTGCCCAAGGACGTGGTGAATGGTCCCCACGCCGCCGCGGGGGTGGGACTTCCTGCCTACGTGTCCGATAACGACGACGACACAAGCTCGAGCCATGAATTACGGAAACGCGCGCTCGTTGAGCGAGACACCACAACGGTATACCTGTCTCTGACGACGTGCAGCAAGCCGCATACCAATAAGACCGGGGCGCATGGCGATTTCCCACAATTGGAGGTCTATGTTTCGAACTCGAAGGATCTGGAAGAGCCAGGGCCGGGCAAGGATGACGATCTGCAGGACAAGTACACGGCTTCTGGCGGGTACCTGGGGATCACGAAGGATACGGACAGCGACGTGTTTATTGGAGTTGCAGCGCCGAATTCCACGGAGTACACGGGAGGCTACACGTTCCAACTTGCGGCCTCGATCGACGAGTACTTTCATCAATGGGTCAACGACACGAATTTGTTTTTCATTGACGCGGACAACTCAGCTGCGCTGCTTGTCACCAATAATTTGACGGAGTCGGACAAGAATACTACGAATTACCATCAGTGGATGAACATGGTGCCGCCGTTTACGATGTTCGCACACAATATCAACAACACCGCGCTGAAGGGCTTGGAGCAGTCCTTCTGTGCTCTTGATAGTCTGTCGCAGGTCGGCCGGATCAGTAATATCACCGAGGTTGGTATGACCAGTCGGGGATTGGGCAACAAGCCCAAAGAGCAGTTCTACATTACAGGGTTGAACAGAAGCTCATCCTACGAGGGCCTTCTCGCGATGGTTGGCAATTCTACTGCATCGGGTAACGGAATCGTCGGCGGCGGCGGCAAGGTCTGGAGACCAATGAATTTCACAACGAAAGCAGGTAGGTCACTTCGATCGACGCTCACACTCGATTCCAGCTCACATGTTTAGACGATAACTGCGCCGTCCTTTTCAATCTCACCTTCTGCTCTGAGGTCGCTTATGCCGTCCCATCAAACCCGGACCTCAGCGTGGACAAATTACGCACGATCTACGACTCCTACGCTTCAAAGTATTACAAGAACTTCAACTACTCATTACAGCAAGTCCAATGCAAGACAGACGATGAATCAATGTTTTCCTTGTCGGTTACCTGCGCAGACTGCGAAAAAGCATACCGCGAATGGCTGTGCAGCGTCACCATCCCACGATGCGCAGATTACTCCGCCACAGAATCCTACCTCGCCGTCCGCAACGCAGGGCAGGATTTCTTCAACGGCACTTCGCTGCCAAGCGATAGTCCCTACAGAAAATCCGTTGCGTCGAACAACTCGCGCAATCCCATCATCGACGAGCTTGTCAAACCGGGGCCATATAAAGAGATCCTACCCTGTCAGGATATCTGCCATACCCTCGTCAAAAGCTGTCCTTCTTCATTGGGTTTCTCGTGTCCTGAAGGGAGTTGGCTTAATTCTTCTTATGGATACCGGAATTCGGATGGGGTTATCACTTGTTCCTATCTGGGTGCTGTGTATTATCTGAGTCTTGGAGCTCGTGTTGGGGCTGCGGCCTGGTGGACTGTCTTGGTTGGCTTGGTAGCGCTTTTGTTTGTTTAGCGGCATTGCAATGATGTATAGAACCTTTCTTATGATGTCTTTCTTAACTCTAACTCTAACAACCAGAAGCCTGGATCTACATGGTCCTACACGCGTAGAGTATGGACTTCGTCAATCTCACAAATTATACTTGAAGGCCCCTTGTGAAGGCCCATCATCATAAGTTCGAGGTCAAGAACTGTAAAAACATGCTGCTTGGCCTCTATAGCCGACTTTATAAGCCCAAACCGAACAAGTACATCATAACTCGTCTCTGTTATACAATTACCACTCCAACTCCTTCTGTAAAGTCTTTTTAACCCCCTTACTAGTCACTTTCCCTCGATTCTGTACCTCTTTCTTCCCATTCGACTCTTCCACTTTCTCCTTCTCCTTCGCCTCGCTTCCCTTCTCCTCTGCCCACTCACCCCACCTCTCCCTCCAAATCCCAATCTCCTCTTTCCAAAGATCCCTCACACAAGGGTCACATGAACTCCCACAGCAATCCCCCAATCCAGGCGGCGGTGGCGGATCATTAAACCCTCTCTCCGCAGCACGGAGAAGCTGTTTCGTGCGCGTCTTTGTCAAACGATTCTTTTGCAATTTCTTGAACAGTGGCGTTTCATCTGGTCTGTAATATTCTTCTGGGACTTTAGATTCTGTCCCGATTGATATTTGTGTCTTGGCTTTTGATTGGTTTGAGGTGCCCATATTTGAGGTTGGATTTGTTGGGCTCTGCTCTTTTTGTGTTGCCCCGATGCTCATTTTGATAACTCTTGTCTTTGTATGGATCTGGATAGCTCTGTTAGTGGTGGGTTTTTACCTGCCAGGGCAACCTTGGAAATGACCTACGGGTGTGAGTCGGGTATTATACAGATGTTCTCATATATGCAGGTAGTTGATGTTAAGTGGTAGAACTAGATATCATCGTTGAAAATGAGTGCCCAAGTCGGGGGTACTCGGGAATCGATTCCTGCTCGGCCCGATACCGCGGATCTCTACATCTACATCTACATCCCGAGGTCTGAATGCCTGCACAAATAACCAGAGTGAAATGTTCTTATGTAAATGATCGAAAATGATTGCAAAGGTCCATTCAAGCAGAATAGCTCCATGGTATCATACTTATTTCCTAGGCGACCAATCCACCCTCGGTTTCGCCCTGGGCGTGCCAACCCTATGCAATAACTTCTGCGCTGCAGGCGTAAGCATCTTCCCAGGCGTAGCGCCTCTATGTCTAAAAGGTGTAGCCACAGGCGTCTGGCTATGAGCGGCTTTTTCAGCGCGCTTATTCCTCGCTACGCGATCGACCATCCGGTGGTGCAGTGCTTCGCGCTTGCCCGTCTCAGCCAGCTGGAAGGGATTTCGCTCTGCAGAGCCAGAGCCAAGGAGACGCCAGTCTATCTCGTCGTCTTTAGTGGGCTCGGGCTCGGGCTCGTCTTCTTCGACGAATGCGTAGCCGTTCACACGCGGCGTCTCGCTGCCTGTGTATACCTCTGATTCTTCGAGGCGTGGTCGGCCGGCGATTGCGTCTTGGATAGCTGATATTGAAGGTGATGGAGGGATGGCATTGGCTGCCGCTGTGGCTTCTGGGTCTGGGAGCCTTGTGTTGTGGTAGAGGGTTTGCTTTGGGGCGGCGCGAGAGGTGCGTTCTGCTTTTTGGCTGAGGGTTTCATGGGTATCTTCCACCGAAGATGGGAGGAACATGAGGGTATTATCCGGACGAGATTTCCAGGCGTCTGGCCTTGCTGGACGGGCGTTGAGGTCCGTCTTGATTGGGACCACGCTCATCTCCGGATTGCCGCCTGCGGCTGTGATGCGCTTTGTTTCTTGTTGACTGTGTGCGATTTGGCGGGCAGAGGGGATCTTGTTATCATTCCAGAGCCAGGGGTATTTTTCTCGTTTTTTCTCGTTTTGTTTGTCCACAACTTTATAGAAGGATTCGTTGTCGTCACTTGTGTACTTTGAATGGAAGCCGAGGAGACCCATATTCGACACATCAGGTGCAGGTGGTGTTGGTGTTTCTGTCACTGTGCTCGTATGTGATGCCACTGACATCGGTGTATCGCCTCCCCATCCATGAGGGGTAGCGTGAGGGGTGTCTTGGGGTCGTCCGAAATGAGTTGCGGGTGTCGTGTCTCTCTTTCGCCGGGCGTTTGACCCTGGCGTAGGGGTACGCATGACATCTGCCAGCTTCTTCTTGGAGCTTGAGATCCATTCTTTGTCTTTGGAGTCTATAGCATCCAGATATTCCTGCTTGGCATGTGTTTCGAGTAATCCGGGGAAAAAGTCGCGGGCGATGATGTGGGACACGCTGCTAGTGTAGGCATCTTCCTCCAGAACCGTTGCGGGTCGTTTGATTCGCTTTGGTGGGGGCGGAGGGGGCATGAGCTGGCCAGCAGGTCGCTTGGCCAGCTCTTGCGACGGGGGAGGTGGCATGGTTGGTGAAGAAGAGATCAGAGCAGTGAGTGGCGATAAGATACGGATCCACGATCTAACCGCTTTAGGAAAGTTGTACTTGAACGATCGTCCTTGTACTTTCCATATAGCCCTGGAGGTACTTCTATGTACGTACTTATCCCTAATTCTCTGTTCACGGCTTAGCCAAGTCTTTCTTTTCTCGGCCATTCATGATGGCTAGACAATTAGTCGGAATCTTGGGTGGACATCCGCAAAGACAGTTGAAAGGACAGTTGAAAAGACATTTACAAGGAGGTCCCGAAGTTGATGATAACTCTCTTCCTTTACCAATCGAAATACGAGGCTAAGCCATTACATAACTACTCCTGTTTATAAGCAACTATCATCGTCTTTTTGGCCGCGCGTGAGCGCGGCACTGAGGCTTGTACATTATACTGGATACATGCTAACTACACTTCTATTGTAGTTCTTATATGCACACTGTTTGAAAGCCAATAAATCATGCCAACGGGCTGCATTGGGACGTAGCCCATCTATAATCTATAACAAGGGCTAGCGAATGACCCCAAAAAATCAACCTCCCTTTTCCTTTCCATTTCCAATTTTCTTTTTTCCCAAATTCCATCCAACACCAAAGAAATCGCTGATCGCTGAGAAATGCAAAGATCGACTGTTGAGACATGCGTGCAACAAAACCAAAACCAAAAAAATAAAAGAAACGGCTGATAGGCGGACAAGAGTTAAACAGACACAAGGAAACAGATCATGACTCGTATAGAGAGGGTGAGGGTGATGACAAAGCGGAAAGATATGCAAGGGGGGTCAGAGGTCAGGGAATAGACCCCTGACTTGAGATAACGAGAGAGACTCAGTGAGCAGTGGGGAAGAGAGAGTACGAAGGCGAGCGACTCTTCGGCTTTCGGTTTGGGTTCTTGGGTGGCAAGGGAGGCAGAGGAGCCTCGACTCTGATGTCAACCTCAGAGGTGGACTTGGTGCGGTCGTGGACCGGCATTTCCTCCAGACTGGTGCTGCTGCTATTGTTCAGAAGCTGGTGCTCGGCGAGGCTCTTTGTTTGGCGGTGCGACGCCGAAGGAGGGCGAGTTAGGGCCTCGGCGGCTGTCAAGCGGTCGGTGGGCATCAGCTCGCGGCTGCTTGAGAGGGAGTGGATGAGCTCGGGAACACTGGTTGTTGAGACGGAGGAACGATGCTTGCGCGCGATCGAGGCCGCGCGAGAGAGCATCAGGCTCTCCTGGCTGTTGCACTTGCTAATTGGAGAAAAGCTGCTGCGTGGGGAGATGGGCATGCCGGCAAAGGGAAAGTGACGGTCTGATTCGCCGTCCGTGGTGATGTACTCTTCGTACAAAGGCTCGGCGATCTTGCTCAGAGTGCTGATGGGGAAGTAGTCGGGGTTGCGAAATACCTGACCAAAGTCGCTGGAGGGGGTTGCGGCGGAGTGGGTGGGCATGGATGCAGGGCTTGGGTTCAGGTCTGGTGTGGGGAGCTCAGAAGAGCTGAGTGGGCTGGGCTGGAGGTGGCGGGCTTTGGGAGAGAGCCAAGGTCCATCACTGCAAGCTACGCCAACCTGAGGACGGGACTCATCGAGAGATGTGCGAGTCCAATCAAAATTGGAGGTCGACTCTGCTGCGTGTTCGTAGCAGTAGTCGATGTCAGCATCCCAAGAGTCGTACATCTCGTCCTCGTATGAGAAGCGGTGGAGCTCAGCAATTGGCTCGGCGGGTGCGACCACCTGGGTGTTGGTGTTTTGAAGGTGTTGGGGGAGAGTGGGGGAGCCGAGAGCCTCGGAGAATTTTCTTGACAGCTCCTCGGCCACAAAGATCGACATTGGAGCATTAGGCTCGCCAACGCTCGGTGAGTCGGTCTTGGGGGCCGGGCTGGCCTGAGAGACGGAGCGCGAGTCGGGACATCCGACGCTGGACTGCGGGCTATCCCAGTATCGGGTTGCTTCCTCTTCCTCGGGTACATCTGCCAGATCATATTGGCTGCTCATTGATGAAGTCCTGACACTGTCACCTGTGGGCTCGGGGCTGAAGAACCGGGTTGGTGGTGTGGACTGAAGACACTCTGGGTAGGTCACGGCGGATGACAGACCCAGGATCTCATCAATGGCGCGAGGCTCTGGCTCGATGGTCTCTGGGGGAGGGGTCTCCGGCACTGAAGGTGGAGGGGGAGTGGTAGGGCAAGAGCGAGGGTACCTGGACACAGGACGAGAGAAGTTCTCATTCGCGCGAGATCCTTGGCGAGCATGACCATGGCTTGCCTTGGGGGATACCGGCGGGCTCAAACTCGGCTCGTCGACGGTAGTGGCAGTTCCAAACACGGCCAGATCATCGGCGGAGAAGTTACGGAAATGAATGTCCTCGGCGCGGATACCTTTCAGCCCGGTCTGGGGCCGTTGCGATGCGCGAATGGCAGAAAATTCGGTGACAAGGTCGTTCTCACGAGTCTGATCCAGAGCTTGGAATTGGGACGGATTGGTATGAGTCAGGTGATGGAAATCGTATGGATCAGATATGAGGCTTTTCAGGCGTTCACCTGCAAGGTTCGGGTCAATTGAGTGACGGTGATATTGGGCACCATGGCAACGAGCAACTTACTGTTGTCGGTATGACGGGAACGACGCCCGAACAGCTCTCTATCCCGGGGCTTTTCACGATCCACCTCATCTTCCTCGTCCAATGTTGCGACGATATTGATCTTACTACCCTGTCGACGAAGGATGCGGCTTCCCCGCGCCAAAAAGGACCGAGATGACTTGTCCTTATCGGAGCGTTGACCCAAGGAGGAGACAGTGCGCTCATCGGGGATTGAACCATCCGAGGTCATTGAGGAACCTGGTGAGCGGCGAGAGGAGGTCGAGGTGGTGGTGTTGCTCCGGGAGCGACCACTGAAGACGGAGAGCCGCTTTGGGCTGTTCGTGTGGGCTGTCGACTTGGAGCGGACATGAGCGTGATCTAGTTGCTCGTTCGACGAGGTTGTTGATGGACGGTCACTGCCGTCGTCGTCCCACTGTTTTGCCATTGAGAATGGTGCGTATGACATGATTTAGGAAAGGACAGTTACACCATGATAAATGAAATCTGGAGATCCCCCGAGGGAACGGTTGGAGCAGAGGGCTGATAATAAATTAATAGAATACTCAATGACGAGACAATACCACGGACGGGGCCTGTGGAGCCTCTCAGGGGTTATTTTTGTATTTTTGTATTTTTTGTACCTCGGTATTGGCAAAGCTCTTTGCTCAGAGTCCTTTGTTATTGTTGTTGTTTTACTTTTATCATCTCTACTTTTCTTTTCGAGGACTTTGCGGTGTATCAATCAGTCCACCGTATGATCGAATTCTATCTGTCACACCCTGCATCTATCCGAAGAAGCATCTACATCAAACATAAGCAAACATTGGTACTGGGTTTCAATACACGGGACATAACCCAAGGTACTGATCCAAATAATGGAGCCGAAACCCAATTAGTCGCATCTGGATCCAGGGGGTTGGTCCTGAACGTGCTGGAGCCCCGATTGTGGGGGGGGCTAACCAGGGTAGACATAAGCCGCTAGTCTGTAACTGGTAGGTATCAGCGGTCCGATACGCCCCGTTCCGTGTTATTTTGGTTTCTCCTTTCTTTGGCTCTGCACAATACGGAGTCCTCGCTATACACTTGTACACCCAGTCTATTGGTACTCCGTATTGAAGTACTCCGTATGGAGTACGGAGTACCTAGTGTGATGGTGTTATCGCTATCGGGTATTGGAGAGAAAGATCATCGTTGACACTAGCAGTCCCAATCTAGAACTTCCCAAGGTTTAACGCGGCAGAGAAGTCTATCAGAACGTGTGTCTATCTAGACGTGACCAGAGAATTGAACCATTATGAGATCCAATCCCCCATACTCTGCGCGTACTCCGCATACTCAGTATACTCCATTGTGTACGGAGTATGCCTTTTGCAGAGTCCTTACATCAGGTAGAAACATTACAAAGTCCAGACTGAAGTGGATAGGAGTCCTCATCACTTTGTCACGCACATTGGCACACGCGCACACTGGAAGTGATTTCCACTCATACTTCGCACCAACCATGTCCCAGCACAACCTCTCACACAGCCAATGTTTCTAACATCCCATTTTTCATCCAGCCTCATATTTCACGTAGCTTCACAATTTTTTTATTCTCAAACGCCTTGCGTAAAGCCTGAGACAGCCATGCCTCTTTCCCCGCATAGTGCATAGCGGAGCCTCGGTTCAACGGTTTTCCATCTGAAGGATCCCGGCCCTACCTTTAGTACCTCTCTAGGGCTCAATCTACACTACGGCTGTGGGGGCGTATTACTTCGCTTGTACAAGTAACATTGAATATTTACCCCGAGATTCCACGCACCGATAACACTACGCGTCGCCTAGGTCCATGTGCCTTGCGAACTGTAAGGATTAGACTGTAAGGTCGGAGGGTGCCGTTCCCCTATCTCGTGCTTGATGATCAGCAGGGAAGAAAAGCAAAACACAAGCTTCTCGAAAATCCCAAGCCTCGGGGATGTAAGAGATGCAGATGAAGAATGTGAGCATCCGGAAGTCACCGGTGAGTCCCTTGCAGTTCCTGTCGGAGAGTTGCGTTGTCTCAGCGGGGTATACCAAGTGCTTCCGACTCGATAGTTGGTATGTGCATACGAAATGCATCTGAGATTATGAAATTGAAGATATTATTGTAGCACAACGTACTCAGTACATCCTCGTTCCTCTTTCCTTTTTTTGCCATGGTATGTATTATGCTGTATGTGGTATAAACTGTACGGAGTAAGCTGCCCACGATCTTGCATCAACCAGCTTCCTATCTGGAAAGTGGATCTGAAATTCGAAACAAATGTAGAAAAGTAAAAATGAATACAGGTCCACTTTGTAGAATTCATAACCGCTAGTTTTAGTGTGTATCCGGACGATCTCGTCTAGAACCTTGGGCGCCCCGGGAGTTGAATTAGGGTGCGGCAATGTCAACACAATGAATGTCAATATCTCTCTCTCTCCTGCCTAGGGCATCTATAGCTCCGGGGATTACTCCGTATAACACAATGTGTCAGTCCCCGATCCCCGGTCTTTGTGAGTGTCCATGGGTATTCAGTAGCTCAATTATCCTCGGAGCCACCGTTTTCCCCTTTTAGCTGAGCCAGCACGCCCCAACGATGATCAATCGTCATCTTGTCGTCCAAGCGTCAAAGACCCGGAGTTCTTTCACTTGGAGGCCAGATCTGCGTCAGGAATATGCTCCGAAATTGAAGGCCCATCTGATCGGATTTTGTCTCTGAATTGCATCTTCTCTCATACTCGTAGTATAGAACTATAGATGTCTCGACTGAGTTATCCCTGGGACTAGCTTCCCAGTACGGAGTAGCTCCAACTAAGTTCGACGCACGTTTTAGAATTAACTTCTTTCAGTTCGCGTCAAACGAACACGTTCTCCGAGTGATCGTCGATCTAATTTGCTTGGCTGTTTGAGATGTCTAGGAGCGGGATATTCTCTTGAGAGGAACCTGGGAAATTTCGCTAGTCTATTTGCCGTTGGGATTCTTTCTTCTTTCCCTCGCTAGTGAAGAATGGGAAAAGTGATACTGCAATTTGCAACTGTGTCCTGAGGACACTAGTATCGCGCTAATACTAGCCCACTCCAACGGTCGCTTTTCTGGGTAAAGTATCCCGTTAGAACTATGGAGAATTCGATCAATCTAACACTACTCCGTACGGAGTACGGAGCACTATAATAAGCACAATCATAAGTTACTGAGGCTGAATCCTCCGATGTGACTCGATGTGACTATGTGCGATCCAAATATCCAATGCAACCCAGTGATAAATTGGTTGTACATACTGCGTACAGAAAGCGTGTGCGCCCGTGGAACAGGGGAATCCTTTCACGGCCCAGGACAGTTTTTGTGATCCATCTACTCCGTACTATCGTCTACTAGATCCTGATCGACTCGAGCAAACAATTGAGACTAGCGGTAGATCACCATTTCTTTGATCCACGTCATAAGAAATACTGAAATTCGATACTTTTGATTTCTCATTAAAAATTATGTATGTAATACCAAACCAGGTCCTGAACGCCTTTTGTTCCGATTATTTGTCAAAAGCCCTCCCAGATCTAGACCGGATGTTAGATTTGCTTGATCGGGTAGGAGAAAGACACGCACTGTAGATCATTTGATCTGGATGATTTAGATGCCTTGAGCATCGACGATTGGGGTAGCGAGTTCAAAACCACCGACTCCGCCGATAGAGCTATCCTCATCGCGCTTCTTCAGGTCAATGGTGCTTCCTAAGACGCCGCCGGTGCTCTGATCGCCGTCGCCGAGAACAGCGTCATCGCGCTTGGGGATGCCGAGGACACCACCAAGGCCCAATAGACCATCATCATCATTCACATGCTCGCCGTTTCCGTTTCCACGACGGATGGGAAGAAGAACTGAAGGAACGCCCACAGGGGAGTCAATGCTGTCGATAGAACTGTCCTCGGAGCGAGGAATGTTCTTGATGTTGATGGTGGGGGGATGTCGAGGTTGTTGACACTGGTTCCGCCCACAGCCAAGTCCTCGGAGCGCTTGGCGATACCAGTGGTTCCGGCACCTCCGACGTTGACGGCGGCACCCAGGTCACCAATGACATCGTCGGTATCACGCTTGGCAATACCGGTAGTCTTGTCGCCGCCAACGTTAACAGCAGCACCCAGGTCACCAATAACATCGTCGGTATCACGCTTGGCGATACCAGTGGTGTCGGCACCACCAACGTTGGCACCAATGCCCAGGCTGCCAATAACATCGTCGGTGTCACGCTTAGCAATACCGAGAGTCTCATCACCGCCAACGTTCACGCCGAGGCCAAGCTTGCCAATGACATCGTCGGTATCACGCTTAGCGATACCGGTGGTGTCGGCACCTCCAACGTTGGCACCAATGCCCAGGCTGCCAATAACATCGTCGGCATCGCGCTTGGCAACACCGGTAGTCTCATCACCACCAACGTTCACGCCGAGGCCAAGCTTGCCAATAACGTCGTCGATGTCACGCTTGGCAATGCCAGTAGTCTTGTCGCCGCCAACGTTAACAGCGGCACCCAGGTCACCAATGACATCGTCAGCGTCACGCTTGGCAATACCGGTAGTCTTGTCGCCGCCAACGTTGACGGCGGCACCCAGGTCGCCAATAACATCGTCGGTATCACGCTTGGCAACGCCGGTGGTCTCTTCACCGCCAACGTTGGCAGCAACACCAGCGGTACCGATCAGGTCGTCCTGGTTGGGCACAGGAGCCGCAAGGGCAGTGACTGCCAGGATGGCAGGGGCGACAAAGGCGTAACGCATAATGTGTCCTTGAAAAAGATAGAGGAGAGTGGTGGTGGATTTCTCCCCTGGACCTCGGGAGAATTGACCAAGGTTTATACTTCAGTTCCTAGATGCTTGCGGCATGTTTGACGTGCTTCAGGAAGTCGGGACTATTAGAGTGTCTGGGTGAGTCCACTATGGGAGACATAGTTCGATGGCACGACTGCATTTCCATTTGCGGCAAATTTTGGAGATTGTAGAGCTCAAGAAGGTAAGGTGTGTAGAGATTTCCAAAGCGACAGTATAAAGAGATTTAGACAGATGACCCGTTGATTGGACTATGGGGACAATCCTTAACTGATTGGGCGGTGAACCGTAGATCAGGACCCTTCCCGTTGATATCATCGCTTGTCTCGATCCTACCCTATACTTTGGACGTCATTGTTGGGTTTATGGCGAGATCCACACATTCTCTGGCTTGTCGATTGGCTATGCTTAATTGAAGTAGCCCATTGCGTCTTAACGAAATTTTCCGAAGTTTGTGGGCCTACTGGTTTGTTTGGTAGACAGATGTACAATGTACCTCGAGCTGTAACTAGAGCCCCCCAGATGCTTAAGCTACCAGACTAGGCCTTGGACTAAACCACTGGAACAGATTTGAACCATGAAGTTAATTTTAATCCGCTATATGCCGAACAAAAGATCGACAGCAAATACCGAAGATCAGACCTGAACCGTAAGACTGAAGCCGTGGTCGACTATTAGACTCGGGCTATTGCTCTAATCGACTAGTCGACTAACACGCTAATGTTTCTATTCGAAGAATTAACTATGAGTTATAAAATCTCTGACGTGAGTTCCTTGGATCAAGGAAAAAAAAAAAAAGAACGTTCGCGGTAGTTTCTTTCATGTCGACATATGAGTCCTGAATGGCATACTCACGGCCTTTCAACGGCCACTCAAATGGCCATATATACACGCTTTTCCGTGTGCGGAGACACACCATTTCCACCAGAATTGAAGAGGGGGAAAAATGTCGCACAATTTCGTAAGAAACGAGAACGCAATGACACATACTGGGACCTGCATACTCCGACTGCGACTGTATGCAGTGCACTGGGGCCAAAATGCCCTTAAGGTGGAGGGGCCGGGATGACATTGGGGGCTCAGCAGCTGAAATCTAGCCAGTCATAAGCCGAGGAAAAACCAATACTGTCAGCGTTCGGGGGTTCACCGGACTCCCGCCGAGCTGCAATGCGAGATCCGAGTATACATGTCCACTACGCTTGGGCCGTTAATTTATTCGGTCTCGGTTATGGAGAGCTGAGGCATTTCTGTAATCTACGAGACAGTGGCGTGTTATGGTACGGAGTATTTTGTGTAGAGTCGGAATGTTCTTTGCTTTACTAAAGGCTAATGATTATACACGGGAAGATATCAATTGCGAAGGGGAAAAAAAAGAGACAAATGTGTAGATCAATCCTCCATCTCGGTGTCCTGGGTCTTGGATGGCTCGCCGAATAGCTCGTCCTCGTCACCCGGACCATCGCCAGCCCCGTCAACGGGAACATTGGCCTCGTGCTCTGACTGCTCGGCCTCGGCCTCGGGCTCGGGCTGCTCCTGCTCTGGCTGCTCTTCTGGCTCCTCGTCTTCCTCGTCGTCGTCATCGGCAAGACGACGGGAAGCATTGCCCCGTCGACGCGTCGTAGTCTCTTCCTTCTCAGAAGCCGGTTCGTCATCCGAGTCAACGACCATCTCACTGCTCTTGTACTTGCCGGGCTTCTCGGCCTTCTCCTTGTCAGCCTTAGGCTTGCCAGATCGGCGTTCCAAGCGTCGTTTCTTCTTAGGCGCTTCCCCAGCGTCACTCTCCCCACTGTGCGCATCATGCTCGTCATCTTCTTCGGCAATGAAATCATCTCCCTTCTTCTTGCGCTTGCTGACAGGCTTCTTCTTGCGCTTAACGCGGTCGCCGGTCTCGGAATCATTGGTCAACTCAGCTTCCTCACGTGCACGATCATCTTCAGCGCGTTTAGCAGCGTGGCGTTGAACTTCCTCGACCATCTGAGCACGCTCTTCGGCAATACGCTTCTTGCGCTCAGTCTCGACTTCCTGGGCCTTGCGGAGCGCTTCTTCACGGACGCGAGCTGCTTCTTCCCGAGCTTCGCGCGCTTGCTGTAGTTTGGCGGCGTTCTTTTCTTCGTACTCCTTCTGACTTTGCATGGCACGATCAAGCTGCTTGCTAATTGTGCGTCCCATGTTGGCACGCTGCTCAAGAGCAGCACTCGGGTACGGTGGGCTCTTTTCTTTGGAGAGTCGCTCGAAGGTCTCGATGGCTTCCTTGAGACCATCAGCCGCTTCCTGAACATCCTGAAGCGTCTTTTGCGTAGGCTGTAGACCGTAGGCGAGGGATGCGATTTGGTTTTGCACAAAGGCAACGTTGAACTGGAGGTGGAGTTGATCCGGAGACACGGTCCGGGCGCGCTCAGCGTATTCAAGTGCGGTCTTCATGGCTGCGAGATTTGCTTCTTGCTTTCCTTTCAGCCACCAGACACGTCCAAGGCAAGCCAAGATCTGCACATCACGGGCGCGATCCTTAGAAAGTGCTGTCTCGTAATGTTCAATCGACCGGGCGAATTGGCGAAGCTCGGCGTAGACGTGGCCAAGGTTCAGGTAGACACTGGGGTCCTTGATCGTGTCACGAATCTTGGACAAAACTTGCACAGCAGCGCTATATTCCTTCCTGTCGTCGATCAGAGCGATGGCGATACCCTGAGCGGCGTATGCGTTCTTGGGGTCCAACTGAAGAGCCTTGTCATAGAATTCGACGGCGCGCTGGTACATCTTGCGGCGCTTCTCCTTGTCCTGCTCTGTGTCGCGGCGCATGTCACGGGCGAAAAGGAGATGTACATTACCCATTCCAGTCAAGGCGTATCGGTCATGCTTGTCGTGATATTGGAGAGTGTGCTTGAAGTGGCGCTGCTCATTGTCCTCGGCGAGATTGGCAACACGCTTCTTGGACTTGCTGATGTACCAGCCATAAAGCGATCGGACTTCCAGATTGGTGTTGTCTGATTCGTAAAGTTTGGCAATCTTCTTCGGGCCTTCGTCGGTAGGGCTCTGGCGCAGAGCAATATACGTCAGGCGGGCATTGGCTTCTGTGTAGTTGCTGTGGCGCTCGAGGAGACCTTCATAGACCTTCTTGGCTTCGTCCCACATGTCAGCTGCCTCGTAAGTCCGTCCAAGGTTGTAGCTGATTGTAGTAACAAGAGCATCAGGATCGGTGTCCTCTGTCTTCTCCTTGGCTTGCACACAAGAGTTCAGAGCCGACTGGAACAAGCCACGAGCCAGAGCAATCTTCTCGTTCTGGTAGAGGAAGCAGCCCATGTTGTTGAGAAGCTGAGGGGGAAGACTCTCCCTAAGAGCAGCATTCAGCTCATCCTGGTCATCAATATCCGGACGGGCATCCTCGGGAATGCTAGCAAGCTGAATCTGCTCCAGCTGTGTCAAGCATTGCATGCTCTTCTCTGGGGCCGTAGTCTCATACAAGCGGGCGAGATAGACAAGAACCGACTCATCGGGGGAGAGGTTTTGCTTTTCGTCCTTCCACATGGAGCGCACAGCCTCCAGCAAAGTGATTGCTCGCTTGGTCTCGTTCGACTTGTCCTCCTTGCCACCGGATTTCTGTGCAGCAAAGACTTCCTCTGCGTGGATTGCTGCGAGCAGGGTCATCGCCTCTGGGTTTTTCGATTGCTGGACGATTTTCTCCAGTCGGAATTTGGCGCCATCGAAGTCTTTGTTGTTGATTTGCATTTGAACGGCACCGAATTTCGCGGGCAAGTAACCCTTTTCGCCGCCGCCGCGGGCCTGGTCTGAACGATTGTAGAACTCCGCGGCATGCACAGCATCACCCTCGTAGTGTGATTTCCGCCCAAGCATATACCAGCCGTCACTAGCAATAGACATGACATCTGTGTGTTCAATAGCCTTTCGTGCTAAGGTCTCGACGGTCGAATACGTTTTGCGCAAAAGGAAGTAGCCTGCAAACAGAGAGCAGGTCATCGGACATTCCTTGTCGAGCTTAAACGCTTTTTGTGTGTATTGAGTCATGGCCACTTTGTACAATGACCCGAACATGGGGTCGGTTGTGGCGCGGCGAGAGCTGTCGTAGAGGTAGTAAACCGCGAGGAGGATGTTGGCAACCTTGGATTCGGGATTCTAAATTCGGTCAGTCATCATCCCATGAGACAAGAGTATCTATAAAACATACCAGAGCCAGTGATCTCTCCCAAGCAACCTTGGCCTGGTCCTTGAAGCCCAGTTGCCACAAGCAGCATCCGATACCAATGCGAGGATCCGGGTCCATGAGATTGGGCATCTTGATCAAAGCCTTCTGGTACCCTTCGAGGGCCTCGGCGTATCTTCCCAGCATGTAGTGTGCGCGGGCACGTCCCAAAATCGCCATGATGTTCCGACCACCGAAGGCCTTGGAGGACTCGTCGAAGCATTTCAAAGCTTGTCGAAGAGACTCGTTCCGCTCTGATGTATCGACGGCACCGGGACGAACAGCACGGGGCGCATAAAGCGATGCACGTAGCAAGCATAGAACACCACGCGCCAAGAACAAAGGAGGATAAGCTGGGTTGAGACGAGAGGCCTCGTTCAATGTCGATGTCGCAAGTTGTAGATAGTGATCCTTGGTCTTAGCTTCGGAGTAAAGCTCGCCGTCAGGCGCAACTCGAGGGGCGTGTCGGCTTTTCAGCAACAGTAGCCAGCAGATCCAACCCAGAAGGCCGAGCTTCTCCTTTGTCGCACCGTGGGCCACAGAGGCCAGACCCTTGTTCAAGATGTCGATGGCATGGTCATACTGATTGCGCTTCGCATATGCGAGCGCGATGATCACCCAGAAGTTCTTTGCGGCTTTTTCGTTTTCGAGGAGGGTGCAGAGCTCGGTAGGATCTTCGGGCAGCTCAAGCAAGCTGACTTCGACTTCGCTGTCGAAGCTGGATGCGGGGATATCAATTGCGTCGGGGATGTCAGAGAATCGGAGGTTGCCCGGGGGTGTCGTGGATGGTACGGCGTCGCCATTCAGGCCGTTAGTATGGCCGTTCTCGAGAGGCGCCATGGTGTAGGGATGAGGCCACTTTGGTAGGTTTAGGATTGTAAGAGCCTCAACTCATGATCAAAAGAAGCAGACCATCAAAGAGCAGTCGGACGGAGTTCAATGAGGTAAGCGACCCCTGTTATGAAGCGAGCGCGAAGGTGAATCACGGAGACCAGCGGCGCGGCGACGGAGAGGTTGAGAATTGAGAGCGGCTGGTTGCACCGCCACAAACGCCACACAATAGAACCAGTCGTGTTTGGCTTTCATTGAATCTCCAAGTCACTCTATTGTTTCTATTGTTTCTTTATTTTTTGGTTGAATGAATAAGAATTAGTAGGATAATTCTTTTCGGTTCTTTTGTACTTGGGTATGGGATATCTAAAACTATGTCCACGACAATATGGCTCACGATAGCCAGCTTGTCACCAATTTACAAGCTGAAGCAACACTGAGTAACACCACAAATATCAATCCAAGCTCACTCCAATGATGGACGCGAGCATATGACTCGACAAAGCCAGCCTCTGCGGCAATCTGCTGCCCATTCTCTGTACCATCAGCCTTGATTGAACCGGCCAACTCGGATGGGAAGCGGCCTGTCTCAAAGTACTCGTCCATGAGCTGATCTTTTTCTGACCAACGCTCAATCAACCACGCCTCAAACTCTTTTTGGTCTTCAAGGGGAATTTTGGAAACCTGGAAACGTCGCCAATGCATGTTCACAGAGGTTGGCGGACGTCCCTGTAGGTATGTAGAGCGAAGTGTGAAGTATTTGTCCGGGTAGCTTCCCTTCCTGTTAGGGATATTTGTTAGTGTGTTCCAAGAGGAAGTGTGTTTTGAACGTACGGTGGTCCTTCATATGCGATTGTACAGTCATAAACCCAGTCGACGGTACCACGCAATTGTTGAAGGCAGAAGAACAGCCCGGTGGAGCGGGGAAGAATCTCATGTTTGAAGGAAGGCAGGCTCTGTTTTTGACTCCAAGCATCACTGCGTCCTTTGGTGTTGATGGACAGGTTCGTTCCTTCGGGGAAGATCAAAAGCCACATAGGATCATATGTAGGGCGGGCTGAGTTCGAGCCCGTGAAGTTGGTCTTCAGCTTTTCCAGGCGGTGCTGAAGCCTCGGCTTGTCGGCCAGCCACTTGCGAGCCATGAAGATGAAGCCATAAAACATCATACCCGTACCAACAATGGGGATATATTTCAAAGACTCCTTCAGAATAATGAAGATCCGGCCGTGCATCGAGTTTGTGTATGCTACCCACCAGAGATATACCCAGTCGGTGTAAACTTGGTGGTTCGCGATCATGACGAGACGCTCTGGAAACCGAGTTTGCAGCAGACCATCTTTGGAAAGATGAATTTGACCACGCACGCTAGCATCTCCACTCACTCGAATTAGAGTAGGAGAGCTCCATTCTGTGACGGCAGTGAGGGCTAATGCGAAACATTGTTTTGTGTAGGCCATATACGCATAGTAGTAACGTCTGTTGATCACATACAATGGGCATCCAACTAGCTGTGTCACACAGATCACTAGGACGCAGCAGTTGAACCATGTTGACAGTAGTAGCGAACGCAAGATCTGCATGGGAACTCCATGTTTGAGATGAGGCTCTGTGGGCGGTTTGGTTGAACGCTTTAGGAGCTCGGTATTATCTTTGGCGGCCGGCCGTCGCTCTCGAACCTCGTTCGATTCCATGGTGGAGATAGTAGAGATGTTGAAATCCCCAGAATGGGTTCAGGTCAGGATATACCTAGACTGAGAATGGAGGGGTAAGTTAAAGTCATTAGGTGTAGAGGCAGGCACAAAGCTTATCAAGGATACGCACATGGTCTTGAGACCGGATAGAATAGATCAAGAGTGAAATGAGAAATAGGTGGAAGTGTGCTAGAAGCTAGATTCTAGAATAAAAAGATCATGACCCGGAAGTCCGGAGTTAAAGGGAGTTGGAGATCTCGTGAGCCGAACCGCCGTGATGTTGCATAACGTCACTCCCGGGGGCGGTCAACCGATCTCCTCTTTCGTATAGCTCTTGGAGTCTACTCACGGTGAACAGGCCGAGTACTCTAGTTCTTCTCTATCGCTCTATTCTTCTACCCTGACCTTCCACTTCCAGTCTCTGTCTATTGGAAACATCAACTATTGGAAAGCATACTCCGTAAAGGTCTCTAGAAGTCAGGCTGCATGATGGCGCGTTGATGTGAGCTCCCAAATCCAACTCTAACCCAACTCAACCCAACCCAACCCAACATGGGAGACCGGACTGACATATCAAAGGCCTGCGCTCTCATAACAATATGTTTCGTGCTATATTTCGCAACAATCGGCTCCCCTTGCGCAGCTTTTCTACATCCGCAACACGTCACGAGATCAAAGATATCAGCTCTTTGCCTGGGCGTCTGCTGCCAAAATACCAAGGTGTGGGTCGCCAACAACTGGTCATCTGCTGGTTCAAGGCTGATCAAGTGTCCTAGAATCCTGCGACGGGGAGCTTCTGTCTCTTCAATGGCCAGCACCGCCGCGGAACATTTTTCTAGTGCGCAAAGACTGCGCTCCCGCAGTCACCGACTCTCTGGTTGAACTTGTCAGGTACAATTGATCGGAAACTAGCCCTGACGACAAGATGCTGATCGCTTGGTAGTCATGTGTCCTCCACATACCCTTCTATCTCCGTGATCCTCGAGTCCAAAACGGCTGCCGAAGTACACTCCTCCCTCCCCTTTCCTGTTTACGCAGTTTCGCTCGACGAGAAGTCAACCGCGCTCCACGACAAAGTCGACCTGACAGTCACACTCGGTGGAGATGGAACAATTTTACATGCAGCATCGCTTTTTGCAACCTGCTCTAATGTCCCACCTGTTCTATCATTTAGCATGGGCACATTGGGCTTCTTGAGCGAATGGAAATTCTCGGAGTACAAGCGAGCCTTCCGAGAAGTCTACATGTCTGGCGCTGGCGCCGGAGATCGTACCCCTGTATTGGAAAAGCCTCCAGCGGCAGAGGGACCGGAGCCCGAGGGCCCGACCGGATGGTCCTCTGTCCGAGGCAAGTCTATGGGCTCTACTCGCGGGGCGCGTATTTTAATGCGCAACCGGCTCAAAGTCGGTCTGTTCACGGCAGACGGAACTGAAACGACCCCCATTCGAACCAAGAGCGACAAGGGCCAGGGGGTGTACGTGATGAACGAACTTCTCATTCATCGCGGTAAGGAACCGCACCTAGCCGTGGTGGATGTGTTTGTGGGTGGACGGTTCCTGACCGAGGCTGTGGCCGATGGAATCATAATTTCAACTCCAACGGGAAGTACAGCATACAGTCTCAGCAGCGGGGGCAGTATTGTACACCCACTGGTACCGTCGATTCTGTTGACGCCGATCTGCGCGCGTAGCCTTAGCTTCCGCCCCGTGGTCCTCCCTTCCAGCACCCCTATCACACTGCGGCTGAGTGAGAAAAACCGGGGGCGCGAACTCGAGGTCAGTTTAGACGGCGTCAATTTAGGCCAAGGGATGGGAGTTGGCATGGAGGTCCGAGTGTGGAATGAGGAGATGAGGCATGGCAAGAATGAGTGGCAGGGAGGTGTTCCCAGTGTCATGCGGAGAAGTGTGGGCTGCGAGGCACACGAGGGGTGGGTAGGAGGATTGAACGGGTTATTGAAATTCAATCATCCCTTTGGCGAGCAATGAGTCAAGATGCAATGTACAGCAGCATAACTAAATATTGGTACGGTGGACGAAGTATACCTAGAACATTAGTTTCATAGTCTTGTAGTTTTGGATTTTATGGAGTACAAAGGAGGCCATAGTGAAGTGCTAAAGCGCTTACTTTGTTTACTCCAAAACCCTCCCATAGACCTGGGACTTTGAAAATCAAAACAAAAAGATCAGAACAATGAAGATGGGAGTAAATCTATATGAACTAAGAAAAAAAAAGAGGCAAGCCATATGATTGGCAGAGGCTTGTTTTCTGTAGATGAACGTTCCTCTCCACCGAAGTACCTGGACCGCTTCAGGGGACCCATATGGATTATCCCCCCCCTTTCCCTTCCTCCCCACCTCCAACTTTCCTCGCGCTTTCTCTGCCTTTCGTGCTTTATTTCTGATAGTTGAGAATATCTTCGAGCATCCTCGCAGTGCGAGGGCCGCTCTTGATTTTTTGAAAGGTACCGTACCCCTCCCTTGGCCCCCCTAATGCCAATCCCCGGATCATATTGGTCAAGTCCGGCCTCAAATCCTCCAAGTCCGGGCGGGACGCTCATGCGAGAAAGGTACATACGTGTAGCAGACGCAATTGTTAACCTTTGTCATAGTTCCGTTAGTCCGTCACCGAAGGGCCTCAGGAGGTCTCGGCGCATTCGCTACCCTAGCCCAGGGCCGTCTACACGTACTGGACCGCAACAATGACATCCTCTTATGGAAAGTCGGTATCTCCCGTCCCATCACTCTCTACTGCGATACTCACAATCATTCCAGCAACATGTACGGGCCTGATCAGTTTATGAATCCGGGGCCAGCTCCCCGCCCCCCTACCGATCGTCCTCCCCAATTGACTCTGCCGACCAACACAAATGCCTCCTTTGCTCAGATGAGTCTGGACTCTCCAAGCACCCCGGGTCCACAGTCTGCAAACCTGTCGCTTTTTCCCAACACCAGTAGCCCGTCTTTGTCCATGAATCGGAGCAATACCAGCCAGGGTGGAATCGCCATCGTCAAAGAAGGCACGGTTCGTTGTAAAGAGGACAAGTTCTTGGCAACGTGGAATCAACGATACTTAATTCTACGAGAGTACAAACTTGAGTTTTTGAAGAATGACTCCTCAAAGGTGGTTATCTCGTTCCCTTTGTCCACGGTCACCGCTGTGTCCCGTTCCGAAGATTGCAAGATGGCGTTCGAGGTCACTCGCTTGGCGAACCCCAAGGATGCCACCTCCAAAAGCGCTTTGTTGACCCGCGACTTGCCCACCAAGACGATCACGTGTGAAGTCAAGTCCGATGATGAGATCTATGAGTGGATTGATAAGATCTATGAGCGATGCCCCGGTATGGGTGGTGTCAGCAACCCCACCAACTTCAGTCATCGGGTGCACGTTGGCTTCGATCCGCAGTCCGGTGCCTTCGTCGGGTTGCCCCCGAGTGGGAGAAGCTTTTGACGGCCTCGGCCATCACAAAGGAGGACTACAAGAAGAATCCCCAGGCGGTGATTGAGGTTCTTGAGTTTTACTCCGATATCAAGATGCGCGAACAGAACCCTCAATATTACGCTGGGATCAACTCTCCTGCAAACGGTCAACAACCTAAGCCGTATGGCAACAGTGTCGGAAACTCTATCGCACCACCGAGACCTCCTCCACCTGGGCCGATGCAACGCCTGGATAGCGGTTTGTCAAAGCAAGCCGATGGGTCCATGCGCTCTGCCTCTGGCTCGGCAGGTCAAACAGATCGTCAGAATGAGCAGCAGCAGCAATTGGAACGCATGAAGGAGATTGCAGACCAGGAACGCCGCCGTGTGGAAGAGGAAGCCCGGCGTAATAAGGAGGATCAAGACGCATACAATGCATCAATCCCGCAGACCCGTACTCCGGGCGCCAAGCAAGAGCTCGGTGGATATGGAGGCGAAGATTCCTCTCAGAACAGTCGCTACCAACCTAGCCGCCCTGCTCCCCAAGCCCCAGGTGCTGCTGCTCGTGCTCAAGACCCCCGACAACTCACCGCACAACGTCCGGCACCAGCGCCGCCATCTCAAAGCCCCTACGGCCAGGGTATACCCCGAGCGCCTGGTGCTCCTCGGGCTGATGACCGCCAAGGCTCCCCAAGCTCTCGTTACCCCCCTAATGATCCTCGAAACCAGAGCCCCGCTAGTCGCCCACAGCAGAATGGAGCGAAGGGCCAGCAGGCCGGTCCACCTCCCACTCGTCTGCCGGCCCCCGTTCAGGCTGTGAAGCCGCTGAACATTGCCAACAAGCAAGGCCACGCCAAGCAGGACAGTGTCCGCCAGGCAGAGGCCGCCCTCAGCAACAAGAAGCCCGAACCTCGTCAGAAGGAGGTGCGCATGTCCGCCATGTCAGAGAACGAGGTCATGGACCGACTTCGCGCAGTGGTTTCCAAGGACAACCCCAACGAGTCCTACAGCAAGCAACGCAAGATTGGACAAGGTGCTTCCGGTTCCGTGTATGTGGCGCGCGTGAAGGAGGGTGCCACCTCTAGTGTTGCTCACGAACTCTACCGCACTTACGGCCCGCGCTGCCAGGTCGCTATCAAGCAGATGGACTTGCGTAGTCAGCCTCGCAAGGAGCTGATCGTCAACGAGATCATTGTCATGAAGGACAGCCAGCACGCGAACATTGTCAACTTCCTTGATTCCTTCCTCCAGGAGTCCAGTAACGAGCTCTGGGTCGTCATGGAGTTCATGGAAGGTGGTGCGTTGACTGATGTGATTGACAACAACAAGGTCATTACTGAGCATCAAATTGCAACAATCTGTGCCGAGGTATGTTTCCCCTGAGTCGAATCCAATATAAGAATGATGTACTAACTTTGACCAAGACATGCAAGGGTTTGGCCCATCTCCACAGCCAGAACATCATTCACCGCGACATCAAATCTGACAACGTCCTCCTTGACAAAGTCGGCAATGTCAAGATCACCGATTTCGGTTTCTGTGCTAAACTCACTGAGTCCAAGAACAAGCGTGCGACAATGGTCGGAACTCCCTACTGGATGGCTCCAGAAGTCGTCAAGCAGAAGGAATATGGTCCCAAGGTCGACTGTTGGTCACTGGGTATCATGACCATTGAACTGATCGAATCCGAGCCCCCCTACCTCAATGAGGAGCCCCTTAAGGCCCTCTACCTAATCGCCACAAACGGAACGCCCCGCCTCAAGAAAGCCGAAGCCCTCTCCAAGGAGATCAAGTCCTTCTTGAGTGTTTGCCTCTGCGTCGACGTTCACTCCCGTGCTACTGCGGACGAACTCCTCGCTCACGACTTCTTGCAGATGGGTTGCAGTCTTGCATCGCTTGCTGAGTTGCTTCGCTTCAAGAAGGCCTCTGGCCAGTGATCTGCTTTTATTTAGTCTAGACGCGTTAAGGCCATGTTCTGCGATTATACAATGCTGGCGGGTTGGCGTTTTGTTTCTGTTTTCTCTCGCATGCTTGCACAAACATACCTTTTTTCCCCATGACGTTCACGATTTTGCAATCTTGCACTGTATTATGTGCCCTTGCACAAAAGCGAAGAATAGTTGAAATTCTGATATGGCCTCTTTGGTTTTCCGTGTTGGCTCAGTATAGCGTAGATAATTCAATATGTCTCTAAATCTCTGAGAGCTACGAGGTACAACGATGAAGCATGTATAAACTGCTCGATAGATTCGCTAGCATCCATGGATTGGCTAGAATAAATTCCTCATAGATAGCAAATAAGTTGTCAACCACATGTGAACTCCAGGGCTCGGCTGGTAAACCACAACCTTGGAAGCACTTCGTTGCAACCTTGAAAGGTTGGAACTTGGCTCACCTCAACGCCCTTATGCTCTTTACTTCTTCTGGTCCAAGTTTTGTAGGAAGGGACAAGGCTCTGGTCAGGTATGGTCCCGAGACGTACGTGTACGATCGACCATATTGTGCCCGGGGCTCTTTCGGCTCCAACTGTTTCTTGACTTCCGCACGTCTCTCATCACGCTCCCTTATCATGATGGCAGTATCTCTCCTTTAAAATTGTTAGCGGACTAGTATATAAAGGAATCATGAACTTACCAGTAAACAGGATACTGTTCATATGCCTCGTTGGTGAACCTTGAATGCTGAAACCACGTTTGACATTCTGATTCTGCAATACCTCCCAATTCACGCTGCGCATAAATGATAGCCGGATTCTCATTTGGCTCAGACGTCCCTATAAACGCGGTTTTGCATTCCGTACACAGCTTCTCACCCTTCAAATACCCAGCCATCATCGTAATGTCTATATGCGGACATCCGAAAACCGGCTCCGCCAACCAGTTCCTGCGCTTTGGCTGCTGTGAGTCGAGGATATAGCTAACTTGCGCTACGAGCTCTTTATCCTCAATGAAAATTGTAAGATCTATCGTCGTCTTCCAAAACTTGGCTCTCTGTGTACAGGAATGTGTGAGGTGGGCGGTCTCGCCTGTTCTCACTAGGTCGATTCTCTCCAGGTTGAGTCGACCATTCAGTCTCGCGGTGAGGGCATCGGGTGTCGGTCGACTGGTGAGATAGCCCAATATCCCTTCCAGTCCAGAATGTGAATTCGATCTCGTCAATATGCGGATGATGTTTTGGCGATCCCCTGCTGTCAACGAGAGGCAGGGGCATAGATCGAGTATCCCGGCGTTAACTCTGCATCGTCGTTGTATGGGATTGAGGGAGAGCTTGCTGAATGCTTTTCGTGGGTGAAGCTTGAGACAAGCTGCGCAGTATAGCCATTTGGAATTTTCGAGGCGGAGAAGAAGTTGGTTTCGTGGTACTTCTGGTCTGTTCACGCATAAACGAGGGCTTTTGATTTTGAGAAGGCGCGGGAATTTGAACTGCTTGTGTTGGTTCGAACCGACCAGTAGGTGGAGCCTCTTGCATGTGAGAGATAGACAGGCTTGGTCAATTGGGTCAAGGTATGTGTAAAGTTCCAAAATGAGGGTATTCGGGAAGACCAATATTGACATCTTCTTTTCGCGTGCCTTTGGGGCCTTTTGGTGAGTGGTGAGCAGTGTCTTGTGAAGTACTGATAATGATGCCATCTTGATGAAAGGACAAACAGATGTTTGACTTGGAGCCCTGGAGGGCAAGAAAGGATATTGGGGGTTGGGGTTTAGTCAGAGGTCTAGTATCCAAGGTACCAGCTCCGGCGCTCAAAGGGTTCATCTGACCTCTGGTGTCCTGCTCATGATTACATCGTCTTCTCTGAGCTGAGTCTTTACGGTGACTCCGAAGAAACGGTTCACGAGCTCGATCAACTCGGGGTCTACAAGTGCGACGATGGTATATCTATGTCTGTGTACAGCCCTAAAGGCGCTTGCATAGGGTTTATCGGCAAGATGGCTAAAATAAAAGGCACAAGGTCCGTGTAGTCCCCCTAATGGAAGCGAATAGACGATACAACCCTCAAGCTCCAGAATATGTTGGCCATCACCTCGGGCTCGAGCACTCTCAATGTCAGTGTGCCTCAACTTCATGTATGCTGCCCGGACAGAACTTGCATCGAAGTCAGATAACGTGGGACTTGGGCACTTCCAGGGCCGTCGTGTCAATGAGATGTATATCCTTCTCTCGTGGCAAAAACATGAGCTTTCAACCCAGTACAAGTAGGATGACAATGTAAAAAAGAAATATGACACCAGATCAACTTCGATATTGGGAAACAAAAAAAAGTAGTCGCGCCCGGGATCGAACCGGGAACCTTCTCGGAAGACCAAGCTGTTCACAGGCAAATGTGAACGAGAAATCATAACCATTAGACCACGCGACTGATTACATATGACGAATGCTGCTTTGATGTACCATCAATCAAGATTGCTTCAAACGGTGGAACCTTTGGATTGCCATCTTTGGAACCGGATCACGTGCCCTTAAGGAATAAAAGCCCTACTTCCTTTTGAATGCTCTAAGACAATGTCTACCAGCATTCTACTTCCTTTTTATGGCTAATTCCACCTGTTTGTCTTTCAAACTGCCCTAAATATTGAATATACAGCCAATTTTGTGCCTTGAAATCTGCGGTGGTTGATATAGCACAATTATTTTCAAAATTTCAACCAACAGCCTCTCGCCGGGCTAGCTCAATCGGTAGAGCGTAAGACTCTTAATCTTAAGGCTGCGGGTTCGACCCCCGCGTTCGGCTCTTCCTAAATCACCAACATGGTCTTTAAGATTACTCTTTTTTTTTGGTGAAGATTCTGTTTTATGGACTGGGTGGATGTTCGGAAAGCCCTAGTGGGGCGATTGCGGGCTACCGATTGGTCCGAGCTTAATGTTGCCCCATAATTACCAAACGCCAAGCCTAGCCCTCGTGCACTGCCAGGGTTTACAATCACTGCGGTTACAGAGAGCACTGTAAACGCGAGCGCAGATTAGGGTAATATCAATGATAGCACCTCGACGGAGACCCTGCTCTTATCCCTGGGCGAGATCATCCATAATGCTTGGTTTTTCTCAATCTATCTCACGTATATGTATATTCCCAATCCCTATTTCTCTGTTCACGGCCTAGCAAACACTTCCATTTCTCGACCAATCATGATGATTTGACAATTAGTTGGAACCTTGGATGGACAGTTAGAAAGATAGTTAGAAAGACAGTTAAAAAGACAGTTAAAAAAAGGTCCCGAAGTTGATGATAGCTCTCTTTCGTTACCAATCGAAATATGAGTTTAAGCGAATACATAACTATGCCTGTGTATAAGCAAATATCGTCGTCTTTTGGCGGCGCGTGAGCGCGGCACTGATGCTTACAGTTCGGCTTGTAATACTGTTCCGTGGTGAACTCATACTTGCGGAACGAACAACACCCGCTTGGAACCAAGGACTCATGCATCCCGTCTTAGGTAACTAATGGACAACTGTCCTATACCTAGGTAAGCTAATTGAAGTTACGCTCGTACAAACCTGCATACCTAGGGTATGAGAAGGTCCATAGATGGAGCGAAAGGGATCCATATATTCAAAGGTTGGAACGAGATGTATCTGTTGATTTGAATAGGTACCACTAATTCTATAAGCTATTCGTCAACGGAGCGCAGACCTCTTTTTGATCGTGATAATAATCCTCATAGAAACCCAACCACATCACCCTATCCGCACAACGTGGCCTATCACTCTTCTCAACCTCATTTTCATCGCATTCGGGCTGCACTGCCTTCATCTGCGCATCAGAATGCTGCAACCACGGTTTTGGCAGCGGCCAGTCACTGAAGTGAACAAGATATGCCCGGGAAACTTCCGCCATAGCGTTCCATTCCTCGTGCTTATTTTCGGACATGTACCGATCATGATCCTTGTTACGGAACTCGCCGGTCAACAATGCAATTCGACGATGCGGCAAGATCATCGCCGAGTCCCAGAATAAATGGTTCAGCACTTCCATGTCGAAAGCACCTGATGATGTTGCCTCGTTGATGATCAGTTGATAGTTGGCCTCATTTGGCTCGATGAGCATGACATGCGATCCTAGCATTTGATCTTTGACATTGGAATTCTTGTCGTTGAGCCAATAGGCTCGAGGAACAGCCACTGGTGCCAGAGGCGCGAGGAAGTAGTGGTCCATGTTATTCAACACCATAGAGTCGGAGTCAAAAATAAGTACGCGCGTGTACTCAGTCAGCGCGAAAGCATGGAACTTGGTTAGGCTTTTGTGCCATGTGGGATCGCCGCTTGAGGTCGATAGGACGTCGACTGCTCGGAGATTGATGTGCGGATAGAGCTTCCGAATGTTGATCAATGCATTGTGCTCACGACTTGTACCAGGCTATGTTGTTGATGGTTAGATTAAATAGCCACAAGCTCGCCAATGTGCATCCGTGAAGATGGTCGTAGGGTCTTACCTCTTCCCAATCCTTTGGATAGATCAACACTTGATCGAATTGTGTTGCAAAACGGTCGAGTCGTGCAAAGTTCATGATCTAGAATCCTTAGTAGGCAGGTTCAAAGGTCTTATGCTGTGCGTAGTTATCACCTACCGCATTACACAAGTAGTCAAAATCAGTCGCATATTGAACGTAAGCAAACCGAGGCTCGAGTTGTTCGGTTGTCCAGTGAGGATTCAAGCCTCCAAATGCTTTCCTTGATGAGTTGCCAGCCGTGGTGATCGGAAACGCTACTCGCTCTGCAGGATACTTGGCGATCAGCACATTGAACCCGAGAAGCAGCATACATAATGCTACTGTGCATGTTGCAATAATTGTCCGTTTGACTGAGAGGAGCATTGCAAGTCAATATCATAACAATGAAAAGCAAGAATACATGAATAAAGCAACAGAGAGAACTGCAGTATAATTCCCTCTGCTGCTATATTTGTTGAAAAGGCCGCGCATTTGTCTCACATCAACCACTCTGATACGACTTCGCCACGAGCCAAGAAGAAGCCAAGATCAATCAAGCGGGGCCGCAAACGAGTTGAAATATCCACTTTACATCGAACTGAGAGAGTTGACCGGGCTTGGCAAAGGGTCTGGAAAAATTTATGTAGTACAACTATGCAAAGGCCCCACCAGTCCAAACTTCATACAACTGTTAGCCGAGTTTATACCATTGCATCTTCTTTCTCCACGGCATGCTTGCTAATGCCTGTATTCTTCCTGGGTGCTAGGCGCGCTAATCGGAAGACTGCGCCCACTGCAAGCATAACGCCACACAAATGCTGGAAACACGATCAGCGCCCGTAGCCAAGAAAATGAGCTTAAATACCAACTGACCTGAGGATTTGCGTTCCGGTGCATTATGAGGGGTACCATCGATGCCAGCAAAAAGCCAACTACTTGAGCGTTGTTTTTCGTCACGGTGCTGGTTAGCGCTACCGACCAGGCGACAAGGAACCCGCCGGTCGCCTGCAGTAGAATGAAACCCCATACCAAAGGGGTATAGCCGCGGAAAAATTGAACCGACCCCATGTGTGATCGCCAAAAATAAATCAAAAGCGCAAAGAGACTGCTATACCCGGCAAGATGAGCATTTCTGGCCATGAATGTCTTTGGTGTCTGTAACATTCTCTCCACTCGAACTCCAGCCAAGGCAACACAGAAACCTGACGTTAACATGTATATTACGCCAAGCATCGGTCTTGGTGGACCCAAAGGCGTTGAAGAGGGAGCTTTTGAGGCATTCATGGACGCCGACTGGACGAGTATGATGCCTGCGGTAATCATAAGGAAACACACCCAGTGCCCACGTGTGAAATCCTGCTTCAAAAACATCACCCCGAAGATGGGGGTGATTATGAGTTTCACCTGGGATAACATGAGGTATGGCAAGAGATCAAGATTATAGGCTCCTCCGCTTTGTAGAAAGGTTGCGAGTGTATATAACCCCGCTGGGATGGCGGCTTCCTGGTGGCCATTTGCAAGAGCCGTCCAGCCTGATGGCCGTGAGCCAGAACTTGTGGTGAGGATTTTGGTGGAGTATTCATTTTTCCTGAAAGCGATAGGCACAGAGACTGTGAGCTTGATGACCTCGGATAAAACGATGGCTGTCAAAGCGTCATGTCTGTTGTGATGCTCCTGATCAAGAGACTGGACTCGGTGTTGAAGCTTTTTTCGATCAGCGACAGCAGTAGAACAACAAAACGAAAACGACAGACCAGAATTGATGCTGAATTTTGGATGACCAGCTGTAGTTATATATGAGTTTCTTATTCTGCTTCATGGTTCGAAGGAGATCCTACCAGACATAATGCAGTGGCGGCAGACTTCTTGATGTATTTGATCCTATGAGTGTGTCAGTAATTGTGTGGGTATAACAAGAGCAACAATTACATTTCATATGAATGTACAAGACCAGTGTCGAATAACCACGAAAGATGAAAACATGTAGCTATTTCACGGGCGTAAGCGAGAGTTCAAATGGGCGTGGCGGGTATCTTTTTAGCGCCCGGGGCCATCTCTTAATCAAATGGCACTCAGTGGGTCTGCCTCCTCAATTAGCTCCCCCCACCTCTTTCCAACATTCGTACTAATTGACCTCGGCAAACGTTAGGTACTGAGCTCACGTCCTCGTTGGGACTCTGCTAATGCTGCGGCCAACAAATCAGCCTTGAGTCAACCCAGCAGGCTTTGCCCCTCCCAATGATGCGATCCACCAGGGCCTGTCAGCTCTAGGTCAGGATCACCATTGATTGGACAATGGCTCCTAGATAACGGTATCTTGTCAGGTCCATCTACAGATTACTCCTTTCCAATTGGGTCAAGACATCCTTTGCAGGAGACCCATTCAATTGGACACTAACAGAAAGAGATTGGTCAGCAATTAAGCTGTATCATGTGACAGGAGTGGATCGGGAAGGTTATTCGGTTCCACACCTGCAAATGGATAGATCGGTGCACATACGGAGTACGGAGTATGTGATCAGCAGTCCTTTTTGTGGTAGAGTACCAACCTAAAAGGGTTCGGTTTTTTTCTGAAAGTCTTTTCAGTCCCTCAAATGCCCTTAGATACCATGTCCCCCATCGAGTAGCCATGGTGCTGATATAATGGTTTATGGAAGGCATATGGTTCAATGAGATCAGGTAGATGAATTAGGAACAAGAGTCAAAGAGTCTCGTCATGATCACATAATCAGTCGCGTGGTCTAATGGTTATGATTTCTCGTTCACATTTGCCTGTGAACAGCTTGGTCTTCCGAGAAGGTTCCCGGTTCGATCCCGGGCGCGACTACTTTTTTGCCATTTTCTTTTTGCATGTCTTCCTATAAGATCTGTAAATCGCTCAACCTCCTCTGCTTAAGGTTTTGCTTGAGGTAGGTTATAGCGAAGAGCCCGCACTGCCCGCCGAGAGACCAAGCAGGAGTCTAAGCCTCTCTTCTGGGCAGTTAGCGAACGGACAACAAATATTGGATCATCTTGATACAGTACTCTTTATGTCGTACAAATCTAGACCTCAACAACAAATGATGGCCTCCAAACATAGCAAATAATCTAACATATCATTGACAAGCGTAAACGTCCTATTTAAAAATTCATACAAGCAAGAGCCACAGCAAGAGCCAGAGCAAAAGCAATCTCAGGGTGCCTCTATCTGATTCAAGGCAACTCCTCGCGAACAGCCCTACCCAAGTTCCCACAAGCTTCACTAAACAGTACACCTAAAAGTACACTTTCACCCTCAGCGGCAGTCCAACGACCGGCATCCTCAAGCTTCTGTTTCCAGGATACCTGTTCAGGAGCAGAGAGATCCTTCCAAGCCTGCAACTTCTGCTCTTCAGACGGCTCATCATGATGGGAAAACTTAGCAGTCTCAATGATCACACTTTGTTCAGCGGTGTTACCATCACTGCATCGAACAATCACAGAGACAGATTGCGGCTCGGTAGTAGCCAGGTCTGCAGGTGCGGCGCCAGCTCCGTGTACGCGGTCGAGAATATCCCGTAGAGACTCGATCGCGGTATCGGGGATGGTCTGGGCAACGGGAACATCGCGAGGGGCAAGCAGCGTATCGAAGTATGTCAATTTTTCACGCGGAGGAACGACATACTCCCGCGCGATGGTGTTGCGAATAGGGACAGGGAGCCACTCTGTGGCGCCGAGGAATGGAGGTGTCCCCCCACGGATCTCGGCGAAGGCTAGCATAGACAGACATATGACAAAGATAGACACGAGTAGAATGACGATGCTGTAGACCAGCTCCCACACCTCTGATGGACCGGGAATGGCAAGCACGTAGCGCGGGGTGCGAGAGGAGGTCGGGAAGGGAGAAAGTGGGAAGGTGTGTACAACAATCGTGTTGCCCATGCTTACAGAGGCGAGCTTGATGTTCTGCGGGCCGACTTCTGGAGTTACTGGGTGCGGGGGCGCAATGAAGGTTGAAAAGGCGAGTCGGGTCATTGAGAATGGGTGCACATCGCGAATGGTCGTATATGAGCGGAAATTGCTGTAGCCGCGCTTTGGGCCGTATTCCAAAGTAAATAAGGGGATGGAGTTGTCGCTGCCGCTGACTGCGATAACCGTTTGTTGCTGCCCTTGCGGGTTTGTTCCCAGTTGGCAGATATCCAGACCGAGGCCAATCTTGAAAGTTCGAGGGAGCTTGCGGCGCCGGAGGACCTGAGCTCTGCCCTGGGCCGTACTTGGGAGCTGAAGAAGTACTAATTCACTACCACTGCGGTTTGGTGCATTTTGGAGCAGCAGAAGTGTCTTGGGTGAGAGGAAACGCAAAGCGCGGAACTTAGGGCGTGCGTTGCGGGCTCCACTGGATGGCAGAGGAATAGAATACACAGAGCGGACCTCGGGGGAGGTGTTGGAGCGACTGGAAGAAGAAACCTCGCCGATCATCACATCGGGTCCATTGGTATAAGCCAACAAGAATCGGCCATGCGCACTTTCGGTCTTTTCCGACCCTTGATCAAGGCCGACGAAGTCAAGATCTTCAGCCTCTTCGTTGTCACCTAGCTGAATGCGACCAATGATGTCCTTGTCGCCGGGAGTGTCTGTAACACTGAACAAGACAATCTCACCAGAAGCTGCCAATCCAGTTGTGACGCCTCCGATCCGAGTGTGTTTTTCGCTGCCTTGTTGTTTCGACCACGGAGAGAGCCTTGTCACTCGCTGATACGTATCGGACGAGCCGGGTCCATTCTTTGTTCGGAAGAGTGATGCCTGTGACAGAGCAGTGGCCTTTCCGGAAGCGACTTTCTCATCCGACTTGCTCTCTTCCTTGCCCTTCGACGGGACCTCGAACCTAAATGAGCGCAGATGTTGATTGTTGTTCAGCTTCTGCTGCTCGACAGAGCTGTTGATTCCCGCGAAGGTAACCAGCGAGTCGGCCTCATCACGTCCCACTGGCGCAGCAACCAACGATGTCACGGAGTCTTCATCGCGCGATAGTTTGAGTTCCACGGCCTCGGTAATCTCGTCGCGACGGGATGTGTCGATCAGGGACTATGAAGAGTACCCAAGTCAGTATTTGCACGCGTGGCCAAGCTTTCCCGAGTTGGTGGGACGTACGATCTTGTTTCCGACACCACTGCGACCCTCGCCGCCTCCACCGCCGACTAGGAGTCGACCATTATCTCGTGGGTCAAAATCAGCGGCGAACAGCGGACAGGAAACTGTCAGCTTAGCGGAGTGTATGGTGGGCGCCATAGTTTGTTTGAGGGAAAAGAGAACAGGTTGTATGACGAAGGCGGCCCCCCGGACTCTTGGCGCGCCAGTCCGCCCAACCCGCAGGCTGGCTTTAATCTAAAACCAAACATGTACGAACGATGTTGTAGCGATTAGATCAAAGATGCTAGTTTTTTTTAGCAAGACTGACCTAAGCAGGCGAAATTACGGAGACACACATATCTATAGCCATGATAGTTGTCTAAGTAACTGTTTAGAGCTATGGAGGAAACATAGAAGATACTACCTAGTAAGGACAGAATGCCCTTTTAAGAAGGCCTGTTGCTAGGTAGCTTTTAACTTGTCGTGGAGTATAGAAGTGGTTGGAAGCATATGTAAAAAAAAGTATAAAATTGTATTTTTCCGTGTAGTATTCTAAACACTTTACTCGACCTCCTGGGAAGTGAACTCGGGCAGGCGCTTGCGGATATCCTCCCAGGTCTCGTCGCCCTCGACAAGGGACTTGACAGCCTGCAGAATCTCGTCTTCGGTAGCACGGACCTGCTTGGTGGTATCGCGGTCGCGCAGAGTGAAGGTGTTGTCCTGGACGGACTGGAAGTCGACGGTGACACCGAAGGGTGTACCGAGCTCGTCGTTGCGGGCGTAACGCTTGCCGATACTGGCGGAAGAGTCATCGACACGGTTGGAGACACCAAGCTTGCGAAGCTTGGCGGTCAAACGCTGGGTGAGGGGCTTGAAGGAGGTGTGGGTGGAGAGAGGAACAAGCAGAACCTTGGTGGGGGCAACAGCAGGAGGGAAAGAAAGGACCTGTGATTGAAGTTAGCAAGAGTTGGTAGAATATACTGAAATGGTGACTTACACCACGGGTCTCATCGCCGGCGCGGGACCAGTAAGAGTGCTCGATCATGCTGTACAGGATACGGCCAATACCGAAGGAAGGCTCAATGACGTTGGGAGTGTACTCGCGGGTGTTCTCAACGCGAGTGCGCTTCTCGATGTTGATGAGCTCCTTGTCAAGCTCGACCTTTCCAGATCCGACACCCTCGACATCGACCTCGATCTTGCCATCCTTGGCAAGGTCCAGAGACAGCTTCTCGCGCAGCTCCTGAGAGAGCGCCTCAACGGCAGCCTCGACAGTCTTGGCATCCTTCTTGAAGCGGGGTCCGAACTTCTTCTTCTCGATGTCAATCTGGTACTCCTCAACACGGAGAGGCTCAGCGCGGGGCTGGCGCACAACGAGAGGGGCGCCGGTCTTGTCCTTGTGGACAGTCAGATCGTAGGCACTGCGGTCGGCACAGCCGACACACTCGATCCAGCCGTAGCTGGTCTGCAGCTCAGCATCCCAGCAGTCGGTGGCGTAGTGAGCCATCTCGTTAGCCATGTGCTGGCGGAAACGCAGCTTGGTGGGGTCAACACCCAGCTTCATGAGGAAGGACTGGATACGAGCCAAGAAGTAACCGAGGGTCTCGTTGTCAACCAATCCAGTCTCAACAGCCTTGCCGATGGTCATGGTGGTCAGCTGAGTGCTGCCGGAGAGCTGCACGTTGCGGTCAAGCAGGGACATCTCGGTGTCCTTGACCTCCTCGAAGCGGGAGTGCTTCTTGCCGCCCTCAGGGTCGACGTAGTGCTCAATCTCCGCCATGAGGAACTCACGCACACGGAGGAGACCAGCGCGGGGAGAGATCTCGTTACGGAAAGACTTGCCAATGGAAGCAGAGGCGAAGGGCATGGATTGCTGATTGAACTCGAGAAGCTTGGCGAAGTTCAGGAACTGGCCCTGAGCGGTCTCGGGGCGCAGGTAGCCGGGCATGTTGCTGCTAGGACCGATAGAGGTCTGGAACATGAGGTTGAAGGAGACTGGAGGCAACACCTCGCCGCCGGTGACGGGGTTGCGAATGTCATGCTTCTTGATGAGGGCCTCAAGCTCGGGACCACCGAAGTTGTCAATCTGTGCGAGGGTCTCCTCGTATTCCTTGACGAGGGCATCGTCCAGCTTCTTGGCCTCAGTGCCCTTGGCCTTGCGCTTCTTCTTGGCTTCCTTCTCTTCGTCCACGACGACCTTCTGGCCACGCGCCTCCTTGTCACCCTTGAGACGGTTCTCGAGAACCTCCTCGACCAAGTGGTCAGCACGGAAGATCTCGCCAGTCTTGGGGTCCTTGCACATCCAGTCGGCGAACTTGTCCACGTGCCCACTGGTCTTGAGAATCTCGTGGGGAGTCAACATAGTGGTGTCGACCTCGAGCATGTCCTCCTCGAGCACGAAGTGCTTGCGCCACAAGTCGGTCATGTTGGCGATCAAGGCGGTTCCAGGTGGGCCATAGTCGTAAAGACCGGACACACCACCATAAATTTCGAAGGAGGGGGTGTAGAACATGCGACGACGGAGCATGGAGTCGAGCACGGCCCGGTCAACGGACTGGCCGGTCTTGGTGTTGACGGTGGCCATCTTAGCGGATCGTTTCGAAGGCTTCGGTGGAGGGGTGTAGGACCTAAACTGAGACCGAAAGAAAGACGGAGGGGAAAGAAAAGAGCGGGGGGGAAATCGCAGGCGCGGCAATTGAGTCATCCACCACGCAGCCCCTCAGACACCACCGAGGAGACAAAGAACAAAATTGGGTATATGGAAAAAGGACAATTGGTTGCTAATCTTTTCTTTTATTTACTTTTTGTCCTATATCGAGGAGATCTCCCGTCAGGTGGTCAAATCGCAGATTGTCGCCGGGGAAACGATGTTCCGAAATAATTTATTTCTCGGCGATCTTTAAGATTTTCTACTGATCTGCAACCGCAACACTCGACTTCAACAGCTTGCAAGAATGGGTCCTATCGGTCGATCAGGTCCCCCTCCGGGCGTCATGGGTGACGAAAAGACCGGCAACAAATTGCGCCGGAAGATGAACCATGTTAAGCGCAAGAGAGCCAAAGATGCTGCGCGCCGAGCCGAGCGTTACGCCTTCAAGAAAGAGGAAGCCAAAAACCCCAAGCTCAAGGCAGAGCGTCTCAGTCGCAACATTCCTTTGACTTTGGAACGGAAGCGTGTCTGGAACGACGCCGACAACGACGCCGACGAGACTGGACTGGGATTGAGTGTTGACGTTGAGCGCATCAAGCGCGCCAAGCAGGAAGAGGAGGATGAGCTCAACCGACCATTGGAGGAGGGAGAGGACGACAGCGAGGCTCCAGACTCAGACAACGAGTCCGTCGACAGTATGCTGCAGTCTGATGCCAGCGACGACGAGGAAGAAGAAGAAGAGAAGGAAGAAAAGGATGCCAATCGCGGCCGAAAGAAGTCACTCCCCACTGCCACAGAGCGCGCCACAAGTCCTACCCAGTCCACTCGCAGCACAAACCTGGGCCTCGCCCCCGAAGCGTTGGCTGCCAAATTCCCTACACTCTTCACCGACGGTCCTCCACCCACCCCGAAAATCCTCATCACCACCGGCCTTAACTCCACCCTTCACGAAGAAGCCGAGATTCTCACTGAAATGTTCCCCAACAGTGTGTATATCCGACGCAATGCGCACCGATACTCGCACAAGTTCTCAATTCGCGAAATCTCCAAATTCGCTGCCAACCGCAACTTCACAACGGTCATCGTATTGAACGAAGATCAGAAAAAGCCAAGCGGCTTGACCATGGTGCATCTGCCCATCGGCCCTACCTTCCACTTCACTATCAGCAACTGGATCGAGGGCAAGCGTCTTCCGGGACACGGCCGAGCCACCGAGCACTGGCCCGAACTGATCCTTAACAACTTCCGCACCCCCCTCGGTCTTCTCACTGCGCACTTGTTCCGCACTCTGTTCCCGCCACAGCCCGAATTTGAGGGCCGACAGGTTGTTACGCTTCACAACCAGCGTGATTACATCTTCGTTCGTCGTCATCGCTACGTCTTCCGTGAGAAGCGTGAGACCGAGAAGGCTGTCGTTAATGCCGATGGAAAGGAAATGACTGGTGCTGAGGGCATCCGTGCTGGTCTCCAGGAACTCGGACCTCGCTTCACTTTGAAGCTGCGTCGTGTTGATAAGGGCATCCAGCGTGCCAGTGGACAGGAGTGGGAGTGGAAGGGTGGAATGGAGAAGAAGAGAACTCTGTTCCAGCTGTAAATGTCTCTTTTATGTCATTAATTCCCGGTTTTGCATGGGGTTTAAAAGGAGTTCTCTATGGATATATTCAAAAGCTATTCGAATTTACTGTGAGCTGACGATGATCAATGCATCGTGTCTGTTCTGACGATCTCAAACTTTCATGTCTCATCAATAAACCGCAGAAAGTCCTAAGGGTTTCGTCCGTCTCTGGTCTCCAACATCTATACATCATTCCAATGTCCCGATGTACGTCGGGTTTCCAAGAGCACATCATTGGGTCTATTTCAGCCAACGCCATGTCGCAAATTGATCTTTGTATTGCGCGACCAACGTCATGTTCTCAGGAACTTTGGAATTCCAACTACTCAGGTGGGCAACAAAGAGGTTTTTGGTGCCCAGGTGGAATCTGAGTTATATTTCTTTATCCACGACATCAATTATATTAAGCTAACTGCATACTCCACACATGGACGTCAATAGTGGTTGGACCTATTTGCCTAGGTGCGCATGTGGCACTCGGAAGTCAACCCTAATTCAACTCCATGTAGTGATCTTGGATCGTTCAATCGCCCTCTCGGTCGCTTCATCGATATCCTCCTTCGGCAATCCAAGTAAGGCATTCAGTGTCCCCTTAGATTCAACATTTCCAGAACCATCATTATAGAAGACCCGGGTGTATAGCGACTTCACAAATCCAATTCGATCACCGTTCTGCATATCCTTCATTCCGCCTTCATACCTCTCCTTAGCCGACTGCTTGCTGATAGTCCAATCACTCTGCGTGGTCCCAGTGACTCTGAATACAGACTCCAACATGTCTCTCTGGCTGACGGTAAACGAATCGGCATAGACGACCTGATTCCTCAGGCTATCGAGACAAGCGCCTTCGGCTTGGATAGGTAGGCTCAACATAGAGGCAACAGTTCGACCGACCTGTGGCCAAGTGGAAGTTGAGATCTTGGTCTCGCCTTCATCGAAGAATGTTGCTGTTTTATTGGAAAGATCGATGCCATAGGCTTCGGGAATTGCTAGACTCCATTCGTACCAGAAGCCTGTGCTGACGGAAATATAGGAGCTTTTGCCAAGGTCACTGATGGCTTTGCGAATTACCTCTGCATATATCACATCTAGTCAGTCCGTTGCCCTTGCTTTTTGATCATACAAGTTGTGTTTCACTCACCCTTGGGCTGAAATATCGGAATATCCTTGATCAGATCTTTGTTCGCTGAGTCTGGTCCCCATTCATTTGGCAAGATCCATGGAACACCCGCCTCGCCGGCAGCGTTCACGAGGGCAAGGTCAACCTCGTGTGGGGTGCCTCCACTGAGTGTGATAACTAGAGCATCTTGGCCTTGGAGCGCCTCGACAAGGGTTTCCGGCCTGCTGTAGTCGATCTGCTTGGGGATCACACCATCTGGTAGCTTGTTTTGACTGCCGGCTCGTACGAGTGCCGTGATAGTGTGCTTTCCGGTTCTAAGCAAAGCCTCCGTCATGAAGATTCCACTGTTTCCGCCAGCCTGTATCGCCGTCAGTAAGTATTTGAAATGTGAGTAGATGTATGATGTCACACGAACCCCAACGATGGCCACCTTGGTGATATGGTTTGAAGTCATATTTGCAATTGATGGTTGATAGTAAGAGAGAATTATTCTGAAAAGACCTTTGTTCTCAATGAAGATTTCTGAGTTGTACTCATTTCTCTTGCGGTGGTTTTCAAATATTATATAGACCTTCGGTATCCATGGATTTCGGAGAGCCGGACATAAGTCAGTTAACACCGCTGTCGGTCGATCCCCGATTCTGGGGCCGAATTGAACGAACCTTGGAATCTTCTCGGGAATCTTTGTAATAAACATTCAATCGGACTACGATTTAAGTCCATTGAATGTCCGAGTCAAACTTGACATCATTGATGGATGATTGTTGATGGCAACCTACCTCAAAATTATCTCTATATTTCTAACCACGGAGCCTGGAATAAGACAAATAAAAAGTAATAGTCTGAATCTACTCGGTCAAATATTAACTTACGAACATGACAAGATAGTTCCTGATGCACTAAGTACAATGAAGACAAGACGCTTGACATCAAGTAAAGAAACTGTGGGGAGTAAGCTCGGGACTGATGAACATCACTTCTCAAGCATATATTCACCTATTAGAGGGGTAGTACATTGCATGAAATCATTTCCCTCAAACTTTCTTAGTCCAAAGAAATTGTTTCGAGTGTGTCGGAGACTCCAAGATCGTCGACACGGTGCGTGGCAGATAGAAGACCGAGCCAAGCACCAGGCCTTGGATGCAGGTAATCTAATATATCTGTAGTGTAGCCTTATAATCAACCTTTCACAAATCTCCATGAAAATAAAGAGCAGGGCTCACGCGCCAATCTACCTTGGGATTGACATTGACCTCATGGGCGGTTCAGCCAGGTGTTACGTTACGCCTTGGAGATTGAATTATTGTTGAAATCGGGCACAGCGCCTCAGAAAGAGTCATACCAAATCAACATAGCACGTAGCATGTCAGCCTTTACGAAGTATCGATATCAGAGCTGATTTTGAGGGCCTAAAGCAGATTTAACCAACTGATATTTCTTTCCATCCACGATTTCCCTGAAATTAGTACCAGGAACTCTCAAAAATTTTGCTCTTAGAGCTACCATTCGCGTCGCTAGATCCCATTTTCCAAATGCGATCAAGACTGAAAGGTCGAGTGAGGTCTGGGGCAGCCATGTCTCGAACCCGACAGCGATTGAGACATTCTCGAATGTTACCGATCCACTTTCTGTTCTCGGGAAATGTCTCACCATCCACCTCAGCAATCAGCTTACATTAGATATGTGGGCGAAGCCGTGCAGGTGTGCGACGATCCGATACCTGATGGTACACAAAGATCTCGATCTCTAGCAGACAGCAAAACTCTCGGTGATAGCAATCGGAAAATCGGAGCTATCAACCTGAATATTCAATCCAATGCACTAGCCAAACATGCACAAAGTCCGGAGTACCCACATTTTATACGAAGAGTGGCAGTGGCCCCGCGCCCAGCGGGGGCCGTGGAAGTTGTCGGATCAGGGTCCGGTTAGGCACAACCTATTTTTACATCCCGGTTTGTTTACTTTTCCAGCAATTGCCCAGGTGATCAAGGCGTCCAATCCTGTTATCGCACTGTGACATATTGAAGTAACCTTGTGGAGTGAGCTGAGCCCGTTTGTCTCTCTTTCGACCTCAAGCATTGCTTTATTGAGACTGGGCATACGTATGTGGAAGGGTGCAGCGAGACCTGCAGCGAGAATTTTCCTACAACTTTGATTGCCCCAAGAGTCTGATCAGATTGAAGTGGAGCCTCAAAAGGTATAAAGCCCAAGCTTGGTCCTGATCTTGGAATTCTTGAAATCACAGCCTTACAGTCTCTTCGAATATTTCTCTTTTGCCAAAATTGAGCCCAAAGACTGCCAAAATGAACCGTTTCAATATCATTTCTCTGCTCTCTTTCCTTGCCACCACTGCGGTGGCATTTCCCCAGCAGACTGCCTCAGCTGTGACGACAGCTCCTCCTTCAACGATCACCAAGGCTGCGTCACTCACCTGCTCTGATGGCCAGACTGCTGTCTACACGACGGATTGCACTATGGGAACTCCCACCTCGTACTGCATGAGACCGGTGCCCCCAATTGAGTGCTCAGCGGGGTACTTCCCTTCTGTTTACCACCCGGGTCATTGCATTGAAGCATCGACCTGCTTCCCGGTTACTGCGGACTGGATCACCACTGAGTGCACCAATGGCGCAGTTCCTTACACAACCAAGACTTTGTACTCAGGTACCCTGGCAGGAGGCGAATCAACCATCATCAGTGGTAAGTTTTCCGACATCTCTCTTCGATCTGGCCCTTGATCTCTACCAGATCGAAACATGCAGGCATTCAAGCTAACTTATCTGCACTAAAGCCGTTTCTTGCTCTTGCTCTCAAGACTCATACTATAGCAACACTCTGCTTCCTGGAGCGTCAACTGTTGACACTTTCTGCATCCCCTCGAGCTCCTGTCCATCAGGCATGACAACCTCGACTTCAACAAACGCATACTGCGCCACTGCACCGGCGACCGCCTGCCAGAACGTTCCCCTGGTGACCAGCTTCTGCAAGTGTGAGAACGCAGCGCAGACTCCGGTTTACCCCGACATTGTTGGGGCCGCTCCAACGGGATGCGCGGCCTTGTCGTGAACCAGCTCTTTTCTATGTCTAATGCCAAGCGAACATCTACTTGTTCTTGCTCTCATTCATCCACATAGCTAATTTAAATAGCCTGGCATGGCTCTGATTGGAACCATCCAGAGAGTTTCCCTTAATGAATGTCAAAAGATATTGCGAATCAGTGACCTTTCTCCCTTTGATGGCAACCGATCCACTGATAACTGTTCGTCCGTGTTATTTGCTGGTTGCTCACAGACATAGCCCTGGGCTTCATGCCACCATTGCGGTACTCCTCTCTGTGTTGATAGTGATCTAGGGCTCGTTTCACACTACCACCGCCACTATAGCCAATGTAGTTATACTATTTCCATTCAGCGAAACAAGTAGACCTTGGTCTCCTATATATCTCTCTGCCTAGCAATAACATGACCTAGTATCAATGCTCATACCGTGGCGGCTGAATCAGCTCCCTCGGATCCTCATTACTACCAACAACCAACCCCACAAGAGAAGCCCTCATCACTCGCCTCCAACGCGCATTCAGGCTCTCTAGGGTATTGAGTTTTCTGGCCTTTGACTTTAGAATCCAGGCCAGCCTGTAACCACGGGCCTTCTCACAGCAAGAGCATTTCAAAGTGCAGTGACCAGCAGCAAATCTTCGGTCGACCAGCAAGCTCTGGCGTTTATCACAACATCCACAACCTCTCGCACAACAGCCTCCCATTCCAATACAATATTCAACAAGTATACGATGCATGTGCCATCGTGGCTGCGAGCGCCAGAAATCAATTGCTCGCGTGAGCGTTCCATCTTGCATACTCGCCCTAACCTCCCACCACTTTCGTTCCAGTATCCAGTACTTCTGTGAGCAGACGTGGATCTTTTGTTCGAACTCCTGCGTGGCGGACAGCATAATGCGTGCCGAGAATGTGCTCCATGTTGATGGTTTTTTTGGAAGATTCGTGGCTCTCTGCTTGGTTCTGAACTGTCGATTGAGAAAGTGATTGCAGCTTTTCCCTCAAAGCTATCTCAAGTTGAGTGTTCTCGCGGAGTTGAGCTTCGAGGTCAAGGAGCCTGCTTCGTTGGTCGAGTCGGTTGCCGATTGTGTTGCACCAAAGATTCCACTGATACCGCTGAAGAGCTGAAATGTCTCCAGAAGACTCAATCTCGACTTCCTCTTTATCTGGATCACCAGGTAAGAAGTGAAGATTAGATCGAGAGCTGCTCATTGTGGTGGTCAAATCTGGGTAACAGTCGAAACGAGGTTGAACTCCAAATATGCAGTTAGAAAAAGTCCATCGCCGTTGCCAAATCGGGGGTGTAATTATTATCGACTGATTCGGATTCATTACATCGACCCCGAGTCTAAGGTTGATGTAGCCTCTGTATCTATAAAAATTTAGCCAATCAATTTCCGGTACCAATTGTTCTCTTCAGACGTTACCAGCTTTGAAACCTTGATTCCATTAAACCAAAAGTGGTTCATGTCACAATTTGTACATAGCCACCCGTCGTGGTGGTAATCTCTGTAAAATTCCAGGGTGGATTTCTTCGAGAATCTTTTAGATAGTCCTTTTTGTCTTCTTAATCTGTGCTACTATTTGTCAATTTGAGGCAAGTGCTCCATTCATCTCGAGAGTTGGAACCAAGCAGACAAAGTCGGCATTTACCTGCTTAGGTCAATGGGTTCATATTCCGCACGAAGTGCTTTGCTTCTATATTTCTAGTTCATACTTAATTATAATATTGCCCTAGAAATCTTCGTAGTAGTGTTATCAGTGGCGTTCTGCCGTTGTATAAGACTCATCGGTTCCTGATTGAGGCTGAAAATCTATTTTTATAGATCAACATGACTCCCGCAATTTTTCTTTATCAGCAACAAACCTCCCTCCCCAACCCACCTAACAGAAACACACCACCACCATCCGCGCAACAGTTAAAAGCGCGCTATCCTCAAAACTCAAGCCGAGCAAGTCACGCGACAACGTTGAAACCCGTCTATGTCCCAAACCCCCAACACCGACTCCGACACACCCACACCAACCATGACCACCCCCCGCCGCCTCCTCTTCATAGCCTCAATAGGCAACAAAGCCCCATACCGCAAAACCCGGCATAGCGCAGGCCACCTGGTCCTCGACGCCGTAAAACCTCTCCTCACGCCCTCCCTCCCCAACACCGGCGCCTTCCACGAAACCTGGTACAGCCCAACATACATGAATGAGTCAGGGCCGAAACTCGTCCGCCAAATGGAGAAGTGGTCGACGCGCCAGAACGAACTTTGCACGAAAGCATACTCCGAAGGCTCTTCCACGCCTTACCCGACTACGCTGGTGATTCTACATGACGAAATGGAGGCGCCGCTGGGCAAGTTGCGGGTTAGGCGCGGGGGTCCTGAGTCATTTAGTTTGCGCGGGCATCGCGGGCTCATTAGCGTTTGTGAGACGTTGCGTGGGAAGGGACTTTATCCTGCTCGGGGGAAACCGGCTGTGGATTTGAGTATTTTGCGCATTGGGGTGGGCATTGGGAGGCCGGACTCGAGGGAGAAAGGGGCGGTTTCGGATTATGTGCTTGCGCCGGTGAATGAGGCGGAAATGAAGGCCTATCATGGTACGGCGGAGAGTGTGGTTCAGATTATTGGGGAGGAATTGTATAGATGATTGGTTGTGGTTGCATTGGCATTTGCATTGGCATTGGCATTGGATTTGCATTGGAGAGATTGCGAGCTTGATACCCGATTGAACTCCTGTATTAATCATGTACATAAAGACCCATTGGAGAGAATAAAAAACGCCTAAGCAAAAAAGAGCTTGGCTCGATAGAGCACAAGCACAAATGGAATAGAAAGAAAGCCAGAGGAAGAGAAAGGAAGATGCAATGCGTAACAATTAGACCGTGCCTGCGATGCTCAGATCGCGAATCTCCTGCAACACTTCTTCGACCCGGTTGTCCAGATCGCCCTTTGCGTACTGGTCGCGCGTCTCAGCGTCGAGGTACTGTTGCACCTGGGCCATGCGCGAGTACGCCTCAGCACAGAACCGCAATTGAATTTTGACGAGGGCTTCGAAGCTGGGATCCAAATATGGCACGCGCAGATCGATCAACTGAGGAAGTTCGTTGAAGAGCTGCTCGTTCAGCTGCTCGTATGCTTGCTTGGCCATTTCCGCCTCGCGCTCGGTGCGTGGAAGCTTGGTAACGTCCTTGTCGGGCTTCTCAGCGAGCTTCTTGACCTTTGCGCGCATCGCGTCGTAGTCGAGGAGTTTGTGGTTTCGCTTCTTGATACATTCGTTGACATCTGGGAAGTAAGCGCAGAATCGGGAGATCGGGTCAAGGACGGTGGCGCTGTTCTTTATGAGCTTTTTGTTTCGGTCGGGGCGATTAAGTCTCCGTGCTTACCGGTATGGCCCGTCGAGGGCCTTGATGGTTTCTGCGTCGAGATCCTCCACGGCCTGCTTGTAGCTTCGGCTTACGCCGTCGCGGGTTCCGGCATCGCCGTAGAATGCATCGATGGTCTCTGCAATGCGCATTTGAGACGCGGTCATGGCTTTTGCCTGTCAGCTTTGCCCGTTGTACCCTCAGTCTGCCTTGTCTCACCTCGTAGTGAATCAAGATATCCCTTCGCTTCCTTCTGCAAGCGGTTCGCCGCAGTCTCCATGGTCCGGTACCGCCTGTGCACCGTCAGCCTCGTGTCCTCTGCCCCCTCAGAAAATCATCCATACCGTTCCTCAATCTCATAGTCGCGATCATTTGTTCTCTCAACATGCCCTGACTCAATCAGCGATCCGTCGATCGATTGCGGGGTAAAAATTTCAAGACTCACCCGTCTTCATCATCACCTGCGTCGTAGCTCTGTTGACATTTTTCTTGAATCCTATGCATCCCATTAGGCCCTGACCGCTTCATTCTCGTGGTTGTACTGGAGGTGCGTACCTGCCCAAGACATTGCGGCGGTGTGGTTCGGAAGCGCCCGGGGAAAATCAGCGTCGAGTTGAAAGTATTAGGATTTATGAATATAGGAAGCGTAGGCAATGTGAGAGAGAAAACAACAATGCGCTGGCGGGAGGTGCTCGGTGCCCAGATGCTACGATGCGTTGGAAACCAAACCTAAGCGTAGCGCAGTCGTGGCGATGCGTTCGTGGCTGAGCTGCTTAGTCATATATCCAAATGCGGCGACGTCATTTTTCGTAGGGCTACAGGGCTACAGGGCTACCGTCGCATGGGCTTTTTCTTCACTTTACCCTCTTTGAAAATTACAATTACAGCAGACAAGTATTCTATTTTACATTCTTTCCAAGAGAATTGAGGGAACACAAGCCAGCACAAGGCTGAACCTTGCGTCTGTAATACCCATACACGTGCATAGCTGCATATTTTGAGTCTCAATTTTTTGATCGTAACGTAGATGCCTAAGTTATGTCTTGGCAAGTGCCAAGCCTTGTACAAATATGTACTCGGGGGCTTCTTGGGAATCCACCTTGGTGCAGAATATGGACTATGTTAGTTACAGTTACGTACAAACTGACAGCGTGGTGTATCAAAGTACAAGGTGAACGGGGTGGAGTGCGAAGTGGACGCTGAGATCATTCGGGGATATCGGGCTGCAGTCATAAATTAGCTTGGGGAGCTTTGGTGAGAGTGGACCTGACATGATGCCTTGTTGATCAATTGATGTCATTGTGTTGGGGGAAACAAGGTACATTAGTGTAGTCCTGAAACTACACTATACAAGTACAGTCCCTGGAAGCATGTTCGTAGAACGTCATTCAGAATGCCAACTTATGTACAAAAAGCATAGAGAATATACGAAATCCAACAGAGAGGAAGCGAGCGAAAGAAAATAGGTTCAGACAACCTCCAGGCCCCAGGATCGGGGCTCGTAGTGGTACAAAGATAACGCCAACGCCAATATGAGGTATCAGCCGAAGAAAGACCGGACGGGATGAAAACTCCGAGCCAAAAGAAAACGAATAAAAAAAAAAAGGCGAAGAAACTGAAAGAAAAGGGTCATGATTCTTCGTTGCATTGACGTTGAACACATGAAGGGCAAGCTAAAAAGACGGAACAGATGGAAGGAACAGGCTGAAAGGATATGCGCCGAGAAACAAAACTTCGGGGCCTCCTTGGAGCATTCAAAGACATCGATCAAAGCCTCCGGGAATGGGTCTATTCATGTAACCACCCCGATGCAAAGGGATAAAAAGGTAAAAAAAAAATAACAAAAGAAGTCGTCAGGAGGTCCACCCGAAATGGGCACCGATTCAATCGGATCAGAAGCCTTCCTCACCGGCCTTGCACAGTTTAATTTGGCGCACCCATTCGGACTTGAGAACCTGCGAGGCGTTGATACGACGCGAGGGATTCGGGTCAAGAATGGAGTAGATCACGTTGCGGCAACGTGCCTGTGAAGGAATAAGTTTCTGCCCAGCACAAGGGGGATTAGTAGTTCTTACCCGATGCAACGTCTCGATGGGCGCATATCCATCTTCGTGTTTGCGACCGTCAAGGTACCGCTGATAGAATTCATCTTCGTCCTTGCGGGCAACACGCCAGAGGTGGCGGCCGGTGCGCATGGCCATGTAGATCACGCCTGTTGCCCACAGGTCAACGGCGCGGGGGTCGAACTCCCGTTCAACGTATTCTTCGGGCGCAATGTAGGGAGCTGAGCCGCACAGACCGGCTGTCATGTGGGCTTCCTTTTCCCAGGCCATGCGGAAGCATTCGCCGTTACCGAAGTCGGTAATTTTAAGGGCACCGTGAGTGGTGAGAAGGAGGTTCTCGGGCTTGAGATCGCGGTGGGCAACGCCCATCTCATGCATGTATTCTACACCGCGCATGAGCTGTTTGAAGAAGCAATCGGCTTCGGCGACCTCGAGCTTGCCGGCGGCCAGGACAAGGGTATACAGATCGCCTCCGGCACAATATTCCATGACTTCACAGTAGTCTCCCTTGGCATCTTGGAGAAGATCCAGAGTGTGAATCACGTTCGGATGACGGAGGGAGGATGAGATGCAGAACTCCGAAGTCAGTCGTTTTTGGTACTTCTTGGTGGTCTCCTGAGGGCGACGACGGAACTCCTTGACGGCATACAGCTGCTCGCACTTGGAGTCTGTGGGGTCAACCTTGTGGGAGATGCGAACGATACCGAAAGCACCGCGGCCCACAATTTCCTGGCACTTGCCGTACTTGTCGACCAAAGAGGCTGTGGCGTTGGGGCCACCCTTCTTATCGGCAGCCAGCTTATCTCGCTCGGTCTTGAACTGATCGATCCAAGTAGACATGAGCGACAGCTGCTGCTCATCCACCTGGTCATCCTTCTTTCGGCCGCCCAACATGTCGCGCAGTAGGTCTGTCAACTTCTCCTGTCGCCTGGCGCTTCTCAGATGATGCGAGTGGTTCCCGAGAGCTTCGGGAAGAATCTCAAAGCGCCTGGAGGCCGGAGTGGCTCCATCCTTCTTCTTATCATCGGCCTTCTTTTTATCAAGCTTGTCCACGGGCTCGTTCTTCAGTGACGGATTCCGCGACGGAGTGCGGGAGGTTGCGCCTCGGGAGGGAGGTCGGGAGGGGGGTCTGGAGTTGGGTCTCGACGAAGGCTTTGATGTCTTGCCATTCGTGTGCTGGATGCTTTCTAAGCTACTGTCGGATAGGTCTCGGTGGACTTCATTATTTTCTCTGGTCGGTGTGTTTTTCCCCGTGCTGGAGAACATGCGCGTAAGTCGTGCGGCCATGGTGGCTTTGGTGGGTTTCCCGGTAGGGGAGAAAGCTGGAGGTGGGAGGTCGTTTGCATGGGCAGACAGGTTCATGCCTGCTACGGCTCGTGCTACCGAAGCATCGCCATCCCGAGGGTCATAGGAGTGTTGTGAAGCTGCGGCGGAGGAGACTGCGGAAGGCACAGGTGAAGGGGAAGGTGGAGTCATGTGCGGTGGATCGGCGGGTGAAGAGACGAGAGAATGGAGGGGGTGGGACACGAAATTCTCCGTTCCCAATAGCTCACACGCTAAACACGATGAACTGAGGAAATTGTGTAAAAATAAAGTGAGGATCAAACGAAGTGAGGCGAGGATCAGAGAATCAAAGAAACAGGTCTGGGAGGAAACAAATCGACAGCTAACTCGGTACACGCATACGCAAAGCTCTCGCGAAAAGAAGTATATAATTCAGGACACAAAGAAGTCGAGAGAGAGGAAAAGAGAAGAAATAAGAGCAAGTGGGAAGGATAAATTTGGCGATGCTCAACTAGAAATACCACCGAGCTTTTTTTTTGTGGTATGGGGAATACAGAGGGGAGTCCTGTAAATTACAGTCTCTCCATTTGAAAAGAAGAGGGTAATCTCAATACCGACATTACGGAAGAATGTGGGAACTGCAACGGTACGAGGTTACGATCATTAATAATGACCGCTGCTCGCTGATTCTAGCCTGGGACCTGTAGGGCTACATATGTACAGCGTAGACGGCGACTCCGGCGTTGTGCCACCCTGCAGATGCAGCATGACTAAACTTGTAATAGAAATAGGAAAAATGTAGGGGAAAAAAGATGTATACTATTTCACGATATTTCACCTACAATTTCATCTATGGGATTCTAACGTCTATGAGAGATTTAATGGTAATCAAAATCAAAGTAACAAAGTAACAAAGTAACGGAGTGTACCCGGCCAGGTTTTTTTCGCGGGATCCTTGGAAATGGGTCTTCCGTAAGGATTAAGCAATCACTGCTAAGTAATCCTCTTGTAAATGACGTTGCGACAGTGACGTCGAGATCAATTTTCTGTTCTGTATGAGATTCTGTAAAGGTATAGTGATGGTAATAATATACTAATATACTCTGTACGAATATACTACATCCAATCCAATAATCTGGGAAATGTATTCTGATTTCTAACCCTTTCCGCCACCACCTGACTGAGGCTGTGCTCTCTCCTCAGTTTGTCCTGATTCGATTAGGCCCCCGCAGCCGACGCGCTGCTGCGTGTGGCGGTTGCATAGCACCACTTGGTCCCTTTAGACCACTGAGAGGGGCACGCCTAATGATCCATTTTTCTTGTTTCCCTTGGCTCCATTGATTGGTCCAACTGATCTGTTGATCTATTAGCCGGACATTTTGAATATTCGGACGTGCTTCATTACTGTCTCCGGTAGGTGGGGGATTGATCATTCCATACTTCCGTTCCGACTCCATTCCGACCATACTAGTACAGTCCACGGATCTTTCTCCCTCCCTTCCGACCTCGGGATTGACTCAAAACTCCAGGATTTACAGCTGGAGAAAAGTGGAGGGGAAACAACTGTCGTATACTGTACTCCGTACGGAGTACTGGGTTAATGTAAAATCCTAATTCGGTTGAACCAATTGTCAGATCCCTCTTCCCTCCGTTGATACCCGTGCTCACTGTATACTCGACTGGATAGACGATCGCTGCGTAACTTTCAATGCACTGCTCCCCATCGGGTTCGTGGAGACCGCGTGGGGTCTCTGTGCGAGTCACCCGATGTATGTCTACCAGCAAGCTCGCTATCGAAAGACGGCAGTTAGATGTTGATCAACACGTAGGTGATTCCCCGGCTTGAAATTCCTCGAACTACATTGTATCCTGTACGCAGCAAATCCTGCTATATTCGACAGACTACACCTTGACCGTCTCTTCGGGGTTCCGGTTCCCGTGTGGGGATTCTCCAAACGCTTAGTGTCAGGGATTTCCACTAAGCGTGAGCTTCAATCTACTGGTAGACGGGGACGAGTATCGAGGGACAATTCGGAAGTAGCACCTAATTCGCTTTGCTTTACATGTTACCCCGGATTCTTCTCTGTCTCCGTGGCCTCGGCACGGTAATAACGCCCAAAAACGGAGTACTGGTACAATTCTCACATGGGAAAAAAGCAGACAGAAACAGAAACAGAAAAACATACACAGTTCAGAATCTGTACGAGGCATTTTCACTCGCCAATCACATCCCTCAACCGAACCCATCTTAATTTCCCCTTTGATACTTGCAGATGTACCCAGGACCTTCCCGTCATATCAATCTATGCACTTCCTCTGGTACCGGTACTTTGCTCACTCATAACCCTATTCCCGAGGTGTTTACCCCTCAATGCCATACTCCGTACACGAGGTCCAAATCCTCCTGCACATTTATATGCAGAAAAAAATAACATTCTGATTCGAGCTGCAGCTTGACCGCCAGTTTGGTTGCATCGGCCTTGGATTGGCTTGGAGCTTCAGATAAGCTGTGGTGTTTTTTTTGCTTTTGGTCGGAGCTCTTGCATAACGCATTAGTGTAGATGTTGACTATGAGCGGAATTCCACGACCAATGCGGTCTCTCGCTGTTGTTAGTGGACAGATTGTACATGTACGTTGAAGGATGTGTCTGTGCTGAAGCCAAGTCATGCAGGTTGGAGCTGATCAAGCTGAGCTGCCCAGATGGTCTTGTTTCTTGTTTCGTGTTTCGTGTTTCTTGCTTTTTTTCCCGTTCTTTCTTTGTCTTTGCTTTTTCTTTGGCTTGCATATAATTCCAAGGTTTGCTTCTGTCGTGTCTCCTGCAATCAAGCATATGATTCTCGATTCGATGTACAATGTTGGCCTATCGGTTCGTCGGTTCACGCACGAGCCACGGGCCGATTGGGGAAGTCGCTTGGCGTTGGCTATAGCTTGTAGCTTTTATAGAGTGGCTTCGGCATTAGCTCTAGACCTAGCCTCTGACTGTATTTTATATTGGGCTTATTTATACCCCGGGATCGCCACAATGGATAGACTTGATATTGTGAGACAATTGGCTCGGATATTGCGTTATGATCAAATCCGACTTTCCCCGCCGGTACGCTGAGGACACCCTTCCACTCGGCCGCCCTGCTGCCCTGGCGTACTTGATATGAGCGATATCAATATCAACTATTGGGGGCGACGCGGTTTACCCGGGCACCGGCATGCCACGTGGGGAGGAACCCCGTCTGATTGACTCGTGAAAAGGCGGTATGGACAGCTCAAGTCTTGGCTGCCAATATGTGTTGCCGGGCGAGACGGTGATGCTTGTGTGCTCAATTGCAGCTATGTCGTTCTCGACCTTCAGCTGGTCTCCCAGCGGTGAGGCCTGTTGTGTTTTTCCCTTCCCAGCGTATTCGTGAAACGATCTCATTCGCACCGTTGGTATCATGATAGAACACGTGTCTGCTACCCGATCAGATACCATGTCAACGAAAAGGCAGCATGCCAGACTTAAATCGCACGTACCACAAATTGTTCCAGGGATTCTTCAAAGAGCTCGTTGTTCACTCCCACACCGCCAGGATGTTCAGTCGGCGAAAGGGGGTTTTTGACAACTGCGGCGGTCAGTAAATGTCGCGCTCGAAAAAAAAGTCCCTTGAGTCCACACGAACCGTATTCCACAAACAGATTGATGTAGATTTGTTGCAGTGCGATGCGCATGCTGGGACTCTTCAGGTCCGTCAGCATTACGAACTTGGTATTTGTCGGTGTCTCGTAATAGTGCAGCTTGTATTGGCTGGTGGTAAAGGACACGAAACTGTCAAGTACTTCTGGTCAGCACCATAGCCAAGGGCGCTCGCTCGCGTCAGGGGGAGTATCTCACTTGTCGTCTTCACCTCCTAGCTTGCGCACCATGTTACGCAGAGAGAAGACCGTTCCAAAGACCAGCTTCGAGTCATCATCGCTTGATCGAACAGTTTGGCCGAGCCCGGTCGGCGCGGCTTCTGATCGGGACTTCCCCACGATCGACGTCGGGCGCGGAAGCCAGCGACGCTTGTAGATGCATTCGGCTGATGGAAATTAGTCGAAATCCTCCGAACCAAAGAGAGTCAAGTATTTACCATGCCGATCGAAGATATAGAACGAGTAGACGACCATTGTGTAGTGTGACCAAAGTCCCGTTGGGTTGTTGTTCAGGAGAAGCTGACGGGGCGGTGAAATCCCGCGATAACAGATCAAATGGAGCTGCCTAGAAAATGTTCCTTACGGCTCATATTACCTACATGGAGATCGATTTGAATTCGCTTTCTTTTGCGTAAGGCTGACAAGCCCGCATCTCACGTTATCGAAACCCCGCGCTTCAACTTCCTCTTTACCCCACACCTATATTCAATGGATGAAAATGCCCCAGTCTCGGATGCCTCCGAACCTAGTACAAGACCGGGAATAGTTGAGTGAGTGAGGCCATTGCTTGTGATGTATCACACTGACGCTCTGCAGGTCTGCATCATATGACTCTCCTCAAAGACACCGACGGCGAAACCCCAGAGCAAGGCGTCCGGTGAAGGTCAGCTTCTCGCCGTCGTGATAGCTTCGCGGAACTGACTTCGCCTAGGAAACACTGGACGCCCGCTCCGAGTATTACACCAGTCAGGATGATGGGACTGCTGAACATCGTATCAACCAATACGTGATCAAGCAAGAGATCGGGCGAGGCTCGTTTGGTGCTGTTCATCTGGCCGCAGACCAGTTTGGTAACGAATATGTAAGGAAATTTGACCATCTAGAACTGCATGTGCTTATCTTTGGGTGCTCCTAAAACACAGGCTGTCAAGGAATTTTCCAAATCGCGGCTTAGAAAACGTGCGCAGTCACATCTGCTGCGCAGGCCCAGAGGTCCAAGACGACCTGGTTCGGATTTCAATTCGCCTTTGCACCGTCACCCTTCAGGAGACGATGCCGAGAATGCACAGAACCCTCTGTACTTGATCAAAGAGGAGATTGCTGTGATGAAGAAACTGAACCATCACAATCTGGTGTCGCTGATCGAGGTCCTGGACGACCCGTCAGAAGATTCATTGTATATGGTCATGGAAATGTGCAAGAAAGGTGTTATCATGAAGGTTGGACTGGAAGAACGATCAGATCCATACGATGACGAACATTGTCGATGCTGGTTCCGCGATTTGATTTTGGGGATTGAGTATCTGCACGCGCAAGGAATTGTTCATCGCGATATAAAGCCCGACAATTGTTTGGTCACCAATGATGACGTGCTGAAGGTCGTCGACTTTGGAGTGTCGGAGATGTTTGAAAAGAACTCGGATATGTTCACTGCTAAGTCGGCTGGATCACCGGCATTCCTCCCGCCAGAGTTATGCGTGGTCAAACACGGCGATGTGTCAGGAAAGGCCACGGACATCTGGTCCATGGGCGTGACGTTATATTGTCTGCGATATGGAAAACTGCCTTTCGAAAAACACAACATTTTCGAGCTGTACGATAGTATCAGGGGTGATCCTCTTGTCTGTGAGGACGAAGAGGATGATTCATTCAAAGATTTGATGAATCGAATTTTGGAAAAGGATCCAGAGAAGCGAATTGATATGTTTGGGTTACGAGTGAGTCGGCTGTACTTTTATTGCCCCAGAATATACTAATCCAACGCCAACAGGAACATCCTTGGGTTACAAAGGATGGAACAGATCCCTTGCTCTCGTTTGAAGAGAACACCTCGCAAATCATCACATTTCCAACGAAGGAAGAGATGGATCGTGCCATCACAACAACTATGGGACATCTCATGACCGTGGTATGTATGGTCTCAATCTCTAACAAAGCTCCGCTAACAAGCCCTAGATGAAAGCAGTCAAAAAGTTCAAACGACTGACAGATCCCACCAAGACCAGCACTCCACAAACCCCCATGCAGAGCATCCTTGGTGGCGATGAGTCCTATTTCGTGGAGCCACCGATGGAAATGGACCCAGACGAGCCCTTCCCGGCAGTCGGCGAACCCAGCCTACGCGCAAACGTTCGAAAGGCGTTTAGACATCCATTCGCTGGGTTCCGCAATCCCCAACAAGGATCAAGCGACTCAACCAGCATCTCCTCAAGGCAAAGCACAAGCAGCCAACGACCCGGCGTCGTTGAAACACGCTCGGGTCACGCATCTCCGTCTCTGTCACGCGCCAGCTCAGCAGCCAAGCGCAGCCTGGAAGGAACGAGAGGTCATGCGCGGGATCCTCTTGAAGAGGAGTTCCCATTCCTTTTCATTGGCCCATCTACATATACGGGATCCCACGAGGTAAGCGATGAACCTGCTCAGGTCTTTACAGAACCGGACGCCCTCGGCCAAGAGCAGGGCCAAGAAGAAGACCCCGAACCCATGGTGAGTGAATCACCCGGAGCGGCGGAATTCGATATCTACGAGACGGCGTATCGCTCGGAGCTGGAGCGCATCAAACAAGACCTGGAAGACAAGAACTCCGGCCCGAAGGTCTATTTGAACCGTCGCGTTGAGAATAAAGACGAGGTTCTGAGATTGGCCAAGGAAAAGGCACTGGATTTGCAAATTGGACAAAAGTTTTCGCTGGCTTCCAAAAGGACGAGCTCTGCTTTGGGCTCTGCTATCAGTGCCTTCCGTTCAATGCCGAAGCGACAGGCAGATTCGGAGGATGCCGATAAAGGCTTGGAACATCCGGAGCCTAAGCGTCCGTCTGTTTCTGGCGTCGAGCCTCAGTCTCAACCGCTTGAAGTGGAGGGTATTTTCTCTACTGGAGAAGGATCACAGGATCACCTGCGGGGGGTTATCGGGTCGGAGAAGTAGGTGTGTGGTGTGTGCCTCCGAATTTGTATAGACATGGGAGTTTTGCATTTCTGTTTTGTATATCTGCATATCATTGGGATCGATGATGACGGACTTGAGTCTGTTTTTGGCACTGATACTGGTTTTCAATTGCCTTCATTGGATCGTTGTCTTCGTATTCGGTGTGTCACTCGTACAGTGCTCAGATAGGAGACTTGGATGATCCTTGTATGGAAAGTATTTGAGAGTGCACGGGTCGAATCTGAATGCACCTTGTTTTCATATTACGTAGATTGGACGATGAATCCATGGATATGATCATGTAGTAGAATGAATATAGGTCATTATTAGCCCACAAGGAGTGTAAGACATCTCTGAAGAGTCAAAAACAGAAAGAAAAGAAAAAACCAATCACAAGAAAAGCAAAAGTAGAGTAAAATACAATATACCTTGAATTCAAGGCTTTGAAAGGACCGCCATCGCCATGTAGCAGACATCAATCATCACGCACGCTAGACACTGGGGCAAGAATAAGTAAAAAGAAGATAGAAAAGAAACCAAAAGGCAGAAGCAGAAGCAAAATGCAAGACATAGCATCATGTTCGCACAGCAGAAGAAGGGGAAAAATGACTCGCTGGTTTAAAACAAAGCCGTTATCATCGAACGTCGTCACAAAATTGTTTCCTAGGAGTCGAATGTTAAATGTCAAGTGTCAACTGAGAACCGCACAATAAACGCTGTCTATTGTTCATCATCATTCATTCATGGCGCAAGAAAAAGTCATCAATAGAAATTGAGGTCATCGCGGTTTCTCCGCTTCATGTTCTGGTCGACCAGCCGAATCTCGACGTCCATCCGAGCGTTGGAAGAACTCATACCCACGCTCTGGATTAGGCCTTGGAAATGCATCTGGAGGACCGAGTTGCAGCGCATGAGGCGATGGAAGTGGGTGACCCATTTCCGTGGGTCGAGGGAGTTCGCGCATCATATTGCGTTGGATATCGCGGCCTTCCACGGGGCGCATTTCATAGATTGGCTGGGATTGAGACTGAGGTTGAGGCTGAGGTTGGTGCTGGGCATGGGTCTGGACCTGGGCTTGAGCGTGCGCTTGGGCCTGGGCCTGTGATTGGGGCTGTGGTTGGGGCTGGAGTTGGAGTTGCGGTCTTTGAAAACTTGTCGGAAACGAAGTTGGGGCGGGACTGGTTGGTGAAGGGGCCTTTCGGGCTGGTCGTCGTGGTGCTGGGTAGGGCTCCCCGCGGGATTCGGCTAATAGTTTGCGTCGTTCGGTCTCTGCTTTGCTGGGTCGGCCTCGTTTGCGGCGCGGTTCGCCGGTGTCTAGTCTCGGGGAGAGTTGGGCGGATGAACCACTTTCGCTGCCATAAGAGACGGTGCTGGCTGGGGGTCCTGGTGGCCGCGGCTGGATTGCTCTTGGTACTGGCTTGTCGGAGGGGAACAGTGGCCGTTTGCGCATGTCTGTCGGACCGGTGTCGCGGGGGAACGGCGTCGGATGTGGTGGATGCGCGGGCTGCTGGATCATATTGAGAAAGGCGTTTTTGCACGAGCTGAGTGAACGGCCTTGTGCGGGGGTCAGATATGCTATTGAATTTTCCCGACAATTGGCTGTTGCATACCTTGAGGCAGGGGGATATGCTCCCAGCTTGGATTGATTCCATACTCTCTAATCAAGCGGACCAGACAGCCGGATGGAATTCCGGCTTTCTTGAGAATCTCCGTGAGCAGAGCGTACTGGGAGGAGAAACATCAGCATGGCCTATTTCGCCCCGAGCCAACATGAACTTACCTTGTCCTCTTCGGTCCATGGCCTATCAGATGGATTCGACATATCCCATGGAAGCGGATTTCACGAAAAACGAAGAAAAATTTCAAACACAAAGACCTCCCAGAGATATCACAAGGATGAATAGGTCACGGTCATAGGACCTAATTGACCAAGAGAATAGGAACAAACAGGAAACAAAAGAAACAAAAGAGAAAAGAGGAAAAAAAAGAGAATGACGAACGCGCAACGAGAGTTATGTCCCCATATCCTGACGAAACACACACAGAAAGAGAGAGGAGGCTTGATAGCCAAAGAAAAAGGGAAAAAAGGAACAAAAACGCATTCAAAAGTCCCCTAAGTTTTCAGGAAGATTTCCTAGCCAAACGACTTGAGCAAGCCGGGATCGCGCAGGAGAGCGGGAAAGCTGCAGGGACGATACAGGTAACATAAACCCATAGATCACAGTTTCATCTTTTGAAGAGTTTCGACGGAAAATTACCACTAACAAGACTAACAGGAGTAACAGGAGTAACAGGAGTAACAAGACCCCCCATTGAGGGAGTATCGAGGGGTTTTGAGTGGGGATCTATACAGTTATTTAGTACGAGTTACTCCGTAGTCCAGGGCTTTTTTTGGGAACAGCAGAACAGACATAGTACTAAACGGGGCTTAGGTTCGGGAAACGGTTGGTCCTGGCAGTTCCAGAGCCAAGGGACAGTGAGAGAAAGCGTTGTTTCTTGTTTTTTTTTTTGTTGGATTCGCACTGCTTTTTTTGTGGCTCCCTTTTTTTGCCCGGAGGTTTTTAGTGGACTGTGGATGTTAGTGTGGTGATTTTGGTTTCATCGGTTCTTTTTGGGTAAACAGTGGGCTTTCTGGGGCCGACTGGGGCCGCTGATAGGTGTGAATGGCCCGGGACGTTGGGTCTGAACAGGAAAAAAAAAGGGAAAGGGAAAAATGACAAAATTCATAATTGTGTTTGAGGCTAGCTTCAGGGGTAGAATCGTAAACCAAAGCGCGTTAGGAACTGTAGGTTCGTGTACGGAGTAATGTATTTAGTTCTAGGTCGGATCTTGGTTGTTATCCATGGATCTTGGTACGGAGTACGGAGTAGATCTAGTTGATATTAAGTATATCATATAGAATATGGTTCTATGAACATACTCCTACCTGCCACTGGCTTTGACTATTATCGATAGTACGGAATATCCATGGGTAGACCCTCACTGCCAATTAGGGTACCATCAATAACTAGCAGGTCAAAGTCTGTATCTATACTCCTTATTCCCCGCTCAGAAGTGCTAACCCTAACTCTGTCACAACCAGTACAAGCTACGGAATACCGAGCAAAACCCCTTCATGTGCTCTCATGCCATTCCAAGGTTTATAAAGGATGCGTTGTACATGACATACATGGCATACATAGTGGATGTGTATAAATGTACAATACACAGTAACGCACAGACAGGATTACGTGCAGACGCGCTTTTGTCTCTCGATCGCCCTGGTCCAATCGATTTTCCCATCATTTTTGACTTCGGAATTGCTCTGATCTGGTCGATCAGGATGATCTGAACCTCACTTCTGACCGCGGAATCATCAGGGAATTGGGTCTGCTCATACCCATGCTGCCTGGCTCCTGGTGATGCCTATCACCGGTGAATCAAACCTCTCCGGAGTCATAAAAAGTTGATTATCGAACTGAGCATGAGCGAGAGGTACGAATTACGGAGTAGCTGGTGGTGAACTCCAAGGTGCAAGATGATAGAGTAACTCCACGCGCGGGTACGGAGTTGAGGGCGGTGAGAGTGAACGCGAAATGTCAATAGCTTCGGTTTCATTCCAATTAGGCTATTTTTCTTTTCTCCTCGTACCTTTACCGCTTCGGCCCCTTGACATACCGGCAGAATCTACCACAGCTTCTTTCTCCCCTCGACTTCGCTTGACTCCGATTTCACCACCGATTAGTCCGTGTTGTCATGTCTCATGACCACGCGGACTCTGAGCTGAAGATGGAACCGCCTTCAAATGGAAATGGCAACGCCATGATCAAGAACAGTGACTCGCGTCCATCCTCGCGTATCTCCTCGCGTACCTCTCAATCACCACTCCCCAAGAAGGAGCTTTCCCCATCCCCCGATACCGCCACCGCCGCCATGAAGAACGATCCAGACATCAAGCAAGAGCGTCCGAAGCTCTCTCGCAGCTCATCAAAGGTGTCGCGACCCCCACCGCTCTATGACCACTTGCCGGACAGCACCAAAGATGCGCTGGCCACTTTCGAGCAGATCGCTGCTTGCCAGTACGCCAACAAATACATGGGATACACCGAGCTGGCCATGGAGTGCGATTGCGCCGAAGAGTGGGGTAAGCTTGAATCCAGAAATCTTGGTCCACCGTGGACTCGACACGGCTATCTCGAACATTCACTGATTTGTTGCATGTAGATTCGAGTTTAGGTCAAAATTTAGCCTGTGGCGAGGACTCCGATTGTATCAACCGCGCGACCAAAATCGAGTGTGCGGGCGACTGCGGCTGTGGCGCGGATTGTCGCAACCAACGATTCCAGAAGGGTCAATTTGCCTCCGTGGCCGTGATCAAGACTGAAAAGAAGGGGTTCGGATTGCGCGCGGAAACGAATCTTCACGAAGGAGATCTGATTTACGAATATGTTGGGGAGGTCGTGGCGGAGCAGCAATTCCGGAAGCGCATGAGGCAGTATGACGAAGAGGGCATCAAGCACTTTTATTTCATGTCCTTGAGCACAGGCGAATTTGTCGATGCGACCAAGCGTGGTAACCTGGGCCGGTTCTGCAACCACTCTTGCAATCCTAACTGTTTTGTTGACAAATGGGTCGTGGGAGAGAAGATGCGCATGGGAATCTTTGCCGAGCGAGCCATCCAGGCAGGCGAAGAACTGGTCTTCAACTACAATGTTGACCGATACGGTGCCGATCCTCAACCCTGCTACTGCGGAGAACCGATGTGCACTGGTTTCATCGGTGGACGCACTCAGACTGAGCGTGCGACGAAGTTGTCCAACTCGACAATGGAAGCCTTGGGTATGGACGACGAAGAAGACGGTTGGGATACCGTGGTCGCGAAGCGGCCCAAGAAGAAGAAGACGGGCGAGGATGACGACGAGTACGTTGAAAACGCACAGCCCAAGTCCTTATCAGAGGACAGTGTCACCAAGGTCATGGCAGCTCTGGTGCAGTGCCAGGAGAAATGGATCGCTGTCAAACTTCTCGGTCGTATCCAACGCTGCGAGGACGAGCGTGTGCGCAGTCGTGTGGTCAAAATGCACGGTTATCAAATTCTCAATGCCCAGCTCACTCAATGGAAGGAGGATTACAACGTGGTGTTGCAGATCCTCAATATCCTGGACTCCTTCCCCCGACTCACTCGAAACAAAATCATAGACTCCAAGATCGAAGCTAATATCCAGCCGTTGACGACCTGTGGAGATGAGCGCGTGGCAGAGAAGGCTGCTAAACTGCTTGCAAGCTGGGCTGGGCTGAAAATTGGGTACCGAATCCCACGCACGAAGCGAGGTCAAGATGCGAAGCAGGCAGTCAACCAGTTCGAGCGTCGCGAGACTGGAGTTCAGCAGCGCCAACGATCTGTCACCCGTTCCCCATCCCCTGTTTACGATGCTCCCCGGGGACCGGCGCAGCAACGACGCGATCGGGGCCCTCAGCGTGGACCCAGACAACAGAACCGCCGCGGTAATTGGCCTTTGCCTGATGGATGGTTCACTGCAGAGTCAGATGGCCGCACTTACTATTATTCTGCTTCCGGAAAAACAACATGGGAACGTCCAACTGCCCCGGCCACACCGGCTACAGCGCCAGGCCAACCCTCCAAGAACCAGCAGAATCTGGCCTTGCAGAAGGTCATTGATGGCATCATGAATGCTCGGGAGGACACGCCGTCTGAGAAAAAGACCGACTCACCGGCCACGCCTCAGCCAGCTGATCTTCCGGAAAAGAAGAGCAAGGAGACGGAGAAGTGGAGAAAGCTTCCTCTGGAAAAGCAGAAGAAGATTTACGAGAACACAGTGAGTATCAAGTCATCTGGCTCGGTGGCGTGAATGCAGGGACTAACACTTCAAAAGCTTTTCCCCCATATCAAAGGCGTGGTCGACCAATACAAGCACAAAATCCCGAAGGACAAGCTGAAGCGATTTGCCAAAGATGTAAGATTTGATGGTTCTCTCTGCGAAATTCGAACATGCTAGCTAACCTGCCTAATCTGTCAGACCGCAAAGAAGCTCGTGGAAAGTGACTACAAGAAGAATCGCGTGACCGATCCCACCAAGATCAGCAGCAAGCACCAACAGACCGTTAAAAGCTACTGCAAGACTTTCTTCGACAAAGCGGCGACCAAATACGAGGCTATCGAAAAGCTCAAGTCCATGAAGTCTCAGGATGCGACACCCACCCCCACCGCTGATGTTGACGACGCCGTCGATATCCAGCTTCTTGACGATGATACTGCCCTTCCCTCCCCCGAGGATGATGAGGTATCCCTCAAGCGGAAACATGAGGAAACCCTGCATGTCGACCGCGCCGACGAGGGTGACACATCGCCTTCCAAACGCCAGAAATCTACTCCTCCCCCACCCCCACCTCCCCCTCCCCCCTGCCCCTGCCGAATCACCAGTCGGTGACGGCGACATCAGCATGGCAAACGCCAGTCAATCACCCAAGGATACCGACATGAACATGGAGACGCCAAACCAGAACCCCCAGACCAGCATTGAGTAGGGGTTTTCTTTTAATTGCATGCATACCCAAAAGCGAGAACGGGAATTGAGATTGTGCATTATTTCTGCTTCTACCGTGTCATTTTTTGCGCCACTTTATTTGTGCTTTTAGCTTTTCAGCTTTCGTCAATACCCCCGAGCGGCAGTGCTTGTCACTACGATAGTTTGCATCCATTCGGTTTCTATTTGTTTGATTTTTGCACGACAGTCGGAGTAGCTTGGAGCTCAAGACCACTTTCCCCAGGATATTATCCTAGTTATGGGGAGGTTCCACAGGTGATCTACCAGACTAAAGACCATTTGCTTCTTCTAATTCAGCCTTATTTTTGTGTACAAAATCAATAATCCAACTCTAAAGTAAGCCTCGAAGAAAAAGAAGATCATTTCAGCGTAAAGAAACCCAAGGCTACCAGGGGTACCTAAATCTAATAGAAACTCTCGACAATGCTGTCCTTATTCACACCAGCAGCGGCACCGGCACCACCAGGAGCCATCTCACCAAGACGGAACACAGACTCCACAACGCTCAGTTCCGTAGCAGTGGTGTCCAGACCCGTGATAGCAAGCCAGTCGTTAACGACCATACCAGCACCCACGACCGCGGATCCACGGTTCACACTACCGGCAACAAGAGGAACCTGCAGCAAAGAGGAAAGCTCATCCTGGTCTCGGATGGAGGTCTTGGGGTGGACGATACCACCGGAGTTGGAGAGAGCCATGTAAGAGCCCGTTAGGACGTTATCGGCGACTGTTTGGCGGAAGACTTCTACACCGAGGACATCGGCGATGCTGGAAATTTTCATTAGTATCACGCCGTCGGTCAAAAACATGACTTTTGTGGGTGGGAAACGGCTTACATCTCCTCGGTCTCACGCTCCAGATCGGGGTGCACGATTGCGACATGGTCGTTGCAGCAGATGACGTTTCCGAGCGCCGAGAGACGCTCTTCTATCCGTTGAATTTTCACCGAGTCTGGCAGTGAATTGCGCAGATGTTGCAGTTCTTGGTCTGTGGTTGTGGTGGGGACGAGGAGTCCTTTGCGGTTACTGCGTGGTGTTAGTAGGTTGTTTCTGTTTTTCGCCCCTCATGGGCTAGTCTTCGGATCTCGATCTCTGCACTCACCCGACGACTAGACGGCCGACAATTCGGGTACCGGCGATAGTGGCGTGACAGATAGGAATGACATCTTGGAGTTCGGACTCGAAAACACTGGTCTCCGTTAGATTTTTCCTCTAAAATTTTCCCGTGGCTGATGTACCTGTAGAAGTTCTCAGATCCACCGACAGCGACGATGGCGTAGGCGTTGGTCAGGCAGGAGAAGACGCCGACCCTGGTGAGTGTTAGCTTGGAACGTCTTGGCCTCTGGGATTGCCTACTCGTTGGAGTTCTCGAATTGCGCGCGGACAGCCATGGTATCTCTCAGTCTTGGGTAGTGTCCGGAATGGTGAAAATTTGCGGTGAGAGCGGGGTAATGCGGAGCAGCGCAGCGCAGAGCAAAGAAGATCTAAAAAGAATCAAAGAAGTGGAATAACCGTTTGAGTGTCTGGAATCGACGCAGATGTCCAGATAAATAATTGCAGCGACGTGCGATAAAAAAAGAGGAAAGCTCGGTCCAATCAGCTGTCCGTCTGCACTTGCCCCGCCGGAGCCGCAGAGGCGAGAAGAGGTGGGTTGATATTATGTACTGGTACTTGACTGACTATGTACTGTTGTATGACAGTATAAGTACCTATACATCCTCTTCACTGACTCATTCTGTCTCATGCTGATGATTCATTCGACTTTAAACAGACTCATGCTCTACCTGTTCTGACTGGGCAGTGCTCTCGTGTTGTTGCAAATTCCTCAGGACTCAGCCTTGCCACTTTCAGAATCATTCTTGTTGTCAGGACCCAAGGACAAGTAGCTTCACTAAAGACTCATATTACCAATTCCGACAATTGAATTAATGAGAACATGCTCGACACATAATATTGCCTATCCCTCTTTGGTACACAATCAATATTCATATTTAGAATATTAAAACTGCCGAAGACGCCACTGCCCAGGTGTAGCTTACAGTAGAAGGGGAAAAGGCCTAGAAGAGTGGAACTATACGGAGTAGTGTGGCGGAGGCCCACCAACACAAGTAGATGAATACCAACTTTGTTTGTTTGATTTGAATAGATGGGGATAGTTCTGGCGGTGAGGCAAGTTACCCTCAAAAACAATTTCGTTAAGTTTCTAAAAAAAATGTCTACTAAGCTGAGAACAGTGACTTTGTCTCTAATCTAAGAATGCAAGGGTTGATTCCTCTAAGATCGCTTTACTATGTTTCTTAGAGCAAGCAAGAAACAGCCATTGCAAGAAACTTCATGACATTGATGTCCTCTCTTGGTCTATATACCTTAAAGTCTTCTTGATATTCTTGTTGATGGAATTTCATAGATATTGCGGTGCATCTGCTGAGCTGAACAAAGCACAACATCTAGCCCTCACACAAGCTTCATGGGGCCAGGTAACCGTCTTCTGCCCAAGGTCAGGTGTAAACAGCTGATCAACTATATTATTCGCAAGAGACTTTTTCTCTTGGGCAAGTAATAAACCTTGGAACCTTGGAAGAACACAGCATCTACCTAAAAAAGACATTGCAGATCCCAAACCAAGCACGATCATGCCCAGGTGTGCCACCCTGTATTTGGGATCTTTATAAATTTGCATGCTTCATTCAAAGGACTGATATCATTCAGCTTCGGGGCTTTCTGTGTTGGATGGGAGTTTGGTGATGATCAAATCAAATGCAGCAACTCTTGTGAAGTTTAGATGTGATACTCCAGGGCTTACTAGGTAGGTACTCATCAAAACGACAACCTTGGAAAATGCCAGATATAATACCATATACCTAAAGTTAAGATAAATGCAACAATGATCACTAGTAATGTAGATATACTCACGTTTGACCTCATCGTCATCTCGAAAGACGTGATCTGTACATCTGAAGTCAAGTTGATCTCAGCTGGAGCCCCAACCCTTTATTCTCCATATTTTACAATACTTCAAGCTGAATCATCACTTAGACAAGCTCTTAGATCTAAGCTGACATCCGTCTCTGTCTACGTCTCTCGTGAGGCCAAAGTAAGGAGAACTTTCATTCTCTGCGCCCTTCCCAAAAACTAATCACAACAAACCCAGGGGAAGGCAGAATTAATAAGTACATAAAGCGTGGTATCAAACAGAACGCTACATCGAGAAACTAGTGGTACAATCCTAGTACCGGCGCTGGTGAGAGCCCGGCGGCGGCGGGAAATACAATGAGGGAGGACCCGGAGGTCCATGTCCCGGAGCCGGATGGCCCGGCCCGGGAGCGTGAGCTGGCGCATGGCCTGGAGGCGCATGGCCAGGTGGAGGGGGCAGATAGCCCGGCATTGGCAGGCGGGCGAAATTTGAGCCCGGGGGAGGCGGCAGCTGAGGCGGACCGTTCATTGCGAACGGGTCCGGGAGACCCATGCCGCGCGCGGGGGAGGAGGCGGCGCGGCTGGGTGGGGGTTGGGGGGGGGGAGGATGAAGGATCGGGGGTCTGTGGGCGCCAGGTGCACTTGGTGCTGCTGCTGCTGCTGTTGGGGGATGATGCGATGCATTGGGTCTGGGCGCATCATCGGGGGGAGGTGATGAGGAACTGTTGGTTCGGCCAATGCTGTGTCGGCCAATATAGAGAGGGCGCGGGGATCAACGGGGACTTCAACAGTTCCATCTAATCCGATAATTTTGCCTGCTGCTTCGGTTTCTGTGATGAATGCTGATGCGTAGAGCATGCTTTCGAAAGCGGTAGAGGTGACTGTGCGCAGAGCTTCTTCGTCTGTGAGCTCTGTTGCGATAGAAAGATTGCCCATGCGGACTTTTTGGACGAATTCTTCCCAGCCCTCGACCGCTGCATCGTAGTCAATTGCCCCTTCAGGGTCTCGGACTGCGTCCGCAGCAAAGCCGCGCTCGACTTGGCGAGTGGCTTTATCGCCGGATCGGAAGAGGAATTGTTTTTCAGATTTTTCAGAGTCCGATGTATCAGTCTGACAGCTGTTAGTATGGTTTGTGTTTGGAGGGCTTGAGTATCCATACCTCTGTGTGTTCATCGTCTTCGGCCACCTTGCGACCTTGGATCAATGCCATCATTTTGCCCATCAACATAGTAGTCATATCATCTTGGGCTTCTTCAATGAGGTGCTGTTTGAGAAGAGTCAGTAACAGACAATTGACATTGATGTAAATAACTCTTACCGCTGCAGTATCTTTGATCCTGTAAAGTTCACCATCACGCTTCTGGATTGCCAGTGCGGTCGCCAGCTTGTGCTGAGCATCTAGCTTTTTGATTGCCTTGCGTTCATGCTCATCCAGTTCCTGCTGGACTTGAGCGAATTCAGGGCACTCCTTGTAGGAATTTTTGTCACGGGCAAGCCTGTGCATGTTGTGATCGGCAACCACGCTCAATGCAATCTGCTGCGCTTGGCCCACCTTCTTGAACAATGCTGAGAGTTCTTCCTGTCGGTCTTTGGTTCGCTGAGATTCCGGAGTGGGTGATGGAGTACGGCCACGCCAATTTTCAGAGTCCCAAATTTCATCCTCAATTTTCTTGCCACGTTTGATAATAGTCGTCTGCTTGGCTCGACCTCGCCCACGGCCTCCGCGGGGCTTGGTAACTGCTGAGCGAATCGGGCCGACAAAACCACCGCGGCCACCACGCCCACGGCCTCGACCGCGACCCCGGCCACGACCACCACGACTTCCTCGACCACGACCTCCTCTGACAGCAGTTGGGAAGGCGGGTGGATCGTATTCCTCTGAGGGGGACAGGGACATCCTCGGGGGATGTTTCATTTTGTGTGTCAATTTCTGTTCCATTTTGCATAGGGCTTTCTGGTGTGTCTTCAGGCTCCGTATCATCATTCCGGAGTTTTTTGTTGGAGACACCTTCGGAGTCAACTTCCGGTGTTCCATCTGCCATATCAATAGACTTGCGCTTGCGAGACAGCCGAGGGGTTGATACGGCGCTGAAAGGTGCTTGTTCAAAGTCGGAAATTTTCATGTTCTCTGCAGGAGTTTCATCCTTGGCTTTGGGGGGTTGGAGTAAATCATGGGGCATTTCGTCCGCCAATTCATCAGCAGCGCCAAGTTGGCCGGCTGAAGGAGATGCAGGGGCAGAAGCAACCATGCGAGGTTCAGGTGATTGAGAGGTTTTTGAGATGGGAGGTTCGGACCTGTAATCCTCTTCATATTGTTGAGAATCATCCATGTCAACATTTTGGTGATTGAAATCGGTCTCAACGACTTTGGTCGGCGAGACGTCTTCATCATAGGTGCCATCTTCATTAGGCTTTAGTCTGGCTGATTGCCGCGTGGTCCGCGAAGACTCGGGCACAGGCCTTGGCTGCCGAGGGCGCCGTGTGCGAGGAGTCTGTGGACTTTGCAAGGCGTTTGATGCGCTTTCATCGGCATCAAGGTCAGTGGAATCTCCACGTTCCAGCAAATACAATGAGGGAACTTTTAATTTAACGATGAGAGAAGTGGTCTCTGCTGGCGCTTCATTGCTGGATGGAAGACGACCAGGCAGACTGGAGCGGCCACGACCGCGACCACGACCCCCTGCCGCGACCTCGGCCGCGGGTAGGAGTAGCAATGACATCTATACATGGGTCAGCTTTTGTGTGCCGCCAGCGAGGTGTTGAGCATACCTTGTGCAGTGCGACCTGATCGCGTCGAAATACTGGGGGTGCGGACAGCAGGCTGGGCAGCCGCACGATTTTTTCTTCTTCCCACCATCGCTGTTGTCTTTGGAAGGAAATTAGTGCTGAGAACGGGGAAAAATCAAGTAGCAGCAAGGGGGTGCGCGGAGACACGGTTACGACATGGGAAAATTGCACCGCACGTCAAATAGATCAAAGGGGAATCTCTAAAATCCAGTGCAAGAACAAAGTGGTAACGTTCAGGGCAGAGACAGGAGGGTAACAAGGGTGAAGATGTGTACAGAGTAGACAACAAGGTAGACCGAGCCCGAACACGCCAAACCGTGGAAGAATACAGAAGAATACAGTCGCGAGGATGCAAAGCAGGCCGAGTACAGCGCAGAAAAAGCAAGGCTTGGCAGATGAAACAATACAATAGCAGAACAGAACACGCGATCAACAGCAGAAGACAGGGTTTTTAGAGGCGGCGCGCCAGTCGAAAACGGATACAAAAGCAGAAAAGGTGGGTGCATTGACAAGGAAGAGCAAAGGAAGATCACGACGATCACCAAAAAGAAGACTTACCGGCAAAGCGATGGGATCGAAGAGATGTCTAGTCAAGATTTGACCGGGTGGATGGGGAAAACGGGAATGTAAAAAAAATGGGGGCGGAAGCCGGAGGGGACAGCCAGTAGAAGAGCAGAAAATGACGAGATTGAAGAAATCGATGCTGGATGATAGAAACAGGGTATTTTGGAAGCCAAAAAAATAAAGAAACGAACTGGCAAAGTGATTGAGAGGAAAAAAGAGAGAGAGTATGAAGTAGAGAAGTAGAGAGGAGAGGAGAAAGGGAAACGGTCAAAACAGTCGATGATTAGCTGAGAGAGAACCTTCCCGTCTCATAGTGATAGTCGACTCTACACTCGGAATACAACTACTGTCTGAATACTATCTGCTGAATGAGGAGTACTGCTGTCGATTTACTCTGGCCATTGACTGATTGTTCTTCTTCTGCTTCGCTCTTCGGTCATTTTTCGCGTAATAGCGTCACTGGTCCATTGGGAACGTAGTAGAACAATAGGAACTAGACTCCCTCAATCGAACACTTCCATTGCAAGGACATTCATGCCCTTTCATTCTCCCAAGGTTCTCCAGCTTTGGAGACCTTGATAGTAATGTTCCATACCTATACCATAGATCCTTGCCTGTACGTGCATCTCCGATCCCCAGCCACTTCCGGCACACAAGCACCGGAGCATTTTGGCAGCCTGTGTGATTTTCTCTACAGAGTACTCATACCCTTTTTACTAGATACTGGACTTGATTTTGGAATCTATACATCCATACATCCACAAGGTCTTCTATCATCTGCTCTCCCCTATTGTTGAACGAGAAAAAAAAATAAGGATGTTCCACCGACCCACTTAGCTTGAGAGTCGGTGACAACGGATGCGGACGTTACAATATTTTTCTCGTCATTGGCTCATATGTACGAAGACGCAATTGAATATGTAACTGTGGTTGTACTTTCAAACAGAAAATAAAATTGCAAGGCCACACGGATATACCCATTACCAGATCCCAATCCCAAGACGTCAGACCCCCCCCGAGGTCTCATTCCTATATACATTCCAAACATATACAACGCAAAAGCTCGCAATACAAAAAGGCAAAATCAATGGATCGGCAAAGAACACAAAAACATAGCAAGTCATATAAAGGGTATGCCAAGGGGCAACCCTCACTTTTCATAAGGGGATTCGTTCAAGTCATATCGCACACTTCTTCTCTCTTCCAAAGGTGAAGGTGTCCGACTTTCCCGCAGCGACCGTGCGGAGCGCATTCGGGTGATTGTGCCAGCCGGGATAGTTTGGCCTGCTGAAGGTGAGGCTTTAACAATTGTCCCGGGGTTCAATGTGGGTGAGGGACAGGGACTGTTGGAGCGGAAGAGGGGATGAATGTTGTTCTCGCGGAAAGGATTGTATTCCCAGGTTGAGTTGGGATTGGTTGGAGTTAGGTTTGTAGTTGGGGAGTCGAGAAGGGTAGATGATGGGGAGGGTAATGGGTGAATGGCGCTGTCGAGAGAGAGTGGAGTTGGAGCATTGCGGCGAACGCTGGACATGCTGCGGATGCTGGTGCTGCCCCGGAGAGCTCGGGCAGGGGGTGTTTGGTCCGTTGAAGGAGGTGGTGATGAACGTGTAGATGTTGTGTCAATGGAGCCGTTTTTGGTTTCGCTCTTTTCGTATGGACAGAGTGTTGCGTCGGAGTAACGGCTTGAACGCCGGGGGAATTTACGGAGCGAGGTTCTCTTGGGCTCGAATAGTTCAGAGAGATCGCAGACTCGCGGTGGTGTGGGAAGAAGCCTGGGGCTCTCGGGCATGTCTTTGAGCTCGTGGCTGTATGAGCGTGGCCAGTCGGCGTTCGACTGGGCTTGGAATAGAGTCGTTGTGATGTATCCACAGTAGAGGCCCTGGACGAAGACTGATAGAGCCCAGAAGACGGCTCGGACCACGAAGACGGCACCTTGGGGGCTCATGGACATTGCCCCGGCTGATGAAGCTGCAGCCATGAGTAGATATCCACCAGACAGGTACGTACAGGGGAGACGTCCTGTCTGGATATTCTTGTGATGGAAGAGACCGAGGGTGATGAGGGCCAGGCAGCCCATTGCACTGAGGATGATCGAGACCACGTCGGCCGAGGCCTGGGAAGTCGCAAAGCAGATACCATTGAGAATAGTGACAATGAATGTGAGGAGCAATGAGGCTCCCGCCAGTGTGTAGGGCAAAGAAGGCATGCTGAACATTAGAAAATACAAAGAAGGACTGTACAAAGAGTGGCCTTGTATGTTTCAAGAGAGTGGTAATGTCAATCGTTGGCAGCACTGCCAATCCGAGACGTTCGCCAATGCAGGCAATGAATGAGTGTGAGGGAACTGCAGCTCAGAAAGGAACTCCTGGGAGTATTTATCTAGCACGCAGAAGTATTGGGTTCGCACACGGGACGGGGCGATGCACCCTCAGCATGGCTCAAAGTATATCGGCCGGGGAAAGCAGTCCGTCTGAACCTGTCACTTTTTGCCTGGCAGAAGGATCAAAGATCGGTCTGATCCATCAGCCCGGCATAATGGTTAGAGTGTGCAAATTAGATTTGGTTGGACTAGGGCTCAATCGATTGGTTGCGGAAGAGAGATGCCGTGGTGTGGGCTGCATGCTGTGCCTGGTGTATTGACAAATGTCGTGTTCCGAGCAATTGGGGGCGAGACCATTGTGCCCTTCCAGATTGCAGCCCCGATAGTTCGGTCAATCGCTGGAACAATGGCACTTTATTTCTGATCTGTCAGTTATGTGGATCGATTTTCCAGCCCTCTGGGACTAGAGGTGGCGGATCCTCTGACCCAATCTCAATAGTGCGTTTTAAATGTGATCTATCCGCCACCCCTTGCGAACAGAGGGAAAAAAGCTCCGAACTCCCCTGAATCTTTTTCTTGTGGGTTCAAGATCGGGTTTTAGATTGTCTGGAGAGAGACTCCAAGTGCTCAAGATTTGATTTCGCGAAACACGTCTAGAACACTTATGGGTCCGTGCGTTGTCCATATGTATACAATTTCCTACACACAAAGTACGAAGTACGAAGTATGCATTACGGAGTATGCAGTGCTTTATGGTAGGTCTTTGCCTTCGAAAAAGAAAATATTATTACGATTGGAGGATTGGATCAACTCCGCTTGATAGATCCGGTGTTTTGATTGAAAATCTCGGTCCACAATCTAGTTGTAATCTTTTTCAAGCCCGAAGTGATGGAATTCACTTAGTTAAACCTTGAAAGATTCTGAGGTCGCGGATGGATTCTGATCTAGTTATGGACCTTGAACTATGATCAGTACGGAGTACTCCGTATCAACGTGTATATCACCATTCAGCCCCAGAGAACTTGTCGGCTCCCAATTTGGACGTAGAAAACGAAAAAAATCAATTAAAGAAAAATTTGATACGGAGTCCTGCGCAGTCTGTGTTCAGAAGCGATGTGCGGAGTACGGGGTAGCACCGGTGTCCCAAGTACGGAGTAAACCTTTGCTATTCATTTGAAAAGACAGGTGACTATCTTCAGCCTACGGATCAGTGCTTAGAACAATAGCGAAAAGCACCTCGGTACTCCGTAGAGATCCTTGATTGCATGCGCTGCTTTGGAATGATTGTTAAACAATAACAAGGGCAAAATCGTCATGCTCAGATACTAGCACATTGTAGAGATCGGTTGCGGTCAGTCTTCGCATGTTTCCAAAATGGGCCCAAGCCTGGTCTGTGAGCTCTGATATCAACTCACGGAGTACCCCGTCAATTGCAAGGAGAGAATAGATATCTTCACGGGACACTGACCATGCAAGGACTCCGTTACTCACCACCACGTTGAGCCAGACCTTGACCATTTCAATGCAAAGCTACGGCCAGGCCTTGGTACATGTGTATGCACCGAACGAACCGAAGCCACAGTACGGAGTACCCCGTACCTCTCTACAAGCGTTAATTGTCAACCTTGACATCTGCATCCCTGATCAGTGCACTCCGGGTATTTCTGGGGAAGCCCAATTGCTGTGTCCAACGGAATCAATTCAATTTCGGCGCCCTTTCAAGTTCCCGCATGCAATAGTTCTTCGGTGTGGGTACAATATGTACTATGAACACGGTCCACCTGAGGCAATGGTGCTCGATCCTGCATGTTGAGGATCAATTTAGACGAATCGGGAAATCCTGAAAATAGATTTGATGTCATTGGGACTCTCTGGAACGTTGGATCTGCGTCTCCCGTCAATTGACTGCGTCTGCCTGATGTAGGCTGCAGACCAGGGGATCGAACAGTATGGAATACGGAGACACCTGCAAGGACTTTGGGATGACCGTACAGCAATGTCAGTAGAACCAAAGGCTGAGAGGAGAATATTGAAAATGATCATCTGAAGCACACACAGAAAGGACAGAAGAGGTTAGAAGTATCCCCAAGTTGTACTGAGTACTTGGAGATGCAAGGCGGTCAATCCGTGCCACCGCCCGCACTCGTTTGCTGCATCATCGTCACTTTATCGGCTCCCCTCGTCTCTTTTCTTCTTTCTTCTTCGACTTCAACGGGAAGATCCACTGTCTCAAACTCGGTTTCTCCCCCTTTCTCTATCCGTCATCTTATTCCTCTGCTCTCTTTTTGATATAATACAAAAGCGCCAAAATGAAGCTTACTTTCAAGGTACGAAAACTTGCCCTTGGGTCCCCACTTTGAACCCTTTGAACTGACAATCATCGCCTGTAGGATCTGAAGCAGATGAAGTTCGTCATCGACGTCGAACCATCTGAAACTGTAAGTTGTCTCAGTCTCTGTGCTCAACGTCATCCGGTGCGGGGCTCATCTGTTTAGGTTCGCGAGGTCAAGGCCAAGATCGCCCAAGAAAAGGGCGAATATGAAGCAGAGCGCATGAAGGTCATTTACTCCGGTATGTTTTTGATTCATTGGACTCTCAGAGACATTCTTGTATTTGCAGAGCCTCAGCTGACCCTCGATCTTTGATCGATCTAGGAAAGATTCTTCAGGATGACAAGACAGTTGAATCTTACAACATTCAAGAAAAGGACTTCCTAGTCTGTTTGCCTCAGAAGGTATGAGATTATCCATAGTTAAGGTCCATTGCATGGTTGTCGATTGAGAACTGACGGAACATACAGCAACCTAAGGCCCCCGCTGCCGCCTCTCAACCCCCCGCTACTCCAGCTGCCCGAGCCCCTGCATCGACACCTGCTGCCCCTCCTGCTCCCCAGGCCGCTGCCGCCCCTCCCCCAGCTGCTGCTCCCGCAACACCGTCTCCGGCCGGTGCTACCCAATCAGGCCCCGCATTTGGTGACCCCTCAACCCTGGCTATGGGCTCTGCCGCTGAGGGCGCCGTTGTGCAGATGGAGGCTATGGGTTTCGCCCGCGCTGACATTGACCGCGCTATGCGCGCCGCGTTCTACAACCCCGACCGTGCCATTGAATACCTTCTGACCGTAAGATTTTTGTGATGTTTCCCTAACGCAGAACCTTTGCTCACAACCACAGGGAATCCCTGATAACATCCAGGAGCAACAACAACAACAGCAACAGGAAGCAGCTGAAGAGCCCGCCCCTACGGGTGCCCCCGCTGCCACTGGTGGTGAGGAGCCTCTCAACCTTTTCGAAGCCGCTGCCCAAGCCGGTGGTGAGGGTGGTCGGCCCCGTGGTGCTGGTGCCGCAGGTGCAGGTGCCGGCGCAGGTGCTGCTGGTGGTGAAGCCCTTGGCAGCCTCGAGTTCCTCCGCAGCAACCCTCACTTCCAGCAGCTCCGTCAGTTGGTCCAACAACAGCCGCACATGCTTGAGCCCATCCTGCAGCAGGTCGCTGCTGGGAATCCCCAGATTGCTTCCATCATTGGTCAAAACTCCGATCAATTCCTGCAGCTCCTTGGTGAAGAAATTGAGGATGATGAGGGTGCTCTGCCGCCCGGCGCACAGGCTATCTCAGTGACGGAAGAAGAGCGCGATGCGATCGAACGTGTATGTCTTTTATTACATCTACTCCAACTCCTTGTGTCTTTCTAACAACTCCTAGCTTTGCCGTCTCGGTTTCCCCCGCGACTCGGTCATCCAGGCGTACTTTGCTTGCGATAAGAACGAGGAATTGGCGGCGAACTTCCTTTTCGACCAGCCTGACGAGGATGAAGAGTAAAGGGAAGAGTCACGAGTAAAATCTTCTCTTTTTCTCTTTTTTATCCCCAAGATTTTTATCTAACCTTATGTTCTGTGATGAATACCAAGCATGCTGTTTGAATTGATTCCCATATCTTCTATCTTCGAATACGACAGTGATCCGCCCCGAGTTTCTTGCTATGGAACTTAGCTCCTTGCATCCACCTCTCATGTATCTACCTAATGGGCAAAATAGGACCTGTTTGCTGCACCGGATGCATAGCTGTCAACGAGTTGATCAGGATGAGTAGGACATCCATGAGATATCTTGGAAATAGATCGGAGATTAGGTCATCTGGTGGGATGTTGAGAGTGGTCATGCGTTGTAGATGTAGACGGGTGACCTCTCACGCCGTAAACCATCGGCATGTATATTTCCGAGATTTGTTGGGATTGCATAGGTCAAAACTCAGCACACCTTGGCTCCTATTGCTCGCTGTGTATAATTTCGAAACGTAGAAAGGTTGATCGACATGAGATATGCAACACCGAGGGTTAAAATCCACGCATGACACGCTCTACTTGTTCAGGTGCCCAGGTGGAAGGTAGGGATCGGTGTCACCTGTGCATGATCTACAGACGAAACATTCTCGTAAAAGCCAATCCACAAGCCGAAATTGGCATATTTGATACCTTGGTTTCCATGGAGAATAGGTTTGGTTTGAAATATCTCGATTCTCGCTCAATGCAAAATGGGTATATGGCCCGTAACCCTAACCCAACCTTGAAATACACCAATATGTAAAAACGAACATTTGTAATATGTATCTCATAGATAAAAAGAGATCCAACAATACCGCCAACACCAAAATACCCATGCAAACTAGTTACAGGACCGATGAGCGGCCCAAATACCCAACCCACGTCTTCCCACGACGCGTTTCAGCGTCGGGAGGACTCCGTCATCGCCGAAATCCAAATCATCCAAATTGATGTGGTTGCGGTAGACCCATTCCTGCGTGAGCCGTATAGTTGTGTTTTCATGAACATAGGCATCAAGGAACTCCGCCGAGGTGGGTGCAACTAGGTAGGTCGATAGCGGGAGGCCGCATGCAGGCACGGACAGGTCGAGCTGCTGCATCATTTCCGCGCCTGGCATACCCATCAGATCGTGAGTTTCGATATGGGGAATGTTATTGCCCAAGAGCCAAAGGGGCGGAGAGTAGGTTTTCCACCAGAAGACCGTTGTCGGGCCAGCAGTGAGGTTTGGCATCGCGAGCTGCATTGGGATCACGCCGCCTTGGTGGTAGACGCCCATGAGGAAGCCCATTGCGGCGTTGAAGATGATCCATGCTGTTAGGACGAGGGGCTTTTTGATGCGGATGCAGCTTAGGAGGAGGGGGACACAGGGGAGAAGGAAGCGGGGCTCTTGGTGGGGAAAGAGGGAGAGAAGAGCGGTTGCTGAAAAGGCGGATAGGGCGCGGATATTGCGCATGGGTTTGCTGAAGATGGAGAGGAGCATGACTATATAGGCTGGGCCGAGGAGCTGGAAAAGGTTGGCTGTGAAATGTTGGTGGTGAGGGTGCAGGCCGTGCTGGGCTAGGTTAGAGGTGTCGCTGTTGTAGAGGAGATTGTTCAGCGGTGTGATAATTGGGTTGCGCAAATTTTCCAACAGGCCTGTGGTCGGCCGGTAGAAGGCTGTGTCTGTAGTGATTGCGATGGTGGAGAAGAGTACACCGAAAGCGATGAAAGCCACGAGCGAGGTTGGTCTGTTGTGGTTAGTAGAATTCAATGAAAACGAGTACCATGATTAACATACTTGCGCAAGAAATGAGGGAGCAATTGTAGGCCTGGGATCAGCAGGAAGGCTGGGAAGGTGATGCGGTTGAAGACACCGGCCACGGCGATGAAGGCGAGGACAGCGTGGGAGAAGAAGGACGAGCGTCGCTATTAAGAAGGTTAGCTGACTGGCTTGTGCTCGAGCTCTGGGATCGCACCTTATTTTCCACAATGCGCCGAATCAGAACCAGTCCCCAGGCGACCAACAGCGTCTCAAGGGAGTTGGAGAAGGTGTGCGTCTGATATGTCCAGGTGACATAGGACGAGGCCACTAGCACCACTGTTGCGCGACGGTGCCGCGGGGAAGGCACTAATTCGTAGATCGCCCAGTCCTCCAGCACAAAGCTCAAGAGGAACATTCCAGCCCGCAGCGCATGGTAGACAAGTTGTGGTGGTGGGCTGCCAGACCCGGTCTCGGTATAGAACCATTGCAACAGGCTCATGGGCAGCTCATATGTTGGCCATAGTGGAAATATACTGCGAATGGGATTCTCTACGGTGAACTCCCATGGTAATTTTGAGGGGTATGAGAATATGCGACCTGTTCAGGCGATCCGGTCAGTTTGTTTTTTTCTCGTGTTGAAGATATGCGGGACCGCCGGAGTCGCAATTTTTTTTTTTTGTTTGGACTCTTTCTTTGCGATCGCAACCGCGATCAAAGCGCGTCATGATGGTCGCAATGAGCGTGAAATGCGATTTGCACAATATTAAACATGGTTAGACGTACCTGCAAAGACCTCTGGGCCCTGGAAGTTCTCATCTGGATGTAGATAGCTGGGCGACAGCGCAAAGTACACACGAACCAGCAATAGCAATAGATAAGTTCGTCGCCACATCGTTCAGTAGGGACATTATTAGATATTAAAAAAGATTAAAAAGAAGAAGGTTAAAAAGAAAGGAGTGGAAGGGGGGGAGACGCTAGAGAGAACAGCAAGACGCGTATCGGATTTGCGATGATATCAGAGGTCCGCTTTAAGTCCGCTTCAGCTGAAGATGCTCTTATACTTGAACATCAACATTGGAATCACCTTTGGTTTATCAATTTTTATCAATTATACTGGCAATATTATTATTAGTACAGTGGATGTTATTGTCTATGCTCTTCATATTTTGTATTTATGTTATTTGTGCGTAAGTTATAGTTCTGTAACACTGTACGGAGTACTGAGTATAGCGTACTACCCTAGTTGATAGATCAACAAAGAAGCACAGATCACACATCTTATTAGCCCTTAGCAATCTACGGATACTCCATACGGGATACTCCGTACCCTGTAACACTCCAGGGCTTTGTATGGCGTAGCGCCTTTTTGGACACGTATCCAAGGCACCAAGGCATTCTACAAAATCAGTACCGAGTGCGGGCAGGATACAAAACCGAATGTTATACTTCAGTCATCACACTTTGTCACATCAAGTTAATACTGTCAAGATATGGATTCAGCCAAGTCTACAGAGTAGGAAACGTAGACAAACGTGGGGCCAAATCGAGCCTCTGCCTAAATCTGGGTTAGGTAAGCTCAACCATGGACCTTTATCCGCCACCGTCTTTGATCACTTTCCTATCACCCCCGATCCTCCGCCTTCTACAAACAGAGATCTCTGTTAGCTCCCTGCCTGTCAAAACCTGCCTAGCAACTCAAATCATATCTACAAATCAACCACCACACCAGGTGCTCCATTTCCACCATGAGCTCCATCACCCTCACCAGTTCAGATGGCATCGAGATCAGCGTTGGTAAGTTGGACCATCCTTACCAGAACTCCAGAACTGATTCCATACAGACCGCACAACTGCTGAGCGCTCCGTCCTCATCAAGAACATGCTCGATGACCTTGGTGACTCTGGCGACGCCGTGCCCCTCCCCAACGTGAGTCCCCACTTTGACGCCGGATGCAGTTGCAAGCGCTGACATTCTGTCCAGGTCAACGAGGCTGTCCTGAAGAAGGTTATTGAGTGGTGTGAGCACCACAAGAATGACCCCGCCTCCGCCAGCGAAGATGATGACAACCGCCGTAAAACCACCGACATCGAAGAGTGGGACCAGAAGTTCATGCAGGTTGACCAGGAAATGCTCTTTGAGATCATCCTCGTACGTGCCGAAGCATCTTGAATGTGCTGAATATCTGCTAATCTCTTACAGGCCGCCAACTACCTCGATATCAAGGCTCTTCTTGACGTCGGGTGTAAGACCGTTGCCAATATGATCAAGGGCAAGTCCCCCGAGGAGATCCGCAAGACCTTCAACATCCAGAACGACTTCACCCCCGAGGAGGAGGACCAGATCCGCCGGGAGAACGAGTGGGCCGAGGAGTAAGTTCCCTCGAATACATCCATGCCATGATCCAGTTCAGCTCTAACACATGCAATAGCCGCTAAATGTTTCCCACCACCACGCTTGCTTTTTAAAAATGGAAATGATATCCTTTTGCTGTACCGAACATCTCTGAATCCGAGAGAGAGCCATTATGACGAGGCTCCGACTTTTTCCCCCTTCACCTCCCCTATCGTTTTGCTCTGGGTTGATACAAGTCTTCCTGGTCCACATGACCTAAATAAGAAATTATGACATACTTTTGCTCTCAGTTCCAAATAGTGGGGTTCATCGCATCCAGCGCATGAGCCTCAGCTCTATGACGACAACTCACTACTGTATTTACGTAGCGTTGTTTGATCCCTAACCCCGAAAGCATTGCAGACACGCCGTGGAAAGCCCGAATACACATAGTCCGGGTGCTGGTTGCACAGTCTTACGTAGAACAGCCCGACAGGTAGGAAACACGCAGTCTACAACCAACAGGCAGGGTATCCAATTCGAATCCATAAATTTTGTATCAAAAAAGAAAAAGGAAAAAATCCCCATGCCGTCCTACAAGCCCGCCCGAAGACGAGCACCCGACACCGCAGACAAGGGCCACTAGATGAATCTTCACTCGGAAACCGCGAAGAATCCCATGTTTCTCTTTTAACAAATAGCACGGCGGGCCCGGATTGAAATGTAAAATTTTTTGTCTGCAACTCAAGAGTAGTTCCACATCGACTAGCGCTCTCAGATATCGAAGAATTCCGGTGTGGGCGTCACGTCATCAAGGTTCGAAAACCTATACACCCCGCGTAGACATTGCTGAACAGTTTGAGGATGGCCGGACGAGGTGATCTGAGGGCCTCTTAGACCTTCAGGGTAGACTTGCGCCAGTGGCGACGCTTGGCGTTGTATCTGGAGAATATTCATCAGCCTTCTTGTTCCTCCACTCGATTTCTCCCCCTCGTGCGATCTCGATCGGTTGGTCTATGCGGTCGCTCCGGCCTTCCCGCTTCCTCTTCCATCCCACATAGACGGCCCCGATGTTCGATGTAGCTTTGAGTTGGTGACGTTGGATTTCTCGGTGAAATTTACCTGATGGTGTTGCCGGTGCGCAGGCGAATCCACTGGGGGATGGGGCGGTTCTGGCGCTGAGCCTTGGCAAGCTTTTGCTTGGTGCGGAAGGTCTTGTGGCTCTGTTGGAAGATGACGGGTTAGAAGATTATTTCAACATCGAGTATTTTCTTATTTCAAAACGATGGCGACGGGGTGACGACAGGGACGATATCGGTGACGGTGATTTTCGAGATGAGGTGCACATACCGGCATCTTGAAGGTTGATCGCGACGGCGAGCTTGTTGGATGGACGGATGAAATGGTCGACCTGCGAAAATCGTCGAAGTGTGTGCGGCAGGGCTTGGCTTCGCTTCGGTTGGGTCAGGTGATGTCAGGCGGTAAGGCGGTAAGGCGGTCAGGCAGCACCAATATCATGCCTTACTGCCTTGATGCCTTACTGCCTTAAATCCCTTTCTTGCCTCGGAATTCCCACGTTATTTGTGGCCCCGCCTGTCACGGCACATCTCCCCAAGGCGCTCCATACACCCGACTGGACCGAATGGGGTAGTGCTTGACTCATATTCAACCTGCTTACGGAGTATACGGAGTACACGTACGGAGTCCTTCGTACGGAGTACACAGATCCTGTTCACTTGCCCAACGTGAGATCTGACCCCCTAATCTAGGCGACAGTCCAAACGGAGTTTAGGAACTCCGATAGCCGACCGCATAAAAATACGCACGGGCGAATGTTCCAGAGCAGGTTTGTTTCCCATGTTTTTGAGATCGGTCAGACACTACTGGTGGATCGCATTTAGGCGGACTTAACCTTGGAGCCTATCCAGACTCCGTATTCTGGTGCTTACTTGATAAGCAGAACGGACTCCGTGTTGCGTAGGGACGAAAATTCGGTCGAAGCAATGCAAAGCTTTTGTGACTCAGTTATCCACTATCGTATTCGTTCCCGCGTTTGGTCATTCGCGTATCATTCGCATATCATGATGATAGGTGGTTCCCAGTTTCCACCTCGCTAGTTCCAAGGTTATGTCAATGTATCATTGCATGTATGTGTTGGATGTACTTGTACTTCGTACAATTTGTAGTACTGTAGTACTGTAGTCCGCACAAATCTCCGACCCCTTTATTGTACTCAGGCGGCTGAGTATGTGACAGTCAGTACTACCAGTTCATAACCCTACAGTTTCACAAATCGCACCTGGCACCTTGGTTGAATTACCAATCGGAAAAAGGACAGGAAAAGGGGACTTGTCCCAAAACGGTAAATACTTCGTGCATAAATAGAAAGCGGAGCAGGCTGTACCCGAACCCGATGGGAGAAAAAATTAAAGATCGGAGTAAAGACGCGGACAAGATCATATTATAATCAACTTCCCCCACTCATTCACAACCCCTTTAATACATTTAATTCTTTAATCCTGCACTTTTCGTTCTGCTTTCATTCCAAAGATCGCAGGCCATCATCTTCTAAACTAATCTCTATGGAGTAGAGATCCACAGTGGGACTCCATCTTCAACATGCAACAACCAGAGGAGGTGACAGCTGTCGAGAAGATCGTGGAGGAGCCTCAACTCGCTGAGAAGGCAAAGCTCGAATCTGACTCGACCTCTACATCGACCGCCAAGGATCATGAAACCAAGACATCCATTCCGGACGAGGAGGACGCACTCTATGCCCACCTGCCACCACACGAAAGAGACATTCTGAAGAAGCAGCTGGATGCCCCTCCCAGGCCCGTTTCATTCTTCGGCCTGTACCGATATGCCTCCCATATGGATATTCTGATCCTTGTGGTCAGTGCTCTCTGTGCTATGGCGGCAGGTGCCGCATTGCCTCTTTTCACTATTCTCTTCGGTTCGCTGGCCACTTCGTTCCAAAATATCATCCAAAAAACAATCAGCTACGATGCCTATTACCATGACCTCACGAAGAACGTGCTCTACTTTGTCTACCTCGGTATCGGCGAGTTCGTCACTGTCTATATCAGTACCATCGGTTTCATCTACACCGGTGAACACGTCACGCAAAAGATTCGCGAGAATTACCTCCAAGCTATCCTGCGTCAGAACATTGCCTACTTCGACAAACTCGGTGCTGGTGAGGTCACAACCCGCATCACTGCTGACACCAACCTCATCCAGGACGGTGTCTCCGAGAAGGTTGGGCTGACTTTGACTGCTCTTGCCACTTTCGTCACCGCGTTCATCGTGGCTTACATCAAATATGCCCCTCTTGCCGGTATCTGTACCTCCACCATCGTTGCGCTGGTCGTCATCATGGGCGGAGGCTCGAGCTTTATCGTCAAGTTCAGTAAGCTCTCACTGGAGAGCTACGGTGCTGGTGGTACAGTCGCAGAGGAAGTGATCAGTTCGATTCGCAATGCCACTGCCTTTGGTACACAGGAGAAGCTTGCTCAGCAGTATGAGGTGCATTTAGCCAGGGCCGAGCGCTGGGGCATGCGTTTGCAAATGGCTCTTGGCGTCATGGTTGGCGGCATGTTCGGTATCATGTTTTTGAATTACGGACTGGGATTCTGGATGGGTTCTCGCTTCTTGGTGCAGCACAAGGTCGACGTTGGTCATGTCCTGACTATTCTTATGGCCATTCTCATTGGATCTTTCGCCCTGGGCAACGTCACCCCGAACGGCCAAGCTTTCACCAACGCCGTTGCAGCAGCTGCCAAGATCTTCGCTACCATCGACCGTGAATCTCCTCTGGACCCCACTTCCACCGAGGGTATCATTCTGGATCACGTTGAGGGCCACATCGAGTTCAAGAATGTTAAGCACATCTACCCCTCCCGCCCTGAAGTGACTATCATGGAAAATGTCTCACTCGCCATGCCTGCTGGAAAGACCACTGCGCTGGTCGGTCCCTCAGGATCTGGAAAAAGTACTGTCGTTGGCCTGGTCGAGCGCTTCTACCTCCCTGTCGGTGGACAAGTCTTTTTGGATGGTCATGACATCCAGACTCTCAACCTCCGTTGGTTGCGCCAGCAGATCTCTCTGGTCAGCCAAGAGCCTGTCTTGTTCGGCACATCCATTTTCAAGAACATTAGTCACGGTCTGATTGGAACACGCTTCGAGAACGAGTCCGAGGAGAAGATCAAAGAGCTTGTTGAGAATGCTGCCAAGATGGCCAACGCTCACGAGTTTGTGTCTGCCCTTCCAGAAGGTTACGAGACCAATGTTGGACAGCGTGGTTTCCTCCTCTCCGGTGGTCAGAAGCAACGTATTGCTATCGCCCGCGCTGTTGTCAGCGACCCCAAGATTCTACTCCTCGATGAAGCTACCTCTGCTCTGGATACCAAGTCAGAGGGTGTTGTCCAGGCAGCGCTTGACCGTGCTGCTGAGGGCCGTACAACCATCGTCATTGCTCACCGTCTTTCAACCATCAAGACCGCTCACAACATCGTTGTTTTCGTCAACGGTCAAATCGTCGAACAGGGTACTCATGATGACTTGACTGAGCACGACGGACCTTACTACAAGCTCGTTGAAGCCCAGCGTATCAACGAAGCGAAGGAGGCCGACGCTATCCAGGGTGACGACGAGGACGAGGATAGTGCTGAACAAATGACCAAGTCCCACATCGCCCGCGTCAAGTCCATTGAAAGTGGATCGACTCTGGCCAAGGGTGATGCCGACCCTGATATGCGGCGCTTGGATTCCCGCAAGTCGGTCTCAAGTGTCGTTCTGTCAAAGAAGACCGCGGAAGCCAGCAACAAATATTCCCTTCTCACTTTGATCCGATTCATCGGTTCGTTCAACAAGGAAGATTGGAAGTTCATGGTCCTTGGTCTCTGCTTCTCTGTCCTTGCTGGCTGTGGTCAACCTACCCAGGCTTTCTTGTACTCCAAGGCCATTAGTGCGCTGTCTCTACCAGAGTCGATGTGGGGTAAGCTGCGGTCAGATGCTAACTTCTGGTCTCTTATGTTCTTGGTCGTTGGAATCGCTCAGTTCATTACTTTCTCTATCCACGGTATCACCTTTGCTTATACCTCCGAGCGTTTGATTCGCAAAGCTCGCAGCAAGGCTTTCCGTGTCATGCTCCGTCAAGATATCGACTTTTTCGATCGCGAGGAGAACAGCACAGGCGCTCTGACTTCTTTCCTGTCTACCGAAACTAAGCACTTATCTGGTATCAGTGGCCAGACCCTCGGAACAATCCTGATGTGCTCTACCACTCTGATTGCTGCCATGGTGATCTCTCTCGCATTTGGATGGAAGCTCGCTCTCGTCTGTATCTCCGTCATCCCCGTCCTTCTCGGCTGTGGTTTCTATCGCTTCTACATGCTTGCCGCCTTCCAGGCTCGCTCCAAGGCTGCCTATGAGGGCTCCGCTAGCTACGCGTGCGAGGCTACATCCGCTATTCGCACCGTTGCTTCACTGACCCGCGAGGAAGACGTTTGGTCCATCTATCACGCTCAGCTTGATGTTCAAGGCCGCGCAAGTTTGATCTCCGTGGTCAAGTCATCCATTTTGTACGCTGCTTCCCAGGCCCTGGTTTTCTTCTGTGTTGCCCTGGGCTTCTGGTATGGAGGTACCCTCCTCGGCCACGGCGAGTACGACACCTTCCGCTTCTTCGTCTGCTTCAGTGAAATTCTCTTTGGTGCTCAATCCGCCGGCACAGTCTTTTCCTTCAGCCCGGATATGGGCAAGGCCAAGAACGCCGCCGCCGAGTTCCTCAAGCTCTTTGAGCGCCGCCCCACCATCGACACCTGGTCCAACGAAGGCGAGAACCTTGCCCACTGCGACGGAAACATTGAGTTCAAGGACGTTCACTTCCGTTACCCATCCCGCCCTGAGCAACCAGTTCTCCGTGGACTGGACCTTTCTGTCAAGAAGGGCCAGTACATCGCGCTCGTCGGACCCAGTGGTTGCGGAAAGAGTACCACCATTGCCCTTCTTGAGCGCTTCTACGACTCCCTCTCCGGCGGTATTTTCGTTGATGGCCAGAACATCACCGACTTGAACGTCAACTCATACCGCAGCCACATTGCCCTTGTCAGCCAAGAACCTACTCTTTACCAGGGAACCATCAAGGAGAACATCCTTCTTGGTACCCCTAATGACGACCCCTCTGAAGAAGAGCTCGTCAAGGCATGCAAGGACGCCAACATCTATGACTTCATCATGTCCCTTCCTGAGGGCTTCAACACAGTCGTCGGAAGCAAGGGTGGTATGTTGTCAGGTGGCCAAAAGCAGCGTGTCGCTATTGCCCGCGCTCTTCTGCGTAACCCCAAGATCCTCCTTCTGGACGAGGCGACTTCCGCCTTGGACTCCGAATCCGAGAAGGTCGTTCAGGCCGCTCTGGATGCTGCTGCCCGTGGTCGTACCACTATCGCTGTTGCTCATCGTCTGTCGACTATCCAAAAGGCCGATATCATCTATGTCTTTGATCAGGGCAAGATTGTTGAGAGCGGTACTCACACCGAGCTGCTGCGCAACAAGGGCCGTTACTATGAGCTGGTCAACCTCCAGTCTCTTGGAAAGAACTGATAACCTTTTTTTCTTGCAAAAATACCCCTTTGTATTTCATCTTTATCTCTACCATCTTCCCTCAATGTCTAATCAGCTTACCTCTCATCATGTCCACTCGGGATAGAACATGGCGTTGGAGAATTTGTTTGCTTCTACAATTTGGATTGGATATCCATCAATACCTGACACCAAAAATCATATTGGAGTAATGTAAATTTTCAAAATACAAATATTTTATTCAATGCCAGACTTGCGCTTCGTAATTCGTAGTAATTCGTAACTCGTGATTTCGGCATTCTGCTTAGAGCACACCTTTTCCAACTGTGAAAAGATCCTCATGGCGATCATTCAACATCACAACTAGTCCTTCTCGCTAGCCCCAAACTCTTTCTCCACATCCACTTGCCTCAAGCCACGCGCATCTGCAATAATGCCCATCAATCCCTGGCCAACATCTTTGATCTCGTTGTACTCGTGCAAGAGATCGATGTGGCGCTGCACCGTAGTAGCAGGATCATTCCTGATGGGTCAGCTTTGATTTCGGAGTGCCTCTTCTCTTCAGACCGCACTCACTTCAGCTGAGAGGTTGTGGATGCGAGTTCAGCTTCGAGCTGTGTTTGCTGTGCCTCTAGACTTGTAATTGTGGAGCGGAGGGTAGACTGTTGTCGTTAGTGAGAACATTATTGAATTTGGCCTTGCTTACCATTTTCTTCTCTTTTGCTTGGTCCATGTTGAAAGTACTGGTGAATTCAGTACTCGGTACTCGGTACTCAGTGCTCGAAGTACAAGTAGAGGTGTGGAAGAGTCCATGTCCGCTGCACCCATTGTATATGGAACTGAAGTGGCCAATCACGGTTCTCGCTGAATAATCGACGCCAATCTTCCAGTAACCTTGGAAAGGTCAAGTTGTGCAACCGATTCCTGCTCAGTTGCGATGACTATTTTCTGCGTTCTTCTATAGTCAAGGCAGAAATTGAGATCGACTCATCTCTTGGCAAAGAACCCCTGGAGGCACCGGTGGACTGAGTATACGCGGTCCCGCATAATCGGATGCTCCGGATTGGGCTGATAACAACTGTACCCGCACCCGTTCTCTTCCAAGTTCCAAGGCTTCTCCTTTCAACTCCCCCAAACATGAATCTCCGAAGCCTCGTTTGGGCAGGTCTCACTGCCACGGCTCTAGCCCACGGTGGCCATGAAGCCGTTCCCCAGGGCGAATCCATCTCCAAGGATCCCATCGTAGGTGATCGCGTCCCACATGAAGTATTCGCCTGCTAACTCGCACAGGATGGCACGCTCTGGACCCATATGATCCTCATGGGACTGGCCTTTGGTATCATCTTCCCCGTAGGAATGGTCTTTGGCGTATGTTTCTTCAACACTTCGCCTTGTCAAAATCTAATGTTTTCCAGATCGTTCGTTCCCGCTGGCACGTCCCGGTCCAGGTTGTCGGCACTGTCATTGCGGTTCTGGCTTATTTCCTCGGTCACGCTCATAAAGGTCGCCAATTCGACAAGAATCTTCACGCTTCGTTCGCCAACTGGTTGATGCTCATGCTCGTCGCACAGATTGTGCTGGGCGCATACCTCAAATTGCATCTTGAGAAGGCGGGACAGGCACGCATTCGGTGGATTTTCGTTCTCGCGCACGGTATCGTCGGAAAGATTATGCCAGTTGTCAGCTGGGCGCAGATGCTGTTCGGTGGCATTGCTGCGCTGGGATTCTGTCGCGACGATCATCTTGGACAATGTCTTGCTCACTTCATCATGGGCTCTGCGTTTATCGGATATGGTATCTGCCTGACAATCTTGCTGCTCGTTGGCCAGTTCTGGCTACGTAAGACCGGTCGCAGTCAGGAATTCTTTGACTCTTTGGTCATTGCTGCGTGGGGTTGCGTCAACACTTTCACTGAGCACCGCTGGGGTGGACCGTGGGTTCACAATGATCTGCAGCATACTACCATGGGCATTGTCTGGTGGGCAGCTGGTTTGCTCGGCATGTGGCTTAGTCGCAGTCGCAGCGGTCGCCCCAAGCGTAACCTCATTCCTGCCATCGTTATCATGCTCACTGGGTACGCCATGTCGGCTCACACCCAGGAGCTAATGATCAGTACTATGGTTCACTCAATCTTCGGTTACACCCTCATGGGTGCTGGTCTCGTTCGCGTCATCGAAATCTCATTTGTGTTGAAGGACAAGCCTGCTCTATCTGAGCCAAACAGCTTCCAATATCTGACACCCTTTGTATGTTCCGTTCCCTTCCGTTCTGTTCCCTGTGTGGTTGAACAAAATACTGACTTCCGCAGTTGCTGTACGCTTCTGGTTTCCTCTTCTTGGGTGCCACCGAGGAGCAGATGGTCATGTTGAACAATGCTGGCATCATGCACGTTTCTTACGTCTTGATTCTGTACAGCGTTGCCTTCGTTGTCTTCCTGTGTATGTTCAAACTTACCCCACGCGCACGTCGTATATCCCACTAATCCTCTGCCAGTTGTCAACGTGCTTCTTCACATTTACGCCGTCCACGCTTGGCCCAACTCCGAGTCTACGGACCAGAACGGCCCCAGATACACTTCTCTCAACCGAGGCCCCAACACAAATGGCCACACCCGCTCCACATCGCAGCAGATTCAGGATGCAGAGGCTTTCGAGCTGCATGGGCTGATCTCCGATGACGAGGAAGGCCCCTCTATGGGACCACGAAAGGACAGCGATGAAGAGCTCGGAAAGGATGAGTCTCATCGCTAAGCACAAAGCCAAAAGCGAGTATTTACACATGAAAGTTCGTCATGCATTTTCTTCGATGGCGTTTAGGCTAGGCCGGGAATAGTTTTCTTGAATGTACGGAGTAAGCATTAATTGTTCATCTACTTGCACAACCTTAAACATTGCACATAGTCATATACTACCTGCCTAAACGGAAGAGTAAGCAGGGCATCCATATTAAACACAATCACTGTCATCAGCGGACACGTCTACAAGCCCCGCTGATGCGCGGGGCGAGGTGAATTCAGTACGTTTACAGATACGAGGTAGAAAGACTCAGGGAAACGCCGTACTGAAATGACACCAGAAATCAGACATGATAAACTGGCTGCGTATTGTAATGTACAGACCGACATCTAGTGGAACCAAAGGAGATTCGTGACAATAAAAACACCATTCACGCTTAAATTTCCAAGAAACCATCTTACTCCAAGTCCACAACTCCAGTCACAGGAACTGTAACTGGGTTTCTCACTGGAGGAACAGCACCCATCTCAGCGCCTGCCAGATCTTCAGGGAAGAAAGGGTGAAGCGGATAGATCGGGCCAACCATTTTCTCCCCATCGAAGAGCAAAATGTTCTGTAAGGGCTGCTCTCTGGCTGACAGCACATTGATAACATCCTGTGCCAGTGAGCCACCAAGGAACGCCGCGACGGGACTCAGCTCGCTGCCCAAGTTCTGTAGGAAAGTTCGCAAGAACACGGAATCGAGCATCAGAGGCTCTAATTTCAATTCTTGGTGTCGGTCCCGTGATAATTTCGTGAATAGCTCCAGGTCTTCATGTGTAAAGGTTGGTCGGTGCCCAAGCAATTTCTCAAATTCCCATAATGCGCGCAGACAGCTGAGGAGTGGGGTGACTTGTTTGCGCCGGCGCGGAAGACGAGTGTATTCTTCTGGGAGGGGCGAGGTGTTCGCGAGGATGAGGGGGGAGTAGACTTCGCGCTTTGTGACTAGCTCGATGATCTTATCGTTTTCTGTCTTGGTGCTTTTGCTGACGATGCTGCGTGTTTGCGTCTCTTGAGTACCGGCGTTCAGGTTGGACTTGCTGCGCTCGATCACGAAGTCGTGGCTGATAAGATCGGCGAATGCGTATCCGTAGAAACCATGGAGTCCGGCTGCGTAGAAGGGCTTGTTGGCCAATCGACAGGCGGCGTTAATGGTTGTATTGGTGACGAAGTCAAGTTCAGTTGCGATTGTGATATCGAATTGAGCGAAGAACTCGGGTTGTTTGGTTTTCACGTCGGATGTGTCGATATTGAGCTTGACGCGCGGGTTCATCTTGCGAATCTGAGGCCCTGCAACTTCTGCGCGCTGCGACTTGTTAGGATGTTCGTGCCAGAGTTGGGCCGGACTGGGAGACTGACATTCTTTCCGATCACATCTCCCTCATTCTGTGCCTCGGCGACAAAGAATTGCGCACCCAGGTCTTCTTCTGTGACGTCTTGGTGGTCGATGATGGTGAGCGAGCCAATACCGGCCAGTACGAGGTTCTTGGCGACTTCATTTGCAAGTGCTTTCGCGGTAATGAGAAGGATGTTTGCGGATCGAATCCTGGGCACTGTTAGTGAAACACTTGGATTGCAATGAAATGCTCACTTTTCTTGTGCTTGCACTCCCCACAGCCGGATTTGTCGGTCATAAAGCGCGATTTCATCTAGAAATGTTAGCCGGAACCAAGTCACCGGTAGCTCAATGACAAGACCTACCGGCGCTGATAGACTGCGCATTCTCCTGTGGCTCCATGGTGACTTTTTCACCCTCTTGGATCAGTGTGAGGTAAGATATTGCTTCGCGCTGGGACGAGTTGGGGGTATTGCTAAGGGCAAGGGAGATTGAGACAAACGACGCAATGCCGATTCAAGGTCATGTGACTCGGCAGCTAGCAAGTGGGTCTGGTGGGTCTGCATCACTTCTGCCAGGCGGTGTGTACTAATTATTTGGAGCTATATTCACTCTCTTCCATTCATTGCACTGACTGCTTAACATTTCGACTTGCAGCATATATTTGAACTAGCTGCTCATAGAAGCTGTGCCATTAATCAATCACCAATCTATTCATGGATGAATCTCCCGATTCAGGAGCGACCATGACTACGCCCGAAGAAAGTGCAATTACCCCGATGCTGAAGGAGCAATCATGGTATGCTCTTCAAAGAAGTCCCTTCTCTTCAATTTCATCTTAATTTTCACTGATACACCGATATAATGCTCGTTGTCATGTGCTCACGCTCAGCTGATGAAGGTCAATGTATGAGCCAGGAAGGCCAATTCAACTCGCTTCCAGGATCTTTCATACGCCACCTGGTTAGCGATCTAGGGCCCAATGTTTTGACAGGCCCACTGGGACACTGGAATACTGGGACCCCGAGAAGCCTAGAAGCCTCACCAGGTCTTGGGGATTTGGATTCTTACGTGCCATCTGGGTCGTGGGCGTAGACGGCTTTCACAAGATCCCTTTGGCTTGGCCGGAGGGTCCCCAGTTGGACATATTGCTGTACATCATACAAAGACTACTCATGCCGAGAGGGTTGAACGAGATAACGATATTCCAAACGACGGAATATATAGAGGGGTCCCTGACGGACTCCCAAGGTCGTTCAACTTAGTCCATGGCTCCACCACCGACCCTTTGGTAGGACTCAAGTACCTTGATGAGTCGTTGGAAGCCATCCGATCCGATCCAACCGATTCAAATAATAGACACAAGGAACAAGGAGTTCTTCGTCTGATTAGAAGTCAACGAAACTCGGGTGTTTGTTACCAATGATGAGGTCGGTAACATTTTCCGCATATTCCACATGGACCGGCGTTTAAGATGCTGTTCATGCGAGACTGTTCCTGTAGTATAAAGATGGACGTAGGAAAAAGCCCTTCTGCAAAGTTTTCAAGTCAAATTCATGTTTGATAGATATATGGCTTGGGTGAGAATGGGTCGTGAGCCAGGTTGCTTATGCTTGAGATAGTGAGACGATCTTCAGATGATGTCTATTTTTTGCAAGGTGACGCAGCAGTGAGACACTGAACACGAAGGAGAAAAGAACATGATAAAAGAGCCAGAATCCAAGAAGAAATGGGAAGATGAACGATGATATAATCGACTATCACGTGTGTTAGAGGTCGTGTTGCCTTGCCTCTCCTGACCTTTTTTGGTATTCTATGTGACCTTCACTTTGCACATCCGCACTTCTGCCGGAGTGCCCATCAATCGCTACTCCCCCTCAAACGATGGTTTGTGTCTCAGCTCAGGTACCTGGCTTTTGGTTTCTAACTCTCTTTATTCTTTACAGTCAGGGAATCATGATTACCCTCCTTCCCGCATCCCTCGTACCAGCGAACGGCCTGACATTCTCCCCCTCCAACATCTCCGCAACCTGGTCTCTGAACGGACCCGCACTGGTGCCTACAACCCCTTTCAGCTCAGCCGTGCCCTGGCCACATTAAATCAAGAAATTGCCGAGCACGACCTCGATCGGGCTCGCAGCTTTGAACAAGCCCGCGCTGCGGTGGATCGCCAGATCCAACAACTCCAGTCTGAGTTATCGGGCCCCGCAGAGCAGCTATTCCGGGACATTCACCAAATTGACCTAGATCTCCACGGTCTAATATCCACGGATCCTCATCGCCGCCGGACTGCTCCCCGGTCAAATCTAGCCAGCTTAGCCACTCTAGCCCCGAGCCCGGACGCATCCCGGTCACCGTCCATTATGCCTCCGTCTGGTCAGTCCGGCCGCGATGAACACGGTCGCCAGAAGCGGAGAAAACTGGATACCGACGATAACCGCGAGGGCTTTAAAGGGTTCAACTATGGAATGTACGGGCAAGTCAAGCCGGGGGAATTAAAGATGGAGATATCCAGCTGCGACGGAGCTAACTACAACCAACCTGACGGAGCATCCTCCCGCCCGGAGAATGTTTTGGACAACAACCCAAGCTTCTACTCCACCAAGGAAAATCGCTGCAACCTGGTGCTTTGCCACAGAGATGAAGCTCCCTTTTGTTTGAACAAGATCGTCATCAGAGCACCCTCTCAGTGCGGAGGCTTTGATGCTCCGTATGTACCTTCCTCGATTTTCGGGGAGGCCCCCACTAATAAAGAGTACTAGATATCAAGAAGGGATGGTCTTCGTCGCCATGTCTTCCGATGAGCTCCTCGCTCGCACAGCCCAAAACCACATCCAATACTCTCCTCGATGGCGTCGCCGAAACCGTCGGAGTGGCATGCTACCTTCACAGGAATACCTCAGCGGGTATCGACCACCTCCTCCTAACAGCGAGCGCACAGTCCTCATGAGCCACCACTTTCAACAGATCACAAACACCTCGGATGATCCACAGGCCCAGTTCCGTGTTACCACCGACTACGACGAGAACACTGAGAATCAGATGTACTCCGAAAATGAACAAGATACTTCACTGGAGTTTGATGCGCAAGATGAACCCGCTGAAAGCTTCCACTCGGATACCGATGAGGAACCCAGCGACGAGGAAGACATGAATTATCTCCGCCGTCGGGCCTTTCAAAATCAACGGCGAGGCGCCTTTGGCCGGTTTTCCGACCCCAATTCTCGCCATGAACCAACCAATATTGAGTCAAACCCACCCGCGCGCACGAATCCTTCCCCTGAGGTCTTGAAACCACATGCACGTTTCTTCATCGAACACGAGAAAAGCATGGTCACGATCAAGTTTGATCCGCCGCCGTATGTATATTTGAGTCATCTTTATATCACTACTAATAATTCTATAGATCCGGTCGTTTTATCTTGATCAAGCTTTGGAGTCCCCGCCCTGAAGGAAGCATTGATATCCAGAGTATCATTGCACATGGGTATGCAGGCCCGCGGTTCTTCCCCAGCATCGCGGCTCGCTAGCCCTGCTGTCTTTCTTTTTTCCGGTCCATAATTCAACTTTTATCTCTCTGGGCCTGGGTCATGTTGATCCAGACTATTCTCTAGCATTTGCTAGACTCACGATGACACGAGTGATGACACGAGCTTTCTTTTCAGATGAAGCAAGCCTTTCTTTTGTTAGATTATCTAGGCAGCTACCTGGAGTTCAATGGGCAATGCTATGACAACTTGTACAATTTGCTCCCCGTTTCTACATGACGTGGTCGCCTATCAATCTCTCGCTAACCCTAGAACATTCAACCCCTGACCAAAATCCAGACATAATACCCCACCGTGGATACTGTTGCAACCAGGGAACCAAGCGTGATCAATCCACCTGTAATGATCCCTTGCTCGAAGAACCCGATCTTAAATCCAGGCCTCTGCTTTGTCGATGGCAGTGGTGCAATGGCATCCCTCCACAACTGATCGGCTTTGCTTGTACCACCGAGAATCGTGTCCACGGAGCTTGAGACCGGGGTTATCAACTGTGGACGTGGAACCTCAAACTGGCTCTTTGTATAGCGAGTCTGAGTAGGTGGTGTGTTTCGAGGGAGTGCAGGTCCGACTATCTTATGTTAGCTTGCCCTCAAGCTGCATGGTACATGTACTTACTGAGCATGTGGCTCGGAGCATGATTTACCCATGATATATGGGCATCGATGAACTGCGTGAGATACTTGGCTGAAGATGGTGCAGCAAAGGCATAAGTTGCTGCCAGTGTTTCGGTGCTAAGATCGTCAGCTTCATCATTTCTCAAGGCACGGCCAAACTGACTTGGTATCAATTGCATCATCCAGACTGGTCACCGGATGGACCAGAAGTATTTTCTCTTCTATCTTCTTCTTCAGAAGTGGTGATTGGCTTCGCTAGTCAGTGTGGCTCGACAGAACGATCTGCAAAAGAACTCACCGATCTTGGACTTCCACAACTCCCCAATTACTCCCCGATACCAAGACCCGGGCACTCCGATCCTTCTTTACAGCCTCCATTAGGATAGATCGGCTAGATCTTCGGGTGAGAGACCTCGCCGCCCCATTTTCGCCGGCGAGGTACTTGGATGCGTGTGTGATCACCGCTTCCACGAAGGGTTTCATCGCGAACTCGTGCACGAATACCACATCGGGGCTGTATGGCGAGCGACCACCCAGTGCAAATCGCGCTGCGACCATTTCCTGCGCTGCTTGAGCCACGTCGCCCGTACGGTCCACAATGGCGACCACTCTCAAGTCCGAGGGTGAAACAAGGCCTGGATAGCTTCCGCCGGTCTGCACGACCACCAGGGCCTTGGCCAGGAACGATGCGTCTGGCTTTTGCGACGTGATGGCGAATGTGTCTTGATCCAATGCTTCGGGCAAAATATTTCGGAGCAGTGCTGGAAGCATGCCGGTAGTTTGAGGTAGCTGATGGCTTTAGTATGGATACAAGCTGGGTGATTCTTCCAAACAAACCTCAATGACGATACAGTTCCCCGCTGCCAGTGCTGCACTTAGCGCGGACATAGCCGAGTAGAAAAGTGTGTGAGGGCTCGGCACAATGTAAACTATACCAACACCGCGTGTCCCATCTGGATTATCCTTGCCGCGCGCAATTCGATACTCGACCTGGAGATCTTTCTCTAGACTCAAGCCAGAGTAATGTGCTCGAAGCTCTTGCAACGCGAGTACAATCTCCGCGCGCACTTCGGCTCGAGTATGGCCTGAATCCGAAAGGATAGCATCTTGAATATCGGCGATATGCGCCACGAGCGTTGATTGAAGTTTTTGAAATTGGGATTGGCGATAACGAGTATTTTGGGTTCGGCCGTCAATATTCGCGGCAAGGATCCGAGAGAGATCCATGATTCTAGTAGACAATGTGAATGAGAAACAGCGCGCAAGATAATGGGATAAGTAAATGACTTCTCCAAGATCGTGTCAATACTTCGGGATGTGGGGGGCGATGTGGACATACGCCAAGCTCAAATCCGGGGGAGGGCAAGTGTCATTTGAGAATGATCTTCCGGTCCTCAAGTCCTGGATGTTTGCATTCATACGTTTATGTTGGTCTCTAATAATGTCGACTACTACTACCACTCAGACCATCTCTTTGCTCGCCGACTACGAAGTCCACCACAGTGGCAGCGATGCTGTGAACGAACGTGAAACACCGCCACAGTCTGTCGAATGGCCGACACACCATCGTCGTATACCAGCGTATCGTCCTACAAATCGCAACTTGTCATTCGAGGAGAGACCTGGTGGAAGCAATCCGGGGGAGATGGTGTTTATCCAAGTGATGCTGCATGGGGTCTGGTTGAATGCGGTATGTATACCCTATTGCCGAGATTTTCAGGTCTAACAACGTAAAGGCAGTCTCTAGGCTTTGGAGATTCACCGGCGGCAGAGTCAATGACAAGATATTTCATTATGATGTTGGAGGAGAGTGGTAGACTGTTCCAAGGTTGTCGACGTGGAAACCATGACACAAAGAAGGATCTAGTCAATCAATTATCTGAATGTTTCGCGCGTCTGTCATTCAAAATGTAGCCTCACTTGTTTGTATAAGTGGTGTAGAATGTAGAACCCGCAACGTATACAGCATGTTTCTTTGCAGTTTTACAAGGCTTGCTTCAACCATAAGACCAAAAACCATTCTACGATTCTTGATGATATCTAGGTGTCTTGCAACAAACTCTCCACAGAAGCCATTGAAATGGGGGAAAATACAATATCTTTGTGAGTCTTTGATTCATTGACCTATATCTCCGTCCAAACACGACACTCAAGTACTACTTCTGACACCGATGCCATCAACAACCTCCTTCAAAGGCTTCCCCTCCACCAAAATCTCACTAGACGGCTGAAGCACATACATCATGCGGGCCCATTGAGGAACGCTAACACCATCAACAAGAACATCGGGCGTAACATTACGCCAAGCATGGTTGGTTCCACGCTGCACAGCAACATCCCCTCTCTTAAGCAGCCTCACTTCACCAGAATCCAACACAAGCTCAACTTCACCCTCCAGTACAACACCATAATCCAACGAGACAGTTCGGTGCATTGGACTTGTTGCACCAGGCTGCATGTCCACGATTCGACACACCGTGCCGCCTGACACGACGATACCCGGTGGGCTAGACAGGTAGCTTTGGTAGTTGGTCACGTCGGTCTCGTCGCTCAGCTGAGCGGGAAATTCAGAAGTTGTATAGGCTAGACTGAAGTCTGCTCCATCTCCTATCTTCTGTACCGGCATTGTTTCGGGTAGGGTTGAGGAGAATATGGCTTTGCCGGCTTCATCGTGGGTTGTGATGAAGCGGTTGAGAGGACGGATGTTTTTGGGGGTTTTGTCGGTCATTTTGGTGATTGAGAGAGAGAGAGAGAGAGAGTATTCAAATGTTTGAGAAGGCTTTAATTATAATTGTTCGAAACATGCGGTCTTTGATACTTGGGTAAATATTATGGCCGGCATCTATAGATTTCCTCCGGGCCCCTCTTCGGGACGACCTTGTCCACATCGGCTGGTAGGTTCTCCAATTTTGGACTTCCTCGGGTCCGTGTGAAAATGGGGATGCATACCTAGCAGGGCAATGTCATTTTCAAGGTCAATTTGGCAGTGTAAGATACTCCTGAGGTCTCTGTGTGCTTCCTCACAATTGGATTTGGAAGTCCTTGGCGGTTACATAGACTACCACTTCAATCCTAAGACGCCACCGTCGGCCTTTTTGAGTTATGTCCCTGTTCTGGATTTGAAAAGATAGAATTGGAAGCAAAACTTGGAAGAAAAGAGGTAAATTATCACATTGTGAATTTATTGGGAGCTAGGATCTATATAGCAGCTACTTCAAAATTGCTCAAACAGATGGAATGATCGGCAGAGTAACGTAGTTCTCTGCAATGCCGAAGTGAATATGATTTTGACCTTGGAAGCGCTCAGTGGACCTGACAAAAATTAGTATATCTTGAGAAACACTTAAGTAGTAGTGTGAGGGACTTACCGATCAACAGGCGAGTTATGTTGGAAAATCCCACTGCCCTGTGTATCCCCACTGCTGATCTCGAGCACGATCTTCCCTCCCTTTTCGACCACAACATTCGTCGGCCAAATCTCCACGTCAACCGCATAAACCTCACCAGGAATCACAGGACGAGCATCAGTGGAATAATAGTTGCGGTGAGGAAGCCAGGGACGGTTGCGTGGGCTTTCATGATCAACTTGTCTCATGGAAACGCGCAGCCAGCCCTTGCACAACGGAACAGGATCTCCAGCTGTTCCGGTGTAGAAAACCTCCTTTCCAGCGGGAGAGATGTACCGCATTGTAACGAACAAATCGATGTCCTGTGGCGTTGGGGCCCCGGCGTTTGCGCTCATTGATACGTTCAGATGAGCAACGATGTGTCCGGTGATCTCAGTCTCGGCTTCGAAGGCGGCAGTGGTGAATTGCACCAGCTGGGGATCATCAAGGTTTCCCAGTGCTTGGTAGGAGATCTTAGTGGAACGTGATTCAGAGGGCGAAGTGGTCACAAGCTCGTTTTGCGATGTCAGGAAGTACTTGGTGTACTGGGTACGAGCAATAGGCCACTCCATCTCCTGTCGACGTGGGAAGGTCCTCTCGCCTTCGGCGTTGTTGTGCCCCACGTCACCTTTGCGTAGAACCATATCAACCTTGGTGGCTGTTCCGTCTGCCCAGCCTGCACGGTCATCTCCCTTCAAGAAGGCGTCGAGGAAACTGCGTTGTAGTTCAACCTCCTCCTTGTAGTAGAAGGGAAGGTCATGTCTTCCTGTGATGAAACGCAGATACTTCAGGTCTGATCCTGCATGTGTGTATCCCTCGACATTTCCACGGAGATGCAGGAGAATACCGCCCCAGTTGGCGACAGAGAGCAGCGGCACCTTAATATCAGACATGCTGTACTCCTTGGATGCATAGTAAGAATCATCCCGAAACTTGTTGTCCAAGTTATCAACGGTCTGGTCTTGACGGTTTTCCACAAGCTCTTCAGCAGACAGATCCCCTTCAATGGTATCGGGGCCCCAGTTGCGAGCTGCACGACCAGCAAGACCATACTGGTTGCTCACGACCTGGCGATCCCACCAAAATTTGATAAACTTGTTTGAGAGAATTCCACCATGTCGGCATCGATCTCGATAGTAATCTGACATGCCTTCCCAGGGAACGATGCAAGATAACCCTTTGGGCTGACGTGCAGCCACGCGCCATTGACTGCCTGCAAAGTAGCTGATTCCAAGGAGACCGACTTTCCCACTTGACCAGGATTGCTCTGCAGCCCATTCTACGACATCGAAGAACGCTTCACTGGTTCCTCGAGACATCGTGTCAAGCTTGCCGACGGATTGACCTGTGCCACGCTCGTCGGCGCGTACAACTGCATATCCATTGCTGGTCCAGAACTTTGGGTCGGGAGTTTCCCAAGCTGAGTGCTCAGAGCGCTGTTCGGGATTTACTTCGCTGAAGCTCTGTGGGTGGAAACTAATACATGTCAATTTTTGCATCCTTTCTCATGGAGTGGGCTACATACGCTTCGTAGCTTATATCTTTACCATATGGGCCGTAAGTGACGAGAACAGGCACTTTTTCGGAAGACTTGGGACGATAGACATTGCATCTGACGAGACCAGACTGGTCTTTGAGTGCAATAGTCACGTTTTGCTCAAATATGTAGGAGAAAGATGTCTCGTCGCGGGTGGTGATGTCCTTGATTTGGTTCGGCATTTTGACCGACCTTCGAGAATACAAGTGTTGATTATTGCAAATGAATGAAATAAATTCAGCAACTGTTTCTGATCACAAGAAGAACAAGGAAGCATAAATATCATCGGGGTTAACTCCGAGCCCATCTCCGCAGATGTGGAGCCGAAATGGACATCCGAGAGTTGTAGGACTAAACGCGCAGACCGAAAGCCGAGGACCCAACTTATATGAGAAACTCAGAGGATATAATAGCATAGGTAGTTTTAGTCTTTTTTCCTCAAAGCCATCTGTAAAGTTTTCCCAGATTCAGAATACAGATGACACGCAAGGAACTCACTGGCGAGGCCAGTGGCCTCCGTATCCTCATCGTCGGCGCTGGGATTGGAGGTCTGGTCGCTGCTATTGCTCTTAGACAACAAGGGCATCGAGTTGAGCTATTCGAGCGTTCGCGTTTTGCCAACGAAGTCGGCGCTGCGATCCATCTGTCCCCTAATGCGAACGGGGTCTTGCGAAAACTGGGAATCGATGCGACGGAGTTTGGGGCCGTAGAGGCCGAGCTGGTTGGTGATCATAGATCAGCCAGAAAAATGTTGAAGCTAATTTCTCTAGCTTCGAGAATACACACCTGCAGGTGAAGAGGTGCATATCATGTCTATCAAAGAGAGTGCAGGAATGTGGAGACATGTAAGTGCCCTAACCCGGAACTGAGATAGATCAACATCCACCGTCCACATTTCTGATCGCTTTCTAGCGCTGGCTTCTTGTCCATAGAGCTCATTTTCATGACGGGCTCAAAGCAACCGCTCAGGCCCCTGGAAAAGGTGAGCCTGCCCGTTTGCACACTGCCAGCAAGGTGGTCGACGTCGACCCACAAGCTGCAACGGTCACGCTCGAGAACGGCGATGTGATCGAAGGCGATGTGATTCTCGGTGCTGATGGTGTTCACTCCTTCACTCGCACCAAGATATCAGAAGACATCAAGCCATTCAGCTCAGGCAAGAACGCGTTCCGCTTCCTCATCACCCGACAACAGGCACTGGACGATCCCGAAACTGCTAGTATTGCCCAGGACATGGGAGCGGTTGACATGTGGGACTCTAAAGAGCGCCGCGTCGTCATCTATCCATGCGATAACAACAAGCTTTTGAATTTCATCTGCCTCCATCCTGAAACGGATACACCAACAGCCATCAACCCGAGCGGTGACTCCTATAACCAACAAATTGGCAAGGATGCCCTGCTTGATGTGTATAAGCATTTCAACCCCCAAGTAAGAAAGTTATTGGGGAAGGCAGACCCGCAAACCCTGAAGCTCTGGCCATTGTTGGATATGGATACCCTTCCAACTTGGGTCGAGGGCCGCTTGGCTTTGCTGGGCGACGCAGCTCATCCATTCCTACCCTACCGCGCCTCTGGTGGTGCGATGGCCATTGAAGATGCTGTCTCACTGGCTGTTATGTTGCCTGGTGATATTTCAAGAAGCGAGATACCGGAGCGGCTGAAGATTTATGAGAAAGCTCGCCATGAGCGCGCCACGGTCATTCAACAAATGACCCGTGACTCGACCAAGCTCCAATCCCCGGAATCAGGTATGATAGTCACCTCTGATCCTTGCACTAAGCTTTGTTTATCAAGATCAAACTAACGTCACTAGCATGGGGCATGATCGCGTACATTTACGGCCATGATGAATTCGACCACTCTGCTCAAGTTCTTCGCAAATACCTCTGGTCCCAAAATCCACAAGTCTACTGGCGCCAACCAATTGTCTTTGGGCCAATGCCTGGACCCCGTCAGGATTGGATGGGCCGTGACCGCGCGCTGAAGTCAACCCACTCGACTTTCACAACGGCCTCGATCAAATTCAAGACCAGTCGGACTCTTTTGCAGAACCTCTTTCCTTCAGACCGATATAGCTTCATTTCACCGGGAACGGTCGCACGCGCCAGCTTCTCGCAGACTACACTGGGCGGAATGGACTGGTTAGGAGGTGGTGGATACCGCCATATTGGGCTCTATATTCATGGCGTGCAGTATAAGAAAGAGAATGGAGAGATTCTCAAGGGAACTTACATGCCTATCTTGTTTGAAAACCTTGCTGATCCCATTGTGTCGGGCCGGGAAGAGCTGGGAATGCCCAAGTTGTTTACTGCCATTGACGTGCACCAGCGGACGAGCTCGTATCGGATGCAGACTGGCTGGCAGGGTGCTGTGTGGGGATATTTCGAGCTGGAGGATTTGGTTGATGAAGATCCTGCTGCTGATGCGGGGACTATCGGCGGCGAGGCGGATGATGGTATCCTGGTTTATCGGTATATACCAAAGGTCGGAAGAGATACCAAGGGCCAGGCTGAGAGCGAATACCCGATCTTCGTCCCGCATGCTGCTGAGTCAAAGGTTGTTCCTTCCAAGGTCACTCGATTGCAGCGTACTTCTAAGGCGAAGGTGGAGCTCAACGGCCTCGATTGGGACGCTCTGCCTACCCTTCATCACGTTGTTACTCGATTGGCTGAGATCCCAATTGATGAGATCATCGAGGCCAAGGTTGTCAGTGGAGTTGGTGTTCCTGACGTCTCCTCGGCCATGCGGATTGAATAGCAAGCAATTTTGAGAGGCCTCTAGGGGTAACTTTCAGTCAGTTGACTTCATAAAAATCTATGACTAGGTGTCTTTATGACCTGAGAAATACCAAGGCTTCTAAAGCCAAACTGCCGTCTTGTAAAGGCCATCTTAGCACAAAATAGCAGAACACTTAACAGGGGTATCAAAAAGAAGCCATCAAAAAGATGTATCAAACTGCAGTGATTGCCAGCCTCACTCTTCCATCCCTCTTCCTCGTGATCTCCCTCAAATTCTCTTTCGGTCTATATAAGAACCATCTCAATTCATCCCTCAATGCTCCAACCTCCTTGACCAGCTCACTCTCGACGACACCCCTCGCAACAAGATCACACCTTGCTGTGACCGCCAAATCAAAGCTTTTCAGCCCTCTCACTCCAAGTAAAGGCCGAACCCAGCCCTCTCCCATCCCAAACGGAATTTTCTGTCCCGAAACAACAGCCTCACCTCCACTCCCTATCGATCCGGTGAACCGACCCAAATCCAAACTCAACCCAAGCTCTTTTAATCCCCTTAGCCCCGCAACGCTGCCCCAGAAGCGAACCCACAACTCATCACTATGCGTGTGTCCATAGATAGATCCCTTGTGATCCAGCCCGGCCATGGGAATCCAAATAGGCATCCATTGCACCGTCAATCGCCGGATCGAGTTTCGCGCAGTTGGCGAGAGGGTTTCGCTAAATGCGATAAAGGTGTATAGATCGTCTACGTCGAACCGCGACGCTTGATACAAGATATGCTCTGCCTCGGCAAAAATGCGTCGACACACTCGCACTAGAGATACATTGCTGTTGCTCAGTGTTGTGGGTAGATGCTCGTGTGTATGTGGGTATAGTAGCCTATCGCTGTGGCCTGGGACGCGGCCGTCGTAGATGCGCCAACGTGCCGGGGTTGTGGGACAACAATGACGGTTCTGAGTTAGGGGTGGGTTTGGCTGCGGCTGTTCGGACTTGCTTTGGATGTTTGGGCTATTGAAGTGCGTCGAGCATCTCACATGGCGGATTTTGCCTTTGAGCTGGACTAGATGGAGAGTTTGAGGGTTTGAGGTATTTGGGCTGGAGTCATTGGTAAGGACATAGGACCATATCATCTGCCGGAGCTCGGCAGGGAGGCGCAGAAGCGGGGACTGGGATTGAGAATGTATATCGGAGTTTATTGGTGGGCTGAGGTAGCTGCTTGGGGTTTCTGGGGAACAGATTGCGCGGGAGTGGATGAGGTCGCGGACAGTGTCCCGCCAACGATGACCGGTTGGATAGTAGTGCCAGATAGAGTAAGGATCGCGCAGGACCCAGGTATCGAAATGACGCATTGCGACCTGTTAGAGAACGGCTGTGATCTATAAAAAAGAGATGGTGAAGATGAACGTTAAAGAACGTGGGGAAAAAACTGGGTCTAGTGGATTTTTAGCTGTCAATTGGTCCACTCTATTCTAGCGAAGCCAAGAACTAAAACGTTTGAACATAAAATCGGCAATGGCCCACAGTTGTCTGCAGTTCCCAAAGCAGCAGACTTTGCGGGAAGCGGAGATTGTAACCCAATGACGTCGGTGTGCTTTTCGCATTGGTTTTCTGGTTCCTGTTCGTTTTTGCAAATTGATCTGAAATACAAGAGATGGAATGTAAATGCAGTGTATTCTAGCATATCACAATGCCGGAGTAGTGTACTCCAATAGTAAATTCGGGTCCAGTCGTAAGTTCGCTGCGTATATAACACAGCCTTGTAAAATGATCGGAAATGCAAATTCCCCTCAAACGCCCCATTCATGCAGCCGCTTCTTCGTCAGTGGCGTCCTTGTAGCCCTCGACATCCCGATACTCTTCAGTGTCTTCCGATCTCTGCGCCTGCACCGGAGCACTTTCCTGCGCAACGGCAACATAAATAGCACAGGCCAAAATTAGCGCCGATCCAACCCAACTAATCGGACTCAGCGTGCTCCCCCAGACAACTTTATCATAAAACAGCGCAAATAGCATTTGCATATAAACCATCGAGGTAGCCTTGGTTCCCTGATTTCCGGGCTTCCCATTGGAAACCGACGCCGGCGGGACATACGACAATCCCGCCGTCAGTAGGAACTGAAGCATGAAGCCGCACACGCCAAGGCCCGTCAATAATGTCCACTCAATTACCGAGTTCGGCAGTCGGAAGGGCACCCACGGCATAGTCGCCATCGCTACGAATGAGATGATTGTCGTTACCGATGAAAAGTAAGTCACCGAGACAAGCGGGTGCGCCCGTCGTCCAATCATGCGGATGGATGTGTACGCTCCCGCGGCTCCGATCACACCCACGAACGCGACAATCGTCGCCATGACGTGGTGGTACGAGTCTGCGTCCGAGGGCGCTTCATCATGCGCGGACAGACTCATCGCCCAGACGGCGGCAGCGGTCGGGGTCGAGTTTACGGTCTGGGGCTCGCGTTTGCTGAAGGGGCGGGCGATGAGAATGACACCGCCAAGTGAAACCAGCGCGGCGAGTTGCTGCCGTCGTGAGAAGGTCTCACCGGGAATGAGCAGCGAGCATGCGTAACAGGTCATGATTGGTGCGAGGAAGGTGATCACGGTCGCTTCTGATAGTGGGAGGTATTGTACGGAATAGTACAGTCCGTAGACGCCCATGAAGCCAAAGGTGGCGCGGGTGAGGAGCAGTAGTCGAACTGGGCGGGTTCCGAATGGAGAGGGGACGGATGCCCACCACATATACAGGTAGCTTGCTACAGCTGTTATAGACATGCGGGCGAAAAGGACCTGGATATTGTTAGTGGTGGTTTTTCCATGACTGTACAAGGTAGCTGCGAGAAGAGGAGAATTTTGTGAGATCGAAAGTCAAAGTCAAGATCAATTATGATGCAAATGAGAATGAATTTTCGAATGACCATTAAAAACCTCGATCTTCTTCTATTGGTTCTCAAGTTCCAAGTCCTTACCTGAAAAGGATGCATTGCACTATGAATTTCCAAAATCTGTGTCATCACATTCATAGACGCCCCAAACATCTGCGCAAGCAAGACAAGCGCCATGCCCTTATTACGCAACCACAAAACCTGCCATGCATGGCGGGGCCTCGAGGCTGCAGCAGCTTCATCATACTCGTCATCAATAGGTCGGGGCTCGGACTGCGTAAGTGCAGGCTGAACCTCGGTCTCGCTGCCGCTTTCACATCGATGAATATATTCTTCATTTTGGTTGTGATGTTGATTTGAGGCGGATCCTTGGGATTCCCCAACTGGCAGGGGGGCGTCTGGGTGGTCACGATAAGCAGTTTGATCAACGCTGTCGTCGATCTCATTATTGGAGGGCTTCATCTGTGGGGACTTTGCGGGGGATGATCGAGTTGGAGACGACATCTTGGCGTGGACTTTTTTTTCGTGCCACGGGGAACAAAACCTCGAGGTTGGAGGATAGATTGCCAGTCACTGGAATGCTGAGACCAGGAAATGGGCAGTCTTATAAAGACATGTACGGAGTGACCTTGGAGAGAGAGTCGAAGTCTGACTAAAAGAGATTTTCTGGCGCCTGACAGAAAGTGGATCGCGGTGGTTTTGGTTGACCGCTAACCGCCCTTCATCTCTTTGCTTTGGCACTTTGCATTTGCCTTTCTCTTGTGCTTTGGGATCTTATTTTGCTTTTTCGGCTATGCGGCTTCCTATTGCTCTGTCATTTTGATGTTCTTCATGGCCAGTTTTGATTCGTCGCTCGAGACTTAGCTGCATAGCCTCGGTGCGACCCTGGACCACAAGACCTCCGGACTCTTTTCCGCCGTGCTCATCGCTCTGACTCAAACATATATCACGAGTCAACTATAAGCTGAGATCTGCAGGGCTGAACTCACAAGCTACCGGAGCCGCAGTGGCCCGGCTCGGCCCCGGTCAGAACTTGGCCCGTGATGCAGTGGTTTGAGGCACGAGACTGCTGATTACACATGAAGCACTCACAAAACAAGCGGACATTGCCTTCATCTAATGGAATTACTATACACATTACTAAATCTCACCTTACTAGTCATACTCAATGAACGTATAGCGGAATTGACAGGCCAGCAGCAATGTCAGGCCTAATATTTTCCTTGAATCCATGCGTTGGAGGATCAGGTAGAAACTCCCGAAACCGACGCCGCAGTGGGGCCAGAGGATTCGAGCTCACGATCGCAACTATTGCTAGTTGACCTTGCACTGTCTTGGTGACCGTCAGGTGTGCCTCCCCCACCAGAAAGCTCGCACCCTCGAATAGTCCCAGCATAGGAACACCTGTCGCCAAATTCAGAAGCTGTGTCGAGAGCATCGTGTGCGGTGGCCTGGCATTCTTGGTCCTACAAGATGCAGAGCATGATCGAACGAGACCCCGGTCGTGGAACTCTAAACATTGCTGGCTGAAGACAGGAAAGCTGGATGTCTCTCGTGTCTCTTTCACTACCCGGAACCAGTTATTGGACTCTTTTGCTGTGGATGGTGAGACTGGACAGTTCGCAGGGATGTCGCTGAAGGGCCAGGCCACTTGAAGATTGCCTTCGCTGTCTAGCCCTGTGTGTTCGAGGGCAAGTATAGAGTTGATGATCACACGGCGGGCTTGGGGGCCATTTAGTGGCTTGCCGTAGATTGGTTGGTCTTCGAAAGAATCGATCTCATCACTGGAGTGGCATCGGGTCCAGCATGTGCTGATACAGTGTCTGTCGCCGATCTTGTGCTCACAATATGGGACAGCGTCCAAGGTCTGGGGACCTGTCTGAGAGAGGCGGAGAGCATCCCACAATGTGACTCGCTGGGCATTGCCAGTACACGCACTCACTTCAAGTCCGACCCGGAGGCCGAGCAGCGGGACAAGTCTGGTATCGGGCTTTTTGCAATCTTCGATAAGCATGGCCTTCAGTGTTCGTTTTGGCATTCGCTTGTACTTTTTCACAAGGCCGCCGGTGATATACTGCCCACCGACGAACTGGAGGTCAAGCCCCTCTTTGACGTACTTGGAGTTGCATGTCCCAGGATATTGGAGCCGACATGCGATTTGTTGCTGGATAAGAGCAATTGATGATTTACACTTCTCATTGACGAAGAGCCCAATTTCGGCGTTGGTACCTGTTCCAATCAAAATTCTCGACGCAATGTCGAGCGAGATTGTCGATCCGGAGCCTTCCTCGTTGGCGCGACTTTCCAACACATGCTGCGGAATCTCCGACGTCCAGTGGCATTCAACCTTTTGATCATCCGAAGTCAATTCGGATTGTTGATCTCGCGGTAGTGGAACAATAAATCCTCTTTCTGTTCGTATTGCTAGCCCACTGTCTGGAGACCCACCGACCAGCGAAATTGGGCCCCATAGTTCATCGAAATCTTGAACCGAAAGAGAAACCTTCATTCCGGGATGTACACGAGGCTCATCATTACTGTCTTGTAGTGGTTGTTGCAACTTACTTCCATCGTCTGGTGAAGCTGATTGGCTTGTTTCCTTTTCGCATGTGTTCTCCGGCGCTGTTTGTCGACCTTCGGTCTTCCCCAGCACCCAGGCCGGACCCCCGATGAAGTCATCGAGACAGGCTAACTTTCGTGCACGAAATGCATATTGATCAAGTCCAATAGGTATTCGCTCCATTTGTTGTCCCCAATTGGTAACATCAAATCGGCACACATGAGAACCTGAAAATGCAACAAGTCCAATTGACAATATTGAACATAGGATGCGAAGGGAATCCAAGAGGTCCAAGTCCAATGTGTCGGCCTCGTTCGACCCAAGGATTGATTGTATCCAATCTTTCGTCCGCTGATTCAGAAGATTGCTATTAAACTGAGTACTTGCATCCAGAAACCGTTTGATCCCTTCAAGCATGACGGGCAGAGCTTTGGCAACGTTTTCTTTGCTTTGATCCTCAACTAGGATGTTCATGGAACTACCACAGAACTGCTGCTTGTTCAAGTTGGCCAGCGCCATTCTCAACCTTTTGAGATGCACGATGCAATCATCCACAGTGTCGAGTTCGAGATCTGGGCCAACTTCCATGTCAAGAAGCCGTACCGTATCGCGCTCGAGTTGGTCAAGCTCATCGAAATGGCGGGTCGAGTTCAGAAGATGATCCAGATTTCTTGCCTCAATTATGCCCGAATCTATCGAGTCGTGTTCGGTGTCTGATCGGGTAATATCCGTCTCTTTGGAATCACTCGCCAATGAACCATTCTCATCAGAGGCGGAGGATTGGCTTGAAAGTTGAAGGCTGGCTCGTTCTGTTTGTGTATCAAGAGAGGCACTCAATCGCTGGAATTGGGAGCCTTTATGGGACATCAAGCCTGCTGGCATTTCTTGCTCGTTGGCCCGCTTGCGCTTAGACCCGGATGCAGGCATCAGGCGTTTTGGGGGGACATCACAATGGCTATCAATGGTAGAGTCTTCGGGGCCACTATGCGCTCTCGGGGTGATTGGCTGTAACCCTTGGAGCTCCTGATATTGTCGATGCTGTTGGCCGTCCGAAAAGTGAGATGACTCGAACTCGGGAGTCGAGCCTATCAAGTAATGATCAAAATGAGAGTAACTGTAGTTTGGACCGAAGTCAAAGGCAGCAGGAAACAGTTCTGGGGTGGAGTTGAGGTAGTCGATACTCGGGATGATTGGCTGTTGTCCTTGGAACTGCTCGAGTGAAGATTGGGTATTCACGAACTGCAGCCCTGGATCATAGTAATCTCTAGGACCTCCCCAATTATCCACGTTGATGGAATCGAACTCGGATTGCTCGGATCGGAAAATTGACTCAGCGAACGTGGAATCATCCAGAGTATCCGCATAGCCTGAGTCCACGCTTGTCTCGGGTGGAAGGGGACAGAGGTCCGAAGAGTATTCTGGGAAGAAACCCTGGGTCAATGCCAAATCTGAAGCTTGAACAGTCGAGTGGAACGGCCCTTCAGGGTCAGAAAGCCGCCACTCTAGGCCCGCAAAATCCGACTCAAATTGCACAGGCGGAATAGTGCGCTCAGGTGCCGATGGCCTAGAAGTGGGCTCTGGCAGCGAAGGTTCAACCACAGTATCGGCATAGCCTGAGTCGACATAGCCTGAGTCGACAGCTTCCGCGGAGAGATCCTCATGATAGATCGAGGGATCGTAGCCTGCACCCGGGTAAGTTTTAAATGTATCAGGCTGTCCTTGGATTCTCTCTGGGATTTCAGATCCGGACCCCATGCTCGCAAGTCTCAGCTTGCGCTGTAGTGGAACAGTGCAAAGCAATGAACAAAAGGGTGGAATTGGACCATATTCATTGCTCTAGAAAGAAAGATATCTATCAGAACGTGCTTATGCACAGCCCCTGGGGGTGCTGAAGCGGGTGCGTGTCGGCGTGAGATTGGTGGCCCCATGTGGCTTAGTTCAACCAGGCGAGTCATGCAGCTCCGCCTCAATTCACATCATAAGCCAACACTGTCAGAGGAAAGTACTCCGTACTCCGTATTGAGGCTTCTTTCCAAGGTTCTATGCAAACTGCATGTGTACAAGACCTCACAGCCCCGAGCCCGTCGAAACTGGCGGGACCTAAGGAGTAATCATGTCCCCAACTGATATTGCTGGGAGACTTGAAGTATGACCCTGGAGCCGGGGTGTGTCATCGAATACTCCGTAATGCCCCAGGAAATCAAATCATTAGCCTAAATAACAAGGCCAATGTAAGTTCAGCCAAGAAACCATCTAAACTTTGGAAATGCCCCACATTCAAAATCCGGGGTACATAAGTCTTCTGGGACCATTTCCATGGTTATCATCCAACCTTCATGGGGACGTCCCCATCACCACCATCACAGCTTTGGAAGCTTGCAGGGTACTCCATATCGGTTCCAGAGTCATCAAATAGGAATTGCAGAATCATCAGCTCACTTAGCCTCTGATTATCATCTACATAAGACCACCATCATTCAAGTTCAATTAAAACACAAGCAGGGTTTCAATTGACGTCCAGCAAGGACATAAAAGCATCTCAATCTATATGTGCAGTCCAAATCCGAGGGAGCAGAAAACCCCCTATCCACAGCTTTTATCAACAGAGGTAAATGACCGAGCATCCGCCAAACCCATAGACATAACAAGGAGGAGCAACTTTATTGGAATATTAGGGAACGGGCAAGCCCAAGAACCAGTACCAAAACAAAATCAACAAGACCGCACAGCAAAAATCAACTGTCGGACCGGCCGTGTCAATGGCCGTGTCCGACGGTGTAGGACGCCAAGCGCCCGACATAAGAAAAACAGCCTGTTACGGCACAATTTGTAAAGTATAAGACACGAACCGAATGCAAAATGGAGATTCAATACAGAGCAACGGTGATATGCAAGAAGGGGGCTTCCCATGCTTTACTGGGCTGGGACACGGTCGGCGTGGTTGGCGTGGCCGGCACGACCGCGCGGTTCCTCCTCGTATCCATTGTGCTCCGGGTCGATCTCCTCGTCTGTGGGGGAGTGCAGACCGCTCGGGGTCTCCTGGAGGGATTGGCGACTGCGAGCCATCTATAAAAAAAAAAACAAAAATTAGTATTGAGATCGAGTCAAGGGAGACGGACGAAGCTTACCCAAGCACGCACACCACCGACCAGACCGAGACTGTATCCAGTGGCGAAGTCGTCGTTGCGACGCGAACCCATAGGGCTATCGGGCCGAGCGGGGATATCACCACCAACACGCGACAGGTGGCTCTTGCTACCGCCAGTTGGGCTGGTAAGAGGACCACGGTTGACACCCCAGTCCATGGAGTTGCGAGCGCTAGGCGCGGGGCTGTTGGGGCGGGAGTTCTGCCAGATTTGACGCAATTCACGGCCAAGCTCTTGGCCAGTCATGGTCCAGTTGTTGCGGATGTTGTCGCGCAACTCGACGACATGGCGCTTGATCTCGAGCTCGTTCTTCTTCAACCAGGAGACATTGAGCTCTTGGCGCGAGGCACCGCGCTTGAATTGACGGGAGATGTATTGGTCGTAGTCGCGGACGACACTAGAAGTCATTAGTCTGGGGGGTCCGCTTTTAGTTGTGGGGCTCGTAAAACGTACCGTGTGATGATACCAGTGGTGCTGACACCCTCTGTGCGCTGGGTGACCAGGAACTTGCCCTGCTGCTTGATAGGAGCGTAGATGTCGTCGCCCTCGGCGGCGCCGTATGGCAGATCATCGTGGGCGACGTAGTCGATCTGGTGCTCGGAGAGGAACTCCGGGGTAACGATCCAGGGGCAACAGGGGATGACCTCGTCAACCCACTTGCAATGGCGGATGGTCTCAGCACGCTCAGCGCCGCTGAGAACCGTCAAGCCCTTGCGTAGATGTGTTTCCTCGTCGCCAGTGACACCGACGATGAGGTAAGTATCGGGGAAGGCCTTCTTAGCCTGCTCAAGCTGTCTCATGTGACTAAAAGGTGCAATTGATCGTCAGAAATTATTACCAAATGCGATTGGGATGAAACCGAAAGTTAATTTTTTTTCATCCGTCGTGTGAGTACTTACCCAAGGTGGAATAAATCGAAAACACCGTCCGCGTAGACGCGCACTGAGCGGCCGGTTGGGGGCGGGTTGGTGTGGTAGCCGACAGGATCCTGTAGACGGCCAACGACCGGCGGGGCCATCTGAACTTCGGGCTCCTTTTCAGGCAGATCGATGTGCAAACCAGGTCTGGACCGGGGGCCGCCCTCGATGTCGCTGCTGGCAGCGGTCGTCTCGGAGGGCTCGCCGGGGTCCTCGTTGGTAATGGCGGCGCCGTTGGACCCGGTCTGGGCGTCATCCACGCTCTTGCGGACACGCTTGGATTGGTGAACGGGGGCATTAGAATCATTGGGGGTGCCGGTTGAGTCGTCGCCGCCCTCTTCGCCGGACGCGTCGCGTGAGGAGGGCTGGAGGTCGGCCGTCACGGACTTGGGGACGGGCGCGGGAAGGTGAGAAGCGCTGCGCTTGCGCTTGCCGGCGGGAGAGGTGTTTGGCGACATGTTGTGAAAAAGAAGGGCCCTGGAGAATAAAAGAGGGATATCCGAGGGAAAGGAGGGTAGAAGAGAGATGAATGTTGAACCCTGAATGATACCCGGTTTTAGGGGACTGTAATTTTCTTGGGGAAAGGAGTGGGGGGACGTACAACTCCTGTCAATTGGGGGCGGTTACGACAGTGGCTGGCGGTACGAGGAATCTTACGATACGAGTTTACGATACAGGGCATTGCAAATCGCATCTTGGCATTGCAAATTGCGGACTTGGCACCCTCCCGGTTACACTGACCACGTGTGGATTAGTGCCTGGTCAAAGGTACCCGCTTTGGGATACTACCTGGAACTACCTTCAACTACATCAATTGTCTGAATCCGGTCGATTGTGGCAGTGAGTTACTACAGTCCTTTCAATGTGTCTTTCAAACCCTGAAAATAGAACACGGTCCCCATCTGCTGTGGATCCCAAGGATGCTTGATGCATTGTGTATCAGACATACGCCGTACGCCACAATGAATTGACCAGTGACAAGGGCACTGGTCAAGTCTATCCTAGTCGAGTACTCACCTTGACTCGACCAGATCGTGAACAAAGGTTTTCTTTGGGAACAAGAAACAAAAACAGGACGGCTATGCGGATGGAAAGGACTAGATCGGCAATGAATGAAACGGCGAACTCGTCAATAACGGGGATTTTTTTCTGCGGTATCTCGTGGTGACGGCATAAAGAAACAAGCTCATTGAGGTCCATTTTGACTTGCAGGGCTCTCTTTCAACATTGCCCAACCGTGCCATGGTACTCTCAAAACCCCTCTCTTTCATCTCCTCTTTCATCTCCCGGGGGCATGTGTTCTGTCTCACTCTTGACAAATATTCATTTCAAGTCGAGATGGATAAGGAAATAAGAAGGGCTCGGAACCAGGGCCCGAAAGTAACTAAGCGCAAACAAAGAGGGAGAAACAGGGCATAGATCGTAGAATCAAGGGGTCGTGGATAAGACAAAACGAAAACAAAGATGGGCGAAAGAACCAAGCGGATGACTTCGTAAAGAAAGAAGCTCGAAAAAAAGTCTACGATGCGGACTTCTCTTTCTCGGCGTCAGTGGAGGCCGGGGACTCGGATATTTGAGCAGTCCCAGTCTCCTGTTTCCCCTGCGGGCCCGGGGTGGCCTCACGGTCCCGAGTCCCGGTCTCGTGCTGCACCTGGTTGGTCAGATCCTGGTCCTCCTCGGTCTGGTCAAAGAGCTCCTCTTCGTTCTGGTCCGGGATAACTTCGGTGCCATCGCCCAGGAGGATGATACGACCGGCACGCGCACTGTAGCCACGGGTACGGTCCGCATCCATGTCATACTCTTCGGGGTTATCCTCGAACTGGTTCCGGATCCCGGGGCCGCGGAACTCGGCTGCACGAACCTGGCCGTCAGCACGAAGTAGTGGGGATGCCTTCGGGTTCCTCGGGAGACTTGCCGTACTCGGGTGGAGCACAAGGTCCATCCCCGTTCGCAACCCGCTCTGCAATCTGGTTGTACCACTCCTCCTTGGTCTTGCCCTGTAGGAGTCCGATGACTGTCATGGTCATGTTGTCACATCCCACGCCGCCAGTTTCACTGTTTGATGCCAGGCAGTTATCCATCATGTTCTCGCAAATCTGGGCGAGGGGCTGCTTGGCCGCAATGCCGCGGCGAACGAACTCCACGACGGCTTGAGAGGACTGGCAGTCCCAGATACCTGTAGATGGGTTAGCGATCAGACTGACCGGGGAAAGTAGTAGACACGACATACCGTCACAGGCAATCACGAGGAACTCATCGTCGTTGGTGAGCTCGTGAACAGTCACATCGGGGTATGCGGTAACTATCTGTTGCTCGGGGGAAAGCTCGGCACTCTTCTTGAATTCGAAGTCACCAATGGCGCGGGACAGGGCGAGGTTACCGTTGACACGGCCGAAGTCGACGAAACCACCGGCAGCGCTGATACGAGCCTTCTCGCCTATAGATGAATATCATGTCAGATCCATTGTATTGAATGAGTTTACCTCGCGTAGCCAGAGTACTCACCCTCATTCTGAGGCTTATGGTCGAAGGAGAGGGGCTTTGCACGGCCCTTCACACCGAGGACTGATCGTGAATCACCGGCGTTTGCCTAGACATCGGTCAATACCAAATCACATACCACTGCCTTCAACTATCGACGTACCACCCAGATCTTCTTCTGTGAGATAATGCTTGTCGAAGCAGTGCAACCAGAGACCTCTTCCTCATAACGGGGATCTGTGTCTTGTCAGTGCCCCGGTCCACAACAGAATCGCACAACCACCAACCTTCCAAAATCGCTCTATCAGTAGCAAGGAAACCATCCTTCATGGCCTGCTCAATATCTCCCTTGGCAAAAGCGTCCTGGCGGGAGACAATCTTGTGGAGGTTCTCGCCGGTGAATAATGCGACCTTGTCACCACCGTGACCATCGTACACACCGAAGAAGGCAAGTCGGTGTTCCGGATCGGTCGGTTTCTCGTCGTCGTTACCGGTATACTTTGCGTGGAGGTCAAGAACTGCAGCGTGGGCGTCCTCCATGCTGATTCGCCAGCCCTGCATGGCCGACACACCGTAAACGCAGCAGTCATCCCCGCCCTCGGACGATGTCTACCCAACAGGAAAAAAAGAACACGTTAGCCTGCATCGATCTATTTGAAGCGGAGGGCTATCAGGACAGCTGGCAACATGCGATGCCGTTTTGGGTAATATTGACATTTGCCCCCACCACCCCTCGAACCGAACGCAGGGACCCCCCCCCCGCATGACAGACCGAGGGAGAAAGCCCGGGGATCAGGAGCTCAGATTAAATTCCAGCTGGCGGACGGGGTCCGAAAGGAGGATCTGAGAGGGAAGCCGGAGTGGTGGCAGGCCGAGCGAGAGGAGTCACACCCACATGTGCAATGGGCAAATGTGGGGGGGCGAAAGAATTGAGGAAGAAACAGGCGGGAAATATTCAGCAACTCACCTTTTCGACCACCGGCTCCGACAGGGTTTGACCCATATTGGCAAAGATTGAATAGTTCGGGGGATAGGGAAATTGTTGAGGGGAAGGGTGGGAAGAGTAGAGAGAAAGGGTCAGATGAGCAGGGCTTTCAGCGCGTCTCTGGGTCCCGCGATAAGTGGGGAACGAGATGACGATAAGTTATGGGAATCCCTCAATCGGACTATAAAATTCGGAAGTTGAGTCGAAAGAAAATATGCTGAATCGAAAGAACAGAAAGAAACGCCTCTCATCAAATTCCACGCAGAAGCAGAGATTTTTTTACCGCTTTTGCTGCGGGCGTGTTATAGGGTCACGTGAGAGGGGGGAAAGAGGTTGCGAATCGCTCTAGAAGCTTGGTGGCCAGAGATCTTCACCTTTCAAGGCTTCAAGGCTACAACACTACAGCGCTACAGGTCTAAGGCCCTTCAGGCGTTCGCTGCCTAAATCTGCCCCCCCAGTCAGCAGCAGTCAGCTCTGAACTACCCGCCGAGTACGGAGTACGGAGTACGTTGGAGATCATTGCCAAGCCTATGCCCGCCGCTGACGAGGTCCCCGGAGCTACTGAGTACTTGTAGCTAGGCACTGTTGTCAACCCCCTTGCGCTATTCCCGACCCCAATCACCTTTTTTCTGCCCGTTTTTCCCCGTTGATGAGAATAATCCGTACTCTGCATTTCGTACACCCTCTAGCAGAGTCTTGAATCCCAATCTTGGAAGACACCTTTCCATGGATGAAGCCGCGGATTGGTAAGCTCCGCCTAAATTAGGCTACGGAGTACGCATTACAATAAAGACTAGCGGGCTTCCAAGGCAAAACCCCCCGGGAAACCGGTTTCTGTGACAAAATACACATTATTATTCAATTCAACTATAAGGTACTAAACCAATCAACCATAAGAAGCCAATGGATATCATGTTCGCAATGCCCAACGCCAAAACAAAAAGACAAATGTAAGTAGAAATGTGGGAAATGAAAATGCATCGCAATCAGACAAATGCCAGCTCGCCGCTGCTGGCTATAGGTAGACCCCGGTTGCTATGACTCTTCACGGGCGCCGGGGGCTCAAGGGGCGACAACCGCCATTGGTGGTTGGGTTTGGTCGCAGGGCTGACCTTGCGGTTGAGATGTTCGTCCAGGTCAGAGACCATGGATGAACTCTGTGGGATGGCGTTCTCATCATTATACTTGGATGGGGGCCGTGGTTGACGAGCACTCGCCAGGCTGTTCTCGCTCCAGAAACGGGGGATCGGAGAGATAGCACCGCGGTATTCCTGTGCGAGGCTCAATTGACTTGCGCCATTGACACTATCCTCGGCGAGCGGGAAGAGTCCAGCCGGTTGCATATTTTGGTAGTGCGAATAACGGTTGTTGTTATCATCTCCATATTCAGACATCGACATGGCAGTCGACTGGGGCCGGTCGTGGATGGATCGTCGATACTCATCGCTGAAGGTCGAGACGGAGACCGTATCAGCGCGGCTGCGAGTACTGTGGTTGCGGTTCAGAGCGCGGAAGGCGGAGGAAGTGCGACGGCTGATTTGTGCAGAGAAGAGAGGGTTGGAGGAGTTGCGGTTTTTAGCACGGCTGTGCACGAAAGCCTCGAGGGAGTCGGCTTCGGAGATAGTGGATTCATCTGGTTCGACGGTTCGCAGTGTCATGCGCTTGTAGTTGTCGGGGATGCTAGATGCCATACTGTATGCCATGCTATGGCGCATCCGTGCTGCTGCTGGGGGCCGTGGGAACATTGGTGCAATGTTGGTTAGACTGGTCTCATCGCTCATCAACGATTGTCGTGGGTTTTGCCATGATGTGTGAACAACGCCGTGACCTGGAGGACCGAATCCACCGGCGCCGTGGCCTGCGCCGCTGAATCTCACAGGGAGCCCAGATGCAATGGAGGAGATGCCACTGGAGCGCTTAGAGTAACGTTTTGACTTCGAAGACTGTATAGACTCGCGCTTCATGGCGCGAGGCTGGATTGTCTTCAGTGGTTCTCTTCGAGATCGGTTCGTGGTACGCCGACGCATGGGGCTGGTTGTGGATGACATGCGGTTGTTCTGTTTCTTGGAAGGAGTGGTCTCAACAGGCTTGTCTTCTTCGATCACAGTATCGCGGAGTGGAGCGAATGTGCCTCGAGTGGGTGATTGACGAGCAGGAGAGCGAGGGGGGATAACAGGCTCGGGCATAGCGAAAGTGACAGGGTGTTCTTGTCCGTCGAAAGACGAAACGTTCCATGATGGACCAAGTTCAAGCTTGGGAGGATCCGAAGGGGGAGATGGGGCTCATCCAATCGTCTGAATTGTCATCGCGAGACGGTCTTTCGGCCATGTTAGGTTGGCAGTTAGGCATGTCTGGTCTGATAGGGCGAGGAGGAGCGGCCTTCATGCTTGAGGGTCCGTCTTCGGCAGTGGGAGAGTTCTTGCGACGACGCCAGCAACAGAACAGAATCAGAGCACTGAAAATCACCACAACGGGCAAAACGACCGAGATTGCGATGATTCCAGCCTTCTTGTGATGAGGGCTGCTACTCGATTGATCATGAGTGAAAGGATCTGTGGGATTTTCGTGCGTATCCGAGGCCTTGAGGACATCGAGGATGAAGTCCCTTGTATCTGTGGTCGATCCTTGGTGCGCAGTGAGAGGTAGAGTGAACTTCTTGGGGTGCATATCATCAGGAACATGGCCATAAAGGGTCTTGTTCTCAGGGAAGTATGTAAGCCAGGAAAGCTCGCTGTCTAAGTCAACATCGAGTTGCACCGAATCATCTGTGATGATGGTCTGGTTGAAGATGAACTTGAACTCGTTGCCAATAGCTGCTTCGCAGCCATCAACAGTGTTGAGGAACAATTTAGTGAATTCCAGCCGAACCATGAGCTTAGCCACGTCCTGGTAAGAGTCGGACACGGCAATGGTGATGTTCTCATTCACTGCGTCACTGGGCGGAGTTCCACTCAGCGAGACATTGTCTTTGTCAAGCTTCAACCAATCCGGCAATTCCGCCTCGACTTTGCTCAGATCCTTGCTTGAAGTGGGCGAGCCATCCATTGCGAGAAAGCTGCTGAAACTGGGACTGCTGAACTTGTCGCCCCTGGTCAAGTTAAAAGACTGCACGGTCTCATTGAATGACAGGATATGAGGGCCAATCGTGAGTTGAAAGGTCATGTTGGCTGCGCTATATCCAGCTACATCAGAGGCCACGAGCTGGAAAGTGAATGTCTGCGATCCTGAGCCACCGAAAGGGGGTGTGTTTCCGGAGAACTTCAGCGCTGCTGGGTCAAACCCGATCCAAGAGGGCAGAGGGGTGTTGTTTGGCGATGTTCCATAGTAGATAGTCGAAGGATGCGTGTTTTCGAACGTGTCGGGATCAAATTCGATAGAGAACGGACTGCCTGGGTGAATGAACAGTGTAGAAGGGTATGAAACCGGTCCCATTGACTGCAATTGGGAGACGAGGGGTTTGTGGACCGTAGGTCCTTGGTCTGCAGTGACGATCAAAGTGACTTCCATGCTATCTTTTTCCGATCCGTTGGATGCCTCGAGTTTGAATTTTGGTGCGCCGCTATCGTCTGGATGAGGAGTTCCCGACAAAACGCGATCACTGCTGTTTACTTTGAGCCATGATGGCGCATCCAATAATGAGTATTCGGTTTCATTATCGCTGTTGGAAAAGGTACTTTGGTCGAAAGCAAATCGGAAAGGCTGCGAGACTCGCGCGACTGGAGGCAATTGCGCGTTGATCGGATAGTTAGCTGTCAAGGCTGCTGCGTTGACAACTGAGGAGACAGCTAGGATGGTGAGAAAGAACGCCATGGTTGGTCCAGAAAGAGCACACTAGAATTGTGTAGAGCTGAAGAGATACAGCAGCTAGCTCATCCGATAACCAACGGCGCTTCGATCTCACGAGGAGGAATGGTGAGAGTAGTCAAGGTGGAAGAGAGAAGATACAAAACGAAAATGAAAGACTATCATGCATAGTCATCCAAAAAGGTTCGTGTCCCTGGCACTCGCGCCAAAGGGACGCCTGATGATACAGGGACACATTCAGGGCCTGCCCTTTCCGAAAAGCCATGCCTGGATATGCTGGACGTCACCGAAGTATGTAGCAGAATAACAGTGGGGAATGGACGCGGGCGCGGGTGCAATCGCTAACATTAGGCTCACGTTTCGACTATGCCCGGGTATATGCAAGGGGTGATCTCCTGCGGCGGCCAAGGAGCACAGACGTACCCAACCACAGGCATGATTTCTTGCCCCTCCGGCCCATTTCAAAGGGCCAAATCAGGCAAGGAACATTTCCCAAGGTGAATGGAAGGGAAAAGGCCCGTGGGGTGCAGATGAACGGGTGTGGCTCAAGCACCACGTTCCAAATCTAGGACCATCTTGATACCTGTTCGTCCAGGGGCATAGTAGTCAGGGATTACTTCACCCTCTTCAAACCCACTGCGAAGGTACAAGGCTCGCGCAGGCTCCCTGGCCTCGTCTACCCAGAGTTGGATGTACTGGCAGCCCTCCTTTCGTAGGCGCTGATGAATGTAGGACAGCACCTCCTGGCCCACACCCTGACGGCGGTTAGCTTCCGTAACACAGACTTTGTGCAAGAGCGCGACGCCCTTCTGTCGGACGTAAACCGCGTAGGCGATCAGATCAGATTGTGATCCCTTGGCTCGAGTCGCGTACAGCACCCGCGTGTTGGGTTTCTTTCTCCATAGCTCTTCGCCAAATTGGAATGCCTCATTGGTGGGGAAGGTTTTTTTCTCGACGCGTGAAATCTTGGCAAGAATATTCAGTGCCTCGTCCCTCTTCAAGGAATGAATGTCCGAGATGGTGAGGTCGGGCATTCCTCCCGCTTCGCGTTGAGGCGCCATTCCGGTTCAGGGCTGACAGGTCGAATTCCACAGATCTCCGAAACTTTGGGAAATGATCTCTGACGTGAGCAATCAATAAGTGTAGGCTTGCGCGATGGTTGGTTTTAGTTGAGAGACTGGGCAAGTTCTTTTCGTGGCTCCACACATGAGGTGTCCAATCAAACGCAGCCAATATCTATAAACAATTCCGCCGACGATCTTTTGTAGGATTCTTGTCTTCCGCACGTGCAAATGATAAGCCAATACTTCAATGGACGGAATAGTTTGGCTTTACTTATTTGCAATGATCTTCCTCTCAACTTCTAGTATCATTCGACCCTATGTTGGTCATGCGGGCGATGGTGACTTCATTGCGGCGCTCACATCCTGACAGTACAACATTACTCTCTTACTTTGATTTGGATAGGCTAAAGAATCAATCGGAAGGTCCTGCCCAGGTGGTCGCAAGAAAATTTGAAGCAAACGGTAGCCCTGGGATGGAGATATGCCAGTGATCGCGCATCTTTTGGGTCCCGAGGTCAACACAATTCACATACACGCCCCGAAGTGAGCCCCAAACAAAGTTCAATGTAGGTATCTGCAGAATTTTTGACTCTACTTCTCCTCGGTTCAACCCGATCACTCTTCATTGATGAGTTCTGACAGTTTCATCGGGACGCGTGGCTCTCTCCCGTTGGGGACCACAGTGACATTGGAGGTTAAAATCCACCTTACTCTATTAGATCTATACATGCGTAGGTAGTCGCAAAATGAGCAAAAAGAAATTATAGGTGGTGATACCAACATGATTTCATCAAACAACCCTTTGAGGGGAACTCGACTATTGAAAGCTCGCCAAAAACTCAAGAGAGTAAACGCCCGGTGGCTTTGGAGCGCCGAGATGAGTGGTCAGGGCTAGAGATCCTCTATCTCTATTTTATGCAGCCTTGGAATGCTGGGAGGAAGCAGTTCTTATCTACAAATTCATTGAGCCTGAGGTGGCAGCTATCTACTCTGCTACTCGCCTTTTGTCATCTCTCTTTCTCCCTCTCAACCTTTCTTTCTTCCTGCTTTCTCACTATTTTCTATCTTTTCTGCAAGCATTTGGCCACCCAATATGAGCACAAAAGATTCAGATGCAGTAGCGCAGGGTGCTATCTTCAAGGTCATCCCGCCGCCCAAGCCAACCGCATGGCAACGATTCAAAAAGCAACCTTTTCTGTTCATCGCACGGAAGCTCTATGAGTGGCGCCGAATTACCCCATTTGAACCATCCAACAAGCCCGTCTCTGTCGTCTGTGTCTCGAACACCTATTATCAGCACCCGGAGATACCGAAAGGCGATGTCCTCATTCACGCAGGCGATCTGAGCCCCGATGGATCGCGCGCTCACTTCCAAAGAACACTCGACTGGCTCAATGAACAACCCCACTCTATCAAAATTGTTGTTGCTGGTATGACCGATCAGCTCATGGATCGCCATAGAGATGCTGGCCGTTGTTGGGACCGAGAGGATCGCGACAAGATTGACTGGGGTGACATTATCTATCTCGAAAATAGCGGCATCACATTGTTGGCTCCAAATGGAAAGAGACTGCGCATCTGGGGTAGTCCATGTTCTCCAATTCGCGAAAAGAAGCTGGGGTTTCAATATCCACGTGACAAAAGCTTCTGGAAGGGAAAGATTCCTGAAACAGTCGACATTCTCATCACGCATACTCCACCTTACGGACACCTTGATTCCAGCACCGGCTGTTACCATCTTCTGCATGAGCTCTGGGAAAATCCACCCCGTCTACATGTCTTTGGTCGTGCGAGAGAGAACTATGGAACTGAAGTGTTGCAATACGACAAGCTCCAAGCCAGTGTTGAATTCATGATCGGCCGTGACGAGGGACTCAAAGAGCTTTGGCAAGTAATCAAAGGCTTTGTTTTGTCCTGGTTTTGTCCTGCCACTGGGCGTCGGACTTTGCTTGTCAATGCCTGCATCACTGGAGGCTTTTGGGACATGACTCGCCGAGGGCCAATCAAGGTTGTCATTTGAGGTCACTACCAAGGTGTTATTCTTGTCACTTCAATTATCAAGATCCAAACTCCTGCCTCACTGGACAAAATACTACTCGGGAGCATTTCAAAATGTGACTGATTAATTGAATGAAATATCTGTTTGAAAGTTTACTCGATGCCATTCTTTCTCTTTTCCAAGCTTGCTTTCAAAATTCTCTTCCGAGGCTGTCTCTCTAGGGATTTATTATTCACAGTAGTATCGTTGCCTTTATCTACAATACGTAGGCATTGGCCTACTCCGTACAGGGTCTTGAGATGTAGTGCGTAAGTCTACTTTCAACAAAGTGCCCAGGTGGACCCAGGTGGCTTCTTTGAGCAATTTGGCATCAACACACTGTGAATGCTGAAGGTGTAGTTTAGAAGTTAACCGGTTTTCTCTAAATAGTGCTTCTAATTGTATAATCGCACGAATAGTCCACCACAACACGCCAAAATCAGGGCTTGATCCACAGGTGGGCCATAAAGTCTAAATCCCAAGCTAAGACGCGGTTGGTCGGACTCGAACGCTAGACCCGCGTGAGTGGGGCACGTGATCCTATCACCCAACCAGGAAGTATATAGCGGGGCATCAGTCTCCACCCTAATCCGGACGAGATCTGCCTCATTTTGCTCCGGTAAGGAATAAAAAAATTGGTAGCTTCTCTTTGATTGAGCGTGTCATCCTTAGTGCAGGGGCCATGCTAATCTTCTCTGTATATTTTCATTTGACCAAATGCCCCGAAGGGCGAAAGTTCAGAGCTTAAAGGTCATTATAACCCCTTCTTTTGGCAGAACAAGACCGCCTAGCCTGTGTTTGGACGCGCCTACATCCATGGACTGCACACTCAAGAGATCTGATGCGACAGGTTCTGAAACATGCTCTCATTTGATAAAATTAATAGGAGTCAGAGGAGACACATATTGCTTGCTCATCACTGGGTCACAAAGGATTTCCCAACCTGCTCTTCAAACTTCTCGTGTGTGAGTCTCTGAGACGACCATACCTCACGGAATAACTATGTACAATGAGATAGCCATTCCCAGCAATATAAGGTAGTCGTGGTCAATGAGGCATTTCCTAATTGAAATCAGAAAATGTACGACTCCTGATGGATGTACGCGATACGCTTCATGGTGCGCTGGTGGGTCCCGTCCTTCTTTCTGATATCAATGCCGAACACCAGCGACTCAGTTTGATCAATGAAGAATCGCACAAGGCCCTTTGTTTCATTGAGGACGACATCGTGTTCGAAACGGAAAGGCGGCTCAGTGATATTGCCTGAGAACTGGCCGACCTCTTCGCCGTAAAAGGTGAGGCTGGTGACTTTGACAATCATCTCGGGCTTCAGATCGAGTGTGCCCTTGAGCTGTGCGACTGATATCAGCAAAATTCCGAGAACGATAGCACTGTATTGGAAATCTACAAGACTCGCCTCGATTTTTCCATCGTCTCCGACATACTGAATGACAAGCTCGAACGAGTACGAGTCGGTGTAAATCTTGGGGGATGTCACCTTCACCCGGGTTGCAAGCGAGAAAACAGGTCGCTCGGGGATGCCATCATCAGATGAGTCCGAGGCTGCGTTGTGTGCCTGCTTGGTCGACATGGCTGGATTGAAATGGAACAAGATTCAAAGAATTGATATTTGAGATGAAGATGCGGTTTCAGTGTGGATGGTGACAGGAGAAGAAAAGGAAAGGGTTTGTAACTGATAATAGATAGATGAAATTGCATCGTCAAGGCTGCTGACTTGCAACCACGCCAGAATGGAACCCAATGCGCCATCACTGTTCTGTGACATCTTGCTCTGTGTCTACCTGTAAATACTGATGTCCCTGTTCATGATCGAGGCTTCTCTTGGGGATTGAATGCTCTTTTGGAAACCGTGATATTGACTTTCAGTCGATCTAGAATTGCATTCAATTTATGACCTCTTTCCCAGGTTCACCAGCCGAGTAGTTTACTGGGAACGTGAATGTCTCTTGAGATCGTGCTGGCGGAGATAGTCACAAGAAATTTGAGATTAGTGCCTACCTACGTGCCACGGTGGTTCTGGCACGAAAACTACAAGGCTATTCCAGTAGAGGGCTATGCTCATCGGAAGAACCTTGGTACTGCTGGGGTCATTCTGGAAACGAAGCTGGAAAGCGAAGACCTCGGGCCTAAATCGGTATCATTGACCTCAGGAGCACCTGTGTCGGCATTGGCTCTAGGGCCATCCGTGGATAAACTTTCAAGGTCAAAACGATCGAAAATCATTTCAAGGTTCCGTGGGCAAGCAGACTGCAATGAATCCATGGATACCTACCTATGCATGGATATCGATGGAGCTCATGTTCAAAGAGAGAATATTTTGCATGAAATATGGATATGGTATAAAATTCGCTAGCGTACCCGAGATACTTATACAAAGGTGAAAGTATCACCGCCCTTCTCACGCAACATATTTCCAGTTCTAGACGTACCAACAACACGCTCCAACTTCAACGCGTCCCACTTGGAGAAAAGAGCACGAACACCGCCCTGGGCGGCATCAACCAACTCCGCCGGGTCAAGGCCAAGATACCCGACGATCTCACCATAGAATTGCGCATTGTCCGGTAATCCATACATGACAATCCGCTTCACGCCACGAACTTGGTAGCGACGGAAATGGTGTGCACGCTCGGTGTACAACAAGACCGAGTGGCGGCCGGATAAGAAATGACTGCGAGCCCGGTTGGCTTCCTTGGGCTCTGTATATTCGGAAATGGCACCGAAAGAGATGTGTGTTGTTTGCGTGGATGTGGAGAAGTGATTGCGCACGCGGACGAAATCGAGATATGATGGGATGAAGATTAGTGTTCCCGTTGCGCCCTTGCCACGGCCGTGGGTGATGTTCTTCACAATAGATGAGAGAATAGCGGTTGTGAAGTGCTTGAAGCGCGCATCGGGATCTTTCAGTGGTGACAGACTATCGATGCGGGTGAAAGTTTGCTTCACGGAAACCGGTAGTGGGAGCTCGGTGATAGCACCAGCGTACGTTGGGGTTGCCTTGAGGCGACCAGAGGCGTTCTGCATCTGGTTGGAGAAGAGTGCGTTGATCTCCGGTGTGATGCAAGATGCGAGAACCACAGTTTGGCGCACGTGGCGAGCGTGGTTGTCCAAGTACCAGTTACGGACTCGGCTGAAGTCACAGCCATGGGCTTCTTTGGGCTGCAAATTGAGGTGCTGGAAAATCTGGTCGACATGGTCCCAGTTCTGCATAAGCAAAGCGTCGGCGTGGTCAACGACAACCAGTTCAATGGAGGAAAGGAAGTCGTGATCACGCTTCTTGGCATCGGACTGATCCATGATGGTACGTAGACCAAGAGGACTTGCTAAAATGATGTCGGAGCTGTAGAATTGCGCGAAATATTTGACGGTCTTGCGGGTGAACTTGAGGCCAATGCGGAACATATCATCGTCATTGCCGCCGAACAACTCTCGGAAATCATCAGTCTTGTTTTCCCAAGATTCGTCATCCGGTGCCGAGAATCCATCGGTGAAACGCTTCTTATTTTCTTGCTGCTCGGGCTGGTAGATCCGGGTGATTGCTTCGAGGACCTTCACACAAGATTGTCTCGTGGGCAGAATGTATAGGACTTTAGGTCGGGTAAATCCTTGGTCACGGCACTCAACGTCGGTATCGGGATCTTTGGCGAGACGGGCACTATTTTTGAGAACTTGGTCACGAGTCTTGAGAAGATGGTTCACTGCATGCAAGGCAAGCATATCACGCAACTCCTGTGCATTGGACGGAGAACGAGCACCGTAGAGCACGTCTTGATAATCGAACACATAAGGCGCAATAATCTGAGCTTGGCCATTGATTTTAGGCAAGATTTCTGCAGCTCGAGTCTTGATTTTTTGTTTCAACTGCAACATCACATGTTAGTCGATACATAATGGTGGATTATTGTTCCCGTCGCATACCTTGAGGTTACTAGTGTTCTTCATTGGTGGCAGTAGTGTTGCGCCATCGACACCTGTTTCAGGAACGCTCTGGATGAGTCGTAGCCCATCAACCTCCTTCTTGGCAGAGCTCCATTTCTTGGATTGAATGGCTTCGACCTGCTTGACCAGGTCTGAGCTCTCGGGCTGAACAAAATGCTTTTCAAAAGGACCGACAGTGTCCTCGTCGTCGTCTGCTTCGTCATCTTCGTCGTCGGATGGGGCCTGGGCTTCCAGGTCGTTGTCTCCGCTCTGCTCTGGTTCCTCCGTAGTGTCGGCCATTGCGATCACCTCATCAGAATCGGTAGCAATCTTGCGCTTCTTTCTAGCGGGGCCAGAAGTCTCTGTCGGTTGAAGTAGCTGGAGAAGTTCGTTATATGGGCGTTCAGTAGTCTCCTCTTCCTCCTCACTGCTGGATGATCCGTCGTCCATGGGGGCATCATCGCCAGATTCTTCCTGTGACAGTTCGCTGGCTGAATCATCCCCTGAAGAGTCGTCCGATCTGATGCTCGTTAGCTCGAAAAATCTTAATTTGGTATGAAAATTAGCACTCACTCGGCTTCGTTCAGTCGCGAAGTGGCGAAGCGACCACCACGACTTCCACCACGGCCGCGACCGCGACCACCACGACCACCACGGCCACCTCGACCACCTCGACCACCAGGTCCGCGACTTCTAAAAGAACCACCGCGTGGAGGGGGCATGTTGTGAGAGATTGTAGTGAACAAAAAAGGGCTCGTAGCTCTCGGCCTGAGAATTTACTCTTATCTTATCTTAGTGCGAAATTTCCCACACAAAAGCAGAATCGGAACAATCACGGCTCACTCCACTCTAAGGAAAAATTGAACCTCCGAGAGAAGCCTGTCGAGTTTGGGGATTTGAACCTTCAAGATTTCCATCAACAATTAAACATGGCTGAAGATTCTTTCCTCCACCTTGCTCGCCCCCTGGGCCCTGTCAGCGTTGGGACCGCTCCCACCACTGCCCCTCTTAACGTTGTCATTCAGCCCCAGGTATGTATAGGTGTCCTATGATCTGAGGGGTAAAGCTCATGCCTCTCTAGGCCATTTTCTCCGTTCTCGACCACTCTCTCCGCCGCAATGCCGATCAGGAGCGCGTCATCGGTACTTTGCTGGGAACACGATCTGAGGATGGAAGCGAGGTTGAGGTCCGATCCGCCTTCGCCGTCGGCCACTCCGAGGCTGAGGACCAGGTCGAAGTCGATATGGAATACCACAAGCAGATGCTCGCCCTCCACTTGAAGGCCAACCCCCGCGAAGTCCTGGTTGGCTGGTACGCCACTGCCTCCGAGCTGAACACCTTCTCCGCTCTCATTCAGAACTTCTACAGCGGCCAAGGTGATGGCACATGGCCTCACCCCGCTGTCCACTTGACTGTCTCCACTGAGGCCGGCAAGGACCTCGAGACCCGGGCTTATATCTCCGCTCCCGTTGGTGTCACCGCCGAACGCGCTGCCGACAGCGCTGCTTTCATCCCCGTTCCCTACGAGCTCCGCTACGCCGAGGCCGACAAGAGCGGTCTTGAGTCTATCGCCAGCGCCAAGGATGCCGAGGACCGTTCCGCCACCGTCACCTCCGACATCGATTCCCTCGAGCGCGCTGTTGAGGAGGTCATCTCCATGATTGACCGTGTCTCCCGCTACGTCGAGTCCGTGATCGACGAGGAAACCCCCGCCTCCACCGCTATGGGCCAGTTCCTCCTCAACGCTCTTGCTCTTGCCCCCAAGGTTGAGCCTGCTGACATTGAGCGCGACTTGTATGTTCAATTTCCGGATATTTTACTTGTGTTGGCACTCACTAACATTTCACAGCAACAACCACATCCAGGACGTCCTCGTCGTTTCTTACCTCGCCAACACCGTTCGCACACAGATGGAACTTTCCACCCGGCTAGCAACCGCCCAGCTCACTCTCGGCGGCGGCGAAGGTCCCGCCACCGGCGAGGGCCAGCGCAACCAGCGCGGTGGCAAGGGCAACAACCAGGGCGGCCGCCGCCAGGAGCGCACCGAGGAGGCTCGCGCATGAACGGCTTTTTCCACCCAACCCTGATGCATAATGTGACGATACGCGGGAGTAACACTTTCACCAAGGGAACGTCGATATTTCGTTCAACGTTCACCTCCTTTTATCCCATCCCTCCCGACGTTCCTATTTTTGGCTGATTCTCTTCCCTGTTACCACCTCTTCCGCCAAACCTCTCAATTTCTTTATTCCGCTATTCTACGCTTTTTTTTTGCGAGACTTTCATGTTCTCTTAGGGACTCACGGATAACGAATCGGTCAATTCTGTTCCTCGGTCTTTGGGGTCAGCCCGTCTCGAGCAGGCACCCACGTCCGACCCGGCTGGCCCCATATAAAGATCGATATATTGGAAACCAGTCATAACTGATCATTCATGTTCTGTGCAGATATCCTTTGGTGATGAGTCTAGACTGTTGAAGACAAAATCGGTCGACGGGGTCGATCTCTACGAAGTCGCATCTTATGGGCGCGGCGTTTTCAGTTATGATGAAATGGACATAAAAGTTCTAGAGCTTCTTCGTATTGTACATCGTATTAGCCTGATATTGCCATTGACGCTGATACCTAAGTGTTGACATTGATCATCAATTCCGTGGCTATGTACCTCGAACCCGCAGGGCTTGAAAGGCTGGTACCAGCCTACGTGATACCTCGAAGAAGAATCATTCATTCCACACGCCTGCAAGATCCATGGATTTTTTTCATGCCTTCTAGGGTTTCGGGTCTCAGAATTCTGGAATGTAACAAACCATTCATAAATGGAATCGTACGCATATAATGCTGGGCGAAAGCGAATTATTGAGAGGCCGATACTCTAACTGTAACCTTTGGAACCTGATCCACGAGTGGGAACATACAGTCACCTGCCAGGTGGGCAGTCGGCTCGGTATCAATATTGTTTTGGTACATATCGATAGTGCTCTTGAAATCTGAGGCTGTAAGCCAGGAAAAAGCGCTAATCATCGTCAAGTATAGGGTTTGAACTAGATATAAAGTTAAAGTTAAGGTCTTATTCCTACGAGTGCAAATTTTACAGAGAACGAGAACCCTTTGAGTCGTGGGCATCGAGTCAATAAGTACTTCGCTTCGGCGGCCCCGGCTGGCAACAAATAACTTCGGATGGTCGTTAAACAGACCTGAGGGGGGTGATAACGACATGTACAGGCACAAAAGATAAAATTCTAGTATTCTGACATTTCTATAACGCTTCAAAATAGTATACTGGGGAACAGAACCTGTTTAGAACACTAGTTAGGGCTTTTTCTGGCAAGTCTAGGCTCGAAACCTTAATTCAACTGTCAGCGACGGCGAATCAACATCAACACCCACAACTATTGGTACTAATTAATGACTAGGATGATCCTGGTCAATGGATTTGTCGATACTGATGTCCCGTGGTTGATTCCTGTTTTACCGCATGATGGCCCGAGAAAGCTCATTATCGCAACATTTGTTTGGACATGTGTGCCTTAGGATGGTTTTCTTGCATGGCATATAAAGCCCAAGATGATGGCATGAGAATCTCAGTTTCTGAACTGTTACGATACTCTCTATCATGAATTTCAAGCCGTTCATCGTTTTCTGTCTGAGTGCTTTCCAGGCTTATTTGTGGGCATGGTCGTATAAGCTTCAGTGAGTGATCTTGATATATTCTCTCCACCAGCCTTGCAACCCCGTGAGAGTTTGTACGGCAGCTAATCCCATGGCCTGTACTAACATGGTATAGCGCCCCTCGTTTTCCGAGCGACTCGATGGGTAGATTGGACGGAGCGGCAAATTGGGTGAAGCTGGAAGTAAACCGGGGAGGAGTCGATGTGATGCTAGAGTTCTTTTGGGAAGTCATACGGCTCATTGTGCTCTGCAAAGTTGTTAAGAGAGTCATGGGCTATCTTGATGATGCTCTTATGATCTTCTATTGGAATGTCTATGTGCCGTACGTTCAAGGGAAACATCCATGTTACCTTGCATTTTCACATCATCCCCCTCTCCCCTCTTCAAATGGCTTCCATATCTATGCTCATGGCTCAATATAGACATATGCACTGCTACCTTCTTGCTTCTGGAAATTGGATCACGGCTCTCTGGAAGGATGCTTGGGAGCACTCGCCATTTCCACCACATACTCTCGACAGGGAAAAGGATCGCAATTCCGAGGCCTTTCTTGATCTGGTCACGAAGTCCGAGCCTTCACCTTGGCTCAATCACGGTGATTCAAAAATCCTCCGTCGAAGTCTCCGGATACAAGCTCGAGTGAAGCGTCTGAGCCAAGGACAGGAATAGGCACGATCAGTGAGATACCGAAATGCTATTTATGGCTAATGCCATCTTGTCTGTTCCACAGCGCAGCTTGATGAGTATCTTTACGCTAAACTTGCCTGCTCGGTTCTCGGGACTATCTCCTGTGCGATATCAACCTCCTGGGACTGCAATTTCTTCCGAAAGCCAACCTAACTATCGAGTCCCATCGCTTGGTGGTGCATAATCTAGCTGAATACTAAACCAGAGCAACCTCTGTCCGCTCTTCTACGCCTACCCATTGAATTGGGTATTTTTTTTCTGTCGCCCGAAGACCAGCAACCCCATTCTTCGGAATTCTTATCAAGCAACATGAAGGACTACATGTGGGGCTCACATCGAGGTTGTGATGATATATCTTTGTAGCTCAAGATGATCAGACAAGAAAAATTCATTGTGGGTATCCTAATAAGCATATTCAAGTAAATTCGCATGTCCTGGAATTCCGATTCCTAGTCGCACCTAGCGGCCTGTACCTAAAAGATCAACCAACGCCAATACCCATGATGTTTTGTACAGCCATAAACGCTCGACCCAACGCCATGACCGGAAGTAAGTGCAATGAAGAAAGCAAAGAATGTTCAGCCGATGGTCTTGCGCTTTTTCGAAACAGACTCCTCAGTGGCATCAGATCCCCGACGAGCTGCATCCCTCTTCCCCCTTGCCCTTATTCTTTCCCTTCTTGCCAGTGACACTCGCAGCAGCAGCAGCCTCTGCCGCTTCGGGATCTTCACCGGCCGCAGCGGCCGCAGCGGCGGCGGCGGCTCCCTTCTTCCCCGCCTCCTTGGCAACTTGGTCGTCGTTCTGATCGAAAGCCTTACGAGCCTCTTTCAGCTCACGCTCCATGCGGAGCAGCTCCTGGACACGTCCGAGTTTGTTTGGATCGCGGCGCAGTGCAAAGCGGAAGTCTTCGACCTTGATCTTTTGGCGACGAGCGTGATGCGCGACTTGCGCGGCGCCGTGGCATACTTCCAGGACAAAGTCCGTGACTATCTCGTCGAGAACACGAACTGTCTCCGGGAGCGGTTCATTCGGGAAAGAAGGGTGAGGGCTTGGGTCTCCGTAGGCGAGGAGTAGGAGGCGAACTGTGATGCGTTAGCTTGATTGGGTTGATGCAATCCATTGGACAGATGAGACACACGCTCGTTCTGGAAATTCATTTGCCCTTTGTGACGGGCCATTCGAGCGCGTGGTTCCGCCATGGCTGAGCTTTTCTTGCCTCTGCTTGGAGGCTCGGTTTCCGATTTCTTGGGTGTCCACTGGGGTTGGTAACCAGCGGAGATCAGATGAGTGTCTTGCTCATTGAACGGCCAGGGAGTTGCGGGCAGAGCGTGGACCTGCGGAGGCTGGGGCGTAGCGTTGGAGGCTGAGCCTGATAGCCGGTTGGGAATAGGGAGTGAGTGATTGTTGGCCGAGGGGTTTGCCGCGTGGCTTGGCGTAGAAGTCGAAGGTGACGACGATTGGAGCTTGAAGGATACCCGCTTCTTCGGGGCCTTCTTCGGGGCCGTGCGGTTGGCGGACATTTTGGGCAGAATAAGCTGGGACTCCCATTAGCAAACGGACACTTCCCATCTCGACATCGACTGTTCTTCTCTGCCCCAACTACGGGCAAGGATTCGACATGGTGAGTCCACTAATCTCTCAGCAACAGGGGGATCTTTCGACAGTCACATCATGCAGATAGCTGCGACTGTGCTGATGTCGCGACAACCCCGATGACAACATGGTCTCAATGCGCTAACTTATGCAATCACCTAGTCGGCTCTTTTCAACTTTCGCTCTCTCCTTCTCGTGCTGCTCTTGCTTATCTGCACTAGCAGCTATGCGCATTCGATAATGCCCGGTATCATGGACCGAAATCAGAATGGGTACGTACTCACATTGGGTTGTATGAGTATCCAATAGATGCTCGCGAAGTCACAAATGCTCAAAGATCTTCAAATTAGGATGTTTGGGATCTTCTGGAAGTTTGCCCGTATCGGAGAGCGGCTCAGCCCATATGTGAGCATCTGCTGTGTCCTGATGGCAGTAAGTCTTACCCCACGAAAGTCGCGAGTTCGGTAGTCATGCGAATCCACCATATACATACTAACTTCATGTGCAGGTCTCTATCTTCTTAGGCAGTTGATCGCCAGCCATACCCTCACGTCTTCTCGCTTCACTTTTATGTCTCAGCCCAAATGATCTCACCTGAATCCCTACGTTATTCACATCTTGAACCAATCATCCATGGAGGCGGTTCACAACCAAGGCCTGTCAGTACAATCTCCACTGGATGCTCTGGTCTCAGAGAACATGATATCAGGCGGATAGTACCTTTATGATGCAATGTACAGTACATGATATCCATACCTACAACTAGAATCTCCGGCCAGAAATGGCTGCCTTTCCCCTCGCAAATTTGGACGTCAAGCTGCCATTTGACCCAGACACTGCCCTGTAGCATTACTATTCCGCACCTGTCCAATACTTCGAATCATCCACCGATCCTGTTGTTGACGTTCAACTTGTCCAGTCCCAAGGTTCTTCCACTGGCCACCTAGACAATACTGAAGATGGCTCATCTCTTGCTGACTCCAAGTCCTCTCCTTTTTCATCCAGTCTGTTTGAGCGCCTACAATATACCTCACTTTCCCTGAAGTCAAGTCTGCAACTGGGACGCGAAAAAGAGAGTTAATGGCAGAGATGCAGTCTGTGGCCGGCGCAATCAAGAACACCCGTGACACGTTTTGATGCCTCTTTCAAAGGAATGAGAAACTGTCCAAAAGAAAGACCGGTCCAAACTTACGTAGGGAAATATTGGCGATCGGGCTTGCGAGGCAGCCAGAAATCACTATATGACGAGTTCCAAGCTCGCCCAATAGCCTCCACAAGTGTTTGCCCAGGTGCTCGCCGGGTAACGTTTCGGCTGACCCGAAACTGAGCATTGCAATTGCATTTACTTCGTGCAGACTTGCATACTTCGGGAGCTTCGTTCCAACATAATATAACCCTTTTGTTAATGAGGCCGAGGTAGATGAATTACTCAGTTGATTGATGCCGGTCACTTGACCAGACTGAATGAATGGCCCATGAGATATATGAAGGCCTGCCTCATTGTAAGTTTCACAAGTATTGATGGACAAGACGGATGCAATTATGATACAGCAAATAATACAAGTGTTAGAAGTCCGCCGTTTGTACAAAAAAAAAAAAAGTCTAAGCCCCGTAGCTTCCAAGGTTCCAACACCACCCGTATAAAATGCTTCAAGATTGCTTGGACCAACAGGCACAAACACAAAGGGGTATCTCACTGCGTCTTGGACTTCAGCTCCAACTTCTGCAGGCCACTGTCGATCAAATCATCCCGCTCCTGCTCGCCTTTGTGCACCTCGGAGCCGGGTTTTGTAGCATGAGATGCTCGGTGACCATCTGGTCCATAAATCTGGTCCATTTCTTCAATAGAGTTCCAAAGGCGCTCAGGATCACGAAGATAGCGTAAACCCTTCATTGTGTACTCGTCAATGGAGAATCCTTGCGCCTCCATGTGTCGGATGGCGAGGGCGGCGTCTTGAATTTGTTGATTATTCGCAAAACCATTGATTATGGTGTTCCAGGTCACCTGGGTAAATTTCGCGTTGTATTTGGCCATCATCTCCTTGACTTTCTCTGCTGCGTCGGGTTGGCGGTGGAAGACAAAGGAACTGAGGAGGATGGTCCATGTGCGAGAGGACGGGGCGACAGGTGTCAGTTTTTTCCCGTCGCTGGTTTGCGTGGGAAGAGAAGATGAGTCGAGCATATCCTGAACAATAGCGACACTTGCTGGCAAGGTGTGCGGATTTTTGCGGAGCGCAATGAGGAATTCATTATAAATGTGGTCGCTTTCAACCAGAGGGGCGATAGAGGGGTGACCCTTCATCACCATCGCGCGGAATTGGTCATATATGCGATTCACTGGATAATTCCTATTCTTGCAGCGAAAGAATGTCGCGATCATGAGATACAGAGCAACTGGTGAGGGAGGAGTCTTGATCTCAAGTCCCGTCGACGGAGGCGTATAGTGCGTGGGAATGATGAGGAGGTCTTTAAGGGGGGATATGTCGTGGAGTTTGTTGTACATCTCAAGCATCGAGTAGAACACGCCTGCAGGATCGGTTTCGGGGTCCAAATGCTTTGCAGTGAAAGTGAAGTGGGCATGGAATATCTTGCTGAAAACATGGGGGTTTCGCTTGAGGGCTTCCTGCATCTCAACTTCCCTGGTCAAATCATCGACTCGAGCTTGATCGCCTCGAGCTACTGCATCTGTTAGGAGTGTCACGTAGGTATAAGAGTCGAGTTTGTGGTTGTGACTTTGCATAAACTGGAGCATGTCCTCTCCAAGCTGAGGATCGCCGGTGTCATAAGCATTGGCAAGCACCACATTCATCATGTCACGGTCTGGCTGAACGCCCATTTTGAGAAGCTGTGGAAGGATTCGGAAATTGCGGCTTCCCGCTTTGTCTTCGACGGTGTCCAGTGTCAAAAGCTTGCAGCAGTGTCGTAACACTCCTTGCGAGGCCATGTCAAAATCTGGATCCTTAATTTGAGAAACCCACTCAAGAGCTTCGAGTGCATGTTCCACTTTTCTGAACTCTGTGAATCTTTTCATAAAACAAAGCACTGTTTCCGGTTTCATGCGAACGTTGAACTCCTTGATGCGCCGGTATGCCTCTAGAACCCCATTGAGTTCAGCTCTATTGATGAAAAGCCGAAATCCTGCGTGGGGAGGATTCACAATAGGCCAGGTCTTTGGACTCATACATGCTTCAACAGCTGTCGCATAAGTATGTTTGCCGCTTGACCAATCACGGAGCCAGCCATCATAGTAGAATTTTTCCAAGTAGAGAAAACAATCAGATACCATGTTGAAATCTGGACAATCCAGACTTGAGTCCGTGGTGACGATTAGATAGTCCAAAACCTTCTCCGGTGAATTTTGCAACATCCAGATAGCGAGACGCTGCCAGACAGAGGCTTTGGTGCGTCGATCCAGTGCAGCCCATGCTTTCTGGAAAGATCCATAGCAGTCCTCAAGAGCTAGATCGAGTAGGGTTTTAACATTGTCTTTGACACTTAGGATCAAGGTAGTGTTGGTGACATCTTGGTCAAGTAGCTTGGCCTTGAATATGGCTCTGTAAGCAAATTGCCATTGCCGGTTTGCCAATTCTCGCGAGAATAGTGAGTTCAAACGCAAGTTTAGAGCTGCAAACATTGCTTGCTGTGTCAGCCTGTTACCATTGCTCTGGATTGCGAGGTTGACTCTGATGGCCGCTTTTCCCACCACATTGCGGTCAAGCTTTCGCAAAGAGGCGACACTTGTTATTTGATCCCAACCAATCAGCGGGAGATCCGATTTTGAGTGGCCAGTTTTGTTGCTCGTTGGGTGTTGACGTTGTGTCTGTCCCTGTTGTATGTTTTGTTCATGTGATACGCCCCGTTGTGACTGTTCGCTGCTCGGTCGATGGGGGCTGGATGGATCGTAGTTGATGTGACGGATTTCGGAGGACATTGGGGTCTTTTCCACGCTGGGTTGTAGAACTGCCCGGGGATCGGACGTAGATAGGCGTGCTCTATGCCGAAAATTTGCGCCGCAGCCCCGGCGCCATTGCTGATGTCGACATGGCAAAAGCAACCCGTTCAGACGGGACTGAGCGAGTCGGGGACCGAGTGACATTCAGAAGGTTTGAATGACATACATCCAGGGTGTTGTTGCAGTGCGAGGGAGTTGCGCGGAGTCGGAGATGAAGAAAGTTGGTATTCCGCCTTATTTTGCCGTGGCTGGTGTGTGGCGCACCACCTACTTTTATTGATCCAACATTATCCGCTTCACTTTTCAGAGGATCGGAGGGGCTTGAGATCCTTTTCAGAACACCATAAACAACTTTGATCCTGTCTTCTTCTGTCATTTCTTTTCCGGGGACAGTCACTTCTTGCTCGAAAACATGTCATCGAATCACACCAACTTCGATGCGGCAGCTACCGACCGCAAAGCCCGCCTTGCCAAATTGGCAGCGCTCAAGCGCAAGCAACCCGACCAAGACCCAGATGAAGCCGGCGACGAAGATGAGGAGCTTCCCGATGCTGAAGCAACACCAGATGTGACTTCAAAGTTCTTGTCCGGCCGCAATTACGACGCCGAAGCCCGCGGGCCAAAGTTGGGTTTCGAGCATGGCCCACAGGAAGGCAAAGTGACTCTGGAGGAACAAGCTGCAGAGATTGCACGAGTCGCCGCGGAGGAGAATGTGCAAGATTCAGACGACGATGCGCCTATCGATTTACTTAAACTACAACCCAAAAAGCCGAATTGGGATTTGAAGCGAGATCTGGCCGAGAAGCTTAAGGTGCTTGATGTACGGACGGACAATGCTATCGCCCGCATTGTTCGAAAGAGAGTGGAGGACGACAAGCGCGCTGCGAAGGAGCGAGGGGTCACGACCAAAGGAGAGGAACAGGGAGAAGATGTGGGTATTGAAGGCGAGACTCTTGTTCAAAGCATTCACATGCGGGAGCACGAAGAAAAGAGCGACGAAGAAACGATTTGAACGTGATACCCTTTATTCCAGGATCTCGGGAGGGCATTGTTAGGTTTTTCTGCCACACCTGTATTTTATTATTTCCTGTTCATTTGATCATACTTTAGCTTCCTTCCTACTAGATCAAGGCGTCCGATTGGGTCAGAGCATACCGCGGGAGGAAAAGTAAGGCGTTGAGGAAGTCTCATATTAAAGCAATCTAAAAGGACATTCTTGTCTCGTGTTCTTTGCTCTTCATTGGCTTGTCCCCGGTGACCCTTTTTTAATGGTTTGGAATGGAATTACACTGCAAAGGCAAATGGACAGAAGTTTTGGTAAAAAGCTAATAATACACTGATCCCTCGTAGAGAGAAGACATGGAATGCGCCGAATCAGATCCATCACTCGTATGTGCCGTAAGAAGTATCCATCATTCAAACTGTGGTATTTATTTACCGTCCGATATTCATAGCTTGGGTTAGGGCAAGACGTTTGCTGAACGGACTCAAACTTCGTTCCCGTGGAGGCTGGTTAGCTCGGGGTTTGGAGCTTTGTCCTGAGCGCCCTGGGGGAGGCTGGCATGATGGGCTAGCTCTATCCCGGTACTGGCGATCACGGTCACGGGGTGCATCCGGGGTCATGGAACGCCTATCTTGTGGGACTCGGTCCTTGTCAGCGCTCCTACTGCGAGGGTGGCGATGCTCGCTACGTCTTCCTTCCCCACGGTTGCGGCCTCGCTGGTCGGGGCTAGACTCTCGGCGTCGGCGCCGGGTGTTTCGGTCATCGTCGCGCTCTCTTGGGGGTGACCGTTGTGTGGGTCCTGAGTGTACAGAGCTGGAGCGGCTGTCAGATGAATCACTGTAGCGTCTCTTGCGGGATTTTGTAGGTTCTGGCGATTTGGAACCATGTCGACGACTATCATGTGCGTCATTTCTACTGCGGCGGGGAGACGCAGAATAAGACCGATTCGTAGATATCGTTGAGACTGAACTCATTGAGTGCGATGAGATTGACCGAGCACGCTTTGGGGATGTGCCACGGCGGTCTGTCGTATCCTCAAGGTCTCTCTTTCGGCCACGCTCTTGCTCTCGGCTGGCAAGTAATTCATCTGCCACGCCATCTCTGTATCGAATTAGTCATGCAAAACTTAGGGTGGTGACGAAAGAGATAATCTTCTCCATACGCACGTTCGGAGTAGCTCATTTGGATTTTCGCTGGAGAGCTTGGGTACCAATTCTGGGTTCAGTAGTTGCTGAGTCCGAGAAGGCCGCGGGATATATGGGCGCTCTTGCGCCGATGCCTTGCATTCGTAGCTGTAGTGCCGTACATTGAAGTTAGTTTGTTATGTTGGACTCGGTTCAAGGGGACGACATATCTCGTTTCAGGCATTTTTGGCACAAAGTAGTTGCGGAGGCTTTGCTAGGGCCTCGGAGGGTTGGAGCATTTCGATATCGATTCATTGAAGCGGTTGGCAGGAAAATCTCGGGATTAAAATAGAATCAGAGGATACTCTGAGAGAGTCCAGTCGTATGGGAGAGTCCACGAGTCAGATCACTGGAAAGATCTAGCGTAAAACGAAACGGCGCAAATTGACTGTTCCCATTTGAAGCCCAAAATTGTTGTAGGCGCGCGGTACAGGCGGTGGGGCGCGGCAATAATGCGCCCACGAATCTTCAGGCGATCAGGATTCACATTTACAACTGCGCTCTTCCGGAATATCGAGCTCTTTCTCGACTCTTTCGTCATCCGTCTCAGATGACCTAGAGTATCCTGGCTTCTGCACTGGCAAGTCACCTCCGGATTTGTCCCCCCCCACCAAACCTCCGTACGACGCCTTCATCGTCTCCCTGATCATGAGCCAGCTTTGATATAATGTAAGAACCCCAAAAATCATTTCGGGATTTTTATTCCATTGGCTTGTATTCACACCGGTGTCGCCCCGATCTTGGTGCGGTGCTTCAGTTGATCTTGTTGCTAATGTACTATGTCCCCAGCTTTCCTCCATGGCGACTGCCCTTCTCCAGAGATATGTCTTTCGTTTTGGGCTTGTGTAAAACTGAATTACGCATCGACCTACCTCTCAATCAAACGAGCACCAAATCTTTCCACGTCTGCGAGTCTGAAGTGTGTTGAGAGCGATTGCGTCTTACCTTGATCTCGGATTATTCTTCTTCTTGCGATATCTACACGGACCCATCAACCATCCCACGGAGTGTCGACATGGCATCAAAAAGCCCTCCAGGCGGGGAAGGTCTCCTCTCATTTGCTAAGGTACCCATCACCATCAGTAATGGCCATGAGTCCCCTCAAGCATGTTGTTAACTCGTTATTTAGATCGCCGCCATGCCCGCACCTTCCACCCTACAACCTTCTCCAGCGTCCGGTGATCACGAAATTTCCCCATCATCAGAAGAATCCAATGACACGGATTTGAATGGCACTAGTGCTTCCTTGCCCAATCACCACAATCTAGACAAAACACCAGAGGCTAGTTCCATTGACCTAGCAGTGGATGACCTTGGAAGAGGTGTGCAAGACATTGGCCTCACTTTGAAGAAGCATAATGAGGCCGGGGGGTCCTTGACTTCTCGCCATGATCATGGCCTGCTTAAGCGGGAAAATTCATTTGAAGATGATCGCACACATCTTTCGACCTCTTCTACCAAAATGACCAACTTCGACTCAAAAAGTCTCGCTTCGGTCACTACCTTCGCGATGGATGAAAAAGATTCGGTGCGACCTGATGACAGTGCCAGCGTTCAAGCCATTGACGAAGAAGAGTCTCTATCCGGACATGCCTCTGGTGCGCCAAACTCAGTAGCAGGCTCTGAAGCTGGCAGTCGTGCGTTCCGCGATGCAGTTCCCACACGTCCACGCGGCATGTTGCCTGTTCCCGGTCCTTTGTTCAATGGGTCTCCGGCGATGAACGGAACAATTCCTCCGGATTCGGTGGCGAACAATTTTGTGATGCCAGCCAATCCTGACAGTGTTCAAGATGGTCAGAATCTACATGGGTTTCCTCTCGAGCCAGATGAAAAACTTTTGGAGGCAATGAAGTCGCCCAAAGACCGGCTTTTGATTCTACAGCTGGAGGAAAAGATTCGATACTTCATTAAGAATTGCAACGAGCAATCCTTGGAACTACCTCCTTCCAATGCATTTGGACGTCTGCTTGCTCATAAGCTTGGAGACTATTATCACCTCACACATTTCGTTGACAATAACGTAACGTCGGTCAGGCTCCATCGCACACCGTTCTGTCGGCTCCCTACCCCTTTGTCTGCCGTACATGCTGCCAGCAATACCACTCCGCCTCCAGTTATTCCAGCAATGAAAATCATGCGACGAAACGACGGGGGGCAGCTTGATGGAAGCATGGGAGGCTCTTCCAACCCTTCCAAGGCCAATTCAGAAGCCGGTGACAGTGGTCCAGATGGAGAGCGCAACGGATCCTCTTCTGGAGCTACCCCCGCCAAAGATCGAGCAGCCCTAACACGGGAGGAGCGTGAAGCGAAATATCACCAAGTACGTGAGCGAATTTTCCGTGACTTCCCTGACTCTGCAAAGTCGGAGCCCACCAGCGGTGAGTCGAATCACGACATTTCACGTGCAAGTTCAACCAATGGTCGCAAAAAGAACCAGAAGCAACGCACTCCTGTCGACGACAGTTTTGAGGTTCGTTCTCAATTTGAAATCTGGTACCCTGGTGTACAATACAGCAATGGCCCAGCTTCGTACAATACTCCAGTCAACGACGGCTCCGCAAATCAAGTGCCATATTTGGTTGGACCTGGTGTTCCTCCACCATCTGGAGGTTACCTACCATCTGGACAAACCGGTGCCATCCACTCAGGCGCAGTGCCAGTTAACGGTCCTCCCCAATATCCAGCTGCGATGTCACCTCAAATGCCCCCCAATAGCCCATGGCAAGGTACCGGTATGCCGCAGCAATCTCCTTATCCCGGATACGGTCCAATGAATCAACCGGGGATGATGAACCAGCCACCTTCGAACGCCTCCTCGCCAGCCTTGAGTAACTATGCTGTCCCCAACACCGTACCATACCAGCAACCTCCCAACTGGAATTCGGCGCCTTACCAGGCGCATTTCCAACAGTCCCCACAGCAGCGGAATGGACCGCCTGTACACTGGCCTAACTACCAACATATGCCCCCCAACATGCAACCCAGCATGGGTCCCAACATGGGTCCCGGTATGCCACCGCATATGGGTGCCGGCATGGGTGGATATCCTTATCACCAATACCCCGGGCAACATATGAACACTGCTTTCCAGAACACCTCCGCTTCTCATCCCATGCAGCCTGCTTACCCACGGTCTCACTTCAACCCACAGACACGCTCGTTCGTCCCTGGTGGAATTCCTCCTGGGCGTCACACAAGCAGACCTACTCAAAACTCGCAGTATGGCATCATGCAGCCAAGTTCCCAACCACAGTGGAACGGGTATAGTGAAGCTCCCGCCGGCCGACCCATGGAGCCTCCCCGTATGCCCATGGGACCTCGAGACTCAATCGCCAAATGGGGAACACCATCCCACCTTCCCCCCAAGCCTCCACCATCAGAGGTCCCATCCGACTTCGATCTGAAAAATCGATCTGTTCCGGCGTCAGTGCCCGCGCACGTTCCAATGTACGTCGGCAACGGTGTTTCAAATGGACCGCTTGTCGTGTCGGGGGGTGTTGCTCTTCCGAAACAGAATTAGCTTTGGATCGTTTGCTTTGTCAATGCCTATCTGCATTGCCGGTGAAATTGAGCGCGTAAAAATGACCGATAGATCCATTTGGACTCTTCAGTGGTTATCCTGTTGTCTTGTGAAGTCTATTCGTCTGTTTACATGTGACAGTTAAAGCTCTGGGGCTTTGTACAGTCGGTAATGCATGGCGATCTGGGCGCTCAGGTCTGTCTTGTTTCTCATAGGTAGCTACGGATCTTCATAATGAACCCATGCCCTTCCAACCTCGCGCTTTACCTAGACTCCCAAGGTCGCCACATAAAGCCCCCAATTCCAATGCCCTTCATCTACCTGGAGGCCTCGTGAACTTTGGAAGCTGGCTTTCCAGCTGTGCAAAGTCACAAGAAGGCGCAACAAATGGTACATGAACAATCGTAGGCCTTGTAGAACTTGGGTAGGATTTGAATTCGTTTGAGGTATTTCAAGTTCTTCATGACATTCAGTAAAGTAGAAGCGACTGGTCTTATAGCATTTGTCCTAACATTAACTTGGTGCGCCTTTCATCACACCTATCTAAGGCTCCAGCTGCTGGAGGTGGTGGTAAGGGTGTAGAACCAAGAAACAGCCGATGGGTTAGGGCTGGTGATATCATACTGATCCACCATCTTTACACCGATTCTGGGACCTTGAGGATCTTGCTTTTTAAAGGGAAGAGAGTCAGCCTTGTATCTCCTGAACTAGGGCCGGGCGACTGTAACGCGTCTTTTGATGGGCATTTGAGAGGGTGGTGTGGCTTCCAACCACCCGTGGATCATGAAGCCCAAGATTCCCGATCACCTTGCTCCTTTTTTGGCTATTTACCTTGGAATCAAAAGAACAGGCTTTGAAAAACAAATATGGATGTATAGCAGAAGTTAACTCCCTGTCACTTGTCTCTCAAGCTTTGAATGATGATATCTCTGCAAGTTCTGGGGACAGCAGACTATCTATCCCTCGCTCTGCTGGGTAGTCATTTCGTAGTATGCCTTAGAGACTTAGCGGTTGTGAATATGTACCTAGTGGGATATCTCATCACCTGGGCGTGGTCATATCTAAGTCTTACGTCCCAATGATAATGGACAGTGTATCTCGATGCGGTGAATTGAGAGATAAAAAGTCATGTCCATTTCGCCAAAGTCACGTAAATCCTTATTATGTATTTGATACAGAAATTTGCTTTCTCCTCCCATATATACCCGGGATGCTCGATCCCTGACTAGCTCGATCTGAAGATACAAAAGCCCCAGTCATGAAGAAGCCATGTCTTGGGGTAAGCTATTTTGAGCTCTAGCATGCCGAGTACCAAAAATCGCTGAAGGAACAATGATGACAACAAGAACAACAATGACACCAAGTACTGAGCCTGCAATGATCCACTGCCGCCGATGTGATGGTCGGCGTTTGACCGTTCCTGATACAGAGTCCGACTCAATGTCCCCTTTCCCATCCACACTGGACTGCCGTGCACTCTCGTCTGCCTGGCTACCAACAGCCTCGGCTTGTTTGTCGGCTTGCTTGTCATCGACATATTGATTCAGTTCGAGATTGCATTGTCGGTCACTGAACTCTAGCGTGCAGTCTTTGTCACTGACTTCGAGTGTGCATTCGTCTCTCGGAGCATTTTCGACGGTTGCGGGTCGGCGTGGGGAAGGCACTGCGACTTCTTTGAATGTACCTGCGTCTGGAAGAGTCGTCGCCCTTTGGTGGTGAGGCTTGTATGTTTCAGAGGACATCTTGAAAGATATAAATCCGCCTGCGATATTCCTATTTTGCGTTGTTAGCTAAATTCGATATTGAGTACGAAGTATTTCATATGGGAGAATGTCCAACACAACATACTTCACCAAAGGCTATTGGGAGTGGCGGCGATGGATCAAATTCTTTGACCTTGAAACAATAAAGAGATAGGAACGTTGTTTCACAGATGAGCAAGAATATGTGATGGATGTCAGGCTCTTAATATGGGGAAATGGAGCTCAGAGAGATCCTCCATCCAGGACGGAGCCTAGTGACCCCTTGTGCAGACCGACTTAACTGTGAGTCCATAGGCTTAGATCATATGCTGGAAAGTTTGACTATTGGCACTTCTGCATTGACATCAGCTATCCCCTTGATTATGATTGCCGTGTGCAGCGCTAGTTTATTTCGTCGAAGCTAAAGTTGACGTATCAGATGAACATTGCTCAAACTTGGACCTTTGTGTGCTAACGAGAAGTTGAAAAAAAAAAACTCTCCTCCCCCATGAGCAAAGAGGATTTAATAGGATTCCATTTGTTGTATAATGTTGCGACAGCACTATCCATGGATGGGTTGGTTGTCCTCGGGTGTAGTTTATTCACTTCCTCCGCAATTATATATCAGTTCCAGTCTCGACTTTCTGACTGAACAAGATCGCTAAATGGATCGGCCAAACTCCACTAGCTTATGCCTTGATACAAAGGGGGCGTTTATTGGCAAAACTTCGGACCTTAGCCTTGGAACACTTCCCGATCAATCAATATATCGCGATTTCCTGGGGAGCACCCGGGCATGATTGAAGCTTCCGGGGATTCAAACCGAAGAAATCCACAAATTCTAGCGGACAACACCATTCTTTGGCATACAACTAGGCGGGTAAACATATCGCTAAACTCGGCAAAGCAGCCAGTTAGCTTCTAGAGGTTGTTTGCTTGCCCGCTTCCCCCAGGAGCCCGACCTGGAGAGCTGGCCAAGAGCAGAGACTGGAGTAGACGTGGGAATGTTTATCAATATATACGAAAATGAACAAAAAGCACCAGAGTTGGCCAAGAAATTAGTAAAAGGTATCAGAATATTTTATACAGAGGCTATGTCACATGCGCAAGCAACCAAGGACAGGATGCGGTAATAAACAGAAGAGAACTCCTGATAAAGTAAAACAAAAACAGCGAAGACAACCCTAATGCAAGCAAAAATATCTACTCCTTCTTTCCGGCATCCTTCTTCTCAGCAGACTTCTTGGCCAGGCTGAGCTTGGAGATCGCATCCTCCAGAACCTCAACGCCGTTCTTGCGGAATTGAGTAACCTTCTTCACATTCAACCTTGTGAGTTGGTGAACCAAGTCTCGACCCTGTTCACGCTCACGCGCCACTGCGCGTGCAGTCATCGCAAAGCGCATATCCTTCGGCCCATCGACAAGCTCGAGAATGGCGGTGGGGGCTTTCACTTGGGGCTTGCGTTCCGGGGTGGCCATCTTGTCGCCCTTGTTGACGGAGAAGTATTCGGTCTTTTCACGGGGCTCCATACGCAAAACTCGTGTGTAGCCGCCGGGTCGGTCTGCGTAGCGCTCGCGAATGGGACCAAAGAGTTTGGGAAGCATCTGGTGTGGTGTCTGAAGTGTGTTAGTACTATTGAATTTTCTCTTCCGGAAAACCCAGGCTCGAATGATTGATGGCCACGACGGTCGGTCGTAGGAGGAAAAGAGACAATTGAGAGTCCCCGTACTCCTCGACCATGGCAAATTTCATCTTTCGCGCTAGGTTTGACCGGACTTCCGGGGATCAACACGTACGTAGAAAATCTCCAGTGCCCGCCTCCGGCTAGCCTCGGTGTTCTTCTTTCCCAGAGTGATCAGCTTTTCAGCCAGGCGCTGAGCCTCCTTTGCCTTGCCCCATGTTGTTGTGATTGACTCGTGTTCGAAGAGGGAGGTGACGAGGTTTCGGAGCAGGGCCTGTCGGTGCGCGGAGTTGCGACTCAGGTGACGATATCTGCTTCCACCGCCGGCCATTGTGAAGATTGCTGATAGAACGAACCAGGAACGGCAATGGGAGTATTAGAAATGAGGGGAAGCCAAAGCGCAGTGATGTCCAAAAGTGTAGTTGGAAGGAGATTCGGTCCAGAAGAATTGTCCCGGACTCGTAGCCAATCGGAGCGCTTCCGCGGATCGTCCGACTTCAGGACCTTCGACTTTCCGATCTCGCCTTTTTCTTTTCTTTAAGAAGCTGGCTGTGCCTAAAGCAACCTTTCATATGCAACACTCACTACAGACTTGAAACTCGTGCCTCCATATTCTCGTTGAAATCCCAACATAGCAAGCCAGCCTCGAGCTCCCGCAATAAACATGGGCTTCTTCACCGGCTTCGTACGATCCCTCCTTCAATGTGTACCAGGCGTCAATTGCTAATTGAGTATTTCGAGCAGGTTGGCGGATTTGCCTTCACATCATCCGCTCTTTATATCACCATCCAAGTCCATCGCTCAACACGCATAGCGCAGCGCAAAGCCATTCGCGAACAAGTTGACCAAATAGACTGGCTAGTCTCTTCTTCTGGTGCATATGATCGTCGCAATCTTCCAACAGAACTTCCTCGGCGTCGTCGCGAAGAACTAGAAGCTCAAAAACTGGCAGAGCCGACTACGAAGGAGATACTCAAGCAAAGATGGAACAAAGAGGTTGAGACCTTGACGAGGAAGGCTTATGAGACGAGATGGCAGGATATCAGAGATACTGCTGCCGACGGATGGAAGGCTGCTGCGCAGATCCTGAAGCGCGAATAAATGAGCCTCCATCTGAAACGATCATTGGAGGCCCAGTGTATGTTATGCATCATCATGTCTGCTTGTGTTTTTGGGATTTGCGCAGCGGAGTTTGGATACCCTTTCATTATTGAGCTTCACCATATATTATTAACATTATATTCATCATTGAAATTCTTGTTTATAGACACAAGGTAAACATGCTGGTCGCATTTCGTAACAGGATATGAGGTATCAATGTGGTACAAGGTTCGGCGATGACCGAAGATATGCACAAATAAAGGCTAGAATCAAATGCGCCGCTGGATGATGAGGGTCATGGCTAAGATAGGTGGTTCAGGCATAATCAATGTGTCGAGGATGGCGCAGTTGTCGCAACACTCTCGGAATCGCTCCAAATGTCCTTGCTCTCTCGCTCCACGGTGCGCATGGCTTGAGCGACTTCCTCTAGCTTAGCCACGACATCTAAGACGCCCTGATTCACTCGATCGAAGTATCGATCGTTGGCCTCGCGACGTTTGCGTGCGAGGCGAATATCTTTCTCTGTCTCCTCATCGAGCATATGATGAGATACCGAGCCGCGGCCTGCGCTATGCTCGGTGGCAGCATCATCCTTAACATTTGTTTCACCACGTTGTCGAGTAGAGTTGGCCTTAGTACTGGCCGCATCGGCGCCATGACTAGGATCCACGACTTCATCGTCTGCCTCGCTGCGTGCCCAGGCTTGTGCAAGCTTTAATTGCTTCAAGCGTAGATCTTCCAGGGCTTCAGAATGCTTTTCGCCGAATACATTCTCACTCGTGACGGCGCTGAGCTCAACCTCTGATAGGGCACTTTGCATCTCTTGCCAGATGGCATCGGAACCATCTGGGTCATTCTTGGATTGTCTGCGCGAGACGAACGGAGACAGTAGACTTGATTTTTCTGCATTCTCACTTTCTGCTCCATGGGGTGACCTGTTCCGATGGAGAGGTGGAGGTTGATTGCCGGACGGCGTTGCCAAGGCCGAGGATGCGGGTGGTACAGACAATGAGATATTTGACGCATTATGTGATGGCGGGCCCTGGAACAAAGCGGGAGGGGGTAGGCGCTGAGGATTTGTTGTTTTCCTTGTCAAGTCCATCTTGTCGACGGTGAGATTATATTGAGTGTAAAGGCAATGGGCACCAGTACGGAGTACGGAGCACTTGATGAGAGCCCTGTGAGGTTCCACCCTGGGCAGAGAGCGATAACCGATAACACTTGTTATCTTATCTAGAATCTCTACTCGACCCCGGGGCCACTTTAGGAACATACTCCGTACATAGACTCACCACTTAGACAGGATGTAAATGAATAGGCCATCTCAGGAGTCAAACTGTCTGGCTATTGAACCAGAGGAGCTCTTGTCACAAGAGGGACACGGATAGAAGATACTCTAAGAAAGGCCATTGGCAAGATGTCTAGAAGACGAGGAAGCATGACTGGAACAGGACGATTAAATCACTACGAGGGTATTAAGCTCTTCTCTTGTATGTGGGATTTCAAATGCGCTGGCATCATCTCTCAATTTTGAGATCGTTGTCGAACATTGCAGAAGAGATAATGCAAGTAACAAGAGTGAAGAGAGGTGCTTTCGTCGTACTCGTATATCTCATATACCACGTGACCGAGTCGGCGTCTGCTCCACGTGACCAGAGACCCGCCAAACCCTAGCCCTAAAATCGTCCGCGAAGCGAATGACTAAGCGAGTGGACAGTGCGGGTGATTCCAAAGCACTGTGGTAAGGGAAACCCGAAATCTTCGACTTTTCGACAATCGACCACCAAGCCCATTTGGCCGACAACACCCTCCCAGTCGGTACGTATTCGATACTTTCTCCTTCCCGATCGCTGCATTGTCTATTCTTGTCGACCAAATCTCCTGGTGGGATCACGAACCTGGTCAACGGTCGCAATCTGCACGCACCCAAATTTCGACATTCAAATTCACGATCACCCACCGCTCTTTCCACAACCAGCCATCCAACACTGCTTGCGACCCAAGACTAACATATTTTTCTGTCTGCTCAGTTGACCGTCGAACACATAAATCGCCAACATGGGTAAAGGACAACCCCGTGGTTTGAACGCCGCCCGCAAGCTCCAGGCGCACCGCAAGGATCAGCGCTGGGCTGACGACCACTTCAAGAAGCGTCTCCTCGGAACCGCCTACAAGTCATCTCCCTTCGGTGGTGCTTCCCACGCCAAGGGTATCGTTCTCGAGAAGGTCGGTGTTGAGGCCAAGCAGCCCAACTCCGCCATTCGCAAGTGTGTCAAGGTCCAGCTCATCAAGAACGGCAAGAAGGTCGCTGCTTTCGGTGGGTAACCCCAATTCCTACATCCCTACTACACTACAATCGTGCTGGAAATGGTCTACGGGATGGAAACACGAACGAGATGGAGATCGCCACATAGCTGGGAACGCATTTGCTGACGAGTCTTTGATAACAGTGCCCAATGACGGTTGTCTGAACTTCATCGACGAGAACGACGAGGTCCTGCTCGCCGGTTTCGGTCGCAAGGGTAAGGCCAAGGGTGATATTCCCGGTGTCCGTTTCAAGGTCGTCAAGGTCTCCGGTGTCGGTCTCGCCGCCCTCTGGAAGGAGAAGAAGGAGAAGCCCCGCTCTTAAACAACTCGACGCGTACTGTTGTTTCGAAGTCAAAATGCAGCGATCGGGAGCCTTGGGAGTGTTGCACGGTGCCGGACGGAAAGCCCGCCTCATCAGCGCCTGATTTCACGAGATCTTTTTCTTTTTGGGGGGTCCCCCGGCGGGCTTTCGTCTGGAACGTGATGGATACGCTTATTTGCGAATTAAACACGATTTGATACAAATTCCAAAAGATTATGGCGCCATGAACCTCTAATTCTGTCTCTGGTCTTTCTGACCTTGTATTATCACACGGTTTCTAGCACATTGATGGACGTATAGTAGGCCCCCGGGTTACTTAGGCTATTTCTTTTGCCTGTGCTTTTCAGGATACTCCGATCTCGAATCCACTCACTCCTATCAGCTTGCGGGGTTTCTTCTGCGGTAAAGCACAGCCGTATTTACTCCGTACTCTAGCTATCAATGCAGATGCATTGCTCTAGGCCTTCTTTGATCTAGCAATAAATTTTGTGGGGCCTGTGGTGTTTCATCAGCCGCTAAGTTAGCATACTACATATTCAGTTGGCACCAGTGTACTTGAGCACTGACTGCCCAGGTGGTCAGCACGTTCTGTCCAAGAAACCTCCAAGGTTCGAATGCTACATCCCCAGAGCCATGGGTTCTAGGTACCTAGATGGACTTGAATAGGTATTAGGTAGGTATATCCACCAATGTGCCTATTATATCTATGCACCACCACCTAATGCGAAGGGGCATCTCGCAGGTTCCAACCTTGGATGTCTTTAAAAATATACCTAGGTAGTGACGTCGGACCCCCCGAGGTCGCCCCCCCGGGGCCATAGACATGTATTACATATGATGCCTACAGCATAGGCATGTATATCGGCAGCCCAAGGAGTTCCAAGTTTGCGCACTGTTCGTGGATTTCCCTTGATAGGGAATGATAATGACCAACTTGATTTCATTGGTACTAATGTCTATGTTTTTCCTCCGCCCTACCAGAGCAAGAGATTTCATGAAACCATGACTCCCGCGCGCATCAATCGTCAACATAATTCCTCGGGTATCGTTGTGAATGTCCTTCAATGATCTCCTTGGACACTTTTGGTGAGCTATGTACCACATCAGACTCGAATATACTCTAGAAGCTAATATCCTCCTTCCGGTAGTGATCCGAGACGATACGGTAGAGGTATGAAGGCGCATGTCCACCGCTGGAATTCAGAGGTCAGCATTCGAAATCAAATCAAAAAGCGCAAGGAACGATTGAGACTTACAGGTTGGTGATGTAAAGGTCGACAAGTTCAGCGGGCACATAGTCATAGATGGGGTTTTGAACGTCGATTTGATCGACAAGATCACCATCTTCATATGCGAGAACCTTGCTGGGGTCACCGTACTCGATGAGGGAATCAAAGTCAAAGGGATACACTGGGCTGAGCTTATAAACACCGCTCACAACCACCACAGGGGTTTGGTGGACCTTCGCTGCACGGGCAATGACACGAGTGCCGGCCGCCGCAATAAGACCACCGTTGGCGAGAACTGAGTGTGTACCAAGGATAACCTTGTTGACTCGGGACATCAAAGCGAAGACTGCAGAGTCTGGGATGAGAATGACGGTGATACCATGCTCGATCAGTGGCTTTTGGAAAGCTTCCACGCCCAGGTTGTCGTCTTCGTTGATGGAAGCACCGCTGACAGTGGCATGTACGGATTCGTGGTTGTTCGGGAAAGATTCAGCATGAATCACAGTGAACTTGCGCTTGGCAGCGGCTTTGAGCAGGAATTTTTGGACGGTTGTCGAGGAAGTGTGTGTGAGAATGATTTCGTTAGAGTGGATGTGGTCCAGAGCATACGCGGCAATCTGGTCGTCGACCTGACCCAACTCATCAATGATTTCTTTGATACCCTCAATCACCTCAGACCGTACATCCTTGGATGATCCGTGGGAAAACAGGCGTCCGCCTGGCGAAACAGATCCTGGTGTGCTAGGAAGAGAATTCTCGGGTTCAGGCTGAGAGAGAAGACTGAACATAGAGGTAAGAGGAGGACGAGTGGTCCTGTCATCGCGGAGCGAAGGAGAATCACGGTCCAAAGGCAGGGACGGGTCTGAGAAGTTGTGAGTCACCGCTATAGACATGAACGCCAGATGTACTCACCATCATATGCACGTGGTGTTTGGGGCTGGCTCTCCGAGCCTACCTCACCGAGGGCGAACTCAGCTTCGCGATCATCTTCGGCCTCGTCACGAATGAGACCAAGAACCCGACGCACGATATTTCCCACAACCATCTCTCGCGGTTGCGCAGCCATCAACCGCCTTCCTACGTTCTGAACCCGCTCGATGAGCTTGGCTGAATCATTTGTACGGCATGATGTGATGACGCCACGAAGTAGGCAGGCAGTTGCTGTGGCGCATGAGCGCGAATGACGGATTTGACGTCGCTTGAGCAATCTGCATCAATTGTACCAGTTTAGCAACTTGATCGGCGGGGATGGGGGTTCCTCGGCTGAGGGCCCGAAATAAACGTACGATATCAGAGTCTCAATAGAAGTATCGATCGGGTTCGTTTTGAGACATTGGAGAAATGACCCCAAGCCCGGTGTGAGGGCTAACGAGGTGGACGGCATGAGGAAGCGGGGTGTAGGAATCTGCGCGGTATCAGTAAGGTCTTGAACCATGTAGGGATCATGCAGGTCTCAGTATGTGTTCATACCAAAGTTTCAAGAAACAATGAAGAGGTTGTTTGTAGAAAGTCGAGCGATCGTCCGAAACAAAGTGGGAGGAGCGACAAAGAACTGATTTTCTGCCGTTCGAACTTGTCCGCTTCCCCACACTCGGGGATCCTTCTCTGTTAGCTTTCTCTTTGGGGCTTGTTTTCTAAGTATTGCGCAGTCTTTTTGTTTCTCATCGTTTACTTGATTCCGACTTTCTTGATTCGTCGAGGGTCTGCGGCATAATTTGCTTTAAGATTCGCGGAACTACTTCCGAGGCACGGGTGACTGGCGCATCGAGGTTAGAACACCAGCCTACTCCTTGCGATTCCCCTCTTCCCCCCCAAAAGCACCTGCTCTCTCACGCACCTTGACCCATGGACCGCTCCAAGTGGCTTTGACGATTCGCTCACGTTCCATATACCAATAGATCGCAGTCTTCCGGTCAGGGAAGATGAACTCGCTGAACATCCTGTCCTCGCGAGTCATTGGCCAACCCTCTAGCTCATCACGACCACGATCGCAATCCCAAGGCGACAACAAGCGCATACCTCTACCGGCTGACTTCTCAAAACACCGGTCCTACAGCGAAGATAACTTCCGTTCGTTTGATACCACTGAGAACAACTACGATGGTCCACCGGTGCATGAAGATGGCGGAGAGGATGCGATATACGGCTCCGATGAGAAGACACCGTTAATCCACGAGAACTACAAGAGCGGAACGCTTACTGCCCAGAGCACTTGGCGACTAATCACTAAACGGTTCTTCGATGCGATTACCGAGGCCATCAAGTTCATCCTGTCTACGATTGCTGCCCCCGGCGTATACTTGGCCCAATGCTTCCAAGCCGACGAAGGTCATTATTCCTTTCTCGAGCCTATTCGGAAACTGCGACGTTTCTCTGCCGACCCTACGACCCGGTCGGATAAAGGGGCCGCCCGGGTAGAAGGTCGGCGTCGCAGTGGCTCCACCCGGAAACCCCGACCCCAAATATCCAACGAATCTATCGCATCAACAACATCGGAATCCGACACAGATCGCCGGAGACAATCTGCAAGCGGGAAACATCGACATACCAAATCGAGAGGCCATGAGCCAGACCCAATCCCAGAAGCAGAAGAGTACGAACACACGCCCCGTCGGTCCATACGTATCAAACTCCATAATGAAGAATCTCTGAAGCGGCAAAGACAACGAAGATCCCAGAGCGCAGATCTAGGTCCGCCCATGCCTGAGGGCGTTGCCAGAGTCCAGGGCGCAGTGCAGCTGGACAGCTTGAAGTCTCCAACCTCTCCCAACATCCATCGCATCACCAAGTACCCACATACTCCTATTCCCCCGCGTCCCCTCCTCCCTCAACGAGTTCCTTCATATACTGCCGCCCCTCGAAATGCCAGGCCTCCACAAAAGACCTTGGTTTTGGATCTCGACGAGACCCTCATCCATTCGCTCGCTAAGGGTGGCCGTATGTCCAGTGGTCACATGGTCGAAGTGAAACTTTCGATGCCCACCACGACCGCATTGTCTCCTGGTGGGCCTCAGACAACACTGGGACCTCAACATCCCATTTTATACTACGTCCATAAAAGACCGCACTGTGATGAATTCCTGCGCAAGATCAGCAAGTGGTACAAGCTTGTCATTTTCACGGCAAGCGTCCAGGAGTACGCCGACCCTGTCATCGACTGGCTCGAGCAGGAACGAAAATACTTCGCGGGCCGCCTATACAGACAGCATTGCACGCTTCGCAACGGCGCGTATATCAAAGACCTCAGCTCCGTTGAACCGGATTTAAGCAAAGTGATGATTTTGGACAACAGCCCTATGAGCTATATCTTTCACGAAGGTAAGGGTCACACACTTCATGATCGAAACCCTGACTGACGCTAGTTTTCAGATAATGCAATTCCAATTGAGGGCTGGATCAACGACCCAACAGACAACGGCCTGATCCACTTGATTCCCATGTTTGAAGCTTTGCAATATGTCACAGATGTCCGGGCTTTCCTTGCACTTCGCCGGGGTGAGATTGAGTCATAATCATCTGCGATTGTGTCCACACGTTTGTAGATCTATAATGGACTGGTCTTCTTCTAGAAGCGAGCTCTCATTCTCCAATACGAAAATTAGAAATGAAAAAAAAGACATCCTGGTGCAGATGAGGGATAGAAGACCAACAGAATCATGCATGTGCAATTATTGAGTATGCCGATTGGCGTCTTGCTATGTACTAGCAATGGAAAGCATCTGTACATATGACTTGGTTCTGGTCCACAGAGCACAAGTATTCAATAGCGAGTTACCGAGCGCGAATCGAAAGTGCGATTGAAGGTACAGTGTCTACCCAGACTATGTAGTGCAGCAGTTTGGTATTGACACCTGGCGTTCAATGGGAACTGCCATAATCTTTCCGCCCAAGGACGCGGTGTTATTAACCGGGAGATCAGTTTCGCCTCCGGTAGTAACATAAAGGATATTGCGATCATTTTTTGTCCTTCCAAAGGCTGCCGAGGTAGGGGTCATCCAAATTCGAGAATCTTTCAAGCCTGCAACAACCTCATGAGATCCACCAGGAGGAACCCTGATGATCTCGTTGCTTATAGTACTGGCCAGATATCCGATCCCCGGTGGATCAACAGCAAAGTCATCAGCGAGTGTGTAGCGGCTGATGATTTCATAAGGCCCCATAGCTTGACCAGTACGTGTATCGATCTGAACGCGACAGAAGATCTGCTTCGGAGTATTACTGTAGCACATTTGATTGTGCAGTACTCTTGATCCATTGGTCCTAATTAAGATTCTGAGGTCGAATTTTGCTTTCATGGTCTCATGTCGGTGTAGCACGCTGTATTTGCCAGACTGAGCATTAAGATACCATACAACACCCAGTTGGGAGTCCGAGATAGCAACCACGTTACCACCATCAAGTGCAGCCATTCGATTTAGGAACCCGGCAGGACTTTTTGCAATTTGAACAGGCTTGGATACATTATCGGTTCCACTCAAGTCAACCTTCCAGACGGAGTTAGATGCAATGACTGCATAAGTGTCCGGTGTGAATTCTGCAATCCCCCCTACATCTTCGGCTCCATCAAAATGATGGACGAGATGAGGAGCTATATAGGTGGACTGAGTTGATGGCACAATTTCTCAAAGATTTGCTCCTGTTGAATCTGCGACGAGAAGGTTGCCGTTAGGTCTAACAGCGGTGTTCTCAAGCCAAGTTCCATTAAGAAACCTATAAAGCTCACAGATATCAGTTGGCTGAAAAAAGGACAGGGTAGAAAAGCATTTCAGCCAAAATAAAAATAAAAATAAAAGACTCAGAGTAGATGTCATGATTAAGTTTTGTAGCCGCGGATATGACCAAAAGCAACCTACATCGGAAGGAATCTGGGAGACTGATATCTATACACCTAGGCATTGTCTAAAAAAATTGAAGCGTCACAACCCACTCAGCTTTGAACAACAATGAAGCAGATTGGTTTGAATTGTTTGTTGGAAAATGTTGACCTTTGACCGCTGCCATACCTTTGCTCGGGTGTCCGGAAGTCGACAAATACAGCGACAGGTTATTGAGGCTTATTTGAGTACGCATCTCGTCTGGAAAATCAGGATCATGGTAACTTTTAATATTATGCACAGATGATGATTGTGGGTACAGTCATTGCTCTGGCGTCCTATTGTGACGAGTTCCTGACCCCGGATTTTGATTTTGGTGTTACCTCGAGGCCTTGGTGTAGAAATAGAAATAGAGAGTCTCACCAAGGCGAGATGCAAGCTCCTTGAATCCTACAAAAAAGGTCGTCTGCTGCTTATATGCGATAAAGCCACGGAGTACACGTGCGCATATAATTGAATTCACGTATTGATGACCTCGGGAAGAGAGGAACTAGTACCCCCAAAGATTCGGATAGAGATACCAACAGTGATAGTCAAATCTAGTGAATCGATCCCGTACAATCTCCCTTACCATGTGACGAATTGTCCAGTACTTCAATGCAAAAAACCAAAAACATACTCCGTCACATCTTGCTGATTACTTGTCCACTCGGACTTAAGCCTGCAATATGCGGATTTAGGCTTCTCGCTTACCTCCCGGCGAGTGGGCCGAGGATGGAAAGCAGCATGATTGGACAGGGTCGATCACAGCCGCCAATGGCCAAAGTTTAAAACGGACGCCAAGCCCCACTTTCACGCTAAATGTGACCGCTTGGCCGTGACGTGGAATAAGCAGCTCGCATAAGCTAGACAAGGATCGAGAGATTGGCACAGATGCTGAGCGCCAGCAAACTTGGCATTTAAGGCTGCAGTCTTGGGCGCTGGTCAGTAGGGAAGGGAAGCGAATCAAGTGCTAAAGTTCTCAACGTCGTGAAAATTAGGGTTGAGCGCCACCCCTAGATGACCTCAAGACTGTAAACAAGGGATTCAATAAGCGACGTGTCTATACGGAGTAGCGCGTATGTGATTGCCGTTGCAGCAACCCATGGACGATGCGGGATGCCGAGTGATCTCCTCTTATCGCCGCCTTGGCGCCGCCGGTTCTGTAAGGTTACATGTCCCAGTTGGGATCGGAAATCCACATCGTTCGAGTCTTGGAGTCTAGGCAATAAATTTAAAACTTGGCGACCGGCACGTTTAAGACGAACTGGCTTCCACCCCCCACGCTTTTGATTGTGCATCAGCTGTAAAATACCACAGAACGATAATGCCGGCTCAGAAACCGATGCCCGCATATCAGCGTCGAGCTGCAAAATCGCCCCTTCAATTCAATGCAAATGGCACATTCCAAATATCTGTGTTCAGCGACTTACATTTTGCGGAAGGTACGACTATTTATGGGCGATATACTCCAAATTGACATCTGGAGGTCAAAATGCTGACAGTCTTGTAGACGAAGCAAAGGACAACAAGACGCAAAATGTTATGAGCAACATCCTCTCTATCGAAGAGCCGCAGCTAGTTGTACTGAACGGTGACCTCATCTCCGGCGAGGCAACACAAGCCTCAAATTCCAGTGCCTACCTGGACCGGGTCGTTGCACCGCTGGTTGACCGCAGTTTACTTTGGGCCTCAACTTATGGCAACCATGACAGTGAGATCAATCTGGATCCAGAAGACATCTTTCGCCGAGAAAAGGATTATACGAACAGCTTAACCCAGAAAATGGTGTCTGGACCTACCGCCGGTATCACCAATTATTACTTGCCAATCTTCGAACATGGTGCTTCCAACAACACAGATCCAGCGTTTATCCTCTGGTTCCTGGATAGCCAAGGTGGCCATTATCCGAAAACAGCGGATTACAATGGAACTTCTGTGCCAAGACAGGACTGGGTGGATGAATCGGTAAGTATTGTGATTTCAATACAAGGCTGGTCTGCTGTTCTATGTGAAGATGCTGACTTGAGATAGGTCGTTGAATGGTTCACAAAGACCAACACAAAGTTGGTATCCACATATGGCAAGCCCATTCCATCCTTGGCGTTTGTTCATATTCCAGTATTTCCAATGCGTGCATTCCAGGTCACAGGTGTTAGTCCAACCAGCGAACCAGGAATCAATAACGAGCGAGTTCAGCAGCAGGGCTACGCCAGCCAAGGCGGATATGACGCACAAGACTACCCATTGATACGGGCAATTCTGAATACCACAGGACTCGTGGCCACCTTCAGTGGCCATGATCACGATAATGACTGGTAACCAGCCCCTCCCAGTCGCGCACGATCACCCGGCTAACATACCATACACTCACAGGTGCTTCAAATGGGATAGCCAATTACCCGAGCTCAACTTCACAGGAAATGGAGTCAATATGTGCTACGGTCGACACACTGGGTATGGAGGATATGGCGATTGGGCGCGTGGTGGAAGGCAGATCTTGTTGGATCAGCAATCACTCGAAAGTGACATGCGGAGTTGGGTTCGGCTTGAAGATGGGTCCATCTCGGGTAACGTCCACCTTAATGCGACATATGGCAGGGACCGGTATCGATTGGTGGATCGCAACACCACAAGTGGACAAGAAGGCCTTGGCCCTCAATACTTGAACCTTGTTTATCTATGGGTTTTTATGTTCTCTTTGTTCATGTCAACCGTCAGGTCATAGAGGTGTTTTATAGAACAACGTGTTGATCCAAAAGTATTGTACAAATCGAAAAGGCTACGGAGTCGGAGATAGTTAGATGAGTCTACAACCTTCTATTTCTTCACGCCCATGTTTAAGACAAGGAGTTCGAGGGTCACAGCATACGGAGTACAGAGTAGGTATTCTGAGATGAGACCACACCCCAAAAGTAACATGAATCATTCGTTGCAGATAAATAATGAACAATGCCAATATACATACATTCTTGTGCAATTAAGACGCGACCATTGGCGGCCAAGTGGGGCGACCTCGGGACCTCTGGACGGAACATTGATGAATAAGGGGATTGTGTACCTGCGTTAGTCGTCGATAACTACGGAGTAGTGAGACTGTCACTTGCACAAATACTCCTTACAGTGTTGATGATAGCCTCGTCTAATGCTGACGGGCTGAGGACTCTGATCTGGTTTCACATTAGCTTTCAAGCTTTCATCCCTCGCCTCGTCATGTCACTGTTTGAGCACCAATGGCATGTTCTCAGTGAATTTGCTGTAAGTGTGTGATTTGGACATCAGAAGTGACCTACACGTCCACGAAGCGCGGTGGTATCAAAAGACCAAACCCCTTTTTTAGTGGAGCAACACAGCCTCCAGGTGAGAAGATCAAAAGAAGCGCTGAAGGGTTTCCCGCCTCTGACGTCAGCGGCCCCTGGATTGGACCCACTCGACCCACGGTTGATTGTGCCCAATGCGGACGTCCGCCAACGGAAAGAGCCATTTCAGTGAGACGAGAGCAAGGAAAGGGCGGAAGAGTAGATTGGAAAATTCCCCCTTGACATTTGAGAAGTCAATACAAATATTCATTATGTATAAAAGTGAAGCGAGTGGAATATTTAATGTGAACACAATTCAATTCCATAGGATCAAGCAACGGTTGGACACGCGTTTCAGGGCTTGGCATCGATGTTCTCGAAAAGTGGATATCAAATCCCTGGGACCCTCTGAAAGCAGAGACCCTTTGACGTATATGGAGTATGGAGCACAGATATTGAAACCATCTGATGTTGAATTCAACGAACAATTCTGCGATTCCTTCACATTTATGAAATTATCCGTAAAAGCCATGCTCCCATCAGATCATCCGTGTGGCGAACATGATAGATCTAGAGGTGATCGTCGTTTGCTAATCAACCAAAAGCTTGCAATTTCTGTGACCCCCACAGAAAAGTGGATGAAGCCCTGAAACTATTTTTAATTAGGAACTTTGAACGGGTTGGCTCATACATCATCGCCGCTCGCTTCCCCAACCCCCAAACGCCTTTCTGACATCTCACCCACCCCGGCTTCACGACTACTTCCACCCCTCAAGAGGAAGATATCGATGATTGATTCGATTCGTCATGAAATTGTCTGGCACATGGTCTATCCTTAATGGCCTGATCGCAACACTATGTCTGTCAAGGTTAACACTTGCGATTGAATTAGACATCAATGACAAAGGTATGTCGCATTCTTGCTGATAAGATTTGATGTGCGATCCGAGACTGACATGGAATCTTCCGGCAGAGTCAATCAAAGATGCCGCCAGTACTTCTACCTACGCCATGATGGGATGGTATGCTGGTAATGAAACTGGTCAAATCCCTGGCGCTTTCCCGACCAAGTGGTGGGAAGGGTCCGCGCTTTTCCTCGCCCTCCTCCAGTACTGGCAATTCACCGGTGACGATCAGTACAACGCCGAGCTGAGCCAGGGTATGCAGTGGCAGTCGGGCGATGACGGTAACTACATGCCCACCAACTACAGTAGCTACCTGGTAAGCGCCCAAGATCTCCCCAAATCCCGCGCCAACAATAGCATTCTAACCATCATTCGAATGGATAGGGAAATGACGACCAAATGTTCTGGGGTCTCGCAGCCATTATGGCCGCCGAAATGAAATTCCCCGATGTCGAGGGCGGCTTCTCGTGGCTTTCCCTCGCCCAGGGAGTTTTCAACACCCAGACTGCGCGATGGGATACAACCAAATGTGGTGGTGGTTTGCGCTGGCAGCTTTTCCCCTACCAAGACGGTTATACCATGAAAAACTCAATCTCGAACGGAGGCTTGTTCCAGTTGTCAGCGCGTCTTGCCCGCTACACCAATGACGACAAGTACACGAAATGGGCCGAGAAAATCTGGGACTGGTCTACATCTTCAGTGCTGGTCAACAACAAGACATGGAACGTCGCAGATTCAACGAACATGGACAACAACTGCGCCGACGCCGGTAATTATCAGTGGTCCTACAACTATGGTACCTACTTGATGGGAGCTGCCTACATGTACAACTTTGTAAGTGAAATCTGCGCGCCCAGCTGGATGCACAGAATTGGCTAACAGCCCGCCTAGACCAGCGACGAAAAGTGGAAAGCACCGGTAGACGGGCTTCTGAAGAAGACATTCAGCACCTTCTTCCCACACGGCAACGTTCTCGAGGATATCACCTGTGAGCCGACGGGAGTCTGCAACTTCAACGAAATTCTGTTCAAGGGCCTTGTTTCATCCTGGCTTGCTTTCACCACAATGCTCGTCCCCGAAACAGCCGATCAAATCAAACCAAAACTGCAAGCCTCGGCGGAAGCTGCTGCCAAGGGCTGCACCGGCAACAACAACCAGACTTGTGGTATCAAATGGTACACGGAAAAGTGGGATGGTACGACCGGAATGGAGCAAGAGATCAGTGCGACCAATGTCTTCCTTGCCAATTTGGTACCATTTGGTGGCATCGATGGACCTGTCACCTCCAAAACTGGTGGAGATAGTAAAAGCAACCCCGATGCCGGCAGTGGAAGTGAAGACGGCTCCGACAAGAAAAAGACCAAGCCCATTACCAACGGTGACAAGGCCGGTGCTGGAATTTTGACCACCATCTTTGTTGTTGGCTGGGCTGGGTCCATGGCTTGGTTGCTCATGGGTGCTTAGCACTTCGCATATATTTTCTTGATGACCTCTTCATCAATTTTGGGAGGATTTGGAGTTCTTCGGAGACTTGATCTTGTATATAAACAGCAGTATACCATACACCATTTTTACTTGTGAACAAGCACTCGACCAACAGCCTTCCACGGTTGATTCATACCTCTGAGAACAGGGTTGGAACTCAAACCACCTCTTTTTAAGAATCGGTACCAGACTCTAGAATATGCGGGTGTGATGGGCGACTGTTGGACATAGTAGATGGATCGAGCACACCAGAGCCTAGTCAAATTAGAACACAAAGACAATTTCCCATTGAAGCGGAGAAAGATGGGTATAGAGATGCCTGTCTAATCATCTTGGGCAATGGGTGATGAACCAGTTCTTAGTTCTCAACAAATTCCTCTTGCATTGGGAGGACGGACTTGAAGAGAGATGAGAATAGATGAAGAAGGTGCATTTATCTATCTGTTTCGGCTGGGACGCATAGTCAGCTGGTGAGCACTATTCAAACATCGTGCCCCAACCTGGTGACACACGTCGCAGATGTCAAAGTCTCCACCGTGGCATGTGAAGCAATGGTGAAAGACCTCACCACGGATGATATCACATAGGCAAACATCACAGGCTCTATACACGACACTATGCTCTGCCATAGGCTTGGATACACCAGACGGACCGTCTAAAATCGCTGCGTGCCCTCGAAGGATTTCCACAATATTATGGTGACTCTGCATCGTAGCATCGTATAGAGGAGTGCGGCGAAAGTTGTCGCGAGCATTGCAGTCAACCCCATCTGTGCACAGCAAGATGCGAATTACCCCGACATAACCTAGTATGGCTGCAGCATGCAATGGCGTGCGGCCATACCGATCGGACTGATTCGGATTGAAATCAGATGAAAGTGCTGCTGCGAGAGCTTCGTGCTCTTTGGATACCGCAAGAAAAAAGGCATTTCGTCCTGAGTTATCAGAATGGTGGAGATCAGCACCCTTCTCTTGTAGAAGTCGGACAACGTCTTCATGGCCAGCAGATGCTGCCGCCAACAATGCAGTTTGGCCATAAGTATCAACGCATTCAAGATCGACTTTCCAGCTTATGAGCAAGTCAACAATTTCAAATCGGCCATAATTTGACGACAGAATCAATGCCGTATCCCCTGAAGTGTCTGCGACGTTGGGATTGGCACCCCTGCTCCAGAGGAATTGGCCGATCTTAGAGTATCCTAATTGTATTGCATGCCACAGTGCAGTGGCGCCATCATCATCTGTTTCATCTATAGCTGCACCAGCATCTAGTAAGATCATGACAATGGAAATATGGTCGGATGCTGTCGCACAATGAAGGGGCGATCTTCCAGAGCGATCTTTGAGCTCCAAGTTGGCTCCCTGAGCCACCAAGTACTTCGCTGTGAGCTCAGACCCAGACATACAGGCATAGTGAAGTGCGGTAAGTTTGTCAGACCCACAGGGGTTAATATCACACCCGCGACCGAGAATAAGATCGGCTATTTGAAGATGATCGTACCTGGCTGCCAAACTTAGGAGAGTCCCACTTTGAAAGTAGATTCTGTCAGTTGGTTGGGATCCATTGTGAAGCAATAGCAGCGAAGCTATGTCACCAAACCCTCTGCTCACTGCCCGGGATAAAGCCGTTTGCAGGAAACAATCCATGTAGTCAATTTCACCACCCCGATTGATCAACCGTTGAACCAAACTGGTCAATCCAAACCACGTTGCGACATGGAGTGATGAAGGACTGTTCTCATTATCGTGCAACACGGCATCGCGACAATGCAGATAGAGTTCCTGATTTTTGCCCAAGAGCTCAAGGTCTTTTGCGAACATGATACAAAGACATGTATTCAATTTCGATCCGTCGTCAAGAAGACTCAAAGTCTGTTGTTCGATAGCTGGGTCCATCTCCGCCATCTCTCGCATGTGATGCCCCCAAAAGACCGCCGCATAGCCACTGAATGGATCCTTGTCAATTTCCCCGTACAGCGCATCCCTCTTTCGAAAATTTTCAGTTCTCAACTTGGAGTCAAATCCGAATACGGCCGTAAAGTTCACGGCACAGTCAAAGCTGAAGATTGATAGATAAGCCACGCAGGTCGTGCCAATTTCGCGATGGGCGTTTGGAAACAAGATGTTTCGGTGTCGCTCAAAGTACTCTTGCGCTGTATAGTGAACCAGACGAATGATATTACTTTGTTCATCGACTGTGACTAGTCCTGCGCAGACAGCGACCATGTCGGTTATGTCTGGGACGTTATCTTTGTCAAAGACCTCCTCGCCAATCTCAACTGCAAGGGCAGTCTGGAGCTCAATTGTAGTGAGTTGTCTCTTGGCACAAGTGACCCACGACAGAACCTGTAGAGCCAATTCTGTCTGATCGGGGACTTGTCCATTGATTCGGTCCACAGCATCATTGTATGCAGAATCGTATGTGTTGACACCCGATGATAAATTCTTCAGTGCGATTTTAATGGCCTTCGGGGATCGTTTGCCAATGAATGAGTTGAGAAATAGTTGCGCAAGCAGAAACCTAGAAACTCGGTTAGCAGGATCCTTCATGGCAATACTGGGCTTGCCTACATTCCATCGGCAGCTTCAGCAATCCCAGATGATAGCTGCTCCTGTAAAATCTGATCCCGAGAAACAAAAGATGGAAGAACTGCCAGATTCCCGTGCAAATAACGCTCAACATCAGCCTTGGTAGCGCGAATTTCAAGCATCGGCGTGGATCTGAAGTGTTCAGTAATGTCAGGGCTGAACCGCGACGTGACGAGTAAATTCAAGTTGCATTTGGCCTGAATGTCTAATATGCGTTTCACAAGTGTTGTTCGTGAACCATCAGAGACTTGACACTCATCCAAAGCATCAATAACAAGATAGACTTTCCGATATCTTGACCCGCATATAGACTGAAACACCTTCACAAGGTCATTGATCACAGGCCTTGTACCTTTGGGCTTGTGTCGATCGTACAGTGCCTTCATGTCGCCCGGAAGGGAGTCCTGCGCTTGGACGACCTGTCTTAGGATATTTGCGATCAGAGCGACTGCATTTTGTTCACTTTGGCGTTGGAAGTTGCAATAAATCTGAGCTATTGCAATGTCACGATCGCTTTCATACTTTTCATAGAGTTCTTCAACGATGATGGCCGCCAAGATTGTTTTTCCAGCTCCAGGGATGCCTGGACAGAACAATGTGCCTTTTGGGCCCAAAGTCCAAGACCGAAACTCACTTGAATCCAACAACCATTGACCGGTTCCTTGTTGTCGTCGGCTAATGTAGTCACTTTGTTGGGTGGCGTAATTTGTGGGTGAGAGCCAAGTAAGAATATCATGGCGCTCTTGATCGTCTTGATGCCAAACCAACTTTGCCACTTTGTTTCTAACGGCTCTGCCATTGATGGAATTCAATAGGGCAATGTTGCTGTTAATCCGACTGCGAAGCTCTTGAATCTCGGTTGGCTCCTACTTGAGACGCTTCCAGGCGCGCTTCGCAATGCTTCTCTTTGTATGATCAGCTGTCGCTAGCTCCTTGAAGCTATCGAGCGTCTTTTCCAAATCGAACAATACTGCCTGACAACTTAATACCACTGACTCTAGTTCGATGCGTTGCTCTTCGGTCAAACTCTTGCTCGACAAATCAATCTCCACATCTTGAACCACAAACGATAGACTCCGTACTCTGTCACCCATAGAACTTAGCGAGATGAGATCTAGAGACTCGGAACACTCACTCCTCGGCAATTGCTTTGAATTGAACAGGTGCTTCCACGAATTCCTTCCGTATCCTGTGGGCAATCTCTATGACTGCAAGAAAATCCCCAACACCAAATCCGAAGCTCATTTTCCGGCTGATCCACGGGTCGGTGGTTCCCACTAAGCGATACCCCACAAAGATCTGTTCCGATAAGATGTTCGGGCCGGATAGATACCGAGAGACTTGCGGGTGAAGAGCGCGATCGCGGAATGCTGATAATCGTATGGGGTTGCTCAGCCTCACATTAGTGCGGGGTGGCGTCGGCGCGTCGCGCGCAGACCACAGACCATGACCGTGCCACCATCCTTTGTGCGGTGAGCTTCGAAATAGGGTTGTGAGAGAAAGGCTGTGTCAAGCATATCTGCAGTGATGTTGTGTTAAAAGCAGAGCAAGAGGGAAGTTGAGAGACCGGCCGAAGCGACTTACCGAGCCTGAATGATCAGGCCCCCAGGCCGCCAACCCCTGGGATGGAGATATCCTTTGTCTCTCTCTCACTTGTATCTACTTCACTGCATCTTTTCTATCAAGATTTCTTCCAAAATAAGAACTAGCCCTTCTTGTCTCGAAAATGTTTAAAGTCTTTAATAGGCAATTGAGGAGGAATTGTATAGGACGTACTGAATTTTCAAGTTGACCCTCGCCGCTACAGACCTGTGTACCTAACTCTTGTGTCTCAGGGATCCATCCGATCATCGCCCGATCTTTTTTTTTTTTTTTTTTTTTCCCCCCTGGGCTCCCGGAGGCCATTCTGCCGTAAACGGACTGCTGGTTGAGGCCGAAGAGTTCGGCATTGTTTCATCCTGGACCCTGAGCAAATCGAATAAGAAAATTACTGATCAATGCAGTTTAACTATGCTTTGCGGGGTGCGGAGTGCGGAGTACGAAGTACGGCGTATAGGGTAAACGGTCCATGGGGCTCTTTTTGACTCCACGTTGTAGTTGTAGTCTGTTATCGGTGAGACAGAATGGGATCGTGCTCCGTCGGTTGTGTTTTTTAGAGCATTCTGATGGATCAATTTCCCAATGGAACTTCCGACATGTTGGAACTTTGGTCTAGAGCCGACATTGGAAAGTCTAGTCCCAACGGGCTTTTGCCACACTATTTGTATATTTCGCGTTTTCGACTCCACAGTGCAAAGCCGTTGGGCCTATCTATGATCAGCAAGCTGTCGATCATCCGATTAAGTCTTGGTCTGCAGAAACCGAAGCTTCTTGCTATCCACCCAAAAATGACCCCTATGACCCAGCCGAAATTCCACAACAGCCTGCTACTTGTTCCGATCGATATCTCCGACCATCTCTGGCCAAAAATGAACGACTCAGACTATCCATGCTCTGGTATCACACTCGCGACATCTTGGATGATACCGAGTTCCTCTCTGGACTTCAAGAGAAAGCTTCTTTTGCTCAGGAATCTTCCGGATGGGAGTTTGCTGTCATTGGGATTCAAGATTTGAATTATTACATTCGCTTGGCCACAGTCGGGCTCCAACTTGGCATCCTCCCGCGCGGTGAAACTATATGCGCCCATACGGTTACCCAACCTCCCAGTGAAAGTGTATTGCCTGCTATGTTCTTACCACCTTTTTCTAGGAGTATCATCAGAGTGTGTTTCTTTTACCAGACCTAATGGAAGATTGGAGGTTTGAAGAATCGCCATACCTCGAATCTGGAGGACTCCGGGGCTACGCCGGGGCGCCGCTTCGGTTACAACACAAAACAGGGGAATGTGTCAACCTTGGGACGCTCTGTGTGGCATCCAGTACGAAGGAAGAACCCCTGACAAGGTCGCAACAAATGACGCTAGTTCGCTTGGCCGACTGGATCGTCTCGGATATAGTCAAATGCGCGAGGGCCAGGCGACAACAAGAACGACAGCGCATGACCGAGCTCATCGCCACAGCGCAGGATGAAACGAACGACATTGTTTCCGAGAAGCCTGTCCTCAGCATCCTGAGAATCATGTATTCCGATGCCGTCATCAGCATTCAGCCCTCCAATGCGACTCATATCCAACTGGAAGGGCAAGACCGGATACCAATCTCCGAGTTCGAGCATGGTTTATGGGAAGACACCGAATTTATCGACGACTTCATTGAGAATGCAAACAACCGGGAATTTCCATCTACCCGGGCAGTACGCGCCCTCTCTGCGCACTGTGAGAACATCTCGGGCCAATGTCTGCTCGTGGTCGCAACCAAGAATTTCCAACTAGTGTTTGACGATATTGATTCTTGGTTCGTTCAAACCTGTGCGGGCATGATTACTAAAATGTGGCACAAGCACATCCTCGCCGAAGTTATGGAAACAAAAGAGAAGTTTCTGCGGGGCTTTTCTCATCAGCTCCGGACGCCTCTCCATGGGATCATTGGCTCGGTAGAGCTATTGGCTGAAGAATTGGGAATGAGTGATTTGACCACGGGCTCGAATTCTGGGTCACATCTTACGACATTAAGCACCTCGCTAAACAGTAGCGGGTCCTCTGCTCACCTCAATATCATCAAGACTGCTGGACGAGACTTGGTGTCTATTGTCAACAGCATGATCACCCTGAACAGATGGGCCGATATCGCTTTGAGAGATCGGCAACATTCGACGCACACGATATTCGAGCTTGAGAACGGTCTAGCAAATGAAATTCTCAAGGAAATATCGGGAGATAAACGATACACTGCCTCGGTGTTCTTCAGCCACGAGCTCCCCTTGAATTGCGATACTTTCAAGATTGATCTGGAATTACTGCGAGACAGCCTCACGCCGGTTATTTTGAATGCGATCCAAAACACCCCCGGTGGAGTCGTCACGATAACCACGTCAGTCCTCCCTGAATCTAAGCAATTCGTTATCGATGTGGTAGACACCGGTCGTGGGATCCACCCGGACGATCACCAACGAATCTTTGAGCCGTACGAAAGAGTCGGGGCACATTCAACTGGCGCTGGATTAGGCCTGACTCTTTCATCAAAATTTGCTGGGCTCCTTCATGGCTCTGTGAGCTTGGTCTCTTCGGACGTTAATCAAGGTTCGCATTTCAGAGCCGTGTTCAAAGAGATTGAGCATTTCCCCATGATGTTCCCGTCGTTACCACTGGCATCAGTCTTCAACAACATACCTCCGAAATTCTATAACTTGACACCTGAACGAGATGAACTGTCATTGTCAAGCCTTTTCACCAAATATCTCACCTCTAACAAATTCGCCAGCTCGAGTGCCAAGGAAAACTGCTTTGGGATCTTGGATCTCGTGTCTGATGCCGAAGCACACCATGCATCGCTGTCACGATTTCCCTCCGACCAAGTCGTTATTTGCTTGGTCCCAGCCGCACAGAATCACGCATGCATTGATAATGGACCAGAAAACGTAATCTACGCCAGAGGTCCTTTCCTAAGGTCAACAATGACCTCGGCACTCCAACAGGCGGACAGCCTTGTCCCAAATCTCAAATCAGCACCAGAACGCCTTGCGCAATCCATTGAGCAGTCGCTTGCCCTCCAGCAGATGGATGAGCATCCAATCCCAAGCCAGGCAGTTGTGTCTGTGAATGAGCCGTCTTATTCAAAAAGTTGGTCACCTGGACTGCACACAAACGATCCACTACCCCCCTCGGGCTCCCAGAAGTCAATACCATTCAAGCATCGTACCGAACAACAACATATTATTGAATCAAATCTCATCATCCCAATCTCATCGCCCTTGACAAACCCACCTCGACCCACAGCGCTCATCGTCGATGACAATGCTGTCAACCTCCGCATCTTGCAAATGTACTGCAGTAAACGTGGACTACCATACTGCCGCGCAACAGACGGACTACAAGCCGTCGACACATTTTACCGACATCAATCATCGCCTGTTGGCGTTGAACGAGCCGCGATTCAATTAATCCTAATGGACCTTCAAATGCCCGGCTGCGATGGCATCGAGGCCACGCGGCGAATCAGATCACTCGAGAAGGAAAATAAGTGGAGGGAATCTGTCATTATTATCATCACTGGTCAGGATAGTCCGACCGACAGAAACGCTGCTGAAGGTGCTGGCGCCGAGGAGTATTTTGTCAAGCCAGTGGGTATCAAGGTCTTGGATCGTGGTATCAAGCAGTACTTTGATGCTTTTGAAGTCTAGTCCTCTACAGTCAGAAACTCTTTTGAGCATCGGGAATCGAGTTTTGGCTGGTTGCATTGGATAGAGCTGGAAAATCTAGCGTATGTAACTATCAAAAGAGAATTAAAATTGACATATCATGTTTCCAAGGTTTGTCTCTTAATTATCGAAAGCAGGATCATCTTGCTCACTATATCATACGATGGTTATGAATACGCGACTGTAACGAGTCAATGGCACATCGCCATCGTCCGTGCCTTCCAAGATAATCGACAGAGTTTGTCCGGACTTTGCGTCTGCAGGAATCTCCACAGTTGCGCGGTGGCCACTTTCCTCGCTCACGGTCACACTGCCAGGATATGTGCCTTCTTCAAAGAACTGCCACCAAGAGGTGGTGACCTTGTCGGAATCGGGATCACTGACTGCAGCGGCCAAAGTCACGGTTGACCCGGGCTGTGCCTGTACAGTTCCATTGAGAATCTCTACAGAAGGCGCATGGTTACCCTCTGCGTAGTCCGCCGTGAGAGTCCACTGCATACGAGCAGCAAAGTCATTTTGAACGGCTGCCATCCAGCGATCTGTTGAGTAGTTGTCAACATCTGAGCCGTTCTTGCTCATCTCGCTATCAATCAGTGTCCAGAGATCCTGTGAGGTGCTATTTCTCGTGGACCTGCCGCCCCACCCACCGAGGCTAGGGTTTGTTGGGTCCTGGATTCCGGTTGTCAAGAGCGGGTTGAACACCACATTGTCACCCTCCGACAAGAAAGCGTATTGTTCGAGTGGCTTGCAGAATGCGGTTGAGGAATTCGCTTTCGCGGGATTGCCAAAAATGTCATTTTGGTCGCCTGGCATGGACTGGCCGTCAAGCCAGGACCGGTAAAGGTTCCCGTATGATCCTGTCTGGATATTCTTTTTGGTCCAGGCGCCGGTGAAATACTCATGCTGCTCTGGCAGACCCCGAACATTGCCATTGCCCTTGTTGCAGTTGTACCCCCAGGTCTTGTAGCCGGCCTCCAGGTTCTCCACCCGCACCCGTGGCCACTTTACAGCCACATAATCGTCGTAAGCCTTGTCTTGAAAGCCGCTAGCCATGATCACTGCCTTTTTGGAGACTTTCTGTTGAATTCGCTTCCATTCCTGCGTGACCGAGTACTTCTCTTCGATGGATTTCAGAGCACGGGCAATAGTGTTGAAGCCACCCCACGCTTGTAAATAGAGCGGCCGTGAATCTTGATCCAGTAGCAGCGATTGAATAAGATTGCTCCCATCCGTTTCATGATCCATCTCACCTTCAAACTCAATATTGCCAATTTTGACTTTTGACAAAAGATCTTCTGGGGTGGGATAAAACGGGTCATGGCAGTGGAGATTCGGGTAAACCTCGGCATACGCCTTCAACACTTTATCCTGAATGAATTGTGTGCCAGTCCAGCGCCAGGTCCATTGTGGTGTGTCATATTCGCGGTCTGGCATGAAAAACTTTGTGCCATTGCCGTCACCGGCCCAGTGGTAGCGACTGGACGTGTAGATGATGCCCTGGGTATCGAGCTCGTTGGTATAGAGAAGGTACCGGACAAGGGATGCCAGGTCATCCTGCTCCATATCTGTTGTCACCACTGTACGAAGCATCTCAGATCTGCTGACGGTGGATGCCTGGACAAAAGGAAACGCGACAGCCAAAAGGCCAACCGCACACGCGATAGAAAGCTGCATGGCTCGTGAGTGTCAAGCGATAATATGAAAAAGTTTAGATATGTTTGGATCTTGGACTCATTGTGATTGTAGATAGGAAGGTAATCTTCCTGTCTTTTAACGCAAATGAGTCTGCGGTTAGGGTTACTACTTTGAGATCCCCCACACTCGGGGGTCGGATGTGGGGATGTACCCCGTGGGGATAGCGTGCATTTGAAGAGACTAAGCCACCCGCTTACATCTCATAGGTGCGTCTAAATTACCTTGCGCAAGGAAATATCTCATTTCCGGTTACTGCTACTTAATACGCTCCTTTGGTTTCGATGGGGCTTCGGATTTACTGCCTATCTCTTCTCCAACTCCTGCCCTCGTTTTCTAACTTTCGCCGTATTTCCCCACAATTCTCCCGGACTTTTACCGAGATGTAAATAAGGCCTGGGGATAAACTTAGGGTTGATGAACACCACCCCGTGATAACAGTCCCGTCGGAGATTTGTTCAATCGACAATACTCACTCAACGGATATTATCAGCTAGAGGAATCACTCCAAGTCAACCACAATCATTGTATTGGTTTTCTGTAGCACTGTTCAGCAATACGCTGTGACCGCATAAATGGACCAGAAAGCTAGTCAAGAATTTGGGGCATCTGAATCTTTTCCTCCGTCTAAACATGCTAGTTCGTCATGTTCTTCACGGCTTCCAAACCATGCCGGTGAGCCGGAAAATACCGAATCCACTATGAGGTGGTGAGTACTTGCGCAGATCAATATCCACGTGTGTTGTCTCTCTGAATCCCATTTTATCGAAAAAGCCATGTGCAGGTGCCTCCGCGCCCACAGTAACCGGGAGACCTTTAGCTCTAGCCCGGTTGAACCCCAAATGGAGCAGGCGGGAGCCTAGCCCTTGTCTCTGATAGCGTGGCTCGACACACATGTATACCAATTCTAGAAATTATTTTAGCCAAAATTCATCAATTTCGATCGAATCAGAATCTTACCGAAACGGTCGATGTGCTCAACTGCCTTGTTGATTTCCATGTTTGCGCCGGATATCTCCGTCAGGATACCAGGGGTCATTCCCTCGGGGGCAGTGTGCCCGGAATCAGGAACTTGAGACTGCGAAGCTATTGTATCTCCCTCACTGGCCTGCTTCTTTGCGAAGACAATGTAGCCGATGATCTCATTCGACTCGGCGTGGGTTGCCTTGAAGCATTCCATCGATGGGTCCGCAAACGCACCCTCGACGGCCCCCGTGTACTGCTTTCTTTGGAGAGATTCATTGAACCATGGTTGGTACAAGAGGCGGTTGATGCTTAACAATAATTTTGCGGAGTGAATGAATTCCGCAAGAAACAGAAGATCAGAGCTTGCGACGGGTGTGATAGGATGGTCAGAACCGGTCATCTTGGCTGAACGTTCCAATCTTGATTTGCGCCCCAAACCGTCGTCGACGGGGGTTTAAATATCCAAAATTATCGAAATGACTACTTTGTTGCCTATTGGGCTGCCATATTTACATGTTCCATCTGCTAACAAAGAACTTGCTGGATACCCAATCTCTGCAACAAAAAGGAGCGCAATCACATATAACCCAATCACATGGTAAAAATTTGTTGCCTGGTCCCATTGCACTCCGTATTCGCCTGATCTCGGGAGCACATCGATTCGTGGCCTTGATCGGTGCCTTCCGACCTTAACAGGCTTCCACTTCCTAATATCCAGACAGATATGAGCTATACAGCATATCCAATTCGAAAGAACATTTCGAATTGCCCCAGAGAAGAGTCGTGGAATAAATAGTTTCTCCGTAAACTGGCTCGGTCACGAGCTTTTGACAGCTCATGAATCCAACAACCCTGCATAATAAACCTTGGAGAACATATGAATGTCTCGGAGGATCTATCATCCACAAGTCTCATCGCAGACTTGAACTATACCTAGCTATGTGGATACAATTCTCACATGGCGCAAAGCCAAATCAGCAAGAGATACCTCTCTCTCTCTCTCTCTCTCTCTCTCTCTCTCTCTCTCTCTCTCTCTCTCTCTCGTCTCTGGCAATATACACAGCATCATACTCCACAGCTTCTCTGCTGTAGTTGTTTCTGAGTACCTCACCCAAAAGATGCTGCTTTGTCAGCTCTTCATACTTGAATCGACTACTCTTCGCTTTGTACGGAGTACTTTACCAATCTTTGTAATCGTCTTCCGAAGCCTGTCTTTGTCTTTGTCTTCATACTTATCTTTGATACTAGCTTTGGTCTTGCCCTCGTCATTGGTATGGCCTTTGTATGTTTTCATAAAGCCATTGTCTTCATTATGATTTTCTTCCATTCTTCCAAGCTTGATGTCTTCATTGTCTCCTCGACTAAAGCTCGTAAAGAGACCCAGTCTGGCACTAGTATATAAATCAACCATAGACTCCTTAATAGCATGTCCCAAACACACAGAACCTGATTCTATCTTAGCAAACACGTCTAGAAACCACGGATATATAGCAGCAAATCTACAAGCAGTACAACCTTGGAACCTTCGAGATGGGCGCCACTCGTCGTCGTCGATCTTCTCGCCAATCCTCTAGCCAAGATTCCCCTTCGGATTGCTTTGGTGTCTGTGGTGCTGGCAGTGGAAGAAGGCGACGTGACGCTGATCAAGCACAAGCTAACCGACCTGTAGAGCTTCAGGGTCTCCCAGGACCCACCCCTTACTATACCCCAGGCGGCCGGCATCAACCCACATCCCGCCGCCAAAGTACTCCCCACGAAGTCGGTGGCGATCGTCGGACCCGATCCCGTCATCAACGCCATTCTCCCCACAGAAGTTCCCAGCAAGCAACAGTTCCGTCACACCCTAGGGAATCTGGATCACGAGAATCAGGAGGCCATCAACACTGCCCCCGGCACTCTGGCTCTGGGTCCCGCTTACCTCCTAGTCATCAACCCTCCCCCCGACAGTCTGGCTCTGGGTCCCGCAGACCTTCTGGTCATCAATCCTCTCCAGCACATTCTGGACCTGGAACCCCCGGCTCTCGCTCTTACCGTCCCTCTCCCGCACGCTCTGGGCGCAGCACTCCCTTACGCGCCTCTCCCCGGGAGTCTCAGTACACTCACTCTTCCAGGGCTCCTTCTCGCCACTCTTCTCGTGACCACCCACTAGCCCCCCGGTCTTGGGGATCGTTTGCCCTCTGATAATGCCGCTTATTCATATGGTGAGATTCAGAAGGTAGGAGCTCGATGGCAAAGGTGGCTTGAAGATGAAAATTTTTCGGGCTGCAAAGTGAATCTTCGAAGACGTCCTTTGGATTTGATGACTCTAATCAACCACCCAACGCCGTCACGTCGGTGGGTAGCCACGAGAAACTATTTTTGTGATCCGCCCGCAATTTACATTCAAGATCTCTCGAGCTTGGGTCTCCCCACTAGATCTGATCAGTACCGGAAATTTGAAATTCAAGGTCCTCCTGTCCCCGAAGACGATGAGCCTAACGAATATACACATTGCACTGGACCCGGAGTTATCTTTGCTCAAGATATAGCAAGGTATGATGGTCCCCATTGGAACGATATTGCTCTTGGGCAGTATGCAATGGATTTCTCCATTGATTCCCTTCGACATATCTATTTCTGTGACGTGATCAATCAAAACACTAGGGAATTTGTTGTCGGAGTGCTCTATCGCAATATCCTCCCCGTGCCTTGGAGAGATTGGTCGCCTGACGAGGATGTCCAGCGGTTCTGGGAGTACGGAACTCCTGAATATCAAGGTATCCTAGGAACTACTTTTGGTAAAGGTGTTTGTGCCCTGCTAATCTCTGCATTTCCCAGAGGCGATTTCATGATTGGTCGAGTCGTGACGTGGAAGGATGGCGATCTTCAGATGAGATTTGATATTGAAAGTACTGAGCACTTGAATCCTCGGCGCGGAGGCGGCCTTTTCTAGGGCTCTATGCATCATCGCTTTTGAGCTATCACGGTAGAATTATCGCTGGCAGGCACAATTTCTGTGCAGCAGAAGGATTATTGAGGTATGTTTTTGGTTGCCGGTAAGTAGATGGTTTTCTTTGAAATGGTCGTGTTCCGAAAGAAGCAATTTGAATTTGAAACTGAAAAAAAAAGAAGAAAGAACAAAAAAAAGGTCTGTTTATTATAGCATTTTAGGGTATTCATCTTGGAAGGCAATGCAATGAAATCTAGCTTGAACTCATTGGGACTGCTACCTATGGTGAAGTATACTGACACCTCTGTCGCCACTGTGCGCCATAGCGTGATATAAGAATAGGAATCAAAGCGAAGCTCAAGCTCAAGCCACCAACAACAGAGAGTCCTCCACTGTAGCCGAGCTTCCCAGTCAAATGTGATATTGATAAAGGTAAAAATGCACCAGCTAAGCACCTTGCTGAGATAAAGCCAGCCATTGCAGATGCTGCATAAATGCCACATGCGTCCACAATATACGCTGTCAAGGGTAGATATGCTAACATCATGGAAACACGAATCCACACCGTTGCAAACAGAAACACGGGTAATGGCAATGTGTACTCGGCACACCAACCATATAGTATCAAAGCAGGGGGTAGTGTCAACGCCCCAATGATACTCAGCGGTAGACGATGCTCCGGTATACCGTCTCCGTTATTCAAGCTCTGTAGTTTAGTGTATATCTTATCCAGCAGGGTTTTGGAAATGACAAAACTGATCAGGGTGCCAATGGCTTGTAAATCAAATTAGTCCAGACCTCTCAACGTATGGCGAAAGCCCGTGATGACTTACCATTTGCAGTAAATGCCAGCCCTATAGCAGATGGCGGCAGTCCATATGCAGTCTTCAGTATGTCTGGAAGTGTGGTAGACACAATGTAAAAGTGTGAGAAAATGAAAGATCCAAAGGGCAGCAGAGCTGCCAGAACACCCGACTTGAATAAGACCACTGCTGGGCGCATGACTGAAGTTCGCAAGCTGCTCAGATTCGTCTTGGGGTCTTCGCGTTTCTCGGATGCTCCAATTTCTCTGCTTACCCTAGCCATCCTCCGGCGAAGTATTTGGATTTTGTATGTTTCCTGGAAGAAAGCAATGAACAGGAATTGACAAATTATTGCCATTCCTACGCTAATCCAGACAACAGTACGCCAGCCGAGAGTCTGCAGGATAGCACCGCTAATGACTGGGCCCACAGTACCACCACTGAGGGGAATAAACATGACCAAACTGAGGGCAGTGCCTCTTTGCTCCGGAACAAACATATCACCAATCACGGCGGGGTTCAGCACGTTGGAGGCTACTGACATGCCCATTAGTGCACGTGAAGCGATAAGCAGTCCTGTCGTTGGCGAGACAGCTGCGAACAAGGTAGCGGCGATAAACATCATGTTCATAGTCAAGTAGAGGCGATAACGACCAAATATCTCCGACAATGGTGCAATGAAAAGAGGTCCAATAGCCTCACCCAGTTCCCATATCGTGACGAGAACGACGGTGGCAGACTTTGACCCTTGGCTCTGCTGGCCTCCATTCAGGTCATCGATGATATAACCTGCTATTGGGGCTATTGAGATGCATGTGAATGTTCTCAATGTTGTCAGCAGCCTCATTGAATTCGAAAGTGGATAAAAGTGTAGGGGCTCGCCTACATTGTGAAGCCCATGAAAGATAACAAAGCCACAATACCCCATTTGTAGGAGCTTGGCCATTCAAGTGGGTTTTCAGGATCTTCATGATAGTCAAATTCCAACGTATTCTGGCAGTGTTCGAGGCTACTGCGATAGTCACTTTCAGACTCAAGCAACAGAGGATCGGCCTCTTCTATGTTGAGAGAGTCAGGCATTTCATCTGATTTTTGACGCTGGAGCACTGATTGTGGTCCACAAATGACGGTCTCGAGATGGCAAGATAGGTGAAAGTAAAACAGACATTTACCAAGGCGTTAAAGCCGTTGCGTCACCCGAAGAATGACCACCTCAACGTGTACGGACCAAGTGCGAAGTATCCGCACTCCGTGCAGCATACATGCATAATCCCCCTGTGACTGAGCCGATGGTCCCCCGGTATGCAAGGGGCGTGATCTTCAGAATGATCCCACTACCAGTCGACTCTGTCCGAGTCATGCAGATCTTGATCGTTTCATACGAGACTATTTGGCAGGGATGCATGTTTCCCATCACAGATACATACTTTTTTTACTTGTCAGCATGGCAAATCAAATTGAAGGCAAAATATACAGAGCGAAAGTCCTGGGCTGAGATTGGAATGATAGGACCTCGGGCCGCGGGTGAGAGCTTTGCAGTTCCATTCGACACTTCGATGCAATGTGAGTTCCGAGGTTGTTTGTAAAAAGCAGTCCTTAATCGGAACCTTGGAATGAATGAGTGAGAAACCAATGCAGCGTTCTAGCCAAACAACTAAAACATAGTGTACCAAACTCCAGTATATTACATACATTTTTCAATCAAGACAATGAATCGTTGAATCGAAATCAAAACCACTTTGACTGCCTCGCCTTGCGCTCCCGCTCCTTCTGCTTTTGCAGGAGCGTGTAACCACATCCAGCGCCAGCAACATAACCACCCAGATGGGCAGCGTGGTCCATTTTGGTGAGTCTGGAAAGGGGCCAGACACGGAAGAAACGTGCTGGCGCTATCAAGCTGAAAACCTCCGTTCCAACCAAACATGCGAGGAAGAACCATCCATGCGTCCAGATCTTCTCTCGCAATTCGTGAGGGAGAATCCACATGGTGATTTTGTCACTATCGTTTGTTAGTTCTCGGTGTGTGGGGAAGCAGAGAGATCACACATACTCGAAGTGGGACATGCACCATGCAGCGACAATGCCGCTGGTGGCAGCACTTGCGCCCAGAGATGTCATTCCTAGATTGCCAAGAAGAACACTGCGCGTGAGTGAGAAAATAGATCCCATGGCTCCAGAGGCGAAGTAGATTGCGAGGAAGTTTCCACGGCCGATTTCATCGTGAACTACATATAATCAGTATTTTCTTCGGGCTGATTATGGTTAGTCGCTTACCTCTTGTTCCCATAAGAGCCAGAACCATCATGTTAGTTCCTAGATGTCTCCATGTCTGATGGCTGAATGTACTTCCAATCATTCCAAGTGAGCTGGGGTAGAAAGGAACGATGACGAAATAACGGTTGAGCAATCTCCAAGCGGGAGGAACGAATTTCCAAAGCAGAGTAACGGCCAGATTAGCGCCTACTATCGCACCGACAGTAGCCACCGCAGGAGGCACGTCCGGCATGAAACGGTCGTTCCTGGCGGGGAACTCATATTTCTGGGCGAAGGCATAACAAAGCCCGAGAACTGTGATGGTGAAGAGGATCGGGGCGAGCAGACGTTGGGTCTTCCAAAAGGCAAAGTCAGCAACCAAGGTAACCGCCAAAAACAGGGAATATTGCTCACAGTTGTGATGTTGGCATCTTCAGGAGTCTCATGGGTACCAGCAATATGGTGTTTTTGGACCCAGGCTAGTACCGGCCGCTCATTGGGGTCTGCACGGGGACGAGCTGGAGATTCATCAATTAGCACTCAAAAATCATCTCAAGGTGCCAGAGCACATACCCTCCATTAGCGCATTCTCCTGATACTGCTGGAGAGAAGTATCCTGATTAGAGCGACGGTCCAGACGTTCCTGCTCTTCTCTTTCACCATCAAGCCATTCCTGACGTTGGCGTTCTCGCTCTACCGACAAGCGTTGCTGCTCTGCCAATAATCGCTTCTCGTTCTGTTGACGGGCCTCTATTAAAACACTCTTGCCATAGGGAGAACCTTCTTCCCCAAGCTCAGCTTCGTAGGAGCCACTCTGTGGCTTATACAGCCCCAGTTTTTCAGCGCGGCGCATGAGCTTATCTTGCTCAGCTCGTTCTTCACGCTCTATACGAGCGAGAATAGCGGCGTCCTCGTCAACGGGGTATTTGTTTCGGAGCCAATCCATGGCTGTGTCGATTTGTTGCTGGTTGACGCCGCTGACGATCTCACTGGGCAATTCCGCATCAAGAGTTCCAGTGAGACGATGACCTTGCAGTGTATTCAGGATCCGGTTTCCGAGTTTGGGGCTGAACCTGGACGGCCCAAAGATAGCTTTGATTTCGGCATCTGGGACGCGGGGAAGAATCGCCGCTGGGTTGGATTTGGCAGAGGTACGCTTGAAACGACGAGATATGGTAGATACCGGCGATTGACGTAATTGAGAGGTCAATGAAAACACTTGGGTCGGAAATGAGAGTAGTGATGGGCGTGTGGTGTATGTGCTGAACGTGCGGAGTTCGGTAGGGCGGAATGCTACCGTGCGGAGCCCCAGGCAGGGAACCCGCCATGCGACCCAAAGCGCATTTTTCATGACCGTATGCGGCTCCTTAGAAAGTGCCGCTTGTCATGAGATGAAGGTTCGAGGAACTTTGGAAATCAATGGGTCCGCGGATGGTTCGATATAAATCCCCACGTGATGATAAGCAAGCAACTCCGCATATTCTCCACCAAAGCACCTTTCATTCAACACCCAGCTACCAATTTCCGAAATGTCCACAGAAGCTCTGCCTATTACCCCAGGCGCATTTGCAGAAGCGATCCAAGAGCTCCCCCTCGCTGTTCTATACAGCAAGGTCTCAGAGCTTACAAACTCCATCGCCCACCTGCACCGCTCAAACGCCGAGCTCCGCGCTTACTTGGCCGAAACGAATGATTCGGAGGAGGACAAAAAAGAGATTGAGCAATATGTGACGGAAAATGAGGATGTTGCAGTCTCTATGAACGAACGCATTGCCCTGTTGAAGACGGAGGTGGAAAATCGAGGCCAGCCGTGGATCGAGCTTGAGGACCTCAAGAAGGTTGATGACGATGTTCCGAATGGGGATGGTGGCGGAGCTGCGCATGCTACAGAAACTACCGGTGAAGGTGGCAATGCAGACAGCCAAGACGGTATCTATCTTTGAAATACTCGATCGCTTTTGCACGGCACCTTCTACTACCAGTGTGACTCGGCGAGTAATGATGAAACCTCGTGAGCACAGTTGAGACACACCCTCACATATATCCCTTGGCAATTGCAGTGTGTGGCGGTAGGGCGACCTCCGTTGGAATTGGCTATGTTCTCATGGCGTCCCTGATTGCTGCGAAGCTCAAGCCAAGTTACAAGGGTATGTGTGCCGAAGCTGGAAACACAATAACCGTTCCACGGCAGAGCACAGAAGTCCACCTCGGTTTCCAACTGTTCCCCTTGACTCAACACATATTGTCACCTGTCTCCGGGCGTGCATGCACTTTGCTATGTTTCATGGGTGCTCTGTAAACCTTGGTTCCATGATGAAATGGCCAATCAGCAAAAAACACAGCTCAAAAAAAGCCTTCAATTTGAATAAACCCATATGCGCTATGAAATCAAGATCGGATCAGCAAAGTTGTATTGCATCAAAATTGTACAATACAGCAGTAATCATCCAATGCTAAAGGTATGCAAGATCATCAAGTAAAATTCTCCACAGCGCATGCTAAACGCTCAATCAAAGCCCTGGCTCTGTATCGTATCGCATATTCACGTATTTGTTCTTTTTGTTTTCGAGATCAAAGACTCAATACGAACGAGGAAAGACAGCGCGGCCCAACGCCAGGTTAGAGGACATGTCATAGTCGTCAAATGGTCAGTGTAACGGAAAAGAGAAACCCCAGGCCCGTGAGGTTTACTGGGTGGCCTGCTGAGCCCAGTGACCACCGTTAAGCGCCTCGGGGGGCACACGTTGCTGCTTGATGAACAATTCAATCAATGGCTGCATGGGTTCCATTTCCTTGTCAGAAACGAGACCGTAATATTTGGAGACCGTCACAAAGTGCACGAAGCACATGTTCAGGATGTCATGCTTGTTGATGTGCCAGAATGGGTTGAGCCAGTGGGCGTGGTATAAATGGGCGTAGCAGCGGAACATTTGTTTCATGATGCCCTGGCAATCCTTGTAGAAAGTTTGCGGGAACCCGCTGGACTTGCCAATCCAATCGTCAGGATTGGCAGGGTCTGAGGGAGCTGTTGAGGCGCCCTTGGCTTCCTTCACCGCAGATGTCTCAGGGGTACCGCTGACATTCGCAGTTGGGAACATAACGGGATCATGAATCTTGCTAACGATCCACTTCTCAACGCGGTTGATAAACTTGGGCGCGGAAATTTTAGCAGCCCGACCGTCAACGAGCCAGGTGTAAGTCAGCCTGCGGATATATTAGTTCGGTTCTTAATTTACCCCTCCATATGCACATACCGTCCAGCAGACATCGTCGGGCAGGTATTTTCATTGCAGATAGGAAGACCGGTGACACTGTTCACCTCTTGGATGACCTGGAGCATGCCGTGGAGGAGGCGGTATTGTTCAACAACTGAGTAGAAATGTATGAGCAACCAGTGTTCCAGATAAGCTTCGATAGTGCGTACTTTGATGAGCCAGCCATTCACCCAGCTCCACATTCTTGGGACAGGCACACAGGGTCAGAAAGTTGCCCCTCACGTTCAGCGGGGCATACTTCTCCTGGAAGAAGTACTTGGGGCCCTCGGGGTCATTTGCTTGGCTTTCGACGCCCAAACTGCTTGAGATGGAAGGGGAATTCGACATGTTGGACTGGTGCTGAGGGGTCGAAGATTGTGCTGGGCTTTTGGGAGGGTTCGTTCCTTTGTTGTTTCCTCCCCTGCCAAATCCTTGGCGACTGTATTGAGAGTAGAGTTAGCGGGCGATCGTGGAGAATGATAGCGCTGAAGAGCTGATAGATGGGGAAGTTTTGAAAGGTAAGGTGCAGATGAGACAGCAGAAAGCAGAATATTGCAGGTATTAGACTTTGGGGGAACGGAATGCTGCTTTGTGATTGTGGCGCTGGGGGGGAACTGCAGTATGAGGGGGGTAAAGATGGCAGGGGAAGAGCCGCATTGCCACAGCCCGCGACAGCGCGCAGCGCACTTACACACTCTGGAAGAAAGTCGCCATTTTGTAATTGAGCAGCAATGCTTGTAAAATAAGAAAATGAAGTCGGGGACGAGACGGTGAGATGTCCAGTTTGAGGATCCCCTTTTGGTCTGGCCCATGCCACTAGTCCCTTTATGGACCGGAACCCGGGGTAACCTTAATGCTGACTACGAAAGCTCCAATGCTGCGTCGCCGAGCAATCAGATATCAATATACACCAGCGCTTCTGTTCCTGCCATTGGCCCCTCACCTGAGCTCTGCTTGGCCTCTTCCTCATCTGCAACTCTCTCCGATAAATATTCAAGAAGCTTTCACAATGTCCTCAGATGAGGAGGGCGTCCGGCGCCCGGGCCGCACTACCGGCAATGAGAGCCCTGCGCCTAGCAACAATGCCAACGACTCCGGGGCCGAGAACGATACCGGCGTGGACAATATGGATGAGGATGATCATGATGATCTCTTCGGATCAGATGGAGAGGGCGGCCTTGACGATATCGAGTATGCACCTTCAACATATGCGACAACCCCCATTTACTAACAGACTGTCAGACCTAGCCGCAATTTGGACGATGAACAACTCGATTCGGGTGATGATGAGAATCGCTACGACCGACGGGACGACCGCATGGAAGATGTCCAGGAGGAGCAATTTCAGGTTCACGTTGCCGAACAAGATCTCGCGCGTGCGCCAGTCCCGCTGACGAACGATGGAGAGGTGGACAGATCCCGCTCCCAGTTTGTTGCGTCGAGCTAATGTCCCATAGGTTTACGCAATGCACATACCCGACTTCCTTTCGGTAGAAGCAGAGGAGTTCGACCCCGAAACATACGTTCCGCCCCAAAACAATGCTGCCGCCACCTCTCTGTGCTGGCGCAAGAATCCCACAGACGAGACGCAATTGCAATCGAACGCTCGATTCATCAAGTGGGAAGATGGATCTATTACTCTCCAGCTCGCTTCCCAACCCCTCGAACAGTACCGCGTCGCATCCAAGCCTCTTGCACCCCTCGCCAAATCTGGCGCCTACGATCACAAGCTCGACTCTCATGTTTATCTTGGTGCTGGACTGGAGACTGCTTCGACCTTCCGACTCACTTCACATGTCACTCATGGCCTTACGGTTCTTCCAACTACACTAGAGACGGACGATGCGGTTGCCCGATTGCAGGAGCAACTCAATGCCGCCCGTCGCGGCAGCAAGCAAACTGCAGCTGGAACCGCGCCTATTTATGAACAGAAAGAGGACCCTGAGCTTGCCAGTAGACGCGCAGAGGTCATGGAGAAAGAAGCCATCAAGGCCGAGCGCCGTCGCCAGCAGCTTGCGGATCGTGAGGCGGATCGTGGCCGTCGCCAAGGCGGTACTCGCTCTGGGCCTAGTGGCCTCAGCGTCGGCGGACTGGAAGATGGCGGCTTGCACACCACTCGTCCCCGTGCCAAACCTCGTCGCCAGAACCGTCGTGGTGAGATATTTACCGACGATGAAGAAGAGGATTACTCTCGTGGCAATGCCCGTACTCGGGAAGACGAATATGACGAGGACGATGGATTCTTGGTCGGCAGTGACGAGGACGTTGAAGAGGGCGAGGACGACGAAGATGAACTCGAGGATGAAGACATGGATGCTGAAGGCGAAGATGACGAGGAGGCTGCACCTAAGGCTCGCAGCAAGCCAGAGCCCAAGGCCCGGGCCGGTACACCTCCTGCTCGCAAGAAGAACCGTTACGTGGTAGACGACGAGGACGATGAGTGATCTCATTCATCCTTCATCCATGGCTTTTGTTTCTATCTACTGCTTTCTTGATACATATCCACATGGTCCGGCGTCATTTACATGGACAGGCATTTGAAGGAATTGGCTTCTTCAATTCGAACTCGAGACTCGTACTAGCAAAATTTAATGAAATGTTCAACGATAGATGAACCTAAGATTTCGTATACACCTGAGAGCAAGATGTGATACTCTTGATGCAAGTAATCAGTTGAACATATTTCCTAGTCTGATGGCATTGAAGAAAACTTGAAATGTGGTATACGCTGAAAATAAACAACCGCCAACCCGGGAGTTTTGTACGAAAAGAGATAGCATGGCCTGATTGTTGCCATTAACCGACTGCTGGTTTGTTGTGGGGAGTCAGCGGCTCAACACCCTCGGGATAATCTGACGCATCGAAATTGAACTTTGCAATAACAGCTCTGGCACTGCCAACGATCCGCACACAGAGATAATCCTCTTTGCCATCGTTCTCGTGCTCTGTATGCGGCTGGTCCGGGGGTGATGGAGCCATCGAATTGGACGATTCGAAAGGGTGCTGTCCGGGTTGATGCCAGCGACGCTGCCGGTTTTCAATTTCCATGATTATGGACAGCAGATCTAGATGATCGGAACAAACAGCAGCAGCGCCAGATTCCATAGGGCCACCAATGACAGCGCGACGGACGACTTGATGTAGCCAGCTCTTCCAGGCTTGTGTAGGATCTGAGCTTTGTAAGACCTTATTCACATAATCCGTGGGCGCGGCGTTCATTCCAAGCTCGACGGCGTCTGCTTTCGAGACACGCAACCAAGAGTCTGCTACGACACTTAGTAGAGTTCCCACGAATGTGATGTTCTGTATGCCTGTGGCAAACACTTTGGGGCAGATTTGGCAGCGAATCACGTCTTGTGCCGCTCGTGCTGCGATGTATAGGGAGCAGATAGTGTGTGAGGTGACGGGGAAGGAAGATATTGAGGACATGTGACTGAGGCAGAGGTAGAGGTAAGAGAGGCAGGTACAGCCGGCTGCTGTAGATTCGGAGGAGATAGAATTGGAAGGTGAGAGCGGCAAGGAGCCCATGGCAGGGAAACTTGTCGGGTTTGGGAACGCCGCTGGTATGGCCGTGGCTTCAGAGACTGTTGAAAAATCAGGCCATGGACTTGTTGATGCAGGCACTGGCAGGTTCTGTTGCTTCAAACGCTCTGGCCGCCATGAATGGTTGTGGTCTTCATATCCAGATAGTAGATCTACCGGATCTCGTTCTGGTTGCGAATGTGGCGATTTCATGTTCATGCTTGGCGGCCAGAAGAATGAGGGGCAGAGATGATCGGAATCTGGGAAATGCGTGACCCCGGGGCTTGCTTCAATTGAAGATTGTTGCGAGTCCTCTGGGCTGGGCCAGATCGCAGCCTCGGGTTGGGATGTCAAATCAGGGCCATCATCGTCTGCGCGTGTTCTCTTCTTGGGCGGGCGGCCCATCTGTTTTTGTATTGAGTAATTGCAGCCCAGGTCTTGCTTCATGCAACGAGAGCAGCCAGTCAATTCTCCTGAGCACTTGAGCTTTCGTTTCCCTGTCCGGCAAACACAAAAGTCAGTAAATATCGGGACTGAAGATGTTTGTGGAACGCACTGCACTCGTCGCATGCTGCATGTCGTTTGACCGATGAATCCTGAGTGCCAGAAGGGGCAATAGCCTCATGCTCATTCCCTGCTGCGAAGGGCATTGTGAGAAGAGTCCCTCTATACAATAAGACGATCAAAAGAAATCCAGTACAAATGCAACGGAGAAAGATTGGCGCTTAAGTCATAGATAGGCCCGATAAGATTGAGGTCATGTGGGCGGTGAGAGCGGACTGGCAAGAAAATTATCTAAAAAAAAATCCATGGATTGACAGCAACGGAACAACAACCGCTAATCAGCATCATGAACCCCAAGGCGGCTTCCAAGAAGCGCAAGGCTGTCACCCGCGATGTGGAGGAGGAAGCTGGTGTTTTCTCCGGTGACGAGCTGAGCAAAGGCAACATTGACGGAGCTCTTTCCGACAACGCCAACGATCTCTCAGAGAGCGAAGACAGTGACTCGGAGGTTGAATTGGTCGATGAATTCAGTGATGACGAGGATGAAGACGAGGAAGAAGAATTGGACAGTGACGAGATCCCCTCCGACACCGAAGGCGACAAGCCGGCTGCCGGTGAACGTAACTTCCGTGTTGTGAAGGACGCCAACGGAAACGACCGTTACCTTTGGGACGAAATCCACCCCGACGACAATTCCGAAATTTCCGAGGCCGATGAAAACGCCAACACCATTGGCGACATTCCCTTGAAGTTCTACGACGAATATCCCCACATCGGTTACGATATCAATGGAAAGAAGATCATGCGCCCCGCCAAGGGCGAGGCCCTAGATGCTTTGCTTGATAGCATTGAAATCCCCAAGGGCTGGACTGGTCTCACCGATCCCAAGACCGGTAAGCCATTGGAGCTTAGCCAGGATGAATTGGAGTTGCTGCGCAAAGTGCAGATGAACGAGGTTCCCTCTGAGGGCTATGACCCTTATGAGCCTACAGTGGAATGGTTCACCAGTCAGACTGAGATCATGCCATTGAGCGCAGCTCCCGAGCCCAAGCGTCGCTTTGTGCCATCTAAGCATGAGCAGAAGCGCGTTATGAAGCTTGTGAAGGCTATCCGCGAGGGTCGCATTCTGCCATACAAGGCCCCCGAGGACAAGGAGGACAAGGAGGAGGCTCTCATTAACTATGACCTGTGGGCCGACGAAGCTGAGCGACCAGACCATGTCATGCACATCCCGGCTCCCAAACTTCCACCTCCAGGTTACGAAGAGAGTTACCACCCGCCTGCTGAGTACCTGCCCGACAACAAGGAACGCAAGGAATGGGCGCAAACAGATCCCGAGGACCGTGAGAAGGACTTCTTGCCCAACGACTTTGGCTCTCTCCGCAGAGTCCCTGGATACGACAACTTCGTCCAGGAGAAGTTCGAGCGTTGCTTGGACCTCTACCTTGCCCCTCGTGTGCGTCGCAGCAAGCTGAACATCGACCCCGAAAGTCTTCTTCCCAAGCTTCCCAGCCCCGAGGAGCTGAAGCCCTTCCCAACTGCTTGCGCCACAGTGTTCCGCGGCCACAAGGGCCGTGTGCGCTCCGTCAACGTGGACCCAACCGGAATCTGGCTGGCCACCGGTGGCGACGACGGTACTGTCCGCGTCTGGGAGCTCCTCACTGGTCGCCAGCTGTGGAGTGTCAAGTTGAGTGACGATGAGGCCATCAACGTTGTCCGCTGGCGCCCAGGCAAGGATGGTGTCATCCTTGCTGCCGCCGCAGGCGACGATATCTTCCTTTGCGTGCCCCCAATTGTCGACCCTGAGATCGAGAAGGCCAGTTTGGACCTCCTCGACGCAGGCTGGGGTTTCGCTGCCTCCAGACCCGCCCCTAGTGCCTCCGAGGAGGGCAAGAAGAACGCGCCTCCCACCTGGATCCGACCCTCATCTGCCCTCCTGGACGCCGGTGTGTGCGTGGTCATCCCCCTGCGCTACGTCCCCAAGTCTATCTCTTGGCACCGCCGTGGTGACTACTTCGTCACCGTCTGCTCGGGAGCCTCGACCCCTGCCTCCGTCGCAATCTCCATTCACACAGTCAGCAAGCACCTGACCCAATTCCCCTTCCGACGCCGCCTCAAGGGTGGTGGTCCCCCCCCAGACTGCTCACTTCCACCCGTCGAAGCCGATTCTCTTCGTCGCGAACCAGCGCTCCATCCGTGCCTACGATCTTTCCCGTCAGCTCCTTGTCAAGATCTTGCAGCCTGGTGCCCGCTGGATCTCGTCCTTTGATATCCACCCAACCTCATCCAGCGCCTCAGGCGGCGACAACATCATTATTGGTTCTTATGATCGCCGGCTGCTTTGGCACGATCTCGATCTCTCTCAGCGTCCTTACAAGACCCTTCGCTACCACAAAAAGGCCATTCGTGCTGTCAAGTTCCACCCCAGTGGACGTTACCCGCTTTTCGCGGATGCTTCCGACGATGGATCCCTCCAGATCTTCCACGGCAGCGTTACTGGCGATATGCTCAGCAACGCCACCATTGTGCCATTGAAGGTTCTGAAGGGCCACAAGATCACTGGCGAGTTGGGTGTGCTCGATATCGATTGGCATCCGCGTGAGGCGTGGGCCGTCAGTGCTGGTGCCGATGGAACGTGTCGCTTGTGGATGTAAGAAACGTTGCATGATTGACATTTGGGCGTTTTTATCTTGTTTTGTGCATAATTTTTTTCTTTTGTATAGTCACATTACAAAAAAGTTGTTTCTACATATACCTCCTCAACATGATCATTTTCTCTTCTTAGCTACGAAAGTTGACCCAACCTGGAGTGCTATCACTACTTAGGTATTGTCAACATACATCCATCAGACCTCCAGGGCTTGAATTGCCTTCACATTAGTGGACTAACGAAATCCCACAATCTTGAAAATGATGGAAGTTCCAGGTTGTGATACCTATAATCCTGACCTAGGGCATGGGGGAAGAACCATCGGCGCTAGATAACTTCGAAGGTTTTCAAGGTTGCATCCTGAGTCCTGGGGTTCCTCAGGAGTGTATAAATTCGGTTGGCTTGATTGTTGACCTCGCTGTCATTCCTTCCAAAGTTGTATCGCTTTCAATGGCTCCAACCATGGAAAGCTAGGTGAGCATCGCCAATCCGGCCTCAAAACAGAAGACATGCGCATGGGAACCTCCACTGCTTGGAGCCCCCGTCATACCGTGGAAGCCCGCGGGGCCCTAGAGCGCATCCAGGGATATTGATATCGTCTATGCAATAGGTATCTGGTCAGCTTCCAAGGTTACGACCTGTGGACAATCCACAACGGCTTTTTTCTGTACACCAAGTAGGCATGACTGGAAAATAAGGCATGTAGTCGACAGGTTATTAGTTTTATGCAAATGGCTAGATTTGATTGAAACAAGATGGATATATAACCTTGAAAATCAGACCACACCGCCGCTCCAGTCCCTCCTCAGTTTCTCATACTTCTTCAGGTCAGTAACACTAGGCCGGATGAACGACTTTGCATTAACAAAGTCCACGAATTTGATCGTGTCTCTGCGCTTAATGGCGGAGTAACCAGCCCGGCGCAGCAAACTGCCCAAATCGGCACCACTGAAGCCCTCACACTCCTCTGCGAGTCGGCGCAGATCTTCACCAAACTCAATGGACAAGTTGCGCACAAGCGTTTGCAAGATATCCACGCGCTCCAAGGGCGAAGGCAGGTTGACAAACAGCAGGGTTTCCAAACGACCGGGACGCAGCATCGCTGGGTCAATGATGTCAGGCCGGTTCGTGGCAGCAATCACATAGATGCCTTGTCTGGAGCTACCCAGACCGTCCAGTTCCGTAAGAAGTGTGTTGACGACGCGGGCAGATGCTTCGGAAAGGGTATCGTCGCGACGGGGGACGAGAGCATCTAGCTCATCGAAGAAAATGACACAGGGAATGGAGGAGCGCGCACGCATGAAAACTTGTCGAACAGCACGCTCGGATTCACCAACGAACTTGTTAAGAAGCTCGGGTCCCTTGACGCTGATAAAGTTCGCACGGGATTCGTTGGCGACTGCCTTGGCAAGAAGTGTTTTACCACAACCAGGAGGTCCCCAGAGGAGAACACCTGTGGGGGCTGTGATGCCAACGTTGGCGTAGATATCTGGGGTTTTTGATGGGCTCGACGATAGCGGTGACGAGTTCCTCGCGGATCCCACCGAGCGCGCCGATGTCTGACCAAGTTGTGTCGGGGATTGTGGCAAATCCTTCGCGTTTGGAGGATGGTTGAATTTTGGGAAGGGCTGTGAAGAAGTCGGCGTTGGAAACGAGGACGACTTCCGTTTCTTCGCCCATTGGTGTGTCCTTGGCGTGGTTGATGAGCCGGCGGAGTTCACGGACCCTAGGGCTGATATCGGCCTCGCCTTCAATTTCCACTTCCATTTCTTCTCCGCTGTTATTTTTGAGGATGTCGAGATACCGCTTGATGGCTGCTGCGCCGGCCGTTGAGACGAGATCGTTCAAATCCGCACCGACAAAGCCCGGTGTGCGCTTGGCCAGTGTCTTCAAGTCGATGTCATCTGCGAGACGCATTTTGCGGGTAAGAGCTCCGAGAATCTGCTCTCTGACCGGTTCTGAGGGCACAGTCATGTTGATCTCCTTGTCGAAACGACCACCACGGCGCAAGGCGGCATCGAGACTGTCTGGGCGGTTGGTGGCAGCCAGGACGATAACAGGCTTGCCGTCGGTTTTTTCGAGGGCGATTTCGTCCATACAAGTCAGAAGCTGGGCAACAATTCGCTTCTCCATTTCTCTCTGGGCGCTCTCGCGCTTGGGTGTGATAGCATCAATCTCATCAATAAAGATGAGACAGGGGGCAAGTCGCTTAGCTTCGTCGAAGTACTCGCGCAAGGCTTTCTCGGATTCACCAGACATTCCTGACACCACTGAAGGTGCGGAAATTGAGATGAAAGGCACGCCAAGTTCCGCAGCAAATGCGTTTGCGATCAATGTCTTACCGCAACCAGGCGGACCATGTAGTAGAACACCGCGCGGCGGCTGCACATTTGACGAGAGATAGACCTGCGGCCGGGTCATGGGCAGAATGACCAAGTCTCCAAGTTCCTGCACGACATCGTCCAGACCACCCAGATCGGCGAGACTGACATGTGTAGGCGGCGATCGATCCGCGGGTTCTGCCTTGCGCCGCTTAGAGGCAGACTCTCCGCCGTCTCTTCTTCTCTTCGACGCAGTTGGGGCCGCGGCCGGTTCCTTTTTGGCTTTGGGTGTGGCCCATGAGCCGACGAGGCTTTGGTTCATTCCGTTGGGTTCCTGTGGTCGTAAAGATTAATATTACTCCCTCAAGCGCATGCAAAAAATGTTGCATATCATACCGCCGCGGGGGGGCTCGTCGAGTCCTTCGAAATCCCCCTCCACCGAGTCCTCATCGTCATCGCCCATATCGGCCTTCACCACTTCCAAGACCCGCTCCAAACTGTCTTCAATCAATCTCTTCGGTTTCCGGTTTAGGCTCGAATTCGATTTCTTGATTGTCTCGTAGATTGAGGGCACCGATAGGCGAATGCGACCATTGTCGCCTTGGTCGTCAATGATCTTGCGCACGACTTGGTAGACCTGTGGGGAGTTAGTGGAGGCCAAAAGCTGACAATTGCAACCCATACCTCGCGGTCCAAGCCTTGGCTCAGCGTTGGCCTGCCTCCCTTCCTAGCAGGCATTGTGAATTGTAGAACGGCGATAACAAAAATTGTTCCGAAAAATCGGAGATGTGAATTGAAAGATCAGATGTAAATTACACCGTATTTACAACTCCGTTACAACCTCACGTCATTAACTCCGTACATCCCAGTGGCTCGAAGTGACTCTTTCTCTCTCTTCAGCATCATGGGAAATTCGGGCAGTTCACAGAAGATCTCGGCCCAAGATAGGTGAGTTGCAAACCACAAAGGCAGGCACTTGAAATCGGACTGTTCCCCAATCTCAACCCTCCAAGGACATCCCCTCAGATCCCCTCAGATCCCCTCATCCCCACATAAACACTGCAGATGGTTACTTACACAACTTGATTGAATGATAGGGCCATCCTCGATCTTAAAAACCAGCGTGACAAACTGCATCAGTACCAACGCCGTATAACAGTCCTCACTGATCGCGAGACCGAAATTGCAAAGGAATGTCTTGGGCGCAATGATCGGCGGCGCGCTCTTCTCGCTCTCCGGCGCAAAAAGTATCAAGAATCACTACTTGCAAAGACAGATGGACAGCTCGCGCAACTGGAGCAGCTGACCGGACAAGTGGAGTTCGCGCTTGTTCAGAAGGATGTGCTATACGGGCTGCAGCAAGGCACGCAGGTGTTGCAGACGATCCACAAAGAGATGGGTGGTATTGAGAATGTTGAGAGGCTGATGGGTGAAACCGAGGATGCGAGGGCATATCAAGAGGTATTTATACCTGGCCATACTGGTATCCATATTGAGTGCTAACGTCAAACAGGAGGTGAGCCAGATGCTGGCTGGTCATCTGACGAATCAGGACGAGGATGAGGTCGAGGATGAACTGGAGGCTTTGCGACGCGAAGCTGCTGGGCCAGAAGTGCTGCCTGATCCGGTTGTTTTGCCCAGTCCGCCTACTGCGAAACCTGAGCGGGTTCAAGAGCCCGCGCCCGAGCCTGAGAGGGCTGAGCCTCGGACAGAAAGGAGGGAGGCATTGCCTGCGTGACGAGTGAACATTTACGCATCAGATCATGATACACAGCATTTGAGGTGTTGACTTTCGTTGGTTTCGTCTACATCATTGGTAGACTTCAGGTACATGGCGTTGGCGATTGCTTGTATGTTGTTTTTTGTTCATTTTCAATGGAGGCTGTATAAATCATAGCAATTTCTAGGTCGAGACGCCTGAATAATGATACAAACCCCGGAATAATCTCCCAAGGTTCCAGTAGCTGTATTGCAGAGTAAGGATTGAATACCAGGATCTATGTGTGCCCAGGTGGTTAAAAAGGCTTGCAACCGAATAAAAGAAATCACAATGGTATCTTCATGAATCATATGACTGCGCGATCAGTCCAAACTCGTACACGTCGTTCTGACTCCATTAAATCTACTGTCCAGGCAAAACACTGCCAATTCCACCGACACCTGGGATTGAAACATGGTCCTGAGGGTTCGCAGCTGCCTCATAAAGGAAATTCACCGGCTCACGCGTCAACTTCATGAATTGGCCCTTGAAACCCACATACCCAACTTTGGTGACATCTTCCTCGCCATTACTCCAGTTGTCCTCAAAGAACAGCGTGACAGAGGTAGTAGCATTCCAATGGGCGCGGTTGAGGGGGAGTTCAAAAACGTCTGCACCGGGTACCGGCGGGGGTACCTCTATGATCTGTGTAGGATGTAGCTCCGACGCCATAGAAAAATCTAAATCGTCCCGATTCTTGAATAGCTTCACGGTCTTAGGAGCCGAGATGGTGGGGGCGGTGTAGAGCAGCACGGAGTGGATGTTTGCTTGCCCGCTGAAGCTTTAAGGTTGTTAGTGAGGGGTAGCGGGGTTGGGATTTATTTTTTTGGACTTGATCAAATGTGGTTTCGACACAACGCGATCAGTGCATGAAGCTTGGACAGGTTCGAACTCACGGGATGGTCATGAGTAATTGCTCGTCCGCATCACTTTCGAGTTCAGGCTCGTCATTCAGTCGCTCCGCCCAGGTCTTTTGCACGATTGCTGCGCCGGCCTTGGGGATTGATTCTAACACGGTGAGCTTTTGAATTAGCTGGAATGGGGTGGAACATACCATTCAGAGTGATGATCTTCCCAAAATCAACCTGGGAGTAGAGGAGGGATTGGATGGCAGGGGTGATGTCGTTAGAGTGATCATGGTCCTCGCCGTGGCAGCCGCCACTGTGATCATGGTGATGGTGATGACCTGACATTGTCGAAGTTGCGAGGTTTGGAGGATGGGAGGCTTTGCGATTTGGTGTTGAGGACTCCGCTCCCGTGACGTCGACTAAAGACGACTCAAACGGCAAGAGCAAAACATTGTCTACTGCTAATGTCAATCTTGGAAGGTTCCACCCGCATATTGATTATAAAATTGGAACAAAAGAGGATGTACCGAGGTTTGTATTTTGTAGCATTTTAAGTGCGTTCCAAGGTACCATGGCCTATGATCATCAGACTTTTATAGACTTTGACAGCTTTTTTATGTGACGTTCTTCAACGCCTGGGGTATTATTTTGTACATGAGTGCGAATAGACAGGGCTGCAACCTGAGGTCTATCTAATTTGGTAATATTCAGGAGCATACTCCAGTAGGTAGCCCTTATCGATTTTCGTGACATCGCGGATGTACGTTTTCTCTCCTGTTTGCATGATTTCGTGGAAAATAACCCAGTCGGCTTTGCGATTCTAAATTCAAGTTAGCGAACTCAGTGAGGACTGTTGTGGCGGAGCCTTGAACTTACAAACATCAGCGAGCTAGGGTGAGCGTGTAAAACGAGCCCTCCGCTGACAGTCCTGAACGTTCCATCTGGCTGCATCTTAGCGGCATGGGCAAAGTAGCCAGTTGTCAAGCATCGTCGAATCTTTTCGGGACGAGCACTGAGATCGACGGTATCGCGAGAAGACAGAGTCTCGTCGATTTGGATACCGAATCGTTCTAGGTACCGTTTCAACTGACCACGAATGCTCACTGCACGTAGCAGTGCTTTGTAATTCAGGAGATTATCGCGACACCATTTTGGGTCTTTCTTTCCCTTCGTCACAAATGCTTGGTAGACATTAAGGTATGTCAAATGATCGCCCTCTTCGACAGCGAACTTGCGTCGATTACTCTCGGCAGATCTTTTATCACCAGAGTGCTGAACCCAGACTGTCCCTTGGAGGTTAACCATGGCGGCGATGGTTAGAATCTCGCTGAGACACCCAAAGGATGGGGCCGCAAGAACAACCTTTGCCATCATGGGATCCAGTGCGATCTCCGCCATTCGCATGCCAAGGGGCTTTGTGAGCTTGGCATAGTCATCCACTGCCCCGAGTGATGAGAGAAGCTCGAGAGCACGGATGATAAGTTCTGCTGGCGGGGAAGTCAAAAAGTCAAACCGCACGATGTTGTCAATACCCAATGCTTTGAGCTGCATGATGATAGGCGCTAAGTTTGACCGCTGAATTTCGGGCACGGTGGCATCTGGCATCCTTTCATAATCCTGTTGGGTATAAAGCCGGAAGCACTTCCCTGGTTTGGTTCTTCCAGCTCGTCCAGCTCGCTGGGTTGCAGATGCTTTGGAGATCGGCACCGCAGTCAACGTGTCAATGCCTGTCATGGGGTTGTATGCTCTGAGCTTGGCAAATCCACAATCTATCACATAGACAATCCCATCAATTGTCACTGATGCCTCTGCGATATTGGTGGAAACGATGACCTTGCGGGTGTTCTCTGGAGTTGGCTCAAAGACGTACATCTGCTGCTCTGTGGTTAGACCAGCATAAAGCGGCAAGGGCTGGAGCAAGGGCGCTTTGGGGTGGAGCGTTGCCGCTCTTTCAGATATTAATTGAATGGCTGTGTCAATTTCTTCTCGGCCGGTCAGGAAGAGAAGTATATCGCCTTCTGCTTCTTGGGTGTGGATGTCAAAAACCGTCTTTACGGAACGCTCGATGTAGTCTTCTGCCGGAGACTCAAGGAACAGCATGTCAACAGGGTACATCCGTCCTTCCAGACTGATGATCCTTCCAACGCTTCCGCCCAAGTCTGCGGGTTCAGCCTCAGGGTCGTACTCCTCACCCGCAAAAAAGCGTAGAAAATCTTCAGCCTGAAGTGTAGCACTGCTGACAATGATCCGAAGCTCGGGTCGCTTCTTGCAGATCTTTTTCAAGATTCCGAGGAGGATATCTGTGCTCAACGATCTCTCGTGAGCTTCATCAACCATGATCACGGAATACCGTGAGAGTAGAGGATCCACTAGAGCCTCTCTGAGTAGCATTCCATCCGTCAGGAATTTGATTTTGGTTGCAGGAGATGTCAAGTCCTCGAAGCGAATCGAGTAGCCAACTTCTTCGCCGACTTTGCAATGCATCTCTTCAGCTACTCGCGTTGCAACCGTGGTGGCGGCGACCCTTCGGGGCTAAGTTGTGTCAGCAATGCTATTGTCATGAAGCAGCGGCCAGCGCTCACCTGTGTCACAGCAATTGTTTTGCCCTCTCCACACCATCCTGCCTGTTCTAAGTATTGCGGCAATTGGGTTGTCTTTCCACTGCCTGTTTGGCCCACCACGATGGTGACAGGAAAATTCTCAACCAGGTAAAGCAAACTTTTCTTGTGGCGAGCAATAGGTAACAAAGCAGCCGGCTTATACAGGGCTGGGATAAAAGATGTGGATAGCTCCTGTTCTGAAGCCATTTTAGTCAAAATCGAGCATGGGATTGGTATGCCGAGTGCGATCCACGTCAGGTGTCAAGGAATCAAGATCGATCAGAAGCCATTCTCAACATTGCAGGTTTGAAGATCGTCGATATCTCGGAGTTGAGAATCATCGGAAGCCGATCTGTATATGGGCCATCACGTGCACCCCACGTCACTTGGAGCTTTGAATACATTCCGCGACATTCTTCGCAGGCAACACTGTTCTTCGGATTTTGTCTCGAGAAAACTGTCACTATTTTGCTTGCTTCTCCAGATATCCCATAATGTCGGAGGAAGATAAAATGGTATGTGAACACTCTCGATAAACACTGCCAGTTGTTGTCGCATGAGGCTTACATTCATGCAGACCACCCCCAGCAAGCCTTTGGCTGCCCTTAACTCCCCTACCAGTCTTCGAGCCGAGTCGCCCACGACTGCACGCCCAATGGACTTTGACGACGAGCCGCAAGAGAGCGGCGTCGTGAGTTCCTCCCCTGCCGCCGCTCAACCTGCCGCCGCGGAGGCAGCCCCGCCAAAGCCGCCACGGCCCCTGAACCCGAGAGAACAATCTGAGAACACCTTGAAGGAGGCGTTCCCAACCATCGAGCCTGGTGTCGTGAGAGCTATCTTGACCGCGAGCGATTGGAATGTCGAGCGGGCGTTCAATGCCCTTTTGGGTTCGTGCGGAGCTGCTCACCGAGTGACCATGCGACTGACTGACCTCGGCTTTTAGGTATGACGGATCCTAAGTCCCAAGAAGAGATGGCACCGCCTCCAAAGCCACCCCGTCCCAGCCAGGCGACTGCGCAGCAGCGGCAGTTGGAGGCCGACGAAATGTACGCCCGTCAATTGTCCGAGCACTACAACCAGTCGCGGCGCCCCGCTCCGCCTCCGGGCTGGGAGACCGATCCCAGGTACCAGCGCCCCCGAGGCAGCGAAGAATCAGAAGAGAGGGAATATAGCTTCTTTGATGGTATGCCATATTGTCATCTATATAGTGGGGGGCTGAGTTAACCCCGTTTAGACGATTTACCCGTGATCCGCGAGAACCTTCGCAAGGGCTTCTTGGACACCCAGAAGACGGTTAACTCGTGGGTAACGAACCTCAAGAAGAGAATTGATGGAGATGATCTGGACGAAGAGCCCAGCCAGAGCCAGCGAGAAACACCTGCTTACGGCCGGCCCCGACGCAGTGGTGATATGGGTCGGCGCAGCGGAGATCGCGAGCGTTATGATGCAGACCCCCAGGTTCTTGGAGACGACTTCTCGGCTCTGGAGTTGAGAGATGGCGAAGGTAACTTAAGTCCAGCCCACAGTGTCAGTGAATGCCTCTAACTATGAACAGCTCCGCCGCCTCGTCCTCCCCGTCCCAACATCAATACACGCGCATCGCCATCGCCTGATCGACGCAAGGTGTCTTTCCAAGAGGGCCCGCCCACTGAGATCGATAACCTTTACGATGCACCCTCATCTACCAAGCGTAACAGCTCCACCGGCAGCAAGTCGAGCAAATGGCAACCATTGTCTACCGTCGAACCCTCCCCCGTTGCGGAAAACGATCCGTTCAGTCTCGGCGATAGCGACGATGAGAAGGATACCAAGAAGGATCAAACCGCCGTTCCGGCAGGTGATCAGTCCAAGAAGGCCACGGTCGAGGCCGTTTCCGAGGATGTCGGTTCCAAGAACCAGGAAAACAGTGATACCAAGGGTGCCAGCAAGCCCGACGAGTCGAAATGATTGCGCTTGAAATTCGAATATCCCTAATTTTCATCTGTGTTTTGCCTGCATTTATCAGCCCTCGCCCGATGCCCGTTCGCTTGCTACGCGTACTTAGTTCCCTTCCACGATGCCGTGGAGGTATAAGACATGCTCGAGATCCTCAATGCCTCCCAAATTGAATCTGTATTTGTATCCCAACCGAACAAGGGTATATCTTCGACTAGAATATGCAGTCGACAACGCCAAAAAAAAGTTACACAAAAAAAGAAAAAACAAACACAAGTAAAGTCACAGTTTGCCAGCTTATTCTGCAGGAGCATTGGACACGCGCTTCGAAGCACCAGGCTCCTTTCGCAGATCTTTGATGACAGTCTATATCTTGATCAGCATTTACTCTAAAAAAACTCAACACGTGCTGATCAAGAAGAACGTACCGCCAGAGCATCAGGATTCACACCATTCTCGATAAGAGAGACACACAGCGACAACTCTGTGCGATCGAGGTTGGTGTTCTGGTAGACGTTAGTGACGTTTCGCGTTGGGCTCGGCGCCCGACCGCCGGTAAAAGGTACGCACGAGTAGATCGGAGATCTCTTGAAGGATATCAATAACTTCACGGGCGGCTTGGCGCTTGTCGTCTGCTTCTTTGGGCATTTTGATGGTGAGGTTGGAGTTGAGTAGGTGGGGAAGTTTTCGGCGGGTCGCCCTGCAGCTCTCTACGCGGAGAACGGAATCCAAAAGACGCGTGAAGGCTCACACTTTGCATCTGCTTTCTGCTCTCTGCTTTCGGCCTTCAACCAAAAATGCACTATTGATCCTTATCGCACTACACCTTCTGTATGGGACCTAGGGTCTCTAGCCCCTATATCGAAGGATCTGCCGATCCGTTTCGAATCCCAGATCTCAACGTCGGAGCCGACACCTACTCCGTACTCCAATCTCCAATACCCAAAATTTGACTGTGGGCCTTTCCTTTTGAAACCGTTGGATCCAACTGCTTGTTATTGCGAATTAACCGCAGTTCATCCATGCCTGGATCACATAGACTTCCAAGGCTTAACCTCGGCGCCACATCGGAGGATCCGCAATCCTTCAGGATGGGCTATGCACACGGAGGATCCTCTTTCAAGGGCAACTGATACACGATTAAAAAGTGCAACACGAATCGGATCTAACAATTTGCAATATCGACCCGTGCTGTCTCATCGAGGTCCACCTCATCGGCTGTACCGGGACTGCAATGTCTGTGACAGTCTGTCTACTCAGTATATCAGGCCGAATCAGGCTAATGGTGGAGACTGACGATCACTTGCATTTGGAGCTCACATTTCCAGTTCGCGGAAAGGCCCCGATCTTGAATGGCTTTATAGTATCATCATAATCTAGACCACACTGACAAAATGGATCCTATCCCCTTGACTTCGGCACCCTTTTCTACTTTGTTACTCTCTTTTCAATCCCAATCTGGCTCACAATCCCCAGTCCATCGGCACTGGGCTGGAGCCAGTGAGCCGACATGAATACCACCACTGTCTTTGGACCGCCACCGGTTGGCGTCAACCTCAATGACAATAGAATTTCGCAGGACAATGCCATCGTTGCGGTACTATGTGTGTTTGCTATACTCACAGTGGTCATGCGGTACTTTGTGAGACTCTATCTCCAGGGAACCAGGCTGGAGGCCGATGATTTCCTTATCGGCGCGTCAATTGTTCTTCTAATTGTTCTACTTTCCATGACCATACTCGGTATGTCTATTCAATGATTTGCACCTAATATGGTACTCCGTACTAATGCAATAAAAGGTGGCCGCCACGGGCTTGGCAGACATGTTTGGAGTATAACGTCAGAAAGCATGATTACCATGAAAAAGGTCAGTATGAGGTGGTGGTCGCAGCCATCAATTGCACGATTTCAGGACTAAATCAATATAGAGCCTCTTCGCCTACGTTTTAATATACCTGGCCGAATTACTCCTGATAAAGGTTTCCATATTGATGTTCTACCGTCGAATTTTCTCCATGAATTGGATGATATGGACATGTCTCGTCATCTCTTGCTGTTGGTGCGCAGGAAGCATGGTCGCAGCTCTTTCGGCCCCGAGGCCAGTCTCCTACTTTTGGACCGAAGTTACCGAACCTTCCTCCGGGCGATATCGATACGACTTTTACTACTACTACATTGGCAATGCCACGGCTAACATGGTGACCGATGTGCTGATTTTGATCGCCCCACTACCCATAGTCTGGAAGCTTCAAATGCGAATCGGACAGAAGATCGAAGTTTGCAGTCTCTTCCTGCTTGGTGGATTGTACAGATCATCTCCCCTAATCAAAAGATCTTTGCTGATGTCTATAGTGTGTGTGTCGCCAGTATCGTCCGCATTCATTACCTTACCTTCCTCCACCACAATGTGGACATTACATGGACATTGAGTGAAGTGTCTGTGTGGTCAACAGTCGAACCATGCATCGGCATAATCTGCGCCTGTCTACCCACCCTACAGCCGTTCATCCGCTCGATCACCAGGAAGCTCCCTGGTCAACATCGAGGAGCAGGGCGGGCGTCTTCTGTGCTGGAACGAAATACCTCTCCAAGACAACCCAGCAGTAGTAAAAATAGCCATCGGCATGGGATGTGGCATGGGCAGGAACAGGAGGGAAATATGAGTTTGAAAACATTCTTCATCGCAGAGGATGATTGTATGCGTTTGACAGCACTCTCAACCCGCGTTTAAATGGAAGACCCGAGAGACTGTGAGAATCTGGAGGGAACCCTTGATCCTACAACGATTCGGGTCAAGAGGGATGTTCATTGGACTGTGGATTAGCCCATTCTAGTGCTATGTTTTGGCGTTAGATTGCATGGCAAAAGGTCGTCTGGCCAGTTTAGCCTGGTTCCTTGATACCCAATTTATTAACGGTTTTCCATTTTGATAGTCTAAGGAACCAAATGTTCAGATATCATCAAACTAACCTTGGAAGTAAACTGGAGTTGATATCCATGGTGCTCATCAACAAAATAAGTGTGAACGCAACTAGATCCCTGGGTATGTATGTGCTCATTAGACACAAACCTTGGAACCCCCCATGGGCTGGGATTTTCTAAGGTTTTTGCGCAAGAATTTGTCTCTTCTGGAAATCCCAAAACTAGCAGAACCTCAGGGGTGAAACTGGAGCAGCTTCCTTTTCACGGTTGTGTTTACGTGGGTATATTAAATTTTCGAAAGACGCAAATTCTTACCTCCTAACCGACCTTCGATCACCACACGTACACAAAAAAGAAAGAAAGAAAGGGTAGGGTGGGAGATACTAAATTCTTCTTTCGAATGTGCTAATCTGTGTTGCAATCTGTATGAGATTCAAGTGTGAAGCAGAAAACAACAATTTCGCCTCTGACTACTGCACGGTTTCGGAAAGACTTCAGGGCATGACACAACAAGGCTTTTTTGGCGCAGAAAACACCAAGGTCGTTTCAACGAGAATGTTGAAACCTCAGATGGATTACTCCACCATCGATCGGGTCGAGGTATTGGCCCGGCATGCATGCTATGTTTTCCAAGGCCACACTCACCTCGTGGAGAAGGTCGGCACCATAGGTCGGATAGATTTGAGCCTCTTCGGCAAATTTGTAAGTTGGACGCCTGAGGTACCCTTTGACGGACGCTTGAGCCAAGACTTCCCTCACTAGATGTCCTCGGGGCAAGGCAGTCGCTGAGGCAATATGATCACGCTCCAGGCACCAAGTGTGGCTGTTGTCGCTTGGAGAACCCCTGTAATCGGTAATCTTTGTCCTGATGTAGTCGGCCGTTTTATTCTCCAGGTCGAAGATATCGTATCTGTCCCCTAGCCTCGCAAGCTCAATGACGGCCGAGATATTCTCTGAATTCGACTTCATGTTGAAGCACACAGTACCCTGGTAAAGCCATTGAATGAGTGCTTCCACACTGCGGACCGAGACAACGTTTTCCATCTCCTCCAGTTCGACTTCTTGCTCCTCGGACTCTCGAAATCTTCCGTTAAACATTGCAGAAAACACAGGCGATCTCGCGCAAATCAGGGCTTTGGAAACTTTGTACTCTTCTTCGCTGGGAACTAGTCGAATCTTGACGTAAGGTCCCTCGAAAAGAGGGAGGAATCTAGGGGCTCACTGATTAGCCAGCAGCTCATAGAATATGTCAAGTAAATCACTTACTCCTTGACGAAATGGCGAGGGCCACTTTCGGGCGCCTCGTCCGACATATCGGAAGTGGTCAGTTTGATGACACTAGAGTTGGTTGTTTGGTGATGTGTAGATGCTACTGTTGTTGATGATGATTTCACGAAGAGGTAGGTGGAAGAAGTTTGTAAAAACAAAAAGTGTTTGAAGGCAAAGACTGGATGTTGTAGCCTCAGGTCTCCAGTCGTGTTGAAGTGCCTCTGGGCTGATGTGTTCGCCGCACCTGAAAGTGTCTAGAGGAGCTTCGTCTCTCTTCTTTCCCTCTTCTCTTCTTTTCCCTTTCTCTCCTCTGCTCTCCTCTCCTTCTCGCTGTTTTCTTTCTTTTTCTCTTTTCGTCTCTTCTTCTCCTTTTTGAAGATGCCGGTATAGACGCGCCATTCCCACTACATTACTCCAATTTCGACACCAGCATCTCTATCCGTACCTCTCACTCTTCTCATCAATGGCGTCTTCTCTCGGTGAGCGAACTCTTCTATGGCTCCTATAGCTTTGGGTGGGCTGGCGTCGAGATCGCGGCTTACGCAGTGTGAGTTACAGACTCCAATATCAAGCTTGGTCAAGCACCTGCTCAGGCAGTTCGGAGCCCAAGCAATGCTTTAAACGGACTCGCTTGTGTCGCCGGAACTCAGGGCTTCTTCAAAGAGCCACTCCATGTCTCGTCCCCTCCTGGTCATCTGTTCGACTCCGACAGTGTATCTGAAGGATCTAGCGAAGGTAGTCGCATCAACGAAACCTCCATTCATGTTGACCCGACCATCGGACTCAATCATCTCGCCTCACTGATTGAGCAAGCTGAGTGTGAGCTGGGAAACCTCCATCTTGTGCCCTCCGGATTTGTTGAAGAAGGCGCCGATCGCCCGAAATTCGATGGAAATAACGTTATGGCCGACCCAGTGCCTTTTTCGGAGACCTCACAGAACGCTGCCTGTGCCTTTCTGCGGGAGCGAATGGTAATTGCGGAGTGTCGGGTTTCGAAGCTGTCCCGGATCGTTGAAAAACTGGAGCTACAGCGACAGGCCGCACGCAACGAGCTCGCAGATGCGGATGTTGTCATCAACTTCCTCGAGAAGAACTGGTGAAGCCTCTGGTTAACGTTCCTCGTGTGTATCAATTTGTTCTCGCCGGTTGCCCCTCGACACGGAGATCCTCCTCGGATCTATCGCATGCTGTCTCGACAATCATCCATGTCAAAGATCGTGCATGTCGCTCTATCGCAAGGTGTGCGGGAAGGACAGGGAGTGGTTAGAGCCACAGCTTTGGGCATGTCGCAAGTCAGGAGTGGCCCATGCAGCCAGTTCGTTTGTGTGGATTCGGCATGAGGGCTCAGCAGATTTCCGGGCCGCGAATAATCACTGAATTTCGTGTGATATCTTTTCTCTTTCGCTGTATGCAAACAGTGACTTAATTCAATTCTACCGTTCATCCATTTGAGCATTTTCCCATCTCGCCTTATGACTCCTAGCCATTTGAAGCCGCAAGGCGTTTCAGTATACTGCTTCACCCTTGGAACATAGAGCTCGCCAAGGGTCCTCGAGAGTTTCAACGTTTGGTTCGATTCCAAGGTTTGTGCCGTTCTGGGCGGATGACGAACCCATCCCGGTCTAATTCCAAGGGAAGATTAGGGTTTCGTAGGTGTGGGGTGCTGGGGTGCGGGCTCGGGGGGGCGCCCGGTGAATCGTGCTCGTGCCAACCTTGGAATGGGCCCTAGACTTTCTCCGGATTTAGCGCATCCGCGCCTGGACTGCCAGGTGCGCGGGTGTCTCCACTCCTTACTGACTCTGGAAGTGCGACCGTGCGGAAGGGCACCTTTCCAATCCTGTTCAGTTCCAAGGTTGTCCATGTGTTTGACGACAGCCCTTCCCAGTTGGAGGCGGGTATTCTCAACCTTGGTATAATTCCAACATTGGAAGGTTCCAAGGTTGTGAGAGAACCTCCAGGGCTTGAAAGTTTCAGTACCTCATCGACTAAAACCTTGCGATACATAAACCTTGGAAGTTTGTGGACTCTGGGAACCCTATGAGCCTCGAGAAGTATCGAATGCAGATTCATCCTTGGTTTGTGAGACAGATTGGCATAACGTCTTCCAAGGTTCGTGTCTGCCACAGGCATGTATATATCCACATCCATGACGACCCACCAGGGTGTCCGAGGTCGAACCTCATCAACCGATGGTGCTTCAAAACTCAATATTTTCCATCGAAATTGCGCATGAAGCTAGTCCAGAGGTTAGACTTGCCAAGTGGACATTGTAAAAGACCCTGTAGAGTCATCCCGGTTGCATAACACTCAAAAACTGGAAGAGATGTATGTATTCTTTGTGCAGTAGTGATATAGCCAAAGTCTGCCAAATATTCCATCCGAAGCCCCAGTAGCCTAATGGCACGGGCCTTCGAGCCGAGAGTGCGAGACCTTCGGGCCCCACTTTACACCGGCCGGCTGGCCCAATGGCAAGGCGCTTGACTACGAATCAAGAGATTGCAGGTTCGATCCCTGCGTCGGTCACTAACTTTTTGCTGCTATGTCAAAATGTTGTTTTTATGGCTAGTCAATTGGATAGCGCTATACACCCTGCACATTGTTCAAGCCTTGGATGATGCTTGAGTCTGGAAAATGTGAACGATAGACACCTTGGTTCGAGATTTGTGAGCTCCCCACACAACTCTTGGAATTCCTATACTTCCAAGGTTTCTGCTCCATTGTAGCGAAGATTTCATATGGCCCCAGATGATCACTGAAGTGTGTATTTCACTGTAGCCCTCGAGGAAATTGAAAACACTTAACTTTGAGAAGCCAAAGAGAGCAACGGCAATGCACATGACATCGAAATGTAGCAGAGCCGAGCTGATCGCCTTGCCGAGGTGTCGCGTGCAAATAAACAACATATGCTCAACTTTAATTTTGCTTTCCTACCGGCCTGTGCGACTGCTTGTGGCAAAGGGTATTATGTTCCGCAGCTTCGCCGTTACAACCGCACCTCCCCCAGCCTTTCTACGGCCTAGACAACATCGGAACCGGCCCCATTTGCATATACTTGAAGCTCATTTTTTAGTGCAACTGACAATGGAGTTTTAGTTAAATGAAAGTATAGAATTATCGGCGATCCCGACGTCGCGCTGGTTCAACGATACACAAGAACCAGAGACTCGACATGGTTGGTATTCTGATCAAGCGGGTGATGTTACGACCAAATTGTGAATGCCAATCCGAGGAAACTGCTTCCAGACACAATGGAATGCTCTACATTAAAAAAAAAAAAAAAAAAAAACATTTGGCACGTTTTCCGAAACTCTGGGGCAACGGTCACCGGGGCACTGATACCTATGCATCCATATTCTCTGGCAGCTTCAGCGTTGGTTCTATGATCACGTTCCAAGGTTTTCGATTACGATAGCCTAAATTACGGTAAAAGTTCAGTTGAAGATTCCGACGAGAAAGTTGCTATTAATTGAGTTCGGTGCTTAGGTGCCGGGGGTGGAGCCCCCGGCTAGCCCCATAAGGATTGGGGACTTGGGGCGCGACGGGCAGCCTAGGGGTGGCTTGCGCCGGGTACTGTCATTTTGGGCGATGGTCGTCCTCAGGGGTGGTAATAGCGGCACAAATGCTGATACACAACAGCAAACCATTTCACTCCCGAGGTCAGCACTTGAAAACATAGAAACAGTTGACCCCAATAATTAGCCAAAGCCAAAGTTTGCATGTTTCAGCTCTGAGATCTCTCTTGTTATATCATTCCAGCCTCAGCAGCTTATCTTTTCCCAATCAACCTTGGTAGCTTCTTCCAAAACCACCCGCCGGCATGCCCTCGTTCATCTTCTCCATTTGCTTATTGTTTACCCCAGTCGTTATTGGCTTCCTTTGGCCTGACGTATATGGTCGTCAGCTTCAAGTACAGTATGGGTCTCAGAGGGTAACTCCTGGGATATCATTGGATATCAGAGGTATAGCGAACACCTTGAGACAAACGGATTACCACTCACGTAAATTAAGAGACTTTGGTAATTCCCGAGATCGGTACCAATGAGCTCCATTGCAAAGAAAAATACATTTTATTTTTCATTGATCTGGATGCCATCTTGCCTGGAACAAAGATACAGTCCGTCATTCTACATTGGTACCAATCAAATCTGGGTTTGGATTGCACGAATCCGCATCATCACCGTTTGATTATCCCCAGAGAAGGCCACGAGGGCAATGATCACCCTGCAGCCTCGTACATAGCTCCTCGTCCGCCCCCAAATACCCACCATCGTTACGTCTTCCTGTTATTTGCGCAACGCTACGAGTATCGCTTTCCTAATTGCTTCAAGCACGTGTTCCCGGAGACAGTTGACGCCCGCGCCGGCTTCGATATCAGAAAGTTCATGCAGGCTGCAGGGCTTGACCCTCCATTGGCCATGAACTATTTTTTCGGCCGCCATGAACCTGCCGACGGTGACCCCACGACTATGCCTTCCAGTGCCACCACAACCTCCTTTCGTTTTGTCAATTGTCCCAGTACGACTAGCCCGACACATTTAGCCGGATAGCTTCTCATTGGGTTTGGCATACTGAGTTGGAATATCTCGGCCACTGACCTACATGATGGCTAATGCATGACATTTTCATGCTTTAGTGCAACATTCATCTTTCCTTTGCCAAAGAACCCCCCACAAAGAAATGACCAAACAACTTCAGCAAGCAAAAATCATGCAATTCACCTATTGTGTCTGCAGAATGAGATGGGTACGAGCAAAACACAACAAATTTATCTTACAAGGCTCAATTCCATTCGACGGCCCTCGAATTTTCGTTTGATCTCCTTTGAACATGTGCTTCCTTAGGATCATTGTGTAAAATCTACCTGCAGTAACTTCGCAGATAATTGTATTCGACCTTCTCATGGATGTAGTTTTGGGAACCGAGCAGCTTCACACCAGTAGCGGCTGAGCAAGGACTTCTGGGATGATTTGACAGCTTCTTGCATTTATCAGAATGTGTTACCTTTATCTCAATAATCTGTAAGATAACATGGGAATACAGCCCGAGAAGCCCAAGTACTGTCAGAAGAAACCTCGGCCCCTTCCCCTCGGGCGAGACAACCTTTATGCGTACTATGTCAGGGAGCTGGCAGCTTAGGATGTAAATTCCGCGATAGTATCACATGGTCACCTGGGCAACTCGATGAACGTTTAATGATAAAAACTACCAGAACAAAGATACAGACAATGAGTTTAGGGTTACTGCAATTTAATCATAGTCTCTTGAGGTGATAAATTCGACATGATGGCCAAAACACAGTGGCCACGGAGCTATGTTCGCTCCTAAGGTTCCCTTTTTTTCAAAGAAAGACGAATTCTGCCACAAAGTAGTTTGATAGTGTTGCGGGTAAATTAAAGATTTAGATTAACACCAGCACATGGTTCTCGGGGTGCACCGAACACCATCGCTTCCCAAAGACCACGAGCCAGCCTTGCATTCCGTGAGAATTTCCATTCCTGAATTGCAGATTTCAGGATTTACCAAATCCTCGAGGTGTCCGCATTGAGCAGGGTATACAATCAGAGCATGCATGGTCCAGACTTTTCATCGTCAACTGTCAAGGCTCTGCCGAATCGAAATACCGCCCGACGAGAGGGCTTGCGCCACTTAGTCTCCGATACCAACGAAGTGACGTTGTACAATTGAATCGACTGAGACAAGAAAGAAAAAATAAGGTTATTGTTTGTTGATCATTGGCGCTGCCAAGGCCAGCCCAGGTTGAAAAGTACGGTACCTGTACGCAGGTCTTAGAGGGAGGGTAGGACAGAGAAGTATTTGTCAAAGAGTTCGTGGCCTGGATGTAACGCTTCGTTTATGGCAACTGCTGCAGAGAGGTTTTGTCGAAGTCTGGGTAAACCGTTTCGTCCTTTCGACCTAGAGTAGGAGTGCAATCAAAGGTGGTGCGATATGTTGTCGGACAGTGGATGATCTAATGTATGGGCATGAGAGACTCACCTTGAAGAATGGAATACAAAAACCCCTATTCAACCCAGGTTTAGAATACCAACAGAGTCGACGCTTTCAAAGTTCAACACCACTGAACTTTTACCCAATACACGACTCGCGACTGATGAGCAAGAGCTCATCTGACGGTTCTCCTCAATTGAACGGCCCACTACTTCCAAACCAGAAGGTTCGCACAACCTGTAACGCCTGCCAACAAGCGAAGATACGATGCAGTCACACTCACCCATGCGATCGTTGCGTGAGTCATGGGTTCGAGTGCGTCTACTCGATCTCGCAACCGTTGGGTCGTCCGGCCAAGAAGAAGGGAAGCCGGCCGACACAGGGGTTACAGTCGGGTAGGACCGAGGGGGAGGCAGCGGGCCGTCCGTTGAGGAGGGGTGCACTAGGTGCACCGAGAATAGTGACGGCAGCGAGGCTGGTCACGGCACGGACGAGACAGAGGCTGCCCAGACAAAGGGTCGCTCCAGAATCGAGTCCCGAGGCAAGAGGGGAATCCGATTTAGGCACAGAGGTCACAGGTCGGGAGTGTGATCTCATAGTGCCTGATGTGATGGAAACCGCTGTGGAGATTCCAGGTAAGCAAAAGGAAGATCCAAATGGCCAATCTCTTCTCAAACTGGACTTGTTGATATATGACCATTGCATCACACAGAAACGATTTTATCCGAAGATCAGTGCCAGGGCCAGGAAAATTCCAGCGCGGACGAGGCCAACACCAACGTCGGTCCAGGAACGGAGGAACAAAGCCCGGACTCAGACGACTCGTTCGTAGGTGGGGACTGGCCGTGGCGATTCGATTTCCAGGGGTATCCCCATCCCTCACAAACGGACTATAGCTTATTCACAGAACATAGTACTCCCTTTATCGGTCTGATGCTCGACGAGCCTCCAATGTCCCCATTCGTGGATGGAGACCCGAATGCTCTCCACGAAGCTGCACCAGGCATAACTTTCGATGGTGAGGCATCTTATGCTTTCTGCCTTGCGCCAAACGCAGGGCATATCTCAGAAACCGTCCACGAGCCGTGGCGCATTATGGAATTGCCCTCCAATAGAATGCAACACGGCAAAATGGAGACTGGTTCAAGTCAATCTCCTTCGGCGGGAGAGATTGACTGCGGGTGTCTGTCGGAAGACTCGTCTTCCACTCGCTGTACCTGCTGCCAATAGGCAACCAGCGAGTTGCTTCGCGCAGAAAAGAAAAACCGCAGACCAGAGAGATAAGGCTTGCTTCACCTTCAAAGGGTGCAGCCCCAGACAGGACTCCTTCTACACTGTCCCAAACGTCAGTTCTCTGGTACTCAAGCTAACAAGTTAATCTTGCTGGTTGGGGCGAAGGGAAACCGGGACAGATGAGCGCCATTCAACTCAATGTCTGGGTGGAAGGGAGGTCTCAATCAGTCCGGAGGAGTGCGTGGACTCAACCGGTGGCTCCGCTTTCTGTCATGACTGTCACTTACCGTCCACCACAATAACCCACGCCCATCAAAAGCTTCACCTTAATACCGGCTCCGGGCGATGGTGGACACGATAGCTTAGCGGCTGCCTTTGACTGTTCGAAACACCCAACAGTCGCCGGTTTGGTCATTCTGTGCTGATAAAGTTAGGCCATTTGATGGACGGGGGGATACTTCTGAATCTCTGTGGTAGTTTGAGGTGATGGGAGTTGGACAAATTGAAGTATTGATCTTCCAAGAAACTGCAGTCACTTTAATAAATCACCGAGCTGGTTCATGTAAGCAGTATTGGGTCCTTAGTAAACATTGTCATGGACTTGTGTCACCAGGGAGTTCTATCATATGCCCCGTACAACGGTCAATCTCCCCGACTCTGTTGTTACACTCTGTCAATGTAACATTTCAGCTGAGGTCTTATTGGAAGCTTAATGGGGCTAAAAGTTGAGATAATAACTTGCCGGCTCAGTATGTTTGGTTCGAGATCCCCAAACAATGGTGCTGGTACACCATAGACCAGTAGTCATCCCACCTATCGCTGATCATGGCTTTTCATTGTCACCTCTTTGATATCAAAATCTGCATGAGATCCAAGGTACAAGATGTCACAAAACATGCGCAGGCAAATAGTCGAATCGCTGCGTCATAAAACACGGCACCATTGGGTCTGTATACATGTACCGGTTGGTTCGCCTTGCTTTTTTCGTCCTGGGGTGCAGATGATTTGAAACCCAATTTAATCTGGCATTTTGCCTTTGTCGCCTTTAAATGAATTGAGGAACTTTTGAGCTGTTTCCAGGTAAATCCAGAAGGAGATCACCCAATTTGCTTGCCTGTTGTCAAATGCAAGACTTCGGCCTCTGGGACCCTAAGAGACGTGGGTAGGGGACATCATTCTGACGACCAGAAATGATGATGAGCCCTTGTAGATGCCCTCAAAATGAGGTTGCAGAGAGCTTCCAGTGGACTACTATCTTCAGATGAATTTGGAAAATGCCGTTGGGAAACCCCTGCAAGAATCAGACGTAGTACAGCCAGGGCTATGATAGCAGATGATCAACAGGGGGTCATTTGTAGGCCATTCCACTGGCCAAACGGCTTATTTGTCACGGCACATCACTCTGATATGAGACACGACCTCGATTTCAAATTTGGTCGGTGGTATTAGGCGCAAGTTCAACGGATTTGCGGGTAATTGTGCATAACATAATCCCACATGGCCAATATGGAGCCCTGGAGGAGAAGCAATATATCTCCAACACCGAGCTAGCTCAATTCACAGTGACAGCGACATCCACGGAGATGAATTCAAAAGAGTTGCAAGACAGGTCGAGCTTCACAGTGAAGATGTCGGGTATTTCCACCCGCTCTTTATAATTGCAAGCTATTCAAACATATACATATCAAGTGCCGATAAATCTAGGCTAGCGAGGCCAGGGCTTCTCAAAGACACCGGTCCACTGACCCCAACCGACGACTTTGCCCTCCAAGGCTCGCTTGATGTCTTTCTTGCTGGCAGTCTCCGGGGCTTGAAACTTCAGCGATTCGCTGAGTGCGACGATGGTAAATACATATCGATGCTTTCCATGCCCAAGTGGCGCACCTGCACCGACGTAGGGAGTTCCTAGTATATTGGGAACAAATCGCCAGCCGGCGACTGTCTGGCGAGATATCTTGGCGTGCTCGCCTGGTGCGACATCCTTCTGGTCGGCCTTGTTCGTTGATGCGGGAATAGCCCATAGAAGGCCGTGATGAAAGACGATGAAAGGGATAGGTGGGTCGAGGTCTTCACAGAGTAGAACATATTCCTTGACCTCCTCGCTTGATTTTGGTGCGCTCCAACGAAGCTCAGGGAGGGCACCTCTGCCATCCTGGGCCTTGCAGGTACAGTTGAGAGGAAGCTTGGAGCCAGAAGGACCTATCTCCGGGGCTTCAAGAATAATGTTTGGCTTGGTGAGATCTTTGAAGGCTGGAGAGTGAATGATTTGGCCCGAATCATGACCGCGGATAGGGTACAGTAATCGGCCGAGGAGGAACTCGAGGTAGTGCAAGATCGCCATGGTTGATGGTTGGGACAATCACAGAGATAGAGCTTTTTGTTGGTAATGAAAGAGCATGATGGAGAGAAGAAGAAAGAAAAATGGGTTGGCGATGCGATGTGTTGTGACTGAGCCCAAAGGCAGGCTGATTTAGAAGGTGCCCTGAACCGGGCCGGAATCGGTGAACTCAGCTGAAATCCATTTTGGACCAATTTCGAAATGACATTAGCGCAGTGAGATACTAGTTTCTTTGTTCTATTTAAAGGGAGAACTTTTCCATACTCCCCGATTTATAAAAGCAAGCAGAAATGATATGTGAACCCGCTCATTGTATTGGGTGTTGTTGGTCAAAAGTCCACGTGCACTTTGACTCCTCGAGGTCCCGGTACTACAACTTTTACAGTCGAGTATGGTAGATATGACCGGAGCTAATGGATACCGTTCGCTCTCAGTTTCAAATTGATATTGGTAGCGCAGTCTATGGTCGCCTGTTGCAGAGGGGGTTGACGACCCCAGAGCTCCAAGACTTCTTAACTTGTGCAGCCAGCCAGAAGCTGGGGCATTTCGGGCCAACACTCAATGGCGATTGATTTAAATGGCTCAGTGCGGATATGACCCATCCGATAGATTGCCATGTGGAGAGACCACTCTCGGTAAGTCAGGCCAACACAACCAGAAAGCCATCAACGGACCCTTGTTACGATGCAACAACACTGGCGTAGCCATTGAACTCTCCTGTCTCCTCCAGAATGATCGGAATCTCATCCTCCACGAGGGAGGCAAAGGTGTCCTTCTCCAAAGGTGCCCATCCCAATTGTCGCAGTCGGGTAGCCTTGTTTCTTGCGTTTGAGCCAGCCACAATTCCTGTGAAAACCCCAAACAGATCGCCGTAGTTTGATTCGGGGATTGTCTTTGGTGCATATTGACCAATCTTTCCTGCTCCTTTCAAGATCCGACCAATCTCGGCTGCACATTTGCCCCATGAAAGCTCCTGGCCATTCTCACAGAAGAAGTAGGGGTTTTCCGCAACAACATCGAAAGGTGCGCCTTCCATCCAGTGTAGCAAAACCATGTATGCCCGTGCCAGGTCTTTCACGTGAACATGGTTCCAGACTGAGAGACCCTTGCCGATCTGACCTGCGTATCCATGCTTGATCGAGTACCGGGCAAGAGTGGGTAGCTGAATGGAGAGGCGTTTTTCCCCGAGTGGTGACACCGTAGATCACAGGTGGGATCATGATGGCCATTTTGGCGTGGGTGGCGAGCTCGCGGCGGGCTCGGACGATGGCCAGATCAATCAAGCGATGGGGCGCGGAATCGGGTAGAGCATCAATTTGAGATGGGTTCAGATCATCAAACACCGCCTCGTTCTCATACTCTCCTGCCGATGAGTCGGCAATCAGACTTGCACCACTGTTGTGGATGTAGATCGTTTCTAGACCCATCTGTGCTCGCTGTCGCACACCGTCGAGAATCGCCTCGACCGATGGCAGGTGGTCTGCAGTGGCGGTATGGAATACAATATCGCTCACAGCGACCTGATTCCTGATCACTGATGCATCGTCTAGGGTTCCCACGACTGTCTTCACGCCGATCTTAGCGAATTCTGCGACGGCTGATTCCCTGCGGACGAGCGTAGTGACATTGTACTTGGTTGAGAGAAGCAAGTCAATGACTTCACCCCCAATAAAGCCGGGCCCGAGCAAGAATACAGAGCGCGTCATATCGAGTGAATAGAGAGCAGTCTCCCAACGTTAAAAATTCCTCATGTTTTGCAAGCCCCGCCGTCTCATTTTATAGCTGAGATGACTGAAGGTTGACGACACGATTAGTCAGATGCGGTGGAACCAAGTGCCGATTCTTCGTGCGGGGAGTGTTGGTCAACTGTTGGTCAATTGTTGGTCAACGCAACTTCGAATCAAACATGTCGCCGAGCGGGGCTGACAAAGCAAGAAACGCCTCATCGCCCGTGCCAAGCTTTACCTACTTCACCTACTGGCGATATGTGAGTCGGACGAGGATTGCGCCGAGAAATTCAAAAATTGAATGATTTGAAAGCAATGAAGGGTGGATATTAACAAGTCCAAAGGAAGGTCGAAGCGGTGGGATAGCGGAGGTTCTGATCTGCAGTGGAGTTTCCCATTGGTCGCGATCGAAGTGGTGAATTTTGTATACAGTTGAAGTGTGTGTGTATACTTGTGTACTCCGTATGAAGCACGAAGAAGCACGATGTTGACAAGTACGGAGAACGGAGTAGAACACGCCAAGTCGGTTTTGTACAAATAAAGATGTGCCCAAAAGAGCGTCGATCTTGCCGATCGTGACATCAGCCGTATTTCCGTTCTTCCGCCCACATCCGTGCGAATTCCCGTTCCTGGATTCCCTCTGCGATCCCTTCGGGGCACTTTGCTCACCTCTACACCCTCCATGCTGTCTTCTATATCGGCCGCCTTTGCACCGGCACCCGAAGGTTCACAGCAACGGCCCCCTCGGTATGCCGGCGAGGATACTACCCCGACCACCCGCCGAGAGATCCTGGGCTGGTATTCCTATGGCATTGCTGCGGAAGTGTTTGCGGTCTGCGGCGTAGGTTCGTGAAGCTGGCTGTTTCTCCCCAAAAAAAAGGGACCATTCATGCTGACTCGTTTCGTTTGCAGGCTCCTTCCTACCACTCACGCTGGAGCAACTAGCCCGCGAACGCGGCACCCTCCAAAAGAGCCATCTACCATGCACCGGACCCTCGGCGGGAAACAGCACGAACGATGCCGCGAATGGACAGTGTGTTGTCCCGGTCTTTGGACTTGAAATCAACACCGCGAGCTTCGCCATGTATACCTTCTCATTGGCAGTGCTGATTCAGGCATTGACATTGATCTCGTTCAGCGCGCTGGCAGACTACGGTATGGTTGCAGGAATCACGGGCTGAAATTTGCAGTCGAAGAGGACATGAACGTTAACGACAGGGTTCTCCGGTCGCGGTTTCTAGAAAACAATCGCAAAACCTTGCTCATGGTATTCGGATTTGCCGGTTCCCTGGCTAGCATGTTGTTCGTGTTTATCGCTCCGCCTGTGTTTATCCTGGGTTCCATCCTTGTGGTCGTGGGTGTGACCTGCCTTGGCTCTTCATTTGTCGTCCTCAATTCCTACCTCCCGGTCCTAGTCGCCAATGATTCTTCTCTTCAAGCCAGCAAGACGAACGAAGACGCGGAGTTGTCGACCTTCGACCCAGACGGCGAAAGCCCCGAATGGAACGCATGGGATAGCGACGGCGACAATGACAGCTTGGATGGACTGAACCCATCGCACCAGCCCAACCACTCGCCGGAAGAGGGCAAGGGAGCCCGGTCTCCGTCCTCCTCGCCGGAGCTGCAGTTGTCCACCAAGATTTCGTCCCGGGGCATTGGTCTCGGCTACTGCGCCGCCGTCTTTGTGCAGATCATCAGTATAATCATGCTCGTCACGCTCTCCAAGACGTCTCTTGTCAATGTCTCGGCCACTCTTCCCATGCGGTTTGTCTTGCTCCTGGTCGGTATCTGGTGGGGTGCGTTCACGCTGGTCACTCGTCAGTTGCTGAAGACCCGACCGGGGCCTCCGCTCGACAGTGTCTCTACGCAAGGTACCGCACGCTGGAGGGCCTGGCTGCGACTGATGGGATTCGCCTGGAAGTCATTGTGGGAAACGGTCAAAGTAGTGATGAAATTGCGAGAGGTGCTCATCTTCCTCGTAGCATGGTTCCTGCTCTCGGATGCCATTGCCACGGTTTCGGGCACGGCGATCCTGTTCGCGCGCACGGAGCTCAAGTTGAGCACGCCACTGGTCGGACTTCTCTCCATCACCGCGACCGTGTCCGGGATGATGGGTGCATTCCTGTGGCCACACGTGTCTCGGCACTTTGGACTACAATCCAACCACACTATCATTGTCTGCATTGTCCTGTTTGAGATGATTCCGTTGTACGGGTTGTTGGCTTACATCCCGTTCATCAAAAATTGGGGCGTTATTGGCTTGCAACGGCCGTGGGAGATCTTCCCGCTGGCCATCGTCCACGGAATCGTGTCGGGCGGGTTGGCGTCCTATTGCCGATCGTTTTTCGGGCTCTTGATCCCGCCTGGGAACGAGGCTGCGTTTTACGCTCTCTATGCCGCGACTGACAAAGGTAGCTCTTTTATTGGACCGGCAATTGTGGGGATTTTAGTGGATGCTACCGGTCAAGTCCGGAGTGGATTTTTCTTTATTGCTATTCTCATAGTTCTGCCTATTCCGCTGGTATGGATGGTGAACGCGGACAAAGGACGCCGCGAAGGTTTGGCCATGGCTGAGACCCTGAAGTCACATGGTCCTGCCAATTCCCAGGAGGCTGAAGGTCTCCTGGCGAGTCACGATTGATATTGAGAAAACAAGAAATTAGGGGACCAACATGTTATAGAGATGAATATATGAATACGAGTATGTTTGCGGCACAGCGACATTGCGGGGGTCAAAAGGCAAAGCCACGGTCATTTGAGGGAATTGTGACCAGTCGGTATGGAATCCCCAAATAACCGCAGAACCAAGCCTCGAGAGGGGATTATTTACTCGGAATAGGCATCATTGCCAAGCCCGATCCTGAGATCACCTGGGGACTACTGGGGAAGGTCTGTACCTTGAGTTTCGAAGCACCGAAATAGATTAGAGCCCGATTCCTACTCCGTACACCAAGCCTTTCTAGCCGGCTGCGGGAGAGAGGGAAAAATATAAATAAATAAAAACCCGCATATAACAGGGTCTTGAGTGGGGGCAAAAAAGGGAAGATGTCTCATTTCTTACAGTTCTTAAGCCAATTTGACGTGAACAAGAAAAAGGGCAGAGAGAGACTTGACCAATCCGACGGGGTCAATCTCGTATAGTTCAGTCGCTAAGTGGACCCTGAGCTGTTAGTTAAGGGTCCTCCGAGGCTTGGTACACTGCAGCCTAAGGGACTTTTCTGAGACCCTCTCTGTTTTCCGCTTCAAGAGAAGTGAGAATCTAAGAGGGGAGAGTCTGCATCCTTATTGGGAATGCGCAGTAAGACAACCCCATCCGGCCCTAATTTAGCTTCACTGCACACAATTTAACATTCCACACTCTCCCCCTTGGAAAAAAAAACCTTTGGTGTTGGTTTTCACTCTAACTACGTGCATCATGCTACTGGAGGTTGTCTTCTCTTCTCTTTTGCTGCTTGCCAGCGCACATCCACAGCGAGGTCTCTCCGTGGAACCGGTGACCGACTGCTCTCAGCTCCCCGCTTATGACGATCTCACCGAGATCGCCGGACCCTGGACGATCAACATCGACTCATGTTACAATGGAACTGCCCCCGATAGCAGATGCAGTATTGAAGGATTCGGATCTAGCTCTGATGTCACACGGCAAAGGGGCGACAAGAGCGATCTGATCGAGCATGGCTTTGTACGTTGCACGCCTTGACCCACAAGTACGGAGTAAGCAATGAGCTAACCAAGACCCAGATTACGATCGCAAGCAATAACGAAAATGTCAAAACCCAACTACGCTGCAACGGTGCCCTGAACAGAATCGAAGCCCTCGTTCCATCGGGCCACGGTGCCTTGGACTGGCATGCCCTCGGTATCAACCACCACCCTAGCACGGGCCGACTGGTCTGGGGCAGAGATGCCGAGTCAGTGCAGGCCTACCGCCACTATGTCCGCGGGCAGCCGGTCTCGGGATTTTTCCTGGGCTCGAACAACCAGACCAATTGGGCGGTGCACTCGTCTGGGAGGGATGTGAGCATCCAGGACTACAAGCCATACTGGGTGATGCGGTTGATGATTCCGGAGACCACGTTCCGAGACAATGAGTTTCGGACTTTGATTCGAATCGATGGGAGCTGAGTCCCCGCAAAGCCCTGTTTTGATTTGTTTTAGCATTCACTTGTGCATGGGTGCGACACTTTGTCTCTTGCTCTTTTATACCCCCTTTCATGTCCACCCAAAGGCGTCGCGTTGCATACTATCAGCATTTGAAGCGTTATATCTCTGTTCTAGTCTCAAGCAAACAATATTGTATCGACTTTTCCCAATCGCTGGGCCATACGCAAGTAATTTCCAGCGTCTGCAAATGACATGATCTACAGTCTCTTCGAGATCTCGGCGACTGACACCCGGATCAGCGCCACGCCACACAAAATTGACGATTGGCACCATCGATCTCATTACTCAAGGCACATTGGCTCCGTGTCCCAGCTAAAAGATTGGCGACTGTGGTGAGATCTCTTTCCCCTTTACCCAAGTCTTGAGCACTCAACCCAAACACAACCCACAACCTTGCATCCCGGATGACCATCAAACCATGCGACCGAGAGAGTTTATTCTAGCAGAACATTTTATCTCCAGTCGATGTCAATATTGTTACTCTACTTACCTGTGGGATAATGCGTGGACAGATGCAATGGGCTCAAGTGAGCCTCACCAGGTCATCAACACCCGGCGCTTGAATATCCAATTGAAAAAACCCCACCAGTCATGGTTCTTTTTGCTTTGTGCATGGTTTGCATATGTTGTGCCCGGGTTAGGAACAGTGATGTGGACAAAAGGGCTCTGTCCAGCTCTTTCAATGCTGGTCCCTGTGGGCTTTTATCAAAATGTGTGCACTCGACTGACAGTGTCGCAAGGCTATTGACAGACAGTCGAAAAAGCGAGTTCAAAAGGCAATTTGGGTTTGAAATCTCACCAAGAAAAAACAACAAAGCATATAAATCCCCTGGAATCACTCCGCGGAGAGACACAAGACGGCAGGTTTACTCGAGTTGACAGTCCCGGGATCTATACAGGGATGGCTAAAATGGGCAACGGCAGACCCTGATAACTCTCTCTTTATCACAACACAACACGTTGCTACCAGAAGGCAGAACATCACCTCAAATCTGCTTCTTTCAACTCTAAAATGTCTAGGCTGCTAATGTTGCTAGGCTGTGGACTTTGAAAACAGATTCCCAATGGATCAAGGTAAATACCCTGGGCCTTTTCTCAAAACCTGACATGGACTCACGAGAACGAGAACGTCTTTCTCCATTGGCAGCTCTGTGTTCCGAGAGCTTCTGCTTTTGGAATTTAGCCATGAAATGTCCCTCCGTTACGCGAAGGGATTAGGCTCATTTTTCTATCCCGGGGGCGTTAATGCCAACCCTATGCGGCCCAATCAGAGTGCCTCCTCGCATACCCCAGCCTCGCTTCCCCAGACACTAATCGTGTTTAGCGGTTGAATTCCCCCGGACATTGCTCTCCTCTGCTTACCTGCTTCTGATAGGTGCAAAATCTCCACGGTCACCAGGTCTGACATTCCGCAGTTGGTTAAGACACGCTGGTTGGCAACTCGTACACAGCAGCCATGTTTCTGTGCACTTCATTCTCGATACAATTAGCCTGAATTGTCAAGATGGGCTGATCAGGATCCAGTGACTTGTCATTGACTTACGCTGGCTCCCTCCACACGATCCCTGAGCCCAAACTAATGCACGTGGATGATCTTGTCAGTCAAAGTAATCGCCATATTTATACAAGACAATGCCCCCCTCCTTCAAGCGGAGGCTCCCCTAGATGAAATCTCCCGAGGTCTGAGAGGGCAAGCTTCATTAACCCTACGCCGGTCGCCTCGCCTCTGCATCAAAATTGGAACAGAATGGCGTCCGCTGCAGATACCGCAATTGCGCTGGAGAAGACTGCCGCCAACCATGTCGAGGATACTTTGGGCCATGGCGCGATTTTGGAGGCTAAACAGGCCAACGAGGATGAACATTCGCAAACACTGGGGCAATGCTTGAGAGAGAACCGCAAAGCTGTGATGTGGTCCGTCCTGATCTCTCTATCCATCGTTATGGAAGGATACGATATTATCCTCATGAGCAACTTTTTCGCCTACCCCGAATTTCAAAAAAAGTACGGACATGATTATGGCGGTGACATCGGATGGCAGGTCTCAGCCCCGTGGCAGACTGGCTTGAACATGGCTAGTACGGTGGGATGCATCTTCGGTGCGTGATAACCTTGTCTTTATTGAACGCATCTATAGCTGACTGACAGATTTGCAGGTGGTATATTGAATGGGTACTGTGCGTCCAAGTATGGGTACCGGGGTGTCATGATTGTTGCCCTCGCATTCCTGACATGTTTTATCTTTATCACCGTGTTTGCGAATTCTGCGGCTGTCCTGCTAGTCGGGCAAATCTTTTGCGGATTCTCTTGGGGAGTGTTTGCGACCATCGGCCCGTCGTACGCATCTGAAGTCTGCCCGACGAACCTGCGCGGCTATCTCACAATTTATGTGAATATGTGCTGGGCCATCGGTCAACTGATCGCGTCGGGCGTTCTGTACGGACTTGTTGGTCGAACAGATCAATGGTCATACCGCATCCCCTTTGCCTTGCAATGGATTTGGCCCTTGCCGCTAATGGTTATCTGTTGGCTGGCCCCCGAGAGCCCCTGGTGGCTCGTGCGAAACGATCGCATGGAAGATGCGAAGCGCAGTATCCGTCGACTGGGTGGTTCAAAGACAGAAGAACAGATCAACGGCCAGCTTGCGATGATGGTGCACACGATCAAAATCGAGGCCGAGATTGAAGCCGGTACCACATATTATGACTGCTTCAAGGGCGTTGACCTTCGTCGCACAGAGATTTGCTGTATGACTTTCGTTGGTCAGATTCTGTCAGGTAGCACATTCGCCTACTCGCCCACTTATTTCTTCACGCAGGCAGGAATGGAAGTAACCCGCTCCTTCCAGCTGGGAGTTGGGTGCACTGCCGTCGCTTTTGTTGGCACTGTACTTTCCTGGTTCCTGATCACCGGCTTTGGCCGTCGCACTTTGTATGTCTGGGGAATGGGCATCTTGTGCATGACTCTTTTCCTCATCGGCATCATCAACGCAGCGTCGCACACTAATGGCGCGATGTGGGCCCAGGCTGGTTTGTGCTTCTTCTGGCTCTTCACATATTCCTTGACCGTCGGACCTATTGCCTATGCTATAGTATCGGAGATGTCATCGGTGCGCCTGCGGCCGCTGACGGTGTGCGTGGCGCGGACTGCCTATCAGATCATCAACGTGGTCTCCCAGGTGCTGCAACCTTACTTCATGAACCCGACGGCTTGGAATGCTTCGGGTAAGACGGGTTTCTTCTGGGGCTGCACAGCTCTAGCTGCGTTTCTGTGGGCATTCTTCCGTCTCCCCGAGCCGAAGGATCGTACATATGCGGAGCTTGATATCTTGTTCGCGACAAAGGTCTCGGCCCGCAAGTTTGCGTCAACCGCCGTTGATGCGTACGCGGTTGCACCGTCTTCTTCGCGGGAAGGTCTTGTGCGAGAGGAGATTACCCAGGAGACAAAACAGTGAGACGTATTCAAACACCGGCGGCACTTTTTGTGTACGAATTTATGCGTGATAGCTGTAGCAAGTTTCAGAATCCTCACAGTATGTACTGCAAATCATAATGCAAGTTGGATTAGCACACAGGCCAAGAGGGTTGCGGCTCTTGTCCTCACGCGGATCAATGAAACAGCTGTTTCAGTAGGGAGTACTCCGTAGATCGAGTCAGGGACACGTTAGACCGTTAGATGGCAACATCGGCAATTTTTGACGACTCAGCCACTTATACGGAGTAGTAACCATACGAGTACTAGTAGTACGTGGAGTGGTCCCCAGTGCATCGACAAGGCTGCTAGCGCGAAGCCCAAAGAGCTGAAAATAGGGAAGTTACTAGCGCTGATTTGTCCTTTTTTTTGCTGCAATTATTGGCCCACATTTCGGTTTGAACGTACGGAGTCTTTCGTACTCCGCACCTTATTCATTATTTCGCCTTCTTGTTTCCATTTTCATAACAAGCACCATGGTTGGACAAGACCTTCCAGGAGGCAAGATCAAGCCCCCAACATAAAAACCTCACCATGCGTGTAATCTGCACAGATCAAGCACAACAATGTATGAAGGAGTATTAAGATACAGCACTGACTCTCTAATTGGAGAAAGATCATCTCGCTAAAGCGGCAAAACCCCCCACCAAGATCGTCTGTTGATCGTTCCCACAACGGATCGAGTACACTGCCCCTGCATACGAGATAGCGCCAGTGAGACGGAGCGTTTCGAAAGCCATTCCAAACCAGTTTGCAAGGGAATCAACATCAGATTTTTTAGTCATTAATAGGGTACGATGTACACCGTATAGTTAAATATACACGAAATTAGGTAAGAGAGATTAGGTCATGAATTGCGCACAGACACGCGAACAGACCTCTCCACTTTCCAGCCGGGAGATTCGGCTCCCGCCCTGGGAGGATTCAGATCCTCTTCGGAACTAGTTGGCACGTTCTGGCGGCCCATGATGGTCGTGGTCACGCCATGGTAGTCATCGCTCTCGGTGCCTGTCCAAAGCTGTCGGGAGTCCTCGCGCGACTCGTGCTTGGACCGTGTGGACCGATGGAACCCGCCTGCGACGTTGCTGGCGAGAGGAAATGAGGGGGCGTACGGCTAGGGCCTGCGGAGGAGCCGTCGCGAAGAAATCGGACGAGGGGGCGTAAAGTGGTGAGACAGCCGGCGGTGATGCCAAGGCCAGCTTCGACATTGGACCAGATGGAAATTTGGTAGGTGTTGTCTGCATTCGTTAGTCTCCGTGACTGCTCAATGGACCGAGGCACGTACACAAAAATTCTTTGTCTTTGTAGTGGTGAACGAAGGGAATTCGAATGATAACCGCGGCACTTGCACTGGAGAAGGGGTGGTCAGTTCGCCACCATATAGATTAAAAAAACCATCAAGTGCCGAGGGATCACTTACATGCAACCAATTCCCAAAATGCCGACGATCGCACATTTAGTTCGGGTGTTCATGCGCAAGTTCCATATCAGGGCCACGGGAAGGAGTCCAATCGTCAAATCCGTGATGGCCGCGCCCACACTGTACAAATATGCGATGCCGATGAGGACGTTGTTGCTGACACACTTGCCCGACGCGCCTTGTTGCGCTCGATTCCAAAAGAAGTCGACGGGGCTGCATTGGAACATTGTGAAGAAGAAGAAGATGACCCCAACGGCAGTGGCAAGGACCATGGCGGAATATAAAATGTAGGCGTGGATGCGATCCACCGTGATGCGGAGGAGGGCGATGATAATCGAGATCTTGGCAACGACACAGGTGATCACGTAGAAGAGTTGTCCGATCCACCAGCACTAGGGATCTGTCAGTATGTATTTCCACCACTGAGGCTGCAATAATCGTACCAGCATAGCGCGGTGGAAGTCGTTCTCGTTGCCGGGGATGGCAAAGTAAGCCAATGTCCTCCCCAGTCCGAATTTACACGCGATAATGCCGCAGAGTGCAAATCCCAGGTTCAGCACCTAGATGGGGTTAGTTCACCCAAGTCTCAACACCAGAAGACTCGCGACTCACCATGGCCAACACCATCACGGCATCATCCCACCCGAATGCACGCACAATGTGACTGCGCACAAAACATCGTAAAATGACGCTCACCGCGGAGATACCGAGGAAAACAGAAGCGACAATCAGGATAGCCTTGCTCCGGCTGTCATCGAGATTGACATGGGACAATTGAGCATCCATACTGATCTGGCAGAGGGCATGGGAATCCCATCCGCACTACTCGTCGAAAATAGGTCCCAAAAAGAATCCAAGCGATGGACGGAGGTCCCTCATGGTTTTATTCGAAGATCCCCGGCTATTCTGGCAGTAAAGTTTAACTCTAGACCCCGAAGTCCTTGAGAGTGGAGACCTAGGAGAGAAAAATAAGAACCCCTGCAGTACTCCGTACTCCGTACTAATACCAACTAACAAGTAATCCATGGTGGGGGTGACTCGTACGCATTGGGTATGAGATCGGAGACTACGGAATATCATTTGATGGATCCGCAGGCAAGTTAAACCAGCGACCAACTGAGCACTAGCAGGCTCGGCAGTTTCAAATTATTGTGATTGCCATTCCAAATTGTATACGGAGTACAATGCTCAGGTGTCAGGACGGGGGGGGTGGCATGAGTTCGCCACATAGAGTACAGCGCCATAACCATGGTCACAGTACGCCTAGCCGAGCACATTGCTGTTCTTCAGACTCGTGGCAACGGCGCAGGAGCCGCATCGGTCGCGGTACCAAACAACGGCACAGAGTCTAAAGACTCCAGAGGGAGCTGATTGGTGACGTACAGGAGCAAGACCGTGGTTCCGACGACGTGGATACAGGCCCCACATTTCCAGATTCGGGGTGGAACATTGATCGCTCGTATTTTCCATTCGATGAGATGAACAACTCTATTCTTCCCGAGCTCCTTTCTGCAGGAGCAAAACCTTATCCTGAAACTACTCATATATGCGACCGAGGACCTAGGGATACGCTGAGCATTTGAAGAAGATTAGGGTTATGAAGCCCAAAAATGCACCTTCTATATTAGGCTTAGAGCCACCCCGCTACCAAGATCTACTTGAGTTTACGTGCATAGCAACTGGACCACGGTTAATTAACTATTGGCGAGTTATTTATTGACCTGAATCTTATGATCACTGCCAGTACCCCGTGCGCCGCGCCTATCCCTGTTTTCAAGTCACGTTTCTCGTGTGTCGCGTCTACGATCTACGTCTCATGTTTGATATTTGATACACATTGAATCTTGTGCGGTTTCACTACTAGTTTGCGCTAGTGGCAGTTCAGTGGCATTGATTGCCCTTTGATCGACGCAGATCATGGTGGTCTTGGCAGAAATGCAGGCGAATGCGCACTAGCCCTTGGGAAATTGATGGTTCCAAGCATGTTGAAGTCCTCGTTTTTATTTGGCTCGAACCCTGGGGCTAATCTCAAATATAGCGTCATCAATACGAGTATTTCGTAAATCCTTGGTCTAAACAGCTGGCTTTTGCATATTGGGGTGATCGTACATTAGTCAAGCCCCTCTGTTGTGGATACCTCGTATTTGTGGCTCCAACTCTTGAACTGCTGTCTTCAGCATTGATCGTATGGCTTACATAGCTTTCCACCCAAAGGATTTCCGGTCTTGAGGTGAAACCAAGGTTCCGACTTTGTGGATACATCGGCTGGAAGAATCCATAGAATTACCCGATTCGTGTCATTCACGCAGACGCACTCGGCGAGGCGCCAGCCATGGTGCCACTGGGCGCAGAACCGCTCGGAGCTCCGCCGCCACTACCGCCGCCGCTACCGCCGCCGAAAGAGCTATCCTCGTTTTGGTGACCACCATCGGCATCGTAGTATGCAGCAATGCTGTAGTACGAGTTGTCGGTGAAATCAGCTGTGGCATTGATACCAATTTGAATCCACGCGAACAAGCCATCGTCGAGGTCATCTCCGAGATAGAGGTACTCGGGGAAGGGGTCATAGGCACTGTCGGCCTGCTCAATACTCCACATATCCTCCGCGTTGGTGGTCACATTCTGGGTGTTGGTGTTGTAAGGGTAGGTATCTTCCACGGCAGAGCGGAGGACCTCGTTCCAGAACAACTGCCCGATGTGTGCGACGCTTCCGGTACCAACCTCGAGAGTCTTGTTGGGCAGGAGAGTGGCGTTCAGGTGAGTAAGGAGATGGGTGTGCGTCGCACGACCTTCATAGTGACCGGGGAAGATGCTCTCGAACGTGGCCACACCATCGCGGTCAGTCTGTTGAATTCCGCGCAGGTAGGTCGAGTCCCAGCCGTCGGCAGCGTAATTGCCCGACTCCGAGATGCCGCTGTTGATGACAAGGTTAGATCAAACCTTCATTGTGCTGAAGTTGCAAGATCCAAGATGCGGTTAATCACGTACCTGTACACACCAGTGGCATTGGCCTGCCAGATGTCAACCAGCGCACCAGGAACGGGTTTGCAAGTGTTGATATCAATGTATTGCACCTCGAGGAAAACATCCACACCATCCGAGTACAGATCCTCCTTCACGTTCTGGCGCACGACCTCACCCCAGACATAGTAGGGGCCGTCGGTGACGGTGGGAGACAGGATACAGCTGGTATTGGCGGCAAAGATCACAGACTCTGGAGTAGCAGGGCTGTAGTCCAAAATATCGGTGCGATTGTGATCAATGGCTTCCCACTTTTCGAGAGCAGCAAGGTCTCGACGCTGTTTTTTAGGGGCTTTGTACGGGTCAGTCCACGGGGCCTCGAGCAAGGAAGTAAATGAATGGCTTACAGGCAGTGATGCCACGCTTCTGGCGGAGTTGTTGAACAGTACGAGAACGACGAGCGATGCTGCGCTTGTTCAATTCCCGCGCGTGGAAGGTACTTTCACACCCACCGAGGGAGCGCTTGGCGTGAGCAGCCATGGCATCACGGGTATGTATCTCTCGCTTCAGGACATGGGGGTTGTGCTTTTCTCCTGGGTGGGCGATGGCGGGAGCCGCCAAGCAAGCTGCTGCAACAGCGATGAATTTGGAAAGCTGAACCATTGTGGATGTCAGGCACGGCTCAATCTGGATGTTCTCTGGTTCCTCTCAGACACAACGACCCCGGCTTGAATTTATACATCTCCGTCTGTCGAACTCGTCTTTGGCCGCGTGTCGTCCAAGGAGTAGTCGGTATTTCCGGAAAAGCGAAGATTCAGCACTGCTGCACGTCAATGCTCCAGACCTGAGTGCTAACAATTATTTGGGGGTGTTTCCGGCACGACTGTTGCTTGGCGCCGCGTCAACCCTTTGGTGGAAGGCGTGTGTTGACACCGCTGGCCCCACGAGGTTAATCGATTCAAGAAGTGATCGCCCAACCACGACGAATCATTAACGGCCCATTGGAAACACCGTCCTCACAAGCAGGGGTAAAACGTGACGACTCCTGACCATAGTTTCGAGCCCTAAGAAAACGCGGTGGCTGATTAAGCGGCGAAGAAGGCCCCGGGTCCACCTCATTTCAGACACGTTGCATCTGATTGGCAGAAGTAGTTGCTGGAGTGCAATATCTTATGAGATTACGAAAATGTGGTGGCTGATTCAGCGGACGAAGCTCAAGTGCTCAGGTAGGACTATTCAAGCTGACCATTTGTCAGGGGAAAAACACCCTCTTTGACTCCTTGCGCTCTACGGAGTTTCCTCGAGCTCATCCATTGACTGGGAGCACCTGCACCTGTGGACCTGAGCAATTTATTCTTCCGGGTCTGAAATATTTGAGTAACTTCAGGATGATTTGGGAATTTTCATGCGAATATGCTCTTGGCGCAAGGAGGTCAAAGGGATATGGATAATCAACCTCAAACGTCATTTCCATGCTTGCCCAACTGCCTAGGTGGGCAGGTGACAACGTGGGTTCCAACGTTGTACTTTATAGGTTAAAGAATACCTGTATAGTGCACCTAGGCAGTAGAGACCTGGACGCTAGGCACCTCTAGGATGCATGTTATCAATCAATTGAAATCGATTGGTCTGTATGTTTCCGAGGTTGCCCCCAGGCACACACTCCAGGGCTTCCTTGAAGCTTGTACTATGTGTGTCCACGGGTGATAAAGATCGTTGTTTCACGAATTAAGCGTGCGTAAGGAGCGCTCAAAGCTCTCTGAATGCTACCCGTGCGAAGTCATTTATTTGACTTATCTGAAAATTCTAACAGTGATGGGCCAGTCCCGGAATAGAGGCCTTGTACGGAGTAAATCCACGGTAGCTCACTAGGCCATGGAAGAGCCCGCGATAGAGCTCAACTGGCTAGCTGGTTCAAAGTTTCACCTTCAACCTACCGTATACGCCGAAAGGCCCGCCAGGGTCCATCTTGTATACAAAGGAGCTGCCTTCAAGCCTCCGTCTTCTCCAAACCTTGATCCTTCTCGGAATCATCACCAGGTTCAAACATGGACTCACGCATGAATGGACTCCGCCGACGGATTTCAGGTCCTTTTAGGACAAGAACCACGGGAACAACAGAAAGGGCGATCCCGACGAACCCAAGCAATGAGCCAGCCCAGCCATACCCCAAGGTATCAAACAATTCGAAGGATGCAAGAGGAAGGAAGGCGCCGAAAGTATTACGACCCAGAGAGGCTGCAGACAACGCAGAGGCTGCGTATTTTTCATACGCATCAGTCAGATAGTTGACCACAGCCATGTAAATGGAGTAAATCCCCACTCCAGTGCACCCAATTCCCAGCGTCGGCACAATCCAGTGGACTGATCCATTCCCGACACTGCCCCAGCCGTACCAGAACAGGCCTCCTGCAAAAAGCAGACTCCCAGGTATAGAAGTATACAAGCGGGCTTCGGGGATAGCCTTGCCAGGACGTTCTCGATTTCTCCGGGCAGAGTCGAGGTAGATCCAGTCTTGGATAGGGTTGAAGACGGTACCTATCACAGCACCAACCGAAATAGCCAATTGTACCAAACCAGTCTGGAATGTACCCCAGCCGTAGTTTGCACTAAATGTTTGCGCCACGCTCGAAAAGAAGAGGAAGAGAATTCCCCATGCGAAGCTCACCCATAACGTGAAAAAAATGACAACGGGCTCGGTCATCAACATGCGAGTGGGGCGTTCGAAGGAGACTTGCATCAATTTCCAAACGCTGGTGGTGTTCAGATCAGCTTCTGCATAAATAGGACGGCCAGTCTCCTTGCGTAATTTTTTAGCTCGCTTTTTCAGAATCACATCGGCTCGGGTCTCGCGAAGAATCAACCAGAATATGGGAATTAAGGCAGCATTGTAAATGATCTGAATGTAGAAGATCCTGTTCGATCGTTAGCCACTAATTTTGCAATCCCTTCAATCCCACCTCTTGGGATTCAGAGTGGGTGAATTACCATCGCCACGGGCTGCTCTTGTGGATCTGTTGAATAGCGGCTCCAACAAATGGACCTAGCGCAATTCCAACTACGCTGGTGAATCCAAAGAGGGACATTGGCAAGCTGCGAGCCTTGTCACCATACCAGACATCGCTGATACTGCCGCCTACGATGTTGATAGACACCGAAGATGCACCACCACCAAAGAACCGGGTAACCACGAGGGTGGCGAAATTCTGCGCAAAGGCTGAAGGGAAGAGTGACACCACCAGTATGAAGTATGCAACAAAGTAGCCAGGCATGCGTCCAGACGACTCTGTCAGGGGGACAAAGATTAACGGCCAGAATGCCGCGCCCATGTTCCAAGAGGTCGTGGCCCATGCGAGATTGGGAAACGGTTCATTCTGAACATGGAACAGCTTTTCCATGTAGTCATTTCCCGCGCCATAGGATCCAGCCGGTAGACCTGTCAGAATGGAGCTATCGAGAGATCAGTATCGCTTTTAGGAATATGCGCAGGATGCCAAGAACGCATCGAGGAGCAAGCGAGCCAGATAAAAACCTACATGAAACAGACAGTCAAAGTCAAGACCCATTTGTACGTTTTGCTCCAATTGAATCTGCACCCGTCAGTAGGTCCTGCATCCCGTATCAGTATGCCACGTCTTACGGGTTGTCTGGGTCGTCGGGCCCAGCCCAAGTATGGATCTCGATTTCCTGACTTCCCCGCAGCGGGTGTCGGCCTACATGACCAATATGACTGTCTCGGTGGAAGAACGATAGGAACCTGAGACTATGATTAGTCGCTGCCCAGGTGAGATGTTCCATTCCGACTTTGATCGTACCTTGATCGAAATGAATCGTCGAAATCGTTGTGGTGCAGGGTGCTCGCGGTCGAAGATCGTTGTATAGGTGGCCCACCTTCACGGACTGGCTGCGTTGCCGGGATTCCCTCTGAAGTGTTCATGCTAAGAAATCTAAAATTCAGAATTTAACTATGAAATTGACCCCAAACTATCTTGTTCCAGCTATTGTCTATTCGACTGCTTTTGTTCTTCATTCTTTGTACTGCTGAGTCAACGACTTCATAGTTTGGGTGGTCGTTTTCGTCATATCTAGATCTGTCATGCTTGACAATAAGCTCCAATTGACTTTGTACAAGTACCGTGGAATAAGATATCTCAAATGATCGACAAACTTGTGGAGGATCGAGGATCGAGAGCAGTGCAATAGAGTTGCCCGTTATTCTCTTGTCTTCTTGGCGCAAAGTGGGGGCACGTTGGGCTCCTACGGGATGTCTTTGACTCTTTGACACCATCGCAAGGTACTCACCTGCGCTAAGCTGGGATGATGCATAGTGATCCCAGTATTGCAGTACCCGTAAGTATTCAGTTAGCTGGTCAACACCGGTGAGCCCAAGGAGACTAGATTAATTGAGGCAAAAGTAGCAACTTCCCAGTTCGAGTCATGATGTCACGGCTCCGCCATGCTCCGCTATGCTCCGCACCCTTATATAATTGAAGTCATTCGATGGGGTTCTTTGAGTCTCCCCGTGCCTGGAACCCGTTGGAACAAGGATACTGTATCTCAACCTGATTGAGCCGGCCGCAGGAGGTCCCTGCCCGGATATAGAGTTGTCTGATGTCAGCGCTAAGCCTGGAGACCATGAAGTCATTGGAGGGGGGGTGAAAGTGTATTTAATCCTCTTAGAAGTCTCGTTAGTAGAGCCCATTCACTACTATTCTACCTCTTCCTCTCTACCTCACTACATCTCTCAAATCTCTCATATCATACCCTAAACCATTACCACCTTTTAAGAACCATCATGCCTATTCCCGTCCCCAAGGCCGACCGTCTCATTGACCTCCTTAGCCTCAAGGGCAAGGTTGTTGTCATCACCGGAGCTTCTGGTGCTCGCGGCATGGGCATTGAAGCCGCCCGCGGCTGTGCCGAGATGGGTGCCGACCTCGCCATCACCTACGCCTCCCGACCCGAGGGTGGCGAGAAGAACGCCAAGGAACTCGCTGCTGAGTACGGCGTTAAGGTTAAGGCCTACAAGTGTGACGTGGGCTCCTGGGACAGTGTTCAGGGTCTCGTCAAGGATGTGATCAAGGACTTTGGCAAGATCGACTCCTTCATTGCCAACGCCGGTCGCACCGCCGACAGTGGTATCCTCGATGGCTCTGTTGAGGCGTGGCAAGAGGTAATCCAGACCGATTTGACTGGAGTCTTCCACTGCGCCAAGGCCGTCGGCCACCACTTCAAGGAGCGTAGCACCGGCAGCTTCGTCATCACCGCCTCCATGTCTGGCCACATCGCCAACTTCCCTCAGGAGCAGACCTCCTACAACGTCGCTAAGGCCGGCACAATTCACATGGCCCGCTCCCTGGCCAACGAATGGCGCGACTTTGCTCGCGTGAACAGCATTTCCCCCGGTTACATTGACACCGGTCTCTCCGACTTCGTCGCCCAGGATGTGCAAGATCTGTGGAACTCCATGATCCCCATGGGTCGCAACGGTGATGCCAAGGAACTGAAGGGCGCCTACGTCTACCTGGTCAGCGATGCCAGTACTTACATGACTGGTAACGACTTGATCATTGACGGTGGTTACACTGTGCGGTAAACAATATATTATGAACAACGACACGACCATGGATGAAATAGCTATTGATATAATACCTCAATTGACTTGAACAATTCTTTTAAAATTTCCTCTTTTGTATCTTGTTTTCAAATGGCCTGACATGACATCACATGAGGGTCATGATTGAGATTTGTTTGGATTTACACTGTTTGCATTGTTTACACCACTTGCTATTCCTAGCCACACCAACACTGACATCCAGCGCCAGTACGAAGTATTCATCGTTTCAATTCGCCTCAGGGCCCGCGATAGCAGCCGTGATCGGGGCTTCTTCAACAAAGATACCTGACCAGAACCAATCCTCCGCAGTCGAATTCGAGCCCCCATTGTCGAGCCGTAACTCACCGATGTGCCAGTCTGCCGAGTTCGTCGAAGTCGAGCCGCTAATGCCGGACACAACCTGCGCCAGGGGGTGAGACCCGTTCGATGCCCAGAGGCCAACCGTCTGCGCATCAAAGTCGATGTCATAGGCAAAATTATACCATGTGCCCGCTTCCAGCTCGGTCGCCCAGTGCGAGGTTCCGTCAACACACCACCGGAGTTTGTTATCTTCACTACCCGAAGCCCCGCTGAGCAGGCCGTATTTCAGTTCGGTGAAATGGCTCTATACAAAGACAGCCTTGTCAGTTGCTCGCTTCTTGGGGGTATCTAGGGTGTTGGCACATCGTACCTCGAAGAAGGCAATCTGGTGTTCAAATGCCGGGTTGGGGGCATTGTTCTTTGCTGTGCTCAGTGAGAAGTGATAGAACAAATGGCCGCTTCCCAGATCTGCTTTGGTCTGGGGTATGATCTCCGATCGCTCCATGGTTTGTCCATTCCAGAAAGACGTTCCATCCTGCTTGCAATCAGCCCATGGGCTTGTGATAGTGGCCTTGGCCTAGCACTTACAATTGTGATACGAATTCCTTGTTCATCGCGACTATCGGCTGGGTTCTTGTAATCTGAGGAAAGGCCGAGGTACTTTTCGGTAGCTGCGCTCCCATGGATATACCACTGCCAGTCACCAACTTGGTTAGACCACGACCCTGGCACGTCAGAGCTTGATCATCCCAGGTTTCGCATTCAACATACAATTGTCAAAGTTCGCAACTGTTGCAGATTCATTGAAAAATCCGCTCCATAAAACTTCACCAGCTTCAACTACCATAGGCAGTGAGACTAACCAGGCAAAAGATCGCATTGTGATCAGATATGTGCGACGAGGGGCATTTGGGACCTGGTTGAGGTTCCTCTTCATTGCATGTTATATACTCCCATCTGATCAGAAAGTACCCTGCCGGATATGGAACGGAGCTTGTGTCCAGGTGAAACTGGCCCTTGTTTGATATAAACAATCTCGCAGGTGACAGCGCGCGACGCTAAACTACCATGGGGCAAATTTGTCAAATGCCTGGGCATACTGCATAATACGGAGTAGCCTGTGGTCTCTGGTCTATTTTAGGGACCTCGTGCCTTTTGAATCCTTCTAAAGGAGGCACCGGACCGCGGAAGTGAAGATTACAAGGCCACTAAAGTGAAACGCTGCAGCGGGACATGAAACGCCGCCAAGCGCCGCCTCACAGCCAAAGTCACGTCTCCGGCACGAAGTGAAAATCTGATTTCCTCTATTGCCTCATTGAGACAGGCGTGATGGGGTGGCTCTTTAATAGGTACTGTCATATTTGAGCGATCTTATTTGAGCGACCTGAAAGTTGTGCGTACCGTCTCAGAGGCTTCGGAGCTCACAACCGGAGAATTGTCTAGACATGCGCATTCTCACTTGATACTAAACTTGCTCCATGAGCGTATTTTTGGGCCATATATGAAGAACACAATCGGAACGGGGAACAAAATGGTTGTGAGGCAACCCAGCAAAGTCATTGCCCAGCTCACGCCGAGGTTATGGAACTGACGTTTGATTAGTGTCAGCTTGATATGAGAAACAAGGGAAAGTCACCTACCATCGCGGAGGCAAACAATGGGAATCCAGCTCCCAACAGAGATCGAAATAGCGAGTTTGCAGCTATCGCAGAATTTGCATACATGGGATATACATCAACAATGTAGTTGAGTCCCTAGAAGGCTCGTTAGGGATATGACCCACAATACTCGGGCCATGCGCCCCCTAACAGATCAAGAACCTTGGAACTTACCTGCAAGAAGATCAACAGTACTCCTGCCCCCAGAAAGCTTCCTGAGACGGCCTGCGGAACCCATGTGATGTGCGGATTTGATGTCCACCCAAACCAGAACAACCCTATCGGTAAAAAGATGCCTCCTATAGCCATTGGAATCAGGCGTTCTTCGGGATTGACACTCCCCGTGCGGCGAATGATGTTTCGATAGCGTGTCACAGAAAAGGCCACAATAATGAGACACCCAACAAATACGCCGCAGATGACGGCGATGAACGGCAGGGCACCGACTCCTTCATCCCATCCACGCTCCTCGTGGAAGGAGATCGGGTAGGCCACGAAGCAAAGGTACAAAAAGCCATAAATAAACCCAACATAAAGAGTGACGAGGAGGAGGATTGGCTCTTGGGCTAGCATCTGGAATGGTCGGAAAATATAACGCGTCAGAATGTCTTGCAAGCTGACCACTTTTTCTTCTGCTTCAGCGTGCAAAGCCCAATTACCGGTTGCAATCCGCAGCCTTTTGGCACGCTGTGAGAGTATGGTCTCCTCAAATGTCTCAGGTATGACAAAGAATCCGATAGTCGAGAAGGCAAATGCCCATATGGCCGTGATGTATTCGGTCCAGCGCCAGCTCAGAAATGAGATCACCACAAATCCACCCACAATCGGGCCAGCAACTGGACCCACGAAGGTTGCACCTGCGAACACAGACATCGCGATGCCACGTTCTACTGGCTCGAACATATCGCTCAATACACCCGAGACCTGATTTCGAGGTGGTGTGTAAGATGCTTCAGATCAATCAACGAGAAGGGAGAAGGTTTGACTCACAATCGCGAGAGGTGCACTCGCAAAAACTCCACCTAGAAACCGGCATATGAAGATTGTCTGGAGATTCTGTGCAACGGCGACGGGGATCTGGAAGATCGCAAAGACAAACATGCCCACAAACATGGGCTTTCTTCTCCCGTGGAGTTCGGACAGCGGGCCAAAAATGATAGGACCGAATGCAAATCCCAAGACGAAGAGGCTGACAGCAAGAACCATCACCTCAGAGGAGACATGGAACTTTTTCGCGGTCACTTTAGTCGCTGTGCTAAATACAGATGAGGCGAATGTGACGCAGATTGTCATGAGCCCAAGCATGATCGTGACTACCCACTTCCTCCACCTGGGAAAGTTGCGGGGGTTTTCCTGTACATGAGTATCAGAGTGAAATGAGAAGAATGATTGAAGTACCGAGCGATGAATGCCATACCGGATCATTAGGACCACTCCAGCTCACAATTATGTTCTCTTTCCCGTTGAGAATGGCATCGTCATACCCGTTCACATATCCTCTGCTCGATTCCATCGCACTGGATGCATTATCTGCATTATCTTCTCCAAATAGCGTCCTCACACTGGCGGATTCACGAGCTGATTCATAATCAGTCGTCGAAAGCGAAGTTTGAGTACCTCTATTAGACATAGCTCGAGGGACTTGTTATTACATCAACAAAAAGACGTCCTAGGATCCCACGGATGGGCGAGATCACTGAGTGATCCTTATTAGAGCGGAATGGATATGCAAGCAAATTATCATAGTCGGATTGGGTCACAATCGACGAAGTTTCATTAAATCCGAGAGCACCAAGCAGCTCCGAAGTGATTACTTCAAACGTCATGGCAACAATCCACGGCTCACCAATGTCTCCCGAGGTCAGGCTCTGCTTTTAACGACATCATTACGTATATTTCACTCTGGCATTTCTGCGATGCTCAGTGTTTTCAGTGGTGGGCCTCTTCGGGCGTATCGTAGAAAGTAGTTGACAAGACAGAACCGAATCTGTGATAGCTTCGAGTAGTAAAAGAACCCCCCCAATTTTACATCGAATGGATGTTTTTTAAAGGCTGCATCTGCAATAAGCCTTGCGTCATAAGCTCTAACTCTAGCTTGCTTTGAACAAGAAAAAAAACAAAACAAAAGCCTTCCGAGTTCACGGATACGGTGGAGATGGATTCGACACTCTAGCCAAATCTGACTCCACAAGTAAAACTTGACCCTCTCTTGTCGTCGTGGATGGCCTTCCCAGAAACCCAGAGACCCATGCCACACTCATTGGCAGTCAGTACGACCTTTCTATTCAGTCAGGGGGCAATGAGACACACCAGGCAGGCACCGATAGCAATGATAAAGAGGCTAACAACCGTCAGAGCTATCTTTCGCCACGAATTGCTATATTGTCTCCAATTCAGGAACAACCAGAATATGCCACTTATGCCATCTGGTTATCCCGTCAGTCCAAGCCCGTCACTATTTTCTGAAGATAATGTCTATGGATATACTCCGTAGGAAACTCACATGTGAACCAACTTGAAAAGAGAGAGGTCTATCAGGAGGCCCAGATTATCAGTCGTGGAGCTCATAACGCTTAGAACCCTACTTACGATCAGACTCAACAAATTGTTGAATACAGGGATAGCTTCGGAGATAATCCAGGCTATAACCCATAGAACCAGTGTGATAGTAACCCAGGATCCCACCGCGAGAAACGTCCGCTTTTGCATATGATCAGTACCCCGGAAGAGTCGGACATACACATACTTTGCCGCAACGTGTCCATTGATGACACCGGCGATAACGATCTAAGATATTCATTTCATTAGACTTCTTTTGCTGAGGCCTGTCCGTTGATCAAAGCAACTTACCGTAGGGATGGCGATCCCGTATGCGACTTTGGCGGTGATAAGTTTGGTGGAACTCAGTGCCGGTGAGTGCACACCCTTGCCGCCGTAGATGTATATGACAATGGCAGCTACAGCATACATGCTAGTATCTGTGATTTGTAGCAAGTATAAAGTCTTTGGGTAGTCTGTTGGGGTTTCCATCTCCGATATGAATCCGAAAAAGGCGACATGACCCGCTTGGAGGTTTATGAGCTGCATTCCTTTCTCCCGGGGATGAATCAGAACCCACCATATGCAAATACAATGTTGGTTACGGCCAAGAACGCTGATGAGAGACTGGTCGTTGTCGTCGCCTCGATCTTGCCGTTTCCCGGGCGCTGAATCGCGATAGCGATCATAGTGACCAGTAGCGCACCGATGATACTGACGAACGCTGCGTTGCAAGTGTAAATAATTTGAAAACCGAGTTGAAGAAAGACACATACATGCAATAGAAAGCCATGACACCTTGAGAAGTGTTCGAGGCAAGGCAAAGATAAATGAGACTATCAGGCCGACAATTCCAAACACAATCGAACAGGTGCCATGGTCTGTCAGTGTATCCATCATCACCGTGAAAGTCAAGAGGTGACTTCCCATCACAAATATCAGAAACAGCAGTTGAGCCGTTCCGAGGAACTCCCGACCGAACTTGCCCAAACCGATTGGCTCAAAGAGGACCTCTCCAGCATCCGCCATACTATGCACCTGCGGATATCGAAGCTTGAATTTGCCAATAACGTAGCCAGTCCAGGTTGCAACAGCACCGAGTCCAACTATCAGAATGACAGCCCTGCAAGGTTATCAGCGTCTTCTGACCATGAGTCTTAGCGAGCAACACGCACGGAGCCAGGCCTAACACCGCAACGGCGGATGGGAGCGACAGAATCCCAAGAGAGACGGTTTCTGCAATCATGATCATTCCGCATTGCCACCATTTCATTGTCCGGTATCTGATTTCGCCATTCTGTTCATCACCAAACGGATCTTCCTCGTGGTTTGTTCCATCTCCGAATGGGTGCTTCTTCTCCTCTTCCCGGGCAGGGCTCAGTCGGTTGACCTCGGAATTTTGGGACGAGGATGGGGAGTCTGGCATTTTCTTGCTCAACTGATGTAGGAGCTATTGTCACTGTTGATATCTCAGATGGGCAATGTCTCGCTGGTCACAGAGCTTTGAACGGCAGATCCAGACAGTGCGACTCACAAGTATTAACCAGTGGCACTTTGCCTTCTCATTCAACGGCCCACGAGTTTCGGTATACAGATGGACATCTTGATTGAAAATCTCTCCCACAGTCGCACATCAGTGGCAACACGAGGTCACATTGCGGAGAATAGAAGCGAACGGATTTAGGATCCGAAATGGGGCAAATCACAATAGGCGTCAAAAGACAAAAGTTGCCACTACAATATGTCGATTGCCACAGATTTTCATCTGACAGCCTTTGGGTCTTGATGATGACCAAGCCATCTGGACTATCTGAATCGCGGATCAATATCGAGACTGAGAGAACCATATCAGCATAGTCATCGAACACACGAAGAGCGCACATTGTCCAGATCATGCAGGCCCGCTGGATATTAGGTGATTGACATCTTTCTTTTGGGAAGTTGCCGGCCTTGGCGATCCAAGAAAGGAAAGTGCATTCAAGTCGACATGTGGCAGGAGCAACTGCGGCAATTCCATCAAAATGAGGATTGCGCGAGGTTCTCTCTAGTCTCCTCCCACACCCTCCATGATTCGTTTAAACGAGCTTACGGCTCTGTCACTCCTCGTCTGCTGCTTCTTTGCATGCTTATCGGAAGGTAAAACGCGCTTTAGATCTCACGGACGCCTCGCTGGAGATGCCACATTTGACTATGTTGTCGTTGGAGGGGGTACAGCAGGACTCACTATTGCATCACGACTCGCGGAGCACCAGTATCAAGTGGCAGTGGTTGAGGCGGGTGGCTATTATGAGTACATGTACCCATTAGCCCGAGTGCCAGGAGCTTGCAGTCTCGGAGCTGGTGCAGATGTCCGAACTACAACACCGATCGATTGGGGCTTCATGGTGCATGGAGCGCCTGGTGCGAACTTCCGTGATATACATTACCCGAGGGGTAAATGCCTGGGCGGATCGTGAGTGACCCTCCAGCCGTTCGCATACTGTCATCTCACGCTTGCCAGGTCTGCATCCAATTTCATGATATACCAAAGGTCAGATCGTGCTGTCCGGATTTATATTGCATGAGAAATTTAACCACAAGACTCTGAGCAGGCCATCTAAACAGTCGTTGGAAGTTTGGGCAGAACTTGTCAATGATTCGAGTTATCTGTTCGACAACGTGCTGCCTTACTTCAAGAAAACCGTCTCGTTCTCACCTCCGTTTGGAACTCGGTTTGCAAACGCGACTCCACTTTTCAACGCAACCTCCTTTGACCACGATGGCCAGCCGGTGCAAGTATCGTACCCGAAGTATGCCACCCCATTTTCCACTTGGGTGAAACGAGGCATGAGCGAAGTTGGGATTGAAGAAGTGGAAGATTTCAACAGTGGTAGTCTCATGGGTCATCAATATTGCGCCATGACGATCCAGCAAGCAGATGCATCGCGAAGTAGTTCCGAGTCTGCTTTCCTTCAAACAGGGTTCAGGTTTGGGTCATGGACAGTGTATCAGTTCGCCATGGCGAAGAAGATTATCTTCGATGCAAATCACCGGGCCACTGGTGTTGTCGTTGAACAAGGAAACCAATTCATTCTCAGTGCAAGGCGAGAAGTCATTATCTGCGCGGGTGCATTCCAATCCCCGCAGCTGTTGATGGTTTCTGGTCTTGGTCCGGCCGAGATTATACATGCACACGGTATTGACCTCGTCGTCGATCTGCCGGGCGTTGGTCAAAATATGTGGGATCATGTGTTTTTCGGGCCTTCATATGAAGTCAACGTGCCAACTTTGGGAATGCTGAATAACGACCTCATATCCATGCTCGTACAGGTGGAAATGTGGCTGCTCGGAGGAAATGGGATTCTAACAAATCCATCGACCGATTACATCGCCTTTGAAAAACTGCCAAAAGCTTCGCGCTCTCAATTTTCCGACATGAATGAGCAGGATCTGGCATGGTTTCCAAGTGATTGGCCAGAAGTCGAGGTAGGAAAACCGCCTTAATTTTCTTTGAATCCAGTGTACAACGCTCATTCCAAGGTCCACTCAGTACATTGCAGGATCTGCATTTGAAGGGAACTTCTCAGATCCGTACGCCGAGCAGCCTCGAAACGGCAAGTATGCCACCGTTGCTGGAGTGCTAGTGGCTCCAACATCACGGGGGAACATCACTATCCGCTCAGCCGACATGGCGGATCCGCCGACGATAAATCCAAACTGGTTAGACAGAAACTGATCAAAAGGTGGCAATTGAAGCATACAAGCGCGCTCGGGGCGTTTTTCGCGCCCTGTCAATGGCACCTGTGATCATCGGACAGGAATACTTTCCTGGCTCTGGCTATCAAACCGACACTGAGATATTGAGCCTAGTCAAAAACACTGTTATGACAATTTATCATGCAGCATGCACATGCAAAATGGGGGTTCTTGGTGACACCATGGCTGTTCTCGACAGTCGCGCCAGAGTTTTCGGTGTTACAGGATTGCGTGTTGTCGATGCGAGCTCCTTTCCAGTACTTCCGCCAGGCCATCCTCAATCGACAGTTTGTAAGCGGCAATATCTTTTCTTTCCGATGTGACATGTTTCTCATAATTTTCCAGACATGCTGGCGGAAAAGATTGCCGCCGATATCATCTCTGGTGGACCGCAGTAAGTAACATCGGGTTGCGGCCAAATGCAACTCTAAGTGACAAGAATGTTGCTGGAAATGGAAAGAGATGGAAGGAAGTCCTTTTATTTGTATTGTCACCACATATTCTCGGAATACATTTGGTTGAGGGTATCAAACATGGTATAATCACTCGGCAGAGAATCGGCAGAGAATGCAAAGCCCAGATTGTTAACAAACAGCTCGTTATGGTTAGGAATCGCCCCAAATCCACCCATGTTGTTCATTTGGTCTTCGTGGATACTTTCCCTTGGGGTAGGAGCATCAAACCAATTGACATTGGTGGTAGAGGGGGAGTCAGCAGCGTGTTTTGAATATGTAGATCATTTGGATCGAAGAGAGAGGGATTCGGTTCACACTGTGGCGTCATGTACCCAGCACAAACATTGAGATCTGCCTGTTGAGGTGGAATGGCACAAGGGATATTACATTCCAGCGACGGAGCCGCTGGCATATGGTCAATGTCGCAGTTGAGCCGCCGACAATACAATTTCTCCAGATTTCGCCCGATGCGCTTCGCGATATTCCAGGATGTCGACAGCTCGCGCAAGACCTGAAGGCAAAGACCTACTGCGGTCTGTGCTGATGGACCTCGGGGGGTTTGAGCTCCTGTTATACCCCTTTTGTTGGGATCAACGCAATATTTCTCAATGATGACCAAAGCGGCCGAAAGAATGCAGTGAGTCGGTGTAATGGGGCTGAGTTTGAAACTGCCAAACTTCTGTCTATATTTTTGGGCCACAATACATACTGCCCGAGCTGAGTTGGCGCATATCGTCATTGCTTTGCGTTCACGTGTGTCTTGGGATGTATTCTCAGTGCCGGCTTGCCTTGCGTGGGCCTCAGTGGTATCAGAACCAGGGCTTGAATCAGGTTTGTTGCTCAAGAACGGCACGCAAAGAATCATGCACACGGTGTGGTATACCATGCACAGGCTGTAGGTGTGAGGGAAGTTGGAGGGTCCCGAGGGACGATCAATTTTGAGCTCTGCGGCGAGATCATAGTACCAAGTCTTGAGTTCCAGCACACACGATTCGAAACACGCGGAGCGCTGTTTGGGTTGGAGGAGTGGCTTTGGTGACCAGCTTGAAGGATCCCATATGTCAGTCACTGCGAGGTGGGTATCACAATCAATGTAGACTTACAACGAAACAAGCACTTTTTCGAATATGCGACACAGGTCAATCATCGCTCTATGTAGTTGAACTACGTCTCTCGGCGAGGCCGCTCGTAATTCGCCATTCCCGCTGGAGGAGGGAAGATGGTCGACCGAAGCACATAAGGGAAACGGTTTATTAACGACACCCTGGGATTCCTGGGCGAAAATCGTTAATTTAGAAGTAGGAGCCTGTCCATTTTCTGACGTACCAATACAGTGCATACCCTGCCGGTGTAGCTTGCAGACAATTTGTCGTGACAATACAGGGCCCAGTATATTTGCCTGCGCAGCTCGATCTCGACAACAGGGAGAGCCACTGCTCCTGAGAGCACCGAAGGGTCCATATTTAACCCCATGTCCAGAGCCAGCCGATTAGCCGAGCCTTGGTAGAGCCATCCAGCAGCATCGGACCCTATTGCCTGTGAGATATTAGTACGAAGAGGGCTGTTGAGACGTGTCTCTCCTGATTAGACTCACGATATAGGCCATCCCCATAATCGCTAGGGACTGGATAGTTGTGATTTTAGGCCACCTAAGGTCATTTTGAATGATGCTCTCAGCTCGCTCAAGGAACATCTTGCCCGCCGTGTTTGGGTCATTCGGATCCGTTCTCACTTCGATGCGATCGCAGTATCGTGATCCTACGGCAAGGATAGAGTAAAGTAAAAGAGGGCTGAAGTATCTTCCGCCGTCTCTCATAGAGTCGCGAAATAGTGTCTCGTTCACTAATTGGAACCAAGGCTGTTCCCACTCAAAATACAAATCGATCAGATGGGGTTTGAGTCCCTCCAGAACCAAGTCATCTTCTGGTAGGTCTGAACAAAGATTAGGCTGGCTTTCGCACGCTCTGGTATAAGGGTTCTCTGGCCCATGTGAGCTCTCACTCGGCGGGTCTGGAAATTATTAGCGCAGTGCATGTGTGCGCGACTGCATCATCGACTTACCTTGCGATGAGGATCGAAACTGTAAACGACCACTAGTCGGTCCAAAATATCGCACCTCGCCATCCTGATCAAAATTCAATGACTCGTCCAGCGTTAAGGCCCCGTCGAAGGTGGCACTCAAATCCTCATCGATCTTCGAAGAGGCCGGGGCCCATTCTTGGTCGAGCTCGTGGTCAGGCTCATCTTTTGCCGTGATTGCTTGAATGGCAATATCGGGATCAATCCCGTGGGAATGCAACACCCGCTCCAGCAACCCAATCCGGGTTCGCAGCATAACCACATAAGACTTTGGCGCTGGTTGCCGTCCATCCTCTGCGGTGGAGTACTCGCATTGAACGCCACGGTCCAGGCACCGGGAGCAAGATGGCCGAGCCCCATCACACTAAGCATGTGTCAGCGAAGGCTTACCTATGTGGTTTCCTAGGTAGTTGTCCATGGGGTGCGCTGGAGTTTTATATTACCTTGGCTCTTCGCTGCCGGCAAGCCTCGCAAGCTCGGGACGTATACTTTCTGCCCGGTCGCCTTCGCCTTGCAGGCTCATCTGCCGCAGCCGGTGTGGTCATGGCTCGGTGTTTGGGGCAAATTGAAGTCTTGCAGTCTGTTTCTCCTCTTTCCAGGGCCTGGTCTCAGGCGACAGGCAGACATCATTTGGATGTATGGAGATCTGGGTTGTCGATTTGACATTACAAAGCATGTCGTTGACACCTTACAGCCTTACAGCCTTAAAGCCTTAATAATGATGCCTCAGGAAGCAAACCATATCAACGGAGCTCACGGAGTACCGAGTTCCCCAAGGCTACTTCCTGTTGCCGTGACATCCCATGGACTTTCCAGGTTGTTCGCGTTATCACCATGTGGACTCACAGAATCCCAAGTTCATATTCGGTAAAGCCCAACCCTGTAGGGAGTAACCTTCCAGATTCTAAGGTCGCGAAGACTCCCACAGTCGAGATACAGACCATGTATACGTACACCTCGGTGTGCCATGCAGACTATCGTCCTTACTTCGAAGTATTCGGGAGACCATTCAGCTCCCGATTCCACCTGGAAGCTTCAGACATGACTGGATTGGGAAAATCATCCATCGAGGTATCGTGAGGTATTGCCACACCAGGACGGGGTTCCGTTCCGCCAGCAAATGGCTAGGGTTGGGGGTATATACCTCCAACCTTCCCATAATCATACCCATTCTTTCATCCCAAACAGGAGCTTCCAACCTTGGAACTGAGAACCCTGTCTCAATTTTGGAATTCCACAGCTCTCCACCCTGGAAGCTATGAATCATGGTATATCATCGACAAGAAACGGCTACGTAATTCTTGATTAAGTGCTTCACCCCAAAAAGTAGATCAATGCAAGTACAACTACATGGGCGAACCTTAGCCGAAGTATAAGACGGCAAGAGCTGCACATCAGTGGGAAAACGACCTGCCGATAGCCAATCCGCGCATATCTCGCGAAACATCCGCAAACAGTCGAAGTCAATATTCCATCAGCTGACGATACCCCGCAGATCCGGGGAAGATGGGTGGTTCCCGGCCATTCCGTCACTCTTGTCAGTATGGCCAGTATGGCCATTCTTGCTGGTTTCTGCGACTTTGAAGACATGAGTCTGCCCTGCCTGAAGGACCTCACCGACGTTGCTGCACGTCGAGATGTACTCGGACGAAGTACATCCACATCATATGCGCGATCATGTTCAAGCCGCCGATGGGGAACTGGGAACATCTTCCGGGGTCCAATCAGACGGTCTCTGTTGTTTTGGTGTGGAATGAAGGGGGCTCTGTATACTCCCATGGAACGAACTATGTAGCAGTTGAAGGTGGGAGAATGTGATGACATTCCCCGTAAGCTGTACGTGGTATATACAGTGTACCTGTGGACGAGCCGTTGATGTCCCAGGGTCATCGATTTGGAGTCGCAAGGGAACTTTCTCCACAAGCAATTGGAGAGACCCGTAACGATCGAAAAACAAGAATCAAATGGGAAAAAAGAAAGTAAATTAAAGACCAGAACGATTAAAACGACCGAAAAGAGCGAAGAGGACAAAAAAGATACACAAAAAAAAGGCGTGGAAGTACGTGCAGGAAAACGCACAGGTTCTCACCAATCACCGCCCTCGACTCCCTCTCTCTCCCCCCCATCAACCTCATATTCCCTTCTTTTGCTCTTTCAACTACCAGAGCCCTCTCCATTCGAGATTTTTATCTTGCTCAAGTGCTGCTGGTCAGGTCAGCCTCATCGGGGGTTGACGTCGTCCAATTTCCAGCGCGTCGTCGCGCCCATTCCCCGCAGAAGCACGGCTTCCGTTATCCTCCGCCCAAAACGTGTTTCAGGAAGTTGTCTCAACACACCGTGAACCTAGCCATTTGAAGGATTGGCTGGTTGCAATCACGGGGTGGGAAGATTGACGTGCTTCCTAACAGCTGCAATCTCGCTATGGCCAGTTGATGCTACGGATGAATCAATAACCTCGATCAAGGGCACCCGCGCCCCAGCAGACGGCCCTGCGAGAACGTTCTTCTTACTTTGATTTGACCAATCCCCCTTTCTTTCGATCTGTGATATCCTTCCTACCGCCAGCTTGCGCCCCCCGGTCGGTCGCCCGAGCGAGTCAGCATGGCCAGCAATGCCTCCCCCAGCCCACAATTCCTGGCGCCTCCGGCCGTGACAGCTTTACGACAGGAGGCTCGGAACATCCACCCGAGGATGGTTCGCACCCTGAGTGATGACATGCGAGAGGAACGGGAAGACTTGAAGGAAGCGGCTGAACAGACCTTGAACATTATTGTGGACATGGACCTCGAGGGTCGGATCAAATGGGTCAGCCCGTCATGGAAACAGGTGGTAGGCTCATCTCCTAGATCCGTCGAGGGTCATATGATTTCAGAGATTCTTCTCGGGAACAAGGATGTGTTCCGTGATGCGATCGAGTCTATGCAACTAGACGATTCGCGGAGTCGATTCATTCGGTTCGCTGTGCAAATGGGACCAGACTCGGTCTTGCGGAACACCTCCGAACCGTCGCCCGAGACCACCAATGAAGAAGTTGACGGAGAACGAGACGAAGATGAGAAGACATGCGAGGAAGATAGTAGCAACAGTGTGCTCAATATGGAGGGCCAAGGAATCATGGTCTACGATAGGACTGATGGAGAAGCAGGCCATGTGCGTTGCCCAACACGATATCTGAGAACTTATCATTGTATCTGCCGCTGACCCTTAAAATCATAGACAATGTGGATGTTACGGCCACTGACCGAGCCGAGAGAGGTGACCATAGATCTACCGCCGTTGCTGGTGGAGTCTTTGGGTGTTGGAGCCGAAGTGTTGGCAAACTACTTGACTCAATTGGCCGAGGCCGCTGCCACGGAGCCCGATCCATCCAAGCATCCTGCCCCGACGCCCGTCCTCTGTCGCATCTGCGAACGCCAGATCACTCCCTGGTGGTTTGAGAAACATTCCGACTTGTGTCTTCAGGAACACCGCGCTGAGATGGATGTTCAGCTCGCCCAGGAAAACCTCAATGAGCACCGCCATGCCATCGTCAAAGTGTTAGATGCGTTGGAGGCTTTAGAGATTCGACAAGGCAGGCCCTTGGTCGGCACTGAGGTCAATCCATTGCCCCCTAACCAGGCGGAGTACAAAGGGCTCGCAATCGGCCCCTCCCCGACGAGCTCTGCTCTATCCTCTGGTCCGGTATCAAGCGGCAACTCCGCACCGGGTACCCCTCCTCGGTCGCGAGAGCATTCAGTATCCGGTGCAACACCGAATCGGCCTCGCTCTTTCACCGTTCGCCGGCCATTGACGAGGATTGTCGAACTGGTTCTCGACCTGTGCGATACATCACTAGAGATCAGCATGCCTGTGATCAAGGAGACCATTCGAACCGACGGGGAGGACTTTCGAACTCTGTCACCGCAGTCCGAGTCTCGCATCTCCCAAGTCCTACAATGGCAGGCCCCTAGTACTACTTTGGAGCAAGAGCAAGGCCTAGCTGCATTGTCGGCAGACACCGAGCAGGTCGCCAAGGCCAAGGTAGATGCTGTTGTCCGTCATCGCAAAATTGTCGAATACGCGGAGCGGATTCGAATCGAATACACTGTGCTAGTTGAAGAGTGCATAGGGGCTGCCCTTAGCAAGGCGGAGCGTATAGCTGCAGGTCAGCTCAGCGATTCCTCTTGTTCGTCCGACGAAGAAGTGGCCCAGGAGACCATTCTCGGTAGCCAGATTGCCCCGGACGACACCAACAGCAATGCCGCAGAGGATGGCTCTCAGTCATCTGGACCAGCTGACGAATGGCAATCGAAGACACAGCCCGCAGCACCCTCCCCACGAAGACTGACATCTACACTGACCATGTCAATGCGGAATTCCCCTGATCGGTCATTGCTTTCACAGTCAGAACGTCGACTTTCATCGGCGGCGGTTTCAACAGGTTCCAACAGTCCCTTGGAGTGCCCCACACCACGATCCCACAAGAGTGCTGCAGGTCTTCTGGGTACATCCCAGCCCTCTCGACTAGCTCTCTCTTTGGCCGAAATGGACGCCGATGAGGGCAGTGACAGCAGCCTGCCATCTTCTGCTTTCCCGGGAGGCATGAGAACAGATTCCCCATCTTCGGAAAGAAGCTTTGATCGAAAGCGTCGAAGCTTGGTGCTTCCCGGTCTGTCAAGCTCTCCCCGACGACAGCATTCTCCTGCCCGAGTCTCTGGTCCGCATTCCCCGCTGCGCATGCCCAAACCTCGAATGTCAAGCGGCGGTGATAGCTTACCATCCCCAATAGTTTCCCCGTCCACATATGCGAGTGAATTGGCTCACAGCTGCCGGCATCACCGCCGACAGTCCTCGGCTACATCCTCGGATGTTGCTAAGCCACCACCATCTCCACGCCTCCCTTCAGTAAGCCAGCAACAACCTCGGCCTGCTCCGTTGTCAATCAGGGACTTTGAAATCATCAAGCCCATCAGCAAAGGTGCCTTTGGCAGTGTTTACCTGGTAAAGAAGAAAGCCACGGGTGAGTATTACGCCATGAAAGTCTTGAAAAAGGCCGATATGATTGCCAAAAACCAAGTCACCAACGTCAAGGCCGAGCGTGCTATCATGATGTGGCAGGGAGAGAGCGACTTTGTTGCGAAGCTCTACTGGACCTTCTCAAGTAAGGAGTATCTCTATCTAGTGATGGAGTATCTCAATGGAGGAGATTGCTCATCCCTTGTCAAGGTTCTTGGTGGCCTCCCGGAGGATTGGGCCAAGAAATACATTGCAGAGGTTGTTCTTGGTGTTGAGCATCTACACAACCGAGGCATTGTACACCGTGACTTGAAGCCGGACAATCTTCTCATTGATCAAACGGGTCATCTCAAGCTGACCGACTTTGGACTCTCTCGTATGGGGTTGGTCGGTCGCCAGAAGCGTGTGTTGAAAAACCCCGATGAATCCGCCCCGGATCTGCTTAAACAGGGCTCGTTCCCCCGTGCGATATCGATCGCGTCTTCTCGGTCTGCTTCGTTTGATTTCCAGGCCAGCTCCTCCCCGGGCTCGACTCCACTAATCACGCCCGATGTGTCTGCCAACGCCATCCAGCCGTCTTACTTCAGCCTCAATCAAAGTGGGTTGAGTCGTCAGAGCTCTCGTCGAGCCTCGGGGTATCGCAGCGATAGCATGGGGAGCGATGGCCTCAACGGCATGTTTAGAACATTCTCGCTCACCGACAATGCTCATGACCCTCCTGTGTCGTCACCAAGCATATTCTCAACGAGCATGGTCGAGGAAGAGGGCCAGAGTGAGGCCGGCGAGTCTCCTCGCCTCCAGCCTCTGCACCCCACCTTCAGCAACCCCATCGCACAAAACACTCCTCCTCAGCAAGGCATGTTGCCCCCGGCAATGGCCCTGTTCGACCCGGAAGATCACGACCGCCGATTTGTGGGAACACCCGATTACTTGGCCCCTGAAACCATTAATGGTATTGGCCAGGATGAGATCAGTGACTGGTGGTCTTTGGGGTGTATTATGTTTGAGTTTATCTTTGGGTATCCACCGTTCAACGCAGAGACACCGGATGAAGTTTTTGAAAACATTCTACATCGCCGCATCAACTGGCCAGACGACCCCGAAGAGTTCACCTCGCCAGAGTCACTGGACCTCATGAACAAACTTATGACCCTCAACCCGCGCGAACGGATCGGGGCTAATGTTGACGAGAAATATGCCAACGGCGGTGCCGAGATCTGCAGTCACCCGTGGTTATCTGATATCAATTGGGATACGCTACTGGAAGACAAGGCACAATTTGTTCCCAATCTTGAAAACCCAGAAGACACAGAGTACTTCGACTCCCGTGGCGCTACTCTTCAATCGTTTGCAGAGGAATTAGAAGAGGAAAATTCGCCGCAACCCACCGTCGCGGCTGGCCCAGACCGTCCTCACGACGCGCTTTTCAAAGTTCGATCTCAGGTGAACTCAAGCAAACGGCCTTTGATGCCACTCCATATCCCGCCTCACGTTCGTGATGCTCGGGACTCGCGAAGTCGCAGGTTGAGTGAGCCAGCGTTGGCCGACGATTTTGGAAGTTTCAATTTCAAGAACCTACCAATGTTGGAGAAGGCTAACAAAGACGTCATCCAAAAGATGCGGCAAGAGGCCTTGCAAGCACAGCATCGACAGTCCAATCCCCCGTCAACCGCCCAAACACCTGTCAGTTCTGCGCAGCCAAGTTTGGAGGGAAGCCCACTTCCAATGTCACTTCAGCGAACCTTGTCGCAGAACAAGGGCAACAATCGTCCTTCTTCCCCCTCGGGACTCAGCCAGACGAATTCGTCACCAAGCAGACCCTCCCAGCCCTCTTCGCCTCTTCTGGTCCAATTCAGCACTGGGAACAATCAAGAGCGACGTAAGACCTCCGGCTCTTCATCGGCATCCCACCAATCAAGTGGGACATTCCAGCCTTCTTCTGCCGATCAAGGTCGTATGCCGAACCTGAGACTGGGCTCAGTCGCATCTTCCCCTGTCAAAACCCATCGAATCCCGACCCACTCCCCCGAGAAGATGCCCCATAGCCAAAGACATGGCAGCGTCCCAGCTGGTAGGACTCGCTCGCGTACGATTGGCTCACAAGACGGGGACAGCTCATCGTTCTCCAAAGAACCTTTTGTACCACACCACCACAAACGCAGGAGTCAACTCTTCGACATTTCACCTTCGTCGTCTGACAATGAGGACCCACGCACCAAAGCACTGTTAAAGGTTCAACGCCGCCGTCAAAGTTCTCGACGGTTATCACAGATCAACATAATGGAAGGGCCTTTCTTCCGACCATTGGACGTACTGATTTGTGAGGATCATCCTGTCTCGCGACTAGTCATGGAACGATTGTTTGAAAAACTTCGATGCCGGACCATCACAGTAACCAATGGCGCAGAAGCCGTCAGATACGCTCTGAGCGAGGTTCAGTTCGATATCATCATGACTGAATACCGTTTGCCTCAAGTCAATGGTGTTGACTTTGCTCGAATGGTGCGAGAGACGCGCAGCGCCAACAGGCACACCCCTATCATCGCTGTCACGGGCTACTTGAAAGATTTACCAGAGAACCACAATTTTGATGCCCTGATCCAGAAGCCGCCAACCTTGCCGAAGTTAACTGAAGCACTATCGAAATTCTGCATGTGGAAGGGCCCCCCAGCAGACTACGATTCCTCCCAAGCTGTGCCTGTCTCGGATTTCAATACGCAGTCCAATGCGCCGACGACCGAAGATAGCCCCAGCTCCGCATCATCTGGGTTTGTTCTCAACCCGCCCAGTTCTTACCGGGGGTCTAGCCGTGATGATTCGCTCAGCAGCAGCGTTTTCGGTGATATGGAGGCACTCAAATCCGATGAGGTGCCAGTGATTATCAACCGTACCTCAGACGACTGGGACCAAGGCCAGGGCGGACTGGGAATCTCGGAGGAAACCGCTGCTTATGCTGGTGGACCAGATCCTCATGACCCTCCCGTGCCTCAGCTTCTCCACACTGCCTCAGCGCCCGCCGCCATGGACCCAACCGGCGGGCTCACACCTCGCAAGCAACGCTCCAGCGAAGGGATTCGCGCCAAAAGAGAGTCACTCGAGAAAAAACGCTACGAGGGCGCCGAATCAGGCGACGACGAAGATGAAGAACTGGGAAACTCCCAGGCACGTCGAAGTCCCCCGACGCGAAACCGCCGCCCGGGCTCTAAATTGGGGATTGAGATGATGCGAACCAACAGCCGAGGTAGCGTTGTCAGCGGGAGTGAAGAGCTTTTGAAGAAAGAGAGAGAAGCTTTGAGAAACCTTGGCGGACAGTCGGTCGATAACGAAGACAGCGATGGCTCCCTGGGTTCTCCCGCCAGCACGAGCCTCGGGGATCGCTTCGAGGCTCTGAGCATCCCCGAAGAATGGGAGGGCGAAGAGCCACTCAGTCCTCGGGATTCTCCCCCAGTGTCTGGCGGACCCTTTTCACCCCACAGACCATCTCTCGCCCACCAAGATACTTCAATCCACTCCGGAAGTCCCTACAATCGTGCTTCGCAGACCAGCCCAGGAACGTTGGGCCAAGGTCAAACCACACCTCCTTGGGACTTGCCTCAGGACACGACGTCTCAATCCACAGGTCCAATCACTCCGGAAGTCAAGATCTCGGGCACTTCCTTGACCCCGGATGCCGCTACTGGACGTGACGCTGAGTGCAGTCCTACTCCAGACTCCGAGGCCACGCCGCGACCTCTTCACCCCTCCCCGGACCCTGATCCGGAGCAGACCCCCGTCCATCGGAACGCCATCGATCGGACCTGAGCCTTGCGTTCAAGAGATAGACGGTATGCTCGATGCCCTCCAGCCAAGAGCGATGTCCGTTACCCTCGTCACTCGCGATATCATTCTATTCTTGTCTACATATTGATGAGCACCTACTTTTCCTTCCCTGTACACTTGTGCCGCAATCATTGCTCCGAGCACTTATCCCATCTTTTGCGACCTTTCCCATATCCACTCTCTCACGTCTCTTATGTTTGAATGTTCTCTGGCTTTCTTTTGGAGCATGGCGTTCCGGTCTATTTTTCCCCCTTTCGCTTTTATCTCGATGTTGTAACCATCTGCATTTTCGGGCGATGGTTTTTTTGTGCTTCATTCCCTCATGTGACTGGAATCAAAATCACAGCTTGACGCTGCTTCTTCATTCTCCTAGTATATTTCTTTCCAAGGTTTTCGGTCTCATTTGATAATACCTAATTTCTGTATCGCGTATGCAGTATTACAAGCATAGACGCTCCTACATAGTCTGTGCTCTCCTTTCCAAAGGTTGGGGAAGATCGTGTGGGCACATTGTACATTGACAGCGAAGACCTCGGGACGACCTCCCGCTCGCATAGCGAGGTCCACTTAGGGCGGTGGTGCACTCCATAATTGGTATCCCGTGGAAGGTTACTGATTAAGGGGATCCCGCGGAGACACGATTGGCCGATGATCTTACCCGACATGACTTAATGCCCAGGTGGTCCACGGGGGTGCTGTCAAATGGGGATCAACAAGCCAACCTTTTCACGGACGGCACAGGCGCACTGGAGACCAGAGTAAATGTACATAAATACTGCATGTCACCACGCACGCACTTCAGTCAGGCGGGGGTTGGTCTGCATCGTTAGTCTGCCAAGAATCTGGCGACGCGAACGCTTTTGGATCTCATTGGTAGGCAGTGCGCATTATTTCCTTTATTTCCTTATTTCCCTGGGCAGTGCACCTGGACAGTTTCTTGCATTGAAAGGGATCGGTAAGGTTATTTCCTGCCAAGCAACTTGAATGCTTCACACAGCCCGTTAGTCCGGCTAAAAATGGGGTGGTATACAAGTGTATGAAGAGAGAGAGAGAAAGAGAGAGAGTGGATATAGTTCTAGACTGTCTCACGTAGACAAAATTTGAGTATATCAGCCTATATATAGAGTCCACCTCCGTTGACGCAGGTGCGTATTAAGTGGCGGTGGCGCCGTAGATCTCGATATTTCCAAGATTTCAAGATTACCAGTTTATGCAAAGGCCAACCTTGGAAGTACGAATCGCTATTACTCCGTACGGAGTAGGGAGTCAGCAGAGTACGCATAGTACGCATAGTGCGCATAGTACTCGGTACTCCATCAGAGCAGTAATTCCCGCACGTAACCTCCTATCGCCACCAAATGGACCGGGCCACCGTTGGCGGGCCGTGATGGGCCTCTCAGAACAGCCACTGGCCCCTGGAGGCTTTTTGCCAAGAGTGCACAAAGTTGTCGAATTTTAATGTCCCTTTTGTGCGAGTAGTTCGAGGTGTCGAGTCATGTATGTATTCCAAGGTTGTACGGAGTACTCCGTACGATTGTACTATATAGTATAAAGAACTATAACACTCCCACTGAACGCTATAACATCATGCACCAGAGATAACCTTGGAATACTTTAATATAATATTGTAGCACTCCAATCCACTTTTATAATTATACCGTCAAATTCACCGAAACCCAATCGCAAAGGGCCCAGACTCAACTGGCGTCTCCACCAGGTTTCACTCGATCGTCACCCATTTTGAGAGCTTCTTCTCTTCTTCTCTTCTTCTCCTCGGCTCTTCTCTTTTTTCGCCTGTCTCTATCACTCTATACCCAATATCCCTACCTTCGCTTTGATCCACTGTCTCTCATCTTCCTTTTCTTTCCCTTTCTTTTTTCTCTTATCTCATCTATAAAGCGGAGCCACATTCTCGAAATCGACCCACATTCTTCGGCCTGGTGCCATGTCATCCCCCGTGGAGGAGCGTAAAACCTTCATGGAAAAGGACAAACGGAAGGATTCGGACGTGTCGCCCACATCTGATGACGGAACCTGCGTCACCGAGCCCATCGATCGCGATGAGCGCCTGGGTGGCCTCAGAGTCGACACCAGCCATGCCCCGGACGACGATGAGCCCCCGCGGACCCCTTCGGCGCGACGAGAGCAGGCCACTCGTCTCGAAGATGATCTCATGTGTCTGCAAGCCGAGCGCATGACGACCCGCTCCACCCACGAACCGGAGGACGAACACGACCGCAATTCCATCAACCGCGCCCGGTCGCGTCGCTCTGAGCAGGTCGACGAGTTTGACGAGGCCACCAACCCGCTACACGAGAAGGCCGCCATCTACAAGCCCCCCGAGAAGCCTAACACGCAAATCGCGGTCTTCGTGAAGAAGCTGCACCAGTCCAGCTGGCTCGTGCGCTATGTTACCTACATCTCCCCCGTGGTGATCCTCCTCCTCATTCCCTTACTGATCGGCGCGCTCGAGTTCCCCAACGCCAGCGTAGGTGGCGTTCAGTTGATGTGGTTCTCCATTTGGCTCGAGATTGTCTGGTTGACTCTGTGGGCAGGACGGGTAAGTTTCGAGCCATTCGCATCTCCTCGACGAGCTTCATTTTCGCTAACCACCGATGGGACAAATAGCTGGTGAGCAAATGTCTCCCCCGGTCATTGGTGTTCTTGCGAGTATCTTCACAAACAACGCGAAGAAATGGCGCGATCTCGCCAAACAGCTCGAGATCCATGCGGCGCTCTTCTTTTGGTGGCTCGGCATTGAAATCTCCTTCTTGCCCACCATGAAAAACCATCACGTCGATGGCGACAAGGGGACTCGCAGCTGGGAAAACACCCTCAACAAGATCATCATCGTCGTCTTTGTCTGGACCATCCTGAACTTCATCGAGAAGATCTTGATCCAGCTGATCGCCATCAGTTTCCATCTCCGAACCTATGCCGACCGGATTGAGATCAACAAATTCCAGATCGGCAGCTTAACGAAGCTGTATGAATTCTCGCGGACCACTATTGAGGATAAGGATGATACATTTGAGGAGAAAGACCCCAAAGAAACGCCAACGGGAACCAAGACCCCTCTGCACTACGCTGGAGTGGCCCAGCGCAAGGCAAAGGGCGCTTTGAACAAGGTCGGAAACCGCGTCGGGGATGTGGCCGGTGCGGTGGTGGCCGATGTCACCGGTCGCACAACCACACGAAGCACCGACGCTTACCAGGTCATCCTGACCCTCTTGCGAACCACTGGCGGCTGCCAGGTCCTGGCTCGCCGTTTGTACCGCACCTTCGTGCGGGATGGCTTCGACACAGTCTTTGGCGGTGACCTGAAAGCCGCCTTCGATGATAGCGAGGAGGCCGAGGCGGCCTTCACCATGTTTGACCGTGACATGAACGGGGACATCTCAATGGAAGAATTGGAAGCGGTTTGTGTCGACATCGGTCGTGAGCGCAAGTCTATCACTGCATCCCTGAAGGATCTGGACTCGGTCGTGTCCAAGCTGGATGACGTGTTTATGTTCTTTGTGTTTGTTATCGTGTTAATCGTCTTCCTGTCGCTCATTTCCACCTCTGCCGCCGGTGTCCTCACGTCTGCCGGTTCTGCTATCTTGGCTCTGTCCTGGCTCTTCTCTGCCACTGCCCAGGAATTCCTCCAGTCCGTGATCTTCGTGTTCGTCAAGCACCCCTTCGATGTCGGTGACCGTGTCACGATCTACGGTAACGCCGGAGACGCCGGTCTCGGTGATGATTACTTCGTCAAAGAGATCACTCTGCTGTACACCGAATTCAAGAAGATGCAGGGCCATGTGGTGCAGGCGCCCAACAGCTATCTCAACGGACTCTTCATTCTCAACCAGCGTCGATCTGGCGCCCTCGCCGAGGCTGTTCCCATCATCATCAAATACGGTACTTCCATCGACCAACTGGACGCCCTGCGCCAGCGACTGTTGGAGTTCGTGCGCAGCGAAAAGCGTGATTTCCAGAGCAACATTCTGACCGAAATGCGCGCGGTGACCGAAAACTTCTCGCTGACCCTCAACGTGGTGTTCTTCTACAAATCCAACTGGCAGAATGAGGGTCTCCGTCTCCAGCGCCGCAACAAGTTTATTTGCATGCTCATGGTTGCCCTCCAGGAGATTGGCATCGAGGGCCCACGCATGAACCTCCAGGGTGCCAAGTTCGATATTCCCTTCCATGTCAACTATGGCAATGAGCGCCAAGCTCACAACCACCGGAACGATCCGATCGAAGCTGAAGAGATTCCCATGTCGGAGGACTCTCGTGGCCTGCCTGAAAACACCGCCAGCAGCAGTAGCAGTGCTGCACGTCATCCATCCATTCTCCGCAAGGGCATGAACACCGCCACCGCGCGTGCCCGTGGCCCATCTATCTCGCAGCGCAAACACGTCGACTTCTCCTTGGGTATGTCTAACATGGCCTCTAACGACATCATGGGAGACGTGTTCGAAGACCGCGGTGTTCGCATCGACGACGTGGTCCGTACCGCCAACCGTGAGGCCTCGGAGCGCCGCATTCAAGAAGAGGCCGAGGACGAAGAGGAGCGCCGGAGTCGTACCTCCTCGTCCCGACATCGCCGTCCCTCAAACCTGAGCGCTCCCAGCAACAAAGACGAAGGTCGCCGGTCGACCGACGCCCACAGCTTCCGGAGTGGTCAGTCTTCCCTCAGCCGGAATCGTTTCTTCCACCACCGGAGCAGCGTCACTCAGGAACGCGATGACCTGATGGAGCAGGGACGCTCCGCCTCACCCACTCAACCCCCTCCGGCCGCCGTCCCCGGTGTGAAGGAACATCCGAATTGATTTAAAATGATCAACTGATCAACCTCGATCACACACATACCTCATGTTGTCATTCCCTTTTCCTTGTTATATTTCCTTCTTTTCAAAACTGCACATCAACCGTGACATCGATTTTCTGATGTGACCATAATCTGTCTTTCTATGATACATATATCCCTCTATCGGTCTTTAACCCTTTCATCTATTGGCGGCCTTTTTATTATACACTGCATGTTGGGTGGTTCTTCATTACATTAACAAAAATTCAACTTACACTTCTTTCCCCTGTCTTGTCAAGTAGTCCTACTATATGGAGTCTTGAATGTGCCAACCTTGGAAGATTAGAAGCTCCCTTCCGACAATGTGGAAGACCTCCAGGGCTCGGGCCCGCCTCCAAGGCTCCCCTCCAGGGCTGGTGGTCATTGATTTAAGATCAATTACTTCCAAGGTTCCAAGGTTAACTTTGGAATAGTCCTGGGTTTTCAAGGTTCAAGGGTCTACAGCTAGTGAGTATCGGGACTGCAGGGTCCTTCAAATATGCTTCGTGATGTTCAGTGTTGAATATATACAGATGGACCTCGGGAGTGACCCTCCAGGAGCCGTTACCTACTAAATAGTGCTAGTTAGTATAAGCCAGTAACTACCCGTGGACGGTGTAGTCTGCCCAGGTGACTATTGCAGCTTACAATCAGTATGAGAGTTTGCATCCCAGACTGTTACACAACTCCTACACTATATGTGACATTCACCAATACCTGGGCACTGGGGGGCATGACACTGACTTTGTTACAAATTCCCGACCCTACCATGTACATGAGAAGCTTGATATAGCCTTGAAAATGGCATTGAGCTAGGCAAGAATATATGGTTCATGAGACATGAGCGTCGTTGATGCTTTCTCACTTAGACTAGCCAGGTAGGTGAAATAGTAGGAGACTTTTGAAAAGGCATAAGAGTCCGTAAGTAGTGGTTGCAGCAATACACCAATTGTGAGGTTTTAGTAAAGTACACTATTGGAGGCCAAAGGAATCTGTGCCTGTTTTGTTTTCCTTTCCCTCTGTTTTTTTTACACTTCCCTTTCCTCCTTCCCCTGCAGTGTCCCACCAGCCTAACCATCTTTCTCACCATGCGAGGCGAGGTATGTTACTTGAGATATGACAGTGGCACGGTAGGAGTCTTTCGTTGACCTGAGTCTAGATCTGTCACCTTCATCTTGGCCAAGCCGGCACCCAGCTGGGCAACGCTGCCTGGGAACTGTGTGTCTTCTTCCAAGGCTTTGACACGTCTTACAAGTTTGCTAATCTCATGGAATCCATAGGTATCTTCTCGAGCACGGACTGAAGCCTGATGGCTTCATAGATCCCGATGTGACCGATGACACCACAAAGAGCGGATCTTACGAAACGTTCTTTACCGAGACATCCCATGGCAAATATGTGCCTCGCTCCATCTTTCTGGACCTCGACCCTTCGGTAGGTAGAGCACTCCAAATCCAGGGAAGGTCACAGCTGATGTGGACAGCCTATTGACGAGATTCGGACTGGCACCTACCGACACCTTTTCCACCCTGCGCAGTTGATCAGTGGGAAGGAAGATGCTGCAAACAACTGTATGAAGTTCAATCGTTGATTCAGATTCTGGCTAACAGACGGTAGACGCGCGTGGCCACTACACCATTGGCAGGGATATTTTGGAGGCTGCGGCTGACGGTGTTCGTCGCGTGGCTGGTATGTTGCTTCGACTTGGAACCTTTTCAGTCTGCTCACCTTTATCACAGAAAACTGCGAATCACTGCAAGGATTTCTGGTCTTTCATTCCTTTGGTGGAGGCACTGGCTCCGGGTTTGGGTCCCTGCTGCTGGAGCATATCACCAAGATGTATGGCCGCAAGTCCAAGCTCGAATTTTCGGTCTATCCATCCAAGGAGACTTCAACTTCAGTGGTAGAGCCCTACAACTCTGTCTTGTCCACACACAGCACCATTGAGAATTCTGACTGCACCTTTCTGGTCGACAATCAAGCCGTGTACGACATCTGTCATCGCCACCTAGATATCCCACGTCCTGGCTTCGAGCACCTGAACCGACTGATTGCCCAGGTGGTAAGCTCCATCACCTCCAGCTTGCGGTTTGATGGTGCTCTGAATGTGGACCTGGCCGAGTTCCAAACGAACCTTGTGCCCTACCCACGCATCCACTACCCTCTAATCTCCTATGCACCGGTGATCAGTAGTCGACGCAGTTCTCATGAAAGCTTCAAGGTGCAGGATCTCACTTTCGAGTGTGCGTATACCTTTATGTGACAAAATGGTGTTCTTATGTGCTGACCTGTTTCATAGGCTTCAAGCCCAACAACCAGATGGTGGCCTGTGACCCGCGTCAAGGCAAGTACATGGCAATTGCTCTTCTTTATAAAGGGGATGTTGTGCCTCTCGAGTGCACCCAGGCTGTACACGCGCTCAAGACCAGAGGCACCTTCAGTCTGGTTGAGTGGTGTCCGACTGGATTCAAGCTGGGCATCAATTACCAAAAGCCGGTCCGCCGTCCCAATGATGAACTTGCACCGGTCGATCGCTCGGTGAGTATGCTATCAAACACGACTGCTATTGCGCAGGCATGGGGCCACCTCGACCACAAATTTGATCTCATGTACTCCAAGCGCGCCTTTGTACACTGGTATGTTGGCGAGGGCATGGAGGAGGGAGAATTTTCTGAAGCCCGTGAGGATCTTGCAGCCCTGGAGAAAGACTACGAGGAGGTGGCCGGAGATAGCGGCGAGGGAGACGAAGAGGCTGAGCACTGATTCAATTGCAATTCTGACGAGCTCCACGCACTTGACATGGTCTTGGAATCGATAATCATGTCTCGAGCGATTTTCTGTAGAGCCATTTGCTTCATATGATGTGCCTCGTATGACGGAGAAAATGACGAGTCTGAAGACGTAGTTGTCCACGGAGAAGAATATGGTATGAAATGTGATAGTCCCAATCAATCAAAAAAAGTATGCGCTTTTGCGTCTTGATCTAATAATTTCCAACGTATGTAGAGTAAAAGCAAAGGGAAAACGCCACTAGATGCTCCATGCAGATGAATGAGTAGTGTTACAAGTTGAGCACTGACCTCAGCGATCAGCTGCGATATTGTGCTCTTGGAGGGTTTTCAGTGCGCGCTCGTAAGTCCACATCGTTATAGCACTGGCCGGTGCCGCCTTGATCAGGCTGACCGTCAAGCCTCGGTATAGACCGCGGATGCCCTGTGTTCGAACAATCACCGCCATACTTCGATAAACTCCGGTATACTCCGGGATGTTGCGATGGACGTAACGCGTTCGCGTCGGACCTTGCACTTGTAGGCGTTTGCGAACGAGGTCCAGTGGGAAGACGCCCGTTTTGGCCAGCACACTGGCTACAACACCCGCAGCAGCATCCCCAGTACCCATAGGCAACGAGTCCCATACCGTCATGACTGGTCGAAGTGCTTCATATGCTGTGAAAAACAACCCCATATATGGTACAATCTGTGCGACGGCAGCTGAGCAGCCTCGGAAGAACCCCGGTGCTCCCTCGTGTCGAGCAATATCCACAATCGATGCCCTCAAGGAGTGATATACGCGGTCTGGGCCCTGAGCGGCGAATCGAGTGCGGAGGAGGTCAAGCGGGTACGTCATTACTGTGGCACAAGCACCCGCTACGGCACCGGAGAGGAAAGATTCGACAGATGGGGGAGGTCGATAGGGGCCGAGCTGAGCGAGGGCCTGAGTTGTGCCACGATATGCTGTGAATTGAGCGGCACCATAACAGACATACATCATCTCGGCGGGAATATTTCCTTTCCATAGACCCTGTATATCGTATCATTAGCTTCATCCAATCTCAGGGCTGGTGTTTCCGAAACCTAGACGTACAGTAATGCCCTCCTGCTTCACAATGGTTCGCATTGTGGACAGTGTGCCTTTGTACACTGGGCCATTGGCGACCAGATGAGATAATGGATCTGATAAAGAATGGATTTGCAATTGCAGCCGAATCTTGACCACATCTAGCGGCGCAATGCAGAAGCGCGAGATCAGTCCGGCAATGCCACCGGCCAGCACGACTTGGCGCTTGGTGCCTTCATCTTTGAGATGCTCACCCCCGGCCGACATGAGGATCTCACAGACTGCGGTCTGTATATTAGATCAAATAAAGAGCTGGAATCCCATGATGATTCCTGAGATGAGAAAAGCAGGTGAATTTACGTAAGTGAGTTCCGGCCATTCCAAGATTGTTGATTTGAAATGTTTGCCTGAGGCGTGAGTCTCGTGATGCCTTGTCAATGAGGCAATAAATTTCTGCCTCATAAGTGAGGTGTCTATATGTAAGCCGAGGCAATCGTAGCTTGGCGCGCCTCATGTCCGAAGCTCGTTCTCACCAGATAAACGTGTTCCTTTTCCTCGCTATTTCCCCATTATTCTACATGTTCTTAGCCTGGAGGCAACCATGAATCTCCTAGGCTCCGCTTCATTCCGGCGACTCTCTTCGTCCTCCCGGATTCTATCATACTCCGTCGCTCGGCGTAACTTTATAGCGTCAGCCAGACAAGCGGACAAACCGACACTGTTACCACGGTCATTGGAATTTACTGAAAAGTCTTCATTATCTCACGATGGAAAACCATCCAAGCCAAACTTGTTTCAGATCATCTTTGAGAGCGTGGGCAACTCCCATCTCGCACAGGATGAGCTATACTTGCTTTCCAAAACCCGAAATCTAAAGCTGCCCTATGCCTACTTGCGCGACACATGCCTTTGTCCATTGTGTAAAGACCCACACTCTAAGCAGAGGTCTTTCCGAACGGGTGATATTCCCAAAGATATACGTCCACGATGGATCAGATGGGATGGAGAACATTTATCAATCAAATGGGCCAACGATATTCCTGGGTACGGGTCCGATCATGAATCCGTCTGGAGGCACGACTTCTTGAAGAACCCCATAGTGGACACTCATGATCAGCGGCCGCTCTCCGGAAAAGCCCCCACGAAATGGTCACGGCAAACGATGAGCGAGAATCAACATTGGATTTCGTTCGACGACTACATCAACCATGATGCCAAGTTTGCAGCAGCAATGCAAAGCTTGAAGCGCATGGGCCTGATCTTCGTCGAAGACATTCCCCAGTCTCGGGAGATGGTCGAGAAGGTTGCCACACGCATGGGCCCACTACGCAACACGTTCTACGGATCAACATTCGACGTGCGCACCGTTCCGGAGGCGAAGAATGTAGCCTACACCAACCAATTTCTTGGATTTCATATGGATCTGATGTATATGAACGAGCCGCCGGGATATCAACTTCTCCACTGTCTGGAGAATTCTTGCTCGGGAGGGGAGTCCCTTTTTGCAGACGCATTTCGGGCGGCAGCTTTGATGAAGGCAGAGCATCCCGAAGAATATCAATTACTGTGTGATCAGCGGTTGGGCTATGAGTATAAGCATGACGATCATATATACCACAACAAACGACCTATCTTTGAGATTGATCCCCGAACAAATGATCTTCTGCATGTCAATTACTCGCCACCCTTCCAATCTGCCATACCATCGCCCGATGGAAAAGACCATGATCCCAAATTTGTGAGAGAGCTGCAAGCGGCCATCAATCTGTTTACTAAGCAACTTGATTCGAAGAGCGCCATCTTTGAACTGAAACTCAAGCCGGGCGTGTGTGTCATTTTTGACAATAGACGTGTTGTTCATGCCCGCCGCCAATTCAACGCTAGCGAAGGATCTCGGTGGCTAGCAGGGGCATATGTTGACACTGATGCGCTCTTGTCTTGCTTTGCTGTTTCTAAGCGAAACCATCCCCAGGCCTGGCTGTGAAACAAGCTTAGAATGGGATCGTATTCCGGGTATATCTACCTCGGAATTTTGACATTAGAAGCCCACATGGGCAACGCAGACCTCATGAAAATCTTTAACATGTGTAATGCGATTACCCGGCTCGTCACCATCCATGGAGATCATTGTGACTCGGAATGAATATTGGAAACTTTGGAACACTCGTGCCAACGGCCAGGGCAGACTAAACACACTCTTCCTTCACTCGGAGCTACGATAGGATAATTTACCAGCACCTGAGGAGATGATAGTCCAAACTATTCAACAATGACTCAACATCTATGACGGCCTTCATCAAGACAAAAACATTTATCATTATGTTAGGTTTTTGACATCAAGCCCCACCGTTATGGGGTTCATGGGTATCGTGCGACCACCAGCCAAATTATCAAGCGCTTGCGGTAGGCTTGTTGACAGAGAACTGGTTGAGAAATTCGGGATCGGCGTTGATCTCCTCACGTACCTGTTCATCAATGTTAGTAGTTGGACTCATTGACCAGACAAAGAAGCACGTACAATATCCAGACCACCAACGAGTTCTCCATTTACCCATAATTGAGGGAAGGTTGGCCACTCTGCGTACTCCTTCAAGCCCTGTCGTACATCCTCGTCGGCCAAGATATTGAAGAAGCCGTACTTGACACTACGTTCGCGGAGAATACCCACCAGCTGCCGACTAAATCCGCACTGCGGGCTGCTGGGAGTTCCCTTCATGAAGAGCATAACAGAAGCTGCCTTGACCAGTTGTTCCAGACGGGCAAAGAGCGCTTCGCGAGATTGTTCCGGTGTCAGGGCGGGGGCCGATGCGACAGCGGTCGCATTGGCCGCATCGGCGGGAGGCGCATGGGACGCTGTGACCGGAGCTTGAGTAGCGGTTGTTGGACCGTCCTCACGTGGCACAGCGGATAGTGGCGGGGGAATATGAGTCCTCACGCCGTCCATCGGGTCACCACCGGCACTGTTTCCGCGGCCGGCATGACGCTCGACAGCGTCGCGCACCTTGACAGCATCGCTGCCACTGATTGATTCCAAAATCTGACCGCTGCGCAAGCACACAACAAAGGGAACGGCGGAAACATCGTATTCCTCGGAGATATCAGGCAATTCCTCAGCATTGATGCTGACAAACGAGATGGTTGGCGGGGTAGTGGCGGGGTACTGTGATGCGAGGGCCGCAAGTACAGCACCCATCTGGGCACAAGGAGCGGCCCATGGAGTATGGAAGTAAAGTACAACCAACGCAGAGGGCGACAGGGAGGAAAGGTGCGACGAGAAGTCCGCTTCGGATGTGATCTCGGTGAGTGCCGACATGGTGGAAGGTGACTATAGAGGTAAGGTAGAGGCCGAACCCGGCGATGTCTCGTGGATATATCAGAAAGCGAAAGGAGTATTCAGTCCAGAAAATGTGTCAAGGTGATGGCGTGATGAGTTTCCAAAAAAGACAGGCTCCCCTCATGCACGGCGATCCTAGATTTCCAATCCTCCGGTTATCAGATCGTTCAGCGGTCCTGGTGTTTGTGGGCCACCATAGAGGTCACGGGATAGAGTCACATGACAGCATTCTCTTATCATATCACTTATCTTCACGTGGTAGGATTTTTGGGATTTCCTAGTTTCTCCAAAGCTGCAGATCAAAGCTGTGCTTCACGGAAATATTATGACCGCTGACAAGAAGAGAAAGCTCGATGCCGAGGATACAGTCACGGAAGAGACTGGATCTCAAAAAGCCAACGTGAGCGAGCCTCCAGCCCACATGCCTAACAGCGCAATCGATGGAGCGAACGGTCAGGCGTCCAAGAAGCGCAAGAGAGTCGATGGCGAGAAAGTCAAATACCCAGCCCTCACCTATGCAGATGGGAAGCTTCAATCACCTATTCGAATTGCCGATATTCAGGGCTTGCTCCTCTACTGCTTCGCCGACGGCATTGCCCCCCAGTGGATATCTCTGAAACACTCTGGGCATGTGCGCAAGGTGGTCGTGTTGATGGTACCTGGCCTCGAGATGGGAATGTTTGATGGCACAATTTCTCTGGATGAATCATCAGCTAGTGGAGATCATTTGAAAGAGGCGGAACCAAAACCAGCTGATGCCGACCAATCGACCGAAGACGATAGAGCTACTGACTACGACCGATGGAAAAAAGGCCTTCCTCTTCCCGACCGCTCGCATCGTTTCAATCCTCGATCCCTCGTCCGCGACAGCCTCCCCCAATGTCTCCAACCGCTGGCCGATATGTTTCCTCACATTTGGCCGGTCAAGGCTCCGGGCGACAACAAGTACAACAAGGTTCATTCGCCATTGCAAGCGATCTTGATGTCTTCGCCACCCAAGGCCAAAAATGAAGATCCTCGTGCAAAGGGCGCACGCCCTGCCAAAGTCGAGAGGGGCTTTGTTCCCAAAAGAACCCCGATTTCAACGTTTGTTACCTCTCGCAACGACCTGCGAGAAAACGACTACATATTGCATCCGGCCTACTTTGGCTCTGATGAAGAGAGGTCGACCCAGGCAGGGGCTCGCCAACGCGGTGGCCAGTCAGTGGAAGACGGATGGGTGGACACACATGTTTCTTCACTCGAGTCCGCGCAGCCGCCCGATGCCGAAATTGAACAAGGCAGCATGACTGCTGGACGGAACGTGTTTGCCCTTGACTGTGAAATGTGCATCACCGAGGGAGGCCAGTCTGAGCTCACCCGCATCAGTATCGTGGGCTGGGATGGCGAAGTAGTCATGGATGAGCTCGTCAAACCCCCGCGACCAGTCATTAATTATCTCACGCGGTTTTCGGGAATCACACCGGAGATGCTGGCCCCAGTGACTACAACTTTGGTTGATATCCAAAAACGGCTCCTTTCCCTTCTCACACCCCGTGCGATCCTTGTTGGCCACTCCCTCAACTCCGACCTCAACGCCTTAAAACTGGTGCACCCTTTTATTGTCGACACGAGCATTATTTATCCACACCCAAGGGGTCCACCACTGAAGTGCAGTTTGAAATGGCTCACCCAGAAGTACCTAGGCAAGCAGATCCAGAACGGAACGGAAGGACATGACTCCATTGAGGATGCCCGTGCCGTTCTCGAACTTGTGAAGATGAAGTGCGAGAAAGGTGAGCGTTGGGGAACAAGTGAAGTCTCCAACGAAAGCATTTTCCGTCGTCTCTCGCGGTCCATTCGCCCCAACCATGTCCCTTGTCCTGGCGAAGCACGCACCGGAGCTGTGGTTGATTGGGGCAACCCCGAACGCGGTTTTGGTGCACAGGCGACCGTCTCAGTTGGATGTCAGGATGATGAGGCGGTCGTCAAAGGAGTCTCCTCTGTAATCAAGGGCGACGAGTCCAATCACTCTATCCCTGCCGGGGGTGTTGATTTCGCCTGGGCTCGTATTCGCGACCTCGAATATCTTCGTGGATGGTGTAATAGACTCCCAGACCCGAATAATGCCAACGAATCCACATCTGTCTTGCCTTCCTCGGATGGAACCGCGAGCATACCTGATCTCCACGTCGAATCCAGCGAGCGCTCACAGCCCGATGCCTTGGTAAACACTGTTTCGCAGACCGTATCCCACATCTCACAGATCTATGAATCTCTCCCGCCCTGTACTCTTTTTATGGTCTATTCTGGAACGGGTGACCCCCGTGAAGTTAGCCGACTGCAGTCCATCCACAAGAAACATCGCGACGAGTTTCACTCTGGCAAACCCTGGGACGAGCTGACCTACAAATGGACAGATGTTGAAGAGCAAAACTTGAAAAAAGCATGCGAACGGGCTCGCGATGGATGTGGATTCATGTGTATCAAATGAATCAGACAGATTATGAAGATCGTACATGACCAGTTGGACTAGTAACTTCTTGAACATCAGCCGAATAAGACCTCCTTTCAACGCCGAATACCACCTGGGCACAGTTGTTGGATGTCCGTAAGCATAGAAATTCAAACCACACCGCAGGCAAAGGACGCCGATAGATGAGGTCTAACGGGACGTGTCGGTGCCGATGATGTGGGGCGGAATTGAAAGACTTCTTCCGACAACTTCCCAACACACTCCCGCAACAAAGCGATGAATCCATTCATCAGAAGGTCGACTGCGGCTTGGTACTCGGTCGGTCTCGCATCTGAGCTGCCAAACCTTGACGATGATGGCCAGAGAGTCGCTCCAAAATGCAAGGCCTTCGCCATACCGACCAACGGCCCGGTGGAACGTGTTGAAGATATTGACCTACCGGGCGAACTGAAGGACCAAGTGTTGGTATTCAAGTATAAAGGGAAATACCATGCTATCGACCATGTAAGTCATGTCGGGTCTTTCGCTGAATGGCGCTCACTCTTCGTAGCAATGCCCACACTCGTCCTACCCACTCTCGCAGGGGAGTCTCTTTGACATTGAGGACTTTGGCATTGTTCTTAGTGCTGGAATAACATGTCCCAAGCATGACTGGTCCTTTGACATCTTCTCTGGCCAAGCAGACCGCGGCAAATATAAACTCAAGGTGTGGGAGGTACAACTACGTGACGCGAAAACATCCGACACGGATGACCAGGAGGTGTGGGTGAGGCGCAAGCAAAGGATTGGTTGAAAAGCCTCAATAGGTCTATCGGAGTTATTGGAAACCACTTAGACGCTACATTCTAACAGCAAACGCGTTAATATCTGCCCACGAAGAGTCAATGTTTGCAATGCCAAAACTGGCGAAGCTGATTCCCTTGGTTCATGGGATCGAGCTTCAAATCATCATCGCTTTGAGCACGTCCTTGGTTCGAACCGCCAATGGGCAAAGCTGTCTCACACTCTCACACTCTCTTGCAACCGATCTCGCAATACCTAGAATATTCGGTAAAGTGACGGTCAGTTTTGGGCGATCTCAAGGGGGAATGCACCTGGGCACTTGCTTGGCAAACAAGAACCCCAACCGCAGCGGATTCCGCGCTGGTGTTAATTTGGCAAGAAATCCCGACCATGGACTTCGTCTGTACATAATCCCATCCACAAATTAATTGGCTCGCCGATGTTGTTTTCTTGGGCGGCATTCTTCAAGTCGTTGACCCAGAAGAGGAGCATACATAAGTGACTATAGCCGACCGAGTCACTGGCCAAATTAACTATGTTCAAGGTCATGTTGGAGTTGTGGCACATTCCACAGAAATGGGACAGCCCTGGAAGATGTGACATTTCAAGCACCGGGCCGTGGGTTCGATACAGATCTTTGTATTGCTGCACAATTTGCCTGACTTCCATTTGCTAAATCCAAAAGTTCCGAGGTCCCTTTGGTTCCACGATCTGTCTCAGAAGGGGATGCGAGGTATGCATACAATCAACCCATGTGGAACGTGCACTGTTTTTGCACGGAAGAATCGGCATGCACTTCTGACATCCTTGGATATGTTCGTCTGTGAGCTGCCAACTGTGTGACGGGCACTCCCATCACCAGGTCACTCTGTCTTTGCCTTCCAGCGCCGTCTTCTGTCTTTGAACTTCGGTTCCAACCCTCATGGAGAAATCTGTGTGTTGATCCATTTGGCGATACAGACAATCACCCAAGAAACCTGAACTAGGTTCGGTGTGAAATGTAGGGGTGACACCGGAAGAGCTGTTGGACAACATTCCACCATCGACATACCAGGCAACCCTGACGGACAGGCGGGGTCCAAGAGATGCCACAACTCACGTGTCGCTGCTCTTCTCTTGCGGCTCATCGCCTCTGTAGAGAAGTCCTTGGATTCCTGCCTCCCTAACTGCGACTTTGTCTCACTGTCAAAAAAAGAAATGCATCTCCGAGTGATTACATTCGCTTTGATCTGGCTATTGCCTGTGGATGCAAGAAATTTGGATGGCTCAGATTCACATTATGACTTTGTCATTGTTGGAGGAGGCACCAGTGGGTTGGTTGTCGCCAACAGACTCTCAGAGTTGGGTGATGTCAGTGTGGCAGTCATCGAGGCTGGAGACTCGGTCCTAAACAACCATAACGTGTCAACGACTACTGGATACGGCCTGAGCTTTGGAACAGCTATTGACTGGGCGTACCAGACGGAAGATCAAATCTACGCTGGAGGGTCAAAACAGACTATGCGCGCGGGCAAGGCCATAGGTGGCACCAGCACAATCAATGGTATCATTTCCAAAATACCCCCTTCGATGTAACGGGTTTGGGTCAATTAACCTCGACCAGGAATGTCATACACACGAGCGCAGAAGGTGCAGATTGATTCCTGGGAAAAGTTTGGGAACAAAGGGTGGAATTGGGACAGTCTCTTTCCGTATTATCTCAAATCGGAGCAGTTCCAAGTTCCCACTGCAGACCAAGCTGCTAGAGGGGCCGACTACTATAAGAGCTACCACGGAGAACACGGTCCGCTTAAGGTTGGTTGGCCCAAGTTCATGACCAACAGCAGTGTGCTTCCGATCCTCGACCAAACCTTCCAGCAAGTCGGGGTCTCCTACAATAGGGATATCAATGGTGGAAGTATGGTAGGGCTCACAGTTCACCCTGATACCATCGACAGAGAGGCCAATGTTCGTCACGATGCCGCCCGAGCGTATTTTTGGCCTTATGAAAACCGCTCTAATCTCAAAATCATCTCGAATACCTACGCAAACAAGATTGTGTGGGGTGAAGACTCGGGTGGTGATGCGGTGGCTGTTGGGGTCGAGGTCCGAGGAGTCGAGGGAGTGGAAACCATCTACGCCTCGAAAGAAGTTATACTGTCTGCGGGCTCCTTGAAGTCGCCGGCGATTTTGGAACATTCGGGCATCGGAAACTCGGACATTCTCAAAAAGCATGGAATTTCGCTGAAAGTGAACATCTCGTCCATTGGCGAGAATTTACAGGACCAAACCAACAATGGGCTATTCTATGAAGGAAAGGAGTTTTTGCTCGGCCTGCCAACCTTCTCTGCCCTCCCCTCCGCCGAACAAATTTATGGAGACGACTCATCCACCGTTGCTTCTAGGGTGAGCTCAAATCTTGCAGACTACGCAAAAAATGTCTCAATTGCCTCGAAAGGTGCGGTCCAGGAAGCGAATGTGCTAGCTGCTCTCCAGCTGCAGTATGACCTGGTCTTCAAATCCCATGTGCCATTTGCGGAGATTGTCCTCATTCCGATTGGGCACTCGTTCTCCAGCGAATACTGGCCACTTTTGCCGTTTTCAAGGGGCAGCGTGCACATCCAGTCCCCCGATCCGTCGGAAGCTCCCGCGATCAATCCGAACTACTTCATGTTTGCGCCAGACCTGGATGCCCAAGTCGGTGTCGCGCGCTTCATTCGGAAGGCATTTGAAACCTCTCCATTAAATCATTTGGTCGGGGAAGAGTACGCGCCAGGGTTTGAGCATGTGCCGGAGGATGCTTCGGACCCAGTCTGGCAAAGTTGGATCAGGTCAAATTGTGAGTCCCATCGAAACCCAGAAGAAAGATTTTGACGACTAATGCGATCTCAGATCGATCCAACTTCCATCCGGTCGGCACTGTGAGCATGCTATCTCGGGACAAGGGTGGTGCGGTTGGCCCTGACCTGAAAGTTTATGGCACCAAGAATGTGCGAGTTATCGATGCTTCTGTCGTGCCCTTTCAGCTTTGTGGCCACTTAACAAGCACCCTCTATGCCATAGCCGAGAGAGCATCTGACCTGATCAAGAAAAGATACATATTTTAACATCCCGGCGTCCTTGCATGGTAACCTTGGGATGACGCATCAAACGGCCCTGGAGCTCCGAGCACCGAGGAGAAGGATTTGGAAAAGCGACCTCAGGACTTGTAGGGTCAACCCATCACTGTATATAGTCACTGGAAAGAGGGGTTCATGGATAGGTACGAGAAACGATTCAATTAATGCCAGCTATAGATTTGAGTGTTACATCCGGACAGCGTGCAATCTTGTAGATGACAAGAGTAGCAGCAAACTTGAAATGTGCAAAGGTTGAACCTTGGAAAATGCCCAGGTGGGTGCTGAGCTCTTAACAGAATTACTACATCTGCTCGGTGGTTAAAACTTGAAATGATTGAAAATTATTGCGATTTTAGAATCAAGTCTCGTCAATTTCGAGATTGAGGATGATCAATTGGATAAACATCTGGAGTCGACTAGAATAACTATAAGCACGCCATATCACGCACTCCGTACATTCTCTCTTTTCTTTCCCAAAGTGGTAAAAATGAAGGGCTGAGCACGCCATACTGTCTACTAGTGTGTGATTTCGCAAGCCATTACCTTATACCAGAGATCTCACGCCGTAGATTTGCATAGGATTAGCGGGGTAGATGGTAGATGACAACCTAAGAAGGGTTAAGTGTACTTCAAGATATCAAAAACACGGGATGTGGAAAGTAGAATCCACGTCTAGTATAAAGCCGATATAACTATCCCTTTGGACCCGGATCCATCGCATTTTCAAAGCATTTCTCTCACTGATCCGACTTGTTCTGAGAGACAAAGAAAATAAAATGTCATACATCGCACCACCATTGACGCAAGGTGTGGGATATGGGGTCGTCGTGGGTCTGGGTCTGTCTTTTGCGGCTGGTAAGAATCATTGCACTCACCAACTGCACGTTGTTGACACATTCAGTAATGATACTCGTAACCAAGCTGTTGAAATCAACTACAGGAGAGGATAATGCAAAGGTTGAGACGTGAGTACGAGCTTGAATTGACGTTTGAACTGCGGCTGATGCGGTATAGATTTATTGTCGCTGATCGAAAAGTCCGGACTGGGTTGATTGCTTCTGCTGTTGTCTCGGTAAGAGCTGGCGCCAAAAGAATTGGGATTGAATTAAACTTATCGAACTGATGAATAGTCTTGGCTTTGGAGTACAATGTTATTGAGCACCACACTGGTGGCTTACCAGTATGGCATTAGTGGTCCGTTTTGGTATGGCGCTGGATGCTCTCCTATGATCGTTTGTTTTGCATATCTTGGTATTGTATGCAAAAAACGTGTTCCTAATGCCCATACTGTTCTTGAAGTTATCAAGTATCGATACGGTATTGCAGACCGGTTTCAGCAATGGCTCAAACCTACTACCTAATGCTGAGATATAGACTAAGAGGAATTATAGGGACCACTGCACATGTCAGCTTTATCTTTTTAGCTATCGTGAACAACCTCTTCAACACGATCAATATGATTTTAGGTGCTGCAGCTACCATCACCTCTCTGTGGGTCTTATCTCCACTTCCCGGCCTGTCTTAGATCGATTCTCACAATGAACAGAACAGGGATACACATCATGGCTTCAACCTTTCTATTGCCGATTGGGGTCATAATATACACACTGATGGGGGGTATCAAGGCAACGTAAGTGGGATTCGGCAAAATCGCGAATAGAATATTGGAAGGCTGCTGCTAATGGACACCTAATACATAGGTTTTTAACGGACTATATCCATACATTAATCATTTTGATTCTTTGTTGTTATCTAACGACCAAGGCATTGACAAACCCGGAGGTTTCTTCGATTGGAGGGCTGTATGACCTGGTACAGGCAGCCCAGCCTCGCCACATGGTTGATGGGAACCTCGGCGGGTCCCTTCTCACTATGTCATCTCAACAGGGGATCTGCTTCGGAATCATCTTAATGGTCTCAAACTTCGGAGCTGTCATAGTGAGTATACATAGAGAGATCCAATCCTTCGGTTCCATAAGGCCTGCTGACTCGTACCTATCAGATGGATGCTGGATATTTTACCAAAGCATTTGCTGCATCGCCCGAGGCAGTTGTACCTGGATATGTGGTTGGGGGCATATGCTACTTCAGCATTCCGTGGGCACTGGGGACAGTCATGGGGATGACTGCGCTGGGATTGGAGACCAGCAAATCATTTCCTACATTCCCTCGGGTAAATATATATCCCAGATGCTTGACTCTGGACTCCCCGTTCACTCGACTGACCATTTCCAGCAAATGACAAGTGAGGAAGTCACAGGAGGGCTAGCCCTACCATATGGAGCGATGGCAATTGCAGGCAAAGGCGGCGCTGTCGCAACTCTGCTCATGACATTCATGTCCGTGACCTCGACCTTGTCAGCTCAGGTGATTGCCGTCTCCTCAATCATATCTTTTGATGTTTACAAAACGTACTGGAACTACAACGCAAGCGGTGCCAACTTGATTCGATGGAGCCAGATTGGCGTTGTGATGTTTGGGCTCATCGCCGCGGGCCTCACTGCTGTCTTTAACCATATTGGACTTGACATGGGCTGGACGCTATACATGATTGGTAAGTGCGGTTTCAAAAGTTTACTGATATGCGAGTAACCCCGGAATAGGTATCATAGTATGTCCCGGTATGTTCCCTTTGATACTCGCAATTCTATGGAAAAAGCAAAGCCAAGCTGCTGCCATAGCATCAGCCTACCTAGGCATGGCAACCGGTATCGGCATTTGGCTAGGCACCGCGTACAATTTTTACGACGCTATCGATATCACTACAACTGGTGCTACATTACCGTGCATGTATGGCACACTTGGCTCAGCGCTGAGTCCACTTCTATATTCCTTCTTGATTACTATGATCGCCCCACAAAAGTTTGACTGGAAATCGATGAAAGAAAGCCATCTATTTGTTAGTGAGCAGACAGTGAGCCATGCAGCACAGGAAGACAAGGCACCTCAGAACATCGAGAAGCGTTCGATTCGATATGCCCTGTTTTGGGCTATAGCAACATTCTTCGGAATTTGGGTTCTTTGGCCACTGCCAATGTATGCTGCAAAATTCATCATGGGTAAAAAGGTGAGGGCTCTTGGGCGGGAAAAAACCCACCTCGGATGTACAGGAATTGCTAACTGAAATAAGCTGTTTATTGCATGGGTCACAGGTTCCTTGATATGGCTTTGGTCCACTCTAGTCGTGATAGGAATATACCCGCTGTGGAATGGTCGTGATCAGATTGTGTTTATCATCCGGAAATTTGTTACCAGCAAAATATGAGGAGAGCACAACTCTCCAGAAAAGAGCGATGTGAAACCTTGGAAAGTTGTGGAGTGAAGTGACGAAAGATTTCCTCGGATTTCTGGTTTGAGAATCTTACAAGGTTTCTTGAAAGATAAATCACTGCCTGATTGCATACAGCTGTCAGTCTATGCTTTTGACAGGATCTGAAACATGCGAGAAACCAGGTAGAAGGATCCATGGATGTATATAGCAACAGTTCAAATGAGATAACTCTAACCTCCTACCCCTGAAGAAATGAATTGACCCATCACCCAAAAACGAGTGGTTCTTGAGCAACAACAACCAAGCCTTGAATCAAAGAACAATCCATGGATCTAATGTGGCCACATATGATCGAGCAAGCAAAACATAGTACTTCCTTACAGTATATACGCCAAGTTAGAAAAGCAACAAGCAAACAAATGACAAACAAACATTAAACACACTCCAGGGCTAGGCACAAAAGCTTCAGCAGATAAGTCGGGTATCTGAGCCACATATAGGGCCCATCAACAACGCCTCCACAATCTCGCCCTTGATTCCAACCCCTCGGCCTGCTTGAAGAATGACCATAGCATTGGGATGGATACCGCTACTGACAAGGGAGCCTCGCACATCCACGGGCCCAACACTAATACTAGTGGCATACAATCTGGCATCGGACCGAGAACCGGTAACCACTGCGAGATGGTACTCGGTGTGCATAGCATCGAGAGGAAAGTGATGTGTAAGAACAACAGCAACACGGGGCAAGCCTAGTTGGGTCATCGAAGGCTTAGCGACCGCAGCGCGAGAACTCTCACCCGAGCCGCTGAGCTTCTGCAAGGAAGGCAGAACTAAGAGGTTGAGCCCAACTAGCGCTGACTTCGAGTCACAAGAGAGCAAAAATAGAAGCTTTGATTTACGTCCCTTTGATGTAGATTCGGCGTTCACGGGTACGGTCGCAAAGCTGGTCTGACTGCCAGGTTTCATGGAGACACGCCTGAAATGGACAGTGCCACCTAGGCACCCAACAGTGGAATTGAGATCTAGCTCAGCTTTAGGAGCATGATTGATGATGAGCACCACATCTGTGCTGACACTGAGGTGATGCTCCAGGTTCCCATCCGGTGTACTGTGAGTGACACCGAGATCCACAGTGTCGAAGCCCCATGAAGTCAAACACGATGAAATTGCCAAGTAGTTGTCCCTCTGAATTTGGTTGCGATGATTCAAACCTCCGCCATTCACACTGAGTATACCCACGCGAGGTTTTTCAAATACCTTTACTGTGTGAATTCCCGCCTTCGCGAGTAGGCCTACAGCCCCACTGGCAACTGAAAGAGACTCCCCACAAGCAACGATTTGGTAACCAAGAGGGATGTGGCTCCCAGGCTCCTGCACATTTTGGCCAACAAGGATCTTATCGTTTAGGAACTGAACGCTTTGTTTTCCAGAACGATCAAGTGCTGTATCTTCAAGATCAACTACAGCGTTGGCGTTAGAAGGAATTGGTGCTCCAGAAGTCACCTTAGCAATTCTTCCTAGTTGCAGGGGCTTTGACCCTGAATTGATGCCAGCGTTGATAACGGATGTTCCCGGAAAGACTCCCTTCACGGGACTGCCTTCTTCCACAACAACTGCATAGCCATCCACGGCACTGCATCGCAACGTCGGTACCATTGTGGCGGCGTGGACGTCTTCGGCAATGACTGAGCCGATGATTGATGCGCTCACTGGCTTGTCGATTGCAACAGGGGAGGTGATGTGACTGCTGATTATGCGAAGAGCTTCCTGCACAGATATCATGGTGCGAGGGCAAGTCGAATGTCTCTGAGTAGAAGTGATAGTATGGACCGGGACACTGTGAGCATGGTTTGCATAGTGATGGTGTCTTGCTTGGGACTGCTGTTGACATTGAGGCTGAGACTGGGATGCGCGCTGAGTAGCAGTGAAACAAGAGTCTCCCCGCAGATTTTCCATATCGTCAAAGTCCATGATAATAGAGATAGAGCCAATGGCAGACATTTTTGCTTGGAGTGGTATTCGCAGACTGGCGTTCGGGTGAGTTACAAGGCAAGTGACCGAGTATGATATGGAAATGAGTCAATGTCTTGAACTGTCAAGGAATTTGAGCAACAATCGGGCCGTCTCAGTCCTTGGAATGTTTTGATTGCCTCTGGATCCGCGAAGCCCCCGAAGAACCGGACCTCGGAAAACAGACGAGGTGGGCCCTAAGCGACCTGCCCAAGTCGCCCCCAAGCGAACAACGCAGGAGATCGGAATGTCTTCAAAAAGGGAAGGTAGGGGGAGGGGGTCGAAAATAACGTTAATGATGATATTTTCGAAGCCGACGTATTGCAGGCTGCAAGGTCAAGTCTACTCTGCTTTCAGAACCAGAGACTCCTGATGGTATCATATGAAAGTTCGCTCTTGGGTCCAATTGGTGATATCAAGACCACTGCTCGATTAATGACCAGCCACTTCGCTTAGTTGTCATCTGTCGGTGGTTTGCTATCCCGCGAGCTTGGAATTTTGGACATAGGCCAGCTTAGGTCGGCGAGAAATCATTCCAAGATTTTCCTTTGCTCCTCTTGAATCAATGCTTCTTGGGTTGTTAGTATACTTTCATTATGATCTTGTAGATGAAATTCCTTGCTCAGTAGCCATTTTCCCTGGTCACCATGCAAAGGTCCTTGTTCCAGGTTGAAGATGATATTGTCAAGAGTGATGATCCCACGAGAAATTCCCCAGACCCAGGATCAATGATACTTGCGAATCTATAGACAAAAGATTGAAGCCGATTAAAAAAAAAAAAAAAGAAAAAACTCCGGTCTTTTTTCAGCGAAAGGCTAGGAAGTGGGCCTGGAGGAAAGTGGATCGTCCGGGGGAGAGGCGGGGTAAAGACGTAAGCGAGAAGACTATGAGGCGGTCCTCGAGACGAAACCCCTTTTCACACATCATGAATGTTAGTAACGCACGTCAAAAGTCAACGACAGAGGGCAGCGCCACAGGCAGGGCGCAACGGCGCGTCAGACCTTCACGGGCGCGGGGGTTGAGAACTAGGACAGGATGGTATGTGGAATTTTTAGTTCACATCAATGACCGAGTACCGCCTGAGCGAAAATTAACATCGCTAACATATCGCAGCCTGACCTGCAGGGAGCGACGTGTGAAATGTGATGACGGCAAGCCTACGTGTTTGCGTTGCTCCAAGTCTGACCGAGTTTGTCGGTATGCTCCAAGCTCGAGGCAGAACTTGCAGCAGAATTGTGCCCAGGAGGTTGATCAATCAACCGTGACGGAAATTGTGACTGGTGATGAACTCAACGTAGTGCAATCAAATCCAAGGGAGAGCGGGTGTGAGGGGGTGTGCGCTTGGGTAAACGGGGCCGATCCAAGTTCCGCCCGGAATTCCTTGTCAAGCCCACAGACACAACGGGCAAACGTGGGAGCACCACCTTACCTTGAGGTAACTTCCTCAGCTCTTGTTGAACATGGTCGGACTCAACCGAGCGATCTAATTGAGGGCCTTCCGGGTGACTGTTCGAACGAGCTCAATGAGCAGAGCATGCCAAGTTTTGACTCGGCTCTCTCAAATTCTCCACTTTCGCTGAGCCAGGCTTCTCTGCTCAACACATCGCCATTTGAGTGGTATGATCTGTTAGCGCGGGATGCTATTCACCACATTCAAAGACAGAGCGAAACTTCAACCAGTGATACAAGATGGAAGTTCCCTGAGATTGCTCTCTCTCGTCGACAGTCCCCAGCCCCAGAGTGCCCAGATGCTCAGCCCGGGCATGTCTGGAAACACCGCGAGCAACACCGGCTCTCTCGAGAAATTCCAAATCAGCACACAGAATCGCGTCTTCCGGATCATTGCCAGCTATCTCGAATATGGAACACAGCAAGTCGGATAGAACTATCTGCAACCGATCTGAAGTTTTTCCGATACTACACCGAAGTTGTTGCGCCAATCCTTGACTTGTTTGACACAGGTAAGCACTTTAGTAATGTTGTACCTCATCTCGCATTGCAGAACACCGGGCTTTTGAAGTCGATCCTGGCAGTTGGGGCAAAACATATGTCCCTTGCTACTTCGGCCGCACCGGAGGACAAGGCCTCGGGTGGTGATACCGCCCCCGACGATAACAGTCCGCTATCATACACAGCAGCTGGATTCTCATCAGAACCAGAGATAACCGCAAGACCCATGGCTACGCAATATTATTACGAAACACTTCAGTATCTATCGCAAACATTGCTTTATCCCTCTTACGCCGACTCTCATGAGATATTGGCCACAGCCAGCATGATAAGCACGTACGAGATGTTCGACACTGACAGCGCCCCAAACAGTGGGGTCTGGGAACAGCATCTTAGAGGATCTTTCTGGATACAGAGATCTCAAGACAATGATGGCGAGTCCGTTGATGGGTTGAGGCAGGCTGTGTGGTGGGCTTGGCTCAGACAGGACATTTGGGCGGCCTTTCAGGCTGGGAGACCCACTATCACCATCTGGAGCGCCCGAAAGCCCCTTGAAGCGCTGAACTCGGACGAACTTGCAACAAGAATTGTCTACATTTGTGGCAAGTGCGTTAAATATGCATCTGGTGCAACGCTTTCAGACCAGGATCCTAGGGAGAGAATCAACAACGGCGATCGGCTTCTCCACACACTTGACGAGTGGTATCATGTGCTCCCATCTTCGTACCAACCAGTCGCTATTACAAAGGATGAAAAGTCTACTGCTATGTTCCCATCCATCTGGATCCACCCACCAAATCATGCGGGTGCAATGCAGATGTATCACTTTGCCAGAGCAATTGTTTTGCTGAATCAACCTACCTTGGGAGGACTGAATGCTTACATGCAGCGCGAGAAAGAGCTCACCGAAAGCGTGAAAATGGTCTGTGGTATCGCCAATTCCTGCCAAAGTCACGAGCCGGCGAAAGCGTTTGTCAACGTCCAGGCCTTATTTGGAGGTAAGAGAGTCACAAACTTGATTTGGGCTAACTTACTGACAAATTCTGAGTCGGTCAATTTGTTCGATCATCTGAAGTACGTGATGAGCTTCTCCGTATTCTGAATGAAATGTTGAAGATCAGCAAATTCCCCGCTAGAGAAGTTGTTGCTCGACTGAAAAAAGTTTGGCAGGAGTAATGTTGGTCGAATACAACGAATATTGGCTACAGACCGGCTCTCACTTTTCTGATATCCATAGGAATGATATTCTTATACCCCTTTACAATGATTGACATTTGGACACTGCACTAGCATAGGCGTTCAAGGGATCAAAAGTTAAATTGGAAATGAGTCGGTGGCTGCTATACTCTAACATTCCCAAACAATGTGGGAAGCATTGGGCGTATCGTTCTCTTCATGTATTGTAATAAACGGAGATTGCTACCACGCACCAACAATACCAGCCACTGGGATATCAATACCGGTCGTGTAAGACGCACCATCAGAAAGTAGGTATACGTAAGCTCCGCCGAGCTCCTTGGGGTCAGCTAACCTGGGCATGCCGCCGTAGTATTGCATTTTGAGATCCCAGTCTGGAGCTTGATCAACAAAGTACGTCATGGCAGTTTTAATGAAGCCAGGTGAGATTGAGTTGACGCGGATGCCATGCTTTGCCCACTCCATGGCAAGTGTATGCGTCATATTCCGCACTGCGCCCTTTGTAGCCCCATAGGGAGCCGAAGGCGCGGCGCGGTTGGGTCGGTAGGACGTCATGGATGCAGTGAAAACGATGGATCCTTTGATACCCAGATCAATAAACCGACGGGCCACCGTAGTAGCGCAGAAGTAGGCGCCAAATACATTGAGATTAAACAATTGGTCCAGCTGGGCGCGTGTGAAGTCCAAAGCGGGTTGGTGCTTCGTCATTCCAGCATTTGCGATAAACCCGTGTATAGCACCTTGCGTGGCGATCACAGCATCGATTGCAGAGTTGACGCTGTCTTCAGAGGTCACATCACAGTGGACATAGTGCAGTCGCTTGACATGGGCCTTTTGCAGAGCAGCAAACTCCTCACCGGGTTCGAAGACATCCAGACTGAAAATGGCTGCCGCATCGTTGGCTAAACAGACCTCTGCAAGGGCTAGGCCAATGCCTCTGTTGGCACCGGTAATGGCAATGACCTTGCCCCGTAGTGTGATTTTCCAGTCATGATGTGGGCCTGGCTGAGTGTCCAGGACCGTGGGGGGCGCATTTGTGGTTGTTTGCTGTCCTGCAGTCGCCCCGCTGTGGTCGCCGTTGTTGTTGACGATCGGAGTGTTGGGAATACTTGGAGGCATGGCGAGGAATGTACTTAAAAAGTCAGGAATCAAAAGAGGTGGGTGGGACCTAGAACTGGGTATGCGGTCCGACTTTTAAATACCGTCATGGTTCCAAAATCCGCGACATCGAAGAGAGGTGGCTTAAGGAGTTGGGGAGTCGTGTTAGCTTCGCCAAATGGCAATCCGAGAATAGCGGCTTTGCGAAATTACCGGACCCCGCATGTTGGGAACGAGTGCGGTGGTAACAATTCTCTCAGTGGTCGAGGCGAGCTCGATTCAACGGAGGTTGTGTAGTTGGGGACTGAAATGTTCAATCGGGCCTCGTACCGAGGGCCATCTTGGCGAGTCATGCGGAGATGCCAAGGCCGCCATTAGCGAGTCACGGCCCCGACCTCTAACAGGGCTTCTAGTGAGTTTGAACTCATCTCCGGAGCACTCAAATCATAACCTTCACTACCTGACAGAACCCAGCTCCACTGCTTTCCAGCTATATATCGTCACATTTCCAGTTTCTGACACAAGCCCCGGGGTCCCTGTTTTATGAGCATTCTAAGCGGTATGCATTGATTGGAAGTTTGCACGTTCCGTCTCGCCATAGTCAATTTGTGGAGTAATCAAATCGAAATGATATCTTTAGGTACAATTCATCGAGTAGTAATCAGATACAATTCAAAAAGACCGGCCGCTGTGGCTGGGCTCAGGCAGTTTCTCATCTTTAAAATGTGGCCTCTGATTCTGTCCACGGATCAGGCGCAACTTGTGCCATGATAAATATTGCCCAGGTGTTCGCTCAGTGCCGTCAAAAGTCCTCCAGGAAGCTACTTCCAACCTTGGAAATGAGTGAACGTCATGCTTACTATACCAAGTTGTTGGGGATACTCCAGGGCTTCCCAATGTCATACGTTGTTTGTATCAATATACACCAGTTGCAGGTGGACATGCATATTCGACCCAGGATGCGTTTCATTGTATCATATTCTACATTGCTCATAGATGACATCATACCTCTAGATCGCTGTGTCGCAATAAGCCCGGTAAGAACTACGCAATTATTGGAATGTTCGAGGTTCGGGTTTGCTTTCGGCTCCATGATCATCAAAACGAAGGCTGCTGACAATAAGGTACCATCACTGGATGATACCAGATTTCAAGCGCCGACGAAGCCAAATGTGCAAGAACAGAAACACAATCACACCAACTGCTAGCATTGCGGAAATGACAGAGAATCCCATGATGTACTTTGGACTATCGTCTGCCGGGAACAGGTACTGCACGGTCTCCGTCAGTTTGGTGGGTCAATAGATGTAAATGGTAAGTAAAACACGTACCGAGCCATAAATTTGGGCCAAATTGCCCAGTGCATTCACCATCGCTAAAGCAACACCGCGAGCCTGTGGATGCATACCAGAGAATGCAGAGGAGGCATAAGCCAGGGTTCCTCCGTTGGTGGACCAAAGACCGGCTGCTATAAGGACAAGAAGCACGTATCGAGCAGTGAAGTTATATATTGTGCAGACAAGAATTGAACAGATTAGTGAAAATGCTAGCCAGCCGGCGATTATGAGGCCACGCCATGTGGGAACTTTGTCACCGTAGTAGGAGGTAATGCCAGTGGCGAGGAAGGCCACCCCGTAAATTGGGACAGTCAGCAGGTTGATTCTTTTGGTGGACGCCTGTCCAAAAAGCCCCCCCCACGAGTGTGGGATAGAAATATGTCAAAGTGCTTGAGCCGACAATGACCTAGAGATAATTTGTAAGCTGATGATACGAGGACGTAGCTCATGGAAGAAACAGGCGGTTAATCGGGCGAGGTATGAACGAACCATATAACCAATGACAAAGGTCCAGGTCCGCAGGTCTTGACAGGCCACTTTACAAGCACCTAAATTACTCAGGTGCCCATTGTCTGCAGAAGTAGCGGTCACATTCTCCCGTACTAGACGTGCCACAGCTATCTGTCGCTCGCGATCAGAGAGCCGTTTCGTAGTCGTGGGGAAATCCGGCAGAATAAAGATGGAAATGATTGCGAAGCCGATGGTGATAACACCTTCAATGATGAAAAGCCACCGCCAGCCTCGAATACCATGAACGCCCTCGAGGCCATCAACAATGCCGGCGGCAATCAGACCCCCAAATGCACCCGATAAAACGGCTGCTGAGATAAACACACCAAACCTTTTCGACTGTTCGGTTTGTTTGTACCACGAGGAAATGAGAAGAAGAACACCGGGGGCAAATCCGGCCTCGATACATCCCAAAATTGTCCTCAGAATCACAAGATGGGCAAAGCTTTTAACGACCGCCATGACACAGGTCAATGCACCCCAGAGGATCATGATCGAGGGAAGGAAGATGGAAGGTCGTGATCGGCCCAAAACAAGACTATTGAGAAGGTATTGTTAATGACCTCCACTTTGACGTAGCTTGTGACTGAAAGGGTAAAGATACTTGCTGGGAACCTCCAACAGGACATATCCAACAAAGAAGACAACCAGGGCAATGGAATATTGATTCGATGTCAGTCTGAGGTCTACCTCCATGCCAGAAATCTTCGCGTTTCCGATACTAAATGCATAAGGTCATTATCACTTCACAGCCATAACATCCAAACCCCTTCCAGGGGCACGGTCCCACTTACTTGGTTCTGTCCAGATAGGAGAGGAGGTACATAATCCAGATGGTAGGTAAGAGCGTAAGATCAATCTTTTTCACCAATGCCCTTTCCTCCTCAGGCGTGAAAGTGACTGCATCAATGACATCGACATTCTCAATTTGATGAGACGAAGTTTCCTTAGCCTGTTGCTCAACGTCGATAGGATCCATGATGGATTCCAAAGATTGGGGGTTGAGTCAGTATTTCCAGGGGTTGTAAGATGCGGCGGCTTCGGGAATTGGCTTTTTTCGAGAGTACCCAGGTGTTTATACTCCATCACCATTCACCACGTTCGGATGAAAGATCATCTTACTATCCGGAGAAGACTACGCCGCCCGGGGTTCGACCGCGCCAGTCGTTTGACGTATCGACGCAATGGTTGTACCCCGTAATCCAAGGGCAGCCAGGGCATCTGCACCCCGACCAATCATTCCGCGCGCCACTTGCCGCTCCCCGCAATCCGAGGATATTCGGGTGATTGGCCCGAGGCCATCGCATCGAGCCCAGCTGCGGAGTCTTTCGTCAGCGCCAATCACATCTGTAGTGTGACTTTTGAAAAACTTCCCGGGGCAATGATGATGGTCCTTTTGAAGGTACCGTGTGATGGGTCTGCGCTTCAGAGAAGATTGGGGTGGAAATGAGCTCGTGGTATATGTCATTAAAGGCCATTCCGACGTTTTAGCAGGAGAAATGTAAATGACAGTGTATACGGAGTAGGAAATGTTGCAATGGTACGGAGTATGGGCAGTGGAAGATGCATGAATGGGCATGTTTCTGCCCAGACGCGCTCTTAGGCGGAGCCCCTTTTGTAGCCCAGCAACCTGAAAACTTCGGATCGTTTGGCAATAAGGTATGCACTTCCCAGAATACACGAGGAATATCCCCAAGTGGAAGTAACGACCAGGTACTCCGTACAGGCGGAAATTAATGAATCGCAGAAATAACGCGTGGTACCCTGAAAGTAACGGTGCCGCGCGGTTACGCGTGAACGTGTACGCAATACCTGCACACTGCCTGTGATTGCACTCTCGGGGTCTCTCCACCGGCATTCCACCCGCGCAATTCATAGCAAAGCCACACCCACTTATCTTTAACTCTCGTGACACTTTAAGTGCAGTTTTGTTTTTGGGCTGTACCCGTACCCAGACCGGAAACTCGCCTCTACAACACCACGTTGGGATCAAACTTCGTCAAACAATGGCGAGTGGACACTGGAGACTCTCAGCCGAACTACTCCGTACAGCCCTGGCTTCTCTGGTTCCAGGTCGCAGCACCCACAAAACCGGCAAAAACGATCAACGTCATTACTGGCAGCAGTGGTCCAGTGGAGAAGCATCAGCTACCCCCGGCTTTCGTGCCAGGAGCCACTGGTGTTAGGAGAGTGGGGGTTTAGCAATAAAGTTGCCGTGTGGCCCGTGTCGCATGGGCCTGGGTACAATGTCGGCATTGTCACTGTGCAGCAGAGACATCCCATAGAATTGGGACTCGTGTCGAGCACCATCGCGGGATGGGAGAGCTTGATTTCGTTACGAAACGCCCGGTTTTTCAATAACGCGGGGAAATTTTCCATTCTACTTTCCTTGCGATTGCGTCAAAGTCCAGAGGGGGAAATTAGTATACGGTCACCTTGGCTGTCGTCGAACCATTCGGATTCGTACTCGGGGGTACTTCGTTGGGACTTGCGGCGGGTTGTCGAAGCGAGCACCGCCGGCCTCGAAGCGAAAGGGCCGCCCCACCAACAGCCAGGGCCTAGGAAGCTACCTGGAGACTACTCACACTTGAGGCAAGATCACCTCTATGTGTCAAATCCAATCCTCTACCGAATACATGTTGATTCGACCTCGCCTCGATCCCAAGTTGATCTCGAACATCCACCACCTCAGATTTCCATCGTGCATTGATACTCAATATGGGCTTCAATTCGCAGGAATCAAGTATAAGAGCCATCCGCCAGTTCGAGTCCTAAAGTGAGGTATTCATTGCCCATATTCACCAAGTGCGACACGACTCCCATCATGGCACCTGCTCTAGAATTACTCGAAACGACCATTCCAAGTGTGCCGACTAAGACCGTGCCTTACATCCCCAATGGGGCGATCCCAAGCAATGAGCTCGGTTTACAGAGCGAAGAAACACACAAGCGGGTGATGTGTGTCTTTCGGGCGTTTATTGCTGACCTATGTCAGCAGTTCGGCGAGGGCCACGCTGGGTATTTGGCCTATTCTTTTTGGTGATAAACAGGCTCTATTGCGCAGTGCTGACTGGACTATTCAGATCTCCAATGGGAATGGCAGCTATTGGTATTTCGCTGTATAAGTATGTGATGAAATATTCTCCGAAGAATTGCAACTACTTCAACCGCGATCGTTTTGTTCTTTCGAATGGTAAGCTTTCAATCACTGCAACTAAGCTCTTTTTTCAATTGGTAGATCAGAAGACTGATCTCAGACCGTGACAGGCCATGCCTGCCTGTGGCAGTATACTTTCATGCATCTTGTAGGCGTGGAGAGTATGACACTGGACCAGCTCAAGTCTTATCACTCGGCAAAACTTGATTCGCTCTGCCCTGGCCATCCCGAAATTGAAAACGAGGGCGTGGAAGTTACCACTGGGCCTCTAGGCCAAGGACTCGCTAATGCAGTTGGCCTCGCAATGGCCAGCAAGAACCTTGCCGCCACATACAACAAGCCCGGCCACGAAGTGGTGAACAACATGACGTGGTGTATGGTCGGCGACGCCTGTCTTCAAGAGGGCGTCGGATTGGAAGCGCTCTCCCTAGCTGGGCACTGGAAGCTCAACAATCTATGTGTCATCTTTGATAATAACTCTGTAACATGTGATGGAACAGCAGACATTGCCAACACCGAGGACATCAACATGAAGATGCGAGCTACCGGATTCAATGTGGTAGATGTGTGCAATGGAGACACAGATGTTCCTGGTAAGTGACATGAGCAATCCAGCACAGTGGGCCGGACTACACTAATATAGTACAGCGGTCACGGCTGCCCTCATTGCCGCTCGATTGAGTGATAAACCCACATTCCTCAATATACGCACTGTGATTGGATTTGGGGCCCACAATGCGGGTACAGCCGAAGTTCATGGAGCTGCTCTCGGGGTCGAGGAAGTGGCCAATCTCAAGAGATCATTTGGTCTCGACCCTAGCAAGCATTTCAACATCCCACAGGATGTCTATGACTTCTTCGGCGATGTGCCCGGTCGTGGTAATACCCATGAAGCGGAATGGCAAGCCACTTTGGCAAAATACCGGGTGGAATATCCACTTTCAGCGGCCGAATTTGCACTTCGTGTTGCCGGACGGATGCCAGATGACTGGACAAAACTGATTCCCCGCAAGGAAGACCAGCCTTCCACAGCGACTGCATCAAGAAAGTCTGCAGGAGTAGTTACCAGCGTCCTTGCTCAAAACCTAAATGCATTCTTAGTTGGCACGGCAGACCTCACTCCTTCCTGCAATGTCGCCTACAAGAACAAGGTTGACTTTCAGTCTGTGAGTAAATGATTCTTTGTTTCCCCCGCCATGTACGCCTTGTGTTCAATTACTGATCTACACAGCCTGACCTTGAAACATCGTGTGGCCTGAACGGAAATTATAGTGGACGATACATTCACTATGGTATTCGCGAGCACGCCATGTGCGCTATCACCAACGGGCTATCCGCTTTTAACAAGGGTACATTCATCCCGATGACAAGCACATACTTTGTCTTCCACCTATATGCGGCGGCAGCTGTACGTATGGCTGCACTCCAAGGTCTCCAGCAGATTCACATCGCTACCCACGACAGCATTGGCGTTGGTGAGAATGGCCCTACTCACCAGCCAATCGCTGTTGCAGCCCTCTACCGTGCCATGCCTAATCTTCTTTACATTCGCCCATGTGATGCCGAGGAAGTCGCCGGCGCGTATATTGCCGCTATCCGGGCCACCGAGACACCTACAGTCATCTCGCTTTCTCGTCAAGGATTGACCCAATATCCCCAGAATTCGTCTCGCGAGGGCGCAATGAAAGGTGGATATGTATTCACAGCGAGTGACGGAGACGAGTTCGACGTCAGTTTGATCGGGGTCGGCTCCGAGATGGTATTTGCAATGCAGACCCGAGAATTACTTCTTGAAGCATATGGAATCCGGGCGCGAGTTCTTTCTTTCCCTTGCACCAGGTTATTTGAGCAACAATCTCGAGACTACAAGCTGTCCGTTTTGAGGCCACGAGCTGAGAAACCCACTGTTGTCATCGAGGCGTATCCCCCAACGGATGGGAGCGCTACTCAGACGCCTCCGTGTCTATGGCCAGCTTTGGGAAAAGCCTTCCTTCCAATGAAGTCTATGAGAATTTCGGATTTTCGGCGGGGAAGATTGCAACTAAAGTCAGAGACCTAGTCGAAGAAGTCAGACAAGACGGCATTGGGGTTTTGAGGGGCGATTTCAGGGACTTCAACGGCCCTCCCCAAATTGGACATTGCCATTAAGTGAATCATGTGCGATGATGATGCAACCTTAGAAACGCTTTATATGTAGTGCATGCGCAGCCAGATCAACGTTCCAAATTTGCTTACTGCTCCTGCCCAGGTGAGGTTAATTTTTTTCAAAGTTTTGATGACTCCTCGGCTAGGTAGTGAAATGGGAAGAGCGCGCTGGCGTTCTGACATCGCAGAAAAGATGCGGGAGTGCTCAGTGCTCGACGGGGATCATGGGGAGCTAAGCAATCCCCCTGCGCAACCGGAATAGGAAATAGATGCTGTTTTTAAGAGATGCGTAGAATGATTGAATTGCTCAATTATGCGCTCCCGAGCTAAACCTGCCAAAACTAGCCACTGTGGCGCACAAGAGATGTGGCGCGGTTTCCCAATTACAGTCTGTACTGATCATAATATTGAAGTTGTCTCTATATGACCTCGCAAGTCGCTTTAAATCGATGTATTTCCTGAGATCAAAGTTATTGTTTCGAGGTAACCTTGGAACCTTAGAATGCCCGGGCGTGATGCGTTTTTTTGGGCTGCATACTTGATTGATTCAACCCTCTGGCAGTCTGCTTGTGTTTTCCCTTTCCATTCTCCTTTCACAAAGTGTGGTCATGAGACGAATTGAGGGGAACTTAGTTGACGCTTCTCAACAAATCTTACTGTCCGCGCATGCACCTGGACAAGGAATTCTTGAATCTTAGGCTATCGCAAATGAGGATCATTTTTCCAAGATACCAACCAATTTTGTCCTTGGTGCTGAGTTGAGGCTTCCTACAGTCGGTTCTTCCAGCGATGAAAGGTCTGCTGTTGACAAGACACCAGCTGTCTGCACGTCTCGTTCCAAGGTTATCTTGAGGGATGTGTGGTCTACCTACTCTAAAAAAAAGACAAAAAAAAACGTTTGAAGAGTGTTGGCCCCCAAAACAAGCATTGCTGAGGATCGCGTGATGACGCCATCCATGGACACCTACAACTTTTGGCCCCGTCGTGTCTCAAGTATAATATTACACGTGGGGGCCGAAGGAATTCGGGATCTCATGAGCAGCATCGAACTTCAAATCGGCGAGTTCTGTTCAGTGACGGATGCCTTATTTTAAGCCCAGTATTTCTCATTTTTCTGGTAAACAGGGATTTGCAATATGCCAAACCCCGAATTTTCATTCCGGTCTGACTAGTCGGCCCCCAATATGCATCAAGAGCCATTAGACCCTGAAGGTGAACGTTATGGCAAGGTAGTGATGTTCCCGATACAAGCGTGTGTGACGTAAAACTCAACAGTACCCTTTCTTCAATATGTTTTCTGCCTTCTGGTGTGAATATGTGTTTTGAAGGTCCAAGGATTAAGGAATGTGAGATCAAATATTCCACACGTTGTGTATCATCTATCAGCAATTGAGTGATATGCCAGCACATCTTGAGAATAGATTAGGCATCGCCCTCGATGAAGGGGCTTGAATGCAGATATGGACAGTAGGTTGGAGATCAGGGACTCGGGCTCCACTGTGAGCTGAATCCACTCTTCGGGGACCTTACATCAAGTATTCCGTACTCCGTACTCCGTACAGGTATGTACTGCTGCATCGATCTTTATTTGGATATCCAGTTGTGCCAGGAAAGTGGGGCTCTGCAGTAGTAGTGGCGCCTCGACATGTACATATGTATACATACTTGCACCTCACTCGCAGATTGTGATGCGCAGGAATACATAGGAGATACTATCTGTATCATCATATAGTAGATATTATTTTTCGATTATGTGGGCTTATATTGTCTCATCTATTTCTGATAAGTTGGGCTTAATTAATGCCCCAAGAGGGAAGAGCTGGGTCAGGAATGCCTGTAGACATTTTATGCCCGAGAGCCTTTCATTCCAGCAGTTCTAATCTACTATGTAAATGTTGGAGGTTGAAAGCCAACGTCCTCTAGTATAGGCGTTGCAGGCTAGACTCCTATAGGAAGTGATGTACATACAGTATGATAAGGGACACAGAAAAGATCTGCGCTCTGAGAACAGATATTCACAGTTTTCGCTTTTCGCCCCCAAATCATACGGTGGTATCAAAAGGGTTCACATTTCATCCAGCCAAGAGGAACAGAAACAACTTGAAATGCAGACTTCAACCAAACTGTGATCCACTTGAACATTAGGGTGGGGGATCTATGATAAGGGATTATTTTTCAAACACTATTGATGACTTAGAGTCTGTAACCAGCATGTACTCTTGATATACTAGATCGAAAATTTAATTCCACAGATAGGATGTAGTTCGACGTATGTAAGTTAGACGATGTGTGATGATATAGAGTCTGATGTGGATCACTAGATAGAACTATCAATACGAATTATATACCTCGGTATCTGGTAGTCACTTCCACAAATGCCTGGTTGTTTGACTAGCACGCTCAAGCAGCACCCAGGAAGGGAGCCACAAGGAAGAATAAAACAAGGATTCAAAGTCAGAGCCGGACCACGGAGCACACAGGCAAGGCATATAGCTATAGATAGATGCGCAGGTGGACCTCCGTAAATCTTACCTACCCAGGTCTTCAATGTGGGGGCAGAAAGAACGCAGTCCTGTCAAAACACCCGTGGACTATCCCGGTATAGGGTCCCAACCGGTTTTGGATATTTCTAATAGTACAGCAAGTTGTTCTGTACAAACGCCCACTCGGTATCGGGAAGTCACCCTGAATCGAGCTACGGCCCCTAATAGAATGTAAAATGCCTCTAAACTATCGGATTTGGACCCCAAATCACATGCTACATATCTACCAAATGGGGAATATGTCTATTCACCAGCTCACTCCCAGAGGACAGACATATAAAATAGATGTCCGTTCCATGAACTCATTAAACATACACCAAGGAAAGACTAGATTCAAATCAGACTTGCCTCTTCTGCCTTCTTGCTTTCGAACTTGCATTTTCATCCCCACCCGTATGAAACCTACCTTACTTTCACCTCTTTGGTAATACTGATAAGAAGCAGCTGTCATTCGATACCCAAGGAAGCGAAAGCTTTACCGATATCGCAATCATGTTCAAGAACATATCGGATCAGTTTGGATCTGTTCTCGTCACCCTACTATCTTTACAGAGTGTCTGCTCAGCACTTGCAGTTGAAACCAATCTGACTCTGAACGAAACCCACACAAGTGAAGAGCAAGGGCTAGCTGCCCGCACAAGCGATGATTATACTATCGTGCATAAATGGAACGGCGGTGACGTCATCGGACCGGCTACAGGAGTTGGCCTTGTGATCACTGGAGCCGTTGGCATCATTGTCAGTTGGTACAATAACCGGCCGGACCCTCAGAAGATTTGTGGAAAGTCAGCAATTATCGACGTCTCGGAGGACGGAATTGACTACGAGTATTATGTGTACTCCTATACAACCGGCGACAACTGCGACAGCACCCAGCGAACAAAGACAATCACTAAGAAGCTCTCCGACGCGATGAATGATTTGAACTCCCAAGGAGCATCTGCAGTGTGCCTTGATCTTGATCACCACGGTACATGGCATGGAGTCCTCGGCTTAGCGACCAAATCCTCCGGAAAGAACCCCCAAACGGCGTGTGATGGCCATCATGCAGGCGCCAGAAGCGGCAGTGTTGGGTTTCTTGAACCAGACGGAAACATCACTGCTCAAATCGATGGAAAAAATACCACGAGGAGGAATGAAAACGGACTTGTGAAAAGGACCTCAATTTCCGTCTCCGAGTCTCAAGTGAAGTCTGGAAGCACAAAATTCAGCCCCCCGAAAAATCCCAGGGAATCATTGCCGAGATTTCGGGCAAAATTTATTCGCTCAGCAAGGATGCAAGCTGCGCTGGAATCTCTGGTACCATGTCTGATTCCAATGGAGTGAGCATTACCTACTACTACTACGCTTCGGGGAGAAATTGCGACACCACCGCTGAGATCCAGACAATTGTGCATGCTCTGGATGACGCGTGGAATGGCCTGGGAGGCACTTCGGCCCTATGCATGACAATGAGACATGGACACGGCACATGGCGCGGACACCTGGGTGTTTCTGCAATGCAGGGTGACTTCCCTGCCACGCAGCTGTGTTAGATGATTGGATTTAGCCCAGACCCGTGCGCGAGCCTCGAGGTTTTTCTATCGCCCAACACACCGTTATGTGATTCCAGGCAATTGTGAGGAGTCAATCATCAAGTAAATTATCAATGCTAATTCTGGCAATGAACATCGTATGTCAGCGGTTTTGGTGAGGTAATGGGTGCCTAGGGGGCCCGGTCCCCACAGTTGGTCCTGTGTATCCATGTATCTAATTCTGGGTGGCTGTCTCCTCGCCCGTCCCGTCTCTTGCCAGTTTCTCTCCAACTCCCGTGCATGAAACACACATCTTCCAATCTTGATTCCATACTCTATTATAGCCGTTGATTGGGTATTGCATTTTACCAAACAAATACAACTTTGATATTGATTGGGAGGTCAGACGACCCCCTGGCTAGATAGCTAGCTCTCCCTCTCTCCCTCTCTCCTTATGTTCTTTCTTTTCCCCGGGCTGGTCTTTATACTTTGACAGCCAGAATCTGCTAATTTGAAGCAATTTGTGCTTCTCCTACGTAGATCAGCCTGCTATCAACATTATCCATCGAGTATTGTTGCACTTTTGACAAGGGATCTGGTTATTCTATCAATATATGTTCAAGACTAAATATATTGAGCTCTACAGTAGTCAATCCTTCAGATTATGGAGTTTGTTTGACACTCCTTCATTCCCCAGCACCAGACCTAGTGCGCACATGGGAGAGACTTGTCGTACAGGTTACGAAGTACCATAGTGACTGAATCTCTAGAGTCCCATGTCTTCGTTGGCCTGAGCTGGGCCTGCCTACTGTGTCAGTGAATGACATCCGCCTGGGAATAGAAAGAAGTGGATCACTATTACTCACTTACCCTGTGTATAGGTATAGGCTTCTGTTGATCAAGTTTCTACCTTCATTATTACCAAAGTCAATGCTAAATAGGTTTAGTCCTATACAAGAAGTTTTAGGGCCCCTTGGGCTTATATCCTGGGTACGAAATAGTTACCTTTTCCTCCGTACTATTTCATCGAGATTGAGAAATTGGGAGTGAATAGTTGGAAGCATCATCGTCGGGAAAGATAACCTTTCTAAACCTGAGTTTCAGTCACCTAGTTACAATATAGGATGTTGGCGGTATAGCGATTGGCGTAAGATCGACTCAAAATCAGGCACTCTTTCTGAGATCCGACCGAGGTATGTCTTTGAAGTTGGACAGATTGTCGGATAGGGTGCGGAGGAGATGAATTGATCGGTGATAACAGGATGATCTACAGAGGAGAAGCACAAATCGCTTCAAGACCAAAGGCAGCCATCTGACTTCCCAATAATCAGGGCAGAGCGGGTATGTTCTGATCGCTATCCTGTGTGCATATGACAGATAATTGTTGTAAACATATTGACTGGAAAGAGGATGGAAGACATATTAGGTAGAAAAGTCAGTGTTGGTTTTCTTACGCCTCAAAATTGAGGTGGGTTCAATTGATAAATTCATTCAGCTTGGATTTGTAACATGTATATTGTATAAATTGTGATGGACCTAGAGGTCCCGCCCGCCGTTCACATGGTCTGCGCAATATTATGTAGGCTGGTTTCGCTTTGTAACTCCAACATATGCTCCTGAGTTCCGATGTAGTTGTGGTCGAGGACAGGTGTTAAGTTTTTGTCCAGCTTTCACTCTATGAGAGACAGTCGAATTTTTTAGCCATCTTGAAACGCCAACTCACCCGAAAACGCATCTGAACCCGCAGCCTCAAATTTAGAGCCGAGTGTTTTCAACCCACTAAGGATTAGGTAAATCACCTTCATAGAAAACTATTTAAAACGCACAGTTCCGTGTCTGTGTAGAGTGATAAACAGGGACTGCAGTTCAAAAAAATCCATAAACTGCTGGGTTATCTTTCTCTTTCGCAAATATGATTTTGAACTCCATCTTCACCCTTCTTTTTATAGCGCCATTGATAGCAGCTTCGAACTCATTTATTGCAGTCGAACGACGCCAATATGTCGAAGCCAACGATCTAAACACTGGAAACTGCAAGGACACCATGTTCATTTTTGCGCGTGGGTCTACTGAGGTTGGCAATGAGGTGGGCATCTCTTCGGGTTTCCAACAACTAGCAATACTGATTTTCCAGGGAACTGTCGTTGGACCTGAAGTCTGCGATAATTTGAAACTCCAACTTGGAGGCAAGGTCGGATGTCAGGGAATTGGCGGTGCTTATACTGCTGGTCTGGCTGAGAATTTCCTCCCACAAAACACGGCACCCCAGGATGTTCAGGCCGCAGTAGATGTGTTCAACAAATGCAACACAAAGTGTCCCAACGCAAAGATTGTTGCTGGTGGATATAGGTATGTAATCAAAATATGGCAGAGCCTCGTTCCAGATACCAGAAGAGTGTCTACACTTTGTGTGACCACGTTCTAATTCAAAGTCTCTGATATACAGCCAAGGAAGCGCTGTCATCGATGATGCAATCCAGAAGCTAGACTCAGAAGTCAGGGACAAGGTTAAGGGCGTTGTCCTGTTCGGTTTCACTCGCAACCTGCAAGACAAGGGTCGAATCCCGAACTACCCCAAAGACCAGACTAAAGTATATTGCGCCGTAGGTGACTTGGTCTGTGATGGAACTCTCATTATTACAGCTGCCCATCTCACCTACGGTGCCAACGCTGGATCGGCCGCCCGATTCTTGGCTTCCAAGGTGAAATGAACATCCATGGATGGTGATGCTGGGACATATTTTATCTTGTCTTATTGAATACACACCGCCGGATCTTCCCCCCCTCGATGGTAGTAGGTATCGTTGCAGAGATGACCAGGACAAAATTTTTACTACTCCTTTACTACTCGTCATCGCTATGTCCGTTTTTTTACAACCTTGGAGGCTTCTCTATCATAACCTCACGCCCGACAATTTGTTGAACTTTTCTTTCTCATCTTATTTGTCCTTCCTCGACTCTACCTATCTCTTGCCATAAACGCTGAAATATTGAAGGAGATGATGAAAGTCAATGTAAGGCTTATAAGCATAGACCAAACTAGAGATCCGGAGCGGAAGAAGAGGGAATAGTCTACTCTCACCCATGAAATCAACCCCCTCCCTCCAAACCAGTACTCATTATAGCGGACTTGATATATTGATACTTGTTAACCAGAAAGAACCATTTATCACTTATCAATTCAATCTTAAACTGCAAATATTCACCTTCAACAGTATGAAAGCCAACTAAACCGGCCAGGGCTTATGATCAGGAAGAGATTGGAAATCTTCTTAGATTCGTGAACAGATCTGTATTCGTTGTCACCTAATCAATTACTAGATACAGCTGGAAAAAAAGTTAACAAAATTCAATACAGACGAAACCTGGTCCCTAGCACAACTGAATGGAATCAGACTAATTCTCAGCAGCAAGGAGGGGCAGACATGCGAGTGGAATTTATTAATCGTCAGCAGCTCCTACAGAACCAAGAGACTTTAGTAGCTTGGAAGTTTGATACCACCGAAAGCCTGCACGATCAAGATTGCCTGGCCACTGGTATTGGACTTCGCAAGCGATCATATTATCCCTGCCAAATAAGTTTGGATCTAATCAAGATACATTCCGTCATCATTATGACAGTGAGTTCTAACACGAATAGATAGACAAGGGCCATTCTTACGACAGCGTGCCATTTTTCGACTGGCTGGAAAAAGAGCTTCTATCAAATCAGACTGGGCTCTCATGTGTCATATACATAAAATATAGTTAGAACAGTTATTTGTGCTCCTGACAAATAGTTCTAGACTATCGATACATTCGTTGTCGACCTGACCCTAGTAGTGGGAACTTTCTCTATGAATTATATCTTCATCAGTAAGGTTCAGTAAGGTTGTGTCGATCGTCTCAGAGAACTTTAGTATTGTCGGGCTGTGCAAGAAGCCAAATCCCCCAGTTCATAGCCTGCGAGCATGAGTTGGGCCTTGGCTTGACAAAGTCAAATCTGGCGCTGAATCATATCCACCACCCATGAGGCTGCGGTATTATCCCAAGTAGTGACATAGGCCATGTGGGCTGAAAGATTTGTTCCAGCGGCGTCGCAGACACCGTCTTTGTTATCACAGAAGTGGTGGATGCGGGAATTAAAGGCAGACAGGGCACGGAGCTGATTATCGGTACGTGGATCTTTCTAGAGAATCCCCCGGTTAGTTATAATGAGTTGAAAACAAGTATTTTGGGCACTTACTCCAGTGGCTGTCACATCTCCAACATTGTACGGCTGATCAGGCATATGACGCGGGTCACCGTAAAGTACGATTGCCGTGACTTTTATAAATCAGCAAAAGATTCGTTAATAAAAGTTTTAAAGGTCACTCACTGTGTGAGCCAAGCGTCCTAGAATTCACGGTAGGTTGAGAAAACGCCCCCAGCGTTCCGTTATCGCCACCACCAGCCAACATATCACCAACCACCATTGCGCCCTATACCGAGCCATATATCATTACCAAAGCTCCGTCAGAGATCAATTGAAATATGTCATACCTGAGAGTAGCCAAACAAGACAATCTTTGAATTGGGACAAACACTGGCGTATCTCTTCAGCTGAGCGGTGCCATTTCTAATTCCTTCTCCATAGCTAGGTGTCGACCCTTCCTGGGTGGCCGGGTAAATGATGTTCTCATAATCGCTACCGGGGATAGCATCCAAAATTTTGTTGGTCAAGGTGCCAAGAAGACCAGGGTAATTCTCTGTGGTTCCCCGAGCGAGCATCAGGGATTCACTCCGAGATCGCTGATCAAGAGTGCTCGGAGATAGTAGCCGAATTCGTTGTCCGAGGCTTGTCCCATATGAATATCGTTATGAGGTGTTAGAGATAGGTGCTTGACCCTAAGCTTCTAATATAAATTAACTCGGTGAACTGGGTTGTGTTAATTTCCAAAAGTATCTTAAGCAATCCACACCACTCTTAATTGACCATGTTAAAGTCTAGGCTTTCGCCAATGGCGACAAAAGTAGTAAACAAACAGCCTGCACGGCCTCAGGCATGAGAGTAGACCGCGATGGTGGATCTGGACCAGACACCCTTCACCCATGCTATTGCAGTCTTTGTATAGAATCTTGATATCGGTGGCTTATCAGAGGTAAAGCGGCTATAGTAAAGTTAGGTAATCAACTATTGAAGTGGGAAGAGCGCGCTGGCGGTCTAATATCGCAGACAAGACGACGGGGGTACTCAGTGCTCGGCGGGAATAGGGAGGCATGTAAAGCCCTAGAACGGCCCGATTAGGAAGTAGATGCTGTTTTGCCAGAGAGGTGTAGAATGCTTGGATTGCTATGCTATGAAAACGGGACTAGAAATAGCCCAGGGGTGCCTAAGGCATAGGTGGGAGCGGTGCGGTTTCCCCACTACACTATTTAAAATAATCAAATAGCTAATTACAAATTAAAAACGTATTATATATAGTTACAATCTTAATCTTTAATAGGCTTACGTTAATAGCCATGGTACCAGGTAAGGAGCATTTTACAGCGGCCCTTAACTATAGGGCTCCCTGATCATCTCTCCACCCCAACCATGGGATATCTACGGAGTACGGACTGCTCCCTACAGGGCCTCGGACTTCTTTCATTCCACTTGTATGCCATGGAGTCAAACCTTCAGAATGACAGCATGGATTTTGATCGATACTTTCTATACGTTCTCAATACTTGCGCACGAAAGTGATTTCGACGAACTGGACAAAACGGACGAATATCGACATGGCGAGGGCACAAATGAAGAGCCAGAAGATCGGGACGAGGACCAGGAGCTGCAACTTGTATGGTAGTTTCTACTAACACACCAGCAAAATCCTAAATGATCGATTCAGCCCCAACGGAAGCATGGCAGACTCCGGCAAGGTCTGAGAATCAAGTCGTTTATTTGTTTCTTCTCTGAAAATTCTTATACATTCTGCTCACAACCCGTCTCATTCCAAAAGCACATCGGCTCAGGTCAAGGTACTTGGGCCGGCACGAGTCATATGGCTCATACCTCCTTTTCGACGCCCTAATCTGCATCAATTTACTCATCAAATCTGCCAATATCTTCAGATGTATCATTGCAGAACGGATCTTTAAACCGTCGTGACAAGATCTGGAATGCAGATGCCACAGGGCACTGGATTATGTTGGCGACGGGAAGGGGGATGGATCTGTTTTACCCTCGGTGATCGCAGGACGTATACGGAGTACTATAGGCTTTCGAGGCAATTCCTCAGCAAACAGTCCCAAAAACTGGTTTCATCCGTGTCGATAGATTCCGCTTCACACTGATACCCCAGCAGTTTGTTGATACGTATGGACGAGCGAAAACACACTCGGACTACCAGGAATCCCTTGACTATATTTTGTCTGCGCTTTCCTATGCTATTTATGCGACCGGAGTTCTCGCGGTTTCTTGCCTCCGGCTTTTGTACTCGATGCATCGTTATGAGACATCTTGGTGTAAACGGCCGGGTCATTGAATAGGTAAACAAAGCGCCAGGCTGCACAGTGGGTGCCCTGCCCAGCTGTTGAACTTCAAAATACTCGACTCTCGCAATTCTCTTACTCTGTGGGTGCTTGGCATTCTACAATTAGTAAACAGGTCGATGTCGTGTGCCGTGTGGGGTACAAAAATTTAGGATGTAAAAAAGAAATGCACTGACGGGGAGTCGAACCACGGCCACCTCTTAACCTGTAAACGACCGGAAATCGGAAACATGGACGAGAGGTACAGTCACTAGTGAAATCAGCTTCCTCCCTACCAACTGCTTTTCTTTTCTCAGGCCCCACTTCCAAGGCCTAGGTAGCGCACGTTTTTATTAATCCCTCCCCACTACTGCAGGGGCTCACGGCCCCCACCTGGGAGGATCATCGGCGGTGGCAAATAGCGGGGCTTTACGGGTTACCGCGTATAAAGCGGTATTATGCCCCCAACGGTACTTCCGTCAACACTTGAGTATACCATGACTGGTTCAACTTTCACCCCCCTACCCCTTGAGCTTTGGGGACTAATCGCAGGCCATCTGTCAAATGCCGATATCAAATCCTTGCGCCTGACTTGTACCCAAGTGAACAATGCCGTTCCTCTTCGCATCGACCGAGTTTTTCTTTCCGCCAACCCACTTAACATAGAAGTCTTTCGCAATATTGCCTCACACGAGAACTTCCGTCATTCAGTGACCGAAGTGATCTGGGATGAAGCACGCTTGCCACGGGGCCCACAGCGAATGAATCAAACTGCCCAGGGGCACGAATTACTCTCAGACGATGATGAGCCCAATAACACCAGAGAGTGGGCTAAAGTCTATTCCGAGTATTTCAGAGAAAATATCATGAGCCAGCATCAACACGACGAGGAGAGCGGATGTCCCAAATGGTTCAAAGACGCCTGTGAAGAAAACCTCCGAATCCTCAGGAGCCGAAAAGGAGCCGATGTTGATAGACCTAGGCATATTGCATGCAGAGAGCAGATCCTCGCTCAGCCTCCGCTAGGGGAGTGTTGGAAACATTATCAGCATTTGCTTCGTCAGCAAAGCGATGTCCTCACCGGCGATAGCGATTACGAAGCATTTTTATTTGGCGTGAAACAATTTACTGCTTTGAAAAGGGTCACTATCACACCAGTGGCTCACGGATACCTCTTCGACCCGCTCTGCCCGACTCCGATGATTCGCGCGTTCCCAAAGGGCTTTAACTATCCCATTCCGTGTGGCTGGCTATTCAGGAGAGCGATATCAACACCTGCTACCTCGTATCCGTGGAACCATTATCTGGAACTCAGAGAAAGATACCGCGGATTCCGCAATGCCACGCGTGTGCTAGCCAATGAACCAAATTCTGTCTCTGAGCTGGTGATGACTTCCAACTTTGTCCCCACGGGAATCAACTGCACAATTTTCGACGCGCCATGTGAAGAGTATGACAACTTTGCTAAAGTGCTTCAGAACCCGGGCTTTCGCCGTCTCGATATCTCACTGCTCGTTGGCGGAGAAGATGAATCAGACCTTGAACCATGCTGGCGATCTTTGCTCAACGGTCGTTTGCGCTGTGCACTCAGTGGTGCAACAGAAATGGAAGAGTTCAGGTTGCACACCACTTTCGACGAGGATATTCATGCTGGGGAACTATACCCAGTGATTCCTTTGAATGGCATTGTACCGGTAGAAAAATGGTCAAATCTACGCCACTTTGCACTGTCCGGCTTTGTGATCTCACAGGACGATCTCGTCTCGTTCCTCAGTACCCTGCCAACATCGATTAAATCCATCGAACTGAGCATGTTGGAATATCCTTTTGATGCGGGCTTGTATACCTTACTGGAAGAGATTCGGCGAATGGTATTAGAGAAGACGTCATGGAGAGACGCGAATGTCGCTTCCAGACCCACAATCACGATCGGAACGTCAGATTCGTATGGGGAGCCCGAGAATTACGGAAGGGCTAGATGGATTGAAAAGGAGGTTCACGAATTTCTATACGGTAATGGGGAAAATCCCATCGAGGAATCATTCCCTCTTCAATTCCCAGATGGGACGGGCATGCTGAAAGACGCATTTGATACCAGTTATCAACGTTCGAACATGAAATGGGATGATTTAGTATCGTTGAACAATTACAAGGAGAGTTTTGACCCATTCAAATACTGAACGAAACTGATCAATTGGAACGATACTGCCCACGAGGATGGCACGAGCGCATCTGGGCCTCTTTCTCCTACACTGCCAAGACTACACTGTCTCTTCATCTCCCAAGAGCCAATTTTACTACTCAGGCGTCTGGTATATGTGGTTAGCGGATTTGGAATCAGTTCATCTTCATGTACTCACGAGTTGTGAATTTTGGACCTTGAGTAGACGACGCAGCAACCGATGAGGGACTTTGGACTCTGGTTGTCTGAGTATTGGTCGGCTTGAAGAGCTGCACACAATAAGACGAGCTGCTTTGAAGTGTACAAGGATAATTGTAACCGGTAGCATTCTTCTCGAGCGAGGGGTTCCACATAATGAAGTCCTTGGGTTGTCAGCATTGACATGTCGAAAGGGTATTTTGAGATCCTGAGGAATTCTAGTCCATACCTCTTTCGGAACGTCGATTGTCATGGCCATTGTCCAGCAATCCGCGAGCGCATTGTCGGTGATGTTGTTTATCCAAATGTAGCTAATCGAAAATGAGCCAGTTCCTCAAACAATTGGAAAGCGCACTCACTCGTAACAGTCCTTTCTAGTATCCTTGGCAAGAGGAATGGCAGGGATGGAGTTGTTCTTCAAAGCGCCGGCAAAGTCGGGTCTACAGGCTGACGATGGAACGGAGGTCATGGAGACTTTGCTGAATCAATCTGAAGTACTTCCAGCATGGCCTAAGTAGGTTGTAATATCTCCAACAGCCTGCACACAGTAGTACACATCCTTTTGGAGGTTTGTGTAGGTCTCCGTGAGCTCGGGGTTCAAAAACATGCTGCATAATTGTTAACTAGGCTGTTCAATCTTTTTGAATAATGGCACCGAGACTCACAAGGCAGATTTAGAAATACCGGTCTTCTCTGTTACGGTGTCGCAGGTCTCATCTTTCCTAATTTGATAGTACTTGGCACACTTCTTATTTGTCCCAGAGACAATTGGCGAGGGCACAGGACTAGAATTTCTGTGAGTATGCACAAGTCAACCGTTTTTCGAGTTCGTCAAAAAAGCTTACGCTGTGGTGGTGATAATGCTTTGCGAGCCAGTTGCACCACTGGAGGCCGAAGAGCTGGTGGCAGGAATTGCATAGTCACCGGATGGATTACTGACGCAAATATCCTTGCCAGAGAGGTCATCGAGGTTCCTAGAAAACATGCAATTAGTTTCATTCGTTCGCCATTCAATGAATCTGTATTCACCTACGAGCATTCGCTGTTGATATCGGAGTTCCAGGAGAGCAATTGCGCCCATGTCGCTACACTCGATCTGCCAATACTTACACAGCTATCTCCGTCCTGCACAGTGTGTGTTTTACAGTTGTGACTACCGGTAGCCCGGCGGTGGAGAGATTGGTGGCCGAAGTGCGAAGCCTGCACAGAGGCAACCACCGCAATGTAAATCAAGCCTTTCATGTTGCTATCAATGTTCTCGAAACTCTAGAAATGAGTTTTGTAGTGAGCATAAGAGAAACCTCTCAAAATGGAAACCGAGCATATCTTTCTATATCGTACAAATTGGTTCGGGTCCACTCTGCGTAAATGCCCAAAAGAGACCTGCAGGAGAATGAAATCCCTCGTTTCAGATTTATAGGCCTGTGAAGGCTTTTTTCTGGGTCCAGGGTATTTTGGGGCTGGAAATTCTGCCAAGTACCGGGGACCGGGGGCCAGGGCAGAGATTCGGGCTCGCTGAATGGCGGAGTCTGGGGGCGAGCTAAGCCCACCCGTTTCCGAGTCCTCTCCGTCCTGCGCCCCACCCGTTGTGCCTCGCCAAAAGACCCTTCGGGGCCCACGCTAAAACAATCGTAAAAACAGATTAGTTTTCGTATTCGATCAACAACTGCTTGGCACCTTGGCATAGTGCTTGTGTGATCTGTTTGTTCGGAAAATAATGCAACCTGACATTGCTGCACGACTTTAAGGTTGCTGGTCTACTACAGTAAATCCAACTTTTACAACCAAGTATAACTGAAATTCTAGAGAAAGTGTCGGCGTGTTTGCCTTATTTGCGAGGCCCCCCAGTAGATAGTCGTAGAGAACCCCTCTCTTCCTCCTCATTTGATTCTGATACTATCTACTGCCTCTTTCTCGATCGAACGAAAGCCTAGAAGACTCGAGAATAAAGTATCAAGGAGAGTCTTCCTTTTGTTCCTCACAACATGTGATGATAAAATTGGCCCCCATGGTTTAGAAAACCGTTCACGGAGAAATCCAAATCTCGTATATTAGGCAAAATGCAGGTCCTATCCACTTCCACAATCACAACCTTTCGTAATAAATTTTATATCAGCCGATAGCTGAGGCCTAGCTGTATTTAAATTGTTTCTTCAAATTACAATTGACCCTCTTGTTGTAAAGTTATAAGTATTTAAAGTTGGTTAAATTTTGCGCGGTATCTAAGTTGTGGGATGTCTTAGACTATAATATTAACTATATCTAAATTTCTATTATATATATTAACTGTATTTGAATTTCTATTATATAGCTTTCTCTTAACTATCTTCTAATCGATTTTTATAAAACTTTGTAGCGAGTAATAATCAAGAACCGCGTGAAGTACCATCACGTTCCAAATCGATGGTATTTGCACCCAGGCTGGGTTTACCACCCCCCATGGGATAGGTTGTGATTATGGAAGTGGATAGGACCTGCATTTTGTCTAATATACTGGTGTTAGTAACGAGATAAAAGGGTGGTATCTATATATTAGAGAAGTCTTGCTAGATGATATAAAGGTCGAAATCTAAATCACAGTCTACCAAATTTAGCATAAAGTAACCACTCAAATATTATGTACAGACTGTTCTTCTTTGATTTATATATTTCTATTCAAAGCTCGCCGTCAAAGGCTGGTGGCGAAATACGAAGTATATAAAATAGTAATTCAACGAGAGTTGGGAGGAATGGAATGCCTCAGGCCAGGTAGGAATTTGATTTATCTTTTAACGCTAGTTCATAGCAGGCTAAGAAGGATTTATGGCTAGATACCAAGTTCTTGAAGCTGTAATAGTTGGTGTTTCAACAGCCGTGAAACATTGACGCCCCGTCACCAAATCCAACGAAATTTCACTGGCTGTGTAATGGTCCTCTAAAAGAGGGATAATATTTAGGACTGAAGGTAAATAGGTGACCATGCTATTCAGGTGTTATTGTCGCCTACGAGCGCTGAATAATAATGGGACTTAATCAATGCCAATCAGCATGGCAGGATTGAGTCTCGCTCGCTCGCAATGATAAAACCACGCCGTTATAATGGGCTTGAGCGCTCACTTTTGATCCCACAGTATCAATGCATGCTCAATGTAGAGCTGTAGAAGGATGTTGCTGTCGCTTGCTAGCCACCCATTTGACTCTTGAAGCTGTCGCTGCTCCTCCTCAAGTCGGATCTTCTCGGCAGGTTTGACGACGTAGCATTCCCATATCTTCTTCGTTTTCACTGACTGGCTCGATATCGTTAAGCGACGGAGTTGCCTTCCATGTCTGATCAAGTATAGCGGCCTCTCCACTAGAGAGATATTCCTTGATCATCTCGAGCTCGGTTTGTCGAAGCTCGAATTTCGATGCGAACAAATAAAGCATTAGAGACCTGATTGTTTCTGGTTTAAGGTGCCTGCGGCGATAGTGACGGACATCACGAGCATAATTGAAGAGCCGCTCCATGCAGGTTTTCAACCATTCGACCAAAAAGCAACGCTGCTTATGGTGTCAGGCTTATATCTCAACAGAATTGCAGGTGAGTACAACTCGCTCACTATATGCTTGAAATCAATTTTTATGCAGAAGACAAAGACATTTATTTACGAATACAATATTGTTTCTTATTATTTCCCAGGAGACGTGAAGGAAATAGGGGATGAGTACTGTTGTAATCAAAAATGTAAAGACTCAGATGTAACATAGTGTTTTGTCAGCTTCATAAGTATCACCTAATGGTAATTAAGTTGAAGAACCATAGAATTTCTAGTGATTTTAATACTCTAACAAAATCTTAAATATATCTACGATTTCACACAATGAATTTCGACAAAATATAAGACCACGGTCGCAAACCACCAATTCATCGATTCTATCGAATTTTATTTCTGATTCCTAGATGGCCACCCTTTTCGTTAATATTTACGTTTTCATTCTACTAAAATACGTCGTAGTGATTGATGAACCGAGATTTCATATTATATAATGAGATTCTTCAACTTAAAGGCCTAATGCTAAGAGTTATTAACCCATTGTAGCCTTTTCAAGCGTGTAGATGCTCTGAGAGTGACTTACTTCAGCCAGCGAGTGGGTACTGTAAAATTCGAGCAAGCTAGTATCGCCAGACCCTTAATTTCCGACAATACACCCCTGATAAATGGGCAGAACTAGGGGATGAAAACGCAGAGTTGTTGAACACGTCTGATTGGCCCATATATCTTGGTTCTAACATGAATTCCTAATTGCACAATATCATGATCCAAATCACTCATTGTAGACACAACAAAGCGCGTTCCCCAAACTCCTTTCCCACTGTTCCATCTCGCAATAACATGTCTCTCAACCATCGCTTCGCAGCATCTACATCCTGGGAGCCAAATTTGACAATGACAGAGCTTCGCACAGAAGCAGCAGTCCATGTCTTGACAGATTCACCTTGTTTCAAATCAACCTGTTCATAACTTTTCCCATTTGCTCGAATGCGGGGGAGACGGGAGAACTCGGTGAGAAAGAAGTCACCAAGAGCACGAAAAAGTGGGCCTCGAATGATGAGAGTGCCAAAAACCCCGAGGTCGTCCATCTCATCGCTATAGTTTGGCTTCGTAGAGGATGTTTCATCCAGGACCAGGATGTCTCGGAGCAACAGCTTCTTCCTGATTCCCATTTCCGGATCAGGAAGTGACCAAATCTCATTTCGACCCTTCCATCCGAAAAATTCCCAGGCCTCACCTCTCGCAGTTCGTCCCCCAGAAACCCAGTCTAGGACTAGTATATTGGCCAAAGAATGGTGGACGTGGAATATTTGACATTGCTCATACGAACTGTCTTTGAATGGCTGCACCGGGTCTGGTAGTAACAAGAGCGCTGCTCCTGCTTCCACTGTGACAGTGAGAATTTGGTATGAACAGATTGACTTAGATGGTGTCTTGTAGACTTTTGTGCTTCCTTGCGTAAGAAGAGCTAATCGCGACTTCGGTCGAACTCCGATATTCAAGTCTACACGGTCGCCGGCGACCAGCCCGCCACCATAGCTCATCATAAAGACGAGAACAGCATGGTCGGTTAGCCGAGATGGTGGCGACACGAGCTTCAGAGGGTATGTGCATGAAAGCGCGATAATGGAAGAAGAGCCGCAAAAGGCGTTAACTTCAAGTTCGCCAGTACCTGGCTGGGGTTTTTGGGGCACCATGGTCATTGTTCCCATTCATAAATTCCGGAGGCTCGAGTGGTACAGTCACGTTGAAGTCTTCATCTAGCCAGCATCAACAAGGTGGAGTGTTGAAAATGAGTCCGGGCGCGGATTGTGAATAATTTCGACGTAGACGGTGGAATCGTGAGATTGATCCCTCGGCGAAGAGGACTTGACACATTTTCACTTACGAAGTACGTACGTTGCACTATTGGGGATTTCTATTCGGGTTTAGCCTTTGGTTGAATTTTCAGAACATATCTGAACCACAAAAGATATCGTCAACGTCATAGCCGCTTGCGGACAACGATGGCCGATAGGCCGCAATGTGAAGCCCCCCACAGCTTTCGTTGCCCGGGTGGCGGTAAAACTTGGCGATGGCCAATGCCACTGTTCATTGCCACATTTAAAAGGCCATGCGCTTACGTTATATGTAAAGTTATATGCCGGGCCGATCGAGTTCATGAATAAATTCTTGAGACTAAATCGTTCGCTCCAATTGTCGGCAGACTTGCATTCCAATTTACTATAAGCGGGCACTAGAAGTATACGCGACAACACCGGGTCATATCGCCTTCACGAAGCTGAGTTGATTTCAAACTGCGAATCACGATGCAGTTGATAGCGCGTGAGGTACGGCAGATGAATAATCTGGTCATTTATTCCGACAACTTACGAACTATCTAGTTGGACAAATTGGTCATTGCCCAGACCGGGCTTCTGGCCCAACGACGACTGGCGAGGGGGTGAAATTAAACTATTCCGAAGCTACGGTACTTACTTTTTTCAACCCAGCCTTTGAAAGAGAACTGGAAGCCCGGAAAGTGATGTCGACTAATAACAGAGTAGGCATTGATCGCCAATGTGCTGCAAGAGGTATGTATCAGCCTCGAAGGCAGCAAAATACCTAGCTCTAACCACCTCTAGATGATGCGTGATGGCAAGCATACCGCAGCGGAACTCATGTCTATCGGCAAACATATCCTCGGGCGCCGAAACGTTCTTCCAGGCGTAATCGGAACTCTTACAGTGCTGCAGATTGAAGGAACCTTTACGACAGGAACGCATTTGGTTACTGTCGACCAACCCATTAGCAGCGAAAATGGCAATGTCGAGTTGGCGATGTACGGCAGTTTTCTGCCCGTTCCAGATGACAGCTTATTCCCGTCGTATCCGGAATCTGAGTACGAGCCCTTGAAGATGCCTGGGGCCATCTCACCTGGCGAAGGACGGATTGAACTCAACCCCGGCAGAAAGCGAACTCAATTGAGGGTTACGAACAAGGGTGACCGACCAATTCAGATTGGCTCGCATTTCCACTTCATTGAATCAAACCCCGAGTTGGATTTCGACCGGATCCAAGCCTATGGCTATCACCTTGACATCCCCGCTGGGACGTCGACTCGCTTCGAGCCTGGTGATATCAAGACGGTGAATTTGACCCAGATCAGTGGCCTCAAAACTATCAAGGGCGGAAGCAGTATTGCGACTGGAACCATTGACCTGTCCCATACCAACGCGGTATTGCAAAGAATCCATGAGGAAGGCTTCCGGCACACCCCCGAGGGGGTGCTGATTGATATACAAAAGATAGAGCCCTTCACGATGGATCGACTTTCATATGCCTTGATGTATGGTCCAACTGTCGGTGACTCGGTCCGCCTCGGCTCCACAGACCTTTGGGTGACGATTGAAAAGGACTACACAGCACATGGAGATGAGTGTACGTTTGGGGGTGGTAAGACTCTGCGCGACGGAATTGGACAAGCTGCTGGGCGTGCAGACGATGAGTGTGCCGACCTAGTTTTGGTCAATGCGTTAGTTATTGACTGGAGTGGAATCTTCAAAGCCGACATTGGAGTGAAAGACGGAGTAATTGTGGGCATTGGAAAGGCTGGTAATCCTGACGTGATGGATAATGTGAACCCTGCTCTGGTGATTGGCTCCAACACGGATATCATTGCCGCAGAGAGCAAAATCGTCACTGCCGGTGGCATCGATACCCACGTTCACTATATCTGTCCACAGCAAGTTGAAGAGTCTATCTCGTCGGGTATTACAACCATGTTTGGTGGAGGTACTGGTCCGAGGTAAGACCACAATATTGATCTTACGATAACCGGGTCTGACCTTCCATTTCAGTACGGCCTCAGTTGCCGCCAATTGCACCCCGAGCAAAACCTATATTCGACAAATGATGCAATCTTTAGACACCCTGCCAGTCAATTTCGGAGTCATTGGTAAGGGCAGTGATACTGGCAAGCCAGGGATTCATGATCAGTGCAATGCAGGTGTTGCTGGTCTCAAGCTGCACGAAGACTGGGGATGCACTCCCTCGGCCATCGACTCTTGTTTGAGGTAATGGAATCCCGTTTGCTCGATCATCATAAATACTGATTGTCATTATAGTGTCTGCGAAGACCACGATATCCAGTGCCAAATCCACAGCGACTCATTGAATGAGTCCGGATTTGTTGAGCGCACGGCAGCTGCATTCAAAGGAAGGACAGTACACGCATACCACATCGAAGGAGCTGGTGGCGGACATGCACCCGATATGATTTCTCTCGTGCAACACACCAACGTCCTTCCCAGCAGCACCAACCCAACAAAGCCATACACCTGCAATACAGTCGACGAGCATCTCGACATGGTCATGTCCTGTCACCATCTGTCAAAGAATATCCCCGAAGATATCTCCTTTGCGGACAGCCGCATCCGGGCAGAAACTATTGCCGCAGAAGATGTCCTCCATGATACCGGCGCCATTAGCATGATGTCATCTGACTCTCAGGCAATGGGACGATGTGGAGAGGTTGTTCTTCGTACTTGGAATCTGGCTCACAAAAACAAGCGAGAGCGCGGCCTGTTGCCGGAGGATCAGGGTACAGGGGCGGATAATCACCGAGTCAAGCGATATGTCAGCAAATACACCATCAACCCAGCCCTGGCGCAGGGTATCAGCCACGTAGTTGGTAGCGTTGAGGTTGGAAAATTGGCCGATTTGGTGATCTGGGAACCTGCAACCTTTGGCGTCAAGCCATTTCAAGTCCTTAAGAAGGGCTTCATTGCTTCCGCTCAAATGGTATCTTGTCCTATATCTTTAAACGACGTATGTCAAGCGCTAACCATTTCCCTAGGGTGATCCAAATGCATCGTAAGGGCCACTCTTTGTTCCTCTCCGCTCCTCTATTTGCAGGGTCATTAACTGTAATGCAGAATCTCTACCGTCCAGCCGATCATTGCGCGACCGATGTTTGCGGTAAGTTCATATAGTCCTCGTTTTATCCTGGGGATCTCTTATCCTTAGAATCTCTTGAGCTGACCACACTCTAGCCCCTTCTACCATCGAGTAGTGTGATGTTTGTTTCCAAGGCCAGCGTGAAGAACGGATCTGTCAATTCCTACGGCTTAAAAAAGCAGGTCGAAATTGTGAGGAATACTCGCACGGTCACCAAGCTAGATATGAAATTTAACAATGCGACACCGAAGATGGAGGTTGATCCTGAAAGCTTTGTGAGTTAGCACCCCGTGTTTAAAAGTAGAAACCGACACTGATTGTTTACAGACCGTTATGGCCGATGGAGTACACTGCAAAGCAGATGCGGCCACCTCGGTGCCACTTGCGCATCAGAGTTTCATATACTAGGTAGCCCGCAGTTTTCAAGCCCATCTCCTGATAACAGGACAAATAACTAAAATATTCAGGTTCAGTTCCCAAGCCAACAACTATAATCACCGCCACGGCAGGTGCTTACTGTACTATGATTGTTATTTCCGCTGATAATGATGAACTTGAAGGTGCAAAAAGGAGGAGCAGATGCCTGAACACACGCGGCTTGTCAGCGCTCTCATGATACGGCAGCTGAGCGTTTTAGTTGCAAAAATGGACTGTAATGGCTGGGACGAAAATTCTTCCAACAAAATTTACCAGAGGAACAGGAATACCTTATTCTTTTCTCTCAACGGTCCTGATATACAGAGGCAGTGCACAAGCCCGAGTTTTAGTCCACCTGCTATGTGATTTCTACCGCCACTCATTAACCTATTTCACGGGTGGATTCCGCCAAGTAAAATGATCCACAGCAATAGATGTCGATCCATGGAGCGCTACCCCGTTCTGGATGCTAAATTTCCAGCTCGTTTCCTCTTGTACTTATGAGATCAGATGGCGTTTAGAGAGTTTGTGGGCCGGCTTTGTACGGTACAGTATGTGTGAGATTCATTTACGCTGACCTCTCGTCGAAACGATAGAAAGCCTACCACCACTATATTAATATATTTTGCTTTGTACACAGGACCATGTACCACTTCCTAAGCGAACTTAGAGCCTCGACGAGGCCTGCCATGGCCTTTGTGTCGTCGTTATGTTCATGTTGCCCTCATAACGCGCGGCTTTGAAACCCTTGTAATGCTTCAGCAAAATCCAAGACGGCCTCCACCGTCTTAGACCACGAAGCACTGTCAAGCTTACCTCGTCCTTCGTCACGAGGCCCTTCTAAGATTGAAGTCACTCAAACCTACTACTGCAAAATGCCTACATTCTAGAACAATCGCGCGAGTGAGAATGGATTCGCAACAAAGATACCCAAATTATTGAGGGTTTTGGCTCAAGAACATCCAATCGGCTCTTCGAGCATACTCTGCTGTCAGAGAACATGGTTGCAGCCGAATCGGGGTCTAGCAAGTGCCATCCTGACCAGGGGTGGTAAAGACGACTCTGCGAACATATACGACGCGCCTTTATGAGAATATATCCACGCAAGTGGTACTTTACTTGACTTGAAATTGCAGCACGCATACACCTAGCCCATTCCGACGAAAGCAATCACATGGGCGCTGATTAGGAGTAGAGACTTCAGTGAAGGTATAGGAGGCGGTCAAAGAGGTCACACAGCAGGATGGCTCTTGGTGGTGTCGTTACTGACATCAATACCACCTTCTCAAAGGATCTGCTTAAATAGTGATATTCCAGATATCGTCCAGAGCGCGGTGAGTTTGACAAAAATATATATACTTGATGCTCAAGGACAGTCGACGTAAGGGACGGAGAAAATCGGCCATTTCCTAGCAAGATCTACTTGAGCGGGATATTTTAGGAGGGCGATTTCAGTAAGAAAATGATACACGCGCTCGGCTTGACTGTTCTGCAGATGCAGTGATATCCGGCAAATGGCTCTTGGACATGTTGCTCAAGCTTGGATGAACAAAAAGCGTGCTTGGGCATCGAGTCTACCAAAATTTGTCCAAAGATACCTCAGTATGTTTCGATGCAGCATAGTGTATGTCCAGTTGGTCCCTTTCCGCTTACTCGTATGCGTCGAACAGCCCAGCAACGTGGGGTAGGATCAGGTAGGACAGTTTAGGTCGTTGATTCGTAGCTCGTGGGTTTTAAAGTTCGGCTTTAATCGGGACTAGACGGCCTCTCTCTCTTAATGCGTAGCTAATATGGCCATTATTAATCCGTAAGCTCGAAATAACGGGACATTTGCCTCACCTTCTCCTTGCACACAGACTTGGCTAACCATCTGGCTGTCTACGAACATATGGCTCACCTGCCGTGAAGCAAGATAAAACACCAGCATTCCCCGGGTCTTTTGAAGTTCCAGGACTGAAAAGACGTGAGAAGCCAACCAAGGACAATGAGGATCACCAAATGGACGCCAAGATTTTAATCCACAAGACGCTATTCTTTTGGATACCGAGACGCACGGTGATATACTCCTATTGTGGTTTGGACTCTATACTGTGTAGACATATCAGCACATGACCTGATATACAGATTCGACTTAGAGAAGGGCCGAGATAGACGATCTAGACCTTACATTAGCTCATTATCAATGCCACTAGTAGTTATATGAAAGTGATAGATAGTATACAATCACATCGATATAGGGAAACTTGAGCAAGTATACTCGATTTATAATTTACTCGAATGACGGGAATATAAAGGGACCTCCTGTTGTACGATATGAGTTAGCAAGGCTTACCACTTGGACGAGTTGTTATGACTTATCTTTCATAGAGTTTGCAGAATATTCGCTTAAGACGAAACCATTAATTAGCTTTGTGGTCATATCTTACTAACGAGATCACTTACAATTGTCTTTATCAATGTAGTCACCATTTATCCTATATTGACATGATGTTGTATCCAATTCGTCGCACTCTCCAGTTGTCGCTTCGAAGAAGGCGCGCTGGGTGCACCGGGTAACTTCTGAGAGCCAAATGCGCGTGACGAACTATAAAATTGTATAGTCGTAATGGGATAAGACCTTGCGAGAGGGGCGGCGAGAGATTCATACACTCAGCCGTTCGTGTGGAGGCGGTAAGATCGAGGCGCAAGACGCGATAAGCACGCGTCGTAGTGCGCAACCTTAGTCTTATCTGCGATCCGACGATAGGACTCCCAACGTGGATGTTTCACAGTGGCAGTGGACTGCTCCTAAGTACAATGGCATGAACATCAGTAATCTTGTTTGTGTTCTGCAGCACAAAAGCTCTCACAGTAAATGGTGTTGCGCAGCAGAGGACGCGATTGTTGTGATATGAAGCTGGTGCAGATCAGGAACCAAGCCGCACGCACCTTTTGGAATTAACTCCGAGGTGTCTATCCGGCCGACCAAGTTGATTGGAAATCGCTCATTCTTGTATATATGTGAAATAATAAGTCAATTCATACCTCTGAACAACAAGAGCGATAAATCACTCACATTGCCAGGAAGAATAGACGTCTCAAGCTTCTATGCAGAGAGCCTCTCAATCAGATGTCTGTACCTTTTATTGGCCCTTTCTTCTTCACCTAATGTGTGCTCCGTGGTTTGCAGCGACGGGGCCGGGGATAGTGTATAGCCTCAGGGGCCTTCCGGTGCGATGCCAATGATTCACTGTCATTCATTGGCTCAAGATAAGATTCACATTCCTGCGACGCGGATATTCGTGCTTTCTGTTGGGAATACACACAGAGGCTGTACAGTAGATCAGCTCAGTCGGCTGCTGTGGCGGAGGCATTTTCGCATAGACATCTCTAATCGGCTAGTGTGGATAGCAGTGCATCTGGTGGGAATCATACCTGTATCTCTCACAGGCACTGTCTGGCTTGCTAATAAACGATGTATTCTATAAATGTCAGTACAGTGGGAATTTCAATAATGGATCAATGGGGAAGAACTTATAAAGTGGCCCAGACACAAGCCTGCTCGACTTCGCAGGTAGGTGAATAAATCGTAGAGCAGATTTCCGGGGGCACAAGACGTATTTATAGACTTCCTCGCTCGTTTTTTCGCGCAAGTGCGCTGCTTTGTAGAAAGCGTTGGGGACACCCGTAATTGAGGGCTGTTGAAAACCATACCTTCTTTCCACCACAACTATTTGCAGCGACATTCTTAATGCTTTAGATGCTCAGCGAGAGAGACAATTAAAAGTGGTATTGGGAAAAAGGGTCTTGAGTCGGTCAAGAAACGTTGGATCACTGCCGAATCCTTCACGGCTCATAAAATTGAGACACTGGGTGCTATTCCATCTGCACCTGTGAGCGATTCAACATTGAATCACCGAAAAGCGCCTACAATTTCATACTCGAAATCATGGACTTTTTCCTAGCCTCGCTTTAGTGTGGTATTGGTTGTGTAGAGTTATGGGTCTGGCCACACGTCAACACTTAATTTTCGAACTTGCGACCATGAAAATACGACGAGCTGAGAGAGTGGTCAAATACCACTAGGACCCTTTGGGACAGGCTTCTTCATCGTGCACCCAATTCCCCCTAGTATTTGTACGGTATTGCGGCCACATTCGGAAGTACGGTGTTGTAACACGCCGAACAATCACTTGATGATACTTCATCCAGTCGGGTACTATACGGCTTCCGATTAGGCGACCTATAGATATCAAATGCCAAGTCTCTCAACCTTGGATGTAGTTCCTATTTGTCTCTACATCGGACGTCCATCACTACTCTACAAGGATAAAATATAATCCCAAGGTTTGGCAAACTGCTGCAAAAGCTGCAAAAGCTGCAAATAATGCAACTGCATCTCAATATCTAGAGTGTGTCACCAAGGCAGAGTCCATCATACTTCGGCGAGGTGAACTCTTGTATGCCAATCACCGGCTGAAGCAAACAAAGAGCAAAGGAAGTACAAACCAGCCACGCCAAGGGCGGCCCAACCGGAGTAAGGCCCAGAAACCCCAAAGGCAAACATCACAAAAGCGGCACCAGTCAAGCAAATGATTACTATCACAGGTAGTGATCGCACAAGCAAGCTATGACCCTCTCCCTTACGTCGTTTGTTCGATCTGATACTAGCGATCAGGAAGGAGAAAAGGATACCATAGAAGATGCAAAAAGTCAATACCAAAGGTGTCAAGCCCCAAGGATAAAAGGAGATCTGCAAAAACCCCAGGCCTTCTAGGCCGTTAAACGTGCATGCCCGTATGAGACACCAAAGAGAAAGAGAAACGACAGAGAGAACCAGCGTTACAGCGGGAGCGACCAGAGAGCAGGATTCGTAGTAAAACTCGTAGTCAGGGTGGTCATTGAAGATCCTACGAACCAAATCTTGCGAAAACGGTAAGGCGAGCTCGCTGTAAGCCGAGATTTCAGAGATGACCTCACTTCGGTCGACCGAAACAGAGCACATTTGGCCC